ATGCTGGTTGAACTGTCACACCTTTCAACAACCACAACTCCGCTTTTCGATATTATCCAATCTATTGTGGCGTCTGATGCACGACTCGTCGGATCAATCAACAACCCACCAGGGGGCAGTACATACTGTGCGTTGGCCGCTCTTGACCTGTTGCCAGCCTCGCATCGTTCCTCGTCCGTCCAAACGGAGGGAGAGGCGCCAGGTACCAACCAGTGCGTGCTCTCGCCCAAGCAGCGAGCGCAGACGGTGCGTTGGTTACTGTATCACCAGAGGAGCGGGTTTGCAGGACGTACGAATAAAGAATCAGATGCATGTTATTGCTTCTGGTGCGGTGCGTCTTTGGCGGTTCGTCGTCCGTTCTCTCGAGTATGAGTCCAAGACGGTTAATATTTCGACATGACTCTTCACCTTTGCCGTGCGTAGATTCTAGGACACGGTGACCTGGTGAATACGAGTGCAAACGCCGACTTTCTCCTCAAGTGCCAGTTCAAGTTTGGTGGTATTCGAAAGGATCCAGAGTCATCACCAGGTATGTACAAGTCGCAGAGAGGCAAAGGGGACGACTTATGGATCACCTATAGACCCCTATCACACCTATCTCGGCCTCGCGTCCCTCACCATCCTCTCCAGAGAGGAAATGAACCTCTCCGCATTCGAGACACTCGACGCGTCCCTAAACACCACGTTCACGACGAGAAAGTGGCTACGGGATCACCTTTGGAGCAACACTTCATCGTAGAATTGGAATTGGCTCTATCGTTTTCCAAGATGAAAAAGATGCTCGCTCAGAATAAATCCTCTACTCTACAGTCTAATGCACAGAAATGGGAAAGTCAATGGGTTCCAAGACACGACAGATGCTCACGCAAGATAGCGCATGAGAGCTTCGTATCTGGTACCATCCATCAGAACATGAGCATTAAACAAAGACGTAGACTACGCACGTGAGCATGGTGACGGCACTGCTGGGGACCGTCCGGAAGAGGTTGATCGACAAGCCCTTGTAAAGCCCGCGCCACGTCTCCTCTTGCAATATCCTCGCAGCCGTCTGTACGATGCCGTGATAATGCACCTGCGGATTCACGCTCCCGGGGAGCGAGGGAGCCCTCAGCGGTCGCTTTTGCATCTGCAGCCGGGTGCGGATGACTTCGTGCGGATACGTCGCGATGGAGGCGACCATCTTTGAGCCACCAGAGCATCCGAGGATAGTATAGTATGGCAAGTCTTCTCCTGGGTGGGCTTGCTCTGTAAATCATGTGAATATCCTGATTTCACGACCGGGAGGAAGGCGCGTACCGGCCCATTCCTTGAGTTGCTCGTACAAGGGGAATTGTACGGCGACATGTGTGATGCCGAGGAGCGAGGTGAGGAGACCTCGATAAAAGGCCTTGATGCCCTCTGCGCGGTAGATGGTGAGAAAGCAATCGAGCGTGTGTTTATATGGTTTCTCGTGCAAAGGTTGTGCCTTTCAATTTGTTAGTTTGTGGATTCTAGTGGTCACGATACGCACCATGATTCGTGTTTTCACAACCCAGAGCGGGCTTGTACACACTGTGCTGACCGCTCCTGCAGACATTGCAGAAAAGACGTGTAGAGCGAGTGAATGTCGCTTGTCTAGAGCATGGTCGGCTGTTTATTGCATATCGTCAGCCCTTCCGAGTTTGCACACAGGAGAGATGACGCACGGTCCACGACAGGTCGCGTACCGCCGAGAGCAGCTTCTCCAAAATATGCTTTTACGGAATCGTAGACCGTGAAATAGATGGCCCATGTCGGTAAATAGCCCAATATTGTAGGACCCAACCCTCTATAAAATCCACGGATCCCCTTTTTCTCATACACGTAGCGTGTTGTTTCTATTGTAATTTGAACGAAGAGTGATGAGCAAAAGGCGCACACGACAACAAGGTCGTACCAATCACACCACGGTATCCGAGCGTCCCGTGGGCAAACTCTTGAGCCTGGAGTTTTGTCTTGATGACGTCGAGAGGACATCCTGCAATGGATGTAACGAGTCCTGCGCCTGCGCCTGCGAGTGCCGAGCGATTAAAGACGTGCGCCTTCGTCGAGTTTCTGCCCGACGTGGCAGAGTCGCGCATCAGATTGGTGTCACTGCGACACACAAAGTCCCGCCAATACCTCTGTCCGCTTCCCTCGTCGTCGGCGTCGGCGTCGGTTGGGATGCCCGCAAAGGCAGGGGGTCAAGGTCGAATCCAAGTGATAGAGCTCGCCACTTTAGCACTTGACGCCGCCCACTACCGCCCGTTTATCGCACAAATCTCAAACGAAATCAGCAATAATGGTCAAAGTCTATCTGAATGATGTTCTCGTCGCAGAGGGAGAGAATCCACCCGTCGTAGAGGGAAACTACTACTTTCCCCCGAGTGCAATCAAAAAGGAGTACTTTACAGACTCCCAGACACAGTATGCACCCTATAGCATCCATTATAATGTCTGATGACTCTCCTTTAGCACGACATGCCCTTGGAAGGGGTAATACCCTTTCTGCCATACATACGTTTGCTGATCCCACTCCCCCGTTTACTAGCAAGGCATCCTACTACAATCTCAATGTTGGAGAAACAAACGTCAACGACGCAGCTTGGTGAGCAATTACTCATTCCTCACGTGACTGCTGATCACCAACGACCATCGGGCTCGGATATTAGGTACTATCCTGCTCCCAAGGACGCTGCAAAGAATATCGAGGGGCATGTCGCATTCTACAAGAACAAGGTCGTCATCAAAGAGTAACTTCTAGAGTTAATTGCAATAAAGACCAACGTTTACTAGTTTATTAGTCGTGGCCGTAAGAAAGCTGGCCTTGAATGAGATGGCTTGCTGGGTCGACCAATGAGTATAATAAATTGGGTATAATCTCTTGTGGACTATTATATAACTTTGGATTCCCTGCCCACAGTTGTACAGCACTTCAGGAGCAAAGCCAGAGGACAAAGCAAAGCTCAACTCAGAGTCGTCCACGACAACCTGTTGGTGTTTTGCAAACCACGCATCGAGTAGGAATACTGAAACGACGCATAATTCTACAGACAACCCTCTGAATATTCCGCATTCAACATGACCGAACTCTGCCCCGTCTACGCGCCCTTCTTTGGAGCTCTCGTACGTCCTTGTCCACCCCACGCTTTTGAAAATTACCTTTTTCACCAACACGCATTTTATTCCGTTTTATAGGGCTGCACAAGCGCCATCGTCTTCACTTGTACGTCTACTTTCGTAGAACCCACGCTGCAACCCTCGTTCTGGCGCTGACAATCCGTCTTTTCGACTCTGAACAGGCTTTGGTGCTAGGTGAATATCATTATTTGGGTGATCTCATCGTGTGCTGACGAGCCTTGACACGGCTAGTTATGGAACCGCAAAGTCGGGTGTTGGTGTCTCTGCCATGGCCGTCTTGCGACCAGATTTGATGATGAAGTGCTGTATCCCCGTCGTCATGGCTGGTATCATTGGTGTACGTCGTCTCCTTTCGCTCTGCCCGCGCGCAGTCCAGCTGACGTGGTCTGTAGATCTACGGCTTGGTCGTATCGGTCTTGATTGCCAATACCCGTGCGTATTCATTCCGTTTGTGTCTTTGGTCTGGCCTATCGGCCACCAGAGACTCGCATTTTACATATTGCTGACGGAGTTGCTTGCAGTGTCGATGCACATGACTCTCTTCCAAGGTGTTGTACAACTCGGTGCAGGTTTGGCCGTCGGTCTTGCTGGTCTTGCCGCCGGATTCGCCATTGGTATCGTCGGTGATGCTGGTGTAAGGGGAACAGCACAACAGCCACGATTGTTCGTCGGAATGGTGAGTTTTCTGTCTCTTACACAGCCTATGAAATCTGACTTGCCCTTTAGATTCTCATTCTCATCTTTGCCGAAGTCTTGGGTCTTTACGGTACGATTATGCCCCGAGTTCTTTACGAGCTAACTCATCTCTTCTAGGACTCATTGTTGCGCTCATCATGTCGTCTGCCACCGGCAGTGCCAGCGTACGTATCTCGTCCCTGTTCCTCTGTTCACGACGCTCATCCCCCCTTAGTGCTCCTAAGCTTGACGAGAAGAAGTGTCGCTCCATCCACGATCTGCTTCCGCATTCTCGTACGGCTGCGGCGTCCGACTCTCAACAAGACGAGCTTGACATGCCCGACGGCCCTAGTTTATGGATGTTACGTCGTCTCTGCCACTCTGTCTGAATTATATTTTCCTCTTCCCCACAGACACATGATACATGGGCATAAAATTGGCTACAGTGAGGGTATCATCTCTAATGGTATAACGTGACGGCAGTGGAGGCTAGATCGTCGACTTGCGGTCTATATAGAGTCGGCGGTCCCGTTCCATGATCACCCAAGAGACAATGACTTGATCTATCATTGACAGGAGAGACGTCGACACGTGCAAGCACGCTGCCGTCCCTTCTTCCGGGTTCGCTTCTTGGTAGGTAACGAGAGGAGTCGAGACTCTTCGACCTCTCTCGCATTGAATGAGCTCGACGGGTGCGTTGCCGTTTGCCTTCCACTTGAATATCCGGCCGTCCGCCGCAGCAAACATGGTCGACTGACCTCTGCACGCAAGGGGCCAATTGTCAGCATTATCCATCCTATCGACAGTATTTGGGAATTGTGAATTGTACGCACCTCCCTTTGGTATTCTTCAAAAACTCGTCGATGCGCACGTCGACAACGTCGTGTTTGGGCGAGCCAAGCCGCCTTCCGAATCGAATACGCGACGACCTCGTCTTCTCGAGCCATTCCATCTCGGCAACCATCAACCCTATTTCTGCAGCCGCAGAAGTCGTGGCATGCGAGCTCCCGTTTCCCGCTCCTCCCCTTCGCTTGCTGGCTTCTCTCGCGGCACGTGCAGTGTTGCCGTATAGGCGTGATACGCGCGTAATGTGTGGAGGCTTCATAGATGATGCGGTCGAGGGTCGGGACCCGATGGGTTCTTGGAACGAAACGGTTCTGTAGAGCGTTTTGCCGGTTTCGGTCGTGAAGCTTGCGTTTGTTGGATCTGGTAATGGTGAGTATTTTGGATTGGGATTGGAGAGTGCGTACCTTCAGAGCTAATGTCGATCCTAAAGTAGTCTGTTGGCTCAAACCATGGCTCGTCGAAAGAGTCGAGTGACGAGCGCGGGGATTGTCGAGATGAAGACGATGGGGATTCAAATGAGCTTCCAAAGTCGTCGCAGTCCATCACACACAGAGAGGGGTGTCGCAAACCGTCGAAGGAGGTGGTGGTAGTTGCAGATCAAGTCAGGAGGCAAGACGGTGCCGGGTTGTTTCGGTTTGGTATGGTACAGTCTTGCGACTTATGTAGTCGTGAAGCGCAGCGCCTCGCTTATACCCCTTTGTGTGCTGTGCCAGCTGATCCCGTTTATATAGGCGCTAATAGCTGCGTGCTGGGTAGGGTGTCGCGACGTCTCAGCTTGTCGCGACAGTCTGTTTTGATATGTCGTTAACGCGAGAAAAAGTAAGAAGCGCAACGTATCGATTCCCGGGGGGATGCCCATTGGACGAGATGACGGTGGCACCGAGATAGATTCCACGAATTTGCCTGTGGTTTCTAGCCTGCGGTCGGTTGTTGGTAGGGGCGTATTCCCAAGAGCATGTACACGTCTATCGGAATCGGAAATCACGGTCCCAGCCTACGAGCCACTTCCCTTCGGTGGCTCAGCTCCTACTTCTTCCCCGCCGGCAGACGACTTCTCATCTTCGTTATCAATACCCGTTGCATCGAGGAGGCGACGTCGTCGGATATTGTCGCATAGATTACTATTGTACTCGTCCCCGTACTCGACCGAGTCGCGCAGCCTAGAGTCTCGGGTCTTGTGAAACATTTCGCATCGGCGTTAGTTGACCCGTCGGAGTTGACAGACCTTGTGAATACTGATAACCTCCCCCAATGATTCACCGCAGGTCGGTTGCCATTGCGACCCGTCAACACGACTAGGTGCCGCGGGAAACGCTGACTGACACATGGTTTGATCGTCAGAGTCTAAAATACTTTAGATATCGACCTGGTCTCGCCTAGGTGAGTACTGGTTTCAATTTACGGGTGTAAAAATCCAAGGCAGTTTCCATGTAGTTGGGGCTTGAACCTGGTCAGAAAAGGAACTGGTGGGTCATTTCTCCGTCAAGATTATGCGTCCCCTCGAAGAAGCCCCAGATAATACAGAGAAGAGTAAATGGAGATAGTGGTCGTAATGAAATCATAAGTCAAGGCACGGCGTGTCAACTATTAATGGGGTTTGCAAGTTTGCCTCGTCACGAGAACGAGTGGACTTTCACCGACGGTTGAAGTCATCGCAATCCGTGTCGCGCTCCCTGGAGATAGAAGAGCCAGCGGAGAAACACATCAGGAACTCCCATGACACGGTAAATGGGTCGTTCTTACAGTGTGACCCCATTCCGAATAGCGGGTAGAGCTGTGTTTATTGAGGACTTGTATAGACACGCTAGATATTACGAAACGGGCATAATGGTTGTTAATCTATCATCTAGTGTTCAGAGTGCGCGAGTCTCCTCTTCTTGCGTACGTGCAGGCTATAGCATAAGTCGCGCATTTTTCACCTCCAAATTGCGTTGAGAGCCGAAACAGGTTCTGTGCCTATGTAAAAGGCCATTTTTTACGACCGCTTTCATTTGGTCCGCAACGTTGTGCGAGGTTCTCGGTAGAATTAGAAGCTCACCTGTACGTGGGTTATGCGAGACCAAGTAACACTTAGCGAGCGCGAGCGAGTTCACCAGTCTAAACCCGTTTATTGATGGGGCTATCAAATTGGGAGGAGTACAGGAGGTTCTGCTGGTTAATACATGTACATATCGTCTCATATAGTACATTTAAACATCAGAGAAAGAAAATGGCGATGAGAAAGTTAGGCATGTGCCAATGCCGTCGCTACAACGGTACAACAGAGGCCATGAGGAGAAGAACGGTGAGAATGATATAGAATAAACAATGAATATCACGGGTGCGGTTTAGACGTGCGTCGCGAGGAGGAATCCTCGAGACCTTACACGTTGAGCATGAGTGGCTGGCTGGTGTGGCTTCGTTGCGCATGGTTGCTGGCTTGTTTGAGGATTCGAACAAAATAACCCGCAAAGACTCTTCCATACGATGCATATGTATTACTGGCTTAGTTTTCTAGACATCTTCAGACCGCGGGTCGTGACACCGTCCCCCTGGCTAGCATAAGCCTCCAACAGGGGCTACAGGCTAACAGATCAACCAACTAACCATCCGGAATCAAAGATATAGATCCTGTTTCTGCCTCCGTGGGAATTTCGCTTTTAAACGACAGTTTGCAAAAGTGGGCTGGCAGGACTGTGTTGCAAACCTTGATTACCACGCCAACTTGCTCTGACATTTGGAACGCACGAATTGGCCTAATTATGAAAACAGACGTCGCTGAGGACGAGAATCATCCCTCCAAGAAGCGAGTTAGGACCAAGATCGGGGCTGTGGTCTCCGAGAGGCATTCCCTCCTGGTAGTCCTCCACGAGCTAATAATCCTCCACTTCTACAGTAAGCACTCGTGAATTCCATGAGATGGGCCGCCATGACTCTTCAATGCCACCGACGTCGCCACACCTTGTCCAGCCAACCGTGATAACGTCGCTTTTGCTTTACAGGAAGCAGTTTACGCGAAGAATGGGTCACTTCTAGATGCATCCAGTGTTCTCCCAGCTGGAGAAGAGTCTTCTGGCGGCGATGGCAGCGACAATGTGCATCTGGTGAGCAAGTGCCGTCCTACTCATCTTCGTTATCTCCATCCCTTTTATCTACTCGTTCGTTAAAGGGGACTCTATACCTCTCGCGTAGTTCAATATTTTGCTGACGACACGCCTTTGTACTACCTGCAGGCTGGGGAGATTAATCCTTCAACGAAGAAGCCTAAGGAGAGTGAAGAACAGGAAGGCAAGGAAGCCGAGAGTGGAGAACCTCACGTGGAAGGCCAGCCACTAACTGATAGCTGCCACAACCCTCCAGTGAGCATTGACGCCAGCCCGTACTCAATGACTAACTTGTGCATTAGTTTGCCTCGACATCTATCCTGGCTGTATTAGATTCTGAAAAGGCATCCGAGGGGAAGGTTAAAGCATCGGATACTTAGCTATACCACGTTAACTGCTCGGCAGACCGACGGTGAATCCCCTGCGAAGGATCACGGCCCAGAGTTACAAACCAGCAAAACAGAGCCAGCACAAAAGCCAATGCTTAGAGAGGCGAAGAAGCCGAATAAGGCCAAGCGTCTCGAGATTGCCTCGACGATGCTGGCTTTGGATAAGACATCTCTTGCGAAGGAGTGTACTAGACTTGGGCTTCCAGTCGATTGGCTCCCAATGCCAAAGGATAAAAATGAGGCCGGGAGAATTGTGGATTTGCGAAAGGACAGAGGTCCCAGAGTAACCGACCCGAGTTTCTAAACTCCGCCATTACTCACGACCTCACGTGCCGTCGCAGCTTTCAATAGATAATGACTAGAAAATCTTCGATATCTGTGAGGAATGATAACAACTAGAACAGTGACTGATATCCAAAGGCGGTCATATATAAGGCACATCAGCGAGCTTTATGCGAGGACCTAGCGAAGAGCAGCAAATTGGAGACACGTTTGAAGAGGTACTAATTGTGCCCAACTTGCTTCTTGAACCCTGCCACGATTGCTCCTTGCAATCACCACTCGAGTCCGCAATCTTTTCCTAAAGGTAAAAAGTGAATAACCGACCGCTTGGACCTCCTGATGTCCCGACGTCCATCCGTCAAAGATGCTCGGAGAACTCATCTCGTAATCACCAAGGAGCTCTACACCAGAAGATGCAATCTGAGCATCGAGCATCTCCCCAACCCATCAAAATGTATCTCCCAGTTAGATTCGCCGACACCTTAACTACTGGTAGAACCAAATGAGGAGCAAGAAATGGATATTCGGAAGATGCTACCCCAAACGTGGCGTTTTGCACTGATGAGCTCTGCTGCCGCTCTCCTCGTTGTGGACGCCGCAAACAGTCTGGAGGAAGGTGGGCGATTGGCTAGCGCTTGAAATGCGTTCTGTTCGTTGGAGACTGGGATAGTTGGCAATTCGGTGCAGTTCCTCTCGACAAGTTGGAGAGCGGAGTACTGCATCATATACAACATCATAATGAAGAATACATAAAGCCTAAATGCTACTTCTATCTTCAAGCAGGAATCACCAACGAGAGTTTTGGCCGAGGCAGTTTACGTGTGGCTATTCGGCAAGGTGTGACCGGTAAACCGCAATTTATATGGAAGAGAGACGGCTGAGATGGCATTATCGTTGGATCTATCGGCTGGTGTGTTCGCCTCGTGGTAGACATTTTGACTGCGGACGTGGGCTGCCGCGAGCGAGCTGTGCCTGCTAAAGGTCCGATGGGTCGGAGTTGGACTGGAATGGTCGGGTAGTTGTTGGACTGGAGATCAATGTGGTCCAGCGGCGTGGCATTAGCGCGACTCAGTGTCTCGCACCGATCACGGCTTGTCATCGTCATGTCGCTTGTATAGTCTCGGTCAAGGCCGATGGGAGATGCAAGAAGATCCAGCTTAGACTGCATCTTCCCAGGTCGAAGGATGCTTGTGACCGTATTGTCACGGCCGTCCGCAGACGATCCCTCGCCGCGAATGAACGCCGCCTTCTGACCTGAAGCAGCCGCTCTATGTCCCATAAATAGCAAAGGTTTCTTCCATAGGCCGCCTTTGCGCGACTTTGTGCGATAGGAGCGTTGGGAGATGTCGGAAATAACTTGGAAAGCCATTCGGGGGAAGATTTTTGCGAAGTGGTGAGGCGCTAAACAGTGGGATGATATACCATATGGGCATTGCAGCGTGTTTGATACGCAGTGAAAGGCAAATCTCGGCCATAGCCATCTGGTTGCATCCTGTGCAAATTCGCGCCTGCACCCACGCTATTAAACAGTATCGGCGCTACCCGAGTTAGGCTTCATCGGTGTATTTCATTCATTATTTTAGTTCGTGCGCTTAGAGTGCATTCTCTGGCACTTCGTTGGGAACGGCGGCTCAGCCCGGGGCTCAGAGAGAGCGTGGAGCATAAACTGTTATGAAGAGGTCAATTTCACTCATGCTGGTGATACGGTGAACGGGAGATGGACCGAGAAGACCATGGCGTGTTCAGGAAGAATACCTAGAATTCCGCACGGGAGAGACAAAGCTTCTTTCTTGGGACTTTTCTCGGGAGGAATAACGAGAGAATCAGGAATGATGTGCTATGTTGTCCGATGGCCGGCCTACCTGCAACTGTATCAAAGTGATCACTCCCTACTGTCATTATTAGGAGTCTTAAATATCCGTATACAGTCTAGATGCCTAATTAGCTTCAGAACATCCCCCCAAAGGAAGAGCGATGCAATGCCGACTGTGCACATCCGAGCCATTTCTATTTCCAAGGTAGTGGCCGACAATAGATAGGCAGGTTTGATACAATTATTGTAGCGCAATGCGCGGCTGGTGTAGTGGTCAAGTCTCACGACTAGGACCGCGCAGACGAAAGTTGCTGGGTTCAACTCCGTCTGGTGGCGGATTGTACGCTTAATGGCGCACTCCTGCCCAAACAATGCTCATTGGGCTTAGCCACTCTGAAATCTTATATACCCCAGAGTGAGCAAGCCCCGCCGGCTTTTTGCTTCAAGGAGCGCAGTTCCTTGAGTGCTTGGCCCGTTCACGCGTAGCTGCCGGCGTTGGGTAGTATGCATACGAAGAGAGAGGCAAGATAAGGAAATCAGACGCAAGATGAGCCAGAAGCTTTGGCGCTTCGATGCATTCGGCCTCCTAAGTTGTGAAATATCGCCATTCTTGATAGTTTTATCCACTTCCACTTTATAGGGTTCAGAGAGGTCGTCAATTGTGTCCAATGGTTGTATCAAGGCTTGGCTTTGCAGCGATAACCGTTTCCGCATAGGAGCGCTCAGAACAAACCACCTCGACTGTGACATTGCCTTGAATAGTATCTTTGAGAGTCTTGGTTGTGTAGGTCTTCATCGCAGAATCTAAATATCATATGCTAAGAGTTGACACCTTCACCGCTCGAGCACACCAGGCCGGGTCGGTTTACGTCTGCTGACTACCGCAGCAACTTTGTAGGGAAATAATTCGACCGGCATTTGGTCGGAAGCGCATGCACCACACTGCGTTCTGCCTCACGGAAAGATGCCAAGGGCCCAGGGATATGCATAGACCCGCCAGCCACACCAGCCGCTACTCAAAGGAACTCGAGATATTCCGCTGGGTCTGAAAAGCGGTGAGATTGTCCCTCTGAAACACTGAAGTATAACGGAACTGGTCTGAATGGTCGCTATAAACGGTTACCACTGGAATGCTCGTCGAAGCCACAAGTTGGCGCTAGGGAGCCACCGAATGCTCAGGGCCATCTCGGGATCATCCGGCCAGCGGTGATCGGTAGCGATACAGCTAAATGAATCTTTATGCGACCGAGTTAGGCCTCGTGTGCCCGAGCATCAGGGACTGAAGCCAGGATCCTGTCCTTGACAATCATGCCGAAAGATGAATGCAGCATCTTTGGAAACATAGACCAATTATTCAGTACTAATGGACTGTCTCAACAGACTCGAACTGCGTTCGCTCACAGATGTAGCATGGGGCAAGCCACTGCTCTGCCGTGCAGAGAAGTGCGGTCCCTGGTATTGACCGAAAACGCGTTAAATAAATCCCGTACAAGTCTTTGGGCTGAGCCATTCATGGCTGATCAGGAAGAACCCGCACGCAAGCGCACAGGTAGTATTGAGCGAGAAAACGTGACGATAAAGCAGTGCCTTCTAGGCTCAAGTCCAAGGGAGTCATTAGCGGGACAGCCACCGAAGAGTGTCCAATTTTGGCGTGGTGCCTGGCTGGCGGGCTACGACCAAGTTTGTCTTTCCCAGTTTCCTCCTCACGAGCCAACCAAAAATCCGAGCAAAATAGACAGACACCTGCCGTATATTACGTATAATAGAGCCTGAGCTGAATCATACAGAGTGAAAATTCTGGTTACAACCACCTTTGATCACTGCCCAATTGCGAGCAACAGAGATCCGGCGATACTTGATCCTGCACTTTTGGCAGCTGCGTCGACTCCACGTGCCCTAGCGTATCGTATTTGATAGCTGAGGAAGCTTGTCCGGCGCTGTCAAGCCTGGCCAACGGACATCTCCACCTCCCAGCACGAGACGGCCTCATGCCCCCCCTTGACAAATCGATGCGCCCGCTTAGCGAAGAAGCAGCTCTTGGGTTGCCGCCTGGCCCTGCGACTGTTCGCCGGTTTTGGAGCTGTTATGGTTTCTGAACTTCCTTTGTCCCGGCGAGATATAAAACGAAGGAAAACGAAGCGGGTTGAGCATCATCAGCTCTTCCAACTCGTCCCCATTCTTCTCGAACAAATCGCCTCCCATGTCTTCATCCTCGTCGAATCCCGCCTCCATCAAGCGCGCGACAACTCCAGAGTCCCAGTCGCGTACTCTCACCTCCGAGACGTATGTCAAGTCTAGTCTGCGCACGCTTGTTGACATTAGATAGGCCGACGACATCGCTCATGCGACAGTGGACGATTTTCTCGCCGCTGCCAATACACACCCCACAGGGGTCGTCTACCATCCAACAGGTGGCTTTCGATCCATTCGGGGAACTGGCAGCGAGCCTAGATTCCACGGTATGCATGTCGATCTCTTGTCTTCTCTGACTGATTCTCTACGCGACAGCTCCCGAAAACGTCCCATTCCCCAAGACGAGCGTCGAGCACGCTTTTATCTATCGATAGGTGCGTGCCTCCTTCAGGGTTGCACGACACTTGACCTGGATCACAGCAGCAACTTTCGATTCCGAGGGTATGGATTACCATGGACCCGCGAAACCAGCCCGGTAGGTTTGATCCATCTGTGATCTGTTCAAATGTTGATCGCCCTGACTAGGAATTAAGCCACACGCCATCACTCGACGAGATTGCTGCGTCTCTACGCGTCGATGGTGGGACATGCGATCCAAGAGACGTCTGGGTCATGCCGCGTCGCGAAGAGATTTTAGTCGATATGGGAACATTCGACACTCTCCTGCGGAGACCCATATCTTCCGCGCCGGTGAAGCGCACGCACGCGGATTTGGACCTGCCACCAAGAAAGAGAGCGAAAGTATGTCATATCCGCCATGATCTACATCATGTCTGACTATGTGTTTAGGCCACTCGCTCTCGAGCTCAGTCCGTGGACTTGGCGAGGGCGTCGACTTCCGAGGATCCGTCACCCACGTCGGGGTCATCCAAAGCTTCTAGTGAAGCTTCCAATGAAGTCGCTGACATCGATGGTGAAGAGGCGTTGGAAGACAGCCAGGAGACAGCCCGGGGCTCAACTTCGGGAACGACGCCAACTGCAGAGGGAATTGAGGCGGCGTTGGGCGAACCAGGCGTTTTTGTGCCAGGTATGTCTCTATAAATCACGAGAATCCACGACTCACACATTAGCAGCCAGTTATCCCGACCACGAACTTGATTCGTGGAGAGACCACCTCGCGGGTCGGCGCTCGGCAGAGGCGTTGTTCCCACATCTCAGGTCGACGGCGTCTTATGCTTTCCGCAAGACGTTGAGGAGCCCTCGGTACTGCTGTCAGGCGACAAGCCGATGGAACGGTACGGGGTGGGAGGAGATCCCGATGTGTGGTGAGAAGATGAGCTCCTCCGAGTCGTTCGTACGACATGTAAAGAGCCATCTGGGGCTCTGTCGGGAACAGACACTGGAGGAGGCTTTTACTGGTGAGCAAAAGCCATTAGAAACTGCATTGGATCTGACGGTAGCCAGCGAGGGCAAATAGATGGGCGGGGGGAGCAACAAAGCAGACGGCAGCGAAAGGGAAGAAGAGCAAGCGAGTCTAGAGAGATTGATATAATCCGTAAATGCATCTTCGTTCTCCAGTAACATCCATCTAGTTGGTCATTACTCTCGCCGCTTTGTCCGATCGGCGTTGATAGCTCGTTGTATGATATTTTTGTACTTGGTTTCTTGTCCTCTGCCGGCGCCAGGTCAGCCATGGTGAAGCGGTCAGAAGTAAGCTTTGGGCAATAAACTCGTCCACCACCTTGCTGAGTAGTATGAGCTAATCCACCAAAAAAATCAGGTATTCTCTCATATTTGAAAACCGCTCAAATGGCGAATACCATTGTCCGAGGAAGCGAGAACTTCAGACCATTGGCTATAACAGCGTTCGGGAGATAACTATAAAGGTGCAATATGCCGTATATCAAGGCGTAGTTTGACGTTGTTATCGTAAGGATTCAGTGAGTCCAGGTTTGTGGTACACAAACTTGGAGTCTTCCTTGTCGGCGTAGCTACTCGAGCGTGCGAACCGGGATACGTTGAATGCCGCAAGACCTTCCGGGATTCTACTTTGATGTAACAAGAAACCGTTACTTTCCCCTCAACTCCCGTCCAGCAACTGGCACATCCGATTCTGTCAGCGATCAAAATCAAGCCGCAGCGCTATCCTCGAGCGCAGCTAGCACTTCTACGCAAACAAAAAATATCATTAAGGCATCTTCCCACCCAGGTTCTGCCAGACCGGTACGAACCAGCACCAAGGGCGAATGTACGGCTGCGGCACGGCGGCGCCTGGCCGGGAAACTGAGCCTTTCTGATATCCATGATGACCTATAGTAGGTAAATTTTCTACGTAAAGGCCACTTTTGAACTAGAAGTAGCTCCTTGCAACATTCCAACCTGGCTCATCGAGCTCGGTTTGTATCATCAACGCATGCACCATTCGATCATTACGGAGTGGATCTGACGAGTATATTCGTCTCAGACTTATCGCGAATACCCAAAGATATGGCAATGGAAGAGGACACGACGCATGACCAACCTAGGTCGAGACCTGGTTTAATCTTTGCAGGAGACAAAGCTGGAATGCTCTATGCTACCTCGAAGGAAGATCCGTATGATCCTTGGGTGCCTGTTCATCACCTGGGCTCCCAGGTAAGCACCCCCCGTACCCTATCATCGTCGTCTAAACCCTGTGCTAGATTTCGAGTGTGTATATTCATAACAAAACTATGTAGTAAGCTCCTTCAAACGGTGTCGTGTTCTCAAGGCTCACGTAAAGTGCCGTAGCGCGGCTTCGCTAGGTCCGAAGCCGCAAATCTTCATATCTACCAGCGAGTGAGTTGAACGGGAAATTAAGTAGAGAGATATGACACTTTTGATAGATTCATGTCTAGCCTTAGCATGCATTCCTTTCACGACATGTGGACGGTACACTGGCTGATGCCGTCACCTGAAAGCGATGCATCCAATGCAAGTGCTGTTATTGGTGTGTTCGACCATTTGCAATTCAGATACTGTACTGACAGCCAGGTCCAGGGATGAAACAACGCGCAGTGTATATGCCTTCCCTCGAAACGCACCGTGGTGCATATATCATGCCCACAAATTCCGACGTGTTCTCTGTCTATAAGCACCATGTAAGCCTCTATTACCACCTTTCGACGTTTTCTAACCGGTTCGCCTGCCAGTGGACTGTCCTTACTGGTGCTCGTAATGGATCTGTAAAACTCTTCGATGTGAGAACACCTCCCACATCTCACGTGAATATATTTCCGCCATGCGTTCGTGCATCTCGCACACTGGGCGTACCCGTTGCGGATCCCATACCACGCCGTGGGCTCAACCTAGCACCTACAAGTCGTGGAACAGCAGGGAGTAGATGGAATGCCCTCTCTAAATCACCAACTAGACGTCCATTGGCACTAGGAAACCCCGCACATGACGATCGATCTGCGGGAGGAACCACACTTGAGGAGGCCAAACCAATGCATACGAGCTCAGTGACAAATCTTCGCGTCCTAGATGAATGGGGACTTCTTCTAGCGTCGATGGACGGGACGGTATGGACCTTGAGATTGCTCGAACGTTGCTGACCATAGATCAGCTTAATGCCTATGATATGCGATTCTGTGGCTTCGCATCTCGTTCACAAGCTGAAATGGGGACGTTTGTCATTCGGTCAACGAAAGCGAAGCTCGGAGAAGTGGCGACGCTGCCACGACCCGTCTTCAATTTAGCTGGTCACGTCAACACTTGTAGCCAAGGACTGGTTGGTCCCGCCGTCGTTGTCTCATTCTCTGTTGACTCTTTTCCAGGGCTTCTGTGTGAACCCGTCTGCCTCGATCCTGCTCGCCGCCGGAGAGGATAAGCGGATCCGGGCCTGGTCCTTGCGCACCGGCGATAATGTTACCAATACGTCTACTTCGAATTCGCCTGGGCCTTCTGGAAAAGCTACTCCCAACCTGTCATCTTCGCCACGTAGTACCCCTCAAGCTGGCCTCCTGTCTCGCACCTTCTCAAGGCCGGTCAATTCTATTGTGATGGCTGAAGATGGAAAGGAAATCTGGGTCGCGAGTGGGCGTGAAGCTCTTTGTTTCGAGGGTACTCTCTCGTTTAGATGAGGTAAAGTCATATCTGGACTTTCGACCTCATCTCATCCTTTACAGTCTTCCTTCCGCTTGTACTTCTTCAAATTCATGTTACTTTGATGCATCTCGAATACGACACTAAGCATCAATCCCTTTGATTCCTCCCTTGGCTTTCTGCCAAGACTCTCGCGACGACAGCTCCTTCCACCAACGAGCGACGTGCGGGTATTTCTCTTCGTTCGTCAAGTAGTCGTATCCCAACTTGATGAGGATTTCGCCGTAGGGCAAAAAGAAGAAGTCGGCATAGGTCAGCTCCTGTCGAAAACGGTGAGTTATTTTGCTTCCCTAATGCAGCGTGCGACGTACATTTCCCCCAATGTACTTTTGTTTACTAAGGATAGCCTCGAATCCATCCATCCTTCCCGCAAGGGTTGTCTCCCACTTTTCAACAAACTTTGGTTCGGCTTCTGCGCCCCATGACCTGCAACTATTGTCAGTATTGCATTTTATTGGAAGAACAAGGAGCTACTGTTTGAAGATGCGTTCCAAGGCTAAGCCTTCAGCCCCGGGGTTAAAGTTGTTGTTTTCGATGCTGACGCCCTGTTCGACGAGCGCCATTGTTTGAGCGTCGATTGCTCGAAGGCAGGAGTGGGGTGCCAGAGGAGGCATACTTCGTTGCAATATACTTTCCAATTGCGCGGGATTCAAACAAGATAAATCCGTCATCCTGGTACGTTTACTGTTAGTATTCACCAAATAGACACAATTTTTCTTACATCAAGATAGGGAACCTGTCCGAATGGCTGGTTCTTCGTCCACGCTGGAGACTTGTGCTCGTGCTTAGACCAGTCCATCTCAACCATGGTGAAAGGCACGTTCTTCTCGTATAAGATTACAGCAGCGCGCTGCGTGCAAGTTGATATGCTGCTTCCGTGAAGTGTAAGTACCATTCTGGAGAGGCTGTTCGGGAGTCGAGTGGTATCGAACAGTTTCAACGCAGCCGATTCTTTTATAGCAACAGTGCTGACAAACCCTTGGATAGGCTCTTCCCATGAACTCGCTAATGTGTCACGGACGGGCATGCGGACGTCATTGATGAAAGCTTGCGATTGGATCCTACAACCACGGAGCTTACATGGTTTGCTAAGCATCCGGGGCCACGTTATCTCCCTCAGTCATCATTCCTGGGTTCGGACATAGCGGGGCATCGCGATACCATCACTCCAGTCGTGGATTAAACTCGACTCAACCTTCTGCACCCTGATGGTCTTTGATTGCCGAGTTTCCAAGTCGAGAGGCAAGAGTATTCTAGAGCCCTATTCATGGATACCCGTGTGACCCAAATAGGCAGTTGAACTCTCAGGAAGGAGGGAAGTAAATAGTAGGGGTCAACTTTCATCCTTCTGTCCGGTGCTACGCTCATTGTCCAGGTTTGATCTCAGTCCAACGATTATAGTGCCTACATGGCCCATAAATGACCTTGGTCGCGAATCGTCCTTGCATTTCTGCCAGACCCCTCGCGATGAGACCTCCTTTACCAACGAGCGGTGGGGGATACTTCTCTTCGCTTGTCAAGAGACTTGGCGTTGATTTCGCCTAAAAGTGGAATGCAACAGGCTCAATCTAACCCTACCGTGATGAAGGGATCTACTTCCGCTACAGGATGGTTTCAACACTATGCGTCAAGCCTGATTTACTGTTGCCATGGAGTTCGGGACTACACTGGGTAGTTATACGTGAGCCTCGAGTTCAAGTGAGTTGAAGAGTTGGTACCCACTGCATCGTTATAGCCAAGCTACTGACTTGTAACGGGCAGGGGCTTCACATGAGTTCACCAAGGTGGATATCTGGAAGCCTGAGCCACGACTCCGGAAAGCTCCTGAACACAATCTGTATCGGTTCCTTATTCTGACTGGTAAGTTTGAATCGTTCGAGGTGGGAAGCATCGACGATAGGTATCCACGTCCTCTGGAGAGCTCGAGGGCCGACCAGAATGTCACTCATATTATAATATCTATAACGAGCGCATTGTGACTGGAGGAGCTTTGGCCGCATGAGGGGAGTGAATGCTGTAATTCTTTCAGTCGGACGCAGTAGCACAGCGGTAATATCATTTGAGTCATGGTACATAGATAGCTCTATAAATCTCAAGAGAGACACGTGAAGATCAATTTCATAATCTTTTACTCAACACCGGGTAGTAGAACCTGTCGAGCGGCGCGGTCTGCTCCTCACACAGCTATAGAAGATGACTGGTTGTGCACAGTTTGAGGAATACGCTTCAACCTCGTCCAGTTTTGCCAATTGAGGACAACTCATGGTCAAGAAACTTGGACCTGACTACACTCTACCGATCTAATATATGGCAAGAAGCGACTTATGATAATCAAAGAACAGATGGAATTTGCTATTAAATCATTTATCGCCGGACTTTGGCTCATTTGTCCATGGAAAATGAAGCTCGGGAACTCTGCTACGCATGGGTCTCACCGATTGAGGGACTGGGCGGCACATAGTTCCCCGAAGTTATGGGAAGACATATGTATCAACGGTGTCGCTGAGTCCAGATCTGGTGAGTCGGTCGCGCCTTCCCTCCCTTGCAGTGTAAAACTTGGACTAAGTTCGCATCTAGCGGCGCAGGTTCACATGATAAGCGACCAGAATCCCGGTCTTGAGCTCTCTTTGCTTTCAAATCTCGGGTTTCGCTCGAGGGAGAAGACCTAGGCGAAATGTCGGTCTGGTCAGCACTGACGGCTCGCCCAATGGAAATACGGTGGGATGTGGGCACGTCTCGGGGAATGAGATGCTGCCAGTTCCTGGGTTACATTCACCCGCGCCAGCATCAAGTTTCGCCGACTCGATTGCGACGGGCGGCGCACTCACCGTGGCTTTTTCGTGGCACGCTCGCTCCAACACCAACCTTGGATTCTACCTCGTTCTTAACCACGCACTGGACTACTCCAGCGGCTCTCCTGGCGGCCCGCCTGCACCTCTGCGGCTTTTCTTCACCCCCTTCAAGCTTGCTGTCCGAGCCGGGTCAAATCGAACAGCCCTTGGAGCCTGTAAAAACAGACCTAAATTGGAGCAAGAAAGGGAGCTGGCTGCAATCTCCTGTACAAGCCTGGAGTAGTTAGTTACCTTGGTCCTTTGTCTCGTTCGGCGTTCCCCAGCATGCAGACGCGACGCTCCACGCTCTTTTCCAAGACTGCCACGCTCTTTTATATCTTAGGGTCGTTACTCCAGGTCGCTTATGCCCAGCATTGGATAATGGTGGACGATAGGGATCCCGCACTGTTTTACAAGGGCCTATGGTCATCGGGACCCTGTGGAGAGTCATGTCTCTATCCAAACCAGACAAATGTCTACAACCAAACCTGGCATGCGTATGTCTCCAACTCTCGTACAATGTCGCTCGCTGACCCACAGCCAGAACGCAACCAGGTCGTTCTTCCGGGGAGACCAGTGTAAGCTTGACGTTTCAAGGTACCTCAAATGGTCTTAGATACGGTATTCTTAATTAACACTTTACAAGGATATGCGGTTGTTGTTGGGGCGCTCCTCGACAATGTTCACCCTGATTTGGTCACCTCTGTCAAGATTACGCTCGACCAGGAGACTCTGATGTACTATCACGCCTCTACGAATGATGGAACGGTACAGACGGGAGCAGTCATTTATTATCGCGATGGACTCCAATATACAACTCATACCATTCGAATCGACGTCAGTGCTCAAAGCATATTCCTTGTATGTACTTCCTAGATCTACGTGCATCGGCTCACGTGTTTGCAGCTGGATTATATTGCGATTCAGGATCAACCCGCTGACACTGGCGAGAACCCGGGAGGGGGATCAAATAGCCCATCATCTCCAGAGAGTCCACCGTCGTCGAGGCCTCCCACCACAACGTCTTCTTCTGGAAATGCGTCGCCGTCTGTGAGCACTGCAAGCTCGTCAAGGTCTGGCAATATGACCACGACGCCTACGATCACCTTGTCGACACTGGATCCATCCGGGCGTCCAACGACATCATTCGACCCATCCACGTTCATGGTCAACAATCTTCAGTCTATGTCCGGCTCTGTCTTTACGACAAGCTCAGTGGACAGTTCTGGGCGTACAATCTTTTTCCCGGCGACTGTTTATGCAGATGGGTCCGACCAAGGAGGGCACTCTGGCGGATCTTCTCATGAATCTTCTCACTCGTGAGTAATCTAGCTGTCGACTTCTCGCCTAGCGGTGATACGTCGGCCGTCCCTGTTCCTCAGTATCTGACCCATGTATTACAGGTCAACAGCATTCTCTCCGGCGTTGGCAGGGGCAATTGGCGCAGCAGGTGCAGCGATTGCAGCCGTCGCCGTTGTCATCCTGATGTTCTGCCTTCGCAGAAAGCGAAGGATTCAGCTACGTCCGCAATCTGCCGAGCCATACATTCTGGCCAACGAGACGCCAACAACTCAGAGCTCCAATCTTAGTGCTCCGACGTCTCCTATCCCATACACGCCCGTCTCCGCCTTGGGTCTCTTTTACGCACACCAGCCGCCCACTGCTCCCCGACCTCAAATGCGTCTTCAAACTGATTTATTATCCTCCCCGCCTCCGAATACACTCTTGACTCCCATGACACCGACCCACGGGCCTTCGACATATCACCTTCATCCCGGATTCCCGCCATCTCAGCAGCAATCGCCCGCAACACCTCACCCGAATTCTCACATGTATCTTCCTTACATCAGCCCGGCGGAGAAGCTCAGCCGTCACCAGTCGACAGCGCCTCAAAGACGTGCTTCGAATCTGGCCGATATGCGCTCGCCGGTGACAGCCTTGTATCCTCGTCCAGCCGACTGGGACATTGAATCCGAATCCGAGCGCGAGCAAGAGCCTCCTTTACCGATCCCACTCCATCTCCCGCCTGAAGAGCCGCAATCCGCATCGACACCGCTGGCCAGTGTCCCACCTTCGCCAGCTGCACTCACCCTCCCCTCCCCACATCCTTCGTCACGGAGACGAAGTGCGCGGCGAAAAGAGTTCCTCGAACTCCCTCCCCCACCACCTATGCCCATGCAAATGCAAATGCAAATGCAGATGCAGATGCAGCCTTCACCAATGTCGATGCTAGATCCCAATGTGCCCGTGATACGACACCCCAGTCTCCCGAGACGATCACGGCGAGGCACGACAGGGTCGATGCCTATGTTGCAAGACGCGAATGGAACATACTTTGTCGCCGTCCCGGTCCTGGCACGTCCAGAACACGGTGCACGAAGTCCTGCGAGTGACGAGGAGAGCTTGCCGCCTGTTGTGCGACGACAGTCACTGAGCCATCCTGCGCCACCAGCGTATAGCCCTCCTAGATTGGTACGAAATGCGGACTTGCATGACGGCGTGTACAGATAGACGCATTTTGTTTCTTTCCCTGTTTACACGTCTGCTTATCGCTACTTTCTTCCCTCTTGTGTCCCTTGGGGCCGAGCTAGGCTCGTTAGTCTATCATTTATCCACACGTTCGCTTCCTACTCAACCCCCTCCCACCATGTATCCATCTAGATATCCCGTAGTGCCTTGGAGTTCTCTCCTATACCTCGTGCCTGTCTTGTATACGTCGATGTATACCAGTGCTCGGACGCAATGGACGGATGATTAACACCGTATTCATTCTGATAAGCGTGAAGAAGGCGATAGCATTGAGATAATATACATCAAACAAAGGCCCGTGGACGGACGGTCGATTCATTCTACACGTTTCTTCTTCTTCTTCTTTTCAGCGACCTGTCAGATTATAAACAGACTCACGTAACTAACGAGATATGATACGCACCGGCTCGTCAAAGACATCGACATGCTTCTCCTTTTCTCGTCGTTTCTCTTTATCCTTTTGTTCCCTCGATTCACCCTTGTCTTCTTTGCTCTTTTTCTTCTTCTTCTTGACAGGTTGCTCCTCTGCGCCACCGTCGACTTCCATCGCGTCTTCGAGCTCCTTGTGTTTTCGTTTGCCCTCTTTGGACTTTTTCTCTTTGGATTTTACCGGTACAGCAGGTGCCATTTCCTCGTCTGAACCCTGTTCGTCGGCCAGAGCTTCGAGGACTTTACGCATGGTGTCAGAGTTCTTGCTTCGGGGGTTGCCCAGTCTGTAAATGGTGAGAACGATGGTGACGAGAACTATGAGATGTCTACCTCGAAGAAATTTAGTCGCTCCTCCACCTGCTCGCGGAGAGCTTCTCCAAATTTGGCAGATGGTGTGTCTGAAGAGCATAAGGTGCCGCCATAACGAGGTAGGAGTCAAGCGTACCTGCAAAGCAATCTATCCTCGAGGCGATAGAAAGTTTATTGGCGAGGAAACGAGAAATGCGACCCTTGAACTTTGGACCAGCTTTGCCGATGAACGACGAGTGATAGATGAGTCCATACTAAAAGGCAACGTTAGACAGATACATAATACACACTTTACATGCCTTTGGTGTATTTCCCTTGGTTTTCAACGCTCGGAACAGCGCCTTTTCCGCACCAAGGATTTGGACAGTACTGGCGGGATACTTGCTCAGATTTGTCAAGCTACCCGCATGGCTAATGAGACGCGCTCCAATACGCTCTCCAATCAACGCCGTCAACGACGGTGCGACTTGGTTCATCTTTTCCGCCAAATAGGCCGTCAAGCTCTTTCGGTACTCTGCGAGTGAAATGACACGCTCGGCAAACATGGAAATGTTAATCATGTCCACATCACTGAGCTCGCCACCCATCGAAGTTCTGGCAGCGTCCAAAATGTTCTTGGCCACGACCTCGTCGTTGCCAACAATCTCGATCAAGTCGGGCAACTTTTCCTCAGTCAACGTGTCCTTGGAGCCAATAAACTTGGCCGCACGCGCATACTGGTGATTATCTGCGACGAGACGGACGAGTTCGGGGAAATGGTACCCATACCACTCGCGGACGCGCATCGCAAACGTATTCACGTCTTTATCAAGCTGGTCGAGGAGCGCAATTGCCTGGATGATCATATTATCCGACCGGTTGACGTTAAACTTGATTTTCGCGCGCGAGTAGCTGTGGCCGAGGCCCAATTGCGCCTTTTCAATGTCGCCGGCTTCAAGTCCCTTGAGGAGTCGATCCGCATGCAGACGTACGCCGCGGATCAGGTCGAGTCCCTCGTCAATTTCGCATTGGATGCCCAGCGCCGTCTTGATCGAGGTCGCGAGCGTCTTGTCGGCTACAGCGAGGACAATCTTGTTCTTTGCACTCGACTGTGTCAATACCATTTCCAAGAGCGAGCGTAAATGGTCGTTGAGGATGCCTGTACAATTCGCGTCGCGATGAGCCCCCTCTTCTTCCGTTTTTTCGAGAGCTAATTACCTTCGGAAATATCATTGGCGTTCTCGAGAGCATGCGCTGCACTTTTAAAGGGCAGAAACGAGATGAGAGTGACCATTTTCGAAAACTTTGCAAAGTCGTTGATCGATTTTTGGACTTCTCCTGTCCTTGAACCAATCTCCTCGTATAACTTTGACTGAAAAACGGCATATCCGCTCGCAGACTCGAGCAGGACGTGCGTTGGCGCCATTGCGAATATCCGACTGTCGAGACGAGCACCAAGGTTTGAGTGGCCATCGAACTCGTCTCTCGCATCCATAGACGACGAATACAGGCCAGCTATACAACTAACCTCCAGTCCCTTCACGCTCAATTTACGTTCACACGACTGTCCAGGAGAGCGAGCATAGTATTACGGTTACAAATCTGCACAAGGAGTTGATCCTTCCAAGCCCTATTGACATAGGATGCAAGGACGACGTCGAATTGTGGTAGAGGCAGTCAAGAACCATGACAACCAGGTAGGGCGTGCGCCTGCTGAGGGAGGAGCAAGTCGGATTGAGCGACGAGCTCGTAATGAGGAATGGGGAGTGTAGAAACGTTTCCGAGTCGACAAAGCACATCCGCGTCGTAATCCAGCCAATAGAGCCGTAGTAGAGCGGAGTTGGAGTGAAGAAAGGGGAATCGGAGGAAGGGTGGGGGGCAAGAAAAGAATAATTAAGAGAAATGGCAAGGCGAATTAATCTGAGCAAATCACTTGGAACACTGGTGCCGACGATGTCCATGTCGAGCCTATTTGATCGAGGTATGTCTTTGGTGGCTATCGAGGGCTTATGCGTCCTCTCCAGGCATCTGAATGTTCATCTTGGCACGAACAACCTCGAAAGTCTTGAGCATCTTGCGTCTAGCTCCAAGCGCTGCAACGCCCTTTGCCTCGAGCGCGTCCTCGTCCATGACAACCATGTCGCGCCAGGTCATGCCTTCAAAGTTGGGCGTATACTTGTGCAACCTGAGACTTCTCAACCAAGCCGGCACGTCGTTCAAAAGCGCCGGATCGACATCTTCATCCTTGTCCTTGTTCCCTTCACGTCCATTTTGCGAGCCACCTTTACCAGGCATACCGCGTGGAGCACCACGTCCACCGCGACCCATCATCATCTGCTGGTTTTGCATACCAGCGAGCTGGGCACCGAATTGACCAGCGGCAATCTGAGCGGCGAGGTACTGTGCCTGGATAGGATCCATGGGCATACCAAGATTCATCATATTGAAGCCACCGAGGCCACCCATGAGAGGGCTCATCGCAAGTGGCATGTTAGGGCTTCCGGCCATTCCCATTCCAAACGGCAACCCAGCAGCAGCAGCGGCGGCGAGTTGCTCCTCTTGCGTAGCAAAGCGATTCGAGGATGCATTGGACAATGCTGGGCTACGAGCTTGCATGCCTCCCCACGCCTGGTTGAAGCCAGACCCAGCTCCAGATGCTGGCTTGTTCGTCTGGCTACGCGCTGAGGGAGGAGCGAGGAGATTTCCATCATCGCCGTAGACACTCGTGTTGGCATCGGGGCTTTGAGCAGACGACTTGGAAGTACGTCTGAACGCTTTGGCATCGGCGAGAGCGATACGTCCATTGGTGCTGTTACTCTTGTTCCAAGTGGCGAGTTTTCCGCTTGCACTGTCGAGATTGGGCTTGTTTTCGCTAAACATGGGCACGAGTGGTGTGTTCACCATGCTAGCCCAGTTACCACCACCCATGGGCGAAAGGACATCTTGACCAGGCGCATCTGCCTCGGTGACAGAGCCTGTGCGGTTCTTAAACTGATTGGCGACACCCGTAAAGTCGGTGCTCTTCGGGCGGGCAGCGCTGGTCGTATTTGTGGGTCCTGGAGAGGGGGGTGTCTGCTCAACGACGGGAGAAGGAGCGCGCTCTGTGACCTGGCCGAGCTGAGGTGGCTGCCAGACATTACGCCCATCCCCCGCATTCGAGAGCGTACCGGGCGCGGAGATACGCCGGGATGCGGCGTCGGCGTTACTCGCTTTGAGTCTTGCACGCTGTTGGGCGAGCGTGGCGGCGGCATCAGGTGCTGGAGAGGCCAAGGCTGCGTCGGGCGTAAGGAAGTTGTTGCTGGGAGTGGACGAAGCAGCCGCGGCAGTAGTGTTTGCTGGGGCGTTGTTGAATGTACGGGCAGACGGAGATGCCGGAGCCTTGATACCAGGTGACTTCAAACCCATGCTCAGAAGCTTGGCCTCCATTTGGGCTTGCATACTGCCACCCATACCTGGGCTGAGAAGTGCAGTCATCGGGTCGGAACGTGCCATCTGCTGAAGGACGGTGATAAAGAATCGAATCTGAACTTGAGTAGAATGTTGAAGGAGACTGTACAAAGCCGCGGTGCGCTCTGCCTCTGACAAGACGCGGAACCCTGCGAACGAAAATCCATCAGTAAGCACGCAAGAGACAATCAACTGAAGCTTACATTGCTCAATGGCGCTCAATTCTTCCTTAAAGTTGACATCGAGAGAAGCGGCAGCCATTTCCTCCTACATCGGCGGTAAGTAAGCGGCAAGGCGGTGCTCGCATATACACACCAGCGTAGCCTCGTAGTTTTGGAGATTCTCAAACCATTGATCGATGGCCTCGGCTGTACACAGAAAAATTAAGTATTAATGAGCGCTCGCGGGAAAGAGGCGTGGGAGGGCGGGGGCGACGTACACTCTGGCGTCTGGAACGAGGTGCTATTTGCAAACATCTCGCTCCTAGGACGACTTGAAGGGGACTGAGGACGTGGAGAGAGCGGTGCGAGTCCTGCTGGGGGACGAGCCGAGGGCCCCATGCTCTGGCGCGTCTTGCTTGCGGGCGCAGGACTCGTGGAGCCATTTGCTTGAGGCGCAGGGCCTGGAGAAGGAGAAGGACTGGGTCTAGACATGGATTCAAGTGGATTTGCTGTTGCTGTTTTAATTCGCTGCCGATAGAACTTGTGTTTTACGGTGGGCACTTGGCCAACAAACTATCGCGTCGCCGACGTCGAGCGTAGGGGAAGAAATAGGCAACCTGGCGGCTGTTGTTGGTCGCGTCCAGCGATGGCAATCAAAGCAGACCGCGCTGGCGGATCGGAGAGGTCGACTCGAAGTTCCTGGCTCTACCCGTCACCATCTGCCGGCCTTATTTATGGTCAGCTTCTATTGATCAGCGCATCAGAACAGCCACTTTAAATCCAAGACATAGTCGCATTAATCCTACAGTACAAATCATACATCTCTCTCTCCTACGTCGGTATAATGATCGACAGATGCGGCCGTGCAGTATTAGGTCTCTGAGTGGCTGCCCCAGGGCTTCTGCTAACACGAGGTGCCTGTTGTGGGCGTCCGCCACCGTGGGAGTCGAAGACGTGGGACAATCGCTGTCCTGACGATCGCTCCTCCTCCGGGCGTGAGTACGACTCGGACGCAATGCGCGAGCGCGCAAAAGGTGATAAATCCAATCCACGAAATCGCATACGACTATTGGAATCGCCCCACCCGTCCATGTCGGAGGTTGGGCGGCGGTGCTCAAACGGCGGTGGAGATGCTGTCCTTTGCCAGGCGAGTCGGCCAGATGAGACCGTCGGCAGGTCAGAGTTTGAAATGTTTCCTCCATTTTCCAGGGTTTGGAATCGTGCTCGGGGTGGCGATGGAATGTGAGCTTCGGGTTTACGAGTTGGAAAGACAAGGGGAACCGAAGAATTGCGCCAGCGTTCGACACGTTGGATATGAGGTGGTATTTCTCCCTGTTGGGTGGATTGTGAGGTGCCGGGAGACTCTAAGAGGTCTAGTTTGGTCAACCGTCCTGGCTGTCCCCTCCTGAGACTCTCGGATGAACTCCTCCGGCCAAGGGCTGACGGAGCACTCTTTGGTGTAGACGACGAGACGCCCTTTAGCATTTTCACAAGGCTCTTCCACGACCTACTCGTCCGCCGTTCGTTCACTTGCGCTTCTGTAGGTCGCATTGCTGTGAGGGCTCAAGGGGAGGAAGCACGTCATGAATCCTCCTGGGTGGCATATATAGCGCGCCCTTCCATCGGCGATCAAGCCTTTGCGCGTGAACAGAATCGGTGCATGCCACTCATCGCCTCAGCCCGTTAGCCAGCTTCGCCATATGCTGTCTCCCAGCCGATGCCAGCCGCCCGCATTGAGTATTACTTCTAGGATCCTTGTCAAATACGTAGTCGCGACTTGAAATATCTCCGTCCTTCCCGTCCCTTCTGTTTTACACTGCTTGACCAAACGAGGCTAGACATCGCTATATCGAGCGCGCGAACGACGTTCTCCGCGACCTGTAATTGAAATGCTGTGCAAAGGGGTCGACTGTTGACATTGCACTGGGACAGGCCATGACACGCGAGGACGGTTCGATGAGCGCTCCGATTTATTGGAAACCTCGTATAGCAGCCTCCTCCGTTTGACTGGTTTGTTCAATTACTGTAGAGTTTCAGTTTCAGGGCGTTATTCATACAGTGATGCTTCTTTGCTGGAGTAGCCCCGACCCGTCCTCTTCGCTCAAGGAGAACCCCGGTGGCTAGATGTATCCAAATGCACTTCTATATACTCTGGTTATTGTTTCAGCGATTTTTGTGCCCATACATGTACGAATTGCTGAATAAGATGGGCAGAGGCGACCGGAAATAACACATAATACGCCTGCAGGGCAGTATACATGTGGAAAGCGTGTTGTAAACGCAAATTACTACGTCCTCATTGGATATAAAGAATTCTTGTCCTCGTTTGGGGGATCTTGTCTGACCTGGAAGTGACGAGTGTGCCAGTCATCTCCAGATAATTAAAGTGGGTGCGTTATAGATTCCGAACGAGGTACGATCCAGCCATTTGGAAATTAATGACGAAGGGTGTCGGCTCCAAAGGTTTATGCTCGTAGTGGCATTACTGATTAGCGGAACCTCTGCAATTTCAGATGGAGTATATATGTCGTCTGCTACATAAATCTCTTGAACACCAGGTAGTTCTACTCGCAAGACCCCCCTGTTTCGCCAAAGTAGAACAATCCTTCAATCAGGTATTGAAAGAGAAAGTTTCGGTTTTGGAAGTCTTCGTACTTTTGGTTCAGGTTCCACGGGCATTGGCTGCTCAGCATAGCGGGGGAAAGGCACCGGCGACCATGGAGGGAGGGGCACCGTTGGGAACACCGGCGAGTCGCGGCGCGCCGAAACACCTGGCTCTCTCCGCAGAACTACACGTGGTTGATCATCAACCGTGCCTGGCTTCGCTCCCTCTTTCGGAGGACGGTAGGCCCGAGGGAATGACAGAGACCTCTGTCTGTGATGGATTTCTTTCTTCTTATCACGCGAAGGCAATGCTAGGCGTGGTCCTTTTGGCGGGGTCGGCCGCACAGACGTGTCGATAATAATCTTCTTTGGTGTGGGCTTTGTGGGCTTTGGACGAGGAGGCGGAGGAAGGGAGACATTAGATTGCGTCGTGCCATATTCCAATGCATCATGGAGATAGAAGTGCCGGTATTCTGCTTGCTTTCTGCTCCAGTATGCTGGATCCCACTGATCCCCTTCGCGCACGCGTATAGGCGGCATTGTTGCTTCTGTAGACGGATTAGATGGAGGTATGGATGGATCTAATATGTCTAGTTTCGTTAGCTCGGCTGGTCGTGAGATTGCGCGCAAGCGAGGTTTTTCTGCTGAGGATCGGCCTGCTTTTCCCTGGGAGGGAGGGTCTGACTCTCCTTGTGAGGAGTCTAGGCTCTTGGTAAAGGTAGTGAGTTGCTGTCTCCAGCCGAGAGTTTTGTCTTGTGTCAGGTTTTCAGGAATTTGAGACGCGGACATGGAAAACTGGAGACCATAGAGCAGTGGACCTGGCTAATAAGGAGCATTCGGCTGACGGCTGATGGTCTTCTGCTCAGTCAATGCCCTCGCCCGGCTGATGGCTGCCTTCAATTCAAATTACCGGCAGACGGTCTTTACTTTATAACATCCGTTCGTCTGCACATTGAGAACAAGGAGGTGGGCACATGAACGAGAGAAATCCATTTATTAAAAAATCTAGATGAACAAGAGGAGGGTGGATCCAGGATTAGTCACGGACTTCTTAGAATTACAGGGGCCATCGCAGCCGACGAATCACAAATTCACGGATGCAGCGCATATCAACTCGGAATGTCCTTCTATAGTGTACCGTCGATGAGCCTTTATTTCCTACCTTATATGTATTACGCTGCCACAGAGCCAAATCAATAGAGTCGCGGGAGGCTGCGTCTCCTCTGGTTTAGCCTTGAAGATTCGCTATTGATACGACCACCTCTCAAGCTGTGATTATGTGAGACCTGCAATACTCCAGGATGCGGCGGTGCGCCTCTTTGTGGACACCACTTGCTGTGATACTGGCTGCACACAGGACAGAACAAGCTCCGTATTACGTCCAGTGCACGTAGATTGCTGAAGACCATCGAGCTGTCACGGAATGTGATGGCTCACTTCTCTCTAGGTTCGACCTCTCAAGAATGGTTGACAATATAGTCGCTCTGTCACCTGATGAACTAGTTACACGTACAATAGCTATGCGTAATAACGCACTCAAACCTCTCAAATGCGAATGTACGACCGACGTGGCTTGGTAAACGCATTGGCCGATCATCAGAGATTTGTGATTTGCGGAACGAGCATATTATCTCCAGATTGACCGTATCTAGCAGGCTTGGCATCCAAATCCCAAAGCGCGAACACGCCCAAGGGAATACGTTAAGGCTGAAGCCAGGAAAACTTGGCCACGAGTACCAAGGCAACTAGAGACCCGTAAAAAACATTAATTGCTGAAGTTCGAAGCTTTGTCTGGTGGCCGGCGCCGAACCTTTCGGAGTGTCATCACGCTGATCGGTTGAATGGATATGGCTTAGCAAACACCCGAGTCTTCGTGCCACGTCCAGCCAATAGAGTAACCAAACCATCACGAATGTCTGATTACGATGTGAGCAAATTTTGCTCCTTCATGACCGGGGGTTCGTGCCACGCCCAGCCAATAGAGTGACCAAACCATCACGAATGTCTGATTACGATGTGAGCAAATTTTGCTCCTTCATGAGAGGAGCCTGCCGAACAATGGGTAAGCAGACGGCTCTATAAAAGGCGGGTTCAAGTCTCCACAATATCTCTACTCTCATCTCGCACTCTTTTTCACACCTAGAGAACTTACTATGGTTTTGAAGCTCCACGGAAGCAGCCTTGCGACATGCACTCGTCGTGTCGCGGTTATCCTGCACGAGAAACAGGTTCCCTATGAATTAATCGAAGTAAACTGGGCTGTTGGAGAGCACAAGTCCGCGGCATGGAAGCAATATCAGCCATTCGGTCAAATTCCCTACCTCGATGTAAGTACCTTCTAATACCCAACGGGACGCATGCTGATATTCGAGCAAACCAGGATGATGGATTCATCTTGTTTGAATCTCGTGCCATCGCCAAGTACATCGCGACCAAATACGCGTCGTCCGGCACTCCGCTCCTCCCTTCCAAAAACGACTTGCAGACGCTAGCGCTCATTGATCAAGGCGCAAGCATTGAGAATAACAACTTCAACCCGAGCGCAGAGGGTTTGACCTGGGAACTCATGTTCAAGAAGTAATGCTTTTATCATTTCCATAAGCCATGCTCATTGAAATCTCTAGACTGAAGGGCGAGGAAACTGACCCCAAGGCTGTTGAGAATTTCGAAAATACGCTGCAGGCAAAGATGGAGGGCTTCGAAGCCGTTCTCAGCAGGCAGAAGTATATCGGCGGTAATGTGCGTGGGAGCATCACTGCAAGTCATTGGTTACTGACAATCTTCATAGGAGTTGACCTATGTCGACTTCCTCTTTTGCCCTTATGGAGAGGCCATCACCGCGTTGGGTTACGACTACTTGACGAATGAAACCAAATATCCTCATGTGGCTCACTGGTGGAAGGAAATCTCATCGCGAGATTCTTGGCAGGCAGTGAAGGATGGTGCGAAGGGGTTACCTGCTTGAGAAAGTCGATTGTCCAAATCGTCCATTGTATTCAATAAGAGCAATAGGTTGTCTGGAAACCATTAACAGGTGCCGGGTTATGGAATGTGAACCATACCTGATCAAACTAGTCTAAACATGGACTAAGATGTCAAGCGTGACTCAGAACGGCGGAAGAGGTGGTAATGGCTTCTTTTCTTTCCATGGAGTTAGGTCCGCCGTCTTGTACGTCGGATCTGGCGTTTGCGGAGACGCGAGTGCCCGCGGTGCGAACTTGTCGGCGCCATTCTCAAAGGATCGCATAGTGAAGCGGGATAACTCCCCAACAGGCTGAACGTCCTCTGGAATGGCGGAGAGCGGGACTGAGATGATGGTACTGAGTGGTGCTCTGCTCTTTCCGTCATGACTTTCGTGCATTGTCGCGCCATCAGATGAGAATCTCGTTTTAGATTCAGACTCATTGTGAGTCGCCATCGTTGTCACGGGGAGAGTCTCTGGGTTGCGGGCAGCGACCTGGCGCAAGTGAAGGAAGAGACGCGACACCATCAAAGAACTCAGTGAGTACTCAGTCCAAGACGCCATATACCAGAGAGATGGACCCATGTAGGCGACCTATCGACTGTTAAAAACAAGGACCCGCGGCTGACCTCCACGTACAATGAATCCAGCTGATAGCCTAAGCGCTACAACGACAAGAAAATATAGCGACCCATCGAAGTATATTGTCCGCAGAAGATGGGGAAGACTAGCTGCAGCTCGAGTCTGAGTAGTCGCCGTCGCGGCCTGAGGCCGTAAGAGGTGCTGATGGCGAATGAGATGATTAATTTGAAGCGCAACGAGGAGAAATTCAAATGGAATCTATAATCTAGATCAGATTCCATCTCCGCTGGTATGCAGCGTACGCGTACGAGAGAAAAGTAAACGCCCGCAAAGTACTTTACGTCGTCAAAACTGCATATCTTGAGAATCTTCGAGTAAAAAACAGCATCTATAATTGTTCAGCGTCATGATATGCACGGATTTAGAGGACACACCCCAGTTGGGAACGAGGCCGCTAACGACGAACACCAAAGCAGAGGTGTGCGAGAGGACAAATGCAGCGTAAAGTATGCACTGCAGTATTACTTGCCCTTGGTACAGTGCAACGACACGCAGCAAGAGTAGCCATGAAGCTGCAAGATATGAAATGGTCTCCCCAATTGGTTGGCTCAGCACAGCTGTATGACAGCTAATCGAGAGTAAGTGCGTCGTATAGGAGTGATAGATTTCGAACGAACAACTATTGGGATGTGAGCGAGATCAATTAGAAACAGAATCACGTACTAAGAGAGACTGAGGAGCGTGAAAGGGCGATACATCTAAGCAATAAGTTAAACCTCGTTGTTTTCACAGCTTATTACTCACGAAAGACGCCCAAGAGAAGAACGGGCATAGGCACATAGCGGTTCTAAGATGTCTTCAGTGAGGCTCTTCCAATTCTGAACGACCGACCACGTAGAAAAGAACGGTAGGAAGAGAAAGTTTAGCGCTCCAGACATGTTCAATTTCTGACATCTTGGTGAGCTAGCATGACTACGGTCGTTATGAACATACCGCCTGGCAGCGTGAGGAGATAGTCATAAAGGAGCAAAACTCCCGATGCCGCAGTGAAATAGGTGGAAATTCGAAGGTTATATGCAATTTGTAGTAAATCTGCGATAGTGAACGTCTTTTCGAGCATGGACGTCGCTGCCCAGGCAGACCCTCCATCAAACGCCACCATAGTGTCTTCTCTTGACGGAACACTACCAATTTAATGGATATTGGAAGGTCAAACTTCCATCCAAAAGGGTGATGGAGGTGAGGAAAAGTCAGAAAGGGGACGGGAGGAGACCAGCTGAGGAGTTGCGACGGCTCGAGTTGCCTAATATCATGTGGGTCCTCGGAGCGACTAGACCAATTGGGCGATGTTGTATATGTGAGAGCCAAGGCATCCAGGGCTTCTTGTATTGTCGCCAAAACTGAAGCCCGTCCCCGCCCTTTGGTCGTGAAGAACCACAAATTGAAATGTAAGGGAAGGCACCAAGCCAGCTATAATGAGGTTGAATCAGCTATGAATAAACGAGGTGATCATATACATACCTCGAGGGTTCAACTTGGCTTGCTAGCCTTGGACGCTACCGAAGACGGCGTTGGTTGCCATCAACGGGAGTGGCAGCAAGCTGTCGCTGGGTATCCGAGAAACCCTCGAGGCTCGCTGAATCCCAAGAAGGCGATCTTTCATTATGCCACCGAGACACGTTGGCGCTCTTGTCCCGTTGCTCGAGTTGGTTTGACCCTCGTGCGTTTAGCTGAGTTCCAGACATTGCAAAAGCGTTTAAAAGGTTCCAAAAAAAAAACTAATACAGTCATATGACGGAAACAACCCGTACGCTTTGTCGACGGGTGTGAGGCCAAGTTGCCCCTACGATTGACCCTGGCGGCATCCTTGAATCGCTCCAGCCCAACGCCGTAGAATGAAGCTCGAAATGTACCATAACGTCTCTCAACATAGAAGAGCTCTACAGCAAAACTATCCTTCCAGGTCTCGCGTTCAGCGCACCGCACGGAGATTATCAAGGCGCAGAACCATAAATATGAGACAGATAGGCCTCTAGTCTATCAACGGTGATGCTGTTTAGAGGCGTGGGTATGGGCGCGATGTTGCACTGGATCCAAGCAGACGGCTATAGCCAAAAGGACTAGCTTTCGCCGCACGTTATGCCCATTCATCTCCCCAAAAGCTATAATAACCGCCGTTTGATTGACAGCTATCGCTTCACAAGCACCCTCCTCCGATGGCTCTCCAACTCCTCTCTGATGCCTCTCAGTACTCTTATCGTGGAAATACTCGCAAAAGCAGCACATGGAAGAGCTCCTTGTCATTTCTTGGGCAGAAGACTGCCTCCCCAAGTCAGAAAACTTTCTTCATCCGCAGCGAGGGGTCGTCAACAGAGAAACGCAGTGGGGGGACCAAAGACGTTTTGACACCCGGGAGGACACAAACTAAGCTGGACCTCCTTGCATCTCCCATCGGCTCTCCTAGAGACCGATCAACCGGTTCGGCCATGGCACGCCGTGGTCGGTGCACGTCGACGAGTCAGACCAAAGATACGCGTGCGAACTATGGCACTGTACAGCGAGACTATTTCCCAGTTATCTCGCGTCACCTCCGATCCAACAGACTTTCACCAGTCATGCCAACGGCGCGTGGTGTCTCTGGCCACGACAAACCACGCCGCAAGGCAATCAATATGTCGGATACTCTTTATGGAAACATGCCAAGCGTTGGGCTGTCGCGGCAGCCAACGCCCGCAGTGACCTCGACTGCAAAGTCCACCGTCCGGAGGATACCTCCGCCAATAGATCCAACAATTATCCCACCAGAGCCATCTCTGTTCCATATAAATTGTGGCTTACCAGTGACTCCTGGTCGAATAGCCACACGTAAACTGCCGCGACCAAAGCTCTCATTGGTTATTCCCGCCTGAAGATGATTCGGTCCCTATGTATTTTTATTTATTATCTTGTATATGACGCAGTACTTCGTTCTTCAAACCCTTGATGTTATTTGTTACGCTATGAGCTGTTATCCCAATCCCTAAATGAACAGAATGCATCCCAAGCGTTTCCGGATACCACGCTCTCTCTCGCCAATCGCACACCTTCCTCCAGACTGTTTGCGACGTCCGCGACTAGGAGAACGGCAGCAGCGTTCATCAGCACAAACTCCAGGACAGGGGTGACATCCTCCGAAGGACCCTTTCTTGCTCCCCACTTCTCCGGGTTGATTAGATGCATAAACGTCTCGGCATTCTCCTCTGGTCCCTTGCCGCCTTTGACCATGTCCAGCGAATGTGCTCGCAGTCCAAACGAGCTTGGCTCGATGGAAAACTCCGCAAACTCTCCATCTGAACGACCGCGCATGTACTCCCATACATGAGTCGGTCCTGCACACGAAATCTCGTCTAAACCTTCTTCCCCACAGACCACCCATGCTCGTTGGACCTTTTCGTCGCAGCTGAGTGCCTTGATGAACGTCGGTCCAAGCGAAGCGTGTGCGACGCCAATCACAATCGCAGCTGGACGTGAGGGGTTGACGAGTGGTCCAAGGAGGTTGAGGATGGTTCTATGAGGAAGAGTGCGACGAATAGGAGCTAATGGTGCTAGAAGAGGGTGATGGTGGGGGGCGAGAAGGAAGCGGAATTTGGGATCTGGTACCGATCGAGGTGAAGATATGTGTGGCGAAAGCGGACACCCGAGAGTGATCAAGAGGTCTGCTGCTCCAGAAGAAGACGTCGAAGCGCGGTTCCCGTGCTGCTCATCATCAAACCGTGGTGAGAAGTAAGTACACAAATGCTCACTTTATAAACCCTCGCACCGGCTCCAGCTGCGATGACGGCTGCAGTCGTGCTGACATTAAAGGTATTGTGTCCATCTCCACCGGTGCCAACGATATCGACGACCATCCTTGGTTTCGAGTTCGTCTCCTCCTCGGGAACGTCGACTACGATGGCATATCGGCGTAGAACTTCTGCACCGCCAGCCAAGATGTCGACATCGCCCTCTCGACCACTAAGATGTAGCGCAGTCAAGAAGCTACCAATCTGACTCGGAAGGGTACTCGACGGATCGAGGAGATGCTCGAATGCTAGGATCGTATCTTCTCGTGTAAAGCTCTTTGGCGACGAAATGAGCTTTCCGAGCACCTTTTTGAAGGTCTCGGGTGTGAGGTGCGGTTGAGTGGCTTGGTGTATCGACGTCGGGACATCGGAAGGTTGAAGAGGTGATTTATCCATTTTCTACGTCTCACTTAAATGCCTTGCTTTCAAAAAGGATTGCGGACTCGAGTGGCGATTGCAAGGAGCAATCGTGGCAGGGTTCAAGAAGCAAGTCGGGCACAATTAGTACCTCTTCAAACGTGTCTCCAGTTTGCTGCTCTTCGCTAGGTCCTCGCATAAAGCTCGCTGATGTGCCTTGTATACGACCGCCTTTGGATATCAGTCACTGTTCTAGTTGTTATCATTCCTCACAGATATCGAAGATTTTCTAGTCATTATCTATTGAAAGCTGCGACGGCACGTGAGGTCGTGAGTAATGGCGGAGTTTAAATACTTCTGACCCGACGAGCCGCCAACCTGCCACAAAAGAAATCTGAAAAAATGGGAGCTGCATACGAATACTGTCCTAGACATTTAAACGTCTCTTTATCGTCGTCAAACTCCAGGGAATCATCACCTAGCGCCGGGTCCAGTGGCTCGTCCCATGGCCAGTCACCTTCTCCCTCTGTATCCTCAGACGCGTCATGTTCATCACCTCCTTCAATTGTGTCAACCATATCCGAGACGATGCACGCGTTCGGTCATGCTTCGACTTCGTTTGGCGTTACGACGCGGAGCCGTAGCGCGTGCGGACGCTGTCTCCCATGCAAGAAAGGAACGCGTCCGCCAGCGATCTGGTCTTTTCATTCGCGAAAGGATCCAGAGGTCTCGTGCTCGACCTTACGATGCACCTCCACCGCGCCGGGAAACTCGTCGGCTCAAACCAGTCGTAGACCTCCCAGTTATTCCACCAACTATTCTCGACATTGATCAAATTTGAGCAGCTTCTCATCCCATTATCTTGTTGCTAACGGGTCAAGTTTCCTGGAAAGATCGGTTGGCGAACATGCGATGGATATGACGACCAAGTTTGGCAAGACCTTACCCAACTGATTTCCCAGTATGCAGGATCATGTAACCTTCGATGACTTACCCTATTTCAGGCAAGCAATGCGACCTCGGGCACTAGCACACAATATTCAGTCCCACATATTGGACTTCGAGGGGGCCATATACAACGACCCAGACCTCTTCATCCCATCTCATTGACAGGTACATATATCCTCACGATAGCAGCAATATCGCTGATCCGACTTACAGCTGCTTCGAGACTGCCCACTGAGTAGTGGCGGGTATCTAAAAATACCCGAGCAATTCGTAGATGATGGCGACTACCAAGCCAAAGTTCACTGTCGACCGAGCGCAATGACAGACCAGATCCACCGAAGCCAATGGGCGTTTGCTCATGCAATGCAACTCGACCTCACACACATACACTGGAAAGTTTGCAGCACGAATGGCTTCAATGTGGATTCCTGCTGCTTCGAGGCTCAGGAGTAGCATCAAGAGACGCAACTCGGGCCAAACAAGGATAGTTGGATGCAGTCCTCGATAACTCACTTCAACGACCTCAGTCCTCGGCGGAAGGAGAGATACCGCGAGGATTGGACACATCGTAGCTCAGGGAGTGAGATTGCAAACATCATGTCTCAGGAGATGATTCCCGTGAAATGGTAAGAAGGAGCCCTCTATCTGAAACGGGCTAATGTCAACTTGTCAGGCACCAGCCACTGCTTCCGGGCCTTGAATCTACCTCGCCGACTGTGGAGCTATCCACACGTCCTCCACCACTTTCATCGCATTGGGACAATGCAACTTCCCCGCTCCTATTCGCAGCGCAACCGTATTTGGAGGATGACGCTGAGAGCCGATCTCGAGCGATTTCTATTCTCTCTGCGGCGTTTCATCCGATGATCAACATCTTTGTCCACTGTCACCTTGCAACTCGGCAGTCTCAGACCAAGGAACTCCCACCGTGGATGGTCCTATTCGGCGTGATATACGACAAGTATATGGTCGAAATAATTGCCTTCTACCCAACTTGGGACGGTAGCTGGCAGCCTCGAGCATTGACCTCGGGTGACTTGCGAATGACTCTCTGGAAGGATTCCCCGCGGGGTCAGTTACCTCTGGTGATGTGTCTGCGCAAGATTCAAAACCATTACACGTCAGTGATGCGTCATCTACAGTCGTGGCCCGGCTACGATGCTGCTGCGCGCAAATGCTCAAATCTCCTACCCATTCCTTCGGATTTAGCATAGTAATTGTACATGTATTGACATAGTGTTTTGAGCATAGATCTACATACGTATCCAAGTCTGTATATTTGTAATTGAACAGTTTCCCTTGCTACCTCCGACACCGCCAATCTAATCCGAGAACAGGTGTGGATAATTCTCATCAAAGAACTTCACATCCCCTGCTTCGAGAAAGCCCAGAGCGATAAACTTGTGGGCCAGCGACGTCCCAGAAATGCCGATATGATCAAGCAAGAGGTGAAACTGGCGCTCCAGAAATCTCGAATGGCTCTCCATACGAGAGAACCAAGGAAGAACTTGGACACGCAGTTCGTCCGTGTCCCTAGAGGCGAGCTTAGGGTCCCATATCTTTCTTGTAGCAGTCACTGAATTGGGTAACCACGCACGTCCAACGTTTCTCCGAATGGATGTACTTTGGATGAAATGAATAAAAAGTCAACCCGAGGGGAGTCTGGATGAAGCCAGTGATGAACATCCATGGCAAAACGGGGTGTTCCGGATCGTTGAATATCGTGAGGTGAAGAATTAGCCATATTATGGCCGGGAATGCTGCTAGTGCAAGTTGGGCTACACCTTCATCCTCAGCAGAGTTGCTCTTCCTAGACCCGCTTTCACCAGATTTCTTTCCGGCAGACTTGTTCTCCCCGACCACCAGTGGAGGAGCAGCGCGCCCCATTCGAGCGATGAGTGTCTTGGATCGAGCCAGGAAATCTGGTTTGGGAATCGTATCGAAGAGGAGCATCACCCTTGGATGCGTCATATTCAGGTTCCTGCTCACGGTCAGCCGTCGTGGTTAACTGGGCGTATGACTCCGGATTACTCACGATGTGACCTCCATTTGACTCGTGCGGAAAATCGTACAGACACCATGAGCATTCTGCTGCTCAACGGTCATCTCCGACCTCAGCTCCTCTGGATGGTGGGGGTGCAATCGCGTTGGGCGTATCCAAGCAAGAACGAGGTCCCATCCAGACATTGCGCCTTCTCGCTTCGAGAATAGGTTCCCGAGTCTGTGCTTGTCATCCTCTGCTTCAATCTCTTTGAGCAGTTTACATTCAACGTTGTAGACCCAATTCTTGGACCCTTGCACGGGAATCGTATTCTGGAATTGCCACAGGGTGTTAAGGCGGACCCACCTCTCATAGCACAGTCGAAGTTGCTCTTCTACTTTGCGTACTTTGTCCATGGCTTGTTCATGTGGCTCATCGGGACCGCTTAGCATTAAAGAATCTCCTATGAGCTTGCGGTGATGGTCGAGCATCGGACGCTTGATGTTGGACTCAGTGCTCGGTCCCTGGGCAGGCTTCTTCTCCGGTGACGGGGAGCAGCTCAATGCTTTCCCTTTGGATGGTGAAAGCTGAAATCGGAGGTAGTCATCCCTCTTCCTGACCTCGTAATATACTTACGGGAGGGTTGAAAGAGCTAATGCATCATCGACGGCTTGTTGATCGACTCTAAACTGTTGGGTTTCAGCATTGCTTCTCGTGCAAAAAAATTGATCTCGCCTCCTGATCTGAAGGAATTGCCACGGTGAGACCGCGGTCGAGCATGAGGTTGTTTAGATACCATAGGTATCTCACAAGGACAGAGTTGGACCCCATGCTAGATACACCACGAGATTCGACCGCAATAGTGCTTGGCGAAGAGGAGAATGACAAGTCTGTATGGGCATTTTCAGGTAGCTTCGCCATACCCCTCTCCCGCTCAGTGGCCATACAAACCGTGAATTTCCAGACGCCCATCCCTTCTAATGGCAATGTTTTCATACTCCTATGGGCTGATCAATCTAGGTAATGTCAGAATTAGATTTGGGCTCACGATGCATTGTGATACTCTGGACGACCCGAGTTCGCGTGTGGGTCGGTTACTCTGGGGCCTCTTTCCTTTCGCAAATCCGCAATTCCCCCGGCCTCGTTTTTATCTTTTGGTATTGCGAGCCAGTCGACTGGAAGCCGAAGCCTGGTACACTCCTTCGCAAGAGATGTCTCATCCAGAGCCAGCATCGTTGAGGCAATCTCGAGGCGCTTGACCTTATTCGGCTTGTTTACCTTTCTAAACTTTGGCTTTCGCCCTGGCTCTGCTTTGCTGGCTTGTAACTCTGGGCCGTGGTCCTTCGCAGGGGATTCACCGTCGGTCTGCCGAGCAGTTAGCGTGGTATAGCTAAGTATCCGATGCTTTAACCTTCCCATCGGATGCCTTTTCAGAATCTACTACAGTCAGGATAGATATCGAGACAAACTAACGAACAAGTTAGTGATTGAGTACGGGCTGGCGTCAATGCTCACTGGAGGGTTGTGGCAGCTATCAGTTAGTGGCTGGTCTTCCCCGTGAGATTCTCCGCTTTTGGCTTTCTTGTCTTCCTCTTCTTCTCTCTCCTTAGGCTTCTTCGTTGAAGGATCAATCTCCCCAGCCTGCAGGTAGTACAAAGGCGTATCGTCAGCAAAATATTGAACCACGCGAGAGGCATAGAGTCCTCTGTAACGAGCAAGTAGATGAAAGAGATGAAGACAACTAGGACGAGTAGGACGACACTCGCTCACTGGATGCACATTGTCTCTGCCATCGCCGCCAGAAGACTCTTCTCCAGCTGGGAGAACATTGGATACATCTAGAAGTGACTTATTATCCACGGAAACTGTTTCCTGTAAAGCAAAAGCGACGTTAACACGGCTCGGCTGGAAAAGGTGTGGCGACGTCGGTGGCATTAAAGAGTCATGGCGGCCCATCTCATGGAATTCACAAGTGCTTACTGTGGAAGTGGAGGATTTACTAGCTCGTGGAGGACTACCAGGAGGGGAATGTCTCTCGGAGACCACAGCCCCGACCTTGGTCCTAACTCGCTTCTTGGAGGGACGATTCTCGTCCTCAGCGACGCCTGTTTTCATAATTAGGCCACTTAGTGCGTTCCAGATGTCAGAGCAAGTTGGCGTGGTAATCAAGGTTTGCAAAACAGTCTGCCAGCCCACTTTTGCAAACTGTCGTTTATAGGCAAACTTCCCACGGAGGCATAAACAGGACCTATATCTTTGATTCCGGATAGTTATTTGGTTTATCTGTTAGCTTGTAGCCCCTATTGGAGGCTTATGCTAGCCAGGGGGCGGTGTCACGACCCGCGGTCTGAAGATGGTCAAGAAAACTAAGCCAGTAATGCATATACATCGTATGGAAGAGTCTTTGCAGGTGATTTTGTTCGAATCCTCAAACAAGCCAGCAACCATGCGCAACGAAGCCACACCAGCCAGCGACTCAACGTAGCCGACCAAAAGGAGAGCGGTCGTGAAAAATGACTTTTTACATGCAGATATAATGTATCTTGACTGTCAAAACAATATGAACGGGAGAAGGCAATGACTTGGAGTCAGTACTGCTGGATCACTGGAGGGCTCGGGCGCTTTGACTCTAGGTGGTGATATAGGGACTTTTAAAGCCAGTTAAAAGTATCTATACCACTTATTCAGGTCCTTAATTGACCTCATAACTTCATCTGTCATTCTGATTCGGACCAGGGCTGAGACCACCAGCTTAGTTCCATCTAGTACTACTTAATTGAGCTTATAATTACTCAGTCCTCGGCTCAGACATAGAATGGTATGAATACACTGCATACGATCATGCCACTGTTGATAATAGCCTCTCCCGGATGGAGTTCACGAACTCGGGATGATTGGTCCTGAGAGAAATGGTTTCAAACTGATGTTCATCACTGATATTTGTGCCTTGATGCTCTCTACCGATTTTCTTGACAACCAAAGCGCGGTTACCGTGTATGCCTACTTTCCCAGCTGCCATCCGTGTCTTACTGATGAGCAGCTTCGGTGCTTTCTGGTGCGTTTTACGCCACTTTGGCGTCTAGCGGGCATATCAACCCGCGATAGGTCGTAAGTCTGATTGTGTGCATGTATGGATAGTTGCATTATTGATGCATTTCTGTCAACAGCGATGGTATGCAGTCCAGTCATTTTTTGTGCGTAAATTCGACCTAGAGAACAAGTGACCACCTGCCGAACATTCCGCGTTGACGACTCGACCATGAGCTACCAAGATGGCCAGGCCATCCGTCGTCGACCAGGATACTTTCAAAGGACACTCAGAGACAATGGGTACGTCTATTTCACGTCGTAAACACGCTCTATCGACACGCTGGCATGAGTTGGAGATCATGAGATCTTTCCTACAACGTCCGGCTTCTCTTCGTTTGCAGCATATGTACTCTGCTGACGCGTTTTACTCGTCAAAGGTCTGATACAGATGCGCCAGACGCGCCCAAGGCCAACGAGGAAAACGAACCGGTCCTCCAAGCCATATGGCGCGTTTTGTTTGGGATTGATTGGATGTATAATCCATGTGAGTCGCTTTTCATTCATTCAGATATCCTAAATGCTCACTAATTTTCTTCTGAAAGCCGCTGCACTCCGAATAATGCTTTCCCCTATCGTCTTTTACATGTTGCGGACCAGCTTCGTACCTCCTCATCTTAATAAACAATACCCTTCAATATTTTTGCCGTCAAACAGGATTGAGGACTCTCCTCAAGGGTTTCGACAATACGCAAAGAGTTACTGGGTACGTGTCCATACTTTTGCGCCGTGATGTCCTTATGAACTAACTCACAGGACATCGCTTTTGTGGCTTACTATGTTGTCGTCTTCGCCTGCATAAGGCAGACCCTGTTCAACTACATTCTGAAACCTATGGCGCGCCGTTACGGAATCCGTAAAGAGAAAAAGGTCGACCGGTTTGCGGAACAAACATACTCTATCCTATATTTTTGCATCTCATCGCCTTTTGGTCTGGTAAGTCTATACCGGCTGTATTCGTCCAGAATTTACGCAACCTCTAGTATACAATGTACAAATACATGCCAACGTGGTACTACCAAACGAAGAACTTCTGGATCAGTGCGTTTTCTTTCCTGGTTCTATATTGTCTGATGTCGGCTCTAGACTATCCACATTGGCAATTACCGGGCACACTCAAGTATTACTATCTCGTCCAAGCCGCGTACTGGACACACCAATTTCTTGTCTTGGCTCTGAAACTCGAAAAGCCGCGAAGTGATTACGCCCAACTGGTCGCCCACCACGTCGTCACTCTGTGGCTCATCTTTTGGAGCTATACCACGAATCTTACTTTTATCGGAAATGCAGTGTTTATCACCATGGACGTATCTGACATCTTTTTGTCGGTCAGTTCCCCCTTCATCAGAGGCGGAGGGTACTCACGTCGCCCGTAGACCTCATTGACGTTCAACTACCTCAAGATGCAAAAGACAAAGACCGCCTTCTTTGCATTACTTTTTGGGGTGTGGACGTACGTCGCCGCCTACAAGTTCGTCTCACAACTGACCAAATGTTTCAGATATACTCGGCATTACTTGAACCTGCGTATTCTGTGGTCTATCTGGCATGAATTTGATCTCATCCCGTAAGCGTTTACACCTCCGCACCTCCTGGCTTCTGACGTCCGCAGCCGAGAGAGTCAAGTCTGGAAGCCTGAAGAAGGATCATGGATGGTATCGTGGTAAGTGGGATCTTTGGTGATGTTTGTGCCACTCGGTTCATTCCGGCGATCAAAGGATGAGATACCAAATCTTCACGCCGCTCTTTTTACTCCAACTTCTTAATATCTACTGGTACATACTCCTTTGGCGGGCATTACTACGGTTGGTAACCTATAGTTCGTAACGAGGATACATGCTAATGTGCACGAATATCAGGGCATTGTTTAGTTCCAAACTCGATGATGAACGATCTGACAACGAGGAGGAGGGTCAGACTAAGAAGGGGCAGTAGTCAACTTCTGGGTACCTTCACAAGGACACATTTCTACTCTCGCTTCTGGCTCGATTGCTACACGACTTCTTTAGAAAGTATAATTCTATCTTAATTGGGTATCAACGCTCGGTTATGGCTTAGCGTCGTAATGTCTCGGAATCAGTACGGTGCCTTCTAAGAGGTTTAGCTTATTGCTCTGTTAACCGTTATGCGTCACTGTCTATTCCACAAACTACAGTTCAGCCCTACAGTAGTTCCAGGACATGGGAGGTCGTGGGTGGTCGGTGAAGTTTGAAATATCTTGAACCCGCCCAAGAGAAATGACAGCCCAAGATAGCGACTGCTGTGACCATTCAAATCCCGATTGGAACATCAGTAATGGAACCTCGTCGGGCGACAGTGGCTCGTCTCTCGTACCTTCTAATTCCTTAGACACTTCAATATCTTCCGTTCTTTTCAATTCTTTCGACCTCAGTGATACATCGACCTCACACAGTTTATCTATGAAACTGCAGACGATGAGCAGCCAGCTATAGCTGCAACCTGTCCGGAGCGACAACGGAAGTGGGGTATCCTTTGACTCGCTAACACACGCCGGAAATTCGTGCACCCGTCGTCGAAAACGTTCTTGGTCTGCCAACAAATTGATCGACCACCACTCGCAAGTCTGAAGAGCTTCGGTGTCAAAAAATGAGATCTAATGACTGTTTGCGAACATCGTGAGGTTGTCATTTCGTAGAAATATCAGAAATCTGGGCTGGATGGTCGACACGCGTGATCCTCCAAGGGTTGAACGCGCCTTATCTGGGGACGAAAACCAGGCCGTCTTCAATATTCATGAATCTTATGTCTACAATTGCATGCTAATATAACAACCTGACCTCGCTCTCCTCGCCAGACGAGTCCATTCGTCAGTGTGATGGTGCTCAGCTGGGCTGGAAGGCCTCGTCGAGCCAACGCTCATAATCAAACTTGGGTTCAATCGCACCATTCTCCGTCCCTCGACCGCCACCATCCCCATCGACATAGGCACCCTCGTTCAACGAGGGCATCGTCTGCGTGAGAAACGCAATAGTCCCGTCGGATAGTTGTGCGAGTTGGAGATCCATCTCTGTAACAAAGTGCTTTTGTGTCGCAACAAGTCAGGAGCATGTCTAATAGCTCAGAAGGCGAGGGTCTAACCTTTTCTTGTGCGATGCCTCGAAAGGCTTCCCGTAGCTGCTCTGCGGACGTCTGGTCTTCTGTGATCTCAACCTATTGCATGCTAATCAGTTCATCGCCGCGACATCTCGGGCATCATACGTACGAGGAGGTTGATAAATGCCTCGAACGTTGTGGCGCCATATTCTTGTTCCAGTTGCTGGCTGATCACGTCTATGTCCTCCTCCTAGATAAATATGTGAAGTTAGAGACGAATGAAAGGAAGCGACGACGACCCACCGAGTAGACGATGCCCAAACTCGCAAGGGCGGCCGCCAATTCGGACACTGAGAGCGTATTTGTCTCGTCCTTGTCAAAGTACCTAAAAGTGCTCTCGAATTGCTCCAACTGCGCTGGAGTCAGATTCGTCATATTCCGCGACACAATCTATCCCATAAAGTCAGTACGACGATACAACAAGAAATGAAACGACGCACTTGGTTATCGATAAAGAGCAAGCGCTTTGCGATAGCCTGTTGGACGAGCTCGAGCTCAAACTCGAGATCCTGTCGCGAGAAAATTGTATAATCGTTCTCCTCCACATTGGCGTCAATGCATTCTTGTTCAGCTGCCATGATGGCTTCGAGGCGCGTGGACATGGGTTTGAGGTCCTCTGCGAGCGCCTGAACCGCTGCTTGCTGAGTCTATGACGGTGATCGTCGGCGCTTGTCCGTGTAGATGATGGAAGGCTACAAACCTCGAGAGTTCCCTCTATCGCCGCCAAGTCTGACGAAAACTCCCGTATCTGAGACTCGAACTCGTCGGCGAGCTCTGCGAATCGTTTCTGAAGACGGTCCTTGATACTGTACCCCGAATCAGCCCACAACGAAATCGGAATCGCAATGAACTTACCTTCGAATTTCTGCATTAATCTGTCTGGAGCGCTTCGCTTCAGCCGCTACGAGTGCCTCCCACTGACTCTCGAGAGCTTGCGGACTATGTTCCGGTAGAGGTGCATACGGCTTGAGGCCATACGTTCGCAACTTTGTCTGGATATTCACAAAAAGCGACACGAGGTCTTGTCGCTCTGTGACCCAGGTGCGCTTCGTAGACAATTTATAGTCGTTGAAGAGGGCCGACTGCGTCTTGGCATAGTGATATGTGCCGTCGAATGTCGCAGAGGACCATGTGACGATTTGGGTTCGCATCGCCTCGAGTAAGGCCTTGACGCGCTTTTCGTAATCGTTTCGGCTGATCCAGACGCTCTGCATGAGGTCTGCGAACTTTTCGACTCGTCTTGATACGGTTTCTGCTTGGTCCATGCTGGAAAAAGCGTGGAAATAACTGGCGATATAGGTCATTACGCTCCGTTCGTCTGGTTTGTCGACGGCACACAAGTCTTCAACTTCGAGGATTTGCTATCAACGCGTTGGTCACATATCATGTTAAGTCTCGGACATACAGGAATACCGAGATGGCGATCCGCGACTTCGAATGCGAGTCGAGTGTTGCCAAATGCGTCACCCTGGATGTGGTTTAGTACACATTTCGCATTTTTGTGGTACGAACCTTATCCAGTGAGTCATAGTCGATGAGGTCTGGTCGATGTCGATGGATGAGGGCACATCTATTGAGCGACGTTAGCCACTGGGTGAGCCTTGACACATGGACGCACAGCGCAAGACCGTCTTTCCAGCTATACGAAAAGTCTTGAACGTCGACCTCTTTATACGGTGCAGTCTTTCGTTGACACCACAAGAGGAGACCTTCCTTGGCGGAGAGGCCTTCTTCACTGAGCTGAATGAGTGAAATCATAGTAGGGAGAGAATCGCGTCGTACGTAATGTCGGCAATGGTAAATCGGAGGACCAGTGTCCAGATCATGCCGAGGATGAGCTTGAGGTTGCCGTCGATAATGTCTGGCGGGTGATCAGAACAATGTAGGATGACGAATCGAGAGCTAAATACCCTCTGGACCGATATTTGTGAGTTTGACACCACGACTGGTGATAAACTCGAGAGCCTTGTTGACGTTTTCTGCCTTTTGGACGCGCATACGGGGAACCCTGTTGTATCTTCCGAGAGAGGTATCTCCTGTCAAGATATGAGTGACCCTATCTCCTCTTCAAAGTAAGGCAGCGATGACCCATAATCTCCTGGAATACCATGTCAGTGGTTTCGCCAGCCAGCTAGGTACCCGTACCATGAGTTGGATGAGCCTGACTCCATCTGACAAGTCCGTTACGAGCGAGTTCATTGGTGGGAGTCCATTGGCCTCTAGCTTTGCATTGAGCCTGTTAGAATGTCAGAATGTTAAGTGAATGACCGATCAAAATAGACCATTTGCAAAATGTCTTTTCCTGAATTTCGTCTGGAGTCGCCATTGTGGCCGAGACCAAGAGACAACAAGATAATTGCCTCGCCACTTTGGATCCTGTGACTTGGAGCCGACCGCGTCCCGTCCCATCTGCCGCCCACAGCGTTGAACACGAGTACCCATAGGCCATATATCTCATCTAGGATGATTCCGGCTCAGAGGAAAAAGGTCGATTTGACGGTGCGTGGTAGCGTCATGGAGGATTGATTCGACGAGCGCAAAATTGACGAGTTGCTGCGGCCACGCAGACGATGACAGAAGAGGAGAAGAAGTTGTTTAGACTCTACGGGAAACTTCCAACGCACAAGAATGTCTTGACAAAGGTCCAAAAGGTACCCACTGGTCTCTGCCTCGTGTTGCGATCATGCGCGATGGCTGACCTGCTCTTTGCACAATAACAGGATAGAAAATACTTTGATTCAGGCGATTATGCTCTCTCCAAAGCAGGCGTCGCACCCCCGAGCAACGTCGGGACCGCGATTCCCAGTCCAGAAAAGTATGTACACGTATTATTGATCTACGTGGTTTCTAACGTCTAATAGCATCCCACATGCTTCACCCCCAACACCATTGAGCACCTCGACGAGCGGGACTCCCGCTGCCACTCCAGGGATCCCCATCGCAGGTGCCCATGGCCACGGCTCGTCCCCCGTACGAGAATCACCACTCGCATCCGCAACAAGCTCGCCCCTCGTGACCGAAAACCTCGCCGAAACCTCGTCGTCCTCGCCTTCGTCTTCAGAAATCCCACCGTCCTCTTCACCCACGAGCTCGTATCCAATCTTCACGGCCGAGGGTGCGCATCATCATCATTCACCGCTCAACCCAGCCTCGTCTGGCTCGGCTACCATTACCGCAGACGACAACGCAGAATCAACCAAGGATGACCAGACGACAAACCCTCCGTCCTCAATCGACCTCTCCAAGGTTGTTCCTGGTGTCAACAAGTCAGAGCTGCCCAATGCCGCTACCCCGATGAGCGGCGAAGAGGCCGACACAGAAATGGCCTGAAGGCAAATAGACCGTTATTCGAGATAATCCCCTTGTACAGTAGCGAATGCACATTGCGAATCAACTGCGCTTGATCAATTCAAGTTTGTAACCAAAATGTGGTGTATATATCAGGAAGCACATAAAACGAGTGGGAAGACAAAGATATAACACTGGTCGACAGAGTCCGAGAGACGACGAATACAAAGACTGTGACGATGCGAAATTGTGATAAATGAATTTGCCAGGAGACCAATCTAACTGAGCCTCCGTCGCGTCGACGAAGTGGGTTTCGGCGAGGATGACGACGGGAGTGGCTTATCCTCGAAATGAAGGAGATCATACAACGACGCAATTTGATCGCCCTAGGTTTCAACATGAGCAATCGACAACCAACAATCGTTCGAGCCCAATACACACCTTTTGCTCAAGCACATCAATCACTTCTCGCAAGTGATTTGCCAACAAGTTGCGCTTTGACATGTCCGACGCGGCGTCCATCGCTTTGTATTCGTCTGCAAGCTCGACGTAGATCCTAGAGTGTCATCAGCAATCACATCCAACAGCCACAGAAAAGCATAACTCACGCCTTGTAATGCGTAAAATCATCCTCGAGCTCTCTCAACACCCTTGCGAGCACCGTCTGTGGCGGAATCCCCCTTCGTCGGGCAATGTCCGCAATAAACCGCTCATCCCCATTCACAAACTGGCACTCGCCCGCATCCCCATCCAACAACCTCTCTTCTTCCTCCACGTCTTCTTCTTGATGGTGATGCTGGCGCGCAGAAGAGTGTCGTCGATGAGGATGGGAAGACGAATGGTGCTTCGAGCTCCGTTTACGTCGATGACATACACCACACGTCCGTTCATTGTGCGCAGGCGCAGCGTGGAACAATCGCTCGAGTCGTTCGCCCCGAATCTGCGGCATTGGTACCGGCGACTCTCGTCCTTCCCTCTCGCGTCCATGCACATCCCCAGCCGATGACGCCAACATGGACTTGGGTCGCTGGGAACCGATGCGGGGTGACGGCCGTTGACTATCCGAATCCGGCGTCAACGGTCGTGGAGGTGTGTTCTGAACCTGCGCTTGTCTCGGTGCGCGTTTGGCAAACGTGGTTTGTTGATGGAGCTGGGGTGGTGGCGAACCGGCGGCGCTTCGTTCAATGGACCGAGAGGAAGACGCGTTCATGGAACGCATCGACCTTCGTTCTTCCATCTCTGCTCGAACGCGCTCCAGTTCTGCATCCTGCACAAACCGGTTCCCATTCGACGCCGTCATGGGTACCGTAGGTTGTGGTTCTGCACTGCGCACCGTCGTTGCCGATCTCGACAGGGGTTCGTCTTCTTCCATCACGGCACTCAGCACTTCATGTCGTTCAGCCCTTCGTGGTACCGGCGCAGGCCGTCGGAGAAGAGAATTGTCAAATGTACTTTCCTCTTCTTCAGCGGTCACGTCCACTTGTGGTCGTTCGATGACAATGAGACTCGGTTCATCTCGTTTACGCTCCTTGAGTCCATCTTCGACAACTTCGCGTAAACGAACAACGTCTTCTTGAAGTGTGTCAACGTCAGAACGAAGGCGGTCAATCTCCAAACACTTCATGCGCAACTCGTGCGCATCTTGCTCGCGTGTGGTTCGAAGAGTGTTGATAATGTCGTGGTGGTTGGAGACCTTTTCAGACATGCGCGTAAGGTGCGCCCTTAGACTGGTGACGAGGTCTTCCAGCGCTGTTCTCTCCATGAGTTACCGCCAGAAACAAGAGTGTTACTCACCCTTCTTCTCTTCGACAGCCTCGCGATACCGTCTCTCGCTCTCTCGCAGCGAAACATTCCCTTGGTTGACAGTCGCAGGTGTAATCGTCTTGGAGCCCAAACTGTTGGAGCGAGCACCACGTTCATAGACGTTGCCGTTGCGCGTCAGCTCCATGAGTTTTGTCTTCTCCTGCGCGACCTCTTCTTTGCATGCTTCGAGTTCCATTTCAAGCTCGTTGACTCTTCTCCGACTCGTGGCATTCTCCCGCTCAATGAGGCCCAAACGCTTTGTGAGGTCTTCTAGGGCCTCGGTATTTTTGTCCGCATCACGCGGACGCTTGCTTGTCGACTGGGAGAGCGAGTCCTTTCGGGAAGACGACGCCGAGTGGAGTCTAAATTGCACGCCTTGTTTGCTTGCTGAGGACGAGAATCGTTTAAAAGACGCATCACCCTTGTGGGGCGTCGCGACAGCAGAAGTGATGCCAGTGACATCAGGAAGCTGGACACGCGCAAATGCAGGGAAAACGCGTGCAGGGGCCATGTTCGCTGCTAGATTCTTTGAGAAGGCAACAGCCGGGGCCGGTACTGTCGCTCGAACAGAGTCTTCGTCTAAATCATGTACGACTGGATAACGACGCGATTTTTCTTCGTCAATTTGCTTTCCTAGTCCCCGCGCACGTTTAGTGAATTCGCTGCGACTATGCGATGAGGATTGTTCCTTGTTGGTGCGCTGCAAACACGCCATGCGTCAGCTGGCCATTGTCGAAAAGGCGCATAGTAAGACGTACAGGAGAGTCCCTCAGGATGGATAGGTTTGATGTACCACGGAGGAGTGCGTCCAATGGCCGGTCTGGGTCATACTCGACATTGCTGAGATCGTGCGATTGGTCGCGTGCGCGACCTCGTAGACCTGTACGAAATGTCACAGCGCTTGCGTGATGCGCCATGCTGCTCTTTGTCTCCCCGTCGTCTGCGTCGTCTGCTGGATACAAATGGTCGGGGACGCTGTAATCGCGTGAATGAACGTGGGGATTCCGTGGATACTCGATGGAGAATCGAGAGCCATCTTCTTCTTCGTCTTCCTCGTCGTATGGCTCGAGACCAAGACGGTGGCCGCTATCTTCTGCAACGTTGTCAAAGGAAATGTTGCTAAACAGCTGATGTTCAAGTCTGAGGCGCTCTTGCTCGCGGTCGTCACGTGGAATGCCTGTCCAAGACGTCGACGCGTTCATGGTCGTGGCCAAGTTGGAACACAACACGTGAACAAACTCCGCGCACCACTCGTTCCCCCACCATGCTCGTCACTTTTGTAAGCATTTCGTTAATTCTGCATAATTCATACCGATAATATTCAGATTCGCCATGGGGAATCCACCGATAATCTCCGTCCCGTGTGGGCTGGTGGGTCATTGACAATTAGTGGTATATGCAGTGGATTGACGATGAATTAGGATGGCTAGATGCTCCACTTTCTAATCATGGTCTGTGTTTTCTTACGGCGTGGTCGTCTGACTCACCCCACCAGGCATGAACCAAGCACGCGCACTCGGAGAACATTGGGCTACGACTCCAATCACTGCAGTCTACTGTTCAGATCTCAAACGAGCACACACTACCGCCCAGCAACTCGTCGCACCCCGCAATGCCGCCACCGCCTCGGAGCTCGCACCAGGCGTTGTGCCCATCACGCTTGTCGTCAATCCACTCCTCCGCGAGCAAAACTTTGGCGTCGCGGAGAACAAACCCTGGGCGGCTCACAAGCCAACATCCGCACACGAGACAGAGGAAGAGGTTTATTACTCTATCTATACCCGCCACGAAAAGTTTCCAGAGGGCGAATCCCTCGATGATCTAGCTGAACGTGCAGAAAAAGCCCTCGACGAGACGGTGTGGCCCCATGTGCAGCAAATCCTGGATGACAAGGGTCCGGGACTCGGAAAGGACAATCACATTGTCATTGTCAGCCATGGACTCGCCATTTCCGAGCTTGTCGCTGCCCGTATGTCGACCTGCCCGTTATACTATCATGCTGACCAACCCCGCCTAGTTCTCCGTCGAAGCCCCATCCCACCACCAATCGGAGTATCGTACAGAGGGCTCCAGAACACCGCATGGACGCAGCTAGAGATCACCATCGAACACCGTCCGCCACCAAACGAAGCAGAGAAAGAAGTCTCGAGCATCCACCTCGTCTCTGCCAATAACCATCCGCATCTTGCTCGCGTGGTATGTCATTCATTCCCTTACATGATCTCTCCTGACAAAAGGTATAGAAAAGACAAGCAGGAGGCATCGGCAGTGCCGCACACGATGAGAAACAAACGAGCATTCGTGACTTTTTTGGTGGAGCAACTACAACGAGCCAAAGCTCTTCTTCTCTATAATCACCGTCTAAAAAAGGACCACTCAGAAACCCTGTATTTATGTTCAAACACGGATAACTTACCCGCGCTTCTTCTTGGTCGTCCCCCTGACAGGAGGCACATTTGTCTCTCTCGTCGCCGTGCGCGCATGACGAGTCGACCTTCTCGTCCCGGTCTGCTCCGGCTCAGGCTCTTGTTCCTCAGTCACACTCTCCTTTGTCTCATCTTCTTCTGCCTCTTCTGCATCCGCCGACCCGTCCTTGTCTTTCGACGTCTCGTCGGCGCCTTCATCGTCCGTTAGATCACTCTCACTCTCCTCTTCGTTTGTCGTCGTCGTGGGTGCCGGTGCAGTGGGAGCACTGGCTTTGGCAGCTTTACCCGCACGCGTCGTACGTCCACCAGAAGAAGCAGCAGGAGCAGCCGAGGTTGTCGACGTAACCGCAACAGACTCTTTTCTCGCATGTCCCCTCCCTCCTGTCGTCGTTGTTGTTGCACTCGCAGCCCCAGTCGTCGTGGAGGGTGGTGCAGGCGGCCAACCAGGTCCTGTTGGCAGTTCGAATTCCATTCTGAAAAAAGGGTGATGCTCGAGATCGTCCCATGGCTTGGGATCATCTCGTGCGTGTAACCGCCGCGTCGTCGTCGATCCATTCTCTCCATCCTCATCTTCCTCCTCTTCCTCCTCCTCTTCGCTCTCGTCGTCCTCGTCAGACGAAGATGCTGCGCTTCCTAAAGTGTACCCGGGCTTTTCCTGTCATGTTCGATGAATAGACGAGTCTCTAAGACAAGGAAATGGAAACGTACAAAGCCCTCGAGTATCTCTGGGTTATAAAACGTCTCAAACTTTGTCCACAGTTCCGCAACGGGGACATAGACACCCGTAGTGCCTTGGATATGGTTCGCAATCGCCAACATATGAAACTCGCGATGCAGTCCAACAGGTCGAATATCACACAACGCGCGGAAAAAAGCAGATTCTCCTTGCAACGTCTCGAGAAAGCCCGCAGGAGACTGCGTCGTGTCAGCCTTTTCCACCTTCATCGACGAGTCCGGGTCCAAGTTTATGTCGCCACCTTAGATTCTGTTTCAAACAGACAGTCGTGCATATAAACACATAGATAGGTCACATTCTATAGCCCGCATACATGCCTAAGATCAAACCAAGACAAGGCTGGTTGACGCCGCGAGCACTACAGACGACAGAAGGGTGGAATTAATAGTCGCACATGGATGTATGGGAGCGGTAGACGGTCCGAAACAAGAGAAGGTGAGAGTGCAGCCGCGGGGGGTTTTATTTCGTTTTGGCGACCACCAAGTCGGAGAGCGATGTGTGAAACCGACCAAGGGCAAAGGAAAAAGAATGCGGAATGGCTCGCATCTCTAGAAGAAGAGATACGTAATGACAAACACCAATACGCTGACCATGGCCACTACGTTGAGCGGTACGCCGTCCGGTCGTGTCACGGTGCCAATGACACTCGCACTATCATCGAGACCAGCATCCGTCACACCATCCTGTACGCTCGTCCCGTCGTCGGAAAACACTGGCCGCCGCCTGATACCTTGCGTGTTCGAGTTGGCAAGGAGGGCTTGCAACCTAGCAATCTCCGCATTCGCTTCAGCCAGTTTAGCTGCATATTCAGCGCTATGGTCATACGAAACCCGGGGGATCGTCGTCGACATGCTACCAACACCAACTTGGGCCGTTGACGAGGGCGAGATGATGGGTGTTGGAACGGATATAGCAACGGGTTCGTGTTCTTCATGTGATTGCTGTTCGTGTGCGTTGGCGAATTCGGCACCGTCTGGCGTATGTGCGCGGGGCTGATTACCAGAGCCTGCACCGAGCGAGTTTCGGGGCTCATTATCAAAGACTGGAATTCCGATCCCTGGAGCGTCTGCCGCGTGTCCATTATGCTGCTTGACGGTTTGATATCGGTGGAGGGTCTGCATCGCAGGATGAGTAGACTGGCACAAGAAAACGAATGGTATCCCTCACCGAGTCTCCCTCTGTCATAATACTGGCCTGGTTCAAGTCGTGCTCATCCTCCTCTTGCAGTGCACCTTCTGCTGGGAGGTACACGACACGTAGCTTTTGTTGGTTGAGTTTGATGTGATCGTCTCCAGCCACAGAAGCCCACTATAAGGGATTAGAGTGAATATTAATGGCAACTGTAACATACAAAGTCGTTGGCGTTTAGGTGGTCCTTTTCATCTGGAATCATGGTGCTCTGGACGAGAAACTTGTCCTTGCATTTGAACGAGAGCGGTGGATCCTCCTTCATAGGCTGTAGGAGAACTAGACAGTCTTGTAAGCGAGCCTGGAGACGGCTTGTGCGGACAACGGACGGCGACACGCACCGGAAACATCGACACTCTCCCCGGGCTGGACTCTGCCAGAATTCGGACGCACGCAGTAGAGCTAAAGGCGAATAAATAAACGACAGTCTGGGCATGCAGCGCGGACGAGCTCGTCGCCAACAAGGGCCTAGAGGATGACGAAACAAACCTTTGGTGCCGTCGTCTTGACTTTGAAAGCGATTGGCTGTTCATGAGGATTGTGTACGGTGAGTGTTTGTTTCACAAGCTGGGTGAATGGCTCTAACGGTGCGCCCGTCAGCGAAAACAAGATTCCAAAGCCGGCCGTTGCTCCGCCCGTGGGAGCACGATAAGCAGGAATACTGACTGCGAAATGCAAGTTGCGAAGATGGTTCAAGGTTGACGCTCATGACACAGTCAAAGAGGGCGGCGTGCCTGCCTGGTGGTATCGGTTCAAGGTGTGGTTCCCACTCCGACGCCCCTCTGCACCCCGTTCATTCGCACTAAAACCAGCAATATTTCTGGAGAATAATAGTATGATTTGTGATAGTATCATCAGTCTAGCCACAGTAGACAGTCCTCTTCCTCCAGTCCTTGTTTACCTTGCGCCGCATCTGACATGTCAAGCTCTTCGTCCATCATCGACCACACGTGCTCCTCCGGCGCCGAAGGAGTGACCTAGACCATTCAACGTTGAACCTCGCTGTCCTCGAGGCGCTCACCGGCATGGTGCTTGCATAGTCAGACAGCGTTGCGTCGCCCAAGACATGATACGCATCCAACCCAGCCCCGCTTGCTGCCCATCCTACTGGTAGGTCGCCCAAGTCATGATCAATTACTCCCTCGTATTCGTCCATATCCAAGACGTCTTCGTCAAATCCATACGACTCTTGAGAAGCAAGATAGCCAGGCCCTTGCTCGTCCTCCACAAGCTCGAGGGTTCCCAGAGACGGTGAAGTCGTTTTTGACCTTTTCTACTCCGTTCTAGCAGGATGACGATGATAGCCACAGGACCTACCACTGAAACCTTTGGCTTGAGAGTGCTTTGACAGATCCTCGTTACCGCAAATTGTAATAGCTCAGAGGTGGTAGAAGGAGATGAGAGTGAGTCGACATCAGTCAGCTCAAATTGTTCGCGAATGAGCGCTTGAGAAGCGTAGGCTTGCTTCCTGATTCTCTAATGTACGGTTAGAAGCTCTGGAAATCAAGATATGCATCACTTTGAGTTGTTTCTTGAGCCTGGTTTGGAACACTGCATCTTGCGAAAGCGAGAGCAATCGGTCCACATATCCTCCCATGCGGAGTGCCATGTCCATTTCCCGCGGTATGACCTAGATCGCTCTTGTCATAATAGGAGACGAACGTGAGCACAGACCTCTTTGAGTTGACTAAACCCGAGGGGGAGATTCCTAAGGGAGAAGCTGAGAACGCGCATGGCCCAATGTGATTCCGGTACCTAGGAAGATGCAAGAACAAGAACCTGTGCACTGCATCGTCCAATAATGTGCGAAGCGGGAGAAAGAGCTCTTGGGATTCGGGAAAGGCGATCGGTTTGATGCGATAGTCCAGTGCAATATAGTCCAACGTAGCGTAAGGAGGATGAATAGTGCAAGGAGCGCCCTTCATTTCGACTGTGGGACCGATAAGCGGGTGTGATCAAAGGCAAGAGGTGACCGCACCTGTGAGATTTGTGTCTCCTGTGGGTGTAACAGTCGATATATTCAGAATGTCTGCGTTCTGTGGGAATTTAGAGTTCATCCACTGCGTTGAATCGCAACCCACGGCCAGCAAATGCTGCAACAAGTGATCTCTAAACAGAATAGGTGTGTTTTGCATGAAAACTATGCGAAATGAGCGTGCAACGGTGATTGGAAGCTGCTTTGGCGCGGATTTCGACGGCATCAGGGCGACGCCACCGAGGACGGCGAGAGCATTTGCAGCAAGAGTAAGCTGTGCAGTCTCTGATTTGAGAATAATCCTTGGGAACCGACGCGCGACGGTCATGGGGCGGTCCAAATCTTGAACTCTGCGACAATGCCAGACCCAACGTCGCCGACGATGGGCGAAATCGAGGAGAAAATGGCAGACATCCAGCTGCGCATTGTCAAGCAACAGAAGATGATTGATGGCTACAAGATGATCCGAATGGCCACCAAGAATCCAGAAGTCCTCCGCAAGACCGAGGCTGACGAGCGCGATGCCCGGAAGTCGCTCGAATACTTTAGAGCAACGCTTGCAGACCTCAATCAGCGCCGTGACATGCTCGTCGGCCAGGCAAATGCCCATCCACGCGCGAAACAAGCTGGGGGATACGACTACGACAGACCTCTACCATCGCCGCCCCACGACGGCCAGGGAGGTGCTCCGAATCGTACAAGACAGTATAGCAATTTGGGTACGCACCCGCCCCGCGTGGATTCCCGCTGATGCTTGGTGGCGTGATAACTGATCCCGGCCAAAACGCTCTAGATTTGATCAAAAAGGATACGCCGTACACGCCAGAAAAGATCCAGAAGATGCTCAATCAGCTCGAGTTTAAACTCGAGGTCGAACGACAGTACCAAAAGGGCGTCGACCTCATGCAGCGCGCTTACAACGCAGACGGCGACAAGAAGAGCAGACAGGACGCCTACAATCAAAAGGTCGAAAGCGAAAAGACGATTGCCCTCCTGTCCTCGGCCCTGCGTCGCTACAAGGACCTCCATGTCATTGAAGTCGCCGAAGAAGAGGAAGCTGGTGCGCGGCATCCGCTGCCCTCTCGGACTATGCTGACGTTCGTCACCATCTCAGATCCCACCGCACCAGGCGCCAACATTGGGGACCGCAAGGGTAATCTCCGAAAGCCCCTCAGCGGTACACTCTATGTCACCGTAAAGGGTGCCAAGGATCTCGAGCACGCCCCCTTTACCAAAAAGTCGAGCAAAACTGTCCAAGAGACGACCGTCGTACTCAAGATTGAAGGAAACTTTCGAGCAAAATCGCACCCATCGCGTACAGACAGGTGGAACCAAGACTTTGAGCTTTCGGTCGACAAGGCCAACGAACTAACGCTCGCCATCTACGACAAGTATGGGAATGAGATGCCTTCCCCGATCGGCTTTACGTGGATACGGCTGAGCGACCTTGTGGACGCTCTGCGACGGCAGAAGATTGGTATGGAGGCAGCCGGAGGCAATTGGGTCACAGCAGACGGTGCTATGAACACACATGGCAGTCTCAGCGGTCAAGGACGATATGACGACAATCCCTACCCTCTTGGAGCTGATGGTCCCTTGATGCCACCCGGCGCAATGGGCGGCGGTGGGGGCAGCAGTGGCCAAAACCCCGAAGGAATTGAAGCTTGGTTCACGGTAGAACCTGCTGGTGCGATTCTCCTACAGCTCAACTTTGGTATGTGCGCGCTCTCCCAACAAATGTAGTCTCATCCCCCCTGCAGTCAAGGAGAACGTCCGCAAGCGACCTATGGATGCCGGTCTTGCTCGTCAAGTTGCCTTCCGTAAACGAAAAGAAGTTCACGAAATGAACGGTCACAAGTTTGTGCCCCAGCAATTCTATCAAATCATGCTCTGTGCCTATTGCAACGAGTTTCTGCTCAACGCAACCGGCTATCAGTGCGAAGACTGTCGGTACACGTGCCACAAGAAATGTTACGAGAAGGTCGTGACAAAATGCATCTCCAAATCCAACGCCGATACGGTTCGTCGACCCGTCCTCCGAGCGGTATGAGCTAATCCCCTCTTTACAGGAAGGGGACGAGGAGAAGATCAAACACAGAATACCTCATCGGTTCGAAACACTCACAAACCTCAGCGCAAACTGGTGCTGTCACTGCGGTTATATGCTGCCTCTCGGTCGTAAAAACTCAAAAAAATGCACCGAGTGTGGCATCACTTGTCATAGCACTTGCACGCACTTCGTTCCAGACTTTTGCGGTATGTCGATGGAGACTGCAAATCAGCTTCTTGCCAGCATGAAAGCCATTCGCAATACACAGACGACAAAGAAGACGACTATCAAGCCCGTAGCTCAAGCTGGTCGAAGTGCTGGATACGACAGTCCAGGTGGTTATTATTCGCCGGATCAGCCAAAGGGTATGGCAGTGGGTCCGGCTGGCATCCCGCAGGGGTCGGGCTCAGTCGATCTCACCGGAGGGTATGGACCGGGGTCTTATAGTCAGAGTCCAGTCACTCCTCAGCCTTCACACACGCCACAGTCCATGTACGGCGATACTCGCTATCAACAACCCGCTCCCATGCCCCCATCCATGCCTGGTCCTCCACCTCAGCAATATCCAGGTGCTCCAGGTGGTCTCCCCCCTCGTCCTCAGCCACCTTCGATGCCACCAGGTCGCGTGCCGCCACCGCCACAACAAGAGCCAGGTTATCCTGGAGGGCCGCCTCGCGGGTACGAGCAACCTGCTGCAGGATATAGCGTAAGTAGCTTCCAAAGGTATCCTATTCGCTCTCATCTTTTTTTCAGTCAAGACCCCAACAACCCGTTCCTTTGCGGTCCGACGACTACTCGGCAGGCCAGCAGCCACCACGCCGCTACGATGGTTCGCCGACCGTCACCCGTCCAGGACTTCCACCACAGCAGCAGCAGCCACAAGGATACCCACCACGACAGACGTCGATGGGCGGTCCTGCATCTCCTCGCGGCTCCGTGTCTGCACCGCGCAGGATACGCAAAGTCGGCTTGGACGACTTCAATTTCTTGCCGTGCTGGGTAAGGGTAACTTCGGCAAAGTCATGCTTGCCGAGGAGAAGAAGACGTCGGATCTATATGCCATCAAAGTGCTCAAGAAAGAGTTCATCATCGATAATGATGAAGTGGAGAGGTGCGTCTAAGACTTGTGTGAGTAGGTTTGATGCTCACTTTTCTCGGTAGCACTCGCTCTGAGAAGCGAGTCTTCCTGGCTGCTGCTCGAGAACGGCATCCTTTCTTGCTGAACCTGCATTCATGCTTCCAGACGGAAACACGTGTCTACTTTGTGATGGAGTATGTCAGTGGCGGTGACTTGATGTTACACATCCAGCGCAAGCAATTCTCACTACGTCAAGCCAAATTTTACGCATCGGAGGTTCTTCTCGCATTGGAATACTTCCATAGTAACGGTATCATCTACCGGTAAGTTTTTGGAATACCCTTGGGTGCTCGTCTTATGTTCATGGTAGTGACTTGAAGCTGGACAATATCCTTCTAACTCTGGACGGTCATGTCAAAGTGGCAGACTATGGGTTGTGCAAAGAGGATATGTTCTATGGAAAGACGACAAGCACGTTTTGCGGTACTCCCGAGTTTATGGCCCCAGAGGTAGCCCCACTCTTCATGTATTTTGGACATCACTGACATCGCATACAGATTCTTCTGGAGCAACGCTACGGCCGTGCTGTTGACTGGTGGGCGTTTGGCGTCTTGACGTATGAAATGTTACTCGGACAGTCGCCATTTAGAGGTGACGACGAGGATGAAATATTCGATGCTATTTTGGAGGATGAACCCCTATACCCTATTACTATGCCAAAGGACGCCGTCTCTATACTACAGAAGGTGCTGTTGGAAACTATGTGCTAGAGAAACCTTGCTAACTGATACTAGCTTCTCACTCGTGACCCAACGCGCCGTCTTGGAGCTGGTCCAGATGATGCACTAGAAATTAAACGGCACCCATTCTTCAAGGACGTGAACTGGGATGACGTTTTGAACAAGCGCATTCCGCCCCCTTACTTCCCTCAAATTGTGAGTATGGCAAGATGAGCCTATGCAGCTGCTGACACTCGTACAGAAAGCTCCAGGGGACGTTAGCAATTTCGACACCGAGTTTACGCGAGAGCAGCCCACGCTCACGCCGGTGCACGGTCAGCTAACCGCGAAAGACCAGATGGAATTCAACGGCTTCTCTTGGGTGCGTCCAATTTTCTGCGTGTTTGATGGTTTGTTGATTGATTATAGTGTGCGGCTTGGGCCAACGACGTGTGAGCAATGGACCAGAACCAACTGTGTGGAGAGGACGCTGGGCGACCGTACGCTTGCCGCGATGTAGCATTCTACGACTATTTCCTTTATTTACGACTCTTGAATATGACTTGATTCACTACGTATCGAGGCAGGTGGAACTGCCATCTTCTCCTGACCGCGTCTGCCATTATTGTAACAATGCTCGTGTGGCTATACTGCTGAACAGGCATAAATGAAGCGAGCATTGGTGGCTTATTCTTCTGACTCGGAAACAGAGCCTCCGCCAACAAAAAGGTTGACAATCGCCTTCTCATGGGTTGTTCTTTCCTGACGCGCAGGTAGAAAGAAGGCACTCCCTAAGCTCTCTGAGAGTCTTACCATCCCCGCACCTGTCGACGATCCAAGTAAACACCAAGGCCGCAAACGCAGTCAACCATATGTCGAAGGTCAATTCGCTGGATATGTTTACATCCCAATTCTCCTAGACGCGCCATTCAAAACGCTTCTCAACCAGGTAATGCAAGATGTGCATGCCCAAGTTCAAGGCGTTCATACGCTCTTCAATTCTGGCGCTGTAAGGATCGAGAATGAAGAAGACAACACAAAGAATTCACGCGACGATACGGGAATGGAGATGGATGAAGAGGAGCTGCATTTGAGTCTCTCGCGACCCATTTACCTTCGTGAACACCAACGCGACATGGCGAGGAGACATGTGAAGCGACTCGCGGATACCTCGAATGCGTATGACCTCTTCTCCATTCTTAGATAGATATTGATGCGCACTCTAGGTTCAAGTTTTCACTTGCCTCGTTTACAATCCTGACGAATGATGAGAAGACACGATCATTTCTGGCAGTCGAGGTCGGTGCGGGTCATGCAGAAGTAAGTTTAGCACCATTTACCATGAATCTACTAACAATCAAAGTTTGAAGCCTTCTCTAATGGCCTGAACCCGCTTTTGACAGAACTCCGACAACCATTGTACTATTCTTCAGCACGCTATCACATCTCATTTGCTTGGATACTAAGCGAATCTGAATCTGGAAATGGTGGTTTGTCAGAAGACCTGGCAAAGCAGCTGGATGACAAGTATGGCTCAAGGCTGCGGGACATTATCATGGATGTAGACAAGATCAACCTCAAGATTGGGAAACAGATCCAAAAGTGTCGATTAAAGTAGATTAGTTGACGGATAGACGAGGGCGTTGTACAGCTATACTTTCCACACGAGCGCCGTGTTTCTGAGACTTCCCGTCGATTGGTCAAACAAGTTGATCAGCTGTACATTCTCCTTTCTTCCAGATAGGGTTTCGCTTGGCTGCTCGGACAAAGCTGAATGGACAGCCTCAAAGAGGAACCAATATCGATCGAGCACAAGTAGACTCTCGACAAGTGGTCCCAAAAAGCACCGCAGCACTTGGAACACTTGGATCTTCTGCACCAGCTCTGTCTCGTATGGGCATAAATCCGATTCCATATCTCCCTCTCGTGTCAGGAGTAAAGGTTGGACCCCGTTTGTTACCGATGAGAAAGTGTGTTGTTGTGCAATTCCGAGCTTGATTCGTGCTGCTTTGAGAAAAGTTGGAAAGTCCTTGTATACAGACGTCGCAAGTCTACCGATCCGTCGCGTACGCCAGTCGACATCGTCAAGATTTGGTGGCCACTCTTCTCCCACTCTAGTCACTCTGTCCGCGGTCGCCACACTGTCGGACTTGGACTGCGTTTCCGCCCGATATGCCACAGGTAGCCTGCGGGCGAGGAGAGCACGATAGGCAATTTTACGCATCGATAACGCTGTCGAAGATGGGATCTCAAAGGGCAAATTTGCCCTCTCAGGAGCTGGAGGTGTTTCAAGGGACCACGTCTTTGGTGCCTGTGCAGCCAGATGCAGATGTTGCGTGTCAAGTCTGAAGGGTTCTGCGTCAGCTCTAGCTCCATCTGCATTTCTGCATATCGAGAGTTCGCTGGCGAGTTTGTTGGAGAGCGGGAAACCTGGATTTTCATCAGTTTGGGTAGAATAGGCGACGATGGCTTACTCGAGGTTGTCATCATGTTGTAGCAACATCCCACAACGACGCACCCTACCAGTTCGAACAGCTTTGTACTTGAATTTGACTGAGAAGGTGAGAGCTGACGGCGAATAAAGCTGAGAATAGCGGGAGTCAGGTCTCCACATGCGTGTAAACCGACGACAACGATTGGAAATAGTCCACCATGTTGGGGAAGCAATGTTTGTGATCGATCGTGTTCTTGAATCCATTCATTGATTGTATTTGTCAATGCATCCGCGTCGTCGATGAACACAGTCCGATTTGATACGCTCCCTTTTAAGTCTTCTTCTTTGCCTTTCCCGATTTCTATGGTATCGCGTTTTGCACTTGTGGTCGTTGCGTCGATGTCTGTGGTCTTTGAACCTTGCTCGTTCGTCACCTCCTTCGGCTCATCAGATTCTCGTCCTTTTGAACGCTCCTTTCTTCTCTCCCCCACAGCAGCTGTTGTAGAGTCCAACCAATCCGTACGAGCCAGTGAACCTTTGGTCTGGTTCTCATCCCTATCGAGGGCGAGGACGTGAAAGCCATACGCGGCAAGTGCACGTGAGAGATAACCCTGCATTCCACTCGTTATTTTTCATTCATGCGCGCGTTTCTTGGACATCCTACCTGACCTGCACCAACGTCGACAATGTACGGTCTTCTACTTCCTTTACGAGCCCAATTGTCTGCTTGTGAAGTATCCAGATTATTTTTATTTTTTGATGCATCGAAAGAGGGTCTCTCGGGCTGTTCGGAAGCAGGCGACGGGTGGCAGGAAGAAAATGTAGCGGCGATGTAGGCAGACATGGTCGAGACTTCGTGCAACTTCTTTGGAGAAACACGTGTAACAGATGGCCCCTTGATCTCGTCTCCGGCTCCGACTGTAGCAGGCGACGGCTGTGGGGCGTAGAACAGCCCTCGCGGAATAGCGAGCGCAGTGCATTGGCGTATAAAGGTCGAGATCTCTGGAGGAACCTTTTTATCCTCTCTTCTGCTCGTGGTATCGTCTATCTACATCGTATCAGACATATCCACTGCAGTCGTTCTAAAAGCAGTGCGCACCTTGCTGGTATGCTTTAACAAAGGTCACCCATAAATCTTCTGATGATTTCTCATCATTCGAACCAGTTTGGCTGAAACACCCTTGGACAAGGGACGGGAAGATGCCAGATGTTGTTGCTTGATTTGGATGTGCTCGTGCGAGGTTGCTATGCTCCTGGAGAAAACTGACAAGTTTTATCATATGATCATCTTTGACGTGTATTTGATGAGTTGTAGATGCCATGGCAGAAAATCGTTAATAGAAGTGGAGACCAGAATTGGTGTTTATTTTGGCTGGCATTTGACAACACGTACATCCCATCTGACATTGCAAGAGAGTGAAAAACATGAATCAACAACCAAAACTCTTATCTCCACATCTGCCAGTACACTCGACCCTTAAACGATCAGCCTATGTAGTCTTTTTCCACATAGCGCTCTCTTTGCACTTTGCCACGAGCTTCTTGAGCTCCTGCGAACGCGCACGGGTGGTGACAAGGAGCGCGTCAGGCGTATCGACGATGACAAGGTCATCTACACCCAGACATGCAACAAGTCGCTGCGAGAGTGGGACGACGATACCGCCAGCGACTTGGTGGTGAATCACATAGTTCGAGTCGCCGAGGATGGCCATCTCATTGGACTCTTTTGGAAGCAGATCGGAGAGCGATGAAAAGTCACCCAAGTCGTCCCAACCTGAGAGGATAGCGTGTTAATACAGATAGTGGAAAGGGAGGAAGAACAAGGAGGCTCACCAAACGTTGCAGGTACGACCGCTACTCGTCCAATCGCCGCGGCACGTTCAGCAACGGCATGATCGATTGCAATCTTGGTCAATCCACTCCAAACCTCTCCGAGTACCTTTTTCCGCCTCTCAGCTGCCACATCCTCCTTTTCACCTTCGAACTCCCACTCGCTCGCAATCCTGTCGAGACCCTCTGCGAGCTCTGGCTCGTACTTGCTCAAGAGCTCCATGAGGACCTTGGCTTTGACGACGAACATGCCGGCATTCCAGCGATAGTTTCCACTCTGGAGGTAGCTTGAGGCTGTTTTGGCGTCTGGCTTTTCCTTGAAGAACTCGACGACGCGTGCGTTTGGTGCGCCCTCGAGGTGCAATTTGTCACCCAAACAGATATACCCAAACCCTGTCGCAGGACCACTGGGTGCGATACCAATCGTGACCAGGTAGCCAGCTTTGGCAGTGTGGACGGCTTCTGTAACGGCCGAGTTAAAGGCCTCGGTACCACTGATCATATGATCTGCGGCAAACGAACCCAGAATGGCCTCTGGGTCGCGTCTAGCGAGGACGGCAGCTGCGAGACCAATGGCGGCAGCGCTCTCCTTTGGGCTCGGCTCAGCCAACAAGTTTTGTGCGAGCAGGTCGGGAAGTTGCTCTTGTACGGCCGGTGCATGTACAGAGCCAGTGACGACCATGAGCCGTTGTGGGGTGGTGAGCGGGAGCAGACGGTCCCATGTACCCTGGATCAACGAGCGTCCGGTTTGGGTGAGGTCGAGAAGGAATTTTGGGCACGTCTCGCGCGAGAGGGGCCATAAGCGTGTTCCTGCACCGCCAGCAGGGACAACGGCCCAGAAATTGTTTAACGCAGCTTGACGTGCAATGAGTGTGGCAGATGAGGTATGGGAAGCGAACTGAGGTGGTTGCGGAACATAGATCGATGGGTGTTCTGAAGGCTGGAGGAACGGCGAGCGAATCGCTTGGAGGTTGGGTGAAGGCGGGACGCTGATGGCAGAGTTTGACGCATTGGAGCGGTTCTACCAGTGATGTTGTCAATCAGTGTAAACGGGAGACATTGGCCTAGACGGACCATAGACTCTTTAATCTGACGCTCGAGTGTCGCATTTTGTGCACGCAATTCCGCGGTTTCTGCACGTAGTTCGGCAACTTCTGCGTTCTAGTCTCCATTCAAGGATATGGAAGGAATTAGACAACGAGCGGGGTTCAGTCAGAGGCGACGGACGAAGGAAACGACAGACGGATTTTTCAACGACGGCAAGGATCTGTGCAAACATGGCTTCAATTCCCAAGCCCTGGCCACCTCCGACGCCGATGATGCCCCTCGAAGCGGAAGCAAGGGGTGTACTTGGGCCGTCTGTCGGAGTTGAAATGTTCATTGTGGTGTAGAATAAACGGGTAGAGAACTGTGTAGCAGAGTGGCTGAGACGAGTAGAAACTTGCAGCGGTTGTGGGCGGGTCCAAAGAGCTGGCTACGTGGACGCGACGTCGGCTCTGTCCGCCAAAATAAAGGACGGACTACGGTAGCCAGCAAATGTCTAATGTCCGCCCGGCGGCGCTGGCGGGACCTCGGGTCTATTTCTCACAAACGTTCTGCTGCGGACGTGACTAGTCCCCTATTTCTTTCTCCATACAACTAGTAGCTCTCGTCCAACGTGACTATCCTTGCTGACTTCTGGAACCCTCTCAAGTACAAGTTCCCACCCGTCCCCAAGTGCCTCTACATAGTGCTCCTTACGCACGAAGAATGGCGGTCCGTAGTCCTGCGGCGGGTCGATTGGAAAGACAAGTGTAACAAGTAGCCCTCCTGATTTGATGAGGGCGTTCATTTGCTGTCCCCAGTGCGCTCGTAGCCTAGGTGGGATAGCAACAAAGAATCTCCACCAACTCATCAGACACACGGCTTGAGAATAGTCCCTCAGACGTACGTGTAGTCGTAGACTAAATCCACCTTTTCAGTTTCGGGGAAGGCCAATGTAAAGAAGTCTTGCTCCTTGAACGTCACGTTGCCTGGCAAGACAGAACTAGTAGCAAGCAATCTAAGGGTGACCCGTCAGATCCCACGCGTCTTGTGAATGCACGGTATCTACTCATTCGCCGCGTCAAGTGCGCTCTTAGAAATGTCGACGGCAAGGACATCCAAACCAAGAGTGCTGGCGATAAAGATTGGGTCATATCCCTACAGAATTTAGAGTCTTTCAATATGAGTCAGGATCAGAGCCCGTACCCTCCCACATCCTGGGACAAGGGCCTTGCCTTTTCTCGGGAATTTGCAGAGTTGATCGTCGTCTGACGATTCCAGCAGGTCCTTTAGGGGTGGCTGAACACTCCCAAGATTGTCCCAAGGAGTCACATTGTCCTGCCTACGAATTGCCTTCAATTTATTCGTCTAGAACCAACTGAGCATGAGAGCTGACCAAGCTTTTTCCCATCCGAGCTCATTATGTTCGCTGATGAGAGCACGAAGTCGCTCTTGCACGGTTGACATTCGTTTCTGATTCCTTACTCGGTAATGGAGGAGTTCAAGCCAGATTCCTTTGTTATTTCAACTATTTCTTCTTCCAAACTACTAAGACCTCTCGTCCCTTGTGACTCTCGATGCTAATCTCTGGAATCCGTTCGAGGATGATATCCCACCCAGTGCCCAAAACCTCTTCATAATCCTCCTTCCGAACCGCGTACGGTGGGCCCCATTCTCTCGGAGGATCCACAGGATACACCAGTGCGACAATTAATCCCCCAGGCTTGACAAGCGCGTTCATTTGCTGGCCCCATTGCGCTCGGAGTCTAGGCGGAATCGCACAAAAGAAACTGTCCAGTTTGTGGTTTAGAGACACCAGACAGACGCTTATTTTGCACACTCACGTATGTTCATATATCAGATCAAACTTTTCTTCCTCGCGCACGCCAAATGCGAAGAAGTCTTGAGCATGGAACGTGACTCGTCCAGGCGCGACGCTTCCTGTCTTCAGCAGCAGCCTAAACGCAATTAGATTGATTTTGGTATATAGAAGAAGACCCACTCATTTGCGGCGTCTACCGCACTTTGCGAAATGTCTACAGCCAGAACATCCAGCCCGAGCGTACGTGCTATGAAGATAGGATCGTATCCCTGTAAAACAATTACTACTCATAACCTCTCTTGATCTGAATCAAGAGTACGTACCCTTCCACATCCAGGAACGAGTGCCCTTCCCTCGCCGCGTGGAAACTGGACGAGCTTGTCGTCCTCTACGGAGACAAGCAGGTCCCGGAGAGGGGGCTGGACGTCCCCAAGCCCATCCCATGGTGTTACATTATCTTGCCATGCCTTTTCCCATCCATCTTGTTCGTGCTCGCCGAGTGCGAGAAGTTGCTGATGGGCTGTACCTACATTCGCTGACATTTTTCTCAATGTTGCCTCTTTGCTTTCGTCTCTACAGTGTATATAAACCTAAGACCAAGAGGGTTCTCTCCTTGCTAATCTAGTTTGTGACTGACATAATCCATCGGTCGCGGTGCTTGGTAAGAGACGACTGTATTGGGGACGCTAGCAGGCAGACAGAAGAAGAAAGAAAAGAGCTCCCCAATGACTAAACGGACCAAAAATGATGCCATACGCAGGCGGCGACTTGATTTCTTGTCGGAGTTCCGACGGACGTCCTCTGGAACCAATTTACCAGACTCGCGTCTCGAGCAAGAGGTCCCCTTGGCCTTCGAGTCCTAAGCACGCCTTGAGGAACAACTCGAGAGCATTGCGTTGGCGGCCGAGTGCGTTCACGACGTCTGTGCCAGGCTTGACAAGTGGTGCCTTGAGCATGTAGGACAGCAAAGAGAGCACAGTGTACAAAGGCTTGAACTCTCCTCCTTGGCCATTGGCGTCGACACAGCGGTACGAAATGCGGGTCAAGAGCTCGGCGAGGATGGACAGGTCGAGGATGAGCGGCGAGGCCAACAAGGAATCCTAACAGAGGTGAGAAATAATAAACCCGAGAGAAAAAGGAAACATACCTCGCACTCGTTGAAAATGTTGATCACGCTCCGACCGCCCATGCAAATCTCGGAATAGTATTCGTCAATTGCACGCTTGCTGTCGCCCACGGCAGGCATATACTTGATGACAACAAGATGGTTTGGATGCTCGCCCTTCTTCTCTCCCTCTCCCTTGGGCTTGTAGAGCAAATGGTTGGCACCAACCATGTCGTCGACGACAGAGCTCTTGCTAATCTCCTTGCTCTTGAACTGGGCCTCGGCACTCAAGTTGCGACCATCATTGTTACCAAGATGGTTGTAGCTTGCGATGCTGAGTGGCTTGATACCTGCGTTGACCAAAAACTCGGCAAGGACCGACTTGACTTTGGTTTGACCCGACTTCAAGTCGTCACCACCGATAAACGACTGGTGCTCCTCTGCCAATTGAATACAACCGGGCACAAACGTGTTCTGGGGTGCACCGTTAATGAAGGGCGCACCCTCGAGGATGCTGGCGACGGCGAAAAGCGTCGAAGGCGATACTTCTTCGTGGCTTTGCTCGATAGCCTTGAGCAAGTTTGCCGCCGTATCATTGACACCAGGGAGGATCTCCGAATAACGTTCGGTGTTGGCCGTCCAGAAGACAACGACAGAGTCCAACGAGTTTGACTGCTTAAACTCGCGAATGTCCTTGCGAATCTGCTCGAGATGGGCCTGCTTATCCTTGCCAGGAATCAGATTATCGGCGCGCTCTTCTTGGTTAGCGGCGATAAAGTCTGGGTAGTAAATGCTCGGCAGAGGGCGGATAGAGGCCATGAGAGGGGCGATTTGGCGTTGCAGGTCGTATTGGAGCACCTGGGCGCGTTGCATGGCCTGGTCGAGCGGCAAGGACGAGATATCCCATCCACCGATAACAAGATCGTTTGGATGAACGGTAGGGAGGACGGAGGAGAGAGGAACATGGACGTCGGATCCGGTAGAGGGGTCGACACCAAGTCGGAGGGTCGAGGCTCGCAGGATGGAGCCAATGTAGTTTGGCGTCTGGAGACCCTCTTTGGTGTGCCAGTGAATGTTATGCTTGTTGGCGAGGATGGTAGCAGTAAGTGTCGTGCCGTTGTTGCCGCCAAGTCCGACCATCATCAACCTAAGGGTCTATCAGTAAAGAAATATATCAGGGTGACGACGCTTACCCCATGCGAGGAACCTTGCGTTGGGTGCGGAACTGATACGTCTGGACTTTTGGTGTGACTTTGAAGACACCATTGTCATTGATGACGGTCTGGGTGTGGTAATCATACGTCGAGGTGATGTATTCGTCCGTGTAGACAGTCTTTTCACTCTCAACGACGATGGGCGTATCGTTTCTAGCCGCGGTAGGATGGATATGAGTGTTGGGGGTGTTTATGCCGCTCTCGAGAGGAGTCTGAGGAGCCATGCTGAAATCAGTACGCTATGAGAGGAGTAGCTGAAGTGTGCTTTGTGCCGCGGTGTCTATTGTGAACGCTGCTGAGCTGGTTGCTGTACATCCACCGGGGGGGAAGGATGAAAGATGGTTGAGTCCAAGTTGCGAGTTGACCCGGTCCACACGGTTCCTGCTTATATACCCATCGTTCGATCCTTTCTCATCCTTTTTTTTCTTGGGGAACTTGTCCCTGCGCCTCGTGGCGTATCAAGATGGACTCGATCCTCATTGCGGGCCTCGCGGTTGCTACTTTTTTGTCGTATAAACTGCTCTCCAAGTCCTCTGATAATGCCTTGCTTCCTCTGCCGCCTGGACCGCCGCGAGATCCGGTTATCGGCAGTGCACGCTATTTCCCGACCGAGCGCATCGGCGAAAACCTGTACAAATGGCAGAAACAATACGGTCTGTCTATTATCTCGTAGATAACATCTGCAAACTTTCTATCAGGCAACCTCGTCTGCGCGACGCTGCCCACTTCAGCAATGATTCTTGTTTACTCGAATGATATCGCGCAAGAACTCCTGAGCAAGCGCCCAAACACGACTTCTAATAGGTCTATTGGCTATTACATTACCGATATGTACGCTTGCCGCGGCAGTTTCTGAGTACTCACCCATTTATCGCAGGATGGGCTGGAAATGGTCACCCGCCTTTGCCCAACCAAACCCACACTATGCAAACCAGCGCAAAATGCTCAGAAGAGGCATCGGTCCTCAGCGCATTGCGACTCATAACCTTGTCATCGAACGCCAGACAAACGCTCTTCTTCTCAAGCTTTCTACTTTCCAGGGTTATGTACCGCCTGTTATTATGAAGTATGTCTCTGTCTTCTCTATTGAGCAACTGTCCTTATATCACTCACAGTGCTATGGGCCATCTTGTCATTGAAGTCACATACGGCACCGAAATTGAACACCATCTCGGTAATCAGCTATCTACCCTGAATCAAGAGGCAATGGAAATCATCCTCAAAGCCTTTTATAAACTCCATCTCGTCGACGTCTTTCATTTTTGTGCGTCCTCTCTCCCGCCAGCTGGACAAGCTGAATGCTCATTGGGCTAGTGCGCTTTATCCCAAGTTGGATGCCAGGCGCTGGATTCAAGTATGTTTTCGTTGGCTGCATGTGCCTTGTGTCTGACAGTCTCCAGACGTATCGCCCAACGCTCCCAGTGGCTGTCAAACTACCTTCGCTACGAAACCTTTGCGAAAGTGAAAGAGCTCTATGTATTATCTCATAATTTTCGAGGTTGACCGTCATTCTCATCATGTCACAGAACGCCGGCAAGCTCGGTCCATCGCTCGCCACTGACCTCCTCGACGAGTTTGGGACGGACGATTCAGATGTGATGGACGCACTGGCAGTGCTTTACATCGGTGCGCTTCTCTCATCTCCCAAACATTCTCCTTCTCATGTGAAAACGTGTAGCCGGCTCAGATACGGCAAGTGTCACTCATTCTTGATAAGATTACAACGATAACCAATCACAGACGACTGCGGCCATTGTCGCTTTCCTTCATGCTCTCTATCTGTTCCCAACCGTTGCGACCAAAGTTTACGACGAGATCAAGGCAGTCACGCTCGACGGCCAGCGGCTATTGACCGTTCCAGATCGACAACATCTTCCTTACACTGAAGCCGTGTGGAAAGAGAGTATGCGCTGGAATCCATTCATACTCATGGGTATGGAACTCAAAAGGCAGAGGTAGACCTATCCACTCATGGTTCGTGCCGTAGGTGTCCCACACGTCAATATTCAGGACGAATATATACAAGGCTATAGGATTCCAAAGGGATCCATGATCCTTCAACACACTGGCTTCATGCTCACCGACCCAACCATCTGGAGGGACCCAGACGTCTTTAGGCCCGAAAGGTTCCTTACAGACGAGAACGCGAGCGAGTTACCCAATCCATTGGGGATCATTTTTGGCTATGGGATGCGGTATGTCTGTCCCATAGATGCATGGGATGACTATTAACGGAGAGATTAGAATCTGTCCCGGAATGTACCTGGCGGACCGTGCGGGTTTTCACATAGCCGCGTCTGTGGCCTCTGTATATCGTATTCTGCCGCGCGAGGGAAATGTCGTGCCAAGTGTAGACAACCTCGAATATACAGATTCTCCATTCAGGCTCGTCTCCTTTTCTCGAAACTAATCCGCGGCTGATCCGTTACATGATGGATAGATTGCCCACAAATTTCGATTGCCGCTTTATTCCCCACGATAAGCAGGCACAAGACCTCGTAAAATCAATCTCTCTCCAACAATGATGGCAATCCCAGAAAGGATTTCTCCTGTCTAATCGTCTCATTTCGTCGAATCTAGCCGGAGGATGTTGTACGTGTATCATAGTCTATCAACTGTCATGCCTTGTCCTTCACCCCGTGTGGCAACCAACCACTCTAACCTTGAACCCGACCGTTAACTTCTGTCTTCCAACGTATTGTTACTGTCGTCTGAATCTCGAAGCTCTCCGTCATTGAAGGAGGATTCGAACCTCTGATCTTCCACTTCACGCCCAAACACTGTAAGTCGAACCTTTCCGCTGAGCCAGACGGGCTGGAATCACTCTATCTGCAATTTATCTAATGAATTATGCGCATTTTCAATGCTGCGAGCGGCAGATGGGACAAATGCGGTCGGCTTCAAGCCACACATCCAAAGTGGCGAGGCAATTATCTTGTTGTCTCTTGGTCTCGGCCACAATGGCGACTCCAGACGAAATTCAGGAAAAGGCATTTTGCAAATGCTCTGTTCTAATCAGTCAAGCCATTCAACATTCCAACAGGCTCAACGCAAAGCAAGAGGCCAATGGACTCCCGCCAATGAACTCGCTCGTAACAGACTTGTAAGATGAATTCAGACTCATCTAACTCATAGTACGTGCATCCAGCTGGCTAGCGACACCACTGACCCGGTATTCCATTTCATTCGTCTCTGACTTCACATATTTATCTAAGAGGAGGACGTAGACGTGATCGGTCAGCAACTGGAGCAAGAATATGGTGCCACAACGTTCGAGGCATTTATCAACCTCCTCGTACGTATGATGACCGAGATATCACGGCGAAGACCCAATGGGCATACAATAGGCTGAGATCACAGAAAGATTAGACGTCTGCAGGACAGCTACGGGAAGCCTTTCGAGGCATCGCACAAGAAAAGATTGGGATCCTTGTCCTGGCGACTTTACCGGGCATGCTCCCGACATCTTGCGCCACAACAGAACCATGTCACGGAGATGGATCTCCAACTTGCCCAGCTATTCTACGGGACTACTATTCCACGGGACTATTGCGTTCCGCACGCAAACGATGCCCTCGTTGAACGAGGGTGCCTATGTCGATGGGGATGGTGGCGGTCGAGGGACGGAGAATGGTGCGATTGAACCCAAGTTTGATTATGAGCGTTGGCTCGACGAGGCATTCCAGCCCAGCTGAGCACCATCACACTGACGAATGGGCTCGTCTGGCGAGGAGAGCGAGGTCAGGTTGTTATATTAGCATGCAATTGTAGACATAAGATTCATGAGTATTGAAAACAGCCTGGTTTTCGTCCCCAGATAAGGCGCGTTCAACCCTTTGAGGATCACGCGTGTTGACCATCCAGCCCAGATTTCTGATATTCCTACGAAATGGCAACCTCACGGTGTTCTCAAACAGTCATTAGATCTCACTTTTTGACACCGACGCTCTTCAGACTTGCGGGTGGTGGTCGATCAATTTGTTGGCGGACCAATAATGTTTTTGAGGACGGGCGCACGAATTTCTGGCGTGTGTTAGCGAGTCGAAGGATACCCCCCCCCCCTTCCGTTGTCGCTCCGGACAGGTTGCGGCTATAGATGGCTGCTCATGCGTCTGCAGTTTCATAGATAAACTGTGTGAGGTCGATGTATCACTGAGGTCGAAAGAATTGAAAAGAACGGAAGATATTGAAGTGTCTAAGGAATTAGAAGGTACGAGAGATGAGCCACTGTCGCCCGACGAGGATCCATTACTGATGTTCCAATCGGGATTTGAATGTTCACAGCAGTCGCTATCTTGGGCTGTCATTTCTCTTGGGCGGGTTCAAGATATTTCAAGCTCCACCGACCACCCACGACCACCCATGTCCTGGAACTACTGTAGGGCTGAACTGTAGTTTGTGGAATAGACAGTGACGCATAACGGTTAACAGAGCAATAAGCTAAACCTCTTAGAGGGCACCGTACTGATTCTGAGACATTGAGCAAACCGATAAACTGGGCATTATTATTCAATTGGCTTTAAGTATACTGTCTGTACACGTCAAAAGGTAGCAATAAATTGCTCCTTCTCCATCTGACCCTCGTCGTCGGATCGTTCGCCATCGAGTGAATTGGAACTAAGCAATGCCCTGACGTTCGTACACATTAGCATGTATCGTTTGACAAACCCGCACAAGATTTACATCCCTTCAATGAAGTTTAGGGGTTCGCCTAATGATTGCAGTGGTTTCTGGCTCAGACAATGAGACGCGTACGGATGGTGCAACAAGGCTTTTTGAATCAAACGACAATGTATCTCACTATGGTCTTATACCAAATCCTGTGTTCAGTGCAACTCGATACAATAAGTAACATAAGGCGAGAGAAGCGGTGATTACGTCCGATTATCGGGGAGCAAACGCCTGCTCTACGAGCTGCGATACTTCCTTCATATGCTGAGCCTGTAAAATTCGTCAGTGATCCTGATACAGCAGCGACTAGAGACTGGGAAACGAACCTTGCTACCAGTGGCGACAGAGCTGTACGGTGGTCGTCCCGCATAGTATGGATACTTGCCCTTGTGATGCTCCGTTTCATTTGCAGCTGTCAAGATGCGCGTGCCCACATACGTCCAAGCGCCGCAGTTAAGTGGCTCTTCTTGGCACCACATCAAGTCGGCATTTGGATATTTGTCAAGGTGGGGTGTCAACTGGCGGGTAAATCAGTCTTCCGATCTCTTTGAGCTCGAGAAGGGGCTTTACCAAGTCATATGGGAACGGCGAAAGTTGTTCAAGTCGCGAGATTGCAACGTCCCATGCCTGTCGAGCCTCACGCTCTTTGAGGAGAGTGTAGTAGACCTGCCCGGTGCACAAAATGTGTCGACGAATCTCCTCGGGGGCAACGAGTTGTTCTGGGTGCGGCTCGGGCAGGTATCGCTGGAAGTGCGTCTCACCAGTCATCTCGCTCAGATCCGAACGCGCTTGTGGGTGACGGAGGAGAGACTTGGAGAAGAAGAGAATGAGTGGCTTGCGGAATTCACGGTGAATTTGTCGGCGGAGAACGTGGAAGTAGTTGGCAGGTGTGCTAGAATAAAATAAGTACAATGACCACCAGCTGACCAAGAAAGCAACGTACGTAGGATAGACGATCTGCATGTTACAATCTTGATGCTGCCTTGCCAACTTCTCTGGTGGCGGGAAGATGTGCGGATGATCGTCGCAGAGCTGCAAGAAACGCTCGATACGTCCAGAGCTGTGTTCTGGTCCTTGTCCATCGTATCCATGAGGCATGCTCATCACCAAACCGGTGCGCTGGAGCCATTTCCGTTCACCAGAGGCGATGAACTGGTCGATAATGACTTGGGCATTGTTCGCGAAATCACCGAATTGCGCCTCCCAGATGACGAGACTTGCAGGCGAGACAAGCGAATAGCCGAGCTCGAATCCAAGCACACCGTACTCGGACAATGAGCTGTTACAAGCCGTGAATGCCGCCTGATCTTTGCCCAAGTTCTTCAATGGAACATACTGTCGCTCCGTCGCTTGATCATGGAGCACCGCGTGACGTTGACTAAAGGTACCACGCTCGACATCTTGACCACTGATACGGACATCAATCTTTTCGAGCACAAGTGCACCCATCGCGAGGGCTTCGGCAGTCGACATGTCAATGTTTGTGCCTTCTTCGACCGTCTTGCCTCTTGTTTGCAAAATGCGTGCAAGGTTGCGGTGCACATTGAAGCCTTCGGGGTATGACGAGATGACCTTGCCAATGTGTTTGAGCGTCTCCTCGGCTACGCCCGTCGGGAGGTGAGGTAGATTGTTCTCTGCGAGCTCCTTTGGAGACGGGAAGTTGGGCCACTCGCTTGAGAGCCACTCTTTGGGACTTGGTTCGTACGTCTTTGCGCCAGCAGCTGCCTTTTCCAGCATTCCCCACACCCACTTCCGGTGTTCCTCAATGTCTTGGTCGGTAAACGTTTTTTGTTTGGAGAGGAAGTTGGTATACTGTGTGAGTGGAGTCGGTTGTTTTTCGATGGCCTTGTACATGCGAGGCTGGGTGAATGATGGCTGATCAGTCTCGTTGTGCCCATAGCGGCGGTAACAGATAATGTCGACAACAACGTCCTTCTTGTATTTGGCCCGCCAGTCAGCTGCGAGTTGGCAAACAAACGTGACGGCTTCGACATTATCTCCGTTGACGTGGAAGATGGGAGCGTCGATGGCTTTGGCGATATCTGAGCAATATGGCGTGGATCGCGAGAAGCGAGGGTCGGTTGTGAAACCAATTTGGTTGTTCACAATGAGATGGATTGTTCCTCCTGTTCCGTAACTTGGGAGATTGTGGAAGCCCATCGTCTCATAGACGACACCTTGTCCGGCAAACGCGGCGTCACCGTGAAGCAAGACGCCCAGAGCGGTATTGTGGTTAAACTCGTCGTTTTCGAAATGTTGAATGGCACGTGTTTTGCCAAGGACGAGTGGGTCTTCCGCTTCCAAGTGACTAGGATTGGCGACGAGGGAAAGACTGACGCGCTTGCCAGAGGGCGTCGGTCGGACATAGTTGGCACCCAGGTGATACTTGACGTCTCCTCCGGCATCCTCCCCGTGTACGCCGCCGCTAAACTCGTTGAGAATGGCCTCGATAGGCTTTCGGATGACATTGGCGAGAACGTTTAACCGTCCTCGATGCGGCATGCCCATGATGACGTGCTTGACACCATGCTCTACGGAGCGGTCAATGAGCGCCTTCATGCCGGGGATAAGCGACTCGCAGCCTTCGAGACCAAATCGCTTTTCGTTGGGGTACTTGCTGGCGATAAACTTTTCAAACATTTCCGACCACATCAGTCTGTCGAGAATCATGCGCTTTTCTTCGACGCTATAACTCCATGGGTTTGGAATCTCCACTCGCTCCCTGATCCAGTCGCACTGTTCCTTGTCGGGGATGTGAATGTACTGATAACCGATGGCTCTGCCTATCCAGAGATGAACGATGATTATAAAATCAAAAGGGAGAATGCTTACAGTAGACACGCTTGCATGTCTTGATAATATCCTCGAGGGTCATGGACGAAACGCCATTTTTGGCAAAGTGGGGGAGGATACCTGGACCAAGGCTAAACTCCTTTTTAAGGTCTGCTTCTGTGAAGCCATAATGGCTGAGCTCGAGCTCGATAGGTCGGGCAGGGCTGAGGTCGGGATCGAGGATACCGAGAGGATCCAAGTTGGCGACGTGATGGCCCCGGACCTGGTATGCTCTGACGAGTAGCTGGACTTTGAGGGCGTCTGTGAGTTCCTTGTCGCCGTGCATGTGGAGGGTGGGTGCTCCACCCGCCGGCTGAGGAACGTTGTGTAGGCTTGGAGGGAGTTGAAAGGCCTGGTCGCTGCCGAGTCCCTTGTCGAGTGCAGAGAAATAAGCATTCCAGGAAGCATGCACAGACGAGGGATCCTGTTTCCAAGACCTGTACATTTCCTGAGCGTAATAGTTGTTCGTCCCGTTTTCAAACGTCGTGGCTGCGGTGGCAAGACAGCGCAGACGGGTGCGGAATGCAGCTGTTGGATTGCATCGGAGTGCAGACGACAGCTGCCGTGTACACCGTCGAGCCAGCATCTTTTACAGACTGGAATCGTCATCAACACTCGTCGTCGGGTTTATAGCCAAACAAGAGCACAAAATACATACCAAAAGTGGTGGAAAACTGCTGAAATAAAGAGTGGAGACCTTTGCAGTGGTCGAGGCAGAGTCCAACTTGGAGTCGACCAACCCGCTTTCACATGTCCGGCGACCGTCAACAGCTTCTAGAACTGTTATATTATTCGATTCACTCGTTAGTTTGCCTTCCGACGGATTTCCCGTCCGCGCCTCTCAACCTTCCAGGATTCTGTTCCATCGTGGAGTATACGCCCGCGAGGAGTTTGACATCGTTTCCAAGTATGGAGAAACACAATACGTCATTGCAGACGCGACTACACGTCACTACATTGACGCCTTTTTGGCTCAGGTCAATGGTACGCATCTCCTCGGCGTTGCACCACACTAACTGGTTACTTAGCATGGCTGGACAGCGGCGAGATTACTCATTTAGTCGTCATCATCCTCTCCAAGGACGATGGCAGGACGCTAGAGCGATGGACATTTGATGTCACAACAAACCCGCATAGTCCGACTCTCGTCCCTGCTATCACAAAGAACCTGGTCATGGACATTGCTGTTCCCAATGTCTTGAAGCAATTGACCGCTGCCACCACGTTTTTGCCCGACCTCCCCACTCCCGCCGTCTTCAAACTACAGGCCTATGTCATGCCCGAAAACGAAACATCCCTGTCTCTTCTTTCAGACGAATGGGTCGCTGTCGATGGCGTTCATCCCTTTGGTGAAGACGTAGAGACGCAGCAGGTACGAACCCCCTTATCAAAGTGTCCATTCTCTCACTCTCTTATAGACTTTATTGCGTGGAGTAAAGACGACAGACAGAGAAGTCAACCTTCTTCTTACGGCTCTAGACGATTGATTCCCGTGGCCGGTCTTTTTTACACGTAGATTCTCTGTATACAAGGTCATCCAGCCCTTTGGTACATCTAATAATGTACATTCAACACTCATTTTTCATTTTATCTGATTCGAGCGAACAGCCGCCCAAGCGCGACGCCACTTGAACCTCGACTGCCATCTGCCTTCCAACGACTGACCGCCAAAATGATGGGAGGAAGCAGAATGGGACTGGGTATGCGCCCAACACAATCCGTTTATACAAACTCTCCGACGGGACCTTCGTCGCAACAGCTTACGCTCTTTGTGGGCTCCATCTCACCCGGGATCACAGATGCATTCCTTCAAGCTCTGTTCGCGGTATTCCCTTCTTTCCTTGTACACGTTTGGCTGGTTTGCTGACGCGCTCCAAGGCCTGTGGGCCCCTGAGGAGCTTCAAACGACTGTTGACGCCCATCGGAAAGCCTCAAGGCTTTGGATTCGCAGAGTTTGATCAACCAGAAGCGATGGTACGCGCAATAGAGCTCCTTAATGGTACGGAACTGCCATCACAAGAAGCGGGACAACCGAACAAGAAACTTTTGGTGCGTTGCATGCTATTCGTTCTACGGTTTTCACGTTCCTGACGCGTTTTATAAAGGTTAGGGCTGACGAAAAGACTGGAAATTACCTCAAGGCTTACGAGTCGTCGCGAATCAAAACCGACGTGAGTTTCTCCCCTTGCAGACTTGTAGGGGATCGTTCAACTTGCATATAGCAAGACGAATTTCAGACAGATACGTCTCGAACCATCATCGAGGGGTTGATTGAAGGACTGCGAAACGGGCAGCCGCTCCCAGATGGCGACCAGCAAGCCGACCAGCAATCTGTCGTTCCTCCCCACCTCCATGATCTCCAAGAGGCAGATTTGCCAGAGAACCAACGCGGTCTCGTCATATCAGAAATCGAACTCTTCCGTCGACAGTCGGTCAAAAAGGCAGGAATGGATAAGACTGCTGGCGTTGGACCCGTGAATGCAGTTGGTGGAAGCACAGGCTTTGGTGCTCTCTCCCAACCAAAAGGACGAGGGTGGGGCCAACGACAAAACAGTATAGGCAGTGGTCCTCAGACACCCACTGGACCGAGTACTCCTACGCCGACGCGACCTACACATAGCCCAAGTCGATCCGACTCTCGTGGACCAGATCCACAGAGATATCATGGCCAAGCGCCAGAGTTTGTCAAGGCAGAAGCCGGGAAGCAACACGACGAGGAGCGCGAACGTGAGCTCAAGGCGAAAAAGTCAAAGGCGGATGATCAAGAGTTCCGACATGTACGTCCTTCCAGATTACCTTGTTCTTGCTAATGACCCACCAGCGCGAACGATTGTGGGAGAGCGCAGAGTACAAACGCATTAAACGGTTCAGTCACATGGCAGCTGTCGAAAGTGCTGTGCAAGAAAACGAAGACAAAGATCGTCAGGATATGAAGACGCGGCTGGAGATTTGGGATGATGACGAGAGTGACGAGCTTTTCTACGTGGACAGGTACGCATTTCCTGTTCCCTCGAGCACATTCTTACGAATATACAGGGCTGAGTGGAGGCGCAAGCGACAACGTACGCTTGCAAGAGAAATGGCAGAGGATGTACATGCACGCAACGTTGCTCGCGCCGAGGAGGAACGAGCCCAGCGCGAGTCACAACTATTCCTGGAGAAACAGATGGAACAAATGCGTGCAACACAGGAGGAGCAGAAAAAGGCTGGTCTCCTCGTCGACGACGCCGCTCCCATCAAACTCAACGTCGCACTCGCCACCAAACCCGCTCAAACCGCTGCAGCTGCACAAGCTGCGCCCGCAGAACCACGGGTAGTCTTTGGCCAAGAAGAAGAAGACGAAGTTGTCGTGAAGAAGAAGCGGATGCCCATGGTCGAACTGGACCTCTTTGTCGATGGCGAAAAGGCAAAGGAAAAGTTGGAATCAATCAGGCAGCAAGTGTCGAAAGAAAAAGACGCTCTATGGAAAGCGAAGATTCGCTGGGAGGCTGTTTCAGATGTGCGTTTTCTGTCTTCCTTGGGAAAGCATGCTCATTCCTTGATAGTCCACCATTGAACGAAAGCTGGAGCCCGTGATTCAAAAGAAGATAAAGGAATTCTTGGGAGACGTCGACGACGATCTCGTCATGTTTGTCATCGAACATCTCAAGGATCGCAAGGGGCCGAGCAAGCTGGTCGAAGGGCTAGAACCTGTACGTGTGCCTCTGCATGCTACATATTAAGTGCTCATGTTCCATTAGGTTCTCGAAGACGAGGCGGTTCCGTTCGTGATCGCTTTGTGGCGCCAAGTAGTATTCGAAAGCGTGGCATACGGAGAAGCGTTGGATACCGAAAGCTTGATGGTGGACGATTGAGGCAGTGATTTCCAAGAGCGCGACGCTCGGTGCGTTGTCCATCTTTCTGTGTATTTCACCTCTACCTCCCGAAGGCGAAAACTTTACCAAAATCGGGTACTCGTTGGATTGCAGTGGGATGAGACCGGCTCCAAACCTCTCGTGAGTATTTGCTTTCATGGCACACTGAATGTACAGGCTCTGTCGAGTCTACGACAATGAAATTAAAGCCTCAGAGACTTCTGTAGGTCGATAAAGATAATCACAGTGGCTCTACTCCAACATCCTCTGGCGTAAGAATAAGACTAGTGCTTGCGTTTTTTGCGACTACCACCCTCTGCCTCTTCTCGCTTTTGTTTCTGACCAGCAATCCGCATATACTCCTTGCGCTGCTCCTTTTGCTTTTGACCCTTTTTCTCCTCCAGCTTTGAAACCGCCTTTCTGTGCTCGGACCGCCGCTCCTCTTGCTTTTCCCGACGCTTGGCCGTCTTGTCCTTGTCCAGCGCACGCATCTGTTGCAATAAGGCAAGTGCGCGTTTTTCCTCTGGTTCGAGGACGACTGCCCGCTTTTGAAGATACGTCTTGCCCTTTGCTGGCTTTGTGAGCCGCGGCTTGGACGCAAAGGGTAATTCCTGCTGCAGTTTCTTGGAAATCTTGAGAGGGTTGAATCGCCTCGACGGTCGATCAATCGGCTGTATGGATCGCGGGTTAGTATTGGTCATCTGCCACCCGAGGTCGGTGTCTCACCTTGTAAGTAGAGTTGATATTCAGAGGCGCGCTCATTCCCAGCTCCTTTCGGACTTGACCCGTTAGTCGCATCCCTTGCCATTTCTTCTCTCTAAGCAGAAGCGAGGTCACAGGGTTGTAGAACTGCCTTGGTTGGATGGAATACCAGGCACGCAAAAAGACGATATCTGTCGATAAATTTAATTTGAGATCGGTTGGGGTAGATGCACTGACCACTCATGAGAATCTTGTCCTCGAATGTCGCCCTGAATGCCCCATGAGGCTTCGCCTGTGCCTTCTTAATCTGTCCCCGGATACCGGAGACGGTTTTGATCGTCGCGCCTTCAAACTTGGCTACTTCGAGAGAGGAGGTGAACATATCCTTGATGAAGGCCGTATTTTTGAAAATCTTGTAGGGTACCCCAGTCAACTTGAGCTTCTTGACAATCTTCGTCGACCGATCGATGTCCAACACTACACCGGTTGCAGATATTCGGAACCCGGGGTTTGAATCGTCGAGAGAATTGAAAGCGCAGAAGCCTGTATTGGGAAGAGAGACGGGCCCATAAAATGTGGCGTAGCAGTGCATATGCTCCGGGGTATATTTGAGCATACGCATCCGAATTGAGTGATCATCAAGGCTATAGATGGGAATCGTTTGGAACCGCCTCCAACCGAGCGAGAAGATGAGAGGGTCGTTGGTTTTGAGGGTCTTGGTGAACCAACGGTGGCGTTTCAACCGAACCTGGAGAATACCAAAACGTTCTTCAGCGGGCAGTAATCCTCCGACGATGATTGGATATGCAGGGTCAAAATTGTCGACAAGCTCGCATGGCACTTGTGCGAGTTCAACGCGCACGTACGAGCCTGGTCGATACCCTTCGACCAGCGCCCGCGTCTCTGCGTCGACGCCCTCGAATTCTTGGCGATTGAGCTTGAGTTGCTGAGCCATTTCCTCCTTCTTTTCGTCGTAAAAGCTGAGCTTGGCACCCTCTGGATCGTCATACTGCTGATCAAACTTCCGCTTTAGGGCCTCCTTTTTGGCCGCCAGCACCTTTTCTCTGGTGACCTCGTCATCTTCTGCCTCTGACGCAGCATCCTCTTCCGATTTCGGCGGAGCTTCGAGATCCTCGAAGTCGCCCTCCTCCGAGCCTTCACCGTTGCCGTCCTCCTCTCCCTGGGAGCCTGTGATGAAGAGAGACCGGAAGGTGTCCAAAAAGTCATTATCATCCCAATCGACTTCTTCGCCTTCCCGAAGCAGCGGCTCCTTGGTTTGATCCACAGTTTCCGTGTCCCCAAGGGTCTCCTTCTTGAAGGTCAGAAAGTCGTCCTCCTCCTCCTCCATGGCGGCCTCGGAGTCTTCCTCTCCATTGATGATTTGTTCCGGTGTCAACTGACTCTTGTAAATCAGCTTTGTCCAGTCTATTTTGCGAGGCCTTTGACTCCTGGCTTGATCGAGATTCGAGAGGATGCCGCTTTTCCATTTCGGGGCGTCCTCATCTGACATCTCATCATCATCCTCGTCTGACGGAATGTCGTCTTGGATCTCATCTTGTCGAAGGTCACCAACATCGTCTCCCAAGTCGGAATCACTCTCTGCATACTCCACATCCTTGCTCTGATGAGTTTGTCGAGTCTTTTGCAATGCTCTAGTGGGCTGACGAGCAGTGGATCGACCGCTTCCATCTCCGACGACTGGGTACTCTTCTTCGGCGTCGCCTTCCTCTGAGTCCTCGTCTGATACTTCTGAATCTTCCTCAGAATTGTCCGAACCTTCAGAATCATCCTCGTCGTCGCTTGGTGCGACGACAAGAGGATGAGAGGAAGTGCCTAGCAGCCGGATTTGACTTTGAGAAACTGAATCGGCTAATGTGGTAGTGGCATCCTGGAGGTCGAGAACCATTCGCTCGCCCTCGCCTTCGACTTCTAAAGGCTAGTCTTAGCGATGCAATTTTAAGCAAAGGCCCTACTCACCACCATCCTTGCGCGTAAAGTTACCAGGAACGGTGATGTATACAGCATCCTTGTCGTACAGAATACCACCGACATCACTCATTGGCGCGTGGATCAGTTTGTGCTTTTCTGCCAGCCGTCGCCGCTTTTCGCTCTCTGCAGTTGGTTGAGGACAAGGGTCAGGAAGAAGGGTGATGGAACGAATTTCCAAATCGCCAGCACCAGGTACGTGCACCTTGTGAGACTCTTTGAGGTTGGTACCCCTCAGGTAGCCATAGAGTGTGACTGTGCGATCACATGTTGGATTCTGGCGAACTTGTTCTACAGGTGTCAAGTCTTGTATTCTGTCTGCAAGCAGATATGGATGTGCGTTGCGAAAGATGAGAGGTCGAAACTTCATGACGGAAATGAAGCGTGTGAGGTTCTGAATCTCAGTATCTGGATACCGTCCATTTATGACACCGGAGAGGTAGAAGAGCTTTGCTCCCTGATAGATTTCGGTCCAAAATCGCTTCTTGAGGGCCTTCTTTGTCGAGCGTTGGACGGCAATCTTTTTGATCAAGTCGAGATGTGTCAAGACACCGATAATCTTTGGGAACCCATGAGCTTGAAGAATGTTGAGAAACTCAAAGGTTTCCTGGAAATCGTTCAGAAGGCAACGCGAGTAGTGGGTTAGGCTTACTCGCCATTTCAAAGCCAAAGCTGGCATCAATCATGAGAAGAACGAGATCTGCAATCTTTCCAATGTCGATCATCGAGTTTAGGTCGTTGTTGCATTCGACAATGGTGAGCCGTCGTCTTTTACCGGCCACGAGCGTGATAGGACCCTTGATTTCGGATAGTGTGTGCTTTGTATACCGCCTGACGAGAGATTTGACAAGTGTCGACTTGCCGACCTGTTGCAATTAGTTCTCTTCGTCGAGTGGCAGACCGACTTGTACGCACTCCTGGCGGTCCCACGACGGCAACAATGACTGGAGGAGGTTCATCTTCTGGTGTTCTGTTTACGAGCGGGACATGAAGACGGGTCTGGTCCTTTTCAGCATTTCTCCTCGCTTGTTTCTCTGCTCGCCGCCCAGAGTTGACTGCAAATGCCTGGACACATGACAGATTAGCAAATGTACAAGTCGTTCAAAGGCGTATCTAGCCACCAACCTTTTCGTTAAAGCCCTTTGCATGCTTGTTGGTCGACTTTTTCTCCGCCTTTTTCTTGGAAATGCGATGCGCCTTGTGCGGCTTGTCAGCGTCCATTTGTCACGCTGGAGAATATTCTCGAGTGGCCGTGTTCAAAGTGCGAATTGCGGGCTGACCAAGCGTCGACTTCAAAAAGGCAAATGAAACCAAACTGACGCGTCGAGCCTGTCTTGACCTCCAACCACCATGTCGAGCACAGACCTTCTCAGCGCCGGGACAACGTGCAGCCATGATGCTTGCAGAACAATCGACTTTCTGCCATTCAAGTGTTCCCACTGCGCTCAGAGCTTTTGTACAGAACACTGGAAGCCAGCGGACCACGACTGCAAGCAGTATGATGCTGCCGCAGAGGACAGGATCCTGCCTCAGTGTCCATTCTGCTCTAAACCCGTCCTCGTGCTCCCAAAGCAAGACCCAAACGACGCAATGGAGGCTCACATTGACAGAGACTGTGCCGTCTTCACAGGCAAGAAACGACGTGGACCCGTTTGCGGCAACAAAAAGTGTGGAAAGGCTCTGATAAGTCCTATCGTTTGCCAAGTACGTTTGCCGAATTCTTGTGCGTCAGGCCGGAAAAGGACTGACATGACGACGTGTAGACATGCAAGGGCCAGTTCTGCCCCTCTCATCGCTTTCCAAATGCGCATACGTGTAGGACGACGACGAATGCAGCTCCTTCGAGCTCAAAGACGACGACGAGTGCACCACCAACCCCTGCTGGCCTTGCAGCGCTAAAGCGCGCGACAGTCTCCGCAACAAGCTCGGCGGCAAAGTCTGTACAAGCCGCCAAGCCTGCACCGAAAGCCAGTACGTCGACTGCGCCGTCGACTGGGAACAAGGCGGGCAATCTCATCAAGGAAATCAAGACTGACCGGTGCGAGCCTTCCGTCTCCTCTGCTGCCGTTTCGACCTCGCCGACGAATAATTCCCCTCCTACGCCTAAACTACCTACTATTATGCGCACTGGCGGCTCGAAACCTGTTGTGGATCCGACCAAAAAATGGACACCCGCACCGCTCTTTGGCTCGGCGTGATTCCAGGCGGTCAACCGCAGAGGAAAAGAGTCGCATCAAGGCCCTACAGGCAAAAGCAGCCAAAGGAGTACGTTTTGCTTCTGCGCTTTATTCCTCCCGACTGATCCAAAACTAGTTGTTAAACGAGGACGAACTCAGGGCGTTGCGAGAAGCCGAACGACAGCAGAAGAAGGATGATTGTATCGCGATGTAACGTATCTTACCCCCAGTGTTTAATTGGTATTATTGCAGCCATATATATATACATCGGATTCAGGTTGTGTCCATTGGACGAGGCGAGTTTGATCTTGATCGCGAGGGACTTTTCGAAATATAACGATCTCCATCCTCGTCTCCATCTGAACCGACATACGACGGTGAACGACTCCGCGAAATGGACCGGGATGAACGCGAACGACTACGACTGCGACTGCGGCTGCGACTACGACCACGCTCGCTTTCGTCACTATCCTTTTCCTGCATGGCCTCCATGAGTTTGCTCTTTCTCGGTGGAAGACGTTCTGTTTGCTCGAGAATCTCTCGTTTGGGAAGCCGGGGTAAAATAATGTCGCAGACGCGGTCCTCGGTAAGCAATTTGTCGACAAACTCGTCCATGTACGTCAAGCTGAATCCGTCTATGGTTAAAGTCAGAATGCATAAACGCCTTGGGGACCGACGCACTCATGGACAAGAGGCGCAATTTCCGATAGTCGTTGAGCAATGGCTCGAGAAGTTGATAGACTTCGGCAGCTCCAAAGGTCATGCGAATGTACATTGCAGCGAGTGCTCGCAGATATCTAGAAAGATGAGGACAAGGGGGGGAAAAAGACTGGGGAGACATACTTGTACTCTTCAACGAGCAGGTACTCGACGAGAATCTCCTTTTCAGGTTGAATCTGCAAAAGCTTGAGGAGCAGACAGATGAATTGGGTCGGCTTGGTATTGTCGTACACACCACCGATGGCGCTGAGCTTGATGGCCTTGTCGATGAGCGAGACGGCTGGGAAAAGAAAGAGGGGTTTATTATGACGTTCTTTTTTTTCACGATGATGAGAGCATACCAGTGAGACCAAAGCATTCCTCTTTCCAATACGCCGATTCCCAGATTCTCAGCCGAATGACCTCTTCTACAAGACTCTGGTGGCGGTCAAAACTAGAGCTCGGAACGGATAAATAGACACTCACTTGAGGATTTGCACCGTGAATAGCCTTTGCACCAAAGATGGTCGTGTTGGCCATGTTGTGGTCGAGTCTCAGAATCCTTTTGGACCCCAACTACACTCCAGTTATGCGTCCGAGCCCAGCACGTTTGCTCAACATTCTCGTACCTGTAAAGAGGTTAGTCGTAGTAGACAAAAAGGAAAGAGGGCCGAACAGCGTTTCCTAGGTCGATTGACTATGCGGTCAAGATCCGGGTGAATCAGGCGCAGACGGGGGTGGAGACAAACGTCAAGCATTCGATGGTATGTTCCATGTTATTTCATGTCTATTTATTGTCTTACATGGACGATAGAACCCATTCGACGAGATTGGTGCGTGAAACACCGGCCCAGTTCTTTTTTCACGAGCATCCTCTCATCGACATATACAGCGGTTGAAGAGGCGGTCCGACTACGTGAACGACTCAAAGATGCAGTCAAAAACATTACCGTTGTGACCATTGGTCCGACAAAGGCTAGCGAAGTGTTGCGAACGGCATTGGCAATGGGCGCGGACAAGGCCATACACGTCGAGATTCCTGAAACACCTGGACCAGAACCATTGGGAATTGCAAAGGCATTAAAAGAGGTGGTCGGACGGGAAAAGCCAGACCTCGTCATTTTGGGCAAACAAGCGATTGACGATGATGCGGGTCAGACGGGGCAGATGCTTGCCGGACTGCTTGGTTGGTCCCAGGCGACATTTGCAAGCAAGGTGGACGTGGATGAGGTCAAAGGCGTGGTGACGGTGACTCGCGAGGTCGACGGCGGATTGCAAAAGGTCGAATGCAAACTGCCCACGATTGTCACCACGGACCTGAGGTATGTCCAATTCTCGTGAGCGTGGGAATGCGTGATGAGATGCTGATGGCATCTTCAGATTAAACGGTACGCTTCTCCCATGTGCTCGTGCGGTTATGTTTTTTTTTTTGGCTGATGGAGGCGGTCAGAGCCACGCTACACGTCGCTACCAAACATTATGAAGGCGAAGAAGAAGCCTCTTGAGAAGCTCACACCACAGGATCTCAATGTTGATCTCACGCCGCGATTGGAGACGGTCAAGGTGACGGAGCCGCCGAAGCGACAAGGTGGATCCAAGGTGGGTCGTGTATTGCACGCTATATTTTCCACTCACACGGTCGGGGGGGATGCTCTAGGTCGAAAGCGTGGCAGAACTGGTAGAGAAGCTCAAAGAGGCTGGGGTGGCCTGAATAGCAGCGCCTTCGGCATGGAATGATAGCTCGGTTGTCATGGAAGGGCGAATAATATACATGTAGATCAGCCGTCAAAATCGGAGATGATAGTGCCAATCGAACGAGCTTGGGCGGCCTCGCAGACGAGATGGGTGATGAGGACGTCTTGAAGGGCGAGGCCGACCGATTTGAAAATGGTGAGTTGGCCGGTAGAAGCGCGTTGGATCATAGTGTGATTTGGAGTGCCATCCTCGTGCAAGAGTTGACCCAGCTCGAGGACAGGATGCGGCTGGGCATCGATGAGTTCGCCGGCCTCGTGGAGAGCATGTTGGGCAGAATCGACGACGACGGCAGAAGCACGAAGAATGGTTTGAGTGGAGACTTCGTGCATTTGGGGTGTGTAAGAACCAACGAGGATCAGATGGGCACCCGAGCGTATGGACCGATCCTCGATGAGGGGGACAAAGGACGAAGTGGCACAGACGAGAATATCCGCTGGTTTGAGATGATCCGAATACTCGTCGACACATTCAAACTTGATTGCCCTGGTTGTCGTCGTCGTCGTCGTCGCCTGGGTGGTCTGCAACCGAGAGACGAGTGCATGTGCCCTGGTCGCTGTTCGGTTCACAATATAGCACGTTTCAATCGACGGAAAGTAGTCGAGTAAGAGGCGTGCATGATACTCGATCTGTAGACCAGCTCCAAACAACGCGAGCGTCACGGGTACTAGGGGACATTTCCACAACAACTGTGTGGCCACCAACGATCCTGCAGCCGTCCTGAGTGCGGTCAAGTGGCGGGCGTTGACGAGAGCGTGGATACCACCCGTTTGACGGTCGAGGACGACGGTCGACGCCGCGAGTCCAAGAGAGGAGCTCCTTCTGCTGTTCGGTGCCGGAACGGTGACGAGTTTGACAGTCGTAGTCGTTAATTGACCGTCATGACCTGGCATTGTCAGGAGTGTCCATTCATCCGTCACAATCTTGGATCGCTCAGGACACTGGAGAAGAGTTGTCCCTTGCCCCCCACTCAGACGGTAAAACAAGTTCCGTGTTTGTCGCACGAGCTCATCGGTAAAACTCGAGTGAGCGATGAGCTCGCAAACATCTGCTCCGGTCAGGATGCGGACCATTCCAAAGGGCAATCCAAAGGGATCCAACGGGATCCAAAGGGCTAGCCCGTCCCCTTTAGCTAGTCGGTTTACGTACAATCCCTCTCCGGGTGTAGCAAAGTTGCGGGTAGGTACCTGCCTCGAATGGAATCCTCTCGCCCACTTCCGGCCCTCTGACAGTTCGGGAAAGAGTGATCGACAATTTGTGGCGCAGATGAGGATCCCTCGGGTTCTTTGGAAATTTCACTCCGCTTTATCCAATCAGAACCACAATCCCATCAGTGCAAAAAAACAAAATTGATATCGTCTTCACTTCACAAATTGACAAAACGCAAAAAAAACAATTAGTCGACTAGCATGTCGAGAACAATGTCCGGCAGCAGCAGCATCATAAGGTAAAGGAGGTGGGTCAAGCAAGAAACGAGTGCACAAGCTTGCGCACAACACCAGCCAACGGGAGATGAGATGAGATGAGATGAGAGAGAGAGAGACTACAGAGTGGATGAAAAGTACACTGATTGGGACCGTCGAGATCAGCAGCCACGACGCTCGTTGCTTTCCCCCCCATTTTGCAGATTTCTAGAGGTTTTTTCAAGCCAGTGGAGGCGAGCGTCGGGCCTCATCCCTTGCTCACAAACATCGGAGAGCGTCAAGGGATGGGAGCGAAGAAGAGCAGAGCAGAGAGAGGGAGAGAGAGGATGGCAAGCACAAAAGAGGAAAACCCTAAAGGAGATTTGGCGCAACGAGTGCGTCTAGTCCATAGACGAGTCAGTATGTCAGAGAATGTTTATGTAGCGAGGCGAATCACGAGTCCATCATGATGTCGTGTAGATCCGCGCGCAAATGGTTGGAGGGGGGAAAAAAAGCAAGGGAAAAAAAACACAGGCGAGAGATTGGCGTTCTCGCTGGACTTGCCAGTCAAGACATTGGTGGCCGTCAAGTTTGAATTCGTTGAGAGCGCGTAACAAAAACGAGTGGAGTATGTATCCGTCAAGGAAGTTGTCGTCTACTGGGGCGCATATGCAAAATCGCCTGCGGGCGATTTGGTGCGTTCGGAGACGGCGTCTTGCTCCTGCAGCTGTTGGCCAGCCGTCGTCGTCGGAGAGCCGTCAAAGGGCGAAGAGCTGTACGGAGCGAGCGAGCTCGTGGGATTATGCGCCGAAGCTCCACCACCAGCGGTCGTCGAGGACGAAGTCGAAGAAGACTGAAAGTGATAGGCAGACGGAAACGAAGGAGCCGTGCTCGGAGGGTATGGCGAACTCGCAACCGGCGAGTAGCCGCCATGATGATGATGGTGGTGCGCACCCGGGTGATGTGCATTGGTCACACGCGAAGCAGGGTGTGGATAAGGAGTATACGACTCGCGACGCGGAGGTGGGTAACTCCCATTGCCATACATGGCCGCCAACGATGCATCGGAGCTCGAGCCAGAGACGGTACGGACGGGGGGCGAGCGACTATAGTACGGAGAGGCCGTCGTGGCGGTGGCACTCGAACCCATGGGCCCACCGGTCGTCGCAGCGGCGGCAGCTGCAGCCGCTGCCGCTGCTGCGTTTGCCTTTGCAGCTGGGGCCAGAATCCTGCGACGAGCCTGGCAAGAGAAGAGATGAGAACAAAGGAAATTTGGCCAAAAGATCGAAACTCACGTTGATCATCCAGTTAGAGACCTGGCTCATGCTCAGACCCGTCTCGGAGCACAACCACTTCTTTTCATCCTCGGTCGGATACGGATGGTCCGTGTGGGCGAGAAGCCACTTTTTGAGAAACTCTGTAACGGGCTTTGGGAGCTTTCCACGGCGACGCTGAGGCGTACCCACGGCCGCGGCGAGCGTGGCTGGAGTGAGCAGTGGTGCAGCAACGGGCGTGGTTTGGTTGGTCGGAGTCTGGCTCGAGGCCATCATGGGAGGACGATAGGCCTGTTGGGGCTGCTGGGCGATACCCTGCGGGGGCGGAGGGCGGTAGACGGACGAATAAGGGTTGTAGGACGTGTTGCTGCTGCTCGTCGAGTAGCCGTTGATGGTCGATGTCGTCGTCGGGGTCGAATAGGATACAGGCGTGAGTCTGTGGTGCTCGGGGGGCTGTATATGCAGCTGGGGACGGGAGCGGGAGTGGTCAATCGGAGGAAACTGCTGTTGGGGCGGGATCTGGGTGTACTGGAGAGGGACGGTGTGTACAGAATGATACTGCTGCTGTTGGTGCCATTGCGGAGAACGCGTCGAGGCCGAGCCGTCCGAGTGCTCTGGCGAGGACTGGCGCTGGATATCGTTGATGGGCGGAAGAACGAGCGAGCTCATCTTGTTCTCGGGCGTGACAGTCTGGTGCTTGTGGTGGTCGGGAGAAGACGAGTAAGGGCCCTGGTTTGTCGTCGAATCTGCAGACGAGACCTGGGTGTCTGCACTCATCCGACGATGATACGGGGGCGGATAGGTCGGCGGGAACGGCTCAGAGGCAAAGTTTGATGCTCCGTCGTGGGGGTTGTGGCCTGCAGGTGCGCCGACAAACAGATCCTTGGCCGTCGTCCCGACACTGTCAAAGTACGAGTCGTGGCTGCACAACGTCGTAGTCAGCGACAGAACTATGGGAATTAATAACAAGGAATTTTAGACTCTTACAGCGCAATCTGCGAGCTGTCAGTGCCGTCAAGCGGGACAAGCTGGCCTGTGACACGGACAGAGTTGAACAGCGGGCCCGCGTAGGATTCCTGCGAGATCATAAGGAGCGACGAACAGAAAGACGGGCGAGACTGCGCTGGAAACGTTGCACACTTTTGCAGACGTTGCAGACGACGGCGCACGACCAGAGACGAAGAGGAGGAGAGCAAAGACCGCACAGGCAAACAAAGCCCCAGGTAAGAGGCTCGGTTCTGTTCACTCGACGGGGGCGTGAGCGCGACTGTATTCATTTTTTCCTATTTGGGCAATATGTAAATTCTCTATTTCATTACTTCGGATGTACCTTGTTTCACCTCGCAATCTTCCGTTCAACTAATCGGGTCCGCAACGAGTCCCCACCTGGCTGCATCCAGCGGCCTCGCTGCCAGGGTCCTGTTATGCACAGTGTGTTCGAGCCCCCCCTATCTGCGGAGTTTGGAAATTCCCCTAGTCCCCGCTAGCCTTGTCCCCCTTTGAGACCGACGCGTCCGGCCCCGCGTCAGCACCTCCACATATTCGCCCAAGGGGACCCACGCTTCCCACACGAAGCGGCGAGGCACAACCATAACTCACACCGTCCCATGCATTCCCCGACGACCAGCCAGCAATCACAATCACACATCCTCCTTCAGCGCTCGACGCCGCCTCCCGACGCTGCCCGTTCCAACAGCGCATACGCCTTTGTGCGCTCGCCGGTACCAATCATCACACCATCCAACATCTTCAGCTTTCCACATGCCTTCATCATCAACCCCCGATACACCAGTCGTCCCGCATACAGCTCGTCGGGCAGTCGCCGTCGAAACTTCGCGTCCAGGTCGCCTCCGTCCAGCGCTCCTCCATCCTCCAGCAACGGCACATACCACGATACTGTGCAGGGATTCATCCTGAAAATCAAGGCACTCAATACCACGCAGAACACACACATACACAAATGGTTCTTACCTGAAATCTGCCACCTCGAGCTCATCCATCCCTCGTACCGCACGTAGAAGCCCCTTGCTCGTTCGGATCCGGGAACCAATCACGGACAGCTTGCGTAACCGGCGCATGCTCTCGACTCCTTCCAGGCTGTCCATGAAATTATGGTTCAGATTGAGCACTCGCACATTGGGCGCCATTTCTCCTAGAGCCTTGGGCACTTTGGTCAACTTGCAGTCTGCCAGTTCGAGATACTGCAGGTTGTAGCACGGCGCATCCAGGCACCACGAGCCCAGGTCATTCCCTATTCCACCATTACTGTTATCGTCATCACCATCACCCCCCCTTTCAACAACGTACCTGAGAGATACAGTCTTCGCACCTCCCGAACATCTTTCGCGTGCACGACCCTGCCCGACACAAACCCAAAAGTTCCCATATGTCAGTTCTCCGAGTCTGCTCGGCTTAATACCCACTCACAGGCCCTCTCCCGATTGGAAGCGCACGCTCAGCCGCTCCAGCCTCGTCAGTGTTTCTCCATGCCCGAACCCGCTCAGCCGGTTTCGATCCGCATAAAGGACCCGCAGTTGGCTCATCTTCCGAACATCCAGCGTCCCCGTCAATCGATTGTCACTCAATCGTAGGATCCGCAGGCTCCTCATTGGACCGCCAAGTTCCAACCCCGTCAACACGTTGTCGTCTGCTCTCCCTCCCATCAGAACCCTTTCACCCATTGCAAACTATATGCACTCACCGAGGTTCACATGGCTCACACTCCGTAGCCGGTCCAGTCCACGCACCACCTCGAGCCGATTCTTACTCAGATCGAGATACTCCAGCTCGTCCCTTGCACAAGTGTCAATACCCACAACGCAAAACGGCAATTTGCACCCACCAGGTCACGTCGAATAGATCCGCATGCGTCAGGCAATTCCCGCTCAAGCTTAGCTTCTTCAGCTTGACCAATTTGCCCACGCCTCCCAGGCTACCAATCTGGTTCCGGTCCGCTCTTAGCTCCCGCAAGCGATGCAGACATTCGAGTTCTAATGCCATCCTCGTTAGTCCTCCATCTGCATCACACGAGCCATCCGGCATACTCACGCAACAGCGATTCGATTTGATTGTCCGAGATGTCCAGGCACTCTAGACGCGAGAGATGCACATAGGATGTCAGACCCGTCAATCTATGGGACCCGTTGCTATCAGTGAGACCCTCACGCCACATGCCTTTCCACGTACAGGTTCGACGCTGCCGACAAGAGCCTAACCCCTGCGGGTACACCGCTCAGCCAACTGATTTGATTGTCGTTGCTATCCATCATTAGCTTAATCCCACACATCCTGAAAATTACTCACAGCGCGAGCTCCTCGAGCTTTGGCATGAATTCTTTCAACCTCGCCACGCTGTCTAGCACCTTGCCCGAAAGATCTATTGCTGCCAGTTCTTCCCAATGCGGTTCGAACGGTTGCACATCTGTGATGGCTTGCAAGAGTTTGTCATGTGCAACACCAAACGAACATTCAGTCAGAAATGTAGCATCCCCAGCCCTCATAGATCGATTCGGTGTACTTCGCATACTAAACGAGTTTTTCGTATGCAAACTTGCAGAAGAACCTAGCTGGGAACCGACCATGCTGCGTTGCTGATGCGAAGACTTGCACGGAGTGGGGTCCTCATCTTCTTCTACGAAGTGTCAGTACATGTGTGAAACGATGACATATAACGCACGGCTCAAATTATCTAGGTCGTCCAGCATTTCGGTGATTCGTTTCGTCCGCAGGGACGGCAGTATCGAATTTCGCTCTCCGAGACCGGAGGGTCCCGCCACGGCACTGCTCTCCATCGAAGTCTCCTCGTCCTCCTCGGGATGCAGCCCTCGGATACGACCATGCCGCCGGCCGTCCGAAAAAGACACTGATCGCAATTTCCCGGTTGATGAACCCGGCTCTCCAATGCGGTTGCCTAGTGGAGTAGCCGCGTTTGCCCCCTTGAGAGCTGAACGAATTGGCGTGGGCGCCGTTTTGGAGCTGAAGCGATTCGCGATAGGTGTCACCATACCTGGGAGGCCCATGGCTGTGGAGTGCTGTACGGTAGGTAATGGAAGCATTTGCATGCCTGGAGAAGACTCTGGCGAGTCCGCGACAGGATCCTCGTCGTCCAACCCCGTCAAGACCTGGATAGGATGCTGCTCATCGGGATCTAACGAGATTTCAATCTGCTTCTGCACCTGAACGTCCCGTACACTTTCCAAGTCTCTAAAGGGGTCATCACTCTCCTCTCCAGCCTTCCGAACCCACCGCAACGCAGTGCGGTCAAACTGCATGACTCCAATCTGATCGGGCAGTGGAGAAATGTCTGTGGGCCCTATGTGCGTCATGTTTGTGGTTGTTGATGGGAAACGCTGCTGAATGGCCGCGTGACTCGTGTGTTTGATACTGGTAGTGTATCGAGTCTGGGGTCGCTGAGACGGACCTTCATCGGCTTCTTCTTGCGAAACGAGCGCCACTTGTCGCATTTTGAGAGCCAACTCTTCCCCTGTCAGCGAGCGTGAAGACTCGGACGCGTTAATAGTGCTACTGGCCGTGGACCGGTATGCTGTTGGAGATATACGAGTTTGAACCTTGGCTGATTTGATGGCGTCCATGACAAGAGAGCGTGCAGGAGTCCGATATGGCGTCCTGGAGACACGGGTCAAGAGGCGGCCATATTTTGGAGGACGTGTTGGGCCGTCTTCATCCTCCTTGGAAGATATTTTGATGCGCTTGGGTGGTCGGAAGATTGGACTCTCCTCATCACCATCTCTCTTCCGCGAAAATATGGCGTCGTCAGGTGATGACGATGGATCGAGTGGGATGGCCTCGATTAGCGCTGAAAGATGCTCGCGTGTGTATGCATCGTAATTAAATTGAAAGAGTCGCAGCTTGCTCCTGTTGGCGTCTTGATCAGGGGTAGCTGGACACTCAGCCGGGAGCTTTGGTACTTGTGGAGGGTGAAACGTAAACCGGAAATCCTGCTGCTCAGGCGGGTCGCTGGAGAATGTAAACGGCTTCTGCTCGTCGAGATTCCACGCTGGTGGTGACTCTGGCCGCTGGCGGAAACGCTGCTCCTCTGCAGACGGCGGTTCGAACATGGTTTCAAGTTTGAGTGGACTGAACATGTTCTTGGTCAAGAGTCCCATTCGTTGCGCTAGCGGTATCCTGGGTGCCGCAGACTCCTTGTCCGTGTTGTGTACAATAATTGTACCAACCTTGACGGCGGCGAGCGACGCGTTGACGTCTCTGCGCTGATACGATTGCAAGTCCTTGTGGGTTTCTTCTTCATCTATCCACGCGTTGAGCGTCAGCTTATACATACGCTGGTTTGGCTCGAGACGCAAGGCTACGCTCGTGTTGCTGGCCATTTTGACACTCACAAGACGCGTTTTCAGGCTCTTCTTCGACCCATTCTTCCTCTAGTTCTGCAGTTTGCCAGCCCGGATTCATTGTCGTCGGGACCAAAGGTAGGCAAGCGGAGTTTGCGGAGTTTGACTACGCGTTGTGCTACATGGCTGGCATATTTTGCAAGGTACAAACATATTATACTGTACAGATATACGGTTCAAGAAGCTAGTCTTATGTGCTATGCTCTTCGGCGGGTCTCTGGACGGCGACCTGACGACACATTGGACATCCATTTTGGCCCTCTGTAAGCCATCTGTCGATGCAGTCCCTGTGAAATGCATGCATGCATGACATTTGCCTGAGTTGCCGATCCTCCGTATAGTCATCGAGACAAATCAGACACTACAAAGTCCGTAAGAGTTGTGTGCGCTTGGACAGATTGCTTCTCACTTTTTCCGCTGTGTTTGCCGCCACATTCATACTTGCTATCTGAGAAGGCAGGAAGCAGCGTAGGTTCGAGCGCGACAACTCTTCCTGAGTGACAGTAGGCGACTTCGCCGCGGCAAGGTCCACAAGGTCCCTACAGATCGCTTAGATATTACTTTGCGGTAAAATGAGACGCACCATAAGAGATCGAATTCGCCAGACTCGTCGGAGTTGGTGGCAGACACATAGCGGTGTCCTGGAGGATAATGACCACCTAGTACAATGATTACGTAGGAAGATGTGATGGTGTCCACATCGTCAAAATTCGGACGCATCGCAGGTTCCGGAAATATCATTTGTGGCTGGCCTTGTGACGTCGCGGTTGGGCCTGTTCCTGTAGTCGGAGTGGTACCACTTGACGTGTTTCCAGCCGGTACAGTGAAATTAGGCGAGTTTGGTGGAAGAGATCGAAGTCCCACGAGCACCACCGGAATCAGATTGCGTTCTGCCTGCCCTTGAGGTGAACTCTCTCCTGGACCTGTGGAAGAGTCGGTCGCGACTCCCGGCGAGGATCCTGAAGGTGATGTATCCTGTCTTCCCAAGCCACTTTGGCCATTCCTGGGTGCTGGAATTACGGGAAACTGAAAAGCCTGCCACCAGTTTAGACGCCGCGGCTCCGTCCCTTTCCATTCGATCAGCATCGATGCTTATCACTGAAGTTTTTGGACCCACCGGATGCTGAGCGCTCATGATCTTCTTGGAGAGAGGCTCGGACGCGAGAATGTACATCTACCAGAAATCGTTCAAAAGACCCGGGTCGAAGCGCCGGGCGCTCTCGCACCGGCCCTAATGGGGGTGTAGACATGAAGCGTGAAGTGAGCAGAGCAAGGGACAAATCCTGGAGAAGCTCCATATTGCCTGGGCCAGTAGTACGCCTGTTAGATCGGAGGTGGAAAAGATGTTCTAGAATAGACCAGGCCACTCGTGCTCTTTGTGGAGATAACTGTGATCCAGGGGAGTCGGAAGATAGGGCAGATAGTACATCTGAATGGTTGTTCAAGAGAGAAGAGGCGGTTGCTGCAGTCGCCATTGAAAGAAGCGATGCTAGCACGTCTATATTTGTTTGAAGTCGATTATCAGATGTATTTGGGGAGCTTGAACCGGTTCTATCGACAGTTCTAGAGGCGGTCTCGCCATCTGTCACTTCTGTTGTGGATGATTGGTCCCGGCGATGAGCCCTCAGATTGTTTTGATTGTTTAATTGCTGTTCTGTCGATTGTCTGGCGTGCTGTAGACTGCCTGCAGGCTCTGTGCACGGCACCAGCGGAGGAGAGCCAGTCGAATCTGACCGGATGGTTTGCTCCTCCAAAGCGGTGGGAGATGGTACTGAGACGTCGTCTAAATTCGGATCTCGGGTCCCGTTTGATCTCTGCGCACCGCGCCTGCGGTTGAGTAATCGCGTGGAGAACGGGCGACTCCTGGCTACGAGGTTTGCTTAGAAACTTGGCTCTTCTCAACGAGTCCACTTACATTTGGTGGTCTTTGGCTGCGATCTGGAGTCCTTGGAGAACACTCTTAAACCTCTCAAGGCCCTCGTCATGACCCGCCGTCCACCTTTGGAACCCTGGGGTCGTCGCTTGTGTGTTAGTAGACCGCCCTCGCAGACAGTTGTGATATCTTACATCTGAAACGGCAACCCCAGATGGAGATGCAGGCTGTTTTGAAGTTTGCTGGCCCATAGACAAGTGATGGTGCAAGGTCCAAGAAACTCAAGAACCCGCCACAATGTGGTAACATTGCTTAGAACACGCTATCTAACAACCTTTGACTGCCTGAGGCGTTCAATTTCTTTGTCCTGATATCCAACCTCCCTTAGCACCTCGCTCGTGTGCTGTCCCAGGTATGGCGGTGGCCTCGTCACCCCCATTCGTGAGCCGTTGTACATCACTGCTGGTCCAACTAGCTTCACTGGACCAGCTCTGGGATGTTCCACCTCGACAACTAGGCCACGTGCTTGGACCTGGGGATGAGAGAACGTTTGTTCAATATCGTTGATAGGCCCAAACGGCACTCTATAGATGTATCAGAGAAATGGAATAGGACATAATGTAGTAACGCTTACCCAACTCCGTTGAACTTCTGTATCCAATAATCGCGAGTTTCCTGCATCAAAATCGCCGTGATGGCATCTACCAAAGACTCTCTGTTTGCTACTCTGCTTCTATTCGTCGAAAAATTTTCGTTTGTCGCCAGTTCTGGTCGCTCGAGCACGCGCCTGCACAAGAGGCCGAATTGATTGTCGTTGCCTGCACCTATCATAATGTAGCCATCTTTGCATGGAAAGACCTTTTTAGATCGTCAATTTTAGGTACCTGAAAATGATGACTACCCTACTTGATAGGGTACGATGCTTGGATGGGCAGTCCCGTGTCGTGTCGCCGAAGCATTCGCAACAAGATAATTAGAGGCAATGTTGGCCAACCCTGCAATCTAATAAAGGTTTGCATAGTTTGAATGAATTGAAGGTACGCGCCTGTGTCTCGAGTAGGTTGCAGTCAATCCACACCCCTCGCCCAGTCGTTTGTCGCGCCAAGAGAGCAGCCAGTATGGCCCCATGTGCATACAACCCTGTTCATTCGAGCATATGACTAGTGGTAAAGGTGGAGACCTACCCGTTGACACGTCTGTCACTGCAACGCCAACTTTACACGGTGGGCCATTAGGCTCGCCGGTTCTAAAAGGGATTGAGGCACACAAACGACATGAGAGAAGGCTTACATATGCATAAGGCCTGCTTCAGCCTCTATCACGACGTCGTACCCTGCGTTCGCAGCATATGGTCCCGTCTGTCCGTATCCTACAGCCTAGAGTCTGTATTACCGCAATAATACAATTGTAATACGGCGTACCACTGATGGATGTGTAGATGATACCCGGGTTGAGTTCTTGACATTGGGAGTAGCCGAGCCCGAGTTTTTCGAGTTTGCCTTTTGGGTGGTGTTCACTTAAAGGTATCCTTGTCGCGAATAGACGCACCGGGGATAAAGTTTTCTACAAGGATATCTGCCCGAGCGACAAGTCTATGCATCAGTTCAATGCCTTGTGGTGATTTGAAGTCGACACAGATGGACCGCTTATTTCGGTTGACTGATAGAAAATATGCAGACTCTGCGGGTTCGTCTGGTAGTGGTATATCCTCTTTGAGAGGTGCCGAGGGAGGGCTCCAACTGCGGGTATCATCTCCGGCAAAAGACTCGACTTTGATCACGTCGGCGCTACAAAAACTGAGGCCCATATGGCACACTGGAGATATGGGACCAACCCAAGGTCCGCCAACAGCATTGTGGCCATAGGAGCGGCTAGGACGCGCGAGAGGTCGAGAATCCGGATGCCTTCAACGGAGGTTCAATAGGTTGTAATGCAGGCTTCTGCTCATAAGAATGGATATGAGTCACATTTACGGGGCCGGAACTGGGTATTGACCTTATCCAATGTCGATATCCGGCGGATTTGTGACCGCTCGAAGGGTTGAAGGAGATTTGGAGTTGTTGAAAACACTCGGGTCGTAATTTTATGGAGTCTGACGGCCCTCCGAGAACGCGAAATAGAATTGAGTAACATCGTCAAGTCTAAGAATGACTACATAGAAACGAATCCCGGCTACTATTCAATCAGAACGTCATGCTAAAGTATCATGTCAGACGTATTCATGCTCAATGATCCAGTACACGTACCTCGACATGTCGCTTCTAATTCTGTTGTAATCAAGTAGACCTTCGACTCTTCCATATGCAGCCATGGCAAACTAGAATCATCAGCATTGTCCAACAGGAGCGAGCATGAGACACTCACGTCCTTGTCCCAGAGGTACTTTTGTGCCACTCGCTTAATCTCATCAACGGTGACGGCTTCGATGGCATTTTCGATCTGCTTTGGCGTGAAGCGTCGACCAGATGTAACGACTTGCCGGCCAATATCCTCAGCAATGGCGGAGGTGCCGTCCAATGTGAGCAGCAAGGTGGCCTTGAGCTGGCTCTTTGCACGTTCGACCTCATTCTCCTTGGGTGCAATTGACATTCGCGTCCATTCCTTGAGTGTGAAATGGACGAGGTCATCCAAGTTGACGAGGTTTTCAGAGACGAGATAGATACCCCAGAGACCAGTGTCAGAGTACGAGGTGGAGAACGACATGAACGAGTTGGCAAGATTGTTGGATGAGATGATGTGGCTCAGCCGCGAAGAGAGGAGTGGAGAAGCACCGAGCGAACGATCCCAGTTACCAAAGATTGATTGCATCACGAGCATCGGGAAATAGTCTGGAGATGACCAACCGACGCCCTCCACGGCGATGGCCACATTGCAGGTGGACATGGTGTCGTCACGAATGCGGACTTCTGAGCCTACGAAGTCTGTCTTGGTGTGCGAGAGCCTGCCGAGGGGCGTCGGGTTGGGGGACTGCGGGAGCGAGGAAAAGTGCTTCTCGGCCAGCTTGACGAGATCCTGGTGGTCAACGCCTCCCGCTCCGACGAGAACCATGCGGTCAGAGGTGTAGTTGGTCTTGATATAGTTATCCAAATCGTCCCGCTTGATGGAGAGAATGTTCTGACGAGGACCCAAGATGGTACGGCCCAATGGCTGACCTGAGCACACGGGTGAGTACAGAAGAAACACGAATGAGGAAGAAAATTTTTCACCTTGGAATGCAACGGCGTGCAAATGGTCGAAAACAACCTCTTCGTGTTGCTTATCGACCTCTACCTGTTCTCGGAGAATGACGTCCCGCTCGCGCTCAATCTTTGCAGCTTCGAGCTTTGAGTTTTGGAGAATGTCCGAGATGATGTCGACGGCCTGCGGAACGTCTTGGCGGAATGCTTTTGCATAGTAGACAGTTTGCTCGCGCGAGGTGTAGGCGTTTAAATGGGCGCCGAGGTTCTCAACTTCGAGTTCGAGTGCCTGTTGAGTCCTTTTCTGGGTTCCTTTAAAGGCCATGTGCTCTAGAAAGTGGGCCGTGCCGTTTGTTGCGTCTGTCTCTGCGCGCGAACCAGCGTCAATCCAGACGCCAACGGTTGCCGTTTGAGCATGAGGATGAGACTCTGTCGCGACTGTCAATCCGTTGGGCAGCACTGAGATTTCGGTAAATGGTCCTGGGACGTGTGTCGCCAGCGTCCGCGAGAACTGTCGAAGGGGAGCAAATGGTGAGCTCTAACATGTGATATAGATAGATACCGACCTTTAATGTCCTTGAAAGGCCAAATGCCCTTCGTCTTAGTGGCTGGAGGGCGCGCATGGCCGTCGTGGTCGAGGTCGAGATTTCACAGCCGTTTGTTTTTCTCGACCGCGGCGAAGTGCTGGAGAGCTAAGGATCGGTAATTATTGTATAAATCGTATATAATTTGGTGATGAATCAAAGCATTTGGGCATTCCAAGTTCATCCGAGATGTTTGTTACCTAATCATCGTAAAGGGGCTTAGCAGCTTCGAAATACATTTTATACCGTTCACAACACGTCGCCTTGGAATTTACCCCGCTCTCTGGATTTACAAGCTACTATTTTTACTAATTTTGAGCTGACTCCAGCGCCGGAATTCGGCTGGCTGAGCGAGCCAAATGAGGTCATTGGAGCCCTTGCTTTGTATCCCCTCTTGAACAAAACTTTGACCAACGGCGAGTCTCTGGCGTCTCGGACGAGTTCGTGGACCTAGAATATCGCCAACACTGTGCATATACAACCCAAGGGACACTATACCTAGCACCTGGCCCCTCCGCGATGGCGTCTAGCGGGCTACGTACCGCGAAACAGGATCCAGAAGGACCAACGAGGGACCATAGCCATGCTAATGTCCTCAGGAAGGAGTACACAGCCAGATCGAATGCCCTCAGCAGTTCTCCTCCGAGCTCAAGGAGTAAACTCGTCAAGCCTCGCTCGGATACAGGCGACGACGACATTTCCAACCACTCGGAGCACACAAACCAGCCGCATTCCAAGCCTAACAAGCTCAGAAAAGCACCTGGATCGTCTTCCTCGGCTGCTGCCTCCAGCGGCTCGGCACCTCTAGTCGCAACTAAAGGTATGTGTGTGATCTAAATCTCATATTCTGTCTTCCTCTTCAAGTGACATGTGCTTCGCGAACCGATCCTACTGCCAAATGCTCTCCTCCTACCCACTCAGTGGGGCTTTCCCAGCTCTGAACCGCCTTGCCGACTTTGGGGCTCTTCTGTTGTCTGCTTCCTCTTTATAATCTCGAGCGGACACGCTGACCCTGATAGATCCTCCAGAGACCCTGGGCATGTATGCTTCGTCACGCAAGACGTTTGACGCCAGCCCTCCTCCAAAATCTCCGACTCTCGCCAAAGATCCCAAGATGCCACACGTACCATCAAGGCCAGCTCCTATGCGCGCCCAGAGTTACTCCAAACGTCATGCGTCTTTCGACACACCCAGAGAAGTCCCGTTGCCGGCATATCCATTCGGAGGCAACTCGCAATTTGATCAACCGCAACCATTTGACGATTCAGAAGGAGACTCGGACAACCGAAAGGCAGTCTGGACTCAGTTGGAGAATGGGATGCGCGACTTTACCCTCCAACCTTCCGGTGTAACCCGCAAGATCCGCCGCTCTCAAGACCCATCTACCTCGACAAGTTCTGGAGGTTACTTTGACTATCATCCTCCCAATCCTGAGCCACCTCACTTCAACCGCAATAATTCGGCGCCGACGCCACCTCACCCGTCCGCAGCAGAGAGTGTCAACATGCACTATGTGGGACAAACCTCTAACGCAAACGGTCTCAATGAGCCGGAAAACGGTAGTGGCAGCGGCAGCGAAAGATTTCCGACGCCCCAGTCGGCTCAGACATTGTCAGAGGACGATGGCTCTTGTCTTTCATCTTCAACTTCGATCGACGACAGGGCCCAATCACGAGACGCCATGCAGTCTGCGAGTGAGGAAGGACATTTGTCCACTTCCAGCCTTCCTCTCCCGACTTCATACGGAGCCGAACAAGTGAGCCGATTACCCGCAACACCCAAGCCTTCGTCCCAAGCAAAGCCAGAATACTCATTTGGCTGGGACAATGGAGTCACCAAAACTCCCACTAATATCACCGACAATCCGTTTGATCGTGCTGGCAGAGTTCGAGATGGCTCCAATCCCGGGATTGGTGACAGTAGATTGCTTTTGGATCGACAATTGTCTACCCAGCGCTCCAGCTATCCTTTTGTGGCACAATCTGGTCGCGAGATTCGCCTTCCAGCCACAAATCCCCTGGATAGCTCACATTCATTTGACAAGTCATTACAGCTTCCAAAGGTTGAGGCTCCGGAAAAGTTACTTCATCCTTTGCTGGCCCGAAATTACTCGACACCAGACACGGCTTCACAGCTCAAGAGTCCCGGGGCCGTTTCTACCATCGCTACTCCAGGCCATGATGGCACTTTGACGGGCTCAAGCCAGGCCTCAACGTCACCCACGCGCTCTAGTCTGACCGATAGAACATCGAACACCAGTGGAAGTAGCGGAGCCAGCTCTGACTTGCCAAGTACCGTCGCAGGAGGGCTCGCCCGAGATACCCACGCAGGCAATCCTGGGCCTGACTCGTCCGAAGCTGGTGTCCGACAATCCACTGAAGACAAGTTTCGTGAACAGAATCCCGTAGATGACAGAAACACGGTGGCCGCCATGACAGTCGAAACGACCGGAGCGGCGTATATATTGACTGCTCCACTCCCAGGCTATCTGCGAGACGAGATCACCCTCTCCACTCGGAAGAAGAGAATTCTACATGTCGTGGCTGATGGCTTCGTCAGTGGTTGTGGTCAGTTTGTACCAAGAGTGCCGTAGTTCTCACTAACCTCAGATTCCACAGGTCATTTCGAGCGTCGGGTATCGTTTGGTTACGATGCTGACATGACTCGCATTCGCGCAGAGTTCAATGGTCAATTGCTGAAGATCACTGTCCCACGTCGACCGACATCGTCTGCTTCGTCTATCGGCGCATCTTCTACTGCTTTCAACACAGGCTCCTCCAGCTCGAACATGTTCTGGCGAGGACGGAGCAACGTGGTATAATGGAAATCACCTTACGGCCTGCTTTTAACTGTCCTGAAGCTGCAGCATGCCTAGGTAGTTTAGATTATTCGTTAGATAATCGGGACCTGTATCCCCTCACTGTACCGTAGCATTATCCAATGTAGCAACACTTCCTTCATGCCTCATCCAGTAAAATAAGAGTATAACAAGCTATGTTGACAGCATGAGAAACAGCTGAAAATGCAGCGTCCATGGATACGATAAGTATCTGACCAAGGCCTACGGAAGCGACAGGGGGGGCGCGCGAAGCGCGGAAGAGTGAATTATAAAGATGATCAAACGTAGAATAACGGAAATTGTTAGGGATTCGCTCTGACACTAGTTCATAGTGCAACTCTAGTTGACAAACTTGAGGGTCTATAAAGGTGGCTGAGTGTTGATTCCATCAAGTAAGAATCGCACTCACGACACGCTTCAAGTCAAACCAGGGGCCACCCCAGGAGTACAAGATGTCAGTATTTGGCGAGAAGTGGAGGGCCTCGACGACCATGAATGGAATAAGAGGAACCGGCGCTGCGATAGCTCAGGTGTCAATAACCATGCGAACGGTTATTTACGGAATACTCACTTCCGTCTGGGTTGATCCAAGTGCACGAGAGTGTACCGTCAGCGGCAAGAGTCCACTACAAGAGGTGTCACTATACGTCGTTGTCGATGGCCTGGACGACTCACGACCGCGCTCTCGAACCACGTCTCGTGGATCGCGTCCTGAATCGGGACAGATCCAGCCGGGCCTACAGGTTGACAGCGTGAGATATGGGCTTGAAATAGGATTCACACGCACTGCGAAGGGGCCAAGCAACACCGTACAAATCGCTGCAGAGCGCCAAGTAAGCCAATCCGTTATCCAGGGACATACTCATTATCCGCACCTTCTCTTGGTCCCGTCGGCAGTAGGAGAGTTCAAGCCGACGGTTGCGGTGTTCTTCGTCGCAATTACGAGCTGTCTAGTATAGGCACCACCCTATAGCTGGCGATTAGACCAAGAATGGGACAAGTATATCTCATTCGTACCGCAATTGGATACTCAATGTCAAACTTATCTCCAGGGTTAGCAGGCTTGGTGTATTGCCACTGGGTAGCCTCGGTCGCGGTCACGTTCCTGATATAGTCACCATTGATGGAGAGGAAACCAAGGCTTGCTCCCGTCACAGTGTCGAACATGCCGATCTTTGTCAGGGCTCTAGACCGCAAAGTCAGAGGGAGTTCGCGCTTTCTATGAATAACGACTTACTGGGTGTTGGGATCGAACCGCTTTCCGTCTAAATTGGCACGGGCGCAAACTTAGCAATCTTTGGAGAGATTAAAGGGAGGACTGGATACGTACGATGGCTGCGTTCAACATGCTCGGACCCAAACGCGGCACGGGCGACATGGACGTGATGACCTCGGTCAAACGTGGCGGAGACGGTGCTGATAGCACATGTAAGGAGCGTAAAAGCCGCAGAGAGTGTCAGTTGCATCTTTTGCAAGTGATTCGGAGCCAAAGTCGAAGTCGAGGGCGGAGGCAAGAAGCTGGCTATTCAAATGTTTGTTCCTCACCAACTCTCCGACCACCTATCTAGTTTCAGACTGAGAATAGAGTACGTTTGTGGAATAAAAAAACAAGAAAATCACTGGATTCGGGGATCATCCGCAACTACAAAGGCGCGGTTCGGCGCTAACAAATTCCAGTCAAATTGGCCACCGGAGTGCTTTTCCCTGACGCTCTTGTGGCCTCATTCCCTGGATATATCGATTCATTTCACGTCGGGAAAATATCCAAGCGACATCAAAAAGGGCCTTATGTACCCTTGACGCCGTCTGTCGCCCAGCGTGAACAACCCAAACATTTGCCCAGACATACTTGGCACACTTGACATCCAGGAGAGTCAGGGGAGAGCCGAGTTGTCTTTTCATGCCCTACATGTTTCCTGACCACCCAAAACTACAATACCATCGCAACGAGAGGCTGAAATCTTGAATACCCATGGCACAACTCAAGGTCAACTATAACCTAGCATCCATAAAAGATACAATCCATACTAGCTAATGGCAACCCTCAGCGGTCAAACCCACCTGCCACCACGTGATTGAAATTTCTGGTACTGCGGCCACAAGTTTTGTTAGCTTCCAGAGACGACTACTCTGTTCTCATACCCAAAATTCTCAGAGAGAGGTTTGTAAAATCTAAAGACCATTATAAAAACCCAGTACTGACAATAGAGAAGTTGTCTAGCAAATAGTAAGACAGCCCACATCTTGCGCGACAAGCACTAAAGGCCTGCATGCAATGCAGATAAGGTACCAACCAGATAGAGCTATGAGAACTCATCTTTACCGTTCAGTAACACACTGTTTAGCAGTTAGGAGAATTCTCACACTAAGTCGCCCAACAATCTCATGCGCAATGATAGAAAGTAGCTAATGCACGCGTAAAATACTCACTGGGCATTCGTCGGCGTAACCACTGCTAATTGATACACTTATCAATATGTATTTCTTTGCATTATGATTTCCCCATCACTTCTAGCCTCTGTCAGCAATCTGCAACACAAGGAACGCTATTATTGAGCTTCACAAGGCTGCCTAACAGCAATAAGGGCTGCAAGCGCCGAATAAATAGATGACTATGGTTACTAAGTTTTCAGAATCAACATATTCGTGTTACTTTGGGAGGAGTGACCACTGAGCCGCCAGCTACACTGCGACCTCGTCGTCCGTGCAAGTTCTGGATAACCACGGAATCTTGCCTTTTCTTTGTTAACCATGTCGGTGTCTTTCAGTCCTTCGTCTCAGCTTTGCAAAAGTAAATCCACCTTCGTAGCTGTATAGCTCGCTCCTCGTATTGCTGACGTAGTAGGTCGCTCTTGTTAATCATCCAGACTTCGCTGTCGTTCAGAATCGCCGCGAAGGTTTCATCCAGTCTGAGAGGACGACGCAAATCCCATTGAAGTATCATCTTACAATTCATTTTACATCGTTATATTCTATCTCGTCTTCATTTCGAAGCTTAATAGCAGTGAGTGCTGCACGCATCAAGGTCCAGGCAAATGGATAACATTGGGGAAATACCAGAGGGAACAGGCCAAGAGCCTGGCTAACAATAGATAATCTGGCGAAGTTATGCTGCCCAGTGAGTATCATAGAGCGCATGACGAACTATGAAGACACACAGTAATGATCACTCCTCACACACAGTAATCTTCCCAAGGATTTGATTTCGTACCGGCGAGCTACCTCTTCTTCTAAAGGATTCGCGAGTATCAGTAGCCGAAAGGCATTTGTACAGTGGAGCAAAGGAGTGAAACCCAAAGAAACCGTTATCGAAAGCTGAAAATCCGCGCCTGAGCCGTCCAATTTGCATACACCGCTAAACCATGACCTATTGAAGCGCGCCCAGATTAGCCTCGAGCATTCCTAGGCGGAGATCGGATTGAATGAGATAGAACCTAGATGGCTGAGATATGTTTAATCGGTGAATGAGATGCGACTTTTCTTCATGCCGTCCGTTTGTAATGTTGTCGGGTGCGTCTTCTCTTCTTGTCTTCTTATCGTTTTTCTCTCTGCTTATCATTATGGGTGGTAGGAAATGATTTGGACTGCAGTCACTGCAATTTTCTGTCAGTACCAACACTCTATAACTTATACTTTGTGGGAGTCACAAGAATCAGCTCGCTGGTATGCAATAGAATTATTGGGAAGTCTACTATGTGTGAAGAGTAATCGCTAAATCACAAGCTATCGAAGGACTACTGTGCGCTGGATATTATTTTAGGTTCTTTTACGTTAGTCGAGGTAGCATTGCTATCTCCCAGCTCTGATGGTCAGTTCTGTACTCTGCTATTGCTTAGGCTGCTCCGTGGGTTACGAGAACGCCCAGATTGCTCTACAGATTAGGCTGCTACAGGAGGTTTATTGAATTGCTTACATTTTTGTTTGATCGATATATTGTCGTCCTATCATTCACATTCCCCATTTCTAGAGGGAGGCTCGACTAGACACTTACCCACTAATCTACTGTTCAGCGCCCTGCTCATACTCCGTGGGATCGTATATTTTAAGACTTTGCCGCTAAGAATGTCAATATTTCACTCTTGCAACGATGCTGACAAAGGCACAAGGTGATGAAGTAGATCATGACTCAAAAAAGCAAAATGTCAAATGTATCGATGTGGCTAGTGCACTGAAGCAACTTCACTACCTAGACTGCGATGAACAAGCTTCTACACAATCTCAACTCCGAAAGGCCCCACATATAATGGATATAGATATTACACAAAATGCGAACTAGTAAACAGAAGAGTGCCGCATCGAACTGGAGGCTAATGAAAGCTTCAGAGAGATCCTGTAACAAAGATTGAGCAGGATGCGTTTTTGGCTATCGATGAACAGCAGGCCGCAGCGCAGGCGTACAACTCGGGAAACAATGACAAAGCAGTGACTCATGACACACAGTAAGCCAACACTTCTATTGAGTATCACAGAGCTAATGCTCCCAGCTTCCACGCATTGCGCTAGTACACAACGACAGGCTACGAAGGCGCACGTTTCGATAGCTCGCAACCTAGCGACATATGTCACTTTGGGAGGTGTGGTACAGCTAATTGTATTCGTCAATACCCAAGGAAGCTTGTCCTTGTATAGTGAATAATGCATGACAGGGCGACCAGACACACGTCTGACTGAAAGTAAACGCGCTTCCGTCTTTTAAAATTCATACGCACATCTAGAGCATTATACAAAAAAATGGTCCTATACTGTATCTTGTGTGTGTGACTAGTAAAATCATTGATAGTGAGCTGTTGATGTGTAACTTTCCACATTTGAGTGTACTGCTAAACCGTACTGTCCGGCTTGGGTTCAGGAATACCTCACGACACTGCTTGTCTCAGCCACTCACTATGCATGCAGGATGTGAGCCTCAGCGTAGTAGTCAGTATCTAAAAGATTTTTGTATAATGAATAATACATTATAGAGGTATTCCGTACAGTAAAGCCAGAGCATAAGTAGAGGAAAGCATAGCTGTCTACATTCTGTACACCAAGGTACGTTGTGGGTCATGCATTAAGTTTCTATTTTCAGCAGATGCACATCTCGAGCCTCTAGATCCCAACCATCGTCTTGATAGACAAACAGATCAATCGATTGCAAGCGTGTGCTGGAATTTTTGCTTCAATGCTCTAGCTAAGTCGATAGATTTGTACATATCTGTTTCTTTGAGACATAATCTCCTCCACCACTTCAAACCTCTGTCAACATTACTGCAAATGTGTAACTCGAGAGCAATGGTACTTCCTCATCCCGAGAATTTGCAACTTGTGCTCATGTCAACCTTCTAGTAACATCTTTGGTACTTTGTAATTCTTTATAGATGTCCCTGCATTAGTCTATGGTGCTTATACCAAGACAATTGCTAGCTGGAACGGCATCTTTCACCAGAAGGTTAGTGTTGGTTCTTTGGAGATCATGACAGTTCGCATTGGTGGCAGGTGGGACGGTAGGTGCCACGACGATAAGCTTCAACTGCTGTTGGTTAGGCCGTTGGATATCCGCCACCTGTCATAGGATTCTACCATCTCCCTAGTTATGCCTTTCCGGACATGCTTTGCAGCTTTTTCAAAATGCTGACGTGAGACATATGGGGCGTTGACGTCTTCCCTCATAGCCAAAGTTGCTGCATCTTGGCACATTGCTGTCAGCTCCGCCCCTGAACACCCTTCCGTCTACTTGATGTGTCAATCGCATGTACTCAGGGCCGGGACTTACTTACCATCTGAGCTAAGAGTGCAAAGTCGATGCCTGCTTCAATAGTCATGTGTCGTGTGCGTATTCGCAGGATTTCCTCTCTGCCTCGAGCGTCTGGCGGTCCTACATAGAGAATTTTGTCCAATCGCCCTGGCCTCATCAGCGCAGAATCCTATAGCAATAAGCTTGTATGAACACTAGGCCACAAGACGTACCATGACGTCAGGTCTATTTGTTGCAGCAACAACGATCACGCCCTGCAATTCCTGAATGCCATCCATTTCGTTTAGCATACTCGTCAACACGCCCTCGTGGGCACCAGATGTCCTATCGTCATTTCGTGCTGTTCCCAGTGCATCAATCTCATCCTGTACTCGTTAGACAAATAGCGCACCTACAGAGACGACTCACGAAAAATATGATGCAGGGAGCACCAGCTCGAGCCTTGGCAAACACCTCTCGGACCGCCCTTTCAGACTCGCCGACATATTTGTTAAGCAATTCCGGACCCTTCACTGAGAGAAAATTTATCCCGCTCTCTGTTGCCAATGCCTTTGCCGTCAGAGTTTTACTGCATCCGGGGGGGCCATAAAGCAGAAGGCCCTTGGTTGGTTGCACACCTAGACGTGCAAACGTCTCTGGATGTAGTAGTGGCCATTCAATGGCCTCTCTCAGCCTTTCCCTGATGTGAGACACTCCTCCGATATCGGACCAGGAAACTCGAGGCGTCTCGACAATCAATGATCGTAATGCAGACGGCCGGATCGAGGGAAGGGCATGTAGGAAGTCAGCGAACGTGATTACGCCGTGTTCTTGTATCCGAGACGAGTCGAGCATTCGCTTGATGGCCAGCGTCCCCGCTTCACGAACTAAACCAGCCAAGTCCGCTCCGACGTAACCGTGAGTCTGCGCCGAGATGATCTGCAGTTGACTCTCTGTGAGAGTATGGGGCGTCTTTCGCAAGAGAACTCGAAGAATATCGAGCCTCGCAGGTACATCCGGAATCCCTGGTCGCTTCAGTATTACTTCCTTGAGGGTCATGCTCACTCACCAATCTCTACTTCACGATCAAACCTACCAGGCCTCCGTAGTGCCGGGTCTATTGCGTTTGGGCGATTCGTCGTAGCCACCACAACGACGTGTGCACCTTGAGCTGTGCTATCATCCATACCATCCAAAAGTGTCAAGAGAGTCGCAACGACGCGCTTTCCAACCTCATTGCCATCACCTCCATCGTCTCGCTTGGGACATATTGCGTCCACCTCGTCAAGGACCACGATACACGGACTTGATCGCTTGGCCCGCTCGAATACCTCGCGGAGCCTTTGCTCACTTTCACCGTGATACGCAGAAGATAGTTCTGGCCCGTTAACGACGAGTACTCTTGAGTTGGTCGACGTGGCTATGGCTCTAGCCAGGTGAGTCTTGCCGGTTCCTGGGGGACCGTGCAGAAGAACCCCTTTCGGCGGTTTTAAATTGAAATGAGAGAATAAATGGGGCCGAGTGAGGGGTATCTCTATGAGATCACGTATCAGGGCGATCTGTGTCGACAAACCACCCACATTGTGGTAAGGTGACACGTTCCTGTCACCCTCTACCATCTAACAGGATTAATAACATTCACACATGCGCTTGGCACACGTACTGTTATTTCCGGTCGCTGCTTCTTATGGGCGAATTCTACTTGACAGTGCCACCCTACGGCCCAGACGGTACGTTCGGAGATTTCCAAGGCCTCCATTTTCTCAGAGATAGAGGATGCCAACGTTGTAGACGCTTGAATGCGGACGATCGTGAATACCCTGAAGCCATCTTCCCAGGGTAGCCTAAGTTGCTGCCGAAACCACACGTGTCTCATCACAACTGGCTTGCAATAGATAAGACACTCAGTTACTTGGCGGGAGGAAGGCGTACCGAGAGTCTCGCGTATCGACATTTTCAGCCACTCTTCTTCGGTGTTGCCTAACTTGCCCGTTCCAGAACCAGCCTTCGATGAACACTCCTCGACCACTACTAGTCCAGCGGGCATAACGTGCGAGTCTTTGAGTCTTTGAACGCAAACCCGTGAACTGGGTCTTATCCCAATCTCCTCTATAAGCAACGTATGCAGCGCGACACCTAGACGGACAATCAGGGCGTGGCAGAAAAACTTGGGGGAGCTTGCATTCGAGAGCTAGGTCGTTTGATGGCCAAGCTATACCAGCGAAAAACTAGGCAATCAGAAACGCGGTTAGGTCATAGAAGTCCAAGCTTACTACTCCTTGGTCATGTTGTATTGTCAATAAATTTCCCGTTGAGAGCCCATATTTGCGCATGATCTCGACATTTAGTGTTATTCTCCGGCGGTGGTGTCGAGGAGCGTTCGTAGATAATGTCTCACGCAGAAAAAAGTCTCCAATATTGTCCCCAGACATCTTATAGCCTCTAGATACCACGATCTGCAGTCAATGGAACGCGTCACGGTGATGGTCGAGTTCAAACTGTGGCCGGATTCGGACAGTGAATCAATGGCATACATAAGGCCTATTTATGGAGCAATTTCATAGACAGTCATGCGCAAACCGAGCTCATCTAAGATCTCCACAGTCTCTTCCCAAGGCACACGAAACGCGCCTGCGTTGATGCGGCTAATATTCGACATCAGAATATTGTGAATCAATTAAAAGCTTGTTCTTGATCACTTACCAACCATAAATAGGCTTATTACTACCCTCGAGCTGCCGTAATAGGTCTTGGACGGCACTCCGAGTGCTTCTGAGAATCATATCCTTTGGGTCTGTCTGTCTCCCATATTTCCTAGACGTGAAGAGGCAGGCAATATCGCGGTCTCCAGCTGGAATAAGGAGACAAGTCCCCAATAAACTGGACCCCTTTTCGACGCACTCGTCTCGGTAGACTTCGTACGCAGCTGGATACTTGCGCTTAAAGATGGTGGCAATACCCGCTCCCCAAGATCCTAGGGTGTTGCACGCGTGCACGAGGACACAACGTCTAGGAGCGTTCTTGAAGAGATCGCCTTCATATACGACGATCCCAGATTCAGGGTTCGGTACCTGGTTTGTACTCGTGTTCATCCTTCTTGTATGTGTGATGGTTGTATAGGAGTCGCACATACGGGCTCTTGCCTCTTATGCTACCTTTGGACCATGACTCGACGTTCCGTCGGACGCGGCCATGGACGAAGTCTAAGAGCGAATTCAATCAAACAGGTGTGTAGCTTAAATTGATACTGTCATACGTTAAAGTGACTCGTCGTTTATTTCCAAATCCAGACACCTCCTAACAGCAGTCCTGGAAGCCCGACAGTGACCCTCCAGACCAGTCTCGTCACCATACCTTCCCATATTTCTGCTTTGGCATGCAGGCGGTCACCTCGACGGATTTGGTGGAAATGATTCCCTTCATGGGTGTCGGCTTGAGCTTCGGCGTCGGCGCTCTCCTCTGGAATGGCAGTGATCGATGTAGAGTGAGCCCCTGATTCCGAAACGCTGGGTGAACTCATCGTCCACCTAATCAAGAGGGCAGGCAGGCTCCCGACAAGCCAAGCCAGCAAGTTGAAACAAGGTGGCAGAACAACCCGACCACACGGTTTGCGCAATATTCTTGCGTGAGTAGGGTATGGACCATTCGAAGAAGGCTCGAGTAGGGACAAAAGGCGCAGATGTTGGTAGCGCCGGATAACACCAACAAAGCTTCTCTTTGCTGAGGTTGCGGTGGCCGGTCCATATCGCTCCCAGGGTCCACCGCCACTTGAAGTGGCTGCACCAATGCTGATGACGCGACTTCGGTCGTCGAGAATGGTCATGGCTTCGCTCGGTGCTCGCCAGTCGTCGCTTACATTCTTTCCATTCCCTCCCGGGTTTGCATTGGCCCGACCTCTTGACTGTTCCTCCCGCCTCGCCTGAACAAGGTATGCTTCGTACTCATCTCGAGGTTCGAGCGCTCCCTTTGAGCTCACGCTTCCCGGGAATAGCATGATCAACGAGTTGACCAGTGTAAACATGGCTCCTAGCGATGCCAAAAATAAGAGCAGAAGCGTGATTCGCGTCTGAGGATGGGACGGCCCTGTCACAGTCAGAGAGCTCTGTGTCTGTATTTCGACGGTTCCACCTCTAGCCGGTTCTCCCAGCCAAGTGAGGAAGCGATCGAGCAGTAGGCTTGGCAAGTCAAACAAGGGGAAGCTGTCCCCAAGTGCTTGAGCGAGGACGATGCCCACCAAGAGGACCACGGGTGCGAAGAAGAACATGCCTGGTCGCACCGCGCGCTTCAATAATCCTTTCACTAGTGTCGCTAATGGGAGCACCCGTTTCGGCTCGAACAGATAGAGGGGTGTCGGGATATAGGATGGGTTCGGGAGGTGTAATTGGAGTAGGAGCTTTTAGACAGTGAGAAGACGGCTCCTTATGTATAAAATACTTACCAAGGACAGTGAGAGTAGCAAGAGACTGTGGGTACTCGTATTTGGAGTTGGTACTCCAGGATACGCGAGGACGAGAGCCAATGCGACGAATGCGAATGGTAGAAGAGACAACGTGGGCGGCTGATTGAGTGGAACGGCCGAGAGAGAATAGACCAGAAGATAGTACTCCCGATACGAAGGTGGGCGGCTCGGAAGGAGATAAATAGGCGATGCTGGTGGAGAGAGAATTAGGTAGGAAAGCTGATAAAGATAGAACAGATAATGGCCGAGGAAGATTGCGTGCGTGACCCTGAAATTCTCAGCGACGCACCACGGAATAGAGAATAGGAGAGTACCTTGGTGTAGAGAACCTATCGAACGCAACCCAAACGCCTTGACGGACTACTGGTGTAGGTATTCCTCGAGACCACGTCGTTCGCAAGGAAATCATCACCAAAGGATGAGACAGAAACCAGACAGGAGCGTCCTCAGCGGAGGCTAAGTCGATGACTGGAAACCGATCAACGGTCAATGACTGAAACTGGGCTATGGTTAACATACCACGAACGGTCTCTCTACCCGTGTCCTCCATTGGAATTTCGGTCCATAACACCTCTTCAACAGATCCAGCGTTTCGGCCGTCCCCTTCGTTTGCAAATGTACCCCATATTGTCATAATAAGTCCTATAAGTACCCGTCTGCCCCTGAGTTCATCCTCGACGCGCCTCCACAGATCCCAAGTCCCAGTAGCACTGTGTTCTCCATGCGCATCACGAGGCACAGAGGTTGAAGTCGGATGGAGATACAACCAGAGGAGTGAGGCGAGCAAGAAAGCGGTCTTGCGTGGGCTAATGGCAGACTGCTGCGCAGGGCGAGAAGCTGTACGGCACATATGTTCATCAGCCCCAATTTACACGGCCAAATTCTCATGATAACCAAGCGTACCATTGACGGCCGGGCTAAGACCCGCAGGCAACACGCGCTCCATGCTTTCATAAGTCATCTCTCTTGGCGGTGGTAAAAGGCTGATAAAACTCATGAGGGATGGCATTTCGACGACCATTTCAATTGCTCCAGCGGAAGCCAATGCGGGTAATGATGTGTACTGCGCCCATGAGCTGGTTCCGGCATTCGGACTAGGTGATATTGGAATTGGATCGTTGTATCCTGTCGAATAGCGTGCTCTAAGCAGCGGAGAGGCCTCTGTTGGGCCCGGGAGGCGTGGACTCGAAGCGGTTGTGGACATGGCCGGCCAGCAAGGGACCAGCAGAGCAAAATAATGCTCAATACGAATCCAGATTTAGGGAATGTCGACGAAATCTGGGAATGGTGGAGGCTCGCTGCTGTCCTGTGCTGAAGTCGTGGTCCAAGCAGAGTAGCCACACCTGACCATATAGGCACACAAATATGGCACACCCCGCCGTCACATGTCCAAACAAACCAGCCATGGTTGCAAATCATTGGCTGGCAGCGCGACGAGTAAGTCTCCACTTTCAAGCCGTTTGCTTGGACCTTTGCTAGCGGCTCCACTTTGAAGAAAAAAGGTTTGCTCCTCTTGAAAACAGACGACTTGGTGTAAAATGTTCCACAAGTCATCGTACCAGCCAATGCGTATACCGTATCACTCTCAGCAAGCTTATCCATCGTGAGTTTATAACGAGAGTTTGGCACACGGAGTAACGCGCATCCCGTGTGAGCTCCCATCGGCCGGCTTTGCTTGTCGGACAGCAAAAGTGGCACCATTTATTCATATCGCCGTCTTTTTTTTTATATCTCAGCCCCATAAATAGCAGCTTTATGACGTTTACGGTGTTTCTCCTGTTGCATCGAGTACGACGGTAACATGATCAGGGTTCTTCAAGACCTGTGCATGTGATTGTGTCACTAAATCCTAGAGCAACGGCTTGGCTGCATTCTACCGAGCGTGGTGAACTAAACGAAGCTCCAGTCGGTACCCCTGCCCGGCAAAAAGGAGGAGGCTGTGATGTTCTCGGACACGATTTAATCTCTCGAATCAGTCGAGGGGGTCAGACCAATTTACAAACCAGCCAGGAGCCTGTCGCTTCTGCCTTTCAACAGGCCTACACTTGCTGACGTCGCCAAGCAGTTTGGAGCGCATTCTCGGAACAGACATCAAGCATTGGACAATCGGAGGTCAGCAGACTGTGCATAATATGTTGTCAGGCAAGGTCACCCATCATTGCCTCCAACGCAGAATTTCCGAAGATCAAGGTCCATTTCAAAAGGGGGCTTCTAGGCATACATGCAGTTAATTTTCACATGGTAAGGTCCCCAAAAGTGCGTCAACCAAGATTTGTCCGGGGTTTCTGTGTTCCTACCACTGATGTTGACCTAATGTTGACAACTCGTTCTGGGGTCTTCGGTATTGAATGTATATTTCACGTTCACCGGGTTTCGCTCAGATGTTTATGCGTGTCTTCCCCGCACGTCCTCCATAAAAGCCCACGGCCTGCTTTTACAGGGTCTGCTCAGCGTCTCATCGACAGCCCAAGCATTTCCCCCATTCTTTTGTGACAGATTATGCAGTTCAAGACGGCCTTTTTTGTTCTCCTTGCTGCGGCACTCACCGAGGCTGCTGAGCTCGAAAAGCGTGCATGCCCCGGCGTCCACGTCTTTGGTGCCCGTGAGACGACAGTCTCCCCCGGTTATGGAACTGCTGGGACCGTTGTAAATCTGGTTCTCGGTGCCTATCCTGGATCGACTGCGGAGGCCATCAATTATCCTGCTTGTGGTGGCCAATCGTCGTGCGGAGGTGTTTCCTATTCGAGCTCAGTACAGCAGGGAACTCAAGCCGTTGCTTCTCAAGTCAATAGGTAGGTCCACACCGTGTGTGTACTAGGCGATTCGATGTCTGAACCACTCGCAGCTTCAACCAGCAATGCCCTCAAACACAACTTGTCCTTGTTGGCTACTCTCAAGGTGGACAGATTATCGACAATGCATTCTGTGGAGGTGAAGCACCCCGCTTGGTTTGAAACAATAGTGGTCTGATATACTTCAAAGGTGGCGACTCTGGCCAAGGCATCTCCAACACGGCAGTCCTCATTTCTTCGTCGGCGCTCCAACAGATCAAGGCTGTTATCATGATGGGTAACCCAAGGCGCGCTCCTGGGCTCTCGTACAATGTCGGAACGTGTAACGGAAGTGGCGTATGTATACTTGACGCCGTTGAACAGTGTGTCTGACCATGTGTGGCAGTTTGACCCTCGCCCATCCGGCTTCCAATGCCCGTCTGGCTCCAAGATTCAATCGTATTGCGACAGCCCTGATCAGTACTGCTGCAATGGAAGCGATACATCTGGTCAAACTCATCAGGGCTACGGCAATAAGTATGGCCAGGCAGCGCTCACGTTTATCAAGAGCAAGATCAGCTCGTCGAGCGGAACGACTGGTGGAAATAGCTCGACTGGTGGAAACACAGGTGTACAGACGACGTCGACGAGCCAGAATAATGGTGGCGGTGGAAATGTACGTGTTTGTTTGTCTGTGCGTGAACTGGACTGACGAGAGCGATCAGTGCTCTGCCATATGGGGACAATGCGGAGGTCAGGGATATAACGGACCTACGTGCTGCCAGAGTGGTTCGACTTGCAAGTACTCGAACCCATGGTACTCTCAATGTCTCTAGATACCATTTGAGATGCGTGAATACACTCATTTTTGTTTTTACTCTTTCAGAAAAAAGAGTGCGTTTAAAATATTTATTAGACTGCTATGCTATTGACCATCAGGGGGGGGGATAATTTAAAAGTTCTTGTTGACTTCCTGCTGGGCGACACCCTTGTCGTGCTGTGCGTTGCTAAGAGAGCATTAACGAGTAGTCGGGCTTTATGAGTAATTAGACGTACCCAGAGGCCTGTTGGGACTTGTCACCGGTCACGGCTCCGACAATGGCATCCTTCTTGCCCTCGAGACGATCCGCGGTACCCTCAGCGTAGCCCTTTGCCTGCGCTGCCTTGAGTTCGGCCTCGCCAGCTGCGTGCTCTTGCTGACCACTCTGGGTCCACGAGGTTGCACCAGTAAGGTTGCCTACAGCCTCAACTGCAGTACCCTAGCCAGCGTTAGTCCGGGACCAAAGGGGTTGTTAGACTTGGCGGCATACCTTGATAGAGTGGTAGTTGCCCGAAAGCTTGGATGGCTCGTTGTTGTTAAAGTTGGACATGTTTGAGATGTGAGAGTAGAGAGGATGATGTTTTCTGCCGTTCAAAGTGCGATGTGGACAGGGCGTTTTATGCAGCTGGCGAGCGGAGATGACGTCGTTCAGCCACTCCGGAAATGGATTTGCAGAGAGTGGCAAAGAATGCGTCATTATCACGAATAAGCTTGTGTTTAGATCGCGTGACTGAGAGCGGCGGGGTCCCGCGGTGGCGCGCACAACGCGCCGCCTCTTCGACGTCATGACGCGTCATACGATTCAGAGGTCGGGAGAGGATTCTGGATCTTTGAGTTGGAATAGAGGTGAATCCACTGGATGGAAAAATGACGTAAAGGAGAGTAAAGAGTGGGGCAGGAAAGTCGGATCGGTAGGCAGAGTTGAAAACTCTAAATCAGACGCATGAAATGTTGATTTCCAATCGTCTAGGGTCTTCCTTCTAGATACAGCGATATTTGTTATGTAAATCATCTCTTGGACTCCACCATTCAACGCCATCTTTGGATCGTCGTCGTAATTGTTGGGACGTATTCTGTGTGGAGACATCTAACAATGGCGTCTCGTGCATTGGAATTTTTGACAGTGCTCCCGACTGCAAAGCACACGGCTAGCGTGATCGTGTTGCACGGGCTCGGAGATTCTGGACATGGCTGGAGACCAGTTGCTCAGATGCTCGCAAAGGATCCCAAACTGGCACATGTCAAATGGATCCTGCCGCATGCGCACGACAATCCTGTGACACTCAACATGGGGATGAGCATGCCATCCTGGTTCGATATTGAGTCTCTCGAACTTGATACCAACGATGAACTCGGTGGAGAAGACTCGAAAGGCATGCTCGCCTCGTCTGTGCTCGTCAACCAGATTATCACAGCAGAGGTCGACGAGGCCAATATTCCCGCGGATAGGATTGTAATCGGTGGATTTTCTCAGGGTGCTGCGCTCAGTTTGCTCACCGGACTGACCAGCGAGCGAAGGCTGGGTGGGATCTTTGCACTCAGCGGGTGGCTACCTCTGAGCGGTAAGATCAAGTCGGTGCGTCCATCTGATAATATACAAAGATGAAAAATCTGATGGTCGTTTTATAGATGATGTCTGACCGTGCTCAGAGTCTGCCCATCTTCTTTGGCCACGGGACGTCGGATCCAGTGGTGCAGTACAAATATGGCAAGCAGAGTTATAATCTACTCAAATCACTCGGATTCCAGGATGCTACCGCCGAGAGTATCAAAGGGTTGAGCTGGCAAGAGTATGCGGGGATGGGCCATTCGAGTAGTCCCCGAGAGCTTCAGGATATCGCGTCGTGGCTTGCCCGAGTAGTGCCGCAGAATACATAAAACTCGAAGTGGAATACAACGCAGATTCTCCTCACGTCGTCGCCTGTTCGTCGGTAGAAGTTGTGTCCATATGCCATTGCTAGCTCCAGGGTCACGCCGCCCGGCCGTCGGTGTTCCCTCGTTGGTTGCTCTCCGCCAGCTCAGCACATTTAAGACGATTTATTACTCTTCGTCGTCTTGTCTGGTGCTGGCGACCATACGCAGTGGACAGCCACGTCCTTTGTCGCCCATTTGTTGCTGCTGCTGCTGCTAGCGCTGCCGCTGCCGCTGCTGCTCGCTGGAACCAACTGTGTCGAGGATAATTCTGCTGATATTCCCGACGATACCCACTCGTTGTCCACACTCCTTGTTGTATCTTTTTGCAGTCGTTTCTCGGTGGTCGCCACCTCTTGAACCCGACCACACTTCAGCCCCAATAAAGCCAAAGGCCGTGCTCGCTCATTTGCGCCTCGTCCAGCGCATCTTCAGCGACGCCTCCAGCGTTGGAAATCACCAATTCTGATATCAAGAGATGCCTTCCTTCCTCTCGTCGCCCTCGGCCATTGCTGGCTCATCAGCTCCTGCCAGCTCTATCCGCGCATCCATCATCTCGTTTACAAAGACGGTCCTCCCTTCACTCCCTGCTTCATTCTACGACTATGTCCCATTTCTCCTGGCCGGTCTCATGGCCCTTCTCTTTACCGCGCTCCTCGTCTTGCTCGTCGAAGACTCTGAGGATACCGCGTACCCACACTCGCCCCGCCTCGCCTCTGCCGATTCAAAGCGCGCCCAGATTGCCAGAAAATCGCAAAAGGGCCGTATCATCGCTTTTGGAGACGTGGCCGGCCAGCGCGGGTCGGATGACGAAGAGTTTGTCGACGCCTGGGACCCTCGCGCAGACCTCGACAGTACCGCCAACGGTCGTAATCTCAAGCAATCACAGGAATGGATAAGAGTTCAGAACCAGAAGAGGGCCTCGTCGCGTTCCCCCCAGCCGTATGGTTACCCGGCCACTCCTCGACGGTTACTCGCCTCTCCCCCGCCGAGTGCATCTCGTACGTACTCCTTCTCGTTGATCCATCATATCCCCTTGTGGTCGCCTAGCCCACCCGATTGAACGGTGGCCGGCCCCCATTCAGTTGTTTCCCCCACGAAAATCCCGTCTCCTTCTGCCGTGCGTAGCTTGAACTGACCATGTATTCTCCATGTCAATCCCCCGTCTTCGTTCCGATATTCCGACATTATCCAATCAGCTCAAGCCTCTGAATTCGCCCCGCCAATTCTCTCCATGGCAAAGCTCATCATGCATCGTCATGTGAGTCACTCTCTTCGGGACCACGGAGTTTGTTTTCTGACGATAGCCCTCTTTCTCTCTCTCAGGATCAATCTACGAAGCGTTCTCGCGCATCGTCCCGCCCTTCGCCTCCGCCATCGCCTCCATCCACGAGCGCAAGCGGTTCGTTTGGGCACATGCAGTACACCCTCAAGTCGGCCAGCGTCAAGGCAAACAAAATTGCTATCATCACATTCCCGACTGAATCAGTTCCACCCCCTCGTTCGCCATCTCCGCCATCTCCTTCGTCAACTTCTCAGGAGCCGATACCATCGAGTCCGAACAAGGACACTGACCTCGAGAGCGCATCCTCGCGGAACAAGCCGACGCGCCATGCGCGATCTCGTTCCATGTCGCTCTCCATCTCCTTACCTGCACTCTCACCTGCGTTGCAGATGCTCCAAAAGCAGGCATCCCCAGAGCGTACCGTTCGCCGAAGACCATCGAGTGAACTCGAAGAAGGTCGGAGCTCACCAGAACCGACCGAAGGAGAAGACCCGAACTCGCGGCAGCCACAATCACGTTCAACCTCTCCGAAAGAGGAACGCAATTTGCTATCCCAGCTCGAGGAAGGTTCACGATGACCCCTCTCGTTCTTGGCTGCCTTTGCTGTCGCATCCTCTTTTGTTTGCCCCTCGTCATCCATCTTGTTATTTGTCGTTTTTATTGTCTCACATCTCTCGGTACCAACTGTTCACTCGATGATTCGGCTGGTCCCGTACCCCCGCTACCGGTTCTCTGGACGATCCCATATCTCTCTCCCGCCTTTCCGCCAGCTCTCCCTCCACGATCGTCTCCCACTCTTGTTCTTATTCGCTCGCTAGGTGCACCTATGTGGGTGTATCGACGTTGTTGTTGTCGTTGTAGTGCGCAAAGTGACTTGACTTGCCTTTCACTCGCTTTGCTGTAGTGTAGCAGAAGAATGGACAAGAAGCCTTTCAAATCCATACTTTCAATCTGAGCATACGTCCCTACTATTAGTGAGATACTGTTTGCCAGGGAACCCGTCGTCACATTCGGGGATTAGGCGATCCAAATGATCAATTATCTTCACTCCTGACAGTACGCGCGATCGGGATGAGAGTGGAGTCAAATCTGGACCCTGCCACTGGTTATAATGTCGTTCAAGAGGGGTTCGAAATCATCAAGATTCCATCTTATTCTCTAAATACTTTATATAGGCATCATCTATCCGGCAAACCCAATCGCCACACGCGGCAGCGCAACCAAATTGTCGAGTAGCGGCAGCAAGCTTGTATACGCAAATGGAAGGACAATTATCGTGAGCAATATCCTTTTACCTGATCCTCCTATCTCTTACATGGACGATTCTGCCACTCAGATCCGAGATCTACTCGTGAGTTGAAGTGGCTCCTCTCATCTAGACAAACTGGACGTGATTTGACACTCGTTATGGGTGAAATGAGATAGGATCCTGCAAAGAACATTGTCTACACCGGCCATGTTCAGCCGACGACGGTGGCACGCATTTCACCCTCGGGCTACTATTGTGCATCCGCAGACTCGACAGGAACTGGTATGTTTCTGCCCACTTCTGTATGCATAAGTAACTGAAAGATACGATACAGTCAGGATCTGGGACATTGTTGGTGAGGACAATGTGCTCAAGCTTGAAACGAAACCGTTTGCTGGGCCGGTGTAAGTCCGTCTCAGTCTTACAACTAGAGTGACTCACTTTATATAGGAATGACATCGCATGGGACGGCGAGAGTAAGCGGATCATTGCTGTTGGCAACGGGCGTGAAAGGTGAGCTAAACCCTACTCGACAATGTCCATAAACTCTAACAATAGTATAGATCTGGCCACGTGTTCATGTTTGATACGGGTTCGTCGGCTGGTGAAATCAGTGGCCACTCCAAGGCTCGTTCCTTCTCCGACAACTGCACATCTGTCTCATCATTGTCGCTATAGATGATCAACGCTGTCTCTATCCGCGCACAGCGACCATTTCGTGCTGTCACGGCATCGGACGACACCAAAATCAACTTTTACCATGGTCAGCCACACTGGATTATCCATTGATTTGGGAGACGCTGATATGTTGCATAGGTGCACCTTACAAGTACGAAAAAGGGATCCAAACGCACACCAAGTTTGTTCAAGACGTTCGATACGCTCCCTCTGGAGACTTGTTCGTGAGCGTGGGTTCGGACGCCAAAGTGTTCCTCTATGACGGCAATACGGGGGATATGACTGTCGATTTCGGGGAGAACGTCCACAAGGGAACAATCGTGAGTCACCACGTACACTCTTGGACCCTCACAGATGCCTTTAGTTTGCTGCGAGTTGGAGTCCTGACAGCAGATTCTTCTCCACATCATCTGCCGACAAGACAGTCAACTACTGTCAGTCAACCTCATGCAACCAAAGATCAAACACTGACAAAATGTAGACGATGCCGCTGCTAGTAAAGTCGTTGCGTCGTGGACCGTCGGAAATGGCATCTCCGACCAACAAGCTGGAAACACCTGGCTGGGAGAACATGAAATTGCAAGCTTGTCGCTAAATGGCGACGTCAATATCTTTGATACACGGTCTGGAAAGGTGGAACGGGTACTCTACGTACGTATCACACCATCATCTCGAAAGGTGCACTCAGTGGCACGAATAGGGCCCAACAAGAAGTGTCACAGCGTCTGCCATCGATTCTTCTGGCACGCTTTACACCGGCTCATTTGATGGCCGTATTGTCAGTGTCACAGGTAACGGCACTGTAGAGTCCGTAACCGGTTCTGGCCATACGAACCACGTCTCTGGCATCGCGACAACGGCGTCAAAGATGTGCTCTGTCGGGTATGATGATACGTTTAGAGAGTTTTCTTCCACCGGGTTCGCGTACGTGGTCTTCATATTTGTCTCGTCTCCTAAGCGTAGCTCAGGGCGACCTCACTCTCGACGAGTGGACAACCCAAGGGAATCGCCACCGTAGAAGGTGGACTCGTCTTTATCGCGACGGTATCGACTATCGAGGCACTCTCTGGTGGAAAGAAAGTGTCGGCACTTCAAGCATCCTATTCGCCACAGTCAATCGCGGCGTACGGCAACAACGTTGCCGTCGGAGGCCAAGTACGTTGGATCACGCACATGAAAAAGATGTTGACACAGCTTAGGATGAAAAGGTGTATCTGTACTCGTGGGATGGGTCAAAGTTGGTGGAGACGGGCAAGCTCGAATCAAATAGGGGCGCCGTGTCCTCTGTCGCATTTTCGCCCGATGGAAGCCTGCTAGCTGCGGGAGATGTAAGTATTATTTCATTACTCTATGCATTGTTGCTTAAGCATTGCAGTCTGCTGGCAAACTCATGCTCTACAAGGTTGCAGATAAGTCGGTAAGTCCAGGTGGACACCAAATTACGAGTACTCAGGCATCTTAGCTTGTGACATCTCGTTGGGCAGGCCATTCAGGTCGCATCAACACTCTGGCGTTCCATCCAGGAGGCAAGCACGTCGCCTCGGGCTCGCTGGATACCAATGTATTTGTGTGGTCGGTGGATAAGCCATTGCGCAAACTGGCAATTCCAAACGCGTGCATGGGCGGCGTGAATGTCGTCGAATGGATTGGGGAGAATACGATTGCAAGTGCAGGTGCGGATGCAAGTATCAGGACGTGGGAGATTGTTCTTCCAGCTTAGACTCGAATGTAATGAGTATGATGCAACATTTTATCTGTCAAGGTATGCAGATTTGTTCAGAGCCGGTGGCCAAACATTTCGACGTTTGACCTACACCGTAACCTCCGCACCTAAAGAAGACGCTGTTACCGAGTCATATTCTTCAATTCTGGGTTATGTCAGGGTCAATATTGGAGTATTCGTCTATCGAGCGGTCGTCGTGAGTCAAGTTGTTTGTGCTGGTGTCGCAACGCGCTCAATGATGGGGCTTATGGCGCTCGTAGAAAGCTCAAGACACTCCCTGCTCCTCTAGGATTTCCAGTGACATATGTATGTGGATGGCATGGGCCAACAGCTCACCAGTGGATGATAACCTCGCTAAACTGTTGCGTGTACAGACGACGGGATCATCAAAATCCAAGGACAAACAGCAACCGAGTACCAAGTCCGAAGCACTAACACCAAAGGAAAAAGCGGCTCGATATGAAGATCTCAAGTCAAAGCGGGCGTGGGACCTGGCGACCTCTCCAGCAAAACAATTGCCGATGCAGATGATCATGGTATACTTCTCTGGAGGGGGTGTACAGATCTTTAGTATGGGCATGGTTGCAATGTTGCTCTCTTCGCCGTTCAAGGCTGTTGCGGGGATGAATGAAGGTGCGGAAACACTTGACGATGTCGACATGTTGATATACTGACGCACGCCGTTTGGTCTCATGACGTGTGGATGGACGGCGGTCGACGCAGCATTTGCCCAGTTTGCACCAGTCGACGCAGCAGATCCTCGAGCGTTTACAACACTGTTGCTACCAAAGTTAGCATATATCGTGTGCAATATTTTGACGTTGCTGGTGGGAATGTACAAGTGCAATCAAATGGGATTACTGCCAGTTGGAACGGGAGACTGGCTTGCATTCGAGCAGCGAGGGGAGGTGCGTGCGATAAGTTTGCGTTTATAATCTACATGACTGACGAAAGCAGAGCCCGGATATCACGTTTCATTAATAAAGCCATGACGGCCTATCTATTCGTCTTTATTACCCGGAATGCGAATTCTCTTAATCATTGGACGAGTCTTGACACTTTACGGAATGGACCAACTGGCCAACAGAGTTTGTTGGCAGGTGAACCTTGTCGATTAGGGGCGACAGTGGCGCACGCGAGGTGGATCAATGGAGACTAGGATGGGAATGGAAGCTGAGATTGGGCCATGCTTATCTTATCGCTGGTGCCCTGAGTGTGGGGTGACAGTATCGACGGTCGAAACCCCTCATAGGACGCCGGTTCTGCTCCTATTCTCCAACAAAACTCATAGTTATTACTATTAACCATTTACTGAGACTTGAAAGTTACCTCGGGGCCTTTTGTCTGTAGTTTGGCTGCTGTCCCGTCTCTTGGGGGCGGCACAGATCCGTCTATCGGAGTGAGTTGTGATTGGCTCGGAGGGGGCTGATAGAGCAAAGGGCGACGATTGGGTCACGTAAAACGTGCGCTCAGTGTTATTTTCGTGGAAAAGCTGCGGCGTGGGCGTGTCCTTGGGGAGACAGACAACGTAATGGTCCGGACGGTCGGGCCTGGATTCGACTTATAAGCTGAGAGGACAAGTAGAAGCAACTAGTTCAAGTTGCTCCTCGCTTGACCTTTGTTATCTCGGCAGTCATCAATGCTCGCGTCCCCTCCTCCCCGCCAGTCATTTACAGGCGACTATAATAAGCGAACTTGGACCGTCCCATCATCACCAGTTCTCCCACTTTCGTGCTCTCCAGCCTCGTCGTCTTCAGTCACTCTTCTCGACGCTCCCACTGCCACTCCCAGCGAACACAAGACACCCATGGAGCTCCTCGCAGAGTCTATGAAGGGCCGCATGCTCTTTGCAATCCCTAAGAAGGGTACTAATCATTCACGACTTCACATCTGCGCATCTGACTCGGTTTTGATCAGGCAGACTTTACACAAAAAGCCTGGAGATGCTCGAAGGTGCGGCTCCACGCATATTTCTATAAATAAACGTTCTGATTACACATCTAAAAGGCGCGGATGTCAAATTTACGCGTTCCCACCGCCTCGACGTCTGTCTCGTCCAGAATCATCCCATCGCCCTGTGCGTCTCAGGCCTTTATTCCAGAGATACATCTAATCTAATTTCCGCAGCGTCTTTCTCCCTGCTTCAGACATTCCTCGCTTCGTCGCCCACGGAAATGTAGACATGGGAATCACTGGCCAGGACACAATTCTCGAATCCAATACACAGGACGGCGTGACCGAGCTCCTCAAACTCGGGTTTGGGGGCTGCAAACTTCAGGTCCAGGTTCCCGAAAAGGGCCCCATCCAATCCGTTGAGCAACTCGCCGGTAAACGCGTCGTCAGCAGCTATACGACTCTCGCCAGAGATTATTTCAGAGAATTAGACCTACGATTGGGTCTCATCAAGAAGGACGAAAAGACGGGCGAAGATGTTGGGCAGGGTACACGGGTCGAATACGTCGGAGGCAGCGTCGAGGCAGCCTGTGCACTTGGACTGGCAGATGGAATCGGTAATCATCTTCTCTTGAACATTTGTTTTCTTCAACTTATCATTATTGCCAGTCGATCTTGTCGAGTCGGGCGAGACTATGAGAGCCGCTGGTTTGCACGCCATCTCTACCGTCATGACCACCGAAGCCGTTCTTATCAAATCCACAAACGTCAAGCATCCAGACCTGGTGCCGCTCATCAAACGGATCGCCTCTCGCATCGCTGGCTTTGTCGCCTCGAACAAGTATGTCATCTGTCAGTATAACGTCCCTCGAGAACTCCTCCCTGTGGTCACAAAAATTACTCCTGGTCGACGCGCGCCTACCATCAGCAGCATTGAAGATGATGGGTGGGTGGCCGTCAGTGCAATGGTTGAAAAGAAGATTGTTGCAAACGTGATGGATCAGCTCGTTGAGGCTGGTGCCGAAGACACTTTTATCATCGCTCTCCAAAACTGCAGAGTCGAAACTCGATTTGGACTCCCAGACTCCCCCTCAGTCGACGAACCAGGGCCGGGAATATAGATTAGTGCAGAAAAAGTCTATTTGAGCGGTAGATTATATGCATAGCTACGCATATTGTGGATGCACACCCCATCCAAAGAGGATGAACGGTAGCCTACGATAATCAGTAGACGTAGCTACGACTTGGACGTTACATACCATTTCCACCGATCTGGTCGCAAAGCGTAATACAAACCGAGCCAGAGAGCTATCACAGTCAGAAATCGCTCGACCGGCATCGAAAGGACTTACTCAATTCTATATACGTGAAGAGCCGAAGCACCCCTCCCGTAGCGCCATGCTTGAGATAGTGAACATCGTGTACCCATACCTTCATATCCTGTGTTGACGGCCGAGTCTTAAAGTCCATCATGAGCATCAAGAGGATGCGGGTGTCTGAAAAGAGGTGAATGATTGCTTGCGTATGCACCGACCCACGTACAAATTCCAATATGAACATGCCCACTGCAGTTCGTGGCAAGTCAGATCATTCATCAACCGGCAAGATAACTTACACAGTCCCTGCAAACTGTAAGTCAGTTCGCGTCAATAATGAAGAGCATTTCACATACCAATCCCATCGACGTGTGCCGAATTGAGCAACATGATTGACCAATCCTCCATCGAAAAGTTTTGGAGGAACAGCTCGTATCCTTCCGGGAAAAGGTCCTTGGGCAAGAAGTCCACCGAAGTGGGCTTGTAGCCTGTAGCTAGAACGATAACATCGGCAGGAATCTCCATACGCTGGCCTCTATCTCCTGCCTTGGACACGCGTTGACGAACGTTGACGAGTACGCCTTTGGATGTCAGGCGCTCAATGTCGCCGCGGACGTATTCACATTTGCCCATGCGAACGTATGGAAGAAACTTGTCGTTCACGACCTGAGCCCTCTCAGAACTCTGCTCAAGGGGAAAGTGTGGAACCTACAGGAGTACTTTCGAAAGGCCCATGGAAAGGAGGCACCAAATGTTCGACACCACGGTAGTGCCACCGTTTGAGGAACTCTTCCCACACGAAACTAGAGGGCACTCAGAACATGGATCAATAAGAAAGATTACGCACCCCATCGGCATCTCACGTCCAAATGGCTGCATGGCCATCAAAACATCGAGAAATAGATTGCGGGGAATAATCCACTGAAAACTGTCAATACATCGCCTTCATCGGTATCGAGTTCTCACCTTGTCTTCTCTAGCGAGCATGATGCACTTGGCGGCACCACCCGCAAGCGCCGTTTCAACGGCTTCAACGGCACTTGCGCCGCTACCAATCACCACGACTGTCCTGCCAAGTACATCATCAATCTGAGCTGAATCAAACTGGGACGAATGGAAGATTGGACCACGGAATGAATCCTCTCCACCCTCGACCTTTCGTTCCTCTCTTGCCTCATGGTGTTGGTAGCCTTCATGTGGTTGATCCTGGCCCTCTCCCCTGTGATCGCTACTAGATGAGCTGCTTGAATCGGATGAAGTCTGGTGCGACTCCTTCGGCATGCCAGGGAACCGAATCCATTTGGCATCACCACAAGTGCCAACAGCGACGATGACTGCATCAAAGTTGCCATCTGAACCGTCGTTAATCTTCCACTGTGCGTGACCGTGACGCGACGGGTTATAGTCGTCTTTGGCTTCTGGCGACGAGACACGTTCGACTGAGGTCACTCGAACCTGCAAGATACGATGAATCCAGCTATTGAGGGGGTTGAGGAACGTACACCAAACCGCGTTCGCGACTCGAGCTTGTACTCCCTCCAGACACGAGAGAGCTCTGCACGGAATGAGAGGGGGTAGCAAAATAGATAGTCTGGTACCTTTCAGGATCTCATACTTATGTGGAAAAGCACGACTCCAAACCACCGCGGGATGAAAGCGGTATAGGATAGAATGAAGTTGTAATCCCGAGCTTGAGTTGGCCTTTGCCCAAATGCCTCCAAGGTGGTCGCTCTCTGCGTTAAGCATTAGGTACGCGTAGGTGTAGGAAGGTACTCGCCTTCGTAAATTATTACATCGAATCCGTGTGAGAATGCGTGTCTGGCGTTACTTAGCTCGAAATATCGAGGTGAAAATCGACCACGTACGCGGCAGCGGATATCCCGGACATCCCAGCGCCAATCACTGCAACACGCCCACGAGATCTGACTGTCGCATGTCTCTTGGGAACATGCTACACTATGTCAGGTTAACCTATGAGTGGAGGGGGTACGAACCGGCTTGTACATCAACGTAATGATGCGCTGACACATGGCATAGACAATTGCCGAGATAAACTTGATCATCTTCCAGGGCGAGAGAAAGTCGAGCACATTGCCATGTGAGAAGGCTTTGCTCTCAGAGGAGCGGTACCGCTCAATGTCCTTCGCAATCATGCTTGCGAGGGACATCTTGGGAGTGGAAGGCAATTTTACGGACGATTAAGTCCAACCGCGTCCTTTTATGCACTTTCGTGTAGGGAAAGGGAAGGAAGATGACCAGAATTCGTTCGTGCCCCCATGCGTCCTTGGGGTAGAGTCGCTCAATCATCGATGATGCAGCCACCCTACTCGCTTATGCGTATATATGATGGCCTTGAATCTGTAGCGCTGGAACGCTATTTTCCTCAATGCAGGATCCAGACAAAGATATTTCCCACGTCGTGGCCTTATTAACAACCTCAGCACATCCAGGTGCACATAAAGCGGCTGTGGAGCGCTTCTTCACCAGTGATGCTGGGCTCAAGCACCCTCTATGCGTCGTTACAAGGGGTCCGAACTCGAGATGCGAGATACTGGGTGCCTATCAGTATTTCGAGATTGCATCGGTCTATGTTTGAGCACTGAGCTGTTTTCTAGATGGTATCGCATTTTGTCCCCTCGGGCCGTTGTGGAAGTCAAGGAGATTGGTACGTGAAAAGGAGGTTCGGAGCCTGTTTGATACCAGTGTAGTATACAATAGGAGAAAGAATGTTTTATTCTTGGAAGTTGTTCAGAGATTCCGAGTGCGCTGGAGCCCGTTTCCACCAATTCCAGCTAGGTAGTTATGCGACTTCTCTGGAACTTTGGTGGGAATTAACGAGTCTACAGATCAATAGTGCGCCTAGACCTTGAAGAGCGAGATGGACTGCATTACATCGTTCTTGAAGAGGATCTCTTCCACCCGGTGGTGCGGTCAGGTCCAAAGTCATTTCGACGTGCATCTCACTTAATTCAGGACGTCGCGGCACTCGTAATACCTCCTTTGAAGCCATTTGTGTCGCTTGCTCTCAGAGCATCGAACTTTGTTCATTATATTGGTGCAGGCATTGCGCAAAATGTAGGAGTGTGGAAACCGGAACCAGTAAGGACGATAGTGACGGCATGAAGTTTGAAGTGTGCCCATAGAATAGAGAGTGAGGTCTGTCTGCAATCTACACGCTTCGTCTATCGGCCATCCCTCTATGAGTTGATGGTCCAAATTCTACAACTCGTTGTACTGCGGACGAACGCCCCATCCAAACATAATGAAAGGGAGCCTAAAGTAAGATCAGTATAAATCGATATGAACTCTCTGCTGTACCATCGGAGGCGGTCAGGTCGTAGAACGTGGAACATTACAAGCCAGATGGCTATAGTGTCGTCAGAAATTCGAATAAAATAAGGATGAAGCCAAACGTACTAAGCTCCATGTAAGTGAAGAACCCGAATGCACCACCAGTCGCGCCGTGCTTGATGAATCGAACGACATCAACCCAGAGTTTCATATCCTTTGGCGAGGGTCTCGCTCCGGTGTCCATAAGGAGGGTCAAGAGAATACGGGTGTCTGCGGTGAAGTCAGGGATGTATTGGGCTAGATAAAGACACAAACATATTCCAATGTGACTAAGAATGTAAGTTGGGGAAGAAGAATGAAAGAAAATCGCTCACAAGTGACCGCTGTCAGGCGAGTTGCTCTCAATAAGCGGTGCAAGGTATTCAAGAATGAGGACTCACACAGTACCTGCATTGAATCAGAATCATTACGAGCAACAGGTATTAAACTCACCGATCGCATTTTTGTAAGCCGAGTTTGTCAGCAAAATGGACCAATCCTCAGTTGAAAAGCTTTGCAAATACAAGTTGGGTCGCTCGTATCCTTCAGGGAACAGGTCCTTGGGTAGAAATTCAACCGAAGGGTTCTTGTATCCAGTGGCAAGGACGACGACATCTGCAGCAATCTCTCGCTCCTCCCCATCTATACCTGGCTTAGATAGACGCGGTCTTGAGTTAATGAGGACCCCTCTTGAGGTAAGACGGCGAGTGTCCCCTCGAATGTATTCGCATGCACCAGATCTGATGTGGGGTAGGAACTCGTCATTGACAACCTAACGAGGTTAGAACGATGAGCAGTGCGCCAAGTAGTAGGCGAAATGACCGACTGGGGTTCCTTCGAATAAACCGCGGTAGGGTGGGACCAAATCTTGAACACCCCGATAATGCCATTTCACTAGGAAATTTTCCCACAGGAAGCTATGGTGACTTGAGAGACGGATCAAAGCGGTAGATAGCCTTTACCTGAGAGGCATTTCGCGCCCGAATGGCTGCATTGCGATCAAAACGTCGATAAACATATTACGAGGAATGATCCACTGTGTGACGTGCGAATATTAGCGTGCAGTCCAATGTCTAATAATAACCCACTTTGTCATCGCGAGCCAGCATGATGCATTTTGTAGCTCCACGAAAAAGAGCAGTTTCGACTGCTTCCACGCCGCTTGCTCCGCTACCGATGACTGCGACTGTCTTTTCCCTTACTTGGCTGGCATCTGGGGAATCCAGTTCCGAGGAATGCAGGATCGGCCCACGATAGGTGCCAAAGTCCTGATCTTCTTCCACCTTTGGGTCCTGTTGGCCAGTCCCCCTCGCGGACAGCTTGGGCATGCCTGGAAATTCTACCCACAAAGGATCACCGCATGTTCCAACAGTAACGATAACGGCGTCAAAGATGCCGTCTGCACCATCGTTGATTACCCATCGTGCATGGCCGTCCTTTGTTGGGTCCGTCTCTCCTGTAACATCCATAGGTGAAGCGCGGCGGACAGAGGTCACGCGTGTCTATCAGAAATGAGCCTCGCCAACGAGAGATTTGCTGACATACGTTAAAGCGGGTCCGTGACTCTAATCTGTATTCCCTCCAAACTCGAGATATCTCTATAGTTCAATGTTAAAATCCGCGTGACATATGAATGAGTCATGACCAACCACTAAGTATCTCGTCACGGAATGGGAATCCCCGGCTCCAGATTACGGCTGGGTGGAAGCGATAAAGCATCGAGTTGAGTTGCAGCCCAGATGTCGAATTGACGTTGGCCCATATACCTCCGACTTTGTTGTCCGCTATTCTGGAGGTCAGATGCTGGTGAGAATCACATACTTGACTAGCCTTCGTATATGACGACGTCGAAACCGTGCGCAATGGCGTGTCTATGAGGAATGAGGATGATACCATCTGAATGTTATGTGCGCACGCTGCAGAGGAGATGCCGGTTAGACCAGCTCCGACGACCGCGACTCGTCCGCGAAAGCGAATCTTCTCCACGTCTTTGGGTGAGCTCTGTGGTTGGTAAGACTTCACCGATGTAGCAAGAAAGTTGCATACGGGTTTGAATAGAAAGACGATGACTCGCTGGACCACTACATACAATATGGCGGTGAGGAACTTTGCGAGCCTCCAAGGGGAGAAGAAGCCGATCACATCGTGATGTGAGAGTGATTGTTTCTCGACCGAAATATACTCTTTAAAGTTGGAAATAGTCACCCCCGTGATGGACATTGTATCGAGGTCGAAGATAAGGGGATGCGTCCCCATTCCGCTGCTTTTATGCGAACGAGGATGCAAGCGAAAGAATCAACGAACGAAGCTGGCTATTCTTGCACAGTCGAAGCATCATGGAGCGGCAACACAGAATCATGCTGATGATGTCGTGCATGATCCGGCAGAAGGGAAATGGCAATCACCTGCATTCGGGAGGCTATGTACCACGTCCTTGACCTCTACCATACCTTTGAGTTGATAGGGATGCAGCATCCAGAAAAAGACATCACCGAGGTCGTCACCTTGCTGACAACGGCCATCACTCCAGGCATCCAAAAGGCAGCATTGGAAAGGTTCTTTGCGCCAGATGCGGGCTTCATTCATCCGGTTTGCGCAGTAGAAAGGGGACCAAACTCGAGGGACAAGGTCCTCGCAATCTACCAGTGAGGGGCAAAGTGGACGGTTTGCCCAGCAAGTAGTTGACAGTGGCCACTTAGATGGTATCGTGTACTATCCCCTCAAATTACTCTGGAAGTCAAAGATGTTGGCGAGTCGAACTCATTCCCAATGGACAATCACTTACGCGACAGCAGTCTATGACCGCGAGCAGAATGTCATGTTCTTGGAAATTGTTCAAAAGTTTCATTTACGCCTCAGTCCTCTATCCGCTGCTCCGTCGAGGCAAGCCGCCTGTCAAGTCTTTGGGAGGGGTCACTGAGAAAGCTTGCAGACTGATCACACGAATCAAAATGGAAGAGCGAGATGGACTGCATCACATTGTGCTGCAAGAGGACTTTTACCATCCAGAGGTAAGCAGCAAGTGTTGGTTTGGAGATTCTCCACCTGACTCCAGGCATTTATAGGACTTTGCTGCCCTCATCATTCCACCTTTGAAGCCCCTTGTCTCCCTAGCTCTTCGTATGTCTAGTATAGCATGCAGCGTCGGCGCGTTTGGAGCCCAGATGATCGGCTTCTGGAGGCCAGAGAGTGTAAAGACGACGTAGCAATCGCATATATCTGTATGTTGACTGGTCTTGCGAGGCACATTGGCTCTGGTGCGAGCCTTCTGCCTTTTGTATGTACATCAGTGGCTTGATCCCAACCGCGTCCATAAGTGTTGACAAACTCCTCTGAAAGGGAGACGTCTATGGCTGTCCGCCTCCACGCAAAGCCCTTTACGTGGCTCAAGAGTTCTTGTTTCGTCGACAGACTTACTACGGATATCATTCTCGAGATCTTCAGTATCATGGCCGAGGCTGACTTCAGCATACGGGCCATGGGGGCAACCTGTCGACGATGGAGGGATGTCTATCTCAATACTTCCAAGTTTTGGTCGCATATATGTCTATTTCCTCCGAGAATAGATCCCCAGTGGGATAGCAAGGCACTCTGCGGCTTCAACTTTGACGGTCTTTATGCTCTCGGTCGCCGTATTGGACGGCGTCTATTAACTATTGATATGACGAGTGGGGAATCAGTTCCAAATTTCGTGGTAAGAAAGGTAATCAAACAACTTCCAATCTTCATCAACGCATTCCCTCTTGCCTTGTGGAATACGTTACTTCTCGGGCGAAACGGCATGGTAATACAAGCTTTAGTCAAGTATGTGCCCTATCTCTTTCGTCTCAAGCATGTTATCGCCATTGTCTACAGCGGTCGTGTCCACGCCTTTCTTCTCGCATTATCCCAAGAACCAGTCCGACTACGAAAGTTGGAATTCAAGACTGCAGTAGTCGAGCGGAATAATTCCATGTCAAACTCGTGGATATCGCAGGAGGAACTATGGGCAAATCTATTCGAACGCGATACCGTCTTCATCGTGCCTCGTACGATGCAGTGGAATGGATATACCCCCACTGCGACTTTGGTGACGTATCATTCGCCACAAAGCTGGCTAAAGACACGCAATACACGGGTTACAAATCTCGCCTTACGTGATAGCCTTCTCACTCCAGGATTTCAACCCCATCTTCATCTCCCTAACCTTGAGATTTTCATATGCCACAATGTCGCGTATACGAATACACTCGGTATCATTTCATTTCCAGCCCTCAAGCGTCTCGAGATCCACCACGGGTCAATCTCCCTCGTTGGTCACATATGCGCCCCTCAGCTGGAAACTTTGGCACTCTCTTCGAACATAAAGAGCATAAACCAGGCAATCACACCCAGTCAAGCTCAAGGCGAGCAGACGGAAGTGATCCCTCTAAAATGGTTCATGCATAGATCACCGCGCATCGAAAAACTGTCCATCGAAATATCTGCGCCTACGGAGTGGTCTCCTTCGATGCTTGAAGGGCTATGTAGCCTCTTAGTGGGAAGTAGGGACCAGGAGCAGTCATCGCCAGGATGCCAGCACCCCGTCCGACTTTCAGTTAGGCTGCACTCAATACAACGTATTTGGGATAGAGATTCTGCTAAAAGGTTTGCACAGATACTTTTGGATGCGTGCCGACGACTCAGAGAGGTGCTGATAGATTGGAGTGATGGTAGCGTCGTTCACGTACCGAGATAGAAGCCGTCTTCGTTGTATACCATGAAATTGACCGAATCAAATAATATAAAGCACCCATGCTTTTAACACCGCCATCCCATATGGCAGCCAGCAAATCTCGGATAGAACCCGACCCACCTGACGTAACCCGCACATGGAGCAATCAACGAACCCCCATCTACAAACGCCGAATAATAATAGAATTACCTGGGATGTCTTGCGGGATACCTTTTTACTCCTACGGGACTGTGGCTACAGCCTAGAACCTGCCGGAGCCGTGTGTCGACGCTGGAGAGAGGTTTATACAAATACGGGCGTATTATGGACAAAAATACGTATCTTCTCGTCGAAAACTCGGGAATTGACGGGTAATCTTCATCGCTTAAGCACCCTCGCACTCAGAAGTGCAGATTGCTCCGTCGTGGTAGACTGCAGGCAATCAGAAACCTGGCATGAAGATGCGGTAGAGCAATCAATACAACAAGTAGTCAGCTCTATTCCAGTTCAGCGCTGGGAAGCGTTGTTTCTTGGAAGTTCGGATGTGATTCGATGGATCAAGCCTCTCGTGTCCCAAATGAAATCTCTCAGCATATTGAGAATGGATAGAATAGACGAAGGGGCTCATCACATCCTTGGAATCCTGGCAAACAAACGACAGAAGCTGCAAGCCTTAGGGTTGGATTGGGTCCCGAACGGCCCTGAAGCTCAACACTCCATGGATTGGGATTTAATTGGATACCTTATTGGCAAAGATACCCGCCTCATACATAGGGGTTTAATCGTTCCTACTGGAGAATTTCAGGTATGTCGACTGACACTGAGCGCTACCGACATAACTAGAGGATTTGGTATTCACCTCAATCTTAAGGAGTTGATGCTCGTTGGGGGCATTATGCACCAAGACTTGCAATTTGATGTTCAATTCCCAAATCTTGAACGTCTGGATTTGGTATATATTATCAGACAAATAGGACTTAACGAGATCACGGCACCATCTCTGAAACACTTAGAGGTGTGTTTCTCAGAATTCGATATACTGGGCACTATCTCAGCACCTCAGATCGAAAAACTGTGTGTCAGAGGAATGGAAGCCGATCCATATAACACAAATCAAGGTATTATAGCTGCAATGGATATGCCAACATATGAAATATCCCCGATATGTATTGTGCTCGATTTTGTGGTGGAGATCTCCACCTTGTATCAACTGCTCACACTTTCTCCCAGACTCGAGCATTTTATTGGGTCCATATATCCATCCGCTGTCTCACATAAGGTGGACTGGATCCAGCTGTATCGGTTCCTTGCAGAACGGCGGTCTTCTAGTCTTCCTGTAGCGCCTAGGTGGAAGCTCTGCGAAATGTTAACGACTTTCGCCATTAATTTGAAGTGGTTCCAATGCATCGGGGAACGTGAGGATGCATTAGGGGCAATGCGGGATGTTCTCCAAGCGCGTTCATCAAGCAGCTTACGAGAGCTCGTGGTTACTTGGACAGATGGAAGCACTAGTAGCATTCGAACCCAAAATATTGACCCAAGAACAGTATCCTGATCGTTGAAACCCCAATGGTGTAGAATCGATATATTTTCAGAGATAGATTCGTCGACGATACGTGAAGCTCCAAGATCGTAGGTGATCAGATGTATCGTCTGTCCACCCAAGTTGTATAATTGGATCCCAAGACTGTTTCAATGGAAATGGAGGCGTTGAGCAAGGTGGCAAAGGGAGCACGAGCGGTCGCCTTCCATGCACCGGGACTGCATTTATGAGTCAGTCTTAAGTCATATGTTACGATTAGGCTGACCCAAAGTTGCCGTATTCTCCAAAGAGAATGTAGTCTGTGCGTGGGTCGGTGGCCTGCCATTGTGACCAACCGGCAGGATAGCTTGAATGATTTGTGAGTTGCAACGATGTGACTAAACCGCCACACGTACACGTTATCACCAATAAACCTAGAATGGGGTCAGCCCGACCAACAAAGCGACTGGATACTCACGACTTCTGGAATACTACCCGAGCGGACGCTCTCCACGGGCGACCTGATATCGTGAGTTTCGATATATCGACTATAAGAGCTAGAGTCACCAAAATAAGTCTGATTCTTGGCGTTGCCTGTGAACAATTAGCGCCAGGGGAATAAAAAGCGATCTCGCTCTACTTGCCTTTTACAATTGACTTGTCAATTACATACCAGTTTGGATCACTGCTATTACGACCCGAAGCGGTGAGATATCCTGGGCCATTCTACAGTATGATTAGCCTTGGCCCAGTTCAAGGGCGAACGTACTGATTCGACGACGCTCTTTGTGATCCAAATCGACGCGTACATCCCGAAGATCTGGAAGATGAGTTAGGGCGAATAGAGCTTGTGATACCCTAGACCTACAAAGTCGACAGATCCAAGGATCCTCGAGTAAGCGTACACCTGGTAGCCCTACGAGGATCAGTAATATTCCATCTGTCAGCTCGAGGACGTACTCTATTGGCGAGAAGAGTGTCTTGGTGACCCTGTATGTTAATCAGCCGGATTGTCGTCGACCTATGGAGGCCGACTTACTCTGAGGTCACAGAAATAGCAACCAAAGTTGCCAGCTTGCACGCTCAAAGCGATTGCTTGAGACTGAGAAACGGGCTGTACATATGTCAGCTATATACCCAGTTGAATTGAGGCTACGCACGAGACCGTATGTATTCTCAATATCCAAGTTGTAAAGCTTGACTCCCGTTGCATTTACACGGACTGTTCCACTCTTGTCGTTACTTCCAGCAATAGACGCGGGCATATTGACCGAGAGAGTCACTTTGTTGCCCAAATAAGATAACGGGGTGGTGGTTTCGCCATAGATGGTGACGTTTGGTCGGTTGATGAGCGTCTGACCAGTATAATTACCAGCAAATACATAAAATATATTGCTGTGAAGCTGGTTAGGGGCGTCACCCATTATTATCCATGTAGCTCACCTGCTCGTGTCACCTAGGGCGACTGTCAAGTTTGGGTATTTGCCGCCAGTCCCAACAGTAATAGCACCCGAGGGAATATGACCATGGGAATGACCTCCAGCACTGGCACTCAAGGCAAAGGAGAGAGAGGAAAGGAGAGCGAATGGCGAAAACTTCATGGTGAGCTCGTCGAGGGAGGGAATGAACTGGTCGGAAACCAACGCTTAAGTAGCCTCAGTTCCGACAAGGAGCTATGTATAAATACCCTCGAGTTGTCTCTCCCCGCACCGGATGTGAGGCCGTCGGTCCGCCAGTCTTCCATGGAGGTGTCCGATAAATGTGCGAGAATGAATAAGACTGGTCTTCTTTCCTGGAACGGCAACGTGATTATGGGTAACTGTGTCAGTCGAAGTGGCGGCAACTCGAGGGTTCAACTCACTGGAGCAATAGGGTGCTTACTTGAGAATAAATATCTCTGCCGAGAGTACCGGGGAGTACCTAAATCTCCTGTGTCATCGTCGTACGTATTCTTAGGATGAAGAGGGGTGAGAATATTTGGCGGAGAGCGCGGGCCGTTTGGAGAGTTGCAGTCAAGATGCTCGAATCATCCTGGATTGTTAATTATGCAGTTTCTCGTCGTCCACACTTCAAGTGTTGATGATGCTGGAGCCAAGGTTATTACAGTTTGCCTGACTCTTGAACCTCTCCTTTACTCAGCGCCCCGATACCCAACGCGATAGACAATCTCTAGCCGACTTGAAAAATATCATCAGACGGTTTCAATCTCTCCTCCTCGACTCTTCCATCGCCCATCCGCGGATCCGCGTGGCCCACGCAAACTCGCAGCGTCAAGTCGTTGAAGCTCGGCCCTCTGCGCTTCTCAGAACTCCGTTCCAGCCAATTTAACAGATTTCAGATTTTATATTTCATCTTGAGCATTTTCCTCCCTCTCGTGTGCCCCACAAACCATGCGGCAGTCCAATGTCTGCAGCCCCGCGCAGAATCAGGCGTGCTTGTTGATCACATCGAGATTATATGATCGCAGAGGTTAGTTCCCTCCCTTCTTTCCCTCCTTTCCCCGCGTCCCCCGCACATCTCCAGCCACAGCTGCGTCTGATGGGATGCTGACAATGTTCCTTTGCTCTCACCGAAATGATTACATATTCTATACACGTCTGGCATTGCTTATCGGCATATTCCATGTGGGCTTGGGCGCATGCTGTCTGTTTCACGACGCGAACTGCGACGCCGAACCGCATTCGGAACGTTATTTCGGCCACTCACTCAAACTAAACGATGCGGAACATCGCCTCGAATTACCTCATGCGCATTCCGAATGTCACTTGGCCCGTTGCTAACAATCTCTGAATCGTGCCGCATGTTCTCCCGGATGGCCCGCCGTCGCCTCGACCTGTCATTACAACAAATATCCTTCACATCGGGATACATTCTTCGAATGTCCCCTGAATGGGCGGCGTGGATTGCCAGGCCTCGACTGTACAGCGCCTCTACCGCTCTTCAACTCTCTTGCTCATCTCGTTCACCTTACGGCAACATCTCCTAAAATTAGAGAGATATTGACGAGAGACGGAGGCCTCGAACGTCTTGTACGCATTTTGCGCGACTTTGTCGCGAACCCTCCACCACCACAAGAAGCTGGAGGATTTTATGGCCTTTTACCTCCAATTCCAACAGGAAATAGCAGCGCGGCGACGGCGATTGCCTCCCTTAATCCAAGCATGAACCCCTCTCACCAGCCCCAGGTAACCCATGCCCCGACCTTCAATCCAGGTTTGATGCCTCTCCCTATCCCAACCGACACCACGTATGCCCCCGGTTTTCCGGCAGACCCCAATGACCTTCATCGACCACTTCCGGAAGCGCGTCCGTACGACAGGGACGCCGCACAGCGGTTCTCTCTCGCATTCCAGTCAATCGTAAATGTTGGAGTCAGAGGCTCAGAAGCTATTCGCTCGCGAGTTGTTCAAGCGGGGACCCTCGAGGTCGTTGCCAGCGTCCTGGAGGCATGGTTAGTGAGCAAGGGTTTCCCTTTAATCATGCCAAGGCGGGGAAAGAAGAAGGATACATCTCACAATAGTTCCGCATCGGTAGATCGGCAAGAGCTACATCCAGTCTTAGCAAGCATGGAGGTTGATGGTGATGAGCGGATGGATGACGAGGCGGCTGAGAGCGCAGGAATGTCGTCGCGAGGAGCCCTTACCATCCGTGCGAGAACGACTACCATCACACCTCAGACTGGCTCACGTCTGCGGAATGACGCCAGGGTTGCGCGATCTGTTGCCGCCAACGGGAATGCAATTACAAGACCTCCAGCCCCCAGTGGCGTGAGACCGAATGCCTCAAGTCCACCGACCCGTGCTGGAAGCTCAAGAGCGGCTACTAGCGGCAATCAGACCACACCGAGACGTACCCTTACCTCGCTCGACTCCAGCCAATCGATCGCATCATCGTCTTCAACCAGCCAAGATTCCTCCACCAATTTATCCACTACATCTCTCCTCCCTACTCCCTCGAGTGCTTCTTCATCCACCTCTCTACTCCAACAGCAGCAACAGCACATGTCCGCCTCTGTCACTCGTGGGCGCAGTGGCACTCTTGTTCAGAGAACTCGCGCCGATGATAGTTCAAGAGAGCACTCTACCGATGAGATGGAGGGAGATGCTGATACCGAGCAAGTAGGTAATCGAAGTGGGACAAACACCGAAGACGAAGATATGGAGGCAGAGTCGAGCAACAACGAAATCGAGATGGAGGGCGCTCGTACTACTCGCGGTCAGAGTGTCGACACCACTGTAGCTCCCGCTCGCACTTCTCATCGACCAGTTGCGGTCGCGGATCCACAAGCCCTCTCGCCCCGTGCCCACACGGATTCGCTTTCGCTACCAGGTGGCGGACCGGGTATGGGAATTGGAATGGGTATGGAGGTGGACGTGCTAGCTGCTGTGAATATGGTGATGGCGCACGAGGGCGTTGCTGCTTTCGAAGGGACACAGTTCGGTGGAGAGGCTGCCAACGCTGCAGCAGCAGAGGCCATTGCCCGTGCGGGACGGGAAGGGATTATGGAGGAAGAGACGCCCAGAGCCGTCTTGCGCAACATGTCGGAGCGTATGGGTCCTTTGAACGGCGGTGAGCTCGGTCAAGTCGATGAAGAGATGGGCGAAGGACCTTCGGCGCCGCAGGCTAGACCTGCATCGACCGCCCAACCATCGGAAGACCCTGGACCTGCGCATACAACCCCTACCCCGATGGCTCACGCTCGCCTCAATCTCTCGCCTGCCACAGGTCATCCCAATGAGACTGCTCCTACCACCGCTCAAGATGCTCCTTTACCCAACGTTCAAGGTGACACCGCTGGTCGGGCCCCAACAACAGGTCCAACTTCGCTGGATCGCAACCGAATACGCGTCATGACTGGAGATGCCGGACCGTTCCGACAGGAAGATGTCTTGCGGGCACTCCAACTCTTGGCTTATCTGACGAAATACCCGCATGTTCGACAAGAGTTCTACAAGAAGCGGGTGCACCTTCCGGCGGGCATGACGGGCCCGACCCCTGGCGCCACTGTTTTGACTGGCTCCGGCGTAGGTGCCTCACATAGCGGGAGATTGTATAACAACAACCCTACCACTCTCAGCCAGGTGGCTCCCGTCACAGCCGCTATCGCGGCAGGCCATGTCCCTCAGATCACGACACTCTTCTCTCTAGTCGAACGTTTCACCTTCCGTCCATCCGTCTCACACCTCAATCTTCATCCTTCTCTCACTATCCCGACCATTCCGCCCGAGATCCAAAGTTGGGCTGCGGTCATTATGCGTAACGCTTGTCGAAAGGATGATTCACAAGGCGGTATTCGACAGTGTGCCAACATGACGTGCGGAAAGTGGGAGAAGACCCCACGGGAGTTTGCCAAATGCCGAAGGTATGCAATTAGCTATATGATGAACAGGGAACTGAGCGTTGTACAGATGCCGGAAAGCCAAGTATTGCGGCAAGGAATGTCAGAGCAAAGCTTGGAGCATGGGGCACCGGTACTGGTGCAGCGCGCGAGAAGGTGGCGAGCCTGGACAACCCGCCACGGACAATTTGGATCATGAGAATGATGAGACGCCCAACACAGCCACGATTGCTGGCCAGACCAATGGAGGTCAGTGGACAGGGCTACTCCCTTCTTTACATACTGACATATTGACTAGCAAATGCTGGCGTTGGAATCGGCATAGCGCCTGGCGGTGGTGTCGGCATTGTACCGCTCAACAATCAGCCGACGAATACAGCGACCACAGCCAACAGAGGACGGACCGCCGGTCCTGTCGGATTCCCTCCGATGGGTAATCAAGGCCCAGCGGGATATCGAGGTCCCCTAATTGTCAATGCTGGTAACAACGCCTGGGAAGGTCAACCGCTCCCTGATACGACTCCACAAGCAAACAACGTTGCAACTGGACCAACTGGTCAAGCGGCGACGACACCAGCTGCCGGACCATCCACCCCACGGAGAAGAGAAGCGGCACCGACAGCCTCAAATTCATCTTCTCGCTTTGCACGTGGCTTTGCGGACCGCTTCCGGGCATTGGCTGCTGGACAATCCAACACTGAGGGCCAACAAGCCGAAGCTTCTTCAACCTCAGAGGCGCCTGAGGCCACACAACGACCAAGTGGCTCCAGGGGGCGAACATGGGATCTGATACTCGGGCGAGGAGATGCAGGAACCAATGTCTCGGGCTCTACGACGGGTGCTCCTGGAGAAAGAGATCCACATCCAATTATGCCAGCTGAACTTGATCGCTGGAGACAATACATGGTTGCACGAAATCGTACTGGTGGCAACGTACATCTTCCAGCTCTTGTCGGCGATCAAGGTGGGAATGCGGCCTCTGCACCGTCTGATCTTTCTGGGCTAGTTCGCAACAACCTCGTCCTTGCTACCAACTCGAATCAGACTCCATCACAAGGGACGAGCGGGTCACACTCTCTAGGCTCCCTTTCGGCCATGCATGCAGCGACGGAGCATGCCCGGGCAGCGTTGGCATCAAGGGATGTCGCTGGTGGCAATCGCACCACGTCGCGGGCACCGGGGTCAGACGCAGACATCAGCATGCAGTAGGTTCGTATCATTTTGATTCGTGCCTTCTCGTCGCCGATGGCTCCGCTGCTATTCGATTGGAGCGCGTGCCCCACTCTCCGCGATGTTCCAATCCCTTTGATCTGTGGCATAGCTCTCTCATCTCACGATTTCCTGCATTATATGGCACATACGCTTTGTATATCATCCTGATTTCCAACACCCTGTCTACGTCCTCGGCGACTTGTTCGTCTATGATTCCTCGCATGTTGATAGTTTTTGAAGCGATATGCATTGTGGACAAGAAAGTTAGTTACAATGTGATTATTCTACTGGCATCTATAGATACGATACATGAGTGAAGATTCCAGAAACTCAGGAGATAACGCAGCCATCGTCTTTCGACTTGAGACGCGACTGTAGGCACGCTCGTGCAAGAACACCGACGACTTCCTGCACTCCTTCGAATGTTCTCGCACTGCAATCAATATACCCCAAGGCATGGGTTCGCTGTATTGCTTCTTGTATTTCTTGCTGATTAATGAACTTGCTTGCATCCTCCCCGGAGTCTTCCCGGAGGTCTGCTTTCGTCCCGATAATCAAGATGGGGACGGTGGGCATATAATGTCGGATTTCTGGGTACCACTGCACAAGGGGCTCGAGTGAGATGGAAATGATCGAATAGAAGAGAGGGAATACGAACCCTGTCGACGGCATTTCTCAGCGATATTGGGTCGTCCACTGCTGCACACAGAACCGCCACGTCTGTACCTGGATAGACGAGCGTACGCACAAGTCGATGGTCTTCACTTGTCCATGGCTCTCGGCATTGAATGTGCAAAGCAACCCGTTCTGCTCGAGAGTTTAGAGGAGTGACGTCGGCAGCGTTTTGCTTGCCCTCCCGGTGGCCTGGTAATGGTCGGTCAGTCGGCGTTCGCAGCACGATGGTGATTGAAGTACCGATGGGCAATGTTTGGACTGTAAACGCTTCCGAATCTAAATCTATCTCGATGGGGACCGCAGGCCAGTTGGATGAAGGTCTCCACGTCTCTGGGACAGCACAATGGCTGGTGAGTGCTTCTATCAAGTGCGTCTTTCCCGCGCCAGGATCCCCAAGAACGACCAGCTGGCGCTTTATGGAACGCTCGCTGCTGGAACCGATTTCATGGTGGCTACCAAACAGGGCGGCGAGCCGTTTGCTGTTTGCTTTCGAGTGATGTCGGGTCTCCGAGGTTGTCCAGGACATTTGCCAGGGAGGAGTGAGGGAGTAAGAAGTGCAAATTGTTTGTCCCAAACGAGTTGCGCGCTGTAGCTTTTCTTCTTTCCCTCGGTCGGAATCGGTTGCCGAGCTCCCTCGGAAGGCAAGAACAGCCGGGATACACCGCTTTACCAGGTTTTTTTCGGCATGATAATCGGTACCTTTGAGAGACCGTGAGCTGTATTCGGGTATATTTGGTTAAAGCAAGGCCGACCCATTATGAACCATGCGGACAGCTTGGGGCTTCTCCTCCATCATGACACTTTGGCCATCTAAGGCGTCCGTCTTCGGGGAGACACGCTAACGGACCGACTACCGCATCGGGGGATTTAGGGTGTATAGCCGAGGTCTGTCAGCAGCAGACTGTCAGCCGTTGTGCGCTCTATCTTAAGGTGTATTGTCCGACCAGAACTATGCATTGCCCAACCTACGTACCTCAAGGGCTACAGCATGTCACGGCGCGAGTGGTTGGTTTCATCTCCAAACATGATCCGACGTTGCACGATCTGCGATAGTAAACGACGCAGATGCCGAGGTTGTGGGTATAAGGGGGTTCATGGGCCGTTCGAATGACGAGAGCAATCGACTTCTGATACGCAATTGCTGATAGCGATACAACGACGCACGTTCTGCATCATGAGATGATACAGCCATCTCTCTTTGTCTTTTGGTAGGACTGGAGTGACGTACGTGCAAGGACATTGGCTATATCCTCCATCCCGGCGAACGTCCTTGCACTGCACTCGAGATAACTCACGGCGTGCACTCGCTGCCCAATATATTGAACGTCTTCATGAGATATGAAGCTACTCGCATCCTCGTCAAGATCATTCCGGAGATCTGCTTTGGTTCCGACGAGCAGAATGCGCACAGTGGGGAGGTAGTATAGAATCTCTGGATACCACTGAAGTAAAGAAAGTTCCATGAGATGAAAAAAGGCCGAAGAAGAGGAACGAACCTTGTCAACGGCATTTCTGAGCGAGAGTGGATCGTTTACGGCCACGCAGACGGCGACGACGTCTGTGCCAGGATATAGTAGCGTACGTAAGATTTGATTGTCTTCATAGGTCCATGCTTCTCTACATTCAACGAGCAAAGTCCTCCGTGGTGCTTGAGAAGTAGAAGTACTGGCGCGGGGTTCTGACTCGCCTGATGCATATGCTCAGTTATATAGAAAAAAGATTGGTCAAAACGTACCAACTGGCAATGTGTACACGGTAAATGCCTCCGACTCCAAGTCGACTTCCATAGGAGTCGCGGGGAAATTAAATGAACGAACCCACGTCTCCGAAACGGCAGCACGGCTAATGAGAGCTTCTATAAAATGCGTTTTACCCGTCCCAGGATCCCCAAAGACGACTAGCTGGCGCTTGGCAGCGGGTTCGCCGTCGGAAGCGACTTCATTACGGTTGCCAAATAGCGCGGAAAGATGTTTCATAGTGTGTTCTGGTATTATGTCGGGTCTCTTAGCTGACTTGGGGCATTTTCTAGCGTCGTGCCGAAGATGAAGCTGGGGGCAACTCGTCGTGTCGAAACTGCTCGTCCGAGGCCTCGTGAGCCTCCATGGCACGAGTGGTGCCAGGAACGTTCTACAATCCTCATTTACAGGTGAGAAATCAGATGCTCCAAGGAAAAACTGAGCATCAAATTGACTCGCTATGGACCAACGTGGGGTGACTCAAGAGGGAAAGAGAGAAGGAGATGCGGGGTGAGGCTGAATTCAACCTTACGAGCCACATGAACACACAGTACTTGTTACCAGCTCAGAGTCTTCCCAGTTGAGCCATCATCTTGGGGATTCGATGCGGCGGACATGCCCCAGCGGGCCGAATACTCCATCGGGTGAATAAGAAGAGCAGTTAGTTGAGATGCGGGAGTGATTTGAGGTCATGTGTCTCCGGAAAGCTCGGGTGCTGTCAGCATCAGCCTCGTTTTGCATTGCCCGCGATCCAGAGGAAATGGCGGGTGTGTATTGGCGAGAGATATACGCAGGTGTTTGCTTCTAGATGGAGTCGTAGGCTGAACGAGGCGCTGTCATCGTGACGTTTGTTTTGATCGAAAGCCCGCACGCTCGGAAGCGACCATTCTCCAGGAGGGAAGGATAACCCAATCCGTGTACCTGAAGGGCTGCAGGAAGTCAGGGATAGAGGTGTATCACGTACGAATGCAGTTGCGTGTCGCGCGAGTGGACGATAGTCAGTTGAGGATGTGGGGATCGAATGGGCGGGGACCAAAGAGGCAAGAGCCGTGAGAGCTCATACGAGGTTGCAAAGAGAGCACTGAAGAGATGATTGATGACATTTCGGAGAAAGGGTCTCATCGATGGCTCTGTCCACCGTCCTCTCGACCATGTCACGCTTTTTTTGGCATCAAAAGTGGGAGCCGACGCACATAACACTGCCAAGCGAGCGACAGTGAAGTTGATGGGGATACGGGATCGAGAAATGATGGAAAGAAGTGGCGGGAGCCTGCGAAGATTGGCTTGGAGAGGAAATTGCGAGGATCAGCCCGACGTACCCACAGGTCCCGAGGCAAGAGGTATGAGGGATAGATGGCTGAATTGAGCGGTTGTCGCGCTGATGGTGGCAAGTATTCGGCGGGCATCGGGCGTCCACGTTGCAGAGGGCGCGCACAATGTTACAGAAAGAAGGGACGGGTGAGAACACAGACGTACAGTCTGCACAAAGGAGGTTGATAATCCAGTAAGAGTAAAGGGAGGCTGAGGGAACTCAAAGTGGGCTGACAGATATTGACGGATTTGGGCTCTATAGCGTCGAGGAGGGCGAGACGCGGTGGGGGAGCCGCTTCCGAAAAAGCCAGAGTTGGTCACAAGAGAAGTCGGAAAGTCGAGGCTGTACGGAATCTGTCGGTGTTGACGCGTTGGATGGACGAGTTGGAAGTGGATCCGACGTCGGAGCGAATGACGAGAGCGGGTCGCTGGCTAAACGACGCTGGGCCTGGTCGCTAGTGGATGAAACTTGTTCAAATGACCCAGTAGACCTGGATTTCATTATGGAGATGTTGGCGGTTGCTCCATTAGGCAAAGGCTCGTTTGACGGGAAACGAGCAAAGCGGTGCCCGCGGTGCTCGAGAGTTCATATGGGTTCGAGAACAGAAGCCCAGGAAGAGAGTTATTCTCGTTGATTTATGGCGGCTCCTCGGTGCTGATGGTCAAAGGCAGATACTCGGTCTGGGGCTGAACTGGCTTCTCTGGCGAGCTGACCGTTCGTCATGCGGGCATTCTTCAGAAAAATTTACTTATCTTTGGCCGCCGTCTGACCGCTGTCGCTGCGCTTTCTGCAGTTTTCCCCTCCCATCGGAGTCTCCCCTCCTTGTCCTCCTCCTCCCCCTGTCTCTCTCCAATTATTTCTTTTGTGCTTTTTCGTTGTTGCGTAGCTTGTCGCCAGATTTTTGCCTTGTCGCCTGCGCATCCAAGTCTACGTGCAGCGCTGCCACCGCCCGCGACTCGACCTCGTCTCCCCTCCCTCACCGTTTTAAGGCCAGCACTCACTGCCGTGAGCAGAAGAGCAAAGAATCTCACAAATCGGATACACTTTTGTCAAACTATCGAACAATATCTGCCAAATGTCTGCGCAAGAACGCCGTTTCAATCCGTACACGGAGAACGGAGGCACCATCCTCGCCATCGCCGGTCAGGACTTTACAGTCATCGCTGGAGACACAAGGCAGAGTGAAGGTTACAACATCCAGACAAGATATGCGCCAAAGGTCTTTCGATTGTGAGCACGCTCGTCGTTTGATCCTACGATTCCCTGCAACTCGCTCATGCAGCGAGAATATACTCTTCTGCATGACTCGAGCGATTCCGAATATCCCATCTCGCTTGGCTTGCCAGTGGCAGAAAACGCGCGTCGTACTCGTCCTGACGCGTCCCCCCCTCGCCATCTGTCTACGTGGCTCCGCTTCTGATTATCAATTTATCAACTAAAAGCTAACTACTGCACTGGTACAGAACAGACAAGGCTGTTTTGGCCGTCAATGGCTTCGCCGCTGATGGCAATATGTTCGTCCAAAAGGTCCAACAGCGCCTAGAGGTCAGTCTTACGTACACGTGTGTACCTCTCTGACATTCCTCTCCCTCAGTGGTACCAACATGCCCATAACAAGGAGATGCCTCTACGAGCCATTGCCCGTCTGATTCAGACCATGCTCTACGCAAAGCGCTTCTTCCCTTATTATGTATACAACATTCTCGGCGGCATTGAAGACGATGGTGAGCCCCTTTCTATACATAACGTGCTCTGTCCTCCTCGCATCCTGTTCCTCGCGCGCTCCTGTCCTCCCTCGTGGTCATCACTCCGAAACAACGGCTCCAGCATTCGTCTTGCCTCGTCAGAAACAGCCGTTCCATTTCACCGATTCACCACCCCTCGGCGCATCATCGGACACAAACCTTGTCCGTGCTTCTTCTATGCCGTTGCCGCAATTCATGTTCCATCACACGCACAAAGCGTCTTCACGCGGGCCCTCTACTCCACGGCAACAACAGGGGTCCCCAATCTCTTCATATGATCCACATTCACAAACCTTCGCGCACCGCCAACCACCTTAATACCCAATTCTCACCCCATCTCCTGGTGCCTACGCACCTTCGACCCTGATTGTTCGACCTTCGATCACAAGTGCAAAACCTTGTGCGGCTCCCTCGTCGCGCGGCTATTCCATGATTGTCGAGAGGACGCCCCCTCGAACACGCCCCCTTCCCTGCAGGAGCTTACTGCCTCTATTTCCAATACTCCCTCATTCTCATCTATTAATCATTTACGACACGGACACTAGCTGACCAAAAAATTTCCCTTTCGACTCATTGGTTGATGATCCACGCGGGACGCTCTTATCGCGGGTGATATGCACAGGCTCTGGCGCAGTGTATTCGTTTGATCCAGTAGGCTCGTACGAGCGCGAGGCCTGTCGAGCGGCAGGTGCTGCGCAAAGTCTAGTTCAACCTTTCCTGGACAACCAGGTACGTCTGAGTAAGACACTCGGAAGAATCTCACTCGCCTCCCTGTAGATTTATTTCAAGAATCAATTACCTCCGTCGGGTGGTGCCCATCCCAAGCACCTCCCACTGAAAGAGGTTTTGAGTCTTGTCATCGACAGCTTTACAGGTGCGACAGAAAGGCACATAGAGGTCAGTTGAGGATTATTCAGTCTCTTTCTTTTGCTTCGTAAACCCTTCCCACCATTTATTCCGTTCCATTCAATTCTTCCCTTTCATCTTTTCGATGGGCGGCTCGTGCGCATGACTAGTCAAAGCCAGCCATTATCCAGCGGGTCTACCTCCATTGCCACGGTTGCAGCGTGTTCCACAGAACCAGAAACTCGCTGGAGCTTCCCAGGGCCATCACGAAATTGCCCGTTTACTCTCACTTGCAACACACATGTCGCCCTTCCTCGACGATCTCGTCGCATTGCCTTCAACTCTATTCAACTTTCGAGGCCCTCCTGTGGGTTAGTGTGGCGGCAGCAAGGTTCTATTTGACCTCCCACTCTTGGGTATGACAGGACTGATGACGAGAGATACCTTCGCTCCGCCGTCCTCATTTCCTCGATCGGTACCCTTCGTGTATCTAGGTCGGTTATGCGGTGCCCGTCTGCCCGAGACCCCTCGCTCTCGCGCTCGCACCTGACCGAGCAGATTACGTGGGCCCCTGGTCCTCACCTGACTCCTGCACTTCAAGACGCGCGTCCTCCCTTTACCTCACTACGAGCGCAGCGTCCGACAATATACCTTCGACTTCTCCCTCGCCGCTGCATCGTCATTTCGGGGACACCCACGACTAGAATTGCCCATGATGTACACATGTCATCATTCTCCGCGATCTTCGGCGTAACGCAAAGGTCATGAGTCTGGCACTAGCGCGTCCGACGCCAGGAAGCCAGCACCTCTACTGTGCTGAACCAGCCTAGCTGGCCGTGCGATTATGCCACGCGTTGGTGGAAATGGAGAAAATGTACTCTTGCTGATTGGTGGCGAATCGGCGAGTTTGGCGCGGGAGCGACGGTCGAATCGGAGGAGATGCTCGGAGAGGAAGGTACCGACCTCGTGGCGAAATGCCCTGCTGTCCATTGTGCTATAATGGAGCATTGAGTACCGACTGAATTCACCGCGCGCGCATACGCACTGGCGCAGAGGCTGGACCAAACCTCGTGCTTGATGGGTCGGCGCTCCACTATCTCCCCGTGCTATCATCGTACGAGAACCTGCATCCGCCTGAATCGGGATCGCCATCATCGTCGATGGTCTTGTTCCTCTCTCACAGCCCATGCCACCTTACATCTATGGGCCCCCTTCTTCGTTATCGCTCTCGCCCGTATGAATCGGTTGATGAAACATTTACTGATCATTTTTATTTCACAGGTTGGTGATGGTCTCGAAATTTACATTGTCACTGCGTCCAAGCGACCAAACGCCGATCTCGAGGCGATTGCAAACCTCAAGCAAGTGCCAGGTGGCTTTATCGGGGGCGAGGATGGAGAGAAAATATATGTCGTCCGGAGGGAGCTGAAGAAAGACTAGACGGCTCCCTCTGACCTACGGGACGCACGGTGTCTCATAACGACGTGTTCAGAGGCTGTTCGAGACGAATGCATAGAGGAGTCGAGAGTAGGGGGACGACGAGGAGTGCGCCCTTTTTCCCCGTGCTGTATCATCATCCACCACCCATCCACTCAATCCACATGATTACTTCCCACCTTTTTTGTCATGCGCCTTTTTACCCTCACTATATGCGTGCGTTGTCGTCGATGAGTCTTGATGGTTGCTTTGGCTCGAGGTGAGAAGAGGCAGCTGTGTTCATTGAGGCCGGCTCGCTCGATTCGACCTGTTCCACCTATGTAGTTGTAGACATTTGATTGAAATCTGTGTTCTGAGGCGTCGTCGTCCACATGAATGTCCGCCGTTGAGTCGGAAAGGTGATGAGATTTGATCCGCGCGCGACCTCTGTGGACCACTGGATGCCTTGCTCTCTGTGATGCTTGACAGAAAACTCGGGCATCATGTCATGATACATGTGTCGTCGCCTTTGTCCCGAGTCGGAGGCTCGACAGATAATGAGAGAAAGGCCAACGTTTGTAGTGTCTCGTCGACGCCCTTGCCTGTCAACGCGCTGCATTCGATGTATCCCTGAGCACCGATCCGTCGGGCCATTGTAATCGCCTCGTCAATGGAGACGTCGTTTTGCTGCCGTTCTCTCTTTTGGCTTTCGGGAGGACCAGTTTGTGAGTCGGTGGATGGCGGAAGATGCCGCAAGTCGCCTTTACAACCTACTATCACGATAGGCGGCGGTGTTTCAAAGTGAAAGAGAACTTCCGGGAGCCACTATCCTCTTTATGAGAGGTGGAAAGTCTAATGGCACAAAGGAGAACGTACGCGATCTGCGAGGGCACTCAAAGTGCTTCTTTTGTCAATTGAAAAGCACATGACGATCAATTCTGCACCCGGATAGCCCAATGGTCGCAAGCGGTCGTCTTCTGGACGCGCAGAGGTATCCCAAGGTGCGACGATAACATACGGCAGTGACTATCGATTATGAGTCATACTAGAGATATTATGGCACAAGAACCCACCATGGACTTGGGATACTTTACCGTTTCATTCTGGACCCCTCGAATGTTCCAAAATAGAGTCGATAAACTGGGAGCGACGTTGATTGTGCAGTCGTGATGGATTGTGAATAGACGTCCAGCAGCTATCGTGGCCTGTGCGTCGACGTATGCAAACGCATGGATCAAACTCGTCTTGCCCACCGCCCTCTCACCGAGGAAGAGGAGTTTGCGGACCTTTCGCAGACTGTCTCGTGATCTAGATTTGGATTTGTCCTTGGGAAACATGCTGGGTCTTCAATCTTTGAATTCTCGTTTGCCGCCTCTCGACAGCCGCCGAGGCCAACTTGGAGCCGATTTCATCCAGCTTTCTCTTTCTCTGCTACAATTCAACGACCAACACGCGGAGAATACTAGAGGCTCTCTGTTTACTTGATATATCAGCCTCCCTTCCTGTAACAACATCCCGACGACTCGAAGCCGACGCGACAAAGAGCGGACGTTTTAAATCAAGCAATATTACAGTACAGGAGTACCTTGGGGTATCTCCTCGATATTTATGACTAAAGTCCGCTTGAATACGGTAAGCCCGTCTGGATGTAATCCTGGTCTTCGCTCTAATTTGAGGAAGAAACGCGATGTTACCTGTCGAATTGCTGGAGCGCATATTGCTCTACGCGGTTACTACAAACCAAGGAGTGGTGAATACTAGAAGAGTTCACCAGTTGGCCCTTGTCTCGAAAACCTGGCGTATCCTTGTCTTGCGGCACCCCGGTTTCTGGACCTCAATCACCGTCTCCATCTACACCTCTTATCAATCTCACAAGCAACTGGATCTCCTAGAGGACAGGCTAAAGCGCTCACGCTCGCTTCTTCTTGACGTCGTATGGGAAATTTCAAGCGACTGCGAACAATTGATACCGGATATTGTCTCTCGTTTTGCATCGTATGGGGGGTTTGTTCGCTGGAGGACGCTTGTAACGCGCGACTGGCCTTCCCTTACTCTGGACGATATCGCAGAGTTGGGTCCGCTGCACAATCTCACAGAGTTGACGTTGAAGACGCAGATCTCACAGCGATTCTTCGACCATATTCTCTGCACCGCGACTCAGCTGCGCAAACTCGACGTTAACGGGGGCGGCAGAGATCTAAGCCTCCAATATTCGCAACTGTTCCCGCGTATTACACATTTCACTGGACCGCTTCACCCGCCCAACTGGCATGCCCAAAAGTTTCACAACCTTCGTCATCTAGAGGTCACTCACCCAACGGACGGCTTGACTCCGGATGTGCTCGAAGGTCTTCACTCCCTCATCCTACGCGGAACCTGTGTGGTCGATCGTGCGGGGCGAAATGCACCAAACCTTCGAGAATTGACCCTCGAAGGATACGCGCGCCGAGCTATCCAGGTCATCCGCGCTCCCAACCTCGAATGTATCACACTGCGTAGTGTGTACGAACTTTCTCACATCATGCAAGGTCTCAAGGACATCTTGGGGAACAGCCCGCGTCTTCGTCGCCTCTGTCTGAGGACACCGGTCGAGTTGGGGGACCTGCGCTCTCTCAGAGGACACGTTGGAGACAACATTGAAGAGGTGTCGATATGCATGGATCTACGGTCCTCAGCTACCTATGGAGACATTGCGTCGGCGTTTGTGGAGAGGTTCCCGTGGTCGAGAAATCCAGCAGAAGATGGAGATGGCGAGGTTCTCTTCCCCCGTTTGAAGAGTTTGGAGATTTTTGCGGCATACTCGGGTGCAATTTCTGACATTTATTGTGGCCTTGCGAAAAGATTGCTGCAAGGGAGGGTCGGAACGCAACTAGAGTTTGTTTCCTGCAGAGTGGATGGCGAAAGGGTCTTTATTGCCTCTAAGAGGGATCTTTAGGTATCTTACGAATAAGTTTACGTTTCATCTCGGTCCAATGCTTAGGAAGTTGGACATCCACCACGATCGCTGTTGACAAGCCAAAGTGAGAAACCGCGTATATTATGAGCGCTAGAGGTAACTCGATAGTTGGAGGGCAGGTAATTGCCGTCACTTGTATTGTTGCGTCAGATATTCACATCCCTCCCTCAGAATCCTTTTGATAAACTACCACTCGAGCTTCTTGAACTCATACTCGCTTATAAAGAGGCACAGTATCTAGAGTGTTGGAAGATAGCGGCCGTTTGCTCGCGCTGGCGCCGCACTGTCTTCTCCATCTCCTCGCTGTGGACAGGCATCTGGATTTCTCGACGAATGTCCAAACCAGACGCGTTCAGGAGAATGATTTGTAGAATTAATGGATCACTCGATCACGCTAGTACTCAGCTCTTGGACGTCTACTGGGGGAGTAGCTTCCATGGCAAAGAGGCGGCTACTTTGGGACGTTTATTGGCTCTTCGCGCTCCATTCTCGCGCTGGAGAAGTTTGCGTTTACAAACGCCTGTCACCCTCTCACCTGGTGCCCTTTTTCATGCACCTTCGATGCAAGGATTTACCGCCCTGGAGAGCCTGTCTATGGGAGGTGCACAGACGTGTCCCGAAATGTTGCATATCATTGGCCAGACCGCGACAGCACGACTGGTAGAGTTAGACATTCAGGGAAGTTATATATCTCCGGCCGAGTTCCTCCGACATGGAGGTGAATCGATCCTCAAGTTTGTTCGGACGATGAAGATAGACAATCAATTTTCCAATCATTCATCGTTTGGACGTCATATATTTCCTCCCAACGTGACGAATCTCCATACTTTTGCCATTCCGCTAATCCCTCTACCGCATATTCGACACCTTATCGCAAAAGGAACGCCACTCCTCCATCTACAAAAGTCGAGCTTCCCCAGTCTTATCACCCTCGACATCTCTTTTGCATCCGCGGCGGATAAATTTGGCGACTCTATCCTCTTCCCTTCGTTAACTTATTTGGTCTACCGTGGGCCTTCATTCAGTCAACTCCCTCTCATTCACGCCCCCGCCTTGGTATCCTTACAGTTGCGCGGTAATCATATTTGGAAGGCATCTGCTGAGGATATGCTCGTTCACGCTTTCCAGAAGAACCTACAATATAATCTTACACCCAGTTCCCTCACGATAGACGTACATGTTCGCAAAAGCACCATGATCATAATGATTAGCAGGCATATTGAACGCCTCCGTGATCTCTGCGTAACCTTGCCAAGCGAGGAAATCGCGCAACACGTAGTGGAACACTTGCTCAAGGCGTCGCAAGACACATATGGATCAATCATTTATGCGATACTCTCAAAGCTCACCTTGAAGTTGCTCTGGGTCACCAACGACCACCCAAAGTGGCGAGCCCTCGCACGAAAATTAGTGGATTCACCCAATTTCTCATCTATGGAAACCGTCTTTATTGAATGGAAGGATGGCTCTAGTTTGCTCGAGAGACGCACCTGAAATTTCTGCGGAGTTTGAATCATATGGCACATCAAAGTATACAAGGCGACAATCTCGCTCCTATATGGAATATTCTTGTTTCAGACACACTGCAGGGCATATCGAGACGGAGCCTAGATATTAGTTCCCCTTAAACGAACTGTACTCGAGATGTTCGTATATACTAGACATGTCTTCTGAAGAGGATCATAGGTTAATATGATATCCATCTTCCAACTCCTCGGTTTCGTGACCGTCGACGTGAAGAGCATCCAGTTCAGTAGCGCTAAAGCGTCGCCAGTGCCTATCTACCACAAATGAGATTCCCTCCAAAGATGATCCTTTCCGCACAATGAACAGTCTCCGACTGTACAGTGCAATGAGGTGCTGATCTACGCGCCAGCGGAGGGAAGAGTGCTCTTTCAATAGGCGTGGCCGTTCAAGGTCCAGAGTGAGCATTTTTAAGTCAGGACATGTGATGTCGTCCCCATAAGTTGGTCCTACGTGCTTCGAAGCCAGGCTAGAAATTGACGGGTGCATAGACGGCGCTGGTAGGAGCACTCTGCTGATGAAGAGACCCATGTCATACGTATTTCGAAATTTGACACTCAGATGTGTCGTATCTTTTGCATGTCGCACCACATGCTCGAGGATGTCGAGTGGAAAAGGGTGACGGATTGATAATTGTGGAGGGTTGAGCGAGTATTGACTTCCTTGCGCAAATACACGCAGCAGGCTCTCCTTTTTGATACGATTGATATGACTCCGTCGGGGAACGTATAACTCGGTTGGCGCACCGATGCTCAGGGAGTGGAGATTCGGCGCTTGAATCATCTCGAGTAATTGAAAATCGACAACAGCCACGCTAAGTTCCCTCAGCGTGTCGAACTCTACAGGAAGCGGAAACGTCCTAGGCACTAAGAGTCGGATTGTGAGGGATGAAACATTTGGGAGAGTCGTGGAGTTGAGATTATGGAGCGAAGAGATTCGGATCGACGTCACGTGGGGAAGAGGAAAATCAGGGAGGCGGCTCACCAGGAGCTCGTGAACGTTGGGAGGTAGAAAATGCTCTCCGAAATCTCGCAAATCCTGTGTCCAGAATCGTGATGTATACTGAATAAGCGTGGCGATACTACCATGGAGTTGCGCATGGTCGATATGGAAGTCACATTCGAATTGTCGAAACTTGCTCGTCGGCAAAGGTGGAAGGTGTGCGTCCACCAAGGGAAGCATAGTATGCCGTTCCTCGTCGAAGCTTTCCCAGACGAAAGACTCCAAATTTTCAAAAGTTTTAGTGAAGATGAGCGATCTAAAGAATGGGATATGGCGTGGTGCGAGCTCGGTGACTCGCAAGGAGTGCCAGCGCTCGATAGGTGCCCAACGGGTAAATATATCGAGTAGCTCGTCCTTGAATAGTGGCCATTCTGGATTATCCGCGACGGCCCATTCGATTTCGAGAGTCTGGGTACTTGCTCGAGAGAGCTGAAGCTCGAGCCATCCCATTTTTTGACGAATATCGTTAATAGAATTCGTTATATGAACTCTGAGATTGATTCCCCGCCATAGTGTGCTTGAAGAGATGATGAGAAATCTCCATGTACTACACACGGATTGGCATATGCCGCGCTCATGGCATTCCCAGTCGCTGCTATTGTATGCAAATTGTGTGATTATGCTGCCGAGTAGTTCCGCTGGGAGTAAGGAGATCGCTGCCGTGGGTTTTTCGAGGTCAGAGCAAGCGCTGGTCATCGGGAGAGGTGGAGTAGACAGAACAGGGTAAAGAGAAGTGGATAAATTGGCACCCGGCAGTCAGGCTGCGAGGGCTCGGGACTGATCAGGAGGAAGCTGCAAACCCACTTGACACCGATCCAAAAGATCCGGATATAGAATGTGTGGGTCTTCCTTTTTACGCGGTCGGGTGATCTGATACTGACAGTCACGATCTAGACAGCAAACACAACTTGGCTTGTCTCCCATAAACTACTGCAAGTTGGTTCCGAGCGCAGAGCATGCAATAGATTTCTTTATCTGTTGCGCTGGACAAACGAATCAAGTGGTCGACCACCGGCTGACGAGCTTGGATAACAAGAGGCAGCCCGTTGGCAGTGAATGCTCCTGAAACGCGTAGTCGAGATCGATCATTTGTTTACCCCAAAGAGTATTCTCTGTTTGTACAAATCCCTTGCGGCTTCGACGAGCGCCCCAGTAGTATCCGTGACAAGTTCAACCTAGACCAGTTCAACCTAGACCAGTTCTTCTATATCAGTATCTCAGAGAGCCACTCTGGTCCAATTGAAACTGACCAATGAGGTTTTGCATAGTGGGATATGCTGCAGGCCGAGGATTCCTCCCGACAGATGAAGGTTTCCACCCAGTTAGTCGGGGTGCCCACTATGTCCGGTCCCGGTGAACATGTCATGTCAATACGGAAAAATTGTGCACAGTTTGATCGATAATGACGCCACTCGCTTCGTCGAAACAAAAGCCAGCTGATCATGGATGAGTCCAAGCCTGTGATATCAATAGATGACTTTGGCTGGTCTTACGCCTCCTTCTCTTATCATGACTCTCGCTGCGCATTCGTACTGCTCACTGCCAGATGCCACACTTGAACAGTATTTGTGGCTGAGGGACGTCGCCACAACTGAAAAGTAAAAAAGCCAGCGGAGCTTGCTCACTCTGGGGTATATTAGATTTCAGAGTGGCTAAGCCTAGTGAGTACTGTTCGCCGAGCGTACGCCATTAATCGTAACACTGGCCACCAGACGGAGTCGAACCCCGGACAACTCCTGCCTGGCTGGTCGTAGTCGTGAGACTTGACCATCCCGCTAGCCGCGCACTGCGCTACTTTACTTGTTTCGACTTGGCCCATCTATTGTTGCCAACGACTTTATAATACAGGCGAGGCGCAGGCTTGCGTAGTTGGCATTGCGCACCCCATACTCGTCACTTGGTGAGACAAGTGGTGAAGCCAGCAAGTCCTGTAAGCTATATACGCCTTTTTTGACCCCCTTTGACTACCGCAGGGGATGAATTGCGTATCAAACTTCACGATAGGATATATTCCACATAAATTGATCATTATATCGAAATCATTCTGTGAACTGAAGCACTTCGTAAACTGTGCCATCCTGAGTATCCTTTTCAGCGGTCAGTATCCCGAAATGCGAGCCCAGGAGAAGCATACCCGTATTCCGATGATGTGATCGGGAGTCACAATAGCCTCGATATAGGGGACTTGTTCGATTTGAAATGCACGGAAGGGAAGTGTGGATATCATTGTCTCCCCTTCAACGTCTATCTCCCATCGAATGTTGGGTGCAAACAGGTCTGTGCGTCCTGCCCTGCCATTGAGATACTCAATTGAGCGCATATTAAAATCCATGACAAGGATGGTTGTTGCGCCTGGCCGTACATTCTCGGTCCCCAGGGTGCAGGAACGTACTATTCCCATGTTCTCCTCCCCAGAGGGGACATTTGTGTCGAACAATTGTTTGATATGAGAGACGGCACATACTCTTGATCCGCTAACGGAGGTGTAGCCTGGTTCTATCACGTGCGATTGGAGCCAGAAGGTACTAGGAGGACCCCACTCAGTCCACGAGTAGCGGTTTGCATGAGGTATTGCTGAATTCGAGGACCGGAGTGCACCTGCGTCCAAGAGTTCCAATAGCGGCTTTACAGCCACGAAGATGTGTCGGTTAAAATTGTCCATTTGCAGCACGAAAACTTTAGCGGCGGTCTCGTCTGCCATGAAGGGTGCAGGTGAGTGGTTGCTCAATGAACTGGGTGCGTCGACAAGAGGTCGATCTGAGAGGACACTACACATTGTCGGGTGTGCTCGAAAGGGAAGCTCGAGTTCCACGATCGGCTCTTTGGAACCTATTCGGAAGAGACCGATTTCCGTTACTGCGTCACCGTTCTCTTCTTCTATGAAGAAAGTGGCGGCAACAGAGGCCGGTGAAAGAAATGCAAAGCCTGAAGTGCTGGTGGTAGTCTATCGAGATTTAGAGAGTAATATTGGTGATATATAACTTTACGTGTAACAGGTCACCCGTCTGCCACTCCCAGATACAGAGGCGACCCTGTTCAGGTCCAATGAAGGTCGGGTGGCCGAAATGAACCGCCAGATATGTACCGGCGATCTTTATATCTGTATTCAACCAGGTTTCTGATCCGGGTCCTCTCAGAATCGGATAGGTAACAAGAGGATGGTCGACATTGCTTGAGAGCGTTCGAAGATGGAGGTCTTTAGCGGTTCTGGTAGTGTAAGCTCCGGATACGAACGAATAGGGTGCAAATCACCTGTGTTGAATTGGAGCAGCTGCCAGAACAAGCAGGTCGCTGGCGAGATCAAAGGAGAAATCGGCCAGAAAGATCCCCACGTCGTCGTATCGCCTCCAAACTGGACAACTCTGATTTTCATCTGATAAACCAATCCTGTTAATTTCGATTCCTCGGAACCATGGATGTGCAATGGAGATGCCGTGTCCAAAGAGGCCATCGCAGACCTCGTACTCGAATTGCTCGAGTGGAATGCGTGCAATGTACTTTGGATTTAAATTCCTCCACCGGGTCTCACTTCTTCGCAGAGCGTTCAGTCGATCATGCACAGAGATGCTCTGCCAAAGCGTCCCATTGGCATGATTCCTCAGGCGCAGACCGGACACAGCGAGCTCGATAATAAGTTGCAGTAAACTTGATTCCAGAACAAGTAGCCGAAGGTACTGGCACGTCTATACTGCGCTTAATGCCAGGGTTTGATCCAAACCAGAACATACAGAAGAACAAACCAGTATATCTCGCGCTGAGAGTTTGAAGAATATGATCTCTACGAGCTCGGTTGGTAGGCTATGAAGAGATGGCATGGCATCCCTTATGCAAAGTCGGAGGAGTCGAGACCAAGGTGCGATGCCCACTTTCCAGGTGAAACCTACCTTGGGCTCTAATTCACATGAAATGCATGCAAATTGTACAAGCAGAACCTAAAATAAATGATTCGGGATCTCATACAGTCTGGGAAGCAGATTCTCGAGGGTCTGTAGGGTACCAAGGCAAGGGACAATTCAACGTAAGGCTGTGATACTACAGTGTTCGTGTATGGAAAGATGTCTTCATTAAGCTAAAGCCAGATATTTGGTCAACTATTACTCTTACAAACCGGACGGCGACAAACATACAAAACGCAGCCACTACCTTAGTGGAACAGCTATATGGCTAACTAGTAACTAGGAAGAAGATAGCTCCCTCGGGCTGCAGCCATTGCTGAGCAAAGACCTTCTAGCGCAGAAGTGGCTCGAGTTTGTACATTGCATCTCGGGCCTGCAGTCCCCGAGGAGTAGAGTACATGAGGAAACTATCCATATCCAACTCGTGAACCATAGGATACGTAATTGGCTCATTTTGAGTCATACAAAATGAGAGTATCTTATACTCTGCAGATGGCGGAGCTCCTGTACTTGATGCATAAGTATTTGGATCTTCGACTCTTCTCTTGCCTCAACTATATCCCACATTGCAATAATTTCCAGGGAAATAAGCTGTGAACAGATCGCGAACTGTACAATGTCACCTTGTGTCATATTCTCTATATTGCTCCGATGAAGTAGAAACTCGAGGACCATCTGAGCCGTTCTAGCCTCCTCGCAGGCAATTCGCAGACTCGTAACGGTCGGCGAATGAAGAAGGATGGACTCGAGTATGTCCGCTTGAAAGGGCTGAAGGATATTCAGTTTGGATGGCGTGAGTGTATATTTTGTGGTACTTTGATCAAAGACTACGCCAAGGGTATAGTTGGCAACGTAAATTACCGAGGACTTTTGAGCGGCTGTCACCGGGTCATACGATAGAGTCAGCGAGCAAAGAAGAGGAGCATGAATTTCCTCTAATGGGATGTAAATTGGTCCCCGGATAAGCAGGTGCTGGAGTGTGGGGATTGTTATAGGGCTCCTCATGAGAGCAGATGGAGAAACCTTGAGATGTAGGGTAGTGAGCGAGGGAAAGTTACCGGATGGTATGAATGTTGAATGGAGGGTCGCAATATAAGGAAGTGGGGAATTTGGCCGACAATGCGTGGTGAGCTCGCTGATATTTGGGGGGAGGGTATCCGAGGATATCGAGCCTGGATCGTAAATCTCTATACTAGATAAGTATTTGAGTACGTTGGTAAGACTTTTTTGGAACAAGTCGGCAGATGGTTTTTGGCCTACAATAGTCAATGACCGGAAGCGAGGTCCGATGGTCTCATTGACATGCCTAAGGAGGCCATCAGATACAAGTGATATTAGTCGAAGCGATTCTAGGTTTACGAATCCTGGATCGTCCTTTAGAAGGTTGAGGAACATCTCCGTATCCGCACCGTATTCGTAATGAAGGCTCAACGAACGCCATCTCGAGAATGGAGCACGTCTAAGTAGTTCACAAAAGCGTGGAACCATGGGATGTGGAAGCTTCATCCCATTCGCCCAAGTGACATCCAAATGCTGTATACTAGCACGGCTGAGTTGCAGTTCAAGCGATGCAATCATATCCTCCAGATGACCTCGATGTTTCCAAGTAAAGTGGACGATAAATTTCGTCCACATACTGCTAGTCTCAACGACGAGGTCCCGCCAAAGACGGCAAACGGACATCAAGGAACCTCGATCATTTACGGATGCTTGTGCAAGTGGTACAAAGATGTCAAGTAGAACTTCTGGGGGAAGACCATTGATGTTTATTGGCATCTGGTCCAGGTGTCGCTTTATAAGACGGGAGTGGTTAGGTCTAAGAGCCATTTCACAAATTGACGATTGTGTACTCATGATCAGTTGGGTAGATTCTAAGAGTATAATAGACGACTAGTGAGAAAACAGAGGACTACGCGCATCATACTCGTTCCGGATGAGGGGGGACATCGATCCAAACGGAACAACCTCAGGTATGGGACTCCTCGCGTCGAATATATCGCGGTTCATTGGCGAGTATCCTACAAGGTCGCACCCGTCGCCGTCGGCAATGACCAACGATAATAAAACTAGAAGGACCAGACCGGCGCCAACAAAGTAGATTTGGTGTCTTTCGAGTCGCATAGCGTACTGTTGCAGCGTAGCAGCGAGCGGAATCATGCAGGCGACAACCATGGATCTCACTGTGGCAGGCGTAAGGTGGAGTGCTGGTATAGCGCGTGTGGCTCGAAGGACAGATCTGTATTATGCATGAGTACACCTTATTCCATTTAGATGAATACTCACTCTGTGGATAGCCCCTTTGATCGATCGTACGCTTGGATAAAGTGTGTCGACTGACCGACCATTGTCGTCCTTTGGGGATATGAGAAAGACGCAGAGTCCTTGGTTCGAGTTATACACCCAGTCGTATGAAGCGTGTGGACTGTAGACGCCGTTGGATGAGTTGAGAGGGCTTGGTAATCCACTGGACAGTGCGCCATCGCTGCCAGAGTTGGCTTCGAAGTCACCATAGTACGAGTAAGAGTCCTTGATATCCCAAACACGGGTAGATGTGCATTCGAACTGGGCGACGGTCGACATGGAGAGTGAGAGATTGCTCGAAGATGAAGAGACTCGTAAGTGGAGTATAGATGATATATATCGCAATAAAAATAGAAATTCAATTGGTAGATTGCAGCAATGGACCAGCCAAGGCAATGCAGATGGAAATAGACGGACGTGGAGGAGACGAAGAGTAAGACTTTGGGACCGGCGGTCCATTGTCCGAGGCTCAGACAGTGCGTATAGACCAAGTCGTCACAGCGAGATCAATATCATTTACGATGACAGTACGATAAATGGGAAATAAAGACTACAGCGTATTCAGGGAAGGATCGTGGAGTCCGCACGGGAGAGCGAAACCTATTTCTTTGGGAATTCCTTGGTACAAATAACAATGGAGCTGAGAATAAAGCTTCATTGGTAAAGGGGATTGGGATTACGAGTATCCTTCGTAGAGTCGGTATGGAGCCTCCAAGGAAGAGGATAATAGGGGATGCGACGACGTGTTTGCGGACCTTGGGTACAACAGGACATTGGCGTGTAGGTTTGCAATTGGACATGGAATGGAGGACAATTTTCAAGAGTGCTGCAAGTTGTTCATTCAGAGCATATCCGCATAGAGACGAACAGATGGCAAATCCGACATTGACTACTTTGAATCTTCCGAGTGCCGAGTGCGTGCAGACTCGTTCCTCTTTCTCCCTCCATCATAGACCCCAAAGGCTCAAAGGCGTTTGACGACATCTCCATACGCGTGCATTGTCTTGTCGGCGTGAACATGCACGCTCATGGTTGTCGACTCGGAGAGCACGCTTTCATACACGTCGTCCATGTCCATGTCAAACTGGACGTTCTCCCAACCCTCGTCGTCCTCGTGGCCTGTAGTGGAAGTGCTGACAGCATTGTGGTCGAATGGGATAATCATCTTGGACGCCGGTGAGGTGATCATCTCGTATCCGCGCGAAATATTGGCCGGCTCTGGGGATGGTTCAGAACACAGCGATCTATCCATCCATTTGTTGAAAGAATAGCACGTACCAGGACGAAGTTTGGCTCCAGCCAATAGGGAGACCATGTCAATCTCGTTGATACTTGTTCCCGCAGAACGTTCGACGGAGCCATTCACGTCGTATTCCACATCAGCATCTTGCTCGTCTTCAAGATCACTCCCTTCACGCTCACCCATGCAATACATCCGGTGTCTGCCATACTGCTTCGCCCCCACGCCTCGTCGTGGACGCCCCGTCAATATATCGGTGTACGCGTGCCAACAAATAGCATTCAATTTTCAAATTATTCTCATTGGTTTACTCTTGCGCGCCCTCATCACTCGCTAACAGTTGTAAGTATGTCGGTCCACTTTGTCTCCCGTTGGGTCATCGTCGTTGTGAATGCCGTTTTGTAGAGTCTGCATCTGTCACACCGTCCGCTCCTTTGGCTCAACCTGTACATCAACTAGAAGCAGCGCTTTCTCCTATCTTCTCGTCTGGTATCCAAAATGACCCGGTTTCTCCCTCTCCCCTTTTCCTTTCTCGTCACCCCCTTTACTCCGCGCGTATTCTTCGTTTCCAATTTCTCCTCCTACGAAAATGTCTTTGTGCTACTTTGTTCTGCGCTTTTCTTTTTCTTGCCATATTGTATTTTGACTACAATGCAATGAGAGCGATCAACAACACTGGGGTGGGGAGTCATAAGCTGGGTGGAGATTTACTTGGATTCGACCACTGTATCCTAATCAGATACTACCCACCTATAGCGTATGTCCACTACATTTTCCATCAATTCGTGAGGTGTGAGCGCCGCGTGTATCCCGCATGGTGCGCAGATAGGAGACTGGCATGGCGCCGCAGAGTATCCAAGGCATGAGCGCTGCTTGCTGCTTGGACCCGACCATCTCCTTTGTGAACAGTGTCAAATACTCGTTCACACTGGACTACCGTCCTGTTGGCTTCGCAGATCAGCGACATGGGCCAATCTCTCTCTGTTCTCAGCCCATGGAGCGATGCAGCGTCGGCCCCAGAGCCCGAATCAAAGCTAATCCGTCTCGGATTCCGAGAAATGGCCCCTGGAATGGATCCTGTTGTCGAGTAAGTTACTCTGCTGCTACAACGTGTTCACTGCTGAGCGCATCTCTGTAGTATTGTCGCGATCCATGGCCTGCAGGGACACAGAGACAAGACATGGACGTCGGATAATGGGGTCTGTTGGCTGCGTGACCTCTTACCCTCCGACTTTCCCAACGCCCGAATCCTAAGCTATGGGTATGATGCCGACACCTATAGTCGGGAATGTGTATCTACTCAGACAATCGGTCGACATGCCGAAGGGTTTATCAATGCGCTCTCAAGGAGACGGAAAGCCTGTCCTCGGGTAGGTTCTGCCTCTGCTATTTGAACTCTATCTGATTAAAAACTAGCGTCCCATTATTTTCATCGCACACGATATAGGAGGTATCATTCTCAAACGGGTTCGTAACGCTAAACTCTCAAGACCGTCTCTGACATCGCACGCTTGTAGGCGCTTGTTATCTGTCATAATCAAAGCCTGAAATCAAAATGTCACCTCCGGGATATTCTAGTATCCACGTGTGCAGTTCTGTTTTTTGGGACTCCACACTTTGGCGTCGAAAGCACTACCGCCCTCGAGGAACTCAATTCCGAGTTGCCGCTTTACATGAAAACGACAAACGCTATTCTCAAAGATCTTCGATCCCATTCGACAGAGCTCGAGACCATACAGAAGGACTGGCTCGCTGCGAGCGAAAGGATAAACAGCATATTCTTCTGCGAAGATTATACGGTATCCAGTGTCGAAAATGGAGGGGTGCTTGTGAGTTTATTCCTACTCGAGGATCATTTATTGACACAACGACAGAACGTCCCGCATCCTCTGGCTGTGATCCCCGGTGACCGCAGCGCAACGACAATTCCTCTTCCTGCGGACCACTGTAATCTGGTTCGATTCTCATCCAGAGAGGACGAAAACTATCAAACAGTCCACTTTTATCTCGAAGACTACGTCGACAATGCGCAGGAGACGATACGCGAGAATTGGGAAAGAGAAGATGATTGTCGCAGTTGGTAGTCATCCAATTGTCTCTACTTGGCTGATGAGAATGCAGATGCAGCAAAGGGAGAACCTACCCCCGAAAGGTTCATGCAGCAGTCCAAGGCGATCCTTAACAACTGTAAGCCCGAGGACCGCTCATGGATTTGCTTACTAATTGCTTCCAGTCGACAAATCTACCATATTACAACTTCCATCGGTCGCATTCGCTCCATCCTCAGTCCACAAAGCCTGTCTACCAGGAACGCGCCAGGCTGTTCTTGAGACGATCTCAGATTGGGCAGAGAACGACACACCGAATAAACCAATATTCTGGCTATGCGACATTGCAGGTGCCGGAAAATCTACTGTCGCAATGACTGCAATGGAGTCATGGGAGAAGAAGGGAGTCCTAGGTGGCCGATTCTTCTTCTCCATGTCGAGTAACGACGCATCTACCACCGAGAAACTGTGCTCGACCATTGCAAGAGACCTTGTTCAATACATCCCCGAGCTCGCACCGCACGTTTCTCAGGCCGTCACGCAAAATCCCTCTATCATGCGAGGATCCCTTGACGAGCAGTTTCAAACACTTGTCACTGGTCCGCTCCAACACCGACAAGAACGCGTGATTCTAGTCATTGACGCAGTAGACGAATGTACGTCTGCATCACAGCGCAAAAAACTCCTCGAGACTCTGTCCACGGCCGTCCAAGGATGCAAGAATCTCAGGATATTCATGACTAGTCGTCCAGACCCAGTCATCGAAACCGTTCTGGGATCGCTCTCGATCAAATCAAAGTTGGAGGACCGTCTTCACAGCGTCCGTCATCGCGATAATATCGATGACATCGCGATCTATGTGGGCCAAACACTGGATGGTGTTCTATCAAAGGACAAGATACAACGACTGGTTGAAAAAGCCAACGGGCTATTCATTTGGGCGAGCACTGCTTGCCGAATGCTCACAGATGAAGCCACTCTCAACTCCCCCGACAGTCTATATGACCGCTTGATCTCTCTGGATCAACGTGGAGCTATAGACAAGGTATATGACCTGATCTTCGAGCGAATAGATGAGGAATCTCATCCAGTGTTGTGTCAAATGCTCGCTTTACTTCTCGTAGCATTCGAGCCACTCACGATCGACGACATGGAGGACCTGATAAAGCATCTACGAGTCCCTGGAACCGTCAAGGGCTTGCTCAACAACTTGGGAAGCGTACTCAGTACAGAGCCAAGTACAAATTTGATCCAATTTCGTCATCTTACCCTCGTCGAGTATCTTCAACGGTGCTCTGGTTCCCCAGCCGGCGGAAGCCATAGGAGAATCTATCTTGACGTCATCAATGCGCATGGTCAAGTTGCTTCGTGGTGTCTTCAACACCTCAAGTCGCGGACCGATGGTCTCAAGTTCAACATATGTCAACTCGAGTCATCTTTCTACCTCAACAAGCAGATCCCGGATCTTGATGAGAAACTATCCAAATTTATTCCAAGAAGACTTCGATATGCCAGCTCGCATTGGTTGTTCCATGTGTCGGGAATGGACGACAAGAAGCCGTGCCCACTCGAGAACGATGTTGGGTACATTCTTCGAAGTCCACAGGTGCTATATTGGATGGAGGTTCTCAGCTTCATGAGAAGCGTGCCACGAGCCATCGACGGTCTGCGCGTGCTCTCAGATAACATGGCAGTGAGTATTCTAGCCTACGGGTACCAGCCGCTGAGATGGCATTTAGCTCGGAGAAAAGATAAGATGGCGGATCAATGATACCCTGAGGTGTTTGATAGCGTTTTTGGTGCCAATTCAGGACAGCGCTCCACATATTTACATCTCAGCGCTTCCGTTTACGCCTACAGAGTCTATTCTACGGATTGAAGGTCTAAGGGAGCATAGTGAGACGTTGAGGGTGACTGAAGGCCACGAGGAGGTGTATCCTGGGTTCCCTGCCAGTTTGCGAGGCCACAGTAACTCGGTCACCACCGTCGCATTCTCGCCAGACGGCTCACGAATCATCTCTGGCTCGGACGACGAGACAATTCGACTTTGGGACGCAAAGACTGGTGGGCCAGTAGGAGAGCCGCTCCGAGGCCACAGCGACTCGGTCCGGGCCGTCGCATTCTCGCCAGACGGCTCACGAATCGTCTCTGGCTCTTGGGACGAGACAATTCGACTTTGGGACGCAAAGACTGGTGAGCCGGTAGGAGACCCACTCCGAGGCCACAGCGACTCGGTCTTGGCCGTCGCATTCTCGCCAGACGGCTCACGAATCGTCTCTGGCTCTTTGGGACCAGACAATTCGACTTTGGGACGCAAAGACTGGTGAGCCGGTAGGAGACCCACTCCGAGGCCACAGCACTCGGTCACCGCCGTCGCATTCTCGCCAGACGGCTCACGAATCGTCTCTGGCTCTGACGACCAGACAATTCGACTTTGGGACGCAAAGACTGGTGAGCCGGTAGGAGACCCACTCCGAGGCCACAGCAGACTCGGTCACCGCCGTCGCATTCTCGCCAGACGGCTCACGAATCGTCTCTGGCTCTTGGGACCAGACAATTCGACTTTGGGACGCAAAGACTGGTGAGCCGGTAGGAGACCCACTCCGAGGCCACAGCAGCTCGGTCACCGCCGTCGCATTCTCGCCAGACGGCTCACGAATCGTCTCTGGCTCTGACGACCAGACAATTCGACTTTGGGACGCAAAGACTGGTGAGCCGGTAGGAGACCCACTCCGGGGCCACAGCAACTCGGTCACCGCCGTCGCATTCTCGCCAGACGGCTCACGAATCGTCTCTGGCTCGAGGGACAGACAATTCGACTTTGGGACGCAAAGACTGGTGAGCCGGTAGGAGACCCACTCCGGGGCCACAGCAACTGGGTCAACGCCGTCGCATTCTCGCCAGACGGCTCACGAATCGTCTCTGGCTCGAGGGACGAGACAATTCGACTTTGGGACGCAAAGACTGGTGAGCCGGTAGGAGACCCACTCCGGGGCCACAGCGATTCGGTCCAGGCCGTCGCATTCTCGCCAGACGGCTCACGAATCGTCTCTGGCTCGAGGGACGAGACAATTCGACTTTGGGACGCAAAGACTGGTGAGCCGGTAGGAGACCCACTCCGGGGCCACAGCGACTCGGTCAGCGCCGTCGCATTCTCGCCAGACGGCTCACGAATCGTCTCTGGCTCTGACGACAAGACAATTCGACTTTGGGACGCAAAGACTGGTGAGCCGGTAGGAGACCCACTCCGTGGCCACAGCGACTCGGTCAGCGCCGTCGCATTCTCGCCAGACGGCTCACGAATCGTCTCTGGCTCTGACGACCAGACAATTCGACTTTGGGACGCAAAGACTGGTGAGCCGGTAGGAGACCCACTCCGGGGCCACAGCGACTCGGTCCAGGCCGTCGCATTCTCGCCAGACGGCTCACGAATCGTCTCTGGCTCTTGGGACGAGACAATTCGACTTTGGGACGCAAAGACTGGTGAGCCGGTAGGAGACCCACTCCGGGACCACAGCGATTCGGTCCAGGCCGTCGCATTCTCGCCAGACGGCTCACGAATCGTCTCTGGCTCGAGGGACGAGACAATTCGACTTTGGGACGCAAAGACTGGTGAGCCGGTAGGAGACCCACTCCGGGGCCACAGCGGCTGGGTCCGGGCCGTCGCATTCTCGCCAGACGGCTCACGAATCGTCTCTGGCTCTGACGACCAGACAATTCGACTTTGGGACGCAAAGACTGGTGAGCCGGTAGGAGACCCACTCCGGGGCCACAGCAACTGGGTCAACGCCGTCGCATTCTCGCCAGACGGCTCACGAATCGTCTCTGGCTCTGACGACCAGACAATTCGACTTTGGGACGCAAAGACTGGTGAGCCGGTAGGAGACCCACTCCGGGGCCACAGCGATTCGGTCCAGGCCGTCGCATTCTCGCCAGACGGCTCACGAATCGTCTCTGGCTCGAGGGACCAGACAATTCGACTTTGGGACGCAAAGACTGGTGAGCCGGTAGGAGACCCACTCCGGGGCCACAGCGATTCGGTCCAGGCCGTCGCATTCTCGCCAGACGGCTCACGAATCGTCTCTGGCTCTTGGGACGAGACAATTCGACTTTGGGACGCAAAGACTGGTGAGCCGGTAGGAGACCCACTCCGGGGCCACAGCGATTCGGTCCAGGCCGTCGCATTCTCGCCAGACGGCTCACGAATCGTCTCTGGCTCTTGGGACGAGACAATTCGACTTTGGGACGCAAAGACTGGTGAGCCGGTAGGAGACCCACTCCGCGGCCACAGCGATTCGGTCCAGGCCGTCGCATTCTCGCCAGACGGCTCACGAATCGTCTCTGGCTCTGACGACCAGACAATTCGACTTTGGGACGCAAAGACTGGTGAGCCGGTAGGAGACCCACTCCGGGGCCACAGCAACTCGGTCACCGCCGTCGCATTCTCGCCAGACGGCTCACGAATCGTCTCTGGCTCTTGGGACCAGACAATTCGACTTTGGGACGCAAAGACTGGTGAGCCGGTAGGAGACGCACTCCGGGGCCACAGCAACTTGGTCACCGCCGTCGCATTCTCGCCAGACGGCTCACGAATCGTCTCTGGCTCTTGGGACGAGACAATTCGACTTTGGGACGCAAAGACTGGTGAGCCGGTAGGAGACGCACTCCGGGGCCACAGCAACTGGGTCAAGCGCCGTCGCATTCTCGACAGACGGCTCACGAATCGTCTCTGGCTCTTACGACCAGACAATTCGACTTTGGGACGCAAAGAGTGGTGAACCGGTAGGAGACCCACTCCGAGGCCACAGCGACTTGGTCACCGCTGTCGCAATCTCTCAAGGCGGCTCTCAATTAGTCTCTGGTTCTCAAGACAACACCATTCGCCTTTGGGATACGGATATTGTTCTGCCGTCGAAGCATTTATTCCAACATCGTGTCGATCAGGACAATGCTACGGCGTCTTTGCCGGAGAATTTAGCAATCATATCTGGCTCAACGACTGACATGGGTCCAGTCTCTCCAGAAGCATTTGGTCGGTATAGTCTATGCATGCTGCCGATTTCAATCAACTCACGCGTATCCCTAGGTGGTGCAGACAGCCGCTCTCAAGAGACAGAGGGAACTCCCCGACCCTCGGATATCCCCCAGGAAATGGACGGGATTCCTTTAAGCACTCTTATTCCTGGCTTCAAACAGTGCTCACTTTTGCACGATGGCTGGGTTCAATCTTCTGGTAGATTTCTCTTCTGGGTGCCACCAAACAATCGACATGGACTACAATATCCACAATCCCTTCTGACCATGCCGAAGACGAGTCCTCTTCGTGTCACCAAACTCGATTTCAGTCATTTTCAATGTGGTCGCTCTTGGACCAAAGTTCGAAAAACTACCACCCGGTGAATTATTGTGATCACCTCTGTATATTCTATTTGATCTGGGCGATAATATAGTTATCTGACGTGGTACAGAGTAGCGGAGGACTGAGCCTGCTGTAGATGTAGAGATGTATGCCCCTTATGCGCGTTCTGAATCCTCGCCATGATATCTGCATAGTGCAGCGGTCGACTTGGAGTCAGCCACCTGTATTATAATCCCTAGGGGTCTCCTCAGATCTTATACTGTTCATCTACGCTGTCAGATAACGGAATGCCAGCAGCGAGTACGAGCGTGAATGACCTGTCGACGTCAGGAGTATCCGTCTTGAGCCTGTCCCAGGTGATTGATTCACTGGAAAATGTGGTGGAAAATGCAAAGATCAGTGGAGATCTCAAATCGTACGAGAGTTTTGTTGAAGACGCCGTCGATGCGGGTATAAAAGTGAGTCTTATGACCTTCCCTACCCTCGTATTGACCTCTTTGTCTTACTCGTTCGGCTGGTGGTTCTTATGTTCTGAACCGCACCACTTCAATGGCTACTCATAGTATCAAATCCGTCTATGCCCCGCGCTCGCCCCAATGCACAAAGAACGCGCACCGACTCCCAATATCGCGCCAGATGCGTCAAATATTACGGCTGCCGTTCAAACGACCACGCAGACTGATCCGTTCTTGCCGCACTTCAACTCACTGCGCGTTGGTGAACTACGAGATGGAGTCGAAGAGGATAGCAGCGAGGGATACAATGTTCTGCTGAACAAGTTTGGGCTCATCAAAGGTCACTTTTTACTCGTTACCAAAGGTGCATCGATTGCGGTTTACGTATAGCGACTGTTGTGATTGATAAATGGCATGGGGATAGAATAGGAATCGGAGGCATGTCCACTCGCCCCGTCTCAACTCGTACAGCCGTACTTGCTCCTCCTGGCTGCACATACTCGCAATCGGCCCTTTCTCGCCTTTTTCAATTGTGGGATATTGAGCGGTGCGAGTCAGCCGCATAAACATATCCAGTTCTTCCCTATGTGCCATTTTTCAAACGCCCACATTTCGCTGTTCAAATTGCTCATCTCTACGACTTTTGATAACCTAGAGTCATTCATATGCAAAAATCACGCAATGTCGGGCCACGTCATGTTGTTACTGGTCAATGCACATCTTCCGCCACTCTCCGCAAGTAGGCTCCGACATTTCAAATGTGATATGCTCATACAAAAGGAGCTTCTCGGAGACGGTATATCTCACCTCATCAAGCATGCAACGTGATTCCGAACCGACAATCTTACACCCTTTGGCGAGGAGTTCTTGCCACCGAGTGTCTCGCATCTCGTCGCACACTCACCATTGACCTTTTGCATCCCCCATGTGCGCCACTTTCAAACGGCTACAGCTATCAATTTGAATTCGGCGTTTCTGCCGATGCTCGTCGCGCTTGAAATTGCGCTTCATGCTCCAGAATCACTACCGCAACCGGCCCAATTTCCAACGTTACGAGAGCTGGTGATATCTACTTCCGATTTTAAAATTCTGGAGATAATACACGCGCCAAATCTCGAAATCCTGACTCTTGCAACTAATACATTCTTCCGAGTTAACTCGTATCGTACCCAACAAAGCCTTGGAAAAGCTTTCGCCAAAGGTAGTGGGCTAACACTAGCGCCTACACGGCTCAATATTCCAGAGGCCTTTCGTCCTCCGCGTAGTGGTCCGGAGGCTAGCCGGCCTGACATTTATCAAGATGACTACAGACCACTTGGAGGCGGTCATTTTACTAAACACCGTATTCATCCAGGAGCACCCAGAGGATGGGATCGCATGTCCAAGACTTGAATCTCTCCACCTCGACCTCCGCCTCAAAATGCAGCAGAAGCCCTTGGTAGGCTTAGTACGTAGACTCTACGAAGCCCGTAAAGGAATGCCCCTGAAGATGGTCTCGTTCTCGAGGGGTGCGAGTCGGTGCACTATGAAACGCACCAGTTAGCAGTACTCGTAGGGACCAATACGCAGCGATGGGGAAGACTAGGAGCGCTATGAGGAAGACGAGACATTGTAGCTCAATAATATAAGCTGCTCGCCATACTGCAATATTGGCCAAATTTGATAGTGGGGTACGGCATTTGGATGGCCAACTAGATAAATACCAATACTCTATATTATGTGCGTGTCAAGAGCAGAGTGGAGCGAAGAGTCCTCAGGAATGCCCAGCATACAATTTCGCTCTGGTTCTAGACGAGAGGGGACTGTTCAACTTGGAGATGAAGATGGGTATCGACTTCTTTAATTGAACATAGTATTACATTCCAATTCAATTTGATTCTTCGCCTCTTCCCAGACTCAGAGGACCAGTCCAACGAGCACCAATACGAGGGGCGCCACAGCACTCAGGCGCATTCTCATCGCGGCATTATTCTCCGCCGCATTCTGGCCCGTACTCGCCGCCGTAATAGCAGGACACGTCGGACGCACGAGTACATCCTTGTACTTTTCGACCACCCAAAGCAACACACCATTTGTCCATCCAAACCCAGCCTGAACCGCATACTCGCCTCCGCGACCCGCACTATCCACATCGAGTGCCGAAAACTTTTCAAACAAGTGTCCGTCTTGGTCCTCTGAATGCGTGAGTGCGAGCGTCGAGTTGGGGAGACGTGGGAGAAGACCGTTGGGGAGCGATCCGCCCGTCGCGTACCACGAGCAGAATACGCTCGTCACGTATCGATTTGCGATTTCACGTTTTAGTGTTTCTGCCCACCCTTCGCTGTCGGTCGCCGTCCTGTTGCCGCCATTGAACACGGTCCCGTTCAATGCGTTGATATCTTGCGAAAGACCGACGGTGTTATTGCCTTCGAGTAGCTGGAGAGGCAGTTTGTCGACAGAGGGTAGACCCAGGTGGTTGGACGGCAAGAGGGTGTACGAGTCGAGAGAGGTATTGTAAAGGCCAGGCAACGTTGCAGACGAGACGTTCTTTGGCACGTTCGAGAGAGCTTCGAGCGCAAAGAAGATGTGTGGTGGCCAGGCGTTGGGGAAATCTATGCATACCCGAGTTAGTACACGTCGAGAAGGGTAAGAGTAGAGGGGCGCACCCCACTGCAATCCAGACTCGATAAAGGTAGCCGGAATAGTCCCATTGTACTTGCGCATAATCAAGTTCAAAGAGCTAAACGCTCCAATCGCCTTTTGTTCATCTCTCTGAACCTCGTTGGGCACGATACCCGCCCAAAGAGGATAGAAGTGCGCCGCAGTCCACTGCGTATTACGCGTACTGGACGTGAGGTTATAGTCGTAGAACCCAAGCCGATCCTTGTCCCAGTTGAGATCCAAGATAGCTGCCTTGAGCGCCGCAGCCTTTGAACGATGTTCCTCTGCAGAATCCGACGGGGCCCTCTTGATTCCACGCGGACCCTCTTCGAATTTGACCCACCACCACCCTGGGACATGTCGTAAAGATTCGCAAGATCAATATGAGCCTTGTAGATCAACGCGTTCAAGTCAACTGCACTCGTCCCGCGTACGTTTAGCGTCCTGAGGAGTGCGTTTTGATTCGTCGTGTCGGCTTCGTTGGCATAAGGTTCGCGAGTCCAGCGCGTAGAGTAATCCCATCCAGTCTCAGCTCCCGACGCGAGTTCGGCGTACAAGGCAGCCTTTTGCGTGTCGTTATAGGGCGTGGAGAGCGGTGCGTCGGGTGTACCGTTGGCAGTTTCGTAGTCTTCGAGGTAGGACTCTGGTCGTGGAGCAGAGTTTGTGACCGAGTAGTGGTAAACGGTGCGGGTCTAAAGCGAACTCGTTAGAGCGAATGGAACAACAGAGATCAGACTTGCCTGGTTCGTAAAGGGACTCTTGACGTTGACAGATCGGTTGTCCGACCACCACTTGAGTTCTTTCTATCCGTTTGTCAGCATCGAATACTCTCTCATGACTCAACCCACCTCGATAAGTGGTAGAGCTCTTGCGAGGGTTGCCGCATCCTTTGTCGCATTATAATAACTGAGGACCATGCCGGCGAATACGGGTGGTTGGGAGCGGTTTAAATAATAGATACGACCTCCGTTGGGAATAAAACCAAATTGTTCGAGTTCGTCCATAAAGTTCTGAAGTGTCGAGTTGGCAACAGAGTAGAGTTCGCTGACGAGGAGCCCGTCGAGGATGAATTTACTGTCCCAATAATCTATCAAAAGAGTCAGAGGAGTCAAATTCGAGATGAGGAAAGACATACACTGCTCTCTGAACCGACCACCAGGGACGACAAACGTATGGTTGAGCGGGATCAAACTGCTCTCACAGCGGCCACCTGTGCACACTTTTGACTCGTCCGTGTCGCGAATCAAGAGATTCCAAATCTTGTGAACTGCCAATGCGAAACCGCCGACGACTTCATCCCGTACGCCTCGCAGTCCAGCAGGATTCGTCGGAAAGTTGTTCAAGGGCGTCGCTTGGAGTTCGAGACCTTCACCGTCGAAATTACTGTTCAGAAAATCGACAATTTCGCCATAGGTAACGTTTTCGCCCGAAGCAGACGAGGCCGAGGTGATGTTGGAAAAGGCGGTCAAGACCTTTTGGGTGGTGCCATTGGTTGGTTTGTCGACAATCGTCTTGGAGTCTGCATATGGTTGGGCAATGTTGATCGTTTGCAGAATCTACGCAGGCATAATCGTTAGTGTCTATTACACAGTTGCTGCGGCTGGTTTGACGCACTCTACCCGCACAGAAGATTTCGCTGGGACACCATGCTTGGTCAGGAGGAAGTACAGCTTGGGATGGGAGCGGCTGGTCGAGACTGCCGGTCACAGAGGGCGTGGCCGTCGAGACGGTCGTGTCCGAGTTTGAAGTCGGGGGTGGTGCATTTGTCGCGCTGCTTTCGACTCCAGTACTCGATGTTCGTGTTGAACTTGTCGAGGTTGTGGGCGTCGAGAGTGAACCACTGGTCGTGGACACTTGTGCATAGGCAGCATACGCCGCACACAGGACAGTCGACAACACCAGGCGCACCATTCTCGTACGAGAGACCGAGCTTTACGACTTGCAACTTGTCCAGTTCTTTATGGGATTTCAAACGAGGCGATGATGTCGGTGGGGCTTCCTTTCTTCGCGTTCACATGAACATAATAAAAAAACAATACAGCTCTTGGCCCAACTTTTCAATCCGCCGGCGAGGAAAAAGTAGGGCCACTCGTGATGTCATTCATACTCGCATTTGTCCCGGCCAACTTTTCAAGGAATGCTGGACCCAGAAATACGAGATATACCATGAATACAAACAAAGAAATGGCCGTCCTCAATCACACTTTGCATGTTTGGAATTCTCGAAGCCCACCGTCGGACGAATCCGGACCCCCATTCTCGCGTGCTCGGCAATCATCACCCCACTTCTCCGCACCCGCTCGCCCTCCACTCACGATCGCTTGCCGCTCTGCCGGCAACTTCTCCCCGACGACCTTCTTCCACTCAAGTTTGACGAATGGGAGACGAGAAAATAGACAGTATGCGAGTATCTAAGACGAAAAAGGACAAACTACTGGACTGGTTGCTCCTGGTTCTTGTCTTCTCGCCCGCCTCTACGTCCCTTGATCGACAAATTATCAAGGTGGTAGTACATCGTTAAGTATTTATCTTTCCCTGTTCGTCTAGATATCCAAAGGTAAGCTCCTGAGGTGAATACAGCCCACCAGCGTCAAGAAGTAGCCGCATACCAGATAGCACAGTAGTCTTCCGACCCAGCACAGCTATGTGTTCATTTGCGCAAGCGCTTAGGTTGTTCCCATCCGCGACCCTCCGACACATACCACCCCAAAGGCTGGATTTACAAGACTTGGCTCTAGTCCTTCCGAGCCGAACCGAGGATGTAGACGTAGTGTATCGGGTGGTTTTCATCTCCAATCCATCTCAGGGGCTTTACGTCTTCCGAAAGTGGAGGTCGATCGATAATGATCTCAGCCATCCACGACGTGGCAACAGTATAGCCTTTACATCAATATAGATCCGAATCCCTACGCTTTGCACTCGGCAACGGTGCACAGCAAGTCGAGGAAGAGTGTCACCCTCAGGACGTGAATGCTATCCACACCAAGCGAACAAGTCGGTTCCGAACGAGAGGAAAGAAAAAGGTACCACCTAGTACCCTGTTTCATCGCCTTTATTCTAACACCGTCGTCAGCCTCGCCTCCAGGTGTTCCATCCATACTACTGGCGTCGACTTTAGCTATGAGTCCAACGTGTTTTGCTCTATTCACACATACAATTCAACGTCGAAATGAATTGGCCAGTCCCACTTCAGGCTGTTCGTACGAGCCACCGAGACGACAGCGCCTCCGAGTGAACAGAGGCTATTTCCCGCATCTCTCCGGTCGTCAGAGGTTAGTTTAACGAGATTACATCAACAAAGCGGTATATTAGAAACAGGGAAGAGGGTGAGACCACGAGTTATCTGACTTGCGGGCCTTTACATCCTCATCGTACCACGGTCCACTGCCTCTTGGTATGTCACGCCATCCCAATCTACAATCGGGAATCCGGACATGGTGATAGACTCTGCACGGGTCACAAAGCGTGGCAGCCAAGGCAGCATCTACAACTCTTCGTGCCACTCTCTTAGAGTCGCCCAGCTAGTATTGATCATCAACTTGGTCGCGAGATATGGTGCGTAGCGGGTGACTCGATTGTGCAGCCATGTCTCGAGCGATGTTGTTGGCTGGTACCAATCATCTAAGAAAGGCGGAGACATGAGGAGAGAAAGGTTAGAGGTAGAGTCCCCTTGGATAAATCCTGCCGTGGGTATTGCTCCGCTTCCAAATCGAACCATCTATTCGCTCCATAGACCTTGATATTGTCAAAATACTGTATAAGAGGTGGTTGGTGCGCATCGTTGTTCATTTGGATTGCGATACGCTCAACAAAGTCGGTGACTGTCGCCATATGTCTGCGAAGGAAGGGGATAAGCCCTTCAAAATTTGCCTCGTCTATACCACCTGGATAGAGAGTGCCCGGAGAAGAAGACATGACCATAGTATCACCTCGTCACATTTACCGAATCGTCCCAGCGTTTGATTTCCAAGCCAAGGAAACGTAGCAAAGGGAATTGTAAAAAATCGAGCCGCTGGTTCCCAAAAATAGTGACAGTAAGATGAGTGAGACGATCATAGGTCATCCCTACTTGTAGCAAACTGGACAACCCAGACGCGTCGGGGTCAGCCCAGTATCTACCCATGCACGCCAATGCTTTGAGGTTGGGTGCATGGAGAAGGAGTCGAGAAAGGTCTCCATATGATTGCAGACCACGGTTTGTCGCGACAGTGGTGATAATAACTTTGAGCAAAGGCCACTCCTGTTCAGTCCAGATGGCCGGCCAGGACGCTGGATATCCTGGAATACGGAAAATTTTTGTCTGTAAAAGGTCGGAAGGGAGGCCTTCTAGACTAGGGTTACTGTCATCTTTCTGGTCTTCCACGAGTTCGATCCTGCCGCGGAGGACCTGGAAAAAGAGTCGACAGACCAAAGAGAGTTGCATCCTAGCATTTTGGCGGGCTCTTATGCGATGCTTTGGTCCTTGTTCGGCCCTGAAAAAGCGCACATCTTCCACGATATTAGTATCAGGGAGAGCAACCGGTAAATCTGCCAGAGTGAGCGCGAAAATATGGATCCATATCTCTACCGGTATCCTTTAAATTGTTCCTGGGGCCATGATAATCGAGGTCAGGACGACTAAGGAAAGCAGGGGGAGGGTGGTGCGCACAGCCAAACAAACGCTTCACTAAGTGACAAGATTCGTTGACTGGACACCGTTGTCAAACGAACCTGATCACAGCTGAGTTTGAATGAGGGAATACTTCTCAAATAAGCCGCGTGACAGTGCTTCCTGAAATGTGATATTGTGGCGATCAACCAGCGGAAAATCCAGATGAACTGATGGATGTAAAGCGGGCAAGGAGAGGGGCCAAAAGACCTGGCCCCACCCCTGAAGTCGCCCATTCGTCCAATGATTCCCATTTTGTATCGACCAGAAGCTTTTGGCCCGTACAAGGACCTTTTCGTGAGATGAGATTGCGTAGCCACGTCTCGATCGTTGTGGTATCGCTATACCAGTCTGATCTACATGCAGGGCTGTTCATAATGAATATTAGAGATCTGCTGTCGAGAGAAGAGCCAGAATAGGGAGTTGTCGGAAGAAGTTCGAAACTGAAACCATCCTCTCCATACATGAGCAAGTTTGGAAATACCGAAGGATCCCAGGCAGGACGGGCCCTACGTTTGATTGGATGCTGATGTTGTTGATACTAGGACGCGTGAGGTGAGAGGCAAGACCAGTAAGGTCTGACTGTGTCATCCCGCGTCCCTAAATACATTGAGTTACGACATGAGCTATTAGTATTGGCTAAGTCTATTTAGTGACCGCTAAGAGTCAAAGGGTGAACCTTCAACAGATGTAAGTGACAAGGTGCTGCACTGTGGACGAATGCCTAACAAAGAATAGAGGAAACCGTGCAAATGCTGTATCCTGTGCACAACCGCCTATAAACATTGACCGAAGCGAAGGCAATCTCCAAGGGAGGACATGCCCATCCCCAGCTATCTCCATCAAACTCAATTGAAGATGAAGAAATCGCAAAGCTGGAAGACTTAGTTCTATATGGATATGATCCGGGAAGATTTGAAGTATAAGGTGCCTAAGCTGGAATGTGATGGCACTGAACCGAAGTGGATGATGCGCGGAACCTTCCGGCGGATCCTCGAGATTGTCACGAATGAGAGGGTAACTGTGATTCTTGGTCCTTTTCTGAGAAGTCGCCCAATACTTGACACCAATAAGCTACCAATCACAATAACCTCGAGTGTAGGCCACTCTGTTTCGTATCAATGTAATGGTAAATATTCCACCTGAGAATCAATCTCAATACGTCGCGAGTTGAAAACTGTCTCGTTCACTGGTTTAAGCGTGCATATCTTACCATCTTTGAGTTTGACAACGGCTAAAGTATCAGAGTTTGATCGCAATAAATCGCAAAAGAGATGGCAAGTGAGAGAGATATTCACTCTTTCTTCCCGCAGTCGCGAATATAGCTCCAGTGCTGAGCCAGTCCTTGGCGTGATAAAATGCATGTCGTCCAGAATCGTCGAATTTGGGGGTGAGAGCAAAGAATCATCAACCGAAAAATGGAGGATCTGGAGCCATAGCTCAACAGGAAACTTGCTTAACATGGCGGTCTTTGCTGCTGTTGGACGTAGGAAGAAATAGTGACAATGAGGATAGAATCCAACTCTCCGCCGTGCAACCAAAAGTATAGTAGGCCAATGACGATGAGCAAGGGAAGACCGGGTATAGATGACGAAAGAGGGATGTCGATAAAAAATCACCATCTCTTCTCCAATTAAACTCATCCACTTATATACATCAGAGCGGCACTATGACGCGAACGTGATGGGTACACACATTGTACTTGATCTTATCTTGAAATGAAGCTGTGTTCTGCAATCTCAGGTTACCGGCATTTCATCAAAGACCGTGCAGTCAGACGCCATTGAAACAGCATTGCAATGCCAAAAAATTGCCAGCATACTGCAGTCTGCTACTTATATTCATTGCCAATTTGCCTCAATTTCGTTGTATTTGTGCTCCTTCCCATTCCTGGTCGCCGCGATGGCTGTCGGTTGATTGATCTACAACACCGTCTGAGGTAATGTATATTATCATAGCTAGATCCAACGAAAGTGTCCCAAACCTATTACATACATTCAGACCAGTATACAGTGTATTCTCTGTCCGCTACTGCCGTTCATATCAAAGAAGTAATAGAATCCATCAGCAGGCTGAAGATTGAGAGCGCAGCCACGTACTGGATGACACAGTGTATTATTGTCCCTAATGCGGGTATGAATCCGTTTGCACGAGCATTTTCCATGATCCTGACGTCGCGCACATGTTGGCGCGGCTTACAAGTCCGCCTCGGCTGTGTCGGGTCTGCTGGTCGAATATTTGGAAGCGGGGTTCGACTCGTTTGCACCGCTCATGTGAAATAGTTGCCTCATGCTCATTCACGGGTCTTCGCACCGAGGATATTGCAGATCTGAATAGGAGCATTATGCTACGTTCGCATTGGGAGTGCTTCGTATTCGCTTCAGTCGTGAGCTCCATGCACTTTAGCATTATGCGTTGCTTCTATCTGATACTATTCCTCATCCTCTCACACATGGTTGAATCTTGTTTGGAATCTCAGGCGTCCGTAGCCCTTCAACCCGACGTTTATGGCCGCTTTCACGTCGTGCGCCTCTGGAAACTGACTCTCGGTAGTAGCTTCTGTCAGTCGAGAAGGGAAGGGAAGAGCCGCAAACTCGGAGCTTGAGGGTTCTGGCTGCTCCAGCACGTTTTTTTACAGGCGGAGGTCTTCTCCTCCGACTTGGACTCGTCGTTCTTCTTCTCGTACACCTTCTGGAAGAGAGATAGACTGGCTGTCTGCGCCTTGTCCATGACTTCCTTGATACCTTCAGCCGAAACGGAAGCATCGCCAGTCTGGCCCTCTACGTGTCACTTGTATGGTGCACGTCGCTTCAAGTCTAATCTGGACGTCGTCAAAAGGCAAGAACACGGCCACCCTGTTATTGATCATAGTAGGATGTTTCTTACAAATGCTGAACGAGTGCCTTATTCAACAAGATTGGTCCCACGTCGGTCCCTCGTGCTTGAGCCTTCGCTTGCGTCGTTTGCTCATCTTTCGGCTCAAACGTGTTGATATTTGGGCGTGTGGATAGGATACCCTACAAGACTGAAAAAAGGCGAGGATTCATTAACGGCCGCCTGAGTCGATGACGAGGAGACTCAAGGACGGTGGGCTTCTCACGCGACGTATTCTTCTGTGCCGAGGGTATGGACGCCGTCGTACCGAAGCATCTTCAGAAGACCTCGGTGCTTTTAGACGTCAGAGACCCGTCCACGACGCAGCTCTCACTCTCAAGATATGGATATCGTCGATAAGCTATTAGAATTATATGGAAAGACCTCTAGACAGCACTGGCTCACCGCGGCTGCGGTGCTATCTGGCCTGCTCGTTGTCAAACACGTCGTCCGTGCTCACCGTATGCTCGCGCAAGTCAACTACACCCCTGGATATCGATTCATTCTAAGGCCGAATCCTCTTCTCTCATTACTCAAGCTTCCGCGCATTCCGTTCATATTCCCGGGCTGGGGATGGGGGTATCGTGACAAACATCAAAGTAAGTCGACAATTAGTATGCTCGTAATCAGTGACTAATAGTGAGGTCTCAGTGTACGAAACGTGCAATTCCGATATTATCACCACATTTGGTTTGTTTCCCTCACCAGGTCTTGGTATCGCCATTGCCGATGCCGCAGTCGCAAAGGTGAGCAACCGCCGTAGATTTTCACCGCAGAGCTAACATATCTATAGGAGATTGCCACGAACCGGACCCTGTTCACGAAGCCTATCGGCATGTACAGGGCGATCGCCATTTACGGCACGAACGTCGTAACATCCGAAAGTGAAGAGTGGAAACTCCATCGGCGTATTACCGCTCCGTCTTTCAACGAACGGAATAACCGGCTAGTCTTTGAGGAGAGCACGAAGATCATCTCCGATTTGTTTGCTCTTTGGGAGAGAAAGCATGGTGGAGGTATCGTTACGGTGGACGACATTGGTGAACTTACTACCCAGTTCGCTCTCATGGTCATCGCTGCCGCTGGTTCGTCTGTCATCCAGAGGTCCTGGTAACTCACAAACCAAAAGGCTTCGATGTCCACTATGCCTGGGAGGACACAGACACAAACGTAAAGCAAGGGTTTGAGTTTGTGAGTGTTCTCGATAGTATCCGCTAGCTAGTCTCACCCAAACGCATAGACACTCCCCAACTCGCTTCGGACGGTTATGAGCAATATTATCATCCGAATAGCATTCTCGGACCGGCTCCTTGGACTCTCTAAGAAGGGAAAGAATACGAAAGTGGCATTTCGTGACTTCAAGGTCAGAACTTTCCACAGACATGTGTTTGCGCTAAGCAGTCTCTAGGCCCACATGATCAACCTCATTGAGGAAAGGAAAAATATCCCACAAGAGGAGAGAAGAGCGGATCTCTTGAGTAATCTCCTCGAAGGGACGGCAGAAGAGACGACTAGTATCAGGGACGATCCCACCCTTCATTTCGGTGATGAAGAACTATTAGGTGGGTGATTTCCTCGGATACGAGGTGGCCGTCTCTAAACTTGGTCAGGGAACATCTTCATCTTCCTGTTCGCCGGTGAGCCGCTCCGCCAGGACTATGCGATCACTCACCTTCACTATAGGTCATGAGACTACAGCACATACGCTTGCATTCGCAGTCGCACTCATTGCTGCCCACCCGGAAATCCAGGAGAAGCTATACACTAGCATTCGCGAACTCGTCCCAAGAGGTGAAGCTCCTGTACGTGACTATTTCATCACACACTCTCTACTGATTACCCAAGACTTATGCGGCTATTGTGAAGTGGTCATACGGTCTTTCTGTAATCTACGAAACCCTCCGATTATACCCTCCTGTGCGTCGAATAAGAAATCTTCATAATCACGGTCACTTAGCTATCCGCAGGTCGTCTCCATTCCGAAACAAGCCACCCAGGACACCGTAGTCACGACGCATTCAACGGATGGAAATGAAACCCCAATCCTTGTTCCAATTCCCAAGGGTGTGCCGATTATGCTGAGCATCGTTGGTTTACATTATAATCGTATGTCTCCTTCGCGACTGGTCCTTGCGCTGACCCGTGTATCGTAGCTAAATACTGGGATAAGCCGCATGCCTTCAGACCGGAACGCTTCCTCGAAGAGTACAACCGTGATGCATTTTTCCCATTTGCAGCGGGCCCGAGGGCGTGCATGGGTCGAAGGTAAGGCGATTGTCGTTTCTTGAACTGTCCTCACCTGCTCTAGATTCTCGGAAATTGAGGCACTCACCTTCCTCGCCAACCTCGTTCTCAACTACAAGTTTAGCGGGACAAAGTTGCACACGAGCGAAACGCCAGAGCAAGTTGCTGCGCGAGTCCTTGGATGGCGGATGGGTCCAATCACCTTGCACCCTGCTAAGGCGTCATTCACGTTCATCAAACGAGAATCCTAGAGATTGACGCTCGCAGGGTCTATGTCATTCAGCGCTTCCAACCTCCGACAAATGCACTCCCTGCGCCACCACCGGCGCAGCCAGAAATGGTAACTCGCGGCCTCATTGTATAGCCAGATAGCTTCCCAATATCGATTTTGCTTGCGCATGAAGATTGACTTGGCCCAGGATGGCCGATGCCGGCTCCTTGCCGATTGTCCCGAGCCTGTTGTGAAATCAAATCTGTCTGGAATTTGATTCACATCCATCGTGTTGGCCTCGTTGTAAACTGACACTTCGAAGGGAGGCTCGGTGGAGCCAAACTTGGATTCTACCTTCACCTCGCTTTTCTGAGCTCCCTTCTACGACCAGGATCAGTGTATGCTGGGAGACATATACCACACAGAGGAACCGAAATTTCTCGATTCATGGGCGCTGAGATGGATCACCATCCCGAGACCGAGCTCAACGCGCAATTTCGTCAACAGCGCGTCACCGGAATGCCGTCAACAGTTGGAAGCAGTGATTTCGGAGCAGAATGTCAGTCCAGGCGGCGCTCACTCTCGACGTTGAGTTTGAGCTCGTCCGTCGTCTCGTCTGCGCCATCAGGATCCGGGAGCGAGGCGGCGCAGTCAAGCGCGGACGAGCGTAGGCTGTCACTCAGGGACTTTCTCCTCGGTGACAGGGAGGCTTCCATCAATTGGGAGAGCGAAGATGATGACAGTACTACCCTGAATGATGAGGGCGAAGATGAGGACCAGGCAGGGCAGGACATCGATGCGTCCCTCACTGTAAACAACATAGATGTGCGTTTCCTTTTTTCGCTTATCGTGAGAACCCTCTTCGACTTACGCGCTCGGCTCAGAGTTCGCGGACCCTCTTCCGGGGGAACCTATTTTGGCATCTACTGCTCGGTTATTACTTCGTCTACACCAACATTTCCATCCTTCCTCTCGGTACTCGCCTTCATGTTGCAACAGCCAATGTTGCTGTCGTCACTCTAGGTCCGGAGCTGCTATGGCTCATGCGCACTGCTCACCGCGCTCGTACGTTTGGCCTTCTCCATATCGCTGTGAAACTCTACACGGCCCTCAATTGCCGAAAGGTGGCAGCCGTACTCGGTCTCCTGTCGATCGTCTCCTCTCAAGTGGCTAGAAGGGCGCCGTCTCGGTCTCCAGCATCCATCCTACAAAGCTTGGCCGGCTCTCAAGTTACTTCATCTACGTTGAGAGTCGACTCTATGGCCACTTTCACTCCCATTACCTTATTCGCGTCGGCCGCTTTAATTACTTCGCGCATACTCCCAATAATACTCGTTCCCATCTCAAGCATCGCCATCTCAGCAAGTTTCTGCGCTGCATGTGCCCTCTATCCGAATCTATATCACCCCACCACTCTCCTCAGTACCTCACTCATCGCCCTACTCCTCGGACTTCGGGTAGAGATGGTAGGTCAGTATCGCCAAACAGTGTCATATATTTGTAGATCTGGCACACCTACAGTCCACGAGGTGTCGCAGAATACAGGTCTAAATGGTCTATCGCCTCTGGCCGTCACAACTCCTGGCAACACAAAGGCCGTTTCATTAGCGTCTCTCTCCCTCGCATTTGTGGTCCATTCATTTGCCAAGATCATATCGTGCACGTTCTTTGCACTCTCAGCCACCTCTTGGCTCCTGCTCATGGGCGACCTGGATCCAGAGAGGGTTCTAATCTGGATCCTTGGAAGACTACATGCACGAAGATATAGATAGGCATCATTAGGTATGTATAAATCCTAATTAAGGCTCCAAATACCGTGCTTACTGGCAATAGGTCGCGAACATCCCCCTGTACTACATTGTATCCGTAGCTTCACTCGTATCTCATCGCATTTCATGCCCATTATTAGCCTTTATGCATCCAGGGCATGGACTGCATTGACGCATCGAGCTTGTTTGATCACTAGACGACAGAAAGAGACATCATGGTATATTCTGAATGGACTGAATTGGCAAAGCGCTACATGGATACGATGCTTGCGTTCGCCCACAGGACCGCGCCCACGCCCATGCACGAACAGTATAAATATACGCTCGCCGTGTCGATTCGGTTCGATAATCCTTCAACTCTTTGATAGAGATGCTATATTCTGCCATATTTATACCTCTTCTATCTCTAGCACCTCTCAGCACGGCCGCCCCGTACGTAGCCATTCAGGTGACAATCACCCCCGAGTCTTACCTGTCTATAGAGTCCCCTTGGTTGCACCCGGATCGAGACCACAAACACCTGACTTGAGTGACCCACGGACAAGATTGACGTGAGTTTATCTTGGCCCTCGCGCATTAGTAGATTTCTAATATCATCCAGACATATGCAGCAGGTCTGCGGGATCTATACGGTCGATCCAGGAAGCAAAGTCAGGCGCAAACAACGCGACTGTTCACCTAACGAACGCGCTGTTTGCATCGATCGGATCATTCAGCACCCGGTAGCACATCCCACAGACGATCATACTTCCTTCTTTATGGAGTGAGTCCTAAGGTGATCCAACTGATATAATCTGACGATCCCTAGGTGGTATCTACAAGGCAGCAAACTAAACCAGAGTGTTTGCAATGTTGCTTATCGGAAGCGCGGCACGCTGAGTATGGACAAGTTCGACCTCTGATAGACTATTTACTACTGTACCCAATACTGTATTATTACAGCCGTTAGCAGCAAGTAGAACATAAGATCGCGAACTGACCTGTCTCAATCCAACTGGGTTGCAGTAGAGATTGCGAAGTGAACATGATCGAAGCTACTCAGGCACCGTTGACATATTGCGCTGCTTCGCGGTTTGATAAGCGACTCCGTCCCAATCAACGAGAGGAACCCCCTTTGAGGCGATATTGTCAAGTCTTGAAAGAGATATTCCGACTGAGGATACTATTGCAAAGCTCGAAAGCCAATCCTTGAGCGTCTCCCAACTCGTATTGACCATCAACTTGGCCACAACGTAGGGCGAACCGGGCGACGTGAAGCCACGGACATGTGCTTCGAGCTGTAATTCATTCGCGCCTAGCTCAAAGTGATCGAGAGGTGTCATCATAAGGAAAGTAATAGAGCGAGAATCCGGAGATGCATGCACCTCCCTAGGCCGTGAACTTATTTGGAGGCGGCTTCCGTTTGCGCCGTAGGTTTCTACGTTTTGAAAGTATTGTAGTAGACACGACCTATCGTAGTTTTCTTCGAGGCGATCGAGGAGGTCTTTTACCGACGTTGCATGTCGTCTAAAGAATGGGATAAGAAGGTCAAATACTGCCTTCGACATGCTTCCTTTGATTGATAATGAACGAAGGTTATGACATGTCCATGGGAGCGCCTCTCCGTACTGCCGGGCGGTGGTAGTTTTTACCCAATACATGTCAATGTCAAGCTCCAGGAAGCGCAGCGACGGTAATTTAAGTGGGTCCAAGACTTGATCGTACGGAATGTAGATAGAGAGATGCGTAAGACGTTGGCCCACATCGGATGATAGAAGCCGCGTTATAGCAGCGACTCTGCAGTATGCCCAAGAGTGGAGTCTCTCACAGAATAAAGCCTTGACATTTGGAGTGTGAGAGAGTAGTCGAATTACGTCGTCCATCAGTCGCACTGTCGTATAAACGACTTCGATTGAACTCCATTTCTTTGCGTACCACTCCAGTGGTAACCCGTCTCTATCATGAGAAATATACAAAGTTCTCATACCAAATAGGCTACGCGGATCTCCTCTCCGCCTATAATTATAGCGGTAAGTGACCGAGTCCTCTGTTGAAGCGGAAGGTAATCCTCGCAAAATAGTATGGAAAAGACGGCATACGAGAGAAAGCTCTGCTTTACGAGTTTCTCTATATGCACGGACGTTCATAGGCTCCTTTCTGCTCTGGAAGAATCGCAGGTCCTCGACTATAGTCTTGTCAGGCGGCGGAGGCAACGAGGCTTCTCCAATCGCGAGATCAAGGATATGTGTCCATATCTCCACCGGTATCCGATGAACCGCTGATGGAGACATTGTGAATTCCTTGCAAAGTCACGGTCAGGTCCAAGAGGCAAGCTGTGTTTATGGAGGCTGACATGCCTTTCATCCCTGAACTATACAGGCACTGATTAGATTTGAATTATGATTCTCGTTCATTAGTCACTTTGCTATAATCTCAAGACGGTATCCAAAGTCAAACGCACCGAGATCATGGTAGGTCGCAATAGGACAATTGAGAGGGTGGAAAGTATAAAATTAAACGCACGGAGAGTGATATTCAAGAAAAAAAGGGCTGCAAAAATTCTTTTAGGGTTTTGAGATTATCGTGCATCAGGCAACTTGAACCCACGTCCTCAAGACAGATGCTGCTCAAGTTCGTGTATTATCATCTGAGCAGCTCCGTCAGAGTTCCTGGTCTTGTACGAAGCTTTACTTGGACCCATGTCGGCTGACCAATTTCGATTATTACGAGCGAAGAAGCTACCCTTGATCTTGTTCTCAATTGAAAGCTTCAATCAAAACATTTGTACCATACATGTAGAGCACAGTGCTGTTCAGCAGCCACCCACGGCAGATGTATTGAAACTCGACTACCGCACAGAACAAGCCTTGACAGAGTACTATCCGAAACAGATTTCTTGCTCTCACCATCAGAAAAATTCAACCTGGGGTTCCCCGTGGATTCCAAGACGCTCACTCTAGCGCTAACGAAGATGCGGTTCGCGGAGACCATTCAGATCAATATGAGTTGCTTAAAAGAAGAATGGCGGGGTATAGTCGCCGCTATAACAACGGTAAATTTCGACCTCATAAAAGTGGACTCGTCTCTCAATACGAAGTGGCCCGTTCTCAATCCGGATTCAGGCCTCGACGGACTCGATACTGGCTCAAGGAGAAAGCTTGAGAAGGATATCTCGGAGAGTCTTGGGCATACTGGAATCAATGTGATCAAGATCACTTCCCCGAGTGGTCACGGCATAGAAATGCACTTGGAGGATATATCTGGATTACAAAAGCACCAATTTCGTCACCTGTAATCACCCGTATTTTGTCCCTACAGATTGAAACTTGAGATGGGTAGAATTGAGTGAACAAAAGGAGGGTCTGTGACTCATTAAAGACCATGGAGAGATGTCAAGAGGGCTACGAACTCGACAGCCAGACCATTCGGTGTCAGCGCCTCTTGAGCCCGACGCTTCCCATCACACAAAGGGAAGCTGCATTGGAGTTGAATCGCGTCATCAGAACAGGTTAATTGCTTTCTGCGAAGTGGGATGCGAGTATCGAACACAAAGGATGATCAACGTGTGGCACGAAACGGTGGTTCGGCTAGTAAGAGACAAGGATATCTACTATTTGTGAAGATTTAATTGTTTATTTATATCAGATCATGGCATTTTCAAGCTGCCGACCGAACTTTGCGGATGATCCTTGTGGAAGCGGCGGTTGACTCTCCAGCTGATCGACAACGGCTGATTGGAGTGTGCTTCCAGTGGAAGGAGGTGCTATACAATACTCCGTCTCTCTGGACGACTCTATCGCTCTGCACTTATTATCCGAATGACGAGCAACTCCGGCAGCTGTTTGACGATCTGTCAAGCAGACTCTCACGATGCGGGTCACTCATGCTCGAGGTGAAATTGAACTTGGTCGGCTTGCAAGAGACACACAAAGCATCGCTTTTTGCGCTTTTGTCTGAAAAGGCGCCTTTACGCGTTGGAGATCGTTAGAGCTGTGGGAGCGCGAAGATCGTCTTCTGACGCCCTCAATGTTGAAGAATATGGGAGACTTTCGAAATCTCGAGCGACTCGACGTGTGCGCGATCATGACGGGGCAGCTCTTGAAGATGGCCAGCGAGTCTGCAACGTCCAAGCTGGGTGAACTTGCTATTAGATCCTGGATCCACCCGGATCAATTTGAAGCTGACATCAATGGTCTCCTCAAATATATCCGCCGGCTTGAACTTTCCGAACAATACCCCTCAATCAAGCTACCGGCCAACATTGTCGAACTCACAATGTCAAAATTTCCACCGATGTCTCTCCCTTATATCAAGATACTCACCTTCACCTCGCGTCAATCGGTCACCGACCTGAGCGACGTTGCTTTCCCAAATCTCACATCCCTCACCGTTTCATTCCTGCCTATCCCTTGGGATGTGAGGGCACCTTCTATTAGGCTCTCCAATGTAGAATCTCTGACGGTGTACGGATCAGAGTTTGGGGCACTTGCCTACCTGTCCTTGCCAAAGCTCCGTAGACTGGCGATGCGGGACCCACCCTCGTTGAGTAGACATCCATGGGGGATTGATTCTCTGGTGGACGCCCTCCTCCGAAATGAGTTCTCGCTCTCGCCCTCAGAAGAGCTCGACTTGGGATTCCCCGTCCATTCGGGAACGCTCAACCTCGCGGCAAAAAAAATGTCGCGCGTAAAGAAGGTGGTTATGAACTTGGAAGATGTCAAGCAAGATTGGGTGGAAGTGGTTGCCTCACTCACTAACGCAAATATGGATTTGCGCAGCAAGGGCTCGGGTCTTTTGACGGATTATCTCGTTCTAAAGTCTAATAACGAACTAGATGAGTCAGATACACTCCGAATTGCCAAGAAGGTGATGATGAAGCTTGCTAAGACGAGGACCACTACGCTGAAGATCCTTCCCAACGGCAGTCGTGGCGTGATCGTTACTCGAGACAATGTATCTCGTTGAAATTTGGTTGAAATTCCCTGAAATATATGTGTAGAATGGGATAGAGTGTATCTACCACCCGAAATATCAAAGGATGGGTCCATCCGAGTTCAAGGTACAGTATTCAATAATTCCACGAGTTTCAGGGACCCGAACAGGGCAATATACTTCGTCCAAGTTGAGGGTATCAGTCAGGTTCGGGTCTCGTGTGACGCTTCGGGTCGAAATTCAAGAATGAACGATATATTATCACCGTGTAAATGCACAATAATGCAATATCTAAGTCGAGTTGTGTCACACTGGCCTCCAGACGGACAGCTGCTTTGGGGGGAACTAACAAATACCAGAGTAGAAGAAAGTATATTATCACTTTTTAACACGTCATTTCTCGTGAGTTGCCTATCGCAGTCGGACAACGGTAAACTTCAATCACGACATGGATATCCATCCTGTGCTTTTAAAGACGTCGAAAGGCATGTTCAATTGAAGCATACTTGAAGTATGTGCCGCTATGAATACTTGTTAGCTGAATCTTTGCGAGGTCTTGTGGAACTTGGATTGCACGTAAGACAAGTGCGATTTCAAATCCTATCTGATGGTTTTTCTACGTTGATATAGTCGTTCATGCCCTTCTCTGTTTTCGAAGAAGTGAACGTCTCCCAAAGATATGGTTGAGTCCAAGGCCTGTTTGTGGTGAATGAATCTTGGACCTCGCCACCTTGGATACAGTATTGGATTGGAACCGTATAAGGTGCATACTGACGTCAAATACCACATAAAAGATCCAAATATTAGTTAAAATGTCGTATCTCGAATATGTGGTGATACCCAGTCACTTGATGTGTGAGTGACGAGCGAGCTTAGGGATTGTGAAGATTTAAACTTTTCTTTGTTCATTCAGATACTCCTACATGCTCTATCTTTCGGTTTCCAATCGAGATATTACGTATGATTCTGGTGGAAGCAACCGTAGATTCCCCGGCCAGCCGACAGAGACTCCTTGGAGTCTGCTCTGAATGGAGAGATATACTAATCAGCGTACCGACTCTTTGGACAACCATACCGATCTATATGCGCGACCCAACTGACCGGCAGCTACGGATGACCTTGGATTGTCTCTCCGACCGGCTTTCACGTTGCGAATCCCATCTACTCGACGTAGTATGGGACGTTGATGGTCTGAGCGAGAGTGCTGCAGAATCTCTTTTCGCTCTCCTGTCTAGGCAGGCGCCATTCACGCACTGGAGGTCGCTGGAATTGTGGGACTGGTCATCACCTCGACTACAAACCACAAATATGGGTGACTTTCGAAACCTCGAACAATTGGTCATCCGGCGCTATGCACCGGGGCGATTCTTGAAGGCGATTCACGAGTCTAAGACATCCAAGCTTCGGAAACTCGTCATATTAGAGGTGATTGCGAGCGAATGGATTCGTACAGAGGTGCTTGACCTCATAAGACAAGTCTACCGACTTGAACTGACCGAGCTGCCTCTCTCCATCAAGTTGCCGACGAACGTTAAAGAGCTCAAGACCTCTTATCTACCTTTGGTGACATTTACTCATCTTAAATTACTTCATTTCATCACTCGTTTTCATCCCCTTGTCTTCAGTGACCTCAGTTTCCCAAATCTCGTGTCCCTGACCATCACATTCGAGGATCGTCCTCCTTGCTTCCGGGGAGCGGTCAACTTCTTCGCTCTCGAGTCTCTCACTCTCGATGGGTCAGTGTTTGACTCACTCGCTTTCATATCCGCACCACGCCTCCGCAAATTGGCAATACGAGCATCTGTGCACTTTGCCCCATATACGAGCCAAACAACAAGCCTTGTCAGAGTACTATCCGAGACCGATTTTTTGCTCTCGCCATCAGAAGAACTCGACCTGGGGTTCCCCGTGGATTCCAAGACGCTCACTCTAGCGCTAGCGAAGATGCGGCACGCGGAGACCATTCGGATCAATATGAGTTGCTTAAAAGAAGAATGGCGGGGTATAGTCGCCGCTATAACAACGGTAAATTTCGACCTCATAAAAGCGGACTCGTCTCTCAATACGAAGTGGCTCGTTCTCAATCCGGATTCAGGCCTCGACGAACTCGATACTGGCTCAAGGAGAAAGCTTGAGAAGGATATCTCGGAGAGTCTTGGGCAGACGGGAATCAATGTGATCAAGATCACTTCCCCGAGTGGTCACGGCATAGAAATGCACTTGGAGGATATATCTGGATTACAACAGCGCTAATTTCATCACCTGTAATCACCCGTATTTTGTCCCTACAGATTGAAACTTGAGATGGGTGGAATTGAGTGAACAAAATGAGGGTCTGTGACCCACTAAAGACCATGGCGAGATGTCAAAAGGGCTACGAACTCGACAGCCAGACCATTCGGTGTCAGCGCCTCTTGAGCCCGACGCCTCCCATCGCACAAAGGGAAGCTGCATTGGAGTTGAATCACGTCATCAGAGCAGGTTAATTGCTTTCTGCGAAGTGGGATGCGAGTATCGAATACAAAGGATGATCAAAGTGTAGCACGAAACGGTGGTTCGACCAGTAAGAGACAAGGATATCTACTATTTGTGAAGATTTAATTGTTTATTTATATCAGATCATGGCATTTTCAAGCTGCCGACCGAACTTTTGCGGATGATCCTTGTGGAAGCGGCGGTTGACTCTCCAGCTGATCGACAACGGCTGATTGGAGTGTGCTTCCAGTGGAAGGAGGTGCTATACAATACTCCGTCTCTCTGGACGACTCTATCGCTCTGCACTTATTATCCGAATGACGAGCAACTCCGGCAGCTGTTTGACAATCTGTCGAGCAGACTCTCACGATGCGGGTCACTCATGCTCGAGGTGAAATTGAACTTGGTCGGCTTGCAAGAGACACACAAAGCATCACTTTTTGCGCTTTTGTCTGAAAAGGCGCCCTTTACGCGTTGGAGATCGTTAGAGCTGTGGGAGCGCGAAGATCGTCTTCTGACGCCCTCAATGTTGGAGAATATGGGAGACTTTCGAAATCTCGAGCGACTCGACGTGTACGCAATCGTGAGGGGGCAGCTCTTGAGGATAGTCAGCGAGTCTGCAACGTCCAAGCTGGGTGAACTTGCTATTAGATCCTGGATCCACCCGGATCAATTTGAAGCTGACATCAATGGTCTCCTCAAATATATCCGCCGGCTTGAACTTTCCGAACAATACCCCTCAATCAAGCTACCGGCCAACATTGTCGAACTCACAATGTCAAAATTTCCACCGATGTCTCTCCCTTATATCAAGATGCTCACCTTCACCTCGCGTCAATCGGTCACCGACCTGAGCGACGTTGCTTTCCCAAATCTCACATCCCTCACCGTTTCATTTCTGCCTATCCCTCAGAGAATGATGCCATCGTCTACTACGCTCTCCAATGTAGAATCTCTGATGGTATACGGATCAGAGTTTGGGGCACTTGCCTACCTGTCCTTGCCAAAGCTCCGTAGACTGGCGATAAAGGACCCACCCTCGTTGGCTCCACACTCATGGGAGATTGATTCTCTGATGAATGCAATCATCCAAGACGAGTTTTCGCTCTCGCCATCAGAAGAGTTCGACTTGGGATTCCCCGTCGATTCAGGAACGCTCACCCTTGCGGCAATAAAAATGCCACACGCAAAGAAGGTGGTTATAAACGTAGAAGATGTCAAGAAAGATTGGGTGGGAGTGGTTGAATCATTCAATGACGCAAATCTTGGCCTCCTGCGCGTTGATGGCTCGGCTCTTTCAACAAAGTATCTCTTGATAAAGTCTAACGGCCAACTACACGAGCCGGAGACACTTCGAATTGCAAAGAAAGTACTGATGAAGCTTGGTAGTACGGGGATCACTATGCTGAAGATCCTTCCCAAGGGCAGCCGTGGCTTGATCGTTACTCGAAATGACATAGATCGTTGAAATCTGGTTGAAATTCCCTATATATATGTGTAGAATGGGATAGAGTGAATCTACCACCTCAAATATCAGAGCATGGGCCCACCTGAGTTTAAGGTACAATATTCAATAATTCCACGAGCTTCAGGGACTCGAGGAGGGCAATATATTTCGTCTAAGTTGAGGGTATCAGTCAGGTGTAGATCTTGTGTGGCGCTCGGGTCGAAATTCAAGAATGAACGATATATTATCACCGTGTAAATGCACAATAATGCAATATCTAAGTCGATTTGTGTCACACTGGCCTCTAGACGGACAGCTGCTTTGGGGGGAACTGACAAATACCAGAGTAGAAGGTTCAGTCATTGTCAAATTAAACTGCAGACAAATAAAGCGCTCGGTGAGAGATGTAAGGAAGCGCAGTGTCGACAATCGATTGAACCCGACCGCGTAATCCATAACGTTATGTCCATGTTCTTTGACTATTCTCTGCCTTGATGATTCTATACTAATTATCAACGTAAAAGACGTGATAACGGCCACAGAGTGGAGGTACAGCGTGACAAAGCCGAGGGCGACACTCGAGACTGCAATTTGACCGGATAGCATTCAGGAGAAGGAAGCAACGAAACGAATAGTAGAGTAAGGATTCTTTTTCTGGTGATGGCGAAATTCCTGAGGGACTGGGACGGCGGGTACTGTCAACGTGTAAAGCCCAGGACGAGGGTCAGCGTATGAAAATTGGATAGAGGTACGTATCGATTGATGAGATGATCTGATAACGCATTGATATGCGAGCCGGAGCAGTCGTGGAGACTGCCACGCCCGAAGGTTGCCGTTTGGGAAAACTATCGATCCGCGGTCAAATGCAAGTTGTGTCAAAAGAGTGATAGTACAGAACCAAGATGAATTGGGGATCCTACCCGAGAGGAGGCGCTGCGGGGGGTCGAGGGACGAATGAACAAGCTCGGCTGTTCCGGTCGTGACTATCGACGCTGGGTGCCGAGTCGGCGGCGGGTCTGGTGAAAAAACGAGGAGACTGAACAGACAGGCGGTGGGGAGGGGCTATTGGGACGCTAGTTATAAGCGCCACTACTCACCACCGAGCTCCTCCTTGCCCCCTTTCTTCGCTCCTCTCTCCGCCGGTCTTCGACCATGACTCGACGACTGACTCTATCTCTACCAGTGATCTGTTGATCGCGTCATGGATTTGCATGGCTGTAGGCGTCGAAGTCCACGGTAGATTTTGAGCTGGGAGCCGAGACATGGTCCGACGAGGCGGTCCATTTTCCAGGAGAGGCGAGGGACCCCGGAAGGCAACGGCCATCAGATTAGATTCTTTTTTCGGGCAGAGTTGGATTGGAAACTCTTGGGCGAATTCAGTGGACCAGAGTCGGGAGACGGTAGGACCCCGAGTGGAAGGTGGAGCAGCCAGCGAGCGAACCGGCGAGGCGTCGAGCTGCCCTGATGTTCCAGCACATTCCATTCCCATCTATGTGGGTTTCCTTTCCTCCATATCCCCAGAACTGGAGACGACTGGGGGTTCGTGATCCAAAAAGGTTTGGTATGAGCTATTTCATATGCAACGAGGTTGGGCCGTTGATACTGCAAGGGAGCGGGTGGAGAGCCTGTTGTCTGGTCGGACGAGTTGTGCTCCTTCATGTTGCCTGGGCGGCGTATTTCTACCTCTTGCCATTACCTCTGTGTCGAATGACGTCAAGGATGTTCCGGCACCCGGGTCAGTAATGACGATGCGCTCATGGCTAACGCCTCTGTGACTCGAAAAACTAGACCTTTGGGTTCTATTGGGCGCGCAGGATTCCGGCCGTCAACAGCACCGCGGCCGCGGCCCCGCCGAGCAGACGCCACGGAGAGAGACTAGTGCGAAAAAAAAAACAAACAATGTTGCCCTCGTCGCATTTGATACCACCTTGCGCATTATCCAAGCCCCGCCAGGGTAGATTGTCGACTGGTTTCGGTAACCCCTGTCTTTTACTACTCCGACCAGGGGTCCAGCAAAATTTTCACAAAAAAGCGGAAAAGTGTCAAATTCCAATCTTGACGACCTGAAAGCTGTCATACCGAGCATTCTGTGGCATAAAGGAGATATTTTGCGTACTCTCTTGCTCGCTCAACCATCTGTGTCGGACTGCTGCCAGGAGCGGCGGCCACTGGTGCTTGTCTCTTTCCTAATCCTTGCCGGCGATGGCTCTAACGGCTTTTCTGGACCAAGCTATGGTCAATGGTGGCTCGTGTCTCTTTCCAAAACACCACGGCGTCCCTTTTGAGCACCCATGGACGCGAGCTTTGTGCCGTCCATCAAATGTCAGTACTCCCTCTCTTGCAGCATCTCTTATCCGTTATTCTTCATCGTCACTTGCTCCTCTTCGTCCAACGTTCTAGACGATTCGATCCAGAAATGCTTACCGTTGTTTGCTTCCAGGCGTCCTCATCGGAGATCACGACGCTGGCAAGGCACGTATTTTTTCTCAGACATTCCATCAATTTCTCATACTTTACGCGTCGAATCTTGCTCTCCATCCACCGACGCCCTCGTCCGCGTTTCCTTCGCGCACACCGCATACACGACTTTTAAACGACATTGATCCTTCCGCCAAATACATCCATCAATTACTTACAATCATATAGACCAGTCTCATGAATGCATTCGCAACCAGAGAGCCTCTGGTACGCTTTCGCTGTCCGGCGTGTCCCTTCGGCTACTTATCCGTCATCCGTTCCTTTACCAAACCATTCAACGCTTCGCCATGTCATCTATACATGGTCACGATGCATTCAGAACCAGTATTTTCCCGGCCGTAAGTGCCATTCTTCCCTCTTTCATTCATTCCACGTTTTTTGGCACCTACCAAGCGCCAATATCTCCTCATTTGCTGTGTTTCTAGTCTCTGTTAGACCACCACTTGCTGACAAGATTACTCTGTCCCGTCGCCGCCTCCGCCGGTCTCGACCGCGACCGAACCCATCAAACCCCACCTACATATGCACCACTCGCTCGGCGTGAACAATCTCCGGATTTTCAAACATATCCCGACCGCTGTCGATACCATCTCATCCCGGCGGTGTAACAACCTCAAACGCGACTGCGACTGCACATTACGTGGTCTGAACATTCATTTTGCACTCTTGGCCGTTGGGGTTTGTCTTTTGAACATACCCGGCTGTTGGAAACTACTCGGAACCTCGTGATTATTGTTCTGAAATGCTTTCCGTGGCATGAATGAACATGGGTCACCTGGTAATTCTCTCCACGTTGCCAAACTCTTCCATCGCTGGGCCTGAACGTTCATAATGGCCTGCTCCCGACAAAATACAAATGGCTCTCGTTGTCTGATGGATCTAACCCACAATAGTCCCCGGTCCCGTACAAATCCACATTGAGCATCTCTTCCGGCTATACCTCTTGCATGTTCACGAGGCCGATGGTTCACACCCACCGGAGCTATCCCACCCATCCAAATCAGCTGCGGATGGAGATGCAAAGCAAGCTAGCTCTCCCAAGCCGAATTCCGGAGAGGAGCACGGCCGGTACGCAGAAGACGACGGGGAGGATGAAGATGAAGACGACGATGAAGACGACGATCACGATATACACGCGGATATAGACGAACTGGATAAGGATGCACATGTTGCTCTTGGTCATGACGACGAAGGCTTGACGCCCGGCCTCGACGAGGTGTTGCCGCTCGCACATGGTCGTGCGGGTGCGAGTGCAGATTCGATCAGCAGGAGAGTGAGGGCGACAGAAGAAGGCCGTCGTCGTAAAGGCTGGATCGCGAGGCGGATGGAATATGGGCTCGTGGACGTTGTGCTCATCTGTTTCTCGCTGGTCAACCGGACGAGCTTTGAGAGTGTATCCAATGTCGTACGTTCTTTCTCATCGTCAATATTCAACGACTGATAGAGAGCACCAACCAAAAAAAAAAAAAAAGTGGCAGCGGGAGCTCGAACAATTTTGTCCCCACGTGCCGTTTATTGTCATTGGTTGCAAACTCGACTTACGCAGACCAGACCCGTACGTCTTCGCTACATCTCGCAAACTTGGAGCTGACGTGGCGCTGACGAATAATAGGACGACCCTGCGTCCATCCCTCGACAATATCCATCCCGCCCACTCAAGTCGATCCAAACTCCAGAGCGCAAAGCATCTAAACAGAGTAATGCAACTGGATCCCCGCCTCTCTCACCTACTTCGTCTTCCTCGACGCATAACCGTGGCGGCGCTCGACGACCGAAAATGGCAAGGTCAGCAACGACAAGCACGATTGGAACAAATACCGAAGAAGGTGGAGAAAGAAAAGTGGATGGCACAAATCCGGTACCGGGTTCGCCGACTCGGGGTAGGCATGAGAAAGGAGGAGGAAACGTGAGTGGGAATGAGAGTAGTGCAAGTGGCCAAAAAGTCAAAACGAAGAGGTCATTCTCGATTGGCTTACCTCGCGCCTTTCGACGACGAAGTGCGACTGGGACTTCCGCGCCTCCAGCCCCACCATCGTCCTTTCACTCGCCGTCGACAGGTGCTGGAGGCGAAGCTTCCGGGTCAGTATCGGGAGATACCGCGAACGGTAGACAGCCAGCACCTTTGGCAGTCCAACCGTCTGGTTCTACAAACACAAACGTGAGGCCAACTGGACCGCCTCTACTCCGCTCCCTGTCCAATGCTCCTGTGCTCCGTCGTGTACTGTCTGCACGGTCTTCAACGGCGAATCACCCGCTGACTATGTCTACTCTCCCACTTGCGGACGGCGACCACGCGCCACGTCTTGAAGATGCCCCACAGGGCACGTTGACAGAACGTCGACCTTCGATTGTACATCGCAAGACGTCGGGATCCGCAGACGACGCGGGTCAGGGGCGTAAACTCGAGGTTCACGTCCGGACAAATTCGCAACCTACACCAACATCCGCTACGGCCGTCGGAGAGAGAGGACTCGTAGCTACCCAAACGGCGGTCATCGGAGATGCACCGAGGAGGCAAAATCCGGGCAAACAAAGGACGCGGTATCGAGTAGAGGCGCCGATCAACCGACGACGTCTTCACTTTTACGACCAAACGATGGTTCGCGACGACAAACAACGGGGTCATCGTCTGCTGGGGGATCGACAGGGAGTGCTGGACTCGGTAATCCTGGGGGAGAACGAGTTCGACGAACGCGAATCGAAGAGCCACCGCTCTCTCAGCGCCATCGTGGGTCGGTGGTAGGGAGCATGCATTCCCATGGCGGATCTGGGTCCAATGTTCAACTGTCTCATCACGCTACTTTGACAGAAGGTGCTGGAGGGAGACAGTGGTCGCAGACAATGTCCTACGACGAGGCCAAATCACTCGCGAGGAGGATTGGTGCAAGCGGGTATATCGAGTGTTCGGCGCTGACGCTCGTTAATGTTGTCCAAGTCTTTGACGAGGTTGTGCGGATTGCGGGTGAGTACGACTTTACTCCATTCATCCGGCTATATGATGATGATTCGAAACAGTCGAACGGCGAACTGCGTCTGCGTCGAGTCTCCATCGACTTCGCGGACGTGGTCGTGCAAAACGGGGCGAAGATTGCGTCGCATTTTGAACGCCCATCCTTTCCCTTTCATCCTCACACTATAACTCAGTATATAAACGAACACTATTCACCTAGACCTCGAGCATAGGCGCAGCATGGACAACTCGCAACACTAGGACATAGTCATGGGATCTTACCAGTCGATGATGAACATGTCGGCTGTCACGATGCCCCCTCCCGCACGCCGCTTGTCACGGACGACACTCATATTTCTACACTCTCCCGCAGAGAGGGGAGCTAGTTTCTTTGGGGCTTTGGATGATTCATTCTTTGTAGCGTTAACACGAACTTTGTATTGGTACCTGCATATACACGAGCACGGTTGCCATTTGATCACATGCTAGATTCGGCGCGGTAAGAGTCGCAAACCTGCTTATATTTTTGTAATATATCAAATAAAGATAGGTCTGCTTGGCAAAACAAACGAAGCCTGGGGCACTTCGGAGCAAAACCTCTTTGAGCACTCCCAGGATCGAACTGGGGACATTTCGTGTGTAAGACGAATATCATAACCACTAGATCAAGCGCCCGATAATTTAAGGAGCCAACATTATAACTTACATAGCCAGATTAATACGGTGGCGGCAAGTGAAAAAAATATTCCTAGACAGGGAATCGAACCCTGACCCTGTCGGTGAGAGCGACAAATCCTAACCATTGGACCATCTAGGATGTCTTATTGGAGTCCAACAATTTTATATACTATAACCAAGGCATAGATTCATCACGTAGGCTTCATTTCAGCACTCATGGTCAAACTATGCACCTATGGACCCGACACGAAGCATGTATCTTCATTTGCGCATAACATACAGCAAAGAAGCAGTACATGAAGAGGAACTTGTCGAAGGTTTTCCCTTTGACTCTTGGCGCTCACAAATAGACTTAGCCAATAATATCGCTTCCCTTTGTAACTAAATGTATTTAGGGACGCGTGACGCAATAGCTGGACCTTACTGGTCTTACCTCTCGCCTTGCGCGTCCTAGTATCAACAGAAGTTGAGTACAGTACAGCCATCCAAATGGCCTCGATTAGGGATAAAAGGATGAGGAGAAACATCAAGGCGTAGAAAAAAGTAAATAACGAGGCACGCCGGGCTGCGGATACAACCACAATCATCATGAACAAAGAGTAGAAATGTCGGCTAAAAAGAATACATAAACTGTAGAGGTGGCTCGAACGAAGTGCATGGCAACGACTGCTGCAGGACAAGCTGTGCATTCTAGCATCGGAGACCAGTATCCATCTCCCATGTCCGACTGCTGTGATTTGGTACAATATTGAGCAGTGCACTGAGACTAATGTCGCGGGTGTCGCCTTTGACTTATGATATTCGCAATATTTGTAGTCTGAGACGCTGTGGGGTCGCCAGGTACGCTCTCCCGACGCATGCCCTTTTCACCCGGATCTCCAGCGACCTTTGGATTCTTAACTGTAGCATGGTAAATGAGGAAGTGGTGTCGATCCCTGGTGTCAAGAACAACTCTACAGAGGAACAGACAATTAGTGGCTTCACCTGGCGCAATAGGATATGAAAGACATACTCGACGTCACAAGTTAGCACGATAGGCTGTTCTCCCCTGAGAACCTTCATTTTCTTTATTCCTTCTTTGCATGCTCTATCGGGTTCGTCGCCATACCATTCGCAATGTTTAGGTGAACTTGTCGGATGTTCCTCAGAACGACAGCTTGCTGTCCAAGTACTGTGAAACGTTAGGAGGTGTGCAATTGGCTAATTCGAATGTCTCACTATCCATTGTATGGCTGCGAGACGATGCGTCGCGAAAGAGTTTGGTACGACGGTATGCTAAGGGATCGGTTTAGATAATCCACTCCATTGATTTGTAGCTCCTACTTACGGTGATGCGGATCCGTATGTCGCATGAAGTACACCGGTAGCCAAGAGGGGGAAAGTATAGAAAAAGATCATAGCAAAATAGCTCGATACCAGACCGAGTAGAGTGAAGGGAAGGGAAGGAATTAATGCAGGAAAACTGTAGCTGAGCGGTCTTTTATGACCACGGGGCGATAGCCTCGCCTCTGAGCCCATGGACAAATATAGGATTGTCAGGGCATGTTCAGACGAAAAATATGTGGCATGTGGGCTAACAAGATGGCCTGTACTGGTCCAAACCCAAATGTCTGCTTGTGCTCGCGCTCGCAAGCACGCTCGCTCCGAAGCGCGCGCGGTCGTTAGTGATAGCGCGGACATGCTCGTACATGCCTGAGGCATTCCATGAGCACTTGTCGTTTCTCAGTGCATTATACTCACATATTCGCCATAATCAGTGCTGAGATACTCGGCTCTCATGTATCGCAGCTTTGACATCGCTACGGGAATGGGGTCCGGTCTGTTAGACTAGCACTGAATCCCGTCACATGAGCTGCATCAGACTATTTCGGCTCAAAATTCATTCATTTACCTTGGCTGAAGCATTGCCTCAAAGCGGCAATTTGAAGCCACCCGCGCGAGCTTAATCCCGCCAGTTCAAGCGAAGGTGAGCCTAGTGACCATTCTTGGATAAAAAATGAAGGATACTCCTCAAGTTCTCATGTACTATGTCCATGCATCATAAAGTTAACTCTCATGTATACTCTCAGCGGCTCAAGTTGTCGCCAGTACTTAGAGACATGCACCCAGCGACTTTAGCCATGGTGGCGAGCCACCCACCCACCGCTCAACTGGCAGATTTGCGATCATGACGTGCTCTGGTGCGTTCAATTGGGGTTCCAAACTCCACATGGCTGCATGTCTCGCTTACATCAGTTCAAGAGGTGAAGACCACCCTCCTGACTCTTCTCGCCGTCACACCCATGTACATCATCTAGTTGACTCGCAGCTTACTAAGCCATGGAGGTGATCAGGTAATGTAAGAGACTCTAGACACCGTTTTCATAACAAGGCAGGCGTGTCGAAGCTATGTGAATACACCATAATTTACTTCAGCATACTATTTCACAAAGAATGGGTACATTCAAGTGGACTCCTGCGTCCGACATACCGTCAGGCTCGCGTCCAATTCCCAAACGACTCGCACAGTGCATAGGCGAGTCGCTTTCATCTCTTCTAAGAACGACTCCATACGGCTATGTAGATTGACTCGGTCAATATTATGGCTGCCGAATCGAATTCGGAGCTCAAGATATTGAGTCCAAGGTACCCAGGGTAACGCGTGGCCATTCTGTCTGAGACTAGACGCGAGGTGGAGAAGTGTATTTCCTACGGCACGTTGTCCGTTTCCTCTATCTTTCACCCGAAAGATCGCCCGCTTCGCTCGCGGCATCTTGAGGAGTGTCTCGTGCATAACCGCCTGAGACAAGGGTATCGATTTCCAAAGTTTCGACTGGAGAAAGAGAGAAATCTGGATGTGAAATGGTACGCTGCCAGCCATGTGGTTTCTGATAGTGGCCAGTGCGTGTAGTTGTTATTAGTTTCTGTACCTTGAGGATGCGGAGCCGTGGTGCCGAAAGGGATGCGAGTCCATTGAAATCGAGCGCAGTGACCGTGAGTGACGTGAGGGAAAGGAGGGTCCCATGGCGAATTGGGTTTATTCCAAGCCCCACCGAGAGAGTAGTGAGATGGGGAATATGACTCGAATCAAAATCAGTCCAGCCATGTACTTGAGTTGACGTTACAATTGTCGCCCCCATTGCTGTCCACGGAAACTCTCCTTGGACCACCACCTCTTCAACCTGCGCAGGTATTTTGTATGTCGGCGGCTCGGATGTCCAGGGAAGATGTACTTTCGTTGCTCTTTGGAGCAATAGATCAACCTCTGGACACCGAAAAACAAAAATTGATGCCTGGTGAAGGTCAACGACTCGTAATTTTTGGGTTGCTGTGCGGCCAAGGACCCTGAGAAAGCCGAGACACGAGGAACCCGAAGTCACTAGTCTCTCAAGGTTCTCGAACGCCCCCAGCCTCTCAATCTGCTCTTCGGGCAGATGGCATCGTCCAAGGATAAGTGTTCTCCAGCGACGTAAGGGTGCGTGGCGAGAAAGCAGTGACATGAGGGCGGCAGATCCACTTGAACCATTGTATCTTTCCTTCCAGTGAACGTCGAGTAATAGGGTCCCGCATCGTGAAAGTTGCTGTGAGAGGTACCACAAGGACAATTTCGAGTTGTCGTCGTTGATCCTGGGAGGGAAGATGACAATAGTAGTCCATAGAGACGGGGTGCGAGTAAGGGTTTCCTTCCACAGGAAACAGACGCCCATGAGCCTGTAGAGTTCAGCTCGCGACTGAACGGCGGCCTCGCAGAGAATGAGTTGGAGGATCTCGAGTGGAATTCTTGAGAGAGGAGATCGTAAATCTTTTGTCGCTTCAACTTTTGCTGGGAGAAACCGACAGGATGAGGCGATACTCACATTCTACTGCTAAAGATTGTGCTGCAGCTGGCCAATGAACGCCAAGGAACCAATTCGCTAACAAGCCATTGGCTTTGCGAACGTAGCGCCAATCATGCTTGGTACTGGCGGCCAGACCATAAGGGACTGCACCCAACAGACTGCGTTGGACAGTTGTCGGGTCCAAGTTTGTGGGGCACCTTTTCCAGACGCCTTATCCTCCGGATTATCTTAAGTGGACTTGCCAATAACTAGATTTAGGCTTCCAGTTGATGGCCTCTACTCACCTTTTGTTTCATCACCTCAACCGGACGTCGTCAACAGTGCGTCACTTCAAGGTCGTTCACGACACTGAATAGGATCTAGCTATGTGGAAACCAAAGGTATCCGCCGGCGGCGTGGTCCGGGCGATAATAATGGAATGATGAATACGCGTCCAGCTACATTTTGAATTCCTACAACCCTCGAAACATCGAGGCAATAGACAAAAGGGTCATGACCCCGGCAACATTGTAGGAAATCCTGTCTCACCGCAACTTCATTCGCCTGGCAGCTGGAGTTAGCCCCGGCACTGAGAAACTAGATAAAGGGATTCGTTGGGACAGTGGGAGCGCACCGCTCGACAAAATGACGCCTTTTTCCCCCATCACTATTACTCTCGATGCTCACAATTATTAGCGCCCAACTCACGATTTTCGCCCCGAACACGCACCATCAACTCGATCTTGCGGAGACTCAAGTTGACGTTGACGGACGTGGACTGCGTCGTCGCAAAGAACTCAGCTGCATCTTCGACCGCAAAACGTGGTAGAGCAGCGAATAAGAGTGTATGTGCGGCTGGATCTGGGACGGCTCCGTCGGGGATTCAAGAGCATATCACCCCCATTCTCCAACTACTCGCTCCACACCTCCCGAGCCTTCTACATAGTCTTTTGCGTCCAAGAAGTCGCAGTCTAGTCTTCACGTAGCCGCAGCGGATTCCCAACGTGGTGTGGAGCAAGTAGGTCCTTACCTTTCTTACTTCTCACGATTGCATAGCTCGAGACACAGTAAGCGCGAATAGATTATCGCTCAATGTCCTCTACGCGGCTGTCGAAGCGCTCGAGAAGAGCATGTAAGATAGTGCCGAAGTGAAAGGATTTGGAAGGTCAAGGAGCTAAAGTGAATCGTTCCAACTAGGATCATCAAATATAGCGATTCGAATAGGACAGTACAGTCTCCATGAAGTGGTTTCACGGACATTACGCGGTTAAGACTGGCGGGTATGCGTTTTGAATACCCCAGGTCGAAATGAGAGTGGAGCCATGGAAGTCGCAAGGCATAGATCTCACTCTAATGTCGGCATATATCGAGCTAATAGCCGGCCAAGGTCGTTATTGGGGGCTTATCGCCGTGTTGGCCCGCAGTCTCGTCTGCCTCGTGGGGATCCTCGAGAAGAGAATATGTATTAGTCGAGAACAGGCGAATTCATCTTCAGAATCTGGCTGACTCTACGAACAATTATCGCCGTCTTAGCCCCGCTGGAGGTTGCCCTCGGCACGTATGAACGGCAGTGACAGTGAGCAGGAATTTACATATAAAGAGATCAGAGCATGGCACTAACAATATCTCACTCCTGCCGCATCTTCCACTAAAGCAAGTCTCTGGTCAGTCAATCATCGACGCGCTCTCACGTCATCTACTGATAGTTGGTTTAGTAGCTGGCATGAAGCTCCTTCTCATTGCTACCGCTGTGCTTCCGTCTATCTTGATGGCTTTTGCAACGCCCTTGGTTGAGAGGACCGCGTGTTGCGGTTTGACTGATGAGCAGTTTAATGACTGCGTCACCGGGTGCACAAACGACTGCCCGCCTGAGGTGGCTAATATTCCATTCCTGTGCTACAACCCTTGTGCGCAAACTTGCTGTGAGTGAACCATCGATGGAATATTCACAACATAACAACTTTCTGCTGGCATAGGTCTCTGTTGAACCTAGTTTTAAGAGTCGAACGTGGAAAGCGTTTACTTGGCGAGATCATGTAGACATAACGGTGGCTCGCTCCCGGTAGAACGATAAACTAGGACGATGCGAATAGAACAGTCAAAATCGTAAAATATTACCACTTAAGCTCAGATGTACTGGCTCTCCAAACTGGGCTTGCCTGCTCCAATCGGGAGGCGCTCAATAACGGCAACGTGAGGAGCGATCTAGTAGTATAGAAACCGAAAGTTTCTGCAAGCGACATGATCCGAACGATGTCATGATCAATGCGCCTCGGGGTTGATATAAAGCTGCAGTCAAATAAACCGCCTAGAATACCCAGTCTAAGGTTTGTCTGAAGCAGACTCCTTATGGTAGCATGCTTTTGTGCTTCGCTCTCTAATGCAAACGTTCTTCGAGTAGCGTGAGCCTAGACCTGACCTTGGACCCTGCGATTCTCTGGGGACAAGATAACCAACCCTAACCAGATGTCCGACAACTCAGAAGTTGTAGGACGGACATTTCTACTCATCGGTGATGCTGGATCTGGTCAGACTCGATATCTTCAATGGAAATATCCAACTCTGAACGAGAAGAAGGAAGGTCAAGTCTGATATATCGATATATTACCGGCCAATTTCCACATGTAGGCCGTTCTAATCAATATTCATGCTCTTTTGACTCGAATTCAGAACTATATTCCAACTACCTTGAATCCGTGCGACGTTAATGTTGACGTTGCCGGACGAGCCGTAAAACTCACCATAGTCGATGGTCATGACGATGGAGAACCGCATTTAATGCGTACACAGCAATACCGCACCGCTGACGTCGTTGCAATTTGCTTCGGGCTTGACCATGAACGCTCTCTGTGGCATATCGAGTCGAGGATAATAGAAGAAGTCAGAGAGCTTGGGAGGCGAGACTTACCAATCATCGTTGTCGGTTGCAAGACGGATATACGAGGGGAGGTCCAGCGGAAACTGACCGACGGGAACATTGGCAAGACGATTGTACAGAGTGCGGATGCGAGTCCATGACTATTTTACGCGTTTGATTAAACTAACGAACCCCCAGATTACTTACGCCTTGCAAAGAATTGGAGCAGCACTCTACGTGGAGTGCAGTTCACTCGATAATGCGGGCGTAGACGAGGTCTTCCAGCATGCCGCGAGACTCGCTTTATATCCTCCCCAAGTTCCACCCAATAAACGTGAATGCGTGGTTTGCTAAACCTATTACACTGATACCTGCCGTGTATGAATAGGGAGATGCAGGAAATCTACTTGCGGGACGCATTGGATCCAGGAGCCCTCAGACTCAGTCGCATAGCAAACATTGCCCGAGGATGTAAAAACAAAAACATGACATGCTCGGGCTCACGGCGAGGCTTTCATAGGGAGACAGAGAAATCGTATTACATTATTCAGAATCGAGCACATGTCTGGGTAACCTTTGTCTCAGACAAATCTCCCCACGATAGCGTGATTCCCTCAAGAGACGCGTATTGTCTTTCCTCGAGGATGCGGTTCATAAAGGACCGCCAAAGTTTTTCAGCTTCCTCTGTACGGACAACCCTTGTTTGTAGTTTGAGAGTCTGCAGGTATGGTGCAACAATTGACCCACTCATTGGGATCTTCGAGGTTGATGCGACAGGTGGAGAGGGAGTAGGTTGGCGGATGAACATCCGCAGAGCCTCCCAGCCCTCATACGCGTCATTCATCCAGACGACTAGCTCTTTTACCCTGCGACCCATCCTCGTGATGCCTTTTACAAGTACATCGGGTGGGAGTGACACATTCAGCTCGAGGGTTTGAGTTGGCGTTAATCCCATTTCTGGTCGATCAAACGCCGCAGACAATGACTCCACGCACCATGCCTTCATCCAGCGCCTACAGGACCGCTCATTGAGCGATTTGGCATTAATACGGAGAACCCGTAGGTTTGGGAGAGTCATCAGTGCGAGCGCCTCGAACTCGAACCCAGACACCACGAGAATGGTGAGCAGTTCCAACCTTACGGGCGCGTCTATCGGTTCTTCTAACATATCGAAGCTGGTGGAGAGGTACTCGAGTCTTGGAAGGTGTTGACTCTTGAATCGTCGCAGTGGATTAGGCCGCAGAGTCGTCAGGGAGGTGATGTGCGGGAAAGAGCAGTCGAGCAAGGTATATGAGGTGATAGCTTTTATATTCTCTGGTAGCTCTACGGTCGCTCTGATGTCGAACTGAGGTATTAATGTCTCCGAAACAAAGCTGAGGATGCGGTTAAGTTCGGTGTTGAATTGTTCGACCCGCATTCCGCAATCATGAAGCTCGAAATGAGTGAGTTTCGATGTGACAGACTCGTTGACCCATTTTAACAGTCGACCGGGTTGGCAGCGTTGATGCTTGAGAGACGTGAGATTACAGAACGTGCCCATTCGTGCGAGAAGATCGCTATGGAGTATCTCGATATCGCAGACCTCGATCACAAGTGACTTCCACCGCGGAAATGGCGCTCTTCTCGCCAGAAATAGGAATAAGTCGGCCGCTTTGCTGTCCAGACCTACAAGAATAGTACGCCAGTGAACATCAAGCATTAGCGAGCCGCAGCGCTCAAGTTGCAAGTCAAGCCGCCGCAATAGCCGCTCGAATCTGTAGGGGTTGTCGTGAACTGACCAAATACGAAGTGTCGTCCAGAGATGTGCCATTTTTATCAGGAGATCTCTCCAACAAGAGCATACGGCGAGGAGGACACGTTGATCGGCTGGGGAGTCGACGGCGGCTTCGTAGAGGACGAGTCGTAATAGTTCAGTGGGCAGGTCTTTCAGGGTTAATGAACGCGGTTTGGATTCTATGGGAATAATTGAGCCTCAGAAGAATAGGAAGAGAAGGTAAGAGGCATACTTGTGAGTCGCATGCCGACTGTTTCTTGTGTTCCGTCGCATGAATGTGTTGAAATCGTTTGCACAGCGTACGTAAGAGCGCTTTCCACATCGCTTTTCGCCTGACGTGCGAACCCCATCTCCATCAACAAGTTGAGGCGCTCTGTTGCGACTTCTTCCGGCGTTTGTGGCATTAATGAGGGCTCTGAGAGATTTATCCGCCTTGCTTGACTGCCTTTCGCTACTTTATCTGCCTTTTGGGTAAATTCCCCGGCTTCTGGTCTCTCTGGCGTTACTGATCTCGGTACTGGTGTAAGTGGGTCGGAAAGAGGATTCATTTCTAGATCTTCAAATTTCAAACACCTCAATAAAGATGGCGCTCTGACTGAGATGTCGTGACCGTTGTTGTGCCGGGAACCAAGTTGGGCATAAACTGGCCCGTGGCGGTGAAGAGCGAGCCTCAGGGATATTTCCGAAGAGCTGAACCCAATACGGAGCAGGGGAGCCACCTCACCTTGGCTTCCCACCACAACACCGACTGCTTGATGGGTATTCACGAGCTTCCAGCAGAGATAATCCTCCAAATTATAAACGATGACATTTCCCCTTTGGTCCTGCCGACCAGTCGTACACGCAGACTGATCAGCGTCTGTCGTCGTTGGTACCATATTATCACCGCAGCGCCAGAGTTCTGGACGGATGTATGGGTTTTAGTTGATACTCTGTCTGTTGGCCATTTTGATTGGATTCTATGGCGACTAGAGACGCAACTCGCACGGTGCCAACAGGCGTTGATCGATGTGCGGTGGCAGGTTCGCACTTCGGATCATCTAACGCTCAGAATCTTGGCGGCTTTTAAACAAATGTACCATTTGAGCGATGGAGATCGCTGCAAATCGTATATCATGAAGGCGAGGTTCCAGATTTCAGAACCTCGCTCTCACCGTTGGGTGTATTTTGCTCACTGGAGATACTCATTGTGAAGCGGTGTCCACCAAAATGGCTTTTTGACTATATCAACGACATCCTCCCGCCGACAGCACCACTCCACGAGGTCGACTACGACTCACTCCACCTCTTACTTACGGACAACCCAGACACGGCGTGCAACATCCTAACTAAAGTAACAAAGCTCTCCTTGTCTCAGCTTCCGCGGATTCCGAATTGCCACCATCAAATATTGTCGACCTCTCGCTCGGACAATTACACCTTGTCAACGAATTGAACCTTTCGATGGTCAAAAGGCTCTCCGTTATAGAGCCTCTCAGCGCAGGAGAGCTGGCTGTATACTCCTGTACTTCCCTGAAGGAGCTGGACGTGGCGTTTGATGGCGGATTTCCTGTGCGTCGTTTACAATTTCCAGTTCTCCGCAGCCTTCGTGTACGCGGAAAAAACTACGAACCTCTCTCTGATATCGATGCACCGAAGCTTCAAGCTCTCTTTATTGATGCCACGTACGCATCCCAGGAGAATCCGGCGCGAGACTCGTTGGAACGAGCGGTGAGAAGTCAAAAATATACGCTCAGACCGGCGAGCGAGTTGGAAGTTCGTATCGTCGTGTCGGTTCAAACCCTGGGGATATTACTCGATCGTTCGCCGGCTTTGGAGAAGCTGAGAATCCATATGTCTAGTAGAGACGCAGACACAGAGCAAGAGGAGCTGCATCACTTGCTCCTCTCGCCTATTTCAATCGACAGAGACAACTATCAGACTAGCCAAGGCCAGGCGGCTCAGCGAGCGAACTTCCAACAAGAATCGGCTTCTTCAAGTAGCAAAGATGATGGTGGAGAAGCGCGGATCAAGCGACTTAGATCCCTAACAATTGTCCTTGAGAATATTTGGATAGAAGAAAAGGGGCTAACATGGGAGAGGGAGCTACGGTGACTTGAGGAGGCAATGAGAGAGAGAAAAGGCGGTACGGGTAGTATAAACTTCAAGAGTGTCTGGATATGACGATGAGCTCTCATCTCCTACCGATCAAGGTGTGTTTGCTTGTCTATCTAGATTTGTATCGCTGACAGTGACGTTATTATCAATGGTATTCTCCCTCGCTTTCAAAGACATCAAGTGCCATATTAGGCATGTCTAGTGTCGCCATCGTCAAGGATATGTGTTGTAATGGTCGTTGGACCAGAGAAGACTGTCTTTATAGAGCGATCAGGCGCTAAATGGTTGCGTAATCGTTCCCGTTCACGGAGATGGCACTTCAAGAGCTGAACGCGTGGGACGTATGCAATCCTGTAGTCAACTTGGAAAAGGGGATTGAGAGTAGACAAATAATAAATAGCATCCGGCATACAATGCTATCCGATCCAGGTTAAAAATCCGACCGAGACACACTAGTATCCGAATCATCCCCCCACACCGTCTTGACGCTCTCAAGCTTCCCACGGTGCAATTCAACGAGACCCATCATAAACAATCGCCACTCTTCCTCAACCTTTTCCGTCCTCTGAATTGGCGTACGAAATTCGAGCGTCTGAAGACATGGCGCGACGACCGTCGTTTCCCGTACGGCACCGACAAGCAACGGCGTCGGCCGTGACGCAAATACGCGTGTGATAGCCTGCGTCTTCTGATCCTTGCTCTCAAACCTCACGGCCACATGCTTCGTCTTCCTCGCCATGCGGACGATACACGTCGCCAACGCGATACACGGGAGCCCAATGTCGACTTCGAGCTCCTCTGTAGGCGAGAGGTTCAATTGTGGTCGGAGGAAGAGTTTCCTCAGCCTCTTGATCTGCTGGCGCGATCCTTGCTCCGAAGCGAGAGAGAGGATGCGTAGGACTTGGAGGTTCGGGAGGATCATGAGTGCCAGTGGTTCAAAGTGGTTTCCCGTCACGATGAGCGTGGTCAGTGTGGTCAGTCTGAGGGGTTCGGTTATCGAAGGGTCGAGGGGGGTGAACATGACCTCGAGGTACTCGAGGTTTGGGAAATGCTGCTCCTTGAAGAGCTCAAACGGATTGGGTTTGCCGACGGTGAGCGAGGTGATGTGAGGAAAGCCACAGTCGAGTACATGACGCGTTATGAGCGTCTTTATATTCTCCGGCAATACGACCGTCACGCTGTTGGATTCAAACCTAGGAAATTTGATCCTCGACAGCGACGTGAAGATAGAGGTCGTATTGGCGGTAAACTCGTTGGATCTCATCACCATGTGTAATCCAAGATATGTGAGGTTTGGAGTGGCGGACTGGTTCACTAGGTGCAAGAACCCGCCGGGCATATGGCTGTAGAGCGTGAGAGTGGTGAGATTTCCAAAGTCGGATACGCCCGCCAACGTAGTCTCATCCAGCGTACCAAAAAAGCCATAACGAACCACGAGCGACCTCCACCGCCAAGATGGAGCGCGTCTGGCGATCCACGTGAAGAGCTCGACCGTCTGCCCTGGCCGTAGATTCGTAGCCCAGTCGACGTCGAGCAAGGACGTACCGCATCGTCCAATTTGCACGTCTAGGCGCCACATGAGTCGCTCAAAGTGTTCGTCACTTTCGGATCGGGAGACGATGCGTAGATTTGTCCAAAGGTGGTGTGTTTTGGACAAGATATCGCGCCAGAGGAAGCAGACTCCTAAAACAGAAAGTCGGTCCGCGGGGGAGTCGCGGATGGCTTCGCACAGGATGAGCTGTAAGTGATCATGGGGCATATCCATGATCTTCAACCGACGACCTTTGGGGTATTAGCATCTGGGCAGACGCATAGAGAGGAAAATACGCTACCTGGGGTTTGGGCATCGACGACCTTGTCCAAGTGCTCGTCGGGTGAGATGTCGAGTGTTGCTGGGGTTGTCATTTTCAAAGTTGCCTAGAGGGCTCGTGACCACAGCAGCCGTATATAAGGTGTGTGAGCGAGTCATCGCCATGTCTTGATGGATTTCCGATCAGTTTCCAGAAGAAATGCTGGGACCATTGAGTTCCGTATAAATTGTTATCGATTGTATACATTTCCTTGTAAAGTCCGAGAAAGAGGGAACGAAAAAAAAGGAGAGTGGTCCAAGATTACCGGGTGACAATAAGGATAGTGCATAAAACCGTGCATGCGCGCCGTGATAGCCGAGCCTAGTCAATTCCAAAGGGAATTTCATCGTTGTGGTTCGTGTATGGTCGAGTTGGGATTGTCGCTTTGAGGCGATGAGTGGCCGGCGCCGAGGCCAAGTGTGATGGGTTCCTTTGCTCGCTTCTCCAAATCCTGGTCGGCCTGTTCGTCTCGTTTTGATTCCTTTTCCTTTTGTTGTTGACGTAAACGAAGGAAGAGACGGGGATATGGCGATGGCCTCTCACCTCCTATCTATCAAGTTGTGTTTGCTCGTCTCTCTAGATCTGTATCGCTGACAATGACATTATATCAATGTTATCCTTCCTCACCTTCAATCATCATGGATTATCTCTTCCCCTTTTGTTCACTCAATGCACTTGCAAGGAAAGAAGTAGGCCGTGGTGGAAACAAATTTGCGATTATTCCGTTGCAAACTGCAAAAATACATCCCATACAGTGCATCTGTATCTAATCAGAGTAAATTGTCCATTCGAGCCACGCTCGTCGTCGGACCATCCGCCCACACAGCTTTGATGCTTTCGAGTGAACGGCGTGCTTGGAGGATACCGACCATAAAATCACGCCAATCCTTCTCGCTTTCCTCGGTTATGCAAATACTCGTAAAGAACTCCAGGCTCTGTAGACATGGCGCGATGTTGGCGTCCTGTGTATAATTGGCAAGCATAGGGGTAGGCTGCGAGGCAAAGATTCGCGTCATAAGTCCTCTCCCCTTATTTTTCCGCTTCACACAGACGGCAATCTTTCTCGTTTTCCCTGCCATCCTCGCTATGCCCATGGCTAGCACCTTGTATGGAAGAATGGTGCCCACCTCGAGCACCTCTGTCGGGCACAGGCTCAAATCTGCTCGCATAAATACTCTGCATAGTCTCTTGGCCTCCTTGTGCGATTCTTGACCTGATATTTTGGGACGAATGCACAATATGCGTAGACGTGGGAGCGTCACGAGCGCCAACGGCTCAAACTCGTCTCCACTTATGATGAGCGTAGTGAGCGAGCTGAGTCTCATGGGAATATCCCAACAATCGAGGCGGGTGAATCTGGTCGAAATAGACTGAAGGTTCGGGAAATGATTCTCTGCGAATAGCCGGAGGGCGTTGGGTCTGGTTGTGATGAGCGAGGTGATGTGCGGAAAAGTATGGAAAGGTAAACGCTCGATCGTAATCTCGTTTATATTCTCCGGCAAGACGATGGTTGTATCGAGTTCAAAACTTGTGAGTGAGAGTGTAGAGATGCACTTGAGGATCGAGCTCATCTGGATACTCAACTCTTCATCGTCCATGCAGCCTCGACAGGTGACGTGGGTGAGTTTTGAAGTAATAGACTGATTCACGAGGTATAAAAGCTGGTAGGGTGCGCAGTGGTAGACTATGAGTGATTCGAGATTTCGAAAGTCAGAGAGGCCCCCTAGCGGGGCGTCGTCCGTCTGCACGTATTCACAGGAGCGAATCAAAAGTGACCTCCATCTCGACGATGGGGCTCGTTTAGCGATCCAAGTGAACAATATGGCCGTCTGCTCCTCCGAGAGACGTATGTCCCACTCGACGTCGAGCATGCAGCTTTTGGTTCGCCCAATCTGCACATCCAGCCACCAAATGAATTCCTTGAAGCACTCTTTGGGTTCAAAGCGCCCGGATATGCATAAATCTGTCCAAAGATATGGAATGTGGACCATTGTATCTCGCCAGAGCGAGCAAACTCTCATGAGACGGCTTCGATTCCTGGTCGAATCGAGAGCGGCTTCGTAGAGGATGAGCCGTAGTAGCTCGAGGGGCATAGCCGAGAACATTTCTGGATATGGTTTGGTATCATAATCATAACCATCCCCGCAGATGAAGGATTCAAACTCTTCGCCTTGAGAGAATTGGCCGTCGTCAAAGCCATCGAGTGCCACCGATGTCGCCATCGTCAAGGATATGGGTTGCAATGGTTGTTGGACCAGGGAAGACTGCCTTTATAGAGCGACCGGGCGCTAAATGGCTGTGTAATGGATCCCGTTCACGGAGATGGCAGTTCAAGAGCTGAACGCGTGGGACGTATGCAATCCTGTAGTCAAGTTGGAAAAGAAGACTGAGAGTAGACAAACAATAAATAACATCCAGCATACAATGCTATGCGATCAAAGTTAAAAATCCGCCCGAGACACACTTGTGTCCGAATCATCCCCCCACACCGTCTTGATGCTCTCAAGCTTCCCGCGGTGCAATTCAAGGAGACCCATCATAAACAATCGCCACTCTTCCTCAACCTTTTCCGTCCTCTGAACCGACTTACGAAACTCGAGCGTCTGAAGACACGGCGCGACGACCGTCGACTCCCGTACGGCACCGATAAGCAACGGCGTCGGCTGTAACGCAAATACGCGCGTAATAAGCTGCGTTCTCTGATACTTCTTCTCAAACCTCACGGCCACGTGCTTTGTCTTCCACGCCATGCGGACGATACACGTCGCCAACGCAATGCACGGGAGCCCAATGTCGACTTCGAGCTTCTCTGTAGGCGAGAGGTTCAATTGCGGTCGGACGAGGAGTCTCCTCAGCCTCTTGATCTGCTGACGCGATTCTTGTTCCGATTCGACAGGGAGGATACGTAGGATTTGGAGGTTTGGGAGGACCATGAGCGCCAGTGGTTCAAAGTGGTTTCCCGTCACGATGAGCGTGGTGAGCTTGGTCAGTCTGAGGGGTTCGGTTATCGAAGGGTCGAGGGAGGTGAACATGACCTCGAGGTCCTCGAGGTTTGGGAAATGTTGCTCCTTGAAGAGCTCAAACGGATTGGGTTTGCCGACGGTGAGCGAGGTAATGTGAGGAAAGCCACAGTCGAGTACATGACGCGTTATGAGCGTCTTTATATTCTCCGGCAATACGACCGTCACGCTGTTGGATTCAAACTTGGGAAGTTTGATCATCGGCACGTACGTGAGGATAGAGGTCGTGTCGGCGGTAAACTGCTCGGACCTCATCATCATGTGAAATGAAAGACATCTGAGCTTTGGAGTGGCAGACTGGTTCACCAGATGCATGAACCCCCCAGGCATATAGTCGAAGAACGTGAGAGTGGTGAGATTTCCAAAGTCGGATACGCCCGCCAACGTAGTCTCATCCAGCGTACCAGAAAAGCCATAACGAACCACGAGCGACCTCCACCGCCAAGATGGAGCGCGTCTGGCGATCCACGTGAAGAGCTCGACCGTCTGCCCTGGGCGTAGATTCGTAGCCCAGTCGACGTCGAGCAAGGACGTACCGCATCGTCCAATTTGCACGTCTAGGCGCCACATGAGTTGCTCAAAGTGTTCGTCACTGTCGGATCGGGAGACGATGCGTAGATTTGTCCAGAGGTGGTGTGTTTTGGACAAGATATCGCGCCAGAGGAAGCAGACTCCTAAAATAGAAAGTCGGTCCGCGGGGGAGTCGCGGATGGCTTCGCAGAGGATGAGCTGCAAGTGATCATGGGGCATATCCATGATCTTCAACCGACGACCTTTGGGCTATTAGCATCTGGACAGACGCATAGAGAGGAAAACACACTGCCTGAGGTTTGGCCATCGCAGACCTTGTCCAAGTGCTCGCCGGGTGCGATGTCGAGGGTTGCTTGGGTTGTCATTTTCACCGTTTCCAAGGGGACCTATGACCACAGAAGCTGTATATAAGGTGCGTGAGCGAGTCATCGCCATGGATTTCCGATCAGTTTCCAGAAGAAATGCTGGGACCATTGAGTTCCGTATAAATTGTTAATGCTGGGACCATTGGGTTCCGTATAAATTGTTATCGATTGTATACATTTCCTTGTAAAGTCCGAGAAAGAGGGAACGAAAAAAAAGGAGAGTGAGCCCAAGATTACCGGGTGACAATAAGGATAGTGCATAAAACCGCGCACGCGCGTCGTGATAGCCGAGTCTAGTCAATTCCAAAGGGAATTTCATCGTAGTGGTTCGTGTATGGTCGAGCTGGGATTGTCACTTTGAGGCGATGAGTGGCCGGTGCCGAGGCCAAGCGCGATGGGTTCCTTTGCTCGCTTCTCCAAATCTTGGTCGGCCTGTTTGTCTCGTTTTGATTCCCTTTCCTTTTGTTGTTGACGTGAACGAAGGAAGAGACGGATGAGAATGTAGAGCGCGTAAATGAGCGCGAGGCCGAGAAAGATGCCACCAACGATGGGTCCGAGGTTTGAAGGAAATTCTTTCATGACTTTTAGGGCGGATTAGCCCTATATCGGCTCAGCGGTGGACGCAACGGACGTACCTTGGTAGAATATATCCTATTAATAATCTACTGTCGACACAGAGGCACCCAGAATGGATCAAAAGGGGCCAGTGATACCCCTAAAATGGGGTGGTTGTTGATAATAAAAGTCGTGGAGGGGAACAAGAAAGGAGCGTGTGGACAAGTGAAGATCCCGAGCGCGCGCAACAAACGGCCATTGAATTATCTGACCACCCGACCTCTGATAATTCAGTCCATGGCGCACCTGGTTACACGGAAAGGACACATCCAAAAAGACCGAGATGATTCAAAATATTAGGAGATTTATAGGACATCTTTAGAGATTTATACGAGGTTTATGATACATGCTTGTCCGTTCTTAGCCCTCTTGTGACAAGCAAACGTTTGGTACTACATGGCTTATTGACAGCTGCTAGGCGTCGCTTAGAATGGTGCAAGAAATGTCACGTTTGACGAGTTTGAGTTGGCCGAGGCACTGAGATCTACAAAGACCATCGGTCGTTGTATTTCTGGACTCTATAAATTCTACCTAATCATCATTTCACAGTTCAATGTTCAAAGAGTCACCCGTCCGCGGCCGCTGCTAGTGCAAGTCCCGTCTTGAACCCGGCCGTCGTCCCTCGTTTTCAATGAACATTACCAAACTCGGGAAGCCAAGCACAGACATCTATAATACCCCTTTCAACTCTGGTGACTCGACATTCATCGCCGCGTCTATGGGGCGCTGACTCGGTTTCGACTCATAAAATACGCGCCGTCGCCCAACGAGCAAAGAAACCGAGCCCCTCGACAGGAACAACCATGTTTGGATCTTGGGTATCTGATATTCGTCGGGTCTTGCACCTCGACAGACGGCCTAGTGCAAGCGCACGACGAAGAAGACTATCGACCATGGTTACTTTACCCACAACGACAACACGAGTCGATACAACAACAGCAGAACGCATCAATACAGATCCTGTTCTTGATGTAATCACTACAGCACCAGCGTCGACGGAGACATCCGAGACACCGGCGCCTGCAACGACCACAGACGCAAATGAGAACGCTAACGCACTGGGGAACACCTATGCATACTTGACGCGCATCATGGATTCTACCCCAGTCAATGTCACCACAGAAAACACAGTGGCAACTGCAGAGCCAAGAATAGTCGTGGAGACCCCCGGGGTTGTGACACCTGGTGCGTCTCTTTCTTGGACTCTATCCCCTCCTAACCCTTTGCAGAGGTCGCCGTACGCACGTTGACGCTCACCGACCTGCCCGCCGAGGTCCTTCGTCTAGTCCTCTGGGAAGCTGCCGTCGACTCTCCGGTAGAACGACGATGTCTGCTCGGCGTATGCTTCCTCTGGCGCGACATTCTAGTTAACATGTTCCACCTCTGGACATCGCTCCGTATCATCTCCAGCTACGAAAACGATGCCGGGTTCGAGCGATTCCTCTGGCGTCTCGACTTGCAGCTCCAGCGTTGTGGACCACTAATGCTCGACGTTCACTGGCGAACGACCATGTCGTACGAACAGACGACCCAGTTGTTCGCCCTCTTGTCCAAGCGTGCACCCTTTTCGCGATGGAAGTCGCTTGTGCTCGAGTATTGCGACAATGGTGCCTTTAACGACGACATGCTCACAGGGATGTCCGATTTCCGCAACCTCACCTCGCTCAAAATCACCTATTGCGCACCCGAACGACTCTTACGACGCGTCAACGACTCGGTCACGTCCAAGCTCACCGATTTTGGCTTCAACTACACCGGGATGACCATAAGTCAGTTTAATTCCGAGATGAACTCGATCCTCAAGCACGTCTCGGTGATTCAACTCCCCAACTTTGACGTCGATTCGACCGTCTTCTTGCCAGACAACGTAAAGGAGATTACGTCCTACTATGTCCCCAACTGCGCCTTTCCGCATGTCACTTCTGTCACCACCACTGGATGGAACCCCGTTCGACGATTCAAGAACCGACATTTCCCAAACCTAGAATACCTCTCGACAATGTTCACCCGGCCCGACGCCTCGATGGACGTTCCCGTCGTTTTGGCTTCGCTCACGACGCTCATCGTATCCGGATGCGAATACGAGCCATTGGCGTTAATGACATTGCCAAACTTGAACGTTCTCCGCATTCGCACCAGCTCGTCTGAGCAAGGTTCGTACAAGCACGAGATTAATACGCTCCGCACGGCAGTGACGAGACGCGAGCTCAACTTGTCCCCTACGGGTGTGCTCGAAATCGACGTTCCTGTCCCTGCGGACGTGCTGATCATGGCCGTCAAGAGGATGGGCGTCAGGGCCAAAGAAGTCGTATTACGCGTACGCGAGGCGTATGAGGGGTGGGGTATGTTGAGAAAGTTGTTCATTCTTCCTCCTCTTTCGACGTCTACCGTCAATGCACCCAAGGAGACGATGGTGATGCCACGCTTGCAGAAGCTCGAGTTGCTTACAAAGGTCTATGACAACGAGGCGAACCAGAAGGTTTGGCGTGCGTTTATGACTCGTATTCTCGAGGAGAGACGCGGTTCTTCGCTCGAGAGTGTCAAGACGGTCTTCTCTGGTGATTCGAGGGCGATTGTGACACGGACAGATCTTTTGATTTGATTATAGTATTCTATTTCTTGATGCTTTTTGTTTCTTGCATGACTTTGTACTTGTACTTTCTTTTGCTGTATACTGTGTTTTGACCTGTTTGGTCTTGTTCGGAATAAGAACGCGTGCACTGAATGATGGGAAAACCGAGCTGTTTGAGTGATGATTGGACGAGAACGGAGATGACCTGTTCACTATCCCCGCTTGCTCCGAGCGCCAACTTACGGGCTAGTAGCTTAATTGGTCAAAGCGCACGCCTCGGACTGAAAATCTACAAGTGAGATCTGAGGTTCGAATCCCAGCGGCCCACAACCCCTTTTTGCCACTCTTTCTTTTACTGTACTGTGTTTTGACCCGTTTGGTCTTGTTCGGAATAAGAACGCGTGCACTGAATGATGGGAAAACCGAGCTGTTTGAGTGATGATTGGACGAGAACACGGAAATAACCTGTTCACTATCCCCGCTTGCTCCGAGCGCCAACTTACGGCCTAGTAGCTTAATTGGTCAAAGCGCACGCCTCTGATTAGAAATCTACAAGTGAGATCTGAGGTTCGAATCCCAGCGGCCCACACTCCCTTTTGCCACTCTCATCAGAGCACCTGTTTATCCAAAGAACGCGTAGCAGACCCGTCAGATGGCCATATGTCATTTTATATTAAACTAATACGAAATATTCCTAGTATCGAAACCAGTATGGTAAGGAGGTCTTAAACGAACTGGGCTGTGAAGATCTTGTCCAGAAATACTCCATGCTCGTTGTCTTCATACCCTCCTTCATTCCAGGATTCCTACTCAGGCACCATTCCCATGTCCAGGCGTTTGCGTCTCTCTGGTCTCGCTCGAGGTAGACCCTGAGCGAGCGCAACCTCGTTCCACCGTCGCCATTTGAAGATTTGCGCGATGGAGTCAGGATTTGTTGTATGACCACGAGGTCTATGGACGTCCCCTGCATATATAGCACCAGTTTCTCCAGTTCCGGCAGGCGCTCAAGGAAGCGACCCACTACTTGAGCTGACACGAGAAGACGGAGTTCTAGCTCCTTCTTGGGCCAAAGAGAGTACTCTGGAAGGGCCAGTGTGCCCTCTAGAAGCTCCGGTTTGTGCCATTCTCCCTCACTATTGAAGATGAGCTTTTCCAGCATTGGAGCGCTGATATACTCGATGGAGTCGTGCTGTGTTCCGCGAAGACAAAGCTCAAGGAGGCACGGGAAGACGACCCGTCTCCTGGTGGGCCAATTCATAGGCCGGATATCGAGTCTGGTAAGGGCGGGAAAGGTAAAGGATGTCAAGTTTGGGTTGGTGACGGCATCCTGGACAAAGAGGCTTTCTATATGCGAGAGATCTAATCTCTTTAGATCGGCGAGCCGCTCCACCAAGAGCTCGGTGATATTTGCAGGGAGGTCGTCCCACAACGTTCCTCCACGCGGCATATTCATAAGTCGAAGCATTTTGACTTTCCGAAGGATATTGTGGAGTGCATCTGGAACACGGAACGCCGGCATACCAGCGATCAAGGAATAGGGGATATTGCACTGTAATGATCTGAGTGGAGCGTCCGACGGGAGGGTGGTTTCGATATATCTAATGGCCCAGTCTATCTTTTGTGAAAGATCACATATTTCTTCTAGCGAGTTGAAGATTCCTAGCGATGCGAGAGAGGCAGCAGATGGGGGAGCCCCGTCGTGGCGTATGATTGAGATCGACCTCCATTGCTTGAATGGCGCGTGTGTACCGAATACCTTGAGTATCTCGTCTGGGTGATACGTACCGACGCGAACTTGCCAGGTCACGTCGATTAGCGCGCCCTTGCAACGCCTCAACTGCTCTGAAAGCAGAAACAGCGTCCAGTTGAAACGAGATAGAGGCATTGAATCCAAAAGAACATGTACGCTTGTCCAAAACTCCGGTATCGACGTGATGATATTGTACCAGTGGCGGCAGACGCCCATCAATGCGCGCGAACGAGCAGTCGCATTGAGGAGACGCGAGTCGTCATTCTTCAGAATATGAATGAAAATCTCAGTCGGGAGGCTGTTGAAGCCCATGGCGAGATTTGGTGTGCTATCGGCAAAGGAGGCGTGTAAAGCTCGGACTCCACCCGACACCGTAGGCGCGGCAGGAGCCGGAGTTCCCGAATATTAGCGCTACCAAGGCGTCTGTTGCCGACCCCCGAGCAATGTAAACAGTAAATTAGACGCCAGGTGGTTCCAAACATGTCAAACGTCACTTAATATTACTCCCCTTGAAACCCATTTATTTCCTGCGTCAAGATTCTGGAAAGTTGTTGCAAATCACGATAAATAGCATTACCTTGTTATGGTATTTGTTTGTTAGACGGTCTGGGCAGAGAGGAACGCTACATAAGCATGTAGGAATGAATGGTTGTACGAGAGGGAGATAGGTAATCTACTTGGTGGTTTTATTCCCACAATCCACCCTACGGGCTTGTAGCTTAATTGGTCAAAGCGCACTACTCCGAAAACAAACTTTGCTGTGCGATCTGAGGTTCGAATCCCAGCGGCCCCAACTTTTTACTCGGCGCCTCTGTCGACTCGTTTTCTGAATTCTGTGGATCTCTGTCGCGTTTAACCTGGAAAAGTACTTATATAGGGTCTCAGCGCATAATCGTGTCTTTCCCAATGATGGAGAGGCCTTCTGATTTATGCTGGCGTTTACACGTGACTGAAAAATGCCGGAGGATTTGGAGGTTGAATTACCGCCAGACCTTTATGGCCTCACTGGACGAACAGTTGATGGATTTGGAGATTGTCGCCCTCACTGCGCGAGTGGTTCAGTCAAAAAGTCAAAAGATATGATAGCTTTAGTGAAGAAACCGCACGTTGCACCACTCATCTTATTCAAAGTCGGGTCAAGCGACCCTCGACTGGTTGCCGATCCACCATCGACAACCAGTCAAGAACCCTTCTCCTACACACCTCGATAGCAGCTAGGTCCAAACGTCGCTTTTATCCAGCGCGATTATCCAACTATGAGTCGAAGTCGTCTTCTCGCATTTGCCACGGTGAGTCGGGCGTGATTAATCGTCCTCGGTTCAGGTTCCCCCACTCAGACTCGGTGGGTTTCAACAGGAGTAAGATATTTTTCCATTGTGCTCGAGGTTTTGCAATGGCCAGTGGTACCTCTTCGAGCGAATGGCAATGTTTCAGAAGCGTCTGAAGTGTCGTTTCCTTCAACGTGGGAATGGCGCATATCTCTCGAATGTTCCAAGTAGCTCCATAGTATGAGACGTGAGTATATCCGCATCCCAGTGAACGTCGATGGTAAGTGGTCCACATCGCCGCAAATGAATCTCGAGCACGTGAAGTAAGCGACCAAAAGACGCAGAATCCAGTCGCTTTGCAGTGATTTCGATTTGTTTCCAGAGACCGTGCAAGTGCTCGACAGTTTCCTTCAACGATGCCACACTTCGGTCAACATTCTCGCGCAACGTTGCAGGTGATTGAGCGACGGCACAGAGAAATATAGAGATCAACAGTTCTTTTGGTAGATCTTTGGTGACCATGCTGAGAGGGTTCGAGCGGAAGGTTGCCGCGTCGCGGTCGAAAGTTTGTTCGCACTCTCATCTGCCCTCTACGCAGTCCTCGAGGCAGTTCTGATAACTGTGCTATTATATTTATCGATTTATCATTGTAATGACAGAGTAACGAGTAAGTACGCTAAGCAACGACACAAACACCTGAACATCCCCTTCTACGTTCATACGACGGGTGGAAATGCTTGCGCAATATCACACTCCTCGCCATTCCATCCACCAGCTCCGGAAAGCCTTCGTTCGTTTTGGACGAACATTCCAAAAACTGCACCGCATTGATGCGCGCTGCGACCTTTCTCGCCTTTTTTGCTCAACTCTCAAAGTCTAGATCATTTAGGAACAGCTCACCTCATCGACAGAGACTTGACGTGAGACGTCCTTCTTCGTTCCGACGAGAATGAGTGGCACTTCGGGAAGCCACCTTGCCAATTCAGGCCTCCATAGAGACTCTACGCTTTCCAGCGAGTCAGGGTCCTCCATAGAATAACAAATTATGGCCGTGCATGAATTTAGATATGACAGAGGACGAAGCCGGTCCCCAGTGTCGCAGTCGGAAACCTGGATGTCCTCTATTTGTAACACAACAGCCATGTTGAAGCACGAAACTTGGACAGCGCCGGGAGTGACCACGGTCGGTACCCAAACCTATGCGAATTAGCCTCGGCCTGGAGTCAAGACGTGGACGTACAGTTGGAAACTCGTTCCCCATCACGCGTAGAGCAAGGCACGACTTGCCTATATATCTTAGCGAAGATATGTCATCACGAGTATCACATACCAACGCCCTTGTCACCAACTATCACAATCTTGTGGGTCTCCATCCGGAAAGTCTGGGACAGAAACTTCGGCGCCTATTCTCCACTGGCTGCTCGGAGATGGGAAAAGGCCCGAGACGCACTTCCACGGGAGAAATACTGAGGACTAGTTCTACTCTCGAGGGAACTGCGGCTGTAGCGTTGTAGCCCTTGTTAGCCGTCACGTACCAGACAAATCATTCGGCAGGGTACCTTGTCCTCTGCTCGCGTCTACACAGACTAAAGATGATTCTGAAAACCGGCTGGTTACATCCGAGGAAATAAAAGTGCTTGTAGTGGATTACAGAGAAATCACGCTATACAACGACACAAATACCTGAACGCTTCTCTCTGCGTGCCGAACACTGGCGATGGTCATGTTTGCGCGTCACCACGCTTCTAGCCAGCGCATCTACCAAGTTTTGAATACCTTCGCTTGTTTTGGACGAACATTCCATCAACTGCGCCGCGTTGATGCGTGCTGCAATTTTCCTCGCCTTGGTTGCTCAAATTCAGCGATTTGGATTAATTGATGATGCTTACCTCGTTTAGAGAGACCTGACGCAAGACGTCACTCTTTGTTCCGACGAGAATGAGCGGTACTTCGGGAGCGTAATACGCCAATTCCGGCCACCAGAGCGATTCTACGTGCTCCAGTGATGCCGGGTCGTCAACGGAGTAGCATATGACGGCTGTACAGGACTTCGAATATGATAGTGGACGGAGCCGTTCGTCGCAATCCGAAACCCGGATATCCTCTACCCATAGCTCAACAGCCATGTTGAAGCAGGAAACTTGGACGGAATCGGAATTTACTACACTAGATATCCATGCCTGCGAGAATGAGCTTAGGTCTGACGTCGAGGAAAAGACGTACAGTTGGGAGCTCGATTCCTAGGACACACAAGGCAAGAGACGACTTGCCTATGCCCTTAAAAAAGTTTTATATGTCAAGTGGACACATACCAACGCCTTTATCACCAACTATCACAATCTTATGGGCGGTCATAGTGAAAGATAGGAAAAGAATACCGGCGCTTACTGTATCTGGGTCAAACAACTGAGTTCCGGCAAAGTAAACACAGGAGGCCAGTGATCCAGCGTGGATATTAGCGCATCTCTCCATAATTGGTTTCTTTAATTGCTCGATTGTTGGCAAGGTCTATTAGTAGCATCTCATGCAAACCTTGAGATACACCATGCTTCCTGTGAGCGTTGAGATTCTTTGAATCTGGAATGGTTTTAGTGATAGCTCTTCGTCTATTCCCAGGTTGTCATAGATATTGCATTGCATCCGTGGCTGGTTGGCGAGTTGGGAGCCAACCGTTACGAGTATCCGTGACTCCTCCCGGAGTAGACACTCAGAGACCAAAAAGTTCACTGAAGCAAAGATGTTGACTATTATCTTGTTTTCTGCTTCCAATTGTCATCCTATTCCATCTGGGGGACTACAAATCTCGTAGCGGAGTAAAGGGTGCGCTATGTTACGACGCAACCACGAGAACCGTGACCCCTATCCGAATGTAACCGATTCGAGACATGGTTGCACATTAGAACGCTCCTTGCCATCGCATCCACTACGTTTTGAATACCTTCTTGCGTCTTAGATGAGCATTCCAATAATTCCACAGCGTTAATGCGGGCAGCAACTTTTCGCGCCTTTACTCATGCTCAATCTTCAAGGCCTTGATCATTTATGAAATACTCACCTCGTCAACAGCGACCTTACGAGAAAGGTCATTCTTCGTCCCAACGAGAATAAGTGGCAGCTTGGGGTTATGATGCAATATCTCTAGCCACAATTGCGACTCCACATACTCCAGCGAACTTGGGTCTTCTACAGAGTAGCAAAATACAACCGCACACGCAGCTGTATATGACAGCGAAAGCAGTCGGTTGTAGCGCTCGCTGCTCATTGGAACTTGGATATCCAGTTCAACGATCTTGTTGAAGCAAGGAACTTGGATGGGGTCGCCTTCGATAAGCCCCCAATAAGAGATATGGTCCTACAAGAGTGAGCCTAATCCTCGAATCAAGAAGAGGGCATACCGGGAGCTCCTTTTCCATGACGCGCATTCCAAGAGACGACCTACCTATACACTTAGAGAGGGATCCATGATGTCAAATGGCTACACACCAACGCCATAGTCGCCAACTATGACAATCCTATGGGCGTTCATGAACAAAGTCGGGGAGAGAAACGATGGCGCCTATTTTTGACTGACTGCTCGGAGATGGGAAAGAGCCCGAGGCACCTCTGTGGGATGTATGCGAAAGGTCAGGACGACGCTATTAATTGATTAACAGTTGCAGTGTACCTACGCATTTATCTACAATGGCGGACTTTAATGGTCCTATCGTCGAGGAAATCCGTAATTAGTATCTAAATGTAAACCCTAAGTTGCCAGCATCATGAATGAGCGCTGGAGATATGCGTCCCACAAAGGGAGTGAATGTGATCACTGCCTCTTTCGTCCAGAGATGAGATATGATATTGCCTCCTCGAGTGATCGTCGCGTCTCCACTGGGAATGTCCATAACTCCTAGGAGAGTAGACCTAGACAGAAAACTTCCGCAAAGTTGTCGCGCAGCTTGTCCACTTCTCCATCCGCGCAATCTGAAGACGAATCCAGCAATCGGCGTAGCCCATCCGTGGGATGTAACGCAAGTAAATAGTCCATCATGCTACGGAGCAACCACCTGAGCTACCCTGTATAGGCGGGTACGACCGAATCTCGTCATGCTCACACACTACCACGCTCCTTGCCATTGCGTCGATCAAGTTTTGAATACCTTCGTCTGTATTGGACGAACATTCCAAATATTCCACTGCGTGAATGCGCCCCGCGAGTTTTCTCGCCTTTACTGCTCAATGTTCAAGACCTAGATAATTTGAGAGAGAACTTACCTCGTCGATGGAGACTTTGCGCGAAACGTCCTTCTTTGTCCCAACGAGAATGATTGGCACCTCGGGAATCCAATGTGCTATTTCGGGCCACCACAACGACTCTACGTTTTCGAACGATGTTGGGTCGTCGACAGAGAGGCATAGTACGGCTGTACATGAGTTTTGATATGATAGCGGACGAAGCCGTGCATCCCACTCATGACATTGGACGTCCTCTATGAATATCTCGACGACCGTGTTGAAGCAGGAAACATGGACCGGGTCGCGGGGAGTCACAAAAGGCCAGTATCCCTAAGACCGTGAGCGTTAGGTCAGAGTTGAGGAGAAGGCGTGCGATTGGGAGCGGACTCCCCAGAACACGCAAGCCGAGAAATGTCTTACCTACGCTCATGAGTGAAGGGTTGATAACATCAAGTGTTTACGCACCAACGCCTGTGTCACCAACTATCGCAATCTTGTGGGCGACCATGGTAAAGTCTGAAAGATAACAGTCGGCGCCTATCATCCAGCTCCACCGCTCTGAGGTGGAACCCCCCGAGGCACGCCTCTTTGGAAACGAATGCCGACGGCCACCGGGCCAGCATTTGACTCTCAGTTTTCGTGTAAGTCCCTCAGTTCACTAGCAGCGGGATACGTCATTTCTTTATTTTTGGAGCTGTTCTGCTATCGGTACCGTAACGTAAGCTCTGAGAGTTGATACGATCCGCTGGGAGGCGTTGTGGTTTCTCCTCACTGGATGGGGTTCTTCGCTTATTCAACAGGTACTTGTCAAGGTATAGCATTGATCCCAACCTAGCATTTCAGAATACCACAGGCACACTTACCTCACGCGAGTATGCCACCATACCAACGCGTGGATATCACATCAGGGACATCTTTCCACCACGGTGTTTAGTTACCGAAGGTGCGATGACGATCACCGCATCAGTCGGAGTGTTCGCCTAGGCCGACTTCTCACCTACCAGCACTGAGCCTTTGAGAAGAGACGTACCGACATCCCTCGATTGGAATGGCTTGTAGTGCGCCTCATTGGTTCTGGTGGACACGGTTGGCGCGCCATCGCTTTAGGCGTGCAAGGGCTCAACATGTCCCGCAACGAGATCTTGTCACTCTAAGAGGCGCGCAAAGTAGCTATGCATCTGCACGGGAGTATATGACGTCTATTCTTGACTGAGGGTGGCAAACTCGGAAGGTGTTGAAGCAAGGATTGAATAGAGGCAAGTTTGTGCCATTGCAAGTGCTCGATGTGGTCGTGTCCAACCCACAATGAATGCGGATCCACTCCGAGCAAATCTGAATATCCCGATAGCTGGAGATGATTAGACCACTCTTATTATTTTTACCTTTTTTCATTTCGGACCCGCCTTTGGAAGGGGCTGCGCAGAGCACTGCACTTGGAGCCAGCGTCGACGGCACTAGGGCCATTGCAGGCGCCATGCCATACTACCATTTTCGACTACGATTTCACTGCCGTTTCCCACCTCGCTAGCGCCGCCGTTGGCGGTTTTTAGTCCAGTTAACAGACGCGCTTATGCCCGCTCCCTCGCTAATGAGCACAAAATACCGACAAGCCCGACATCTCTGGGCGTATTCTCACACAAGGGAATGCATGATACGGCTTCCGCGGTGCGCGAACCCTGCTCAATATTCCTCAACTGCCTCGAAGTGTTCAGTAGAGACAATACTTCGTTAACGATACACCACTGCAATAAATCTCCGACCAATACGGGCCTCAATCCCATCTAAACGCGCCCAATCAGAGCGTGGAACCGGCGCACCGCCAACGGCCACACAGGCTCGGACGAGGTTCGCATCTACTTTGACCTTTTGGGAATACGGTACAATACAGTTGTCCTAGACTCCAAGATACCGTCCCAGCTGGTTTCGATAGGCCTGTGAACAACCTTGCCATCAGGCGACCCAGGCGCTGAACGTATATAGCTTGCGCATCCGATGGGCAACAAATGCGTTTAGTCCCGCTTGTCGGGCATCCCCACTCTTTTTCCTCCAGTCCCTTTCGTTTCTATCGCTATATTTACTATCGCTTCCTCCCAACGACGACTCTGCTCGCAGGGGATTTACAACTATTGGACCTACTGGAGGGAAGCTGGATATTGGAGATGGCCGCTGGAATCTCTTCATTCTTCCCCACACTTCCCATTCTCTTCGTCCTCGCCATGTTCGTCCTCCTCCTGCCTGTCCCCGGTTTCTATCGAAACAGGAACATGTCCGTCTTGTTCTACGTCGGATGGCTCTACGTTGGCAATGGAATCTATTTCCTCAACATGATCCTCTGGCGGCGAAATATCGTCAACTGGGCACCGGTATATTGCGATATAGGTATGCGCTTCCCACTGTATCGTGCCAAGGCGCTGATAAGAATCAGCGACATTCTTTATTACCATGCTTCCCATGGGAATCTCGTGTTCACTCCTTTGTATCAACAAACTCGTTTGGAATATTTCCAAATCATCCACGCTCTCTGTCCGAAGTGTATGTATCCCTCATCCGCTTTGCCTTTACATATCTCACGCCACCTCCTAGACGTCACAACGTAACGTCATAGACACGGTGGTCTGCCTTGGGATTCCACTCATCTATGGACTATTTCGTACGTGCACCATGTGTCGCGTCTAACCATTCTGACACTTTGTAGATATATTCGTGCAAGCCCATAGGTTCACGATCATTGAAGATGTCGGATGTGTACCGTCGACAGACCGCGCACTCCCCTCTCTCCTCGTCTACTACCTTCCGCCATCCGTAATCTGCTGTTGTATAACATCCATCTACTGTAGTACGTTGGTTCCTCGTCACATCGTACAACACGTTAACCACCTGATAGTCGCATCTATAAGCAATCTGTTCAACAATCGTTACAAGACCAATTCCTTTCTCCCAACAAACGTCGTATCCGCCCTCACTCTCAACCGCTTCATCCGTCTCACCGCCCTCTGCGCGACTTCGTTCCTCTTCTGTGGCACATTCCTCCTCAGCATCCTCGTCAAGAACATTCAGATTGGCTTTTCGTCCTTTGCCACTTGGAGCGAACGCACATTTGACTTTTCCACCATCGACACGATTCGGGCACAAGAGTTGGATGCGTTGAAGCACAGACGGACATTGGTCCTTCTCCAACTTCTCCCTATCCCAGTGCTCAGCGTCCACTTTTTCCTCTTCTTCGGATTCGGAAAGGAGGCAGTCAAGCACTACCAGTCGTCCTTTAACCTCGTCCGCTTCCTCTTGAAGCGCATCTTCTCCTCTTCAATAATCCATCGGTTGTTCCACCGACGAAAATGCGGTGGGCAGGAAGAAGATTTCGACAGGGTGACGAGACGGAGTATCATCCCCGGATTCCGAATCGTCTCGATCCCGCCTCCACCTGCCGTAGCTCAAGTGGATACAACAAAGGGGCGAGCGTTGCGGAATGTGGATACCGTTCTCGTTGGTATCGAGCGCACCTCGCCACCGGCGTCGCGGCCACATACGCCTTCTCCATCTCCACGACCGAGTATGCGTGAAGTTGGACGAGGTTCGTATATCCTCGTCGGACGCGCGTCACCATTCCTCACTGGGACACCACCGTTTTCGCCCTTACCATCGCGCTCATCGACCCCTTCGCCATCAGAGAGGAAGATCAGGGACGGGTTCCTCCAACCCCCTACTGCCCATTTGCATTCGAGGCGAACATGCTTGCAGCCTCCTATCTCTCCCTCACGAAGAACGTCTATCCAATCCGCCATATCGCCCATCAGTCCAGTCAGTAACAGTGATGGGCTGAGCATGTCGGTGGACGTAGGTCACTTCCCGCACCCACCACCTCACTTCTTCGATGAGATGGTCCCATCACCGATCATTGAGCTCCAACTTGCGTCGTTCCCTGATCCACCTCCTCCAAGAGGGTTGCGTGTGATGAATGGAGCAGAACGTGTCGTCGACGCGCATGCGGAGGCGCCAACTTCAGTTCAACCGCAACGCCGGTCATCCAGGTCGAAGAGGGAGAGCAATACCAGGATTGCGTATCCACCGCCTACCATGGCAAACACCAACGTTGGGTCAACTTCGCGATTCATGCCTAGACGATTCTCGAATCGATTCTTTGGGCAGGCGAATGGTTCGCGTACGTCCTTTGGATTCGGCCATGGGTTCGTCCGTGCCTCGGGGACGGGGTCGTTGTTGCGGATTGATGCGGAAATGGCGAATGCGATTCCGAGTGGGTATAGCCACGTCGGCTTTACCGTTCCTGCTCCTGGAGTATCTCAGAACACCGAGGCGGTTCAGAGTGTAGTCCAAGCGCAGAGTCAGAAAGCGCATGTCGAAGAGGGACATTTTACCATCAACGAGCAAGAATTTGATGCGGTGGAGCTCGGAGACGTGACGAGGGTACGCAGTACGGGTGGACCGTTTTATGGGAATTTGGACGAAGGAGGAGCGAACACGGCGAGTACGCGTTCGCGGTTTTCGGTTTACTCAGAGGACCCGGAGAGTCCGGTACATACGCGGAGCAGGTATACGCGTTTGTTCTCGTGGCATTCTCAGGCAGCCCGCAGGAGCGGCAAGGTCAATCGGAGTTTATAGTCCCCGGTGGACACTAGTGCCAGTTGCGTATCCTAGATTGATACATTTACACGTTGACTACGAATTTGTTCGAACTTTGGTCCAAGATGTCCCGAATCGGAAATTGGTGAAATCGACGTGAGTCGCACGGAGGTGACTCGATGTTGGAATGGTCATAAGGAGGTCCGGGCTCTGGATTCCATGACGATTGCGAGGTGGTATCCAGAAAATGAACCGACCAGAAGACTGTACCCAGCCATCGGGCAGCAGAGAACATTCACCGACGCCAGGTACAAAAATGTGGATTCGACAGAGGTAGATTTGTCATGATCCGAAGATGCAGAGTGAGTATTTGTAGTGTCGAGATTAGCTGCGTTTAATATACAGTAAGTGACTGTCGGCTCATGACACAACAAGGCAAAGAAATACACTCACAATTGTGCACCGTCCGGATTTGTATTGTGTTACCATTTGAACCAGAGACAATTCGGGAGCCATCTGGCGAGAATGCGACAGCCCAGACCCGGCCTTGATGACCTCGGAGTGGCTCTCCCAACGGCTGGCCAGTCTCTGCATCCCACAGTCGAATTGTCTTGTCATCTGAGCCAGAGACAATTCGCGAGCCATCTGGCCAGAATGCGACAGCGTTGATCTTTTGATGACCTTGGAGTATTCTGGGGAGCCCAGGATACGTCTCGTCAAGACACCTGGTTACTTTCAATGCATTCGTGTGCTCTCCTAGACCCTCAATATGTAACGTCGACCTGCTTGGACTGAATGGGAGTGATGAGATGTATATATGGGGAGCGCTGTCCTGGATAGGCACAGAAAATGCCATCAAAAACCTCCTGATGTCATTCATCCGATGCCTGGTCTCCTTCTCAATCTAGTCTTGCTTTATTCAACAGAATAGCTTAAACAAATCACTCACACTCTGACGTTGTGCAGCAGCTCGAAGTCCAGATACTGCTCGCATCACTCTTCCTGTCACACTCAGTATCTCCATCTAATAGAGTGCAAAAGGACTTTGACTATATGTGCCAGTTCGCTCTGCAACTCGTGTCCTGAGCCATCATCCATTGCTGACAGATGGAATGGCCAGTGCAAGCTGGCATAGCGAAGCCTCCGTGATATGTATTTCTTCACCCGAGCTTCCAGGTCTGGAATCTGCCTATTCAGATAGAAGGACGACTCGATTTGGCATATGTTGAACTTAAGTCCTTCCTTGCTCGATTTGAGACGATGGAGACACCATGAACAGGACTGGGTAGGTTTCAAAAAGTAAGATGTATTTAGCATGACCTGCTAGGAATTCGTTACACTCAGGGGGAGAGCAAGATGAGTTGATGGAAAGCCGACGATGAGAGTACGGTTGAGGCGCACGCAACCGCACCGTTGGGCTGGAACTGCTGGGTCCGTGTCACGTCACAACTACTTGCCTATCTGTTATTCTCCTAACGTTCGCTCTTGAATAATTGGCCGTTCGAGAACACTAAGCTGCACTCGTGAGTCAGTCGCCAGCCGAGAAGGTACGAAAACGAACGCACCACTTTCCTTTACTCGTATTTTGGGATATCCAGGTCGTCGAACGTGACCTTCGGAGGCGACACGGAGACGTCTGCGGGATGATTGACGATGTGCGGGGCATACAGACATAGGCGTCGAATAGATGTAAGAGTCAGATATTGGCCATTCTGATGACGATCATGGCGCTTGTGCCTCTCTAAACAAAGCTGAATGCGGTTCAGAAGTGAGGGACAGAAGAGTAGTGACGTTGTGAATCAACAGCATGACAATGTATTGATAGAATGTTATTCGTCATTGGCCCATTTGTCTGTCGACTGGTCAAGTGTCGTGGGGAGAGTTCAAAATGCATTTCGACCCAGCTTCAATACTTTCGACGTTGGACTCGACGCCTTCGACTGGCTGATTTGGCCACGGTCAATATTCATATAGGCTATCCCACGAATCAAGTAGGAGAGACATTTCTCTTGTGCCTTGTAAATAGCCATCCTAGCGCTGGCTAACGTCTGTGAGCGGCCTAAACAACGCAAGCTGGCACATAAAGAAGAACTTCCACCACATCTATCAAAGGTTCGTCCATGATATATCACAGAGACACGCTTTGACGGTGCCCAATGCTCTACGAGACTTTGGACATGCCATGCCGACTTGGTATTGGTCTTTTAGGGAAATGGAAAGGCATTCTGACGATGAGTTAGGACCGAGAGACATGCTATAGAACGCTGTGAATGTATGTAAATGAACACGATGTCTTTAGAATTGTACCTCTGGCGCCATGCGGGTGAGCGCACAAGTGAAAGCACGAAGATTTGGTGTCTTTTTCAGCCAATATATACATGAAATGTCTATTTCGATCACAAAACGCGAGGAGGAACGTGCGCTAGCATCAGCCAACTGCGGGTCGTCGCCTTCCAGAGTGCGACTGACAAAGAGCCAGGTCGAGGAGGGAAAGCGGTAGGAAGTGCATACCGCACGCCGACCATGGCAAGTAACTAGGTCGGTTCAATCTCGCAGTTCATACCCAGATAATTCTCGAGTTGATTGTTTGGGCAAGCAAATGACTCGCGCACGTCGTTTGGATCCAGTCCTTGCTTCGGAACGCGATCGTTGTTTCGGATGAATGAGGAGATGGCGAATGTGGTTCCGAGTGGCAAATCCACGTCCTCTTTGCCATTCCTACTCCCAGTATATCTCAGAACGTGCAGTTGGGACCAGGAGCGAACCAAGTGCAGGGTTGGAAAGCACGTGAACAGGCAAGATTTACCATCAATGAACATGAATTCGACATGTGGGAGATGGGAGGCGTGACAAGAGTAGAGAGTACGAGTGGCCCTTTTGTGGGAAGAGAGCGAACATGGCAAGTACACGTCCACGCTTTTCGATCCACTCAGAAGACCCGGAGAGTCTGGTACATACACGGAGCAGGTATATGCGCTTGTTCTCGTGGCATTCTTAGGCGGCTCGTAGGAGCGGCAAGGTCAATCAGAGTTTAAAGTCCTGGTGAACGGTAGCACTTGTTTCATATTCTAGAACGATACAATTACACATTTACTACGAATTTGTTCGTACTTTTGTCCAAGATGTCCCGCATTGAAAATGAGTGAAATCGAGGTGGGTCGCACGTAGGTGACTCGATGTCGGCATAGTCAGAAGGAGATCTGGATTCTGGATTCCATGACGATTGGGAGGGGGCACCCAGAAAATGAATCGACCAGAAGACTGTACCCAGCCGTCGGGCAGCAGGGAACATTCACCGACCCCAGGTACAAAAATTGCAGAGGCAGATTTGCCGTGGTCCGAAGAGGTAGAGTGAGTATTTGTAGCGTCGAGATTAGCTGTGTTTAGTATACAGTAAGTGGCTGTCACGTTGTGACACTATAAGGCAAAGAAATATACTCACAATTGTGCACCCTCCAGATTTGGATTGTGTTGTCATTTGAACCATAAATAACTCGTGTACGATCTGGCGAGAACCTAGCAGTGCTGATCTGGGCTGAATTACCTCGGAGTGGCTCTCCCAACGGCTGGCCAGTCTCTGCATCCCACAGTCGAATTGTCCAGTCATCTGAGCCAGAGACAATTCGCGAGCCATCTGGCGAGAATGCGACAGCGGTGACCCAGCCTTGATGACCTCGGAGTGGCTCTCCCAACGGCTGGCCAGTCTCTGCATCCCACAGTCGAATTGTCTTGTCATCTGAGCCAGAGACAATTCGCGAGCCATCTGGCGAGAATGCGACAGCGCTGACCCAGTCTTGATGACCTCGGAGTGGCTCTCCCAACGGCTGGCCAGTCTCTGCATCCCACAGTCGAATTATCTTGTCACCTGAGCCAGAGACAATTCGCGAGCCATCTGGCGAGAATGCGACAGCGGTGACCGAGTGTTGATGACCGCGGAGTGGCTCTCCCAACGGCTGGCCAGTCTCTGCATCCCACAGTCGAATTGTCATGTCATCCGAGCCAGAGACAATTCGCGAGCCATCTGGCGAGAATGCGACAGCGGCGACCCAGTCTTGATGACCTCGGAGTGGCTCTCCCAACGGCTGGCCAGTCTCTGCATCCCACAGTCGAAGTGTCTTGTCACCTGAGCCAGAGACAATTCGCGAGCCATCTGGCGAGAATGCGACAGCGGTGACCCAGTCTTGATGACCTCGGAGTGGCTCTCCCAACGGCTGGCCAGTCTCTGCATCCCACAGTCGAAGTGTCTGGTCATGTGAGCCAGAGACAATTCGCGAGCCATCTGGCGAGAATGCGACAGCGCTGACCCAGTCTTGATGACCTTGGAGTATTCTGGGGAGCCCAGGATACGTCTCGTCAAGGCCCCTAGCCACTAAAAGCGCATTCATATGCTTTTTTAGGCCCTCAATATGTAGCGTTGACCTTCTCGGGCTGAATGGGAGTGATGAGATGTATATATGAGGAGTGCTGTCTTGTATAGGTACGGAAAATGCCATCAAGAATCGTTTAATGTCATTCATCCGAGTCCTGGTCTTCTTTTCAATCTATTCTTGGTTTGATCAGCGGAATAACTCAGATAAATCACTCACGCTCTGACGTTGTGCAGCAGCTCGAAGTCCAGATATTGCTCGCATCACTCCTCCTGTCATGCTCAATATCTCCATCCAGTAGAGTGCGAAAGGACTTTTGACTATATGTGCCAGTTCGCTCTGTAGCTTGTGTCCTGAGCCATCATCCATCGCTGACACATGGAACGGCCAGTGCAAACTGGCATAGCGAAGCCTCCGTGAAATGAAGCTTGCTACCCGCGCCTCGAGGTCTGGAATCTGCCTATTCAGATAAAAGGACGACTCGATTCGGCATATATTGAACTTAAGTCCTTCCTTGCTCGATTTGAGACGATGGAGACACCATGATGCGGCTTGACTATGCGCATGGGAGATGTTAATATGGATCCTACTGCTGCTCATATAAGTGGCTGGGATAATGCAGCATCGCCGAAGGTATTCGACGAAGGTGGGATGACGAAATTGTATTGAATGTGTGATTGGGTCCTCCTTGATTACGGTACCTAGAATCTGTACCAGCGCTTTGGCGCTCCTTGTCCTTTGGCATGTTTAATGAGATCCTCCAGGTCACCGATGGTGAGTGGTTCGAACGCGGCGGCAGCATGCGAGCATTTCAATGATGGCTGGCTTCGATACTTGCTCAATGCGCTCGAGGACGAGTCGTATACGCGTCGATGGCTCCCGGCTGATCAATAGAGATCAGTCGGTCATATGATCCAGGATCGATTGCCAATGATTCATCATTGAGCATCCGGCATGCAGTGCTCGCCCAAATGAACAGCCCGCTGGCCTTGTTGACCAGTCTCTGCCTCTTATCAGAGACAGGATCCCACCAAGCGATTGATGAATAGATCCCAATGTCGTCGACATTATCGCGATATATAGGATCGTGGAGGCGATCTGTCAACTTGGCCTTGATCGAAAGAGGTTCTAGAACCTTTTCGATGATAGGTCTGGTCGACTTGTAATGAATATCCGGAGATTGTTGCTCTCCTGAGCGGCAGCAGAAGTCTCTACAAGTTCTTTCTTCTGTCGTCCAGACTTGCATTCATCTATGGCGTCGATTACAATAATTGTGTGCCGTTTCGATGCTGAAGGGCCGGTGATGAGTATCCGGAATTGCTCATCAAAGGAACTTCGCAGGAGAGCAGGATTCCGCTTCACGACCTCGGCGATTGGGGCCCAAGCTCGTGGATATGTTGAACGAGTTCCCTGGCAAGGTAGACAGAACTTGTCGGTATTGAGCCTTCGTTACTTGCCATGGAGAAAAGAATGCGCCACCCAGGACCCTGCTTCCTCCATGTCTCCCTGCAGACATGGCGACTGTCGACTTGCCAGAGCCGGCTATATCGCAGAGCCAAAAGATTGGCTTCTCGGTGGAATCGTCATTAGCCCACTTGGAGATTGTGTCGAGGACAGCTGCACGAGTTCCTTTGAGGCACGGATTGTGCACGGAAGATGGAGCAAATGCGACCATTGGTAGCTGGAATAAGACAGACATGTCCACTTGGAATTCTTAGCGGATTTGCGCGCGTGCACAACCGAACTTACCAGGCGGGTCCACAGTGTTGGGGAAGATGGAATTTCCTTTCGCGACGACTGATTACATGTTAGCATAGCAGATTGGTGAAATGTGTTACGAACGGCGCAACCCATCCTCCGTAAGCCACTTTTCGTGCACTGCCTGGCGAGCGCTGACGAAATACTCGCTGAGGTAATGAAGCACTGTTTGATAGTTGTCGTTGTCTACAGTCGGGAACCTGACTAGATTTCCATGATCACTGTGGAGTGTCACCGCCGGCGCATTGCGGTCACCGGGGATGATCGCCGAATGATGAGGAACATTCTAAGGAATGTTTATTACGAGTTCACCACACGACCACCTTTTACTCACCAGTCTCTGTCTCTTTCTATCTACGGGAGTTTTGTACTCCTCGCAGAAGAATACGCTAGCTATCTTCTCACTCGCTTCGACGTAAAGACTCTGTATAGTTGCTAGCTCCGAAGAATGTTCCCGAAGATCCTTGAGGATGCCGTCTGTCGTTTTCATGTACATAGACGCCAAGCGGTTGATGGTTTCAAGGAGAGTGTTGTCCATGCCGGAATGCGGGGTACCAAAGAATAGGACGCCATGAGTCGATACTAAGATGTCTCGGAGGTCACCCTTTGACGCCAGGTTCTGATTATGGCAGATAACGAGTGCCTACGCGGTTATTAGAATTGAATTCTATCGGAATGCAGACAACGAACCCATTTGACAATTATGCCCCCCAAATTGTGTGCGATGAAAATGACGGGACGCTAATAATGGTTCAGATGACACGACCAAACCGAGAATAATTCACCCACTCGAGGGTCTGCTGTCCTCTTCCGTGCTAAAGCTTTGGCGAACCCATCCGCGTGCTGGCGAATCGTCTGCGTCGATACGCATTCTCGGCTACGAGTATCGGCATCATATCCATACGTAAGGACGCGAGCGTTGGGCAAAGCCGATGGCAAGAGGTCACGCAGCCAAAGGATCCCACCATCTGTCGTCCAGGTCTCTTCTCTGTGACCGCCCAAACCGTGGATGGCGACGATGCTGCACCCCGGCGAGGTTAGCGCCAAAGAGATGGAGAGTGACAATCGCTTACTCGACAACGGGATCGATACTTGGTACCAATTCCAGGAATCCTAGATCTTCAATCTTTGATCTGGACATTGATCGTGGTGGTGTGTCGGTATGGGCACTTGCAAAGGTTGTTCCTCGGCTGATCGTTCGTGAGCAGTCCTAGTACAGGGTACCGGTTGTATCAAAGAGTCGTATAAACGTGACAGATGTTGTATATCGCACGAGTGGGGTCCGACTTGGGTTATGCCAGTAAAGGTCAGGACCAGGTTGGTGCAGAGACTGGAGTGATGGACTTTCGTTGCTGTTAGGCCAGTCAAAGTCAGAAAACCTGATGAAAATCGTCGAATAGGCGTACAATAAACTTTCGTTCGTTGCCACTTCCCCTACCTCAGCCATCAGTCTGCAAACGAGGGAGCGCACCATCAGACATGTAGCTGCCTAGACACTCTCGGTGTTAGGACATTCATGACCCGAGACGAGGACCTGTGTCGTACATGACGCGAAATTGAGAGTGCCCATCAGTAGATACTGGCTCTGGTCGCTTACCATGACCATCTTCTGATAGGGACCTAGTCGGAACCTGCATCTCGACCCAAGTAGACCACGCGCGGCTCAAGGGTGAAGAACTCGAGGCCCTACCAACGACACTCCCTTTCTCCTGGCAGGACTGGGTAGGTTTCAAAAAGTAAGATGTATTTACCATGACCTGTTAGGAATTCGTTACAGTCAGGGGGAGAGCAAGATGACTTGATGGAAAGCCGACGATGAGAGTACGGTTGAGACGCACGCAACCCCCCCGTTGGGCTAGAACTGCTGGGTCCGTGTTACATCACAGCTACTTGCCTATCTGTCGTTCTCCCAACGTTCACTCTTGAATAATTGGCCGTTCGAGAACACTAAGCTGCACTCGTGAGTCAGTCGCCCGCCCAAAAGGTCAGAAAACGAATGCACCACTTTCCTTTACTCGTATTTCGGGATATCCAGCTCGTCTAACGTGATCTTCGGAGGCGACGTGGAGACGTCTGCGGGATGGCTGACGATGTGCGGGGCATTCAGACATAGGCGTTGAATAGATGTAAGAGTCAGGTATTGACCATTCTGATGACGATCATGGCGTTTGTGCCTCTCTGAACAAAGCTGAATGCGGTTCAGAAGTGAGGGACAGAAGAGTAGTGACGTTGTGAATTAACAGCATGACAATAAATTGATATAGCATTATTCGTCATTGGCCCATTTGCCTGTCGACTGGTCAAGTGTCGTGGAGATCAAAGTTGTATTTCGACCCAGCCTCGATACTTTCGACGTTGGACTCGACGCCTTCGACTGGCTGATTTGGCCACGATCAATATTCATATGGAGTGCACCAACAATCAAGTAGGAGACACTTCCCTCTTGTGCCTTGTAAATGGCCATCCTAGCGTCCATCAATCTCTGCGAGCGGCCGGAAGAACGTAAACCGGCACAGAAAGAAGAACATCGATCCCATCTGTCAAATTGATATCCATAAGGGAGCACATAGGCACTCGTCGACGGTGCCCAATGCTCTACGAGACTTTGGACATGCCATGCCGACTTGGTATTGGTCGCTGAAGGATGTGGAAAGGCATTCTGACGATGAATTCAGGACCGGCAAGTACTTTATATAACACTGGGAATGTATGTAATGAACACAATGACCTTAGAATTGTACCTCCGGCGCCATGCGGGTGGTCGCACAAGTGAAAGCACGAAGGTTTGGTGTCGTTTTCAGCCAATATATACATTAAATGTCCTATTTCGATCACAAAACCCGAGTGGAACGTGCGCAAGCATCAGCCAAATGCGGGTCGTCGCCTTCCAGAGTGCGACTGACAAAGAGCCAGGTCGAGGAGGGAAAGCGGTAGGAAGTGCATACCGCACGCCGACCATGGCAAGTAACTAGGTCGGTTCAACCTCGCAGTTCATACCCAGATAATTCTCGAGTTGATTGTTTGGGCAGGCAAATGACTCGCTGCTTCGGAACGCGATCGTTGTTTCGGATTGATGAAGAGATGGCGAATGTGGTTCCGAGTGGGAAATCAACGTCCCCTTTGCCGTTCCTACTCACGGTATACCTCAGAAGGTGGAGTTGGGACAGGAGCGAACCAAGTGCAGGGTTGGAAAGCACGTGAACAGGCAAACTTTACTATCAAAGAAAATGAATTCAACGTGTGGGAGATGGGAGGCGTGACAAGAGTAGAGAGTACGAGTCGCCCTTTTATGGGAAGCTAGATGAGGGAGGAGCGAACACGGCAAGGACACGTACGCGCTTTTCGGTCTAATCAGAGGACCTGGAGAGTCTGGTACATACGCAAAGCAGGTATACGCGCTGGTTGTCGTAGCATTCTTAGGCGACTCGCAGGAGCGGCAAGGTCAATCAGAGTTTAAAGTCCTGGTGAACGGTAGCACTTGTTTCATATTCTAGAACGATACAATTACACATTTACTACGAATTTGTTCGTACTTTTGTCCAAGATGTCCCGCATTGAAAATGAGTGAAATCGAGGTGGGTCGCACGTAGGTGACTCGATGTCGGCATAGTCAGAAGGAGATCTGGATTCTGGATTCCATGACGATTGGGAGGTGGTACCCAGAAAATGAATCGACCAGAAGACTGTACCCAGCCGTCGGGCAGCAGAGAACATTCACCGACCCCAGGTACAAAAATTGTGGATTTGACAGAGGTAGATTTGCCATGATCCGAAGATGCAGAGTGAGTATTTGTAGCGTCGAGATTAGCTGTATTTGATATACAGTAAGCGACTGTCACATTGTGACCTACAAGGCAAAGAAGTATACTCACAATTGTGCACCCTCCAGATTTGGATTGTGCTGCCACTTGAACCAGAGATAGCTCGCGTACAATCTGGCGAGAAACTACGAGGGCTGATCCGGGCTGGATGACCGTGGAGTGGCTCTCCCAATGACTGGCCAGTCTCTGCATCCCACAGTCGAATTGTCTTGTCAAGTGAACCAGAGATGATTCGCGAGCCATCTGGCGAGAATGCGACAGCCATGACCCAGCCTTGATGACCTCGGAGTGGCTCTCCTAATGGCTGGCCAGTCTCTGCGTCCCACAGTCGAATTGTCTTGTCAATTGAGCCAGAGACAATTCGCGAGCCATCTGCCGAGAATGCGACAGTGCTGATCGAGTCTTGATGACCTCGGAGTGGCCCTCCCAACGGCTGGCCAGTCTCTGCATCCCATAGTCGAATTGTCTTGTCATGTGAGCCAGAGACAATTCGCGAGCCATCTGGCAAGAATGCGACAGCACTGACCGAGTCTTGATGACCTCGGAGTGGCTCTCCCAACGGCTGGCCAGTCTCTGCATCCCATAGTCGAATTGTCTTGTCATGTGAGCCAGAGACAATTCGCGAGCCATCTGGCGAGAATGCGACAGCGGTGACCGAGTCTTGATGACCTCGGGTGGCTCTCCAACGGCTGGCCAGTCTCTGCATCCCAGTCAAGTGTCTTGTCACCTGAGCCAGAGACAATTCGCGAGCCATCTGGCGAGATGCGACAGCAGTGACCCAGTCTTGATGACCTCGGTGGCTCTCCCAACGGCTGGCCAGTCTCTGCATCCCACAGTCGAAGTGTCTTGTCATCTGAGCCAGAGACAATTCGCGAGCCATCTGGCGAGAATGCGACAGCGGTGACCCAGTGTTGATGACCTCGGAGTGGCTCTCCCAACGGCTGGCCAGTCTCTGCATCCCACAGTCGAATTGTCTTGTCATCTGAGCCAGAGACAATTCGCGAGCCATCTGGCGAGAATGCGACAGCGGTGACCGAGTCTTGATGACCTCGGAGTGGCTCTCCCAACGGCTGGCCAGTCTCTGCATCCCACAGTCGAAGTGTCTTGTCATCTGAGCCAGAGACAATTCGCGAGCCATCTGGCGAGAATGCGACAGCCCAGACCCAGTCTTGATGACCTCGGAGTGGCTCTCCCAACGGCTGGCCAGTCTCTGCATCCCACAGTCGAATTGTCTTGTCACCTGAGCCAGAGACAATTCGCGAGCCATCTGGCGAGAATGCGACAGCCCTGACCCAGTCTTGATGACCTCGGAGTGGCTCTCCCAACGGCTGGCCAGTCTCTGCATCCCACAGTCGAATTGTCTGTCACGTGAGCCAGAGACAATTCGCGAGCCATCTGGCGAGAATGCGACAGCCGTGACCGAGTCTTGATGACCTCGGAGTGGCTCTCCCAACGGCTGGCCAGTCTCTGCATCCCACAGTCGAAGTGTCTTGTCACCTGAGCCAGAGACAATTCGCGAGCCATCTGGCGAGAATGCGACAGCGGTGACCCAGTCTTGATGACCTCGGAGTGGCTCTCCCAACGGCTGGCCAGTCTCTGCATCCCACAGTCGAATTTTCATGTCAGCTGAGCCAGAGACAATTCGCGAGCCATCTGGCGAGAATGCGACAGCCCTGACCTGGTGTTGATGACCTTGGAGTATTCTGGGGAGCCCAGGATACGTCTCGTCAAGACCCCTCGTCACTTTCAATGCATGAATATGCTCTTCCGTGCCTTCAATACGCAATTCTGACCCTCTCGGGCTGAATGGGAGTGATGAGATGTATATATGCGGAGCGCTGTCCTGGATAGGCACAGAAAATGCCATCAAAAACCGCCTGATGTCATTCATCCGATGCCTGGTCTCCTTCTCAATCTAGTCTTGCTTTAGTCAACAGAATGGCTTAAACAAATCACTCACACTCTGACGTTGTGCAGCAGCTCGAAGTCCAGATACTGCTCGCATCACTCCTCCTGTCACACTCAATACCTCCATCCAATAGAGTGCAAAAGGACTTTGACTATATGTGCCAGTTCGCTCTGTAGCTCGTGTCCTGAGCCATCATCCATCGCTGACACATGGAACGGCCAGTGCAAACTGGCATAGCAAAGCCTCCGTGAAATGAATTTGCTTACCCGCGCTTCGAGGTCTGGAATCTGCCTATTCAGATAGAAGGACGACTCGATTTGGCATATGTTGAACTTGAGACCTTCTGTTCTCGATCGGAGACGATGGAACACATGAACGACTTGACCATGCGCGTGGAGATTTTGATATGGATCCTATCGCTCATCTGCCGTGGGGCAACGCAGCATCGACGAAGGTATTCGACGAACGTGGGATGGCGGAACTGGATCAAATTTGTCGATTGGATCCACCTTGAGTACGGTTCCTAAAATCGTACCATTGCTTTGACATTCCCTTGTCACTTTGGCATGTTTAATGGTCCTCCAGATCGCCGCTGGTGAGTGGCTCAAATGCAGCGAGCAGCATACCGAGCATTTCACCAATCACTGGTTTGGACGTTTGGTCGATGCGCTCAATATGAGGTCATATACACCGTCGATGGCTCCAGGCTGATCAATGGATCAGTCGGTCATATATATCTCGGGATCGAGTGCCAAGATTCATCATTGAACATCCGACATGCAGTGCTCGCCCAAATGAACAGCCCGTTGGCTGTTGACCAACTCCGCCTCTTATCGAGGATAGTTCCACCAAGCGATGGTGGATGTAGGCCTGTATCATCGATATTATCGCGATGGCTGGTATCGTGGAGGCGATCTGTCAATTTGGCCTTTATCGAAAGCGGCTGTAAAACCTTTTCGATGACAGGGTCTGGCGACTTGTTATAAATATTCGAAGATTGTTGCTCTGTGCGGCAGCAGAGAGTCTCGACCAGTTCTTTTCTCTGTCGTCGACTTGCATTCATCTATTGCGTCGATAACAAGGATGGATGTGTGTTGATGCTGAAGTGGCCCGGTGATGAGCATTCGGAACTGCTCCTCAAACGAACTTCGCAGGAGGCAGGGTTTCGCTTCCAGGCCTCCGCGATGTAGGCGCCAGCTTGGGATGTATTGAACAAGTTCTCTGGCAATGGTGGAGCAAAACTTGTCGGTATTTGATCCATTCGCTGATCGTCATGGAGAGAAAAATGTGCCACCCAAGATTCCTCTTCCTTCCATGCTTCTACGGCAGACATGGCGACTGTCGATTTTCCAGAGCCGGCTATATCGCAGAGCCAAAAGATTGGCTTCGGTGACTCCTTGTTGGCTGCCCAGCGCCAGATCGTCTCGAGGACAGCCTGACGGGTTCCTTTGAGACAAGTATTGTGGACGGAAGATGCGGCCGAGGCCACCATTGGCAATTGTTGTATGGTAGCGTAATCGGCTTTGAATGGGTCTTAGCGAGCTTGTTGGACATCAATGATCCCACGTACCTTCTGTCAGGATGATATCCACCTTGCGTTTGATATCTTTGGTGTGGTTCTGGATGGCTCTAACACCGTGTGCAGTATACATATTCAGTGCATCCTTGATATACCGTAAGATCATGTAGATTGCAGGCGAGGCTCGTACCATAAACTGCCCATGCCGGTCCTCAAGTTTTTTATTGTACTTTTGGATATCCCCAGCATCAATCTTGATTGCACCGATTGCTGAAAGTCCTCCGATGACTTTGCTACTGTGCTTTCCCCTCGAATCAACGATCTTGTCATGAAGATCTTCAAGGAGTCTGTCGTGATCAGTACAATGAAGACGATTCCCATATAGTCACGTACTTGACGTAACGGATGAGTGGTTGGCTGAATGCCTCGTCAAAGGGCCCGTCGATGTCCTCTGGAGGATTGCGTTCAAACAAGGTGATTTGCTCCTCGAGAGCCGACAGATAGTCTTTAATACGTTGGATGAGATCTAGCCAAGCTTCTTGATTACTCTTGATACCCTGGTATCATCAGTTGATTAGACCAGTGATAAGCCAGTCTCGTTATTTTTGCTAGCTCACTTGAACGGTGTCGAGGATCGTTTTGGTCGCTCGACAAGCAGCTTTAAGAGGGCTTAGTATATCGGATGCCTCTGCTATATTTGCCATAAAGTCGACGAACACGTTGGCCGCATCGGCCACTTTGTCTCCCCTCCTGGATGGGCCCTCTTGAGTGGAAGATGATGAAGATCTTGGAAGATCGTCTTTTTTTGCGTGAGATTTCTTATTACTTTTGAATAACTTGAACCGCATGATGGACTGGCGGATAAGCAAGATCCAAAGGAGGCTGGAAGGCCATATTGGCCCTTGTCGGCCACACTGCCTTGCACAGTAGCGCTTATAACCCGGCGACCGTCGAGGCCAAGTCTGAGCGAGTTTTAGGTGTTTACTTGCATCTTGGACTTGTTCTCTTCATCTACTTATCTCTTTGTTGACGACGCACTAACTAGCGTCGTTCTTTACACTCTGTTTGGCCGTCGATGAGTTATCCACAGGTATGTCAACATTTCCCGTGTAAATACCGAGCACTAGCGACGTCGGCCACGCTCACCGTCTCCGTTCATCTGCCGCCCATTAAATACGCACCTTGTCCCCGACCGCGTCCATCTATTCTCCTTGGAGAGGAGAATATACGCGTATTCTACTCCTTAGACGACAATATTTCGTCGAGACAATCTCATTTTCGTATTCTGTGATTCCAAAAGCTATAGCCGCTGATGGAAAACCCGTTCGACCATCCGCAGGATCAGTACCTGCCGCGTCAGAACCAATCTGGCTCACCATGGAATGCCAATAATCCGAGTAATACTGGTGCTCCTCCGCCTCCGCCAAGACCACCGAGCAACCGCGCTCCCAACAACCAGGGAGCGTATTCGCAGGGCAGCTATACGCCTTATAGTGCTGGAGGCGCTGGATATGGATACAACTCGGGTATGTCTACGTCTGTTTGTCGGTCTCGACCAGCTGGCACCCAGCCCAATCTGCAATGTCTACGGTGTTGGATCAACGCGAGCTGACGCGTATATTGGAATAGGCTATGACAACCCCTACGGAGGATACTACGACCAACCGCATACGACAATCCCAACAGGCTGTTCACATCCACGGGCCAAATCGTCTCGAACAAGCCCGTCGATCAGAATCCAAAGCCATTCATCGCACCAGGAGGTCAACACACGAGCCTATAAAATGTCATACCCACCTTTTCATCGTCGACGCCTGACCACGGAGGGTACGATACTGCGCCTCCGCCATGTAGCGGCGCAAACGAGCTGGGTGTGCTAGGGAATAACAATGGACCACCATACTCGGCCGTTAATCCCGACTGATACAACTTTCTGCGCCTCTCCCAGGACAATCGATGTCTTCTACCCCGGCGCCTGCAGTCTCGCCTTCGACCTTCTACAAGCCTGACTGACGGGCGGATACGTATAGGTATGGTCGTACCTCGCAGCGTATACCGAGCCGTTACAAACCCAAGAAGCGATATGAGCTCTTCCACGGAAACTTGGTCATTGACAACGGGTTCCCAGCAAACCTTTCGAAATATGTCCTCAACCGACTGAAGGGTTCAAGCTCATGTGTGTTGTATTCGAGAAGTCGCCCGTTTGTTCTCGTTGAAGGGAGTATAGCTTGCTGTACCATACGGCGACGGACGTAGGATTTCAACATCTTCAAGGCGGAAGGATGTACCATTCTTCCGGTTTTGGGCCACCTCATGCAAGATGGGTCACTTATGGCAAGCACAGATAGAAAGGGATGGAAACTTGGTTCAGGACTCGACGAGAGTACAGAGTTGATCCTAGACTCGCTTATGTCGCCGTCAATACCGCTACACTATGACATGTTATCTCATGCTGGTAAGTGAAAAATGGCCGGAAGCCTGAGGTGGAGCTACAAATGGTGCCTGCTACGAGAGTCAGGCCAGCAGCGGCATGGAGTATAGCAAACAAGGCACGCACCGAAGATCATTATGACGTACGCAGCCGAGAATCATATCTTCCGAGGAGGATATTTCGGTGAGTAATCAACTGGATATTGGCGAAAAGGTCACGGCCAGCATTTTGCCAGATGGCTCCCGACGACCATTTGTTCCAGATCTTGGTTAGCATTCTCGACTTTTCCTCTTGATCCGAACGGGGAAGCAGGGGATCCCCGCTCGTGACACTCTTTCTGATAGAACGGGATTAGATTCGATGAACGTTGTATTACTATGGCTTGCTAGAAACTGAATACGCTTGGAGAGCCTTGAGTGTGATGATCTGTCTGAAAGTGTCGTCAAAGGCGAGGAATTGGAGTCGGCACGAGAGGTAGCTCAGCTGAGAGGGCTGGCTTTTCATGACGAGCAGTTCAATAGATTCTAGGGCTCGACGCTCTACAATTAGTTGACTAACCAAAAGCAAAGGTTGACCCGTTGGGCAAATGTCCAGACCAGTAGTGGTGCTCACAAGTTATGATGGTCAGACATATGTTAAATTTGGGGATATTATATGATAATATGATAATCGTCAATCCGGGTTTATCATGAAAACAGGTGGCACAGGTACAGTTTTGGTTGGATAAAGTCCTGAGTATTTTGTCATAGAAATAAACATTTTGGTTTTGATTCTCGTGTCCCAGGTGACTCACTACTGCATTTGCCACCTAGACCGTCGCGACTTGATCCCGACTCTACTTCCTTCAAAGACACCCCAATCTCCCAGTGCGCCCATGTTCCTCGAGAATCTGCCTACGACATTATCTACGAGCTTTATTGCTATGTTGGGCGCTCGAGGATGCAAACTCTCAGCCTCGTTAGTAAAAGACTCGGCAAATCATATACCACTTCTCTTTCAAAGGTCCTGTTCAAACTTCGACCCGATTTTCCACACAGACCTCCGTTTCAAAGTGCGTTGCGAAATCCACGAGAACCGTTTAATCTGTCATGCTATTAGGTGTGCCTAGTCGGGTTCCTCCGATGCCTTTCTAACTTGATTACCCACTCAAGACGCATTCGAACCGTCGTGTATGTGGAAGGCGGTCTGGACTTGCCGCAATATTTCTGGAAGACAGTCAGTGCATGTCCAAACCTCGAGTCCCTCGACTTGGAAGACGTTTATAATGGACCAAGCTCTCTCAAAACATTTCTATCTACTCACAACGATGCCAAGTTGAACAGTCTCCGCTGCCTTTGGATCCCTGACCCGACTGGATTGGAATTGTCCTATGCTGTCCAGACCTCGTCGAGCTCAAAGTCAAAAGATTACGCAATAAGGATCAATATCATGACTGCTCCTCATTGTTTCAAGCTTTGGCACAACTACCGAACCTTCGTATCTTCTACTGGTGGGCGCCATTGTCTGCTACAGCAGTCGGAGGTGCGGATGAACTCTCACATTGACGGCGCCTCACTTTGGTTGTAGATATAAGCAGCTATTCCCCTCTTAGAAGAGTTAGGCATCGTCGGACCGTTCACCCAAGACACGTTTTCGGCAAGTATTCAAGTTTAAAGTAAATTCTCTAAAGATCCTTTACAGGATGCAATACCTTGCCTTAAAGCTTTCAAAATTTGACCTATCTTGCAATACCTCACCCTGTGGACTGGAACATGGAAGATTGGTTGCCAGACTCAGTGACGATGATGCGTACCCATTCTGGCTGCATGCCTCCATACAGAGATTAATCTGGCAAGTACTCTCTCATAGAGAATGAGCTTCTTGTTCCCGATGGACCGCCTCTGCGCGAGCTCAGAATCACAACCAATGCTGGGTACGAACAATATCTTCCAGGAAATGACGGTCACCTCGTCAAAGTATTGAGAGCCACTCTCGCCGGCATAGCACATGTCACTATGTACGCACAAGTAACCTCGAAATTTGGCGAAAGAGGAGAATGCAAGAAAATTATATATATCTCAAACTAATGAATGAAAATGAGCAGAAACAACACGTGTGGAACGAAAAGATGATGAGGGGGTATCTGCGCAAATAATACAGAGTCGAGCAAACAGATACTAGCACATAAAAAACTTCGAATATCTAGGATCGATTATAGCAAATTCGTGCCCTTGAGCGAGTCACGGAGGAGGATATCACGGACTAGCTCAATCAGCATCCTTCTCAAACGACTTAAAATGCACGTACCGTTCGTGATGATTTTCTTCGTCGCTTGAGTATCGACGACAGACGTCATGTGGATGTACAAGTCGCGCTCTTGGTTTGGCGTGTTCGCTTGATGCATAGCGGCAAACTTGTTGCGGAGAGTCTACACTCATGTTAGCAGGCATCCAAGAAGATAAGCTTGGGCGTACATTTAGAAACACTCTCAAAGTCATTTGGTCGGTCGCCGTAGCTCGTCATGTACGTCGCCAACCTTGTCCCCGCCTCCAGCTTTTGTTGGAGTAGATCACATTGTTGAGAACAGCACGAGATTGACATTTTCAGCAACTATACACACTATCAGCACGTGTGCCTGTCTGGACCACAGTACGCACCTTGTTGCTCACGATACTCTTCCACAGCAACAAACTGTCCTCCATGCGATTGACACTTGGGTCCTCTGTGAGAACCTGGTCAAACGCCGAAATGGGCGCCAAGAAGATGAGCGCTTGGACGTCGTCGAAGAAGGGGCCCAGACGTGTCGCTGATTACGCGCTCCGCCCATCGTAGATAACCCACTCGACTTCGGCATGCGGGTTAATCTTGCTCCCAAACGAACCACCGCCACTCATCGGACCATCCAAATGAAATCGATGTTCCATTACGCCCAGCGTCTTGAGCCGCGCCTTGAGGACGTCGTCAATGGTGGGAACATACGAACTCGACACGATCCTTCGCATATCGTTGAGATAGAATCCGGGGCTCTCCTCCAGACGGATCCGTCGTGCGCGCAATACATTGCGGACGCGTGGATCTTGCCAGAAGAGCTTCCATGTCAGGAGACATTGTCTCAGGACGTGAATCGGTCGTCAGGTCCATGGTCCAGTTGACAGTGCCACCGGCGTGGCCGTTGCTCGAGTGTATCCCGCCTTCGTCCGAGTTTGCCCAATGCGCGCTTCCATCCACCAGCATTGCGCCCATTTTGCACCCATACTTCTTTGCTTCTCCCGCCGACGTGATTCTGACCCGTGGGATAGATGGGCGAGGCCTGCTCACTAAATGGGTCGCCTCGCCGGATTCTTCATCTGGGTCGAGAGAAGATTGATAAGGCGATCTTCAAGCACGAGTGGTGAGCGTGCTACGAAGGAAGAAAAGGCGTGCATCTCTGCGTCGAGATGTTGAGATTGATGGATGGCCGCCGCCCGTCAAGGGCTGGTGAGAAAAGACAGACGCGCGGTCGTCATAATCATAGTCGAGTTCTGCGAGTGATGACTTCGAGATCCGCCGGACGGAGCGGACGAGTTTAGATAAATAATTGGCCGCCACGCAGGCGCCTCTGTGGTAAAGGACGACGGTGCGTAGAGAAGTTGGAATTGCTTGAGCGTGGTACTGTTGAAATGTCAGTAATTGATTGTTTGACATAGGGGACGTGGTAAGACCGCTCGGGCCCTTTCATGGTGGGAAATGCGGAGATATAAAGGTGATATCCTTTATGATGATGATGACGGAGAGGTCACCGTCGTCGAGATAATGAAGATATTTGATGAAACAGGGGACCATTGAGGATCCGCGACTGGACGAAGTTGCGAAGGGCCGCTAGCGGCTCAACGCTTCTCCATCAGCAACAGGCGGGCAGGGTGCCACAAAGGATGCCATTCATGGAATATACGCACGATTTACCGCTTTCAGATTGACCTATTGTCAGTTAGAAACCAAGACGGGCAGAGACAGGCAGACAATGGCTTACCCAAGAGGAGGATTCGAACTTCCTTTTCTTCTTGCTGAGCTCTGCCTTTTCCTTCAGGCTGCTCGTCAATGGCGTCGCTAATCTTTTTGGCCTGGGCCTCTTGGTGGGACGAGCCTCGCGCTCCTGGGGAGTCTCTACACCGTTGGGCTGCAGCCACTTGCTGAGCGGATCCGACTCTGCTCTTGGACGATTATTGGCGGGTTTGGGCATTGAGGGCCGTGGTGGGAGGGTTCAAGAAGTCTGTGAATGGGAAGCACAACAAAAGCGGAACCGCGCAAGTTTTATAACCGACGAGATAGAAAGGGATATGAGGCAACAATCACGGAAAATGCATTTCGGAGCAACAGTCGCTGCAATTCTCTGTTGCGGAACCCTCGGTTGAGTCTAACCTGCAGACGGTTCCCACTGCACTGCACGGGTCCAGAATTCCCGACTGCAAGGGTCAGGATTATTTCTATTTTACTGGCACTGAGAGGCAACATAGAACTCATGGTCGTCGTGAAGGAGTCCAAACTCAAAACTTGACGCTGATCATGTCAGGCGTCCTTAACCCTCCGTACAGAAGCCTGCCAGAATTGCGGAAATGAAACTTTACAAAGTGATACCGTTTCAGATATGATCCCTTCTGGCCGAATGCAGCCGCTGCTCAATGCTCCCGTGCTCTACACGAGTTATGTCGCCGTTTCAGCCCCATCAACGACCCACCGCCACTCTATGCGCCAGACCAGAGCGAGGAAACCAAGAAACTTCCGATGCTGACGCTGCAAAAGGGGGATATCGTCAGGATTGTTCAGCGCTATTCCGGCGAGTATTGGTTGGGCGCGACAACAGAAGGCCAAGAAGGGTATTTCAAACTAGACGAACGACTGGTGAGTGAAAAACGTTGTGTCATTAACTAGACCTGACTTGTAAGATGCCTGTACTCGGACCCAAAGTGCGCGCCTTGTGGCGCCATGAGCCACGAGCAGACGACGAAATCGCCTTTGAGGCTGGTCAAGTCATGGGTGTTGTGTACCAGCCGTCCTGCTGGTGGATATGGGGAAGCTACACTGAGAATGATACACACCACGTCGGCATGATTCCCTTCAACTTTGTGGTAAGTTTGGGTGCTTTGTCGTATTTCTCTGACCATTCCAGGAATCCCTCCCGCCTGAAGGGCAAAACGACAACCCAGTACCTTCGAGCGAGATTGTCGAGAGGGCCCAACCTGCCTGGGTTGCCACGCCTGGGCTGCAGGTGCGCGTACTATGGGATTACACTGCTCGTACGCCACAAGAGGTTTCCCTCGAGGCAGATCAGATTGTTGAAGTGACTTCGAAATGGCAAGACAAGTGGTACTATACAACCATTGGCGACAAGACGGGGTCATTTCCAATGGACTATGTCACCACAGTGGGTGCCAACAGCTCCTTTGGTTTCTTTGGGCTTACTCTGTAGGACCTAACCCGACGCGGGCGCAAGCTCACGCTCCCACCCTACGATGGTTACTATGTTCGGGTCCTCTGGAGCAATCCCTCTGTCGACGGTGAGCTCCGACTATGAAAATGAAATCGTCGAGTTCTCCAGATGAGCACGGACGGGTGGTGGGTGGTAGGAACCCCAGTGAATAAAAAGGTCTATTTCGCGAATATACACGGCCAGTCCTGAACGCACGACACCGATTAAATACGATTATACACAAACGAGTCTCTGGAATGCACGAAACGGATGACTAGAGGGTATCAAAATCTGCTAGCCTCTTTAGTTCGGCCTATTCGAACGACGTTTCGGCCGTGGTCGGTATAGATGAGCCGTTTGCATGCCGTCCAATCCTCACGGCCAATCTCAATACCAGTGGGACACGGGAATCGCGCGTCAAAGCAAAGTGTTTTCAACTCGGATCCCGCGTAATCCGTCCGTTACGAGGCTCCAGTCGCAGGTGCTTCCGACGGGCTGGATATCGAGATGCTGCAGCTTTGGTAGCTCCCAGAGTGCGAGAGCTGCCGCCCGTTTCCCATCAGAAAGACGCGATTGGCCGACGACGACGTAGGATAACCGCGTGAGGTTGGGGGAGAAGAGAATGTCCGAGTTGTATCCGAGGCGGGGACCTCGACGAAGAGAGTTTGGAGGTGGGGAAGAGGTAGCAGTGTAGCAAAGAAGCCGTTGGGTGCGGACATGCCGCCCGTCGGAGAAGAACGGAGGAAGCGTGGCGAAGGTCGAGGTGGAGACGTGGAAAGCTCGCGCCATAGGTGACGAGGAGGTCGTCTATACTGACTGTCGTCGTACGTATCGTCAATATACGTGCCTGGTGCTCTATCCCAAGTAAATATGCAGGTTTAAAGGGCGCCGTGCAGGCTAGGTCGATGCGAGTGGCTAAAGGAGACAAGCGGAAAGTCCCATGACCGGCTGTCGGCCTCTTTCCATCCACCCGTTGTACGATCCACAAAGGTTTCCAGGCTTTACAGACGAGCATGAGCGTGATACGACCCCGTTCGTACGTCAACGCTGCGTCAGCGGCATCCTCGTGCCGGAAACGCCTCGAGAGTGACTTTTGGTCAACGTCTCCGACATGCTCGAGGTCGAGAAGAAAGAGTTCGTAGACGACATCGAGCAAAATATGCTCCCAGAGCTCGACAGGAACACGCTGAGAGGTGTCGACATGGCGGGGATCAAGTTGTAAGGTTCTCAGGTAAACCTGTTTATTGTGGTCTGGACAGTGGGTCTTTCGGACAAACGGAATTCCACCTGAAAAAAGTGTAGGCCGTAGAAGCCGCGAGAGTCTGGATCAGGGAGCTTTGCAAGACCGTTTCCATGCGTTTGAGGTAGCAAAAGCGATGCACGACTCCTCAGTACAGTCGCCCAGGAAATCTCTGAGTGAAATTGGGCCCTTGGCTCTTGGCCACTGGCTGGTAATCGCCTGGCCTCCAAGCGCCGAAGCAAAAAATTTTATAAAGTTCAAAAGACGAGTCATGACGTACTCTATTGTTTCAGAATGTAAAATAACCGACTCGCTTAGCAGGAGTCCTCGGCAAAAAGCATACGACCCAGGGTCAAAAAGGCAACTAGCCCGATGCGGGGGTCGAACCCGCAACCTTGAGATTTCCTTTTTAAGAGTCTCACGCTCTACCGATTGAGCTAACCGGGCACTCGGATGTCTGGTCTGTCGAGTAAGCACCTATAACTCACTTATTTTGACCTCTATGCTACCGACGCACTTGACTATAACAAACAATACTAAATCTAATGCTACCGACGCACTTGACTATGACAAACAATACTAAATCTAATACTCATCTCCGCCTCTCTCCCTTGCGTTCTTCCGCCCACCACCTGGTCTACAGTACTCTTTCTCTTATCCTTGGTGACGAGACACCCCTTTATTGATTATCTATGATAAGCATCCATTACATCACTCTACAGCGCCATAAGGCAAACTACTGGCCCTTGCGAAAGACTAATGCCAACAAGGAGAGCGCGACTAAACCATCGGACTTAACCAAAGGAGGAATTAGATCAATGCCAGTCTCTAGGATTCGAGGCTGTCCAAGGGCATAAAAGAGTCGGTACCATCCACGTCTGCGCTACCCATTAATGGGGAATTGTTGATAGTTCTGCGTATCTATATCGTCCCCCTCGTTCACGTTTTGGATACGAATTAGTACTCTTCCAAGCTGTATTTCGGTCATTACTTCTATGGAACCAACTTTTACCGTTCAGACCGGATTGAGCCCAAATCTATATAGTTTTAGGCGCCTTTCATTGTAAACCCTGCCACGACCTTTACCGCACTGCGTCCCTTGTTTAATCTGGCTAAGAATAATGACAATATGTGGAGGAGGGTCATTGAGGCAGTTATTTCTCTCCTCGCCGTTTATCTCTTGCGCCCAACAACCTCCACCGACACATTTGGCCTCCTTGTTACGAATCGCGCGGGGGTTCGTCTAACGGGTGGAAGGCCCGGGTGGGAATGTACAACTCACGTAGCGAATATAGTATTAAGCGAGAGTTTGCGAGACGGTTAGGACGGAACGAGAGCAGATTCAGAACTAGGGCAATATACACGCAAAAATCGGTCCTTATATACTGTTTCGAGACCCCCATCGAGTCATTTGCAATATCTACGGATATAAAACGGATATGAGAGTCAGCGAGCAGAGGGCATAGGGGATGGGAGACGATTGGCTGGTGCGGAGTAGCGGACGGATGACGAGGTGTCGACGTCGAATCCCCGTCGACTCTAACCTTGCCCATAATTAACATTCTATTTACTTCGGTTCCGTACGGTAGCGAGAGGTCGTCGGCCATATGCGACACCATATGGTCCGCTACCGTCGAGTGGGCCAGCCTATGGTGGCGCGTCAGCTTCTCGACGTGGCGCATGTGAGTTACTATGTCAATTCTTACTCTTTAGGCATAGATTTCACCGCGTTCCGTAGCACTCCTCGAGTCCAAGACCCTTTGCGAGTCGTTGCCTGTACTCATAGACCCGAGGCGAAATGATTGGAGTACACTCGAGTCTCTAAAGGGCTATTTTCGCCTTTCCTCTTTCGCTCTGCCACCCGAGTGCATTACGCCAGCGCCCGACGCCTTAGGCGACGACTCGTCCGAGTGGCTGATCTACTGTCTGTTGGCTCTCCTGATCCACCTCATCATTTTGATCGCCACCTTTAGGCGTGCAGGTATGCCCCCTGTCCCCGTACGGCCACAGGTATGCACCCAACGACCATGCGCGAGGTGTGCTGCTTGCTTACGAACATCACAGGAGAAACCTCAGCCAACAAGTTCTGCACTCAAGGACTCCATGTCGGAAGAGTTGATTGGCGAAGTTGACCTCTTGCAGCAATCGCTAGCTCGATTCCCCCCTGCGTCTACTCCAATTACTCAAGATGATGATGCACGGCACACCTCTCTTTCACGATGGCTTGACTTCACACAGGATACAAACGGGCCTTCTTTCCAACGTCCGAATAGGATTGGCCACTCTCTTCCATCGTCCTCATCCCATCCGATCAGATTACACGATGCTTCTCCATTGTATCGATCCAACATCGCGCGCAACCAGGCATATGGCAACCCGACAACACATACAGAGACCCAACGTGCCTCTTTACCACGGCAGCTGGTCTTGGTGAGACATAGGGACAGAGCGCACTCTGATGAGAGTAATTATTCCAATTTGTCGTCTCCATTCGGTATCCTCCCTTCCCAACTTGCCTCTCCATCTGTTGGACCAGTAATTATCGAGGACTGACCTCTCAAACTCGATGCGGTCCCACTCTATGAACCCGTTGTGAACACCTTGTACATTCTATGGACATCAGAGCTGATTAATCTTGACCTCTGTGCACCTTCTCGATTAATGAACGAAATATGATTCAATCCTTTCACCAGAGCCGATGCGTCTATCTGGCTGATGATCATAGGCGCCGCCGTCGTACCTTCTGGAATGAGCGTTGCGGTGTACTCTGATGCGCATTAGGACGCAGATAACTGATTTCAAACCATAAGTCGTACATCTACAACGGTCACAGGCAGTCAAGGACACTCTGCCAGTGCGTTTCTCTTCCACTGCTCAGCTCAACAGCAAGTGAGAATAAATCTATTTTGCAGCCTTCTAATACGAACCCTGTACACGAACGAACGCTCCAAAAGCTTCAACACCGCTCCAAGCTCTTACGTCCTGACGACGCTCAGCACGCAACTATTCAGGATCACTACTCAATGACTTTGTATGCTTCTTCCCGCTTTCCTATAACTCTTCATGCTTTGGTGACTCGATCTCACCAATAGCCAACATATGCCCTTTGTTTCCAACCTGCCCAGCAGTCCTTTGTCGAGCCGCAAGGCGACCCATTTGCACACACAAGTTTCTAAAACATCGCTCCAGAGCCCAAATTTGTGGGAGAATATGCCCATGCCTTTTCCCAGCCGACATCTTCACAAGGCCGCTCGCCAAGCACCTCTTTACGCAGTTTTGCAAGAAGCTCGGTCTTCTTCCTCACCCTATACACCTCAGCAAATGGAAAGGCAGAGAGGCCCGAGCCATGGACCTGACGCGGCGGGGCGCCAAGATGAATCGGAGTAGACGAAACTGGTGGTACCCGTCATACGCAGATGACGCTATGGGTGCGGCGATTAGTGTTCCTGGAACGCGTCGCTCCATTCACACCTCACCGACTCCTTTTAGATAGCAAATGTATTTTGTTTCTCTGGAGCCCCTGCATAGGTCCTTCGGACCTGCAGAGGGGCTATATAAATACAGATTAAAAAAAACCCCATCTCTCAAACGTAAAGCAAGATCTAGTGAGGATGAAGATACCAAACACTCTAAGTGGTATTCAGACGGCAAAGGAGATAAATTTCAGCGAAGCTGGTGGTTCGAAGTGTGAGGGCATCTCCAGTCTCGAACTTGGGTTTGTTTGTATGATTATGGCGATATGATTGTGGCCATTATGTATGATTATTATGCGCCAGTTGAGGTCAATGATGAGGACGTTTGTCATTATAATGAGCCAGATCAGGCATTGTATAAGGTGCCTTATCATGTATTCAGGATAATGAACTCTGATTATGATGTGCCTTATAATGACCCTCATAAGGCAATTCAGGTCAAATCGCCTTGTGCCGTCTCTGGGCCAAGCCTTAGGCAGTCGAAAGGCATAGTTATGACCATGCAAGGTTTAGCGTCTACCCTGCAGTTTGTTCCCCAATTTCTGGTCAAAATTACGAGTATGTCTAACCTTTAGTGGTACTGTGACATGACCATCTCGTCTAGTGCAGTGGTTAAACGAGGCTCTCAGCTCTTCCACTCGAGGTAAAGGTCTCGAGGAGCTCATCAAACGCACTGAAGACTTTGATATGTTCGTCCTCCAATCTCTCATATTTCTCATCACCATGCTCGTGAGCGGCGTTCGCACAGGTGGACGTTGGATTTATGCCCTCGGCTATTCCACCACGCAGTGGTATATTCATGACGTTTGCGACTTTGTTTCGTGCTCTTTTGAGGGCAACCTGTTGTTATGACTTGATAATCATGTAGTAGACAGTCATGTACATAGTCGGCCGTAGCCTCGGTTGGAGTCCCTGTTCCTTGGACTCCTCCCTCACCGAGCCACAGGTACCGTGTCTGTCTACATGCCCCCTGGACTCCTCCCTCACCGAGCTACGCAACCATGGATCTTGCGACGCCCATGCCACGGCGCACGTCGCAGACTACTTCAGAACAGCATTTTCAACACCTTCAATTGCTGATATACACCTGATTGCATGTAGGGCAGGTGAAGGCGTGATTGCGCAGAACAGCGCGGTGAACGAAGCCAAGGAGAACGAGTTTGGCCTCGATCACTGACGAGGAGTAGCGCACAATGGTTTCTGTACAATGGATTCTCATATTTTCAATAGTTCTCATGAGAGTGAAAGCGATAATCGCATGGCCACTGCTGAACTGAGAGATTTGTCTATCAATTCGTTTCACAGTTCGGAGGCGGATTGACAACTTGTGGTGGCGGCATTGTACCTTATCCTCACCCATAGTCGGCATGAATTTATACGAGGGTCAAACTCCTTTCCCGGCTGCCCACGTTGAGAGGGGGAGTAATTGGTCGTTACCTCGCGAAGTCATCCATCATCATAGACAATGCGCGTTATGGACCACTGCTCATACTAAGTGTTCGACACGAGGAATGAAAGACTCGCAATCTGCAGATCACTCCATCTGGGCACATTTGCGACCGCTAATGGAGTCATATATAGCTGATGAGTGTCCGCAGCTAGACCCCAAGAATGGCAGTTATTTCATGGCACGCTCGCCATTACGTCTGTGGCCGCCAAAGAGAAGCGAGCAACGGTCAGACGGTTGCTCGATACGCAAAACTAGCTCTTGGGAGCTAAGCTCGATAAAAGGTCATGACGGAATGTAGGACATTGTCATCGGCTCATAGCCCCGGAAAGCGCGAGCGAAGAGATGCTTAGTGGGCTCAGTCGTTCATGGCAATGTCATGGCACAAGGGCCTTGAAGACAAAAGCCGTCTCATCTCATGATTAAATCAATATGATGATAAAGGCAAACATATATAAGCAAGGAGATAAAAGACTGGTCGTGGTCGGGTCCAAGATGCGTTGGTCAGAGGCTGGGACGCAGAGACGAAAATTTATAGGGATGGCTGGTATTCAAATTTCAAAGTGATGGAATGGATGCTTATCGTAGATAATCAATAAAGGGGTGCCTTGTCAATAACGAGGAGAGAAAGAGTACTGTAGACCAGATGGTGGGCGGAAGAATGCAAGAGAGGCGGAGATGAGTATTAGATTTAGGATTGTTTGTAATAGTCAAGTGCGTCGATGGCATAGAAGTCAAGATGAGTGAGTTATAGGTGCTCACTCGACAGTCCAGACATCCGAGTGCCCGGTTAGCTTAATCGGTAGAGCGTGTTTAAGGCCTCTTATCCGCTCGTAGAGTATTCACAATCAAGGGCCACGCCTCTCCGATGTCATTCACTCAGATCACCAGGTAAATATAACGAGAAGCGGTATATACTCGCCATCTTCTATCGACAACGAGAGTTTGTTTCGACCTAGGGAGCCAAGGCGAAGAGAGGCAGAGCACCGACACGACAACCGTTACTCGTATGAGATGCAAAGAGCAGAGTGTAGATAGGGATAGGAGGGTCTGAAATAAAAGAGGGAGAGAGAGACGACAGAGGAGAGCGTCAAGCTGTTGTCATGCATTGCCGCGCATTTCGCAATAAGCCCACTAGACGTAAGTTAGAAAGAGACTGATTTCTACAACAATGGTGCGTGCACCACCTCATCCTTAGAAGAGAGCAGTAGCACCAAACAAGAGCGCGGCACCGCCCGCGAGCCAAGTGTTGACGCCCGCACCGGCAAACGCAGCATTATACTGCGGCTCCGAGCCGACTGAAGCGGCAAGAATATCCCTGACGAGCTGGCCACCATTGCACGTCTTGAGCCTCTGCCAGAGCAGCTTGGCCGCTGAGGATTGGGCTACGCGTCAAACCGAGCGCATATGGCGTCACGTTTTCAAACGCAATGTACGCGCCGACGACTTCGGCCGTGCAGTGCGTGCACAATTCGGCGTCGGTCGTGTTGGTGGTCATGAAGAGGTAAGGGAGACCATCGTTGCGCATCTGGTCGCTTTGGCCGCCGAGTCCGCCCAACGTGAGCTGGCCAGAAGTGCTGTTGGTGTTGTCTTCGGGTCCACGTGCGACAATATATGGCTCGATGTAGCGCCGTGCGGGGGTGGTGGCAGAGCTTGAAGAAGCGCTTCCGCTCGCGGTGCCAGTAGCAGAAGCCGAAGTCGAGGTCGAGGGGGACATCTTGTTGACGCAAAACTTGCCGTCCGTATCTCGCGAGCAAATGGCATTCTTGAGCAGGACGAGGAGGTAGAGAACGTCATAGGTGTTGATGATATCCTTGTTGCCGTTGGTGCCATCGCCATTTGTACCGAGGAGATCGGCCTGGCACTGCGTGTAGAATTCGGCGAGCTTCATGCGAATCTTGGACTCGTCGCAAGCGGTAAAGCTGGCGGGCAAATCTTATTCAGGGCAGCAGTGATGGCGGCAGCAGAAGTCGCATTGCCGCCATTGGCAGTGTTGCTTGGGTCAAAGTCGGATGTTGCGCCAATGAGGGCGTTGAGACAACCGCTGATGCCCTGGTCGTTGTTGAGGCTTTGGAGGAACGTCTGGCACTGGTTCGAAGGGGCAGACGACTAGAATCAATCGGGTTAGCATTTGCTTTCTCCTCCAAGTTGTATGAAAGGAGCGCCTCGGTCATCGGTTATGTGGACGGGGCGTCGGCGGTTGACAACGACGGGGTGTGTACAGCCGACAGCCCGCTTCCCATGTCGTTAAAGGTCGCAAGACGAGTAGAGCAGAGTATCAAGCAAATGGACGTCAAGGAAGATGGAATGAAACAGGAGGAAAAGGCGCAGAGCGGAAGAGCGCGGGGATTATTTACGTACCTGTGCCAAGACAGCGGTCGCAAGGGAGAGGAGCGCAAAGGCAGCGGACTTGATCATTTCAGAGTCTTTTACGAGTATAGGAGTTTGCAGGATTATGTTGTGCGGTTACAAGACCTGGTCGACGACGAGTAGTCTCTCAGGATTGTCAGAGCGAGGAGCCACGGAACGACGGCGGAGTTGAAAGAGCGTGAAGAACGTCTAGGACGGTTCTAGGAGATTTCTGGAGATTATTGAGAGAATTCTCAACGAGACTTGCAAATGGGGCCCAAAGCGGTCAGGGTACAAGGCGCTGGTCGGACTCACCACTTTCCGGTAACCACGACTTTTACCAATAATCATCTAATAACTAGGCCTGGAGTTTACCGTTCAAGCGTACATCACCCAAACTTATAAACTTCTGGGACTTCGTTACACTTTCTTGCCGTCGGAAGAGGCCAGCCCTCGAATCTCCCGAGATTCCCAGGTTCTTCGACCTACCAAGCTTGGTCCCAATCACCATCCATGCCGACACAAACCACTCCTTTACAATCTTCTACTACGCGCAGGCGCACCAATAAACTCACTAAAAAGCCTCCCTCGTCACGAGGAGCAGGCAACGACAAAGGTTCAAACGCTTTTCTCTCGACCCCGCTAGGAAACTTGATATTTTGGCTCTCGAGTGTCATTCTAGTACTCGGTGCGCTGGCTTTGGTGCGTAGTTAATGCTCCGCTGGCTAAAAGCCTTGGAGCAGGCGTGCTTGTTATGAAATATCTGACACTACGTTGACAGGTACCAGGGCCTGTTCAAGATAGAATACTCGTTGCTATCGGAAACAAGGACGAACAGGCCGCAGGAGACTTTCCGACCAAGACGAAAATACAGACCGACCGTGCAAAGAGAGCGGCTATATACCGTGCGTTCGAGGTAACTATATTCACACTCTTAACCTTTCTGTACTGACAAACCAACTAGCATGCCTGGTTTGGCTACGGTGCGCGAAATGACGGCACCCGAATCGGTTTCTGACAATTATTTTACCAGAGAGGCACGCATTTGGTGCAGACGAATACCACCCGCTTTCCCAGACTGGCTCAAATCTCACCATGGCTGGGTCCGTCGGGTACACCGTCATTGACTCACTTTCGACAATGCTCCTCTTTTCCCTTTCAGAAGATGGCGCCTCGATCGGACCGTCCTATAAACGTGCTCGAAAATGGCTCAAAGAGGAGCATACCTTTGACGTGGACGCAGACTACAACACATTCGAGCTCACCATTCGTCTACTCGGAGGATTACTCTCTGCGCATTGGGCAGAGTATGAAATTGGGATCACGCCTGGCAGACGGAGCATCGACGACGACGACGAAGAGGTCGACATTTCTCCAACAAACTTGGCCGGCGACGCGCAGTCTGTCCTACGAAAAGCAAGCAAGAGAGACCAAGAGGATGACTATGACCCTTCGGATATGCTCTACTTACACAAAGCAGTCGACTTGGCAGATCGACTGATGCATGCATTCGAAACGCGCTCAGGTCTCCCTCTCTCGTACATCAACCTCAAGACCCGCAAGGCATCGAAAAGCGACCAAGAAAATGGGCTAGCATCCACTGCCGAGGTTGGCACTCTACAGCTCGAGTTTAGGTGAGTTTACAATACGCGACGAAGCTCCATTCAGCAGTGCCCCAGGTACCTTTCGCATGTCTTGGCGAACCAACTCTATCAAATTCCTCCGAATCAACTGAGCACTCTCGAAGTGCCGTCGTTCCTGAAAAACGAAGACGGTGAAATTCGCACAATAGACGAGCTGCGCTCGTATTGGAATGTCGTAGAGGGTGTCATCAAAGTCACAAAGGAAGGGACTATGGGCAGGCTACCTTCGGTGTTCATCAAGTGCGTACACTGACTAGAATTTAAAGTCTGCTAAAGCGCTCCTCTAGTCCGGATGATGGAGAGTTTATCATTTCGCCCATTCGACTGGGGTCGAGAGGCGACTCGTACTTTGAGTATCTACTGTAAGTGACTTTTGCCGGTTGTGCGTCGTCTAATCTACGTTGCAGGAAGCAATTTCTTCAGACAGTAAGGAGACAACTGCCCGTTTGAACAATTCTCACCGCATAACAGGACAAACGAGAACCTGAATTGCTGAGGGTACGTTGAAGTCTGAAGATACTCGTCAAACTGAGATATAATGACAGCTATGGGATGATGCAATCGATCAAATACATACTACACTGGAAATGCGGACACCTCGTAGAAATCTGTTGTACATTGCGGAACTCAATCCAGAAAAAGACGACGACGGACAGATGTAGGCACAGCTTGCTCTGTCTTGACATTTCTTCTCATTCTCTTCAGCACATGGAGACGGGAACCAAAGCAAGACCATCTCGCGTGCTTCCTCGCCGGCTCGCTCATGCTCGGAGCGGCACATACCAGAGGGAAGAATGGAAAGGACGTTCCAATCGGTGGGCACTACTGAATTTATGAAACAATCTCCTGATAGACTCTAGCGAGCGTACCACCCAAGCTCGGGGAATTTGAAGATGGCGGGCGGGCAATGAGGGACTGGCGAATGGGCGAGGATATGCTCCGAGGATGCTACGAGACACACAAGACAAAAACGTGTGTTTGTTTTCTCGATCTTTTCGCGTCTCAATCTGATTCGTCCTAGTGGGCTTGCGCCGGAAATCATTCATTTCCGTACAAAGACGGAGCCGCAGTGGATTACGGATAAAGCCGAGGGAGAGTGGTACATCCGTGGTGCTCCGTACGTCTTGACTTGAGTCGTCTGGTTTGGCTTGACGTGACCTTGTTAGACCGCCGGCACCTCCCCCAATCGATGCCCGCTATATTCTACGGTCAGTAATGTCTGTTTCCCATCTCCTACTCACTTTCTGCAGACCGGAGATTATCGAATCCATCTTCATTGCCTATCGTCTGACGGCCGACCCAAAGTATCGAAGATGGGGTTGGCAAATCTTCGAGTCTATCGAAGAGCATTGTATGATTCCTACAGGAGGATACGCGGGCGTGAAGAATGTTGACCATCTCCCCGTCGAACACGAAGACAAGATGGAGACATTTTTCCTCGTACGTATTGCCTTGCGCCAATGTGATAAACGTGTTCTTATTTTGGAATTTGCAGAGCGAGACGTTAAAGTACCTCTACCTCTTGTTCTCGGACGATTCGGTTCTCCCACTAGAAGGTGAGCACTCTTCAAATTTACGTAGTATCACGCTGAAGAGGGAATGGCAGACATTGTCTTTAATACAGAGGTATGGTTTCATGTTCATAAATCAGAGAAACGCTTCATACGGTCGGTAGGCACATCCATTCCCTCGTTTCGTTCCGGATTGGGACACCGCATTCATGTAATTATCTCGAGCAATATCTACCGGAGGCTTATGGCTTTGTTTGCAAAGAAAGTAAAAAAAAAGAAACGCTTTGAGGATGGGAAGGAGAACCTTGGAGCAAAAATTGCCGACTACCCGAGTCGAACGAGTCATCTTCCCATTACGAGTGGGACGCCTTACCGCTTAGCCAAGTCGGCAACGTTCCTGGTCAAGACCAAAATGCAAATATAATCATTTTATTATACTTGTTCACATTATAAGAAAGCTCTCGAGCTCCATCCATTCTAACATCTGGATTCTAGATCATGGTGTAGTGAGCAAATGCGTGTCTGTATCTAACTACACGCACCATGCGTGATGTAACTACCCAAGCTTTTGGCCACTACGACCTGCCAGGCGCGTCTATATTGCTGGTCTCATTCCTTTTTGATATGAGCGGTAATGTCCTTCTCAGAGGTGTACATTGCAGTGACTGAACGCGCAATGTCGAAAATGCGTTGTTGCATCTCCTCATGTCGGCTGGGCGTAGCGATGCCTGCTCGACTGGATTGGGATCCATGTTTTATGCTCTCTGATTTACGCTTGAAGAGGTAAGGAGCAAGTTGCAGTGCGAAGCTTGTCCGGTTTGCGCGTGTTTCAAGATACTTCTTAGATGTTTGTGCATGATCCGGTGTAGAAAGGATGGAATTTGCAGAGTAGCTAGCTGGTTACTCGAAGGGCTGAATCTACTGTCTACTGTACTCCGTATTATAGAGTCGTATGGGAAGAGCGGAGACTGTGAATGCGGGGATTATGATTTCCAGATGAGAAAGGCAATGTTGGAGATGTAAAAGTAGATAAAGTGTTTTGTTTCTGCACCCGCTCGTGGTCAGCAAACGAGCAAAACGGAGCGTACAACTCGCGTACCGTGCGTGACATAGCTCCCAAAGTTTTTGCCAACGACGACGTGCCAGGTGGGCCCAAACTTTTTGTCGCACTCCTTTTTGATCTCTGCTGCGATATCCTTTTCGACCGTAAACTTGTCGAGACCAGCGAGCGCAACGGCGACGACCTGGTGCTGCATGTCCTCGGCCATGTCCACATTTTTTATCACGGCCTTTTGTTCTCCACCAGTTCCGTGCAGCGAAGATGCCGATGGATCTACTGCCGTCGTTGTTGTTGCGGTGTCGGCCATTTCAAACGTGGTAGAAACTGGATGAAAGCTTGCCGCCTGCTGCCACCAATCGACATGACCATGAACAGCTAGCCGACGACGAAAGGAGAGGAAATACGAGGTCAAGTGCTAGAAGAACACGATACCGCATCGGGAATCGTTGCACAACTGCCGCGTTTGGGATCTCCGCCACGAGATGCACGCTAGACACGTCAAATTATCTTAGAATGATGAATATTACTCGCTTCAGGCCGTGATTGATACTTGGTGTGGCCGTTGTCTCAGGTACGACGTCCAGGACCACGTCCTCCACCTAATACGCGAATACAGGTCCATCCCGTGGTTTCTTCATACACCTTCGTATTACCCGGTGTCACAGTCAGGTCCCAACACACGAGACCATAGCCGAACATGGCCTCCAAACACCACATGGATTAGTTCGGAGGGACCATATGCAACGTTCGAAAGGAGGGTTTCCACTTTAGAACATGGGCAAGGGACTTATCAGAGCATTTGCACCACTTGGGCATGTCCGTTCGGGCATGCTAAGCCAATAAGCGAACCCAGCGACATTGTCAACGAAGCGTGATCCACACTCGCGTGGTATTCCTCTCCGCCCAGCCCAGATATCAGGGCTGCCTCTGTGGGTCTGGACAAATCTTCTAATTTGACCCCTTCCTCTTCCCTCCGTAATACCATCTCTCCTCCTTGACGACTTTCGGCTCTTCGAGAGCTCGAAGCAAGTATAGTCAATCTTTTTCAGTCTCCACCTGGCGCATCGCAACAGCACCAGATATGGAGAATCTAGTCCAGCAACTTGTGAGCGCAACAAAGGATATCCAATTGTCGCGATGGCTCTCAGGTATGTACGGCTATCGAGTTCCCGAGCCGTTCCCCCGATAAGCAACAGTGTTGACGCCCGCTTCTTTTATCCGATCATTCATTTAGCATGCGGCACTACGCTAGCAATTTACGATTGGATGCTGCTTCTAGACATCGAAGTTGCCACCATTTCGCGCTCCAAGTGGACACTGCCGAAATTTCTTTATTACTATGTATGCTTGCCTTTCAAATTCCGCCCACTCTTCAGCTAACTCTATGACAGATCCGCTTCGTGACAGCCATCTTCATGTGCTTTGGAGCCTTTCGTACGTCTGATAAGCATAAAATGGATTAGGTTTTGACATTCCAACAGAATTAACCGACTTTCGAGTTTCATTATCGAAAGAGGTATGCTCCTTTGCCAAGCTTTACTCATCGTTATTTACGCTGCCTAGTTGTACGCCGCCGTATCTCTCCAGCTGAACGAAGAGACTAAATACTATGCAGCTGTCGAGCATGGGTCAATATCGTGACACTTACCATGTTCTCGACATTTGTCTCCTCTGCTTGTGAGTTGCTGCCACGATAGCCACGCCACCGGCTAATCGTTTACAGGGCTCTTCACCCTCCGTCTCATCGCGCTTTACCGTAGGAACCGGTATCTGGTCTGGTTCATGTATGCGTTCTTCTTCGCCACCTATGCCGCGTCCTTTGGCACTCTGACCGCGGCCCTGGTCACATATCATAGTACGCTTTTGTCCTTTCTTAGCGGTTTATGACGTAACCTTTATTCAGAGACCGTCGCATATTTTGAGATTCTGAATGCATGCGGTGCTACCGAGGCATCGCACACTTTTCCGGCCTTGTTCTACGCTCCGGCCGCGTATGAAGTTTTCATTTTCGCCCTTACGGCGTGGAGAGCGTATCAAGACGCGAGTTTGATCTCTGGAGCGCCATTTATGCGGGTGTTATACCGAGATGGAGTCATTGCCTTTCTGGTCATGACTGGAGTTCGCGGTTGGAATATTTGGATTGTATGTTCTTCTTTGTTGATGTATCGCGTACTGATAAAGTTCAGTACGTGTCTCAACCTATCACGGCTCTCAGCATCGGAACAAAGTATGCAATCTCCTTTTATACACATGAGTCAACAACTGACTTTGGCACTAGCATTATGTGGGCGCTGAACACGATTTTGATGACACGAGTCTACCTCAACCTCCAGTGGCTTGCCAAAGGACCTACACTTGGAGGGGATACCACCGACCTGACGACTTTTGCGTCGCCACTTGGTCGTGGGACAGACGGGCACCCCATCCGACCCAGAAACTCGATCCATTTTCGTGTTCCGCATCTTACCACAACGTTTGGTCAAACCACCGTCATGACGCAGACAATCTTTTTGACCTTGGAACCGAGCCCGCACCGTTGCGGAGCGCAGTTTACGGAGTGGAGCTTCGTACTGTCAAAGAGGACGAAGATGTGCCACATTCTCTGGGTATGATGGCGGAAACGCTTAGGTAAAGGTACCGCAGTATGGTCCGGTTCGACTCTGTAGATTTCTGCTGTATCCTGTATATCCTGTTCTAATGTAGTGGGCTGATGTTTTAAAGGGAGACCGTTATAACCTGCACTCGACCATTTTAGAGATTAACCTGGAAATGTTACTCACGCGAGCAAATAATGAACTTTGGACTCTCTTGAGGTCAAGAAGCATCATAGTGATTTCCGTCAACGGTTCCTTGAGCTTCTCTACGAACCTGCTGCGGTGGCTCGTTCAAACAAGTCGTCCATCTAACATCATCTCTTTTTGAATACACTGTTGACCCAAAGCCTTGTATTGTCAGCTCTCCGCGCAGCAATTGTTTAACGCTCCGTGCGTTATCCGACGCAGTTCAACTCTCCGTCGCCTACATCGCCTTTATACATGAACTCCGGTTCTCGCGGGTCAGAGTGCGCTATATCTCGATGGCTCTGCACCTCCTCTACGAAACTTCGACCCGGCCACCTCGAATATTAGGCGCAGATGCCGGCTTCACAGACGCTTGCGCATTCTTGCGCCGAATGTAAACGCCTCAAGTTTGTATCGTTACATGGAATATCGTCCTCTTGATTGGTGCTCTCCTGACGAATTGGTATAGGCTCAAATGCGACAGAGTCGTTCCTTGCAACTCGTGTGTGCGACGAGGGTGCCCACAGATCTGTCCAGATGGTACTCTGACACCAGGAAAAGGAAGCAGGTTTGTCTCGTTCCCCTCTTGATAATAACCGGCTCTCTGATTTGTCATGGTTGGCGAGTAGATTCATCCTAAACAATACAAAGGAATTGCACGAGGAGATTGAGGCGTTACGCACGCGTGTCAGGCAATTGGAAGGAGCTCTGGCCGAGTTGCAAGCTCAACTTACACCGGAGCCTCATCCATTACTCCAGAAATCGTTGAACATGGTCTCTACAGCCCTTGGGCCAGCTGAATCTCATTCGGGCAAAGAAAATTCGGAAGCAGAAGACGAGGTTTGGATATTTTGGTCTCATGTTCAATACTCACGCGTCACCATAGAGTCTCATCGATACCTTTGGGAGGTTGAATCTCGAGCCAAACGGGCAGACCATTTGGTATGCACGTCATCTTATCAGATATTCTCTTACATAGTTATCAGGTACGGTCCACAGGCTGGCTCCCGCTTCTACATCCCGGTAAGCTCCTGCCCTGCATCTTGCCCGCTCTGACAACGCTCTAGAGGGATGAATCTGAGGAAAATGCTGTATCTGCACTTCCGGTCGACCTCATGGTACTCAGCCGACTGTTCCCTCTCGGAGCGACAACCATATCAGAAGCCGAAGATATTGTTCGACAGCAGGTCAAGAGATATATCCCTCCAGAAAAGGAGGTAACTGAGAGCATCTACTCCCACCATTCTAACCTCAATTGGTCGTACGTCGTCTCACTAGGACATCTTCCGAGCTGACCAGATGCATCAGGGCTGAAGACGTGCCACCCAAATGGGCAAGGTTCCGTGAAACCACGATAAAACCGATATACTCCCCAGGGAGTCAACCTACAGATGCCCAATTGGCTGTCTTCTTCCTAGAATATGCCGTATCATTGATACTGGATCCAAGGCGCCAACCTGACTATGCAGAGGCAGATAGATATCATCATCTGTCGAAAATATGCATAAGCCTGGGAAAAGTAAGCACCTGGCGTCACAGTCGCCCGGGTCATTAACCAAAGCTTTTAGGACTTGCTTATATCTTGCACCCTCGAAGTCATCGGATACTTGGTGAGTTCTATGACAGTTCACAAGCGACTACTGACCTTGTCAAGCAACTTCTCACCTACTACTATAGCTTTACAAACGATGTGAACAGCCAGAATAAAGCTTGTGAGCCCGAGGCAATACTTTTGAACCCAAGACTGATGCAAACCGTTAGGGATCACGGGTAGCCTGGCCATACGACTGGCCGAGATGGTGAGCGAGCCAATCTTTTGACCCTGCATGCTGCTGACACCTGTAGGGAGGGCTTCGTGAGTACATCAAGGGCAAAAAGTCAAGTTTGGTGCTCAGATGATAACCACACAGACCGTGAAAACCCGAGATGGAATCTCGATTCAGAGATTATCGAGAGACGACGACGTACATGGTGGGAGCTTGTGTCGCTGGATACCGTACGATCTCTAGAATTAGGGCGTCGAAGGGCTATCAACGTTGACCACTTTGATACAAAGATGCCGCACGACCCAGAAGATGAGGGTGGAGAGCCTACTTGTACGCTGTCCTCGTCAGGATGCTCTATGCTGATCTCCAAACAGTCAGCCGTGTACGATTCAAATATATGGCAGCGTCACTAGGAGCCATTCTAGACGAAGCGTTTCGAGTCAAGCCGCCTTCTTACGCCAGAACTCTTCAGTGAGCTGATTTCTGGAATAAACTCCTGTCTTACCTCCTGATGCGCAGGCTTGACAAGGAAATCCGTGACTGGCCTCTGCACAAGCAATCTATAAACGAAATCCCCATGCCTCGTCCAGAGGAGATTAATCAAAGGCTGATTGGGCGTTTGATGATATCGTTCGCTATTACAAAATTTAGCGAGATCGGTGAGCAATTTGGAGAATGGTTGCGTAGCCTCATACATTCACAGGGCTCGTTTACCTTCATCGACGCTACTTCATCGAGGCATTGACGCGGTATCCACACGAGCCATTACGGAGCAAATATGCCATTAGTGTGATAGCAGTCTATCGTAGCTCTATACTGATTCTTCAGGCTCTTCGCAAGGTCGAGTCGGTGGCTGGTGCACTGCTCCCCAGAGTCTTTACGATGGGGCAACATGGATTGTGAGTACTTTTATTCTGTGGAAAGTACTCTGATGTACCAGTGTTAGGTCTGTCTATGTAAGAATTGTCCGCCTAGCATCGTGCTTTTGTCAATTTGTATAGATCTGTCTTTGCGCCCTCGTTATCAAGAGTCCCGGGTGCTCGCTTTCCAGATCATGTCTGGTAGAGATTGATGCAGGGAAAGATCTCTTTCTGCGAATAGCAGCTTATGGTGCACCTTCTGCTCCGGTATGTCCCCTGCGCCAATGTCCAAGCGCTCATTTTTCTAGTCTATCGTTGCGAACCTTCATGCACAGGCCCACCATTCGATGGAATTATATATGAAGGGCGAATGGTCATCGAATGTGGGAACTGTGTCCGACCAAGACGTCCTGACATTCGCCGGACGCCCAGGTGTACTCTCAGTCAAGGCGCGAACCAAGCAGGATTCGACGTCAACTTCGACTCCAGACTCCAACGCACCGGAATCTTCGATCACAAATGCCGCTCATCCGCTCCTCCTAGAATATCTTATGCGTATTCAGGACGCACAAGCTACACCAGATAAGTCTCATCAGTCGGTGCCGAGCGACTCCATACTCTTCGGCCTGCCTGCTGATCATGACAACCTACTTCCCTTTACTTCGAGCGCCCAATGGCCCACGGGTCAAGCACCAGCGGAGGACCTATCCTTTGCCTTGCCAAATCCCATCAGCGCCCCGAGCAGTGGGTCAGTAGCGAACCCTAGGCAGTCACGCTTCCAGGGATCCGAACTCCCTAATCGTGCGGATAGCGAATCAGTGGATGCTTCAGCCAACGCCTCGATATGGCCCTATGTCAATTATGAGGTACCCACAACATCTCCTCAGCAACAACCTTCTGGAGACAACTTTTGGCAGATGTTCTTGAGCGACCTAGATATGATGCCATTTGGTAGTGATGGACATGCTTAACGGCTTTTATATCCTATCAACTTAGTGTGCATACCTCCCGCATTTCAGTCAGATTGGAGCCGATCCCTTTTATTCTTTGAGACCTTTGACTTAGAAAGGATAGTCTGGACTAGGCTAAAAATTGAGTCAATTTGAATCAAATCGGGTATAACTGTAATTAGAGACACGAAGTTATAGGATTTGATTACTGTCCATAACGTCCGTTTCCGTACCCAGCGTTGTGTCCTCGACCCATCAACCGCGCTCCAGCATATGGCCCGTCATCAATTCCATCGTATGCACTGAGTCCGTCCGACTCTTCCATAACATAAGGTTCTGGGTTGTATATCTGCGCCTGCTGTTGACCAGGATAAGGCCCGTGCTGATAAGGGAGTTGCGACGGTGGCCCCTGAGAATGCTGCTGCTGCTGCCAAGGTGGCGAATTGTATCCGCCTCGAGTTGAGGGTGGTTGACCAGCGGTGGGGCTATGTACGTGCCCAATCGGCGCCAAAGGTGCAGCTGAACCGGGCCTACCAGGCAACAAAGAACTGGGAATCCTCTCGCTTGCAGGACTCATAGTTCGTGCGGGTTGCTCATGGACCGCTTGCGGCACCTGATTCGACCACCTTGGACCTTGATCTTGCTGGTATACTTGTTGCGATTGATATGGCGACGTGGGCGGCTGATACGTACTCGGATTGGGATTGAACCTGGACGGAGCAGCACCCGGAGGAAGCCCATTGTCAAACTGAGGCGTAGACTGAGGTGTTTGGTACAAAGATGGTGATTCTTGAGCATCGCTCATTTGCATGCGACCACCGTGACTGCCATCAGCTGAAGGAAGAGGACGAGAGGCCGACGAGATTGAGCCGACAGGAGAGTGGTATGGAGAGTTTCCAAGCCTCGTAGATCCTAGTGCCGGGCTACCCAAGGGAGAAGGTCCCTCTGTCTGCCTTGCAGGAATGCGCTGGGGGCTATTGTGCGCACTGCGCTTGAACGCGCCAGCGGCAATCGTCTTACCAGACGTCGATTCCTCGTCGTCACTCTCCGTATCCATTCGGCGTTGCGATCTAGCGGAAGAGGGATTTGTACGGCTGTACGCGGCACTGCCCATTCCGGCAAGATTGCTTCCGGAGTTGCTACCACGAAGCTGCTGAGTCCTTGGATCTGTGAGAGCGAAAGATTGAGCTGGTCGAGCCGTTGATGGCGTAGGAGATGGGAACGGTGATCCAGCAACAGCAGCTGTGGTCTCCAAGCTCGAATCCGGACCACTTTGCTGATTGAATGTGCTCGTTGTGACATTCTGGGGGTTTGGATTCTGGGCCGAGTTGAAGCTCGAGTCGGCACCGGATTCAACTCCAGAAGGCGGGTTCGAAGATGAGTTTGGTGAACCGAGCTGCGCTGAGAACGAGTCGAGCATAGCGTTAAACTGTTCGTCGGTCATTGTGGGCTCTCTGGTGAAGGAAGCACCATGGCTGGCTACAACAGTTTCAGCAAGGTGGATACATGGGTAGGTTACACGTACGGGTCGTTGGCTGCGACGTTCCGTCTAATTTCTTGTGAACCTCCAAGGGTGTAATGACGCTGGCGCGATTGTCTCTAGATCTGTTCTGGCTTGCGATCTCACCGGCTTCAATATACCCTGTCGGTGCTGTGGAATGGCTTCCACTCGTCGCAGCAGGACTTATGGAATTGGCAAGGCTATCTTTGCTCGCCCAAAGTCCATGAGTCTGTGTGACAGGGCTCGGAGTTATGGGTGATATTGGGCGAGGAGCAAAATGTATCTTTGGTGGGCCAGCATCTACAGCTTGCGATGCTGATCGAGACTGCGGCCCACCAATAAGAATCGACCGAGGTGCATCCTCTGCGAGGGGTGTGTCGGTAGACGATGATGACACGGTTCGGCCCACGTTCAAAGGAAGCGCCTCGATCGACTTCTCGTCGCCAGGCGTCGGTACAGGGGACACGTCGGCCATTAGTTCAGCTGAAGGGTAAGGGGATGGTGTCCTATCTACGCCAGGATGAGAACCGTACTTGGCATGCGGTGGCAACAATCCTTCATCGGCTGCTGTAGCACTGCTTTCTGTTCCAGCGCCAGTGGGCCTACGACGATCTGGGAACATGGCGAAGCGACCACTGTTACTCTGCGAGCGCGTGTGAGGATCATCAACCAAGTGATGGTGGATGACTGGCGCTTCAGAATTACCGACAGTGGGTGTTTGCGCATTCGAGTATGTTGTGGGTGTCTGAGTAAGAGGTGTTTGGTTTGCGCTGTCTGTACCACCTTGAAGGACCCTGGGTACAGCGGAGAGAGGAGGCACCACCTTTGGGTCGTCCGTCGATGTAAGGTTCGTGGTCGAGGCTGATGGGGAACCTGGCGCTGGAGAAGGTGGTAGCTCTTTCTTTTGATCAGCTGGAGGGGCTGCGAGAGATGCACCAGCACTTTCTTTCGTTGGGCTTCCATCAAAGTCCCCAAGCCCGAGGCTCCACGCAGGGAACTCACCAAGGCCGACCTTTGGAGGCAGAGTAGAGGTACGCTGCAAATCAGACGACTCCCCGAGAACTATATCGCTATCCGTCGTGCCTTGTCGAGCAACGGTTGGCGCGGGAGGCTTGAACGAGGATGGCGGACCGGCTGTTGGAGGAACAAAAGGAGAGTCCTTTTCTCCTGAGGCATCTTGAGGAGCAGGGGAGCGAATTGGCAGTGAAAGGGTGAGACCGCGTTCAACAGTTGCGCCTCCCGGTTGACCCAAGAAAACGGAACCTTGGGGTCCCTGAGAAGGCTGTTGCCGATGTTGGTTCGAAAGAGATGGGGGTGGACCTGGTGCACGGAATGCGGAACTCGACGGTCCAGGCCCTGGTTGACCATACTGTGCCAATCCAGTGCCTTGGCGAGGCGGACTTTGCGGTGTTCGCATTGTCTCCTGGATTATAGAGAGAGGGAGATGCTGAATAGGCCCTGATCCTCCGATAGCTGGCATGGTCTGCGACTGGAACGGCAGGCCCTCGATCGGGCGTCCAAACTCGTCGGCAGGTCCTGTAACTTCTCGGTTTGGAGGCATGGTACCAGCACCTGACGCAACAGAAGCTTGAGTCTGATGTCTGCCTACGCGAATGTCAAAGGTTGATTCGAGGAATGTAAACTAACGAAGTACCTGGAGCACCAGAGGAAGACGGATAAGGCGTAGCCTGATGCATTGCACCCACATTATTGGGTTTAGATGTTTGCTCCGTGTCTGGATTAGGGTTGAACTTGATCTCTGCAACGCAGCGGGAGGCCTCCCCAACCAAGCTAGAGACAGTCTCTCGAGACATGTATGGCGCGCGACTTTGTCCAGGCTGTGTGAGGTCTTGTGGAACTTCTGCTGCTACAAGTTTTCCCAGATCGCCAATTATCTGCCATACAGTTTAATAATCCAGCGTCTAGAGCCACATTACTGCTTACGGTCAGCTTCTCGGATAATTCTACGAGACCCCCATATTTGAGGGTCAGAATAGATCGTAGTATTCGTCGCTTGTAGTCGGAAAGGCGTGACATATCGACGAGAATCGAAGTATCAAGATGTCGGAGTTCATTCTGAAGGGAAACGAGCTGTTCATTGGCGAGTGAAAGGCCCTTATTCTGTTCATAATGTGAGACATTTTAAGGTTGGAATCAATCATACGTGCCTCTGGACCCATTTTACTGAGTTTCCTCTCCTGAGCTTCGAGCTTGCCAGCGACGGTCTTTCGTCGTCGCCTCAGTTCATCTAGTTGCTCCTCTTTAGTGCGAACATCCTTGAGCTGAGCTCGAATGGCGAGCTCATGGTCCGCAAAGGTATTAAACGCAGCGGCAATATGCGTCGATAATAGCAAGGATGCGTTAGTAATATCCTACAGATGAGTAAGTTTCCAATATATCCGCTCACAAGCGTGTACGTACGCCGAGATCTTCGCCTTCACCAGCACCCCATTGCTTCATCGCCTCCGCGGCGGTTGTCCAGTCCTTTGATACGCGTTGGAGGCTACAATCTAGTTAGTTCCAGGCGGTTATATACGATCAAAGGCTTCGTACGACGTGACGATTTCCTTTTCCTTTGTGATCGCATCTTGGAGCGGCCGTAGATCTTGATTACCCAGAGCAGGGGTTATTGTTGAGTGGGCAATCTTTGTTGACAGCGATCCAAACATGGTCGAGGTGTTTTCGAAACGAAAATGACCAAGAGTGGCAGGGTTGAACACGCCGCAAGAGTGGTCAAAACACGATGTTTAGACGTTGAGTGAGATTTGATTGTTATTAGATGAGGTTTCTGGTGGGATATGGTGCGCGCGAGGATGTGGACGGGTTGAAGTTCACCGCACGTCACAGCGGCATACTTACGGCTACGCGCCGCAAGCACTGCTCACGGGCGCTAATACCGGAATCATTCTGGACGGTTAAATGATATTCGCTAACAATAGTAAATGCTCACTCCGAGGTTTTAGAGCATGGCTAGATGCACTAGGGTATCGGTCACACCTTGACTGTGGTGGACGTGTCTATGAGTGCCAAGGACTCGCTCTCTATAAATAGCAATTCGACTGATCATGCTGTGAAGGGCGAAGAGGGGCTGCCTGACCTGGACGTGTTATGGCGTAGGTATATCTCTAAATCATGGAGACAAGCCACAGATCTACATAATACGACTATTGCAATGAATTTACCGACCTGCGTGGTCGTATCCGAACTATGGCCTACTTGACTCAGTTCCCTTGGCTTCTCAACTCGGTTCATTGTGAAATGTAGAGACTCACCAGTGGTTGCGGTCCTTTCGCCGTATTTGTGCTGTTGCACTCGCACCGGGCGGAACTCAAGTCGCCTCATCTGACTCTTCCGACATCGAGTCTCTTCCGCAGGCCCAACTTGATTTCACCAACTTCCAACGTGGAACATCTCGGACCAAAGTTCGAACAAACTCGTAGTAAACGTGTAATACATCAATCTATGATACGTAACTAGCACCGGGGATTATAAACTCCAATTAACCTTGCCGCTCATGCGGGCTGCCTGAGAATATCACGAGACCAAGCGCGTATACCTGCTCTGCGTATATACCAGACTCTCAGGATTCTCAGAGTAAACCGAAACCCGCGAACGTGTTGTCGCCGTGTTCGCTCCTCCGTCGAGATTCCCATAAGTGGTCCACGCGTAGTTTGTACTCTCGTCATGTCTCACAGGTCCATTGCGTCAAAATTTTGCTCGTTGATGGTAAAGTTTGCCCCTTTGATGACATCGGCTTCCTGACTCCGTGTCTGGACTGCTCCTTGGATCAGGCCTACGTTCTGAGATATATTGGGAGCAATGGCGGCAAAGACGATGTCTATATCTCCAATCGGAATTGAATTCGCCATCTCCGCATCGATCTGACCCAACGACCCCGTTCCGAGGCATGGACGAACCCAGGACTGGATCCACACGACGTGAGAGAGCCGTTTGTTTCCCCGAAGAATCGATTCGAGAATCATATGGAAATGAAGTCCGAGATAGCGCCCACATGGGCGTTTGCCATGGTAGGCAATGGTACGCAATCCAAATACTGCTTCCCCTCTTCAACCTGGCTGGTAGACGTTGCGGTTGAGCTAACGTAGACGCCTCCGCGTGCGTATCGATCACATGTTCCGGCCGTTCATCAAGCGTAATCCTCGTGGACTCGGCGAACGATTCAAGTCCCGAGATGATACTCCCCTCGTCATTCTGTCGAAATCCTATTCCTGCCTACCGCGTCTTCGTCGGTGGAAAAGCCATTGAACCAGTGAAGAGACTAGAAGAGTCTAAGGATGAAGTAGACGAAGGTAAAAAGCGACTGACAGTGCTTGATCACAATAGGAAAAGGTGGACGCTGAGCATCGCGATAAGTAGAGGTTGGAGAAGGACAAGCGTCCGTATGTTCTCTAACGTATTTATCTCCTGTTCCCGAGTCGTGTCAATGGTGAAAAGCCAAAGGTTCGCTCCAAGAGCCAAAGGATGACAGGCCAATCTGAATGTTCTTGACGAGCACGCTGAGGTACCAAGGAAGATGAACGAAGTCGTGCAGAGGGCGAAGAGGCGCATAAAGTGGTTGAGTGTGGGGGCTGATATGATATCCGTTGGGATAAATGAGTTGGTCTGTGACGATTATTGAACGGATTGCTTATAGATGCGACTATTGGCCGGTTAGCGGTTGTATGATGCGACAAAGAGCCAACTTACTACGGTAAATGGGTGTTATACAACAGCAGACTACGGATGGCGAACGGTGGTAGACGACGAGAGAGGGAAGTGCACGGTAGTCTGCGATACGATTCAAGTATCAAAATCTTTTCATTCTGATACATTCTCGGTGACGTATAACACACCTCTTTGTTCTTGAACCCTCGTCAGAGCACTCTCAAGCATCCTCCAGCGACCATTATGGAATCATTCGCGTGTCGAAGTCATCAGGCACCGCCAAAGCATGCATATTTGATTCTTAGTAGATGTTTTATTGGCAGCCGCTGTGGTTATCCCTCTTCAATTGCTGGCTTGCGTCGTCCAAGCCGTTCGCAAGACGTTGGATTGTTCGAGGATGATCATTTACAGGCTACAAAGAGATGCACCGAGTCTGCGTTGAATTTTTATCTACTTGATATCCATATTTGGTTGATGGTCGAATGAGTTGCCAATGGCGTCGAGTCTGAGCCTGTGCTGATTGAGGCTGGGCACAAATGTACTTGAACTGCTCGTCATGAAAAGCCAGCCCTCTCAGCTGAGCTACCTCTCGTGCTGACTCCAATTCCCCGCCTTTGACTACACTTTCATACAGATCATCATATTCAAGGCTCTCCAAGTGTATTCAGTTTCTAGCAAGCCATAGTAATACAACGTTCATCGAATCTAATCCCCTTCTGTCAGAAAGAGCGTCACGAGCAGGGATCCCTGCTTCCCCGTTCGGATCAATAGGAAAAGTCGAGAGTGCTAACCAGGATCTACAACAAATGGTCGTCGGGAGCCATCTGGCAAGATGCTGGCCGGGACTTCTTCGCCAATATCCAGTTGATTACCCACCGAAATATCCTCTCGGAAGATATGATTGTTCCTCTGCGTACATCATGATGATCTTCGGTGCGCACCTTGTTTGCTATACTCCATGCCGCTGGCCTGACTCTCGTAGCAGGCACCATTTGTCGTTTTACCGCAGGCTTCTGGCCGTTTTCACTTACAAGTATGAGATAATAAGTCATGGTGCAGAAGTATTGACGGCGACGTAGGCGAGTCTAGGATCAACTCTGTACTCACGTCGAGTCCTGACCTAAGTATCCACCCCTTTGTATCTGTGCTTGCCATGAGCAATCTGTCTTGCATGAGAGGTGACCCAAGGCCGGAAGAGTGGCATATCCTTCCGCCTTGAAGACGTTGAGATCTACGTCCGTCGCCGTAGGGTACAACAAGCTATACTCCCTTCAACGAGAACAAACGGGCGACTTCTCGAATACAACACATGAGCTTGAACACTCTGTCGGTTGAGGACATATTTCGAAAGGTTTGCTGGGAACCTCGTTGTCAATGACCAAGTTTCCGTGGAAGAGCTCATATCGCTTCTTGGGTTTGTAACGGCTCGGTATACGTTGCGAGGTACGACCATACCTATACGTATCCGCCCGTCAGTCTAGGCTTGTAGAAGGTCGAAGGCGAGACTGCAGGCGCCCGGGTAGAGGACATCGATTGTCCTGGGAGAGGCGCAGGAAAGTTGTATCAGTCGGGATTAACGGCCGAGTATGGTGGTCCATTGTTATTCCCTAGCACACCCAATTCGCTTGCGCCGCTAAACGGCGTCGGTGCGCTATCGTATCGCCTCCATGGCCGGGCGTCGACGAGGAAAAAGTGGGTGTGTCGTTGTACAAGCTCGAGTGTTGACCTCCAGGTGTGAGGAATGGGTTTGGATTTTGATCGACGGGCTGGTTGGAGACGACCTGACTGGTGAATGTGAACAGGCTGTTGGGATTATCGTATGCGGGTTGGTCGTAGTATCCTCCGTATGGATTGTCATAGCCTAGTCCAATATATGCGTCAGCTCGGGTGGATCCAACAAGCCAAGCATTGCAGATTGCGCTGGGTGCCAGCTGGTCTAGACTGACAAACAAACGTGAACATACCAGAGTTGTATCCATATCCAGCACCTTCAGTACTATAAGGCGTATAGCTGCCCTGCGAATACGCTCCCCGGTTGTTGGGAGCGGGGTTGCTCGGTGGTCTTGGCGGAGGCGGAGGAGCACCAGTATTATTCGGATTATTTGCACTCCATGGTGAACCAGATTGGTTCTGACGCGGCGAGTACTGATCCTGCCGATGGTCAAACGGGTTTTCCATCAGCGACTATGGCTTTTGGAGTCACAGAATATGAAAATGAGAATTTCTTGACGAAATATTATCGCCCAGAGGAGTAGAATACGCGTATATTCTCCTTGGAGGGGAGAATAGATGGACGCGGTTGGGGACAAGGTGCGTACTTGATGGGCGGCAGATGAACGGAGATGGTGAGCGTGGCCGACGTCGCCAGTGCTCGATATTTACACGGGAAATGTTGACATACCTGTGGATAACTCATCGACAGCCAAATAGAGTGTAAAGAACGACGCCAATTAGTGCATCGTCAACAAAGAGATAAGTAGATGAAGAGAACAAGTCCAAGATGCAAGTCAACAACTAAGACTCGCTCAGACTTTGCCTCCAGAGTCGCCGGGTTATGAGCGCTACTGTGCAAGGCAGTGTGGCCCACAAGGGCCAATTATGGCCTTCCAGCCTCGTTTGGATCTTGCTTATCCGCCAGTCCATCATGCGGTTCAATTTATTCAAAAGTAATAAGAAATCTCACGCAAAACAAGACGATCTTCCAGGATCTTCATCATCTTCCATTCGAGAGGGCCCATCCAGGAGGGGAGCCAAAGTGGCGGATACGGCCAACGTGTTCCTCGACTTTATGGCAAATATAGCAGAGGCATCTGATATACTAAGTCCTCTCAAAGCTGCTTGTCGAGCGACCAAAACGGTCCTCGACACCGTTCAGGTGAGCTTGCAAAAAAACGAGACTGGCATATCGTTGGGCTAATCAACTGAGGATATTAGGGTATAAAGAGTAACCAAGAAGCTTGGCTAGATCTCATCCAACGTATTAAAGACTATCTATCGGCTCTCGAGCAGCAAATCACCTTGTTTGAACGCAATCCTCCAGAGGACATTGACGGGCCATTCGACAAGGCATTTAGCCAGCCACTCATTCGTTACGTCCAGTACGTAACTATATGTAAATCCTCTTCATTCTACTGATCACGACAGACTCCTCGAGGATCTCCATGACAAGATTGTTGATTCGAGGGAAAAACAGAGTGGCAAAGTCGTCGGGGGACTTGCAGCAATTGGTACAATCAAGATTGACGCTGGGGATATCCAAAAGTACAGCCAAGAGCTCGAGGACCGCCATAGGCAGTTTATGGTACGAGCCTCGCCTGCAATCTACATGATCTTACGGTATTTAAAGGATGCACTGAATGTATATACTGCACTCGGTGTTCGAGATATCAAACGCAAGGTGGATACCATCTTGACAGAAGGTAGTTGGATCGATGATGTCCCGAAAGCTTGCTAACGCCTACCACAAGCCGACTCCGCTGCCATACTCCAACTGCCAATGGTCGTCTCCGTTGCATCATCAGTCCACAATACCTGTCTTAAAGGAACACGCGAAGCCGTTCTCGAGACAATCTCACAGTGGGCCGACGACGATTCGTCGAGGAAGCCAATCTTCTGGCTCTGCGATATAGCAGGCTCTGGCAAGTCGACAGTAGCCATGTCCGCAGTGGAAGCATGGAGGAAGCAGGGAATCTTGGGTGGCCGATTCTTCTTCTCCATGACAAGCAACGAAGGATCAAATACCGACAAGTTTTGCTCCACCATTGCGAGGGAACTTGTTCAGCACATCCCCGAGCTTGGGCCGCCGATCGCGGAGGCCGTGAAGCGAAATCCTGCTCTCCTGCGAAGTTCTTTTGACGAGCAGTTCCGGATGCTCATCACCGGGCCCCTTCAGCATCGGAAACGACACACCATCCTTGTTATCGACGCAATAGATGAATGCAAGTCGGGTCCACAGAGAAGAGAACTGGTCGAGACTCTCTCTACTACCGCACAGGAGAACAGCAACCTCCGGATATTTATAACAAGTCGCCCGGACCCGGTCATTGAAAAGGTTTTGGAGCCGCTCTCGATAAAAGCCAAATTGACAGATCGTCTCCACGACACCAACCATCGCGATAATACCGATGACATCGCGGCCTACATTCACAAATCTCTGGATGGAGTACTATCTTTCGCAAAGAGGCAGCAGTTGGTCAAAAAAGCCAACGGGCTGTTCATTTGGGCGAGCACTGCATGTCGGATGTTCGATGCAGAGTCTTCTGCACTCGATCCCGAGAGTACATACGATGGCTTAATTTCCATTGACCAGCCTGGGGCCATTGACGGTGTATATAACCTCATATTTGAGCGCATCGACCAAGCATCCAAGGCTGTGATTGGTGAAATGCTCGGGATGCTGCTCGCTGCATTTGAGCCACTCACCATCGGCGATCTGGAGGACCTTGTTAAGCATACGAAAGTGCGCGGGAATGTCAAGGCAATGCAAATGATTTTAGGAAGCATACTCAAGGTGGATCCAACGACAAACTCGATCCAGTTCCGCCATCCTACTATCGTCGAGTACCTTCGGCGCTGCTGCATTGCCCCCACTACCAATACCCGCGATAGGATCCATATCAAAATTGATCATGCGCACGGTCAAGTTGCTTCCTGGTGTCTCCATCGTCTTAACTCGCCCGCCGAAGGTCTCAAGTTCAACATATGCCAGATCGAGTCGTCCTTTTATCTGAATAGGCAGATTCCAGACCTCGAGGCGCGAGTAGCAAGCTTCATTTCACGAGGGCTTCGCTATGCCAGTTTGCACTGGCCGTTCCATGTGTCAGCGATGGATGATAGCTCAGGACACAAGCTACAGAGCGAATTGGCACATATAGTCACAAGTCCCTTTGCACTCTACTGGATGGAGATATTGAGTGTGACGGGAGGAGTAATGCGAGCAATATCTGGACTTCGAGCTGCTGCACAACGTCAGAGCGTGAGTGATCTGTCTAAGCGATTCGGTTGATTAAACCAAGAATAGATTGAAGAGGAGACCAGGATTCGGATGAATGACATCAGGAGGTTTTTTATGGCATTTTCCGTGCCGATACAAGAGAGCACTCCTCATATATACATCTCATCACTGCCATTCAGCCCGAGAAGGTCAACGCTACATACTGAGGGTCTAGCAGAGCATAGGAATGCATTGAGAGTGACCAGGGGTCTTGACGAGACATATCCTGGGCTTCCCAGAATACTCCAAGGGCATCAAAAAGCAATCAACGCTGTTGCACTCTCACCAAATGGCTCTCGAATCGCCTCCGGCTCCAATGACGAGAAAATTCGACTGTGGGATGCAGAGACTGGCCAGCCGTTGGGAGAGCCACTCCGAGGTCATCAAGGCTCGGTCACCGCTGTCGCATTCTCGCCAGATGGCTCGCGAATTGTCTCTGGCTCTTATGACGAGACAATTCGACAGTGGGATGCAGAGACTGGCCAGTCGTTGGGAGAGCCACTCCGAGGTCATCAAGGCTCGGTCACCGCTGTCGCATTCTCGCCAGATGGCTCGCGAATTGTCTCTGGTTCATTTGATAGGACAATTCGACTGTGGGATGCAGAGACTGGCCAACCGTTGGGAGAGCCACTCCGAGGTCATCAAGACGAGGTCACCGCTGTCGCATTCTCGCCAGATGGCTCGCGAATTGTCTCTGGTTCATTTGATAGGACAATTCGACTGTGGGATGCAGAGACTGGCCAACCGTTGGGAGAGCCACTCCGAGGTTATCAAGGCTGGGTCTGGGCTGTCGCATTCTCGCCAGATGGCTCGCGAATTGTCTCTGGCTCAGATGACATGACAATCCGACTGTGGGATGCAGAGACTGGCCAGCCGTTGGGAGAGCCACTCCGAGGTCATCAAAACTCGGTCACCGCTGTCGCATTCTCGCCAGATGGCTCGCGAATTGTCTCTGGCTCATTTGACAGGACAATCCGACTGTGGGATGCAGAGACTGGCCAGCCGTTGGGAGAGCCACTCCGAGGTCATCAAAACTCGGTCACCGCTGTCGCATTCTCGCCAGATGGCTCGCGAATTGTCTCTGGCTCACATGACAAGACACTTCGACTGTGGGATGCAGAGACTGGCCAGCCGTTGGGAGAGCCACTCCGAGGTCATCGACTTGGGGTCTTGGCCGTCGCATTCTCGCCAGATGGCTCGCGAATTGTCTCTGGCTCACATGACAAGACACTTCGACTGTGGGATGCAGAGACTGGCCAGCCGTTTGGAGAGCCACTCCGAGGTCATCAAGGCTCGGTCACCGCTGTCGCATTCTCGCCAGATGGCTCGCGAATTGTCTCCGGCTCACATGACAAGGCACTTCGACTGTGGGATGCAGAGACTGGCCAGTCGTTGAGAGAGCCACTCCGAGGTCACCAATACTCGGTCACCGCTGTCGCATTCTCGCCAGATGGCTCGCGAATTGTCTCTGGCTCAGATGACATGACAATCCGACTGTGGGATGCAGAGACTGGCCAGCCGTTGGGAGAGCCACTCCGAGGTCATCGAAACGAGGTCACCGCTGTCGCATTCTCTCCAGATGGCTCGCGAATTGTCTCTGGCTCATTTGACAAGACAATTCGACTGTGGGATGCAGAGACTGGCCAGCCGTTGGGAGTATCAGTCCAAGGTCATCCAGACTCGATCAGCACTGGTAGTTTCTCACCAGATCGCCTGCTAGTTGTCTCTCCTTCAGATAATAACACAATCCAAATCCGGAGGGTGCACAATTGTGAGTATATTTCTTTGCCTTGTAGTGTCACAACGTGACAGCCACTTACTTTATATTAAATACAGCTAATCTCGACACTGCAAATACTCACTCTGCCTCTTCGGGCCATGGCAATTCTACTTTAGTCAAATCCACAATTTTTGTACCTGGGGTCGGTGAATGTTTTCTGCTGCCCGACGGCTGGGTACAGTCTTCTGGTCGATTCATTTTCTGGGTACCACCTCCCAATCGTCATGGAGTCAAGAATCCAAACCTTCTCCTGACTATGCCCACATCGAGTTACCTACGTGCGACCCACCTCGATTTCACTCATTTTCAATGCGGGACATCTTGGACAAAAGTGCGAACAAATTCGTAGTAAATGTGTAAATCTATCGGTCTAGGATATGAAACAAGCACTACCGTTCACCAGGACCGTAAGCTCCGATTGACCTTGCCGCTCCTGCGAGCCGCCTAAGAATGCCACGAGAACAAGTGCGTATACCTGCTCCGCATATGTACCAGACTCTCTGGGTCGTCTGCGTAGACCGAAAAGCGTGGACGTGTACTTGCCGTGTTCGCTCCTCCTTCATCTAGCTTCCTATAAAAGGGCCACCCGTACTCTACTCTTGTCACGCCTCCCATCTCCCACACATTGAACTCATGTCCGTTGATAGTAAAGTTTTCCTGTTCACGTGCTTCCCGACTCTGCACTTGGTTCGCTCCTGGTCCCAACTCCACTCTCTGAAGTATACCGGGAGTAGGAACGGCAAAGAGGACGTGGCTTTCCCCACTCGGAACCGCATTCGCCATCACCGCATCGATCCGAAACAACGACCGCGTCACGATTGAGGCAAGGACTAGATCCAAACGACGTGCGCGAGTCATTCGCTTGCCCAACCATTCGACTCAGAATTGGTCTGGGATGAACTGTGAGGTTGAACCGACGTAGGTGGTTGCCTTGGTCGACGGTGGGTATGTAATCCTAATAGACATCAAGATCGTGGCCTCATCTTTTCCAGCCTTTGGGGTCTTCTAATGTGCACCTGGATAAGCCATATCAAGGTACATCTTCGCTCGCTCTCGACAGGAGAGCCAGGTCGAAGAGAGAAAGCGGTACGAGGTCCCAAGCTTCGACTGTGGCCAATCGTGCTCGACGGTGTTCCATAGTGTAAAACGCGCTTGGAGCACTCGATTTATTTCAGCCTTTGAGGCGGAGTCCGTGTTTGGAAAGAAAAGGTCGTGAGGACGGGAGGATCTGTATTTATTACGCAGCCGCGGGCTCTCGACGGCGAGGTCAATGATGATTGCAACTGAGGATCAGAGTCGATAATGAATTTGAGTCGACGACAGGTCTAAACGGGGCATAAATAGAGCACCGATGAGAAGACAAGACGCACTGCTGAGCATGCTACCGCGTCCTCGCTCGAAGGTCTCCTAAAAATTCAAGTGACAAGCTCTGACGGGGGGACTGCTAGTTTATTTTCCATTGGGAGTCATTACTTTGTCAGTCGCACTCTGGAAGGCGACGACCCTCATTTAGCCAATGCTCGCGCACGTTCTCCTCTCGTTTTGGGATCGCAATGGATTACTTCATGTATATATTGGCTGAAAACGACACCAAACCTTCGTACTTTCATTTGTGCGACCACCCGCATGGCGCCGGAGGTACAATTCCAAGGTCATCGTCTTCATTTACATACATTCGCAGTGTTATATAAAGCATTATGTCTGTTCTAAACTCATCGTCAGACTGCCTTCCAGCATCCTTTGGCGACCAATATCGAGAGGGTGTGGCATGTCGAAAGTCTTGTGGAACATTGGGCACCGTCAACGTGTGCCTATGTGCTCACTTATGGATATCAATTGACAGGTGTGATCTATTTCCTTCAATATCTGCTTGCTTGCGTTGTTCAGGCCGCTCACAGACGTTGGCCGGCGCTAGGATGGCCATTTACATGGCACAAGAGGGTAATCTCTCCCACTTGATTCGTGGGATAGTCTATATCAATAGTGACCGTGGCTAAATCAGTCAGTTGATGGCTTCGAGTCCAACGTCGAAAGTATCGAGGCTGGATCGAAATGCACTTTGAACTCTCTCCACGACACGATTAGACAGACAAATGGATTCATGACGAATAATACTGTATAAATACATTGCCAGGCAGGTGATTCACAACGTTACTACTCTTCAGTCGCTCACTTCTGAACCGCATTCGGCTTTGTTCAGGCATACAACATCCAGGTTCACAGCTAAGCCCTTCGACTACTCACAATAGACTCCTCTAGGAGGGCTGATTGGACCTCTCGGCCAGCACGGACAAACTAGACCAATTTACGAGTGTAGGTTGAAATTCTAAATGGATGTAAGGTCTGTCAAGAGCTTAGGCTCGACGGCGTGTACTTTGGGCTCTCGCAGCTCATGGGACTTCCCATCTTCAATCCCAACGTAGAGCCATAGAGAATGCGCCTTTCCTCATCAAATATTGTTCGGTCAATGTCCGGGTTAGAGAGTGGCGCATAGGATCCCATTTTCTCATGATTATATATTAATGTCTAGGATCCAATGCCTAGTGCTCTCCTTCACGATCTACGACAAGGTCTCGGGGCAATGATCTCAGCTTGTAGATATTCCAGAAATCGTGGTTCGAAGTTTGATTGTCCAACGTACACAGTACGAGTCATGGTATGCTACAGTAATCTCCCAGAGTAAATGACGGTCCGATAGTCAATAAAGAATGTGTCGGTGTCGAAAATGTGGTTAACCGACTGAACAGCGCATAGGGTATCCAATACATCAAAGCATGCGCTCAAAGCGCGTAGTGCACGAGTAACTAGTTAGAACCCCATTAGCATTAATTCTCCCTCTGAGAGTGTATAGAAGCCACGGCTCCACACTGGAACGCATGTATCGGGGATGGGGGAATGCTTACCTTTCATAGTCAAAATTATTGCGCTCATCGCACCAGCATTTGCCCTTGGTGTGCAGCGCGCCTTGAGGGCAGTGTTGGAATGGGTTGTGTCGGTAGCCAATCTCTTTGAAGAAATGGATCTGCTCCTTCTTAGCGAACAAGGCTGCGCCAATGGAGTGGACTGGTGCGTCGCCCCATCTCTAAGGACTTGGTCAGATTCAGAAAAACGAGGATAGAAGAAGCAAACCTCGTAGTAGAAGCCACCCTTCGAGTCGAGAAACTCAAAGTATTTCATATATGCCTCTGACCGCCAAAAGTCCATATCTGCAATCTCAAAATTACTCCAGACTGCAGCAGTCAGACTTTGAATGACGACCAGCTCGAAGCACTCACAGTGACACATATTATAGGAATCGCCACGATCATCGGAGATGAATTTAAGAGCATTGTCTTTGGCGACGTATTCCGGATGTTTCCGAATAAACTCTGAAACGATGTGAGTAACAATACTTCCTGACCTGCCGACATACCCTTTGTGGTCTCCCACAGCGTAGGGATGGTAGACTCATACTCGTACATCGAAATAGTAAAGCCGTATACTTTGTTATTCTCTTGTAGGAAAACGAACGGGTCTTCGGTAATATCGCAGAAGAAGTTGACTCCAGGCCTAGGCAGAACTCGGTCAACATTCCTTTCGACAAAGTGCGGAACCTACTCGATGCGCCAGTAGTATCGATACTGCTGCAACAGCTCGTGACGGAAAAAGAAACCCGAGTTGAACCGGCACATGTTGCGGTACCTGCCCCTCGTCAGCGGCCATACACGAAGAAGTGTGGTAACAACGTACGATACGGATCCTCCGTAGATAACATCATTCCTGACCATATCCTCTCGACTCTTGCGAGCGCGCTCCTCGTCGATGGTCGGTGGCTGGTGCCAATGGTCGTGGGGAATTTGACCATACGACACTTTGCCCGAAACGACTTTGGATGTGCGCCTTTAGATACATTAGTTTATCTAACGTAAATCTGGAGAAAAGGCATACTCTTTGAACTCTGCGGTGAACGGCAAGTCGTTGAGGAAGACATAGGGGTAGTGATATTGATGGTTGAAGGTATGCTCCATCTCTGCGAGTGATTGCACAATGTCGTTAATCTCGTGGTTGCGTGCGAGAATGACAAATGTAGCGTTAGCTCGACCTGATACTCTGTCAACCGGACTGCCCACGGTCATCCTCGCTTACCCACCTATTTGGGGCTTGTGCACTGCACGAGGATACTGGTCTCCTTCTAATGTACCCCATACTGATTCTGTATCAGTATCTGCTTCCACACACTGCGTCGACGCAGAATGGGACTGGATCCAAGGTGCTAGTTGAGTAAGAGAGGTGGCCTTGCTGTACTCCTCGTGTAGATGGGAAAAGAGAAAATGAGCGAGAAGAATGAGGAGGACGACCAAAAGATAGTAGCGAGCGGGAAAATGGACTCCAGGACCAGAGTAGACGAATTTTGGAAGTGCGAATCCCATTCTGAGAGGTCGTATATGGCAGGTTGAACGACGAGAAAAGGAGATGGGGAGATGATATAGGCTCTCATCCGCAGTAGTGGCAGGCCGGCTGCATTTTGAGGCACATTGAGTACCCTATCGACGACTTCCGTCTGGACGTACTTGATTTAGGTCTGACGAATTCATGCGGTCACGGTAGCTCATTGGACGTATGACGGTTGAATATAGAAGCCCTTTCCGAATTGCGACGGGGATCTCCCATCCGCAGCCACTCTCAACGCGACCGCTCGAAAAGGGTCGGGAACGATGCTGCGGGGGCAACCGCTTCGGTTATCTGTATTCCTGGGTAATATCCGCTTAATCTCGAATCCGCAGTTAGGTTACTGCATGAGAATGCAGCCATAGCTGGCAGTTTGCCATTTGGGATAAGGGCAGATGAGAATTCGCTCCAAGGTCCAAAGAAAGTCAGATCCAATCAGATGGTTTGTTCGAGGTAAGTGGATAAATGTGGGATGAGAAGCGAATAAACGGCGACCAGTCGCTCGGGTCTCAGTGCAAGTAGGAGAAGATCCGGTACGAATAAGGTTGATTTGGGTGATATCAGGATGTTATTGACCCTGGCTGAACCACCGAGACCTCTCCTCCATTTCCTTGCTTTCGACGAGTTTCGTCCTCTTAGTGCACAAGTGAATACCTGAACAAGGTGTGTTATTAAGCAGAGCGCTCTTCCTTTCTACGCATTCAATCGGATATTTCGCAGTCCTGGTCGAGATCAGATTTGAAGCGCGCTACGCCCTTGACGTCCGCCGCGACCGCGAAAATTTTCAGAGGCGCCAAGAATGTACGAAACGATTCAAACTCTGTGTATAAAGGTGAAGACGGGATGATTGGACGCAAGGAGATGATCTTCAGCTTGTCCCAAGATTGGATCCTCTTGCAGAACTGGAGAGTAGGCAATAGGACAGAGGACATATCTATTACCTTTATGGTCATCTTGGATCATTCTTGATCTATTCCAGCTGCTTGCGAGACTAGGGCGGGAGTTTGACACTTACATGAGCAAGAGCACCGTCGAGCATCCCAAGTCGCCAACTGTGTGTATCCTTTTGTCGAAGAATCTTGTCTTTCGCGGACCCCGTCGCATAAAATTTGGAATACACGGGCGAACAGAGGACACTGCCGACTGGATCCAGATGGATTGCCTCCCGCGTTCATTTTACCGGACCTCTCTGTGGTTTCATACATTTACACCGAAACCGGGTACACGGAGAAACCCACGCGCGACATGTGAACGGCAACGGCGATCTCCTCTCATTCCGACCGTTGCTTTGTTCACCTTTTTTGACCGCAACCCCTCGCTTTCCTTTACTCCGACCCCCTTTGATTAACCTCTACGCTCTCAAATTCACACTCTTTTATTCTACAAACTTGGGACACGCGCAAGCACAGAGCGAGCAGTAGACCGGCATTTACGTGGAGACGTTTCAGCCCCTAAACACGCCGCAGGTCTATCCAGGACGCGTTTCAGCGGCTTGACTCGACTCTCTCCCGTGGAGAGAGTGAGTTTCAGACGTTCAAAGGCTTGCTCACGACCCGCTTGCCGCACTCATTAAGCAGCGCATTGGTTGCCTGCCTGATGACCAGGGCCTTGCCGCAATAAGCGCTTCACTCGAGACGCACCTCTCTCTCTACCTCCCTCCCCTATCCTTTACTCCCTCTGTGGGCTCGTCACTCCAATGCCGGGCCACTACCGAACCCGCTCATCCCAACGCGCCGTCTCGGTCCCCCCCTCTAGCCCTCCACTCATCCTAAGAGGCTCTCAGTCTGTTCGAGAGAGAACTAGAAAGGCTCCGATTGCACCTTCTGCAAGAAGACTGCATATATTAGAGTCCAAAGCAGAGGTATGTGACTCCTGAAGATTAATGAACAATGGTCAATGCTAACCCGCTCTTGTTTATAGACAAGTAATTCTGCCCATCTTCAAGCTGCATTAGCGCTATGCCAACCACGCCGCTCGTCAGCCCCCTCAGCCCTTGGTCCCGCAATTGTCCTGCGGAGAAACTCAATCTCAAAGCCGAGAACCAACGATGAGGATGAGGATATGCTAGTGATCCACCGACCAGACAACTTTGAGATCCCTAAAGACTCGCTCTACACCGCTTTGGAAGCTCGCGCTTTCGACTGGAGACAAGACCCATTCGAAGACTCTCCAGTCTATGTCTACGGCCAACGCCCGAACCACAAGAGACAGAAGAGCTCTCTCAGTAGACGAAACGTTCACCTCCGCGCCCCGCAATTTACTCTCCCGTCTGCAACGCCGAGCCCAGCAGTCTCCGCGACCAACAGCCCGCAACCAAGTCCGCTTACGCGTGCATTGCATTTGGGTTCCGAAGATGTAGAGTTTGAAGTGCCAATGCCCAACGCGAGCATACCGCTTGGATGGCCGGGAACATCGGGATTGTTATCTTCGCCCGCTATGCTATCAACGCCGGCGTTCTCCACTCCAGGGCTTAGCCCTTCGGCTTCTAGTGCGGCAGGGTCCCCTTATCCTGGTCATGGAGCCGACTATTTTGCTCCACGCGCCTCTTCTTACCCTCATACACCTTCCATACTACATACCCCCGCTTCTCCGCGGCCTGTACCTGAATAGGTGCCCGACCCGCGCGACCGTTTTGTGTCGCATCCGCTCACTTTTCGGACTAGCATATACGTACCATCTCTTGCCGCAGGCGGCGAATGGTTTCTGGACACCATACACCCCACACCACGACACCATTTGCAACCTTCTGCGTCTAATCTCGGGATTCCCTGTTCATTCGTTCATACCCAACACTCGACTGCGTCGCGTGGTTCCAGCATCTCACTCGCTCACCGTCCACTCTGCAACCGTTCACTCTCACCCGTAACAACATGGATTTCCTTGACATATCCGCCTTATCTATGCATTTTCCGCCTTTACATTCGTCTTGCCACTCTAATTCCCCGCTCTTCCTCGCCATTTCCCCACTGGCCTCTTCACCTCTTACTTATACAGATTTCTATTCGTTCCTGTATCCACATCACCGCCATCGTGCTTTTTCGTGCACACTCCTTTCACCTTTCGCTCGGCTTACGGCACTTCCGCGTCGAGTATACTCCTCCTTTCGACGGGCAAATACCGTGGTATTTGGCGACTCGTCCAGAGGCCTATCAATCCTTTCCGCCGTGTCGCGTCATTTGGACCTTTATCGTGTTGGAAATTGGGATGTATACTGGTGTTGATCAATACAGCATTGTAGCATCCTGCGATTCGAGCACTTCGCTTCTGGTTGAGATTACGCGCTACGTTGCCCTCGTTCATACATGCAAATTCATATCCCAGTAGTATTAGTGTTCCGCATTATTACTGACGTACTGGGTTCAAAAGGGCCGCTTGATCCATCCAATTTGTCGTAGATGAAGAGTGAACATGAGCTTCAATAGGTGTGTAGTAATCCTTGACAAGTATTCGATAGACCAGTGAAACAAATACAAAACAGAATTCAAGTTCCCGTAGGCGATTCATCATCCTTCATAGTCACTTAGTACCCTCCCTCCGTCCTTCACTCGTGTCCACTCTTCTCCGTGTACAAACCTGGACACATCCATCTTTAATCTTCTGCATCGACCTATAATGCGAACCCCCCGCTGCTCAAAACCAACACGAAAAATGGATGGAATCCAAACCAGCCGTTCTCCGTTGGGCCCAGCCAGCCATCCGTCATCATTCATCCGGCAGTGGCGATTGATAGCGACATCATCATCCTAGTAAACTGAGAAACCCGAAGATTTAAGAACTAGAAGCGCTTACCAAGCTTTCATTGTCCACATCCCACAATCGCAGTGTCATGTCAGACGAGCTAGACACAATCCGGCGACCGTCTGGCGAGAATGTAACACAAGTGACATCACCCATGTGGCCCTCCAGCGGTTTACAGACCTGTGTGCCTGTTTCCGCATCCCATATCCGTATCGTCCTGTCTGTCGAGCCGGAGACCACAGTGCGACCATCTGGCGAGAACGCGACCGAGGTGACCGGCTCTGTATGGCCCTTGAAAGGCTCACCAACAATATTGCCAGTCTCCACATCCAACAATCTTACTGTCCGGTCGTGCAAACCAGAGGCGACACGATGACCATCCGGTGAGAATGCGACTGCGTATATCGCATTTGCATATCCCTTGAATAGACGTCTGATTTGTGTACCTGTATTCACATCCCATAACCGCACGGTGTTATCGATCGACCCGGAAACGATGCGACGACTATCCGGCGAGAATGCGATGGTTGTAATGTCATGAACATGTCCCTCAAGTGGATCCCCAATCTGTGCGCCTGTTTCCGCATCCCACAGCCTCACAGTCCGGTCCAACGAGCCAGAAGCAATATAACGACCGTTTGGTGAGGATGCGACAGCGCGGACCATGTAGGTATGTCCTTCAAATAACTTGTGTCTACTCGTCTCCGGATCCCATAACCGTACAGTCGGGTCATGCGAGCCATAAACGACATGGCGACAATCCGGCGAAAATGCGACAGTGACCACTTGCTTATTCGCGTTGAGTGGCTGTCCCATTCCTTTCCCTGTCTCCACATCCCATAACGCCACCGTCTCATCAAGCGAGCCGGAAACCACACGACGACCGTCCGGCGAAAATGCGACCGAGTTGACCTTACTCGTATGTCCCTCGAGTGGGCGGTCGGCTTGCCAGTCCGGTTCTGTATCCCACATCCGGATTTTCTGATCATATGAGCTGGAGATAACGCGACAACCATTGAGCGAGAATGCGACAGAATAGACAGCACCCTGATGTTCTTCGAGTAGCTGTCCAATCTGCACGCCTGATTCGACGTCCCATAACCGTATTGTTCCATCTTCTGAGCCAGAGACAATACGGCGAGCATCTGGCGAGAATGCGACGGTTCTGACCCAACCCGCGTGCCCCATAAACGCGTGCCCAATCTGTCCGCCCGTTTCCGCATCCCAGAATCGGATTGTTCGGTCTGCTGAGCCAGAGACAATACGACGACCATCTGGCGAGAATGCGACAGAATTGACCGTACTCGTGTGCCCCACGAGCGGCTGTCCAATTTGTGTTCCTTTATCCGCATCCCAAAGTCGCACCGTTTCGTCATCCGAGCCGGAAACAATGCGACGGCCATTCGGGGAGAATGCGACGGATCTAACTATGTGCGTATGTCCTTCGAGAGGTTGTCCTATCTGTGTACCCGTTTTGGGATCCCATAATCGTATTGTCTGATCCGTCGAGCCTGAAACAATGCGATGACCATCCGGCGAGAACGCAACAGAGTAGACCCAGCCGCTGTGTCCAAACGGCTGACAGGTCTGTTGGCCCGTCTTCGTATCCCACAGCCGCACTGTCTTGTCACCTGAGCCAGAAACGACAAGGCGACCGTCTGGCGAGAATGCAACAGAGTAGACCCGGTCGCTATGTCCCATGAACGGCTGACCAATTTGCGTGCCCGTCTCTGCATCCCACAATCGCACAGTCCGGTCATACGAGCCAGACACGACATGAATGCCATCTGGAGAAAACGCCACTGCTTCTGCGGCTGCACCATGGCCACGGTATGTCATAAGAAGAGGCGACCATCTTTCATAGCCGCCTGCAGTGACCACCAGTGTATTTGGATATTGCGTTTGATATCGCTGTCTGATCAAAGACGATGGGGGTGAGAGTGGTAATGCCGAAACATAGATATGTGATGCGCTCTGTGTTATAACCTCGCTAAAGTGAGCAATGAATTGTCGCATGTCCATTGCGAGTGAGACCAAGTCATTGATGCCATTCAACTAAACATCCGTCATTGACTCGCATCTCAAACGATTCCAAACTTACCTTTAGCCACGTATGGAGCATTGATAAGGTGGACTGCACCTCGTCCATAAACCCGCAAAGGCTGGCGACTTCAAGCCATGCAAGAAACTTGAACTCGAGGATATGTCGAACCAGCTCCATGATCATTTTGGATGCGGGAATATGACGTAAATGATCCATCCAATAGTGCGACGCATATTGCAAATGGGATGGGATATGGGCCTCGATGGATGGAAGCGTCTTTAACACATCGCCATTGAGAAGGTGTGACGACGATATCTCGCAAATGTTGAACCGTAGCCTCTCTTTCATGACTCGCAGGCATTCGTAGGCGAGGATTCCGTGGCAATCGTTCGTCGTAAGGGGTGGTATTAGATATGTCGTATCTGTTTCCAATAAGAAATCCACAAATGACTCGTGGCGGAACCGAAGTCCCCCTTCGGTTTCCAGCACTGGTCGTAGCCCATGGCACACATGCTCGACCGCCCACTGATTTACCCCCAGCAAATCTGCTAGCCCCCGAGTACCCAACGTTTCTTTGGCGACAATGATCACCGCAAGAATCGTGCGCAGCTTCTCAGGTGGTCCGCCTTCCGCGTCTGGAAAAGCGCCGCGAAGCACCGTGGTATATAACTCACTCATACCTCGGACGCGTTCTCCGTTCACAATCTCGTCCAAGCGCTCCTTCGGGTCACCACGACCAACGTACTCCACGACTGTGGATGCCCATATGAATAAACCGTTGGCCCTGGTCGCCAGCAGCCCGATCTCTGTCGGTGCTGGCCATTCCACGGGGGGCTGGGAGAACCGTGTCGCAGTTTTCCGCAGATTCTCGCGCAAGAAAGCTTGTATGTCTCTCTTTGCTTGGTCCACCGTAGACTGGCCGGTGAGGAGCTCGATTATGTACGGACGGTTTAGAGCAAATGTCCTCGCTATGTCTTCCTCCTCTCTGCTCGTCACGATCAGCTTGCAATTTGGGACTTTAGACCATAGTAATAGGGTTTCCATTAGGTCTCGGCGGTCCTCGGAATGTGCGCCTTCCAGACCACCACACTCGTCCAATGCATCGATGATGATTATCGGCCACTGTTCGTTGGGGAGTTTTGAGAGCTTCGACAAAGGCTCTTCAATCAGCTGACGAAACAGTTCGTCGATGTTTGGTGTCGTGAGGTCAATCTCCTCCTTCCTCAACTTTGCCGCCAGGTGCCTTCGGATGGTAGGATGACGTGCGAGATCGTATGCCACGCTCCGCCATAATGCCCTCGTGGTGGTGAAAGCGCTTTCTGAACGTCGAAAGAAGAAACTTGATCCTAGGCATTTCTTCTTGATCTCGAGAACGCGAACCAGACTGGACGCAATGGCTGATTTGCCAGCTCCGGGTGCCGCTTTGATCCACATAATATTCGAAGAATGAGGATCCCGGGCCCAGGCTACGCATTCCTCAAGGATCTCTACCCGTGTTCCCGTCAAGCATTCTCGCGGACGAGTATACTCTTTGCCTTGCAGCTTGTTTAAGACGTCTGCGTCTGCCGAAGCGTTGACCGAGACAGCGACGTAGACCATGAGAGCAGACTAGGTCTCGTTTAATATATCTTCTCAAGAATGATGTGTCACACTGACCATTATTTGCCCTTCTGCGCCCTTAAGGCGCTTCTCATAGTCCGCAATGATACTGGCTTCTAGCTTCGCCATGCCGATTCGTTGAGCCAATAGATTCAGTGTGAGACCCTGGCCAAATGCCGATTCATCAAGCCCACAACTCACGCAGATGTCGGCAATCAACTCTTGAAGAGCGCTAACCATGGTCAGTTTAATGAATGAAATGTCGTCTAACGTACGTAGAGTAGCTCCTGATCGGACCCTTTATTGATTCCTCGCAACTCTCAAGCACATCGTTGATGCCCGGCTGATCAAGTTGCCTTTGAAATGCGGCCGCGTGTCCTTGAACAGCCCTTAGGAGCTCAATCCAGGCGTATTGGACCGTCTTTTACGGCCTATGTACTCTTGTTAGTCCACTCAGAAGACCAGATGGTCGAAACTCACCTGAATCGAGTCCAAGAGCGTAACGACGGCTTCACAGGCTCCTTTTAGCGGCGAAAAGTCTGCTGAATCTGCAGCACTTTTGGTGAGATTCAACAAAAGGGCCACGCGAGCGAGCCATCTGTCTCCTTTGGAATCTCGCGCTGAGCCCACGGCGATGGTTTGTTTGTCGCCGGTAGGTTGTGCCCTTGTTGCATGGGATGAAGTTATTCGAGCAATCTCTGCAACCGCATCTGCATTTAGAGCATGCGACAGGACGATGTTCGTGCTCGTTTGAACGAGATCGGATACAGCAGATGAAGTCGGCGTTGAAGGCGAGCTTTCAGATTCTGGAGGTCCCTTTAGTTTCTTGCGTGGCTTTCGAACTGTATCCATTATGGCATGGAAAACAGCCGAAGAGGTCGGGGTCGAAACCTGACGATATCAGTGGTTACCCAGGTGTAATCAACAAGAACAGAATTCTAGTTACATCTACTGCAAATAATCATGGCTGAATTACCCCTATTTGGTCGTTAAATGTCAGCCCATGGTTATATACTTGAATAATAGCACTTGTTAACGATACAATGTAATCTCACTCTCAAATATAAGTTAGTCTGCAACCTACATGTCGTAAGATCAACGTAGTCGGCCCTGTCCCAACACCTCACCCAACCGCCTCTCAATAGCATGCATATCCGCCTCGGACAGCTCTCGCCTCCTCCCACCAACCTGCTCGTCGTAAGGGGGAAGGGTATATAGCGTCAACCGATCGACATCCGAACCAGTTCCCGTGTCGTTGGGGGTATAAACAGCAGTAAGAGGATGCGGAGATGTAGAGCACTCCACCTGAGGTTCCGATGGTGTAGCCAAACCTAACAATTCAGTGACGGGAGGGGATTTCTGATTGATCCATAGGTGTCGCCGAGGTCACCCTATCTTGCGACATCTGAGATGGTCCGGATGAAATGGTGTACCAGTGCGCCCAGCCGTCTGTACCACTCGACAAAGCAGGCGTCGAGGGTGGGACAACGTTGAAGCGTCGTTTCCCATTCGAGGTGAAGGGCAAAATAGCGGTGGTGGTTTCGAAATTATTCGTTGTAACCCCATCGTCACCCTCCTCGTCGTCATAGACATTGTCTTCTCGCTTTGGGATGAAATAATATGCGCACAAGACAATGGCGAGAATTGCAATGGCACCAATAACACCCCCTACGATTGTCGCTGTCGGAGGTTTGGATGTCTGTTGCGAGGCTCCGATTGAATGTGGCAGAGGCGCAGAGGAAAGACTAGAGACAATTAGCATTGGCCATTTGAGCATACCAAAGACTTGCCGGAATCCTACAAACTGGATAGCGGTACGATTGGAGCCATCAGATGGTGCCTCTACCGTCATCACCAGCGAGTGCTGCGAGCTATTCAGACCCTGGACGATGAACTGTGCCGAAAGGCTGCATTGCGATAGCTCAGCATGGCTGGTGTAGGTATCAAAGGACCCCATGTGTTGGCCGTCCAACGTCACATTATATCGTCCTTGAACGTCCGAGGACAGTGTATACAATTGGAGTGCGGTCCCTGCTTTCATTAGCTTGGGAACTTTGTTAATAGAAAAGCGTACCAGTAAAATTGAGCGAGAGCGAGGAGCCAGGCATGGCGGATGCGATTGTTCCACTCAGACAAGATTCGGTTCGTTTCTTGTCCGTGTTCAGGTTCCATGCACCGGGAGGAGAATATAAAATACGCGGGTCGGATGGCCTGATGTCCATTAAAGAGGTCACCGCCTCGGTGGATAGCGAACTTTGCGGTGATGGTGAAGACAACGGTAATGGCGAAGACGAGGAGGATGAGGGTGAAAGAGTTGACAGAGGCATTGTGGTCAGATGAAACTGTGCGTTTGTACTCTTACTTGTCACAGGAGAGTTGGATTGGCCGACAGAAGTAGATGAACTGAACGCAGAGCTTGCTGGGGATGCGATGCCACTGGGCTCGTACTGGACTGTATCCACAATAAACAATGAATTGGCTCCAAATGAGACAGCTCTGAAAGTATGCTGCCCAGGAGATAGGCCGCTAATGTCGAACATAGTGGTTCCAAAGTGATAGTTGTCGACGCTGCGTCCCTCCGGAGATGGTAGCACGGCGTCTTCAACAGTCGAAACTACGTTTGTGTAGGTCGACTTCAACTCGTCATCTACATAAGCACGAATGCGGGTGTTGTAGAAAGCCATCGCACTTGCTCCGGTCAAGACGACGCGGGTGCCTGAGCGAACGTGAGAAAGATGGAATATAACGTCCAAGAAAGAGAAAGATACCAGTAAATGTAAACGAGATGGAAGCACCATCTCCATAGGCTTCATGCCAGTTGTAGCCATGAAATGCTCCGTTTGCATTTGCGACTTGAGCGACGCGGTCTCCCCCGCCCGTTCTGATTTCCCATGCATGCCAACTAGGACCAGAGTTGGAATATCTGAGACTAGGATGGCTGTTAACTCTATGAACAGGGCCAGTGCAAACTCACGTATTGCTCGTATCTTCAACGAGGATCAACTGTGCGCGGGATATCGAGTATAATGCAAATGCAAGGAGACAATGTGTTATGCTACGTAGCATCCACTTGTTGAAGAGAGGTCCAAGCCAGCCAGCTAGAGCGGATCGACTGCAAGTGTGGGAAAACGCCGTGCATAGCAGCTCCGTTCAAGGCGCAATTCTCCATTTATTACATTGACATTTGTGATTGACGCGCCGGAGACTGGCCGTGGAGGAGTTCAACGTTGGACTTTGACCACAATGATTGGACTCAAGGGGACTGTCAATGTACGTCCATTCATCACATTTTATATCCATATAAAAACATCGCTAACGCTCATTTTTACCAATGTTTACTAGATTATCGACAACACGGGCGCACTCCTCGTCGAATGCGTCAATGTACTCAAGAACAAGACATCCCACGGCCACGCATCCATCGGAGACGTCTTTGTCTGTGTCGTACAACGTGCAAGACCCATTTCCCAATCCTCGTCGGGCCCATCCAGCGGTTCGACCCTCACCGCACTCAAAGTTAAACGCGGAGACGTCCTCAGAGCTGTTCTCGTCCGCTCAAAGAGACCTGTTATGCGTCCAGACGGTCGTTTCGTCCGCTTTGACGACAATGCCGCTGTTTTGGTCAACAAGAAGAACGAGTTGATTGGCACGCGAATAGGTGGTGTTGTATCTAGTGATTTGAGGAATAAGGGCTGGGGTAAAATAGTCGCGTTGGCTCCAAAGGTTCGTCTCCATCCAAGTCCTCTTCTCGTCCTGACCTTTTGCAGGCTATTTGACCCCCATTGTATCGTTATTTACACCGTCTTATAATCACACCTCTTCTGGAACCAGTAACGAGTGTGGGATTGAACAGTACAAGAGTCCGACGACATACACGAAAAGGCAACACGAAGACGAACGAAAAAAACATGAGAGGGGAACCACGCATAACGGGGCAAAAAAAAATGTCGACCGTCTACCATGAGACTCGTCAAATGAAACCCACGCGCGTCGAGAGCCGCCGGTTGTGGTCAGATGCTACGACAACGGGGGCTGGAGGGGATGTGAGTGCCTCGAACAATTCGTTCAAGCGCGTCTGCCGTTTCGAATCCGTACCAGGGTCCATAAGCACATTAAAGTCATCCTGGGGGATAGGGCGTTGACCATCGAGATCGGCTCTGCTCATCACTGACGGCCTTGTCTCAGGTCTCGTCAATAACCGCGAGTTTCCCGTGCCAATGGTAAGCACTTGGTCGTCCTCGGTGTGCATTTGGAGTTGCGGTTGAGACGGTAACGATCGTGCAGATGTAGAGGGACCAGCGATAACGCGAAGATGCTCGTTGGGTCCTCCGGTACTCCGGTACATCTCCGTCCATTCACCTGGCTGGACGTCATGCAACTCTAACCACTGCGCACCCTCGTCTCCATCCACCGCAGGCTGCTTTCCTTTACCCTTGGATGGTGAGTGTCCAGTCTTTGACGGAGAAAACCCAGATTTGGACGGAGAAGATGTGAAGATGGGCTTGGAAGGGGAAGCAAACGTGCTTTCAGTATAGGGCGGCGACCATGTATCGTCCGTGACGTGCGTTTGAAACGTCTGCGTCTGCGTCAACCGCGTACGACTCGTCTCGTGCGGATTCGGTAATGCGCTCCGTGGGATTGTGAGTGGTGAGGGTGGGTAACTCGCAAATTCGACAGGCGACCCAAACTCGATGGGGGATCCAAAGTGGTTTGGAGAAGCGTGAAGTCCACTTCGTCGTGAACGACGAGCTACGTTCTGGCTCATGCTTGGTCGGCCATTGGGACTGTAGAGTGACGTGCGGGTGCGGAGCATCTCGCCGTCTGGGGGACCACGGACAGCTTCGACAAGGTTAAGTGTCACTAAGTAATCGAAGAGGTCAGAAGAGATATTTGAATAGGATGAAGGCGTACTGTGTGAAATGACAACATTCTGGATGGTCCAGACGGCAAACTTGAAGATCATCGTCTTATTGAACCCCCAAATGGCGCTGACGACGACACATGCGAGCTCCGACGCAAAGATGAGCGCAAAGTAGATTGCACCGTCTCTCCACATCATATAAGTGAGCGAGCCCTTGCGACGATGTTCAGTACGACCGAGTGCGGCGTGCCAAATCGTCAACAAGAAGATGAGCACTGTATCACGATCAGACTCCATGAAATACGTAATGCGGGGAACATACGATCGAAGAGCATGATGGGCAAGAAGAATGCACCCCATAGCCAAGGTCCGAGCGATTCAGTGGTGTAGCAGATCCGGAGTTGTGGACTGTAGACATAGGTGCTCGCGACGTGGGCTAGCGCGACAGAGATGCTTGTGATGCTCGCTCCGGCGCAGACTAGACAACCACCGTATAGTACAAACTTTGTCCACGGACGGCTTCCCCATATAGCGGACATTCGCAATCCGAGCAAAACTGTTTCGTGTGAGGAGACGTAGTCCTGGTGGAAACGAGAAACGTACATTGAACGATGAGTGCAGACAAGCTTTGCCTAAGAGGACGATGAGAAAAGATACAGAAAGATAGACTGAGCATACCATAGTGCCTCGAAGAATAGCCAGATCACGCAAATGTCATCGGAAAGTGTGACGCGCCCGCTGAATTCTGAAAGAGATGAGCGTGGGCATGGTGAAATTGACAGGACGTACGGATGATCTCGGCTAGCATGACGATTGGAGCAGAGTAGCGGTTGATGAGGAAGAGGACCTTTGTGAGGGTGACTTTATTCGACCATATCCACGACCGTTCCTTTTCAAACGTGAGGACTATTGGGTATTAGGCCACGCTTCCAGGTCTAGGTGAAAGACGTACGGTGCTAGATAAAGTCAGCATATATATCAGCCACGGTTCGAGGGGGGCTTACATCGTAAACAAGCCATGTGAGTGATGCGACTGATGTTGTGGTCAGTCTCGCTACAAAAGCTAGTAAAGGACATTACTAGATATGTATCTCATTAGCGTTAGATCCCGGACGGCATCCTCTAATCGTCGTAAGAGGTCGAAGAGCACGGGTGCTTGCGACATGTTTATTTCGTATCGTCTAGCAGTCGTCGTGAATATGCCGTGAGAGTCGTGGGATCCGCAGAGTATTCGTCAGCGGAGTCCGTGTTCGTAACGAGGTGAGCGAGCGGGTGGAGGTGTTTGTTCTCTCAGTCGAGGAGAGAGATGGTTGTGTCAAGGGAGAGCGAGTGGTGAGATGGAAGAGGTAGAGTCCAGGTCAAGATGGTGTTGATGCGGCGCGTAAATCGCACAGTGGAATGATGAACGCGGTAGGCGGGCAGGAGCGGCGCGCCGTGGGGCAAAAAGACTATGCCGGTTGGATGTCCGCCTCTAGCCACAAGACGACCAATAAAAAGAAGAACCGCAGACGGTTTCCCACCGAATGCAGCCCACAGACAAAGAGTGAAGCGAACAAGAGCCAAGGTTGTGCTCCGCTCAGTGTTGTTGTTCCGAGGGCTAGATATAAGAGGCAAACGGAGGAGCGGAGATGCACCGGAGCCGACCCTGTGAAGTCAAGTGGAGTCGATGACAAGGATTTCCGGTCAGGAAATGATGCTCCGTACGATGCGTCACTGGTTGGCCTCCCTCTTACTCCCAGGAGCCAGTCAAGTCGTCGAGGTTGGAGGGCGTGGGTCGTCAGTCAGCACGATACAAAGATATAGAATCTTTGCAGGTGATGTCGATGCGAGTCAGGAGTTGAAGACAGGCAATCAGGTGGGTAGCGCCTGGTGCGGTGCTGAACACTAAAATGGTGGACAGGAATAGGAATAGGGGCCAAGTGTCGGTGAAAGGAGAGTCGTATCCCAAGGCAGATGTTGGGGGATTATAAGACGAGTCCTAGGCGAAAGGGGCCGATGCCGAATGGGGCTTGCCTTGTTCAGCGCTCGCGTCGGAAGGACAATAGCCGACCTAAAGCCATCACATCGTCAATGTACAGTTCAAAGTCACGAGAGCATTCTGTCTACGAGCAGCCTCGGCGAGCTCCGGAGGTTGATTGTGAAAAAGAGGACATACCAGAAAGAGGACGCGCGTCGAGACAAGAAAAGGATGATGGTGGCCAGAAACTAACAAGGAGGACAAAGACGAGCTCGAACGCGGCACTGCGATTCTTCGCGGGCCCAGACGGCCTTTGTGGGCCAGAGAGCGAGACAGGGCCCTCGCAGACGGCAGTAGCCCTGACTCATTATAAAGAATATTCGTAATCTCCCCAAACAGAATGGTCACTACGGGTTCAACGGGCCCCGGCCTCGAAATGGCATTCGGACTCCACGAACGATCATAGATTCTGGATTCACGGGTCACGAATCTCGCTTATGTCTATTCATTCGCAATTATCAAGAATTCCGGCGCGTTCAATCGGCGGTCAGGACAAGGCCCGGCCAATGGTGTGGGTCAAGCTGTGAACCAAAGGCCGGAGGGTCCGTCCACCGCCATGATCTGCGTGAACATTCGAGTCGGACATTTTAGTATTTCCAGGGGTTAGGGGCTATATGTGTCCAAGTTTATGCGAGATGGGACATACAGCGCTGGAGAGCCACTATTACATATTATATTTCATAAAATTTATCACCTTCATCAATCGGTGAGATGGCCGAGCGGTCTAAGGCGCCAGACTAAGGATCTGGTCCGAAAGGGCGTGGGTTCGAATCCCACTCTCATCACATCTTTTTGCCCATATCGCCCTCGTTGGCTTTTTTTTTTTGCGCGCACCACCAATGTACAAGAAAACTAAGGTACAATCTAATCCTCTTCTTCCTCTTCCCACTCATCATCTTCCTCTCCTCGATGACCAGCAGGATGATCTTCATCATCACTCTCGACCAATATTTTTCGTGGCCCACGCGAGGAACGCGTCGAGTGGCGCGTGCCCGTACTGCTCGCCGCTGAAAAGCTCGACTGCGTCGAAGATTGGGAAAAATGTCGGTACCCCTGTGTAGACGACGTCGACGTGGCTTGCGAACTTGGCGGCTCCGTCCCCCAACCCTCCTCACCGTCCGTGTCCCGACTCCACACTCCTCTAGTCTCGAGTGGTGAGAACAATTCGAGTGTCGAAGCTGTCGTAGCACGCGTATGCTTTCGTTTTTCCTTCTTCGTCTTTTGTTGTTTCTGCTTCTTGCCTTGCTCCTTTGACAACTGAACTGGAGGCTCAACCGGTGGCTCCACTTTAGGAAACATAGCGTCGAAATCCCGAAATACTGAAAGACTGCTATACGCTTCACTCGTCGCTCGTGCGTTGGTAGCGGCGATCGCACGCACAAAGACGTCGTTGAGTGCATTTTGCTTAGCAGCTTTGGACGATTCGCCCGCACGTCGATATAGCTCTGCATATCCACACATCAGAACGTTGAAAAAGGCCGAAAAAGCGCGTACCAGAAAAACGTTGCCCAATCCACAATCCTGCACGTGCATGTCCAACTTGATAAAGGTTTGAGTCCTTGCCTTGCGCTTGCGCAGAGCGTATCGTGCGGCCATCTGCAGCGTCAACCGGTGCGGCGGCAGATGTGACTGCACCGAGCCCAGAGGCGAGTTGCCGCGTTGTTTCCAGGATCTTCGCAGCATAATCGAACGAAGTGTCGACGTATTGACCGGCGGTGAGGACGAGCACCAACAGGCGAAGGTAATTGTCGCGGCTCTTGGACGACAGGTCAAGCGCTGCGGAGGTTTTGCCTAGATGCCGCATATCAACAACTAATCATAGTTTGAAATCCATGAAGCCTTACTTTGCCCGGATAACCTCGTCTGTCACCGCAGCCGCAATGATTCTTCCAACCACAATCATCCCTTCACCCCAAGCGCCTTGCAAGCATCCCTCCGAGACCTCGGATGCCAGTTCGAGAATCGATTGTTCGTCATCGACCTCGCCTTGAAACTGGAAAGGTTCACCGCCTTGCTTCAAGAGTCCAACCCGTACAAAGACTTCTCCGGCCACTGCGAGCGCACCAATCACACTCAAACCGGCGTTTCCATTCGACCTTTCATCCATATATGCCGCGATACGATAGCACTCGAGCGCAAGAGGCGCCTTGCCCAGGGCGTGTGCGAGCTGTCCGTGCAATAATGTTACGCGTGGGGCAAATGCCTTCCACAAATCCCCACCCTCTGTTAACGGATGTCCATTACCAGTAGCTGTGTCAGCGACTGCACTCGAGTTGTTGTTATCGACCGCGCGAATGTACGAGACTGTCTCGTTCAAGTACCGATCTGCGTCATCAAACTCGCTGCGAATGAGACACACAGAGATGAGCTCGCAGTAGTTTATGGCTCGAATGTATGCGATAGCTCTTTGCGCGTGCACCGAGTCTGCGACGCCGAGACCTCGTCCAACTGCAGAATAGTGTCAGTAAATGGCACAAATCTAGGGCGAAGGTAGAGTAGCTATGGAAGGAGGCAACGGAAGAAGCTAGACGACTTACACGATAAGAGAGGTCCGCCCTCCAAGATGGATAAAGTTGGGTTGCTGGTTCTAGGATCATCAACAGATCCCACTCGTAGACCCTCTTCAACAAAAATCTTGCGTTTCGGTCTCTTTCCGGCCCCATCACGCTTTGCAGATGCAGAAATCGCAAACGTGAGCTGATAAAGAACACGAGGGTGAGTGACCTTGATCCTCAACGGCTGTTCTGGGTTTGAGCTGACTGGGACCTGCTCACTCCGTAAAAACTCGAGGAAGAGGGACCGGAAAATGACGCACTTGGATGATACCCATCTCATCTCCGCCAGCCCATCCATCGCTGTCGTCTTTCGATAGGTCGTTCATCTTATCCATCATCTCATGCAATAGCGCCAGCCGCTCTGAGCACCGCACCGACTGGCCACAATGCGTGAGCCAAAGCACACCGAGCATCAGCACATGGACACGTAGATAGCGCATATAAGGCGGGATGATCATATCGCTCGATTTCTCATCAACCATTGACTGCAGTGGTTGTCCGCTCTCGCTCATAACAGCAGCGTAGACGTCCATCCCAAGTGGATTGGTGGGGAGTGAGAATGCTGGAGTCTTGAAGTTTGCTGATACGTGTATTGGACCACCACTCGCGAGGAGATCCTGGACAAGTGGCGTCGCATTTCCAGCGCTTTGACCACTTGGTCCCGGCGTTATATTAGAAGACACATTCTTCTCTTTCTCTTCACTCTTTTCGTCAGTCGATGCTGAGAGTTGCTTGTCAAAGCCATCCATCCCCAACACTAGTTCTGCTTCCGCAAGCGCCGCATCCAGTTTGGACGCCGTGACGTGCTCAGACTCCGAGGTTGAATGATGTTGGAAGAGGGTAGTCCATTTTGTCACAATGGCCAACTGGTACACCGCGTAATCTCCGTGACCGTTTGCTAGCATGGCCAGTGCATTCAACTGAGACAATGCAGCAGCGAGATCACTTTCACGCACCCGTATCCCATCGCTAGGTTCTGATTGACCAATGAGCGAGTGGACAATTGCTAAATGAGCCTCGTACGCCGCCCACACTTTGTCTGTCGGAATCGGTTGTGCAGCATTAGAGAGCGGGAGAAGCCTCTTTATCAAAACGCGTGCGTGCTTTGGATTGTCTTGATAAAGTGCCAGTTGAGCGTGCATAAGCGTCAGACGGTGTCGGAGGTGCTTGAGTGACGCAAAACGGTCGGAGAGCTGCAGTGCACGTGCGATGGCATCCTCAATTTCTTCTACCTTTAGACCCCATTCTGGAACATACACATCCGCCTTGGACTTTTTGGGCGACGAGTTTTCTTCCTTGACCGAAGGGGAAGAACTATTAAACGATGAAACGAGTTGTATACCCAACTCCGCGAGCATAACCCAGGCGAAACATTCTTGTTCCGGTGAGAGTGCCATCTCCGGCGATGGGTCGTCGGCGGTAGAGAGGATTCGTCGTAAGGCGGTGATGGATGCCTCGAGTGAGGGATAGTGCTGAGGTGAAGTAGGTGGTTGAATGAGCAAATATGGCATAGAAAGTGCGAGTGATGCTAGCGGCAAAGCGAGCCGCATTGGAGTTGTTGCAGCTCGTGTTCGCATAGTAGGTGAAGGTGGAGCTGCAGACCTAGTGAGGAGAGATAATGAGTCGGAAGAAGAATCTTGACGGGGTAGGGCTGGGGGTATATGCGGCGTAGAGGTCATAACCAAATTATTTTCTTTCAAAAGACTTGTAGGGGTCATTGGCTGTTTCTAAGCAGCTGATGAGATCTAATATACTATCTGAAATGATTATCCGACCAACCTGTGGGGACGAAATATGCGAAGAACGAGCGTATGGAGCAACTGGTCGTTCGAGGGGCAAAGCCAGCCCGCCGAGTTGGTCAGACGCGATGCGTAGACGCGCCTTTGTTGGCGTTGACGCTTCTTCTTCGTCATCCTCGCGCTTTCGTTTCTTGAGACGCGTCGGCGTTGGTGAAGGCGGACCGTCTGTGGCAAAGGAAGGGTTGGAAAAGTATGGATGTTGAATACCCGACATGTAGAGTGCAAAATAAAGTAGTCTAGGGAATAAACAACCACTACCCTCGATGGCCACGGACAAGGCCGAGATCAAGTGTGCCGCCACCGGTCGCCGCCATTTCGACTTGGAATGTGAAAGTATTTGGGAGCAAAATAGAGGCTCAGAGATGCTTTTCAAATTAGGTGAATGTCCAAATCAAAAGCAAAATAGAGGTCATGGCTCCCTAAAGCAAAAAGATGTGCAACCGGTGGGATTTGAACCCACGCGACTTTCGTCATGAGGAGATCCAGTAAATCTGGAAAGATTGTAAATCTTGAATCTCACGCCTTAACCGCTCGGCCACAGTTGCAATATTCTAGGGAGTTTGCTCATGTAGAGTTTATAAAGTTACTATTAAAATCTCCCGTCCGAGATGCTCCCGTGAATCTGGCACAAGCGCCGTCTTCGTTACGCGTACACAACAGTGGCATTTCTCCTGTTATGCAACTATCCGACCTTTGGCGGTCCGCGGGTGGTCCATAGTTTGTCCGCACGTTGACCTCGCCCATTCCAACCCGCACTCAAACGTGTCCCCCGTTTCTGCGCTTCATGCTCTTTTAAGCTTTTTTTCCAAACATCTGGTGCATCTTTCAGACGGAAAACACACAAGTGTATGACGCTGTTCAGCGTCCATCTCGACCCGACGCTCGTCGTCGTTGTCAATGATGAGCAAAATGTTCCGGCAATCAGCCCACTGCTTGAATCAGACACAAGTCTCATCTCCACTCGTGACGCGAGCGGTGACGGCGGCAAAGCACTAGCACCGACGGACCTCGCCTCCGAGCCAATCGCTCCACCACCGCCTACCGCAGCATCCACGACAGCGTTGCGAAATGGCTCCCAAGTCCTCAAAAAGGGTATGCCAATTCGTGTACCCATGCTTCAGCGCGCAAGGACGTCGACGTTCTGGACCCGTGACAAGGACAAGCGATCCCAAGCAGTCAATAGTGCCAAGGCCTCGAACAGTCTCTCCCTAAAGCTCTCCAGTTATGTCGTCCCTCTTCCTCTGCCAAAGGAAGTACCGCCGGCTGCCCCCGTGCCAGAGGAGAAGCCATTAGACGAGCCCGTGATACTGCCAGCAGTCGAAAGACCTCCAGTATGTCTCTCCTACACTCGCGTCTCACTCTTCTCAACGTCTGCAGATACAACCGGAATCTTACAATGCCGAATCGCCCAAAGTGGACGCCCAATCGTCCCTTTCCTCACTTCTTCAACCTATCCTATCCCTCTTTCCGCCACCGCAATCAACAGCTCTTGCACCGGCAATTGATTTGGAAACCCCGGATGCCCCTCCCTCTCCGACTTTGTCCGAAAAGGACGAAATAGGCGACAAGACCGTTGGCGGGGATGGACTGGAACCCTTTACCATCCATCGGCCGCGTGTACTGGAACCGGTTCGAGAAGCTACGGCCGCACGAAAGGCCTATACGTTTGATTGGAAGATTGACGTGTTTGGCGATTCACCCGTAGCTGTCAAGGGCCAACGGACCAAATATCCCAAACATCATCAGCCACCAACTTCAAATGCCCCAGTGCTACCACCCATCCCGGCGTGTCCACCCCTCGACTTTGACGCCACCTCTTCAACCTCCCCACCACCGCAGCGGGTCGAGAATCTGCAGAAAGACAAGCTCAAGAAAAAGGAGAGTGTCGACTCGTTACGCCGTAACATACAGAGCCCATTGCTCCCCTTGGCGCTTTATCGCGCAGCACGAAGAAATCGATCACGTTCGACAGCGTCGATCGGGACAATGTTCTCTTCTTCCTCTTCAGGTCTACCAACATCCTTCCTCAGACTCTTCTCTGCGTCAGACGCGCGGACGTCTTCCTTTGCGACGTTCTTCTCTGACCCATCGCTGGTATCCGTCACGAGCGGTGTCAGTAGTTTTGAACAAGACGAGCTCATGACGCCGTTTGGATCCGAGGTGATGCTCGGATATCATCATGCTGTCCCAGCAGGCGTGCGGTTTGCAAAGGATAGAGATTACGAATCTGTGAGGGAGAGGGAGAGGGACGACGACCAAAGTCAGAGTCGTCGGACGCGCGAGGCAGGAAGGACGTCTCCTTCACTCGATCTATCCTCCCCAACCTCGAGTATTCGCAGGGCCATTGACGCAATGGGTCTCGCCTCGCCATCTATCCCCATGGAACTGGTAGACGCACTCAGGAGTAATCCAGAACTCCACACGTTCTTCTCGGAAGACACGCTCGCCGAGGATATGGAGCTATCCAACGCTCTTGCCAATTACGCTCAAGCTCAGAGTCATCGTCAGGATGAGCTTGAAACGGAAGACATGGAGTCCCTTCAAGAACATGGGCAGGAAGAGGAACACGGGGAAGAGGTCGAGATGCATACGGGCACGACACCGCATACACCATCCACCGATCGTTCGGTGCCCGAGGACGATTCGGATGACGACTAGGTCGCGACTTGCTGACTACAATGCGCGACAGTACTTGCCAGCAGATATCCTCGACCCTTAGTGTCGAGGAGTGCTCAACGGACACACCTACATAGATAGCTAAACACTAGCATCTATACAACCAACCAACATATCACCTATGCACACGACACCAGCAGATGCAATTGTATCCTATCTTATCTCGTGTAGAATATCTATGCTCTCCTCATTTGTAGATAGAACACCAATTATAGGGATAACTACAGTAGTGGCCCTCGCCGTCTAATCAAACCATCTATTTCCCAAACCAAACCCGAACATGTGCACAACTCTGATAAGAGCCGGGACTAATCAAAAACCAGCGATTCTAATCGACATCGACAAGGCTTTCGAAATCCATTGCCGTGACGCCGTTGGGCAAGCGATATCGCCTACGAGACTGAGGAGCGAGCGCGAGCGGATGCTGATCCGTGACGAGGTCCATCAGTTGCATAAGCTTGGCTTTGTCAATATTGAGATTATAATCGAGAGCACGCTGGAAAAAGGTTGTCGTAGAGGTACCGATGGCATCTGGAATGTGTCGGGTGTGTGTCTCCCTATCGTCCGCCAGCGTCAGCAACTTGTACCCAAAACATTAGAAGATAGAAGACACACCAATAATTCTTCATTGGATGATCGACGAGCATGACAAATGCACATCGTACGGCGACACTCCAATCCACTACAATCTTTGAGATGAGGCTCTTGTCCACACCACCCATGTCGCTCTTCCTCTCTTGACTGAGGTCCAAGTTTGCAAACGCAGGGAATGGTGTCGCCTTTCCGGTCGAACGGTTCATCACGGTGGTTCGTGCGCGTTTCTTCGAGCTCGGCCCTTGACCATATGCCTTTTCCTCTTCGTGTGCCTTTATCATGCAAAGAGCACATGAGGGCACTTTGGAGAGATACCAAAGTGCGTGAAGCACAATGAGCGCACGCGTAGTCGCCGACGTACGGATCTGCGTCGGGAGGAGCGCGTTTTCGCCAAAGAGTTTGAAGAGAACTGGTGGAACAGGAGTCTTGGGATTACCATTGTCCTTGGATGAACTCGAGTCGGCGAAAATATGCATGCCAGAGACGGAAGAGTGTTGCGCATAGCATCGGCTCTGGCGTAGAGTTGAATGTCCCATGCGACAACAGCGGCCCACCGAATCAAATGAGCAAAAGAAATGTCGAGGAAGCCGCAATAGGCAAGTTGGTCGAACATTTCCTCACGCGCAATCTCGTCTGGTCTCTTTTCCCGAGCTCTTGGTACGGATTTCTGGAGCTACATTGTACGGTTAGTAAGCTCATTACTGGCCATTGTAGGAGGAATAACGTACGCTTTCACATTCAGGCTTGGTCACTTTCACCATGAGCCCGTACTCATCCTCCACCCACTCATCATCGTCATCGTCACTTGAGTCATCGACATTACGTGACGGTAGATTTGAGCTATGAGAGTATGGGTATGGACTACCCGGTGGCGGTGTAGCAAGTTCCGAGTCGGAGGGCTGCCGCTGCGATCGCGCGCATAGATATCAAGTTGGGCCGGACGAGGATTGTACTCTCGATAATATGGTGTTGAAGGTTGGTGAGACATGTTGATAAAAAGTGGCCCAAGTCGGATAGGGATAGTTATGAATAAAATAGAGTATGGCTGCACCAGGCAAGAATCAAAGGGAAGAGGAGGATGATGTTAACGGTCGATACGATACTGGTTTTATATGTATCGTAGATCGCTTTTTATGACAGACAATAACGCCCGGGGTTTGTTGGCGAGACAACGCGATTGTCCTGTCGTTCAATGGGGAACTTCTTTCGACGTTGGTTCGCCGGGCAGTCACCCAGAGCAGCATGGCGTATGGGCACAATAAGTGCGATTGAGAACCCGTTAGCCTCGTTTGGTTGTCTGGCGACCGTGAACCAGCCCTCCCTCGAGGCCGATTATCCAAACGCCGGTATCTCTTCGCACAAATAGTATCGAAATCATTGCTTGCAGACGATGGTAAATGCAGTGCGCTTGTTCCAATGGTTGGCTGTCACGACTTCCTATGGGTGTCGAGGAGTGTCCATAGATATCCCTATATGGGGTCCTCGGACGGGAGATAATGCAAGAATTAATGAAGATCAATCGTCCCATTTTCTACTCCTTTCTCGTTTGATTGCAGTGCGCTTCGCCTTCTCGACTCGCCTAGCAGCGCTTTCCTTCCGTTCTAGGCTTTGGACTCGCTTCTGCTGCTCTTCAGATGGGGGCTTGGGTATCGTCTCCATCGCAATGTTCAGAATGGTGCTATGAAGCTGCGTCGTTGAGAGCGAGGATAGGCGCACAGAGGAACACATGCCTTTTTAAGGCACTCGTCCAAGTTTTTGATTTGTTCACGGTGCGTCATTGATGAAACTTGAAGTGCATCCGAAGATGCAACGTAAAATGGCTACAAGGTATTAGGCATGTCCTCAAAAAGGCCTGCGTACGTACCAAGGACCGCATTCGACCTCGGATCCAGTCTGGAATTAGACTCGACTGGACAGGTAGCTTCACGGTAGCTTTTGAATTTGTTTTGTTCACATGCTGCCATCTCCGTCAACCTTTATCCACTATGCAAAAGCAAACTGCTAACCTGTCCTCCGGGACCACTACTTCTCGAGAAGCTGACTTCTACCAGCTTCTTATCAATCTCTCTGCTTCTCTGAAAACTTCTTATCCACTCTTGCGCACGGCTGAGCGAGGCCGGTGTCCATCCAGGAGGAAGTTGAGGGCCAGGTGAGTAGAAACGCAACGATTTAATAATTATTGGTCCTTTCTGTGAGTTATAGAGGGCAAATACTGTGCGGGACAGGCTCGCGTGCCGGAGGAAGGACATGTTCAGGTCCAAATTAGGGGCCACCAATTCACTTTGGCATTTAAGTTTCGTATAGATTCGCCAGAAACAGAGAGAGATACAAGGATCGTCAGGAAAACATACGCTCGTATCGATACGTGCACGAGTAACCCTCGTGGTCAAAGTTATCCTTCTCCTCGCACCAACACTTTCCAAGTCGGTGAAGATCCCCTGAGGACAGTGCTGGAAAGGATCATGTCGATAGCCTATCTCGCGGAAGAAATGTATCTGGTCCTTGCGCGAGAACAGGGCAGCACCGAGAGTGTGAACCGGTGCGTCTCCCCACCGCTACTCAGAGCATCAGCCAGTGTGCGCGTCATGATACTTCCCCAAACATACCTCATAATAGAACCCTCCAGCTGTATCCAGGAACTCAAAGTATTTCGAATAGGCTTCACCCCTCCAAAGTGACATATCTGCAATCTCAAAGTTGCTCCAGACTAGAGAGGGCAAATTAATGGAGAATAGCAAGGGAGAGAATGGAGAAGCTTACAGTGGCAGAGGTTGTATGTCTTCCCTTCGTCATCGGAGATGAACTCCATTGCATTGTCCTCTGGAAGGTACTCTGGATGTTGCTTCATAAATGCTTCATGGAGATTCAGACACCCAAAATGAGCATTTAAATGAAAAATACCTTGGGTGACGGCCCAAAGACTCGAGATCGTCCGTTCGTATTCGTACATCGATATAGTGAATGCATACGTCTTGTTATGGTCTTGCATATACAAGAACGGGTCAAAATCTATGTCGCAGAAGAACTTTACTCCTGGTCTGGTGTTGTCAGCATCTCATCCTCGTGGAAAGAAAGTGACGTACTCGACGCGCCAGTAGTACTGGAACTGTTGCATAAGTGGGTGCCGATAGAAGAACTAGAGTACGCTTAGGTTGCGATGTCTGATAAGGAGGAAGGTGGCGTACGCCAGAGTTGAACCGACACATGTTTCGATACGAGACGGAACCTCCGTAGATAATGTCCTCGTCTACGAGGAGCTGCCGAAAATGTGCCGCGCGACTCTCATCGATATGGCTCGGCTGGTACCAATGCTCAGGGGGGATGAGCCCATAGTAGGCTGGAGCAGAGATGATTTCGCTGGTCCATCTATAACATGTAAGTCCCGGTTCATAGGGCGGGAATATTATTCACCTTTTGAATTCATCCGAGAACGGCTGCTCGTTTAGAAACACATATGGATAATGAAACTGGCGATTGAACCGGTCCTCAAGCTGCTTGAGTGACTCGATAATGTCTTTTAGCTCGCTATTCCTCACAAGGATCACAAACGTGGCGTTCGCCTTTCGATGTGGTCCATCATGAGGGCCATGGCCACTGTGCGCTTTGGCGAGGTCGCTCAGTTTGATTGGTTCAGGCTCGCGAGGATCTGGAAACTCGGCGGCTTCATGCATATGAGAATCACTGTATGATGTGTTCCGGAAATCTTGATTTCTCCATCCCGACTTGTGGAGTGCGTTCCACTTTTCGCCGAGTTGCGAGAGCGAGATGTGGCTGACATGCCCTTCACGCCAGACATCGTATAAGTAGTGCGCTCTATCCCTCCAATTAGCTTGACTATTTATCACAAGGCTAGACGTACGAAAACTGCTTGGGTCAGACGCGTCTCACAGGATGGGATCAGGCGCACCAGGACGAAGAGTAAAAGAGCGTAGTAGCGCGTTGGGATGAGCATGGCGATGCAATTTTCACGAAGTGGATTTCGGGGATGAAAACACCTGCGGGATGCTGTACTGGACCGAACGCAGCAACAACGAAGGAGCGAGAGGAGAGGGGGGGGAAAGATAAAAGGAGACTGGAGGGACTTGGCAGGAGAGAAACGTACGCGCGCATATGAAGGGATGATGGAGAAACTATGGCACGCCAGTCCTCGTGTCGGATGAGCCCGCCATTCGAATGCGCAGTTATACACATTCAATCAGACGAGGTTCCCTTTAGGACCAAAACCAAAGGGCAGGATCGAAGGGCATCCATTCAGCGGAGTCGGTCACCGACTTCTACCCGCTATCGCGCTCGTGTCAGCGCCATTGGACAGAGGACAGGGAACCAGGTACGGAGCATATGCTCCTTATGAGCGCATCATATTACTGTGTGGGCGGGGATAGTAAGCCTTGTCCGAAACGTAAATATCTCATAGGCGGCGAGCAGACTGCAATCTCGGGGATTGGGGTAGGTATGTAACCCGTGGGACGTAACACCGAGTCTATACCCAAGTAGTTGAAGGACGGGTCTCCTCAGGGAAAATTGAAGCGCAATTCAACTTCCAAGGTCTGCTTCTTCCCGTACCAGAGCCTCGTGAATCACTAACCGAGCAGGTACCATCGGAGAAGGCGACGGGAAGATGAACGAGGGCCAGACGCCTTCCTCCCTTGGAGACAGCTATCATCGCCACGGTAGGCTGGCTCAGGATTCGTGCCTGCACTTGAGTAAGACGGTGATATGCGGATGCGACAGGGCCCGGCGGAGGACCGGTTGGGCACGGGATACGGCGCGGCTCATCGTCGGTCAAGGGCAGCTGCTCCCATGTGTCCTGGTTCCTTTCGCATGCAATGGCTGGAAGGATGTCGAAGTCTTTATCCAATATCCGCAGCTTGCTTTCTTCGAGAAACCTTGTGAAACTCTCACTACCTTCGAAACGCTACAACTAGGGCCGGAGTCAAGCCAGGGTAATGTATAGGAGGAGTGATGATTATTATCCGTGGTGGTCTATAGAGTGACACCATACGCCAGACCAGTGGCTAGACTGGCCGAAGTGACAACCCAGGCAAGTGGAGAGGGACGTGCAAGAGGCTTCCCTGTCTTCTTCGCAATTTCCTTGCGGGTGCTCTTGGTGATTGAAGCAAAGATGACATGAGAAAACGCCCACCCTGTAATTACTGGGGTCAGTAAAGACAAGCTGGGAGATATTCCGGAAAGGTATACGTACAAGTGGCAATACTAGCACCATTCCACGTGTCTCCTGATCGCATTGCTACTCCGGACATAGCGAAAGCGGCACCGAAGACTAATCTCGCAAGCCTCGGTGTCATACCGGGCACCATTGAAGTTGGAAGAGGAGATGATCCCAGAACTATGGGAATGGTTGAACTACGGGATCACCGAGAAACAAGTTGGAGACGTACACAACGCACTCAATGCCCAAGCGGGGTACCTTTGATAGCCAATATCGGTAGAATTTGGACAGTCAGATTACATATTGTCATCAATTCCCAATAAACTTACTCTGAAACACCATTTGGCCAGATTTTGTGGGACAGTTGCTTTTGTAAAGAGGCAGTATTACCGCCGATTAATGTTCCATAGGGATTGAAACCCTGTTCCTTTACCTTCGTACCCTCTTCAGAGAGCTGTGGCGATCTCGTAAGCCCTGCCAAAGCTGGGCGTTCTTCGGTTGAACCAGATTGCGAGGTTTGGGCCGGCACCGAGGACGTCTGAGATGACAAAGAAGTTGCACCCGGGTTATTGGGCGCTTCTTTGGTCTCCTCTTCTGGGACGAGGACGAGAACGGCCACCAACCCATCGTGGTAGAGGGCAAGTCTCAGATCCACTCAAGAGGGAAACGTGAGCGTCGATGCCAGTTTATTACAGTGACAATGAGCGTGATAGACAAGGAATGACCAAATAAGGGATGTAGAACTGGCAAACTACCAAGCTGGTCTGTTCATTTTCTTCGCGTGCTCGTAAATGAGCTGCTTCGCCTCTGGGCTCTTGAGATAGATGGTGAACCCATCCTGAACGGGGGTGAGTATGGAGCTCGAGGCAAACTCGAGGACTTACATCGGTACTATTTCCGAAGCTAAGGCCGTCGGTACCAAATTGCCTGGAAAAGTGTCAGCTGCTTCGAACTAAGAACCAGATCACATACCAGTACATATCTCCAGCGAGCTTGTTGTCCAGACCTGCCTTTTGCCACGCCCCAATTGCCTCGACACGGGTGATATTGCTTGACCTTCCGAGCCAAGCCTGGCGATTCTCGTCAAGGAGCCATCCATACTCTTCAGAGACAACTGGCTTCTTGACTTTGTGCTGCAATTTGGCGTGTGCGATCGTAAAATTGGTCGCCCACTCCACCGACTTGCTCCACCAATCAGGATACAAATGGAACGTGCCAAAGTCGATGTCAGGAAGACGGAGGAGTGCTTCACTGTCGATACCGTCTGCGCCATTGTACGCCCAGTCATCCGACGTGCCGTTGAAGAAACCTTCGGTGCCGGCCGCAACCATGTGGCGCTTGTCGAGGGATTTGATGTAGTTGGACATTTCCTTTACCCATGATGTGATGGTGTTCACTGTACAATTGGGACCGCGTGGTAAGTTTCGCTTGCCGTCAGCTCCGCATCTGGGTTCGTTTCCGAGCTCATAGGCAAACTGAAACAGTATAAGTTGCTGATAATACAGAGATATGAGGTACTTGCGATGGCAGGGGAGTCCTTGTAACGGCTAACGACGGCCTTTACATACTTTTTGTAGGCGGACTTCATCCTAGGGTCGCGATAGAACTATCCCCGTGTTAGCAGCATGTCTGTAAACAAGGGAGAACATACATCGTCGTGATACTTGCCACCCATGTTGACGACATAGACATCCGAGCCACCGTAGTCGGCCTGCCAAGTGTTAACCGAGGCTAACATGTCGCCTTCTATGACATACCCAGTTATTGGTCAGGGCGAGAATCAGCTTGAGCCCCTTCTTCTCCGCCAGCTGCACTACCTTGTCGAGGCGTTGGAGACCATTCGGTCCATAGTCTAGGGCGATATTAGGAAAACGTATATTGCAAGTGAATGGTCGCCTACTAATTGTGGGCTTTCCGTCCGTCCAGCTTTGGTAGTAAATGGTCGAAGCGCCTGCTCCTTCGTCGCCATACTGAGGGAGGCCACCGGGTACATAGGTGGTGTTGAGGTCACGGAAGCCCCAAGTACGAACGACCTTTATGCCCGCAGCTTTCGCATTGTCCATCGCGATGCTCACATCTGTGATATTCTAGTAATTGTCAGTTTAGGTCGAAAGTCGAGATGCCCAACTAACGTCGAGGAACGAGAACCAATAGGCGTTTGTGCCGAAGAAGTAGAATTTCTGCCCATTGACTGCAAAGTTTTCGCCGTCGGTGTAGACAAAGTCGGCTGGACGCTTTGACGAGGCAGAGACGGTGGCGGCAAGCGCGAGAGAAGCAAGGAGCGAATGGAAGAGCATATTTGAAGACGTGGGCGTGCTAGAGAGTAGAGCGAATTCGTCGAGCTCTAAATAGTTGTGGATGAGGTGTGCTTCCCCTCGCTCACAACGGGTGTGGTCTTTTGTCGGGGTTGTCACGGGTCTCCGGGATCAATTGGGATGCTCCATGTACGATTCAGAGAAGCTGATGGTGTGTTCAAGAGGCATAACGTCGCCCTCCGAGTTTGACATTGCGGAGAGGCAGCGCTCCCGATAGGTTGCTGGATGACTACTTGCCAAGGACCGACACATTCAGAACTTGGAAAAAAAGCGTGAAACTCTAGGCACTCATGATGTTGCCGTACAGTTACCCGGCCCGCCTATCACATCCTGTGGCGAGGAGATCCCGCCAGGAGTTCAAAAAACCCCGCCCAAAGTGCCCATGAACCCCTGAGCCCCTCATACCATGGCAACTTCCAGAGGGCGGCCTTGGATTTTTTTCCGTCGCGTACCATTGGTGGCTTTGGGAGCATGTGGGAACAAACTTCTTGTGCACGAATAGAAGGAACTGAATAGGATGTTTCCCATGTTTGTTCGTGTATTTTCGAGAAGGTCGAGTTCAAGTCGCAAACTTAGCGCGCGTAACTTGGGCACCACCTTGACATGGCGCTATCCCAGGGTCCATATGCAGCCTTCTTATTGTCTCCTAGTAATCTAAAGGTCATCTCCGCGCTACACGGCGCTCCCTGCACGGCCCACTCGCCCTTTCACACGACTACCCGCGACGCGACTTGTACCCTTCCATCTCCCAAGATTTACCAGCAGTGAATAATTCGCGTATCACTGCTTCTATAATGGTGAAAATGCGGTTCCTGGTCATATTGGCCTTGTGTTTCTACGCACAGGCAGATTTGATCGTTCTCGAGGACACGAGCGATAGGTGAGCTCAGTAGTTCCTTAGTACTCGAACTACCAAGCTGAAACCTCCCTTTAGCATTAAGTACTCCAATAGTGGTCCGAGTTGGACAGCTGCGAATCCGAGAGGCGGAGGCGGTGATAGACTCGGAAGTGCACAAAATGACAGAGAAAGGTTTAGTGGTATGAATTGGCATGAGTCTTATGGAGATGGTGCATCTTTCTCGTTCACCTTCACCGGTAAACACCTCGGCACCTTGCCATAAGCGACGCTCAACCTTTGCCTGTTAGGAACTCGCGTCATATTGACTGGAGCAAGTGCTTTGAAATACTATAATACCCGGATCAATGGCTACATTGATGGCGAGCTCAAGGCACAATACGAAAACGTGGTCTCCAGCGTAGAAACGACTGTTGCACCCCTACAAGACGGGTACAGCGGTTTCAACTACCATTACGCCATCACAATGCTTGATATTGGGAATCTTTCGCCTGGCCAGCATACCTTTAGGGCAGTCTCTGTTGGCGCAAATTCCCTATTCGTTGTGGATACCATTCAATACGAGCCCAGCGACGCTGCACCTTCTACAACCTCGGCACCGACCTCCTCTTCTTCTCGTACTAGCTCGAGCTCTTCAAGCCAGACCTCCAGAACAATAGATACACAATCCGTCAACTCAACCACGTCGTCACAGTCCACCACAAGATCTTCGTCTTCGTCCTCCTCACATAGCTCCATCTCGACGTCAACATCATCATCATCAAGTGAACCTGCCATCTCACTGATGGATGTCAAGCCATCCGACTCACGCATTATATACTTTCCAACCGATGCATGGAGTGCCAACTCTGATAGGAGAAGGGCCGAATCATGTCTAACAGGCACAATGTCCTCGACAACGCCTGGCTCGTCTCTCTCCTTCAATTTTACCGGTATGTCCCTGTAATGTTCTCAAAACGATGCTAACAGTACCAAAGGGTCAGCTTTGCAACTGTACACCATTGCTTCAGAGAATGGTGGCCGGTACAGTGTGACACTGGATGGCCAACCAAGGGGTACATTCGACACACACGCCGACACCACGCAACCATCGCAATGTAGCCTCTCAGCCCAGTTCACCATTCAAGATTTGGATAGCTCGGAGCATTCGCTTGTTATGAAGGTTGAAGGTCCGTCTAGTGGATCTAATCAGACAACTCTCCAATTCGTTGGATTCCGGTATGTCATGGCTCTCTTGGACGTTCTTCAAACTGATGGCATCTAGTCTCTCATCTTCGAGCATATCACCTGCAGTTAGCAACCCCCAGACTGAAACGCACTCCAAGCCACCACTTGGGCCGATTATTGGTGGCGTCGTGGGTGCTCTTGCTCTGCTGGCGATCACCGCTTGTGCGCTCTATTTCCTCAAAAAGCAGCGGAAACAAGATCATCACCAAGAACATGATCCCAACACGCCTGATTCCTATTTCGTTGCATCTTTTGGCGTCGAACCAATGTCGACTTCAGGGGGGAAGCGATCCATGCCTTTTGGTGGTCACAAAAAGCCTCACCTTTTCGAAACTGCAAGCGACTCGACTGTCTCGCATGACCATGCGCTGCCCGTTGCCCAATCGGGATCTTCACACGAGGATAGCTCTTCTAATTCGGATAATTTGTTACCCCAGCCGCCATCGTCCCAAACATACTCGCAACCTCGACCACTCTGGGCAAACCCCGTCACGCCCTCACAGTATTCCCAATCACATACTCAAGCTATTAACACACCCTATCCGAACACTGCTGCTGTTGACCCCGAGACTGCGTCGAACGCCGACCGTGCGACTTATTATACCTTACCCTCGTATCATGAGCGGGTATTGGAAGGTGCAGGGCGGAGAGGAAGAGAGCTGTCCGAGGCAGACGTGGACGCGATTTCGAGGAGACTGAGGGAGGTGATGAGGCAGAGTGGACATATGCCGCTAGAACCCCCGAGGGAGCTGGTGGATCACTTGGTAGAGCAACAGCTTGGGCCGCGATAGGATGCATAGTTATAGAAAGTAGAGTCAGTGTTGTTCGTATTAAATTATAGATATTGACCTTGTACAATTTGTATGCATGTCCTGTAAAAGTCTTTCTATCTTGCCGCGCATTTCGTTTACTGGTCTATCTACGCAACAGCACTGGGCGAATAAGGCAGTCGGCGCCGCAGCCGGATTTCAATCAACGAAACGTGAACTGAACCTCGTCGCCACTGTCAGAGATTACCATGGCGGAGGAGCTCCAGATTAACATCAAAGGTTCGTATGCGAGTTTAAATACTATTGGGATCCTTTCTACCACGTTGGCGATTGCGCTCATGTAGTGCTTGGTCACAGCGCTTATGAATCATCGCTGCAGATGGATCCCGACTGGATTCAATGCGATTTACAACTAGAACCTGCAGTGGAGCGCATTTTGTGACAAAGTACACCGTGGATTTCCCTCTGCGTCATGCTCCATCGGAGCAACTCTTTGAAAGGCGGCGTGGTCAAACCTTGAGCTCTGGTACAATTGAAAGTGATTTCTGACAATTTTCATCTCTAATTTAGGACCAAATGAGACCAAATTACACATAACCATCGCTAATGACAAGACCGTGTTCGAGTTGAAGCAGATGATTGCGGCAAAGTCCGACGTAGAAGCAGAGAGGCAGAGACTAATCTATTCTGGAAAAGTACTGAAAGTAGGTAACCTTCTTACGCCCTCGGTGAGTCGCTGACAGTGGTAGGATGACGATCCATTGTCGACGTACAAGATACAATCTTCACATACGATCCATATGGTCAAGGGAGCGCCTCGAAACCAACCTAGCACGTCGACATCTGGCTCGTCTGGGTCTGCGTTGCCACCTTCGTTACCGTCTATGGCCACAGGCCAAAATCCTTCAGATCCACTCACTCTCCTGAACGGTCCGATGGGACATGGTCTCATGGCTGGCTTTAACCCATTCCAGGGAATGGGAGTGAACCCTAATGATCCGAACATGGTAAGCACAGTGTTGTTTGGATGTGCTTTGGATATTCATTTCAGCGTGTAGATGCAGTCTATGATGGACTCTCCCGAGTTTTACCAACGAATGTCTCAAATCATGTCCGACCCACAGATTCTCGACCAGATCCTCGACTCTCATCCTCAAGCCGCTTCGATGCCTCCGTATGTTCGCGAAATGATGCGCAGTCCAGAGTTTCGACAGATGATGGCGAACCCAGATGCTCTGAGAAGTATGATGCAGATGACAGCAGGAATGCAAGGGGCTGGACTGGGTGGCTTGGGTGGATTGGGTGGACTCGGAGGACTCGGAGGATTTGGAGGTGGTCTGGGTGCGAACCCCGCTGCGGGGGGAACTGGCGCGGATAATGCTGCTACAGGCAATCTTTTCAACGCAGCGGCTCAGCAGCAGCGTGGAGGCGTAGGCGCTGGTGTTGGTGCTGCGGGTGCAGGAGCAGGAGCAGGAGCAGGAGCAGGAGGTGCACCGAATCTTGGACTCTTGATGAACATGCTCGGTGGTGCTGGTGGAGGAGGAGCGGGGACGTCTACTGGCTCGCCTCCGGCGACTGGTGCGGCTGGAACGGGTACGACTGGTGCGCAGCAGAATCCCTTCAACAATCCTCTCTTCCAACTTGGACTTCTCGAAGCGCTACAAAATGGACGAGGCGCGAATCCGTATGGTGGCGGATTGTTCGGTGCGGGTGCGGGTGCAGGAACGACGCCGGCTGCGCCCGCCGAGCCACCGGAGGTACGCTTCCAGGTCCAGTTGCAGCAGTTGCAGGACATGGGATTCTCGAATGCGAGCCAGAACGTGCGGGCATTGTTGGCGACTGGGGGGAATGTACATGCTGCGATTGAGTACATTCTAAGTGGTGGTGGACTGTGAGTGTATGTAGCTAGCTGTAGAATGTTATCAACTTGATGGGTTGCCTGTAATGATGCAGTGGCGAGGCTATTCATTCTGCACTTGGACCCAACCTCTCTGGCTCTGTCGCAGAGGATTACCGACTGTTGCTTGCACTACTCTACTGCTTGAGAGAAGGAGGAATAACTCGGACAAAGGCCACGTATCCTATAGCCCAAAGCGAGAACGTGTCTTGGCCATAACCGCGCGGCTACCAGCCTTGGAATATCACGAGAAAGGAATATATATTTGAAAGATACAACAACCGTAGTATTTTATCACGGAGAGAACCCCCGCCGACGACATGGACAACACACCAACGGCACTGTTCGAGTCGTATGAAGCGGACTTTAAGCATACGCTCGAAGGTCTCAAGGAAAAGCTGGAAACGGCTGGAACGGGAGGTGTGTAGTTTTCTGTGGAATTATAGATGAGCGTGCCTTGCTGAGTGACCCCGTGGAACAGAGCAGCGAAAGTCTGCGGTTCGAAGGGCGATGATTGATATTGAAGAAGGAGAAGAGTTGATCTCGCAGATGGAGGTAGAGATTCAGGGCATGCCGCAGTCGATTCGTCCTCAATATACGAACCGGGTGAGGGCATGCAAGACGGACTTGAACAGATGGAGAACCACTGCGGTATGTAAATTCTATACATGGTGTGTTAAAACTGACTGTATACACAGAAAGAGGTCCAGCAAGCGTCGACGCGGGATGCGCTCTTGGGCGGAATCTCACGTGCAGATGATCCCTATGGTACGATTGATGAAGGGAGCGCGTCAGATCGTACGCGGTTGCTCGCCGGGACACAGTCGCTTGCAGACAGTACCAAACGGCTGCAGGACAGTCAACGGATCGCACTCGAGACAGAGGAGCTTGGAGGAGATATCCTGCGCAGTCTGCGTGTGCAACGGGAGCAGATTGAGCATTCTCGAGAGATGCTGGGCGGGGCCGAGCAGAATGTGGACCGGGCGAGCAGGACGCTCAAGGGGATGGTGCGAACGTGAGTGTATTTGATTCCTGTTACTTGATTGACATGCTAAGGCTACGGATTCCGTTTATCTCTGACTGATACAGGATGTACAAGCAGCGGTTTGTGACGGCGGGGATTGTGCTTGTGCTGGTATTGCTGGTGATTTTTATTGTCTGGCGCAAGCTGTTTTAGTTCTATCGTATTGTTACTTGTATATCGGTGGCTGTGCTATGACGTAGGCGTGCAGTTGCCCTGTCTCGATGTTCGCGTTGAGCCGCTAAAAGGCCCGTGGAACCCAAACCCCCACTCTTGGACCCGACCTCGTTGGACTCGAATTCCCTGTAAGTCCCCTATCCAAGCCTGGCAGCCCCTATACTCTCCGCCACTGCCACCCGTCGCTCGTATGCGCTGCTGATGCCACCGTCGCCAGTCGCGCCCTCCAAAGACCACCACCAGTCAATAGTATCGCCCAGTGCTCCGCCATATTCGTAAGAAAATTATAAATCCACCACATCTTGGTTACTGACTTTTGGACTCTACCACGTCCCGCCGTTGTCTTACTTTGCTCACTAGAACTCGCTCAAACTATAATCAAATGTCCTTTGTTAAACTCAGCATCTTTGGAACCTCGTTCGAGGTCCGTGCATTCGCTGCGCCGCGAAATCTTTTCTGGATCTGATTTGTGTCCACTCCAATGTCCAGGTCACGACGCGTTATGTCGATTTGCAGCCTGTAGGCATGGGTACGTCGTGCTTTTGCTTTGCCATTGTCCCCAGTGGCTAACTGCTCCCTTTCGTCTTTGTCTAGGCGCATTCGGACTCGTCTGGTGAGCATGGATCCCCAATGATTGTCCTTTGGAAGCAAAATCTTGACCGTTGCTGGTCACTATCCTCTCTGTTCCGACGCTGCCCCCATTTGCGTGACAAATTCTACAATATTCTTCGCCTCACCCCGCCACCCATGCGATGCTAACGACCTTGCGCCTATGCTTCTAGCTCTGCAAAGGACCAACTGATGGGCACATCGGTCGCTATCAAAAAGATTATGAAGCCCTTTTCCACCCCCTGTACTTTCCAAGCGCACCTACCGAGAGCTCAAGCTCCTCAAACACATCCAACATGAGAATGTATGCACTCTTCTTCTCTTGTGCCTAGCAGAGACGCGTGGTCCCTGTAGGGGTCATGTGCTCCGAGATCCAGGCGCACTTGACCAAGCTCCACAGTACTCTAACACTCTCGGCAGGTCATTGCCCTCTCGGACGTTTTCATTTCGCCGCTCGAAGACATTTATTTCGTCACCGAGCTCCTAGGAACCGATCTTCACCGTCTCTTGACCTCTCGGCCACTGGAAAAGCAGTTTATCCAATATTTTTTGTACCAGATCCTCCGAGGGCTCAAATACGTCCACTCTGCTGGCGTCGTCCACCGTGATCTCAAGCCATCCAACATTCTCGTCAACGAAAACTGCGACTTGAAGATTTGCGACTTTGGTCTAGCACGTATACAGGACCCGCAGATGACGGGATATGTCTCGACGCGCTACTACCGTGCGCCAGAGATTATGCTCACCTGGCAAAAGTATGACGTCGCCGTCGACATCTGGAGCACTGGATGCATCTTTGCAGAGATGCTTGAGGGCAAACCACTGTTCCCCGGAAAAGACCGTACGTTTGTTTGGCGTCTACTTCGGGTTCTTATTTCTGACCCGGCATTCTTGCAGACGTCCATCAATTCTCCATTATTACTGAACTCTTGGGCACGCCTCCGGACGACGTGATTGCAACGATTTGCTCTGAGAATACCCTCCGTTTCGTCCAATCGCTACCCAAGCGGGAGCGCGTTCCATTTACGCAAAAATTCAAGACAAACGACCCAGCTGGTACGTGATGGTATGGTGGACGCTAAGCAGATGTTTGACTTTCAATTAGCGTTGGATTTGTTGGAGAAGATGCTCGTGTTTGATCCCCGCAAGCGCATCACGGCCACTGAATCCCTCGCGCAAGAGTATGTTGCGCCATACCACGACCCAACAGATGAGCCAGAGGCCAAGGAACAGTTTGATTGGAGTTTCAACGATGCGGATCTACCGGTAGATACCTGGAAAGTGATGATGTACAGCGAGATTCTCGGTGCGTTATGCCTCTTTGCCCTCTATTGTCGGCCTCTAAATTGTTTGTAGATTTCCATCAAGTTGGCGATACCGAGTCGGAGCATGCGACTGTACCCCTCACGAGTGGAGAGGTACCTCACGGAGCGGTGGTCGCTCCAATGCCCGTTGGCGCCCAATGAGCTCATTCGGCGTTCCTTTGGACGTTGTGGCTTTCACTGGGAGACGAGCGCACGATTGTATAAGTGGACAAAAGATATATGAATTAGGAAACGAATACCGCTCGTGCTCGACTCGCCCGTGGAGGCTTCGATGACTGGGGTTCTCCGCTTGCCTGCTCTTGCCTTTTTTCTTTCTCTTTTTCATTGGAGGTTCCAGACGAACACTGCTTCCTCATATACATAGTCCTACTCGCGTCTATCCCCATTCGTGCTACCCACACACAACCACACACTCACGTCTACGCGTGATGACTTTACTTACCCTATTCACTCCTCATCGTCCACGAACGTTTTTGGTCGTATAATGCTGTACCCCTTCTTTGATCGCTGCCTTGCCCTCCATGCTTTGCACCCTCTTGTTCTTGCAAATCATCCTCGGTTCTTTTGCCATTCCGTGGAATTCTAGAGACTGGGCTTGGTCTTGATTGGTGTACAAATGGTGTCACGCGTGTACTCTGCTCTTTGGCGGAGAAGAAGAAATTGAAATGAAAATGTTGCTTTCAGCTTGACGAGGCCTTGGCACGCGATAGATTATATACGCGGAGAGCGTGTCTTCGTACGGACGAGCCTTGATGAATTCAACCCACTCGAGTTGAGGACAAGATTCATCACTGTCTTGAAAGAACATGGCGAGCAGTTGTTGCTCCCATGAAGAGGCACCACCCCACTTCTCGACGCAAACGTATTTGAGCGAAGACATTGTTCGTAGCGAGTCCTTTGTGAATTTTTTTGGATTCGTCACGTCGAGGATCAAGGTTTCGATTGGAGATGGTGCGATTAGGACCGGCTCAGCGGAAGAGGCATTCTGTAATTGAATGGTGACTTGCCGCAAAGCCGGTACATTGAGCGCGTTGAGCCATCCGGTGTCTGGCGTCTCTATCTGGAGAGTATCGAGAGTTGGCAAGCGAATCGTTCGAGATGGGGTTTTGTGGGCGCAGTGTCTCATCGAGTTCCCCCCAAAATGCCCTCAGCATACGGAGAGCTGGGAGGTAGAGAACGTCAAGACGGTAAAAGTTTCCATCGATTTTGAGTGTTTCCAGTCGATGAAACTCGAGTGCGGATGAAGTACAGTGCGGCCAACTGCCTGCACCAAAGTATAGGGATACAAGGTTGGCCCACGCCCCCATGGTGCTGTTGGGTGGTGGAATGGTATAATTTTCCGACCAGATATCAAGGTGCTCGATCCTCTCCTTCCACTGCGTGTCGTAATAGGTGAGCACATCAATCTGGTGTGCCCCCAGTTCGAGCTTGTTTAATTTATAGGCGAACGCGTCGAGCCGCGATGAGAACACGCTAGGAAGGGAGAATTGTGCAGGGAAGACGAGCCTCTCCATCGTAGAGACGCTCGATTGGGAGACAATCTGCCAAAGGAGGTAGAAAGGCGCGCCGTACATTTGCTGCACAGGAGCCATGATTAAACTCAACGACTCGATGCGAAGATCCCTAAAGTACTCGTCGGAGATATTCCATGGTTCATCGTAGGAAATCTTGTCGGCGTGAACCTCGAAGCTGACAGGTACTGATTTCGCCCTTTGGAGCGCATCTCGCAATTGGGCTCCATCACAGCAGATGGTAACATTGCCCTTGGAAATCGCCCTTGTCCCTGCATGCGTCTTCCAAAGTTCAATTAGATCTCCCTCGAAATTTCCATTGTATTTAATATCTCCGTATCTGCTGCTGTACAGGCTGATTTTGGCCCATAGGGTCGGCGTTCGAGTGCACATGTCCTCCAAAGGCGGTTGATTAGCGTAAAATGCCACGGCGAGTAGTTTAAGAGGACTAAGTATTCGAGAATGTTGCCCAGTATCTCTGATGGGATACGCTCCATTGGGAAAAAAATTCCTTGTACCGATCTACGAGTGAGTAAGAGATTGAAAAATCCGTTGGGTAATATTGAGGTTGGATACGGGAGTGGCTGGCTATCCACGAATATGAGTTATGAGGAAGAATAGATGTGGGCAGTTCTCAAGAAGAACCACCTTGTGGCCCATTGCTTCCGAAGGCCCATGCGTACTCAAAAGTGAATTGGCGGACGGCATCTGCTCTCAAGGATGTATGAAGCGAAGCATCCATCAGTAGTATTGACTCATATTCCGAGCGCGGCTCCTCGACTCTGGTAAGTACGTCCACACTTGACGTTCATGTATTGTGGCTTTGGGTGAGGTAATACAGAGCGGAATCAAAAGGTATAGAGTGACGCCGTTCCCCATTGCCTCCTTCGACTTCAGTAATGACAGATGTTTATTTGTCCTCAGACTCAAATCGACCATAAAGCTCTGATGACCGTCCGCGCGGAACTCTGCTTCCCTTTCTGACTCGCATCCACTCAAGCTGTGTCATCTTTTCGATTTGGTGAACATTATAAGCACAAAAAGGTTCTACAGTGAGTTAAAATACCATTTCTAGAGCTCTCGCCAATAGCGGATGAATCCTTGGTCACTCCAGTGGATTGCTATGAATCGAAGCGAACCGAGTCCCAACGCCTCGACGCTACGGAGAATGTCCACTATATAGTTTGCTAATGCCGCATCGTATGGACGAGCCTTGGGGAATTGTATCCATTCGAGGTGAGGGCACGGTATGTCACCAGCTTCAAAGAACATGGCGAGCACGTCTTTCTCCCAAGAGAGCTCACCCCACATTTCGAAGACTACGTGTTTTAGCAGCGGCATGGCCCGCAGTGACTCCTGTGTAAAGAGTCGATGATCCCCGACCTGGATGTTTATGCGTTCGACTGGGGATGGTGGAAGCCGGAGTGACCTGACTTCGCGCTGTATGGCATTTCTATACATCTGTTCGAGTGTGAATACCCGCAACACAGGAAGGTCGAGTGCGGTGAGCCATCCGCTGTCCGCATCTTCCACTTTGATAGTTTGGAGGGCCGGAAATTTACGGATTGTTGAAGATGACCACGGATGAGCGGAGCACTGCGTAGGACGCTCAAGAACGCTGAGCGAGCGGAGAGCTGGGAGATGGAGGACATGAAAGTGGGAGATATTTCCACCAAACGTCAGGGATTCAAGTCTACTGAAGTGGATAGGTGATGAACTACAGGTTGGCCATGCTATGTTACTACAGCATAGGGTCACCAAGTTAGTCCAAGGCGCTATATGCGTGTCGAAAGCCGGAATAGGACGGACATATTCTGACCAGACTGTGAGATTGGTGATATTTTCCTTCCAGCGTGCATCGTGATCGGCTAAAATACTAATTTGCTTTGCCTGTAATTCTAGCTTCCGCAAGTTGTGTGCAACCTTGTCGAGTCGCAAGTCTATTTGACCGCTAATGAAACGGCATGTAGGGAGCGACAACTCCTGCGTCGTGGATATACTGAATCGAATAAACGGTTGAGCAAGCAGGTTCTCTGATATTCGCTCCCGACCGGTCAGACGTACGACCCGGATATGAACATGTCGATAGCACTCGCTGGGGATCTCCCACCTTCCATCGTCGGCAAGTACGTCTGTAGAAACCTCGAGCTCAACAGATGCCGACTTGACTCGTCGTATTGCATCTTGTAACTGGGCCCCGTTGCAGCAGATGGTGGTAGCCCCTCTTGAGATCATTATAGCCTCTTTATATATTCTCCAGTATTCTATCGGTCCAGAATCGTTACTACTGTCCCTTGGAACCTGTCCGTGGAGGCTTATTTTGGTCCATAGCGATGGCATTTCCAGCGCAATGTCCCTCCAAAGACGATTGACGAGCGTGAGATGCCATGGAGATAGGTTAGTGAATGCAGTGACCTCAAAAATTCTGCATAGAATCTCTGTTGGGAGTCCCTTCATTGGAAAAAGAGGGTGTGATGATCTACGAGCACAGATAAGACGAAGAGGTGATCAAGTGACACGATTGGTGGATTTATGGCTTGCTGAACCTCCTTGACGTCTTGAGCGGTTGAGAGGGTATTGATCCAAGTTGTGCTAAGGACGGCTACACTCACGACACATACCCGAAGGCTCGTGTGAATACGATCCTTCTTGGTAATAGCACCCGCTATTGTATTATTGCCAGGCATACACCTCGACCTTGTGCATGATATAATGGATATGTTCTGAAAACCACGCAAAAAGGCCAAAGGACCTACAGACATTGAAAATTCTCCCTCGACAACGACTTCGCCTGCTGTATCCGATCTTGTTCAAACAAGCACGAACATCGTCCTATCACATGCTTTAAATCCAGACACTGTTGGAGATTAGCCGAAGAGTAATCAAGGATTACACGGCTCTGAGTCAGGCTCCCCACGGGCTAATTGGTATAGCCTCATAGATAATCTTAGTTAGTAATCGTCAGCTCTAGCATGTGTATAAGAGCGATGAGCGACGTCTCAATCATAGATAGAAGATATTTCCCCACTCTCATTCGCTTACCAGGACTCAACGCCTGAAGAGTCTCTGCGTATATACTCGCTCTACATAATCTGTACACGCATATTATCCAACAGTGGATAAGTGCCCGAGGGTCACGCTGGTGTGGTCACTGCCATCGCATTCTCGCCAGATGGTCACCGCGTTATCTCCAGCTCAAATGACGGAACAGTACGACTCTGGGATGTGGAGAAAGCCGTACAGATCGGACAACCGTTAGTGGGACACGCAGATGTGATCATTTCTGTTTCATTCTCGCCAGATGGTCGCCGTGCTATTTCCGGCTCGGCCGACTGTACGGTGCGACTATGGGATGTCGAGACAGATCGAAAAACGTGTTGTGTGTTCAGGGGACACACGGGTGCAGTCAAATCTGTCGCATTCTCACCAGATAGTCGCCAGATTGTTTCTGGCTCGTCTGACAGGACTTTGCGGTTGTGGGACGTCGAGACAGGCGCACAGATCGGACAGGTGCTCGAGGGACACACATATGCGGTCATGTCTGTAGCATTCTCGCCGGATGCTCGTCGCATTGTTTCCGGCTCTATTGATGAGACCGTGCGGCTATGGGATGTCGAGACCCACAGGCAGATCGGAGATTCATTCGAAGGACACGCCAGTAATGTATATTCGGTCGCATTCTCGCCGGATGGTCGTCGTGTAGTTTCTGGCTCACATGATCAGACTGTGCGGTTGTGGGATGTCGAAACAGGCAAACAGCTCGGAAAGCCACTCGAAGGGCACGCTGGTAGCGTCTCCTCGGTCGCATTCTCACCAGATGGATTCACTATCATCTCTGGCTCGGACGACAGGACGATACGGTTGTGGGATACAGAGACAGGTAGACAACGAGGGCGCTCGCTGGAGGGACACATGAGTAGGATCTGTTCGTTGGCAGTCTCCCCAAATGGTCGCAATTTAGTTTCTGGCTCGGACGATCAAACAATGCGGCTATGGGATGTGGTCGACGAACCCATGGTGAGTGCCGCTGGTTGTGAACCTGCAGGGATTCTGAGCCACTGGAAGGTCCCAGTTATTAATCTCCACTGTCGAACTAATGATGATGGATGGTTATCTACTCCCAACGGAGAACGGTTGGTCTGGATTCCACCAGCGTTTCGTACTGGTTTCCAGAGGCCAGGGGTTCGGGTCATTGGCCTATGTGAACAAATAATGATGGATACGTCCAAATTTGTACATGGAACCGAGTGGACGCGAGTAAGGGCAGGAGGGAAATACCAGGTATAGGTGACTCTGGAGAATCACAGATTACTTAGAGGTCCTCTCTCTTCACTTTCAAATCGGTTTATTAGTGTACCGATTATTAGTGTACTAAACTTGATCTGAGAATCTGTAACGGCAGTAGACATTATCAATGCTTGCCATCATATCAGTCAGTAGTTGGCTGATGCGAAGGGTCGTGGCAAGAGATCAGGTTCGGGTTTCGAAGATGGCGGCCAGTATGCCTCTGAACCTTGCTTCTAGCCCACTTATGTTCACGAGACGATGGATTTCGTATACTATATAGAGAGCGCAAGCGCATCGCTGATACGATAATTCTACGTAGATCGTTTGAAGTATGCATGAAAGCATAGGAAACATATAAAGGTCATAATAATCCAAACAGGCGCCCTCTAAGTTCACATTTGTGAACCAGTCAGCCTACATTAACAGCGTGGGCTCCTGGAGGAATTCGTCGAGAAGTAGGGTCTCGTGTGCGTTGATTCACCAAGAAGTTCATCCGCATCTGCCAAACCGTGGCCAAACTGAATACGTTCAACATGATAATACCCAACACGACCGTGGTCTGTTGGAGACTTTTGGCAGTTTGGCGCAAGTAAGATTTGCCGCCTGCTCGGTACAAAGCCCTTGCCAGGCACATAATCCTGGGGCATGTAGCTTGGATGCCTGCGCGCATACCCTCTTTCCGCATTATCGACTGCACGTCGGAGTCTCTTCAAGACCCAGGCGAGAACACGAGCGGCGAATGGGAGTTTGTGGATTCGTGCGACTTGTTTGCACCAGGCGAGAGTGTTGATCACGAGTGAGGCTACGCACCACCTCTTGCGGGGGGATACTGTTGGACTAGAGAAAACCGATCTTGTACGAGGGACTACCTGCGCCATGAGGAAATGAAAGGGGCCGATCGAGGTAAGTGGAAGGTAAATACTAGATAAGTGAATGAGTGCTGGCTTTGCTTATTTTGTGGTAGCTTACAAAAGATGGGTGAGAGAGATGCAAGCGCTGCAGAACGGTTCAGCTGTTGAGTGCCCTTTTATTGTAGCCGCTTGGCGCGCCGCTGAAGTTTTCCCGAACCAACATGCTTGCAGGTCTGCAGCACATGTGGGCTCAAGGCTATGTAAATATCAATAGGCGAGCCGAGCGAAGACTAACTAACAACGCCCATCTGCACTTGTATGCCGGAACATCAAGATATCGCCCTCTTAGTTAGGCTTGGCTACGCTATGAAGTATTGCTCGTACTTAAGAGATGGATTGACGTTGCCCAACTAGGCGGACCGAGAAACCGAACATTTCTCGTAATAAAACGGGACTCAAAGTAACTACTCGGAGGAAATCTGGGCTGCGGGCGGGATGTTTGAATGAATTATAAAATTTTTAAAATAATAATTGTAGCACAATGATCCCGTGGCGCAATGGTAGCGTGTGAGATTCCAGTACTGGAACTTCCTCAAGGTTATCCGTTCGAGTCGGGTCGGGGTCATTCTTTTTTTTGGCTTCATTTCTCCTCACAAAATTATCTGTCTTACGGAGTTACTTTTATTTGTACAGCTTCTATATTGTGTGACGTTGAGTCATTGCAGCTCCTGCACGACTTGAACCGAACGTCCATATACCAGCCCTGCCAAACAAGGATTACTTGGCTCATCTCGGGTAGACATCGATGTGAGTGAGCTCCTAATCTTCTGCCAGCTGTACTGCGAACCCTTACCAGAGACGATGGAGACCATGTACACGCCTTCACCTATTGAACGACTCCCGATCGAGATCCTCCGTCATATTTTCAACCTTTTCGTGATTATTGATAACTCTCCGTGGTGGTTGACTCTCGTTAACCGGCACTGGCGAGCCGTGGCCCTCGATTCGTGCATTCTATGGACAAAGATTGCCATCCAGGACGACGATTTCTTCACCGAGCTATGGAGGACACCTAATTGTGAGAGCGTATACTCTATTGGCGCTCTCACTGTCTGTTGCAATGGGCCCCAGTTGAAAGATGCACTCTCAAGAGCGGGTCGGGCGCCTGTAAAGCTTTATGTCGCCTTATATGATCCATTTGACAGTGATTTATGGGCCCTCTCCGCCAAATCTTGTTATGACTTACGGATCGAATCCGCATCTATGAGCGGTAACCTGCAGGGGACCGACAGCCTCATCTCCAAGCTGTTCACCGTGTCGAGTCTGGCCAATATGAAATGCCTGACTCTTCACCATAGCCAAACAATGTCACCTCTATTGTCAAGAAGGCTCGATGAATGCGCGGTCAAGCTACGAAGACTCGAAATATGGGTAGATTTCTGGGGGGGCGCACCTAGGGTTGACGAAGGCCTGCCCTCACGTGTAGAAAATTTGGTCCTGACAGGGCCTGGGTCATTCAACATCGTCTCATGGACCCATCTTGTGTCACTTGAGGTCATGGCAACTACATGGCCGGATTGTGGCACACCTATGATCGAGCTCACCCAGCTCAAGCGGCTCAAGATTCGCGGGAATCCACGTCATCTCCATCATCTTCGCCTTCCCGTGCTTCACTCTCTCATACTCGTTGAAAAGTCATCCAATTGCGCCCACATGCGGGAAACCTGTATACCTACTATATGTCTGCCAAAACTTTACACCTTAGAGACAGTCACGCAACACGTGAAATGGATCAATGCACTCGAGATGCCGTCCTTGCACAACCTAGAGATCATAACGTTTCAGAAGGTCAGGACGGAGTCAAATCCCGGTATATTGAAACTCTCTGCACCGCAAGTAAACCGGGTCAAAGTCGATGTGGCGATCCCAGAAGAGTTTGGGAGCGAAACGCTCGCGACAATGGCGTCCGTCCAACACCTTCGCTTCGAATCTTGTGGTCCCGCTGGACCCTGGGAGAATATCCTGGAGATGTTGTTCGCTGACAGAGTCTTGCCTTGTCCCCATCTTCGCTCATTGGAGTTTGGAACAAGCCGCAGACACGACTCCGCACTAGATGATCGCATTCGAGAGATTATACGCATCGCAAAGACGTCCAGTAGATTCCCGCTCGAGTATATCGATGTGGATTGGGATGATGCAGGGGTTATACGTTACGCTTAACTGAATTCAACGAATAGATACACCCAAAACTATCGCCTCGTAAACTTGAGAGGGCTGGTCTCAATGTTCAAGGTAATACTAACAGTCGCTTTCTCCAGCACCCTCTTTCTCCACCCTTCCTCGTCCTCTCCATCGTTTAGCAGCGGCTCTACTCGATAATCTTTCAATAGATTCGCGAGGAAACACACTGCCTCGACGAGCGCGAGCTTGCGGCCAACACATGCGCGAGGTCCAGCACTGAAGGTGGTGTAGGCTTCGTCTGAACTTGAATTATACCACCTTGACGGGACAAATTTGTCTGGAGAAGGGAATGTTCTAGGATTGTAGTCTATCGGTCATTGTCAGTTTCATCTAGAGAAAGAAATGGCGAATACTAACGAGCTCCGATCGCGTCGATAAGTATAATTGTCCCTTTTACGACCGGCATACTTTGTACAACGGTCTCCCCGTTCTCATTTGTAGTAGGAACTCGGATCACCCTGTCCTCTAGCGCCTCACGGATCATCCACTGAGCCGGTGGGTACATCCTCGTCGCTTCGACAAACGCACAGCGTGTCTTGATTAGCGACTCATAATCTTCAAAATGAAGCATCCCGTCATCGGAGCTCTTGATTATCTGGGCGATTTCCTCGTATACTTGATCTTGTTCGGTTTGGAATCCCGCGAGAAGCGTCAAAGTAGCTGCGATGGAACCAGCTGTCGTCTCATGTCCCGCAAAGTAGAGAATCCAGACATTTCTGACTCATAGGTCAGATGCGATATGTATAAAATAGAAGGCGTACCCAATCTATAGAACGTTAGCAAAGGATCTGATGGATCATATAGGACTCACAATCTCAGAGTCAAGGAGGTTATTCTTCGCATCTGCTTGTGACGCAAGAACAATACGACTGAAAACATCGCCAGGAAGGTGTTCCGAGTCGATGTCCTTGTCCACCAGCTCCAAAAGATCCGCAATCTTGGCCTTTCGAGCCTCCAGCGTGCCGTTGAACCAGTCACGCAAAGAGACAAGAGATTGGCGGACATACTGTATACTTTATCTCGAGTCAACTATAATCCTGGCGGAAAAGCGAGTCAGACTTACTGCTTTGTCGGAATGCGGAGCATCCATCGAGGCATGAGAAACGTGAGAACAAGGTTCTCTGCTTGTACTCTAATCGGCTCCTCTAGCATCATTCGACCGTCTAAGGTCTTTGGGCTCTTATCCCAGGAAACAGGAATACCGAAGCCGATAGAGAGGATCACACACAGAGCGAGTCGCTGTGAATGGTTCCGCATATCCTCAATAGATATGTGGTTGCCAGTTGTAGTGGGCCAATTCTCTGTTCTGAGCATCTCCTGGTAGAAACGTTGCGCTTCATTCCACGTTTGCTTGTACCTAAATCTTGCGTTCAGATAGGAGGCAGAGGTTTGTGAGTGAGTGCATACGCTCGAGGATTGAAAGCAGGCTGTATAATACGACGCTGTCTCTTCCAATCCTGTCCATTTGCGGAGACAATGTTGTGTCCCCAGTACGCTGCAACGATCAAAGACCTGCTACTGATCAGCACCATGGGCGGTCATGATAATGTCGCTTACCAATCCGGTTTGAACCACAAGGGATCGGAGGCGACCTCCCGCAGGACTTCGATCGAGTTGGTCAATAACATGGTTTCGCCGTGAATAAGCGGTTCGACCACCACAATGTCTCTCTTGTACTCGCTGTAGACTTGAAGAATGGTCAAACACCGCGGAACACTGGCGAAATCGAATAACTCACATGTGCGACGATGTCTCCAGAAATAATCGAGACCGTGAGTGAGCACGACACCAAATAGTCCGATAGGATTGAACAAGGGCCTGTAGTCTGCCCGCCCATAAAGACGCATTGACTGTCAAAATGGTTCAAGGCGGTGCTAATTTCTAGCATGGGGTCTTACGTTGAGATGCTTGGCAGTGTAGACAGCCGCTACTAGACCGCATACGGTCGTTATAAGTATTTTAGAGTCGATAACAGATACTTTATCAAGGATTGCATCCATGGTTGGAGTGGGAGGGTCCAAGAGGTTTCGTCAACATGCTAAGCGCCGCGAGATTATAAACCAAATTAGCGGTTTACATGTTTTATCTCCGCATAAATTGGGTTTGATGCGATTTGGTCGCTTTGAAACCTATTTTAATGCCCCTTCAACTTTATCGTGGAAGCATCAGGGTCTAAATGGCAGAACTCCACTCAAGCCGTGCATCAAAACAGCCGGATAGGCCAGTCTGTTACAAGAGGAGTAGATGCACTAGATTTACGTGTATATAAATGACCGACCGTCCACACGTTGACTTTTTGGCCACTGTTCTGGCAGACTCCCGTGCCTCGGGATGGCTAAAGTAAGGAAAAAGCGGGTGCCTAACATATGCCCAATAAGCTTTGGAGTCGTTCATATCTTCAACGCCTTGAATAGACCGGATCCCATTGTGTTCGCCGGTTCGATGGCGGCTGCAATTGGACACCTACAGAGATCCGGGCCACCTGATGCGATTGACTGAGAGATGAAAGGGCTCTTAGGAATCTTAGAAAAGCCAGCCATCCACCTACCCGTCTCGTGTCCCCCTCCGCGACCTCTGTCAACATCCCGCTCACAAAATACATCCAAATTTGACTTCTCCAAGCGGTTTACAAGCATCTCCGTTTCAAAAGTCGACTTCTCCAATCTTGGACGGCGCGTTCTCACCCGCTTTTCTCTCTCAGACTTGAGCCTGTGTCACTTTGTTGGCAACCAACATGCCTTCGGAGATGATCCGACATCATCCTGGCTACTATGAGCCCGACCCGCCAGACACAGCCGCTGCTGAGTCCGTGCAATCCACCGTCTCCCACCAAGTACCAGCAAACGGAAGACGGTCGAGCAGGATTTGGAGCATGTTTTCTACACTCTCAGATGGACTTCGTTCTAGGAGATTAAGCGCTCTCTTCTACAATCAGCCCGACAAGCCCCAGGTGAGCGTTAGCTGTTTGCCTCAACGCCCATCTGTCTAACGCCTCGTTTCCTCCTCTGGAGACACGCACAATGGCACCAAAAATACTTCGGCTACCTGTAGAGACATACCGACCTATTCTACTACAGCTCGCGGCGACCTCTTCACGCGCCGAGCTCGCCAACGCCGCGCTCGTCTCGAAAGCCATGTGTCACGAGGCTCAGCGTATCATCTACCACACGCTCACGCTCGCTCCGGACGTTCCACAACCAACAGAGATCAGCGACACGGTCGCGCGCATGGTCCGCGGCGTCAGCATCCGACTGGGCAATCGGTACCGCGCAGCCAAGCACACACAATGGTGCATGGACCTGCTCCCTCGCCTCATCTTCCTAGAAAAGATTGACATTGCCGGTCGAGGGTGGGAAGTCAGCGTCTTTGAATCGTGCTTACCGCGTGTGTGGGACCGATACGAAGGTGTAACGGGGGTAAAGACATTTCATTTCGATGGAACGATCGACTTGCCCTTGATTCGCTTCCTCGCTGCTCAGCCATCCCTTGCAGAACTCGAGCTGGCAAGCGGGATGATGGTCCCCTTTCACTCGTCCGAGGTGGTCGAAGTCGTCTCTACGCCGTATTTCCATCTTACCAAAATCTCCATACCCCATGAGTATGCCAAGGCCATCATCCGTCTCGCGCCTTGTTTGCAGCACCTCACATTGACGTTTGACGTCGGGACGACCGCGATGGATTTGGGGGACACATTGAAACAACTCCCTGAATCGATGCAATCGCTCATCTTCAATACGACGCGACGCGATTTGCTGCCCGCACATGCCTTTCTCCCACGCAGTCTCCGCATGCTTTCCACCGTCTTTGTCCAACATGAGTCTGCACAGATGCTCCAATACCTCTCACATCTCAAGTTCTTGGAACACATCATCTTGAACGTCTGCCAGCCTTCTGTTCCCACGTTCATCAACCCCTTTGCGATCGGGGCCCTCCCGCCGTCACCGACGCCGACCCAGGGGTTTGATGATCGGGCGGTGGACGTGTTCATCACGCAACTTAAAGTGATCTGCCCGAACGTCAAGACGGTGCAAGTAGACGATCAGGTGTTCAATCGGAGAAGCAGTCTCTGGGCCGAGGAGAGGGATGGGAGTATGTCACGGAGGGAAAGCTATGACATTTCGCGACACAGGGATGGGTCTGCGGCGCGGATGTGGTCGCGCATGTCTCTCTAATCAGTCTCTTTGGGGTTTCTATTTCGTTCTTTCTGTTCCAGTTCTGTGATGTACTTTGCTCTGGACTATTACGTTTTCGGAAGATGCGTGACATGAGACCACGGGCTCTATTGCGCATTACCCTTTTGTGCAAGGTAAAAGCGAATGCCATCAACAATGACTGACAAGGTGAGCACTATCTTCCGACGAGTCACAGCTTACTTACGCTGGTGATCCATCTGCTGGGGCAGACCGGAGACGACAACAACGGCAATAGGAGCCACAGTAACACCTTTGATCCAAAGAGGCATTCCTCCTCCGTGACTGGGATAGGTCATCGGCACAATAGACATGAAGTAAAGTAACACCACTCACGCAGAATATTCTGGGAGCCGATAGCCAGCCTCTTCAGGCTATTCAATGGTTATTATAGCTATATTATATATCACAGTAGCTTACAGTCTTTCCCTTGAGCATGCACTCGCGACCGACGGCATAGCTACTCCTGTGGAATCGCTTGACGATATTCTTCTTGCCTTCTACCCAGATCCAATTATCTGGTTTGACGGCACTGGGCTCTCCAGCTGTCGCAGTAAACAGCTTATGTCCAGTAAATGTTTCGAGATGGATCACGATTCCGCTCGACGCTGGGAGGTCGCTGTAGATGGCGTGTCCATACGTCTTAATGTGTTCTTCTTCACTCTTTAATGTTGGTACTACTTCGTTGACTCCATAATATACGCTCCGAATCGCGGACCCAATCTCAAACGCGTCTTCTGGTGTTAGCGAGGTCAACTGAGCGTCCAGTTCGTCCTGACGAATCTTGACGAGCAAATCACGCAACTGTTCTGTTTCCCCTGACGATGGCATTGTCAGTGAAGAGACCAAAGTGCAGCCACTCCCAAATAAACCAACCTTGGAGAGAACCATGTCGATGGCGACACAGCAGACGCAGGATTGGCCTGGCCGCTATTATCACATTGACCAAATCTTGGATAAACCAGGTCCTCGCACAGATCCAGACGCGTTTGTCGGTGGCGACACGGTATGTTGTTAGCGCCTTTTGGTTCTAGTCGCTGATCTGCTTTGGCAACGATGATATGTATATGGCCAATGGAATGTACTATAGGCAAGGGACTTTCTGCGCAACCAATGCAAGGTCTTGGTCATTGGCGCTGGCGGACTCGGATGCGAGCTCTTGCCAAATCTGGCGCTCTCTGGGTTCAGGGATATCCACGTTATTGATATGGACACGATTGATGTCAGTAACCTCAATCGACAATTCTTGTTCAGGTTGGTCTCGCCAAGATATGCAGCGCTACCCGTGTGGCTTATCTGTAATCAACAGAGAAAAGGACGTCGGAAGACCAAAAGCTATTGCAGCGGCAGAATTCGTCATGAAACGCGTCCCTGGTGTTACTGTCACGCCGTACGATGGATAAAATAGTGGCTTGTGACGAGTATTGATAAGCCGTCTAGATTCTTTGGAAAGATACAAGACAAGGACGAAGAGTTTTACAAGCAGTTTCATATCATCATCAGCGGCCTTGATTCCGTCGAAGCTCGACGCTGGATCAACGCCACCCTCGTCGGAATGGTAGACGAGGACGATCCAGAGAGCCTCAAGCCTCTCATCGATGGAGGTACAGAGGGTAAGTACTAACTTGGTATAATTAGAACAATACCCATCATCTTCAGGATTCAAGGGCCACTCGAGAGTGATTCTGCCAACCATGACCGCCTGTATCGAATGCACACTCGACATGCTCACTAAACCCACCGTATTCCCAATTTGTACCATTGCCAACACACCCCGCCAGCCCGAACACTGCATCGAATGGGCCTCTGTCCTCGAATGGCCGCGCGTCTTTGGCGACGCAAAGAAGCTTGACAATGACGACCCAGAACACATTACGTGGCTCTACGAGCAAGCTTCCAAGCGCGCTGCAGAGTTTTCCATCGAGGGAGTGACTTGGTCGCTCACGCAGGGTGTCGTCAAGAATATCATCCCTGCCATTGCGAGTACGAATGCCATTGTAGCTGCGAGCAGCGTCAATGAGGCTTTGAAACTTGCGACCAATGCTGCGCCACCATTGCAGAATTACATGATGCTGGTTGGCACAGATGGCGTGTATAGCTTCACGTTTGAGCACGAGAGGAAGCCAGAGTGCCCTGTATGTGGTGGTGAAACGGTGAATATGACCGTCAACAAGGACATGACGGTACAGGAGCTCATCGAACATTTGCAAGAGACGCAAAACATGTATGTGGCTACCTCACCTCCTTTCTGACTCTTTGCTGATACCCTTATAGCCAAATCAAGAAACCGTCCCTGTCGACGTCCTCGACGTCTATCTATATGCAGGCACCGCCAGTCCTCGAGCGCGCCACTCGTCCCAATCTCGAGAAAAAGGTCTCCGAGCTGGTTCCATCTGGCACCGAGATTACCGTCACAGCTAGCACGCTGCCGCTTAAACTTAGCTTACGACTCACGTACTCGTAGCATCATCTGGGATATCTTGTTGTCATGTATAGATAGAAACAATCAAAGTTTTACCAACTCTATAAGACTCAATTAATGTCGTTAAGCGTAACGATGAGTCCTATCACATCCCTAATTACGAGGGGATAATCGGACAAATACTTCGCGGTCGGCCGGGAATGTGCCAACGACAGGTGCGCTTGTGAGCGGGTATGCGATCTTTTGTCCTTCGACCAACTCAATCTTGAACCGCTGGAGAATCGACGCGGTAAAGGCGAGGATCTCGTTCCCGGCGAAGTGCCGTCCGGGACACAGAGTCACGCCGCCACCAAACGATTTAACCACCTTGATACCCGGGTTATATTGTCCCTTTTCTGGATTGTGCGGGCGAACGAAGCGGTCTGGTACAAAGTCGTTGGCGTCGGGTCCAAAGGTGTCTTTGCTAAAGTTGAGGATGCGCATGGGCGACATGACCATTGAACCTGCGTAGAATGTATATCCGTTGATCACGGTGTCTTCGAGCACCTCACGAACGGAGACGGCTCCGCTGGTGTATCGGAGTGATTCCCAATAAATCGAGTTGAGGAGTGGTGCATTGTGCAAGAGGTGGTTGAGATTGACAATCTTGTTGTTTTCGTCGAACGCGGGACCAATTTCCGCCAATAAAGTCGGCTGAAGGGACTTGTTGAGGGCGATTTGGTAGACAAACCAGAACTCTATCGGTAGTGCGTTGGCTTGAGTTCTGTATCTGATAAGAAAGAATCAGAGAATGAAGAGAGACACTCACGCCATCCATAAGCAAAAGTTTGCCGATCCTTTGTCCCACTCTGACGCTCCACGAACTTCCATCATCTCCAATCTCCGCATCATGGGATGATATACCTCGGATGAGCCAGTCCTATTGATATCAATCCATGTCTGAATCATGCTCTCGAGGTTCTTGTTGGCGCGAGAGAGCATCCATTTTGGGAGCCCAATGGACAGCAGATAAAAGTCGAGGTCCCAAATCGCCAGCTTGTGTAACATCTTTGGATCCTTCTCCAGTAGAGCTTTTCCAGCAAATGCGTTTGTCGATTGGATCCCCAATCTCGTTCGTGTCCAGTCCCTGAGTTCTGCCGTCACGGACCCAGCTTCACGAACGCTGCGCTCATAGTCCGCCAAGTCAGAGTCGAGCTGGTTCATGAACCGCTGCGTGATGAGATTTAGAGCATCTCCAGGAGCGAGAGCGTCCCTCCAAAAGGCGTGTTGGTTTTCAGTCATGCCTCCTAGTCCGTCTGGATCGGTGCCCATTTGTTTGACCCCCTCAACTGACATTCCAAACATGGTGGACAAGCCCCATTCGCACACAGGGTCGAACGAGAGTGATTTCGCCCGCCATCCTGCATTCACATCGCGCGCGTTTAGGAGCAACTATATCGGGATTATTAGAACTTGCGGAAACTCCGAAAAGTACGGAGGAGCTAGTCACTCACATACACCCGTTTCCCCATTAGAGAAAGTGACACGGGTTCGGCATTTGGCGACCAATCACTGCATTTCGACCGATCGTATGAGAAAAGGTTGGAGGGGCAGTGGGCAACGTACCGCGCATTCTCGTAGAGCCCGTTCGAGTCGCTTCCGAATTTTAATGCGTGACCAAGTAGAGGAACGGCCCCAGGAAGGAGCGGGGGCTCGCCAGGTCGCGTTTGCGAACCCTTGACGCTCAGACGGATAACGTAGCCAGCGAGGACCGTCCCGAGGAGGATAAACCCGTTGGTTGCGGTGAGTAGCGTCGTAAAGTCCTCACCGTCGTTGAGTTTCATGACAATGGAGGTTGCATTCTGAAGCCATGAGCCAACATTGGGAGAAAGAGTGGTGTCTAGAGACATTTGACGACGAGTTTGAGTTGTAAACTGTGAAAGGGTATCGTTGGTCTGGGAGCGTTGTAGTGGAGGAGTCTAAGAGAGGAAGCGCGGTTCGGCTATGGGCTCGGACGTGTTGAGGACCTGAGCTCACACCGTTAGTACTAGCAGTACCGAACCATTGAATGAGAGTGGCTGGTCAATTTTCACTGAAAGCCACGCATTGCCACTCAGATCAGAATCCTAACCAGGTTGAAAGGCTCAATCACCATCCACCCAACTAGATTGCGATTACTGACGCCAATTAGAATATGCTGCCTGCAATGAATCTCTCACGCCACCACATTGAGGATTAATAACTAGCATACTATGTACATAACAGATAAATTTGAGGTTTTCCTGGTTCCCCGTGGCATTGCAATGCGCGTGAGCATATGGAGCGCTACACCATATTTAAACCACTCACCTTCGAGGATAAGATCTGTATCCTCACCCCTTACACATCTCATATTAGCCTCCTAATTTGGCGTTGGTGGCCACCAATGAAAATAAGGGACGGATCGATGCGATACGGTGTACGTCTCAGGCTCAATCCGGTATTCATAAATAGACCCGATGTATAACTTCTTGAAGGTAGGCCTGAGGACGGTGAGAGGAGACAACAGGTGAGGTTGTCTCCTGCCACCGTACCTCGCTTTATATACATGGGAGCTACATTACGAGGCAAATACTAACCAAACAACATAACTAATATCTCGTTTCAGTACCAAACTCCTATCCCCTTCGGATATCCAAATACCACATGGACAGTGTCATTATGTCTAAAATTACTTTGATCATCACTGAAAAGAACTAGAGATTCATGTCTCAATCAGAAACCTCCGTCGGAGACCATGATTCAAGCGGAAAGGGCGACGACGAGAGCAAGTCGAGTGCGGGCTATTGCGACAATAGCGACAGTTATTCAAATCAATCAGAAGAAATAGTACCAGGAGAGACTCGTCTGGCCCTTCTGGCAACAGTGATAGAGGTGGGGATATTGGGGAAGATTCCACCGAAGGTCGGAAGGAAGGCAAAAGCCTGGCACTCATCGCCCTTACCGTTGTTAGTATATCACAATCTGCTATTACATACATTCATCCTCGCGTCTTCTATATCCCCCATTCATTCACATTATCTATCGGTTTATCTACCGTATTACTTGGGTGTACCACTCGCTGCACAGCACCCTCAACTGTCACCATTTATACTACCTGAAGCAAATCTGTTCTGATTTTGGCAGTCAAACACGAACTCCAGATAAATTTGGGTGAAAGACGTTCAAGAACTGGATGATTACGCTCATAAGCATGCCATACTGGACTCAGAATACTGTATACGACGATCACGTCGGAAATGAATTTTGGCCGTTTGTATCCCTCATACGTCGAAATCAGAAAGCAGGAATGTGTTGAAGTCATGCTCGGGTTCTTTTCAGAATAGAGCTTCTTTAACTTGTTAATGCGTCACTTACGCTGGGTGAAATCTCAAGGATATGCCAGCAGATGTCAAATGGAATCGCGGCTCAGCATCTGTGATCAGCCCACGATGCGCGGTTCACTACTCCTGCAATAACGCGTTGTGCAGAAGAGCAGTACGTCTTTTCCATGGCTTCTCTTTGCATATAATGCATATAAGATTCAGTATTGAGGCGTCATAACGAACTACTGCACGTCGCCTAACAGGGCAAACTGTACCCTGTGTAGAGTAAGCGCCATGAAAGTGGAGTTATCATTATGCTTACCACGTGTATTTCATATTCATCACGCCGCGTTTCTTATGCATTTTTTGGATCTCATTAACCCTCTCCTTCGGCGTCAACTCCGAGAACTGTTCTGGAACGACAGCGGCATCCATCAATGTGACCTTGATGTCGAAATCGTTGAGCATGAGCCATACCCAATCATATCCTTCGGCCACAAGGTCATGCGAAAAGCTTTCGCGGAGCCTGGCGCGGACGGCTTGAACTCGAACGAAGCTATAGTCACATCGCTCCATCAATGCGAAATGTGGTTGCAAAGGCACTTCTATGGTGTTGAGAAGCTTGGAGTATCCCAGTAGTTCTTTTTGGTTGAACCACGTAGCAAAGTATCGTATCCACATAAGGGCCTCCACGAGCGGGCTAGGCCGCGATATCGGTTCGTTATTGTAAGCGGCAATGAGAAATGCATCACATCTCACTACCCATCCCTCGTATGCGTGAGGAGAGCTCAACCAAGTTATGGCCTCTGCGGTTGGAGTATAAGAGTAACGCCGAAGGACACGTAGATAGACATGAACACCTATAGTTGGGAAACCCAGTGGCATTTTTTTGACAAATTCTTTGTTAATACCCTGCCAGGTTTTCAAGACTACTGACGATTTGCTTGTATCGAAGCCGTTGGCCCGCCAAAGCTCCATTACCATATTAGCGGCGTGTAGAATGTCTTTCGATGATGTATAAGCTAGAGAATCTACGGGGGATGGAAGAGGCCTGAGTTTCTGCTTTTTAATCGAGGACCTGGTGAGGCCAGCATTCGTGAGAAGCCGGACGAATTCTTGGTAAGTCTTGAATCCAATAGCCTTGACAGCCTCTCCGAGGAAGTCTAAGTTACCAATTGAAACGGGGTAAAGCTCTGGTGGGCGGGAAACCACTGCATATTGCTGTGCCCACCCTGGCTCGGTGCAAAGGATGGCCCGTAGCTTCGTAAAACTGATGCACATTCCGACTAAATCGTAGTTACTGGAACCAACGATAGTCAATATATTGGAGAATATTGCCCGATTCAGTTCATATAGCTGACCAAGGTGCATGTCAACGCAGACTATGTCATAACCGCTACGTGCTAGGGCTCCTAACATGATTTTGTAGCCCTCTCTATTGGCATAGGTGCGCCATCTGCGAAGGATATCCCTAATCACGAACGGCTTGAGACCAGACTTTCGATGGACATCAAGGATGTTCTTCATGGGCACCCCCTCCTGTTGTAGCTCCCGTGTAAGGCGATGGGAGGAAAGGAGACAAGCCAAATTCTCGTTGGATAATTGGCGACGTTCACTGGGGTCCCGGGGCTTGACGAGATGAACGACGTAGAGGGGTTGTTGAGAGTCCTTAGTTGATCCAGATGGTTGCATACTGTCCTTTTCCATCTTTCTTAGCATGGAACGGCAGTGTGACAGCATTTGCATTGTTTCGTGAGTATTCCTGGATGCACAAGTAAGAATGCGACATGTTATCAAGGGACACTCACACGTCAAAGAGGCCCATTATACACTGAAGCACGCTTTTTTGCTCACGCAGAAGACCTAATGACGTCTGCAGTTCCGTAGTCTTTGCTTTCAGCGTGTTTCCCGACAGCCGCCCGAAAAAGGGTGGCGAACAAAGCAATTTTATATAACTATCCAACAGGTTCAATAAATCCCAGAGCGTAGTGTTCATCGCAAACAATAGGATGTCGATGGACCACTGATTCTCTGCAGAACGAGAATCCGACCAGGATAAGGAGAGTAGAAGTTGCTCCCGAAGAGCTATTGTAGATATTTTCACCAAATGAACCTCGACTGAGAGTGCCACAAGGGTTATTTCCGGGTCCTGCTGAATGCTCATCGCTCGGTCCAGCTCGTCGCCAGTTCTAGCAATTCGCTGTAGTATTTCATCGATTATTCCGGCTTGAGTGTGCAATTTTGACATGCTTTAAGTGAGCTTGGCAAAGTCGCGGTGGAGAGGTTCAATGTTTCATTGGGCGAGACTGGCCACCTTGCCGAGCGCCGCGAGTGCCACTCAGCTTGCCAAGTAGCACTCCCGGGACTTGACCTTATCTATCCCCTATCGCACTCTCGCCAACCAGCCCCTCCGGCATTACTCGTCAACCTCCTATAGCACTTACAGTAGAACTGAGACTTATATTCGTCTAATAAGTCTCAGATTGTCTCTACACATAGAGAGGAAGTAATGTGGCACGTTGAGCCCGCTTTATACGCGCTCTCGTTTGGGCTGTCTGGCGATAACTCGTAGATTACACATATCTTCCGCTAATCCTCTGTAGAAACCCTAAATATCTAATGTGACGATACATGTAGTCACCTGCATCTCAATCGTATCGGGTGACTGGTGATGAACCCAATCGGATTGTTACTAGATGTATCACTGCACCAACGATAGTTTTCCATTATATAATGGTTATTCGAACCAATTCCATCCTCACCGCGGACACGTCATATTGTGGTCAATTCCAAAAGTTTGGACTCGACTTCTGCCACCGGAGCCACTATGGCGTCCATGTTCTCCGCTGCCGCGTCGTTTCTAAATCGCACGAATATATCGCAAAGCTATACAATCCTAACACCGGGACAAAATGCTGCTCCACCATCAAACTCGGGCCTCCCTTCACTTCCAGTTGGGCCACCTTTTCAAGCTGGATTATGGAATATACAACCAGCACAACATAAGATCAACGGAAAGCGAGTGAGCGTCTGGACATTTGAAAAGAGGAGCCCAGAGATGGATAGATTGGGACAACAAGCACGAGACATGGTCCTCGAAGCGTTAAAGGCAGAAGTAAGCTTCATAGTCGCCCTATCTGTTAGATGGGTTCAAGCTCAAAGTTTTCGCTTCATGTAGGCGTCTGCTCTGCGGCGACTGCGGCATCCATCCATCCTTGGTTAGTCGGCGCGCTCTTTCAGCCCCAAGTTTCTGATTGTGTTGTCAGAGATGGTGGAACCGTTGGAGGAAACGCGCTCAATTCTTACGTTCGCGACGGAACCGCTGACTTCAACGCTCCAGCAAGTCATTCCGACATCCTCCACTCATTCGCGTAATGCAGATGATAACAACGAGTTGGACGAAATAGAGGTACTTATAGTGGCACCTTAGAGACATCCATAAAGTGACACGCGGTTGTCAGATTCAGAAAGGCGTTCTGCAACTTTCCAAAGGTCTCGCGTTTCTCCACCAGTCGGCGAAAGTGGTCCATACAAATATTACTCCGTACACGGTCCTTATCAACCAGGCTGGAGATTGGAAACTTAGTGGACTGGGGATGACGATCCCTCTCACGAATCCCGACGGCACCCCGACACGCTGGGAGTTTCCAGAGAGTCATTCGAGTCTTCCTTATTACGTGCAGCGCAACTTCGACTATATGGGTACGTTTGAACCGGATCAGTTTTCGTCTTCTGACAGCTTCGCAGCCCCAGAATACGCAATTGACGAACAAATATCGACTTCTTCGGACATGTTCGCATTGGGTTGCTTACTTTATGCCGTACATAATAAAGGCTCCCCACCGTTTCGCAATCACTCCAGTCTTTCAACTCTCAAATCGAACATGCAATCGGGAATACAACTGCGGGGCATGGAAGGCTGGGATCCAGATCTTCGGAGTAAGTATCGCCTATTTGTGATGGCTGATCTCACGGCATTCAGGTCTGCTATCACAGCTCATCACTCGATCCCCGACCCACCCAATTCCTCGACCAACGCCGGAGACCATCCCCCAGAATTCCTTTTTCAACTCTTTGCCCATCAGTACTCTCAACTTTCTTGAGCGCTCGAGTTTCGCATCAAAGTCGCGAGAAGAAAAGATTGCGTTCATGAAGGGGCTAAATGGGGTCCTTGACCGATTCTCGAGAGGTCTTCGAGAGCGAAAGATCCTGAGCGCACTCCTAGAAGAGGTAACTCAACCTGGCTTCTCCTTTCATGGTCTGACCTCCCCAGATGAAAGATCCCTATCTATTACCCTCAATTCTTCCCAACGTTTTCACCATCTCCAACGATCTTTCGCCTTCCCAATTCGCCTCAAGAGTGCTACCTACTCTCAAGCCTCTCTTCGCTGTCAAAGAGCCACCACAGAATATGTTGACACTTCTTGACAATCTCAAGATGTTGCAGGAGAAGACGGATGCTGCCGTCTTCAAAGAGCGTGAGTTAAAATTACCGATATAACCATATCTGAACTGTATCAGATGTTCTTCCGCTTGTATACAACGCCCTCGAATCCGAGCACACTACTGTATGTCCAATGTCTGTTTTGTTTCGCTTATTCAATTCGTTCTAGGTAGTAGAACGTGCTCTCGCAATTGTACCAGACCTCTGCGAAACAATCGACTATAACGAAGTTCAGAGCGTTCTTTTCCCGCGAGTTGCGGTGAGTGCTACGACCTACAATCCACTGTTTCTAACCCCTTGACAGCTCGTTTTCACCAAAACCAAAATTTTGAGCGTCAAAGTTAATACTCTGGTCTGCTTCCTCAGCATGGTCAAAACCTTGGATACGAGCAGCCTAACGCAAAAGTTGGTACCACTACTGGCCAAGATTCGGACAAAAGGTGCGGGATCACCGGAGGCTTGAAACGGATTATTGATGTCGTCGATCACAGAGCCAGCCGTGATGGTATGCTTAGAGTCGGTTCTAATACTCGCTAAACGTCTCTAGATGGCCACTCTGAATGTGCATGAGGCGATGGGCTTCAAAGTGGATCGTGAAGCGGTGGCTACGCTCGTGCTTCCTCATCTTTGGACAATGTCCATGGGACCACGTGAGTCTGTCACTTAGCTTGCTACGACTATTCTGACGGCACCAAAGTTCTCAACGTCACTCAGTTTGCGCGGTTCATGAGGTGAGTATATCATCGATTCTGGGTCAGACTGACACACGATTAGCGTAATCAAGGCGCTAGGGGAACGAGTTGAGAAGGAGCATGGGCAATACCTCCGCGATTCACAACGCAACGAAGATAGATCGGCAATAGCAGATCCATCTGGCATGTCGACGCCGCAAATGGGCGGTACTATAGACTTCCAGAGCCTGGTGTCTGGCAGCGCTGCGGCAAAATTGAATGGATTAGCAGCAGCTTCCACGAACGATGGTGCAAGCACCGGCTCCTGGGAGGACGCTGTTTGGGGTAGTATGCTTAGCGGGGCAGAGGTGAGCTAGATTTTGATCATAAGACCCGATCTGATTATTTGCAGTCACCTCGGGCTTCTACTCCCAGCACACTGGTTAAACGTTCCACCATACCAGCCCCGCCATTGCAGCATACTGCAGAAATCAAACCATTCTCGCCTTCACCTGCATCTAGACCAATCTCGACGCTAGGAACTACGTCAACAATTTCATCGCCAACTACCCACAACCCGTCTCCCATCCTTCCACCACCGCCCCGCAATAACCTAAACGCTTCGTTTCATCGAACGCAATCATCGCTGTCCACATCTTCAACACCCAGTATTACATCAATTCCTCTTTCCCAACCTATAGCGCCCTCGCCATTCGGCATGATGGGTTCATCGAGCTCAGTTATGCAACCAACCACGACACAATCAGCATTCAAGCCGGCTATTCCTCCACCACCCTCAAACAAGCCGAATTACAATATCAGTATTTCAAGCGCTCCATCGACGTCAACGTCCATACCGCCACCTATTCCCTCTTTCCCTATCAAACCGACATCCTCACTTACTGGACCACGATCCACAAATACGCCTCCTCCACCATCTATGGTGCCTATGATGTCTACCAATACGGGTATGATGGCGCCGGCTGCACCGTCTCAACCATCTTGGAACGCTATCGCACCGACCCGGATGATGCAGCCGATGCAACCGAAGAAAGTGGGGAAAGATGATTGGGGTGACTTTGATCCGCTAGCGTGATCTAGAAACTATTCTTATTGATGGAATACACTACATTTGCGAGTCCGCCTTCTCGAAAGCGTAAAAGCCACGAGGACACTACCTTTGAGTCCAGGACATGACCTCGTTCCATTCCCAATCGTTCCCCCAGAACCTATGAGCAGTCAACTTTTAGAATAAAACGGAAAGCAGCAACATACCCCGCTCCCAGGAGACCCCCTACTCCCATTCTATCAGTGTTAGGACCGGTAATGATCCATTCCGGAGTGGCGATTCCAGTTCTCAAGGGGAGTAGACGCAAGATTCTCTCCCAACCAGCATCATCGGTCGCGGATGTGAAGAGCGTCAATTGCGAGCAACGCGGTCGGTGAGGGTGTAAAAACGCAACACCTGAATATCCTTCAGCATTCTAGGGTATAAAAGGTGATGAAGACATTACCCAAACCAGGCTCAGAATATTCATGCCCTCGAAGCGTCCAGCCTCGATCTGTAAATTTGAACTCCGAGGGGCGCTTGGCGAGAATCGATTCACCAAATTTATTTTCCCGACCGCCGAATATCATCATAGGAACGCACCGATTCAGATTGTGACTCTCATCGTCGTCAAACATGACTTGTGAGTCGACGCGAAGATAAGTGAGAAGATTGAAGGATATTCTGAGCGCCATATCGAGAAGCTTTGGTTGCTTCCGTGGTATGATGATGAACAGCGGACCATTGGAAAGGATTTGGGACATTGGTCCCGTAAGACGGGGTAGCTCTGTCGGGAACAGAGTGGGCTGAAATCGTGAGTGTAATACATAGGAGTGAAGTTCGACGTACCTCCCATGCATTATCCTTCTTGATAAACCATTTCTCGCCTCCTACCCAGTGACTCGCAATTTCAACTCCGTCCACCTCCAAAAATTCCAAGCGAAACGGCTTCTCCCATAGGTCAAATCTGATATTGAAGATTTGAACGTTCGCCGTGGAAATGAAGAGCTTGTCATCCTTTCTTGAAACGAAAATCCTCCCCAATCTGCCTGGTACTGACATTTGCGCAATAGATATGCCCCAAACATGACCACTTTCGCTGGGCAGAGCCGTAGTGACGGTCAACTGTGAGGGAGGCTCGACGGAAGGAAGGTTTGCCACTGCGCCATCAATGAAATTTTGAACTTCTTGGCTGGCAAGTACCTCATTCCACCAATGTGGCTTATTGGGCACCTCGTGAAAGCTGGAAACTGTAACATCAGACCAATTTATATCGAAAATGGATATAAAAAAACAAACCTGACGTTCGCGTTTGGATACCAATGTTTTACAACAGAGACGAGCTCGCGACTGTGCCAAGTTGGCACATTTCGGTCGTTTCCTCTAAACATGATGAGCAGGCTCCTCAAAAAGCTTCAAAAAATTACCCATGAACAGCGAGAATTGGTGTGGAAACTAGATTCGTGAGGAATAGGTCGTTATCATCTGGCTGCAACGTAGCATCCAGGATCGCTCTTAAAGTCACGTCTGCAAAATGTGCCCCGTGTGATAGTCCTGTTGAAACGTATTGCTGAGACTTGATGTACGCAGCAGCGGGAACGGCTGATAGGCCTGATGAATCGGTGCGAACCGTCATGGATGCCCACTCACCAGCCAGGACACCAGAGGGGAATCGTGAAGCTATATACCAGACCCCTTGACCGCCGTTAGAATGGCCTATCAGAATCATGCGTTGTTCCATGGTAGGGCAGGCATTCCATGCCTCGCGAAGATGCAGAGTCGCTCTCAGCGCCTGCAACGACGAGGTTGCACTCTTAGCGCTGATCCCATGCCAGTCGAGTCCCTGCAAATCCCTCAATACTAGGGACATGCCACGCAAGAAATTACATACCCATGGCGTCCCGCCTGTTGGAAAGACTACCCAACTGGAGGACTGCCTTCGCACAGAGCTTGTCCATACAGGATGATCAGCTTCTACGCCAGCGCCGTCTATATGATTTTGAGTATGTTAAACCGTTGGTGAACGTCAGATCTTACGCAAAGCAACCACCACAGGCGCTTGTGGATCGCATTTTATAGGCGGCTTTGCCATATAGTATGTTGGAGTGCCAGCAAGTAGATATGTGCCTTTGTACACATATTCGCTGTCGACTGTCCAGGCCGGTTTCTGCACCATTGGAATTGTGATATCTAATTCCAGGGAGGGTGCACCGCCCCTTGAGTCTCTGAAACGGATCAAGAGGGATACACTGTCACCAGTGTAGCGCTCGATTTGGTGGAGCGTGAAGACTAAAACACGAGCTTGGCCAGGAGCCAGCCTGACTTGCACAGGCAGCCATGATCCGGCATGGAATGCCTATTTTGATCAGTGGGGTGCCTTGTCCGTGCTCCATACTGACCTTTGTTGTGGACTCGATGGATGCCAGCTCCCATGATTGATTGCCGCACATGAATCCCAAGCCAATAAACCCTTCCGAGAACAACCATCCGTCCACCAAGTCCGGAATCAGGTCCAGCTTTGGCTCTCGCCTGATGCCGTCTGATGGATCAATGGTTGAAAATTTCAACGAGGAGCGGTGAATGGGAGCCTCCGATTTCTCGACGTCTAGCGGATCACCAAAGAGTCGTATTTCATAGTCAAGCGATGCAAAAATATGGTAGACTGTAGTTTCGTTGCACTTTGGGGCGGTAGGAAACGGCATGACCCCCATTGGAGCGCGAGCAAGGTCATAGATGTTTCCAGCGTGCCACTTCAGCGTATGATTAGCTGTTATCTCGGGAGATATCGCGAAGAAGGAGACTTGGCGAAGCTCTGCTTGAAGCATGGGCGGGGTGCAGCTCTCCCCTTGTTCAATCGGGGTAAGGACAAGCTTGCTGTGCGCAAGGGTATGGTGCTGAAGACCTGCCCACCCTTCTGTCCTTCGAAGTGCCTTCCAACTGGAACCGTCAGGCAACGATAAACGAAGCAGAGAGGAGCACGAACTCAATGGTCGGGTACGCAACCGCCAAATTTCCATCTTGCAGAGTCGCATTTGACCAGCCAACCATTCCATTTTCCACCAGACTCGAGTAGTATTGCTTTCTGGTGCCCGTAGTCCACTCGTCCAAGTCACTGGCTGATTGAAATTCAATAGCTGGGAGGCTATAGCCATGCGTTACGCACAATCTAGTGGATAAAGCGGATTCAAGTAGTGTTGCTCCCTTGCATGTTGCGGAAATGGGCCCAGGATGTCGAACACGGGGTCGAGTTGAAGCTGCCAGCCCGGTTCACGAGTAGACAAACCGTAGCCAGGCTCATTATTGGAGACTTGGAAGTGCAATGGCACATTTGTTGCCGCCACGCGAGCAACCGCTGCGAGCCCCGATGCGGTCAGGAGCAACTTCATGAAGCTGGCTCATCACGAGCAAAAGTGTTATGAAAGTCTAGAAATAGCATATAATATGCTACTTTACCATGTTTAAATGAGACGTGAGGGTGAGCTTGCAAACTGCATATTACTCTTGGACCCGTCCATAATCTTTTCCAGCCAACATGGACGTGCGTGGCAAAGCCAATCATCAGAGAACATACACTGACGCTTCTTCATACTTTTAGCGACTCACCGCACTCCAAACGGACGAAGACATGCTCAGCGACGTGATCCCAGACAGCAAGCAAATCTCGCGAAGGGTATGGACGAGCACCTCACTCTTTTTCGGACGAAATAATGACACGCAATGACGCGTAGGAAACGCCGGAAGACGCAGAGGAAGTCGACATTCCAGCAGAGGACGACGAGGCCAGTGATGACCAGGAAGTTGATGAACTCGACGAATCAGATGGTGATGCTGAAGGTGATGGATCGGTGAGTTTTCTCTCCAAATTAGCTCTCCAACGCGCCGCGCAACGACCGCTCATGGGTCCCCTTTTCCTTTTGAACAGGCACTGTCGCCCTCCAAACAAAAGCGGCTTGAAGCCAAGAAGGAGACACAGGCGAAGAAGCAACGAAAGCGAGTTCAAGACGGAGAACTCGATAATCGGAGACGAGAGGTGGAAAAAGCGAAGGCATGTATGGCGGAGCTTAGCACGCTGGACCTTTCAAGGCGCTCATTCTGACCATCGCATGTCGCCAGGTCGCAGATTCTTTGAAGCGTTATTCCTATCTCCTCGGTCAAACAGAACTCTTCCAACACTTTGTGGACATCAAGGTGAGCCATTCGTGCCTACGGTTTGGCTGTAGTCTCAGGCACGAGTCAGCGAGCGGCAGACCCAGAGTACGCTGCACTCTTGGATAGTCAAAAGCCAAAGCGACGTGGTCGAAAACCGAAGAACCCTCCGCCTCAGTCAGACACTCGACACCGCAAGACTGAAAAGGAGGAAGACGAGCAACTTCTCAAGGACGAAGTACGTGCCGAAGATGATGACGACCAACCATTTGTCTTCGAGCAGTCTCCAGCCTGTACGTCCACGAGGCTCCGCTCACACTCACGTTGACCTGGCCACAGATGTCAAAGGTGGAGAAATGCGTCAGTATCAGATCCAAGGTTTGAACTGGATGGTCTCGCTCCACCAAAACGGTCTCAATGGTATCTTGGCAGATGAGATGGGGTGCGTTTGTCCTTTAGCTTTATTTGCCACTTGCTGATACGCTGTAGTCTCGGAAAGACACTCCAAACCATCTCATTCTTAGGCTACCTCAAGCATCTCAAGGGCATCGTTGGGCCACATCTCATCGTAGTTCCGAAGACGACCCTCCAAAACTGGGCCCGCGAGTTTGCGCACTGGGTGCCCGACTTTGACGTCGTCGTGCTCACTGGCTCCAAAGACGAGCGTGCAGAAATCATTCGCGACCGACTTTTGGATTCAAAGTTTGAGGTCTGCATCACCTCGTATGAGATTTGCCTCATCGAAAAGTGGGCATTCAAAAAGTTCTCGTTTGAATACATTGTCATCGACGAGGCGCATCGTATCAAAAACGTCAACTCGATCCTGTCCAAGATTGTCCGCGAGTTTACCTCTCGCAATCGAATGCTCATCACGGGCACGCCGCTCCAAAACAACCTTCAAGAACTCTTCGCGCTCCTCAACTTTATCTGTCCCGAAATCTTTACGGACTATAAAGATTTGGAGAGCTTCTTGCATCATGATGGAAAGCAGACGAAGAAAACGAGTGACGACGAGGGTGACGGTGCCGATGAGGAGATGGCGGACAAGAAGGAGCCAACTCCAGAGCTTTCCGAAGAGGAAAAGAGTAAGAAGGTCGTCGAGGCTCTCCACAAGATTCTCCGTCCATTCCTTCTCCGTCGAGTCAAGGCAGACGTTGAAAAGAATCTCTTGCCAAGTATGTCGTTTTTTATGCGCCATTTAACAGTGGCTAAATTTAATCCAGAGAAAGAGATCAACATCTACGTCGGTCTCTCCGACATGCAGAGAAAGTGGTATCGGTCTGTGCTCGAGAAGGATATCGATGCGGTCAACGGTATGCATGGTTTGAGCTCGACTACCCTACTCTGACCCCATTCAGGCCTCACCGGAAAAAAGGAAGGCAAGGCTCGCCTCATGAACCTTGTCATGCAACTTCGCAAAGGTAAACATACCACTTTTCGTCTACATGTGCTAACGGTTCTCAAGTGACATGCCATCCATACTTATTTGACGGTGCTGTAAGTTGTTGATCCCCTTCAACCTCGTCCCTGCTAACCAGCTCAAGGAACCGGGCCCACCATATACGACCGATGAGCACTTGGTTCAGAATGCAGGCAAAATGGTCATCCTCGACAAACTTCTTCGCCGAATGAAGGAGAATGGTTCCCGGGTTCTCATCTTCAGTCAGATGAGTCGTATGCTCGATATCCTGGAAGACTACTGCCACTTTAGGCAATATGGTAATGACATTCATCGTTTGCCTAATCTTTGTGCTGACAGGACCTAGCGTATTGCAGAATCGACGGTAGTACCAGCCATGACGATCGAATTACCAGCATCGACGAGTACAACAAGCCGGGTAGCGAAAAGTTCATCTTCCTCCTTACCACTCGCGCCGGTGGTTTGGGCATCAACCTGACGACTGCCGACATTGTCGTCCTCTATGATAGCGATTGGAACCCTCAGGCAGATCTACAGGCAATGGACCGTGCTCATCGTATTGGTCAGACAAAGCAGGTCTATGTCTTCCGATTCATCACGGAAGGTAGTGTCGAAGAGAGGATGCTCGAGAGAGCGGCTCAGAAGTTGCGATTGGATCAGCTCGTTATCCAACAGGACAGGAATACTGCAACAAAGGGTAAGCAAAGCTCTTACTCCTAAAGACTAGTATCTCAACTTTATTAGCCGCAAACAAGGAAGAACTCCTTGACATGATTCAGCACGGTGCCGAGCAGATTGTTAGTGGAAACGAAAGGTGCGTCTGCTTCAAGTCGTGCTCGGGCCCATCTTACAGTCATTAGCATGATGATTGACGACGATATTGACGACATTATCACTCGCGGAGAAACTCGAACGGCAGAACTATCAGCGAAATACCAAGGTCTCAACCTTGAAGACCTTAACAACTTCAAGTCGGAGATGACCGTCCAGAAATGGGAAGGCGAAGACTTTGGTGGCAAGGTAGGATCCCTCATGATCGAGGGCTGAAGCTTACGCTACTTGTAGAAGAAGAAGATTGGTCTCAACTGGATCGAGCCCGCCAAACGCGAGCGCAAAGGCGGAGGAGTTGCTTTGCAAAGCTACCAAGCCGGCAAGATTGCGACACAGAATGCTGCCAAGCAAATCAAGATACCTCGAGAGCTCCAGATGTGAGTACTCATCAGAAGCTCGACAACGTCTAATTCTCTGCAGATGGGATCATCAATTCTATCCACCAGGCTATAAAGACCTGCAGTCACGTGCTCTTGCAGTCTGGAAGGTGAGCGGATTCTTAATGGTGGTGATACAGTGACTTATTTGCAGCGAGAAAACGGTATTGTCGCTACGGCACGTGACGCAAAGGAGGGCGAGTCACCAGAGGAGGTGGAAAAGGAGCGATTGGCCGAACAGGAGCTTATCAACAATGGTACGTGGGCAGCCACATATTCCGGGTGTCTCTTCTAATGTCGAGTAAAGCTCTACCACTTTCCGCCTCTGAACTGGATCAGAAGAACAAGCTGATGGCTCAAGGCTTCCCCACCTGGAGCAAGCGCGATTATCAGCAGTTTGTCAAAGGAGTGGAACGAGTTGGAAAGCACGACATTGAGGGCATCGCACAAGACATTCACGAGAAGACCGTCGAGGAAACAAAGGCTTACGCCGAAGTCTTCTGGCGCCGCTGGCGTGAACTTGAGGGTGAGTCTTGACGCTACCCATCTTTCATCTTCTAACGATGCATAGACTACCCTAGGATCAAGGAGCGATTCGAGGAAGGTGGTGCAAAGCGTGACGAGCGTCTTCGCCAGAGTGCGCTGCTCAAGGCAAAGTTGGCGGCGGTACGCTTCCCGATGCAAGAGCTTCACATCAACTATGGGGCCGTGAAGCAAAAGATTTACTCCGAGGACGAAGATCGATACATTCTCTGTCGCATTCACCATTATGGACTTGGGACAGACGACTTGTACGAAAAGATCAAACGCGACATTAGCGAGTTTCCCCAGTTCCGCTTCGATTGGTTCTTCAAGAGCCGCACACCACAGGAGCTTCACCGTCGCGGACAGCAGCTGCTTGCGCTCATCACCAAGGAGGACTCGAGGGAGGAAGATGACTTTGGAGACGAGATTCCAAAGACGAAAAAGGTGTGTAGTATAGAATGATGATCCCTTTGATCTGAAACACCCTCCAGAAACGCACTTTTGACCAGATGAAGGAAGAGTCACGCGCCTCGACTCCTCTCGCTGGAGGCTCTCGCGCCCAGCGTGCTAATAAGCGTAGCAAGAAGGCATGATCACTCGATACGTTTGTTTCATCACTAGACATGTATACATAGAGCCTTATATCAGCATCTGGACTTGGTTAGGAAGTGTGATTTGAAACTGGAAACTATCGTAGGGCAGCTTTTGACGGACCAGTACTTTGACTTTTCCTAGCAATCCACATTGGGAATCTTGGAGCTTTGATGAACTCATCTGAAGTGTAATAACAATGTTGCTGAGACTGAGTCAAATGAAGGATGATCTACAGAGCCCCACCTTTGTAGCCAATTATGTGAAGACTATGTGTCGACCCACACGTTTGAGAAGTCTCCCATTGATATCGATAATGTTCCCACGTGAGTCGCCAAAGCCTTGGCCAACGGGTGGGTAGTTTTTGAAGCGGGGGGAGTATTGTCGCTCCCGCTCCTGACAAATCACAGTATTCTTGTATATCAACTCGTCTCCACGTTGATTGAACCAGCCCTTGAGTGCTGGTGCATGGCTCTCCTGGTCAATCCCATGCGAAGAGTGGAGCTGGAGCGAGTACCACGTTGGATGGCTGAAAGAGTATATACTCGAGGGACGCTGAGCGTGTGCGGTTGTCATCGAGTTACGTCGGAACCTTGGTGGCTGGACATCCGTTGCGTACCCACCGTGATAGTCTGAGCGCCCACGGCTCGGACGCAGTGGACCATCGATGTATTTGAGACTGGTAGCGTTGTAGCGAGTGTTTTCCTGGACATCTGGATCAAGGTCCCTGTTTCTCCTTTGTTGCCTCTCCAGAGCGCGCTGTCCATCAAACGAGTGCGGACGTTGGCGACGCACGGTACGCGGACGGGATGGATTGTCGAGGTGGCGAGGATGCTGGTCGTTTTTCCTCTTCGCGAGCGCAGCTTCTTCCTCCTCCTGCATAATCTCCCGTTGACTTTTGTTGGATGCTGGGTAGAGGGCATCATCGGGTTTGCGCTGTTTGGATTTGAACCGAAAGCCGAGAAAGCTGAGGAATCCACTGCTCTTCGTGGGCGATTGAGAATTTGATTTGGGTGACTGGTGACTGCTAGGAGCCTCCGTTGGTGCCTCCGCCTTTGCTGGGTCAGATTTGGGTGATTCGGGTGATTCGGGTGACTGGTGACTGCTGGGAGCTCCCGTTGGTGCCTCCACCTTTGCTGGATCAGATTTGGGTGATTTGAGTAACTTGGGTGACTGGTGACTGCTAGGTGCCTCCGTTGGTGCCTCCGCCTTTATTGGGTCAGATTTGGGTGACCTGGGTGATTCGGATGACTGGTGATTGCTGGGAGCCTCCGTTGGTGCCTCCGCCTTTGCTGGGTCAGCTGGAGGGGAGCCAACCCATGAGACGCGCCCCTTCGACAGGGGAATTGAATCGCGGGCAGTATTAGATGAGGGACGGCCGTGGTGTGGGTTGAGGTGGAGACTCTGCAGATATGAGGGAGAGGAAGAAGGATCATAACCTGCTAAATAGTGCGAGGAATCGTGAGGAACAGCGATGGTGGTCATAGTCATTGCGGGAACGTAGTATACCCCTGTATCGGGATGCAACGGGCGCGAGCCTTGAGGAACCGTTTGATGAGCCAGGGGTGACTGCGGTGGACGAGCCAGACCGCGAATGATGACCTCTTCGTGAGCTGGCAGAAGAAGACCATTCGCGGACAATGGGAATACCATCGCTGGTCGTCGACACGTACGTTTTGGACCTTCGTCTCGAGCTTGGGTGAGAACCTGGCCAGGGGGAAGAAGGGCGAGCTTCAGAGTCGGGCGTCTCTGGTTGGTTCAAGGTGCTTTTAGATCTGGAACGCGGACTGAGTAGGTCCATGGCAGAGGATTCGATTTGGCTGGTGGGGGGTTTTCGAGGCCACAGCATATCCAAGGGATTTAAAGCCATTCCAGATCTTGCGCCTGTAGAAATGGTGCTGCGGATAGTTTATAAGCCGTGGCGGCCCTCTTTGCCAGCATACCTGTATTCCGAACATCAATTCAGATAAGCTCCCTGATGCTCATAATCCAAAAGTTCCGCAACGAGGCTCGGAATCAGCCTTTTCGCCAGTTACCGACCCTGAACGGGTCAGCAGGCAGCTTATATTGCTTCCCTATATCCAATACAACCCCTTAAATGGCAATCAACGAGATCCCATTTCGCATATGTACACGATCCGACTTATCCCAGGCTTATTTGGGGATAGTGACTCTTGGACAGTGCTGGAGCGCGGCTTTCCAGAGACCATTGACAACTGGCTGAGACGTATCCTCAGAGAGTTTCTCCCTACCCCCTTGTAGCGTATCCGAATCACCAACGATAATGCGGCCCAGTCGAGCTCGCGTCCACGCGACATTGAGTCGACGCTCGTCTGCGAGAAAGCCAATAACCCTGCTGGTGTTGCAGCGAACCGTAGAGAAGATGACAATGTCGGCCTCTTTGCCTTGAAACCCGTCAATCGTATTCACTTTGACGTCGGGAGGCACATTCTCTTTCAACTTGTCCAGCTGTCCTCGATATGGTGTCAAAACCACTATGGAAGTGGGTTCTTGCGGCGCGGAGTGAGCGGAGGGTGATCGGAGGAGTCGAACGATGGTCGCGATGACTTTGGCTTGTCCAGCGTTCATAAATGACCGCCGGTCACAATATTCGGGCTCGGAACATGAGACAAAGGCCTCTGGTATAATCTTTCCAGTCTTTGACCGTGGCCACGGAAACGACGTGGATGCAAGCTTCTCGTCCAGATTTCGTATATCGGTTCCAGTCTTTAGCTTGCCTTGGTAGAATTGTTGAGAAGGAAAGCGCGCCAAATGTTCCGGGAAGCGATACTGAATATCGAGCATAGACCTGCTCAGACCATGCAGGTTCGGTCCAGTATATAGTCGCTCAAAGAGCGACATATCCCATTTCTTCTCTAGCAGGCAGAGAAGTGACTCTAGTCGATCGCCACTATAGCCTCCACTAACAAGTATGTCAATCCTCCGTTTGATGGCGGCCCGCAGCTTCTCGGGCATGTTCTGGACAATGGGCCTGAGCTGAATACTAGACGCCCATAAGATTCGTAAACTCTCGATTACAAAGCAGACTCACTGATCTCCGATCAGAATCGCGCGAGTGGAACCTTTGACCAAGGGGACCAACGCGTCGGCTTCTGTAATTTGGGACGCCTCGTCAATAATCACGTCGCGAAAGTGAATCTTGCGAAGGGCTCCTAAACCAGCGCCAGCACATGTAGAAAAGACGAGCTTTGCTTTTTTGATTCTCTGCTCCGCCTTTTTGATAAGTTTGGGATCCTCTGTCGGGTTGCCTCCAAGAATTGCTTCTATGGTATACTTCTTGACAGATTCATTGACCTTTTCATAGTCGGTCGCGGCTCGGACTATCATATCGTCCGCTATCCAGCCCTTACTATCGTTTGCTCGAGCGAATCGTTCAAGTACGTTGTCAACGGCTAAAGAGAAAGGTCAATTTGGCTTCTTATGTCATCTTGTACACACCGTTATGAGTGGAGGCCGTCATCAGTATCCGCTCACTGTCCTCCAGCGTTCGCACCAGCAGTTCAAGAATCTTCACGGCGACCGTCGTCTTCCCTGTGCCTATAACGGTGTCAGTATAGGCAACACACGCGAACGAATTACCTGGTGGGCCCCAAATCAAGCTGATGTGGGATTTGTACGAGTCTTGGACGGCTTGTTTCTGACTAGTATTGAACCCATCCCAGTTCGTTTCCGGCATCCCCTGGGCACAGTTGACTGGGGGAGCATCGGATCCGGAAGCATCTCCTGTGATGATGCGATGGAAAATTGGTGCCTCGCTTGCTCCCATCTGCAGCCGTTCGACCGCATCCAGCTTGGCCCGAGCATTCGCAGTGCTCCCACAGTCATACATAGTCCACTCCATCTCTGCGTATTCGGGAGGTGGGTGATGAAACAGTTCGATCTCCAGCTGATATTGACCTGAGCCTTTGACGATACCATCCAGGATCTCCTCCTTCCAAGAGGCAGGCTGATTCTCGGGTTTTGAAGCGGGTTGGAGGCGCACATGCGAATATAATCTGGCAGAAGATGGCTTGTCGACTCGTATTTCAGCCACTACCACTGGCGTGGTCGACGAAGCGGCCAAAATGTCTGCCCCTTCGCCCCCCTCCTTTGCAGAGGCTGCCAAATTTGATGACTTGGGGTGAATGCTCACTCGAACGGGTGTAGTCTGTTGCTTCTGGATTGGGTATCCTTGTCCGTTGCAGATGCAAAGTTCTGCTGCCTCGTATGCCCTCTCCGAGACAATTTGTAGAGCTTGAGTGTGAGTGTACTGGTTGAGTTCTGTGGCATTACGCCCAGCTCGCTGATTATCCAACAGGACTAGGAGGTCTTGTACCAAGTCCGAGTGGCGGACGACCATGGATGTAGCCCAAAGTGTGTTGGAATACTGGCCAAAGTCTATGGCAGAAATGTCCTGCTGGAGCTTTTCGACAGCAAATTGACATGCTTGATGCCCTTCATTTGCAAATAAAAGAACGGCATCAAGGATGACCTGACGGATACCATCAAAAGGTCGAGGCAGCATGTCTGTACCACCTGTTAGCTGTGCATGAAGCACCACAAAGACAAGCTGGGGATAGCGCAGCAGCCACCGAGCTATATCATCGATCCCAACAGATGCATTACCCTGCAATGCCCGAAAGATGGTAAATGAACGCATTTCTGCGTGGTGGCGTAGAGAGAACTCCATAAGGGCATTGAGCTCATCTACTCCGAATGCTGTCAGCACCGCCTTAGCCTTTTCTTCGTCTGCGGTGAACACCGTCTTCCACAGATCAGGTAACTGACTCCATTCGACATTGGAAAGAGATTTTCGAGTATATGGTGCTGGGTCAGCGACAGATTTTAGTCTTTCTTCTGTGACAACGCTAGAGAACCCCCAAAACCGTCTCAGCGATGCGTGGAATTTGAATGGAGCATACCTGTCAACCCTGAGATCGAATATTTGCTGTGCCAGTCTATCTTGATTGGATACTACATGTATCTCGACATCAACAACTGGGGTCCTGTTGATCCTTCCGACATGCTGTACCATGTTAGTATCATGTGGAAGTGGCAATTTATTTGATACTTTTTGCGCACGAGATGAAATCTTGTCAAGGGCAATGCTGACTTGAAGCTCGTATGCGGCATCAGCTGGTGCGCGATTGATGAAGATCCAAGTATTCCCAATATTTTTATTAAACAACTGGAGTAGACCATGACTGCAGCGTAGTCGATAACCATCAACAGTGCTTTTATCTGAGATTATTTTCAGCCTTTCTCCATTCAATCATGTTTGACTTACACAGCGACATGCTCTGTCCTCCTGTTGGTGTAAGTGCAAAGACGGCTATTTCCTTGTTCACCAGCTGGTCTTCATTCCAAGAAACGGGGCCTCGTATGAAGATTCCAGCGGAGAATCGGTCGTCAGTCTTGATGATAAGCAGACGTCTTTTAAAGTGGTCCATGGAGCGCTTGAGATATTCAAAAAACCCCGAAGGACAAACATCCCTTGTTGAATACAGTCGTTGGAGCCGTAGTGGAGGCTCCCGAAGATCTCGTTGAAAGGCGGATTGAGGAAGGATATTTGAACGCATCAAACTAATAAATTCATCAGATTAATCGATCAGGTATCGGAGACCTTGCCTAATCCATAGCGAGGCGCGTTCCTCTGCGTTCATCTCAAAGGTATCGGCTATAATTCGCTTCTCTGAGTCTCGAAGCGAACTGAAATCCATCATTGAGTAATATGGGCGGAGACTTAATGAGGATCTTCGCGCAAGTCTTTGGGCCAATTGGATGGTCTGAAACTCGGTCAAAGAAACTCGAGGCGAGCCAAGAAGTGCGATAATTGTTTCTTCATCCGTCCCTTGTTCGACGTAAGCTTCTGCATTCTCTTCCTTCTTGAGCCACTCCTCTGCAAAGGCCATCCCCTCGGCCCACATTTGGTCAACAATAAAGCGGGTAGGTCCTTCAGGTACACCCCTTAAACGTTCTGGAATCTTGATGGAGCCGCCATCAACGCATTGGGAGTAGAGGGCATTGAGGTCTTGACACTCTTGACTCTTGGCGCCTTCTGGATGAAACCTCACCCATTGCCAGTATAGTCTCGCTGTCGTACCCATACTGATGCTAATAACTTGGTTTAGAAGCTGGTTTGAGTCTTGACACCATTTCTGTACCTGTTATAGTTTGCAAAGTGTGCAGCCAGATCCCGACGAGTGATGACACTTTTCTTCTTCTCTTTGACTGGAGGATAGAGGTAATGCTGTCAAATGGTTAGATCTTTCCATGTGACTGAACGTATATACCTCGAAAACTCTGGATGGAATAAGATCCTTGTCCCAAATGATGGTGTACTCTACCTCAGAGTCAGAAAAGTTGGAAAAGTGCTCTAATCCACTTGCCATCACCATCCAGATCGCCTTTATCACGATGAGAAGAGATGAATCTACCACAATAAAATGGCGTACCTCCAGAGCTGAGCGAAGGAGCGGCATGTCTCCCCTTTGAGGCAAAGACGACGCAATCGACTAGATGACGTAGCTCCGGCTTATCAACCGCTCGAAGTTTGAGACAGTCACCTGGTTGGGGGTCAACCAGACTCCAATGTCCAGAGGGCAACATACCAGGATGCATACAAGGATTTCGGAATATGAGGACTGAACATGAGTGAATTGTTCGTGGCCCGGCGTGTGGCATTGTGACGCGCACAAACACCTCACCCTCTCTGAGTATCTGAAAGGGGTCACATACTCCAAAGAGACGACGAGAGTTGTTGACGAGGACACGTAGTTTCTTCTTCTCGATATCTACCTTCTTGAACTTTTCTATTTCCTGCTTCAGTGCCTTTTTTAATTCTCGTTGGATCCCAGCTGAATCGATTCCTTCGAGCAGAATTCTCTCGACCAGAGAGTGCTTGTCAATACTTGATACAAAATCCAATGCGGACGACAAGTTCGTGCAGACGGTTCTCAACCAGCTCATATAAGCTCGAAGTTTTCCCAGTAGCACTTCGTCGCTGATCCCAAGGGACGAAAGGAGGGCGACAATTTCGTTGTTCAGCCTGCCGTAAGTATATGGAACCGAATACTTGATAATCGAAAGGGTATCATTTGGAACGCCTGTGAATTTGCGCATACTCTTTCGGAAATGAACGTATCCGTCGTTCTGACTGTCGAGCGGAGGGTGAAGCATTAGAACGCCCTTGTATCCTTTGTATCTAGGGTATTCATAAGTCAATATATTATCACCAAAATGCAACATACCGTATTTGGAAGACGGAGGGTACGTATTTAACCTGACGAAAGATGGCCTGTTTCTTCTTGGCTAAGAGCCTTGCATAGGCCTGAGAGATTAGGCCACAACCATCGCTGAATAGCGTATCGCCGACCATCAGATCGGGGATGCTGTACAAGGTCATCAATGTCCGATGCTCGAGTCACTGGTACCTACTCGCGAGTGTGAGAGGGATCCAATACCGAGTCTTGTTCTGCAGCAGAGAATAAGAGGCCTATTCTCTTCGCAACTAATGAAGGCGTCAATAAGTAATCCCCGAAATCAGTCACTTACGTTTTGCAGGGCTATCAATGGATTTGAAGTCTCCGAGTGAGAGTATCCGGCTGTGAATATCCGCTTCTGACCGCCCCTGTCGTAAGAAACAACTGTGGCTTCGCAATTGGCTGTTACTGTGGCCATAAAAGAAGTACTTTTTGCCGTTGAGCGTCACCCCAGAGGTCAGACATCTGGCGATATAGTCGATATTGACCTTTGGTGCGACGTCGGGAAAGCGAAGTGAGCCAAAAGAGGCCAAGAGGAAGAGATGTTGATCGTCTGTTTGAAGAATACGATTTTTTGGGAACTCGTTGAGACTTAAAATAATCTTCTCCGGAGTGAAGGAGATGTGTAGGCCGAAGTGGGCATCTTTCTCAGTGTCATAGGGCGATGGGACTTGCGTGACACCGTTGAAGATCCACTCCACCTCCAAAGGGTTTGGGTTTTCCCTAAGAATGACTGCTTCGGGCGACATCGAGACAGAGAGGTGGTCAAGGCGAGGACCCCACTTCTGAATTGCCAGGCCCCTGCTGTCGGGAGCCTGATCAATTGAAGTGTGACATTCAAGTAGTTTTCTCTGCTCCGCACTTCATCTCCATCTGATCCGCGCATGCGCATCGTTGGCATTTTCATCACCGGTCCTTCGTCCACAGGGAAGACATTTCTATGCAATGCTCTGAAAGCGCGATTAAGAGATATGGGGATCTTAACATACCATATTTCTGAAGTGGCACGAACCGTCATGCGCGAACAAGGGTTCACACGCAAGGACGTTGGGACCCTAGAAATGCAAAGAGCGATCCTTAGGGCACAACTACATGCAGAGGAAAACGCTCTTACATATCTTATGTCTAATATTAGACGAAAACGCCCACAGGACGATGGATCTTCCGTCTCGGTCTTACTTTGCGATCGCTGCGCAATAGATCCCATCGTATATGCAACAATGGAATTGCCCGGGAATCTTGTAGACGATTTGATGACCGAATATGGACTACGGGATGCCCTTGCGAGGTATAGCGGCCGTTCAAAAGCTTCAACAAAAGGGAACTTCTCTGAGAAAGGCACATATATAGACCCCTTGGTCATCCTCACTGACGGTGTAGACGAGTGGAGAGTCGACGATGGAGTTCGAAGTCTTTACGACCCCAAGACTGTCGCTGTAACCTTCCGTGACGTCCTAGCGAGACTAAAAATCAGCCATTTGGAGCTTGGTGAAAATATCAAGGATATAGAAGAACGTGTGGCCTGGGTTATGACAGCATCAGGGCTTAAGGACTAAGGTCGTAGAGGCGCGAAAACAATGTTATAAATGTGTTTGGAATATACGATAAATAACTTTCCTGCCAGTTGACTGCCGACATGTGGCTGACGCGGTCGAGTTCAAAGAGGTTTGAGTTTGCTCACCACATCGACAGGATGAGGACCGAGGAAATGCATCGACCCACGGAATATACACACATGAGAAACAACCTAGAGAGCGAAACTTTCTGCAGTCTCCACAGACTTTCGCTCATCCAAATATTTCTTGATATCCGCCTTTGCACGTTTATTCGGCGGAGGGGGAGGAGGGGCAGGCCGGAAATAGGGCTGTGAGAGCCAATGTGGAACAAACCTCACACCAGTCGAAGGGTCGATGTGTACTCTACCGGCGTCTGTGCCCTCGGCAGCTTTCATATCTGCCTGTGAAACAGTTTAGATTCAAATGACACGGAAATTCCGAGATATGCCAACCTGTAGGCGTTCTTTAAGCTCCCGAACAATCAGCTCGTACGCTTCTAACCCGCTGGCCATGTCATTTTCTGAGCCGGGCTTGCCCTTTGGGTTTGGGACTTTACTCATCTTGGTTCGCAGATCAACAGCCGTCGCGAACCCTGGTCGAAGTAACTTGAACAAATGGCCTTTGACCGCACCCCAGTCCGTTGGTGTTTTTTGCTGTTTGACGATCTCTAGATATTCCAGGGCGAGATCTGTAATCGGAAGATGTTCCAACGAGATATCAATATCCTTATTCCCCTTTTCCGGGAGATCCAGGTCCGTGGCAAAGAGGGATGGACGGAATAAGGCGGGGTTGTAGAGGTTGCCTTCAGCAGACATGACTGCGTCTGCCCCGGTGGCTTTGAGACAGGTCTCTATATCCGAATAGTAGAGGATGTTTCCATTGGCGAATACGGGAACTGAAACGGCTTCCTTGACCGCCTTGATCTTGGCCCAGTCGGCTAACCCCTGCTTTTGTTCAGTAATAGATTGAGTTGATTTACACAACTCACCGTATTGACCCCGCGTTGTTCTCGTGTTCGACCGTGACAAGTCAAAATCTGCGCACCGGCACGCTCGAGCATTTTGGCATATTCGACCGTCTTTTCCACATCGGGGAATACTCTAAACTTGGCTGTTACGGGTATATTGAGGTTAGTATGCAACGTATTAACTGCAGGATTGTCAGGGGATTGTCAGGGGCATTTCTCGGGCAGAAATGAACACCAACTTATTCGATAAATTAGATCCCAGTCATCCTGCAGATAGGCACCATAGTAGCCTCGCTTCGCGATATCCTGAGGGCATCCGAGATTGATATCGACCGCATCGCAATATGGCTCGAGAATCTTGGCAGATTCGAGAACCTGCTGTGGATCATTGCCACAAAACTGAACTACGAGGGGTCTATCAAGTTTTTCGTTTCCTTCCTCTCCGTTTAGGATGCTAAAATTGAGTTCTCGAAAGGTTTTGTTGCGGATGGAACCAAAGTGCTGCGGGCAATCAGATTAATCACATTTTCAGGGAGACCAAATACTTTTGAATTGATCATGGGAGTATATGCTAGCTAATAACGTTATCACGCGGCCTTAAATGGAGCAGTCTTGACTTACATGAGCACCGTAACGTCGACTGAGAACTCTCCAAGCCTATATAGGTGAGGATTGTAGTTTTACGCATAATTAGACGTATTCACCAGTTCACTTTGATCTACCATTGGCGCCACGACAAATTTTGGGCTGCCCAAGATCTTGCGGTAAAACTCGTAACCGCTAAGCTTGCGTGAAGAAACTGTTTGTGATTCCATTTCGAAAATGATGCCCAGTATGGACCTTTGAAGTCCTCGGAGGACTCTGTTCGCCTGTCCGAGTATTTTGCTGGAAGTGGGGAAGAGCAAGTTTCGGTTCCGAAACTCGGCTGTTCTAGAAGGCCCACAGCAGATTCGCTTGTTTCGGGTATTGTTTTACACCAGAATCGTAGTACAAACTCTATAGAAGCAAGCTTGGTCCTGACCAGATTATGTTCTTCTCTGGATAACTTCATGAACACCCTTTATCAGTACAAAGCGATTCATATCTTGAGAACATTCACTGTCTGCTACCCGACATCGCAGCTGCAGGAACAGCAGCCCTCGATGAATTCGATTGCTCCTCCGCCCTAGAGCCAAAAGTTTCCTTTTCTGTTTATCAAATGGCGCCCACTCGTCTACTGCAATTGTTGGGCATGAAGATGCGCCGGTCCCATTGAAGTCGCCCAAAGGAAGGGCGAGCAAAATGGCGTTGCCAACTTCAACGCGTCCATCCAAGGAGGTACGGAATCAAATTTATGTATTCCGCGTGCTCTCTGGACCATTCTGGTACATAAATGCTTCCGGTGTAAGGCCAACTGCCCAGCGCGCTGTTCCCCCTACCCTACTCCTCTCACCTCTAATACTTCCTATCTAACGGTGCCATAGGTGGCGCGAAGATGTACTCTAGGCAATCAAGGTGAGCAAGGAGGCAATTGCAAGGTAGTTGCTGACCAACGGTAGCTTTGTCGCTCAAGAGACGAATGAGCACGTTGTGCTCACTGCCAACTTCAACCGTCGGAACTCTAGCGCCCCGTTCTCTCTCTCTCGCCAAAGCTCTGTCATTCACAGACGCTCGACGCTAGCCCAGCTGACGACCATCGACTTTGAGCACACCGACATTACCAGCGCTCGTCACAACAGTGACGTTCAAGGCACTCCTATTCTCGTTCGAGTCGGCCAAAAGTTCTCCACGCTGCTCCCGAAGCATGCGCGACGCGTCCAGGAGCGACGAAAATCTTTGAAGATTGACATGAGGACGGAGATTCGAGTCGAAACGGATGGATTGTACCTTGATGATGATGTTGCAAGCACCCGAAATGGCTCATCTCTGAGCATTGCTCGCACGCTCCCTGAAGACGACTCTTCGCCACCAGCGGATCTTTATGGTACGCCTTGGCGCTAGTACCCTATTCTCACTAACGCTCAACTGTAGCCGTGCCTCATGACCAAGAGTGCTACGCAAGAAGTCAACAAGTCCCATTCCCACTTGGCTCGTGCAGTCGCGATGAAGTCCAGGCGCGAGATAGTGGCGAAGGGCAACATGTACACCATACTCGGGCTTGTTCACAACCAACCATGCATAGATATATTCCAGTCTCCCGCCTTGCTCAGAATCAAAAGGCATCTACATCGGCAGCAAAGGGCCGTCCTTGGACAGCAACGTCATCGGACTCTCCAACAAGTGATTCGATCTATGTGCCCACAGTGCCACCCAAGAGATCTCTGGTCCGCGTTCGCGTCCGAGAATTGTTGAATCTTCTCCTTGGCGGAGAAAGAGGCAATAAAGCGCAAAGAGCTAAAGCAGCGGTCGGCGTTGTCCGCCAAGCGTCGCTAAAGCGCAAGAATACAACAAGCAGTCGAAAGGCTCAACCTCACTCGCCTACTATTCGCGCACGCGTTGCTCATCAGATGCATGGCTTCAGCGACAAAGCCTCACCCCTCTGCGCAGAATCCGGCTCGCGGCTCGACTATTTCAGGGCCTCGACTCTTCACTCCACAATACCACAGTCGCAAATCTAGTCTGCCAAGCTTCCTTCCTATCTCATAACCTCCTCGTCCTCTACGATATGATAATGACTCTACGAACACTCACGAACTCACTCATCATTGTCTCTTCCTCTCATCCTCCATCTAGCATGTCCCAGGGGACAGACATTTACACTCGTTTGATACGCTCTGCGCAAGTCGCGTCTCGCTCTTCTGTAATCATACTCGCCAGCTCTAGGTCAGCAACTATTTTCATGTATCACTAGCTCAAATTTCATCAACCTGTAACCATCTTTCTATCCCCGATGAGGGAATGCTGTGCCTTCTAGTTTCGACGCCTACCGCCGTAGAATTCGGAGTACTTGGTCACCGGCTAACCGGAAGTATGCCGTGTGAGACACTATAAAGAGCACTTTGATTCCCACCTACTTCTTGAGCCTCAAACTGCAGATCGCCATGGCACCCTTTGCCCAGAATATGCGCGAGGTTCGACTGGTCGAGCAAGGAAAACGTGAAACGACGAATGCAGATTCTCAATCTCTAGAGGCCCAGTTTGAGGCGCGTATTGACGGAGAATGGGCCGTACTCGTCGTGCCAAACGGTGGTAAGTCGCTACTGATAGAGAGTACATAAACTGATGACCTGATAGGTTATCTTCTGGGTCTTCTTATCCAGGCGTCTACTATGTTTCAAGAAGGCTCACCATTGTCCGAGCCACTTTATCTTTCCGCACAATTTCTGGGTTCCACCTCGGTGGGGCCGTGCACAATTGTCGTAAATAAGATCAAAAGCGGAAAATCATATGTGAACCTTACAGCAAAGCTTGTACAAAAAGTACGCTCACCTTTGCACTTTTCCTTTTCTGAACACCCTTTAGGGTCGAACAAATATCCACTGTCAACTCATCTACGGCAAGCTTTCGGTAGCTCAACATCCCTATGGCGCATTCCCAGCCACCCGAAATCAACTCACGCTCGCCCATCCCTCTGGATTGAGTCGACGCTGTCCGCTTTCTGTCCACCCATCCAAGTGCAGTATCACTCCCTTTGGGCCACCCTTTCAATTCGGAAAGCGTTTAGTTCAAGCTATCGACCCGTATTATATCGACAAGATGGAACGCATTGCAGCACTCCCATATGTCAGCGATTCGGATGGTGGTGACCTTGGTGGTGGGATCTTTGAGTGGGGAGGATGGTATCAGATGTTGGACGAAGAGGATGTGATTACGCCCCAGGTCGTTTGCTTCCTCGGAGACGTAGCACCTTGGATGCTACCGCAATCCATTCTGGCGAAACGTGAGGCCCCAATGTACGTCCACTTATGATCTCGTCCCAGTTGGGCTGTAGTACTCATCGACTATTAGGTGGGTACCAACGCTCGCATTCTCAGTCGACTTCAAGTATCATGTGCCGACAGCGAGTGAAGACGTTCCGGGAATCTCGAAACGTACCATTGGGATCTTCTTCACGAGTAAGTTTCTCATTGATGGCCGACACGATGTCACGGCAGAAATCTGGACGGCACCTAGTGAGATTGGGAGAGGTCACGAAGAACCAGGGTGGCAGGACAAGATGTTTTGCATGGGTCTTGTGAACCAAACCGTGACATGTGTACCCGCCGCGATGAACCTGAAGAATTCGACGTCAAAGCTATAGTTCATTTGACTCTATTGCATGTTTGAATGGCATACCCTTTGCGAGGCCAAGAGTAGACTCGGGAATGTCTCCGTCTGTTTCGCTTGTTGAGTAATCCACAGCAATTGTTTCCCTGACTTGGCGCTTACCTACCGGCTAACCGGCAGGAGTATGCCGTTCGACACTTTATAAGAGCCTTTTAATCTCGAGACCCTGCTCAGGCATCAACTCGGAGTTTATTATGGCGCCTTTTGCAGAGAACCTGCGCAGTGTCCGACTCGTCTCAGACACCAAGCATGATACGACGCATGTGGACCGAGACTTGTTAGAAGCCCAGTTTGAAGCACGTATTGACGACGAATGGATGGTTCTGACTGTTCCAAACGGCGGTGAGTGGCAGACGAATCCATTCTAGTAATGTCATCCCGACGACTTGCCAGGTTATATTCTTGGTCTCGTTATTCAGGCGTGTACGTTGTTGCAAGAAGGCTCACCCCAGCCCGAGCCACTCTACCTCTCCTCCCAATTCCTGGGCTCTACATCAGTAGGACCTTGCACAATCATCGTCAGCAGAGTCAAAAGCGGAAAGTCATATGTAAATCTCACCGCCAAACTGGTCCAAAAGGCACGTCTTCTGGACGTTTCTGTGGTTCTCGTCAACTGAGCGTGATCAATAGGGACGAACGAATTTTCACTGTCAGCTCCTTTATGGGAAACTCTCCGTTGCTAAACACCCTTACGGCTCGTTTCCGGCGACTCGGAATCAGCTCACCCTCGCACACCCATCTGGGCTAAGTCGACGTTGCCCTATCTCTATTCATCCATCCAAGTGTAGTACCACTCCATTCGAACGCCCGTACACATTCAAGAAACATCTCATCCAAGCCATCGACCCGTACTACGTTGCCAAAATGGAACGCCTCGCCAGCCTAGAGCACGCTGGAAATGCTGAGAGTGGAGATCTTGGTGGTGGGATATTCGAATGGGGAGGATGGTACGAGATGGTAGACGAAGGCGACATCATCACTCCCCCGCTCATTTCGTTCCTCGGAGACGTATCGCCTCTCCTCCTCCCGCAATCTATTGCAGCTAAACGCGAGGTTCCAATGTATGTCTATTCTTTCACTCAGGGAAAGTACTGAACTCTCCAGGTGGGTCCCAACGCTTGGACTGTCGATCGACTTTAAATACCACGTCCCAGCACCGGGCGAAACTATTCCAGGGATCGCAAAGCGTACTGTCGGTATCTTCTTTACCAGCAAGTTTTTGATCGAGGGTCGACATGATGTGACAGCAGAGATTTGGACGGCGCCGAGTGCCATTGGACAGGGTGTTGAAGAACCAGGATGGCAAGATAGAATGTTCTGCATGGCACTCGTCAACCAGAGCGCAACGTCTGCGCCAGCTGAGATGAACTTGAAGCACGCAGTCAAGAAAGGTTCAAAGCTATAGTGTAAAAGTAATAGATTAATGGGCGTTACCAGGAATAGTATTGCGGTTTGAGAGCTCGATGGGCTTGCTATCACCAATAAACGCGCCGGGAATGTCGCCCTCCATCATCCCGCTCTGTACGCCCTTGCCTTGAATAGCGCTCAGGAACCCTGTACCTACTGGTCGTAGCTTGAGAACAGTGCCGTCGTCCATTTTGACAATGTGAGGAGGGAGGGGTTTCAAGGCCCCAGTGCGGAACAGATTCTGCCTCTTTTCCAAATCTAGGTCTCGTCAGAGGTGGTTTAGATGTAGCAGAGATTCATACCATGTGCCCACATGGCCGCGCCGATTTGATTTGAGATGGCAAAAAAGAGGCCGACAAGGGGAAGAGATTCTAAAAGAGCGGATGCAAAGCCAAAGACTGAGTCCCAAAGTCAGATCGTGGATCATAATGGGTATGTTGACCTACGTCTATAGTCCCACTTTCTCTCTTCCATATACGTCGCCACTTGCTCTGGTGACATTGACTTGGCTTTAAAGTACTATAACGCCATGAGCGAGTATCTTGGGTAAAATTGGAACCTACCTTGCTGTGGAGATAGCGACTTGTCCCATATGCTCGCATCCACGCAGAGATGGCCATGCCGACAAAAGGGTAGAGTTGTAGAGGAAAGAGGATGAAACGGTTGATGACAAGTCGCGCCCACCATTTGCCCATCCATCGTTCGAGCACGCCTACACCTCCACCTTGACCACCACGAATGGTAGGAGGAATTTGCCATTCCTCTGCATAGGGACCCCAGAAATCTTTTGGTTTGCCGCGGGACGCAATGGTCAAGTCCCATGCACGGTCCTGTCATGTGAAATGTCAAAGGTCTGGAGAGGAAGCGAGTAGGGGGGGGGTACCTTTGCTATACGTAGATTCTTGGAGAGGAAGAAACGGACGATGCCGGACATTTGGGATGTGAGGAAGATCATGGTCGCCCACGTCTGCACTGTAAACATTGACGTAATGTAGGGAATGGTGAAGAGGGATTGAAGTCGAGGAGATCTATCAAAGTTTGTTATGTGAGACTGATAGTGATATGAACGTACTTTGAGAGAAACATTGCTATGAACCAACGTTGAGGGCCGTATGTGAGGGTGCCCTATCCGCAGCATGAAGACTGTAGTTGACACGCTTAGGGATACTTACATAGACAGAGGCGACTGCCAGCCCGCGCAAGGTCCCATTGCGACACTTGTCCTGGCACGGTTTGTTACAGATTGTCTACACAAGTGTTCAAACTTACCCAAACTGGACCACGAATCTTGGGATCTAGTAATAGACGGTATATGCCGACGACAGTGTACAAAGGAGGGATTGTCAGGAGTGTATTCGGCATGGTAGGGAGCAAGGGTTATATAGTCTATCTAATAGTGTATCCACTGTTCGGTTCCATCAGGAGTGATATAATTGATAAGAGACATGCATGTGGACTGACACTCGTACCAGTTTTCCAAAATGGCCCATCCACTTGCACGGCCCGTTGATGCCTCGCCTAAAGAGCATTCAAGCACACACGCGGATGTGTGCTGTAAACCTCGGGACATTTTGGTGAGGTGAGATGACCAGAGACTTGTACTAGAACGCAGTTATCCTTTGTGGAACTTGTAATAATGGACCGACCGGTTACCCCCGATGCTCCATACGCAGAGGCCGTCGTGGGTGGTGGGGCAGTCAGTGATCGGTTCTCCACCGCTTGCCTGGAGTAAGCGATGATATTGCTGTAAATTGCTGTAACAAAGCAATCTTCCAAGGCCCACTTTGTACAAAAAGGCAATTTCACAAGCTCCAGAAGTGTCATCAGGCACACCGCGGTTGCAGACGGCGTTTAGAAATTCTCCAAGTCGGAGTCTTGTTAGGTTTACAGAAGTCCCGTGTGACGCCTAAGGGCCCATGGGGTTCCATGCGAACACGAGTGGGAATGAATGGGCGCCAAGTATCCATCGAAATGGGTTGATAAAATTGCTGAAATGGCATAGAATGTTGAATAATAAACTGGCAGGCTGGCAGGCGGATCTAGTTGGTGGCTAAGAGTGGATGTTTGATCTGGAGTCGACCTCGACTGGCCTTGGTGCTTTCTCCGCTCTCCGACGGCCAAACGACGCCATTAGCAACACTGTAGTCTCATTACAAGTTTACTTATCATCTCCGCAGCGGGCGAGCTGCTCTCGACTTTTCGAATTTACGACGACGCGAAGACGAGATGCCCATTCTTCGCTGGATTGGAGTCAATCCACAGGCCTCGACATCCACACAACACACTAAACCTACCCTTCATCCGCATCCAGACGCAAAATCAGACGACGCCATCCAGCGAGCGCCTTCCGCAGACGCAAAGCGCTTTGGTCTTGTCAACGTACGTCCACGACAACCCCCTGTATCTTCCTTGGAATTCTCGCTTTGCTTGCGGGAATTATCTGGGGCGCTCGCTAACGGCCAGCCCGCCCCTGAACTCACCTCTAGACATCACTCGGCAAACGCAGAACATGGAGCCACTCGAAAGATTTTGCTTTTCTACACCCAACGCCGCTGTTCTCGCTTTCTCCTAACCCGCCGGGGAATATTCGCTGACGCTCGTTTTATTTATTTACATGACCCGAACAGTCTGGCAATACCTGGTGAGTGGATTTCGCTCAGAGGACTCGTTCTCCACTCTGCTCGACGCCTCTTGCCCAGTGCGGTTATGCCCACCTACATATCCGGTGGGAGGTTGGTCGCCTTTTTACGCTTCCGCTCGGCGCACCCGGTCACCCGTCGAGCAGCATTTTTGCACACAGTTGTTAGAGTCTAACATGGTACAAAGGAACTGACACTTGTCCAGTTATGCCAACTCTGTTCTACAAGCCCTTTATTTTTGCGATCCTTTCCGGGATTTGATCATAAACTCGCCTGATCGCTCGTTTCTCTACCCGTCAGAGCCAATTTCATCAGCAACGTCGGCACAAGCATCCCCAGCAGCGAAACAACCCGCCAAACCAGAGACAAAGCCTACAGCCGCGGTACACAAGAGACCAATCTCGGGCAGTCATCCTAGTGCCGACCCACGTCCGGATGCTTCCGCAAAAGCAGATGCAGACGAGGCAGCAAACGCCCAAGACCTGGGTCCCCCCATTCCGGCATCGCCACCCTCCTTATTTTCTGCCCTTCGTTCCTTATTTATACACATCTCCCAACACCCACATGACAAGGGAACCGTCAATCCAAACGCATTCATCACAAAACTACGCAAGGAAAACGAGCTATTCAGGACGACGATGCACCAAGATGCACACGAATTCCTAAATTATTTGATAAATAGGGTCGTGGAAGATATCGAAGAGGAAGACACGCTGCTTAGAAAACGGGAAAATGCAGCGATCGTAAAGGAGAAAGGCGCGACATTAAGCCCGCTCGCCACCGAGGATTGTGCGTCTTGTTCCGTATGGTCCCGGGATTCTAGACGCTGACCTTTATAGTATCAACATCGATAACCACCTCGGCTACTTCGCAAACTCATTCGTCGTCGTCCTTGTCCAGAAAGACGTTTATTCACGACTTGTTCGAGGGCACCCTCACGAGCGAAACCAGATGCTTGACCTGTGAAACGGTGAGAATGGGCGGCTCATACTTCTTCCCCCCTGACCAATGTTGATCGCCGCCAGGTATCACCGCGTGATGAGCCGTTCCTTGACCTATCAATTGATATCGAGCAAAACTCGTCTGTGACCGCATGCCTGCGCCAATTCAGCGCGTCTGAAATGCTCTGCCAACGGAACAAGTTTTTCTGCGACTCGTGCTGCGGACTTCAAGAGGCGGAAAAGCGAATGAAGATTAAGCGGCTACCAAATGTCCTCGCCCTCCACCTCAAACGCTTCAAGTATCAGGAAGAGCTGCAAAAATATGTCAAGTTGAGTTATCGGGTCGCTTTTCCGTTTGAGCTGCGGCTCTTCAACACGGTTGATGATGCTGCGGACATGGACCGGCTTTACGAGCTGTGGGCCATTGTCGTGCATATTGGCGGGTAGGTCCCCTTGTGCCCCACATATTGTGGTTGTTCGCTAACAGGGTTTACAGTGGGCCGTTACACGGGCATTACATCACTATCATCAAGTCACAGGGGTCTTGGCAGGTATTCGACGACGAGAGTGTGGAGACGATCAGAGAGTCGGATATCCCCAAATACTTTGGCGAGGGCGGGAGTGGGACCGGTTACGTTTTGTTCTATCAGGCGACAGACCTTAACCGCGAGGCCCTCGGCCTGCCTCCATTACCCGTTGCATCCATGCCCATGCACGAACAGATCAAACTCAAAGCACAAGCCGGCCCGCCTTCGCCGGCGGTACCCATCTCCATCGAGCCCTCGTCCCCATCTGTCGTGACTTCTGGAGCAGATACGACGCTCGTGTCGTCCCCGCCTTCTCCGTCGCCTGCGCTCACCCGACTTGATATCCCCTCGCAGTCGCCTGCTACCTCTACTCAACCACTACCCTCTCCTGGTCCCGTGTCTACGGCGGCCTCGAGTATACAGAGCCCCGGTGGATTCTTCAGCTCGCTACGACATTCCAAGTCGCTCAAAGCGGACAAGATTGCGCTTGTCGCGGCGCTTAATCCACCCGTTCCTGTCCATCCTCGATCTGCTACTGCGGCTACTGATGCGAACCATCAAAAGGAGACGCATAGAGAGGAGAAAAGTTCAGGTGGAGGGTGGCTTAGTTTTCGGTCAAAGGAAAAGCGACGAGATTCTGTCTCTCAGACGCAGACGCAGGCTACGGGTTCCACCGCGCCCTCTTCCAAAGATTCCAAGCACACCTATACAGCCTCCTAGTCCAATGGTGACGACGGCTCCGGTCCGACGGCCATCCACGGCTGGAACCGGGACGATGGAGCATATACCCTCGTTACCGAGTGCAGTTCTCCCTCTCCCAGCGACACCGTCGCAATTGCATCCAAAGAGTGGTGGTGGTGGTGGTGGTGGTGGTGGAGAATCGAGGGAGTACCGGTGAACCGCTGGGGATTGATGGTTCAGATTCGCTCTCGGGTTCGTCGAGTTGGACTTCTGGTGTTGCTGTCAATGGGGGAGATATCCCGCCTGTGCCAAAGGAGATGCCACCCCTACCACCGGTCCCGACTGTCGCTCCGCCTATTCCGAGCATCACGAATACGGCCCCGACAGAGGAACCACTGCCTATTTTGCCTGCTCCTGCTGTCGATGGAGTTTCGAACTCGTGACGGAGAGTCCTGTCCCGTCGACGTGGTCTATTCCTGGTTCAGCGACGCTAGAGGGGATCCCCGCGTTGGATAAGGGTCCCGCGCAGTTATCTGCTGTGAATCCATCTGCTGATGGTCACGAGAGTGCGCGTGGTTCGTCATCTTCTGTTGCCACTCAATCGCAAGCACCACCGACAGCGTCGTCTCATGTCCCCTCTGGGCCTGGTCCATCCCATCATCAGCAGCTCCCTGTTAGAGGAACAAGGCAGAGTACGAAAGAGATGAAAGAGGCACGCAAGGCTGCAGAGGCTGTGGCGAAGAGGAACAAGGAGCTCGCAGAAGAGGAACGGCGAAAGCTGAAATATGAGCGTGAGCGGGCGAGAGTGGAGAGGGAACGAGCGGAAAAGGAGCGTGAAAGAGCGGAGAAGAAGAAGCGGGAAGAGGAGCATGAACAGCAAAAAGTGGCGAAACGGACGAGTCGTAAGATGAGTCTTGGATTGGGTGGGCTTGGTGGACTCGTTGGTGGATGGTCGAGGGATAAAGACAAGGACAAGGAAAAGACACATGCGACTTCGTCGATTCCGCATTCGCTTCGTACGGGCACCTCGACTGCGCATGCGAATGGGAACGTGGTCAAGGCTGGAGTGGAGGATGCAAATTCTTCGCGGGTGGCTTCGATAGATCAGGATACGCTCCAGCGTGGACTTCGACCCGAGGGCCATTATGTCTCTGCGTTCAACTTTTGATGGACTTTTGCGCGTGGCGACAATCGACGACAAACATCAACTTTTCGGTTTCTTTCTGGCTGGTATTACGAGTTATCAGGCAGGGCTATTGGCGGATCATGTACAACACTTGCAGACGCGTAGGGACCGACGGCTCTTTGCGGCTTGGATCGAGAGTTGCAGGCCCAATTGCTGCGAGTGCTCGGACCCTCTACGCTGCTACACTAATGGACCTTGTTTTTTGACGTGTATCGACATGATGTTGGATCTATGTATGCTTTTATAGATTCACTGATGAATGACTCTTGCCTCGAATGCATTTGGTGGCAGCAGTTATCCAGTGTCTGACTTGTCCTTTTCGTACTTGGTTGGTCGTGGGGCAAGTGAGGCGCTGAAGAGTGTTTATAAACATGAGTTTATCGTCCAGTAAACGCCCTCGGACAGACGGGATCAACGTCTCGCCCAAACGACGGCGGGTCGAACGACAATGGGCTACTCATTTGGTAAGCAAGGATGGCATCTTGATGAAAATCTGTTGGATAAACTGGACAGTGCGAAGATCCCGTTCGAGCTGCTTCTTTGAGCCCAATGAAAGCACTCGGAACGTCCTTGTCGGGTAATAATCAGTATATTCATTCATATAATGGATTATCTGACGTTCAAAGGTCTACATTTTGATGAAACTATCGAGGAGACGGCCGATTTTTTGCTCAATGGCGAGAAACACCCCAGTATCGTCGCAAAGGATACGCTACCGGTCCGGTATCTCGATGAATTCATCATCAGGGACGAGAATACAGGAAAGATGATCTCATTAGATGAGATTGAGTCGGACATCTCTGATAGCTCGCCGTACTTTGTCGGCTGGGTATCTCCCAAGCTCGAGGAGCCTCCAAGTGCAGCAGAGGCTGTAGAGCTGGAACGTGTTTTCATCCGGTCATCGTCTATATTCAGTATTTGGCAATCGCAAGAGCCAGAGGAGAACCAAATGGTCTATGAAGAGAGGTAACGGGATGCTAGCTTCTGAGAGGTGTAGATGCCAACTCTTCGTCAGCTCAATCTGGATTCGAACCGAGTTTAGCTGGTATATCCTCGACAAGCCGGATCCATCCTATCGTGCCTTGTTCAAACAGCCGTACTTGAGGCATGCCATCTTTTTATCCGTTGTGCATCAGGCTTCAAGATACAAGGACACTACACTGGAGAGATTCTTTGGTAATGTCCGGAAGAATGAGATCAAGTGGGCTCGAGAGGATTTGGGGGAGCCCTTTGTCACAGAGGAGGATGTCAAGCGGGTGGTCAGTGCTCTTACGCCACATGGAAACAGAATCCGACGTTTCCAAGATCCCAGACGTTTTGCATCACGCGTTTCAACTAGATCCAAACGAAGAACCCGAGATTCACGAGGTATGTTCTGGCATGTCCCCGAATATAGTATGCTAAGGGGCCATGATAGGTTGCTTATACGTCGCTCTTTCACCTTCTCTGTCAGCATTATGCTCCAGAACTCCTTTACCGGCTCCGAACCTCGCCTGATCTCTCAAACTACATGACAGAGGACAAGAATTCTACATCCGGCTCAGAAGAGTCGATGCGAGCCTCTCGTATTCCTCAAAGTCGAACGAGTCGATATCCATCCGAGGTCATTTCTTCCAGAGGCCAACTGTCCCCCACGTTCTGTACTCCCTTTATCCAGAGGCTAGCGGGGCACTACTTTCCTAGTCTGCGGGTGAGACAAGAAGCTGGTGAAATCTCGGAAGGGGACGAGGTCAACGAGCTCCTACGAACCGCAGACAATGCCGAGGACGATTGGATGCTCGATACATCTCCTCCAGAACTAAATTCAATACTATGGGACCAAAGTCGGAGCATATCATGGCTGGAAATAAGCGGGGAGAGATTCGAGGTGAGGATACAGTACTCGACGAAATCTCTAGTAGACCTTGCTACAGTTGGGAGATGTCGTCTTCATTCGTCCGGACCCTGATCTCGAAGGAAACAAAATTAATCCTCGCATAACCTTTGAGGATGTGCATATTCAGATCGAGTGCGTAACATTTAACAGCAGCTTGCTTTTAATCTCATATTCTGTAGAATCGGCAAAATCATCAGATTCTCACTCGATCATTCCCAGCACGTCCAGGTTCACGTGCTCTGGTTCATTTCTGCCCGCAACTCTAGCCTCGACTGCTCCGAAGAGATACCCGGTCAATCATTTAAACCCATTTCACATCCTCAAGAGCTAGTGTTGATTGATGATTGTGAAAATGTACCGGCCAGCCGCATCATAGGCCATTGCCACGCACAATATCTCGACATCGAGTCAGCAGAGCCAGCACCAAGTCCTCGAGCACGCTCATTCTTCTACCGGTACGAGCAAATCTCACATTTACTGCTGTCTCCTTATCTTTAAAAGTTATTTTTGGAATCAGGAGAACGACGACGCCTATCTCGACGCGTCTGTCTTCCTAGACCAATTCAGTGAAACGAACGTTGACAATGACAATGCGTGTTCATCCTGCCGAAGCTCTACGCGCGTGGAACTGAAGAGCAGAACACGGGAGACCGAAGACGGTGTTAGCGTGGGCGACGTCGAATACCATCTACACGACTTTGTCTACCTCCAAAACAAGTCTCCAAATCTTCCTTATATTATAGGGCAGATTACGGGGATTGACCTCGAAACAGTCTCGATAGCCCGCATGTATCGTATCCAACGGCCATTCAACAACTCTCACTATCACAACGATGTACGTCGACTTGTTGAGGGGGGCTCTCTCGTTGATGTTTTTAGCGACTTCTCAACCCCCCAGTTCGAACCTCTGCCACGTACAATACGCAAGAACTTCAAGGCAAATGCTTCATTGTCAATCCCAATCCAGATGACTTTCGACTACCGGACGATCATTTCGCATGTTCTTTACCTTCGAGCCATCCTCGATGTACTCGATGCCGAAATAATGTGCTTATTCAATCTGGAGTGCTTCACTGCTTGGATCTATTTAGCGGTGCAGGCGGACTTTCATTGGGCCTAGAGGCTTCAGGAGCGGTGCAGACTAAATGGGCAGTTGAGTATGATTCTAGCTCTGCTGCGACTTTCCAGTACGTTCACCATCTCGAACGAATTTGATCTCATATGCATAGACAAGCGCATCCAGATGCCATTATGTTCAATACATGCATTAACAAATTGCTTTCTGGGGTTCAGCAGCGGGATGATGCTGGTGAACTAGATAGGAATAGTCCCCAGCTTGACCAGTTTCCCAAGCCCGGCGAAGTCGACATTATTGTTGGAGGCCCCCCATGGTACGTTGTTCCACTCACTTGTCCCAGAACTGAAGCTTCTAAAGTCAGGGATTCACTCGATTGAATCGTCATCCACGAGCGGACGATGCTCGAAATCAATTGATATTGTCGTTTATGTCCGCAGTCGACCTTCTTCAGCCTACCTACGTCGTCTTGGAAAACGTCCGCGGTCTCCTGACATTCAGACTTGGCGCAATCCAAACAAATCGTTATACGTTGGAAGGAGGTATACCGAGAGGGGTCATCATTCTGGTCAAGCGCCTACTCACGGCAATGAAGTCTGTCGTTTCCTCACAAACGTTTCGTATCTCATGCTAATCGGTAGTTACCAAGTCCGGTACGGAGTCCTCAACGCTGGACAGCATGGTGTGCCGCAAATCCGACGCAGAGTGTTTGTGATCGCTGCAAAGCGAGGCAACTTGCTGCCAGATCTACCTCAACCAACGCATGTTGCGATGCACGCGACACACAACACCGTGACGGTCGAAGAGGGCAAGGTATACACAGTGAGCCGACGTCGGGAGAATAACGCGCCACTCTATGCCGTTACAGTAGGAGATGCCATCACAGATCTCCCACAATGGGAATGGTGATTGTGCCTTTCTGTTGTACTTTCTGCTTACCTGTTTGCTCAAGGGTCAACCCGCACAAGCTATACAAAAGAACGACTCGGGTTAAGCAGGAAGAGCTGGAGCGCAGATGGAAACACGGAATCCTGGCGATAGACGTCAAATCACAGCCAATATCCACCTCCCTACCTGTTTGCGGCCCCGACAGCCCGCTTCAGTATCCGCTCCCTGCTTTGACAAACTATCAACTCTTGATGCGTGAAAGGTCCACCACGGTCACTCAACACTGGACGCCTGCTCTTAATGAACTCGAGATAGAACGGTAGATTGGCCAGTATGGATATGAATTCCACTCACTCCCACCCAGTGTGTGCAACATTCCGTTCAAATCCAAGCGTGGTGATAGAGTGGTTCCGGATCATCACGGTGGGATTTTCCTGCTGGGTGTGAGCTCATACTCACTCTGCCAAAGATCTCCCAAGTCGGCTTCGTAGACCTGGTTGGGCGGATAGACAGCAGCTTGATGGTAAGAATGAAACTAAGATTCTGTATTTGTGCTCATGTCTCTAGGTCGCTATGGTAGACTCGACGCTGAAGACGTATTTGCCACCTCGGTAGGAAAATTGGACCCGAATAGTGATGAGGGGCGGATAATTCACCCAAAGGCAAGCAAATTCGACAGTTAGATCAGGGTTTCGTAACATCCTCCTTAGCTTCATCGAATCCTGACTATCCGGGAGGCCGCTAGGTCGCAAGGATTTCCAGATCATATCGACTTTCGGCACGAAGACAACAACGTAAAGCTCATCACACAACAGATCGGAAACGCAGTTCCCGTTCCACTGGCGGCAGCAGTCGGGCGAGAGATTGCCAAGGCGCGTCGCGCACTGGCGGAAGGACGGGAGGGTTCTGTCGAACTCTGAGGCCATGCTAGCCCATTTATCTCATTTGTAGACTAGATTCTCCGACGGCATTGAGAACTCTTGGAGTGCGATCTAAGAGTGATGGGCAAGAATCAATTGGCGCTGACCTTGATCTCTACCCCTTCCTCGCGCGTCTGTATGGATTCGGTATTTCTCAGCTTTAGGTAATAAATAGCTCACCATTCATCTTAGATTCCATATGAATAAAAGCACTCCAGTCTGCCTGCTCCCTATCGAGCTGCTGTCGTCCATTTTCGTCTTGGTCGTCCGCGATGAGATTAGGGACTACTATAGAGCAGCAAAAGAAGACCAAACGTTCTTCGTCAATGCGCCACTGAGACTCTCCTGGGTATGCCAATATTTCCGCGCTGTGGTGCAAAATACTCCACAGTGCTGGACCTTCACTCAAATGGATGCCGCGAAATCTATTCAAGAGCGGCTCCTCTACTATTCGCTGCGGTGGAAACAGATGCCGGGAACAGTCGTCGCGGAAAATGCGACTTTCAACGGGGGATCTCAACGCTATACCCTCATGTCCTTATTTCCTACTGGCATGGTGGCGGAGTATGTGTATCGCGAGCGTGCAGGCGAAAGGGCATCCTGGTCGCCTGTCGAGCTTCCAATGGCGACCAAAGTTATCATACATCTCCGAGACATTGGGGAGGATTCAGTCAGACACGGGAATTGGACCCAGAGTTTTCGTTACTCGAGCGCGCCAATTCTCGTTGCAGAGATATATAATTGCGTCCTGATGGACCTACCGAAAACCCTTGAAGAGCTCAAATGGAGTGTTAGGACGTCCCTTCGATTCCATCAGCTCGCCGCTGTCATCACCCTGCCAAACCTACGACGACTGCACCTCTGCCATCTAACCTTTGCCACCAGAGCGTTAATGCCAAGACAGAACCCTCTCGTGAACCTGACGCATTTGGTTCTGGAGAATATGTCTTGCCAGCTACTCCGATACCTCTCGCCGCATCTCCTCCCGGCCCTCCGCCATTTGGGGCTGTTCGATTTTGCGTTTGCAGAAGACAGGTTGGAAATGTTTATTCGTGGCATCTCGTCACACCTATCGTTCTTGGATATAGTTGGTCCTCCAGCGTTGCAGCTGAGCGAATGGCGACCTCTGCTGAGCGCTGCGACGAATGTCGTCGAGCTCACGATTGGTATTAGAGGACCGGTGAATGTGATCTCTAATAGAAACTTTCTCGAGGCGCTGGCAGATCCTACTGCTGGTTTGCCTAGTCTCTCGACTCTTGTCATTCACAGCCAGCTCCCCTATCTCCCGCCAGCTGCATTTTCAGATCAGATATCCAGTATTGTAGGGGCTCGTCAAGTGACGTTGGCATGATATACGCGTATTCACCATCGCTTAGTATATAATGGGTCCCTATAATGAGCAATGTAAACCACTCATGAGCACTTTTGAGTTTACTACCGGTCCCGCGTAGAGTCACGCATCTTGGCTCTTAGCCACTACGACCACATCCCACTAGTGCACGCGATGCCACCAAAAGGAAAAGGAAAGAAGGGAAAGAAGGGAGACGACGATGATTTCTGGTAATTTCACTCGCATAAATCTATTGTACACCTTCGCTGACCGCAAATCCCGACCACGTTAGGGCGAACGCGGGCGAATCTGTCGGTGGAGCAAGTGAACAGGCATCTAATCAAGCGCCAAAGGAGGATTTAGAAGAATCTTCCCAGCCAAAGCGCTCTGGATTTGCCGGTCTCGCCGTCGAGGATGACGAGGACGATGATCAGGATAATTTCATGGTGTGTGCTCTCATGAGTTGAATATATGGAAAGTTGACAAAAACGCACACAGGCGATGCTTCAGAAACGCAAAGACAAGCGCAAGGACAAAAAATCCACCAAGGCCGACGACGGTGCGGATGAGCAAGCTGCCTCGCCCGCCGTGGAGGCAAAAGCGCCGACCCAAATGACTGCAGAAGAACTTGCGGACGAAGAATTTGGGCCAGTGAAAGCCAAGGGGAAAAAAGCCAAGGGCAAAGCTCAAGAGTCAACTCAAGACGATAAACCTACGGCTGGTGGAGGCACAGAGGCCGGAGACGCAAGTGGAGACGAAGGTGGCGATGGTCCAAAGCTATTGTCTAAAAAGGAGAAGGAGAAACTCAAAAAAGAAAAGGAGCGGGCCAAAAAGAAGGCACAGGCAGCCGCTAAGAAAGCCCAAGGTGGTGGCGGAGATGAGGAGAGTGCCAAACCAGAAGTAGAAGTTGCGACACCGAGTGCACCAGCTGCGAATGACGAAGACGATGCAGACGATGCAGGTGGTGGCGACGCTGCGGCCAAAAAGAAGAAAAAGAAGAAGAAAGCAAAGAAGGATGACGATGATGATGAGCCTGCACCCGCACCAGTAGCCTCGTCTGGTAAAAAGAAGCCTGCGGGTTTGTCTGCCCTCAAGGCAGCTCTCGAACAAAAACGGCTGCTAGAGGAGGAAGCTAAACGCAAGGCAGAGGAAGAGCAGAGGTATGTGTCGATTTCTACGAGTAGCCTGCCAATTGCCGTGATCCATCACGAGCTCGATGACCCACCCGGGAGCGTTCTTTATGCATGCCATTGGCAGGGTCGTTGAAATATTTCGCTCATTGCTCACTATCTTACATAGGCGAATAGAGGAAGAGGAGCGTCGTGCGGCCGAGGAGGCGAAGCGCAAGGAAGAAGAGAAGCAACGTCGCAAAGAGAAGGAAAAAGTAACACCCTGTCGTTGATATCCTTGAGGTACTCATCATTTGTAGGCCAAAAAGGAGTTGGCCAGAAAGGAAGGAAGACTTCTCACCGACAAGCAAAAGAAGGAGAAACAGGCTGCGGAAATACGAAGACAGGCTCTACTTGCATCCTCTGGAGCAGTCGTTGAAGGGCTTGCTAAGAAGGACGGTCCTTCCACTGCACCGAAGAAAGTTGTCTATGGCAAACGACAAAAGGGGCCCTCGCATGCTGCGACCGGATCAAACGCCTCTGTTGCCGCCTCTTCAACACCAACCACTCCTCGACCACCCTCTCCGATGGCTCTGGAGCCAGAAAAACCAGTCGAGGCACCAGTCGAGGCAGCGAGCAAGCCTGCTGAAAAGGATTGGGACGCTAGCTCAGATGAGGAACCCGCCAAACCGGAAGAAGGTCTGAAGGACGATTGGGATGCATCCACCGATGAAGAGAAGGCTCCAGAACCAGCGAAAGGTGAATCACACGCTCGCTAAGGTAATCATTTACTGAATATCATTAGTCAACGGTGCGCCTAAAGCTCAAGCTTTGGCTCCTGCGGCGAAAGCTGGACCTTCGAAACCCGCGCCTTCGACTCCCGCAAAGGCTGCTGTTGCTTCTGCTGCCAAGTCGACACCGGCACCAGCCACAAAGCCAGGTGCTAAATCTGCTCCAGCCAAGGCGCCTGTTAAACCAGGATCGAAAGCGGCACCACCACCAGAGTCGAGCAGCGAAGAGGAGACTTCGTCCGAGGAAGAAACAGACTCTTCTGAGGACGATTCGGATGAAGATGACTCTTCCGAAGACGAGGAATTGACGACGACGAAACGAATGGAGGCTGAGCGCAAGGCAGCTGCAGCTGCGCGAAGAAAGCAACGTGAGGAAGAAGCGAGAGCAGCTGCGAGCAAAGACAACCTACGAAGTCCGATTTGCTGCATTCTCGGACATGTCGATACCGGAAAGACGAAACTCCTTGACAAGGTATGATGTGGCGGGTGACTTGCTTTCTCTCTAACATTCTTGTAGATTCGTCAGACAAATGTACAGGAGGGCGAAGCGGGAGGTATCACGCAGCAGATTGGTGCTACCTATTTCCCGGTCGAAGCTATTCGAACAAAGACTGCCGTCGTCAACAAGGATGGATCGTTTGAGTTCAAGATTCCTGGTCTCCTCATCATTGATACTCCTGGTCACGAGTCGTTTACCAACTTGCGTTCAAGAGGCAGTTCTCTGTGTAACATTGCCATTCTGGTCGTGGATATCATGGTGCGTTTGCATGATCATCAATTGCCGACAACTATCTGATGGCACTTTTTAGCATGGTCTCGAGCCTCAAACCATTGAGTCTCTCAACTTGTTGAAAGCTGGCTCGACTCCGTTCATCATTGCCCTCAACAAGGTTTGTGCTCTCTCGCCTTTAGAACGCAAATCAACTTTGTGCAGATTGATCGTATGTATGGGTGGAAGCCTATTCCCGATAATGGCTGCCAGGACTCGCTCTCGAAGCAAACGTCGGCTGCCCAACGAGAATTCCAAGATCGTGCTCAGAAGATTATGGTCGAAATCGCAGAGCAAGGTCTCAACTCTCAGCTGTACTGGAAAAACACAGATCCCCGTCGCGTTGTCAACATTGTACCCACCTCTGCGATCACAGGAGAGGGTATTCCAGATATGATCAAGCTACTCGTTGACCTCACCCAAACGCGTATGGTCAATAGCTTGATGTATATCAGTACCCTGGAGTGTACCGTGCTGGAAGTCAAGGTCATCGAGGGTCTGGGCACGACGATTGATGTCATCTTGTCGAACGGGTATCTCAGAGAGGGTGACAAGATTGTCATATGTGGTTTGAGTGGGCCTATTGTGACACAAGTGCGAGCGCTCCTCACTCCTCAACCGTTGCGAGAATTGAGAGTCAAAGTACGTTTCTCATTATGTTTAGTTAATATTTCTGACACACTGCCAGTCTGCCTATGTTCACAACAAAGAGATCAAGGCCGCAAACGGCGTCAAGGTTGTGGCGCCTGGGCTCGAAAAGGCAATTGCAGGTTCCAAGCTGCTCGTCTGCGGACCAGACGATGACGAGGATGAGCTCATCGAAGAAGTGATGAAGCCGCTCGAGGACCTTCTCAAACGCATTAGCAAGACTCAGGTCGGTGTGCATGTGCAAGCGAGTACGCTCGGTTCACTCGAAGCCCTGCTCTCGTTCCTCGAGACGAGCCACATCCCCGTATCAAGTATCCAGATTGGGCCTGTCCACAAGAAGGATGTCAAGCGCGCGATGACCATGTTGGAAAAGGCACAGGAGATGGCGTGCATGCTCTGCTTTGACGTGCCGGTCGAAAAGGAGGCGGAAAAGTTGGCAGAAGAGTCGGGAGTCAAGCTCTTCAAAGGTGCGTTTACTTTGTTTAGGGAGTGGTGATTGATATGGTTGTGCAGCCGACATTATTTATCACTTGTTTGACAAGTTTACGGCCTATCACAATGAGATTACAGAGGCTAAGCGACGAGATGCGGCGCCACAGGCCGTCTGGCCGTGTCGACTCAAGATTATCGCCATTTTCGCCAAGCGAGATCCGATTATCGTGGGTGTGGATATTCTTGAAGGAACGTTGCGCGTCGGGACACCCCTGTGCGTCGTCAACGCCGAAAAGCAGATTATCAAGCTTGGGAAGATGTGAGTATTGATTCAGGTCGACAGGGTATCACTCATTCGCATATATAGCACGTCGCTCGAGATCAACCACAAGCCAATGGAGGTACGTTGACAATAGATGAAAGAATTCAATATTCTAACAGCCTTTAATAGATTGTCAAAAAGGCGCAAGCCGGTGGTGGCGTGGCGGTCAAGATTGAGCATGCCGTCTACGAGACGCCCAAGATGGCTGGAAGACATTTCACCGAAGCCGACGAGCTCATCAGCCTCATCACTCGACAGAGTATTGATGTACTCAAGGTGCGTTACTCTTTGGTACGCTTGGGTCGTGGCTGAGACGAGAATAGGACACGTTCCGTAACGACATGACCAAGGAGGACATTGTCCTTATCAAGAATCTAAAGGCGGTGAGAATCTATTGATATTTGAACAGGGTTTGGATGCTGATCAGAGTATTGCAGAGGCTCCAAATCCCATAGCATTTTCCCGCATCTGTACTTGATGTAGCGTACCATTTCAGAGGAATCAAACATGTGCATATTATCTGCAAAGTCTACGTATCGGGTGTCGCGGTGCCACTTGCACCTTGACTTGTCGCACCCAAAGCCTGCGCCATGAGCGCCTGACTGGCAGCCGTCGCAGCGTGCCGTCCTCGTTTCCTCTCTGCTTCTGTAAGTGTGTCAGGAATGATCCACACGAGCGAGGAGGATGGAGGGATGGCGGACCTTGTTCCTTTTCCCTCTCAATCTCCGCGACAATGGCTTCAATCTCTGAGAGGGCTAGGCTCTACGAGAGCATGAGAACTAGACGTTAAGATAGTGGGAGACGTACCGTCTGGACGCCATATTTTTCCATGACCGTAATCTCAATGTTCTTTGCTCCCGTCTGGACGACTTCTAGTAGTGATTTGACGGTGAGTTTGATGGTTGCTTCGCGATCTAGATTGTCCTTGTGGTTCTTTTCCAAGAATTCTCGGACTGTTTTGGAGGATCGGCCAATGGCGTTTGCCTAATAGAGGGTCAAATGCAGGTCATGTGACAGCTGGATGGCTTCTTACCTTCCATGCGTTGTGAATTCCACTCGGATCGGTGCAGAATAGACGTGGCCGAGGATCATGAGGGTCAAAGCCGGCGATGAGGGTCGAAATGCCAAACGGCCGAACACCACCAGATTGTGTATACGACTGTGGAGTGGATTAGACACGAGCAAGGGACTAGAATAGACTTGCCTGCTGGATCCCAGCGACGTGTCGTGAAATATATTCGACCGTGACCGGGTCCTCGACGGTCAATCGATGGCTCTGGCATTCTACACGTGCTTTATCGATGAGTACACGTCCGTCTGCGGTCAATCCTGAGTGAAATGAGGGTAAGCCACCGTCGACGCGTAAGTGTTAAGATGGTGCACCTGCGAATGCGAGGCAGATGTGGTCGTCAATCATGACTACTTTACGAACTGTTCGTGGATCTTGGAGCTGGAGGACTGATTTCTTTTCCACGCCGAGGACCACGACGTCCTTGCCGCGTACGCCGACCTTTGCAAGCGGTGTGAGCGATGAGCACGCAGGGATTACAAGTGTGAATGTACAGCACAGGTTCCCCTCTTTACTGCCTCCATTGCATATTCGACTTGGAAGAGGTGCCCATCCGGCGAGAAGACGGTGAGGGCTTGCGACTGGCCGTGAGCAATTGCGGGGAGAGCGGGCGATGGATGAACTGACCGCGATCATAAGACCTGGGAGATGTAATCTCAGCAGCGTTCTAGTCGTTGAGCAAGAAATTACCTGGACATGGTTAAACTCCAAGACGCGTGGTGCACAAACAACTCGTTTCTCCGACCCAAACCACGACGACTGCCAGCGCAGAAATACGACAAAACATCGTCGTTGTAGACCCATTTCTGCTACAAAATCGCCAATCCAAGTGGCGACACCCAGCCTCCCCGCATTCGAATACGCCCCGCACCTCGAGTGGGCCCCCACGCCATTTGGCCAGTTAGATTTCATTCTGATCAGGATATAAAGCATGAATCACGTCTCGCCAACGACAAATGCACACGCGGGTACACACCCGCAGGTTCGACATGTGTGAGCGAAGGATCCATGGCGAAACAACGACGACTGACAATGTTATCTAGCAATCTAATGGTCGATACAATCATCACAAATGTCGCCAGCGACGATATCCGAACGCTTGTCCGGGCTCTCCTCACCACCTCTCCCGCAAACGTCACAGACCAGTTTTGCTCACTTGCAAAGGCCCATCTGCATCACATGCCCATCCCTCCTGCTCCCGGCGCTCCAGACTTGTTCACCACGGACCCTAACCCTGCCCCTACCCCGGCATTTGAGACAGTGCTTGCACGTGCCCGTGCACGCTACGGTGCCGGTCTCGGCTCCTCTAGTATCCTCGTTCTTCTCCCAATTGTCGACCTTGCCGCCTCGATGCAGTGGGAAGAAGGCAGCGCAGTCGAAGATGCCCTCTCGATCGTCGACTGTGACATTGCAGCCGCACTTCTCAACGCCAAAGAAGAGCTCAGGCAGCAAGGATCCACCGCAGATGAAGCAAAAGACGCTCTACGACGACTCCGCCACAGCTTGGAGGTTGTAGAAGAAAAAGTCGAAGAGTGGGGTGGCGATTTCCCCTTTGAGCGTTCACAGGACGCTCTCGCTAGTATGGATCTCTGAAACCTCTTTCTCTCTTGGGTCGCCGCTCTCTCGTATTCTATTGGATATCCCCGACGGTCTGCATTGGTCTAAGCTGCATTTGTACACTAGTCGCATACGCTCTCAAAATGTGCTCTATATAACGTTCAACTCGTCTACAGACACCAGGGCGTTCAGATTCCAAGCTCGGCGTTGCTCAAAAAGTGGGCTCCACCACCACAGCGATATCCATTCGCCTGCTTGATCCATCGGAATCCGGCTGGGCATATCCCTAAATCTCGAATCTTTTGCTGGACTTTGGCCTCTTCCCTTCGCTTCCTCTGCTCTTCTTCCTTTTGCCGCTTCAACGCCTCTTCCATCCTTGCCTTTTGTTCCGCCATGGCACGTTCGCGAAGTCGAGCTTGCTCCCGTTGACGCATGAGCTCCTTTCGCTCATCATCATCCTTTGCAGCCTTTGTCGCATCGATAATCCGCTCGACCTTGATCGCCTGCTCCCGTTCAAGTCGTTCCGCCTCACCAAGAGAGTCTTCCAGGGCCTTTCGAGACTCCTCATCCTCTCTTTGCGCGCACTCTTCGGCTTTCTTGTCGGCTTGGAGTTGCGCCCAGATGGCGTCACTCACTCCCGGATCACGGCCTTCTGCGATTGCAGCCGTAGCCTTGGGACGTTCTGGTTCGGCTGGTGCTTCTCGTGTTCCAGTCGTCGTCTTTGTACGGGGAGGAGTCGGTGCAGAGGGTGGGGGAGCCATCGGAGCGTCTGGTAATGGTTGGTGTACAGGTTTTGGTTGAGAGGATTCACGGTTGGTCTTTTGGTCGAGCATTTTAAAGATGCAGTCGAGCGTGTCTTGTGCAGAAATGACAGACTGGCCTTTGGATGAAGTTGGTACCGAGGTCGTAAAGACGTGCGTGATCATTTGTGTGGCGAGAACCTTGAGGTCGCGGGCGTTTCCCCATGAGGGGAGTTTAGAGAGCCGTTCCAAGAGTTCGTGAGCCATACAATAGTTATCGCTCGTTTCGTCCTCAAACGCCTCGGAGACAATGGCTCTCTTGGATAAGTCTCGAGCGATTAACCGTATGCCGTCTGCTGGGTTCATGTTGGAGAAGATGACCTCTTCCGTGAAGCGACTCGAGAGACCAGGGTTCATTTTAAGCAAATCGTTCATCTCGTGGTCATACCCAGCGAGGATCACAATAAGCTTGCCCTTGTATCGCTCCTGGGTCAAACAGCTGACGAGCTCGTCCACTGCCTCGCCAGCGAAATGGTCCCCATTCGCAAATCGATACGCCTCGTCGATGAACAGGACGCGTCCGAGCGCCTTGTCAAGCTGTGCCCTCGTCTTTGGACCAGTCTGGCCAACGTATTGCCCAATTAGGTCCGACGTCGCGCATTCGACAACCTCGGCGCTTGCGAGAAATCCCATGTCAAAGTAGACTTGGCCCATCTTCCGCGCCGTCGTCGTCTTGCCAGTGCCTATCGCGCGTTCAGAGTCGAATATAGTCTTGTTGGTAAGACGCACCTGGTGGGCCCTTAAAAACAAAATTGGTCGGGATCATTTCACGAGGGTCGATATTCCGAGCTCTACAATTCTCCGCCATGTTTTGATACCTCCTGAGCTGCGCGACTGTGCGTTCACTGCCGATTGTGTCTTCAAACAGCTTGGTCAGGTTTTCGCTTGCATTTTGGCTTCGAAGGTAGTCTGGGTCAAAATCACCAGGCTCGAATGGCGCATCTGCATCTATAATTCGCCTCTGCATCCGGGTTTTTGCCATAGAAAGGAGGTTCTCAACGGCACCGATATTCCCAAAGTTGGGTCGGTTTCTTTGTCGACTCAGAACGTCGATTGCAACCTTCTTGGCTTCAGGAGTCGCAGTGAGGTCCTGGTCCTTTAGCTTCCACTCCAGCGCCTTGAGTAGCTCGTCATCGTCGTAATCTGCAAACTCGAATGCATTTTCGATCGCAAAGCGCCGAGAGAGACCTGGATTGACGTTCTGCAAAGATTGGATAAATGAATTTAAAACGAGTCAGGACTCACTTGGAACATGTTCTCCATTTTGTCTCTGTATCCGGTCAACAAGACGCAACGATCCTCTCCTGGAGTGCTTTGAACCTCTGCGACAATGGTATCGATTACTGCCGTCTTGTACGGGTCATTTGTCCCTTCGCCCGGATAGAGCATGTATGCCTGCAATGATCAGATTGTGAAAGGCGAGAATCAGAGAGCCAACCTCGTCAATGACCAGAACTTTTCCAGCAGTCGTGGCTATGATAGCCTTGGTCTGCTTCTCAGATTCTCCAAGGGCAGATCCGACGAAATCCGACGGGTTCTTGACGACAACTGTGACATCGTGAGTGGCCGAATTGTGAGGAAACAACTCGCTCACCTTCGCCATTACTCAATAGGCCGAGATCAGCGAGTATTTGTCCATAGAGCTTTGCGACGGTCGTTTTGCCGGTACCAGGATTGCCGAGAAGGACGCGGTTGAGGGAGACCTCTTGGGGCTTGAGCTCCTTCAGCTCCCGCTCGTAATTGGTCTTGACCATTTTCATAAAGCTGAGTACCGATTGTTTGACTGACTCGAGGCCGATCATTCCTTGTAGCTTTTTCCATGCCTTGCTCTCCGCAATGACAGTGGACGGGTCGGGACCGATGAGATCCTCCTTTGTCAATAGATATTGATCGGCTTGCACCCCTTGCTTTCGAAGGTTGGAAAGCCTCGAAGACTGACGGCTGTGAATCTGGCCGAACGCAATTTCGAGTGCTCGAACATTGCCAAATCCGGGACGTCCGCGACCTTGTCCGAGTCTACGAACAGCGATGCGGCCATGGAGCCCACGAACGCCGTCAGGGTCGTCCACCTTCATGTGTCCATTGAACTTCTTTCGAATCATCTTCTCCAATATGTCCATGAGAACCTCGTCACTGTAGTCTTCGAACTGCAGCGTATATGGGACACGACTTGGCAATCCGGGATTGTGCTCGAAAAACTTTTCCATCTCCCGTGAATATCCGGCAAAGAGGAAAACAATCTTGCCGCGCTGGTTTTCAATCTCTGCTAGTAAGTAGTCCAGTACTTGGCGCCCACTATCGACAATTTGGTATGCTTCGTCCAGGAACAGGATACCACCACCCGCATTGAGTAACTGTTCAATCTGCTTCTTGGCTTGGTCAACCCCTTGACTCGCCATTTTTGAACCAGTTGTCTCAACAAACGTAGTGCCTTCTATGACACCAAGAGAAGTGAGGAAGCGTCCATAGAGCCGGGCGACAGTCGTTTTACCTATACTACAAGGTTAGATCCGAGGTATATCATAAAAGGCAGCATACCCGTTCCAGGATTCCCAAGAAGTGATGCACTGAACCGTTCTTGCTTGAGCAACAACCCTTGCCTCTTGGCAACTTCGACTCGATCTTTAATCTCCAGCAGTTGCTTTTTGACCATCTCAAGCCCCCCGAGGTCCATGATCTCGTCAATCACCGGATTTCTGGCACCTTCGATCTCTTTTTGCCGTTTCCACTCTTGCTCAGATGGAGACGGCGTTGGTTTCTTCACGGGAGCCGGAGCTGCAATTGCGGAGGGTGCTCGAGCTGACAAGCCTGATATTGACGGCCGGGCCTGCTTTGGAGCCGAGGGTACTTGCTTCGCGGGTGACGGCGTCGTCGAAGAGGGTGCAGAGGAGCCAGAGTGGCTAAGATGTGTGGAAGTCGAGGTAGGACTTGAACTGCGAGGTGACGCGGGCCTTGATCCTGGGGTGCGAGATATAGAGACGGATGCGTTAATAAGATCGTCGAGATCCCTTTGGCGCAACTGAATGGCCCTCTCCCTCTCCTCTGCCAATTGCTTCTCTCGAATTCTGCTTTCCTGCTCAGCAATGCGAGCATTAATCTCTGCCATCCTCTGATCATGAGCCCTCTGCTCTCTTTCTCTCTGCTCTTGAGCCTTGAATGCCTGTCGTTGTTGCTTCTCAGCAGCCTTGAGATCTTCGGCGCATTTTCTGCACTTCTTAGGGGGACCTTCATGACAAACCCACTCCCTTCGATGCCCCTTTGGACATTGATCAGGCATGATCTGTTGGCAGTTCATCTTTGAATGGTCGGAGATTTGGTGACAGCTAGATGGACAGTTATGTCCACATTGCAAGAATGCATCACTGAGTATTAGGTCAGTGAAGTGTACAAAATTAGAAGCAGAACCGACCAAGGTTCGGTGCAACCTCCGTCTGGTGCCTTTGCATCAAAGTCATCTGGATGCCTGAGCACTGCAGTTGTCTTTGGGTGCCGCTCGCACCGTACTGGCAAGCCATCGTAAACATGACCATCCTTTTGAAGGAGGTCAAACAGTTTGGGCCATGGGTTGTGCGGCGCTTTTGCTTCGATGAACGTTTGTGCATTGCCAATCATAATTATGCCGTCTTTCGCCCGTGAAAGTAGCACGTTGACTCTTTCAGGAGATGCCATAAAGCCAATCTTCCGGTCGCTATTGCTCCTCGTGAGGGAGATAATCGGAATCAAACTCTCCTCCCCTTGGTAGTTGTCTGCATGCTGTCAGAGGAGGTCATAAGTTTGGAAACTACTCGCCTATGGTTGCAAGACGAATTGGGCGTCTTACAAGCTCAGCAGCAGCAGAGGTCATCAACCCGGCTTTTACAAGATCCGCCGAGTCGAGATCACCAAGGATTGGATCATTGTCCTTCTTCAAGGCATTTTGGAGAGCACGAAGCTGACCCAGGTACGGGGTTAAAATGACAATTTCGTCGGTGCGATAGCCTTGTTGGCCTAGATAGCGGACAATCTTGAGAACCATTTCGACCTCATGCTGATTGCGCTTGCTTGACTTGTGTGACGTCTCGTCGTTCTTGTTATCGAAATGATTGTACTCGATGAGATCGTCTTCGGGATGGGAATGCTGGATGAAGACGACATTGTTTTGAAGGCCCCGAATATCGGCACGGCCTTGTGTTCCTGGCGCATCAACCAAGTCCGGATATGTCAAGTGTCTAACCAGCTTTGAGATATCTGGTCTCATTCGATGCTGGGCTTGCAAAACCACATGCGGATATCCTTTGAGAACTAACCGCTCGAACATTGACCGGTTCAGATCAAATCCGTCCCCCTTTTCAACGGTCAACTTGTAGTTGTTGACCTTGGGACGCAGTTGTCTATAGAAAGTAAGTGGAGAAAAGCGTAGTATTAAATGCATACTTGTGATCCCCAATCAAGATGAGCTGCTTGACGCTCTGGCTGAGTGCTGTCACAATGTGACATTCCAAAATCTCTCCAGCCTCTTCAACCATCAATACGTCAAGTTTAGCTGAGGTGATGTGGTCGCGATATTTTGCCGCGGCGGTGGTTGTGCATGCCACAATTTGCTTCGAACGCAAGATGTGACCAACTTTTTCTTCACGTTTGGCGTCCAGCTCGGTTTGGTACTTGTTGTACTCTCGAGCGCGATCATTGACATCTTGAGCAAGATCTTTGAGGATCGCCTCCATCCATTCCCTGACCTTCTCATCACGAGCAGGTTTGGGCATGGCCCAGATATGCTCGAATTCAAGTGCATGATTATGCGCCTTGAACAATCCTGCATCAAACCCTTTTCTCCATTGAATCAAAAGGTAAAACTTGCCAATACCTTTCCCTCTCTTGTCAACCACGGTTAATCCATCTCCGTCGTCCAAGTCAGGAATTTGAAAGGCGTCGTAATATTCCTCGTCGAAGAATTCGAGATGTGTCATGATGGAATCGCTGTTGATGCTGATGGTCTTGTACCGAGTCGAGACATCACTTAAAACTTTGCTAGTATAACGAATCTTCGTCTCCAAGTCCTGCATGACAGCCCGGTCACCCCAAGTAAATTTGAAAGCTCGGTCTTTGTTCTGTATTTTGTTCAATGAGAGTGACTCTGTCCGCGTTGTCGATTTCCCCCCTAGACGAACCATGCTATCATGCGGGATGCCGATATCCATCAGATCTTCGAGGAACTGATCCAAAGCATGATTTGTGTAGCAGACGAGCAGGATTCGCTGTCCCCCAAAGTCGTGCAGCGCCTTTGCTATGAGGGCTCCAATAAATGATTTTCCCGTACCTCCAAGTAGTCAGTAAATGAGCAAAATTCTGTGAAGAAACTGACCAGGGGGACCTTGGATTAACGATAATTCTTTCGTCAGACCTTCCAATAACGATTTCCCTTGAGACGCGTCTAGACGAATTGGCTTGTTCGTCTTAAGAATCGGCCGCAAATCTTGCGTAGGATCATTCTGTAATGAGTTGATAATTTTATGAGGAATGACGTGACGAGTCTTTGGCTGAGCACCGAGCTTCCAAAACAGGATTGCCTCTGTGAGAGGAATCTCTTTCGTCTCTTGTAGCGCTTGTAGAATTGGCTGGTACGCGAAAATAGCGGTGTTGAGTTGGATAAGTTGTATGTTTGAAAGCGATTTGAGCGTGACGAGTGCATGAACTGTGCTGGCGGCACCCTCGATATGGAGTACCACCTCGGGAGGGGTTCTGACCAGAAAATCTTCATCCCTTTCTATCGTAGTAAGGGCAATGATCTCTTGGTCATTGGCAAGGTATGCCACTGAGAGATGTTTCAGGACATTTCGATTGTCCATAAACCACTTCTTCCGCTTATTGGTGTCAACAATATTCTTCTGCTTGAGCTCACGGAAGTCTGCTCCACGCTTGAGCACAATGCCCCAGCGGACCCCACGCTTTTTCTGAGGATCGGTGGGAAGGTAATGAACATCGTGGAGAGTGAGACCATCCAGGACAAAGTTCCGGTTCTTCTTCCGGGTCACCAGGGCCTGTAATTCGTCGCGTATCTCATACAGCATGTCTTCACGGAGAAGGCGGAACTGATTGTCGAGATACACGGCCTGTCTCTGACCATAATTTTCATCGTCGTCGAACATTGTACTAGGGCGAATAAAAGCGGGTTGCGTAGAGCGAATCTCATCAGCGGATGGGATGACAGCAACCTCCCGAAAGTCGACAAAGTCGTTATCATGTCGTCCCCCGGGTCCAGTTTCAGCGGAGCTGACAGGAGCCGTAACGTGAATCTGATTACGATGCTTGAGCTTTGCGGCGAGGTTTCGAACGTCAATGTCGGCGGATTTATCGAGGAGCTCAATGATACCGTCCTCGAGTGCCACCTCTCGGAAAGGGGCACTATCGTCGTGAGGGAGGATATCGATCAAGGTGAAGAGGAGCCATGCGGCACCAAATTTGCCCTTGTCGTCCAACTCGCCACCCCGCAAGGCCTGGACGAGGGCGTGCCAGAAATGCGCCGGCTGAACGATACGTAGCAAGATACTTTTCAGTATCTGGCCCTCTCCGATGACCGAGAGTCCATCCGAGGCGAGATACTTCAAAACCTTCGCGCCCAGACCATTGCAGAAAGCGGGCTTGAGATCATGACACATGGCCTTGTTGAGAAGATCCATGGCATTTGGTGACCCAACGAGCTTGCCGATACATATAGAACGAACGGGCTGAATGCAGATGCCCTCGAGGAAGTGATGGTATTGCCGGGGACCAAGCTCCCGTCGACCGTGGACAGCGTCTAGGAAGACTTTGTCAAGATTTTTGTCACGAGCTCCTGGTGTCGACATTGTAGGAGAGTTGGAGTTCCAATCGTGAATTTGGTATCCTTAAAGCCCAAGCTGGTCAGGCTCCATCTCACCAAACACGTGTCTCTCTACAGTGTCAGGCTCTGGATGGGGACGAAGGTCAGATTCGTACTCGATGGCCGAAATTCAGTCGAGTTCGCCTGCCCTACTCACATTATCGATTGGGGCTCAGCGCAGCCAGTATCCTGGGCCTCATTGAGTTTGCATCCATGATAGTCCCTGTTAGTTTGAATGTATGTTATAACATGCTGCGTTATCTCCTGGATGGCGTGGATGCATCTTGAATGGCTCACAGAATGCGCTGCTAGAAGAGGGCCGATCGAGATGTAACTGCTGGAATCCCTATTCTCGTACACTTTATATGTCCTCCGTGGCTGTCAGAATGCCTGAGACACCTTACAATACGAGAAACCGAGCGAATGGCCACGACCATCCAAACGACCAATTCCAATCAGGAGGATTTCGTAGAGCACTCAACTTCATATTAATAAAGGCATTATCCGAGAGAAGCCATAACCTTGTGTGAAGTGGTAGATTCCAAGTTGAACGGTCAACTCCCGACGCTGTCTTGGGTTAAAATCAGGCCTAGGATTTTTTAAAAATATTGAATATATTCATAATCCAGATATCAGACCAAAGCTAAGACGGAGAAAAATAACTGGACGAGCGCACACCCACACCACTGACTGCATAGAGATGAGTCAAACCAAAGTCGCAAACGAGTTGGTTGCGGCTACGGAATGTATTCGCAGGCCTACGCTGCGTAGTCCAGGAACAGGATATGGGCTGGCTTTCCGGCGACAATGCACAGTTTGCCTGACCCTTCGTCAAACGCAGCGTTCTGCGTTCCAGCTTGAACAGCATCAACAAATTCTGGCGGGAGACTCAACTGCTTGAGTCGCCTGTCGTCCTGGGCAGACATGCCCATTTGATTCTCCGGCACGCCAGGGGGTTGCATAAATTCCCACTCGCGGTCTGGAATCTCGGAACGCAGACCTGTAGGGTACTTTTGCCGTTGCCGTGGTGGCCGGGTCATATAGGCCAGCAAATTCCGCATCGGTGGAGAATCGGCACGTGTCTCGGTCGGTCGAGTCCAGAACACGGACCTCTCCGCACCAGGGAGAACTGCTGGTTTCTGGTTATGCTCCTCAAACCAGTAATGCGCCTTTTTTACCACAGGCAAGGTGTAGTACGGTTGCAGTGGTTCGTTTAGATCCTCCCCAACGTCCTCCATACCAATGTCCATGTCCGCTCTCAGCCCTGGGACATTGACGCCTGCTTGCATTGTACCTGGAAGGTTAAGTAACTGTGAAGGATAACCCGCCATTTGCATGGCGGCGAGTGGGAAGACTGGCATTGGCGCAATATGAAATGGCGTATCGGTTGGGAGATAAGATGGGTAGTTCTGGGCGGATGGTGGCTGAGGAAACGCCGGGTTCTGCCCAATGGCATTGGGCACGATGTGCTCCGGTGGCACAGTGGGTGCATTAAATCTGGACGGTCGAATGAGTTGTGGAACTATCTGATAGTGAATGATGCCTTTTGGTCCCATAGTATGAGCGAAAATGGAGATGGGAGCTGCGTAATGACAGTTCTCCTCCATTTCTCGCTCTGTAGGCCGGTCAGAGGTAGCTTGTATCACCGTGGACTCAGATATCGAGAAAGAAGATGCAGCTAACTCCGGAAAGACATCGTGGTGAACTGGTATCGGTTCCTTCGCAATCTCGCCCCATGCCGGAAAGGTGAACAGTTCGAACGAGTAGGATGTGTGCTCGTCCGAATGAATAAGTCGGATAATCAATACTTGGTTCTGAGTTGGAATCAGTTTGCACGCTTGAAGAGAATGTCGCTGAGACCAGGTATCAGCTAGGCCCAACGGTTGATGAGCAACGAACCTGTCCTTCTCCAGTAACGTGGATTTTGAGCTGGGAAGAGCGCTTTGGGGTTGCTGTATCCAGCAAATCAATGAACATGATTGTCCGCGGCCGGTGTATCAGGCTGAGGACGGTACCGTCAATCGACATGTATGCTATCTGGCAGCGCGTCTTGTGCAGCTCCACGAGTTTAAACGGCGCGGCCGGCGGTATTCCGTTCGCGCTAAGAATTTCGAGGTCCTGCAGGGAGATGTGGATCACGCAGACCTCCGTCTTTGTATGTGGGTTCTCTCCGATTTGTCGCAGGGTGGCAATCACGATCCCCATCTTGCCCTCAAACTTCATATACCGCACAACCAGATGGCTGACAGCGGTCCGTGTCCGGCACTTTGCGAGCAGCGCGCATCCTCCGCCGCGCTCGATTGGATTCTCCAGGTCCCAGACGACGACTGCATATACGTCGTCTTCTGAGTTTTTTGTTGCTGCGACGAGCCATCTGCCGCCGGGTAGAAGCCTGATCATGTAAGGTCTCTCCACCGAGCGGAGAGTATTCGTGAAGGCCATCGGAGCATCACGCTCCCAGTTGATATTGAGACAAAGAGCACGACGAATGAGAGATTCTGTCGCTTTGGCGCTGAGAGAGGCTATCGACTGAGGTTGAAAGGGCAGCATGACCTTGACTTTGCGCAACAGTCGCTTCCAGACAACTGGAGACGATACTATTCGATCAAAGTAGCGGGATACCTGTTAATTGTCAGACTTTCATGAATCGAAATGCCAGCAAAGCGGAGACAGCCCTTGTCGCTATGTCACAAGACCAGATGCAATAGAAAGGCATTATATTCCGTATCTATGGGTATCTACTTACCGCTCGAAGGTGAACCACGCTAGTTACAGGCAGATAGTCGATTACTTCGAACCAGAGGTCTGGTGGAAGCTGTAGGAACGCCCGAGATGGTCGTCTAGAAAACATTGTTCCATCCACGGTAAAGCCGAGAAATCGATGAGAGATGTGTAAGATACAAGCGCCCGAGCGACTCGGCGCGGTGAGGTCGCGGTGAGGTTCAAGTTATGGAGGGGTGGTTCTATACTTAGATCTAAAGTACACCGGGTTTCACTATCGTCTCGTACATCTGCATAACGTCTCCAGGCATAAAGTCACCGTCAAACTTGGACAATGAAAGTCCACACTCCATCCCCTTTTTCGCCTCTGTGATATCCTTTTTAAGGTGACGGAAAGTATCAAGAGTACCTAGGAAAAGATGAGACGACTGGTCCTTCGCGAAAGAGGCCACTTACCGTCGTGGATTATCTGGCCTCCACGGATCAACCGAATCGATTTGTTCTTCTCCAGAGTCCCGTTCATCACCCTGCATCCAGCAACTTTGAGCTTTTTGTGGCCTTTGAGATCAATCTCAAACATTTGCTGAACGTTTGCCTCGCCGAGCACCTTGTACTCGATGATCGGAGGTAACAAGGCAATTACTTGTTCTCGCACGGTCTCCATTAATCGATAGATGATGTCAGAACTGATGATATTAACTCCCAGCTTGTTTGCCGACTGAGCCACAGATCGTGGCGCCTGAACGCCAAAAGCCACAATACTCGCTACGACTGATCAGGCGTGGTCAACACAAAGTGATTTTAACGTACCATCTGCCGCCTTTGCAAGTTCAACGTCACTCTCTGTGATAGCACCAACACCAAACTGAATGATCTTGGTCTTTGCAATGCCGTTCCCAATGCCTTCAAGCGCGCCTGCGACGGCCTCTGCGCTTCCGCTGACATCCGCTTTGATGATTAGACGCAATGTCTTCACACCATCTTCGCTTGAGGGAATCTCCGACAATGTACTGTGTCTCATGGACAATGCATGGCCAGTGCGAAGTGCCTCCTCAGCGGCCTTGAGTTCCTCCGCGCGTTGCTGACGTTCGACTCGTCGCTTCTCGTTGATCGCCGCAACGTCTTCAATCTGGCTCGCGAGCTCGTCATTGCGTTTACGGTTGACAATGGCGCGTTTGATATCCTCCTCAGAGCCTTGGATAACCTCGTCGCCCGCTTTGGGAAGCTCCTTCCACCCTGCGACAGATACGGCAGTTCCTGGGGGAATAGATTTGACGACCTTTCCGTTGGAATCCGTCAAGCTTCGTACTCGGCATTGCACATGTCCAGCAATCAGATGTGAACCAGCCGTCAATTCACCACGGAGATTGAGGATGGTAGCGACAGGGCTATTCAGAGTCAGTTGATACCGATTCCGGTTAAGCAACTCTACGTACCCAAAACCCTTGACTTGCTTCGACTCCAGAATATATCCAACGGCGGTGCCTGTTGCCTCTGCACGAAGATCCATCAGCTCCGAGACAAGAGAGATCGTCTCCATTAGCGTATCCAAGCCTCTGCCTGTTAGACCTGAGACTTCGACAGCCGGAACGTCGCCTCCAAACTCTTCTAGTTGAACACCTTCGGCCAGTAACATCTGCTTGACAGTATCCTGCACAGGATATAAGCTCGATCAAAAGGAAACAGACATACTTACGGGATCAGCACCAGGCTTGTCAATCTTGTTGATTGCTACAACAAGCCCGACGTGGCCATGCTCCCTTTTGACGAGATCAATCACCTCCTTTGTCTGAGGCATCACACCGTCATCTGCGGCAACTACAAGAACAATCACGTCCGTGACCATGGCTCCTCTTGCCCGCATGGCAGAGAAAGCGGCATGACCAGGGGTATCGAGGAAGGTAATGATGCGATCGTCGGTCTCCTTGGAATTTTTGGACGTCGATAATGACGAGACGGGCAAGGAGAAAGCACCAATATGTTGAGTGATACCGCCGGCTTCCCCTTGAGCGACGGACGCAGAGCGGAGGGTATCGAGCAGCGTCGTCTTGCCATGGTCGACGTGTCCCATGATTGTCACAACTGGTGGACGGTGGGGGAGGGAAGAACGATCAGCAGGAAGGGGTCTATATTGTCGTAAGCAAAAGTTGGGAGATGCGGGAAAGAAACATACGGTGGAAGTATATCGAATGCCGCAGCTTCGTCTACGACGATGTTGCACCCAAACTCTGGGGCAATGAGGGCAGCGTCCTCAGAGTCCAATACTGGAATAAGAGTTAAACTCGAAATACAAGCGTCTTTTGCACGTACGATGATCATAAGATACCTCTGTCATTCCCGCCCTTGTCAAGGCTGTTTGAAGTCGCTCTGGGATGTATGGCTTAGCAAATCCAAAGTACCATGATAAAATGCCAACCTAGTCGGACACCAAGCAGACGGGCAAGTCGCTCTACAGAGACATGTTTAGAGAGGAAAATGTCTCGCGACTTTCGGATTTCTGCCAACTTTGGGACACCGCGAACGATTTGCAAGGCAGCTCGATTGCGGAGTTCCTGCTGCTCCTTTATAGCTTTGAGTTCATGGTGCTTATGTTCATGGGGACGATGTCGCTCTCGCTCCGCCCGCGACTCGGATGTGTCTGCGAGTATCACGGCATCTCTGTCCCTCCACGACAATTTTGGTTCCTGCTGTACATCTCTATGTCCATGTGCATTGTTCGTGTTTGCAAACTTGTGCCGCGCGGTCGACAGAGGCTGGTCCCTCGAGAAAGAGTCTCGTCCATTGGCCTGGCCACTTCTTTCATTGCGTGCCCCGTTCCTGTTCAGTTGTGGCGAGTTTTGCACTCTTGAAAGCGGCTGTTTGGACTGCGAATATTGCGGGGAACGCGCATTCTGCCATGCATTATTGTCTGCAGTTCGATGCCGAGTAACGTTTGTACGTGGATAGGACTGCAGGCCATCTCTCCTCTGTGGAAAAAGGTCGCGTGCATCGTTCTTTGGTCGTTGGAGATGCTGAGGAACATCCCTTTGGAACGGCGAGCCCGTTGAACTAGTTCCTACATCGTAGTGTGTCGGGCGAGGTTTTGTTTTTACCTAAGATGTCTCTTAGCAATCATATCGTCCATTTCAGGCCAATTTCCAGTTTTACCTGTGCAGCCGCGTTCCGTGTCGACGTAGAGCTGATGGTCCGACAGCACGACGCCGTCCAAGTCGAACAGCACGAAGGAACCGCCTTTCGAGCTGCCAACGACATTTCCGGATATATTTCCGCGTCAAAACGCACGCCGTCGGGACAACGGTGAGGATGTGGTCGAATTCAAAACTTGCTCCCGGGTTCTTCCTGTTCTCGTCAAGAGGCTCATGAACAAGCAACGATACAGATGCAGCCTATATTACATTCCATATCGTTCCACTTCGACTCCCGGTGCAAGCTCGACTATATCCGCATCCACGACCGTGTCCGTGATGCCATTCACATCCAGAGGAATAGCACTCTCTTCCAGAGGCAGATTCAAGAGTCCTCGAAGAACAACGCGAGCACCGAGTTTCGATGAAACTATGTTGCTCTCCTTGCACATTGCGCTCTGAACGCCTAGCGCACGCTGAGCATGAAATATCGAGGGACCTACAGACTCACAGTTTGCACAGCCCTCTTTGCATGAGCACGATTCGACTGTCTCAAACGACTGGTGTACAAGGTCAGAAACTATTAGAATGTCAGCGAGACGGAGTAGCGAATCCTGATAGCTCACTGTAATCAAAAGCCTTTGCAGATAGTGAGCCTCCACTACCCGGTGGGTCAAAGAAGATGAGTCTACGAAAGGTGAGTATAGTGGAATGAGATACTAATTTACATACCTTGCCGGTCGCTTTCTCTGTGAAGGCTTTGCCTGATACTCTCTATGACGCGTCAGATAGTACTAGACAAAGGAAGGGATGGACTAACTTCTGAGGAATCTTGCACTCTGTTCGGAGAGCATGACCAAGGTCAAACCGGTTCAAGATTGCATGGCATGCGGCGTGTATTGCTTCCGCAGGATTCAGACCTTTCTTCTTCATGAGCTGTAGATTCGCCTTTGGTACATCCAGCCAGAACCCAGTCGTCTCTCGTTCAAATGGCGGGCTTTCCAGATCGACAGCATCAAGAATTTTTCCATGTCGCAGCTTGAAATAGCCAAATATGACCGTCGTCACATCCACGCGACCATAATATGCACGATGTGGGCTGCCTTGAACCTCTCGTATCCTATTGGTTCGAACGGCGTCGTAATTCGTGTAATCTCGGGGTTTTGTAGTCCAGTTGACGTCGGTGCGTATGACACGCGCCGTACGCGAGTCGTGGCTGATCTCTTGGACGAGAAAGGTAAGGCCTTGATGAATGAAGATGGCGCCTTCGTATGCCTCGAATAGAACACGCGAGTCCTCTATTTCTTCGAGTATACGAGCCTCACCACCTCTAGCTATGCGTGTAATGTCGATGATAGTATAAGTGCCTTCCTTCGCACCTCGAATGGAGACGTGCTTCGATGGGTATGGCAGATACTGAGGATGTGGATGATACCTATCAAACGTGAGAGCAGTTCAGTCATTCTGATACGGCTTACCATCCATCAGAGTCTGCTTTGAGTCTTGTTTCACAGATTTCACCCAACTGGGAGCCAAAGTACTGAACATCCTCAATCACATTTATGGGCATCTCTTCTGCCGCACACTAAAGAGATGATATTAAATCGTGAAAGAGGAAATGACTTACTTGCAAATGAGCTTCGAGGATAATACGATTCTCCAGGTCGACGAATAGGTTGTCGGTCGTCTGAGGCCAACCCATCAGTAATTGCATCTTCACTCAGTCTGCTTACCTTCTCAAACAGTTCATTTGGATTCTTGGCGTAATGTTGGTCTATCCCATAGGTATCAACAACGAGTACAGCGAGTGAGTCTCGCGCGCGACGACCTGCACGACCTGCTTGCTGCCGCTTCACAGAATATCAATAGAAAGATTACTCTCGCTCTGGCGACATACCAAACTCGCAATGCTCATTGGGAAACCGTGGATTATCACAGCGTCCAAGTTACCAATATCAACACCTAATTCAAGTGCATTGGTGGCGACGATCCCCAGAAGATTTCCGGAAAAAGCTTCGGCCTCGATCTTGCGACGATCCTGTTCACAAGCGTTAGCGAGACAGAATCGGCGGAACCAGGGAGTACATCTTGTGAGTATCCTCCTCTATACGCCATGACTTGCTGAAGGATATCCGAACGTCCTTCTGCCGTTAGCTCCGTACGGAGAATCTTCATCACTATCTCGCAAGTTTTGCGAATCTGTAGGATTGAGAATCAATCGCGAGTGCAAAGACGCTCTACCTTGCAGAACACGATCGTTCGAACACCTCGCTTCATCAAAAACCGCATGAGAGCAGTAGTTTGTGTAAAGGGAGACACTCTCCCGGTCTTTGGCTGCTGCTGGTCCACGAGTGGCAGATTCCAAATGAGAAATTCTTTTGGTCCCGTGGGCGCACCATCTTCGGTGATGACTTCAATATCCTGAGAGACATTAGGTAGGAAGTAGTTTCAAGGCGAGAGGAATCACTTCTATTCCGAAGATTGCCTTCATATGCTTCAGCGGTTGGGAAATCGTGGCACTGCATGAAATATAGCGCACATGCCGGTCTTGAAGTGACGTTAGCATGACAGGGATATTTTTGCCTAGACGTACTGCCGACTGCCGCACACACACGTCGTAGCCTCCGTAATATCTGCGCAACGTGACTACGCTATAAGATTGAAAGTTACGGCTTCAGATAGGACTCACCTTCCCAGTGGACCAGAATAGTAGTGCAATTCGTCCACTGCGACGACCTTGAGGTTCTTTAGAAACCTATTTCCTTTAGTCGGAGTTGAAACCGAGTGAGATTCTTACTTGCGCCATTGCTCTTCCTGGGGCAAAATAGAAGCATGGATCATATCCTAGGCGATGGTGAGCGCCTTTCAACTAGACCAAGACACTTACGAAGTTGGTAAAAATGACAGATGCACTCTCCCGGACTCCTGATCAATTGTTATCAATGAATGTGCGGAAATGTGGATACCTACCTCGACGCTTATCCTTTGGAGTATCTCCATCGTATGTTGCAACCTGCATCCAGTTGAAGGAGTGAATTATATAGCGAACAGCCTACCTGGATGTCCTCAAGACCAGGGCAGGCATGAACCAGTTGGTCGAGGGCAAGCCGTTGATCTTGTGCCAGTGCCTACGCCCTATGTCAGAGAGACCAATAGCAAGATAGTATTTCAAGACCTTTGTCGGATATATGTAAATTGCCGTCGAGCTCCTATCCGCCTCCAAAAAGCGCAGCGCCGGAACCTGATAAATCACACTCTTGCCCGACGCGGTCGGTGTTGAAACGATGCAGTTTTTCCCTTCGGCCACGGCGTTGATAGCAGCAGCTTGATGGACGTAAAAGCTGGAGATACCGCGTGCTTTCTGAAGACCGACTTGAATGCAGTCAGCCAGTGGAGTCGTCAGCTCCCCTGAAACCGTAAGTCCAAGAGAATCGAATTAGCTTTCTACTTGCCAAGTTGTGGCTCCTTCTTCTCAAACGACCGATGTTCGATGATCTGGTCTCTGTACCAATCCTCCGACCTGAGCTCCTCGATGATTTCTCATGGGTGCACGAGAGGAAGAGGTTGGTATCGAGTCGATCCCCTCGCACTTTCTAGAAAGCACTGGAATATGGTCGCGGGCGGCTTGTTGCACAAGGTCGACTGGATCCTCTTCCGGTGGGCAGGCGATTAGAAGCCTATACTCTATCAACCAGCGCGCTTTTATAAGTGGTATACATACTCTTCAACTGCTTGGGTAAATCTATTATTGCGTTCCTCTATAAGTTTCTTGAGCGCCGCTGCAGTCATGGATGGCGGAAGGGAGTATGCGTTTTCTGACCTTGGCAAATCAGCTCAATGTGAATGCATGAAAGGCTGATTTTACTCGGCAGGCTTGTGCCGCTTTGTACTTTCGACAAACTCGAGTACCAGTACATGCTCATCCTCATCCAGAATAGGGCCGCTTGGGAGAGCGTATGTAGGGGAAGATGCCCGCTTTCTGGTCCCAGGATCCTGTTCATTAAGCCTAATTTGATCTGCTGGTATATAACCGAATTGCAAAAGGTCTGGGATGATGGCCCTTGGTTTGGGTCAGCGAGAATAGAATTAGAAAGTGGACTGACTTGATCTCCGCTACTTCCTTGAGGTCAAGTGGCCTTTTATAATGAGTATGTAGCACCAAGGTGGCTGACAAACACACCGCTTGAGCAGGTCCTCTACCGACTTTCGTACGACTGGGAACGTCTATGCTCGGTCATGGGTTATGAATTCGCAGATCTATGACCACGCACGGTTGCCAAATGCTTCCTTGAAGAGCAAAATGCAATGACGGTATTCAACGCCTTGAACGCCTAGTCGAGGGCTTAGTTCTTGTGATGCAGAGTAGATGATTAACGAGCCTTGAGTAACTAAAATGGTCAATGAAGAGAGGCGGCAACGTAAACTGGACGTACACGCTCAAAATGTGCAGGCCAGTGATCCCGTTCATATTGTTCATCTTGCATGCGAGGCTTCTTTGCAACTCTTCCATCCTCCGTCGTGTTCTTCCTCTTATTTGGCGAACTGCCCTCGACCTCGGGTGACTCCATTTGATAGAGTTGTGGCAAACACTCGCGTATGATGATTCTCGTCGCCAATGACTAGAAACCTATGTGCTAGTGTGGGAATTTAATGTATGTCAAATGGCCAGATGCCGTCGAGTTCAAGTTGGACCTGACCTTCTGACTGGTCACGCTGGAATCTTGGAGGCCCTAACAATTTTCTTGAAACTCGAGATATCTCAAATGCTATCTCCGACTCGTGCTAGTTTCAGAACTTCAGGGTGGCGGCGTTGAGCAGGCTTCGCGACCTCTTCCCAAGTTTGAGCTTCGATGCCCTGTTCTGATGGCGATTTGGCATCTCACCGGTGTTCTCGTTCATTTCCTCGAAATTTATCACTCAAGCCCAGCGTTGTAGATGCCCTTTTAAGGTCCGGCGGCGACCATCAACAGCTGTTGCTGGTTATACAATTAGGCGTTATAAAAATTAAGAACTGAGTTGTAGTCGGCAATTATCGCGAACACTGCCCACCGGCAGGCGGTTGAATCACGGTAGCACACGGTTCCATATGCCTCGGTGGTCGTGTTCGTAACGCAGCACCCACTCGCGAACCAACTCTTCTGTTTGCCTCGTTCGGTCCCTTCTTGCTCCTTACCGCCTTGAGCAACGCTCAGCGACGACTGGCCGACCCGACAGCGGCCACCGAGCAGCAACGACGAGGACAACGACGACGCCAGTAACACCCGTCGATCGCTAACCACAATCCCTTTTCAAATTCTTGATCTGGTATTTACCAGATTTTATTCCTCCACTACACCCATCTCAAAAACACAATGGCTCACTTTGCAAATCCCGTCGTCGTCGACGACAAGACTTTTGCATACGATGAGCGTGATGCATATGCCATGGGCAACTTTCACGCGGGTCTTGCAACAGAGGCCACCATGGACGACTATGCGGATGAAGAGGATTCGCCATACGAGGAGGTGCGCGCTTCCGTATCCAACACGGACGACCCAGATATGCCAGTAAATACTCTGAGGATGTGGACTATTGGCCTCCTGCTCACAGTATTGGGCGCCGGCATGAATACTTTTTTCATCTTCAGGAATCCGTTCAGGCTGATAGTTAGCTATGCAATCTTGTAAGTTTCATCGTCTCCCCAAGAGTCTGTGATGGCTCAGTATAACTACAGGTTGATAGCGTTTCCGATTGGAAGGCTGGCGGCCTATTCGCTTCCTATCCGCCGATGGAAGCTTCCAAAGTGGCTTGGGGGGCTCTATTTCTCACTGAATCCGGGGCCCTTCAACATCAAGGTCTGCAGTTTTGACCGTAAAGTGGCCTTTTGCTCACGTATATCCCAAACAGGAGCATGTCTGCATCTACATGATGGCCAATGCGGCTATCTATCCTACTTATGCCATGAACACCATCGTTACCATCGAGTAAGGCGACCCTGTCTCGTCGGTTTGGTCTCACGCTAAAACCGCGTCCGTTCTTTCCCGACAGACACTACTATAACATTCACTGGGGTACCGGCTTCAATCTTTGTCTCGCACTTTCCACACAAATCACCGGCTTTGGCTACGCGGGCATATTTCGACGGCTCTTGATTTGGCCTGCCTCGCTCATTTGGCCGGCAACGCTGGTCACATCGACTCTGCTCAATACTCTGCACGCAGAGGAAGACTTTCGCTCACCGAGTTCAGGTATCAGTCGATACAAATGGTTCCTGTGGGTCGGTGGTGCAGCGTTTGTTTGGCACTGGCTCCCTGGTAGGAATCGACTGTATCAAAAGGGAGCTTGCGCTGATTCTATATAGGCTATCTCTTCCAGGGGCTTTCTTACTTTTCGTTCATTTGCTGGTTCGCACCAAGTACGCCTTCAGACCTATCATACACTTTCGCTCACATGTCGGTAGACAACCTGATTGTCAACCAGCTTTTTGGTACTCAACGAGGTCTTGGGCTGAGCGTCCTTACATTTGACTGGACGCAGATATCATGGGTCGGATCTCCACTCATGATCCCATGGTGGGCCGAGGTCACATATTCCTTGGATTTGCGCTGTTCTGGTGGGTGGTCCAACCGATAATGTACTATACAAACGTACGTAGATCTATCGCTCCACGTTTTCATCTAACTAATAAACTGTAGTCCTTCTGGATGGCCTATATGCCCATGGGTCAAGCTAGCACATACGATCGCTTCGGAAACGTATACAACGTTTCTAGGGTTCTCACCCCAGATATTACACTCAACTTGACCGCCTACGAGGAGTATTCCCAGCTTTACCTATCGCCATCATACGTGGCTTTCTACCTGGTCACTTTTGCGATTTCGACTTGCATCTTGACACATACGGCGTTGTATCATGGGAAGACGCTGTGGAACTCTTTTAGGAATATCGATCCCGAGGAGGAGGATATTCACGCCAAGCTCATGAAGGCGTACCCAGAGGTTCCGACCCTGTGGTACTGGGGTGTCGTCGTCGTATTCTTTGTTGTAGCCTGTGCGGCGGTCCAAGCATGGCCAACAAAGGTACCGGTGTATTCGCTCTTCCTCGCGCTCGCCCTTCCTGCAGTTTATATGCTGCCAGCAGGCTTAATTTTTGCCGTTACGGGACAAGCGGTATGTCTGATTCTCAACGTGAACAAACAGCTGATGATATGGCGCATAGTTATCTTTGAATGTCCTCGCCCAAATTATCCTGGCTCCCTTTTACCAGGAAATCCAATAGCGAACATGGTATTTAAATGCTACGCGATTGAGACCCTCTACTCGGCGCAACTGTTCACCCAGGATCTCAAACTGGGTCATTACATCAAAGTTCCGCCGCGAACCACGTTCCTAGTTCAGCTCATTGCATCCTTCATCTCTGTCATCACTCAAGTCGGGGTCAAAAACTGGATCTTCAGCGTAGTACCGGACATGTGTTCTCCAACGCAGAAGGACAGCCTGACGTGTCCTCGCAACCTCGTCTATTTCAACGCATCTGCGATATGGGGACTCGTGGGACCATCGCAACTATTCGGGCCTGGTGCACCATACAATGTCTTTTTGTGGGCATTACTTGCAGGGGCAATTGCGCCATTCCCACTGTGGTATTACCAGCGACGGGTACCGAATACAAGACTCAAGTATATCAACCTGCCTGTGATGCTCAACGGACCATCCGCGGCGCCTCCTGCGATGGGTATTAACTATATTTCGTTCTTTGTGGTGGGCTTCGTCTTCCGTAAGTACCCTTTTTCTATTGGCAACGCATCAATCAGTGGCGTCGTATCATGCTCGGACAGGGTACCACAATTAACATGGACCCGAGCTTCTCCATCCATTCGTATCTTGCTCACCTTTGATGTCCCTAATCTGACTCCGAACGGCCAAGGAGGAAGGGACCTGATCCGCGTTATTCTTCCCCTTCTTCTCCGTACCGCGTTCTCGTTTTGAGGGAACATCGGCCCGTATGTTTTCGCGCTCTCACTTACACGCGTCCGCCGACGATACGTCTGTTGAGGGCAGGAGGAACAAGACGTAGATCAGAAGGTTGGCTTGGGGCCAACCCAGGGTACCGCTACACAAGTAAAGCCGTCGGCCAAAAAAATAATTCAAACACTTGAGACCGCCGAGGACGGGCTTGGTGTGACTTTGGTTTCCTTCATGCATCGCCTTCAGGGTGTTTTGCCACGGGCGATTGTGCGACTTTTGATCCGGACATATGCCTTGTCGGAGGACACTGGCTGTGCAACCTACGCCGGCGCGACCGTGAAGAGTATGTGCTGACGAACATTTTGTGCAGAACGCCTCATCCGCAAACGAAATTTCCAGTGGTGGTCAAAGTGAGTTACCTATCCCCTTGGTTTGACTTTCCGTGTCCGTGCCCGCGCCCGTGTCAGACACACGTCTGCCACGCTCTAGGCGCGGGCGGTCATCAAACGACTTGATTTCTCATTTCTTTGTCTGCAGATATAATTATATCACAAGCGCGGCTCTTGATGCGGGCACAACGATTTCGGTGCTTGTCATTTTCCTGGCGGTGCAGTTGCATCAGAGTGAGGACTTGCAGTGGTGGGGGAACCTACTGAATTCGCGGAGTGAGTGTTGTTCCCTCTTGATTGTCGTGCGATCGGCGGCTCTGAGGGCTATCTGGGCTCGTCTATCTGCGAAAGGGCCATTCGAGGCGCCATGGCTCTGCGTCGGCGGAGAGCAAAAGGCTCAGCCAACCTACACCTCAGATGTACATGCGGCCGATATTCACGGACACGTACTGACGAAAGAACAGCAATAGATGGTGCGGCGATACCCAGAGCACTGAAGCAAGCCCCAATCGAAGGTTTTGCACCATCGATAGCGCAGTTGCGAGCGGCGGGGGGACGCTAGACCCGAGGGTTAATGTATCCGTAGAATTTATAATATGGTCTCTATTTGCCTCTGTAACAAAATCTTCTTAATCTCCTTGTGTGTCGCCCTAATGGCCGCAAATAGGGGCCAGGCACCAACTGTACACTCCGGAATTGAGTGCCCCTGGACATCGCACGCTCTCGTTTTGAACCCGACCGCCGCTCTTGACGCTTGCAGAATAATCCTTGAATAATTCGGGCGACGACAAACAACCTCCGACTGTAGCTCTAGACGGTTTGACACTGCCCAGACGGCGTGGACAGTCCCCTGTGAGGATTTGGCGACCGGAGCTTTGCAAGAAAAATCGATAGAAAAATCAGCAGAGGTTACGAGTAGACTACGAGAACACGTAGGTGTGCATTTGGGTGTCACTGGTCCGCTCGCTGACGCTCCAGGTCCCGCCAACGTCTCCGTCCGTTACCGCGGAAAAGCAGGCCGATATCCAGCAACAGCGAAATGTCTGGACGACCGACAACTGCAAACTCGTCGAGACCGTATACTGCGGCCTCGTCAGACTACAGGCCCCAGACAGCCTGGAGCGAATCCGAGCCGCCCTCTACCGCTCACGGCGGCGCGGCGACATATGCGTACCCGACGCAGCAGTACCACCAGCAGCACCACAATCATTTATATGCTCAGGAAGAAGAGGATGAGGAAGAAGAGAGTGAGGAGGAAGACGTATTTGCCTATCTACCCCCCGGTACCGCCCAGAGCGACGTCGCTGCACCGAACCAGCACCATAATGGGAACCCACAGCAGCAACACGTTCAGTTTGCTCACCACACACAACAGCGGGGAGCCTTTGGGCAGCCGTTGCAGGCCCAGCAACCAGAGAATATGCAACCTCCACAGGACCAGCAGCAACCTCCATCAGCAGCCGCATTCCACAATCTTGTCGCCGCTGCAGGTCTAGATCCTGGACCTACGCCGCCCTACAGCCAGTCGAATGCCAGCAGTCGATATGCACCGTCTGGTATCGCTGCCCCCGCACCCACTACTACCGGTCAAACAGACAGCAACTATGGGGACTTTGGACCGGACGCTTATGACATGCGTCCTATTCCTTTCAGCCCTGGTGGGCCGGGAATGTTCCCACCCGTGTCGGCGACCAATAAGTCATTTGGCAGGTCAGTCGACTCGCGCGAGGTCCGTGTCGACCTACCATCGACTGGTGTCAGCTTTTCTTCATCAAACTACAATCCGGCGTCCCCAGGTCCTGTCAAGCGCCGCATCTCGTCCGAGCTTGGTACCTCCATCGGCGACATGGCTACTACTCTCAAGTATACGGAAGAAGTCGGTGGTGAAGAGGCAGAGGAAGAAGATTCCCCGTATCCAGAGGTCCGGGCAAGTGTATCAAACACTGACGACACGGAGATGCCAGCCGCCACCATTCGGATGTGGGTTTTGGGCATGTTCTTGTGCCTTATCGCCATTTCCCTCAATACTTTCTTCAATTTTCGTTTCCCCAGCCCGACCCTTACACCCCTTGTCATTTTGCTCATTGCGTATCCATGCGGGAGATTCCTCGCGGCCGTGCTACCCATCCGTACCTATCAACTTCCAGCTTGGTTGGGTGGAGCACGCTTCAGCCTCAATCCTGGTCCTTTCAACGTCAAGGAGCATGTGCTAATCTTCATCATGTCCAACATCTCTGCCGCTCCCTCCTTCTCCCTCAACACCATTGTCGTCTCCGAACTATACTATAAGCTGGATTTTGGTGCCGGCTTTAACCTGTGTCTCATTCTCAGCACTCAGATGATGGGTCTGGGTTTCGCCGGGTTTGGACGACGCTTCCTCGTATGGCCTGCGAGCATGGTGTGGCCCAGTAACCTTGTCAGCTGCACACTCCTCAACACGCTTCATGCTGGCGAGGAGACGGACCGACGCTCTGGCATCAGTCGCTATCGCTTCTTTATCTATGCCACCGTTGCCTCGTTTGCTTGGGCCTTTTTGCCGACATTCCTGTTCCAGGCCTTAGGATACTTTAGTTGGATCTGCTGGATTGCACCAAGTATGTGCACACCCGTGTCCTAATACGTTTGTTCCTAACTTTTGGATAGCCAACCTGGTGGTTAATCAATTATTTGGCACCGTGTCCGGCCTTGGCATGGGCATCCTGACGTTTGACTGGGCACAAATATCTTGGATTGGATCTCCGCTCATGGTCCCTTGGTGGGCACAACTCCACGTCTTTGCTGGATTTGCCTTCTTCTACTGGTTCCTTTTGCCCATCCTCTACTACAAGAATGTGAGTTTCTAGTATGCACTGCTCGCTTTCGTTGACTTTGGAATCAGGCCTGGCACCTTGCGTATATGCCTATGACTGCCCAGGCATCATTTGATCGTTTCGGACGAGTGTACAACATCTCTGCCATCTTCAACCGCACCACTCGTAGCTTCAGCCCAGAAGCCTACAACGAGTACAGTTCGCTCTATCTCCCAGGGCCGTTCCTTTTGGTCTACCTGTTGGCGTTTGCCATCTCGACAGCATTGATCGTTCACACCGTCCTATACAACGGTAGAACGTTGATAAATGGATTCAAGAAAATTCAGGTAGAAGAGGACGATATTCACGCCAAGCTCATGCGCGCCTATCCAGAAGTCCCCGACAAATGGTATGCGACACTCTTTGCCGTCTTCTTTGTCATCGCTGTGCTTGCTGTTGAAGTCTGGCCGACTGGTATGCCCGTGTGGACGTTGGCCATAGCCGTCTTACTACCGGCGATTTACATGCTGCCATGCGGTTTCATCTTTGCGGTCACTGGTCAAGGACTCTCGATCAATCTATTGGCCCAGGTTATTCCTGGTGGCCTCCTCGCTGGAAAGCCACTCCCGAACATGGCGAGTTTTCGATGAGATTTTCTTCTGTGTTTGCTGACATTTTCAATAGATCTTCAAGGCTGTCGCAATCCAAACATTAGGCTCATCTCTTGCCTTTGTGCAAGACTTGAAGTTTGGTCACTACATCAAGGTACCACCACGTGCCGTTTTCATGGCTCAGACCATATCCGCCCTCATGGGTGCCATCGTACAAGTCGGTGTCAAGCGTTGGTTGTTTGCCAATGTGCCAGACATCTGCTCGCAGACACAAAAGGACGCACTCACCTGCCCACATAATCAAGTGTTCTTCAACGCTAGCGCCATCTGGGGTCTCATTGGGCCTGCAAGGCAATTCGGAGAGGGAACCTTGTACCATGGACATCTATATGCCATGCTCGTCGGAGCCCTCCTGCCTGTTCCAATCTGGCTTTACCACAGATTCCGACCGAAGACCCGACTGCGATATCTCAACATTCCAGTGCTGCTCAACGGCCCGACATTTTCCCCGCCAGCCCGTGGGATCAACTTTTCGTCGTGGTTTGTCGTCGGATTCATCTTCCAATACTTTATCCGACGACGCAATTTCCGCTGGTGGAGCAAGTTCAATTATGTGCTCAGCGCCGCGCTGGATTCGGGCACGATCTTGTCCATTATCATCATTTTCCTCACGCTTCAACTACCCTTCAAAAATGGTGGTCTCTTGATAGATTGGTGGGGAAACAGCGCCGACGGCGCTTTCAAAAGTACGTATGCTCTACTATTGTGAACACGCCAATGCTCAGACTTTTCCTCTCTGTAGCATACGATGTTTTGCAGCCTCCTCTCTACCGGTTACGACCCGGAGAGGCGTTTGATGTAGCACCCAATGGCCAACCATGATCGCATTGTCCTTTCCTTGTACGCACATATCACGAACCGACTCACTTCATCCTGGGCACGTAATGGGAATCCTCTTTCACTCGCTCAAAATTGGACCTCCTGTCCACCCCTTCTTTTTGCCACCGCTGTCGAATCTGACGTCGACAATCTCAGCCTGCACTGTCGCCGTTCCGACCCGACTGTCCCAAACTGTGATTTATTCCTCGCCATCGTATCGTCGTGTCTCTAGAGGACTCCGATAACTCCTTAGATTATGATCCATTCGGCGTATTCTCTCGCAATCGCGCCCGACTACCCTAATACAACCTTCTCGTCCTCTGTTTCTTCTCCCCAATTTTTATATCATCTGTGTTGTGACTGCGTTTTGGTTGGTCGATTTTCTTTTCGTTTCCTTGCTCCACAAACACATTGTCTCTCGTTACATAACCCACCCTCCCCATTCTTTCCTCGTTTGCGAGGATGCTTGCATCTACGAGCCAACTAGCGGCCATTAGCGGTGTGAAGAGACGATTGATCCTTCCAATCTCTCCTATTCACCTGGACACGCTCTTCTCGCTATTGTACTTTAATTTCTGGGAATTGCAGCAACTCCAATGTCCTACATGATATTCTACTGAGATGATCCTCCTTGTGTCGCCGGCACGGCAGTTACGGGCTCTTGGACAGGTAGTGGAATAACGTCGAGGAGGAATCCTGGGAGGAAGCTATCTAGCTTTTCTTGTGTAAGTTTCCACCGTTCCTTGATCTCTTCTGGCCGTTCGTCTGGCGTTTGCTCGCCCAAGAGCGCCCCCGAAGCCTGCATTACGAGTAAGACATTTTTAAGAGACTCTGGCACGGCTTCGACCTATTCCTTGTCAGTTCCTAGCACTAAAAGTGATCCGAGTTCTTACCAGTTGCGATCGTTTATCAATCTTTATGAGCTCTTCTAGCAGATCCAGAACCTCCAACCACAGCGTGGTGAGAGTATGGGGCTCGAGCGACAGCGCATCGAGATAGTACAAAAAGCCACGACATAGTAGGTTGGATGCGCGAAGGCGGGTTTCTGGCATCCCACCCGGAAGTGGATCACGACCAAAGACTCGGGGTCGAGCAAGTCTTGGACCAGCGGAAAGACGGCTTGATGAAAGGCAACTATGATTTGTGGTGGACCCCCTCCTGACATTAATTGAGGGCTCATAAGAATGCGCTGGAAGTATACGATCGCCGCATGTCGTACTTCTCGACTCGGATTCACGGATTGATGACTGAGGGATACGATGATAGGTAGTGCATATGCGGCCCAACCTTGAGATGATGAGCAGATATAGAAAAGGCGTCGAAAGTTCTCACCTTGTTTCTGGCCAGCCTCACTGGCCGCTAGACGAGGGAGCATCTTTCGGCTTTCGAAGAGGGCCTCAACAGCTGAGCATCCGCGCTCTATGCGAGGATCTGAAGATCTGCGGGGTGTAAGCGCGAGAGGCCAAATGCACGGAGAATACATACTGCGCGGCTGGCGGCCTTCTGCGTTCCACCACTGTGCCGGCCAACGTGGCGATATCATCCAAGACCATGACAATTCCTTCAACCGCATCTACTGGAAGCGATTCATCGGCCATCAAGTGGTTGATACAGTCCAATGTTTGCTTGCATGCTACCGGGTTATGAGCCGTCATCCGAAGTAGTCCGTTTGTGAGTTTCCATTCGGTGGGGGAACTGAAACTCATGAGACATGCGAATATGTTTCGACCAAATTCTTACCGAATAGCAGAGCGATGCTTCTGCAGCAACATGGCTAATCCGTCGACAAGTGGTTGACTTACAGCACTGAGAACATCCGGTGGCAGACCTCCAATGGTGTCCAGAGCGACGAAAAGCTGATCACGAAGGCTCGGCTGATAGTGGTGTAAGAAAAGCTCTGGACGCAACGGCGAAACAAACCTCCTCTGCTGCAGGTTCACAGATCCTCAACAGATCTATGACAGCACGTTCAATCAACAAGGAACTAAACCACTGTGCCTGGGAAAGCAAAGCCGAGATATGGTCAAAAACAAGCGGCCTATATTGTCGATGAGCATCATGAGAGTTGCTGACGGCCGACGTACCAAACGTCATTTACATATTGCCTCGTGTTCAAAACAATGCTAGTCATCATTTCGAGCAGGAAAATACTCGCTGCATCGTAAGGCAAGGGTTGAATTGCACGATCTCCCGTAGGCGCAGAAGCGTGAGGGGCTTGCTCTTCATTTTGTTTGACTTTGAGCTTGTGAAGACTTCGCTTATTGGCAGCGTCTTGCATCGTTCGAAGCGCCGCCATTAGTGGTTCGAGTTCTAACGCTCTGATGTGTATGAGAACCATGTTGCTCATGTCATACGAAATCTCACCTGATCTGGTTATTGAGGTCTTCGAGATGACAGACACCTATGCAGTCAACGGCGCACATGGTCTTCTCGATTTCTTCTGGGGTAGCCTCAATGAGAGCATCGGTACTCGAGCCATACGGTGTAAGAAGGTATGAGGACAATGCGGAAAGCAATCCACCGTCCAATCTTTGCGTCGATTGAACAGGCTTTGGTACTGCCAACGCGATGGGATAGGCATTTCCTTGGAAGTCCTCCATTTGCGCCATTGATTGTGGGAGGAGGGAATACAAGAATAGATTTTGCAGAATGTCGAATACCTATAAACTTGTAAGATAGTGTGAACTTCAAGGGTCCTGCTTTACCGGTGCCCAACTCTCCCGTAGATTATTAAGGTTTCCGTTCAAGATGGTAAACAGGACCACAGTGGCCAATTGCGATCGCAAGCTGGTTCCGAATCGCACAGATAGAGCGGATACTGTGATGTTCTGGCCCTCGACTTCAACAACAGGGAAGTTGGATTGTCTCGGGAAGTTGACACCCTCTGCGAGACCAGTCGAGTACGCTAGAGACATGACAATAAAGTCGAACACCTCTGGAAGCTGAAAGTGGCTAGCCAGCGTCGCACAGTCTCGGAAACCAGTGATAATTTTCTCCACAATATAGTCGTCGTTGAAGGTGCTAAACGCAGTGGCGATCATGCCGACGACAGGTCTCCACACGAGCTTGAACATATGAAGGTCAAACGCAGACGTATGACAGAGCATGAGCGGTCCTAAGTACTTTCAACAAAGACTCCCGACAGACAGACCAGAACTTACGAGTCTGCTTGGATCTGATCAGCAACTCCTTCCAAGCATAGTCGAAACCAAGTTGTCCGACATGCTCTTCTGGCATTACGATTTCTCGTTTCTTAATGCTGTCGTAGATGGCTTTCTGGGGAGTTGTCAGGCGTGCTCAAGAGTTTTTACAATTCACGAACCAAAAATTCGGGCGAGAAATCTGAATTATCATTTACTCCCCGTAGATTGCGCTTGAAGTCTTCGAATGACATTCGTTTCTAAAGTCGATGGTGAGTCGGAATTCGGGGTAGGCTGGCCATGGGGACGCACTCGAACTTGAGGATTATGTAGATCAGTGTTAAGCATAATGATAGCGAACGCGAGGACATGGACAGCGTCCTGAGTCTTGATTTCCGCTACCGATTTGGGTCAACGTTGGCTGGGCAGCAAGAAATCTGATCACCTGGCTTGGAAGCAAAGTATTTGGCAGCAAATGTATCCGTTATTCTTTCGATTTGCTGAGATTCTCCCGGTAGCCGGAAGCTTTCCAACATTTCTCTCATTGCTTCTGCAATTGGAACCTGACCTAGAGGTTAACACCCAACATGAAGTGAGATTCAAGAACAATATCCACCTCATAGAAGTCAAACTGTCCGATAAAAGACTTGAGGATATCAATGTTGTCTGGTTTGGCGATGAATTCCCCGATGAGCTTCTTGTCGATACGAGGAGTGTTCTTCAGGAAATATGCAATACTTCGAACTCTACTCGCCGCGACTTCAGCCTCTGTCGCCGAACTTGCGACATCATATTGGAGGAGTCCATGCTCTTCGAGGAACGCAATGCCGCCTTTTGGGTTTTTGTTGAATCTGGCTGCAGCGGTGAGCAAGAGAAGCTTCTTCGATTTTGACTCCAGGATGGCAGGAATACTTGGATAGTCCTGAATCACGTGAGAAAGGAGTCTGTTGCAGTTGCCGGACAAACCTCTGGCCAATCTGGGAATTTCTGTTCAACCCTGCCTGCCATATTGCTAACGAAGGAGAGCAGTAGGTCAAGACACAGCACTTGTGCACCCTTTTGCTGAGGATCCGCATGTTGTACACTCTACAGGAGGACTGTCAACGATGCGCAGTTAGCGAGCTAGAAATCATGCCTTGGAAAGAAAGTTTATCAGTCGCTCGAAGGTGTCTTCGCAATTTATATCGCAATCGTAATTGACCCAAACGTCCACCATGAATTCAGGATATCGGCTTAGGTGGCCAAGTATCTCCAGCATTAGCTCCCTTGTTTCTCCCCGAGCAGGCGTGACTCCAGAACGTCCAGCCCGGGAAGGTGGTCTGCTGTCTTCTGCCTCGGAGCCTTCCCGTTCTCGCTCTCTATCTGCCAAATCACTCGTGCTGGCGTTTGAGCCACTCAGAGCAGCCCGGCGGTTGGGTGGCACTCCGAGCTGAAGTCGGCCTCCGGCGTTTGTAACACTACTCACAGGAGGCGTCAACTTGTCAACAAGGAAGCTCAACAAGAGCTCTTGCTGAAGCTTCAGATGAGATCGCATGGTTTCGAGGATAGTAGCCAATGTTCGGAGGGCGAGCGAGAGGACGGTAGGATTGTCACTCCTCGCCAGTTGAAACAGAAACTTGCATCCGTCATCCGTGATGAGTTGTCGGAGTTGTGGGAAGCGAGCAATAGTAGGACCCGCAGAAGAAAATGCAACGTTTAGCGTTGTGAGCGAAGGGATGAAGAGGCTGTCTGAATGTGAACGAGAGTGATGCTGTTGGGATGTGGGGTCCAGGAGAGATATCAAGGCTCTGAGGAGTTCAAAGATGGACGGGAGGCCGTATGGGGTCGCTATCCAAGGTAAGAAGGGTTTCAATCGACAAAAAGCGCGTACTGTTTTGGTTCTGTGCAACAGGAACTGGGGTCTTCTCTCTTTCAGGCGCTTCTGGATCAATATCCAGCACCTGCTCCATACTTGGAGGTGCATCTTCTCTCGTAGGTGACACAGTTACACGTAGTTCACTGTTTTCATTATCCAATGCTTCATCTTCCGTGGGCTCCAAAGTTTCGAGACGGCGAAAAATCACTCTGACGAGGTCATGCATATAGTATTCTGCAGCTCTCCTGACAGCCTCTTTTCATCGGAATATCAATCTTCGCAACATAAACGTCGGTGCACTGACCTCCTAATCTCACGTGGCAGCAAGTTGTGAGGACCGTTTCGAGCATTTCGCAGACTTCGATATCCCCAAGCAGGGGCCCTACTGGACCACAGATACAGTCTCTGACTACAGTCAAGATCCGGAATATGACTGCTTCATCGGCTGAACTGTTCCCTGCGTCGAATTTGCAGTGAGAGACAGTGTTACTGAGCTCGGAAAGGGCTGGTCGGAGATCTGGAGAGTTTGGTGATATGAGTCCGCAAACGAAGAAGGAATGAAGAGATGACAAGGACGCTGATACAATCGGTGCGGTCGAAATATCAGAGCGAATTAGAGCAAGGAAAGGCGCGAGTATGGCGGTCAAAGGCATCTCGCTAAGATCTGTCGTATATCTGAGATTCAAAGTCGGTTGATTTAAGAAGAAACGCACCAGCCAACGCCCTTACGTCTCTCTTCAACTCTTCAAAGCCGACCATGAGATCTACATTCTTCCGGCCTTGAACACGTCCTTCGCGCTCATTATTCGTAGCTGCACGTAGACCAAGGCTGCTAGCCAATGAGACTCGTGCTGATGATGGATAATACGCGGTTGGTGTGGCCCAGCGAGAGTTCTTGCGCATCGCAGAAGTGACTGAGAGGATCTCCGAGTACACGAGATGCGTACTTGGTACCGCTAGGTTGTATTTTGACTGGCTATCCATTTCGTGCGCCTTCAAGTTCATGTCAGCCTTGGGTCGCCACTTGGCCAACGTGTCCATACCGTATAGTCTTCGTAACTTGAACAATAATAGCTGTATTGACCTCTGGAGGTCCTCGTGTCTGTATTTATACGAAGAGGCGAGTCGCAAGAAAGCCAGTCGATTGATGTTTGAGTCCAAGTTGTTGTCGAAACATGGCTTGGACCCGTGCCACGTATGCCGGGCGATTGACTATTCACCATTCCACGTTGCATCTTGGTATAATGAATGGAGTATACTCATTTGTGATTTCTTTCACTGTTCGAATGTCGACTACATTCAAAGTCTTTGCTGATCAATTTCAATCTGTCAAACAATGAGTAAACGAATGTGTGAATCATATCATTTGCATTACTCTTCCTCTTGTCTACACTAGAGCCTGGGCCACTTACTGCAAGGGGTCGACGCGTAACTTGAACTTTCTCCATGTTTCTTACTCGCTCAGAATACGGTACATCTATCGCTCCCTACAACTTCAAGTGGCTAATCTTCACTAGATCGTGGTGTAAATACCTTTTCACCAGAAGGACGGCTGTTCCAAGGTCAGTTTCTCTTTACGCTCGACAGTCCAGTGCTCAATATCGCGCTGTTCAGTCGAGTATGCGATCGAGGCAATCAAGGCGAGTTCGAATCCGTGTTTATATTCATTCTAGCCACTAATACGCGTTTAGCTGGGCTCCACGACCGTTGGCATCCGCACACCAGATGGAGTTATCTTGGGCGTCGAGAAACGCGTTCCCTCGCCACTCCTAGAGTCTTCCTCGGTCGAGAAGATTATGGAGATCGACGCGCATATTGGATGCGCTATGTCTGGGCTCACCGCCGACGCGCGTACCATGATCGACCACGCAAGAGTGACCAGCCAAAACCACTCCTTTACATACGATGAGAAGATTGGAGTCGAAAGCGTTACTCAAGCCGTCTGCGATCTTGCTCTTCGGTTCGGCGAGAGCATGGACAATGAGAGCGCGATGATGGTCAGTGCTCTTTGTGTGTTGGAAGGGGACTTTGATGAATTTTCTCTGCAGAGTCGACCGTTTGGTGTTGCTTTATTGATCGCTGGTATTGATGAGAAAGGTCCTCAACTGTGAGCTCACCTTTAGTAGTCGATTCACCTCTCATCTGCTTCTAGATATCATACCGATCCCTCGGGCACATATACTCGGTATGAAGCGAAAGCGATAGGGAGTGGCTCGGAGGCTGCACAAAGCGACTTGCAAGACAAGTACCACAAGGTGGGTCTTTATCGAACTATGTTTTCGTTTATTCTCACATTAATCAGCAAATGACACTGCGCGAAGCACAGCATCTCATTCTACGGGTACTCAAACAGGTGATGGAGGAGAAGCTCGACCATCATAATATCCAACTCGCCCAGGTCACGAAAACAGATGGATTCCATATTCTGTCAGAGACCGAGCTACAAGAGCTTATTGACACGATGCCAGCCGCTCCGGCTCCAGGTGCGGCGTAAATTGTACATTGAATTGAAATAAAACGAGTAGAACTGGAGTAATCCGGTCAAAGGTCGTCCTATTGCGAATTCAATTCAATACAGCCAGATGTTGTCGTATGCGTGATCCAAATAGCCACAGGTAGGAGCTGTCTTACGGTCGTAAACTAAGATACGCTCGTCATTAGAATGGGTCGGATCCAGCCTCGCATCAGCTGAGCGAAAGCTGCCCGATCTTTATAGTGGTGGCCTGGTCAAGAATCGAATGATAACGCGGCATTATTATGATGCGAGTGCGATACATTCGACTTCTACGAGGACGTCCTTGGGAAGACGTGATACTTCAACCGCAGATCTGGCGGGTTTGTGATCTCCAAAGCTCTTGGAGTAGATTTGATTCATTGCGGCGAAATCGTTCATCGATTTGAGAAACACCTAAGAGGGGGGTCAGATTCCACATGACAAAGTAGGGAGAAGACTGACTGTTGTTTTGACCACTTTATCCATGGAAGAACCACTCGCTTCGACGACGGCTCGAAGGTTCTTGAACACTTGAGTCGTTTGCTCGTCAATGCCACCGGCGACAATCTCCATCGATGCTGGGTCCAAGGGAATGCAACCAGACACGAATACAAATCCGTTGGCTTTGATGGCTTGTTGATATGGTCCAATAGCTGCTGGAGCATCTTTGATATCGTTGAGATGTACATCAAAGTCTCCTATTAGAGATACTCACTCGAAGTCGAAACTATCTCAAGCGAGGACATGTTGGCGCGTCGAGGAACGGGTAGTCTGACGGGGTGTTGTCTAGAGAGTGATATTCTAGTATTTGTAGAGTATCTACCAAGCGCTGGGAGAAATCTGCGGGAAACGGTCGAGGACAAGAAGGACATGTGTTGTCGCATCTTAAACCCGACCGCCACTGTAACATCCTTGACCAGTGACTAAACCAAACCCACAGGCCATGTCTACGTCCTGGGATAACGCTAGACACTCTTGGGAAGAAGGAGCCAAGCGTGTCAAAGGCGCATGGCAAGGCTTCAAGGAGTTCTTGTTGCGAGAATCCGTGCTCGAAGTTGCCGTCGGTCTTATTATCGCCTCGGCATTTACACGCGTTCGTGATGTTCACCCTATGCGTCAACTTGCACTAATCTGGGCGGTCCTGAGTAGATTGTCAACTCCATGGTCACGGATATGATACTCCCATTCATCGCTCTGCTTCCTATATTTAACCGAAATCTACCGCAGCAGTTTATCACGCTGCGAAAGGGCCCCCATCAGCCTCAGGGTGGCTACAACACGATTCAGCAAGCGGAAGCAGATGGTGCTATATATCTCGCATACGGGTAGATCAGCTGCGTTTAATAGTCGCCTCCTGCTGACGTTTATCTTTAGTCGGTTCATCGATGCAGTTCTCAACTTTGTCGCAATCGGTTTCGTCCTCTACCTCATTGCCCGGTTTTATGGATACGTCAGTGGAGACTCTATCATTAAACATTCGACCAAGTGCAACTATTGCCGCAAGGAGATTTCGGAGAAGGTAAGGACTTAGCCCTGCGCTAAGTCATTGCGCTCATTCACCCTTGTAGGCGAGTCGTTGTGCCTTCTGCAGCAGTTGGCTCGATGGAAGAGAAGACAGGGAGACGAGTGCACTTGCTCCTGCTACTCAATGAACAAAAGTTGAAAAGACGGAACTGCGGACAAACTGTTACTAGTCCAAGCTTGAAATTGGATCTCGACATGCTCTTTGCCAATCTTCCCTTTGCGGTCGCAATACACAGTCGGCCCTGAATCGAGTATTTGATGCCATCTATTCTTACCAGAAGGGTCATCAGAATACCGTCTTCTCGGTACAAGGAGATCACTGACCACGTACCCACGGTGTCTGACGACTAGTTTCTCGACTGAGGTGTACCGTCTTGGCGTGTATATTGTTTCATGTGCTCCTCAATTTTATTGCCCACACCCTCCATCGACTGCAGTGACCTAGTCATTTTCTAGTACGTAGCGGTGTCTTATCGGTCTCTAGAAGTTCTATTGCTACCGGAAGGACGCTGGCAAGCTACGGGGACGGAGGCTGGTAATGCGCCTTGACCTCCAACCTCTCCTTTCTCCTCGCATGCAGCAAAATGGCAACCATCAATGACGAGTACGACAAAGGGATTAGGATCATTAGCTTTGGTGAGCGCGTCGTTCTTGCGCCGTTTCGACTGAAGCGCCCTCAAGTGGCATCTTACTCGCGAGCGTCCTAGATGGAGGTGGACCTGGCGTTCTTTCGGAGCTATTCACCCTCAAGGAGATCATGTATAGATTACAGAACGTGCTCGATCTTGATGATTTACCACGGCCATGCCACTTTGTTGACCTCGTGGCTGGGTGTGGGTTAGGAGGGTAAGTCATAGCAGTTTTCTGTCGGCCGAGTGGATTGATTTTATTTCAATAGGTTTGCAGCGTTGCTCTTAGGGCGTCTGGGCCTCTCTATTGACGACACAATCGAAGCCGTGGCGAAAGTTGGCCCCTTGGTCTGCTGCAAAGGAGAGTCATCTGCAAATGGAAAGAAGCTCAACACGAATAAATTACGAGTGGCCATCGCGGAGGTTGTTCGGCGACACGGCTTTGAAGAGACTGTCATGCTACTCGAAGAAGATGGGACAGCCTCACCATGCAAGACGTAGGTCTGGTAATTATGTCTCATTTTTAGTATTTACGTGTTTAGGTTCGTTTGCTTGACACCAGCCGTCACAATGATGACATGCCATCATCTCCGTACCTATACTTCCCCTCTCTCGCTCCCTCTCAACTGTACTGTCGTGGACGCGGCTCTCGCTACCATGGCATCATCCCTCTATTTCGACCCAGTCCAAATTGGTCGTCAGCTCTTCCTTGGTGCAAGTCTGGGATATAATAATCCGACACGTGAGGCGATTAGAGAGGCTTGGGATGGTAAGTGGCCCAACTCACTTCACGACTAATCTAAATCCCACTAGTATGGGGAGCAGATCGATCGGTTGCCTGCATCCTCAGTCTGGGAACTGGTGCTTCCAATGCTCTAAACAAAGAGAAGCCGGTTGAAAATCTTCTTCGTGATATATTGGAGGATTGTGACAAGATTGCGAATGACCTCAAGGGTCAGCTACAGGCCCCTGACCTGTATATGCGCCTGTCAGTACTTCGAGGTCTAGACAACATCGACGTTCAGAAATGGGATCCAGAAACGGTCGGGGTAATCGAGTCCCATACGAAGGACTATATAAGCCATCTTTCAAGTCACAAATTAGCGACATTTATCGAATCGCTCGTGAATCGGCCTTCAAGAACTTCTATTGGCGCCTTGAGTAAGTCCCAAACCATATAGGGTCACCAATCGTTTATTCTTTTGTTCAGACAAAGCACATCGGGAAACGGTTTACTCAAAATCCGTTCCTCTGGTCAGCCAATTCTTTGTGCCCCGGGAGACGTTGTTTGAACAAATGAGTGACTATCTCCTTGCCAAAGTGGCGAACAAGCGAAGTATTGTAGTTCTCCATGGAGCTGGTGGCGGGGGAAAGACTCAACTCGTATCATATTTTGTTCAGCGATATCGTCAAAAGTGAGTTCAGTACTATTGAGTAGATTGCATTCCTGATCGAGCTTCATTAGTTATAGCCATATTTTCTACGTTGACGCAAGTTCCTTGGCCAGCCTTCAAGCGGATCTCAAGGCGGCAATCCGCTCTCTCGGTGTCACATACCTGTATGGGACATACAAGGATGCGCTGGCATTTCTCGCTCAGCCCTCAAACACAAGGTGGCTGCTGGTCTATGACAATGCAGACGACACTTCCGTCTCTCTAGAGGCGTATCTCCCACAATGCGAGCATGGTTCTATTGTCATCACAACTCGCAATGCTCATCATGCTGGGCTGGCTCCCGACTCCAGCATCGAAGTTGGTCCGATGACCGAGCCAGAAGCCATCGAGGCGCTTCTATACGCCGCCAGTAGGCCAAAGGATACTCCTCGATCCGAGCGGCAGTACGCCAAAGAGATTGTAAGAGCGTTGGGTTTCCTGCCTGCAGCTATCGTCCAAGCAGGACGCTCTTGCTCGCGCGGTCAGTCTTTGAACATGTACTTGTCCTTATTCGACGCTCAGCCCCGTAAGCTTCTCGAACGCGGTCACGCCGGATCCTTGGACCAATATCGATACCCCAGTGTGTATGCCGCACTAAGCGTGTCGCGGAACGATCTTGAAGCAATTCCTAAGCAATTCCTCCACCTTGCGGCCTTCTTCCACCACTCCGATATTCCCGTTGCCATGATCATTGCAGCTATTGAGTGCAGTTTCAACAACCCAGCGGAATACATCGCACATTCCGGCAAGGTGGTCGAACTTCGACAGCGACTGAGGCAATGTTTGGCACCAGAAGCTACTGATAGCTCTCTGGCTTTGCTACATATTGATGGCATTTTGGAATCGCTCGGGAGCTTCTCCCTTATCAACAGAACCAATGTTGCTGGTCGGCAGCTGTTTCATTTCCACCCACTCACTCAAGTATGGGCCCGAAGCATCCTATCTCCGGACGAGCAAATCATCAACAATCATATGGCCGCGCTTGTCCTGAGCTGTTGCTCTGACAAGAAGCACCAATCCCTCCATTCCTCCATCGTACCCCATATCCAAGCAGTCCTCGGCATCTCTAGCAGCCTGCATCCCAATTATCTGGCTGCTTTTGCTCCCCTTCTTCACGAGGCGGGCGAATATGATCAGGCTTGCAAGCTCTGGCGCACCGTAAGAGACCGTTGTATCGAAGAGCATGGTCTTGCAAATGTTACTACGGTCCGAGCAAGTCTTAGCTTTGCGCAAATGCTGCGTGACTGTGGCAAATTTGATGAGGCGGAAGAGGTTGGTGCGGAAGTCGTGGAAATTAGCGGAAGGTTTATTACCGAGGATGTTGGCTTAGTCGTGCGGGCGTTTAGGAGTGCCGCTGTCACCTTTGAGTGCCAAGTCAAATGGGAATCTGCAGCGGGTCAACTTTACGAGGCGCTCAAGATCTTGGAGGGCTCAAAGGGTGACCACACCGAACTTCTTCTTGAGGTTCAGGAGCATCTTGCGGTCACTCATCAGGAGCAAGGTCATTGGCAGAAAGCAGAGTCTCTGCGTAGCCAGATCCTGGGCGCTCGCCGTGAGAAGTTGGGTGTTGATCACGAGAAGACGATAGAAGCAATGGTCAACCTGGCAGATACCTATCTCGAGCAAGGAAGATGGAACGAGGCCGCGTCAATGCAATCCCAAGTACTTCAAATACGAAGTCAATGTCTAGGGATGTCTCACCCCGCTACCATGGCAGCTGCCACGGATCTAGCAGTCACGTATGAACGCCTCGGAAGGTGGAATGCTGCCGTCACCCTTCAAGAAGACCTTCTCGAGACTCGGAGGAGACTGCTGCCGAACGATCACCCTGACCTCATCGAAGCAGCTGGGAATCTCGCATCGACGTATTGCAATCAAGGGCGATGGGTCGATGCTGAGAAGCTACAGAGAGAGGTGCTCAGTATGCGTCGAAGCTCGCTGGGAAATGAGCATAAAGAAACGGCGTACGCTATCAGCGAGCTTGCAGCAACGCTCTACGACATGGGTCGGTACAGTCAAGCGGAGAAGCTCCAACGCGAAGCCCTCGCTATTCGCAAGAAGGTTCTTGGAGAGAATCACCCAGACACTCTCATCTCCATCAGTAGCCTTGCGTGCACTTTGTCTGATATGGGCAAGTGGACGCGTGCAGAGCAACTTGCCAGAGATGCCATTGAGAAAATGAAGGAGTTAATGCCAAAGAACCACCCCGACACACTCAATGCTATTGGTGGCCTTGCCTTCACTCTCTCGGAACAAGGTCGCTATGAGGATGCGGAGAAGCTTCAACGAGAGCTGCTTGAAGCCTACGAATCCACTTTAGGAGAACACCCAGACACTCTAATAGCGCGCAGAGATTTGGCGTCCACCTACTGCGAGCTAGGAAAGTGGTCAGATGCTCTTGCTCTTCAGCTGAAAGTGGTCGAGCAGAGTAGGGAACTCCTCGACGAGCAGCATCCAGATGCACTCCTTGCATCTCGAAACCTCGCGTGGACCTATTTGCAAATGGGTCGCTGGAAGGATGCATACACCCTTCTGGAGACCACAGTCTCGCATATGACCATTTCAATGGGGCCTAATCACCCAGATACAATCGAAGCTAGGTCAGACTTGGCCACGACCTTGTACGAGATGGGGAGGTTTGCAGAGGCGGAAGACATTCAACGCGAGGTGTTGAAGCTGCGAAAGACGTTGAACATGGACTATGAACCGCACGAAGCCACATCGCTTTCGATGGAGAGCCCGGCGAGCAAAGATCTGGTGGAGGCGGAGCGACACCACGAGGAGACTCTGCAAAGCCTAGGTCGGGAGCATCCAGACACACTACTTGCCATGGGAGATCTCGCGTTGACCATTGCAAATGCGGGCCGATGGGACGACGCAGCGAAGCTTCAAGTGGAGACGCTTAAATCGTGTGAAGTGGTCTTTGGTAAACGTCACCCCAGCACACTCGAAGCCATGGGAAATCTCGCAGCGACCTATTCGCTTATGATGGAGACGGTGAAGGCAGAGGAGTTACAGAAGGAAGTACTCGAAATCAGTGAAAAAGTTCTTGGGGAGCATCACCCAGATACAATCCTGGCCAAGAGCGCCCTCGCCGCCACGTACTCGGATACTGAACGCTATGAAGATGCACTTAAGTTACAAATCGACCTCGTCGACTTGCACAAGCGATATATGGGTGAGGAACACCCAGAAACATTGACAGCCCAAATGGATCTGGCACTCACTTATTCGGAGATGGGATCTACAAAGGAGGCAGAGGCCCTTCAGCGTACTATGGTGGAGAAATGTACACGGATACTTGGGAAAGAACACCCGGATACCTGCTGCGCCATCACAAATCTAGCGTCGACGCTCTCGCAGCAGGAAAACTGGGAAGAGGCGGCTGAGCTGCAGTCCTCCGTCATCGACATTTCACGCAAAGTCCTCGGGAGTGGGCACCCAGACTTTCTCGCCAACCTGACGAATCTATCTCAGACATATACGAAACTAGGACGATGGGCAGACGCCGAGGCGTTGCAGCGCCAGGTAGTGGATGGATGGGCGAAGAAAGTAGCAGGTCGGGAACACCCGCGCTACAAGCGAGCGAACTCTGCATTGCAGCAGATCAAGCAGCAGCGACGAGAGCTAGAAGGTTACGTCGACAAGCAAGACGAGCAGATTCTTTCGCCTGTGGAAGTCGACTCACCCCTCAGCGAAGGGTTTGGCCTCGTACATAAGTTTTTGGAGACGTTTCCTGTATTACGTCGAATCAGGCTGCCGTCGTCGGTAACGGTAAGTCGGCTCTCTAGCCCGCTTTATAAACTGACTACCTTCCCATTGACAGATGCTATGGGCGAAATGGGGCCATTTGGGTTTCTATGGAGGTATTATCTTGTGGGTTTCATCTGGGACAGTCAACTATTGGTATACACGATTTAGTATCATTGTACCTGGCCGTAGTCACCTTTGACTCCGCTACGAATGAACTTGCGTTTTTCAAGACTACGTTGTCGGTGATGATGGCGGCTGCAATCGTGTCAACGGACACTTCGGGTTGCTCGTGGATGGTTGCGCAGTGTCACTGCTTGGTCTCTACTCTTCCAATCCTCGAAAATTATCACCTCAAATGGCTGAAACCAGTGTTAAATCTGATGTCATTGAGCAAAGCAAACTGGAAGAGGCAGCAAAGATCGTCATTTGGTCAGAGACCGGAGAGTCTGTGACGTTTGGAAGCCTATTTGAACACCAGAAGACGATTGTAGTCTTTATTCGTCAGTGTTTCTCCTCTCTTTCATCCGACTCGAATGCCGTAGCTCATCTTGTTCTCCGACCATGCAGGCCATTTCCTCTGCGGGGTAAGCGTTTGTCGTGCGTCAAGTGTTGGAATCTGATTTTTAACGTGTAGATGTGTCAAGCATACGTGGAAGAGCTTGGAAAGGTGCCGAAATCGGACCTAGACGCTGCTGGGACGCGGATTGTGGTCGTTGGATGTGGGGGTTGGCCAGCTATCAAGCAGTACAGAGGTAATGTTCCACGAGAGAGCGCTGAAATATACGTCTGAAATGCGACAGTCAACGCCAACAACTATCCTTACGAGATTTATGCTGAACCGACCCGCAAGTTGCATCAAGTACTTGGGCTAATAAGTAATCTCAAAGGACCAGCTGCCGGGGAAGCTCGTAAAAGCTATGTCCCAAGTGTATTAACCACAACCTTGGCCTCTATCGGTGTACGGCGTTTTACGAGCCAATGATGTGCCACTCACACTGCATATAGACCGGACTCCGACACCTAGGCATGGCTTTCAATATGGGCAATACCACGCAGCTTGGAGGCGACTTTGTGCTCGGACCGGGTGCGCCTGGGTGTGGCTTTTCGTTTGACCAATGGCGGCTGACAACGTTGCAGGTCTCCATACCGAATTTGCATGGAGGATGCGAAATACTCAAGATCGTGAGTATCTTGTCCCCATTCTCGCTGTTCCTCCGTTTCTGACGGCCCTTTGGCAGACGTCGAAATCGACGACCTGATGAAGGCGGCAGGAGTGGCTTATCGGGCAAGCGGAAACTGAGCGGGAATCTATTCCAACTGCACTACGCCGCAGACGTTGTAATGTGTCCCTGGAATGCGAGCCTTGAGGCCATTAACCATAGTCGGCAACTTCGTCACAATCTCGGTTGAACCTGTTTTTTGTGTAGATAGACAAAACTTTTCGGCACGTGTATAGTCATGAGAGTATGGCCTGGATTGGTGTACCCGCACGCCCCTCGGGTGGTTTTGTTCTGCCACTTCTCGGGAGGAGCTCGAGAGTTGAAATCGCCTTTGGAGCTGACCGCGACTTTGCTGTCTCGGAGTCCGTCGAGCAGGAAAATTCCTCTAAATTCTCAAAACGAGAGATTTAGAGCATTAGGCTTGTTAGGATGAACTTTAAAGGAGGCATCCGCAAGTTGCTCTCCAGAAACCACAGCGTGGGTATCGCTGGGAGGGCATCAGACGTCTCAGAGGACTCAAGTATCTCGTACGATCGGTATGTGAATACCTTCATCCGGTTTCGACTCGACTCTCCTGTTGGCTGGATGTCGCGTGCATTATCGTTCGTCGACGACGATATAGCGACGATCCAAAATCGGGAAATTCGCCCCAATTTTCCTACTCATCGGGATGCATTACTTGATACTCCACATGATTCGGGCCGTTTCTTGCTTTATCCCTCTCAGTAATCACAGTGGAAAGAAGACTGACACCACCACTTTCTATCCAGATCCTCTGGCTCAATAGTACATCGTATGAAGACGTCTCTCAAATCCCGAAGCGGACGGTTGAGAAGGACCGTATCCGAGAGTGGCGCAGGCCACGACGAATTTGGCCTCGACGAGCCTTTCCCAGATAACAACATCAGCCGTAGAGATATGGTACATACACCGTATCCAGATGCCGCCGGTTCGTTCGGAGACTTGCGGAAGCGGGTTCCGCTACCGTCCAAAAAGAGCGCATTTATGGACCGGTATCGGGAGTCTGAGGAAAGTTTGGGGTGGGAAGATGGACCCTCTCCGCAAGAGAGACAAAAGAGCCAAGATATTGTATCGGCATGGCTTGATACCAGCGGCGAGGCGGAGATTCCTCCGACGTCCAGTGCCGACCTTTCGTTTGGCGTTCCGGAGGAGGAAACAAGTGAGGTAGAAGGCCCCGGATACAATGATGGCGTACCTTTTCCGGCGCGTCGGCAATCCCTTCGCATGCTTGACTCAATCTCGGAAGACGAGGTACCCGACTTTGTGGGGTCGGTGGTATCAACAGCACCCTCTACGCCAATGGTCCCGCCAACCATTCCTTCTCGAAGCCGTTCCCCACCCTTGCGTCGACGTTCTTTGGATGGTCAAGAAGACTATCCCCGCCTACGTGGCCTCGATACGATCCAAGAATCGGTACCTACACCAGAACCCAAGAGCCATACGGCCCCACGACGCTCACTTGATAGTGTGCGCCCAATGGCACTCGAGTCAATACCAGAAATTGACTCTAGTTCCCCACTTGCTTCCAATAAGCGACGGCTAGGACTCAAGGCATTCGGACTGCCTCGAAGCGAAAGTGCTCCAACAATTCCGACTATACCCACCACATCTCGACCTTCACCGCCTCCTCCCTCTCGCAAGGCCTCTGCCGGCTTGATGATGACTCCAAGGACAAAAGGGCCGTGGATGAGTTCATTGAGCGAGAACGGCGGTCTCTCCTCTCCTGGGACCCCCGTTTCGCCCTTTCAACGCAGTTCAAATAATTTGATGGGACCCCGAGAGCCGCAAGGCCGACATTCACCACAGTTCCAACGCAAGCCCCTCAGTCCACCAATATATTCCCCAGGCTCTGTTTCCATCCGATCGGACCGCATCCAAGATGAAGAGTCCAAGCGGCTGACGGAGATAGCCTACCTCACCTAGCCCACGCCCAACCCTCGTTCATTTACCACCATCAAATCATTGCATTAGCTTCATGCTTCCACTTCTCTATCGTGTTCATGGGTTTGTTGGTCGCCTCTATCTCGCGCATGGTATCGCACATTGCTCTTCGCCAGCTGGATGCTGGATCACTCTTTCGCGTTCTCTCAGCCTTTGTAGCTCTCTCTCGTGTACTACTCCAATGAATCTGCTTTAGGTATGATTGGACTTTGAGGAATTTGGAGCTAACGCTCGCAATGATGAGATATAAGAGGTCTAGTTTGTCAAAGGCTCGTGGCCGAGCGGCACAACGATACCATGACCATTAATTACGAGAGTAACGCAGCCTATTGCAAGATCAATACTTAGACCAGTGTACGGAAGGTAGTCGCCAAGCCACCTGTTCCCACCCGGAGTCTGACGCTGCCCTCAATTTCTTCGTCTCCTCATCGCATCACCATGTCCGATCTGAGGGCACTGAGAGAAACATACACACGCGAGAAGTTGATAAAAGTCATCGAAATCCTCAAATGCGGACCCGAAGAGTACAACAAACGGGACCACACCTGCAAGCACTCGGACGATTCTCCTTGCGTCGATCCATTAGAATGTTGCTTATTCGATGAATACGATGAACGGTTCCCGTGGAAAGCAGTACTCGTTGGATATGCTTACTACGAGTCGATCGAGACTGGGAAGCGAATGACGGTGGGACACTTCGTGGCCGATATTATCAACCGGGAGAAAATCAGAGATGTTTGGTATGATCACATGGAAGCTGTGTCTCCTGTTCACGCTGTCGTCGCCGAGACCGTGTTTGACCGGCAAGGTTATATGCACCGCGAGCTCTACGAAGAGGAACCCAAGATGGGGAGCGGCGTCTTCAAAAAGGAGATTGGAGAAGGTCCTCTCATTCTTCCCGTTTCATTGAGGTAGACGAGAAGTTTCGCCGACGCGGAATTGGAACCAAGCTGCTAAGTGGGTTGCACAAGGTCGCTAAGCAGGAGGTAAGGAGCTCGCTCTGAAGTGCCATGCATCCTTATACTCTTCCATTAGGAAATTGAATTCATATGTACCTATCCCAAACCAGATACGAAGGATACCTTCACCGCCTTTGTGCGATCAGTAGGATACCGCCGCGTCGCACGGAGCAACATACTCGCGTACGCCACAGATGAACACCATTCTTCAAGGCAACTGGCCAAACATCTAGATTCGAAGCCCGTCACCGTGGCTGATCGTACTCAGCTGTTGGAATACACAACGCCAATCTGTCTTGTCATTAGCAAGTACATGGGCAATGACGCTATAAGAATCCTTCAGAAATTCCCCATCGATACAGACTGGAACGAAACTAGCATCTACGGAATCACGCCACTTCATCTTGCTGCAAGCTTCGTCGCACCAGAAGTCATCGCGTTTCTTCTTTCCAGGGGAAAGGCATCCAGCAGCATATACCAACTCACACATTATGGAAATACGCCGCTTGGCGTGTTGAAGGCGACGGGTGTTTCGGTTCGGTATTCGCCCACGAGCGGTCCAGTGATGAACTTGGATCACTGGAGAGGACATGCGGACGACTACGTCGAATGTTATAGATTGTTATCCACCGCGATGAACATGCCGTGGGATGACGCGCTCGAGAAGCGTGTTCGCGCTGGATGCAGCTGTGGAGAGTGTTTGGAGGGTGTAATGTCTCCTCGCCTCCAATTTTATATTCTTGGTGTGCATCTGATGGCTCATTTCTGATATTTCTCCCTAACATCATACTACCCATAGGATATATTCGTGACTCAGTACAGGTAATCAAGGGACGTTGGGGGCAAAATACCGACAAAGAGTCCCTTCAAGCCGTCAACAGCATCTTTGGCCATCTTCCTACGACACTTTCCGCCGTATGCGACTTGGAATCGTTTCAAATAGGCTTCACGACTTTGCTCGAATATACAGGAGCATGGATTGAAGAGAAAATGATGCCAAATGCAAGCGGCCTCGAAAGGAAGATCGACCAATACACAGAGTTGGGTGGAGGGAGATGTCCAGACGTACCTCGAACTTGGCGGGACCATCAACGACGCCTTGGGCTATCTCTTTGGCGAATGCTGCTATAAGGCATGGAGTCTTAAATTCCGAAACTTAAAGGAGACAAAGGCCATCCCCCATTGCGATAATGACGACCTCATCAATCCGGTGCGGCTTGTGGCTTGTGGCATCAAGGATGGCAAGCCACCAAAGACGACGCCACTTCCGTTTGTCTTTAGGGACGTCTATTCGCATGTGAGTCATATTTCGACGGGTACATGACAAATGAGCGATTAGTGGAGTCGATAAAGATAGTATGCATACTACAAAGCGTTTAATGCTAATAAATTCTAACACCCGACGCTTACTTTTGATTTGCCACCAAAAATTCTTCACTCGGAGCCTGACGCTGCCCTCAATTTTCGTCGCCCGTCCTTAGATACACCATGTCCAAGCTCTGCGTCCTCAGAGGAAGATCCAAATTCAAGGATCAGAAACTAGTCATCGAATTTCTCAAATGTGGACCCAAAGAGGCCAATAAATGGGGACACTGCTGCAAGCACTCGGATGATTCTGTTTGCGTCGATCCAATCGAATGCGAACTGTTCACCTATTACAACCCGCGGTTTACTTGGAGGACTGTGATCATCGGGCATGCATATATCGAGCCAGTAAAGGGTGGAAAGCGCAAGACTGTGGGGACTCTGCTGGCTGACATTATCGATCGTGAGACGATTAGAGATGTGTGGTATGATCACATGTGCGCTGTATCCCCTATACATCTCCTCATTGCCGGGACGCTGTTCGACCGCCAGGGTTATATGGACCCCGAACTCTACGACGACGAGATCAAGAAAGGGAGCGGCGTGTTTGGAAAAGAGATCGGAGAAGGGAGACTGTTACATCTTGAAAGTATCGTGGTGGACAAAGATTATCGTCGACAAGGCATTGGGGCTAAATTGATGAGCGGACTGCACAAGGTCGCAAAGAAGGAGGTAAGGTACTCGTTTCCCGTACTATAATCTCATACTCAGACTCATATATAGCAAGTATCGTTCATCTTTGCCTTCCCCGACACTGAGACGCAGGACTTCGTCGCATGCGCGCGCTCGGTCGGATATCGACATGTCGCACGCACAAGAGTGATCGCATATGCAGTAGATCAACAGCACCCTTCGAGGAAACTGGACAAGAGTCTTGACCCCGAGCCATTTGCCTATTATCATCAAGCTCATCTGTTTGACTACTCGACGCCAGTCTGTCTCGTCATCAGCAGATACATACCCAAATTCGCTGTGCAAATTCTTCAGAAGTTTCCTCTCGACACCGATTGGACCGAACGCGATGACGGTGGAATGACACCCCTTCATCTTGCTGCAAAGGGCATCTCACCAGAGCTCCTTATGTTTCTTCTTTCCAAGGAGACCACATACGCATGTATACATCAGCGCACGACATTCGGGGACACGCCGCTTACGGCCTTGAAGTCGTCGGCGAGGCGTGTTCGCGATATGCCGATGGGAATTCCTGCACCGAATTTGGATAATTGGAGGGGTTATGCAGAAGATTACGTAGAATGCTACAAGCTGCTCATCTCTGCTATGAACGAACCGTGGGATGAGGAGCTTGAGAAGCGCGTTCGCTTCGGGTGCAGCTGTGGACACTGTCTCGAAGGTGTGATGTCCCCACGCGTTAAGTTCTATATCCTTGGTATGTGGTAACCCCCCTTTCTGTCTAGTATCGAGGTCTCATAGTCGTACAGCATATATTTATGAATCAGCTCGGATCATCAAGACACGATGGGGCGCAGAAACTAATGAAAACATCGCCAAAGTTGTCTCTGGAATCTTTGCTCATCTACCTCCTACGCTCTCCGATGTCAGTAGCGAGGAGCCGTTCCAACGAGGCTTCGCGACACTCCTCGAATATATTGGCATCTGCCTCGAAGAAAACGAGATTCCGACTGCGGATAAAGTGGGCAAGAAGCTCGATTGGTACAGAGATATGGGCGAGGGAGAGGACACCCAGAGATATCTCAACCTTGGTGGGACGATCAACGATGCGTTGAGCTATCTCTTTGCTGGATGCTGCTACAAGACATGGAGTGCTGTGTTTAAAGAGTTGGACGAGGCGAAGGAGATTCCCCATTGTGATAACGACGACCTCATCACGCCAGTACGCCTTTTCGCCTGCGGCACGATGGAAACCGAACGGCCAAAATCAACGCTTGAATCCATCCCTCTTGATGCCGTTCTCGGTCAGATGGTCGACATGCTGACGGGGTACCATTTTTGATAGCTGGTTGAAACCCCTACTTTCTTGTCATCGTGTAGGTATTTCTTGATAGAATTCGAAGTTGCTTAGATTCCCCGTGGTTTCCTCCATTTCAATCTCTATTCCAAGTGGCAGGTGACTGGCAGATTTTCTCAAGCTTCGAGCCGCTAATTTGGGCTGGCCCCTACCGCGCTGAACATAGAATGTCTGAGTATATATAAAGACGTTGAGGGGGGGAACCGAGCCCCATTCTGTCAGATCTTATTATCAGATGGCTTCCTAATACTACTAAGCGAAGTTGCGAATGTCTGTTTGTTTAGGCCCTAGTCTCCGTAATCAGCACTTCAAAAGAGACTAAATGATTGCTTTTCAGTAGTGGCACCTATAAATTTCTCATCGTGTCGCCGATAGCGCATGTCCTCGTAGCTTGCAACCCCGCCCCTGCACTGACACGCCACTCTACACATTCAAGGGCAGTGCTGGGCCCTTCTCTCTCTATCTACTTACACCGGGCAGAATTATGGGGGTTGTGTTCTCCATGTACGTCCGGGACCAAGTTGACAGTGTATCTAGTATATATATGGGCCTGTCGGGCACAAAGCGGCCGTAGAAGGAGATAGACGATACATGTCGATGGAAACGGTAACATGGAGGGCCCTCCTTCCATCGCCCAGTGTCTTAGCAGGATAGGGGATGAAGCTTGCGGTTTCAAGCTGTTACGAGATGTTCTATTTATTTGCGCTTCTACATTCGATTTGAGGCTCATAGCAGGATATCTCAACAAGTCTATAATATATTCCCAACGCCTTAGAATCATGACCCCATGCCTATTTCTCGTTGGTCAGGGATACCAAGCGCGATGAATACCAAGCGAGTGTTTTATGTCCGAAAAATCTGCATATTTTTGGTAACTATGGAATGTTTTTATTCCATTGCAAGAACTTTGGCGTGTACCGACAGTTGAGCAGCGAAGAGGTCGAAATATCCACATCTATAGTTATTCTCCTAGGCAGAAACGGCTTGTCGGACTACCATCATCTCCTCAAGGCTGAGCTGATCGACTAGAGCGTTAAAATTGCTGGTATTACGGGTGGCACACTCTTTGAGGAATGCGAGCGTAGAGTCCTATAGGCGTATCAACTCCTTTCTTTCTAGAATCACACAGATCTTACCCTGAGATCCACCTGCATGATTGGGTCATCCATGAATTCTTCGTCGTCAAGGCCTGTACCAGGCTGATCATCGGTCTCAAAGTTGAGAGCCTCTGGAGAGATCGTTAAGGATCGGGTATTCGGTGTGGATATAGACATACGCGACAGCATCATGGCTTCTGCGACTTTTTCTTCGTCTTCCCACTCGCCATCGTCCTGACAAGCCAATTAGATTGCCGGTCATCCCGCTAGTACGACATACCCCGACTGAGCTACCGTCGTCAAACTCAGCCGCCTTGCCACCCAAAATAGCACTCTCTCCGTTGAGTTGGAGACCACTCAGAATCAGTTTCAGTGCCTTGAGCCTGAAGGGGATCTGTGAATATTCGTGCGGAGCTGAAGGGGTGTCAGTAGTGGGTCAAAAACACAAAAAATATGTACTTTGTTTGGCTCGCGACCGAGTAACAATGACTAGGCGGCCACATTAGAGAAAACAACATTGTATGTCTGATACGTACCATTAGATGTGGCGGCTGTAATGATCAGATCACCTTTGACGGTGATACTGTCTAGGCTAGGACGCTGCATGGTGAAGAGTTGGGTAAGGGCGATATGACTAGATTCCTAGGTCATCTGAGCTCTCAGTGCCTTGAAATCCTCACCTCATGCGCGTCGACCAGTTACCGATGAAAGTCTCCGCGTTCTCACACCAAGCACGGAGGAGGACCTGAAGGCCGCTCTGGCCATCGACGGCGGTACTTTCCAGCAATCCCAGGACACTATCAGGTTCCTTGTGAATCAAAAATGCGAATGGAATAATCAAAGACTGACAGGAACATTAGTCACACATAATCAACCTCATGGTTGTACACATACCTGGGTTCCGGTAGCCGTCTTCGCAGTACTAAGGCGTTTTACGATCACTTCCAAGAGTGGTTGCATCATTGGACCGACAGCATCGCCCGCTTTCCGGAACAAAGTGACCAGGAGATCACCAGTGGCAAGACCTGCAGACTCTTCGACTTCCGGGCTGAGAAGTCGTCCTAAGAACAGCCCAACGCGCTGGAGAGAGGCGCTTCCATCGGAAGGATCCGTCCATCCCAGGAACTGAGACGCATCCTTTCGAACAAGGCAAGTGAGTAGACGACAGCCTTCCTATACGTGGGTTAACAGACGAGTCTCGCAATTGCATCTAGCTTACTGATATTGCCTCAGGATCATTGACCTTGCCCAAGGCAACGAACAAGCTAGGAGCCAAGGCGGCGACGACTCCTTCACCCAACTGTCCAGCTTTGGCTCCCTCAAAGACTGCAGTAAGAATCTGCATCGCGGAGCAACAGACCCATCCGTCATTGTTTGCAATCGTTGGGGCAACCATTGGAACGGTGGCCATGACTGTAGCTTGGTAGACACCGGGTGCTTCGGCGGATGCGAGGAAAGTAAAGATATCGGTAGTGATAGACAGAGAGATGGGGTCTAAAAATGTATAAGACCAGTAACAATGTAGCCTGCCACTCACCATTCGCGTTCCGAGCGTACGTTTGCAGCATCAATTGAACGACCTGAGTCGCCAACTCTGGAGTAAGCCATTTTCCACCATCAACCTGAACAACCGTGCTCAGAGCTTCAAGAACGAGGGCCAATGAGTCCTCTGTAACACTGGTCATGAATGGCGACAGGGCGGCAACGATGCGAGGACCCATCGGCGCAATGGGCTTATCATCTGGGATAGAGCAGAAACTAGGTAGATTATGAGAGGTTTCGTTTGAGGAAGCTGGTATAATACTGACTTTCTGACCGCTTTGAGGGCCGCCACCTTGAGAGGAACACCCGATGACGACGACTCAAGAGCCTCCACCGCCGCTGTGAGATACTGGCCCATCAAGGTTGGTGGAAGAATTCTTGCATAAGTGCTTGCTGTGACGAATGCGCGGCCTTGAAGGAAGGGAGTGCCTTTTGCGGGTTCAGTGTCTCACTTGATCGTTTGAATGTGTCCTACCAGGCTCGGTCAAAAGAGGGGGGAGTACGCTGGTGAGAAGAGTTTCTCCATCGAAGACTGATGGTCTCTGGAGTTCACGCGAGCGTTCTACCATATCAACGAGCTCCTCGTTGTTAAGTGCTGAGAGGCATGCCTCCAGCAAACGCCACCTAGCGCGTGTACTGAGCCAAATAGAAACAATGTAGAGATCAATGATAATCACCAGTCTGGTTGCCCATTCTGCTTTGACTGTTCTGTAGTCTTGACAGCGTTTTGGGTGGCATTCCAAAGCCAAGACGCGGTAGCATCTGGGTAATGCTCAAGCAGATCCTATGGAATAATAAGATCACAATTCGTTGTAGAAACCGTGCACATACACCAACGACGTCCAAGCTCGCAACTCGGGCGGTATATGCCTCGACGCCTTCGCTCTCATCGCGGACAAATGCATTGGCATCCTCCTCCCAGATGTCCTCCTGAATGTAGTGAGTGCTAAGAAGTGACGAACAGGAAGCTACCGCACATCTTCAACGGGAATTTGGGCCCAAGATAAAGCTAGGCTTAGGAGGGTTCCAAGGTTCGAGGTGACCCAACTGGCTGCCACCTTTTGACTGCGGACCGATTTTCGCACAACCTCTCCAAGATAGTCCATAGCAGGACAGGCGAGATGCATCAGGCTCAAGTTGATATCCGGATCGTCCGCTGATACCGGCGTGGGCGGGTCAACGCCACCCTGATCCGCATTTGCGGCAGTGAGAATATAGTATGTTCTAAACGCAGGTAAGAGGTCACTAAGATTTCGGACAGAGATGTCGCAGAAGCTCTGCGTCATCTCCGGAGTAAGCGTCGATGCAAAGGTTGTTTGGATGACATCAAGGGTACGGAAGATTTGGATTCGAACTGCGAGTGGATCCCAATTAGCCGGATCTGAAACATCGGCAATTGCTGGGGTGGAGAGAAGAGTGTGCATGGTTGAGAGCCACTGTGGGAGGACCGAAGATATGGCTTCATTGACTGCATCTGGATATTCCTTCCTGACCATGTCGAGTGCGGTAACACACTGCCTGAAGATGGCGACGGCACGCGCACGAGTAAGAGGGGAATGCTGCTCCGCTCCTCCTTGCGGCGAGAGTACGGTGAGCAGAAGAGGAAGAAGTTGACGGAGGATAGGAAGAAGCTGGTCTTCTGAAAGTTCATTTCGAATGAAATCGGACAAGACTTGCATAGCACCGTGAATCGAATTGGTATTCCCTGACGAGAGGAGAGCGAGGAGATCGCTTAGTAAGTGGGATACTCCTCGGGATAGTCCGCTTTGGCAATAAACGAAAGGACGAAGGCCTTGAGAGGCGTTAGGAGAGTCTCTCCATCATTTAAAACGGCATACGCTGGACGTTCGAATCTTTCTCTGACTATCAGAAAGTCCGGAAAATACCAACTCTCTGACACGTTGTTTCACCTGTCATCTAAGAATTTAGAGCTCTGCACGCGGATCACAGCCAACTTGCCTCTGGCGGGCAAAGGCCCAACAAATTTTGGAAGAGAATCTGACCAATTCTCCTGAACATATTTTCTGAGGACAATACCGGCCGAGTATCTACGCGTTCATCGTCAGCCTACAAGCCGTCTGTGTTATCTGCACAGCGGATCAATACTCATCTGTCGAAGAGAAGGATCTGCATCTTGTGTGACTAAGAGACTTGCTAGACCAAAGCTGATGTCTGCTCGAAAAGAAGGGCGTCGAAAGATGAGATCAGCAACTTGTGGCGGGCCGCAACGCGCGACGATAGCAACACGAGAGGGTGTGAAATAGACCAAAGTGCTAACAAAAACGCGAGAAACACGATCTTGCGCGCGATGGACAATCTATCGTGCCTCCAACGGGACTAACCTGGTGTTTTGAAGAGGTCGCTGATACGCAGCTCTGCAGCGACTCTCGTATTCGTGTCTGGACTCAATGTCGCAGCAAGCACGTTGGCAATTTCAGACGCCATCTCGATGTTGTCGATATGGTCAGATTCGAACGTGTAAACTCCGCCAGGGGTGTCCTTGCGAGACTCTTAGAAGACTTTGCACGTAAATCAAGATAAATTCCATCTTAGTAGCAGCGAGATTAGAAAGGACGACCGCGACGACGAGCCAAAGCAGCGAAATCAACGTCCCCCCGAAGTGAGCGTATCGCACTGAGGATACGCGCCTCTTCTTCATCCGTAGCGACAAATCCACGACCTCTGAGACCAAGGAACACATGATCTTCGACGTCGCAAACAGTTCCCTCCTCGGGCAGAACGCCCTCCTGGAAGTATTTGCGAATAGCTTTTGCCGTGCACAGAGACGAAGCAGCGATAGAGCAATGCTATCAGATGCTCAGTGTATGACTAGATTGTAGACAACATAACCTACCCCAGCGGAATTCTGGGTCAAAGCAACCGACCCATTGAACGCCTTGGACATCTTGTTCGCGTCTGGGGTGACAGGGTCTGAGATTGCTTCAGCTCAGGAATGCGTTCGAGAAGGAGAAGCCTACCCAACGTATTGCCAATCATGAGAATAGGGAAGCTCGTATGGTTAGCGGCAACAGGCCCTTTCCATTCCCACTTTGGTTTGACTTGACGATCACTAGAAGGCATCAGTGAACAGATAGTATAAGTTTTAGGCTCTCACATGCAGCTATAGTGAACGTTGGCCCAGATGTCGGCAAATATCGATACCTTGGCTAGTTCCTCATAGTGCTTTTGTAAAGTAGCATGATCAGGCTCGACTCTATGAGCATCCGTGCACGCAATAGCCGCGAGAGCCTCTCTTCCGCCGGTAGGAAGAGGTCGGGGGAGTCCGCATTGACAATCGAGCTCGAGCTCTCGGGTCAACCGCCAGACGAGATGTCCATTTCCAGCCTCGAGTTGCCGAAGCGCCTCGAAGACGATATTCCCGGCTGTATATGGGCTATAAAGGAGAACAAAGACAAGGGCGTGCACATCCCTGCGATTGACTATTCCTCCATCCTGCTCCGTGAAAACTGGGACAGGATTCTTTTCAAGATTCTCGAGGAGTTTGAAGTATCTTGATTTCACCTTTTCCGGTGTGCTCTCGTATAGAGGGCAATCATTCTCTGCCTCTGCGCATTGCCGGAAGATTAAATCAAGACCTTTATCAGCCTCACGTAGGTTAGAACCCCAAGTTCCTAAACCTTTTGAGCTTCGGCACGGGAAATGGATGGAGCTTACCGCTATAGTAGTCCTCGGCATCGACAACACCATCTACAATGATGCGACCAACATTGTCCTTGTACTGTGAGCGACCTTCCCGCCTTACACAAGGGCGCTTACAGGATATAAAGCGGCGAATCTGGCAAGTATGAGACAAATGAGTAGATGTTATGGCGACTTACGAGTTGCCGAGGATTGAACCATAAGAGAAGCCCCAATATTGCAGCTTATCTTTTGAGATTCAGCACCAGCAAATTCAATAAGAAGAATGCGTACCCATTCCGTGAGCCTTTACGATGCTTAGCATATCCGTAGACACGACTGCGGTATTCACATACTGCGCAGCCAACGGCGCTTTGGCGTAAATCAATTGGTGTGTAAGCCTAGCAAGTGCTACGGCTTCGCCCAGAGCCCCGCTTGTCTCGTTCATCAGCGGGGCATCACTATATCGCAGCGCGAACTTTTCCCTTTCTAATGGAAGGGGGAAAATGTCTACTATGGGAGTTGTATGACCAACACCTTCAACGAGTTAGACGTTTCATGCAAAGCGGTTTGTATTACCTCTCGGATCAAATCCAATGATGTCAAATTCGTCTCCGACAACCGCCTGCAACAGAGGGCCACGGTTAAGGACGAGTCCGACGCCAGGCCCTCCAGGTCCGCCTATCTCTCTTCAGTACACATGCAAAGAGGTGTATTTTGCGTACCTGGGTTGAAGAGAATCGGGCCCCTGTACTTCTCGCTCTTTGGGTCAACCTTTGCTGGATACCTGATGAGAGCGATTGCGGCGGTCCCGACAGAATGATCATGATGGTCGAGGGGAACCTTTGGTGCCGTTATTCCATGATCTCTATGATGAACGACGTCGTACCTCCAGCCGGGCGCATTGATAACCGGGATAGCAGCGTACCCAGTGAAGTTTCTTGGACGGTTGTAACTTGGAAATATCAGAAACTGTGATATCACGACTCGTCTCGCGTATTCACCTTGTCCCAATCAAAAGGTGCGGCATTCGACTGCGCGCCACTGCGGCAAGCGGGTCCATCGAACTCGCTCTCCCATGATCCCAGAAGCAAATAAAGCCCAGAAGCAATGCCCAACCAGCTCAAAATTCGTATAATTGCTGGTGACCGTGCTGTACTCGGCTCGTTGTGCTGTGGGAGGACGCCTTTCTCCATGATCAAAGGTTGTGGACGAAAGCAAAGTACACGTATGGTTGATAGAGACGCACCGAGACGTCTCCACAGCACCGCGTGGTCACCTCGGCATCGTTTTGAATCGGCAGCTTAAATTGTAATGATGGACGAGCGCCAATGGGATTACAGACGTTTGCAATCATTTACTGCAGTTGAACCATTTATTTGTGTATATCTGGGATTATTCGTCAACTATGGAGTTCGATTACTATGGATGTAGGTCCAGTTCTCCAACTAATTGAACCAATTCTCTCAACTTCATTGAGATTCTCTAAAGGATTACCCTCAATCCTCCAAGTGGGACCCATGGGCCTAAGGTCTAAGCACGCTTTGTGACGTCGGCCAAAGTCGAGAAAAAGGCCCGACAGTTTGAGAGCATATGCACTATTCGGAAACGCAGAATATCCCATTTACCGGGTCGTTGAGCGCATCAAGATATCCTAAGGACAGATACTGTCAACTGATGGGTGAGCTTCTAGATCTCCCTCTGTTCTCCTTTGGAGAGCATCAGTTCAGAAAGAAAAAAATCCAACTTGTCCATCTACTAGTCACCAATGTTATGTGAATCCTCAACTCCTACCTGTCAGCGATCTTGACACAGCAGCGCTGTGGGCCTGGGCGATAGAAGGAAGACGCTCCGTGTACCGGGATAAGTCGATAGAAATCGTATGTACCAAAAGCACCATTTTATCGAACTCGGCCTGCCTTCGAAAGCTCCTTGGAGCACGGCAGAGCGGCCAGCATGCAACCCCAAGCGGGACATGGTCAGAGTGCCGTATTTTACGATTTTCAACTTGACCCCGGACGTAATAGAGACCCTTCACATCTAAATCCTGTCCAGAACCGATCTTGACAGATCTAGAGTAGCTGCTCTGGTCAGCAGAGTCGAGGTGCAAGCAGAGTATGTGCACCACTACCCGGAAGACGACTGATATAGGGACAAGGATTATGCATGATTATTCATTTATGCTTTTCGAAGAGCTAGCGATCGGTATCATGACGCAAATCAGACCAATCCTGACACCCCGCTAAGGACAATAGAAGCAATCTATATACAATATGTTCAGAGAATAGGGGCTTGTCACTCCTAGAACCCCTCGTATGATCGCATAATGTCGTCTTGCTGCTGCGAGACCCCGACCCAGGGCTCTGGCCTACCAAAATGCGAGAATAGGCTAGGCCAGACTTTCGGCCGGATACTAGCCTACTTTGGGAATTTTGTTTACGAAATATTTTCACGCTGTAATTCTACTCTGCGCGCAAACATCCAGGCGGCTCGTTGGCGCAAGGATTCATAGCCGGAATAATCCGAAGTTAAAGTGGCGAAAGGGACCCAGAAGCTACGGCTCCTGCGTCTTCATGGTTCTCATTCTTCTTGAAAACGTGGTCTCCAGGTTAAAATACTTAGCCCCAGTGACTAAGCACTAGGGACTGATATATTGGTGAAAAACTTCTAGAAAGATCAGTTTGGGCGAGACTAAGGACAGTAAGATATACCAAGAGTTTAGACGTGCTTGTTCGAGAGTGTCCCGAAACAGCAAGAATGCGGAGCTCGAATGGGCTCTCACTTCAAGAGGAAACTCATGTCCGTTTCAAATCATTGTCCCTAAAACTTTATATAATCAATATGCACCACAGCTGAGGTGCAACCGGTCGCAGTCTGCATGCTACGAATCATTCAGCAGTGATGAGGCTGAAGCCGCATGTTATGGGATGCCAGACGGCCCAAGGGTCCACGGAAAGATGTTTCTTTGCTTAATCATGCTATTTTGTACTTTCATCGGGTGCTCAACGAGCGCCGAAACCGAGTACTGAAGTGCGCCGTGATCAGCCAAAGCTCCCGTTTGAGGGGGGTCTAAGAAGCAGATCTTCAAGGATATTGGTTTGATCTACTATGAAGAAAAGAAGTGAGTGGACGGGTCAGCTCAGATGGCGGGTGGTCCGTTATCTCTTCTCGAAGCGGGGCAACATGACTCTCTCACCTTAGATGGAGTTATGTCCTTTGAACCCATCTCAAAATCAACTATGAGCCCGTTTTTGTGCCCACTCAAGTTCGAAAATCGAGCCGCGGGATCTCGACGCATGGGCAAAAGGATCAAGTGACAAGAACCACTTAATGGGTAAATTTCATAGATTCTGGCTCCAAAGTGACGTGATTACGGGCAAAGATGCTCAATTATGCGTGCATTGGGCCTACTGGCTTACAAATCACACGCAAACGACCTGGCAAACATTTACCCTACACCAACGGCCGAGGAGGCAAGAAGAAATATAGGACCCCGCTAAATCAAATGTCTTGAAGGAGAGCACGTGGAATACAGTCACGCCCGGAGATATCCGAGCATCAAGTAGAAGCAACCTAATGAGAAGGAAGAGTGGAAGTGGGAAGAAAGGTTTGGGATGAAAATGAAGGCTTTATACTGGAAAAGAAACTTAGGAAAAGTCCATTAGCTGAGCATGAATCAGAAATGTATCGAGTTTGTCATGCAGATGTTGAGGGCGCCATAGTGCGCAGTAAAGTCCAAGGAAGGAGATTGAAGGAGACTTATTTGAGCCCCAGGAATCACCTGTCATCCATCCGTGCGGGTTCTACGATGCAGCGAGTGAGCGCAAGGGCGGTATGCTGATACAGACTGATAGGCAATGTTCCAGCCCTCTAGGGTGCAAAATATGACAAATAAGTTGCCTTTAAGATGACTGGTAGGCAGAGTGACAGCTGATCAACGACTGTCTATAGGGCAACCAGTCGTTCGGAGATGGACTGAAGATATGTAGGTCAGTTCCGAATGTTAAGCAAGCAGTCCCAATGGATGAAGAAACTCCTGAACCTGTCACCAGTCTACTGAACACGACGCGCTTTGCGGCGTCCCTTCCGCTCAAGGCACCCATCGAGAACGGCTGGATGAATATCGCACATTCCCTGGGGCAACTTGAGGAAGGAGTTCATTTGTCGCTTAGGGCCAGAGATCGCAGCGACCATCATGGGCAGGTCCAACGGATATTGAGCCTTGATCTCCTTCGGGGCGTGTATTATAAACATTGTAACTTGACGCAATGAATTAGGCACTATTTGATTAGTCGTGCCTTTTTGTGTGACCACGGGTCATAGATGACCTCATTGACCAAAACCGACGGCGACCCCCGTCTGCACATTTTGGCACACGTTGGCCGAAAACCGCAACTCTACTAGTTGTTTCTTGAGCTGGTTAACCCTTTGGATGCGATATTGACAAGAAAACTAGACCATTGTTCACCTTGAACCCACCCAAGCCTATAGTTACTAGAGAAAGACTAGTCGCCAAAGAGTATCTGGTCTTTTTTCTTCTATCTGGATGCCTCGGTCGATGGAAACTTTTGAGGACGCGTATAGACAACATAGGCGCCATTGTATCGGTAAGATATGCATCTTGTCGCCATGAGTTTCCTTGTGGCGTGAAGGGACTCGCCGAGTCTCTCTGGTCTCAGACTTTTTTTTTTGGCCCCGAGCCGTCAAGCGTCGTAGTCAGCTCTTTGATGAGATTTGATGGCACACTGGACATCAGTGATTCAATATCACTGGTCTCGGTCGAATATCCCAAGGTACAACGCTGATTCAGCTAGCCAACGATCGAAACCGCAGCACCAAGGAGGAGTAGAATGTACCACTGTATTCAGCGTCTGAAGTCCTATGCTTTCTCGATGACTCGGGTCAGAAAACTTCCGTGTTCTCGCAGCTGGTCTGATGTCATCGTCCAAGTTTCCCTATGCTCCCGAGTAGATACGGCACTGCGACTCAACTTGTAAGCACCAAGAGATTAGTGGTATCTCACTGTTTCAGCACCAAGGCATATCGGACAATCGTGGACGAAGAGCAGCCTGTTGAACCGACGCCCATTCTCCTTGCAGACCTACCTTTTCTCCAACGAATAGAGGACTCGTCCTAGGATGACAGTAGATACATGGTGAACAGTGCGTAATTATGCTGTTCGTGGTTTAGTGCCAGGCTATGGTCGTCTCCAATGCCCCTTGTTTTTACGCCTCCAGGGATGCTACCCGAAATTTTGGTGACATCTATCCTTAAATGTTGCAGAGCTACTGAGAGTCTTGCAGCATTGATTTATCCGAATATTCATTTGATATACTCCAATGATAAACTGCTTAGTAGAACGGTCCTTTAGAAGCGCCTCGCAGGACTCTAAAACATTATCTCTGAACGAATGGAAATGGGCCATAGAGGATTCGTTGTAGTATCAAACTCTTACGTCAATACAGTTTTGGTCACTTTGCCAGTACGTCGTTGTGCGGAGCTGTGGTAAGGCATTCATTGTAAGGGCTGTGTGGGCAATATCCGAGAGCAAAATTCTCACCAAGCTCGCTACTAGAGTCCAAATATCCTAGAATCCGTGTTGTACAGATAAGAGACTTGTGGCCCAACAGCCTTGTACCGCTTCCTTCCCACTCGTAGCCGTTCCCAGGCATATATAGACAGAGGTCAAGCGCATTCTTTGATGCGCATACGTTCTTTCCACGTCTTCTTTTCGCATTTACGCGTCGCTCCTGTTCGCCGGTTCGCAACAACCATGTCTGACCCAACCTCATCCACTTTATCGTCCCTCGAGGCGGCAATCGCCGAAGAAACCACACGATTTAATCAACTCCGATTGGAGAAAGATGTAGACACCAACGCACTAGATGAAAGTAAGAAAAAACTCGGAGAGCTCAAAAAGAAATTGGGAGAGAGCAAAAAGGCGGCTGCTCAAGCGACTGCTGGAGCCTCAAAAGATGCGTCTACATCTACAGCAGACGCAAAGAAGCGCGAGCGAATGCTGCTCAAGACGGCAAAGGTCAGTTTTGACGATGCAGTCGAGTCAGGACTCGTAGTAAACCATTGCGCAGGGAACGAGGGACTATGGACCAGCTGAGAACTCGCTGCGAGAGCATATCGAAGACATTGTCAAGGAATGTTTCAAGCGATATGGCGGATCCTGCATCGATACTCCGGTCTTTGAGCGCAAAGATATCCTCACCGGCAAGTATGGAGAAGACTCGAAACTCATCTTCGACTTGAAGGATCAAGGTGGGGAAGAACTTTCGTTGCGATATGATCACACTGTACCGCTCGCGCGATACCTGGCGATGGGTATCGCCAACTTTCCCGGTGGCAAGCTCTGGCAGCTTGGAAAGGTCTACCGACGCGATAACCCAGTCGTTTCCAAAGGTCGTATGCGCGAGTTTTCGCAAGCTGTACGTCTTATCACCCAGGAATCGACCTCGTTTGATTTGCCCATCCCAGGACTTTGACATCTCTGGGGTCTACGACTCGATGATTCCGGATGCAGAGATTCTCTCTCTCCTCAGTGACATTCTCACACGCCTCAAAGTTGGTGAATTCACAATCAAGCTCAACAACCGCAAGATTCTCGACGGCATCTTTGGTGTCTGCGGCGTTCCCGAGGACAAGACACGTGCCATCTCCTCTGCCGTCGACAAACTCGACAAGGCACCCTGGTCAGAAGTGAAAAAGGAGATGACGGACGAAAAGGGACTGGACCCTGCCGTCGCGGACCGCATAGGCGAATACGTCAAGCTCAAAGGAGGTGTCGAACTCATCGAGCGTCTCCGATCCGACGAGGTCTTCATGGCGAACAAGATGGCCGTCGAGGGCGTCAAGGAGATGGAGACACTCTTCCAGTATCTCGCGGCGTACAACGTCCTACAGCACATCTCCTTTGATCTCTCGCTCGCACGTGGATTAGACTATTACACTGGTATCATTTACGAAGCCATTGTCGAGGCCTCTGCACCACCAGGCTTCACTGCCAACCCTGCCGTACCACCCACATCCCCCACCACTCCCGCAGCGAAGCCTAAAAAAGAGAAGAAGAAGAAACCCGTGCCTGGTGCGGAAGAAGAGGACGAGATTGACGAGTCGCAGGTCGGCGTTGGCTCCATCGCCGCTGGTGGACGATACGACAATCTCGTCGGCATGTTCACAGCCGCAGCACAAGCAGAGGGCAAAAAGGCTCCACAGATGCCCTGTGTCGGTGTGAGTATCGGCATGGATCGTATATTCGCGCTCCTCTGGCCGAAATGGAGTGAAATGGAGAGGACAAAGGGCACCGATGTCTTCGTCATGGCTGCAGGAGACGGGTTGCTCGTCGAGCGCATGAAGCTCGTGAGGGAATTGCGTGAGCAGGGTATCAAGGTACGCTTCACTCCCAAAGCTGCTTTCGCAAATGCTGACATGGTTGGGATAGACCGACTTTTTGCTCAAGAATAAACCAAAGCTCCCCGCCCAGTTCTCTGCATCTGAAAAGGATGAAGTACCCTTTGCTATTATCCTCGGCGAGAGCGAGCTCAAAGAGGGTTTTGTCGTCGTCAAACAGCAGGTCTGGGATATCAACGATGCAGGAACAAAGGAAAAGCGAAAGGACGAGTCGACGGGCGAAAAAGTCAAGCGGGATGAACTCGTCGAGTGGCTCGTCGCGCGGGGTGCAAAGCGAGCATTGGCCAATTAATCGACCGCAACGATGCATCGAGACGCACGAGCGGGGTTGTGTAACTTATTTTCACGAGCACGTTCTTCAGACTACGTGGGATATATAGCAAGACGACGATGGAATATACTAGACTGCCTTGCGAGATTCTCCAGGATGAAGGGTGTGCGTGTCATATGTGAGACGACCCGAATTGAGCAAGCGCGTCACCAATGTGTCGCCGAGTGCCGCCATGGGTGTAAGAATACCTCCAGCTTGCCCAAGCTTGGGCAATTCCGCATGGTTGAATAATATTGCCAAAGCAGACTCAGATACGAGAACTAGAACCCCTTTTCAATGGATATTTCGACCAGAGTACAAGGTACGAACCTGCGGTAGTGGTGTACGCGCCTCCACGAAACTCGACTCGCGTCTTGACGTGTTCTGGCTTTGGACCATCTGTCGACGTGACGTTGGTGTACACAATCTTGGCCTTGTCCGTGAACCTGAAAGCATGGTCAGTCGAAAAATGGATGAATCGATTACGACATACACTTGCTTTGGTCCTCCACCAGGTTGCGGACCAAACCTCTTCAAGAACCACCGCACAGGAGGAAAAAGAAAGACTACAGCGGCGCCGAAAAAGTACATGACACTGAGCATCAAACCAGCAAACCGTGAAGGTGTCTGCGAAAACTCTTGGTAAACAAAGTTTGGACCGTATCGGAACGGGGGTGCGTGTCTCGACGCGGAGAGTTCGGTGGAGAGCGCGTCTGCTTCTAAGAGACCCCAAGTCCGGTTGACAATCTTCTCGTTTATCGATTCCATCAGAGATTGGCCGCCGTAGATGGATGTAAAGGGGAGAGAGTGGACCATTTTGAATGGACGGACGATGCCCTTGGCTGGAAGAAAGGTAAGAACGGTAGAGTAAACGAGGTGAGGACAAACCTGGAGTGAGCGCAAATGGGTCCTCTAGGCCGATTAACTTGCTCTTTGGAAGCTCTGCAGCAGACAGGACGGTCGAGAGCGTCCCACCCGACAATCCAGGTGGGACCCGAATTGCTGTCACGCTCTTGCCTAGTGTTATCCCCTCTCCTCGTTTTAACAATGCACGCGCGGAGAGGTACACGGCGAGATCACTATAGGGGGGGCCGATGAGTGAAATATTCGTCAATACATCGGCGTGCGCTTACCTGGGAACAGAGTCCATCCCTGAAGCGGGGATGATAATCGCCTTGGATTTCATTGCAGTAAAATCGTACTCTCTGAGGAGATCCCGGATCCACCAGGGCTCTCCGGTAATGTCAACGTAGTGGACGCCATTGACGGCGCATGCCCTGTGCACAGAGACGTCAACAACCACCTTTATACGTCTCTCTAATGAACATACCGGACAATAGGGGTCGAGTACCGCCAGAAAGGACCGATGCAATTGATGATCACATTGGCGCGTCGGACAGTGTCGTTGATGGCGTGCTCATCCGAGAGATTAAACGCAAAGAGTTTGACACCTGCAGAGAGAGAAAGGTCCTTTTTCAGCTTTTGGAGCTTTTCCAGGGAGCGGCCAGCGATTCCGAGGCTAAACTTTGTTCGTTCTGGGTGCTGTTCGAGATATTCGGTGATGAGCGTGCCTTGGGAGTGTTGATCATTAGCTGCTAGGATGCTGTCTTGCTGCCTTACCAGTGTATCCGGTCGCTCCAAGAATGAGAACGTTGACCGTCTGAGTACTCATGACGCCGTCTAGATGTCGGAATAGAGATAGTAAAGCTTAGAGATGGATACAAAGCGAGCTCGACGGAGACGCTGGTGTGGTCAGGAGTCAAGGTTGGAGCGTAGGACTCTCCACTTAGCAAAATGTCTCACGGAAGTCAAATCAAACAGTGCAAGTGGTGAGGATTACAAGAGTATAGTCTACTTTGACTTTGCTTTAATTACGCCATCCTTTGAGAGCATAGGCATGACGATGCTAAAGACGCTCCCACCGCTAAACGAGCCCTTGCCGTGGCTAGCCCCGACGAGCTCGGAGATGCGCTCCACAATAGCTTTGGGGTTAGGATTCTTGTCAGCGGGGAAGAGAGACTCGTCAGAGCGAATCTCGGCATAGGCGCTCTCTATCGCCGCTCGGAGTTGGGCCTCGTCGAGTTGTCTTGGGAGAATAGACTCTAGATAGGCTGCTTCTCGTTCTTCATTCTCTGCAGTCTCTACTAGGTTGGAGGATCGATACTCTTCTGCAGCTGCTTTCTACATTGGATTAGTGGAAGGATATCGTTTCCAGTGGACGCACTCGTTTTGTAATAGCCTTTCTGACGCTCTTTAATGCACTCTCTTCCAGCTTTTCAGGCGTAGTGCCCTTTTGAGATGCCAGCAACTTTTGCTCGGTCTGGAGTTCGCCAATGACCGTCTTTACCGGGGGTTTAGTGTCTCATAGGGATAGGCTTTATTACATACACGGAGGAGATTTGTTCGAAAGCTGTCCCGTGTTTTTCGCGCGTCCATGAGCTGTCGAGTGAGGAATTTGTCCAGATGCATATCTCCCTGGAATGTGACGGTGCTATTGAAGCGTATTCTGTGCACGAGAGCTGGGGTTGCCATTCTACGCAGCGACGCCGTTGTCGACGCGGCTGGAACGCGTACAATCAATGTCGAAAATGATAAATGCATTGTCTGTAAAGGAAGGAGAATAGAACCCGAGAGCAGTGCACAGACGCCAGTACGCTGACTGGAATCCAACCGGCGCCTTTGCTTTGGGTCCGTTGCAACTTGGAGCTCGCCACAACCCGCCAGAGCAATAGACCGTCTATTCCCACTAATCTACAGCATAAATCCACAATGATCAAGGTCAGCATCCTCCAGCATCCCCTCTGTAGTCAGCATCCGTGGCTAACCAGTCTCCGCAGATCTGGAACATGAAGAAGGCAGAGGGCTCTGGTCCCAAGAAACCAAAGACGAGTGCCGCTCAGATTCGCGTCCAGAAAGGTCAGCCCCGCCGCTTTATTAAGCATCCCATATCAGCGCTCACGCTCTGGCCCAATAGACGTGACAGAGCTCGAGCTACCACGGACGATGAAGATGGATTGGCCAGATGCAAATGATCTCCTCAACTTCTTCCTCACTATTTCCCCCGATGAGGGTACGTTTCCTGCACTCTTTCCAGTCCAGATCCGAGCTCACTAGGCGCCGTGCTGCTTCAGGCATGTACAAAGGCGGATCGTTCAAGTTTAGCTTTGCCATTAACAGCAACTATCCTCACGAGCCCCCAAAGGTCAAGTGTGTTCCCAAGGTGCGTACAGCGTGTCGTGTGCGCGTTTGGTGGCTGGACGCTGACGGAGTCCCTTTCTTGCCCCTTTTGGAAACCCATTTCTGAATTCCCAGATCTATCATCCAAATGTCGATCTCGAGGGCAATGTCTGCTTGAACATTCTCCGCGAGGACTGGAAGCCCGTCTTGAACCTCAACTCGGTCATGGTCGGTCTCCAGTATCTCTTCTTGGAGCCAAACGCAGACGACCCGCTCAACAAAGGTTCGCTTTATCTCACCTTTGCTTGACATCCGAGCTCACACCTTGTCCCTTTTTCCACAGAGGCCGCCCAGGACCTGCGGAGCAATCGTCAAAACTTTATCCGCAATGTCAACAGGTCAATGGCAGGCGGAAGCGTCAATGGCGAGACGTTTGACAGAGTCCTCAAGGACGCCGAGTAGACGGGATCCCAGCTGGCGTCTGTGCCACTCATCTAACTTGGGCCCCCTTTTCTGCGTGCATAGATTACGCTGGAGCGTACCATGCTCCCCTGAGCGGGTTTCCGAGCTCCTTTTCCCATTGCATTTGTACCGCTCTATCCAGCTGCCCTTATGTATGTGTTCATTCGTACAATACACCCGCAACTCCCTCTCTATTCGTCGTCCATTTAAGAGTTATCTACAAGATGTACTCGTCGGAACGTTTGGTGGCCACCCAGAATTCTGCTTGGTAGATCCATTTCATCATGGCTTCACTATCCGCAGTGTATTCGCTTGGAATCGTTTTACGGGTTGTCGTATCGACGTCAAAGCCAACGAGATTGGCGAGATGCAAGACCTCGTCGAGGCTTAGTTCGAGCGTTGCGTTAGAATAGAGCAGAGGACCAAGATTGATCCAGCGTCCTCCTGGACGAAGGAGGTAATGAATATGTGATAGCTATGTCCACGTATTAGCTGGTGTTGCCTGGATGCAGAGTACGTACATAGGAAATTATATTGCTTGCCGTATCTATAAAGTAGAGTGTGACAATCACGTCGTAGCCGCCTCTTCCATTTGCGGACAAGAGTGAGTTTGAGTGAGCAGTATCTTCGTTTGGGGGCGTGAGGCTCAAGAAGTCTTGGTCAGAGAGTGTCCAGTTGTTGGACTGTCGTGGTACGACATCTGGGAATGTGATTCCGCGAAAGGTGTTTGAGCTCGAGCGTTGGTGGGACCACCAGTGTGCATAGGGATGTACCGTGTGTTGATGTGGTCGATTTGTGCTCTCTGGGTGGAGGACAAGGTTTAGGGCTAGATTCATATAAAACGAGAGCTCGCAAGATGTTGTGTCAAAGCCTGAGTTATGTCAGAGGAGATATACGTAGTGAGGGATATCTAACCTCGTTGTGAAATCTCCCAAGCTAGTCTCCCGAGCCCTGCTCCTGGAACGAGTACTTTACATCCCGCTCGTTCATCTCCAGGGGTACGTTCCAGCTCTTCCAAGATGGACGAAAATATGACCTTTCTCTCCTCCTTTCCTTCTATGCTCCAATCTCGGACAAGATGCTTAAACGCCTCTCGTACTCGTCCGACATCCGTCGCCTTGCTTGATAGTTCTGTGGTGTGCTGGAGAGATGGATACGATCTAAACGCAGCTGAGCAAATGCTCTTTGCAAGTCGTGCATTTTGCTCATGGCAGCGTTCGAGTGTATCCACTTTTTGTCGATATCCAAGTTCGAGCGCCATTCGTTTATGCCCTCCTCGTAAAGATGCGAGTTTTGTTCGGTATGTGTATACCTCTGCATTTGATATCTTTGCATATGCGTTAAATGAGGCGTATGCGCGCTCTAGCGAAAAGGAAGAAGCGGCGGCGGTTGTTCCATATGGCACAGGGCCGTCAGAAGAAGGAATCTTGGTCGATAGAATGGTCTTGAGATGCTTCTGGAGTCGATAGATTCCCCATGTCATGCACAGAACGGTGAGCGCTATGACAGCTGCTGTCGCCGCCATGGCTGAAACGAGTGGGATTGGACGAGTTTCGCGTAAAACCAGATGTGTCGTAAACAAGAGTTCTAGCCAGTTTTTACGGATGAATTGAGTGTCTATCGGAATCAACAATCGGCCATTTTGGTTGAATCCAAGGTTGAGCAGATGCCACCGGCGAATATACTCCAAGCTTGAACCTAACCACGACGACGACGGGGCTGCGTAAGCTCAGGGGAGTGCTGCTATTTGCCACGCATTTACAGTATACAAGTCCTTATTCTACTCCGGCCTCTGCCAATCAAACTCGCTGCAGACGGCTGGTCAACGCGAGTAAACAACTGGGCAACCGAGCCGCTGGCAAGCATTCCTGACTTGTAGACTAGCTGACAACGTCGTTTATAATCGTTTAAGAGGTGTTTATAACCGCTGTCGTTGGATGGACGCCCCCACTCTGGTCGTCGTCCCGCCTTCTCCCGGGAGCCAGCTGAGCACTCGCTCAAAGGGCCAGCACGCGTATCCTCAAATAGACAATTCTACAACAGCGGCACCAAATTCGAATTCGATTGACACGCTTGGCTCCAATTCCTACCAGCCCTCTGAGAGCAGGAGCTCGAGTGAAAACACGGCTGTCAACATCTACAGTATGTACAGTGATGGAGGACCAGACGCCGACCCGAGATTATCCTACACCGCTGATACAAGCGCCAAGAGACTAGTAGGACGTGGGACGTCTAGCCGTACAAACTCTCCGCCAACAAACATGGGCAGCCCAGAGTTTCGATATTCAACCACGAGCTCGAGACAAAACTCTGTGCACGAAGGCGTCTACGAGACCCAGTCTCCAATGATCTCTGCGACGACGAGCGCTCCCAAGACATCGTCGACAACACGGAGTGCAGCTTCACCTATCACACCAGGAGAGAGTCCAACCGGCCAGGTGATTGAGCGCACGGGCTTTGGTCAGCCGGCCATCTTGATCAACCCTCCCCCGCGCCGGAGTTCGCGTCAGTCATTGCACTCGAATAGACTGTCGAATGATCGTGATGTAGATGGACTGTCGACGAATTCGTCTCATCATGGCTCCTCGTCGATGCCCCGTGCGAGTTTGTCGCCTACTAGGGTATCGTCGGACCCTGCGACGTCTGCCACCTCGTCGTCGGCACAGAGTCTCCCAAAAGCTATTATACCATCCCCTATTCGACCTATGGCACCGTCTCCTGGCGCGAATGAGGACCCTGACAGCTACTTTGTCCGAGCGACGTATGCAGCCTTTGATGTCTCTGGTGTGCGAGGAGATGGTTATGAGGAAGGGGAAGAATTGACGAGAGCGAGGATGGGTACCGGACGTAACAATCTCCCATCGCCGTTGCCAGACACTGCCAAGCGATTGACCATGGGACCAAAAGAGCTCAATGAGAAGGAGGTGCAAATATTGGGTCAATTAGATCGGTCCGCTCATTTCATTCATCACCGATCTCAGGCTCATCCTTTTTGCAGATATGGCTTCTATGCACCACCTTCCGACAATCGCCTCGTCTTGCTTGCGACGCAACCTCTTCGGACGGCATTGTCGTCGTACAAGACTGCGTCGACATCTGCAACGCCTACACCCCCTGTACTACCCGCTCAACCACCTCTCCACGAGACACGAGAGGGACGAAAGACGGAAGACCGCCGAATCGCCAAGTGGGGTCGAATGCTAGTTCCCGCTTCGCGTGATTCGGGTACCAATATTGCAAGGTGGAAGATTGAGGAGAGGAAAGAGAGAAAGCTCGAGGTGGGGGTTAACCCATGGCAAACGACGACGCGAGGCTGATGTTGTGCTAGGAAAGAGTGTTCAAGGGTATCCCTGATCGATGGAGATCTGCGGCTTGGTATACTCTGATAGAACGAGGGCCGGTTGGGGCTGGAAAATCACGAGGGGACTCCTCCTTAAGAGCGGAAAAGCTCGCTGAAGAGTATCGAGTGAGTCTGAATTCGACTAAACGACCCCATCTAAACAAGCTGTGCAGGATGCGATAGATCTACCTTCTTCCTTTGATATACAAATTGATCTAGACGTTCCGCGGACGATTAGTGGCCATGTCATGTTCAAGACACGATATGGAATGGGGTGCGTAACGCCACCCGATTCAGTCTTGGGCTAAACAGCTATAGCCAACGGTCCATGTTTCACGTACTACACTCTTTCTCGTTACATTGCGACTCGTGCGGTTATTGCCAGGGCATGGGCCCTGTCGCAGCGACTCTTTTATGCTATTTAGAACCAGAGGTGCGTATCTGGACTGCTTTTACCAGACATTCTGACGTTCAACAGAAAGTATACACCTGCCTCGTCCGATTACACGACGATTACGATATGCACGACATTTTCCTCCCGGGATTCAAGGGGCTTCTGGAAGCCTTTTATGTTCAAGAAAAGATTATGCAAAAGATGCTACCTGGCCTTTATTCCACCTTTGTACGTCGTGTTGCCATTGCTTTGATTCCGGCTGAACAGCTATGCAGAAGCAAAACTCGATATGCACAACGGCCTATGCCGTCAAATGGTATATCACCTTGTTCGCCAATACGGTCCCTTTCCAGACGCAGTTGCGACTATGGGACATTTATTTTCTCGAAGGCAAGGACATTCTCGTCCTTATGGCCGTCGCGATCCTCTGGGTCTTCAAAGGTCCGTTGTCCGCCAATACTACGAAATGAGTTGACACATGGGGTTTAGATAATCTTCTCTCATCGTCGGCGTCGTTTGAGTCAATGCTCAACCTGCTCTCGTCGTTTTATGTTGTCGAAGATGAAGACGTGTTAATGGCTTGGTTGCGCAAGGCCATGTCGGATCGGAGACTCCGTCGGGAGATGGCTGGATGGCGTGAAGAGTGGAAAGAGCTCGTCCATGCGGGAAAGGAAATGGAGGCGCTCATCTAATTTCCCTCTCTCGGCTTCCACATTATCCTTTCCCCCACGTTTTCTTCATTATTGTGCAGGAGCACCAACGTCGCATGCGTCGTTCCCGGATTTGTCTGCATGTCTACAGTTTACTCGTGTAGTGGGTTTCTTGAGTTGGAAAGTGTACCTCGTATTTATCGTGTAATATTGTAGGTCATACATGCGGTTCAATATCCAGGTAGGCACTGCGTAGCGAGTGGTTATGGCGGACTCAACTGAGGGGGAAACGCTCTGGTGTATCTGAAGTTCCTCCGCAAAAAATGGAAGCAGTCTCATATCTTCTGAGCCCTGATTCCGGCCAAACAAGCACCAACCAACTTGCTCTCTACCATTCTCGAGTCTACTACTATGCAACGTTTGAAAGCCAAAGGAAAACAGAAAGCAACTACTCCAAATACTTCAAGGCCAGGTACTCCAGCTAATGACACGGACCTTGCCTATCAACGAACGCGGGATGGTTTCATTGAGAGCCTCAAGATTGTCAAAGCAGCGACCGAGGCTACCTCATTTCTAGGCCCTCTTAAAGCTGTCTGTGAGATTTCTATTCAATTCCTTGAGGCAACGAGGGTACGAGGTGCTCGGTCTCCATCGCAGTCCCCGAAATTGACTGTGCATGTAGGCCGTGAACGAGAATACGAAAGGGTTCACAGTACTCAGGGAGAGTGTTTCAGTACACATCCGCATCCTGGATGAGGGATATACCCAGTTTGAGGGAGCACGGAGAGACCAAATGCCCGATGCTCTTAAGGATTTCGACGATGCATTCAAAGATTACGTCACGTGAGTCATAGTATCTGCGTATTGATTTTTCGACCTATGCGCCTTCAGCACCCTAAAGAGCATCCTCAGTCGGATGGACGAATTAAGGCAGGATAGGGCTCATGGCGTCAAAGGACTCCTCAGAAAGATAGCAGACGCCAAAGTGGAGACCGGAATCATCACAGACTACAAGCAAGAAATTATGCAAGCCACGCGCGTATTCGAGGTATGCAAGGTACGGGAAGCTAATATCATACTAACTTCGGTGTAGGACATAACCAAGCTTTGCCAAATTCAGCTGGAAGCAGAAGGTTAGCTCGATTCGATTGTGTATCGCCTCATAATGACCACCGACAGTGTGGAAGATGGCCCGCCTCGGCCCCGAAAAGCCTCGTCCGATGGGTACTCAGCACAAGACATGCCTGCAGGGTACACGTGTGCCGATTCTGACGGAAATACGAGAATGGCGCCTAAATCCTAATGTTGAGAAGCGCATCTTCTGGCTCTGTGACATCGGCGGGTCCGGAAAGTCCACAGTGGCGCTGACACTGTGCAAAGAGTGGGATAGCATTCAAGAAATTGTGGTCGGTCGCTTCTTCTTCTCAAAAAATGCTCGACAGACGTCAGAGACGGATGACTTCTGCTCGATTGTCGCAGAGGATATAGGTGCTCAGGACGGGTTCATCTTAGAGCAGATAAAGAGCAGGAAAGCAGAAGATCCTCACCTCTTTATACGAGGAATCCGTCATCAGTTCACCAAACTCATCGAGGAGCCGTTGCGTCTTGCAAACACCACTATCGTCCTCGTCATCGACGCGGTTGATGAATGCAACAAGGAGATGAGAAGAGAGCTACTTAACCTGTTGGTCGAGAAAGTTTCCTCCATGGCGAATCTCAAGCTCTTGATCACGAGCCGTCCTGAGACTGACATTATCGCCATACTTCAAGGAAAGGCTATCGTGAGAGGGATGCATTTCAAGATGCATGGCAAGGAAGACCAATCCAACTTGGATGACATTACCGCCTACGTTAACAGACATCTCTTCCGGCTGCTCACCATGTCTCAGCGCCAGCAACTTGTACAGCGCTCCAATGGCCTTTTTATCTGGATCACAACGGCACACCTTGAGTTGCAACAAGCTCAGGGTCCGGACGCGGTTCGTGCTACTCTCGAGTCACTGTTGAATCGAGGTGAGGGCGGAGATATCAACCAAGTGTATGCAGGAATTATTCGTAGACTTCAGCGAGAAAAGTCTTACGGAATCATACACAAGGTTATGGGTATTATTCTGGGCTTGTTCGAGCCAGTATCGACTGAGGCTCTTGCAAAGATCACCGACATTGCACACTCTCAGCTTCAACTGATCCTGGCGTCAATACAGAGTGTGTTTCGGATTGATAAAGTTGTCGAATTTCTGCATCCTACATTTCGAGAGTACCTCGTCAGCTCACATAATTTGGATCGGCCATTTGACTCTGCAACATTGCAGTCGGACTTAGCCATATCCATCCTTGGAGTTTTTCAAGAGGATCTCAAGGAGGATATTTGTGGAATCTGCCAGCCAGACGAACCTTACCCAGACAATGCACATGTCTTGGACTTGGATGGGCGTCTAGAGCAAGTATGGAGAGCATCCCCAGCGCTATCGTATTCGGTCAGGTACTGGGGCTATCATACGGGCCCCTTTATCACCGAGGAATGTGTCATCAAAGTGCTACACACCTTCCTAGTGACTCGGGTTCTATATCTCATCGAATTGCTGAGCTTAATGGGCCAGATACATCTCATTCAAAACTTTGAGGAGGTCCACCAACATCTTGAGAACCAAGGCCTGGGTGCGTTCGAAGCTGAGGTGAGCTCGCCTAATGTACTCCATACAAACTAAGCATTATCATAATAGCTATGTCAGGATGCAATTAGGCTTGTGCAGAGGCATCAGAAAACACTCGAGAAGAGTGCACTGCACGTCTACTCGTCCGCACTCTTATATCTTCCTCGAAAAACAAAGCTATGGATGGTATACGGAAATAAATTCTCGGGTCGGCTCCCAAGCATCGCTGGAGTGCCATCAGAGAATTGGCCCTCATATAGGACTCTGGTGGGAAGCATGTCGATGCCCCTATGTCTGGTATTCTCACCAAATGGACTCCGAGTTGCGTCTGGGTCTGCGGATCATGCTATAAGTGTATGGGATACAGTAACTGGTGCAATTATTGGAATGCTTGGTGGACACACCGGTGCGGTCTGTTGCCTCGCATTCTCTCTAGACGGACTACAGATCGCGTCTGGATCTAAGGATCAAACTCTACGACTCTGGGATGCAGTAACTGGCACCTGTATTGATGTGCTGGAAGGACACACTGACAGGGTGACTTGCCTTGCATTCTCACCAGACAGTCTCTATATTGCATCTGGGTCTCGTGATGCGACTCTAAGATTTTGGGAAGCAAAAATTGGCACATGCATTCGAGTGCTTCAAGGACACACAGATGAAATCTCTCTCCAATTCTCACAAGATGGACTCTGTATCATATCTATATCTTGTGGTGAGACAACTATACGATTCTGGGATGCAACAACTGGCGAGTCTATTAGAGTCGTGGAGGGGCACACCAATGTAATCTGTTGTCTCACATTCTCGCCAAATGGGCTTCAGATTGCGTCTGGGTCTCGTGATAGTACTCTACGACTTTGGGATGCAACAAATTACACGAGTATTCGAATGCTAGAGGGACATACTGACTCAGTGGATTGTCTCGCGTTCTCACCAAATGGGCTTCAGATTGCTTCTGGATCTCTTGACCAAACTCTACGACTCTGGGATACAGTAACAGGCTCATGTGTTCGGGTGCTAGAGGGGCACACTGGCGAAGTGTATTGCCTTGCCTTCTCCCCAAATGGGTTCCAGATTGCATCTGGGTCTCATGATGCCACTCTACGACTTTGGGATACAGCAACTGGCACGTGTACTGGTGTGCTTGAGGGACACTATAATCAAGTATCGCATCTCAAAATCTCACCGGATGGGCGCTGTATTATATCTGCTTCTCATGATGGAACCGTACGACTCTGGGATATGAGACCTGGCATACATAATGGTGTGCCTGAGGGACGCACTATTGTCGATTGTCTTGCATTCTCGCCGGATGGACTATATATAGCATCTGGGTCTAATGGTGGGACTCTGCGACTCTGGGATGCAAAAACTACCGCCATTATTGGAGTGCTTGAGGGTAACGCCAACGGAGTGTCTAGTCTCAAATTCTCGCCAGATGGTCTCCGTATTGCATCCGGGTCTTTCGATGGGATTATAAATCTCTGGGATGTAACATCTGGTGCAAGTATCAGAATTCCGAGGGCACACAACGGAGATATTTATCATCTCGCATTCTCGCCAGATGGCCTCTGCATCGCATCGGCAGCTGATGATAGTACTCTACGACTGTGGGATGTTGCAACAATGTCTTGCTTAGGATACTGTAGCATATCGTCTCGTGGCTACTTCCATTTTACTGAGGACGGGAAATCAATACAGTGTCGGGACGGAAGGGCATTCAACATCTCCCAAGGCACCCTTGAGCCTCTTCCATTCTCAGCAACCGCGCCAAACCTTCCGCATTCTCAGAGATACATTGAGCTCATCGATAATGAGATGTGGTCAATTTTTTGTCCACATCGCAAATTCAAGTTTCCCCAGGAATTTCTCTGGTTTCGGGCGTTGATACACGAATATAAAATCGCAGTAGTCCTGGGACGTGGCCAATTCATAGTTATAGATTTCACAGATTTGTCCAATCGTCGTGCTATCCCTTGATGTATTTCGAACAAGGTCCATTCCTGCCAAATTTCTAAATATGAAACACTAGAGGGTCCTCAAATGATCTATCTAGAGATTTTAGGACATGAATCACGATACTAGACAGGGCCGTGAGACCTTGAAGATCAGCTGAGAACGATTAGAATTCCCGGAGAGCACAGTATGTGGTGGAATCCTCCGTTTCAAACAAGCATACATACAAGATAGACGAGAGGAACACTGAGCGAACACGACCCAGCGTAACGACGAACGAACCAAAACCCAAACTTCTACCCCTCCGCGCGCGCGAGAGAGAGAGAGAGAGATCATGATACGAAATGCCCCGATGTAGCCGTGTGCGGCGTCGTAACAGCGGGTGTCGTTGTCGGCACAAGACTATGCGCCGACTCGGGACGCTCCGTATACTCTGGCGCGGGCTCATCATTTGCATACTCGTGCACGATACTCCCCGGAGGCAATGTAGGTGGCGTCGCACCAGGAGGAAGATGGATGTGATAGTGAATTTGGTGCTGCGGTGACGTTGACGTGGGCGAGAGAAGTCCCGTCATGGCACTCTGATGGCGTGGGTCGACCGTCGATGAACTACTAAAGTGTCGAATACCCGTCCCTCCAGCGGCGGCAGCGGCAGCAGCAGCAGAGGCGTCGATTGAGCTTCCGTGGCGTGAGATGACTGCGTCGCTACTGGGTTGCGGCGAAGATGGGTAGTGACTCGTATGACCATCCATACTAAACGGTCGGGTATCAGACGACGGTCCCGTCGAACTAGTTCCTCCGGGTGTTGTCGGTGGAGGCAAATGTTGCACGAAATCCGTCGTGGTCGTATGCGTACGCAGACTAGACGCTCGTCGAGGACTTCTCAGCGACAGGTTTTGCATCGCGTACCCTGCTTCTTCCGCCTTTCGACGATGAGAGCTATTGGCAGTATGTGGTGTACCCTCGGGTGATATTCCAGCTAACAATGCCCCCTGATGATGCGCATCGGCGTCTCCTCCAATAGGGCCCTGTTCGATGAAATAGTTGTTACTACGACGCGTCGTATTGGCGCTGCTCGTATTGATCGTAAACCCGGGAGTGGTCGCAGTTGGAATCGGCTCATAGGGCTCGATAAGCTTCTGACCATCCTTTGATTCCCTGCTGACTTTGTGCATACGCTTTTTACGCCTCCACCACAAAAAGGCAATGACCAATGCTGCGACGACGGCGAGCGTGGCTCCAACCGAGATGCCAGCGACGGCACCAGCACTCATCCTCGAGTCTCTGAGCGTGCTAGATCCACGCGGTGCAAATCCAATGGTATCTGTGCCGTTACGATTCGCATTATAGACACTATTTGCGATGAGCAAACATCTCAACCAGAGAAACGTGACATACATGTAAACGGTTTGGGCAAAAGTGCGACCCAGGAGATACGAGGTAATAAAGGGATTATCCCAGCTCCGAACGAGCCCGGTGCACATCGTGCCAGAGGTATCGCCCTCGACCAGTTTATCGGATGGAACAGTGTAAGACTTTCCACCGAAAACGACGGTAAGAGACAGCGAGTTTTTGCATGGGATTGACCATGTTGTGCCATCGGACGAGTTGGTGGCAGTCGCACCGCCAAGCCTCGAGTCTGCACAGAGTCAATACATTATCAAGAACACCGATGAGAGACGTACAGAACGCCTCGGCTTCCTCATAAGGGAATCGTATGTCTGTGATGGACGTTTCGACCACGGCGACACCACCCGTATTGCGACCGACTGTCCATCCATCGGCTGTGGCCGACCAGCTATCCAACTTGAGACTCCAGGCATTCGGATAATTTGAAGGAATGTCATCGTTGCTCGCGACGACGACGGGGTTATAAGTTATCTGGTCGTTGTACTGGGTGTCTGTTGCGCGGAAATCCATCACGCCAGCACTCTTGACAGTACCATTTGGATCAACCTCGTTTGGGTTGTTGAGTTGGAGACCGATTGTAAAGTTTTGCCAGCCGCGGTAGTTGCGGAACACGGTCTCGATGAAGGAATCATTGCCTGCTCGACGACCTAGACCTAGTAATCCTGAAGCACCATTGCCAAAGATGCCATTCGACTCGTCTGCGACGACGACTAGAAAGTGCAGGGGTAAGTGGTCAGTCTACGCAGTGTAAAGATAGACTTGCCGGTTTGATCTTGATACCACCAGAGAGAGCCATTTTCCGTCTTTAGTCCACACGCTTCGGAGATTCTGTCCCCCTTGATGGCGTTGCCTCCTATGGTGATTGTATTCGAGCCATTAAGGGCGACCTGGGTCTGTGATATTGAGGCGTTGTATCTATAGAAGTCGGTTAGCCGAGGTGTCAATAATAACTAGAAGTCGAGAGGGGGAGTGAGTGGGAAACATGCGCTCGGGAGTGGGCGGGCATTAAACAGAAGAAGATACAAGATTCGATAATAGAGTAGGAACAAGAAGACGTACAGGGAAGACGTGCCGATCTGAGAAATGCAACTGGGGCACTTGGTACCAGCGACAGCAGTCAACGAGGTCGAAGTTGAGATCATGAATGTAAAGTTTTGTATCGGGGCACCCTTTCCTTGATTTCCCTATGAGCGCGGGATGGAGCGTTAGCGGATGGTGATCCTGCGAATGCTCGGTAGAAATAGACAAAACTGACCATGCCAATGGAAGCAACATAACGACCTTGAGCGTCTGTAGAGAGTGGGATAACGAATCCATCGCTGTTGGCGGGCAACGCGCGCTTTGAAAGCAGCCGGTGGGGGTTTAGAAAGCCAAACGCAGACGCGCTTGTCGATAAAGAGAGGAGCGCCACCAATACCAGCCCAACCATGACTTTAAATTTTGACCAAATTTGTTCGCTGCTCGTTGTATGACGAGTTGACGAGGGAAGATGGGGGGCGTAAGGGAATGTGCGCGACGAGGCAAGGGCCAAGAAGCAACTTCTACTACGTAGAGTAGGCGGTGTATGTGTGTATGTGTTCCTCGCAGTCACCGGCGCTTTCTCAGCAAAAATACGGCAAAGGTAAGGGTCCAAGTTGCAACTATTACCGTACAGCAAAACAGTAGATGACCTCGGACGTGGGCGCGCGCACCGCGGGTGGATCAGGCGACGCCTTGTATTCCCAAACCGAAACAGGAGACGGAAATACTCAGCTACCTGCAGTTTTCCGCAGTATTTTGGGCGTACAATAGGCGCCGAGGGACCACGCGCCGCTCCATCGGACATCATGGAGTTTTCGGAACCCGCGACTGGTCCACATTCCTGCAATTTGGGAGAATTTTACAGGATATCCACGCAGGAACACCCCGGACATTCACCGGCAAAAGCAATTTAGAGTGTGAGAACCCTGGTTATTCCTGCAGCCAATGACCGCTATCAATCTCGACGATATCGCGGGTCGCATTACGTGCTTGCCGCGCCTCAGGGAGTCGAAGCACAATGCACCTCTGCTTCACACACTGCTCGCCAAAACGCCAGATGACTCTCATATCAGCTTTGGTACAAGACGGGCTGTAAACCAGCACAGAACGGAGACAGCTCTCTTCAAATGCCAGCCTGGCATTCTCATCCGTCACCGGACGGAGACACGACCATCTTTGGAAAACAAGTCCCTTTTTTCTGGTTTGGTGTCAGAATCCCCACTCTCCAGTCCGTTCACGAATACACCATCCAGCCTCGCCAAGCCAGCGCTGTACCCGCTCGTCATCCTTCTTCCGCAGACCCTCCTCGTCGTGTAGGCTTGCTTTGGCATCCTCCAACACGTCGACATCGCCCTCTCCCTCGAGCGCAAGCACAGACCAGCCAATGACCATCATCCCCGGAGGCCGTTGCTCGCCCACTTGCGCCATTGCACTCGAAATCGTCGATAATGTTGCTGAAATCACACGTTGATCCGGCATCGACGACCGCTCGATAATAGCAATGGGCAGGTTTGACGGGTACGCCGCACCTTCTCGTAGTCCACTTGTATTCGTCGGCGAAATCAGTGTCTCGACGACACTATCCAATCTCGCGACGCCCATTAAGAGCACCAATGTTCGGCTGCGGATGTATCCTGGGAGTGCTGTTGGTTTGCCTTGTCGTCCTACGCCTGTGCACAAGATCATCGACTCGGCGACCCGCGCTGCGTGACGGGAATATTGGCAAGTGCGGGACCAGCAATCGCAGATGTGATCCCCGGTACGAGAATCGATTCAAAGCCATGTTTGCGGAAATAGAGAACCTCTTCACCTGCGCGGCCATAGACCATTGGATCGCCTTGCTTGAGCTACACATCGTCAGGACGCGAGATCAGATAAGAAAGATATAGACTTACGCGGACGACAAGCTCGCCTCTGCTGGCGGCCTCGACGGCCTCGACCATTAACTCATTTTGGGCACCGTCGGCATTGCCTGGAAACTTTTTGGCAATCTTTACTGGAGTCGACGATGGGATGAGCGCGAGGACTTCTGCTGGGACGAGTTTATCGGATAGGACGAGCGTGGCCTTTCGAGTGAGAATCTCGTGTGCAGCCACGGTGAGGAGACCTGGGTGGCCTGGTCCGGATCCAAGGAGATAGATCTTTCCACGCTGTGAAGATGGGGAGATGGCGAGTTGGTGATGGGTCAAGTTGTTGTTCTCTATCGGGCCTTCGCTCTTGAAGAGGTCATCCATCTTTTCTGGCTCCATCGTAGCCAATTGTTCCAACGGCCAATATTCACTCACTTGCGCAACCCATCTCATTCTGCGCAATTGGCGTTCTTGACTCGTTTCTCCTGGTTTTACACCTTGGTCCACGGCCTCGTTGGGTGTCGTAGGCTGCGAATCTTCGTTGCCGTCGAGCTCGTCTGCCTTGTCAATCTCTTCCAAAGACTTGACACGCGCACGAAGCTTGGCTACATTTTCTACAGCGTCTCCAATATTGGACGGCAACTTGCTGACTACTTCGCGTCGTATCCGCGAGGCGAGTCTGCAACCCTTTCCGTTTGTCGTGACGGCCACTTGTAACGAGCCAAGGTGTTTTGATGAACTAGATGATGAAAGAGGGAATCGGTGGCATGTTGGGAGGGTAAAATCGCAGAGAGTGGGCATGTCTGCGACGTTGACGAGAATGTTTCGTCGTGATAGTGATTGTCGAAGTGTCGCAGCAGATAGATATGTACGACGACGAGGTGTTCCGATCAGAGTATCGGTGATAAACGCCGTCGCCACTGGTTGAGTGAGCGTTTGGAGGATGTGCTCAAACCCTTCTAGATTGTTGAAATGCACAATCTCTAGTTCCTTTCTGTCTCTTCTGACAATAATCTCCTCTGATGTGATCTCTGCATCGTTTTCGACGAGGATGAGGACGGTCGAGTCTGCTTGCAGGGCCGCAGTGGCGCGCGTTGCTGCCAAAGCACCTCCGCCAACGACGAGCGTTGTTTTAGATGCTAAAGAAAGTGCTACAAGGAGTGAAGCACCTCGTTCGATGGGTGGATAGACCATTTGTAAAAGTCGGCCGGGGTTAAAAAAGCGTCTTGTCCAAATATCCGCGTCGCGATTGCATAATCGGCAAGGGGCTCCGAGGTATGGTGCAATCGATTTCGCCACGGGAACTCAATACGTCGCTGGCTTTGCGAGTCGACTCATGACTGTGGCCGCGTTTTCGGCGACTTTGCGCTGCTGTTGGTAGCGCTCGTTGACGGCGTTGTTGAGCATTGTGCGTAGTTGGTCTTCAGGCATGGTCGCTGCGGCCGGGAGAGCAACATCAATGTTCATATTGTCCGTGTCTGTAGAGGGCCGGGGGACGATTGGGAGAGCACCGATCCCCGTCTCGTTGAGAAACTCGTAAAACTGGGCAGTCAAGTCTGCAAGTGTCGTATAATCACCTGCAGATGCAAACGAAATGTTAGCTGAATCCTGTTGAGCGTGGCTTTTACCCACTTGCAGTCTTGTTGGGGTTAACATCAGGCTCATAGGCTCTATCACTGCGATAGAATAAGATATACAGGCTTTTATGCTGCCAAATCAACGTACATGCCGTTGACGACGGATTCGGCGAGTGCAATCAGCTGCGGGAGATGTTGGTTGAGCGCAACCTCAATATTCGCACGAAATTCAGCTGCAGGAGTCCCAGGAACTGGCTGGGGAATCTGAGCAAGCTGGACGGGCAGCCCAGAGAGACTGGCAAAGTCGGGGATGCCTCCAGTCGCCGTCGAGGACGCTGGAACGGCGCCAGATCCCAGTTCAAACGACGTGGAGAATGATGGAGTTTGACCCAGAAAGTCAAGCGTCGTGTCCATCTCGTTCTTGACGGACGAGTCGTGTGGTTTCGACATGGATGGGTTCAAGGTTTGTTAGTGACGTTTTACACTGTATTTCAGGATTCACAGGATATATTTATTATATCAAGATGTACCGATGTGCATGGACCTTCCATGAACACTCAAAGTCACCTTCTAAAATACATTGAAATGTATATAGTTTGTATTTTTGTAATATTCCCTTTGATATTCTGCGAGCCCCCGATTCCCAGCTAGGCCGGCCTGGCGATTGAAGCCGTCCCAAGGTTGCTTCCAACCATAATCCCCGCCTTGTCACGGCATTCTCCAGCAACTTTGTATTCTGCCTGAACAACATCAAGACGTCTAGCAAACTATTCCGAGTAACAGTTTGACCTTGCGCGTCAGGAGAGCGTCGTCAGTTTTCAGGTTGGACGCCGAGAAAGCTAGACCCGACAAAGCTCATCGTACACAGATTACATTCTCTGAGACAATATGGACGCAGATACTTCCTATCCCAGTCAGCTCCCCCCAGTTTCTGCTGTTGTGGGCGAGCAGCATTCGCACCCAGCCGTCAATGCCGACCATACCGTCTGTTCTTTTCTTCATCCTACTCACCATCACTTGCTTATTCTCATATTTTTGACCCGCAGATCCCATCGGGGCCTCTTGACCAATCATCGGTCTCGACGCTGAACGCAGCATCCGTCAACTTGCATGGCTCTCTATCCTCTCGCTCTCAGACACCAAGTCGTCAACAACAAGCTGCATTCCACCCCGTAGCTGCTCCTGTTCCGAGGACTGCAGCCAGTACGGCGCCGCAAACTCCACTCATGGACGCCCAGCCCGGTCCGGCCTCTTCTCGCGCCAGGTCTCCTCAACAGGATGATGGGTACCAGTCTGAAAGGCCTCTGAACGTGACGGACGCTCTTGGTTATCTCGACGCGGTCAAACAACGATTTCACGATCGACCCGACGTCTACAACCGGTTCTTGGATATAATGAAAGACTTCAAGACCCAAATGTACGCATAAAACTCTGATTCGGTTGACTTTTCTGACCATTGTTCACAGAATCGACACTCCGGGTGTTATCGAGCGAGTTTCGCACCTGTTTTTCGCTCATCCAGACCTTATCCATGGATTCAACACATTTCTGCCTGTCGGCTACCGCATCGACGCTGGAAGCGGAGGTAGTATCCTCGTCACAACGCCCTCTGGCGTCACCTCTCTCAACGCTGGCCAGCTTCCTCCATCGACTGAATTTCCTGGTGTCTCGCGACCTCGGAGTAGCCAGCATGGGCATCATCCGACTGCTCTCAACGCCCCACCGCCGGCTCAGCCCGTTTACCATCCTTCAGTGGCAGATACGGCCATGCACGGTCCTGCAGGCCTCGGACCCGGAGCTCCGAGTCATAGTCCCTATGCTCACCCAACTGCAGTAGTAGATCCCAACACACGGGTGCTAGAACCACCCTCCGATCCACAATTCGAGTTTCAAAAAGCGATTGCGTATGTCAGCAAGATCAAGACCCGCTTTAACAATGATCCCGATACCTATAAAGCCTTTCTCGAGCTCCTTCAGAAACATCAAGATGTCAAGAATATCGAGGTGCGCGTCGGCTGCTTTTGGGGTTGCCTCAACTGAGCTAATTCCGACATAGGTTCAGGAGCAGATCAGCGTCCTTCTACAAGGAGCTCCGGATTTGCAAGCAGAATTTCGCGAGAGCTTTGTCGATGGCCGAAGTGGGAGCTTCCTAGGGAGCGCTGCGAACAGTGCACTTGGTTCTAATCCACATGATTGGATGAATCCCAACAAGCGCAAAGATCCTTCCTCTGGCATGGCAGTTCCTCCAGCCAAACGCAAGAAAAAGGTTCAAGAAAAGGAACCTTTGCCATCGTCCAAGCCGCCGTCGAGTGTTCGCCCCAAGAAGCCAAAGCCCCATCCCCGCATCGAGCAAGCAGACGACTATATGTACGATAATGGCAATGGAATCACTGCGGTTGGTGGCGGCAGTGGGTACATGGGTATGGGCGCCAGTACCCCCGAGGATCAGGTCTTTTTCGAAAAGGTCAAGAAGACGCTAGATAACCGGGAGACGTACGACGAGTTCCTCAAGCTTCTCAATCTCTTTACCCAGGATATCATCGATATGAGGACCTTGATTGATAAATCTGCGACGTTCCTTGGCGAAGGCTCGGAACTACATCTTCAATTGCGTCGCTTGCTCGGGTGGACCGAGCGCGAGAGACTTGTCAGGGAGCCCGACGACACGAATACGATTCCTGTGGCAAACCACGCCATCTACGTGCCGCATGAAAAGGACGACTTGCACCATAAATGTGGTCCTAGCTATCGAAGGATCCCGGCCAACGTAAGTGGTTGATGAAAGGTCAGAAGGCGAGTACTGAATCATAACAGGAAGCTCACGTGGCTTGCTCCGGACGAGATGCGCTCTGCCGTTCGGTGCTCAATGACGAGTGGGTGTCGCATCCTACCTGGGCCTCTGAGGACAATAGCGGCTATCAATCTCACAAGAAGAATGTGTACGAGGAGGCGCTTCACAAATGCGAAGAGGAGCGACACGAGTTTGATTTCCATCTCGAGATTATGACAAAGACCATCTCGGCCCTCGAGAACATTAACATGAAGATACAACAGATGACCAACGAGGAGAAATCAACGTTCAAGTTGAAGCCCGGTCTCGGTCTTCCAAACAAGAGCATCTACCAACGCATCATCAAAAAGGTCTACGGGAAGGATCCAGGGATGGAAGTCATTGCCACTCTTCACGACTGCCCTGCCATTGCGGTCCCAATCGTTCTGAATCGATTACGGGCAAAGGACGATGACTGGAGACGAGCTCAGCGGGAATGGAACAAGGTCTGGAGAGAAGTCGACGCCCGAAACTTTTACAAGTCGCTCGACCATCAGGGGGTCACGTTCAAGGCCACGGACAAAAAGGCGTTGACGACCAAGTCTCTGGTCGCGGCCATCGAAGCAGCACGAGATGAACAGGTCTCGGAGCGGGCTGCCATGATGGACCCAAGTCTTGCACGGACACGGCCGGCCCATCAGCTTGCATACGAATTGACCGACCTCGCCGTCATGAAGGATACGACATCGCTTATCCTGGCATATCTCGAACGACTTGGCGCGCATTATACTGCGGCTGAGCGTGACAAGATTGAACGCTGGCTAGTCTCCTTTGTCGTTACCTTTTTCGTGCTCGACAAGGAAGACTTTGAGAATGCGGTCAAGGGCGCAGCCACGAACGCTCCTACATCGAGCGCGCTTGGAGTCACCAACATGGTGCCGGCCGAGAATGGAGCCCTCACGATGGATGTGGACCCCGACGAGACAGAGGCTGTCGCTAGCGGGCGGCGAACGCCCAAAACTAAAAAGGGCAAGTCACTCAAGAGTGGCAACGTCTCGAGGATCCCGTCGGCGAAAGCCACGCCCATTATGCAAGCTGCCGAGTTGCCAAAGGAAGTGAAGGAGGACGGTCCGATGCCCGTTGATAGTGTTTGGATCGGCACGCAGCCTGGCCAAACTGACACCGCCACTTCGAATGTCCGCGGTGCGGCTGATCCCAAAAAGGGTCCTGCGGCGAACCGAAAGGCCTCTTTCTTTGGTAATACGATCACATATGTGATTCTTCGTATCTTCCAGGTATGTTGTTTTGGCTATTGTGGGCCTTTGCTAAACGTGCTTTATCTAGACATTGTACTCTCGATTGCTCCTTTGCAAGGAAATCACCCAGCAACTCTCGACGACGACGGGCACTCATACGGCGAACCCAATTGCCATCGAGCTCGGATTGATTGACGGATTGGGCCCCGGAACGATGAACTTGTTTGTGCCAAATAATGAAGCAGAGCTCAACCCGGACGGAACACCGTTCAATCCGACGAGCCGGTTCTATGCGCACTTACTTGAATGCTGCGAGAGTCTCTTTGCGGGGGATATGGACCAGAACACGTTTGAAGAAAACTTGCGGTTTATGTTTGGAACCAAGGGTTATCTTATGTTTACTGTTGACAAGGTCATTGCAGCCCTTATCAAACAGGTATGTCTCTATTGGAGTCGCTTGGAAGCATTGCTGATGTGCACGTAGATTCATGCTGCGATTAGCGATCCGCAGACGGAAGAGCTGATCAGCCTCTTGCGTACGGAAAGACGAGCAGAGGACCCGAGTACTCAGCAAATTATCACCTATCGACGGAATGCTGAAGAGATTATTGGGCAAGATGATAACCTCTTTAGGATCAATTGGGTAAGCGTCTTCTATGTGTACCGTGCATGGCCTGACTTGGTTGCGTAGGATCACTCAATTATGACTATCCAGCTGCTCGGGAAGACTGATCCCAGCACGGACGATGCTGAGACGATCGCCCAACGGTGGCGACGCTACATCGAATCTTATGTCCTCGTAAGTATTTCCTGACAGATTGACGCGATACTTATACTATCCTCAGACTCATCCTACAGAGGGCATCAAGGAGGATGTCAAGAATCCATTCCTTCGCAGGTCAGTAGCTCAAATTTAGAGGAGCAGTTTTCTCATTGTATTACAGGACGGTCATGGAAGCACCGTTGACGGAGACTGGCTGTCATGCGGACAATGGTCTCGAGATTCGAGTGTGCATCCGCACGTACAAGCTCTTTTTCGGCCCCGAGACGGAGGACTACTTCTGGCGATACGGGGATGGCGCGCGCAAACAAGCAATGGAGCGACTGGCGGAGATTGACACAAAGCGTAAAGAACGTTTCGAGTCATGGCTCGAGTCGCGGCGAGCAAAGATTGACAAGAGCGAAAAGTCGGATAATGGGGTCAAGAAGACTGAGACGGCGGTGGAAAAGTAGAATGCGAGGATAAATGTAGCTGTCTGGATTTGTGTACATCTGGTGATTATTGTCTACTCGTGATACTCCAAGAAAATGAGAGTGATGGTCAAGAAATTTCATTGGGCACTGCGTCGGGTCCGAGAGGAGCATCGAACGGGCTGAACCGTATGCCTTGAGCTTCGTCTGGGCTGGCATATGACTGTCCTGGAACCAAAAGGAGAGAAGAGGATCATCGTACTCTCGTCTTCTCCATAGACCAAGGAGCAACTGGGTGGAAGCCAGGTATTGAGGGCATTAATGAGTTCTGGAACCATGAAGCAGGTCCGAGCGATACGAATCATCAATCCCTGGACATCCCTTTGAATCCGGTGAGCGAGTGGCAATCTCAGATGGCGTGGACTTACCTGTCTCTATAGAATGCTTCGAGTGCACCAAGGAGTTTGGTAAACATTTCTGGATGGTCATCGGCCAGGAGGGCAGCGCAATCATCAAGAAAGATGTGCGCTTCGATTTTGTCGAGACGGTGCGTCGGACGAGGGAACAGGGGCGTTGGATACGCATCGGACATTACACGTGATTAAAATGGAAATTCTAATAGAATACGTTGAGTTGATGGGTGCGGACGAGGAGAAGGACGAAGCGAAGAGGGTGGCCAAACATTCACCTCGTTGGATTCTCCTCCGACCACTCTGGATTCTTGGACGTTCGGATAGATACTCTCCCATCGCTTGCTTTCATATTCGTAAGGTTGTGGATCTTTCTTTCTCCATCCATGCCCCCTCGGAAGAACATTGTCAAGTCGGGAAACGCTGGGACATCATCAAAAGGCCAGAAGCCGAAACAAGATGATTCTGGATCATCTTCAGCACCATCTGGACCTCCTCCTTTGTTTCCTCCAGGTTCAAAGACGCCTTTATCATTGCTCTACGAGAGGTGCGGCTACTTCCCCTGTTTTCAACAACTAATGGAACACAGGTGTCAAAAGAATGGGTGGGATAAACCCGAGGTGCAAACCGTATGTACTATCAAATTGTCAAAGAGTTCTGTCCAGATCTGTCTCATAGTTTCGTCGAGGAGAACAATTCTCAGCCGTGGTGATCGTTCAGAAGAAGAACCCACGAACATCTGCAAAGGAGACGATCAGACTTGAGCCTCATCCGCCCAAAGAGATGCCCTCCCTCCTCGAAGCCAAGCACTGGGCTGCAACCTATGCGCTGTACCGCGTCAGTAATACGTCTGGGTGTGCTATAGGAATCTCAAAATTTTATAGTTTTGCAACAACATTCAGCTTAATAGAGTGCTTCCTGCCGGCCCTCGCGGGTATTGGCAAGAACTCGCAGAGGAGCATCGAAAAGCGCCGGAACACTTGAAATGGCAATATGATCCAGATCCATTTGCTGCAAAGGCTGCAGTAGAAGAGCGTCAACGAAAAGCGGCTGCCAAGAGGGAAAAGGCAGACGATCCGGATGAGCTAGATCTTGGAAGCTTTGACCGTGGTGTAGAGGTCAGGATGGGTACCAAGTTGCGTGATGCAGTAGAGAGTGCGGTCAAAAAGGTGGGCCATACGTTTGTTACTCGGCAGCACGCTTATTCTTTTAGGTCATCCAAGAATTTCCAGAAGTACAAGGATCGGAGGATGTCTCTTTTCTCGAGGATGACGCCTTGATCGGCTCTCTATCTGCTCTCGGCTTCAAAGCCGGAAGCATCAGAACCACCCTAGAGGCCCTATCGTCAAACTCCGCTTTCACCTCTGCACTTCTGGTCGCATCTCCTCCACTTGAAGCCGCTCTTGAATATCTACTCCTTCACACTCCGGAATCTGAGCTCCCCAAGCAGTTTCAGCCGTCCAAAAAGTCCTCCAATCCCTTTGTGTCCTCGGCTCACGCTGGTGGGGAGAGTCTCCAAAGGCGATGGATGGAAGACAGAGCCGTTAAAGAGGCCGGCTATCCACGTCTAATCGTCAACGAGTGCATTGAAGAATGCCCAGATAACCTCGACCTCGTTTTCGAACTGTTGACTCATCGACTTCTGGGCCTGTCAAATCCCAGTTTTGTGGACGAATACGACCGGGAACTTTGTAAAGCAGCCAGAAACGAAGAACTTGAGGCCATTCAATCGGTCTATCCAGACGTCACATTCAATGAAGCTTTATCAATACTCACTATTCCGATAGAAGGTACTCCCGCAACACTCAACATTATATATTCAGCACACCACCCCTATCCTCTTGGATCCCGCATCCCTCCATTTTATGTCACCTCTGACACGTTACCGGCTTACTTGCGCCTCTACTTTGTGATGCGAATCGCGGAAACTCTGTTTCCGAATGGACAACGCGTGGAAGATGAAGGGATATGCTTTAATGGCGTCGAGGCTGCACTCGTCGCATGGTCTGAGATCGAAGGGGATACACCACCAAAGCTGGAGGATGTCTTGCGCAATCTAGCGCCACCTCGTAAAGAGCGTGCCACTCGAGACCCTGTACAGACGCTCAAGGGAAAGCCCAGGCGTGTTGCTCGCACTGGGGCTCGAGATACCAGAAGTGACGAGGTAGTGTTGAAAGAGTTCACAGAACTCAAGCGTAGACCAGCATATCAAGAGATGGAAACGCAGCGTAAGCGACTTCCTGCTTGGGAGTTTAAGAACGAGTTGGTGGAGACGATTAGAAAGAACCAAGTGACAATCGTAGTCGGGGAGACGGGTAAGTGAGTAGTTTGGGAAGTGCTTTGCTCATCACGTTTAGGGTGCGGAAAGACGACGCAATGTGAGAAATCTCCCGGTTTACGAAGGATCTGCTGAAAAATTCCAGTGCCGCAATTTATTCTCGACGAAGAAATAGAGTCCAAGCGGGGATCCTCAGCGTCTATTATCATAACACAACCACGACGAGTCTCGGTTCTCGGCGTCTCGTCCAGAGTATCTACCGAACGTACTGACGATGGATCGGTTGGATATGCCATTCGAGGCGAGAGCAGAGTTCGACCTTCTACAAAACTTCTCTTTTGCACTACTGGTGTGCTCCTGCGTCGTCTCGCAGGAGAGGACGACCTGGAGAATGTAACACATGTTGTGGTTGACGAAGTGCGTACTATCTCTTTCATCTGCCTTTTATCGCATGTTCTGTACTCACGAAACCTAGGTTCATGAGCGCTCGGTGGATAGCGATTTTCTTCTGTTGGAGCTCCGTGAGATGATAAAGGCGAACAAGTCGCTCAAAGTCGTTCTCATGAGTGCGACAATCAACCAGAAGACTTTCTCAGCCTATTTCGATAATGCACCCGTGATCGAAATTCCTGGTAGGACATACCCAGTGACGGATGGTAAGTACAGAAATGGAACATGTCCCATTTCTTACGACTTTGATTCAAGTATATCTGGAGGAAATTCTCCCACTTGTCAACTATCAGCCTCAGCCGGTGCGCGGAGGGGAGAGGTTCACAGCAGAACAATCTCAGTCCTTCCGAAGCTTCTTCGAGACCGCGGGTATAGATCAAGAAACCATCAAATCGCTAGAGATGCTCAAGAAAGCCGATAGGATTGACTACCAGGTGAGGGAAGTCTTCTGGCATTCTCTTCGCCGACTCCAAGGATCGATAGCTGGTGACAGCGATTGTCAAACACATTCTCCGCCAAAATGAAAAGGGAGCAATTTTAATTTTCATGCCTGGTGTACAAGAAATTCGACAATGCATAGAGGCATTGGGAAGCAATTCACTTGGCCGCGCTACTATCCTGCCGCTTCATGCCAACCTTACAAGTGATGAACAACGGAGAGTCTTTGCCCCGACTCCGAATAGGAAGATCGTTGTCGCGACCAATGTTGCAGAGGTAATTCCTTCTTAAACAATCCAACGAAGCTGAGTCCCCTACAGACGAGTATCACTATCGACGATGTGATCTATGTAATCGACGGTGGGAAGGTCAAGGAGAATGAGTATGATCCAGAGACAGGGCTTGCTCGATTGGAAGAGACTTTGGTGACACGAGCATCGGCGAATCAACGGCGTGGACGAGCTGGGAGAGTGCAGGCAGGAACTTGCTATAAGCTATTCACAAAGCGAGACTGGGACAATATGCGCAAATTTCCAGTTCCAGAGATGCAAAGGGTACCTTTGGACAGTCTCTTGCTTCAGATCAAAGTGACGAGGTCAGAAGAAGACCCCAAAGTAAGTTACATTCTACACAGAAGCTAGGTCAATATCTGACGAAGTCTAGCAATACCTGTCACGGTCAATCGACCCACCCAAGCTTCAGGCAATGGATTCGGCTTGGGCCGCTCTGGAAGAGCTTGGTGCAGTCGATCCAGATGGCAACATACTTTCCCTCGGTCGATATATGGTGCGCACTAGTACTCGTTTAACCTCACACCTAACAAACCGAGCTCTCTAGTCAATGCTCCGGTCGATCTTCGTCTCGGGAAGATGATGATACTCGGGACATTGTTCGGATGCCTATCCACTGCGTTGACAATAGTGGCTTGTCTCTCTTCCAAGCCACTCTTCGTATCACCCATGGATAAGAGGGAGGAGGCCAACAAGTGCGCTTCGCTGTTAACCCGGAGCTTTGGCTCATTTCACATAGGGCGCGCGCAAAATTCTCAACAGAGAATAGCGACATACTCACAAACGTGAACGCGTTTAATGAATGTCTTATGGAACGTGGTAGGAAAAAGGGAGGAATTTCAAGCTTTTGTGAAGAGGTCTGTCCTACAGTCATGCACACCCTAGAGACTAACGACCGTTCAGAACTTTATCTCTTATTCTACCTTCCGAGACATTGTATCTCTTCGCGCAGAATTTGCTTCTGCTCTCAGCGACATCGGTTTTATACCCTTTGGGATCGATCCCTCCGATCCGCGACTCAATGTCAACGAGTCAAATACAAACTTGGTGAAAGCCATTATTGTTGGTGGTCTCTGGCCACGCATATCCAAGGTCGTCCTTCCCAAGGCTGTATTTGAGCGTGTCGCAGCTGGATCGACGCAAAAGGAGCATCAAGCCAAGGAAGTCAAGTACTTTACACAGGAGGGCAGAGCCTTTATTCATCCATCCTCAACTCTGTTCTCGCAAACGACATATAAAAGTCGCTTCCTGACATACTTTACCAAAGTGGAGACCAGTAAAATCTTTCTCCGAGATGTCACAGAGGCAAGTGGGATTGACTTTTTTTACCCTGAGAGATAACTCGGTTGGTAGGTCCCACTCTATGGTCTTTTGCTGTTCGGGGGCGTGGTGCGAATCAAACATATTGGGGGTGGAATCAATGTCGGATCAGATTGGCTGCATCTCAAGGCATCGCCGAGGATAGGAGTTTTGATCAATCAATTACGGTTTGTTATTCTACTTTTATTCCTACTCCGCTCATCAAGATTGCAGGAGGCTTTTAGATGCCCAAATGGGGAAGGCGATAGATGATGCTGCGTTATCAGCTGTCTCCAGTGATAACCCGATTGTAGACGTGATGTTGTCCCTCCTCAACCGGGATGGGCTAGATCCAGACGCACTTTGAAAGCTCATAGAGTGCTATCAATAGACGTCAATCTCCATCCCTTCATCCTCCAATCCTACAGGATCCATCTCGCGAAGTAGAAAGTCGAGGACGTAGCTATCTTGAACAAGCCGATCCGTCCTCGCGAGATGTCGTTCCGTATACGGGATCAGTGCATCGATCACATCCCGCAAGCTCTCGGCCTCTGCTGCGCGCTTGGAAAGTTGTTCGTTTCCTTGACCATGCGCCTCGTCGTCAGCCTTGGCCAGATTGGGCCCGAATGCGGCTTGGATGTCAGATGCAGGTCGAAGTTTGACTATGGCATGCAGTACGACCTGTGCCATGGCGGATGTCCGTGCCGTCGCGTTCCAGTCACGTATATGTCGAAGCAATTTCGCAAGCTCAACGAGGGGCAATGTACGGATCACCTCGTCGACGTCGGTAGACCCAGTGACATTTGTTGCGACAGGTACCTCGCGCAATTCTCCAGTTACATCGTCTGTATATGTGGCGACATCTCTTGAGGCATAGACGGTTTTGAACAGTTCGTAGAGTCTGCGTGGCTGGTTGGTTGAGATGGAAAGGAATATGGCGCTTTTGTAGTCTTTGCTGATGATATGTTGGTTCAGCTGCATCATTCTACGAGGAGATTAGACTCTGCATTTGAAGCAGTTTGGACAAACATTTCGTGCGCCTTCTCCTTTTCTGCTGCCGCTTGTTCCTTCTCGATTTCGGTGGAATCCTCCCAAAATGTTACTACCGAGTCTGCAGCGGCGGTAATCACAGTTTTCTCATCTCGCGTGACCGCCAGCGCCCACACCTTGACGTAGTTAGTCAGCTACAGTCTGTAGGATGATCCGTACCTTGTCTTCATGATTATCCATCGTGGTGACGCATGTTTCTTTAGGGATGTTCCAGAGCTTGAGCAATCCATCAGACGCAGTTGTGAGCAACTGTTGCCCTTGGTTGACGAAGTTGACCCGTAGAACAGAGTTTGTATGTCCTTCAAATGTCTACAGTGACATCACTACCGGCACGTCTGCGAACGGAATCGGCGTACCTTCACGCAAGAAAAATCTTCCAGGGTCCAGAGCTTGACAGACTTGTCTCCACTCGCAGTTGCGATAACTTTCTCGAAGCTGGAAAACTTGACATTCCAAATACCTCTCTTGTGACCGCGTAATGTCCCAACGTGCTTCAAAGATGCTCTTGATTTTGCCAAGTTAATCTCAAAGATTTTAGCCGTCTTATCTTGTGACCCAGTTGCGAGAAGTTTGTCATTTGGTGAAATATCGATCGAATTGACGTCCTTGTCGTGCGCTTTTTGGGTTACCAATGATGACAACTTTCGAGGCTGCTCGCCCTTGACAACTAGGTCCACATCGGACAGATCCCATAGTTTGATAGTCCTGTCTTGACTCCCTGTGACGATAAACCTCGAAGATGTCGTCGAGGATTTGAACATAGAGACCGCGCCAACGCTCTCTGAGTGGCCTTCTCCAATACCAATGCAGTCCCAACGATCATCGATTCCTTTTATAGGTGCCCATATGCGAAGAAATGTGTCCTTGCTGACACTTGCAAGGAGTCGGCCATCTACCGAGCTGTCCAAAGCAAGGATTGTGTCCAAATGTCCAGCGAGGAGGGAGCAATTTATTCCATGCTCGGAAGATGTTGGATAGATGCGAAGGAGGGATGAGTTGGTGGCTAAGGCGAGATGTGTATCTTGCAAGGTATTTGAAGACAGGAGAGCTGCGTCAACAATTTCGTCATTAAATCCAATAAGATGGCGCGATATTTTGAGAGATTGAAGAGAGTGGAATGTGATATTTTGATCTGCATGAAGGCTGACGATCGTCGAGGCGGACTGACAATATCTGAAAGGCTTGAGCGTTACATTTAAACTAGTCAGTAGGACTCACTGAGCCTCTTGGATGCTTTGTATTTCCTGGCTGTCCTTCGAGAAGCTCCTGCGGCAAACCTAGACTTACAAGCCGTTTGGCCTGGAGTGCATCCCAAATGTGGACGTGCCCTTCTCTCCTGCAATATAAAATAGCAAAGAATTCGAACTTGCCATTTCTAAGAGGGGGGCTGTCGGCTCTACCACACCAAGGGATTCGACTGCTTCCGAGACTGGGATAGTTTTGACAAGTGCAGGTGTGGCCATTTTCTTCCCTTCCTTCCCGCCCAAATTCACGAGCTCATCCATCTTCCACACCAGAACCACTGAATCTCTTCCAGCGGTGAGTAGAGTATTACCATCCTTCGAAAACGCAAGGCCGCGAGGTACGGAGACATGTCCATCGAGGATCATTATTGGTTTTGTGATTCCGGATCGGATATTAGACTGCGCCAGATCGAACAATCGGATGCGAGTGTCGACTGAGCCGGTAGCAAGGATCACTCGAGGCGCCCCTTGTGATCCTGGATAGACATAAAAGCAAAGGCAGCTGATAACGCCTCCGTGACCCTTGAATGCATGCGTTGCATATCCCCTGCGAAGGTCCCATACCTTCACCACACCGTCTGCTGATCCCGTGGCAAGGAAGGACGAGGTTGCGTCAATTACAGCGACATGAACCGGTGCGTCATGAGCCTTTGGTATATGACGAGAAGGTTGGATGGGCTTGATCGACACGTCGTCGTATAGCGAAGGCATAGGGTATATCCTAATGGAAAGCGAGGCCGTAATGACGACCAAGTCCGTCTCTGAAGGCGAAAGGGCCATGGCAGTGACATTAGTCGTGTCCTTGGGCCAAATGTGAGTTTGCTGTTGCAAAAGCGGTGGAGGCTCACGTTAAAAAAGCGGCAGACCAGTTGTCCTGACTCTACATTCGTCAAGAGAGCCTCTTCTCCTAGACAAGTAACGATTCTTTTCGCATCTCGCGTCACAACGATGGGGCCCGACGTGTGTAGAGGCCGTATTTCGCGAGCTTTGCGGTAGCTAGCCAATATGAAGCTCTTCGAACTATATGCTTATCTATAAATTCACCTACGAGCTGCTCAGGTATCCGTCTTGATTCATCTGGGCTGCCTCTGACGGCCTGATGGGTATGGTAAAGATCCAAATCAGCCTTAGCTTAGCGACCTACCACGACGGCTTCGATGGCGAGTTCTCCGTCTCGCAAGGTAGGGTATACATTTTTACACATATAGCTATACAATATAATGGTTATTTAGCGCTCTTGCGATGATAGCCTTGAGCAAGCTCAGATCAAGCGTCCGCGCAGACTTGATGCCACTCTCGGCCTGACGCCTGAAACTCCTCCACCTCTCGTACTTTTAGATGTACCCCACCTGCAGCATATATGGGACGACATGTCCCATGGTACATTATTTGAGCTCGCCAGGCTCGCCATCATGCACCAAATCGACTTGTCAAGGATCCCTGAGGGACGACTAAAACCTCTGATAGGGAGCAATTCGGCGACTGTCAACAATATATGGGATGTACTTGGCATCAATCCATCTCGCGTTCTCTGTGCTACGGCCGCACAAGTTCTTGACTGGGAGGCGGCCGCGCATATCCAAGGAGACGGTTCAACATTGGAAACTTCAGACGAAATAGATCCTCCCAGAGCCAAGAGTGGAAGGGTCGCCTTCACCGCGTCACTTCCCATGTCCGCGATCACTACTCGAGGTTCAACGCATCCTGTCGAAGCTCCCATCACCCTTCACTTACCAAAGGTTGGACCATCTTGCTTATTCACCCGCGTATTCGGCTCTCATAGATTTCTGCGAGTGAAAGTTGTCGATCGTATCAAACTCAGGGACCGTGACTGCGAAGCCCTGTGGGAGATGGCGCTACGGCCGATTTCGTTATTGGGAAGAGTATATCTTCCACTAGTGGAGAAAAATGACACCATTTGGTACTATATGGAGGGCTTAGATCGCCTTGGGAAGCATGCCGAAACCTTACATCGTGGCAGACGGGGTAGCTACGGTTTAGGAAGGATTATTCCTAATTCTGTAGCGCTAATTGGGTGGTGGACGCCTTTCTCCTTCAACAAGGAGCAACCTATATGCAAGTTAGCCACAAGACTGCATCTCGGAGTGAGTGATACTAGCCCTGGGCCGTTGGTGGAGATGATATATGTCGAGGACGACATAAAAAGAGATGGATACGTCTTCACCGACGGTTCGGGTGAGGTATCTGGGCCTTTACTCCGCAGATTTAGAGCAAAATGTCCACAAGCTCGAAACGAGGCCTCTGCCTATCAAATCAGAATCAGTACAGCCAAAGGCATCGTTCAAGTTGCAGAGAGCCCTGATGTGCACCGTCCACCGCAGTGGATGAAGGTCACTCGGTCAATGATCAAAGCAAAGCACGGGGAGGGGAAACTACCCCGAGATGGACCTCTACTCCTCAATGGTTTCCGGATCCTAGACGCAGCCCACTTTGTTGTCTGCATCGTCCAAGATGCTTCATGGCGATATCCAGCTCAGCTATCAAAACAATTGATCCCCATCCTTCATCATCAAGGCGTACCGGTAGAAATGTTAGCGACTTTCCTGGAAAAGGACATATCAGAGACTATGCTTTCCCTAAAACTTCAGCCACCACCAAGAGCGGGTGAGTCACCGGCAGCAGTTTTGGGACTCGCAAAAGCGGTGCAACGTCACGGAAATCTTATTCACCGAGCCCTTATGGACGACCCATATGGTCGTCGTCCCAGTCACAGAATGAAGTCGATTGAGAGCGACGAACCGTGGACTTTGGAGGACATCCTTCCAAGTGAGGACGAGGAAGGAGAGGGTACAGTGTATTCATATGCGAACTCCGTCCTCTACGAAGTCCAGCAACTCTATCTTGCCATCATTGTGGGCTTCAACATTTCTTCATCCAACTACTTTCTACAATGCTGGAAAAGGCTCCTCAAGCGCGCATTAAGGAAGAGCTCCATCGATTTCAGGATCTCATTCAGCAGTTCAGCATATTGCATGCTTGTACCAGGTAAGATCACAACTCTTCTCAATAATCAAGAGCTCATCGTGTCTCAGATTTCTCGGGTCAATTACCCGAAGGTTACATCTCGTTCACACCTCCAGAGATAGTTTATGATGGCGACAATCGAGCCGTTGATTTCACGAAGGGAGAAGTTCTGGTTAGTAATAAGTTCTCCAACGACTTTTCTAACTCTACGATAGATAGGCAGGCATCCTGCCCTTCTACCGACTGACATCCAGAAGGTTCGACTAGCAAATATCACTAGCCTGAAACAGAAACGAGGTCTCATCATCTGCTCAACACAAGGCTCTCGGCCCTTGGCCGATCTGCTCTCTGGTGGAGGTAAGACGCATCCCCATTACTTGACAACGTGTATTAACAATTTCATAATAGATTATGACGGTGGTAAGATGGCCAAGCTGCACGAAAACTTATCGTTAATACTGTTAGACGAGGCAATCATCATCTGGGATCGAAACGTCGTCAACGCATTTCAGAATGCTGACACGCAGCTTTCTTTCAAGCCAGCCGAGGTGGATGCGAGCTTCGTTAAAGATTCACAAACGATCCAAGACCTATGCCACAAGATTGAATCCATGAGCGAGGACCAAGAACGGGCAACGATTGCAGAACACTTTCTGGAATCACTCAAAATGCCTCTGATCCACGGAATCTGTGAGTACCAACGCCATGAATAGCCGGCGAAGAACAAATTTGTAGACAATTCGTACTACCTCAAGGCTATTGACAAGTTTGGTTTCGACTCCTTAGACGCACGGATACTCGCCCACAAGTCAGCGTTTCCTCTGTACAAAAACAGACTACTTACCTGATTCAGGTCAAACATGCTGCTTGATGCCCCTAAAACGTCGATGCGCTTATTGGAGGAAGTTAAATCCGCCGATGAAAAGAAATACGGGATACTGCCCAGGCCGTATTGGAAGAGGAGGCTCGACTCTTATAAAAAATCCGGAGAACATTGGGATGACGGGCCTCTTCCAACCGCTCAAAACAACCCGCTTGACATCTTGCACGACAGAGGTCACGCGTTTGCAGAAGAAGAGCACCGTAGAGTATACGGTCCAGCGACCAGCTGCAAATTGACACGGTTCAACACAAGAAATTGCTCCAACCGTGGCAAAAAGCAGAGCAGTGGGCGAGGGGGGATCCAGATCGAGAACGCGAATTGGACGTCATCAGGAACGTTGTCAATGAATACACAGCGGAATTTACAAAGCTCCCATCGATGAAAACGGACTACAAGGCCTATCAAGCGAAGCTCTTCGATCTCGCACGACGATTTGCGACCAGCCCCACGGAGAGTGAGGTCCCTCAGTTGATGGGAATAACCGACGATGGGGTTCAAAAGGCTAAGGCGTCACTTGCATACAAACAAGATTGCCAATACATTCGTGGTGGCTCGACAAGCGGCTTTCCTTGGAAGGTTGCATCTCTTATCCTCCTGAGTATCCTTGCCGAGGGATCCTCCGTCAAGATATCCTTCCCTCGCCTCGCTCGCCTCACACCACACTCTTCCTTTGTATCATAACCCCCATCAAGCGCTGTATAAATTTACAAGAATAACGTACAAATCTGATGTTACATGGCTCATTTTCGTTTTGAATGAGTGGTACCTCTCCCTGGACGACCTGGCTTTGGTAGGACGCGATTCCGGTTGCGATTCTTGACGTTCGCCGTTGTGAAGAAATTCTCGGCCTTTTTCTTGTTGGTTGTCATTCGCGGCTCCTTCTTTTGCTTCTTTCGTGGATTTATCTCTTCATCTGTAAGGACGTCAGACTCGTGAGGGGGAGGAGATACGAAACATACCTGAGAGGCCCTCTTCAACGATAGGGGGCTTTGAAGTTGTCGGGACAACCTTGGCTCCTGTCACGGCACCGAATACGTCTTCCCAATCAAGTTCTCGCTCCTCCTGCATCTCTTCCACGTCCTCATCCTCTTCATCTTGTTCGGAGTCAACTTGACTACCCTCACTTTCGAGAGCCTCGATTTCCTCCTTCAAGTCCTTGATATCCTCGCTCTCAAACTTGTTCTTTTGAATGATCCCGCTAAGCTTTTGTGGAACCGGTTTGAGCTCCTTGACGCCCTCAGGCTTGGGCTCCTCAGCCTCAGCTGGTGGGCCGTCTGTACGTTCCGGGGGGGCCACGAAGAATGGTAGTCGGCCTCGAACCCAATCATTCAGGACCATCTTGGCTACTCCGTCGAGGTCAGGCTCGCCGCCCTTGAGTAGCCGACCTTTCATCCTCGCGAGTTTCTCCAATAGTTCGTCTGCCTTCCATATGGAAGGACTACCGTCTTTTGATGCTGGTAATGGTATCCCATAAGTCCGGGAAATGTAGACTGGCTTTACTCGCTCGAGAAGTGCAGGGATATGGTCGGATGGCTGAGGGAGGGCCTCGACGCGGACGACACCCTTCAGAACGGTGGCAGTATTAGAGTCGTTTGCCGAGGTTGGGACTATTCCAGGGCAGTCAATTAGATATATTCGCTTGGTGAGCGTTATATATTGCCAAACTTTGGTTTCACCTGGCACAGGCGCGACCTTGCAGACTTTACTGGCCTTGAGCGTGTTGATGACGCTACTTTTGCCCACATTAGGATAGCCAATTAGGCCCACGGAGATTTGCTTCTTATCGGCATGAAGTTGGGAGAATTGGCGAAGGAGTTGAATGAGGGTACCTTTTCCGAAGGAATGATTCGGCGAAGCGTGAAAGGCAATAGTGGGATAAAGTTTGGAAAGATGTTGTATATACCGAGCCTAAAAGCTATCAGTAAATGGCAAGGGAGATAAAGACGAGGTGGAGAATGGGATGTATGTTTCAACCTATGAGAGCATCCGTCGATATTTGAATGCTAACTCAACTCTACAGAAACGTAGTAGCGCCTTGTTCCGTATCCATTCGTGCCCAAGACGGGCACAAATGGGGACCGCAGCAGTACATTGCTCTTCCACGGCTGTAACAGACATCTCTTCCAAGGAACGAAGAGCGCCTTGACTTAGCACGTGGTGTCGTGGTGGCAAGAGGAATCGGTGACTGGCAGGATTACTCACCGTAACCCAGCTGGGCACGAGATCACACTTGTTGATGACAAGAACAATCTGCTTATGCGCCTTTTCCCTTTTGATGTATTCTAGAACAGAGGTGCACATGGTCCCGATAGGGTCTCGTGCGTCGAGGATATGCAAGACAACATCAGAGGAGTCGATGACTTTGTAGAGCTCGCCATATATCCGCCGCGATGTTCCTTTTTGATAGATGGGTTCGTTATAAGTTCCGAATTGAACTTCCTCGAAGAGCTCTAGAGAACCCGTTCAATTGTGGCATAGCGAGGAGAGAAGTTAAGCTACCTTCTGCAGCACCGGCCGGCAGATCTGCAGCGTCCTCCATCTCGGCATCTGCTTTTGCAAGCTCCTCAAAAGATGCTACATCCAGTCGGGGTCGTTTTCGTTGAGCCTTGGGCCCAAATGTATCCGCAAAAGGCTCAGTTTCGACAATGTGTGAGCGCTTTAGGAGACTTCTTCAGCATGAAAAAAAAATGATAGAGGGGAGACTTGTACCTTTTGTATATGAGGATTTGCAGCGGCATCAATCAAACTCATCGGGAGTTTGTTTCTTCGTAGCAGAACCGAATACGAATCGTGCACTTTCGATCCCAGGCTTTCTCTAAAGTGCTCCAAGGCTGTTTGAGAGATTACACGTGTATTACCTAGTCTTCTGTGAGCCTTTTACGTCTACTTCCTGAACCGAGGGCGAGCGTACCAAACCATCGCCTGTCAGGTTGAACACGGCCAGGTTTTGCGTCTGCTTCTCCCTTCTGAAATGCTGCAGCTTGGATCATCTTGCCGTTGCGGTCGTAGACGGGCTTGCCACCGGTGAGCATCTTGACTTTTGCCGCCTTTTTGGCGTCTCTGTAAAAGTTCTCGCCCTTTACTCTCTTCATTCCCTTTTCTGAGAGTGAGGAGCGCGTTTTACCCCCATCGCCGCCGCCTTTTGATTTTTTCGTCGGGGCCATTTGTTGGGTTTGGTCGTGTCCAAGTTTGCCCCTCGCTCTGACCTCGGGCAACGTCCTAGCGAGTCTCGTAAATGCTGAAGAATTTCCTTAATTGGGGATTGTATATATGTCAACCCGGGACATGCTCGTGATTCTGTTCACAAGACGCGGACGGGACTTGTACCCGGCCATTCCGCACGAGACCAGCGTTGGCTAACTCCTGCGACGCTGTGGATCGATGAACAGCATCTTCCAAGGCGATCCAGTCCTCCTACGTCCCCGGGCTGCGACACATCCAAGTGTACATCTCGTCTTGCTCCCTCTTCTTCCAACCGCTCCTCAGCGCGCTCCAATCCCATCAGAACTATGGGGTAGGATATTAAGAAACACCATATCCTCGAGGTCAGACACCAAATCACAGGATGAACAATCTGCGCTGCTCAAACTCGTTCTAGTTTGCAAGGCGTTCAAGGATGTCGTCCTGCCGTTGCTTTATACGAAGCCATATATACCATCTTTCGATAAATTTGTCCAATTCTGCGACAAGCTCATCGATTCAGATCGCAAATGGGACAAGTAGGTCGCGCCACCCTCCTATTTCGCAGATCTCTGACACCTTCCAGTCTGCGTCGTATACGATACTCGACTCCCGGGAGATGGGTCGAATCACTCGATCTATCGCACCTCTCCCATCTGACGGGGGGTCAGCATCTTAAGTTTGACAAGCTCGTTGCACAATTATTCCCTATCCTTCCCTTTCTTCGACGCCTAACCCTTGATCACACTGCCCCTCTCTCAAGGGGTGCCATGCACACCCTCGCCGACTCCGACGCCGCGCTCTCACTCACGATCCTGCGTGGTGTGCATATTCCATCTACCCAACGTGCATCGTATCTACAAACCGAATCCTTGGTTCAACTCCTTCGCTCCTGTGTCAATCTCGAGCAGCTCGAGCTGCGTGGAGAGGGGCTAGATGGAGATGGCGACATGCACGACCCAGACGCCATCTACGCTCCGGCAAACTTTGACCTACCGAACCTTACACTGCTCTCGGTTGTGCATGTACCCTTTTCTCCAATCATCCAAGCACTTGCACGAGCCGAGTTGGCATCATTATGTGCTATGACTATCACGTTGTACGCAGACTACGCCAAAACTTCTGACGCGAGCAAGCTTCTCGATGCACATGCCACCAAACTGACGACCCTCACATTTTCCCCGTGTGAAGCATGGCCGTCAACCACCACACATACACCAGAGGACATACTCGACATGTGCCCGCGTCTACGGTATCTCTCGCTGGCAATCATCCCCAATAGCCTTTCTCGCCCGACCGTCCCTAGTCCACTTGCGATCCTTTGCATCCCACGGCCAACAATAGAGTTTTTGAATCGGATCGTGGAGCCGCTGATGCCCTCGTTGCGCGAAGTGCGAATACGAGAGGTGCGGTATCTGAGCAAGGCCATGGGGATGGGCGCGGCAAAGGCCGGAAGCAGTGCAATCATCCTTGAATGGAGGAGAAGACTCTCAAGAAGGGGAGTAATCGTTCTCGATGCCGTAGGGAGGAGTGGGCCATAATGAGTCTCTTCTTTTCTTTCTTTGTTGTTTGAAATGTACTAAGCTGTATCGAGTTGAACACTGCTCATTTCTATTCCAGCTCGTTCTACGGTCAACAAGCTCGTCTTACAGATCAGCAGGTAACAGAATCCTTTATGGGTCACCAACAAGTGCCGTTGCTTCACATCCTTATTGGCCTCTCTGCGGTCGCATTATACAAAAATTGATCCTGGACGTTGATGCAATAGTTTCCGTCTCTAAAAGCTGCACAATATTAGCGAGTAAGTTGGTAGGAGCAAGAATGCTGACCACTCTCGGAACGCTCGAAGAGCTGCTCGTCCAGGATATCTCTTGAATGATTGCACGCGATAGGCTCTGTATTGACCTCTAAACAGTGGATATTAGCGAGAATGGCACAGACGATCTCATTGCCTTGCCTGCATTCCTGGAGGCTTGGGCGGCACGACGGTTCAATGGACGCGGAAGACGACCTATATAGTCGCCAATGATTAACCTCTCGCCATTCCCGCCTCCTTTGCGCGCATCCTCTACTCTACTCACCCCCTCGTTGCCCCATGGACTCTGAGGCTCTAGTTCTGGCGTTTCGTCGCGCGCGCGGCATGGTTTAGAGAAGAGAAAGATGGGAGAAGGGATCCAGGATCTTTGCAAAAGCGTAGCGATTGGGTTGTGCCTTACTCCGACATGGCCCACGGTCACAGCGCCCCCCCTTTTGACCTATGGCCATGAATCTCGAGGGTCTACGCGTGACATACCTCGCTGCATGAGGCCCTTTGAGTCTATTCCCTTGCTGGAGCACGATGCTCTCTCTCGTATGGGAGGATTGCACTTGTGGTGGAATATAAACCAGCTCATTCGAGTGGCTTCACGCCATTTCCCGACAATTCTTGTCAATAGTATCAATTAGATCGTGGTCGACGTTCCGTGTTATGGGAGCAGCCATCTCGTTCATGTGCCTCAGCACGCTGTGCATCGGCTTCCCAATGCAAAAATAGGCATAAGGAGCCTCAAGGCAACCGGTTTCGGATACCAACTCATGCTATTGGCTCTTATCTCCTGACCTCTACACCTATCCACGTCCAGCCTGACTTTGAGGATGCAGCAGTTCAAATTCTTCAGCTGGTTAACTGATTAATAGGTGATCAAATACCATATTCACCGTCCTCTGAGTTCGACACTGGCAGAGCCCTGGATGAAACGCCTGGACTATTGCTTCACGACACCTTACTCCTGTTCATATGGGTCGAATCCTGTTCACAACCTGGTATCGTAGTCTATTCAAACTTGCATAAGCACTCCTCATGTCGACCACAGAGCAGATACAACGATTGAGCAATGTCAAGAATCGAAACCGTCGCTAGTCTACAGCGCATCAATTACGCAGCCAAAAAACCGCAATAAACACTTTCTAATAGTGCATCAATACTCTTAGACTCATACAGGAATGACAGGTTTGCAAAGCCGCCCAAATGACCTCTCTTTCGAACGTGATTGTTGTTAAACGGACGCTAAACGGATGATGGTTTTGACTCCAGATATTTGAGTGTGGCCTTATTTGCTTTTTTTTCTCATCTGTGTGGTGAGTTTTGTTGAGGAGCGACAACCAGAGCTGATGCGCGTAGGCCTGTGAGAGTGGGCCATACTCGTCTCCGGCGTTGAATTGTTGATCAAAAGAGCATCTATGAGTACAAATAGCTGTTTCATGAGGCATTGGAGCTCATTCTATTTCTATGACACGATGTTCTCACTTCCAAGGGGGCTTCACCTATTGCCGAATAAGAATCAGCTGAGCGCAACGGCTGCGCATCCTTTCCTGAAAGTAATTTATGAGCATTATTATGAATATTATCAGTTGGATTATGGGCAGCGATATACAGCACGCCTGGCAGCCAAGATCGTCACTGGGCATTTGAGAACTTGCTCATGTTTTGAGGTTGATTATACTTTGATAATTCAAATACGGGTAAGACAAGCCTCGAGGCCACCGGTCTTAGGTGGTAATTCCTTCCACTGGCCCGGTTGTACCCGACATTGTACGTATCTAGTGTTGGAGCGGAGCCACGAGGACGCAAAGGGCTGATCGCGGTCCTGGTTAAATTTATCGTTACGCGAACCGATGCCACATCCATCGTCGACCAGGCTCCACGATAAGCTTACTACTGGATGGACTCATTCATACAACCGGAGCGAGTAGCCGAAGGGTGATCCCTTAAATGACAGTATTTCATTTATTCGGGAGCTTCGCCTGCAACTCGAGGCCTCTGTAATAAGTACGTAAATCCGGACAAGTTCCCGTAAGTTGAGGCGCGAACTGACTAGAGACTAGCATAACGTTGTGCACCGCATAGGGTACGCGCTTTCTCGCCCTCCAATGTCGGACCTACGTGTCGTTCCAGCGGCAATGGACCGCTACCAGACGAATTCAAGTTCCCCGAGGGCCATAGATACTGGAGTACAGACGACAGAAAGACGTTTGGTATGGATACCGGTAAACCTGGATATTCACTCAGATCAGTACCGCCCACCCAAACCATAGACTGAATACCAATCTCGGCCTCTAACCAACAAACGGGTCCAGATCCAGAGCCGAATACAGCACAGCTGGGAAGTGGAATGTGTCCAAGCCCCACCCTTCATCGCTGGAAAGGGATTTCCAAACACGCCTGACCTAGTGTAGTGTCCAATGCTTTAGGCCATCAAATCACACAGTCAAATATCCACATCGTTTCTATCTGCCTCGTAGCGATAGTCTGCATCTGTACATCCTTCGTCGCTCACTCATCCCGGCTCGGTTGGCGACGACTCTTTGCTGCACAAGCACTGCATACTATCGCTATGTAATGGTGAGCTTCGAAGATGGTGAAGCGCTGATACCTTCGTCCCGTCAAGTGAGCGACGGAAGCGTGGCATTTGGAGAGGATATGATATCCAGACGAGAGATCTTCACATCCACGGCTCAAACTTATATCTCATGTTTCACCTATAGACGTATTATCGCTCATTAGGACGTTTCAAGCCATAATCGTGAGAGTTTAGCAGGCTTCCAGTGATACAATCGTCACCGTAGTTTGATCAGAAACCCTAAGCCGTTCAGAGACAAACGTATTGGTCAAAAGTGCATTGATTCTCAGATACAAATGGGAAGCGATCACGGTAAACCTACCAGATCGAGCTTCCCTCTCAATGCTGTATTGGTATAGATACGATAACAAGTGTGCGTGCAGAGATGATTCAGGTTGATGGGATGGTTGACAATGCAAGTGATGGTCGAGGCGAAGAGGTCCCAGCTACAGATGCTGGACGCATCCTCGCGGATGATCCATGGGTTGGCCGAGTATACCGTAAAAGATACATTTGGTGGGACACTTGATGATGATGATGGGTCGGGTGCGATGCGATGCGGTGAAGAGATGATGCAGACAATATAAGTGACGTGGGTTGATAAAAACGTTCTCCCGCCAAATACCAATCATGACCGAGGGTTCATATGATTGTATGCAGTTTGAGGTGGAAATTGATTGGCTTAATAGCCGTAGTAGGCCCGCTATCGACGCGTTAGCATCAGCGGACTGGTAAGCAATGAGAAGTACCATTCTGTCAAAGAGCCAAATGACGCGAGAGCCAGTCTTGCAGCTATTACTTGTTTAGCCTTCAATGTTTTGGGGAGAGATTGAGATACGTACCCTCGTAGTGTGACCGTGTGGCCTTTGACAGCATCATACAAACGCGCACGTTGTTCCTTGTTTGCTTCTGGTAAGACCGCCTGAATGATTTGACTGCCGTTGGTGGAAAGTGCAAGGTCGACGATGATGGGACGCTTTTGACGTGTGCCATTGACGTTGGGTTCGCACATCTTGGAAATGATGGCGTCGACGGTGATTGGATTCTTCTCCTTGAGCAGCTTGAGAATAGACTTGACAGCAATGTCATGCGTCCCATAGACAGCAAGACCATTGATGAGCGAAAGAGTGGTACGCTGGGATGAGTTAGAGTCGCCATGCTCAATAACTGTAAGAGATTTGTTAGAAAGAATGTTCGGTATCTCGTCTCGACGTACTATGTTGTACAACAAAAGCACCAAACTGAGTCTTGACGACGTCTTCAAGGTTGTTGAGAATCTCATCAACGATAACGAGCGTGTCTCCTGCGTCGTCCATGTTTTCAAACATCGTCTGAACGACTACAGATCATGAGAAAGCTAGATGACCGTCATAATGGATGCTCACCAAGAGAACCGGTCTCATGGCAAGCAAGGGTTGCCCATTTGCCGCGCAATGAGCGATTCACACTGACGAAAGATGAGAAAAAGTTCCGTAACTTGGTAATGAAGGCACCCACATGCTGAATATGGGAGGTGGTGGTCCGTTGACCCAACTGAGCTCCATAACCTTGGCCCAGACATGACTAGAAGCGGTGAGAAAAGGCGAAAGCGTTTGAAGTCGACTATACCTGCAGTGCTTCGAGGTGAGTGTATATGCAGGATCGTTGTTGAGAAGCTCCGTTACGATGACACGACGAAATTCTTCCTCGCATTCCAAAGCCTTTTGGACGACGTGCGTCCCATAACAGTTGGTTGCGAGCTCAACTACATGACCACTATTAACGGATTAGACAATGCTGCGCACGTAAAGAGGGCCTTACATCATGCAAGCAAGGACCTTCATACGTTCTTCCTTTGTGCAGGGGCTCTCCAAGCATCGCTGGACGCACCAATTGCCAAACCGTCCTTGCATCATCTCGAGACCTCGTTCCGCAATCGCAGATACAATCCTGGCGCGTTCGTCAGGATGAGCGTTCTTGAGTTTCTGCTGGATGAAGATGGAAGCTTGCTGGTCAGATCTCTTGACAATGCGATGGACCAAAACATGGTACGGAGGCTTGGAGTTTGGTTGCAACAGCTGCAAGAAGTTGAGAGCCTATGAATGTAAGCGAGGTTCAATGTCACGAGAAATTGCTTACCTCATCGTCATCCGTCGGGACAGCTTGATGTTGCGAGTCGAGTAAGCGAAGGGGAAGAGCATAGCTACTGCCAGCCGAGTCGGAATGATTCGGCGACGCGTTGAGAACGGTAGCCATCCTGGGGCGGACATAAGCTGGCGAAGGCGCGATCCTATCCTGAGTTGTCGGATCCCAGGGTATTGAAGATTGTGCACCAAACGTTGCGGTTGCGGGAGAATCAAGAAGCGGATGCTGTGCCAAGTTGACCTCGGAGGGGAGACCTGCGGTGCCCAGGATGAAAGAGGGCAAGGTGTCCAACTTATCAAATCCATCCGACGCAGAGGACGCGGAGTCTCGAGGGGATGTGATTGGTGTAGGGAGAGACATGATTGATGCCGGTTGATTGGACGAATGAGCGGTCGTAAATAAGCCTTGCAGAGGGTTTGAATCCGTCGACCAGTATGAAGAGTCGTGAATCCAAGTGGAGTGTGAAGTATTTGCTAGTGGATGATAAATCGAATTGCCGTCCGCGGGATATCTTGCGTCTACGTTGACTGGCGCAGAGGATACCCAATCGTCGGGACCAACGCCAATCTTCCTCGAGATATCGTTAGTGGAGGAGAGCGCGAGTGACGGATGAGAGTGGGATCCCGTCGCATGGGCTTGAGGTAGGCTCCAGGACGACGATGCAGAGCTAGCAAGAGATGGTCGGCTCGGAGACTGATGATACGGAGCACCTTGATGTGATTTGGATGGATTAAAGAGCGGTGCGTGCTGTACCTTGTGCATGCCTTGTGCCGCATGATCGCCAAGACCCAAGGTAGTCGGAGAGGAAAGAGTTGGAGATGAAGCAGGGAGAGAGACTCCTTGCGAGATGTCTGCAAGAGAGTGTCCAAAAAGAGCGTTCTGAAGACTAGCGAGAGATGGACGACGAGAATCAAAAGCGAGGGAATCATAAGGGTTTGCATTCAAAGAAAGGTCGAGCTGGTGATAAGAGGAAGCGGACAACCCGCCGGATTCATTTGCTGGAGATGTAACGAGTGGCTGAGACAAGGGAGTGATGTGCGAAGGTGAGTGAGAGAAAGGATAGATGGGTGAATGCCGAAAGTAAGAGTCGTTATCGTGATGGTTCTTTGTTGCGTCAAACGTGCTCGACATGCTAGTCGGAGGTGTGAGAGCAAGGGTGCGAAGAACCGAGGCAGCTTGGGCAATCTCAGACATTCCAAGGCTACTGTCGTGCACCTGTGGCCATGTCAGTAACCGCCGTGACGAAGATGGACATAAGACGTCATCGTCAACAACACGAAAGGAGGATACGGATTTACTGAACAGGAGACTGAAGAAAAAGAAATTGCTCACAGTCTGAGGGCTACTGAGCCTTCTCCCATCACCAATAGCACCAACGGCCGCGCCGTTAAGAGGACCAAGCATTTTGCTCGAAGGACGAGTAGCCAGAGACCCCAAGCTTTGCTTGCGGACGTCGTGCGCATGCGCAGCGGCAACACTGTTCTGATCGCCGAGCATGCTCGAAGCAAGCTCGAGAGGCTTCAAAGAGCTCTGTGAATGCAATAAATTGGAAGAAACAGCGTTCTGGACTATCGTGTTCGAGTTTGTCGTGGCCAACGGGCGACGCAACGTCGAGGACGATGAGGACGAGGGAGCTTGAAGCGCTCCCATGGCCAATCCCGATTGTTGACCAACTGAAGCTCCTCGAGAGGAATTCCAGTTTGACGACATGCTCGACGGCGAGTAGGAGAGAGCCTCGACTTCGGCCGCGGTTGACATGGTGGTCGGGGACAGAGTTGCTCTAGAGGCCCACCAAACAGCGTCTAACGGGGTTTTATACAAGTTTGGATTTCTCATTTTCTCATTTATGGCCATCGTAACCAGTATACTCTCCTCTAAGCTGCTTTGGACAACCCACGCTCGGGAGGGTATGCGCCCAAGCCTTGAGAATACGGCATTCATCCAATACAGGCTACCCAAGCATTCTAACAGAAGCATTTGCCCTGAGCGTCTGATTCTTCTACAGCGCGGTGGCACAAGAGTCAAGAATCTTCCAAGTGAGACAATCTGTAATGGATTGACGAGAATATGATTTGTAGAAAAAAGATGATGCACACAAGTCGAACAGGATCTGTGCAGCAGATGGATCAGCGTTGGTTCTTGTAAACTTTTATATGTGATATAAACGCACCTAAAAATCTATACTAGTGATGACCGTGCTCCTTTTCTGATGACCCGGTCATCATATCCCAGGCGAGATAGAGCCCAAACGCTCCAGCACCCAGTGTGAATCCAGGAAACATTTTGCCGAGTTGTTTGACCTTTCCAAACTCTGGCGAGTGTCTCCATGCTTCTCTTTTAGCCCATGGATCGTTTGCTGGCGGCGAAACAAGTCGTCGACTGCTCGACGACAGGTAGCGACTCTGAGCTCGTTGTGCACCCCTCAGGAGACAGTGTGATCTGAATAGGAAGGTTAGCGAGCGCAGATCTTTGAAGAGTCAAACGGACCGTCGAGAAACGTTCAACATTATCCAATATTTGCTTGTCGGTAGTGTTTAATACCAGGTATATCCAGTCTTATTGATTGTAGAAACGCCTGGAAGCAGTTTCTATATGGTCCAAGGAGCTATCCGGGATGCCTGGAATGCGGTCGAAACCAAGTTGTCGAAGTCGCCACTAATGAGCTTAGTGGTTTCAAAACCTCTCAATATTCTACATCAGAATCTGCATTCCATTGAAAGACATGCATCACGACGCCTTTTCTTTCTCCTCCATCCGCTTTCTCGCCTCCTCCAGCCGCACTTTTGCCTTCTCCAAACGGACTCTCTTTCTCCGTCCATTCCCTCTCTTTGGTCCAGCGACCGTAACCCCTTCAAGAATCTTCTTCTTCTTCAGCGCGAGAATCTCCTGTCGAGCCTTTTCCTTTTTCTTGTCTCTCTTGCGCAGCGTCTGGGTCATCGTACTCTTGAGGAGTGCTCCATAGTGCGCATGAAACTGTGGAAGCGCGCTCGAGCGTACATGAGTTGCAATGGTCGTCTCTTTGCCATCAGTGGCACGGAGTAGACATGGATATTCTCGTTCTCCACTTTCATTCTCGACAGCCATGGAATCATCATCCTCATGAGTAACTGTTGATATGATCAATCATCGTCCACTCTTTAGGCAAAAGGAGCCACAGGGCCCCTACAAAAGTAAACGGAACATACGTCGTTTGTGAGTTAGCCATATCGATCTCCCTTTGTCTTTAGTTTTCTGAAAGAGCGATTCTAAGCTTTTGAGAAACTATGGATATATCAGTCACTCCAATATTTCGGAGAGTATCGCGTGATGCGGATAAAACACAAAAATAACGAGGGATAATAAACGAGGATAGCGTACTTCTTCATTATCCAGAAGCTCATGGGACTTTCCCTTGCTACTCGGCATATTGCTTCGTCTCCCGTCGGATCAAACGCCGCTACAGATTGGATAACAAAGTTAGACGTCCAATAAGCGAGTTTGAGGGACTAGTACGTTGCGTTTGGTGCAAACGAGTCCGTGGTGCAAGTCGTTGAAGGGTCTAAGGTTCTGATCCCTCAATCATAAATCTTACTCTGGAAGTTCTCTATACTGTCAGATTAGATACTACAGGCGTCCCCTATTCTACCTAATCTCTAGTGTCCTACGTGTAGAGGTCAATGAGGCTCTCCGCCCCGGCAGACTTCACACTAGTGCTTCGTCCCATGGTGATACCTAGGCCAATATTGAGTGAGCTTCCTAGTTTTATGCCACTTAATTGCTCGTATTCATCTGTGGTAGGTCTTCGCGACTGCGAACGAGACATCTTGGAGCGCGAGCGCGACAATGTTTGGAGACGCATCATCTCCTGACACCATACTGCCCCTTCTTCCTCAAATGTTTCTTCCCATAGGCCTTGAATGATTTGCTTCACGTGGGCGTGCACGGCGCAGCGACTTTGCCTGTGCTTCAAACGGGCAGAGTGCTGCCGAGTGGTACGACGGCGTACCACAGTCGATGCAAGACGATGATACGTGCTAAGGGAAGGTATAATATCGTCTGCCTCCTGCAGAACTCCCGAGGCAGGGATAAAGTGTTCGGCATTGTCGTTTGTGTAAAGTGGATCCTTAGTCCGGCCAGAGGGGTCATTCTGCTCGGCCTGTTCATGAATGAGACCTGGAAGGACAGGTGTTTCGACGACCTTGACCTTCCATCTTCCACGCTGTGCTTTGGAATTTCCTTCGCCATTGTTCGGACAGGGAGACATGATCCCGCATTCCTGTTCCAGTTTGCGCCAAAGCTTCTCTGCACTGTCAAATTCTTCCTTCTCCGACTCCCATTGGACGAGGCACTCATAGGAACGGTCCCCAGCCAGAACAAGAGGCAAATCGTGAATGGTCCCAGGCTCTTCGTAGACCCGCGACCTTCGCCTCGACTTCTTATCCTCGAGACGTAGGCTCGCATCTTTGATCGTCTTAGGATTCACTCGAGAGGTCTTTGGGTCCCTCCTCATAAAATCATGGTCCACTTCGGAGGTTGAGCCTCTCTTGTTGACTCTCCTCTTGCGTTGAAGGCGTAGCTGAGGAGCAGCACAGTCTATGTGTGAGTAGGTATGACCGTCATTGGCGGGCGCTCTCTTCTTGATGGACAACGCTTTCACTGGTGCAACGTCGCCTCGCATAGAGCTACGGAACTTCCTAGGTGTCGCAGAGCGCGACGAAGAGCTCGATGTAGAAAGAGACATCTTTCTACTGTACGCAAGATTCTTCCTTGTCTTGGCCATTGAATCCTTGGTAGACGTCGGCTGCGCGGCATGGGATCGAGTGTGGCGGTCGGCACGAGGTTGATATTGAGAAGGATTGTGTCTTGGATTCGCCTTCTTTACACCTTTCCAATTTGCAGAAGGTGGTAAAAAGGGGAACGGCTCCTCCTGCTCCGGACTTGAATGAAGCATCGTAGTGAATATAGCGAATCTATTCCCATGCTAAATTGTTTCAGAGTTCTGGTGGTTGTACACGAACACAATTCACCTTACGAGTCTGAGGAAGCCACACGCTATGAGTTGCGGAAGCGCTACGACTCCTTTTCTGCGCACTTGGGTGAAATTTGGACCTCGGAGAGTACGGAGGACAGTTTTGTGGCGTGTACGGATTCATATCCTCACTGGCAACAAAGGATTTATCTTGTTCTGGGACCGGCGGTAGCTGCATGTTATGTGAAACATGCTTGAGGATCCCTTTCAACTCGGATATAGGCATAAAGAGAAAATAATTTGGTAGCGTCGAAGAAGATGGGCACCAGGCCGAAAAGGGAGCTCGCAGAGTGGGATTCACCACCTTCGTACAAGAGGGATAATATTGCACGAGACCACGACAAAATAGACACAAGTGATCAAACGTAGTCGTATTCTTCTTTGGCTTTTGCTCGCTCCGGAGCAGACGGACTGGCAAATGGTTTTCGCCTCCTGAAACGTAGTTAGTAACAAGACGACGCAATACAATAACAGAAACGACTTTTCTCCAGCGGCAAGCGAAGGGAATGATGGAAAGAGATCAGGGTGCTTTGGAAGTGGAGATTCCCTGAAATCAACGCTAAGAAGAATGCAGAGACCAAAGGAGGGGGCATACTGAAAGTACAGGTGCTTGAGAGCCTCTTCCGCTGATATTCTTCTTTCTGGGTCATAAGCTAGCAAGGATGCCATCAAGTTCAGTCCTGAGGATGTCAGATACGAAAACTTTTGTCGCAATGTTGGCGCGTGAGGAGCAGGCATATTCAAAGTCTTCACCAATGGAAGACTCTCATATTCAGGCCACTCCTCGACGGTTGGAGGACCAAGCAATCTGAAAATCTACCAGGGGTTATCCATCTGACCATCAAAATCCAAAGCGAACTCACCATGCCGATCATCTCTAACTCATTCTTCGCTTGGAAGACCGGCTCGTGGAGTATGAGTTCGCCAAATATACATCCAACAGACCAAATATCGATCGGCGTCGAATACGTCTCCGCTCCGAGGAGGATTTCTGGTGCTCTGCGCATGGGAAATGCCCAAAGAAGGTGTGGGCAAAGTACGTGTCAACGCTCTTTTCGCGAAAGGAAAGAACAGCGTTCCGACCGATACCAAAGGGTGACCACCAACTGGGTCATTCCGCCTATACCAACTGGGTCGCCAAAGCGTCGTGCGAGACCAAAGTCGGCCACTTTGATGATCCCCCGGTTATTCATCAACAGGTTTGACGTCTTGAGATCACGGTGGAGGATCCAGTGAGAGTGACAGTGCGCGACCGCCCGTAACAGTTGGAGAGTAAGGGTCTTGATTTCCGACTGAAGGAAAGGATTGGGCATCAAGGAGAGCAGCGTCTTGAGGTCATGCTCGATAAAGTCCATTACTATGAACACCCTGCCAAAAGTGGTCAAACACGGCAACAACAGTATAGGCAACTGACTGAGTGAGAGTATCTCCAACAACTACCTCCCGAATTCGTACGACATTCTCATGTCGGCACTGCATGAGCGAATGTATTTCTCGCAGCGCTGTGATTGGAAAGCCGTATTTTTCTTCGTCGAGTTTGAGTCGCTTAAGAGCAACGATATCTCCTGTTTGCTTGTCCTTGGCCCGAAAAACTACACCATACGATCCCTCTTCAATCTGGTTTAGGCGCTCGTAGGTGTAGACAGACCGAGAGGTCTGGATGGGCGGATGGGCTGCCCTCGTCAGGATTCCCTTGGTAATTTCAGGGCCTTTCTGTTGTTTGGTGGCATTCGAACGCTCTTTCGAGTTGGACTCTCCAGTCACTCTCAACTTTTTGGCCTGCCTCTCCTCAGCATCTGCTGTGGACGTCGAATTGACGCGTTTTCTAGGGATGGAGCTTCCTGGTTCTGGAAATTACATGTAAGGAATCGATCTTAATGGAGGATCTCCCGCCATTACCAATGTCCATGTTTACTTTGGTCGTGGTTGAGGGTAAAGTTGCTCCGAGCCTCATTTCCTCAATGACAGCGCTGGACAATGTTCGAGTGTTTGTTTCGTTCCCCGACGCAAAGTATACGGAAAAGCTGGTCCATCAGGCCATTCATCACCTTTCTCCCAACATCCCGATTCACTCGCACCTAGTAGATTGCCTAGGGGCCCAACATGTTCTACAATGGTCAACATACGATGAAATATCACACGAAGCGACTATGGCAAGACCACAGGATGTGCTCTCAAGCTCCTACGTGATTAGAAAGAGCCTGATTCGCAAACACTTCCTTCATCGATCCGTCAAAACCTACCTTGCAAAGAATCCAACATCTCGCTTGGGCACAAGTGTTCCCCAAACTTGGAACGTAGAGATTGTTCATGCAGACGAGCTCGATGAGTTGTGGATGGACGACCTCTATGATCTCGCCCAACTCCTCCCAGACGAGTCAAACGATGCAGAAGAAGATAAATGGTTTATACTAAAGCCTGGAATGGCAGATAGGGGGATGGGAATCAGGCTGTTTAAGAGCAAGGCCGGTCTACAAGCCATATTCGATGCTTTTAACTCCGACGAGGAAGACTCGGAAGGTGAGGAGTCCGATACCAACGTCGTGACGAGCCAACTGCGGCACTTCGTGATCCAAGTGTGTTTCAAACGCTACTTTTTACATTGTTAACAGGTTTTAGGAATATCTACCCAACCCACTGTTAATCGACCCGAGAGAATCCATGGGTAAAGTCAGCGCTCTCGAAGGAAGAAAGTTTCACCTTCGTGCCTATTGTGTCTCCCAGGGTGCACTGAAAGTGTTCTTATTCCCGCGAATCCTCGCGCTGTTTTCCTCTGCAGCCTATCAGCCACCATCTGACAAAGAGGAGGGATCCTCTCAGCTTTCCGCGCACTTGACAAATACGGCTTTGCAAGAGTCGCGTGGCGAAGAAAACGTGCGATTGCTTCAAGAACTCGTCGGCTCACATATATTCGGACGCGAACAGAATCATGGGCGAAGTTTCACACAAGCGGACGTTGACTGGATCATAGACGAGGTGGTAAATTGCCTAGGCGAGGTGTTTAAAGCCGGCCTAACGTCAGCTATTCACTTTCAGGTAACATTTGCGAGTCGGCAGCCTTGGAGGGTTCTGACGAGACCCACAGACCCTCCCGAATGCGTTCGAGTTGTTCGGTGCCGATTTCCTGGTCACATATAGCCCTGAAGGAGAGGGAGGCATCCCTTTCCAGGTGCACCTTCTTGAGATCAACGCGGAGCCGGCCATCCATCTCACAGGACCTCGGCTAGGCTGGATCCTGGAGGAACTGTTCAGGGAGATTGCAGATACATGCGTGGGGCCCTTCTTTACGCACACGCCGCGAGAGGAAACAGGCGACGCTCCGGGACGTCTGCGGCAATGTTTGGAAATCCAAGTTCGCGGGACGACGGCTTGGTGACCGAGAGGTAAAAGCCTCCTGCCCTTTCGTCATAAACTGGACTGATGGGTCCGACTGCAGGGTCAGTTTTTATCGTGGGATAAGCTGGGCCACTTCTGCGCGGCATATGTGCGGCCTTGACCGCGTTTAGCGCCGAGGGCTCAGAAAAACGAAGATCATTCTGAAAGGGAAAGGGGTGGGACGCGTCCCCGGCGCTGCGGTAGGATGCGCTTGCAATAGGAAGGGGAAAAGAGAAGGGCAATTTGGAGAGACGACGACGACCGCAGCGACAGTGACAGAGACGAGGAGGAGGGCCAGACTGTTCGGCCATTGATGGGACTCAAGATAGCTCAAGCTTGCGCACCACCGAGCGCAAGACGCATGGCAGCTGGCCGGTGGCCACTAACCGCGGGGTGAGCGTTGTCCACGCCGTCTGCCCCTTGTGATAGCGTTGCTTGGACATATCGAGTGGTAATATGAGCGTCGCACGCGTTTCCCGCGTTATTTACGGTCCATAACGACACATTATAAAAGCTCGGTAGTGACCATGTCTGTGCAGTCGAAATCCAGTGAGGATGCAAACAGCCTTGGTCTCGTCCTTTGACTATCCCCGCCACCGGCCATATTCCTCAAAAATGCTCGCGACGACACCAAACCCTCGGAAACCAAAAGGTTCACGCCCGTTACCGTCCCACTCGAGCTCGTCGTCGAGTAGCAGCCAGTCCACTTCTGGGACGCGCTCGGCCGTCCCGTACTCGGAGTATGGGGGAGTCTACGAGCCGTCAACACATCAGGAGGAGCAATCTGCGTATGGATCGCGCATGATGTTACCTGAACTCGCCCATCCCGTCCCGCGGCAGGCCCAGGATTCACTGCTCAACGCGCCCGCCCAGCCAGCGAGCCGTTCGACGACACCAAAGCCCAAATTACCGTCTCTGAAGACGAGTGGAGGTGCCGTGGGCGGTATCGGTGCTCCTGATCCAGACTTCTTCGACAGTGCTGATGTGCCACCGCTACCGCTTTTGCAGTCTGTGCGTCCGCTCGGAATGTCCCTGTCCCTTCAGATGGCAAACCCCTCTCGAAATGCGCCGATGCCTCCCAATGCCGAAGATGGCGCGCCCCGCCCGACGCTACGACCACCGCCCATCGGAGGGGGTTCAAACAAGAAACGTGGACCGCTCCTTGCGATCCCAATGGGCTCAGCGCCAATTGGTGCTATTGGCGCAGACGAACCAGATGCGCTCGACCTCATCGGACCCATCGACGATTTAAACCTCACGAGCGGTAGCACTCGTAAATCCAACGGTGGTCAACCAATGACCCCGCTCAATCTCGGAGGAGACGATGGAGACGTGACCGTTCGTCCTGCACTCCCACTCCCGCACGGTCACGCACAAGCAAAGTCGATTGACAAGATCAAGGCAGTCATTTCACCCGGACCATCTACAGGCTCACCTTCATCTACAAATGCAAACGAAGACGATTGGGCAGAGGCCGAAGAGTTTTTGGTCGATGTGAGTCGTCTCGGAGAAGGCGCTGGAGGCGAGGTATGGAAGGTCGAAGATACTCGAACGGGTACCAAGCTCGCAAGGAAGATTATCCAAGCCAGAACGACGCCACCAAAGCAGTTGGTGCGAGAACTCAAGTATCTCAAGGACACTGGCCATTCCAACATTGTTCGCTTCTACGGCGCATATATCAGTCCTAGCAGTTCCGAAGTCAAGGTTCTCATGGAGTATTGCGAAGGAGGTAGCCTGGAAGCTATTGGAGAGAAGATCAAGCAGGGCAAGGGCAGGGTCAGCGAACCCGTCGCAGCCAAGATTGGGGAAGGGGTCAGTCTTTTCCCCTTTACGATTGTCAAGCGGTAATTTCTGACGTCTCCCTTTCTAGATCTTCAACGGTCTCAATTATCTACACTCTAAGCGAATCATCCATCGTGACATCAAGCCCTCAAATGTGCTCGTTTCCAAGCATGGTACAGTCAAGCTATGTGATTTTGGTGTCTCTGGCGAACTCGTCGACTCGTTTGCCAATACCTGGACCGGAACTAGCATGTACATGGCCGTAAGTAGCAACACTCTGCCCAAGTATCGGGTCGCTGACATGAATGTTGTTTAGCCGGAGCGCATAAAGGGTGGCCAATACACTATTCGTTCCGACGTATGGTCATCGGGACTTACGCTCATGACATTGGCCCAGAATCGCTTCCCTTATCCGGAAGACTTGACTGGTATCATCGAGCTGATCAACTATATCACCAAGGAGGACATTCCAAAGCTCATGGATGAAGACGCGGACCAAGACGGTTACGCAGAAGTTCAATGGAGCCAAAACATGAAGGACTTTATCGACGTGTGGTACGTGAATCATACCCACCAGAGATAGTCATCTAAGCATCCAAAAACAGCCTAACTAGAGACGAGAGTCAACGGCCCAAGCCATCGGAGATGCTACAGCACCCATGGCTTGTCGAGAGCTCTCAGCGCAAAGTCAACATGGCCCAATGGATACGAGAGGTTTGGGGCTGGGAGAAGCGTGGCCGACCAACGGGCTCGAGTCACGGTTCGTCGCAATCTAGCGATCGTCAAGCCAGTGCCGCCCGTGTTCAGCGTACACCGAGCATGACTCGGGCGTAAATGTATTCGAATGTCGCACCGCGCTTTGTGGTCGCTGGTGCCATCGTACATGGGGAATTTCCCCCCTCTCTCTCTCATTTTCGTGCATTGTTGGGCCATCAACACTCGAAGTGGTCGTCCCTTCTCTCTCAGTTTTTCTCTCTAGTCTGTAGTCGTGCCTGCCCATTGTATATCCCTCAAATCCAGATGGTAGAAAATTCAATGTGCGATTAGTCAGAGGAAGAACAGCCGTAGTCATGGACTCGTTACGCCGGTAGTTTTGGACTATGAGCGAACCTGGGGCCCTTCGCCCACGATCCTGATCGCCAATGGGTCGGTATGAGGGGGCCTATATCTTGTATTGGATTGTTCCATGCGTTCTATCCCTCCCAATATTCGTATTCTGCACCATCCGCTCGACTATCCGTCGGATAAGGCTGCACAATCGGGTGAGGCGGATGCTAGACGGCGGATACGCGGTCTTCTGGGTTTCGACAGACGATGTAAACCAGACTTTGGATCAGAACAAACCACCGAAACTCTGGACATACGCCAATTCGCCAGGGACCATATTTAGCCAATATTATGTCGAAAGGCATGTGAGTCCAAGGATACAAACGAGTTCAAAGTACCAATAAAGCTGACTACTCGTATGTTTAGCCTCTCAGTTGCGCTGTACTACCATCAGAGTCGAGCGTGCCGGTCATATTCGGCGCTTCGAGGGCTAGCCGGGTCCCATTTAGACCAAAGGTGAAGAAAGATGACGAAAAAGATGGAATTATATTGGTACTTCCGGTCCAGATGCCGGGCTCTCCTATGCAGATAGCGCTAGGAACATATGTGTGCGACTATAGTCGCCAGGACTAGCTACTAGGTGAATAGAATCATTTTTATTAGTTTTGACCTGTCCCATATTCCGAGTTATAGCGAGATGGCGAACATATGAGTATTCGGGACACGTCTAATTATAAACCCGCACTGAGTGGCTAGAATCTCCTAGGGAGGGCGAACGACTATCATTGATCAAAACATAGAGGCTCAAACTCGAGTTACTACAGATTCATACTCATGTCTCTTTCGTGTCAAATCACACAGCGTCGCTGTGGTTCTGGGTGATCGAAGGAAAACTTGCGATGTATGCGGGGACAGTTCCTGACCGAAGGTTGGATGGGGCCGTGTGCATATGCCCTTGAGGCTCACGTCTTTTCCCAAACCATTATTTCGGCTCGAAATCAACTTGACCCCGGACATAATAGCAGGTCGTCACTTCATCAGCATATCCAGACATCGCACCGGAAGAGCTATGGTATGAATTGAAGCTGGTATTGGGTCGGAGGGGCACGATCTTCAAGAGGCCCACGGATGTTGGGACTCAGGCGTATTGACGAAGGGGGTCTTATATGTACACGAAAACTCCTAGCATGGCTATTATCACACAACACATCGATTAAGCCCAGGGTAGGACCCCGTGACAAGCGATTGTTGGGAGACATGCCACAAAAAGGCGATGAGAATGATCGATTTTTCAATATATGATCGACACAATAATATGAAACATGTTCTGCGTGGCATATACTACGCCCCCCGCATACTCGCTTCTCTCAATCTGCATACAGGTGGGGAGATAAAATAGTCGTTCGCAAACTGCCGCCCTCTATGTGCAAGATAATGACACAAATCTCTGGGCTAGCGATTGTCTAGCCCCCTTTCGATGCATGGCATGTGATGATCCAACGTAATGGACGATCAGAACGTTAGCACATATCTACATATTTAGCTAACTGAGCAACTGAGAGCATCTAGATGAATTTTCAAAATGATAAATGCCGAATATTACCCATGTTTGGACCCTGATACCCAACCTGTGGCGTAGACAAGAGGGGAATGATAGAGTGATAGAAGTCACACAGGACGGACGCCGAAATACATATTGAGCGTGAAACATCGATTTGAGGTCTGTTTCAGAAGGCGTGATCAGGGGTTGGTGCGTCCAGGTCGCAGGGTGGATATAGGCGCAAGAAAAGCCCGTGTAATCACATACTATCATGGCCATAGAGCCATTTATTATGTAGCATAATAGCCTCGCGGGGCAGTCTGCCTCTAAATAGAGAGAAATGATCGAAACAGGATAGATGCGTGCTTCGAGAGAAATGCGGTGCCTATCGCGGCTCTTCAGATCTGTACATCAGGGCCTTGGGTCTCAGATGACCTGCGGTATGGCCATCTCTCGAGATTTGAAGAATGCAGTTGTCCGAGCCAGGACGGGGCCACAGCGGTGGTGTTCTCCCTACGGATTATGGTGTGAAAAATCATCTCAGATGCCAAATTTGTATGTCCTTAGGTAAACAAAGCTGCCGTCAGTCCTGCACGATGTTGCGGTCGCGTGGAGAATTGGGGGAGAGCATTAGCTTCTAGAATCCTGTACGTGCAGGATATAGCGAAAAGGCAACAACAGTTTGTACCCACAAAGCTGGTCCAGCTGTGAGGAAGCAAAGCGCTCCTGATCCAGCTTTGGTCTAGAGCCAAAGCAGGCGAGCATCACGTGTGGTCCATTGCTTGCTCTGGTGTTGTAAAGTTGAAAAGCCGCGCAGATGGTCTGTGGGCAAGACGGCGAAGCGGTCCAACCTTTGCCTTTCGACCACATTCTTCATGACACGCCGTTGAAGGCCGGGATTCTGGCAAGAGCCATGCACTGGACTTTCTTATGCACAAAACACCATGTCGAATGAACCGGTGGCCATAGAATACCCTTTGATGCCCGCCAACCTTTATTGGGCTGGCCTTGATCACTAAATCGCGTCGAAGATACTCTGAAGATAACATGAAGACCTTGGGGCTACAAAATTACCATTTTGAAGCCTAGTAGCGTTATCGTGAAGATGTCTTGACCGAATCTGTCGACGCGACGTAAAAGCCGCGGGAGGATTCTTTGCTCCAAAACCCACCGATCTCAGGCAAATTTCTGCCCGCGATCGAGGCCATAAATGCTCCACCATGACGCCATCCACCAGGTTTAGATTTACGACGTATGTACCAGTTCTCTTCCATGGGTTGTCCCTGAAAAGAATAAAGACAGATGTGATTCGAGAACATTGAGGCCTGTCAAAAGATGCATCGCTCCAGGAATCTGATGTCCATCGAAGCACCTCTGGTGATTCAATAGAGCCACGTTCTATGGTACGTGAAGTACAAAGAACAACAACTGTTGAACTTGAGATCGCGCAACAGATGATTCACAGAGTTTTATGAATTTCCTATGCTTGGCAAGCGAGCAAAATGTCTTCGCGCGTGTTCTGTTGCTTGCGTCTGCTGCATGTGTGTGTTAGCGGTTGCGACAAGTAGCGTTCTACCAGCCCCTAAATTGGCATGGAAATACATATACCTTCAAGTTTCGTCCGGAATTACGGGGTCAGCTTCGCGGTTGATATTCAGCTGCCCGCTCGCTGCTGTATTTGCATCCAACGATGCACCCTCGACCATAAGAACGCACCATTCATTGTACAAGATCCAAATCATCTTCGCGAAAACGATGCCGACAGGTAGGGACCAAGCTTCGCGCCTCTGGGCGAGTGCGACGTGGACGACGACCGCTGGCAGTCAAAAACTTCCATTCTATGACCTTTTTAACTATCTAATAGTATCAGCCATGCGGTCAAACCACGAGCGTGGACCGCAAGACAATCTTGAAATGGGCTGGCCTCAACCACGATTCCAAGGAATGTCTGCGGCCAAACTCGTGGGTTTTATCATGCTGCGTATTTTGATCACATGAAACGAGTCCAGATCATTGGCGACACCACTCTACCGACCAGGGATGGCATCATGAGGCGAGAAAGGTGAGTCTTAACGCTGTCTAAGGAAAGCGAATAATAGCGTAATCTAGAATCAAGGCGATAACATATGGCCATCTCTCTCGCAACCCAAGTCTAGCCTGCAATTCATGAGCGCATCTCTGACGTTTATATCAGGGAAACAAACCTGGAACTTACAAGCTATGAAATTATGACTTGTAAAATGTACTTGAGCAAGGGTTCTCACTGGACGCTTCCGAACTTACAATGTTACACGGGCTGGGCAAAAAACATCGCAGTTCACAGGATCAGACGACAAAACAAACATCGGCTAAATGACATTTCTACGAGAGTCTCCTTTCGCGCCTACTTGAGCGGACTAAAGGATAGCGGGGTCAGGATAGAGGCGTCCATGATATCTGCGAGCCGGGCCGTCTTGACCACCGTCTCGGGCCAACCTTGCTGGGACCATGCCTTCTCACGCATCAGTTTACGTTGATTGAGATCTCTGTAGATTGATCAGAATATAGCCGAACCAATGGGGAGGTATTTGACGTACTTGTATTGCCACATATGGTGAACAACATGAAGTCGGCCAACTTGGCTGAACCACGCGCCTACCGGTGCAATAACCTTTGCTCTCGCTTCGATCCCGACCCTCCATGCATTCTCCCACTCGAGGAGCGAGCCTAACGGTACATTAGGATTAGCTCCTGACAAATGACAGAGACCAACCTGGTTTGAGAGTATAGCTTCGAAGCTCAAAGATTCCACCCTCGTTATGTGGAGGCGCTGATGGGAAGAAGGCGAATTCTTGGCAAAGTTGGGACCAGCGAGAGTTGATAAAAGGGAGGAGCGCCTTGTAGTTTTCCATATGTTTTGAGCTCCGTATAAGATCCATCGATCGGTCGTAGCCTGTATAGTTTTCGAACTCGAGAATATGCACTGGATGGGACTCAGAACGAGTATCGCCTCTTGGTGAGCGAGGAACTTACCAAAGCTGTCCATGTCCGGTCCAACTAGAGTTTCCCAGCTTCCAGTGAGCTTGACATGAAGCTCGGGGTCTTCAACGAGACCCATGTAGTACTTCTCCGCCGCCGCTTTGTATTCCTCGGTCCTATCCAGCTTCACACGGTGTCCTAATAATATGAATTAGGCTCATGTTTCGACAACCTGCAGGGACGGCAAGGCGTTCGGCGAGCTTATCACACGCAACGACCTGCGTGATTCCGGTCTCGAACACGGAACGGGAGGAAAACGCGGGGTTAACCGTATATACGTCTTCATGCGGGGTCAACCGCTCGGGTATGGCCCTATAGGCATTACCCGGCTAGCCACAACGAATGAGGAAAGAGGGATTTTGCGGGGTCACCATCCCAACTCGAGCTGCAAACGCAAGCAGTAGTTGCATAAACAGCAAATAGACGCAAACGAGGCAGCTTTGTGATGCCATAGATGTGAGCCGCTGTACGTTGTGGGCAGCCATGCCCGACCCCCCTGCGTTGGCAAATGCTTACCTTCGAAAGCATGAATGTATTTCCCTCGGGCAACTAGTCTCGAATGTTGCTGAATATCCTGCTGACCCTCCTCCTTTGCTGTTTGGGATCCGTGTAGGATGGCCTACGGGTACCAGGACGTGAGAATACGCAGATAACCAGATCCATTGATCATATTTGGTACGAAATCCAAAAATTTGCGCAAACATCCAACCGGTCGGCCGTCGGTGGTGCGAATGACGGAGAAGGTGTCGATCAAAGAGGCGAGTTTGGCGCGATTAGAAGAAGAAGGAGAATGAGCAATCGATTCAAGGAGTTCGAATATGCGTCCGGGGACATTTCACGTACAGATATTAGTCCTCTTGCTTGAACTGGCTGCACAACTGGGACTCGTTGGGACGCCAATCTCGCAGCGATGAATCTACTCGAGTTTACAGTGGCTCTGCGAGCAACTTGGGACAACATGGCAGACGAGCGTGATGTGGGGCGCGTCCAAGTTATAGTTGCCGGCGGCCGTGGATTTCGACAAGGAAAGATAGCAGGAGAAAGTAGACAAATCGACATTGAGCAGACAGATTCAAGAGATACAAGGAGCTACTCTTCCTTGTCAAACCGGATATCGGGACCTTGTCTCGGCGGGAAGCCCTCTTCACCCTCGCGCTTAAAGCCAAAGACTTTTCGAGGTATCATCTTCATCTGGGGGACGATACGACCCGTGGTAGTGGTAGGATTCTGTCTCTTCCATCTTTGATAGTTGCCGTAGCCAATCATGAGCTGAAGGGAGTAGTCACCCGAGACAAGAGTGCTGGAACTGATCTTATTTGCCGAGAATGCAGTTCCAGCAGGAAAGTTCCTGAACCTATCACTGGAGTGAGTGGCAAGTAGGTAAGGGTGTGAGGTGCGTCTCACCAATCCATAGTGCCCTTATCGTTTACAGAGACGTATCGACCGTTTCGGAATACAGGGGATGGGGGTGTCATGGATACGACGGATGACAGAGGTTTGCTTTGGTCCATTTGTGCAGTGGAGTGGCAGGACGCGCAGGATGAGATAAAGTTGTCGGCTGTATGATTATTGTGAGCAAGAGAGGCAACATGAAAAAAGGAGAGATACCAGATCCGTTGAGTCGGCCATTCCATCCCCAGCTCGGCCTCTTGCCGCCGAGGCCCCTTCTAATCTTCTCCGCTACGGGATTGATCCAGGACTCTTTGACCCGCTCACCAGCATCATATGCCGCTTGGTTCAGTTTCTCGTCGTTCCCCCACATACGTCCAACAGGAGTAAGACGATTCCCACGCCTATGCGAATAAGCTCCTGGTTCATGTACACGGTTAGCACTTACATTGGGATCCTTGAGGTTACTGTTGTACATAAAAGTACCAAAGACCCATCCATTTTCGGAGCTTTTGTCGCGTACTGCAAAATCTACTTGGAACAGGCGGAGTGTCGAATCGTAATTATTCCTCGTAGATGGATCGGCAGGTGCGTTGAGAGGATCAGCTTGAGTAGGCGCAATCATCTGTATAGGAAGCTGAGCAATCCACTACTTGGACACTCATACGCCTTACAACTTGGAGCCCAGGCGCACCCGCCATGGATGGAACCTCCTGATCCGTCGCGTCACTGAGAAGGATCTAAAGAGTGTCAGCTTATGCTAAGACATGGAAATGTCTTGGACCTTGAATACGCAGGTCCCGATAGGAAACTGGACGCTATGCGACCAGTCTGGTTTGTCGGGATTTGCCCAAATCTGACCGAAAACGGTTGCCCCTAAGGCTGCATTAGTAAGAGGACTCGCGATTCGTACACAACATACCCGCGGCGTTGTAGTATCCACATGCCCAGGTCTGCAAAAATCGAGCTTGGGTACGAGAGGATTCAAACGGTGGGGGAGAACGTTCATAAGTAAGTCCGTTGATTGGTTCACGGCCATGATCTCCCCAATGCATTCATGGTGCATGATACCAGTTGCGGATCTGCAATGTGGTCAGTACCCTGGACAGCCAACGCGCACGAAAGGAGTATTTACCGGATTGCGTTGAACAGCAAAGCCATTGTTCACGTTTCCCTCCCAGCAATATTCCTTGATCATATTGCAGTAACCGATGGGATCAGTGCGAAAGTCAATGGCAAGCCAAGGTGCATCCGCGGTTGGGTCAGGAGACCGTATAGGCGTAGAGGGATCAGGGAGTGGGGGCAGCGTCGTTCCGGAAGTCGACGCTCCGGGTGCATCTCTGGGATAATTGTTCGAAAGCACAAACGAGGGACCACTCCAGCCAGTCGGGAGAGCATACATGGACGCTTTGTTGAACTGGGTTATCGCAGGATCATTCTCACCCGTTCGACGGATTTGAACTTGCTGAGCAGCGAGTGATGCACCAGCAAGCCTGATGGCGTTGATGTTTGCGCCTCGAGCGAAAAAGCGATAACGCCAGTGACTTGAACGAGTCCAAAAGCTCGTCTTAAATGGGGGAAAGGGACAGAAGGGTGTCTGCAAGAGCGCGCATTCTTAAGTCTGGCGGGAATGCTGGCGGCTTGGCTTTAACAAAGCAGAGTATATAACTCTCTGGGGGAATGGGATTGTTTCTAGCAGTAATTGCATTGAAAGTAGCAGCCCTCGAGTTCAATGTCATGTCGTGGAGGACGGACAAATGGATGCAACCCGGGTACCAGCATTCTCCCGAGCAAGGAAAGGAAAGATATATACAAACATTGAAGAGAATAAATCAATCACTCTTGCTTCTGTTCCTTGACCTGGCGTCTCTCCTCCAATTCTGCTTCTTGCAACATCGCCAACTTCCATTCTCTCCACATCCAACTCAGGGCAATGAGAGCTCCTGGGCCAGCGAGTGGCAAGAGCATGGGTGCAATCATTGCGAATCCCAGGAGCTCGCTCGAGGAGTCAATGTAGAAAAAGGCGGCGACGATGGGAGGGATGACTGCAAATACCCAGTCCCATTGAAGGAGCTGCAGTAGGATGCTCTCCGACGTCATCGTTCTAGCATCCCCGGTTGTCGTGGCTGGCAGCCACTGAACAAAGCTGTCCCAAGTGGTCCTTGGGGCATAGCTGGTAGTCATCGTGAGATGAACCGCAGAGGTTACCATAAACGTCGTGCCCAAGGCCAGCTGAGTAATCCAAAGCCAGATTCTGTGGTGGGTGGCCGAATGTTGAGCCATAGCCTTTGAATGATGGGTACCCAGAAGATGAAGAAGGTCCACATCAGTATGGCGTACTCATTCATAGTCACCACCATCACGCAGTAGGGCAACAGATACCCAAAGACGTGCGCGATGAATGCGGCTTCTGCAGCTGGGCGGCTCAGGGGCTTCTTGGGTTCCCGTTGGAAGATGACGAGCATGAATAGCCATGCTGCAGGCATAGCGAGTCCAGCGGCACTAGCACTGAAAACAAGGCCGAGGGTTGAAAACCATTGGCCGGGTCCGTCCGCCCGCAGGGCTTCAATGCAAAGCGTTAGGAACGCTGGTGAGATGCACGATAGCAAATATATCGTAAAGGGTTGGAGATGGCGGAACAGGGAGAGTTTCATAAACTCGACGCCGACACAGAGTTGTTGGTCCAGAGCCGGAATGCCAGTATACCGAAGTTGGGATTCGGAGAGATATTTTGGTGGGTTTGGACATTCAGGCGGATGAAATAGAACGTCCAGAGCGTCCGCGGCGATGAGTTGGCCATATATCAACCAAATGGCTGCTCCAAAGAGCGGGATAAAGATACCAGCACCAACTAAGAAATAGTTTAGGCGCGTTTTGAGCTTGTTGCGCGAGATTCCTCACCGACTGGCTTGAAGGAGGGCATTCCAAGTTGTCGATATTTGGGCGGCGCTTAGGACTGGGAGAGATCAGCGTTGGAAATATTGCATTGTTTCAAGTGAATCTAGTTGAGAGTTGCATTGTTTATTGGTACTAGCGGGGGTGATAGTAATCTGCGAGAGTTCCCAAGGTTCAAAGTCAATAAAACATGTAAATTTCTTATTTTCCAGATTTATTCTGCAATTTCCAGCGTCTGTCAGGATCCGGTTTCCCGTTGCTCACGTCTTGCTCAGCTTTTGGACAACCCGCCATCGTAGTCTTTTGCTCGATGGCGGCCCAGACGTCTCAAAATTCTACTCCAACAACTTCTTACCCCTGGTATTCGCTCTTTAGATCGTTTGGGACCAAGGCCCCGACTACGCCGTCTATCCAGGAGCAGTCGGCAGCCAAGGGAGATTTCAAACGGAGACGCTCACCAGTTCAGGAAACAGAGGATGAGAGTCCGCAGAAGAGGATTAAACGCTCTAGTCCTCCCAGGCAATCCAGCGCTTTACCGTTGGCATCCAATTTCCAGCGGGAAGGCTCCGTCAAGAAATTGGTAAAAATATTTAAATCTTGCACAAACAAAACGTGCTAACGAGAACTTAGACGTTAGATTCTGTCCAGAGCTTGGGAGCTGCCAAATCGTTGCGCAATGCGGCCCCTTCAGAGGCGACGTTTGCAAGTGGACGGACTGGTTTATCTCGTGCTCCTTCCACGGGACTTTCTGTCCACATGAACCGCTTTAGTTTGCAAACTCCGCGCCTCGAGACGCCCGTGAAAGAAACCATCCAAATTCCTGCCCGCGTCGCTGGAGTCTCGCAAAAGGCGTACAACGTCAATCGTTCCATCGCACAAGCAGATTCTCTTTCTTTTCCAACACATCGTGCCAGCTCGACCACCCCCATGCTCGAGGATCGTGCGAGCGTTCAGCGGCAGTCTACACCATCGGGAGCTAGCTTTGGTCCAATGAAGCAGCCATATGAAGCCAGATCCACCACTTCATTTGGCAGGTTGTCGCCCTCCTCCCCGCCTCAATCAAAGCCTGCTCTCGAGCGCCACTCAGTCAGCGCTCCCTGGGCTGGCCGCAATGGTGCACACCAACCTCACCGACTGGGAAATGTATGTGCAAACTATTGATCAAACTATCTCCGACTCATCTACTTTTTTTTTCCTTCTCAGGGCTCGCTTTCCAGAAACCGAACAACCTCGTTGCTCTCCGTTGCATCACAGTCTGAAGCGCCGTCTGTGACCTCTGGACACGAGGAGCGGACAACTCCAACGCCCAAGGATGGATCAGTGTCCTCTCCACCATCTGTTACCTCTCCATCCGGCTCGTCGGTTGGCAGCCCACCACCTACCACGGTCCCCCTTTCCAAAATGGTAGGACATGCCGCGCGTGCAGTCAGGTCGGTCAAGCAGCTAGATACTCCCCTCAAACATTCGAGGTCATACAGCCAGCCGTACGCGTACAAAGTCAAGGTGCCCGTCCCCAGCCAGACCAACTCTGTCGCAAGTTACGAACGCAGTTCCGACGCGAGCAGCACACACGCCCAGATTGCTTCGTCCACTGCTAGGCTCAAGATGGAACGCGCTGGAGCTCCTTATGCGGTCGCACAGGATAACGTCTCTTCACGAAGCAAAAAGATTCTGGAAAGGCGGAGGGAAGAGGAGCAAGAGATTGATACAATGGAAATGGACGACGATCTCAAAGTTGAGCCTATCAACAAGGGCAAGGAAAATGCGGCGCCAGAATCTGTCCCAATGTCCGAGGACGGCGCGACGGAGACGAGCACAGAGTTGGGTCGCGGCATCAAATCACGCATGGGGCCTCTTTCCAGCGAGGCTACTAGTGTTGCCTCTTCTCGGACTGCTGGTCGTTCGCAGCTACGCGTTGGACGAGAGAAGCTCGGGCACGGAACGTCTGCTAGCGTGTCTTCTGCGTCTGGTGTCGAAAGGCGATCGCGCATCGCGTCAGCTGACCTCTCCTCTCGCTTCAACCCAAGTGCCAACGAGCGTTATCAAAAGACGCGGTCGACCGGTCGATTCTCTGCACCTCCTGATGACTATGAAGATGTCGTGTCGAAACCCAGCGCACCACAGGAGATGAGAGCGACTCCAGCTTTGGTCATTCCCAGGTTGCCAACTCCCGAGGAAACGCGTCTGCCTGCGTCTGAGGTATGTCCCTGCCAGCGACACATGGATGCTGCTGACCAAATCGCTAGCCTATGAACATTAGTCCAGTCAAGGAAACGGCCACGAGTGGAGATGTGAACGTCGATATGGCCTCTACCACGCCCACAGAGTCGTCGGTGCGCAATGCGTTCAAAATGACCCCTATCACGGCGCCGGCTCCTGAGGAAGTCAAGTCTGTCGTTGACCATAGCTGGCCCGAAGTCAAGCCACTCGTCCCGCCCGTCAAAGTATCTGCGCCGACCGAACCCTCACCGGCTCCAGTGGCACCTGTTTCCTTTGGCTTTACACCCAGCATTCCTGCGACGACTTCAGCTCCGGTTGCGCCACCGCCTCCAGCGCCCGTTCCTGCAGAACAGAGTAGTGCAAAGTCGGAGAGTAAATCTGTAACAGGTCCTACTCCTTCGCTTTTTGCGTTTGCGCCCCCGAAACCAGCCGAAACAGCGCAAGCTGACAAGCCTGCACCGGCTTTGGCAGGATTCAGCTTTGGAACTCCGCCTACTATCCCAACCAAGGCACCTACCCCTGCAGCGCCGTTCTCTCTCGCTCCACCACCAACCGTGGTAGTCACAGAGCCACCTAAGACGACCTTCTCCTTTGGTGCTCCCGCTGTCGAGCCAACAAAGCCCGGTGCTCCTGCTGGATTGTTCGGACCTGCAGTGACTCCGGCAGCGGAACCTCCCAAGCTGTTTAGCTTTACGCCTGCGCCAGTCGCGGAACCACCCAAGACGACGGGATTCTCGTTTGGCCAACCTCAGCCCGCGAGCACGCCGAGTCCAGTCAAGGAGCCAGTACCAGAAGCGAAGGCCCCATTGGCTCCGTTTTCGTTTGCGACTCCGACACCAGCGGCTTCTGCTTCAGTCTCTACAACGCCGGCCACGCCAGCCACGCCTTCGCCTGTGAAGCCTGCCTTCTCGTTCCCTGCGAGCACGCCCACCGTTGTTCCTGGCCTCAATCTGGGTGCAGCCACGCCCTCTTCGAGCCCATTCTCCTTTGCCGAGTCGCCTAGCCCAGCAAAGAGCACTCAGGAGGCTGTGGATCTTAGTACCCCGACGAAGAGTACACCATTCAGCTTTGGAACTCCGTCGGCTACTCCAGCCACGCCTACACCGGCTCCCTTTTCGTTTGGAAATCCACCCTCGACCACGCCCTCTGCAACCCCTGCGTCACAGCCATTTACATTTGGGGCTCTCCCATCTACGACGCCCGCATCTACGACCAATACTCCATTTACATTCGGCGCGCCGAGTGCAGGAAATACCTCTACCACTCCAGCGGCTACGCCTGCTCCCGCGTCTAATGGCTTCTCGTTCTCGTTTGGCAGTAGCACCAACAACCCATTCGCATCCACGACGCCAACGGCACCCAAGACGTTTACGTTTGGTGACAGTCAAGGGCCTACGACTGCTCCCCCAACGTTTCCATTCTCAAAGGCGCCTGGTGATGCGACGCCGAAAGGCAAAGCCCCAGAGTCTACCCCCTTCACGTTTGGCCAACTTGCTCCTCCCAGCAGTGCTCCTCCGACCGGCGGATTCTCCTTTCCTCCCTCAAACAAGTCTGGTCTCGTCTTCCCGACTGGACCCACCACACCACTCGGGAAGACGCTCGAACTAGATAGTATGGACGCAAGTCCTATTCGTGGAGGTGGAAATGGGCCGAGCAATGGAACCGCAGCTAGTTCCTTCACCGGAGCCAGCAGCCAACCCTTCAACTTTGGCCCTAGTCCTGCTCCAAACAGCGCTCCGCCATTCGCCTCTAGCAGTGGATTTGGATCGCAGAGTGGGCCCGGCTTTGGAGGCTTTGGCAAAGATTCCGCACCCAACCCAACACCTGCTCCGTTTAGCTTTGGCAACGCGAGCGGTTTCACGGCGCCTGCTCCCACTCCTACGACTCCATTCGCTCAGACTAGTGGTACTGGATTCGGGTCTGGCGGGTTCTCGTTTGGTCAAACGACTGCTGGTGCGACCGCGAGCCCGTTTGGTCAGCCGCAGGCACTTCCGTCCCCCTCCGTTGGTGGCTTTACGCAACTTGCTTCGCCAGCGGCTAGCCCATTCAATGCACCAGCCCCGCTTGCTGGCGCCGCAGAGGGGTTGCTGCTCGGTCCCGGCGATCGCAAGATTGCTCCCATGCCCAAACCACGAAGACAAAGAACCGAAGCCGAGAGGAGGGCTGGTTTGCAAAAGTTCCATCAAAATAAAGGACCATAGAGATAGATGAAGATGGGTACAGGCACGACGACGCTCTTCCATACCCCCTATGCTTCAAGCTTGGTATCTCCTGCGAACTTTGGCTTCTCCGGCCCTCGTCCTCGTTCAACATGATGACGATTGTCTTCCATGCTCTCTCCTTTTTTTTCTTCCACTTTTACACCACAAAAAAAAACAGCGGGGCATGCATGTTGACGCTCACGAGGCGTCCTACTCTGTCCTTATGGTCCTCTTTTTCAAGGTTTCTCACAATCAGCATCAGAGGTCGATTCAAGATCTCACTCAGCATCCAGCGTCAACGGTAGACGTCGACCACGGCATCCAGTCACCCGATATCCGAAGGATAATCGACCATCGTTATTATAACAACCAGCATGCATCCGCCATCCATCTTAACATTGGGTTTTTCTCCAGCGGGAATCGGCCTTCGTCGCCCCTTTCGGGAGCATTTATGAAGACTTCGGTATTCTGCGCAAAGCATTCTTTGATCCATAGGATTCTACGTCACGCACCACATTCCCCGCATATTACATTACAATCATGTCGTCTTGTTACTCGCCCAATGAAGCCCTTGGCGAATCGCCCTTGTATACATATTTTGGCCTGGCCACTTGTGCGATAGATTACTTAACTCCGTATATTCTCGAGCTAAGACTGCACATGAGATGACTCGAGCTCAAGATCCAGTCGGCTCCGCTGTTTGAGATATTGCGGTGTTAGAAACTTTGACCTCTACCACGACCTGCCCGTGCCCTCGCCTCTGTTTTATTCACATCGTAATCTCCACAAATAATCATGTCCAACGTTGAATGGGATTCTAAACTCGTTATCGGCAACAAGGCTCAAGCCCGCCGTCCTGTCGCCATTGCGAGCACGAGCAACTCTGCTTTGAATGGTGAGTCAGCGCTCGTCTCTCGTCTTTTCACTTGGTTCTAACGGTTCCATGTCTAGCTGTGCGTCTCTCAGAGTCTCAAATTCCTCTTAGTCTTGCTTACGTAGATATTTTTTAGGCCCGCCGCCAAGGAACCGTCGTAGGCGTCGACAGGCGCACTGCTGGTGGATCGAACAAGGCTCACCAAGGTACTTATCTGCCTTTGTTGCCATGAAAATCTCCTTCAAGTCGTTTTGGTACGCAAGCGCTGACTATTTGCCACAAAATAGGACCAGACCACCAGCGCATTGCAAAACTAGACCGTGACAACGAAGTCGCACCTCCTCCAAAGATCAACCCAGCCGTCGGAAAGGCAATGCAGACTGCCCGCCTGGCGATGCAGCTCTCCCAAAAGGACCTGGCCGCAAAAATCAACGAGAAGCAGTCTGTCCTTGCAGACATCGAAACCGGAAAGGCGACTGCCAACCCTCAGATCCTCGGCAAGATTGAGAGGCAGCTTGGGGTCAAACTGCGGGGTATGTAGCATTCTTTCTCTCGTGCTTGGGCGCGGCAAGACTAACGGGGCGAATAGGTAACGAGATTGGGAAGAAACTGGAAGGGCCCAGGCGCGCAGCGGCATCGACCTCGACGTCGTAAAGTGGAAAAGCATTCACTTTTGATGCTCGCTTGGTGGCTCCCTTCCATAACTAGTGCTTCCCCCCGCAGATTTCAGTTGTATAGAGAGATCTGAATGGAGGCATCCTTGTGCTGAAATCGACCCAAGCAATAAGCTAGAGATACAGAGTGACAAATTAGGAGGCATCTGCTTCGCCAGTCCCCTACCAATTTGTCAGTGGTCTCATGAGAGGATTTGACACGAGAAACATACATAGGATATATAATCGGGGCTCTCGCAAGCCTGGTATTCTCTGAGCAACTCTTCTACCACGGCGCTTGTCGAGAGTCAGAGACGGTAGACGAGAGATTATCTACTGACCGTGACTCGTCAAACTCTCCATAGCCACCCTCAAATATCTTCTCTTTCTTATACTGCTCCAAGAACGCGTTTCGTTTTCTTAGTCGGTCGTATTGATCCAACATCCGCTTGAAAAGCTGCCGCCCTGTTAGCCTCTATAAAGAGTTTCGAGTTCTATACTTACCGAAGCGATACTCGTGTGGTTTGCGAGCATCAAACCACTCACACGATGGCTCGCTGCAATATAAGGTGACTTGCGTGTGAGGGCCACCTGGATGGATGCGGGTCCCCATGGGATAAAGTTTGCAAGTTGGCGTTCTCGGATACGAAGGAGGGATTGATGGACCTAGATTCTGTTACGCCGTGAAGGACCGGGGGGTTAGAGGACGCACGTCTGTTGGATCGACATTTCCTTGGATAATATTGAGGATGCTGATGTAGCATGCAGTTTTGTTCGGTGTTGTTGATACCATTCTGTTCTTAGGCTGCAAAAGACGACGCATTACGTCTAATACCGTCGTCTTGCGTGTGGATTTGGCCTGTCGACGAGTCAGGATGCAAGTCGCTGGGTCATAAAATAGAAACGAACTTGGTCTATTTGATCACCGGTGAAGGGAGTATACGAGGTCATCAGGAAGTGGCACCGAGGAGTTGGAATGAGAGACGCGACAATGCCAACGAGGTCGTTATTCATATAACTCGGATAGCGAAGGGTTTGAGTGGACGCTGCAATAACAGTCGATACCTATTGCACCTTAGGACTATATATCATCGAGTCACACATGCACTCACCAGTTGGTTCGTCTGGTCGAAGCTGGGATTCTGGATGTGGAGTCGGTCTGCCGCTATCCGTGCGAGCGCGCCATTGTCCAATACGACCACCGAGTCTGCATGATCCACAAGTCTTCGAAGCGTGAGTAATGAGTTGTAGGGCTGCACGACAACGTCTGGTTCGGCGTGATTAGGGAACACCGAATATGTCTGGATGAGCTTCTTGGGGAATCGGTCGTTCAACCGCTCGAGAACAAATGAGCCGAGTCCTGATCCAGTTCCACCTGCAATAGAATGCATGAGCATGAACCCCTAACAGTTATCAGTCTCCTCGTTATCAAGAAATGAGAGCTTTTACCTCAAGAGAGTCACTTCCTTCTGCTTCTCGGTCAACCATCTCCATAACCTCTTCGTAAATCTTCTCTCCGGCCCCATAGCCTTGAGCCCAGATGTTTCCGGCTCCGCCACCGTCCTTTGAGACAAAAATGTTCTCTGGATTGTACAGATTCGCAAATGGAGATGTCAAAATGGTATTAATGACCTGAATAGGGCGTTATAGTCAGCGAATCGCTTAGTTAATGCCTTCGGTGTGTTCTGAGTGATCAACAGAGGACAAGACGTACTCGAGGCTCTAGATCCACAAGAATGGCGCGAGGAATATAATGCTCGTCGTCTGCTTGATAGAAGAACACGTCTTTGCGGTCGCCACCTTCCGTTGCCCATTCTTCTAGGATTCCTTCCTTGTTGATGCCATGTTCTGCACATAGTCTCTGCCAATAGACGGATCCCACTGCAGTTTGCACGCGTCGAAAGGGCCATCCGATGGTTCAAATGTCGATATTAAAGGAAACGCGTCAATGGAAACGCGTCGTAAATGATTAAAGACGAGAAACTAACTCTGGTTACCGCATTGTCCTAGTTGAACTGTGACTATTTCGCGCGGCATCGCGATTACGCTCAAGTGTGGATGCCCTTTCGGAGACGGGTGGTGTCAAAGTCAGCGGTCAACACTCAACCAACGCCAAAGCACTTTCTCAGAATCATTATCCAAAGAGAACTAGACAAACAGAGATGAATGTAACATGCTTATTCTTCAGCTAGAGCTTGTCGATGCCGGACTACTCTCATCCTTTGCCTGGGTGGCTTGAGCCGCTTGAGCCTCGGCGGCAACCTTTAAAACCTGGTACACGACCGAGAAATCTTTCTGCGCCAGTGTACCGTGTTTTGCGACATTTTCGTACACGTCCTTGGCTGTAGCTCCTAATATGAGTGGCGACGTGAAAGTTGACGCTGCCTGCAGCGCGAGGTTCATGTCCTAAGCCCCTGTTAGTACACCGAAAGTAGATTTACACGTCTGCCTTGCCTTGAGCATGAGTGCTGTAGCAAACCCTCCATCGTAATCTCGTGTACAGGGTGGGGAGCTATTTGGAAGCGCCCCGGGGACCGGGTTATTGACTTCAGAGCTCCAGCATCGACCTATCAGAGTCGTGAGCGTGGGGCTTAAGAGGTACCGGAAAGGGCATACCAGTTGAGCTGTTCAGGACGCCAGCCAGAACGTCTGGCTTCAAACCCATCCTCTCGCCCAGAAGCATTCCTTCAGCCACCACAATTTGCTGAACTCCCAGTATCATATTGTTGCATATCTTCGCCGCAAGCCCCGAGCCTGAGGGCCCACAATGAATGCTTCGTGCACCCATCAGGGAGAGATACGGTTGGGCCAGGGTGACAGAAGGTTGTGGTCCACCGACCATAAAGGAGAGCGTTCCAGCGCGAGCACCCGAAACGCCTTGACTCTCCGCATTAGTTTCCTGTTGTAGAAGGCAATGAAGCGTACCTCCTGAGACAGGTGCATCTACCATCATCGCACCCGCTGCCTCTGCCTTGGCGGCCACATCCCGCGCGACTTCAATATCCAAAGTCGTCGAGTCAATCAGCAAAGTTGGCTCGCCGTTAGCTAACTTAGCAAGTGCTGGAACAATCGCGTCTGCTGAATCAAGGTACGCAGACTAGTATTGTCAATCCAAGCGTCAGAGGATGAGCGAGTATTAACCTTTACTTGTGGTGACGAAGGCAACATAGTGACGAGTGTGGATGACAGAGAGACCACTCTGAATGGAATGAGAATCGAAGCGAAATGTCTAACAAACTCACTCGGCAGGACTCTTTGCCACGATGACCTCGTATTCGGGAAACTTTTCCTTCATCTTGCTTATGATAGTCTGGGTCGCATCTTGATTGACATCGCATACGACAAATGCAGGCGGTGGATTCTGTTGTCCCCCAGCACCCGAGGTCTTTGCGGTCAACGGCGCAGCTGTCGATGCACCCGAGTCAATGGTCATCCCAGAACTACTTGAAGAGCCCGTTTGGTGTGCAACTATGGTTTTGGTGAACAAGTTCGTCGCCATTTCGAATCCCATGCGTCCGAGACCAATGAATCCTATCGTGGTAGCTCGGTTTGCACCACTTGACAACGCATGTAATCCTCTTCGACTGTTTAAAATTGAAAGTCGACTCCAAGAGAGAGTTGGTCTGATGCCTCTACCCCGCATTGTATATTGGACAAGAGGACTAGGGCCGCGCATTACGACGATTTTCTGCAACCTTTCGGTAGTAGAGTGAATTCCTTTGGTGGTTCAGTCGTCATGAATGGATTAGAAGCGCATGTGAAAACATACGGGCCACGGAGCTAGCGACGTTCGCCTAAAGCCAGCAATTTGGAGAGTTTAGACCAATTCTCGACGTGAGAGACAACCTCAGTGTAAGCTCGCAGACAATTTCTCTCGGAGTATGGCACCAGTCTTTCAACGACTGTTGTCAGCTGATGGCGTCGAATCCAGGTTCCGGTACCAGCCTCGACCAAACGAACAGACAGCAAGCTTGGCGAGTAAAGCCAGAATCTTCAATAACGTCAATGGTACGACAAAGCATACGCTGGTTACCTGCAAGAGCATGGAAGAAACGTCTACAAGAACAGACTTCAAAGGATTACACAAAGAGAACCCGGTATAGCCATAATCCGTGATGAAGAACTCGAGGTGATCTAATGATCACAATACTGTGAACCCTCATCACCTAGGGTGGATTCAGGCTGACTGTGAATACAAGATTGGAGAAACGTACCTGAATACTTCTCTGACGATTATTTAGCGTCCTCCTCGTGGTCTTTTCGCTCTTCAGATTGCTCTACAGCCCTATCATCCTCGTCGTTACCCGTCTGGTCGACCTCATCGGCGACATCTGAGACCATCGAGCTCAGGAGCTCTTCCAAGCCACTGAGCAGCGCGTCTACCTTTCCTTCAACGCCTGAGGCAATCTCTTCTGCGGCCTCCAACTTCTGCAGCAGCTCGCGTACACTCTCCGCATCTTCCAAGGCGGGAACCCTTGCCTCTTCTGACGTGTAGAGTGACGTGATGTCTATATTATTTGACCTTGGAGATGTATCCTGGTCTTCATTTGCAGCCTTTGCTCCACTGCTAGACTGTGCGCGCTCAGTCTCCGCTTCATTGAGGGTTGCGAGAAGATACGAGAGTGCAGAGATATCTTCCTCCACCGTTTTGAGCTGCTCGTTGGCTCGGAAAGTCACATCACGCATGACAGCCAGTGATGGTCGGGTGGAAGTGGCAAGGCTGATAATAGTCACCAGGTAATCTTCTTGAAATACGAATCTACAAAGTAGAAAAGCAGTATAAATCCACCAGTATATTATTACAAGGCTGTCGTTCTATACGAACCACTATACTTTGAGGAAAACAACAATGGAATAGGCAGACATGGCAGCAAGAAACACCCACTCGAGAAAGGTCAAGAGCGGGCATTGCATATATACTCTGTGTGTGTCTGAGAACGAGCCGGAGCGAAGGGACACAGTTTTGGTTTCCTCACGTTGGGCACCATCCAATAAAAAGCCCAAGATGAGGCTTTGGACATGAATATGTGGGTGGTGGCATCAAAGGGCCAGTTTCCTAGCATGTAGCAACGAGAATGGAGAGTTTGGGCGCTTCAGACTACTCGCTGGTTGGATCGGACAAAAGCCAGAGACAAGTTCGATCCATTGTTTATATCCAGACAAGCAGCGGGTAAGAGTACATTATCGCTGGGTTAGATACACTCCAACGGATCAAGGAGCTTCATTAAATGCATAAGCAGCCTTTCGGCACAAAATAGTGCCAGCTACAGCGGCTACACCAAGGTCCTCAATCGTGGAATGATTGTAATTTCTTGTCAGCATGTTCTGGCCGATTGAACATGCAATGGCGCCATCGTTAGCTATATCGAGGCACCATATCCCCGACATTCTCGGTGCAAGGACCTGAGCTAAGAGCGATCAAAGTCCGAGTGGACACGAACCACAACCATTGTTTACTCTCGCAAGTCCTTTGGACAGAGCTTCGTCCTGAAAATATGAAATTCTTTACTCGAGGACATCCGCCTCGACTTGCTGTCATTAATGGAGTCATCAGTGATCTCACTGTGACATGACCCTGGAAATTGATTTGTAGACGCCTGACATGCGGTATACCACGTTCAAGAACCTTTCATTAAGACAAAGAATCCTCTAGAACGGCCATCAAGTCCCGATTTGGCCGGGCGTCGCAGCAACCGTTATCCACTCTTTTGTCTGTCGGCCGCCAATCCAAAGATACATAACACACAAAAAAGAAATGAGAAGAAAGAAGCTGCCCGACTCTTGCTGGGGCAAGCGCTATTGAGTGGAGAGACCGACTTGGCGAGGTCCACTTCAAAGCGACAACAGAAACACGCAGAACATAGAGGGCAAGTCTAAACTCTGGGAGCTCCTGGTGTTTAACAGTGGTTTTGAGGAGAATGCAGAGCCAAGTCGTCCAAAGGGGGACCCGAATATCTCCTGTCTTGTTCGTCTGATGACCATGTATCCCAAGTTTGATGTATTGATTACCGCTATCCCGAATACCGTGACACCACCGACATCTTGGTGACCCTATCATCGAATGTCCTTCCTAAAGATGCAGAACGGCCTGGCTTACCGACTATTTCAGGGCACAGTCAGGCCATATCTTAGAGGAAAGCCTTGATAATATTCTTTCGAGGCTGAAGACTTGATAGTTTTCCTTTAAATTGAGAGTCAGTCATGAGCATCCTCAGACCGCGGTCGCTCATCATGCTGCCTCCAAATCACGCGGTTGAGTGGATCGTGTATTCAAGTATAAGAAATATCTGTCCAAGGGATGTCGTAGAAGACCAATGACGCATGAGATAATGATCTGGTATGCCGACAGCACTCGCGGCTCTGGCAATGGAGAGAGGCGGTCACTGGTAATAAACCTCCAAAGTTTGTGATCAATAGATGTACGTTCGTGAGAGAAATAGAGCCCTGCCTCGTCTACTCTCTTGTAAGTTGTATTCAAGGTACTCGAGCGGAGAAGAATCACTCACTGATAGAACGTCTACGTCAGCGGCGTTCTGAGAGACATCTTTGATTGACATCACGGCAGCAGTCACTCGTCTACGCTCGAAAGAAGCTAGGAGAATGGACACGCATTGGTGAGCGGCCGAGTAGCATGAGGCTAGACTCGTTGAAACACGAATGTCCCAAATGGTTTAGATCGTGCCAAATTGGTGCGTCAGGCTCGCATTGGGCAATAATTCTGGATGAAAAGGAACAAGCATGCGGATGTTCCATCTCTTGGCGTATAGAGTATATCAAGAAAGGAAATATAGAGCCCTCCAAGAGACCCGATGGGCGTGGACAATCGGGATGACTGACGGTGAGACCAATTCATGGGATCTCCTCAAGAGACCAGAATAGTGAAAGAAAAGCTCATCACCATACTCTCCTGTATCCTTGGAACCCCTTTAGCCGCAGATGATTGTTTGTGGAAGTGGACCAATCTGGGACAGCGCAGACCAGTTATCTCGATGTAGAAGGAAGCCTAGCCGCAGGTTGTATCACCTAGATTGCGACGAGATGCAAGAAAGTAACGTATTAGCCCTCGAGGCAGGCTATTTTCTGCATTGCAATGTGATCCCTCGCGCTCCTGCATTGGAGAGAGGAGATACAACCTGATCAGCTTGACCTCGGACATGCATCAAGAAACTCAGCCTTGGAGCCCTGTCGCCAAGATCGAGCTTTTGGTTCATCAGCGACAACACGGGCCAGCAGGGAGATGGATAACCGGGCCTCGGGCCTCACCACGGAGGGAGGAGAATAAACCTCCATCTGGAGCGTTTTACTAAAACTTCCTTGGCTTCTTTTTCCCTGGTGATAGAAACCTTGGGGCCAAGCGTGAATCAGGAGCATGGCCATCTCTTTGGAAGTTTGGACCCAACAAACGAACCCCAGTTGAGCGTGGTCCAAGTAAATCGGTTCGCTGTGTACGAGAAACTCAATTTCAATGCAAGTTTGTGTGGAGGATATCCAGACACACACCATTGCCGAGGTATGAGCAGCCGTGGTGCCGACCCCTCACCCTAAGCGTACTATAGCAGCAGCCTATAATGTGGACTCTTGTGTAAGCACGATGCAGCATTTGTGAAAGTGGCCCCAATGGTGCACGACAAGCCTACCTATCCCTCGGCAGAAACACTGATATGATTACCAATGCGACGCATGACGTCGTAAATAACTCTACAATGACGTCTTAAAATATACATGACCTAATATGTGGCGGTCGCTCGACCTTTGAAATTTGTACGACATCAAGTGGGACTTTACAAATCTCCTCCCGCCGTTTGGATCCACTATTCTTTGGCTCGCCTGATCTGCTCTAGTCGCATTCGATGTGATTCGGAGGTAATTACACCTTTTACCAACTGTAAAGCCAGATTTGCTGCGCTGAATCTGCACATTTTGCGTGACAAAGTCGGCATAGCTGGCACGATCAAGAGAGAGAAGGAGCAATACCTATACGCCTTGAAACACTCGATAAATGCAACTAGTCGCTTTGGCCGTATATCTTTCCCGGTGTCTCTACACGGGTGGGAGATGGTCTCTGAGATTGCCGCTGTAGCTATTCAAGTGTGTAGTAGGCACAATGTCGTTGGCCACGCTATTCCCATCGGAGATGGTATTGACTGGGCGTCTGGCATTCTAGTGACTCGTGTCGCGTGGAGGTGAGTGACATCTAAGGGTTATTCTAAGAGGTAGGCCTTACTGGAATGCTGAGTCTAGACCGATCGACCCATATTTGTGGGCGATCCCCCTTTTGGAATAAGACGCCAGCCAGCCTGTTGTGGAGCGACAGCCGTGCCTGGTCCACTCACCTCGATTGTTGCACCCAGCCACGACTCTGACCATCGGCGCCTGGACCACGCAAGCTATTCCACAGCGACGACGGCAGGAAAATACTGAGGGATCTAGGAACCTGTTAATCATATCCAGGAGGAGCATTAGACAGCAACAAGTCCCAAGAGCATAATTTTTTGGACGCCGCAGGCTGCAGCAGCGTGTTTCAATGTCGACAACACCATCTTCTCGTCCTGCCTTTCTTCGTGGACAGACAATGCCAACCTATCTTCCTTCCTCCTCGTCTTCGTCTGGAGTTGGCGCCCCGATGGCGAGCAAACACATTGTGTCTGCACTTGACGGCGCCGTCGCCGCACTCTCTTTTGCCAACGGTGCGCATATTCACTCTTTTCCATTTCTTTTCTCAGATGATGTTGATACCATTATGTTCGGTCACTCGGTTCTTCCTATTTGGTTCTGCTGTCCTCCTGGAACGAAATGAACATCCGAAACTATATTCCCACCTGATCAATTTGGCGTCTGCGTGGTCGGCATGCTGAATGGGAATCGGTCGACGTGCAGGCTCGCAAACCGCCGTGCGCCATGTCGTCGCTGACGATGCGGTGAGCAATGCCAGTAGCGGCAGTAGCACCGGGAGCACCCCTCTCCCCTCCCCGGTTGGGCCTCCAACGGTTACCCAGGTCGGTCTCTTTTTCTTCTTGATAACTAGATGAACCTGACCATTCATTTTCATATGTCTACTTGGCACAAATTCACCGCATCGGCAACTCTCGGCACACCCTTTGCGCTCACATTGACGTCGGGCCCACGCGGATGAACACCCGTTTTGTGGTTGTCGACGCTCCCTTTCTCCTGCCTTTTTGCCTCACTCTCCCCCGTCCGATTACTGGCTTATTCGCCCACCCTCCATCGGTCCGATTCGCGCAATGTCCTCAAAACTCTATATTCCGGCTCCGTGACGGCACCACTCGGCTGGGATCGCATACAAAACGCACCTCTGCTAAACTCCACTTGTGGATGCAACGCCATGCCTCTATCGTCCTTTTGGACCCGTTCTCTCGTGAATGTCGCCGTGCATCTGGATGGCCGTCGTCCTCTTTTGGTGTGGACTCGGTACGGCCGAATGCGTCGCGGGCTCGCGGGGATGATATCACTACTGATTGGCCCTGCTATCACCCTTTTTGGTCACCGGCTCGTCCATATAACCCGACTGTCATTCCCTCTCTGTATATTTTGCACTTGCCTCTTCACGGCCGGCCTTGCAATCCCCTCGTCGCTGAAACTGCAACTGGCTCCACCGTTGTCGGCTGACCCTGCTCCTCTCATTCCTCTGCTCCTCGCAACCATCTGATTCGTACGGCTCTCCTCCGCTTCTTCCAACTCCCTTTTCATATCTTCCGATTCCTATTTCTGAACTGGGGTGCCCGCCGACTCTCCGTCTCCTAAACTCTCGGCGCCTCGTGTCCTGCTTGCGCCACTGACGCTATAAATCACGACTCCTATCACGATCTCTTTTTTTTCCCCCCTTCTTGTCGCCACGACTATCTGCCTCGGTCGATTTCCCCATCCGGTCCGTCTCATCCTTGGGCTCCCTCTTACTCCACTACCCATCGCGCGTGTACCGACGAATCCCCACACCTTCTCAATCTGCCGCTTCTCAATCTTCTCGCACCACTCAACGATCGCATTCAAACTCTGCCGCGCGTCTGCCGATATCTTGTACGGGCTCTGAACACTGCGCCCTCGAAACGACTTGGACTCGCCCTCATCTACCATCGTTGATCCCGTTGGCTCGCGCCTCTGCTCCGATCCACATCCACATCCACTTTCCGATTTTGACCACAGGTCGCTGCGCCCACCACGGTTCCACCTGTCCATCACCCGTCTCGAAGGATGAATCTCGACTCGCAACCATCTGCATATGTACTCAGCACACCGCTCGGACCTGGGTTCTCGTCCGAGTGCATTACAATTGCCGCCAAGCGCGGCAGCATACTCGTCATTATTGCAGACCGCTGGGATTCGGAGACTGACAGTGAGTCAAAAAATTCCCCTTTGTTGCGTGTTTGCAACCACGTGCTCATGACGAAAAAAAGGTCATTTCGAATGGAAGATTCACTTTGACCGCGACGCGGACATGACGAAGATTCAAGCCAACTTTAATCAGGGTCTGCTCAAGGTCACCGTCCCTAGAATACGAACGTACTAACCGTGAGCCCATTTGGAGCGCGCGGTTTGTGGTTGTACGCCGCGTCACTCCACCACTCCCTTTTTTGCCTTGGCGGCGCGTGGGTGTTGATGCGGCGGCGACTTTTTTTTCTTTATCCACTGGAGTGGGATTTACGGGTGAGAAATGAGGCGGGAGAACCGACGTCGTCGGCCTCGTGCTCGACGCCTCCTTTCCCGCAACACCCCAGCCGACTCCACGGGTTCACCACGCTGCGGCAAATCTTTGCGCTCGCCTCACCGACAGGTCTATATCGTCGTGCGTCTTTTCGGTGTACCTTTTATCCGCAAGTCGACGGCGTTGTGTCCCGAGTGCCCTGACGTGTCGCACGTCGGGTCAACATATTTCTGGCGCTGCGCATGTGGGACCACATTGGTCCCTTGTCGACGCTGGAGTTGCGGTCGAGCGCGTCGTCGTGTGTGGAGGCGGTTCCACTTTGACGCGCTACGCATGCTCGTGTCCGATGCAGAAGTGGCGTCGTCCATTGCACCCTCACTGAACCGGATCTTGCAATGCGCACTCAATACAGACGAGGACGACGTGGCGGTGCCGGCTTCTTCCAGCGACGTGCACCTTTGTCGGCTCGGTGTCTGTCCCCCCCCAAAAAAAAAAACATTTCACCGACATCATCTCTTTCTCATATTGGGTTTCATTTCCGAGTATCCTTATTGCGATTTCGACAACTATATACACTCTCGACAATCTACAGCTCCCGACATCTCGCTTTCCCTATCCAGCTCCAACCGAATACTCTTGCCATTAACTTTGCATTGCACTCGTCCTCATGCCTTCGTCATCTTTGTAGATGTATGAAGGCGTGGGCGTTATCTTAAAAGTTGGCCTCGCGGGCGGCCAATCCCTTGTAGGCAAGCTAGGCTATCGTACTCAATTTACATCTCTATCGCCATTTATCGTCGTCATCTCTTTGTGTTTCCCATATTCGACTCGATCCCTAGAGTGATCCGCCCTCCGTATGTCTTGTACCGCTCGTCATGTTCATTTAGTCTCGTAGGATAGAATTCAAAGGGTTTTCTGACATCATTCAGATTTATCGTTGTTTTCACGCGAGTTTTCCGTCGGCCGTGTCGCGGTTCATAGTTCATAGATCACTGGTTCATGCCCGCTGGTTCACTATCGACCTTGGCTTGTCCTCCCCCGCTCCCGCCTTTTCCCGTTGATCTCAATCATTTCGCGTACTTGATGATGCAAGATTGTCTCTGGGAGGTGGAAAGGCGTCCCGCATCGATCAGGGCGGGCCTTGCTTTTGGGAACTTGGCGCGTAAGGAGAAATCTGAGGAGAGACCTGAAGATCCCGAGTCTCTCGTCAACTCCAGTGAACCACAGCCTTTAGGTAAGTACACTCCAACGCGTTAAGAGAAGTACATTCTCAAGGTCATATCTCGCAGTCAGGCGGAGTTCCGACCCCTACATCGGTTACAAACTACTCTACTCCAACCCCTGGACGAAAATTGTCGGGCTGGATGATTTTGGGTCGTGTAAGTATCTTACTATGACATGCGTGGCAAGCCAAAGACTCTTAGCTCATTTGTCACAGTCGTTACCCCAAAAAACGATGAATTGATCGAAACGTCTTCATTGGCAGTCTCAACTTGGGATACAACTGTTCGCCCCTCGGATGTACTTGCGGACACCACCAATTACACTGATCCATCGTCTGTACACAACCTGGGCCACTCTCAAGCGTTCTTTCCTGCTTCATTGCCAGCTTCGACCTTGAAACCGGCCACTCTTTTCGAGCACCCTCGGTCGGCTGATGTTGGTGAGTCTCTTACCGCGATGTGTGTATCAAGTGAAACGCCTTTTGAGCTAATTGTACCGCAGCCAGTCTCTCTAGCACGGATAGTCCTTCGCATTCCCAGCCAAACTCCCTTGATAGCAGTGTGCTTGATGGCCCAAGGATACGAACCAGGAAGGCTCCCACACCGCGGTACATTCCGCGGTACATTCCGAGACCTCGTTCAGTTCTACAAAATTTCCGCTCACCGGTGACGGCTCAACCGTCAGTCAGAGTCCTAGTTTGGACCAAGTTGGTCAGTATCATCAAGCTCGATGTACTTTGAATGTTCTTACATAGTCCAAAGCCGACGGATTCGAAAGCCCGTCCAGGTGTCTGGCATTTCAAGCCTGCATACAGCGATCAAGGAACTTGCATTGTTCCCTCGTCAAATGGTCACCTACTAGACGTCTTAGCGTCGCTGGGTTCACGAGACGGGCGGCAAATTGCTTGGTTTGACTATGGCACAGGCGCATGGAACTACCAAGATGTCGATACGCCTATACATATCGAGCATGATCGACCTATACTCTTGTGCAACTACCGAGTAGCCCATCAATTATCCGTTAATTGGGCCATTGTAGGAGAACTGACTGGTTACAAGTACAGATCCTTCGAGCCTCCTCAACCATACCGCGTGTCGGTGTCACCCTGCAAAAGAGGGGAACACTCGATGAGGGACAAACCGGCGGGCCAGGTGTTGCAAGCGCTCGAAGAGTTTGAATTAGACTTGGCGACGAATAAAAGGGGGGAACCGGTCATAAACCGATTCAGATCTCGGTTTCATGACTTCAAAGGTTCTATATCTGCTATGAACAGAATTCGTCGTGCCGCAAGGGCATTGTCTGAAGAGGAGCGCAAGGTATACACCAGCCCAAATGCGGGTCGGATGTTTGGGGAGATAATGGATAACCACAAAGGAGGCCACTGAATACCTCTTACGAACATGTCCTCCCCAGCGGAAAAGCATTCTACCCCTTCTACAGATGATTGTATCTTGTATTCCCTGACCTTGATGGCGAGGAGTACAAGCCTTTGTATGGTTTGGTCTATGTTTGCCTCGTAGGCATATTCATGATGTATATAAGTGAGGTACGGTGACAGGAGATAACCTTACTCGTGTCTGCTCTCTCCGTCATCAGATCTATCTATAAACCTTACTCATTGTCGTATGTCTCCTCTCACCGTCCTCACCCTCCTTTCAAGACTTTGGCCGCTACCGTGAGGACCCTCCAGGGTCCCTGTCCTTTGGTCTTCGCTCTCATGGTTTGAATATATTTGGTGTTGATCTTGCTCCCGGTACCAGCGCCCTCGGAAGATTCTTGCCATCGACTTTGCAGTATGGGGTCGAGTGCATTTAATCTATCAGGATAAAATTAAAAAGTGATTCAGATCACTTGCACGGCTGGGATATCCTAGGGATGGAAGACGGGCAAGTGCGGTGCGAAGCTCATCTAGGCGACTGCAGCAGCGTTTACGTAACAGAGGCGAAAGGAGATTGCATTCTGGAGGGTGCTTGGGCGAAGAGAGTCGCAACATGATCCTCTGGAGTGGCTGGACTACTCTAATTTGCGATTACTGACGGTACGGCTAGGACGGCTATGAACGGTGCGACGGTCAACATCGACACCACAACCTATGAGCAATGTGCTTGTGTCGGATGTGGGCGAGTAACGCGGCTCGGAAACCTGCCCATCCGGGCCACCGCGCGTTTGTTTGATTCTGGCCTCATGACCACAGAGCTGGGTGAAGGCTAGCGCTCGAAGTGTGCCAGATGAATAAGAGGGATTTTTCTGGTCATTGGGTACCCTAATTCAACACCTGTGTTTATCTTTGGACATGGTGGCCAAGTAGGCCCCAGAAATCGCGTCGCGATTTTGAGAGGCGGGTAAATTGAAACCATGTGACAAGGATGATTCGAAACACACTAATAATGTGGTTTCAAGTCGAATAAACTCCAAATCCTTTCAGCGCAATGCCAACTGCGGCTGCTAGAGCGGTGACAAATGATGCGCTCGAATTTCCAAGGCATGAGGGAAGCACCACGAAAAAAGTACCATTAGGCGTGAATCGAGATTGGTATTTGAATTACGTTACTTTTGACCCAAAAGGGCAATCTACAGAGCAGCCAAGCGCAAAATAACTGCAGGCCACAACTTCCAAGGAGTGCTTGTGAGAGAAAGGAATTCCCTCAGATTATACTAGATTTGATACTGTACACATTAGTATTAGCGGGGGGTTGGCTAGAAATACAGAGCCTTCAGGAGATTGCTTTGTTACCAAACATGGTCGCCAGACACGTATCCAAACCATGCGGGAGGCAGCAAGGTCATATACTGTTGAGTTCAACCCATCTGGCGCCAGGACGATCGCATTTCCGCAGGCTGGCCAGCACTCTAGGAGAATGTCCGCTCATACGCAACTTGGTTGTAAGATGAAACTGCAAGTCGGTTTCGACAAATCGAGCCGGCAGGTGCTACAAGTTGCCCCAAGCTGCCCCAAACTGCTGCTAGCTGCTGCTAGCTGCTGCTAGCTGACGTTATGGAAGTCTTTAGCCACAACTCAAAACGTCTCTGCGACGACCGCTGGCCGCGGAGAGAATCCTTCGCTCCCTCCAGTCAATGCCTATTTTTGGGCCCAGGTAGGTTCTGTCAACGTTGACATTTATCTCTTCCTAAACATTTCAAAGCACGTTAAATCTCCGATTTCTATTGTCTCACAACCGATTTTGGTCACTCTCCGTCCTCAAGAAGGTCAATCCGGTCTTGTCGTCGTTCCGTCGTCCAACCCCTCTTTGTTGGAGCAGCTCGGCTCCGGCCGCAACATCGGGCTATACATAGTTAGCCAAAGTTTGTGGAAGGTTAAGGATCCAACCGATCCGATTCAAGTACGAGAAGGAAGCCTCCTCCTATGCGATCCCCGCATTATACATTACATGCCGAGGGACCTCAGTCAACTTTTGGCCAATTTACGCCTCAACCCACGAGCATTTGCGCCAGGGCCCGCATGGACGACCCCTTCGGAAATCCCTCCAGACCTGGAGATCACGAGCGTGTATGAGAGCTCCCATTTCCGTCGCAAGATTCCACCCTATCAAAGTTTGGAGATATCTCCTACAGGTTCTATGATGGACCTTGACTAGTTTGACGTGGGTGAGTTCCTCTCGCCGGCTGATTATTTAGCTGACGCTTCTGACGTTCTTTGACCGTCAACAAACTTGACTCTAGGAATAGGCATTCTAACGATAAAAATACGATTGATTGGACCAAATGGCTGTAGTCACGCGGTTTCTGTCTCTTTTGGCTTGTACTTTCTTGGGTCCTACAGGTAGCAATACCTCGACTTTGTAGTCTACTCAGATTTGCCATCTAATGTTGTCTCTGATTTTTTCCTGATTTTCTGAGATTTCTGTCTGAGCTTTCTGCTGGTTGTCGTTCACAGTGTACATCACCAAATTCGAAGCAAACTCAATCGATTTCCTACCTGGATCACGAAACAGGGTGTGGAAGACCCAAAAGGTCGACAGGCCTATAAAGACGTATCCTGATCACCCAGTGCTTCTCTGTAATTATCACTTATCTGATGACCCCGTAAACCGGGCTCAAGTGAGAGATGTAGCCAGCTACGATCATAAACCATACAAACGCTATCACCCATACACGTCTGCGCGTGGAGGATCGCCTTCCAAATCGTCTTTCACGAATAGACCAGCAGGCGAAAGCCGAGAAACGCGCAAAAAGTTCGAAGAATGAGGAAAAACAAAGAAAGGAGGTGACGCAGCGCTCGAACAATTCAAATCTTACTTTCCTGACTTCCATGGCTCTACATCTACTATGGGTAGAATCCGGCGCGCCGCGAAGAAGTTGTCGGAGAGTGACTACACACTCTATACGACCGCGATGGCGGGCAGCCAGTTTGGAGATGTGCTGATGCACGCAGAGAATCTCAGGAAATTCAAGAAGTCCACCTCGGTGAATGCCACGAGCTCCGAGAGTCATGCGCTGCACAGCGCTACGCCAGGGGAAGATTCAGAGGCCGATATGCATTAGGTTCGTCGATCTGTGTCACTATGGAATCCCACTAATACACCTTGAATCCAGCACTAGGGCCTCACCAATGTCTTACTTTACCGCCACCAACCTATACAGACGACAGCCGTCACAAATCAATATATCATGTAGTCGTAATAAAATGTAATCCGAGAACGTGCTGTCGTGTGATCCAGACGAGGACGATTCACAGACTTGACCTTCTGCCTCCCCCTACGTTGGGTCACTCCGGGTATCTTTATCACGGTTTTGACATCTATATACGCTCTCATTATATGGGTTTCCTATCCAGCTCATTCTCACTGAAGTGAGATCCAAGACGCATCCTGTTACTGGCGTCGCATTACCTCCGCATCTCTCCAATGCGTCCAGAACAGCACCAATGTCCAGAAACTAGTAGCCTGGACTAGGGGACGTTCATTCACAATCGTGCATTGGCGAGCCAGTCAGTGGCCAAGTGAGCGAGCTGCACCTCGAGCAGCGCTCGGTGCAGGGCTCAGTGAACTGAATGGTGAACCGAACGGAGCGGCGACTTTGAACAATGGCTTATGTAATCTTTTAGGGCCTATTTAAACAACCGCGCTCTCACGTTCTCTCCGCTACTACGACCTTCTACACCCCAACCCGCCCGCCAACGGTGCATTTACCTCATGCAGAACGCTTCTATCGATTTTCTCGATGTATTGGGCTTCGAGAATCTCAACGTCCTACCTGTAAGTTTGCGGCTATGCCTGCTCTGTCGTGTGCATGTATCCTAGTCCTCAGCAGCAATTGAGGATGATTTCTTCACATTTCTTGATCTTAGTGGCGACTTCAGCGACGGCGCTGGCACTGACCACAGCTCGTCGTTGAATGGGTTCGACCACGGTTTTGGTCATGTAACCCAAGCTCCAAGCATGGAGCCAGTAGAAACAGCCTCTTCATTATTCTGCATGACCGTTTCTGAATCGCTGCCTACATCTCACGGCTTCCGACAGCAGTCTGCGCCCCCGGACAGCGCATGGGCCGGATTGGGACTCTCTGGCTCAACGGACCCTATTAATACCGCTACTGCCGAAATAATGTCGACCGATGTTGATCCTCTCTTTCTCCAGCCACCCAACGCCATAGAGAAACCTCAAACTCCGCTGCCCCCGCCGCTGCCCAACATCAGAGTTCCAGTGGTCTTCTGGAGTCAATTAGTAAGTATAGTTCACGTAGTATTCTCGAAAATCCTAATGCGGTTCACAAGCCCAATGCGATGGATCGTCCCTTTACTTGGAGCTTCAACGGTATGCGCACCCACCAAGGAATTGTAGTCATTCCCTCTTCAAGTATCCAATTCTGCAACCTCTTAAAGTCGCCATTTTCAGAAAACCAACAAGTGATTGCCTATTTCAACTACAAGACGAATACATGGCATGGCCAAGAGGTGGAGGAACCCATAATAACAGAAGAGGGACGACCAGTTCTTCTCTGCAATTACCGCATAATAAGTCAGATGTCGGTGGATTGGGACGTTGTCAAGGATCTTACCGAGTACGAACATCCTTCCTTCCAACGCCACATGGCGCGCGGCCCTACAGACGACGTCGCAGATATGGGTGTGGACCCAAATCTGCTTGCCAAGAGTGTCAATAAACGTGAGTTCCACTAGGGTCCCCAGTAATATATTAACGTCCACCCTCAGGATTTGACCATCGCTCTGCTCGCAAGGTGACTCACCCCCTTATCATTTGGACCTATCATTGACACATTCAGGTGTTGTCTCCGGTGAAAGAAAGTCGCGCCCAGCTAGTCGTTCGGGGTGCTGCGGGGGGCGACAAGAGACGTCGACACCAACAGAGCCAACCATATCTTCAATCCGCTCCATCTTTGACTTCTCTTGCACCTCCTTTTCTGCCTGCCAGCAGGTCTGCATCACCTGCTAAAGGCGAAGACCGATGGTGGGCGAATATAGAAGCCAAAACCATGCTCCATAAAGTCGCCAAATTCGAACGAGACGTGAACACCGACAATGGAGCTAACGCAGAGGGCTCTGCAGTCCTGGTTCAGTTTCAGAACATGTTCGACAATCCGAATATTTCAAAATCGTCAATGGGGCGAGTTCGGCGCGCAGTCAGGAAGCTGAGCTTCGAAGAGCTCGAAGAATTCATTTACTTGAGGCCGACAGAACCTTTCAAAACCTTGCATCGGCTTACGTCCAAACGGGATCTCGAAGACAATGGCGGAGTAAATTGGGATAAGATACTCGAAATTATCGCCGCAGAGTCCGTGACTGCTGCTTGGTTTGACAGTATCCAAGGTCTGTAGATTCCTCGTCAGCCATTCGATGCTCATCGTCAAATCTTATCTCTTCAGACGTAGGAAACAGTGGTGGAAGCCAAAGCTAACTGATGTTGCCTGTCGCCTCTTGTGGGAGTGCAAACTAGTGCATGCTCGAGCTGTGGAAAATTCGGGCTTGCGACCTAGTCAAATATCGAGACGACCAACTTGGATTCCGTCACATTTGACGATTGTTTCATCAATTCCTCGCTAATTTTCTGCATTTTTTATATCAGTCATATTCAGTGTTGCTATCATAAAGGGCCAGAGTGCTATTCGTTGTCGACTCGGGAGATCCATTCTTGTCGACGCGCCATCGATCCTAGCCAGTTACGTTACCATTGTGTTTAGTTATCTATGCACTTCTCTGTCACGATTCATCTCCGCTAGCTGAGATAACCATGCAGGTCGGAAATGCCATAGTAGAGGCCCGTCTCTTTGTATATAATTGAATGCACGCCTCCTCAGGAGACATATAACCTAATTATAGACATTGCAGAGTCAACTATATTCGGAGGCCGTGGCTCTTGTACTATAAGATTTCGACGACAGTAAGCGCTAGGTCTGGAAGGCAGCAAGGATCCTTGTGGTTGTAGGGGTTAAGAATGAAGACCGTATCAAACGTGTCTTAAATAAGTGCGAAAATTTTTGCCCTTCAGGCCACGATCATGCCCACTATCGCGTCGAGGATGCGGTCTTATCTTGACCCCGGACAAGCATAACGATACATCGCATACTTCTATTATTCAGACACCACGCAAACTGGGTTGAAAATCTAAGTTATGTAAGTCTGTCATTCCGCTTGTGCGGGGATGAGAGAACTGACCAGAGCAAGAAAGAGCGACGTTGAGACAACCTTGATATCGGAAAGAAGGGGGTTTTAAAGGCGATGAGCCCGAGCAGGCTTCCGAATCTGGGTCAAGCACGAGAGCTGGCCAACCCGCTCTTCTGGGACTCCGTTCCTTGAGATGTATATATTCAAAGAAAGAGAAGAGCAGAATTTTTCTGAAACGCGCATTCGGCGGGTCTTAACGCGTGTTTATGACCAGATGAGACCCTGTCCTTGGCGCCAGACAGAAATCGGACCTTATTCCAACACCAAAGTCTCAAAAGGCCCCCAGAATGCCTATTCGTCATACAAGGTGGGGTACAAGCGGTACGTCAACGTCGGACAGTGTCATCCAAGCGTTTGAATGGTTCAGCCACAAGGCTCTAGGCGAGTTATTGCTGTATTAGTCGCGTCCCTCTCCGGCGGAGGTCCGAAGCGCCAGCCGCTATTGAGTAAGCGGCGATTAGAAGCTAGGGATCGCGTTGGTGCTTGAGGTTCGGCTTTTGTGCATGTTATATATCGAGTCCGAATGTCAGCAAGGTCAGGCTACATTCATGAACTACTCATTAGATCTGGTCCACGAAGCGTCTATCTGATCATTTCGACTCTCATTCAAGGAGTCGGAATTTTGGGATACAGACCTTTAAAGGCCCTAGGGATGGCTGGCTTATAGAATACACTGCTCGTTAACCGGGTTTGAATTAAAGCGAAACCCCGAGTGCATTCTCGCTCACGCAGATCTCGCGCGTTTCGAAACTGCCAACGCCGATACGAATCGGGTGGAGGTGAATACGGGCGAGTACAATGTGCTTAGGTCACTCCTTCGGGACACATCTTCACTCATGTTTCAAGATCACCTCATCTTTTGGTAGGGTCATCGGCAATCGGACACCCTTTATTAGCCATAGGCACCAGCCAAATCAATAGGAAATATTCCAATTTTCAACTAGACCAGAATTTGCTTAAGAAACTTGTCCCGGATTATGTATCGATACCACCAGGACGCCGATGGGCGTATCGCCTTGGCTATACTGCGTGGCACGACCGTATCTGTCAATCACGAGAGGAAGTCTGTGGCAGAATAACGACTCGCGAGCTGTGCGGACGACCAATATCGCGACCAAACTGTCCCGGTCCTTAGTAGCGAAACTCTGTCCGAAACCATTGCCACTTCAGTGCTTTTGCTGAGATCCACCGACAAAGGTGCCATGGTGAGCACATGGGCCACCAGGTGGCCAACTCTTTGAACACATTCAGAACTTTCGGCACCTGCACGGCCAGGTTTTGTACTTCAGGGAAAATGGGCACAGAAGCTGGCCAGTCTGGAGTATTTGTTGGTACTAATGCAGCTTTAGGGGCACTCGCAACGTGCAACGCTCGACCGGATATCCACATTGGTAGCGAGCGTAAATACGAATTTGACAGGCTCCGCGTGCTGCGATTTATTGCACGATATATGAAAGTAAATGTCTTGTGGGATTCCCTTGTGCTTGTTGTTCATCAATGCGCGAGCCCTATGAGAGAGCATCCTCTTACATTTGGGGTTCGCGAGTTGATACTTGAAGTCTGATCTAAGATATCTTCGGAAGAGCTACAGCTTTGAGTGTGCTTTTGTATAGTTGTCCTACGTTAGATTGTGGATAAAGAAGCTTGCTCCCTGCTTCCTCAGGGCTTGCACGGGGCACCAGCTATATACCGGCTCGCTCAAGGGTTCAATAGTAATGAATCGATTATTTTACGATAAAATACCTCCAAATATCTTTCGTAGCACCGCTCATCGATTTCAGCAACCTTGGCGCCGGCCTCGGCCAATAATTCGTTACTTACCATCCTGACGGATGTCCTCGACGTGGAAAAAGAGACTCGCGGCCACTGTTTCACGTAGCAAAGCAGGAAACAATGACACACCCTCTGCTTCCATTACTCGCGCACCCAACTCGCTTGCTTTCGTCGAAGACAATCCGTTTGTCGACGATGATGCATCAGAATGGGACCCAATCATCACAGAGGATGTAGTCATACATTTCAAGTATGATGTCGCCAATCCGCCTCAACGGCCAGACCAGCTGGACGTGCCTGCAGACACGGGGCCGGTAGGGAGTGGAGACTCCCAATGGACGAGATTTATTTGCATCTCGGATACTCATTGCAATACGTTTGACCTTCCGCAAGGGGACTTCTTGCTACATTCTGGAGACCTGACCCATACAGTGAGTACATACCAAGTTTTGTCGGAAAAGAATGATAAGATTTATAGGGAAGAGCGAAACAAGTACAAGGAACAATGAAATGGCTCAAATCCCAGCCGCATCCTCATAAAATGTATGACGGTATTGCCAATGGAGAGCGCACGATTGACTGCCCCTAGTATTATTGCGGGAAACCACGATGTTTGTTTCAATCTGGTGTCTTCGGTGTCGAAAATAACACATTGACAGCTAACTCTCGACCGTGACTTTTATCTGGAACATGGAAGTCGATGGCATCGCCAACAGACCGAGGTATGTCAACCGGAGTCTTTTATCTGGTTCTCATCTCTGGCCCTAGGACGTGGAAGAGATTAAAAAGTTTGTGGAGCCCCAGGGCGACACGACCTTTCACTACCTGGAATACGAAAATATGACCATTACTGAGGGTGGGGCCACATGGAAAGTATATGGGAGTCCGGTAAATGGTTCAGATTGCCCGCATCTGCGGCTCTGACGGTTCGTTCAGGGGAGCCCTTGGTTCGGAGGTGAGAAGAGGGAGTTTCGAGGTTTCTGTTAACCAAGGAATAGGATGGGCATTCAACTATGAGCAGGGAGAAGCCCCAGGTACGGGTTTGTTTTGTTGGGATTCGGCTTCTCACAGTTTGCCAGAACTGGTCAGCAGGATTCCGGACGATACGGATATCCTGTCCGTAGCATTCTCCCCTCATGACCCTTCCTAAGACTTTCTATAGACTTACTCATGGGCCTCCCTCTGGAATCCTTGACGAGACGACGCAGGGGCAAGAGTGGGATGTCGCGAGCTCTGGAAGAAAGTACAGTCAGTCCGACCCAAAATCCATGTCTTTGGCCATATCCACGAAGCAAGAGGAGCTGTCGTCAAATACTGGGACGAGGAAGATGCGACTGGAACACCCGTGACCGGAGACCTAGGCCAGAGGCGATTCACCGTGTTTGTCAACGCCGCAACATATCCGACATACAAGCATCCGAGAGATACAGGTGACATCATCTTCTCTTGTTGCGGCGTATCTAACATCTGGACAGAGCAAAGGGACAGAAGGATATCATTACCCAGCCATCATTGTCGATATACGGAGCGAATAACTTTATTGACCATTAACAACGCAGTGCACTTCACTTGCCCGCTACGAGATTGAGCACGACAAAATATGGGCACCTGCTCAGCTAGAGACATGGCTTTGATAGGCGATGTAACCCGGAGAATTCGCTGTTGCCCTCCAAGATCAGCTCAGATATCGAAGGAGGTGACTGGCTTACCCGCTCTGGACACTCCATTGCGGCTCAAAGACTATCCATGAAGGCATCAATGCACCTGAAGAGGTAGTGTTGTAGTGACTTACACTCGTGGACGACTGAGCTAGCCTCGCTGTGGGTTTGGCAAGGAGCAGGCGGTCTATGGTCTGTCCCCGGGGGGTGAGTCGATTGGGTAAGTACTGTCACGACATTGATGACAGGTTCTTGTGAGTGCACCTGCATGGCATTTGGTGTGACTACTTTAGCGGTAGAGACGTCTATCACCGGAGGAGCACCTGCCTGGATAGGGGTCTGGAGAGTCGTTGCGGACGTGGCTTGGGCGACTGGGGACGCGTTGTTATCACCCGTGTTTGGGGAAGACATTGGCGGCTTTGCGACTTGAAGGCACAAAGAGGATTGATGTGGGGACTTTTTAAGGAGAGAAGTATTATTAGAGGGCTCGGATTTTGGAGAATTCGTGGCGCGGAATGCTAGATAGCCGTAGTCAATCGGCAAGGAGATAAACGTGGTAAGCTTCCTTGGCGGATCATTGGTGCGAAGCAGAATTGACCGAAGTTTATAGGTACATCCCGACATCTCGCGAGGTCCGATGCGACAGTTGAGTATCGAGATGATTGGGTCAGGTAAACCGTTTGAGAAGCCGGCATAATCTTCCAAATATCCGAAATAGACCGCTTTTATGTGTGTGCTTGTTCTCTCATCAACGGCATTCAGCGCCCGTCTAGTCGTCGTGCAATGTCTGGCGGATTTCGATGCGGTCCGTAGGCAATACAGGATATCCGAATTGGAGGTATCGTTTTAAGCTTTCCTGTCTCACAGCGCACCTTGCTGGTCGGATGGTGTCCCCTCTATTTACTTGACCCCTTCCTTTCATGGGCATTTTATTGGCGGTCACCCTCCCTTGCCATGCACGCGGAGATATGGTGCCCGCCATCATACTATCTTATGATCCGGGCTGGTTTGTGGCAACGAGGACCGCAGATAATGGCCCTACAGGTTGAAGCGGATATGGGGATCGGCCACTCAAGGAAACGGTTATCAGTTGGCTGGCTGTATCTTCCTATTCGGATACAGATACTCTATCATCTCCATCTCCAATCGCTCTGGACGGAAGAATAACTACAGCACGTTTACCGTTCACCGAAGCGTTGATAATGACCACTGACGGCCATTTAGACTCTTATATACCTGCAAGACTTTCGCCATTTATCTTCCACGTCATCAAGATATAGCTCTATATGCCTACCATTCACGGAGGCCACAGCAGTTGACAAAGGCAATCCCGAATTGCATCTCACAGCAATCAATTGGCTCAACGTCATGTTATCTTAAATAATTGACTTAGATAAAATCGAACCTAGGCCATTGGACGCGATGTGGAGCGCCTGGACCAGCAAACGAACACGGTACACTTCAGACCTTCTGTGTGAGTCGAGCCCACCCCTCAGTCCTTCAGGGTAGCATACTGGCTCTAAGCGAGATACGCGAAAGCTCAAAGCAAGGCTACAATGGATTCAATCTCGCCTCACAAGTCGCTCCCTCGCAGGCTATTCTCATGTCGACTACACACAGCGCGGACTATACTCGCCGTTATTGAAATGCAATCACACACAAGCTCCAAGTACATCATCATATCACCCAATCATTGACATTCAATGCATCAAGCATTCTTCGCCTGCAGCAACGTAACCCACTCGCAAATATCGAGATACAAGTGAGTACGTCTTCTTATTACAGCCTGTCTGATAGCGGGATGGAGGAATGTAACACGTAACATTGTACGAGATATCGTTTCGACATACGAGGAGGATGACTTTGGTTCGGTACGCTCAGCACAAAACGACAAACAAGACGTGCATCCTCCAACTTAACCCACTCAAGTTAGAAGAAAGGCTCCGGGGACCGATGGAAACCGGAGAATGCGCTATGGCATCCCGAGGTCAGTAAGGCATGGCCGGCACCTAGGACTTGGCTTACCTGTTCTGGCCGTTCCATAGAGGCTCAACGACTACTCGAGGACGCGTTAATGTAACAAAAAAGGCGGGTGAAGTGGAGAGGCATACATTCGAGCGTGGTTGGATCAACCTCGCTATGGTTCCAATGCGGGACGGGAGCCCCGTCATTTGTCGTGGGGGACTGAGACGACTGGCTCGGTGGTGCCGCTGCATCGTTGATTGTGGTCTCTTGTGGTTGCGTCTGCGCAGCATCGGGTGCGACGATGACGGCAGCTGGGGGATGGGCGACCTGGGGATCTCCAGCTTGGGTAGGGGCATCTCCAGACTTTACGGACGTGATTTCAGTGACTGAAGTTGTTTCGGAACCTACAGGGACTGGCTGAGCACTGGCATGAGGAGCGAGGGTTTCGTGGGCGGCGTTGTCTGTAGCGAGCGAAATGGGACGTTAGCTCGGTCTGCTCCTCGTCTTCGCATCGAGTAGAGTACGTACTTCGCGGCGTAGACATGGTAGAGTTGAGATTGAAGATGGTTGGGTAAGGATCCGTTAGTCTTATATCTTGCTTGGATAGTCTATCCAGGTTGATACGACACGCAATGTATGTCCGTTTTTCGATGGTTTGGAGCGCCGACGAGAGCGCGGCACCTAACTGGCGCCCGAAACCGCTCTCCTCTCGTTTGCATTGATGGCGCTCAGCGCCTGAAGTGTAAGCGCCTTCCAAAAAGAGCAGTGCACTATTGGTCGGAAACCTAAGATTAAAGTAAGGAACCGTTCTCGAATTGGCTTGCTTTCTCCCGGTTTTTGCGATACTGCATATGCTTAGAAGCGCCTAGATTATAGTTGAGGTTGCTACTGGACGGTCGCCCCCAGATGGTCCGCGTTTCAATCCGCCTCCTGGGCTATGGGGCGCAGATGTGGACACACCCCCTATGCGGAGTTACGTGGCCCAAACTCACCTCTGACAAGTCACCAGCGATACTTGATATACAAATATAGCCCGTGGACATTAAAAGGTACATACAACAAAATGTCTTATTTATACGTTCTCCCCATAGCCACTGGCCAGGGTTAGGTTGAGGTGGGTAACAATCCTTGTCGCCAACTCAATCGGCACATTATCCCCTCTTGCCGTCCACATGGAACTCTGAAGGTTGAATTTGTGCCTTGTTGTTTGGATCTCTCTGCAGGTCGCGAGAAGGTTCAGATAGCTCTACAGGGAGTGCTCGTTGTCACTTCTTTCACCTTACTCGACTCGAACTTACAGCAGCACCTGTCATTTACCGGAGCGCTAGAAATGATCATGTCGGCTCTTGGAACTATGTAAAACTTCCAGTTATCCTGCACACTTTCAACACGCGCGCCTGCTCGGAAGTCACAGCAGTTTACAAAAGCAGTCCCAAATCACATCTCACGACCTATTGAATCGAATGCATACACGATCCAGAGACGATTGAAACAAGCAAGGCTATTGGACGCGACATGGAAGTCCTAAGCCAACAAACGAACGTCGTCGCGATTACTCTGGAAAGCTGCGTTCAGAGCATCTTGTGACTTGTAACCGGCATAAAAGCCGGAAACTCACGTACGCCAGCCTCGTACCCAGCATGATCGTACACTAGCGACTTCGAGGACTCCAATGATCGAATTGAGAATGTATGTAATGGAATCTACTTTGTCCCGCTAATCACACGACCGTAGCCTCTCCCAAACAGAAAGGCACGCGCACTATCCTTAGCGTTATCGACATGCAATTACCGAGGCGCTCCAACTCGATCATTATTTCACACGAGTATTGAAACTCGAGACATGAAGCATTTATGTCTTTCCAGCTGCAGCAACGCCCGACCCACGAGTAGGTACGTCGTCTGTATCCCGACGTATCTGGTATCTAACAGAAAGCGGAATAACGACATTATGATGGTCGATACACAAAGTAAATGACACAAGTGCAAGATGCCCAGCTCTCGAGTTGCAAGGTTGAACACGACAAACACGAGGACTTGGAGCCACCCAAGCTAGCAGAATGGCTTGGAGGAACGGATGAAACCGGAGAATGTGCTGTGACGTCCCGAGATCAGCAATGTCATGCGCGACGGCGACGACGACGAGGAGGGCTTACCCGTTCGGACCGTTCCGTTGCGGCTCGACAACTACGTGTGTGGATTCATCAGTGTAGGGGAAAGGAGGGGTCAGGTGAGAACGTACACTCGTCGGTGGTCGCAGGGCCATGGAAGTGCATAGGCGTGGGCGGCTGCGGCGGTTGCGGTGGTGGGCCATTGTTGGTGATTGGAACTTGTACGGGAACTTGGGGTGGATTTGATCCGGGGGGAGTGAGATTGGGAGCGGGGCCGGTAGGAGGAGGAGCGTGGGCCGAGGTCGATTGGGAGACTTAGAGGAGGTCAGTCAGATATTCCCGAAGAGAGTTCAATCATTCACCAGCAGCGTTGTCTAGAGCGAGCGAAATGGATGGCATCAGCTTGGTCTCGTCGTCGTCGTCGTCCCCTCTCGAGGTATGCTTACTTGGAGTAGCAGACATGGGAGAGATGAAGTTGGGATACAGAGGCTTGAGGAAGGAGCTCGAATTTATAGGCCCGTTCACGAACCGAGCCATAGCCGCGCGAACTGCTCAGTCGAATACGTGAACTGACTGCTGCTGTCATGTACAGCCCCCTTTTTAGAGAGTTATATTGTTGATCATTCAATCTCCGCAAAGGCCTCGAATTTGGCCGTTGGTCAAAGGGGGAGTTGTCCTTCCTGATATGACTTTCGCCAGATGTCCGCTTGCCTGTTAGTCACTCCACCCTCACCGACGGCAGTGATAGTGATCGGGACATGTGTATTTTGGGGTGTTTTGCTGCCCGCACTTTCTTCACATTTGCAATGTTGCCAAGAGGTGGCAGCACGGGCCTGACTGATGACAATTTTTTGAACCCGACCTTGATGGCACGTAATGGCACCCGCCATGCAACCCCCAGTTCGGAATGTCAATTTCGCGCTGCCTTGTTTATTTGGGCTGGTCTGTGGGGCCATAATGGACAGGTGGTCCGGCAGTCATGAAACGCTGCGACTACAGGATCATGGGACGTAGTTCCCTTTCTCTATTCAAAACATACATGCATGATTTGAGTCTTGGAATGCTCGTTTCCTACAAGTCAGGGCTCGGCTTGACGCACCAGCGCGTGTGTTATTCACTAGAGTACCCTAAACGATTACTGGCACCGCCCATCCTTCCCGTCTTTCAAATTTGGTGAATTACTCCTTTGCACCCGAAAGGCAGACACTGACGTCCATGCCTTTCCGTAGCCGACAATGGCTCTACGCCACTCCTACGGCTTTCTGCTGATCTATGGAGCATGGTATCGAGTGCCATATCTGTCCGTGATAGCTCAGTCAGGGCATTGGTCTGCAGAGACTGGAATCGGATCTGGTGCGACACGCCGAGGATCTGGAGAAGAATCCTCTTGTCGGCGGATACTACACCAGATCCATTCTGTACCGGCAGGTTTGTCCAAGAAGACTGTCGACGGCACCTTGAGACGTGCCGGTGCCAATTCTACTCGAGCCTACCCTGGCCGCAGATCTCGGTGACGAAAGGCACGAGTTTCCGAAGCCAGGTGTTCAGATTTTTACACTGTCAAGGCCCCCTCTCAATGATCACGTTCTCATCTAACACTTGGACCTGGTCAAGCTCCCCCTCGGAGGCGTCTTTGAACAAGGCAACCTCACGAGCCTCAAATCTTTCATGATCGCGTCAGAGTACCCAGTCGGCTTGCTCTACAAACCGCTAAGAGGGCGATACAGTTAACAGACCGTCTGACAGGCTCTAGCGTCTACATACATCGAGCACTTCAATCAAGATTTTCCCGTTGGCGTTTAGGAACGGGCCGTCTGGACTAGGCTCGTCCGTATCACCGTTCGCCGCGAGTTTGACGTGGGTAGACGCACCTTGCTCTGTCGCTGGAGCTTTGGTTCCACTCTGCTTGGCCTGCATGGGCCGAGGTGAACCTCAGGCGTGCTCGAAGGAACGCCTTCAGCATGCCCAAGGCCTCCAGTTCCCCATACACTGGTTATCCCGCCGCCGCCACCGCCGCCGCCACCGCCGCCGCCGCCACGACTACACCCGCTCATCAGCCACGGCCTTGCACTTGCCCGACGGTGGGGACAGCCGCAGTGGTAATGCAGGCCCCTGACATTCTACGCCAGATTCAAACCGTCATACATGCGCATGCTAACGATGTCCCTTGCAACATATTCAACAGATTAGAAGGGCTATATCGACCAAAGCACCTCTCCAACTCGACTCTAGCACTATAAGCACCCTCTCAAGGTGCTCAAAGTGCGAATCCAACTCGACTTCACTCTCTATCGACTGATGAAAACGTGCATCAAGTCCCTGTTTTGCAAACTCGGTTCCCTCGACGCGGCTTGCTCGTTCATTCTTTGGCCCACCGAGCCTTCTACAACCCGACCAGTCCCTTCCTCTTGCCCAAATTGAGGAATAGACGATGGAAATGCAGTGGCCCCAGGCCTCCAGACGCTCATTGGGCAACGCAGGTCGCACGCTGCTGGAGCTAAGCGAAGAGTTTGCATCCATTGAGGTGCATATCCGAACTCGAGCTCATCACATGCAAGCAGAGGGAGGTAGTACTACACGCGTCGCAATACCCTTTCTCTCCCTCCACGGATACTTTCCACTTGCAGTAACGTACATGTCGAGAGCCACGGTATGTACGTTGTCCTTATTCCGACGTATCTAATATCTGACAGAGAAAGGAACAAAAAGTACTATAATTGCCTATATACGAAGTAAATGACGCAAGTACAATATGCCCAGTTCTCGAGGTACAAGGTTGAACGCGAAAACACAAGAACTTGGAGCCAGCCATGCTAGAAGAATGGCTAGGAGGAATGGATGAAACCGGAGAACGTGCTATAGTGACCCGAGATTAGTGGGGCGAACACAGGCAGTGGCAGTGACGACTTACCGGTCTGGACCGTTCCATTGTGGCTCGACAGCTATTCGAGGATGGGTCAGCGTAGGCGAAGAAGAGGGCAAGAGAGAGCGCGTACACTCGTCGGTGGTCGTAGCGGTGTCGTTGTGCGTTGGATGGACACCGTTGGTCGTAGAGGGTTGAGACGGTTGAGGTGTTTGTGGACCATTGCTGTTGGCAGATGGACCTTGTGCGGAGCCGTGGGAGACATTTGGCGTGACGGGACCGGCATTGGGGGCGTAGGCGGCAGGAGGGGGAGCGTGCACCGACGTCGTGCTAGGGGTCGTCGTCGAGGTCGATTGGGAGACTAGGAACGTGTCAGTCAGACCATTTGAAGAGCGCGAGTGATCCACCAGCAGCGTTGCCTGTTGCGAGCGGCGTTAGCTTAGTCCCTTCGACCTCGTCCCCTCGAGGAGTATGCGTACTTTGAGCAGCAGACATTGCGAAGACAAGGTTGGGATAAAGAGGCTCGAGGAAAGGGAGCTCAACTTTATAGCCTTGTTCATGGTCGACATGGATGAATTGCTGGACTGGGCAAGGCTGTTATTGTTATAGAGTGAGTTGCTTGCGTTCGACGAACACGACCGATTTCTCGGTGAGACGACCCGTGTGCAGACCCAATTCGCTGAACCTGCGCTTCATGACGTATCTTCAACGTTGCGCACGCACAGTTCAAGTGGACGTTTGCCACCGGCTACTTCCGGATCCTTCGGGTGGTCGCTCGGGTGGGATGGTTGTCGGGAAACACTTGACGCCACTCGCGTGTTGAACGGTGTGATACAATTGACCCTATATGCGGCTAACTTATGGTACAGAAGTTTCAGCGGTTTGTCCACGCAGCAAATGCTGGAAGGCCAGTAGCTTGGAAATTCCACTCTCTTGCCATCAAAGGCGCGGTTACGTTTCATACTCTACTGCTACCACGTGGAGGCGCCACCAGCGGTGTTGTCTCGAAGCGTAGGCGTTTGATGTCTCTCTACGCAAACGGTACTCTCGCTTCCCATCGCCGACTCCATCGGGAGTTATTGGTAGTCCCCGATGTTACCGTCTACACGGAATTCTGACGGTTCAGACTGTACTGTATCATTGTTGGGACTTGTCTGCAGGTCGCGACAGCGCCCGGATAGCTCTACAGAGGAGATCTGCTGCTAGCGTTCGTTGTCACTTCTTTCACCTTACTCGATTTGACCTTACAGCAGTACCTATCATTTACCGGAGCGCTATAAATGATCATGTCGGCTCTTGGAAACTATGTAAAACGTCCAATTGACCCACACGCTTTCACCGCGCGGCCTGCTTGGTGTCCACAGAAGCCACAGCAGTCTACAAGAGCAGTCCCGTTCGCATCCCACGATTTATCAACTCAAATGCGTACACGACCGAGAGACAATTGAAACATGTCTATTGGACGAGACATGGAAACCCTAGCCCAACAAACGAACGTCGCCGCGATTACTCTGGACCATGAACAGTCTCGGAAGCGAGCTAAATAGAAAGCTGCGGTCAGGGCATCTTGGGACTTGTGACCGGCATGAAAGCCAGGAACTCACATATGCCAGCTTCATATCCAGCACGATCACACACTACCGACTGAGGCTCCAATGATCGAATTCCAGAGAGTGCATGTGATGGAAGCGACCTTGCCCCGCTAATCACACTGCTGTAGCCTCTTCCAAACAGGAAGGCACGCGCACTATCCTTACCGTTATCGACACGCAATCACCGAGACGCTCCAACTCAATCATTATTTCACACGAATACCGAAACTCGAGACATGAAGCATTCATGTCTTTCCAGCAGCAGCAACGTGCCGGACCTATAGATATCAAGAACCATAATAGGGATGTCGTCCATATCCCGACGTATTTGGTATCTAACAGAGAAAGGGAACAAAATAATATGATTGTCGACATATGAAGGAAATGGCACAAGTACAATATGCTCAACCCTCGAGATGCAGGTTTGAACACGAGAAACACGAGGGTTGAACCCAGCCAGGCTAGAAGAATGGCTCGGAGGAACAATCAAAACCGGAGAATGCGCTGTCGAGTTCCGAGATCAGTGGGCTACTGACAGCGAGGATGATGGGTTACCCGTTTGGACTGTTCCATTGCGTCTGGACAACTGCTCCAGATGCTTCGGCGTAGTCGGAGAAGACAATAAGCGAGAAATGTACAGAATGTACATTCGTAGGCTGTCACAGCAGCCTCAGTGTGCGTCGGGACAGTGCCGTTGGTCGCGGGCGGCTGTAGTGGTTGACGTTGTGATGGGACATTGGTGACTTGTGGTTTCTTGGGGATCTGGGGGGTATTTGAAGCGACAGTATCGACGTTGGGAGCGTGGCTGGCAGGAGGGGGAGCGTGGACCGAGGCCGGGTAGGAGACTTAGGACAGGTCAGCCAGATATTTCCGAAGAGATTGAATCTTTCACCAGCGGCGTTGTCTGGAGCGAGCGAAATGGACGGCGTTAGCTTGGTCTCCTCGTCGTTTTTCCCTCAAGGGGTGTGCTTACTTTGAGCAGCAGACATGGCCGAGACGAGGTTGCGATACAGAGGCTTGAGAAAAATGAATTCGACCTTATAGCTCTGTTCTCGAACCGAGCCTCAGGTCTGACTCGCTCAGGATAGACAGTCCCTTGTACTAGCCGCGTCCGAATGTATCACAGTATTATTTGCTATCTGAGGTGGGGGACGTCAAGTCCATTGGGTATTGAATTACTGGGATCGGTAACAACAGTCTTGTATCGTTGACTGCATATTGTATCTCAGTTCGAAGAGCCTCCAGGATGACAACTCAACGCTCAACGAGTCCGTTTGTCTGAGCCCTGCACTGCATGTCATTTCCTTGACCTTGCGTACGCATAGTACTGAATGTTCGCCACCGGCTACGTCCCGATCCTTGGGGTGTCGGTGTGGTGATGGAGGTGGCATGTTCGCTTGACCAGCTCCCTAATTGGCCCTTGACAGCGCTCGCATTCTCTTGCCGTCCACAATAAGATTTGACTGTCAACTTTTTACGGCATTGTTATTTATGGGTGACAGAGACACGCGATGGCGGCCCAGTTGAAGACGGTAAGGAGGCCTGCACTGCAGAACCAGAGGACTACTTATTACGTGCTACATTTTCTCTATTCAATACATCTGCGCTTTGGAATGCTCGTTCCTGGACGCAGGGCTCAACTTGGCACCTCCAGCACGATCCGCCATCCACCAGACAGCTGCAAATGATTAATAACGGCCACCTTGACTCTCCATGTATCCCGTCCCTCAATTCCGGCGAGTCGTTCCTTTGGATACGAGTGGTGGGTGCTGACAGCTCCGCCTGCTAGCCGATCCCTGTTCTACAACGGTTCTCGAGAGACTCGAGCAAAACTTGTCACGAAACACCCCAGATGTAGAAGAAGCATGTGACTTTGGCCCGAGAGAACGCCACTAAACACTCGTGCTTGGACATCCACCCCACCCTAGAGTACGCGGATGTCAGTTTACTCGAGCCCCACTTTAGTCGTGGGTCCAAGTGACGAGAATTATCCAATTATTTCACCTTATAACACTAACATCATGCTCCTTTGTGATATCGTCTATCCCCGCATAACACTTGGCCAAGGCAAACGCCTCGGGGTCTTCGAAAAGGGAACTACCACGAGTCTTGGATTGCTCATGATCACACCAGCCTACCCAAGTGGTTCGCTGCCATCAAAGAAGATGACCGACGCGGCCGACAAGCTCAGAAGCGTTGACCTCAAGATTTTCAATGGATAATTTCTCGCTAGCGTTTAGAAATGGATCTCCTGGACTCAGCTGGTCTGTATCACCGTTCGCTGCACTTTGATGCTGTCAATGTGCCTTGCTCTGTCGCGCGCGGATCGTTAGAGCCTTTGTTCTTTTCCAAGATGAACTTCAAGCGTGCTCAAACCTCCACTTCTCTATCAATACGCTGATTATCGATAACGCACCTCTGCAACCATACTCGACCATCATCATCGCACCGCTTGAAGTATTCCATTTGCTGACGGCGAGGCTAGTCTCAGCGGTATCCAGGCCCCGAAGCTCAAGAAATTCCACCTCGGCATTCAAACTGCCACACACCGGTCGCCAGCGATGTCCTTCACGCGATTTCCGATGGAAACGAGGGCATACAAAGGCCATATTCGAACCCGCATCAAGCAAAGGAGAGAGCTGATAGCGTGTAAGGTTCTGGTTTGAATCATACGCCATTGGAAGAGCCGAGCGAAGCGTTCAGCCATCCAACAATGTGTCTAGCGTGCTCCATTCACCCTAGCATGTGCCTTGTGTACATTGAGGCGCATGTCCAAACCCAACATCGTAACAAGCAAGCGGAGTAGAAGTAGTATTGCACGCGTCGCAATACCCTTCTTCCACCACCATGGGATACCTTTCCACTTGGAGCACCGTTACTGACCCACAGAGGTCGGGAACCATGGTATGTATGTCGCCCTTATCCCGAGGTATATAACACATAACAGAGAGAGGAGCAAAGTACTACGGCTGCCAATACAAACGAGTACAATATGCTCGGCTCTCGAGGTACACGATTGAACATGACAAGCACGAGGTATTGAACCCAGCCAACCTAGAAGAATGGCTCGGAAGAGCGGTCGAAACCGGAGAATGCTCTATGACGTCCCGAGATCAGTAAGGCCATGCGTGGCGACGACGATGGCTTACCCGTTTGGACCGTTCCATTGCGTCTGGACGACTATTCAAGGATGCGTCAGCATATTCGGAGAAGACGGCGAGCGAGAACGTACACTCATAGGTTGTCACAACAGCCTCAGTGGGAGTCGGGTCAGCACCGTTGGTCGTGGATGGCTGGGACGGTTGAAGTAGTGGACCATTGTTGGTAAACGGAGCTTGTGCGAGGACTTGGGGCGTATTTGGCGCGACGAGGGCGACGTTGGGAGCGTGGCCGGTAGGAGGCGGAACGTGAGCCGGCGTCATGGGCAGCGTGGTCGAGGTTGATGGGGAGACTTAGGGTGGGTCAGTCAGATGTTCCCAGCAAGAGAGCGAGAGATTCACCAGTAATGTTATCTGTAGCGAGCGAAATTGATGGCGTTAGCTTGGTCTCTTCGCCCTCGTCCCATCAATGAGAGTACATACTTTGACCAGTAGACATGACGAATACGGGTTTGGAGAAGGATTGGTCGAACGAAATACCTTGATTTTATAGCGTTGTTCACGAACTGAGCTGGTGGTCTGAGCCGGTGGTCTGAGCCATTCACCTGAACGGCTCATAGACAAGTACACTGCCCGCCTCTATTCGGGAACCGAGGCCATGGACCGTAGACGTGGGCTCATGGGTGTATCCGTGCCCGTGAACCGTGGCCCCGATGTTGAGAAGATGAGCCGGCTCTACCGACGGATTAGCTGACTGGCCACTCTCAGCATCGCCCTATCTTGTCTCTCAACACCCCGACCTGACTAATGACTACTCCTATGGAGACTCGAGATGGGTTTATAGAGCGACTCTCGAGGACGTATCGAGACTCGAATGTCTTTATCTTTAGCCTTCCACCAGAAGCGGGGAAATACGACCTAGAAGGCGCGAATTGTCCCTCGTGCCCGATGTATCTCAGCAGCTCGTACAAACTCAAGCGTACTCCGTCCGGCTACGTTGTAGGTCTTTACTTGTCGGAATGACTAGGCACTCATAAAGACCAATTAGTGTTCATCTACTTTGACAGGTCACATAATACATGCGTTCTTCATAGACGACCTCGAGTGAGTGTTAGCTTGACCGTTGTGAACGGCTCATTCAATCAAAAATAGGCTCTGGGTGACCGACTTCAATGCTATTGGCGAAGTTGGGCAAGAGTTGGCCCTCATTTCCCAGGTCGCCAGTCCCCGACTCAATGCTGATATTTCATTCGGCACCGGTGGTCAGCAAGCAGCTTCCCAGCCCCAAATAGATGTCTCTTCAAGGAGGGAGGAACACTCGGGCTTACTCGCGGTAGAGGAATCAGGAGCTGATGAACCTATTCCATCGGAACAAGACGGTTCAGCGGAATCTTGGGACGTGGAAATCATGTACTGGCCTCCAAAGGTTAGTTTATCTTCTGGTTCGTGGACGATGCTCAGAGTTTATATAGCCCGGTGATGGCTATCTTGCTTGGCCTCCTCGTGTAACGCAGGTTCCTTATCGAATCCTCTCTGACGACGAGGTAGTAGTCAACATAAGGTCCGAACTTCCGCCCGAGCTTCAACGTGCACTTTATGGTACCGAATCAGACTGGAGATACGTCTCATATTACGACATGGAGCGGTCTATATGGGTGACCGACGCCGTTTCGCCTGAGTGGGCTCCCGTCGTTAGGGGCCGCCCGCTCCTTCTCCGCCATTTCACAGTGCAAGACGACCAATGCTTAGGTTGGGAAGCCACCGTTGAAGCTGCTGGCTTCAAGGTGCTTAGACCAATCTTGGAAGGACAAGTCGAAGAGTCATCAACCAAATCCAAGTCTAACGAGGGCTTGGATTCTCGATCTACAAAGCGTCGACGCGTCTGCCTCGCCAGGCCACAGAGTACCTCTACGAAAACTCCTAGGAATATCCGGAGAGACAGAAGAGAGCGTCAGTATGATCGCGGATCCAGTCGAGGAAAACCGAGTTGGTGGATGACCATGTCCGCCGGCGGGGTCATCACTGGTCTGAAGGAGATAGAAAGACTGAAAGGTGTTGATGTGAGAGCAACACTAAGACAGCGTTTTGAGCGAGTCTTCCCAGAGAAGCAATTCGCGCTCTCGACTGTGAAGCGGATGATTACTGCCTTCAACTGCTTATCCGAAGACGATATCAAGCGATATTCGAACCAGGACTCGGAACGTCCATGGAGTGAAGTCTACGCACGGGCAAAGTAGCGGCATGGCGACCCACGTCTAGCACGTATACCAATACACCTATGTAAGTCCGTTGAGTTTTATGTAGTGTATGTATCTTTTGTGAAACAATGGTATCCCGTAATACCTGCTTTTCAACCATCTCGCCTCCCTTTGGAGCGGTGTGGAAGTCGACGATAGGCACTTAATTAAATAGGCGTCTAGATTGTCTGAAAAGTCGCCCAAAGTACAAGTATGGCTGATGCAGTATAACGTATATGCCAACCGCTGGTGTCATGGGGGATACCTCTCCATCCTCGACTTGGTCCCTCCTCTATTGGGACTTAGTAGCAGTCACCCTTTGTTGCCGTCTACACTGAAGCCTGGTTGTTGGTATTTTATTATGTTATCGTTTGGACTGTGCTGCAGGTCGCAGGCCGCTAGATCGCTCTGCAGGTTGGAGAGGAAGGAAATTCATTCGTACAGGGTTGAAAGTTTGTTGATTGCCGGTCATAGTCCTCTTTTCCAACCATGGATACACTGTATGCCTTGGACTTTCATTTCCATGGCCCTCAGAAGGAGCTCAGCTCGGTGTCTCCAGCAGAATAGAATCTGTCGTTCACCGTAGAGTCACAAACGGCCAAAAATAATCACACTGGATCCTTGAATATCACCCAAAACTCCCAAACGTTCTCCACGCCGCCAAGTTGCAACTGTACGGATTGCATCCATGCCCACCATCCAAGCAAGCCACAGTGTTGGATAAAACCCAATTCCGAACCGCACCTCACGACAATTAATTGACCTGAATCTGCTTTCCCTCACAAACGCGACCTAGCAACGACTGACCCCAGTCGTTGGACGCGGCATGGAGACTCTGTGCCTGCAAAACAAACATTAATACGATTATTTGGTGCTCGCAGCAATCCTGAAGCAGCTTCAATGCTCAGGGTACCCGCACTGGCAGCGTAGCAGTAAGCTATAGACAACTTTTTCTAGATGCTTCGTCCTCAACACGGTTGCAGAATAGATGTATTGCGCAAGATTTGCACTTCAACGACCAAAGTCCTGGACGGAGTCGAATCTCACTCCACAATCTGTCGACTTGTAGGAAATAAGAGGGCTTACGAACTATTTTCCCCAATATTCATATCTACCGCCGAACCACTACAATTCACCATCGTTATAACTCAATTATCAACCCTCACACCCAAGGCCATGCCCGGCAAGCGACGAGACTCAAAGGTCAGTCATTATCTCAGTAATATAGCACCAGGAATCCATGTCCATAGTGAGTGGTAAGCTCCATAGGCACCAACTTATATCGAGAATCACGGTGCGTACGTCCTCGTCATTGCAGTCTGTCTAATATGTGAACAGAGAAGGTAACAGAAGGACATTGGAGCCCATACTTCATTGCCGATAACAGAAATAAATACTCTTGGTGTAATACACTTCGTTCTCGGGAGGCCAAATTGAGCATGACAAAACACAAGGGGAGGGGGTTCTCTCTCAGTTCAGCCCCGTTAGGCTAGGCGAACGGCTCAAAGGTACGACGGAATCCGGAGAAAATGCTGCCGCTTCACAGGTCAGTTGGGCATTGATGGCAAGATGGTGGCTTACCCGTTCTGACGGTCCCATTGCGGCTCGACGACTAGCCGAGGTTTGTTTAGTGTGACAGAGGAGTGGTGCAAATGATTGCTTACACTCGGGGATGGTTGGATCAGCCTCGCTGCAACGAGTACAAGGTCTGCGAGTTGTCTCTTGGGATTGAGCTGATTGGGTGAGGACTGGTGTGACACTGATGGCAGCCTCTTGGGACGATGTGGTGACGATGGCGGCAGGAGCCTGGAGGACTGGAGGACCATTCGTTTGGGTGGAGGCTTCTCCGGGCACCACCGGCGTGGCTTGGGCGACAGAGGACACATTGGAGGCTACGGCCTTTAGTCAAGTGTACGCAATGGGAATAATCGGTTTACCAGTAGCGGTGTCTGTATGAGCGAGCCTGGCGTCAGCCTGGTCCGTCTGCGATCTCGCCCTCGGGGAGCATACTTACTTTGATTAGGGGACATGCTGGAGTTTGGAATGAAGATGACTGTGGAAGCGATCTTTGGCCTTTATACTCGCGCCTTGAAGGATAGGACTGCCGCGAGCTGGCGCAACGGCAACGGCGATCGGTCCTGTTTTGCGCTGTACCGATGACCAAACCAGGATTATATCCCGGAATCAAAGAGGAGAATCGTATGCACTGATCGTCCCCGGCCTCCTGCGCAACTGGGCGACATGGCTATTGTGGAGCGCAAACTGCCCAGTATTGAATTCAGAATCACCTCGGGACTTCCCATTTACACCGAGATGGCTAACCCATCTCTGCGAGCTTGGAACGAGGCATCTGATCAGTGGACGCACTCCTCATCCTTCAGCGGCTCGGTGAGCCTTTTCCTTTCGAGTTATCCCCAATTCGACGCTTTTAGCTGCAGAAAGCTTCGATATTATGGTCCGCACTGAAATCTTAGAGATTGATTGGTCGTATGAGCCTTTGGGATTCACCAAAACCGGCGCTGGCGTAGTTTGCGAATTTTTCAATGATTGAAAGAATAGTATCTTCCTCTGTGCTATGGACGGCCTGGTCCCCAACGGCCGTCAAGGGAACAGCTCAAACGTGCAGTGGGAGTGCAAATTCGGAGAGGCACCCTTGGGGCAGTTCACCAAGCCGCGTGAGGCCGGTTCTATATGACCGTGCTTTCCCAAAGAGGGTCTATTGAATGTCTATGTCGTCTTCGAGGACTGCTAGAGATCCCGAGGTGTAGACACGGCCGGTGAGCAGTACTAGTCATATGCAAAATACCAGATAGAGTTTCATATTCGTTTTCTTGCTAGTAAATGTGTGACTCTCCTCCACCCGCCCTCGACGTTTCACTCCCGGCCATATTTGGTATTAAGGAATTGGTGGCCACCCCTCCCTTATCGGGTGCCCCCACCCCCGAAAATTGTCCTCGAATTGTACCGTTGTTCGAACTGCACTACTGGTCTCAAGGCTAAACGACTCTACATAAAGTTGAGCAGGACAAGGAGATTTCCTATTGTAAGATTGGAGGACTGTTGATTGGCTGATCATAGTCCTTTTCGAAATATAAATACAATTTCCTCCTTGAATACCTCCATTTCCTATCTCTCTGAGCGACGGAAGGCTTAGCTGGGTTTCCAGAACAGCATCTACGTTCACCAGAGTTACCACGAAACATTATTGGCGGCTAGTTCGACACTTTCATATTATCGTTCCCATCGCTGTCACTATCTAGCAGAGCGTAAGCTGATGCCGTGGCAGGCTTCGCCGGGGTCGCTTGGGAGAGTAAGACGAGCCAGTCAGCCGTGCTCAGCGAGAGCACCGGCAGTGTCGTCCTTAGCTGGCGAAAAGGATGGTGTTAGCTTGGTCTCTTCGTCCCCGCCTCCTCGAGGATGTACTTACATTAAAGAGCAGACCTTGAGGAAAGGACCTCAGAGTCATAGTGCAATTCACGAACCGAACCATGTGTCATCTAAGTCGTTAATAGCTTGAACGACCCATTCGATAGGTGAACTGTTCGCCGCCAGACCCGTGAACCGGAATCGTGGACCGTGGGCTAGCTCCATGATTGTGGCGTGCCTAACGTGTGCCATGGATCCGACCTTTGAACGTCTTGAGCCGTCGACCCGTAGGCTGGACCCCCTAATGTGTCATTTTTCTTTCTTCTGTCCTTGTTCGACCCAACTTGACCAATGACCACGTCCATGGAGACTAGAGACGCTTTTATGGAGCGACTCTCGCAGATGTTTCGAGGCTCGAACCTGCCTATCTACACCCTTCCAAAAGAGACGGAGGAGTACGATTTGGAAGGCGTGGATTGTCCCGCCTGCCCAATAAATTCCCACCCGAACAAACTCAAGCGGGACAGTCACCGTTCAGGGTACTACGTAGGTCTTTACTTTTCGAAACATTCAACTATCTGAAAATTCAAGTGTTTTTCTCCTCTTCCGCCTTCCGCTGGCTTGATGGTGCATGGGCCGCATACATTCTTCTCTGACCCCCCTTCGCCCCTGTGGTGGTGTGTTTGAACTTTTTTTTTTTACTTCACATCTAATCATGAGCAGGCCTTTCATTGCTGGCAACAAATCTAGCGCCAAATCTCCCGCCAACCCTGACAAAGCTGTGTCATACCATGCCCACACTACTCGCCAGCTCGAAGACCGTCGAATCGGTATTGAAGACGCACTCGACGCGAACCTTCAGCGAGCAACTCGCCGACCTGAGAGGGACTCTGTAAGGAACGAGGGGCCCTCGCCCTTGGTCGCGGTGGATGACGAGGAGATTAGTACGGAAAACGAGCGTAGTCCATCGTATAGCAGCGACCTACAGGAACTTTGGGAGGTGGAAATCATGTATTGGCCTTCAAAGGTTGGTTTATCCTCTGGTTCGTGGTTCGTGGACGATGCTCAGAGTTTATATAGCCTGCTGGTAACTACCTCGCTTGGCCACCTCGGGTCACACGTCGTCCGTACAAGGCTGCCGCCAACGAGAGGTGCTTTGCCGACTTGACATTCAATGGGAACCTCGACCTTCAACGTGCCGTTTACGGTACCGAACGCGATTGGAATTTCACTTCATACTACGACATGGCGCGTTCTGCATGGATCACCGACATGACGAACCCAGACTGGGTCCCCCTGTTCAAGGATCGTCCTCTACTCCTTCGCCACTTCACTGTGCAAGATCATCAATGCTTGGGTTGGGAAGATGTGGTTGAAGCTGCTGGCCCTAGGGTGCTCAAGCCGATTCTGGATGGCCAAGAGTCATCGAGCGAGGATTCAAATTCGAGGCCTACGAAGCGCCGCCGCATTTCTTCCACCTGTTCACAAAGTGAATCCGCAACGTCCTCTCGGCATATTCGGACAGGCAGAAGAGAGCACCAGAAGAACGACAGTGGGACCAGTCGAGGGAAACCGAGTTGGTGGATGACTATGTCCGCCGGCACAGTCGTCGCTGGCCTGAAGGAGATAGAAAGACTTAAAGGCGTTGATGGGAGAGCAACACTACAGCAACGGTTTGAGCGGGCCTTTCCAGGGAAGCGATTCGCGCTCTCGACTGTGAAGCGGATGATCACTGCCCTCAGCCACTTACCCGAGGACGATATCGAGCGCTATTTGAATGAGGACTCGGAGCGTCCATGGAGTGAAGTATACGCACTGGCAAAGTGATGCCCGACGCCGACTCCTCTCACCACGTATACCAATGTACCAATTTAATCGAGACTTTTGTCTATATCTAATGTATCCGCCTTCTTTTATGAATGATGCCGCCCAGTAATTCTGGATACTTATTCACTTGTACGCTGGCGGGATAGACCTTGCGCTCGCTCGAGAACCATCTATCGTCGTCTATATATCAGATCGTGTCGCGAGCCTTTTGGGTGGATACCGGCCAGGGTTCGTGGCGTCAGGAGCTTGTCCTATGTCGCAACTTGGCTCTTGACGCGCCAATCGCCGAGTACCTATCAAGAATGTCTTTCAAGCGACACTCAATCGTGGCATGGAGGCTTCTTAGATCATAATCACCGCCGAACCTTTATGACAATCAATTAGGGCATAGCTTTTGAGCCGTTTACCTCGCTGGATAGTGCTTCTAATATACCACAAAGATGCCGATACGTCTCCAGCTACGGCACTGTATCTTCTGTTCCCCCCTTGCTACGAGCTAATGATCGTTTCGAGACCTTCAGCGGGGAGGGCGTACAGTGACATCAAGGAAGAGCCGATCATCATTTAGGATGCCACTTCATCCCGTACCGTGTCTCATTCGGTGATGCGGATTCAGTTGCCATTCGCTCAGCACCTGCATCGATTAGTCTTTGACATCCACGGCGGAGACCGAGCATCCCAAGTATAAAGGAAGTCTGATTCTGGACTCTTGACTGTTCTTTCAAATGCCCGAGGCAACATCATCCGGCAACTAGTTTGTTTCTTGCAAAGTGTATCGACTCTAGGGAGCATGACTCTCGACCTTCCAACTCGAATGTTTGGTCACATTGTATCCTTTCTTGTTACGGGTGATCTCTGGATTTGCGATAAATGAAGGGTTAGAACGCTATCCGAATTCCTTCGAGTCTGTCGCTGCTGAAATAAACGATCCGTCCAGATTTGCTGGCGAAACGCAGAACCTTCGTCGACTGAACACAGCTGTTGAGAACCAAGTATAAAGACAGATAATTCCGTGTTTCCGCAAAACTTAGCACACGACCCGGGAGTTTCGAGCGTTTTCATACTGGCCGCTCTCATGACGTCATCTATGACCGCGTATCCTCAAAAGTCAAGTTTTCTCGTGCGAGTAGAAGAATTATTTATGTCACTTCCTGTGTAGGGCGTCGTTTTCTCTTTAACAAGGTCCTCGAAGTGTGGTTGAGGCTCTCGATCGGTTGCTCCTTGCTTTCACAGTGACCACGTTATTCGGCCAGGGAAAACAAGGCCCATTGGCAAATTATTGGCTCCCATTTTATCTCAATAGTGGTTCATAAATCGTCACTATGCTCTCCGTGGCATGGAGGCTGCTTGAGGCAACAGAGAACGCTGTTTGCCTTGGGTAAGCATTAATATGTGCTTTGGGAGACGTTAAGAGCTAATCAAAATCACCCCAACACATCTAACCGATGGAAAGGAACAGACACTCGTGCCGCTATGTCTCACAGGTCGTCTGCCTTTCTAAGCTCCTCTACATGGGTAAATTTGACAGTTTGACTCTTTATTATTCGAAATATTTTTAGTTTACGAGCCAGGGCAGCCCTTTGTCGCGTCGGAATGCCTTCAACCTTCTTGAGATGTGTGCGAGGGGAGCCCAGGGTGGTCATCTCCTCGCAAGTGACACCATTGCGCTGATTTTTGCCATCCATGAGATATTCATGACGATAGAACCAGTCCCTGGTCCGGATGATTGGCCAGAACACAAAGCGACGCAACCTGTAGCCACGTCGCCGCGAACCCAGGCGGGCTGGTGGGCACGTATAAAACAGCTTTTCCGCTGCCAAATCCTGCACTTACACCTCACTGTAGACTCTGGACATGTAGGTGAGCATTAGTTCTCCCAGGCAAGGGTATCCAATGTGCTTTCAGGCTAAACTATCGCCCTTGTATATTGCCTCGCTGGTCTCATGCAAGACTTCTGTGCCCTATATCGTGTGTAAATTTTCCTCTTGCTCCGCGGTTCCGTAAGATAGCATTCGCTGCATATGACGATGTGTGGTGATCGAGCTTATCACCATTCATCACCCGTTACGTATACCACTCTTTCCATGTTCTATCACAGAGCCGAGTTAGCGTCCTGTGAGCGCTATAGTCATCAGCCACCTTAGGGCTGGGGTAAGCCAGATTGCCTCTGTCGTCTCCTTGCACGTGTGATCTTCGAGCATATGGAGCTATGAGCGAATCCTTTTGGTTCTTTAAATGTCTTATTAACCCAGCGACAGTGCGGTTCAAGGTCAACTTGGGATAATCATGTTCGGCCATATTAGCTGCTAATCAAGTATAGAAAGGAATGAATCTCCTCTTAATATTACACAAGCCGCACGGTTCAGTAACGATACCGGACTCAGGCTGCCCATAGAACCGGTCACAGCCAGAGCAACACACCAAGGTCACTCGCTTCCTTCCAATTGTGTCTTAGTCCGTTTTTATCGGGGAAAACGGCTGATAGTCTTTACGGTGAATTGTCCATCATAGGATTCTGATGGATTCTGATATGGTTGTGGGTGTTTTCGGGCCGCCAACCTGTGATGCGCGATTATCTGAGATATGAGACGGCAGTTTCATTATAAAAGCCTCATGTCTATCGATTCGCCCTTCACCATCTTCTTCCCTTCTCTACAGCTCTACTGTCACATGTCTGGATACTAATCGAAGCGAGGATTTATAGCTATGTCCGGGATCAAGTTGATTGGGACCGTCTTGTTGTCGATGAGATGGACAACGGCCTCAAGGGCACTCATTCTCTGGGCATGGCCCATTTCTGGTCTCTATCGACTCGGCGTCTCACGGTCCTGATCAACGACCCGGGATACATATGGAACCTCCTTTGGTTGCCCAGAACGGACGCAGTAGCTGTACGAGGATTGCATACTGCTCTCTCGGGAAGTAGCAATAAAAGCCCTATTTTGTCTCCTCATCCATCACTGGATTTAACGTTGCCTAAAGGAAAGACATAGTAGACTATGGGACATGCCTAGAAGACAGCCGCCTTCTCATCCCTAGATTACATTGATTCACCTTTGGAACCTTCCAGAGGCGCGATAACTCGGCTGGATTATTGGTGATGCCGAAGCAAGACTCTCTCCTCAATCCGACCAAGTTTAAGTTCTTTCTAAAGGTGTCACAGGTACGGTCCCGTCTCGGTTTGAATAGGCCTACACGAGTACGTCGCTCAGTGTCCGGCTGCGCGGAGATAATCCGTCGCCTCTGCCGCACGACGCGATCCAGCACGAATATCTGTCGACGGCAGACGATGATCAACAAATACCTCGGATTCGGATCAACGAAGGCCAGTACGACGCCAACAGACCGTTTCGCCACGAGGTGCACAGTCAGGCATCCGACTTGGATAGCCCAATCTATGCGGCAGGAGAACAAGACGATATAGTCCACTTGACGAGCCAGAATACTGTGTGGAGACGCTCTGCGCCGTACGAGCGAGATATCGAGCGGAGACGGGTGAGCAGAGGCGCCAGAAGAGAGACGCACCCTGGTACTCAGGCACTCATTTAGTCATCTGGTAGCTACCTTGATTGGCCTTGGGTAACGTAGGTCCCTTATCGAATACCTTCGATGATGGGGAAATACTTGTGAACCCAAGGTCTAAGCTTGAGGCTGGGCTTCTATAGTCACCGAATCAGACTGGAGACGCATCTCTTATTACGGCCTGGAGCACTCGTGACCTACGCCTTTTCTCTGAGTGTGCTCTTGTCTTCAGGGGCCACCCTCTCCTTCGTCACTTCACAGCGCAATACTTCTGTTAAGAGATCGCAGTTGAAGTTGCTGGGTTCAGGGTAGTCAAGATAATCCAGACAGAGGAAGGAGTCGAATAATCACCACGCAAATCTAAGTCAAATGAAGCCGGCCTCACCACTACTACATTTCTCACGCTTGGCCACAAAGTACCTCTCATCTTCTTAGGACATTCAGACAGATACAAAGGAGCGATAGAACGGAAATAGCGGCAGTCGAAGGGGGTGGATTGGTGGATGTCAGTGCTCGCCTTCAGAGCCATTACTGGACTGATGAAGAGAGGGGGTTCAAGGACCTTGACGACTGAGAAGTGCTAAAATAACGTTTTGAGAGTATCTTTCCAAGGAAGCCATTCTCCCTCCCGACAGTGAAGTGGATGTTAGCCACATTCGACAGCCTCACTAAGCTTTACATCAAGGTATCTGAATGGGAACTCGGTGCGTCCACGGAATGGGGTCTGTGCAATAGTAAAGTGACGCAGGACGCCAGATCGCTTCCAGTACGTATGCCAGAGTACCAATGTCACCGAGTCTTTTATTTCAGATCTATTCTATCTATATTTTAGTGAAAAGGTGCCACCCAGTAATTATTCAGATAGGCCTTGGCAGAGGTGGATCTCTTGCTCGCATAATAACGGTAGATCATCATTCGTATATGAAATGCTGTACCGAATACTTGGGTAGAGAAGGTCAGGTGTCGTCACGTCAGGAACTCACCTTCGCAACTTGGCTCCCGACACACCAGCCGCTGGATGCCTACCATGTATACCTTCTATAGGGCATACAAACATATCACAGGTGCCATTTAAGCAAAAGATACTGCCAAAACTCTATGATGATAAATTGGGCGCAGGTTTTGATCTGCTCACCTCTCTCTATAGTGCGTCATATACCATCAAGAGCCTAATACCTCTCCAGTTACGGTGATATATGGTATAATGCCACCTGTTTTGGATTAATCACCGTTTCGAAAACCTGCAACGAAGACCGTGCAGTAGTGGACATCAGAAGGAAGAGCCGCCTCCTCATCTAGGAGCCTCTTTCATTCCACGCAGATTCTACCTATCATTTGCGTCCAAACCGCAGCCATAAATGGCAGGGGTGTCTACATCAATTTGTCGAAGATTCCAACCATCCATGATATTGCCTCCCAAATAGGGTTTCCGGCCTATAATATGTTTTGATCTTGTGGACCTTTCATTCCCTTTCTCGAGCTTGAAGCAACATCGCCCGGCATCGGGTGCCAAAAATGGATGCCTCTCAAGGGACATAACGTTTAACCTGCATACTAGACCAGTTGTGATCCACATTATATCGTTTTTCGTCAAGTACACTGAATTCGGGGTTAGTTACGAGGGAGGATGCTATTCAAATTTCGTCGAGCCTGCTGATTGGACTTTGCTGCTGCAAAAAGCTATGCGTCTAGATTAAAATGCAAGATCTTTGTCAGCTGAGCAAAATCGTTGGAACCAAGGATAAAACAAATAGGTTCGTGTTTGTGCATTCTCTGGCACGCAACCAGCAATCTCGAGAATATTCGGACTAGCAGGCTCTGGTGAGGTCATCTATGACTGCGTATCCTCAAAAATCAAATTTATCGTATGGAAGTAAAACTATACTATTCCATTTGGTGGGCAGAGCGTCATTCCTCTGTAACATGCTTCTGCATGCTCGGTTGTGACTGCCGCTCGTTCGTTCCTTTCTTCACGACGACTTTTGCTACTGGCTAGCAAGAAGGCGGCCTATCGACAGATTATTAGCCCCCAGTTTATTTCAATAGAGGACCAGAGACTGCTACAGCGCTCTCCGTGGCCTAGGAGATGCTTGAGGCACGATGGGACGTTATTTGCCTCAACCAAGCATTGGTAAGTACTGGAAGAGATGCTAAGAGCTAATAAAAAAACTATCCCAACATCCATATCTGATGGCAAGGACCAGATACTCGGCCCACTGCGTCCCACGATACCTCTGCCCTCCCCTACTCGTCCAGACCAGTATATTCGACAAATTTGCCCATTATAGTTTATCAAAATCCTTGTGTAGAATCTAGGGTAGCCCTAGATCACTTCGAAATCCCTGCAGCCCCGTAGGGGCGTAGGTTAGAAGCATCCAGGATACATAACCTTATACAGATAATGCCATCGCATTATCCCGCGTCATTAATGAGATAATTTATCGCGATAGTTCCAATTTCTGTGCCGCATAATTGGCTAGAGCGCAAAGCGGCCTGCCTTGTAGCCACGTCGCTGCGATTCGAGGCGGACAGGCAGGGGTGAATAAAGCTGCTTCCACATCATCCCAGTCTTTGTTCCTACTATTTTGGACCTTTTAGACATTAGGTGACGGTTGGTCCTCACAAAGCAAGAGTTGCTCAATACGCATTCAGGCTAGACACTCACCTTCGTGTCCTTTTTGGTCTCATAACTTTTATCCAGGTCTCTTGCCCCATCCTATGTGGGAAGTCTCTTCTGGCTCGATGAACCTCCAAGACAGCATTCAGACGACGCATGATTATCGACCCTATCATTATGTATCATCAGTGACGTCTGCCTTCCTTTCCATATTCTGTCACAGAGCCGAGTTTGCGTCCTGCGAGCGCTACAATCCTCGGCCACCTGGGGCTCGCGTAAGCCTCGTTGGTTGGGTCGTCTTCTTGTACATGTGCGCTTCGAACATATGTAATTGTGAGTGAATATACCAACTCCTTAAATAACCCGCCCACCCGGTGACGGTAGTGCGAACCAAAGTTCCACCGCCAGATACCCTGCTCGGCCATAACTGGCTGTTTGGTAAGCGCAGACAGGAATGGTATCCTGAGTCCCATTTATGCGCATTGCATGCCCGAATACCAATGTTGGACTAAGACCGCCTACGGAACACCGGCACAGTCACTCGCTTCTTTCCAATTATGTAATTACCAGGAGAGAGGAGCTGATAGGCCACACAGGGAACTGTTAATTGTGGGTTCTGATGGTTTCTGATACAATAGGGGAGTTTGGAGCCCAACATATGAGGCAAGATTATCTAAGATACGGGATCGCCATTTTCCTTATAAACGCCCTCCTCCATCGATTCGTCTCATACCTCATGTTATCCCGCTTTCTCTTCGTCGGTCCCCTCTTTAGCTGCTACGCGTCGACACTGACCCAGCCTTTCCCTAACTCTACAGCCCTCCTGGCACAATGTCTGGATATCACTTGAAGTGAGATTTTATATATATCTCCGGAATCAAGTTGATTGGACCGTCTTGTCGTCGCCGAACGTTCTACCAGCCTCTAGGGCATTCTCTGCGCATGGCCCTTTTTTTCTAGTCTCTACCAGTCCGGCGGCTCACGGTCTTGATCGACGAGCCGGGATACATGTTTAATCTGCTTTTATTGCCCAGACAGTCGCAGTAGCTGTGCGAGGTGGATGAAACTGTCCCGGAAAGCAGAAAGCGCAATTTCGTCGGCTCACCCAACTGGATACAATGTTGTCTAACGGACGAACATGGTGTACCAATAACGGTCACGATGACATATACATAAAAGGCAGCCCGCTTCCCCTTGGATTCCACAGATTCGTCTTCGGGATTTTCCAGAGGTACAGCTCGGCTGGTTTATAAGTGATGTTGAAGGAAGAATCTCTCCTCGATCGGGCCAAGCAAAGTTATCGGTCCCGTCTTGTTCTGAATAGACCTACACGAGCACGTAGAATGAGGCACAAGGCCTAATTACTACGCTGCATCTCAGACTACGATCAAACTTGTGCCTGTTACGACCTTTGACTCGCCGTTTACAATCGCAAAGTCTGCTCCATGGAAAAAGCGTTCGATCCTTGTGATACACTGCTACTGCTTGCAGCTTGGTTACTGAGATAGGTCTATCTCTGAAGGCTAGATAATCGTCGAGTTTGAATCGTACAGTTTGAAAGTGTAATGATATCATGTTTCATGACCATTATTCATCGTCTCTGCGCTGCGGCCCTCCAACCAGTGTCCGGGATCCGTCGGCGTCGAGGGCAAAGTGGAGACCCAAACTCTTTCCGCGACCTCGCCTGTGCAGGTCTGCCAAAATTACGAGACAATTGATTAATACGTTGGACTCTTACAATCTCTTGCAAATTGACGAATGGAGCCCTCTCGCGGCTTCAGCTCGTCGAGACAAGACGTACCGCTCAGTGTCCGGCTGCACGGAGATAATCCGTCGCCTCTGCCGCACGACGCGATCCAGCACGAATCTCTGTCGACGGCAGACGAGGATCAACGAATACCTCGGATTCGGATCAACGAAGGCCAGTACGACGCCAACAGACCGTTTCGCCACGAGGTGCACAGTCAGGCATCCGACTTGGATAGCCCAATCTATGCAGCCGGAGAACAAGACGATATGGTTCACTTGACGAGCCAGAATACTGTGTGGAGACGCTCTGCGCCGTACGAGCGAGATCTCGAGCGGAGACGGGTGAGCAGAGGCGTCGGAAGAGAGCAACGCTCTGGTACGCTCAAAGCAATGAGCAGAAGCATTCGTAGGGCCAGTGTACGCGTCGTCAACTTTGCCAGTGCCAACCTGGACGACGGCCCAATCCTGTTGCCAGACGTCGACGAGCAGCCCGAACCAGAAACAAGACCAGAGCCAGAACTTATACTGAGAGGAAAGACGTTGGGCATCTTTGGCCCTCGGAATCCGCTCAGACTCGCCATGCACAAGCTTCTGTCCTCGACGTACGCACCGGTATTTACGCCAGAGACGCGCTTGCTAACCTACGACAAGTTATACAGAAGCGTGTATCCTCTTACTTATTATCGTCAATGCGGTAATCCTGGCGATCCAGTCTATTCGCCACGTACTCTTACAGATCCCAGACGGTGCCGGCTACTTTCAATCCTGGGAAGATGTGGTGATACTCGGTCTCTTTATCGCATACACCATCGAGGCGCTATGCAGAATCGTCGTCTCCGGGTTGTTGGTCGACCCCGAGATCCCCTTCAGCAGTCTAAGAATACCACTCAGCGGGTTGACAAGACAAGGCAGTATGAGAACCAAGTTCTCCAGTTTGAAGCCACGGTTCATGCATAATCCATCCAACACGAGACCCACCAGGCCATCCCCATCCCCGGTCGCTGGACAACAAACAGACCCTCAGCGCTGGCCAGAGAAGCAGTCGTCTGGCTTTTCATCCGGGAGTCAAACACGTATGATGTCGAACAACATGTCGGGACCTAACTCGAACGCAAGTAGCCGGATTGCTCTGCACCTACGCTCGCAAGATTTGCCCTTTCGCGCGGCGGTCACCAAGCAGTTGGATATCACTTCAACATCCCGACCGTATTTGCGACACTCGTGGAACAGAGTTGACGCTGTGGCGATCGTCTCTTTCTGGATCGTGTTTGTTCTCTGTGCGTTTGGACAAGAGAAGACGGCGACCGATCACCTTTATATCTTTAGAGCTCTGAGCGTCCTTCGAACTACGCGCTTGCTCGCGATCACGAGTGGCACGACGACCATTATGACTCGCTTAAGAAGGCGGCGCCTCAGCTTGTCAATGTCGCGTTCTTCGTACTCTTTGCTGTCGTATTGTTCTCTATCATTGGCGTTCAATCTTTCAAAGGCAGTTTTCGTAGATCCTGCGTTGTCGGTATGTCTTTCTACTATCGCCTAATCCACAACCACTGATTCCTGGTAGTTGAAAACGGACAACAGACGATCATACTGGAGCAACAGTGCGGTGGGCATATTGATCCAGATTCACTCGCGACAGTTGGGTATACCACAAGGAACAATCAGCCAACAACAAGTCCAAAGGGATTCATCTGTCCATTGGGGCAAGTTTGTCAGGTGGGTTCGCCTCTATGCCACAGAATAAACATTTATAACAACCATGACAGGAGGCATCCACGAACCCAAAGAACAATGCCTCTCAGTTTGACAACATCTTTGGAGCCGCCCTCCAGATCATCATTGTCGCGTCTGCAAATGGATGGTCAAGCAATATGTATTCGATGATGTCGGCCGACTTTTTCATCTCGTGCATGTTCTTCATCCTTTGTCTGGTCGTAATGAACTTTTGGCTTCTCAACTTGTTCGTCGCCGTCATCACCCAGAGTTTCGGTGCGACTCGCGCGGAGACGAAAAGGAGTGCCTTTGGAGCAGAAGGGTATGTCCCTGGATCTTTGCCGAGTGTTGCTTCTAACCCTTTACAGTGATATCGTTCCCTTGTTTGAGGGCAAAGAAAGCGATTGGGATGCGGTGGACGACCATAGACGACATCGGTCGAGCGTCCTTCAGCGTTTATACAACTTTGCATCCCCGGCTTTCGCCCTTCTCGCCCTTGCGAGTCTTGTCCTTCAAGCTTCGGTAACTACGTCGACGCCAGAGAATATCGTGCATATTCTGTGTTAGTATATTCATCCTCATCTTTCTCCGTCTGAATTTAGTCGCCAGTTCTTTGCGAAGTCGGTATCACCATTGCATTCGGAATCGAAATCGTCTGGCGTATCCTAGCGACATTGCCCCTCTGGCGCACGTTCTTCTCCACAAAGCAGAATATTGCCGACCTCTTTCTGGCGATTGCATGCGGCATTATTCTGATCCCGCCGATCCCCAAAACGCCAGCTTATTCATGGTTGACAGCTTTCCAACTCATGCGATTCTATCGTGTCATCATGTTCATTCCTGGCATGAGGAGACTTCTGGTAAGCAAGTCTGCTCCCGTCTACTCCAGCGGGCTAACCTGGATGGTAGTTCCAAGTATTTGGCAACCTGCACGGTCTTCTCAACATGACAATCTTTCTGATGCTCGCCAACTTTTTGGCAGCCTTGTTTGCTGTCCAGCTCTTTCGTGGTGACGTTCCCTCCAGCTTCAACATGAACTTTCAAGGCATGACCACATCCTTCCTGGCCATGTATCAGGTTTTCACCTCGGAAAATTGGACCGACATTATGTGGGAAGTCAGTGATGCTGAGGCTCCTTACAAGCAGCAAGTCATTGCGATCCTGTTTATTGTTATGTGGTTCTTCTTTGCTAATTGTACGTTTTCTGATGTGGATGTACATGAACTCACCCTGCTTCAGTCATTATGCTGCAAATGTTCATTGCGGTGATTAATGAGGTATGAACCTCGTCATCTCGTGGGCTGAAACTGACCACCTCTCGATAGAACTTTGAAGTAGCCGAGGAACAAAAGCGAGCCCAGCAGGTGCATGCCTACATCCGCCAGGCAGAGCCCACGGCCACCACCATCAATTGGATAGAGCGCCTCAATCCTTATCGCAAGATGAAAGCGAACCCCAAGGCGATCAATGTGGACGCGTTGCCAGACAACCTAGTGCTTCCTATGAAGAAGTCCATTGTGCGCGAGTATAGAGCGCCGGGCGAGTCCAATGTAAGTGGGCTCATCTCGATCAGTATAGCGCTTACCCTCCTAGACCGCCACGACCACCCGTGGTATCTCTGATACGGCCGTAATTCAAGGCCCACTGGGAACCATGAGAAAATGGATGGGAATGGATGACAATAATTTCGAGCACGTTCCCCTCTCTACGCTCAACAAAGCCGGCCGTCCAGTATCTTCCGCCCCACGCGACACGTTGGAGCTTGACGAAACCGAGCGACACCTGTCAGTTGCTCTTGAAGTGGCTCGAGCCTCTACTAACCTTCTGCAGTGAGGCTATCAATGCCGGCTATCACGATTCAAGGGCAGAGGACAATCAAAACGAACGTCTCGAGCGTCGTGCCCGTCAGGCAGACTTTATTAGCGATCATCCATCCTACGACAAAACGCTTTGGATCTTTACGCAAACTAACCCGATCCGACGTTTCTGCCAGCGGCTTGTTCCTCCCTCTAATGGTGACTACGAAGAACGCATCAACGGTCTACCGCCTTCCCCATGGCTCGAGTTTGGCTTTCGTGCGCTCATGCTGGTGACGGTGATTGCCGGTATAGTGATTGCTGCTCAAGCGGGGCCTTTATACCGGCGAGAGTACTTTCGACGCTATGGTCCAGAAGCCACAGCTTGGTTTGACATTGCCGAGGCTGCCTTCACATTTCTCCTCGTGATCGAATTCGCCGTCAAAGTCATCGCAGACGGTTTTATTTTCACCCCAAACGCATATCTTCTCAACATCTGGAACATCCTCGACCTAATTATTCTTATTGCTATTCTCATCAATGTTTTCACTTCGCTACTTATCCTGGGTGGTCTCTCTCGAGGGACCAGAGCTCTCAAGGCGTTTCGCGCGCTCCGACTTATCACGCTGATCGGTTGGATGAGAGAAACTTTCCACTCTGTCATCTTTGCTGGTGCACGTCGTATCATCGATGCGGCGGTGCTCGGTGCGTCTCCTTTCTCAAACTATCAACAACCAACTGATCATCTTTAGCCATCCTGTACATGATCCCGTACGCTGTTTGGGGTCTCAATATCTTTGCCGGGCGCATGTTTGCGTGCAACGACGAAGGAGCGCTCGGAAAGGACGACTGTCAGAACGAATATATGGCATCGCCCGTTGACAACTCTTTGACCTTTTTGGCACCACGGGTCTGGGATAACCCATCGCCATCGACGAGCTTTTCCTTTGACTCCTTTGGGCAGTCCTTCCTGATCCTTTTTGAGATTGTCTCATTAGAGGGCTGGATAGATGTTCTCAAAGCGGCTTTAGGGATCACCGGAATCGATCAGCAACCGCAGATCAATTCCTCGCGAATCAATGCGCTGTTCTTCGTCCTCTACAACCTACTTGGAGCCGTCGTCATTTTGACGCTATTTGTCTCGTCCGTCGGTATTCTCGTGGCTGGACAGGTTCTCACAATTGTCTTTATAGGATCATCATTAGCAACTTTAGCTCTCGCTCGGGAATGGCGCTGTTGACAGCCGAGCAGCGCCAGTGGATAGATTTGAAGAAGCTTATCAGTCGACAAAAGCCGTCAAAGAGGCCCAGCACGCGGCCTACCACTGGTTTCAAGTCGTGGTGCTTTGACCGGGCGGTGCAGAAGCGGGGATGGTGGTCCCGGACCATGACTGTCCTATACTGCGTACAGATTGCCATTCTCATGTCAGCGCTCCCAAACCGTATCTACTATCGCTAACAGTTCCCAGGTCGCAGACATTTACGGACAGCGCTCTTGCTGATCGTGTCAGAGGTAGGTTTCCTAGAAATCTTCTGTCGCGTCTCACACTCTGTAGATCTCATTTTTCTCGGGTTGGCCGTATGCTTCCTCATGGATCCCCTTGTCAAGTTTATCGGATTGGGTTGGGCGAGTTTCCGCGCGAATGGATGGAACATCTTTGACGTTGTCGTTGTCATGGGTTCTATTGCCACTACTCTGACTATTCTCTTGGGCGTTGGAGGTTTTGCCATACGGCAATCGCAAAAGCTCTTCCTCGTCTGTGTCGCCTTCAAGCTCATGCAAAAGCTTGACGGGTTGAACCAACTGTTCAAGACTGCCGTGTACGTCTCTATATGTGGTCGCGAATCTTCCTCAGTTTTCTTCAGGTCGAGTTTGGGCGTCATTACCAAGCTGTTTGGACTTTGGCTATCACTCTTCCTGTTCTTTGGCATACTCTGGCTCGAGGTCTTTGCGTTGACCCGCTGGGGAAGCGGTGAGAATGACAATCAAAACTATCAGTCTCTCAGTCGTACATTGGTGATGATGGCATTCATGAGTACTGGGTTAGTGTTCAAAGTACTACAGTGCTCGGGCTAACCAGCTCTGTAGTGAACAATGGAATCAGTATATGCACGATTAGTGAGTGCCACTCTCAACCTCGAATCATTTTAACAGTATTCGTCTAGTGCCGTATCGTATCCACGTTGCACAAACTCTAGCTCGTCGCTCGCGGAATCCGACTGCGGAAGCTGGGCCTGGTCGATCACACTGTTCATTGCCTGGAACGTTGTGAGCATGGTAAGTACAGTTTCCGCGTCTGAAAGCTATGCTGAGCACATATTTAGTACATCTTCGTGAACATGTTTACTGGTACGTGTTGACTGCCCCTCATGACCCCTGTTGACCCCCGTAGGTGTGGTCGTCGAGAACTTTTCCTACATCTATCAGCAAAAACGGAATCAAACGCTGAACAGAGAAGAAATGCGAGCATTCAAAAAGGTTTGGGCAATGTTTGACCAGTCGAGTAGTGGCTATTTGAGCCGAGAAAAAATTGTCCCATTCCTTGCAGTATGTCCTATCCCTGAGTTCCTATGGCTAGCTGACGAGAGGATAGAAACTGTCGGGAGTGTTCGAGGTCCGTATCTACTCGACGCAGCATCAGTTTGGCACGCTGTTTGAAGCCTCGCGCGCATCACCCGCGGATCCATTCATTCCTGGCACACAAGTCGGTGGCCTCGACCTACGAAAGCTCGCTTCCAACTTGCAGACGTTGGACCAGGAGGAGACACGACGGCGGCGGAAGATTTACAACCGACTCTTTTGGGAAGCACGGCTTCTGGCTCAGGAGGACCCAAAGGGTGTCTCATTTCAACGAATGCTTCTACTTCTCTCACACCACAAGCTTATTGACGACCACAAGGCGTTAAAGTAGGTGGAAAATGCTTCTAGTCTGAGTGGGTGGGGCTCACCTCGAGACAGAGTCGATGAAATGATCCGTCGACGTGCCATTACCGAACAAGTGGATGACCGCGTCAACTTTGACAAGGTACGGAGTCTGCTAAGGATGATCTATCACCGGAAGCGGTTCTTGCACTACCTTGAAAAGAAGAAAAAGCGACAGAATAGCGGTGCGTGTTTTATTGTATTACTGCTCCTCATATCTCATCCAGTCTGCAGACGTGCCGGAGATTGTGGTCGCAGAGGTCGCGTCGCCACCAATGCGGACTTGGGACATTACACGGGCTCACTTGCACAACGATTCGTTTGGGACGGTGGACCTGGATTCTCCAAACCCGACGCGGACAACGTTTACGAACACGTCGGGAATGTTGCCGAGCGGTGCGTCTCCGTCGTCGCCCAGTTCGCCGTATCCAAATGTGTGGAGCGACCCGGCTTCGCCTACGATGCGGCCACATAATCCGCATAGACAGAGTGATATGAGTGTTTTGTCGCAAGGGAGCGGGATGCTTCACTCGTGAGTGCTCCGTCCTCTCACTTTCCGAGGCTCGGTCTAACTTGGGCTCTTCTGGTAGGCACTCGGCTGGCTCGCCGCGGCGTGAGAGCACAACCGCAGAGGATCCGAATGCAATCCTGCGGTCGCTGAACGCGTCTTCATGGGGAGGTGAGTTGTGCCACCTTTGGAGAAGGGCATTGCTGACGGGATATATAGACATGATGCTGGAAGATGAAGATGAGACTCGCAAATAAAACGGGAACTGTTAACTCCATTGTATCCAATCCGTTGTAATTGTCCCTTGTTTTGATGGGCCATGTGGCCGTGTGTCCAGGCGGGCGGTGACCGGCGTCCCATTTTGCTCTCGTCGTCGTCTGGGCGTTGTTTCCACAACTCTTTCTCCTTCTCCGTCCTGCTCGACACGACTGGTGTGCTCCTTTTTGGATCTTTAACGGCCTAAGTCGCACACAAAAAGACGCTCCTTGGCTCGTTCTCCCAAGTCCGCCTTGCAACAATCTTTGTCCGCTCACTCGACGGCCACGCTCGACTAAAAGCCCGAAATCTCGACCAAGACATTTTTCAACCTCTGATCAACTTTTGTGATGCGTTTCTCGCTGACGACTATCATTGCCTCGCTCGCCATCATGGCCGAGCTTGCAGAGGCCTCTGCGATTATGATGACCCCGCGCTCGAACCACGCACTTGCTGCTCGTAGGATTGCCCGGAAGAAGAGGTGCATTGCTCGTGGACCCAATAGCAGCAACAACGCCCAGAACGCCCCTTCAAACTCTGTCCAGGCTGCCCCCGCGCCGGCTCCTACGCAACATACGCCTCCTCCTCCTCCTCCTGCTCCTCAAGGAAACACGGCTGGGATTACCTCTGCCCCGGATAACCGCTGTGGAAAGAACGCGACCCGTGAGTATCCTCACCCTGCACGCTCGTTTACCGGTGCTTCCTCGTACCTTTGTTGACAATGCCACGACAGCCAACGTTCAGTCCTGGACGGGCCCTAATGGCTCTGCTGGTGAGTGTGATTGCTAGTCGTGGATGCCTGGGGACTTAGCAGCCTAAATAGATTACCTCACGTGTGGCATCCGCGATAGTGGTTGGGAGCCACCCATGATGACCTTGGATAACGCTGTCATTAAGAGTCTTGATGAGATCTTGAGCATGCCAGGGAATCCTCTGGCCCCGTGCACAAATCTCCTTGGTGACTTCAACGCCGTCGCCGCATCTCATGGTGTCCCAGCCGCTCTCTTGGCTGCCATTGCTCTCCAAGAGTCGACCTGCCGTTCGGGTGTCATTGGTCGTAATGGCGAAGTCGGACTCATGCAACTCACGCCTGACAAGTGCGTCAACGACGGACGCTGCTGGTATGACCGAGTATGTAACGCTACAATCTCTCTCTCTGGGCATTTGCTCACGCACTGAATAGGGAAATATCGAGATGGGTGCTGAAGTGTTCAAAAACTTCCTGAATGCTGCTGGTGGCAACATGCTTTTGGCTCTCGGCAGCTACGTACGTCTAGTGTTGTTCCAATCGCACCCTCCAATCTGACACGACTATTAGAACGGCTGGGTCAAATTCATGACGGTCGCTGATGCAAACAACAAGCCTACGTGCGGTCAACGCAATAACCTTGACTACCTCATGAACGTCATGAATGGCTACCTCCAGGGTGTCGACCCAGCCAGCGTTAACATGGGCACCTTCTTCAACTTGTGCTAATCAGCTCGCACGCTCATCCCACGAAAGTTGTCTCTTAGCATCACACGTTATAGTTCCTCCGTATTTCGGTCTACGGATTCTCTTCTCTACTCATCTTGGGCGCGCGGCTTTTGTGTGTAGCACACGGCCGCGGGACCTTAATACGGAGCACTTCTTGCCAACTTTTTTTGTTTCATCTGGACCTTGTTGCGGGGGTGGTACATTGAACCCCTCGCATCAACATACCCGTCCAAAATGTTTCAAGTGGCTCCTTTCCCGGTCGAAAGCGCCGCACACTCTGTCGTCGCGTCCTAGATGACTCGACCGTCTCTATCTGGATCCAACTCTCTTTTCCCACTCTCTACGTCTCCCCACCCATCCACTCGCTTTCCTTTTGGCGATCTGGGGTCGCCCATCCGTCCTCTTTGCCGTCCTTTCCTTTTTTGCCCTGGGAGTCGTCACCCCCCCTTCACGGACATATTTACCCTCCAAATCCTCCCATTGATCTGGTTATATTCGCCCCATCTCTTCGTGGATAGAGTCCTCGTGTAGGATTGATTCCTAGTTGCTGGTGATTCGGCGAATCAACGTGTTTCATTTCAGTCGGTTGTTGAGACGTAAAACCCTAAAACAACGAATGCAAATTCCGGCCCTTGGAGGGACGGCGCTGCGGGTAGCCTGCGGGTGACGCCCCAGCCTCTGCCTCGTGCGCACCTTGCTTCCGGCCACATTTTCGTCTGCGTGAGCTTCTCGACGTACGAGCGAGCGAGCGCATTTTTCTATATAACCCAGCGACATTTCTACGCGTCTATTTGACGACCTTTTCGCAAAGACTCGGTAACTCGGCCAACTCCACCGCTCGCTCATCGCGTGTACCCGTGAGCGCAGCCCACACCTCGTCTAGGCGCATCTTGTTCGACGTTTGATACCAGAGGATCATTTCCCATTCACCTCTTATCCTAATTATATTCATCTAAACGACTATTTGGGACGACGACGATGCCTTCGTGCAGGATTACGAATTATACGACACAACCGCTCAACGTGTGCTTGAAGCACATTGCAGCTATCCATTTTGAGAACGAGGTGCAACCCGGGGCTACGGTCAAGCTCAAGCCCGGTCGGGTTTGGTTTACTCTTGAGTGAGCTCGCGCGCTCTTGCCTGTTACTATGGATGGCTTACGTTGTCAAAGAGTGCTCGTCGATGACAAGGATAATCGATACAGCGTCGCGTCTTCCGCAGCGGCGATTGCAATTGTTTCGGTACGTCGTTGATCTCTGAAAGGGATGGTACTGACGTTGTACTTTTCTACACTATGGACTTTCTACATGTCACGCCATTGGACTTTTCGACACGTATGAACGTTGGACTCTTCTAACAGCTTGCATGTGTTGGAACGGCAGCTTTGGCAGTCCCAGCCGTCAGTGCTGCAGGTGCAGCTGGTACCATCGGTGCAGTTGGGAGCACAATTGTAGGGACTGCGAGTCACATTGGGTCGACGATTGGGACCGCCCTTGTTGGGTCATCGACGACAGTTGGTACAGCTGTTGCTACTGGAGGAGCTGGTATATTCGCTGCAGGTGATACACTGGTTGCGGGGATTGGATCTATTATCACGACTGCCCAAGGCTTTATCACGGCTCATGCGGCCACTGTAGGCAAGATATGTACGTGGAACCAAACTTTTCTTTGATTGGTGACGTCTGACTAACACGTGTGTAGCTGCTGCCCTCTTACCCAAAGCGATTGAAATCGTCGAAGAGGAGGTGGGCGGATTTAACGCTGTCCAGAAAGAGGTCATTTCCATTCTCTCGTCACCCACCGTCACGAGCGATGTACGCGAATCGGGGCTCAACATTCTTTCCCGATTGGGCGTAGCTATTGCGGCGGATCGAGCAGCGGAAGAGGAACGAAACAAGGAGGCAGAACGACAGAAGAATGAGCCCGCTGTCGTTGCCATCGAAGCCGGACAGCATCGCCGTACGGCATCGAACATCTTGGGCAAAGCCAGAAAGGCAAAGCAAGAGTCTGTTGTGGGCCCTCTACCGCCTTCCACCAGCCAATCCAGTAAAGACGACGGTTCATCGTCGTCTTCGGTGCAAGAAGATTGCCATGACCACGCATCGCTGCACGGACGCCCGTCGCTGAAGCGGATGCACACGTCCGTGTCGACGCTCGTTCACAAGTTGTCAAGCGAGGGACGTGCCCAGCGTAAAGAGGCCAAGGAAGCTGCCAAGGACAAGGAGTGGGAGGTGTGCGACTTTGACCCAGAGTGCATGCTGTCGACGACGGAGCGGGTACGCGTTCATGGCTTGTTCATGAATGAGCGCCGCCATTTTGAGGTGCACGAACGGGAAGGCAAGCTCGTATTAATCGACGCGAATACGAAAGAGGTCGTGCGGGCCTGATCGGTGCCGTCTTTGTTTCTTGTCCTCGTTTGGACAGTTGTTATGAGAGGGAATCTGTAGCCTGGCTGTCATCGTAACCTAAGTGTTAATACTATTCGGTTGTATTTCTTTGCTGTGAACCGTTGCGCCTGTCCGACGCACCGAGCGACATACGCCCATAGGGTGGCTGTGCCGCATGTCCCCTCCATACTAGTCTGAACGAGTCGTGCCACAAAGTGATAAGAAGTTGAGATATAAAGGACCCGTGATCGCAATGTATTATATTCAGCGCGGCTGATGAGGCTAGCCTGAAGCCTCAGGGACCCCGTTCTCGTTTGGGAAGTCTTAGTTTTCTAAGGTCTCCCACTTGTAGCGCGCCGTCAAAAGCCACGCAGAAAGCGACTGAATTGTGATTGTAATAGGTGGTACGGAGCAAACAATCCTTGTACTTAAGTCCAATCACCCGCCCAAAACGAGCCGCAGACTTGGCCTCCTCCTCTTTCTCCCTCCCCCGTCGCTCCCCGTTTCGCCTTTTCTTCCCTTGCAACGCGACGAAACTTGCAGCAAAGCCTGGAGGGAAAACCAGTCTCAGTTTATTCAAGATTACTCGCAACTGTTTCGACCTGCCCCTTTGAGTCCAACAGAGTCATCTATACAGCACCATGGTAGACTGGAACAGTCCTGCGGTGTTGGCCGTCTGCAATGGTACGTTGCTGCCTGTTATTTGCGCTCTTCAGCGTCCTCGACGTGCTCCCCCAATCCTTGCTTTGTCTCTCCATATGGCAGTTGTTCATCCCGTTCCCGCGCAGAAATCTTCAAGAGCATCTCTCATGTATCCATCGGTGCTTATCTTTGGGAGGCATTTTCGAGCGTTGGTTTCGAATGGAGTCTTATCACCCGCAAGCGCGCCTTCAAATGGCCCATGCTTGTGAGTGTAGCAGTGTAATGCACAAAACAAAGAATCGGCCATACTAACAACGATTACAATAGTTGTATTTCTACTGCAAATGGTCCCTCGTCGCCGCGTTTGTTGGCATGTACGAAACCCTCCGCTCTTTGATTTCATTTGGCTGACGGCCCCCCTCAGGTTGATCGCACTCAACGTGCACAGTGAGATCAACTGCCAGGCTTGTACAATTTCAACCAATTTGCTGGAAACTCTGCTCTCGGGGCCTCTTCCACCCTGTGCGTACTAGCCTTTCCGCCTCCGTTCCCCGTTTCATACTCACACTATGCTCTTCTCTCGATCTAAATCATTGTTTGCCGATGCATTCGACGCGTTCCATACTGGCTTTTTCATTGTGGTCCTGGTCCGCGCCCGCACCCGCACCCCGCGCCCGTCATACCTCCCCGTTCTCGATTGCAATAGTCTCATGCTTCGCTCGATTGCGATTTGGCAGCGGAACCGTTGGGTCTCGGCATTCTTCATTCTCATTGGTTTGGGACTTTGGGGCATCCAGATGCACGGTGTCACGACCGTCCGCGCGCACTGGGAACCGGTGCTCAATGCCTGCTCCGTCGACGCCGTCACCGGTGTCTATCTCTCGCTCGTCTACCTCTACACAATGTTCACCGACCTTACCGTGCTCATCGTCACTCTCGCCGGTCTTTCATGGTCACCTGGTCGTTCGGGTTTGTGGAGGATGCTCTGGGATCAAGGAATCATGTTTTTCATGATTGCGTTTATTGCCAACCTTATCCCAGCCGTCATGCTTCTCGTCAATCTCAACCCGGTCATCAACATTGTATGTAGTTTCGTGCTTCTCTACAGGGCACAACCGCTCATGATTTTTCTAGATGTTCTCCATTCCAGCTATTGCAGCGACAGCAACGTGTGCATGCCGTTGTTTCGTCGGTTTGAGCGAGTATGCCCGTCGAGGAGACGACATGTCCGCCGCTCTTGGGACCAATGCACACTCTAATGGCTGGTCACACCGCATCCAGGGTCCCTCAAAGCTCGGCAGCACGGTCCAATTCCGACGTGAGCGACACCAAGACGGCGCAGAAGACAGCCCCGTGAACCGCTTCCATGGAGGTGGTAGCGCGTTTGGCGGACCGTTTGAGCCCAAACAGACGGATACAATTGACGTGATCTTGCGCTCGCTCTCCTTTTCCGGACCACCGGGCCAACGCTACGTCGACAGGCGCTACGACAATGCAGATGATGATGGATATGCGGGGATAGACGAGGTTGCGACGCCAGTCAAGTATGAACGCGGATCAGACGACACACTCTCGTTTTCCCCACTTGATACGAGCGCCGCTGCCCTTCGCCACAGTCGGAGCGCGCAGCCTATTGGTGGTGCGACTGGTGCTGTTGCCCCGCAACCGCCTATGATGGCCGTACGGCGTGGGTCAGTACCGATCATTGCTTCACCTTCACCGGCGCCCATCCAAGAGTCTAGACGGCCGTCTGCAGCGACGACAGATATACAGCACGCGAGGATGCGCTCGCAACGACGAGCAGATGACAACGTATAGACGGGGTCTATCCTCCTTGAGAGGAAAGCTGTGCTAAAAATTTTCTCCACCGTCTGATAGTCATATATACCTCGCTCTTCCAACGTTTGTCGTCCCACCCATCCCCACCTTTTGCTTTTGGACGGCGCGTTCTTCCTTCTCGATGGACACACAACCCACCCAACCCACCTCTTTGCCCTCTTGCAGAAATCTGCACGAGCTTATACACCCTTTACTCTCACGACTCCGCATGCCCCACCCTATCCGACTCCTCTTCCTCTTGTTCACTCTGCGCCCAGTGAATATTCTCTTCTCTCCTACTCGCTCCTTCGTTGCCATCCTCACTCGGTCGCCTGTTTGCATCGTCCAGTCCGTTTATCCGTATACGACTCCTGGTTCTTTCCTCCTCAATATGCCCTTTCCTCTTCGTCCTAGACCACCTACTGTAGAATCTCCTTCGGCTGGTTTGGAATCCAAAGCACGATTGTACTACAACTCACATAAGCACTGAGCAAAAACGCAAGATTCATTCTAGTTGAACACAACAAGGAGTACGATACAGATGCATTTCCTGCAGTATAAAACTGTCCATTGTACGCCAAATGCATACTTTTCCAAGTAGAACAAAAATCAGCAAGAGTGTGGCACAAACGTTTGAAACGTCGAGTTAGACCGCACTCCCCGCCGAATTTTGCTTGCCGGGAATCAACCTCGTATGTTCAGTGGTATTCTGTAATACTGAAGGTGTCGCAGGTGAGTAAGTCACCGGCGACCCTCCAGCTCCTCCTCCAGCTATACCATGACCCCCCGACGAAGACGACGGCGCAGCCGCTGCAGCCGCCGCCAAATTCAACGCGACGCCCTTTTCGAATATCGGATCCTTGAACAATCCAGGTGTGAATGCCGGCAACTCTTCATGGACGTCCCGACTCCCTCTCGAACCTGGTGCGCCCATGGGGACTCTATCCAGCTCATTTGTTCCCGTATCCTTATCCAGCCGTATAATACTCGCACGATGGTCTTGGTATCCACCGGGCTGAACGACCGTATGCATCGGTAAGCTTTCATCCACGCTCCCATTATACACGTGCGTGAGCGGTGTCGTGGCTGATTTCCGCATATCTGCATGTCCCTGGGCATATTTCATAAACTCTGCAGATGCAGGTGTGCGTTTCTTTGCGCGTTGTCGGAGGACGAGATAGCGGATCAAAAAGACGAGAAGAACGAGGCCGATGACACCGCCGATGACGGCTCCGACGATGGTGGGCGTGTTTGATTTACCAGAGCTGGTGCTACTGATGGGCGCTGCCAGGCTGGTTTCGCTAGAGCTGTCCGCGACCGTTTGAGAGGGTAGAGGATCCCCTGTGGATTGAACCTGGAGCGCCTTATCGATATCGAATGTTGGGAGGTAGGTCTGATTCATCCATAGAGTGATTAAGGGGCTGGCAAAAGCCACAGGAGGCGACCTGTGTAAGTCGTTGTCAATGAGAACCCACTCTCCTGTATAAGCCAATTAAACTCACGGGGGTAGCTTGAAGCATTGGGTAAACCATGATTCATGCCTGCATGGACATGCGGATATTAGCTAGGCCATGAACGAGATTGGCGACTAACGATTGCCAGTTATTCGGAATCTCGAGATCGCTTTGACAAGCACCACATGCAGAGTAGAGGTTGTATGCGATATCAGTGCACTTGCAACGCGCCAAAGGGTCACTTGGTTCGGGACGGGGGTATTGACCAAGAGTCTGGTTATGCACACTCGTCAAGTTGAAAGCTAGAGATCCAAATAGAAGTAGATGAGATGATCAGAACTTGCACATAGCCGCACGGCGACCTGCCACTCACTTGTGCCCGCGGCCTCGGCGCATGAGGTCATTATCCTGAACAAGACGTCGCATGGTGATTGATTTTGAGGTCCAAGCAGATCCCAATTTGGTCTGGTACATGTAGGCACGGTCTAGACGAGGATAAACGAGCTAGGTGTCAGCGCTACGCTCGCCCGAAGCGGTTTGATTCCGTGAACGCTCACCGTCTGCGCATGAGTTTGCACGATAAGCAACGAAGCTACTAATCCGAGTATGATTCTCATAATCTGTTGCAAATCGGTCTGAGCGGCCATCTTGGACAAGAAACGTCGAAGCGCGGTGTCGCAGTGGGAAGAATTAGGTGGGTTCGATGGTCGCTCTATCTCTTGAGCGTCCGAAAAGATGAAAGAGCGTATAAAACTTGAATAGTACAAGTGTTGATAATTTGCTGGCAACTGAGCTTGCTTGCAGTTGGATGGCCTGGCGCGGTCCAAGTTGGACAGGCCCCAAAGGCGATGCGAAGGCCTTTTGCCCGAAGCTGCGCTGATTCCCTGGCCAACATACAGGACCCGTGCTTCGTAACTCATACAGCCTATTCCACCCACACCGGTCTAGAGCAAGACGCTGACAACGGTCCGTGAATGTTAGTGGCTTGACATTTAGTGCAACGGCCGTCCGGTGGGCAATCACAAAGTTATCTACACCCGCTACAACACAAAGTTCTCTATCTATTACCTATAGACATCCTCTAGTTCATACGGAGGCGGCGGGACATTCGCCCCTGCTTGGTTATCATAGTTATCATGGTTCTCAAGGTCGATATGCGGAAGCTCCGGAAAGAGAGGCGGAGGCGGGGGAGAATAGTCCAATAACTGCGTAAGTCTTTCTCGTGCTGGTCTTCACCGTCTATAATAGAAAAACAGGATACAGAGGATGACAATCACGCCCCCAAGGATAGTGCCGATAATGACAGACGTATTTGACGATTTGGAAGGGCCAGGGCCACCGGTAGGGCCACCTGTTGTATTAGACGCAGATTGGGCGGGCAGAGGATTGCCTGTAGATTGAACCTGGAGCGCCTTATCAATGTCGAATGTTGGAAGGTATGTTTGGTTCATCCACAGCGAGATCTGATTGGGACTAGCAAAGACAATTGGATCGGATCTGTCAATACTATTGTCAAATTTAATCATAACAGTAATATAAAACGCACGGAGGCAACTTGGAGCATCCTTCGAACCATACTTGATGACTGCAGTGGGGTGGATATCAATAGTAGCCCGACGAACGACCGTGGTGACTAACGATTGCCAATGATTCAATTCCATTTGACAAGCACCGCATGCAGAATAGAGGTTGTAAATGACATCAGTACACTTGCAAAGCGCCAACGTTTCATTCGCTTCTGGACGGGGGTATTGACCAGATGGTTGGAGGTACACGCTTGTCAAATTGAAAGCTAAAATCAGATGGGAAACAGAACGAGATGTCAGAATCCTTAAGCGAGTACACGGCGACGTGCCACTCACAAGTTCCTGTCAACTGTGCGCAGGCGTTCATGAAATTAGACAAGACCTGGCATGGTGACTGAGCAAGAGGTCCAGGAGATTCCAATTTGGCCTATTACATGTTGGCACTGTCTAGGCAAGAACGAAAGAGCTTGATGTCAGCGCTACGTCCGAAGGGTTCCATAAACGCTCACTTGCTGTGCATGGGTTTGCATAATAAACGACCCAGATCTTAGGATAAATAGGTGTATCATGATCTAGTAGACCTGTGATCGCAGCCTTTTGGACCAGGAGCGTCGAAGTGGGGAGGAAGCCGGGACAGCTCGTATGGAATCGAGATGGCTCTTCTTGAAGTTTCAGAAGTGAAATTGAGGATAGAAATAACCCTGTACAAGTCTCTGCAGCGGGCCAAAATTTGCTGGCAGATTGTGTCTCCTTGCTCTCGGTGATGTGGGTTCGGTCCAAGTTATTGTATTGAGAGCGGACTGTTGGAGAAGATACGACGTTCAAAATCGTCCTGTAGCCATGGAACTAGACAGTAACCGCTGGAATTATTTTCTTGGTGTATGCGTATCCCTGGTTGCCTCACCCATCCTCTTTTCTTGATCAAGAAGCCTCAGAGACATCTCGATTTATTAGTTAATGAGGATTATGCCATTCCATGGAGAGTTTTTGTCTACGTACTCCGTAGAGAGGATCCAAACTTGAACACTCTTTTTGATAGAAGATGTTTGATCCCTGCTACGCATTACCGTCTTCGTGAAGTAAGTGAGCTGGACAAGTATGGTTTTTTGGTCCCATTGCCCTCCGACATCTGTCGTACTCGTCCATGACTTCACTCCTGATCTCGTCGTGTGTCACTGATATATTGTGGTTCGTTAGATTATACTGCATTTGGAGTTACTTTATTTATTTGTCCAGTTGGCCTGGAGTGCGAGAAGCAGAATTTCTGCCGAGTATGCTGAGCGCGCCTTGAAATAGGAATGTACCGGACATCCATCTGATGTCATAAATCAGCAGGGAAGATCCCGTTGCGGAGGGCCGCTTTCTCCGCGGCTCGCATTGCTAGTATCAGTCCAAGTTGTGAATGACGAATATTCGACCTTGACCCAGTTGGGCCTGAAGCCTGTGGAACCAAAGAAGAAAGATACGCAGTTCGGGGTTGTTTCAAGTTGAAAGTCCAGGGGATGAACTTGTGCAAAGTGCACTACCTCTGCTCAAATATTGATCAACGCAACAACACGTGAACATCCATGTATTGGTAACAAGAAAACAAGACTACTTCATAGAATACACGACTCTTAGAAATTCTGTCATTGATAGGGAGGTGGCGCGGGCACAGATGGATTATTCGCCGTCGACGATCGGTACGTCGCCTTTTCCGAATAACTCCCTGAAATAGACGGTTTGGCTTTCCCCGTACTACTACCCTGGCTATCATTCATCACAAACAACGACTGCGGAGGGGGCGCAGCAGGCGCGGCGCCAGGAGGGAGCTGCTGGTGCATCGCAGAGCGCGTAGGCGGGACACTGCTGAATCCACTGTTTTCAGGCGATAGAGGGTGACCTACTACCGGCGCTGGATGAGCCCACGGCGCGTATTCTGCCCCAGACACTCGTCCCGTGCCATTATCACCATAAAAGCTAGAGGTAGCAGGCGGTGACGGCGAGTTGGTATGCGACGGATTCGGGTCACTGTAAAGCAGTGGGGCGCTTTCACGCGCGCTCATGACTGGTCGGTTATGACCGTTGATCTGGTACGGCTGAGGGCGGGGCGGTTGATCTGGGCCGGTAGACAAGCGACGTCGATCAAAGGCCTCTTGTTGTTCTTGTAGTCGTTTCTTCGCTGCCTCTGTTCGTCGTCTGTGGAGAATAAACAGGATCAAGAGGACAAGGACAAGTCCGACGCCTCCAACTACGCTCCCAACAATGACCGGAAGATTATTCGTCTTGTTGGATGGCGGCAGAGTCACTTCCGATGCAACAGTAGCCTGTGAGCCGGGCGCAACCCTAGAAATCAATCAGCACAAGACTGGGAAATTGGATAAGAAGCTGACTCGACCATGGTAGTACTCCCTCCGGGCAATGTTATAAAGCTGGTGATTGTTACCGTGTCTGTGTTGGCGATAACCACATCAGTTGTGGAGCGCGTCGCTGTACCGCTTGTAGATGGGTCGGTCCAAGTATTCGTAGCCACATACTTGGGCCCTATCAGCAAGCCTTTCTGTGAATAATAGCGCAATTCTTACAGAAAGGGTCGTTGGGGTCGCTCCAGAGGTAACGGTCGATGCAACGTTGTAGCAAGACGTACGACCAGTGGTAACGGTATAGATACCGCACAAGCCTACGGCTCCCTTTGCGTCCACGACCTTGACTGTACAGAATCAGTGGAGACCCATTTTCGAGGCATAGAGAGACGAACCAAAGAATTGTTCACTCGGTTGAACGTCGATGAGATACGCCTATTTCACATGAGCGCTTGGTACAGTTGGCCGGAGCGCCGCACCATTTGAGAGGAGGTCCAGGTCGTTGTCTTTGGAGGTCGCTAGAAAGGGGTCAGCAAACTATCATATAGCACACGTATAGGACCCTACCTGGGATACCATTACTTGCATGTTGTACGGCGCCGTCCCTTCTTCGGCTGTAAAAGTAATGGTCGAACATTCGGCGCTAGGTTGCCATAAATAACCCATCACCCTCGGAGATGAACAATCTTAACTCACGTCTCATCAGAGTCCGTAAGCTTCAGAGTTGTCTCGGTCATTGAGGTTGTTCCACATGTGCCGCTCGCCGGGTTTGTGACCTGGAAGATGAGCGAATTCTGCGACAGGATGAGCACCAACCTACGAGAATATAAGAGAGGTACTTACGCCACCGGTATACCCATTCGCATCCGTCATGTACAGCAAGTACGGGCCACCGGTGGGCAGCTGAACGTTCCAGGCATAGGCCGTGGTCGACGATGTTCCGATGAGAATAGGCTGATAGCCAGCTCTGAGAACGTGGATAGAATACGGGGCTTGACTATGTGGATTTGACGTAGAGCGTTCCGTCCATGTAATATTGATATTCGAGCAACGCACGATAGTGGGCTCGTATGGGAGCCTTTCAAAAGTATTAATATGTATTCTATTTTCCACCCAGAGCACGTTTACCATCCAAAATCAAACAGCTAGAAGCAAAAAGAGGGAAGTATGAGCGCGAAACTAGGCGAAAAGGTATGTAGAAGAGGCAAACCTGATTGTCCCATGTCGTGAGTTGAGCCCAGACAATATGGATCAGATACACGAATATTGCAAGTCGAATCTGCATCCTGCGCATATCGACGAGCACAACGCCGGTGAGAGCGCGAGACAAGCCTGTGTACCCACCAGCACCGGATGCTATGCAGACTCTTATACAGTGCCGTTGACTGTCGGATTCCGAAATCTCAATAGTCAAGTAAGTGGCGTATCATTCCAAAAAAATCACAAGAAAGAAAGCGTACACACGTGAATGGAAAACACCATGATCACGAGGGAGTATGAAAAGATGAAAAGTCCAAGCAGTTAATCCTATGCAGAAGTTGTGCGTTGATAAGGTGGCGCAACGTCCGCAGATTCGGTTCTCGGAACAAACGTCGCCTTCTCCGACCTTGGCTGCCCAGGCGTACCAGGCGTAATAGGGAGTGGCGACTTTGGAACAACACTCTGCTGTCCACCGACGAGAATAAGGGGTGGCATCGCTCCAGCAGGAAGATTACGCGACAGTGATGGCAGTGAGCTCATTGCGCTGTGCGGCTGGACACTGGAGATGGACGGTCCAGCGGCATTTGCATTTGAATGGCTTGATCCAGGAGTTACTAGATTGACAGGTGAAGTCGGGATACCTGAAGTTGTCGTTCCGTGCGTCTGGTCGAAATACGAGGTTGAGGACGTTCCGCCTCCGGGAGACACTATGCCTGGCGAAACATTTGAGTAGGATGAATTGAGTTGCTGCATCAGCGGTCTCATAGGAGACTGCGTCATGTCTGTGCTAGTGGCTCCAAAAGTGGGTGATGGATGGTCCTCCCCGTCGGACAATCGCCGCCGTTCGTAGGCCTCTCTCTGTTCTTGCTCTCGCTTTTGGCGATTAGTGCGTTTGCGGTACATAATTCCAAATAAGATGAGTGCCGTCAAGAGCACTGCGCCACCTCCCGCAAGTCCAATTATGAGTCCGAGGTTTGGGGACCCATCGGATGACCTGGATCGTACAAAATGAGCGGTGGTCTAGAATTTACCGCTCAATTACATACCTTCCGGCGTCTATGGTGGCCGTAGCACCAGGCGCCAAGCTGGAGAATAGGGCAGCCAGTTAGGGCTATGGTCACTGACAGTCACAATCGACGGTGCTTACACGACTGTACTCGATCCGCCATCAGGTAGCGCAACCGTTGTCGTGATCTCTTGCGACCCAGTATTACTCACGACGGCGTGGCCGTTAGTGAACGTAGGAATGGGTGGAGTGGTAATCGTTGGTGTAATGGATGTCGTGGTGCTTGCGGCGTTGTACTAAGTGGCATTAAGGCGCAGGTTCGAATGAAAAGCTATCGTTGAGACGTACAGTTAGGGTAGGAATGGCCATCCCCGAGGTAATGGTTGGTGCGACATCAGAGCAGATAGGGTCGCCGTTCACGACTGTGTGTAGACCATTTACACCCACATTGCCCGCTGAGTCGGACACTTTGACTGTGCGGGAGGTCAACCCAGGTAGGAGCGACAGAGTGCTGCGTACCAAAGAATTGTTCACCGGACCCAATGTCAATTTGATAAGCCTAATGAAGATAAGTAGAGTTCTTGTAGCTCTTTCTCAGGTACTCGCCATTTGAGGAGTTGTCCAAACGGTAGTTTTGGGCGGTCGCTGCAAATCATTAGGCACTCTCAAGTGCATTTAGCGCGACATACCTGAGATGGGACAATTTGCATGGTGTAGGGGGGAACACCTCCATCAACATTGACGATGATAGCAGAACATTCCGCTCTGGGGAGAAGTGAGTACATTGTGACCATGCCTTGATAACGCACAAGGATCCCGAAGTGGTGATATTGAGAGAGTTTGGTGTCATAGGATTCGTGTCGCAAGTGTCTGTAAATGGTGCCTGGACGTCAAAGACAAGCGAGTTCTAAGGAGGTGGTCAGCATTCCGCGGCATCAATCCTAGGCGCGACACGTACACCACCAAAGTATCCGTTTGCGTCTACGATTGTCAAAATGTTCGGTCCGCCAAGGGGAAGCTGGACGGTCCAGTTGAAGCGTCGCTCCTGGTAATTGTCCACAACAACAATTGGCTGATACCCTCCCCTGTAAACGTAGACGGCATAAGGAGCAGTGCTATTTGGATTGGCCGTTGGCCTGTCTTTGGACCACCCAAGCCGTATATTCGAGCATCGAACCATTGTTGGTTCGTAAGGGTTCCTATGCTCGTTCAATCCACATGTAATCCGATCCCAATGAGCTTACCAGCCAAATGTAAATAGCTAATAAGGTGACCTTATCGTCAGTCTTCAAACATCGTCAAAATTTAGGCACGCACTATGTTGTCCCATGGAGTGAGCTGCGAAGATGCGAGCTGAACAGCAAACACTAGGGTGCACAGGGGTTTCAAAAGTCTCATAGGTTGTAGCCGTTGGGTCCAAGGTCACCAAGACGGCCCAAAAGGCGCCAGCCGCGTGTTCCCGCGCTCTAGCCAAGACAGGCAAACTTTTCCGGTTCCGGAGTCTGCACAACCTGTTCCTGGGCCACTTGCTTCCAACTGCGTTGACTTTCGCTTTCGAACCTGCCAGCTGACCCTTTGGACCCAAGTGCCAGCACCCGACTGAATGTCGACAATGAGTAGATTGATTTAAGAAGTCGCAAAGAAAACACACTGCGGCAAGGACCGAGCATGGTTAGAATGCAAGCTCGTTTCCGAGCCATTTCAAATTATCCTGTCAACACGGTCGATCGCCAAGTGGTTGGGTGACCACTGTTCTTCTCCAGCCTCGTTGGGTCTCGAAATAACCCCCGAAAATACAGGGAGAGAAACTTTGGAGGGACAGTCGGACGTAATGGATCATAAATAACTTTCTGCGTACCGTTCTTCGTGCACTGTAAACTCAATGTGCGCTCAAATACTCGAATTGGGCATACCAGTTTCTATTGGATGATTCAAGCCATCATTCTCTTGTGCCAACGCCGTACATTTGTGTTTCCCCCCCCGGGAAGTCGCTATTTCCGGAGCCTACTTCCACCCCGATAGCCTACTTCCACCCCGATAGTACCTTTGAGGGAGACTTGTCAGATTTATGCTTTCATTAACCCTATCTTGTCACTAATCCTCTTTGGACTGAGAAACGAGTATAACTAATGCAGGGGCTTTAGTATAGTCTTAGTTGCTTTGTCCCATAGAACCCTCATGAAGATAAATTGAATGATAGATGCCAAAGAGCGTCGAGTAAACAGCGGCAAAGTGGGATTCGCTGCGCGGCAGCTTGGACTCCAGCTTCTTTATATGCTGCGAGATACAGACCTTGTTGTATCACCCCGTAGTATAACCAACATCCCAAATACTCCGCGCTACGACGAAAGACCGCGAACTGGTAATGCCCTGGTTGAAGTCAGACTCACGGTGGCGGCCGCAGTATCCTTGGTTTCATGAGGCTTTATCACATTCTTGCCTAAACTGTTGCAAAGGAGCAGTTATCTACCATTTCTCCGAGCCTTTTGTATTACTCACCATAGCATTTCTCCAAAGGAATATGTTTCTGAGAGTCTGCCATGCCTTTCTCACATGCAGACCACAGGAATCTATAATAATAATGAAATTCCTATCATATGTGGTTAGACGTTTGAAAGCAGGCGATGTGCATGTACATGTTAGTTGGGTCTGCCATGTAATGGCGGTCATAGTGTGCATCAAAGCTTCAGTACTGACCCTCTTCCCACTATAATAGCCGATTGTCCTCTAAACGGAGACATTCTGCGCAATTTCTCGCAGACGGCCCATACGGAGCTGCAGAATTCTTGTCCAAGAATAGTTATTTTACTACATGTTTGATGATCAGATGCTTCCCAAAGCGACCTCTTGTGTTGATCTGCATGTAGATTGGTCTAGTACTGGCCTCACGACCTAGTCGGCTTGAAATAGACTGCATCCCCGTTAGTCATCGTTCAACATAGCTCAGAATTGTTATTTTGTTAATATCTTCGTTGAGTCCATCGAACAATACAACGCTCATCTACTACCACAACATGTTCCTAACGATCATAACTGCAAAGCTACGGACATAAAGTTCGACTCCAAATGGGGGTGACACGCGATCAGCAGGGCGTAGCAAGTTTAATTCCATGCACGAAGAGTCCTTATCCTGAATTTTTTACCATATCCTTGGGACGCCGGGTAGACCCTTCCTTCAAGGCCTTTGGGATGAAGTTTTATAAAGAATGAGAAATAAGCATGTCCGTGACAGGAAAACGTTACGAGAAGCATCGAGTATGAGAAGTCCAATGTCGAACGGGTTAATACGACGCAGAAGTTGCAGTTGGTAAGTCGGTTCCCCGTCTTACAGAGATTCTCGGAACTTTGTATTTTTCGACCATGGTGAACCAGCAGGTACACTGGGTGGGATTGGGAGCGGCGATTTGGGGAGATCACTTTGCTGTCCACCGACAAGGATGAGGGGTGGCATCGCTCCAGGAGGGAGATTGCGTGATAATGAGGGGAGCGATTTCCTCGACAAACGAGATGGTTGAACACTGGAAATAGTCGGTGCGGTGGCATGAGCATTCGAATGACTTGAACTGGGGGTAGCAAGGTTGACCGGCCAAGTCGGAGTTCCTGAAGGCGTCATCGCTGCATGCGGCCAGCCGAAATTCGCGGTTGAGGGCGTGAATCCAGGGGTCGGTGTGCCTCGTGAGACGTTGGAGTAGGAGGAGTCAAGCTGCAGCATCAGCGGCCTCGAAGATTGGGCAAACTCCGTGCCACTGGCCGCGAAAGTGAGTGGTGAATGGTCCTCCCCGTCGGACAATCGCCGCCGCTTGTATCTCTCCTTCCGCTCTTGCTCTCGCTTTTTGCGGTTGCGGTTGCGATACATAATTCCAAATGAGATGAGTGCCGTCAAGAGCACTGCGCCACCTCCCGCAAGTCCAATTATAAGTCCGAGGTTTGGGGACCCATCGGATGACCTGGATCGTACAAATGAGCGGTGGTCTAGAATTTACCGCTCAATTACATACCTTCCGGCGCCTATGGTGGCCGTAGCACCAGGCGCCAAGCTGGAGAAGAGGGCAGCCAGTTATTACCGTAGTCACTGACAGTCATAAAGAACGTGCTTACACGACTATACTCGATCCGCCATTAGGTAACGCAACAGTTGTTGTAATTTCATGCGATCTAGTATTACTGACGACGGCGTGGCCATTAGTGAACGTAGGAATGGGTGGAGTGGTGATCGTTGGTGTAATGGATGTCGTGGTGCTTGCGGCGTTGTACTAGGTGGCATTAAGGCGCAGATTCGAATGAAAAGCTATTGTTGAGACGTACAGTTAGTGTAGGAATGGCCATCCCCGAGGTAATGGTTGGTGCGACATCAGAGCAGATAGGGTCGCCATTCACAACTGTATGCATTCCATTTATACCTATTTTGCCCGTCGAATCAGATACCTTGACTGTGAGGTATGTGAGCACGCTGGTTGGACTGGTAGAGAACAGCGTACTAAAGAATAGTTCACCGGACTTCATGTCAATTTGATAAGCCTTTGGGTAGTGAGTAGACTCTTTGTAGCTCTCCTTCAGCTACTCGCCATTTGAGAAGTCGTCCAAACCGTAGTTTTAGGTGGTCGCTGGAGCTCATGAGTCTCTGAAGTGCAGCAACTGTGAACGTACAAGAGAAGGTATAATACTCATGGTGTAGGGAGGAACGCCCCCGTCGACATTGACGATGATAGCGGAGCATTCCGCTCTGGCGAGAGTGAGTACGCGGTGACTTTGGACTTGGTGAATGACATACAAAGAGCCCGAAGTACTGATATTGAGAGAATTTGGTGTTGCAGGATTCGTACCGCAAGCATCTGTAAACGGCGACTGGACGTAAAAGGCCATCGAGTTCTACGATGGTCAGCAGTCAGCAGAATCAATTCTAGGCGTGGAACGTACACCAGCAGAGTAGCCTTTTGCATCTACGACTGTAAGAATGTTCGGTCCACCAACCGGGAGCTCGACAGTCCAGTTGAGCTGTCGTGCCTGAAAGTTGTCTACAACAACAATTGGCTGATATCCCGCTCTGTAGACATAGACAGCATAAGGAGCTGTAGTGCTGGGGTTTGCTGTCGATTTGTCTTTCGGCCACGAGATTCGTACATTGGAACATCGCATGATTGGTGGCTCGTAAGGCTCCCTATGCCTGCTTAAACCATGTATGATCCATCCAAAATGAGAACTCACCACATAAAGTAGTATGGCTAATGGGTCAATCTCATCAGTCTTCAGAAATCGACAAAATCGAGGAAAGGACTTGCGGTGTTGTCCCATGGAGTCAGCTGCGAGGTTGCGAGCTGAACAGCAAAACCAAGCGCACATAATAGCGTACGAGGGTGCTTCCAGAGTCTCATGGGATGCAGACGTGGAATCCAAGATCCACAAGATAGCCCAAGGGCGCCAGCCCATTGTGTGGTTGGTTTTAGGTTTTGCAGGACTCGTTCCTGAGCATCTCTCTTCTACCTGCAACTGCTATTCGTTTCCGGAGCTGCCAGCTGAGACTTACCCAAGTGTCAGCACTCAACTGAATGTGTGGGATGAACAAGCTGACACAAGATCCACTGCCGCCACGATAGCAGCAGGTAAGCTTGTTTCTGACGCTATTTCGATTTCTCTTGTTGAAGGGATCAAACAAAACAAGCGACAGGAAAGCAATCTAAGTCGAGATGACCTATCCGCCTTGCTTGCCATCCATTATAATGATCCATGTACGTTGTCAACGACAAGCTAGGGTCCAAGAAGAAGGAATATCTAAGGTCCCTGTCGTCGCTTATGTCTAGGATCATGTCGTAAATGATTGGACTGTGTATGGCTGTGCATCTGTTAGCTGTCGGTGTGGCACGGCTGATGAGTCTGATGATGACTGCGAAAATGCGGGCACGGAGGCAGGATCTTTGACATCTTTGGCCGTCATCTGATGCGCTGACATGTCTTCATGGCTGTGGAGAATGGCGCAGAGCGGTTAGGAGCCTGACAACCTCGGTGGGTATGAACCCAGCGAGGTGTGCGTGGGAAATCGAGCCATTGACTCCCAGAAAATTTCCTTTTTGAGTGGTTCCCGCAGGTGTATCCGTGACGAGGGCGCCGCGCGCTGTGTTGATTAGGCGCAGCGCATGGAGTACAGATCTCAAAGGCCTCCTGGATATTGCCCCAATATGAGAGTCATGAGGTTGGGAAAGCAGTTGCATCGAGCCTAATATCCATGACCACAACGCACCCTGACTTCGACTACTCCACCCGTTTGTAACTCGATCGTTTTTCTTGTGGCACTCGCTAAGGTATCCCGTACTCTCAGATTCGGCCGAATTTCATCCAAGCACCTTGCCTTCCTTCATAGTAGAATCCAAGGGACGCGCCATTGTGTGGCTTCTGCTCTATCAAAGTTCACTGTGGTTTCTACTTCCTGAGATTCTTTGAGCTCAAAGTAGCTAGCCTTTGAAGCTATCGATTGATCGACATCATACTGCCGTAATATTCCATGATGGGCACAAGGAGCCTGGCAATACTATGGATAAGCGAGCACCTTACAAAGCTCGCATTGCCAGATCGTTTCCCCTTCACGAGATGGGAGACTACGAGACCTTGGAACTGATCCACCGACTATCCTTGCAAGATGCACAAGAGCGCAAGGCCACATTGGATAGGGCCTACCCAAGAACGGGCTTAACAGACGAGCGGCTAGCTCTTGAAGTGCATACAAAGGAGCTCAATCAATCGCTTCAGCGAGTGGTCGATGCGAAAGTTGTTCGACGCCTCAACCCTACACCAGTCGATAGCCAACGTAAGGATGTGGGGAATGTGGAGATAAAGGACCGTAAAACAGCCCCTGAATCGGCAGTACCGCCCATCAGGCCCAAGGCTGCACCCGTAAGGGGAACCGCGTCTCGCGGAAGGGGTCGAGGGGGCAAGGTTGCAGCAAATGCGTAGGTTTTGTCCTGAAATGTTACAGTGAGATGATTAATCAAACACTACAGCAGGCCGACAAAGCCCAGTGCGCCGTCGCCTACAGTGGACTGCGTGGGTTGCCATGATCCTATTGGACAGCAATCGCACATTCTTACTCGCTGCGGTCATGCGTACGACCCTAAATGTGTCGTGAACATGGTCGAGGCTGCCACCAAAGACGAAAACCTGTTTCCACCGCGTTGCTGTGGACAGGAAATCCCAAAGAGAGCCATTGTGCCTCTCTTACCTAACGATACAAGATTGAAGTATGATGCAGCTGTCAAGGAGTTTGCCATAGATCGCCGTGAGCGCGTCTATTGCAATCGAAAGGGCTGTTCGCGCTTCCTTTCCCGTGCTACTACAGAGGATGAACCGACCAGTTCAATCTTCTGTAAAATTTGCAGCGCGCGGACCTGTTCCAGATGTGGGGGACGTGCCCACTCAAAGTTGCTCCAATGCCGAAGAAAGGCCATGTAGAGCGCCCAATCGTTGGGGAGATATTTGGTGTTGTTGGCTTAGATGACAGGTACCCACTGGCAAGCCGATTGCTCCGATGTAACTCAATACTGGAAATTAAACCTCGGAGAAAGGACTCGATTGACTAGCGATACGAGTTAGTATTAGAAACGATACTAGGCGGTCGATTTTGCGACCGTGGCGGGGGATTACGTCGGGATCCAACGCCAATTCCACTTCCACCGCCGCCACCAAGTCCGTCTGAAGGAGAGCGCGGCGTGACGGGCCGAGAAATTCCACTGATTCCGCTCGTGTTGCTTGCAGACGTCATTGTTCGAGAGAGGGGCGACCGCATGCCGCCAGTACTTGAACCGCTCGTTGCGCCTCCTGGGTAGGAAGAATTGAGGCTCCTGTTCAAATCCGCAAGGAGGAATGTGAAATCCAGGCCATTCTCGACCAGAAGCTGGTCGATGATCAGCACGACCCGCGACTTGAAATCGTCACTCACTCGTTTGCTCTGAACACGTGTTATGTCGAGGCATTCTCGTAGAATTTGCTCGTCGCTGGTGCTGTCCAGTTGCTTTCGAAACATCGTACAATAGTTTTCGATTTGCTCTTTACTCCACTGAACAAAGCCTATACAAAGGTAAAGTTCCCAACAGTAAAGAGTGTGAATCGCATACAACTTGTGGACTCGTTCTCCTTGAAGCTGGCAAGGAACCACTCTGCCGTGTGTTTGATCGCCGTGAAGACGATAATCGCCAGGTCAAAGATGTACAATGGAATATCGCCTTCTAATGGAATGGCACGAATCCGTTTCTTGATAAGCTCTCCTCTTGCATCAAGAAAGGCTGTACGGGCCGCGGGAGTCGAATGAAGACGTGCGAGGTAGCCTGAGAGCTGAGTGACGGCAGTCTTGCGCTGACGATGATCGGAGAGCGAATGAAGCAATGCGGAAATGAGATTGGACGTAAGTTGATGCAACCTGTCTTTCAGTGCCGGCTTCGTCGATAAATGTTTTTGGCCTAGGGCAGATATTAGGCGCAAGGCCGTCATCAAACAGAAACTCACCGTCTTCCACCAGTTTGACCGCTTCGTCCCACTCTCGAAGGGCAATGGCAACCGTAAGGCTGTCACAAAACTCGTTGATCCACCGGACATCACCCTCGGCTTTCTCCTTTGCGCTACCGCTTCCCAGTCCCAGAAAGTCGAATCTTCGAACATCTCCAGCCCAGTCAGGCAAAGGGGGAGCATCACCAAAGCCCATGGATGACCGTTCCCCAGACTTCCATACACTCATGCGACGTTCATGTTCCCCTTCACGTTCTTTTCGCCGACGAGTTGCGAGTTCCTCAGAGGTCTGTCTGAACGAGGATAACAGGCTCTTCTTCTCGCTCGAGCGTTCCGTGCGGAAAACGTGACCTTCACGTCCGTGCCGAAGTTTGATGATATTGGTACGACCTACGATACTACGCTAAGATGGTGATCAATGATAAGAAACAGACTTACCGGCCGAGTCTTTTACATCGACGAGGACAATCTCGCTCAAATTCCAACACCGTTCAGCGACGAGCCTGCCTCTCTCGCCGTTTCTTCTTCTTCGACGCTTGGCGACAAGGACAGAGTCGTCTAGAAGCACAAGCACTACGGTGTATTCGATCTTGTATGTGGCAGGATTCAGGTGATATAGTTCAGGCGATTGCGAGATGACATGTCGGCCTGGTATTGCAGGCACAAATTTGGCAGAGCCTTCTATTTTTGAATGCAGTTCTTGCATTTGGGATGCGTAGAGTGCTCGCAGGTCTGCCACGGATGACCGCTGGGCACGTTTCCGGTCTATCAAATTTTAGCGACGCATGCTGAAGGTTATGTGTGCACGCACCTTGAGTTTGATTACTGGACTCGTCCATGCGAAGTAGAGATGGCATGCTCTTCCATTCGGAGAGACTCTCCTTCAACTCGAGCATATCGTTCTCCAATGTGCTAATCTCCTTGGAAATGAGAATGAACTCTTCATAGCTAAGATTCGTTAGTATACTTTCGACCTAGTGCGAGTTTCTCTCACTTTTTGAAAATGTTGTACTGCAGGTCTGCCGCAGTCGCGTTCTTACTGGCGACGAGAGATGATTGCAGTGTCTTGAGCTCGGCTTCAGTGGAGTTGTTCAATTTGAGCCTGAGATCTATTTGCAGCACGAAGATAAGTGGTAGCCTCGATGGAAACGAACGGACACTTGCAAGCGTCTGGATCAAAGTTGTCTTGCTGAAGAATATCCACGTCGACCGCGCGTGGATCTTCTCTAACCATGTCTCTCCCTGATGCTCTCGTGTTCCTACTACTAGATCCTGGGTATCGTCCGCCAGGGAGAGCAGGAACGTCGGGAATGTCTCCGCCGCCCTGGGTGACATCCACATCCGCATATCGTGCTGACATGCGCCTTTTTATCCTGTCATCTACACGAGACTTGCGGATCTCGCGGTTCACAGGCCGCGCATTAGGCCGTGGCCTTGCCTGACCGATAGCAACGTCTCCTTGGGACTGCGACGGGAACTGTTGATCCTCTGAGAGATATCGAGAAGGTTCCCTGGGCTGAACCTGAGTCGATGGTCGCCTCGTTCTGAGAGATTGCATTTGGCAGGGGGCAATGGACGGGTGCAAAGTTGATGCAAGACCCAAGACGCCTACCATGTCCGACTTCTATCCCTCTATCACGCCCGTCAAGGTACAGAGTAAGTAACGAATAATATTCTCACACGGGGTACTGATGTCTATAGACATTCCTTCCAGGGAGACGCTCCTAGACGTCATGGTTCCGATCCTCCTCGAGAGTGAACAGTGGCAAGCCGGAAAGGAGTTTGAGGAGCCAGAGTGGAAGACAGCTATCAAAACGTTCTCTAGACATAAGACTGCCAAAGACGGAGCGATGTGGCACGGCCGAGTGAGCGAACATTCGGAGGAGACGACCGGCGGCTGGGAGGCCGTTTGGCAAGGGATTGGCGTCAATCACACTCTCCACGAGAAGGAGTAAGTAGCATGTCCTTTCAATGGCATTTATTGTGATTTCTCAGATATTATCACGAACTCGAGAAAGCCGAGTTGGTCAAAGCCTTCAACGAGCATCAGGAGATTTGGACGGTCTATTACCACCTCCGACCACCAGCATCGAACCGCGTCTTTACCGAGCTCATTACGACGCATGTCTCCACTGACGAAGCTACTGGGCTTCGGACAGGCTACGTGATGTCGATTCCAGTCGACATATCCTCTGGTGATCACTCCGAACCTCACGGGGCTCATGCTAACGTCCTAAAATAGATCCTGAGCTGCGCCAAAAAGAATTCTCAGGAACAAAGGGAGCCTACTCGGCCATTGAACGCGTTAAGGAGCTTCCAGATGGAGGTGTGAACTGGAGGTACACTTTTTCGTCGACAAGAGATCCTCACATTGACGCGTTTAAGGATGATTACGACCTCTACACCAGGTAAAATCACCCAGCTTTTCTTTGCGGCTTTGTCCTTAAACTTGTTCAGGTGGCTGGGTCCCTCAGACTATCGTGGAGCATCAAATGCCGAGCAAGATAAAAGAAGACGTTGGTTCCTTCTTGGGCTGGTTATCCAAGCAGCGTCAAACAGCAGCATCGGCTTAGTTATACGCTTTATAACAAGAGAATGTTCAACAAGACTATATCATCCTAGTCTTTAATGGTTTCCAAAGGCTCGATGATGGCAAGCTCCGTTCCTTCTTCAACCATATCTCCCTTCTTGCACGCAACTACTACCACCTTGCCGTCTTGCTCCGCTCGAAGGACGGTCTCCGTCTTCATACTTTCCAGAACAACGATTGCCTGTCCTTTCTTTACCATATCGCCGTTTGCGACCTTGACATCCACAACGACACTGGGCATTGGAGCGCGCATGCCTCCTCCTTTCATGGCTTTCTTTGCATCCTCTCCAAGAGAAAGTAGCCATGACGGTGACGGGATAGTAAGAGCATATCGCTGCGAGTCTCCTGCAAAGATATGAAGTTTCTCTTCCGCAGATGCAATCGAAGGCGAGCCATGGTGGTCTAGTTGAGAAACGACGGTAGTTTGAAGTTTCCGGCCTTCGATCTCGGTGTGTAGAGTCTTGGGTCCTTGTAAGGATGCATCCAGGTTCTCAAAGGAGCCCAGGACCTCCCCACTCTGACTGTGAACTTGAACGTGGTAGCGACCGGAACTCGAGGTGACGTGAACGTGATAAACATCTTTAGGCGAAGCTTTGAGTGTGATGATTCGTTTGTGAACGTCTCCGCCGAATCGACGGAATGCTAACGAGCTCCAGGGAGATGTTGTTGAAGATGACAGTTGTCGGTCCTTTTCTAGGTCACGTAGGACGAGGTAAAGAGCGCTCTGCGCAAGTACCGATGGCGTAGGCTTGGGGAGAGGGGGGAAGAGTTCATTATAATGTTTCTATCTGAAATTAGAAAAGTCTACTGACGAATGCGCGCCACATACTGGAATAAACCCGGTTTCCACCTCCGCATCAATGAACGCGGGATGTCCAGCAAGCGTCCGTAGGAACTTTTAGAGTGATCAGACCAACATCTTCCACACCAGATCATGATTTACCTCGATGTTGGTTGAGAGCCCTACAACCTGGTATTCTTCTAACGCCTTTCGCAACACTCGTAATGCTTCGGTCCTATCACTACCCTTGACGACAAGTTTCGCAATCAAAGGATCATAGAAGACTTCAATGCTCGAACCCTCCTTGAACCCTTCCTCTAGTCTCACGATAGATGATGCCTCGGGAGTGGACAAGTGCACCAGCTTTCCGACGTCGGGCATAAAGTTGTTGCGTGGATTCTCTGCGTATATCCGTGCCTCGAACGCATGTCCAATGAGGGGTATCTCGTTTTGCGTGAGTGGGAGTGGATTACCAGCAGCGACATGAAGTTGCCACTCGACCAGATCTTGGCCTGTGATCATTTCTGTAACAGGATGCTAGACCGAGTCATCAGTCCATGAATCTTGGTCGTGTCTGAACATACCTCGACTTGTAGCCGCGTGTTCATCTCCATAAAGTAAAAGACCTTGGTATCATCGTCGAAAATGAATTCCACTGTTCCCGCGCCGACGTATCCGACAGCCTTTGCTGCAGCAACAGCTTTATCACAAAGATCTTTGCGTATTTCTTCCGAGATACCAGGAGCAGGCGCCTGAGGACGGTGAGTAGAGTCCAAGTATTAACAAGTACCAAACCTCTTCTATAATTTTCTGATGCCTCCTCTAGAACAGCGCCTGTCAGCTAGAGAAATAGCGAAGAGATATAGACCCGCCTGTACAGAGCAATCTCTCTCCCAGAGACTCACGACGTCACCCATTGTATCTCCAAAGACTTGCACCTCGATGTGTCGCGGCTTTTGTATATACTTCTCTACCAAGACGTTGTCATCGCTGAACGACTTCAAAGATTCTCGTTTCGCTGATTCAAGCGCCTCCAGAAATTCGGACTCCTTGTGGACTATGCGCATCCCTTTTCCGCCGCCACCGAGTACCGCTTTGATGAGAACCGGAAATTGGATTCTCTTGGCTTGCTCTAGAAGATGTTGCGGGTCTTGATTCGAACCGTGATAACCTGGCACACACGGTACCCCGGCAGCTGCTCCATGTCAGAAGGAGTCTGATTGACTATGGTGGAGCGTACCAATCATAATATCCTTCGACTCGCTATGGTCAAGTTAGTGAGGAAGACTCCTTCACCAATCGGACTTACCTCTTTGATGCCATACTCGTGATGGCCGTCACGGGTGGACCAATAAAGGTGATACCAGCTTCTTCCAATGCCGTTGCAAACTTGGCGTTTTCACTCAAGAAGCCGTATCTAGACGAAGTGAGAAATTTTCATGGATCTGAGAGATGTCAATACCCTGGATGAATCGCCTAGTAACTCGCTCAGTATCACATCCAAAGAACACAAGAAACATACTTGGGCACCGCTCTGTTTCGCAATTTGTATTATCTTGTCCATTCTGAGCTGAAAAAGGTGTCAATGACAGCGGAAAAATGGGTTGATTGGGCATACGTAGCTATCCGCGGAAGGAGCTGGTCCGACATAGTATGCTTCGTCCGCCTGAATGGTCAGTCATGCCCATTGTCAATATAGGCCACTTACCATCTTTACGTGTAGTGCGTTCCTGTCCACCTCGCTATAAACCGCTACTGTCTTTATGCCGAGTTTCTTTGCAGTCTTCATCACTCTGCAGGCAATTTCTCCTCTAAATGCAGAATTTAGAAGGTTTCAGGCCTCATTCATAGATACTCACCTGTTGGCGATCAAAATCTTGTCAAATAACGGCTTGGCCTTTCCAGTCTCCTCGGTATCTAAACACTACGTCAGTATATGCTCAGACAAAGGTTCTCGCACATACTATATAGTCTTCGCTGACCATTAATCAGTCTCTGCTGTAGTTCAACATGCCTACAGCTCCGCTCGACGCCCCGCACGCCTCCCATGGCCGCGCTCGACGTCTGTAATCTGCTCGACGCATTCGCCAACCCGGAGAGGGCGCGGTGCGTCGTCCTCGCTCTACTGAGCGTCTTGACGAGCTCGACTTTTGTCTGGGAGGAACGGGAAGAGGTCAACATTGGTTCACTTGTTTGGCCGTCACATGGCGTCGGTTTGGATCCGGGGCGAGTGAGCAGTTGAACCCCGCCGCTGCCGGATGGCTCTTTGCCTGCCCTGGTACCGCCCTTGACTGGATATCACAACTGGGTGTATGGATAGTTCAAACATTGAACTTGACGAATATTCTTTTCCAGAGATTGAACCAGACATCTGGGCGCAGATACGAGAAAAAGAAGATTTGTATGCCGCTGTTGAAGCAAAGGAGAGTGTAGAGGCAAGTACTGAAAGGTATTTGCTGTACGGGCCACCCAAAGTCCCGGACGGCCAGGAGGACGGGGACACGACTAGCACAATACGCATCGAGCTAGAAGACGAGGATAGTCTAGAGGAACCAGAAAGTATCTGGGGCGCATTCTCCGAGATTGCAGACGCAGATTGGCAAGACCTTGACATTCCACCATCATCTCACGATCCTTCTTCCTCCATCACATACCCGCCCATCTATTTTCTATTCGACCATTTTCCGTTTCAAGACGCGTCTGGTGACATCGAAGACCTATTCATGTCAGGGAGAACGCTCAGTGAAGCCGGCAACTTGCTGAAAAAGTACAAGCGCAGTGGGTCTCTCTCCGTCACTAACATTGCCGCACCTCTATGGTAATGAATTCAAGAGACCTCGAACGCTATACTGAGCGAGACTGCTTAGGTGTCAGCAAAAGGTTTTTTACGACCTCGCCGGTCTCCAGAAGCTTGGAGCCGCCAAGCGCCCAACAGAATTCAAAGTCGAGAGAAAAGTGATCGTTGATAATAAGGCGGTCACCAAAGAGGTCGTTATCAAGCCGGACAAGGCGGTATACGAGAAAAGAGAAAAGGATACAACTCGAGGACAGGTGAATGAAGTTCAATCGCTATATACTGTACTGACATTGAATTAGACGATTCATCAAATCCTGGAACGTCAGGTAGTCCCAGAACGAGTCATCATTCCGTCAAAGTCCAAGGAAGAGCGGTTTGCTCTCAAGTCGGTTGCCGTCTATTTGCCCATTGAAACTCATTCAGAGTATGCAGGATCCTCGAAATGCTCACAGGTCTTAATACCCTGTTGACTTCCCGACTTTGGGTCAGTCAAAAAGCTCATTATAGGTCTAACTGACGTCCGATTTACAGCGCGAAATGCCCGTGTTTGGGTTCCTTGAAAACATTCCGGTCAACGGCATAATTGTGAGTCAACAGGACCCATATTTTCGGTATCTGATTCCCTTAGGACGAGCTTCAATTGGTCCCCTCAGGCAAGGGAAACACTATACGCCTTAGTGACACGAAGACCAAGTCCACCAAAATGAGAACGTTTGACGTCTTTGACAGTCACCGTCTTCAATTGATGCTGTACAAGCATCTTTTGGATGGTTTGCTCTCACCCAAGTTCAACTGGGACCACTTCTTCAAGTATCACAAACTCGATCCAGACTTGATATTCAGCGACCATTTCCTTGCACAAATGGTGACACTTGTCGAGTCAAATCAACTAGGAGAGTTAGTTTCCTCCTGTCGGAATCTGCAGAACCTCACAGTGGCATGGTCAGAGGGGGTACGAGCATTGGACATTCGCAAGGGCAAGAGTGATAGTAAACTCGCAGTGGTATTCAGGTCATTAGTGGATGCCGAAGGTGTGATACTACCTCTGTGTTTATTTAATGCATCTCTCATCTTTCTGTTCAAGCTCCAGAGCGGCGACGAGTGCAGGCCCAGTCAACTGGTCGCTCTCCGTCGCCTGACCCAGTCGATGGTGAATCTGAAATCCTCAGCATTTCAGAATTCATGTATAATGCCAAGGAAATGAAGGACTTTGTGCGGGTGGCGATGGATTTCTGGCTCGGTCTTCGTCCGATAACGGGGGTGGGCCCAGAAGAGGCGTGGAAATGCAACAGCTGCGAGTACAGGAATGACTGTGAGTGGAGACAGGAGCAGGCAGTGGTGCTGTCGGACAAGGCGGGTCGGGGGGTGAGTGGCTAGTGGCTGTATTTTTCGCGACTGGGACAGCTGGCTGGATGCAGAATATCATACAGAAACATTCTAATGGCTTTTGTGACTTCGAGCTCTTGGAAAGCGTGCGAGCGAAATGTCTTGGCATGATGTATCATCTTGCACCGTACCATCGCTGATGGTGGAAACTGGAAATGCAAAGTCTGTCGATGAAAAGCAACACGCTGTCCAGCCAAAGACGTCTCTTCCAATTCTCCGTGTCTCATCGAGTATTGACCTCGAGGCCGGACGCGACGTGCCCCGTCCGTCAACGACGAGCCCCACGCTGACCAGAGGTCTCGCTCCTCCAGGCATATTCCACACCACAAATGGATCTATTCCAGCGTCTACAACGTCTCTACCAGTCCAGGGCATCGAACCAGCACCCACGCACCGACGTCGTAGAAATCGCAGACGCAGGCAGCAAGCAGCCGCCACGGCAGGAGCTACTGCAGCGATTGTAAACGCATCTGGACCCCGTCAGCTAGTCATGGAACCTCCCCGTCGCGCAAACTCGCTCCCGGTCGGTCCAGTGACCCGCCCAGAGCTTGGGCACACCCAGACACAGACGGCACAGCCGTTTGACTGGCTTAAAAATCTAGACACACTTCTTATCCCAAAGAAGAAGATTGCCTCCCGCCCAACGCTCTCCCAGTGCTTCAGTAAGTCTTCTTGGCGATATCTGTTTCAGGAATTCTGACGGATCGGCAAAAGCGAATACGCTCAAGTACTCCTGGCTGAATGTCATCTTGGTGCTTTTGCCCGTCAGTTGGGCCATGGTACGTCGTACAACTCTACAGTCACATTGGCTCACGATTTGATAGCATTTCACCCACCAGTCGGACACCCTCGTCTTCGTCTTTTCGTTCTTGTCAATCATTCCCCTTGCTGCGCTCCTTGGAGTACGTTTACAATTTGCATTCAAATATCTTATATTGACTCAATTCAGTTTGCTACAGAAGAATTGGGTAAGAGCCCCACTTGCCGAACCAGGGGGTTGCTGCTCACATGTCGTCAGCAAACTATACTGGCCCCACTATCGGTGGCCTGTTCAACGCGACAGTAAGTAATCGCACCTCTAAGGAAGCCGTGCTAACATGCAAGCAAGTTTGGTAATGCCGTCGAAGTGCGTTCATCCAACACCTCCAAAAACACACGCTCACACCCTATAGCTCATCATTTCGATTCTTGCCCTAGTCAAAGGACAGCTTCGCATCGTTCAAGGTATGCTGACTGCAATGCGTCTTCTCGTCTCACAGACATTAGCTGCAATGCTTGGGTCCATCCTCAGTAACTGCCTTCTTGTGCTCGGCATGTGTTTCCTTGCCGGAGGTCTTCGATTCCACGAACAAGGCTACGGCGTGCGAATAGCCCAGTACGTACCTGTATCGTAATCTGATCAACCTAACACCTTACAGGCAACAGTTCGTTTATCTGTGGCATACAAACAGCCTATTTAACGTCTCTATAGCATCTCCCTCCTGTCTCTTTGCGTCTTTTCTATCTCAATTCCAGCAGCTTTTAGTAGCTCCGTTCATGTCTTGGAAGAAAAGGAAATGTGTGTATGCAATCCTCTCTGATGGGCCGAGACTGATGCTTCTCAGTTTGTCAATATCTCGCGCGACGTCGGTGATCCTCTTGGTGTGCTATCTGGCATTCCTTGTGTTCCAACTTTGGGTGAGTCGAGTTCTCGAACTTTTGGCCGTATCTCACTGTGCACAGACGCATAGCTACTTGTACACCCTCGAGAGTTCCCGTCGCCACGCTGCCGTGACTTTCCTCGCCGGAGAAGAGGGTACGGCGGCGCCTCCAGTCGGGCAAAGCGTGTTCCGTGTATCATCCATCTTCAGCCACAGTACTTCGGATAGTTCATCGCGCTCGCCCTCGTCGGACAATCTCACCTCGCCTGTGACGCTCACCACGCACCAAGCACCTCCTCCTTTGAACGAAGAGGAAGAAGAGAATCCGAAGCTGACGGTCAAGTTTGCTTTCGCACTCCTCTTGACTGTGACCGGTAAGTCTTGACCGCTCTACTTGTCAGACGATTCTGATCATGGCTAGTCCTTACGGGCTTGACTGCCGAGTTTCTCGTCGACAGTATCGACGGTATGCCCACCATCCTTACTCGGCATAGGTACTGACGAGACGCTAGGTCTCATTTCGACTACGCGCGTCACCGAAGAGTTTGTCGCACTCATCTTGTTACCCTTGGTTGTACGTTCTACCATTAACGCGTTGACGTATGCTCACAAAATTCTAGGGAAATGCGTTAGTACTTCGATTCTATGGAGGATACGTATTGACTTTTGCAAAGTGCCGAGCATGTCACAGCCGTCACCGTTAGCGTGCGTAATAAACTCGATCTCGCACTTGCAGTGGCCGTCGGTAGCAGTATCCAAATCGCACTCTTCGTTCTTCCCTTCCTCGTCATTCTTGGCTGGTGGATTGGACAGGTATGTACACTTTTAGCTCCTCACACAGCATCTCATCCCTCTTGTAGCCGCTCAGCTTGAATTTTGACACATTCGAGAGCGTCGTCGTCGTCATCTCTGTCATTGTCGTCAACTTTGCTATTAGCGACGGACGGACAAACTGGCTCGAGGGCTTTGTGCTCATGGTCACTTATGTACTAATAGGCGCGTACCCTCAAGCGCCCTCTCTTGCACTAAGCTAATTCTCTTTACAGGAGTCGCCGTCTTTTACTACAACTAGACGTGCATGCCAAATAATAAGTGGGCGGATGATCGAAACAAGTTATCAGTTCGGCTCCATAAAGGACTGTTCACCCCTGTATGTAGTATGCCTCGAACTCAGGAAGTGTGCTATTTACCGACGAGAAGGCATGGATGTTTTCATCAACGGTTTCATTACGGAAGAGTCGTGGCTCGATAACAAGAGTAAAATTGTACCGAAAAATGTGGTGTGTGTGTGAAAATATTCCACATAGAGCGGCGTAAGAGAGCAAGAAGATGAAAGCGAACCGGAAGCACAGGAGACGCAAAGTCCATTCGGGGGGTCAGAGCGGCGGTGCGGTAGCGGAAGCGTACAAGAAACTCGACTCAAAGCTTTGCGCAAGACGCGGCGTTGGGAAGAGATGAAGGGACCCAGCAAACTCTACGGCGAACAAGTTTCGCACACGTATAGGTCTTGCCAGGGAGAAAGAAGGTTGCGTGAGAGTCATGAGAAGTACGTTGGGAGTATGGTTATATGCTACAAATCCGGGAGTGACAAGGAGCCAAGTGAAACACGACAGCAGTGTAAAGTTTTTTCCGAGAAAGTCTCCTGGTAGACTGTGGACTTTTCTATGCTGTACTTGGGGGGTTCCGCGGCGTGTTATAGGCTGAAGACGATCACGGACGCCACGAGGGCAAGTAGCGAAGACAGCATGGGCACAGATGGGCGCACAGAGGCTGCTCCTGAGATATTTGGTGTCCTATTGGGCGTTGGATTCGCTTTGATAATGTCGGCGGCCTTTTCGGCAATCGCATATGTCGGACCCATCAAGTGTGCGCAGAGGCCGATAGGGATGACTATGGCACAAAACGTCAGTGGAAAGTCTGAATTCGTTTATAGGGACATATACCTGAACCGTCAACGATACGAAGTCCTTGAGTTTTATATACTTTGAGCGATGGGTCGACGACGCCACCCTTGTCCAGCGGAAGCATAGAGGATGTCGATGCAGGGTGATATTGGGTCCTATGGGAAAAATGTCAGCCAGAGGTACAACCCATGTTACAGCGGGACGTACCCGGCATTGAGGTACATCCAGTCGTCAATCTGCTTGTCGGTCTGGACCGCTGGGCCAGGTGCGAGTTCTTCTTGGATCAAACTTGCCAAGGGTTGCGTTGAAGCAACTTTTCGGAGGTCTAGGCCAGAGTAAGGTCACTGCCAAGGTGTTTGAGGATTATGACGTACACTTTACACCAGCTCGGAGGATTTCCCAATCGGAATCTGTGTTCAGATAGTTTGCGGTGATAACCGGATTGACAAATGGATCCGTGCTGTTGATCATGACACTACCACGGGAGAAGGGGTGTTGTAGGGCCGCTTGCATATTGATAGTGGTGTTCACCTGATTCCACGATCCAAACGAGCTCAACAAGAGTTCGATCGCTCCAACTTCTGTATTTGCGAGCGTGTCAACTTCGCTCGAATACGTCAGTTCGTATCCAGCCTTGAGCGTGTCATCCGTATAGCCCTGGTTGTTCACGACGGAGGTCATGTTAGCTCTGAGCTCTTGGACAAACTGCGCCGTGTAGGTGTCGTTGTCGAATAGCCGCTTGAGGCTGACATAGCCAATGCCGTTGTTCGGTGCGGACATGAGCGACTGGGACAGCTGTCCCTGATGGAACAAGGCCAGTTGCTCGGCAGCAAACGTCGCATTCTGGACAAGGAGGTCACCAGAAACTGTCCTGTTGACCAGGGACCATGAGAGCGGCACCAAGACGTGATCTTGGAAGTGATGGCCAACACCAGGCAGATCGGCGATGGTGTTGATCGAAAAACTGTCTAAAAGGGCTTTTGGGCCGATTCCAGAGAGTTGGAGCAGCTGCGGTGTTCCGAACACACCGGCAGAGATAATAACCTCGGATTTTGCCTCGACATGGTACGTTCGTCCACCAGATTGCTGCGCGAAATCGACCCCTGACGCACGCGGCACGCTACCCGAGGTGTCAAAGGTAATCTTTGTGGCCTGAGAGTTGAGGAGCACAATCAGATTGGAACGGTCCTTGGTGGGGTCCAGATACGCCGTTTTCGCGTATGACCGAGTGCCGTCGTCCGGATTGATGGTCGTTGGAGTAATGTAGCCGCCCCACCCCTCACCTCCCTGAGGATCCGACGTCTTAAGTCCGAGATTAGCCATTGTTGGTGTCCAGAGAGCGGCTGATGGATACGTATATTGCGGGTACGAGACGTGCACTGGACCGCTACGTCCGTGAGCGGTCTCATTGACCGTGGTACCCGTGAGGGACGCGTCAGCCGGGGCGGTAAAGTTTTCCGTCTTGAGCATATACGGGTAAAACCCATTCCAGGACCAGTCTTGGTCCGCATTGGGCAGAAGCGATGCCCACGAGTCGTGCTCCACGCTGGATGCGCGCACCATGTAGAGCGCATTGACGGCGGTCGAGCCCCCCAGGATCTTTGCCCTGGGCTGATGTAACCATCGACCGAGCGAGTTTGTCCAGTATCCCCAATCGTGTGAGGCTCCTGGGACAGCGACACCTGTAAGCAAGAGTTGGTAAGCGACGTTGGCCGAGTTTGACTCGCATGAGCAATGTGCACACCTTGGAGGTATGTCACTGTTGAAGTCGGTCAGCGCGTGAAAATTCATAAATGAGACAAAAGAACGTACATGCTGGAACGAGAATTCGTTCCATTACGGCCTGCCCATCGTCACCAGCTTCGATGACGGCGACAGTACGACTCGAGTCTTCAGAGAGACGAGCCGCCAAAGCCAGGCCAGCAGCGCCTCCTCCAACGATGATAAAATCAAAAGCTTTGTCTAGAATACGCGCATGAGCAGTGGCAACGCAGGACAAGGCGCGTGGAACATGACGAGGACGAGATACTGACTGTGGAGGTCGTCTGGGCTGGTGGAAATCGACCGACGCCATGCTGTAGGCTTACTGACAACTGCTGCACCGAGAGCTACGAGCAGAACAGAGGAGAGGGCTGCCTTGGACGGCATGGGAGACGAGGCAAGAGGGCAAGTTTGGCCAAGGTCTTAGCGTCACTAGAAGTGGTCGGCAGATGAGCTCAGGCGACGCGCTGAGACGGCCTCTAGAAATATAGGAGAGGCAGGAAAATACTGTAAATGAAACAGACTAGACGCAGTGTTTTTATACATGCCAGCTGAGATTCACAATGTGGGCCGCAAAGCCTGCGAACTTGTTCCGCACGAAGCCAAGCCTGTGGCTCTGAATATAAATTTCTCGGCTTTAGCATTCTTCAGCCGCGTCTCGGCTTGAATGTAATCACATCGAGGGGGTATGCTGGCGGAGAACTATCCCCGCTCCAATAAACACCTCTGCCGCTGCAGCATCCCTGTCGACTCGTTAGCAACACTTGTTGTACACTACAGGGTGCTGGGAGTTGCCAGCCTCACAAGGGGACGTACATGCTATATGCAAGGTTATACACCACTTCTTTGACGCCGGTCTGCACAATCTTGACCGAGCATCGCAAGCATGGGCATCTGCGAGTGCCAGCCGTCAGCAATCAACCTACTCTAGACCTCGGGCTGGCAGACGCACGTATTGCAGTAGAGAACCGCGCCATCACCAACCCGTTCTCGGCCCGCCTCAAGCAGCGCATTCTCTTCTGCATGAAGGCACAGGCATTCGTCCAACGCTTCCCCACTCTTCGCCTTACCGTTACATCGCGCGCAGCCACCTAGGATACTAATCAACGTGCGGAAAATCGCCGAGATCGGCAGAATGCAGACCTTCATTGCAGTTCGTGAGGCCCCGAGGGGTACCGTTGTACCTGTGGGAACCATTCAATTCAGAATGCCGATCCGTGGGTTTCCCTTGTGTGAACTGCGCACCCTGTAGCTAGTATTCGATTGTCTACCATGGCATTAGCAATACCATCTACCCGTGATTGATGCACAGACTTCTCACGAGAATGGCGCCAACCCGCCGTTTCATGCAGTTCGATCGCTGTGAAGCAAGAGACGCGAGGGTCTTGAGGCTTAATTAGCTGAATATCACAAGATCGAGGAAGCAACTCCCCATAAAGTAGGAATCCCACTGTGGCCGAAGACGGTCTGGATTCGTCAGATCCACCTGGTCCAGGTACTCCCATAGTCGCTCTATAGACTGGTAAGAATTGACCACAGTCACGTTTGTCAATTGCCGCAGCAGATGGTGCGAATTCGGCGGTGAAACTGGCCCGGTGCCATACATGAGGACATCATGCTCTTCGACAAACTGCTTTAGTGATACATCCCGCCTGTCGTGCTTTAAACTCGCGCCCCTCATGGCATAGAGGGAGCAACTCACGCGCGCTCCAGCCGCACCATCAACGGCGCGTCAACGTCAACGAGGAGAAAGAATGGTCGCTTGAGGAATGGCTCTAACAACTCTCTCGTCGAGAGGTCCTCCGTCACAAAGTCCTGTCGCCAATGTCGTGTAGTATAGTCGAGCATCTCAGTCGGGGAATGGAAGCGCAACGACGTCGCGATGGACATTTTCCCGTCATTTCTTCGGAATGCCGATATGAGATCTTCTTTGAGCACGTCCCGATTGACATGGGATTCCGGTGTTCTACTTCCCCACTCGTTGGACTCAGGTTCCAGGTGCGATGAAGATGCTTAATATAGGTTTAGATAAGATAATCAAGCATTACGTCTTACTATGACTCTCGTTGGGCAATTCACGCGACAAATAGTGGTCTGCCTTTGGTACGCTAGACGATGTCCCGGCTATCTGACGCGAATCTTCATAGAGTTGATCTGTTGACGTTCCTTCGGCATGGGACAGTTCTTCGCGACTGTCATTGGACGAAGCTGCTGTACTTGTGTCTTCGTCGTGTGTGGCGTCGCGCAAGAGGAGAACAGTAAAGCCTCTTGTCTTGAGATATTCACAGATTGTCGTCTTTCCCGAGTAACGCGTTCCGATGACTCCAATGAACATATTTGGCACTTGGGTGGTGTGGAAAAGGTTCAAGCTTTGAACCCAACTTCAACATTTGGCTAACGCATTCCTTCCTAAGCCCTTTATGGAATCTCCCTCTCCTTCTAGTCTCAGACTGCTCACAAGCAAGATTGTGACTGCTGACCCCAGTTCTGGAGTGTTGAACACGTTGGAGAACAAGACTATTCACGTGTCTGCCTCGACAGGAAGAATACTATCCATCGAAGATAGCTCAGAGGATGATTTGCACTTCTCTGACGCTATCGACTTGCGAGGCAAGACCGTGCTGCCAGGGTTTATCGACACCCATGTCCACTGTCCGGTGGTTCTCTACCTTTTTAATCTGTTCTGATTTTATTAGTCTTTCTTCACCCTTACAAGGAAGCATCGTGGGACGAGCAGGTTACTCAGGAGAGCACGGTCGAGAGAACTGTTCGTGCGGTAGTGCACGCGAAGAACACCTTATTGGCAGGATATACGAGCGTCAGGTGAGTACTATCTCATTGATATTTGTGGACTCGTCTAAGTGTATCCGACAGAGACCTTGGAACTGAAGGGGCTGAAGATGCAGACGTCTCATTGCGGAAATGTATTTCTGAACCATCAAGGTTGATACCAGGACCAAGGTACTTCTGTGCATCTCGAGCAATTGTCGCGACTGGAAGCTATGGTACAAAATTCATTTCGGTACATAGGACCCGGTTCACCCAGGCATCTCCACAGGCCCAAAGAACATTCAGAGACCGTATGTGACGGAAGTGGATGGTAAATCAGGTGCAGACCCAGCTAGCGGTGAGTCAAATATGGCGGACGCATATAGTAGTTCATCAATTACATAGGTGTAGCCCAGTGTGTTGAAGTAGTTAGAAGGCATATTGGTGCAGGAGCTGACTGGATAAAGGTGTGACTGCTTCATTGTTCTCTCCTCGCCTCACCTTTGACAGATCTACGCTGGTATGGGCACCTCTTTGATACGATGAATGGCATCAAACTTTTGCAAGATTACCCCGCCCGGGCTCTTTCGATGGCATCCCCAAGGATTGCCAGTCGGTCGGTGCCTCTCTTCTCCAAGGAAGAGGTCACCGCAATGGTTGAAGCGGCTCATCGTCTCCAAGTCAAAGTGGCAGCTCATTGTATCAATCCGTCGACCATCAAAATGCTCGTCGAAGCAGGAGTCGACACCCTTGAGCATGGGGCGGCAATGGACGATGATGCCCTAGAGTCGCTCGTCGACAGTCATGTAGTTTGGAATCCAACATTTGCCGCATATTACTCGTACCGATATCCTGGGTCGCGTGCATGGGACTCACTGCACAAAGTCTTCCTCCATGCCGTCAACAAGGGTGTGCTCATTGGAACCGGAGGAGATACAGGCGAGTGAATCTCAACTCGTATATCACGTTCCTAATCCATTGATCAGGGGTCTTCCCCCATGGTGATAATGCCTTGGAAATGAAACTGATGCATAGACTCGGCATGACCTGGGACGAGGTTATACGTGCTGCCACTTGGGTCGCTTGGCGTTCAATACGACCCATGTACTGGGATAGCAAAGAGGGCCAGGACGAACTCGAACACTACCGCACCAGCCGCTGGCACGATCAGCGCCTCGGGGACAACGAAGTGGCCGTCGGATGTCTATTTCCGGGCTTTGCGGCAGACATTATTGCTACTGATGGAGACTTGGTCAACGACTTTGCGACAGCCGTATCGCCCGAGTCCATCTCGTTTGTGATGAAGGCCGGGGTTGTCTACAAGCGTAACAAGGTGCCTTGCTGCTGATCCTACCGTCGTCTGGAATGGTCGAACTCGGGCGCGACACGAGGCGGGAGCGCAGAGCCTCAACACGCTGGAACACCGAGGCGGCGTGGCTTGGGCGGGCTGTTCGTAGTTTTTCATTCGTTTGTCGGTCATGCTCATAATTTAACCGAACCCATACTCCCCGGGATGTTTGTTTCCGAAGTGACCTTTGCTAAACTTGAACCTCGCCGCTACGCTCCACCAAAATGCTATGGGACCGCAGAGCCGTACGCTGCCTTTCGTCTTGCCACCATTCTCGCCTTGAATCAATTGGAGAATCGATTAAATGACGTGTCATATGGTTTGATAGGTTGTATATGGCTCAACAAACGTCTCCTGCGACGCCGAACATCAATTCGTGCGCTCTCCTTGATATCAATACGTCGCGAGCTCACTCCTGCTATTTTAACAGCTCAATAACACGTTGGGACAGAATCCATGTCTTATATACGCGTACATGGTGGGAAGTTGTGCGAGCGTGCGTCTATTCTCCCATCAACAAAGGGCGTACAGCTGATTCAACTCAGGTTTACGTCGAAGTACAAGCCCTCAATCAATCTTCAACATACCCAGCACCTGCGGGCGACTCTAGTTTAGGCATTCAATCCGCGTCGCAGTGTACCTGCGGTCGTGTGCCGTACAACCTTATCAGTGCTTGCTCGACCTGCCAAGGGAAGAGTGTACTACCGTATACACTACCTTTTTCCTTCGCGACCGCATTGACACGTGCGTATAGGTGGTCTTCCTATGATACTTATTGTGAGAATTACGATGGAAAGTACAAGTGAGTATACCACTAAATTACGGAGATGTTCCTTATCATACCATAGCTTCTCCTCGCATGTTCCAGATGGCACGGCTTTACCCGTATGGGCGACCAGACAGACGAACGCAACATCATTTGCGTGGAACATAGCACTTGGAGACAAAGGTAATGTAATACCTTTCTGTATGACATGAGCTCAACGCTTCTAGGGGCCGGCGAGTTCAGCGCCACAAACTCGAGTGGCGTGGCTTCGTCGCTCACCGGTACAGGTAACGTTTCTGTTCACCCCTACTTCTAAATGTTCATATTTTATTAGCAACTTCTCGTCCAACCGACGAACCATATTCGCCGGGTGGCGAGCCGGCTGCTACGGTTGACACTGCAGCCGTGGGCCTCGCAGCTACAGGACTCGTTTTAGGTCTTGTTCTCATTGCCGCGTTTGTCTATTTCTGGCGCCGTATGAAGGCTGCGACGCTTTCGACATTCCAGAATGACAAAGGCTCAAAGGATACCATCCCAGCCAGCACTATTGCACATTCAGGTAAGTGATTCCAGGGCGCAAGCGTCTTTGCGCTCAACCGAGATAGCCCTCTTTAGCTGTGTCGCGACGTTGGCGATCATAAATGTGAGTGTCCGTGAAATAGGTAGCCGAGGGCGCATCTGATATCTCGACAGGCCAGTCTTACGACATGGACATCTGTCGCATTAGTCGCCTCTCACGAGCTCGGTCTCGACGCGCTACGTAGTCTGCTTAATTTCCTCGTGTGAGTGGCTGCCGGATCAGAAAGCGAAAAGCGGCTGACACATTCCCAGATTTACGTCTTGGTGGACACTACTCGGGTCCTCCTTCTTCCTCATCGCGTTTCTCTACGACAGAAGTAACCGAGCGGAGGATGGTACCTTTACTGCGACACGTTTCGGGTCGCTTCATTCACATCTTATCTGGCTCCTTGTGACCTGTGCTCTTTGGTTGCTTGGTGCTTCTCTTTTCGCGGCAAGTGTCGCGCAGCGCGAAGAATGCCCAGTCCATTGTACCCAGCTGAGAGCCATCCCCGTGTTCGGGTTCCTCGAACTGTGAGATTCTTCTCGTTTGGGTTCTCCACGAGCTAACAATGTTGGTATAGTACGGCGACATCTCTTGCGCTTGCTGTCGTGGTCTACTCTTACTGGACGCTCCGTAAACGTTCAAAGCCACCCAAAAGGCTTGGCCGACAACCGTCACAGACACGGAAGGCACGTCGGTAGCGATTGATGACTATTTCTTTGGATAATCTATGTATTACGCGGGATGCACCGCTGTATCTCACTCTGTTGTCACAATATCATTTTTACCCATTCCCTCAGGCTTCTCAAGGAAAGTCCTGCTCCGTCGGACCTCCAAACTCGCCCGCGAGCAATGATCGGAGCCTTGTATCTTTCCCACATTGTCTCAGGGGTACCGGCGTTTGCGATTGTTTCCGCATGGTACTGCTCCCGTAAACTGTGAGGCGCATAGAAGTCCGGATGAACACAAAGACGGCGCAAGACAATCGTCAAGAGATGTATTGCTGTGGGACAAAAGAATGAACAGCTGTGGAGCGACTCTGGAATGTCTTTGCCCCGACCGTTATGAGCTAAGGAGCTTCTTCAGAAGAATCAAGTCAATGCTATTGATGTCCGCACGACTTGGACGCACGGTCATGTCGGGTTATCCTCTTTGGGCCCTTGCCGTCAATTTCGGCGCCGGGATCCCACAATCTCCATCCTCGCTCAAAATACAATTCGAATGATGAGCGTTTGAGTTTCGACGATTATCATTCACCGAGAATTCGGATTCGTCGATGCCTGAAGCAAGATTGGTGTACCATGCGGGACCAGATCCTGTAATTTGGATTCATTCTGGAACAGAGTGGCCAAGCTGGCGTCAGACGTGACGTCCACGGGATAGTGAGGTCTAGGCAACGCTCTAGGCATTGATATAAATCATCATTTCTCTAAATGAATAGTCACGGACGATCATGCATGCTTGGGTTTACGTACACTCAATACTGTTCTGCAAATTCCACGTGAATGAGACATCGATAAGCAACTTGAAACATATTAAAATCACTGGAAGAAATGTACAATCAATAAACTCTTTCGTTGAATTAACCCGAACCTGTGGATTGTCCGCTAGGCTGTCACCACCAAAGGCTTTGATGAGGGCATGTGTCACGGGTACAGCCGGAATGAACGGCTCTGCGAGGTTTATGGATACTATTCAATATGTATAAAGATTGACCCCTTGTTCTAAACACCCAATGGACACATGTTATGCACGGCGTCGGACACAATGTCAAAGAACCAAGGAAAACATTCCAGCTTGACGACACTCTTGCTTCAGTCTCGCCCCAAACTCTCTTCTGGAACCTGGCACCACAAATCATGGGCCAGCCGCACACGAAGAGGTCGGGAGCGTGGCTAAGAGCGTTAGTTAGCGCCCGCAAGAAACCACTGAGCGGTCTCGATTCCACGCCACACTAGAACTCTGATCGGCCGGCAATATCTGTTCCGATGAATCTTAATACTCATAGAGCGAGTCATGTACTCACCTAGTGCCTCAGAGTTTCTCAATGCCAGGCGAGTACACAGAATCAGGAAATTTGCTTCCGACAAAGATCTAAATGACACAATTTAAACTATTTGTTGACATTACTGGAACAATACTAGCGCAATAGAGAAGATGGAGGTGTGGAATGTCCAAATCAAGACGCGGGCCAGCCCAGTCGCTGATCGAGGATATCTGAGGCGTGACCGAATAACGATAACTATCCGTCATGTTCCAACAGACCGGAATGACCGGTTCCTTGCCATTCCATGCGCCTACTTGTCTTGTTCTACCAGACCCGAACGGCCCATTGCTCGGCAAACTTCTTTCCAATGCGAAGCTTCGCATTCAGGGAGGCCTTCCAGTGCTTTCCCCGTACGTCGCTCCGCGAAAAATTCTCGCCGCATCCCTGACAGTCATAAGGTGTTTCGTGTGTGTGCACGCTCCGTCGATGTCGAAGACAGTCTCCTTTGCGAGTAAATGTTGCAGTACAGAGATCGCAAGGAAAGCTCTTGGTGTCTGTGGATGAAGAGGCCTGGATAAAAAATAGTATTAGTCTCATGAGCAGAAATGATATATAAAAACGGCGACGTAAACGTGCAGGCAGATATGAGAAACGGAATGAGGTATACGCACCGTTGCACTCGCCTTTGAGCGTTTCCCAGAGGCCAAACTGCTATTCTCTGGCATCTCGGCACCTTCACCGTCTAGCTGTGGGGCTGTCGAGACCACATCTTGCGTTGAGCGGCGTCGTGTCGTCCTGCTTGTTCTGGCAGGCCCTGGCTCTCCTGCTCTCGGCCTAGGAGGCAGGGACGGATCGGATAGGGGATACATGGATGGAGAAACAGATTCTATGGGCTTTCCCTGACCGTCGATTCTAAATTCTCGCCGATAAGCACTCACGCAAGCGTCAGGAAAACATAGGACATACGATGGTGGAGGCATCCATTGACTGTATTGCGCTACATATGCGCCGTTTGCAATCTCTGGCGGACCCATTTGGAGTGAGGTGGTATAATATTGATTTGTGGGCATGTTGGCGTATTGTTGAGGTGAACGCTGCCAATGCTCGGACGTTGTTGGATAGGTTGTCGCAGTGTATGTCGGAGAGGACACATATTGAGCATATTGCTGTGGAGGAGCATTGATATATGCAGCGGCGAAGGCTGGATGGGACATGGTTGTAGGCGACGAAGTCCGTTTGATGGGTGGAGGATGAGGTTTGACCTCGAGCGGCACACCAGCGTCTTTATCCGTTTGCGACATACCCAGAAGGGTTTTCACAGAAAGCGATGCCTCCCTGCGGAACGTGGTAGGTTAAATGGATCACTTTGTCGTGTGGTCCGTGGCGTTGAAAGGAACCAAACTGCTTTTCTGCGAGCGCTCGTAATGAAGAGGACTGACTGCCGGATGAACTGACATACGTACCGGCGAGGATGAGTAGGAGCGTCCGGTGAAGCGCACAGGATCGCGATGGCTTTATTAGGCGGTGGCGGGTCCAGAATTGGCGGGCATGTGCGTAAGCATATAGAATGCTTTCGTCATGTTCATCTTGCTTTTTGAAGTAATGAAATAGCGGATTGCTGCCTTCTCGTCCCGCGAACTTGTCAAAGCTTGTCAAGAGAAGGGCTGAAAAAGAACGGAGGTCACTCTAGCCGCGACTTCCACGAAATTCGGACTCGACGGCCGCTCTCAAGTGCAAATGCACTATCGCCAGACAGTCCGCTGCTAGCCCCCCGCTTTATTGTGCCTGCATAAGCTCATAAAACACCGTCAAAGGTATGCATACAAGAGTTTCGAGATGGCTTGCGAGTGAGGCTTTACTGCACCCGGACACGGGACTTACGGCTAGCGAAACGTGCAAGATGGGTGGGTTCCTGAGACTCGTGCGTTATGCTTTCACACCGACCAAGGTTGAATAAGTCAGATTGTGCTAGTAATCGGAGGTTTGCGATGACGGACGACCCTCCTTGCTGAGATCGACGGCCCCGCGCTACCTGAATGGGACCCATCTGTTAAGAGAAGGAATAACGAGATAGAACGACTTACGAAAGGTCAAATTCGACAGTGGGCATGTGTCCCAAGGGACCCCCCGCCCATCAAAGAAATTCATGCGTGAAGGGGGTCGCCATTTAGGCCGATTTGGAAAGCTCGGGGAAACAAGACACCGTCCCTGCCAGCAATGACAGCAGCAATGACCAAGCCTTGAGAGACTAGAAGGAGTCCGTCGGAGCCGCCGGACTCGTGACCAGTAATTCCGGGTACTTTTGACCTAATCTCGGAATTAGAGACCGTGGGTCATAAGAGACCGCTTTTGTACGCGATGACATAGACACGGGGTGACATATGCCATGACCTTGCTTTGAAACCTTGATATGAAGGTCCTTCAGCTGGAGACCATGTCTATGTTGTAGAGATGTTGTCTCGGAAGTAATATATCCCATTATGGAGTTAATCAAGGCGTCGCGATCTCTGCAGGCAAAAGTCCAGACCCGCCAGCGCCTGCCGGCACTAAGCATCCAAGAGGACGAGCCTTCCTCACACGGGGTGGATAAATCCGGTTGATGAAATTGTACGAGTAGCGTGCGCTCAGTCTACGGAGCGATGAGCGACAACCAACGAAAATGGTGTTCTGTTTGACTCGAAGCGCACGCTCGGAGGTAAAATACAGAGGTCCAACTTTCTGCTTTCAGCTAAATATGATGAAATTTGCGCCTTTACCTCCGATTATGGTGAATTACAGCACCTGAAAGCAGTGCGGAGCACTGCGAACAGCTTCTCATCTTGATCGCAACTAAACCAAAAACTAGTCAGCCTTTATCACAACTGGTCGGCCTTTAGTCTGAAATAGACTCGAAAGAGGCATTTTCATTGTACAGGAGACCAGTCTGGCTCCCACGAGATCTCTGTCAAACGCCACAGCGAATGCGCCCTTAGGATGCGTAGAGATGCAAGATGTGGGATCCAAAGTACCCACCTCGTCTAGACCCAGTATATAGTTAACTGTAGATATGGGCGGAAGCGGAAGCGGACGAGACCAAGGTGTAAGCTTGTTGCCTTGGAGCGGACCAAATATTCCGCAGCGATCGACAACTCTATTTTGAAGTTGCATCAAAATACAGACAGTTTGACAGCCAATAGGCCTGAAACTGCAACCGCGGTATAGATTAGTGGTTCGGTTGACATGTTGGACGTGATGAAATCCTTCGACAGTCTCTCGCCTTATGCACATGGCAAGCTTTCTCCACTGGAGGAACAGTGGCGCAATAGATGGGTTTATAGATGAAATCGGACGCTGGAATGCTGGGCCGTTTCTTCTTCTGGCCCCTCAGCCTACTACTTGCACCTGGACGCAGTGGATTTGAACCATGAAATGGAGCCTCCCACTCTTCGTTACAAATTTGGACCCATGAATAAGCAAAAGTTGTTGAATGGCCTCATTCACAACCTATTGAATGGGTACAAACGAAGGACAGGATGGAGGAAGGCAAGCGAGTGCATGAGGCTAGCTCTTATTTGGTTCTCGAGCAGAGATGCATGGTGTGAATGTATGGAGTAGCCAAGGAGTGTACTATTCATTTCCGTTATCTAAAAGAACGACCGTATGACAGCGCGCTGCGTCAAGGAAGTGTCGTGGTATGATGATGGTGAATCTGGAGAGAGAATGAAGATGATACAAGTCCGTGGGAGCGAATTCCATGCGCTCAATGAGTGTAGACGTTGCGAAATGTCGTAGAGAGAGTCGCAGACAGGGTATCCCTGAGAGAGAATGCAGAGCGTAGCTCAGCATGTATCAATTAGGCGATTCTTGGGAACCTTTTGCCCATACCCGCCCTCTTCCGGAGAGGTAGCCCATTGGGTGATATTCGGGTTTGTGTATGCCTCGATGAAGCTAGGAACTGAGTCAGTAAGCTGCTAATTGCACAAGCTCAAATAATCACCGATTGATGTAAGAAGAAGTGGGGTAGTTCGGTGGGTCGCAGCCGTAATTGATGTCGTCGGGGTACTGGTAAACCCGCACATAGTCAACGCTCATGTGCCCCGGCATTTGCAAATTTGCAAAGTCGATATTCGAAAAGCCATGGCTCATTCCGAGGTTCATGATGATATACTATCTCGATCGTCATCAGAGAACTCTTCTTGCCAGAAGAAGACGTACCATCGGCTCCGCCGGAATCAGTCGCTCCGAAATCTGTGCAATTGGATCTGCACCAACGGCGCCTGCATGTAGGGTCCACGACAACTTGTTATCATTGATCCAGGTAATGTATGCCTCGTCCGACTGGTATCCAGGCTTATACTGGAAGCCATAGACAGAGTAGCATGGATTGCTCGACTTCTCGTAACACCGCTGGTTCGTCCGGGACACAACACTCGCAGCTTGCTGAAAGACGTTGCCCTTGAAGCCATTAATCTCTTGGGTTCCTGACGTTTGATGCAAATCATAGTAGGTCACGTTGTCTGCCGAGTAGTACGCATTGTATGGTGCGAACTGGCAGGACTGCGACACGGCAGCAGCAGCAAGATTTGCGTCAATTTGAGCTTCAAGGACATCGATTTCTGGTGCCGAGCGTCCTCGAAACGTCCCGTCACGATTCATAGGCCCTGGATGATCCTCCCCTGGGCAAGTACAGCCAGAGAGTCGTTGGCCGGGGAGGTAGGAAAGCGAATAGTTGTACGCATGGTCTCCAAGTTGTTGCCCTTGGACGTCCGGAACGCCGTTGAGCGTCTGATTGGCGAGGGTCCCGACATCACATGCCTCGTAGCTGTAGGGCCACATTCCTTCGGTCGTAGCACCATACCCAGCCCTTCCGAGATTACCCTGAAGTTTGATCAGAGACTCACGCCAACGAACAGATTGCATTCTCCCACCATTGTCCAAACTGCTGGCCAGTATCCGCTCACGTCGTTGCTCCCAGGAAGCTGGACGCTAACCTCGATTAGACCACCGGTAAAGCAAAACTTGTTCCATGACGAGAGGTGACCGCCCATGTATTGCAAGTCGTGGTTCGGCTCCTCACGGAACTCTATTACGAGTTTGCCCTCTTTGGTGGTGATAGTTTGAGGGTCATACCTATCGCCAGGCAGTCAACACAATGGAAAGGGATCGTGCGCGCACGGGAGAACCCACCATTCGAGGTCCTTGGTGCCTGCCAGAAGATCAGAATTCATCGACCATCCTATCAGAATTTACGTACCCCAATAATGGGCATCGATTGCCTCCCAGAAAGGATCATCTCCCTGCCGGCGAAATTGGGGTCAGAGAGCCAGATGGCCGTGAACTTCCGGGGTGGCAACGGGACATACGGGGTAAAATGACCTTCCTTCAACTTCGAATTCGTCGCTAAACACCAACTGCATCTCTCGTCCGTCGACCGGAGACGGCTTTGTATAGGCACTATGCGGCGTATCTCGGTCAATGAGGCTGAAAACGCCTTCCATCACTTGGCCGGTGGCATTAATGCCCCCCAAATTGTATCCGCCGTTTCGCGACATCGTCTTATGCAGTATAGCGGTTGTGAGCGGGAAACCTAGGCTACGAGAACGCCGTTAGGGTTGCTGCGGAATGCGCCACTGGAGAAACGTACAAGAGGCCGACAAGCCCAAAGGCGAGTAAAGACAGGCATCCAACGGTAGAGAGACCTCTCGTAGTGAATATTGAACCCGTAGAATCAATTTCTTTGTCCGGTTGATGCAGCCAGTCGTCCTCTTCTTTTGACTTTGGAGAGACATCGTAACCCCACATTTCAGGATTCGGGTGAAGTGCATACTAATGACACCGAATCAATGAATTCTTTCAAATAGAACACATATTCGAGCGTACCTTGCTAGATATGCCCCTGTACGAATCAGAATGAGAGGAGTGAGAATAGAAGTCTGTGAAAGGATTGTGGTTCTTGTGCCCCATTAGCATTTTTCTAGATTCCATGCACGAACAAAGGTGTAGACATACATGCGAGCTAGAACTGCCTGGGCTCAAGCATTCGCTCTTGTACGAAGGCTGTCGACTGAGCGACGGCGGCATAAGATTTACATTTACGAAAGGAGTGGTGCTTTGAGAATGTTGAGGGAGCGCATATGGTGGACTGCGCGCGGACATGGTTGGGGTCAAGATGGAAATTGGACGGCCATTCGATGCGTCCGACGACCGGAACAAGCTAACAGTTTCGCATTGGCATGAGTGAATTCACACAGTGACTCATATCAGTAGCTCTGTTACGCTGTTGGCCGTAATTGCCACCATACGTCCAAACGATTATGCTCGGTTGCGATGATAACAAAATTTACTTGCGGACTTTAGTGTTTCAAAACGGATTTTAACGCCAAACTTGGTCTAGCCTCTGGCGCGCATGAGTGGCCGACGGGGCTCAGTGGCCTCGAGCTCCGAATCACAAGCAAACACCACTTCGCCAACCCCACGCATATCATTGAAGATCCAATAAACACCCAAATAGTCACTCAGTAATCGCGGTGGCTCGCAAAGAGAGCACCACCGCCACCGCTCTCCGGTGCTCCGAGGTTCCGATAGTGCGCCACTGACTAATATGTCCGGTTATGTATGTAAACCGCAGTAAAGATTTCCATTCACTCCACTTCCTTACAATACTCCATTCTACGTCGAGAAGCGCGAGAAACGTGATACTTGGGCAGGCATAGCAGGCACTGGAGGTGCAGGCGAGCGCAGCCCGTACGAAAAGGCCGTTGATTGCCGGTCGCTCGATGTAAACTGCGATTGACGGACGTCTGCAAATGGCTCCCATGCCTTTTCCACCGTGTTTGAAAACTCCCAAGGTGTCGTGTCCACTTCGTCTTGGTCCTTCTCTGCCACTGCAGGCACGTCAATATCGTTATCAAAGAACAAGCAAGGACACGCACATTGCACAGCCAATCCTTGGCCAAAGCGCAACCGACACAACAAGCCCGCAATGAGTGATCCGACAAGGAGCCCAAAGCTCGTCACTGTGATCACCGCGAAGAATGACCATTTGGTGAACACGAGGCGGTAAATGTCAGACGAGAATACGACTGTCCACGATCCGAGGAAGAAGACATTCATGATCAAGAATGCAATCATGAGCATCTTGTGTTCACGTCGGATTGCGATCCAGCCAATGATAAACCACGGTACAACCATCAGCACAGACGCCAGGCCAACGCCTTTGAAAACCGGTGTCCCGGCTGAAAAGGACGCAATGGGACTCTCGAAGAGCTGCTGTACCCAGAGGGCCAACGAGGCCAGCAAGAGGAATGTGCTAGTCTGCACAATGACCGAGAGGAGAAGCACTGCCTGTTAACGAGATGAGACGGCGTCCTCTGTAATTAGGGCGTACATACCCTATACAAGCGTTTCATGAGCGGGTCTTCTCCCGTCGTCTTCTTCGTCTGCCTGCGATACACGCTCAACAGCTTGGTCCCAAATCCAGCCAGGAGCAAGAAACAGGTGGCGTTGAGCACAAAGCTTGGTACTTCAATCTTTGCACGTTCGGACCAGTACGAGGAGATCAAATCGGTTCCGTTGCATGCTCCATCCTTGATAAACGTATTAAACTGTTGTTGAAACGCCTTGGTACGCGATATTTGCACCCCAGACCACACCAAAGCAAGAGCGGAGGACAGCAAAGCCGCGGAGCTGATAATGGTCAACATGGAAACCAAATACAGACAGTTTATCAACTTACAGGTGAGGAATAGACTCGTTTAATATCGCCACCGTCCCCAAACCAAACAGCCAAATGTAGTATCCGAGCATAACGAGGTCCTCTGCTCGTGACTGGTGAAGACTAGGCCCACGTGAGTATCAACTGCTTGTTAAAGGAGATTGCACTCACTGTTCCTCGACGATGCTCAAAGATTGCGCACAGCGCAGATCGATATACGTCGTCGAACCTTGACCTTCCATGGTCACGTTGAGCCCAGCAATCACGCCCGTGGTCGAGTTGGCCACAGGCGAAACATCGACTCGCTTCAACACTCGGAGACCTACACCCGAGGGTGTGCTAGTTGCTTTAGCGGAGGTCGAGGATGAGGTGCTAGATGAGGTGCTATTCGTAGACTGCTCAGAAAGGGTCGAGCTTTCTGTAGCTTTCGATGACGTAGAGCTTTCTTTGGTATTTGACGATGTAGAGCTTTCCGTGACCTCTGTTGACTTAGTGCTTTCCGTAGACTCTGATGAGGCAGAGCTTGATATCTTCGAAGAGATAGAAGACGATGGTCGCTCCGAGGACGTGGGCAAGGAGGTCGAGATATCTTCAGCCGCTGTCTCTGTAGAAGCGGTACTAGTCTCTTCCGCCGACTTTGTGCTGGAACGCGTCGAGATGACCGCAGTAGGTAGCGAAGGTCTTGTACGCGAGGTCGACTCCGACAAAGTCGTCTCATTCACCTGAGCGTCTTCACTGGTTGTCGACAAAGAAAGCCGCGAAGTACTTTCTACGGATGTAGTCTCCAAGGTAGGCAAAACGAGTCGAGTCGAAGTTGAAAATGTCTCGGATTCAATGGTCGAGGTCGGAGTCGTAACATCGGATGTCGAAGTGGCACTGGATATGGTGCTTGAAGTTTCTGTAGCCGAGCTGATCGTGAGTTGCGGCAAATCAGGTGTGCGAATGACGGTTTCGGTCGAGCTAGGCGACTCTGAGGTTTGCCTAACAGGGTCAGACACACTGCTAGAGCCTTCCGTCGTCGAAGAGGAGACTTCAATAGCAGAGTTCCTCGTAGACGATTCTGTCTGACTGGTGGGGTCGAGAATGATCGTCGGAAGCGGCTGAGTGATGGGCGAAGCTGACTCCGTCTCATTAGCCGCCTTGGATGCATCCACGGATCTGGTTGTAGTCACTGCAGCAGCGACTTCAATCTGGACACTTGCCAACGTCGATGTTGATGTGCTGCTGGTGGGCTCGAGCGAAGTCGTGGTGTCAATACTCGACGTCGAGATGACGGAGGCAGAGATGGCACCAGTTCGAAGAGCAGATATATCCTCTTGAAGTGTACGTGTGGCCTGTGCTTCTTGAAGTACACCAGCATTGAGCTGGGACGCGCGAGACTGTGTCGCGCTGGCGGCACTTGACCCCCTATTGTCAGATACATTTGGATTATTGTTGGTCGACCTCGAGGCATCCGTCGTAGGAACAAAGATTGTCTGGCACCGGTCGTCATTGGCGGACGAGGGGATGCCATTGCACAGTCGTAATACATCTTGGCCATTCTGGTTGGTAATGACCGGGATTAGGTCACTTTTGACTTCGGCGACCTTCATTATTTGGGAGAGTGTGGTGTCCGCATTCTTGTTAGATAGATGTGATCCGAGTTGGAAGCCGGAGAGAAGCAGAGCGTGTACAAAGGCTACAACAAAGTACGCAGTCGTGAAACGTGTGAGTGTGATGCGCGAATACTAGGGGGGATGGGCGTCAGTAAATGACTCAATTAGTCGTAGCCACGAGTGTATGGAGATGGAGACGGCAATAGGCAACCGAGTTGATTGCGAGTCAACCGGCCAATAGAGCGATTCCCTTCCGTGGAAGATGTGCCAATAGGTCCTCAGCAACGGGCGATCACGAGCGCCTGAGCTACAGGGAGCAAAACGCCCTTTGACGAAAAGGACCACTCCGAGGTAAAGGACATGAAGCGACATTATACTGCTCTTTTGCACGTAAAGTAAGCGAATAAGCGGCCAGAGGTCGGGGATCCATTGACCGTCGATGGTTGCCATGATAGAACAGCACGTACGGCGTGTTTGACAAGGTGTGAGGGGACCGGAACGAGCGCGAAGACGTCCTTTGCACGCATTTTGACCCAATTATCTGTACAGCGGATGAAAATTGTTCAACTTGACACCAGGTCGCACCGTCGACGGTGCCGTGAAGAGAAGGGAGTGATGATAGAATGAAAGAAATAGCGAGTAGAAGAAAGAAAAGGAATGTAAAGAGGAAGAAAAAGAGTGCGCGAGCAGCAGCCACGGACTGCGCGAGGCTGCTCGGCGATGGCGGGGTTCAAAGCTTTAGCGGGCTTGGTCTCAACAACGGCGACGCATATTTACATGACAGATGAGCATTAATTTCGTCGAATTAGTATGAATCATTAGTTGTCTGGCAAATCCATCGCTCTTGGAGGTTGGTCCCGCCCTCACCCGCGGTGCATAAGAACCAGCTCGATCCTCTTTAGTTTCTGCGTATAATTCCACTCTAATATCACGCTGGCATGAGATGCAGCGACTGTCCCGTCGAATCTCCTTCGAAAGTCAAAGCAACTCTGACCAATATAGCTTCTTGGATGTTCAACAACCCCTGCATTGATTCTCGATGATTTAGAGAGAAATGTCAGCGTCGAGTCGATCTTTCTTCAAGAACCAACATCTCCCGTCGAGGAAATGTGGGTCCTCTGTCATGGTCCCGACGCCAGGAGACTCTGTTATATGCGTATGTGACCTTATTATCCTAATAAATTGCTGAATTCTGTCCAGCTTGTGAATGGACGGACTGTACAGCGTCGTTAAACTGCCTGGAAGCATTGATTCACCATGTCGACAGGATCCATGTCAAACGTCCAGAGGTAAAATCCTCTAACACGTATGAAAACTCCTGACTCTCTCAGAACACTCGTCGACTTGAATGCGATTGGCTCCTGTGTCAAGCCCCCAAATTTCGAACAATACACGGATTCTCCAACCATATTGCAGAACATATTCTCGCAAAGAGATATTGCATGTACCGAGGTACGTCTTGGTCAACGCGAGACGCTTTTCTGGATGGTTTGGCAGGTTGCGACGCTGTAATGAGGGAAGACCTTGTGCAGATCCATAGTGACGAAAACCATCGTTTCGATAAACTGAAGCCACTCGTCGACCGCCTTATTGTCCCCCGTTCGCCTATCATTCCGCAAAATGGAACGTCTCAGAGCATCAAATCGTGCAAGGATTTTTAAAGGCAAGATGCCCACCGTCTCCTCCTCCATCTCAGGTAGAGTGCAAATATAACAGCTGCTATGAGCTAGCTGACACTTTCCAGGGGATATTCATTCCGAGCATCCGGACACCCACTGCCTGTCTCGAAGGACGCCAAAGAGATGATTTTGACTTCTTGGATCCCTTCCACAACCTATTACACCTAGACTTGAATCTGGGACTAGCGAATTTGGAAAGCCGGTTCAACGCGGAAGCGAACGAGGCGAGAGCACTCAAGCAGAATGCATGATAATTCTACTTGGCATTTCGGTACTCGTAATTGAAACTCTTGCATAGTTCTTGTAGTTTGATCAACTGCCACCTTTGACATTGACCACTTCCGTGACTGTCGTGAAAATGGCACCAATCCGGTCTGTAAATGCAAAAATGCATACTCCAGCGTGTCCTCACCTGAGTGTATCCAGTAAAGTGAGAGCGTTGCTCATCGACCTGTCTGGAACCTTGCACGTTGGCTCGGAGCCGATCAAAGGAGCCGTTCGGGCTATCGAACGACTAAGGGAAGCCAATGTACCGTTCAGATTTTGGTGAGTCTCCGTTATCAGATATGAATCAGACTCGGATGATTGCTAATGAAGACGTCACCGTAAGAGGATACTAACTAATTGCTCCAGCTCCAATACATCGAAAAGAGTCAACGTCTGCGCTTATCGGAAGGCTCTCAAAGGCTGGTTTCAACGTCCATGCAAATGAAACTTTTACATCTCTTGGAGCAATGCGCAAACTATTGCGTGACAAGGGCATCAAGAGGTGACGGAAGCCTCTGAATCTCAAAGTTTCTGACGTAGAATAGGCCCTATCTCATGCTGAGTCCTTCTGCCGAAGAAGACTTTGCAGAATTCAAGTCGACAGAGGATGTTGCGTACGACGCAGTTGTGGTCGGGCTCGCACCCACCAAATTCACATACGAGAACATGAGCGAAGCTTTCCGTATCTTATCCTCGACGCCGACGTCCAACTCTATCCCCCTGCTCGCAACACACAGAGCCCGCTATGTGAGGGCTCAGTCTGGGGAGCTCGTACTCGGACCGGGTCCATTTATCTCAGCTCTTGAGACTGCGGTAGGTAACGGACTCAAGGCAGAGGTTGTAGGGAAACCCGAGAAGACGTTTTTCGAAGTCTGCCTTCGCGATATGGGCGTCGTATTGGACAGTGAGCCAACAGGGGATGAAATACGTGTGGAAGACGTTGCGGTCATTGGGGACGACGTCGAGGCTGATTTGGCTGGCGGGGCGATTGAGCTGGGTCTGAAGCGCATGCTTGGTAAGTCAATGTCGAACTTTGTATGGTATTACATCATACTGACGCATATTGGGCAGTCAAAACAGGCAAGTATCGGCCAGGGGATGAAGACCGGTCATCGACCCCTCCGGATGCGGTCTTTGATTCAATTGGGGACCTGGTGGAGGCTTTGTTAAGCGACAGATCGCATCTCTGAATTCTATTGATGGCCTGCATGGAGGACCCTCTTTGCGGGTCTGACTCCTGACTGCCTGTCAGTATCCGAGGGTAGACCCAGACCAGATCTTTGCCACCAAAACCTGAACATGTCCGACGAGGCTGAATATTCGCTCCACTACTGGGGAGGCATTCCAGGCCGTGGAGAGTTCATTCGGCTGGCATTTGAAGCGACAGGGACTGCTTACAAAGTCAGTATACATACCGAAGTGGGATGAGATGGACATGGCTGAGCTGGATTCGAGGATACGAAAGCTCCTGCCACGCTCTTGAGCAAAGTGCAAACAACGAATCACCCACCACATCTTGCGCCGCCCATTCTAGAGATTGGCCAAGGAACGTTCATCTCGCAAACATCCAACATTCTGAACTATCTGGCCCCAAAAGTAAGATACAGATCTATCGTGTACTCATCGCTTCATCTGTGTCCAGTTGGGCCTCGACGGCGTGGAGGATGGTACAGCAGAGGAGGCAGCTGCAATTAGGAGGGCGCATGTTAACCAGCTGGTTCTTACAGCGTATGTGTCTTATTTGGTCTCAAGAGGTATCTATTCGAGATGTGTCTGACTTATTGGCAATAGGTTGGACCTGAATAATGAGGCTCACGACGTTCACCATCCGATTGCGTCTCGGCTCTACTATGAGGACCAGCAAACAGAATCGGTTCGTCGCGGGCACGAGCTACGTAACTTCCGCCTGCCGAAATTCCTCACCTACTTCTCCCTTGTGCTCAGAGCCAACGACGACTGCGATGGATCGCAAGGATGGAAGCATTTAATCGGCAACAAACTAACAACGGCAGACCTTGTGCTCTTCCATGTCGTGTCTGGATTCGAGTTTGCGTTTCCTAGACGTATGGCGACGCTCCGCAAGGACGAGGCATACAAAGAGCTCTTTGCACACAGGGACGGCATCGCGGCCCTGGAACCCATTGCTGCATATCTTAGTAGCCAACGCAGATTGCCATTCTCGATGGGTATCTTTAGGTATGCAAAGCCCGGGTTGTATTTCGCATCGGCTGACTATCGACAAGGCACTATCCAGAGTTGGATGGGGAATAGATACAACGTCTTTAAATTAGGGTCAGTAAAGAGGAAAACGGTGATATGAGATGAAGTTGAGACTCAGAAAATGCGAAGTAAAGATCGACATTCCGCCGCAGCGGTCAGTCTCATTAAATCAGGTTTGGAAAAGCATCTTTGTGCAGCCCTCGAGGGTCTAAGGATTGTCAAGTATATAATACACGTACCTAAGAGAGCAGCGGTCGAGACGATGGAGGAGATGTTGCAGTAAAAAATCGACATGCCACGCCCTGTAAAATGGCGGCGATGACACTTCCTAGCCTGCATTTTTCTAAGGATCTGGAGGACGTAAAGACGCCCTCCAAGGCACCGTTTGACGGTAGAGAATGCTGACGACAAAAAAACAGCGTGGCAAGATCCTTGGACCAAACAATACCACCCAAGCACTCGACTTACCAATCTCCGGAAATGGTTCATAGTGTCTACTGAGAGTATTCATTCATTATAATAGAATATTCAGGCGCTGTAATGCCGAGGCTTGACCAGCTCCCAGAGGAGCTTTACCAAGCAATATTAGAGAGCATAGACGATGACAAGGAGAGAAAATCAGTCGCCATTGCCCTGATACGCTCTATTCCTCGTTCTCCAGTACGTTCTACTCGCAAGATTGCTCGGTCTAAAGCATAAATCCAGGTCCCCCGCAGATTCCTCTACTATCAAGTCAACCTGTCCACCTCTGAGAACGTCCTAACATTCTATCACCATCTAAGGAGTTGTGGTGGGGTAGCATCAAAGGAAGCGAGCTGGGTTCACTCCCTTCATTCCGAGTCGTGGACGGTGGACGCACAGATTCTTGCAAATGTTCTCGAGCTTGTCCCAAATCTCGGACATCTCTCGATTCATGTTGGGGCGACGTTTGCACCGGAACATGTAGACGACATCTTTCAGCGTCCACGACCCGCTCTCCGTACACTTAACATCGTCTTTAAACCATATGTACAAGAGGCGACCTACTATCAGTTCCTCCGAGTGCGTTCCACTATTTTCTTTGGGAGAAACTAACATTGTCGCTTAGGGTGCATACTTTGACTCTCTGCTGACACATATCGCGTCTTGGCCAGCAGAATCACAACTCTGCTCTCTTTCGATTATTCAAACGATGCCCCCACAAATTGATGCCCCACAACGCTTCGCACAGCCCATCGTGTTCCACAGCTTGACCACACTCTCTACTCTTGTCCACGCACCGTCGCTCCGTAACTTACAAATCTTGACGATTCGAGTTCCTGGACGAGTTATTACGCCCCTCTGTGTATTTCGGCTCCGACGTCCTTCATCTCCCGGTTCACCATCCGCCCACGGACGCTCGACCTCTCCACCACAAGCATCACTCTCCCAGCTCTTTCCCAGCTACTCTCTCATTACCATATGCTCGAGCATCTCATTATCGATGATACGGGTCTCATTCCTCTCTCGGTGTCCACGCCAGGCCTAGCCAACGGCGCACAGGGGGAATGGTTTGTCGAGCTTGGAAGGACATGCGCATTGGCGGGTATGAAGGGCGCGCGTGAACGTGAAAAGATACTCAAAGAGGCGGCAGACACGAGAAGAGAGATGATAATCTCATCCGATGGTAGCAAGCCAGCAGTATCAGAAACACATGCTCGAAACAATCTCGATTCGGAGAGCACTACATCTTCCTCTGTCACTACTCCGACTGCCGTTCCCGTGGAGAAAAGGCCAAGAAGGGCCGGCGAGGTGTTTCGACGGCGCCATTTTCGATTCGGGAGAAGAAGATCAAGTCGGCGACGACGGCAAGCAAACTCAACATTTTATCGAACCCCACTACGCAGCAGGGTGCCGAACGGGCTATTGTCCGTCTCCAGAAAGCGCGCATCTTACCCGCTATACCGGCGTTGCGCTCGTTATGCCTGACTTTGCATCGGGGAGCGACGTTCAATTTGCATCAACAGCACTTATGGCAGGAAGAGTTTTCGAGAGGATGGAAAGAGGGTTGTCACGTCGTCTTTGGCGCGCGGAAGAGGCTCTATACGAGTTTGAAGAATGGCTTGGTTTACCTTTATCATGCTGTCCATCCTGATGATCATGATGACGAGCCTCGAGAGCAAAGTATACACGAGGTGGACATGCCGGAGCTGGATGGCTTGCAAGCGGTGACGTCTCAAGGTCTAGAGGGTGAATCGGATGGACTAAATGAATCAATTGTACCGATTCTGTGTTTTGGTGCCATGAAAGGCAGCGAACATTCAGAGGGATGTGGGCATTCGGCTGTAAACTAGACTTTCATTCCAACTTGGCTATTTGATTCATAACTAGAGCGTATCGTTGAGCCAAGCGACAAGGTCGTTTGTGAGGGCTTCCCAAGCGGTCTTTACCTGTGGGATGGCGAGATTCGGACGGGATCCAAAGCCGTGTGTAACTCCTAGGGGAAACATGCGTTGGATTTGATGGTGAAAGGGGTGAGGGAACATACCCAAGTAATCCTTGAAGAGGTGCCTGGGCGCGTCGGGGCTTGTGGCCCATTCCTGCTTGATCTTCTGAGCGAAGTCTCTGTCCCATGCGATATCATCTGTGAGCATGAATGAGCGATCAGGGGATTAATGAGGCGATGCTGAACCTTCTGGAATGAAGAACCCGATTGGAATCTTCACTTTGGTTATAGGGTCCTGAACATTATGTGAAGGATGAACTGCCGCAATCGAGTCGATAATATTGTTTCCCATTGCGGCTACGCGAATTGCGTTGCCGCCACCCCAGCAATATCTATGCACATTATTCGTCTTGCGAGCACTGGTACAGAGTGAACACGTACCCGACAACTCCAATCTTTTCGTACCCATGCTCTTGACGAATATGACGAATAAACTAGGAGAGTGAGGTGCGAAGAGAGATGAGAGGCCACTCACGTCTGCAATCTCTGGGTCCTGTTTATCTGGCGGGAACTCCCCCACTCGCTCACGAACTGAACCGAGAACCGCATTTTTCTTTGCCTCTTGTTCTGGCGTAAGTTGTTGTCCGGGCACGTCAGCGTAGGGGAATTCGATTCCCTTTAGATTGACGAGTGGGTTCCCTAGCGATCCATCAGCGCGCTCAGTCTTGACGCGAGTAACGAACAGTACCCTTGAAAATATCAGGTACCCAGACATCTGCGGCGCACTTTTCGCCCAGGATGTCCGCAATCACCATGGGATTGTCGATGGAAAGCCCAAATATGTCTGTGATGACGACAATGGCCCTCTTTGGCTTCGTCTCGGTACTCAAGGGGCTATAGTATGAGCTGAGGGGGCTGGTCGAGGTCAGGATGGATCCCCTTGGGGATCCAGAGAGCCGCTCGCCAGTTACGCAGTTGTCGCAGAGGGAATCCATCGTGCAGACGCGTACCTGGGGATGACCAGGGGATTAAATATCCTGCGGGCTATATTGACAACGCATGCCAAGTAAGAGTTGGTAAGACTACCGGCACGATATCAGCGAGGCCATCTCCGGTACGAGCCAACCTCGGACTTTATTGCAAAAGCCTAATGGCTGTCAGCAAGTGTACTAACAATTGTACAACGTCTATTACAAGTGTATAGAGGCACATCACAATCCCATACTAGATTTTTGGTGTATTACCCACACTTGAGCTCGACCGCAGTCGATGAATGTTCCGAATGGGTATCCACACCCATCCCAGACACCTCTCAGCGCTTCAAATCCGCATTCTCTGAGCCAACAACGACCAAACGCGCACGGCTTGGCCACCATGGGTCCAGCAAACCCTCTTGCAGGCCACTCTCAGCTATCCCCGCGCATACCAGCCATTCTTGGCATGTCCCTTCCACTTTCCAACACTCAACAACAACAGCAGGAAGCCCTTCTAAACCCCGCTACTGTCTCCGGTCCCTCCCAAGCTGCCCCACCTGCGCCAGCTGCTCCCGCTGCGCCCGAGATACCTGTAAAGCGAGGTCCTGGACGACCCAAGGGCTCGACTAATAAGAACAAACCGCCCGCGCTCAATCCGGACGGGACTCCGATCCCTAAGCGTCCAGTTGGTCGTCCACGCAAGATTGTCGACCCCAATGCGCCCGTAAAACCAAAGAATCCAGTCGGGAGACCACGGAAACACCCACTTCCGGCCGCACAGGGCGCTGCTGCTGTGCCTACGGCTCAACAACCGTCTGCGCCCGCTCAAACGATGCCAAATGGCCACTCTTCGACGGCGAATACAAGTTCATTGGATGCACCGTTTCAACCCCCATCATCTCAACACACTCAACTCGCTGCGCCTGCGCCTGTAGGTGCCCACAACACACTAGCCCCATCGCCCACTATCGCCCCTTGTGAGTCCTCTTCCATTCTATCTAATTCAACTCGGTTTTTAATCTTTAGCGCCGACAATATCCGGTGGGACGTGGTCAGCAAATGATCCGTCTGCTCTCGTCTACGGCTCGACAAATGGCCAACAGACTAGATCGAGACAACCAGGATTGCTTGGCCATAGTCATGCGGGAACAAGTACCGCCTCTTCTGCGGGTACAAATGCCGGCGGCATGTTTCATTCGCCACATGTCCCGTCGTTTGATATCGAACACGTCCCTTCATCGTCGAATTACATCGACTCGCCACTCTCCGAACACCCACAACTCCAACGCCGAACTTCCTCCTCGACTCGCGGCGTTGATAGCCCAGCTCTGCGCGCACCTCCTCATCAACGACCCAACTCGACGACATTGTCCGTCACACCGCGTCCCTCTACAGGCCCCGGAAGGAGTGGAATGAGTCTGGAGCATGCGGAGAATGCCACTTGGGCCGCGATACAACAACTCGGCTACGCAAACCCACGTGTCGTATTCTCGCCTAGCAAATCGCGACGCTCAGACCTATCGGCGCTCAAACGGATCGTACCTTCCGACGTTTTGGGAGCTTACAACGATCACTTGCGCGAGTTGCGCCGCGAGACGCCAGCGCGGTGTCCGGATACCTATACGATCTTAAATTCATTTTGGTTACCGGGAATTTCGCCGTATTTCAGACTGACGACCAGTCGGCTCAGTTACTCATCTGCGCTGTCGAATCATCGGTTCTTCTTCTGGGATCCGATGTACTTGCTCGTAGGAGGGATACATTGTCCTAATTGCGATACTCAGCTCAACCGCGATGGGTTCCATGGGCCTTGTCCCGTGTTGAACATCGGAGACCCGTTTTACCTGATTGGCCAGACATACAAATGCGAGGCGTGTGCCAAGAAGACGGATAATTCTACCGCAACGTCTTCCAACAACACTGCAAATCCAAACACGGGTGTCTACCTCTCGTGGGACGAGAGCATTCTCAGGTCGTTGCCTGACGCGCTGGCCAAGGAATTTCCAGCGCATATCAAGCCATGGGGTGCGATTGGAAACGATCTATTTGATTTGATTCGGTCGTCTGTAAAGGCAGGAATAGAGCCCATGCAGATTGCAGAGGTCATCAAGACCGTTTGCAAGCCTGGCGCGGCGAATATCGCCATTACGGATCTGGGAGTAGGCGGGCATGGTCATGCAAACTCTATGGGAGTCGGTGGTATGGATGACAATCAGCTCGTTTCACCCATTACTACTCCGTCTTCACCAGAGGTGAGTCTATACTCTTGTATTGTTCAAGGGGTCTCTGAATACTAATGATTGTGTAGCTACCCGAAAAACAGCGGATATACTACCGAGCATGGCATCGAAACGGGTTAATGCCAGATTCGCTTGCGCCGCCTGACAGTTCTCCGCCCTTGCCTTCCTCATCGCGCATGGGACGCGATAGCATCAACGGTATCTACGAAGACGAACTGCAGTTGGATGGGACGGAGACACCGAGGGGAAGGAAAGCAGGCGATACGACGGCTTCTAGCAAGCACAAATCAAAGGAAGCTACTTCACAATCGCAACATGCAAGCTCTTCACAAGCCCCAGGGCATCCGCCATCTGCACAGGTCCAGCATCCTTCATCGGGCCAAGGACAACAAGGACAGCATCCAACGTTGCCAGTACCTGCGGCCGCCGTCGGTACGATGCAGCCACCGATGTATTTCGTCCAACCCGGTATGCAGGCTTATTATCCTCCACCTGTACCACCATCCAACGCATCCGGTCCTCCATCTCACACTTCCGGTCCGCATTCAGCAAACGCAAGCAGCGGGGTCCATTCGAGCTCTGCAAATGGACCACATCCCGGGAGTGGATCCCACAGTTCTGGGCCTGGTACACACGGAAGTGGCCTGAGGAGTGTTCCACTCCCCGGCGTGCCTTTTTTCCCGCCTCCACCATCAACGATTGGGGCCTCGTCGTCGTCCAATGTCGGCGTGATCAATGCTCTGCATGGGCATCCACCTCCTTCCCATTCTGCATCGTCGAGTACACATCCTCCACCGCCGTCGAGTACGTCGTCGACCCCGGCGCCAAAGCAACCGAACTCGATCATGAGTACGCCGACAGGTGGTGCTGGTGCGGCGAGCACAAGAATGGCCAGAGGAGCTGGAGGACGTGCAGCTGTAAACGGTGCTCCTACTGGCCGTGGAGGTGCCGCGAGTGCAAGTGCCGCCGGAGGGGCGATACATGAATCTCTTCGTGGAACACCGCACGACGTACTTCGTGGCCCAGCTCATGACTCGTTACGTGGAGCGCCACACGATTCTCTGCGTGTTGGAGGAGGCGCACCGCATGAGTCGCTCCGACGGCCCAATCCGTACTTGGATACGGACGAGCCGACGCCCAAGAAGCGACGGGTGCGGCATTGCGCAAAGTGTGGAGGTCAAACGTGCAAAGGCCGTGGTGGGGGCTCAAATTGTCCGAATCCGTGCCGGGATTGTCATCGGATGGAATGTAAAGGGCGAAGTTCGACTAAGCCTGGACGCATGTGCGATACAATGCTTGGGGGCGGAGGCGGATGATCCTGCTTGGCTCAGCAGCCGGCAGGCGTAGTCTGTCGGTCTGCGTTGGTGTGGTGCTGGCTCACACACGAGCAACATATCCATCTTGGACTTCAACCCCACGACTGAGTCTACTCTCATTCGTCGTCGAATCCACTTTTCTGAAGCTTTGGCCCGTCTCTTACTCGCTTTCTCCTTCATGGTGGCAACTGTGTCTTATAATGCTTATCCGTCTCTCACTTATGTCTCCCATTGCTGTTGTAGGTTGTTTGCGTTGGCGTAATCAAGGCTACTTTTACCTAATTTGAAAAACATATTGGCCGTCGGTTGATGTGAAGAGGGCTTCAGTCTAATTTCCGCATTACAGAGATGTCCCCATTACTCGTGTTTGCTGAGGTCTGCACATTCTAAGTAGAATTGGAAGGAGGACTATTGCGTATAGGAAAGTTCATGGATCGTGGATTGCATATCAGGAAGTGTTTCTGGATACGGAGTACAGCTATGCGTGATGGTTCTCATTGTCGCGACTAAACAAGCCCAAACCTCGGGCCCAAGCAGGTTGGACGACACGCCAATGCCCTCGTTTCACATGCATCATTCTTATGCGATGTCTCCTCATTTCGGGACGTAAAGATAGGATATCTCCTGGTATCTCTAACGCATCTTCCTTTGTCAGTTCCAGGTCGAAGTCATTGAACGCTAGCCAGTCCCAACAAAGAAGGTTCTCAGTAATTGAAGGTGGAAATGAGTGTAACAGCTCTGAGTGTATACTGCACATCGCTTTGAGGTTGAAGTGATAACTCACCGCCAGTTTATGCAGGCCAGCCGCTCGCCACCTGAGACCCATGTAGTTGGCAATAGTGATGGTATCTGAGATAATACTCGGGATCGAATGTCTCTCTGCGTTGGAACCAATGAGAGCCAATAATGTGGAACGTATCGGAGCAACATGTGGCTCGGTAATTGTCGAGAAGAATGCCTCTTCTTGAAGGTTGAAAGGTCGAAGGACGATCAAAGCAGTTGGGACTGTCCAATAGCAGTCCCCCTCTCTTGCGACCTGCATAAGGAAACTCCATATCTTGTCGCTCGCTTTTTTTGCATCGTAGCCACAACTGTGCCAGAGATCGAGATAATGACCTGTAGGGCAGTTTGAGGCACCTATGAGCCCATGAAGGCCAGTTTGCGGCCAAGAGATGTCTCGTAACATTTCGAGTTGGTCCACGACTTTAGATAGGTCGTGGTCATTGAGTCCTATAGCGACGCTCAGATGATCAAGGTCACTGGGAGATAACTTCACAGCGGGGAGGGTGTCGAAAGCCGCATCTCCCGGGCGTAGTTGTATTTGGTTATGCATAAGAACCGCAGCCCTCTGGAGCAGTCGCTCTGTGAGATGAAGGTTGTAGTGTACCGTACGTAAAGCCTTCAGAAGCATTATGTAAAATTCTTGACCATAAGGCTTAAGACTAGACCTGAAATCGGGAATTTCCTTATCTGATGAGACAATATCACGACTTCTTGCGGCCACAACACCAAGATCGGTTCGATATCCTTCCGTATCGCCATATGATTTCCATGTTCGTACGACCTCATCTGTCAAAACCAAGTCGTGGCCTGTTGAGACGAAGAGATGAAGAACTATACGGAAAGCATCCTCAGTACCATATGATCTCCACTTCAACAAAATTTGCTTGATAAGAAATGGTGGGAGATTTGGCTTGTCGTAGATTTCATGGATTTGGTCCTCGGAAAGACCATGGCGGACAAGCTCTTTTGTGAGAGGTCGTGCTACGACCCATTAGATGCGTAATAAATTATCAAATTCACTCACGAGGGATCCAATTCGGCCAGAGGGTGGCGATGTAGTCGGGGCGGACGAAAGAGTTTGTATTTAGTCGCCGATTTACGTCGCTTTCGTTCTGCCGGAGCATTATTTGCACATACATCCGTAGTTGATGGGCTTCCTCATCGGATTCCGCAAACCTGCACGATCTGCTCGTGAAGTGATACAATCAATAACGAAGATACGTACGGATCCAATATCAGGTATAGGCTCCATAGTAAACTGCAGCGGTCGCGTAGTTTGTTGAGTAGTGGGTTTAGCTCATCTTCCTCCTTTTTTGCTCGCTCGAACAGGCGGAGTCTTGGTGTTCGCACAGATATAGCTCCTAAGGTAATTTTCCTGACTTTGAATTCGATTTCGCTCAGTGCGAGGCTCGTGGAGAGTAGGGAGAGGTTGATATCCTTTGCAGTCGTGTTTGAATGACCTTTGAGCAGTCGCTGATTCTCTTGACAGTATTCGCGCAGCTTGCGCAGCGTTCTTCGCAGCAGAATAGTCTCCGTAGAGAGGCAAGCCACGGTATACCCATCCGCCTTGCCTGAGCGCGATAATTCTTCGAGATCTTCCTGAGCTTGAGAAGTCTGGTTGATAACCTCAGCAAAAGTCTGAGCAATTCCTGGGAACTCTGCCATAGCTCGCTAGCTAAATGGTTGCCAGAAGAGACGAGTCCAAGTTTGGTGGCTGACATTCTCCTTGCCCGGTACCTCATGGTCCGCCTTCGGCAATGGATTGTGTCTTAAGCAGTAAAAATGGGCTTTGAATCCTCTTAGGAGGCTATCTAGATTCACCTGGAGCAACAGCTTGGTCTACCGGGTGTTATTCCAGGCTCGATAAGGGTATTGCCATACATGCAAGAGAGATCTAGATTTTGCCTGCAAGTAGATTACGGATTATCTCTCGAGCGGAGACGTAGGTCTGGTCCCAGAGCGTCCAGACGTCGAGAGTAGAGAGCATACCATCGGCATAGCCGAATGGCAGCATGGGCGGGATCCAACCTGAAAACAATGTCAGCTTGAAAGGTGTATCGGACTATCTAATGGCGCTACTGACCACGAGCGTACTCGAGAGCAAAGCATCCACGGTGCATCTTGTATTGTTTTACCTGTCCGCGAACGAGGTGGTGAACGGAGCCAGCAGGATACACCTAGGAATTGTGTCAGCATACCGATTACTCTAGTGTCAAGATGGTAAAGTTCTCGGGAGTGGGGTCCAGGAACGTACCTCCATCTCTAATGCGCCAGGGAGTGCGGCCCACTCCTCTCCAACGAGAATGTTAAAGTAGTCATCTGCAGTATGACGACCAGTATGGCCCTCCGTGCCCATCGGAGTTCCAAAGATGATGAGGTACTCGGTAACAGAGGCGTGGATAACATACATGGTACCTAAGGTCTTATTTAGTACGTAGTGTCTCACACTTTAGACCTTACCCATGGCACCACCGGCGTTATTGAAGAACCACTCATCCTGACGAGGATTGATATGCTTTGTCCCGTACGTTGCTGTCAGATTGGTAACAATGTGATCAATCATCTTTCCAGTCTGATTCCCGTGGTGTGCAATAGCGTCTCGGCTGAGCTCATGCAAGTATGTTGGGTCGAAGATGTACCACCGGTGCTGTGATAGACGCGTCAGTAGCTAGATATATGCCTGAAGGAAAGACAGTACCTTGATACTATCCAAGAACACGCAAACCCAGTAGAACACGAACAAGCCAACGGACCACTTTGTCCATTTGGACGCGACGAGGCCTGCATTACCTGAAGAGTGACTCGTCGCTGTACGAGAGTGATGAGCTGATCCGTTTTGCATTTTTTGTTGGTTGCTCATCTGGCAAAGAGAAAAATAAGGATGGCGGAGGAGAGAAAGATAGGCTCATCCAAAAGTCGAACCATTGGCAAGTGAGACCAGGCGGCAAGACTCAATTCACATTCAGCCAAGATCGGCCCTTTATTCTTGAAAATCTGATATTCATCGTGGCTGACACATCTTGACCACCAACCGCTACCGCCATGGCAAAGGAGAAGTCGGTAAACCCAGCAGAGGCCCACCGTAAGCAAATTAACGTCTATACGTATGATTATAACCCGAATTACTAGGCAAGAACCAACGCAAGAAGGAAATTCAGAAGGTGCGCACCCACTGCGTCGAGGTTTGGTGAATCACTGACACCCACATTACAGAACAAAGAGGCTCGAAAGAAGGCACGCGAGTTTCAAAATGCAAAGCAAGACACTACTCCGCTGGAAGACGAGATTGCAGATTTGGAGTCACAAGCTGGTCCGTATCCGAAATTCCCAAGGAAATAGAACTGAAATAGAATCAAAGAGCTCAGCAAACCCGAAAAGGGACGATTGGCACAGCTGAAGCAGGATCTCAAGCGGTTGCTCAAGACCAAAGAGGCCTATCTCAAGGAGCACCCAGAACATCGTAGTCTCATCTACGCGAGTTCTCGGAAAAAGGAGCAAGGAGAAAGTTCAGGGCCTGTTGGGATCGCCCCAGGGGATAGAAACGTCTTTGGCAAGGATGGGCTTCCTTTACGACCGGAGCGAAGTATCTATTACGACCCAGTGATGAATCCCTTTGGAGTTGCACCACCAGGAATGCCCTATCTAGAGCGACGTGTGTTTCTACTCTTGCATTTGACGTTTTCTGACTCTAAATCAGCACCAACACCGGATCCTATGCAGGGTAGCGAAGAAGATTCAGACCTTTCCGACGAAGACGATATACCAATGCCACCAGGTCCCCGACCCGGTGCCATGGAGGAGGATTCCGAGGCGGAAAACGTGGTACCAGCGTTACCTCCAGACTTCGTCCCGCCACTCCCACCAGGTATGTATATCATGCCGAGTAAGCATAATCTGAGACCATATAGGCCCAATACCACCTACCGCCATACTAGCACCAGGCTTCGTCCCGGCCTTTGTACCTCCCGTCCCACCTCCTCCAGGCCTTCCACCTCCACCAGCTGGTATCCCAGCTGCACCGCTTGGATTACCTGGAGGGTTCGTTCCTCCACCACCACCACCGACTGGATTCCCTCCGCTTCCTCTTAATATGCCCGCTGTATTGAATCCACCAAACCTTCCACAAGGCGCAATTCCACCACCACCCTTTGGATTTCCAAACTTTGCACCCAACTTCCCCCCTGCTCCACCTTCTGGTCCCGTATGGACCGCGCCAACTGTTCACGTTCCGCCTATTGATCCACTTCGTGCACAAACACAAGCACGCACCACAAAACCTCCACCTCCACCTTCCTCTCTTCCTGTTCATCCATCCCTTCCTGCACGACCTACCCCTGCACCTGCGACGAAGCGGGTGCTGGCGTTGGACGATACGTCGAGTGGAGCGACGATTAGCGCTGCACCAGAATTACGTGACTTGAAGAAGGAAGTGACGGCCTTTGTGCCCCGTGGTATTCGACAAAAGACTGAAAAGGCCAAACCACCAGCTGGTGCCACGGCGACATCTGGTCCGGAAGATACTAGGGAACCAGAGGAGGAGAAGCCAGACCTTATGGCGACGTTGCGCAATGCTGGTATTGCCGCACAGAAGCAACTTCAATCCGAGGACAAATGAGTTGGACTGAGCTATGGACAAGTCCGGTAGCAGCTTAGAAGAGAGACGCCCAATATCACGCTGTATTGCAGTAATGTAATCTATGTATATCTTCCGGACATTACCCAGCGTCGCCAGAGGATGCCATGGTGGCAGTTGGCTCTACTTTCTCAATAGTATTTGACCACCCAAGAAGAGTTGGAGGACCCAATGTTATTGATGACCTGTAATGGACATCAGTCATAGCCATGGATATGTGAAGCAAACAACGTACCGACATGCGCGCAGCATGTTGGCTCCACATCATATTCGAGATCATTTGCGTCTGCTGTTGTTGCATCATCATCTTCTGCATCGCCGACAAAGCAGCTGTCGAGTCTCCTCCACTCCCACTGGGGATATTCACCGACGACTTCATCGGTCCGTGTGCCGTCATGCCCATGGTCAACTTTTGAAGCACAAGCATCTCGCGATCCTTGTAGCTTGTCATATAATCACGAACGGGTGCCATAAACGCATTAAACCTTCCCTTCTCCTATCATTCTCCTTGTCAAACAAGCGCTCCGTTTCCTCGTCCTCTTTCTCGCCTCTATCACGCATGGCAGATCCAGGACCAAAATACCAATTGTCGCCTCGACCAGCACGCGTCTCCGAAGCGGCTAATTGAGCTAAGTCGTCTTCACGTTTCTCCCACATTTGCTTGCGCTCCAACCCACGAAGCACAGAGCGCATGTCGTTGGTCATGGCGTGTACTGACCAGAGCGAAGACTGTGCGGACGTAATTTGAGCGTGTAATTCGATGCTTGGGAGTGGAACCTTGGAAGGCGCGGTATCACCCTCTTTGGCCCGAGCTTCTTCTTGGTCCAATGGGATTGTTGGAGGAACTGTATCAAGCAGTGTACGAAGATGCTGCTGAAGTAGCTCTTGGTCTCTGTCCACAACGGCAATGGCTTCCTTGATCCGGCGTGTAGAGAGGGCGAAAAAGGGTGCTCGACGATCCGCTCTCTGTGCAGTACGTTGGGCCTTGAGCTCGAGAAGTCTGAGCTCATGTTGTTTCTCAAACTAAAGCCAGTGAGTGCGAATAGTGAGAAAAAAAAAAGATGTATGCCTACCTTGGAGGCATCTCCCCATGGATCAGAACGACTCTTGTCGTCTGTGATAACCTCGCGCTGGAGTTCAAATTCACGGCGCATATGATCGTCTTCCAGCTCCGCAAGCGTCCTCATTCCAGTTTCCATAGTCTCGGAGACCTGCTCGAGAGCCGCAATGGCTCGAACAACATCGAGCTCTGGATTGTCCTCTTCGAGGTATCCCTGTAGCTCTGCATAGATTGGATGTATATCCGCAAACGCCTTGTGGACCATCTCTCTCGCAGGGTTGAGGTACTTGCGACAATAGTCTTCAAAGTCGCTTCGATTCTTTTGCTGTCGAATAACGCGCTCGCGCTCTGAATATTCTTCTTCTAATCGATTCGCTGTATCCCAGTCGCCTCGCAAGTGGAGCTCGCTGAGTCTGGCCGAATGCGCTTCTGCACGACGGTTAAACGAGTCGTCGTACGGCGTCGCGTCGAAGATGCCGCTACTCCAGCGAAGATTGGAGACTTCTTCTGACATCCGAGGATGAATCTCCCATGCACGTTTCTTGGCATTTTCCACTGGTTCGTCTGCGTCGTAGCCTGTGATAACTCGGTCCAGAAACTCTTGGCCGGATTCGAGTGGTGGAATTCGAGGGCGTGTGGGATCGTAGACGGCGATGGGGTCGTATACGTCCGACTTTGGTTTCTGTTCCTCTTGTTCCTCGGTATTCTCTACCGTAATAACGGGACCGGGTTCTTCCACTTTCAAAGTCTCCTCTCGATTCCCTTGCGAGGCGTCTTGCGAGGACCGAGTTGTAGAGGTACTCTCTTCGGGTGCTGGTGCGGGCAACCCAAACTCGTTCCGCCATCGCTCGCCTTCCTCTTTGAGAAAGCGAGTAATGACAGCGTGAAGCGCGATTGCAGAAATCAGGTCCGTGCGGGCCTCTTTGAGGTGCTCCTTGTGATCTTCGAGAAATGCGGCGTAGCGTTGGACGGCGTCACTTTCAAATGAAGAAGTCGGCTGTACTGGATCTGGAGTAACTTGGTTGATACTCATAGAAGCCATAGATTGAGCGAGTGGCGCTGGAGATGGAGACCTGGTGGGAGGGGTGGAGCTTGAACTTGGAGGTGTGGCGGAGGTGGATGGCTTGGAGGACCATAGGTTTGGGACGCTTGAGGTGGTGGTACCGCCTGTGCTTCGTGCTCAAAGATGTGATCCATGAGTGTTTGCAAGTCTGCGCCTGGAGGCGTATCTCTGAGTGCCCCTACAGATTATTCAGACGTGTGTATCCTAAAGAAGTTCCAAAAGGCGTACATTCCACGCGATCTTGGGCAAAGCCCATGGAGATGAGTGTTTCTCGGTCGCCCATTGTGCACTGTGGGAGAGTTGAAGAGTATCTCTTTAGTTTTCTTAGGATTATCAACCAAACCCTGGGCGCATTTTCATCGGACTCGGCGACAGGAGGGCGATGTCGAGCGCTAAGCTAGAAACAAAGCAAGTAACGACTTTCTCCTCGACGTTCCTCGTGGTCGGACAATAAGACCATTTACAGCAGTCAATCTCTACTTTTGCAACGTGTTTCAGGTCTGTAGAGCCATCTGTGCGTACAGCCATGGACATTCTGGCGTTTTCCTTTGACATGCATTTCGTTTTACAGCCCCTTTTCCGCCATGCAAAGATTAGCCAGTCCACTCAAATCACGAGCGACACAATTCTCGCATCGTATCATTTGTAATGCATTGCCCACGTCGAGCAGGACTCTGCTGTCAACGCCAGTTGCATATCGACAAGAGTATTCCACGGCAACAGAAAGTCAACACCAGGCATCTACAAGCTCTTCTGATGCATTTACGGCATCGTTGCATGGCGGAGAGACTGCGCAGCCATCAGAACTCCCCCGTCAAAAGACTACCGTCTCCTACCCATACTTTGTACCGAGAAACACCAACGGAGCCATTCCCGTCTACTCGGATTTCAAGAATAGCCGAACCCGCGAATTGGTGCATATAAGAAACGTCGAGGGAGATTTGCAGGTATGTCCCTGTCCAGCCGTTCTGAACATTGCTGAGCGAGTGTATAGGCTCTCAAGGAGGATCTCATTGCGACCCTCTTCCCCGAAGAAAAGGTGTATGGGCCAGAGATCCGCAAGCTGAAGAACGGGGTGCGAATACACCAGAACCGGCATATTGTGATCCAGGGAGGACCATGGGTCAAACGAGTACACAAATGGCTGCTCGCCCGGGGCTTCTAATCTCCTAGTCGTATTCTTATTAGCGTACTCTACCCGCGAAATTAGTTTGTCCGTGCAATTGGATTCTAACAAATTGTCAATCTGCTCGTAAATCTTTTATTGGTCGTGGGATGATCCGGGTGATTACGCCCTGCAAAATCTCTTGCCGACGTTCGCCATCGGACTGACTCGACATTGCAAGCTTGGACTCCTCCAGCGCCATAATTTCTCTTTCTAAGCAATTCTCTTCCAGATAAAAGGTTGTTCTACCTCTTTGCGCACTCTTTACTCGATTGCTGACACACCTTTTCGTCGACCTTGGTTCAATTATAGGACTAGGACTTGAATTTCTTGGATCAACGCATTCTAATCTCGCTGAAAATGTCCTCTACAAACGGTATTCCTCCTGTCACATTGGCCAATGTGCCTCCACTCGCTAGCTCACGGTCTGCCCAAGTGGCGAGGGGAGACGGAGCCGCCGGTCCTAATGCAGGGACGTTTGCAGTGAGTGCCCTAACAATCTGATTCAAGAATCAATCTAAATATTGGATTCCTCTTTGATCCGCACGATAGGTCAAGAGTGGTCTTGCCCAGATGCTCAAGGTGCGCAATCTTTCATAGATCTTGACTGTACTCTGATGCAATTTCTGTTATTACGACACCAGGGTGGCGTGATTATGGACGTTATCAACGCAGAGCAGGTCGGCTAATGCTTGACGGTGCACCTCGGCCATGGTACTGACGAGCGCCCCGTGGCTATTTGACAGGCAAGAATAGCAGAGGAGGCGGGCGCATGTGCTGTGATGGCTCTCGAGCGCGTTCCTGCTGATATCAGAAAGGAGGGTGGTGTGGCTCGCATGGTACGCAGCAATTCATTCCAACTCTCTTCCTTTCATTAGGATGCTAACGTATCTCGTAATGCTCTAGAGCGACCCAAGCATGATCAAGGAGATTATTGATGCCGTGACCATTCCCGTCATGGCAAAGTGCCGCATTGGTCACTTTGTCGAAGCACAGGTGGGTATTTTGAGTGACATTTATGATTATTGCTCATGGTTCGTATAGATTCTCCAGGCTGTTGGTGTCGACTACATTGACGAGTCCGAGGTCCTCACCCCGCGGACGAACAACACCATATCAACAAGCAAGGATTCAAAGTTCCGTTTGTTTGTGGTGCCAAGAATCTCGGAGAGGCGCTGAGACGCATTTCCGAGGGGGCAGCATTCATCCGAACCAAGGGAGAGGCGGGAACTGGTTGGTACTTTGATCTCATTTCGTGTGCACTCTGAGACCAGTTTCTCCAGGAAATGTTATCGAGGCTGTTCGACACTGCCGAACGGTAAATGCAGAGATTCGAAAGGCAGCTGCGATGGGTGAAGAGGAACTCTTTGCATATGCAAAGGAGATTGGAGCCCCGTACCATCTTCTCAAGGAGACTGCCCGCTTGAAGCGACTTCCGGTCGTCAACTTTGCTGCGGGCGGAGTGGCTACTCCCGCTGACGCTGCGTTGATGATGCAGCTTGGATGCGACGGAGGTACGTAGCGTGACGACTAGAAAGTATGCGTTGCTGACGTGGCTATAGTATTCGTCGGCTCTGGCATCTTCCTGGTAAGTATGCTTCCCGTCCGATTGATTCGTAGCTGACGATTTGTAGTCTGGTGACCCCGCAAAGCGCGCACGCGCTATTGTACAGGCTGTTACGCACTACAACGACCCCCAGAAGCTTGCAGAGGTTTCTCAAAATCTTGGCCCGGCCATGGTTGGCCTGACGATGTGCGTCGGGAGTGTTCGTTTCCAACGCAAATTGCTGACATCCGCGCAGTACAAAGGTATGCAAGGAGGGCTGCTGGCTGAGCGGGGCTGGTAGAATTGCGGGGGGGGACTATTTGTGGGAATGCCCTGCAGTTGTCGATAAAACAATCTGTCCGTGGATCTAGTGTGTAAATGACAGTTGATTGCGGATCCTCGACATGTCACAGAACTACTTCTGAAACCTTTCCTAAAGCGGGACGGCTAACCGAATTTTGGCGATGGCCAGCTTTTGAACCTGACCTTGTCTGAACGTCCGACGTGAAACTAGCACAAACGCTCACTCTCCACCTTATTTCTCGTCTCCTCACGGCGAACAGACGATTTTGTCCATGATTGCCGTCTCCGCACCGTCGCCGTCGCCTCCAGCGAGCCAGACGCAGACCCCGGTTGCTGATCCGATAACGAGCAGCAGCAACGAGCAAGATGAGACTGTTTCTCTGAGCAGGAATACGTCTGTCATCAGCACAAACTCTTCGTCTTCGAGCTCGTCCTCGCTCGAGCCACCACCGCGTCCACGGCCCATCCGCACCTACACCGGCCCACAAGCAAAGAATGTGCCAGATGTACTCCCTGCGAGTCCTACGACGCCAAAAGCCACCCAGCGAACGTTTGACGACTACATGATGGGCACGACCGTTGGTCTCGCTGGTGGTGTGGGCAGTGCTGGCGGCCCGCGAAGGGCTGGAACTCCTCCTGGGGCTGCTGGAGGAAATATTGCAGCTCAGATGGCACAGGCAATCGCGTATAGTGGTACGGGCCTCAAGGTGCCCGGCGCCCTCATCAATGGCGGCTCGACGAGCGGGACTACCACCCCCGTTCGAGGCTCTCCGACTCCTGGAACATCTACTCCAAACGGGGTGAGGAGTAGACAGGCCAGTAGCTCCAACTCGGCGCAGAATTATCAGTTTCAAGATTTTTTGGGAGAGGGGTCGTATTCGTCGGTAAGTCGATGGCTGATCACGAATTGTATGTGTCAGGAGCTGATCCATTTTGTCTGTCCTATCAAGGTATACACTGCCGTCTCGCTGGTCAACCAACAAGTCTATGCGATAAAGGTGATTCAGAAACGATTGCTTCAAAAGGAGAATAAAGTTCGCTACGCAACCTCTGAGAGGGCAATCCTGTCAAAGCTTGGTGCTGCAAACCATCCTGGCATTATCAAACTCTATTCCGCCTTTCAAGATTTAAACTCGCTATGTGTGTCTTCATTTCGTTAATTTCGTCATGTATGCTCACATTTCTCCCAGATTTTGCGTTCGAACTTGCTCCGAATGGGGATCTCTTCAAGCAAATCAGGCGGCTCGGTTCTTTCAACATTACCGGCACACGATACTATGCGGCCACGATTCTGGACGCTGTCACGTTTATCCATAGCATGAACATTATTCATCGTGATCTCAAACCGGAGAATATCCTCTTGGATGCCAACATGCGACCCAAGATTAGCGACTTTGGTTCTGCAAAGGACAAGTCTATCGCAGTGGTCACGACAGGTGATACGACTTGATCTCTACATGCTTGGTTCTTATCGCTCTTTAGACGCCAAGTCGCTAAAAGGCTCGTTCGTCGGAACTCCCGAGTATGCGTCGCCAGAAATGCTCGTCCCTCCAACGATCACCACTCGTGCGTCGGACATTTGGGCTTATGGTTGCGTCGTTTACCAGTTTATTGCTGGACGACCTCCATTCAAAGAGAGCACTGACTACCTCACGATGAAGAAGATTCAAGAAGGCAAATATTCTTTCCCTGATGGATTCGACGACGTCATCAAGACGCTCGTGGAAGGCTGTCTGGTGACAAACCCAGTCAACCGCACAACCAGCGGCGATCTCAGAAAACACGAGTTCTTTGCCGACATTGACTGGGATACCGTTTGGAAGATTCCTCCCCCAGAACTGGAATCCGGTCTTGTCGCAGCGCCTGAGCCTCGTGATGAGGAATTTAAACTCCACTGGAGCGATTTAGAGGCATCGGAGGATGAGATGGAAGACTTTATCTCAAAGCCTCGGTCGGATCAAGCGAGCTTGAAGTTGCAAATGCCTGCTATGGAGCAGACCCATGCACGTCAATCGACCCCGCCACCATCGCAAGCGGTCGAGCCGCGGAGGAGCATAGACGAGACTCCTACTCAATCGCACGACGTCGTCAAAGATATGGTCTACCCAGTCTCTGCCGTTGAATCCTACTTGAAGCAACGCCGGTACTCTCAGCCGACGGAATCAACAAAGCGAAAAGTGTCCCCGGTATCAGATAGGACGACGCGACAGGGATCACCAGAGGATCTTGTGTCCAAGCTTCGTCGTTTTAGCTCGAGTAGCGACTCGCATACGCGACCCAGACGGACATCGCCCTCGATGGATCGTCGGCCTTCGGTAGGTGGCCCGTTGGAAGAGGACGATGATTCGGAGATTGGATCTGGCGAGGGACCACCATCGACTGTCGAGCACAACATCACCGATGTTGTAACGCAGAGTCCCACGGATGCTGCTTCTCACAGCCGTGATGTTTCCGCCAGCGCGGGCTTGAAAGCAGAGTTGACGCAGGCATCTTTGGCGTCGACTCGGATTTCCGCGTCTGAGAGCTCGACGACCTCGAAGTCTCCGGAAAGCAGCCCGACGAGTGGACTGGCGACCGGCTTCGAAAAGGTTCGCGGAGCAAAAGGTTTGGATCTGGGCGAACAGCCAAGTTCCAACGAGAAACCATGGGTGCTGGCGAACGGGTAAGTGTCCATCCTGTTGGCTTTTCCTTTCTAACGACCGCCCTTATATCTAGGACAAAAATATTGTCACAAACAGAGTCGGAACTTTATTCATCACCCGTGACCATTCGCATCAAGCGGAATTTGCTCCCACCCAAGCAACGACGCCGTAGGCTATTGCTCACTTCTTCTGGCCGGCTACTGTGCCTAAAGGAGCTCAAGTCCACCACTGGGAGGAAGAAAGTGCAGGTCGAGGACGAAATTGGTCTGCGGGCGAGCTCGTCGCCCAAGATGGCGCCAAATGAGAGCCAGAGCGAGACTGCGGCTATCAATATTCCTGCAGCACATTCATCGGCCCCAGAGATGACGAGTGCGCCGCCATCGAGCTCGCCGTCGAAGCGATCATCGCTCCTTGGGCTTTCACTCTCGGGTGGCAGTTCGATTACATCCACCCTTCCCAATCTCTTATTGACTCTCCCTGGGTCTTCAAGGGGCAATAGTCCTGCTGCTTCGACTTCTACCAGTCAGAACGGCTCTTCCAGCCACTCGTCGTTCAGGCTCTCGACTGTGGCTACAAAGGTCGAGCTAGTTGGAGAAGTGGCCGTCACCGTTCATACTACAGGCTCGGTGTGCACCTACATGGCAGAATCTCCGGTGGTTGCAAAATTGTGGATCGAGAAGCTGCAAGAGGCGATGAAGGCTGCTTAACTGGTTTCCTTGGATCATCAACTCTCTATTTATAAAGAGTCATTGAAACTCTTTGTCCGTCACCTTATGCCATCTCGTTGGGCATATCTGTCCTCCTGTATCCCGCGTTGAGGTCGTGCACCTTTTGGTTTATCCTACCTTTCGAGTCTAATATTTGGTTTTTCTGCAGCGGCTCTTACAGGAGTTTGCGTTATGTATTTAGTATCCAAACGGAAGAAATGGAAACACACTTGAACCTGGCCATTGCTGCCACCTGGCTACAATTGTTACATTTCTCGTTGAGATGCGACTATAGGAGTTTGTACATGGGTCGAATCAGGCAGAAGAAGAAAAAGCAGCCAATCACGCAGCCTGCAGCGAGCGCAAAGCAGCAGCGGCCGTCGTCTTTGCCCGATTCTGCATCCTCTCAGACCACGAGGGGGATCATCCGACGATTTCATGTTCTGAACAAGCAAAAGGCACGGCTGCAAAAGGCTACAGAGAAGACAAAGACGGCTTTACGGGCTGGAAAGTTGAAAGCTGCAGGCGGAAAGGGGGATGTGGAATTGGCTGAGATTGAGGGGAGATGGAGGCTTTGGGTGGGTTGGAACGATATCAGGCCATGTCGTCCATCGGCCAGTCGGGTTTGAAGGGCGGCGGGTCTGAGAAGGTTCTTGTCAAGTGGCTCAAAGAGATATACTGGAGCAACGTAGACGCTGAGTCTGCAAAGGGTCGTGGAAAGCTCGAGTGCGTACGTCCAACGTTTGTAGATTGGTGAACTGACTATTTGGCAGGTTGCTGGACGTTGGTGCGCTGAAGCATGACAACTACAAAAAGGCCTCTTCTTTGATCAGCGCCACCCCAATCGACTTGCACTCTCGCCACCCGCAGATTGTCGAACAGGATTTCATGCAGATATCACCTGGAGAGGCGGACCCACATAACCTGTCGAGGGAGTGGGATGTAATATCGCTCTCTTTAGTCCTCAATTTTGTCCCCGACGCGCGTGAAAGAGGGCGGATGCTCCACTTGGCCCATATGTTACTCAAGAAGGATGGGCTGCTGTTCGTCGTGGTCAGTTGGAGCCAGTTGATTTCAATATTCTCCTGATATCGACTTTAGCTTCCTCTGCCATGTGTGGTCAATTCGCGGTACTTGACCATCGAGCACTGGACGTCTTTGATGAAGGCAGTAGGATTCGACAGGGTAAAGGAGCAATGGAAACCAACAGGAAAGGTTGGTTATTGGCTCTTTCGCAAAACGCCTAGAGGGCAACGAAAGGCCGATTATCGCGACTTTGAGAAAAAGGCCGTCTTGCGCGAAGGCTCTGCGCGCAATAACTTTTGTATTCTATTGGATCTACATGATGCCTAATATCACCCTCGAACAAAACGACGAGCAGGTCCTGATCGTGAGACCATCGAGCTGAATATCACTGCGGGATAATGAGCCAAGAAACTCTATTTGCCATCTCACTCACCCGACTTTCGCTCCCATCCTTTGATCTTCGCATCTCCTTTGAGTTGCTTTTGTAGAAACTTGCTTGTTCTAGCCGAGGGTGCTGTTCGTCCCCGTGCAGCGGCAGGAGTGGCAGACTGTATTGTCCGTATGGTCCGCGAGCTAGAATAGCATGAGATGCGAAAACGATAGTTTTGCCGCATACGCACCCAACCACATGCTCCTCCTTATTCTTCCTATGCTTTCGTTTTCGCTTCAAACCCTCGGCCTTTTTCGAGGATGTTTTCGATACTCTAGGTGCGGAAAGTGAAGTCACCGCTTCGGTAAAGTAGTGGTCTGGAAGGTAGTCTGGGTTGGCAGCGTCTTGTTCCTCTGAGCCACTCTCCTCTTCTGAAAGCTCAGACTCATCCGTGACCATTTCTACATCATCGTGGAGCTGTCCCTCTTCTGAATCCTCGTCCACGGTCTCGTCAGAGTCTTCCTCAGCTTCTTTCATTGCACGGTTCATTCTCTCCAGCAGCCGTCGCTGCTCCTCGTCATCTGCATCTTCGTCTTCTTGACTTGATTTGGAAACGACAGGAGCCTTTTGCTTTGTTTTTGGCTTGAGAGACGCAGCGGCCTGCTTCTCTGCTTTTATTCGCGCATCTCGAGCCTGATTCTTCTCCCTTTTGAGACGAGCAAGTCTAGGGGAATGTGAGTAATTATAAAATGCCGAATATACAAGCTGACGGACTCTTTTGCGTGGTCTGCCTCGCGTCTGGACTGCTCCTTGGAAGATTGCTTTGCAGTTTTGAGTGAGACAGTCTCAGGGGCTTCTGAGTCGCTGTCGGATGATGACATGAAGCCAAGCGTTTAGACTGGTGGAGTTTAAGAGTCAAGGGCAGAATGTAACTCCACTGTCGTTGCTGAGAGGCTACATTCTGCCGAGAATATGAGAAGTAAAGTATGCAAATTTTGGGTGAATGCCCTGTTCCGAACAGCCACCGCGTTCGAATTGATCGCTCCATGACGTCCCCGCTCTAGGCATGTCAAGGGTCCCTCGGATCCAAACGTCACCAAACTTGTACCCGACCTCGTCCAGCTCTTCTTCAACGCCGTCCACGCACACAGGAGAGCACGCCGAGTCCACTCACAAACCGCCTGGACAGGGTCCAACACGCAACAAACTGCTTATTTGACAGAGCAGACATGGATACAATCAAGAAACCAATCAACCAGATCCTTGATCCCCAACAGGCGACAGAGGACAAGCAGGCCAAGCTCATGGACGAGCAGCGTCGAAAGGACGGCGACATTGTCACCGCAGGCTCTGAAAACGACAAAGTACGAGATCCTGTTACAGGTGAACGAATGGTAAGAATAACCAACATATGCTATGATTAGTCTCAATCCTGACCAATATAAATAGCAAATTCGCAATGCGACAGAGAACCCAGAACAAGTACGCCTGGGTGACAACGTCTTGAAGATGGAATTTCCACCCCCAGATCTTGGCGGACAACGAGAATATCTCCTCTCTCTCTTCAACACCACTGTCTCCCGCATGACCCTGGCGTTTACCATTGTGCCTATTTTGGCATTTAGCTTCTCGCCACCGTCGTTGACCAACCGACCGCTATTTCTGCTCATCCCTTCTCTCGGAATTCCCGCCGCTCTCTCGTTCATGTGGATGTACCGCATGCAGAGCAAGAGTCAAGACGACGCTGATCGACGTGCTTGGGATGTCGAGAGGCGTCGCGGCCTCGCAGCCGGTCTTGACAAAGATAAAGATGGCAAGATTGACGTAGACGAGAAGATCAAGGAAAGTGCGGAATGGCTCAACGCCTTGCTCGCTGGAGTGTGGCCGATCATCAACCCAGACATGTGGGTTCTTTCTTATAACGAGAGGCTTGTCTGATATCTCAACAGGTTCACGAGTACAGTCGACATGCTAGAGGACATTATGCAAGCCTCAGTTCCAACATTCATCGTCGGTCGATTCCCCTTGTGGCGCATAGACGTACTGACATGCTTGCTAGCACTCTGTTCGTATTCCGAATCTCGGACTTGGATACAATCCTCTCCGTATCACCGCGCTTCGTGCGCTGCCAGATGCAGAACTTGACAGAGTGACGCAGTCCCTCAACGAAGACGAGAGGGAGCAAATAAAGGGAGCACGTCAACTACGAAATGAGCTTTGCATATCGAGCAGCACCTGGCAAATCGAAATGGGCGGAAAAGGCTGAAAACTTTCAGTGAGTGAATGGGTCGAGTAGAGTGGGAGAATAGCTAACTTTGGATCAGTTTACTGGTAGAGTTTTACCTTGGAGTCAAAGGCGTTGCAGCTGTTCCAATTCGTGAGTTTATGCAATAGTCTCGTGTTGGGTAATTTCACCCTCTATCAGCGGTTTGGGCGGAGATTACCGGCATTGTTGGAACTGCAAGGATGCGTTTGGAGCTCATTCCGGATCCACCATTGTATGTTGTCTCAATCTGCAAGATTTCCCCTGACCACGGATAGCATCAAGCATACGCTCATCACCCTTGTGGGATTACCGAAAGTCTCCATCTCTATCACACCAATTCACAAGGTCGGTGACTGTTGGATATTCGATGCGCAAGACTCAACCTCTCTGAATCGTAGAAACTACTCCCTAACATGATGGACATTCCCTTCATTTCTCGGTTCATCACGGACGCTGTCAACACTGCTGCCAAGGAGTACGTTGCACCAAAGAGTCTGATGCTCGATTTGCAACAACTCTTGAGTGGCGACGGGATCAATCGAGGTGAGCCTTGGCTCCTCGTACCAGAGCCCGCTAATCTTTCCTAGATACTGCTCATATTGGAGTCGTCGTCGTACATATACACCGAGTCAAGATTGACAAAGACGTCGACCAGACTCTCAGTGACAGTAGGCACACTCACGAAGACCAAAAAGGGGGTGCTAATGATCGATCAGCTGACATTTATGTCAATGTTTGCTTGTCTCCCATGAACAAGACCCAGTATTCGACCCGTATCATCTCCAAGACTCTCGAACCCGTCTACGAGGAGACAGCCGTGTTATTGGTTGACGCAAATGCTGCCAAGATTGGCGAAAAGGTCAGCCTGCAAGTTTGGGACAGTGATCGGTTCACTGCAGATGACCAAGTCGGACATATTGAAATCGACGTTGCTGGTACGCTCTCCAAATATCGTGTCCAAAAGTATTGATCCATCTCCAGATCTCATGAGCAACCACAACGCTGCTTCTCACAAGATTACGCCAATGAACAAGCCGTTGAGCAACAAGGTGTCCGGAACAATCGAGTACACGATCGGCTTCTTCTCCAAACTTGCACCTGGGGCATCAGACTCTGCCACGGAGATACCCAAGGAGATTCTGGATAAGGAAGACTTTAAGAAAGTCAGAAAGTCGACTTTGACGGACCTCGAAGCTGCAGTTGTTGTAACTCCACCACCGGAAGACTTTGTCAGCGGTATTTTGGGAATCCAGGTGAGAAATTTCCGATGAACCTTATAGCGGCTGACTGGCGCTAGCTCCATGAAATTCGTGAGCTTGGTGTCAAGACGGATAACATGTCCTTGAGACACGGTGGCAAAGGCTCTTCGGAAAGGCCCGAGGGGGAGCAAGAAGTCGAAGCCGACAAGGGTCTCCCCTCTTCCTACTGTACAGTGTACGTTCTCTGTGGTTGTTCAGGAACTCGTGCTGACTCGACTTAGTATGCTCAATGACGAACCGGTATGCTCTTACTGTGGATGAGTAGGTGACATGGCTCTGACAATTGGCAGATTTACCGGACTCGAAATAAGCCTATGACGGCTACACCCTTTTTCAATGCAACGACCGAACGCTTTGTGAGAGATTGGCAGGCCGCTCACGTCTGCATCGTCGTTCGCGACTCTCGAATGCGAGAAAACGATCCAATTATGGGAATGGTATTCTTCAAGGTATACAAAAGCAGGCTCTGCACGCGTTGTCGATTCTGATATTCGGTGGTAGCTTGCAGATCTGTTCAAGAATGGGTGCATGGCGACTGGCTCATGGTCGCTCCAGCACGGTATTGGATTTGGCCGTATTCATCTCTCTTTTGTCTTTAGGTGTGTCCGCTCGCGAACTAAGAATATCGACTGAAGTATCCCAGGCCTGTACAACTCACCATGCCCCCCTCGCTCATCGGCTTTGATACGGGTACCGTCGAAGTAAAGGGAGTCAAAGTAGAGCTCAACGACCGCTCACTAGAAAATGATATCGAAGTTCGCCTGACGACTACTGGTGCATACACGAAGATCAAGAAAGGCGTCGAGGATAAGGACGACTCGTCATCAGACGAGGAAACCAGCAACGATACAGTGCTTCACCTACCCATCCAAACCCGTTATCACTCTGCTCTCGTCATCAACGCACGACAAAAGGGCTTGCTCCGGCGAAATACAGTGGCCATGGGCATCGTCTGGCTTCGAGATCTCATCGACAACCACCATGGCAACGTCATCCGAGCCAAACTATGGAAAGCCAGTGATTTTGAGATTATGAAGCAGAACTATGCCAAAGCAGAGGAGACGGCGGCGCACAAGGCACAAGCGATTGGCACCGTCGAGGTGCGTGCCGTGTTCAAGCCCGGCATTGCAGACGTGCATGAGAAAGATATGCGCGAAAACCCCAAGATGCAAAAGTCTTGGGAGGAGTATGTTATTATGAAGCGAGAGGGCTTGAGGAAACATATTGGGAAGAGGTCGCCAACCATGATCGATGATGAGGATATCAATGCAACTACAGACAAGGTGGAGGAAGACCCGAAACAGGGTGTTGCACCTGCGGAATCTCAAGGTGAGTCTATATGTGGTCCAAGACAGGGATGAGATTGAGCGACGACAGGCTCCCTGGATGGCAAGATCAAGGATTGGACGAGCAAGCAAGACAACTTGAGCGCTGAGCACCGTGGAATCAAGCAATTCAAAGGAGTGAGGACGGCAGAGTGGATGGCAGACGGTGTGAAAGACACCTTTGCGGGCCTGGCTGGTCGATTGCACCGCAAGGAACGACAGTCGACAATGGAGAAAGAAGCATAAACTAGGTTTTGTGGTGCGAACATTCGTGTCATTTAGTTTTGTTTGGTTTTGTATCAAAAGGTACATGTTTTCTCATCTCGTCATGCGACCGTTTATCTCCCTGATTTCTGATGACCAAGGAGAGCCCATTTCGTGATTGCGCATTATTTCCGATTAGAGGGGGTTGCTCATGCTGTCTAGCACAGGCAGGGTAGATGGATCGTTTGCAGTGTACAGCTAGAACTCGGCGTGTCGTTGCCGGTCTGCAGGTACAACTGGTAGTAGCCCGACGTTGAGGAAGGGCAGGCCAAAAAGTTGAGTTGGCGGCCATACAAGCTACCAGTGACCGTGACGATAGTGTCGCCTTCCAACCCCCAACCAGTGAACGTAGGAGACGTACTAAACGTAAGTGCTTTGTACGATGTCGAGGAGCTCGCAATGTTGAGGTACAGCGCGGGGGATGCATTGTTGAGCTTGATAGAGCCGTTGATGGTAAAGTAGCCGCCGGATGATTGCGGGCCGAGCACGGGGACTCCTCCGAGCGATTGCAGGTATAAATGGTATACAGGACTGCTCACACCGCGAATTTGCACACCGCTCGAGGTTGGAGTCGCCGAGGAGCTCGTGCTGGTAAAGGTTACCGTAGACCTGCTAACGGTACTGGCACTCGTGACGGTTGATCGTGACACTGAAGAGCTCGAACTCGAGCCAGAGGGAAGTGGGATGCATTGAGAATAGACTAAAGGGAAGGTCAGAGTTTGACTGAATGCTACCATGCATACTCACAGGGATTATAGGCATTACAATAAGAGCCTGCATCACTATGAAATCGTCAGTTTGCGCTTGGTAACTTGTACCATTGGGACAGACCAAACGGTAGACCCTGAGTATCCTTGGCCCCCTGTAGTCTGTCAGAATGATTCCAACAAGTCCAAGACGCTTACCGCATTGTCCCCACAGAGGAACTGCCGTTACAAGCGTAATGTAGAGGACAACGGAGAGGAGAGACCAGAGCTGCACCATGTCGAATGTCGAGCGATCTAACGTGGTTTGAGACTAAAACACGCTGCTTTTATACCTCTGTTGCCAAGTTTCGGACAAAGGAGTTTCTTCGCGCAGTCGCCTGAGGGTTGAACCTGAACAGGCGACTTATCGTCGAAATGGCGGCGATGGATGCAGGCTTGCGGGGGTCTAGAGGAGACGAATTTGACGAGATTGTATAGATGCGAAGCCAGCCACTGACAGTTTGTGCCGGGACACCCCTCATAAGGCTGACATGAACGGGGACAGAACATGCGGGTGGCCAGGTTCTAGTAAGAGTAGCAAGTGTATGGTTCTGCTATATTTGGGAGGCTGGCTATTTATCGATCCCCATGCGTTGCGCCTCAGTCGCATAAAAAGGCAGATGGCAGCCGGACATTCCGACGGGCCCCAGGTGATGAAATATCGTATATATTCTGTAAAATTGCTGATAATTCTGCGATGGGAGTGATGTAAGCGTCTGCTGGTCGGTGACGTTGATCTCCTAGACCCGACCAGAATGGCTGACCATGAACTTCCACCTCTACCACCAGAGGCATTTCAACAAGAACATCAGAACGACGCTACGATGCCAACGAGGACGTCGCTCGAGTTTGCAAACGCAGTCCCAGACGCGTTACAAGAGCTCACCGCAGCAACAAACGGGATGAGCATCTCGGGCGGCTCGACGAGAGCATCCAAGGAGCTCACACGGTCACCCAGAGACAATATCGACGCAGACAGCATCGGCCACGAATCCCTTGGCGGACGCTCCCGCTCGTCGAGAGAGGGAGCGCGCTCGCCCAAGAAGCTGTCAAAAGTGACCAAAAAGGAGGTTCCATATGCTGATGATTTCACTCCACCACCCCGAAACTCGAGCAAGAGCATGGCAGCGCAGCAGGAAAGCCCAGTACAGTCCATGTCTCGGCGGTCACTCGACGCCAGCCAGGAGCTACGGCCTGCATCGTACCAGAATGGCTCTCTCGGTCAGTCTTCCGTCGCAAGAGACTCGTCTCCGCGTCCCCGTCCGCCCAGAACGGCCCCTCTTGAAGAACCCTTGAATCCACGGGACGCTCCCGAACGCAGACCGCGCTCACAATATCCGGAACATCTCCAACAGTCTGGTCCACCTCCATCCCAGACACAAGGATCCGTCTATTCGGGCCAGTATCCTCAGCATCATCACGCCCAGTCTCAGCAATGGACTCATCCAGATCGCGACTTTTTGCACCAGGAAGGAGATGGATTCTATGGAGGAACAGCTGGATATCCATATCAACAACAATATGATGAAGCTGCAATGACCCAGTCTGGGTTCCGCGACCCCTCGCCTGCTATCCTCGACCAGTCGCACCTGCGACCAGGAGAAAAGGCGGCGTTACTCTCCAACGAGCAGTCGATGGCGCTCTATCGCGCAAATGCAAAGAAAAGTTCCGACCCGGACATTGTCTTTGAATTTGCAGCCTTTATGCTCGAAGCGTCAAAGACCATTGTAGTCCCACCAGCAGACCCGACCTATTCGAATCAACTCGAGATTGAAAAGGCCAACGAAAAGCGAGAGGGCTACATTCGCGAAGCGCTCCAGCTCCTCAAGAAAATCGCCGACAGAGGCCATGTCATGGCTCAATACACTTTGGCCGATTGCTACTCAAACGGAATCGGAACCGTAAAGGGCCGCCAGGACTTTGATCGCGCGTTCCCACTGTTTGTCGCGGCCGCAAAACACTATCACGTCGACGCTGCGTATCGAGCGGGGACGTGCTGCGAATACGGATGGGGATGCAGAAAAGATTCAGCCAAGGCGGCTCATTTCTATCGAGCCGCAGCCTCGCAACAGCATCCCGGGGCCATGTTCCGTCTTGGCCAGGCCGAGATGAACGGGGAGCTTGGCCTCTCGAAGAATCCCAAGGAGGGCATTACGTGGCTGAAGCGTGCCGCGGAGAATGCGACCGCAGAGTTTCCTCACGCCCTCCACGAACTCGCTCTATGTCATGAGAATGGCGTCCCCAACGTCATCTTTGTCGACCTCGATTATGCGGCAGAGTTGCTGGGGCAAGCTGCAGAACTCGGATACGCACCAAGTGCATACAAACTTGGCGAATGCTACGAATACGGCAAGATGGGCTGTCAAGCTGACCCGGCGCTCAGCATTCACTACTATGTACGCTTATCCCGCACTGTAAAGTTTTCATCTCATTCTCCCTTTAGAACATTGCAGCTCAGCAAAACCACCGAGACGCGTGTTTTGCACTCACTGCATGGTACCTTGTCGGATCGCCTGGTGTACTCCCACAGTCGGACACGGAAGCCTTTTTGTGGGCGAAGCGCGCTGCGGATGCTGGTCTCGCAAAGGCTCAGTACGCAGTAGGCTACTTTTACGAGACGGGAATGGGCACTCCCCCAAGCATGGCAGAGTAAGCAGACCAAGCAGATCTTTGGCACAATACTCACAGAGACTTGCAGTGCGATGCATTACTTTAGACTGGCTGCTGAGCAAGGCGACAAGCGTGCGCAAACAAGGCTCAAGGGTAATCCACACACTCAGCCCGGACGCGACGCTCATGGCAATCCACTTCCTCCAAACTATCTCCGAAACGAAGGAATCGAGGCGGGCGGAGGTGGTGGTGGCGGTAAAAAGGACTGCATCGTCATGTAGACGTCTCTTTCTTTCTTTCTCTCCTTTACGCACACACACACATGGACTTTAGCCCCTCATCTTGCCCACTAATACCGTCGCTTTGGCTCCTTCACTCTACTTATGGACACTGCTTAGTTTCTGCCTCTTTCCACAATGCTACTATACCCATTCGCGTGGGCAGCGTTGGGCTTGGATGCGCCTCCAAGTTGGGCGTCGTCCTATCAGACTCTGTCTCACTTTCCGACTCTTGCTGCCTTCATGCGTCGTTACTGTATCCATTCTTTGGTGTGCTCGTTCCTCGTATGCGGATTCGAGTCGTTGCAGACATAGAGTTTGTTTTCCACAACCTTGGACTTGACCACGTCCTCGATGGAAATCTTGAATAGAGTCATATATCTCACGATCGAATGTCTAGAGAAAAGAGGTTTATTTCTTGATGTGATGGTGCTGCTTATCCAGGAGTAGCTACGGGCAAACGAGGAGCAGCGGCGCGTCTCCAGATTGGGTACATGTTGTCACAACAAATAGAATACGCGTCGCGCGTAATTGGAAACAACGAGACCGACGCCCGCCAACAAGCAGACCTGCCTTTCTCGGCCAGGCGATGCGGTGACGACGGCCATGGGTATAAAGCTCGCAGTCTCTCTGGTATCGTTGCACACACAATATTTCCTCCGATTCTTCTTCTCTTTCAAGGCAGCGCCTTTTATCATGGTTCAGTATACTGTCCCCACCGACCTGATGTCCAGGCGACATCCAAAGGGGTTTCAGACCAAGACCATTTCCAAGACACGCTCTACAAAGTCCCAGCATGCCCCGTTGAAACTGGACACGCTCCTTACCGAGCTCCTGTTTGAGATTCTGGATTGGATGGAGTTGAAGGATGCCCTGCGATTCCGTCTCGTCTCCCGGCGCTTTGCAGAGCTCGTGCTCCTCGCACCGAGTATCCTCAAGCGTGCACTGAGACATATCAAAGCCCCGCTGCCCTACAGCCCGAAACCGATCCAAAGTCTTTCGGGGAAAGAGACGATTTCTCTTTGCCGACGTGCGTTTGCACTCGAGGAGAATTGGAAGCGCAAGTTGGATCGTGTCAAGAGCAAGAGCTTCTTTGCGCTCCATCGGCCGTATCACCTTGCTCTGGCTCCTGGTGGACGATATCTCATATCTGCCTACCACTCGACGTCGGGTAGTGAGCAATACGTTGGTTTGTATGACCTGGAGAACCCTTATGGAACAGCATTGATTGCTTCTTGCCCAACGAGGTCGCCCATCGACTCGTTGACGGTCACCTGGATTGTCAATAAGGGTCGACAAGGTATTGCCATTGCGTGGGTGCGTGAACTCCCGTTTGAGAAGCGCGCTACCAAGGTTGCGTAAGTAATTGTCCGCCCGAATTACCGTCTGGTCTCATGCAGGTTTGTAGTGGCACCGAAGTTGTTGTCTTGTTCATCAGCTTGGAAGACATCGAGGCGTTGACGAATCCACACCACGGTCGGAAGGAGTCTCCCTTTGAAGTCCTCTTCAGCCGTCAGTGGAAAGTAGGCGCCATCCGCCTGTCTCTTGCCAACGATACGCTTGCCGTCGCGCGTTCTCCAGGCACTCTGACATTCTACAACCTAGAAGATGGTCGTAGAAGTGCGATAGAGCTTCCTGATCTTCCGCATTCCACGATGAGCGTACGCACTTCACCGTTCTGTGTGTTTCCATGCTTATGTTTGTTCAGGATCCCGTCATCTTTGCCACCAAGTTGCTCTGTGATGGTACGGCACTTGTCATTAGAGGTGAATCAGGCCACTCCCAAACGTTGAACTTGCACGCCATCGAGGCCTACCAAATTCCTCTGTGGGGTACGATGCATCAAGCACCTATGCCGCTCCAATGCAATTACGTGCACGCAAACCAGACCAACTATACCATCTCTGAAATGTATCGACTCCAGCCGACGTGCGACAACCCCTCGGAAGAGGAAATCGCAGAGGCGAACGGATACTATCCGGCGGTGACCATTTGCGTAGAGTCCTCTGAACCAAACAGGGGGATTACGCAATATCGGTTGTACCCGACTCGTGAGCCCGAGACCAAGGAGAGCGAGGCGCGGTTTAGCTACATTTGGCCTGTCACCGTGTGGCAAGGTCATTACTCTGAACACGACGCGTGAGTACCTTGAGTTTCATATTTACCGTTGTCTGAATGCTCCATTAGATTCCGTACGCGAACTCGCAGTCTTGCTGGTGCTGATCGTTCGTTGGGCTTCCCATACACCGCACCTGGACGGGCGCTCACCCCTACCTTGGGCGAATTTATGGTCTTGTCGAGCTTTGGAGAGGACAATATCCCCAGTGTAGCGCTCCCACAGCCGCTCGAAAGCGATATCATCCAGTGTGTTGCTTGGGATGAGAGCTCGGGCAAGCTCGTTTTGTCGACTGCTGGTGATCTCAAAGTATGGGTGCTAGACTTTGCAGTCTGATGTACACTTTAGTCTCTGAACCATGAAAAAGGACTGCTTTGCATTTGACTTCTTCTAGCGACTAGTTCCACGATTCGAGACCGTGCAGTGTCAACGTCTCCCCACCGAGTTTACCGATTCGGTACACGCCAGCGGTTCCGTTGTTTTTGAGTTCTGCGATTGCTGCATCACAGACATCCTCGCTCACGACAGCGACCATTCCAATACCGCAATTGAATGTGCGTGCCATCTCCCGCGCATCAATGTTTCCGGCCTTTTTAAGCCACTTGAATACCTCGGGGAGTTTCCACGCGGACACGTCAATCTCGCACCCTAGGCCTTGAGGGAGCATACGTGGGACGTTTTCGATGAATCCGCCTCCAGTGATGTGCGCAAGCCCCTTGAGTAGACCCTTACGGCAGAGAGGAAGAAGTTGAAGGACATAGAGGGTCGTTGGCTCCAGCAGTGCATGGCCGATGGTCTGGTAAGGCTTCTCTGGGGTCGACCATGGACATGGTGAAGCTGTCGTCAAGTTGTGAAGGGATAAGATTTTGCGGACGAGGGAGAAGCCATTCGAATGGACACCGGAAGAAGCTAGTCCAATGAGTACATCCCCGGACTTCATCTCGGAGAGCTTTGGGAGCAACAATGAGCGAGAGACGGCGCCGACTGCAAAGCCAGCAAGGTCATAGTCATCTTTAAACCAGTCAACATCGTTTCGGAGATGCAAAGGAGATACGTACCACCAGTGTACATTCCTGGCATTTCCGCCGTCTCTCCTCCGACGAGCGCACACCCGCTGTCTTTGCAACCCTGAGCGATCCCCTTGATGACAGACGACGCGACATCCACATCAAGTTTGGAACATCCATAATAATCCAAGAAGAAGAGTGGTTCTGCCCCTTGGACGACGAGGTCGTTGACCGACATTGCGACCAAGTCGATACCTTGAGAAATTTCTCAGCGTCATGTTGTTCGTGTGAAGGCTTGGTACACACCAACAGTATCGTGAATGCCGCTTTCAAGCGCAATTCGCAGCTTCGTCCCGACCCCATCCGTGCCAGCCACAAGGACGGCGTCTTCGCCAAACCCGGCCGCCTTTAGATCGAAGACCCCACCGAATCCGCCTATGACACCCTCTGTTCCCGAACGTTTTGTGGCTTTGACATAAGGTTTGATGCGTTCGACGAGCGCATTACCTGCATCAACGGATACACCGGCCTGGGCGTACGTGAGGCCTTTGCTTGGGAGGGTGGAGTCGTCGAGTGCGCTAAGCGACGTAATTAGAAGAGTGGCTTCTTATCATGGTTCTATGGTCTTACCGATGAGCAATATCTCGTCGGTAGGTTTTACCTTCAAACGAAACGCTGTCGACCACGTTATAGGCGGCATCTAGGGCTGCACGGACGGAGGCTCCATACGCCGTGACAGCGAGTACGCGACCTCCTGACGTGACGATTTTCTCGTTTTGGAGTGATGTTCCAGCGTGGAAGATGGCGACGTCGTTGGAAGGTAATTGGGCTGGGAATGTGATTTCACGTCCTTTGGGGTAGGATCCTGGATAGCCCTCTGACGCTAGGATGACGGAGACTGCCACACCAGGTTTCGTCACGACGGAAACGGAATCTAACCGACGTTCGGCACACGCCTAGACTGGAAGTGAGAAACGTGCCGGACCCAGAAGTTGAAAGAATGCACGTACTAATAATACTTGAGCAAAGTCTGTTTCCTCGGAGAGCAGAAGCATGAGTGCCTCCGTTTCTGGATCGCCGAAACGAACATTATACTCGAGCACCTTTGGACCCTTTTCTGTCAGCATGAATCCAGTGAAGAGCATTCCAACGAAGGGGTACCCTGTGTGATTGGGTTAAAGGAGAGGTTTGGCTTCATGAGAGGGGACCGACCCTCTCGTCGCATCCCGTCAATGGTTGGTTGCAATACTTCGCGGTGAATCTGTTGCATGACCTCCTTTGTGGCGACAGGTGCAGGTGCATATGCACCCATGCCACCCGTATTCAGGCCTGTATCCCCCTCTCCAATCCGCTTGTGGTCTTGGGCGGCTGGCAATGGTACGATTGTGTATCCATCGGAGAAGGCGAGAACTGAAATCTCAGGACCAGTCAAGTACTCTTCGACGACGACTTCGTTGCCTGCGAAGCATTATCGAACCCTCTCTCTCTCGAAAGGTGGCGAATTGACTGACCAGCAGAGCCGAAAACTTGGTCCAGAAGAATATCCTTTAGTCCTGCTTCTGTTTCTTCTGGTGTCTCGGGGATAAGGACGCCCTTTCCGGCGGCGAGACCACTCGCTTTGAGGACGACGCGGTGGCCACAGGTCTTTGTGTATTCGAGAGCCTCGGTATACTGAGAGGCAGTAAATGTCTTGTATGCGGCTGTAGGGATTGCATGTCGCTGCATAAAGTCCTTTGAAAATGCCTTTGAACCCTCCATTCGCGCAGCCGAGGCCGATGGTCCGAATACCAAGATGCCCACTGGAAAAAACAGTTGGTTTGAGATGCAGAATGGGATTAAAAGATTGATCTACTGCGTACCTTTGCGAAATGCAGATTCGATTCCATCGACGAGTGGCTGCTCGGGGCCGGGGACGACGAGGGAGATCTGGGGGAATCAGAAGAGGATTTGTAGGAGAAATATAGACGCATGTACGTTGTTTTGTAGCGCAAACTGGACGAGTTTATCGAACTTGTCTGTGGCTATAGGCACATTGTTGACCTTTGGAACCAGCCCCGTTCCAGCATTGCCCGGCGCTGCAAAGACAGCGGCAACGGACGACGACTGAGCGAGTTTCCAGCACAGTGCGTGCTCGCGACCACCGCTGCCGACGACAAGGACGTTCATTGGAAAGAGTTAAGCCTGGCTTTGCTTTGGCGACGCTGCGCAGCTTGGTCTCGTCGGCGAGCGGGGCAAATTGTCGAGAATAATCGTGATTAATGGCACATAATTCTATCTATGGTGCCCAGCCATTTGAGGAACTGGTACGCATGCTCTCACCGTCTGTACATGCGCTCACGGAGCGTTGAAACCATCCAGGGCAACGAGCAGGAGCCAACTTCTCCGACGTCGCTAGAGGACTTTTACAGAGAACAAGAGAAGAAGGATCTCGAGCGTAAACTCTCCAAACGGCGGTCCCTGCGCCAAAAGCGTGGCCGGTCAAAGAGCTTTGCCTCGACGTCGGATGCACCTCTGTCGCCAGACACCGAATCCGCACGAAGTCCAACCCGTCCCTCAGAGGAGCCAAAGCTAGAACCGTTACCAGAGGCCACGGCCGTTAACGCGCCGCCCTCGACTCAACAGCTGTCCTGGCACCGCGAGCGAGAACAGACGGGCCAGTGGTACGCGCCAGAACACGAAATACGACAGACATATGAGATTCATAACCCGGTTCCTCCTCCGATACCATGGACAAATCACCATTTACGTCCGCCAGGAGCTCCGTGGCCTCCGACCTCGCAGCCGCGCAAGGTCGTAGCGAATCCAAACGTCGTAGGCACCGGGAGTACCGTCAGGGATGTCACAGGAATTGGTTCAGGCAATGCCTCGTCGACCTCGTTTATAAAGACTGCGTCCGCGACAAACTTGTTACCACCAGCTATTTACGGACCAGATCACATTGACATGCTGGACCCCTCGGATCCTTGGGGTATGCGTTGGCACCATGATGGACGCTATGATGTTGGAGATTTCACAACCTCGACACGCGGGAAACCCACGGCGACCTGGGCTGGTACCTCCTCGCCCGCGGTGGAGGTACGCCGAATGCGCGCTTGCTAATCACTTTTTTTCTTACTTCTGATTACAGATTCCACCTCGGCCGCGGACTAGGGGCGGCTCGCCGAACGGCCCTTCCACACTACGGTCGAGCGTCAAATCTCCCTCCCCACTCTCACAGTCAACGTCGGCTGGACCAATGAAAAATGGCTCTTCAATTTCATTGGATACACCAAAACAACTTCAACGACGCTTGTCAAAACGCAATAGTAGTAATATGGGACAGCCTGTGCTCGCCACAGACCAAACCTTTGGAACAAAGAGAATTAGTGGATTTAGGTCACTATTTGCAAGTAACTCACAGCCAGTGGATCGCCAACGCTCAAAGACTTTGGGAAGCGCATCCGCACCGCCGACCGCAGGTTACATGGGCCAGCTAGGAGACGATTCTGCACGACCAATGTCGACTCTTCCACCGTCCGTTAACGGTCAAAGGACATCACTCAGCCCGTCGCCTACCAAGGACAAGCGCTCGTCTTACTTGGGTAGACTGGTCAAAAAGTTTTCAATCATCCGCCACAGCTCAGAGCCAGATCCGAAAGTGCTGACAGCGCAGAATCAGCACCCTGGCCTGAAGCGATCCGTGTCAACGGCGAACGGCATCTACGCACAGCGGCCTGCCGACAGTGGTTCCCATCCTAAATTTGCTAGCGCTCCAGCTGGTAGCGACTCTCCAATTGGCGTCGTCCCCGAGCTGCGCCTCGTGCAACCCAACGAGGGCGAGGACGACCAAAAGGGCCAGGCGCGGGAAGGTGCTCCTATTATTCTCAACGACGACCGACCTCTATCAGACGCACGGAATTCCCCCGAGCCGCACTTTGCGCAGTTTGGGGGTCTGGTCGTCACCAATCCGGACGCTATGGCTTCTGAATCGGAGAGTATATCCAAAGATTCGCCACCACGCCGAAGGCGTCTCAAGTCTGCGCCAAGCGCATCTCCAGCAATGGAATTTGATTCGCTACCTCGGCCTGCGTTTATGAGGGGGATTGGATCCAACGAAAGCTCGCCTTCGGTACGCAATGTACCCCTGCGAGTCGTCAATGGACGCGAGGCGGACACCGAGACGGAAACGGGGACGATATTGGGAGAAATTGTGGCATCTCCAGCCCCGACAATGTCCACCATTCCGCCCCCTGTCCCCTCTCCTACAGACAAACGCAGGTCATTACAGTCGGGTGGAGAACCAAGGACTATTCCTGTTGTCCCTTCCATCTCGGATCTTCCACTCACCTCTCCTCCCAGTGCTGCTCGGTCGATCGTCTCGAACAACTCTTTCAAGTCGTCGGATATGGCGACTGCACTCGAGACATTGTCACCACCCGCCTCGAGCGTCTCGCTGAGCAGTAGTCTGCCGGTAAAGACGTCGACACCCTCCCCTCGCACGACACCCGAGTCTGCACAGCGTCCGTTGTCTAATTACTCTGCCGCACCATCCGTAGCGACGACGATGAGCACCATGACCAACCTTGCTTCCACGATTGGTGACGAGGGCAACACGACTCCGACACGCCGTAGTCCTCCTTCGCTCGCTTCTGGCTCTGAAGACTTTGTTCGACCGACGCCACGGGCTGCATCGCTCGCCAATTCGTCTTCGTCGACTCGCTATGGCGCTTATTATAGTCCAAACGCATACCCGACGTTGTCCGTTCCTTCCACCATCAAGGTGGATCCGAATCCACTGCCGACGCCACCGGCGCGACTTCCAATGCCTCTTGTAGGCGATAATTCGTCGCGGGAGAGGCTCCAGGGAGGATCAAGCCGTGAGCAGCTGCCAAGCTCGTCAAGTCGTGAGCAACTTCAGCGTGCACCGAGCAAAGAGCGGCTCAAGAGCAAGGCAAGCAAGGATCGGGTCGAGACATCGAGTACTGGCGAGCAGACCTCCAAGGGACAAAGCAAGCAAGGCGCATCGAGGAATTCGGGTCTGTATTCTTCGAGTGCTCGGGACAGCAAGGCAGAGTCGACGTCGGCCAGTCGTCGGGAGAGCGCTGGTATCGATATCAGGGAGTGGCGTAACCAGACAAATTTCCGAGTCCCGGCAGAGCTACTTGATCCCCGTCCTAGTCAAAAGGGCTCGAAGAACACTCTGGATGAGCAGGGTAAAGAGGCTTCGACTGAGAAGCTTAATCCTAGTAGGGCGCCTATTGAGAATGGCTATAATGTGACGTCTAGTCGCCCAAAGCCTGCGCATTCTCAGTCCTATCATTTGCCTACGAGTCAGCGCGATTCGGACAGGGAATCCGAGCCTAGGAAGCGTACCAATTCGACTGGTAGGTCTATTTAGATTCATGAGCCCTTGCTGACAATACATTAGCCGGCTCTGATCAAAAGTCGAGCTCTCAGCGGGATGAACCCAGGCGCCGGACTAACTCTACGCGTTCGGGTGCGCCCTCCAGTAAGTACTGTGATAATTCCGAGTCATCTTGCTAATAATACAGGTTCTTCCGGTGCAAACGGCCCTGCGAAAAGCGACGCCTCGTCTTCCAAGCCGTCGATCCTAGAGGACAAGCCCATGAACGAGGAGAAGAAGAGGGCGGAGCCTGTACAGGAGAGCGGAGGCAAGCAGGTCATATCCGGCTTTGGTCAAACTTGGGAAGTTATCGAGGCCGTCATGATTCAGCCAAGTAGGAACGGCTCTCGACGACAACACAGCAGAGATATGAGTGGGGACAGTGTCAGCACGATTAGCCCTACGTCACCTCGACCGCTTTCCAATGGCATGTCCAGCCCACCACGCACATCATCGAGGCCCGGTTACAACGCGGCTGGCGAGCCCATTGGCTTAAAGTCCAAGTCGCCCAGTATCTCTTCAACGGCTCCTTCTCTCCCTCCGAAGCGAATGCCGTCGGTTCCTGTGAAGAACACTGCAAGATCGTCGCAACCTGTACGAGGACCGGAGAAGGAGCGATCAAAGACTATGGATGTCCAACCGTCTCAAAGTCGTTCAAAATCTCGCCCACGTGAGATGACTCCTTCTCCTCCCCTCAACCTCAACAAGCCTCAACCACCTCGACCGCCCCCGACACCTGCCCAGCAACCAGCAATGCTCCCCAACGGTACCTACTCGAGCCCATCGTCTGGACGTCGCGACAGCCTACAGAAAGTGAGGCCGACGTCCGAGGTGGTCAATACCCCAGAACTCAGCGCTCAAGAGGCTTGGGAACATGATCGCATGACTGGACGTGGTCAGAGTGTCTATTCTCCAGACGGCATTGTCGCTCCCCCTACTTCATCATATAGGACGAGTGCAAACAGCTCGCTTTTACAAAGCGTAGCCTCTTCATCGGGAGGTGTGGGTGCAGGATCCGCCCACACATCGTTCGTCGTTCAACCGCCATTCCAGCCCCGGTCGGCTCCGCCAACGCAAACATATTATCCCAACCACTATCCGATCCCGAACCCCCTCCCCGCGCCGCCAGCTACTATCCTACCCCCCAAATCCGCCGCACGCAATCGTATTTAGATCACGAGTTTTACCTCAAGCCAATTGGACGACTGTAGAACACGACACTCATAAACTTTGATGCCGCAAACCGTCATATTTATCCTAAATCAATCCGTATTCTCCGTCTACTTTCTCATCCCAATATATCCCGCTGCCACTACCATCCCCATCTCATCGCATCATGTTCTTTGTTCGAACTCGTCGTTTCTCAGCGGCATCTCACTCGTTGTTGCTCTACAGTACCCCCCTGCGTCTCATTCGCCGGCCTAATCCCCTGCGCACTTAATGGCAGCTCGTTCATTCCCATCTCATGCGGTCTCAAATGCATGTCAAAAGGCGTTGCGAAAGCGCAACAACAATGGACTTTTACTAGATTCCTCGTTCCGGCACATGTATGCAGGTCTCCTACGAAATTTGATTCGGAGATTTGGCAAAGCTTCTACCAAAATGTGCTCATATCGAGATTGTTTTGAAAATGTTGAATCCATCGAGCGCAGTGCTGATGACAGCGCCTGGTATTTGCGGATGCCAGTGAACCTCTTTGATGTCCTTTTGACCTTGATGCACAAACAGGAGCTGTGGTGGTACGTCTCGGAGAGACGCATCTCCTGATTTTGTCTTTGAACTTGCGCTCGTGCCCATCTCGTCTTCATCCACTTCGACTGACAGATCCCAGATGGTCACCTGTTCATCTGAGCCCGATGCAACAAATGCAGATTCGTCCGTCGGATGCCATTCCACTGACGTGATGGGTGCCTTGTGCCAGTTAAAGGTGGCGACAGGGGATGGCCGCTGGTTTGGTCTAGATGTGTGATGAGCGATTGTTGTGGATCCTGAGCAAACGGGCATACTTGTTCCAACCTCTCAAGTCCCAGACCTTGATGGCTCCTTCGTCTCCACCGCTCACCATAAGATAGCCACTCGCCTCTTTGGCACGATTCCAACTAATTACATTCACGTCACTGTCATGGGCACCTTCCACGCCCATGACACTCTTCCTTCCTTTGACCCGGACGTCCCATATCCGAATTGACCTATCGGCGGAACAGCTCGCAAACACGGTGGGCTCAGAGGGACTCCATTGAAGGTCCTCCACGGACGAAGTATGCGATGTAAACGGAGTCGGTGAGGTGTTGAATCCACTGACAGTCGTCGTGGTAAGGTATATCTTACTGGCAATGTCTCCCGTCAATAAGCGGAGGCCGCTGACGGTGGTATTATTTGCGCCAAAAGAGGCCGCCCAATCCATTGCGAATCCTTCTGCACGACCATGAGCGGTAATCGTGTACACAGGCTTCTTCGCCGAGTCGCTAATGGTCGAAGAGGTAGAGGCGAGTGCAGTCAGGAGGGGATTAACATTAAAGATGTGTACTTTCCCCGTTTCGGCCCACGTCGCGACGTGATACGGTTGATTAGAGGCGATAGGTGTCACCGAGGGAGCAGTAGGTTGTGCACGTACGCGGTTGACGCCGCCAGTGTGCGGGATAGACTTGTATTCCAGGACGGCGTCCTCGTCAAGCGCTGCTTCGTCGTCTGAGTCCTCATCATCGTCATCATCTGAGTCTCCTGTAGGCATGCCGTTCATACATGTTTACTGGCAATTTGGAACACGCACCATCGTCCTTTTGCGTCTTGTGCAGTGAGCTCATCTTCATGACCAGAACCTCGTTCTTATTGCTACTTTCTGCTTGTGTACCGGTGACGACGAATGCGGTGGCTGGGTATTTTCTCCTTTCATCTCCCAGATCATCTCGGAGGACGTCGAAGGAGAGACAGGGCCAGGTGACATTCATACGATGGAGCATCTCGTATGCGCTTTGATCTGGTTCCAGCACTTCGTCTTTTGAAAGGGTATGTTTTCCTGGAATAAAGGCCTCGGTGCCCTCTTGCCTGTCTCTTGATGGCTCTGTGTCCTCAACGGCGGGATGGACGTCGACATCCATGGCTGTAAAATGTATATTTCGAATGGGTAGTGTATATAATTTGAGTATAATATGCGAAAAGCGTCAGTCTATGGCCCGCCACTTATACTGACAAAGTGAAAAAGGACCACGGACCGTCTTCGTCGTCGCCGTTTTGAGCATCAGTAGTCTCTTGGGGAGCTGTTTCATCATCTACGTCGACTTCATCCTCCCATTCGTCTTCAAAGTCACCCATCTCTCCATCCTGAGCTCGATTCTTGTTCGTCGTTGCAGGTCCTCGTTTGGATGTTTCCCCTTGAGACTCCTCGACTTGACTTGCCGTTCTTTTCCGTGAGGCGGACATGGGGACTAATGAGTCTAGGGACCAAGGGCTTAGAGGGCGCCTCGAGACTTGAACCGCAATCACGACGGGCGTCGTCTTGTCATTCCATTACAAACAACATTAATTGGCTCGGATCTCCAACTAAATTTGTCCAATGGTCGAGATGAACCCCCTTCGAGGGCTCCGTGAACAAGAGTGCTGCAGGGAAGTGATGGCACGCACGCGACACACAAGGACGCATTTTATGTTTCAAAGTATCACCATTCAAGGGTTAGGAGCGGGCCTATTCCCGAGACTAGGGCACCTCCGTCAACCACTCTAACCAATCTCCTAATTGGGTCAGCTCCCCGCTTGGCGCTAATTCGGGTCTTGTACTAATGAACGCCCGATATTTTCGACAACGGACATGTCCGGCTAACATGGACGCAATCTATCACGCGTGGCTTTGATGCCATCAACGCAGCAGTACAAGGAGATCCAGAAGAGAGCTATCTAAAGGAATGAAAGGTTGCGAACATTGTACTAGGTAGGCGTACTGCACTAACGCCCACTAGAACTCGGTTTTGCATCTCCCGGACCGACGTACATCGGCGAGTTTGGATTGTAGTCAGAGGTTTGGATATAGGATCTAGGGACAGTAAATGACGCCAAGGAACTTTGAGAACAAACTACTACTTCGACCGCTGCATTGTCTCCCTCGTTCCTAGTGGCTAGCCGATGCCATTCACACAAGGCACTCCGGAACGGGTGTTTAATCGACTTTACCTGCCTAAAATCATCGACACGAGGCCTGACTTTGAGCTCGGGGAACAAGGACTGTTCGCGCAGCAGCTGTAGGACTGCAGAGGCGTATCATCATGTTGGCCTCCACGGTTGCAAAGCTGAGCCGCAGATGACTTGAAAATGTTGCCAATAGTACCGGTAGTCAACAGGCAAGTCAAGGTGAACAAGGATCCGACCGAAAATGGTAGCGACATAGCCACCGGCCGCGTTCTGGAGGGACAACGATTGCCTCGTCCTGGCCTTGTGTCGCAGGTTGTCACGTTCCTTGTTCGGATGGAATGCGCCGCCGTTCCGGTATAAAAGCCCAGCAAACTCTCCCTCACCATTCCTCACCTCACCTCCAGCCCGCCGCCGAATCCCCTCGCAAAGCAGTGCTTTACATCTCTCTGCCCCCTGTAACGCGCCATTTTTACCCTCAAAACCCATGGAATTCTTCGTCAACTTCAGCTTCTTTGGCTTGCAGGCCACCCAAGAGCAAGAGGTTCCCGATGATGCTCAGAACGGCGGCTCTCAAACTTGTGTCGTTGCATAAATTGCACGAGCATCCCCTCAGACCGATGATCTTCCGTGGAGGTGTGTCTTTATGGCAGGATTTTTTTCGTCAATGTCCTAACGAGGAATTGTCTTCAGTCTCACTCAATACGAAAAGCCCTCGTGCCTTCAAGACTCTCACGAACAATGCGAGATCCGGCCTATCCCGTTGACACATTCATGACTGGCCAGTGATCCTCGTCCCATGCTACGCCATCCTCCCCACCTCTTTTCGGTTCACCCACTCCTCTCAAACCCCGACCCGCTTAATCACACGCTCCTTTTTACCTCGTTCGCCGTCCCTTGTCACTTTGCCACCCCCGACACCGCACCCGCAACCCTTCGACATTGCTTTTGGAATGTGATCCATCTCATAGGAGAACATACAAGAGCCACGGACAGCCTGTCTCATCCCTCTCAATATGATCCTCTTTCCTCTTTTCTTTTGTTGCGCTCGGCCTACAATGCACCTTGCACACATGAAATTGCTCATGACTCTTTGGAATGCGTCTCAACTCTCCCTTGTGTCCTCTTCTCTCATCCTTTTTTCCCTGATCACGAGCCTGCTCACCTACACCACCGATCCCCTACCTCGTCCTTTGTCTCTCCTACCTCGGGCTCGTGATCTTGTTGTCGCCACCGTTTCCGTTCAACCCTCTGCCTCTCTGTTGCTCGTCCGTTAATAGACGTTCGCCCGATGGGCGGTTTACGTTTTTCGATAAAAAGCCAGTTTGAGACTTTTGAGTGTGAATTTCTGGTTCAGAGGCGATGAGTACAGTTGAATTATTACGACAATGATACGGTCGCTCAGACAACCTGTTTCACCTAGAGACGCCAAAGTTGAGCGACTTCCTAAACGGGCACGCGCGCGCGCCGCTGCTCACCTTTCCAGTCTCGACTTCATACACCCAGCCTGTAATGGTCGTCTCCTTGAGAACGAGTGGATGGTTCTTCAGATACGCCACGTCGTCTTTGACGCTCTGTTCGAGATTGGGAAATGGCAAAAAGTCGATGGACTCGGCTTCGTTGGCAGCGTGTGGGTAGGCAGTCTTGAGCTTCTCTTGGAGTTGTGGTGTGGTAAATGTGAGCATCCCGCAGTCAGTGTGGTGGAAGAGGGCAATTTCCCGTGTCCCGAGGAGTTGTTGGGAGATGATGATGCTTCGGAGGGCTTCTTTGCTGGAAAGATGATTAGATAAAGACAAAGAATCTGATTGTGCATACGCTACGCCTCCTATGAGAATGGTCAGTGCGAACTCCATTCACCAAGAGTTGTCACAAACCTGCATTCCGGATGACATGTGCGTCTCCCTCGTGGATTCCAAGATGTGCCGCGGGGCTAAAGGGACGCTAAGAACACTAGGATTATGAGAGGATACTACCTACTCAAGTCGAGCGTCCATGCACGTTACTGGGGAAGGTCAGCTACGAGAAAGTCATCTAGGTGAATCCTACCTATCGTAAGCTAAAATACGGTTAGTTTGTTCTTCATCTGCTCGAAATGTCTCACCTTTTTTCCAGGAGGAAGCGGGAGTGACCCCTTGTTTCCAAACTGGCTCACATATTGATCGTTGGAGGCCCCAAAGTTCTTGTAATTCTCGACGGACATGAGTATAATGTATCAAGTGCCGCTGACGAGTGCCCGAGTTGAGCCCATTTTATGGACGAGGTCAAAGCAATTACGCCTTGGGCACGTGGGGGTCTTGGAAGGCATGGCGAACGATGGCGTCAAAGGATTGCTAGCCAATGGGTTGAAAGCTTGGTACACTATCTACGAGTTGATGACAAACTCGGCTTGTAGAGTGAGTTGATCATTGGCTCATTAATTGGCAAAAGTGGAGGCCAACAGCCGAAAGACAGAGCAGATAGCACCGAAATCGGCGGAATAAAGGGTTCTGTGCACTTTATCACGTCGAGTGTCAAGAAGGGAGGCCGTCGAGGGGCCAACTCTCGAAAAGGAATAGTCCAGGAGCTCAGTTACCGCAGGCTCAGATGCCAACTTGTACCAGGTGGGTGGTAATTAAGATGTATTTTGAACAGACAAATGCGACTATACTTGCTATGCGGATACGATGCAGAACAAAAAGGGGGAATAATCAACTATGCGGGGTGAGATAGATAACACAACCGCCCAACGGGACGGAGATAAATCCGAATAAAAAAGCGGTAGAGACAGGAAAGCGCGCGCGCAGTAGAGTGTTCACCAGTGACCAACCTCGGCGCCTTCAAAGCCAATTTCTATCCAATCCTCGACGTCATCAATGACGGGTTCACCTTCTTCTCGCTTGCGCATGCTCTCTTCACTTCCGAGACCAGCAAAGCCGACGCGGTCGTAGACGCGTTTGGCAGCAAGAGTGTGGCCGACGAAGAGGACGACCGAGTCCATGTTGCGCTCGTGGAGCATCTGTGTGGTGACGTGATGCACGAGCGCCTCTGCGCAGCCGCGGCCGCGAAAGGCGGGGGTGGTATAGACTTTGGTCATACCGGCGACAGAAGACGAGAGACGGGTGACGGCGACGAGGGTGGTGATAATACCGTTGATGGTGTATACTGACACGAGCTGGTGGGTGATCATGTACGTCGCCTCTTGGAGCGCGCGTGCGGGAGTGAGAGTGAACGGGGGCTGCTCTCTGAATCAGTATACAAGAGGACAAGAAAGGGGGGGTTAATTTCTCACCGAATCCTCTGCAAACTCGGCACAAAGTCTCGCGACAGCCTGAGCGTCGTGCATTGTTGCCAATCGCATCTGGTGGCCGGCAGGTAGTGGACTCCGGCCCCTATTTGACAATGTTTGGCGTGTGCAGTAGCTCGAACTGGCGGAATAATAAGGTTCCTGGACGCGCTTCATCCCAACAAGACGTTCCCAGTGGGCACAAAGGAGCTCTGTCGGCCTTTTCTGACCAAAGATGGAGAAGACGCGGGTAGGAGGGAGCAGGTTTGTCAGATGTTGCGCGAGGAGGTGCATGTGCGCGGAGAGGGTGGCGGTAGGGAGCTTGGAGGCGGCGTAAGGACGGAGATAGACAAGGAAGAGCGGGTATGTGCCCATGTGATGCTCTGTACAGGATAAGATAAATTCTAGCGCCGGCCTGGACGAAGAGGACGTGGACCAGGCTGTGAGCCAGAATTGACCCGGCTTGATGTGGGAAGCGGGCAGCTTGGCGAGTTTGAGGGCGAGAGGAAGGATCACGTTGAGTTTACGCTGTTGATGTTCGACATGACCGCGCGTTGCGTCGAGAAAGGCGAGTGGCGAGTGGTGGACGCGGAGGACGAGGGAAGTCATTTTTTCTTATCGATTAGATAAAGTAGAATAAAGAAAATAAAACAGGCCCGAGGCTTCAAAAGGCGGATGGGAGATGTGGCCGACAGAGGGGAGTGATAGGGAGAGGGAGCAGTCTCGACGGACTGGGTTATATAGGACGGATGTGGCAGGAGTAAGTGGCAGTCAAGTCTAGTAGATTTCTAGTCGCCCAGAGGCTGTTCAAATCACCCGCATGGGCGGAAAGGCTAACGATTGCCGTTATCCCGGTTATCCCTGCTCACGGAAAATTACTAACAATAAAAATAAAAATAAATCAACAGCGGCCTGGTTACGAAGCCGACTCGCCGTTTCATCACCTCCCGTAAACCCTCTACAGGTCGCCAGAGGCCGTCGATGGCAAAAAAAAAACCAGGCTGTCGTAGAGGAAATCGCATGGACGAACAAACCCGAACAATGTCGACAAACTCGCACTCCGGGCAAGCGAAAGGCCGAAGGCCAGTGGCATTGTCGTTGACTGGGCCGGGTTTCGCTCGCTCCTCGGCGTCGCAAGACACGCCCTGCGGTGGCAAGCACTCTCCGCGGGTCTAGACCCCAATGACGACTAGACAAAACCGCGACCTGTCACACTTAATGCTGCACGAGATCTGCGTGATCACAGAACATGCAGGTCATTTGGAGCCAATAATCAATAAATCATCCCGCTGATGGAATATTCTTAAGGTACGTAAAGCCCCCGAATTGACGCAGAACAGCCATCTACGTCGATCGAATCAAAAGGCAATGCCCAATTCACTCCACCCCTTTTAGTTGGACCCTGAGTCAGATTGCTCGATATCACGGCTTGGCTTTGGCTATTGTATGGCCTCTGGTTCAAGCATCATGACAGATCCAAGAGCATCATCGTCTGTCTGAATGTCTAGAATTTTTTAAGACTATCTGGGCTTCTAAAGCATGCTGGGTTCGAGCGCGCGCAATCTCAATGGAACCTCGCGTGGTAGTCAAGACAAGCGCCCAGCTGACAGACGCACAGACTAACTGCTATGCTCGACAATGAATCCCGTATCTTTTGATTGCCTTTGCATCCTACATCCGAGGCCACGTATCGGCGCTCTCCGTAATCAGAGTCGAATTGTTCCGCGTAAGCACATCCTTGACCTTGCTCTGGATAATCAATCATGCACAATTATCAAAAGAATATGAAACCAGTTCGCACTTATCTTGATGTTCATAGACCTATGTCTCCTGTGAGGGCGTCCTCCCCCTATGAACCATTGACTTTGCACGGCACCAATGCCGGTTCTCATCGCCATAGACTCAAGGCTCACATTAATAGTATGATCACATCACAAATAGGTTTCCGCTGCTGCGGCATACACCGGCAATTAGCGCGTCTATCTCTTCTGACTCGTTGGTAGGCCAAGAGGCCCCACAATATCAGCATTCTGTGCACGCTACCGTAAGAGTATATGAAATGGGTGATTGCGCTAATGGATCTCGCGAGCTGCACCGCATTGCCCGACTCGCTCCCACTGTCGGACCATAGTGCAAATACCCTGCCCCTCCTTCGCCTCGCGTTATCGGAATCACAGCAATCACCGCTCTATGTCCCCCAGCTCACTTTCAACGAAAAGGCCCATAATTTAACTTCAACTCGCCCGACTCCGTTGATGACGGAGAAAGAGGGCGCCAAGGTGAAATCTCATGATTGCAAGTGCGACGTGTGCATCCACCCGTCTACTTGTCCAATTTTTCTTTGGTTCATACAATTTCCGGGAAATCCATCTCGGTCGGCCAGTGTAAGCCGTCGGCGCGGGGAGAAGAACTAGATAAGGTAAGCGCCCCTTGTTCCTAGGAATCTCTTCCTCTACACTGTACGCTGTACATATCAACCAGCTGATCCGAACAAATTGTTTTACTTGGTTACTAGTGCGATATTGCATTACGAGCTGGGAGAAGAGGAAACACGCGATCCGAAACACGGGGGACGATAAGACGAAACTGACAGCCAAATAACGCCTTGATTATCTACCCTTGTGGGTCCGCCATCGGGTGTAGATGGCGAGTTATGCCGTACTTCTGTGCTAGGCTAAAAGCGGGTGTAGCATTCGTCTAGGAGTTAACCACGGACATTTCCGTTGACAACTAGGATGGTTTCATTCAACGAGGGTTCACACCAGAGACCTCGGAGAGCTGTATTACCAATTACCAATCTATCACGTCGAGGTTTAGCGTACACATGCCAAGTAACTGACAGCAGATAGAACAATCCTTGTAATAACATATTTAACATAGTTCGACATTAGAATAGAGTGTCATAAAATGACCCGTAGTAAACCAGCTGGCGTTCATCTCCCCCGAAGTTCCTGAGCCTACGAACATGATCCCGTCTGCGAGCTCTTCCCCAGGAAAGAAATTCTTGCTTAGCATGCACTGCATCTTGCATTGTCATTGCAAGGTCGAAGCCGTTGAAGGCGAGCCAATCCCAACAGAGCCTACTCTCAACAAACGGGGCTGGAAACCCAGCTTCAAGCCAGTTCCGCGTATTGAGCATAAATTCGAGGTCGAAATCGCATCTTTGTGCAAATCTCGCAAGTCCTTCAACCCGCCAGTGGGTACCCATCCTGTTAGCTAAACTTTCCGCTGCCGATATCATTCTAGGGATCGAATGAAGTGCAATATTGCGCTCAATGAGCCCTAAAATAACGTGCTTGAAGTCATCGCCGATCCTACATAGTGCTTCAGTGAGTGCCCCTATATTGAACGAATAGTCGCTGAGAGCGAGCAGTGCCTCCTCAAAGGTCCATTGCAGCCCGAGTTGTGCTGCATAAGACTGTGCGGTTACGGCACTCAATCGAACCTCGAGCATCTTATACTTGTGGTACTCCCAGCTTTGTAGGTATAGAACTGGAGAAAAGCGCGTGTCTTTGTTGATGGGATTTCTGAACGCGCTTTGAGCATAAAGTGACCGGTTTTCCGGTTCAATGCCTTGAATGTTGGCCAAGTCGTTGCGAATTGTGTCGACTCGATACTGGTTTGCAACTAGTGCATTGTGAAGATGGCGACGGACATTATGTTCGAAAGAGGAGCTCCTAGATTGGTCAAGCCCTGTCAGATACAAAGCATCTGAAAGCCATTGAACGACATTGCCATATCTATAACCGTGACTCTGCAGGGCTTTGAGGAGAACGCTATATAGATCCCGCCCATGAGACAGGAGCATGGTTAACATTTCATCTGTCGCTTGGATATCTCCATCGTTTTGGACCAAAGTGACCAGTGCGTTGCGGTAGTCATCTTCAGATCCATAGGATTTCCAAGCGGTGATCATACGCTTAATGATGAATGCCTTTTGATTTGACTTTCGGTAGACTTCTCGGACTTGCTGCTGGGATAGCCCAAAGCTCATCAGCTCAGAGGTCAATGGATATACAATCGAGCCTATCGTGGAGTTTAGCTTGTTCCACATAGAAAAAAGAGAAGGTACGTTTTGGCCAAAGAGACCTTACATAGTCTGGTTGTGAGCTCGACGTCGTTCCAAATCTGCAAGCCGTGTCTGCTATGAGTTTTGATATGATAGAATCTTTGTACTTGGAGAGTTCCTCTTTGTGCAGGCCACCACGCTCAAATCTATGTCAACCTCAGTAATAGTCGCCGGCTAGTTGGAACGTACGGATCGAGTAGCCTGCAAAGTACTCGTAATGCATTGCTGCATCCAAAAATTTGGTACAAAAAACCATCTATTCCATCATACTTGGGACTCTTGTTATTAGAGGACATAAGGAATCGCGTGTAAAGGGAGGGGCGCCAAGTAGTTGACCCTATGCTCCTCTTTGTCGCTTCAGCCAGTGTGTAGGAGAGTGTGACGCTTGTTATGAACAATGTTGAGTTAACATCCAGGACCATCGCTGGATCTCGTCTGGAGATATCTTTGTTTTGCATACAGTATTCCTGTAACGTGGATAAATCTTCTTCAATCATGATTGTTTCGCCAGACAGACAGCCGATGTAGCGCTCTAACGCCGAGTGACCAATCTCGAGACGGTTGAGCTGTTTACGAACGTCACGGGCTTGATCCACGAGCTCTTTGAAGGTGGCCGCGACGTAGAGACTTTCCAGTTTCTGAGATGCCATTCTTATAGCCGACCAGGATGGGTGCGGGTCCAAGTTGGGCACTTGTCAGTCTCCACACGAGCCTACACTCCCTATTTGAAAGTGGCATACATGAAGGGATGTATTCTAATCATTTGGGTTCTTGGAACTTCTATGGTATCGCTCACTTGAACCTAACGTCAACCCGGATCATCAACGAGATCGGCTTGTGATAACACATAAATCTCCTTCAGCATTGTTAGAAGTCAAGTGGATTATACTATGGTACACTGGACTATGGACGTTTGGAGGCGCTACTAATTGGTCTGTCTAGCCATCTCAGGGAGACGGAATTCCAGGATGGCGGGTCCAGCAACGGTACTATCGTCCGATACGACGGTACCATTGGTTGATATGACTGCATAGACAGTACCGACCAGCTTTTCCGGGACAGTAGCCGACTTGTTCGAATCAAGAGGCGCGAAGAGCGTGTCGAGTCCACTGAAAAAGGCGGCGTAGAGCATTTGATTAGACCCGGTCGAGGTCGAATTGAAGTCGAAAGTCACACTCTTCCCCGGAGAAGGCGTCGAGGTCACGCGAAGTGCAGGGAAGGCTTTGACGGGCAACGACGGATTCGACGACGGGCACGAAATGATAAAAGGCGCTAAATGAACAAATTCAATAACCACGGGTATCTCAACGAGTTGATGGACGTACCGGCGAGGGAGTAGACGGCGTTGAGGTCGAGCGGAGTGTCAAATGCGCCGCTCCATGCTGAATCGTGCATTACAGCGCTCTTGACCCATGCCGTATGGCGTGTTTCGGTTGTGAGCACTGCAGCGGCAGCCGTCAAGTAATCCTTATTGGTGATATACTTTGCAGCACCCAAGTAGGCAGCAGTACCTACGCCTTCCAAAACACCAGCGAGGGCAGCAAAGGATTTGGGGTCTGTATAAGGGAAGGAGTAGTTGCAGGCTTGGGTAGCACTGGATCCAAGTGCGGTGGAGAGAAATTGGACATGTGAGGCTTCATGGTCAGCAATTTGTTGGAAACGATCGCGGACCCATGACGGGAACCCATCATTTTGGAACGCAGAAACATCAAACTTGGACAAGGCGCCACTATCTGCAATACATCTGATCAGCCATGACTTTAGGAGAGGCAAGGTGGACATACAAAATGCGTTCTCGAGATGTTCGAGGGTAAGTGCATATTGGAGGATGTCCGTATCGCTCGGATCATCAGCGCGTTTATTCACGACATGCTCGACAGGGGCAGCAGCAGCAATGGTCGAGGCAAGAAGGACGATAGGGAGAATCATAGACGGCAGCATCGTTCAAAATCCTCACCACTCCAAACTTTCGGTGTTTTATAGGTTTTGGCCACGCCTAAAGATTTGCCTCTGCATGGAACGATGGGTGGCTCCCCGGCGGGCTTGTCGGTCGAGCCGTGGACGGCAGTACGATGGCCACCGTCGATCGACACCACCATTTTGAAATATGACGCCTGATATCCTTTGATTTTCGGTCATTGCGGAAAGTGTGACCTCGATGGCACATCTCTGTGAGTACTCCCCAACTCCCGGCTATTTTCAGGAGGAAATCTAGCGCATGGCCTATAAGCACTGCATATTTCATATGCAACGCTCTGTTTCAACCCCAGGATCTGGATCCTGCGTTTCTTGCCGTAACCGTTTCCCTGAACCTGACGGGTCGGGATGCTTGAGCGGCTTAGATGAGGGCTCTTTTAGTTTGCAATCTGACCTACAATCCATTCCCTTTGTTGCTTTGTTACTCATCACCGATACTGACGGTCACCTTCGTAAGAATAGAATAGCTCGATAGTCATACACTCCACAATCCACAAAATATACACGATGGAACGACTATGTCTCCCACGGGTTGATTGTATACGCTGGTCTCTGTTTTGAATTTGGACTCATGATTGGCTTTGGAGCCCACGAGTCTGCAACCACGTCCTTTGTTTCCGTGCCCGATGACCCCAGTGAGACTGAGCCATCTACACCACCAAACGAGAGCGTCGACGAGGCGAACGGGTTTGGGGTTGACGCAGGATAACCGAAGCCACCTCCACCTCCAAATCCTGTGCTCGCAAACGGCTTGTAGGCCATTGGATCTGCTTTGTACATGGAAGCGTACATGTCATCCGTTCCCCGAACAGCGCCAAATGGTGTCGCCGGAATCGATTCTGTGCCCACTTTGCTCAGAGTGATTCCGGTCGTCATCGCAGGCGTCCATACGTCTCCATCCACACTCCCAAATGAGAGCGTTGTCGCATCCGCGCTGACATATTGGGAAAAACCAGGCGATAAAGAGGTCCCAGATGGTGAGCTGAACGGGTCGCTGTTCGGCGTTGCATATTCTCCGTACGGCGAGTCATTCATCTTCGGCGTGGACTGTGTAAACGACGGAGAGATCGAAATCTTCTCGACCTTGTTTGCCAGGGCATTGTTGTCGAGGTGAAGGTTCGTCTCTGACTTGCTGGATGACGGTAACTGATATGGTGTAGCAGCCGTCGGCGTTGTAGGCGATGGGGGTAACACCTTGCTTCTAGATACTTCCTTTGATGCGCTCGGTGGGATGGGAGGAGCCGATTCCGTCCTCTCGGGCGCAGGGCGTGGTGTACTATCCACACCAGGTGCAGGCGGTGGATTCGGGAGCGGTAACTCGGTCTTTTGCTGTCGTGCTTCTTCCGCCTCCGCCTCTGCACGAGCTTGAGCAGCAGCCGCGGCCAAAGCCTTGAGGTCGAAGCCAGCCTTCGCCGCTGGTAACTTCTCGTCCTCTGCCTTCTCCGCCTTCTCCGCCGACGGTAAGTTGACGGTCTTTCCATTCGCCGCTGTCGGCATACGTTCTGGTAAGTCGTCATCCTCGTCCTTCTCCTGAATCGTTTCCGAAGAGACGCGTGCATCCTTGGGTGTCGAAGTAGAGTTTGGCGTGCTCGACTTTCCACTAAAAAGGCTAAACCGCTTCTTATCCTTGTTCGCCGCTGCGATTGCCTCTTGTCGGATTACCTCCCGCTCCGCTGTCATCATCTCCTCGGGTTCGTCAAAGAAATCGGCCGAGACTGCAAATCCAAGTTGATCCAAAATAAGCGGCATATACACTCGATAGCTCAGGTGTCCCGCAATCTTGTCCGTCAGATCCACATTCTCCAATCCTGGCACATGGTCGACCGGGCGCATACCTGCGACTGTGTTGATACCGCCAGTGGTCGCTCGGAAAAGGTATCCAAGGATCCAATCGTTGCGCGCGAATCCGTTGACAAACCGGCCAGCAACAACGCTGCGTGCGTCCATCCACGAGCGCACTGGAGCCGTCACTGTTGCGCCAAGGAGAAAGACGTCCTGGACGATACCGTACGCTTTGTGTTTAGCGAGCTCGAGCAGGCAGTAGAAGATCATTCTCGCGCCGAGGGAGAATCCGATGAGTGTTATCGGACGAACTCCAAGCGAACGACTCATTAGGATATCTGCGAGCACAGCACCAGCTGCCTTGGCACGGTCGAGCGCATTGGACCATGGGTTGTCGATGAGGTAGCCGAGCTTGGTCAACACTACTCGCAATTAGCTTGAGTCATGTAGGATTAAGATAAGAACGCACGTAGAGGAAAGGAAATTGCGCTCATTATACTTGTGAGGACGGTGAATTGGAGGACGGTCGTCGACACTTGCGAAAGCACCTCTGTGGAGAGAATCTTCAATGCATTTCCCGTCTCCTCCATCATCTCAGGCTCCCATCTCATGCTGAAGACATCCCCGACCATTGGGTCGAGAACACTGAATGGTAATCGGACATCGTCATTGATGTTGTTCATATACCTTCAATCGTAAGGCCAAGAGAGCATCGTGAATGACGTGAACTCACCCTGGTATTGTGAGAATGCAGTTGACACGTCTGTTATTGTGCAGCGGAAGAAGCTCCATCGTTCGCACAAAGCGTGTACGGCGAGTCATACCTTTAGCGGCAATACCAGAACCCGTCAGTGCTCCGGTTGCAGTGATGGCAATCGCGCCTCCAGTACTCGTAAGCACAGCAGTACTACCTGCTGCTCCCATCGCAGTCAAGGTGGCACCAAACGCCGCTCCGATGACTGGTGCAAGCACGCCCGCAGAGAGACCAATGACAAGCCCACCGCCAAGTGTAGCAAGGCCGACCATCATGTATCGCCTCCTCTTTGATGCTTGCACTCTTGATTCGATAATCTCTTGGCTCTCGAGGGACTCGGCACCTTCCTCAATCTCCAACGCATCCGTGACTCGTTTTTCAAACTTGATGACTTCTGACCACCCGAGTCCGAGTTTGGATGCGACTGTTTCGAGTAAAACTCGAGATCGAGCGTCGTAGACGCTATCGGCAATGAGGATGAGAAATAGATCACATAGGACGGTCCATCGAATATCAAGCGTGACGTCCTTGTCGAGATTTGACAGGTGTGTGCTGACACCGGGAACGTTAACTGGGGTCGAAGGCTCCAAGACATTGGCCGTCGTTTGGAGTCGCACATTTGAGCGATCGCGTTTATGTCCCGGTTGGAACGTTGTTGTGGAGCTTGCGGCAGTCGGCGTTGTTGTGCCGTCTTCGTCCTGTGACGAGTCGACGTCGAGGGTCTGTGCACCCAAACGCTCTGCCTCTGCATCCTCCGCTTCACGTTCTTCTTGTACACGGCGTGCTTCTACAGGATCGTACTCGGGATTTGCAACGGTGTGGGTTGTCATGAGAGGTGGCACTAGGTCCATTGCTGTCAGACCATGTTCGCCGAGGGTCTCGATCATCTTCTGTTCTCTTGGGATGTCAGTAGGACGTCTTTATAGATTATCCGCACCCACCAGGCAAAGCGATTTCCATATGAAAGTAGAGACGACCCATAATCTTCAGACTCCAGAGTTCTAGCCCTTTGATGGCACCAGCAAGCTCTTTTCGTCCCACTCTCTTCAGACCAGTGATCATTTCACGCATGGTCAAGTAGCAGACGCCGACATAGGCAATCCGCTGCGCTTCGGTGAGAAGATTCTTAGTCGCTTGCATCTGGCTGAGCGGTGTCATGGCCTTATCCTCGTCAAAAAGGAATTTGGTTCGAAGGTGGATCTCTTCGGTGTCGTCGTCGTCATCTACCCGTAGTCGGGTGTAGTCCATTTCCGCAGCCTGCGTCAATCGTTTCTTCCGCCATTCGTTTCCGGCATAATCCACATCGTCAAATTCTCCCGTAGCATTCGCACCTCCAGAATTCTTCTCGTCCTGGCCTGAGCCCTTGGCAGTGTTGGTATTCCCAAAGCTTGTGCCCAGCAGCACGCTCCCACCATATGAGCTGGTATTCTGCTGAGCGCGTGGCACATAGTGATATCTCTTCCGATCCTCCTCGTCAAGTCCATCCGCCGGGTCATCCGCCTTGACGACTTCCATCTCTTGCCAAAAGTCATCGTCATCCTCGTCGGCATCTGCCCACTTGTCATCGTTGCTCCATTTATTCGACGAGGAAGAGTTGTCTCCGTGTTTGGTTATGGAAGAAGAGGACGAGGAGACGCTGTGGAGGGTGGATTGCGAGATGGAAAAGCGGGCATCAGCTGTCCTGGACGTAGAAGAGACTTTACTGCTGATACTGTTTCTCGGGGTGCTCATTCCTATCCGTTAAGGCCTATTTCTCCTCCTTTCAGCTGGTACTGTCAGTATCCAAAGGTAACGGTGGATAATAGGTTCGTGTCTCAATCTTCACAGAGTTCTAGCACCGTGGCTAGGTGATGAGACAGGCGACGGAGATGGTAATAGTCCAAGTGAGAACGCCGTTGACTCGCCACCGCGACGGGACGAGACCGGTCGAGAGTAGCTTGATGATTATAGTCACCAATAAAGTATAGTTATAGTTCATTTGGGCAAATCAATATATCATTCATTTTTGGACTCAACCTCGGCTGCGACTCATGATCAATCACAGAGAAAGAGTCATCTTACCAGGATTTGTGCACTTGGAACAGCATGCAACAGCGTATAAGATGGTGGCATAGTGCCTCAGCCTTGCCGGTTTCTCTTAGCCATGTTCACTCCGCTGCAAACGGATAACAATCAGGTTTCAAGAGGCGGGGAGATGGGACATGATCCGATAGATCTACCCTACCACACATACGGTTATCTACGGCCTCTGGTGGGCGCCATCACCAATCGAAGCATAGCTTCGCCTATCTAGCATGGCGGATATAAACCGGTGAGCACAATCCCAGCAACTCACATAAGCCTCTGTTCGCTCACGGACTCCTAGTCGCAATGGCGGATCCTCTCAGCATTGCAACAACCATCGCTGGAATCATCCGGGAGTCTATCAAGGTCGGCAAGCAGCTCTATGACCTTCTAGGTCGCTATAAGAGGTCGAACCTCACCCTCCTCTGTCTCTGCACCGAGGTCTTTATCATCGAGAAGGCGCTCGTCAAGCTGCAGGCATATGGTACGGAGAATCCCCGAGCTTTTGGGTTCAACGACAAAGATGCATCAAAGGACATTGATTGCGCGCTCTTTGCTACGAGTATCACTCTCTCCGAGCTATCAAGGCAGCTCGAGAAACTCGGAGGGAGAATAGAGGCCGAGTCACGCCCTCGCGCGACAACGCTGGAGAAGCTCAAACTGCTTTGGAGAGAGGAAGATATGAAGCAGATTCTTGATCATCTCCGCGGCCAGCATAGCGCGCTTCAATTTCTCTTGACCGCGATTACCATGTGTGTAAAGCTTTTGCCGCCGCTTCAGTGTTTCTGACCACCTGCAGGGAGTCTATCGACGAAATTAAGCAGATGCTAGCCAATAACCGACCCGTCATAGAACACATGGAGGAAGAAGCGTCGATACATAGTCAGAGACTCGGGTGTCTTAAAGCTCTTTCACGTCCACAGTATAGTGCGACAATTGTTGGGAGCGATTCAGTCAAATCAATCCCAGAAGACAGCATCGCCGACCCACTCGGTGCGTTATGTTCACAGAAGACGGGTATCGACTGAGACATCGGCAGAAATTTCTTGCGCAACCGATGAGAAGCCTGCCTATCCCTTGATCCCCGAACTCATTGGAAGCGGTCTGAGTTACCAGCAAGTGATCGACATATACGAACGGAGCGGCCTCGATCCGTTGACAGTCAAAGCGAAACTAGAGGCGTGGAAGACCTATGGGTCCAATACAGACTTTCGCATCGCTCTCACGGCGCTTATACGCAATAACTGCAACGTGGCTGTCACTGATGACGGTCTCATGTTCCTATACGTACTGGACCGCCAGCTATACCCGCGTACGCTTCTAATGCTGAAGAAGTATGCATACAACTTTACCATCACTCAACAACGACTCGAAATCCTAATGCGTCTGTCGGAGATGACGATCGCACTACACTCCCCAACAATAGATCCATTAACAAGTAGCTCGCCAAACTCCTCTAGTATGTCACGAAGTATAGCGACAGACAATTTGCGTCGCTTCCTTGGATCGTTAGAGGCCAACATGTATAATTTTGCAGAGACCTATCAACAAATCAACGGTCTCATCAACCTTCGTCGACTCTCAGACCTCATTAAAAACCACAATCAATGGCTTTTTGATGATCCTCAAAGTCATAACTACGCCGCACTTGACACTATGTGGCTCGTCCAGTTCTGGGAGCACTACGCATACGACGCCGTCATCACCGAAGATACGCTCTGTCAGGTGATGAATTGGTTCATCACACATCAAGGAGTCCCTTGCCACATTCATGTTGTTCTCCTCCTCCTACGTCGTTGCTTCTTCCGCAAAGAAGTACTCCTCAGATCATTGGATCGACTTAGGGGTGCAAATGACGCTCCTACGTATCTTACACTGACGCTAGAGATTCTCGCGCACTCTACCGATCAACTTCCAGTGGACCATCTCGTCTCTGAGGTGAACCGCTTGTTCAAGAAGTTCTGGACGGAGCCGCGCTTCTACTATCCACCGCTGATGGCCAATAAATACAACTACAACGTTCCTGAAATGGTCAGGGTCGAGAAGGCGGTCGAGTCTGCCTTTCCCTCTGCCTTTGTTGAGACGGGTCTTTGTTGGGATTGGCTCATGTTCAACGGGTTCGATCTCAAGGAAACTCAGAAAGATGCCACGATGATCCCAGATACCTTTTCATCGCTGAGTGCGGAGCAGAAGAAGGAATGTATTCGACAAATGCATGCACGGCGGAGTGTTTCCATCAAGTATTCACCAGACTCTCACCTCTTTCACCAAGATAGGCTGAATTAACCTATGATTGTGAGTTACACAATCTACCGGCTCAGTATGGCGACTTACCAAGGGACTAGGTTGCTTGCGAATGCATAAACGGAGAGTATAACATGCAATTTCACGAATAAGCATCGCCATGTACGATAAAGGAAATTTATCCGAACAGATTGAACAACTACTTCTGCCCCCTCCACATCCGTGCTGCCCCTCAACGAGACGCTATTCTCAACTGATATCAGCTATTTCAAGTTATTTACAAAGAGGAACCTCAAAACTCTTTGATCCGTCCAGTGTTGCTAATTATGGATCCCCGAGAAATGCTGCTCTCGATGGGCTTCGCTCCTGATCGTGTGGATAGTGAATGGTGTGCTCCTCCTTGACTAGACGGGCTTTAACCTTTGCTATAGGGGCATTAAAAGAGACTCCATAAGATGCCGGCTTGCAGGCGACGCTCGACCGGCTCATCCAGCACGAAGGCAAAGAGGCTCCCACAGCCAAATCACTTGAAGCTACCAGCAATAAATCGGAAAATATTGACGGTGATATTCATAGCTACGGTCCAACGGCCTATTCAGCGTCTGCAAACTTGGTAGAACCCAGATTGCAGCCGCAAGCACCTGGATCCACAACCCCCGCTGGACTGGCCGAGTCCTTGAATGCTCTTCGACTCCACCAACGTACACTAGACCCTCACTCGCTCTCCATCGAGAACGAGTCTGTAGGTCGGTATGCGCAATTCTTGGCTGGGAAAGAAGCAAGATTATATCAGCCCATAGTAATCAAGAAACGGCTGGGTTGCTCCTTACTTCTATCTCCAAGTTCTTCAAGGAAGAGCAGACGAGATGGGAACAGGCTTTGCTACCCTCCAAAGCAGCCTCTTAGAGTGCAGACACCTACCACGAGCCTAACAACCTCAGTGTCGGCAGTTCTTCGAATCAAATTCAGCCGCAAGGCGTCAACGAGCGCAGTCATGCCACCAACATGGATAAGACGGAGATGATCCAGAAATCGGCCGTATACGACGCCATCGCTACCTATAATTCGACACGTCATATCCTTCCACCTCTTGAGTCGGTCAAGAGACTGCTCGAAGACATGGTCACAAAGTTTACGGAATAAGAGTCGGTGGAGGATGCCCGTAAGCGTGCAGGAGACGTTTGCGCTCAGATGGAGAAGGTGTCAGACCTCCGTTGGCAAACCACGGTCCCAGGTTCTTCGACCCTCAACTTTCCCTCCTATAACATAGACGATATGAACGCACAAGTTATCAATATGGCGGCTAGAGGAGACTATCAAGGTGCTGCACGCTTCGCTTATGATTTCTCGCGAAGAGAAGCAGCTATGGAAGAGCATCAAATGAGAACTTCTGCGGACGAATATCGACGCAGTTACCTTGATCCTGCGACTGTAGTGGTGAACAAGGCTATCTTGGAATCCCGACCGATCTATGCAGAGATACAAGCGTATCTCGAGATTCAAGATAAACAGCTGGATGTAGTGAAGACGATTAGGGCATTGGAGCAGGTCTCATCTAACATTGAATGTGGGGTGAAGCTGCTGGAGCAACTAGACGACGAGAAGAGCGCACAAGAGTTCGGGCGACGTATCAAGGAAGCCACGAACCGTCAGCAATTCATTGAAGTGTCACAGGTATGAACGAGCTACACTATAAGCTAATAACTCAAAGTTTTATATAGCTTGAGGATCAGAAAAATGGTCGCGGCTACCAAGTCAATGCGGTGCGCACCTCTCGAAAGGTTGCACGACGGGCCCCTTTCTTCAACCTTGCGATTTCTCGGATCAACAAAGCTCTCTCTGAAATTGACAAGGATCAATCGGCTCTCAAAGAGCAATTGAAGGAGCTGTTCAGAACCATTCCCGAGACCATCTCGCTAGACCAGGAGGAAGCTCGTGCCCGGGCGGGTGATACCTCGCCCTCAAAGATTCCACTCCCAAGCAAGGAACTCTTCAATCAAATATCTGATCTACAGTCATCCGTGGTCTCCATCAACGCTACATCTCTCGATCTACGCTCCCTCATGAAGGATCTGCAGCGTCAGCAACTCGAGGAGAGAGCGGAAGATCAAGTGGCCCAGCTCACACTGAGGAAAATACGAGCAGGACGGTTCCTCGGTGTGTATGCTGGACCTGTCCGGGAGCTGCAGGACCGAGCAAGCAATGAAATTGCGGAGCTGGAAAGAGCGTTCGATGGGTTCTATCAAAGTGACTTGATGGAAATGGGCGCAATAATAGGACCAGTAAATGCGTTCATCTCGAGATATAAATCTCGGGAGGCACTCGTTATGCGGAGAATAGGGACTACTGCGGATCCTGCACCAAGCCCTGCACCATCGAGCTCTCTCGCCGCTCGTAGCACTGGTGCTGCGAATCCAACGATAGAAGGCCTACAGCACCTCTCCCAGCAGCAATATAAAACCGAACCAAAGTCATTGGGCGACACCACCTAGCCCTCGTGCGTGCACGTCCTTGTTTCTGATTTCTAATCTATACGCTCCATAGCTTATGCCCAGTATCAACTTCAGCAAAACCAAAGTCACTGGGCGACTCCGCCTAGTCCCTGTGCGTGCGCAAGTTCCTTGCTTCACTCACTTGTTTCAATAGCCTATGCTCCGTATCAGCATCAGCAGCAGTACGCACCGAATCAAAGTCACTGGGCGACTGCACCTAGTCCTCGTGCGTACACGTCTTTCTGGCTTCTGACTACTCACCCACTTGATTCAGTAGCTTATCCCCAGTACCAACCTTCAACCAACCACTTCTGGTGATCGGAAGATATTCTCTGGTGAAGCCTTGCTAGCTCCCAAGCATGGCAAACGTATCGCTTTCATTCATCGAACTAGACTTGAAATATACTATTTTTACATAGACAGCGATATCTACGGATAGATCATCATGATGAAATGGTTCTACCGAATCCAACGAACGGAGAATATAACATGCGACATCAAGACTAGGTGTCACCGTGTGCGATAATATAAATGTACCAAACGGATCCAGCAACCACTTTTCCCTCCTCCACTTCCGTGCCGTGACGCCCTACTATTTTCAGCATCAACCGTTTCATTGTTTAAAAAGAGGGGCCCCAAAACTCTCTGATCCGTCTAGTGCCGTTTATTATCTGGTGCTGTTGACTATGGAAGCCCGAGAATCGCTGCTCTCGATGGGCTTTGCTCCTGATCGAGTTGACTGTGCGTAATATATTTCGTCATTGAACTGATTTCACCGTGATTCGTTCTAGGGGCATTGAGAGAGACGCCACCAGATGCCGACCTACAGGCGAGGGTGGACCATCTCATCCAGCACGAAGGCGAACACGTCCCAACATCCAAATCACTTGGCGCTGCCGGCAGTAAATCAGAAAAAGTCGCCGGTGATCTATATATCTATAGTCCACCAGCTTATGCGCCGCCTTCAAGCTTGGCTATTGAACATAAAATCCAGTCGGAACCATCTGGATCTATAACTCCTGCCCAACTGGCCGAGTCCTTGAATGGACTTCGAATTCAAAGACGGACGCCAGATCCTCTGTCGCTCTCTATCGAGAATGAATCTGTAGCTCGATATGCAGAGTTCTTGTCTGCGGAAAGAGGCAGGATTATAGCGGCTCATAGTAATCAAGAAATAGCTGAGGATCTCCTCGTTTCTATTTCCAATTTCTTTAATGAAGAGCGGAAAAGGTGGCAACAAGTCTTACACCCCTCCAAACCGACTCCCCAAAGCGTGAACGCTGATAATAATGCGGGCACTTCATCCAACGGAAATCAGTCACAAGCTTCCAACGAAAATAGACTTTCTACCAATGCAACTGAGGCGGAGATGGCCCAGAAGTCGGCTGTATATGACGCTATCGCTACCTATGATTCCACACGTCCTCTCCTCCCGCCTCTTGAGTCAGTCAAGAGATTACTCAACGGCATCGTTACAAAATTTACTGAACGAGAGTCGGTGGAGAATGCCCGCAAGCGTGCGGGGGAAATTTGCACTCAGATGGAGAAGCAGGTGTCGGACCTCCGTTGGCAAACCACGGTCACAGGTTCTTCGATGTCCAATGAATCTTCTCTTCCTAGTTCGGACGACATGATGTCACAACTGCTCGCTATGCAATCTACAGGAGACTATCGAGGCGCTGCGCGCTTCGCTCAGGACTATTCGCGCAGAGAGGCAGCCATGAAGGAACAGCAAATGAGGACTGCAGCAGAAGAATATCGACGCAGCTATCTTGACCCTGCAACTGCAGCGGTGAACAAGGCCATATCGGAATCCCAGCCCATATACGCTGAGATACAAACTCACCTCGAGAATAACGACAAGCATTTGGATGTGGTGAAAACGATCAGGGCATTAGAGCAGGTCTCATCTAACATTGAATGTGGGATGAAGCTGCTGGAGCAACTAGACGACGAGAAGAGCGCACAGGAGATCGAACGACGTGTCAAGGAGGCCATGAATCGTCAGCAATTTCGCGAAGCGTCACAGGTATGAGCGAGGGACACTGTAAGCTCGTCGCTGAAACCTTGATACAGCTTGAAACGCAGAAGGTCAGCCGTGTCTACGAAGTTAATGCGGTACGGACATCTCAAAGGGTTGCACGGCGAGCCCATTTCTTCAACCTTGCGATTTCCCGAATCAACAAAGCACTCTCCGACATAGACAACGACCAATCAGTTCTCAAAGCGCAACTCAAGGAGCTATTAGGGACTATTCCCGAGACTATCTCGCTAGACCAAGAAGAAGCTCGTGCCCGGGCGGGTGATACCTCGCCATCAAAGATTCCACTCCCAAGCAAGGAACTCTTCAATCAAATATCCGATGCACAGTCGTCTTTGATCTCGATCAACGCTACAGCTTTTGATCTACGTACCCTTTTGAAAGAAATCCAGCGTCAGCAGGTCGAGGAGAGAGCGGAAAGCGACATGGCACAATTCACACTGAGGGAAACGCGGGCAGGTCGATGGACCAATTTGTATGGTGGACCTGGCAAGCAGTTGCGAGACCGAGCAAACAATGAACTTGCAGAGTTGGAGAGAGCTTTCGACGGGTTCCGTCGAACTGATTTGACGGAACTAGACGCGATTACGGGGCCAGTAAATACTTTCCTCTCTAGGTATAAAGCTCGGGAAGCACTTGTCATGCAGAGGCTGGCTATGGGAGGTCCCCCGAGTGCTTCACCGACTCCTACATCATCGAGCTATTTCGCCTCCGGTGGTACGGGCGGTGTCAACCCGACGATACAGGCTTTTCAACGTCTCTTCCAACAGCAATATACGCCGAATCAGAGTTACTGAGACTCCACGAGTCCTCGTGCGTACACATCCTTCTTGCTTCTGACCACTAACCACATCCCCCAATAGACCACCCATCAACTTTTCACCTCGATAAATGCATGCTATCTCGTCTATCCTTATGTCAAATCTCTCATATGACCTGCTATTTGAGGTGGGAGCAGAAGAGATTACATTACTCGCACTTGGACGCTACCATGATACCTCGATGGCGGCTCTTTTGTCGTGGCATGAGTACGCGAGCAATGTCTCGTGCTTTAGGCGAACCAAAGCAGACAGATCCCGCTTTGGTAGACACGTTTGGGCGCCAGCATAGTTATTTACGAATTTCAATCACGGAACGTTGTAATCTTCGATGCACGTATTGTATGCCCGCGGCTGGGATAGAACTTAGCCCTGCATCACATATTCTCAAAACCTCGGAGGTACTTCGTCTAGCCTCGCTTTTTGTACGCGCAGGCGTGAAGAAAATTCGCCTGACCGGTGGCGAGCCTTCTGTGCGCAAGGATTTGCCAGACATTGTACGAGGCTTGAATAACATGAAGAAAGATGGACTAGAGGCGATTGCAATGACAAGCAATGGCGTTGCATTGGGGAGAAAGCTGGAAGACTTGGTCAAGAACGGCCTGACTCATCTCAACCTGAGGTATGTGAACCTCCTTGGATTTTGAGAGACTGAAGGGGGCCAGTTTGGACACACTAGACCCGTTCAAATTCCAAATACTTACACGACGGCCGCACTCGATGCATGCCGCTGTCCTATCTACCCTCGACAAAGCGCTCACTTACTTCACCTCACCGACAGCTAATTCATCTCCATCTTTATCTCAAGTCAAGCTCAACGCTGTCCTTATTCGTGGCCTCAACGACGACGAACTCTTCTCATTTGTCGAGCTCACGCGGTCTTCATCACTCTGCGTTCGATTCATTGAATTCATGCCCTTTCAAGGAAACGAATGGGACAAGCACAAGATGGTACCTTCTCGTGAACTGATTCATCGGTTGACGGAACGCCATCCGGGGTTCGCCTCTGTTGTTGACGAGGGAGGAGATGCAACGGCCAAGCTTTGGCGAGTCCCTGGATACCAGGGAACTGTTGGGTTCATCAGCAGCATGTCCGACCATTTTTGTGCAACTTGTACCCGCCTGAGGATCACGGCAGATGGGCAGATCAAAGTGGGTTCAGTTACTTTGATTTGATGAAAACATATAACACTCCTATGTATTGACAGGTATGCCTTTTCGACCCGCATGAAGTTTCCCTCCGTGACATGCTCCGCGAGGGAGCATCGGACGAGGAACTGCTACAAGTCATTCACAAAGCAGTACTCGGTAAGAAAGCCAAGCATGCTGGGATGAACACGCTCGCCCGTCTTTCAAAAGACGAGGATGGTCTAAAGAATAGAGCAATGATCAAGATCGGGTTGAGTAACTCTTCTTTCACTCTGAAATCCGCACAACTAATGGATGTATAGGGGGTAGACAGCCACGGAAAAAGACGAGAGCATACAACCACCCCTTCACTTATATACACGCAATGACCTGCTCACAAGTCCGATATACTTCAACAACCGCCGTTCATGAGAGTCAGCTCACACATCTCGACGAGATGGGGTCACCACGTATGGTGGACGTCTCGTCAAAGGATGTGACCAAGCGCAGTGCTACAGCCATTGGCACAATCTATATCAACCAACATGCCTACTCGCTCATTACTGGGCTGGAACCAACTAGTTTACAAGCCATATCGACTGCTAAAGATGGTGACAAGCTAACGAACGAAAAGTTGGTGAAGCTCGACAAGCAGCAGCCCGATGAATCGAGGCTGCATGCGATGGATAAGGCATGGAGAAAGGCTGGCGGTGATGGGAGGAATGTCCTAACCATCGCACAGCTCGCTGGGATTATGGGTGCAAAGTCTACCTCGAACCTGATCCCTCTGTGTCATCCTCTCCAGTTGTCCCATGTTCACCTCTCACTCGTACCCACCAAAGAGACTTTAGGTGAGGAGAACACAAAGTACGCGATTCGATGCGAGGCTACTGTGACATGCGAGGGCAAGACGGGTGTAGAAATGGAGGCACTCACGAGTGTTTCTATATCGCTGCTAACGATATGGGATATGCTCAAGGCCGTAGCGGGACAGGAGATGGCTATTACCGACATCACGCTCGTTCAAAAGGTCGGTGGAAAGTCGGATTTCACCAGATAAGAATAAATTCATGTCACTAGTCAATCCCACTCGCTACGGGGGTGCGTTGTGTCGAGAAAACGAGAATGCTCTACGTCGACCAAGTAATGCAGAATCTGAGTCAGTGTAAATCCTTGAAGTTTATTCGTCGTTTGAGTTCCCTCAGCAGGTTCCAATGAGTAGTCAGTTGGAAATAGGAGCGGTTCTCCAGCCATGAACCACGAATGTACCCTCGCTTTCGAAGCGGATAGTCGTTTGGAAGGAGGGTAGGCTAAGAGGGCCTCGATGAGATTCAAGGGATTCGGGTCGGCTGGTGGGAGGTGTGGCATCAATTTGGCAATGTCTTGTCGGGGGGCTTGAATAAACTGAATTCCAGCGCCCTCTTGATGTCCAGGGAAGTCCTATAAAGCAAATAGATGTGTGATATTCTCAGACTGAATATGGACGCACCGGCCAGGTCTCCTTTGTTGGCGTGCCAAGGACTTTGAAGATGCTCCATAATAAAGCAATTTCACCTCTGCTCGCGTCAAATATAGGGTCTCTTCTCCATGTTGCATGAGGAGGCACGCCATCTGGCTTGCGAGGAAAGATATACGGCTCAACCTTGAGGATTGGGATGTCTTCTGAGGTCTCACTAGAACTTGTGGCATTGTCTTCTTCTTCCTCTTGCTCGTCCGTCTGAAGCCTTAATGGGGTGAACAGAGTCGAAAGAGTGATCCCAAGACTCCACAAGTCGGTGGCACATGCATTATAATGCTTGGGTGTGTACATCAGCTCTGGTGCTCGATAGTGCCTATTAAGGTCAGTGGTCTGTCAAAGATGTGATATAAGCCTACCCAGTGGCAATCTGAGCGCACATATCATCAAGGCTCTCTTTCGACTGCTCCACTTCAACGCTTTCCTCGCCAACGATGGAGAAAGGGCTGATAGATGGATCCCATGCAACACCAAAGTCGACCAATTTCAGAATTCCAGTGGTTGTGAGGAGAATGTTTCCAGGGTTGATGTCCCGATGTGCCACTTGGAGGCTATGTATATATTCTGTACCAGAAATAAGCTGATATGCTAGCGAGCGCACGACACTGCTGTGCAGCAGCTCCGGAAGTATCGCTGGGAATGGGTTAGGCGTCGATATGTGCAATCCGTCAGGGAGACTGTGAGATGAGAAGTACGGGTGATCCAAGAGAGTATCGAGAGGGAGCTCGATCATCGCCAGGTGAAGCTCATAGAGCTCCTTTTCGCTGTCATAAAAGGCCGAGCGAAGATAGACAATCTGCAAGGATTTAGAGAATTAATTGAAGATTATAATGCCCGTACGTTCGGATGAGATAGTTTCGACAGGATCGCAGCTTCGTTTCGGATGTTGTGAGGCTTTCTGTACGATATGACATGTGCCGGGACGACCTTGACGGCAAGTACTTCCCCGGGGTCATTAGTGTACACAGCTCTGTATATACGTGACCCAAAGGGGCGATCTACGATGAGATATTGGACCTAGAGATGTCAGAGTATAACTGCTTGGGGGCGTGGATGCTCACTGCGTCTGCATACACAGCTGGTTCATAACGAATCTGATCATGTGTCAGTTTTGAATATTTACCAAATTATATGACAGACAATTGCCTGTAGTGTGGACATTGCGCATTCCCAGTGTGGCTTTGTTTGTCCCCACACGTGACCTCCCCCATCTCCTAGCCATCTGGCAGCAATGGCCGCGACACCTTTTCTTTCACGCGTCGTTCAGTTTGACGATGTCAGTATGTCCCTGATGGAGTCTCCAGCGGCACCCACGTCCATCGACTATCTCAACGGCCAACTGGTCGCCCATGGATTCACCCATGGACGCGGTCTCAACCTCGCAGACCTCCGTGGACAAGATCAGCAAATGGTTTTGAAATGTCTCTCGAACATGCTTGGACAGCGTTTGGTGAGTTTCATCATCTTGCATACCTGTCAGCCCCCTAGACGCCCCATCGACGCGTTTTCTCTCGATTAAATGGTAATAATGTGCTTATTGCATCATCTTCTACCACTTACAGGACGATATGCGACGTGCAGAGCAACTGAGCGGCAAATACAAAACATTGTCCTACGACCATGAACGCTTGCTCGAGCAGCATCGCGCCGCAAAAGAAGCAGCTGCACAAGCAGAACGAGAGATGGAGACGGGAAAAGCTAAAGTCGAGTCGGCGCAAAAGAGACTAGAGGCAGAGGAAGCAGCGCATAAAAAGTCAAAGGACGACTTTCAAAGGCTCAAGATGGCCATGCAGTATCTACGGACCACGACTGCCAACGATGTCAAAAGAAAGGAAAAGGAAATTGAGAAGATGACCGAACGTTGGTCGAGAATCGCCAACGAGCAGGTGAAACTTGGAGCAATTGGGTCCGGGATGGTGTGTGCGAATCTGCTACCAGAACAAGTGGCTTCCGAGGTATTATTCACTCATGAATCCGCTGTGTTTATCTTACAAATCCACAGAAGAAGACGGACATATGGGAGGCAGCCCTCGCCGAATCTGAGGCTGCACGGCTTCGTCTGCTCAAGGAGAATGATGCACTCCGAGACGTCATCGTCGCCTGTGCAAATGCACTCGTGTCACTTCATCATTCGACGCTCGAGGCTATCAACAAGGTTGAATTGGAGGAACCAGAACTGATTCTGTCCGACGTCTTATTCCTTTCCGACCCTGGTTCAACACAAGCGGAGACTGCGCAGAACAAGCTCCGCGAACTCTTTGCCAACCTTCGAGAGGTATTATCACAAGTGAGCTCCATTGGGAAGAGCCGCCGGCAAAGCCTCAAGCAGCGTGAAGAGGATGCGCATCAGATCATGGCCCTTCAGCAGGCTAATGTTGCTCTTCAAGCTCAACTCGGTACGCTCTAGGAAACTACCCGATCAGAATTAACCACTTTCACAGAGGAAGCGCAAGCCGCTATGCGTGCCCAGGGTCAAGAGTTATTGGAACAATTCGTCACAGATGCCCGTTTCGCTGCTGGTCAACGCTATGCGGCAGACATCTCTACGTACGTGTACAAGCGGTCCATTTAATCATGCTCACGTATGTTAGTGATCTCATTGGAACCCCGGACAAGGCTGCGGTTCTTTCAGAACTAGAGAGTCAACGTCAAAGGCTAGAAGACGAACGTGAGAAACATACGGAAGCGGCTCTTGCGCTCGGACGAGAAAAGGCGGCACTAGAGGCGGAACGGCTACAGTTTCTCGAGGAGAAGAGGGCTTTCATGGTTCAATCCATTCTCGACGACCTTCCTCCTACTCCAGATGCCTCTGGTAAGGCCCAGCCTGAGCCGGTGAAATCGGTAGAGGAACCGAAGCCTGCTGTTGTCCCGCAATCATCACTCTCCCAACCCCATGTCCCTTCGACGCAATCAATAGTCACGCAAGATATCAAGATAGCGTCGGTCGTGCCTGCCCTTCAACAGCCTCCAGCTCTAGACATGGAAAGAGTGGCCGTTGGGACATCCACCACTCCTACGACTGAAGAAGAGCTCTCGCCAACATCACCAACGGAACAACGCTCAAACACGAAGCCAACAATTCGCGCTCCTGCAGTCCCCCCTCGCTTCCGTATGCAAAAGACACCAAAGCGGCGCATTCATCCACAAGCACGTTCAGCACACAAGTATTCACCCGCTGTGCCTTCGCCGCTCTCACGGATGATTCAAGCGACAGAGTCTCCACCGAGCTCCCCGGAGTCGAAAGCCCAACGGGCAGCATCAAGACCCCCTGTGATCGCAGAGGAGGATGAAAGTGATCAGGGTCATGAGGATATCAAGGTGTTCGAGGAGATTAAAGCAGTGGCCGAAGAAATTGAGGTTGTTGCTGTTGACAAGCCGGTGGAGCCTAGGGCGGGCTCATTATCACCTTTGTCGCGCATCATGAACATGGGCCTCTCACCTGCCATTGCTCCAACATTGGCCATCTCCTCGTTCCCAGGGCTCTTAGGCACAGGCTCTCTTACACAGAATCTTGCAAAGTCTCGACAACCTATCAAGGGCTTTGGTGACATGCCTGGTGGATTTCAGCTAGGCACCGCTATCGACCCTCAATCATCGACCAGCAATTCAGCCCCGGTGGTACCAAAAAAGGCGAAGGCAACGACGATCACCAAACAGCGGCTGCCACCGCCGCCCAAGAAGGTATTCGGGGAGAATCATCCACGAACATCTAAAGAGAGTACATCGTCCAGTGGAAGTGCTCCCAGTACGAGCGATGGGCGAAGCAGTGCCGCATCAAACAAGAAGAGCACCACAAGCGCTGTCCCGAGAGTAAGGGGCAAAGCAACGGCGCCGCCCACCGACAAGGAAAATGTCAAAAAGCCCGCACCGACCAAGCCAGTCGTCACGAGGAAGCCCGTGTCTGTTGTGACTAGGCCTGCCGCTCCCAAGGCTGCGCCTGCTATCAAGAAAGGGACAGCACCGGCTAGATCTGCTCCTACGAGATTGAAGACATGATTCAGGTTCCAGCGTCATTGTTCTCTCTTATTTGATTTGCCATAATTCTCGTATTCGTACCGTGTATATGTACCATTAGCCCTCATGATGCATACGACTTTCGCAATCCACTAATAATAGTATTGATCTCCGGATTTATGGTACAATCAATCCGAGGCGACATCGTCCGAGTGCACATCGTCGTCGTCATCTAAAGGCCATTAGTAATTATGACGGGTATGTCGTTTACACGTACCATCTGCCACATCGTCAAGTTGCGCCGCCTGAGCTTCAGCTTCTCTGATAAATCCACGGCAATCGTTGTCTGCGGCCGGAATCAAGTCATAGGCGCGCTGGCCATGCTTGTCCTTTATCCTAGATGAAAATATGAGGTCAGCAACTACAACCAAAGCTGTACTTGCGATGTATCTGCGCCAGCTTCTAGCAAGCTCCGGACCATGTAGTGGCGTGTGTCTAGATCCGAGTTCTTGCAAGCCAAATGAAGTGGAGTCTGCTTCATAATCCTATTTTGCAAGTCTACGTCGCATCCCTCGACCGTGAGCAGCTCGTCCAGAGCGTCGACCGAGCCGTATTGCGCGCTGCAGGGTGACATGAGGTTCAGTGGCACCAAGCTGGCAGAAAAGATATTTACGCGTAATGAAGCGCTAATTGATATCCAAACAATCTAAGGGTCAGAGAGGGTTGAGGAAATGCCAAAAATGCGTGCCTGTATTGCCGAGACTGGAGACGATCAGCTACGATTGAGGGCCGGCGTACGAGATGTGAGAGGATGCTTACCCATCTTGAAAGTTTATATCGTAATCTCCTTCCTCAAAGACCTCGTTGAGCATGTCAACATCATCTGCCTTGGCGGCGGCAAGAAGACGTTCGTCTGGACAGTACACGCGCCAAACGCAGCGGTTGAGTGTACATAATAAACTGTCTGAAATGCTACTGACTGCAGCTTGCGCCTTGTTCAGAGGCCATGAAATTGTCACGATGAGTGGCGAAAGGTCAAGGTTGAAGACTGGACTCCTACCACGACAGGTCGATGCCGCCACGACGTGCTGCGACCCGCACGGCAGCCATAAAGGCAGAAGATGTCGATGAAGAACCTCCTACGCGCTCAAAACGCGTCGCACGCAGCGTCAGTGTGAGCGTTGCGGAGAGCGATCACGACGGTGCCAATACTGCAAGCGACGTATCCGACGATTCAGATCCTAAACCAAAGAAAAAGCCCGCAAAAAAAGCTGCAAAAGCTCCTGCGAAACGCGCTGCTCCGAAAGCGACGACGACGACTTCAACAAAAGCCCGCAAGGCGGCAAAGGCCCTGGCGGACGAGGACGACGATGAAGAAGAGGAGAAACAGGAAGATGTCTTTGCGACACCCAAACCTGTCGTCAAATCGCGCGCAAAGGCACCGGTAAAGAAGTCCAAAGTGGCGAAACCAGCGGCATCGCAGCAGTCGTCTCGGGCACCCAGTGTCATCGAATCGGAATTGGATGAACCCTAGATACAACACCACTTCCACGAACACCGAGACCAACGGCCAAGCGACCCGATCCAGTCGCACTAGACGAGGAAGAGAACATTGTCCTCGAAAGTCCGACTAGAAGACCACTGGTTATTCCCTCTCCCGTGAAACTAGAAGTTGTGGAAGACAAGGGACCGAGACCTCGTTTAGTTATTCATAAGATTGTACTGGTCAACTTCAAATCGTACGCAGGCCGGCAAGAGATTGGGCCCTTTCACAAGGTATTGACATTAAATGATCCGTAGCTGACCATTCTAACTTCAATCAGTCTTTCTCCGCTATCGTTGGCCCGAACGGTTCCGGCAAGTCAAACACCATCGACGCGTTACTCTTTGTATTTGGATACCGAGCGTCCAAAATGAGACAGGGAAAGCTTAGCGAACTCATCCACAACTCGGCCAATTACCCAGACTTGGATGAATGTCGCGTCGAGGTTCATTTCCGCGAGATCATCGACTTGGTTTGTTGAAAGTCTGCTTACTAGACATAGCTGACAATTTTGAAGCCAGGTCCCGATGCATTTGAAGTTGTACCAAAGTCGAGCCTCGTCGTTGCCCGCAGTGCTTTCAAGAACAACTCGTCACGATATACGATTAACAATAGGGCCAGTAATTTCAATGAAGTCACGACTCTTCTCAAAGCGAGAGGCATCGATCTGGACCATAAACGCTTCCTTATTCTCCAGGTTCGTTGCGGCTACAGTGAATTGATTGCATACTGACCCGTCAAAGGGAGAAGTTGAGTCTATCGCCCAGATGAAGCCCAAAGCTCAAACCGAACATGACGAGGGATTGCTCGAGTATCTCGAGGATATCATCGGGACATCCGTGTATAAGCAACCTATCGAAGACGCATTTGCCGAGTTAGACAAACTAGGAGAGGAGCGCTCGGAGAAGTTGAACCGCCTGAGGCTCGTGGAGAGAGAGAAGCAATCTCTTGAAGTGAGTTTGGGTTGCTTGTCGTCAATCTGGCTAAGCCATCGTAGGCGGACAAGAAAGAGGCAGACGACTTTTTACGCAACTCCAATGAATATGCGCGCGTTCAATCCCGTCTCTTTCAGTGGCATATGTATCAGACGCAGCTCAAGATAGATCAATGTGCTCACAAAATGGTTTGTGCACACCGATCATGAATATAATTTGCCGATACTCGATAGGACGAGCTTCAAGCCGAGTTGGTGGCACAAACCGAGGCCAACAAGGAGCATATACAGCAGTCGGAAGAGCTACAAGAGCACTATAACAACCAGGAGAAGAAGCTCAAGGTAAGAAAGATTATCAAAAGAGTAAGGCTGTTACTAAAGAGCGTGCAGATTGCGAAGAAGAGGCCGAGACTGCCACCGCACACTTGTCCTCCCAGACAAAACGCGAAGTGGAACTAACGGAAAGGAAAAAGGTGGCAGATGCTAAGATTAAGAAGTGCACAAAGTCGATTGCTGAAGTATGCGTACTTGGTTCGGTGACACGACACTAACGCTCTACAGGACAAAGCGTCAAAATCCGAAGCTGACCACAGCATTCGCCACAACTCGGAGATCTTGGAACGCAGCCAAGCCGAGGTAGACAAGCTCGAAGAGAGCCTTGCTCAAGAAGAGAAGAAGCTCGAGGATATCGTGGACAGTTTGAAGGGTAAGTATTACTATCACATAATAGGTCAACGCTCATCCGCACGAAGACAAAACACAGGTCTTTACTAAGCAGATAGAAGCAAAGCAGAGAGAGCTCCAACCCTGGAGTGCAAAGTTGAGGCACAAGGAGGGCGAGATCAAGATCGCTCAGAACGAGCAAGACAGTCTCAAACGAAAAGTCGAGGCCGTCAAAACAGCGGGAACAGAGGCAAAAGCTGCATTAGAGGCTTTACGCACAGAGAAGGCGAGCAAAGAAAACGACAAGAATCAGGTGCAACAGGAAAAAGCAGAGGCTCAACGGGAGTTGGCCGACAAGCAGCGGTCATTTGAGGTACGCTCATTACAGTCGAGTGATCAGTTCTCACAGAAACCCAGACTCTGCGTGGCGAACTTGTCAATCTTCGCGGCAAGGCTTCCGCTTCACAACAAAAAGTTGAAGAGGCAAGAGCTTCACAAGCGCAAAATCGCTCAGCGAATGCGGTCCTTGATAGCCTGACCAAGCTTTCTCAAACGGGCCGAGTTCAAGGCTTCCATGTAAGGACTTTGGCAGGTTTTACGTCAGAAAGCTAATCTTTCCACAGGGTCGTTTGGGAAGCCTCGGTACTATACCAGACGAGTACGATGTGGCTATTTCGACGGCATGTGGCATTCTCAACAATTTGGTTGTCGATACGGTCGAGCAGGCCCAAACATGCATTGAATATCTGCGCAGTCAAAACATTGGGCGTGCTTCTTTCATCGCTCTCAACAAGCTTCCGAAGCAGACATACGAACGCATTGAAACGCCGGAAGGCGTCCCGCGGCTTTTCGACCTGATCAAGCCCAAGGATCCCAAATACCTTCCAGCTTTCTGGAAGGGTGTGAGCAACACGCTCGTTGCAAAGGATTTGCAACAAGCCAACCGCATCGCATACGGCGCAAAACGATGGCGCGTAGTAACCTTGGCCGGCCAGCTGATTGATACATCTGGTACCATGTCTGGCGGTGGCAACAAGCCGATGAAAGGTCTCATGAGCTCGAAGCTAGCTTCGGATTCCGTCCAGCCAGAAGTTCTCAAGAGGTTCGAAAAGGAGAGCGAACAGGACGCCTTGGCTGTTGCAAACGCTATATCTGCCTTGGCGCGTTTAGAATCTGAGATCGACGACTTGAAAGGGAAAGGACCGGCCCTCGACCTTGCTTTACAAAAGCTGAACATGGATCTTGGTGTATCCGTGCAACGTATCCAAGAAGCAGAGAAGCGCTTGCGAGAACTCGAGTATGTATATATATTCGCGTCGTCTGTTTGCTAAAGCTCTTTGCAGGAAGCAGAGTAAACCGGATCAAGCAGATATCCAGCGCATTGCGGTGCTCGAGAAGGAGATTGAACGCTCTCAGAGGGAACTAGAGCAACTCACTCGCGACTCAGCTGCAATTGAACAAGCCATACAAGAGCTTCAGGAAAAGATCTTGGACGTTGGTGGTGTTCGCCTTCGCGCACAGAAATCCAAAGTCGATGGCATAAGGCAAATGCTCGATCTTGAAAACGACAAGATCACCAAGGCTGAAGTACATCTCGCTAAAGCGAGAAAGGATGCCGAAAAGTATGCAAAGTCTCTCGCAGCAAACGAAGAGGCCTTGGAGGCGAGTGCAGAAGTCCTGGAGCAACTGCAGAATGAGCTTTCGGTCGTCAAGTCTGACGTTGCTGGCGTTCAAAAGACTGTAGACGCTGCCAATAGCAGATTCGAGTTAGCGAAGGACGAGCTTGATGCGATTAAAGCCGAATTGGAAGAAAAGTTGGAGCTTACGAGAGAGTTCAGAAAGAAGGAGGTCAGAATCTGTGCTTGCGTTCTTCAATATTGCTCATCCCCAATAGAACGAGATCAAGACGGCGTTGAAGGACGCCGAAAAGGAGCTCAAGGAGAACCAACAACGACACTCGACGTACAAAGAACGACATGATAAGCTCGAGCTTCAGGAGATTGAGTGAGTATGAACGTGGTGGTAAGCCCGCATGTCTGAGTTTCATCAGCGAGGACGAGGAAGACGAAGCTGCGGCAGCGGCCGAAGCTGAGAAAAAGAAACAAGACGCGATGGATGAGGATGAGGACGAAAACAAGATGGAAGTTGATCCTCCCACCAAGACGGATCCCTATCAGTTTTACTGGTATACGCCAGAGGAGTTAGAATCCTTTAGCCAACGTCAACTTGTGGCTGATGTCGCACTTTATGAGGGTAAGAATGCCTAAATGAAGCTTCTAGGTTGACATTGTCTAGAACGCGTCCGAACTGCAAAGCCCAACATGGATGTCCTCAAGCAGTACCGCAAACGAGAGCAGGAGTTTTTGGCGCGGGCGCAAGATTTGGATGCCGTCACAGCTAAGCGGGATGCTTGCAAGAAGCATTATGATGACTTGCGGAAGAAGCGACTTGAGGAGTTTATGTCTGGATTCAATCAAATCTCTTCCAAGCTCAAGGAGATGTATCAAGTTTGTCTTCTTGCCTTCAGCACCGCATCTTCGTGTAACTGACGCTGAGTAGATGATCACACTGGGTGGAAATGCTGAGCTCGAATTGGTGGATAGTATGGATCCGTTCTCCGAAGGGATCATCTTCAGCGTCATGCCGCCCAAGAAGAGCTGGAAGAATATCTCGAATCTTTCCGGTGGCGAAAAGGTTGGTTGGTCGCGTAAACCTCGGCATGTTTGACCTTTCTCCAGACGTTAAGCTCATTGGCTTTGGTCTTCGCGTTGCACGTCTTCAAGGTAGCCTCCAAGCCTCTATGAACAGGACTGTGCTAAAGCTTCTGGGTTTCTAGCCAACTCCGCTGTACTTTATGGACGAGATTGATGCCGCCCTCGACTTCCGAAACGTCTCGATTGTGGCAAACTATATCAAAGATCGAACGAAGAACGCACAATTTATCATCATCTCCCTGCGGTGCGTGCCGTTCGCACTCTTTCAAAGGGCTTTTCTGACTTGTGGATCTAGTAACAACATGTTCGAGCTTAGCCATCGACTTATTGGCATCTACAAGACTTCAAACGCTACACGGAGTGAGTGTCTTATTTTATACCGAACACAGGCTGAATTAGCTCAGGTATCACAATTGACAATCACGATCTCAACCGGGCCCCTTCTGTATCTACCTAGTCACCCATTCAATGTAATTCGGTACACAAATCTATCAAATTGTATCCCATTCCTCACTCCGAGAGCACCGTCTCGTTGAGAACCTGTTCAATCGACGAGACGAGTTTGTCAACGACTTCGTCAATCTCTGCGTCGGTCATATTGTACGCCGGTGCAAGAATGAGATGATCACCCTTGGCACCATCAATACCACCGCTCATGCCAATAATCACCAAGCCATTCTTCATTGCCTGTGCCTGAACGCGGCCACCCAGCCTCTCTTTGCCACGTCCGATGAACCACTTGTCGTAAACGCTTTGGTCGGGAACCTGGAGCTCTATAGCCCAGAAGCATCCGCCGCCGCGGATATCAAACACATAGTCCTTGCAGATTGCATTGGGGGAAAGAACAAGTCGGTCGCGAAGACGTCGTTCGAGGTAAATTCCAACTTGATGCGCACGCTCCAGGAGATTTTGTTCCTCTATGACGTCCTGAACCGCAAGGGATGCAGCCACTGCGAGCGGGTGTGCTTGGTACGTGTGCCCGTGCTGCAAATAATTACTTCCACTCCTCAGACCCTCAGCAACACGGTGATTTAAGAACACGGCACCAATAGAGCCGTATCCGCCTCCGAGACCCTTTGCGACCGCTTGGATGTCTGGTGGGATGCCGTCCGTGTACGAGTTGGGAGATTGCCAGGCATGGTACGTCGAGCCCATGCGACCCATCCCGCACATGACCTCGTCGTAGATGAGGAGGATGCCGTGCTTTTTACAGAGCTGTGAGATGCCGTGGAAATAAGCCCTTGGGTGCGTAGGTCACTCCTTGTGTGGCGCCGACGACGGGTTCTGCAACGACTAGTGAACAATTTGTTAGGCGTACAGCACAGATGCGATGCGATGAAACGACTCACATGCGATGACATTTTGCGGACCGAGTTCTTCCATCTTGTCCTCAACCTCCTTGACCAAGCGTGCGGCATATTCTTCCTCACTCTCACCTTCTGATGCATAACGCTTATAGTATGCAGGGCTGACATGATGAAACGCATCGTGGTTTAAGAGGACTTCATACGGTGCACGACGAGCGGGATGGTAAGACAGCTGTAATGCGCCGAGTGTGTTGCCGTGATAGGATTGTCGTCGTGAGATGAAGAACTTGCGTTGTGGTTGAGGAGGGGATTGATCGACATAGTATTGGCGGGCGAGCTTGATTACAGCTTCCATGGCTTCGGAGCCACCGGAAACAAAGAAGCATTGCGCGAATGCACCGCCAGATGATGCGATGAGTCTGTCTGCCAGACGCAGTGAAGGCTCGTTGAGGAGTTGGACGTTGTATACATCTAGAACGGCGAATGAATGTCAATAAAGCGGCATCTTAGAGTGATTTTGACGTACAGGAAAGCTTCTGAAGCTGCTGTTGAATCGCATCGGTGACTTTTTGGTTACCCATGCCGATACAGGTCACGGCTGCACCACCAACACCGTCAATGAGCGTTTCCCCATTCTCTAGACTGATGTATACGCCCTGAGCGCTCACGGCAATCGGCGGCGTCCACGGGACACGATGGAGCATGGTCGCAAAGTCATTACTTGTATTTGCAAGCTCTTTGACATTGCTATGATCCTCTTCAGTTGTATTGGCCGTTCCCTTTGAGGGCGCAACAGCAGTGGGCTGGGTCGAGTCAAGGGAGATGGGCGACATGGTCGGGTTCAGAAGCCGTTGAATGACCCGGACCATATGGAAAGGCCAGCCGTTCTCAATAATTATGTAACCAATCTGACCATAACCCTCGTCAACCGCGGCAATTCGCAAGTAATAATAGCCGCCTATCCTCTGCCACCCCGCCTCAGCTGGCTCGCCAGCCTTTTCAATCTCGACCACGACCCCATCCTGGACAATGGCGACAGTATCCGAGATCGCATTGGCACATATTCTGAAACATATCCCAAGTTCTAGACCGTCAGTCACAAATTCTTCACCTCTCTTTGTCGCAATCCAAGGTCCTCAGGGCATTGGCAAAACGACACTCTGTACGGCGCTCGTCAACCGCCTTCAAAGCGCCCCCCATGATCTTCGTGTCGTCAGTTTCTCGATAGATGACTTGTACTATGGACACGAGGAGATGCGGAAGATAGAGCAACGTAATAAAGGTAACGGGATGCTAGCCGGAAGAGGATTACCTGGCACACACGATATCGCTTTGGGCGCACAGATACTACAGGGTTTAAAGAATATTAACCACCAAGATCAGGAGAACATTCAAGTTCAAATTCCTGTATACGACAAGTCACGCTTTGCAGGTCTCGGCGATAGAAGACCTGTGAGCGAATGGAGCACTATCAGTGGAGGTGTAGATATCGTGATCCTTGAGGGATGGTGTATGGGGTTTTACCCACTCCCGCTCGAGGACCTCCGTGGCCTCTGGAATCGCAGAGATCAAATCGGGTTTCCCCCATCTGTAGTTCTAGAGGGTGGATTCGACGATATCAAAACAATAAACGATAATTTGACACAGTATGTCGACAAGTGGTATCCTTACTTTCAATGCTTTGTCCAGGTGAGCCTTCGACCCATTGAGGGGCTGCGCTTATGCTGGTAGATTGCACCATTGGAAGATCAATGCAGTGTGATATACAAATGGAGACTGCAACAAGAGCAGACTACAAAGGCGCTCCACGGGCAAGGTATGACGGATGAAGAGGTCGCGCGGTGAGTTTATGTTCAGACAGTTAAGTTTGCTAAACCCTGTCAGTTTCATCGACAGGTACATTCCGGGCTACATTTTCTTTGGCCAAGGTCCACGACGAGGATCTGGGTCTGCACAAGGGGTTCCTCCATGGACCGGCAGTGGTTGTCGAATTCTGGTGAACGAGGATAGAGTACCGTACCGTACAGAGCAGTTCTAGCGATTTTGTACGCCTTGAAATTCACTGAGCGTCTTAGTGTAATGGGTGGCACTTCATTCGCTGCGGCTCGGGCATGTCCCGATGACTAGCCATAGGAGTGATTACCGATCCCCAGCTCCCTTCCGACTCTTCCAAGCGCTCTTGCTCCTTACCACAATGTCGTCTCTTTCCTCGATGCTAGCGACATATCGCATTTCATCTCACACCGGCTTCGCACCCGACACACCATGTCCATCTAAATTCAATTCTTCTCGTTTTGACCCGTGGTTAGCCATCGCTGCACGACTTCCGGACCTCATCAAGACAAACGCCATCCGCAAGGCACTCGAAGAGTTGCCTGTGCTCTCACCAGACGGCTCATCTCCCGAAAATAAAGATAATGGAGATGGATTGGGTGACTATGACGAGTATAGACTCGCATACGTCCTCCTTTCTTTCTTTGCCCAAGCGTATATATGGGGAAACACCTCCAACAACGATCAACCTTCGAACACACTCCCACCATCTATTTCAGTTCCTCTTACGCAGGTTGCATACGACTTGGGCGTTATACCGTCATTTGTGTATGCTGCCGGATCGCTGTGGCTCGTCACGGATGACCCTACAGGTCCCAATGGGAAGAGATGCGTCGTATCCTTTACGGGAACCAGGGACGAGGAACACTTTAACCTCACGACTTATGCCGTCGAGCAAGCCGGTGGACGTGCGCTGCATAATGCTCTATTGGCTTCCAAAGAAGTCGGTGCACATACGCCTCACGCTCAGCACCTTCATAACGTGAATGGAGCGAATGGGTCGAGCAATAAAGCTAGCGCGGGTGAGCAAGCCAAGGACGCAGGAAAGATTGTCGAAGCGTTGCGAGAGGTCGCCGACGCTCTCAAGCAGTGCAAGGTCATCTTGAATTCGATGAGACAGGGATGTGATCCAGATGTGTTTTATAATCAGCTCCGTCCGTACCTCGTCGGGAGCCTGGTCAGTCCAACGTATTATCTCCCAGTGACGCCAAGTTGACGTATATCTATAGTCTGTAGAGAGAGGTGTGAGATATCTCGGCACGGGTGGGGCAGAAGGGGAGGGAATCGTTCGCCGGTTCCCTGGAGCGAGCGCCGCGCAGTCACCGTTGTTCCAATCGCTTGACGTTTTACTTGGTGTGAAGCATTCGTCTGGCGGGCGAGAAGCCTTTGTCAAGGAAATGCAAAAGGCCATGCCAGGTACGTACATCTCTTTTCACTCCAGAACCGCCTTTTGCACTACATCGTATATGGTGCGATAACGGAGACTCACGTCGACTTGGTAGACGACCATGTCCGGTTCATACACGACCTATCAAATTTACCATCCATTTCCGCATTCGTATCAACTCAACCAGAAGATTCAGAGGTGAGGGCGGTGTATAATGAAGCCATCAAAGCGTTGGGCGAGTTCCGAAGCGAGCATGTGAGGATTGTGACGTCGTATGTCCTCCAGCCATCCAAAAAGGCCGCAAAATCCGATCCAAGCAGCCAAGAAGACGCGCCCAAACAAGGTAGTGGTGGCAGCGCCGATCTGATGGGACTCTTGAAGGGAATGCGAGATGATACGGGACAATCAGTGTTGAAGGCTGACTAGACAAACATATGTTGGATCCGTAGTGCGAATTAAATAAAGAAGTACGGGGTCATCAGTCTAGCAGCTCAGAAAGATCAATCTCCTTCATCTTCCGATGCTCCCGCTCGTCTTTTACAATCCTAAGAGAGTATTAGGTCGGATAGCTTGCAGAATCAAATAAATACCTCGAGTCCACACGTAGATCCTCTGCCTCTAGGCCGACCACCTGCTGCGGCGTCTTTGCATCGATGACCTATTGAACATCGATCATCAATACGATCAATGAAACCCAGCCCGTAGTAGGAATGTACGCACGTAGTGATTATCGCAATTTGGACAATACTCGTCGCTCTCTTCATACTTTGTCATGTCCTTTCGAAACGCCTTTTTGCATTTTTTGCAGATAAAGTGCATCTCCATCGTCTTGGTCAACTTGTGGTCCGATACTTCTGCGTGACATTCCGGGCAATCGAACCATTTCCTGCAGCACGGGGCGCGGATGGAGACTTGAGCGTTGAGAATGTGCTTGCTTGAAAGCGTTAAACCATCTTATAAGTTCTAAGTGGTGGTACAGTACGAACCACATGAGAAATTGAAGAATAAAGTATCACGAGAGTGTCCAAGTTTGGTGCGCCGTACACTCATGTGGGGTGAACTAGTTATTACGCACGGTATAAATAGAGATACAATACTTTCACCCTTTAGTATATACACAAAGACTATACATCCATTCCCCAAGAGAAATATTACGAAGACAAGTCTGGCCGTTTCATCGCCTGAAGTTGTTTCTCCTTCTCTTCTGCTATTGACAATGTCTTGCTCAATTCTTCCTCTCGAGATTGAAGGTGGGTTTCCATTCCAATAATTAGGAGACGCATCTGTCGGTCATAGGGTCAATGCATATGTTTGGCATACGAACCTAAACTTGAACGTACTTGTTCTAGGTATTCAGCTGTGACTGTAGGCGGTGGCGCGATCGAGACTGGTGCAGGGGAGGGACGTTCCGGCGCATCGAGAGAGGTTCGTCCAGGCGCCAGGTCGAGTGTTGTCTATCAGAGGTCAAAATCTGTACACTGTGTAGAATAGTTATACGCATACCTGCCAGTTCTCTCCCGCGAGCCTCGCCAGTTCGTCTTCGAGTATCTTGATTCTTCGATTGGCTCTAACCGGTCGTCAGGCAAATATCGGAGAGGTAAGGTTAGAATGTACGCACCGCTCAGTCTCCATCATTGCTCGCTCGTTCTCCCTGTTCGCGCCTGCGAGTAATAGCTCGACATTTCGTGCTGTCTCCCTCGCCTTTTTTAGCTCTTCAGGACTCGGTCTCTGCGCTAAAAGTGATTGTAGCGATAAAACCTGGTCCTTCAACTAGACAACGTCAGTCCCAGATTGTCACAGCGGCCGTAACATACGCGGATGTTTTCCCTCTCTGAAGCATCTAGATCACGCATCAAGGATTCTATATCCGAGGATTCCCCTCGTATCGCGGTTCCCATCTCGTCAACCCCGGCATTCGACGAGGAGTGGAGGCGATTGTGACGGACAGTCGTTGCGCGTCTCGTTGTCATCGAAACAACTCTATCCTACTACCAATATTTCCAAATGCTAGCCAGATGATCAACTGAGTGTAGCGACCAACAAGGTGTTTGTGTTTGGTTCGGTTCAAAAACTTTGAGCCACTCACGTCGGCCACTCGTCAATTTAAAGCAGTAGGAAGAGAGGAGAAAATAAAAGCAATGGGGAAGTCGCAGAAAAAACGCGCGATGAGGCGGCACAATCCCGTGCGAGTTCCAGATTCGCATCTGCAGCACGGACTCGCCACTGCTGCAGCCTCGACTTCGGAAAGCAAGCGCGAAGCAGTCGTTCCTGTGATTGAAAAGGTCTGTCTAACTTGTTTACATTTCATATTGTGTGTACTGATGCGTCCCAGTTGGCGAGTCAGGATGTCCAGGAAAGAATCTGGGCATGTGCTGCAGTGTCAAACTTGATCCAGAACGATTCATCAACGCGGAGGCTGTTGCAAGGAAAGAATGTCGTTGGAGCGCTCATCGCACGTCTCAGCGACAATGTCGAAGAAGTCGTCGTCGAGGCAGCTGGTGCTCTCCGGTAGGTGCATATCCTACCTATATTGAAAGTCTAACCGACGTTAGAAACCTGTGCATCGATGGTGGATACGAAATCTGTGCCGAAATGTTCAACAAGGGCATCCTGGCACCTCTCAAGGAATTTGTTCCTAAAATCTCATCAGTACTCGGTCAGATTTTCACAGATCCAAAGTCGGTCACAGAAGCAACTAGGTTTGTATACGAATTTGCGGAGAATGTCATTACGCTCTTCTGGTGTTTGTCGTACGTGCTCTTCTGCTCATTCCGTCCACACTTACTGACTCCATGGCAGAGAGACTTCTAGCAAGGCACTAAATGCAGTCAATCAACTAAATCTTGTTCCGTTTCTCATGGCTTTTTTGGACCCACAGTCGAGGGACAAGCTTCCCATCACGACACTCACTGCGGCAGGTTTGTCCTTGTTCGCTCTATGAACATCTTCTGATATTCTCTAGCGCAGTGCTTGTATGTCCTTACCGAGGAGAATCCCCCAGCGGCGGATGAGATCCGCGCGGTCTCTGCATACATTACCTGCCTAATTGATATCGCGCGAGGAGACGTCAAGCTCTCATCAAAACCAAACTCAAAAGTTGGCGAGTCGCTACAATCTAGCTCGGAGGTCCGAGTGGTGGCGTTTAAGACGCTTGTATGCGGTAGGACCTCCCACATATCTATTCCACCTCTCTGATAATCAAGCAGGTATTCTGCGCAACATACAGCCCCTGCCTATTCTCGTACCTGCTGCTTCAATTGACATTGACCGGACAATTATCCTCCCATTCCTTCTCCCATTGCTTACTCTGGATCCAGCCAATTCGGTAGAGACAGTTCAATCTCTCCTTTCCACCCAAGAAAAGGAGGTTTTAGAGAAGCAGCAAGTGGTCCTCAAGAATGGTGCAAAAACCGATCACAAGACCAAAGCGGAGGTAGAACTCGAAAGGATCGAGTCGGAGCTACGTGCGGTGAAGCTCGCTCTGGAGTTGATTACAGGAATCTGTGCAGAACTCCCAGACCCAGAAGAGGGCGACGAAGATGAGGAGATTGAGGAGGAAGATGATGAGGGTGAGTCTGTCCCAATGCAACTCTCAATATCGGCTGAAAATGAATCAAGAAGAGTGGGAGAGCGATCGAGAAGATGATATTACTATGGAACACGAGCTTGTCGCGGACGGAGAGCCGACGCAAAATGGTGTTCAAAGTCGTGAGGCTCGGTCTATCGACCTTGTGGCCTCTATCGTCCCCCCCTGCATCAAGTTTATTCAACCCACACCACTCTCTTATCCACCAAGCTTTCAACCTTCTCCTCATCCACCCACGACATCTGCACTCATCGGCGTGCATATTGCCGCCTTGGAATGTCTCAACAATATCTCCCTCTCTATAGCAGAACTGGGACTACCACCCTCGTCTCCATCTGCCTCTGCAATCTCTCAACAGATGTCCGTGGTGTGGGACGCTGTATGGAGTCTACTTGCGTCCATCGGTGTTCCTGAGACAGGAGGGATCGCTACTGCGTCACAGCAGAGGATGCAGATTTGGAACATTTCTCTTGGCGTGCTTTGGGCTGTTGCTCGCATTCGCAGAGGGGATCCTCACCTCATTCCTCAAGAAGAGAGGGTACGCGTGCTCATGCAAATGGCAGACACCACACAGGAAGAAGATATCAAGGTCATGTGTCTCGGCATCTTGGAGTGCCTAGCCATGAATCCAGATCCGGCTCATATTGTAGCCAACAAGGTGCGAGGGTTGTTATCCTAAGAATGGCCTTTTGACGCCGATGAATAGGTTATCTCAGAGTATATACTCTCATATCTTCCCAACTCTGGCATCTCTGGCACGTCTCGTCCTATGCAGCCTGAAGTGATCATCCAAGCGGCCTCGTCTATGATTGACATTTTCTCGGACGAAGACTCGCCATGGGATGTCAACTTTCGACAAGGAAAATGGGAGGTTGCACTGCGGAAATCAGTCGACGGCGTTCGGAAGGCGATACGGTCGATTGACCGGCGAAAGGAGGGCAGGCTGGAATTGCGCAGACGAGGTGACGAAGTACTTGAAAACTTGACGGCGTTTATCAAATACCGAAAAGGGCTGAAGCTTTAGCTCGCATTCCTCATAGTATCTGTGCGCTCGTATCTTGGAACCCGACTACAAGTCTACTTTCAGTTTTGCGCGGCATGGCCAACGTAAACAACCTCGCAGACAAGCTATCTGAGCTTAAAATTAAATCTGATGCGCCGTTGACGGCTGGAACATCGCGGGTGCCGTCCAAGATTCAAAGCGTTTCTGCATCCTCTTCGCGAGTGCCTCCAAGTAGTGTTCCGAAAGGATTAGGCACCAAGACATCCTCTTCAACGCTCAAGGACGCGTCGAAATCGGCCGGAACCAGCGGTGCCACAAGCACAACACGCCCAGAAGCGACGAAAACAGATTCGGCGTCAAGTGCTCCTCGCGCGCCACAGGTGAACGTTGCAGACATTGGAGCGTATGATGGCGGATTTGAGAACGAGTTGCAGAGTGGGAGAGGTTCAGAGGTTCATGGCGAGGCGGCAGAAGATCTTGCGCTGGATTCGTCGACTTCGCGGTGCGCTTTTCAGATATGAATTTGTGGGGCTTGGTAAGCTGATATATGTCTCGGGACTTCTAGAACCGCACTATACCCTACGCGTGAGTGGCGACTCTCGTCTTTTGAGATGGGACGTCCGCTTGGGAAAGGCAAGTTTGGACGTGTATACATGGTCAGAACAAAGACAGAGCCGCGATATATTGTCGCCCTCAAGTGCCTGTACAAAAGCGAAATTGTCGAGAGCGGTGTGGAGAAACAAGTACGTCGGGAGATTGAAATCCAGCAAAATCTTCGGTACGCATGAGCCACCCTATCCCTTGTGATACACTTAGGACCTGCAGGCATCCGAATATCCTACGCATGTACGGATATTTCCATGACTCGAAGCGGATCTTCATCATGCTAGAGTTTGCAGCCAAGGGAGAACTTTACAAGCAACTAGTCAAGAAGGGACGGTTTAGCGAACGAAGATCTAGTAGAGTGAGTTTCATGAAGACTTGCGCCTCACATCTCTTACATTACATATTTCTAGTACGTCGCTCAGATGGCAGACGCCCTCCAATATCTACATTCCAAACACGTCATTCATAGGGACATCAAACCAGAAAACTTGCTCATAGGGATCTCTGGCGAACTCAAGATTGGTGACTTTGGTTGGTCGGTCCACGCGCCATCGAACCGTCGAACGACTCTATGCGGCACGTTGGATTATCTTCCACCAGAAATGGTCGAACATAAGCCACACACTGCAGCGGTCGACCTGTGGGCACTCGGGGTGCTCTGCTACGAGTTCTTAAGCGGCTGTCCACCATTTGAAGAACTGAGTGGAGCACGGGCAACACATAGGAGAATTGCTCGTGTGGAATATACGATTCCGGATCATGTTTCTCCAGAAGCAGCGGATCTCATTGAAAAGGTAGGTTTGATGGAATGTCTAAGGATGAATGCTGAGAATTCATAGCTCCTTCAATACACTCCTACCGCTCGTTTGTCTCTTGACAAAGTACTCAGGCACCCCTGGATTGTCAAGTATGAAGAGCGGAGTAAGGGGTCATCGGGCGTATAAACCCAGGTGGTCAGAAGAGTCTTCTACTGTGTAGATCTGGGGCGTTGCAATATAAGTATACGACGATCTAGCAACGAAGTGCACTCATCCATAAGGCCTTTGAATTTGAAAGCGTCCTCGTAAATCAGCTGTATTATAGCAGTGCAATTAATCTGCCAATACTGAGTTTCGAAGTTGTCGGCGGCAGCTAACACACGGCTTGTCCTCCACCATGGTCGCGGTTGCACAAATGGCGCCTGTAAAGCCTAATGGGAAGCAGATCAAGTCCAAGAACCAGTATAAACGGGAAAAGGCCAAGCTCAAAAAGTCTCTTACGAATGGAGCAAACGAACAGGCAAGATATTTGTACGTTCATGTCAGAGAGCGCTATGCTGACCAAATGGGGTAGACTACCAATGGAATTAAGGTCGAGGAATCAGAAGATGAAAAAATGGCCGCGGACACGGACGTCGAGTACGTCTACGAGTCGTTGGAAGTCAAGGATGAAGGGCTAGACGAGTTTTCATCCGTATTCGCGCGGTTCAAACCTCCTACGGAAGCTATTTCGGTTCGTCAAGTCACATAAAGAGCATAAAATGTGCTAAAGTGGGCTTCATAGGCTGGTGATGATGCTGGGCCGTCAAAAGGCGAGGTAATCTACTCGGACGACGACATGCCATCCGACGCAGGGAGCGACGGGGAGAAGAAGCCACTTTCAAAGAAGAAGGCGCGAAAGGCGAACCGACTTACCGTTGCGGAGCTGAAGCAACTCGTCGCGCGTCCGGAAGTTGTCGATTGGTACGACCCTTCTGCCGCCGATCCAAGGCTATTAATAGCGCTCAAGTCGTATCGAAATACTGTCCCCATCCCTCAGCATTGGAGTCAGAAGCGCGACTATCTGCAAGGAAAGCGAGGGATAGAAAAGCCGCCGTTCCAGCTCCCTGCCTATATCGCTGACACGGGTATCGCAACGCTCAGAGAGGCGGTAAAAGAGAAGGAAGCAAATATGTCGCTAAAGGCCAAGACGCGCGAACGGGTTCAGCCAAAGATGGGCAAGGTGGATATTGACTATCAAAAGCTTCACGACGCGTTCTTCAAGCACATGACAAAGCCGGTCACGAGTGGGTTCGGAGAGATGTGAGCTGTTTACCAAAGCCATCCATTCTCTCTGACTCTTATCCAGGTACTATGAAGGGAAAGAGTTTGAGACATCGCTCAAAGAAAAGAGACCTGGTGATCTATCGCCAGAACTCATAGAAGCCCTTTCCATTCCCCCTCTTGCGCCACCTCCCTGGCTCATTAGTATGCAACGCTTTGGACCGCCACCCAGTTATCCAACCCTCCGAATCCCAGGTTTAAATGCACCGCTACCGCAAGGGTATGTCCGTAGGGCTATAAGAGGAACAGAGTTGACTTCCCTTTAGCGCACAATGGGGCTTCCATCCTGGTGGATGGGGCAAACCGCCTATGGACGAGTACAATCGACCGCTGTACGGAGACGTCTTTGGTGTACTTCCCAAAGCTTCGGATTTCCAAGAGGTGAGATATCTACTGATATCTTACACGCGCTCTGACCTGGTGTAGGCGGGTGAACCTATTGAGCGTGAAGCGTGGGGTGAACTGGAGCCGGAAGAAGGCGAGTCTTTTCTAATGTGCCTTCATATAGCTAATACTCTCTTTAGAGGAGAGCAGCGAGGAAGAAGAGGAGGAAGAGGAACAAGAAGAAGAGGAAGAGACTATGGCTCCTGCAGACGGGTTGCAGACGCCTTCTGGCCTCGAGACACCATCAGGAATGACAAGTGTTGTTTCAACTGTCGCCGGTGGTCTCGAAACTCCCGACTTTTTGGACCTTCGCAAGAGCAGTGGTGTTCGACAGGTCTCGGAGGATACTGGGCCCAAATCCCTCTACCAAGTCGTGCCGGAAAGACAGACAGCCATTCGTGGGCTCATGGGCAGCGAAAGAGGGTACGATGTCTCTGGTCTGGGTGGAGCAAATGTTCCAGTCCTAGGTCAGGAGCAACGTGGGTCAAAGGTGAGGTCTAGTGCGGCGCCCTAGATCATGATTACTCAAATTTCTTCAGCGCAAAGGTGGGGTGGATGTCTCTATCGACGCTTCGGAACTTGAAGGAATGTCCGAGGAGCAAAAGAGGCGGTACTTTGAGGCGGCATCCCAGGCGTCCTCGGGTGCGGGTGTTCATGTCCCTGGCGCCAAAGAAGACTTTTCTGACATGGTCGCTGAAAATACGAAAAAGCGACAAAAGCAAGAGGCCAAGCGGCGGGACAAGGAGAAGGACTTCAAGTTCTAGTGGTGATAGATGTTAATCTTAGTTGCACTGTATTGTTCCCTGCCTGTTAGTTTGCTGTGTGAGCGAGCACGCCGGCCATTCGCACAAGCGCCGACAAACTCTTTGCGTGCTTTAGACCTGGCCATTTGCTGGCTGAATCCACCAACATGTCGCTACCACTGCTGTCAGTCGTCTGCTGGACATATTATAGCTGCTTGTGTACTCATTCGTCGCGCTTTTGCTCTCTAGGACCTTGCGACCGCCTCCAAACGTCGACTTCGTTACAGGTCAGCAGCCCCGAGAGCAGCACTGGCGGGTAGGCATTATTAACACTTTTGTGTGTCTACAGGATTTCCAGGGCTTGCTCCAGGTCTCCCTCATAGACCACATGCAGCTGTGACTGGCGTAAGTCCCATCTTCCTTGAGCGCAATAGCGATTGGCCGCTAAATTATCCCCAAAACGACGGTTTTATTGCGAAAATAGACTCTCGAAGTGCGTTCACCTCAGCCTCTCAAGGTCAAATGGGTCCGCATAGAACTCAGGAAGATAGAGAGCGTCCCCGGTCAAGCTCCCTTTGTAGACACCGTCGGAAACAAGCCGACGACACTCTGGGAGCCCCAGGGGTCTGAGTTTGGCAATCTGCAGTCTGTAAGTCAGCAGCCTGCTATCTTCCGTGGTCGAGCACTGCCCGAGACAACTCGCTTCGTTAGCGTCTCTCGGGCTCTGCTTTTTCTGCATGCAGTAATCATGGCTGGTCACATTGAGCTAATTATATTCGCCAGGCGGACTTCCCATTCGCTATCCGGATTCCAGAATCTACACCCCCAACCGTAATCGTCGACAACCACCGAGCGAGAGTAGAATACGAAATCATGGCTACTTTGTGTAGCAAGGGCAAGAAGTAGGTCTACATCTCTTCTAAATGTTCGGCGGCTCACAAACGACCCCAGAGGTCTACTCCGGAGAGAAAGCTCGCCAGTCTCAATGACATCCCACAAGATTCCCATTTACAAGCATGAATTACACCCCCTCTGGCCCGTCTATTCTCAGCCAGACGAACGGCAGATCACCAAGGATGGCATGACCCTCAGCGTCTCGCGGAAGAGAATGTGTCTTGGCTCTGGAGGCGACACAATCCCGATTCATGCCACGCTATTTACAGACTTCCCTATCTCCCTCCGCTCTTTCGAGCTCGTTCTGCGGCAAACCATTAGGTATCCTAATAGCGGAGGCAACACGGTCGGAAAGAAGGGCCCTGCTGCGCCTCCGCCGTCTTATCTCGGAGCAAAAGATTCCATACTCTGTTCGAATTCAACCAGGAATGCACCAGACTTGCGAACTTACCTGCATGCTGCCGCCAAACTATAGTGAAATGTCGGTGACGACAGCACGACTTGTCGAGAACGAGTACGACGTTCAAGTCAGTGCAAACTTGGATCCAGAGGGTTTCATTGTTGTTTCCCTCCCTCTTATTGTTTCCCCCTTCCCGATTCCTTACTCTATGGATATGATGCAGTAAGTTGCATGTTCGTCTGTATCACATTTGCTCATCGCTTCCAGGCGTATGGGACCGCCTCCTATGGCTTTGGATCTCCCCTCCCGAGCGCACCTCCATAGACAGGCAGAGTCCATTTCGCGGCCAGCTAGTGCAGCTGGAAGTATGATGACAGGGCAAATCAGACCCGAAGCAGGACCATCGATGAACGGCCACCCGCTTGTTAGGCAGCAGAAGCCTTACCACATCACCGAACGAGTTGGCGGACTCTCTGCGCGTGACGAGTCTCTCCTTGGTGGCCCCGAGTCTCCGATGGATCAATCAATCACACATGCCGCTGCTATTGTCGGAAATGGAATACAAACCAACACTAGCCGGAGTGCAATGACCAACACATACCCGATGGAACTTAGAAATTCGACGTATAACGACTTTGGGCAACCAGCGCCGATGCCGATACAGCCAACGAACCCGCCACCCGCAGAGGTTCCTACAAGCCCACCAGGAAACGCATTACCCCCCCGATTTGCCGTGGTGAATGCGGATCATCGGGATGAACTTGATTCACCTCGTTCCTCTGCACTGCACGAGCCATATCTTTCAGCGGCTGAAGAAAAGCGACGTATTGCTCAACAAATGAGGGATGCAGACGCATATGCAAATGTGCCACCTCCCGGGGCGCCTCCCAGCAATCCTCCAGCACCTGTAGCGACGAGTCCTTCACAGACAACGCCGACAACTCAGACGCCTGTGGAGCCCAAGAAGAAGTGGCTTTCTGCCGAAGAAGAGAAGGAAAAGCTGTATCAAAAGGCCAAAAACGCCGCGGAGCTTACGCAAAGGAGAGCTGCGAATTCACAGGGTTCGTCGTCAGCACCCAAGTCAACGAGTCCGAAAGCAGCTCAAGTAAGAGTATCCTATTTATCATCCTGACATTGGACTGACCATGACACAGTTCACGGAAAGCCAGACATCCCTCTCGCAAGCGGGTGGTTCTCAACAATCGCAGCCAACGACCTCGTCATCTGCCCCTGCACCGGCATCGTCGCCTACGCCTTCACAAAAGCCAAAGGACAAGAAATGGCTGACGGCCGAAGAGGAGAAGACAAGACTGTATGAAAAGGCGCAAGCGAAGGCTCTCAAGACGCAGGCTCGCGCGGCAGCTGCGAATAGTCTTAGTCGATCAGACTCTGCGGCTTCCAATAATGGACCCAACGGTATTCCTCGTAGCAGTGCCTCGCCTGCACCTTCCAAAGGGGCCGAAATGTACAAGGCGGCAATGAGTAGCATCAAATCATCGTCCGTAACACCCCCCGCAATATCACCGGTCGCACAGCACCAGACACCACCGCCGAGAGAGCAGCTTGCTCCGTCCCTCTCGCCCGCTCCTGCTCCTGTGCCCGCTCCTGCCCCGGTTGTGGTCCCCAGGACGATTACTCCACCACCACCTCCGCCTCCGGCATCTAGTAATCAATGGATGTCGGCTGAAGACGAAAAGGCTCGCTTGCGATATCTCGCGGCTAAAAGTGCCGTTGAGCGTCACGTTGCAATGCAAGACGAGGAATATGGTGCAGGATCATCCACTCAGGATCAAGGTGGATCTTATGGGAATGCTGCTTATGCTTCCTATGGTGGTCCTCCTTCGTCTCAGCCGCCATGGAGTGCGCCTCCTCCGATGAGCAACGGATACTCTGTCAGTGATACGCCAAAGATCCCAAACGCCCAAGAGATTACTCCACTCAGCACGGGTGTTCCTCCAGAAGATCCTCCTGCCTTTGAACCATCCTTTGGGTATACATATGGGAACACGGTGTCGGAAAAGGAGAAGCTGAAGCTGATGGAAGCAGAAAAAGCACGCCAGGTTAATGAACCGCCAGTCCCAGATTATGGCAATGCACCTCCCCCAGACTTTGATTTCAATGCTGCCGCTGGGTCGTCGTCCGCTCCGTCTTACGGTTCTTCTGCACCTATTCTGACAGCAGCGGAAGAAAAGGCTCGTTTGCGCGAACAATTTGCTGCGCAAGACAATGCCGGGCCCACACCTTCTCCATCCATTTACAATCGTCCCCCTCCAGAGCTTCCGCTCTCTGCAGACGGATCGAGGACTTTAACCGCTGCAGAGGAAAAGGCACGCCTGAGAGCCTTGCAAGCAGCGGAAAGACCTGTCAGTAGCGTTGCGCCCCCGCCACCACCGCGCTTCAAGTCGCCTCCGCCCTCTGCAACGTCAGATTTTAGCCGCAGTAACACGTTCTCCTCGCACGTCTCAACATCTGGTGGATCGTCGCCGCATGATGATTCGATGAGACGTGATCCATCGATCACGCAGGGGAAACAACGCGCTCTTACGCCGAGCAACGCTTCGGTGATGACCGCGTCGCCTATAATCTCGCCTACTCCCCCACCACCGCCTCCTTTGGCTCCTCGTCCACCACGCGATTATATTGAGAAGACGCGAGAGGAGGATGCAAAGATTCGTCGAATGACACAAGAGACGATCAACATGTCTGCATATGGTTCGCGGGAAAGCACACTTGCGCCATGGCAGATTCCGCAGGGTACCGGAGGCAATGCTGGTGGCGACTTTGCCTTGGGCCTTCGGCCATTCTCTCCATTTGATCTATCGCTGGACCCGTCTGGTGCTTCTCAGAACGGCCACGGTCAAACGCTGTCCCCGACCGCCACTGGCTCGATGCGCACAAGCTACTATCGTTAGTAGATTCAAAACTCTAGAACATTCATTTCCGGGATAGTCTTCCTATCATTTGATATGTACCGACGGCCGCTGTTTATAACCCCCCATATTCCCTCGTTTCTGCTGCTCTATATGCTCGCCCAACTAGCGTATCTATATTTCCCCATCGGTCGTTGTGTGTATAAGCGCTCTTGAATTGAAACTAGGATTCGACAATTAGATTTCTATCGCTACAACATAGCAAAGAGAGTCCAAGAAGCATTTCTTCATGAGAGTGGTTGTGGAATAAGTTATATGATCATTTCCTCCGCTTTGTCGACCGAGTACCCCCCGAAGATGCTTGCCGCTGAGGAGGAGCGACAGGGGCCGAATTGTCCTCGAGCTTGCGCTTCTTGTTCCGCTGTCGACCACCATTCCCTCCAGCATCAGTCACCATCGACGTCGTATCCGCAGAGTTTGCAAGGTCGAATTGGGACGAGCCCTCTATTCCAGGTTCAACAGAGATATCACGCCTCGTCGAGACGGGACTCTCGCTCATCCCGCCTGTCGTAACCGAACTCGCTCTTCCAATCGAATCAAAGACATTGTTCGTCGTCGTAGTCGGGTCAATGTGATGCTGTCCAGCCGCACCATTGGCGTCAAGTCCCGAGGGATTGTCGAAAAAGAGTGGGTGAAATGTCGAGTCACCTGCGAGAGAGGTGTAGTCTGCCGGTGGGGTATTTCCAGCCGCCTTTTCGCCAATGTGCTTCAAGAGCGCATCGAGGTCAAAGTCAAGTGGGTCCATTGGATACATCGGCTCCGGTGCCTGTCCAGAAGGTCCGTTCCCATGAGATGACATTCCATTTGTCGTCGTCGTCGTCGTCGTCGTCGCTGCTCCGCTGAGCGGTATCCCTGGCTGTGTGTTTGAGATTGCATGTGCTGGGTCGGCGCCGACTTGGAGTGATGCGGCGGAGAGCGGATCGAGGCCCATGCCTTGGATGAGCGAGTCGATACCTTGTTGCATCGCCTCAACACTCGTGGATAGCTGGTCCAATTTGTCTGTACGCTGGGAGACTTGCTCGACAGAGACTGACGGAGGTGGCTCGCTTGCCACGTTGGCGAGTGGCAAAAAGGAATTGAAGAGCTGGTTATTGTCCGTATACGGTAGGCCGAGGGCGTTGATGGCCGCTTGTCCGTTTGAAAGCATTGCCGGATTGTAGGTGCCCGCATTCGTCCAGTTGGGTGTCGCGCCTGTTGGGTTGTACGACGCAGTAGGGTTTGAGAGGCCACTCATATCTGCACTGTTTGCAAACATGTTGCCAAATGCTAATGGATTGATGTTCATGCCCGCTGGGGGGACAGTGGCCAACGCACCATTATGGGTTTGTGGATTCACGATGGGATACGTTACGCCGGGAATTGGAATTTGGTTTTGCTGGAGCCATTGGAGCATTTTCCAAGTGTCAGCAGGAGGGATATACGTGTTGGGTGTTGTGCCTGATGAATCAGGAAAGGGATATTGAGAAGGACTAACAGCGGAGAACCCTAAGAGGAATGAGCACGATTTGATGCAAAAGGAACACGGTACCGTTTTGTGTTTGAACTTTGGGTGTATCGATCCCAGACTTTGGTGTTTCTACGGTCGGGCCTTGTCCACCTTTGTATTGTCAGGAGTGTAGTTAACGAGAAAAGTCAACACTCACTTATCGATTGTTCATCTTCAACCTCTTCCATCCGAATACTGCTTTTGGGCGTTGACACGAGGTCGTCATTCTCCTCGTCCGCGTGCTTTCCATCTGTAATCAACAGCCTCCCCCTCGGAACAGTGGGTATAGGCGTGCCAGCATCTGAACCATTCATGCTGTTCGACCTTATTGGGGTCGAAGAGGTTCCCTGGAAGAGCGAGGCCAAAAATTTGAGAATGCGATTGATTGTGTCTTGGTGTTTACGGTGGCGTTCGCGGGCCTCCATGGCTTCCTGCCAGAGAGCCTGGTTGGACGACTGTAGCTCTTTGAGATTGTCCGAGATAAGGGTCTGGTGTCTCTTGATGGTGGCGAGACCGTTGATGATTTGGTTCATGTCAATATTCTTGGGCGACCCACGGGTAATCTCTGCACCGGTATTGGACTGAATGTTGGCGTTGAAATTATTGGAAAGGAGTTCCAGGTCGCCATCGTTGTCCGGCTGCTTGATAGACTGAAGCGCCAGGTTACTGGGATTGGCGTTGCCGGCGTTGACGACAGACTTTCCCTTGCGAGTGATGAACGGTAGGAGATCTGGTCTGCCGCGACGAAAGTTGTCGTTGCGATAGTGCCATGCCTGGGCTTGTTTGTCCGTCTTGAGCGCACCTTGCCGGACGTGCGGCACCTTGTGGAAGCCATACCTGGAGAGGGGGCATGTGAGAGGGTGAATTTGTAGCTATTTCTGTCGACATTACATGTTCAATTGACGAACGAAGGAGGCGCTTGCGTCGGTTTTGTAGTAGGTACCAAGGAGTTCTTTTGCAAACTGGTCTGGATTGAAGACTAGAGGGAGTGTTAGAAGGATCATTTGGAGAGTAGAATGAGCACGGTGTACCATAGAAAGACGTGCCGTCGTCTGACCATTTGATGAAACGGTCGGTGGACGGATCGTCGACCATTCTGGAGACGCGCACGGGCGGTGAATCAGCTTTCAAACGATCAATGAATGATGGGTATAGACGTGTACATACGCGAGAAGTTTGTTCAAGAATTGTGGAATCTGCGCGGCTCGTGCAGAGGCTGCATCATTGGTGATGGAGGACATTAGGAGCGTATAACAATGGTGTAGAGTGAAATTTGTAAGGAAAAGAGGTGACCAAATTGTAAGCTGGCGAGATGGCAGCCTCAAAGGTGGCTAATAGATGGCATACCACTCGCCGCCTCTGCAGATTACTGGTTGCGTGGCAGGCATTTGTATAGCATACGGAGCGCCAGATACTCAATACAGTCGTGTCGGAATCCGGGTCGTGTGTGGATGGAATGTGCTAGAACTTGCTACACTTGGCAATAGCGCTGACATGAGTCCTGATCTAGTTCATACATTCTGATTCGTGGATGATAACAGCTATAACCATGCAAATGACAGCGTGACCCGAGGGGTGCTCATCCAGCGGCTATAAAATGGGCAGCGCCGTGTCTCCTACGGTACCATTTGTCTCCAGTAATGTACACCATGGAATATACACCAAATATACAGCACATATCCTATCTACCATTCTCCTATTGGCTCCCCTTCTAATGGTTTGTTTACATCAACTCTTGGTCACCTCCCTTTCCCGAGTGTCGAGTCGTCGAGGTTCGTTGGGCCCGAATCAGTTTATACATACTCCTATTATCCCTTTTTGTTTATTTTCGTCGTGTCGTCTCCCCTTTTTTCGCCCGCTTTTGCTCCTGTGGCGTCTGTCGCTCACGCCGATCTGCTCTAGTCGCAGGAGGCAGTCGTCTGCAAACCTATTTCCCGGAGTCTAGTAGAAGAGAAGAAAAATGTCTGGAGCTCGTGGATGTTTCAACTGTGGCGGCTGTGCGTTGGATTTCTCGTCTTGCTTTTCTTCCTCCTTGCGCGCCTCGTCGTTCACCGTCCATCCACGCTCCCCACCTCGCTTTCCTCCCTCTCTTGTCCTTTTACAGCTGGCTGGGGATGGTGCTGACGCCGCTGATTGTCTTTTTCCACCCATTTTTCCCTTTGGACGGCTTGGGCCATCAATATGTCCCCTTCTACAAATCGAATCAAAATATACGACCTTTTCTCTTTCACTCTGAACCATAGTCGGCCATCAAGCCGCTTCGTGCCCAAAGGCCGGCACACCCACTTGGTGAGATTTCTTGAACAGACATGGCGGGGTGTCTGATTCTTCATGGTCGTGTGTAGCTACAACTGTAAGTTTGCTCCCCTCCGTTTCCAAGCATGTTTACCAACTGGCGCTCTAAGGTGGTCAAGAGGGTCACATTGTAAGTCTGAGCATCTAGACAATTCTTGAGTATTACCTCTAAAGTTCTAAAAGTCCCGTGACTGCACTGGAGAGACCAAGGCCAAGTCGTGCTACAAGTGCGGTCAAGAAGGTCACATTGTAAGAAAAGTCCCCCTTCTCTTGCTTTGCGTCAGCCATATCTCATGTCCCATTCTCACACAGTCCCGTGACTGCCCCGAAGCTGCAAACAACAATAGCAGCAACGCAAATGGCGGAGGCTACTCGGGTGGACGTGATAACAGCAGCGCAGAGTGCTATCGCTGCGGTCAAGTTGGACACATTGCACGCAACTGCCCCAGCTCTGGTGGAAATAGCTATGGAGGCGGAGGTCGTAGCGGTGGCGGTCGTGGAGGATACAATCGCGACCGTGGTGGAGGAGGGAGCTATGCCGCTTTTGGTGGAGGTAACCAGAAGACTTGGTGAGTCTCTCCTGCTTTTACAACTAATCTCCTGACATGCTATTAGCTACACCTGCGGTGGCGTAGGTCACATTTCCCGCGATTGCTCCCAAGGCGCCAAGTGCTACAATTGCTCCGGAACGGTACGTACATCATCATCATGCCCTTATCTAAATCTCACGGTTTGTAGGGTCACGTTTCCAAGGATTGCCCTCAACCCCAGCGCAAGGCCTGCTACACCTGCGGCTCCGAAGGTGCGCCACCTTCTCCTTGGCTTACCGTACCCCTCACTCATCTTTTCTAGGTCACATCTCTCGTGATTGCCCAGGTGCAGGAGAAGCCACCGCCGAATAAAGGAGTCGTGCTCCCTTTCAAGTTTTTTACGCTCGCTTTTGGTTTTTCGAACCCAACTCATGCTCATCGATCATGAGTCCCTTTGGTTTCTTCTTTCGTGACAGTGCAGCGTGATTAGCTCTCGACCTTTTCCCAATCTATGTTTTCTCGTTGTCGTCGGGGATGCAATTTCATACCGATTGTGCATCTCACTTACGGTGTCGATAAGATTTGATTCAAGAGGAATACCTCGGGGTACATCGTGTAGCTGTCGACGTGTCTGTAGGCGTGGCCACCTCCACACGCGTCATGGAGAAAAGGATTGTCGGTTCTGTGCCTTCAGGCAAGTCGGGTTCTTCTGTAAAGGAAGAAATGGGCGTTGGGATGGTTCCTTCTGGTAGAGGTGCCTCTATTGCTATGTCCGACGTTGGCGTTGGCGTCGGTGTGGCGGTAGCGTCTGGCGTCCATTTAGCGGTCGGGGTAGAACTAAACGTCATCCAGGATGAATATGGAGTGATTGGTATTGAAGAAGAAACGTCCCAACGTGTGAGTGATGTAATCTGGACTGGTGCTGTTCCTTCAGGTAAAGGCGGTTCGGTGAACACATCAGAGGTACGCGACGTCTCCGTGGAGATGCTTCTCGTCCATGACACCATCGTGGTCCTACTCGGCATCGATGTACGCGTGAGTGTCGAAAAGTTGGACGGCGTCCATGAACCCTCACACGTCCACGACGCGTCTCGCTCCTGATATCCGCCAAAGTACTCGTATGGTTCCATATCAACACACTGCGCCACGGAGAGCAAATTTATATCTGCATTCGCAAGCACGTTGACCGTTCCATTGCGCAGTGCTTGGATCCCCGCATCGGATGTTTCATGCGAAAGCGTCAGGCCCGTATAGTCTGGGCGATCAATGGCAAATGTCTTGTAAAAGTTGTAGCTATCTTGTGCTGTGCCACCGACCGAGTCGAGCGAGTCGTCAGACCACATGACAATGTACTTGTGATGCTTTTTGCGAATGTATGTAATGACATGCTCGCTCAAGTCTCCAAAAGGTGGTCTCCTTACGTTAGGGAGGCCAAACAGTAACAATGGCTGGGAAGCTTACCGAATGAAACGGGGCTTGACTCCAAGGATACGAATAAACGCCTCGTCAAGCCGCTGGATCTCCATATCAATCTGAGCGTCGGTAAGAGTTGGAAGAGAAGCGTGTCTACATCGTTGTCAAGTCGAAGAAAGGTCAGAGGGGGCCAACGTACGACCACTGGAAGAAGTTAGAGATCACGACGCATTCTGGGTAGAACTCACTGTATGAGAGCCAATTTGATGTCCGGATTCAAACTAGGCACGATGAGAATCACAGTCATTGATTGGGTATGTATTTACCGTTGCGCGGAGTCGTCGCACATTATCCTCGTCGTAGATGCAAGAATAGTTGTCTCCGTTCATAACTGCATATACGATGAGAAAGCTTCTGAGTTATTTGATCCAACATACAGAACGTTGTCGTGCCATTCACCGCGTTGAAGCTATCGAGTATTTCTTGGTGATAGACTGGCAAGTTGATTAGTATGAACAGCGGTTATATCAGTCCAAAAACCCACTCCATGGACCCTAAATCATATAAGTGACGAGAGAGAGGCCAGCGAGCAGCACTTACATCGTCCCTAATTACCAGGTTAGAGAGCAACCGGGCGATAAAAAGAACGTACCAGGTATACCCAAATCCATGTTTACATAGCGTATAAACATCTTGCGCAGCCTGAGAGCCTTGGATTGTGAAGAAAAGGAGGGTGAGAAGGGTGAGCATCAGGAGACGGGGCAAAGGGAAAACTGTCTAGATGATTGGCTGGTGAAGAGAGTTATAAACATTTGACGCCCGTGTCCACAAGCTGTCAGTCCGGTCACGGTTGTTGGCCTTGTCAACAGCATGCCCGCCCCGAGATTTGCCAATGTGACAGGATTCTTCTCTTCTCAAGAAGCTAGCCCACGAGGACATCCATCGAGCGAGACGCAGTCGTTCGTATCAAGAATTTCGATAGGAACCTCATTATGAGGCCATTTCGTCGCTCCCAGAACTCTTGTCTATCTGGTTTCCTTGCAAACATATCGGGAGTCAGACACATCTGCGCGCATTGGCACAGAATTAGATCTTCATTATGGATTAGCATCGGATCATATGTTGTCTATCTTGGGACCGTGTCAAAGGCGAAATCTGGAGTAATAAGCGGTCATTTGCTTTCCAATGTTCCTCCTTGTTTATTCACAGCGTCGGCGTTTCGCTTAATTGTGGCTGCTCTTTCACATTGCTGCTCAAGGCTGCTTCTCGACGCCATTCCACATGTGAGCCGGGTTTTATCGTATCGAGCCTTCCTCCCTCCCTGGAATCTTTGCAGTCTCTTGCTATTGATAGGGCCTGACAAATGGCGTGGAGGTTGTGGTTGGGAACAACAAGCGCGCGCGCACTAGTTGCTCCTGACCACGTCGATGAAGATTTTCCAACTTTCAGTTCTGCAAGTCACCGATGGGAATGCAACCAAACTCTCATCCGCAGATGATTTGAGTTCCTTTTCGTTTTACCAGCGTGGCTCGGTCGGCGAGTTCATGACCTTTATGGCAAAGACGGTGGCCGAGCGCACCGCGGCAGGGCAGCGACAGAGCGTCCAAGAGAATTCTTATACCGCTCATGTATACAACTCTGGACAAGATAACATCACAGGTGAGTCTGCTTCACTCCGGCTTGCAAGGGCGCTGCTGATCCTCTTTGCCTGATTGCCACGCATAAAGCTGTGGTTATTACGGATCAGGAGTATCCCGTCCGACCCGCCTTCTCTCTCCTTCAGAAGCTGATTGACGACTTTGTGACGTCTGTGCCGAAGGCGTCGTGGTCCACCCCGTCCTCGATTGATTTCCCTGCGGCAAAAACATACCTTGCCAAATACCAGGATCCCAAGAATGCAGATCAAATTATGCGAGTGCAGGCTGAGTTGGACGAAACCAAGGTCATCCTGGTGAGCCTCTCAGTAATTCTCTGGAAATGTGGCAAGATACCTAACATTTCTTCCATAGCACAAGACTATCGAAGGTGTTCTTCAAAGAGGAGAAAACCTCGACAACCTCGTCGAGCGCTCGAACGCGCTGAGCTCCCAAAGCAAGATGTTCTACAAGACTGCCAAGAGTGTAAGCTTTCCTGCTTCTTTCAAACAGAATACTTACTTTGTTCCAGCAAAACTCTTGCTGCACCGTCTTGTAGGCGCAGGACTGCTTCTAATTGCCACGGACTTATGATTATTACGAGATACGTGTCAGACGAGGACAGAATATTATGGTTTGGTTATGGATTACATCAACGTCCCCTTTCAGTCGACCTTCTCTTTCTGATCGCCTGCAACATTTTGCTCCTCCTGCGTATCCGAGTATGCCCATATCTCTGCCCATTCACCATAAATCAGCCCTGTGGCCAAGAAAGAGAGAATGCAAGCAGGACTAGTATATGGTTGAGCATGCGGTATACCTTGAAACAGTATGCTTGCTCACCTGAGATAAAGCAACGCGGGTTGTGCAGAGTGAAAGGTATGCATAACCACGACAGTGGTAGCAAGCCCGACGATATAGGAAATGAGCGTTGCAATGAAGAATGGCTTCGCGAAGCGTTGTCCAAGATCTTTTACCGCAGATCTATGCAAGTCATAGCGAAGAGCAAAGGCGATGAACATTCCAGGGACAACGATATCTCCCAAGCTAACGCGGTCGTTAGATGGAAGCGCGAACTATCGAAACATATGTACCCGAGCATGGTATAGTCATTCCCAAGGAGATGACGGGATTTAGGAAACAAAATCTTGATCGGTGCATCTAATCCTTGAGCGACTGTCACCATCTGGGTGAATAGCTCAGCATCGTTCCATATCGTCGAGAATATACGCACCACGTTGGACCCGAATACTGGCTTGGATCCAAAGACCCACCAGATATCGTAGAGGAAAAGACCAGATAGTAATACCACGCCTGTGATAAGAGAGTCAAGCTTGATAGAAACAAGGGCCGTATGAGTGAGTGAGAGGCCCATGATGTTGATCAAGACTGCGTGCTGAGACTCCATGATGGATGGGAAGAAGATATATACGATGGACGGGTAGAGAACGAAAGGGAGCAGGAACAGAGTGATCGTCGGAGTGCGAAGATGTACCAAGGGCTGGTCTCCGTGAGTTATAGAGAGAGTCAAGGGCCGGAGTTGACGCCAGCGTGTAGTGCCGAGACAAAACCTCATAAAGTTTCGCGAGGCCTGTAAAGATGGTCAAGCCACGTAAACCAAGCAGTTATGTTCGAACTCACGGTCCATAGAGAGGCAACAGTAATGATGGAGAAGTACCATTGCAAGACGATATTGATCCACTTGACGCTTATATACCGAATGATTATATAGAGCGAAAACAGGACGACCGAGCCGAGGATTGGCAGCCAGTATGCATCTTCTAGTCGAATCTCCTCAGATAGTCCTTCGTCCTCATCCTCGTAGTCTTTATCCGGAGACCTTGTACTCTTTGATTTCGGGAGCTGGAGATTGTTTAGGACAATGGGACACGTCGACGAGAGTGGGGCACCTTTAATGAGGCAAAACTGCCAGCATATATAGATATTGTTGCAAGAGAGATCAATCCAGCATATGATACAAGATAGTCAATCAGCTCCAGCGTCGAAGAGCTAGCCTCCGACATAGGGCGGTCGTCGCAGTCGGGGTCAAATGTGTGGACAACTCCTCTTCCACACCACAATCTTTGGCAAACATGATTCGACAAATACGAAGGATCAACATCAGTTTTACGATCAAACCGGTTCGAGGAATGAGCACAACTCCTGGAAAATTGTCGAAGAAGGAACTGGCAAAGTTGCCATCCCCCGACGGCGAGCTACCAGAGTTGAGGGAATGGAGAGAGAGATTTAATCAAAGGCCAGCGCCGAAACCGACACTACACAACTTGAGAACGGCCCGAGAACTCGTCAAGGGGTTCGGAATTGCTGATTCAAAGTCGCCAAAGGTCATCATCGAGGTATTTGCAGGTATTTACAGCGCAACGAGATCGTAGTAATGTCTTATGTGCCTTCAGGCCCTGGGACGCTTTCGAGAGCCCTTTGCGAGCTGCCTCCTTCGAAAATGAGCAAACTTATCATCTTGGAGCATAACCCAACATATCTCCCATATCTCGAGGTATTTCTCCCAAGTTTCATTTCGACTTCTAACGACCGAACAGGTCCTAGCGAAGCTCGACAAGCGAGTGATTGTTCGACCTCTCAACGGCTGGTTATGGTCTTCATACAGTGAGATAATGAAAGAAGGACTGCTGGATGATATCATGGTACAAGAATGGGACAATTCTATCCGTGGTGTCCGTACGTCGTGTCAACACTGTTCACCTGGGATGGTCATTTAGTCTTATAGACCCGCCGCACCCCAATCTGCATTTCGTTGCGACCACAATACCATTTGGAGAGACGGGAGAAGCGCTCTTCAATCAAATGTTTCGCGCCGTCGCGGGACATGAGTGGCTCTTCAAATATGGACCCATGCCGTGGAGTGCGGTTCTTCCATATAGCTCATGGAAAGTTTGTGATCTTCATTTCCATGTCAAGTGGCTCTGAACTAATCATTCTTAGCGAGCGGTGGCCCCTCTTGAATCAAACCAGCGATGCAAATTAACGTGCATGGTAGAGGCCACAGTGGAACCTGAGCTGGTAGTGGATGTCGAGATGATGGAGGATCATGCCACGCACTTTTTCCCGCCTTACAAAAAGATCAACGACCACATGGTTGCAGCCAATTTTCGTCCATTAGGATTCCAGGTACGCCCTCTTGACTTACTATTGCAGCCTTTGATATCTCTACAGGTCATGCGAGTTGCAGGAATACCCGAGTGGGACTACGTGCTGCGGTCGCTGTGGATCAATAAAACGACCCCGATTAAAAAGTCGCTCAAACACATCTCTGCAGGGGCCAGAAATATGGTGAATTATTTGGACGATTCAAAGGTCTACATCCTTGAAAAACATCCCAAAAATTTGACGCTCGACGAGTGGGGAATTCTCATGAAGGCATTCAACGATTGGCCGTTCCATCCCACTGTGGGTATATTAATCTTAACTTCGGTTGAGACTGAGGCATTTCCCAGGATCTAGGAACATTGTCCGACTCGATCAAGCTGACCGACAAGCGCTTATGATTCGCTCGCTCAAAATGGTATCGATCATGGAATGCAGTAGCTTACACCTTGTTCACTAATGGGCCATTACTCTCGTAGAAGAGCGCCTTCTTTGATTTGTTTTATAATATGATCGATCTGCGCTTTGTGCAGTCGATGATGCTCTTGCCAACCTTTCCACGGGTGATGAGGATGCTTGAGAAGGTGTTAGCCCATCGAAAGGACTTCCCAGAAGCGACATACCAAGACAGCGAATTCTTGGAACAGTTTGTCGGACGTCTTCTTCATTGCCGTCTCGGAATTCTCGAATTCGATGAAATAATGAGCGAGGAGAATGTCATCCTTGCGAGTATACCGCGCCTTTTTCGATGGGCTACTGACCACGGGGACTTGTATGTCGTCTTCATGTGGTTCAAGCTCATGACGATGTCGCCTCCAGTACTGGATCATGAAATGTTGGCCTAGCATTCTGGGGGGACAGTACTTACCTTCATCCAAGATGCTCGTGAGTGGTGGGGCGCCTGACTGGCTCAGGTTTCTGTAGGCAAAGACAATAGCCACCCACCTTGCGTGCAAGGTCATTCCAGAATTCGACCATGTCCAAATTCTCGGTGGACTCCCTGCTTCCGTCAGTGGCTAAGAAAGCAGGGATAATGACTTCACCTTCGATACTTAAGATAGTCCATGAGAAACTTGACATCTTCAGGAGTGAATGCAACACCTTTTCCTGTGGTGCTCTTGTAGAGAGTTTTCGGAGGCGTTGGGGATCTCCTGCCTGAGGGCGTCGATGTGCTAGGTATAGACCTATACTGGCCATTTGCTTCTTCATCGCTACTCTGTTCCTCTTCGCCGCTATTATTCCCGGAGTTGCGATCTTCAAGAGTGTATGCCCCCAGTCGAATCTGATGTTTGTTGCAATATCGCCTCCAGCTGAAGAAACTAGTGCATGTCAATCCCTCTCTGTCCAGCCGAATAATGAGTGAACAAACGTATGATGAGGAGCCTATGATTAGTCAGTATTAGTCTCACGAAAAGATAATTGCGCGCCTTTGCCGCAAGTCGTTCACATATTTCTCGTAAACTAAGCAAGAGACCTTGCTCTTGACAATAGTCAATATATCGCTTGAGGTACTGAACGTCGTCTTCGGTGAACAGATTTCCACCGTACATGGACTTGACTACTCTGGTCGGTGGAGTTGGTGAACGCGCTGGACGACCCGACGTTTTCAGTGCCAATTTCACGCTGCTCGCCACCGCTGTCTGTGAATATGTCAGCCATGAAGAATATATAGAGTCCCCTACTTGCTCTTGTCCTTGTACGGCCTCTACGTTCCCTATCGGCATTGGATGTTTCTGCTGCTGGAGTCGTACCAACGGCGAGCTGAAAGCCGCTTTCTTCTAACTGCCTTGCATACGCAGCGGGATCCATTTGTGGGTAAAATGACATCCAGGCGTTTGAATAGGCTTGTGCCTGGGCTTGTAGCTGTTGCATATCGTAGGTCGGGTAGGCACCTGGTACTGCTGCAGGTTGACCTTCATGCCCTTCCTGATGCATGAAAGGAGGAGCAAACATCGGCATTCCCATCGCAAAAGGCATGGGTTGACCGTTTGGAAGATATGGCCAGGGCATCGGGGTAGGTATAGGAGCTGCGCCGTTTCCTGGACGAGCCGGATAGCCATACATCAGCGGGTGGCCACCATAATACATTGTATGAGGAAGTCTTCCAGCTTCGGAATTGGCACCAGGGTGCTCAGGACTTGTGGGCGTGTCCTGGGTAGAGCCGGGGTCCAAAACGTCGGATTCATCCCCAAGCTCGTCCCTTTCCGGTGACTCGTCAATCTGTTCAGCTTCTTCTTGCTGCTTATTGAGGAACTCCTCCCTGTAATGAGTAAGAGCGCAGTCTGAGGGGATGCCAGTCTCCAGACCTTTCTTTTCCAGTGACGCGACAGCCTCCCCAGTCATCTCTAAAGCCTAATACTTTTCCTGCATCGATGCATTCGCTGACCCATCGCGAATCTAGCACCGTCTTGGACTTGCGGGTGTTATTGAACATGATATAGAGGTTGTGCCCCTCAATTGACGTTGCATCGACTAAATTAGATAAGTTTCAATCAACTATCTAATATACGTGATTAGCTCACCTAGTATGTAGGTCGCATTTGTGTAAGAAGTTGAAGTGCTGCCTCCATGATTCTGGGGGATGACGTTAAAGGAGTTATGAAGCAAGAATAAAGCTACCTGGATTTGTTTCACGAGTTCTAAACGGTCTTTGACATCGCTATGTACGTAGCAGACGAGCGGATTCCCTTGGAGCGGATCAACAAAGATTTCGCTTGTATTTTGGGCGGCTTGAGTGCTGCTGGAAATGTCCATCTCGCATAAAGGGACTGCACGGCTCTTGGAGACCCGGGCAGCGTAGTGTCGGGGGTCAACGTCTCCTTGACCCTACGCCCACGCCTTCAAAGGAGAATGGCGTCGCTGAAGCGCTCAGCGTCTACGTCGTCGCTCTCTTCATTCTCTAAACCACACCAGTTTCCTCTTCTGCCTCCAATCGACCATGAAATTAAACGAGAACCGTCTTCGCCTCCCCTTCGCGCGCTCAGGACCGCGCCAATCATCTCGAGTCAGGTTCCCAGCAATTATGTCTCGCTTCCCGCGACTCCTGTATCGCGGTCACCGCCGGTCACATCGTCTGGACCCCGGCCGCGACACGCATCAGACGTGTCAGTCGTAGCACAAGCCCCCTTCTCGTTATGGGACTACTTGCGTGAAGAACTACTAGCGACAGACTTTGATTCGCACCAAGAAATGAAATGGGAGCGTGTCAGCAACTTTCTTCATGTTCCGTTTGCCGTTGAAAAGGCAAGTAAACTAGAGACAGGATGTCCTCAGACTCACAAAAACATGCAGATAATTGGGATTGGTATCATCCTTTGCTTCGACTCGTTCCTTTACACATTTACAATTCTCCCAATCCGAGCTGTGCTGGCCTGGTATCGTCTATGTATGAACTGGGCTTCATTTCGGCGAGTATGGTTGAAGTTTCGATTTAAAGTATCTTACCATGGACCCAGGAACTCGCTGCCACCATCTCAAAAGGCGGATATACTACGAGCCATGCTTCTGATAGTATCTCTTGCTATTCTTGCACCACTCACTGATCCAAGTAAAATTTATCACACCATTCGACTTCAAGAATCTATTAAGCTTTATGTTATATTTAACGCTGTAGAGGTATGCTTATTCGCTATGTCTCTGGACCTCGCTTACTTTATCAGATTGCGGACAGGCTATGTACTTCTATCGGACAGGATATTATCGACTGTCTCTTCTCCCGCTCGACTCTCGCTCCTCTTTCACGGAATCAACCGGTTACCCGTCGCACATTTCTACCAATTGTCTACTTTGGCCTTGCTGTTCTGTACACAGGTGCGCTTCTTACCTACCACTCGAATTTAAACTAATTTATTCAGTGGCACACACATTGGTCCTCATCTACCAGCTCATCTCCCTCAACGTCGCCATCAACTCCTACGATCATTCTCTCCTGACGCTCCTTGTTTCAAACCAATTTGTGGAGATTAAAGGCAGCGTCTTCAAAAAGTTTGAAAAGGACAATCTCTTCCAGATCACCTGTGCAGGTAAGCATACTTACGTTGTCGCTTGGTCTCTAATAGACCTTCAGATATCGTCGAGAGGTTTCAGCTACTTCTCATGATGTTTTCTGTAGCAGGAAGAAACCTAATCGAGTTAAGTGGCACCGAATTCGATGCATCCGCTGGCGTGCCGAGCAGCTTTCGATGGTTTCCAGGACATAGCCTAGTCTGGACCATCTTCTCGGTAGATATTGATTCCCTAGACAGTTCTCACTCGACTAATGTTGTTCAGCCAGTAGCAACAGTCATGCTCTCTGAGGTTGCAGTTGACTGGCTTAAGCATGCGTTCATCACAAAGTTTAACCACATCCGCCCTTCCGTATACGAACGCTACATGGACGTTTTATGCCTAGATTTGGCTAGTGGCAGCGCAATCGGACGACATGGTGCCAGGAAGCACACATATGTCGATCAGTCTCCACTTGTCGCGCGGCGACTTGGTTTCGCAGCACTCCCACTAGCTTGTTTGACTATCATCATTGCCGCAAACGCATTGGATGCGACCATGTCATCGAGTCCTGCTCATCTTGCCAGCCTTGTCAAGAGGAACGTAAAGTATGCCCTGTTACTGACACTTGCATGGATTTGGTAGGTTTTAGCTGGTTTGTAGACCTGTTATTCACTCATTCCAGTCTTGTTGTGGTCAAAATCATCATTGGGGTCAATTTGATCACATACGCGACTCACCGACGCGTTGACATGGAACAAAGGGAGGCGGAAGACGTAGTCAACGATTTTGGGCGAGATCCCATCGGCGAAAGCAAAGACGAAAGGGTGAGCTCAAGACGAGAACTTGCCCTTCTGCTGACATCCTGCAGCGCTATAACCGCGAACTCAAATCTCTCCTGCTTCAGAAGAAAGACGATGCAACAAGGGCTGCAGAAATGGGTGAGCGGAAGGGGGGTGGTGATAGGAAGCGGCCCAACTTGAACGAACTCACAAGATTCACGATGGTGAAGCAAATTTGGTGACTCCTTGATATTCTTATGTATCATATCTATCGAGTTTGTCAGCTGTTTGGTTGTGCTCAGACCCACCCTTGAATTCCCTCACGTCCACCCCTATTTTGGTGGTGGCCCTGTAATGTCGTTTTTACGGCATATAAGTCGTAACATAAGGGCTCCTTGTAGTACAAACGCATCGTTTGCACGCAGTACCCAGCTATGGTCCAATGGCGTGCTCAACTCGACAGGGCGACGTTTTCAGTCGACAGTGTCTGCTACAACTCACAGCCTTACACGTTCAACAATGCTTCTAATGTCGGGTGTGGCTCTTGGGGCCGGCATATCGAGCTATGCTCTTGGTGCATTCGAGCCGAAAATTGCTCGTAAACCTCAGTACGGTGACCAAAACGACGTATTGAAAGTCAAAGAAGAGCTCAGATTAAAGGGACTCCAAGTCCTCGACGACCCCAAGTCATTGGAAACATACGGGAGCTCCCCAAATTCATATCACCCATCCTCGAGTCATAGTATCGTAGTCAAAGCCTTTAGCACCGAAGACGTCGTTACTGTTGTCAACCTGGCTCGGAAACATAAGCTACCAGTTACTCCATATTCGGGCGGAACAAGCCTTGAAGGCCATTTCAGTGGTGTGGGTAACTTGTTCTCTCCAATCTTAATACTTCCTGACAATGCCTAGTACAGTGAGAACCTTGGCGGGATATGTATCGACCTGTCTGGAATGAACAAGGTTATACAGATCAACGGTGAGACTGATTTTAGCCCTCGAGTGCCGTTTATAACAGACTCATCTGTCAGAGGATGATGGAGATATGGTGGTGCAAGCTGGAATTCGGTGGGAGGAGGTCAATGAGGAACTGGCGAAGCGTAACATTCCGCTGTTCTTTCCGGTGAGCCCTTACCCGCGTTACGGTGAATATGTCACCTAACCTACACAGCTTGACCCTGGTCCTGGCGCTACAATTGCTGGAGGTATTGGTACTGGATGCTCTGGCAGTAAGCAGGTCGGTGCATTGCTACGTTTTGACTGACCCATGGTAGCCAATGCCGTTAGGTACGGTACAGCACGAGGGGAGTGGTATATCAACCTTGTGCGAAAGCAATCTCCCCGAGTCTTTCATGAGCTGAACATCATCACAGACGGCTGTCCTTCCCAATGGAGAAGTAATCAAAACTCGACGACGTGCGCGGAAATCATCAACAGGCTTTGACCTGACCAAGTTGTTTGTCGGGGCTGAAGGCACGCTTGGGATTGTCACAGAAGGTACATGATTACTGTCCTGGAAACCAGGCACTTACAAGGCGAAGTGACTCTCCGTCTTGCTCCAAAGCTCCCAACTTCGGTCGCTGTGGCACAGTTTCCGGACGTACAATCAGCAGTGTCCGCTGTTACAGAGCTTCTTCGTAGCGACATGTACACACACATCCGTAAGCACCCGAGTACACCCCAGCTATCGCTAACGATTGCAGAGTGTGTCGAGTTGCTTGACGTGAACATGATGCGAGCAATCAACCATGCTGGTCAATCCAACAAAGCATTCGCAGACAAGGACTCGCTCTTCTTCAAATTTCAAGGATCACCGTCCTCGATCAAAGAGACTTCGGATCTAGTCAAGAAAATTGTCAAGAAGCATGGCAGCTCTAGGTTTGATTTTGCGAGAAGTAAAGAAGAAGCGGAGGAGCTGTGGCACCATCGAAAGGTCGCGCTCTGGTCGGCAATGGTGAAAGCCCATCTCCAGGATATAAGAGTATGCTGATCTTTTTTACAGGCTTGGGTAGGGGATAAGGACGTGAAGATTTGGACGACTGATGTGTGTGTGCCGCCTTCAAAACTTCCTCAACTTGTGGCCGAGACCAAACAAGATATTGATGAACACGGCATCATTTCATGTGTGCTGGGGCATGTTGGAGATGGTGCGCTCACACAACGCGCTCAACCGTTGGTTGATCGTCCTTTCGCAGGAAACTTTCACGCCCTTTTAGCGTTCCGAAACGATGAAGAACTGGAAAAGGTCAAGGGTGCAGTGCATAGACTTGTGCATCGAGCACATAGTCTGGATGGCACAATGAGTGGGGAACACGGGGTCGGAGTAGGGAAAAAGGAGTATCTAGTGGAAGAGCTGGGAGAGGGGACAGTTTCTCTAATGCGGGCCATCAAGCAGACCATTGATCCAATGAACTTGTTTAATCCCGGCAAGGTAAGTATCCGCAGCTTTACGACCTGTTAGCTCACGGTTTGCAGCTGTATCCTGAAAAGGATCCATAAGATCAATCTTGACGCTTACCACCATGGATTTTGTAGCATTCCTCCACGATCTCGACCATAGGAAACAATGGAAAATTCATCAACTTCACGGAGGCCTCGTAAACTTTACCGTCAGGGCCACTGAATCATACACGATGTTTAGTGATGACCAGGATACTGCACCACGACTCGATCTCTCAGGTTACCACTCATTAATTCTAAAGCACGCACCTCCGTACATTGCAAGTGTTGGTAGTGAAGCACCCTTTTCTCAAATGCGACAGGTGCGAAGTTATTGTTCCTCGACGCTTGCTGATGCTCTTAGGTTGTCGAAGCACGGGCTCTCGCGTATCTTGGTGCTATCAACTTTCCAGAGCAACTCTGCATCCCTCGTCTGGTCCATCATGATCCCGATCAGTTTGTGCTCGTGATGGAGGACCTGGGCGACCTCATCAATCTGGAGCAGCAATTATCACGACAGGATGAAGCAGCGAACCAAGAGGGAGAGCAGCTTGACCTTGCGAACCAACTCGGGATATCACTCGCACAACTTCATTCTGTCCCTGTGGGTCGGGCACTGGGCGAATCGCTATATAATCCAGATGCGCGAAAGGTCGTCTTTGAACTAGCCGTCAAGTCAATCGCCTCGAGACTCGAAACTCATGGAATTTCAGACTATGGACTATTGGCAGAACGATGCGCGCAGCATTTTGTATTCACTCAATCCGTCTGTTCAGACCCAGACAATACGAGCGCGCTTTTGCCCGTGTTCTCGATGGGTGATCTGTGGCCACCATCCATTCTGGTCGACAATGCTCGGAACCGGCTCGGCCTCGTCGACTGGGAATTTGCAGGCCCGTCACTCCCATTGGCAGATCTTGCCCAGCTCGGTGTGTTCAAATGTGCCAACGTGCCGCGTTCTCACAGTGGGCAAATGTAGCCGCACATCTCCAGGTTTACTCTCTCAAGCGTTCGTCATCGCACGCTCCTAAATTTTTACGACAGTTGATCAAAAGTTATGCCGAAAAGAGTGTTGAGCTTGGGGCTCCATGGGCCGAACCATCGCGGCTTCAGGTAGCACTGCGTGCAGCAGTCATCCTCCATGGTCGAGAAATCGTCAATGTCTCCATCGAGAGTAAGGATTGGCCAAATGGAGTCGACAAGTTACAGGAGTGAGAAGAGGATGCGACTATCTACGATGGGCTGGTGATACACCAAAGGATCTCGATGTCGAAGCTCTGGTACAAGACGGGGTTTTCGTACCTTTTTGTATACTAATTTCTGACAAGTAGTTATAGCTGGAACTACAAGAAGCTTGTACCCATGCAATCATCACAATATTCAGGGGTTTCACGCCCACGGTGTCAGGAGAAGATGCATATGCATAGACATGTAAAACATGAGACAGAGAAATGATGACAATGACGGGATAAACAGAGCGATGAGATGCGGAACGGCTACAGTACAACAGCAGTCGCATGCATGACACAGGGAATAAGGGACAGAAATCACACCAGTGTGAAGAAAAAGGGGGGAATCAGATGCGTAGGACGTAACAGACGTGCGTGGCGTTGGCTACCTAGGCAGCCTTCCTTGATCGGCCAGCTCAAGAAATATTTATTGATGGTGCGCCTTGATGACGAGGGTTTGCAGCAAGTCGCTGAGTTGGCGATTGTACTGCGGTCCAGCTGAAACAAAGCGAGGGATAGCACGGAAGAGGTTCTCCTGGATGTTGGGCAGCATCTTGTCGAGATAGTCATGAATGATTCGGTCCTGCGAAAGAGAGTCAGACACTACATCCTCAAAAAAATAGCCAACGTACATGAGCGTCCAAGACTTGAGATGCACGCGTAAGCCACCAGAGGAGCGAGATGGATTCGTCCATCGTCTCAACATCGGCGAGACAGCCAGCGAGCTAGTGGATTGTTAAGATACTCAAAGGTGGACAGAATGAGGTACACACCTTGTGGATCACGCTCAAGATGATCGTCTGGCCAACCAACAGAGGTCCATTGAGCGGCATCACCTTGTCAGCCGGGCAATGTGCCAGCGTCTCCCTCAAAGCACGGATATCCGAGTTGGACAATGCTTGCAAAAACACCTTTTCCCAATCTTCCGGCGTGTCATGTCGGTACTGCGGCATCTGTACGTTAGCCAGAGGGCTGGCACAGGATGAACCGGAAGCTGCTGGGGAGGAGGCGCATATTGATTCTGGGGTGGCATCGACATGGGAGCAGGGAGCGCTTGGTACGATTGAGGGACATTAGCGAGTGGCTGAGGCGCGGGAGCCTCTGGTTTTAGACCCGAAGACATTTGTTGCCACGCGCCAATGCTTGCGAGCTTGTCGATTTGGCCGTGGGTAGGCGCCGGAGGCTGCTGGCGAAGGTGAGCAGGGATGGGCGCTGGCGACGAGCGATGGCTTTGCATATGATACGGCGTGACGGAGCGCTGCGTGGTAAGAGTCTTGACTTGATCTGTCAATGTCCTGATCGAAAGCTCCATCTCCCGAAGAAGTGACTAGCGGAAATATTAGTTCTCGTCGGATTCGAGACAAGACTTGGACGCACCTCTTGTCCCTTGAGGGCCTCGCTCTGCCAAGTGACAATCTCCTTTTTGAGGTTGAGAATCTCCTCGTTGATCTCGCGGTAGAGCTGGTCGTACATCTCCGAGGTCGAATCTTGGTACGACGGGATGAGAACACGAGTAATCGACTCCTTGACATGTCGTTCGATCAACGGAGTCACCGCAGACGAAAATGTTCGCGCGACGTGGGTGGAAACATCTGGTCGCAAGAGGAGCCGCTCAATCTCGTTAGGCAACGTCTGCAAAAGAGTTAGACTTTGTGCTTTTTTAGAGTTGAAGGACGTACGTGGTTCATCGACTCGCTGATACCGCGGACGATTTGCGCATCCAAGGCTTGTCGGACTTCGTTTTTGGTAATCATCTCAATGGCCGGGAGAATCGTGCGCTGAACCTCCGTCTTGAGCGCCGCTTCAAACACACGACCGCTATTCTTGACCAACTCGGTCGAGAGATTTTTGGAGAGCCTGTCCTGGAACTCGAGAGCATTAAAGCGGTCCTGCTCATGCATCTGCTCAAGTCTTCGCTCTATATCACCCGTCAGCCATGCACAATCCGAATGCTAAAAGACTTACGCTGATCTCTGAATTCTTTGGTGACAACGGTCGAAATCTTGTTCTGGAGACCATCCTCGACCTTTTGAATCTCGCGTATAATGTTCGAGCTCGCATCACTCGCGATTCCAGCAGCCTCAGCGGAACGATCTTGGTTGGCATGATGTCCCTTTCGATCACGTCCCCGTCGTCCCTTTTTGCTCGAAGATTCTCCAGATCGCACGTCGCCGACTGTCTCGGCCGTATCGGGCTCAACCTCGCTGACAGGACTACGAGGTCGCTGGGGGCTATTGCTATCCATCGGCCCATAGTTTTGACTAGGAGTGAGTAGATTCGCTGGGGCGGACGTGCCAAAGGACGGCGGAGGCTCGTTGTAAGTCGTGGGTTGCGGAGGTGGAGGTTGCTGCTGTTGTTGCTGCTGCTGTGGAAGAACAGGAACAGGAGCATTACTCTTCTTTTGCTCTCGAGGTCCACTTGGATGACTGGCGGGAGCATTCCCAGGATTCGCGGGAGGAGCTGCTGCAGCCGCGATGGAAGGCGACTCTTGACGCTGAATGGGTGGGTTTTGGACAGGTGGCAATTTGACCAAGGCAGCCTGCGACGCCGTCTCGAGATCTTGTTTTCCAATGAGCACCTGGTCGACACCACCAGCGTGAATCACATAGGCAACGAGCGCCATTTCCAATTCGCCTCCAGAGCCCGGTGCAGCACCATTGTTCATGTCCATCCCGGACGAACCTCGTTCCATTTCCTCCATTCCATTGGCATCGCTCGAGACGAGGATACCCAAGCTGATCGTAGGATGCAAAATCGGGAAATCGAGTATTTGCTCAAACGCCAACGGTGCCTCTACCCCGGCCTTTGTCGCCTCGGGCGAGACGACGCGGAGGGCCATCAGACTCGAGCGATGGGAAGACGCCGCCCAGATGCATCGAATACGCGGGTCATACGCGAGATGCGCGAAAAAGTCGCGATCATCGGGTGCAGACGCACCACCACCAAAGACGCCATTGCCATAGACAAATTTGACCGTGGCCTGGACATTTGTGCTCTTGGGTGAAACGAGCTGGATGACTGTGTTGCGCTTACGACCGACGATCATGCCTTGGGCCTGGTCCATGAAAAAGAGCGAAGACGGCGAGCCCTCTCCGGGAATCTTTCCAGACCAGAGCAGTTGCTGCTCGTTTTGGCCATAGCTCATCTGCTGGCCATAGCTCGCGTGAACTTGATAGCTCGGTGGCTGTTGCGAACCAATCGACCAGAGGTTGAGCGTGCCCTCTTGGGAAATGGTGGCGAGACCATTGTGGGATGCGTCAAACGCAAAGGCTGCGATATGCTGCTCTGGCCTCAACGGTGGGAGATCACCGCCTGGGATGCGCATGTTGTTTCCTGGCGCGGCCGGGAAAACTTCTGCATCGTTGATCAGAGTGTTTTGGGTGATGGAGTCTCCAGCATGAGCATTGTAAATCCTTTGGACGTTGATTAGATGGATTTCAGTAGTGGTCGCGAGAGCCAAGAGGTCGGGATCGGTGGGGTGCCACTTGATCGTCTTGTACGGGTTGCCTGGGCTTGGTGGGACCGAGACAAGGAGGAGAGAGCTGCAATGAATAAGCACAGTGCAAGGCTGAATTTGAAAACGTACGGTATATCGTCGTCGACCATTGGTGGAACCTCCCAGACGACAAAACCACCATCTGACGTGACCCCGGCGAGTCTGTTGCCAGAAGTGACGAGATCGACAATGGAAGAGTTGACGGAAAAGGTGCCGGGGAGCTTGAGGAGAGCGCGTGCGCCGTTTGCACGGGCAATGAGACGCACTCGGCCTAACAGAGTCAGAAAAGTCATCTCCCTTTTTTTTTAAAAAAAAGACGTACCCTTGGTCATGGCATACGCAATCCAGTGAGAGACACCAATAGTGCAGCCAGGCACATAGATGGACTCGAGCTTCAAGAGCGCAATGGGAGTGATATGCAAACGATCGCTCGATGCGCTCGTTGCGGCGAGTGGGAGGGAAAGATCCATGGTAAAAGACTGAGGACCGGCGGGGCTTCGAGTCTTCAAAAAGTCGCCGGCATTCTTGCTCTTCCAATCCTTTTTAGCGAGACCTCTGGGTTTGAGTGTCGGGGAAGCACGAGCAGGGTTTGAAGCCTGATTCTGACCGACGAGAACGGGTCCGAGTGCAGGACTGGTGCTCGGAGGAGTCTGGCCGAGCAGTCCTGGAGACTGATCTCTTGGGAGGATGGCTGGGGGTGTCGAGGCACTACCAGAGGGACCTCGATATGGACCAGGACCAGGCTGAGGGGCACCATAGGTCATTGGAGGTACAAATGCCGACTCGATGGGCTGGTGGGAAATGGGAGGAGCAGCACGAGTGAGCTGTTCGAGCAGGTCAATCGACTTGCGTTTGGTCTCACCGACCCCGTCCTGGGATTCTCCTGCGCTGGCGTTATAGTCGCCATGGAGGGGAGAAGAGGTAGTTTGTGGGGGGTTGTAGGTGATTGGATTTGCACCAGACGGTTCTGATTCGAGAGTTTTTGTGCGTTTGGGCAAGCTAGAAGGAGGATTGGTTGCAGAGGGAGGCTGGAATGCATCCATGGGCGATACAAAGTCGAAAGCCGTCTTGCGAGGAGCCTGCTGTGGCTGTTGTTGTGGAAGTGGAGGTTCCGCAGGTAGAGGAGGAAGCGGGAGCTCTTGACGAGGGAGACTTCGCTCCGACTCTGTTGGTCTCTGCGCGGGTGGTTGGGGAGCTGTCGAGCTATCGAAAGATGAGCCTAGTTCTATATAAGAGAGTGGAAATACCTTAGTAGCGAGTCGAGTAACATGCGACCTGCATTTGATGAATCCTGGATTGGATTTGGTTTCTGGGCTGGTTGTGAGCTTGTGACGCTGGCAGGAGACGCGCTGGCGGCAGCATTGCTAAGAAGAGCAAGGAGATCCATGTTTGCTCTGTCCTGAGACTGCTGAGAGACTGGTGGTGGTGGTTGGAAGGTTTGTTGCGGCTGCGGGGGCGTCGCTGGAGCCTCGTGCGGCGGTGAAACGGGTCTCATTCCACTGAGGAGCTCATCGAGCGTCTGAGCAGGCTGCTGGGGTGACGGTCTAGAGGGGAGCGGGGAATGGATGACATGCGAGGGCGGCTCGGACAGTGTCTGTGGATTCTGCGAGGCCATTGTGGGATGAGATGATGCACCAGGAGGCGTGGAACCTCGCGAGAACATGCTCATCGTTTTAACACCGGATGTGGTCAGGTCCAGGCGGAAGCCATGAGGCAGAGGCATCTTTCAATAAACTTGGACATGGCGTCAATTACTGACCTTCGTGCCATAAAAAACAAGATTATCGGAAACAAACACGCAAAGGACCAAATTCCGCCACTCGACATCCAAAAGTATCTCCACCTCGCTCGACTCTACATCGCCCTTATAACCCTAGTGTTTTGCAGTCTCTACACTCTCCAGAAACACGCATAGAGGCTGCAAATGTCCTCTACACCATTAGCTCGGGTACGTCATCCCCATCGCCAGTATCTATCCACTCATTCTCTGGCAGGCTCTCAAGATGCACTCGAACAACTCTTAAAACTCAATGTACTCGACGCTCTTTTACCCGTTATCAGCACCATCGATCCATCCTCTCCTCACAGACTCAAAGTCGCCGTTGGCAGAGCCCTCCGCGCCCTCGTCGGTAGCCTCGCAGACTGTTGCGGTCTCCACATCTGGGGAATCCTCCCTAGTACCTCTCCAGACCTCCGGAAGCGAGCTCAGTTTGCCCTCGAGGAATTCTATCAACCCACCGCCCTCGACATCTGGCTCCCCCATCTAGACGACCCATCCCTCCACGTCTACATTTGTGGAACCATCTCCGTCGGCGTACGCACACCAGCACACAGGTATGCTCTCTGCAAATGGAAACCACTCGCCGAGCGTTCAAAGTCCAAGGGCAAACGCGGTTGGGAAAAGACGTCAACGTCAATTACGAGCCCTACCAGTCTCTCACTCATTACGACACTCACGTGGACGACCCCAGGATTTAGCTGGCTCGTCCGTCACCTCGCAAGCGCCGTCTTTGAACCGGGCATCTCGGAAGCGTCTATCATCTCCTCCCTCGATGCGTTATCAAGTCTGTGCAAGGACAACTCGAGTGTTTCCGTCAATCTTTGGATAGAAAGTTCGCCTGTGACAGCCACCCATGGCGATCCAATGTCCCTCAGGTTGCGGTCGTTTTTGCAACTATTGCGCTCTCCAAGTCCAGATATACAAATTGCCGCCGTTCACTTGTACGTCCTCATGCCGTCTCAATACATGCCATTGAATCATACAGACTTGCAACGGTTTGCCGCGCCAATCTTGGGCAACAGACCACCGGCCACCATCGGAGCTTTGGCACCGTCGGTCCACTCGATCAACGCCCCTACCATGCCGTGTGCTCGACCGTTATACACACACTCAACGGCATAATTGGCGCCACCGACGAAGCCATCGCGATACGGACTAAAGCTTGCTTTATTCTTTGTACGTACTGTTCTCTGGCCATAAACCCTGTTAATCTTGCACAGCGAGGCTTGTGCTCGATGACAAGGCCATTACAGACGTGGCAGTGGATGCTGGTGCCCTCCAAGCTCTCTTGACAGCGCTCGAACCCGAACCAGAGGCACCTACAGTCCAAAATACAGAAGAAATGCAGGTCAATGTGGAAGAGGAAATTGAAGAGTTGCCACAAGATCTCCACTTTCGCGAGGTGAATTGATTCAAATCTTCCAAACGACCTAACAGTTGTCTAGGCAGCTTTTACGTGCCTCAGCAGCGTCGGGTTGACGGATAGCCAATATTCACGACAGATACTGGAAATGGACGCCAAGCGCGAGGCATCCCCCGCACCTTCCTCTCGAAGATCTACGCAAAGTTCAAAGGAACCATTTCTATTCCCTCTACTCTCTAAATCTATTGCACACTTCCATCTTGGCGTCCGATATAGTGCCCTCCAGCTCGTACGCGCACTTAGTCGAGCCCTTGCAGTGCTCAGAACGGGCATCGTCGATACGGATATACCCACCAAAGTCACGGGCGTCATATCGAAAGAGTCGGAGCATAGAGCCGTGTTGATTGCCGCGCTCATGGTCACCTGCAATCTCGTCAACGATTATGCGCCCTTTAGAGAGGATCTGATCAAAGGCGGGGTTGTACATCACCTTGTTCGGCATACGCACTCTACAGATGACGATGTTCGTCTGAATGCGCTGTGGGCTATCAAGAATGCACTGTACAATGCAAAAACGTCTGAGATTGCAGAGGTTATCAACATTCTCACGTGGGATCATCTGATCAAGTATGTTCCTGTACATACAATAAGAGTTCACTGACGAGTGTAGACTTTCGGAAGATGCGGATCGACGTGTTCGAGAGCAAGCGGTAGTCGTACTCCAAAATACGACAACATCAGACGCAGACATAGCGTACACGGTATCCATGCTCGGCGAGCAACGCTTATCCAAGGTTTTGCATCAATCTCTCTCCAACAATGACCCAAAGACTGTCGAACACGTTAGTCCTCTATACAACTGCATACCATTCTCTGATTCCTTCTAGGCCATTCGCGCCATGAACAATATCGCAACCGGCACTCTATCTCATCGAGAGCTCATTTTCACCAACAAACCTCTCCTCACGCTCCTCCGAAACGCATTGGCACACTCCTCCGTAGGCGTACGATGTGCAGCCGCGACATGTATATGCGAACTCCTCGCCGCACAACCATTCCGACACCGCGAATTACGCGAAGTCGGCATCGAGCAAGCATTGAGATCAGTCCTAGGCGTACGAGAGCGATCAAACATCTTTGCGCACCCACACTCGCATTCTATACACCCACTTCCAGCAATTCATCCTCAAGCTGTTGCGTCTGCACCTTCTTCCTCTATGAGCCATTCGCCGCTTTCGACTGGGAGTGGATTTGGCGCTGCATTGGGGACGACAGGCTCGTTTGGTCAGGTCGGTCGGGTCATGTTGGACTGATGGAGAGTGTGCCAGAGTCACCTGGGCTCATGGGTCGAGAGACGGATCGGGAAGTCATCGAGGCTGTCAAGGTCGCGCTCGCCTTGCTCGACAAGGGAAAGGAGTGACAAAGGGACAATCAAGAAAGCTAAACATCTGTACTGCAATTTTTTGCTTTGATTGAACACTGCTATCTTGTGGTACACGCATACACCTACATTCGATTCGATTGGAAAGGATGTGAATGCTTACGCAGTCGACAGAATCTCCCCCTTTGCAGCCTGTGCCGCAATACCACGCCTCGCGATTCCGACAGCGGACTGAGCGAATGCCGAGTGAGTCATACCAGTTACGTGCTGCCTCTCGCGACCGACGTCGAGCTCATCCATATGCTTGAATGCGTACTGGACAGCTGGGCGCGCCATGAGTTTGGCGTGCCACGCAGCAAGGTGTGGGAACTCGCGCTCGACGTTGAAGTTTTCGGGAGGAGATGATGAATGGCATAGTCGTTGTACTTGATAAAGGCCAGGTCCGCGATCGTGCACTTATTTCCGACCAGCCTAAAGTAGTTTGAGTAAAACGTACACGGTTCGAAGCACAAATACTCACCACTCCTTCTTGCTCAAGACGTCATTGAGAACACCGAAGATGCGCTTGATCTCGTTCTGGAAGCGGATAATCACACTGGGGATCCTCTCCGTGTGGTAGAACATGAACCATTGGGCCTGTCCGAACGTGGGTCCCTGGTGAGATGCTTGATAGAACAGCCCTAGATTTGTGCATCAGTACTCAGCGGTCAATCGACGAGAACGACGTACAAGTGTCAAGGTCGGCCTTTTCCTTGTCGTCGGTCACAAGGAGCTTCTTCTCGGTATCATAGCGCTCGGCGATGTACTTGAGAATAGCGTTGCTCTCCCAGACGACCTCGTCGTTGTTGGAGTGGTCGACGAGGGTTGGAATGCGACCGTTGGGGTTGAGTTTGCGATATTCTTCGGTCTTGTGTTCCTCCTTGGCAAAGTCAAGGATGACCTCGCTGTCGACATGTCAATATCAGGCATCAAACACAGCGGGACGAGGACATACTTGTAAGAGAGACCGAGCTGTGCAAGTGGTCAGTAAGGATGGTTAGGAGGAGAAAAGACGTACCTCTTCCATGACCACAACGAGTTTCATCCAGTTGAGACCGGACTCGGCGAGATAGAGGGTGAGAGGAGCAGACATGGCAGAAGAGGCAGAGGAAATGGGCGAGAAAAGACGAGGGCTCGAGAGCTGGTGAAAAACTGCAGGATGGAGCCCATCTTTTATGGCCTCTCGAGCTCTCGACAGCGCCCAAGTCTTGTCATCTGACGAAAGTGCCACAGGGGACGATTCTTTGGCTTCGACTGGTTTCCACGATTGCGGATAGCAATTATCGCACATTTGGCAACTTCAGCTCAGGGTGCCCAATGGTAAATGAATAGGTTGAGCCTTTCATAGCTGCTTGGGATGACTCCTCAGGAGGAGTACAACGCAGAGGCCACGAGGCTAACCTATTCGAGTAGGCGTAATTAAGGATGAAGAATAATCCATTGTAGCAAAAATGGTTAGAGCGAGCGCTATGGGGGACAGCCTCTCGAGGATCTGCCGCGCTGACCAATGGGTTTGGTTGGTGGTGTTGAGCTGGCTTGCAGCAGGCAGACCTGACAATCGCGGTAGAGTAACCGAATATGGCAAGAGTGAGTGGAATACTGGGTTGGGATAGCCGTTGGAGGGAGCCTGTGCGTGTGGTGGGTAGGGCACCCCAACCTCTTATGTGGACCGCAGGCTCATTTGCAGAGTGCTTTGATCAAATTTGAGTGCTTCTAGCTCGTGGAAGTTGCCGGTACAGTTTGTCGAAATAATCGGAGGGTGAGCCCCAACCGCATTGCAAACCAGGGGCTTCATATACCCCTCACGTCACTCATAGATGGACGGATGATCACCGATACACAAGACTCGATGAGCCAATCACTCTCCTCCTTGGCTTGAACAGATGATCTGGTTCGTTGCCATTGCAGATTCAAAACATTTTGTCCAATTCTATAACACAGCCCGACCTTGACTCTTCTCACCGTGTTGTGGATGGGCATCGTCGACCAAACTCATCTCGAAAGAGCTCCATCATCAAGGTGGTCACTCTTGATCGTTTGCGATTACGGAGAATAAGCGGTTGAAGGTACACTTTGGGAAGGGCTCGCTTTACACGTGGATAGATGGGCTCTCTGATATCGATTATGATGCGTACGAAGCTGAAGGCTCGAGTGGATCGCATAAAGCTTGACTCGCATAGTACACTTGTAGATTAGAACCCTTGAAGAGGGGTCAGAGGCAGATTCCAGGACCAGTTTCGTGGACAATGACGACGAACGGGAGCAGATTGATTGAACTGCCACAGGGAGGGCCAGCCTCCTGGTTCCGGCGTATTGACCAGTTAGCATAATAACCATTTTTACATTACATATAAATAATAGGCTCTGCACGCATTGAGTTCATTTTGAACCCGTCAGAATAGCCTCAAAAGACTACCTGACGCTGTAAAGCAACTTGCTTTGATTGAACACTGCTATCTTGTGGTACATGCATACACCTACATTGGATTCGATTGAAAGGGATGTGAATGCTTACGCAGTCGACAGAATCTCCCCCTTTGCAGCCTGTGCCGCAATACCACGCCTCGCGATTCCGACAGCGGACTGCGCGAATGCCGAGTGCGTCATACCAGTCACATGTTGCCTCTCGCGTCCAACGTCGAGTTCATCCATATGCTTGAACGCGTACTGGACAGCTGGGCGTGCCATGAGTTTGGCGTGCCACGCAGCAAGGTGTGGGAACTCGCGCTCGACGTTGAAGTTTTCTGGGAGGAGGTGGTGGATGGCATAGTCGTTGTACTTGATAAAGGCCAGGTCCGCAATCGTGCACTTGTTTCCGACCAACCTGGAATACTATGAGCAAACGAGTACGCAGCTCAATAGCGACACTCACCATTCCTTCTTGCTCAAGACGTCGTTGAGAACACCGAAGATGCGCTTGATCTCGTTCTGGAAGCGGATAATCACGCTGGGGATCCTCTCCGTGTGGTAGAACATGAACCATTGGGCCTGTCCGAACGTGGGTCCCTGGTGAGATGCCTGATAGAACAGCCCTGATTCTGTGTATCAGTAGTCGGCAGCCAATCACCAAGAACGACATACAAGTGTCAAGGTCGGCCTTTTCCTTGTCGTCGGTCACAAGGAGCTTCTTCTCGGTATCGTAGCGCTCGGCGATGTACTTGAGAATAGCGTTGCTCTCCCAGACGACCTCGTCGTTGTTGGAGTGGTCGACGAGGGTCGGAATGCGACCGTTGGGGTTGAGTTTGCGATATTCTTCGGTCTTGTGTTCCTCCTTGGCAAAGTCAAGGATGACCTCGCTGTCGACATGTCAATATCAACCATCAATCACAGCAGGATGAGGACATACTTGTAAGAGAGACCGAGCTACAGGACGACGGTCAATAAGGGCTTTACACCAGGACACAGAAAATGTATATACCTCTTCCATGACCACGACAAGTTTGAGCCAGTTGAGGCCCGACTCGGCGAGATAGAGGGTAAGAGGAGCAGACATGGCAAAAAGTGGAAGAAACGGGCGAGAAAAGACGAGGGCTCGAGAGCTGAAGCAAGACTGGAGATTCCAAGCCGTCTCTTATAGGGTTCGAGCTTTCCAAAGCGCTCAAATCCCGTCATCTGACGAAGAACCACGATGGGTTCGTTCCTCGCCTGCAAATTGTTTCCACGATTGCGGATTGCGTTTATCACGCATTTGGCAAGGCCAAATCAGAGCGGCGGACGGTCAATGAATGTGAGCGGGCCCCAGGGAGCAGTCAAGGAGAGTGGCTAGGGAGGAGCACAATGCCGGGACCACGAGGCTTACCTAGTCGAATGGGCGTAATTAATGGTGATGTATAATCCGTTGTTGCAAAGATAGTTAGACCGGGCGCTACGGGGACAGCCATTCGACGATATTTCAGCGCCGAGACGAAGATTCTGGTTAGTGGTTTGCGAGCTGGCCTCCAAGAGATTGACCTCGCTATGATGGACGAGTAACCGGATATGGCAAAACTGGCACGAGCCCAGGGTGGAGACAGCCATGCATTCGAGAGAGGTGCCTGTGCAGCCGGTGGGGGTTAAGGGCGCTGACGCTCCATATGGATGATGGGCTCGGGTTTTACATAGTTCTGATCACGATTTGAATGCATCCGACTGCTGGAAGTTGCCGGTAGAATTGGTCGAAAGGACCGGAAAACGAGCCGCAGCCGCATTGCGAACAAGGGATTTCGTACGAGTCACGTCATCCAAGAAATGTACAATTGGTTGCCGATAGACAAAGTCGAGATAGCGAGTGAGCAAGCTAACCATTCTTATCATCATGTGCTTCGACGAGCTGGTTCGTTGCTGATGAGCTGAGTGTATCTAATCATCACCAAATTGAAATAAGGCATTTGTGAGAAAATATGACCCTTTTTGTTGACAATTTGGTGTGGGTGCCGCGGAGAGAGCGGAGACAAAGTTGCCCCCTGAGCTGCCGATCCGCCCACGATGGGCCAGAACCGCCGTGTAAAGTCGAGAAGAATTCATGTGATGACAATCAGCCGTCATAGCGCCAACATTCTCGAAAAGCCTAGCAGGTTCTCGCATGTTCTACGGCATTCGGCAGCCACTAGTTACGCCCTATAAAACCCCCCATGAGAGCGCTAGCCACCACTCAGAACTTGAACTCTTCCACGACTCGCATTTAGACTTGTATCACCAAAATGGTCAAAGCTATCGGTATCGATCTCGGCACGACCTACTCTTGCGTCGGCGTCTGGCAAAACGACCGTGTCGAAATCATTGCAAACGATCAGGGAAACAGGACAACGCCATCCTATGTTTCCTTTTCTGATACCGAGCGTCTCATTGGAGACGCCGCAAAGAATCAGACTGCGCTGAACCCCCACAATAGTAAGCAGCTCTCTACTTTGAATTTCGTGACAGTAACTAACATTCTTGTGTGCAGCCGTCTTCGATGCTAAGCGTCTCATCGGTCGTAAATTCGACGATGCAGAGGTTCAGAGCGACATCAAGCACTTCCCCTTCAAGGTCATCAACAAGGGTGGCAAGCCCGTCATCCAAGTCGAATACCGTGGCGAGCAAAAGGAATTCACTCCTGAAGAAATCTCGTCCATGGTCCTCCTCAAGATGAAGGAGACGGCAGAGTCGTACCTTGGCGGCACCGTCAAGGACGCCGTCGTCACCGTCCCTGCCTACTTCAACGACTCGCAACGTCAAGCTACCAAGGACGCTGGTGTCATTGCCGGTCTCAACGTCCTCCGTATCATCAACGAACCCACCGCTGCCGCCATCGCCTACGGTCTCGACAAAAAGGTCGAGGGTGAGCGCAACGTCCTCATCTTCGATCTTGGTGGTGGAACATTCGATGTCTCCCTCCTGACCATCGAGGAAGGTATCTTCGAAGTCAAGGCCACCGCTGGTGACACCCATCTTGGTGGTGAGGACTTTGACAACCGACTCGTCAACTTCTTCGTCCAAGAATTCAAGCGCAAGCACAAGAAGGATCTCTCTTCGAATGCTCGTGCCCTCCGCCGTCTTCGTACCGCTTGCGAGCGTGCGAAGCGCACTCTCTCCTCGGCCGCCCAGACCACCATTGAAATCGATTCGCTCTTCGAGGGTATCGACTTTTACACCTCCATCACACGTGCTCGTTTCGAGGAACTCTGCCAGGATCTCTTCCGTGGTACCCTCGAGCCCGTTGAAAAGGTCTTGAGAGACTCGAAGATTGACAAGTCAAACGTCCACGAAATCGTCCTCGTCGGTGGATCGACCCGTATCCCACGTATCATCAAGCTCGTCTCCGACTTCTTCAATGGCAAGGAGCCCAACAAGAGCATCAACCCCGACGAGGCTGTCGCATACGGTGCCGCTGTCCAGGCTGCCATTCTCTCGGGTGACACCTCTGAGAAGACCCAGGAGATCCTCTTGCTCGATGTCGCTCCACTCTCCACTGGTATCGAGACCGCCGGTGGTGTCATGACTCCCCTCATCAAGCGCAACACCACCGTCCCAACCAAAAAGTCGGAAATCTTCTCGACCTACTCCGACAATCAGCCTGGTGTGCTCATTCAAGTCTACGAGGGTGAGCGTGCACGCACCAAGGATAACAACCTTCTCGGCAAGTTTGAGCTTTCCGGAATTCCTCCCGCGCCACGTGGTGTCCCGCAGATCGAGGTTACCTTTGACATTGACGCCAACGGTATCCTGAACGTGTCTGCGGCCGACAAGACGACTGGCAAGTCGAACCGCATCACCATCACCAACGATAAGGGTCGTCTCTCCAAGGAGGAGATTGAGCGCATGGTCAACGACGCTGAGAAGTACCGACAAGAAGATGAAGCGGCCGCGGCGCGTATCTCTGCAAAGAACGGCCTCGAGTCGTACACATACTCTCTCCGCAACACGACCACCGACGACAAGCTCGCCGACAAGTTTGATGCGGCCGACAAGAAGAAGCTCGAGGACGCCATCAACGAGACGATCAAGTGGCTCGACGCTTCGCAAGAGGCCTCGAAAGAGGAATACGAGGAGAAGCAAAAGGAGCTCGAGAGCATTGCAAACCCGATCATGCAACGCTTCTACGGTGCTGGCGGCGCGGCTGGTGGCGCTCCAGGCGGCTTCCCAGGTGCAGCTCCCGGTGCTGGCGGTCCCCCAGGCGGCTTCTCGAACGATGGTCCTTCCGTCGAAGAGGTCGACTAAACGACACGCCCCTTTGCCTCCTCTCCACTCTCTCTTGTGACTCGGCCTTGCATGTGTCTTGACTCGAAATCAAAATAACTCTAATGCCTTACTGTATTCGTATCATGTTTCTAGATTTATCAATCGAAGTATACTTCGTTGAATACTGTTTGCTGGTCTTAAGTTGAAAGTGCTAGATGCTACTTCAAATGTTAATCGTCCCCTCGCTTCAACCCTCGTAATTTACAGCCGTAAATGATATAGACAACGTGCAAATGGATGTCTGGCTTGATCTTTGCTTGGGTGCCTTGCTCGCTCCAAATTCTACAACTCCAAGTGTTGGTTGAGAAGGAACGTCGTTCTGAAACGAGGTTGACCAATGAATATTAGGAATAGAAATACAATCTATAGGCTATAAGCATCTTTTAGCGTTTCCAAGCCAAAGAACGTACCAACTAAAATCGGGGCGCGCGCGTAAGCCTTTATAGAGGTGTAGAATGAGATACATCAGCTTTTTGGCTGCCGTTAAAATGGACGAGGGGTTATGGCGAACACGCACCTCTACTTTTCGCCAAAGTACGTCCGCTGGACGCGTTTGCGGACAGCTGGAGCCATACGTTTGAACAACCTTCGATCCCAATCTTCAATATCTACAACTCTCAAGTTGCTCGGCGGCTCCAACTGGCTGGCTCCATTTTTCATGCCTTGGAAAGCCATGATGCGCTCGCTGGGTGTTGGCTCACGCAGGGTAATCGGAGAACTGGTTTGATTGCGTCGTGCGGAGAGACCATGTAGACAGGACGGATTGGCCGTTATTGGTTGTCCAAGCCGAATCGAGAGCGTCTGGGCGACGGTCAACTTTACGTTTGTATTTTGTATCGGTTGGATGATTTGGGTTGGGGAAACTTGACTCTTTGGTAGTCGGAGGACTTTGGGTGCCAACTTGCTCCTCATTGTTGACGTTCAGTCGTGGACGGGTTCAAGGTTATGGACCACAGTTACAAGTACGCATGACCTTGAATCATGGCAGTTATCACGAGTACGAAATGCAAACGAGTGTAATAGGGAGTCATCTATCGGAACAGTGCGCCTCCACATCTGCTATGTACGCTTCACAAACCAGTCTTGATAATTTTCTTCCTCCTCTGGCTTTGCAAAGACACGGATCCCCCGGATATCCCAATACGCATCCTTGAACGCCTCTGGATTCGAGTTTACATAATCTGGAAGTAGTATTCATATCGGGGTCATGGTAAGAGCGTGTAACCGCACCAACACAGCTTCCAGGACATCCAGAACCGCGATATGTAAAAAATTCTCCAGCCCAATCGCCACCTAAATGCTCTCAACGCAAGAAGGGGGGTAGTGTAGACTACTTACAGAACGTCAGATTGATGACAATATGATGTTCCTTGAAATGACTTGGGATATCACATTGGTCATCGACGAAGAGTGCATCTGGTACGCCCCAGGTTGATGTGTCGATATGGATCGTGTCGGGATGATGATGATGGCCACCCAGCGGAATGTCGCCGACTATAGGAGCTTGGATAAGGCCGCGCGAGTGATGATAGCGACTGGCGACTTCGGCAGGAACAGTTGCATCATTTCTCGGCCAGAACCAGACTTTAATCTCCTTTCGAGTGCGCTCGAGGGCATACCTAAAGAGGTATAAGCCACGCGTATTGACTGCTTTGTAGCTCACCATCCACCGCCCATTGCATTAAACGACGGTCCATAGGAGAATTGATTGTTCACCTTTGAATTGCAGCCTGAATTGTAGTTGACGAATGCATTGCAATCACGGTTGACCGAGGATCTATGTGAATTCAGTCGATACGTAGACTACGACGAGGAATTATACCCTTTCTGGGCGCGTTGTGATGGCTGTTTGCACCCTTCCGAAGTATGTAGGGAGACCATGTTGGGCGAAACGTCGTTGACCCCCTCCAGGATATCGATCTAACGGACCGATGAGCAAGTAATACGAGTCGAAGGGATAAGAATGGGATATACCTCTCCTTTGTCTATGGAGGATTAGAGCTGGTCAGGCATTATACAGGTAGCAACTTTCACTCACATGGCCAGTTGGTGTCGCCAACGGTCCAAAATGCGGGCCATGTTCCACATCCAGTGGGCATGTGTTCAATATCCGCGACTAAGACAGTACCGTGGGAGTACGCATCGTTCGAGAGAATGCGGACAGACTTGCGCCCTGTGCTCCAGGAGTCAAGCCGAGTCGAGTGGTCGGCACGCATAATGAAATGATCTTCTGTCGCGTACGATAGATTCAGCTGTCGTGCTGTCCTATCGTCTACATATCTGGACGCTATTAGATGATTCTGCAACGGCCATAACAAGGACGTACTCGACGCGGCCATGAGTGGGATCTGGAATAGACTCGTGTCTGAAAGAATGAAAGAACTTTTCACCGACAATCTCGTCTTTGAGGGCGTAGCGGTGGGCAACGACGGGGTACACTGCCGCGACTAGGAAGACCAAAGAGTGCATAGGAGGTGTACTGTGAATTAGGAACTATGTAAATTTGTAGGGTATGGTCGTTGAGCGTCCGTTTGAAAGCCTGAGCTCGGTCGAGGTGGGAACCAAGATCGGGATTGGCAAACTTGCACTCTGCCAACATGGCCACATTCCCCAAGCAAGCTGAATATGATGTACAGCAAAAGCTCAAGGAAATGGACTCTGTTCCTCTCTTCATGAAGACTCTTCCGAGCGACGGTGAAGAGGCGGGCGAGGCTCTCGAGGCTTTGCAGGCTCTCGTGCACGACGGAACTCCAGATGGTGCGAGAATCAATGAGATTTAGATCAATCTCTTATCAGGGTCTACAAAGGAAGAAATCGCGACCAACTTCAAGACCCAAGGGAACGACTACTTTAAAGCGAAACGATATCGTGAAGCCCTCGGATTCTACACGCAGGCGATTGATGCGAAGCCAACCGACTCTGATCTGCTCCAATCCTTGCTCCTCAACCGCGCAGCATGCAATCTCGAGCTCAGCAAGTCTTTTCATTGCACACCACTCAAAATCTGATCGTACGCAGAAAACTTTGGCTCGGTCTTGCGCGACTGCTCAAAGGTACTATCAGTCGACAGCAAATCACTCAAGGCATTATATCGCTCTGCCCTGGCGCTCATCGCACTGGAAAGACCGGAAGAAGCAATCGACTGCTGCAACCGTGCCCTGGTTGCCGACGCCCAGAATAGTAGCATATTGAGTGCCCTAAGCAAGGCAAAGGCGTTGAAGGAAAGGCAAGAGGCCAAGGAGAAAGCGAAGCAGGAGGCAGCGGCCGCAGCCAAGGTTCGTGAGATGAAAATCCAAGCAGCTCTTCGGGTGGGTGCGCTCTCTGACTCGTGTGGCGATTCTCAACCCAGTTCAATCAGGCACGTAGCATCCTCGTACTTCCATTAGCTCCTGGACAACCGTCTCTCGAGCATCACCCAACGCTTTCCAACGATGATCCACCTCGTCTGTCGGTGCCAATGCTCTTCCTTTACCCTCAGTACTCTCAATCGGACATCATCTCATCCTTCCACGAGGATACTAGGTTCACTGATCATCTCGAGGTAATGTTCCCTCCCGAGGGTACACGCCCAGGCTGGGACCTACAAGGAGATTACGTGCTCTCCAACCTGGTTCTCTATGCGAGTACCAAGCGTAAACGTCTCCTCAAGATTGGGAAGAAGACGACTCTCGCAGACCTTTGCAATAACGCCGCTGCGAAGACTGGAGAGCCTGTAGATGGTCTTGAAATGGTCGATGGGCACCTCTCCGTCGTCGTTCTACCAAAAGGAACTGTAGAGAAAGACTGGATTGACAAATTCAAAATACAGCGGGGAGGTTAGAGAAATAGAGTTGTGAATAATGGAGTCAATCAAATGATTATTGGCTTGGAGGCGTATGATTGGGAATGTCTACGTTGGATAGCCAGATGATGGGATCGAGAAAATCAGCAGCAAAATCGATGGATGGAACTTCGTAACCGGTGAGAGGTAAATATGCCGAGACGCCCTGGTTTACCCCATGAGACGCCTGTGTGGGAGGATTATACGGTATGCTCTGTTGGAAAGGAGAATTGGTGGTATGGGACGATGCCGTGCCATTCGGGTTCAGGTAATATTCTTCATGTGGGTTGGTAGTTGATGGTCGCTCCGCTTTTTGTTTCTTCCACCGTCGTAGCATTGAAGACAGTCCTTGGGCATATCGTCCAGGCAGCGATGAGTCGCCAATGGCCAATCTTGCCAAGTGTGCACTTGTTCGTGCAATCAATGAGTCGTAATAGTCGGCCTTTGGCAGACCTTCTGGTCGGTATTTGAAGACTGTAACTTGGCACTGCATCAATACTGCTGCAGAGAAGGAGATGATGGTAAAAAGATGGTCGGGAGCCGTTGAGAGAAATGCAAGTTCGTGCGAATCATCGGGGAATGCTTGAAGCAATACTTGTTCGGCCATGGTGCAGATTCGGTCAATGTATATAGAGAGTGCCGAGACTGTCTTGAGGATAGCTGGATTCGACTGCGCCACGCTGAAGGAATAGCCATTGAATCCGTCGACCCCAGGCAGTGCACTCAACAGCCCACAGGCGTGACTGAGGAACACGCAGCCTGCATAGTGTTCGTAGATTGAGAACATCCGGAATTCTGTGCAGGCTTGGGGATTATCTCTGAATTCTTCACAAGTCCGCTCGGCAGTCGTTGCAATCCTATCGACATCATGCAGGATTGAGTCGACGGCTGCAATAAATGAATTGAGGCTTGCCATCTCCTGAAGAGGTGGGTGAACTTTGTAGATCCTAAATACCACGCTTAGTGTCTCCAGATGATAGATGAGACATCTATCAGATGGCGATTCAGCGAACGTGGAGAGGACCGCGCTCAGATCTGACTCTGTCATGAATTGAGTCAAGCGAGGTTTGACAGAGCCTAGACTCATGGCAGTGTCATATGTCACTAGAGTGTACCACTGGGATACCCATTGTCATCAGTTGAATAATTTCGGCGGGCAAAGGACCCACTACTCGGCATTTTTCGAGCGCCACCTCATACTCTGGATGGCCACTCTTATTCTCAGCTAATAGGCGTTTGACCTCTCCAGAAGCAAGATCTAGCCGAAGCTTTTGTGCCATTTGGACGGCTGTCGAAAGGAGGTGCCAACCATCCGGTACGTCAGGGTGCTGCCCTACACAGTTTCCACTCGGCAGAACGGAAGCCCAAAGCGATATAATGAGCAAAGCATGGATCGCATCAACCGTAGCAGATCTATTTATGTTGAGCTCAGGTTTCGGCGTAAATAGGGGCATACCTCGCGCTCATGGCTACATTCAATTGAGCCTGCAAGAGCTGGTGTATTTTCCTTTTAACTTCTTCCTGGTTGGGAATTGTTGTCTTCAACCTGAGGGCCAGGGCGCACATTGCAGTAAAAGTGAAAGGGCGCTCGCAGGTCATCCTTTGAGACTTCAGGATTGGACTATAGAGGCAATGGTTGAAGCGCATTTCAAAACTGCAAACATTTAGCCGCCCACGCATATCCACCCTGTGCAGGCGTACATAGAGGTGAGCTCTGTGCTTTGCTCCTTGCTTATGATGCCAGCATCGATTGGATTGGTTAGGGGGTAAAGATTGGTAAGGGCTGGTGACTTGCGTAGGAGTTCTGCACTATGATCTGCTGCCGCCGAGACTGGAGACGCTGAGATTGGTGAACTCGGGCTGTGCCCGTCATTAAGACGGGCGATTGCATCCAGAGAAGGAAGTCCAATCTTGCTCAAGACGAGCCGGAGAGCATCCTCCGTGACTCTTAGCCGCTCCTCGAGTCTGGCAATCGTCTCCCTATTATGGTCAATTGGATGACATCTCCTCCTGGAACGGCTTACTGAGGATCAATATTGATTTCTTTCCTTTTCAAGGACAGATTATTGGACTGTGTGCCATTCCCAACAGAAGCGCGAGAGGTGCTTGCTGCTTGCAAGTTTGCCTGAGCGTCGGCGTCGAATACACAGGGTGCTCCAATAGCTTTGCATCTGTGGCAGATGTCGTTGCTCGTCGTGAATTCACAACGCGCTTTCTGACGACGGCAAGTGTCACAAGAGCGCACTTTGCGACGCTTTGGTGCACGCTCCGCTTCGTTGCCGCCCTCCTTCGAGCTGTTGGCCGCACTCTCAAGATCACGCTTTGTCATTCGATGGAGAAAGCTTGCTTGATGTTCCGCTTGGGATTTATGGCAGTTTTGCAGTAAACCAGATATCACGGGCGGGGTCTAGTTCTGTTTAGACTTCGGCTAGCATTTGATTGCCCACTACGACATCAGTCATGCCAAAGACTGCGCCTTACGGGACATGGAAGTCACCAATTGGTGCAGATTTAATAACACAAAAGGTGTCTGCGAGTCGCAGGATTCCAAAATCATAGACCCTCATCTTGCCATAGGCTATATCCCTGAGCGACATCCTCGTTGATCCTGTGACAAACGAACTATATCATCTCGAAGGACGTCCGTCTGAGGGAGGAAGGGTGGTCCTTGTACGATCCCACTCAAACGAGGATGCAGTAGGAAGCGACTGGAATGTTCGGACCCAAGTCCATGAATACGGAGGAGGAGCAGCCACCGTATACGGTGGCGACAAGATATACTTTTCAGACTTTAAAAGCAAGCGTATCTTCATGATCGACGGCAAGGCGGCACCCATTCCTGTTACGCCTGGTAAGACTATAGCTCTGGTCCTGTATCTACTTGATCTATCGCCACAGAGAATCCAAATCTGCGGTTTGCAAATATGGCCGTCTTCCCAGGTGACCCAAGGTTCATTGTGGCCGTTCAGGAAGACCATGCGAACCCTGCGCCAGCCGACGTCGTCAATACACTCGTCTCCATCGATTGTACCTCGCAGACAGTTACAACCCTCGCTTCTGGAGCAGACTTCTACTCGAGTCCTTGCTTCTCCCCCGATGGCCGGCACATAGCCTGGCTCGAATGGATCCATCCAGACATGCCGTGGGAAGGCTCTCAACTTCGTGTCGCCAAAATTTCAGTCAAGGAGACGACCTTGACAATAAGCGACGTACAGCATATCGCTGGAAAACCTGATACTTCCAGCGCAAACGAGCCCAATTGGCTCAACAACGATCGCTTGATATACCAATGCGATACCTCTGGCTTCTACAATCCATACATCTACTCATTGGTCTCTGCAAAGTCTGAGCCTGCACTTCAAGAGCCTGTGTCGAACGACTTCTCCGACCCAGCATGGGTATTCGGTATGTCCAGAATGGCCGTCTTGGACGAAAACACCGTAGTGGTATCCCCAATTCATCAAGGATTCTCCAAACTGGCACTGATCCCTCTTGACAAAAAGAGTTTGGTAGAACTAGAGTGCCCTTACACGTCCATCTCTTACGTCCGACGCTTGACCGCGACGTCAGTGGCAATGTCCGCAACAAAAGACGACAGCGCCACAGCCCTTGTTGTGGTAGACATTGCCAATCAGACCCCCGCATTCAAGGTTGTAAAGGAAACGTCAACCTTGGCTGCAACACTTCCACCCGGATACATATCCACTAGCCAGGCATTCGCTCTGAACAATGGAAATCTCTATACCATAGTCAATCTTCCAAAGAATGCCGACTATACCTCTACCCATGAAGAAAAGCCTCCAGCAGTGATTAACATTCACGGAGGCCCAACAGCACGTGTCCCACCTGGATTATCCTGGATCACTCAATACTTTACCTCGAGGGGTTGGGCCTGGTAAGCCACTCCTCCCGCTATTTGACCGATACTCAACGGATTCAGGGTAGATGTCAACTATTCAGGCTCATCTGGTTATGGACGTGAATATCAGTAAGGGCATTATTCTGCTTTATTGGTACTGACCAATATTTAGAGAGCGCCTACGCGGTCGATGGGGAGTAGCCGACGTATCGGATGCAGCTCTCGCCGTCAAGGAGCTTGGAGAGAAGGGCATTATTGATCCAAAGCGAGCTGTCATTCGTGGGGCTCTGCAGGTATGAACCAAGGATTGCATCTCTCCCTCGTTCATCATACCTCTTAGGCGGCTTCACCGTACTCATGGCTCTCTGCACGCCCGAGACTGCTGGGGTGTTCGCAGCAGGCAATTCTTTATATGGTGTCTCAGACCTCAATGCCCTCGTGGAGGATACCCACAAATTTGAATCCCAATACCTCTTCAAACTGGTGGGCGGCACCCCCAAGGAAGTACCAGATGTCTATGCAGCTCGAAGTGCCGTCAACCACGCTGACCAAATTCAAGTCCCTCTCCTGGTACGAAGTTGCTCGAATCTTGTGAGATGACCCTTAAACGTTGTCAGATCCTGCAAGGTTCGGACGACCATGTCGTGCCACCAAATCAGGCAGAAGCAATTGTCAAGAAAATTCGCGAAAAGGGAGGAGAAGTTGAATATATTGTCTTCGAAGGCGAGGGACACGGCTGGCGTCGCGCGGAGAACGTCAAAGCGGCCTTGGAGAAGGAATGTCAGTTCTACGAAAAGGTATTCAACCTCACTCCAGATTGAAGCCACCAGCAAATTTCGACGTATTTTGTTAAAATCAATACGTTTTACTTGGTATCTACAGATCACCTGCCATTGACAAGTGCATATAAGCAATGACTATGCCGCAAGTAGAGACGAAACAAAAGTGACATTACACGACAAGCCAACAATAATAAGCAGAGGATTGTGGGCATGAACCGCAGAGGAAATAGAAACATCATGGTGAAAGGCAATGACAGCTAATGGGCAATGCCGAGCAGAGAATATTCAATTTGGTCACGACGCGGCCCATATTTTGACTAAACCATCAGCACCTGCACTGGCCATGAACGGCAGGCTCGCATGGAACGCTATCCAAGACGCCTTCGTCTCCCTTTTGACGATGCTTTGTGTCTTCCTGTATGCATTGTTTCTGACCGAGTAAGTCCCAGAAGCGAACAGAATTGTCGTGGGAGCCAGAGGCGAGAACATGGCCAGACGGGTCCAAGGTCAAGGATGTGACAGCGTCCAAGTGCGTGAGCATTGACGTCGTACAGCTGAATGTCGTCAAGTCGAACACTCGAATGTTTCTATCCTCGTATCCAACGACGAGCAGAGGGAGAGCCGGATGGGATACAACAGCGTTGACCACCGACACTTCTAAAAAGAGGTCAGAAACAGAGCATTTCAAGATGGCCCAGATGCTCACCTTTGGTCTCGCTCTCGAGCGCCGCAACCTCCTTTCCAGTCTCCACCTCGAAAATCTTGACAATCCCGTTTCGATACGCAACGGCAACCCATTTGAGATTGGTCTTGATGGCTTCTACCGCTGTCGCACCAATGACATCCGTCTCTGCCGATCCAGAGGCGACATCAACGCCAACGCCGCCGTATCCCCAGCTCAGACGCAACGAGCCTGGGCGGCTTGTGCCGACATCCCAGACTTTGACCATTCCGTCTGCACCGCAGCTGACCAGGATGCTGCCTTCGCGCAAAAGTGCAATTCCCCAAACGGCATCGGTATGGCCCACGAGCTCCCCTTGCGATGTCGCCGCCTCGTATGGGGAATACGTTGTATGCTGTGGAGGCGGTATCGCCCAAACTCTGATAGTCGAGTCGAGAGACGCAGAGTAGACGATACCATGATGCGGAGCGACAGCAAGGCTGGTGATAGATGCAGAGTGACCGCGTAGTGTGACCTGGGGCTCGAGTTCGACGGTCCGACCAGCGCTTGCTGACGCCAGCTGAGCGGCATCCATTCGCCATATCTTGACAGTCAAATCATCACCTCCAGTCGCGAGGATCATCTCCTTTGGATGGAAGGCAAGCGCTCGTACAGCGTCGAGATGGCTAGATACTGTCAGAGAAAAGTCTGACCATTCGGGCTCGAAACGCTTACTTTCTCAACGTCTTTCGCACCCTAAACTTTTTGCCATTATCTTCCGCCAAAGAGGCTGCATCCTCCTCGTCTTCATCTTCAATGGAAGCGCCGGGGATGCCAGAGCCATCGTCCGGGCCCAAACCAAGGTCCCATCCGGATGTACCGAGGCTGTGACCTCCCATTGCAGACATTGTACTAGTGACTCCGCCGAGATAACCACCACCACCCATCTGGTTCTGGCGCATTGCGGCCTCTTCCTTTGCCTGTCTCAGCTTTTCACGCCACGCACCCGTATCATCGGGACGGAATATAGCTGTCAGCTGCGTAGGCTCTTCATCTTGCTGCGAGCCTTCTCGTGGTGCCGTATTTGTGACGATTTGCGTGACTGCGTCACCAGGACGCGTCTCGGTGGGACCCATCATCGTTCCAGTGACCGTAGACCCGCTTTGAAGCGTTGTTATTCCAGAAGAAAAGAGGTTGGGTTTGTCGTTGGCCCCCATGGCTGGCATCCCACCGTTGACGAGAGGGAAGTCCTTATTCATAGGCTCTGGGAATCCTTTCTTTTGGCGTCCATTCATCCCATTATCACCACCAAAGTTGGGAAGGATTGGAATAGCAGGGCCGGTCTGCATAGGGGCACCAGCGGTAGCGCCGCCTTGCATAGGGGCGCCAGCAGCAGGATTCGGGTTATTGTTCACGTTGTTGAGGAGTGGCCGGTTCGGAAGGGGGTTCATGGCTTGTGGCGAGGTAAGATACGAGACTTCGAGCAGGCATTGCTTGAGATAGTCTCTGGCCCGGGCACGTGAACGAGCATCCCTACCCGGAGGTGGCTTCCCAAGCGCAATATTATTTGACGCAGCATTGACGTTTGCTGCCCAGTCTTTTGATCCCTGGTTTGCGGGTTTCGGCGCAGCGGCGTTGGTATTTGGGTTAGAACCTATCGAGAGACGGGCGTCATTGGGAAGAGCGACATCTGCACGGCAAAAGTGTGTGAGTGCCTAAAACTCGGGGGTATGGAGAATGAATTCACCTTCGCTGTGGGGAGAGTTTGAGCCGCTGCCTTCCTTGAGATGTGCAACAGCATCATGCTGAGGCTCATCCTTGACGGACGGAGGCTTTCCTGATGGTGCAGAGGCTCCTCCTTGCTGCAGTTGTTTCGACCTGGCGTCCGAGGAGAGTGAGAACAGAATTTGGAGAACTGCAGCCGTTTAGAGGGACAGGACGGACCGTTCGACTCGTAGGGCGTATTCCATCATCTTTACGCGTCTAAGAAGGTCTATTTTAATGTTTTCAAATGACCGTCGCTCGCCCTCGAGGAGCGCAATGCGGGCCTGGCGTCGCAAAGGTCAGATTTGGGCGTATATCAACGAGAATGCGCGCAGAGGACGAGAAAGACTGGTTACATACACGCATCTCTGCTCGCTCAATCTCCCACTCGTTGCGTTCGCGCTCATATCGCCGCCATTCCGTCTGGAGAAAGTGGAGAACGCCCGCAAGCGAAAGCTCGTTTGGGTTTGGAATCTGCTGCTGGGGCGGAGGAGGTGGAATCTGTGGCTGAGCATTGCCCAGCGGCATCTGCTGCTGGAGCGGGAGCATCGTGGTCGACGTCAGGTCAGAGTTTACAGTTTACCGCTGGCGACAAGGAGACATTAAACGGAGAGCGCTGATATAACAATATTTGATCATTTTTATCAGCTGAACAAGTAACAAACGCTTGCAAGTCGTCGAGCGAAAACTTTGAAACTCGACCACGACACCTGGCTCGCGATGAATCTCTCGCTGTACTCTATCGCTGCATTTATCGTCATGGACACGGATGGACACCGTGTAATGGCAAAGTATTATCGTCCAAAGCATAATCCCCTGCTGCAGCCACTCCCAGACACCAAGCAGCTCACGACGCTCAAGGAGCAAAAGGCATTCGAAAAGGGTCTCTGGGAAAAGACCAAGAAACCAGGAGGTCAGTGCTCCATTTGCCCCCACGTACACATTCTGAACCTCTGAGCAGGCGATGTAATCATCTACGACTCGTATCTCGCTCTCTACAAGCACTCGTTGGATCTAATATTTTACCTGATCGGACCCCAGAGCGAAAACGAGCTCATGCTTAGCGCCGCACTCAATGCCTATCTCGACGCGATTTCGATGCTGCTGAGGAACCAAGTAGAGAAACGATCGGTGCTGGAAAATCTGGATATTGTCGTTCTCTGCTTGGATGAGACAATTGATGATGGGTACGTGCCACCTCTGTCTAGCATACGGGGTCTAATTGCTTGTCAGTATAATACTTGAAACTGATTCAAGCGCAATCGCCTCCAGAGTCAGCAGGCCACGAGTGGAGACGTCGGAGATGATGCTCAATGAGCAGAGCATCATGAACGCGTATCAAACGGTCAAAGAAAGGATGCAAAGAGGCTTTGGTCCTTTCTAGGAGAGCTGGCTGCCAACCGTGTTTGTAGCGCAATTAGGGTAATATTATGAAATTCACGTCCAAGTACGATAGATGTATACGCACTATCGTATTCAAAGATCCGTGTGGCCATGCTTGTGCAACCTGGACTCCGACCCTAGCACGCGCATCTCTACAATCTCCATGAGCGATCTTAGAGTGTCACAGAACGCTTTCAAACTCGAGTGATTGCCGCCTTCAATTCGTTTTAGTTTTGGTTGCGGCATCGTGCTCATGTAGAACTGGTTTCCAAGTGCCAGCGTCATGACTTGCCCAAGAGATTACAAATATCAAGGTTTGTCGAGTCATTCACCTTGTGATTACAGCTCTGACTTGGTTGATGAGCGTGCGCAGACGTGATAACCACCCCGCTATACCAGGTACCTTGCCTACATTCAAGTTACACATAAAATGCATCAGCGGTTCTTTACCACGAAGAATGACGACACAGGGCTGTCCTGCTCGCCTGATTCCACATTTGCGGGGAGGGTCTTCTCTTTGGGGATGCCACCATTTGAACGTCTTGCAGATCCTGATATCATACAAAATTCTTTTTCGACATCTATTCATGGGTTAAGATGCCGCCTCCAAGCCTCTCACCAGCCAGGTCCTCCGCCGCTTCCAAAGGGGTCTTTGACGTCAGGTTTGTCGGAGTTTGAAGAGTATAACGTGTTGAAAACGTCTATGTGACGTTTAAAGTTCACAACTGGCTCTTCATTTCGGGTGGATACCCATTTCAGTCATGGCGAATTTGGTGCAAGCATTTCAGACGCGACCGAGGACGAATCAAAACCAAAATTTTGTTGTCGGGGTCAGACCGACAATAACCGACGGCAGCAGTCTGTTATCTCTCGTCCGCCGCCCCTTGGCCACACAAAGTACGCGAAAGGTGGCTGCGAGTGTCGTAAAGGTTTGGCGCGCGTCATTCCACCAAGACCGTGAGCCATGTGTCGTGTATTTGGATCCACTGGGAACCTGTCCCCGTCCTCTAGTTTTCCTGTGTGCGGGCGGGGGGATGTACTAACCTCGTCGATTGGTCGGAAGTTTTCTCCGCTCCAATGCTTATCCAATCCCAAGTAAATTCCCGTAGGGACAGGGACCCTGTACAGCCAACATCAATCATTTGCGGGGATTGGAAGACGTCTAGTGGATCTCTGCTGTGCGCAACCTCTTTCACGAGAATTGGTTATTAAGAAGCCATGATCAATTGATACGCGGCTTCACGCAACGTGTGCATCGTATACCGTGGCTTGGGAGGTCCTGGACAGATTTGGGGGCGGCCATTTGATGCTGTCTTTATCGGTGAGCTCGATCTCGATGCAGACGACCATACGAGGGCAACTAAGAGCCCCACCGTTCCACGATAATGCCCACTCTTGGGGCGGGAGTGCCCAAGAAGAACCGCCGCGCCAGTAGGGAGGTGCGAGAATGCGCCTGGACCCACTCTCGAGACTGCCGCGCTCGGCGACGAGGACAATGAGCACGAAAACGGCAGTGGCATCTCCAATGACCCGTGCGTGAGTTGCTGTCCGCCACTCACGATCAAAGCCGGCAATGGCCGTGACAGATGGGGGGAATGGCTTCGCGACGCATCAGGGGGCTTTACTAAAACTTCTAACGAGTATTTATTTCTACAAAATGTCATGGCTTTTGACTCTTGGGAACCTTTCGTGAGAAGACCCACTGCCCATCAAACTTGGACCGCCCCTCTACCGACCGCGCATGCCATACCTCTCGCCATCGTCGTCTATGGCGTCGACAACGGAAACAATTGAAAAGGAAGATGCTCCCCGTATCTCCCACCGTAGAACACGCTCAGCAGCCGCCACCTTTTCTACCGAGGCATCTGGACCAGGCGCGTTTACGCCATTGACCGGCCTCCCGCGACGACAACGACAGTTTGAGAAGCGAACACTGTTCCAAATCGCTCCAGACGACGACGATGAGCTCGAGACGGCGCCCCCACTGCCCACACCGCAACCCCCAACTCCCCCAGCTCAGCTAGACAAATCTCGCGCGCCCCAGATAACGCTTGCAGAGACACCCGCAACGCCCCCCGTGTCTGATATTCCATTTCCAACTAGTGTGCGTATTTTTCATCTCATGCTGCAGGCGTGCGATGGGCTTTGAAGTTGGCCATATTGTCACGCCATGCCAGCGACGGACAAGAGTGAGACGCTAAAAAGATGCCGCTGTGGGCATTCTCTATCGGAGATATAGTTCACACACGCTCAGAACTCCGCGGTCGACGTCGGGCCACTGGCTCCAACGAACACGGCAGCTCATCTCAGCTGCGCCGACGTCGTCGACAGCCCGCCCAGTCCCGCCGCTCGGCTCACGTCGCCTCTTTGAACCCGATCACTGACTGTGTTGCATTATTTTTTCTTTGCAGTCCACATCTGAGGCCCCGATTCCATTTCCCAGCTTGTGAGTTGATCAGTGCCCTCTTCTTGATTCCTTCGGTTCTGACCCGACAATCAAATCTCAGTGACCGACACGATATTCCGGCTTCTAGATCTTCATCCATCTCGCGCACCGGCTCAACTCCCATCGTCCTGGCCAACGGCAAGCCGCTGAAGCCATCGCTCAAATCGTCGCTGTCATCCCCCCATATTGGTGATTGGCGCTCACAGCACCCACGTTCCAAATCGGAACCTCCGACCCCATCGGGAACAAAGAGCGTTCATTTCCCAGAACGAAAGGATAATTTAGAAAGCGTAGTCGTGTTTGAAAAGACTGCACGGCCACGCGCTGTGAGCGGCAATGCCGATGATACGGAGACAGAGACCGAGGGATACGATTCGCCGGCGAACGCTGCGGTGCTTTCCGGTGGCAGCTATTTTCCTCCCGTCGACCCCAATCAGCTTGGAATCGAGATTGACGGCTCGTTGTCGTCCCCCGTTCCCACCAAGGAGCCATCTGCATTCGCAAACGTCCACGTCGAGACCCTCGTGTTTCCCCGCACACGACCGCCAACGCTTCGAGGCTCGATACTTGTCAAGAATGTCGCATTTGAAAAGTCGGTGGCACTGCGTTTCACTCTCGACAACTGGCAGACGACGAGCGAGGTTGTGTGCAAATATGTGTGCTCCCTCCCGTCTCTTCCTTCCCCCTTCCCTCCTGATCGTGCCTCGCCTGGCGTGCCAACGCTTACTTGGGACCGTTTTTCGTTTTTGGTAAGATTGGAGGACGTGGAGAGAAAATTGGCCGAGCGGACCATCTTTTTCGCCGCACGCTACCAAGCCTCTGGTGTTGGTGAATGGTGGGACAACAATAATGGTGCCAACTACAAGCTCGTCTTCAAAAAGATTGCATCTGGTAACAAGCCAACCCCGTCGCAATCCAAGCCTAGCCCCTTGAGGTACAATATGGGCGATGGCCCAAAGAGGATGTTCCCAGATCTCGATTTGCGTCCGTCGACAATGTCTGTGGCATCCGACGAGGTCATTCCGCCTCTCAGGCTCAAGAAACCGTTCCATGGGGCGAGTGCGTCCCTCTCGTCGAAAGGATCCGTCTCGTCCCCAATCATCACCAACGTGAACGCTGTCACTTCGCCACCGCCGGGTCCCCAAACGTCGCAGATGGGAGCCCACAATCGATCCGCGTCCACGTCTTCCATCACGTCTAGCGGAAGCTCTGGTAGCTTGCGCTTGTCCAACTATGCATCGCCTACATCCCCTGTGATCCCGGTCAGTGGTCCGACGAAACGAGAACCGATCAACGTTGGACCAATCGTTGGTGGACAACCCATCACGTCTCCCCCACCCTCCGCGACTGCCGAACCGACGACGAATGGTCTAGGTGTGCCCACGCCCAATGGACCATCATTGTTGCAGAGAAGGTCACCGACCAACAGCCTCGCTTCGACCTTGACGACCCCAGTCTCTGCTGGTGGGCCCATTACGCCCGCAACGCCAAACGGAACCGCCCTACTTCCTCAAACTCAGGGCGGCGATAAGACCCCTTCGGCTACGAATGACAAGACGCCGTCCACGACGTCTTATGGGGGCAATCGGATGTCGTACCCGTTTAATACAGACAGTTCGTACGCTGCGCTGGTGGAAAAATGGTGTTTCCACCAGTCACCGCCACCGCCGGCTCATCTTGGCGGCTCCACGCTTGACGGGAGTCCATCCTCCGAAGTCTCGACTCCCGGATTAGGATCCGAGCTTCCGGTTCACACTACGACCAAAGCATTCCAGTCGACGGCGTCCGGCTATGGATCCGGCTATGGCTATGGACACCATCAGGTCCTTGGCAAGCCTTTGACGCTCAAACCCTGAATCTAGACGAATTTATAGGATGACCGTGATGACCGGAAACGATACCAATACACCCCTCTCTCTCGGTTCCTGGGAGCCAATGTTCGAAAGGCCGTCAATATAGATTATAGACGAAGGCAAACTTCAAAACAAGACAAAAAAGAAAGATAGGGCCTCTGAGGTCTCGTTCGGGGGGGACGATGACACCAGGTGTGCTCTCTGGTCGTGGACAATCTGACGCTTGTATAAAGATGTCCGATAGATGTTATGCGCTGTGTTCTGCCACAATTCCCCATCTCATTTTCCTTGCTCTATCCGATTACATCACAGGTATCTTGCTGTACTACCCATGGAACTGTTTTGAACAATCCTGTTCTTCGTATCGCTCCTTGCTGGAAAGTAAGAAGGATAGCTCGATTGAGGCGGCAGCTCTGGCGCTATGCTGTGAATTGTTCCTGCATTATAATGATGCGCCATGCGTCGTCCTCGAGCACGTGGAGGGCCCTCTCTTTTCGCTCGAGGGGCACCAAAACATAGTCGGTATTCCTGAAAAGGTGGTCAACAAAAGGATAGCCGGTGATCAGGATCAGTCTCTGAGATAACGATGACATTAGTGAGCGTACTAGAACTTACCATGTGGAAAGGGTAAAGATTGGGATGCCAGCGGCTTTCAGGGGCTCGAGGAGAGTGTACAGAATACCAGTCAGTGCTAATGAACAGCGGTAGATCAGTGAAATAGTTTCAAAGTCCGACTGTATATCCACGTACAAAGATCCATGGGTCCACGGATACGGAGCGCAGCGTACTCTACTACGCTATCTGAGTCAAGCTGAAGATTCTCTGGGGGCTTTGTGTCTGTTACGAGCGATATCTCGCTGCTTGTCCAGATGATTGACCGGAATCGTGCCTGTGGCGGAGTGCGCTGGTCAGTGGCGGATGCATCGTCAGAGATGAGAGAAGAAAGAAAAGAAGAGGTAGATGCAGAGGGAGCGAGCTTGTACAAGTAGAGTGCGTCTGGATGTACGAGTAGATCGAACGTAGACGAAGAATCTGGTGGAGGCATCGTGTATAACTGGGATATCTTGTCTTTTTTGACCCGTATTGACTCTGCTGACAAAAATTAGAGCAATGTAATCGTATCTGTGCTCAAGAAAGCTGGGTGGCAGACACGGAGCGGCTCCAAAAACTAAGCGAGCCCACCCGGGGTCGAACCGAGGACCTTTGGTTTTCAAATAAGTCGAAGACCAACGCGGTAACCACTCCGCCATGAGCCCATACTACTCCGTCAACTAGTTATATTTTATATAATCATAAGAAAAAGCCAAAGTTAAAAATACATCAGATTCAACATATTTACCTGTACATTCTATCCAACTTTAGTACATTCCAGATTTGCAAGCAGATCAGAGACCCCCAGTCCCACCGGCGTTCGAAATGCCTAGACCCGACTGCGTCGATGGCAAAGCCCATCCGAGGTTTACATGCTGCTTTAAATGCATCTGGAAGATACAAGTTTCGAAGTCCAGACTTTGAAGTTGATCATCTCATCATTGGAGGAGGTTTGTCGCTATATTACAGTCAACTGAACACTCATTGATAAGCGTAATTAGGTGTCGTTGGCCTCGCTATTGCAAGAGAGTTGTCACTAAAGAGACCCCACAAGTCTACCTATCTCGTTGAGCGGCATACACGGACAGGCGAAGAAACAAGGTGATCCGACGTCGAACGTAACCTGTCTGGACACTCACCAAACGCATTAGTTCGAGAAATTCAGAGGTTATCCATGGAGGTACGAGCTGCATTTTACACCGTACTATCTTACCCATACTTGCAGGTTTCTACTACCCGGAGAATTCATATAAAACACGGCTGTGTCTGATGGGCAGAAGGCTCCTCTATGACTACTGTGACTCTCATGCAGTTCCTTACAAGAAGACAGGGAAACTAGTCGTCGGCCACGAACACCAACGAAACTATCTGGAGAACCTGTACCAAAAGACGCAGTCTCTTCGATGGCCTGCTGTTCTGGAGAAGGACACGGATCTTCCTCAAGGAAATAATCTCGCAGTTCCAGCTCGCTTGTTAACTGGGAACGAAGCTCGGGGGTTGGAGCCTGACCTCTCTCGAGACATCGCCTGCGCACTACTCAGCACAGAAACCGGCATCATCGACGTACATACCTACATGGAGGCGTTAGAGAAGGATATCAGCGAAAGCGAAGCCGGATCTGTTGTGTGCTCGACCAACGTCGTCAGAGTCGACCCTACCAAAGACGGTTGGGTGGTTCAGATGAGCACAAGTCCAGAAGACTCAGAAGGAGGCGGCCAGACGGACTCTGTACTAGCCAAGACCCTCATCAATTCGTCTGGCCTTTCTGCGCCGTTCATTCTCAATGCTCTCGGGCGAGGCGCGGACCCTCCGCTTGCGGATATCCCCATTTACTACGCACGTGGGTCGTATGCCTCTTACCGTGGACCAGGCGTTACCAATGTCAAGCATCTCATCTATCCCGTGCCAAACATAGGCGTTAACAAGCACGGCTTTGCTGGCTTGGGTACCCATTTGACACTCGATTTAGGGGGTAATATCAAATTTGGTCCAGACATAGAATGGATTGAGCCACCCAAGTCTACCTCAGACGAGGAGGCGATCGACTTTTGGATAGATCATCTCGTCGCGTCAGACGACACATCTTCTATGTTTCAATCGGTACGCTCGTACCTGCCAGGTATCGAAAAGAGCGTCTAAGGCCAGATTATGTCGGTATAAGGCCTAAATTGATTCCACCAGGCGCTGGTTTCCAAGACTTTGTCTTCCGCAAGACAAATCTGGCGCATTCATAGGTGGAAAGATGCGCAAAGAAGAGGGTGGGGTCATGATCTCGTTGTTAGGCATCGAAAGCCCTGGTCTTACCAGCTCACTAGCCATTGCACAGATGATAGAACAAGAACTCCCTAATACAGACACCGAGTAGAGGAGTGTTAACATGTATACCTATATAGGGACTTCCTTTGACCATTGTATCAAGTCGTAGGTCGTTGGTATTGCAACGTCCAGTGTGAGAGATGAGTTGTTGAGGTCTGGTGCTGTGGTAGACTGATTGAGCTCAACGACCATGCTTTTGTCCACAGGGCTTGGTGACTGTTAACGTGAGCTGAGGTCTTCCACAGAACCTCCATATACTCACTCGGTTGGCTAGACTATTCTGCCTCAGCTCCGTCAGCACCTTTTCAAGCTCGTCACATTTGCTAAGACACCACGGTCAGTTAGTTCAAATGCCAGCGTACGAGCTTCTACCTATGAATTGCCTTTGTCTCCTCTCTCCGTACGTCAATCTGTCGCTGCATCATTGATTCAAGCGCCATACGAGCTTGCACAGGTCGGTATTCGTTGACCGCCCAACCGAGGTTGAGGACGATATCTCGCATCCAGTGGATAGTCGCTTCCCAGTTCAAAGGAGGTGGCCATGTCGCTTCACCACTTTCCAGCAACGGGATTATCTCCGGTGGGGGATGGCCATGATAACCGGATGGGACAGGTTCAAGAACGTCTGAGAGAAGCTTGTGGTACGATGCAAGGAGCGAAACGAGCAATTGTCGTAGATGTGGCCTTGGGTCTGCCCCAGGTTCAGGGTCATAGAGACGTTTTACTCCCGCAGGAAAGACTTGGGTGGTTTCCCGTGTCTAAAATAGAATTGAGATTAACAGAGACACTATAAAGAGACATGGCTTACGGAATGATATTCTCCAAAGGTTGAATACTCATCCTCTTCCAGAATCCAGTCAAGCCGTGGCGGTTCAAGTTCGAGTAATGGAAATGAAGGAAGGAGCGGTTCATACGGGAGAAGCTCTGATTGATCAATCGGCTCTTCCAAATGCTCTATACTTGCTGGATCGCTTGAACCATTTCGCTCTGCAATCTTGTCTTTAAGGGCTGCTAATAGTCTCAAATTCTCTGGTGTATATCGATTCCAATATACTGGTGGGGTAGGAAATGGATTTTTGACTTCTTGCTGTTCCGCTGCAAGAGCTTCTGAATCGTCCATACTAAGAGGATGGATCAGTCGTTTATTGAATTGGGTAATACAGAATACATTATACTTGGGTCAGTTTCTCTGTCGTTTTCGGTCGTTTAGAGCGTAGGTCACTGGTTTTGCTAGGCAAGGTCGGGAGAAGATCACCTCACGTCCGAGTTTATCTCAATATAAGTGGATGAGTATTTAATTTATCATAACGGATTTCACTTTCCATTGATTACCTGAGGTGTCGACTCTGCTTCATACCACCGCTCCCAATCGCCCAGCGCCATTTCAAGCTCGTGAGTGATTGGCGCATTCTCCTTTTTAGCGAAAACTCCTTGCTGCAGCCCACGTAGTAGAAAAGGAATCATCACCTTGGTGTACGCTTTGCCCACAGTCAATATGATGGCCCTTTCTTGTCCCATCCTCTCCTCGCTAGTAAAGCCCTGTCGCGGTGTCGGGGAGAAAGGTCGAGGTGTGGTCGGTGTATTGCTTCTTTGTAGACCTGGTGACATTGGTCGACCTTGGGAGTCACTGGTAAATGTCCTCCTCGGTTGCGATCCGACAAGTTCTGAGTTCCGTCGCTCGAGTGACATCGAAGCACGAGAGCGCTCAAAGCTGACTTTGGATGTTGGTGAGGATGGCGAGCCTAGGCTCCGAGCATACCTCAGAATGGTCCTGAGACCCATTGCGAGGGACTCGCAGAGCAGATTGTGGATTGGGTGACAGAGTGAGAGGATGGGGAGGAGGCGGAGAGAGTTGAACGTGGTCAAATGGACATTGAGCAGGCTCGCAAGGACTGGCGAAAACGTGAGGACTTGAGGCGCTATGAAGGGAGGGTCTGTCTTGGTCTGAGAATCAGGGATCTCGGGCAAGGATATCGAATTGGGTGAAGAATTTGCCACTTGCAATATCAGCCATTCCGAAGGTAGTGATCTCGCCTCCTCGTAATCCAGAAATGCCGATGAAAGCTCTGTGTTCGCCGTCGTGATGGCATCCTTCACAATCCCCGTAATGGCAATTTCAAAGGGAGTGATGAGGAGTGGACGAAAGTCTAGTCCGATGCGCGCAAACGATGAACCGCAAAAGTTGAGTTGGGTAAGTAGAGATGATAGGGAATTAAAGTCGTGAAGAGATGGTAGATGAGTGGAGAGTGTCTGGATGAGTTTTGTAATCTGGAGATCAGCAAATGTCGAAAGAAGCGACCTCAAACGTCCACTCTCAACGGGGCTTGCTTGCGGGGATGCAGCGACTGGGTCCAAGAATACGGTGACATAGCCTGTGACGGTGTCGTATACCCCTTCACGGAAGATATCGACGTATCCCTTGAGATATTTAGCTACGTCCTGGTCCGAAATCCGTCCGGATCCACTCGGTGCAACACCATTAGCCAAAATCTCCTCATTGCTAGCATGAAGTGTATCTATTAGCACCCCACGGCAGCAAAGGAAAAGGATTGCCAGCTTTTCTTCATCCCACTCTGTCATTCTTCGGAGGAAGCCCATAGCCCTGTAGAGAGCTGGAGGCTTGACTCGATCTTTTAGCGTGTTGATGAGGCCGCTCAGCATGAGCTTCACGCTGCCTTCAACTTCCCTTTCGAGGCTGCGTACGATCCTCAGCTTCTCCGAGTCTCCGTCGGACTGACGAAGTTGCTCAGACAGCAGCTGCACATGATCTGAAAGCTCTATTGCCTCCTGATATAGTCCGTTTCGCGCGCAGCTATCGATGAGCGCGGGTATGTCGAGGAGATCAGTGAGTTTCTCCCGTTGCTCGAGAAGGAGGGTAGCTTTCCGTCGTTCTTCGAGAATGGGTCGCGTTTCTTCACTGAATCGCAGAGTGGCAGCATTTAAACTCGGAATGGTCGAAAGGAGAGAATCAAGGGATGTCGATAAAGACTGGAACGATGTCGATAATGTGGTGGATGTGCTATGTAGCAAGAGGAAAGTCGAGTGAGATGAGTGGCATAGACTTGTCAGCTCTGAGGTGAGCAGTGAGGTCTCGGAAGACAACACTGAGGGGTATTCGAGAAGCTCGGACAGTGAATTGAAAGGTTTGATCAGAGACAAGGTTGATGAGTAGTCAACTTGAGACTCTTGTAGAGGATTCTTTGTGCTGTTCATGGTCGAGAATCTGGATTAGTTGTCAGCCCACAACTCTTTTGAAGCGGCGTAGGCGCACCAAGGTGTTATCCTAAAGTTTACTTAGTGTCTATCTAAGATCTACAGGGCTTCCAAAGCCCCTAGCAATAGCTCCAAGTACCCGTACGCGGCTACTTTGTTATATCAAAGAAGGGATCTACCCCTCAAAATACTCTCCTCAAGTTTTTCTATCTGATCCGTTTTATTGAATGCGACGATAGAAATGGCGGGAGTCAGGTTGAACGAACGTCGAATTAATGGCACCAACATCTGTGTACAAATGTCTATGTCTACTTGAAGGAGCTACTTGAAATACACTCTATTGTTTGCATCTTTGCCCATTCACAGACTTTGTCCTCGGGGTCGAACCCTGAATAGGCCACTAACCTTGCGGTTAGACGTTCCCAACACTCTTGTGCATCAGAAACACCAGATTTGCATCCCATGAGTGCGAGCCATAGCCGCTTTTGTATCTCGACCCAAGTATCTCTTTGTGGGTCGGGACTCGAGGTCCACGGCATGGCAATGTGCACCGATTGTTCAACAGTGACAAGTATACCAAAGCACAGACCAACAGCCATGGATATGGAAAACCCCTCCCTTGCTATGTCGGCGAGGCGTTGAATGGTGCGAGACGCTAAAGAAAGTGCCTCTAGGGAGCCACTAACATCGTCTGTTCCGGCATGATGCAAGTGAAGGAGCTCAATAATGCATTGTAGAACATCTTGACACCATTTTCCTTCTGTAGCCTTGTTTGCCTTGGCTTGATCCAGGTTTACCACGATATTTTCGATGATTTGATGCCAGATAGTTGCGAATTTATTGTCGGGACGAATTGTCGTATCGCCGAGTTGTATGATGATCCATGGGAGGAGATGATGACGCGTGACGAGTGTAGTGCAAGCGTGCTGATTCTTCGTCATCTTGGAGAGAATCTGGACAACTCTTCAGAGGAGATTCTGGTGGCAATCAATAGACGTACCTTGAGAACCGCTACACGATATGCCCTATCATGTCCATACATCTGGAAATTTGTAGCCAGCAAATCCCACGTATGCCTACGCTGGAGGACTTTCCAGTCGCCTGAAGACACCATTCCATCCGAAAGGAATCGTAACATCCAGTTGCGCTCGCGTTTCCATCTCCCCTCTTTTCTCCCGAGATCGCTTGACAGCGTGCTATATAGCATGGAATAAAGCATCGGGGGATCATTTGGGTCAAATTCCGGACGTTGGAGAACGAAACGAGATATCAAGGGATAAAGTGAAGACGACGGAGCGAAGAGGGACCTGAAAGCGTGTGCAAAGAACAAAGTGGTATAGCTAGGGAGTCGATGGTACGGTGCTGCAGACGTCGAGTCTTGGCTCGATGTCTTGACATAGAGTCGCGCTACCTTTTCTAGGAGATAGACCAACTGTTTCTTCTCAAAAAAGTCTGGTGCGTGCTGTTCGTAGAGAGTCAGTACGCACACATGCAACAATACCCACTGACCTCGAGTTTGTCATACATTCCACCAAATACAGTCCAGCCCAGATTTCGAAGTTGATCGTCACGTGCGGACAATGAACATATAAGGACTGCGAGAATGTTTGTACGACAAATTTGAACCCACGAGATACCGGTGAGCTGGTCGTTGCTTCCTTCGCGAGCCAGTAGCTGCGCTAGTAGTAAGATAATGAAGAGAGGATCATATCCCGCACTACGCTCCACTGTCGAGAGCTTCGACGATAGAGCGCCGGTTGAACGCCATTGAGGAAAGCTTAGGCAAACACCGAACATCCTATCTGGATCCAATTGGGAGATCGATGTGAGGAGATCTGGTGAGGCGGTTGAAGCTGTCGGACTCCACGATGAAAGGAGTGTTGCAACCGATATCCGTCTTTCTAGCTCGAAAAGTCGGAATATGTCCAGGATACGAAGGTCTGCATCCTCAAGCGAACCCCTGTAGATATTGATCAAGGGAGACACCTGGCTTGGTTGACATGTATTTTGTGGATGGAGGAGAAACAGTGAGTGAATCGCGGCGACCAGCTCATCACGAGAAGACGATAGAGCAGCCCACTCGAACTGAGGGTGATGTAGGAGTGCCTGGATCAACCTGTTTACAGTGGCTGGCTGCCTTGCGATCAGAATAAACCTTTCCCCTCGTCTGAAAACGAACCTTTGGCCTTGAATTTGTTAAAATTGTCCGGAATGTCGTCATTACATCTCCATGAGCGATATGGTCCTGCACGCTGACAGTAAAAAATGCGTCAAATGTTGCTGCAGCCAAAGGGCTTTCTGAGTGACTGGATAACTGAGCTAGGAACACATTAGTTGGGGGTTAGAGGAATATACGACGGCACACCGATAGCACGCATCAACATTTGACGCTCCTCTTCATTCATCCCCTTCCCTGCAAGCATGCCAACCAGAGGTTTGACTGTCGGGGAGATGAGATCACCAGCTGTTTCCGAAGAGATGAGGCCGGCTTCGGACAGATAGCCTAGGAATGGTAAGCATTGAAGCGACGGTGCGGATGTGTAGGTGAGACAGAGATTCTTCTCCAGCATCTTCTTCTCCCCTGAACCCATCATTTGTTTGAACGCGGCTTCGTACAACCGTCGTTCCGGTAAGCCCTTCTGCATAAGTCCATCGAGCACCAGCCTGGTATAGGTATGAACAAGACCAGGAATGTAATCCGAAGCTGGTGGAGCTGCTTCAAGCACCGCCAGGAGAGCCGGTAGAGCAAAGCTATTTGGTGTAGTGAGCAGGCGATTGGCGAGGAGGGCCCGAAGATTGTGGGACTTATAAACCAAGGGTACAAGAATTTCAACTAGATTGCCATCCAGATGATTCAAATCGGAAAAGTCGATTGGAGACGACTGTCTGCTTGTTTCCCAGACCTGTTCGACGGTTTTTGTCCAGTCGCACGCAATCCCTCGGAAAGCTTGCTGTTGAGTGATACCGCTTGGAATGAGCAGTTTTATTTGAGTCTGGAGGAATTCATGGACTGGCGGGGTGTCGTGCACCTTTTGGAGGAGCTTAAATATACGCGGAATCTGTGGGCGTACAAGTAGTGTGCCATCTGCGGATTCTCCTATAGCCAGGAAAGTGGCATGTAATAATGCTTCGAGCTCTGATGGAGAGTCTTCCCCACAGGAGATGGCGGATAGAGTGGCTTCCAAGACTCTGAGTTGTTCCGCTGGTGTCATAAAGCGCACCCAGGGTCTAATTCTTGTAGCCAGCTAGATAGATATAAATGAGAAAGGCGCAATCAGCCAACAGTGGCTTACTGTCGGTGTCACAGTCGCATCTTGCATACGTGAAAGCCAATTATCATAAATTCCTCGACTTAACTCGCGATCATCGGGTCGAGTCTCATCTAACAGGCTTTGAATGAAGAAGGAAATCGCTATATCAAGGTCAGAATTGTTTAGATAGATCTATGGGAACTTGCCAGAAATTAACTTTCCGTTCTCTACGCCTTGTGTGAGAAGTGATTGCATAGAATCGCTCTCCAATGCCCATTGCTGATGTGTTTTCCGGGAAAGAGGATCTTTGAGCTTCATGAGAATGTGCGACCACAGCAGAATGTGCTGCACGAGAATATCTTCATTGCCCTCGCCGGCGAGATGGTCCACCCTTCGTCTCAAGACAGCACAAGACATTTGAGTGGCGTAGCCACGACACCTTGCCCCGACGGAAGATAACAGCTCGAGCGTATCATCATGGTGCAGTTGGGCAGACGACGCATGGAAAAGAAGCCATGGGAATGCCATGACTCTAGATCATAAGTTCTTGGTCTGTAGTAGAGATAATGATGCTCACTCCTTTGTCGAAAATCCTCCGATCAATGCCACTGAAGGCGTCACACTAGGATCTAATTGAAGAAGGAGCTCGCGCATTGCCGGAGGATGCCAGTCTCGAATGAGAGAAACAGCTCTCTGAATAGAATTTGGCGAGAGATTCTGATCACTCAAACGAACCCAATCCACGAGTTCGTAGGCCATAAGGGCCCCTTTTTCGGGATCTGTCTTGCAGGTTAGTCCCGGATGGCCTGATCAAGCAGATAGAAGCCAACCAATATGTAGTGATTCTACCGCGTCTAGAAAATCTGCTACCTCAGGTCCCTCGTGTACAGTAACACCGATAGGCGGTCGCTTTGACAGCGGTAGAGTAGACCTGAGAATTCGGATTTCACGCGAAATGCCTTCGAGTAATGTCGCCGAATGAGAACTCTTGTCAGATTCTGACACAGCTCGCTCCAGTCTATTTGCGACCCTGGCCGCATACTGTTCGTCTGGTTGTTTGATACTGACACCTAGTATCACTTGTCGCAAATAGGTTACAATTGCCAAAGCAGCGGACGTCGGCGAGTCGGTGCTGCCGCTGAGAATGGAACCAAAGGTATCCAGCAGTGCTACCAGAAGCGGACTTGCAGCGTGGAAGTGTGTGTAACCTTCGAGAGCCTCCTTGTGGTTCTCATCCGAAGAGTTGGCCGCTGGATAGGCAAGCAAGTAGTACGATTGGGCCGCTTCAATATACCGCCACGGCGACTTGATGCATGTACGAATGCACTGATCCAGAACGAGGCTCATGGTGTCTCGCTCGTCAGCCAATGCTGCGCCGTCCGGGTCCTTGGCATTGACGCGCCTTGCTCCTCTTGGAAGGGCTTCCAGCCAGACATTCAATTCCTGAGGGTCATGCTCAAAGAGCGGACTCGGAGCGAGCACCGATCTGAGAAGGTCGGAGTATGTTTCTGACAGTATTGGTCCTGTTGGTAGCATGTAGAGATGAATTATTTGTCGGAGTTGAGTTTGCTGAGAGTCGCCTGCGAATGATCAGTCGAGGTTAATATATACATGAAAGGACTGACCTGTGCTTGTATGCCAAATGAACTGATCGCTAAGCTGAAGAAGTCGCAAAACATGTAGTTGGCAAACGGCGTCGAATCCTATCTCGCCTCGTGTGGCGCTTGAAAGAGCTGCTAGCGAGGCGGCAAAGCTGTTTCCGACTCCTCCGTGGAGTAGCTTGCTCACGTCGTATCTCGCTTCCAATGGAAGATCTGGTAACACCTTGTAGTATAGCCACATCAAGCGCAAGGCTGCTTCGGTGGTCATACTGCCTCTCAGCGCTTGAGACGAGGATAAAGACTCAACATTTATGCCCCACTGAGTATTCGAAGCCTTTTGTTGGGCAAAAGCGACAATTACTTCGAAGGGTGGCGTCCTCCTTCGAAAGTCTTTCTCCATCTCTTTCCTTCTCAACGCCCATTGACCAGTTATAGGATCCTCTGCTAGTACTTCCTCTGCCTTCTTGAATAGGCGTATGATCAAATCAAATTTGTTGATAGCGCGAATAAGGCATAGCGCTGTGGTATGCTGAACGAGACTGGATGTACTCTGAAGTCCCTTGGTGATGTATGTCCTTGACCAAGGCGATGGCAACACGTTGTCCATTATAGCTAATAAGGGGGGAGGAGCCGAATGATATTCTTGTGTGTTCCCAGTCGAGGACGAGAAGCTTTCGGTAGGTATCGATAGAGAGATGACGGACCCGAGCCAGCTCATGGCAATGATCCATTTCGACGATAACCTTGGTTCGAAGGAAAGACCAATAGCTGCGAAGTAACTTTGTGAAATAATTAGAACGTATTAGATAAATAGGAGAAAGCCCACCCAGCGACAAGTTCAGGGCACGCTTGGAGAATGCGAAGTGCAAGCTCTTGTTGCCTGGCATCCTCTGTGGGACGGAGGGTCTTTATGAACCGTCCCAGGATGCGATTGTAAATTTTGCTTCCCGACGACCCTTGCTGAGCGCTCGGCCGCTCAAGATCCTCTTCTGCATCCTGATCGTCACCAGTATCTCTTGGGTACCATCCATTATCCTTGAAGCAGATTCCGATACCTGGTTTGGTGCAAATAGCAAGTAGGAAGTGATGGACGACGTCAGCCGGCTTGCTTTCTGGGTCTGGAGTTTCCAAAGAAGCCCTTGCATAGAGCTTCGTCAACTAGTTTCGGGCTCAGTTAACACGTCCGTCAAAATATTGGGTGAGACACACTTGAGATAGCACTTGTTCACCAAACAACCCAATCTTCACGGTGCGCTTGATTTTATTGTCGCGCCAGATGCCTTCCCAGCTCACTTCGAGAATGGTCTTGACTAGCGGATAAGGATCTTCTGATATCCTCTTGAAAATCGCAAGGAAGATTTCACGCTGGGTTTCGAGGAACGTTGCCTTGATTGTGGGCGCGACAGATGAGCGGACGAAGCTCAGGAGGAACATGATGTAAAGTGTACGAATGTCCGGTTTGATGAAGGGGTCAACACTCAGGTCTATTTGCCCCTTTCTTCTCATATGAAACAATCGAAAGAGCGACTGGACAACCGTCAATAGCATAGACGGATGAAATAACTACCTACCTTGTTGCTCCACATGAATTGTTCATAGACCTTGAGCTTTTCCATACCTCCTCCATAATCTGAGAGGGCATTCCAGACCTTGAGCGCGACGAGGACGAGATCAGTCTGAGCGCTGTTCAGATGTGAATTCAATCTCCGGCTCGAGGTCGGAGACAAGAGTGTTTTGACGATGGGAAGTCCAAGGTTATGATACGCATATTGGGTTGAAAGGAGGTTAATCAAAGAGGCGAATACACCGAGGGCAAGGTGCTGGTGGACGATACTTTGCTGGGCGAAGTCAGTAATCTCAGAGTGGCACAAAGAGAGGGTTACCTTTGAGAGTAGTTCCCAGGCAGAGAATACCTCTGCGGCTGACGGCGACCGAGCGAGATAATCCTTTGCTACTAAAAGCCGTGTATCGTCTGAAGAAATGGCGCCCAGCTCGTGATTACGGATTGTCCATTGGTTTCTGAGTTTTATAAGATCTGTGCATCCGATTTTAGCAGGCGCGTAAACCTGCAGACAAGCTTTCCTCACTGGCCACTAGCTGTTGGACGTCTGTCACTCGCAAAGAGTTTAGAACTTGTTCTCCCGAGGTAAATACATCGTGAATTTCCTGCTGTTCGACTCTTTTTGTGACTCTGGACTGTGCGGTTGATTGTGGTCGAAGGCGAGGCATTGAATGTTTGCCGCTGAGTGTAAGCAGTTTGCCTTGGTGTTTGAATCGGGGCTCTGCAATGCAGGATAATGGTACGCGTACAGACTGCCGCACGCTCCCACAAGACGCCTGGGAATCAAGTTTATAACTTGGACCCCGCCACTCACGCTGTTGCTGCCAAGGACGCGACGTCTAGCGTCCCCAGCGGGTTTTGTGCATCTTCAAGTTCTTTTTCAGTCCAGCGGCGCGGTGCAGCTCACTCTATTTCATTTTCAATTCGTCCTCTAGCCCGTTCAGCATTCTGAGCCGCCTCCGGCTTTAGTTTCGACTCTTGCTTTGGACTTGGAACCCTTCACTTGAAATAAACCTCAAATTTTCTTCACTTTTTCCCTAGAAATCGTCTTCACCATGTCCAAGCGGCCTATGGACACCCGTTCAAGCCCGCCTCCATTGCACCAACTCCCTAAACGCAAAAAGACAAGCATATCTGCACCTTCCGGTCAAAATAGTATCTCAACGCTTCATTCGCCGACTGCCTCGCTCGATTCTACTGTTACAAGCGGCCCTCCACGCCCTCAGCTGATGCAGGCTCCCTCCAGTTCCATGTCTCAAGGAAATCCACAGAGCTCCGATGGATGGACAAAGGTTAATAAGCGCAAGGAGAAAAAGGCAAAGAAAGCAATGCATAGTGCTTCCAATAACCCACCGAGCTTTGCATTCAATGTTCAAGAGCTGGTCCGCCTACAAACTATCTCCCTCCCTGTAAGCATTATACTGGTGATAGGGGACTCTACTCAGCATTCATACAGGAGATCCGTGATCTGGCCCTTCACTTGATGGGCGACGCATCTCCACCTTCGTGGCTACGGGTCTCAAACAAAGGATCGATTCAGCGTACAGTGGTGCTCCTCGTTCCGGGTATCACTCGACAGATCTTCGTACCACATCTACAACCAAAGCCAAATACTAGCAACCCACTGCTTCACGTCCCTCCCTTCTCTCAAACGTCCGCTCCGTCCTGCAAGGTCTCCTTCTTGAGCACATTCCTTCATGCGGTTCCGACTAAAGCACCTGGCGAGGCTCAGAGGATGCATAGCGTTCTTCATGGCTTCTTTATGGGGCCTGTTAGCGGCGAGGAAAAGAAGAGGCGAATTCTAGATCGGATCAAAGGTCAGGGCTATTCATAGGCATCCAAAAAATAATTCTGAAATACTTCGTGCAGGGGAGCGTGAGGCCGCGCAGGATGTCGAGTCTTTCCTCCTTACACCCCAACAACTCTTAGAGAACGAGTATCCAGTGCCGAGTTGGATGTCCGAAGCCAGTCAGCTGGACGACACTTGGCTACAAATCCCAGAGTACACGGGAACAGGCAAAGATAGGATACTGGCACTTGACTGCGAGATGGTTAGTAAAGTTGCTAAAATTGAAATCTCTCAATTTATATTCCCTAGTGTATCACGACGGCTGGTCGAGAGCTGACGCATGTATGCATCATCGACTTCGAGACCGGAGAGAAGCTCTATGACGAGCTGGTCCTTCCGTCTGCACCAATCACCGACTATTTGACCCGTTTCTCTGGTATCACACCTTCTTCCCTAGAATCCGTCAACACTCGACTCGCAGATGTGCAGGAGCACCTCAGGTCCTTGATGTCACCGTCCACGATCCTACTTGGTCACTCTCTCGAAAGCGATCTCAAGGCAATGAAGGTGGCCCACGGGAGATGTATTGACACCAGTGTCATCTACCATCACCCACGCGGCCATCCCTTGAAGCCCGGTCTTAAATGGCTGATGAAGAAATGGGCTGGCAAGGACATTCAAAATCGTGGAGATGGGGGACACGATCCAGAGGAAGATGCTCGATCCTGCATTGAGCTCCTGAAACTCAAGCTCAAAAACGGCGCCGGATTTGGTCATTTCATGGTCGACATGGAGAATATACTGGAACGGATGGCGAGATCCAACAGCAAGAACGGAAAAATGATCCGTACTGCCGTCATTGATTATGGAAATCCATCGACCTGGCTAGGCAGTAAAGCGACCAGTACCACTGCCTGCACTAACGATGACGACGTGGTAAAAGGGATCCAGGATTCCCTTGGGACACATCAATTTATCTTTGGGCGTATGCTCGAAGTGAGCGAAGGTCTTGGATGTGAGTCGCCATACCAAACATATTTTCTGGCATTTATTTTTTGTCTACAGGGACCTCTAAGAAGACGTTGCAGATGGCTGGAACGCCTCCGATAACCTCCACAAACCTTGACCAGGTCGTCCCGCAAGAGCCTACGAAATCGGCAGACGAGCTTTACAGTGAACTCGACGGTCGGTTGACGGCGCTGTATCGCTCTTTACCGCCTGCAACAGCATTCATTCTTTTCACCGGACATGATGATCCGCGGAAAATGGCCCAGATGAATAGCAAAAAGGCTGCGTTCGAGACCGCTATCAGAGAAGGTGGGTATACTGCTAACTCTGGGGTTGTCTCATGTTATTTTTAGGCAAAACCCCCGAGCAGATACCGAAAGAAGAATGGTGGACATCGCAAGAGAGCCGAGAGCTTGAGGACGAAGTAGAACGAGTCAAGCAGGGTCTATTGTTCCTCGGAATGAAGTGATCAATTTGGTTCTCGGTTCTCGCTATTTGTGTGCCCTATTATTATGCGTAAGCTTGCCGCGTCACGCCTCTGGGTGGCATTGTATCATTTTGCTTTCGGTACGAGAACTCCTACGATGCATTTGAATCATCTGACATGCGCTTCAGTTGTCTCTACTATTGTATTGTCTGGAATTTCATTCAATACATCCTTTCTTCCCGGTTAAACATTGGCCCTATCAGAAACTACAGGAAAATTTCACCTCTGGAAGCCACTCGCACCTCACCCCGCAACTTGACAACAGCACCATCGCATACGACATCGATCTCTCCCCCGCGAGCGCTAACGGCACGGACTTTGCTCACAGGCTCCCCAGTGAGAGCGTCGACCTGTGGAGGCACCTTTGCCACCCAGGAACTTGCAGCGAAGGCGATGGCGGACCCACAAACAGGATCCTCGGTGACACCCCACGCAGGGGCGAAAACGCGGTAGTCGAACCCCAGTGCGTTTGTCGACTCATCCACAACATTGCACTGAGTCACCATGAACAACGTAAACTGCCAATTGTCGGACACCTATGATGGGAGTAGGTCACATATCGAACCAAATGCAATTGAAGGTCTTACGAAAGCTGATGATACGACATGCAACTCCTTCAATGGCACATTATTGTCAATCTCAATCAAGATATACTCAGTATAAGGGGACGCTGGTGAAACAGCGACTGAGAGCACTTTCACGGCCTCGCCCAGTGCGTTCTTGGCCAATTTCCGTGCGATTCGCATCGCTTCCTCTCCTGTGGGAACCGCAGTCCCTGCCGGTAGATGCACTTCATACTTTGGTGGCTGCGAGGGCACGCGTCTAGCCGTAAGCATGCCGGAGAGTGTGGAAAATCGTATTTCGTTGACATTGGGTGGTATCAGAGATTCATCTGAGAATACCGCGGCGCTACTGCAAAGCGTTGCATGGCCACAGAGTGCGACTTCGCCTACAGGCGTGAACCAACGGAGGCCCAACTCGACGTGTCTTCCCCATTTGGCGTGGTTTCGTGAACTTCGATGGTAGATGGTACTACGATGTAGGCTGTCTCCGAGATATTGAACTCTTTGGCAATGCCGAGCAGCGTCGAGTCTGGATACTTGTGGTCATGAGGGAGGAGAATGACTGCAGCCGGATTCCCGCCAAACGGCATATTCGTAAACGCGTCGAGAACTGTAAATCTGAGGGACATTGTTGTGGCAGAGAGCAAGAATAAAGAGTCCAGTGGTGAGTCATTTCCTGACCACATGGAGAATACACCCTTCATCAGCACGGCACTCAAGATAATATTGACTCAAGAAAGCAATCGAATGCTCAGGTGTCTCTTGACATCGATGGCATCCTTGCCCCTAATTTGATTTAGTATACAATGATCGAACCAATGGTTGAGAGAAGTATATCGCGCAGGTAGCTCGAATTCAGCAGGACTAGATTTATTGTGCCCAAACCTGTGCTGAACCCAACTTACCACGAGGTCGACAACTATATCCTCGCGCAACCATTGAGAAGTTGGCACTCCCAAGGAGGTGCACAGAAGCTCCCTCATTCTCTCGACTCGGGTTAGTATCAACGGCAGTAGAGAGTGACATCGCAATTGGGTTAATGTGATGATATCCACTCTCTGTCGCTTCAGATCTTGCGAGTGGGTAACACCCCAAGCCGAAGTGTGTCGAGTATGTTCTGGTTTTGGGTGAAAGGCCACATATATTCGACGGTGGAAATCTGTTACGCTCCACCACACTCAAAGCGAGTTAGAGAACGACCGCAAGTCTCTGTCAACTCCACTGATCAGTGCCTTGAGGTGACATCGCAAAAGCACACTAGCCGCGACTGAATTGGGATACCATAAAGAGTGGATGAATGTGAGACTGGCGAATGGACACCGCGGATCCATAAATATTCGAAACCAATATCTTATATTGTGTTCGATCACTCGAATACACTGTTTTGGTGCCAATGTAATGTTTTGTAGCCCACTGGGTGTCTTCGGATAGAATTCGTGGAGTCGGCCAAAGAGGTTGACAAGTTTGCCGATCTCACGATTCTCGCAACCACAAGCATGGTGGGCAGGCGCTCGGACCTTCGAGGGTTCTCTATGAACGTAGAATGTAGCCTTTGGTAATGATTAGAGCCCAACAACCCCAAACTCGCGAAATTGCGTTCCTTGTTGACAAAAGGTTTTTACCACTTCTGGACGGCGGGTTGAGAGTATGGCATTCACAGAGTTGCCGATAGATTGCTTGTATCCTTCGTTTATCACTCTGAGAAAATAGGACTGCCCAAATCCTGAGCTAATTGCCAGATATAGAAGGGCTGGGATTGGAAACACAGAAGAGAGCTGAGCAGCCTCGTCCGGCGATCACGCTCTGATTCAATGCATGTCACGCTCGCTGAAGTAAGCCGTTAATACACTATTTTAGCATCTTGGGGCTCTCAGGTCGCCTATCGGTAGTGAGAATGGTTTTCAAGCCCACCTTTGTCCTCAAGCGTTGGGATGGGACAGAATACTCGCCGAGGTAGTTCAATCACCATTTTTGGGCGTATAACTGAGACACCTGGCTGGTTGCGGGTCAAGTCCTCCTCTCTGGGATCGAAGTCCCTTCAAATGTGGACTGTGTGCCGAGTAAGGCCAAAAGGGTGGGATTACCCAGTCAATCAGACACCTGTCAGAGTCTAGATCATCTTGATAGTCATTCTCCACGTCCCATAGGGTCGCCGCATATAAGGTGGTGTCCAAAGTTTTGACCTCTCAGCAGTTTCGACCTGTTCTCGACGACGCCAAAACCAGTGGATAGAAACAAGAAGCTAAGTGTACAAATAAAAAGTGCAAATAACGTTGATATGCGACGAGGGACCGGCCATTCTGCGAGCTGTCGGTCAGTTCATGGCTCTCCGCGGTTGAAGGCTGGCTCACCGTCGATTACGCGCAACCTAGGCTCGTGCCCCACTATGGAAGAGGAAATCTGAGAATTTGTGGTCGTTGGTTTGGCGCCTCAAGCTCAGCGTTTGCTCTCTGCAGCCTACGCGTGACTTCAGCATTGTGGGGGCCGCCGACCGTAGCAGCGGCAGCAGACGCTTGTGCGAGCCAAAGCATGGCGTTGTTGCGGTCGCCAGCCTCCTCACAGAGCTTGTACCCATCGAAGTACAGGGTCTCCCGGAAGTGCGAGAGGCCTTCCATCCTCAGCAGCGTCAATGCGGTACAAATTTGCGCATATCGTCGCTAAAGGCGATGCATGTCAGTCTCTGTGCAAGATGATTCTATGGCGTACTCACAGAGAGAAATTCGATTTGTGTCTCTCTTGGGCTTCGTTGTGGCGGCTGCACGATCGCTTTGTACAATGCCACTCGTCGGTCATCCGAATCCCTGTTCTCAATAATGCAGGCGGGACAGTGGCATAAGAAGCCACTGGACCCCTGGAGCCTAGCACGTCGAGCATCGCGAGTAAAGAGGAGGCTCGATACATCATACGCGATGCAGAGCTCTTGAGCTCTTGAGATTGCGGAAAGGGCACAGAATCGCATCACTCCAGCCTGCGAATCCCATTTGAAAGTGACATTTGGCACACACGAGTGGTTGAAACGGGCCGCCAGGAGTAGAAGTCCGGCGAGTTTACGACCGGTCCCGTCAACGTTATCGTAGCCGCATGGGAGCGCGTTTGCACGGAAACGGCCAAGGTATTCACCATCGTTGAGATACTGATACCCAATACACAAATCCATGAATTGTTGCTGAACAGTAGGAGGTAGACGGATGAGATGGTTTCGCACCACCTCATTGGTGATTCCTTCGGGCAATCGAAAGATAGGAGTATCTTCGAGAAGTATCGTGCCCTTTGGTATATCTTGCAGTGCAACATAACCAAAACCAGCGCCGGGGATCTCACAACCTTGGAATAAGTCTGTGGCGACAATCAGTACCGAAGGCTGAGGGGATAATAGGATACTATACCAAAGCGCGGAGCAATTGGATGGTAAGGCATTTGAAGCAATAACCGTAAGGAGAATAGAAATGTCGATGTAGTGGTGGCTCACCCATCCTCTTAGCGCCTCCACTTAAGTACTTTCGGGGATTTACGCGTCAAAAAGGCTTGGATCAAACCCCTATCCCATGCACGCGACCTCTGCTACACCTCCAGTCGGCAGTATCATGGCCCAGACGTGTCGGAGCGTTATGAAGACCAAAGTGAGTTTCTCGTCTGTTCTAATCAGCATTAATCTCAATGAGATCTCGTTGGCAGAGATTTCATCGCGCGTTCGGAGCGGAGTTCGGGGTAGAAGGGGTAGCACGTCCTAGGGGATTTGCGGGCCATTCTCCTGCCCGCTTCATCGTTTCAGGTTCTATGGACAATCTTGTGACTTTGACTACGCAGGGCTGAAAGCCACTGCCCAATTGTGAGTATTTGATTTAGAAAGTGGCCGTATGCGCTCTTCGCGTGACGAATGGGTTGATGCGGATGAAAGATTTGCTCCACGCTCTAGATTGACCACAAACACGCTTCAGCAAGGCGATTTGCCTCACATCAGGACTCACGGCGCCAGCGACTAAAGGCGGCAATCTCCGGAAGCCATGAGCTGCCTATAGCCCATTCGGATACCCTTTTCAAAACCCGCGGTCTCACTTTCGATGACGTCTCGATCCCGCGTCATCGAACGCTACGGACCAGCATGGGCAAGAACGAACTGCTTACTTCTGAGTCGATCTAACGACGAGAAGAATCGTAGATGGAGATGAATGTTTCCCAAAAGGGGCATCTCGGGCCATCCTTGCTGTTTTCGGCACCTGCTGCAAGGTTTTCCAAGGAGAGGCCGTTGCTGAACGTTCTGAAAACGCCTTTCCCACATGACGAGGCTACACAGAGGCAATGCAGTTCTCGTGGCATACCGAAAAGGACATTAAAGGGCTGGTTTGTGTCGGGTGTGGTTGATGCGAGAGCCACACGTACGCCGTGAGGCGCGCTCGCGTCGTCCAAATGAGGACTCTACGAGAGAAATGGGAGTCAAACTGGACTCGGGATGCTATTTTCAGACAAGTTTCTCATGCCCCCCTGCCCTCCAATTGGGTCCGTGTCGACTTGGAAGGTGAGAGACACCCGCAAAAATACGGTAGAAAGGAGAGAATTTGCTAATGAGTGATTGCAGATCGCAGTTGCGCTAGCTGACTCGAATTCGACATATACAACGGGTGGAGGGCCGAATACTCAATGAGGCGGGAGGAAACCAGACAGACTAGTGAGGATCGTCGCGGACTTTGGGACCGGTTGAGCTCGTCAGAGATCGGGTCTAGGTATGAGCTTGGCCTCGATCAGGTTGCTTGGGAACGCACCAGAAGAGAGGATGAGTTCTCACCCGCCATTCCCCTACTGGGTCTAGTCGCAAACCAGACATTAGAGTACGCTGACACGAGTGAAATATCAAGAGATAATTACAGGAAACAGGTATCTGAGCGTGTACAGCATATCAAGAAGGGTAAATACAGGACAAGCTCTACAGATCTGGAGAGCGCTTGCGCCACCTTGTTCACTTGCTTTCATATTCCTTGATTGCTTGTTCGACGATATTGAGACAAGCTAATGTCTTTTCTTCCATATGTCGCCGTCCAACAACCTATCGCAGGTATCAATGGACCGAGAGATAAAGTCAGAGAAACACGGACCTGAAGCGAGATGGGAGCGTTGTCGTAGGTCTCTGGGTTCCACTGTGAGCGGATAAAGGCTTCTGTGTCGTTCCTAGGCTCAGGGAGAGCGTCTGCACTGGTTTCAACCCAATCAGCGGCCCGGAGACGTCCAAGTGGGAAAACGGCAGCAGGATAATCGACAAGGTTCCAGTAAGAGCTATACCCCCACCAGCGGACCGAGTCGTGTGGGGCTGCAAGTGTGGGGGCAATGGGAGTGAGAATCACGTCAACGGGGCGACCGCTTGTGGTCTGCTTGGCTGATGCATTCCAGTGTGCATGTGCTCGTGCACGGAATTTTTCACGTTCGACGTTGAGCTTGAACATTTCGGCAATGGTATAAGGTGCGCGGCCCTGGGCGTGGCTGACAATCCATTCAAAGCTTGGGATCGCCGGCTCGCCGCTCTCGGCGAGCGTTTCAAAGTATTCTGCGCCACCGTCCAAGAAGTAGAGTTTGACCTGTATGTACGGCGAGCAGGATAGCAGGGTCAGCGGAAGAACCGAGGGGGAGGATGGAAAAGCCAGTTTAGAGGCGGGCATGAAAACGTACGATGAGATCCCAACTAGCTTGATGGTCCATAGGTATATAATCAATAACTTCATGACCGGCCGCAACGAGCGCCTTTCGCGCGTTGTCCAGCGCTCGGCGAATAGGGGGGTGAGGCGCAACGACGCCGTCGTCTGCGAGAATGCCAACGACGAGTTTCTTTGGGAGGCCTTTGCCTTGCTCTGCCACCTCTGATCGCCATTCGATGTAGAGGTTCTGGTGCTCGACGAACCAGGCCTCGTACTGGAGCATGACCTTGCAGAAGAGGTTGAGATCGCGAGCAGAGGTCGCCATTGGACCAACACATCCAACAATGTTGTCCATCCCATCATGCGAGCCTCCGAGTCCTGTGTGCGGCAGACGGGCGACAGAGGGTTTGAAGCCGTAAAGGCCGTTCCAGGCGCATGGGATACGCTATTGGACAAATGAGAAGTCAAGAGAGGTTGGAAATCGTGGCGGACTCACGATGCTTCCACCAATGTCGGTACCCACGCCCAAAGGGCTCCCGTGACTTGCGATCAAAGCGCCTTCGCCGCCGCTGCTCCCTCCAGAGGTGAGGGAGCGATTGTACGGATTCACAGTGCGGCCATAAATATTGTTGTTACATTCGAGAGCCTAGAAATATGCGTTCAGGAACCACGCGTGCTGCCGCGGGAGCAGAGGACGTACGAGAAGCGTCTGGGGATTCGCCGTCTTTACGTAGATGATAGCCCCGGCCTCTCGCAAGATCTTCACCACGGCAGCATCGTGGTCTGCGACCGTCTTGTAGGCCCAGCTTGCGTAACCCGTGGCGCCATCCTTCCCCTTGACAAAGATGTGGTCCTTGATCGATACGGGCAGGCCGTGAAGGGGCCCTACGACCTTTCCCGTCTGTTCGAGAATCTGATCGAGCTGCCTGGCACGCTCAAAGCCCTCTTCGAAGAAGATTTCCGTGAGCGAGTTTGTCAAGTCTTGAGACGCGACGGCAGCTTTGCAAAACGCGGTCAGGACTTGGACAGCTGTATACTTGCGAGCTGCAATATCTGCAACGAGGTCTGTCGCATCTTTGGAGACAATTTGGCGTTCGACAGCGGAGAGTTTGGAGAGCAAAAGGTCAGAGACGTCTGTTACAGAACTGCCGGGATCCTTGACTCTCCATTCGGAGTATTTTGCGAGGCTATTCTCGCGGTCTGCTTGCTTTCTGGCGGCAATTTCGCGATAGTCGCAGACGACTGGAGCTTGCGGTAGCGGTGCAAGGCGTGTTGCTGCAGTTCCCATCCTTTGAAAATTTTTGTTGTCGTTGTGAAAGAGGTAAATGAAAGGGACCTTCCACTCGCGCCGTCGGGTTTGTAGGGGTTCGCGACGAATCAAGTGCAAAGACCACACCGAGTTCTGGTTTATATCACAAAATGTCAGAGTTGCGGCAAAAAAAAGGACCCGCGGCCGTTGTGTGTCATAGCGCTCGGCTCACCTAGGGTGTCGGTTTGTTCCTGTTGAGGAGAAATTGTCCAGAAAACAACCAAAAATAATTCGTTAAATGCTCACGAGGGACGTCAGACGCTCGCTAGCGGCCGAATGGCGTGCGCTCTTCGGACAGGGGAACTTTGCTGGTTGGGGGGAGTTGGAAGCAGTTCCATCTGGTCAGATCTCGTCTCTTTTTCAACGTCTGCTGCTCTATTTGCCTTGGCCCTGAGTCTTTCGGTCCTTGCGCGCTCGCAGCAGCACCAGCGCTTGTGCTGTTGCATATAGACCACTCGCTGCTGCGAAACACCGGTTATCAGTGTATAAACGCTCAGGTTTGTTTATCTCCGCATTTCTCGACAATGTGCTTCTTATTCCCCACCCTATCTGGGCCTGCCTTTGCCCCTTCTTTCAATGCGAATATTCCCAACGGAGCATCTTGTCTTCTATCAAACCAAGGGCTGGATACAGTGACCGGATTCAATACAAGCCACAGAAGGAGCCGGCCACATCGCTCCTTTTCCCTCTCTCCACAGCTGGCATGCGTAGACCCGTAAAGCTCGCAGTCTATAGTGTTCCATGGTATCTCTCTTCCATCTTAGCAAATTTCGTCGTCTGCATCCGGCCCCGTCACTGGTTTCTGCCGATGGCCCCGCGTTCCTGGCCTCCTACAAAGTTAGCGCTCGCCCTTGCTACTATTCTAGTCGCTTGACAACTTATTAACAATGCTTTCTCTCGTGAATTTGGGATCTTGACCTCTGCCTGCATCATTTGCTCTCCGTTGCCATCGTCGATGGCTTGCCATGGGTGTATGCTGCTTCCTTTTTTGTGCAACTCTTGTCGTCACTGCTGCGGAATCTATTTCACTTCCCAATGGGGTGACAGCCCATACATCTCACTCCGTTTTCCCAAGCTAGAGCGTTCCAACCCCCCGCCGATGCCAATTGGTCCTGCGCATACTTTGACACAAGAGCGGTACAGTTTCAAGAATGATCAATTTTGATCCTTCACAGGGTGTCGGTCCGCATGGAATCTGTTCTGATAGGCAGCATCAAACGGCATTCCCGTCATTCGGGTGGCCGGCACGAGGGTATTGACACCAACTCGCCATTACTTTATTCAAGGTCATGCCTCCAACGCCCTCTTACATGTAACATGCCCACAAGGCCTGCCGGTCGATCACCAGTGTAAAAGGGGGGTTCACGACCAATCCTCTGGCTTGACCACTCTTATCGATTGCCGCCCGTCAAATTGAGGGGCAACTGACTTTGCGCATCTACTCCGAGAGGCCCACTGCTTCTCCAGATATTCTCCTCGTTTCCGTCCGTGCCCGTCCCTCCTTGAGCACAGCCAGGAAACTTTAATCTTTCCGTCCGAGAGCCATAATTGAAGGCAACTATGGATAGAAAGGCGCCACCTTGTCGCCGGGGATCATGGCGGTAAAGTGCGGGCTCGTGGGTGTTGGGTGCTGTGCGCGTGCACTTGTGTCAGACTGGAGATCAGAGACAGAAGCCTGCTAGATCCAAGAAGGAAATTTTGCACCCTGCGAGCCGCTCTCACCCTTTGTAACGTGCAAAGACCCCCTCCCGATCAGCAGACCTGGCTACCCTCAATCAAATCAAACTCGCTACTATGCCACACCACGCGTCACTGCTTCTTTAAAATATAATGGATCCATATGCCGCGACTTGTGTCCTCCACCTGTGCCAATCGAGCGCCCGAATGAGGTCCAATACCCAACCTCCCACGGCGCCCATTATATCCTGGCAGACCGGAGTTTTGCTCGCTCCAAGACCAAACGTTCCACATTGACCAAAAAACTAAACGCTTCTCCGACATCCAGTGTGAAACTTGTGCGCGTACCACCCCCCCCCCCCTCTTCGCCTCATGCTGTCGGTCTGTTCACTCGACTGATATCTTGAGGTATTGTCAGGGACGAACCGGTATGAACATCCTTCGCATCTTCTTCACCTATGCCAGCGTACGAAGCCGAAATTATCGGCATTATCCGCTGATCAAGAAACCCCCGACTGGGCGGGCTCTTGGTTTGACTCGCGGACGCATTGGCAGCATATTCCACATGAATTATTTGTCACCATTTCAAATCATGCTTGTCAAGCCGTTTCCAACCACGCCTTTGCATCCGCAGTACTCTCTGGGGCTCGACCCATACGAAGAACATCTGATGACGATCAAACAATGTTCTCAAACTCGTGGACTTCATCAATATGGAATACAGAGAATATCACTGAGAAAATGTTGCTATTACCTTGATACCTACCCAACTTTCTGGGCAAAGGCAGATGTAGCTCGCTAACCAGCTTCGTGTATATCGTCGCCAATACAGCCAAAACCGTCACCGTCGACGACTGGGAGGTGCCCCGCCACCATTTAGCGAGAGGATGAGCTTGGGTGCCTTCTTCTTCCTGCTTCCACCCCCGACGGCAGCATTTCGAGCCTCTTCGAGTTCCTTCCATGCCACATCCATCGTCCAGTCCCTGGATTCATCCCCAGGGGACGATGCGGGTTGTCGATTACGCGAGGCGGCTAAGGGAGTGACGACCATCAAGGTATGGATAAGCGCGCGACGGTTCGATAAAGCCCAATACGCCATCATCCCATGTGGAGTTAAATCATCCGGTGAATCTATAGTCAGTCTAGGCCCACACAATTAAGCTCAACGATCATACCGGTGGCAGGTCCAGAGAGAGTCGAGGCAAAACTTCGCTGACCCCATGCTCCAGAAACGGGCTGTTGCACAGGGGTCTCATCAGAACTATTCTCGCTACGGAGAAACGCCCGGAGCTCCTCTTCCTCCCGTTGCATGGCCGTCTGTGTCCTGGTTGCGCTATACTTCAGGACCCAATAATCCTCCGCAAGTTTCTCCTTCTCCCTTTCTTCGGCCCGGATTTTGGCACGGTCGTCTTTCCGTTCCTTCTCCTTTCTCCTTGCCCGGCGACTTTTCAGAGCGCCCTCGAACGCAACTAGGGCCTCCTTCCCGACCACGCACTCCAGATCCACCTCCACAAAGGTTACATCTGTTGCTTCGGGGAGATGCGCGAGGTAGCGACAACGCTTTCGTAGGTCCTCATCAACGGTGCCTTCATTTTGGGCCTCGACTTTGACCTCGATATTCTGAGGAAAGTTGGCATAGGAACCAAAGTGGGAGAGAAGGATCCGAATGTCGAGTGGATGGAGAAAGGTGAGCGAGCCCGACGCCGCTTGATAAAAATAATACGTCGATGTCGATGGTGGTGGTGGGTTGACATTCTTTCGTGTCTTGAGCTGCTTCGTCGGTATCGCAGATGATTCACGCATCACCGGGGGTCCTTGCTCCTGCTGAACGCTCCAATCGGTGGGCCGTGGGTCTGCAATACTAAAGTCGGCAAACTTTGCAACATTCTCCCGCATTTCGCGCTGAGCTTGGATCCTCTCCACTCCGCGCTTTGCAGCTGTAATTGCCTCTTGCATGGCTGGGACGTCGAGCTGCTTCGCTTCTTCGATGAGGGAGCGAACCTTGGCTATTGCACCCTCTACAAAGGAAGCCCCGATGCTGTCCCCGTATCCCAGCTTGTCATCTCGATCAATTTTGAGATTCTCGACCTCATCTTCCAAGTCTTTACGTAAAGACTCTGGTGTGGGGATCATGAAACGTGCAAACGTGTAGATGTCAGGTAGAAAATGAAATGCTACTTGATGAGGGGGAACGAGGTCGGATGGCCAAGTGTCCGATTGGGGCAGAGCCAGAGTCGTAATCTGGGGACGCTCCATTAACCTCAATTTGAGCGTCGAGTCTCCGGTTGCATCAGCTTCCGCTTCATAGAACCATTTGACAGGTTTGAGAGAAGACTCTGAGATGGTATCAAAGCATATTGGGCAGCGATGCCAGCTCCCGTGTTCCCCAGTTTGAAGATAATGCAGGGCGCAAGAGTAGCAATAAACCTATTTCTTGGTCAACCAAACTAGCAAAACCTCTTTGTGTCTCATTACATACGTGGCCACACTTTGTCATTCGGGGAGCAATTGGAGTTCCCAGGCAGATTGGACAGGTCGAGTTGCCTTCGTCAACATTAGAAGAGCTTGAGTAGGGTACGAGAATTTGAGCAATATCTCCCCATTGAAAATAACTATGAATAGTATATCTGAGTATACTGTCAAGACGAAAAGATGGGAGAGACTCACATGTCTGGATCGACAAAGTGGACGGTGTAATCCGCCGTTACAGAAGGCTTGAGAATAAAGCGATACGCTGAATTGACAAAGCCTGAGGGGACCCATACTATGTCAGCACAGAACATGGACTATCAGCCGCCAGCCTACTGACGTTCGCGGGTCCACAACGAGCTCACAGTCGTCTTCCTGCTACGGCGTGGTCCACTGAAGTGTTGACGACGAGGAGGTAGCTGAAAATTGACCAGATCCTGCAGATTCGACTCGTCGCCGCCTGTGTTAAGCTTGGGCCGTTTGGATGGCCTCGTACCGGGCTTGGGGCGCACTGCGGCCATTTGAGAAGCAAATAAAATGGTTAAAATTGCGAGTTGGACGGGTTTTGTACCAAGTTTGGGCGCCTGTTGCAGCGTTGCCCGGCGATGGCCAAGGTCAAACGTGCTGACTCTACCGCTTCAATCTGCCCTCGCCGGTTCCGAGTACGTGATAATAGCAGAGAAGCTACAATTACAGCAGACGACGCAAAAATAATTACATGGCACGGTATTTCATACCCATACGGATCTAATAATCAACGTCTGGCAAGAGGTTCATCGACGCCGACTGGTCGATGCGTGGTGAGATTCACCAGAGCGCTTTTGAGGAGACGAGCTGTCGAATCCACCGCCTCGTGATAGGCTACGACGGTATTCATCCAAAGCCTGTCGTGGCCGGCTGGCAGATCGTGGTCGATCCAGAATGGATTCGGAACGAGCCCTTTCCTCAAATTCTTCTTGAGTGACAAGTCGGCTTTGGAAGTAGCAGAGCTTTGCGGGGTAGTTTCTCATGTTGCGGATAAAATAAAAGTTGCCTGCGAAAGGATAAGACTCGATGTCATATGAAATGTGTGACGTACCTCGCGGGACAAAGAATATGCCACCAGGTCCCAAATAAAACTCGGTCTCGTGAATTTTGACGTAAATGGCACCCTCGATGAGGAAGAACACCTAAGTGCTGTTAGAGGATGAGAATAACAAGTGTTTGATAGACGTACAAAGATGTTGTCCTTTGTTGGTTTTCGGGGCTTTTCTCCATTGGGGGGAATGATCAGATAGCCCGCCGCCATCCATCTTTCGTTGTCGAACAACCTATGCGATAAGAACTCGCCTTTTCTGGCCGGTTGTGGGTCCAACATCCCTGCAGTATAAACGATGGCTATCGCTGTCCGTTAGCATCTATGTGCGTCAAACTGGTTGTATCATACTTTTTCGAACCTCTTCATTGGTTTTATAATCGATCACTATGCCAGTCTGCCGCGTTTCCGCATCCCACCCTTCTTCCATATGAGCCACTGAACGACCCCGGGGCAGTTCGCTCTCTCTCTCCTCCGTCTCTAACCTTCTGCTCTTGCTCCTTGCCTTTTGCTGCGGTCGTCGTTTTCGCTTTGATAGTGGCGCGGCCTGAGGCTCCGGAACGCGACGAACCCCGAGGATTTTGGGGACTTGGCGATTCGAGCCCGGCCTGTACGTATCGTATTCTAATTTCTCGCCCAACCAGTATTTGACGGGTGCGTATTTAACACGACGACTTCGTCGGACAATATCCTCGTCTTCCTCATCTGAGATTTCGCTGTCCGATGGAATTTCTGCGAATTGACATGAGAAGATCGCTTGAAACAAATAATTTGACAAACCTTCGAGATAGCTTTCATCCGCCATCGGCGTCTTTGAGCGCGCCCGACTACTCGGACGGATACTGGTAGACTTTGCTCGTTTGGTCTGCACTGGCGAGTCTTCTCCATCTTCCAACGGTCTCTTCTTCTTTGATTTTTGGGCCTCCTTTTCCTTGACTTTCGACTTAGGCTTTTTTGGAGGCGCCTCGACCTCAGATTCTCCGTCGCTACGCTCACTGACAGAACGCGGTGGCTCGGCATATCGACCCCCGTCAGGAGGTGGGAATTCATCCCCTTCTTCGTAGTACTCTCCTCCTTCAGCTCCGGCGTCTTGGTAGTCAAGTAGTGGATCTTGCTGGTCGCCATCGTCTGGCGGAGCTGCCTCGTCAAACGGCGGGGATACTTGATCTCTTTCACCGCCATATCTGCGAGGAGTGCGGGAATAAGGGGCCTGCTCCGCTTCCGGCTCCAAATCTTGTTCCACCTCCTCTGCATCTCGGTCTCTAGCTATCGACTTTCGGGGGGGTTGATTGACTGGTGTACTTTCACCTTCTGGCGTAGCTCGTGGGTTCCCTTTGGCCTGACGGGATGAAGGTGGTTTGTCCGAGTACTCTGGTGCATTTTCGTCAGAAGGGCCCGGTGCCGCAGACTTTCTATTAGAGCGAGATGCATTGGGAGAGACGAGAGATTTGCGAGCCACTTGAGGTGGACTTGAATCCACATCTGGGGCCGGCGACGGGGTATCTCCATACTCGTAGTTTACATACTGATCCATGACGGTCTCCGAGTCCACGGGTTCATCTTGGTAGCGGCCGAGGGCACCGAATCCTTGAGAGCTTCTCGTGGGGAGTTGGAGATCATTTGTCGGGTCGTATGGGGGCGCATTCCGAAGTCCAGAGACGAGCGGGGTGGTGGCGTATCCTAAACGGCTCGTAGCCGCGCGAGGTGAAGGAATAGGGGCATAATTCACGTCAGTAGCCCGTGCCGATGGTGGACCCATGGCAGAGGATGGGCGTGAGCGGGGAACTGGGCCTATCACGTATTCAGTAAGCGTCACGGAGACATATTGTGAGTAATTACGATCCAAAGAGTTGTTTACGTCTTTTTCTGTCCCAGATGGTGCAGACTTTGACAATGTATTTGGTGACTTTTGACGCATGTTGCGAGGCAGCTGCAGGGGCCGATTCTGGTCATAATTGGCCTCTAGCAGATTTTCAAAGTCCTCTATGCCATCTGATCCACGTTGACCTTCTGGAATTGCGACGCCTGTGACACTGTAGAGCGCGCCATTAGCACGTAGTTGGTCGTAATCTACAGAGCAGCCACTCACGTTCCCTTGAACCTGTCCTCGTTGTGTGACCGTGGCTTTGGGCCTCCTTTCCGTTGAGCATTCGACGCGACGCCATTGCGGCTGATCATGGCCAAGGCGTCGGTGGGGAGCACGTGATGTCGACCACCCCTTGGACCCGACGCCGACATTACCAATGGCCAACGAATCTCTCAAGCACGCCAAAGCACTCTTATTTGATTATATGGGCACAGTCACAGACTGGCTCACCCCCGTCTCTCGTGCATTTGCAGAAAATGCCCCTTCTGGCGCAACGCAGGACTGGGTAGCATTCGCCCACAAATGGCGCGGACAATTCTTCACCCAAGTCGCAGAGATCAATAAGAATAACTCAGATTTTGTGTCCATACACGATATATTCGACTCGACGCTCTCCCAGATCCAGGCTGGGACAGGCCTCGAGTGGGACAAGGAAACGAGAGAAGCACTGATTCGTAGCTGGGGCGGTCTCCTCGCGTTCAAGGACTCTCAAGAGGGTCTGCGACGTCTCCGAGAGAAATACACAGTGTTTGTCTGCCTCTTGCTAGCTGCAGGTTGCTTACCAAGTGTAGTGTCATCCTAACCAACGGAATTACTAAGAAAATTATAGAATCAGTACGTCCTAGCCTAGGATGCCGATACCCCGACCCTTATTGTGACGAATAGAACAAGCGCAACGCCCTAGACTGGGATTTGATCCTTGGATCTGATATCGTAGGGGCATACAAACCCAATTCAAAGGCCTATCAGACTGCCATCAAGATTTTGGGACTCGAGCCATCCCAGTGCATCATGGTGGCGGCACATGCATATGATCTGGAAGCTGCCGCATCTCAGTATGTCCTTTCCATCCTCTTCACCCCATTCTGACTTTTCATACAGTGGAATGCGCACGGCATATATCAAGCGAGACACCGAAGACATGGACGTGAACCTCTCTGGCTACTCATTCGACGTGATGATAGCAGAAGGGGGCCTCCTCGGCCTCGCCTCCATCATTTGTGACTAATCAATCGTGCATTGTGACCAATCATGTTCACGCCACGCGTGAACGATCAGTGACTCTGCCATTTACAAAGCGCCCGACGGCATACAAGAATGCTTCGAAATATCATCTACCGTCTTTCAACCATGTCTCTTCCATTTACTGTGATCGATAGCTTTACCAATAAGCCATTTGGGGGCAATCCGGCGGCGGTCATTGTGCTGCCCGACGGACAATCTCTCCCAGACTCCCTGCTGCAATCCATAGCGCTCGAGTTCAATCTGTCAGAAACTGCATTCATCAAGAAGCAGGATTCGGACGGTTCTTCCGCTGGTCACGCGGGCTTCGGATTGCGTTGGTTCACCCCGCAAAGAGAGGTGGACCTCTGTGGCCATGCGACACTCGCAAGTGCCGCAGTTCTCTTCAAAGACCAATCTCTTGTTCCAGGGGGTGTTGAGGAGATCCATTTCTTCACGCGCTCTGGTACGCTGGTGACCCGAAGAGTACCAGGATCAAATCAAGTAGAGATGGAGTTTCCGGTAGGGGACATCATCCAAGCGGATAACGCGATACAAGCGATCACCACAAACTCGGTTCTCACTGCCACTGGCTTGTCTGCCGAAAACATCAAGTTTATCGGAAGCTGCGATATCCATCCCTATCACAAGTATGTGCTAGTCGAGATAGACGCTGGTGTAAACCTTTCCTCCCTCAAAGTTGTACCCAGTCATTTAGTACGCACTTCCTCCTGCGTTGTTAATATCCCAACCTCTTGCAGGTAGTACAGGCTACAGAGAAGGCTGTTATTGTCATTACCAACCAGGTACGCGCAGAAGACGGTTCCTTGTCTCCCAGTTTCAATCTGCGCGTCTTTGCGCCTCTCTTTGGGATCGACGAGGACCCCGTGACTGGTTCGGCGTGCTCATTCGCTACTAAATACTGGGCTGAAAAGTCCGGAATCGGTGCCAACAAACCATTCCCCGTCCGTCAAGTCAGTGCAAGGGTTGGGGACTTGGAGGTGCTTTGGAACGAGGCGGCGGGAACGGCAAAGCTACGAGGAGAAGCTCGAGTGGCAACCAAGGGGGATATATACATTAGTTAGAATAAAGGGTGGGCCACCACTTTGAACTCGCACTTTCACTAGCGCTTTCAGAACTCTGGACGCCTTTGATACAGTTCAGGCCTCTCACTGAAACAAACTCGATTATCTGGGCATACCACAGCACTTAGACACCCGCCTGACGCGGACCTCGTTGCGCGCTCGTTGTTCGTCATCCTAAATCATCTCTATCACCATGAGACCACTACAAAGAGCTTTGGCATCTTCAACTTTGAGGATAACTCGTGGGCCTCTCAGTCAGAGTATGCTCCGGCGTTCCTTCAACAGAGGTTGGTCGTCGGAAGCGCCTGAATCTTCCTCAAATGCAAGACGCTGGGCATACGGAGGTCTTTTTGCGTCTACAGCTGGACTTCTAGCATATGCTGCTCACGACTACTTGTCGCCGACGCTTCGCGCGGATGCATCCGACTCGCAAGACGATGCATCGTCCATCCGCTCGGTTCGGAGCGTTCTTCATGGGAATAAAGAACATTCATACGCCGGGGTTGACGTCGAGTACATCCTTAAGCGATGTGAGGAGAGCGTTTTGCTCCCAGGGACCGGTGTATGGAGATATGATATCAATCAAGTAGAGAGGTGATAGTATTCGCATTACATTTAAGCTGTTATTGATTCTCTTAGCAATTCGCCGACCGAAGACGATCACGCCGAAGCTGTCGTTCGCTCACCAGCTGGGACAGACTGGCACTTCTGGACGGTCATTGACGGCCATGTTGGCTGGGAGACGAGCATGGCGTTGTCGCAAAGGCTCATTCCTTGCGTCAGTGGTGCTCTAACCGGACTCTACCGTAACCCGAGCCCATCTGGCACAGAGGTGGATGCAGCCATCCGAGATGCATTTCTGGCTCTCGACGACGAGTTTGTGAACAAGCCGATCGAAATCATCCGCAAGAACGATTTACGAGGGGAAGCCGCTAAACTGCTCTCCCAAGCGCTGGCCGGTGCGGTAGCACTGCTGGCATTTTACAACCCTGCTTCGAGCGAGGTAAAGATTGCTCTTACCGGGGATTTGCGTGCAGTAAGAGGCCGGAGAGGCGCAAACGGTCAATGGGAGACGACGGTTCTTACCGTGGAGCAAGATGGGGACAATGAGGAGGAGGCAGCGCGGATTAGGAAGGAGCACCCTAATGAACCAGATGTCGTCAAAGGTGGACGCGTATTGGGCTGGCAACCTACGCGAATGTTTGGCGATGCGTCTCTCAAATGGTCGTTGGAGACGCAAGACATGATTCGGAGAAAATTTTTGGGAAGCAGACCACGGGATGTGATCAAGACGCCTCCTTATGTCAGTGCTGAACCGGTAATCACCACAACTGACATCCAGCCCGGTGATTTTCTGGTGCTGGGGTGTGATGGCATATGGGAGAGCTTGACGAGCGAGGAGGCGGTAAAGCTGGTGGGTACATGGCTAGATGGGAAGCACACACAGCAGGAGGGTCCAAAGACAAAGAAAGGTTCTTGGCTTGGTGGCTGGTTTGGAACCAAGACGGGTGGGCCCGTCCGACCTGACCCCAGTCCACAAAACAAGGAGAAAACGGTTCGCTACGAACAATGGCAAATTCCCAAGCAGTTTGTCAACGTAGACTCTAATGCGGCCACGCATCTTATTCGGAACTGCCTTGGCGGGGCGGATACAAACACGATGCAGGCAGTCTTGACACGGACGGGCTCGCTTGCCCGCAGGCTGAGGCGAGTACAAACTAGGTTTATTCAGAGTTGGATATACTGACGAGTAGTGCAGGGACGACATGACTGTGACGGTCGTTTTCTTTGGCGAACCCCCATTGAGCAAGTCGTCGTAGTTGAATGAACACCTCCTATTCAGAAAAAATGTCACAATAGCCTGGAAAACGAGTTTTGAAAAGCACAATGGGCGACAAGGGAATGTCCAAATCGGGCGAACGGAGACAGCCGAGGCCGTTCGGATTTATTTGCAGCTTGACTCGCGACTACAAACCGTTTACCCAAACGGCTCTGCAGACAGCCTCTCGCCCATTAGAGTCAGCGTCTACAGCCATTTCTTGCAATCTGGCGCTCCCCTTCTTGCGCTGGCGCCGAGCAGGCGCACTCGCTGTTAAAAAGGCGGGGCCACAGGGCGAGAAGAGGAGCTCAGTCGACCCACCAGATGAAAAGGAGATGACAGTTTCATCACACTCTTTCGATTTTGTTTGTTTGGGAGCTGGCGGTGGCCCTGTCGAGACTGATCTTTCTGCGTAAGTTGGCACAAGAAATGCGCGTCAATGATGGCTCAATTCCACTCCAAGCTATCTTCTAAAGCCTTCAGAGTCAAAATGGGAGGACGGGATCATCGCAGTCGAAGCCGGAAGCGGTATTGGCGCACTCTCCTCCATTCTCGAACGGTTTCCAGACACCTTTAACGACCTTATGACCATTGATGACTCTCTTCCTACCTCTGTCCGTGCTGCTCAACTGTATTCGTACATCCAGTATGCTTCTCCGATTCCATATTGCACGACGGGTTACTGACTCTGGATGCTAGGACATTCCTCATCTCGCATAGCCATCTAGACCACGTCTTGTCTCTTATCCTGAGCGCAGGCTCACTCTCTGCTCCTCCCCCGCTGCATCAAGAGCCCAAGCTTCGACGTCGAATCGTCGGCACAAAGCAGGTCCTCGATGACCTCTCCACCATGGTTTTCAGTGACCGAATATGGCCCAACCTCGTCTCATGGTCTGCTGATTCCTCGGTCCCTGCCTTCCTCTATCTCTACCAACCTATCGGAACTCCGAGTCTAGCGACGAACGATACATTCCTCGACGCAGATTTCACTACACTCTATCACTCACTCAACGATACTGTGTCTGCGTTGGCGATACCCGTGTCACACGGGCTCTGCCAGTCATCACATGTGCACGCCCCCGCGGGGACGTACTCGTCCACAGCCTTTTTCATCCGACACAATATCACGAGCAAGCAACTTCTGTTCTTTGGCGACGTCGAACCAGACTCGCTCGCTCGCAATCCTTCGACCAGAAAAGTCTGGCATGTCGCCGCGTCGCTTATCACGTCTATTACACCCAATGGCCAGAAGGTTCTAGACTCCATATTCATCGAGTGCAGTTGGCCATCCTCACGCAAGGACAGCGAGCTGTACGGGCACCTAAATCCTCAACATCTCTTGCAGGAGATGAAGTCGTTGGCAGAGGAAGTCGTGAGACGCAAAGAGAGTGGGAATATGGCCTCGCCAGGTTCACCTACTAGTCTAGAATTCGTTTCATCCTTCAAGGCGCCTTTGAACGGATCAGAACACGTAGCCGTGTCTACCGACGCACCAAAGAAGAAGAGACGGCGGACAATTCTCAGGCGACACACCCGCGACAAAACCTTTAGCTCCAATGCTAGTGATGCGTCAACCATTGCAAGCGGGAGCGCCGTTGCTCTCAACTCGACACCCGAAATCCCTCAAACGGAGGGGCTGCCCCTCAGGGGTGCTCTTGCCGGTGTCAAGCTTTATGTAATGCATTTCAAAGCGCCTATGGAATATTCTCCAGGCATCAAGAATGGCAAGTTATCTCACCTTATTGCCAATGAACTTCGAGTTCTTGTAAACAAGGAAGAGCTTGGTCTAGAAATCATAGCTCTTGAACAAGGAATGCGACTAGGTACGTCTCCTTTTCACTCCCAATCCCAGTCTAACAAGGTTCCCTTTCAGCCATTTAACTACACCTCTTGTACTTGGGCACATTCTCGTTACTCCAGTATTTACCAAGGACTATTCGATTGTATAGATGGCTTGCGGCACTGTATCCATACTCGTATACCCCATTTATCAGGGTATTTGAAGACATGTCCTCTAGTATTTCTGGTCAAACTTGGGCACTTTGTGGTTCTTTTTCGGATTCTTGGCCTCTTGTATCGACTCGGTTTTCGAATTGGTGCTCGCCTGCACGCCCCCTCGACTCGTCGAGTCTACGGGAACAGGTAATAAATGTTCGCCAGGTTCAAACAGATACTCCATGGCATATGAATGAAATGGAATGCCTATTGAATATGAGCGGGTGTGATTCATAAGCAGGGACTTGACTGACCATGAAGAGTGTCGCCGGTGATCGAGACCAAATCGTTGTAATTATGCCGCTCGCATGCACCCTTTCGCCGGGTATGTCGATCGAATTTCATCCACTTGGCGTACCACAACCGCCGTCGAGATGACCACCCGTCAAACCACGCCTCCAAGTCGGCTGGCAGCGACGGTGATGATCCTTCCAGTGCCTTTACTTCTGCTGGATCTTGGACAGACGTGTCCAGGTCAGTCAAGCTTTCTTCCTTGTACTTCTCTGCGGAGTGACGTTCAAACCCGACCGTACATGTCATCCGACAGTCGATACAATCCTCGCAACCGAGCCTAGGAAACGTCATGACCAACACGAGGAGTCTAGAAAGTCACGCACACACTGACGTCAAAGTATGGCCCATCCACAGTACCCAATGAGAGCTCGGAAAGAGGCGGCATCTTCTCCGGCATGCAGCCGCTCAATAGCCTTGTCATTGGCTGCAGAAGCGAGACACCAGGGAAACCCGGCATTTTGATGGTCGAGATGCGAGCTACTCCGTCTCCTGCCTCGACATTCCGACGAACAAGCATGAGGAATAGGATATCCCACTCTGGATAAGCCCGCATCTCAATAGTATGTAGACCTCTGCATGAAAATGGATACCGAAGCAACAACTCGCAAAAGTCGTTGCATTCCTTGCGTGGACTAGAATAGTCGAAGCAAATCTGGGTGAGGTTGTGAATACTGCGTGGAATAGAGGCACATCCTCCGCCCGGGTCGATCCAGGTCAATTTGTCCAACCTAGGGAATGTATTAAGGCCGAATATGGATGCAGAAGAGGCGTGAACCATCAAAGTCTGCACTTTCGGAGCCTCTATGATCGGAATAGTGTTGCCGTTCTCTTCTGTTTTCGAACGTATCGATATATGAGTGGCAATAGGAAGGTCAAGGTATGCAAGCAGGAGGGTGCTGGAGAGAACGATCTTCTCCACTCGCTCGAGCCGTAGCCGCGCGTTCCTTGCTGGTCTCTTGGTTTCTATCACCTGTCCCCGATAATCAAGCTTTTGAAGCAATTTCATTCTTTCGAGGAGCTGCAAAGCGCTCTCGATCGGTGTGGGATCCACCAAATGCAGGTAGAGGTTCTTGATCCCGGGTAAACTTGTTCCGCATACGTCTAGGACGGAAGCCATTAGTTGTGGTGACACTGGGAACTGGACGGTCTCGGGCGAATCCTTGGCTGTCTGTTGATCTAGTTCAAAACGTTGAACATGGGGAAGAGAGGGAAGGAGAAGTTGAATATCAGTAACGGGAGCCGTGGGAGCTTTGAGAATGATATGTAGATAGTTGAGAGAGGAGAGGTTCGAGAAGAATGGTGCGTTTTCGCAAAATTCTTCCCAAGATAATTTGACGTGCAATTTAAGTAAGTGTGTGTTGTTATAAACGATGAATGGTCGTAAAGAGCGAGGAGAACTCTGGTAAAATTCGAGTGTTTCCAAAGGTGGAAGGGATTTGCTATTCGCGACCGGGATACTTGTTCCATTGCTGGAACCTTCGCCCGCTTGAGTCAATACCAAGCGCCGTAAACGCTGAAGCGGGGCTAGATATGGGTAGAGGGTGTCCAATGAGGAGCTCGCCGATAGGAACTCGAGATTTTCCGTATCTACGCTGCTGAAACTTTCTGTGGTAAGACACCAATAGGTGAGCCCTTTGAGCTTGGGCGCCTTTGGAAACCGCTGCTTCATCATTGACAAGCTGTAAAAGTCGAATGAATGGTCCACGGTAATATTTTCTATGGGTATTGACTCGAAGGTATTGAGAAGCATGTATACTTTGTCGTAGAAATAATCCATCGCGGATACGTCCACGGCCGATACGTTTCGTATTGACTCTGCGGACCGCCTAAATGTAATTTCTTTAATCCGGTGCACTTCTCCCCATATGCGATGCCCACGGCCTTGCACTGCGGGGAGTTCGATAGTCACTGTCAAGGGGTATGATCGTGAATATTTGAGGGCCCACGTGAGCGCCTCTTCGTAATCACCGTCACTATCCCTGACATAGACGTGCGTCCAAAGAGGTGGCGAAGTTGTGATTAAATCCATCCAGTGTCGCGAAACGAGGAGTAGTGGGAGTGCTCCTACAACATGGTCCTCAAATACATCACAGAGAACGAGCATCCAGATCTCTGTTGGAAGGACTTTCAAAGGATCTAGTTGCCTTTGTCCGTTTGGATGTTGCGGGTCCTTGGGAGATGTGACGCCTGCGTTTCTAGACCCTTTATCATAGCCGCTGGTGTCCAGATTCATCGTGTTTGAAGATGAATCCTGTTTAATTGCCACATCGAGTTGGCACATGGCCCGCTGTGCGCGCTACATGGGTTGTAAGCCGTGGAGCTAAACTCGTAAGGCTTGTAGCTACCGAATGCCTAGCATCATCAAGTCCGTAGCTCGAGGTAGAGATAAGAGGGCTCATTCTGAAGGGCGCGCTATGGACGTTGATATGGTCGGATTTCAAGCTCATTTCGATTGTGGCATCACAAATTTCTTGTCGTAATGATCGTAGGGTAAGTACAGAGGAAACTACAGTCCTTTGAACGAATTCACAGCCTTGTCGTTACGCCTGATAAATACCTCCTGGCCCTGGTATGGTCACAATCGGCGAGCCGTCTCCAGGGGATGGCATGCTGGGCGGAGGTGAGGTTCCTATTGGGGGACTATTAGGAACCGAAGGCGGTGTCGGATTGGAGGGAGCTGGATTGGAGGGAGCCGGGGTGGGCGTGGCTGGTGTCTCGCTTGGTTTCCCTGGGCCACTTGGTGTATCTGACGCCGGGGAGTATAGTCCCAATTGCCTGGAATCAAGGCAATTGGAAGAAGCCTAGAGAGGGCGTCAGATGACCGAGGCACGCGCATCGCTATAACCTTACCAAGTTGCGGAGAGGACAACGCCCTGGCCTTTGTCAAAGCTCTGAACAGTGGACCAATACCACGAAATGAACCCGCCAACATAGCCTAATGAACATGAGTAACGGCCAGACAAGTCCTCAAAAAAATGCACCAATGATCGGCACCAACGCTTTTGCAACTGTAAGAACTGCCACTAATTCAACCGGGAGCCCCGCTGTTGGAATATGATTGACAAGCCATCCCAATGCAGTTGCAATCATAGCGGCTCGCTTCACCGCTTCGATGGATTTGTCGCCGAGTACCTTCATTACAGGTGGTGGCAGCCAGCTGCACATGAGTTAGAATCATTGCAATCCTGGCGTACATAGAGCAACTCACATTCTATATCCCCACCATGCCAATTGAACAGAGACTTTGGTCGTGCTGGGGATCCAAACGCGGACAACTTTAGTAGGTGGCTCGCTGGGCTTGGGCTTTTTGCCCCATTCCCAAGGTGGCCACCACCCAGCAGCACTCAAGATTGCTTCGTCCAACTCGTCGAGTGGCACCTTGACGAGCTGAAACTCTGCGAGCTCAACCTGAGAGTCCTCGTCTGGGAATAGAGGTGCGCAAAGCATGATAGAGTTATCCGGTTCGGCTGCCTCTGCCAATGTCGTAAAGTTTCCATGCACATTGGCCTGGAAGCTAAATTTGGTGCGGTCGAGAATGCTCCAAACGGATTCTTGGGATGATGAACCGGACATGGCGATATGATCAGAAAGCGTCGATAAGAACTTTGCTCCCATTAAATCTCCCAATGCACTATCCGAAGTAGGAGGAGGCTTGGTCTCAGAGGCGACCAGTGTCGTTGGATAGAAAGGAGGAGCCGACGTGAGAAGATCTCGGACTCGCTTTGCTATATCAATAGGCCTTACGGCGCTAGGCACCGGTATCGCCTGAGCAGTGAGCCCGGAGGGAGTGGTACCATTTGTATCCTCTGCTTGTTCGACGACACCGTCAGCGGTTGGCCCATTCTTCCTGTCCTTCTTATTTCCTGCCAATCCCTTTAGTTTGTCCACCAGGCTAGCGCGCCGCTTTGCATCCTTCGAAGGGACGGTTGGGGACGGAAGGGCCTCCTCGTTGATTACAGGCTGTTGTTGATCCAATATTTCGTTATTATCGTCTGGGAGTGTCACGGCAATACTGGCGATCCTTTCCAGTGGCTGGCGACCCTCCGGTGTTGCAACCTCTGCTTCATCTGTAGCCACAACAGACGTCTTTGATCTCGAGGCCTTGCGCAACAGTCTCTTAAGCGGGTGCACGGGAGCTGCCTCTGTCTTTGTCGCGTCAGCCATTCTGGTGCGGCGTGGTTGGTGGCCAAGAAGCAAAGGAGCTGGTACGACTCAAAGCTCGTTGCCTCTTTGGGAATGCTGGGCTGCTGCTGCAGTCGTGCATGCGGATAAATCAAAGGTAATTAGAAGTAACTTGATGATATTACAGCCGTATGTAACCAGGAAACCATAGATCAATTGTGGAGGAATGAGACTAGGTCGGTTCCTTCTTGCCTTCGTCCCACTCCCGTACGCCACCCCGTTTGGTGTACTTCATGCTTAGCGCATCCACCATCTCCTTGTTCGCGACTGAGCTACCAATAGGCTCCTCGTGCTTGCCGCTTCGGTGAAGCTTCTCCAACCGCTTTCGCTCCTCCTTCTCCTCCCGACGAGCCTTCACTATCTGTAGCATCCAATCCCAGTTGTCAAATGCGCCAGGAGGAATCAATCCGCTCGAGTCTAAGAGGGACGATTCGACATCGAGTCGAGGATCATAGTCGCTGGCAAAATACTTATCCATCTTAGATGAGTACGTCTTGTCAAGTTCGAATGGTTGTGGTCCCATCTCACTTTCTGAGGCGACCTCGTCTGGATCGATACTGTCTTCCGGCGGGCGTGGGCTGACTGAAGATCTTTTCGATCGAGCTCTAGATTCAAGTTTGGATTGGAGGTCGACTGTTGAATGCGTGTGGTCTCCTGACCTGTCTGCTTTGACACCAGCCAATGCGTCCTTGAGAAGCCTTGACCGGGGTGGTTTGGATGATGGAGGGGTGCTACCCCTTATACGGCGTGATGAGGTGCCTTCATCTCTCTCTGGTGAGTGCCTCCTACGTCTCCTGTACTCCTCATCCCAATCTTGCTTGTCTCGCCGCTTTGGAGAGTTTGAACGCGACTTGTCTCTGTGCCTTCGACGTGATTCTTTCTTCTTCCTTTCGTCAGGGTCAATGTTCTTGTCCCTCCTCTCGCGCTTGACTTCTCGTTCGTCACGAGGTGTGACAGACCGGCGGCGGGAAGTACTCCTGTCTTTTCGAGACCTCTTGCTCCTCCTCTCTGGATCCTCGTCAACCTCTGAACCCCTACTGCGTTCTCGTTTTCTGTCGTGACGAGATGAACGATGCCGACCTCGGTCGTCCGGAGAACGACTTGAGACCTTCGTTTTCTCTCCTCTTTGGAGTAGTCTCGAGGTTCCCAAGAGGACATAGAACGCCCAGCTCTTGCAGTAGCAGCCTCTTGAGCCCGCTTCATGCGTTCCTCTCGTTCTTGGCGCATAATTTGCTGCTTGACTTCAGCTGCTGACTCTGCTTGAGCTCGCAGAACCGCTTTATTATGCTCGTCCGTGCTTTTGATGATAGAACTGAGAAACCGCTTGTTTGTCCGAGCCGCATTGCCTGTTCTGACCAACGAAAATGTTAGCAATAACGAACCCTAAGAACTCAAAAACGCACGGTTGTGGAGAGTATGTACCAGTTTGGCTGAAACGAGCTTCCTTTTTCCTTGCCTCTTGGAGTATCAACTCGGCGATACGATTATCGAGCTCTTCGTCCAATGTATTTGTAGGGAGAGATGATCCCATTTGAGCTCTAACTAAATTTGAGACGACATTTGATAGCGACGACGGATTGGCCATTGGCGTTGGGTTCAAGGTAGTGTCTCCACTCTACACACTCGACGCCTTGGGAGGACCCTTTGTCCTGGTAGCTTACATTCGTTCCCAACGTTTATATCTAACGACATCAAGCTGGGTGCCGACAGGATGTGCAAAACATAGCGATGCCACTGGCGTGTGGCTGATGTTTGATTTACATGTAGGTACCCACAAGGGGAGAGTATACTACTTTCATACCCGCCGGCTCTTCGATTTGAGAGTCTCCAGACAGGGTAACCATTAGCTGGCCCAAGAAACCAATGGACGTTTCTGGATCCATGCCCGTGCATCGCACTCGTCGAAAACAAATTTTGCAAATAGCGGCCTCGTCAGTACGGCCGTAGTTCGACCATCTCCTATGTACCCAGCGTGGTACTCGCCGCCCTCGTGAGAGACAAGGACTGGGATACGCACAATCGTCCATTCGAGGTCGTCACTCTTTCCAAAGACCTTGCCTATCTCTACGAGCTCTGCGTAGGCACGGGGAGCAAAATACTTGACACTGAACAAGTATGAGCTAAGCTGAGATATGATATCGGCCACTCACCCAAATACCAGACTCTGGAATTTCAAGTCGGACCTGTCATGTTCGTCTGTGATACTCGCTGTTCCAAGAACAATGAAGCGGGTGACACCTTTTCTCCTGGCCACATGTATAAACTTTTCGTATCCTCTAGCAAGAGGGTTACCGGCTGGGTGAATCTTTGTGACGGGAGGTCCAAGTGCTGACACGACAACGTCGACCTTGATCACCTCTGAGGATGTGCCGACTCCCTCTGACCATTATGATCGTCATTGGGGATTCGAGTCTCGAAAGCGCGGGTAATTGCGTCTTCATCCTCCAAAGACCCCTTGACAATTGCGACTCGTGGATTTTGAAGAATAGAATCAGGTAGTTTCTGCGGCGACCGTGCGAAAATAATCACAGTATGACCTCTGCTAAGCGCCTCTTCAATGAGTGCAAGCCCAGTTGGGCCGGTGCCGCCAAGGACGAGGACGTTGACCATGGACGTGAGGTGCGAGATCCGCGATGCCATCCCGAAGTCGAGGGGCGCCTTATATACGCGGCCACGTCATTTCGGGTGCGGTCGAGCCTCGAGCGCTGTTGAATTTCATGAGCTTGGGGTGGTCGTGCGATTTGCGGCGACGGTGTGTCAGGCATCAAAAGCTCGTCAGATCCTCACCAAATATATAAGCCTTTACGATACACGGGGTAGATTATGGCTGCCCAAGTGGCTCATGCGTCAGGGATATCGTCTCACCGTCATCGGTGATCACCTTGAATCGCACTGGGAAAGCGTAAGGAAACCGAAAACAGACGAAAACAACGTACAAATAGTAAAAGGCACCCCTTTTTCTTTCCTGACGCTTGTAAAATATACCGTTCCTCCCTTCCGTGACCCTTGGATTCGAAAACTCAAGTCGACGTGACCAGCCGGCATATTAACGGCCCCGGATATCCATGGGTCGCTAAGAAACATGGCGCTGGGTAGTCGAATGGGAGCTCCAAGAGCGCGCTGGACGTCCGAGTTTTGCTTGAGATTCGAGATGACCTGACGGGTGACAGACGAAGAAAGCCGCTCTAAGTTCGTTGCATACAGTAGAAATGCTCCCCAACCAGAAAAGCCGAGGAGCGCGGCCGCGAATAGCCAAGCGGCTCGACTCTGAGAGAGGATGAGGGACATGGGTAGCCAAAAGCATTGTGAAGCCTACTTTGTTCGATGGTGGAAGGTCTCGTCCCGAAGTTGGTCGAGGGTGAATCGGACGAGGACGCGAAGGCGCAGAAAATTGAGTTTTGTCTGGTTGTGACGACGCAAGTCGGACCTTCTGATGGAGCATATGTGGGTAACCCAAGTGTCTCGGTGTTAGAAGAAAGAAGCGTTGGCCGATAAAAGTTGGCCTGGAACCGAGTTGGCTCATTGGTAGAGACATGGTCGAGAACAAAGTACAAATGCATTAGGACAGCGGGCAATAGTCCAAGAAGGCTATAGTACAGGAGAACAGTTCCTCAACACGGTTCTCAAATATGGAATAATTCTGGTTCAGCTAATCTTCTCGGATTGATATGAGTTGGATGGAGAAGGACTCCGGGACGGCCTCTTCTCTCGATAACTGCCAATCAAAGAGCCTTCCTCAGAAAACAGCTGACCTTCCGAATCGCCCTTGGGAATGTCTGCCGTTGCCATTCGGGTGTCGATCTCTGAACGAGCGGCTCCTTCAGGAAAAGTAGTTTTCTTTCGAGGTGCTTTGATGAGTGCGCTCTCATGAGACTTTATGTGGCGCCGTTTCCGGGTCTCTTTCTCCTTGGAACGCCTAGAGATAGCATGTTCAGCATAGCGCACACGGGCTATGGAGAAAGAATACCTATATCGCTGACATGACTTGAATAGATCCAACAAATGTTCAAGATTGTCCTGAAATACCGTACCGCTCGCACCATTGATCCTATAAGCTGCTCGCTTCACTTCGTCCAACTCGTGACAGCCGAGTTTCTTCATGTCTACCCACTCGTTGACTAGCTCCTTTCCCATAGTCCCAGAAAGCCATAATGATGCCAGCGCGATGACTACGGGATGAAAAATAAATTCAAAATCCGTCATGCGAGAAACGCGAAGAAACTGTTGGGCCGTTTCTAGTACATGGCTGGCAAGTGGTGGTCGAACTGGTGACAAAGCTCGCAATATTGAGAGATCTTCCCAAATTGTTTTCAGTTGAGTGTGCGGATGCCATATAGAGAACTGGAAGTCGATGCTACTGCCAATAACCATCTCGTGCTTGCGGAGCGTCTCTGCTGTAGAGCAGTTTGGTATCAAATTGACGAATGTATCTATGGGTATCTGTCTGTGTTCCGTTTTGGCGGCGAGGAAGATGCAGGTATCGCTAGCAGCGAAATATCAGTACAGTGACATTTAATTCAGAGCTACAAACATTACTGCCGCATGATCGTGTTTGACAAGAGGATTTGCAAGGTAGAACCGTTTGAAGAAGGAGCAAGCTGATGCGCTAATGTCCTCGCAAAGGTCCAAATCTGTGCAAATGTCGCATATTTTCTTGAGCCAGTATTTCAATAGGCAATCTTCATCGGCGACTGTGAGTGGCTGACAGTCAGACGGGAACATCTACCAGATCCTAAGTTTGCGTTTGGGGAGGTGGATATACGAGGTTACCTTTGTTGACTCTTCGTTGAGCGCTCTCCTCTTTTCGATGAGTTCTTGTTCAGAAAACTGCCAACGTTGGTACTGGCTACTCCTATGCCAGCGCTCAAGATCGTCCTTGTCGAGCCCGTATGTAAAGTTGACAAGAGCGAAGTCACCACTTTCGTCTCGAGCCATGCATTCTCGTACTATTGGCGTTGGAATAGGTGGGTCGAACGGTGCAACACTTGACCTCCAGTTTGAGTTTGTATCCCACGCCCACCATTCCCAAACTTCCATGACACGCAGAAAGATGAAAGGAAGCTCCGTATTGGCTGCACTCCCCCGGGAATTGAGAGAGGAGATTTCGGGTCTCAACGCTGGACGAGGACAGGTCCAAGTCGATGCAGACCCAGCCAAACGACCGGAAGATGAAGAGAAACGACCAGTCAAAAGACGAAAAATAGAAGTTCCACCACCCTCAAATCTTGGAAAGTTTGACGCTACGGGTTTGGTCCCGTTTTATACCGACATAAGCCAAGTTCCGACTCGTCTCCAAAAGTGTGCGTGAACGACGAATATCTCGCCCATCGCAATTTGACTCTTTATCAGACTACTGGCAGCGGGAGAGACTATTTTCCCGATACTCTGAAGGATGCTTGCTTGACGAGGAGGGCTGGTTCAGTGTTACACCCGAACACATAGCAAACCAAATTGCCGAACGATGTCGATGTGAGGTTATCATAGACGCATTCTGTGGAGTGGGAGGAAATGCAATAGCATTCGCAAAGACATGCGAACGAGGTTTGCTTCCTCCCATGACCCTATGAAGTCGTTCATATTCATTCACAGTGATCGCAATCGACAATTCTCCTGTACGGATTGCACTAGCAAGACATAACGCAGCCATATATGGAGTCGCAGACCGAATCGAATTCATCCAGGCCGACTTTGTTTCTTTTGCCAAAGCTCTCGCCAGATCTTCCTCAAAGCAAAGAGCGGATGTCGTATTTCTCAGTCCACCTTGGGGTGGCATAGACTATCAATCCATGTCGGCGTCAAAGTCCTCTTTGAACCTCTTGGCGACAAATGGGGATACTACGCTCAACTACAACGATGAGGTTGTCCAGGAGGAGACCAAAGACGAACCCGGTTACAGTTTGGATAATCTACAGCCACTTCCCGGCAACGAGCTCTTCGCTCTGGCTCGTCAAATCACACCACACATCGCATTCTTTCTTCCGAGGAACCAAGACTTGACAGAAATATCACAACTAGTACCAGTTTCTGATGCGTCCAATGCTGAAATGATCGAGGTAGAGGAGGAATGGATGGGTAGTAAGCTCAAAGCCTTGACATGCTACTTCGGCGGCTTGGTTCATGGTCAAGAGCATTTATGGACTTGAAATCACTGCATCTCGGTTTTATGGTGGATTGGTTAGAACTTTTGTACAATATGAGTACGCAGGCGGTATCTCTGGTAATGGAATGGGGCAAGCAAGTCAAGGGGTCCATAGTGTAAAGTGATAAGGAGTACAGAAAGGGAGTATCTCGGGCTATAAGATATCAGCTTCTTGAAGCGCAGATTGTAGGATGATACTAATGCCTGTTAGTGGCAATCACTCCGTAGAGTGCAACTCACTGTGATACACTTTCCATCACCCTTTGGATGAGAGAAATGTCGACGGCCGTCGTAAAGCTAAATGAACTTTGAGTTGATCCACAGACATGACGACGCCAGACGCACTGAGGATAGACCGTTCTCTTGGACAGAAATGTATTGTCCGTCTTATTAGGCCTTGTTGACGACTCGCACTCTTGCAAAAGTTGATGCGTTCCCTTCTGTGCTATTCGAAGGAACCGTCGCTTGAAGTAGTCCTTCGCTGCCTCGACGTCGGTACTGCCCCCACTATAATCTGGAAAATAACGACGGATTGGAGAAGATTCCAATTTTTCAGAGAACAGATCCTCCTTATTCAGGAAAAGGATCTACTCGGAGGTCAGAAGGAAACGTATGACCAGTGGCTTGTACGAACAAAATGGCAGTTTTTGAACCATTCCATGGTACATATATTTCCCCAGATACTCATCGCGTCTGACATTTGATTCTGGGAAGAGATGAGCGAGGACGCGTCGATGGGCAAACGGCTCACAGTCGTCTTCTCCTCAATTATACATTGGTCATAGCCACTGAGCGCGACAAGGAATAGGATTGCTGTCACATCTTGAAAGCAATGTATCCATTTTCTTCGTTGGCTTTTCTGACCACCTGACCATCCTGTTAGCCCGACGACTGTGGGGCCATCTATTCACTGACCAACATCGACGAAGCGCACTTCTTGCATCTCGCTTGACTGCCATTTGAGCAGCGCTTTTCTTGCGTCCTCTAGAGTTGCCGAATCCCCTCCTACTGCGGTGGTTGTCCTCGACGTCGTCTCCATTGATGGCACGTTGGAGTCTTCATGGTTGGGGCCCGCTGGTTGAACCTTTGTTTGCAGCCGCGTGTGACGAGACTGTGCCGGGATCGGGATTGCATTTGGGTCCGGCAGGGTGATACGCGAGAGATCATTTGGAATTTGAAACACTGTTTCAACGATACCCGTTGTCCGCGCACGAACATGCACAAGGTCTTGGTGTGTCGGCTGATACGAGGGCGCGAATAAGCGATCAAGAGATTCATAAAAGTAAGGCACGCTAGTGTTATCGTCAACGGCGGAAAGGTATGAAGAATGGGACCGAACGTACTTGTCCGGGATGGCGAATTGTCGACAAATTAATATCCCACGCTGGATCGTCGGATGAGCCCAGAGGAGCTTGAAGTGCGGTAAATATTCCTCTGGAAATGGCTGTCCCTCTTTGATATCGGGTGCCTTTTCGATTTCCTATTGTCAGGGAATGAGGTGATAAGCGGCCTGCCCCAAAGATCGAAAGACAAGTTTGGAGACGGGAAAAGAGGAGAAAGGGCGTGAGGTTGCAGTTAGGACTGAGGTATGGGGGGAGCTATGCAATGCGGGTGCGAAGAGGGTTCTGTGGCATTGCATATGAAGAAGAAACCCCAATGATCCGATGCTGGCTACCAATCTGAGTCGGGATCGCGGAAACAGGGAGGCGCTCATTTATGAGTGCAGACTTGGCGCAAAGCAAAATGGGATTGGAGGCAGTCGCAAACCAGCGAGATTGGGCTATAGTGGGCCAATAGCCCACGGTTAAAGTTTCAAGGGAGGATGGATGGTACGGACAGAGAGTGGAAAGTGCCTGCCGGCGAAAACGGGATGTGAATATGAATGCTCACTTGATATGCAGCCCAAATGTCCGGGATTCGATCGATGGGCATACCCACGTCTGGCAGACATTCCACGAGAGCACGCATTCCGGTGACGAGATTTGCAAAGACGAGCTGACGATATGCCTCGAGTTCCCCATAAGTGAATGCGCTATGGGTAATGAGTCGCATCTGCTTCATGATCGTAGTCTTCCCTGGGCAAATGTCAGGTGCTGACATTTGAGAGGGAGGATATTGTACCCGAATCTCCCGATCCAAGGAGGAGAATCTGCAGAGATGGTGAGTCTCGTCCATAGACTGCATGAACAAAGCCTACTTTGGTCTCTCGGCGCATTCGTCGTTTTGCCTGTTGTTGGAATGATGAGAACGAGCAACTCCAGCAACCGAACGTCCAGAGGATATATATCCACCTTTTTCAAGACTTGCTCTGCTTCCAGATGCATTTTGCGTGATTCGTTCTCCGCTGGGCTTGATACGCAAACACCCATAATTGATGGGGCGCCGTAGCTTGATGGATGCACTTCCTAGTGGTTGCAGTTGAAAGTGCGCATGCGTTGGTTACGGCTACTCGACTTCTTGTAGCTCCGAGTTGGCGGGCGCCGCTCGGTAAGAGTCAGGGACTAGTATGAGTGGCGTGAAAAACTCCGTCGGTGATTTCGTCGTTCATTCAGAGCCAAACTTGTCAAACGCCTTTTGGCGTGATGACAGCCAGCCACATTGCATGACTCTACACTTGTTCTCAATTCCTGCCCGCACTCAGAAATCATATTTTCGTCGGATTCTGATGGACATTTTCAGTTGATATGAGAGTTGATCCTGAAAAGTCATTAGTGTGACAAGCACCATGCCAGCCAGCCATCTATCCAAAAGAGTAAGAGAAATAAGGGCGCATGAGAATCGACAACTCGAGCACTGGGGATAAGATCCAAAGCTGCCGACAGTCAAACGGTCGGGCTTTTTAATACAGAGCAGGTGACTCTGACGATCATACGCACTAATGATCCTTCGACGAGTGCCTGTACACAATCCCGTCATCTAGTCCGATTCCATTCTGCGGTCTAGACCAGGCGGTCCTGAACATTCTCGGATGCGCAGAGAGGGCCAAACAACATTGAAAAGATTGGGAAATCTAGTCTGACCAAGCAAAATGTGGTTGGAGTCCAAGTTTCGACGGTGGCCAGGCCGAGCTGCATCCACCACTGACTTCGACTCGTGGTCTAAGTTGCATATCTGTTGGAATACAGGCTTCACATTTCAGCACTCAAGGCAGACCTCTGATACCGGCTTCTGACTTGTGCAAGATAGAGTAGTGGATAGGGGCTCTGTTTACAAACTAGGATCCAGGGGAAGGCAGAGTCTTAGTACTGACGTCTCCTTGTCCTTCAAGCCATTCCTGTACTCCGCTTTTCCATCTCCTCAGGAGTTCTGGCAATCACCTGCAAGGCATGAACTCCCGACTTGAGCTCCTCGTCTAGGGCGGCGTATACAAGTCTATGTCGTTGTATTGAACGCTTGGATGTATGTTAGTCAACCATTCAATCGTGAACAGTGGGAACATACCTTTCCTTCGAAAGCACTGGACACGATTTCCACAGCAAAGTCTATTAAATATGGAGTAAGTGTGAAGCAATTGAAGCAATCAGAATCAAGAAACTCAGTATCATAATGGTACTACAGCGAGAGAAAATTGAAGAGGACCTACGTGTTTCACCATTTCCTCCTCCAAGCTCTCGCATGGCAGCATGATGACTATGCTTCCACGAGTCGTTTGTAATCACAAGTGTATCCGGTTTGAATGCCGCCTCTAGCTGAACAATCGTGTAACGTTTACATTTGCATCCAAGTCCGAGCGCAGCAGAAAGGAACGTCGACAAGAATCATTGAACGGTTTTCGAGCTGTAATTCAGTCATAATTCAACGCAAAAGGGGCCGGCCTCCACCTTTGCTCGTATGTTTGCCTCGACACTCATGGCAAAACCTCTTGTGAGCGTTCTGGAGGTACAAAACACGTCGAAAGAGCCCCCTAGTGTATATGGTAGCGCCCTGTGAGATGAGCTGCCAAGTCTCCTCAGAAGGGAGTGCATACAAAACGCCTTCACCACTCGTCAAGAATTCCCACTCAGAGTTCAGACAAAGAGTGATATTGAGACAACACGTTTTCGAACACAGAACATTATCTAGTTCTCCTTCTTTTCATGTTCCTCCCTCGTTGCATCGCCAGCCCTACTTTCCATCAATTCTTGTTGAGGACTTCCCGTCCGAGGTACGTCGTCCGGCTCCGACGTAGGTCCTTTCTTGCCTCGATGAAGCTTCCCATACGTCTCTTCAACGACCAAAAAGGTGGTGAGCCCAGCGCAGCTTCCCATTAACTCAAGCGGCGAGAGCTTGCTGAGAGGTAGACAACACATGATGATTCCTACTGCAAGCCGGAAGCCAAGTTGCACATGCTATATGCCGATTGTCAGTTCAAGATGCGGACAAAGGGACTGCTTACTCTGTCTAATTTGGTGGTTCCCTGGGGGTCCAAGTTGCGATGGAGCATCCCAATCAGGGCCATGGAGATCATCGCACATCCTAGTCCGCCTCCAAAGTACCATCTTATTGCATCATTTACTTGATCTTCATGCTGCGTCATCCTCGAGGTGGCTGCACCAGCCAGAATAAGAGCGGCCGAGAGAGGGAAATGAAGGTTAGTGAATGTTAAGCCCGTGAACCCTGCCAAAGTGTGAGTAAGCTCCAGACGACACAAGCGCTCTTACAGTTTCGACGTAAAGCATGCAAGAACCGATGGCTATATCAAGTTAACAAGCAAGGCACCATACCTAGCTAATTACTGACCTGCACTCTGCATCGAAATCTATCTGACAGTGAGTAAATGTGAAGAGATTGTGATTATGACCCACATAACCAGCCAAAATTGAATGCGATTATCAGACCACATACAGCATTGCCATAGATCCTGAAACCAGTCAGCAATGAAGAAATTAAAGGCGAGAGAACAGACTTCTTGAACCCTACTTGTTCTGGTGTTGCGTGATACACGACACTCAGAACCATTTCGCCTAGAACGATAACGATGAAGGCGGCAGTTCTTTCCAAGAAGTGCTCGATATTTAGCGCTGACAAATTGTGAGTTATATCAAGCAGGTTGAAGAGTTCTAACCTGGAACGTGGGAGCCGAGCAAGTGTCGTTGCTCTTCTACTTGAGAAACTCTGTCCTACGTAGGACCTTCATAAGCAGACGGTACAATATTGTGAGTTTCGAGCTTACCGGGTCATTCACAACATCCACTTCCGGAGCTGGGTCCTCCTTTTCTACTACAGGCGGTGCCTTTCTCTTGAATCTTGAAAGTACACTGTCCCATTGTACTCGATAAATCCCAATAGAGTATCTAGGGTTGTAAATCGTAATTCAAGTTCATTATTCTGAATCCATACCGCATGATAATCTCCCAAGCCATTCCAAGCGAGGCTAGAGTAATGATAGCGGTTGGACTCCGCACAAAGAGGAGTGGAAAGTATAAGAAGAACCCGATGACTTGATTGAGTCCCTGGAATAAAAGAGCTGCTCGGAATGTCGGCAATGCCACCGCGTACATTCTATGAAGGCATAATATTAGTATGGCATCGTGAGACCTGAGGGAAAGCGTACCCAAAGAAGATGATTCTTAGTCCTTTTGCCAAGAGGAAGAAGGCAGTCGCTGTAACGAGGGCCGTGTCGCTCGTATGGGCAGAGGTTCCCCCCTCAGCCAGTACCGCAGCCAATATTGCATGGGTCGTTGATTCCCCTGCGGTACTCTCTGTAGACGTCGACTGGTTGCCACCGTGATTGCCCAAGGTAATGGCGGATGCATTCGCAGTGTAGCCTACAAGGTCAGCACAGGAAAGGATGTCCAGACAGGATGTACCTAGGAGTAGTGCCATCATGTAAAGAACCCCAACGCGTTGTAGTACCTATAGGGTATTAGGAGACACATAGGGCGACATGAGCCAAATACATCGTCAGTTCCTGATGCGTTGATAAAGGCACGCGTTCTATGAGGTGTCAAGCAGTCTTCATGACCGAGATAAACTACTGACTCATTCCATAATCCCCATGTCGGACTGTACAGCAATTAGTGGCGCATACACGCATTTACGAGCTTACAAGAATGTCTAGAACGCAAAATATAATCTCAGCAGGAAGCCCGCGTGCCGAATGCAACGTACTAATATGAACTGTGCCAGACCTGGTCCCCCGGCGTGCTCTGCGGCAGCATCACTCAGCTGGTGCGCAATAGCAACGAATACGAGATCAAAGAAGAGTTCGAAACGCGATGGCACGCGTTCTTTGCGCTCCCGATATCTGGACGCGTAATGGGACGCGTGTAACATGAGTTTACGGTCCACTCCGTCCAATAGTCAAACCCACATCTTGCCTCGATAGACCCACTGCTTGATGACGAACGGTTTGACGAGAGATCTAAGCGTGTACACAGGTGCACCCTCCGTTTCACTGCTCTCGTCGTCGATAAAGCCTATTTGGCCAGGCCCGTACTGGGTGAAGGTGCTATGAATCTGGTACCGCGGTGAGAGCAAGTTGGGCCTGCGTCTGGGCGACTTACTGCCAATGAAGGTTGCTCTGGCATTGTTTGAAGAAGAGGAGAGGTCCAACCAACGATATCCAGGACGCGTAGCCCTGGTTCGGGCACCAACAAAGAAGCCCGGTGTTCTCAATGGGATAAGGGGATGCTCGATCACTATGAAATGACAACGAGACGGCCGCTCATAAGAACGCTAGGACGGCAGATCACCACGTAATTGACGCATGGTATAGCGCAGTCCTCGGCAGCCTCAACACTGAGAATTCCGATACACGGTGGATAATCATCTCTAAAGAGTACAACTAGAGTCCATCAGTCGGGTCTGTGTTGTGGGCTGTCTGATGGATTGAAATGGGTCGGGTCCAAGTGAACAAACGAATAGTGGCATTACATGGGCACGATATTATACATTTGTCAGAATTCTACCTCGGAGTAATTAATGTCTACGGACAGTTCCTGGCTGTTATGCCTTGGAGGCACTCCATATGGTTATTGTTGCAATTTTGATTCGCGTCTCCCGGAATATTGAAATCGTTAATCTTGGATGCATCAGGCATACAAATGAAAAAGCCAATCTGTTTAGCCGCGGCTGCATGTACCGGTAGTTGTAGTGAGAAGGGCTATAGAGAAAATCATAAGTCTCACTGATGGATATGACACGTCCAATTATACTCACCACTGTTCCTTCCCACTTGAGCATTCGACAGGGCAATAACCCAATACCTGTGCTCCATGTCTCGTAAAGCTTTGGCCTAGATATTTGCACTGTATGCTCCTGGGTGACTTGTTGTCTCAACTGGTTTCGTGCTGTGAGGCGTTGTATTGCTCTCAGCTTTCTACGAACCCATCCTCTACTTGGAGTACACGTGCAAAGCATCGTGATGATCACCGACAGCACAATAAACGGAATGAATATTGGTCTGTAGAAAAGGCGCTGGTAGCGGTGGGGTACCTCTCATAGGGACGCTTTCAGACGAGACCGCGTTGTTAATGAAATAACGGCTATAGCTTGAATTCATGCGAGGTAGAGAACGTCCCGATCTCGATGCGTTCGTCTGATGCTTCGGACTGTGCCAACGTGTCCGAGTACGGCATATGCATGAACAAACTGATTTCTGTTGCCTCATCGGGGTCTGTAGGAAGTTTAGCAGACAAGGGCTCTACAATAAACAGTGAGTAACAGTCGAAGACGCTACATGGCAGGATAGCATGATACGCACCAGAATTTGGTCCCATCTGATTAAGTGAACCTCTGGTTCGTCTACAAGAGCTCATAATTCATGGATAATAGGCTTGTGGTCTTCTATAGGTGTCTCCCGTGCCTGCTCGCGCCTCATTCGTCTTTCTCTCACAACTTCCTGCAGCGTATCCACGTGCCGCATTAGCCAAACCCTGCTCGCACCTGGGAAACAAGCATCGGCTATCGTCAAAGTCAATTACAATTATCGGAATGGATAGTCGGCTCTAGTCGTTCGGCATGAGTAAAAAGGTGAGGATGGGAGTGGAGCATCCAGCTGCAGGTGTATATATATCCTGAGTGGGCAGTCAGGGAGCATTAGAATTGCTGCTTATATGCGGATAGATATTCCAGGTGAATCATCTGTGACCATTCGCAATTTTCGGGGAATTACAGGAATGAATGGCAGAAGGTTCAATAGGAAGTGAACGCATGCGAAAAACCTATCGATTGGACAGTCGAAATAGTGGAGCAACTATATAAGACGTACCAATGTCAACAGATACGACGTAATGGGCAAAGCTGAGAGCACTTATAATGTTCAATTAGATAGGCCGAGCAGCTCCAATAATACAGTGTGATTAAATACAGTATCACACCTGTCAGCTCGTCTGTAGCTTGGAGTTTTGGTGGACAGTGACCGTTCCAAACTCGATACGATCCTCTGTTGTGTCAGTGCCGTTCGGTTTGGATGAAGAAGGCATCTGGACGAGAAATCCAACATGAGCCGGCTTGGTCCCATTTGTTTCTGTGGAACTTTGGGCAGCCAAGGGCTGTTATGAAAAGTCAGTAGCGGGAAAGTATCATCATGCGCACACTCACTATCATCTCTGTCAGGTTATGGGCCTGATGAGCGGACTGAGGTTCAGCCGAATGTAGAGTTGGTTTATTCTTTTGCAGCTGGGTTTGCGCCTCGGTATCGCGCTCTGCTTCTGCGTTTCTTGCTATCTGCTCTACCGCAGCTACGCGTTCAGCGAGCCACCCATTTCCGAGCTTTGGATGACAAGAGCAGAAGCAGAGGACCAGATAACCAACCACCAACACCACAATGAATATCACAGTTACGATAATGATCCTATAATCCATGGCGGTTCGATGGGCAGGACAACGAATCTCATGTGTAATTTATAGTTCTTGCATCAATTCCGAAACAATCCCTGAGACGGAGATAAGAGAAACTCTCAGAAAGAGGATTCTCCGAGCGTATACACTTGTAGCAAACTGCATACCTCAGCGGCGGAGAAATAGAACAAGGGCTATGTCGAACTGCGGGTGTGGCAGGGTTCAGGTTGCTATTGGCACTTGACCTCATTCACGAACATGTCCACAGAAGACGACAAGCGCTCTCAGAGGGCAGTTTCTCTTGCAAGGCAACAACGAGGAGACAAATAAGCCTGTTAATCAAAAGACCGTCCCCGTTGGCCAGTCATCAATCATGCCCACGGACCAGGCTGAACCCGGCTTCGCGCAACTCTTCATCGGAAAGGAATCATCTCACCCTTCGTGCAGATCCCGGCTTCAAACACGCGCCTCAATTTACCAAGAAGGGCTCACTCCCCACCTCAACCAGAGACCGCCTCTCTCTGGCGCGTTGCCACAGAGCCTCGTGTTATCATGGGATTGATACTCGTCACCTGCTCACACACACAGTACAACAACCAACGAGTCATCTTCCCAAGCCGCTAGTTCGGTTTTTGGTATATCTCGAACTGGCGCTGGATGTATTCTGATCCGTCCCCTAACAAGATATGATATTTGCTTGTGAGTTATGTAGCTCATAGGTTGTTCTGAATCTTGACATCCGTCTAGGGCTACGCTATTTCCGAAGCTATCGCTTGTTCTCCTCCAAGCCTGGTACACCGATTCCCAAGGGAATTCCAGGTATGTTCCGACGCCATAATACTTTTTCGATAGATTAGACACTAAAATCACTCATAGGTTCTCGTCTGGCCACCGTACTCAACAACTTGGGATGGACACCTGATCAACCAGTGTTCAAGTTCATCTCCGAGCGAAAGATCTCGGCACATGTAACCGAATTGTATATTCATGGGGAGAACAGCTCCTTGCAGCATGAGTATGCTATCCTTCGCGTCGATATCCACAACGAACCCTCGTGGCTTCGCATCGACTGGACAGGGGACGTAACTCGCACGACGAGCTTTGGCTCCTCCGAAGGCAAAGGAGCGCTTATATGGACTATTTCAGTCGATAAGGACTCACTCATCTTACCTCGGGATAGGCAAATCAGATTTACCAAAGTATCAGTATCTCTGGAAGCCGTTGCTGGTATGGTCATAGAGCTAAGCAAAACCCCGTATCATCTAATCTTCTGGAACTGTATACAATTTTCTCAGGAGCTGGGCCAACAGATAGTTGACGCCGAGTCCACACGCGCCTGGCAGGAGACGATAGTTCAGAGAAGCATGGAGGTCGCAGCGGGCTCTATGTCTATTACCTCGTAAGTGGCCAGGGGGTGATCATCACGCCGTTACCTGTACTCGTATATAATATAATGATGTATATGGAATCTTGCGCTATTTATTCTAAAGAATCTGGAAGCACGTTCCTCTCCATCTTGACACACCTCATCATCCACTATTCAAGGGCACCTGATAATGGACGTCGACCTTGGAGACCTAGTTGACCTGGAGCAACAGTTGCGTGCTAAGATACCCACAATGGGTTCAACTCATTGTAAGGTGCAGATTCTACGACATAGGATATAAAGAAGGTGTGAACCATGGACGCGAACATGGTCTTATCGAGGGGAGAATGCTAGGGAAGGAAAAAGGGTTCGAAATCTGGGAAGAGCTTGGATTTTATCTCGGATTTGCCGCAGTTTGGTTGCAGATTTTGCGATCACAGAGTGATTCCGAGTAGGTTGTTCTGCTCGCTTCGTTCGGATTCAGAACATTTAGGGCTACAGATCCCGCTCAGTAGGCCATATATCCCATCTCCTGGAGCTCATTCGAGCATTCCCGATGCACAATCCCTCAAAGGGTAAGTACAAATCCGGACACTCTACGATTCCCTAAATCAAACTTCGAGACCACGAGTTGAATGACTTCGATATCATTGGGTCGCTAAATCGTATCCGAGGCAGATATAAAGCGGTCTGCGCCTCGCTGGGCGTCAAGCCGCGCCTCATCTCATCAAACCTTCAAAGCAAGGCGGCGGATAATGAAGCTCCCTCTTTACCAGACATCTCACAGGAGGATCAAGAATCGACCAACAAGCCTCGCGTATGGTCGTTCATGGAGGCCGCGAAGAAAGCAGGGACTGATGGACTCAGCTTCTAGTCTGGATCTGTCCGCATAGCCGAAAGAGAATGAGAGTCAGGTTCGCTCAATGCTCGTGCGGGGGATCTTGAGCAGAAGAGATGTAAGGCTATCATATTTCTGCAGATGAGGTAGAGATACGTCTCTTTCCAAAAAGCTTTTCATTCTTTCCGACCACTTTGGTTGTAGACACCGTCCTTCTTGAACTTGACCTCGACAGGACCGGTTCCAATCCCATGGAACAAACGACAACAGAATTATGTCCATATACTGGGTGGAATGCACGAATATTTCCGGGTTCCTGTTTGACGGCAATCGCCAATGTCGCCTGTCACGGCAGTTTGGTTCTCCGGCCATGTAGACTCTGTCGGTGGAGCGCAAGGGCCAACCCAAGAGCGAAATAGAGTGATGTATCGACTAGGCTCCGCAAGTTGGTCATTTAGAGGGTTCACAGACCTTCCTGGAGTGACAAGATATAAAGACTCGTCGGCGAGCTATGCATTTAGCTTGTCACCACACTTTTCATCTCGTTCCTATCTTCATACAGTCGCGTATTTACGACTGTTCCGGTTCCGTCCAAACACCAGCGGCCCTGGAACATCCCGAAGCGAGTATAAAGATCGTAGGCCAGCAAATTATGGCCCTTTGGCCTTTTGCCTCTACCTCACCTTCCTTTGGTTTTTTTCTCTCGAGTTTGTTCGCCATGGCCACAATAGCCCTGGCCTTGCTCGCGCCTCTCCTTTATACCAACACAAATGCCTTGCCTATTCAGAGCAATGAAGGCCCCGCTTGGCAACCCTATGGGTGTTACACGTACGTAGACGAAGCGAAGTTATATTGTCAGTTGCTTATGCTGCGTTTGGCACCAGTGACAACGTCGCGGCACGCACTCTGTCTGGTGCGGAGCTCGTCTCAGAATCGATGACTACGGCCACATGCCAAGCCTTTTGCTTTTCCAAGGGGTACAAGTATGCCGGTACAGAATGGAGTCGCGAATGCTGTGAGTAGGCCGAGGAGTCAACAGCACGAGCTAAAAGGGTCTTCAGTCTGTGACAACGAGTTCCGCAACGGAGGCGTCCGCACGAATGAAGGATGTGTTATGAAATGCACTGGAGCGGCCGACGAAGTCTGTGGTGGTGATATCCATCTTACTGTCTACGAGAATACTGGAAGCCTCTCTCCGCCACCGCTCAACTACGTCGATTGGGAATCCAAAGGCTGCTACACCGATTCTGTTGCCAATCGAGCCCTTCCAAACCAAGTCTACATAGACGGGGACATGACTGCGGACAAGTGCATGTCCAAATGCTTCAGCTTGGGCTACCCACTCGCCGGTGTCGAATTCGCCCGCGAGTGCTTCTGCGGTAGTTCTATTGGCTCTTCTGGAATTCCAGTTACGATTGGATGTGATATGCAGTGCACTGGCAACGCAAACGAGATTTGTGGTGGCGCAAACCGTTTGAATATATTTCAGTACACCACCACTCCATCTCCTCTTCCCTCGTCTGGCGGATGGTCGCTCTACGGCGAAACTGGATGCTATACGTGCGTGTGACACAGTCTCTTCTGATATTTTGTTCTAACCAAAGGTAGGGATGTCGTCGCCAATCGCGCACTCGGTCTTCGGGTCTATGTCGACGGTGCGATGACCGTGCCAAAGTGTACCGAAAAGTGCTTCTCTTTGAAATACGGATACGCAGGTGTCGAATATGCCGACGAGTGCTATTGCTCCCACTCGATTGGCTCATCTGGCATGCCGGCTGAGGATGGATGCACTATGGTGAGAATCTGTCCCGAATTGAAAGCAAATTTTGATTTGGTAGCCCTGCACTGGAGATTTATCTACCATTTGTGGCGGCCCCGACAGAGTCAACATCTACGAGTATCAAGGCAAAGATTTCCCAGCTGGTGCGACCGTCCTTGCATCATACAAGGAATTTTCCAGTCAAGGCTGTTACACCGACTCCGTTCAAGCGCGTATAATGAACCAAGTTGGAGTTGACGATCAGATGACGGTGGAAACGTGTATCGATACCTGTATTGCCGCTGGCTATCACGTCGCTGGAGTTGAATATGGAAACGAGTGCTATTGCTCGGCGACATTGCCCGTGGAGAGCGCCAAAGCGACAGACAACTGTATCATGTCGTGCGCGGGAGACTCGGGTCATCTTTGTGGGGGACCCAACCGCCTTAATGTTTATCAGTACCAAGTGCCTGGGTCAACTTCCACGGAACTTTCAGGTACTTTCATGTCCAAGGTGCTTAACTGGCGTTGACCTTGTCAAAGAGAGCAATGCCGAGACACCGACATCTACGACCTCGAATATTATCTCAACATCTACAGATACGACTGTTTTCAGACTGCAGCACCTACCATCATTCTTCCCCACTGGGATACGGTGGGATGTATCACGTGTGTTTTCTCTTCTTCTTCCTCAATCGACTCATCAAGCTTGCAGAGGCTGGGACCCGAGCACCAATTCCAAGTACTCGATGAAATTTGGACCCTATCTTTCTACTACCATGTGTGAGAATCAATGCATTCATAGAGCACCAGGCTCATGGTATGCTTCGGTGCGTGACGGGGTAGGTCTTTCATCCTGATGGGCATCTCTATACTGATAAAATTCTCAGTGGTGCTGTGTGTATCAATTAGAATCGATATCTACACCTACTAATACCATCCCTCACAGACTGTTATGAAACAGAGCCTCTGGCCGCTTATGACGCCACCTCGGACGCATGTAACACGGTTAGATTCACTTCTTGTTTCAGTTTTCGGTTCTCTTATCTCATGCAGCCATGCCCCTCGGACCCTCGGCAGATGTGTGGAGGCACCTCTGTCAGTACGATGCCTCGATCCGTCTGCCACCTCTCACACTACTGTAGGCTACTGTTCTCAAATTTACGCCTCCATCACTACCCACTCCAGGATCATACAACGACTGGACATATGTCGGCTGTGGCGAGTAGGTATCCCTTCATGTATGTTCCGTCACCCTGCTGATGGAAAATAGGGGAACATTCAACTGGGATATTAGAAGCCCACGTACCTCTCTGACCGCAGACACACCAGCTTACGAAACATGTCTGGACTATTGTGGACAAAACGGATCTGTCGCCGCTCTCCAGGATACAGTGAGGCCTCTCAGCAAGATTTCTCATATATCTGATCTCCTTTTAGCTTTGTCGTAAGGACTTTATTCCTCTCACTAGCAAGTCCCCCTTAAATCTATCTAGTCTGTCTTTCGTCTATTCCGGGAGAGCTCACATACGGATCGGATTTGTGTCTCTCCGTATGTATAGACGGTATTACGCGATTATCTTGCTGATTTTCCACTAGACTGTTGGCACAAACCCCTTGGAGATTGTCGGCACAGCTGACTGGCAATCCAACATCAAATCGACCGTGAGGGTTTAATACTTTTCAATAGCGCGCCTCATTGCCTTCCCCTAGTTCCAAGTATTCCAACGGGTGGCATCAACTAGCAGTACAACGTCCACTCCGACACAGGCATCTACCAGTGCATCCACAGACGTCGCTTCTACACAAACAAGCGTTCCTCTTAGCCCGCCATTCTTTGCAGAACTTGGCTGCAGCAGGTCAGTCTCCAACAATCTCAGTTCCACTTCATTTACGCCTATCAGTGACATAGACCTGGATTCAGCGCCCGTTTCTTTACCATTGGGAGATGACCTCAGTCACCAATTGTGCGGTGTGCTGTGCACTTATTACATGGCGACGTATGCAGCCTTAAATCAAGGGGTATGTTCAATACTCTCTCGCTTGACTTTTAACCTTAATTCCAAAATCCAGGTTTGCTGTAGGTGGTCACTTTCAAGATTGCTAACGATACTCACTTCCTCTTCAGATTGCTTTGACCAGGAACCCACCGCTACGTTCAATGCTGGAGGATCGTGCAACACGGTATTTTGAACGATACTGGCTTCTTTGCGCTTATTTATACTCTAAGCATTGCCCTGGCAACTCGGACACTCTAAACGAGTCATGTGGAGGATCAGGACGCGAGGTATGTTCAGGGCGCTGTAGCACTCCTACTGACAGGGCACTAGGCAACGGTTTTAAGATACTCTCCTCCGCCGAGGAATATTGCTTTTCCACAAGGATGGTCGTCCCTAGGCTGCGCTGCGTGTGTACTCATCAGATTCGTTCGAATATTCCGCTTACGCTCTCACCAGAAACGTTCTCTTACCGAGCAATCCTGAAACGGTCCACGAGAATATGCCTGAAGACGAACCTGCCTATGACCATTGCCTCAATTTCTGTGCCGACAAGGGGAATTATGCCTTGCTAATTGGACCTGTGAGTGCTTTCTCATTAGGAGACCCCATTCTGACAAATTACAGCACTGTTGTACGTTTCTGACAGATGCATTCCAGTAGCAAACTGAACGCATTACAGACTGTCAGACCGCCGTCCCGGAGGATCAAACATTTGATTCACCTCTTTGCATCTCGGTGAGTAGATCAAGATATTTTCAGGGCAGCTAGAATTGACGCGTCCCAGCAATATGGTAGCAACCTGGGAGATGCAGTCGGCACAATACACAGTTGGAATTCTGCACTAAACACGGTATGTTGATGATACTAAGGTTTTCTCTGTATGATCTGAGGCATTTCCTAGTATCAAGTGTTTGTCCAGACCCGCACCAAGTAACTGCGTCTTCTTTCTGTTGTTTCTTCTCATCTGTCGCTTCTCGTTTGTCTTTTCTTGGAGAGTCTACCTATGATATTGTCTTCTAATCATTATTTAACTCGTGAGACTAGGGTCGAGGTGTGACCGGTATCATCTTGTTATTTTGCTCCCCAACCATGTCGACTATTCCCGGAACGCAGCAGCTGCGCTTCCGAAAACCGTCGCGGCCATCTTCGGCACGGAGTGCGACTTTACCTTCACCAAAACCCGCGGGGTCTACTGAGAGCCTGCTCAGAGAGAAGACGACCGCCTACAAGTGAGCTGGAAGTTCCTGGCTGCGAGCCGTCCTAAAGAATCACTAGACCCACAAGCAAGGGAGTTTCATGGTGCCCAAGCTTCCTCACAGCTGTTAGAATCCTTCTTCTTGTGCGGTTTTGCTCCGCCATGTTTTCCAACATTTCCGACTGTGACGAAGGTTCGCAAGATTGAGTTTATTTTTGGACTCCTAAACTCAACTTGACTAGTCTTCAACTTCTGGGAGCCCCTACACTATTTACAACGAGGCTATGGGTTCCAAACGTGGGAGGTCTCACCGCAATTTGCCATCAGAAGCTGGGCATACATCTTTTTGCACTACCCATTCGCCACAATAGGTACTTTTCTGTCTAATGGAAAGGTGTGTATGGTGTGACTTGCTCCTTGCGGACTAAGGATTTTCCAGGGCGTGTCGTTCTTCGCTGTTCGTGGCGTACTCTCGTTGATCTCGACATTATGTGAAGCAAAATTATTCCGTTCAATTGTCGAGAACGTCAATGAGCGTGTCGGGATCTATTTCTTCTTCATGCTCTTGACGAGCACGGGTATGTGGAGTGCATCAACGGGTGAGTGCAGCTGCCACTATGCGTTTTCCTCTCTCATCAATACAATAGCCTTTTTACCCTCGACCTTCGCCATGTACTGCAACATGGTCGCCTTTTCGTTTGCCCTCTCACCAGCTAAGAGCAAACGGCCTGGATCGACGGATATCAGAACGATGTCGGCGACGTTATTATTCGGCGCTGGTGCAATCGTCGGATGGCCGTTCAGCATTCTCGTCTCGCTCCCTTTCGTATTCGAAGAGCTCTTCGTCTATAGTGGAGACGTCGTTCCCGATAGTCTAGCAGGTTCATGGATTGTGGAGAGGTGGATCCGAATGGTTGGATCTGTTACGCTAACTTCATTACTCTTCGTAAGGGCACCGGTTTATCATTGTACCAGCTGACGACTATTTCAGCTGCCTGTCATTGGGATAGACAGTCTAGCATACGGAAAATTCGTTGTGGTTCCTTGGAACATCATTCGCTACAATATTTTCGGCGGCTCAGAACGTGGACCGGACCTCTATGGCACAGAACCGTGGTATTTCTATCTCTTCAACCTCGCTCTCAACTTCAACGTTTTGCTCCCATTGGCACTTCTCTCTGTGCCAGCATTGATTGTCACACACCGTGTTGACTATAGTCGGTTGGGCATCAAGAAACACACTGATCACGAGAGTTCTCCTTATACTCTCCTCGTTATTAGACTGGCTCCATTCTATCTTTGGTTTGGTGTCCTTACAGCACAGGCACACAAGGAGGAAAGATTCATGTTCCCAATATACCCTTTCCTTTGTTTCAATGCTGCCGTCACACTCTATCTAGTTCGAGGTTGGTTGGAGGCGCTCTACATTAAAATGACATCACAATACCAGGTAAATGGGTGCTTATAGATGGGACCATATATCTGACACTTTTCTAGGCATCGCGTACTTCAACCATGAGGCTATTCACGATGAACGTGATCATTGCAACCACAGTAATTTCTTCGCTTCGGATAATCGCACTTTACGCATACTATCACGCGCCAATGACCATGGTGTATCAACTGGAACATGTCGAGTTACCTCGACTCCTCAACGCCACCAATCTCTTACCGCCTCTACCACCCACTCGTAACAAGAAATACGATAACGATGTCTCTGTGGATCTTTCCCTCATCAAAGAGTTCGACCTGCGGTTGTGCATCGGCAAGGAGTGGTATCGTTTTCCCAGCCATTTCCTTGTCCCTGATGGGATTGAGGTGCGCTTCATGAAGACCGCGTTCGACGGTTTGCTTCCACAACCATTTCCTCCAAGCAAAGGCGATTCCGTATGGGCCTGGGATGGCACACGGGAATCCTCTCCAGGCTTGAACGACTTGAACATGGAGAATCCCACCTTCTATGTGCGTTGGAGTTTGCATTTGTTCACATTTATCTGACGCTCATAGGTCGATCCTTCTACGTGCGACTATATTATCGACCTCGACTTTCCCTCGCGTGAATATCAATCACGAGACTCGTGGTTCACCTACGACAAGGCCAACTGGGAAAAGGTTCATTGTCGCCAGTTCCTAGATGCCGAAAACTCGCCAGCATTGTCCAGGATACTTTGGCTCCCTGGCAAAAGATGGTGGAACATGAATATGTATGGTGATTACTGCCTGCTCAGGAATCAAGAACGTGCCTCGACGAGAGAGGGGGGAGGAAGCACACTATATTGAGTATGTGTTCGATAGGATGCTGTCTAATCTAGGACTTTATTCGTTGCCTGTATTCGGGTGTGTGGGTGGCCCATGATTTGATTGTTGGTTCCCCGGATTCCCACTGAACATCTGCATCATGGCAAATTGGGGATTCACATAGGCCCCTGGTGCCGGTCCGCCCAGTGCCATGCTTATGTCCAGCCCAGCAGGAGGTCCCTGGTATTGCTGAGACATCATGTACGACCATGGTGCTACTCCATTGAAAGACTGCATTGCAGGTTGCTGTGGACTCCCTAAACCCAGTCCGTAGTGCATACTCGCAAACGCTGGATTGTATTCCTCCGCGCCACCAGCGTACTGGGAATGTGCTACCCGTGGATTGTATGACTGTCCAATATTTCCGTAAGGACCAGCGCTGTTCATCCCTGCACGACCCCGTCCTCGTCCCCGTCCTCTTCCTCGGGATGACCCACCTCGGAAAGCGGGCCCAGCTGACGATGATTGCGACATCCTGTTGTTTTGAAGCCCCGGGATTCCTACTCCCGAGTTTGATCCTCCATCTTCCTCGTCATAAGGCAGAAAATCGTTTTCTGGATCTTTGACTTCTGAAAATACAGAGCTGGATCTCGATGCAGATCCACTTCGTTTTCGTTTTCCGTTGTCACCACCCTTTCTCTTTCGTTTCCATTCTTGCTCAGCCTCGTCGTCACTAAATTCCAGCTCGTCTTCTCCAACTTCCTCGTCGTAGAAATTGCTCGCGTCATTGCCTTTATGTAACCGAATCTGGCTCGTATACGCAAACGTGCTTCGTGACGGGCAATAAAAGACATAATGCTTAGTTGTCTCCGAGGATTCCGTCAGTCGTGGAGGAAGGTGTGACGCAGAGGGGAATCGAACAGAGTATAGCGGAGCTGAGAGAGGTCCAAACGTCTCGAATACCTCGAGAAGAGTGAGCGCCTTCGTACAAGGTTTGCGGGAGACACTCACAAAACCCAAGACTTTGCGGTCCTCGAACACGAGCAAGCTCTCCGTGTCCAGCACTCTATGCATACCATGTTCTAGACTTTTGACGACCACAACGCTATCGACAACGCTCAACACCTCCCCAATTTGCTCGATTGCTTCTTCCTCTGGAACCTCAGTGATGGAGGGCATCACCACTTGGGGGACAGTGATCTCGTGAGCAGTAGCAACTAAGTGTTGCTTCCCTTTGTCGTCGTCCATTGAATCGTCGTCGGAATCGTCGTTCATGAGCCTGGCTACCCCTTGTCGCAATTTCTCATGCCGCTTAGTAGCCCTTTCGTTGTCAATGCCACCCTCTTGCATAGGGCCGGACGAAGAATTATCGCTGTCGGACGAGTCGTCGGAGCTCTCCGTTTCCGACGACTCCTCGTCGTTAGAAGATTGGGAATCTTCCTCTGAAGAGGATGCTTCTTCTGATTCTTCATCTGAAGAAACGGCTTGAAGTCCATGCTTTGCCAAAAGAGAGCTAATTTGTTGAGTGGTACATTTGATATTGGCCGAGTTGTACTCACTTCAGTGAAAGGGAATCCCCTGGTGTTGTTTGAGACGACGTTGCCACTGTTATGGTCTCTTTAGCGGCTTTTTTGACACCAGGGGTCTCTTCAATGCCAGGAATGTCCCCATCTCCTTCCTCTCCTGTACCATTGTCCGAAGGCGACCCAGTTGCTTCTTCATGGTCCCTTTGGCTCGTCGTGACTCTTTGGGTAGTTGTCAGATGAGTTTCATCTTCCCCTAACGAGGCCACTGGACCTCACATGGGATCATTCTTGCCAACATCCTTGTTTGCGTTTGGGAGATCCAAATCTTCTGGTCGCAGGGATTCTGCAATAAGCTTGACGTCCAAAGGGGTATCCGCGCCAGACTCCATCCTCGCCACTCGGAAAAAAGTATGCAAATATGGGGGAGACCAAACTTGGAAGCCGCTGCATCCCAAGATAACTTGAACCCTGCCTGGCTATCCTCATAATAACTAAACACGCATTATAATGGCCACATACGAGTCCTTTCGACGTCAAGCAAGGACGTTGGAGTCTGTGCTCGATTCCAAGATGGCGACGTATTCCCGCCTTGGAACTAGTCTAGGCGCACACGACATGTCCGACCTTGAATCAGGTTCCAATGATCGATGGAGTGACTTGGAAGCAGAGATTGAGGGCCTTTTCGAAAAGGTGCGTGTCACCAACGGCGCTCGCAGGGCGCTTTGACGTGTAATCGATAAAGCTCACCGGTTCCTCAGCTCACGGAAACAGTGGAAGAAATGGCTGCATTGCTCAACAATCCCTCGTCTCCTCCGACGCAGAGCATGCTGCATACCGTCCAGCGGCACCGTGATGTGCTACAAGATTACAAGACGGATTACAGAAGAACTAAGACGAACCTACAACACGCCTTTGATCGTGCAAACTTGCTGAACAACGTCCGAAGCGATATTGAATCTTACAAGACGGCACACTCGAGTACAACAGACGCGTTGCTCGCAGAAAGAAATCGTATTGATAGTTCGCATCGAATGACTGACGACATTCTGGCCCAAGCGTATGAAACCCGAGCAGAGTTTGGGCGACAACGAGCGTCAATCGCCGGAATCAACGCTAGGATGGGAAATGTAATATGTATGTCAAGTTGAGGCAGCTCTCATTTCCCAGTATTGACGTTCCCTTCTCTCTCTCAGCTTCTATGCCCGGTATCGACAGTCTGCTTGGGATGATTCGCACGCGCCGTCGACGAGATGCGGTCATTATGGGTGTAGTCTTTGGAATTGGTCTTGTTGTGATCCTGAGGTATCACTGGGGGTGAACGTATCAAGGCGGCTGGCACCTCTTGCACGAGAGCGTTTGTCGGGCTCGACGATATAGAGCACGAGAGTTATGCATATAGGATATTTATTGCTTAATACAGTGTTATTTGATGTTGCAGTATCCACCGAACTGGGTGGCTACGTTCCTCGACCTGACCGCCTGAGTTTGGATCTGTCCGGTCAGACGATGAATGTTCATGGGGTTGCCTATGCGCCTCAACAAGCACCTCCGGCTGCGTTTTATAACGCTCAGAATAAGGGGACTCTCCAGCCCGGCCAGGTTATCCAAATCCAGTCGCTAACAGTCACCGTCGAGCGGTTTTTGAGCCAGGGTGCGCGATAATCTGCACAATCTGCGGTATACGCGCTAAAATATGCTCGGAATGCTCACATCAGGCGGCTTTGCGCATGTTTACCTCGTCAAGAGTGCAACACCCGTCAATGGCACCCAGCACCATGTCCTTAAAAGAATGCTCGTCGCTGATCATGTAATGCTACAAGATGTCAAGAAAGAAGTTGATATCATGGTATGTTGGTCTGCTGGTCAAACGCGCTGCCACTGGCTCACAGGCCCCGATCCTTGCCCATCCAGAGGATTCTCAGAGGACATCCGAACATTGTCAACCTCATTGATTCAGCATGGAATCAACTACCAGATGGCCGTTTCGAGGTGTTCATTCTTATGGAATTTTGTGCAGGCGAGTTTCCCTCTTGCTAATTTCTTCCCTCGGACGGATACCTCAACCCTTGATACATTACTCCTGATTTACGGATCATTAACCGTGATAAACTACGCAGGAGGCGGAATTATCGACATGATGAATCGAAGACTTCGGGAGAGACTCACCGAGGGCGAAATTCTGCAAATTTTTGTCGATGTGTGCGAAGGTGTAGCTGCGATGCATAATTTACAACCCCCGCTCCTCCATCGGGATCTAAAGGCACGCAGACAGCTCGGGGTTGGCCTCTTCTGACACATCAGCAGGTCGAAAACATTCTCCAAGCCAACGAAACGAGCTTCAAGTTGTGCGACTTCGGTTCAGCGACGTCTGTGACCAAAGCACCGACTACTGCCGCCGAAATGCGCGCCTTGGAGTACGACCTAAATCGGCACACGACGCTACAGTATAGAGCCCCGGAAATGGTAGATCCTCAGTTGCGACGGCCGATTGATGAAAAGTCGGGTAAGTAGGTCTCTTCAAAGGAGAGTGGAATCCTGATTGCCTGCAGATGTTTGGGCACTCGGAGTGCTACTTTACAAGCTCTGCTACTATACCACACCATTCGAAGAGCACGGCCCTCTTGCGATCCTCAATGTACAATATAAGCTTCCCCCGTACCCTGTTTACTCTTCCGGCATGATTTCTTTGATCAGTATGTCTCCTTGTACATTCATTGCTCACGAATCTCACCGACTTTCTCAGCGTCTATACTCAGAGAGTACGGAACCCAACGACCCAGTGTATTCGAGATCCTGGACACCGTACATCGTATGAGAGGAACGAAATCACGATACAGATATGTAAGTATGACCTATGTGGGATGCCTTTGGGTCTTACTTCCTCTAGGCACCACGACCTGTAGCGGCTCAATCACCTATCCCGAAGTCTCCGGACGACATTGTATCCTTCCGAGTATCCCAAACCCAGAAGGACCTCAAGTCGCCTCTGGTTTCATCCGCCGCCCAAATTCGACAAGGGGTTATGGAGGCAATCGCCCCTATGCGCCGTGGACGTCCTAACGCCCTAACATCAAACACACCAGCAGGTGGAATGTATGCCGACGATCTCGATCTCCCTACGCCAAGAAATGCGCATTTCAAAAGCGCGACCACATCTGAGAAGTGGAATCCACCAGCTCGAGAGGCGCCGGCAGTCCTGGGAGGGAGCAATCGGACTGTTCACCAACGCCTGCAAAGTCAAGAATGGATTCCATCACGGGCGACCAAGGAACCCAGTAAACCGCAGGCGTCTCCGTGGGATGGGCTTGGAAGCTTGGACGCGACTGAGAAGGCCCAAGCGGCTCAGGCAGGTGGCTTTGGAGATTCTTTTGACCCCGCTATCATGGCAGCAAGGCGGAATCTCCAAAATATAGCCGCTACAAGCCCTCCAGCCTCTAGTTCTTCTGGATCAACAACACAGCAGCCATCGCCATTCCAACCGATTACATCGCCTCCTGCATCAGGCACCCAGCAATCTCGCTTCACTATGCCTACACCGAGCCGCCTGCTCCAGGCACCCCGACCGCCGATGCAAACAAAGCCCAAGGACTCTTTCGATGATATCCCAAATCTATCAATGTCAGCGCCTACAGCATCCATTCTACGCCCTTCGAGTAATGCTTCGACGCAGAATGGTTTGGTGTCCGCCTTCTCTCGACCGTCCACTGCTGCTGAATCAATCGCTTCAACGGGGACAGGACTTTCCTCTGCAGCTGTTGTTGAAGGATCTGCCGCACTATCTGCCGCGGAGCGATTTCCTTCAATCGAACAACTAGAATTTGGAGGTCGAGAAAAACCTGCGCCTCCCGTTGGGCCGCGTGCTCCTTCTCCGATCAAGCCAAGTATGTATTCGCAAAACCGACCTCCGGCATACTCTCAGCTCTCGAGGATGAGCTACACTGGAGGCTTGGCATTGGACCACGATATCATCACACCTCCAGCGGGTGCACCAGTGAGCGGTGTTCGATCGCAGCAAGTGACTGGGACGGCCATGAAAGGAGCAAATGTTGCGACGCCAAGTGCAGCTGCCTCAAATACCCAAACCAATGCGAACCCTCCACCCACATCCAAGCCGCCTGCATTTTCGCATACTCCTGCAACACCCACCAAGTTCCCTCCAACGGAGCGACCACCAAGTCGCTTCCCGACAGCGGAGAGACCAATAGCTCCAGGAAGAAAGGGAGTATTGGCACGAAGACGGCAAGCATCCATGGAAATCAAAGCTGAGCCTTCACCACTGGCTCGTGCTCCTCAAGAGCAAGATCTCTTGGGCCAGAGCCTCCTTTCCATCAACCAGCCTCTGGTCACCCAACGAACTCCATCTCCTTCCGCTGTTCCTCAGCGAGACTGGCTCATGGACGAAGACATTGTGCTAAACAACATCCCAAAGGCGTCGACTGGCTCGCTCCAACCGCGGTTACCAACGCCAGAGCCATCTTTTGTAGATCCCAACAAGGCAAAACGCGCCACCATGGGGACCGCGTTGATATCGAACGGACGAGTACCACCTGGGGCGCCTCCTGGTATGGAGACTATATTGGCGAACTGGCAACGAGGGGGCATAACCAATCCTTCCACCTATCAACCTGCGAACATGCAGCCCACATCATCATCCTCATCAACGTCTGGAGTGGCATTGCCTGGGCTTGTAGGGAAACCAGGTGGAGATCCTCGACCACCTTTAACGAGGATGAGGTCCAATACAGCCTCCCGGATAATGCCTGGAGAACAATCTCCTCCACTTCTTCCATCTCGCATGACAACACAACAACAACAGCAGCAGCAGCCACAGCAGCGTCGTCTACCATCCCCACAGCCGGAAAATAGGCCGACACTGACAGAGAATTGGAGTCCTGTCGATCAGCAGTTTCCACCTCGGGCTAAGAGTACCTTTGGGGAAACACAGACAGGTGCGGACTCGAGCGGCAATGAGGATGGTCCAGAGGACGTAGAGTCTACGACACTACGGCAGATGCGAGCCAGGGTTCACATAAGGGATTCAGAAGCCGCTTCATCGAATCAAAAAGCACAGGAAGTCGAGACGCAACGACAGCACCAAGCTCGTCAAGGCTCGGTGCACGATCTGATCGATGTATGGAGCACAAACTCTAGAGCCACAGGAAGCTCCGGAAAGGAAAGCTTGTCCCAGCAACTCGAACACCAGAGGCTGCCCTCTAGAGATCTGATGAGCTTCCAAGAGCCTGTACAAAGCACTAATATGACGAACCAGCAGGCTGCCGCTGCTGCAATGAGCCGGGCGATGCAATTATTTCCTCCTCTCGAGTCTCTGGACCGAAGACAATCTCCCGCTTCTGCAAGTGGCTCGGAGAAGGATGTAGATGCAGCTCGGCCACAGCCTCAGAAGCGTAACTCTGGGCCAAAAGTGCGACCCGCACAGTTGCCTTTTGAGCGTGCACGCCCGCAATCCTTGTTCATCGCTCCCGCTCCTTCGTCAGCACCCCTTCATCATATGCGAAATTCCCCCCAGGACTCGCTTCCTGTGCCAAGCCCCAGTAGTTCTAGTCCATTCGACCGCCAACGCAGCGGTAGGCGAGGGTCTATCTCCGACATGGTATCAAAATACGAAGCACTTTCGGTGGTATCATCCGGCTCTGGGTATACGGCGTCCAATGAAAGTGGTCCTATGAGCCCGCGACCAAAGCCACCTGTTGGAGCCAAACCGGCGCCTTTGCGTCCAGGAGGCGTACCCCCGAGTGCGTCTTCATCTCCTGTCGCCCGCAAATTGCCCGTGCTGAAGACCCCTACAGCAAATGTGGCATCTCCTGGGAACGCTTTTCTTCCTCCTATCGATCCTGTGGCGTTACACCAACAGCAACAGCAGCATAGAGAACCGAAGATGAGTGCGCCTGTCAAGATGCGGACCTCGCCCCTGCTGTTCAAACCGGCGGAGTTCCCTAATGAGCCAACTCAGCCGCCATACTCAAACTATGCGAAGGAAAGAGAATCCCCTGTCGAATCTCAAAGAGCAGGTGGCAGCGTTAGTGGTCTCTCAAGCAATTTCAACTATTCGAGCACCCACGGGACCAACTTGCAGCCTCCTGTCACGGCAGAGCGCGATCGTAGCGGTTCGCCTGCTTCACAAACTGGAACGGTTTCGGATGCAAACGATGATATTCTGCTTGTCTCGCCTCGGCCACGCCAAACGCCACAACAGTCCTTTTCCGATAATCGTTCGCAATTGTCGGTCTCTCAGCTACAACGTGAAAAGAGTCCACCACCCCCAAGTGAATCGCCGGAGCAGGTATACAAGGGTGTAGGAGGGCTAATCGACAAGTGGCAGAAAATGTCAGAGGAAGGTGAGGGCAAAGCGAGAGTAGGCATCCGGCCTGGTGGACCGCGCCAGCAGCGCAAGGGAAACACATAATTGACTGTCTGATCTGACTTGTTTCTGATCTGTGCTTCATGGGGGGTCTGTACTTTGCTATCTTTCTGCAACTTGTCCACTATTAATTGTCCATCTTGCCTCCTACCATTGCGGAAGGCGGACTGGCACGCCGTCTCCGGTCGTAGTCTGCAATCTGAACACCTTGAATCTACTCTTTACCTTGGATGGCAACTGACTATTGGGCATCCTCGCACAAGTATGTCAGTGCTTGAGCCCTAGATTGTCAGCACTGACGCCTTGCAACTCGTTGACACCTCCAGCAAGAAATGGGTCGTGGATAGACTAGCTTTATTCACATCACGCGCAGAGGACCTGCGGTTCACGACGCCAGAACACCTGGCATTCTTGCACATCTTCTTTGCCAACTGTTAGTAGCTATAGCTGGCTTATACAGAAAAAACTGACGAGAATGCGATATACAAACAAACGATGGTAGTGATATTCAAGATTGGCAAGCGGCTACATTTCCGTCAGCGAGTGATCGCCACGGCCACCGTGTTCTTCCGCAGATTCTATCTCAAGAATCACTTGTGTGATACGGAACCCTATATTGTGCTCGTCGCATGCTGCTATCTTGCGGGCAAGGCGGAGGAGCTACCCGCGCATATCAAAAACGTTATAAACATTGCCAACACTGTATTTGGTATGGAGATTTGGCAAATTTCCCGTGTTCTGACATTGACGATAGGCCCATAGGTGAACTAGGAGTATGGCCCGCGCCGCTAGATAACCACCGGCTGGCGGAGATGGAGTTCTATCTGGTTGACGAACTTGAGTGTGATCTCACCGTCTTTCATCCATACAGGTCACTTCTGGCTTTATGCGGGAAGGAGACTGATGAGGCGGGCATGGGCGGTCCTGGACACACTGGGCAAGAAACTGCTCCAGATCTCGGTGTCGGTGTCATTTCTGGGGAAAGGTACTGGGGTACTGGTGCTGGAAAGCTGCTATTGGATGACCGTACCCTTCAACTGGCTTGGTACGTGAGGATGCAAGACCAATCGATCGGCTAACGTCACATAGGCTTATAATTAATGACACATATCGAACCGATGTCTGCCTTCTATACCCACCGTTCTTGATCGCAATCGCTGCTATTTATCTCTCTCTGGTGAACCATGACCGCATTTCCAAGGCCCATGGCTCTCCGGACGACCCGCAGACGCAGGATGCCAGCGACCAACTACAGATATCAGCCTCAACTCCAATGGTCACAAGCCCCTCGCTTGTAGCTTCGACCCCCAAAGCTCCGACGGCCCCTTTAGGACCAGACCCTATTACTTTCCTCGCCAATCTCAACGTATCGATGGCTACTGTTGCAGCAATCGCACAAGAGATGTTGTCATTTTACACACTCTCTGCGAGATACGTGGACGACTCTGGAAATGGAGGCGCTAATGCTGCACAACGCCAGCGATCAACAGATAACGATGTGCAGATGAGCGACGGAACCAGCGAGAGTACTATTGGAGAGAAGGTGCGAGCACGGCAGCTAGTAGAAGTGCTTCGACGTATGCGGACTGAGAAGGAAAGGGAGAGTGAAGGCGCATCGATAAATTCGGTCGGACCTCTCATGTCTCCAACAGCCACTGTTGGAGTGCAGGGCAAGACTGGAGGTGCTGGAAGAGGAGGTCAGCCAGTAAACAAGAGGCTCGAAAGAGCACAAGCTGTAGGCTAGAAATATGCTATTCCAAATCGTGTTTACAATTGTATCCGCTTGAGAAGGAGAAAGTCCGGTGACCAAAGTTTCGCCACTTGGAACTTGGCCATCTCGACGCCCGAGGCAGCGCGCGTCCATCGTGCTTATAACGGAACCTTTCCACTCATATGCGCGTAATAGTTCAGGAATATCACGCAGTAGCTCAATGGCGATGGAAGATTGAGGGCAGGGATGAGACGGGCGATGAAGACGACGAGGATGAAGTATGCGGCATTTGCAGAATTGCCTATGATGGATGTTGTCCAGATTGCAAGTTTCCTGGAGACGATTGTCCGCTTGGTACGTGCATAAGAGCTCTTATTTCTCCGCCTAGATGACAAATTGACGGACATTCAAAGTTTGTGGAAAGTGCACGCATGTTTTTCATATGCATTGCATCGAAAAATGGATTGCAACACCTTCTAGCAATCGCCAGTGTCCCATGGATAGGAGAGTCTGGGGTGCGCCTGGCATCAGAGCTCGAGGAAAGTAGCTGACTCACTTTTATACAGTAAATGCAGGTGAAGCAGATCCAGTAGAGCCAGAGCAACCAGCACAAGAGCCATCCATGGACGCATAGCATCTTCTTGTAACTTGCCATCCAACCACGACTGACCTTTTCGACCCGTTGCCACCATGCAATCCCAACTCGTCAAATCTTTGAGCCTTTCGAGATGTAGACGGATAAATTCAGCGGGTTTTAAACGCGCTGGACCTTCCGTAACGCAACGACTAAATTCTACATCGGCACCCAAAACGAAGCCATCACCTGCGCTTGTACAGCAATTGCGCAAGGAAACGAGCTGCTCGATCCAAAAGGCAATTCAAGCCCTTTCGACGACGTCGAACGACTACCAAAAAGCAGTCGAATGGATCCAAGCTGACCTTGCGCAGGCTGGCCAAAAAGCAGCAACCAAACTTTCTTCGCGAACAACAAGCTCTGGACTCGTCGCACTGTCATCTCTTTCAAATGGTTTGGGTGTCGAGCGAATAGGCAATGTGGGCATCCCCCTAAGGGTCGGTGTCGTTGAAGTAGGATGTGAGACGGACTTCGTGGCACGGAGTAGTGTCTTCGAAAAGCTCTGTCGGGATCTTGCATGGTCTATAGGATTCTACGCCGACGAGGGCGGCGTCGGACCCTCGCGACAGTACATCCAAACTGTAGATGTCCAATCCATCTTGGAGGCACCAATGGTGTCCGAGCCGAGTGGAGCCGGGGAGGAATCGGCAGAGTCATCTGCGCGCCAATTCGAGGCGACATCACCCGCTATTTCGATCCAAACGGCCATTACGAATACCATTACACTCGTCGGAGAGAGATCACACTTAAACGGGCTGCTTCTGTCACAGCACTCCCGCTCCCACTCGAATCGACTTCCACTCTTTCAGCTGGCATGTACGCACACAACTCTACTGCACCAAAGGAGGCACGAGGTCTCAGTGGGACGATTGGAGGTGTCGCCCTGTTAAGACTCAAAGCCGACAACCTTCGTGGCCTTATCCTACCAGAGACCCAAGGCGGACACGGTACTGAATGGAGAGCAGAGTATCGTGGACTAGAGCGTGCGATTGCTCGGCAGTTGGTTGGGTTCGAGACAAACGGCTTGCGGGCGAAGGAAGGAGAGAATGGACCTGTAGATGACGGCCCAGCACCCTTGTACAGCCAGCCGTTCCATACCTATGGACCTCTCGCCGCTCGCATCGCGAGATATCAAAATCTAAATCTCGACACAGTTGGAGGTGCGTTAGATGCATGGGGTCCCGCGAGTGGCATGGAGCAGGGCTCAGTAGAGGTATTGGAATATCTCAAGTGGAAAGTGGGGGAGGAGACGCCATGAGGGAGTCGAAGCTACTTTATTTCTCGAGTTAATTGATCACCACTTATTCCACCGACGTTGCTCAGAGAAGGTTTGATCACTGAAGGGGCGAGCGTGTCTGCTTGTTCGTACCATCCTCATCGTGCTTCTGATGAATCTGCTCTCTCTCTCGCTTGACACCGTCGATCTGGTCCATGAGCTCCTTTCCATCTTCAAATACCTTCCACACCTCCGACGGAATACCTTGAAAAGCCCGTTCAAATCTCTCTGGGGCATTGAGTGTTTCCTCAAGCTTCGGGTTGACACCAACAACTTTTCGGATCCAGATCCGCGCAACGCGGCCCTCGTTAGCGTCTGGATTGGTCGCGCGCAGAGTTTCAAGATGATGATAGAATTGTGCATAGCTATAGTTGGGGTCAGCAAGGTGAATGAGGATCAAGAGAGTACGAACGCCTCTGGATCGGATTGGGTGCTGTCGCCCACACATACCCAGGTCGTACGGGGAAGCCACCCAGATACCTTGACCTAGAAGATTATGAGCGCACCCACAATGTGGAGAATGATAGACATACAAAGCGATCAAATTTGTATTCCTTGATGGGGATGGTGTGTAAGAAGGAATCGTTCACCCGACTATACCAACTATGGATATCAAACCAGCTAAGATCCCGAAGAATAATCATTCCATCTGGATAAGCTGAATCCTTGAGGAATTTGCGGAGAAAGGGGTAGAGGTTGTACGGGCTTGCACTAATGTAGAAGAATGGGGTGGGATGATCAGGCGTGGAGATTGCTTCATGCATCTTCTGGTACAATTCTGGCATACCAGGCGAATGCTGAGGAACGTTGACAAAGGTATTCCTCGTGAGCTGCTTGTGGTCATTGACACACGAAATCTTGACAGTGTCATCTACGTCACTGATCAAACTCCACCCTCCATCTTCTGCGAGGTATGTCGTGCCCGTCTCGTAGATGGCCGTAAGAGACTGGTGCTCTACACTCTCCTGCTGAAAGGATGAGACGGACATCTTGAGCGGACCATCTTGTGCATTCGGTATCGTGCCTGTGACTTCGTTGACAAGGGGGATATCAAGCACCTGAGAACTGATGCCATTTCCGTCCGACGGGCCGAGCTTGAGTTGACCACTCGAGGCACCGTTGAGCTCGTAGTCAATCTGTACGGTCATATTCGAAGCAATAGAGCGCAGGAACGGTGCAATACGTTCCTGAATGCGTTCCTTCGCTTTCGGATCAACATCCTCGGGTATCTCAAGCTCCTTCATGGCCAGAGTACACGCGTCTGTGGCGACAATATGCGTCTCCTTGAGATGGTGAAAGTATGCGGCGACGAATTCTGCCTTCCACGGCGCGGATGGGTTGCGCACGACGTCGCGGTAGGCGACATTGTCTAGCAGCCACACTAAGAGCTCCGATCAGTCACGGCACAGGAATCTGGATGAAGGAGACATGCCTTCATCGCGTTCACTCGCTGCAATACCGCCAGGCGGGATATGCGGCTTGAGCTTTTCGAGAAAGTGAAAGATGGCCGGCATGGACGAGTTAGAAGTGGTGGGGTCCAACTTGCAACACCTTGTTGACGTCCATCTAATCCCTCGACGTATTTTTAGCGGGTTTATTCTTGTCGTGGGTGGCTTTAAATGACGAGCGCTAAACCTGCTCCGAGAGTGGCGGAACCAGCTAACTCCATTCAATAGCCATATTATTAGTACACAAATCTAATTGTCCTTTTCAAATCATTGTATCCACTAGTTAACTCGACTGCCGGCTTGTTGTTTGAGAGCATTGATCTCGGAAAGGAGCTCGTCTGGATTTTCGAAAACCTTCCACACCTTGGGGTCAATCCCATCAAACGCCTTTTGGAACCGCTTAGGATCATTGAGGTCCTTTTCTGCAGATGGGTTGACTCCCACGACTGTCGAGCATGAGCGCAAGGCGTAGCAATATTGTCAGAGGACCTGACCTTTGTGAATCCAGATACGTGCAACACGTCCGCCTTGACCATTTTTCTCAAGCTGCTTGTAGAACGTCGCATAGGCTTCCGGATCTGTCTGCGTGCTGTCGCCGATACAGACCCATGTCGTTTTCGGAAGCCAGGTCGAGACCTTTTTCTGTCCGAAAACGTCAGAATTGTCAGATAGTGACTGTTTACATACCATGCGATCCTCTTTATACTCTTGTGTACCTACAGTTAGCGAGACTACAAAGCTCTTCAAAGTACTCAGTCTCAGAGAATTCGACGAATGCATCAACTCACCTCCATCGCCATCCAGCTCATATCTCGGAGAATCATCATTCCGTTCGGGAATCCCGCATTCTTGATGAATGAGCGGAGGAACGGATACAAATTATACGGCGACGCGGATAGGTAGACAAACGGGGTCGGATTCGATGGTGTTGAAAGTGCGTCATGCAACCTCTTGTATAGCTCCGGCATACCCTGTACAGGCTTGGGCTCCTTGACAAACGTATTCTTGAGCAAGGCGAGTCGATCTCGGACTTGGGTAACCTTGATTGTATCATCAATGTCGCTTATCACACCGAATCCACCATCTGCAGCAAAATATGTGTTTCCTGTTTCGAGCATGGCTGTATGCGAGCCTTCGCTCAGGCTTTCCTTTTGCTCATGTACGACGCCCATCTTGAGTGCTTGACCCGGTTGCATACCCTTTCCTCCGAGGGGCACATCAAGCTCCTGAGAGAGAATACTTGTGCGTCCTGTCAGTCTCCACAGCTAGCCAGTCGAGAGAGCTAGACTAACCCATTTGCGTCGCTCGGCCCCAATTGAATCACCTTCTTCACACCCTCGTATTCAATCTTGACCGACATATTCGGACCAATCTGCCTCACAAAAGGCGCGAGGCGGTCCTTAATACGGTCCTCCGAAATTTGATCATCCGGAGCAAGGTTGAGTGTTTGCGTCAAGTCTGCAATCGCTTTTACGACCTTTTCCCGGATTTTGCTGTTGTCATCGAAAAAGGCGGCAACATATTCGGCACGCCAAGGTTCGTTGGGGCCTCGACGAAAAGCGAGATTGTCGAGCAGCCAGACTTCATCATGATGGTCTGCTGGTTTTCCTTTACCTCCAAAGAGCCCACCAGTCAGCTTGGACAGCAGATTGGAGAATGGCGGCATTGAAGGCGGTCTTGGGCTCAGTCGCAGCTAAGGAAGGTCCTGTTGGTGGAAAGGGAGAAGAAGCAGACTTGTTCGGGTGCCATTTATACCTCGAACCTCGCCCCCAACTCGTGTTGCTCGTGTTGACATGCTTGACGAATGCCGCGCTCGGGTGACATCACGCGACTAAAGTTATAATGCCGGTTTGTTGTAAATGCATCATAAACACCAAGCAAATAGCCTTTGGCATGAAATGTGGCACTCTGGGGCTTTAGGACGCGTCCGATTCGTGCGGAGTAGCATGACTGCCCACCATGACGCGCGAATGATGAACACTCGACCACCGCTATAGCGAATCCACGTTAAACGGTATCTATTCGAACTGGCACTAGAAACATGCACGGTGTCGAACAGGTCATGGTCCAAAGCGACAGTCCTGTACAAAAACATGGTATTCGTATATCTGATGTCTACAGATATAAAGGGGCATATGCATCACCTACAATTCCTTCTTCTGCGCGTCCACTTTTTTCGCGTCCTCCCAGTGTCCTTCCTTGTCCTTTTTGCGAACGGTAAAGCATGCAATGCCGAGGTATTCGGTGATATCGTTGATGACAAGGTAGACGAAGCGACCGTACGAGACCAACGAGATCAGGAGCGTCGCATAGATAGCCAGTGCCCGTCGCTCGGGCGTAGTTTGGAAGATTGGCTCTCTAGACCGACCGTCAGCCCGTTTCTCACATGGCAAGAATTACTCACTTGTCAAAGAGCCACTTGGAGTTGAGATCAACTGCGAGGGCACCAGTCCAGAGCCACATTGCATCAAAGATGGGGAACGGCTGGTGCGTAACGTGCGCAAGGATCATCAGTCCGACCTGGTGTGCAAATTGAAGTCCCCATGCACAGAGGAACGGGACGAAAAGTGGGCTGTGGATGATGGCAGACCCGTTATAGTTGGGATACGAGAGCCAGAGTACATTGAGTGCACAGGAGATGGGAAGTGGCATCAGCCGTACGATTGGCATCAGTACCGAGCGTCCCTGAGCCTTTTCGTGTTTGTAGACATTATAGTAGCTGACGAAATCAGCGAGGTGATCATGAGAATGTAGCGATTCGCACCTTGTCACCACATTCCATGTCACGCCAACAGCACCAAAGGCCATAAATGCTTCATTGAGGCGATAATGAGGGAGATTATCTGTAAGAAAATCGATCTTATGCAGTCCAAGCGTCATGAAAAGGTCCCTGTCCCAGATGGATGTTCCTATCACGTACTGTCAAACAGAAACCGGCTGAAAATGGCTATAGATCGTACCGTATTGCGCAGTCATGAAGTAGATACCGACAATCAGAAGAATACCCTCGGTTGGTCCGTTAAATACACCAAGATAGAGTGTGCCTAAACCGGTTCAGAAGCACTGAGACTTGTGAAACAGCGGACGCACCCGTATGATACTCCTCCCATGTAGTAAGATAAAAGTTGGCGACAGCAGCGAGTTGACTTGAGACGGTCCAGCGAGAACGTGCGAGATTCAAGGCTCGGGAAGCGAGGATGCACTCGAGCTGAGTAGGATAAGTGCGTGCACAAAAGCAAAGGTCCGACGCACAGTAGTATTGATGGCATCACAGCCTAGAGAGATTTAGAATCATGTGATGTATCACTTTAGTATGCTCACCATGGTCGAACATTTCGCCCAGTGGCCCGGCCATGCCAGTTCGTCGAGCCTGCTTGCTGATAGGGAGTTAGCTCGTTGAGATTACACAGAGCTCATGGACACACTGACCCGTCGATGGCATCCAAACTCTGGTACGTAAAGAGCGAAACTCCCCAGACCCAGTACATCCAATCTGGTGGACCGGTGGCGCCGCCCTTTTCAGCCAAGTAAAAGGGATCGTAGTAGATCAAGGTGATAAAGTTGAAAAAGACGAGGCTGAGACCCGTGAGCGTGATCTACATGACGTTTTTGCAGTTGTAAGCTCTCGACGTATGTTGTCCGGTTATCCGAACCGAGCCAAAACACAAAACATAGGTAAAAAGGGAAGATACTAACAGTGTTTGGAGCAACATTTGTCGGGATAAACGTGACGAGCCATGTCCAGTACTTGTTCAAGAAGAGGCGTGATGTTATCGAGCTGGATAGGACTGTTAGCACGTGCAGAGAAGTAGACTGGATGCTCTTACCGATCTGCTCCACTGTACTTGTATGATTTTAGATGCGCAAGGGCGTCTTTGGAGATGTAGCCCATTGCGGGTAGGTTCAAGTGGTAAATGACGCTTTTGCTCCGACGTCTTCAACGGGGCCTTGGAGTTGCGCTCTACTGCTGTGAATTTCAAGAAACTAAAGCACTGTCTGTATACATTTTAGACGCGAGCAATCGATAGGACCTTTGACAGCACCATCACGACATTCTCCATCGCCTGTTGAGCCGTGGACGTGAGATTGCGGGCATCCATAGGGTATCTACCAGTTCTCGTTGGTACATTGAGCTCTACTGAACCCTTGATAACCTCACCAACTCCACCGGCCTGGCCATCACAAAAGATGTGGGTGCTCACCAGGCTAAAGAGTAAGGGGAATGGATAAAAAATGTCAGCTATAACCGAGCAAAGCATTTTCAGGATGAATATCGTGATCAAACGAACAACTGTCGCTGCTACGATAGCCGTGATACCTCCAAGCACACCACAGACAAAGGCACAACGACGTTGATTTGCTCCAAGCGACTGGATGATGGCAAAAAGCGAATATCTCGAGGCGTTTCCAACCTTTCTATGAAGCTTGGCCGCAGGTGAGCCTACAAGGTGAATGTATTGTAAGACGCTAAGCGCGAAAATGGGAATAAACGGACACATACCTACCCTGATCCCTCCTCTATGGAATCCCATGCGGTTGAGGGCGGATGGTCCGATGGCTGCACCAACCAAAATCCCAGGAGAGACTACCAAAGCGACAAATAGTGCTGCATGTGGGTTATAAACTCCCCTTCATGACCACTATGCTGACCCTCGACGAAGGTTGGCATCAAATTGAAGCTGTGGCGAAGTTCAACTTTAGAGACCCATGTCGATCATGTCTTGGAACTATGAAATTTCATAGACAAAAGCTAAGATTGCCTTTCAATTGAAGATGTTCGACGCAAACTTGCCTACAGCACTACCAATGGCTGACTTTGCATCCCCAACGACGCCCTCTACATTCTCGATCGCATAATGAGCAGTAGAAGTGACATTAAGGGCCTCGAATGCAGATTTCACACCTTTGGCCGTCTCTGGAAGTGCCAAGCCGCCTATCGCCTTACCCATGTCAACGAACGCTTCCCGTGCAGAGACAGCGAGAGTCGTGGAACTATGGGAAATATGTTGAGCCAGAGCGGCAAAGCCGACAACGCCGACCGTATCTCCGTGGAGTTTGCCCAAGATAGACTTCACGATGGGCTTGATATATTCCCCGACTGCACGAGCCTTAGAGGGTACGAACCCGAGGAAATCCTTGATGTGTTCTCCAACTACACGAGCTCCAGCAGCAATATGTCTTCCAATGTCCCTGATGACCTCGGGGTGCTTTGTGAGTTTAGCCGCACCAACACCACCCCCAACTACTGCACCACCAATGATACCGCCGTACAGTACAGAAGTGAGTGGCGTCGTTCCAATGGACTGCATGGCTGCGAACGTTGAGCCAGCTGCGACGTTTCCGATGCCAGACTGAATTCCAGCTGCCATCGAACCTAGAAGAAATGTGATTTTGAGCCGATAGAATGCTCGAAAGAGTGTAATTTACCTGCTACAACACCTCCAGTGCTGAATCCGACGATAAGGACTGCAACTGGGAGAGCGATTGCACCAATGAGGATGCCAGCAGAAACGACTGCAACAGATTTGGGGACTAATACAATCAGCGACATCGTTTTTGGCTAGGAAACTCGCGTACTTGGGGGCATTGCAGACAAGGGGAAGGGCTAGGGAGTGTCCAAGGTCCGCAGCTCGTGTTGGTTACAAGGAATAGGAATCATGGGACACGAGGTTGGTGCCCCGTTAGACGTATTCTACTTTCAAGCCAGTTCAATCAGGAGCCTGACCAAACACCCAGCACGACCCTAAAGCGGCTGGCCAATGAGATCAGCTTCTGGATCGAGTCCTATGAAGATTTGATCACGTCGAAGCCTCACCCGCTGCGCATGGCTGCCCTTGTACCCGTGAGCCCGCTGTGTCGCAAAGCACAGCCGTAGATACAATTTATTCTAAATCATGCCCACCAAACGAGTGGGATTAATGTCTGCATCTCATGGTTATATCCTTCCCAATTTGGTTCCCTCATCGATCCTAGTCAGCCAACATGGAAATCCTCATTCTTTTTCCAGGTATCAAGCGTGTCGACATTCAAATTGGGCGAGCAAGATACATCCATGGTACATTCGAAAATGCGGCACTGTCCAAATTTCAAACAAAAATGGCTCCAACAGCTCCTACTAAGCCGCCGGCGATGCTGCCGTAGAGACCAGAGAGGAGTGGCATAGTTCCCATAGACTGCATGAACGCAAAAATAGAACCTGCTGTGACGTTTCCGATGGTGGCATGAGTTCCAGCCGCCAACGAGCCTGTTGAAAATGTGAATTAAAACAAATAAATTCTTGAACGGAAGCAATGTACCTGCTACGACACCTCCTGTGCCAAATCCGAACAGAAGGACTGCGACTGGGGCAGCAATGGCGCCTGCGGCGACGCCGCCAAGGACGACTCCGATCGATGTAAGGACTAGTACGATTAGTTTTGCTAAACAGCGAAGAATTCTACGTACCGTCAGCCATTTCAAATGCTGGTTGAAGAGAGGAAGGGGAGGGAAGGGAGCAAGCGTCTGCAGCGCGTGACGGGTGCAAGAAAGAGGATTATAAGGGTCCGAGATGATACCCTCTGCCTATATATTTGAATGTCAGCATTCGCATTGGGAGCCTGACGGAACGCGCAGTGCGTCCCTGAGATAGCGGACTAATGATTTCGCCCTTTAAGGTCAATTTGAGAACGTGGAACCTCTGTGGGTCACGTCTGAGACTCGATTGTGGCGAGTCTGCGACGATGGGTTAGGTTGCATAGCTCAGGCCTTTTATGGGGTTCCAAAGAGACATCAAAAGCGTTCAAGCATTGAGAGGAAGCAAGGTAGCGATACATCATAATCATAGAATGGGGCCAAGTGACTATTCAATTCCAGACTTGGTCTCCTCGTCGACCCTAATGGCCTAGCATCAAGCTATATAATTCTCCAACTATTCATATTTCTGTGGAATTGAGTACACGTTTGCTGGTTGAAGGCGGGTATGCAGTGCCCGGCCACCGAGCGGCTTTGCCCTAGGACGACGTCCGCAGTGAACATTCCCTTGGAGAAGAGGCGGAACATTCGACAATCATACCTCAGCGCTCCGCCCATTTAGAGCCCTCTTCCCCTCCTTGTTTGCTCTTTGGGCTCTTCCACATCTTGGAGTCGACCTCACCTCTTCTACGACTTGCTCAACATCTTCCTTGTCAGTGATTTGTTCTTTGTTGGACTATCATGTCTCGGATTTCCTTCTTTCGCTCGTCGGGCAAATCCCAAGGTTAGCCGCCATCCGCCTTTTACCGAGGAATTGCAGTTTCATATAACTTTGACATGGTAGACGTCGAAATGCAGCTAGAAAGTATCACTTTTACTCCAGGACAGTCAACACCGCATAAAGAGAGCAACTCCGATTTGCCAAAGATCGACAAGGCGACTGCCACCAAATGGGCACGTTACCTCAACGAGGACATTCTTTATCTCGTTCTCGAGCACGCATACTTTGACGAACTTCTCCGTCCAGACTATCCGCAGCTGGCAAAGTAGGTTGTCTCAACCAGCACAAACCCCTGCGTTCTGATTTGCCCTCTTCTCAAGGTATGCCCTCGTGGCTAAAGCATGGCGAGAGCCTGCACAGCGTCTAATCTTCCACGAGATTTCCATCAAAGACGACCGGGCGTTCAAGTGCATCTCACGCCTCTTCTCATCGCTACCCAAGAACTCCAAGTCTGCGCCGACCGACGATGACCTCAACGATTCCACTATTCAAGTGGTCTCCCGCTGTGAATGGCTGAGAAGCTGTGTCCGTGTCCTCAACTTTTGGATTTACAAGACCGGCCGGATGTCAAACACCTGGGAGACGCGGTTTGCAAACGTGATGACCTGGTTCCCTGCACTTTATGAGCTTCGACTGGGTGTCGACGTCGCGACTCGACTCCAAGACAGCACCATTGCCAAATTAAACGCATCTACTGCGCCAAAATTACGTGCGCTCCAAATCGCCATGCGCCCGGCCGAGGATGGATCACGACCGACGCAGTCTGTTCTACCCTTTCAGCTACTTACCGCTGTGACCAAATGGAAGTTGGAACATTTGGTCGTGCGCGGGGATAACTTTCGGCTTAGCGGGCATACCGAGTTTGGACCAGTCCCGCATCAGCTGCACGAGTTTCGTTGGTCGGTGCAAAACACGACAAACGCGAAAGAAGTTGATGATTGCATCTCCTACCTGACCGCCAACTCTCACAAGACGCTGGAAGTCATCCACATCCCTTCGCCCCTACATCCAATTGTCCTTCAATCTATGGCCACCCTCCGTAGCCTGCGTGTCGAGACCCAGTACGGGATACCCAAGCAGCTCGGCGGGCTGAAAGAGCTCATCATCGCCGACAAGGTCGGGAGTCTCCCGAAGGACGTTAGTTTCTACAGTAGCTTGCCCAGGCACATTATCCATCTCGGAATCTTCACCACCTATGTGGAAGACGATGCAGCGATCAACACTCTAGGCCACAAGCTGCCACAGAAGCTACAGAGACTATCTATCTACACCGACAAGGTGCTTTGGGATCAAGACGCGGCCAATCGGCGACTCCAGGAGGCAGGGAGGGGTAAAGTCCCGAAAACACCGTCGATCACATCAACCGACCCAGCGGACCGGAAACTACTGGCTCGAACATGGAAGATGTTGGATGTGAACATCCAGGTGTATACATGGTCGGGCGATATCATGTCCAAAATCGGACAGCGCTCTGACCTAGTACGCTCAACCCACTATCCTCGTGGAGTGACGGTGGAGAATATGCGATATATGAGCCGTGTTGTCGGCGCAGAGGACAGCTCCGGCCGTCGACGGAAGAGCATAAAGGTCGGTGGTCTGGACGGAATGAAAAAGGTGTTTGGTTTCTCCTAAAGATGCATTGTCATCGTTCAGGGTGTATCTATAGTCATCTATCTATCAGTTCCCGGATGCAGGCCTGTCACACATAAGCAGCATCCAGGTACCTATCTTGACTCGTGATCCCAAAATCCGGAAACATACTGGTATAAGCATAAGCAAACACTATTAACAAGAGATCATCTTATGAATGCATAACATCAAATGACATCCGGCAAGGCATCAATCCGGTTTTTAAGGAGCTTCAGCCAGTCCTGAGTTGCATTGGCCATAAAGGTCGGAGCGCACTCGTGGCAATGTCGCGTTGCACGCTTGACATGTGCAAGAAGATATGCATGGTCGAAAATGATATCCGATCTCGGTCGCGCTTTGAGCTCGCGTACTGCCGCAGCCTTCCAAGTGACAAACCAGCGCACATAGGGTAACCCATCGTTTGATGAATTATGGTTGCGTGTCGAAGAGGACGACGAGTTGTCGGACCTTTCATCAGCATGAGATGATGGGCAGATGTTTCCACAGCAATCGTGCGGCATCGGCGCCATACTCTCCAGAACAGAAATCGCAGCTTCTGCACGAGACTGATGCAGACGAACCAGCTTAAGAAAATCTTTTGCTGAGAGGTTCTCTAGGCAAGGCGTTTCGAGCGGAGTGGAAAGAATGTCAAACGCAAGCGTTGCGCGACTCGCTAACCCTTTTGTCAGTAATTTATGGATGGAAGAGGTAGCCCAACACACCTATTTTGGCGTCCTCCTGCAGCCCGAGCTCGCAGGCAATGGCGTACACGCCCAGAGGGTCCGTCTCGAGAAACTTGGGCGATACTAGCCCGCACGCAAACCTTCTATAGCAGATGTAATCTCGTAGCGTTGCGCGGCGATTAATGCAAGCCGCAAAGACGTGAGTGAGGAAACTTGAGGGTTCGGGATTGGATAAACATATTGTAAAAGAATCAGTATCGTCTCTCCGTCTTCCGTCAGATCTGTGCCCAAAAGGTCAGTATTATGTAGAACGGCCCACCAAGATGTACTGACCTTGAACTGGGGGCGGGTCGGTTGGTTTGTGTACAGAAAGGGTCGAGAGTGCAGCATAAAATATCGGAGAAGCTTCTGATAGAATTGCACGATGCACACGAAACTATTACCAACGGGCCAGGCGGTCAACGACGTAGGCAGTGTGGCAAATGCGACGTACATGGCATGAATCTGAGCTAGACAAGACGAGATCAGCCGTAGGTGAGTTGAAAAGTGGTGAAATGTTTGGCAGCGGTCGTCCAAAGTCATCTTCCTCGGTCATGTGGACGAAAGTGCTTATTGGTAGCATCTGCGCCGCCTTGCGCGCCAACTAGACACATGCATGAGTGATTAGAACATAAGACGGACAAATTTACACGCACCGCATACGACGATGACATCTTTTTTGGAACAAAGCCTACGTAAGCCTGGTCGAAAGTACGAGCAAACTCTGCGCGCCAAACCCCACAAAAGTCGAGTCGCTGTCCACTGACTAGACGTCAATGTCAGACGAAATGGATATTTCATTTACGATGTTGCCAAATATCGAGTGTATGCTGTCCTCCTTCCAGCGCCAGATGGTAAACCGGTGGTTGATAGTCGGGAGTTCTGGGACAATAGCATGTCCGCCGCAGCCGCCTGTCTTGGGCATTGGGTGTATATATATGATTTCTTTGACGCGGGAATGAACTAGGGCCATGGTGCACATCAGGCAGGGCTCGTGTGTAAGGTAGAGCGTGCGGTTCGTGAGTTGGTACCCTTCGCCATTTTGTAGGCTGACTACCATCGCAGGATTTCTCATGGGGTTGTCTTCACCATTGTTAATCTTGGCAACATCTGCTGTAAAGTTGAGGAGGTGACGTGTGATCACACAGAGGCATACCGAGCAAGACTTGATCCGACAGAGCGCGCACAATGTTTATCACACTATGTTTCAATGGATGATGTGTTGACGTGCGCGTATCATGCGCAAGTAGCGTCACGTTGAGATACTGATCCGGCAGAAGGCAAGCAGCAATCGGTACCTAAACGCATCGTCAATTAGAAACAGTCTCCTATCTCACAACCAAACAACCGACCTCTCCATGCTGCTTCGCCTTGACGGCCTCGTTGATGGCCATGCGCATCCCATTCACCATTCTCTGCACCTCTGCACGCTCGATACTGACCGGCAAACGTGCGAGGTGTGGGCTGAATACTGTTGGCCATAGCTTATTCTTCGACGCCAACTGTCCTCTTGTGAGAGCGGGTGTGGACGGGACGATGCATTGCATGGGTTCAGAGTACATGCCGACCGGAACATCCTCTGGCGGCCGCGCAAGATCGAGACCAACGATTACGTGATAGATTGTCCCTATTAGCTCGATTAGAGGGTTTAGGACGTCAGAGGGAGACATGCCACTTGAGTCGAGTTCGACCTTTTTGACTAGTTTGAGATGTTGTAGAGCTTCCCACAATAGAGGCCTCGTTCGTGTATATCTTTTTCTGATCGTGAGTATGAGTATTGTGCGTGAAGTGTGCGCACTCTTGGAAAACCTTGATGGACTTTGGATCGGTAAAGGAGACGGACCAAGCATGCACTTAGGATGTTTTAAAAAAGCTGGACTTCTTTGAAATTAGAGACACACTGGTAGGAAAAACGTCTTCATCGTCTCTGATCCGATCTCCTTCGATTCTCGTCCAAGGCAAATCCTCCTCTGAAACCATGTCCATGATTTAATCAGAATCTGGATGAGATCAGGCTCGTATCGTGAGCCTTTTAAGATGTGTCTGGAGGTGGCAGAGATCAAGATCGTCGCCCCTGCCAAATCTGGATTGCGCGTCTCGTCTGAATCTCAAAGTCGCAAAATGAACACAGAAAATAGTTGGAGTGTATGCACAGGTGAATGTACAGCAAGAATACAATCGAGCGTCCATGGCTGAAGAAAATGAGAGCAGACAGTAAATAGGTGATGATGAGAGTGATTACTCTTGTCTGGTCGCCATACCATGGGCCATACCCATGCCCATAGCTATTCCAGAACTTACGCCCCCACTCGAGTTGGTCTCCGCGGGTACAAACACTGCGCGATTGCCAAAGGCTTGAATCCTATTGACCTCGAGCCTCCTGGCACCCATCTCGCGAGCATAAGCATCCTGAACCTCACAATCAGCCAATGCACGCGCCCGAATGGCGTCTGCTTCGGCTGCAGCCGCGAGCCTCGTCGCCTCGGCCTGAGCCTGTGCGGCGATTCCCAAGGCCTCTGCTTCTGCCTTTGCTGCTGCGATGATTGCATAACCAGCAGCGTCGGCTTCGGTGCGACGGGTCTGTGCTTGGACCCGTGCGACTTCGAGCTTGCCTTGCTCCTTTTTGACCGAGTTGGAGTTTTCTCGGTCGACGTTGACGGCTTCTACTTGAGCCTGTAGCGAGCGTGTGGTGAGCTTGTCCATTGTGGCAGCGATTTCACCCTTGAACTGGCGGTCGATGACGCTCAAGTCCTTGAGGAGGATACCGTACTCGACCGCTGCTTCTGTAAGGTCGTCCATAGCACGAGTTCGGAGGGCATCGAGAAAGGCGGCGTTGGGATCCGACTTGTCGTCGATGAGCTCGGCACCAATTTGGCGCTGTTTGATCATGGCCGAATAGTCGAGATGGGAAACGACCTGGGTGAGAATGGATTGCGTCTTGTCACGGAGACTGCAAATGATTAGTATCGTAGAATAGCGGAAAGAGTGAATACTCACGCCTCATAGGCGGTGCTGTAACCGTGGGTCGTCAATTTGAGAGGCTCGAGGAGCTGCCACTTCAAGAAGATAGTACAAGTGAGAGGAACACTGTCACGTGTATAGATGTCCTGTGGCGAATGAGGAAGGAACAGAACAACAAGGGAAGACGTACCTTTGTCGACATTTCGAGCTGGTTCTCGCCAAATGTAAACATACCACGCAATGTGATGCTCGGATCGACAATGTAATGTTGACCAGCAGGAATGACAATGAGTTCGTTGCCCTTTTGCAGGATAGCACAATTATTGGCTGGAATGTTCAGGAAGAGAGCGACAACAAACTCCTTGGCACCTCCATCACGACCAGTGTTTCGTGTCATCTTGACCTCTTGCGTCCATCCGAGAACCGCGTTTGTAGCCTTGTCGCGGACGACAGTGGACAAGTGTGTTTGATCGACGACGGCGAGAATGGTGTACGATCCGACGAGTGAGAGCGCAACGAAGCCACCATTCTTGATAACAAAGACCTTGTTCTGTGGGTCGCAGATTACGGCTGCTTGGTTCTGGGAGACTTGGACAATGATGAGACCTTGAAATTCGATGACGGTTTCAGACAAGGCTCTTGCGCCCATATACTCTCTGGCAATCCAGTTTCTGAGGGGCATAGGGGGATAACGACCTGGGCGAAGAAGGATCTTGGGAAGACCTCCGTGATTGATAAGTCCGATTTGTCCAGGTGTAATCTCTTCTCCAATCCAGCTAACGGGCTCCTTGGCTGAGATAATTCCGGCCTCGCCTTTGGCACGAAGCTCCTCGTCGAGCTTGTGAAGTGCACCAACGACGCCATCCTTTGGGTTGATCTTGACAAAGAATGGACGATCTGCTAGAGCATCAATCTCCTGTTCACAAGGTCAGTAACTGGAGATGTAAGAGGGCCGTAAAGCTGACCATTCCGGTGCTGTGCAACAAGTTTTCGTCGACAACGGTGGTCTCTTGTACATGGTGCTTGATGGGTTGTTTACCCTTGTGGTCAAAGTCTGTGGGCGCAGATGTGTCGCCGTAGACGGTTGTTCCACCAGCGAGAGACATGAGGGATTGGAGATTGGAGATGGAGGAGTGTAAGTGATAGTTTGGATTTGGCTGACGGAGGGAGACGAGGAGGCTTTTATAGGCTCATCTCATGACATGGACCAAACAACAGGTCACACGGGTTTACAACACCGCCGCTGTCGATAAAACAAATCCGGCGTCGGTGATCGAATAAGTCGAGCGCTAACCATCAGCAAAAGGAGAGGCGGCAGATTGAATCCCGTCTGGGCGAGGCTGGGCTTTACTACAATTCTCAGCATGGGCGACACAGACGAACAACTTGTGGAACTGTTACGGATGCTCAAAGTATGTACAATTGTATCTCTACATTGTTTACTAACAGTTCCAGCCCTTTGTCAATACTCCAGAGGGCCAGCAGACCGTCGTCGACATTCTTAGCAAGGACAAGGTCGCTCAGGAAGTAACAAAGATGCTTGCAGTCCTTGGTTTACTCGACGCGGGCGCCCTAGAGGCACGTTCTTTTCCCTGTTTCCTTGAAACCATTCTCATCAACGCCTTCCACCCAGAATGGACTGTCAAAACTCGTGTCTCCAGATCAATCAAACACCCCCCAGCCTACGAACGTGCTTCCGTTCCAGCCAGGTCTACCCTCTTTCCCTCCGCCGGCCATGGCAGCGCAACCCCCGATACAGCCACCGTTTCACGCACCGCTGCAACCACAACCCTACGGGATTCCTCCAGCTCCTCCTTCTCTACCGCCCCCTCACTTGCGAGGTCCGCAGCCTCCATTCCCCCCTGGTCCACCAGGTCAGCAACCCCCAGGGTTTGCACAAGGTCTTGGGCTTTCTCCAGAGGATCAGGTATGTCAGATTATGCTGTATGAGAGATATTAATGTCTTGCAGGCAATGCTCCTAAGGGCATTGAGCATGTCGCAGGCAGAGCTCGATATGCTGCCTCCTCCTCAACGAGCAATCTTTATGCAACTCGTACGCGTTACTAACACTGCGTAGTCTTATTCTGACAGCTCTACAGCGTTCGTTGGCCGGTCGTTAATTTAGATATAGACCATCACCCCAGTCGCATAAGAAGTGTACAAAAGAAGTCAAAATCAGTCAACTGTGACGCCTCTTGCACGCAAATCGGCTTTGGCCATGCTAATTTCCTGTCGATAAAGTGTCAGCGTGATGGTAGATGGCGAGCGGCAAGTGAGAACTTACACCCATAAGCTCTTCGTATGCCTCTTCACAGTCTCTAAACGTAAAGAGACCCCAACCGAGTGACCACAGTGAGTACGAGCCAAATGTGACGAGTAGCCACCATGGAATCTACTCATACGAGTCGATATAAGATTCAAATGTGCGTAAGAGTCGTATATGAACAAGTATAAAGTGAACTGGTTAGCTAGCCCCTCGACAAGTGTAGCCAACTCACCACTGGCACAATCTGTGCGGCCGTCTCCTCTTCGACGAGCGGTAATGGAACAATTTGAAGAAAGACGAGGATGTAGGCGACACTAAGGACTGCCGTCCATGTTGCGAATCGCTTTGCGCGGGTCATCTTGCTGGCAAACTTGTTGGGCAATTAGAACACGTCGAGTGATAAGTAATTTGATGTTCACAAGGATTGTCGGTACAAAGGACTGGGTTGGTGCAACGTCAGTCGGTGGACGTGGCAAAGAACAAAACTGAGAAATCCAAGCTTGGTCTCCGACTTACTTTGACATTTGCAACGGACGCGAGCTGGCTTCGCAACAAGGCGGGACAAGGCATTAGATTATTATTCACCTCTCAGAGGAAATTACAAACGATGAGCGCAAGGGCGAACCAACGGCTCGTCTACAAACCGCTCGCGGACAACGGGCACTATGGCGGCCAACTTACGCCGCGTACGCCTCATACATCGCGAACAGGAAGACCCGTGCAATCATTTGCAGACGCAGAGGAGGCCTTTGAGGACGAGGAAGATATCATGGTTGGAGGCGGTACGAGCAGCGGTGCTCGCGCTTCATTTGCAAAATCCTATCGGGAACAAGATGAGACACAGTCTTATCCTCTGTTGCGCTCTGCAACATCCCATACATTTCCACCCACGCCTGCTCCAGGCCATCCTGTATCGAGGGAGAGTAGAGCCCATGCCATGAAACGGAAATGGACATGGAATCCACTAGAGTGGGACTTTAAACATATTGCGGAAACCGCACCTCTTGTACTCGGTGGCATTGGAGCATGCATTCTCCTCATCCTCATCCTACTGTCCGTCAACAAGCCAGACGTACTGCGAAAGTATATCCTTAAGACTAATGGGACCGAACCAATTATTCCAATATCAAAAGGAACCTCCAGCGGTGGTACCACGGGCGAAGAGCATGGGGAGATGACGAGGGTGATGGAATATGAAAACTCGTGCTGGAAGATGATGAATAGCGGTGAAATGAAGCACGGTGGTCCCTACTGGGGGGAGCATCATCAACATTCAAATGCTGGCCAAGCAAACGAACAAGTCGTCCAAGAGGACGACAATGATTATGACCCATTCCTCGACGACAGCGACGATAGCACCGAGACAGACTCTGCGGTTCCTGCAGGAACGTGTAGCAGCACAATAACTTATGTTCTTGACGGCAATGTCGGGTTATTCTATGACCTCGCGCTATTGGCGCAGGCGGCTGCGTTGGCAAGAGAGGTATGTGTCATCCTGTCGGTTTGGTCCCTCTAATGTATCTCATGTAGCGTAACCGTACTTTTATTGTTGATGACTCTGAGTGGAATCGTGGTAGCTGGACGGATCACTTTCGAGATGTCAGATCGACTCAACCGGGCCCAGAACCGGGATGTTTACCTCCTTCACAAGACCGTATGTCATTCAGCGTGACATATGGATATGGCTAACGGGCTTTCAGTTCTCAAGGCTTGTCCTCGCAGTTCAAAGTGTGTGCCAAACGGCTCCGTTGATCCAAACTAATGCCTGCTCAGACATTGGGTCGTAACTCAACGAACAGCCAAGTTTCATTTCGGTCACGACTTTTCGGAAAGATACGAGAACCCGTAGGTCTTTCAAGTCTGGTTGATTTGCTCGCTAACTAGAACTTCCAGCTACAAGTCGGACGTGAGTCGATTACGACCCATCTTTGAACACGCGGCAGTATCCTTTCGTGAGACTATACAGCTCAGCGACAACCTGAGGGAACACCTGCGCAAGCTGCGAAACGTTGTGCATACCAACAAACCCTACGTGGGAGTTCATATTCGACACGGGGACAAGTATCCGGCGAATCAGCAGTGGAAAGGCGATTACGTACCCATCTCCGAGTACATAAAGCTGACGACCGAGGTCTGGGAGACGGTTCGAGGCATGCAGTCTACGCAAATAGAGCCATTCCCTCGAATATACGTCGCGACGGACTCGCTGGCGGCATTTTCGGACCATTTGTCCCTTTCACCAACATTCTCGTTGGCGACGGAAGAACGTATACTCGGGTTGCATGCCGCGTCTTCTCTATCCTATGGAGAGCGTGATTGGCGGTTCATGGCGTCTCCCCACGGCTATGTGCAACGGGTGTTCAGCGGAGGCAAGACGAGACCCGAAGAGCGCGTCCGCTGGACGCAAGGGATGCTGCTCGACTTTGCGATGTTGAGTGGAGCGTGGTTGGAGGATGGTGCAAGAGCACCAGAGGCCGTTGTTTGCACTGCTACGTATGTTTACTTTGTCTCAAACGTGAGGATACCGACACTTGTCCAGGTCAAATGTCTGCCGGATGGCCGCGGTCGCACTAGGCTGGGAAAAGGCATTTGAAAAGCAGTTGTGGAAGGACGTTGATTGGAAGGGGATTGTCTACCCGCCATGGGATGCGTTTGAGTTTCACTAACCGGAGCGGCGGGGGACTTGTACTTTGTTAGTGTAATTGATATTACAGAAGATAATTTCTTTCTTTGAGAGTATTGCAGAGGAGCATGACCGGTCCCGGCTTGCCTGCCTCGATGCACAACGAGGCAGGAATAAGGCACAACCTTGACCACGACTTCGATTTACGATTTCAACGACCATTACGAGGAGCGTTGTCTCGTTGGGTTTCGTTCAACAATAAGTAGTGTTCTGCATCCCGTATTCATCTAGCACAGTCCATCCCGTGCTCGTTCTCGCCCCGTCTAGCCAGCCACCGAGCCGCAACATCGACTAAAGGAGCCATGGTAAGCCGGGGGCCCTGCTGCGCGAATCCTCTCTGCGCTAGGAAGCTCGTCCTGTGTGCTGAAACAGGCTGCGAACAGGAAGGAAGAGATCCAGAGGAGCTCTATGTCAAACAGGAGCGCATCGGTGAGTGGCACTGGCGCCGCCCGACCAGACGCAACCTGCCAGATGACTAATAGCACAAATCATACAGGAAAGGGATCCTTTGGAGAAGTGTACAAGGGGTGCGTCTCCTTGTCCCGATTCACCCGCAAACTGGTGACGAGTGGCTGATGGGCGTCGTTTGGTCGGGGATAGATACGAGAAACGGACACAGAAGACGGTTGCAATCAAGATTATTGATTTGGAAAGCGCAGAAGACGAGATCGAGGATATCCAGCAGGAGATTTCCATCCTCTCCCAACTTGACTCGCCCCACGTCACAAAGTACGTGATGCAACTGATTGTGCCAAGTGCAAAAATAGCGCGTTTTGGCTGACGGAACTCGGCGCGCCGCCGGACGTATGTCCATAGGTATCATGGCTCGTTTCTCCAGGGTTCCAACCTATGGATTGTGATGGAGTACGTGATAGGTACACTGCCTCGGTTCTACATACTGACTTCTCTGTGCAGATACTGTTCGGGCGGCTCCTGTTCAGATCTGGTGAGTAGGATCGCCCCAGTCGTCTCCATTTGGCTGTATGGCACGCGTTTACACCTCACCCAGATGAAGCCCGGCGTCTTCAGAGAAGAATACATTGCTATCATTGTTCGAGAGCTGTTGAAAGGCTTGGAATATCTGCATTCAGAGGGCAAACTTCATCGCGATATCAAGGGTACGTTTGCTGGCACCCCCGAGCGTAATCAAGTCCCTCATGACATATTCCCAGCCGCCAATATTCTTCTTAGCGCCAATGGCGATGTCAAGCTTGCCGATTTCGGCGTATCTGGTCAGCTCAGTGGAACGCTCTCGGCCAAGAAGAATACATTTGTGGGCACACCGTACTGGATGAGTCCAGAGGTCATCAAGCAGTCTGGCTATGATCACAAGGCAGACATTTGGAGCCTCGGCATCACCGCTATTGAGCTTGCCAAGGGGGAGCCACCGTATGCCGAGCTGCATCCAATGAAGGTGCTCTTTCTCATTCCGAAGAACCCACCTCCGGTCTTGGACGGCCCATTCTCCAAACTATTCAAAGAGTTTGTCGCCTTGTGCTTGCAAAGAGACCCCCGAGATGTGAGTTGGGTACCTCATTAACCCCCTGCCTACTGACGTTTGCTAGCGCCCAACTGCAAAAGAATTGTTAAAACATAAATTTGTAAAGATGGCAAAGAAATCGAGCTATCTCACCGAGTTGATCGAAAGACACGACAAGTGGAAAGCAGAGACTGGCGGTCGACGAGAGGAACGAGAAGACGACAGGCGTCGCAATCATGTGTACGTGGTTTCGTAATTGCCTTGCAAACCTCATGCTCCACAGGGAAGATTTCGATGATCCAGAGGACGACTGGGACTTTGGGACGATGAGGCACGTCGGCAACACGGTCGGAAGAGCTGCAGCGCCGCCTCCTCCGATCCGGGAGGATGACAGATATTCTCCAGATCTACCCGAAATACCCGGTAGCAGGAACCCATCCTCTGGTTCTGGTGGCGGTTCGACTGTGTACAACAATGGAAACGGCTACCCCTCCTCGTCGACTATCCAAACAGTAAAGCCAGAACAAGGAGCTCATGCTGGCTCGCACCCTGCTGTCAATGGTAATGGGACGCCTAGCAACGTCAACAAAGCACTCCCAACGCCTGCCAAACATGGCCGATTTGAGAGTGAGGGGACGATTCGACGAGTACAAGAGAGGGATAGAGATCGACGAGACCCATCCTATGGATCCGACGGCTCCGAAGAGTTGAGCCTAGAGCTCGAACGTGCTCGATTGGGATCTCCGGAGCCAGAACCGATGAATATGCTGGAGACGGTGATGCTACCTGCCATCGGCTCGGTAAAGTGTCGCTTGCTGAATATCTCACGTCATTGTTGACCCCTTTTTCGATAGTTGTTCCCGCGCGTTTCGACGGCAGAGGCGCGACTTGCACTTACCAACTTGCAGCGCGCCTTTATCGAGGCGGAGAAGATTATCCCTGGAGTCACCAACGAGATTGTAACGGAGATTGCAGATTCTGTGGAACATGTACCAGAGGAAGATATGAGGTGAAAGCGACCTCAGCTGCTTGGCCTTTACCCCCCTTTTCCTTCCAGGACAATCGCAGCCTCCTGCAGCATACTGAGCATTGGCTTTCTCTTTCGTTAATTCGACTCAATCGCGGACCGTGAGTAGCCCCCATTTCTCCGTGTACACTAGTCCCAGACGTGCAAATGTCAGTTGCCTTTCCGCATCAGTATATAGACCTCAGTGCCAGCACCGGCCATGCAAGCGCTGTCCGCCGTGATTGACAGTTGTCTGGGGGTGGCTGAGGGCACATTACAAAACCCAAGAAAAAGCACTCTTCGTGATTTGGGAATGGTCCGGATTTGTCGGTTGCCGAGCGAATGTTGCGAAACTAGGGAAAAGAAGGGGAAGTTTCCGTCACCCATGTCCATAGCGCTGCTTCCCGGCGAATCTTCCGCATTCACAAGACTTCCTCATCAACTCACCGCATTGAACGGCGCGCGCATGCCCCACGGATTCTACGGGGTTTCTTAAGCAGCCTTAGTACCCTATGTTCTGTGTGAAAGGATTCAATGGACATGCTTTTGGATCCAGATCAAATGGCGTGTTGTTTCATTCAGTGGTGGTGCCGTTTCTGGGCGGTGATGCAAATGTCGCCTCCTGTTCAGTTTCTTTCGGTTACATAAAGGTTATCAAGTCGTCTGCCGTGTCCTCCGCTTGGACCCCCACATCTAGCTTTGCCCCCCCGTCTTGGTTGGACCATAGCCATCCAGCGCAGAGAAGAGCGCGGATAGCATCTAAACACATTCTTTTATATCTATAAACAACGATACTGCGACCATGCAGTCAACCTACTCTCGTTTCACCGTCCTACTCCTTTCGACGCTTGGACTTTTCTCGGTATTGCCTGGGACTGCCCAAGCTGCTCCCGTCGACTCTGCAAACATTACAAAACGTGCTCCCACCTGGGGTTTCCCGTATGGTTCTACCAAAGTCAGAGGTGTAAATCTGGGGGGTTGGCTCGTGCTTGGTGAGAATATTCCGATTCTGCCGAGCGATCCCTGATGTTCTCGGGTAGAACCGTGGATTACACCATCCCTTTTCGAGGGCACGGGCAACAACGGCATTGTCGATGAATGGACATTCTGCCAGTACCAAGATTATAACACTGCCCATAGCAAGCTCGTGAACCATTGGAACACATGGATCACGTACAACGATTTCGTCGCTATTAAAGCCGCCGGGTACGTCGCGCAGTTTCGGCCTGCCGGAAGCCGTCGCCTGCTAACTGGCCGACTTCTACCAGTTTGAACCATGTGCGCCTCCCCATCGGATACTGGGCTTGGGATATTTCCCGTGGAGAGCCGTATCATCAAGGCCAGCTTGCCTACCTCAACAGGTAAGTAATTGTCTTGTCACTTGCCAGTCCTGTACCGAACTCTCCCATAGTGCAGTTGGATGGGCTCGCCAAGTCGGTCTCAAAGTCCTCATTGATCTCCACGGCGCTCCGGGTAGTCAGGTAGGCCGGGAATTGTATATTCTAAAAGGTCGAACGTCTGCTAATGACCAACGTTTGACAGAATGGATATGATAATAGTGGCCATAAAGTTAGCTACCCGCTCTGGCACACGAGTTCCGACAATATTGCACGTACAAATGCCATTATCAAGACACTGGCCTCTCAGTTCTCCAGCCAGACAGACGTCGTGATCGGAATCGCGCCTCTCAACGAGTACGCCAGATAACCCATGCACAAGAATCTGAATCTTATGGTATTCTACAGACCCGCAGGATACTTTGGCAATGATGTCCTCTCCGTGACCCGCCAGTACTGGTATGACAGGTACGAAGCTCGTTGCATGGACAGCGAAACAGTACTAACAGGGAATAATAGCTATGGAAATATTCGGTACCCATACGGAACAAGCCAGCAAGGCGCGCTCATCGAGGTCATTCACGATGCTTTCCAGCCACTGAGCTATTGGAGCGGTTTCCCACCGGGTCCATTTGAAGGAGTTATGATGGGTGAGTGAAATAGAAATATATCTGCTGTTTCTGACCATTATTAGATACACATTACTATGGCATCTTCAGCCAGGCCGAGGTTTCGCGCACAGAGGACCAGCAAATCCAGTCTGTTTGTGCTCGAGGCAGAGACATCGGGAACTTCTACTTGTGGACGATTGTGGGCGAGTGGAGTCTTGCGCGTACGGATTGCACCAAGGAAAGTACAATGTTTGCATCCCTTGCCGCCGAAAGTGACCCACGCACAGTACATCAACGGGAGAGGAGTCGGCGCTCGCTATGATGGATCCTACCCGGGAAGCACCTATGTTGGCTCTTGCTCTGGTTTCTCTGGCTCTGGTGCCACCTTTAGCCAGTCGTACAAGACCTTTTTGCGCCGTTTCTGGGAGGCTGAAACCCAAGCCTTTGAACGCGGTGCTGGTTGGGTCTTCTGGACGTGGAAGGCAGAAAGCTCAGACGAATGGAGTTACTCTGCCGGTCTGAACTATGGGTGGATTCCTCAGGACCCCACGCAGAAGATCTATGGCAATATCTGTGGCTACTAGACGACATGGACCTTTAGCTACAATCTATTGTTTTATTATCGACCATTAATCATTCACTCGTTTGGACTTTTACGAGGTTGCTTCTATCGTAACTTGGTTTATGGGGGACGGCGAGGAAATGCGTTGGGCGTTCCCAGGTTCATTAGGGGGATATGTAGGATATTTCATCCTATGGGTGGCATATTAACAGAGTATCTGTATCTGTGTCCAGTGGGAGATATTATGAGCGGCCACGGTGGACAAAATTGATTCGACTTATGAATTTGCGCACCCAGAACAAAGCAAGAGGTAGGATGGAGCGGGCTGGGACAGGATAAGGCGGGCTGGGGAGTGATGGGACGGGATAAGCGAATAATCTAGCGGGCGGTGATGGGCCAGGGCAGGCTAGGATGGGCTGACGGCTGACGGGACGGGCCAAGATATCTAATCAAGGTATACATCTTATTTGCTTAGCCTGCTAGAGCCTGGCCCGTCCTAGCCCGTCACTGTAAGTTCACAGGAGGGCCAGGACGGGCTGGGACAGGACAAGGCGGGCTTGGGTATTACCAGGGCAAAGTAAGCTGCATTCGCTTATCCTGCCCCATTACTCCCCAGGCTGTCCCAGCCCGTCCCATCCTAGCCTGTTCTGTTACTATCTAGATGTACTCAACAATTTACATGGAATGTCATTGCACCTCAATCCCAAGCTCTTCATGAATTAATGGAGTCCAGCGCCCAAGCTCGTGAAGGCCCAGACGTTTTGAAAGAACACGTCTTGCAATCTTCGTGGGTGGACAAGAAGCGACGGCTGGCTGAACGTTGCTGATATTGTAGGCGGAATAGCTGCTTTTAGGATGTAAAAGAGGTCCAGTAGGACTGCGAAACGGTCAAACCAGGTGACCGACGCCATGGAAGTGGTCCGTTCCACGCTGGCTTCGGGTGTGTCGATGGTCCGGCTTCCAGTTCTTTACCGTCACTTCTAATTCTTTGTCTCTGGGTTGGCCCGAAATTGTCTGCGAGGTTCCATGGGTTCTGCAATATGGTCAATGGTATCTATTGGTTTCGAATTGTTCTGTACCTTCAATGATTAAACTCTGTATTTGGCCTTATCCTTTGAGCGCCGACAATACGGAGAGTGGCATTGGCGCTGACCATATCTTGGAGCCATCCACCTTCACGATGTCGACCCAAAAATCAACAAAGCACAAGAAACGACATCTGCCCACAGATTCATCGGGATCTTCGTCAGCACAGCGCCCAACAGGCAAAGAACGTCAAGTATACGACACGCTCAATGTCGGCCTGGATGTAGTGGCCAACATATCCGAGGGATCAGATGTACTCGCTCCTCTCAAGGCAGCTTGTCGAACCACCAAGTCAATTCTCGAAGTCGTACAGGCAAGTTGGCGAACCTGCCACGACTGCGTCTAACGGATTCAATAGGCAACAGAGATCAATCAAGAGGAATGGATTGATCTAGCTGGACGTTTGAAGGAATACATGTCTGCGCTCGAGAAACAAATCACCCTATTGGAGGCATATCCTGAGGAAGACATGGCCGTTGACGATGCGTTTAGGCAGCCGCTAATCCACTATGTCGAGTACGTAGCACTTCAAATTTGCTCCAGTAGGCTGAATGATGTAGATTTCTCGAAAATATGCACGATACAATTGTCGGCCTGAAGGAGAAACGCAACCGCAGCAAACTCAGCATCTTTAAAGCGTTCAGCAAAATGAAAATTGACGCAGAAGAGATTCTCAAACTCAATCGAGACATCGAGGACCGGCATAGGCAATTCATGGTGCGAGCCTCATCGACCTTGTTCACAGTACTCACTATCGACAAAGGAGGCCTTGACTCTTTTTACAGCTTTGCGTATTCAAAATGTTGAGAGGAATACCAAAGCCACCAAGGCGAACGTGGAGACCATTCTTGCAGACGGTAAGCTGAAATTTGGGATGAGACGCTTACTAAACATTCGAAGTCGACGCCAATGCTATACTACAGCTACCGGTGGTAGCTTTCGTCGCATCCTCAGTCCACAAGCCCTGTCTGAAAGGAACACGCGAGGCTGTTCTTCAGACCATCTACCGCTGGGCCGACGATGATACGTCGGACAAGTCGATATTTTGGCTGTGTGATATCGCCGGCTCTGGCAAGTCCACAGTCGCAATGTCTGCAGCAGAGACTTGGAGGAAGGAAGGAGTACTAGGAGGCCGGTTCTTCTTCTCCATTGCAAGCAGTGAAGGATCTACCACAGACAAGTTCTGCTCTACAATAGCAAGAGACCTGGTTGACTACATACCCAGGCTTGCGCCGCACGTCGCTAGAGCTGTGAAGCGGCACCCGTCGTTCATGCGAAGCTCTATAGAAGAACAGTTCCAGAAGTTCGTCATTGATCCCATCCATCATAGTCAAAAACGTGTCATTCTCGTCATCGACGCTCTTGATGAATGTAAATCTGGATTGCAGCGAAGAGAGCTCGTCGAAACGCTTTCTACAGCTGTTCAAGGAACAAAAAACCTCAAGATCTTCATGACGAGTCGGCCAGATCCCGTAATCCAAGCCGTCTTGGGGTCACTCTCAATCAAATCCAAGTTGGAGGACCGACTGCACGATGTCAAGCATCATGATAACATTGGTGATATCGCAGTGTACATACACAAAGCACTAGACAACGTGCTGCCGGAGGGCAAAAGGCAGAGGCTGATCGAAAAGGCCAACGGATTGTTCATCTGGGCGAGCACTGCATGTCGAATGCTCACCAGCCAGACAAGCTTAAGCCCTCCAGAGATCACGTATGATCACCTCATGTCCATGGACAAGGCTGGGGCCATAGACGATCTATATAACCTCATCTTTGTGCGCATGGATCCCGAGTTCCACACGATCATGTACAAGATGCTCGCTGTACTGCTTGCAGCGTTTGAGCCTCTGACTGCCGACGACGTGGACGACATTCTCAAGCATTCCGGTGTATACGGAAGTGCAAAGGCACTGGTACGGAATCTCGGCAGCGTACTTGTTGAGGATGGTACCACGAGTCTAATCCAATTTCGGCACCCCACTTTCGTCGAGTACCTTCGGCGTTGCTCTGTTGCCCCACCCATCGATACGCGTAACAACGTGTATATCAGGATTCCTGACGCACACGGCCAAGCCGCGGTTTGGTGTCTCAAACATCTCACATCGCGAAGAGATGGTCTCAAGTTCAATATATGTCAACTGGAGTCATCTTTCTATCTTAATAGAGAGATTCCAAACCTCGATACGAGAGTATCGGGATTCATTTCAAGACGCCTGCGATATGCCAGCTCTCATTGGCTGTTCCATGTGGCTGAAGCTGGCGACAGCTGGCGGTCCATCGTCAAGAAGGAAATCCAACAGATTATTCAAGTTCCATACGTGTTATACTGGATGGAGGTTCTGAGCTTGACCGGAGGAGTGCCACGAGCAATAACCGGTCTTCGAGCTATTGCACGCCACGCAGGAGTAAGTTGCCGATCCGAGCCAATTCAACTCTGACGCCACAGATAGCTTGAAACATGGGATGAAGTCAACATGGACCAGATTCGACGGTTTATAATCGTATTTTCAGTACCGATTCAAGAGAGCGCCCCACACATATACATTTCCGCACTCCCATTCACCCCTACAAATTCAATATTGCATATTGAAGGTGCGAAGATGTATAGTAATACCCTCTGTGTAACCGAAGGCCTCGAGGAAATGTATCCTGGGCTCCCAAGTAGGCTTCGAGGTCATGAAGGCGAGGTCAGAGCCGTCGGATTCTCGCCAGACGGCTCACAGATTGTGTCTGGCTCGTCCGACAACACAATTCGATTGTGGGACGCGGCAACTGGTCAGGCTGTGGGAGAGCCGCTCCGAGGTCATGAAGGTGTGGTCAACGCCGTCGGATTCTCGCCAGACGGCTCACAGATTGCGTCTGGCTCGTACGACAACACAATTCGATTGTGGGACGCGGTAACTGGTCGGGCTGTGGGAGAGCCACTCCGAGGTCATGAAGGTTGGGTCAACGCCGTCGGATTCTCACCAGACGGCTCACAGATTGTGTCTGGCTCGTCCGACAACACAATTCGATTGTGGGACGCGGCAACTGGTCAGGCTGTGGGAGGGCCACTCCGAGGTCATGACGATTGGGTCAACGCCGTCGGATTCTCGCCAGACGGCTCACAGATTGTGTCTGGCTCGTCCGACAACACAATTCGATTGTGGGACGCGGCAACTGGTCAGGCTGTGGGAGAGCCACTCCGAGGTCATGAAGGCGGAGTCAGCGCCGTCGGATTCTCGCCAGACGGCTCACAGATTGTGTCTGGCTCGTGGGACAAGACAATTCGATTGTGGGACGCGGCAACTGGTCAGGCTGTAGGAGAGCCACTCCGAGGTCATGAAGGTTGGGTCAACGCCGTCGGATTCTCACCAGGCGGGTCACAGATTGTGTCTGGCTCGTGGGACAACACAATTCGATTGTGGGACGCGGCAACTGGTCAGGCTGTGGGAGAGCCACTCCGAGGTCATGAAGGTGTGGTCACCGCCATCGCATTCTCGCCAGACGGCTCACAGATTGTGTCTGGCTCGTCCGACAAGACAATTCGGTTGTGGGACGCAGCAACTGGCCAGGCTGTGGGAGAGCCACTCCGAGGTCATGAAGGCGGAGTCAGCGCCGTCGGATTCGCGCCAGACGGCTCACAGATTGTGTCTGGCTCGTCCGACAACACAATTCGATTGTGGGACGCGGCAACTGGTCAGGCTGTGGGAGAGCCACTCCGAGGTCATGAAGGTTGGGTCAACGGCATCGGACTCTCGCCAGACGGCTCACAGATTGTGTCTGGCTCGTGGGACAACACAATTCGATTGTGGGACGCGGCAACTGGTCAGGCTGTGGGAGAGCCACTCCGAGGTCATGAAGGCGGAGTCAGCGCCGTCGGATTCTCGCCAGACGGCTCACAGATTGTGTCTGGCTCGTCCGATAACACCATTCGATTGTGGGACGCGGCAACTGGTCAGGCTGTGGGAGAACCACTCCGAGGTCATGAAGGTTGGGTCAACGCCGTCGGATTCTCGCCAGACGGCTCACAGATTGTGTCTGGCTCGTCCGACAACACAATTCGATTGTGGGACGCGGCAACTGGTCAGGCTGTGGGAGAGCCACTCCGAGGTCATGAAGGTGTGGTCAGCGCCGTCGGATTCTCGCCAGACGGCTCACAGATTGTGTCTGGCTCGTACGACAACACAATTCGATTGTGGGACGCGGCAACTGGTCAGGCTGTGGGAGAGCCACTCCGAGGTCATGAAGGTTGGGTCAACGCCGTCGGATTCTCGCCAGACGGCTCACAGATTGTGTCTGGCTCGTCCGACAACACAATTCGATTGTGGGACGCGGCAACTGGTCAGGCTGTGGGAGAGCCACCTGAGGTCATGAAAGCGGAGTCAGCGCCGTCGGATTCTCGCCAGGCGGGTCACAGATAGTCTCCGGCTCGTGGGACAAGACGATCCGATCATGGGATGCAGAAACAGGTGAGTTCAACTCAGCTCGCCTTCGAGATTTTGATGCGACTCGACAAATAGCCTTAAGTGCAAACGCAAATTCTTCTGGTAAAGAGTCTGTATATTCAAGCCTCAGTGAGGGTCTACCGGCCACTCCTCTAAGAATCCATGTACCTGGATTCCAAATTTGCTTACTCTCGCAGGACGGCTGGGTACATTCTTCCGGCAAACGTCTCTTCTGGGTACCACCAGACAATCGACGCGGACTAAAATATCCATATCTCCTGACAATTCCAAACGAGGCTCCATTCCGCAAGACCAAGTTTGATTTCACCAATTTTCAATGTGGTCTCTCTTGGACAAATGTTCGAACAAATGTCCCATAATGACACTGAAGGGCCCTCCGGGAGAGACCTTACCTTTATCTCCTTTTTTGGCTCGACGATTATTGCGAAATATATGTTATACACACAACTCGCGTGGGACCCCTTAGACGCTCGCAATGAACAGGGAGAAGGGGTGTGAACGAGATAGGAGATTTCATCAGAGACCTAAATGACAAACAAAAGCAATCGTGCCATCTGGATCCAGGAGGAGACAGAGCACGCAGGCAGAGATTGTGAGGGGGCACTAAGACTATGGGCCCGAGCCTTCAGTCCTCTTTCCCTTGATCTGCTGGAGCTCGCGCTCAGGTGCATAGTAGTAAGCTGTTCGACAAAAGAACGTAAAGTTTCAGCTGGTGATACGCTCACAATACTCAAGGGAGCAACGTCTCTCCTGGTAGCAACAGATGCATGCAAATTCAACGGATAAAGAGTGACATCAGCGTCTCTGTCGGGAGAAACGGGGCGCAGAGGCTCGTATGAAACGACATTGGAATCCTCGCATGGTATACAGGCTGCGCCGGCAATACCCACAGGCAATCAGAGTGATTCCATGGGTATCAAGAGGCCCGACGCACCTTGAGGTGGCAAATTAGATAGCTTTACAAGAAAAAGGGTCGGCGGTGAGTAGACTTCGAAGCCAAACTGAACGTGTTCGAGCGGGAGGGTGTCGTCTGGGGAGTGTCAGTACAATCCATAGTGATAGGGAGAACGTACTGGTTTACGTGCAGACATTTCAATTACTGTGCCTGGTGAGGGCCTGTAAGACCCTTCCCTCCACTTCGTTACGGTCAGGGGATTTAATCATTGACGGCTAAATTTTACAATCACAATCATTCAGAATTAACCGACGCAGGCTGACGAACTTGTGGCGTGACGGGCTGGGACAGGCGGGGCCTAGGATGATTATTTGTGAGTCTGCCTCAGCCCGTCCCGTCACGCCCCAGCCGGCCAGAGCCCGCTTGAGCCCACCTCAGCCCGCCCCATCCTGCCTCTTACTTTGTTCTTACGAATCTTGAATGATTTTTGTCCACCGTGGCCGCTCATAAGATATACCTCCCCCAACTGCAACTTAATCCCAACCTCGTCTCGCCTTTGGGTGGGGCAACCAATATAATGCACATAAGGCTCTTTTAAACCATTTTCTTTGCGTTAGTACGTAGTCTGTTGGCCTCTTTCTGCCCGAGCGACGTTTTTTTTTGCATCCACCGCGTCTCGGTTCTGGTGAAGGGCCTATAACGAGTCAAACACGTACTATTGGTTTTGCTGAAAGGCGATCGTAGTGCTGTTTATTTGCGAAGAGAAGTGCCTCCCTCTCGTATGTTTCTACGACGGATGCGTTTATGAATCGCTGAACATATTTGTAATTGTCGATTACACCATTACAGGATGGAATAGCATTACATTATACAAAATTTGACCTCCGTGTGTTTTGGCGTTTCAGCCCACACAACTTGACATCTGTCATGCTGCTTGGCCGCTGCTCGCCGTGGATTAGGCGTTGTGAACTCGTCGATGATTCTGAGCAAGCAAAGACAAGATATCGCAGGCAATAATGTGTATCATCCATCTCCAAAATGCTCAATGTTTCACGCGGCCAGACGTATGCTCGCAGGGTCAAATTTCCAAACAATTTAGACGGCCCGTTGGATTTGTCAAGAAACGGAGAAAATAGCTGAGACGGCAGCCGTCCAGAGACCTGGACCCAGCCGCGTCGGACAATCCAAACTCCTCAGAGCTCTGCAATCTCGAGTATCCGCTATTCCTCGTGCATCACAGCATTCAGCAGCTCGTGTAGTCCACTGCGTCTAAGCCAGCCTTTCACCTGCAGGACAACGGTAGAAAGCGGCGTGTGGGCTCCAAACTGTGAGCTTTCGTCGCGCATACGACGCTCATGATACTCTGCTAATTACACTCTATGCATAGCTTTTACAGTCTCTCGTTCCAAACTCGTGTTTCCGCCCTCCTTTAAACTCCACTACGCCTACGTCCCCCCCGTCCCTTTCACTTTCAATCTTCAATGAGGGGTATCTCAGAGCTCTCAAAGTCTCTTAGCAGAGCTTCCTCTGTCAACGCAGGTACGCATGATTCATTTTCGGCTCAGACGAGCGGTTTAGGCTCATTTCCATCTCTTTTGCAGCGCCCCGGCCCACTATCCTCACGGAAAAGAACGGAGATGATGCAAATCCAACCACCGAGTCTCAACAACAGACTCCAAAGGCAGAGAAAGTTCCAACGCCGTCCCGCTCTGCGGATAATCTCTTTGCCATGGTCGACGCTCTTGCTAGAGCTCCCAGTCAGGATATTTCGCGTCCATTCGACTCTATCCCACCTCCTCGCGCGTCGGAATCAAAGTCGTGGTCCAAAGGCACAAAGAAGCGTCGCTCTGTAGTCTCTACGCTTCCTCCCACCGTGGATACTCTGGGCGAGTCTCTGACGCCATTTAGTGACGGTTTCAAATTGTTTGTACAAGAGCCCGTTCCCAAGCGACCAGGATCGCCGTCAACGAGCGTCATCCCGTCGTTGGTTTCAAACACCACGCTTGACGATCCCGAAGTACCTTCGAACATGCTCGCCAGTCTGAGCGTTTCAGAGCCCGCCGTTCCTTCAGCAACTATTACTCCAAAGAAAACAGAGGAACCAACAGCTACCCCACAATCACCTCCACCGACCAAGGACGGCTTTTTCAAGGGTCTCCTTCGCGCCGTGCAGATCAAGAAGCGAGTAACTTCATACTGGCAACCAAATCAAACGGTCAAATCTCAGGAGAGCTTTCAAGAAAAGCCTTCTACCGCAAACCCCCCCGTGGCGGGGACGTCACCCAAACCGAGTGCCGATGTTGCCAATGGCGTCTCGTCCTCAATGAAGGGATATGAAGAGAAGAATAGCAGTAACTCTTCGCTGGGGCGTGGGTTTGGCTCGTTCCGACGCCTTGGTCGACGCTCAAGGGATCTCAAGGAGCCCAGCACGTCTCTGGCTTCTCCTCTCTCGGCCAAGTTTCCTAATATGGACAAGGAAACGAACGCTGCTAATGCCACTAGCACTCCGGCAGCACCTATCGCGGAGCGCAAGAGCGCAGAGGGCGATTCGGAGGCTCCGTTACAGCCGCCACCCACCATTGTCAAGACGTCGGAGGATGGCAGGTCGTCACCAAGGTACTCTCACGGTGTCTTGCTTCATCCTATTAAAGAGGACGAAAGGACAGAGGAGGCCAAGTGAGCATAACGCTCCCTCCGCCTCTCGTCAAACTTCTATGGCCGCTCACACACACACTCATTCCAATCACGTCCTCGCCCCCGATCTATGCCTACTGTTCTAATCTACTCTCTCACATTCTGTCATCATACACGCATTCAGCGGGGCTCAATGTCTTTTCCCCTGCTCGTTCCATCTCTCTCTCTCGACCTCTGGGTCAAACAGTTTGAGTAAATCCTCGCTCTTCGGCCAGCAGTTCGGGGAGAGTTGGATCGTCGACGATCATTTTTCCAACAAAGCCTCTAACAGCTTGCGCATCCTTATAATACGCCCAGAACGAGCAAATCATCACCCAATTTTTCTTCATTCTGTTCTCAGAGAGCCCCATGCTCGCTCTCTTAACTACCCGCGCTCTCCGCACATATTTCTACTCTCCCAAACTCATCAGACCTCGGTTTTCTTTTTGGGATCCAATCTCTTTCTCCCACTCTTTTCCCAGTCTCCCCCCCCCTTCATCCTCGCGTTATCTGCGTCCTCGCGCCCTTTTTCCTCCCAAATGGACGCTCCTCCTCCCCTCCACCGGCGGGGCCAGGAATGGGTCTTGTCACTCGAGACTCTTGAAGAGGTCACCAAGCTTGCTCTTGTCATCAGAATTGGTGACTTGCATTCTCTCTCTAGGTAGCGCTGTACCATTTTCCGTTTGTTGCTCTCATGTCTCGAGATGATTCATGCTGCTGTAATCGGTCGTCGAATTCGGTCACAGTCTTCTTTTTCACTCGCAACAAACGTTCTTATGATTTAGAAGCAAACCGGAAAATAAGAGATGTGGAGCGGAGGAACCAAACCACTCCATAAAATGCGCATTACGAGGTGTAAGGCTTACATAACGATCTATCATCTCGTTAGATATCGTGTATTCACGCTCGACGAGGGATGTCCGCAGAACAAGGAGCGTGAGGTGGCTCGCTCATGCGGCCCCCGCGGTACCGAAGACGAGCCCGCGGTGGGAGGGAATAAAACTGATGCGAGCCGCATTATCTAGTGACTAATGTTCGAGATGGTCAGTTACAATACGACAAAAAGAAAGCGAGTGGCTTACCTCGCGCCGTTTCCATTGGCGATTGGTTTGCCATTGGCGACGCCATTTTTCGCTGCGCCCTTTGGCTTGGCGTTGTATGTACGGCGGTAAAAGTCGATGAAGAGGACGAGGTAGAATGTGAGGAGAGCACACCCGTAGAGTGCAGCGGGGACATCGCCTGCACAGTCACCCACCGTAGGCAAATTGTGCATGTATGCAAAGTGGCTATAAGCTGAAAGGAGATTATCAATCATCTGTAGGATCCAATTATGTGGTCTAGACGTACTTGCAAAGTAGACGACAACAATATCAATGACAAACTGGGTGATCTGCATGGTGGTAATATACTTTTTCCACTGTACATGTATAAGAATAGTATAACAGACGTGGAAGAAGGTACTTACCCAGATCTTCTTTCCGCCAGCAGGTCGCAAAGTAATAGTAATCTATTTTAAGGCCTCAGTGTCCACCCGTGCAGCTCGGAAGCATAGAAATACGCACACATCAAGACGTGAACCGCGAGATTGAGCGTAATGACGACCCATGACTGTAGCGCATCGGTTAGCATCCGGGCCGCGGTTGTCGAAAAGGGTTGTGAGACGTACCACACTCGTCTTGCCGTCGAGCTGCGTGTAGCACAGGACGGCCGTCGCCGCGTGATGGAATACGTGTAAAAACGCTGCGAGATGCTTGTCAGTCTGCCCGTCTCACGCGGGGATAGGTCGGAACACGGCTAGTCTCAACTCACTGAGCGGTTTTTTCTTGAGAGCGAGGAAGACGGTATCGACAAGTTCCCAGTATTTGAAGTAGTAGTTAATTAGATAGTAAAACTCGAGTCTCTGATACAATGTCGTCAGCCATCATGGACGTGATGCCGTAGCGATTCTCGGACGAGAAACACAGAAGATGCTTACCTCCGTCCAAGCTCCCTCGCCGCAAATAGCGTAAAACACGCCGTGTTTCCACATGATGGGCAGAATCTCCTCGAGCATGAGCACGAGCAACAGGCCCGAGCCTGCGCTGAGCAAAAAGTTGTGTATTTGGAAAAGAGTGTTGAGCTTTTGCGGCTCGCGCGTCTTTTGGTGATCCCGAATGGCAAATACGGTGCTCAAGTAGACCATAACTGTGCCCGCAACGACGGGGACCGTCGACATTGGTGTCAGTCCGGGCTTCCATGATGTGAGATGCGTTGGCAAAGCCGGGAGCGGCAGGCTCTGGAGAAAATCTGCGAGCATTTGTCGAAAGAAGACTGTTCCGGATTATGGTAACCTTTAAAAACCGCAGAGAGACCACTGGAGAGGAGATGGACGGGTCCGAGTTCGAGTTGGGGGAGAGCAGACGCTTGGGGCCTTGTCTCTCAAAAGCAGGGGCCCGAAATCCGGGTATAACGGGCACCTTCACCGCAATAACGCTCTATTTCACGCTCGACGCACCCGAATTCGCGAACCGAGCCGTAGAGAATACACGGTCAAGGACCGGTGGGAACTAAAGTCGTAAATGCTTACAATAATAAGCTGAAGTAAATGGCACTCTGGACAACCACATGCACCGATGGCTGAGACCACATGGTTCTAATTCCAGATAGCCGGAATCAGCCAACTCGTACGGCTCCCGTGGTGAAAAGGCCTAAGACTTTGAATAGAAAGCACCACTGGGTCATGCAACACCTTGATTGTTAGAAATCGAGTACAAGGATGATATTTCTCCCTCATGGCTAGTAATGGGGTCCCGTAGCCTCAGTATCACTCACTACCCTTTCAAGCATCTCCAGGTCGTACTCTTTCTTGATCAGCAGCCCATCTCTTGCATCTTCTGGTCGCATAATCTCCGTGTAGTTCACGTTTGCCGGATACTTGGCTTCCCCGACTCGCCCAGCCCAGTCAAAGTCGATTACTTTGACATTCTTCATTCCAATATCATCGTCCCACCAGCGACAAACCATGATATTGCAAGTCCGGATATCCCCATGAACAAACCCGTTCACATGCAAAACATCGACAGCGTCCTTGATGGCCTCCTTGAATTTGATGACGTCAACTTTGACAGAGCTCCGTGTACTGTACTCGTCCTCGGAAAGATACTCCATCACGACCATCCACCAACCCCCCGGAAGCCTTTCCGCACTGTACAGCTTTGGCGCGACTCCATGATCGCCACATGCTTTGTGTGCCTCTGGCGAATACCTTAGTGTAAACTTGACGCAGAGTGCAGTCCGCTCCTCCTTTTGTACGCATTCGAAGAGCAGCTTTTCGGGAAAGAGACGACGGCGATACTCAAACGTGACCCGGCGCTCACCGTCCATATAGAAGTTGCGGTATGGATACGTCGCTTCCTCAGATGAACGTCGGTCTTCGGTGGGTGCGTAGATGGCCTGCAGCGATTCGACGCCTTGTCAGAGTGCGTATAGGGAACGTGCGATCGGCTCGAGTCTTCTACGGCCGCGATAGTTCGCCTCGAGACTCAACGTCGGCGTAAGTCGTTCGAACTGAGCTTTCATGCTTATGACGGCGCCGCCAAACCCGACATCAGTACCTGACCATGGCCTCAGCTGCAGCACATTGCTTATTAGGACAAAGGGATACCTACCGACATAGTAAACGAGAAAGTAAGACGTTCTTCCTATATCCTTTCTTCCCTTGATGAATTCTAGATAGTACCCAAAAGCTTGCAGGTCTGCAGGTCCGGCGTGATTTGTCCACAAGTTTCTGGCTTCTGTGATGAGCAGAGGATGATCTCTGAGCCGGAGGTGCCCATCCGTTGAAAACTTCGTGTTACGGACAATCGACGCTTCCAGTGGTATCCCATGAGCCTCACACACTCTTTTAAACGCACTTTCGCGGTCCATTTCAGTTCGATATTCTTTCGACATTTCTTCCCAGAGCCACTGATGCGAGTATGAGCAGCCACGGGTCGCTCCTTCGAGAATTGACGCGTGCGCCAACTTTGAGCTCGCCTAGTCAAAGTTATGGTGCATAGATTTTGTCATATTATAATAGGCGTACCAAGATTTGTGCGCGAGAGCGTTTCTGGTGCGAGTCCGACTTTAAATGTGTCCGAGTCAAAATGGGTAACAGTGAGACAACATCCGACGCGTTGGCTTGAGCGGTTGGATGGAGGCGTCAAGAAGTTTTTCGGGAATCCTTTGTTTCAAATCCTCTGTATCTGAAATGTCGACTTGATACAGCTTGATTTCTGATGCGGGGGTTATTTTTGTAGCGGATGTCCGTGTCGAGGATCCGATGGATGAGACGGCCAACCGAGTAAGAACTAGGAATGATAACTGCAGTTGGTGCATCCAGGTTTCTACTATCGACATAGTACATTTCATACTCTTCTGGTTATTCACCATCAGCTGTGGGTCGGGGCGGAAGAATTCAAAGATACAACCTAGCTGCCACCCAATCTACTTTCCTAAGACCTCTGGATTCTTAGCATGCACTTTTGCACCGCGTTCCGACCTCGTTGGGTGTATTCGACGTTCAACTACTTGCCATTCATTTCAATAATTATAAGAGACAAGGTTTCGGTTAAAGAGGCGTCAGATACAAGTACGGATACAAGGAGATATGACAAAGGCCAAGGGACTGCGAGTAAATCAAGTAACCTTTTGGCGGTCAGCCTTTCATTCTCGTTCCCTGTCCATTGTAAACTGGAGATACACGGGCCGTGCATGCACAAGCAAAAAAGAGGAGCGTGGTGAGATATAAATATGGAGTGGAAAGGCTACATCGATTGACTAGCCACTGGGTGATAATAGGCTTTTGTAGTCTTGACGTCGGTGCCACCGGACGCACGCATGGACACCATGGTCGAAGTAGACGTTGCGCTCGTTGATGTGACTGGTCTCGGATTGGGCCGGTACAGCGCTGGATTGCTTCCAAAGACAATAAAAACGACTAGAGGACCACATGCGCCAATGATGATGCGAATAGGATTCGACGGTTGAGCGATTTCCAGGCCACATGCACTGTTAGCCAGAGTCAGCTAAAACTGCTACGGCTCCCCACGTGTTCAGAAATACGTACGCTAGACTGATCAAGAGGTACGAGGTGAAGATGCTAATTCGAATGAAAAAGCCAGACTGGAGTTGCTGGATGTTGCGTTCTGCAATAAGACGAGCGATCAAGACTTCGAATGTGACAGTGACGAGGAAGATGATTCCGACAGAGGCTGCAGAAATCACAGTCCTATCGTTTGTTTAGCTCCCTTTGGCCGTCGGGCAGTGGCAACCACTTACAGCGCTCGTAGGTTGCTAGAGCAATAGAAATAGTTGTTCTCCCTCGAAATTGTCTTGCGAGCAGTGATAGCCACCTAATCTTGTCAATAGGAGTGTCGCCCTAGACAAGAACGTATGCTTACAATGCTAGGGCCAATCAAATATCCACAAAACAAAACATAAGGAAGGCCGAGGAGCTGGTAAACGGTCAGCTTGTGCCTATGCATATTCACTTGTACTCACCAAGAGATTTCGAAGGGAAAAAAAGGTTCGGGAGCCCGCCTTTGAGACCGACGATCGAATGTCAAGCCAGAGCTACCAGAAGGTCAACGCAAGTTTGAAGACATAGAGTGGAGCGTACCTGGAACACGAGCGCGAGCGAGGCGCTTGCAACTCTAAAGGGCGCTTAGCGACCGAGTACACACAAATTTGACAAACATGCGTACAGAATCGGGACGGCGTACACCAACGCGGCCTGGGTTCGACAAATCTTCCAGCTTGGCTTGGGCCCCGTCTGCTGGCCTGCATAGAGACTACATCAGCGTTGTTAGCATTGCTAGGTAGAAACACACACACACACACAAATAGGACACTCACAGCAGACAGAATGTAATCGAGTAAACGATCCAGGTAAAGCAAAAGTTGAGGAAGACATAGTTGCGCGCCATGTTGCGTTTGAGGAGGGCGAGGATGATGAGAATAGGCATGAGGAGATGACCTCCAATCACATGGAGCACAAAGAAACCCCACAGGAGGCCCTTGCGATCAGTCGAGAGCGTCGTCGGAGTCGTAGCTGGCCAGGACATGTTAGCTCGCCATTTGCTGGAGGAAATATACGCACCATCAGGCATGTTAGCTCGAAAAGACTGTCGAGGAAAGGGTCAAAGCTCTGACCGTGGACTTTTGGGCGTCTTCCCGATTCATGAGCCCACCGCTATGGGGCGCTGCTGTTCATGGCGCTCCATTGACTTCGCACCAAATTCGTACAAGAACAAGCTGTGCCCTTGGGATCCAGTTTGATATTTCAATCAGCGTACATGTGACTCGCTTTACTGGAGCCAATGACCACCGTGGTATCGGGATTGCAGAGCCCAAGGGGCTCTCGGGCTTCGGCACGAAGAAATAGACAGGGGGGGTTAATTATGTCAATGCTAAATACAACGAATGAATGCGCTATACTGTATCACAGCAAGCCTTGTATGTCTAGGTGTAATGCGGCATGAGGAAGAGCACAAATGGTACGAGCGAGTCCGTTCCGAAAAAGTCCAGATCCTTAAATCCATCCACTCCTCGCACTGTTATTCCGCGAGGGTACGACGGTGGGACTCAGAGGGGCGCGGGAGAGGGGCATGTCGGGGTCGATGTAGATGGAACCCGCCCGACTCTCCGGATACTCGCTCACAGAGGGAGCAACGCTCGCCCGAGGAGCAAGAGAAAGAGGCATAGGCGGTATCATCTTTGCGTCCGTGTGAGTATGCGTTGATTGCGCGCCATCAGTGATTGTCGACAGGCGCGGTAGTGGCGGAATCTTTGGTGGCTCCGAATTCTGGCGCTTGCGCGTCGTAACGGGTGGGTAATTCTGTCGCGCGCTCGGTGATCGTCCTAATTGCGAGGGCACACGGTGCGGGCCACCAGCAATGCTCGACGTCCGTCGCGAGTCCATGCTATTCGAGCGCGCCAAAAACGTATTTGGATCATCGAGTTCGAATGGTTGGAAATAGATGGACGGGATGACAGGTGCGCCCTCGCGTGGATTGAATTTCGGTCGGCGCATCACAGATGGGACTGTCGCATCAGAATTGTAGCCGTCTGACGCCCGTTCGACAGAATGATTCCGCTGGAGACCATGAGGCATCGATCCAAAGTCCTTTGTGACGGTATGAGGTGCGACGAGGGTCGACGCGACAGAGATGGGACGCATGGGTTTGACGGCCAGGCTCGGAGAGAGCGTCATGTTCGGGTACGCAGGGGGTGGTGCGGCTGCAGACTCGACACGCTGAGAATTGAACATGTTGATCAAGTCTTTCATTTCTCCCGTCGAATGTAGACCGTCTCGTGCTTGCATACGCGATGATGTTTGGGACGTCCGGTCGGCAAACATGTGTGGATCATCAATAGAGCGAGATGAGGCAACGGTCCTCCAAGTCTTGTAGTGATACTCTGAGGACGCCGTATTGCCAAACGAATCGGCAGACGCAGAAGCGACGGCAACGGTGGGCGCAGGAGGCTGAGGAAGAACATAAGGGTCGATACGAGGGTGTGCTGCAGGTTCAGATTTGTGCGGAAACTTGAAGCCACGGAGAGTGTTCGAGGTAAACTTTTCGGGAGGACGTGAGAGGGATTCGGTGTTGGTGGGCGACGCATGACCAGACTCTTGACGCCGTTTGACGACAATAATCCTCCAAACGATCAAGAGGACGAGAAGGATGACTACGACGACGGATATGGCGACACCCAGAATGAGGCCTAAGTTCTGGGGCCGACCTGAACTCGAGTCTGTGGACGAAGAAGTAGATCTGGGACTATGTTAGCCTAATAAAAAGGACGAGAAGAGGGTGGAATATGTACCCAGTGTCTCTGGAGACGAGGGTTCGCGGGATCTGCATCGTGTGTGGTTGTCGTAGATGGGCGTCGTATAATTTGTATAAAAAGGAGAGACGAGTAAAAAGGAATGTGGGGACTCGCTACAGATAGCGAGCTGCGTTACTGGAGAGGCAAGGTCCAAGAGGCTCTGCTGGTAGCCGGCGTGTGTAAGAAAAAGGCTGGTGGGAACTGCGGCACTACCCTGCCCCAGAATCACCCGCAATACTGTTTCAAACATTATTGAGAATGTTTATTCTGATTCTCGACTGTTGCCTAGATCCACACCTCATCAATTCCGGTCGCGCGCTGTCAGCTTCATGCTTATTACTTTTGGCACCTGGAACTCGCCAAGTGAAATGGCCTTGTATACGGAACTCTGTTGACTCCAGCCGGCCCATGTTGATCACGACCACATCCATGGCGGACCAACACCAGATCTATAAGCTATTTGATGTCGATAAAAGAGGTCCCCAGAGACAAGGAATGGTCACTATTAACAAATCTGACACAGTGGGCGATCTCCAACACAAAATTCAAGCATTCCCCCGCTACAAGGATGTAGACCCGTCTGACCTCAAATTGTTCCAAGTCGACGTGCTTGATACAGAGGATCTAGAACAAGAACTCGCCAAGAAAATCACTGCGTTAGGACGGCCGCTCAGGCCAACCCGCCTGAAAATACCATACATCTTGTCGTGCGCCTGGAACCCTTCAAGAGTACAGGTAAATGGCGTTTGCTCCATACCTTTTCTCGTTTCGACCTCTCTTGATCCACCTTTGACACAGGAAAGAGGAAGCGCGAGGATTCTCCATCTGCCGAAGATCCGGAAACGAACCGAAGGAAGAACCTGGCAAACCTGGCCAAAGCCAACCTTTCCCCACCGTCCTGCTCCGTGAAGAAGATGCTCGCACAATATCAGAGCTGCATCGATATCAACCTACCCACTGCCGATCCCGAGACGATTCCTATTTCGCTCCTCCATGAAGTTTTCGGGACGTTCCTAGACAGCTATCAGACACATCAGCCAACTGCATAAGAGAATCGGTGGCTCAATGAGCTGTGGGAAGAAATGTCGAAAGAATATCGAACTGAAATGGACCGTGCACGTGCATTTAGAAGAGTGTGTGAGGCTCATGGGATACCACTGGAAGCGTCGATTGTCCGTAACACGAAGTTTTCAACGGATGGACACCTCGTGCTCAGAGATCATCCTCCGCTCATCACAGAAGCCAGAAACTTGTGGACAAATCACGCCGGACCTGCAGAGCTGCAAGTTTTTGGATACTATCTAGAATTCATCAAGGGAAGAAAGGACATAGGAAGAGCGCCTTGCTTTCTCGTTTATTATGTCGGTAGGTATCCCTTTGTCCTAATAAGCAATGTGCTGCAGCTGAGACCATGCCTAGGTACTGATATCGGGTTTGGCGGCGCCGTCGTAGGCATGAAAGTTCAATTCGAACGACTTACGCCGACGTTGAGTTTCGAGGCGAATTACCGCGACCGTAGAAGACTCGAGCCGATTGCACGTTCCCTGTACGCACTCCGACAAGGCGTCGAATCGCTGCAGACCATCTACGCACCCACCGAAGACCGACGTTCATCTGAAGAAGCGACGTATCCATACCGCAACTTCTATATGGACGGTGAGCGCCGGGTCACGTTTGAGTATCGCCGTCGTCTCTTTCCCGAAAAGCTGCTCTTCGAATGCATACAAAAGGAGGAGCGGACTGCACTCTGCGTCAAGTTTACACTAAAGTATTCGCCAGAGGCACACAAAGCATGTGGCGATCATGGAGTCGCGCCAAAACTATACAGTGCGGAAAGGCTTCCGGGGGGCTGGTGGATGGTCGTGATGGAGTATCTTTCCGAGGACGAGTACAGTACACGGAGCTCTGTCAAAGTCGACGTCATCAAATTCAAGGGGGCCATCAAGGACGCTGTCGATGTTTTGCATGTCAACGGATTTGTTCATGGGGATATCCGGGCTTGCAATATCATGGTTTGTCGCTGGTGGGACGATGATATCGGAATGAAGAATGTCAAGCTAATCGACTTTGACTGGGCTGGGCGAGTCGGGGAAGCCAGGTATCCGGCAAACGTGAACTACACGGAGATTATGCGACCAGAAGATGCGAAGGATGGGTTGGTGATCAAGAAAGAGCACGACCTGGAGATGCTCGAAAAGGCAGTGAGTGATACCGAGGCTACGGGACGCCATTACTAGCTATGATGATCGACGAGAGGGATCCAACTTTTCTATCAACTTTGTCGTCCCTGTATTCGTACATGCGATCTTTTCTCGATGCCACTTTCAAGACCTGATTATTCCAAATTCAACTAAGAAGCAGTTCAACGCTAAGTATGACCAGCGAGATCTAACCGCGACAAAAAGGGCTATCCAAATGATCGAGAGTATTAGAATAGTGAGTCAATTCATGGCGAGTGGTGGCAGCCAGGTTGTATCTTGAATTTCTCCATACCGACACACAACGATGGCGAATGAACCAGAAGAGTATGAGATTTACTATGCCGATAGTCATGATCTAGATATCGTGGATTGTATCACCATCTCGAAATCTGCGACTGTTGCTGCGCTCCGACATCAGATCCAATTATCGGACCCCCATTGCAAGGATATCTTGCCATCGGCACTCAAATTATTCCAAGTCGACATTTCAGATACAGAGGATTTGAAACAAAGGATTCCCGAAAAACTTCTTGACGCCTCCATCCAACCGCTCAAGCCAACGCGTCGGATAACTGGCTACTATCCATCAAACCCATTAGAACAAACTATTCATATAGTTGTAGTGATCCCGAAACCCCCCAAGGGTGCAGGTAAGGGTTTCCTTTCTCTCGTGTTCCGCGAACAAAGCCTATTGCATCACTTTATACTTTTCCTACTGTCTCACCGGTGCGTATTTCCTCCTTGTGCTCACGAGAGCTGATATTCTCATCTATTTCTGCGCTGTAGCTAAACCAACGAACGCTCAACAGCCAAACGTTCCCTCGCCTCTGAAGAAGATTCCGGAACCGCGCAAAAGCGTAAGAGAAAAGGTTTGCCTTTACCTTATGTTGGCTTCTACTCGCTGATGTCAGCTGTAGAAGCTCGTGATGACTTGCTCGCAAAAACGCATGCCATTGCATCCCCATCTTCAGCTGCGACCCCTAAGAATCTTCAGGAGAATCCGATGAATTCTTATTTAATCGCCCTGCCGATAGACGTGGCCTTCCTATTCATCTCTACTCGAAAGCAATCAGACAATTCCAGTCCAAAAATATCGCCCAGCATCCAGATCAGGTCTCTGGCGAGGATATGATGCTGACATGGGATGTACTCAACAACTCCGCTGCCATTTACGAAACCGAGAGCCAAAGGAGGAAGGGCGTCCAACAGTCGATACAAGATCTGCTAGGGAAACCGGCTAACCAAACTGAATTGCCGGATGGCTCCTCGAACGACAGCGTTACTCTATTTGCACATCGCAGTAAGCAAGCGCTTCTCGCGATCTGGGAATATAAGGCGGAAATCGGGTTTGGGGGTAAAGATCCCACCATCCAAGCTGGCTTTGGATATTCAAAGTGGTGGGCATCAGCAGAGGTATGGAGCCGGAGTAACAGCATTCATACATGGCTAATTGGTTGAGCAGGCCGCATTCTTTCGCAATCGCTCCTGCTGTGCGAGTTTTCTGCTTTCGATCGCGGGGGCCTGGCTTTTTGTTTCTGGTGCCGTGCTGGTGAACAACCACTGGGTCGTCGAGCCAATCACTTCCGAGTATAATGGCACCATTTCTAACGATCCTAGACACGTGGAGCGTGTGGCACGACTGATCATTCGGCTTCGAGAAGCAATCGAGGTGTTGGAGGAGGAGTACAGGACGATAGCCAAACAAGGAGCCGTGGAGGAGGCGCAGTCTTTTCCCGATATCACGTCGTATACGATTGATGGTACAACAACGACGTTTGTATACGAGAAGGTCTTCAACTACGATTCAAGTAGGACAACAAGGACGTTGCTTCAAGCGAGGATGAGTAATGGCCAGCTTGTTATGGTTAAATTTGTCCGAACGTACAACGGAGATGCTCATCGCCTGCTCGCAAACGAAGGATTGGCGCCCCAACTCTACTATTGCGGTTCATATGACGAGCATATCCCCGACCAAATGGCGGTCATGGAGCTCATCGAGGGTCACGACATGTACCACAAGGCCTTCACCGAGAAGCAGCTTCAAGATGTCCGAAGAGCAAAAGACCTATTACATGAGAACGGTTACGTTTTCGGAGATCTTCGCAGCAACAACATACTTCGAACAAAGGCAGGGGAAATCAAGTTGATTGATTTTGATTGGTGCGGCAAGGATGGGCAAGAGCTGTACCCGGTGGACATGAACCCCGATGTGAAATGCGGTTGGCATCCCGACGCAAAAGGTGGTAGAATCATGAAGAAATGTCATGACGATTACCTGGTTGACAAGTTCCCGGTGGAGGCAGAGGATCAAGGGGCTTTTACCGATGACCAGTAGAAGAGGTTTATTATACCATGTCACTTAGAATGAACAGTTGTGCTAGTGTAGTCTCTAATCATCCACCGTTCGCCTTGAGTCTAAGCTGACTGTACACCGTAGACTAACCTGGACCTCGCCACCATGTTTACCGGTCTCGTTTGTCTCTTATTACAACCATCTACAGCAACTAATGTACATCTTGGATCCAGATAGAACATCTCGGTCGCGTCGCCGTCATCGACGAGCTCGACGCATCGGAAAGTGGAGGAGGCGGCTGGAGCATGACGATTGCAGATGCATCTCCCATCCTAGACGATTGCCATATTGGAGATTCCATCGCCGTCAACGGATGTTGTCTCACTGTTACCCATTTTGACTCGGACACATTTAAAGTCGGACTCGCACCAGAAACGCTCTCGCGCACAAATCTTGGTACGCCTATTATAATATGACAAAATCTATGCACCATAACTTTGACTAGGCGAGCTCAAAGTTGGCGCACGCGTCAATCTTGAACGAGCCGTGGCTGCTCATACCCGCTTCGGGGGCCACTTTGTCCAGGTAAACCAAGCCTCTTCACCCACCAAAAATGATTCTCTAACATAGTTCAATAGGGTCACATTGACGACGTCGTGACCATCTGTAACAGAGAACAAGACGGAAACTCTCTCCGACTCACGTTCAAGGTTCCCCCAGCGACCCAGACCCGCCCTTCTCTCCTCCCGTACATCATCCAAAAGGGTTTCATCGCCCTCGATGGCGCCTCGCTCACCATTACTTTCGTCGACGACCAAAGCCAGACATTTGGTGTGATGCTCATCGCCCATACCCAGTCTAAAATCGAGCTAGCCAACAAGCCCGTCGGCGCAACGGTCAACGTCGAGGTCGACATGGTCGGCAAATATGTCGAAAAGTCGATTGCTGCCGCCCTTGGCAGCTTTGAGAGTTCGGGGCCTTCGTCGCCTCTCAAGACCCTCATCGAACGCACAATTGACAATGCGATTCAGAGTCGTCTGAAATAATACGTACTGGAATTCCCTTCGGGATGTAACTGAGTTTACAAAAGTGTGAGCAATCTATGAGCAAGAAGGAATGAGATGGTGGGGAAATGCGATTGCGAGACCAGGTAACTAATGAGAGTCATGATGCAGAGAAAAACATGAGAGAAAGAGAGGGGGGAATTATGTGTGTCCGATGTCAATCAGTATAGTCCATGAGCTAATTCGGTCTCCAACTCGAAGGTGGAGGTAATGGAGGTGCTCCCGCACCTCGAAGGTGTGCAGGAGGCACCGAAGACGACGGCGCCGTCATCGTACGCTGTCGAGGCTGAGGTCGATCCCCACGCTCGGCCTCGCCCGAATCACTTGTAGGAAAAGCTAGTCCAGCACCAGCACCAGCACCAGCACCAGCACCATTGCTATTTTGCGCCAACCGTTGAGGATACTGAGATGGTCCAAATGTCTCTCCATAGACGGAGCCACCCCAGACACTCCCGCCCGAACCCATGCCCATCCCTAGTCCCAAGCCGAGAGAGGGAGAGATTCCGAGCGTAGAGCCTCCATAGACACTTCCCGTAGGCATACCAAGTAGCGTCGGTGGACGCGTCGGTGATCCAGAGAATCCACCCATATTGCTCGCCCGCTCCCACTCGTCTCCAGCAGCCGCCATGGCCTGTTGCGCGACAGCGAGTTGATAAGCTTGCTTGGCAAACATCATCGCTTGCTGATGCGCCATCATCGTCGACGGATCCATGCCCACTCCCATCATCGGAGGCATGGGCGGCACAGGCGGCATGGAGAATCCCATCCCTTGCTGCATCATCGGATTGAACATTTGTGGCGAGTTCATCATGTTGCCCATGTTCATCGACATCATGGGATTCATCCCAAATGGCGTCCCCGGCTGAGGCGTCCCAGATCCGAATCCCATTGACATTGCCTGCATTTGTTGCTGCATTTGTTGTTGCATCTGTTGCATCTGTTGCATCTGTTGCCACTGTGCCCAATTCTGCATTTGATTCGGGAAAAATGAAGGCTGATCTTGATTGACTTCTTCTGGGTCTATCGACACAGGACCATTGACAACCTTGCCCAACTAGAACACGAATCAGCAACCACTCATCACGGCCAAAAAAACTACATACCTCGATAGCAGCCTTGGCCTCGGACCGCCTTCGTTCATTCCGCTGCTCCTCTGCCGTATTCGCCCGTCCTCGTGCACCAAGATTCATCTCACTCGGCTCTCGACGATGTCCACTCTTGACGGGCTGATACACCGGATCATCCTCAAACGATACACTCCTCCTATGAGCACCATTCGCTCTCGCTCTCGTTGGCCCATTAGACGAGCCACTCGAACTCGAGACGACAGAATTCCTCACGCTCACGCCAGCGTCGCTCCCCGTCTGCGGCGTCATGGGTGGACCAAGACTCGAGTTTCCAATCGAGCTCGCCGGGCTGTCCTCGCGAAGCAACGGTCGGTTAAATTGATTCGGATTCCGCTGTATCGCGGTCGGTCCAGGCCTTGATGGCGCCGACGCGGTAGTCTTGGGGTCGCGAGCATGAGGCGTCGTCGTCGAGGGTGTCAACAACGTCTGAGATGAACCAGACTTTAAAATGGATTTCGTCGGGGGTGGATTCGTCTTGACAACTTCCTCCTGACTCGACGACTTGGACTTGGGAGAAGGCGCGACACCGGGTGGGTCACCCGCTCTAGGTGACGGCGAGGACGAAGGCGACGCAGTAAACAAGTCTGCAAGAGACCTTCGACCTCGTGTCGTCGTCGTCGGTGAACTGGGCTCTAAGTCTTGCTTGTCAGGGAGCATTGTGGCCGACGAGTTGGCTCTGGAGCGCGCGAGATTGCTAGACGTTTTCGAGATGGTGGCGCTATTGTCCGATGCGCGAGGTATTACTTTGGGTCCAGTCTGCGTCTGCGCGCTCCTCGCCGGAGACGGGGATGCCGTCTGATTTCGAGCAGGCGATACTGTTCTCAGCGGAAGGTTGGTGGCCGAACCGACTGGGGAGCCTGAGCGGTGACTGGAAAGAGCTGATCCAGGTCTACGAGGGGGTACCAGGGCCGAAAGTGGAGCATCATCGTCCGAAGTCACCTGCTTGCTCTCGTCTTCCTCTGTATCCGTCTCTGGAGGCGGTAGAGTCGCTTTTCGAACATTGCTCTTCCCACTAAACGAGCTCGGTGTTGGGACATATACATTTGCAGAAAGAGATCTGGATGGTGTGTGAGGACTCGACGTCGATTGCCCAAGTGGCACACGACGAGGTCCAGAAGCCCGAGAGCTTGGTGACACTATGGACGAAAGTAAGTACTATCATGAACTATAAAAGCTGGTCAACTCACATCCGTGTCCGAGCTCAGAGCGTGTCCCACCTCGCAGCTGTTCTTGTGAACCCATGGTAGAGTGCACAACAGAGTGAGTGTTGGACCACACATCAACCGATTCTTCAGTGTCCATTGATCCTCTTGGGGCGCTATACTGTCCTGGTTTGATATTGGCGTTGGGCGACGGCGCGGGAGAGGGTGAATTGCGATTAGAGTTGGGTGTTGGCGCCTTGGGAGGAGTGATGGATTGCGAAGGACGATTTAAAGTAGTCGTACTTCCATGACCCAACTCTGATTGCGCACCAGAGAGACCAGCACGCAAAGAAGTTGAAGAAGCAAACGACGAGGGAAAATTTCCAGAAGGCTGCGGCGAATTCCTCCCCTTTAGCTTGTTCAAATCTCCAATAAGCGGCGGCTTTCGCAAAGGTCGTCCAGCTCGCTGTCGTTCCGTATCCTCATCGCTCTCGGCGCCACTACTCGGGTCCGAGTCAGACGTGTCGGAGAGCATCCATTTGGCGGACAAGCGAGTCCCATTCGGTGTCTGTGCACGAGAGCCTGGTCGTGGTTGGACCGGCGATGAGGTGCCGACGGGGGTGCGTTCTCGTGGGATAGGGGAAGATCGACCTATGGGTTGCGGCGGGCCCAGTCTCGCGGGTCGTGAGAGTGACCCCTCGCCACCACTTTCATTGCCACTCGCCGCTCCTCCTTCTGCGTTCTTTGCTCCCGGTGGAAGCGTAGCAGGGTTCGGGCTGACGGGTCGTAGGTTGACGTGCAAGGGCACGTTTCCTGGCGGCATACCGTCTGAAGGATGGTCGGGGACTGGTAAATGTACCGAACTGCGATTCTTTGCAGACTCTGCCTGGGCCTGGCGGAATTGGGCCACGGTCATTTTTGGTGAGGAATCCGAGGCTTGTGACGTTCCGCGTGGACGGGTGCCAATCGGTGAGGGAGGCACTAGGGAGGAAGGGGAATGATGGGGGGATTGGTGCAAGGGTTGGTCGAGCAATGATGGGGGAAGATTGAGATCGAGCGCATTGGAAGGAGAAGCGGGTCGGACAGGTCTGAATGATTTGAGATTAAATGAATCCAATGGATCGGAGGTGGTCGAGGGAATGTGAAGGTCAAGCTGCGGTGCTTTTGTGACCTTTGTGGGCTTTGAGCCCCAGTTGAAGACTTTGACGGTATTAGAAGTGCGCATCTCAGGTGTTTTTGGGATCGGAAGAGTCTGGTGGACCGGTGATCGCCGGGCTGGAGAATTGTCGCGAAGCCGAATCGGCGGCAACTGTGGAGGTGGCTCCAGATGCCTGGAGGATGAGCCTGGGAGAGACTGGGAAGAGGAAGTGCGACCAAACGAATTGTTGAACACGGACGAGCGCGACGGCGGTGAGTCTAGCGGCTCGGACCACGACGCACGGGGGCTTGTAGGCTCTGCTATATTTGAGCTGATTTTATTCACAAGGACGAAAATAACACTTGACATACCTTTGTCTGGAGCCGTCTGCTTGCGTTTAAAGCCAGGCATGGCGAGCCTGGACCGTGAAGAGGATCCCAAACTCTTTGTCGTCGAGCTCGCGTAGGCACCGAGTTGTTTCGACGGCGAGGGCGAGTGGGAGCGTGGATGCTCGCCATTGGCGTCGGGCGGAGTGTTGAGGTCTGGGAGGACATAATCCGACGACTGCTGAGACGAATTTGAAGGAGTCCGGCCAACACTCGAGGTCACAGAGGGCGTCTGGAGCGTGTTTGTCGACTTGTCCTTTTTGACAAAGACGCGCTGGAATAGCGGCATCCTGGGGGTTAAAGATGGAAGAGTAAGAGACCAAACAAGAAATGAAATGAGACAGCTGAGAGTCAAGCGGTTAGCAATGGCGTTGACGTTTGACAGCCCAAATTTTGGTGGGAATCAACCGAGTAAAGGCGCAAACTTACTGTTTGCACGATTAAAAGGCGTGGATAGTACACTAGATGGCTGGCGGGCACGGGATAATGGGCCCGGGAACGATGATGACAGTCGACGGGTGCCGCTCAGAGCTCGCAGACGTCGTGGAAAGTGTGCTGGACAATGTTCAAGATGCTGGTAATGCTGGTCTCCAGGATGTGGCTGTTGGAGTCGGAGGGCAAAAGTCGAGTGGAACCTGAGCGCTCGTGGTTAGCCGTCTCACCCGCGATTGGTCACGGAAATTGACTGCCTCAGTGTCAAACAATGCGCAGAACACGCGTGTGGCTTTGTTTGGGCATTTCGGAGAGCTCATGGGATCATATACAGGTGCAGAGGGGCACTGGCCAACTCCGACAGCTTCCAGAGTGTTCGTACATGGTGTCGGATATTCAGAAAAGTCGAGAATTCAGCCAACAGTGACGACAAACGTCGTGCCGGGAGAAGAACCAGTTAATCCGAGGAGCGCGGCCGGGCTTACCAACGTAGACTCCCAACCATTCCAACACGCGTGTCTGATAATCTCTAGAAATCATATCAACGCTTCTCAAATATGACATCCTCTTCAGCAAAGACAAAGACGAGCCAAATCCTGACAGCGCCTTCCTCGAGCGTCCACATTGTTCCACGCACGTACACCGAAGAGGAGACGCAAAAGATTGAGGCACTCCGAGAGGTAAATCTCTACTTTTTATCCATGCTACCACTCATGTCCTCCGAACCAGTATGCAGACTCGCTTCGACTCCCAGAGACCGATCCATATTATCCCTGGGAAGCCCGTTGGCTGGCTGACAAGGGATGTGCAGAACGGTATATGCGTGCTGCAAAATTCAAGCTCGACGATGCCAAGAGGCGTATCGCTGGCACACTCGAGTGGCGTCGCGAGTTCAAGCCAGAACTCATCCCACCAGAGGACGTCCGCGTCGAGTCGGAGACGGGGAAAATGTATGCCTTTTCTTTTATCATGATCATATTATTGACAGCATCTCTAGTATTTTGAATGGTTTTGACATCAACGGTCGACCCATTATTACCATGCACCCCGGGAGAGAAAATACAAAGACGTCGGACCGCCAACTTCGACATCTCATTTACGTCCTCGAGCGTGCAATCGACCTGATGCCATCAGGCCAAGACTCGCTCGTGATCATTGTCGACTACCGCAGCACCACGCTCCGAACAAACCCCTCCATCTCCGTAGCCGCAAAGGTCCTCACGATTCTCCAACACCATTATGTCGAACGACTCGGCCGCGCCATTGTCGTCCATCTCCCCTTTATCCTCCAATTCTTCTACAAGGGCATCTCCCCCTTTTTAGATCCCATCACCCGCGATAAGATGCGATTCAATCCAGATTTAAAGGAACTTATCCCAGATGACCACCTCGACGCCGAGCTTGGCGGCTCGTATGCGTATGAATTCGATCCAGACATCTATTGGGACAGTCTCATCAAGCACGTTTGCTTCTTTTAATTTGACCACATTGAGGAGCGCTAACCTTCTCTTTAGGGCATGCCACATTGCCCCAGACGGTGGCAGACTTTCTCCCCATCCACTAGGCACCTCGTCCACAACCAAATCGGAATCTACAAATATCCACAGTCCGAGCACGAGCTCACGCTCCTCGGACGACGATGACGACGGCGCGCTTGAGCCTCGCACACCAGCAAACGGCATCTGGCTAGACCAAGGCACAAGAGCCTCGACCATCAAGGTGGATCAAGAACCCTACACAAAGTCCAACGCCACCGACAATGACGCATCAGTCACCATCGTCCCTGTTCAATGATCGATCAAACCAAAATAGACGTGTTGTAAACGAGGATAGCATTTTGTTTTTACACTATAATCTATATGCAACAGCCCCCAGAATATATGTTGTTGGTGTCTTGATGAGTGTACTGGGTATCAGGTCAAAACGAAGCGAGTCAACGACCGTGCGTGGGCGGAGAGTCCGACTCGAGACAAAACAATGGAGCATGGCTACAAGGTTGGAAAGAACAAAAAAGGACGTGCAGTGGTAGGTACTAGAGATTAATGCGTGAAATGAAAGGTCGGATGGATAGTATAATGGCTCGTCCATTATGGTGCGAACAGAAAGTCTGTCGTTATACCCCTTTAACCCATGTGCTTTTGCACATGCGCTTGGATTATAGTTTTGCTCACTACAACCACGTCAGTCATCACATCTTGCGGCCAAAGAGACATGCACGTACCAGTTTGTAAGATATCCTTGGTAGACTCGCGGTCAATGAGCGACGTCTCATGGACAGTGTATACGCGAGACGTCTGCGAGGGCGTATACTTTGCGTAAATAGCACCAAACTTGGCGCGGAAATCTACAAACCCGTCAACCACGAGCACCTGTATAACGGAGGGAAAAAATCGCACATTTCAAGACGGCTTCCGTATCGTTTGCACGCTCGCCATAACGTCTAAAATATCTCGCAAGTTGAATCCCCGACTTGAGTTTGGCGTCGAGTAAGTCGACCTTGTTGAGGAACAAGATAATGTTGACGTCTTTGAGAATCGGCGAGCGCACGAGTTCGCGGAACAAGCGCAACGAGTCCTCCTGAAAAGAAAACGTAAGCTCTCATAATTTCCAGGGACCTTGGCACACAAAAAGGCAAGTCACTCGGTGCCGTCCCCGTTCTGGTCTTCGGCGATTAAACTTCTACCTCCTAGACCTGAAACGGGTGCCGAATCCCATTATCAAAATGGGTAGGCCGGCACCGATCCCGTAATAACGAAGCACATAACCCAAGAGCAAATTGAACGGGGAACGGCAAAGTCCGAATCGTCATGGAGCCAAATTACTCACCATTCGATTCATCGTCGGGTCTTCTTCCAATGTTTGGTCAAATGCCGCGACATTTGCAATGAAAATGATCGCGTCCGAGGCATCAAAGTACGGCATCCACGCTGCTCGCTGGGTGCGAGACCCCCCAACGTCGTAGACGAGCCAATCCTTTGGCACCGAACCTCGGGTGTCGATATGCAGGGCGTGTTCGGTGACCCCAATCGTCTTGAGACGTGCGCGAAGAATGTCATCTGCTCAGGAGCAAAAACACCGGGTTAAACACGCTTTTGCACACAAGGATAAGACTGACCATCCGACGGGATATATTCGCGACTGACGATTCGGTCGACATCGCTTAGAAAGCTAGTTGACAGGAGCTGAGCCAGGAACAAGAATAAACATGGAACCACTTACAAGCCAGGAGACTGTTCCAGTGCGTAATTGTGCTTTTTGAGATATTCTTGTACGACTGGATCCCGCCAGAGGGCATTGATATCTCGAGCACTATCGACAAAAGCATCAGCACGAAAAAAAATAAATAAATGCGTGAACGAGCGTTGAGATGACTCACAAAGTCTGAATCATGCGTGCTGGATCACGTTCGTCGTCCCATAGAGTACGATCGCCATTCGCGCTCGACTTGAGCAAGCGCTCCGTGGGATCGTACTTGGCCCATTTCCAAATCCTTTCTTTCCAGTTTGCCGTCGATCTGACGTAAAACTCTGGTGTACTCGTCTGTCCACCGCCGGGTTTCGGCCTACCTCCACTCGACTCGTCGCCTTCCGAGGCTCTCCTGGTCTGACCAAACCCATGTCCTATACCGACAATATACGATTGATCACCCGTCGGCGTAGTTGCTTCTATTGGTGCACTGGGTTGCTGTCGCGCAGGAGGGATCAACATGCCAGAGTGTGAAGATTTTGCGAGACTTGTGGTTTTCTCCTTTTTGGAACTACCGAGCTTTTCGAGAGAAGGAGAGGACAAAGAGGGAACCGTGTTGCTCTTCTTCTTCTCCTTTTTTGGTGTGACAGTGACGGTACTGCTGGCTGTCGACGTCGTACCAAAGCTCTCAATGGCAGAGGAAGAAATGTCAACCGAGCTACGTGCACGTGGACGCCCAGACGAGGAATGAGAACGGGGTACCTTGAGTGACTTGTCCCCAACGGAATGATGACTGCTCGTCGACTTTCGTGCCGCGCTGACAGCCACCTCGTGCATCGCAGACAAATTGAAATCGAGTCTCACGGCTTCGTATTCGTCTGGCGTCGACAGCCGTTTCAGCAAGTCTTGTTCGACGGACAGCAAAGGTTTGATGCGCATAATGAGCAGCTGGTGCACATTTGTAAACGTCAGGGGAGTCGATTCTTCCTCCTTGGCTTCGCCCTCGTATCGTGGACGCGAGAATCCGGGACGGGAACCAGAGCTAGTGCCGCTATCCGAAGCCCCACTAATGCTGGCCGGTCCCGTCTTTTGCGGAGGCGAAGCGCTAGTGCCGGCAGCAATAGTACCTGCTAATGCAGAGGTTACTTGGTTGCTGGACTCGCCGGAGCGACTACGATGGAACCCTTGGTTAGGGGGCGCGCTCAATTTCCAATCGTCGCTTGCCCCACGTCTCAAGGGTGTACCATGTGGAGGTGTCACGGCCGGTTTGGCACGATTTGACCCAAAACTCGATGAGGGGAGACAGAATGCCGAAGACGGCACGCCCGAGCTAGTGGCTGGCCGAGTTTGCTGTCGAACTTTATCGGCGGAGCGAGATGAAAATGCGGAAACACCGTCCTTTGGTTCCTTGGAGAAGAAGCTTGTACGTTTGACTGGGTTGGCATTTACCGAAGAGGATGTTTTACCAGAATGGGTAGATGCACCATCTGTCGCATCTCCCTCTACGTCGTGGGGTGCGATCAACGACCCCGAGCTATGCTTGTGGTTCAAGGACGAAGCAGCTGGAGGAGGGAGGGGCGGTAACAGATCTGAAAAGTCGCGCATGGGTGACCGTGTTAAAAAGGGGGATGTAGGCGACGTCTTGAGTGCCTCTTGGATGCTGATAGCCTCGGAAATAATGTCGTGTAGCATACGTATGGACCGAACGAGATTGAAGATGATGACCATACGCCATGCGGCGCGCTCGGCGTGGAAAGCTGTAACAAGAAATAAGCCGGAGCCCAGGACGCAAAAGGAGGACATGAACGTACACTGTGGATTGTATACGAGCTGAAAGTCTAGAGGTATATAGATGGTTAGCGTATGGTACATTGCACAGGGGTTGGTTACTCGCTCTTGAGGGCGCTGCTTTTGCCCGACTCTGACTGGCCGAGGAGAAGGAGTCGGACATGCTGGCTGCGTTTGGCGACCGACTCTGCGTCTCGTTTGAGAAACTTGTCAATCTCGTCGGAGACTTTCTTTGCGTCTTCTTCTTGCTGTTGTCGTGCAGCCCGCTGCTCGTCTGATTCGTCCCTTGGAGGGGCTGTTAGTGCTGCTAGTGGATCATGGGCAGGATCAGAGGCTCCCGTAGACGAGACGAGCTTTGGGAGAATGCTGGGCATCCCGCAGGGCCGAAGTGGGAGAGGGCAAGCAGTAAGAGCCCTCGGTCAGAGTCTCGACCTCTTAACTTATTTAAGAGCTTACGGCTGCCGGTAACTTTTTGAGCCTATTAGATTGTCAAAGGAGGGAATAACGTGAATCTATAGAATTCATTAGGGCAGCTGTCAGCCAGAGGATGGCTTCACAGGCAACTCCAAAACGATTATACCGGGTAAGAGAGTAGTCAAACGGGGAGTGCAACGCGAGTTAGACGGAAGATCGATCCGGACTCGCCAGTCGAAACGCAATGAGGCGTCGACGTCAGTTGGTCAATAATCTCCCGTAAATGGTCCCGACGTCCGGCGAGAGTACGTCCCGGAGTCGAGTTTTACGTTGCTGTAATAGTCACTGGCATTTGGCAGCTCGGAAGATGCCGTCCGTCGTCGGTAATAGCGCCCATCTATATGTGACAGTAATCGCGACAACTATCCCCTGGTTTGATGACTAAGCATCTCCAGGTGTATCGATGGCAAACATGCGGCAAACACCCCCCTTCCCCGCATTACGCCTTCTTGGACCACCACCACAACCATCATGTCGTCTCCATCATCATCATCCATCCCCCCCATGCCAGCCAGTATGTATCTGTAATTCCCCCCCGTCGACCATCACCAGGAGCTCATATCGTCCAGTCAAAGTCGGTGGTCGTAGGCACTCCGTCTCCAAGAACAAGCATGCACGCTCGTAGGTGGCCTCGTGTTCGCTCTCCAACACGTCCACTCACTCCCTCGTAGTGCATCCAGAGACACTGGCAAAGCCCAGGATACTGCCACCCCACCAGAATATCCTCGTCCAGCTGAAGGCGAGGCTCACGACGAGGCGCCCCAGCAAGACGAGCAGGCCAAGCGCGAGAAGAATAAACGCGCAGAATTCAACCAAGCCCCACAACAAAAGTGGGTCGACATGTCTCACAAGAAGACATCCAACTCGTTTGGCGGAGCTGGAAGGATCAGTCAACCCGCTGGAAAGGCCATGCCCTCGTAAACCTCCATCAACCAGTCTCCCCAACTATCGTGTACCCAATCGTGACCCGTTTGTGAAATTTGTATTCCTATTCTTCATGCAGACTGTGCCCTGGCAAGAGATCAGATTACAGATACGCGTGTGTGGGAGAACGATACTCACTCTTCTTCAATGATTTTGATCACTGCCTCCCACACCTTTTCGATACCCCTCTCCACCAGGTTGCCAGTAGCGCAGCTCCTCGGGAGACAAGCGATCGAGTACATATTGCTCTAATGCACCGCGAGGAGGCATCCCAATCCCGATCCGTATTCGCCAAAAGTCTTTGGTTCCAAACGCAGCAATCACAGACTTGATCCCATTATGGCCATTCGCAGACCCTCCAAAGCGCGGGGCAATCTTCATCGGGACATGGTCGATAGAATCGTGAATAATGATCATCTGTCGGCCACGCGAGACAGATGCAGGGTGTAGCTTCTGTTCGTACGTCGCCTTTACAGCGGGCCCCGATACATTCATATAGTTTTCTGAAAAAGCGTTAGATAACAAGTTATTGAGCCGTAATGGATCGTACTCGTCTTGGCTAGCGAGAGTGAACGAACTTGTGCAGCTCCGGGTAGCGTAAGACGCGTCGTTTCACCATAGAATGTATGAATCTTGGATTCGTATGCCAACCGAATGTCGAGTTTGGCTGCAAGTCCGTCTATGATCATTTGGCCGACGCTATCTCCACGTTTTAGGCAAACATTTCCATTGAGAATAAACAGGAATGGTAATTTACAAACCTGTGTCGCGTCCCCGGATACGTCAAATTGCCCAAACCAAATAGTAGCATCCGGTGTAGAGTTTCAAGCACAAGAGAAAGTAGACTATGTTCTTGTATTCCTTCTTTTATCCAGTGCTTGATTGCGCTTCCAATCCGTATTCTCCAAGAGTGTGGTCGAAAAAAGAATTCGAAAAACTTTGGCACCCGACACCATCTCGGGCTTCCAAGGAACGATGACGACCACCTCGACTACAACGCGTCTCTTGACGCTCTTGAATGTTAGTGCACTCAAGACTCGCAAGCGAAAGCGAGAAGACGAGGAAGAGAGCGCACCCCTGCCACCGACAAAAAAGCTCAATGCAAAACGCGTCGTTCAGATCGAGGCTGCCGAGGTTGAAGAAGATGGAGGTGAAGAAGAAGGAGACGACGACGATGAGGGGCTGATGGACGAAGACAAGGAAATACAAGGTGAGCATCTTGCCGGAAAAGAATGGATGGGAACTAATGTCAGTGTTCAGAGACAGAAGATCCGTACAATGCACATTTTAGTGCAGAGCCAAAGTGTTTATCGACATCTGCAAAAGAGGCAGTGGATAAACGACGGTGGACGACGTCCAAACGATCAGTTGGAAAGCTGGGAGAGGCTGTATTATCCATACCAGAGGGTTCTGAAGACGTGAAATACAACGGCGATGGCGTACGTTTTCACGTCGTAGTGCAGTGATGAGACTGAGGAATCCCATAGCTATTGGATAAACTCCGGTCGCAAATGAGCACACAGAGTGATGGAAACAAAGGTATTATTTGATTCCTCCAATATATTACTCGTTTGACCATGATTAGGCGAAGCGGCTCTCCAAAAGGATCTACTGTCCTGCATAGGGTCTTACCAAGACCTTTACGTGACAAAACATGACGTAAAAACACGGAGTCTCTATCGGGATGTGCTCTCATTGCACATGCTCAATCATATCATGAAGTATGCCCTCTTCTCTCTCGTAGTCGTTCCTTGACAGTTTTCTAGAATCCGTCGACGAGTGTTGAAAAACAATGAAAAGCTCTCTAATGCTCCCAAGGATGCTGAACCATCCGATTCCAACGCATATCTGGACCAAGGTTTTGTCCGCCCATCCGTCCTTGTACTCTTGCCATTCCGCTCGTCTGCTTTCCACTGGGTCACAGCATTCCTTCAACATACTCCAGAACACCAGGTTGAAAACAAAGCCCGCTTTCGCAACGAATTTTCCCTCCCTCCAGGCGCAGACGACAAACTATTGTCTGCTCCACAAGGAACCTACCCCGACGACCACGTAGCGAACATGGCAGGGAATATTGACGACTTCTTCCGAATCGGGCTCAAGTTTACCCGCAAGTCTATCAAGCTTTTCGCCGATTTCTATTCGAGCGATATCATCTTTGCGAGCCCGCTAGGTTTGAGGGAGCTGATTGAGAAAGAAAAGTATGTGATGATACGTGTTCTGATATCAGCGACTAAGCATGGTCACAGGAGTGCGGACTATCTTTCCTCGATTGAGATTCTCATAGTGGACCAACTGGACGTTTTGACCATGCAAAACTGGAACCATATACAGGTAAGTATACTCTTTGACGAGAACTTAGAAACTGAATGAGCACAAGCTCGTCTTCAAGCATCTGAACGCGATGCCGAAGCAGTCGCACGACACTGATTTTTCACGGATCAAGCCATGGTATCTGGATGGAAAGTGAGTTGCTCTTTCACTGGTTGTTCAACACTCATCATTTCCTAGCGCCGCGTATCTACGACAGTCAATACTCTTGTCCGCATATGAAACCCCAGACACCCGGGCATTGTACAACAAGAATCTACTTAACGTCGCGGGGAAACTTCGTCTCGAAGCGGCTTGGCCCGCGGTACAAGTACCAGCAGGCGTTCGACAAGTCAGTATCTCTCTTCGCCTTCGCCGTTGAACCCAACTCATTAGGTCCTAGAACTTTGTCAAGTTTGAGTGCGGCAGCCCGCAAGTAGAGATTGACAAGCGGTTTGAATACTTTGCAAAGCAGGCAAGTCTCATAGCTCGCCTTTGATCGTGGTGCTAATATATGTGTAGCTGTTTCCAAGTCTCCTCAAGTCGGCTGTTCAAAGCTCGAACACTGTCATCTTTATCCCTTCGTACTTTGACTATACAAGGGTACGGAGTTGGTTGAAGAAGCAAGACAACGTAACCTTTACAGTCCTTTCCGAGTACGTTCAGCAGATTGGACCCAATGCAAACTAATGGACATCTCCAGGGACTCGGATAACAGAGCGATCTCTCGATCCAGGCAAGCTTTCTTCGCGGGGACCAAAGCAATGCTCCTGGTCACAGAACGATTCCACTTCTTTCGAAGGTGAGTAGCTTCTTTTCTACTTGTTCTACACTAAGCACCTGTTTTAGATACAAAATTCGAGGCATACGCAATGTCGTCTTCTATGCACCGCCGGATCACTCGCAATTCTATGGCGAGTTCCTCTCGTATCCATTCCTAGACGAGGGTGTCCTGCCTGAGGACGTGACCTGCAAGGTCCTTTTCTCAAAATACGACTATATGCGGCTGGAGAGGATAGTTGGGAGTGCGGAAGTCGCCAACCTGATGAATGCATAATTTCCGGGCTGTATTATGATATGAGCAAGACAGGATATATATTTTGTGATGGTGCAACACATTGTTACAAATGCAGAATGAAAGCAATGCAAGACGTGATCCGATCATCCTTCATGATATCTGACTAGCCATATCCGTGGCAGGTATTGTGTCGGCCATGTTAGATTCTGGAATTGTCGGTGGCGACCCTTCTGCCTCGTTCTCCGTATCATCATCTCGCATCATGAGTTCGTCAATTTCTTGCTCATGCCAGAGATTGATGCCCATGTCCTTTCCTCCTTGAATCTCGAGCACCATGAGCCTTCGCGGAAAGCTGTGGTGTGAGTTGAGACCAGGTCGTGTCCTTGCTGCGATCATTCTGAGCAGTGCATTTGGATCCGAAAATGTCGAGTTCTTGATCACCAGCGACGTGAGCATGGGGACGAGAACGCCCTCGGACTCATCCGAGATGGCGTCGAAAAAAGCGGCATTCAGCACTACCCCGTCGACGGCAAACTCGATTAGGTTAGGTGCGGACTTGATGACCGACACAAGATCGAGCTCTGGTTCATCGCCTTGTACTTGCGGTGTGCCGAGATGGAGGTGTTGTAGATTCGGGGCAACATTTTCGAGAAATCCAGTGATGACTTGTATGTCACCACGACCATAGAGCTGGACGTTCTTCAGCTTGGGTGCGATCATAAACTTGCAAAGAATTGGCCCCGCAAGCGTGATCCACTCGCAAGTCGTATGCAACGATTCCAGGTGCTCGAACCGGACGGTCGAGAGACGGTGCTGGTTTATCACGGGTTTGTGTTCGAATTCGATAGGGAGCTCGCGGAGGTTGGGACACTCTCGAAGCGTACTAAGGAATTGGCGGGGGCTGATGCGCCATTCAGGGTTGTAGACGTCAAAAACTTTGAGATCCGGAAGACGGAGCTCCTGATCCCACCATACATTGCGCAGTTGGATGGTCTCCAGACCGGTGGAATCACGGAATGCTCCTTGGGGAATTTTGGCCAATCCCGGAGTGATGGTGTCGTGAACGTGCACGGCAATGTGCTTCAATGAGATGAGGTCTGCTGACATATTGGGGCCGAGGATTTGAGGAATGGAGCTCACGCCGGTGAAGAGCGTCTGCAGCTTTCGGATTCGAGGGCCGAGGACGATGAGGATCCGCCGCCACATTACGGCCCCTCGGATCCCTTCTGGATCTAGAGCATCTCCGATATCCCGGATTGCGACGTCGACAGATCGATCCCCAGAGTGCATAGCCCATAGATGTAGCCGTCCTAGGAAGGGGTTCGAGTCTTGAGAATTGATGAACCGAGTGATGTACTTTGTAAGGCTAACGTTGAAGTACTGCCAAAGGCTGCTCGCCCCAGGTCCACGTACGACGCTCCTCCACCGCCCACATACTGCGCCCAAGCGAAGGACAGCATCACAAGGACCCCATTCTCCATCTAAATCAGACTGTGCGATGCGATCTGACTCGTCTTGGTCCACCCGGAACTGGAATATCTCGAGTAAGAGTTCCGGCGGGAGGCGGCGTAGTGGGTGCAGGACGGCCTTCTTTTCTTGTATCGAACTGACCAAATGTGAGTGACTACTCATAAGAATTAGACTTTGCATACGCTTGGATTGGTGCAAGCAATGCCTCCAATGTCTGTACAGATGCTCTCGAGGCTGCGAGTGCAGATATTGCAGCCTCGAGTTCGAGCTTTGCTTCTGTTACTCGCTTTTGGGCGGAATTTACTGTGTCTTGAGCCCTCGTAAGGGACGTTTTGATTGTTTCGAGCGCTGTTGTCTCGGCATCGACCAGGGATCTGAGAGCAATAACCTCATTGGGCAACGGGACTCTGTTGGATCTAAAATTGGGATTTCCTGGCTGCGAGTCCATAGCAGCCGACCGAGTCTCAAGGAGGCTCGTGGTCAAGTGCTGTTGACCACGCCTCCACTGTGCTCCAATGGCGACAATCGCAACGCGTCGCTGCGGCGATGGAGAAAATTGCGCCTTTACGATTAGCTGAGAAGTGGGACAATGTTAGTCGCTTTGAATTCACGTAATGGCCAAGACTTAGCCTCCAGCAGGTCGGTCTTCTTGTCGGTATGTTGCGTCTGGGTCACATCGACACTACTAAGGTCCCTTAGAGTCTCCTGTATCCCGTTCAGATGCAAGACAAGTGCTCCTGACTATCGAGTAAGCACCCTCCCATCTCCTTTTAGCAGAATCTTACTTTAGAGATAGTTTGACGACTGCCGTTTGCAATGAAGCTCTTTCAACACATGCTTCCACGATAATTGCATATCATCCTCCGCTTTTCAGACCACTTTCATCTCTCACAATGTCCAAGTGAGTCGCCTCACACGGGTGGTCGCCATTAACCAGATTCAGCCCCCTACAAGCATCTTTACTGCGATGTGTGGCCGCTGGTGTCTCCATTTACAGCCCTCATACTGCCGTCGACTCGGTCAAAAATGGCGTCAATGACTGGCTGGCTTCGGCGTTCAACAATGTAGAATCTGTCGAAACTATCTCTCAAGCCGATGGTGAAGAGGAAGGGACAGGTATCGGACGACTTGTTCGCTTGAATAAGCCCTTGCAGCTACAGGACATCTACCCTCTGGTTAAAAGACACTTGAACCTTCAGCATCGTGAGTACCAATGGTAAAATACGCGATTTAATGACGGATTGTTCTAGTTCAGGTTGCAAAAGGGAGCACTTCTGATATCAAGACCATCGCAAGTGAGTCTAGCGAGAGTACCGTGCTTGACCCGTCTTACGCGGATGTCAGTCTGCGCAGGTTCAGGAGGCTCTGTCCTCAAAGGAGTACAGGCCGATCTCTATTGGACAGGTGAACTGTCTCATGTGCGTCTGGCGCATAGAGGAGCTCCCAGCTAACTGTCTCTAGCATGAGGTACTTGCTGCTGTTGCAGAGGGAAGAAGTGTGGTTTTATGTACGTATAAGAGTTGAGCGTGAAGCGATCTTATCCATCGTTCAGGTGGCCATAGCAATACTGAGCGCGGCTATCTCGTCCACCTCAAGGAGAGGCTTGAATCCGAATTAGCTGGAGGAGGCGACACGCTGGAGATCAAAATATCTCAAGAAGATAAAGACCCTCTGGTTGTTGTCTGATCGGAGTGCAGATTTCCGATCGAAGCTTGGCTACTCAAAAAATTTCTATACACCACCAATACCAGGGCACCCAGGTACATGCACTTCTGTTCAAATTAGGCAACCAGTTTGAAATTGTCTACGGGACACGCGGTTTCAAAGATACATCCTTGTCAATATCGCCAAACTTGAATTCAGGGATTATTCCTTCCATGACCATCTTCTCCAGTAGGTCACGAGTCCAAGTACGACGGCTATTGAGAGTCGAAGTATGGTCACATTTGTCCTTCCTGCCAGCTCAATAATTTGGTCACGTTGCGCGTGGTGTCTAGAGAGTAGGATGCATTTCACCCTGAAGCTTTTTCGACTGCGCTTGAACGTAGGGTGTGTAGATTTTATAGTTGCCAATTCCTCGAGAAAGTTGGACGAGCTGTACGAAGAGCGGATGCTCCCTCTCTCCATTGACCTACCATATCGACACATGTTGGTCCACTCCTTCCGCAGCTCTTTAGAGACCATCGGCTTGAAGCAATCCCTCTCTCTCCCACTGTCGTCGTCCGGACACTCGGCGCCAAAGGGGTTGACAAAGTCAATACAGACGTTGCTTTCAGGTGGGTCCACCGCTTGCACCTGACAGCAACTTTGGACAATCTTCCATGGCCACCTATAACCCGGTAAACCCTCAAAATGGCTGGGAACTTGATCTTCATTCGGTACGAGCTCCTGTTTGCTTCCATGCCTTGCTAAAACTACCCCGTCACAGGTGTACAGTGCGTACATTGCTTGGTTTCAGCAAAATGGGACGCCATACTGGGACGAACCATGGGGAGAATTCTTTATGGACTTTCAATCTTTCCTCTATTGGGGCTGGCCAGCCATCACTGTGACCTCGGTTTACGAGCCATATGAGCCACACATAGTCACAACGTTGAAAAGCTTACATCAGTTCCTAAAGATGATTAATACTCGGTGAGTTCGCCTCCTTCCTCTATTCATGCTAACCCTGGCAGTTATGGACAGAAAATGGAGGAGGTCGCAAATATGGTCCAGATACTTTTTTGTATAAAGGCTTCTACTGACGAGTACCAGACAAAGATTCGACCGTTTGAGAGGAACCCTCAAACCATGCACTACATCGACAGTATTTCGGCCTATGAGCGACTCCATGCCACCCTTCCGGCCGTGGCTCTGGCCGCGCAGAAAAAACAAATATACGCCGGAAGTACCAGGATAATTGAAATGCTTTGGAAAGCAAAGGACAAGACTTTCCTCGCAATTGACTTTGAGTGGGCGGAGAGGGATCCAAGCTCAATACTCGAGTTTGGGTATGCGGCCTTGCGAGCACGTCACCTCGTAAAGTGAGTGAGAGACAATATTCAAGCTTACTCTGACGAAATCAGGACAGGAAATTGGCCTCCAGTTCCTGAGGACAATTACCGGTAATGTATTCCCTTTCTGGTACCACTTTGCATTAACCCCAGTAGGAGGGGCCATTTTGTCGTCGCAGAACACGTTGATGTAGTCGCCAACAAGCATTGTCCAACGTTTCCTCGGTCGTATGCGGTCCGGAATTTCCTCCTAGAAGTTACCACGACTAACATCACTGCTAGTTTGGCCATACCCACGTCGTGCCGAAGCACCAATTTCGCCACATCATACAATCTATCGTAAGTTGATCCTTCCTTGTTCATCTGTCTCATTCCCTCCAGATTGATAGCCTGGCAAGTCCGGACTCGCAAACACAAGCCAACGACCTTGTGCTGGTAGCCCATGGAATATCAGGAGATTTAAAACGTTTGAATGAACTTCAAATTCGTATGGTCTTTCAAGGAGCTTTGTAGGACACTAACCTTGATCAGGTCTTCCCTCCAATGTCCTAATACTTGACACGTCTTCGTTCGAGCGGGAACTATTTCGGATAGGTAAAGGAGCTACAACAACTGACACAGCAACAAGACAATCGCGGCAAGCAGGGTCGACGCTTTCTCTTTCGAACCTCTTGCGCTCCCTCAACGCGGATACAGCGACGTTCCGATTTCACAACTCGGGAAACGATTCCTTTGGGGCTCTTATGTGTCTTCAGCTTCTTCTAGAACAGAATACGACTTCTAAGTACCTCACGCGCACGACGAATACTATCAACGGTGCTTCATCGGTCTCAAACGAGTCGGAATTTGTCGCATACAATGGGACGGTGATCGTCGTTGGGGTCGAAAGGAGGGAGGAGAGTACCGCGTATGAGGCGCAAGTCTCACAGCGTGCGACAACGATACCAAGAGGACGAGGTCATGGGCGTGGTAGGCGAGGTCAACGCGCTCATCATCAGCAAATCCGGCGAGAGAGAAGGATTGAAGACGACATGAGGAATCTCTCATTCGACTGAATTTCCGTCACTCCTTCAATCGATTTGTACGAGCAAGGGCAATGCAGAATTAGCTACCTGTGACCTACAACCTGATAATACCATCATTGGACATTCCACCGCTTCGTGCATTCGCCCAAGCGTTGTCGAATCCGTTCATATTTCTTGGAGTCGCGTCCTCTTCTCCTTCGTCCAAGGAAGCTCGATCGTTGTCTAATATTCCTTCTTCTTCCTCGGGTAACCTGCCGTAGCCGTCCCGAGTAGACTGACGGCCCCAACCTCCCCAGCGCCACTTCGGAAATCTTCTACCAGTGCTGCCACCAGAACCCCAGCCAGTGTTTCCGTTGGAAGATCCAAAGCGCAATCCAGGACCGCCAACAAAGCCGTCGCCTCGGCCAGTGATCTTGTCGTGCAGCCAGTTGAAGAATCGGAGAGGGGAGAGCCAGGGGACGGAAGGGAATTGATCCCAGCCCCTGAGACCGAGGAAGAAGCGGTTATAGAGGGTTAGACATATCAACCAAACCAGTACGGCAATCAGGACGCTGTAGATGTGTCAGTTTCTCGAGCAATTAGCATGGTCAGACGCACAATGTAAGAAAGAGAATGAGAAGATGCAGAATTCCGGCCGGTTTTCTTCCAGAAGGACACGCATACTGTAAATATTAGTACACGCCACAGCTTGGTACAAACTCTTACGGGCGTCTTCCACTCGAAGGAGAATGCACACGCATGCTCGTCGTCTCCCGGGAACTGCGCGATGAGCTTTGGGTTGCCTGTCAGAGCGTGAGCCTTTATCAGGTTTCCCAAGCTGCGGACACGGACCGGCGTTGAAGAGGGTGCTATCGCATACGAACCGCACTGCGGCACTAGCGCGTAGTTTAGAGTCACTTAGACCAGGACAGGGACTCCCATTGCCCATATACAAAACAGGGTCACCGTCAATGACACGCAGGGTGGAATTGGCGATAGACCCAAGAGCAAAGTCGCCATGCTTTCCTCTGTAATATGCTGCGACCTGATCCTCTTGAACACTGTCAACATTCCTGCGCAACGTCAGGCGCCATGAATGATGGAAATGAACGAGCGCGTACCATAGTTGAGTTCGGACGGCCTGGCAAACGTTCAAGGTAAACTTATTTGCGGATAAGGAGCTCTCTACAACATAATCGGTCCTATATTTATGTACATTAGCCCAGTGCACAGCGCCTTGGCATCAAACGCACTGCGCTTTGAGGTCACCAAGGTCAAAATATGCCAGGTTATCTTCTGTGACGCAGTCCATGTTTATGATATTCTATGATACTGGTGTCCTGACTGCGGACGAGCAGGGCGAGTCGACGGGTAATATCGAGGTTTTGGTTCAAGTTACTTCCTTACCACATCTTTGGCCAGCCGAAGGGCGGAGCAGCGCCGCCGTCTTTGAGATGCAAATGCAACGGCTCTTTGCGACATCTAGTAGATCACTCCTTCGCACTCGCTGTCGGGCTGCGACGAGCGGTGCGACGAAATGGATTTCGACGTCCGTTCCAGCGCTGGCAAACCCAGCCCCTCACGCCGTCAAAACCGTCTTTGACGTACACTCTGTGGAGGATTTGCAGACCATGAGCGCGCAAGAGGTCCTCAAGGAGACAGAAAGCCCTGGGCGAGCTGCTGCAAGCATGCGACATTTTACAAGTTTGTACTCTTTTCTGGCTTGAACTTCCGCTCATAAACATTTATCACTACTGTCATGTCATGAATGGATTTTATAGTCAATTTTGGGTACGCTATCGTCTCTGCATGGCCTCCAACTCTAGTTTAAACTCGATACAGACCCCAACATCCAGCTGCACACGGTGTCTTGCGACTGATATTGGAGTTGAATGGAGAAGAAATTCTCCGAGCAGATCCTGTATGTCGCCACGCTCGCTTGGATTCCTCAACTCACCCCTTTATTTTAGCATATTGGACTCTTGCATCGTGGAACAGAGAAACTTTGTGAATACAAGACGTACATTCAGGCTTTGCCGTATTTTGACCGACTGGACTATGTCTCGATGAGTGAGTCCAACACTATCGAGTATCGAAACTTGCTCAAACAAATGATAGTGACCAATGAGCAATGCTACTCCCTTGCCGTTGAGAAGTTGCTGAACATCGAAGTCCCCGAGCGTGCTCAATGGATTCGAACACTATTCGGTGAAATCACTCGCATTCTCAACCGTACGTGTTCGACATACTTGAATATCGTTTTCTAACATTTACTAGATCTCATGGCCGTCTTGACACACGCAATGGACGTAGGAGCGCTTACGCCTTTCCTCTGGGGTTTCGAGGAGCGTGAGAAGCTCATGGAGTTTTACGAGCGTGTCTCTGGTGCACGTTTGCACGCGGCATATGTCCGACCAGGAGGCGTGGCATTCGACCTCCCGCACGGACTCTTGGACGACATTTTCAAGTGGGCCACCCAGTTCTCAACCCGTGTGGATGAAATCGAAGAGGTCATTACCGGCAATCGTATCTGGAAGGGACGAACGATTGGCGTCGGTCCGGTGACGGCCAAGCAAGCACTGGATTATGGCTTTACAGGCGTCATGTTGCGCGGTAGTGGTGTTCCCTGGGACATCCGAAAGGCCATGCCCTATGACAAGTATGCCGAAGTCGAATTTGACATTCCTGTTGGAAGCAATGGCGATTGCTACGACCGTTATCTCTGCCGTGTTCAGGAGATGAGAGAATCTTTGAGGATTATTGGCCAGGTACGATCCATCTCTCGCTGTTTGGTTATAATCGAGCTCATGTTGCTCGTAGTGCCTCAACAAGATGCCACCGGGTGTGATCAAGGTTGACGACCACAAGATTTCGCCTCCGCCCCGCGCTATGATGAAAGAGTCCATGGAGTCGCTCATTCACCATTTCAAGCTCTTCTCCGAGGGTTACCACGTTCCTCCTGGCGAGACGTACAGTGCTATCGAGGCTCCAAAGGGCGAGATGGGTGTCTACGTCGTCTCGGACGGTAGCAATCGACCGTACCGTGTGAGAATAAGGGCACCAGGCTTTGCTCATCTGGCTGGGGCAGACTTCATGATGCGCCATCATTTCGTCGCAGATGCAGTGACGATTATCGGAACCATGGTGGGTTTGGTGCCTGTTTCACACATTTATTTACTGACTCTACGTGCAGGATCTCGTGTTTGGAGAGGTTGATCGATAGTTTGCCCGAGAGTTTGTCTGTGGCTTTGATCGAGTTGTATAAACACAAGATTGATTCCGGCCGGACTCTCGTGAGATGATGTGAAGTACTAAGTGGATTCAAGTACGATGGGATAATACTATGCGTTGTTAGTGGGCTTGGAGCATCGGAAAAAGAGAGGCGCACCAATAACGACAGGAATAAACAGAATGATGAGAGAGACTCTAGCCGGTCAAGAACGCGACAAAGCGCGTACTAGCCATGATAAGACATGCAAGCGCAACCCATGGTGAGAGACGTTCGCCTGAAAGAAACCGTCAACGCGTTGTCCACGCATAAAGCGGTATCCACACCTATTCGTGCGCATTTCCAGAACATTCCTGGGAAACTAGGAGTTGTAATATGAGCGTTTGCGGTTTACTTGCATGCCACGAAAACGTAGACGTACCCCTCTTTGTTGGCGTCCAAGAGTCTAGGCATGACGCCACGAATGTACGTGCAAGTACATATCAAGAGTATGAGGACCAAGAGTAAGGATTGAAAGCTGAACAAGGCCGACTGAAGACAGATTTCACTGCAGCGTCAGACGTGGCCAGTGCCGTTTAGAGGATTACAAATACCATTGATGTCGTATAATAATTTCCCCAGATTTAATGTTGTATCCCGTTGGGCGCTCGTGTCGCGGAACAAAGTCTAGTTCCAAGATTTACTGAGGCTGGACCCATTGCTCCGTCGGTATGGATAATCTCTGACCCTTTTCCACCGTTATCAAGCGAAGAGACTGTCAAACGCCCAACTTCGGCACGGAAAACGCCAAAGGAAGCGTATAAGAAGGCGAGGATCCAACATCACAAACCAGACTCTTCTTGGAGCTCCTCCATTGCTTAGAGTCTGACATGGCGCACAACGCAGTTCGTCCATTCTCTCCCTCCTGACACAAGGAGATGCGACAGACGACGCTGACGGTGCTCTGGCTGCGACACAGAATCGTGACGACAAGGAAGGCCGCTCGTCACCCCTCGCCATCATCCACAGCTTTAATCCGCGTGTCCAAGGCGAAGAAATTGAAGAAATCGCCGTTGCGAGTAATGAAAATGTCGACATTGAAATGCGGGCAGCGTCTGCATTCTCCACTGCAGTCTCCACCGCCGTCGACCCCTATAGCCTCAAACGCGGGCTCAAGACAGATGAGGAACTCCGTAGTCTCAAGAAGGGCAAACAGAAGAAGCAGGGCAAATACTATGAAAAGCAGAATACACTCATCGAGGACTTGCTACGTCCGCTGGACCAGCATGTCGAAGATGCAAGGGCCGAAAGAAACGCAAACAGATTACCGGTATGCAAGGTTTTATCAATTCTAGGTTTATTCTAATATTCTACCAGGTCAAGATTGCCATTTACGTCTCCCTCGCTGCCAATATTGCTTTGAGTGCGCTCCAACGTGCGTATGATGCACCTCTGCCACGAGAAAGTCTAGATCCTAATGGCCTAAATAGTCTTCGCCGCCATCAAATCCCTCTCGCTCTCCCTACTCGCGACCGCAATCGACTCTGTATTTGATCCAGCCGGGAACCTCTTGCTCTGGCACCTCCACCACAAGTCTCGCAAACTCGACGTCAACAAATGGCCCGTCGGAGGTGAACGTCTTACGACCATCGGTAACATTTGCTACGGTTCCGTGTAAGCACCCTCGTTCTCTTCTGCGCTTCAGGCCAATAATGACGCATTGCCAGCATGGCGGCTATCAATCTCGTCGTCTGCGTCGAATCAATCCGCACAATCATCGAACACAAAAAGGGCGATCCGGAAACGAACAAGATTTTCGTACCAGCCTTGGTCGCCGTTGCCTCTGCCCTCGGTGTCAAGCTCTTCCTCGCCATTCTCTGTTACGCATACAAAAAGCACGATACTCAAGTCGAGATGCTCTACCAAGATCACCGCAACGATCTGTGGATCAACAGCTTTGGTTTGTCTGTTTCCATTTCGTCTCACAATATTCTCATCCATTTATAGGTATCTTGATGTCTGCTGGTGGCAGTAAACTCAAGTGGTGTACATCTCATACAAAGTGGCCAGCATGACACGCTGACGACCTTTAGTCATTGATCCAATGGGTGGTTTCATCGTATGTTGTTTCATATTTGTTGCGAACGATAAGCTGACTCTCCTCATAGATTGCATTTGGCGTCATTATTGCGTGGTGCAGGACTATCTACCACGAATTCGAGTTCCTTGCCGGAAAGTCGGCTGAGAAAGAGTTTTTGCAACTCATCGTCTACAAGACGGTCACATTCTCCGACGAGATTGAAAAGGTCGACACCGTCCGAGCATATCATACCGGCCCAGTAAGTCTATGCAATGAACCTGCGTGCTTCGTCTAACGATTCCTAGGAACTCTTTGTCGAGGTTGATATCGTCATGCCAGCTGATACGCCACTCCTCCGAGCACACGATCTCAGCCAGCAACTCCAGGATAAGATTGAGCTGCTCCCAGGAGTAGCAAGAGCATTCGTCCACGTTGATCATGAGACAACACATTCCCCAGAGCACGGCAGACCCAAGTCGTGATAATTACAAGGCCCTCCGGGCGGACTCTGGCCTCCCAGAACACAGGCGGGTCAAGTCATGATGATTTCAGGGCCCCTCTGGGCGAAACTTAGCCTTTTTGTAGGAATCCATAATTAATCGGGACTATTCAGTCGAGATACACAGTGCAATAAGAGCAAAACATTGAGGTTTCTGGTTGTGGATCATCTTCGATAGGGTTCAAGGGCAGTGGAGTTCTCAAACATCGACATCTATCTGAGATCCTGTCTTGGTATAGTATCGAATCACCCATGAGCATTCATCCAACGTCGAGTCCTGGTTCAACTTGAATGAACAGACACCTTCCTCGCGTATTAGTGAGCATAAACATATTTCATTCGAGATCCTTTTCCAAAATAAATGCACAGAGTGGTGTGGATGACAAGCCAGAACACAAGGAAGAAATGGCAACTAAGTAGCCAGCCTACTCGACATGCGGGAGAACTGATGCCCTCCACTTTGTTACGGTCAGGAGATAATGTCTTATGATCTCCGAATCAGGTGGCTTCAAATGTCCATTTCACATCGTCAAAGCCTATCTACATTCTAAAATGCCACCGAAAAGCCACGCAGCCTACGACGAATCATCTTGCTAAAACGTGGCGCCGTCCTCGTCCCTGTAAGTGCATCGAGGGGACCAGGAACTGCATCTGCTCCGCCTTCATGCATGTCAGCTTCGTGGACACCGTGAACGTCTGCTCGTTTCAAGACAGTGAGTAGAGGTGGGTGATACGTCGCGTCAGGGACAGCAGGAATGAATCCGTCAGCAATGTATTCGGGCGTTGAATTGGATAAATTCTCACCGACTGCATCCCGCTCGACCGCCCTTGCGACATGGGTTGAGCTCGGCAAGGGCAGCGAGGAAGATGGCGAAGTATCTCCAACTCCATCGCCCGAGATGAAAACTGATGCCGCAGATGGAAACTCTAAGCCACTGGCGGAGTGTCCCATAGGTACAGACGCAGCGCTTGATGCCGGGCTGGGAGGAGGTACCAACGGGAGGGAGTTGCCGTCGACATTGAACATGGGTAGCGAGCCATCAGCAAGTGAGTTTTGGGGGACGATCGGTGCTCCTTCGAGGGTGTGATGATACAATTCATCTGGTCCGGTCCAGGAGAGGAGCTGTTCTTGACTGGAGAATGCTTGAGGATTGGTGGGTGCTCCAGAGGCACTGCCTTGTGGAATAACATTCCAAGCTTGACCTAAGACGCCTCCGAGAAGGCCATCGGCGGTACCTGCGACACCGTTGAGTAGACCTCCCGCAGTGCTTGGAAGGCCACCCAGGAGGCCACCAACGATAGGCAACCCGCCAGCGACGCTACCTACTGTAGAGAGAGGACCAGAGGCAAGCCCTGTTAAACCAGAGAGGGTGTTACCGCTGAGGAGATTCGATGCAAGCGGTCCAGCAATCGGCAGACCATTGACGAGCCCAGAGAGATCGAGCGCATTGAGAGTTGTTGCAGACGTTGGAAGATCACCTTGGTTGGCGGCGGCGACCTGTTCTAGGCGTCGCTGCAGCGCAAGAGGATCGACGGGCAGCCCAGAGCTAGCAGCACTGAGTGCAGCTGCAGCTTGATCAACCTGCTGTTGTTGTATGAGTGCTCTCAGTAGAATCTGGCGGAGAGCATCTACATCGGGAGCGGGAGCAGGGACACTCGATGAGGGAGCAGGTGATGGAGGTTCGGAGGTACCTCGCTTTCCAGGAGCGCTGGAACCATCGCTGGAGAGGATCCCGAGACCGCCGACAACGGGGAGACTGTGGGCGATGTCGCCTGCTTGATTGAGGAGACCCGAGAGGGCATCACCAACCCCACTGAGGAGGCCAGACGCTGAAGCGGTGTCAGTATCCTGGCGCTTAATACGAGCTACAGGGAATGTCAGCAACGGCCAAGACGATGATGAAGAAAGGACGCACGGAGAGAGCGACGACGGCCTGCAACGCGCACGGCAGGAACCATGGGAGATCGAGGGATGCGTGGTGAACGAACAGACTCGGAAAAGTCGTCTGGTCTGGGACTGTTGGGCACGGGCGAGTCGTAGGGCGTCCTCGGCGTCGGGGCAGCCAGCGCTGAGCCAGTGAAGGCAAGAGAGGCAAGCATGAGGGAGGAGGTTGAGACCTTCATTTTGAACGCGATAAGAGTGCTGGAGGAACGACGCGAGCGATGAACAGGCGATGAAGACGCGAGGAATGGAGACGGTGGCAAAGAGCAATAGAACGAGGAAAGGCTCAGAAAGAGGTGCTAGAAGAGAAGAAGAACAACAGAAAGACGAGTCGATCAACGACTGGAGGTAAGAAAGACGCTGTGGTAGTTGGAGGACAAGAAGCAACGATTGTTTGTCCCACTCCCCGACGAAAACATACAAGTTGGATTAAAAGCAAAGGTGAAATTACTGGAATCTATCAAGTGCAAAATATTTGATGGACAGTTACGATGTTGGCATCTCCGCCGACTGCTCTTCCAGGCCTTTGACAAGACCTTGCAGCGTCCGCGCAATGCGTCCTCCACCAGCTTGTCCAAGGACACCCACCAGTTGAGAGGCAGGGCTCGAGAGCAGTCCCACAATCTGCGAGTGCAACACCTGCAAGGTCGGCAGCTTGGTAACTTCTTGTAGGCCAGGAAGAAGGAAAAGACGGCCCTCGACGACCCCCCCTAGCACTTTGAGACCGGGTACCGGTGGCTGTTTGGCCTTTTGGACGCCTCCTCCGCCGGGTGGAGGCATCGCCAATGGATCTTCCTTTGGCCTGGTCGTTTGCTCCGCTGACGACTTAGGGAGAGCCCTGTCCAGAACCTTTAAGACAGCACCAAGGTGCTCTGGGTCCAGTACAGGAAGTGACAAAACGGAGATCGGTCCCTTTAGGAGGGGAGCAAGGCCGCGTCTTGTGCCATTGACATGCGAGTCCTTGCGCATTGCAGCCATGAACATGTCCGGCTTGATGGAAAGAAGAGTTGGTGGCCTTCTTGTGGCGTTTGACGTCTTTGGGATCCCAAATGGGTTCGTCGCAGACTTTGGACGAGTTGTGCCCTCGAGGTCGGCTCGTAGCTTCTGGATGACGCCTATCTTCAAGTCTTTTGTCGAGATAAAGAGTAATAAAGAGTTTTTCTGCAGAATGTTGGTGTATTCTGCGTGCAAATGCGTTTTCAAAGGGGCAAACTTTCGCTCTGGCGAGAAAGGATTCAGGCCTTTGCGCCAGAATGTGAGTCCCGGTGCTGCATATCTCGCAATTTGTTGATGTACTACTCGTATTTGACCCGTCCTGGCAGCATAGCGAAACATGTCGACGCGGTCGAAATCAAGTTTTGGACCCAACCAAGGGCTCTCATGGCGAACCCAAATGCGACCCCGGCATCTCCGCTCGAGGAGCAGCCAACTATTGGTCTTATTGGCATGGGAGAAATGGGGAAGATGTATGCCAGACACCTCAGCGCTGCTGGTTGGAAGAAGTCTGTCGAGAGCGACGTATTAACTCTCCATTGACCCTTGATTGTAGGATACATGTCTGCGATCTTCCACAAAAGTACGAAGCCTTGAAGCACGAGCTTGCCGGTCAGTCTCCATCGGTGCCTCCCATTCCGCCCCTCTCATCTCTACTGATGGCAGCCTGATCAGAAATGCCCGGGATTGTGGTTCTCAGAGACGGACATCTCGTCTCAAGATCGTCAGATTTCATTATATATTCTGTAGAGGCGGAATACATTGACAAAGTCGTAAAGGAGTATGGGCCGTGTGAGTCATCTGCACTCTAGAGCAACATGTTACTAAATGTGATTGGCAGCGACAAAATTAGGCGCCATCGTCGCCGGTCAGACGTCCGTCAAAGCCCCGGAAAGGGCCGCCTTCGAGAGCTACCTTCCTGAAGATGTTCATATCGTTTCCTGTCACTCACTACATGGGCCGACAGTACCTCCACTGGGGCAACCTCTGGTTCTCATTCATCACCGAGGGCCCGACTGGGCTTTGACCCTCGTTGAGAACATTCTACGACCGCTCAGATCTCGCTTCGTATACATGTCCTTCGAGGAGCATGATAGTGTCACTGCAAATACCCAGGCTGTCACGCATGCCGCCTTTCTCAGCATGGGGACCGCATGGAGGAACTGCGGTAGTTATCCATGGGAACAGCCTGAGGGACGCTACGTGGGTGGAATAGAGACAGTAAAGGTCAATATTATGCATCGCATCTATGCCAACAAGTGGCATATCTATGCTGGGCTGGCAATTCTCAATCCAAGTGCGAAAGTGCAGATCGAGCAGTATGCCAAGAGTGCCACTGAGCTCTTCAAGCTCATGCTAGAAACCAAAGAGGCAGAGCTACGAGGGCGTGTATACAGGGCAAGGGACACCGTGTTCCGTGATGCACCAAGGACGCGCCCAATATTACTTAGCGAGAATCTACTCGACCGATTCAGCCTGGGGACGTCTCGGGAGAATTTACATGATGTTCCCCAGGAGGATCATCGAGAGCAAACCGCGCGTCTTCCTCCCAATGCTAACTCGCACCTTAGCCTTCTCGCAATGGTGGACTGCTGGGCCACGCTCTCTATCAACCCGTTTGCAGATCTCGAAGTCGCTGCGACGCCCATCTTCCGCATGTGGATTGGTGTCGCCGAATACCTATTTCGATCTCGTGAGCGGCTGGATGCAGCACTTGACGCAGCGCTGTGGGACACTACGCATCGCTCAGACGACCTCGAGTTCATCGTCGCAGCACGGGGATGGAGCCAATGCGTGTCCTTTGGCAACTTTGATCTCTACAGACGTCGCTTCGAGAAGACGGCTAGTTTCTTCAAGCCGCGCTTTGCACAAGCGCAAACGCTCGCCTCGAAGATGATAACAGCCATCCTTGAAGAGGGAAATAGCAGTTGATCTATATTGTGGACTTGAGCAGGAGCCATGAATATATTGCTGGTCGTAGTTTCACATGCTTGTATATGTAGCCTCTTGAACTCGGCCATCTTACGCCATGCTCCGTCTTCGCGCCACTAAGCATTTGCGCTCAACATCTTTGCGACATTTGGGCACAATCTCTGTACAGACTGAAGGCATCGTGGTCCCTGGGATTTCGACCCGACTCCCATTCGCCTGGCTGCGCGACTCGTGCCAATGTCCATTATGTGTACACCCATCGACAAAACAAAAGCTCAGAGAGTCGTCATCTGTGTCTTTAGACATCCGACCGCTCCAGACTGATGGAGCGGTCTCGTTCTCCAACACCTTTGAGGAACTTACGGTGCAATGGGATCCAATTTTCGAACTCGATAAAAAATCTCACGTCTCTATTTATCCTTTGGACTTCCTTAAACGCTACTCGGACCCTCATCAATTACACGAATTCCATAAGGATGTGGAGCTCGTCCCATGGGTGGCAGCAGATATCTCAAAGTCCAGAGACTTGTTTGTTTCATACCGGGATCTTGATACTCCCTCTGGACTTTTGCGAGCAATCGTCCAGCTCAACCGCTACGGTCTCCTGTTCGTTCGTGGGGTTCCCAATGAGGCCACCAACGATCATTCTTGCGAGTTGCCATCGCTCGCAACAAGTTTTGGAGAGATACGCGAGACTTTCTATGGACGGGTGTGGGACGTAAAGAATGTCAAGAACAGCAAAAACATTGCCTACACTAATCTCAATCTAGACCTTCACATGGACCTGTTGTATGTATTACGTATTGCCAGAATCATGAAAGACACCTAACACCTCATAGATATTTCCAACACCCACCGAGATATCAAATCCTCCATTGCTTGCGAAATCGCGTCAAAGGCGGCGTCTCGATATTCGTTGACGCGTTCAAAGCGGCGGAGAAACTATACGAGTCTTCAAAGGAAGCTTTTGAGGTGCTTTCAACGACTCCTGTCGAGTTCCACTACATCAACGACGGCCACCACCTCCACCAATCCCACACAACAATCGAACTGGCCCCAGCACATGCAAAGGATCAACGAACCACACAAGCATCTGTACCAAATATTGCTTTCATCAACTACTCTCCTCCGTTCCAAGCACCACTTTCTATCAACACCCCACCGACTTTCTACTCATCCCTCGCCCAGTTTGCCGAGCTCTTACGACAACCCGAAAATCGTTTCGAGTATTTGCTAAAGGAAGGCGACGCTGTGCTATTTGATAACCGGAGAGTCCTGCACGCCCGGTCCGCATTTGAGGAGTGGACAGAAGAAGAGCGCCCCAGCAACGTCCCGCCGGCGATGGAAGGCGAGACAAGCCGGTGGCTAAAAGGTTGCTACCTGGAGTCGGATGCCGTCTGGGACCTCATGAGAGTCCTCAGGAGCAAGGCCGAATGAAGCCCTCGGCGACAAGCCAACTGCGTGGGTAAATCCCCAGTTCCGTGTTTACAAGTTTATCCAGAACTATTCATCACACTCGACGCCTCTGTCGCCATCAGTGCTTCCTTTTACTCTCGGCGGGAGTCCCGGCCCGCCGAAACCGGGGTTTGTGTTGGTGCGCAGGGGACATTTCACCGCGTTTCCCAAGATTATTTTCACCATCTTCTATTTGATTTTGACCTCAGAGGAGCAGGAACGAAGGTGCTATGGCGCCTGATGTCAGTAGCCTCAGCCTTAACAAGAGATTGTCGCTCATCTTCAAAGGATTGAATAACGGAAGACTTCCACTAGAACGGAATATTTGGTGAATCCCATTGTTTCATGACTGACATGATAGGGTCTGTATGGTGGAGCAATGCCGGGGATGCTCGATGCTTCTTCGTTTGACGCGCTTCGTATAACAGTCCACGTGAATTCTATCTAGACTCACCGGAAACCTGCGTATGTTATAGCAACGTCTTTCTTTCTTGACTTTCCTACCCTTCTTCGTATTCAAGCGGAAACTTTGAGAGGAGAGATCGCCCAAGGTGTGGCCTTTTTGTTGTCTTGGATCCGTTGAGCCATGTACAAGATAATTTCACGACTTTACAGGCTGTTCCTGAAGTTCAAGCATTCTCCGATAATCAGCCACCCGCAACCTTCATAAATCTCAGACGCTGCGGTCGGCCTACCGTCAGGCGTGTCCCACAACATCACCGCGATGTGGTCGCCGCTGTCCATTCTCTTTGCTGCACTTGCACCTCTCCCTTCTGTGCTCGCCCTCGGCGGCCCAACCTGTCTCTCGTTCAAATCTACCCAATATGCGATTACCACCAATAGCCAGGCCGCCACGATATGGATCGACTCGTCTGACTGGCCTGGTGTGCATCGTGCGGCCATTGACCTACAAAATGACCTTGAGAAGGTCACCGGAAAACGGCCCGTCATCCTAAATGTGACCATGTCGGCCACTACATCCAACTCCAACCTCGATGCTGCTTCAAACACCATCCCTATCATTATCGGCACCGTCGGAAAGTCCAATCTCGTCTCCTTCGCATCACAGAGCAGCACAACGCTGAAGAACAAGGTTGCTGCCATTCAAGGCAAGTGGGAAGCCGGAATCTCGGAGGTTGTCAAGAACCCAATGGCGGGAGTAACTGCCGGATATGTCATCTTTGGTTCAGACAAGCGAGGCACGATTTACGGCATCTACGACTTCTTAGAGCAGGCGGGAGTTTCACCATGGTAAGCCAGTATCTCCTACTCCTGTGAGTTGCACAATCTGAACCTTCCAAGGTACTGGTGGAGTGATGTTCCGTACAAGAACCATAGCGCCATCTACGCGTTCCCAAATGTTACTTGCTCCCATGGCGAGCCATCCGTCAAATATCGTGGAATCTGTAAGTCCTACTCTCAATCCCTCTTTAAATTACTGATAAGGCCTCAGTCATCAATGACGAGCAGCCTGCATTAACTGACTGGGTAATCGAAAAGTTCTCGAACGGCACCGTAGCAAACAGGCCGCCTTTCAACAGATTCATGTATTCCAAGGTCTTTGAACTACTGCTGAGACTCAAGGCAAACTACCTCTGGCCTGGTATGGTTATCTCACCTTCTACTTCACCAGCTCACGGACTTCTCAGCAATGTGGAACTCTGCATTTGGGGTGGATGATCCCCTCAATCAGTTTACCGCTGATTATTACGGAATTGTCATGGGAACTAGCCACCAAGAGCCCATGTTGCGCTCGAGCCCAGGTGGGAGAATTGGCTTGTGCGAGGATTGAATCACTTACGATACAAGTTGAATGGAACCAATTTGGATCCGGTCAATGGAACTGGGACGCCAACCAGGCAAACCTCGCCAAATTCTGGACTGATGGTGTGAAGCGCGGAGCACCATATGAAAGTATCTACACCTTGGGCATGCGAGGAACGGGAGACTGTAAGTTTTGTCATGACGCAGCGCTTGTCTCTCATTTCGATTCCAGTACCCGTCGATGAAACCGGTAATATCGACCTTCTTCAGAGAGTTGTCGCTGCCCAAAGAGACATTATCTCGAACGTGTTTAACAAGAGTGCTAGTACCGTTCCTCAGATGTGGTGTCTGTACAAGGAGGTGCAAGGCTACTATGTAAGTCTCAATCAGAGCAGAGGTGCATGACTAACAAGGATAGCAACGCGGTATGAGGGTTCCGGACGATGTCATTTTGCTCTGGACAGACGACAACTGGGGTAACATTCGGCGACTCCCAGCTCATGATGAACGAAACCGTACTGGGGGTGCCGGTGTTTACTATCATTTTGATTACGTCGGAAGCCCTCGTGACAACAAGTGGGGATCGGCGCATAATCTCCCCAAGTTCCACCACCAGCTCGGTCTTGCCAAAAAATACGGTGCCGATAAGATTTGGATTGTTAACGTACGTCGATACACGGAACTTTATATGTATAAGAACTGAAATTTCCTCTGAATAGGTTGGAGACATTAAGCCCCACGAAATATCCCTCGACTTCTTCATGACTTATGCCTGGAATACCACAATCTGGTCGAAGGACGACTTGGACAAGTACCGCAAGTCTTGGGCACTCAGAGAGTTCGGCTCAGATTCGTTGGCTCCCACTATTGCAGACCTCGTGAAACGATTCAGTCACCTCAACAGCCGCGCCAAGGTCGAGCTTTACAATTCAACAATGTACAGCTTGACAAGCTACCGAGAGTAAGTACAAATAGTCTGTTTAGAGCGCTTTCTGATGCTATGCAGGGCTGAAGGCGTCATGGGAGAGTGGGATGCTCTTGTCTCCTCCTCTAACCAAGTGTCGAGCCAACTTCCGGCAGTATACCAACCTGCATACTTCCAATTGGTTCACCATCCTATCATTGCTGGCAGAAACACACAGGCCTTGTATATTGACGCCGGCTATAATCAGCTCTACGCGAGCCAAGCACGTAGCCAGACAAATCAGAAGGCAGATGCTGTTGAAGCGAATTTCGAGTACGACGAGGATATCCGCGATCAGTATCATGGGTTACTGAATGGGAAATGGAACCACATGATGTCTCAGACCCATCTTGGATGTAAGAGATTTACTATGGATATAGTTCGTCACTCATGTGCTGTAGATTTCTATTGGCAGCAGCCCATGCTCAATAGCATGCCCTCTATCACTCGTGTTCAGAAGCGCCAAACCGCACTCCCTGGCCCGATGAGGATTACCGTGGAGGATTCCAAGGGCGCGTGGCCAGGCGACAACTCGAACCAGTGCTCACAAGGCTACAATTGCCCTGTATGTACATCCAGTAATCGATCAGTCACAAGCTGATCTCTTTTTTCCAGCCACCGAATGTTCCAGCACTCACACCCTATTCACCAATTCAGAATCGCTACATCGAAATCTCTGCAGGAGGTCCGACACCATACACTTGGACCGCCTCATCTAATGTTGGCTGGCTCAAGCTTAATCAAACGTCTGGTAGTATTCCCGACGCCTACGCCGGTCAACGAGTGCTTCTCTCCGTTAATTGGAGCGCTGTGCCAGTAGGCACCTCCCCAACGGGTGTGGTCACTATCAAATCAAATGGAGGCCAATCCGTCACCGTCTCCATGATTGCCGATTATAAGACGGTGCCGTCAGGTTTCAGTGGCTTCGTCGAAAGTGGAGGCATCGTTTCCATCCAGACTGAGCACTATTCGCGTTCTACAGCGGTTGGAGGTGTCTCTTGGGAAGTACTTCCGCAATACGGTCGCAATCTTTCGGCTGTCAGCCCTGCTATCAGCGTCGATGCACGATGGGCACCTGGAGCGGGTCCAGTTCTGTATGTGTGATCCAGGAATTTGTTTAGGATTTACTCATAATCTGCAGCGAGTACGACTTCTATACGTACAATTCGGTCAACGGCAACATCACAGTCACCGTTTATTCGGCACCGACTCTCAACACAGCTCCTGGCTACCCAATCACGTAGGTTTACATCATTATTTACATGTCCCTTTCTCATCCTGCGCTAGATATGCCATCGCTGTCGACAACAATACCCCTATCACGGTCCAGCCAATGCCATTGGAGACCGACCGAGGAGATTTGCCCAGCATCTGGAGCGTCGTGGTCGCCGAGGAGGTTATCCGCACTACGACATCGCACAAAGCCGCACCAGGCAAGCACACATTGAAGCTGTTTGCGACTGAGATTGGCTTCGTGACCGAAAAGATAGTCATCGAGACCGTTTCTGGCTCGGTCGCATATAGCTATCTGGGACCCCCAGAGAGTGTAAAGGTTTAGGCCTGACGTTGATTATTTGTTGATGTACCGGTTGAAGTATCGTATTTTGAAAATTGCACACTCTTTTGGTTGTCGACGACGGTCATATGAGTTCGAATTCCCATGTCCTTGCGTCCATCATCCCTTCTTTTAGCACGGGGATTTCGCGTTCCCCCCGATGACCCATGGTCCGACGATGTGCGTACCCAGGATAGTCTTCAGGCTGAAACGCAAACGAGCGGATCTAGAGATGATCAGAAAAGAATTGTGCGATAAAAAGCATCGCTCACTTGCTTGTAAGGTGGTCCATCTCCTATCGGACGCTTTGCTAGCTTCGGCATCTCCCTGGGAGGATATGAAACAAAGCCTTCAAGAGCCGTGGCACGCATACCAAAGTGTGTATGGTACAGAATCACGCAATGTGACCAGGACAGTTCCCTTCTTTGCCTCGGCCTTATTTTGTAGCTCTCCTTCTGATTCTATCTCCTCTTCGTCTTCACTGTCGGGGGCGCCCTTCTTCTTTCGAGATATCTCATTAGTTGCACCTAGCGCGAGAAGGGGGGCAACAGAAGCAAAGAAACTAGAGACAAGCTCTTGATTCGTCCGAACGTTGCGATCCTGGTCTGTGATACCTTTGCCTAATAAAGTTACAATATGTGTTTAGAATCATTTACGAGTATCTTACCAGCATGTGGAAAATTGAATGCAACGCGAGTGAACGTTTGCCCTCTGAGCTCCTTGCAGCTCTTAAGTTTGGTGGCGTCGACCTTGAAGAGCAAACGGACCCCGGCCTGTCGCAGCTCGGAGATGGTCTGAGTGGCCCAAGGGTATTTTTCGTAGACCATCGGTTCAGAGTCATATGCGGTCGCTGTGATGCGACTTGAAGGTATTCCATGAGCCCTGACCAGCGAAAGGGCAAACGAGAAATCGCCTTCTCCAATCAAAAGAATAGTGTCAAGCTGAGAATATGGAATAGTTGGACGTCTCTTTACACTCTTGTCCGCCTTTTTCACTCGATTTCTTGTTGTCTGGGCCTTGTCCTTGGTCTCTGCGAGCTTCTTGCTGTCAGAAACCTGATGTTGTTTGTACATCTTTACTTGATGTTTCCCCAGTGCATTTTTTAAAGATTTCCTTGATCTGCCCATAGCAAGGGGAACGGACGGAGTTTGCCGCTCACAAAAGTCGATCCTCTGCCACGTCTTGCGTTCCAGCTAGCACCCATTCCTTAAGCCGCCATTATGGTCAGCTCATTCTCCAAAGTCTAATCTTGCTTCTGTGCTCACCGTATATCGTTCCTACGCGCATATTCCGCTGTCTCGCTGGCACTGTTCCTCTCCAACTCGTGTGCATCCGTGCTCGCGACGCTTGTAGCCTACTGCATTTGAGATCCGTCGAAAGAACGAAAAGTTTGCCGAGAATGTGCGCTCTGGCAAGACTGCTGTCCAGCCTTCCACTCGCGAGAAGTTGCAAAAGAGGTCGCCTATTGGCTACACGGCACTCTCTATCATCATCTTTGTAGTCATTGGAGGAGGTATGTTTATTATTCATTCGCGACCGAGGCTGCTCTGACCGTTTGTTAGGCGTTCTTCAACTCTTGAGCATCTTCTTCGGACGATGAAGGAGGGGTTTCCTACTTCGGTCACGATATCTTTATATCCGGCGCGTTTAGTCGCCCCATTCTTGTATCTTCGCTGTTAATGCCAGGACTTCACCGGACCGCTCAGTGAGCACACGATATGGGCTCAATGACAACGAACGTGAATTCAAGATATTGCTATTTCACTGCCTTTCTAGTCCTCGTCCATGGCGTCCCGCGTCGACTTTGCGGCAGAACGCATCGAGGCGACAGATGGTGCGACTGACGAGCGCATATCCTCTCCTGCAGCCGAACGACCTGATACCACATCTGTTAGCTTGGTTTCTGTGAGGCTATGATCACTCACCTGCTTCCGTATCGGTTTCACCCGGTTCTTCCTCTCCTTCACCTTCACCGCTCATCTCTTCATCAGCATCCTCATCTTCCTCACCTTCCTCCTCATCTTCCTCGCTGACATACTTGGCACCTTTTCGTGAACCTCGTTCGAGCTCGCCTGCCTTTGGTCGGACCTCGTCACTGGCCCAGATTCGCCACGTCGGACTCCAAATCATGACGACATTGTCCTCCCCCGCACTAACCAATGTCCATCGGTCCTCGACGCTTGGAGCCCATCCAAGGTCTGCAATCCTAGCCATGTGTCCGCCGTGGACGAAGAGGAGCTCTGGAGGGCCATCCTCCGCGTCGTCTGGAGTCTGCTCCAGGCCAATCTGGGCCATGTCCCAGATGTTCACGCGACGATCTGCAGATCCAGAAGCAAATACCGATGGAACGTGGGGGGACCATACGACGTGCATGACTTCGTCCGTATGTGCATGGAAGGTATGGAGCCTATTGGAATTAGAGGCATTTCGACTTGCCGTTTCGACCGAGGTGGTACGCATATCGTGAAGCGCAATTGTCTTCAGCCAACATCAGTGGGTTGATAGGGAAGCGGGAGATAGACTCGCCTGATCCGCACCACCGGTCAAGAGCAGGAACTCATTTGCAGGGCTGTATGCCACGGATAGAATCTCTGGTCGAGAGCCGGATTTAGCGCCACCGTGAGCTTGATATCGATACGCAGGCTTGTCGCCCTGACGGATGTCCCAGCTACTCAAAGTTGGCGAGTCGTTTTGAATGGATGTGAGTAAATACTGACATGACGAGCATCCCGTCGTCTCCGACACTGGCAAACACATTTTCTTGGTAGGCATTCCACGAGACATCCTACGGTCGTGAGATAAGCAAAGTTGATCCTGGGAAGACACACATTGACACAGCTCTCATGACCTTTGAAAGTGGTAACTGCAGTCAAAGGAGAGGGTGATTTAGGGTAGGATTGAATATCCCTGTACACCAATGAGTTTATTGAAGATGTGAACTTTGAAATCTCACCAGTAACAAACTGTCGAATCTTCCGAGGAAGAAAGGATATGACCTGCTTTCGACTCGTTCCAAGTCAACCCAAAACTGCGGCGGGTTAGTGTGTCGAATGCGAGAGACATCGCAAGGACGTACCCTTCCTTGCTTTGGCCACTGAGGATAATATCCGGTTTGAATACTCCCTCCTTCTCGGGTTTGTTGGGGTGTTTCGTCCTGTCAAACACCCAAACATCTCCGCTCGTCGTCTTTGTAGCAATGAGGTCGGGATTCTGAGGCATATAACGAGCACGATTGATTTCTCCATCGTGGTTGATCTTTTGGGTGATGGTAAAAGGAGATGCACGAGGAGCCGCCGGCGCGACAAGCTCTAAAGTGTGGACGCAAGATTTAGTTACATGTAAACGAAGACGACGGACTTGCCTCCTTTCTCCTCATCATATTGATCTTTTCCAATGTTCTCCTCTCCTGGTAGACCATCACGCTTTGGTAGCTGGAGACTCGCGATTTGTACAAAGTCGGGGGCCTGGCCAGATGTATGGGTTCCTAGCAGCAGTCTATGATTTGTAAAAGGCTTTCCTGGGACACTTTAGATACGGTCAGCTTGTGGCGATGGACCCGCTCGTTGTCCGTACACTTCTCGGTCTGGGAACCACTGGCAGGTGAGAGTAGGCCAGTCTAACGCATGTGTAATGACAACGTCGTACAGATACGGCGCGTTCTTTTTCCTGCAACGGGACACATTAGCCAACTTGATCCCGACAACATCAGGCCTTTGCGCAAGTGGCAGGCATAGGTGTTTCTCCAGCGCGTAAAACGACCCGAAATCATGTATAATTGATCATTTGTGCCGAAAGACGCGTCCGTGTCGGCTGTGATGGCTACTGACCAAATCTTATATTCCTCGTTGATGGTCTGGTTTTCATCAACGCCTTCTTCCTGTGCCTTATCAACTGCATTAGCAGTAGAAGTTACTCCATCCCGTTCATTGTCACTGCCTTCTTCAATTTCCATTCGGGACGGCATGACGGTAGGGTTTCAAATTGGGGAGCTGACAACGCTGCGCACATAGACGGTCGGACGTCCGACAAGCAGAGCAATGCATTCGCCATCATTGTTTACACTCAGGCATTAAACTTGTAGAGAACTACCCCAATAGGCCCGGCACTCGGACGTTTATGCCAAAGCATTGGACACACCATAAAGGGCGGGGAAGATGGTCATGGACAAGGCATGAACCGCGTCGTATCGTCCTTGAGTAACATCAGGAGAACACTTACAATGTCAGCAAGCAACTTTCCTGATACTATTAGAGCCATTCAGTACACAGGAGTCGGAGGGCCAGAGGTTATCAAAGTACGCCTTGCCTGCGTTCTCTACATTAAGGCTCATAAAGTCTATCAGCTCAACTCGGTCCCATTCCCGAAGCCTGGACCGAACGAAATGCTCATCAAGGTCTTATACGGAGGTAATCAGGACAGTCTTTGATCTTGCACTGCTTACAAGTGTTCAGGCGTCAATTTTCTCGATATTAACTTTCGAAGAGGTATGCTCTGTCCCAATGCAGCGACTTTTTTTACAAACAAACTCGAAGGAATATACCCACTTCCAGCCATTCCCTGGACAGCAGGATGGGAAGCTGCTGGTGTTCTCGAGTCGCTTCCATCCGATCCAGAAATTCTAAGTGACCCCGAATTCAAAGCCAGGCAGTTCAAAGTGGGCCAAATTGTCGCGTCGGTACGCCCGGTCCTCCAAAGACCATCGTCAGTCTAATTATTCACCTCAGGTTGCGCCCGTCGCTTTCGCGGAATATATCACTCAACCTTGGATCAAAGTCCTTCCTGTTCCGGACGGTATCGGCCCCAAGTTGGCAGCAGCCACGTCGCTTCAAGGCACGACTGCTTTGACGCTTGTAGAGGAAGCCTACAATGCCAAGCAAGATGACTATTGCCTAGTGCACTCTGCTGCTGGCGGGCTTGGTCTCTTGTTCTGCCAGCTGCTAAGCGCACGTGGAGTTCATGTCATCGGGAGTGTGTCTACTAAGGAGAAGGCAGAGCTCGCAAAGGCTAACGGAGCTGAGTACACGATCAACTATAAAGAGGAGGATCTCGTGAAACGAGTCAAGGAAATCACCAACGGCGAAGGTGTTCATGGCATTTACGACGGTCTTGGAAAGGCAGCGTACGTATAACATTAGACCATGTCACATCGTAATATCCTGCAGGTGGCAAGATAACCTCGAGATGGTTAGGAGGAAAGGCACTATCGTCAATTTTGGCAATACTACTGGTGTGATACCTCCGTTCTCGATCCTTGACCTCAAGGCAAAGAATATCCACCTCGTTCGTCCAGAGTAAGTTGTCGTCGACACAATCTCTTCGCCCTTATAACGCTGTCCTCAGCTCCAGTCAGTATATGGTGACACCTCGTGAGATACGCGAATATAATTCGCTGCTTTGGAAAACGGTCAAGTCAGGAGAATTGAAAGCTGTCATCTCCAAGGAGTATCCATTTACCCCGGAAGGCGTTGGTGAAGCGCAGGAAGATCAGGCTTCTGGGAGGTCACTCGGCAAGCTCGTCATCAGGATTGCAAATTAGCTCCTATGATGTACGTAAAGTAACACCATCACCACTCATCTATTTCGACACCTTTGCTCATCCTCGAAAGAATTGGTCAGAATGTCTCACGGTATTCCGACCACTTTTGGAGCCTACGAATCCGCGCCACAGAAAGCTCACCAATCCCCGAAACAATGAGCACGTAGCAGTGTAACATATTGATATGATTGCTTACGAATATACCGCGAAGCCGGCGGGAGTTGGCGACCATCGATGGCCCGTGTTATAAGGCCCCGCCTGACCTTGACTTCGCGACACCATCGCCCAATCTCGCAACCATCCAGGATGACTACGAAACAGTTTCCACAGACTATCAAAGCTATCCAGTATGTTGATGTGGGCGGACCCGAGGTCATCAAGGTGAGGTTGAGTGGCGGTCATATACTCAACATGGTTGATCAGGCATTTTAGATGAATGAGATTCCCTTTCCGACCCCACAACCCAACGAGATGGTTATCAGGGTTTTGTGGGGAGGTGCGCTCTTGCGGACTTGAGCTCGTCGCCAGCTGCTAACAATGGAATAGGCGTCAACTTTATCGATACCTACTTTCGCAGAGGTAGTTGCTTCCCTGTTAAATATTCGTCTAATGGGTTGCATAGGCATCTATCCTCTCAAGTCACTCCCCTGGACGGCAGGATCGGAAGCTTCTGGGATCCTCGAGTCGCTTCCCACCGACCCGGCAGTCTTGAACGATCCAGAGTTCAAAGCAAGGAATTATAAAGTCGGCCAACTTGTCGCAACAGTGCGTGTCTCTCATATCAAAATCCCCCTGTAACTGGTTCTTATAGGGTGTCGGTCCTGCCTTTGCGGAATACGTCTCAAAACCTTGGATCAAAGTACTATCGGTACCAGATGGTGTAGATCCAAAGATCGCAGCGGCTGTCCCTGTGCAGGGCTTGACAGTCTTAACGATCATCGAGGAATCGTATAAGGCGAAGAAGGGTGACTACTGTCTGGTGCATGCGGCAGCGGGTGGACTTGGTCTCACCTTCTGTCAACTACTCAGTGCTCGAGGTGTTCATGTCATTGGTAGCGTTTCTACCAGGGAGAAAGTAGAGCTTGCCAAGGCAAACGGGGCCGAGTTTGTGATCAACTACAAGGAAGAAGATCTCATTAAACGTGTCAACGAGATCACTAATGGCGAAGGTGTCCACGGTATCTACGATGGAGTCGGAAAGTCAACGTACGTACTTTACCCGCTGGCGCTCCGTCAGATCTAACTTCACTTAGATGGGCCGGAAACTTTGAGATGATTCGAAGGAAGGGTACCATCGTCAGTATCGGTAATGCCTCCGGTGTCATACCACCGATCTCTGTGCTGGAGCTCAAAAATAAAAACATCCACCTCGTCCGCCCAGAGTAGGTCACAGGGTCATTTGCATTGGATATTTACTGACACTTGGGCAGTAATAATAACTATCTCGTTACGCCAGAGGAAGTTAACCAATACAACACCCAACTCTGGGATGCGGTCACATCTGGCACCTTGAAGACTCACATATACAAAGAGTATCCGTTTACTCCACAAGGTGTCGCTGAGGCTCAGGAGGAACAGTCGTCAGGGAAGACTACTGGAAAACTTGTCATCAAGATAGCCAGCTCGTAGTACCTCGACCTTGTAGTTTAGTCGGGTTCCTAATAAAATGTCTGAACCGTGATGACTTTATTATGCCACAATTTGAAGAATTGTTTTATGCGTATCATTGAACATGTAAGAGCCAGCCGAGCTTCTTGCACCCTGCTCCATCGTTGACATGTGGGCTAGGCCACAACTTGCACGTGCGAGATACATATCTGCTGCTATTCCTCGTGCTAGAGTGCTAAAGAGGCGCCCATACGCGTCTTTCGTCGAGCCTCTACCAACTAAAATTACTACGCTCCCAAATAAATTACGTGTGGCCACAGAAACGACACCAGGACACTTTTCTGCTGTTGGAGTGTATATTGATGCAGGCTCTCGATACGAGTCGCCCCAGTATACAGGAGTTAGTCATATTCTAGACAGAATGGCTTTCAAGGTGAGCGTCCTTCTATCACCTCGATAACTATGCGAATCTGGCTTCACTTTGAACATTTATTCGTTCTCATACTACACTCCATTCGTCAACTTGAACGCGAAGCGCTGACGAAAAACCGGCAGAGTACGCAACAGAGGAGTGCTGGGTCTATGTCGACCGAAATTGACTCCCTTGGTGGTCAAATGTTCGCTTCGAGCTCAAGGAGACGATAATGTACCAGTCCTCGCATTTCCATCACGGCACTCCGCTTGCCGTCTCCATTCTCGCCGACACCATCCTTAACCCACTCTTTCTCAATGAAGAACTGCAAACCCAGCGCGAAGCCGCTCGTTATGAAGTGAGAGAACTCAGCAACAAACCGGAGAGCATGCTCCCAGAGGCCTTGCACTACATGGCTTATCAGGGCAATACTCTCGGGAACCCGGCGTTGTGTCCAGATGACCGAATCGATTTGGTGGACGGCAACATGCTCCGAACCTGGACAAAGGAATGGTTCAGACCTGAGCGGATGGTAATCGCGGGTGCTGGGATGCCACACGAGGAGCTGGTCGAACTGGCCGAGAAGTACTTTGGTCATCTTAGATCACCTGCATTGACTTCATCGACTCAACCATCCTTATTGGTGAATGGTGGTCAGTCTGGACTGCTACAGTCGCAGCTGCTGCAAAATAACCAACAGAAGCCCTCACTATACAAGTCACTCGCCACTGCTGCGACATCTTTGCTACATAATCCGGTAGCTAATCAGCTACCTGATTCCTCATTCGAGGTTCTCTCCACCAAAAAGGCCAACTATACTGGCGGAGTACTTCATATACCGGCCGAGGATCAAGATTTCGAACACGTTTATGTGGCCTTCGAAGGAGTATCAATCAAGGATGAGGACATCTATCCCATGGCCGTGATTCAGATGCTGCTTGGCGGAGGAGGTTCCTTCTCGTCGGGTGGGCCAGGCAAGGGCATGTACACTCGATTGTACACCCACGTCCTCAATCATTATCATACTATTGACCACTGCGCATCCTTCCATCACATCTACGCTGATACCTCCCTCCTCGGCCTCTTCGCCTCATTTGTACCACAAGAGTCGATGAGAAAGGTGCTCTCTATTCTCGCTCACCAACTTTCCTTGCTCCTATACGAGAAGGTACCCGCGGTCGAACTCTCTCGTGCCAAGAAGCAATTGCAGAGCTCGCTCGCGATGAGCATGGAGAGCCGACAGGTCGAAGTAGAGGATCTAGGACGCCAGATTCTTGTTCATGGGCGCAAAGTTGGCATGTTGGAGATGACGCAAAAGATTGACGCCGTCACGGCAGATGATCTACAGCGTGTGGCCCATCGGCTCTTTGGACAAGACTCCAAGCCACCTACACTCGTTTCTATGGGCACTCAGGATATAGACGAGTGGCCCTCCATTTTCAAGGCGTACGGCGTTGGGAATAATATCTAGATTTCTGTTCATGTAACTACTCGGTTATTCTAGTTTACCTTTCCCCTTTCTAACTCGGTCCGCCAAGCGTTCAAAGATGGATAATACTCGTGGGACAACAAAAAAACCCGCTATGAGAAGGAGGAAGCCCAAGAATGTGAGCCCTGGGACCAGACTCTGTGGCAAAACTCCTAAAAGAAGAGGCTCGAGTATAATGTGAAATCTGAGTACGTCTGTTTCCTCGTCTTCTTTGAATTTCGGAGCCGGAAGGAACCAAGATGGAAAAAGCTGATGTTGGAATGGTAGCACACCTCCGTCCGGATGTGGGGCGCGTACGAACTGTGTCGTCGACGCTCGAATGCGCAGGTAAGTAGAACGGGTCAGTGGGCGCGCTTGCAACTGTTGGCGCTTGAGCATCTCCTCATCTACCATTTCGTTTCGTGCATGTGGAGGGATTGGAGGACGTTCTACTTTCAGTATATGATTTAGACTTAGAGGAGAATGTAATGACATCTTGAAGTTTGCAGGGTTCTGTGCAGAGATAAGACAGAGATCGATGCTTGGAAATTTTGAGAAAACTTACGGAAGCCGGCCAAGATAATCTAACAGTAAACATTTTCTCCAGTGTATCTGGGTCTGAATGGGAAAACCAATCGTCCAGGTCGAGCATCATCCAGATATCTCCTTCGCATGGCGTTATGGAGCCTCTGGAACAACGTCAGAGAAGGACCAAACAGTGGGAGGGACCAATGCACTCAATATCACAAAGCCCATCCGGACGCTCTTCAGCATAATAGTCCTGTATGTTGACTGTTGAGGAAGGCACGATTTTGAGTATCTGCGACGAGTTGGATGCCGTCAGTCGAGTCCTAATGTTCGCCAAGTAAAATTTAATGTTGATATTTGTCAAAGCATAACTTGTGGGTAGGTACGAACCATTCTTTTGGAATCACGGCACTCTCAACGCGCTGAGACGCAAAGCTTATTATCTCCGTATCTGCTCCCACAGGGTAGAAGACAGAGAAATAGAGCGCAGCGGATAAAAGGCCATAGAGGCGCATAAGTGAGGACCAAGTTGGAGAGCCACCCTCGGGTGACAAGTCAATGAGGATCTAGACGAAGCCCATCTATTTGCTATGCTACAACCGAACTGATACACGTTGTCTATCAGACCAAAGAAGGGGTGCTTTCCTCGGGAGAAAGATGCGACTGCCTGTCAAACCCGAGACGAGTCGGACGAGTCTACAGAGACCTCTTCAAAAGTCACCCAGCATAGGCAAGCGAGAGCAAGTAGAAGAATAGCCAGAACCACCAGCATCCCTCCTCCACCAACGCTAATGATATACGTTGGCGGTAGAATGTAGAACAAGACGGTGTAACTAACAGCCACCGAGAAGACGATCTTACTCGAAGGAAGGGTGATACTCACCTTTTCCTCTGGGCTACATGAGGTTGCACCCTGGTCGCGTGACAATGAACCTTGCCTTGGGACGCGAGGGGTACTGTATGCACGCGCTTCTCTTTGGGCAACTGTTTCCTGTTGAGTGACTGTCTTCCGTCTTCGACGTGTATAGACGTAGTCTTCATTTAACGACGTGGCCTTGGACTTCTTCCTCTTCAGCGGTTGGAAGAGACGAGAGGTATTACGAGGTGAGACATAGCCATTGAAAACCTTGGTCCAGGATGGCGACTTCCACATGGACGAATCGGGGTGTCTTGAAGAAGAGGACAGGATCGAGCTTTCCCTGGACTGTGTCGTTGAGCTGGTCGGTGGGTAGTAATCGCCATTCGTTTTCAAATGCCAATTTAGTTCCGTAACAGCTTCACTACTTTTGGTCAAGAATGAAGAAATCGGTCGAATGAACGAAGGGGCTTTTGAGGAGAGAGACGTCGGAGATGCAACGGCAGATCTACTTGTATAGTCTTCAGAGGGTTTGGGTGTGATGATTGAGGTATCCTCGATGGAGACTCTGAGCTGATTTCGACAGTCTGCAGGAGGGCGGAGCATTCCCTCTGGAAAGGTTATCGACGCTTGCATATAAGAGACATTCTTGTTTACTGTGTACCCTGTATCGGCGATCGGAAATGGCATGAAAGGCTGTTCGTTTGCACTGTGGACTGGAGAGGCCGGATGGAGAGGTGCGCGCTGTTCAACGGGTCAGCGATCTTGACCATCCATGCCACGATAGTATTACAACTTTCGAGATATCTCTGGATGGCGACTTTCTCTTGTACTCAATTGGACTTGCCAAGGACATTGTTCGACGATGAGCATTAGCATCTGCCACGATTTGTCGTCCAATTTTCTGATCCATAGATCGCAAGTAACGTTTAATAGGCTTATAGAAACCGCCGACTCCACGGTTGAGTTGGGGCAGCTTACTCGTCGGGATGTGAGAACGTCGAGAGCTTGGAGACGGTGGCATGACACTGCAGTAGTCTCTGGTGGGCGGGTATTGTTTAAATGAGGGCTTGTGGGCTCCTTCAGATCGCTCGACGAGGTGCACCGAATTTCGAGGGACCACCGCCAAATCATCGAGGCCAGGACGGTTCATTAGAGGAGAAATATTAGCGTAGAATGATAATGAGAGGAAAGGTTAGAGCTGTATCAGCCGAAGCGACGAGGCGTGTTTAGAGTATAGTCGTCGTGGAGTTCACGATTCTAGGGTGGTCAGCATTGGACAACGAACGCTCATGTCGATGCAAGAACTGAGTGCTTAGAGAAGAAAGGAATAAGAGGCGAACGCAAAAGTAAATACACAGATTTTGAAAGGAGTGAGTGTACGACATGTCGACCGAGAAATCTGTATCCTGACTGGAAAAACGTACTCACGGTGGCATGGACCTCGCGTCGAGCCATGAACTGGTGCCGGCGGCGCAGAAGCGACCAATTATGCCAGAAGGGCATAACACAAATGCATTGCTCGACCACGAGGAACGGGTGCCATGGCTGCCAAACAATAATGGGAAGATCCGTCTAAAAGCCGCAAGTCCTTAGTCAGAAATTGGCGCACGGCGTTTGGAAAGGAGCATACCAGATTCTTCTCAAAGCATTCACCAACACATTGGTATAGCGCGAGGGGTCGAGACTCAGGGAACGGCGGGAGAAAATAAGAACTGCACTAAGCCATTAGCTTGGAATCGTCTTGTGACGAGAATGCCGCCACGGACCTTGGCATGGGTTTTCTCTTTTCAATTTTTTTTGGTGTGGTTTTTTGATATTGGTCGTGTCTGGGATAAATGTAATAGGAACCTGGAGGCATTGATACAAGAGTTGAGTGGAGCGAGGAGGATGGCCCGAGCAATCTAGGTCCATGACAGAGGTCTAGAATACACCCAGACAGTCCTCATCACGGCTGTGGGATGTTGACACGAGGACAGACGACAATCAGAACATTCTGTATTTGGATCAGAAGCCGTCCATTTAGGCATGTGGAAACTCACGTAAACTAGATGCGGATAGCCAGCGACGAAACCGGAGCGTCTGAGGATTTACTCTGGTCGAGCCGGTGTATCGGCGCTCCAGCGTAGTGGATCGCAAAGGACCTTGCCAGAGTGAGACGGTAATAGCACATGCCAAAGTTACCACATACCTCGAAGCTGCATACGTCGGCTGTGATTGGTGAACATCATCCATCATCATCACTGCGTCGAGGCTTCCAGGAGTGTTGGTCCGCGTCAGCAAACCCACCGAGGGTGACGTCGAAGACCGTGTTGACGGAGATAGTTCTGGACAGGTATCATCCCCGGACTCTGAGATCACACTCCTCTGTCGTATCTGGCGAGTCCGCGTGGCGGCACCCGTCCCTACGGAAGAGGAATGTGAGCTACAGGAGGCGTGGGACGGGCTTGGAGAAGGAAGGTCAGAATCTGAGGGGGATTGTACGGGTAGTCGCTGTCCAGAAAACCCGCGGCGGAGAAGCGAGATATGGCCATAATCCTGGCTGGCTTTGCGTTTGGAGCGTGTCGGTTCCAATGTGGGTGTGGTGTCCGTAAACGTATCGAAAGACGACGTGGTGGACTTGCAAGGTGTCTCGCTCCATAGGAATTCCGGTGACATCTGTTGCGATGCGGTCGCATTGGGTTGGAGAACAAACGGAGCCGTGGCAGCCTTTCTCAGCGGGTTTGCTTTGCGAACCGGCTGAGTGTCAATGGTCTGTTGACGGGCTGGGAGAGGGACGATCGGACGACTGTCAGCACTTGTCAATGTCCGCGAGCGGGGACGGCGAGGGGTCGCGTCAGGCGTCACTTCACCATCCGTTTCTATTGAAGAGGTGAGTGGTGGCGCAAATTGTGTCTCGCTAGACAGCTGGTCTAAGCGGATGGGAGGCGGTAATTGTTTGCAATCGCGGAGTGCTTTGACGCCATAGCGGGCAACTTCTTGCTCATTTGTAGCGAATAGTGGCTCCGAGAAAGTAGGATCGAGCGATCCAGGTACCCAGGTACCGTTCTCTTTGGCTTCCTGTACCCAAGGCCGACTCAGAGTCCATCCAAGAGCGCTTCCGACTGCTCGTTCTGCGCTATGAACTTCTTCCAGAGGGAGCCCAATGAGAGATGCCCACGACTTGTTGCCAATACTTCTATCCCGATGGAATTTGTTGGCGAGTATGAGAGCGCCCAGGAAGGCTTTGCGGGGATCGACAAGGGGATACAGGGGGTCAAATTTGGTAAAGGTGGATGTGGGGACGCTAGTCAGATCTTGCCTTAGTTGCTTCCCATTGGAAATCCGACCACGGGAGAAACGGGAGGAGGAGCTCGGTTCGGCATAGGTTGAATGATCACATCCAAATATACCTGAGCGGCACCAGCCACAGGCAGCACGCTCGCGAGTTGAACGGATCTGTGACTCTATATCCAGGACATAACGCATCGCGGTTTGGAGCAAAAAATAGCTCGCTTTCATCCGTCGGAGCATTTCGGCCATGAACATTGGAAAAGGAATCATATCGGCCTGGTTGCTCATCGAGCCAGGCCCCTTTTGAATGGCGGCCATGATTGGTAGGATGACAATCTCGTTGCATAAGCCATGGACAAGGCCCGTTTGGACGAGTACCTCCAACGAAATTGAAGATGTCGGTCCTGGTTCTCGGGTCGTAGGTGCTCCATAGATACCATAGATTTGGAGTGCACAGTTCCCTTTGAAAATGTCAAGCCGGTGGCGGTGAGCGGGTTACGACTCACAGATGAGCTTTTCAATGAAAATGATACGAGCGATTCCGTAACCAATGGAGGAGCGTAGAGAGTAGATGGGAGGGGTGTCGACGAGTGAGCAATACTCGATGTGCGAGGGTTCTTCAGAGAATTGTTGGGTGTATTGAGGATTTATTTGAGAGGTTTCGACGATGAGTTCTTCTTCATGATCGACCGAACTGTTGCCAGCGGACGACCCACTCTGACTCAACGTGGGTGAGAGCGCCTTTCTGTCCATCGGACTCGACGGGCCTGGCGAGGACGGGTGGTCTGCACACGTGATCGTATACGTTGTGTACAGACCACCCTGAGAGGGAACGGTTGGAATATAACATTGTTCTGATGATTGTCCAGCAAGGGCTTGCGGCCAAGGTGCAAAGCCCTCGCTCATGGTGAGCGGGAGAGATTTGGGTCGATTTGTAGTGGCGCTTGAGTGAGTGAAAGTTGATTTTTTGTAGACTTTAGAGTTTGAACACGAGTCTGCCAGTTAGCGATGGCCCGAAGCAGCGTGCTGGGATGAGGACGGCTTACCGAAAGGGGTAGAAAAGTGCAGAAACTCTGATGGTGAGATGAGTGAAATCAAACAATAATCTGGGCGGGATCACGGATATTCAAAGGGACGATTCGATGCTCATATGGCTGGGGGTAATGGTGACTTGGTTGGAATTGGTAAGTGACTTGGAAAGAGGCAAAAGAGAGACAATCTTGAGGCTGCTTGATAAGGGAGGATCTTGTATGGATAGCATTGCTGCTGCTTGGATATATTCCGAGGACCGCGGCTAGCTCAGGGGACTGCCTGTCTTGCCCGGACTAGCGACGCAGCGCTTTAGGAGTTTGTGATTTGATTCTGAGTGCAAATGTAGCTCTCTTCTGACGTTCTGAGGGATTTGCAAGCGTTCTCTCGGCGGTCACAGGTGATGGTGGGTGTTCAAGAGTGGATAGTGACTTGCCACCGACCAGCGATTGTTGGTCTCCGACATGTCAGAAATGAATAATTTCCCAACTCGACGCTACTAGTCTGAATTCACAACGTCGTTATCAAAACGCTGTCACCGCTGGGCCCGCGCTCCGTCGCCGTCGACGATGGGCGCCCGACCAGCACGCCATGAATTGTGGGAGCTCATTCTCCGTCTAGTCAATGTCCTGGGGTTTTCATTACCAACGTCGTCCTCGTTCGACAAAATGCTGGGACCAACGTCTCGCGCCTTGACATCTTATTCGTTGATCAAACTTGTCCAGTCTCTCTTCAGTGCCCTCTCCTGCCCGAATCAGCGTGCTTGCTTCCAGCGGTCCCGTAGACGCCGAGCGCGCTCACTCGAGTCATTCAGTTTGGCATTGACCCGCCTTGGTCATGACCCAGCCTCGTCACATCCTTGTTTGATTCGGGAACCTGCAGTCTACTTGGTTTCTACCTCTAGATTTCCCTGCAATTTTGACAACTGTCGAAAAGCAGCTTACGCCGAGGCTTCGGGACCGACGAAGCCTCACCTGATCTTCTTCGCACTTTCTTCGTCATTTGCGACCAAGCCCCAAGTGCCGTCGGCTTTCTCTCTCCCCACGGGATCAGTCCATTGGATCATCTTTAAGACCTTTACATAAATAGATGCAGCACATTAGCAGCAATGTGAAATATGTCGCAGGCACAAAATGGTGTTTCACCTCTTGACAATACCCGAACTTTGTGCTCAAACCAGCTTGTTCACATGCTTGGTCAATTACTTCACTTCACGCTATTTCTGACCCGGTGGTATCCCGCGCAACCTGTTGCATATGGCCGCAGCACAGTCGCAGTTCCTTTGGAAGCAAGGCTGTAACGAATAAGATGGCAACGGCTCGAATCAAGAATTCTAGGCTTTGATTGGTGTCTCGACTGTAGAAGCCCTCGAGTAGACCAAACAAGATTCGAGGTCCTCGGTCGATCACTTACGGAACGTACGTGGCAACTCTCATAGAGTTTCCAAGGAATCAACCAGGTTTGGTAACGTTCGTAGCAGTCAGGGAGGCCCAGGCATGGCGTGTCCAAGCACAGCTGCATCACATGTACTTATCCTTCAGCCACTATAACTCCTTCTTCTCTGTTTCAGGATGCCCTAGTTATCAGAGTCCTGCAATGGCAGTATTGGACAGAACCATCGTGGCCGACGCGACAAATGACAGCTGAACGTCTCATTTCCGCCACTAGAACGAGTGTCAGCACTTATTCTCCTGATAACTACAGCGAGCGGTACAAGCCGGAATGAAATCAAGGGCGGTTGTCATCGACGATTGCCTTCTCAAGCTAAAGTGTAGCTAACCCCACCTGTAAATGAAACCGACGGTTGTCCATCTGGTCGTACTGTCTTTAGACAAACCGGTAAGATTAAAGCCGGACAAGCTCCAACCCTCGCCGATCTACGGAACCGGCATCGCTTATGGGCTCGATGTCAACAAAGCCGGGAGGCACCAACCGTGGCCCTCCCCATGTTTTGATTGACAGCTCTGATACATGGTAATTACTGTAACAATAACGACCACGGAGTTAACCCGTCCAATACATACCATCACCTCCGCCGGGCGACGACGACGTGCGCTTTTGTTAGCGGAGGTCGAAGGCGTACCACCCTCCACCGAAAAGAAGCTAGACTGTCTCGTGTAGACACTTTGAGCATATCAAGTAAGATGAGAATCGAGAACGACTGTCTGAGGCGTGGACACAGCTCGAAGATTGTAAGCGTCGGGTAATCCACAGGTTGCACATGCCCGCGTCGGATCACAAACGCACGGGCGCGCACACCTCTGAGACAGCGTAGATAGCAAATGTAAAGACGTTGGACGCCGATGTCACTGTCGAGACTGACAACAAGGACGATAACGTCGTGTTGATATCCGTCGATTCGTTCAAGTCGACAATGGGCCACGATTCACGACCCTTCCCACATGTACGCTTGTTCAAACTCACGTGTAGATCTTGAATGCTTCGTCGTATAGCTGCGATGAGCTGTCAGTATGAAACCGATGATCCCGAATTGATGTACTCGGGATTCTCTCTCGTACCATAATGGCGGTCAGATCCGAGGGACGAGCTGGATTGCATGGTTGTAAAACATCAATGGGGCGAAAAGGGAGGAGACCGTGGGCATGAAGACGCACTTCGAGTTCGTATGGAAAGTTTCCGTGGTGGACCCGCCTGGTGGGGAGGGTGGTTGATCTGAATAGCTGGTTTCTCTTCTCTTCTGCTTACACAACGGTTTGACAGAGTAGGGCCATATTGTGTCCCGTGACTTACTTGCTGTACAGTGTGAGATGGTCCTCGAACCAGGAGAGCGCGGCGAGGTCATGAAGACAATTACATTCATAGGAAGATTTCATGCCAGCACCGAGTTCTTGCTGCAGCCAGGAAGAATACCCGGGGCAATGGGCATCGCGCCACTGTTGCTCCGGTGGGGAGCGCTTCCAACGCAGTGTTCCCGTGGCTTGAGATCAATCAGATAATCTGACTAAGATCATGATAGTTTTTACACATATATTCCGTTAACTTTACGTAGTAAGGGGAAAGCATGCAATGGGGATTGCCACGATCAGGGGGTGGCAACTTCCGAGTCTCCCAAGGTTGGCTTCGTCTTCTGCTGTTCTGAGTATATTTTCACGTGTGAATAATCTCATCCTCTCACGAACATAAGTCCTTGCAGCTCACTTATCGTATGCAACATTTGCATAGGGACTGTAGAATCCAGGGTCGGAAAGATTCAATCATGCACAATCGTAGCGAAGAATTCATACCCGCCTGTGCTGCTCGTTTCTCAGGAAACTATCACTCTGCTCTGCGGCCGAACGTCCCCCCGTCCCCGCAGCAGATATGCGTCGTCTTAGTAGCATTATAAATATGTAAATTAATACCGCACAGTATTCCAGAAAGGCTCCCGGGGAGTACCGACACGAGGGACAGCCCACGCGTAGCGCAAGCAAGGCAATCGCTTACTATGCAGGGCTGAGTAGAGGGCATGAGGCGTTGATTACAGTTATATATGTACATTATGGTATCCTTCATCATCAATTTTATGTCCGAGATGAACTCGTCGCTTGACATGAGGGTCAGTTTGATAACGACGCCTTGGCCTCGAACAACCATCTAGGTGCTCGTAGACCTCTACGATGCATGAAAGGCAGTCTAGATGGACACGAGACGCGTCACGTCGGGCCACGTACACGGACAGGCTCCTTACACCTAATGCTGGAAGCCACCAGTTCGTTCCACTATTCTGGGTTACGCGCATGACTACCTCTCCCAAGGGCCCTCGAAGACCAATAGTGGAGATGGTGCCCCATGGACAGTCAAGGTTTGGATATGTCTAAAAAGCGTGGCGCCTCGTGACCGTCCACGAGTGACCATAAGTTGAGATGGAGCAGAGAATGAGTAAAAAGAAAGAAAAACAAACGTGCAATCGATGATGAAAGAAAAACAGAGAACGCCACTCGCGTCCCGTATCTCGCTTAGGATGATGTGCGGGGCAAGTCGATTGAGGTCGTAGCGCTCTCGGTCTGGTCTTGCGCCATCGACATTGACGTTAGGATGGAATACGAGTATGGAATAAGTAGAGCATATCGATTACAAAGCTGAAACAGGACGAACTATCCGCTATGTCGGTCCGAGCCATGCGTTTGTGATAGCACAAAGGTTTACGAGAGCTGACACGGAGAGATGATCCTCACCAGATTTTTAATTATGGGCTTTTTTTTTTGGACTGGATCAGTTTCCATGTTGTCCTCTTCAGTTCGCTAGAGTGCTTCGGGGGTCGATCGGAGATGTCGAAGGGAGCAGATAAGCATTATTGTAGTGGCGCAATGATCAAAGAGAATGGGTTGTGAATTACGTGCTTCTGTCGGCTACAGGACTATACTAAGTCGCTAGCGTCTATCGGGACTGCTGCGTAGGTAGGGGAGGAGAGGGGGAGGCGCACCTCCGAGACTGCGCAGCGGCCTGGCGGATAACTCGGGAGGGGATGATGGAACATACGTGATTGTGGAGTTTGCGATAAGAGGCTGCGGGAGACAGGAGGCCGAATGAAGGAGCTACAGGTGCTGTGTGTCTCTCGTGGCACATATATTCTGCTAGCGTGGGATGTAGTGGTATTGCACAGGGTTTATGAGACCACTTCTGGACCCGCCGATGTCATTTTTGTGTCAGCATATGGGACAACTGAGAGAGAGGAGAGCACGTGGGGAGGATTCAATAGGCAGTCTCTAACCATCTGGGCGAGCCCACGATTAGAATCTGATTATTCGAATTGTACGTAAGCCACGTGACAGAATGGACGGGCGCGGAACAAATCAAAAGGAAACGGTCCTTTTTGCCCCTGTGCGGATATTCAAACTCCGATTGACGGGTGGATGCCCACGATGTCGTGTCCATCGCTCGTGGAGGACGTGCGTTGTTCGCCCTGGTGTGTTTTACGTTATGCCGTGACGTGCCGTTGATTGTCGTTTGCTCGTCCTGAGGAAGAGATGCAACGAATTCCTAGCACAACTTGGAAGATTTCATTAGCACATGCACTACTTGATTGTTCATAACACACGATCAGGTTTCTGTACAGAAACCCCCCTCAGAGCAGCAGCATAACGTGGTCTTTATTATTTGTGTAACCCAAACAAGCATCTAACCCGTTTCGTTGGGTCCCAAAAAGGCGGCCCTACTAACCCGTCGTCCGCCCGTCCTGCACCTTGTCCTCGACCTCTTCAGCTTATTTTGCTCGCTTTCCCACTAATTCCTCGCCGATTTCTTGTCATCAGCCTTGACGAGTCCGATATACTTTGCGCCCCCTCCCGACGCCGCTTAGCAGCCGCCCCGCCGCTTAGATCTGCAATCGAAAACACTAATCCCAGCTATCAACGACACAAACAACCCGTCTAGATCCTCGACTGCAACTCCCATGGACGCGTCTTCGCTCGCTCCGTGAGTCTCTGCGTTTTGCTTATTCCGCGCCTGCGACGAAATGGCTAGCTCCTCGTATTTCCGTCATCATCATCCCCAGTGAGATGAACGCGACAAGAACCCAAAACCAGGGCAAACCAATCGACGCATGGAGCTGCCACAGGCTACACACTCCTGGACGCGGTTGCTGCCTTGCCTCGTTTTGCTGCCAACCCTCCGCGTGCTTCCTGTCCAATTTCTCTTTTTCCACCTCTTTTTTTTTCATGTGGAGATCCCAGAGCCACTGACCCTTTTCGCCCACTTTTTTATTTTATTTTATTATTATTTTCCGCTTTATTTTTCACAACCTTCGTAACTCTAACCTTTGACTTGCTATTACAGGCCCCAGTTATTGGACTATTTAGACCCAGCACTCAAGTCGCTCGACGAGCATCACCTCTCCTCCGCGTCAAACTCGCCCTCGAGGCCTATGTCCCCCGTGCACAGCGCGGCTTCAACTCCTCCATTGGCAAACCAGACATCCGCAATGACCTCGTACGCGACCCCCTATTCGCTCTCAAACTCGGGCTACGCTGCCCAAGCTGCCCCCTTTCCCCGACGCGCAGAGCATTCGTTCCCGCAGTATCAAATGCATAATCAGGCCCAGATGCATAACCCCTATGTATATGGTAGCCCACAACATCCGCAACCACCCCCGCCACCAGCTGCCCAGCGATCCCGCGGTCCACCCCTCCCGACTGCGTCGATTGTCCACCCTATCCAGACCGACCTCTCCTCGACATCTGGTCCCGATACACCGCTCTCTGGTGCTGCCGGTGCCGCTCGCAAGAGGCCAAAGTACACCAGGTCTAAAAAGGGATGCCTCACTTGTCGATCCAAAAAGATCAAGTGCGACGAGCGCAAGCCCATCTGTACTCGCTGTGAACACGGCCATCGAGAGGTGAGAATATTTTGGGTCCATCCCACCGTAATCCCCCGTTCCTCTTGCTGACCTGCTTTTCCCAGTGCACATGGCCCGAGGCAGTCCTCCCACGTCGCCCCAAAGGGGCAGTCAGAGGTGTAGGGAACGAAGACGACGAAAACGAAGAAGACGACGACCAGCGCAGAATGTCCATCCCCGGGTCCGCCGTGTCGACTGGATTCCCTCCTTCGTCTACCACTTCGTCCCATTTCCCCGGTCTGGGTTCCAGCTCACCCTTTGAGCCTGCCCCGGGACGCCGAGACGTCTTCGATTCAGACGTCTATCCGGTGGGATCCCAGTTTTCGTAAGTGGCCTGCCTTTCCCTCCATCCCTGGTTTGGTTTCTTATTGACCCTCGAGTAGAATGCCCGCCATCCCTGCCACCGCGCGTTCATTCTATCCCCGAGCGCCAGCAGGCGAGTTTTATCCTCTCCCGACGCTCAATGGTCAACCTATGGAGGATTACGAGTTTCCACCGCGGCAGGCTTTCCCAACTGGTTCGGCACCTGCACGCAGTGGCTATCCAAACAACGGGTCGCTCTTCCCCGCCGGTCCCAACGTGTCTTCGTACAATAACGACCTTCGACGTGCGAGTTGGGACTCGAGTGCACCGACAGATGGCCGAAGACCGAGCTGGGATGCGCACGCCTCATCAGTCTCTTCTCCCGCCAGTTCATCCCTCGGCCTAGCCAGAGGTGGCGCAGGAAGTGGCAGTGGCCATGGTAGCGTGGCTGCAGGAAGCAGCTCTGGAAATACCGCATCAGGCGGTGGCGCCGTTGTCGTCGGTGGCCCAGGTGCAGGCGGAGCAGCTCCAGGCGGGTTGATGCTCCTTCACTCACCCGACCCACTCTCCCCATTCTTCCGATCGGTACAAGAACGTAATTTGGTGGGCAACCTTTCTTCTTTTGCTCCCCCTGCCATCCCTAGCCTTCCGCTCTCCCTGTCACCTCCTTCCTATTCGTCCTTTTCTCCCTCGTCCTCGTCCGTTGCTCCCTCTCTCTCCTACTCGACCTCGGATGCTGTTGCCGCCACCTTGCAAGGAGAGCATCTCGCCTCGTCGCCCGTCCTCAGCAGTGCATCGAGCGCAGACTTTGGCATGACCGAAACAGGGATCCCATACCGCAAGAGCTCCTTTCCTCATTTGTTCTCGCCATTAACCATGGATATGGCTCCTGTGGCCCCCGTTTCTGTTCAAGGTGTCGATCTCCATGCTCCCTCTGTCGACCTGCTTGCACTCGCAACGACGACACCCACTGCAGCAGAAGGAGGCGCAGGCGTTGCTGAATGGCTCACTGCGCCCAGCGCCCCCACCAAGGGCGTACTCGACTTGTACAGACCTTTGCCCCTACTCGACCAGGACGAGTATGTGTCATGGAACGCATGTGCATAAAACGACCCGTCCTCTCATCTCTGCCGTGGACATGCAAAGAAGATGCTCGAATCTTGCATTTTTATTTTTATAGTGTGAAAAAGGCAACTCGCTATTCACCCTCCGTCTACACTCCGCATGCTGCTGTCACGCACGCAGCCCCTCTCATTGTCACGATTCTACAATACGAAAATACACCTATCCTCATCCACGATATTCGATAATCTTATTACTCGCGACCATCACCCCCCTCCAAACCAATGGCTGGACAATTGCCATTCACAAAGTCCCTCAAGTACAATACACGACCTTAATTCGACTTTTGACATCGCTTGGACAACGTCTGTAGGGGCCAGACGTTGTCGGGCACTTTTCACAAGTCCCATCGAAAGATGGAAAACGCTTGTGGCATCCGCAGACCCACGGCTTGCGGCGACACGGTGGACAGGACAAGAGCTCCCAATGTCCACTGGTGGACATTGTGTATCCCTTGTGTCGGACTTTATGTGACGGGAGAGTAGAAGCGGAGAAAAGTGTGACAGGGGTCTATCCTTTCCTCCATCCTTTTCCCCCATTTCATCTACATTCACTCTACTCGATCATGTTCATTCTTGTTCTGCGTTTCTAGAGACTTTGACTCATCAAATTTCTTTTTTTTTTTTTCACATGTTACTCTTACTACCCGCGCCGTTGCGCTGGCGGTCTTCAAACTGTTTGGGACTATGACAAACGGGACAAATCTCGTACATAATACGGTCTGTGCTCCTTTGTTGCGCATCTTCTGGCCTTCGTACTTTATGGTGGCTGGCGGGTCCGCCGATAATTGACACTTCGGCGTCCACGGATTGTTCTGCGTCACTGACCGCATGGACCGTGCGGACCATTGGTGCATCTGTTGTATCATGCGGGTGATCACCGTTTGACCTCTTGATTTTGCGGCAAATTCCTGCGTTAATGGAAACTTGAATTTGGACCCACTTTTCTGGTGCGTATACATGTGCTCTGGTGGGCTGTGGCTGGTGCGACTCGGTCGGCATCGATTTCAACCGGTCTCTTTACATTTTTTTTTCGAATGGCTGTTCCCAAAACCACGTTTTATTGCATTGCTTTGACTTATGCTTTTTCACACGGGTGCGTCCCTCTGTCTTCGTGTACTGACCCTGTGTTTTTGGGACTCCCGCCGTCCTCCCGCGACACTCTCGGACTCGCGCTGGGCATGCCCACGCATCCGGGGTTTATCACGGGGATTTTATGTCGTGTGGGCTCTATTGCTCGACGACAATACCGGTTATGTGTCTGCTGTGTCTACAACTTTTTGTCGTTTATCACTCACAACTCTCCCGGTGAGTAATTGTGTTTGCACCCAGTTACGACATGTATAGTGATACAAACTTGTTTCGATAGCTCTGTGGCACTTGACAACACCTCACACGTCCCCTTGAACGACGACTTGGCTCCACGAATCTCGGTGCAACCACCAACTTATTCCGTTAATTAATATTACGTCTTCGTCGTCGTCACCTTCGGGTTCCTAACTATAACCCCCATGGCCGTTCCGTACGGCTCCGTTGATGGAATGTCCCCTGTCTCTCATTGGCACTATACCCAAACGTAATGGTAACCAGATCAAGCACTACTGTCATAGCTCTGCGAACATTATCATGGCCCTTCCACCCACGCCAAACCCTATTCTCGCGGTGACACTGCCCATCGTCCTCGACAAGCCGCCGGGAACGCATGCCCCAACAGAGGCACTACGATTGGCTCTCCTAGGAGTCGGAGCCGTACACATGGCCTACCTGAGCTCGCGTAGGCGAGTGTGCGTAGGAGTCGGTGCCGTAGGACCCACGGATGTCGTTTCTCCCATGGGAGTTAGTGCCGACCTGGTCGGCGGCGAGTCGGACGCAGCTAGGATGATGGGTTTAAGCTCCATGTTACGGCTTGGTGCGACAAGATGTCTCGCTGTCGCATGTCGAAACCCCGAAGAGACGAGAAGTGATGCAGCCCTCGGAGCCACAATGGCTGTCACACTCATCGACGTGAGTTTCAACGCGATCTATCCGGGTGTTTGGAAAAACTTAATTGCCTTTACAGATCTTTTCTGGTGGTCATCAATGGACGAGGAACATTAATCTTGCCAAGACGCTCATTGCGCTGCGAGGAGGACCGGCTACGATTCTCAACACCAACCTCCCCAAGCAAGCACGCTTTGGCGGTGGCGTCACAGTGTCGCCTGCTCGGTTCTGGCTCGAAATGTTGGCGGTCTACGAGACATTTGGTGAGTAGCCGAGAATGCGTCCCTGGCCTGACGATCTCACTCCTCGCACAGGCTCTCTTACTTCCGGAGAAGAGCCGACACTTCTTGCTCCTGGGAACACAGACTGGTGGTATGTGCCATCTGCGACGTTTCGATGGGCTGCGGCTCTGACAAATTGTCTCCAGGTTCGACGCTGCGGATCAGAGCTATCACGCAAATTCAATTGAGAAAGTCTTTGGTATGGCCAGATCCATGGTCACACTCATTGCAAAAGTAGGTGCCCTTTGTCACTGGTTCGCACTCCAATCCAATGCCCTCTTCTCTAGGTCAGCGCCTTTTTATGCAGAACGATTCGGGAACGGGCATTCATCACCGAGAATGAGCCTATCGAGGGTGCCTCCATCGTCCAAATCCCAGACGCCCCACCAGAAATGGAAATAGCTGCATCACCAGAGGAGGTCGTTGGTGCGACGGCCGCAACGGCAGAGGGCGAGATAATGCTACCCGATTTTGACTTTGAAAAGTTTCTCAACGATTTTGGTGCTACTCCCAGCGGGTTTGGGGAGGGCTTCATCACGGGCCCTATCCCACCTTCAGAAAGTGGAGGACCTGCTGCTGCCGCGCTGACTCCGAGATTCGATGATGGGATGAGTATGCCAACACCGGCACTCCCCGCATTGGGCATCACGATGGATTCGCTTCCGTCATCTGGAGCAGGAGAAGCGTTCACCTTTGAGGCTCCAGCAACTGAACCGGGCGAACAAGAAGGAAATCCTGCGCTGGACCAGGCCAGAATGTCCAGTCTTCGTGCATTCTTCAAGGATGCAAAGGCCCTCTATGCGGAAATTGAAAGCTGGGAGGATCCAATCGGCCATGAAAACCGGGAAGCTCGTGTCCTCGTCGGTAACAAGACGCACAAGCTAGCATTAATGGTATGGCATCTTCTATTATCGTTGGCCTTCATGTCTGACTCGCACTAGATTATCATGCTGCGCGACGTCTTTCACGTTTCGAGGATGGACCCTCGTGTACAAGCATTTGCTGCCTCTATCCTCGATTTATGCCTGGAGAGTTCGCAACAGAACATGGGCGTCGAGTGAGTATTGTCAATTTTTTTTACTCTGCTGCTGCTCACGCTTGTCAATAGTTTGACATGGCCGGTCATCATCGCTGGATGTCAAGTCGTCACCGCCAATGCTCGCATACAAGTTGCACAAGCATTCGACTCGTTTCGCAAGCAGTGCTGCTTTGAGATTGAATCAAGTGAACGCATCGTCGCCGAAGTGTGGAGAAGAGTGGACAACAACGAACCAAGGGACGACTGGCGTGCCGTCGTCGAAGATGAAAACCTGCGAATCCTGGTCCTATGACTCTTTCAATACTGTTTCATTCGGAATTTTTCTCATTTTCTGGCGCTTGTCAACTCACAACCGCCCCTGTATACCAATGGCCTTTGCTGTGTCTCCAAGCTACCCCTGTATTATTTCTGGACCTCAAATCTCAGTAGCTTTACCTCTGTGATTGGGCGTGTACACTGTTTCCATTAAACGTAAGGAATAACGATACAATGGCTGCGTAAGTAACCAGTACAAGACGAGATTTCCAAAAGTCATGACGTCGTCGTAATGAAGAGAAGGGAGAATAGGGACGTTGTCGTAACGATTATTTCCGGACTAGCAAATCATTCAGCTTGCCTACGGCAAGACCTGTATTCAGACTTTTGCGATGGTCGACCTGTGCGGTATTTTCTTTATCCTCGCTGAAGTCTGTTGCACCGATAACCCGAGATTTGTTGCCTAGGACCATGGAGTAGCGGACGCCCCTACTGTCTCCTTCCATAGAGGCCCTTGCCGTTACAGGCGTGGTGTGCAATGCGACCGCAGGCATAGAAAACCTTGTCTTTGGTGGAACACGGCCATTGTCCGTGATAAAACCTGCAGATTTCGGACTGCTTGGAGAGTCCATTAGAGACATTGCGGCAGAAGAATCGTTTGCGCCGTCAAGGGCAGCTGAGGAGCCAAGAGTTGAAGTCGTGTAGGAAGAAGATCGTAATTCACTTGGAGGACGACTGCCAGGGCGACGAGGTCGTGCAATAGGAAGAAAGTCGAGTCCTGATTGGGGGCGTTCCAACTCGCCCCGACTTTCTCTCTTGACCGGTTTAGGCAGTTCATAGTGAAGCGGCGGTGGGATGACAACAGGAGCCGACTGCTTGGGGAGCAGGAGAGATGGGGTTGATCTGGAAAAGGGCAGGGCTGTAAGTGTCCCGATGCTGGAGTAATGCGGCAAGTGACCATTCCCAACAATAGAATCCGTCTCTTCGGGAGTGTCTGGATCGAGAACTGGGAATACGGCCTCGTAGCAGGCATTGCAAGCTCGAGCAGGTTTGGATGATTCTTTGGAACCTTGTTTTGAAGAGATAAAAAATGTCTGTAGCGACGTGAGTTTACAAGCGAGATACTCGTGACGATGACACGCGTACCTTGCCTGAACAGTTGGCACAGACGCATTTACCACAAAGCCGACAGTGGTGTCTCCTCCTACGCCATCCGAAGACGCCGCCACACCGCATGCACGAGTCTGTCTTCGAGTCTGGGACCCAGATTGCAGGGACGAAATGTTCGACGTGGCGCCTCTTCTGAACTTGCTTCGACTTATCTTTCTTGCCCTTCTTGGAAGGACTTGGCGAAAGATCTTCTGGGGCATAAGGGAGGGCTTGAAGAGCCAAACGTAAATGTTGATTCGAAGTCGAAGAGGTGAGAGTAGAATTTGGGTTTGTGGTGTTCATCGTGACGAGTCGAGACTGTTTGGCCGCCCGGATGGCAGCCACCCAGGCTTCCCGTTCCTCTGCAGAGTCTGAAACCTGATCAGAAACGAGATAAATAAGCAAAGGAAAGGCTTACCGCAAAATATTGAAAAGGACATCTCTGGGGAATGAATCTCAATCTTGCCCTCCTCGCCAAACGCTGGGACGGGTACGACAATGTCCAAATCTAATAGATTTGCCTTCCCTCTGAACCACCACTTCTCCTCTTCTACAGGTCCCGACAGCTTTGCCCCCAAAGTGGTCGAGGGCATCCGACGAGGTGGTGGGGTTCCCGCCATACTCTGCCTGCGACTTGGCGAAAGCAGGGAGTGATTAGAAGCAGAGGAGATCATCGACCTCTTGAACTGGGCTTCTTCATTGCTGAAAGCACCTTCTCTTTCGCCGCCTTTTGAGAGCCAGACGAGACAGTCGGAAAACAGGAAAAACTCTCGGAGCCTCTCGACGCGCTCGGCCACTTGGAACATTGAACCGCGCCTAATGAAGCTCCGTCCGGGCTCGAGGAATAGAATGGGGAGGTTCGGCGTTGCCTTCTGAACTGCGAGGAGCTGCAGAGTTATGCTCTGCATTTGAAGGGCATTGTTCAAGGACGTATTGACTATGTAATCGTTAATATTAGAGGGCACAGTCTTCGTAAGGCGCACCCTTCTCGAGCATTCTGACCACTTCCTCTAGCCCCTTGCACTCTGGGTCCAACGGATCAGTGCAGCTGAGGAGGTCCTTGACAAGTAGGAGATACCGTGGGCATCTTTGGACCAACGTGAGAAGCCAATCACGTAATCCTAGCTTGCCACATGCGGGATCTTGCTCTCGCTCCTTGAGCCAAACGGCGAACGCAGCAGAGTAGCTCGCCGAATTAGGTGAGGTCAGATTTTGCAAAGAGGCCATGATTGTTGGATAAGCGGTCACAAATGGGGTGTACATGGAAAAGAAAGGAACGTGTTGAGCGAGCAGGGCAGCGACAGGAGGTGGTGCCTCGAAACTTGTGTGTAAAGTAAGTCCGCTTGTGCGAGGAGGAGCATTAGAAGCGAATGAACTGGGTGATTGCGGTGGGCGGACGTATTGACCAAATTGATTGTTCAGTGTCTCGTAGAAAGCTTGATGGAAGCCAAGCATGTCGACAAAGTTGGAGAAAATGGCCGACATCTGGTTTGGAGAAAGCAGTGGTCTCCCCTCGGTCGCAGCTTGGACAAGCGGATGGAGGAAATGCTACACTTTGGCTTTAGCGAACGAACCGCGCAATGTTATCAATCAAACCATACCTCGTCAATGAATTCCAACCCTTCTACATATGTCTTCTCTGTATCGAGCAACTCTCGCAACACCTTTTTCTTCTTGGCTGCTGTGCTTGCCGTCATCGCAGACGCTTTGGGCGGCGGCTGTAGACTCGAGGGCCGCGACATCGACCTACGCGGCCTTGGACTGGCATTCGAAACGGGAGATGCTACCCACGGCCCAGCGCTTTCTGTTCCTCGCTGGAAATCAGCCTGCGATTCGATCGACTGCTGTGAGGCCACTGAGACGCGATGCTCGGCCTTTTGCACGGATGCGGCGCGTAGTTGCGCAAGAGCAGCTGCAGAAGGTACAGAGGGCATGGATATGCGTCTGAATGCCTGGTGCGGGGGACGTCGCGGTGCTGGTGACGGCGAGCTGACGCTAAAGACGTCCTCAGCGGCGCCGGGAAAGTTGACAGACGATGCTAATTGGAGTTTAATCAGCATATAACGCACGAATACATGGACACCGACTCATTCTGTTCCAGTAGACGGCCACAAGCTGCTGTGGTCGGAAGCAAGCGGCTCAAGCGTCATGCTCACGCGACTTGTCTTAGACATTGTCCAAATAGAATACGTCGTTTACATACTTTCTATGTCATCTGCTGATGGAATACGTCCTTGCTGCAGAATACGCATCTCCCACTGCATGTTCTCTCTCGCCTTGTCTGCAAGATGACTTCTCCAGTAGTCCGTAAAGTAGACGTCCCCTTTACTCAGGTGTTCAAGCACCTTTGTTCTGCCTTGACAGTAGGCTTCGAGGGGATAATGTGCATACTCTTGCCGAATGTTGGATGCATATGCTGCATATGCGCCTTGTTCTCGCTGTAGAGCGTCAATGTATACACTAAAAGACATTCAATACGGCTTACACCGAGCACCTCGAGATCGAGGTCGAGGAATAACGATATGTCGCTCGGCGCGGGTGGATCTGGTATGGCATGCTTGATAGTTGCCCTAATGAGACTCGAAACATTCTCCTTGAACTGTGTACTCTACGGATGGTTAGCGCATCTCCTGATATAAGGAAGTTCCGTACAATGCCGAGGTCGCGGGTAAACTCTTCCCATGCAAGAATGCTTTGGAGCTCATTGTCACCTCCTGATGCCTTTGGATCGTATACAATGCTGTTGGGATGTCATCACCAGCATTCAAGGGTTAGTCGCCACTTGCTCGTGGAAGAAGATGGCCATCAGTACAGTTGGCCGGTCTTGGACTAGAACCGCTGGTACAGACTCCAATAAACTGCACATAGCCCTTATATGCTCTGTCGTGTGATAGTACCGCTGTGGCTCGCTGTAGGCGCCGTGGATTCTTTGCCACCACTCGTCGAGAATGTTCGGCCTTGATAGTAAGATTTCTGCGTTTGATATATTTTGGGCAGTTTCTGTGAATATTTTCTCCATTTTCTGCGAGTCCATTGTGCAAATGGGCAGGTGCACGTGTGGCGCAACTTTTCAACTCCGCCTCACTCCGTATACCCACCGCGTCGCCCGTCTGGGGCGCAGACAGCTTTCAGCAATGTCAACATACTGGCCAGATGACGCAGTAAATAACAAGAAACCGCGTTACAGCGCGGAGACGGGCACCCAACTCTTGGTCAAGAAGAGTGTGTCACCTCCAACCACTCAGGCGACGCGTTTTTTGCTGAACAAACCCGCAGATCTCGACTTGGAGAACACAAAGAATGAACTGTTCAAGCTAAAGGAACGATTGGACACGATCACACGAGAGCGCGAAGAGTTGGCAAACAAGGTGCGCAACCGACGCGCAACTGCGTCTGGCAACACTAACGACTCGTCATTTACAGTTGGCAGAAGAAACTACGCGTAGCACAAGTCTGGAGGACCAGCTGTTTCATCGGAAGGAGGTACGCCCAATCACCAGATCTCTGCCACCTCTGTACGCTAACAACACTCTGACGTGCAGGAACTTGCCCAAGAGAAACTATCACGGATCAACCTCGAGGCAGAGGTCGAGGCAGCACACCAGAAGTGCAAAGCAGTAGAACTGGAACAACGGCGTCTGGAAGAGCAACTCGCCGACCTCGGCTCACAACAGGACTCTGTTGCGTCACGCAATCGCATTGCTGCCCTTGAGAAGCGAGTTCAAGCGCTGCAGCTTGAGAATGCAAGACTCGCGAGTGGGCCCGAGCGACCACCCTCGCGCACCTCTGCCATCCCCGTCGCCACCAAGAGCAGGCACCCAAGATCCTCATCCGAGGTGAGGACAACTCAACTCGAAGATGATCTCGCTGCTCGTCGTGCCGAATTGGTGGAGGAAAAGGCCAAAGTCAAGAAGCTAGAAGCCCGAGTACGCAAAGCGGAGCAAGACGCCATTCAACTACAGAATGAGAAGATTGCAGACGCAAGAAAGGCGAAATCCCGCGTAGAAGAATTGGGCACTGCGCTAGCAGAGGCCAAAGAAGAGATTGAGCTCCTCAAGCAGGCGCAGCCGTCAGTTAATCAAAGTGACGACGTAGAAATTGGTGCCCTCAAAAGAAGACAAGCAAGCTTAGAGGACCAGCTTCGATCTACCGTGGCAGACAAGGCGGACTTGGAGCGACGTCTAGCCCGAAAGACGAGCCAATGCCAGACCTTGCAGGAGAAACTGGACGAATATATGCTTCCTTCGGCGAATGAAGAGGCTCTTCGTCAAGAGGTTGCTTCACTCAAGCAAGAACTCGCAACAATCCGGCGTGAGACTAATGTGCGTTTATCCTTCATCGAGTGGCCAGGCTTACATTACGGCAGGGTGGCCCAAACCGACGCGAGTCTCTTACGCAAATACGTTATGATCTCCAAGACCGCGAGCGTCAAGTGGCCATGTTACAGGAGAAACTGCGCCGGAGAGAATCTAGCACAGCAGATCTTGCTGCGCAGGAGGAGAAGATGATGAGACTACTCAACGAAAAGGAGAACGTCAAGGATGATTTGGCCAAAGCCAAATCGCAAATACGGTCAGTAACCTGGGAATCAGCACGATAGATATTCATTCGTACTCAGTTATCTCGAGTCTCAGCTCAGTTTCAAGCAACAAGAGCTCAAGCTTGCCCAAGCTCAAGTTCAAGAGTTCGAGGTGGCTCTCAACAAGGCCCGCTCACTCAATGCGCAACATCAAGAGCTCTATTCTCAAGTCGTTCAGTCATGCACTGAGGCAGAAAAGCGCGCAGATGACGTCGAACGAGAGCTCATCGAGCTACGTGAGGAGTATGCCAACAGATCGACTCTTGAAGAAGCCCAAGAGCGGAACGCGCAGTGGGCACGAGCACTCGACCGAGTTGCAGAGCTCGAGAATCGACTCGCTGCAAGAAATGATGGCACGTCGACCCCGCGCGCTTCAAGGGCTTCTTTGCCGCCCGTTCTCTCCTTTGCAGACGAATCTGAGATGGATTCGGTAGCTCGCCTGGTCGTTGGACTACAGCGCATCAGGGAGGAACGAGACACGCTCCGAGGAAGTGTCGAGTTCCTCAACTTTGAGCTGCGTGCCAAAGAGACGACCTATTCACAACGACTGGCAGCTGAGCAATCCAGGCTTCTTGCGCTGCTACAGCGTGCTGAGCAAGACGCCGTCGTCCTTCGAGGGGAGCTCAGCGAGATGGAAAACCGCCTCAAAGTCCAACCACCTCCGACAGATCCCCCGAACACCGTGACCGAACAGGCCAGAAGAACGCGTATGGTTGCCACGGCCGCCTTCGTCTCGCTGCAGCGAGCGCATCTACTCCTTGAATCAGAAACCGAGCAATCTGCTCTCGCTTCCCAGCAACTTGAAGCAGGACGTGCTCAGCTGCAATCCGCCTTGGACAAGGTCACCGAGTTGACGTCGCTATTGGGGGTAAAGGATCATTCCCTAGAGGAGAGTAATCAACGGTCTCTCGAGCTCTCTCGTGACCTTCGCGATAAGTCACTCGCCATTCGCGACCTGGAGGACAAACTCAGAACTCTTGAACAGTCTCGAGAGAAGCTCCAGAATCTCTTTGAGGAGCAGACTGGGACCCTCAAGAACCTGGAGCGAGAGCATAACGCTCAGACTATGCATCTGCAGCGTCTTGAGGAGGCCCATCAAATTGCGAGGGAGGAACTGTACGAAGCTAGAGTCGAAGCTGATCAGCTGCGCAATGAGCATCTTCATGACATGGCAAGGGAGGACCCAGAGGCTCAGGCGGCACTTCAGCGACATATCGAAGAGCTGGACGCCCGCATTGTTCGTCGCAACGAACAAATTGGCACACATCAAAACGAGATCAGGCGATTGGATATGAACCTTCGCATTGCAGAGAACGCTGTAGACGAAATGCGGAGCGAGTTGGAGGAGCTTCGCTCTCAGCGAGTATGGCTGGAGAGTGATGCAGAAACCGTTCGAGAAGAACGCAATCATGCTCAGAAAGAGCTCGAGGCAACCCGTACAGAGCTCGACGCCCTCCGAGCAGACTTGGAGGAGCAACAGGCACTTTTGCGGACATCTTCGTTTGAGAGACAAACAGAGGTTGCAACACTCGTGCAGATCATTGCCTCCTTCCGGCTGCGCGAACGACTGGCATCTCAGAACACACCTACACAACCACCACCAAGTAACCTCGACGAGTCATCTGCTCGCGACATCTCGCAGGTCGTCGACCCCCATCTCGAAAGGAACGAAGAGCTGGAACGCCTTCTGCACGAAGCTACCCTCCGGGGCGATGTTCTTGCTCAGCAATTGCAACGGACGACTGAGCTCGCCAAGCAGGATGTAGCGGAACGTCTTTCGACATTGGAAGAAGAAGTCGAATGCCTCACAGCAGAGGTTGAATCTCTTGAACAGCGCCTCTGCGAGTCGCAACAAGAATGTATTGAAGAGCAACGTAAGCTGGTGGAAGCGTCAGAGCAAAACGAGGTACTACTAGGGAAGATATCACAGCTGGAGAATGAAGTAACAGCAGTGACTCGAGAGCATGAAGAAAAGATGGATAGCCTCCTCGCTCAATTAGCTGAAGCCGACCAGAGTCACGAACAGCTAGAGCATCAAAGACTTGCACTGGCCACAGAGTTGGACGATTTGCAATCTAAATACTCCAGCGCAATCGCCTCGGCCATAGGGATGGAGAAGATATCTGCAGAAGTGCAACAACTAGAGATGGAAAAGGCACAACTAGAAGAACGCATCGAATCGGTCACATCGCAGCTGGAGGATCAACGTGCGGAGAACAGTAAGAGTGCTCTGCAACTGCAAGAGCTCGAGCAGGTGCGGTCCAGCCTAAGGAGCAAGCAAGAGGAACTCGACGCTGTTCGCGTTGCCCAGAGAGAGCTTAGCCAAACAAACTTTTGCCTGCAAGGAGAAAAGGCGGCTGCACAACGGCGAGCAGATGAGAACGAGATTCTTTTGGCACGGCTGGAGAAGGATATAGCGGAAGCGCAAAAACAGTACGTACTCCTTGTTTAACCTCGACACAGCACTGACCAGTCGCAGAGCCTGCGCTTTCTCCCAACTTCAATCAGAGCTGGCTTCACTGCAACAGGCTCACGCGAAGATGGAGGTTGAACTCTACGAGGCTCAACAAGCAGCATCCGCAGCTGCTAGCACGACTGTTCGTGACGCTGAAGCGAGTGCAAAGGTCATTGAGCTTGAAGAGACCATCACTCGCCTCAAGGAGGAGAATGAAGAGTTGGAGCGGGTGTTGACGATCAAGACCAAGGAAATTGATGAGTACGATGATCGTCACATCGAGTCAGTACTCCTTTCAAGTCTGATATTGATCTTTATTGACACCTTCTCAGGATTCTGAAGGAGCGCAAAAAGCTGGTCACCAAGATAGACTCGTTGACCAGAAAAATGCGTACCATGCAAAGGCAGCTAGACAGCCATGCGCCAGGATCCATGGACTCCGTCCCTATCTCCGAATCAGTTGCAAGCTCACTCGCGGCGCCGCCATCATACTTTGCCCCGAGTCACCTTCCGACTTCTTCAGCCCCTACACTTATGCAAACACCCGCACAGAGTCACACTCCCTTGGAACCTGTCAATAGTAAATCCTCTGTTCAACTCAAAGCAGTCCCTTCCGCGCAATTGCCTTCCGTACCATCAAGCGGCTCGAGGAGAGTCACCACACCTTCAGTTCCCCATCCCATTGACACCGCGGTGGCAGCATCTTCTCCAAACACTCTCTCGTCTAGCGCGCCTCCTGTCAGTGCGACACCGTCTAGTGCCCTTGGCTTCTTCCCTGTGTCTGCATCAGCGCCCGCTATGCAGCCTGCTCCTTCACACACGTCCACTACTGGGACACCACCTCCTGTTGCCTTGCCATCTTCTCAGTCTAGCTCTACGCGCAAGCGACGGATGCCAGAGGATTTCGACCCCAAGCCAGAGGACAGCTATCCCCCTATGCCGGTACTCAGCACTACTACCCCTGCACGGCTGAGAAAAGTCTTACGAGAAGGGCCACTCCCTCGAACAGGCTTTACTCCCAGTCGGTCACGCAAGAATAGCGCCGTAGCAGCCATTGATCAAGAACTGGCAAATGCTGCCGCTGCCGCAGCAGCGAGTTTGAAGCTTACCGAGGCTTTGCAAGATGCTTCCAATATGCAGCCCAAGAGAGCTGCCTCTCGGGAGAGAGCTGCATTGCTCCCACAGTCCTCCGCAAAGTCGGAGGTTAGCAACGCTTCTCACAGGACCGGCTCAAGTGTCGTCTCGGACATCACAAATGCGCCCCGTCCAATGCGTAGCCTTCCATCGTCGATGGCGACAACGTCGTTGTCATCTGCAAAGTCGAGCACCACGACCAGTGCGCCCAAGTTGCGGACTGGTTGGTTCAACCATTCTGGCAAGACTTCCAGCGCGTCTAGCGGTACTGGTCATACCAATACCACCACAAGACGAACAACACGTGTGGCACTGGATACAAGCCCCAAGCTTGGGTCTGGCGTTATGCCGAGACGATTATACGTTCCACCTACATTCTCCAAAGATCTCGCATAGGCTCGCATGTATGATTTCTTGGCTCCTATGACTTGGACAGTACATTCTCTCGACTATCTGTAGCCCTTTTATGACTTGCAATCGTACTTATTCAAGCTCGCATTGTGAAGCCTGAGGATTGTGATGTGAAAATACATGGATAAAAGTGTAGTCGTACAGATGAACATCTCTAGTCCTTCGGGAATGTTAGCGACTGCCAACCACATGAACGATATACGTACCCAAAGCTTTATGAGGCCGTCCCAACTGGCGGTAACGACTTTACTCGTTTCATGTTGTAACCATTCGTGAGCAATGACGACCTTGGTGTGACATCGTAGCTTGCTCTTGATGCGACATGTCTTCCAATCCCAAAACACCATATTTCCTTCCGCATCCCCGCTCGATATCCACTTGCCGTCTGGTGAAAAGCCGATTTGGCATGCATATCCGGCCACCGAATGCCCCGCAAATCTCTTCTTCCTGTTCTGTCGGAAATTGTCCGCGTTATACAAAAGGATCTGGTTATCCAGAGATTGGGCAGCAAATACTTTCTCTGTACCGACATATTAGCACCGCCGGCGGTTTCGAGGAAAAGCACGTACTGTTTGGATGCAGGGTCACGGCAGGCATCGAGTGCATATATGGCTCAGCGATATACTTGATGACGACGGGAATGTCAAAGTCCCAAGCACGGATAGTTTTATCGTCCGATGTTGTCACAAAGCGTCTGTTCTCGTCCACAAAGGTGATGGTATTGACGGGACCCAGGTGCTGATCGTATTCTTGGGTGATGTCGCCGGAATCAATGTCGTACTGATGATGATTAGAGGAACTTTCGCTGAAAGCAGGCTCAACGTACCTGGATGATTTTCTTGTCCATCATACCCGCAAGGAAGATATTTTGCTTATCTTCGTCAGGATGGAATCGCAAAACGTGTGCCATTTTGCCGTTGGAAAAGTTTTTGAGACACTTGCCCGTCTCGGTATCCCAGAGCTTGATGTAGCGATCAAATCCACAGCTCAAGAAGCGCCGTCCGTCGTTGGAGAACGTCACATCCTTTACGGCTCGACCATGTCCTAAGAAGGTGCGCAGGCAATTTCCTTCATTATACACGTCCCATAGCTACAGAGCGTCAGGACCAGCGACGTAGAAGGAGAGCAACTCACCTTTATTTTGTTATCCATACTTCCACTAAGCAGGAGATGCGATGTTTGAGGGAACAATCGGATGACGGAAACACCACCAGTGTGGCCGGTCCAGGTGTGAACACAAGCTTTTGGAATAAAAGTCTCCTGGGAGCCAGCCTCCTGAGACAATTGCGGTGCGACAGAGTATGGCGGATGCATGTACGTTCGTCCCTGGTAGTCGGTGAGTGATTTGCCGTGGAATATTGTCGATTCGTTTCCTGGTCCAACTTTTGGCATTCTGCGCTTTGAAGCACTGGGAACAATCGTCGTCGCTTCTGGTTCCGGTTCCGGCTCTGGCTCTGCATTGTCGTCCCAGCCTTCTGGCAATTCGGGAGCTTCGTCGTCTCCTTCCCATTTTGCCCAGGGTCCTTGATACGCCCCTTCTCCCTCTACAATCTCCAAGTCGCCTCGTTCACCGCGTTTTCTCTTCTTCTCCCGACGCTCTGCCTTTGTCGGGCGGAGCATGGATAGGGTGGCAAAGTTGTTTTTTGTCCAGCTTCGAGAGACCCCACGACAGGGGCTGCATTTGGATCTTCTGATGGGTTGACAGAGTATCCGAGTATTGCGTGAGTAAGATGCTGCTGGCGAAACGCGTCTTCGTCCATGACAAGCTCTTCTACGTGCCCAGAGAGTAGATTTTGATTCTGTACAACCTTTTTGTCACTAAAGGGGTTCTCTGGGCCAACAATTGGCTTCAGCATGTCTTCGTGCGTGATGTTTACAAGCATTTGAGTGTCTGTTGGTCGGGCAACGAGAGACGTCTGATGGAGTGGGTCCTATTTTTGAATGTGATTAGTGAGCTCTATATACTATTCCACAAAGTACTCACCTCTGCGAGGACGTCTGGAGCGGCGACGACTTTGAGCGAAGGGCCGTCTAGCTTCATTCGCTTTGCAGGATGCTCGTCTGCGTCTGCGATTCCGAATGGATTTGAGGATGCATTGACGCGGTCATCTTCGTCCGACGAGTAACCCGATACCAAAGCCATGGTTGGAGTCCAAAATGTTGCAAGCGCTGCGCACCAACAACTTGACTACGACCATTGTCTGTCTGGATTCACCAATTTGCTTCAATTCTCTGATAGTCTTCTGTATAAGACAAATCTCTCTTCTTGCACGCTCTCCGCAGCGGGACACGCAATAACGCCAGCAATGCGTGCTCTCTACGCCTTTGGCCTCGTCGTCGCAGGCGTTCTCTCTCCATCATGGCACGCAGAACAGCCATCAAGTCTCTCACCGTCACTTTGGAGCTTTCTACCTCGTCTTGGTGCTCGTGCATCCATGCCAGTGCTAACTACAAACCACTTTCAAAATATGCCAGCCCGGATATACTACTTTGACGACACGCCAGTTCGTGCTTGCTTACTTGCTTATTTCATAGCTGCAAGTGGCTAATAGATTGCTTCTTTTCACAGAGTCTGCTATATTTTGACGGAACCAAAGGCGACGTGTATCTATCAGCCGATGAAGGCAAAAGCTGGAAGCTCGTCGATGGTGTACCCCGGCATAGTGCTGCTCAGCTCATTGAGCACCCTTTTGACAACCGAGTGGCACGTAATTACAGAGTCACAATCGTCCTGAACCTAATTGAACCTCTAGGCATTCATCTTAACCAAGGAAACCAAACACTATAGAACAGGAGATCATGGAAAGACTTGGCGAAGCTTCGATATCCCACTCATGCCAGCGTGGACGGCTACCCCTCTTGCTTTTCACGCTGATAAGAACAAGGCGGGATACATTCTATACCAAGGTATCAAATGTGACAAGGCTGGCATCTTTGGTGCTGGAAATTGCCACGAGGAGGTAAGCGACTCTTGTGGAAAGCGTCTCCAAAGCCTAACTTCGTCTAGACCTGGTATACAAAGGACGCATTCTCGGACAAACCCAAGCTGCTGATGAGTGGGACCTCGAAATGCATATTTGCACACTCGTCCAAAGACTTCAAGCACGACGAGCATTCCGATATGATCTTCTGCCAGGCTTCCGAAACTGGATCAGAGAATGGACAAGCTGTAGAAGCAACTCGTCTGCTGGCTTCTAATGACTTCTTCGGCGACGATCGAAGAGTCATCGACTTTGGTATCGGCAGTCGATTGAGTCGAGGGGTCATGGCAATGGGTGTCGTCTCCAAATTCCTGGTTGTCGCCATGCAGGATCTTACAGAAGGCTCCCAAGGCGAGATGGTGCTCTATGTCACTGTCGATGCAAAGAACTGGGCAAAGGCACATTTCCCTCATGCATCCAGCTCGAAATTGCATGAAAACTCGTACACGATTGTCGAAAGCACGACGCACTCCTTGGCTATTGACGTGCAATCTCACTTGACCCGCGGAATCGGTACGCTCTTTGTTTCCAACTCCAACGGCACCTATTTCGTCGAGTCACTCAAAGACACTCACCGTTCAAACTTTGGGTATGTCGACTTTGAAAACCTGGTCAATATCGAGGGTGTGGGACTGGCGAACTACGTCCAGAATGCGCGAGAAGTGGATGGTGGGATGGCGGCTATGATGAAGCTCAAGACTGTCATCACGTACGACGATGGTTCGTCGTGGTCTCCTATTAAGGCACCCAGTCGGGACATGCACCAAAAGCAATACGCATGCGACACCAGCGACGTCAAGAGATGTTCTCTTCACCTGCACTCCGTCTCGAATACACACAATATCGGTCGGATCTTTTCGTCCACTGCACCCGGCTTTGTGATGGGCGTAGGCTCGGTCTCGGAGTATCTCTACACCTATAGAGACTCTGACACATACCTGAGTACGGATGCAGGGCATTCGTGGAAACAAATTCGCCATAGTCCTCACAAGTACGAGTTTGGCGATCAAGGCAATATCATCGTCATTGTGAAGGATGAAGACTTTGTGGACCACTTTCGCTTCTCGATTGACTCTGGAGAAACTTGGTCAGTACTTATTATCTCTATATGGAGTATTCTTACACTCGCCTAGGCGAAAGATGGACCTTGGTGCGAGGATACAGCCCATCATCCTCACGACCATCCCCGATTCTACGTCGCAAAAATTTATCCTTCTCGGTGCTCTTGGACGCAAGGAACAAGCCGCCGACAAGCGCTATGCAATGATTCATCTCGATTTTGCCGGCATGCGTCCCAGAAAATGCAAGCCCGAAGATTTGGAAAAGTGGTACGCCCGGGGTCACAGCGGACACGAATGCATCATGGGTCACAAAGTAATGCAGCCAATGTTTATGCAGCTCGTGCACTGACCATATTTAGCAATGGTTCTGGAGGAGAAAGAAGGGAGCTGATTGCTATATCGGCGACAAATTCAAGGACCCCGAGTCGCATTCTGAGCACTGCCTCTGCACGGATGCAGACTACGAATGGTCAGTTTGTTTTTATCAGCAGGCACATCTGACAGCGATTACAGTGATTATAATTACGTTCGCCAGGGAGATGAATGCGTTCCTATGGGCCCTGAGCCAATTCCAGAGGGAGTATGCGTCGGGGATGCTCCAAATCAAACCTACATGGGGTCATCTGGCTATCGATTGATTCCTGGGAACACCTGCAAAAAGGAAGGAGGCGTGATAAAGGACGAACGAGTGAAAAAGGATTGTGACAAGGGTGCGTATGCCAAAATGCTTCGTATCTAGAGGGTACTTATAGGCCATCTAGCTCAACCTTCGGAGGGATCGGTCGTTCACCAAACTGTAAGCATTCCGGTTGTGATCGGGACCTGTTTTGAAAATTGGCACAGTTCGAATTCCCGTCATCTGTGATGTCGCACGCCTATTTCCGAAAATCCAAGGTATATTGCTTCCAGGCTAGAGGAACTGTACTAACGACTGCTCGTAGACGATCCTGGCACAACTCAACGACGCATCCATTTGGCAGAGCAGCAACGAGGGCTATACCTGGAAGCGGCTTTATCCAGATGAAAGGCTACTCACCTTTTATATGCATACATACGCCGACGACCGCGCCTACCTATTTACAGCAACGAATCGATACTACTACACGACTGACGGAGGCCGATCGTGGAACCCTGCCGAGGCACCAGCTCCTCCAAATCATCTAGACGTTCAGCTGCTCACATTCAATCCCGTTAACTCTGACTACTTGATTTGGTCGGGCCAAGTGGACTGCGACGAAAACGGCAACCAGGCAAACTGCAGAGTAGAATCGTACTATTCGACCGACCATGGACGCAGGTGGACCTTTGTGGAGAAATATGTCAAAAAGTGTGGGTTCACGAGAGATTCGGCCTTTAAAGTGGACCAAAGCTCGATTCTCTGCGAAAGCTATCGAGACAAGAAGGGCTCGCAAAGGACGTTCACCTCTGGGAACCCACTCGAGCTCGTCATTGGGTCCGATTTCTATCGCAAAAAGGAGAAATTGTTCGACAATATCGTTGGATACGCAACTTTCTCAGAGTATCTACTTGTTGCAGAAATTACGCCCTCCACCAACGCATTGGATCTTCAAGTATCACTAAACGGCAACAAGTTTGCAAACGGCCTCTTCCCACCTGACATGCGACTTGACAATAGGGTGCGCCTTGAAATGAACCTCTGAAACCGCTAATTTGCTACAGGCCTATACAATTCTTGAGTCTACCACAGACGCGGTGTTCTTGCATGTCACCATGTCGAGCATACGGGGAGCCGAGTGGGGCAACTTGCTCAAGTCCAACTCAAACGGAACCTACTATGGCTTAGCGCTTGCTCATGTCAACCGTAATACTCCAGGATATGTCGATTACGAAAAGATGATCGGCATTGATGGTGTCATCTTGGCCAATATTGTCGCTAACCCGGAGGAAGCAGGGTACACCCTCCGAAAAAAGCTCCAGACTCGCATCAGTCACAACGACGGAGGGTCATGGGAACGCCTGAACCCTCCACTCCGTGATTCGACAGGCGCAGAGTACCCATGCAAAGACACGAAATGCTCGTTACATATCCACGGCTATACCGAGCGTGCAGACCCACGTACTACGTATTCAAGTCCATCTGTGGTCGGATTGATGCTGGCAGTGGGTAATGTTGGCGAAGAGCTTGCGCCGTACCGTGACTCGGACACGTTCCTCACCCGTGATGCCGGTTTGACATGGGAGGAGGTGCATAAAGATGCACACATGTGGGAATTTGGTGACTCTGGCTCAATTCTCGTCATCGTCAACGACGAAGAAGCGACGGATCACGTGCAGTATACCACCGACGAGGGGCTACACTGGAAGGAGTACAACTTCGGCATTCGGATACGCGTGATCAGTCTATCGACTGTCCCAGCGGACAATAGCCGCAAGTTTATCCTGATCGGATACGAGCCTAGGGAACGCAGCAAGAGCGTAGTCATTCACCTCGACTTTACAGCCCTGACGCACAAAAAATGTGAGGACACTCTTGTAATTGCTTCTCAGCTGACTTTTTATATAGGTCGCCTCAACCTACAGGATCCGGCTCACGACGACTTTGAGCTTTGGAGCCCAAGTGAAGTCCGCACAGAGCAATGCTTGTTCGGCGCCAAGGTACGTCAATTAGCCAGGGAAACGTCGGTAATTCACAAGGCATAGACATGGTACTATCGACGTACACGCACTGCAAACTGCTACGTTGGTGAACTTGATAGGCCCAAGGCAGAAATACGTGAAAAGTGTCAATGCACTGAAGTTGACTTCGAATGGTATGTATGAATCCTTCGTCTATTCTATACTCATGGTCTATGTAGCGAGTATAATCATATACGCAATGCAACAGGTGAATGCGTCCTCGCCCCGGGGGCACTCGCGCTACCCAACGACGACACGTGCTCAGACGACAATGATGGCTACTGGTATGAGCGTACAGCATATCGCAAGATCCCAAAGTCCGCTTGTGAAGGAGGGCGCCGTCTTGACAGGGGAGAGTCCCATGTGTGCCCTGGGTTCCGGGCTCACGGTTCGCTGTTTTGGTGGACGATCTTTTTCATTCCGTTTGGATTTACTGCTCTGGTGGCGTTTTGGTACTACAGACGTGGTGGATATCGCAGAGGGTGCGTTGGAATTTTTGCTCTAGTCGGCCTCGGTATACTGATATTCGTACAGAGCGATTCGCTTGCCGGACGCATACACGTTTTCAGACTCTGGCCCACTGGCGACTCTCGCCTCGATTCCTTGGTTCATTGTGGGCGTTGCGGGAGTGGTGTGGAGTTATGTCGAGTCGATCCCATTCTTCCCTCGTACAAAAATATTCAGATCGAGGAGAGGGTATCGACACGTCGCAGTGGACGAGGATGCACAGATACTGCGATTTGAAGACGAAGATTAGCGACCTCGATTCTCAGTTATCGTTCGCGTAGATGATCACTATGCTTTTGGGCATAGATAGATTGTGTAATCACCCGCTCTGGATTGTAATTTACGTCTGCGTTCTATATTGGACAAGAGGCGCCAAGGCGCGGAGGATCGAGCCTTTACGCCCCGACCGCTACACACGTTTATCTCGAGATTGGCATGGGTGAGGAAATCAGTGCAGATCAATGCACTCAAGGACTGAGAGAAACTGACAATGGGTTTATCGGATAGCGGACAATTCTACAGTCGTCTTCAGCGAGGAGCACCCACCTACGGCCAGGGCAATTGAGGCCTTTAAGGAGGTAGAGAAGAAGATCAAGTCTGAGATCATCGCGAGCAGGCGAAGATGGGATGGACATGAGCCTAGGTTAGTTGCGGCTCTTTGATCCTCCGGAAGATCATTCGACGCGTCGTGACGAGTTCCATCAATTCTTTATTATCTAATAGGCCAAATTGATATACTGATAACATTGTAGGATGTGGTCTCGTGCGGCTGGCGTATCCGATACGGATCTGACCAAGTTTGACGTTATCACGGATCTTGTTTCGGTTCGTGCAGGTCCAACGACCTATGGAGTCATTATTCTTGGCAAGATCCGCCTCCCCGCTATCAACGACGACCAAGGCGAGGGATTCATCCATGTTCGCATCCATGATCCCCCGAACCAGGTAAATTCAATGACTGGACAGCGTGAGATCAAATTAGCTCATTATATGTACAGGGCACGGAGGATGTTGTATTCCACTCCTTGTTCACCGATGAGGGAAAGAGAGATGCGGATGGCAAGGCAGAACGCTACGTTGCGATCCAAACCAACGACGTTCCCCTCGAATTTTTCAATGAATAATGGATGGATTGAAGAATGTATCCAAAACGTTGAACACAAGCGTTTCTTTTGTCTGCGCCGGTGCATCGCCATCGCCGCTCATATCGCCCGCGTCTATTCTTGTCCATCTCACACTTTGGACTCTGCGTCACGGATGGCAAACCTTCTAAACAGCCTGAGTTCTGCTGCACATAATGTAAAGGCCAAGTTGAGCTCAAAACGCGACGAAGAGGTGCTCCAAGCGCAGCGTCGGTTGATGGACCATGGCGATGAGGCCTTTGTCGACGTTTCTATACGCTTCATTGGGGCTTCCGGCATGTATAATCCCTCACAATGTCTGATTTCTGATCAAAGATAGGCCTCCCAAAGATGGACATTGTTGGGAGCTGTGACCCCTTCTTTGTCGCGAATATCGATGACAAGATCAAGTTTATATCATCCGTGAAATCTGACACGCTTAATCCTGTCTGGAATGAGCGTTGGTGTGTCAAGAATGTGCCCAAGCATGCGCTTCTGGAGATATCGTTCTTTGACAAGGACGAGGGCACGCCAACGAACGACTATATCGGCAAGGTACTATCTAGGGACTATATTATGTGAAGCTCAAAGTTCCCCAGCTCAAGACAAGTGTCGAACCGGGCACCCGAGAGCTAGAGATCGTCGGCCCTGTCTTCAAGCTCCGCAAAGAGCGCGGCACATTCTGGCTCGAGGCAAGTTCTCTTGGCACTCCTGCACAAACTCTTACATCAATTACTTGTCGTTCCTTTACACCCATTAGATTCAATCAAAGCCGTCCGAAGACCCTGAGGCCAAGGAGTTTAGCTATGATTTTGCTGGACCAATCCGCTACAGCAGACATACCTCTCCTACAGCTGGACGGCTCACGAATCTCAACGAAGCACGTCTGTATGCTACATGGAAAATGTACCTCAAGGACATCCATCGTGTCTTTGGAGACACCCAACAACACTGGAACACTAAATACAAGGCCGCACAAACAATCTTCCAAGGACCCTCATCTCTCCCCGTTCGACAGGGCATTCGTGCTGCGCATGACATCCTCTACTCCCGTGCAGCAGCGAATGGGTTCGGTGTGATTGAAAGCCCGGGCGATATCCTCTCCATCTTACACAGTGGAGGCGCCTCGCGCCCAAATCAGCACCAGACCGAGCAACAGGTTGCCCTCTCACATCGCATCAAGCCCGCGATTTATACCTATGTTCTCGCTATGGACGACAACTCGCTGCGGTTTTCGGAAACCGGAGCCGCGTTCTTCGTTGATTTCGCGAGCAAGCATGCACTGCACTCAAAGTGCGCGAGGCAAGTATGGTACTCGGGCGAGTTCCATCCTCGACCTGAAGGAGGATGGGACAAATTTAGCGACGACAAGGGCGACCTCGATGTCAACTGGGAACTCGTCATCGATAACAATTCGGGAACATATGCTCCCGATAAGGAGCTCTTGCCCAAACTCAAGGAGTTGCTAGAACGAAACTTCCCCGGATTCAATATCCTCGCGTTAGATAGGGAAGACGAGGTTCGTTGTCAGAATGAGACTTATTTTGTGCTCACGCGTTCATTAGGAACTCAAACGTAGTGTCAAGGCGTGTCGCGAATATGCACTGGGTAAACGTGGGGTTACAGAGGACGAACTGGAACCTACGCTCAGTCCGGGCGAGGCCCCTCTTGCTGGTCGTGTGTGGGAGTTCTGGAAACCTAGGAAGAGCGGAGAGAAGGAGGACGGTGCCACGGATGACGGAACAGAAGCAACTTCCGGAGATCATGAACCAGTTGGTGATGGACAAGGCGATCTCAGCATGGAAGAGAGCAAGAAATAGAAACATATGCCAGCTCTTTAACAGGATATCGCGCGACTTCAGCTTTCGAATCATGGATCTGGGATACACGAGTAATTAGTACAATACTTTGCTTAGACGCTGTATGCTGTTCAGAAGAATATCGCCTTGTTTGACCACCGCCTCATATCTTGCACTCTTCGTCGACGGTCTATTCGTCTCCACGACACCGTGAACGCGGTCAATGACACAGTTGAGTCGGCCAGATGAGATGAAATGGACGAGTTCCCTATACATTCGTCAGTATCACAGGCGCAGAATCACGGATTACGTACTCGTCGATCCATTCCGGACTCACACCAAATGCCCTCGCAAGGCTCTCCAGAGTCAAGCTCTTATAGCTCTCCAATAATTGTGCATACGCCTTTACGCGAAGCTCCCGCACGAACCATTTGCGATGACTGTGCAAGAGTCTGCTGGTTCGAATCTCCTCTTCCTCTACGACGGCAAGGCTACGGAAGAACTTGTCGTACTGACTCTCGCATAAACTGCTCGCCAGTACACTGACGGCTTCTGGGATTTCGGCCAATGTTGACTGGACTTCGGGCGATTTGAGTACTTTTTGGAGCTCCGTACGCGTCGAAGCGAGTGTTGCACAGATGAGGGTGAGGGAAATAAAGGAAGGGAGCGGCAAGAGTTCAGTGGCAGTAAACGTAGGGAGTGAATCGATGAGGAGTGTGCTTGCAGGCTGGAAGGAGCGCACGCTCAAAAGATGATAGGCCTTGTAGACTTTGAGGCGATTGCGTCGGTCCCAATCTCCTCCCTTCTGGATGAACTCTTCCGCTTTTTCGAGGTATTCCTTGATGAGCTCCGGGAGGGCAAAGAAGTAGCCAATGCGAACAAGCGTAAGTGCAATGTCTATCCTAGATCCGACACCTGCTGTCTTCTCTAATGCAGTCTTTTGCGCCTCGATGGCTTTGTCCTGTTCACCTGATTTAGTCCACGCATACACGGTGGAAGCAAGTCTACCTTCTCGCCAATGCGTGTAAGATACATGGCTTTCGCTCTCCATGCTTCACCAATCTCGCTTTCGCCTTCAGTCTTCTCTGCTTCTTGAATCTTTTCCTCGAGCTCGTTCAACGTTTTTGCATTCTGAGCATCCAACTCTGCCAATAGAGTATCATCTCTCCTTCCAAGTGGCCCAGCTTCCAACTGTGCGCGTGCAAGACGCGGCGATTGAGGGATGCGCGGGGAAGCGAGGGGATTCATCGTGATTGTAGGTGTTTCGTATAACGAGCGGTAATACGGACCCATCTCATCCTCCTTGATTGCAGCAAGCAACGAGGCTTGAGACGCATTGTGAACGTGGGCGAGCGACGGCGTCAGCAATCGATAGGAAAGCTCTGCGACGCTGAGATTTGGGTATGCTGGGATGACTTCGTCTGCCATTTAAGCGTTATAATCCCAATTTGTTGATAAAATGGCTTTGTTTTCACAAACTGGACCAGAGGTGACGGACAAAGATGGCTTGCGCGTCCTGCGACCAAACAAACGCGTCTTGGACTCGGAGTCGACTTGAAGGATTGACAGGAATGGCTACACAGACATCCCAACGACTTTCTGAAGCACTCAGCGTGCGCTCGTCAAATCCCCGACAAGCAGAAGCAGTGTTTAAGCAGATCTTGGAGACTAGAGCAGGTGCGGCTATTCGCATACTGTATATCATGGATCACTCATCTCACCGTTATTACAGGAGATAATGATGCTGATGCTGTTCGAGATCAAGAAACTGCGCTTGTCACGCTTGGTGAACTCTACCGCGATGAAGGGTGAGGCTTGTACCTAGCATCGATCGAGTCTCTATTTAACAATCATCTAGAAACGCAGTAGAACTCGAGAAGCTCATCCTTGTTGCTCGGGAGATGACCTCGACCATGGCAAAGGCAAAGACGGCAAAGCTCATTCTTCAACTCGTCAATCTTTTTTCGACTCTACCGTCTTCAGCGTCCAAGGGTGCATCAACTCCCACTTTGCAATCCGTCCTCACTTCCTCCATTGACTGGGCGCGAAGTACACACCGACTCTTCCTTGCTCAATCACTATCCTTGCGTCTCGCAAGTGCACATCTAAGCGCCCACTCTTACCGTCCCGCCCTTAGCCTCATCAATACCTTGCTTCCAGAGCTCAAGCGCTTGGATGACAAGCTTCTCCTCGCCGAGGTTCACTTGCTGGAATCGAGAGTATACCAGTCTCTCAAGAATATTCCCAAATCTAAAGCCGCCCTTACAAGCGCGAGAACTGCTGCCAATGCGATATATTGTCCACCAAGTGTGCAGGCAAGACTCGATGTCCAAAGCGGTATCCTACATGCAGAGGAGGGTGATTGGAAGACGAGCTACTCGTACTTCTTCGAAGCGTTCGAAGGGTTGTCTAATCTTGTTGAAAACGACCGTAGTCGCTCAACAAGCACGTCGAGCTCCAACGAAATGGGTGTTGCTGGTGCTGGTATAGGCGCACTAACTGCATTAAAATACATGCTCCTGTGCAAGATCATGATGAACCTGGTACGTCTCCCTTATCATCTCTAGCCCAATTATCTCACTCTTATTCAGCCAGAGGATGTAACGACTCTTCTATCCGGCAAGCTTGCGGCAAAGCACTCGAGTCACCGAGAAGTGGAGAGCATGAAAGCTGTTGCCCGGGCGCATGCTAATCGCAACCTCCGGGAGTTTCGTGCAGCTCTAAAAGACTACAAGGAAGGCGAGTGCGAGTTGGCCAAACTGACTCGACGCTAATGTCTTTGGCAGAATTCTCCCTTGACCCAATCATCCGACAGCACCTATCCGCACTCTTCGATCGTCTTCTCGAGCAGAACCTTTTGCGTATCGTGGAACCATACTCAGTCGTCGAGATCGCACATGTCGCCAAGGTTGTCGATCAAGGTATCCAGCAAGTGGAGACAAAGTGTGCCTCAATCTTTCGATTGACCTCGATCTGACGGTTGGCAGACTATCTCAAATGATTCTTGACAAGGTTCTAGATGGTGTGCTTGACCAAGGACGTGGCTGCCTCCTTTTGTTCGACCAAGCAGATGACGACGAAGGGTACGCGGATGCGATCAAGATGATTGACGAAGTTGGCAAGGTTGTCGAGAGCTTATACGGCAAGGTATGACCTCTGGTTTATCATGCTTTACAGCCCTAATTGTTGACAGGCGATGACCATTGCGTGACCGAATATTCTGTACAACCGCATAAACTTACTACATAAATTCTCACCAAACGACGGTCTCTGGAGCGCAAGCTCAAAAATTAGCTTGAAGGCAATGTGACCTTTCTCCATTGTGTATCCCTTCTCGTGAACAAGTACGCCTCCGACTTTGTCCATCCTTTGGGCAGCGTCGGCACAAGATTGGTCACCTATTCAAACGATGAGATGCCACTTTCCCCTCTCCTTTAGACGTACCATGTATGTCTTACCCCGGACAATGGCATTTGGCTCCATCTCTTCCGCGTTCCAAAGGGTGACTTGAGCCTTTCGAACGCCTCGCTTGGGAGAAGCAACAGCGTCTTGAATCTGCAGAACTCGCATCGAACGAACATTGCGTGCTGGGAAGGACGACTGGATTGTCATGAGCAGGTGATTGCAAGTAGTGCAATAGACTCACTGTGAGTTCAGCCTCAATCTCCGCACTAAGGCTCTCCTGCTTCTTCGACAATCGCTCTTGCAGCGCAAGTGCCGCCCATGCCGCGTCAAGAGGCGATAAAGATTTGACCACTGACTTGGGATTGTCCGAGTCTTCAATGTCGTCAAGGACCGAGTCAATAGCCTCGGGAGGTGAGCCTGCAGGGAATGAGTCATTGAAAAATGTATAACAAATCTATTCACCTTGTGAAGCTCGAGCACGCGACATTGAAGAGCCAGCCATGTTCTCCAAATAGTCGATCGTCGCTTGTATCCGCTCCATTTGCTTGCAAGCATCCTCCTTCAGTCTTGACTCTTCATCAGATCTTTGTTTCTACGATTTGCGTCATTCCAAAGCCAACGGAAGCAAGTAATTACGCACCATCCATCGAGTTCGTTCGGCTCTTTCCTCGTTCTCATCACGAGTAATCCTCTCTTTGCCGGGTTCCATCTCTATGAAAGCAAGGGGAAGCGCTTCTTTGACGGTAACAAACATTAATGGGACAACACCGCCATCGTGAGTTAAGCTGTTGAGAGTTGGAATCGACGGTCGGCCCTTGAACCCAAGTTTGGAGTGCCACGGAGCTAGATGTGTGCCATTGCCAGTAATGATGATAGAAGATGAGTTGAACGATTTGAGAACGTCGTCGGCATCTTTTCGATGGGCATCCAGCTACAATAGCGTGTGAGAGGAGCCAAATGTGACCATTGTTGACGTACTTTGGCTCCGATAACCTCCAGCTTGGTGCCTATTCGAATCCTTTGTCGCTTTACAGCACGTCCGATTGCTACGTCGATTTGCGCGCGAATTTTGTACCATCCATCTGTTAGAACCAACTCAGTCGGTAGCGCATCACCATGATCGTGGTTTGGCCACGCAATTTCATAAACACAGAGAATCATCACAGCATTGGGACTCGCGTCTCGCTCCTGGATAAGACGGATGGCGGGTCGTTGGCATCTGTTGATTTCTCGCTCATAACTGCATGGAGTCATGAATAGGATATAGGGAAAATGAAGCGAAACGTACCGGTATAGCAACTGGTTGAGTACCTCACGGAATGACCATCGTTCCGCTTGGGTTGCTGGCCACATGAGTACGGTATTCGCGAGCTTCCAAATGATCAACGACCAATGATTTTGCAGCCATTCCCTCTCAAGTAGTGTGCAACCTGCTTTTTTGAGTGCCTCAGAAGCGGCTTCAACACCTTTACGTTCTCCATCCTCCTCAAAAGCCCAGTAGAGTGCATTCCAAGGTTCTATATCTCCAACAGCAGAGTGGCTGCAAGGAGGAAATTCTCAGAGAAGCCGGTATGAATAAGGGTATTGCTCACATTCCTTGCTCTTCTGCGTCTTTGACTGAACGCTTCTTGACAGGGGCGAGCTCACAAAGTGACTGGCGTTTTTCAGGAGGATCTATGACTTCGTCAGCTCTTCGTAGTGATTAATGTTGAAGGCGTACTAAGGTCAAAGACTGAATGAGGTAGTAGTACAACCCTTCTACGTATTGGAGGCCGATACTGCTCCTTCTCCAAGACTTTAGAGGTCGAAGACTTCGAATCAGTAGCATTCAGTGCAGGCTTGGGTGTCATGGCTTTCGATGGCTCGGCAACAACTCCTTGCTTCCATGGTGTGGCAAACTTTGACCTGAGTGATCCCCGAGGTCGATTGCGCATTCCCAAATGTTTCGGGGCGACTGAAATAGGTGACTCCAACGCTGATCTAGCACCCACCGTCCGCTGAGGGGTGACAGAAGTACTTGGAGCTGTTACGACTACCCGCTTCGGTTCAATAAAGTTTGGCGCAGATTGAGGAGATCCAGTATTATTGAAAGGAGCGAGGATAGTTGATTGTGGCGTAGCTTGCTGCGGCTGCTCGTCTTTTGACTGCTCTACGGGCTGTGATTGCACGGGAAGAGGTTTCGATGTGGGAAGAGGTCTGGGTGTGGCTGGAATCTCTTTGTGCATGCCCGCATTCATTGAAGCTCGAGGCTTGTTGAGCTTAGCGATGGATGCGACCGCCGGCTTGGAGACGCCTGAATTAGGAGGCTTGGGAGCTGAAACAGAGGCGGCTTCATCATCCACTTGCGCTTCGACAGATTCGATCAGTTTTCTTGCCGCCTGCAAAGCAGCTGCAGAGGGCTGGATGACTTTGGGTTTTCCACCGAGTGGGCCCGCAGAGGGTCGTGTAAAGGAGACGAATGTCGGGACATCTCCGGTTGCTGGTTGGAACCATGATGCATAGTTGTCTTCAACTGGTAGATCATGCACATCCAAATCGTCGAATTCATTATCAAAATCGTCCGACGTAGCAGACTCTTCGGACGGCTTCTTAATGTCAACTTTGGGAGCAGGCACTTTCTAGTACCATAGTTAGGATACTTATCTTCTACGATGTAATACTCACTTCCGTCGGGGTTAATGCCAAAACCTGCATAAGGTAGCATGAGAAACGTCCCGTATTCGATAAAATTCATACATTTGACAGATTTACAGGCCTTGAAGGCAACTTGAGATGCCTTGGCGAGGCAGGAGAGGGGCTACGTTTGCGCTTTCTAGCGAGTGGGCTAATGGCTGGGGCCTGTGTCAGCGCGGCTTCTGCACGGTTGAGTGCCTCGAGGTCTTCGATTCCAATAGGTGAAAAGTCCCCAAAAGACGGCGACGAGTCCATCTTTAGGCGCGATCGCGAGCGTGGTGTATTAGACATATCTGAACCATATGTAATAAGCAGCTATATCAGCTTCCTTGAATTCAAAGTAGAAAGGACGTGTTATGGGGAACTTACCAACCAGCTGGTTCATGCTCAAGAGGGTCAACCGCTATTCGGGCGCGTTTTTGTCGCTTCAAGGCGCGTCGAATTGCGTTTTGAGCCGATATAAGAGCCTTTCGGACGTCTATTGTATGAAGAGATTACAAAGTGTGACGGGCTGGTGGTGGCCGGAGTCCAAGGCTCGCGCAACTTGACCCCAACAACAATCCCAACACCAACGATCCTCACGGGTTAAACGCCTCTGATCATCTAAGCAATGTATTCATCAGCTCAAAAGGCGAAAAGACGCGTACACGGGCGTGAACGACCAGAGTTGACCGAGGAGCAAAAACAGGAGATCAAAGAGGCGTTTGAGCTGTTTGATGCAGACAAGGACAGCTGCATCGACTACCACGAACTCAAAGTCGCGATGCGCGCTCTCGGGTTTGATCTCAAAAAGGCAGAAGTACTCAAGCTGCTCAGAGATCATGACAAGAGCGGCCACGGGTTGATGGAGTATGACGACTTTGCAAAGATTAGTGAGTCACCCTGGTTGGTTCTAATGTCAGAAGGGATTGACGAGTTTGCAGTGGCCGAGAAGATACTTGCGCGGGACCCTGCAGAAGAGATTCGACGCGCGTTCCAGCTCTTTGACGATGACAATACGGGCAAGATTACTAAAAAGAATCTGAAACGCGTTGTACGCGAGCTCAACGAGACACTCGACGATGATGAACTGTATGTTCCAGCCACACAATTCATGGCACTTAATCTCCTAACTCTGACTTTTAGACAAGCCATGATCGATGAATTCGACTTGGATGGAGATGGCGAGATCAACGAGCAGGAATTTTTTGCCATCATGACCGACGACACGTAGAATGAGAGATTTGTATAATTTATACCTGTTTGTACATGCGACGAGTCCTACGGTTCAAACTCTGCTTTCCACCTTGGCGGCTATTTGAAACGACCAACTAGGCATACTTCTTGACATCCTCTTCAGATGGCCCAGCGGGCGTGTCGGACGCGGCAAGGTTGCATTGATGGAAAGCACGGACTTGATCCGGCTTGAATGCGCCGACAACGCTATGCAAGACACCACGGTTATGGAACAAGACAAAGTCAAGCTCGTTCCTATCCACCTATCAGCAAACCAATCTTACGCTTGACTCGGTTCAGAAACTTACCAATCATGCGCATAGACGAGCGAGGGTGCAATGCCTGGACGTTGCATCTTGTAAAGCAAGTCACGGACCTCTTTGAGATCGGTGATGGTTGCGCCGTCAGGGTACAATGCGCCTTCCCGATTTGCACCTTCAGGGAGTGGTGCAACTTCAATTGCGGCAGCGCCAGAAGGATGGACTTGATAATGCAGGAGACCCGTAACTGGGTTCTTCCAGAGCTAAACGCGGTGATTCATCAGCCAAAGTCCACAAATTTAATATGGATGTACCATGGGTAAGACCTTTATCTTGTCTTCGCTCCATTCTGGGAGCTCGGATAGAGCAAGTTCCTTGTTCTCGGTCAAGAGTCCCAGTCCAGTTGTGTTCGAACGTGCCGGTGCCATCCAGACGTAAGGGTGGGGGGCATAGCGGACTTTGGAGCGGACTGCGAGAGACTTGAGCTCCGGTGGGAGGATGTCGAACATGGTCGCGCCACAGACGACTGTGTGATGATTGAGTACGTTGCACATTCGAAGATGCGAATACATACAGGCAGTGGTACCCAGAGGAACTGGGAGCTCGTCGCCGGTACCATCATCGTAGCGGCAGATTTGCGAAGGTCCGCGAGGAACCTTGAGGCCATAAAGGGTCGTCACCTTTGGACTATACAGCATTTAGTGATACATGATAGGCAATCATGTGTCCACTCACGGCTCAAGGTCATAAAGGGCCGCATCGATATGCCTAGAACAGATAAGCAAGGAGGGAGAACATTCGGATGGAAGACTGACCAGCGGTAAAAGCGTGTATAGCCCTTCTCCTCGTCTTCATCCGAAATGGCATTTGCATGGAAGGTCTTGTGATGAGGGTGCTTGAGCTTTGCCTCTGCGAGGCCCTCGTGGTTATAGACGGTGCCATTGCCAATGAGCTGGACTTGGGGGACGCGGGGGATCGTCTTGAGGTCTGGATGGAGGATAGACTTCTTCGTCTCGCCAGTCTTGTTGTTGCCGTGGCCATAGTTCTCGGACTGGGGATCGAATGCCTGCATCGCACTGATTAGAGGCAATGTGATAGTAATTCCAGACGAGATTGCGTACCTTTGTGAGAGCATACTGTTCCTCTGGAGTGACGACGACATTAGGGAAGAGGAGTGCGCCGTGCTGATAAGACGTTAGTCGAATAGCTACTGGCAGTGGGATAGATAACGAGCCTTGTAGAGTAGTTCCTTGACTTCTTCGAGTTGCTCTGGTGTGAGCTTGCCCGGGTGGACGTCCTTGACAATCCTGGAAGTGGCGTTGGCGACTAGACTGACAGATGAGATGCTAACATACCGTCCAAACTCCTTCATCTTCCCCGCGTCAGCGGTGGGAGCAAGCGGGAAGGGTGCAGTTTCGATGGCCATTGGAATGTGGTTGGGAGCAGAAGAGTGCTGACGAGTTGGCCTCTACCTGAGCTTGGAGATGACCACATTTATATCTTTTGGATGCCTGCGGATAGACTTTGCGCGGCGGAGAGCCACTCTACTGTCGACCATCTCCGGAACACCGTCGTGCGCAGCACTTTAGCTCCGACCAGGCGACACCGGCTCGCATCATGATACGCAAGCGGCTTGTCTTTACAGGCATCTTACTCGCCATTGCTATCATCTTCTTCAAGGTACTCTTATATATTTCCCATTCTCACTGCTAACCACCGGTAGCCAACAAGAAACAGCCAGCCGGGATATTTATCACCATTTGGAAACTTAGACAGAACTAAACTCGACTTTTCAGCCGATATAGATAAGCAAAGCGCCATACGCGCCGCATTCAAGGTCCGTTTCGCTCTTTCGTTGGCAGTATCATCTCACTCCCGACGCAGCACGCCTGGGACGCATACCGTCAGTTAGTGACTCCAATATCCTTGCCTATAATCACAATAGTTAGGGCGTGACGCGTGGGGCTTTGACGACTATCATCCGCTCAAGCGCGGAGGGACCAATCTCGTCTCTTCTGGGGGTATCGGCTACACCATTGTCGATGCGCTCGACACGCTCCATATTATGGGCCTCGACACTGAATTTACCCAAGCTCGCGACTGGGTCGCAACCGAACTCACGTTTGACCGTGACGGCAAGTTCAACGCGTTTGAGGTGACCATTCGTGTTCTCGGTGGTCTGCTTTCTGCCTATCATCTGTCCAAGGACGAGATTTTCCTTCAAAAGGCTGTCGACTTGGCGGAGCGCCTCTTGCCGATTTTCAGTACACAGTCCGGCATTCCACTCTCCTTCATCAATCTCAAAGAGCGGCAGGCATTGGCCGATAGTGATAACCAGGGTTTCAGCTCTACAGCAGAGGCCGCTACGCTTCAGCTCGAGTTTAAATACTTGAGCTATCTTACCGAAGACTATGTTTACTGGAACGCGGCCGAAAAGGTGGGTCTAACCTCCTCGCTGGTAGCCTCGTATTCAGATTTAGGTCATGGATGTAATTCGAAACGGCGCATTAACCTCGGGACTTGTTCCCATCTTCATACGGTCAGATATGTCCTTTCAGATTCGATTAGCCTAACTCTCTTCAGACCCTCTGACGGCCAATTTATCACTTCCGACATTCGATTTGGCTCTCGTGGCGATTCATACTATGAATATCTATTGTCAGTTCAAAGATTCCCGTGTATCCGCGTCTCATCCTCTATAGAAAGCAATACCTTCAAACGGTGAAGCATCAAGTAGCACTGTTTGGCTCCATCTAACAGATTGTAGAACCAGGCAGAACAACAATATCGAGAGGTAATGCGACGATATTATGAGTATTGCCCTATGGCTTATGAATCCAGATGTACGACCACGCCATGACAACCATGCATCATGACCTTGTCAGGCGCACACCAAAGAGCAATATGCTCTTCATCGCCGAGCTCAGTCCAAAGTTTAAGCGCGAGGAGCAGAAATTGTATGTCTATCCTTCCTCTGGTTATATCTTTTGGCTACTGACAGAGTCACATAGCGACTGGAAACTGGTGCCGAAGCAGGATCATCTTGTTTGCTTCCTTGGCGGTTCGCTACTCCTCGGTGTCACTGAAGGGCAAGGACCCTTCCCACCTGAATGGGACACGCTCAGTAATACGGAAAAGCGCGACTGGATTACCGGCGAGGAACTCATCAAGACCTGTGTGGAGACGTATAATACCGCAACGTACGTCCCCGTCTTGTCTTTGTGGCCTTGACCGAAGTGACTTGTTAGTGGTCTTGGTCCAGAGATTGCGCACTTCAAGATGCCTGGAGACCCAGATGCGGACTCGGTAGATTGGTGAATTAGGTCTCCTGTGCTTTAGTGAAGGCGCTCACCTGTTTCTTCTGCAGGTATATCAAGGGTCTTGAGTACGTACCACTTTTCTGCACGGTATCATTCTCAGTCTTTCAGCCGGGAGAATCCAAGCTTGACCAGCTTTGATGCACGTTATATCTTGCGGTGAGAGCCTTCTGCCATGTCCCCAAGCTGGATCAAGCTCATTGATTCTTAGACCAGAGACAGTAGAATCACTCTTCCTTGCATGGAGATTGACGGGTAATCAAACCTACCGCGACCAAGGCTGGAAGATCTTTCAAGCAATCGAGAAATACACAAAGGTGGAAGGAGGAGGCTACACCTCTATCCTCAACGTCAACGATACAAACACCCAAAGGGAGGACAAGATGGAGACATTCTTCTTGGTGGGTTAAATCTTTCATTGCTAGTGATGGGCGCTGACGATGTATCAGAGCGAGACGCTAAAATATCTCTACCTGCTCTTCTCTGACTCGGCGCTCCTTTCGCTCGACAAATATGTGTTCAATACCGAGGTAAGTTTTTACTCCCGTAATGACAGGTGTTGACGATGTGTAGGCACATCCTTTACCAAGGTTCGATCCTCCGACCCGTAGGTTTAACCACTGAGCGCGCGTCTGGTGGATGGACTTTATTTATTCAAAAGGCGAATACTCCCGCCACTGCACCTTACTTATACATACAGTTTACACTACCGTTCGAATCACACGCTTTACCGAGTCTCGTCTCATTTGAATGATCTGGGAAATTCAGTTCTAAATAAGATACATACAATGATTCGGGTGCGGAGTTCTAAGCAAGGAGGGGAACAAGGTGGGAGGAAACTTGGAGTGTACCACCACGCCGCGGAACAAGGCATCTACATCATTGCCCAGCCTTAATCATGTCTGCCAACTTTTCTGCAATTCCATACAACGTACTCATCATGTGTCCGGAAATCTGCGTGGGCATGATACTTGCGTCGGTCACGCGCAGGTTTTTCGAACCATAAACCCGCAGGTGCCCATCGACAACGCCTCCGAGCTCCTTTCGCATCATTGAACACGTCCCTAAGGCATGGCTGTTCGACGAGAAACTACTTTTCAGCCATTGACTCCACGCGTCGACCGATCCTCCATCACCGTTTGGATCAGGAACGCTAGATAGACCGGGCATATACTCTGATGTGGTCAAGTTGGACAATGGGGCCGTTTTGAAGAGTTTACGCAGGAGCCTGCCGGCCTGCGCTTGTACCTCCAAGTCAAAGGGCACGCTGAAGAAGTTGTTCGTCACGTTGGGTTTGGAGAAAGGATTAGTCGTTGTAATTTTGACCGACCCACGGCTAAAAGGGAGCAGTCCCCAGAACACGGGTGAATGCGCCCCGAATCCATTAGAGTAGATGATCTCAAGGACGGGGACTGTTCAAGGTGAGAACACTATCTGCTATATGATGCGAGCACTGACCGGTGCCTTTTAGCATGATATCAGCCTGTGACTGATAGATTGTCTTTAGCGCCGCCTTGGACAAGGCATTGCCCTTTTGGGAGTCTGCCCATGTGTCCAGGCTGGAGTTTATCTTTGTAGCAGCCGTCGCTGCATTCGCGCCGAACAGCTGCGAGAAGTTGGGAAAGGCAAGGAGATTGTCCCATGCCCTTCCATTCAGCTGGTACCCCTTGGACCCGAACATAACTCGGACAAGCATCTGCTCTTGCAAGTTCTTGCCGACAGTTGGCAGGTCTAGGACAGTGGAGATGCCGAGAGATGACAGGTGTGCAGAGTCGCCCACACCCGAACGTTGCAATATCGCGGGCGTGTTGATCGATCCCGCGGCCATAATCACTTCTTTTCGGACGTTGGCCCGATATACGTTTGCAGAATTGCTCAGATACAGGAACTCTACGCTCGCCACGGTGCCGGAGCCGTCGGGGTTCCAGACTAGTTTCGAGACAGTCGAATTGACCAATGTCAACCAGTTGGGTCGCGTAGTCTCTACAGGTGTGAGGTACGACATAGCCGATGATGAACGGTGAAAGCTGTCCTCGGGATTGATCGACTAAAGGTTCAGTTACATGCTCCAGTGATGTACAGGGACCTACACTGGGGACAAATGCGACGCAGTTTGGATCTCCACCATTCAGATCGCGACAATGTGTGATACCCGTCAAGTTGTGAATGGCTGCGATGAATGCTGGATGTTGAGGACCGTCGACCATTGCTTGCGGAAACGAAACGTGTACTGGGCCATCGACACCATGCATGCTTGTGATTCCATCTGCGCCTAGCTGCTGGTTCGCCGTAGTTGGAGGATGATAGTGTTCGGCCTTCTTTCGTGAGTACACATCGGCGTATTGAAGTCTTGCTTACCTTCTTTATATAAGTGTAGAGATTATCCCAGTTCCAGCCGAGGCTCTGTTCGTCTGATGTAAGGAGACCAGACCATGCATCATATTGTGCAGCAGCACCCCGAGTCCAAAATGCGCCATTGATAGAAGAGCCTCCACCGAGAGTCTTGCCTCTTTAGAGAAGGTAAGCAAGCCCACATGTTTGGTGAAACGATTCTTACCCATTTGTCGTCTTTCCATAATCTACTGGCCATGACCAGTCGAGGTTGGATCCGTAGAACTGCCCAGAGTTGGCTACATTGTATACTCTTGCATCTTTGCGATTATCACCGCCAGCTTCAATGACCAATACTGTGGTGTTCGCATTTTCGGACAGCCGAGAGGCGAGTGTGAGGCCGGTCAGCCCACCGCCGACGATCACATAGTCAAATGTGCGGTTAGACGCATCGAGTGGATTCCCAGAAATAATGCTTGCAGCACCAGCTGTCTTCAAATACACAAGCGCCGCAAGCACAAGTCGGAGAACTGGCGGCATTGTGCAGGTGCTGGTCAAGCAAATCTTGCCAGATTGTGGGAAGGTTTATAAATGCACTCTAATGAACCGAGGAATACCACCCAATCATCCAGGCTTAGCATTGCCCCTCCTGTTTGTTCAAGCCATCGGCGAATCCGATATCCAAAGGAAGAATGATTGTGCTACTACTTATAAGCGTTCACTAGCGAAGTCGTGCAGCACAAGATCAGTATCAAAGTTCGAATTCGTCTTTTCCGCTCGGTCAAGGCATCGGCAAATCCGATGTCCAAGAGGAAGAATCCAGTATCACAAAGGTGGTGCTCAGCGACAGAAGACGGAAGAAGCAACACGCGAGACTAATCATGAAGTCTTGGCCATATCGACGATCAGCCGAGTTAATCAAGGATTCATTGTATACACTCAAGAATGACGTCTACTTGGTTAGATGCAGTTCGGGCCGAAGGCGACTACTGCTGCGCTCGAGAATAAGCTCATGGCAAAGCATCGGATCTTAGCGTATGCGCAGCCGAGGCGATGCTTGCGGATAAAGCTCATCAGAAGTGTGGGTCTTTGGTGTTCGAACCCCTCCTTGACCAACTTTTCCGCGGTACGTCCAAGTTATGAATCACATGGCCATCGGCACATAGAGATATTCAAAACTTGGAATGAACTTGGTGGTGCATTAGGACCCGCTCGCAAGGCAGTGACCACACTTCCTTGCGTCAATTGTCTTCACTCAGATAAGATACTCTCGAATCATGCAACGGTTTGAAATTCGGGTCCATTCACTGATTCTCTCAAGTACAGCCTATACGATCATTTGAACCACGCTCATTACCAACTGCTTCACAACTTCTGCTTTGTAGATGCCCATAGCAAGTACCTCGTCATGTGAGACGACTTTCTCGTCGGAATCTCCGTATTTCATTCCAGCCTGGAGGAGATTAGTTATGGAGTATCCACGGTGGAGAGATTGAGATATACCAACTCCCGTTCAACTTCCTTCTTCACGCCTTGCTTCTCACCAATTGGGATGACGACTGCATTCGTGACCAGACTGAGTACGAGCACATCCATACCTTCGTCTCTCGCTGCCATAACCTCTGGTACAGTACTCGCACCAACGACATCCCCACCAATCTCGCGTAGCCACCTCCCTTCTGCGGCGGTCTCGTAGGTGGGGCCGGTCACCCAGCAATATGTACCCTCCACCAGAGTTTCTGGAGGGAGGTTGAGCTGCATGGATGCGTGAAAGAGATATTTGCGCAGAGTGCGTGAGTAGGCGTTTGAAAGTGGTAGGAAACGCGGCGAATGTGTGGAGGTGGAAGTAGGTCCATAAAGAGGATTGAGTCCCGTCATGCTTGGAAGCGAGATATGGTCATGAATGGCGACAATTGTCCCGGCAGGTATACGAGGGTTCAGTGATCCAGCCGCATTGGTGACTATACCAAAGTGAACTCAGTATTCCTACCCATGTATGAGGAACGTACGGATAATATTCCGGCATCCCAACCGCGCAAAGAGCCGTACAGGAAAGGTCACTTGATGCGGCGAATGACCTTCGTAGACATGAAACTAGAGACCTCAATAAGCTATGCAATGGACTAAGAAAACACCTGGATACTCTTCCTAGCATCGCGACTACGGGAACTCGAGTTCTTCCTGTGCCGATAAACCCAAAAGCGAGCGTACTTTGGTGTCCAAGGACTATCGATCTAAGCCAAACTTCGAGAATTAAGCTGATGCCGTACCTTTGGTGGTCAGAAAGCCGGGAATTTCCGCGTACGGCACATCTATACGATCGACTAGTGCACTCCCGAGCGTTCCAAGCCCTGAGCCACAAACTATTGCTACTTTTGGATAACAGAGGCTTTCAGGGACTACATTCCTAATCTTCGCAATTGCTACTCGGAGAGTTTCGGGATCCAGGGTGTCGGAATCGGGAATGAATTTTTACTAACTATAAAATTACTGTAGCCAGGGAACATTAATGATTAATAAAATATTCTTGCAGCTTTGCAATACATTTACAGACACACCAGCTCTCAACCACAAATGGCTCCTGCTTCATCGAGGTCCAAAGGAATTATGAGTCCCAGGTATTGTCGCTAGGGTCCCAACTGGCGACTTATCGACAGATCTGCAGATGCCCCAGCTATTATTATCTGTACCAATATCTCCTGCCCCTAGTCACCGCATTGACTCATTGGAAAGGGCCATGTCCTCGAAGGACAAGTCGCTTGCAAGGTTAATAAACGCGCCAATTGAAGCTGCAAGAGATGTGTACTGCATCTAGAAATTACTGGACATGGAGGCATAAGTCGCTCTACCAGGCCGGTTTCGATTCTTCGAGCTGTTTACTGTGCCTCGGAATCACTGAGCTACGCTAGCTTCGTCGATTCTCCTGCTAATACAGAAGCGACTCCTAGTCGCCGAAACTCTTATTCAGACGGCACTCATTCGTATGAACAATTATTTCAAGGGAACAGGATTGATACAGCCCTTTTGATACATCAAGTTTATTGCATAGACTTTTACCTACCATTAACTAACCTAGAATGAGGATGTTTAGAGAATAGAGATCTTGCGAGCCGGCTCTCCCTTCTCCGGCTCTGGCTTCTGGATCACCAGGGTAAGGACACCATCGGCCATTGTCGCCTTGATTTTTTCGACATCGACCCAAGGAGGAAGGCGGATGCAACGACGGAACTTTCCAGCACGGCGTTCGTGCAAGATAAACTTGGGCTTTTTGTCGTCGTCGTCTTTGTCGCCTTCCTTCTCCAAAAGAACCTCTTCTGCGTCGTCTTCCATAATATCAAAGCCATCGTATGGTTCGGGAGTGTCATCTGGTTGCTGAGGCGTCGTAATGAATTCGCCACTAATGGTGAGTACATTGTCCTTGACGGAGATGTCGACGTCCTTCTTTTGCAAACCAGGGAGCTCTACAGTGACGGTAAATGTCTCGTCGGAGCAGACAATGTCCATGTCGGGATGAATGGGTCCATGAGGATGGTGAGGGAATCCAGGCCAAGCGCGTCCACTCCAGCCACCGCGTCCAAAGGGGCCACGACTACAACCGCGCATAAATCTACCGCCACCTGGGCCGAATGGGAATCCAGGACCTGGGGGGCATCCTGGAGCGTTGGTGAAGCCAGAGTAGAGGCCAGCGAGTCCGCGGTGAACTGCCTCAGTTACACGAGGACCGAGCGTTGCGAGGTCAAAGGGGAATTGTCCCTCTGGTCCACTCGGGGCGTGCGGGGGTGGAGGAGGCATGGGTGCGAGAGGTGGATCTGGGTGACCATGTCCTGGCGGAGCGTGGTGGTGCTCAGGAGCCTCTTCAAGTGGCACTGTCTCGGGTCTATGGTGGTGGTGACTATGATGGTGCATGAATGGGGGCATGAAAGGGGGTGGCGGAGGAGGGTGATGGCCTCCTCGCCCGTGGAATCCGCCGCGTCCTCGAGGTCCCCAACCACCGCGAGGCCAGTTGAAGTGACCTGGGTAGCAATTAATAAGCATTCTGCGAGCAAGAGGCTTAGCGAAATGTAACGTACCATACATGCCACCAGCCTCAAAGGTGTCCTGACTGGCACCGGCGTCTTGAGGAACAGGACTTCCTGGTGTGGAATGTGCGTTGTGAGACATTATTTGAGATGTTTTGAAAGGATGGAAGGAGTCCAACTTGGGTCTAAGCTGCTGTGGATCGCGAGAAGCTTTATATGGGGAGCCTGCGCTGCGGACTACTGCGCGTGAGCACGCGTAAGCTCCCTAAAAGATTGGCCGACTTGCGTGTCTCTCAGAGTCACCATAACTGCGATCCGCAACGGCAGAATAAATTCGCCTCGTCTCGCCCGGTCAGTCGCTGCGCATGTCCATCACTGCATATGACGATGCGTAATCGCTATTTACACTTCCTTTTATTCGATTTTCGAATGAACTCGGAATTCCAGATGTGGCTGGGACCGACCAGAGGGTGGGTTATTCAACTTGAACTCCACTCTGTCAATCTCCTCAGAGACAACGCCGGCACTTTGCGCTGAGGATAGGCAGAACAACTCTCAAAGCATGATTACATCCACTCTTAAACGCAGCGCATCCGTTGCGTTCTTGCCAGAACAACCAGTGGCCCAGGCCTCGACATCCAGCCCGTGCCAGCCCACCCAGCAACTCTTGAATTCCATCACCAGAAAGTCTACGCTGCCTTGTAGATCTCCGAGTTTACGTCGGACTTGTCCCAGGTCACAACTTCGTCGCAGCCGCACTCTGGATTCGTTTGAACATCTGCAAGCTGGCGCAGCCTACGCGTCTCCACGACCTCTGAAGAGGCAGAGAACGGAACCGTCGCAGACAATTTCTCTAGACGACTGGCAGATTGTCTCGGCCAGCGATGGCGACACCGATGCCTTGTTCCCAGCGGCTCGTACGACGCCCAAGCCGATTGCTGATCCCCTTATCCTGTCCTCCAGCATCCTTTCTGCAACCTGCCGTTTTATTTCTTCATTTGTATCCACTCGATTATCCCCACCCGCTCCTGCGAGTGTGGATTTGCCACATGTCCCCCAGCCACCGGATGCCTTTGATGTGGCAGATCTCGAAATGGAAGAAGATACAGACGATGCAGAAGAAGATATTACAATGATAGACGTAGAGGATGACGTCTTTCCTCCATCTCCCTTCCCCGAGTACACTGCCGAGCAGTGGTCTCGCCTCTCTCGATATCCGCATCTCGTCGACAAGGTGATGTCTGGCCGTGTCGCGAACGGACGTGCCCAGCACAAGCACTTTGTCGCCTGTAACTATGCCAAAGAAGCCAACCCATACTTCAACCCGCCAAAACCTCGCCAATCGTCACCACTTGCTCCTATTCGGCAGAAGCGAGAACCCTATGCATCGAACAAGATGTCACTCTCGTTTACTACCGACCGCGCCGTCCGTTCAGCCCAGCGTGACTCCAAACAATCCCGCTTGTTGAATTATCCAACCTGTTCGGACAAATATCCCGGTCCTGACCGCTCTGGGTCTATTCTCCGTAACACCGTTCTGCTCAACTTTGGAGACTGGCTCCGCGCCTCGGGTCTGTGGATTTCCGTTCAAGTCACGGGTATACACTCTGCTCTGGCCTGGTACGAGACCTACGGCTGTGAGGAAGAGGGTACGATCACTCCCGACCTCAATTCACCGACGGCGACAGATTTGGCGGGTCTTACCGAGGCTCACTTTGCTTGATCGTCTTACATATCTTGTGAGTCGTTCAATCACCTAACATTATTGGTTGATTTATTCATGTTGTAGATTTGCTTTACTATACGTGGAATCCTCGTCCTCTATCGGGTTCCTCGTGGACTTTACGTCAACACATTCTGTACTGTACTGCGCGTCATGTTCCGGGATGACTCTTGTCCTCGAAATAGATCTTGTTGACATTGAATGTTCACGTGCAACGGATCATGAGAAACTCTCTGCGATATCCGTATACCGTCGTTGCCGCATGGTGTCAATTTTCGCCAGCTTTTCTAACGACGACCGCGATTCTGACGTTATTTGAACGGCCTTTTCTGGACGATGGCGGAGCAAAAGTCTCTTGTAATGGACGAGAGAATTGAGGCACCCTGATTCGCCTGCATCAGAAATGAGGGCTGGTAGTGTGTCCGACCTACAGCGAGACTCTGGCTCCTCTTCCAATAACTCTTCAATGACTCCAATTTCTCGCTCTAATATGGTGGGATCATCCCCATTGCCGATCAACCAGCGGTGATACATCCATCCACTTTGGTCATCTGGGGCCATCCATAGCGCTTGCTTGACCAGTTCAAACTCTGGATACAATCAGTATCCATGACGCTACGCACTGGATTACACACCTGCATCCAGAACATCAGCCTTCTTTTCCGGCCTCTCACTCCATATCTTTGCATAAACGAGCGATCGCTGATGCCATGCGCTAAAGTTGGAGTGGTTTTTCTCGATATGTCGAGTCGTGTATGCCAGCTCTTCTGCATCTGTACGTTTGAGTAACGGAGGGCAGTGGGCAAGAATGTAGCGACGATAATTCCATGCATGAACTAGAATGAATGCAAGATCAGTGATGGTCAGAGTGATGCAGGCAATGGCATACAGTTTCGCGCATCCATCGAGAGCATCTTCTCGACGATAATCATCTCCTGAGACCATGCGGCCATTCTCCATCCATCTTTTCCCTCTTTGCCCTCATCATTGGCGTCACCAGGTCCATCTGGCATATTCTCCAAACACCATTGTCGGTGATTCCAGATCCAATATACCTTGGGATACTTCTTGAGCGCAGTTGTTGTGAAACCAAGATCTGAGAAGAGAAGTTTATGGCTCTCCTCTGGAGCTCTATGGGTGGCTGAGCTCCACGTAGGCGATCAAAGGAAGGAACCTACCGCTCTCTAAAGATGAGATTGGTGAATATGTCCCTTCTGTAGTTCCATATAGTGTAATGCTCTGGATTTGTAGACAGAAACTGCTCTGTAAGTTGGAACGCAGCTTGAGACCATTCGTTGGCTTCTTTCTGTTGAATCATGCGTGAGATATGCTTCTTGTATGCAAGTGTGCCCACCATATCCATTATCTGCTTCTCAAGATCCAGATACGCCTTGAGCTTCTCCTTTTCCTTCTCCCGACGCGCGGCAGTCGCCGCTGGATCGACTTTGGTTCGTTTGATACCGTGCTACATAGTACATTTGAGTCTTACTTCACCTATGACGGTACGTCCAATTTACCATTTGATAGTCGGGGTGAGAAGTGGTTCTCGCCACCTTGAACCTGACCACGATGTCACCAACGACGCTCAATATTCTCCATTTCAATGACGTATACAGAGTGGGGAAACAAAATGTGGAAGGAGGCACGATCGACGTTGCGCAGTGGGCTCAACTCGTCGACGACTGTCGAAGTGCATGGCCAGATCGAGCAGATGGGGAGAAAGATGGCCTATTCTTGTTCTCTGGAGATGTATTCAGTCCGAGTATTGAGAGTTCTGTGACGCGAGGAAGTCATATGGTGCGGAGTATACATGGCGAGTCGTCCTTTGTTGATATCCTGCCAGGTTCCGATCATGAATGCGCTCAAGATCGACTGTGCTGTTGCTGGGAATCATGATTTTGATTGGTCTGCACCGCACTTTCTCAATCTCGTCAAAGATTCGAACTATGCAAGTACTTTTTGATTGGCCCTGCGTATCTTAGTCTCACAAATGGTCAGCCATGGCTCCTGAGCAACATTATCGACGAAGATAAAGGCGATTTACCTAACGGCCTGCATGCTTTCCAAGTATTCGAACGTTGCGGTGCGCGGATAGGTCTGATCGGCTTGGTCGAAGAGTGAGTCATAAATGATACACATACACGCAATTGAGCATCTAGAGATTGGATTAAGACCATCTCCTCATGGCCTCCCAATTACAAATACAAGGACATGAAGACAGTAGCACTCGATCTCTCCAAGCAACTGCGGGATCCCGATGGCCCGCATAAGTGTGATATTATCATCGCACTTACTCATAGCCGGTAAGTCTTCGTTTCCACCTCGCAAACCGACTGACGCGGGGCTAGGCTACCAAACGTGAGCAAATCCTTTCCGAGAGACCCAACTCAGCTTTCGTAGGATATTCAACTGGCCAAGGATCTCCACGCACGGATTGGTTCAGGTGTCGTCTCCGAACACGGCTGCGATATCATCCTTGGAGGTCATGATCATTTCTACTACGTCTCCAAGTTTGTTCAAGATGCAACGCCGGAGACTTGGAAAGGGTACGATATGACGCAGTCTTTCCTCGGTGCTGAGGAGGACGATGGGGTACTGGTGATCAAGAGCGGGACAGACTTTCGCGATCTGAGTGAGATCCATCTCGAGCTCGAGGATGCACCAGAAGGAAGTATCAGACGAAAGTACATATCCGCAGTACACGGTGCGTCGTACACTACTGGTACGAGCTCTTGTTAATGGTGACTCAGGGAGTCGACATACGACTCAACCAAACTCACAGGCATCAGAAAAGGTGACCGGGTTGCTGAAGACGTTGGTCGGACATATCGAAGAATCCCTTTCAAGGCCAGTGTGTAAATTGGATGCCGTACTAGATTGCCACTCGGATGTAGTAAGAATAGGCGAGGTGTGTATTTACAAGCACTCATGGCGGATTGCTGAAGCCCGATCAAGTCTGCTTCTGGGAATTGGTTTGCAGATGTCATATTTCACGCCTACGACGATGCATTGTGCATCAAAGGTGTCGGTGGCACGGATGCGGTCTTTATTTGAGGGTAAACGGCTCACTCCTCTGTCACACGAGCCAAGCTCAAATGCCACAGAGGAACAATTCGAGGAGACTCTTCATATGGTCCCGGAAACTTTACGGTTGGGAATATCATGGAGATATTGCCTTTTCAAGACCCGATCATCGTGTTGCAAATGGACGGTCAGACGATTTGGACTGCTTTGGAGAGTTCCTTGTCCGCATGGCCAGCACAAGAGGGGTAAGCAGTAATAATATCGGGCTTGCGACATTGACCCGGCTTCAGTCGCTTTCCTGTAGTTTCGGGACTACAAGTCGAATGGGACTCCAGCAAACCCAAGGGCCAACGCGTTTTGAGCGTTGAACTCCTGCAAGAAGCTCAATCTGACGACGTTTCCGAAGGGTCGCAAACTCCGAACCTGAAAACTACGACCATTCCGGTGAAGAACGAAAAGGGAGGTCGGATGTACAATGTCATTACACGTCAGTACATGGCGCAAGGGTTCGATGGCTACGACGCATTCAAAGGATGCAAAATGCTTGTAGACGATGAGAATGGAAGAATTATGTCGGACCTGATTCGGCACTATTTACTTGGTATCCACTTTCCTTTCTGTACTCCGGCCCGGCTAACAAGCTACAGGATACCAATATATTAACATGATGAAAGGTCTTACCGCAGAACAAACGCCCAGCTGTCTCTCTGCACAAAGCTCTCAATTGATTGCTACCGAGCAGAAGAAACACACCGACGGAACAGCAAAACACGGGAAAGCGCGCTGGACGCAGATTGTTCGGAAGAAAGTCATCAAAACATCGGCGAGAGATGCGTCCAATCGCTACCGCATTGCCGGGGCAGAGCACATGTCTGGTATAGACTGCGTTGACGGCGCTAAGATTCGCAGTGCCGGGAATCCCAGTAACAAAGATAACTCGCAAGATATGAGTTCATCCTTGTCACCGCCATGGACAAGTGTGCTGGAAAGCGACTTGGTTGTGGTTTCGCCACGGATTGACGGGAGACTGAAGGACGTGGCGAGAGCACAAGTGTCGACATAAAATTTGATTCTCCAAGTACTAGAGACTAAAATTACAAGTTTGACTACTCAATCATTAGATTCTTAACGGAATTGTTTAAGAATTCAAGGCCCAGTATTTACCCATCCTCGCTCTTGTATCTGGTTTGCTTCCGGTTATGCTGCCGCGGCGGTGGGAGCAAAGGTTTTGTTCTCATTTGAAACTTCTTCGTAAAGAGGTGGCTGCTCTTGGACATTTTTCTGTCTGAGGATGTGCTTCCTGATGAAGATAGGCACTTGACGGAGTTGATACATTGCGTGGCGACGAGTTGAGACCGAAAAGACGGCATCGAGTTCTTCAAGAGAAAGTGCCTTGGTCTCTGGAACGAAAAGGAGTATAATGAAGAAGCCGATAGCACTTTTATAGTCAATTCATAGGCTCCTCTGTGATAAATGCGATACTTACTTCCATCCGGCATACCATGAGACGGCTCCTTGGGGCTTGAACGCGCCGAGCAGACGAGGGAACGTTATGGAGACGACAAAGTTGCTGTATCAAACTTCAGAAGGGGTACCAAAATCTCGAGAAGGAACGTACAAGAACCACGTGATGGCGATAGCAAGGCTCATCCCAAGTTCACGTACATAGAGAGGGAATGCCTCTGCAGAATACGTAAACGGCACAGGTCCTTCACCAGGTGAATATGCAATAGTCATTAGGTAAACCCCCAACGCCACAATCGCAACGCGGGTCTCGCGGTCCGGAATCCAGCTACGGCGAAATGAGCGAGAGACCGTGCAGAAGAAGGGCAAATGTACGTACAATGCGAATCCTGTTACGAATAAAAATAATGACATCAAGGGAAATGTAGTGAGAAGCAAGGCTCGTCGGCCAAAGGTATCGATTGTAAAGATGGCCGGTGCAGCAAAGATCCAATTGAGGGCGCCAAAGCCGAGGGATGCAGAGAGCGCCGAAATAGTACTAAACCCGGATTCTTCGAAGATGGTTGCCGAATAATAGGCAATGACTGTCGGAAGCCGTCAGCCCTCATGGCTAAAATCCCAAAAATTTAGTAGAGGTCAGATAAAGCATTCTTACTGTTGATCCCACACATTTGCTGGAGATAAGTAAGCGACGCAGACGCAAGCGTAGCCCGTCGATTCCTAGGCACGGTGAATAGCTCGAAGAACCGAAACCGGCCTCGTATAGCAACTTGTGACTCCATCTCCAGTTGTTTCTGGATGTAGTATGTGTCTCTTGCAGCCTGAAGTGGCGAGTTTCTCAGCCTTGCAAGTGACTTGTATCCTTCGAGGACACGGCCCTTTCCGATGAGCCAACGCGGCGACTCAGGACAGAAGAAGATGTTGGTACAAACAAAGATAGCCGGTACACCTGCAGACCCCAGCATGAGTCGCCAGTTGAGACCGGTGATGCCACTCTGGTCGGGGACATGATAAAGTGCCAAGTCGGCTGCGAACCCCGCACTGCAGTCTTATGTGAGACACGTAGAAGTAGGGGGTAGAAGGGTTCGCGGATAGGGTTAGGAGACGGAAATGAAAGGCTCACAAGATGCCAAATGCCGTCCAGGTTTGCCATTGCATAACGAGGGCGCCTCGAATGTTGGGTGGTGCACACTCTGCGGTATAGACAGGTACAGTGGTCGACTTGGGACCGATTCCAAATCCCAGGAAAAATCGTGCGATAAAGAGGTGGTACCAATTGTTGGTCAGACCAGACCAGAAGCAGGTCAAGGCTCTGTAAAGAATAAGAGCGGGCTATGCTCAAATTCGAGGACGTACGAGAGGAGACCGGTGATAAAGATGGTTCCACGACGTCCGAATCGGCGATTAAGGGGATCGGTAAGCCAGCAGCCAATAAGGGCACAGCAGAGATCTGGAGGTGAGATAAAGTCAGCCTTGGGATAACGAGTGATGCCGTAGTTACAAGGTGCACTAGCGACAATACCCAGGAGCCACTGGTCCCTCGATGCCTTGGATGGGTCAGGGTCTTTGGTGTTGATTCCAAATTGTGCTGGCCAGAATAGATTCGCGCCGTTGATGACAGTCTCATCCATGCCTTGGACAGCTGCTGCGAGCGAGCACATTGCGACCATGTAGTAGAGCTCCTTTGGCTGGCTCCACTTGTGAGTGGTCTCACGACGCAAAATGGTTTTGTCTTCTTCACTAAGTTCATCAAGTTCTTCGAAGCCTATTATCTTGTCAGATTTGGCATGGGATGGAGTAAATCCCGACCCACCGGCAGGGTTTGCGGCAACCAATGCACCCTTTCTAAACGTTTCTACAAGATCTTCCATACCGTGCTCTTTTGTCCATTCGTTGACATCGGCGATGATTTCGGCCTTGCTCTTGCCCATAAGCAGGTTGGCGAGTTTGGCGTTGACGAGCTGTAGATGGCGTGCTTTCTCATCCAATTCGTCATCTGTATGCTCTGTCATATCATAGTTTTGCCGAATTAACCTACGTACGCTGGGCGAGCTTTCCCTTTTCGTTAGGCGAGTGATGCCCGTCACTGGTGGTGCGGGCTACAGTAGAGGAAAGGTTGTCATCATGGATGTATTCGCCCTTTTCGGTCTTTTCATTTGAAGAAACGCGGGCTGGATCTGACATGGCTCCGTTTGCCCAGGCTGACAAGAGACAAACGGAAGATTGGCAGGGGGGCGGGGTGATGCGGGATCGACTTGGACATGCCGTGACGCACGCCGAGATAGTCTTATATCTGCTTGAGCGTCGATTGATTCATGGACGAGTCGCAAAGGTGTAGCTGGGAAATTGTATAGTAAGCCCCACAGCGCGCTTCTAATAGAGGTGGCCACAAGGACGTCATGCTTCGACTTCGGCACCATGGCTCAGATCTTCTCGACATAGATTATCGGCAGCTATGCCTCGCCGGGCCGCGGCAACCCTTCGTCAAGTGACCGAATAGGCAGAACGCAAAGTCGCATCTCGATAGCAATAGTTCCTCGAAACCCGTTTAAAAGTTTCATTATCGAGAGATTCACTTTATAGAAATACAAAGTCTAGCCGCTACTTGTCTTATATGCATTATGAGCTTACGGGCAAGTCATGCCAGGGAATCAGAAGCCATCCCCAATACGGGTGGAAGCGAGGCGTCTGATGGAAGATCACGGGCACCCTCTTCTTCTAATGGAGGATACTCACGACTCAGCCCGCCCTTTCGACGAAGAACGTCTGCTAGAATTACAACATATAGGCATGAATGTTTGCTCTTACATGCCTATAGCCAGTGGTCGTATCTCCCCAGCCGCGACTCTCGTAGTCCACCGACCTCGCTCGGGCCTTCCGGTACATAGTCCTCGACGTAGACATAGACCTCTTGTGAGTTAGTCCTGTTTGGACCACCACTACTCGAAGGATTCAATTTGGGTTTCATCCACCAAAATCGCTTCATGGCTGGATGTGTCCGTAGATACTCGGGCAGCCATGTCGGCAACGGAATACATGCATCTTCCGTCTCAACACAAGCACCCTCTGTATCCCCATTAATCCTCCCTTCGGTATCCTCTTCTCTTTCTACTGTACCTTGGTTGGGATTGGGTACATTGTCCACAATTCCAGACATTGATCTGGACGCTCCAAGAGAACACATACGCCTAGGTTTGTGAATCTGTGAGAGTGTTTCGTTTATGTTGGACGGTGCCAACGAGCCCTGCCTTTTTCCATCTTTTGTGACTGGGGATGCCGATGGAGACATGCGTGTTTGTAGGTCTTCTCTCGACAATTTGGCGGGAAGGGATTGTAGAGGATAGTCATTGAGTACGCTCGAAACTGACCCAGCTTGCGAATTGGCCATGGCCGCAATAGATGAGTGCGGGTGAGCGTAGAAGATGTGCGATGTCCGAACGTGTAAGAGCAGGCGAGATAGCAGGATCTGCATTGTAATCCAGGGCATGTAGATGATCACACCCATGTATAACCGAGGTGCGAATCTCCAGGTCTACCTGGAATAAGTCATGCAGTAATACTGTGCGAAGAACGTACTAGTAGCGCCGCTAGCATTGTTGCAGATGTTAATAGATAAAAAAACAGTCCGTCTCGATAAAGTATCGCGAGTGCGGTGTGTCGTGACGAGCTATGTCTGGTAAGTAGATGATGACCGTAGTAAGAAGAACGAACCGAGGTGCAGTCAATGCGCTGAAGAATAAGGAGATAAAGTAGATGCTATGTGACAAAGTCCCCGAGAGCCACTGTATCCAGATATCGTCTTCTATGGTGATGCACACATTGAAAGCCGACAAGTACACCATTCCTACACCCCGTTAGTTCCCAGTTTCAAAATTGAAAAGGAAGTGCATACCATTATCTGGGCCCCAAAGTCCGTTGAGCATCACCGCTGCTGAAGAAACGAAACCGGAGAGCCAAACAGAGAAGAGGAAATAGAGCGTGGGAGTCGACAACTCGTACCAGGCCCATAAGCTGCCTTGGATTAACTTTTGACACGACGGGAAACGGAAAGAGCGACGAACCGACACGACACGAGGAGTGAAGTAGACGCGCTACAGGCGATCTGTACCAAATATGCAGCCGTGTACCATTTACGGCAGCTATGGTTTATCAGCAGGCGGTCGAACACAAACCGGCCCGTGCTCACACCTGAGGTTTGATGAGGCCACAATTAGGGCGCATTAAGAATGCTTACCGATACACCCAGCCCCTGTTGTGTCCCACTCATGACTATGTGTGAGTGAGCAATCGACTAGTTTCAAACAGAAAAGGGGCTGACACCAGACATCGACGCAAAGGACCATTGGCGAGATATAGCGGTTGAAGAAGAAAAGAATCTTGACAAAATTCCATCTCGACTTCCATATTAGCTCCACCTTGACTTATATCAGCGCTCCTGGTCCGACGCTCCTCACCTACAACGCACCTCTCTATCCAAGTTTAGCAGCATATCCCACAGCATAACAGCAATGGCTCCATAATTGACGGCACGCGCTGTCCGGACAGCATATGCACCCTCGCGGATCGAGTCGAGAGTGATGGGTCCAAAGGTATGGGCAATCGCTAGGTCATCCATTCGCTGAGAAGACCCTCCCTCCCCTCTTCAGAGTAAGGAACCACGGCCACAGTCTGAGAGGGGTCAAGAGAGACCAAAGGGCGGTGGGGGGAAAGGGTGAACGGGAGAACGGGAGAAGGCCTAGAGGCCATTTGATTTATAGCCGCATTGACTCTTCTCTCGAGTATCGAAACGGTTTAAACTCGCAACTAGTCGGCTTGGACGGAACCGCTTTTGGCTTGATGGCAGCTCGACTAGGAACCGAGGACATGTCCCTGAGAACGATGGGCAATCTCTTTCACCGGTATAAGAATGACAAAGGCTCCACCTCTTTCTCCTGAGGAGCGATCGAAATCTTCAATGGCCGAGTTCCTCGCGTCCAACGCAGCCGGGCCAGCCGGATGGACCTTTAATCTCAACTGCTGCGACGTGTCGACGTGTAGAATAACCGGATGCGAGTAACAACGTGTGAAAGGAGCTCCGCCTGGCGTCATTACTTAGGTCATCCTTCGGTCATCTGCGCCAGCGATGGTCTGCACCAGTTATCCCACATGGTCACTGGCCGCTGGCCGCCAAGTATTTGGATTCTCTCACATAGCTAGTTGGTTTCATGTTGTGCTAGCAGATGCCGTTGGGCTCATAATTTACGGATGCTTTTCACCACCTTCAGCCGCTAACTGGTCGTCGATATGATACACGGCGAACAACATTCAAATAACGGAGACTACGATACATCAGATACACCAGAAGCGGAGGCGATCAAGAGAATCGTCAAGAGTAAACGAGATCGAAATCGACGAATGCGTATGCCGTATTTATGTTGTCTGGTGTCGGCTGTGGGTGTTGTTACAAGATAAACAGCTGAGAAGAGTAAACTCTGGTGTAGACATTGTCGAGGTCGGTTGAGGTCGAGTCGAATGTCGAGAGCTGAGGTCGGTTTACTTTTGTTGGGTAGTTGGAGTCGGAATCGACAGTCAGAAACACGAATAAACAGCCGAATTGTGGCCCACACATTCTTGTAAACAAGAACGGGGTCAACCTAGAAAAAGTTTAGTGCAAACCTGTCCAAACGAGCAGTGTGCCGGAGGGGTGTAACTGGATGGGGGCTGGATGTCGTCCATGGGAACAATCTATATCGATGGCGAAGGCGATGAGGGATGTCGAGGAAGTTTAGTGAGGGTGTTGTCGAAGAGGGTTGGTGAGAGAAAGTTGTTGAGGAAGGTTGGCGGAAGATTTGTCGACGGCGAATTCGGAAATCAGCGGTGTCGGGTATTGAAAGTTGTCGTGTATCCAGGTGGTTAAAGGTGGGAGTTGGTAGGATTTAGCAAAGGACGGGGCTGCCATCGCATCTGAGAACCATGTCCATAGCGCCGCAGTTAGTGCAGTGGCTCCACATCGTCTTCTTGCCGTCTTCGTTGGCGTACTGAGCGAGCACCAGTCGGGGAATTTGAGGGCAGCTAGGAATAGGTTGAGGACGCAAGACAGCAAAGGCAGGAAGCGACGTACGTGCAAGACGCATTGCGGGTCCTAGGTTGCAAGAGGGTGCTAGCAGCAATGCTCGAGGCGTTGGATGGGTAGCGGTTGTCGACTACCTGACCGTGGACAGGGTCGCTGGCCATCTTGCTGAGTGGAGAGACAGACGTCTCGGGCGAGTATGCACCATCATCACAGTCCATATCATCCTTCTTGGTTGGGAACGGATACAGAGACTGGCTGGTTGGTGGGTAGGCGGCTATTTAAATTTTGTCAGATTCCGTGTCTATTGGTCTAGGCAAGGCGGAGCAGACAAAGCAAAAGACGGGGTCCCAGGCCGGGCGATGGGACAAGCCGAGGTTGGATTGAATTGGACGAAGACTGACTGACCGGTGAAAATGCTTGACGAATCATCGTTGGGCGTCTGAGCCGCGCTCACGTCGTCAAAGCCCATTTCGATGTCCATCTGGCCCTGGTTTGCTGGGGCCTGCGTGCGGATCGCAATGCGCTTGTGGACGGGCTGCTAATACAGGGGCGGATCCAGCGTCAGTCTAACGAAGCTCACACGCACAAAAAATGTTGACAAAATTGGCAGGATATGGTGTGTGCAGTACATACCGCATACGAATCGTCAAACTCTTGTTCTTCGTCGCTATACTTGCGTTTGACCATGGTGGATGAGCTGGAGCGTGTGGGATGAGCTGGGCAGCGAGAACAGCAAAGGCAGGCTCTGGGCGGGGGGATGGATGTGGTAGAGGTTCAAGTTGGATTCTACGGGAGGGGGCCGCCGCCCCTCCAAATATCTGTACCACTTGCCGGTAACCACTCGTTGTAAAATATTGCCACAAATCTCAATGGACGCCCTCGACGCCTTTCAAGATTATTTCTGGGATTTTGCACAAGATCATCTCCCTTACCAAGTCTACGACACTCTCTACACATTTTCAGAGCACCTGGCTACCGTCTACTACGGCCTCAACAGAGTCTTCACCTGGGCATATAAATCCGCGTAAATAACTCTGTTGTTTTCTTCTTATTCTTTGTCTGACAATCTTCTAGCAGTGGCACACAGAACGTCGAGGGCCTCTCGGTCTCGGAACAAATCCTCCCACCGCTGCTGTCCATCATCGCCATTTATTTTGGACTACTCTCCATCTACCGTACAACTGCGTCGTTTATACGAACGACCATTGCCATTGTCAAATGGGGCTTAATCATCTCGTTGCTGGCAATGGGTGCTGGTTATTTTGCCGGCCAAGGCCAGTTTCAGAACCCGATTAATACCGGAATGCTTCTCAGGGTAGCTTCCGAGTTTATGAACGGCCAAGACCGCGTGATGGCTACGCCCGAGGAGCGCGAAGCTAATCGAGGTCGCAGTTACGGAGGTCGCACACGTACGCAACCTGGAGACGGGCAGAGACGTCGACCAAGCATCTTTGAACCGTTTCTCAAGAACCAGAACCAGGCGCAGGCAGAGGAGGTGCAGGAGTACGTCAAACAAGTCGTCGACGGCGCTCAAAAGGTCTATAAAGATGGATCTGGTTTCTTTGACATTTTATTCAAACGTTCTGCCGACAAGGGCGACGGCAGCGGAGACGAGACGCAGAGGCAGACCCGCTCTCAGACGAGGCGGCCCAGACGCTCCAGAGAGAACTGAGCACATAGTATTTTACGATATTTTAGCACGACTATATGACTCCGCGTCGCAGGTTGCAGGCCATTTGGGGGTCGAAACATACGATTGCAATAAACGACTATGCACAGATGGGAATGAATGGAAAATAAGCGTCAAACAAACCGCAACTGGGATTTTGTCAGTGCGCTGCTGCCGCTGCAGCCTCTGGGTGAGTTCGTCGATAGCTGACAGACGGCTTGTCAGCGTTTGTAGCCTCGTTCAGACGACAGATACATACTCCCAGATACGATAGAGCTGTGTTAGCCCGGACATTCCAACGAAAAAGTTGACCTAGACGGGTTTGGGGTGAGCCAGGCCTACAATGGTCAAGCGCAGACGTACAGCTCCAAGACTATAGTTTATTGGAGTAATAACCATCGAGTATCGTACCCAAATAAACCCAGTAGCAGCCAGGGCTAGCTCACACGAGTCGATGAAAGTCGTGTCAGTCTCGTTGGCCAGTCCAGAAAGAGACCAACTGACCCGCATTTTGTGAAACACTGAGCTTGTCTGCTGGTCTTTGAAGATCCTTGAGTCCAGCAGCCACCAAGCACCATTTCATCAACGGCGCCCAAAAGAAGACTGTTTTAGGACCTGGAAATCACCAATATCAGCCCATGCACGCTTCTAGAGCTCGTTTATAGACATAGCAAGTCCACTGAAACTGACCAGCGGGATGATTCATAAATCGCTGCATGCGACTTGCCCCAGCAGCGGCTGCCTGACCCGACATGATGCACAAACAAGTTCAGAACTGCGTTTTGACAAAGTTTTGTGTAGTCTACGGCCAGTCGTAGATCCACAGTTATTGTGTCACAAGGTCAAGCAAAGTTGGCTTCAGCTCACCACCCCCGACGTCAACGGGCGGGAACCAGCGTCGTTCTCTGCGTCTAGAACAGATTAAAGCAGTGTATAGGAAGTTATTCAATGCGGATATTCGGGTTGCCTGCGCCTTTGGTTGCGCTCTTCATGTCCTGCGCGTCAGGCATCGCAGCACCGAGAAATTCGACACTTGAAGAGGAACATAACACTCAAATCAAGGCTTCCCATGACAATAAGCCCCCCGTACCGCCAAACCCGCCACCGCTTCCTCCCCCACGGCCGCTAGTCATCTGGCATGGACTCGGTAAGCATCACAACCTTTAATTCTCATAGCCTGCGTACTCATAAAATTCAAGGCGATCAGTATGCGTCCGCTGGGATGCTCGAGTTTATCGAACTCATCAAGGAAATGCACGAGGGAATATTCATATATAGCGCCCGCATCTCTGACGAGCCAAATGCAGACCAGAAAGCTGGTTGGGTACGTTTTTCTACCTCTATTCCCAATCGAGTTGCTGATGCGCAGCTATAGTTTGGAAATGTAAACGAGCAAGTCGCACAGGTTGCCGAACAAATTGCAGCCATCCCTGAGCTTGAGGGAGGTTTTGATGCTATCGGTTTCTCACAGGGTGCGTCGTTACTTCCTCGCCGTGTTGTGCGGCTTATCTATTTTTATAGGCGGCCAATTTCTGCGCGCATACGTCGAGCGGTTCAATAGCCCGCCTGTGAGGAATCTCATTACATTTGGTTCGCAACATATGGGCATTAGCGATCTTCCTGGCTGTAAGCCAACCGACTGGCTCTGCCGAGCAGCCAGAGCGGCTGCAGCTTCCGGCGTCTACAGCCCGTGGGCTCAGAAGAACCTAGTGCAGGTAATCTACCTTCAAATTTAATCGATTGGATCGCTCAGCTCGTCGTCAGGCCCAATACTTCCGAGATCATCGTCACATTGGCTCTTACCTACATTCAAGCACTTTCCTTGCCGATATCAACAACGAGATTCCAGAAGAAGACGATGATGAAGATGAAGAGCCTCGTATACGCAACTTGACTTATGCGTTCAACCTGGCCTCCTTGGACAATTTTGTTATGGCCCTGTTCGATCAAGACCAGACGGTTGTGCCAAAGGAGAGCGCATGGTTTGGGTCGTATGCCCTCCCGACAAATGATGATGACGACGTCGACAAAGGTGCCATCATCCCTATGCGCAAGCAGCGCCTGTACAAGGAGGATTGGATTGGCCTGAGAACGCTTGACGAGGCGGACAAGCTATTCCTAATTGTATGCCAAGGCGAGCATATGAGACTCACCGATGAGTGCTGGCGTCCTATTGTCGCACGGTGGGTCGGTAGTATCGACATGGACAAGGTTACAGAAGCGAGTGTGCCGCAGATACCATCTCTCCTCATTCAAGACTGGTGATAGTCTCTCTGTAGCTATAGGCCAACATGGTTGATTCAGGTCTAACAACTAGTCTTCGGGCACCTCGAGATCAGGGAAAGGGTCACCCTCTGTCGACTCTCCCAGAGCAATCTTTTCGAATACTCGGTATGCTCGGTCCACATCATCGTTGACAACGACAGCATCGTGAACCCCCGGCTCCTGAGCGTAGCGAATCTCACCCTTTGCTGCTGCCAGTCGAGATGCAACAGCCTCTTCTGTTTCTGTTCCGCGCCCCGTCAGTCGTTTGACGAGCTCGGAGTATTTAGGAGGTGTAATGAAAAGATAGAACGGATCTAGATGCGATGCCTTGACCAAACGCACCCCCTAAGATATCATAAGTATACTGAAATCATTTCAAGAGCTCATCCTACCTGCGAATCAATGTCCAATATGCATCGCTTGCCCGTAGTGGCGACATCGTCAACCGCCTTGATGCTCGTACCGTATCTGTTGCCCGAGAACATGGCGTGTTCGATGAATTCTTTTCGCTCGATCATCGACTCAAATTCCTGCATGCTCACGAAATGATAGGCTACACCATCTTCCTCTCCTTCTCGCTTTCGGCGGGTAGTGTCTGCAATCTCATTCGTAAAACAGTTTCTCCGGTACAAAATAATGTCTCACGAGATACACTGAACCCAAACCGGTCAGGATGTTCCTTGAAAAGACGCTTCAGGAGCGTCGATTTGCCCGAGCCTGACGGTCCGGAGAGGACCAGAGGCCGCAGAGTCTCAAGAGCGGGCATGAACAGGCGCGAAATGATGAAAAGCAGTCGTTGGCCACAAACACGTTCGCCGGGTGGGAGCAAGTTTGGTAAAGGCGCCCATGGGCTTGCAGCGTATGAAAATACAATCAAAAAGTATAATAAACGATCTAATTTATGCTAGACGTGGTTTCTTGTTGCTGTTACCCTCGGCTGCGGCACGCGCTCTGTTGTAAAGTCGGTTCCAGCTAGCCTCCAGAGCCGCAGCAACACTTGATACCGGCGAGTCTCTACCGTTGAACTTGTAAGCGTTTGAGAACATGAGACGGACATCTCGGTGAACTTGTTCGGCGGTTTGGTATCCGCCCTTGTCGAGCTTTGCCTTGATGGTGCTCAAGTCTCTAGCGTCTTCCCTCGCAATGACATCAAAGTAGTGAGGAATACCGAGTGCAATGGGATCCACCGGGAAGTGGAAGATCATATTTCTACCTAGATTCAGTTTTCGGGACGATAACATCCAAAAGACACTCACACATCCTCCGCCTTGAGCTGGTTAAGTGCCTGGGCGAGCTGCCGCTTCAATTCGGCAGGCATCTTGCGCTTGAGCATGCTGGGCCACTCCTTCTTCCACAGGGCTTCTATTGTATCAATCAAATCCAGGATATCAGGAGCGGCTGCATTGAACTGGCGGCCATTCGCGTAAACGAGTCGCAAGTCATCTGCAAAGTCTTCCATGGTAGCATACTGCTTCTTGTCCAACTTGCGCCTCATTGTGCTATAGTCCATAGGGTGCTTGATTTCTTCATAGTATCTATGTCGAGTTAGCGTGCTGCGCTGATTGGATAGAGGGGAACTGACGTTTCAAGACCAGGAAGTGTCGAGTTCACAGGGTTGAGGAAGATCCATCCATGAGGAACATCTGCCAATTTCTGCAAGAGGGCCTTGCATTTCGCGGGATCGATGGGTACTTGAGACGCATCGTCGACGTCTACCGCTCGCTTTCGAGATGACGAAGAATGATCAGGTGTGCTCCCACCAGCAGTTGCGTACGAGGTCTCCGGCCTGGGTGCTGGCCGCGTGTACTCTGTCGCGGGTGTAGTCGACACATAAGGTTGAGGTGGTGTAGTCGATGGCGTTGTGCTACGAACGTGTGAGGAGCCAAGTGAGACTTTGAACTTGGGATGAGGGACGACATGGGTGTCAGACTGCGGCGTGGCTTTTCGTGGAGGCTCAGAAACCTTTCTAGATGACGAGGCATCTGCTGCATCAAGCAACGCCGCTTCAAGGTCGTCCGCTTCATCAAAGTCGAGGTCAGGCGCTGGACGCCGGGCCTTCACTTTGATCTTTGGTGCCTCTGGAATAGAAGTAGACGTCGAACCGAGCAATAGTGCATCTACATCTTCGTCAAACGGCGCATCTTCATCATCCCCTGGAATATCTGCGGCGGCCAATAGTTCTTGCTCGAGGTCTGGTTCCTTGCCAGATGCTGGTGGCGGAGGAAGGGGTTGAACGGTTGGTACTGGTACAGGCGCAGGTGTAGCACTGGGTGGCGCTACTATCCTGGGAGGGAGTTTGACTCTGGCCTTGTCCTTTTCCACTGCATCATCTGTAGTCTTCCACACTGTGCAGAATAGTTTAGATCAAAACATAATGAAGAGAGGGTACGTACTTTATCGAAGAACTCTCAATTTTCAAAGCGTCGTTGTGGGGATCAGTACCAGGTGGATTAAAGAGGTAGGCGTTGGATAGGATGAGCTTGAAGTCGTCGGCGAACTGTTGTCGGTTCCCATACTGCCCGGACTTGAGTTTGGAAGCAACAGTCGAGAGGTCCATTGGATGCTTAATCACATCGAAATATCTAGATGTTGTTGATGAGAGTTTGAACTACATGCCGCTGCAATAACTCACGTGGGCGCATTATGACGAACAGGGTCAACAGGGTGCAGGAACCAAATCGCCGAGGGATGAGCGGTGACGCGCTTGAGGATGGCTTCGATCATCTTCTTCTCCTGGGATGTCAGACCGCTCTTCGCCCAGCTAGGTACGGCCTTTTGCTTCACGGTGGCTGGAGTGGCCGGAGCGACAGAAGGATCCCGAAGAGGCTTGAGCACCAACTTGGGCGCAGGTTGTGACGGTGGGACTTCCTCGATTCTGGGTGTGGCACTCTCTGGTCCAACACGCGGTGAAGCAGCACCTTCAGGGTCCTGTTAGGGAATAGGGGGGTACCTATCATAATCATCCACTTACTGGAAGGCATGATTCCGAGGTTGAGCTTTAGTTTCTTGCTCGGAAGACTCTCTGCAGGGGTTTGGGGTGCTGGGATATGAATGGTAATCTTTGGTAACGGCTCTTCGACAGCTCGGAATGCCAAGTCTGCCAATTTCAAGAGCGACCACCGCACTTCGTGATCCAATCCCGAGTTGCTACCGTACCAGTGAGCAGGCAAATGACGATCCCAACAGTACTCACAGCATCATCTGCATAATATTTTTCCTGAGTACTTGATTTTTCCCAATCTCTTTGTCTTTACGGAGCGTCTTGATCATCAGGTCGGTCTCGCTCTTCTTCGTCTCCTTGGCCACTTCTGGTTTTGTCGCGTCTTCTTCGATGAGAATTGGCTCAGGTTCCTTGGACGCCATCCGAATCTCGCCAATGACAAATTGAATAGCAAGACTTTCGCACATGTTACTCGCCACGTGCCTCGCCACGACACGAGAAGAATCGCGAGAGACGACCGCCAAGAGGTATTTGAGGACCTCTGGGTGATACCATTTCATGAGGAATAGCCCATCAAAAGCCGCAATACGAACAGGTGTCGAATTGCCCTCCCTGAATGTCATATTAGGAGATCGAGATATTGAAGGCCCACAAAACGCACCTCGTGTACATCAGGAAGAAGATGGGATCATTAGGTATACAGTTTGCCATCATGAGCATGACTTTGAACTTTCAAGGAAGTCAGATGCGGTTATGCACGCGTAGGCCGAGACATCAACATACCTCGATAGTCGCCACCGTGATAGCATTTCTCCAAGAGGGAATAACGCGGTCCATATCTCGATACCGATCAACCTCGGCAATGGCGCCATCCAGAATATCCTTGTTGATTTGCGCCCGAGGGTCGTCGACAATCTTGGGAATATGATCACCCTGAAGCTCTCCACGTTCCGGCGGAGTTGTTGAGACGAGTGAGCAGCCAAGAGCACCGATGATATGTGCCAGGTAATACGAGTCAGAGAACTATAAATGGTCAACCATAGAGCTGTCAGAACGGCGGCGTTACTGACATTGTTTGTCGAGTTGTCGTTATATCTCAGCTGATCAATGAGGAACCGCCGAACAATTGGAACCGTCTCTCCGTTCTCCACGCGCACTTGCGACAACGCAGTGATCAGGGCCTAGTATGCCAATGAGTCATATGTGCCAACGGAACATTCGATGCATGAGAATTCGTGTACCTTTCGGAGGAAGTATTCGGAAAAGTCGGAAAAGTCATTTGCCTTGGGCACGACCTCGTTTTTAAAAATATCCTCCTTGTTCACCGGGTCGTAACAGTACCGGAAGAATAACTTGTAGAGATGGTAGAGCCCAAGATACTCCACGGCCGCACCAGCACACTGAGAGGAGATGTGAGCTGAGCTAGCCAAGGAATGATATCCAGGGTGCTTACCGGAACTAGGGAGAGAGCTGCTTCGGATCGCACACGGAAGAAGTAGGTTGTAGTGAGGACCGTCTTTGTGAATGTGCTCGACACAATCTTGGATGGAATACGCGACAGTGCGTGAATAGCCTGGGCAACGTGTAAGCATGATATACAGGACAAAAGATCGACGATAACAAACCTCGATTTGAGCAATCACATCCCTATCTCGCTGGAGCTGTGAAACCCACATAAACGGCTCTTGATCAAACGAGATTTTGGTGAGCCACTCAATGTCCGTGTCCAGTCGGATCCACTCGTATGTCGCCGTCGCCATGTGTGCCTCGTCTGCCTCGGTCCAGTCCGCCACCTTCCACTCCTCCCGACTCGCATCGTCTTCCCAAATCCCCAATCCAAAACTCATATCCACCACACCAATCAGTTCTGCCGTTTCCTGATTCCCAGCTGCTTCTGCTGCCTGCTGACGGGCAATGAACCGCTTCGTGTTCCTTCGCACACGTTTGTACTTTGTGTTGAACGGGACTTCAAACTTTTTATACGGTTGTCGAATATCCAAGACGTGTTCATATGGTGTACCATCTGCTTCATGGATACGGATTGTCATTTGACCATCGAAAAAGGGCATGGGCCGTAGTAGCGCAAGCTGTACCGGATCCTCTTTGTTGAATTCGTACGCCGGGGATTCTTGCTTGACGTGCATTTCGACTGCCATCTTCTTCCTGTTGAAATGAGAGCGCACCGCGAACCGTGGGCACCCACTCCCGTAGACCCATTGCTCGGCAAATGGACGAAAGTCGATACCAGCCGTCTTTCTACACATGCGGAGGAAGCTATGCGTCGAGATAGCGGCCGCGCTCTCGTTTTCCAATGCATCCAAAATGATCTTTGGGATGATACGATGAAGCCCTTGCGACGTGCCAGTCTTGTGCATCCTTCGATCGAGGATGTGCAGCACGAGTGGTGCCTTGAGATTGACAAACTGTCTAAAGGCTGGATCCGTCGGCTCCAATAGTCCAGGTTGGCATATCGGCGGCATCTCTCCAACGTCCAAATCGACAACGCGGAGGATATCCTTTTTGAGTCTGAACCGGTATTCATTATTGCCAAAGTGTTTCCTCACAAAGGAGGCAGTAATGTAGCTTCCCAGCCCATTGACCAACCACGTATCCGACCACGTCTTTTGATAAATGTTGATCCCGAACCACTGCACGGCAACCGCCTGACTGAGCAGGATGCGCGTTTCGAACACGGGGTCAATCGCATCATCCGTATGAAGAAGATCAACCGATGCGAGACACATGGTCGCACCATCATGTCTTTGCTGGACCAAATCGTCTACAAAGACGAGTTTGAACGAGCTAAACGGGTACGAGCCAACTTCTTGAATGAAATGTCGCATGGCTTGTGGTAGAAACCCAGCCGTCGCGACAAGATGTCTCTCATGACCGGGCAAGCAGAATGCATGCATACGCGGTTGACCCGCCATGTTCACCGCTGCCCCATCCGCGCCGACAGATCCCGAGGGGTCCATACGACTCAGCGCAGCCGCCGCTGCTGTTGTGGCCGTCTGTGCAGTCGAAATTGGCATGACATAAAACGGTCCCGCAGCCCACGCGATATGCTGCACCGAGGTAAGTGCCTGTTGTTCAAACAGAAAGATGACTTTGTCTGGGTCGGTAGGGTGAACGATTTGTTGTTGAAATTCTCCACTGCAGACGACGACGACGTTATAGTTTGGGCTATTGAGCGAATCGCCATCGGCATCAAGGGACCGCGGGACGACGAATTCAAACTCCCATGTACACCTCTCCCAGAGGTTGTCTACGCAAGGCACCCAGCATCGTGCCGCATCTGGCGAAGTGGGGGAGGTGTATACGTGGGGAACACGCTAGAGACCCCAACCTAGTCAGCCACAGAACAAAGATGGGTTGAAATTCGGAAAACGCACATATGGATACAAGTCGGAGGGTAAAACAAACTGAAGCCCATCTACTGGATCCTTGAGGGCATACTCGATTCGGACGACCAACGGATTGTACTCCTTTGCAGCCTTTTCTACCACTGTCGTCGAAGGTCCTCCAGTTGCATTTTGCGTCTGAGGCGGCTGAGAGAGTGTGATAGCGACATCTTGTGGGATCGCAATGGACAACTCGCCCTCGTCACCCTCTGAGAGTGCCGAATACAATCGCCGCTTGAGCTCTGGATAGGCACTGTACGCCGAGCTGTCGTCTGGTTTACTGATCGTCACATTGGAGAGGGGGTCGTGATGTACAAAGTTTGTCGTATGCGCGTTTACTTTGACAGCCAATATTTCTTTTTTTTGATGCGGTGGAGGCAGACGGTGCGAAGAAGGGGACGCAAAGTTTGTTCGTATCAGAAGAAGCACCCAATGATGATGATGAAAGATAGACGTACTGCATTGCCGCGCGTGGAGATGAATCGTCCTCAGGTCCGGGATGTTGGGGACAATAGTGATCTCTGTGTATCCCTGTATATGAAACTGTTTGGTTATATTTCACGGTATAGGCCAACTATATACCTGCAAAGCTCCCGAAAAGTCAATTTCCAGTGCCACTCTCTGGCTGCTGACGGAGAAACCGCGCCGTGTCGATTCTCGCTGCATTCCGTGATCAGTACTATGGTTGTATTATGCTATCGGCCCTCTTTGATGCGCGTTTTGGTGGGTAGAGAGACCGAAACCGTCGCAGTGCCGTGACGGCGCTGTCCAAGTCACAAATGAATTGCTGAGGTCAGCTCCATGGACTCTAACAGGCGCATCAATAGAGTATAAACTATCATGTTTTTTAAAGAAAAGGATTCTATGAGAGCATGAAAATCTACAGATGATGCGAATGAGGAGTGAAGGGCAGACGAGCATGACAAGACGACCAAGGACAAGACGCGACGGAAATCGAGAAGGTGATATGGGGAAAAAAAGATACAGTGGATTGGGGCAAAGCCTGGGAGTCTTGAGGTAAAGCAGACCTAGTGCAGCGCGGAGAAAATGGCCATCGCAGGGGAGATTAATTTTTTTTTCTCACTTCTTGACGGCGGTGACGGCCATGAAACGGACATAAATGGGGACTTTGCCACCCATGACTTCGATCCTCGCCGCATCTTCGAGCATTGATAGTTCAGTCGTGGTATAATTCCCATGGGAAAGGAGCAAGGGCGTGCACGAACCCAAGAATCCCTGTTTACACCGGGAGATCATCTTGTCAACATCCATCGATCCGAAGAGATGAGAAAAAAAAAAGAAGAGACGTACGACAAACGCGGTTCGGAACTCTGTCGCCGTCTTGCGTTCTTGTGCATCGGCCCCTACCGAGAAGCGTCAGGTTTCAAAGATGATGGTGTCAATGGCGACGTACCGGGTGCAGGAATGACGGGGATCCATATATCCCTTGTTTCAATGTCCTTGAATTGGTGTGATCGCTCGACAAATGCAGCTAGGTGGTGCACGGCGGTAATGTGGCTGCCCGCGTTTGAGCTCGCACGAATGACCGAGCTCAGAAAGTGGGTGAGCGCAGGGACCTGTGGAGTAGCGGATCTTGGGACTTGGAACGTTGGTGCCCGTTGGTTGGGCTCATAGGTGGGTGAGGTTGGCTTGTAGGGAATCTTTGAGGCATTGTATATTTGGTAATCCCACTCGATGAACAAGGCTAATCCACCGGATACAAGTGTGTCGGCAGCGTCGACAATAAACGAACTCCACCGTTGAATCTGGATAAATGGGTGTCAATTTAAACTGTCTAGACCATGTACACCAAAAAAGCCACATTACCCCTTGCGTGAGATTTCTCGCGTGTACGACATCGTACATTCCATGAAACGACTCGAGGCCGGCATTGATATCCCGGATCTGGAATGTGGCGGTCGGAGGGCCGAGAGCCGTCGGTGGTCTCCTGGAAGGAACGAGATCGATGCCGGTAAACTCTGCACCGGGATTCCGTGCTGCCATTTGGTCAATCCTGTGGGAGGCGCGGTCAAAGGGAGGGGAAGGCTAGAGAGGACGGCTAGCGCACCAGTCACCGCGAGCAGATCTACAAAAGGATGAATAAGACGGGCCAACAAAGCAGGAAAAAGAGAAAACGTACCCGAGGTCGAGACAGCTCACGTCCGGCTTCTTTAACCACTGGTCTACTTTTTGGTAGACGGGGCCGAGGACACGGTCGAGGACGGTTGTTTCTCTACAAGGATGTAAGAAGGATAGATACTGAGCACAGAAACAGACGACGTACGATCGCAGACGGACGTCCTCCTCGTCGTCGTCTGGGAGTACGTAAATGTCACAGAGTGTATTGACCAGTCTGTTATGAAGGACTTTGTGGAACGAGTCTGTAACCGAATGATTAGTTTAACAGCGTCTACGGACATTTAGAGGGGGGGGCTGACCCGAGGTCATGATGTGGAAGGGAGCGTAGTCGTGCAGGCGTTTGTACGCACTTGGGGACGATTGTTTGGAAGCGAGCATGACTTTGACGACGAGAGGGGTCCAAGAATTTTATTCGGTTCGAGCTGTCGAGCTTTTTAAGGCTGCCAGGTGGGTTCGGCGGAGTTACCATTGTCACAGACTTTGGCCTTTTTGCGCTCCGCCGAAGCGCATATTTCCAGACGTTCGAGGCTCAGCAATGGCTTCCAACCGATGAGCACGTGGTCTCGATGAATCCTTTGCCCCGTCCATCTCCTCCGGGCGCTCCCGCTAGCAGCTCCCCCTGGGCGTTCGGTTCTCCACTGAGAGCATCGTGTCGGCTAAATGAAAAGAAGGAAAGGGGAAAAAAAAAACTAAACATTTTCATGGGACTAGCCTTGTCTTTGCCCAGCCTCCCTGTCGCTGTCGGCGGTAAAGGGAGCGTTGGTTGGGGACGACCCCAAGATCGACAACATCCACCGCGTCAACTTCCAAGTAGACTACTGCAAAGTGTTCAAACGCTTCTTTCACCCTCGGATCAGCTCCTTGTTCGTCCAACTGCGGCAACTCTACAGGCCAAGTTTTGGCCTCTTCGGGGTCATCAAGCACACTCCCAGGCGGGGGACGCGCAAAGGATGCACGTAAGAATGGGCTCAACGCATTAAATGCATCCACGCGGACCTGTTCCCAATCTACCCCGTTCTCCCGACGGCCCGTCAAGTCGATGGGGAACGCATCTCTCCATGGATGGCCTGCTGCTGGTAGTAGATGTGTGTAGCAGCTTAGTCGAAATTGAACATTTGGTGTTGAGAACCACCACACAATTTCCGCGTCTGGCTTGTTCTCTGATGATGGCGGGTTCTGGCGGTGGCGCATTTGCGACGTTTTAGCAGATCGTATGTCTGTCGTCGTCTGAAGAATCACCGCTCCAGACTCCTTCTTTTCTCCGTACAGCTCGACAAAGGATCGGTGGACAACACTTCGGGCCCGTGGCTGATTATGGATCGTCCCAAAGTCCGCCGTCGAGGGATCAGAGTGCACCTCGGATGTAGCAAGAGTGTATACTACATAATCCACCCGGTTCACGTCAATTTTTTTGGGCGGTCAACCAGCGCGCTAAAGAATCCAAGCCACATACCGACGGCTTTCTTTTCGTTTCGGAGTAAATCATCCAATCTCAACTTCCATTCGGGTTCTGCGTCCATCTCTCACTCGAGTCTCACACGCCTACTCACAAACCCAGTCGAGGTCGGTTTCAATCCTTTGCAATGGGTCCCATCGACGACCCTGATTATCTGTTGGCCTGCGCACCTTGCAATCAGATTTCAATTCTAAATATCTAACCGATGTACATTTCTGTTCTGAGCCCCGATTCCATCTACGTACACTCAGTCCTCTCTCCGCCGTCACCCACGGTCCTTGAACCCAATAAAGCCAAAGCCTATTCCCAGTTATCACAAGTTTTCCAGCTACCCGTACGGTTCCATCCTCACCCTGCCTTCTTCGCTTCCATCGTTTGCCGTCGCTTCCGGTCAATTCGCTTTGCATCCCGTGCTTTCGTCTTTTGTCGCTCCTCGACGCCTTTGAGCAACCGCAGTCGCCCAAACATCTTGAACACCCTCGAAATGTCCGTCCATAATGCCCACGTCACCACCACCACCATGACAGGTAGGATAATCTGCCAAAACATGGCCTCGCTATGCTCTTGCACAGACGGCATCGTCGCAAAATTCATCCCCTACCACAGGCGGTCAGCATGTTACTCATCGAATCTCACTTCAGCTCACAAAGTATCCAGTCTGTAACTCAGTTAGCTCGGTAATATAAACTATTATAGACACGTACCGTGGCCGTTATGGGCAGAAAAATGAGCGTCAGAATGGTCATTCGTCTCATCTGGTTATTCGTCGCATGCGCATTCATCTGCCCCGACTTTAGCATAATCATCCCATCAATCATCATCACAAGAGCAACGCACATTAAAGACGAAATCGATCAGGTTGTCGGTCATGGTGTTGAATTGCTCGAGAGAGGATGTGATCGTTTCTAAATGGTCGCTAATATCAGCCTGCCCCCAGTCAGTCTTCACCAAACCAAACCAAAAAAAACCATTTTCCCTACCAGGTAGACTTTCGTCTTTGGGCTCATATACCCCTGCACCTGGCCCTGGGGAATTCCAGCAACGGCGAGCGCTGCTGCTGTCCTTTCTAGGTCGAATCTACGAAGCCCATAGATGAGCGTCTTGAGAGGTTGCATCGTCCGCTTCCTCAAGGTCAAGTCTGCTGATAGAATGTGTACTACGACCGTCAGAGCCATAGTCACATCTCCTTTGACGTACTCACGACTTCGAACTACATCCATATTGGGTTTAAGTAAGACATGAGTCTCACTCTCATTAATTTTATCGCCATATTTGTCTCTGCAACGCATGTGAGCCCAGCTTGCCATACGAACAATCCACTCACATGACATCCAACATCTGATCTACAATGAGATCAAGGAGCGATTGGAGAAGGAGAGACCCCTCTGGATCCTTTCGCAGCACAGTGTCGGAATGCCGGAGTCGATTATAGATTGGATTTCCAAACGCACGGTCGCCCTGATGTAACGAGATGACCGTCCCATCTTTAAAGAGAAAAAAGAATGCATTCGAGACTAGCACCCGCACTCGGTCTCGTTTCTTCAGAGCCTCTAGCTTGGCTACCCGTGCCTGCCGCCGACGGCCTTCCTGTCACAGCAGTCAGCACCTGAGCGGAGCCAAGGCAAAAGCCCTTACCGGACTTAGCAGTCCAACTGCCTCGGACCAGCGCATGCTACCCATGCGACTCTGGCTATTCCCCGCCGACGCTTCGGTGTCTACAGACTTTGTCCGCCGTCTCTTACCACGTCTTGTGACGCGCCGAAGCAAAGCACGGCGATTCGACTCTTCCTCTTCAGCCTCAGTTCCGCCGTCCGTAACCGTGGTCTCCTCCGAGTCTTCAGACCCTGAGGTTGTTGCTGCATCGGCTTCTTCGGCGAGGTACTTTGCGTCGAGAGGAGACGATCTTTTCGAGTGCAAGGCATGGCATAGGACATGCAAAAACAAATGTCGTTGGTAGTAGTCTGCCTATTTATTATTAGCTAGCATCCCAATGGATCCCCGAAACTACTCACTTTTGAGCGTGTGGTCGGGCCACTGTGCATAATATCCTCTATTGATAGTGGATGAAGCTGGTACTTTAGGGCTAGGGCACTTATGACGTCCCATGATATACCCTACCAGAGGTGAGACAGGCTTCCGACACCAGGATACTGCAGAAACCTACAGCTATATTGATCCATCGAACTTTCATAGGAGGCTGACGGTCGCACCCCCTGAGAAAGGCGATAAACGATTCATTGTGGAATTGTTGAAACCGAACACGGTCCTCGCTGTAATCCACGACCTCAATCTCGCAATCTTCTTTAATGTGAGCGTATGCCCTATTTGTAGATTCTCTTCTTGGATCTAGGCCTGGTTCTGCTCCTGGCGCGCGAACAAACGGTTCGACGAGCGTCTCGCTGCTGTGTTGAGCTTCGATAGCCTGTATATCACGTCCAAAGCGCGCGTTATCCATCTACTCGTCGCATAGCAAGGTGAATAAAGACGTACGCTCATGAGGTTTGGTGGCGGTAAACCATTTGTATCGTGTACATCATGAAAGTGTGCGTGTGTTGGAGACTCGTGAATTGGCCTGCCGACAATGTGTCCTGGTGTGACATGTCCCGTTTCGTGCGTGGGACTGGTGACCTCTATCGGCGGTGAAAGGCCATACGCTGCGCTCACGTCCGGAGGTGCGTCAAAGTCGTCGGGATCGTCTGACCCGTCTTCGCTCTCTCGCTGTCGACGCTGAGGATGCTTCGGGGTCACTAAACTTTCCATGTTTCGTGGTCGGGTCCAACAAAGTCCGGGCCAAGCATAGACGCCATAGGACGGGGTGGCGGTGATATACACACGTTTAGAGCTGAGCTAATTACAGCATTACAACCTTAGTCCACTTGTTCCAGACTCGCAACCCTCGCCTCTAATCTCTCTACCAATCCTCGCAGCCTCTCCAGCTCTTGGACAATTGCAGACTCTTTATGCCTCGGCTGGTTAGTCGCCCTGTAGGCACCGCGGTCGATGTTGGCGTCCCATTCATGCTCTGTTGGGCTTCCATAAACGCTTTGACAGCGTCGCCTACCCATCTTTCACGTTCAGTCTCCCTCCTTTCCTCAACTTGTCGTTTGCCTGTCTCTCTTCGCTCTCCAACGGTCAAAATGGTATAGATGTTGCTCGCGACCAGCAGCGCGATGATAATACTCAGCACCGAGGTTCTTGAGAACGAGAAACCGCCGATGAGGTCCGAAATAATGTCGAACAGACCAGAGATGGAGTCAGTTGTCACCTTGGACGCGGCTTCAAATGTGTCGAGCGCCCATTGCAAGCCGCGCGAAGTCGCCACAGGCTTTGGTCCAGTGGGTTGTAGTCCACCATCCTTTGGTGTCGATGCGTTGAGAGCCGCTTCCTCGGCCTGCGCCTCTTCGACCGCATCTGCGTCGACGCCCTCTGGGATGAATTCCGTCCGGTGCTCCGAGATGTACTTGCGCATGGCAGTTTCGAGGTCGGAATAGTATGTCTTTTGACCATCACCGCACGACTTTTCGATGATGCCTAATATAAAAGTCAGCAGTGCCATCGAAATAAGTTGGACACGCACCCTTGATAAAGCTTTTGCCAGTCCATTCGACAGTGAAGGTGACCACAATCTTGGTCGTGCTTGGTCCAGCCCACATGATGCAGGTCCGCGTTTTGACAGAAAATACACCACCACTCGGAACGTCGGGAGTTCTCGTCGTCGTAATTGTACTGGCGTAGTCATTGTAATCGACGTGCTGGTTCTCATCCCGTAGTTCGCATTTCGTCTGCTTTGGCCCGAATCCACCAGAGAGAGGCTTGATGTACGACATGTTTCTCGACAGCAAGTGTTGATTCTCGGGAGAAGGTTGCCAGTCAGATGTTTGGATATCTGAAAGGTGTCAGTTGCGATAGACCAGTAGTAACAAGGATCAACGAACCAATTAGATGTTGATCTTGAGCTAAGAAATCTTTGATGAAACCACTAGCAAACATGAGATTGTAAATTTGTTCAGGGGTCCCCGGTACGATCGCCTCCATGGCGGTATTTGGGTAGTGAATGCCAGCTTTGCCGCATGCACACTGCGTCGCTTTACGCTTGGCAGTCCCCACAGCTGCAGCGCCCAGATTGTTCTCTTGGCCGGGTGCCTGTTCGGATCCGGGAGAGTTTAGATCGGATCGCGAGTTGCCACCGTTGCGCCACACACTGTAGATGACATCGTATGCGGTATCACGCGCCAGGAAACTTGCAAATGTATACTTGTTCGAGTGCTCAGTAATCCCAATAGCATTGGGAATCACAAAGGCCGTCATCTTCTTCTCCACAGCCTTGACTCCGCTAACGGGGATGATGAGGTCCGTCACCCAGCCAAAGATGTTGGCGTGAAAGCAAATGTGGTTTTCGGAAACGTAGAGTCGGCCCTGGATTAGGATATCTCTCTGTAATGCACATCCATAATCTGCGAAGCGATCAATACCGACTGTTCAAAAGAGGAGAGTTTGCATACCATCGATAAGATAGTCATCCGCAGGGACCTGTGGAAAGAGCTCGTGAAAGTCTTGATTGCGTTTCATCGTAGCCACGGCAAAGCCTGTGATTGGTATCTCGTCATCGTTGAAGCTCAGTGCGTCCTCTGAATCGTAATCTTCAGAGTCGTCTCCCGAGTCGTCGTTGGTGGGTCGTGAAGAGGTAGAGCGGCCACGCGACCGGATCACCCTGGTTCTTTCGGGCGAAACCCGTCCGTTTGGAATATTGGAGACTGACACATTCGATGGCTTTTTGTTGAGCATCGGGGGTGCCAGAGTTCCCGAGGGAGAGACAAGCATGTTTGGAGGGGGTGCGATGCCCATGCCAGATGCGACGAGCGCACTGGCGAGACCCATGCCCATGGTCGTTTGATGACGCGTTGGTGGCTTTGCTTTGGAAGACGACTGTGAGGCGGCACCTACAGAGGACGCGTGCTGACGGCCGGTGCGTCGCTTCTTTCCAGGTGAACCAGTGAGGTCCCTGTCTGGCCCTGGTGCTGTGGTTGCGTCGACAGAGACCACACGTTGGCGAATAGGTGGGGGCGAATCCACGAGCTGTTGCAGGGACTGAAACTGACCAGACTCGCCAGAGGCAATCGAACCACTCCGGCGCGAGGTAATCGACTGAGTGGGAGACTCAGTCATGGGAATCGTAGGTTCAGCAGCCGGCTCGACTGTCGAATTTGTGCGCGAACGCTGCGTTTTCGCTGTCGACGCAGGAGGCTTTGCCTCGGACTGGGGTGGATTCCTCCCGGGAATCTCGTCGTTTGATACTGTGGCATATCTCCGATGACTCGTATCCGAATTACGACTCAAGCTGTCCACGGACGGCGACATCGAGTCTGCTCGGTGCACGCTCGTTGGCGACACCGTCATTGGGGACGCCGAATCATCTTCTTGCGTCAGCACGAGCTTTGGCGTCGACGGTGTATCAGTTGGAAGTGCAATCCTTGGGAGACTTGGTGAAGGTGTAATGCTGCGCGAGCCATTCTTCGAGGTGCGCCCATTGGTCGTGGCTGCGAGTTTGCCATCCTTTGTGGTGAGTTTGTTGAGCCAGCCAGACATTGTCTATGGTAAGCAGTTATGTCAGCTCAGAGTCGATACAGATGACGCCGTCTCTCATGCCAAGTTTGTCGCGTTACAGCAGAATTAAGCCATAGATAAGAACAAGGATGCTCACCGTTGAGATGTCTATGGCCTCGAGGATGCGCTGCGGACGGTTTCAGAGATTACTTTGGCTAAAATTCTGCTCCTCTTGGAAGCAAATAGCACGCTTTTGTGGTTCTCCAGCGCTGAACTGGTTTTCTACGCTGCACACGCGGCGCCAGAGTTGTAGCGCGGTTCAAGTGGTGTTAGCGCGCCACGACCCACTTTCCGAGTTGCTGGATTACAACTTCCGGTCGCCGGTTTCCATGATGACGTGTGCTCAACGCCGTTTAAACCCAAGTTATACAACACAATAGTCTGTACGGAATCATTTACGGACTTTGAGCGCGTCGAGCCTCCGCTTCAGAGCTTCATACTCGTTCTCCGCCGGCGCTGGCTTACTTTCCGCTTGGGACGAACCAGCATTTGCGTTAGGGGTCGCGGATCCTTCAGTTGGAGGGATCGTGGGTAACTTGGCCGCCACACGGTCCGATGTCGCACCAACTGGGTCTGTGAGTAGAGGCGCAACGAGATCTGAATGCTTCCTCTCGAGCCCTATACGTTCAGCTTCCTACATGTTTGTTAGTTGTATCTCCTAGATCATGTCCGGTACACACCCCGAGACCACCGCCTGCTTCGTCGTCGGATTTAGCTGGTGTGTAGTCCACTCCATATCCTCTCGCGATCTCCTCCAGATAGGCGTCAACGAGTGGCTTTGGAGGTGTCTCTACAATCAACTTTCTGGTCACCTATTCACATGAGGTCCACGATCTCGATGCCTGGATACTAAACGTACCCGTGCGGGAACACATTCGTCTTTGTTCTCCATTACTGCAAGAGAGAACTCCCGCCCAAACTTGTGCATCAGCATTTCACGGAGCACATTGAGCTCTAAAAGCATCTCAGAGGTAGCTACTCGTTGGTGGTGCACTCACCCTTGACTTCTGTACGTGGTGCTGCGTATATTACTGCACAGATGGCTTCGTATATTCCCGGATCCGGCTCCTTGGAGTTGTTGTCGAGCAGACCGAAGCGCGCGGTCAAGATCTCGCAGTAGAGCTCTAAAATCTCCAACAATTCAATGTGAATATCGTCTCCAATGATACTTTCGACTTTGATTCTAGCCGTTTCCATCTTATTTCGTTCAACGAGCTGCGCGATATCTCTGCGAGCCATCTTTGCCAAAGACGCCTTCTTCTCTGCAGAGGCATTAGTATACGTCATCGAATAGCAATCTGGCTAGTACCTTGTAGCGTTCTCAACCGCTGAACAGCAATTCTATAGCAGCATGAGCTCCGCGCCAGAGGATCATCGAAGCCAATGTACAAACTTGAGCTGTACCTAAGTTGACAATATCAGATTGCACAGTTCATAAGTGTAATATGACGATGACCTTTGTTTTCGCCGCATTCCAGAGAACCATGGTGAGAGTGGCTACAGAGCAAGCCGTTGCCGGCTTCTCGATCACCCGGCCCGTCGAAACTTGGAACTCTCCTCGACGAGCATTCTGCCATGCCACCAGTTCCGCAAAGACTCGCTCCTCCAGCTACAGGAGAACATCTCATTACGTCTTGTCCGAGCGAGCATGTTTTGCTGCTCACCCTCAACCGGCCAAAATCGCTCAATGCTATGACCCCAGAGCTCCAAGAGGACATAGAGCGTGTACTAGACTGGGCAGAGAATGAACCAGAAGTATGGTAGGTAAACTGTTCATAGCTTCGACGCGTTCTGACAATTATATCCAAGGGTCGTCATTATAACCGGCACCGGCAGAGCATTTTGCGCAGGGCAGGATCTAAAAGGGTGCGCCTTTAGTTATACTTTGGGATTCTGTAACATCTAATAGATGGCTCAATCGCCCACGCACTGAGAATAACCTCCATGAGCACGGTTTCGCGGGTATCTCTGCAAGGAGAACCCTTACCAAACCACTTATTGCGGCTATCAATGGGATTGCATACGGGGGTGGTATGGAGCTCACGGTCAACTGTGACCTAGTCGTTGCAAGCGAGGACGCGAAATTCGCGCTCCCTGAAGTGTCCAGAGGTGTAGTCGCGGCGCAGGGCGGCATTCCGCGGTTAGCCAGCATTGCAGGGCATCAGGTAAGAAGATTTATTGTATAACCTGTGGCTCACATTCACGTCTATAGCGCGCATCAGAGATGCTCCTCCTTGGACGACCCATCACAGCGCAGGAAGCATACCAGCGGTTTAACTTGTCCGTAAACTATGACCTTTGTTTTCTATGCTCATAGCACATAGTGTCAATGCGGTGGTGCCATCCACAAAGCTCATGTCGACTGCGCTCGAGTGGGCAGCCATGATTAGCTCCAACTCGCCAGATGCTGTACGCAGTACCAAGAAGGCACTTATGCTCGCCAAAGAACATGGGATGTGGGAGGGCTCGAAACGCCATATCGAGTCGCCAGAGCACAAGCAGGCCATGAACGGCGAGAATATCAAAGTGAGTGGATGCACCTACCCTAACCGCTGTCTGACTCGCCCAAAGGAAGGCTTAGTTGCGTTCTCAAGAAAAGGAGTCCCTCATGGAAGAGTCCTCCAGCAAAACTCTAGCCTTTGTTCCTTGGCAGAATTGTACATTAGAACCCGAATCTATGACGCTTAGTTTGTCGAGAAGCAAGTTTCTCTGCCTATCTCTTCGCATGAAACCAGCTCGACTAGATCATAGAGGGCGCACCTGTTCAGCCATTCCGCCTGCAGTTTTCTCCAATTCTGTGGTCTGCGCTGCAAGGCTATCTAGGGCCTCGCTACACTCTTCTGAGCATTTCATATTATCGAACTAGCACACCACTCACCCTCTTTCTGCAAGTGCATTCTTTGCTGAAGAGATGGCATCTGCGTTCGATTCCGCTACCTTTGATACCGGTTTATTTGGCCGATTTGGTCCGGCCACTAGCAAAATCTTTCAGCTGACTTCCAAGAAACTGATAAAAAAGTACCAAGGGCATCAAAGTCAGCACCGCTCATCCCCGAGCCTAATAGCCACGAGATGAGTCCAACAGTTTGGCTCTGTGTCTCGTGAAGCTTTGGAATGGTGATGTCTGGAGCCGCAGCACGGCGTGTATCGTCAAGAGACCACACTTCGATTCCGTGCTGCGTCAGCACACTGAATTCCATAGAATGTGATATTGTTGATGCGGACTCGAGCTCTCTTCGAGATCGTGAACTCAAGTATCTATAGCTGCCATCGCTTACCCGTTGACGAATGGAGTGCGCAGCTCGGTAATTGTTTGTAGACCAGGAAGGGCCGAGATGACGACTGTTCCCTTTGTATTGTAGGTCACCAGACAGGCCGAGCCGTTCTTTTGCAGAAGTCCCGCTCCAACGATGCCTGCAGTGCTGAAAGTTCCGAGCTCTTGGCTGCTCCAACCATGGTGGCATGCAATAGCAGTGTCAGAGACGGTAACGCGATAGAATTCTCCGGCAAAAGTACTCTTGGGGTTTTCTTTGACATTCTTTGATGAAAGGAGTTCTTGTAGCCGCATGGGCGAAGCGACCAGATCCTCGCCACTGAGGATTTCAACCAGGAAAATGCGGATTGGGCGCGGGAGACATTTCCGGGCAGGAATTTCCAGCAGTTTGCCTACATTCCATCCGTGATTTTCGTTGATTATTGGCAAAAGTAATGTGGCCCCCGATTCGTGTACGATAGCGAGGTGTAACTCCTGGTGAAGCTTGGCTAAATAAATGTTAGCCGTGGACACTAGAGCAAGTGACTGCTCACCATGTCCTTTACAGATTGAAAACTTCAGAAGTATCACCTTGTCGTCGAGAGGCGATACGTGTTCATAGAGGACAGAGGGACCGCGCATGTCTACAATCAGCACACTGTTGTTTGCATAGGCTGCCGCGAAGAATCCTGCTTGCGATAAGCCCCTAGCGTGAACGATACTTATAAGGTACCTATCTCAGAAGTCGCAAAAGCCGCGATTGGGCCAGCTTTCGCGTTCAAGAGAACTTTTGGCGCAAATCCTTCTCTTTGGTTTGTGGTGGACATATCCAATAACCGGCCATCTGTCTCCTTTGGTGTGGGTTTAGGGGGGGAAGTTGATCCATCGCTCCACTTCCAAACGATAACTTCTCCCGAAGTGAAGCCAACAAAAACTTCCAAGGATTTTGGAACAAACTCCAGTAGACAGGATTCGATATTGGATGCGTCCTGGACAAATGTCCATGTCAAGGGATCCTCTAAAGGGTCTCTGATTTGCAACGAAGCATTCAGGAGTGGGTTTGGATAACGTGATGCCAAGGAGGATTCAGATAATAAGAGGTGCGGCGAGACGTTATCGAAACGCACGACCTCATCACTGGACAAAGTCAGAAGAAGCCGAGGGGTTTCGTACTAGGTTGTCAGTCTAGGTGCAAAGAAACTTCAATAAGGTACCTTTGCGAGCTTGACGTTGGGTCCACCGCTCACTTGATGTGGTCGTGCGAGTCCACCAGAAGCGATGGATCGCTGATTCTCAGCATTCATAAAGGATACCGGCATCTCCGTGTGACAGTTGACCAACCTTGCCATCTTAACAGGCGGTCGCATTTGATAGTAGGGTAGATCACTTTGAGCCCCGCGACCTACACCTTCTTGCGAGAGATCCAGAAGCTCCAATTTGCTGTCTGAAGTGAGAAGGAGAAGGTTTTCGGATAATGGGTTGTCAATAAAGTCGTTAATAGGTCGAGGAGAAAGAATATGTCGGTGATAATTTGACGCCATGAGATTCTCAAGAGAATCGAAAGGTGTGCTTGAAAAGTCTAGGGTGATGATTGGTGGTTCATCTGGAATGTTTCCTCCCAAAACGGTGAGACGACTACCTGAGTCAAGTCTTCTCCAAGATAGTTTGAAGACCGGACTCAAAGAAGCTTGAGTGGAACTGTGACTTGTCGGAGAGCCCACAAGTTCTGATACAGTTGTTATCCAAAGGGGCTCCTGTTCTGCCGTGTTCCAAATGGCAAGACGTCCATCCGCGAGGCCGCTCATAAAAATATCCTCGTGGGGATGAAGGGCGAGACAGACAGGTTGAAATGCAGATTTGTCAGGTAGAGTGTAAAGTCGCTCGACGTTGTGAGTCGACTAGAAAACAATCAGTTTCAAAGAGTACTAACGGTTCAAGAACTTACAAATCTCCACAGGTATATAGAATCTGCGTGGAATCAGGTCAGTTTTCAAGGAGCGTCTGATACTTACTTGTAGTTGCAATGACTAGAAGGTCAAGTGAGCGATTCTGGGCGAGGTCCATCACGACGTCCTGGGAAACATCGAGATGCGGGATTGTCTTTGTTGGTGATACGCATAGTCTCGATAAGTCGTAGAGATGGATTGTCCCATCCGGAAACGGAATGAATGCCTATGAACGCTCAGCGTTTTCATGAGATTACGGAAATGATCCATGTACGTGTTCGTGCATCGGCGACACCACAATGAACCTTGATGAGAATTGGTGAATGCCCCATTTACACAAGGAGAAGACGAACACGGTTTCTTTCGGCAATTCCATCGTAGCTGCAATCTGGTCTTGAAGAACGCCATCCAATGTCCAAACGATCATAGTATGATCCGAGATACAGATCAGTTTACTTGCAGCTGACGATATCTGTAAATGCGAAATGGGTTTGCCTTGCTTTGTAGAGAAGGCAAAGTGCACGGCAGGTGCCCCATAGAGATGAATTTCGCCGTTGCTAAAACCTTTCAGAGTCAGAGTTCCGAATCATGAGCGGAATGTCGTATTACCACAAGCATAGACGTCGAAAACTGGGTCGTACGCAATCGCAGTTATCAGGCCAGTTTGGAAGCTTTCATAGTATTTCAAGTCCCAAATCTTTTCGTCTTTCAAGTTTGAAGATATATCTGGAGCTCCTTTATGTTTCTTGCGAAATATATCCATGGTCAAGGTGGAGTCCAAGCTTGGAGTCCGCCATCATGTCCACGCGTCGAAGGGACAGGTCGCGCTCTATTTCATTGGAACGACCTCCAAGAGGTGTTTCTGAGATTACAGAAAAGGATTTTTTCCTCAAACACGACGCCTTCCAGCTTTGGCTGAGGGAGGAAAAGGACAAGGTGTGTCCCACAGTATCACCATCAATGAGTTATTTACACCGTAAGTGCCGCAGTACTTCACCGAATTGAGTGGCGAAAAGGCGCGCAGGTGTGTCTTGTCTGCTCTCCTTCGTCTTGTTTTAATGACCAGACAGCTATTTCCGCAAGTTTGTCAAGAGCTGGAACAGAGGGCGACTGGACAAGAAGTATTACGAGGATACAGACGGTGCCCAAAGAGCAGCATCTTCGACGTCGTACAGATGGGCCTTTGCCAGTAGTGACAAGGTCAGCGAAAAGGAGATTCGTGGAGCTAGAGACGCAGTCAGGGAGGCTACAAACAACGCCCGTGGAGACCTGCGTCCTGTCCAGGGACCAACACTCCCACCTTTGGACGATCATCAAGGTGGCGCTTCGGCCTCGGATAGACAATACGAACGAGAGATGGAGGAGGAAAGGCGACAGATTGAGCAGAAGTTTTCGCGTAAAAGGGCTCGAGCCGAGGATAATGACCGAATCGAGGACGCAATAGGTCCTCGCGAAGTTGGACGTGAGAGAATGCTAGAGAACAAGCGCGCAAGAAGGGAAGGCGATCGAGCCTTTCGAGAGAAGGATACCGAGCCAGATATCGACGCAGATTCGCTGATGGGAGGTGACAGTTTCCAAGCGAGGTATGTACAGACCCTTATCCAGCATGAGCTTATATCGCTCGATAGGCTTGCCCAGCGCGATGCGGCTCGCAAGCGATTCGAGGAAAAGAGGCGTGGCGAGCGTGAAGCAAAGGAACAAGCAAGCCGAGATAGAGTGGAAAATATGCGGCAGAAAGACAAAGCAACCATGGAAATGTTCAAAGCTCTCGCGAAAGAGCGCTTTGGGAATTGAAAGCCAATACACCGTCGTCTTGGAGCAGTTGCCGCCACTTGGTAGAGAGACGAGTAGCAGTCATGCTGGCTTTGCCTGGTTTGGTGGCAGCTCCGATCCGATTGGGCAAGTTTTTCATTCTTGTGCCGCGGGTGACTGCTAAACCATGAACAAGTGCCAAGGAATGCGGTGAACGTAGCAATTGTGTCTATCCGGATTCGAATAGGACATCTTAGTGACCCGTGGTCTCAATGGACTGAATTGCCGCTGGCGTCGGAATGATTCTGCGCCCTGGTCGGATGCCTTCTTCAGTCGCAGCAGGAGTCACAAACGGCGTGTCCATAAGTATCGAGACGATGTTACATTTGCCTGATCACACCCTTAGTCTCCAACCCAGCGCCTTTCAGCATCCATGGCCAACTTCACAGCCTTTAAAGAATACGAGCCCAGTCAAGTAGCGGCAATCATTTTCATCTTTGTCTTTCTCGTTGAATTTGTGGCACATTCATGGCAAAGTATACGTGCCAAGGCGTGGTACATGTGGCCGCTCGTCCTATCCACTCTTCTAGAATTTATTGGATACGCACTTAGGTATGTTGCTATATCATTTCACCCGGCTCCATTTGTGCTAATTCCAAACTCGTAGAGAATATTGTATCCATAGTGCGAGCCACCTGAACACATTACGTTTTCCAGTCTCACCATCTCTCTAGATCGTCATGTCATGACGCCCTACATCCTCAGCCAAGTCTTCATTGTTATGAGCCCGGCATTCTTTGCCGCATCAAGTAAGTCAAACCCTGCGTCACACGAACTCGAACTGAGAAAGGACAGTATACATGCTCGTTGGTCGCGCGTACGTCCGTACAGATAGGCAAAAGTTCGTTCCCTAACTTCTCTGATCAGCATGCTCTATGTCGGGCATGGTTATTCCATCATTCGGCCTTCATGGATAACTCCCATTTTCGTTTCCCTTGATGTGGTAGCCATTTGTTCACAAGGAGGTGGATCGGGGATCATGTTTGGTGGGAGCTCGACTCTGGACAGAATCAAACTAGGGCGAAACATCCTCATCGTAGGACTTTTCATCCAGCTTATTGCCTTTGTGGCATTTCTCTTTCTCACTATTTCATTCGATATCAAAACACGTCGAGCGCTGGGCCAACATGTCGCAAGCCTTCGTCCCCTTCTCAACGTATTTTACTTCTCTGGCGCTCTCATTCTCCTTCGCTCTGTCTACCGTGCAATTGGTACGTCGTATACAATGCCCAAATGGTCTTACTTATCTCGTACAGAGTTCATGACTATCGATTTCGGATCATATCCTCTTACGGGCTACTTCTACAACGTAGAATGGAGCTATTATGTCCTTGATGCCATTCCAATCGCGGTGAGTGACACATGGTCTGTTGAGCTTGACTCACTATGATCAGATTGCGGTACTAGCATATAATATATGGTTCCCCGCCAAGTACCTCCCAAAGAGTAAAGAAGAGCGACTTGGAATCAAGGAAGACGGGGCTACTATGCTCAACAACTCATCGCTCGAGCTTCGTCAGGTTTAGAATCATGGTGACCGATATCTACCGGTTTATTCCAAATGAGCTTTATTCTATGTATTTTGAATAGATATAATATCCGACATTTGTCAAGCACCAATGAGATAAGAGTCGAAGTGCTCTAAAAGCTTAGCTGAATGCAGGGAGGGCCATCTAATTACGACCTTTATACGCTTGCAACACCTTGTTTCCAGCGTTATTGAAACAGAAGAAGAGACCCTGTGGGATTCAGGAACTCGTGTGGTAAAAGGAGGACACAACTCATCTCCAGCCTTGACCCGTCAATGAGGGACGAGGGCGCTGTAGATCAGAAAATGATATTCTACTCTTGTGAAGGCGGTGAAAGAAGTAACTGCGGTGGATCCATCCGCCAATAATCCAAAGAGGAAAGGGAGCGTCTGCAGCATTCGCTACCGTTCATAATGGTGGAGACTCCGCCGTAGCTTCATCGAGGTAGGTACCATCTCATGGTTCTGATTTATTAGTTGCATGTGTAAGACCTCATGGGATCGAGTGGGACCTGTTCAGGACCGTTGACTGGGCTTGGAGTGTGTTGGCTATTCGTATGACCAAGACTCAGTTCATTTCAACCCTCGTGCTGGGATCTGAACGGGAGGGCGGGTTGACTGAATCGCCGCTGACATCGGAGTGCCTTAAAGCTTCAAGCATAGGCCTTTCAGCGTCCATGGGTAACTTCACGGCCTTTAAAGAGTATGAGCCCAGCTAAGTCGCGGCAACCATTTTCATCTTGGTTTTCCTCATCGAGTTTGTGGCACATTCATGGCAAGGTGTACGGGCCAAGGCATGGTACATGTGACCACTCGTCCTCTCTGCTCTTCTGGAGTCTATTGGATATGCACTCAGGTGGGCACTTGTGTCATTTGAATTAAACGCAGTGATGCTAATGGTACAATCGCAGAGAATACTGTACCCATAGTGCGACTTACGTCTGCGTACCGCGTTTGCATTCTCACCAATTCTTCAGACCGCCATGTGAGAATGGCCTACATTTTCAGCCAAGTCTTCATTGTCATGAGCCCCGCGTTCTTTGCGGCATCCAGTGAGTTCAACACATCTTCATATGGAATTTGAACTAAAAGAGAACAGTATACATGTTTGTTGGCCGCGCGTAAGTCCATACAACTAGGCGAAGCCTTACTTCCTGAACTCTCGGGTCAGAATGCTCTATGTCGGCGACGGGTACTCACTGATGCGACCTTGATGGATCACGCCCATTTTTGTCTCCCTTGACGTGGTAGCCATTTGTTCACAAGGCAGTGGCTCAGGGATCATGTTCGCTGGAATCTCCACTTTTGGACAGAGTCAGGCTAGGGCGGAATATTCTCATTGCGGGACTTTTCATTCAACTCATTGGATTCATGGCATTCCTTTTTCTCACAATTTTATTCGATGTCAAGACACATCGGGCGGTGGGCAAGCACGTTACAAGTCTCCGTCCACTTCTCAATGTCTTTTACATCTCTGGCGCTCTCATTCTCCTTCGCTCTATCTACCGTACAATTGGTATGGCATAAACACCGTTCACTACCTCTTTCTGACCTTGCACAGAGTTCATAACGATCGATTTCGGATCATTCCCTCTCAAGGGTTACTTTTACAACGCTGAATGGAGCTACTATGTTCTTGATGCCATTCCAATCGCGGTAAGTAATGCATTTTCTGCTGAACTTGACTCACTATGGCCAGATTGCGATGCTAGCGTACAATGTATGGTACCCTGCTAGGTACCTCTCACGAAGTAAAAAGGAGCGACTCGCAATCAAGGAGGGTGGCACTAATACGACATCCAACACTCGCTCGTCCTCGAACTACGTGAAGTTTAGATGCACGACGAGTGATATCTATGTTTCTCTATGTCCATGGACATTACTCTGAATAAAGATTCGAAAACTATTGAGCACTGTGAGCGGGGCCTCCTCTACGGCGTTTATACGTCCGCAACGCCTCGTTTCCAACGCGCCTCGCGTTTTGATGCGCGCGCCTTGAAACCAAAGGGGACATTCATCCGCTGAGATTCCGTGGGATCGATGACCTGTCGCGTAGGAAAGAATGCCAAACAATTTGGCATGTCCCGGCCATAATTTGTCTCCAACCTCGACCGCTCGACCCAAGGACAAGGGCGTTGTAAATCGGAAAATAACATCCAACTACAATAAACATGCCCCGCGAAGACAGTGAAGGAAGCAGCGGCGGGTCCATCACCTCCGATGAGGAAGAAGTTCCAACACACATGGCCGTCGCGTCAGAGGCAGCGTCTGCAACAGTCGCCGGTACCGTTCGTGGTAGTCCAGCTCTTCAGAAACTCCGTAGTAGCGTCAACAAGGTAGGCAACCATCTTGTCGTCCTGATTTAAGCGCACATATACAACCGCGTGGGGACGCGTTAGGCACATTGGATGATGCTGACTGCGTTTGAAATACTTAGGTTATTCGTATGAACAAGATCCAATCCGCTTTCAACCCCCTTGGGCCCGGCTCCGAGCCCGGGATAGATCCAAGAAAGCCAGGGGTCGACGCTGCGTAGGTCGTTCTGTCATGTGAATGTCGGAAATACTCAAGGGATGCTAGCTACGGCATATTCGGGAACGTTGCGAGATTGAGATTATTGACTACAGCGCGAGCAACTATGTCATTAACCAATATAACAACGAGGAATTTGTCAATCTCATGCAGTCTACGGGTGGAACGCGCCCCGGATGGGCCAAAGTCCGGTGGATTAACATTGGCGGTACAAGCTGGGATGTTCTTTCCAAGCTCGCAATTGCATACAGTCAGTTGCTCATCATTCATTCGATCAAAACTCATGTCTTCATCCAGAGCTTCATCCACTCACATTGGAGAACATTGTCGCCGGCATGCCAACGTCCCGCAGCAGAGGTAGCGTTTCACTTGAGCACGAAAACTTAGTTGGTCTGACAATGCGCAAGCCGATTATTATACCAACCATCTTTTCTTGCACGTCATGTGCCAAAGCCTAGAAGAAAAGGAGAGTTCTGCTTCTCCTCTGGTTCGCATATCCAATCCAGCTCGGAGTCGCTCGCCCGCTCAGATGAATCACCATGAGCACACGCACGGAGGTGCAGCTGAAAAGGCGCCATCACTTCGCCGACGTAAAGGCGTAGCGCCAGCACCAGATATTGAAATGGGTAGACCTCAACCCAGGAAGGAGAAAAAGCGCAAGTCGCGCATGACGACCCTAGACATTCGCAATCAGAAGAATGAGAGTCTCAAGCGCGCAGAAGAACTCAACGAGGCCCTTCGAGATACCATGTTCACCGTCAAGGTGACGACCAAGGTCTGTTCATCACATCCTCAAGAGTCGGGCCTAACTGCTTTCTAGAGTCTATTCTTGTACCTTCTACGGGATGGAACGGTCATCTCTGTCCATCAAGCTGACAGAGGCTTTGGCGACCCGATTTATCGACGATTGCAGTCACCGACCACGGTTCTGCGAGCATCCAGCGACCCTTCGATGCTTTTGGAGGCACTTTTGGATCTGGTCGTCGACCGTGCGCTGGACATTGTGGATCGGTACCATGAAAACATTCTGGCCGTCGAGAGGAGCATCCTGCTCAACCCCAAGATGGTTGCAATTCGTCAACGTACGTGATTGGATCCGATTTTCAACTCTACTGACAGTACCTAGTTCACTTTTTCTCGCGCGACCTGACGGCCCGCCGACGTGAGCTGGACCCAGTCAAGACGCTCATCTATGGTTTGCGCCGTTATGACAAGGAGCGCTGTGCTGCCGTCGCCGAGTCTGCTGGCATTCTTGTCGAGGGCGAGGCGGTCCAAGGCTTCCTTAGCCACAAGGCCAAAATCTATCTCGCGGATGTCCACGAACACTGCGAATGGATATTGACCTCATTTGAGATGCAAGCTGACATAGCAGAGAATCTCATCAACTACACAGTCAGTATCCCTTGTCGTCAGCACATAACCTCTCCATCCATCCCTTGTCTCCTCGCCTTGCGGCATTTCTTTACAGACTTATTCTTTGGTCCACCCTTAGCCCTTTTCGCCCTGTGGCCGCTCGCATCCGTGTTCCACGCTCGGGTCTCGCTTATACATGTGGAAACGACTCAGCTGACCATGACTTCATTTAATAGTTCAATACCATTGCATACGAGACGAACAATACGATGCGCACGCTTACACTGTACGTCTTTTTTCACTATCATCTCGGATCGAACCCTCGAGGTCAAGGTCGGCTACGCCGGGTCGGAACGTGCCGCAGTAGCAAGCGAGTGCTAGTGTCGCTTGATGCCTTTCACCCATTTACACACGGTCGATAGATTGCGCCATCTATACAGCATCGGACCTTGGGTGTTCATTCGCTTCGTTTGTTCGAGAGAATGTTCTGATCGATTCTAACGAACCGTCTGTCCTATACAGGGCCACGATCATCTTCCTGCCGCTTACGTTTTTGTCTGGGTACTTTGGAATGAATTTCGAAGTCTTTGGCGGAATCCAGCATTCAGATGCATAGTATGTGTTTCTCTTATCCCCGGAATCACCGTAACGTGCTGACAACCCTACCAGCTTCTGGGAGATTGCGGCACCGGTGTTTGTGGCGACGGTCATCATCTTCCTATGGCACGATTTGCGAAGGATGTGGCATTTCCTCAAGAAGAAGACGTTCTTGCATCGATTCGTACGTACTCGCCTCCTGCGCTGGTTTTCGAGTGTTCACCCCAAAATCTCTTCGACCCATTCATTTGCTGCGCATAACATTCATATGGAAAACTCGCTTCTTCGACATTTGACATGGTTTGCAAACGACGAATATAAACATCTGTATTCGCCACCCACTCAACGGCATGTTGTGGCATCGGATGCACCCTTCGAACCCCTGGTTGCGTCACGCCTCGCATTTGGTGCTACAGGACAGCAAGAAGTAGGCGTGTCCAATGCGTAGTTGGCCCTCATTGCCTTACGAAATGATCGAGCAAGGGCCTAGATGGCGCTCGCTGGTTGGGGGGGAACTCAGGTACGATGACGTATGCTCTTATGTGATATAGAACCTAGAGCTATATATTTCGGTCTTTGCCTTCTCGTGTGCGCGCTGTAGAGTGCGTGTCGCCCACCGCCTATGCGTGCATTTGTGACGTGACCTAGTCCCTTGAACACGAACCATAATCGGCATTCGACAGATACATTACACTGCACGTCAGGCGTGTTGTCGGGCGAGCGAGTTATGAGAGGGCGTGTAGTGTGCATGCGGTTCCCCATTCTGCTGGCCCCGGATTGTCAGCAGTTGCTCAGATGATTTCTATTCTGCTAGCGATGCGAATGGTCATCAGGATGCAGATGCAGTCGCGTGATGGAGGATGTGCAGATATCGATGCGCTAGGAGATACGGACCGTGGACCTTGAATGGCTGGTTGGTGGATAAGCAAATGAACATATGAACATTTGGTTATAGCCCGCGTGCGACGGATGGTTATGGACTGTGTACGTGGCGGAAAGGGATAACCTCATTAGAGGTTGGACGACCCGTCACGCGGACGGAGATCAGACCTTGGTCTTATTTCAAGTCGTTCATTTCAACGTAACAGAGTGTACGATTGACTTGCAAATGCCTAGCGACGCTTAGTAGAAGAGAACCTAACAAACTTCGCGCTGGTTTGTGCCACGGCCGAAGGAAATTCTAGGGGAAATGTGGGGAAAAGTGGGATGACGATGAATGACGTTGTGGTCAGCTGATGTGCCACATATTCAAGCTGATTGACCAATGGCTGTCGATCATCTCCCACAAGTCTGTTACGGCAGTCTAGACTGGGATTTAGTATCTATTTAGGATTCCCGAACAGTTATTTGGGCTTATTGGGTTTATTTTCTCGAGAGTTGTGACCCCCGTGGGGAAAGGAGTGCGGGGAACACGAGGCCGACCACCCGATTGAGCCTATCATGGCGGTCGTCGGGTTAGGCTTTAGGGACCACTAGCAAACCCCGCTAAGGACTTATGGGACGATGACGCTGTGATGTCCCTCTCTTTGGGATCAGTCCGCGGTCTCGTTCGGCACGCGATCCAGTCTCGACTCCTATCGCTGCAGCGAGCTTGGTCGGTTCGGCTGCGTAGTCACTACGCTCATGAATTGTAAGATAGCGCGTTGGAAAATGCAAGCTGTGTTGGTCGAAGAACGAGTCGTTGTCCCCTCCCCTCTCCCTCCTGTCGGCGGTGTTTTGCAGCCTTTGTCAAATTGAGCCAAGCGTCTCCGCTCGTTTAGGGGGTTATTTAGTTGCCGGCTCAGGAGTAAACACCCGCCGAAGGACAGGCTCGCGTGCTATACCTGCGTGCACCCGTTATGTTACACCGACTCGACGTCTCAGACTCGTTGGAAATACTCGTCTCAGGCGGCAGGCAGTCTTCTAGACGCCTTATCAGTTCCGACCCGCCGCGAAGGCAAGGTCGCGTCGGCGGATCGACAGACTAGACGGCAAGTCGAAATGAAGCCACATTTGGCCTCATGTTCTGAGCCCAACCTGAGCCCAGCATTTCGATCACCCAGGTCAAATCGAAATCTGAATCACTCCCGAGGAGCATGTTTGTTGGTCATTCTCATCCCTTTCAGGCATAGTAACATAGGTCTTCGAATGGACTTATCTGTTCATTGTGTGCGTAACGAGCTTTGGACCGAGTCGGCGTGGAGATAACTCCGAGAATCGTCCTCTCGACCTCGACATCGGGGAGCCAAGGGTTGGAATCAATACACCGTTGGGTAGGGTTGCACCGGTCCGTCTCTCATATGCCTGGAACCTCACCGTCTCGTTGGTTGGTATGGCGTACCTACTATTCCCCCCCCCCCTGGGATGGACTTATGCTTAGTTCCCGCGCCGAGGGTCGGGTCGCCGGTTACATATGCTAACAACTCTGCAATACGGCGTCATATGAACGCATGAGAAGAATAATACCGAGTTGATCCTAGCCTGGTTGCCAGCCAGCCACAGTCAGTAGCCAAGATTGCCGGTGACGAGTTTGACGCATTTCCGACCTCAGAGGGAAGTGTAGTTTCCAGATGTGTAGGAAGAATCAATCTGGGTGTCCGCCTTTGTTGACGGAACAGCACGCCAAAAGAGAAAGTGGTGGTAATGATCTTGATGATGGCTGTTCGCGACAGGACCGCGTCAAAAAAAAAAAGGGTGGCTGGAGCCCTGTGAGGTCGACCGTTCAACCCGGGCCCGGCTCCAACGCAGGTTTGCAGCCAGGCGCACGTTTGGCATACCGACTACCCGGCGCGGACCGGGGACTAGGTGACTTATGGGTAGTAATTTGTACAATGAAAGAATGCATACACACCTATTTCTCCTAGTCTCTTCAACGCCGATGACAGCAACGAGATGAAAGGTCGGACGTCGGTGAATATCGCCATCTCGTCGTCAATGTCGGGAAAAATCACGCTATACCATTTTCTTCTATTGTCTCAAAGCCGACTCCCGCCGCCGGCCACGAGATTTTACCGTGATTCGTCGGCGAATGTAGGAACGGCGTCGATATATTCTTTATACCGAGAATAAATCATAGTCGGTATTATCAATATCTATTTGTTCATCATCCCTGGTCAATCGGAAACTAAAGGCGGAGCGAGGCAAAGGAAACGGCTCTCCGAGTGCGATGTCGAGTCAGTTTGGCTCATTCCGAAGAAGAAACGCACCCAAAACACGTTTTTGTGCACGCCAGAAGTCAAACAAGCACGCCAACGAACACAGAGTCGCGAGAATTCGTTTAGACTGATAAGGACAGGAGAAACCACGGACCGCAGGATCCGGGGACGAAACCTCGGTGATTCTGATCATCATGGAGTGCCCTCTCATCATCATAACACAGCATTACCGATGGGCGAGCAGCGCGACGGTGAGGACAAATAGACGGTCGATAGGTGTGAGGTGAGGGCCGACCGGAGCATGCCCTTTTCTGTGCAAGTGACTTCTCGTCGAATTTGTTTATGCAGAGTGGCGTGACGCTGTTGCGAGTCGATTGTGGCCAACGCCCGGCTGGTCTGTATACTGGGCTAGGGTGCGGCGCCATCGACGTTGGGTGATCGAGACGAATTGAGCCTGTTTCGTTGAAAGACAGTGTGTGAAACGGTAGCGAAGAATGTGCGTGTCTAGGAGCTCTTTGTCAGGCTGCGAGCCGGACATGTCTGTGTAAGTAAAGTGTGTGGATTGAACGGGTGGCGAGGCGGACACCACCACCACGAGCAGCGTGAGGTGTGGCGCGGAAAGCTAGAGACTGCACTAGCTCCACTCTCGACAAGCACGGGCGGACGCAGGATCGGAGATGGAGGAGTGGCATGTATGGCGAGCCGCGGTCGAGGCGCAGAGGGCCGGAGGGCAGGCTGTTATCAGGTGCGTCGAGTGTACGAAAACGGGATCTATCAGATATACGCGAATGAGCAGGGCTAGGCTAGTAAGCTTCCGAGTGGAGGGAGTAGCTCAGACGGGCCATGCAGCCAACCTACGACACCGCGGGAGATACACGTTTGCGACGGGACCTTGTAATCTGCGACGGAGAGTCCAGAAACTCCAACCAGGATACGGCGGAGATGGCTGGCGGGTGTCGGTCGCTCGGCAGAGCTGGAAATATCCTAAACGAGCCAGAGATATGCACAGAGGCCGTTTACGTACAAATGATATTTTATCGGATTTTGAGTATTTTATTTTTATTATTATTATTTGGTTTTGGTGGACGATCAGTGCGTGGCCCTGGGCCCGTGTGGCCTGTTGTTCGGATAATCCAAAATAAATTAAAATAACCAACTCGGGTTTGTCTGTGAGCCTACGGGGTATAAAACTGAGCGGGTTTTTGGCTCTGAGATTCTCTGTCAAGCCGTTTCCCCTCGACAACTCTCCCTTCGCTCCTCGTCGTCGACGCCTGCTGCCACTACACCTTGGACGCTACCTCGACCAGACTCTGCTCCCTCGCCGCCGCCATGATCACCGAAATCACCTCTGCAGACCAGTTCCGTCAAGTCGTGCGTAGTCGTCTACCTTGTGCTGTCGCTGCGAGCTAATAAATATTGAGCAGATCACCCAAGACGCCATCTCCATCGTCGACTACCACGCTCCCTGGTGTGGTCCTAGCAAGGTCAGTTTGGATTGCCTCTCTATTTTGCAATTTAGAGAATGCTCATAGTCTATTCCAGGCCATCCTGCCAATGTTCGCCCAGCTGTCCGAACTCTACAACCGCATCAACTTTTACAAAGTCGACGTCGACGAACATGCTCAGCTTACACAGGAAGCTGGTGCTCGTGTCTACCCAACATTTATCATCTACCGTGGAGGCGCAAAGGTAAGCCCTGGGTTGCCCGTCCTTGTCCCCTTTGCTCCATCGAGCAGTAATCCCTGATTCGCCATCGACCTCGCCACATACGTCTTTGCCTGTCCCCAATCTTTCTGCCCTTCTCATGACAGCGGCCACGGCGTTTTGCTCGAGCGCTAGAGCTTGCGAGTGACTGAGCGACCGCCAAAGCGCCGTCTGTCGGCCTCTTCTGCCATTTCCCGTGTCTATAGACAGTCACTGACGGAATCCCAAAGGTGCAAACCATATCTGGCGCCAACCCCGAGGGACTCACGGTACGTCTCTTCACGGCCCCCTCCTGCCTTTCCCGGCGCTAGTGCACTCTAAACTAATCCCATTTTTTCTCTAGACGCTCATCAAGTCTGCTGTTCGCCAGGCATAAGTTCTCACTGAGAACTGCATCCTCCAATCGTCGCGACCTATCTATCAAAACCCCGGCAATCTCCTCTCGCACTTCCCTTCTTGTCTAGGCCGATCTGGAGCAACCGCAGCGCAGGGACTTGTCGATGCAAACCAACGCTGCACCCTCTGACTCGTCACTTTACGGCCTGTGATCACACCAGGGTCCGTGCTGCTCTGCCACTCTGGGCTCGACGATGTCGGCCTCGTGCTTTGCCTCGACATGCCTTTGGCTCGGGTGCCTCCTTTGACCGGTCAACATCCTGGACTACCCCCCGGTCATCTATTTCTCTGGTACTCGTGTTGTTTATCCGCTCGCTTCCTCTTGGGCATCGCTCCTCTCCCCCTCCTTTCCCTCCTTCTCTCCGCCATACTCTCCACTCATCTCTCTGTCTCTCTACGCTTTCTCCTGGGACAAACTGGATCCAACATTTCGTCTGGACACCTCGATTCGCCATCCCCATCCGTCAACCATAGGAACCAAGGTCGAGCCATCAAAAAAAAGTCTACAACGAATTTACATGCACGATAACGATCATCATCATGTCGTCGTCTGGGACTCGATTACCCCATCAAGCTCTCCGTCAAGCAGTGTGCGAGCGGGAGCGGGGCGAGTTCAATGTATCATCAAATCCCCCCGTCGTGTTCTATCCTCCTTTTTCCTGCCGGACTGGGTGACGGAGAGGGTCTGACCCTCTCTTGTCGCGCCTTTTCCCGGACCCGCTCTTGTCTGGTCATCCGTGTCGATTTTATCTCTGCTAGGGTTTGTCGCGTCAATTTCTCCCCTTCTAGTCGTTTTTCCTTATAGAAGGCTGGACGGTTCCTCTCTCTCTCTCCCTTTTCGAGGATTCTTCTTTGCAAGGAAAGTCCTCGTTGAGGGAAATTGGAAAGTCTTTGCCCTTTGTCATGTAGCCCGCTCGACAGAGCACGAACACTTTTATTTCTCTCAAAAAAGAAACAAACATGACGAAAAAGCGCGTGTTTGTGAGGACAATCTTTTGTGCTATAGATTGGACAATATAGAAACTTGTAGATTTTCGATCCACACGGTCCCCCCCCCCGCGATGCTGAGTGGTTGCTCTTTGTCACCGACGCGTTGACCGGATCTATGATATTGTGATTACGTAGGCCAAATCCAGTATTGGCACGAAGCTCGCAGGACCTTCGGGAATGAGCGAGCAGTGCTTTGGTAAGCCCCGAATGGCGCCATCGCTGTTCGCCGTCGGACATCAATCAGCGAGGAGCGTTGCCGGAAACCATAAAAGGAGCGGCTTGCGAGGTTCAGAGGGTCAGAACAAACGATCCTCACAACTAGATCTCCACCAACAATCAACATGTCCGTCACTGAAGTAACATCCCTCCAACAGTTCCAGGAGATTGTGAGTTATCTCTCTCGAATGGCAGATTGCCACTGCACATGCATACAAGGCGCCGGGGAGTGCATCCCTGCGTGCCCTTGTGCGCTGCCATCGCAATCAGTTATCACGTAGATTTGGATAGATTGCTGACGATAATGTGGATCTAGATTGCGCGAGACGAGCTGTCCGTCTTTGACTTTTGGGCGACCTGGTGTGGACCTTGCAAGGTGAGGATCCTCTCTAATCCACTCTCCATCTCTCTCCCGACGATCCACGTCCACATTCAAAATGGTACTAACATGTCTTTTCCTCTAGGCTATTTCACCCATCTTTGCGAACATGGCCGCTGCTGGAGCCGAAGAGGGCCTCCAGTCAAAAGATGGCGGGGAACCTGTCAAGTTTAAAGCCTACAAGGTCGACGTCGACGCCGTTCCTGATGTCTCGCAGTATGTTGGCATTCGCGCCATGCCAACGTTTATTGCATACACAAAGGGTGAAAAGGTTGGCACAGTTATTGGTGCACGGGTCCAAGAGCTCCAGGTATGTGTGTTCATGTGAAAATAGTCTTGATGGTTTGACTCACGGGAATCCATTAGAACCTCATTGTAGGAAAGGCCGCCCAGAAATAGACGCTACGCTTATCCCCATGTAGTTAATCCCGTGTTGGAAATGGACATTGTATAAACACTGTGGATAAGTGGGTTAGATATCCTGAGCGTTGTGAGCTCGCCAAGGCATGTAGCCACAAAGGCGCTGAGCATGGGAAGCGGTAAGAGACTGGAATTCAAGAGAGTGTACAGAGGTCACTGGATCTAGATCCGATTCCGATTAGAGTGGAGTCGTATGGTGGGACACGTGTAGATGGGCAATGGGTTGTCCAGTTCCCAGCCGTCCCTCTGCTGCCCCGTCGCAGTTGGCCGCGCCAGCCGCTTTGTTCAGGTGTTATCGGTGTTTGGATACTTTGGTTGATTGCTTTGTCAGTGGGTGGGAACGCGTGGAGGGCGGGTGGAGGGGCTTGTTCGATTGAGGGAGAGAGGATTCCGAGATGGTAGAGCCGAGTGGTGGCTGGTCGCAACACTGGTTTCTCTCCAGCGTTGCGCATCTATGTGAGCCTGTGTCGGTGTTTGTCGCCAATCGATGGGTGGATGGATCGACAGCGAGATACGCGGCTCGGAGCGCTCGTGATAAGATGGAGAGGTGTCGTTATGTGTGGAGATGCTCCATAAGCAGCTGACCGGGATCACCCAAAGAGTCGTTTGATGCGCCGCCGAAAGAGTTGCATTTGGTATAGCGACTAGGCTACATTTGTCCACAGCCGGCCCATTCGGCCTCTGATAGCTGCAAAGTACGGCTGATAGCTGCAAAGGTGGCTATCAGCTGAAAAGGTAACTACTAGCTGGAAAGACGGCTATTAGCCTCTGTGAGCTCGAGGATAACCAGAGGCCTCGACAAGTCTCCTGGCCTAACGCGAGTCTGCATGCTTCCAGGGACTGTCCTCGAGCCATACAGCATCCAATGAAAGCGTAGGGCGCGACTGCAACGTGACTGTTTCCGAGACTCTCTCCGGCCACTAAGGAACCGACGAGCTCGGCTGGAGAGAGAGACAGAGACCAGAATACAAAGTGTTTCATATTACAAGACAAGGGCAAAAGGAAAGCGGCAAAGGCTGTCAACGCCGACGCGACGCCTTGTCCTTTATCGAAAAGGCCAGGCGTTGCAAGCACTTGAACCGCACCGATTCCTCTTGAAATCCCGTCTGTGGGCGACTGTAGCGTCCTGCATTTGCTTCTGTAGCCATCAACCGTCCGCATTTGCCAGGACTCGGACAGAGTGCCAGAGCTCAGCGGCGGCGTCTCCTCTCCGAACAAGGGGCTTGATAACACCACGCCAGCAAGATTTTCACTGCTCGAGTGCAACTAAAACAACCAGTTTGTGAGCAGATTCTCCCAGTAAACTGCCTCGTGTATCCTCCTTTGCTGACCGTCTGGCACCGTTTGCTCTCTCTGGCGCCTCATCTTTTGTTATCATTGCAAAACGCAATTTGTGAACAATCTGTATCACGTTGTTGACATACACAACGGGCACCAAATCCCACAGAGACAGACTATGCCTGGGATTCTCACCAGATCGACGAATAACCATCATAGTGAGAGCAAATTCAAGACGATTCTCGGTATTTCTCTCGTCCAGCATTCCAGTCACACCGTCGACGACGCGGCCAAAGAGCACCCAGACGAGTTGGAGCTGACCACGACGACGCCTGGGACTAGTCTGCCGCGAACCGCCAGTCCATCGCCAAATCTAAAGCAAAAGCAGAGCCGTACTGGTCGAAAGCTGCGCGCAAGATTACCCGTCGAGCACAAAAAGTCTGCCTCTCATAGCATCTATACCACCCCAGAGCCAGCGGCGACGACAGAAACGATGCCGTCTGCGTCTGCGACCATTGCGACAAAGCCTACCCGCGCTGCTGGTGCTCGACCCGTCCGTCTGGATCCAGAAGACGGGCTCTGGTCCGTCAGCGTCGCCCACGTCTCTGCTCGATTCTACAATATCTATGTCAAGAGTGCGTCTCAACCCGCCCTTCGCACCATTTCGACGAGCTGACCATCTTGTCCAGCACCGACACACCATTTAACCCTCACCCGCTCATCGCACGAAATTTCAGAACTCGATTCAAAGGTGAGGTGATCCCCCCCCTTTGTGTTTCACGATTTCCGCATTTTCCACCCGTCATCATTCATAGCTTAGCTCGTCCGTCTCTAACATAATCCACTAGATTCAAGACCAGGTCCCTTCCGGAACAGCTCTCCCGACGTGTCCGCTCGAAGCCGAGCCACCTCAGAAACGCAAGAGCTCGTTTCTAACGACACTATCCCGTCTTGCATCCCCCCAGCGTCCCAATCAGCCCCTCTTCAACGACGACGAACCGTCGGATGCATTTCTAGACGCCGAACCGTCGGCCACGACCGCACTCGCTGCTTACCTGACGACCCTCTCCAATGACAAGGCCGTACGCACGACACGTGCATGGAAGCGCTTTGTGCGTGTGAGGACAGACGATTTGGAGAGCACCCGCGTCGAACGCGCCATCAAGCGCGTACGATCCGACCTCGCTGCCCATACGACAAACTCGGCTGTGGTGCGTATATCCGCCCCCAAAAAATTCGGCTTGTGAAATACTGATGATGAATAGCTCGGCGAGCGAGACGGTACAGAGGGCCCTGGACAATCAAAAGACGGAGAACACGTGTTGGATCTATTCGGCGACGGGCTTACTCCAGACGATGCGTCTGCTACTGAAAACGCGAGGAGATTGATCGATAGCGGGCTGATGGACTTTACGAGCCCCGCCGCACCGTCTTATGATACGTTTCGGTCCACCAAACGCGACACGATTCGGGCCCCCGTTTCAAATGCTTTCGAGGCTCCCCCAACACCGGATGTACATCCAGAAGAGAAGCCCGCCGAAGCTTTGGAAGCAGAGAGGAGCGAGCTTGGCGAGGAGAAGAAGCAAGAGCCAGCGCCTGACGCGCCACAGGCTACGATGGACACACCAGCTCCTGTTGAAGACGTTCAAGCTCCGGTCGAAGAGGTTCCAGTAGAGCCGAATGAAGAGCATGAACCAGCTCCTGCCGTCCCACGCCCATCGACACTCGATGTGGATGAACTGATTCGTCGCTCGGGCACATGGGATGATGTCGAGTCGCCCCTCCCGCCTATCCAATCTGAGACAGATGCCGAAGAGACGGGCGTCACGGATGCAGAGGATACGGATGCCTTTGGAGCAGGCGCAGCGAGCGATGTTGGTGGTGTGGATACTGCTGACGAGGCCAAGCCGAAAAAGTTGCAAAAGAAGAAGAAGAAGAAGCAAAAAGTCGAGCGCAAGTCGAAAAAGGTGGTGATTGACGACTTTGAGATGATGCGTGTGTTGGGCAAGGGATGTGCGGGAAAGGTCCTCCTCGTCCGCCACAAGCGTTCGGATTCGCTCTATGCTCTCAAGGCAATCACCAAACGGCACGTGCTCGCCCACCAGGAGCTCCAGCACACGATGACGGAGCAGGCCGTTTTGAAGCGAATGGCACGAAGTAATACGGATCCGTTTGTCATCAAGCTCTACTGGAGCTTCCACGACAAGGAGAATCTGTTCTTGGTCATGGTGAGGAGGGTGTGAATGTATTAGAACTGTCTGGCTGACAAAGGGCGTAGGACTTCCATCCTGGAGGGGATCTGGCAACTCAACTTGCACGATGGGGTCGACTAGGCCGTGATCGAGCGCGATTCTATGCTGCCGAGATTGTCGAAGGTGTCGAGGGTCTGCACGCAGCCGGTGTCATTTACCGTGACCTCAAGCCCGAAAACATTCTCATTGGTGGTGACGGACACATTGTGCTCACCGACTTTGGACTATCGAGACAATTTGAACGCCGACGGCCTACCTCTATCATGGGTGGCGACGAGTACTTTGCTTCGTCTCCTGCCACGCCTACAGGGGAAACGCATCGGAATGGTATCAATTGGATGAATGCGCACAAAGAATCGTGGCTAAATACAAAGGGCAACGATACGACGACCACGTTTTGCGGCACTGCAGAGTATCTCGCTCCCGAGGTCATCCAAGGTCTTCCGTATTCTTACGAGGTTGATTGGTGGAGCTTTGGAACGATGCTTTACGAGATGCTTACGGGCATTGTACGTCGTCTTTCTTCCTTTTTTTCGACGCTGACGGGTTTTGTAGACACCATTTTGGGCCAACAACCATTCGGACATGTATGTCCGCGTGCTTCAAGATGAACTTACGTTCCCAGAGGACAAGGCGATGGATCAAGATACCAAGAGCTTGATCCGTGGTTTGCTCCAGCGCAACCCGGCTTTGCGTCTCTGTGAGCCGCGTATCAAGAAGCATCCATATTTCTCAATGATCGACTGGCAACACGTCTATCACAAGCGCTATATTCCTCCTTATATTCCTCCCATTGACCCAGCCAACGCGTCAGACACGCAAAACTTTGACGATGCATTCTTGGAGATGGAGCCTGTATTGGATACGGATCTAGAGAATGAGACTGGATCCGAACGTGACCGATCCACGACGGATATCGAAGCTGGAGACGACGACGAGGCGCTTGCAAATGGCGAATCACCCGCTGTGTCTGCGCAACAGGCGGATGCAATGGAGGACGACGTGTTTGACGGATACTCGTTCAAGGCTAGGAATTCGGTGCTCATAGAAGACGATGGTGATGACGGTAATGATGGTAGCGACGAGTCGGACGCGGCGTCGCTCACGCATGAAGGCCCAGTTGATCATCATGTCGAAGAAGAATTGGATCCTGGCCAAAAGACTCCTGAAGCTGGGAAACCGTCTACGCCAACACCCGCTAGTGCGGTCATCGAGGCGTTCCGTAAGCAAGAAGAAGAAAGGGCTGCTGCTGCTGCAGCTACTACTACTACGGCAACAGAGGAGGCTACATCCGAAGCACCTGTAGAAGAGAAGGGTGAGCAAGTCGCCGAGCACCCCATACAGTCTGCACCCGACCCTGCGAACATCCCTGTGCCATTGACGCCAGTGACACCGACGAGCAAGACGAGTGGGCTACCTTCTGTGGAAGACGGTCCGAAAACGGGCTCTCCCGAGAAGGACTTACCTGCACCACCACCGGCGCCTGGTCCTCAGGAGGCGGTGGTCCCTACGGCACCTGTAAAGGCACCGTCAGGTCCAAAGGTACCCTCCAAGGAAGAGAGAAAGACGGTTACCATTTCTGAAAAGCCCAAGCATATCAAGAGCAAGGCCCCTCGCAACGTCAAGCCCACGAGGCGAGAACGGTCCGGTGTCGCTGCGCTGGACCGCGATCTCAGCGATGTAATTGACGAAGATGACGAGGTACACCGGGATCCAGAAGATGACGACTGGGACTTTGTCGAGGCCCCCGGCGGTGAAGATTACAATGGCTCGCAGGGCAAGAGTCTCTTTGCCCGTGGCGTCGTTGATCGCTACCGACTCAAGGTGTTCCGAAAGCCATCGAGTGGGACACCGTCAAGGCCGACGCAACGAAATCCGTCTTCGACCCAGAGTAATTTGCCTACTACAGACTCTGAGTTTGGGGAGCTCGTGGCGAGCACTGCGTCTCCTACGCTTTCGGAGAAGAAGAAGAGCCGTGGAGGGGGACTTAGTTTACGAAAACCAAGGACATTTTTGCGGCCCAAGTCGCCCTCTGCGACGTACTCTGCCGGTTCGAGCAAGCTCAGCCGTCCAGCGCTCTTGACGCAGCACTCTGCAACCATTTCTGGGTCGACGAGTGGCATCTTGCGCACACCGTCTGCAACTACGCCACTGTCGGCGCTGCCTACCAATGGTGGACTCTCGCTCACGTCAAAGCCCTCGATGAACTCGATGGGTTCTCCGGGTTCGTCTGATGCGTCTGTGCACAATGAACCTGGACGAGGCTCATTGACGCAGTCTGCTGCTGAGCTTGCGGCAACACCTTCCAAACCTCGAGGCAACAAGAGCTCGCCGGACCTTCGACGACAGGCACGAGAGTCCGACTTGGAAAGGGATGACACGAAGCAGAGACCATTGACAAAGATGCGCAAGTACACAGAACAAGGAGCCGAAAAAGTCATGTCCCTCTTCTCCTCGCCGCGTCCGTCAGCCTCTGCCTCTCCTGCACCATAGAGTTTCTCCCCATCTAGTACCTTATTCTCACATTCGGATCCACGAGGAGCTGATGAGCGATCGCCTTTTATTCTCTTGGCTTTCTTTTGGGATGTCTATAATGCCTGGCGCAACAAACTTTCATTCCTCTTCTTTTCCGTGTACCAACGCCGAATCTCCCTTCATCTTATCCCACTCTAGTCGGTCTCATACTCCGTCTCGCAACCAGTACATTCCCGTTGTCTTTCCTTCATGTGTTATGCTCTCGTATGCCCTAGGAATGGAGATTCGTCGATAGCTTATCGAATAGCTAATCCAAGTAACGTTGTCAATCCATATTGCGTGCTAAATGAGAATCAAAGGTTTACGTCGAACCTAGCCATGAACTCAGTATTGTAGACAACGGGTCGGATAGGAACAGGTCTGCGCTTGACTTGTCATCTCGTTGTGCTTGTAACACATCGCTGACAGTCAGGTCCTTATCATATCCCTTTCCGGTTTGAGGTCATGCCAATGGGCCTCATTAAATAATGGATTTGTATCGAAAATCCTGCGAGTAGTGATGAGCCTTGGCCTGGTTTGCACCCAAGTTCCTCTGTCGTTTCGTTAAGTGCCGTCGAGCCCTGGCGCTGCTGCCGCCAAGACGCACTATGCTTCTCCTCGATAGTACTGCAAATATTTCACTTCGCCCAAGGGCATGTATCTGGTTGTAGCCGTACCCTCAACCACATAAACCCCGCTTTTCGAAATATGCAACGGCGCATAATAATACCATTACATGCTCCGTGGTAGTGCCCAGTCTATAATAATATGTCTATGCGGGTGTTTCGTCCATCTTGACCTCGTCTTGATCATTCTCCTGAGCCATCGTTTCCTTTTTGTTCTTGGGAAGGTAGTTTGCGGGGAAGAGGATGTTATAAATTAGAATTGAGAGCTATTGTGCTTTAGCTTTCTGCCTTTCATTATATCACACAACTCACAGTGATCGGTAGAGCGTCCAGGACGTAATACGTCCACTCCACGTTGAAGAGATATCCCGTAGCGGGGCGTTTCGTAAAATCGACCGTGATAAACTCTAAGAATGCGGTGAGATTGTGAGATTTGGGGTCGGTGAAGACGTACCAATTGCACGATAGATGGAGCGGAGAAGAATCAAGGCTCCGCTGATATAAAACGAATTCATCAAAGGACGAAGACGTGCGACATGGTTTCGGAGCGTAACTGTCGTCTTACGGTCGAACCAGATTGCGAAGAAGAGGAACACTGTAAAGGCGACCAGTTGGATGAACAAACCAAGGATGAGGATCATTCTTCCACGCTTGAGCTTGTCCAAGCTAGTCTCACTACCGAAGAGAAAGGCGGAACCCATGCCCTGTGTCGCGATTGAGACGACGTCGAGTGTAACGAATGTTGGGGTGATCCACGAAGGCCTGACTATGGAGTAACCAGGCCCGACATATAGCATACTGTTGAGATGGGTAATTGAGTGGGGGCCCTTGAATGGTTTTGGAAGAGGCAGCTTACGCGCGTCCAACAAACATGTATACTGGCCAAGGTTAGCAAATAAGCTATGATATCGCACTCACAGTTGGCCGCTAGACATGCAGGAGCGAGAATGATGAACACTGAGGGGGTTAGTAAGTCCGAAACAACTGCTCGGAGCAGGCGCACCTTGGCTGATGATGTACGGCGCCATTACGTGAGGGTCTATCAATCCATAAGCACTTATAGGAAACCAAATAGGCCATTCATACTTTTTATGCACCATTCTCTGAGACGAAACGTTAGCAGGGGTCGATCTTTGCGGAAAGTAGGTACCTCAGGACGTATCCAACGAACTCGATGGCCGTCGAAAGAATGAGGGGCCATGTATACCATATCTGAGACAATTTCAGTACCTTTATAAACAGGTCGACGCGTACATACCCGTGCCCGCGCCGCCTGAAAGACATGTGCAATGAGTAACAAGCCAAAAATGACAGCAAAGATGATCGCTGCGGTTTCAGAGGGTTGATATTGTTTCCAAGCATAAAATTGCCGCGCCATTGGGCAGTCTGGAGAGCTTCAAGGCGTTGGTAAGCGTTAAGAAGGACACTAATGCCACCGAGCCTCATGCGTTAAAACCTCCGAGGTTTTGCTGGGCACTGTCCGTGCGAGCCCGAAGAGAACGGCCCGCCAAGAGATACCCTCATTAATGAATGATTGATATGGGTACGTGTATCGCAACTGCAGCCAAGGGAAACGCGCCTCGACAGCTTGGCTTTTACTGAGAGCTTGTGGATCCCGACGTGGATCAACCGTAAAGAGAGATGATATTAGACGAAAAGGCGAGGCAGTAGGTCTATGCTGATGAACAAGCTGCTCTTCCAGAGAGTAGACCAGTCAAAGAACATCTCGCAATGGCAACGGGGAGATCCAAAGATCAAATTGAGAATCTAATCACGATCTATCGTTGCAAGAAGCGACAAGTAGGTGGTAGACCCGTTGTGCGTGATGTTTGGCTGACTTGGCTTTAGCTCTTGGGACCTGAGGTCATGGGCTGTTCCAATTGCTTGCCAGAACAGATCCGATTTGCAACGCAATGAGTCAAGGAAACCATGGGATCAACTTCACGGAGCGGGTTACTCGAGAGTTCAAGCAGCAACTGCCAATGCCTCCTGGGGCCCAGAACGCAACTTGAAACAGACAAAGCCTCTCATACTGACTGCAAGGATTCGGGCACAGACTCTAAACAATTTCGACACTGTCGACTGTGCTCAATGGGCAGCAGCCAAAAAGCCACCTAGTTGGCAAGGCTCGCGAAAACATTGGGAGCAAATGACCGAGTGACTCACTGAGCACCCCATCAAGATAAACTGTGAGGAAAGGATACAACAACCTGGCCCCGACTTTGACTGCCCCATAAATGCAATCGCATTGCGCAAGGCCCGGCCGGGTGATCTGCTCCTTCACTGGCACAGACTAACTTGTGACTCAAAGAAACTGGGGTTGCACCACGTAAAATTTCGCGTCAAGGTACTCCTGATGACATTGATCTCCGAGGTTGGGTGAAGAATGACTTTCGTTGTAAAGTCACCAACGCCGTCTTTGCAGGGTTCAAGCACTCTGTTCTCAAGAATTCCATCATGACCAATAAGTAGATCCGTGGGAGAATTAATCGGATCAAAATGTATACCTGGAATGCATGTGTATAAGAGTTTGTCGATGTTACGAATGTCTCTCAGGAGCGATGAGCGACCAGTACCCAGACTCCAAGGGGGTACCAGACTACAAGAAAGACATGTTGGATGCTTTTGGCATAAATACCCAATGTTAGTCTCTCATCACTCCTGTATACAGGCACTGATATTCACCAGCCTTATGCCAACTAGGTGGCCTTTTGCCTGCCGCCCATTGAGCATAGTAGTGGTAGAATTATTGGATAATGACCCGCTCTGTAGCATAGGCATCGTTCTAGACCTATCGAGTTGATCAACGTCAAGGCAATTGGGTTTGCTACAGGCCAGTGCGAGAGCTTGCTTTGCGAGGCGTGGAATGCCTACTAAACCAATATCATGAGCTGGTTTAATTGGATGAACAATAAAGTGCCTACGACCGTTCCTTTTTTGGCTATTCTATATCTCCTATAATGTCAACTCGTCTCCATGTATTCTTGTACAATATCTGGAAACATTACGCAATGCAATGGACATACACCCGTCTACATTCTTCATCTCAATGAGCTCCACTGTTGGAATGGAGTGCAGAGATTCACGCAAGCAATGAACTGGTCTGTGCGCTCGCTTCTTTTCCAACGCTATAGAACCCCGTAAACTTGCTGGAATGGGCTCGTTAACAACTTGCCTTTCCCCTCTTTTCTACTCTAGATCGTCTACATTAACACTCTGTCACTTGTTTCTCATGTTCAACTCATTTTTCTAGCTGAACCGCCACATAAGACCTGTCGATTGATAATATATTTAGAGCGAGATATAGCAGTACTTCGGTTGCAGCAACGTCTCGGTGAAATGTTGTCAGACAAGCTGGGATGCGCATCAAATTAATTGATGGAACCTCGCACGGTAAAAACAAATTAGATTAGACGACGAAGCGGGACAGTAGGTCTATGCATGATGGACAGGCTGCTCTTCCTTGTTTGCAGTACTCATGGGAAGATTATCACCAGAGGAGACCTCTGTACTTTTGCCGTTTGGAAGATAATTTGCAGGGAAAATAACGTTATAGGTCATGGTAGCAAGCTAAGGGTTGGTCCTGAGCTATGTCCAACAAAACGAGTGATTATACACTCACAGCAATCGGTAAGGCATCTAACACGTAATATGCCCACTCGACAGTAAATAGATACCCTTTGACAGGGTAGTGGCTGAAGTCAACCGTGAGGAACTCTATGTGCTATCAACGGATGACCTCTTGAAACGGTAGTACTCACCAACTGCACGGTACACCGAGCGAAGAAGGATCAAAGCTCCTGTAACGTAGAAGGCAATCATCAAGGGCCGTACGCGCCTCATTCGGTCTCGAAGAGCCTTGGTGGCCTTCAGGTCAAACCAAATTGCGAAGAAGAGGAAGATCGCAAATGCCACTAGCTGAACAATAAGACCAAGCGTGAGGATCGAACGCGCTCGTTTGAGCTTATTCAAGTCATCCTCGTTGCCAAAGAGTATACCAGCCCCGAGACCTAGAGGCAGTGGGTCAATGAGCTCGAGAACCACTTGGCTTGCATGTACCTTGTAGGCCAATGGCTAGAATATCCATCCCAACAAAGATGGGTGTAATCCACCGAGGCCGGACAATCGAGTAAGTCGAGCCAATGGACACCATGCTGGTGAATATCAGTGCCTGTCAACAGGAGTGATGAGAGACTGACATTCGTCCTACAAGCATATAGAGATTTGCAGCGAAACAAGCTGGTGCCATAATAATGAACACTGGTCCTCATTAGTATTCACATTCATGTGGTTGTCGAGCATCCTACCTTGTCCGATAACCGCAGGGTTCTTTTCCGTTCGATCTGCATGGTGTTAGAAATGTGAAGAGAGTGAGTGTACCACATACGGTCAATCGTGTATTTCCTAGAGGTCGATTAGTAGAGTAAATAATGCAGGAAAGACCTACCGGAGGACATAACCAACAAATTCCAGCGCAGTAGCAAGAATAAGGGGCCACATATAGTATACCTTGTTTGTTTGTCAGCGAATCTCCGGCGCCTTTTGCCCCACGCACCTCGCACGGATAGATTGAAAGAGATGAGCAATTAATAAAACACCAAAAAGACATATAAAGATAATCGCAGCGGGGGTGCTGGGCTCGTATTGCCGAAAGGCGCGGAACGGGGGTTTGGGACGTGCCATCCGTCGTCAGACGCGGTGTGAGAGATGAAAGAAAGATAACAAACAAACCATATGCCAACAGGCCATCCTTTTAAGGGCGCCACGCGCATTTAGGGCAGCCCGAGTAAAGCCTCCGAAATGAATTACCGTGGGTCGACCGCCTCCTAACTTGCGATGAAACATGCGGGGCGGAAGACGTGCCTAGAATTTATGACGCGGTTAGATGAGCAGCCTCAGCTCAGAATTTTAGAAGCGAAAGCGTCCAGGAGCTAGAGAGGTCAACCTAATGAGTCGCTGAGGCTTCTGCTGAAGGCTCGCAGGTAGTGAAGTCCGTCAAAGGGAAGATATAATAGATTAAAAAAGAATAAGGACAGTCTTTCCTACGCGTGATGAACGGCATGGTCCTGGGTGTTTGCCGTGGCCATGGGGAGATTTTCCGAAGAAGCTGTCGTACTCTTGTTCTTTGGAAGATACTTGCCAGGGAAGATGATGTTGTAGGTCATGGTAGCCAGCTACGGATGTCAGTCGCCTTGGACACCAATGGATAATGATGGGCTCACAGCAATCGGTAAGGCATCTAATACATAGAACGCCCACTCGACAGTAAACAAGTAACCTTTTGGCGGAAGATTACTAATATCCACGGTAAGGAATTCTACGCCTGGTTAGCACAGAGCCTCTTGACGATAAATGGCGCTCACCAACTGCACGGTAGACCGAACGAAGGAGAATCAAGGCTCCTGTGACGTAAAAGGCCCACATCAGGAGTCGCACGCGCGCCATTCGCTGTCGGAGCGCCTTGGTGGCCTTGCGGTCAAACCAAATTGCAAAGAAGAGAAAAATGGCAAACGCCACTAGTTGAACCATGAGACCGAGTATGAGAATCGCGCGGGCTCGCTTCAGCTTTCCCAAGTCGTCTTCATTTCCAAAAAGCATTCCAGCTCCGAGGCCTTGAGCGAGTGAGCGACAGAGTCACACATCCATTCACGTATATATTCACCTTGTAATCCAATAGCAAGAACATCAAACCCGACGAAAATAGGCGTGATCCAACCAGGCCGAACGATGGAATAGGTCGAGCCAATGAACAACATGCTGAGGTGCACCGTCAATTTCGGTCGACGGTAGAGTGAAAACCTACATTCGTCCGACAAGCATATAGAGATTTGCAGCGAAACATGCGGGAGCCATGATGATGAGCACTACTCTTCTTCAGCACTTGGACCCAGTAAGCGAGTACCCTACCTTGTCCAGCGACCGAGGGAGGCTTCTCAGTCCTGTCTGTATGGAGTCAGGCGCGAGAGAAGAGGCGAGGGAGCGCATACGGTCAATAGTGTATTTGCTACAAGATCGTCAATGGACGTAAGTAGTACAGATGAGAGCTCACCGAAGGATATAACCAGCAAACTCCAAAGCGGTAGCAAGAATGAGCGGCCACATGTAGTAGATCTGGCCGGACTGTCAACGGCACTCCTAGGGCCTTCCATAGCACGTACTCTTGCGCGGATGGATTGGTAGAGATGAGCAATCAATAGGACACCAAAGATACATATGAAGATGATAGCAGCAGGAGTGCTGGGCTCGTACTCCCGAAAGGCGCGATATCCAGGCTTGCCAGCGGCCATCTTGGTCGAAGGGGTGAACTAGAGGGGGTAGAGAATGAGGGAGAGCCCTATACGCCAATGAGGCCCTCTTTTATAGCCAACTCGACTGTTGGAGGAAAAGCCTCCGAACTGAATTAGCACAGTTGGTCGACCGCCTCCCAAGCCCAAATGCAGCATCCGAAGACTGGTGAAGCGCTCTATATGTATTAAAATGCCAGTAGAGCAGCCCAGCTCGGGGCTTTTAGAGGCGAGGCACCCAAATGGTCGTGCATCGCCGCGAGAGCCGAGGGTGGCAAGTCTGGGCCGCGTAATATGTAGTTTTGGCAGGTTAAGATTCCATCATTGTAATTCCGTTTCCGCAGCGTCCAGCTAACTCGGCGGAGGCAGCACGCCCTCGCGTTTGGCTTATCCTCTATACCCTCATGGCTTCCTCACCCAATGGAGAAGATAAAAATGGAGAAAACCTGCTCTCCTTTGAGACGTGGCGCCGTAAAGTGGCGTGGGTGACGGGGCTTGGTCTTTCAGAAGACGAAGAGCGACGACGGAGCGAGGTAATCCTTCTTCAAAACGCCCAAAAGGATTGGGATACATGTGAGAAGCGGAAAAGGGAACTATGGCATAACAGTGAGTACCTCGTGCCGAATTCGTCGACGCGGTTTGGGTCAGAATTTGATGCTTTGAGCAGGTCCCGCTGTCGTGTTCATGGTACAGCAGATGAGACTGATAAACTGTAATGTCACCCTGGACCATTTCGTATGTCACCCTTGCGAGAAAAAGTCGTCGGGAGGATTTAGCCCCGAGTATGGAATCCTACTCTGCCAGGATGGGTTTTTCAACAAGAAACACATGGAGGATACGATGGTACATGAACTGGTTCACATGTACGACCATGCAAAGTTTAACGTCGACTGGAACAACCTGCGGCACCAGGCCTGCAGTGAGGTGGGACCGTAGTATGCTACTGATGCGTATTCTGAAACTGGTCACCTCGTGTAGATTCGTGCAGCTAACCTCAGCGGCGACTGCAGTTTTCGTCGCAATTTCACCAGAGGCTGGTTCAAGATCACAGCTCAGCACAAGGTGCATATACTTGTTGGTTGGTGGAGTATCAGGAGCTGAAGCTCGTACAGGAATGCGTGCGTATGCGCGCGGTGAGCTCAGTTGCGATGAACCCAAAGTGTCCCAACCAAGAAGCGGCTGAGCAAGCGGTGAACGAGGTTTGGGATAGTTGTATCAAGGACACACGGCCGTTCGATGAGGTGTCATATGGTTGTTGATCTAGTACTCTGACGAGAGCATGCCAGATTTATTGATATTCTTTTTCTTCCTTGCCTCGCCTTGTCCGCCTTTTCTTGCATCACAAAAAGGGAGTTCATAATAGGAGTCTGGTATTACTACTACGGGCCGGTGGCTACTGAGATCTGGTGCGCGTCGGAAGCGGTCAACCCCGGCATATGCCCTCGGGAAATATCCAACGGAGAAATGCGATTTGAATGAGAGCGATAAGTGACAATGAATTAATGAGAGTGAGTTGAGGGTGCAATCGCGTCGGGCTTTTGCTTGGCCAACTCCTTCATTCTCGCCATGAGACTAGGGTGGGGTGGGTCAGATGTTAGGCCACGCTTTCGAATGAAATGTACTTACTCGTCATATTGGCATCTAACCACGGCAAAGGGATCAGTTTACAATCGCTGTATGACGAAAATGCATACTTTTCATATTCGTGCCTTCCAAAACGGGGTCAATGGGCGGTTTTCTGGAAATAGGATAGCGCACCTCTCATGATCGCATTGCCAGGGCACAAATTTGTTCTCCCGTCGGCACATGTTCAGCGGAATCAACAAGCTGGTTTGTTTAGGGCTTCGTCAGGACCTCTGCAGGGTGATCGAGCGGCAAATTCCGTACGCAGAACAGTGATCTCTAAAGCCTATCGGGAGATGAGCCTTTGTTGCTTCGGCCTGGGACGCTGTAGTGGACGAAGGTGAGGACATGGTCAGGTCGAAACGTTAGGGTGGCTGTGCCGCAATGGGATACGACGAGGACGGTGGGATCTAGACTTGTTAGACTCTGATAATAAATGTTTTAAAAGGTGAGTCGAGTTGTCCGTACAAGTACACAGAAGCATAAAGCCACTGGGGTTGAAAGCAGATGAAGACTACAAGTAAATACCCTGAACCGAATTTATGGAATTGTAGTCTGATAGCTATAGAAGCTGCCACCGGGGACTCTGAGGAAGGGATGAATTTGGTGGTTGAACTGCGGGGAATCCCTGTAATCCAGGAGTTCCGTTGTCTGTTCTGCATGTGAAAGGGCGTAGCATCTGCTTAACAAGTTGTCGGTGAGCCGCGACGCCCGCGTGGGACCATTGGTCCATTGGCGGTGTACATATTAGTGGCAAGTGTGCGCAGCGGGCTCAGCTCCCCGATTGCTGTTGCCAGTCCAGCTTTTCTACATTATTTTGGATTTTGTGCAAGTTGTCCCTGCGTCATACTCTGCACCTAGCGGGACATTCCATCTGGCCCTGTAGTTACACCAAGGACCTCGGCCGAGCATCCCCAATTGTCACAAAGTCAGTAACAAAACTTGTACACGACTTGATAGAGCCCTGAAGGCGCGCCAGCCAGCTAGACGCCTAAACAGCGGGCCATTTACTTAACCCTTGCCCAGCGACAACCGCCATTGACGCCTCTTGCCTTCCGCCTCTGCGGCCGCATATTCAGGATGAGTGCGCTGGACACCGACTACGAGTCGTATCCAGCACACACTCGTATCCCAGACGATGAACTCCTGGGGCTCTACATTGAGCTCACCATGAACGGCGAATATGACCTCTTGCCGTACGAAGAAGAATGGCGAGACCGCGGACCTTTGCTTCAATTTTACGGGTATCAACTTCGCAAGAGATATGACATGGATTGGCGTCCATCCTGGGAGGATACAGACATTAACCCATTCTTTTGCGAAGATTCCATCGACTCGAGCGTACGTAGACACACATACAGGATCACATTCGATGGCTCATATTTTTTCCTCATATTCTTTTTACAGACGCCAAACGTCATGGACGCCATCCGCAAAGACGACGGCCTGTCCGTAGCAATCAAGGCAACCCTCGGCTGGACGAGAGAGGCCCAGATTGCGTTTTTGTTCACCGACGGAAACGCGATAGAAGAGCCGAGAAACCACTGCGTCCCCATCCTCGACACTTTTATCGAAGGCGATATTGTCTACATCGTCATGCCGCTGCTTCGCGCCTTTAATGATCCTCCCTTTGTCGCCGTAGCAGAGGTCGTCGATTTTGTCGACCAACTCGTCCAGGTAAATACACTTCATCTCCGATGCAGTTTTTTCCACACTTTGTCATTTGCTGACTCGGACGGTCCCCCTTAGGGCATCGAATACATGCATGAACAAAACGTCGCCCACCGCGATATCACCCCCAGCAACATTATGATGGATGCCTCTCAGCTCTATCCAGAGGGCTTTCACCCCGTTCGCCAAAACCTTTCGAGAAACGGGCTTGCCGAGGTGGTGGGCGTTATGAGGATGCACGCCCCCGTCCGTTACTATCTGATCGATTTCGATTCGGCAATCGCGTTTGAAAAGGGTACGCCCTCGCGGGACAAGTATGCAGAAGGCAAAGCGGGCAGTGATGAAGACGTCCCCGAGTTCAAGGTCAACTCGCCCTATGACCCCTTCAAGGTCGACATCTTTCAGTTTGGAAACTTGTTGCGCAAAGAGTTCTTGCTGGTATGTTCCTCTCAAAATTCCCTTGGCATGCGCGCTTATCCCCTTTGGCAAGAAATATACTGGCGTCGAGTTCTTGTCGCCACTGGTCAAGGAAATGACTCAGATGCGCCCCTCAGATCGACCAAACGCAAAGACTGTGCGCCTGCGCTTCAATACGATTCGCAACCGTTTGACGCAGAGCCAACTCCGCGCACACTTGAACCTGAAAGACTCAACCGATCCGTTCCGCGAGCGGCTTCATAGTCTGGGCATTGATTCTCTGCTCGATAGCGACGCCGACGATTCACCCGAGCATTCCTCTTCCGAGGCTCCGACTACAGTCACCAGCACGCGAAGCCATGACAGCTATTGGTCGGGTGTGCAAAGTATCGATTCATCCGTCACCTCGCAAGAATCTGTCGAGCAAAACCCGACCCAGGGTCCGCTCTCCATGATTACGAACATGTTCAGCCGGCCTAAATCCCCTGTTCGGACAGAGTCTCAGGGATTTGGTATTCCGTGGCGGCCCACCAACCCTAGATCGCCATCACCCGAGCCCCAACTAGCGCCGCCACAGCCGATTCCAGTACCAAAGGACTCGGCCCGCAACGGACGATCGCCTAGCCCCGGCCGTCCCAAGACTGGCAAGTTCCCGTGGAGGCGGGACAACTCTCCCGATTCCATGTCCACCAGCCCTATTTTGGCCGTCGTCAATCAATTTCTCGCGCCCGAAAATTCTGTTTATGCCGATACTTATGATCCGACACCTAATCGATCGGGTGCAGATACTAAAGATCGCTATGGCTGGGATTATGGAATCACCAGCCCCCCACCGCCGCCAACCGCGGCACCGGCTAAAGTCTCCGCAACGCCTGCCCCAGCTCCAGCTCCAGCGCCAGCACCAGCACCGGCACCTGCCAAGCCGAGTCCAAATGAGCTTGGAAAGAACCGACGCAACACCGTGAGCAATGCAGCACCACCGCAACCCGCTGCAGCGTCGAAGCCTACGCCGCCGATGAAGGCGACCATCCCAGCATCCATGTTTGGAGAATGGGATAACCCAGAAACTTACTTTGAAAAGCCAGCCCCTTACTCGTCCAATGCAAAGCAAGCAAAGTCTACCAGCACACTCCCTACCTTTTTCAACCCGACCAACCAATCCGCGTGGGACGAGCCAGCCGTCAACGGCAGTTATGATATGCCAGAGATTGAAATCGTTCCGGAGGAACCTCCCTTCTGGTCAGAGGCTGCTATTCGCGCTCTGAACCAAGCACCACCTGCAAAGCCTATGTCTACTAAGCCCATGGAAGCAAAGGAGCCTGTTGTCGAGAAGAAGACAAAGACGGCCAAGTCCCCCCCGGCTACTCTCTCCAAAAAGTCTGCCATCGCTGAGCCTATCACTTCCCCAACAGACGGCTCGATGATTGCCATGCTCCGCAATAATGTAGCATCGGCAGTACGACCATCTATTGCACATATTGCGAACCGTAAGAGTACGATTGCAGTCGAGGATGGAACCCCGTTCAACACCCCTCCAAAGTCCATTGCAAGACTTCCTAGTCCCCAACCCGCGTCACCACCAGCGCCCAAGACCAAGAAGACCAAGTCGAAGAAGGGTAGTATCTCGGAGATGCCCAAGGAGCCAGAGAAGGAGGAGGTCAAGGCCGAGAAACCAAAGTCGAAGAAGGATGTGCCAAAGGCCGCCAGCCCCGTCGTAGACGATGAGCCGACGATGCCAGGAGCCTTTGGTTCCGTTGAGCCCATCAGGATGGGTCGTCGTGGGAGTGGAGCCAGCAATACCTCTCGCCCATCTTCGCCGTTCTCGATGTTCCGTAGTAACCGAAGCAACAGCATCTCGAAGAAGGATGGTCCTCCGACGACGTCCAAGGCGAGCGCTGCAAAGCCAGGTTCCTTTAAGACTGGCGGTTTCAGCTGGGGGTCCAAGCCCAAGACAACGACACAGGTCGACAACACGGTTGAGCCCATGAACTTTGGCTCTTCTTTCTCTGCAGGAGATTGGGACATGGGTGGTGCGTTTGCCAAGGTCGCTCCGACTCAGAGCGCCATGTCTCCTCGATCCGAGAATGTTGGTAGCGATTATGAGACCCTCTCATCTCCTGTCACGACTCCTCCTACCAAGTCGGGATGGAAGTCCAAGACGTCCTACTTCCCAGAAGCAAAAGCCAGCTCGCCCAAAGAGGAGGAAGAGGACCTCGTGCATCTCAAGGCGCAGATGGAGGCCACACCCAAGGCGTCGCTCTACCTCGACAGCTTTAGCAAAGTCATGCCGTCGTTTGGCTTTGGCGGATTCTCCAATAGTGACTTGAACTCGGCGGATTTCTGGTCCAACCAAGCTGCTCAGCTACTCGCGAGTGAACCGGAGGAAGTGGAGAATACGTTCATCCCAGAGCCGACCCCCATCGGCGCCAAACGTGGTGCAAAGCCCGCGTCAGAGGCTCCCAAGTTTGTCGACGTTGCTGAACCCAAGTCGTTCCCGGTCAAAGGAAAGAAGATGCCGGCAAAGACACCCGCCAAGTCGCTCTTTGGTGCAGACTCGACGATGGAGGACGACTCGTGGGGTTTTGGATCGACCATGCCGACGAGGAAGAATGCCAAGCCTGCAGCCAGTGGCGGCTTTTCCAGCTGGTTCGGCAGTACGCAAGAGGACGCCGAAGAGGAAGAGGAAGTGACCGAGACCTACGTTCCGATCGCTGAGCCCGAGCCCGAGCCAGCTACGTCCCCGGTCGAGGATAGCTGGTTCTCGCAAGCCAAGCCAAAGGGGAAGAAGGGTGCTGCCAAAGTCGTTGCGCCAGCTGCTCCTTCCGTCTTTTCCAAGCCGGTGATGGGCAAGAAGGAGCCGTTCAAGTTTGAGCCAGTCCCGACGGAGCAAGATGATTGGTTTGAGCCCAAGCCCAAGGGTGCGAAGAATACCTCTCCAGTCGAGACGAAGCCAGTTGAGGAAGAAGACGACTGGTATTCTCCTCCAGTCAAGGGCAAGGCGGCAAAGGGCATGAAGAAGGCTCAGGAGGCCGAGGAGAAGGCTCCTGTTCCCACCGCCGCGTCTAAGACTACTCCATTCGCGAGCAAGTGGGGTTCCTTTGGCATGGACGATGAGCCGAAGGCCACCGAGGATGATGATGACCTCGCTGCGCAGCTTGCTGCCACACTAGACAAAGACGGCAAGGACGCAAAGGCTGTCGTCGCCGAGCCGGAAAAGGTTGAAGAGGCTCCTGCAAAGAATGCCATCAAGAATAACAATAATGCCGCCAAGGGTGCAAAAGGCAAGAAAAAGGGCAAACGGTGAACACGCGGTTTTCACCTGCCCGACCTACGATTATGCGGTTTCGTTATTATTCGCGCCAGTCTCTCCCTCTTTTTTATCATCTATTCATGTTCGTCTACCCACGTCTCGTTTCGCCCAGTTTTGTCTAGTACCTTACGTCCCAACCCCTCAATCTTGTCTGTCCTTGTTCGCGTCCCACTGCCGTCCTGGGCTTATTCGATATACCCTCCATCGGACTCCCCTGGGTTGTCTTCTTGTTCTCACATTCTCCATAGACGCGTTTCGTGCATCCCTTCCTGCAGGCTGTATGCCTTACGTGTATCGTAGACCCTTCAACATTTGTTGTTTTTGTACGCTTCATCAATTGCATTACAGAGCTACCTAAGTAGGACAGGGCGACACCTGGGGAACTGGATCTGGTCGCTCCCCGCCACTCATCGTTGCCCTACGGATACGAGAGCCTAGTGCGTTGACGAGAAAGGAGAGCATCGAAGGCCCATGTGCGTGTTCGCTTGGTCCTATATAGAGGTCTTCGGTTGGACTGGGACGACCTACCTCTGCTCTGTTCGAGATACCAGTTGAAGAAGTCTTGTGGCAGCACAGTTTGGGCGACGTTGGGCTGCCCACTGCGGCACTCGTCTCGGTCTTGATGGGTATTGTTGTCGGAGGTTGCGGGAAATCAAACGTGAACTCGCATAGTCCTCGAGGAGTCGCTTCAATGATCGAGATGCTCGGGAGTTCAGCATAGATAGGATCCTTTTTGTGTCGAGATCCCAGCAACGATCCGGTGGAACCAGAGGCTGAACCGTGTGATGAGGACGATGGCTGAAAGGAACTGGATCGTAGCTTGCTGTAGGCATGTGTGTCTGGAATCAATTCAGAGCTGGGCATCGAGTCTTCCATACTGTCAAGTATATACTGAACGGCCCCCTCGTCGAAATCCTCGAACGAACATTCTTCGAGTACTGGAGATGATGCCAATGTCTTCATTTCAGCGCAGAGGTTGTCAGAAGGAGCACCAGATGTATCTGCGAGCGTCGTATTACTCGTAAACTCGGGAGAGTCAAAAGGATTGGGTTCTGGAGGCGTGAACCACTCGATGTGACTTCCGAATCCATCGAACGAGCCTATGGCCGGCAAAACTGGTATACTGTCGAGCAGACTGGTCTGAGAAGAGGTTTGTTCCAAGGGTATAGATATTCCGAGAGGGTTGAAAATGCGGTCCTCTGTCACGTCGGGAGAGACGGGAGGACTCGACGCGATCAAGAGTAGTTTGTCATCATGGCTGGGACTCTGGTGCTCGAGAGCTACGTCCCATGTGATTAAAGAGATAATAGGCTTGTTAACTCGTACTCACGTGGTTTCTTGCCAAAGATCTTGCCCAACTTTGGCGAGGCGACGGTACGAAGGGCTTGTAGCTGTGAGCAACAATCTGGAGAGCAAAGATCGCCTACCTTGAAGGAGACTACCGCGTCTCTTGCTTGGTCGAGATTCATTGACATTGGAGGGCGAGAACATTATAAACAGATTGTTGCCTGTGCCACAAGGACTGGCGTGAGGTTGTTGACCGACGCCTAAACGAGCGACGTGAACGATTATAACGCAAATACTCTATAGAGGCTAAAGAAAGGCGAGCCAGGAACTTGGACGCGGAAACGGTCTGTCGTAGTTGAGGACAAAGAGGCTCGCCATTCATCAGACAACCACAAAGCTCACGAATAGCCATTAAAGAGAGTAATAGATCAGTCCTGTGACCATTCGGTTCGCATAGCATGCTGTATTTCTTCAGAGGGTAGACGGCATACAACATAGAGGAAGCAGACGCGTGCAAGAACCCGTGACCATCTCCTCGCAGTCGCTCAGATGGTGGTTTCGTACGGAACCGGGTTGAGTGTTTGTGGCAGGTTTTTGCAGCTCGCCGACTCTACAGTGTGCGCCTCTCGTGGCAACTTTTGGGTACGCCTGAGCACAATCGTCTCTGTGTGTTATCATCAGAACAAGATAAAGAGACGAATGTGAATAATGTAAACGTACCGCCCTTCTCCTTTGCCTCTGCTCGCAGTCGGACGTTCTCCTTGACACGGTCAAGGAAGACCTGACGACCCTGCGAGTGCTTGATGTGCTCCACACGAAGGTTGACACGCTTTTGGATGTATCGGTTGCCCACCCGCTTGTTGATGAGGACGCCGACAGCACGAGGGGTAACGTTGTAGATGATACCAGTTCGTCTGTAAACATATTAGTGACATACTTGGGATTGAGTAGAGGTACTGACCCGTGGTAGAACTTGTGCGGCATGCCTTTTTGCTGGGCGGCATTAGCTTTGATATCGACATAGTCTCCGACTTTGTAGGGCTTCATGAATGTTGAGAGTTTGATCATACCGCGCTCTAGAGATTGAAAGGTAATCCATCAGCCAGGCGTGTCCAACAGCGCATGTAGCCACATTCAATAGCAGTATTCGAGTTCATGTGATGAATACGAATGCCAACTATTGGGCTACATCCTGCGCAAAAGAGCGGAATGCTCACTCTTGAAGCCGCGCTTGAACATGTCGCGCGTGCGCGCGCGGTAACCGAAAGAGTGCGGCATGTTATTCTTCTAGAAATGCGTTGAGCGTCGTAGAATTATTTTGGTAGAATTTTCTACGCACAAAGTCGGGGACGAGTGCACCTTGTTTGGCCAAACAGAAATTAGGTTCTGCTTCCACCACAAACGCAGGTCGACGCCTGCCGCAGATAATCGTCTAAAATGCCTAGGTAAGTGCTGTTATTTCTCTTGTTGGATAGGATGCTCGTTGAGTTTGTTGCTGATCGACTGACAACTCTCCAGGGCCGCCCGTACTTATAGCAAGACGTGAGCATTGCTTTTTCTCTATTTCTCAAGATCCTCCTGCGGGAGATGTGCCACCAGAATGTTGACCTTGATTGGTCCATGTGTGCAGCTACAAGGTCCCGAGGCGTCCTTTCGAGTCGGCGCGTCTCGACATGGAACTCAAGGCAAGTTCACGGTGACCTCGAAGATGTATACTGACACATCTACAGCTCGCTGGTGAATACGGGCTTCGTAACAAGCGTGAGATCTGGCGTATCTCCCTCATCCTATCCAAAATTCGTCGTGCTGCCCGTGAGCTCTTGAAGCTCGAAGCAAAGGACCCCAAGCGTCTCTTCGAAGGCAATGCCTTGATCCGTCGTCTTGTTCGCGTCGGTGTGCTCGACGAGACTAGGATGAGATTGGATTACGTGCTTGCCCTCAAGCTCGAAGATTTCTTGGAGCGAAGACTGCAAACCCAAGTCTTCAAGGCTGGTCTCGCAAAGAGCATTCACCACGCTCGTGTCCTCATCCGCCAACGACATATCCGGTATGCGTCTACACGCGTCTCTTGGCAATGTCTAACGGGTTTCTAGCGTTGGAAGGCAGATTGTCAACGTTCCCTCGTTTGTCGTCCGTCTCGACTCTCAAAAGGTGTGTGGGTTTGTTTACGCCCAAGGCCCAGTCTTACATCTCACAGCACATCGACTTTGCTCTTACCTCTCCCTTTGGTGGAGGACGACCGGGTCGCGTCAAGCGCAAGCGTGCCGCAGCTGCTAACAAGCCGGCTGGTGGTGACGATGAGGACGAGGAGTAAATGCTTACCAGTCCTTGGTATTGTCGGTTCTTGGTGCATGCCTCCGTATGTCCTACTGCGCATGAATACAACCATACAATATGTATCGAGGACTGGGTGGAACCGTGATTATCTCCAGATGGAGACTGGGAGCCTTTTACAGTCTGAGACATTGGCTTGAATGATTCGCATAGAGACGGCGCAGCATAGCATACACGCATGACAATCCCAGAGGAAAGAGGTCGACTAAATCTACGCAGCCTGAGCCTTTTTCTTTCCGCGAACCTTTTTCGGGGGCGCATCTGGCTTTTCCTTTTGCGCGGCGAGCAAAGCAGAGGTGCGAGCAATGGCAGCCTGTCAAGGCGTCTCAGTCAAACAGTCCAATAGGAGAATAGACTAGGGAACGAAATGGTGAAATGTCTGCCCCAACGAGTTGTTGAACAGAGTATACTTAGGCAAGTGAGCGTTGTAGTCAAACCAGTGGATATATAGTGAGCTACCTTAGGCAAGTGAGCGTTGTAGTCAAACCAGTAAGGTTTGACTACGGCTGCTCACTTGCCACTATGTACATAGACGAGACAACAAGGCAATAAACTAACACGACCCCCTGACTTGGTGACTCGTCGATGTGCGACCCCCTGACGTGAGGGAATTATCATGAGAGACCAAGTTTACCTCGAAGGTATTCAAACTTGATGCGACCAAGGGGTTTGGTGAAGATGTCAGCGACATTTTCAGAGGTCGGAACATGCTGTACACGGAGTTCCTTGTTCTCAACGCGCTCGCGAATCCAGTTGTATGCACGGTGAACATGCTTCATGGTTGTCTGGTGTTCGGGATTTTTGACCACTTGGATGGCTGATGCACTGTCGAGGTAGAGAGGGGATGGTATAGAGATGTCATAGCCGATCTCTTCAAGAAACTGGCGCATCCACATTATCTCGCATCCCGCAGCAGATGCTGTTGTGTATTCAGACTCTGTGGATGAGAGTGAGACATGTTTTTGTAGTCGACTACCCCACATGACAGCTCCTGAGCCAACTGAGAGGACATATCCACCAGTGGATCGTGAGTTATCTGGGTTCCACTCAGGTCGGCATCGCTGTGGGCAGTGAAGAGGTCGGTGGAAGAGGTGAGAATAGATGAGTTTGAGATCTTGCGAGCCTTTGAGGTATCTGAGGACATGCTTGGCAGCATTCCAATGCTGTTCTCCTGGGTTGGAATTGTATCGACACAGAACACCAACAGCATATGAGATGTCGGGGCGAGTTGCAATTGAGAGGTATAAGAGACGGCCTACGGCTCTCTGTATGGGATGCTTTTCATTCGCTCCTTTTGTTCAGCTGTTTTTGGACTCATTTCTGCTGAGAGTCGAAGCCCATCAGGCATTGGCGTTGGAGATGGGGTACAGTCGGTCATATTGTAGTCTTCAAGTAGCTTTTGTATGTATGCTGGCTGTGAGAGAGCAATTGTGCGACTTGTGCGATCACGCTCAAGTCGAATTCCAAGTATCTGGGTTGTCTGGCCTTGGTCATGGATTTTGAAGCGTTGCTTGAGTTCCTCCTTGACTTTGTGGATTGCGGAGTGAGACTTGGAAGCAAGGATGAGGTCGTCGACATGGACAGGTATGATAATCCGCACACCGTCGCGTTGGTAGACGAAGACACTGTGGTCGCATTCGAGTCGTTTGAAGCCTATCTCAGAGAGTACTCTGTGCAGCTTCACTGACCAAAGTCGCGGCCCCTGTTTGATACCATATAGACCTTTTAGCAGTCGGAGTACCCATTGATGTGACCCGTCGGAGTCTCCATGTATTGTTAATCCCTCTGGCGGCTGCATGTACACTTCTGCATCTATTTCGCCATTGAGGAAGGCTGTAGAGATGTCGACACTCTCCAGTTCCATGTCTCAACTGCTGCTAGCGCAATGACTGTCCGCAGTGCTCCAAAGCGTGCTGTAGGCGCAAAGGTTTCGGTGTAATCTACACCTTCGCGCTGAGCATAGCCCTTTGCAACAATACGACCTTTGTACTTGTCAATTGACCCATCAGGGTTACGTTTGATCTTGAAGACCCAACGACATCCTATCGCCTTCTTTCCATGTGGCAGCCGCACAACCTCCCAGGTTCCATTTTCCAGGTGAGCGTCAATCTCTTTGACTGCCGCTTCGAGCCATTTCTCACTATCGGGACGTTCTAACGCCTCAGCTAGGGTGTTGGGCTCGAGCTTTGCAGACGTTTGGAGGGCATACTCGACGCCATCAGCCAGTGAGACCAACACATATGCTGTGTCTTGTTCTATTGACTGTGCAGCATCTGCAGTCTCATTATATGCTGGGTGAGCTGATCGAGTCTGCCGCTTGCCTGGCAGGCTCCCTGGAAATTTCTCGAAGTGCTCAAGGAGCCTCTTGGTCTCCCTGGGTAACTCCGTACTGTTGCTTGGCGCAAGATGTCTGTACTGAGCAGGGAGATCTAGTGTGACTCTCGGTGGCTCTTGGGTATCGTTGCCATTTCCATCGTTGTCATCGTCAGAGTTGCTGAGATCAAGGAGGTTTAGGTCTGGGAGTGAGTCTTGATCATCACCTTGGCCTTGCTCCAGACGGATTCGCTCGTCAGGAGGTGGACCAGATGGCTGGACTGGAGGGTTTGGTGTGTGTGGCACAAATGGGACGAGAGAGAATGATGGTGATATGTCATCTACAGGCTGTGGAACATGGCTCTTCGTTTTAGAACCCCCTGGGAACTCATCTTCGACAAATATTGCACTGTCAGAGACGAAGTCCTTCTGTGTTTGTGGGTCCCAGAATATCCAACCTTTGTAGTCATTTGGATATCCAATGAAGACACATTTTCGCGTATGGGGTGCGAGCTGTACACGCTGATCCTTTTGAAGGTGTACATGGGCTCGGCAGCCCCAAGCACATAGGTGTCCAACAGAGGGTTTTGAGCCATTCCAGATCTCTATGGGGGTTATACCATCGAGAACAGAGGATGGAAGTCGGTTATGGGTGTGGACAAAGGCTCTGGCAGCATCGGTCCAGAACAACGGTGGTAGCTTTGCTTCTGAAAGCATTGCAGTTACCCCTTCAGCAAGGTGACGGTTGAATCTCTCAGCGACTCCATTCTGCTGGGGACTGTCGCGGATGGTGTGTTCGCGTTGGATGCCATTCTCTGCACAGTAGTTTTGGAACTCGGTGGACATGTATTCACCACCTTTGTCATCTCGTAGACATTTAATTTTTACCCCCAGTTCCGTCTCAGCGTGCATTTTGAAGTCTTTAAATGCCTCGAGAACTCTGTCCTGCTGGGGAGTGTGTACAGGGTAACACGACGTGACTTATCGTCAATGAATGTAACCCAATACCGATGTCCCTTCCGGCTCTGAGTTGGCACTGGCCCATGGACGTCTGAGAAGATGCGTCCAAGGACAGATTCTGATCGTTTTGCAGGCACTGTATGTGGTGCACGAGTCTGCTTGCCCTCTACACAGGGTACGCAAAGAGCTGGGGTTATTGTCTTGCCAGTGGTGGCAAAATCTTTGACAACACTAGTTGAGAGCATCTTGTCGATTGTGGCATAGCTCCGATGGCAGAAACGCCGGTGCCATGTCTCAATTGACACTGGCGTGGTTGTTATGGCATGGGAAACCGACTCAGGTACTGTCCCTGGTTCGTCTGTGCGGCCTTCGAGTAGGGACATTGTGAGCACGCTTAGCAATGAGAATCGCATTCTTTCTTTGTAGAAGCAGAGCGTGTTGGAATTGATAGTCGCAGTGATTGATGGGAGAGAGTCATCATGAATATGGAAAAGAGGTTGTTTTTCAGATTGGGAACGAAGAGGACATCTTTGAGAATTATGGAACTGTCGAGTTTTCCATCTAGCAGTGGTGGCCTAAACGTGACCATTCCCTACCCGTACCAAAAGTGATTGATCCATCAGCTAGCTCACAGGAGTCCTGCACTCCGAGAAGCTAGTGAGCCACTCGCGACGATGTGTCATATGGCAGGAGGCTCCTGAATCAGCAATCCAGCTGTCAGCTGCTGTAGGTACGGGTAATTGGGACAAACTTGCATTTCCGGCATATTCGACCTCTGTAGGCTTATCGATTGCTTGTGCAGCATGTGCCTGGTGTGACCGTCCTGAGCAGAGCTCCGATCACTGCGTCCACGTGCTCGGTGTGGCTGGGTTCCGGAGGTACCGGCTCGTCGCTCGGCGCGCTTGTTCAGGTACATCTGCTGGAAGCGGACCATTGTGCGGCAATCTTTGACAAAATGGCCGATGTTTAGGCAAAAGAGGCATTTTGTTGGTGTGGTAACGGCGGCAGCAACCTCGGGTGCTATGTCCTGCGATTCTGGTGTCGTTGTGTTGAATAGGAGCATTGCTGTTTTGATTTTGTCGTAATTGATTGTGTTGGAAACGACAATGCTGGTGCGCAGCTGATGCTCAGTGGGGATGGCATTGAGTAGTGTAAATGCCTTGAGTTCCTCTGTCTCCTTCTGTATGTTCCAATCGGCTGGGCGGAGACGGTCAAGTGCATGGGTGGCATCATCCACACGTTTGACCAGGTCTGCCCATGACTCTGTTGATTGCTTGCGGATTGAAAGCAGTTCATTCCACGCTCTGAAGCGCATGCTTCATCCTTTTGGCATAGAGCTCGAAAAGCGCATCGTAAATTGCCACACCATCAGAAGGTGTCTTTTCGAGGATATGTCGGTGTTCCTTGCCGGCTGCAGTGCGTAACCATGTGGCCACCTGACGATTTGCATTATCATAGGTTTTCTGTGCAGAGATTTCTTCTGGCGTTGGCTTTGTTGGATCTGCATAGCCAGGTCGTTGGATGCGTGCTTTGGTGCTTGGATCCTTGGCAAAGAGGATTGTATCGTACTCAGCAAAGGGTAAGAAGGCCGTCAAAATTCCAAATCCATTCTTCCCAATTTGCTGGATTCTGGTGCCGGCCCGTATGAGCTGTTTGAGAATTGTTTCCATCAGGGTATTTGCGTTTACCGAAGGTGATCCGGTTTTAAGCGAGAGAAAAATTTTCTGTTGGCTTCCCACGCCGTGGATGCAAGTGCGACGCAGGATTGGGTACTGAGCAGTGTCTGTGGAGGTTGGCGTAGTGTGTGTGCTCGCTGAATGTATGCACTAGAAGTAGAATCGTGCAGTAGTTGATATTGATGGATGCTGAGTGGTATTACTTGTGGGCACTGGCGGCAACGGCTGTAGCAAGCACTTTTAGAGCGCAGGGCTCATAACCTGTTGAACAGAGTATACTTAGGCAAGTGAGCGTTGTAGTCAAACCAGTGGATATATAGTGAGCTACCTTAGGCAAGTGAGCGTTGTAGTCAAACCAGTAAGGTTTGACTACGGCTGCTCACTTGCCACTATGTACATAGACGAGACAACAAGGCAATAAACTAACACGAGTCGGTACCAATGCCTTTGCCACGAATGGCCACACAAAGGTCCGATAGCGACATGGGGCAACGACCTGGTCTATTTGATCGTTCGACACAGGTCGCTGGGTCATTTTTGCGAACGTGTCCACGCCCGTCGTTCATATCTCCGCGAGGGAGGTCCAGAGGGTTCTAACGTCGTTGCGAGAGAGAAAGGAAAAGGAAAGATGTGAGGGTGAAACGAACCTTTCTGAGATCTGGTCTATAGTTTCTCTTGCTCTGTCCAGCGACAATCCTCATTTGGATTATTCTAGGTCGAGGATACAAAGACTACCTATGCGGAAGAAGGAATGGAAAGAAAACCGAGACCTGTTTTGAGTTCGTTGTGCTTGGTGTGATAAAAGTGAGTTGAGAACCGTGTCATGTCTTACGTACAGTGCTCGGTGTTGCAAGGAGAGAGGCAAAGTTGAGACGGTTATGATCGGGCGCCTCCTTGAGTAACTTCCTTTGCTCCGTGTATCTTTTGCCCACAGTAGATTGTGTGCTACCGTTTCAAGTACTTAATATCTCGAGCACAGCGGAGAATCGATGGCTCCGGTCTGGTGAAAATGTGTTTTGAATGAAACATGTTGAGTGCGAAGTTGGGTTAGGAGACTGGCGTCAGTCCTTGTCAGCCCGGCATATATGCCCTGGGGAGGTTGCCCGGGAGGTTTGCCGTCATAGCGCTTTGTGTTGACCCTGTTTACTATTTGACCAGTCACTCTCCCAGTTCCAAGTAAGGCTCCTTTGGCTGTAGTTCACAGCGCTGCTATGCTCAGGGGAGGGTCTCGTCGAGTACCAGGTTTGGTCCTACGCACTTTGTCGATGAACTTCCGCTGGCAATTTCGCTTGGACGTCGGCTTCCACGTTGCCTGCCACGTTGGTGTGTCCAGGGACCCGTTGAGACTGAGGTGGACCCGTCCATTGCTACGCCTTACGCTGGGGTCTTCTGTGCACGCCGTGGTTTCTATCCGCTTCACTGACACATATTTAAATCTCACAGGCTCTGGCACGAGAGATCCTATAACAGCATAGAGAGACTCAACTGCCTGAATCTACAGGACACAATTCGTGGATCTTTGTACGGTCGGGTATGCCCGGAGGGCCCTTTTAATTACTTGAGATCAAAGTCCAAAGTCGCCATGAGTTGCTCGTGGATCCCTTCCACTCCATGACTCACCCCAAGCCTTACCTTGCGCCACTCCAATTCACCACTCTCGACACCGACCAGCCTGAACATGTGTTCTCTTTCATGGAACAGACTACCGTGAACCATGCCCGCAGGTTCCATCATCAAGACGATGCCTGGCGTACGCCAATTTGACTTGGGATCCCGCAAACTAACGGCTTGGTGTAGGATTCCTCATGGGACGGATGCTACGAACTGTGATCTTGGGCGATATTGGCAGAGATCGAGGGCTTACAGTCCCAAATTTGGAGTTCAGCTAAACCCCTGCTGGAAAGCCCTACATAGTACTCATCCTCGTCTTCCTACCGTCAAGTCTTATATCACCATAGGTCGCTCCGCAGTCTCTTTTACCTGTAGTATTCAACGTCTCTCATCGTCGTTTTGATGGGGATCCTGGAGACTCGAGGATCCTCCGGTGCATCAGCCATTGGAGTCGATATGATGAAGGCGGAAATTCCGGTCAACGATGATCTACTATCGTTTATTGCTTCCGTTGAAAGCACGGTACGATCGAGATGCGCCTCATTTCATTAATATGACTGAATACAGCTCACACCGAGCGAATCTCGACATCTGCACCAACTCGCCGCTGCCGAGAGCACACGTTCACAAGCTACGAAGCACTTGTTCCAGCTTTGGACGCTCAAGAAGGCCTATTTCAAGGCACTAGGAGTCGGCATCACCTTTGAACTCTCTCGCATCCATTTCGATTTCGACACCTCTGTTCTCGTGGTTGATGGGGTGCCCTTGAGTCGCTGGGGGTCATTTCATTTGGCGTATCGAGTCTTTTCAGCGATGATGTGCTTGAGGAGTACGTTGCGCTGTCTGCTATCAGCTCGATAGTTCAGATACAGAGACCGGAGGTGTTGTCAGAGTGGGTATCAGTGGCTGAAGATCAGCGATTCACGCTTGTAGACCAGCATGATCTCATTCAGAGGGTCGCTCGCGGCTTTCCTGTCGTCAATACCTCGTAGTGGATTCCAGCTCCAACCCTGTAGCGAGCTCGAGAATGAACCCTTTGTCACAGAGAGTACCCGAACATTCCTGCAAAGGAATGTATTGTAGGGACTTACTGCAATTTATCAAACGTTGTCATGCGTGGCTCGCGGCCGAGTACATTTATGAGCTTTCTCGAACAGGCGCGAGTCTAACACGCTCCCAACAAGTCGGTAGCAGTGACATAAGTCTCGGATTCGTCAAATCAAGTATCATATTGACACATGTGTCTGGCACATAGCAGGTGGTTGGAGGGTGGCATCGACAGACGCTGTCCACAACTTGGAGCTATCCACCGTTACGATGTCGACCCAAAAGTCAACCAAACGCAAGAAACAGCGCGGGAATGTCAATCCATCGGGATCCCCGCCTGTACCAAGGCCAACAAACAAGAAACGTCAAGCATACAACGCGGCAACCTCGGCCTCGACATAGTAGCCAATATCGCCGAGGGATCGGACATTCTCGCTCCACTAAAGGCTGCTTGCCGAACAACAAAGTCGATTCTCGAAGTCGCGCAGGTGAGTTGGCAAAACCCGCGAGGCTCCCCATCTAACAGGCACCATAGGCGACAGAGGACAACCAAGAGGAATGGACCGAGCTAACAGGACGTGTGAAAGGATACATGTCCACAGTCGAGGAACAAATAGCGTTATTTGAGGCGTATCCTCTAGAAGACATGGCCGTTAACGAGGCGTTCAAACGGCCGCTCGTCCACTATGTCAAGTATGTGCACATTCCAAGTTTGTTTCAGTAGGCTGAACGATGCAGATGCCTCGAAGACATGCACGATAAGGTTATCAATCTAAAGGAGAAACGTAGCCTCAACAAGCACGCCTTTTCTAAAGCAATCATCAAAGTGAAAATTGATGCAGAGGAGATTCTTAAGCTCAATCGAGACATTGAGGATCGGCATAGCCAATTCATGGTACGAACCTCATCCGTCTTATTCACGAGTTCACTGCAGACACAGGGTGCATTGGGTCTTTTTACCGCATTGCGTGTTCAAAGCGTTGAACAGAATACCAAGTTTATCAAGGCTGACGTCGAGGCCACCAAGGCAAACGTGGAAACCGTCCTGACAGACGGTAAGACTTGAGCTTCGCATAGGACATGCTTACTTAGTATTTCAAGTTGACACTACCGCAATACTTCAGCTGCCAACGGTAGCTTTTGTTGCATCCTCTGTCCATAGAGCCTGTCTGACAGGAACGCGCGAGGCTGTCCTTCAAACCATCTGGCACTGGGCCAGCGATGTCACATCGGATAAGCCGATATTCTGGCTCTGCGATATCGCTGGCTCTGGCAAATCCACAGTCGCCATGTCTGCAGCAGATGCTTGGAGGAACGAGGGAGTGTTAGGTGGCCAATTCTTCTTCTCTCTTACAAGCAGCGAAGGGTCGACCACCGAAAAATTCTGTTCCGCGATAGCAAGAGACCTTGTCGACTACATACCCAACCTTGCGCCGCACGTCGCCGGAGCCGTGAAGCGGCATCCTTCGTTTATGCGAAGCTCTCTCCAAGAGCAGTTCCGTATGCTCGTCATCAAACCCTCTTCATCATCTCCAAGGGCGTGTCATTCTCGTTATCGACGCTCTTGACGAATGCAAATCCGGATCGCAGCGAAGAGAGCTCGTCGAAATGCTTTCTACAGCTGTTAAAGAAGTGACAAACCTCAAGATATTCATGACGAGTCGACCAGACCCTGTGATTCAAGCAGTCTTGGGGTCGCTTTCAGTCAAGTCCAAGCTGGAAGACCGCCTGCACGATGTTCATCATCGTGATAACATGGATGATATTGCAACTTACATACACAAGGAGCTAAACGACGTGCTGCCGGAGGCCAAGAGGCTGAGACTGGTTAAGAAGGCCAATGGATTGTTTATTTGGGCAAGCACCGCATGTCGAATGCTCAGTAGCGAAACTACATTAGACTTGCCGGAAAGTATCTATGATCGTCTGATTTCAGTGGACCAGACTGGAGAGATAGACGACGTTTACAAGCTCGTTTTCGAGCGTATGGACCCCAAATCCCACACAATCATGTCCAGCATGCTCGCTTTGCTGCTTGCTGCATTCGAGCCACTCAGCACAGATGACTTGGACGACATCTTCAAGAACCTTGGGCACAAGTGGAGTTCTAGGGCACTGGTACAGAACCTAGGAAGTGTGCTCAGTGTAGACCCAAGTACCCACTTGGTCCAATTCCGCCATCCTACCCTTGTCGAATACCTTCGACGGTGTTCCCTCGCCTCAGCTGCCGACAAACCCAATACACTCCATCTCGACGTGACCAAGGCGCATGGTCAAGCCGCATCATGGTGTCTCAAACGACTCATGTCGCGGACTGATGGTCTAAAGTTTAATATATGTCAACTCGAGTCATCTTTCTACCTCAATAGAGAGATTCTAAACCTCAAGACGAGGATATCGAGACTCATTCCAAAGGCACTTCGATATGCCAGCTCTCACTGGTTGTTCCATGTGGCGGAAACTGATGACACCTGGCGATCCATGGTCAAAAGGGAACTTCAACAGATTATTCAAGCTCCACACGTGCTATACTGGATGGAAGTCCTGAGCTTCACTGGGGGTGTGCCACGAGCAATAGCTGGCCTTCGAGCTATTAGACGCCACATAGGGGTAAGTCGCTGATCCAACGAATTCCACACTTACACAACAGACAGGCCGAAATGTGGGATAAAGCCAGCATGGACCAAATTCGACGGTTTATAATGACATTTTCGGTACCGATCCAAGAGAGCGCGCCACATATTTACATATCTGCACTCCCATTTGCGCCCATAAAGTCCATATTACATATTGAGGGTGCAAAAAGATACAGAAACCTTCTTCGCGTAGCAGAAGGCCTCGAGGAGATGTATTCTGGGCTCCCAAGTAGTCTTCGAGGTCATGAATCCCGGGTCAACGCCGTCGGATTCTCGCCAGACGGCTCACAGATTGTGTCTGGCTCGTACGACAACACAATTCGATTGTGGGACGCGGCAACTGGTCAGGCTGTGGGAGAGCCACTTCGAGGTCATGAATCCGGGGTCTCCGCCGTCGGATTCTCGCCAGACGGCTCACAGATTGTGTCTGGCTCGTACGACAACACAATTCGATTGTGGGACGCGGCAACTGGTCAGGCTGTGGGAGAGCCACTTCGAGGTCATGAATCCGGGTCTCCGCCGTCGGATTCTCGCCAGACGGCTCACAGATTGTGTCTGGCTCGTGGGACAACACAATTCGATTGTGGGACGCGGCAACTGGTCAGGCTGTGGGAGAGCCACTTCGAGGTCATGAACATTGGTCTCGCCGTCGGATTCTCGCCAGACGGCTCACAGATTGTGTCTGGCTCGTGGGACAAGACAATTCGATTGTGGGACGCGGCAACTGGTCAGGCTGTGGGAGAGCCACTTCGAGGTCATAAATCCGGGGTCTTGGCCGTCGGATTCTCGCCAGACGGCTCACAGATTGTGTCTGGCTCGTACGACAAGACAATTCGATTGTGGGACGCGGCAACTGGTCAGGCTGTGGGAGAGCCACTTCGAGGTCATAAATCCGGGGTCTTGGCCGTCGGATTCTCGCCAGACGGCTCACAGATTGTGTCTGGCTCGTGGGACAACACAATTCGATTGTGGGACGCGGCAACTGGTCAGGCTGTGGGAGAGCCACTTCGAGGTCATGAATCCGGGGTCTCCGCCGTCGGATTCTCGCCAGACGGCTCACAGATTGTGTCTGGCTCGTACGACAACACAATTCGATTGTGGGACGCGGCAACTGGTCAGGCTGTGGGAGAGCCACTTCGAGGTCATGAATCCGGGGTCAACGCCGTCGGATTCTCGCCAGACGGCTCACAGATTGTGTCTGGCTCGTGGGACAAGACAATTCGATTGTGGGACGCGGCAACTGGTCAGGCTGTGGGAGAGCCACTTCGAGGTCATGAAATCCGAGGTCTCCGCCGTCGGATTCTCGCCAGACGGCTCACAGATTGTGTCTGGCTCGGACGACAAGACAATTCGATTGTGGGACGCGGCAACTGGTCAGGCTGTGGGAGAGCCACTGCGAGGTCATGAATCCGGGGTCAACGCCGTCGGATTCTCGCCAGACGGCTCACAGATTGTGTCTGGCTCGTGAGGACAAGACAATTCGATTGTGGGACGCGGCAACTGGTCAGGCTGTGGGAGAGCCACTTCGAGGTCATGAATCCGAGGTCTCCGCCGTCGGATTCTCGCCAGACGGCTCACAGATTGTGTCTGGCTCGTGGGACAACACAATTCGATTGTGGGACGCGGCAACTGGTCAGGCTGTGGGAGAGCCACTTCGAGGTCATAAATCCGGGGTCTTGGCCGTCGGATTCTCGCCAGACGGCTCACAGATTGTGTCTGGCTCGTACGACAAGACAATTCGATTGTGGGACGCGGCAACTGGTCAGGCTGTGGGAGAGCCACTTCGAGGTCATGAATCCGAGGTCTCCGCCGTCGGATTCTCGCCAGACGGCTCACAGATTGTGTCTGGCTCGGACGACAACACAATTCGATTGTGGGACGCGGCAACTGGTCAGGCTGTGGGAGAGCCACTTCGAGGTCATGAATCCCGGGTCTCCGCCGTCGGATTCTCGCCAGACGGCTCACAGATTGTGTCTGGCTCGTGGGACAACACGATCCGATTATGGAATACAGAAACCGGTAAGTTTAACTCGGCTCGTCTTCGAGATCGTAACGCGACCCGATAAATAGCATTAGGTGCAAAAGCGAATGCCTCCGACCAGGATGATACAGAGTCTGTATGTTCAGGTCTCAGCGAAGATATACAGGGCACTCCGCTCCGAATCGTTGTGCCTGGATTCAATCAGTGCTCACTTTCGCTCGATGGTTGGGTACATTCTTCCAGCAAACGTCTCTTCTGGGTACCTCCAGACAATCGACGGGGACTAAAGTATCCGTACCGCCTGACAATTCCGACCAGGGCTCCATTCCGTGTGACAAAACTTGATTTCACTAATTTCCAATGTGGCCCCTCTTGGACAAAGGTTAGAACAGACGCGTGCTCGTGATTTGCTATGACTGGTATCACTGTATTTTTTCATATCTTTAGCCATAGCATAACGATAATCTTGACTATTGAATGATTCATTTTGCCCTTGCTTTGTATTTGGAGTATTCCTGACCGTTAGGGAGGTCTTACCAGCCAAAATTGCGTTTGACGTACGCAACCACACCCGAATTCTTGTGAAATTTTCCGTGTTTTGAATTGAGACTCGATTGCATGTCACTCCTGTCTTCGCGACCGCCCCTTATTCGTCGAGATCACCAGCAAAGCCCTGGAGTCATCAAGATAGCTTCAAGAAGTTGAAGAGGAGCTGGAGAAGCTGAGGAAAGTCAGTAGTTAGACTTGTGATTTGTTGCCTGTTGTTGGCCGCTCTCGCTGGCCTATGCGTGCCAACCGCATTGGCGCTAATCTTATAAGTCGATACTTTATATTAGCGCCATGGGACATGGAAGGAAATGGATCTCGTCTTGGTTCGTTCTTCCCCTCGCCTCCAACTTGCCCAATCAGCTCTCGGATGGAATGAATGGAAGTGCGAGTACAGAGGCGTAAAAGCAGTAGTAGGTCCTGTAGGCGTGAATTGTAAGCATGTAAATACAGCCAAAGGCACAACCTTTGAATAAAGAGGATGGGACGTCGGTCAGAAGAAAGCTCGAGCTCAGAGGTCTGAATGCGCATGGAAGTGAAATAAAGGAGGAAAGTCCCACCAAGGCATTGGTTAAGCATTGCAATAGACACAAGAGAAGGAGCAAAAGGTAAAGAGGTATGAGAGGGGTAAAGACAGTGAGGACCGCCTGAAGTGTCCAAGTATATATTGTTGGATAATGAGATAGTGATTATAAGATCAAATAAGGATGCTTTTACGGTGAGAGGATAAGCTGGTGACTAGGACGACGCGATACACGCCTGCACCAGTTTTTGTTCAATTTATATCTATATAGCCCCTCTGCAGGTCCGTAGGAACTACTCAGGGGCTCCAAGAACCAAAGGTTACACGAGGTAAATAAAAGGGGATTGGTGAGGGTGTGAATCGGACGAGCGCTGCCCACGTAACTGGCACGTCGCCGCCGCACCTTTATGCCATCTTCATACGGTAGGTGACACCAGTTTTGCCTACTTTGATTCATCTTGGTACCCCGCCGCATCACGTCCGAGGCTCAGACCTGACGACGTTAAGAATCCTCGTTTGGATTATCCTGGGTCGAGGACACAAAAACTACCTATGCGGAGGAAGGAGTAGAAAGAAAAACCGGGACCTGTTCTGAGTTTGTTGTGCCTGTTGTGATAAAAGTGAGTTGAGAACCGTGTCATGTCTTACGTACAGTGCTCGGTGTTGGATGTTGAATTCATGTACAGGTCCTTGAGGGTTTGATACGATACAAACGTCGATGCTGGTTCGTCGGATTACTTAGTGAATAGCAGTTGATAACTGCGTTTACAGGGAAGAGAGTCGAGGGTTTAGGGAGGAAGAAGGAGGTTGGAAGTTTGGTGGAGTGTCGGATTGTTGCTTGGGGTAATTGGGGAAACGGTGTTTCGAGTGAATAAAGGCGAGCGAATACTTGATGAATTTCGGGGTTGCAAGGAGAGAGGCAAAGTTGAGACGGTTATGATTGGGCGCCTCCTTGAGTAACTTCCTTTGCTCTGTGTATCTTTCGCCCACAGTAGATTGTGTGCTACCGCTTCAGGTACTTGATATCTCGGGCACAGAGGAGAATCGATGGCTCCGGTCTTGTGAAAATGTGTGTTGAGTGGAACATGTTGAGTGCGGAGTTGGTTTAGGAGACTGGCGTCAGTCCTTGTCAGCCCGGCATATATGCCCTGGGTAGGTCGCCCGGGAGGCTTGTCGTTGTAGCGGTTTGTGTGTTGACCCTGTTTACTATTTGACCACTCACTCTCCCAGTTCCAAGTAAGGCTCCTTTTGGCTGTAGCTTGCAGCGCTGCTGTGCTCAGGGGGAGGGTCTCGTCGAGTACCAGGTTTTATCCTACGCACCTTGTTGAATGAACTTCCGCTGGCAATTTCGCTTGGACGTCGGCTTCCACGTTGCCTGCCACGTTGGTGTGTCCAGGGATCCGTTGAGACTGAGGTGGACCCGTCCATTGCTACGCCTTACGCTGGAGGGCCTCTCTGTGCACGCCGTGGTTTCTATCTGCTTCACTGACGAATATTTAAATCTCACAGGCTCTGGTAAGAGAGATCCTATAACAACATAGAGAGACTCAGCTGCCTGAATCTACAGGACACAATTCGCGGATCTGCTTACGGTCGGGTATGCCCAGAGGGCCCTTTCAATATGTATCGAGGACTGGGTGGAACCGTGAATATCTCCAGATGGAGACTGGGAGCCTTTTACAGTTTGAGACATTGGCTTGAATGATTCGCATAGAGACGGCGCAGCGTAGCATACACGCATGACAATCCCAGAGGAAAGAGGTCGACTAAATCTACGCAGCCTGAGCCTTTTTCTTTCCGCGAACCTTTTTCGGGGGCGCATCTGGCTTTTCCTTTTGCGCGGCGAGCAAAGCAGAGGTGCGAGCAATGGCAGCCTGTCAAGGTGTCAGTCAAACAGTCCAATAGGAGAATAGACTAGGGAACGAAATGGTGAAATGTCTGCCCCAACGAGTCGGTACCAATGCCTTTGCCACGAATGACCACACAAAGGTCCGATAGCGACATGGGGCAACGACCTGGTCTATTTGATCGTTCGACACAGGTCGCTGGGTCATTTTTGCAAACGTGTCCACGCCCGTCGTTCATATCTCCACGAGGGAGGTCCAGAGGGTTCTAACGTCGTTGCGAGAGAGAAAGGAAAAGGAAAGATGTGAGGGTGAAACGAACCTTTCTGAGATCTGGTCTATAGTTTCTCTTGCTCTGTCCAGCGACGATGCCCATGCTTCGTCGGGAGCCCGAGCCCTGTCGGATCGTGGCACTGTGACGGCCAGTGGCGTGCTGGTGCTGGTGTGCAGATGGTTTGCGTGTAGAGACCGTGAGACCGCTACCCTTTGTGTGGTTGATGGCAATGGTCTTTGCGTTGGCGAGACCGGAATACTTGTGCGAATGGAGGTTCATGAGATTTCCCTACAGATGGAGCCGTTATTAGTGTATAAACGGTACAAGTAATTGACAACGTACGGGTTCAGACGAGAAGACGGGCCCTCTGGCAATCTCTTGACCATGAACGAATTGTTCTTCTGCAATGGCCCGTCAGCACTCTAGAGATTCCACAACATAACGACAGGATCCATACGCGGAGAAGGAGCCATTGGAGGTCGTAGGACATTGTGACTGGAAATTTACAAGGAAATTGGCCAAGTCGAGCTAAGGTTTTGTTTGCACCTGTTTGGCTAGTCCTCTGCAAGAGCCGCCACCGTCAGATGTCTGTAATATCATCGACTACAAAGCTCAAGTATGTCTATTAGCCACAGTACATAATATCTGACAAGGATTACAGAGTAAGCTCAACGCTCGACAAGTCTACTCCACGAAAGAGTCTGATTGATCGCGATCCGGGAACATGCTGGACGTCGACACAAGGTCTCCCACAATGGATCGAACTGACCTTTGCCGAGCCAGTCGTGCCAGAGGCTATCGAGCTCACGTTCCAAGGAGGCTTTGTGGGTACAAGAGTCGCTGTTCAAGTCGCTATTCCCGGGAACGAATGGAGACTCCTCACAAGCATTTATCCTGAAGATGTCAACCGCAAGCAACGATTTGACATCTCATCCTCTTTGGACAATGCGCCGATCACCTCCATGAAGCTGATATTCGAGGAGAGCTCCGACTTCTTTGGCCGGATAACAATTTACGACCTGGATGTGTTTGGGAAGACCTGATTTATATTATTGCTAGGTACGAGATTACTGATTTAGTAATTTCACAAGTTTGCCCGACTTGTGGAGATCCACAAGATCATCGGAGCCCCCGATATGTTCTCGGTCTTTGATAAATCAGTACATGTCGACAAAAGGAAGAATACACATACTGATAAAAATGTTGGGAACTGTGGTCTGGCCCGTCTTTCTCGCGAGGTAGGACTGGATCTGGCTTCCGTCATCTGTCAAATATGAGTACATGGTCATGAATACGAGCAATAAATATACCGCGTAAATCTAGTCTGATAAGGAGTAGTCAGCCTCTTGACTCGTCGGGCAAAGGGACTATACGCACTCGAGGACTTGAATGTTTTTGCCTTCTGGGAGCTCGAGGCTGTTGAGGAGATTCTTTGCTCGTCTGCAATATGGACACCAAGACTTGCTGAACACGGTCACAAAGTTTTCGTCTATTGTGCTGTCGACGAGCTGAGAAATCTTGGAGGACATGGCGTTTGGTGACGATGAAGTGGCCAGGTTGGAAGTGGAGGATCCCATGGTTCTTGTGAGTGCAGAAAGCCGCCTTAAAAGCGACATATGCTGTCACGCTGACGTGCTCGTCGGGTCTGAAATCACTCAGCCGTCATTCTTCCCGGTAAGCTGCTGAGCAAACTCCGAGTCCGTCGTCGGCCTTTGCCGAAGACCTGAGAATCTTCTAATTTATTCCCAAATGTAAATCGTTTTATTTTGGTCATGGGATTCTCACGGGGTCCAGGATGGTATACGGCCTTGGATCCTGACCCGCTGCAACAAATGGCACTCGTCCTCGAAATGCCAGGGCTAGAACCACGCCCAGCAACTCCTTTACATGCTTTACACTCAAACGACGCGTCAGAACTTGGTTCTTTGGCGGAGCCAGCCATCTCACAGCAGAATGGCTTCACGGGCCTATCGCGTCGCGTCCAGCCACAGCGAGCGCGAAAAGCAGGATTTGGCTCTGCAGAAGTTGATAATCTCATCATAGAGGCTATCGAACGAGACGGTACGCCACTTGCGCTCCTTTGCGTTTTCACAACTTGACTTTGTCTCGCCCTTGGAACGATATTAGACAAGCTGAAGAGCTTGATTCCACCCGACACGGTTATTCACTGCACCACCGACTCGTCGAAACTGCCAAATGCACACGAGATTGTGGACCGGATCACATTCGAGACGCAGCAAGAAGGGCAGTCGTCCCGGACACTATCCCTTCATAGCTACTTTCGAAACACAGAAGTGATGGAGTCGCTCAGGAATCAGCAACGAATCGAAACCGCAGAGTTTTCCCTCATCACCGAAGACGATATCAAACAGGCACTCGCAAGCATACCTGAAGAGTTTGTAAGCCGAACAACCCAACGCTCTTGCCTTATTCGTCTGACGTTTTCCTCAGCTGTACAAGAATGTTGATCTCTCTGACGAGACCTTTCGACGACGCCACGCACGAGTTCAAAAAGTCGAAACTCGTACGCGAAATCGAGAAAAGGAGAGGCTCCTGTACGACGTCTCACGTCTCAGTGATCGCCTTTCCCAACTCGAGGCCATGGACGCCTCCAACTTTCGTGGGGACACCTTTGAGGAGCAGGAAAAGGACAAGCAAAAGATCCTAACATTTACGAGGCAGATGGTTAATCGAAAAGTTGACAAAGTTGGTACGGATTCCGAGGACGAACAACCTAGCGGCACGGCGTCAGCCCGGCCAGTGGCTCGTGAAAAGAAACCTAGGCCGCCCAAGAAGCCACGAACATCGCTACAAGATGTCGAACCCCTGGCTAACACGATCCCAAAGCCGCCAAGGGTGCCGAAGAAAAAGGAGCCAAAGTATATCTATCAGCCCGACGAGCTCGTGTTCGAGGACCAGTATTATCCCGAGCGCCCCGACCTCGACGAAGAATACTTTGAGGGACCCACTTCGTCGAAACGGTCCAAAAAGTCTACAAAGCGGAAACGCGTCGTAGAGCCCGAGCTCGACCCAGCCCTCTACGAGTTTGTCGTCACCACCGCACCTCCTGTTCCGAAGAAGCCGAAAAAGTCGAGCTCTAGCAAAAAGAAGAGTGCGTTTCATCGCCCGGTTGCGTCCATTACGGGCGAGGCGACGGTCAGCAAGCTCCTCGAGCAAGCCAGTCGGTATAATCCAAATCGACAACCTCGAGACATTTATCCCTTTGGTGCTCCGATTCCTCATGCGTTGTCCAACTTTGTCGACTTTGAGCTCCCCGAGTGGATCGAACAAGATTCGCGGCCACAGTCGATGCACCCTTCGGAAGACGATATTGCTCAGAGTGAACTCGTGGGGGAGGGAGAAGACGAAGATGCACCGTACGATGAGATTGAGGAAATGGCGCATGAAAGTAGTGGGGTCTTCGTTGAAGAAGAGGGGAGTGATATGGCAGAGGATGGGGTCGAGAGGGTGTTTCTCCCTCGTAGAGAGGACCTTGATGCGGAAACATCTGGTCTTAGCTCTCTCGAGAGTGACGAGGGTGGGCCAGAGGATGAAGCATCTCCTAGGCGGCGACGAGGCGGGGTACGGTATTAACGGTATTGACATTCTACCTCTCAAAGAGTACTGTTCTATCTATATTGGCTCTTATCATCGGTGTAATACCTACAATTTACTGCTTTGATCTCGACCACATTTTGAGGCCTGCCGCCAAAGCCTTTGACATGGCTTCCTTGTTCCGATTTCTGGTTCGAGTTTTTGCTAATGGCAGACATGGAAAACTCACATGGCCTGAACCGATTCTTTACACATTTCAATAGCGACGGAGTGCGCATGAGAGTCCGGTCTACTTTTATTCGCTCGTCATTGGCTTTACGGGACCAGCAATCCTTGCAATAGTCCCACCAATACGCAAACGAATGGGCTACGAGCTAGCAGAGGCCGTGCCAACAACCTACCCAGGTATGTCTCGTTCTAGGCCCTCCATCCACCGTCAAACCTCTTGATAAATGCGCTAAATCTTCAATTAACACTATTTATTTACTTATATAGTCCCGAAACGAGAACGTAGATCAGTGTCAAGCGAATTCGACGATCCGCCGCCGTCAAAGGAGGTACAGGAATACCTTCAAGCCAAGGAGGAAGCGACAAAGAATAAATTTTCGCATCTTTATGCTAAATTGCCGTCACGACTGCGACCGGAGCCATAGACGAGTCGATGTATACCGTTTGAATCCTATCCATCATCACAATACTTCGTGTGTAGTGCTCAAATATGCCGACGATACTATATTACCTCATCGGTCTTTTTAACAAGAGGTCAGGACTCAACGCCAGCTTTGTCGAAATACCACGACATTCAATCATGGTCCGTCTTTCTTCAAGTTGCTTGTCAGCGAGCATGAGAGATCGCGACAAGACTCTCTAAGCTCGCTATTAAGCAGGTCCTACGCCCTTTCAGCCTCGTTCACGGAGGAATTAATTGCACAGCAGATGCACCTACAGGATTGGTATATCTATAAATGCGATTCACGAGCTCCTGCGGCGGTCAAGGTGAGTAGATGACTGCTAATTCAACTCCTCCAACGCGGGGCCCTGTCCCCAGCTGCGCCAAGTTACCGCAGCCAGTTAGAGGAGACTAGCCTTATGTAATGCACAGACGAGGTCTTGTGTGTTTAATTGGAAATACGTAGCGATCCACCGCCCTGTCAAGAAAGCGCAGGTTAGGGACCTACTTCCAGTTCGAACGGGGAAGTCTCAGCGGGTGTTGGAGCATTGGAAATGGAATTCTGGGATTGACATATTACTTGTGTGCATCTGAAACCGTTGCGCATCGCGGCTAAGAGATTGGCAGCGGCGACAAGCCCACCTCCCCCGCGCAAATGGGTATGCCATCCCTTGCTTGGGTCTTGGTGCCAAGTCTTCAAGATATTGCGACAGTAGCTGAGAAAAATATGCTGGAATGAACCCGCCGCTCAGAGTCCTTGGCCTGGGAGACCTCGGTCGTGAAGCATTTGCGGAGGTGTTTTAGGAGCATATGAACTGGCGGGCAGGCGGCATTGAGACAAAAATGGATGCGGAGGACGTGTGTCCTCCTCGAGTGGATACTTTCAGCTTCGGAGAATGTAAATCTCCTTCGACAAGCCGCCCAGGCTGTTTGCAGCCCTGGAACCTTGGGGGAGCCCATCGTACCGACGTTGCCGCTTCTGCAACCGAGCGTCATTTCTGGTTCTTGTAGGGTGTCTGAATCTCTAGAAGGGGCATATAAAGCCTGGCTCTGTAAAGTGTAAACTCCTTTGCCCGCCGTGGTCTACAACGCGCTCCGTGCTCTTAGCTACGGCGATCTGAACAAGATTTACAAGCCTTGCAGCAATTATTTGACTTGTCGACGGAGCTGTCAGCGCTTGATTCAGTTGCCCAGTCCATCTGCCGAGGACAAAGCCTCGTCAAACCGACAAACCAAACTTGGACTCTCCCTCTTCCTCCTTGTCGTCGCCGTCGTCTGCAGCGTTTTACGCTTGCTCTTAGGAATACGTTGCTCATTCCCTTGAGCAGTCCCCTCATTCCTTTCCTTCCCTCTGAGCAACGTCTCCGTCTCCGGCTCGTCTTCTGACGCTTTCGGTGTTTGGAAACACTCTCAGACGGTATGTATAACCTATTTGAATCGTTTATGAGCTGGCCCAGCTCTCTGGAGGCCGTAATAGCTCCTTTCGACATCCACCTCTGCCTAGATTTGAGCTAACCTGTTGACGGTAGATAATCTCCGACCCCCAAATCCAAACCGTCGATCCTTCGTGCAACAGACAATTCTACCTCCTCATTCGTTGTAAGTTTCCCTCTCTCCATTTTCTCCTTCGGGCTTTCTTCGCCTCGCCGAGGATCAGCGCCGGATGAGATTCCCAGTCCCGGGGAGCATGCCAGTTGTTTCGATCGGCTCTATCTGCCGTTTGTTGTGCTCCGCCTTCCTCTGTTTCAGCTAGTCCGCCGTGTTGCCTTATATAACGTTTCGGCGACAAACTTTATTGACATTTATCAGAAGATGGCATCCCATAATCAAGAATCAACAGTCCCGTATGATCCGCTCACCGAGCCCCCCATCTCCCCTCGTTTGGAAGAATTTGGCCGCCCCGCACCCGGCTTCCTCAATACGGACTCGCGCAACTCGTCGAGCAGCACTGTCGGCTACCGTGCATCTGAATATGGCTCTATTGCCGCTCTCCAGGCCCCAAAGCTCGCGGTCACCCCTCCCGAGGGTGCCGAGAAGGAGAATGTGCCCATGCGCCAGCTCAGCCCTGTTCCTAGAGCCTCCAAGGATCTCGAGGAGAAGAATGAGCTCTACGCCGCTCCCCGTACGCGCACCAAGCGCAAGGCTCTCATCTGGGGTCTCGCCGCCGCTGGTGCAGTCATCCTGATCGTTGCCATTGCAGTCCCCGTCGCCATTCTCACCAAGAAGAACAACTCTGGAGAATCTGGCAGCGACAGCGGCAACTCTGGCCACTCTGGTCACTCTGATTCGGGCTCACACTCTCAAACCGGAACCAACGAACAGACAGTCGTAACAAGCGGTGGTGATGGTTCGATCGTCACCAAGTCTGATGGTACCACCTTTGTCTACAACAATACGTTTGGCGGCTTCTGGGTCTACGATCCGGCAAACCCCCTCAACAATAGCGCTCGCGCTCAGTCCTGGAGCCCTCCACTCACCGAGGAATGGCGATGGGGTGTTGATCAAGTCTATGGGTAAGCTTTTTTGGTGTATCTAGTCAGCATTTTGCTCATCCTCGTCAGTGTCAACCTTGGTGGCTGGCTCAACCTCGAACCGTTCATTTCGCCAGCGTTGTACGAGCCATTCTACCCCAATGCCGTTGACGAGTGGACGCTCTCGACTCTCATTCAACAGCGGGATGGAAACCTCAATGCCATCGAGGAGCACTATAAGACGTTTATTGTCGAGGAGGACTTTGCGATGATCGCCGCAGCTGGTCTCAACTGGGTCCGTATCCCGATTCCCTTCTGGGCTATCGAAAAATACGACGACGAGCCGTTCCTCGAGAAGGTGTGCTGGCAGTACTTCCTCAAAGCCATCGAATGGGCTCGCAAATATGGTCTCCGCATCAACCTCGATCTCCACGCCGTTTCTGGCTCGCAAAACGGCTGGAACCACAGTGGCAAGCTCGGCGACATCAATTTCTTGAACGGTGTCATGGGTATCGCCAACGCTCAACGTACTCTTGACCACATTCGCATCATCGCAGAGTTCATTTCCCAGCCCGAGTACAGCAACGTCGTTCCTTTCTTCGGCATCCTCAACGAGCCAAGATCCGGTAGCGCCTATTCGCTCGAGACAATCCAGTCTTTCTACGCAGAGGCCTACAGGATCATTCGTAACGCCAGTGGAAACGGAGCCGGAAATGGACCGTACATCTCGATCCACGAAGCCTTCCAGGGTTTGCAACAGTGGGAGACATTCTTGACTGGTGCTGATCGTCTTGCTCTCGACACGCATCCCTATCTTGCATTCGGAGCCATGAGCGCCGCCCCTGTCGAGTCGTTCATCTCCACCCCTTGCTCGACGTGGGGCGGTCTCGTCAGTGCCTCACTGACCAACTTTGGAATGACAACGGCGGGAGAATGGAGCAACGCCATAAATGACTGCGGCCTCTATGTCAACGCGGTTGGAAGAGGTACGCTCGAGAACGTCGAGTGCCCCTATGCTAACGCTGTCTTGTAGGTACCCGCTACGAGGGAACATTTGAAACCACGGCCGTCACTGGCTCGTGTGATGAGTGGATCAACTACGAAACCTGGACTCAGCCTACCAAGGATGCGTTTAGGGAATTCGCGCTCTCAAGCATGGATGCCCTCCAGAATTGGTTCTTCTGGACCTGGCGCATTGGAGAGTCGTCTGCGACCAACAAGGTCATGGCCCCCTTCTGGTCCTACAAGCTCGGTCTCCAAGAAGGCTGGATGCCCACCGATCCACGCCAGAGCAGAGGACAGTGCGCAAAGGTCGGCGTCCCGATCACCGAGTTTAGCAGCCCTATTCAGCCTGGTGCGGGTAACCCTCCCACTCTGGACAACTACCCATGGCCTCCTACGACCCTCGGTACCTATGCAGTCGCCCAGCTCCCTCTCTACACACCGACTGGCGAGATTCACACCCTCCCCGTCCCGACCTTTACCCAGTCTTCTGGTGCCACGGCTACCGTCAGCGTTGGCAATGGATGGGCAAACCCGGCTGACAACACTCCCATGGCCGTTCCAGTTGCCGGTTGCACGTACCCTGATCCATGGAACGCGCTCAACGCTGCCATCCCCGCCTGCGGTACCGGTGGCGGAATCACCGCCCGTGCGGCCGCACCACAACCGACGTCGTAAAGGAGCCCGTCGAGGTCTCTCTCTCAGAAAAGGGATACTCTGTGTCGGTCGAGCGCCCACCTTTTCTCATGGACATTCTCTGCATACTTGGTGACCGTATGGTCGGAGGTCCTGTGCTTCCCACTCGGTTGATCAGAACTCGGACTTCAAGTCATTACGCACTGTGCTCTTACTTTCATGCCATCTTAACGGACCTGTTCTTTGTCGTGCCATCACCTATTTCCTTCCCCCTTCCCAGTCCAAGAGCTTTTTGCTACAGACTCATCGCTGACGCAGGCTAGCGTCATTCCCCTCGTTACACACGATAACACTAAAGTCTTCCGCCTTGGAATTAGTATCATAATGGATAGCTCGCAGTCATTCTTTATTGCGAACATGGACGGTTAACATTTGAGACTTGAAACGAGCTTGAAGTTTCAGACATGGTCGCAACAAGGATACTATGCGTGCCACACACGATCAATAGTCGCGACGCGTGTAATTCTCTTGAAACCTCGATGCCCGGACAATCAAAAGGTACAGTCTCAGTATCCCTGTCTATGAAATGGAGGACATTCATTGGCGGTATCCTCATACCAAGTTGATGATTGGAAAGGACAGTCAGTACGTCGTCTGATCAACAGAGTCTCGTGAAATTTCGTGATCCTATTTACAATACGCAACGTATGAATCCGTAGAGCCAATAGAGGAAAGCTGCTGCCCGTAAGTGGGCAAGGCGAACATTTCTCAGTTATCAGAAAACTATAAGACATCAGCCCCTTGATCTTCTGTCAGTATCAAGACGTACCCCACCAGTAGAGCTACCTGTAGATCCAGTGGATCCAGTGCTGATGAGGTCGTCGAGACCACCTGACGCACGTAAGAAACTGGTTTGCTAAGGAATAGTGATTCCAGATAATTATGAGAAACTACTACAATCCGAGTCAGAATACGATATTTCTCCAAAGTAAAGTAGACTTGCCACCAGCTTGGGAACCTTGGATAAGAGGCCAATTAAAGGTTGCAGCAGTAAGATATAAGAACGAGAAGAAGGATAGGCAAGTGGTAATACCTGGTGCAAACGGTGCTAATGCCTCGTCGGTTTGAAGATTAGCCCCTTTTCCCATGGAATTTTGTTGTTCTGGTGATCTTTGAAGAAGCTTATCCAATGTGTTAGCTGCGCCTCTGTCGTGCTCTTGGTTGTAAATGGAAGAGGAACGGACCCGGTCCAGGACATCCAGTTCACCGTCCTCGATTTGTGGGAAAGCGCTCGATCCAGGCAATCTCGATCAGCTGGTCATCTAAGGGGGTTCAAGAAATAGGGGCTTCAACGTTGCGAGCTCTACCAATGCGAACTAGATGGCAAATTAGAACGTTCGAGCTCAGGCAATTTACAGAAACAAAGGTAAAACTGTGCCTCGAAGACGATGAAGGGGGCGTTCTATTGTAGAAAGTTGATGTGATAATACAACAAGCTGAACCAAAGCAGCAAGGTAGCTAAAGAGTGTTCCTGTAAAACGAGCGAGTGTCCAAAGGAGCGAAACGAATTATACGGCTTGTACAACACTATAAGGGGAGGAATGAAGCGGACAAGCAAGCCAGATGCATGTCTCTAGTCTTCAAACTTTGACCAGTTTTTCGTCGCCGTGTACGAGTCGTAGTCAATCATGGGCTGTGGTTGGCGCTGCTGCATGATCTTTTGCACCTTTTGTGCCTCGATCTCGAGCCACTCCATCTTGACCCAGCGCATGAAATTGAAGATGACATAGACAGCGTAGGTGGCGTAGAGCTTGTATACCCCGAGGACGCTGAGAAGGAGAATGCTAGACGCGCTCAGCGCAGCCGAGCACAGGGCGTCCGTGTGGCTGAACCCCTCGCCTTGGGCGCGGAGGTCGCAGTTTCGCTTCTTTGTCTGCGCGCTTGTAATACAGAAATACATTGTGACGACCAGAAAGGCAAGGTCGACCACATATTGGACGAGCAGCGCCCAGAAGTAGATGGTAGCAAGCTTTGGCTTGGTTCTGTAGCACGCTATACAGCTAGACAGGAGGATTAGGTCATGGAATATGGAGGGAGTATGGGCGCACCCGAAGAGAGAAATGAGAGCAAGAAACATCCAGCTAACCATACCCACGTATGGGACAAACTTGGCCATTGGATGATCCTCTGATGTAGTCATTATTCCATCTTCAATCTCTCTTGCATAGACGACGCCAAAAGCGGCGCTGGCCATTACACCCAACACGGAAATGGTCACCGCACCCTTGAGTCAACAATGTGAGCAAATTAATCGACCGAATCAGTCATTTTTAACACATACAGCGCGGATTGGGACTGTCAAACAGCACGTATAGCTCATATCAACGTTTCTTGTGATCGCCCGATTGTTGTCGTGAGGATTGCTGAGAGAAATGCCGTCCTAAATCCCAAGAACACTCGAAAGAAAATATCAAAAGCCGTCAAGGACGCTCTCGGAGCGAAAAGGAGAATGTGGTCAGGAAAGAAACGCCTGGGAGGCAAGCGGACCTTGGCGGCTACGAGCCCATAGTCGGGCATGGTAACGGGTCCTCGAGGATCAATTTACTCTTACCCTCGCCTTACTTAGGCAACCTTAGACACCTCGAGCCATTCTCTCGAGACAGGAAAGATGCGAGTAAACTCCGACAGGGGCTTTTTTTATGCCTGGGCTAGCTAGCCAGAGGCAGCTCTCGGAGGATGAACATGGCCTCATCTACACGAGACTCTAGTATACCAAGCTTGACCATCTTTTCTTCCCACTGTCTCAGTAGCTCCTTCTCCGCATATGTCAACAAGCTCTCGTCGGCAGCTACATCTGTCCGTCTCCGTGTCTCCAGCAGGGTCTTGAGCAGGGGTGTCGACGACTCGGCAGCTTTGCGCTCCATGATGTTTGCCATGGTTTTCATCAGCGTCGAGAGCATCACTGCATTCGTCTTGTTCATGTCGACGTGCCTATCGGCAAGTTAACATGGGTACCGTACATCACGTAAACGCTAAGACGTACCAGAAGTAGGATGTACGACTCGGCAAGAAATCTTTCCCTTTGGGTACTTCTTGCGAGGTGATGATAGACGCCCCAGACAGGACAGATATCAATGGTCGGATCGAATCTGGTGAGATCATCGCAACTTTTGCGAGCTGACGTTCGTCCATCATCCCCATGGCCAAAAGAATCTTGACAATACGGACAGCAAGCGGGCCCCATCTCTCCCGAACATATCCTTCAAGGACGGCTAATTTAAGTTTGCGGTAGATTCCAATAAAGTCTACTTGGACTTTGCTGCTCATCCCCGTCGAGCCCGACGACAAGAACGACGAGCTGACACTCGATGGTGACAGCGTATCCGAGGTAGACAACATGGAGATGTATTCTTTAAGCAGCGATGCATTTGACTTTGAGCTTCCTCGGGTAGCTAAACCAGAGGCCAGGTTGTCATCCTCGCTCATTTCTTCGAGAATGCCATTAGATCCGACGATATCTGGTCATTGTTAGTACAAATATGAAAGGAAAGGAAAACCGTGCCTGATTTTGCATCATGTAATGATAGCTGACTCTTCTCTGTCGCCTTCAAGACAGCCCGCATCACTGAGGCAGCCGGTTCGTTATAGCGTGCTCTTACGGCGGATTCTATTAGCTAACAGAATGATCTCAGCCCCCTGAAATGTCTAGGATGAACCTACACTATTCCGTAGGCATATGTTAAAGGTCGTAAAGTTGATGCGCAACCAAATGGTCTCCTAATCATCGGGTTATATGATTCAGTGACAGAAAAATGAGCTCACATCTATCTCCTTTTCTTTGTCTTTGTCTTTTCCTTTCATCGACTTGGTTGTGGCCTGTTTCTCATGAGCATGGCCAACAATCTCGGTAGTCATCATACCTTTGACTCGGATAGTTTCTGGATACAGATCAAAAATTGCATAGTGAACCCTTGGTACACTCACCAGTCCTAGTGCCTCTACCTCCCTTTCCCGGGCAGCGACTTGTTCTTCAGCTTCCAACCTTTTCTCTGCCAGTCGTTTTGCAGAGGCTACTGCGACATTTTTCGTCGTTACGTCCGCCATCAAAAGTCGATTCTCGGCGTCGGCGATGCGGTCGGCCCTTGACTTTGTTAAATACTCCGTTGTGGATTTGATGAATCGCTTTTGAAGCATCCTGCGAACGAGCTTTTGTAGCCCTGGAGCGGAATATGAGCCGCCGACGAGTGAGATTCTACTGAAGACTAACTGCCTCGTTCTATCTGTGGCAACTCCTCGATGAGTTGAGGAAAGCGCACTCGCCCATGATCCAAGATAGTCTGTACGACCAGTACTCCCTGTAGCTCGTTATCAAACCAATTGCACTGAAGAAGCGAGTACACCCTACATATTCCCCATACAAATCGTTGGCGATCAGCAAAAACTTGCCGAATCGCTGGCGTTGGAGGCATTCGTCGACATTACATTCGTATCGCTCGTCGTCTTGAACGTTTGAGTGCCACAAGAGACCATGTTGTGAGAGGACGATGAGAGATGCAGCAATTGCCCGTGGCTTTAGTTTGGTGAACAGTACGAGCTCTCGGAACGATAGTCGTCCATGAGCAACCAATGTTTGCACCACCAGCTACAATATTCCAGGCCAAATGTTTGAATTTGGGATAAGAAAGTGAGGTTGCTGAACGTTAGTTGAGATTGAGGGGGGAAAACGAGAGCTAGGAGCACACATACCGAGACCATATCCCCGAAATGACTCTTGATGATCCACGCACAGAGTCTCACCGTCTCAGGATCCATTTTTCTGGGCCTCTTCCTCTTTCCTAGGTATGTCCAACTGTCGTGGTTGGTGGCAGAGATGCGCCAAACCTGAATTCCAACGGCTGCCATGGCTGAAAATCCGCAGCAGCCATTTACACCTCCTCCAGCAAAATTCTACATAAACAGTAGCTCAGATTATAATTATCTCGTGCAGAAGTGGGCAGTCCGTGTCAGTGGTGCCCCATGAAAATCATGTTGGTAGTCACTGACGTCTGGCATTCTCAAGGGCTGGCAAAATGGTTGTCTAGTCGGAATTCCATTGTTCATGATTGTTTCACGGAGATTCACCTTCAAATCACGAGGCCCCTTGGAAAGAGTACTCAGAGCAACATGGATGGGAGGAGCAGCTGGGACCGTGGCAGGAGGCACACTCGGTGTAGCAAGATATTATGGAATGGACAAACATGAACTCCGCAGGAGGCGGATAGAGCTCCAGTTCTCGGTACGCTTCAAGCGTTAGCACATGAACCCCTCACAGATTGACCACTTTTCCAGGAAAAGAACCTACGAAGAGACGGGTTTGCCACCATTGGAGGTGTTATTACATCTCTTCTAGTTACTGGTCTCTGGTGGAACCACGCATCGTTTGTGAATCTCATCCTTGGTGGAAGTGGCATTGGGACAATTGCCGGAGTCGCTGCAGCACTCACTATGGACCTTCAAGAGCCACCCGGCACATCCGACTCAACGAACACGAGAGAAAAGGAAGCAGCCGTTAAAGCAGGCATCGTCAAGCCGGGAGAGTAACTCATCCACACACGAGTGTAATCAATAGGTAACTTCATTATATGACACTACATTTGCTGTTGACTATGCTACATGGACGGAGCAGCAGGCTCAGAAGGTGTGGTCGGTGCCCTTGTTGCGGTTGATACCGAGCGCGTCCTTTGTCTTGTCCATGAAGCTGCGCTCATCGACATTGTGGTTGCTAATCATCCGTCAATATTGCGCAAGTATCAACGAGGACTATACGCACTGGTTACCGCTCACGGCATCTCCGACTTTCTGGGTCGTCGACTTGTTGCCCTGGGGCTGGAAAGTCGACGCCGCAGTGTCGGCCTTCCCCTTTGTCCAATCAGCAGTCTGCTCGCCAAATGTCTTCTGCGAGTCAGGCTTGACAGCGTTGTGTACCTTGTCGGTGAAGTCCTACCAGTGCTCGTCAGTCTTGCAGACACTGCTGAAAAGGTCACGACATACTTGGCGTCCAGTTTGGCTCATGATTGTAAGTTATGTGATGTGTTTGTTTCGTTGGTGTTCGTAAAGGTGTTTGATTCTGGTGTTAGTTGGTCGCTGTGAGACGAGGTTTTATACGCCGCGGCACGACTAAGAGCGCACACGACGTCACAGAAACAGACGTCGTCATCCAGTGGCGGTCGTGGTACGCTCCGAATTCCGAAATCGCGCTCCATGGCCGTGACCCTGGTCCGTTGGGGCTTTCCATCAAAGCGGCGCCAATGGCGCTGGAACTTACATTCAGCATCCAACGATGGAGTCCGTGTCATTTCGGAGGTTCCAGTCTCGGCATACGCGAGTGACGAAACCTACTCACTTGGAAGATCTGAACCATCCGCCAGCTCCTGGTTTACTCAACTCAAGTATCTGTTCCATCCGAATGTTGATCTTTGTCTGTATTCAGATTCAGGCCATGGAGTCGCAGCTCACGCACTGTGCCACATGGATGTCGTGAGGATCGTAAAGAAACGAGCGAAGAGCAAGAGTCAATGTGGGAGAGAGAGACGCAATGGAACAAATAAATCAATGCAAGAATTCGAAAAAAGGAAAGATGCAGCTCGACGCTATCGTTTGAACGACTCCGTCGCTTGAGCATAATTGGGAGGAAGTGGCACACCAGCCGGGGTGATCAAGTGGTCGTCGAGAGCCAATGGACCAAAGTCCTGTTCTCGTCCTTCGACATTCATTCTTCGTTGTCGAAGCTCTTCTTGATCAACACCCTGGAACTCCTGGCGCTGCTCAGCACTCGCGCTCGGTGGAAGTGTCACTTGTCCCTTTCTTGGGGGTATCAATCCTGGTGGTGCAGGAGGTGGGGTATGAAGGCTCAATGGGGCTGCGTGAGGTGGCAAGGGAGGGAGAGGAGGCTCGTCGGTGTATCCTTGGCCATGACCGTGTTCAGGCATCCGACTCGAACCGTTTGAAATAGCCGTATATGCACCGTAGGCTGCGGTCGAGGCAGCCTCGGACTGATTGTAAGGAAGCCCGCTTGATGCTCCTGAATCCATACGTGGTCGAGATGCGGCTACAGAAGCACCACTCCTTGGGAGTCCAGGAGCTGCACCGCTGAACAGAGATGCACCGTCTACATGATGACCCGGTCCAAAGTATTCGGTATTTCGCTGGGACTGGTCGAATGGAGCTCGGCTAGGGGGGTATAATGGAGTGGGATTTGCACTGGAGCTATCGAGAGGATTGTAGCCGCCTTGCATATACTGGCTTGGAGGAATATAACGTCCCGCGCCTTGGTTGAACCCGCTGTTGTCGTAGGTATATGGCTGGGGGAACGCAGCAGTCATGTCAGGTTCGTCTTCCTCAGCTTGACTCTTCTTTCGACGGCGATACATCATCAATGCAAAGCTGAGCATTGCTAGAAGGGCGAGAGTGCCTGCGACGATTGCAACAATACCTCCCGTGCCCAGTCTGCAAACATAGCCGTCAGCGACGCTAGAGAGTTTGCGAATGTCGACACTTACCCCTTCCTTTCTGGGTTGACAGGCTGCGTATTAGTCGGCTCAGATGTAGGAGTATCCGAGGTGGTTGTGCTCGTCGATGTCTCCGTGCTCGTTGTAGAGGTTGTTGTGACGACCGGAGGTTGGAGCTTAGAGAAGACCGCATAGTCGATGGTGAGTGCATCACCCGTCGTTGCTGGCGCGTTGGCGATCCGGATAGTGTGTACCCCATCCACGAGATTAGTGACATGGTACAATATCTGCTGTACGTGTCTGTCATTCGCCTTTGCGGTAAAGTTTGTTGCAGCAGCTCCATCGAGCGAAACAGTGTACGGCCCCTGGGATGGGCCCACCAAGCCAAAGACTGTTGCGGCCGAGCCATTGAAGGTATATGTGACGAACGCCGTTGCACTGACGGTGGTACTGGGGTTTGTGTTGTCAGTAAAAGCGGCCAAAAATGTTGGTGTTTGAACTCACCGGCCAGAGGAGCCGTGATAGTCATTTGAAGCATCTGGGTTCCACGCGGTCGAAATGGGACCATATTCAAATGCCGTATTATCGTCTTCGACGGTTGTATCCTGGAAAACATCTCCGTCGTTTCCGAGCTGCTCTTGCCAAACAATCTTCGGAAGGCGACAAAAGTCAGCTGCCTTGGCTACGGAGAAACCTGTCGGCAACTCACATAGTCCAGGTCGAGATTTGCAAAGGTAGATGAGTTCCGCGTGTTCGTCAGGACTACTTCGTGAGGTCCCGGCGTGAGATCGGTGGCCGCAAAGAGCACCTGTTTATACAGATCGACTCCGAAGCCCTAGTTCACATGGGTCAGCCCCGTGGGTTAGCAACGCAGGTTTGGCAAGCCTTACATCGCGTTGGACAGTATTCCCGTCGAGTGTGACGTTGTACAATCCCTATCGTCCGATGAGCAATCCCTCGCTCCACAGCCGCAGCGCCAAGCACGTACATGGTTCGAACGAAGGGCACCGTAAAGCCTGTAGAAAGGATGAGATGTTAAAATGTTTATAATAATAAAGTGGTGGCTAACCAGACGGCTGTTCCGACGAAGCTGAACGTAGCATTCTCTCCTGCCCTACTGCACATCATGTAGCTCCCGAGAAAGTATCTTCAAAGCGTCTTAGCAATACGATCTTGCCTCCATTTGCCATCACAAACGTACTCTGTCCATTTTACATCCGTCTTTTGGCCAGCGGCCCAATTCGCAGAGTAGCGGATCAACGGCGAGGAGTCGTCTATCGTCTGGTTGACCTGATAGATCGGCATTTTGTAGAAATTGGAGCTTCCAGACAATCAGAGACCGTAGCGTTCGTGATAATATACAGTGTTGGGCGGGTCCAAGAACCTGAGATTGCGGCCGGCCGGTGGGAAGCAACTCCGGGCTGATGCTAAGAGCGACCACGTTCCAGCCTCAACCTTGGTTACATCTGAGCGATAAAATATGACTGCATCTCTTCTTCGACATAGCTCAGCAAAGGCTGCCGTCCATCCTGCAAGCCACCCGAGTAGACCGCTTCAATCTCTGCCTTTTGGCCGCGTTCGAGCATGAATCGGAGCTCGTTCCTGGTGCTGATTTAAGGATGTCCTACACACGGAACAAGACAGGGACTCACTTCCAAAGCTGCGGCATCACTCGGTCCTCTCGTCTGAGTAAACTCTCGAGCTACAGATAGCTGTTAGCAATTATATCGCCCTTGATTGATTGGATCACCTTCTTCCTGTCTCGTTGATTGAGCCCGAGCATGTCTCCCGCAGCGACGCCGCGCCTTTCCACCGTCAGCCTCAGCGCGGCAAACAGCCGCGGGACCCACCGTTCTAGTTCGGTCAGCATTACTCCAATCCAAACCACTCTCTCTGCTGTCAACCCGTCGTTTTGATGGCGCATGCTTATGCTGCCAAACGCATATACCGACAGGATCTCAATACCATGCGGATCAGCATCCACCAAGGCAAAGATAGGAACCCTGGGAAGTCAGTTGAGATGGCGTTGTCAACACGACTGATGAAGTGATACGTTTCAGGAAGTCCGCTGCTGAGTTTGTGGAGCAATTGTCGTGATGCGATGTCGGGATAGCCCTTGCCCTTTCAATGGTAAGCGAACGTCAGCGACACGAGAATCCGTTCACACCGTCAAGATGATCCCCGGTTTTCGAAGCGCATTGATGCGAGTAAACTCGGCTTGGCAGAGAGTTTGGAAAATGGCCTGCCTCGTCAGACACCATTTCGGCATGCTTGGCTCAGCGAACCTCTTTCTCCACAACTAGAACCCACCCTATATCTTCTTCAACGACAAGTTCCTCAACGTCCTCCCCGGCGGGAGTAAGAGTTGCCTAGAAGGTAAGCAAGACAATGCGCATGAAAACGCACCCCAACCTGGTCATCATTCCCTTGTATAACTGTGCCGTTGACGAGCCGAATGGAGAGGACAGATCCACAAAAGATTCCTTTGCTCGATGCTCGCTTGCCAAATCCAGTGACTGTAAACAAAACTGGCCGTACATACCACTAACAAAGCGCTTCTCTCGACTCCAAAGGTTGCTGCTAGATCGTCGACAGCCTCCGAATTGTCAGAAATCCGTTGATGGCGAGGGCGCAGACCATATACATCATCAACCACTTTCTGCCTCTTGAACAGCTCTACATCACGGTAGTATATATCTCTACTCTAGTTTAGAACACGCCCAAAACGCAAGACTACCAATTGCCTTTTGGTAAGTGGGTGGTCCGTCAATAAAGCCTCGTATATGTAAGTTGCGACTGCACATATTACCACTGTCATAGGATTCAATACATGAGACTTGGATGGTGATCTCTGTACCTATTCCTCGCAATGACGCATCCCAGCGAGAGCGAGGAAATGAGACTTTTCGAGTTCGAGCATCTCTTCAAGAATTGAATGCACAAGAACTTTATGAGACCGATATTACCCATTCAATACGCCTTGGTTGCGCCGGTCTACTAATTCGATGACGATCCGGTCAAGCTTGCCCTCAGCGCAGTTTGCAATTTGCTTGACAGTAGCAAGAATTAGATCCTGTATATTTTGAAGCAGTATAGTCCTGAAATCATTGAGCTTGCTTTTGTGACAGGTGCATAGATGACTTCTCGTCTAATTCTTCTTCAGGCTCTGACCCAAATTCAAGAGCTTCTGGATCTGTAACCTCGTCTTCTTGTGTGAGATCTATGATATCCGTTGTCGGAGTGTATTCAGGTAGGACATCAAGCCCTTCGCCCTCATCTTGCCACGCGTTTTCGTCAACTTGTTGATCAAACTCCAGGATATCCGAGGGTTCTTGTTCTGAATTTGAGTCCATGAACTCGAGAAACGCGTCGCTGTCCGCATCATCTCTGAAGCCTTCGAACATCGGACTGGACGAGAGCTCTTCGAGAAGTCCCTCCTCGTATTCATCTTCCGACGCGTCTATCATGTCTGGACTGTACGCAAAGGTGCCCTGTATGGTAAAGTCGTATAAAGCAAGGTTCAACCTTGAATCCCTTCCATGCCCAGGCTTTTAGCACGGCTGGCCGTGTTTCTCAAGGCAGATGCTGCTGGAAAAGTCAAATATCGCCAAAGGACTGTGAAACCGGTTCGAAAGCCCGTCGTCAACAAGACGCGTCCGGTTGTCATACCAAATCTATCTAGAACACAGTCTTTTCTCCTAGACCCAAATCCAATCCTCAACAAGGACGATTTTCAGACACCTGAAACGCCTCCCCCTCTTCTCCCATGGCCACAATCACGCAAGGAGTTGCCAAAGAATGCAAGGCTGATGAGTTCAATTGAAGTCGAGGCCATGGCGAGTCCATATGGTATATTTCTCACTCTTTCAAATCTCTTCTCTGATTATTTGGTAGCTCGCATGCTCAGCGCTCCTCAAAGAACATGTCTCTTTACAAGAGCAATCTTACCGACAGGTAAGAGAACCCCAGCGCTGGCTTTACATGACTCACTAGTCATAGATCTACTTATACGGTTTGGTGGAGCAACGGATCCTTCGACTGGGACTCGGTATCTCCTGCCGAACAACATCGAACACCCTAAATTCGCCGCACGAATTCCTGGGAAAAACTTCTGGGTTTCGTGCTGGAAAGACGTTGTGCGGCAGATGATAGAAACCAGTTAGTTGTTGCAGGGCCATTCGTTCACGAATGCTTACCACCCGTCAGAGAAGCATGCAATGATCAGTCCAAACCTTCAAAGTCACCCACTCTTACTGGAGCAAGTAGAATCCATGTTACAGCAAAGAATAGTTCAAGAGCTCGAGCTACTTCGAGACCGTCTACGGCCCTCTAAGCAACTTCTGGTCGACGTACACGAATGTACAATTCGCAGGATTACAGAAGAAGAAAGGAGTCTAATCTACCAAGATGGAGGAGTCTCGATACCCGGCGGCCAAGCGATTCTCGAATTCGGAGAGACCAAGCCTGAACAGGTCAACGACGATGCGACTCCCTCTCGTATGATATTGGACACCTCTACCACCTCCCCGCGTCACGTTCCTCTTTATTTTGTGTCATCATTCATGCCGAGCGACTCCTTGGACCGGGCGCATCAACTTGTTCACTCCATTCTAAAGACAGAGGCAAATGCGATCAGGAAGTCCGAGAAAGGGACAGAACCCACCATATCAGCCTCAAATGTCATTGATTCCACCTCACCGGCCATGTACCTTGTTAGGTCTACAGCCGCTTCGCTGCTTCGAGCTGATACGGTACCACTCTGCATTTCGCTCTGGCGAATGAATCTTTGGGCTGGGCAAGGGTGGGCTGACGGGCTCTGGGGTAGATGGGAGCAAAAGTCTGGAGATTCGGTACCGGAATTTCTTGGCACAAACGATTCATGACAACTCTATTCCGTCTATAATCGAGACATAAATAGTCCTAATCACTATCTGTATCCTCTGGTTTGGGACCGCCAAAGGTAAGCCAATGCAATTGCCTCGCTTTGCGACGATCCGCTTGCGCTTTCAGCTGATTGCGCGTCAGCTTCTTCTTCTTCTTTACGATTCCAGTACCACTGGCAGGAGTTGCGACGCCGGATGCTGGCTTAGACCCTTCGTCCCCACTCGCTGCGGGCGTGCCTTGTGCAGATGCTGCAGGTGTTTGACCTCGAGATGCTGCGGCGGGAGTGTTGAACCCAGAGTTCCACTTGCCGGGCTTGTCAAGGAACGCGTCGTCAACGATGGCCACTTTGCCTTTGTGGGTCAACCTTCCCGCGTCAATATTCCAGATCTCTGGGCCTGTGTGGAAATTAGCTCTGAAAGGACACGACAAAGCCTTGCTACGTACACAGGGCGCCGACAAATTCTTCGTTGTGGGAGATGATCACGACGGCACCGGCCCAATCACGGATAGCAACAGCAAGTCCTCCAAGAGCTTCACGATCCAGGAAGTTACTGCAATACGCGCTTAGCCTAGCCAGATAGCGCATGATGTGAGGCACTCACGTTGGCTCGTCCAGCACGACAATCTGTGGATTATTCCACAGAGCAGCGGCAATGACGACTTTAACCTTCTGGCCACCACTCAGCCACCCATCTCGTTGTACTGCGCGATATCGCCATCCAGCCCAACGTCTTCCAAGACCTTTCTGACGGCAAGGAGAGTAGTCTCGCGGGAACCTGCACCCTCTCTTGATGCTTCGAGATCATCAAACTGCTGAACGATCTTTGTAAACCCTTTCTCGAGCAATTCTTCGCGTGGTAGCCATGTATTGAATTTGTGATCCAAACCCCTCCACTTTATCTCGTATCGGAGCGACTTCTTAAGCTTTTGACGCCCCATGATGAACTAGTAGCCCGATTAAGACATCAGCCAAAAAATTATGGGACACTTTGCTTACCTCGATCTTGCGCTTCTCGCCATTTTTCCCTACAAAGTCTTGATCAAGGACCTTCTTCTCTTCCTCGGTCAAGACGCGAGTGCTCTTCTCGAGAACCTCCCCTAGAATGCTTGTCAAGGCTGGCGAATATGAAGAAGTCATTTACACACTATCGTGTCCGTCTTGGAAACGCCATTGACTGCGGCAACACGTCAGTCTCTTTTCAATATCAGACTACTCACTCACATGTATTGGATCGCAGTCTTCTCCAGATGTCGATCTGTGCGTAATTAGCCCCACGCTGGGATCTTTACACGATTGACTGACCTATGTGATGCGTAGCATGTTGTGAGACATAACCTACTCTCAGGGAGGGATGTTTGTAAACAGTGCCTTCCTGAGGGGTGGTCTCGCCCTAAGAACCATTAGATTACTGGTGTGCTTAACCTGCGCAAATACTGACAGTAAGAAGCTTGATCAGGGTACTCTTTCCTATTGTAAAAGTGAGCGAAAGAGCCATATAAAAGATCCTACTTACCAGCCCCGTTTGGCCCAATGATTCCCACTCGACTACAGCGCATTAGCTAGCGTTCATACCCCATCCTAGCTTACCTCGAAAGCGAGAGAGCACAGCTAACGTCAATCAAGCTCGGCTTGTCACGTCCCGGATACGTAAACGTGCAGTTTGTCATCTTCATGATGGCTCTTGTATTACTTCGCACACCCATCAACGATCCAGGAGGTGGGAAAGCAAACTTGATGCTCGTTGCGGCCAACGTATAGTAGGACTTCGCTTCAGGGTGGATCTCGACGAATTTGGAGAGATTGCCTGGATAATAGACGAGCTTCTTCGTCTCGTAGTGGATAATATCTGTTGTAATATTGTCCAAGAATCCCGAGTCATGGCTGACAATTAGACATGTGACATTGGCTTGAGCTTTGAGCCAGTCTTCCAACCACCGAACAGATGCTCGATCCAACTAGAAAGGTCAGTCCGTTATGCCGTAATATGCACGGTTTACGCACATGGTTCGTCGGTTCGTCGAGAAGCAACAAGTCTGCCTTGTAAAGCATGGCCCTTGCCAGTTCAAGCTAATTCTTTCATCAAAACAGGTTCAGCTGATATCTCATCACGTACCTTCATCTTCCATCCTCCTGAAAGGCTTCCAACGGGCTGCACTTGTCTTGCATCATCAAAACCAACATCACGAAGCTGTTGAGCAATGTCCGCTCGTGATGTGGACTGAAGCTGTTTGTCTGCGCCCCTTCAACAAGAGGCTATTGAGTAATATAAGACTTACCACTGGCGATGAAGTCAATGATAGGAAGCGATGCATCCTCTCCTTGCAGCGCATGTTCGACCATTACCGCCCTCAGCACTTCCTGAGGTGGAAAGTTTTCTACTTTGCCGTCTCTTATCGCACGTAAAAGTGTGCTCTTGCCACTTCCATTGGGAGCAAGAATACCATATCGGCGACCACGGATAAGTCTAAGTGTGGTGTGCGAAAGGAGCAGTAATGCTCCATATGCGAGTGAGAATAGCGTCTCACAGAGCAGTTCTCCTTCTTCCGAGTTGCCATTGACCTTTGGAGCAAATTGAGCCTTGTAGAGTGCATAAAAATGTTCTCGAATCCGTTCAGACGTCTCAGAGCCATCCTTGTCTTCACTGGCACCGTACACTGAGAGCCAGTGAGAGAGGTATGATCCTACACTTCGCTTCCACGCCGCAGTGTTGTCGTAGGTTTTGTCATAGACCAAATCGGCGACTAAACTGGCTGAAAATTCGAGACATGTGGCGAAGGATGGATGAAAAGCTTGAGGTGGATCCATGCTGATGAAGAGTTGTGGAGGACAAAAGGTAAAATCTCTCGCAGAGCAGATTCTGCTTCTGCTCGTAAGTCTCGTGGAGGAGGAGGAACAGCACCCGACGACGCGCCGGCCTTGAGCAGAGTGGCATGCGCTGTCGCTGCGAATGCACGCACTTCGGGGAACGAAGCACCCTTCATAATCTTGTCTACACCATCCACTAGTCCGGACAGATACCTGGCGGCGACCTTTGGATCACGAACGAGTTTGACGAGGTTGTCAATGACCACGACCGTTCGTCTCTGAACCTCCATACTCCTATCGTTTAATGCGCGAGTGAGAAGCGGCACAAGAACTGCTAGCGCTGGTGCCGTAACTTCTGCGACAAACGTGGTGTTACTGAGTGCCTTGATGCAAGCTGCGACGGTCTGTGGATCGGCCATGCATTTAACCAGCGCAGGAACGTGTGGAAGAAGATCTGGATTGGGTAATGTGGCACAAAGTGCGGTGCCACACTTGATAGCAGCGGAAGACACCTCTGCCTTGGTATCATGCATGGCCAATTCGATATGAGGAAGGGTCGTGCCTAGCTCCTCGCCCACTTGTTCTTTATTCTGATTGGCAAGTGTCTTGATCGCGTCTAGGACACCAACTTTGGACTTCCATTGTTTGGTCTGTTTGAGCGAAACTTCTAGGTTGCGGAGAACAGGGCTCAGTGCCTCTGGAGGAAAGATCTTGAGGATTGCTTTGACAGCCGCTGTTGCGGCCTCGCGCACAACGTCTCCCTTATCCATGTAGAGATCGAAGAGAGTTGGCAAAGAGGGAATGAGTAATGGGCCGACTGGTGTTCCAAGGATCGTAGCGAGGGACTGGAAGCCCATTGCCCCGGATTCACGCTCGTATCCGGACTTTTTGTTCATACAGAACGCTTGAAGGGTTTGTAGGATTTTTGCATCCCTGTGCACACGTTGGTCAGTTTTTCTCCAGATAAAGAAGGGAGATTGCATCGAGCATGATTAAAAAGACGGGAAAGAGACTTTACAGTGAAGTCTATTGCAGATGGCCGCGAGAATGTCTCATGCCACAGGCACTTTGCCCGAGGACGATAACTGGCACAGGGGAACAATGCAAGGTCACTCACTCAAGTAAAGTATATCCGAGCGTCTTTACCTCTTGTGCAAGTGCATTTGCGGCGCTTTTTGCATCAGGCGCGGTGGGTGCTGTTCGCAAGGCCTCTAAAAGTGGCGGGATGGTCGTCGTACTTGGGACTAGATTAGACATTTGATAATTTATCTCCGTTTTTTACTCGAGGCCTTTATCAAGTCGGACCGGAAGGGCGAACGCGGCTGCGGCCAGGTTTGTAGCCTTAGCTTGTCCCCAGCCTCTTTGGAATGGACTTCTAAAGCGTGCAAAAAACTTGGTTGAAAGGATGTTATTATCAGGTCCTCGTGCAAATTCAAGTTTCTGCCAGCGGCGTTACAGTCGAGCTGACGCTCCCGTCCTTATGTCAGCTTACAACGATACCTTGCCCGGCGTTAAAGACCATGTCAGTTATCGTGTAACCTGGTAATCATGCTGACTCTCGCTGACAATCATCAGAGGCTACAACTGTTTTGCCGGGAGCGCCTTTTAAACCCGACCGACTCTTTCGTTAGAACCGTACAATCCACCATCTAGCCAAAATTCGATTCTTTAGCATTGCAACAACGGGACTCTTGCGTTCCACAATGTGCGAAGCCCTCCCAACGACTCGTCCGCAGTGGCTGCAGGCATTGCGCGACCTGCCCGCCACACCAAACAAAATTCCCGCCTTCTTCTTTGCTCATGGTTCGCCAATGCTCGCTTGGCCAACGGCAATCGCGCCTCGAGCAGGAGCCTTTGCCAGTGTCCATAAACAGATGGGTCCTGAGGGACCTTTGGCTCAATTCCTACATGATTTTGGACCCGCCCTCATTGAGAAGTACAATCCAAGAGCTATTGTCGTCTTCTCGGCTCACTGGGAAAGTCCTCGCAATCAAATACTAGGCAAGAACGCCAGCTATTGTCGGCTGAGATTTACTTCTAACAGTTATACATCAGTCACAGATTACGGAGAACAGAATCCTCTTTTATTTGACTACTACGGTTTTCCAGAAGAGGTATGCAACTTCTCCTGTGTAACTGGAGGGATTTATAATCTATCAGCTCTATGATCTCAAATTTGAATCCAAAGGAGATAGCAGCGTGACAGGAGAAGTCCTTGCTGCATTACAAAAGGTAAGCTCTACCTATTCAGACTTTATTGGTACTCACTCGTCCCAGGCAGGAATACCATCGCGTGCGACACCAGTGACTGAAGCTCGCGGAGCTGACGGACGTGGGTTTGATGGACCGGGACTCGACCACGGAGTTTTCGTGCCCTTTGGGATCATGTTCGGCGAGAAACTCCAAATTCCGCTGGTACAAGTCTCCATCGACGGAACGCTTGACCCAGCCAGGGAATGGGCCTTGGGTAAGGCTATCGCGTCATTACGGTAAGAGTGTTTGCGTCCCAGACTAGACAAAGGCTAACTCGAATCAAATAGCTCGCAGCAGATTCTTGTACTTTCTGGTGGTCTCACCTACCACAATCTCCGCAGTATGACTGCATTCGTCGAGGGCGCAGCCAATTCAGCTCAGAAAGAATTTCATCAAGCAATTTTGACCGCCTTACAAATCGAAGATGTGAGTCTTGATTACATATTTAAAAAAACAACGCCTAACCCGTTCGTCAGCTTGAGAAGCGGCAAAAGGCCATGTACGACCTCACAAGGCATCCTGGATTCCGACCGAGCCACCCAAGAGAAGACCATTTCGTTCCTCTCTACGTAGCCGCTGGAGCAGGTGAAGAAGGGGATGTTAAAATCCTCTCTGCTACGTATGGAACAATCACGGCAGCTTTCGGTGTATAGTCATTAAATAGTGTACGGTATAAACGGTATATTGACTACATAAGCAATCAGACTATGGACACATTTTGGTCGCGGAAAGGACAGTGGCGGTATACGGAGTAGGAACCGAGTGTAACGAACGGTGTGAATATGGACACAAAAACCAAGAGAAATTTCGAAGCTTCATACAGTCGAGTTGAGTTTCTGTATGGAGCAAGTATGGATAAGGAGACAATTTGGTGAAAAAGGCTACACGAGCGAGGATCGCGCAGTACCATTTTGGTACGTCAAGATACGGGAACGAAAACAGATTCGGGCATTCTTGTTGTTGGATACAGTCGAGATTCTTCAGTCGGGAGAAAATGGAGTGATTGGGCGTTGACGACGACGTTGGTTTGCAAGGGACGAGTTGGATATGTAAAAGGAGTGTGTTCCGTTGTCTTGCAGTGGGTAGAGTCGAATACGCCATTCGTTATTAGGCGTTTTTAAAAATCAGCAAATTGCTCAGCATAGGGATCGTGCGAGTATAGTGGGACTGGATCTCCAGCAAGTCCAGGGATATCGCTAGCTTTGACCATTGGGAGCCGCGAGAAGTTGCGCGTATCACCCGAAGAGGTGACCTGAGGAAGAATAGGGGCCTAGAACCCTGTCAACTGGTGCTGAATAGAAGAACCGAGAATACTCACGCGAATCTCGCAACGCTCGAGGGCAGCCCAATCGACGCCGCGGAACCAGGGATGCAAGAGGACATCGTCCGAGCCCCCGATGAGGTTTCCTAGACGCTTGGTACGGTCGGGATGCAGGAAGGCGCGAATGAGATCTCGCGACAACGGGTCGACATGCTGTGGCCAGTGAATGTTGCCTTGGAGAATCTTTTCATAAATTCCAAATGCATTGTCGTCGTAGAATGGCTTGAAAGAGATGAGTAAATGGAAGATGCGGGTTTCGATGACACGTACTGGATAACCAACAAGCATCTCGTAGCACAAGATGCCGCAAGCCCACCAATCGACCGCTTTTCCGTGACCATCTGACTGGATGATCTCCGGAGCGAGATACTCTGGGGTCCCACAGAGTGTCCACGTACGGTCGTCGACGACTTTTGCAAATCCAAAGTCGGTGATGCGTAGATATCCTCGGTGGTCGAGAAGGAGATTCTCGGGTTTGAGGTCACGATAGACGATATTATACGAGTGGAGGTATCGTAGAGCGAGTACGATTATCGCGAGGTAAAACCTTGTCACGTCGGGGCTGAATCGGTGCGCACGTCGGAGATGAGAAAAGAGCTCGCCGCCGGGGACATAGGAGAGCAGCATATAGATGTTGAGGTTATCCTGGAACGTTGCATACAAGTCGACGATAAAGGGATGTCGAATACGGGCGAGAATGTAGCGTTCGGCGTTGACATGTTCGACCTGACGAAGGCGCACGACGTCCGTCTTCTTCAAGACCTTCATTGCGAAATGCTGCATGATTCCCGAGTGATTCGTGGGCGGTCGCAACCGTACCAGAAGGACGCGTCCAAACGTTCCCGTACCTAATGGGCCCGACAAAGGAGGATGAGCACCCTCAAAAGTAAAATCAGCCAAAAATATGGAAACGCACCAAGAGTGTCTACAACTTGGAAATCGGACAACCTGAGCTCCGTAGGCTGCTCTTCGGTGGCCTGACTCGGCTGAGCATGGTGCGCATCCTGGACATGGCCTGGCGTCTGGGCCGCAGAGGCGTCGGGTTTGGCGACAGGAGTCTGGATATCGTTATTCTCCTCATCAATGTCGTCATATTGCTCAGTCTCAGTCTCCATGCTCTCCGTCGTTGGCGAATGAGGAGGTGTCCAGAGTTGCGATTTGGCCGAACGCACAGACGAATAGGAGCCACGGTGCTCAGCAGCCGCAGCAGGTCGAAGTTGGTAATCCATCGAGAGCACAAGCCAGAGAAAGCGGGGCAGGGAGAAAGACCAGGGAAGAGGAGAAAGCTAAGGTTGTTGGAAACTGAATTTCACTCGAATTACCGGCGATCAGCCGCCATGGGAGCGCCGTTTATATACAGCTCGGGATGGTTGCTAGACACGCGAGAATATACAGAACTCGGACGTACAGGAGAGCTGTCCCCGTCGCTGGGGACGAGCGTCGCAATGCAAATTGGGTGGGATCAACGTCAACGACCGACAGCGGCCTACGGCGCGAGCACATGGCAATGCATAGACGTATGTGGACATGAGAAATGTCGTGCGGCCATGAACTAGCGGCGTAAGAGCAGCAATCGCAGCCAGTGCGTCAACCTGAAGAGGACCCGTCGAAACCATGCAAACGGAAGGAAAAGAATTGCAAACACACCCTCTACGATGCTCGAGACTGCACGCCTCTTGCTTCCATCGCGTTTGGTACCATTGTCGACCGGGATACGAACAAATGTGCCAGCGCCGTTACTAGAAGCCATAGTTTGGGGTCAAATGACCCTGGAAGGTGGCTCCTTTTCCGAATGCCGCGCGGAGCAACGGTCACCCCGGGGCTGCTGTCGTTGCCCACTCCAGCGTCACGATCGGGGGCCGGGTCGACCTCGAGTTCTTCTTCCATAACAGTATCGAGATTGGGACCTGGCGCATCGTATGATCTTCGTCGCTGCGAAGAACCAAGGTTTGAGTTCGAAGATCGCGCGACGCCGAAGCCTATACCCCTCCTCACATCCGTCCGCGACCCGTTTGGGGATATCGGGCCCGAAGAAAATCGCCGCGGTTTCAAGGCATTCCAGAGATCCTCAATCCAGTCGAGCCATCGTAGCAAGAGCGCCCGAAGGATCGATTCCCCACCATGCTTATGGTGGCCGTTCGTCGAGATACGCTCTTTAGTGGCTGTGAGTATCGCATCATACTGCCTCTCCAGCCCATCGATGCGTCGATCAAGTAGCTCCATCGCCATGTCTGCCTTCTTCTCTCGTCGTCGCGCTCCACTCTCTAGTCTGGCTGCTGTCTTTTCAAAGCTGTCTTGAACTTCTAGCATACCCTGCTGTTTTTTGGTAGTGTCTTCGAGCTTTGCCAACTCAGTCTCCTTGAATTTCTCGGTGAGCATGGCCACTAGCATCTCGAGCCGCTCCACTTTCATCTCGAGTTCTTCTGATTCAGAGTTTTTGGGTGGGTGATGAACCCTGCCTTGTAGTTCGCGGGTTCCACCGGCGAGTAAAGAAGCGCTATTCAGAAGATCAGATTTGCGGGGGTGAGCGCAGAGTAGGGACCTACGCGTGGTTGATTGGCCGGACGCCGCCAAACAAGACGAACAGAGTCCCATGAAAGTACGTAATATACGGGCCTTCGTTGGTGGCCCCTACGGATTCGAGAATCTTTCGTATCAAGAAGAAGCCAGCAAAAGGTGCGACGATTGCAATGGTGAGGTAGGTGAACGACCGCCATTTAAGAGCCTCTTGTGCTGCGATTTGTGCGGGTGTCATATTATCTCGTGCCTGCTTGGTCAAGGGGCGTGGGCGAGAGAGCTCGTAGAGCTGCCATGGCACTGTAGGGTGTTCGAGTTAGGTTCTGAGAGCGTTCCATAGCGTCACGTACGCCGAATGCATGTGTGAAGATACCAGCACACGCAGAGAAACAAGATGATATCCTGAATGTATTCTGTCCCGAAGATGAAGGCTCCAAGAGAAGGTAAAATGGCGACAAAGAGAGGTGCATCGTGCCAGAGAGACGTTTCTGGCATGTCTAGACCACCATTTTCATCCTCAAACGAGATATCAAACGAGCCTCGCCGAACAGGCGGTCTTGTGCGTGTCTTGGATAGAGGGTCCGAGCCTCCAGACGAGTTACCGCCACTGAGACGATGAGATGCTCGTCTACGTGTTTTACGTTCTACAGGCTCCATAAGCAATCCACGCCGTAGGTGGGCCGTCGACGGGCGGTCCAAGTTTATGTTTGGCATGGTGGCGAGTGGAACTTGCAATTGTCATCCCGACCCTCTGGTCTGCGATTTCTTTCTTCACTATTTATCAACAAGAAACCCCCTATTTACTCACAGCTCGATATATTGTGCACGTCGTGCTCGAGTAACCGGCGTTCAGCGTCATTCAACGGCCTCACGAGTGAAAGAACGCCGAAAATGGAGACTGAAGCACTCGAAGGCGAATCGTATGCAACTTCAGGAACATCCCGAATCACCTTCTGACAGGTTTCTTTTAGGGAGCCCCTGAATTGCGCGATATGTGACGTTGCTCTGGATAACATGTCACCTAGTCTGCGTCAAGAGCACTACGAACTGCACTTCCAAGATGCAGAATCACATCAAGAAGCAGTACCCTCTAGCCCGAATACGACCCCATCCGATGCTCCAAGCAAAGAACAGTTTTGGACCATCTCTTTGGCACCCCAGAGAAAGCCACCCTCAAATGTCACACCAGGCCTCATTCCTATCTTGAGACAAGCTCTCCTCAGGTCCCATGCAAATGGCAAGACTCAACGAGCGGCTCTCTGCAAGGATAGTATTTGCCATATAGCATCAGAGTTTCTTGACACAACATACGGCTGCGGGTATGTGATAAAGTACCCTGACGATTCATGGTCATAACTTGCATAACCGTACAGCTATCGAAATTATATGATGGCCTGCTCTCTACTTTACGAGCAGGATATAATACCTCAATACAGACATAACCTAGATCAAGACGGTGGACCAAGCATACGACAGCTACAAAGGCTCATCGAAATGGCTTGGTCAGATGGTGAGAGGTTAAGCCGCTAGCTACCCATACTCAACCGCGTAGGATACGATCTCGTCGGAGCGACGCAGCTAAAGAACAGACTCGTAAACACGAAGAAATGGATAGGTACAGCAGATCTCTATACGGCATTTACATATCGGGGCATTCCGTAACCTTATCACCTTTCAATCTGTCGGGCCACTCACGTTTCTAGGTCTCGACTTGTAGATTTCCCTCAGTCGGGGGCTGACCCAGAAGTCCTTCCTCGTTGGGTGGCAAACTACTTTTTCCCGCCAAAGTCTACTGGTAATATACAGTCTGCACTCTCTGGAGCATCGCCAGTTGTACAAACCGAGAAAGCGCCCCTGATTCTTCAAGCAAGTATCTCTGTACCAATGGAACGATGCTAACTTGCGCAGCATCAAGGGCACTCGAGGACAGTCGTCGGCATAGAGACCAACAAGGCTGGAATACTCAATCTGCTCGTGTTCGACCCTGCAAAGTATGGATGACAATATTCATTGGGACAATGCCTCATACTCTTTAGGAAGATCCCATCAAACCTACGTAAACAAGCTCTGTCAGCATTCCCAAGTCCACAGAGCCCATCACATTCACACTTGCGATCCATTGCGTCTACACTCAAGGGTAGCGGAAAGCGACCCCGTGAAGAGGACGAGGAAGATGATCGCCATAATAAGAAAGGTCGACCAAGTTTCGTTCACATTCACGACAACCAGAGCAAAGAAGAGATCGATTATATTGCCGTATTGAAGCTGTTTCGTGTCCCGCTCAGTAACTTGAAGTGGGTCACCAGTGTTAGATTTTCTGCAACTAACGGACGAGTAGGAAGCGAGACAAGTACCAGATACTTACTTTCCCTCTCGAGCCGATCCTCACCCAGGACGAGCGTGAGAGCAGAAAGGTTGTAACCAGTGAGAAAGTGTTTTGAGCACGGCTGGAGGAGTTGTTGATTTTTTGGACGCTGTCCTCGCCTGTCGCTTCTGTTTGTCAGACGGCCTCTTTGTATCCTACCACGACACAATAAAGTCCCTGGTGGGCGCAAGCAAGCGTCGAAACTTGATTCATGTCTCGATATAGTATTCTGAGAAATGCGGCAAACATTCATCGGGCTGGCCTTCCGTCTAAATCGTCTGTCGCCGTTCCTGCAGCCGGCGGAGGGTTCTACGGAGGTGTTCGAGATCCATCAGGAAAAACTGTAGAGTATTCTGTGCGTAGTTTAGACCCCATCTTGGCCTCTCCTCGCATTTTGCCACTGCGCCCGACTGACTTATTGCGGTCATTGTGCGCAGGACAAAGACGACAAATGCCCCGTTTGCCATACCGAACGCTATGACAACAAGAAGATGCGCTTACTCGTCAGTCCTTGCTATCATAAGATGTCCGTACCCGCTCTTTCTCGCGTGCGGTGCTTGCGCCTCGTGTAGGCTTCCTGACTCTCGGCTCCGCTATCTAGGTGTGAATCATGTATTGAGAGGCGGTTTTCTCAAGGCCCTGCGCCTTGTCCCATGTGCGGGAGACAAATACGCAAGAATGCCTTCATGACGCAGACGTTTGAAGACTTGGGCGTCGAGAGGGAGATTGCGATCCGACGGAGAATTGCCAAAGAGTACGTATAGGCCTTAGATATGACATTATCGTTCTCACAGCGTTTTCCAGGTTTAATAAGCGGCGGGAAAACTTTTCCGATTTGCAGGCATACAATGACTACCTTGAGGAAGTCGAGACTATCTGTGAGTCTCCGCCTATCCGAAAATACCTTGCATCTCACTGTCACCAGCGTTCAACTTGATTAATAATATCGATGTGGAGGAAACCGAGAAACGGATCGCAGCTTACCGCGAGGAAAATGCGGCACTGATCGAGCTTAACATTCAACGCGAGGAACGAGAAATGCTCACTGCACAAGAAGAGGAAGAACGCGAACGCGAAGAGCGACAACGACGCGCCGAGGAGATTCGACGTGAAGAGGAAAATGAGCGCGCCGAAAGAACAAAAGCGAGCCACAAAATCCTCGAAGAGTTGGCCAGAGGAAACGCAGACGCACGTAAAGTCGTCGCACAATCGCGTGCAGAGGCGGCCAAACGGGCAGAGCAGCGTGCCGCAGCCGCGAAAGCGGCAAGCATGGCCACGCTTTCAAATCTCAAGCGAAAGAACGAACTTGCGATCCCGGATCCACCTCACAAACCGCTCATCGACGATTGGTACGCCTATGAGGACAAGTACGTTCTCCGGCGCGAGTACCAGGACGGCGTCATGGACCATATTAGTGAAGATGTTCTCCGTCAGATGAGGATTGGCGGATATCGCGTGGAAGACGCATGGGATAGAGCAATTCGATATGCAGTTGCCGGCTTGGAGTCTCAACCACTTGTCGGACTACCTTCGTAGCATCTCATAATCAGAGGGTCTCCTCTTGTAGTATATCCAAGCTTCTTTATATTGCATTGAGCTACATCTCCTTCGCGAGTGTTCTACAGGAGCAGGCTTTTGCTCGAATCGGTAAGGCGCACTCAGAGACGGTCTATACAACAGTTAGCCGCGTGTTAAAAGAGTCTATAACCACTACTTACTGACGTTGCCCAGGTCAGTGCAGGCCTCCTTGACACGTTCGCTGAGCGTCTTCTCACCCTCACGCACCCAAACGCGAGGATCATAGTACTTTAGACAATCGATGTCAGCTACCATCACCAGGCATCTATGCAACACACTTTCTTGTTCGGCTTATCCGCTCCCTCAGGATTGCCAACCTGGGACTCGAGGTAGCCAGCCTTCTTCTTGAAGTAGTCCTACAGACCCGTCAGAAAATGGTCATACTACTTCTTTGGACATACCCTCATGCCGATCAAGTATGCGAATTGGGTGTCAGTATCGACGTTCATCTTAACAACACCATTCTGGACAGCGGTAGCAATTTCCTCTTTGGTTGACCCGGAACCACCGTGGAAAACGAGGAACCTAATGAATGTGGTCAACAACTAGAGGTTGCAAATGTCACGAACACATACAATGGCTTCTCCTTGCCGGTCTTCTGGCCGACATGGGCTTGATGGTTAGCCAAGATTTGGGGTTGAAGCTTGACGTTTCCTGGCTTATAGACACCATGGACGTTACCAAACGCCGCTGCAATCGAAAAGTTTGGAGAAATCTTGACGAGCGCATCGTACACCTCGAAGATATCCTCTGGTTGTGTGTACAAGCTTGCATTGTCGACACCGGTGTTGTCAACGCCATCCTCCTCGCCACCCGTAATGCCAATTTCCATCTCAAGCCAGAGATTAAGCGGAGCCATCTTCTTGAGATACTCGGCACAAATGGCAATGTTTTCCTCCTTGGGTTCCTCGCTAAGGTCGAGCATGTGGCTACTGAACAACGGCACGCCGTGCTCCTTGAAATGAGCCGTATCCGCCTCGAGCATGCCGTCGAACCACGGCAGGAGCTTCTTTGCGCAGTGGTCCGAATGCATGACAACTGGGATACCGTAGGATTTTGCGACGGTGTGCACATGCTTTGCCGCGGCGATGGCGCCTGTAATCGAGGCCTCCTGGTTCCCGTTCGGAAGCCCTTTTCCGGCATAGTAGGCGGACCCGCCCTGAGAGCATTGAATGATGATGGGTGACTTGATATCACGGGCAGCCTCTAGAACTGCATTGGCAGTCGACGAGGAGGTGACGTTCTACATAGGTAAGCAAAAGCTATAATTTCGAAACACCCTACTCACAACTGCCTGTAAAACGTGGAACGGTCAATGGGAGGATTCGACATGGAGTGTAATCAAACATACCGGAATAGCAAACTACGAGGTGGGGTCATCAGATAACCGCATTAATGAAACAAAAGCAATCCATACCTTGTGTTCTCGTGCATATTCGAAGAGCTTCCTGGTCTGATCGCCTGTGAGGACGCCAGCCTAGATACAAGCAAATCATGATCAGCGAAGGCAGGCCCCAAACGGACCATCCAACATACTGGAACAATGTCGAGAACACCCATGATTGATTAGATGCGAATAGACTGCTGTAGACGATGTGGGATTGCTGCTTGATGGATGGTCGGGACCAAAACCTCTTACGCCCAGATTACTTGGGGCTATATACCCTCTTCGCTTCCGTTAGACCGGGCCGCTTAGCTTCCAGATTCGGCCGTGAATTCTTTTCTGATGAATGTCTATCATTTGGCGAGCTGAGCCGCTGCCAGACTCGCCTGGTTGTTCCAGAACACCGTCTCCGTCGAAAGACACTCAGTCGGAAAGCACAATACATCGGCCCGCCGGTCGAATCAAGGGAGGAGCTAACAAGCGGAAGGCCCTGTCCGTAACGGAATATAGATACTTTGAAACATACATCTCTCCTATGACGCTCCTCCGGCCACCGGGGCCGGCACCTTGACTTTAGGAAGCAGTGAGTCCACGATACTGTTCCCGCTAATGACTCCAGTCGTCGCAATCACAAAACGTCGCCCTGAATAACGTTCTAGTTTCGCCAAGCCAGACGTGTCAAACTCGCCTTTGATATGCTTTCCCATCCAGCGAAGAGCGGATATCTCGGTAAACGTACATCCTCCCAAGAAGAAGACAACAGTCGTCGTCGATGTATGCTCATTTCCAAACACTGAAGCCAAGATGAGTCCTGGTACACCGAAAAGGGCCAATATCTTACTCGTTTGTCCAGGATTTGTGACATTCTCGCCCTGTTGTATATCGACGGTCGGCCCCGGGATTGTAGTGATCACTTCTTCAAAGCCTTTCCAGCCCACAATGGGGTGTGCGTTCATTTTGGGCAACTCTGCAGGATCTTTGATGTCTGCTTTGGCCTTTCCTTTTGCACCCTCCTGTCCACTTCCTAGGCTAGCGAGTACGCCGTTCATTTGTGCCACACACTGAACCAGGCGAACTGACAGGGGAGCATAGCCAGAATAGACATACGAGATGTCCGTTGGTGCTGCGTCACTGCCACCTTCTGACTCTGGAATGAGCAATCGAAGCTGTTTGCGTAAGGCGGCGAACGGCAGCCGGAGAGACTGAGCATGCGTTTGAGATGGTGGGAGTGGATTTGATTGAAGTAATTGGAGGGTTTCAAGTGCGAGAAGTGCTGGTAGCAACTCGTATCCATACGCCTGACGCTCAGTTAGGATCAAAATATAACGATGAGATCTCCCCCAACCTGAAGAAACTCTCGCTTTAGATTCTCTAGTTGCTTCGTCTTTATGCCACCAGAAATCAGGCTAGAAAGCACAAGGATGCGTAAAATTCCTCTCTTGTCTGCTCCTTGCGCTATCAGATCCTCGAGGGCAGTAAGCTGCCCAGGGATATCATAAGACGCAAGTATATCTATCAGAGATTAGTAGACAACCACGGTTCAGAGACGACGTACTTTGCTGAATTTCAAGGGTTGAATTGAAGATCTGTGTTCTCGTGTAGGGCATGATCATCTCTGCGAGGTCGGTATCTAACCAAAGCGTCAATTTCAAGTGCATATAGCTCGCGAACGTACGTAGCCGTAATGCTTGTTGTTCAGACTGCAAAGATCCGAGCTTTCCGACAAATTCTTTGAGCTGTGCTACTGTTTGAGCATTATGTCGACTCTATTCGATGTCAGTCTTCGTCCTGATGATGGCGCGCTGACATACTTCATAGTCGCTGCTCAGACGCCGGGCGATAGTGCTGAGAGTTGCACCAAGGGCAGCAAAGTTGAGATCTCGCAGCTCTCCAAAGAGTGGATCAGATGAACTGGACAGCTGATATTTTTTCTTCTTCTCTGCTTGCACTGGAGTTGTCGCCAAGGCAGGTGCCTGTGTCGTGTTCGCATTGGCAGAGGGTGGTGAGACAATGTTTGCAGGTAGCTCAACATATGCTGTAGATGCGCATGAGACAATTGATGACGAAGCAGAACTTTCTTACTATTGGATACGCCGATAAATTCGTCTATGAGGCCCTCGTATGTCAATTGGGTAAGCATGGGAGTTACCATATCAACTCGTCGCTCAATGATAACGAGTGAATCCAGCTTTTCTGATAGCCCTTGAAATGTTGGTACCCCTGGCGCAGGTAATTGTTGTGCATTGAGTCTCATCAAAAGCTTAGCAAGCCTCTACGGGATAAATCAGGTACAGAACAGTATTAACGCGCCGTAATACCTCTGCATGCTCCCCTTTACCCATGATCCGCGGGAAGAGACCATACAACCGTTGAAGAGTCAACAAAGCCTGGGCAGAGTTGTAGAGGGAGGTCTCGTCTCCCTCCTGAACCAGCAATTAGAAAGGAAAGCTAATGCCAACTGGAACATTACCAGCCAGATTTCTTTGAATGCTTCTTCATGCTCGAGAGATAACAGATCTTCCTCCAGTGGTATGAATTGCAGATTAAACGGGAGTATCGAGATCTCTCCGAGTACACCTTCCTCTTCTAATATCTGAGCGATGAGCGTCGAGGTGCGTGGCGTCAGAATGAGGCTGTAAATGTGCTTGTCGCCCGCAGTAGTATGCTTCTTGATATGGTCTATATGGTCGCCGAGTGAGACATTCGCATAAATTGATAAGGCGGAAAGCTTACCTGCTATGATCTTTGCAAACTTGATCTTCGGTCGGCATAGGTAGACAATATTGGACGTCGCCGCGTTCAGAGGTCCTGATTCTAGCCAAAACATCTTGTCCAATCCATTTTGCTAAGGGCATAATGAGCAACCACACATCACCTCCACGTACACACACCTTTAAGAACGAAACCTCTGTGACGAGACCCAAAGGGCCAACCAATGATGGGTCAAGTACGAGAGTCTTTGCACCACTTATCTGAACGAGACTCAATGAGCGCACGGTAGGTGCAGATGGTACGGAGGAGACGCAACTGAGTTCAAGGCTTCAAGCAGGGACCGCTTTGCAAGCTCTTTGAGAGCGAGAATATCAATTCCAGAGTCATCTGGCTTGGTTGAGGTTTCTTCTGACGCAACGGAGGCAGGCATGAGTGTGGTGGTACGGGTCTAGGGAGTGGTAACGAGGTCAAAGTAATAGTAGCAAGATGTATTGAGGAAATGTTACTAGAAGTATATGACAGTCTTCTAGAAGTAGCAATGGCTTACAACCGTCCAGGCATTCTTGCGCCACCAGACAGACGAATTGTCTCTCCATTTAGATAGGTAGACTCAATCACCATCTTGCACGTATGGGCAAACTCTTCCGGCTCTCCAAATCGTCGTGGGAAGACCAGCTCCCGCTCTAGTGACTTGTGAACCTTTTCTGACATCCTTTCTGTCATGGGCGAGATGAACAGAGAGGGAGCGATAGTGTTCACCCGAATGCCAAATCGACCCAGGTCTCGAGCCATGGGCAGAGTCATTGCTCGAACTGCGCCTTTCGAGGCTGCATAAGCAACCTGACCCTGCTGCCCCTCAAACTAGCAAGAATTAGCAAGGTGTTACCTAGAAGTAACAGTGAATTACCGCTGCAGCACTCGCGACCATAATGACTATTCCTCGTTCTCCATCTTTCCCTTCAGGCTCGATGTGCACAAGGTGCTCCAGTACTCGCCGAGTCAGATTAAACGTTCCAACAACGTTGATGTTCAAAGCAAACTCGAAAAGATCCAGCGAGTGGGGCGTCCCATCCGAAGTGACCATCTACAGCCGTCAGCAAGATGAAATAGCCAGTCACCTAGCCTACCTTTGCTGCTGTAGCAACTCCTCCACAGTTAATAACGCCTCCTAGCTTTGCACCCGTCTCCTTGGACCATTTGACAGCCTGACTAACGGCTTCTGCAATCTCTGAATCCCTCGTCAAGTCCGCCTTGAAGTATCGAATGTGATCCCCTCCTCCTCGTTGATACGCATCCGGTAGATCCTGAATGTCCAGAGTGGCCACATAAGCACCACATTTAGCCAACTCGGCGCAAGTTGCAAGACCCAGACCGCTTGAGCTATAACCGGTGTCAGTCACACTACACTTTGAAGAGCACAATCTTAGAGACACAGACCCTCCAGACACTATAAATGTCCTATTTTCAATTTTCATATTCTGTCAAGAAATGGCGGGGTTCAGTATTCGTTACCACCTGGCGTGAATTACATCGGCAACAGCGGAATAGGGTGCCATCGTGCCGTCACTTCTTCCAGCTTTATGACGAGCCCGGCGCTGGCTTTGCTCAACCTCCTCTCCATTTCACCACCCATCCCTTCCAGCCGGAGTCCTTTATGCACAGTTTCAAATGTCTTGTTTGCCCATATCGATGCACTCGTGACGAGTGATCCATTTTCCGAAGCGATTGTTTTTCCACCATCTAGGTCGATGCAAGCGTCTACGACGACGATTGCAAGCTCCAAAGCCGAGCATAAAACCGAGGAATCCCGCCGGAGCTCTTCATCAGAGGAATCACCGGATGCAAAGCTTTGCTCTGTAGACATCTTTCTTGTGCCAACAGTCGCAGCAAGCTCCAGAGCCGCAGGGGCGATGATCGAAAGATACGCAGGAGAATGCCGTGCTGCGTGTGCTAAGACAGCAACTGTGTTGACAAGGTGTGCAAGGACAAGGGGACTAAGTATCATTCCCGTTCCAGCAGCTCTGAACCCTCCTCCTGAGCGAGTCCGACGGCGGGCATCCTCGTAGGCTAGCGAGTCTTGAAGGTATACCCAGAACCTCGATATTAGAGGCGATATGAAGAATTCAGAGGCCAATTCGGTGAAAGAGACACTTGCTTTGACATTTGCTTCCTGCGATGGTCTTGACGAAGAATTGAGCTCCACGATACCAGGTTTCTTGTTTCGTCCTCCTAGGATGGTAAGTTGTCGCTCCCTGACGATCTCAGGTACGCTTTCTTCTGCGTTCTTTCTGCCTTTCTCGACGGCTTCAGCACTGATTCCTTCAACGAGTCCTCGTATTTGGACATCAGCTTGCTCCATATCCTCCGAGGTGATATACTTTTTGTGAGAAGGTGGTGCTAAGAGTCGGCTTGGAAACTCCAGGACGCGGACAGCGAGTTGAGGCGTTGGCAATCCGGCAAGCTCTCGCGCCCCAAGAGCCAATGCACTCAGCATCCTGAAGCGCTGTCCGACAGAAAAACTCGGCGTGAAGAAATGTTCAATGATGCATCTAGGGAAGTTATGGGACTATAGCAGCTTATGGCCAAACGACATACGGGGCAGCCTTTTTGGGACAGCAAGCGACCAGCGCCGTCAATGCTTCAAGGACGCTTAGATCAAAGTTTTCCAGATCGTAATTGTTTTGCAGGCCCATGATAGTATATGCCAGGTCTACTGCATTCTCCTCTGCACAGTGAACATCAGCATCCAGGTCCGGGCGTCGTCAATGACGCACCTAATTCAGAGCCCCATCGAGCCTTTCTGCGGATCAGGGCAGATGCATTCTCAAGTCCAACCCGGATACTCTCCGCTTGCTCGCTTCCCTCCTTGGGTACTTTGAATAAATTTCCGAGGTCCAAGAGGTAGACCGGTCTCCGTATCTTCTTCTTCATCGGATCAAGGAGTGTCGGATCTGCATTGACCTCCTCGACGGTTGGCTCTCGTGATTCCAATTTAGGGTCTTCTGTGACCAAGGTCTCCACAGCTGGTGTTGGAGTGGGCGGCCGTGAAGAGAGCTCAGACGAAGCATAACCCTCTAGTGAGTCGTCCGAGTCTTCGGTTTGGTCAACAATGGTGATGGTCTGCGAATTAGTAGGGAGTGGTGGTGATAGGGCGCTTTGATAGTTTTCTTGTGAGAGAGATGGTGTTGCATCTCCTTTTTCAACTTCGGCGTCCGAGTCTCTGCCATTCGCCAGAGATCTCATTGCCCTGGCCCATTCCCTTCCTTCCCCATCCCCATCCCAGTCCTGGAACTGAAGCTTTCCGCCGGCATTCTGGGCAATGATCTAGATATACGGTCAACGACCGCCGAGACGAGTATGTTTAGCATACCTCTGCCACCAATAACCCGCACCGCCTCACGCTTGGATCAAGGTGTCCGATGTAGATGCCCACGGCATTCACGAATGAAGGTAGTGTGGATAGGTATCTGAACACTGAGTTTTCCGTTTGAGGTTGCTGCAGGTTGCCAAACAGCTCGACGAGGGTCGTCAACAGCAGGCAGGTGACCACTGCCACAGATCTGTAAGAATTTACCGCGAAATAGGGTCGAAATTTACCTCTATGTCGATCGAGTGTTGAGTGTTTGATATGTTCCTCATCAGTCCACAGTTCGACGGCTCTATCAAGGAGCTTTCTCAAAGCTAGAGATATCAATATGTGCAATTAACTTTTGAGTGATGGATATCTCACCTTTATCACGAGACGGACCCAGAGAGAACCAGCACGAAATGGCTCTCGCCAATCCCTGGCTGATGGGTCGATCCAAAATAGTGGAAGTGAGTGACCAAAGAGTGCTGTCCCACGGAGCACGCGTATTTGTGATAGAACTATCGGATTTCAGTTGCATTGGCCAGCCTACAATATTGGAAAGTTGGAGTGCGGTCTGTTTAATGGCGAGTCGATGAGTTGGTGAATCGTCAACCCCAGCGATAGAAATTGATAGATTTTTGTATGTGATGATATCTAAATGCGCGAACAGTGACTGTATGATGGCGATTTGCTGACCTAGAGGGATGCAGGCGAGGATTGAAATAAGGATATGCTGCTGTCCGCTATTTCTGTCAAGAATGATGGATTTTGGTTGATTTATCAGGATTTGAAGTACTTGCTTCCAGAAAGACGTCGCGGTTGGTAGAATTGGCATCGAGAGGGGAAAACAACCAAACGTAACCAATCGACTGAGTGTCGATGCTGCCGCTTCAACGTGAACACCTGTAGGTCTATAAGAATCATTGCATGTCCGCCAGAAATATCACTTGCCTTTATCGGATTGTACATGAGAAGATTGCAGTAGCTGATGAAACGAGAGGCAAAGACCCGAGAAGAATTGACTACGAGGGTTCAATACTTTTGTCACACATTGAGATATAGCCTACTTTGATAATAGTCGGTCGGGAATGTCCAATTTTTCCTCCACAGATGCGTTCATCAGTCTCCCCGGAATCGAGAAGAGGGATTTATTAAAGTCGGTCCACGTTTGGGCAGCTTCCTGGATGCCTTCAGGCGTATTACCAGCGAAGAGGTGTTCGAATGCATCAAGCGGTGTGAAGACGTCGCAGAGTTCGCAGAGTGTGTCCACTGAGAACTGAAGTATTGGAGGTGCAATCAAGGAGTCGTAAGAAGATATCAAAGCCTCTTTCGACGCATCTGTCTTCGGGATTGGGATGAAATACGTCTTGACTAGGGATATTTTATTCATCTCTGCAAGTCTCTCGACCCAATGGGGTAGAACATCTCGGACGAGACAGGATTGGTAATCCCGTATATATTTTTTAATCTTTCTTTTGTCTAAACCCTCGGACTGGTCAACAGTCGAAGTAACAAATCCAAGGAGTTCGAGAGGAAGACTGAGTAGACCGATTAGCGTCTCCTCGTCATGCACTTGACCGCGAAGACGCAATAGATTCTCCCGTAAAGTGTCGTCGTTGAACATTTAGTCAGCGTTGGGTGTGGCGGTCGGGTTCAAGAAACATCTGCACCACGAGTTTGAGGCAATCGATTGGTAAATATGTATTAGACGAGGCCTGAGTCAGCTACAACAACAGTATGAGACTTGGCCTCCCCCTCTTCCAGCTTCGCTTCGAGCGCTTCGGGCCAAGGGTCACTATGGCATCTTCCTCGACGAAAACACCATCTATACCTGCCAAAAGAGCTAGGACCGTGTCTACATCGCCGGCCCCATCTGCTAAACCACCGAATCCGGCGCCTGCGACCAGTCAGCGGTTCAAAGATTCCATTGTACTCGCACCAATGGTCAGATCTGGAACATGTAGGCACCATGGGCTCTAAACTATGTTTTTCCCTAACCTCCATCTAGTGCCTACCAGATTACTAGCCCTCAAATATGGTGCTTCCTTGGTGTGGGGACCAGAAATCGTTGACCGGGCCATGCTTCACGCGAAACGGGTTGTAGATGGTCGGTATATCCTCATATTTAGTGAATAATGTCTGATTACTAGCGTTTTGCAGAGCGGACAGGGGTTGTGTCCTTTGAAGGAATTAGTTCCTCCATTTGGTCGACCCATCCTGCCGAGCGACCCTATCTTATCTACCAGATAGGATCCGCGAACCCTTCCCTGGCAGTTGCTTCGGCGCTCATGGTCTCTCGGGACGTCTCCGGTGTCGAGCTCAATTGCGGGTGTCCCAAACCGTTTTCTACGTCTGGCGGGATGGGAGCTGCCATGCTGGATACTCCGGATCTGCTCTGTGAGATTCTAATGTCTCTGCGAAAATCACTTCCGGCCCATATTTCCGTCTCCTGCAAGATTCGTGTTCTGCCGGACCCTAAAAAGACGTTGGATCTCGTGGAGAAAATCGTAAAGACGGGCATAAACTGCTTGACGGTACATTGTCGTACGCGAAATATGCGCAAAGGGGAGCCTGCAATACCTACACGTCTAAAGCCAATTGTGGAGCACATTCGCGCAATGCGAGACGAACAAGGCAGGCCATACGATGTTGCCATTCTGGCCAATGGTGACGTAGAAGGATGGCGTGACATTCAGCGCGTTCGTCAGATCACTGGAGCGGACGGAGTCATGGTCGCGACAAAAGCAGAGGAAAACCCCAGTTGTTTCTCCGAAGAAATGACTGATGTGGAGGATTTGGTCTTGAGGTACTTGAAACTGGTGAGCCAATAACCTCTGCGATGATAGTAGTAACAATACACAGGCCAAGTATACCTCCAATGCCTGGGGGAACACGAAACACTGCATCTCTTCGTTTAAATCAGCGCCTGGAGTTCTGAATCAGAAGAGTACCCTGAAGCCTTTACGAAACTTGATTGCACAGGCAAAAGACTACTCTGCAATGGAAGATTTTGTCCGAGAACGACACGACACGACGGAAGATTTCGACAAGGAGACGTGGGGAGGAGAATCTGAACTTCAGTCTATTATCGCGTCCATCAAGTCGCGGCCACCTCCAGCGTGGTGGGTCGGTGTTGAAGCATGGGAGGCTGCAAACCCTCTGGACACGCGCGACATGGACATTGATCTTGGAGAGGAAGGCATCAGGAAACTCTTAGAGAGAGAGAGGGAAGAGAGGCCGCGGAAGAAGAGCAAGATTGACAAGGAGGATGCGGTTTCGGCCCTTTCACAACCAGTCACCATACCCACTGCAACTCCACAGCTCACTTCTACACCTGAGCCTGGGACCTTAGCAACTCCTGGCCCGGTTTTTCCTTCGTACGTGCCGCCTCTGGTTGCAGGTCGGAATGAACGTAGTCCAAGTCCGGAACGACCAGCATCGGGGATGACTCTGATTGGCTAATATATTGTAATCATCTAATTCTACTGGTGGTTCGAGTTTGTCCGAATATTCCTGTCCGCAGTAAACTTGAACTCGACCAAGTCACCGCTTATGGGTCGGCCGCGAAATCCTCAGGGCCCGTTTACCGTTGTGATTAAACTGGGTGACTAAATCCTGGTCTCTCCATGATTCCGAAACGATTCTGAAACCTTACTTCTTGCCCAAAGGAACGTCTTCAATCATCGACGAAGTCACTCATCAACCACTCCTGTCGACGCTTTCCTCCGTAGTGGAAACCTGCGTAAAGCTTCGTGCAAATGGTCATAAGGTTGTACTGGTTAGCTCTGGGGCAATCGGAGTTGGGTTGAGGAGAATGAAGGTCGCGAACAAACCGAAGGCCTTGTCTGGAAGACAGGTGCAGTTTCGAATGAATCATACTGCTTCAGTTGACACCGTGATATAGGCACTAGCAGCAATAGGTCAGGGTCGACTGATCGCCCTTTGGGATAGCCTATTCGGCCATCTGAATCAACCTATCGCCCAGATATTACTCACAAGAGGAGATATATCAGATGTGAGCTTTCTTCTGGTCTCGCCAATATCTAACTGACTAGTTGCCAGCGCTCGAGGTACCTCAACGCCGTCAACACATTCGCTGAGTTGTTCAATATGGGTGTCGTATGTTCAGCCCAGATACCTCGATAATCTAATCACTAGGGTTGCAGATTCCTATTGTCAACGAAAATGATACCGTCTCCGTCAGCGTGAGTGAATGCCACCACAGGTTTGGTATCCCTGAGCACGAATAGGAAATTCGCTTTGGCGACAACGACACTTTATCAGCCATCACAGCTTCCATGGTACATGCCGATTATCTTTTTCTATTGACGGATGTCGAGGCGCTGTACACATCGAACCCTAGAAAGGATCCAGACGCTCGTGCGATTGACATAGTGGACTCCGTAACCGAAATCCGAAAGACAGGTGCGATAATTCACTACCTAGTGATATCTCATGTACAGAAATCTAATTATACCAGTCAGTACTGCGACATTGGGCTCCAAACTGGGCACAGGCGGAATGGAGACTAAGCTTATTGCGGCAGAGATCGCCACTGCAGCGGGCGTCGCGACTGTAGTCACTTCTTCCAAACATCCTGAAAATGTCTTCAAGATTATAGAGTACGATGCGGCCACCAACAAGTCTACGAGACCGCGGTCATCCAACTCGTCTTCCTCAGGGGTCGCTACGCCATCTTCTGCACTTGCATCCTTGGCTATGTCCTCAGATGACACAGTGACGGAGCCCGTCTCTTTGGACATCCCTCGACCACCACACACGCTCTTCCGACCATCCTCAACCCCTCTCCGTGATGCAAAATCGTGGACGGCTTATACCTTGTCACCAGCCGGAAGTGTATTAATTGACGCCGGTGCACACCGCGTCCTCTCTCGACGCGACTCTGGGGGTCGGTTATTGGCGGTTGGAGTTGTAGATGTCATCGGGACGTTCGCTAGTGGACAAGCAGTGCGAGTGGTCGTAAGGAAAAGGATAGACGAGAATAAGCCCAAAAAGGAGCGACCCAGGAGTCGTCAAGAATCGACTGACGGCCATGGTTTTGGACACCAAGACTCGAATACTGGCACACCTCGAACACCGGGAACACCCAGCCTGGCTCCTATGTCACTCTCAGTACTTTCTGTATCTTCTCTTGAACCATTCTCTCGCTCGAACTCCGAATCGAGCCTAACCGCTACGGGGGGCGTCGATGCCACCCCAATGGTCGGGACTGTTTCGCTACCAGCTTCAGAGATCCCCGAACGATTACACGCACGTAAAGAAGATGGAGCAAATCCTGCAGATCACAAGAGCAAAGAAACGACAAAGGTCCAGTTCGCGGCTATGGTTGCACCAGAGGAAGGATGGATCGACGTCGAGGTTGGGCGAGGACTTGCCAACTACAACTCGGTAGAGATGTTAAAAATCAAAGGTGTGAAGAGGTGAGTACTTCTGACAAGTGTGACCAAGCCTTTGACAATAGGCTATCAGCTCGAACATTGCTCAAGTACTCGGATATGCCGACTCAGAGTACGTCGTGGAGAACATCTCAATCCATATTGCTCCCTAGCTCGGCCCAGCGTTGAATAGGACACGACCACCAGACGTGTTCGAGTGGCTGCTACAGTAGAAGTGAAATAGAACATATATTAGTGTTAAAGAACCAACATGGCCAACCATGCTCGCTAGTATCGTGAATCCCCTCGCCTCGCCTGCAAAGGGGTTTCTACGGCGAAGGAATCTGACCCTCCCGCTCCTGGTAGTCCGTTCTGAAGCTGAAAGTTTTGCCTCATAAACCTCGGATTTCCCACGCCAAAGAGCGTGTCGCCCGTGGCCCCACCACCACCAATGATTTGGGTATCTGTAGTCTCCGAGCGAGGTCGCCATCCTGTACTATCCACAGAGGGATCACTCTCCACCTCGTATTGGCGACTGATATGCATACTAGCGTGCTTCTGGACATATTCGTCATCGTCTTCATCTGAAGAGTCAAACTCGTCGCTCTCCCAAGCTCGACGCGATCCGCCGAGAACTTCGTTCCCATACTCATCTACCTGATGCTCTTGATTACCACCTGTCGTTGACATTGTATCGTCATCGGTTGATAATGAGAAGTCTTTGAGAGGACCCGGAGGTATCTTTCGTTGGTAGTTGAACCTCGCTGGCGATTTATAAGGAGAAGCAGCTCCAGCTGGAACTCCAGCTCTCTTCTCTGCTGCTGCCTCCCTAAGTAGTCCTTGCATCATTCGATGCTGGGCGGCGGAGGCGGCACCCGGTCCAGGAGGTGCAAAGATCTGCTTCTGTACGCGTGTGAATATCGATTGGTTGTCTTGCGGTTTTAGTGAGGGGTTGAATATAGGTAGCGGTTTGAGGTTGATGTCGGCTTGCGAAATCGAAGTATCGGGGTTTGTGCTCGCAAACGAGGGGTGTTCCTTGAATACATTCAAATTATTACCGGCTGCTGCGTTATGCAGTGCTTTGCTTCGCAGGTCCGGTGCGACCCGCCCCTTGCCCTTCAAGAACGACGATGCTGCGGCATTGGTTTGGGCGCTCGAGGCAGAGGTAAAAGAGGCGCTATCGGAGGATAGAATGGGGTTGTGATTTGTAGATGTCTCGGAGAGATCAAAGCTTGACTTGTCTTCTAACGCTGCGATCTCCCGACGGAGCCTGTCCTGGGTAGACTCTATCGCAGAGGAAAATGTCGAATCACCCTTCCCCTCTGCCGATGCAATACTTCCATCAGCTTTACGTCGGACGACCGGAGTTGATGTTTGTAGATTCCCCGAGCCTTCTGCACCTTCTTGGAAATCACGGAACGACTGGTTCTCCGAGGTTGTGGGGGTAGTATCATTCGCATTAGATCTTATATGGTTTATTGACGAGCTTGCCGTAGGAGTGTGTGTCGGATCTACCGTGGACGTCAAGTCTGGCTCAGCTGGTTCCTGTTTTGGAGCGCATGCTGCTTGAAACATGCTAATCCAAAACTATTTGGATCGAATTAGTGAATTCTTCGTTTTTGGTGGGACTAGGGACTGATATACCTTGGATACGTCTCTCATCGGCTCTGTCACGCGTGCGTATTCCTTGAGTCCCGGTAGAATCTCGAAGGTAAGAACAGAGTGGATAGACGCCATGCTAGCGTCAATTTCCTGTCGCCGTAAGCGGGAAGGACGTATTAATCCTATGACTATGCCCAAATTGACGAGCTTACCCTAAGCTTTTCACAAATTTGAATGTCGACTTGGTCGATATGTAACGGCAAGGGGGAGTGAGGGTCCACTCCAGGGATCTCCATCGCCATCACCTCCTCGTCTGTAAGATCCTCCCATCGAGAGAGCTGAGGAGGAGGAGAAGGTGGTCGAAATGCCAAGGGATATTTATCTCGTGCTCTTTCCTTTTCCATTAAAGTGGCTGTCGGCTCCAGGTTCAGTGGCCGGCGCAGTCCAACTTTGCACCCCGACCACAATGTCAACAACCAAACTCACAAAGAAGCAGCGAAAAGCTGCGGCGTTTAGAAGTCGAAAATCAAAAGGAGGAGATGAGCCACTGGATTTGCCAGCGTTAGACGACCCCGAGGTGGACTTGAACGCAGAGCAGATGGCGGACGTTTTACCACAGCCAACAACGGGAGCCAAGACTACTAGGTCAAGGGGGGAGAATAAGAAAAGGAAGCGAGAGCATGATGAAGATACCGAGATGGAGTCTCTCTCGCCCAAACGTCTCAAAACTGACGAAGGGGAAAAACTGAACACCAAGCGAACCCGTGCCCCTCCAAAATACATTTTATTTGTTGGTAAGTACTCCATCACGGTTAGGCGGCGTATCTGACTCTAAATTCAGGCAACCTAAGTTATAAAACATCTGTACAAGCGATAGCCGAGCATTTTTCCACTTGTGGTAAACATTCACTCATCTATAAAGAATGTTATTAACAATAAAGTAGATCCACCCCCCAATATTCGTCAACTCACCACTCGGCGCAAAACTGATGGAGACACTCAGCCTGAAAAGTCCAAAGGTTGCGCATTCCTCGAATTTACAAAAGCATCCGGCCTTCAAGCTGCTCTGCGCTTACACCATAGCGTGCTAGATGGCCGCAAAATCAATGTCGAGCTTTCTGCGGGTGGTGGAGGGAAAAGTGAAGCGAGATTAAAGAAACTCAAGACAAAAAATGCAAAGCTTGATGTACGTGGAGGGCTTGCATGCCTGATTATCCTAACGTGTCGCAGAAACATCGCTCAGAATCAGCCAACCGGCGTAAGAACGTCTCAGGAATGGAAGACGAAACAGAATCGAAGGTCTCAAAAGCACGTTTTTCGGAGACCTCTGGAGATACGTCAGTACCCATGACAAAACGTACTTGGTCGGTCTCCAAGAATGGCGAAAAAGCAAGTCGAGGCGGGCAAAGGCACAAGAGAGGTATCAAGCATAAGGGTTCTAATATAAAAGGGCCTAGAACATTCACATTCTCTGGCGCTAATGCCATCCCGATCGGTTAAGATCTGTACACCATCCAATTGCCAACAATAGATCACCCTCCTAAATTTCAACCAGTGTTCCTGTACGAACATCTCTTTGGGGACGCTTTCGTCGCAAGAGCCAGTTCAATCTTCCTGCTACGTTGGCCCGGCGTGGCTTGGGATCTGGGAAGGTAATCCTGATGTCTGGGAGAGGGATCATCGGGAGCACAATGGGGGCCCAGGCACAGAGGAGCCCGAAAAATGCACCATATAGTTCATAGAGCGTCCATTCTTCCTCTGATGGAATTCGGGCGACCATCCTCTCCACCCAGGTTCCAGGCCCAACTTGTTTTCGTGTATGGCCACTCCCAACCAGTCCACTCAGCCCACTATCACTTCCATCGCACCAGAGAATCGTCGTACGAAGTTCTTGAGCTCGATGACGTGCCATTTCCATCATGACCTGCGCCATTTTTCTGTGGTCGGTCCGTGCTGGACCTAAAATCAATTGAGGTTTTGCGTCAAAATGGGAGTACGGGTGAGCAAAGTCGAGGCCAATGCTGGCGGATAGTCTCATCTCCCAAAAGTGCTTTGTATTTTTGCGGCCCAATGTGATATTCACAATCCCGGGCAGTGATCGTTCGGGGACTCGCTTGCTGACTGTATAGATGAGCCAATGACTAGAGGGGGCAATAATGCACTCACACGGAGCGGGATGTCTTCCGTAATACTCGGCCATGACACCATCCTTGCCAACAAGGACAGTCCCACTGCGTCTCTTTCCGCGGTCCTCACCTTCCTCTAGTAATGGCTCGAGGAAGGAAACTCCAATGAAGATCCCATATTGGTGACTGAGTTCTTGAGCTTTAATGAGTCCAGTTTCTTTATCTTGTTCGGTTTCAAAGAAAACCGCATCCTCAGGCCAGAGCGCAACGTGGGCACGACCGGCGACGATAGCAGTCTCGTTCATAAAGGCGTCAAATGAAGTTCTTGGTCCGCTAAGGTCTGGCAGGACGCACGAGACGCCGACATCGTGTCGATTGTCTTCGTGTAGTGGCTCAGGGAGGAGCTCGGTAAGGGATGATGGAAAGGAGAGCGCAATCTATAAAATGTCAGAATTTAGAAGGGAGCAGCTTGCTGCAAGGAAAATTCACCAGGATGAAGAGTAGAAATTTCACTCGGCCAGAATCCACACGTTCGGTTTGTAGATCCCCTTCTTCGTTTCGGTGATCTCTCCTTTCATTTCCATCATCGTTTTGATGCCTTTGATTGAACCCAAGGACATGCCATGTAACGAAACATGAGAGGACTTCCGCGCTTGCGCCAACTATCCAGTCAATCCCAAAGTCGCTGACATGGGGACGAAGCCAGCTATAGGTATCGTCCCCTATCAGCGGACTCCAGGCTCCAAGGCGACCGACCGGACTCATTTGGGCAATCACCAGCCACCAGGTTGCCCAAAGCGCAGGGAATACAAAATTGTTGGAACCACAATATGCGGCAAGGACGACTATGAACAGGCCCAGAAGCGAGAATATAACAGCGTAGCTAGCCGTTACCACTGGCGCCTCTGGTGAGCCAAACCTCAAGCCGACAAAGGAGAAGAAGCATCCAATGAATATAGCGGCCCAGATTGCCACCAGGCGAACGAAAGTCCAGGGTCGGTGGATGACCAGAGTTGTCTCCAGTCGAAGGATGGACAGGAAGGCAATGAGCGGCACACTCGAAGGGAGCGGCTGCAAGGCTAGATAGCTAGAAAGGGCCGTGAAGACGACAAATGCCCCAAAGGGGTAGAATCGAACGAGCTGGAGTATCATTGTGGGGTCCAAGAACGCTTACGAGTGATCTGATAAGGCTGCGCAGACTATAAACTCGTCGTATGGAGCCTGACACTCGGTCCAGATCTGAACTTCATCCTCCCAATAGCATTAATCGGCATAGATTTCTCAGATTTGAAAAGGTATTGCCCAATGGTCGGGTCCAAACCTGACTTGAACCCGCCCCCACGTCGTGAACGCGCCAGTGTCGGATTTGCCGCCCATAATTTGAATCAGATACTGTACCAAATGTCGCACAGCATCATACTTGAAGTCTGTGTCGACTCGGTCGAGTCTGCTCGAGCGTACCATCCGATCTTTCATCAGGTGCAACTCAAGTCTCAACTAGTTTTAGAGCTGTGGAAGGAGGTGCAGACCGTCTCGAGATTTGTGGCAGTCTGGCGACTGGAGGGGGAGTAACACCCAGTTACGGCTTGGTGAAGTCAATCATCAAGACTTTTCCTACGATACCAACTATGGAAAGTCATGATATGCCTATCTTTCTTCGTTCACCAAAGTCCTATCATAGGTGATGATCCGTCCACGGGTCGGTGACTTTATTTATTCAGACGATGAGATAGAAGTGATGTTGTCGGATATACAATGCTTCAAGGAATCAGGCGTATCCGGCGTTGTGATAGGGGCTCTCACATCCAAGGCGACAGTGGATGTTGCGAAGACTCAAAGGTCGGCGTCGTTAACATACATACTTTTTGGCGAATAACCGGGGATAGGATGGTACTGGCGGCTTCACCTTTCCAAGTTACCTTTCATCGTGCATTCGACATGACAAGAGACTTGGACGAAGGTGATTTCACTTTTCTTTCGTGTGAAGCCCCTCACCGAATCCAGCCCTTGAGGCTCTTCGGGCCATTCGTGGAGTGAATCGCGTCTTAACCAGGTAAGTATGTTTACGCGTATAGATGTACTCATACGCTCTCATAGTGGAGGAGCTCCATCTGCCCCGGACGCTGTCGAAACCATTGCCCACCTCATGGGGACCACCGGCGATAGCATTTCTATTATGCCAGGCTCTGGTATCAATCAACACACTGTAGGAAACCTAGTATCATCCCTTCCTAGGGGTAGTGTGAGAGAGGTGCATCTGAGCGGTGGAGAGTGGAAACCCGGGCAAGCAATCTGGCGAAAGATTGGGATGGGTATGGGAGCACCAACGGATCACGAATGGGACATTTGGAGAACGTCTGCAAATAAAATTAGAGCAGTGAGAGATGTCTTGGACACTCTCTAAGGTTGTCAACTTAAATCAGAAAGCTTGTTCTCGACCACGATGTTCGGACGCGTAGCATTACGCGGGACACATTCATGTATCCACGGAACCAATATGAAGGTTTCGCAATGTTAGTAAAGCCCATCACCTGGTTCCATACGATGCTCAGTGCCTTTACAGCGGTTGCGCGACTACGTCCCATGTCGACAAAAAGACTGCAGGACGCAGTTAAATACCTTGAAGCGACGGATCTCATTGAAACAGGGCGGATCAGACACCCGCATCTGAATCCCGAAGCGTTTTCTGAAAGGTTGCGCGGACGAGAACCTGAGCTGGAAGCCTTTGGTGCGCCAGAAGAGAGTCGCGAAGAACTTGTATCACGCCAAACTCGGTTCAGAAGGCCTACTAAGCAATCGAAACAATGGAGTGCTGAGTCGCGGCGGCAGTGGATCGAGCAAACGCCAAAAACCGCGCCGGAGTTGCGGGATGTAGCAGCAGAGGAGGAGGCATTCCTAGCAGATGCTGCATCTTTTCATTCGCGATCCACCAGGCGTATGCGAAAGCCGGCCAAGGATATCGAAGGAGCCGAAGCAGTCGCTGAGGCTCGCCCGCGGAAATTCAGGACTCCGAGGCCAGCTCAAGTCAACGCTGGTAATCTTTCAGACCCTGTCGCTCTGGCAGCCAAAGCACAGTCGGCCAACCAAGCAGTCCAACGGAGCGGTGGACGCAGGCGGCGTCGTCGCCAAGGCGTCAACCTATTTGGTGAAAATGAAGGAAAGGACGACAAAGAAAGCTTGATGCAGGGCGAGGAAGATCTCGGAGATCTTGATCCCGACACCATTCGGATGTTCCGGCAAATGAACGCCTGGCGAAACCCTGTGGTTGCAGAGGAAGAGGGCAAGCCGGCACTCTTCCATCATGTTAAGACTGGATACGATCTTTATGCCGAAGCTCGAACGGAATTTCGCCTCAACGATCATACAACAACGGTAACGGTCAATTCGCCGACTGCACCACTGTCCAACAGCATCGGAGGGCCAGAGGGAGAGTACAAATTCTTCTTACCGGAACATATCCAAGGACTGGCTGGCCAAGATTCGTCATCCTTGCCGCCAGAGGATATTGTGAGGCTCGCGCTTGTGCAATCAGCCGACTTATCGCCCATGCACAAGGAGGCTCTCGCCGCTACGGTTCGAGAGTTCATCACAAAGACTACAACGAACAAGGCGAGGGCTTGATATTCTATTCTAGTCATAGATACATCCAAATTATCATATAGGGAAAAGATTGTTCGACATAAAAGACCATGCTCACTTCCATTGAACGAAGAAACATTTGTGAATGCCAGTCGTTCTTGGCCCCTTCAGCGACCGAGACATAGGTGAAAGAAAAATCTCTGCTCGGGCATAATAGGGCCGTTACGAGTAGTTCATTGTTATCTGTGTCAAATTTTGCGGATCTGAGCGAGTGACAAGTCTATTGATCACAGCGGTCATGAAACAAGTTGTAGAGTCCAAACAAACCACTTGCTCTCTACCTTGATATACCCCATGAAACCTCCACGCTCTTTACGTTCACAAGTACTCAATACTGATAATAATAATGGACTTGGGAGTATGATGGACCCGTCTCGGCTGCAATCCTTGCCTCCTACTTCTAACCCGTCCGAAACATCGCTCGAACTCTATCATGGAAACACTAATCGTCGAATACAAGTCATTCGAATAGGTGCTAGTGCTGTTGAAGGACGTCCCACCAGCGTAAACACAGCTGCTCCAGTACTGCCATTCAACAACCAAGTAAACACGTTCTCGACTTATATCGATCGACAGCCTACGCTTTTTACCAAGAACGCTTCAACAGGACGCAAAATGGCAGAGCTCAAGGTCGTTCTAGGCAAGGAACCATCGGGCAGGTTGCAAGCGAATGCAAAGGCACTCCCTCTGAGTCCCCAAGACTCAGAATCCGCTGTCGCATTAGAGCAGGCGAAAACACGTGCGCGGATCAAACTCGACCTTCTCTTGGAAAGTGGCGTGTGCGTTGAGGGTGGATATCTCAAAGGCAAGGTCATTGTCAACGTTCGCCCTCCTATGAACAAGGATGGCCTTACGTTTCTTGGACAAGGCAAGGTTCGGGTCGTTGGTTTCGAAGGTAGAGGCGTGCATCACAGCAAGATAATCTTATGCTAACGAACCCAAAGCGATTCCCCACAACGATCTAAGATTTACTTTCTATCACTGCGGCGCTATGCTGGACGACGTTTCGCCATTTAGCGATTCACTCTACAACTCGCCAGAGGATGCGACAGGGTTTCGCTTGGGCCGTATTGGCAGACATATCCTCCCTTTCGCCATGAGACTTCCACCGAGACATCCAGACGCACCGGTAGCAAAGGGTGTATACGAAAGTAAGTCAATCTCGCTGTCACTTTGACATGCGTTCACGTCCCAAGGTCGGACGAGTGGCAGCAGCATTCGATACATTGCCATGATTTCAATCAAAGTCAAAGACGTCGAAACGGGCCAGACATCTATCGCTCATTTCTACCGCTACCTAGAGTTATGGCCTCTACTAGATCCTCTTCGAAGTTTGGCTCCAAGTCCGACACCCATATATGCGACTACGTCCAAGAGCGTTTTTCTAGGTGGCTCGGGAACAATCAAGTTGACAGCTAGCATCCATCGCGAGACTTGGGTAGCGGGACAGAAGTGCTTCGTCAAGGTATTCATTGCAAATGACACAGAGAGGAAACGAGTTCAAAGTCTCACCTTGAGCCTGATCCGCACGGAGACCATGTTCATACCAGATCTGGACGCGGCAATCCCAGAGGGCACTCTCATACGCAGCGACTCTGACGCGTGTCGGACTTCTACAACCAAGCGAGTCATAGCAAGGTCTACCCTGGAGATGGGAGAAACTGCTATATCTCGACATGTTACCGCCGTTGGCTGGTGGACGGGGGTGCCACCCTCAAGCGCGTTGGAGTTCAATCATAGCATTCTGATTCCGGTCAGTCTATAATTGTGATAAGCTTCAGCTCTGATAGCCTGTAGCCCCTTGCTTTAACGATCCCCAGAAGTCGCTTGCTCGAGGTAGGGTTTGCACTGGACGTCCGAGTAGGCACAGGGACACTCTCTTCGGAAGTCTTTGTTATATTGCCAATTAGAGTCGTCAACTACATTTCATTGGACCCTTTACCAGCATTTGGACCACCCGAGAAGCTTGGGACCGTCTCCGACAAAACTAACGTCTCCTTTGTCGTCCAAAGACCCCCATCTCTTACTCAAATTGTTGCAAGAGAGTTGATATTTAGTCGAAGCCGTGCTCAAAGCGAACCACTACAGCCACCCACACTACCCTATGTGTCCATGCCAAATGGGACTTACCGAGGGTCAGCCGAAATGCCACGAACCGAAAAACTGCAAGTATGCAATCGAACCTCTCAAGATATGTCTCTAAGTATCAGCGGTTTCCATCCGCCAAGTATATGGATCGACAAATCTCCACATGAACAGACTCCGCATGCAATTCAGGAATCGGATGACGGACTGGTAGAACCGGAAAGGCCCCCTAGCCAATCTGACCTTCTCGCTATGCTCTTTGGGGTTACTCATACCCCAGAGGCTCCTGGAGTGTCACGTCAAGCCAACGATCGAGTCGCAGCTACATTGGTCCAGGAAACAAAGTTGCAACATGAAGCGTGTTTAAGTGAAAGTGACCAGTTCGAACGGACAGAAAGCGATGTCCCGGCCAACACCCCAACTATCTCTGAATGTCCTGTGCTATTGCCGCTTCTCGAATCATCTCCTACAAGAGACTCACACGATGCATTGGAAGAGAACTTTCTCTTCGAATGTAACGAGGAGGATATTGCAAGTAGCTTTCCATCGCGACGAGGCTCGACAGACACAATGGAGGTTCCCGTTTCTGGGCGACCTTTTTTCACTTGGTCGGACGACACCGACAATTTCTCAACCGCCTCGAAATCTCAAGGATCAAGCGCAATGACGACCCCGAACGAGTCCAAGATCGCATCAACAAGACGACCCCTACCACAAAGACCCCGCCCGCATCCTATTTTCATGGCGAGGTCATCTGGTTCACGTGCATCGGTCTTGCCTCTAGATCTCTCACCCTCAAAGAAGACTACAATTCGCGAGAGTGCGGACCTTTTCAAATCAGACCTGCTGGTAACCGAGATCAACCAAGATGTTGCATTGCAAAACATAGTGGTAAAGGCGAAGGAATCTGCAGAAATCGTCTCCTCAACCAGCATGAACGAAGTCCCCACCACTGTCTCAGCATTGATGCGTCAGGACCTCGATACCCCAATATTGCCGAGCTATCGAGAACAAGAGATAAAAGGACCTGCGGTTTTCGAACGGTCTTTTGCCACTTCTACGCGTCCAGCACGAACCCAAGAGATGAAAAGGCCGCCAGTCACCCTCTCCTCAATTAAAGCGCGCATCGCAATGTTCGAGCAACGTGCGGCTGATGAAGCTACTCGCACACCCCCATTCACTGTTCACGCACCTTCTCAGCGAACTCGAGGCAGCGTTGGAGATCCACTCAAGAGCAAGAGGCTTTGGTAACGACAAGTAAATGGCCGGCAAGGTTCCTTTTGTAATGTGGCTAGTTTAGTCTTCGGATTCGATCCATAATATAGAGTCTATTCGGACGCTGGAAAAATGCCGCGGCTGAGACACAACAAAAGGGAAGATTACTTTGACTCGAGACTAAGCAATAGCTTTTCGAGGTCAAAGTTGGGATCCTCCGGGTTTGTAATGACTATAAAAAGAATCATTGGTTGAATAGACGACAATAGTCGAAGCGTGATACTCACCACCGTCAGTCTTTTTGGGACGTTGCTGCTCCCTCCAGGCCTTTCTAGCTTCCTCTATCAACTTTTCTCGACGATGTTCCGCCTCATGCTCCTTGCGCTTATTCTCATTTGCCTGCAGTGTCCGCCGGTGCATGATTCCGTAGCCAATACCTCCAACCAGCGCAGAGTAGCGGATAACCTTGGAGAGATGTAAGAATCAGCATTATACAGTCGTAACAGGAAACCAAGCCCGCTGCTTGGAGTACTGTTGATTTCCTCGGGACAGACGACGTACGTTGACGGTGGGAGAAGGCATCGTCTAGCGTAAACGATGACTTAGAATGTTCAAATGAAGGCTGGGTGCTCGTGAGAAGGCAATGGGCTGGTCTAGCGATCCGACTAGCGTGACGAGCGTCGAGGCCGGGTCGAAAGTTTGTAACTTGGAGCTCGCGGCCGTTGACCTCGACCACCTGGCGGTGCATTCTAGGGAAAAATGAATGCAAACGACGACGATGACGACTTTCTCTACGGAGGAAATGCTCCAGAGACAGGACCTGGTGCGTACTCACACAACTATTGACCTGTTGCGCTTGTCCTCATGATTGTATTGCCTTCTTCGCCAAAAGAGTGAGTGCGCAACATCTTATATACTGCAATTGACCAAGTCTTGTCAGGCAGGAGCCAGTTAAAGAGGCTGAGCCATCCAATGCGCCCCCACCTGACAATGCCGACGAGGAAGAGGAGGATATGGAAGAAGAAGATAGCGAAGATGTGTGTATACACTGCAATACGTGAATTCCATGTCGTTTCATCTTAACGTTTGGTTTCAAGGACATTGAAATCATTACTGATGGACCAGTACCTGCACCTATCAAGCACTCGATAGACTATAGGTGTGTGACTCCTGTTAAGTGTCGATTCTACTGACACTGGAAAACAGACCACAAGCAGCCGTCAATCGGACGTCCAACTACTCAGGTTTATCTTTCGTTCATTGCTTGACGTATGCTCATTTACCACAGCCCCTCAAAGCACTTTGACCACGGAATATAAACCTTTAGAGCGTGAGACTAAGAAACTTGCTGTATCACCGGCAGTAGCCCAGCCGCCAGTGCAAGAACTTGCCACGAAGCCACAGGAGAGCACTTCAAATGAACCCCAAGTCGACCCATCGACTCTTCCAGTAGCTCGAGCCCCAGCTTCAGCGCCAAAGATTGAGTTGGACAAGGATGGCCTACTAGACGGAAGGTCGATCTACGATGTCGACATTGCCGCTCTTGAGAGCAAGGCTTGGAGGCGTCCGGGAGCTGACCTTAGTGATTGGTTCAATTATGGCTTTGACGAGATATCTTGGGAAGCGTATGCTGCTCGCCGAAAGCAGCTGGGAGATATGGCGCCAATCCTCAAGGCGAATGTTCTGGTAAGTATTTTGCGGACAATTAACTATTGTATTGACGCTATACAGACCTTGTCTGGGATGACGGAAGAACAAGTCCTCAATATGCCCAGCGACTTGCGCGGAATGGTCATGATGTCCTCCAATCTTGCCGCAAACAACATGGGAAACATGAATGCCCCGAATATGATGCCAAATCCAGGTGGCATGCATCCAGACATGATGATGAACATGGGCATGATGGGGAACATGCCGGGAGGGCCAGATATGAGCGCAGCCGGACAACAAGGCATGATGCAGCCTATGGAACCCGACATGTCTCAGTCAGGTATGATGCAAGGAATGGACTTTCAAGGGGGCAATATGAACCAAGGAATGGATTACCAGGTTTGTACCTAGCGCAGGGTGTCCTGAATTTGTAAGGTCTAATCCTCTGTAGGAATCCACTCCGGTGCAGGCGCCACCAAGTGGAGGAGGCTTTTCAATGGAAGGTGTACCCTCAGGACCATCTCGAGGAGTACCCTTCAAAGCAAGGCCACCATCAACTGCAACTCCACCTACTGCTCCTCGTGCGCGAGCTTCAACAGCTGCTCGGGGTCGCGGCCTTGGTAATTTCGCTTCAACTTCTCAAGCTTTCTTCTGACCACCGTTTATAGCTCCACCTACCGGGCCAAGAGCGGCGTCTCCACTTCCACCAAACGTACCAACAGGACCTCGAGGGCAGCACAGATACAAAGACCGCGATACGGGTGCACCAGGCTCAGAGCCACTGGACTATGGTGGGGATGGTTACTCCCGGTCGTCGGACAGAGGAAGAGGAGACGAGTTTGGACGAGATATGGATCGTTCAAGGGACGACGATAGCAAGTCTGGCAAGCGGAGGCGAGCTTCGCCGGCAGAGGACAGCGGACGATCAAAACGTCGATGAGCTTTCTGTATTTTACTTGCCAGTGCTCCCTTTTTTTGCTCTAAGAGAGAAAGGAAAATGCATTGAAAGGAGCGACGAGGTATTAGAAAAGGTATACGCTACAGTCTATCATTGCGGTCGACGGCCAATGTCCCCATGAACGTCCAACAGAATCTTGAGTGCGTTTCGGCTTCGAATGTTTGCCAAATCTTCGTCACCAGAAATTGCTCGAGTTAGCGCAGTATCGATCTTCTTGGGTTGCTCAGCCCATGGATACTAAACGGGGGATCAGTAAGTTGCGTAGAAAGTAGCAAATTCACGTACCGGGAAAGACTATATGCGAGGATGGATGGTCAGTATACGCAGTGTTCAAGAGAGGAGAACTTACGCTTTGCAATGTCTCAAATGCAAGAAGGGTGCCGGCGAATTGAGGACTGGACTCGCTTAGATTCATGGACTAAGGAAGCAAGATGGACGTACCTGGACCGGATCACTCGAGCAGGACCACCCTTGTATAGAGCCCTGAAGCCCTCTTCTCTGAAAATCTTCTTAAAGGCGTCTACAATTCCCTTGTAGTTGGTTTCGCCCTTTCTTGCTTCGACTTGCAGGCGAGTCTTGACGACATCTACAAGATAATCAGAGCTGGCGAATGATTGAGACAATACATACCGGCAGGGGTCGTAAGATACGCGGCAGGCATGCCGCTAAAGGCGGTGAGTGCGAGAAGACGTACAGCTCAGAACCTACGCGATACCAGCAGCCGCGAGGGTTTCGCCGAATGAGAGCTTTTTGTTATTGTGTCCCTCATGGAAGACGTCCTTTTTAAGATGTGCGTATGCAGTGAAATAAATCTACGGCCAATTAGCCTCGTCCCATGCTCGACGAGTAAAACTCACAGCCGAGAATGGAATGTCACTATTGTCGAATGTAAGCATGGCGATCGGGCACCTAATGTGAATCGTACCGGAGCAAACATGCCGAGGCTCCCTTGTAGAGGCCAAGGAGACCGAGCTCTTTGATGATGTGACCTGCACCTCGCTTGACACCACCAAGCTCTCCTTGAACCTGTAATCGAATCTTGCTGGGTTGCGAATCAGGGCCCCGATCTAATCTCGCGCTTGATGTACGTACACAATTTCCAAGGGATTGGTAAAGATCTTGAGAATTCTTTCAGTTACCATGTCCTATACAAGGAACAAAATACTGACCACTTGGCAGCCACCAGCAGTACCTCCGGCCACTATCTCCCATCCAAGTTTGATTCTACCTGTCTCCGGGTCGGATGTTCTCGAACGAACAAAGTCGTTGACCGTCAGCTTGATGGCCTTTTCCGGAGCTACACCCTACACAGGTTTGGTGTCTTGGTCTTATCAAAGTAAGGTTACGCACGACTAGCTGAGGCCCGAGACCTCTGTAAAAGCCCAGAAGACCTTCGTTTCGGAAGACTTTTCGTACACAGTCGAGACTGTTTTTGTACAGCAATTGACCGACGACTGTGGAGCGCTGGTTTTGCATCCTAAGATGAAAGGTGAGAACTAGGTAATACTTCCAAGTTATACTGACCTTGTCTATAAATCGCAAGATTTTAGACACATAAGTATGAGATAACTGAATTTACGATACCTTGACTGAAGGGAAATGAGCCATATGGTTTGTATATGCAATTTACGCACCTAAATCGATTGGGTACACGATGGTGGCACCGAATGCGCCAGCAATACCGCCTATTCACGGTGTATTAGCTCACGAATACGCAAAAATGCACCAGTATCTCACCGAGGCAGAAGTTGAACATTGACTCCCCGACTGTCTCCAAAATCGACTTTGCCGTTGTCGCGGGCTTCTGGATTTCCATCGGCGGCTGCCATCGAGGGTCGAGAAGCTGGGCAAAGTCAAGGAGTGCAAGCCTTTGTCGACCGTCACCCCTTCCAGCAAAGTGGAAGATAATGGAAGCTTCCATGGGGCTGAAGAGACCATATCGTGTTGCCCGTGCGCTGTAATTCAGAAAGTCATCCTGCGCTGTGGAAAGATAAGGGCCCACATTTACGCTAAAGAATACTACTTACAAATTCGACCGTCCTTGGATTTGGCCGTTGCTTCTCGAATTACACTTGACGTGTGTCAGAGAGAAAGCAGGAATTGCAACCCTCCTACCGCTCGACCATGTCCATACCTACGCGGGATCAGCGGTTGTGTTGCATCCGAGAAAGCTGCAGCTTACTCTTGATAACATTATGGAATGCGACGACCTCAGCGTATGAAATCTTGCCTCCTGGCGAGAGGGCACAAAGAGTTGGTAAACGTTCGAGAACTGAGTCTGATAATTTATGTCCTTCCAGCTCCTGAAAAAAATGTGAGCGAAAGCTGATTGGCGGGGTATGTACGCACGAGAATGATGCGTTTGAATTGGTCGGGAGTGATGAAGCCGTCCTGGTTCGAATCGAGATATTTGAATGCTTGTCGGAGGCGCTCGTCTTGCAGTCCTTTCATTAATTGCGTAAATTCGTTGTCTAAACATTGCTCGGGAATGAGCAGGCGCGATGTCACATTGATCACGTCTACTCACAGCCGAGGACGTGCGTCCCATCGCGCTTTCCCAGGTGAAGCTTGACCCAGTCGCTTGAATAATGTGATAAGCAAAAACGACCCTAGTCGGATGTCCGTCCCGTCTCACCAGTCGAAATTGAAAGGAAGAGCGTCGGCTCCCAGAGTGGCAGCGAAAACGTTCTTGAATTCATTAAGGTCGATACTTCCGGAGCCATCTCTGCAAATTCGGTGAGATTGGACGAATGCGGAAGCTCCGAGGATGATGCATACACGTCGAAAAACTTGAATGCAATAAGATAATCTGCGTCGGGGCGTTTGAGCAGAGTCTGGAAGACGACAAAGTCGTCCCAGGAGACCATTCCACGCTTTGACTGGTCAGCAACTGTGAAGAGGACGCCGTACTGGGCCTCTTCAATCTTGTGTCCGTCACCAGAGGCCGGGACAATAGCCTTGACAAATGCTTCCCGATTCAAGTATCTGGTTAAAAAACAGCCCGTGAGCATGCACCGCGAAAATGGTCTGCTGGCATAAGCGGGCGACTCACCGCTCGCCGTTGACTTCGACGGCATTCGAGTCGAAAATGCGTCTCCATCGACGTCCTTCACTCTCTGGTCCTGCTACAGTCTTCTTCACAGACGACAGAGCCGCAGTGGCCGTCGACGCCGCGTCTCCCAGCGTCGGGCCAGCCGTCAAGACGACATAGTCGTCTGCCTGGCTCTCTCCCGCATTTTTACTCATTAGAGGTATTAGTTGACACGAAAATGCCCGAAAAGTGTTGCGGCCGGCAGGTCCAAAAGTTTTACTACAGTGGCTATGGAATGCAATGGTCGGCTGAAATTGCCGATCGTGACTATTAGACGACGCCGGTGCTACTGCATGATCGTCCTGGGAAGTACAAAACTTAGACAATACATGTCCTTGTTGGGAGCAACTCGCCGCACATAGTGAAACGACGGGTTGGCGATTGACATTCCTAATGCTTCCTCCGCTCGCTACAACTGGGTCAGTAATTGCTCAGTTCCTGGCCAAGAGGGCTCACCTTTAAAATGTCCACCTCTGCATTTTCCTTCTCGAGCTCCCTTGTAAAGCAATGGCAATGAATAGTGGGCATCCCATTCGTATTGTAGAGCTCTTGATTAGTTGCCGATCTGAATGCGGGCCGGAAGGCATCCAAGAACTCTAGGGCTGTTGCTGGGAGGTTCATAACAAAGTGTTTGATAGTCCGCTGGACGGGCAGAGGGTCGGGAGGTGGTAGCTTTAGGCGAGCCTGCTTTGCCCGTTGGCTAGAAGATTGAAGGGGTAGGATATTCTCAAACGGATGATCTATTGCCTCCTGCACCGCATGCTTGATGAACGCTCGCCCATCCATGGTGGTGACTCGCACCCGATCCTCAACCTATGGCATATTGAGAGAGGTTATATATGCGGCCAAAACCGTACCTTGTTGTCAATACTATTTCGAGACAGGTATTCTGTACTCGACGGATTGAGATCATTGGCCAAAACGAGACAGTTTTTGCGAGCAGCAGGAATAGCAAACGGACCAACTCCGGCGAATACGTCTGCTATTAGATCTCCGGAACTGAATAATGAGACCAGACGCTCGTGTTCTGTGCCCAAACGCGAATTCCAATAAACCTTGGCAAAGTCGAATTTGAAGCGACAACCAGATTCGTTCTGAGAAGAATGAGGGGGAAAATAGTACATATAACGATCTTACCACTTCAACGACGGTATCCGACTCTCCAGCTATGGTTTCCATTTTGAAGAAGCGAAAGGTTGTGTCAATATTGTCCGTCTTGTTCACTACTGTCCTCAAAGCTTTGTTTTTCTAAGCATATCAGACGTGCCCAAACAAAGAAACGAGACCTACATCTAGCGTAACCTGTCCAATTAGATGTTTGTATGGTAGATATTCGTCTCGAAGATTGTAATGGGCTCAACAGTGGTCAGTCGACGTTTACTCCAGCATTTCAGCATCGCACCAAGGTGACCTGTGATAGTAAACGCAGTGGGCATATCTTCCAGCAAGTCCTCTGGCAGACTGCTTCGTAGGATCTCATCTGCGGTCTCCTTGGTCGGTATAAAAGCGGCAAGGGGCTAAAGCAGCGCACCAGCCGTCCAATAGTCATATTCTAGGTCAATCCCATGTTGCACGATATCATAATTGTTTGTTTGCGCAAGCTCGACCAGATCCTGCGGCATCGCATCTACATCTACCGTTAGGGTGTCAAACGGCATGATCATGACCCAAACCTTGGGTCGAATAGTCCAATAGAATCACTCTAAACTCATCATCTCCATTCTCCTGTAGGACGGTTTTGACTTTTGGTAGTTTGAGAAGTTGTCTGCGATATAGTCAGAAACACTCGCCGAGGATGTTGAAAGTATACCTTTTGAACTCTGATGATCTGGTAATGTCTGTTGTACGTGCAGCAGGAATCCGGAGGCCTACAACCGGGACTTTGAGACTGAAGGCGCTGCGATCAAGTTGTTCGCCAGGCTGTAGACGGTGAACTGGTGGGGACACGGAGATATTCGAAGCCATTTTTGCGAGGGTTACACAGCTGCGATTTGCAGGAAGAAGTTTTAAAAGGTGCCGACGAAGTAGCATCCAAAGAGGCCGATCCAACTTGGCCCTGTCCACGACAACATGAGCACAACTTTACCACCAAAGGAGGTGCTTGCGCATCTTGTTGACGTTCACTGTCACCCAACGGAGGAGCTAAACATATCTGATGAAGTCATGCGAGGTAATGTTCGGATGAGAGGGCAAGCTTTCGTCTCCTTTGCCAATGTCGACTTTGCTAGCACTCCCCATTCGCCTCTGCTCTATGTCGTCCAACTTTGACGATCAAGACAAGGTAGAAGATCTTTACAACGGATATCCTGACAAGGTAACCTACAAGATACCTAGAAACGCGTCTGATCTTTGCCACAGGTGATTCCCTGCTTCGGGTTCGTAACTCCCCTTTGTTGATCCGATCAGGATGATGACGCCCGTCTCTAGTTTCCATCCATGGTTCTACCACGAGATATCACTTGTGGAACCAGTCCCTTCGAAAGAGGATCATTACCGAAGCCTATTCCTGCAGCCAGGTTCCGCAAAGGAGGGCGAACTCGACAGACTCGTCCCGTTACTTCGCGAGCCGGTTGCTCTTAGCAAGGTCATACAAATTGTCAAAGAGAAGTTGCTCAAGTACCCGAACGCTATGGTCGGGGAGGTTGGATTGGACAAAAGCTTCAGGATTGCGTATAATCCCTATCCAGCACCCCCTCCGAGAAAGCTTTCCCCTTTCTCCACTCCACTGAGCCACCAGATGGTGATTCTAGAAGCACAATTACGCCTCGCGGTCGAGCTCAAGAGAAATGTGTCTCTGCATAGTGTCGGTGCTCAACAACCAACTGTCGAGCTTTTACAGCGAATGAGTCAGAATTATGGCAAGGACTGGCTCAGGATCAGTGTCGATATGCACAGCTGCGGTTTGAGCGCTGATGTGTGGAAGACGGTACAGGTCGGTGCCCTGTTTGCGCAAGGCAACAGACTCTGAACATCACGACCAGAAAGCGCATGCAAACATATTTCTTTCATTATCCACCGCGATCAACTCCCGCTCCGACAAGCACCGGCAACTCATCCGAGAGTGTGACGAGCACCGTCTGCTCGCCGAATCCGACTATCCTGAAGCCGGCATGTGTGCGAGCCAAACGTGGAGCATGGTCGAGACCATTGCTGACATCCGACAATGGCCTGTGGAGACGGAGTGGGACGAAAAAGAGCCCGATCCAGGAAACTGGGGAGTCGTCCGAAGGCTTGAGCGGAACTGGGCTCAGTTCTGCAAAGGAGATCATCCTGAGATTGTGCACAAGTCACGTCGTCTTCGCAAACAGCACGAGCACTACCCGAGTGACGAGTCGACGGAGGAGGACGAATAGGGATCCGCTGCTAGAAGGGTGTAATCCCTCTTTGTCATGGCCATTACGGCTCTAAAACACCAAGGTTGCATTCAGATACCTCGGGGGCGTTGTCGGTAAAGGGCGGAGCGGCACTGTCGGTGAATGTGTGACCGGCAAGGTCTCAAGCAGCTGTCGCAGCCCATGACCAAACGTGCAAACGCGGTTTATGAGCGCTTCGCTACCGAGGGTGTCGTCGCAAGGTCGCGGAAAATTCGACGTAAACTAGTATCGATAATGACAAAATTTTCGTTGCTCAATAATCTTTTATCTGACTTTTCTCGACGGGTGTGGACACGCAGTCCATCGGCAAAATATGAAGTCAACACCTTGAGCTCCTTCCACGCCCGAGCCTTTTTGTAGACGGCGCTGGGATACAGCGAGTAAAACCGCGGAGATGGACTCTCAACGACCGCCGCGTTCGGTCCCTCCACCGTCTGCTCAGCACCATCTCCAACAACACGGGCGGTCGCCGCTCGCGGGCCCAGGCGTGAGCTTTGCCCCAATTGAGCAAGGAGATAGATCTGCTCCTTTACCTTCTGAGCGAAGACAGCAACGATATTCGGCATCCATTGACCCCAACACGCTCAGCAACCTCGATAATGACCCCGAGGCGGTCGGTGCGCGGATGGCGCGCAAACGCTCGCTCGTCAGGCCAGACAGAGAAAGAATAGATCCTACACATCGACAGTGGCATTATAGAACCCATGCCGCCCAGCTCGAGGACCAGCCTGGCTCACGCATGGCCGTCCATCCCTCGAGTGAGTATCAGGAGTCCCTCACGACGCCATTCGACATGCTCACTCTTCATGATTTATAACTGATATACTTTAATAGCTACTGGAAATTTACCTTCACAACCCCTTCGCAGGGGCAAATCGTTGCTCGCTCGGGATCGAGACATTGCAGAATCCGGACTCGCACAGTTTAAGCGCTCCGCAACGCTACGAAGGAAAAAAGCTGCTACTGCTGCACCCTTGAATGAGCCGAAACCTGGCTTTTGGGATCGCATTGGGCCTGGCCCTAAAGATGCATGGATGATATACTGCTGGATTCTCACGTGCTGCATCCCCCCATTCCTGCTGTCTTCATGTGGTACGTAGCACTTGCCCTGTGTTTTTCTTTGGCTGTCCCCCCTTGGCCCCCCCGCTCGGCGCGGCGACTATGGCCGCTCGCCAGTGTTCCAACTATATCGCGTTCCAACCAGCGCTGCAAGTCTTTTCGAGCGCGCAATTTTTGGGCTTCTTTTTCTGATACACAGGCGTCGCCTGCGCAAGCGTCATCGACGCAGCTTCTTACATCCGCGTCATATCCGTTCCCACTGTTTCGGCGGCTGACACCGGGTCTTCCAGGCATGAAGACTCCTGAGCAACAAAGGGCATGGAGGGAAAAAATGGGACTGATTGCCATCATTTCCGTCCTCATGGCCGCTGTTGGCTTCCTCACATTCGGCTTCCAAAATGCTGTTTGCAAAGACCCACCCGCGCAGTTCAAATATCAGCAAGTCGGCAACAGCTCTGTCATTATCAACGGTCGCGCGTACGATTTCTCAAAGTTTAACCACCCGTCTGCCGGTGCCACGTTTGACGGCAAGACGAACCCGCTCAATACGTTTGGCGTGGGTGGTCAAGACATTTCCTTCATGTTCCAGAGGGTTAACGGGACTTGTGACAATATCTTTACGCCAGGCCCCCGTTCTGTCATCCCATCGAGCGGCAAGAAACTTCAATGGTATTTCCCTTGCAATGCCTTCCCGCAGACGGGTGGAGGAGCCAACGCAACTGGTTATGACTCTGCTTTCCAATGCCACACGACCACAAAGTCGAGAACAGAACTCGACAAAATTGGTGCTGCGGGTCTCGTTTCCTACGAATGGAAGGATGTCCTTCAGTCCCCGCGCAACCTCGCGGTGTTTGAATCGTACGTCTATCGCGTCTTACTTGGCGTGCTTCTTTGACACTTTTGTCCTAGCTCCATTTTGGACCTCGATCTTCTCAGGTGGCTGAACAAGGATATCGTCAGTTACCCGCCCATCCTTGACGAGATGAAGACTGCAAACGGCACATGGAACAAAAAGGACATTACAATGTCCCTTCGACGCACCAATCAGATGGACATTGGCTACTGCCTGCAGGACGTGATCCGCGTTGGATTCATCGACAGCCAGACAATTGGATGCGTAGCATCCAACGTCGTACTCTACATTTCCCTCGTTTTCATTGTCGGTGTCGTCGCGATCAAGTTTGCCATGGCCGTCATCTTTGGGTGGTTCCTGTCATGGCGACTGGGCTCATTCCATGGCGAGTCTTACAAGTCCATTCGTCGTCGAGCAGCGGAGATTGAGCAATGGACGGACGACATTTATCGCCCAGCTCCAGCAAGATATCGACCCAACGTTGCGGGTGGCAAGGGCGGCAAGACGTTTTTGCCGAGTACATCTCGCTTCTCCAAAGCCGATGCGTTGAAGAGTGGTAACCGCCCATTCTCAACCTATGGAGACAAGGGCAGACTCTCCGTCTATCCAGAACAAAAAGGGAGACCTCTTACCGCATATTCGACCATAGAGTCCAATCGTAAGAGCGTCGCCACTCAGAGCTTGTTCAGTGGCAAGAGTGGATTGGCTCCGCCAGCGGATTCCATCTTCCGTGGATCTCGTAGCTCATCCTCACTTCCGAGTGACGATAGCTCTCCGTGCCCATTCCCACTTTACAATGTCGTCCCGCAACCAGCTCCAGACTTCATGCCGTTCAACTTCCCGCTGGCTCATACAATCTGCTTGGTCACCGCCTACTCTGAATCCATCGAAGGTCTCAGAACAACCTTGGACTCCCTTGCGACGACCGATTATCCAAATAGCCACAAGCTCATCATGGTCATCGCCGATGGCATGGTCAAAGGATCTGGTAACGACAAGTATACACCAGAGATTGTATTGGGAATGATGAAGGATCTGGTCATCCCCGAAAACGAGGTCGAGCCCCACTCCTACGTCGCTATTGCCGATGGTCATAAGCGTCACAACATGGCCAAGGTCTATGCCGGCTTCTACGATTATGACGATAACACGGTCGAGAAGAAGAAGCAACAGCGAGTGCCAATGGTGCTTGTTGCCAAGGTCGGTAACCCTCTGGAACAACAAGATGCCAAACGTGGAAATCGTGGAAAGCGGGACTCCCAAATAGTCCTCATGTCTTTCTTGCAAAAGATCATGTTCGACGAACGCATGACGACGTTCGAGTACGAGTTTTTCAACGCCATCTGGAGGTGCACGGGTGTCTGTCCTGACAGATATGAACTTGTACTCTGTGTCGATGCAGATACAAAGGTGTTCCCAGACTCCTTGACGAGAATGGCGGCATGTATGGTCAATGATCCGGAAATTATGGGTCTTTGCGGAGAAACCAAGATTGCGAACAAGGCGGAGACCTGGGTCACCATGATTCAAGGTATGGTTGATGGATTGTGATTCTGTTCTCCATCTGATTCCGATATAGTGTTCGAGTACTATATCTCTCACCACATGACCAAGGCTTTCGAGTCAATGTTTGGTGGTGTGACTTGTCTGCCCGGTTGCTTCAGCATGTACCGAATCAAAGCGCCAAAGCAAGAGAGCGGATACTGGGTGCCCATCCTCGCCAACCCTGATATTGTGGAGCACTACTCGGAGAACATCGTGGACACGTTGCACAAGAAGAATCTTCTTCTCCTCGGAGAGGATCGATACCTCACGACGTTGATGTTAAAGACATTCCCCAAGCGCAAAATGATTTTCTGTCCGCAAGCTGTGTGCAAGACCATTGTCCCCGACCGCTTCAGCGTCTTGCTGTCCCAGCGTCGTCGATGGATCAACTCTACCATCCACAACCTCGCCGAGTTGCTGCTTGTCCGTGATCTTTGCGGTACCTTCTGCTTCTCAATGCAGTTCGTCGTCTTCATGGAGTTGGCCGGTACCTTGGTCCTTCCCGCTGCCATCTCGTTCACCATCTATCTTCTCGTCATCAGTGCCATTAACGGTGCATCTGCAACCAGGATTCCTCTCATTCTTCTTGCCATCATTCTCGGTCTTCCTGGTTTGCTGATCGTTGTCACCTCTCGCAAGGTGGCCTATGTCGGCTGGATGTTCGTCTACCTCCTTTCTCTCCCCATCTGGAACTTTGTCCTCCCGACTTATGCATTCTGGCACTTTGACGACTTCTCGTGGGGTCAGACACGCAAGATTTCTGGAGACAAGGGTGGTAATCATGGAGATAAGGAGGGCGAGTTTGACTCAACTCACATAGTCATGAAACGATGGGCAGAGTTTGAGAGGGACAGACGCTGGAGACTCAACCACTCGCGCGATTCATCCTACTTAGACCCATACAGATCTATTTCTCCTAGGCGGTAAGTCCCTTTACTGAATACGTTTCACATGATTCTAATCTGTTGCCGTAGACCTGAGAGCCATCGTCAATCCCTGATCTCGATGCCGGATACATACGATCCTTATGGACGACCTGGAACCTTTATGCAGTCGCAGCACTCGGATTCGCCTGACGCCTCCCCTCAGCCGTACCCACGCACACGACAGGATAGCGCACCTTTGCTGATGTTGCCGGCTCCGTTGGCGGTCTCAAACCAACAGAGCGCCTCGGTCTCCTCGTCGCTGGCCGAAACAGCCTCCATGTTCACATCACCTGGACCCGAGATGCACCCCAACTATCGCCTTCACCGTACACCAGATGACCTTCAAGCTTATGGCTCTGAGCATCACAACAGCGACAGATCGGAGCGGGAACCGATACTCGCGTCGCCCGTCGGGTCAGATTCGATGATGTCTCCGGGAGCTCGCGGAATGAACGTACTTGGCCACGATGCGGTCATGAAGAATGCCGCGGGTGTCTCCTCGTATCCTGGGGAGACCCCGAACCCGTATCGCCATTCGCAACATCATGTCGCTGCGTACGAGCAGGTGCCCAACCTCCAAGGCTATAGCGCTGAAGTCGTGGAGGAGCATGTTGTGATGCCACCCACGCGACAGCGAGGAGTCAGTTTGGTCGATCATGGGCCGGTTGCCAGCCCTGATGGACCCGTCCGACGGACACCTCGCTCGACCAAAAGATCGTCCGCCACTATGACTTCGACGTCGACTGGAGGTCATTCACGATTAAAACACCAGTCGCTGCCACTGTCGCCAGCGTCATCTACTGCGCCATACTTGCCCCCAGGTGCTGCTCCTCCTCAGCCACAACAAGGCAATGGGCGCTACTGAGAACAGTAACGGCTCAAGGACACTTGCGATTGCCATCACGATGTAACCAATACGCAACATATCCCCATTAGAACGGACACGTAGTACTCTGACTTATTTCCTCACCATCATCCATCTCTATTCGAACCTGGAGCGGCCTATATTTGCCGAACTTCTGCTGATGACAATTTCCTCCCCCCCTCTTCCCGCTCCTTCTCCGTCCCGCTCATTGCCTCTACCCTAGCACGTTGGTTTGCCTACTTATTTTCTTGCTCGAATCAGCCGTACCCAATGTCTCGGTTTGATAGACGATCTCCTGTTTGTGAACATTGCAAAACATGAGTTGTCCCCTACCGGTCCAATGAGTATACAATATGCAATCTCGACGTTTTTGTGTAGTTTCTGTGTGTCTGGGAGAGTTTTTGCACGAGTTTGCAAAAAGGGGTTGACCCTTGGGTTCAAGTCGAGGTGGTGGTTCGAACCCGCTTTTCGCAAACTTAGACTCGTTCGCTGCCCGTCGACCACCTCTGGGTCGAGATCAGCATCAATTTGCATCCAACCCGACGACTCCTTGTCTCTCCATTTCCAACGACTTCAACGTCGAGCGGCGTGCAGCAAATGTCAGTGGCGAATTCTGCTTGGAATCCTGTAAGCACTTCCAACGTCTTTTATGATCAACTATTTGACATAGCAAATCCCGATTGCATCTTATTGCCCCTCTTTGTGGAAATAGGGTGCCTTTGTGAGCGCGGATGTCAATGTTCCACCAGTCGTCGAAGGCAACCGTAAGTGTCGCCTTTTTTGCCTCTGGAAAATGTCTGTAAGCTCGGAGTGTGTACTGATGCTTGTATGTCTCAGCAGAGGGGGGTTTTGTGGTCGACCCGCATGTTGAAGGAGATTCAGACGAAGATGCCATCGCCGACGAAGACATTGATGACGTGCAGATGGCAGGCATCCTCGTTGGTTCTTCTCGTGATGGTGAAACCAAGCACACAACCCACGCCCCAGGCCCGACGGCCAACGGCATGGCGGACAGTACGTAAAGTTTTCGCAAGCATGCAACAAATTTTATTGAGTACATTACAGACGATACATCGTCAGAGCCTCTTCCGGTCGGCCCGGTGGTCGATCAGGCCCAACAGAGTGAGGCTCGCGCCAAGTTGAGAAAACGCAGCAAATCGTCAAAGACAGTAATTGAGTACGAGTCGGAAGAAGACGATGGGTTGGAAAGAAATATCCCCGACTACGTTGATTCAACTTCTGGAGAAGACGAGCTCGATTCAGACGGAGACGCGAAGGCGACGGCGGCCAAAAAGACGAAAGAGTCGGGGAAGAAGGCAATCAAGACTGTTAAGGACCTTCCTATATACGCCCAGCATGCCTATGTTGCGTCCACATACGGGCTCCCCAAGTTACCTGTTCCAATGGTCTTGTTGCCTGGTCTACGCTCACGAAAGCCACCGCCGATCCCAGTCCCCGACCTGACAAAGCGCAGCCGGGGGAGACATGTTGTCGCTGGAGAAGACGATGGTCGCAAATACCATTGTACTGTGGCTGGATGCGACAAGTGAGTAATTAGCTCGGATTTTGCAGTCATTTGACAATTGTTACAGACGCTTCGCCCGAGGAGAACATCTAAAGCGACATATTAGAAGTATTCACACCCACGAGAAACGTATGGCGTCTTCTTCGTATCTGAACGCATATTCATCGATCGCTAGCCCACCAATGCCCCTACCCTGGATGCCTCCGTGGCTTTAGCCGCACTGACAATATGATGCAGCATATGCGTACTCACGACGATTGGCCCGACGATGAGACGGCGGCAAAGATAATTGCAGAGACAGAGAAGAAGGCAGGCAAGAAGGCTGCTGCTGCTGCATCAGCCGCTCAGAAGGCAGAACAAGAGCCGCGGCCAGTGATTCCAGCCATGGCTGCTGTGCCATGGCAGGTGCCACATATGTTCATCAACTGGGCTCGTCCCAATGGGACACCGATGATCCCCGTGATTCCCGCACCCGGGCCCCCAAACCAGCCATCTGATCCAAAGGATGATGCAGACACGATGGATGCAGAGGCCGACGAAGACGTACAGCTTCAATCCCCGATCAGTACAGCAGCCACGGGAGACTCTGGCTTGGCAGAGTTTACGAAACTATTTCCCTCGACGAATAACGGCATAGGAACTCCTTCTGCCGAACAAGCGACGATTGCACCAGGCATGGTGATGATGTCTCCCATGTCACCAGGAGCCGGTCCGTCTACTGCTGGAGGAAAGCGCCACAGAAGCACACGTTCAGCTGCAAAAGCTGCTTCTAAGGCCATTACCGAGAGTTCCACCACGGGCGACGACACGCCTCCAGCTGCCTCACCAACATCCCCCACGACGTCAACGGCGGGCACCAGTACCGGTTCAACCATGTCTTTGCCGATCGGTTTACCTGTGAATCTGGGTGCTGGTTCAAGTACGTCAACCGCAGGAGGTGCGTCCCAGCCACCCATGGGATGGGCGATGCCAGCCGGGATCCAGTATCCATTCATGCCATCTCTCCCACCTGGGACGCCATTCCCACCCCCGGCGATTGCCATCCCTATTCCTCCGGGAGCCCAGCTGCCACATCCAACGCAACTCCCGCCAAACGCCCAACTCATCCCCGACCCAAAAGGAGGGCACACGGTGATCATTCCTCCACCTCCTCTACCCTGGGGTATGCCCTTTCCCCCTGGTATGTTGCCCATGTCCGGTCCACAAAGCCCCGTCATCCCAAAAGCCAATTCAAAGACGATGCAATAAGACTTGCCTTACCGATTTTGTACCCTGCTTTCGAAGAGCCATCTGATAACGAGCGTGATTTACATTTTCTTCTTTTCTTTTTGGGTAGTCTTTCAATATCATCCGCGAGTATGTACAGTAGGGGCGACTGTGAACAGAATCGTAGACACGCATCAATTACACGTGACAGCACCGATAAATAGTGTGCGCGTGATTGCGACGTTCGTACCAATGGGCGACGCAGTGGTATGCAGAATACAGAGAGGAGCAAAACCCCAAGAAACGGTCCAGGGAAGCGTGACTTTGTAGAGAGGGTGACCATCGAGTCGATTCTATGACGGCGTAAAGGACACCATTGTAACTGGGCAGCCACCGAGGTCCAAGAAAAAAGAGGGCGTGCTTCATCCAGCCGGGAAAAGGGGTGAAGGGTATTCAGAAGCCAGCGTTCTGTGACTTCAGTGTATATGCGATGTATGCAGAAAGGGTTTGATTCTATAGATGGAGAGTGTCGAAGTGCTAAGAGACGGTGTGGCTAGCTTGCAAGAGAAGCAGGTCGTAACGTGGGTGCGCGGAAAAGAGTGTCTATCGCTTGGCCATTATGAGGGAGAGATCTCCTTGCGCCTTGTTGCACCGTTCCGCGATGCGAAGTGCACCGTCCAATGCACGCTGGACAAGCGGTCGAGAGGGAGCCGTCAGAGGGGTGCTGTTGAGCAAATCTACCAAACCGATTCAGCAATCAATTTAACAGAAATAGAACTAGAGTCGATTACCTTTGTACAACATCACATAGCGAGTAACGCGTTGTGGTGGAGCAATCGCAATATCGGCCGCCGTCGTCGCACGGGCCCGTCCATTGGCAAGGCTCGACTTCTTACTGTCAGTGGGGCTCGGGCCCGGTGTGAGATTGAGCGAGTTGGAGCCGTTGGGGCTCATGCCGACGTTTCCGCCATCCTGTGCCGCTGCCGCCGGAGTGCTTGTCATTGACGAATGTGACGAACTGTTGGCCGGCAAGCTGGCACGACGTTTGGAGGACTTGCCCGGCATACTCTTAGATCTCGGAAACGATTTCCCACCACCACCATTCGTCGGATCACCCTGCCAAGCACTGACCGGCATTCGCTGATCCTTGTCCTCACCGCCCACCTTTTCGGTGCTCCTGTTGGAAAATATCCGACCAAATTCACTCGCATTGACTATGCTGGTCCGGCTCTTGGATAGGGGGCTCTTGGGGCTTGTGGTTCCGGTTGGAGTCTTGGTTCCCGAGGTCACAGTCGTTGTCGCCTGTTTGCACGCGAGCACGATCTGACCAACGACTGTACAGTAGTCCACCAATACAGATTCTAGGACGGTCTCGACCGTCACAAATGCGGCGCTGACACCCCAAGCACTTGGATCTTCATTCAGTCGCATGCAAAACGCCTGTGATGCCGAGAGAAGTAGGGGTAGATGCTTCATCAGCAATGACGGTGGCTTAGCTTCGCTCAACGCGGCGTCACCCATGAATCGTAAGAGTTGATTGAGATATGTGCGCTCGGTCCTAGCGATCATATGAATCAGTATGACGAGTCGTATGGCAAAAAATGGAATCGGGATCTCACAGGATAATCTCTCGCGAGCTCAGTAGTGCCTTTCGCGCAAGCGTCCAGCCCTCGTCAGGCATACTCGGATCTTTGCTGGGCTCTCCAAGACTTCGGAGTCGCTCCAACTCGGCCTTGAGCACCTCGTCGTCAATATCTTCCGACGCCACGTCCAACGTCCATCTTCGACGGGAAGCTCTTCGTTCCAACGACGGTCGCTGAGGCATCGGAGGACGAACTGGCTTGCTGGTCGGTATAGGCGGTGGCGGGATTCCCAGATCAACCAGGGTCAAGGGTTTTGCAGAAGGCAGGACAGTTGTCATCGAAGTCAGCGATGGTGGTAGAGGTGGAACCGGTGGTACGGTCGAGGGCGGTTGGTCGCTCGCCACAGAAACCGGTTGGGGGTTTTGCCCTGGCCCCAGAGCAGGAGGTGCGGAATGGGGAACAACCGATGTTGGTGAATCGGTGTTGAGATTCATGTCGATATGCATTGGATATCGGATACCTCCTGGAATGACAAGCGCCTCCATCGGGTTCGGTACATCGACACTTTTGGGCGTTTCGACCTCGATGGTCGTCGGTAAATTGCTCCTACTCCTCTGACTCGGCTTCCTCTTTGTTAATCGTCTCCTTAGCTGAGGCTTGCTGTCGGTAGCGACTGTCGGTGAAGAGGATGTGCCTGGGGTGGCATTGGTAGAGAGCAGCGAAGTGGCTGATGCGTCTGGACTGAGCGTGAATTTCGGAGGTTCCTTGAGCCGGAAGGAAGATGGAGACCTGGAATGCGTGGCGTCTGCAAGTGTAGATCTCCTTCTCAATCGAGATGGTCCCTCGCGATCCGCAGGCGTCGCGAGGACGAGTCCAGGGACCCCCGTATCCGCAGACTTGGACGCACGGTGGCGCGGTGCTGTCGGTATCGAGCTCGAGGACGACGGGATATCAGATGTTGATCTATTCTCATTGGAACGCCCAAAGGTGAGAGCACGTTTGAGACCATTAAAACGTTTCCTCGGTTGGATGGGAATGTTTTCCTGATCTTCTGGATCCATTGCCGCATTCTCGTCTGCAAACGCGACAGAGTTGCGAGGGAAAAACTCTTGACTAGGGTCCGGAGAATCGAGGTTAAAGGGTGGGAGATGGTCGAGGGAGCTCATCGAGGCGTCTGGGCTCAATGGCGCAAACGTAACCGACCCGTGACCAATCTCCGAGACAGATCGTCGCACGGGTAGGTCTGCGAGCGGTGGGGAAGAGGATGTATAGGCAGCGTGGTCCAAGGATTGTCGGGACCGCCCACTTTCGTGTCCTATGATCGTACGGGCAGAGGACAACTCGTAAGGATTAACGGGGAGTGGATGCATCCACCCGGGCGTTGGGGGACGAAGTTCGTGTTGCGTTCTTATATGAGGAACGAGGAACACGCCGCCAGCATTTGGCGATATATTGGACGTGGACTGCGTCCGTCTGTCCAATATGGTGCCTAGAGGGATTGTTGTTTTACTGCGCGACGCTCTCGAATTGCTCGCATTTGGGTCGCCGCTGATAGGAGAAAGCGTGCGACCTTGAGATTGCCCTGAAACATTGACCTTGTCGTCGGGTGCCACATTTTTGCTCTGTGGAGTAGATTTTGACCATTTGACGGCTTTTACAAACCCTCGAAAGTGGACGGCCCATGAGGAAGGCGCTGGTGGCGAACGTTGCTTAGCATTAGCGCCCGTTGGGGACGTACTCTGCTGTGATTTCGAGGTCCCTGGAGTATTTTGGTGTTTTGGAGGTGAGCGGGAGAGTCTCCGGGGCGCAGGAGGATTTGAGAGGGCCAAGAGGGGGAATGGGAGCTGTTGCTCTGGTGGATTTGGGAGCTGAGCGCCTGGAGGGAGATGAATAAACGAGTCTGATGTTTGTTCTCCTGCTGATGAGCCAGATTCTGGACAGGATGAGGTACCCTCTGGGATCCAGGGCTTTGGGCCTGGCCTGCCTGGCCGCTGGATGGCCTGGATGGTAGCCACCTGTGCAGATGGAGGCATTCCAGATGCCTTTTGATATAAAACAGCGGCCTAGACTCGCAGAGACACGGGCGGGAAGAACGTGGTCGGAGCTCAAGAGCTATAAGGGCTATCAATGTCGTCAGCGACGGCGCACCAGCCGTCTGGGCCTTGTTTCAGCATTTATCGCGTGTATAATCATGTATAATGCCACTGTGGACAAATATTACTGCAGTGAACCTGAACACTCAACGGCTCCGAAGATGGCTGGCTCAGTGATCAGCAAATCAACGGAAATGAAGTAACAAAAGCGGGCCGTGGAGCTATGTGCTGTCGCCCTCTCCAAGGCCCAACAGGGTTCTCATGACGAATAGGTAGGCTCAGACTCCAACAAGCATACTTTCACAAAGAATCAATCCAAAACAGCTCATATTGTGCTTGGGTTATTACAACAAGCTATCAAGATCATCCCGGTGAGCCGAGGGATAATTGTCATATTGTCACTGGCCAAATGGTAAAAGCAGAAGGATATTAGGCATACGACATGTTCAGCAGCTCTTCTAGCCTGTTACATGTATCGTCGACGTGCATTCTGCACGGTAAGGGTCAGTGCTTGTCCCTCCCATTTGACATCCATCAAGTTGAACAAGTCAGAGTCACTAAGAGACGACTCAATGTTGTCCCGCCCACCAATAACCTGGACAGAAATGGTGGAAATCTGAGCACTGAATTCCTTCGGCGACAATACAGGTGGGAAGCACCGTGCTTGGATGGTAGGAAGAAGCGTATGCGTTTTGCCATCGAAAGCAACAATCTCCAGTGATTCCAACATCGGAAACGGGACCTTTGATAGGCCATACGACGTCCAATCATAAAGCAGAGTAAGCGCATCTGATGAGACGACCAGATTGGTGATTCTGGGAAGATGCTCCATAAGTTGTAGAAGCCTCCTGTCGTCACTTTTACCCAGATTAATTCTTCTGAGTTTGGGTAAACGAGCGAGAAGCCCGATAAAGGCCTCGTCGGAGGCCCAGTTTGGAGTATCGAGGTCGTTCAGCGCTGGGGAGTGCAAATAATCCAACCAGCGGCAATCTGTAGACAATCTGTCCTCTAGTTTCAGCTTTTGGAGCCTTGAGTGGGCCAACATCTGCTCTGTGTTCCACTCGAGGATAGATTGAGTACAGCAAAGGACAGTGATCTCCTGAAATTCTTCTAGAATTAGATCCAGAGGAATATCGTTGATGTTAGAGAGATGAATCTCTTTGAGGGCTCGTCCTTGGACAAACCTCTCCGAGCTCACCACGATTTCCGTATCTTCACATTTCACCACTTTGGCATCGAAGTGATGCAGTAGCGTACTCAAGTTGAGCACAAACTGCGAGATACCGTCACCACTTCCTAACACTTTTAGCTCATCGCAGCAACAGGCCAAGTTGTCATAGTGTGTGTCCAGAAGTCTCTCAAGATTGGGTTCGGAGCAGACGTTTATCACGATAGACTTGACGTGTTTCAGACCATGTAGGTCGTAGCTTTTTAAATCGTAAAAAGACTCTCGAACCGAGCTCTCGTAAATGAGTTCCTCGGGGGAGTAAACACTCCAAAGGGCTGGATTATGTTCCATCAGCTTGCGGGGGATCTCGCTGTCGCTGATGATAATCTGAACCGGAGTATTCTGCGTGTAGATGGAAATGGTCTCCCAGAACCCTTTTTTACGTGCACAATGAACAGCTCCTGGACTAAGCACAATAGTCTCCCAGATAGCGGGTGAGTTAATGGCTAATATTCGCCAATACCGACAGACGTGGGTGAGCTGGAGCGCAAAGTATGGTGCATAGTTGATATTGACAGAATTTGCATTCATGATTTGCCCATAATACTGGCTTGCCTCGAGGAGGATGTCATGTAGCACTTCACTGGGAAGCTTGTTGATGAAGCACAGGGGTGTAGAGATCTGAAGCCGGGTTTGGTGTATCTCCGTCAGCCTCGTACGCAGGCCAGAGCTTTGTCCCTGAAGGAAGTCCCCGAGTACTGTCAAGGATTCCTGAAAGGCTGCATTCTGCCCCTCAAGCTTATATAGCTTTTGGTCTTTGTCCTGTTCATTCGTTTGGGGGGCGGCAAACTGTGCTTTCAACGCCTCCAAGATTGCCATGTTGGTATCGATGAGGTCACAGAGAGCCTTTCGCCGAGTTTCATAATTTATCAGAGATGGCATCGCGTATGAAACCAGCTTCTAATTATTCTGCTTGGGTTTGGTTGGTATTGCCGGGTCGATTGGCGTCGAGATTGAGCTAACAGAGTTGACCCGGACCACCCACAATGTCAGCCAGATCTCCGGTTACCTGCCACAGTGCGCCCACCGCATTATATTCCGCTCAGATTTCTCAATCAAATTCTAGTATTGGACACGCAGTTTGGCAAGCCAGCTGCAAACGTCGCTGTCACGCTCTTCAGACTCGAAGGCGGTGGATCGTCGTTTAATTCACTCGCAGAAAGGTAAATATGCTTTCTAAAGTAATAAAATTTCATTTTCTGATTTATATTCAGCGTCACGGATGCAGATGGACGATGCACAACCCTGCTCCCCCCTCAAACCCTCATGGCCGGCACATACAAAATGCATTTCGCCACAAAGTCGTATTTTGAGAGCACTGGTAGAGAGACCTTCTTCCCCTTTGTCGAGGTACTGTCGCTTCATCGTTGCAAACCCTCTTATTGATCGACCTTCAGATTGTGTTCGATCTCAAAAATCCAGATCAACATTATCATATCCCTCTGCTCCTCAGCGCATTCTCCTATACAACCTATCGGGGTAGTTAATCGTTCCATCTTGAAATACAACCAACTATAAATCTGGTAGCTCTCTCTGGATAAGTCTTGACCACGTTGTCTCCCGCCACCATTCTTCTGAAGCCTCTATATGTTCCCAAAGCGTCTCTTCATCGAGCCCAAATACCTCGTAGCGAGCGCCCTGATCAACAATCTCTAGATCTTTCCCTCCCGTGGCGGCCACCCTACGCGCCACTTGAACCGCGGCCTTGCTCTCACCACGAAGTACTTGTAGCAATTCTTCCCTGTCTGGGAACAATAACCGTGACTCAAGCACGCCGACAATGGCAAGCGCCGCACGAAACAGGAACGAATCGTCATCCTCGAGCAAAATGGCGTCCCACAGCCGTGCGCATGCTTCAAATGGTAGGTGGTCCAGAAACATGGTCAGCAACCAGTCTGTGAGATATTCCGAGGGTGAGATATGGTGCTGCTTGAAATTAAAGTAGACTGTCCAAGTTAGCGAGGATGTACGAGATTAAGAAGACATACCTTTTGGTAAGCTGTCCGCAAGGAGAGTGTCAAAGATGCGGTAGTATGCCTCGACCTGGCCAAGTCAGCGAAGTCAATCCAAAGTATGAGACACCTACATCGTCTTGAGCATTTGGTCCACCGTATAAGGATCGTAAACAGTGTCTATCCATGAGGTTTCGCATCGCCAGAAACGTATTGGGTAGTGGGATATTAAGGAGGAGCATTGCGCCTATTCTCGCAGCACCCATCGTCTTGCAGAGACTGCGTCAGAATCAGACGACTCGAAAAGTGGTTGCAAAGCACAACACAAGTAATCGTAGACTCACATATCCTAACCCGTCGTCTGACCTTGCCACCATCCATGCGAGCATCAAATCTCGCAAGTCTTCTCGCATGACACCAGTCTCTCGATGGAACAGATGCAAGGTAGGCAGCGTGGAGTCCATGTCCTTTTCGATACTCTCGAGGGCGTTTGTGGGGAAGGTTCCACGGAGGATAGCTCGCTGTGCTCGGGCGGAACAGGACCTATACATATCTAAATATGTGTATCAGCCTAAGTGTCCAAGTATTAATCCACAAGGCTCACCCTTGCTCATTTGCAACGGATTTCCAATGGCTTTTCCCACTAGAAACACGATGAGGATCAGTCTGCCAACAAAGAGATGCAGCCAAGACTGACAAGATCGCCACGTAGCTTGGGCGGGATACCTCTCCACCATATTCGACGTAGATTCAGGTCACGCCGGACCTTGCGAAAGTTTGGCATAATCTCATTCTGCCATATCGGCATCGACTCTTCTATCATTCTCTCGCGGGCCTGCCGCTTGCGAGCAAGTTCTTGCTTTCGCTTTTCTTCTGCCAGCCTACTCTGTTTCATCATTTCCTCCCATGACTTGAGATGTTTAATATCTTCCTCTTTGGGCTTGGGAGGAAGGTGGACCGGTCGTGTTTTACTGAGTACTTGCTGTAACGTAGTCCTCCCTGATTTTTTGGACCGTTTGAACTGTTGCTGAAACGACGGGGCGGATGCCGCATGCGCTTCGACCGGCTGCAGGCTATTTCTATTCGATGCCGATCCATCGTTTGTCCCATCGGTCGGATTTTGTATGGAAAGAGGCTTTGGTGACATTCTCGACGATGTCGAGATGGGGGTCTGCAGTGATTGAGGCGTAGTGTTGCCGTCCTCTTCCAATGAGATATCTTCAAAAGATTGTACGGGCACCTCTACTTCTTCGACTCCTTCCTCTGGCAGTGATTCTGTCGTTCTACTCGAACGTTCATCAGTTCCATTGATGGTAGATGAGAACGATGTGGACGTCGCTGGTGCAGATTGGGCCGCATATCGAAAGTCGACCGCAAACGGCGAGACAGGCAAGCTTCTCCGTCCCCCTTGATCTCCGTCTTCGTCTATATCTTGCTCGTTCTCGGCTGATCCTGTCGTCTCTGCGCTACGACGGACCGCGTATTGAGGGTTCCAGGGAACCGTCACGACCTGCTGATGTCTCTCTCTCTCCTCTTGTTCTTCAGCTTCCCGTTGTAGCTCTGCTTCAGCAGCAGCGTTCTCCTCTGCGAGCTTTTGACGCAAGTCTGGAATAGCGCCATGGAGATCAAAGTCGGTTGCGCTGGCGCCGGCAGCAATGTCGTCGTCAGAATCGAACGCATTATCGAGTTCCGAGTGGATATTCGACCTGTCTATGCGGGCCGCTACTGCTAATTTAGGATTGTCAACGTCTGAGCCAGACATTGCAGGGTTCAAGTTCTTGCGCTGAGGTGGCATCGGCGTTCATTGGCTAATCCCTGACCTGAAGGATTTCCTAGGTGTAGGATATTGGAACTGGATCATGAATTGTAACTCCGCCTGAAATTCGAGACAATGAGAATGCAGGAAGCGCAGACTTTTCGCTTGGGTTCAGTTTGGAACATTCTAATAGACGCTCGAATATCCTCTTGCCCAGTTCCGGAGCCATATGGTCCAACCATGTCTTCCTGCCGCCACCCACTTGGACTCTTCCAACCACCTTGTCCAGGTATAAAACTCCCTCCACGACAGTTTCTTCAATCTCAAAGCTTGGAATTTGACCACATCAGCATACCTGGATTGCCACTTTAAGCACAATGGCAGTCGCCACTTTGCCAGTGATTGATCTCGACATCTTTCGCGAGAATCCGACTAGCGTCGCTGCTCGTAGCGAATGTCTCAAGGTTTGCCATTTCACTGTTCACGTTGTGCTCTTCGTTTTGACCGCCTCTTCCCTCAGGCCGCAGACGCCTTGATAACGTGAGTGGACTCTGAGCGTTCCACTTCTCAGCCGCCAACGCCCTACACTACAATAGGTACGGTGCTCTCGTAGTCAAAGATTCTCGAGTCACCGAGGACGATAACAACAACTTCTTGGACATCCTCGAGGACTACTTTGCGCTGCCCACCGAAGAGCTCAAGAAGGACGAACGAAAAGAATACGGCTATCAGGTCGGTGTTACACTCGAGAATACGGAGAAGCCCAAGTGCAAGGTGGGAGTTACCGGAAAAGTTATCCAGCATCCTGACATCTGACGCTTGACTAGTCGGACGAAAACTGCCTCAGGATTATCGAGAGGCTTGCACCGACGGAACGCCCCCTTGACATCTTGGCTCATGGTGCAGACCCGAAATGCCGCTTCTTTTGGAAGATGACCGAAGACCCGCCGTACAAGACGGCATTCCCTTCTCTCAACATGCCGAATGTCGTCCCTGAGCGCTTCCAGGACGTCTGGGCCTCCACTTTGAACAAGTGGGGACAGTCTATGAAGGATGCGTAAGGGTCTATTTTTCTGCGTTATACCTACTGAAATGAATGTAGTGTGGAAGGAGTGGCACAGATGAGTGCTATCGGTCTTGGGCTTGACGCAGGGACCTTTAAAGATGCTGGTCGTTATGGGTATGCGCCGGTCATCCCATGAATCGTATTCTAACAGGCTTTAGGCCTCATCTTCTTGCTCCAACTGCCTCCGACCTGAATAAGTATGGGGCAAAAGATACTATTTTGGCTGGCTTTCACTCGGATCTCAACTTTCTGTAAGACGTCATGTACTACGATGGCGTGACTGACTTAAGAACAGGACCATCCATGGTCGCTCTCGCTATCCTGGATTGCATATCTGGGCTCGTAACACTGGTCAACGTATCCCTGTCTCCATCCCTCCTGGACGGAATCTCCTTGTCCAAGCTGGAAAGCAATTTGAGCACATCACTGGAGGTATGATTCAACATCGTTGGTTATGTTACACTGATGCTTACATCAAATCTAGGCCTCATCAAGGCTGGATTACACGAAGTCGTTGTTAATTCTAAGACAATCGAAGTAATTGAGAAAAGAAAGGTAGAGAACCCCGACCGGCCTCTCATTCGCATCTCGAGCACTTTCTTCTGGCACCTCAGCTCCGACGTGGATCTAGAGCCGATTCCCGAACTCAAGGAGCGTGCAGAGACTCTCAGAACACTCAATGGAGAAGATAAGGAGGAGTATCCCAAGATGAAGGTTGGGGAACAAGTTCAGAAGTAGGTCCTCCCTCGTTGCCTTAGTATTCTGACCAGCTTCAGCGAGCTCCGCCATATTGCACTCATGGCCTGAAATGTTTAATCTGAAGGATTTGATGAACTTGTCATTGTATTTCTTCTGCTACCCCGATCTGAGCTGCGAGCATTGCAAGACTGGCCGCTATCTCTCGTTCATCCATGAAATGATGGTTGCTATTGAACCCATCTCGAGCTTGGAGCTTCTTTTCTAGTTCCTTTTCTTGGGTTTGTCAGTTGTTGGCACACTCTGTCAGAACAAGGAGGCCTTACCCACGGTTGATATATTGTCAGCTGGACCAAAATATTCCAGTTCCAATGGATTTGAAAGATCAAGAGCCATGTTCCCATCTAGCTCCTGTAATGCCTTCATTGCCGTCTCCTCTGAATAATATGCAATGACAGCCGCTTTGCACTCCTGTCCATCTGGTCGATTGTATAGGTTCTTAAGAATCCTGATCTGCTATCGGTTGAACCTCTCGTCGTAGTTGAATCGCCGGCCTACATTTGCAACTAGCCCTGGTGCGTCAAACAACTGCAGGGGTCTGAGAGGTGATCTTTTGACAGGTTTTGTGCCTACTCTGGTCAATTCAGACACATTTACACTGCTTGGAAGGTTTTCTACTCGAAATTTGAGCACGATGCCGGGGTTATCTTGAGTTTACTGAACTGGCTGCGATGTAACTTTGAGTAATTCCATCATTTAGCAAAACTCCTTGTTGCTCGCTGAGAATTGGCATTTCTTGAGAGACGAGGGTGAGTCCAACCTTGATCCCAGCCCCAGTGGCATTTCCGGACGCGAGCCATTAAACGAAGATGGTTGTCGCAGAAATTCTTCTGGTTCTTGCGGGACATTCCTCGTCCCTGTTTACCTCGACAGGAGAAATCGCGCCAGCCTGGATTGACTTGCTACATCCTGGAGAAATCGCGTCGCTTCAAAGTCTTTCGCAGATTGCACGGCGGTATAACCATATAAAACATGCGAGACGTACACTTTGTCCAAACAACTCGGGCCAAGTTTCCAAATTTCTCTCCGCCCTCTTATCGACACTCAACGACATTCTCAAGCACGATTATGAGGACTTGGTTGTTCAAACGGAAGCAAAGGTCGTCAAACGGGATGACGCCTTTGTTGCCAGTGGATCATACGTGCCCCTCGCGAGCATTCGTGCAACCTTTGCCGAATTTGACGCCCCATTCGCTGCGATACAAGCGCTTTTGGATCGCTTATCAAAGTCAGCAGACGGGACACCGCCCTTACGCGGCGAGCCGCCAAATTGGCCTGCGGGCAAGCTGATCGACATTCTTCTCGATCGCGCAGAGTCGGGTGTTGGACAGGTTGCCTCCATCATGTCGCGTCTTGCGGTTGCCGTGCAGCGAGTTTGGCGAATTCGAACTCACGGCATTCCTTGTTCACGGCACTCTCTCACCAACGGACCCATTAGCAGACGAGAAGCAGTCGTATGCTCTCTACCCTGATGCCATACCTAGCTGTGTCTCTTTTCAGACTCGCGAATCTATCACCTATGTTGGCAAGGCCCTCGTCACTGTAAGAATCGCAGCCACCACCCACTCTGCAAAGCACGAGCAACAGCTACCCCGACAGCTAATGACTGCACACACAAAGTTGCTGGAAGGCGCTTTGCCTCAGGATCGATATGCTTTCGATAGCGCCATTGCGACCATACGGACCAATGTGAGCGAGTGGCTCTGGTCCAACGTGCTTACCCGGCCAATGGTAAACGAGGCACTGGACTCGCTTGCCCATTACTTTCTTCTTCGTAATGGTGAATTTGGACTCTCGTTGATAAGAGAGATAGAACGATTAAAGGTCTCTCGGCTCACTGCACGACATAGCTCGCGCTCAGCAGGAGTCATACGTGAACAAGACTTGCAATTGGCACTACTGCGTGCAAGTCTTGGGACATCGGCACAGCATGACCCGACGCTGACCAGGCTGCGAATGACACTTCCATCGGGTCCATTACGTCCCTTACTCCCTTCTTTATCAAATCCAAACATATCTGCCATCAAACCGTCACAAGTGAGCTTTGCCGATGTGCTCCTCGGTACTCCACTGGTACTCATTTACACATTGGAATGGCCACTCGACCTTTTCCTCCAACCTTCAGATCTACAAATATATGCAGATCTGTTTGCGTATCTCTCCTCGTTGAGAAAAGTACACACAAAGGTTCTTGAATGCTGGGGATGGCTATCCAACTCTCAACGAGCTCGTCGAAAATGGACTGGCCTTGGAGAAGGTGGAACAGAAGCTGATGAAGAGGGTAGAAGAGTACTATTACGATGCGGGTGGGGTGTCGTCCGTGATATGCTTTGGTTCTTGGACACACTCCTTGCGTACATCATGATGGACGTGGTGGACGTCGAGTTTCGAGAACTCAAAGAGCGGCTACATCTTTCTACGATATCAGGGAATGAAGGCCAAGCGAGGACGCGCAGAAACAGTGGCGACACAGGAGCCAAGGCGGGCTCGAAGTCGAACCCACCCTTGGCCAACTCGCAATCACTGCGCCAGCCCAAGCGCAAAGCAGTAGAAGGAACAGAAACCCCGAATCCTCCTGATTTGGACTTTACCACGCTCCGCGAGGTACATAATCGCTTTCTCGAGCGTGTCGTGTCGGCCTCCCTCCTCGCAAATGCGTCATGTGCGACGACCATTCGGACAATCCTGGAAGTCTGTGAGCGCTTCGTCGCCCAAGTAGAGCGTTGGGATAGCGATGTGCTCCCCGGCCTACTGGACGAAGGCAGCGTCTCGTTTGCGGGCGGTGACGACAACGTCGGGGGCCTAGTAAGGGAGAGATGGAGAGTTGTCCACGATGTCAACGAGGTATGCATTGTTTGACGTTGATTGGGGTTCATTTTGATCTCCTCCAGGCATTGGTATCTCTGTTCGAGACCTTCTACGAGCAACTCACGGCTGCATCGACGACTCAGGTTCAGGCTAATATGACGGCGGAGATGACGCTGAACAATATATCGTCCATGATACATCCTTCCATGTTTCTCGCCGCCGACCGCAAGAAGCGCGAGCGTGAGGGAGATGTTCGTCGGCATATAGAACGTCTTCTACTCCGATTGGACTTTAATGGCGCACTGTCTAAATGGAAAGCAGACATCGAAGCGGCCTTTGAAGGTGGCATTCTCAAGGGAGCTGGCCTCTAGCACTCGTCTATGAAATCTGGATATTAAAAACATGTACTTTGAACTTACAAACACTTTCTGGGATCTTTGATGGTTGGTGTGGGTGGTAGGCATTCAGAGCGACTTGGACTCTACCTATTGATTGCCCCATGAGCGTTGCAAGAATACTACTCCTCGGACTTATCGCAGGCGTAGTCAGAGGACATGGTGGACATGATCAAGCTCCAGATGACAAGGAATGGGACGCGAAGAGCTACGCGGAGCAGCATGTCAGTGTTCTCGAGCCTCACTGAAACAACTTGAGAAATGCTGATACTCATCAATAATGCAGATGCATCGAGAACATCACATGTAAGTTATGGTTCATAGCAACTGGCTCGGTTGGGACGGCGCTCCATTCTTGCATGGTTTCGAGGGCTGACACAGACTTGATTTCTAGCGACTCTTTCGACTTAGCTAGCTTTTTCAAGCTTCATGATCTCAATGGGGATGGCTATTGGGACAAAGCAGAAATTGAAGCAGTCTATGGTGTGCACCACGAATACTCCAAGGCCAAAACCCCAGACGAACAGGAGCAACAGGCAAAGGCGGACAAGATTGTCGATGCTGTGCTGAAGCGGATGGATACCAATGGTAATGGGCTGATAGACAAGGCAGAGTTTGAAGCTGCCGGCTGGGAAGGGCTGCCGTCGTTCAAAAGCTTGGGGGCCGATGGGCATCATTACGACGTCGAGAGTGGTATGTAGCGCTGTAAATTGCGATGAAGTTCACATGATAACGCTCATTCTAGAATTCTTCCTGCATCACGAGGAGGTGTTCCATTCAACACCGGAGACACAAACAGAGTGAGCTTTCACTCATCAGTGTTTACTTTGTATGCTCACCGGGTTCCAGTGATGCATATGTTCACCCAGAAGATATTGAACACTTCGAACAGCACGAGAAGATTGAACTCGAAGAAGAGAACAAGGAACGTGCCTATCAAGGCCTACCACCATTCAAGAATCTGAGAGAAGCAGAAGCAGCACGAGAAAAGGAGATTGCGGACGCCAAAGCCGAAGCTTCGAGAGTCCCGGGCCGCTTTGCGCGTCAACAGCCCCCTGAGAGACAAGATCCAAAGATCAAGTTCAAGGACGCAGGCGCTGAAGCGGAGAATAAACCAGAGTGGGGAGAAGGGGATGAAGCGTACATGCGACCGAAAACACCTGCTGAAAAGCTAAGGAAGAATGTCCCATACAAGGTCTGTTCGCTCGTGCTCCTTGGAGTCAAACCTGACATTTCGCAGTACAAGTTTAGGCGAAACTGGGGCGATTTCTAGCGCTTTCCGACGGAGGTTGTTTATATCTTATGTTACATCGTGCTCTGCATCCACCTATATTGAGCAAATGCCCCGAAGTCTTCAGACCTATGTAGTGCTCTCGAGCTCCTCGACACCGCCTTGAAACATCTCTGTCATCAGACCCTTTTCCACGGCGTCCCAGTCTACGGCACCCATACCATAGATTGCCTCGTAAGACGACATGCTGATCTGCGAGAAGAATGGGAGTAGATCCTTAATGCTCCCTATTTGCTTGACGAATCCGAGGAAAGGTCGACGTAGAGTTGTCGGAGCTGAGAACTCCGCTTCGACGGCGTATGTACTCATTTGCACCTTGGGTTTGCCATCCATTGTCTGCAAGAAGGATAAATACGTTGGTTCAATGATATCATATCTACCTTCCTTAGTTTCATGTAAATCGGTCACCATTTCTGCAAGCTGGTCCAACAGCGATTCGGGGGTCCAATCCTCAGGTCGATAAACGGCATCGATGGTGTCTGTCACGAACATCCATTGTTGACTGTCAGGGTATATCAGTATTTGGCCGTAAATTCAACGTGGCTCACATTTGAAATTCCTGCGTCTGCAACACAAGGAGAAGGTCCAAGAATTTGCAGGCAGATAGCAGAAGGCCAAGTTCATCCGATCCATCCGCAGGGATCTCTGTAAAGACATGTTCGATTACGCGGAACTGGAAGCTCTGAGTTACGTCTAGATTGAAAGGGAACCTGCTTACAAGCTCTGTTAGAATTGTAGGCCAGAAGCTCGCGAGGTTCTGAGCGGACAGTCGACAGAGTAGAACTCGCATGCACAGATATACCTGAGGAGTTCAGCATGACACCTTGAATCAATACGAGGGCTCACCTCGGACTGAACAATCGGGGCAGCGCCGCTCTTCAAAACATCCACTAGTTTCTCCTGTATGCTGGGAAGTTGGGTCAAGAATTTGTTTTGCCCGCCCGCCAGTACCACGAGGGAAAGTCTCCGTAGGTTCAAAGACTTGATCAGTATCTCATATTCACGGTTTGTGAAGATGTTAGCGGATGGTGCACTCGCAATCTTGCCTTAAGGAAACGTCAGCAGATTGAATGTTGGCTATATTGGAGAACTCACTGAGAAGGTCTGAAAATACCGTCTTGTCGCTGTCCATGAGAGCGGAGACAATGGGTCGCCACTTCATCGCGGTATCCAAAGTGCAATTGAAGAAGCGTGTGTCGTTGAATGCCTCTTGGACGGGGCCTCGCCATGCTCGCGTCGCTGCTTGCACTTTGGACATCTCTTTGATCATCTCCAAAATCACATCGTCGACATCCAAGGTCGACCTACATTGTCATTATAACGGAAAAATTGGATACTGTTACTCACCCAGAGCGTGATTTCATGGCCGGAGCGACGATATAGTAGACCAGGTTCGTGCTAATCGTTGCGATTCGGTCCGTGTCAGCCAAGAAACGACGGAAGTTAGATATTCCTTTTACGACTAGAAAGTCGTTGATCTTGTCCACAAGTTCGGGACCCCAGGTTGCCTTGGTGGTCTCTTCGGACATAGGGGTGGAGATTCGTTTCTCGGGAAGCGCGGTATCCGAATGGGCTGAAGAGCGACTTAGCTCAGGAAAGTATTGCCGATCGGCTTACCTCTAGGTATTGGAGTCAATCTTCCATTTACTTCCTTATTGACGCCTGGAATCTTGATCCAATTACCTTGCTCGAAGGAGCCACCTGCAATTAGAATACAGGTATCCACCAATTTGCCGTAGGTTTCCTTCACCATCAGTATATCCCAAGCGACATGAGTATATATCGACCTGTAGGTCCTTTCGGATCTTTTTATCATCGATAGCACTCGTTTGTGTCACAATCTCGGAAATGGTTGTAAGACACCTGACGAAGAGTGAGTTGATATCAAATGGGGAAGTGAGAGAGGCAACCGTAATGTCGGTAAAATTTGCATTTTATACGTATAGACGTTTGCGGCAATTTCTTTTGCCAGAGATACAAACCGGTTCCATACTTGAGTGGCAATCGGTCCCTCCAAGCGACCGAGGTAGTCTTCTAGGAAGAGGAAAAGGACGTAATCGGTGCTGAATTTGATGAGTTGTAATCTGAACCATTGTAACGTACGTACACATTTGGGTTGACAGCCATCCTTCTGACTCGTTCTGACGCTGGTGTAGTTCGCATCGAGATACTTTCGCACAACATATGCACTGCGTTCTGCGCACTGGATGTAAGCAGATCAACCAGTTCAAATGCGGCGTTTCCGTTGCTTTCTCGCAGCTAACGAGGCTGTTAGGCACCCCTTGATTCCCAATACGAGGACATACGCGGGTGTCTTCGAGCCAGCATTCTACCAAAGTTTCCATCACTTCCGAAGATTGTGCACGGAAGAGTCTCTCCAATGCACGCCGACAACGTAGCTTCGCTCGACTGTAGATCAGAGTCACCGAATCTTCCTTTGGGCCTGTGCCCAGATTTGGTGTCCAGTCTGACGCCACCCAGATGGAGTACAGAGTTTTAACAGAGTCGTGAAGGCAACGATATGCAGGGGAGCGAGCCTAGATAGTGAATCAATGATGGGCTTGATGAACCCCAGTAAAGCTCACCGAGAGACTGTCGGCCGGAATGGTTTGCGCCCCATCCGCACTGAAAACGTTTGTCATTAGACCTAGGAGACCAGACGATTCCTTGTCCACTGCCGACATTGGCATCGTTTCATCAAATGCGTCGGTGGATGGCATGTCTCCCTTAGAAAGGCCCTGAAGGATCAGCCTTTCGAGTGCGTGAATTAGCATCACAAACTCTGCATCGGTCATAATTTGACCGGCAGGGTTTTCACTCTGGCTGGATGCTACGGCGTCCAATAGGAGCAATGCTTCGTCGAGCTGACGACAAATACATTCGCTGAGGGGGTATGATAGATGCTGGAGAGACTGGCTGAATTGTGGGATTGTGGTGAGAATGAAGTCGAGCCAATGTTGCAGAATTGGCCGATTAGTTCGTGTCGATATCCCGTCGGTCAAGGTCTGGGACAGAAGCGGATTCAGAGTCGAAGTAGGAAGCTTCTTCGCTGCTGTTTCGTCTAGCACATGCGAGCCAGAAGAGGTGGATAAGTCTAAAGCGGCGACTGCAAGGGTCGCATCTGCTTTCGACTTCCCCTGTCGGGCGCCTGGGATTGTCGAGGATGCCAGTATAACGGAGTGGAGAATATGAAGAAGTTTAGGCTGCAAGTCCAATCTGCCGTTATGGATGCACGCATAAGCTTTTGCGACGACGATTCCTTCAATGTGCTCGAGTGTGCTAATGTCCATGTCGCCCCGTGCTATCACTGTTTGCAGCAAATCGATACTCAGCGATTGGATACGAGAATTTGCCGGTCCAATCATTGCCATGAGGGACGGCTGAGGCTCTGATTGCAGCAATCGAAGCAATATCGATATAAGGGCGTCCATGTAAGAATCATCGCCTCGGAGAATGCCAACTGCAACAGAAGTTAGAAGAGGCGAGGCTCAATCATAGTTTACTTACGAGCGAAAGCCCGTTTGTATACATCAACGAAGCCAGCCTTCTTCATGGATGTACTTCGAGCCACCTTGGTAAGACCTTGGCCACCAAACTTCAAAGTTGAAACCAAAGTGTCGAGCAGGTAGACGACGCGTGATGAATCGAAAGGCTTCTCGTAATTGAACTGCTTGACTTCTCTCCCTTCGAGTGTGATCGTCGTCGGCGTTCTCTTGACCGTCGGATCCATAAGTTCATATAGGACCGGGTCGAGAATGCGCATATAGGATTTGAGACTACAACGCATCCATGTCTCCCCTAGTCGTCGAAGTGCCGGGTCGTCCGACTTCATGGTATCCAGAACGTTGAACAAAGGAACTCGGAATTTGAACCCCGGAAATTGTGGATCATCTATCAGAGATCAGGGAATTGACATGGATCCGTAAAACGCCCACCGCTCAGTCTCCAAAGCACCCCAAACGCCTCATACGCATCATATGTAGGCAGGCCATTGCGCACTGTAAGGGACTCCGCGATCAGAGCCTCTACATGTCTGGAAGATGTGCAGGCTTCGAGATCCCATATAAGTTTGACGGCCCTAACATGATACTGCACATATTGTGGCCGGAGATACCGCAGAAGCTGATGGCCGTTTAACCCATGCTAACAAATAAGGTGACTTATACGTACAATGTTCATGATCCTCCCAACTTGTCCTCGCGTATCAATGCTGATCTTCGGCTGAATGATCGCACCTTTGCTCAGATCAATGAGAAGACTGATGACGTTGACGACTGCCTCGAAAGAGTTGGTCTAGGCGAACAGTTAGTTTGAAACGAAGGTAACCGTGCTCCATACCAGATTCACGTATTCTAAGACTGCATCTCGCCAAACATCGGGACTCCAAGTGATTGTGACTTGAATCTTCTGCTTTGCAGAAACTCGCTCGATAAGATCCTTTACCAGTCTCGTGGATCTCACAACAGCCTTCAATGCCTTAGTATTGACTTCTTCACCCTCCATAGTTACGCAAGCAAGGATGAAAGCGAAAAGATCCTCAGCAGCCGTGGCCATTGGGTATGGCTTCCTTGGTGTCGAAAGTGCCGGCAGCTCTCTGCAAGGCTTGATACCGTAAAAACCTGTCGCTAGTATGTAGGGCCTCCTTGGGTCCGTGCTTGGTTCGCCGAGAGGGTGCACAAGTGCCGTCGGAGATATAAAGGAGAGCATATCGCTCAACAGCAAGAGGAGCTCCTCCGTGGCGGATTCAGACACAAAGAGTTGTTGTTCCGATGCGATGGTCTGTAAGAGTCTTAATAGCTTGTATGCACGGTCCACCACACCCACCGAGGTTAACTCTAACAAGGCGGTGAAGCAGATCGGCAAGTGGATCTTTTGCATCTCCTCATCATTTTTGAACGTAGTCATGACAAAGCGAACAAGCTTGATTGGCTAGATGTATATTAGCAACAAACCAGATAGGGGGGGGGAGCTATGTAAATACCTTTGGGACCAGAAGCTTATCCTTCCCATATATTTCGCCTTGGACGGCCGAAAAAAGATGCTTCCACACCACTCTTGGCTCGGCAGCTTCGTAGAGAGAGCTGGCGGCCAAGTGAATCTAGCTCAGATTAGTGATTGGACTTCCAAAGGACTCTTATAACATACATCCTCGAAATCTGTTGGTCTGTCACTCAAAATCCTCTTGATAGAGTCAAGCGTATAGAGGATGAGTGCGTCGGTGAGCTGCGAGCCAATCTCCCATTTGTCCAACAGTGAAAGGAAAACCTTGAGGGGTCGAGCATCCGGAACAGGACTTGGTGCATCAAGATCTTTCTGTAACAGATAACACATCAGTGGTCACACATTCTTCCCTTGTAAATGAATCACCTTGAGCGTCGCGCACAACAGGCCCATTGCCCACTCCTTGAGGTAGTCGATTTGCTTTTGTGCACCTCCTTCTTCTGGACCCATTAGCCACGCATACAGCCTTCTATTCAACGCGGAATCACGCCTAAGAACGACACCTGTGGCGGCACTCATGAGGATGATACGGTCGTTTATTTGGGCTTTATGCATAACTGGTCCATTTAGTGGAAGCGACGCGAGGAGGAGGTCAAGTGTCGACCGCCGGACGAGTAGATTATCGTCTTCAAGGGTGGCAGAGAGCGCACGGATCAGGAGACCTACATCTCCTCCAATGATCGCGGCAATATCTAATGATCCCGATCAGGTAAACGACTGACTTTAGATGGCACGCCTACCTTCATCACCTGTTAGTTTGGGTAGCCGGCGCGCGAGATAGTGGAGAGCAGGAGCACGGGCAGTCTTTGACGTGAGCATGCATAACCAGAGGTTCTGAAGGAAGAATGACTGAGTCACAGTTGCGGACAAACGGTCGAGTATTTGAAGAACCTATACTGACATCAGATATAAGGGAAATGCGTATCAATTTGACGTACTCGGTCAAAAAACTCTCCATTTTCTTCTTCAAGACCAGGAAGGAGGGCGAGGATAAATGCCTTGGCGACCGGACGAAGTGATTGTTGAATTGCCAAATAGTGCGTGTCGTAGAGATCCAATAGGGTTGGCTGATACGAGTTAGTATTGTATGGCATGATAGAAAGAGTGTCTCACCTTTACTGCAGTCGCCGCATACTCGAAGAAGGGGAATAGACCGCTAGACCAGAGATGCAAGTCACGCTTTAGACCTTCTGTCTGTCTAGTCTCAGCGTATCATGCGCGCAGAATCATTTGTCAAAACGCACTCCTAGTACCAAAAGGATATGCGCATAGACATCGAGGGCGCGCTGATGGACACCAGTGGGTAGAGCTGGGTTCAAGCATTGTGCCAATCGTTTGGACACAATGAGTTTACGCGGAATTTCCTTGAATTGCATGTAGCCTTGAAGGGTCTTCGTGGTCTCAGCGAAAGACAGATATAATAAAAGGACACGCACCTTCAGTAGTTTGCCTAGGAATGCAATGAAATCTGGCCATTCGTGTACACTCTCAAACGTAGCTAGACACCGCTCGACCTGTTGAGTGTATTTACGGAATTTTGGATCAGCCGCTATAGCTGGTGGCGGATCTATGTTCGATGAAGTATGCGAATAGATATTTTGAGTTTAGAAGAATTGATTCATTAAGAAGAGTCGGTAAGGACCCAATGTTCCATGGACATCGTCACATAGAGGGAAGGAGTAGAGAATAAGCAAGTTGATCGAAAGTTTACTTGAATCTACGTACTCATCCGCTGGGAGATCCATGGCGTGGCAGAACCTCCGAGCGCCGAAGTATCGCGGCTCATTGTCGACGTCGAGATCTACAAACCTCCGCAATATGAGTTCAAAGGGTCTCAACTGTGTGCTGCTCTTTGATTAGGCGTTATTTAAGGACAAGAAACGCGCCCAGCGAGAGACCAGGTGTGGGTGGCGGCCAAGTTTGCAGCTTTGATATCTACCACGCTCACCACAAAGTCAACGTCTGGTTTTACTTTCCAAGAGGAACTCATATTACGCGATTTTCTCAAGCAAAATGTCGCAAAGTCTTCCAGACGACACCCTGCGCAAGGTTTGTCCAGAGGCTGAGAGGCCACACTCAATCAATCGATTTGACGTTTGATATCATCTTTACGAATGTAACCTGGACATTTCAAAACCCGTCTAATCCATCTACCACTCACCTCGTGTTCCAACGCCTGGATCAACATTTGCTTGTTCCAACATTACGCTACAGATATTGCATCAGATACAGCAACAAGCCGTCAATGCCAACCGGAACCTCTCGCTCACAAAGGCTCAGCTCTCCGCTAAGGAACGAGAGCGGCGAATGGTTCAGTTGACAATCAAGGAGATTTCCGAACTGAATTCGGCGGATGGGAAGGAAGTGAAGATGTATAGAGGTGTCGGGAAAATGCACGTTGACTTTCGCACTCGCTCTGTTCCTAATTGACGGCTGCAGGTTCATCCAAGTGCCAAAGGCAGATATGGAAGGAAGACTGAACAATCAAGAAAAGGAGCTGTCAGATGAAGTCGATGGTCTGACTAAAAAGGTCAGTTGCAGTTCCAAGGGAGGAACGAGGACTCATTCGCTTGGTAGAGCAAATATCTCGAGAAGGAGTTCAATGAAGCTCAGGGACAGCTACGGGATATTGTACGTCTGATTGGTCTCTAGGTCGCGTGACTGACAGGAACTGCCGACAGTTTCAAAGCAGTACCCGACGATAGGATTCATATCGGTGCACCTCCACCTTGCAATAAACTGCATTTGTATACAAAGCTACACTCGATTTAATCATTCCTATTGTGGCTATCACCACGCGAAGGCTACGCGGGGCAGATATCTACAACGCACACGAGCTGCGACTGGACTCAATAGCGCCAGGGCCGAGCGGGTCTCCGAAATCCGCAGCAGGACAAAATCGGTAACCCGCAGATAGCTGGTGTTGAACGTCGACACCGTTGTTGACGACTCCAGCGAGCTCAAACAAGTCGAGGCAAGTGAGGCGAAGAGGGAGAACTGATCTACAGACTGATTAGAAACTGACAATTTGGCCTATCTTTACGGCCTCGAATCCCAGTCGTCTTATCTGGTGTGTGATTGGCCGAGATAACGAACGGGGCCATCCGACTAGTGGGCCACTGCTTTGTTCGACTTGGGCTATATAGCGGCTCCCGCGACTCGCCTCTATCCCCAAGCTTCTTCCTCTCCTCTTTGCAGAAACTAGACCGGGATCCTTTTCTGCTCGCAGTTGCCGGCATGGACTTTGCTACAAGGTCGAACGATGCCATCGCTCGCTCAGTGGTCGGGCGATGGTTCAAACTAGACGGCTCAGGCGTCAAAGGTGAACGCAAAGGTTCCAGATTCTGGACGGAGGTTCGAGCCGGTATCACTACCTTCTCGGCCATGGTCTACATTATCAGGTAAGCATCTGTCGAGTATTCCCAGCGGCGATCACTCTGTGAAGCCTCGGAACAGCTAATATGAGTCTCTTTGGACTTTTTATCGCGTTTATGTGCATTTTGTTGCATATTTTTGGCCTCCCATAGCGAAGCACGCGGTCCGGCTATGCTTTCAGTCGGTCTCGTAGTGGCAGCCGAACGAGTGCGCTCCAGAGCATCTACGCGTCGATTATCGCGTTTCTCATTCTCCTGAATAATATGACATGTTTTGACGGGCGTGTCCACAGTGTGAATGCCATCATTCTGTCCCAATCTGGCGGCAACTGCGTTTGCAATGGTGGAGCGGATGACCCGATTTGCCTTAGTAAGTTGATTTTTGCCTACCAACACAATTTTATTTACCATATCCCAAAGCCAACACTGAGTATGCACTCTGCAAGGACGAGGTCCGCCGCGACCTCATTACCGCGACTGCTGGTGTTTCCGCCATGTCCTCTTTCTTGATGGGCCTCTTTGCCAACTTGCCGGTCACATTGGCCCCCGGTATGGGTCTGAATGCTTACTTTGCCTTCTCGGTCGTCGGCTTCAACGGAACAGGCAGCATTCCTTACAGCAAGGCTCTCGCTGCTGTGTTCCTCGAAGGATGGCTTTTCGTAATCTTGTACGTGCGGACGGTCTCTATTCCACGAGTTGCTAACTTCGCCCGTTCTAGGACCCTCCTCGGAATCCGTCAATGGCTCGCTCGTACCATCCCTCGCTCGCTCACCCTTGCGACTGGAGCTGGGATTGGTCTTTTTATCGCTTTCATTGGTCTCCTCCCTGCTGGAGGTATTGGCGTCATTGGTGGCGATTATGCCAATATGGTTGGATTGGGTGGTTGCAAGGACCAATGTACGTGCTAGAGTTCGAGATTGTCGGCCTTTTTGCTGATCTATCGGTGTAGATCAGGATCCTGAACACCCATACTACTGTCTCTCGCATGTCCTCCAGCGTCCAACCATCTGGATTGGCATCTTCCTTGGTGGATTCCTCACCGTACTCCTGATGATATACCGCATTCGTGGTGCGATTCTGTGCGGTATCATCCTCGTCAGCATCATCTCCTGGCCTCGATCGACTTCCGTTACCTACTTCCCTCATACTCCTGCCGGAGACGCCAACTTTGACTTCTTCAAGAAAGTTGTCACCTTCCGGCCAATCCAGCGCACGCTCAACGCCATTGACTATGAGTACTCGGACGGCAAGATTTGGCTCGCCCTGATTACGTTCCTCTATGTCGATATCATGGACACCACGGGTACTCTGTATTCCATGGCTCGGTTCGCCGGTGTCATGAATGAGCGCACTGCCGACTTCGAGAACAGCACCATCGCTTACTGTATCGATGCTTTCTCCATCTCCATTGGTGCCCTTTTCGGTACTTCGCCTGTTACTGCATTCATTGAGAGCGCAACCGGTATCTCTGAAGGTGGTAAGACGGGTCTCACCGCCATTACCTCTGGATTGTGCTTCTTCATCTCCATTTTCTTCGCCCCCATCTTTGCCTCCATTCCAGCGTGGGCGACCGGAGGTGCACTCGTCATTTCTGGCTCGTTGATGATCCGGAACGTCGTTGATATCAACTGGAGCTACCTCGGCGATGCAGTGCCGGCATTCCTCACCCTTATAATCATCCCCTTCAGCTTTAACATCGCCTACGGTCTTATCGCGGGCATCTGCGCCATGGTCATCCTCAAGGGCGTCCCATGGGTGATCAGCAAGGCCACCGGCGGACGTATTCAACCACCAAATTACGAGGCTCGTGAGGATTGGGGTTTCCCTAGTGGTGGACTCGCACCACAGTGGGCGTACGTGTCCTAACAACACAGCTTTCGTTGTACTGACGGTCATTACAGTAAAAAGCTAGCCAAGGGCGACAGGCGCTTCTGGGTTCCAGACGAGGACGAAATTGCTCTCCCCCATCACAATAAAGAGACCGGGTCACCTCGCTCTGGTTCCCTCGACGAGAAGCACGAAGGTTCGGAGAAGGCTCCCCCTCATCTCGTTCACGAGGCTCCTCCGGAGACGGAAGGACCCAACAAGCCAGTTACATCCCCGGTCTAATTACTCAAGTGGACGCAGTTCGGATCAGCGTAGAGAGGGTCGGTCATCTGTCACAGTCTCTTCGCCGGAAAGTTATGGTGACGGAAAATAGATAGACTTCTCGGTGTAATCTTTGTATGTCCAATCTGTTCGATTTCAAGTCTTTACTTCCTAGAAATTGATTGTGATGCTTTCATTTGAGTGGCCATTTGTATTCAATTGCTCGTCCAGATCCCGAAGCATCTTTCAACGAAAACACTGGAATCAGAGTATGCCAAACTCATTTGCCCCGCTACTTTTATAAAAAGGAGGCTCGCTGTTTACTATGAGTCTCCAGTCGTAGCGCTTGGAATCAGCGCCAGTGGTCTCAATGTGTTTTGGAATCCCTGCAACGCCCTTTGTTAACGTGTTTTTCACCCTGTTCGGCGCTTTGATACTCCAGCTACACCTGGAGTGTGGGGTCCTGAATTGAATTGAGGTAGGCGCGGCTGCACCAAACGTCGCGTGGCACTCGACTGAGTAGTTTCAAGGGTTACACCTCATAGCTTTTTGTCACCAGCTGCCTCGTGTACTCCGGGCCATAAACACCCAGTCTCCAGGGTTCGGCTGGGACCCCCTCTTTTGTCCTCTCCACCCTCGTCCGCGCTAAGAGTTTTGGTAACCATAGGTTTTCATTTTCTGACAGGCATCTAACATCTTCTAGAGGAACACTCATGTCGCTTCTGCATCTTCGTCCAGGAAAACCAGTACCAATCAACGTTCCAGGTGAGTGCTCTGAGATGTCACCAAGTAAAATTTACATGTCAAGGGTCAAAGTTTGAAAATAGACTGAGAGAGGCTGGATGGGCAGACGGTCAACCGATTCCTCCATTCATTCTCGAGAAGAACATAGAGGGACGCGTGACGGAGGCATACATATACAAGGAGCAAAGCTTCTTTGGGCATGAATACATTCTTCTCAATGTTGACGGCGAATCATGGATTCGAATTGACTGGATGGGATCCATCAAGCAACGAATCTTTGAAGGCAATCTCTTCTGGACCATGGCACCCAACCCATTCCAACTCATTTACGGCAAGGACAAGCGCGTCAAGGGTGACACCCCCCGCCAGTTCGCCACAATCTCAAAGCTAGCGCAGGCTGCTCTGTCGTTGCAGAGTGTTGGGCCATACGACCCTGTTACATGGAACTGCATCGACTTTGCAAGATGGCTATTCAAAAATATGGTCGATGGGGTGCCCATCACACTCCCTGGGTGTCTGTCCCTCGCGGGCAACGAAGGGCCCAAGACAGATATCCGGCAAGTTGTCAATGAAGTCAAGTTGACGCTGGAATCTACTGCCCATTTCCCTTTGGGTGTCATGCTCACCACGGGGATCCCTGTGATAGGAGCAAGATTGACCCAACGAGCGATGAGGACTGCCGTCGAATATGACCACCAGAGGACCCCAGATAAGAAGGAGATACAAGCGGCGGAAGCGACGGAGGAGAAGCATTGATTCACATTTTCGTTTGCAGTATACCTTTAGCCTGTCGAGCATTTTGAGGGTTCTCGTGGTCACAAATTCGTGACTCATGTACAGTCCCCTTTCATTATATAATTACACTTGTCTTATAACTATACGATGTACTTCATACCAACGATGGCCTCGATGCGCCAACCTTCGATTCTGCCCTCACCACACTATCGACTTCATAACATCCCAAATAATGCCAAATGAAGATCAGACTCCTTTTACACCCTTCTGCTTCTAGGAGCTTGAAACTGATCCAGCCAACGCCAGAAATGCTCGGATCCCATCGCTTCGTTTGCTACGGCTCGGCAGATAGGAGCCACACGGTACAATGATAATGAACACTTATCGGCCGCATGCGAGGGGTGCGAACTGGAACCATCTGGGCGTTGCTTCTCGATGCAGCCTCGTCCACATGGGCTCTTAGGAGTAGCATCTTTCACGCCGAAAGCTCCAAACGTACTTTCAATGACCCTCGAAGCAGTAATAGCGGCAATTTTCGACGACTTACCAGGCCACAACCGTAGATGCGCGACCGGCTCGCCGGCGTGGGCGACGCGCAGCGTAACGAGGACAAACGTTTGTCGAGGAAAACCCATCCGGAGATGAACATTTCCGTGGAAGAAATGCCAAAGGGACTCAATGTTGGGGCTTCGACCCATGCGAAGCATGAGCGACTGGCCTTGTGCACCAATCATCAACGTTCCTATCCCACCTGTGCGCAGAAGCACATCCGACACCTTATATTCTCCAGCTACAAACGATGAGAATCTCTCTCGTCTTTCCCCTCGCACGCCCCTCCTTCCTTTGCTCCTGCACGGCATCGATCATGCAGCTCTCCAGGTCGTTTGCTCTACTTGCAATTTACACCACCCTCGCTCTTGCCAAGGTTGACTCGCTCGTTTCTGAGCGTGCGCTCCAGAAGCGCTTTGTTGATGCCAACGGCAATTATAACGTCACGATTGTACACACCAACGACGTTCATGCACACCTTGATCAGTGAGTTTTACACTTTCCTGCGAATAGGTGTTTATACTTTCTAGGTGGAGAGCCGGTCGTGGTACGGATTGTACCCCAGGCAGTGAATGTATCTCCGGATATGCACGTATCAAGCAAAAGGTCTCGGAGCTTCGCCAGAGTATCCAAGACCCGATCTTCCTTAATGCCGGCGACGAATTTCAAGGGACACTATTCTTCACCTATTACGGTGGTGAAAAGATCTCATATGCGATCAATGAAGTCGGATATGATGTGTTTACTCTGGGAAATGTAAGTCCTTGCTTGCATATACGCTCGTCCTGACTGTCTGCAGCACGAATTCGACCGAGGACAAGGCGAGGTGGGTACATAAAAGACTAGGCATCCTGTTACTGAATCATCTTATAGCTTGCTGCGTTCCTGAAGAACCTTACGTTCCCTGTCGTGTGCGCTAATTTCAAAACCAACGACACGGCAATGAACGCGCTCAACATCCAGCCTTATACGATCATCGAGAAACACCAGCTTGGTATCATCGGGGTAATCACGCCTGACACCAAGGGTTTGTCCACATCGTTTGCGAAGATTGTACCTGACCGCTTTTGATAGGTACTAGCAGTGGCGCAGGTCCTGGCACTGAGTTTTCGGATCCAGTTCAGGCTGTTCAAAAGGCGGTCGATGAGCTTCAGGCGAAGAATATTACCCGCATCATTGCATTGACGCATATTGGCTACGACAAGGATATCGAGCTCGCCCAAAAGACAAAGGGTGTCGATTTGGTGCGTGTTGATGCTTGTAGTATGGCCCGTGTGTTAAGACGTCATAGATTGTCGGTGGTCATTCGCACACCCTGCTTGGCAACTTTACCAACGCAATGGGATCGTATCCCACGACTGCAAAGAACTTGGACGGCGAAGAAGTGTTTATTGTCACGAGCTATCGCTGGGGCGAGATTCTCGGCAAGATGAATATTGCGTTTGACGCGTCTGGCAAGATTGTATCGTACGAAGGAGAGCCGCTGAGGCTCACAAACACAACACAACAAGACCCCAAGTTGCAGGCCGAAGTCAACGAGTGGAGACAGCCATTTGATGCAATGGCACAAGTCGTCGTGGGCACCAGCAGCGTCGTGCTTGACCAGAGCATTTGCCAGTTTTCGGAATGTGGGTACGGATTCTGTCGACGGACTGGAACTAATAGTTGCACAGGTACACTGGGCAATGTTATTACCGATGCTATGTATGAGTACAGAAAAAATGCGGGTGGCAATGTCGACTTTGCCCTCATCAACTCGGGTGGTATACGAGCGTCCATCTCGGAGGGAACTGTCACCCAAGGCGACGTATGTGTTAGCATTTCGATCAGGGTTTCAACTCACCCTTTTTTTGGTTTTGGCTAGATCCTCACGTCGTTTCCTTTTATGAATGGCGTGGTCGACCTGACCTGGACGGGCAAGCAGCTGCTGGATATCTTTGAGGGCGTGGTGTCCAAATATTCAACACTGAGTCACCATGCAACGACAAGCTTTATCCAAGTGTCGAAACAAGTGAAGTTCTCGTGGAACCCCAACAATGTCAACCAGACGCGGCTGATCACACTCGAGATTGGTGGTCAGCAAGTCGACGTGAATAAAAACTACACCATGGTGAGTTGTATAACCGGGTCGAGGGCGCTTTTTGAGTTTTGTAGGTGACGCTCGACTTTTTGGCGAGCAACGGCGACTACTTGTGGGGTACACGAACTGATTTTGCAGCACTCGAGTACGTATCTGCATATCTAGTTGGATGGTGTATGCTAATTAGCTGGCTAGTACGCTCGACGTTGTACTCGCGAGCTATTTCAAGGCCCACTCGCCCGTGGGAGCGTCGATCGAGGGTCGTATTACGAATAGCACGTCGACCACCCAACAATTGCCGGGCAAGGGGAGCTCTGGCGGGAGCGGGGGGGCGAGTGCCCTGATTGTTTCTGGCCTGAGTGCGGGAATGATGCTGCTAGCGGGGATGATGCTTGTATAAGATTTTTCAATTATTGTGGTATTTGATTTGTGCACGACGAATAAGCTTGCGAGGATATGCGATCGAGGGACCGTTTGGGACACACGGCACAGGGATTTTGAACTTGATGGCATCCGTCCAGCTGATAGCTCCGCGTCCAGTCCGCATCGGAGGAGGAGCTGTCCATCTCCCATTCTTTCTGCGGAATGCACTTGCCGTACGCTCGCCTGGCTCGCCCTGTATGGCCGTGAGACCGAGTCCGTTGCTCGTAGAACCGCCGTCTGCGGGGCCTCTGGCGCCCACAACAAGTTCCCTGGCGTCCCAGGAGTCCAATGTGGGCATCGACGAGCTCACCGCGCGCATGTCGCTCGTCGATGAGCCTCCGCGCCGGGCGAGCGCGCCCAGTCCCCTCTTGGGCCGCGAATGGCGAGCGGGGAGCCCGTCGTGGACATTCGACACGCCTCTGTCGCCTTCCAAGTAAGTTTAGAGTATTATATGGCCCCTGTTGCTGCCGCTTGGCCCCGTCGCTGATGGCGGACGGCGTGCCCGGACATGCGTGGCCAACGGAGAACCGGAGACAGTCTCTGTCGGAATCGGAAATGGTCATGTTTATTTTTGCTGGCTTTTTGAGCCTTGTCTTCTTGTCTTAATTGCTGATCCCCTCTCCCATTCTAGATCTCCAGAAGCCGCCGCTGTGTTGGACGAATTCTTGAGCATCCTAAGGCCCGCAATAATGAAAACACCCTCGTCGCCAATCACTCGCTCCAAGCGTCTCATTCCCCGCTCCCGCCATACTGTTCTCGCCTCGTTGTCACCCCCGGCCCCCGGCCCAGAGCGTCACCACCCATATGCCCGTGTAAAGTCGTCGTCGCCGCTTGCATCAGAAACAGGCGAATCCTTTGCAGCGACGAGAAAGAGATCCAGCAGTCGCTCATCTGCAAAGGCATTGGCTCGCAGACGCAGTAGCACTCTCCTCTCCTCAAACAGCAGCAACTCGTCCCACTCCGTGTCCCGTCGTGGGTCAGATGGGTCGTTAAATTATGTGCAGACGTCTTGTGAGCATACTCGTTTATATAGTATTCGCTCTTCAGGCCAGGAACTGACAATTTCCCCTCCTTGCCCTGGCACCTAAATGGCTCAATCTCGCATCGCATCAATCCCTGCCCGTCCTTTTCAATCTCCAGCTCCTCCCTTGGCCGTCCCGATGGAACCAGTCGAACCGTTTGGCGTCACCTCTCACGTCGAAGCTGCGAGCCTCCTTTTGTCCGGCATGCCACCGCTCAGCTCAAATCCAGAGACAAGTCAATAGACGGAGCCGTCCATTGCCGGATTTTCTCCCCACTCTTCTCCTCCCTCCCAACTCGTCCCTTTTTCCATCCAGTCCCGTCGCGTGGCAAATCTCATCACTAAAAAACCTCGCGCAGAGCCCGGCAGGCTCTTCCGACGTTTGCGTTTGCGTCGGACATTCACAGGCTTACCCCATCACGCTCGTTTTCTACTCTTCTCGGTGAGACCGGGTCGACTCGTGCTCTTCATCTGTGTTATACCGTTACCGTCTTCTCAGGAAACCATCATAAAACGCAACCTCGATCGTATTCCCCCGTGCTATTTCCCCTTTGGTCCACTCCCCTCTTACCCGGAATTCGTTGTACGTTCAACGTTGTAGATTTCTTGCCAAATATAAACATCTCGTTACCCAAGCAGACTTCTATCGTCTGGGTGCACCAATCGCTTTGGTAGCATTCTTCCTGGCATCATCAAATCTTCTTATGACAAGTTCACATTTAGTCGTGCGGCAGATGTTGATGGCTTTGCCCTTGACCTCGTCGGAGAAAAGGGTCAGCCCAGCCGCGCGCTCAACCGTGTCCACTGTTTACGTATCAACACACTCCCATTGTATCAACACCGAGGACGCACCATCAACCAGAAACTTTTCCATTGGTGTTTCGTCGGGGATCGATGCGTTTGGAAGCACAAATGCTCCCAGCGAAAGCTCCGACTCGCGAGGATTGTATGCCGATCCTGGTCGAGATGCCAGGACGACCTTGGCAAAATGAGTTGGAACGGCGACATTTGCCGGGGTTCCAATCATCTCATATGTCTACTACGGATCAGCCAGGATTGAGACATTTGGCTTAGGTGCTTACGACGCGCCATTTGCCGTCTGCGTCTTGTTTGGGGAGGTAAAGAGGGACGGTGAAAACGAAGACATCGGAAAACGACCCCGTCAGCTTTCGACACCAGTTTTCGAGGTATGCCCAATCTGTAGACGATGAGATATCATTAAGTTGCAAGAAACCGCCTCACAGTGTCGATTGAAGCCGTCTCCTACTTGGGGTGCAATGTTTGTCAGGTAAAACGTTTCGTCCATGGCTTCCTAGACGACAGTCAGAGATACCTTTGGCTAGGTACAGCACATACCTGAGAACTCTTTGCATCTGCAGCGGGAGCTCTATAAGAACATGTTAGTATCTCACTTGCCAATGTCTTTGGACGAACAAATGGCCTCTGTCGTATCCGCTTCGGAAATAGTCCTTTAGAAAGGCCCTAAACTGACGAGGGATACTCTCATCCTCTTTGAAGACTGATTTCGAGCGGTCACCTCCATTCGGGTCGTCTGGTGGGGGCGAGACCGACGCAAGAGTGAGGTGTTCGACCGTCTTGTTCACCAGTCAGCCTCGAGTGATGGAGCATGGAAAACATGTTACCCAAGCTGGATGCCGCAATTTACGATCATAACCCAACGTATACGCCTTGCGACAAATCAAGTCGCTGATTGGACCTGTTCCCGACCGAGCACTTGTCAATAAAATGATTCTGCAGACACGAGCCTGCGCTCTTTGACTCACCAGGGTTTCCATACTTTAACACGTCACCAGCAACGAGCTCTCGCTGTGACAGCGCGGGCTTGCCAGACGGACTGACATCAACAATGGCCGTGGGCGACGAATGGACCGGTTTGACACGCTCTCTTCGATTGTTAGAGAGGGAGACTGCTGTTGCACCCAGCGCTGCACCAGCAGCAAAAAAGAGGGCTTGAAAAAGCGGCGAGCTGGGCATTTGCCGTGTCGTCTTGTTCGTTTACCTATCCGTTTTTGTTTACACAGATTGCCCCTGAAAATAGTTGGGAATGAAATATTACGCGTTTATACTTTTGACGGGCAAGGGCGTCTGGTGGTCAGTGGTAAACGCGCTTTTGTCCGCGCGCCTTCTTCGTCCATCCCAGCGTGCAGAACTTGGCTACAACATGGACACTATCGAACTGGGGGGACTCATCGGTAATACAGGTAATCAAAAGAACACGCTCGCACTCTGGGACGTGGAGAAATTGGTCACTCTCCTTCAAAACCATGCAGCGCGTCACGCGGTCACCGCCGTCGATAGCAATCCACAATCAGCCTCTACGAGCACTCCAGGATCATCTGGAGCTTCTGTCGATGAAAACCACGACGACGCCAACAGTGTGGCAAATTTGCCACAGGTCAGAGACGCCTTCCCTTGTCGTCCATGTTTCACTGCTGACTTGTGTATAGGAACAGGAAGGATATGTGAAAAAGGGAAAGAAACGCGTCAAAGTGTCGCAGGATGGACTCCGTGCGACCAAGAAACGCAAAACAACCGACACACCTCAAGACGATGTGTTTACGAGCAAAGTCTGGGTGAACGCCGCGTTTCGTTACGTTCATACGAGCTTTTCGCCCTTTCCACCCCTTCTCAAGCGCCTCCAAACCGCTGTGCAGAACATGCCTGAGCAAGTGTACGCCGGACCCCTTTATCTATACGCGACGGGAACGGCGGTCAGAAATTCTCTCGTTTTTCATCTAAATCCTGTACACTCCGCCAAGGACGTTGGCAAAGGAAATCTATTGTATACAGCCGGGACAGCACCCAGTTCATTCACCATTGCACACGACTTTACCGAGCGCCATTCCAGTCTTCTACGCGCCTTGGTCGACCTCCGCGACGCGGAATTAGCCACCATTGATGTCGCTTTAACTATCCACCAAGTCGCCGACGAACGGCCAAACTCGCAGTCCGTCTTTTTCGACGTGTCCCTCGAGATTACAAGCCAGCTCCTCAAGCTGGATGAAGAGATAGAATTATCTGCAGCTTTGGCAGAGGCTCAGCGTCGCGTGCTCCTTCATATTTTCCCTCCATCGCCACATGACACAGTCACACCTGTTACAGTTCAACGTTTTACCGATTCTCTTCAACGTGCCCCGCCCCTTCCCTTCTCTGTTTCGGAGCATTCCTTGCAGCCAAAGGATCTCAAATGTAGCCTGCTCCCCTTTCAACGACGCAGCGTCTTCTGGATGTTGAACCGAGAGGGCTTCACCATGTCACCCAGGGGCGAGGTCGTTATGAATAAGGAAACACGGTCGTTTTCCTCTATGTGGGATCAGGTTTCGACCCCGGCTGGCTCAACGAGATATCTCAATCGGATCACCGGCCAGCTGCGGAAAGAGCAAGATATTGAAGATCTTCCTCCGGTACATGGAGGTATCCTAGCAGAGATGATGGGATGCGGCAAGACGGTAGAATGCATTGCTCTAATGCTGCTCAACCCGCCAGTGAATCGGGGGCCATGGAAGTCGCAATGGAGCGACATTGCCCGCGCACCCATCCACGAAGTCAAGGTATGCATCTAGCCACTCGTGTCACAAAACACTGACGTCCACTAGACAACGCTCATCGTTACCCCAGCAAATCTACAGAAGCAATGGATCGAAGAAATCGCCAAGCATGCTCCGAAACTCAAGGTGCACGTTTTCGATGGGTGGAAGTCGATGCGAGATATGGTGAACGGCAACTCACTGTCCTCTACCACAAAGAAGAAAAAGAGCCACAAAGCCAAAGAGGTGGAAGTCGACGACGATGGCTCAATTCCCGATGACGAATGGGCGCGCTACCTGCAGACATTCGATGTCTTGATCACGACGTATACTACGCTCGCCGCTGAGCTCAGCGTAGCCAAGGGCACGACTGCTCGACCTCGTCGCGAAAGAGTGGACTATGGCGAGCACTCGATGCCAAAGAGCCCGCTCATTATCGTCGAGTTCTGGCGAGTGATTATGGACGAAGTTCAGATGGCTGGTGGCAATAATACCGTAGATATGGTGAGCCGTATCCCGAGGTAACTTAGTTCACGATCCGTATGCTTTGGCTGATTTACGACCAGGATCAACTCGTTTGCCGTGTCAGGCACCCCTGCAAAGGCCTCTGTTTCGGATCTACAGCATGTGTTAGAGTAGGTTCATCCTGATCGAGGCTCACACAACGCTAAACGATGGCAGATTTCTCCGGGTCCCCGGAATTATCACCATGAATCGATCATGGAAGCGATTACTAGCGCCAGCATATCACGAAAAGTTCCTCGCTCTGTTCGACACCCAACTCGCCATTCGCACTCGCAAAGATCAGATTGAACACGAATTCCAACTTCCAAAACAGACCCGCTATATCGTACCCATAGAGTTTGGCAAAGTAGAGAGGACTATATACGACGACATTTTGGACAATGCGCTTCAAGATCTGCGAGTCGACGAGCGCGGCGTTGCTGCCCACAGCGGATGGGCTATGGACTTGGGCTCACTTCGAAATTGGTTGCATAAGCTTCGACAGGCGTGCACGCACCCTCAAGTAGGTGGAACTGGTAAAGTTGATCGACTCATGGGCGGTCGTGGAATCAAGAGCATGAGCGATGTACTTCAGCTCATGCAGGAAGCGACGGAAGACGGGCTCATATCCGACCGACGGAAGAAGACAAACCTTCGAATTCGGCACGCCCAATTACTTGCCATGAAGCCCAATCAAAGCAAGAACCTCCAAATGGATATCGCTCAAATCCTGGAGGATTCACTTGAAGAAATCAAGAGGCTGGCAGTTGACACCGATAAAGTGATCCAGTCGTTTAGCAAGCAAGGTGTTGAGCTTATGGAGGCGGCTGTTCAACAAAAGCTGGAGCGCAAACGCTTGGCCAAGGAGGCTCGCGGCGCGGATGGAAAATCTGACGATTCTGACGACTCCGATGGCGAGGATTCAGAAGAAGAGAATGTCGTCTCAAAGGAGATTGAAGAACTTCAGACGTCAGCCCATCGGAGGCATTGGAAATGGTGGCTAAAGACTGATCGTGGAAAGGAATGGAAAGCACGCATAACAGCGCTCCATCATCGTCGACGAGAAAACTCATTGGTCTCCCACAAAGTGCAACTGCTTCTTGGTGATGCCTTCTTCCGCCTGAAGAACCCAGAAAAGGAGAAGCATTACTACGAGCAAGCTGAGCTCATTCGTAATGAGCTTTTGGGAGGTATATGGATGGGATTATTGGCGACTTGCTCTAACCTCTTGACAGCCGCCGAGAAGACTGCAATACAGTCAATGCGCGAACTACCAGCCGAACTTGAGCGAATCTCGGTCAAGAATGCCAATGACTCCGATGATACAGTTCCAACCTTGAGGAATCTGCTACTGGATGGGCCGCCGCAACCTGGCATTCTGACTACCACCATCGTATGATGTTTATCATTATCCGTATATATATCCCTAACTAGATTTCTGCAGTTCTGGGACGAGGAAGAGGTTATCGACATTCTCAACGAGCAAACTCAATTCCTCTTCGAATGGAAGGACCACATTATCGAGCTCATTACCCAAGATTTAATATCAGAAGCGGAAGCTGATGATGACAAGACACCTTACGAACGGGCTGTCGAAGTCCAGCTCGAATGCGAGGCATTCCTCAAAGGATATCAAAGTCTACTTGTAAGGGACCCGTATTTAACCGCCATCCAATCGACTAAACCCTGTCAGGCGGATCGTCGAGAGGCATTGATTGCAGAAAGGACCTTGCTTGCTGCCGCGGAGAACCGTGAGGACAAAACGCGCAAGACCGCAGCGGCCTCGAAAGCCCAGAAACAAGTGGTAAAGAAGGCGCCGGATGAGGATAGCGCCATAGTTGCGGCCCTTGATAAAGGGCGTCGCGCTCTCACTGGGGGGTTGAATGGCAGAGCGCTTAAGGTCAATTGTACTCCTTTCAAATGCCCAAACTTACACATTATTACAGACTTCAATCGTTTTGCTAAGTAACCTCGTTAAAGATACAGATGAGGATAAGCATCCCGAAGAGGTCGCAATTGCAAAGCACGAGCTGGCAAGATTGAAAAAAGTTCTTGCGGTTCAGAGTACGGCTTTACAAGTTCGGAACTCTAATGCTAACCGTCTTTATAGCAAAGCAGATGGATCGTCTTGAAAAGCAACTTGCGCCAATTCGCAAGACCTTCAACGACAGGATTGAGTAAGGAAAAAAGAATCCTTTCTTCTCTCTGACTCAGCGAGTCTAGATATTTTCGTCAGCTACAAGCGATCAACGACTCCGTAGCTGCGGTAGAGTGGGAGGAAGAAACACTGGAGGACGCTATTCTTGTATGCGTCACAGAGCATACGGCTGCCGAGCGAGCAGTAAACACGCGACTTGCTCGCCAACGATATCTCAACTCCATCACCAATATCGACGACGAAGACGAGGAGGAACGGTCGTGCGTTCTTTGTAAATGCGACTTCGACAAGGGTGTCATTCTTGGATGTACGTTGTCAAAGACTCCCTGCATTTTCTCTCAATGTTCTTTCAGGCGTTCATCATTTCTGCGAGGTACTTGCCAAACACTCATAATGATTCCAGCCTCTGACAGGATATCCTAGGATTGTATTACCATGTGGATGGTAAAGGGTGCAAGCAGAGTTTGCCCAGTTTGCCGGTATGCCAGTAGAATTTGTCAAACGCCAGGATCTTACATAGTAATAGTGCGCCTATCGAGAAGAATGCCATTCAACGAATCCATCTTGGTCATGAGGCTGCCTCAGCTTCGACTCTCGAGCGGAGTACGCTCCGACAGAGGCGCGCCCGGAGCCTGGATTCCTACAGCGTCATGTCCGAAGAAATGCGTACGGTGCGTCGTGAATAGTAATCCAGACCCACCAATATTTAACTTCTGAGTAGGAAATTCTTGACATTGACGTTCGATCTGATGGACACGGATCCAAAATCATGTTCTTGGTCAGGCATCTCCTTTGGTTGCAAACCCATGATCCTGGTTCCAAGTGCATCGTATTTAGCACTTGGGCGTCAGGAATGTCCAGTGAGTCGGTGTCAATCATATATACATCACTTACACTCTCATAGTCATCGCCGACGCTCTCCAGAGAAACGGGATCAGGTTTGTAAGGATAGACGGCAAGAACAACAAGAAAGCAACTCCCGTCCAAGACTTCGCAAAGGATCCCGTTGCACAAGTTCTTCTACTACATGGGTAGGCTGCTTTCTTGTCATTCCATGCAGCAAGGCTCATGTACTCTAGGGAGCGTGATGTCTCTGGACTCAATATCGTTTGCGCCAATCGTGTTATGCTCGTCGAGCCAACGGTATGGTCAACATGACATGTATTGTAACATGCTAATATGCTGACGGTATCTAGGTCAATCACAACTTTGAAGTACAAGGTAAATTTGCTCTTTTCAAGTGTTTCTATAACTAACCGATCCGCCAGCAATTGCTAGAATCGATCGACTAGGCCAGAAAAAGTCGACAGAGGTATACTGTTACTCAGTTGAGGATACCGTCGAGCGCAGCATTCTTGATTTGGCCGCTCGACAAGGCTTGTCGCTCTACACGAAGGACAAGGCCGAAGTAGCAATGGATGTAAGTCAATTTCAACGTGGCAAAGAGGCCATCGACGCTCCTTCACGCGGCAAGAAGACGGGTGATTTTATTGCAAGTGGAGAGGATATGCTGGCGATCACTTTCCCTCATTTGTACGAGGAGGCAGACGACAATATGGAAGACTTCGTATACCTGGAAACGACAGAGGTTCCAGTGGTAACCAATTCCTGGGGAGACGCACCTTCGGCTCCTTCGGGTTCAAACTAAACCCGCTCATAGATTGACCGTAGAGAGTATATTAACCAATACTAAACACTTATTCTCATTGTCAGATGAGAATTTTATCTAGTCAAAGACGAGTCTGCCCATCAATTCATTATCAAATCTCGTCCTCGATTCCTCCACCGTACTACCTCTGCGCTCGGTAATCTTTGAGAATGTCTCTCTGAATTCTTTAAACGCATCAAGGTATGCGTCTTCTTTGATATATGTTTCTATCGGCTTTCCGTCAACATTGAGATCAAACCAATGTTTCGCCCAATGCGGTCTTGCATTCTGACGTTTGCCCTCTCGGTCGGTATACGATGTCCAGCGATCCACGACCAGCTGACGTATGCCGCGCCACTCCTCTGGTGGTGTAGTAAGGTGTGTAAATATCTCAATGGACGCGGTCGACTGATTGCTGCGCTGAGGGGCTAGGAGGACTGACGAGCCACCAGTGAGGCGCATCTCTAACCTGTTTTCGGTGTAACTAATGTATCTGTATCAATAAATACAACTTACGCTGCTCGAACGGGACACTCGGGACGAGAGTAGATGGCTGATATCCCATCCCACCTACAAATTCATTTAGTTGTGCAAGAAATGCGTAGGAAAGGACGAACCAGGCACGTTGGATTGCCTCGTAATCTCTCTTTCCATCAACGTGACTGATGGGCAATTCCCACTCCATACCCCAGAATGGAAAGTTTTCTGTAAAAAGCATTTGAGATAGGCTTCCAACATGTTTACGGCACTCACGACTTCCTCCTCTGAAATGTAGTCCTTCACTGATGTACGAAGTCATCGAAGGCTGTCCATCACGGATATTCGGAAGAGAAGCGAGCGAGGCTAGTCCAAAGGAGTACGTCTGCAAAGCTGGGGGAAGCCATTTCCAGCCGGCAATGGATGCAGCAAAGGCGCTGTGTACCTGTGCGTCGTTATAATTCTCAAGGCCAAACTTGGGAAACTGTGGCAGGCTTGAGTCCTCCGGTGTGCGTGAACGACCTATCACAGTCTTAGGTATAGCGCTAGTTTAAAGATGTGACTCACGCCTCCATGTATTGACCCAAGCATTCTTCTGGTAGGGAAACCAAAACCATTCGTGAAAGTGGTCCTCTTCGCAGCGCCTTATCCACTCTAACCTGGCCTTCTCAACGTCTTCGGATGTAATATTTGCTTCCGACATTTGTTGAAGAACGATTTGTGGTATGGGAAACCCTCTGGGTGGTGGAATGGCAAGAACGAGCGGAACTTGGGTCGGTCGCATCTCCGAAATGGTCATGGGCTCCAACTGCAGCGTGATGGACGTGACGACGCCCAGTAGACCAAAACAACCACTTGCGGCTTTAAGTTCTTCGGGGTCGAAGACTTTCTGGAGTTGCCCTCGAGCATCAACATACTCAATCTCCAGGACAAGATCGGATAATGTCGAAGTGGAAAGACCTGCTCCGTGGCATATAGTGGCATTAGTGCCTCCAAATGTCACGGCCAGGACGACTGTGTTGAATGGGAGGGCAAGTTGCCCGTGCTCGTGGCACCAAAGTCGAAACTGATTATTCGTCGTCCCGGCCATGATACGAGCGAATGCGTGGCCTTCCTTCGGCGCATTACCATTGAGTGTATCAAGCAATGTTATGCCTTGAAGCTCGCTGTGCCAGTCCGCTGGTGGATCGTCGTAAGGCAGTTCCTCTCGCAAAATAGGTGGAATAAACGTGATAATAATATCGTCTGGAGTCGAGTAAAGTGGACTATGACAAGGTCAGCCATGGTCAGTTTACTAGGAGTAGCTGACCTCCAGGTATGCCGATATCCCGCAACGCGGACTTTCTTGTTAATTAACCCGGCCCATCTAATCACTGCCTGAATTCCACGCATGCTTCTGACAATGAGGATATATGCGGGCTTGTAGTCGACCAACGCCACCCAATTCTTAAACGACTTGCCGTCGACGACCTGTTGGACCTCCCAGTCCTCGAGAGAAAACTCTTTGACCAATGAATCTGGTAGTTTGAAAGATCCATATTCTGGGGCTTGAGGCTCTGCTTGGGCTTGGCCGACGTTGGTCCCTTTTGACGACGTAGTGGCAGGAATCTGCGATGGGTCTACACCAAGCAAGGGAAGAAGAGGATAAAGTCTTTCATCTTGAAGGCTTCTCTGAACAAGATCTGCATGTATCTTGTCTGCCTGGATTTGCCGATGTGAGTTGCAGCCCAGACCGGCGAAGCTCCAGAACTCACGTCCAGATGGTCGATAATCTCGACGCCTGGGGTACTGTAATCTCGGCTTGCAGCAGACATTATCGTAGGATTCACGGTGAGGAAATAGAGGACGTGGTCGGGAGCAAAGTCGATGAGTTTGTCACCCATCGGCAAAAGCAAGGAGGGGAATGCATTACGCAGCGGGATGTCAGATACACAATACATAAGCACTAATGAACGCTATGAATTTGATAAGTCAGGCATCGGATCGTGATTCGTAAAGTTCGTGAGGTCGTGAGGTTCGTGAGAAATTAAAGGGATTATACGTTCAAGGAGCCAGTTCGCGTCTCGCCTTGCTGGTCATAGAGACAATGGTCGAAACTCGGGTGCTAAGGCGGCTAGAAAATGGGCTGTAACTTGGCGGAGGGGTAATAGGAATCGGGGGAGAGAGGAGGTTCGCGCCCTGTTCGCTGCTGACCTGTAGCGAGCCATGATTGACCACTATTAGAGCGGGAATCTGCTTGAGGCTCTTCTTGAACTGTGACGATGGCGAGGAATGGGAACTGGATGCCGTGCCTGACCTGTTGCTGGCCGTGACGAATGAATAAATTGGTTCAAAGGGTCGATATAAGGGCTCCAAATGCAAGGGAGACGGGAACTTGAGCTGGGGCAACCCGTATTGTGGGGCATCTTTTGGTTCCTGTAGGATGGGTGAAAAGGAATGCTGGTCGTTGAGTGATGCACTTCGTTCAAGAGTGGCCGTAGAGTTTCGATTCGAGGGTCTAGACGACGCCCGAGAGCTTGGCCGTGTCTCGCTGAGGACTGGTCGCAAAAGATCAGGCTCGGAATACGAGACTAGAGGGAACATGCCAGATTAGCGGAGAGCATAATTCACGAAACAAGGACACTCACCATAGGGTTGAGTGAACGGAAACAGGGTAACACCATGCGAATCATCGAGCCAAAGCGTCGCGCGATCAGTGCCCTGACGAAACTTGCAAAGGATTCGCGCAAGGTATGACTTTTTGTCCCTTATATATCTACCAAGAGGTACTGGTTTGACTTCTTGGAGAGGATCATTATCTCTATTACTGCAACGGCGGGCAGCGATATAGACAATGACCAACAACGTGCAGCAAATTGCAATAGCTAAGATGCCGAATGCAATGCCCATGTGCCTCAAACCCATATCCACGGCGTTGGTTTCGTCCAAGATTGACGTTTGAGATGTGGCATTGTCATCACGCCGCGTCTGTTGGAGAGTAGACGTGAGGTTCTGAGTGGGAGAGGAGGATAATGTGGAATGGGTGGAATTAGATGTTTGGGAGCTGGTACTGGTGCTTGCTGGTTGTTTGTCGACGAGGAGGACAAGTAAACACAGCGGAGAGAGGGTCACTGACGTGACACAGGTGAAAATCCAAAAGTTGATCAAAGGGGTATCGACCAAAAGTGAAAACTGCCGACATAATCTGCAGATATCGGTTCCACATGGTGGGACCAAGGTCTTTCTGGGATGTGGCATTAGGGTCGGATAATGGGAGCGAGGCCAAAGTCATGATCAAAGGGATTGTAAAGTGAAGAATATATAAAATGGTTAGTCGCGAGGGAATGGTCGTAAAAGCGGGCGAAGGAGAGTTGAGGGAGGGGTTGCAACATGTTGGACGAACTTTGCTTGTTTTATATCCTACTGGCCTCGACCTAGGGCGCAAAACTTTGCTCGGGGTAAAGGGACAACCGAGCCAGGGGTGCCAATGCCACAAGCGACCTGTGGGCTCAGAGTGAGACGGTGAGGCAAACAAGGGCGTGTTTCTGTAAATGATCTAAAATTCAGTACTCACCACGCAATGGAATTACGACGAGAGGAGTATCTGCACGGTTTGAAGCTACTTTAGAGCCAGCCACAAGGCAGAGGTTGGAGATCAAGACAAGGAGCGCCGCCAACAAAGGGCAGCCTTTGGCTGTCAGCCGCACGCCCGTTGACATACCATGCTATTCCAAATAAGGGTGTAGAGCTCTGATTTCATTTTTTCATGCAAATGTCCACAAGGAGCGCCGACAACTCGGGGGGTCCAGTTTCGACGGTTTCGACACTGCCCGACGTTGCGAAGCTCTGCGTGTTCCATCTTTTGCGGGCTGGAAATGTTGAGATCAGGCTCGCAAAGTCCAGAACGGTGACGGGAAAGGCTCAGTGGTGCCGGTTGCTCGTGACAGCAGAACATTTTGGGCTATTCGACTTGCATCCACAAATATTCCAACAAGAATAGTATCGAATTCGGTACCAATGTCTTTCAATCCCAAAGCTGGTGTGGTTCAACCTACATTGGCGGTCATGCCCACCTCTTCGTAAAGTCAAACGTCCTCTTGGAAGAAAGGGGTCATAGCAGCGGAGTAATTGTGCCGATTGGAGTTCGACGACGCGCGATTGGCCAGTCATGAACCAAGTCAGGCGGTTCTTAGTCAATTGGTAGATCTCATCAGAGGTTCAACGTCGACTACAATGTCTAACGAAGTACAGATGTGAGCGATAATTATCTCTGCACTTGTGGATTGAACCTCAGAAAGTATTGATCCTGGTTCGTGCCCTCTAGCCACAAGCTGAAGCGGCCGGAGGCTCAGGATGCCGCAAGTGACGCAAACGAGAACGCAAAGCTTAACAAAATCTCTTCACAGATTACTCAAGACAAGGTAAGCAGGTCTATGTGTATGAAGCACTCGTCCCTTACATCGGATAGGCTCGCGGTGGCGCACAAGCAATGCTGTATGCCACAGGGCTGACCGAGGAAGATATGGGGAAAGCACAGATTGGTATCGCGAGTCTTTGGTGGGAAGGTGAGGTGGCTACCAATTCATGACTATACTATCTGAATTATTTCCTAGGCAATCCTTGCAATATGCATCTCCTCGACCTCGCCAAAAAGGTCAAGGAGGGGTGTGAGGCGGAGGGAATGCTCGGGATGACATTCAATACCATTGGCGTGAGGTGCGTCGACCTTTACATCCCAGCACAGGTAGCTCACGCCAGCCAAGTGATGGGATGACGATGGGAACTGAGGGTATGCGCTACAGTCTTCCCAGCAGAGATCTCATTGCAGACTCGATCGAGACGGTTCGCCTTTACCCTGTTTGCATTCTTGGGTACTTACGGCTTTCTAGGTGGTGATGGTACGAATTTGAATCAATCACTATTACTTCTCTGACCAACTCATTCTATCTCCCAGGCTCAACATTATGATGGGTACGCCATCACGTTGTGGGATCGTTTTCAGCTGACTCTCCTCTAGCAACAGTACGTCTTAGGAAACATAAGTGAAAAGGCTCAATATTGCACCAGTCTGCATCCCCAGTTGTGACAAGAATAGTGCGTTGACTTCCAGTGATGCTTTCCTCCTCATCTGTGAATAGTGCCGGGATGCGCTATCGCCGCTGCACGACATAATCGACCTACTATTATGATATACGGCGGAACCATCGCAGCAGGGAGACGTCAATTGGATTGCCCTGCAATGGGTTTCAAAAAGGGAGACATTGCGAACATCGCGGATGCATACGAGGTTTGGGGTGAGTAACTGCTCCATATTGCGAGTATTAGCTAATAAAATGCATAGGAGCCTATACTACCGGCAAGATTTCCGACGAGGAGCGTTTCGACGTCGTCCGCCATGCATGCCCAGGAGCAGGGGCATGTGGTGGGATGTACACGTATGTCATGTACTGTTTCGGGTGGTTCATGGCTCATTACTTCTACAGGGCGAACACCATGAGCTCCTGTCTTGAAGTTCTGGGGCTCTCCCTGCCGTATTCTTCCAGCATCGGGGCAACTCATCCAGGTGGATCGTTTGCGTCTCGATTTATGTCATCATCTTACAATTTCAGAGAAACTACAGGAGTGCTATCGAGCGGCTCAGTATATGAAGACCTTGCTCAAAAAGGATATCAAACCTCGAGACATCATGACAAGAAAGTCGTTTGAGAATGCTATCACACTGGTAAACGTGCTCGGTGCATCTACCAATGCTGTAAGTGTTCATCATAGTCGCACAATTCCGTCGAGGTTAACCCCTGGATAGGTATTGCATCTGCTTGCAATGGCCCGTGCAGCGGATATCCCTCTTACCGTCGACGACTTTCAACCAATCGCAGACCGCACACCGTACTTGGCCGATTTGCGGCCTTCGGGCAAATACATGATGGAGGACCTCAACAGAGTCGGTGGTGTTCCTGCCGTGCTAAAGTTTGTCAAATTGCAGTCTCATGACCCTGTACAACTGAAATCATCGATAGGTACCTCCTCAAGAATACTAATTTGGTCCATGGTGATACCCTGACGGTGACAGGTCGTACTCTTGCGGAGAACCTGGAGGGTAAGTGTGTATATAATTTATGGGTCATAAATCACACTTGTCTAGATGTCCCCGAACTCGACTTTTCGAATCAGGACGTGGTCAGACCTTTGGATAACCCCATTAAATCGACCGGTCATATCTGCATCCTTCGTGGCAGTCTCGCACCAGACTCTGCTGTGGCAAAGCTCACGGGCAAAGAGGGTATCAAGTTTGAAGGTGTGGCCAAGTGCTTCGACACCGAAGCAGAGTTCTACCCAGCCTTGAAGAATGGAGAGATAACGGCTGGTACCGTCGTAATATTCCGTTATCAGGGACCCAAAGGGGCCCCAGGAATGCCAGAAGTGCGCGTTATTGTTGGATTTACTGTCGCTTATGGATTCTAGATGCTCGGTCCAACTGGAGCAATCATGGGTGCCGGACTGGGTGATAAGACATGTCTGATCACTGACGGGCGTTTCTCTGGAGCTTCTCGCGGCTTCATTATAGGCAAGTGTTGGGCCAAATCGAATTTGCTTTACTTACTCCAATCAGGACATGTAACTCCTGAAGCACATGTTGGAGGACCAATCGCTCTCGTTGAAGACGGGGATAGGATTGTTGTGGACGCTACGACGCGGAAAATTGAGTGGCTCGTGGATCCAGCGACCCAAGAAGCTCGCAAGACAAAGTGGGCTCAGAAAGGAGAGAGACCTTACAATGTAAAGAGGGGAATCCTCCTTCGTTATGCACGTGATGTAGCGGTGAGTAGGGACAAGTTGAGCATTCTTCCTTCTGATAGTACGTTTTTAGCCGGCCAGTGTGGGAGCATATTGCGACTAGATTGCAAGGTAGATCGTAGACCCAAATGCCATTTTGTTTGCAAGACTGTCTTTGCCAGTAGCTACCGTGCACGTACATCATTCTTTGAATATTCTCATGGTATATGGTCATCATCACTGCTGGGTTTGTGATGGTCAGCTCCAAGTCGAGAGCTCATCATCATAACTTGGCCAGCACTGCGACACACGATGGCCGGCTTGCTAGGCCGTGCGCCTCCAATAGTCTATTATACAGCAGTATCTGCAGCACTACTAGGAATTGTGGTCGCTCGTGCCCTTGACACGTATCACAACTTCTATGCCGCCGCCTTTTCGCTCTCGCAGAGCAATGGCAGCGTATTGGTACATCATACCGTTGCCCAAGATTAAATTTTGCTGAGATAGTTTAGGTTATGTCAAATATGGCCCTCCTCACGCTCTATCTATTCGGGCGGATGCTCCAGTTCATCTTCTTTGGTCAACTGCGGCCTCAAGAAATCGAGGTAATCAAAGTCAACATTGTATATTGTAGTAGCTGACAAATGTCTGTCACAGCGACTCTACTCTCGAGGCGGGTTCTTTGTGACCGACTTTATGCTGGCGTTTGCAACGTTCAGAGAGGCATTTGGCATCTCCTCTGGAGTGATGGTTGCCGTGCTTTTATTCGCAAAATGCTTCCATTGGTTGTTGGCCGACAGAATTGAAGCCGTACGTCCTTTAGCCACTTACGCAAGTCGCAGGGGGTAACCTTCCTATAGATTGACCAGCTGCCTTACCCGGGTCCCAAACGGCTAGAGCACGCTCGGCTCATTGCGCTCTTCTTCACGCTGTGGATATTTGACACCATCATGTTCACCTACACCGTCGACGCGGCATTTCAGAAGGGAATTGGACTGACCGTATTGTTCGCGGCAGAGGTGAGCACAGCGCATGGTCACGTAACCAAGAATTCTAAAACAATATCTAGTACGCGATTCTACTTATAAACCTCGCCCAATCGGTCCTCAAATACCTGTTGACTATGATCGACATTCGCCGCGCGGCTAATATTGGCGGCGCTACTGCCCCTCCATGGGAAGACAAGCCAATTTATAGTTTCTATATCGAGCTTTCGACTGGTATGTCGATTACATTTTCTATTCACAACAGGGCTGATATCATTATAGCCTTTGTTGAACTCAGCATCTATCTTACCTATTTCACTCTGATGTCCATCTATGATTCGATTCCTGTATACGCCATACGTGACGTATATGTTGCGGGAAGCCTGTTCTTCAGCCGTTCTCTTGCTTTCATTCGCTACAAGCGTGCAATGAGAGCGTTGGACGTTTTCCCCACGCCAACGTATCAAGAATTGGCAAGCAAAAGCGACAACACCTGTATCGTGTGCCGCGAAGAATTGCATGTACCACCACCCACCCCGGTGCAAGGAGCATCACCGATCGCTCCAACCGCTCAGCCGACTGAGCCAGTAGAAGAGTCCTCCAATGGGCCACCAAAGAAACTCCCATGTGGACATATATTCCACTTGAACTGTCTGAGATCCTGGTTTGAACGACAATTAACCTGTCCTACTTGGTGAGTATTCTGCAAGTCGTCGGCCTTACTAACGATTATTTCTGCAGTCGAAGACGGGTGGATGAAGCGCAGCCCAGAGCCCCTGGAGGTACCCAAAATCCCGCAGGTGGTCAAGCCGGAGCGGCGAGAAACAACGGTCTAGATGCTGCACGACAGCCTCCTGCCGCAGGTGGTGCGGCGGGGAATCCCCGTCGTGCAGCAAACAACCCCGCCGCAGCTGGTGGGCCTGCAGACGCTGCAGTGCCGCCGTTGCGAGAGCCCCTCAGGTTTGAAGGGTTCTTTCTAATGCCAGGTGCATTCATTCCGTGGCTGGGCGGTCCAATCCTGGTCAGAGATCCAACAGCACCCTTGCCCCCACCTGCCAGACCAAATGCTGGCCCTCAACAACGGACTCGTCCGCCAAATGTGGCACCATCCAACTTGGGAGCATCGGTCACCACGGCCCCATCAACACCATCCCATACTGCTACGCCCAGCACTTCAACCGTATTTAATATTGGAACACCAAGCCAACTTGCTGCATCGAATGCGCCCGCGCCATCTACAGAAGGCTCTTCCTCTACGACAAAGTCGAGTGTCTCTGAAGACGATGACACATCTTCAGAAAGCTCGACCTCGGAAGTAGGCACTTCAATCGAAGAGAGGAGGCGTATTGCTGCAGAAGCCGCTCTCAGACGTAATCAGGCGATTAACTCTCGTGGGTTGCCTTCAACTCCCTCGACGCCCACTCCGACACAGCGACCTGCCGCATCTCCATTCTCTCGTGCGTCATTCCCGAGGCCTCAAGAGACTGAGCAGGCAGAGGAGTACAGGAGATACTTTGCTACTTCGGTTGATCTCTCATCGCCAACCATGAAAGCCAATGTCCCACTTCACCCTTCAAGAGTTGCGAATTCACCCAACTTGGGACAGTATCACATCCGACCAGATGCGCCTGCATTCGTCCCTCTATTCCACAATTTCCATCAGCCACTTGCCGGGTCGTACGTTGGTCCCACCAAACCTTGGCCTACCTTGACTGCGAATGGAGGCACACAAACTCTTCCATTTCCGCAGCCAAATTCATTGTCTCAATATACGCATGCTACAGCAGGTATCACTCATCCTCCAAGTCCAAGCCCGGGGATGATACGCGGTGGCACCTTTCCTCGTCCCTCGACACCAACTCATCTCCCCCTTCATCATTCTCAGCCAGGTCCATCAGGTCTTTCACACCAACGAGGCTCGATCTCCTTCCGTCCTGGAGAAATGAAGCGCGAGTCTTCTCCCTCCCAAGAGCTCACCACCCAGCAACTCGATATCATCACTCGTCTCCAAGTGGAAGAAAGGCTCAAGGTGCTAGAGAATGTCAAGAGAATGACGCAGCAGTGCATCGACGATCTATTGGCAGTTCGAGGGACGATACCAGCAGTAGATTCACTGAGGGCTCGCAGCACAGATACAAGGTCGACTGCCGCATCAGAATCTTCGGGTGTATCTGAGCTCCCATTACGCGTCAAGACGGAGTCGGTACCTCCCGTCCTTCCCGGAAGCCCACCTATGCCCTCGCAGACGTCGAGTTTGGCTTCTGTAACCGCACAACTTACATCACCTCTTCTAGTGGCCGAGGCAACGTCGAACATTACACCGATTCCAAGCATCCAGACTGCGATTGTTCCCATCGCTGACACGCCAAACATCTCTCCCATTCCAACGCCACCAGCGGAACCATCTGCCGCAAATGTTTTGGCTGCGGAGCCCATTAGTGTTCCTGAAGAAAAAGTGGACATTTCCCTGGCGCCTGAGACGTTGGAGGTCACCCGAGTAGCGGAGCAATCTGACGAAGAAGAGCTCTGAAAATATCTATTGCTTGTATCTAAATGCTTTGAGTAAAACATGAACCACTCGATTAAAGACTCGGCAATGATGAGAGCGGCAAATGCCAGGTGGCTTCTGCAACGTTGGACAATGACCAAATACTCGTTGCACGACCGCCTTCAACTATGGGCCACTGGAGATAAATATGCAATTGAACCCGTCGGAACGGGAGAACTGCCGCTGACGATTGACCGACACACGGGCGAAATCACTCTCGAGCCACTAAACAAGGATTGGCTGCAGTCTGCGACGGTGATGACAATCTACGGTATCATGGGTATATTAAAGCTATCAACTTGTGAGCACTACGACTCTGCGGACCGTCGAGCTGGCGCTGACGTTGAGCCTCGAAAGCGGATTTTCTGGTGCTCATCACGGACCGGAAGTCCAAGGGCAAGCTCCTAGGCAAGGACATCTACCAGGCAACGGACTACAAGGTTCTACCCATTGCCTCTGGCGCGTCGGTGTCGCAGATTCTCGGGCACCCGATAGAGAAGCAGCTGCTGGGTCTCATTCACTCTCATCTCTTTTCTGCTACTTTTATCTTTTCGTACGAATGGGATGTAACGCGCCGAATGCAGGCGCAGCTCATTGCGGCAAATGACGACGCGGCCAAAGCGCCTTGGCAAGCTGCAGACCTCCGGTTCTTCTGGAACTACCATTTGTCGAGGAGACTCATGCAGCAAGCTTCTGTTGACGTACGTATCGCTGTCCACATTGTGGGAAACCATGGGCTGACATTCTCTCACAAGCTGGGGCGCTTCATCTTGCCTGTCATCTATGGAACGTGCGAGATCAACTACACAGAGATTAACGGCCAACGGTTCCAGTTTGTCCTCATGTCGAGGCGGTCTCGGTTCCGAGCCGGCACGCGGTACTTTACTCGAGGTATTGATGCAGACGGCCACGTAGGGAATTACAACGAGACGGAGCAAATCGTGGTCACGGAGAATAATTCAAAAACGGCATTTGTTCAGACACGAGGCAGCATACCCCTCTTCTGGGCCGAGGTGAACAACTTGGCGTATATCCCAGACATGCAAGTCATGGAACGACCAGATGCTATATCGGCGTTGAGATTACATTTGGAGGAGCAAGTGTCGCTATACGGCTCGCAATCCTTGGTCAACTTGGTGAATTCCAAGGGGCACGAGCAACAGGTCAAGGAGGGCTATGAAAAGAACGTCGCTCTGGCCTCTGTTCCTTCGGTTCAATACCATCACTTTGACTTTCACAAAGAATGCCGGCATATGCGTTGGGACCGTATCAGCATTCTGCTCGACCGGCTGGCACCTGAATTGGAGGAGAAAGGGTGCGTAATTGAGATTCATCAGAGTTGTTATTTATATATCATAGATTTTTCCATGTCACTCTCGCTGGTGGTGTTCAGAAATGGCAGATGGGCGTCGTTCGCACAAACTGCATGGATAATCTCGACCGAACCAACGTCGTACAGTCCTCGATTGCAAAGTGGTCACTTAGCAAGCAGCTTCAAGAGCTTGGGATCCTTTCCGAGGGAGAAACCGTTGAACAGCATGAGCAATTCATGTCCCTTTTCCGTCACGGTAGGCCGATAATGTATTTCCGTGGTGAAAACTAACAGCACATAGTCTGGGCTGATCATGCGGACGCAATCTCAACCGCGTATAGTGGCACCGGGGCACTGAAGACAGACTTTACACGAACCGGCAAACGTACGCGTCTCGGTGCGCTACAAGATTTTCGAAATTCGGCTGTAAGGTACATCAAGAACAATTACTTTGATGGACCTCGTCAAGACGCATTTGATTTGTTCACCGGGACATGGGTTCCTCGAGGGCCTTCATCTGCATACGCGCTGTTTTTCGATCCTCGACCACTGCACACGAGAGCCGTAAGCTACCTTGATATATGTTTGGTCACTACTGAATTTCCTAGATGCCATATGTCATGAGCTTTGCAATCTTTATGATCTTTGCAGGGTTGACCTTGCCCCGCACATCAGGTATGGCATTACAAGAGGCGTCTGCTGGCAATACTGATGAGAATAATAATGCAGACTACTCGCTTACGTACTATTTCCTGTTCTGGATCAGTGTCGTGACGGCTACCTTTGCCTATATTCGTGCCCATGGAGTCGAATATGTGTCTTGGCCACGATTGAAGCGCCTGGACGATGTGATCTACTATACGGGACCAGGATACCGCTCTCGCAAGGCACCGAAACCGCCATCGTACATGGAAGCGGCCAAGTCGGCAGCAGCGAGGGGACGATTGACGAGCGCGCGACCGTATCACCTAGAGGAGATTGAGATGGGGACGAGTAAGAGGACGGAGTAGAGGCATCTATATATCTGATTCACAGGCACTAATAACGTATTACTGTCGTGTTTATAGAGGGAGTGCAACACACGCATCCACGTACATCTTGGACGCATCCTTCTGGGCTCCTTTGGTCGGAATTTCTGACCGGAATGCGACTAGCCGTTGCCTTCTAGTGATCGCTTCTCAGAGGGACCCTCTACAGGCACTTGGCCAAGCGCAGGCCGTCTTCGGGGCAGTGTGATAAGAGGCGTGCGCTCAAGGGTGCCTGATGGGCATTATGGAACATCCGGGCGCAAGGTTGATGCGAATAGCCGGGCCAATGTGAGAATGCAGAGAAGTTCATCTCGCCATGCTTCCCAGTTCTCGCTCGCGTGCACTTTCCTTTCCTGCATGCGGGAAAGTCGTATGACCGGTTATTTCTTTAGAAAAGTTCTATCAAGCGCCGCTCATCATCGCCTCGTACCTTAACACCAAGGATGAGATGCGCATCCCATTAACCTTGCTGGTTAACAAGGGCTTCATCGACTAAAATGGAGAAATGATATTTGTGAATTCTACCATGTTTAGAGATAGCTGAGAAGTGGTCTGAATGATGAGAGAGGGACCTGGTGGAGCATTGACGCTTATCGGGGGGGACCATATGGAGCATGAGTCTGTGAATTGGCAACGGTCAGATGGATCCCTCGAAGCACCTCCACCACGTTATAAGCCTCGAAAGATGACCATTTGGCCGAGTTTCGCTCCTCGCCCACCAACCGTTCTCAGCTTCAACGCTGCCGGTACTCGCCCGACGACGTCGACGGTGACCAACATCCTATCATCATGTCCAACATTGCAGAGACTCCCAAGCACACAGAACCCACCAGCGCTGTGGCCCACCAACCTTTGACTCCAACTACCGCTACGACTCCTGCCGTCGTTGCTCACAGGACACCCTCGCTCGAAAAGGATCACTCCAACGACCATGGATTAGAGGAAAAGAAACTACGCTCGTCGTCGAGCGTTCATTCGGTCGACCGCGCAGCGGAGCTTGATGCAAAGGAAGAGCGTGACATCGAGGAACAGAAGACCCGCAGACGCACGCTTTGGAAAAAAATTCGTCCTTTCTTCCTTGCTGCACTTGCGCTCCTTATTCTTGGCTGGTGGATCTCTGCAACGATTTTACCCGCTACCCGCCATCGCTGGTCTGTGCAATAAACATTGTATTGTATATGTGATTGATCTGGATATGTTACCAGGATCGTGCAGACGCTCTTTGCCTGGTTCTTTATCCTGTGCGTTTCCATTCGCAGCCATCCTCCGTTATCGTATTGACTTTTCATTGAGGGTCATCGCTTTTCGATTTATCCCGAACTCGGTGGTAACGCGGCCCATTGAAGCAGTCTGGCATCCCTTGGTAGAGAAACCCTTCTTCGCACTCCCCCACCGAGCCCGCCTTGGCCTTGGATGGGCAGCGCTTGTGGCTATCATGGTTGGTTCGGCCTTTGGATTCCCTCTTCCCTCGGGTTCTTCCTATGCAGACCGTGCCATTTCGGTCGTCGGCGTCATCTTCTTCCAGTCTATCCTCTACATTTCGTCGCATAACCGACGGGCGGTTCCATGGGCGACGATTATCGTGGGCCTTTTCATGCAACAGGTGATCGCACTATTCGTGCTCAAGACGGGCGCTGGACAATCCATCTTTACGTGGATTGCAACACTTGCTAGCGATTTCCTTGGCCAGGTACGAACTAGATTACATTTTTGTTTTTCTTTGATGATGCTAATGGTTATCAGGGTCCTACAGCAGCCATCTTCTTCTTCGACGCCGAAACCATCGGTAAACATTGGTTCTTTGTCAACGTGTTGAGCAGCATCATCTTCTTCATTGCATTTGTCCAAATGCTGTACTACGTGAGTATCTTTACCATCTTGTGCGATGCTGGAAACTGACGTACCTAGACCGGAGCGATGCAATGGATGATCGCAAAGTTTGCCTGGTTCTTCTACAAGACGATGAATGTTTCCGGTGCCGAGGCTGTCGTTGCTGCGGCTTCCCCATGGGTCGGACAGGGTGAGAGCGCGTGCCTCGTCAAACCCTATGTGGATATCATGACCGACTCGGAAATCCATCTCGTTATGACATCTGGTTTCTCTACCATTGCTGGTAGCGTTTTGGGTGCCTACATTGGCCTCGGTGTCGATGCTCGGTGAGTATTCAGTGGTCCAAGTCGCCCCCATTCTGATAACTTGCGACATTCAAGGATTTTGGTCACTTCCTCGGTCATGTCGATTCCAGCCTCCATCTCCATCTCCAAGATGCGCTACCCAGAAGAGGACGAACCTGTCACCCGCGGCCATGTTGTTGTCGATCGGGGAACAGAAGATAAAGCTGGTCGCCCTGCCAATCTCCTCCATGCCTTTTCTCGTGGTGCCATCTTTGGTCTCGTCGTCGCCGGTCAGATTCTTGCCAACGTGCTGACCATTCTCGCTCTCGTTTACACCATCAATGGACTGCTCACCTGGATCGGACGTGGCTTCGGCATTACTCAGTTGACGATCCAGCTCGTCGTCGGCTACATCCTCTACCCAATCACCTTCTTCATGGGCGTCCCCCGTGGAGAGATTTACCGCGTGGCCAAGTTGCTTGCTACCAAGTTGGTAGCCAACGAGTTTGTGGCCTATCTCGAGCTCAAGGCAATTCGTGAAAGTGCAAGCCCCCTCAGTGTGCGTGCAGAGATCATCGCCAGCTACGCGCTCTGCGGATTTGCAAATCTCGCATCACTTGGTATCCAGATTGGTGTGCTCAGCTCCCTTGGTCCTGCAAGGGGCAAGAGTATCGCACGTTTGGCACCGAGTGCAATGCTCTGTGGTTTCTTGTCCACCATGCAGGCGGCAGGTATTGCGTACGTCGTTTCCATCCTACAGACAACCTTTTACTGATGACATTTTAGCGGCATGCTGGTGTAAAAGATTGTCACCACCTCTGGTCTTCTTTTCGTTGATGGGATTTGCCTGTGCGATTTACATGTTCGTGTACTCTGGCTAGTGTAATGCGACTTGAATTGCCCATAATATCCCCTCGATAATGCTGCAAGGGAAGGGGTTCTAGGTGGCTACTTGGCCACTTTCCAACTTTGAACTCTTACTCGATCGATGTCTGGTGCACAAGCCACGCTCCTCCAGTACGATGCACCATGTAGGCCGCTACTTCAATAATTCAACGTCTTTATACTTGATGCTCATTTCTTTTTCTTTTCGAATTGGAACAGACCCAGTGTATGCGCTCGACTGGGCAGAGCCACAACAACATCGAGTCGGGACGTCGTTTCGACTCGCACTTGGATCATTTACAGAGGACATGAAGAACAGGATATCGATAATTGGTCTCATGGACGAGCGATCATTGTGGGAGGAAGAACTCGACGGCGTCGTTCCCTCTGCGAATGGCGCTAGCGCTGGTGGACGCACGCCGAGCATGCCTCCACAGGATTTCGTTTGCTTAGCAGAGGCGCATCATGGTTATCCGCCGACCAAGATCGCATGGCAGCCCGCTTCGGCGCACAAGCTCAACGGCGCGGGTGCTGGAGGGTATGGCCCCGATGCCCCAAGAGAATTGTTGGCGTCGACCGCGGATGGATTGAGAATCTGGGAATATACCCAGAATGCAGAGAGTGGTAGTAATCAATTTGGAAAGACGACGCCTGCGCCGCTTTCTGGACGGTTGCAGCAGCGTGTGATTCTGACTGGAGTGAGTACCTCTCTTTATTTTGTGTCGTGGGGCTTTATACTGATACAGTTATGTCCTGCGTCGCATCGAAACTATGTGGTTGATTTTGTGGCCGGTTAGAGCAAAGGCCAGAACAACGCTCAAATGGCCCCACTCACGTCGTTTGCATGGAATACGATTGATCCACAGCGAATAGTGACCGCCTCCATCGACACGACATGTACCGTCTGGAACATCAACACCCAAACCGCCGTTACGCAGCTCATTGCACACGACCGCGAAGTCTACGACGTCGCGTGGCTACCTGGCTCAACAGACATTTTCACTTCTGTTGGGGCGGATGGATCGTTGCGCGCTTTCGACTTGCGTTCACTAGAACACTCGACGATCCTGTACGAGACACCCGTCGCGAAACCAACGAGTTCCAGTCGGCCTGCAAACTCTGGTCCAGGAAGTGCAGCCGCATCCCCTGTCCCACCTCCACGCACGACGAGTTCTTCGCTACTCAGGATTGCATTCAATCCAAACGACGCAAATTATATGGCCACATTCCATCTGGATTCGCACGATGTACAGGTCCTGGATATGAGAAGTCCTGGGCAACCCGTTGCAGATTTGCGTGCACATCGTGGACAGGTAAATGCCGTCTCGTGGGGAAAAGTAGATGCGATGCTCGCTACTGGAGGTCAGTCCACACCCTTTGTATTATCCACCATACTGATTGTGATACAGGCGACGATGGACAATTGCTCATATGGGACATGGCTTCGAAAAACTTTTCGCCACGTGGTGCATCCAAGACCTCTAGCAGGTCCACGGACCCGAAACGGAAGAATATTATCAGCGAGCCTATCCTCGCCTACAGTGGTCCGTCTGAAATCAGCAACATCGCCTGGTCACCCGTTCTTCCACCCTTCCAGCTCTCGTCTGGTTACTTGAGTGGTGGCGAATGGGTTGCGGCTGCAATGGGCAAGTCGGTACGCTGTCTCAAGGCGTAGAAGACCGGGTTTGTGATGGGGCACTGATACCGGCATCGTGTATCCTAATGTATCTTGATTTTGCTCTTATATCTTTACCGTGTGATTTGAGGTTGATGATTTAAAATGTGCTGTGATCTAGCGAGTGTGTATTGTTGCTGCAAGGTGACTAGAAAGGTGTACGTAGGTGAAATGCGAGGATAGTGATACAAGCTGGACATCGAGAACGCGATTCGAAAGCAAGAAACGAGACACAGTTACAAGGAAATAAGTAAGGGTATGAGCAGTAGGGTCGACCAGTCGACCGAACTCCCTCAGGACCCAATGTGACACGAGAGTGCGAGACAGAGATGACGGAAGTATGGGCAACACTAGCTGCCTAACCAAGAAATGGTGCGATAAAGAGTCCAAAGCGAGAGAAGAGAGTTCAAGGAATGGCCAGGCTGGCACATGCGATCCCGATACTGATCACCAGTGCAAGGAGACAACTGCGCATGACAATCTCCCACTGCGTACGGGTGACGATTGGGTCGAGGACGATGGTGAGCGGGGCAAAGACGGTGCGTTCCTTGTTCCATTCCCAGTTCTTGAGCGCCTGTACTTTGCGCTTCCACCCACTTAATCTCTCAGTACTACTGGTATTCGCAGCCGAGGAAAGTGAGGGCGTATTTTGAGAGCCCGCGTAGTGAGCATTTGTCGGAAATGCGGTTGATTTCCAGTCGGGCCCCTGCATCCCCGGCGGGATGGGGAGCGCATCAAAGTCAAAGTAGAGCGCTGGATCTGGGTACATTGGGCTGGTATAGGTGCTTGTGACAGCGGAATTGGGCGACCGACTAGTCAACAAGGGGTGAGAATCGGTCCGTGCAAAAGGGGCAAAAGGTACGCACAACGTTGCCGTTTCAGGACTTTTGGTTGCATATTCAAGTGGGAATACATCGTGTCCCAAGCTCGATCCATCGCCGTCTCCACGTGACGAAGACCGTTGCTGGACGAGTTGAATATCTTGCTCGTATTCTGGTAGTTTGATATCGTCGTTTTCCAGTACCGAGTCTGTTACAGTCACCGTTGTCGCGGTACGAATATGCCCGGCTGGGGAACGCTCGTCTTGAGAAGCGGCGGTCGTCGGCGTGACCGGCAGCTGGATGAATTCGGTTTTTGCATCGCGGTGTTTTGTTGGGAAGAGGGTGACAGCAACGCCACTTGTTCTTCGGCCGCCCTGCACGCGCATCAGATTCGCAAAAAAAGGGTCCACAAGGGCATGGATGATGCCTTCGGGTTTCTTGCTTACCTCTTCGTTCCGCCGTGTTTCATGTTCACTATTCGCTGCCAGGTTCGGGTTGACTGCGATGTCGGGTTTACACGCGATGGGACTGGAAATGTTTGGCCGCCTGAGTTCATATGGGTACAGTTGGCGAGCGTCGCCAAACAAAAAGATTACGACACACACGCCATGAAGACCGGCGATGAGTGTGGCGAAGCCTAACCAGAGAGGAGGGATCGATGCGAGCCTGTTGAGTCGCTGGTTCCACGAGTGGTGTCGAGAGCCGTCCTTGGCAGCCAGTGACGTGAGTATAATGGGCAATAGACCGATTCCAATCTTAATAAGTCCAATGACTATGGCGAGTATTCCTCGGTCACGACCGGCGTTTCCACCGTTTTGGACTATGAACCTGTGAATGTAGGATAAGCCAATGACCGAGGACAAGTCAGACTGCTGAATTAAGGAACATTCGTGTTGTCAGGAGTCGGGACCAACATGCGTTCCGACTGCAAGACGAGGAGAAAGGGCACAGGCACCGAAGGGGGTTGGTACCCTCATCGAGAAAAGTGTATGTTGAGAGCGTAAACTCACCTTGTAAGACTCTCATTGAGATAATTTTCGACTTCGAAACGTACACCTGCAAATGCGGAAGGATTTGGATGGACTTTCGGTCCCGGGTGGGTGTCGTGCAAGAGCTGCTGAACGGTCCTTTGGGGCAGGTTGAGTTCCCAGAGTGAGCCAGCCGTGAAAAATGTCTCTTTGGCACGGGAATAGCTCATGGCCAACCGTCCACTGGGTTGTGCATCGCTGCCAGTGTTTTGGACAGAGTTAGCCCAGGCGCTCCATTGCGCTTCATAATCTGCAAGCCAGACGTAGAAGTAAAGATTCTCTTCTGAATGCTCCTTAAAGTAGAGAAAATCTTCGAATTCCTTGCGGCCCAATGGCGGGAGATGGCGTCCAGCAATTACATCCTGGAGTTGGATGCGATAGCATGGAGTGAGCCTGAATGAACGCACGGTGCCAACCTTGGGCACAGTCTCGACAGACGGCGGGTGCAAGACTCGCCGGGGAAAGTTTCGAATATGACGAAGAAGATAGCCAAATTTGACTGGAGCAAGTCTTGACGATGCTGGCGTCGTTGAAGGAGGATTGGACGCCATTTGTCGTCGTCGTCGATGGCGGGAATGAGGGACGAGAAGGGAGGGGGACGTGGGGGAGAGCAAAGAGCGTGGTCAACGATGGGACCAATTTGTTGTGTCCATCGGTGGAGATTACTTAAGTGGCCAGGGGTCACCATGCCTGTCGTAAATCCAATGACTCCAAACATAAAAAGCCAGCCGCCACGGGCGCCGGGGCCGGGGTTCTCGCATTCAATCCAATTATCTAATCACTGAGCAATGCCTGGACAACATTTGACACGCGTAGTTGTCGGAGATCGGTATATGTCTGTAAAAAAGATGAATATCCAGTCAATGGATCCTATCAGACAACTCACCTGCCCACACCCAACAAATAGAATTGGCTGCCCCGTCACAAAGGTCATGCTCAACGCCGCGCCAACCTTGTCATCCACAGTATCCCACTTGGTGACCAGCATTCCATCAATCCCCCTTCCACTCTTGCCCTCGCCCTTGGAAAAGTCCTTCAGGGCCCGATCAAACTTGGTCAGCTGATCGACAGCTTCATTGCCCACAAGTGCCTCGCCGACAAACACAATCTTGTCCGGCTGGTTGAGTGCAACGAGCTTTGCAAGCGCCCGCATAAGTGGTTCGTTGTCCTGCATCCGCCCCGCAGTGTCAATTAACACGACGTCAAAACCCTCTTCTTTGGCATATGCGATTGCATCCTTGGCAATCCCCGCTGCGTCTTTGCCATAGCCTTTTTCATAGAGATCAATCTTCTTCCCCTTGTCATCCTCCACCGTCTCCTTGTTGACCAGCATGCCAAGATTGCGGACATGAACTCGTAACTGCTCCACTGCACCACTTCGGAACGTGTCGCACGCGGCGATAAGCACCCGAAAGTCGTTTTGCAGTAGCCAAAATGCCACCTTGGACAAGTTGGTCGACTTGCCCACTCCATTTACACCAACAAAGGTAATGGAATACGGTTCCATCTTGCTCTCCCCTCCAGCACGCGTCGTGGTCATCGTAGTGAGCTTCTTTTGTCGGATGGCGTGAAGAATGTCCGTCGACGTCTTGGGCGTGAGGATACGCGTAATTGCGTCCTCGAGCGCAGCGTGCACTTCTCCTCGTATACTCCTCAGCCCGCCGACCTTCTTCCCCTCTAGGCTCTTTCCGACACCGTCACAGACCCTCTCTGCAATGTCACGCGCGACATTCTTCTTCATCAAATGCTCCTTCATTCCAGCAAGCACGGGTCCGAGGTCCTGTTGGGTCAGTGGCCTCGTAGAACCAGCCAACCCCGTGAGCTTGGAGAACAACGACGAAATGTATCCGGGCTGAGCTTCGCTCGAGGTTGTCGGACCGGTCGAGTTGAGAGAGGTTTCTCGTAGTGTCTTTGAAATAAAGTCGTCCAAATCCTCGTCTACTTCTCTTGACGCCTGTTTTGAAAACTCCCAGTCCCGAATCTCGTAGACGCCATCCTTCTTGACGCCTCGCGACTTTTCATCCACGAGTGTGTCGAGGACCCCGGCACTAGGTAGATCACTGGGTTTATCCGTACTAAAGTCGAGCGCCGACATGTCGTCCTCGGTGGGTACGACGTCCCCCCACGTCCTCTTCGATTTAGCACCACGCAGGCTTGACTGCCGCTTGCTCACGTCCGAGTCTGATCCACTCCCAGCACCTCCTCCCTTTCCCTTCTTCCCAGACGTAGAGTTTCGACCCTTCATCCGCGTCTTCAAGTGAGCAATGTTCTTTGCAATCTCCTGCCCGTCAAGAGGGCTCGTAGCATCCTTTGCCGGCGTCGTCGCACCACTACCACGCTCTGGATGTTCCTCATTAAAGCTCTCGTTCCCGGACATGGACGCGCCGAGTGCAGTCGAACCAGTGAGTTGACGCGTGCGCAGACGGCGTTCTTGGTTGGCTTTTTGCTCAAGTTCACGAAGAACCTTGTCAAAGACCTTGTCCCAGTCCTTGAACGCACTCGCAAAGTCCCAAGACGGGCTTGCGTCTGCGACCTCGGTTGGTGCGGCGTTGGCCTGTGCATGGAGCGATGCGACAAATTTCGTCAGGAACGGCGCGTAGAGTTTGATAAAGAGAGTCTTTATCGCCGTCAATAGGTCCTCGACATAGGAGAGTTGGAGAATGCGCTGGTAAGCAACCTTGGAGTTGAACAAGTCGTGTTAGCATAGCTTCAAAGTATTTGACTCTATAAAGTAAGCGCTCACCACAAATATGAGCTCGAGATCGTTGGCAAGAGTCCAGCGAACAGCATAGCCATCTTTTTCGTATCGGTCCTCGCTCGAACGACCCTCTATGAGCGCTTCACGAATGAGATTATTTACTGGCGATGCATTTGAGCGCGACAAGGTTGCAGCCGTTGGTGTAAACGACCGGCTCCAGAGCACAAGACCGCCTTGGGGACCACGTCAGCCATCGAGAAACACACAAGTAGGATTAGTACCTTTATGTGAGATTGTACAATTGTCAAGCATTGCAAATTCCGTGTCAACTTTTGGACAGCTGCCGTGGTCTGATCTCAAAGGTATTCAATACACACTTGGTCCACTCTTTCATCTCCGTAGACGGCCCGATGTTGACGAACAGCCAGCGCTCGTGTGTCTTTGACGACGAGGAGCTACATCAAATATTGCACAGGTCGCTCACGAAGCCCGAAGGGTCGGACATGACCAAGGTAGCACAGGGCTCGCTCATACACACCACGGCGATGAATATAGTTATATCAGAGCGTATAACCGCTTTTCTATTTCGCATTTCTCGGCGTTTGGAAAAGCACCCGTTCCGTGAATAACTCTCGCCCGCAAATAGAATAGTCACTCGCAGCCACAAGCATCCCTGAACCCTTTCTGTTCATCGAGAAATGCCCACTGACAAACATTGTATACAGTTCTAGGTTCACGATGCACGAGAAGAAAGGCTTCCACCCTTGGCTGTTTGATGTCCAAGCTCGGCTGTGCTTCTTCTTCTTCAAGTATCTAATCCACCATTCAATCACACGGTATACGGTTTGATGTGGCTATTGATGGCGCGTATCACCTCGATTATTGAGTAGTTCATCTGGCAGAAGTGATCATTAATCCTCTTTGGGGGCCCCTTGGAACGCTAGCATATATGTGTATTCGATCACACCAACCCGCGATGCGTAATCCTAAGCGCTGCGGGGATCTTATTCATAACTCCCGACCTCCGCGGAGGCCCGCTCTAGTCTGCCTCGTGCCCCATAAGACCGTTTACGATCGCAAGCTATCAGACGGTTCGGTACCTAAGAATGGATACGTCCCACGTTGCCCGTGAGGAAATTACGGCCATGAGTACGTGTGCCCAGGAGACGTCGATCGCTTTTGAAATGAGCCTGAATACAAAGGTCTGCGCGTTTCAGCGACTCTTTGAGACCGGTCATGCTCCCACTGAATGATCCGAAGGGAACCCCCAACGTTGTGGCCAACTCTACGACGACACTCATTACGCGCAATACCGGAGTTAGTATGCGGCGTTCAATTGGACTTGTAAATGTAGATAACCCCGCCCATCACGAGGCGAGCACCTTAACAGACCAAGTCATGGCCTCAGTCATGGCTTTGATGGTTCAGATCTAGACGCTTATCGATGCATTCAATCGAGTATCGCATGACTAGCTCATTTGGTTTCAGCTGCAGAGCCGTCAGGATATAAGACACCTTTGGCCGGGGCCCTTAAAAATGTGCGGCTGTTTTGCTATCTAAAAGCGACCTGTGTCATCCACATAGAGACGAACCTAGACTATTAAAGCGCGCCTTTCACCTAGGCTATCGGACGGGACATTGAGATTGTCCACATCGCTTCCCCCTCCCCTCCCTGCACCCTTCCCTATATATCATGTCTGCCATCGTCAATCGAGTGCGAAACCTCCTTGGTTGTTGCTCAGAGACCGTTGTGACAGAAATTGTCCAGCCGGCGGTCATGGGCGACCTTGAGCAGAGCCCGACGGTTCCCAAGCTCCCTTACCTCTCCGTACAGGAGCACCGTACATCATCGTCTATACTTGGCGCAGCAGGGCCGTGGATGTTTGCCAACGAAGAGTCTGCAACGTTCCTCTTGCCACCGTTAGAGACGGCGAGCGATCTGTTGGCTGCAAACCTAGCGACGAGTCGTGCCCTGCGCAAGTCCCCATGCCTCTGGCTGAGCTGTTGGTCCTTGTGGCCGGCTGAAACAGCCCAACAAGGGGCCGCTGGGATGCCGGAAGAAGCAGGGATCCACAAGACGGCGTTAGACGTAGCTCTCGCGCCACAGCTAGATATCGTCGCCATGATCGACCAGGGTAGACCAGCAGCTACTCCCGTCTTTCTCTTTGTACCAAAGACGGCCCCAATCTCTTCTACAGACACTTTGCATGCGCGCGTGCGCGGACTAGTGGAAAGGTTGGCGAATCTGGTCCCCTTTGACAGTGTCCCCTCAGTCTTTGGGCCTTCTACTGTCTCTATGACGTTTTCGAGGATGTGGGAAGAGGTGACAGGTATGAAGCAACGCCCAGAGCCGAGCAGAACCATGCAGCTGGTTCACTGCAGGCCGAGGCCACCATCGTCATCATTATCGGCGGTGAACAAAGGCGCTCAAGAAGGGATATCGGGCGGTGCTAAAGTACGATCTTTGCTGCGAATTCGCGTGGCCAGCTTGGAGGATGTCAAGGAACTGGCCGAACTACTCCATATAATGACGAATGCGACCGTAAGCCGCGGCTTCCTCGTTGTGAGGACATGCGAGGCTGACGAAGTCCCTCTTGTAGCCTAATCCGGTTACAATAGATGCAGAAGCCTTTGCATCTCATCTTATTACCTCGAGCTGCGTTCACCTTCTCGAGGTTCTGGAGGAACACATCTCATCCAGTTACTGGAGGGTCGTCTCTGTTTGTGAAATTGCACGACACGGACGACGCTCAGCACGTGTAGGACGGATATACACGTTGGCAGATGTGCGTAGGCAAGGCTACGCGACATATCTATTGAAATCTATATTAGACTCGTACGTGTTGCACAGGAATTTCGCCGATGATTACACATACTTATTGCTCTTACACAGACTCTTTCAGACGGGGACCACTTCTGTGTTTGCATACCTTCCCGTGGGAGAAGCACGCGCCGAATCTCTGTTCCTACGGACAGGGTTCCACTATTCCGAGCAAGAAGAATTTGTCGAATGGGCCTTTGAGCACGCTGGGCCAACATTTTGGTAAATGGGGCCGCACTGGTGCCGATCCCTTTACGGGCTATTACGGGATACCTACGAGTAATATCCGGGCCTGTAATCTTAGATAAAATTCTTTCGGTGAATTATCATTACTTTGGACGTTGGGCGGTTAAGAGCGGACCCGAAGTGCCGGAGAATAAGGGTTAGGCGAATACGTGCACGTCCCGAATGGGCTTTCTGGATGTTTCAGAGGTCGTCCGTGTTCTGTTCTACCATCTTCGCTGATATGGGTCTACCGCCCGGTGGTTGCTACCAACTTGCTCGACAGCCTCGCGGACGCTGGATAGCGTACAAGTAGCAGGATGGAGACAAATGGCTCGATGTTCGTCCCCTCGTCTCGTACATGCGTTTACTGACATTTTTGTCCGTCTTCCAAACATGTCCCTAGCTCGCCGGATCAAATGTTACGAAGCACCCCTTCTGGAGCACCAGGAGTGCAGTCGTCTGGAGATTTTCAGCGCCAGCTAGACGCCCTCAACGTAGCAGAACGCTTGCGAGGTCTCGCCGTACCCACTGTCGACTTTGCAGCGCCTGCGACGATGCCAGCAACAGCGACGACAGGAGCTCCATTACCCACGACCGCTGGCTCCAACAGCGCTCAGACACCAACGACGAGCACGGGAGGAGGAGCAGCAACAGGCAGCAATCTCGCCAATTCCTCGGCCACAATGTTGTCCACCACGAACACGACGAATGCGACTACTGGAGGAGGTACGCCCGCCCAGCCGCAACAGGTCGCCGCAAGTCATTCGCTCGGTGCATTTTTGGGCACGATGAATCCGCAGATTGCGCCCATCTTTCATCCGGACGAAGCCCGGGGCGGGCGAGCCATTCTGATGAAGTTGCTTGCAGAACTGCATATTCGCAAGGGACAAGCGCTCCCTCCATCTCTTACGGGTGTCCCTTCTCCTACATACAATCCAGCGACAAGTCCGTTCAAGTTTGACGTCGTGGGCTTGGGCATAGTCAAAGTCGCTGGTCAGGACATTGACTTGCTCAAACTGTGGCAAAACGTTTTCAATTCTGGAATGAGCCAAAAAGTACGTATTCACGTGCTCTCTCACGTCAAGGGATCGTCAACTTTTTTTCTTAGCTTAACCGAGATAACCTCTGGGGACATCTCGCTTCACAAATGGGTCTCCCCATGTATGCGCCAGACACGGGCATGCCAATCGCAAATCTAATCAAAGACCTATATTCCTTCTTCTCAGAGCTAGAAATGCATCTCATGCGGATGATGCAGAGTGCCCATGCTCAGGCGCAGGCTCGGAGACATGCCGGAGGGTCCGCGCAGATGCACTCGGCTCAGCCTTCCGGAGATTTAGCTGGTGCAGGTGTCGCTTCGCAATCGAACGCCGTATCGACGCCTGTTTCGACCGCGACCGCAATGGGCACACCAGCACCGTCCGCGACCCCAGGTGCCACGACGCCTGCACATGGATCAAGCGAGGACTCGGATACGCGCAAGAGAAAGGCAGAGGATGACGACGATGAATCAAAGCGCAAGCTCCGAAAGCTCGACGAGGTACGTCTGCGCTGGTTGCTCTCCTTGAGGGTGTGTACTCACGAGCGTCTAGGAGGGCGGTTCTGGTGCCACAGATGGAGAAGGTGCATCATCGCCTGTCAAAGAGGAGCCCGTACCCGAAGGACCGCTGCTCCGTCGAAAGATTGAATACGTGCCCGTCACTCGAACTCTCAAGACATATGGAGGCCGAGATATTGATGCCATCAATGCCGAGTATGCAAAACTCTCAGAAAGAAGGCCGCTCAAAGTCATGGCAGACTTTGGTGTGGTCGACGTGGAGGCGTTGATATTGCAACTTCGATCCAGGCTCAAAATCGAAGTCACTACCGCGCTCGGCATCCTCTATCATCTTTCATCACTGCGTGGAGGAGAAAGCAAAAATACTGGATTGCAGCTGTCCATGTGCGAAGACTTGACGGACGAGCTGCTCGACTTGCTCGAGGAGACGGCCTTTGGGGCCAACCCAGATTCGGATGATCCAGAGGATGCGCGACTAGATGCGTCAACGAGGATCGTCACGAACAAGGAGATTGTCCGCAATATTCAATATGAAGGCTCCAACCTCTTTGCGGGTCTAGCGGCTGACCTTGAATTGAGTGCACATCTCTCTCCAACTCACCAGCCTTGGGAGATTGTCATGTTGATCGTGACAATCTTGTCGACTGTATCTTCGGCAGACGAGAACCCGGCATATCTTGCTCAGCAGCCACGACTATTGGACATTCTTACCCGTATCTGCATGATACACCCGAGTAAAAACCGCGGAGATCCAGTGAAACCAGTATCGTCCGTTCTACAACCACGCCATCTTATTCGCATTCGCAAAGAGGTCGTATCACTCATCAGCACAATTGGCCGCCACCTTGTTCTCAACCAAAGTCCCTCACGGGCCACTCGACGCCTTTATATCCTTCTCGCATCTACTTTGATGGACCCAGAGGAATGCGAGACTCCCGGCAGCACGGAGCGATCGAAGCCGAGCACATCGATGGATCTAGCGCTCGAATGCTTTACGCTGATGGCCCACCTAGACCCAAACCGAAAAGTCATCACAGCCGAGATTCCCTGGGAACAGCTCTGGAAACTGATGCAGCTACTGGTGCGAATCATTCCATTGACGGATACGGATATTCAGCGGGCGACAACGGAACAGTGGTTATCGTTTATCCTCAAAGTAGCACAGGCGCTTTACTCGCTCGCAATCTGTGCACCTCTGCCCATGCGACGGAAAATGAAGTTATCGCCTTCGCTTCGAGGGGCATTGACACGGCATTTACGAATCGGGACAACCAACAACACTGCTGTGAACGGGATCTATCGTGCATTGCAGCCAGATGTTCGTGGAATCGTGGACGAGTACTGGCGGCGGCTCGGGGAGACGCTCAAAGTGATTGATGCGGAGGAAGACCCACTTGCTCCGACGTCTACAGGTGCTGGAGGTGTGATCGGGTATGGGATTGGAGGGTCTTATGACTTGCACTTGGGTGCAAAGCCGCCTGCGCGTGGAACGGGCATGTTTGCAGGCTCAAGGGGGGATATGCTGTGGAGTATCATGGTTGCAAGTGCGATACAAAACGATGCGCAGGCGTTTGAAGAGTGGGATTACATGCTCCGAGTCGATACATCGACGGCCTCCCGGGTAGCCTAATAGGCATAGAGGTTAAACTTTTGTGTACAACACAAGCTTACTTTTGACTCTACTTGGTTTTAGAATGTGATGTAGCTTTGGCTCTATTGACGTCAGGTGTCGTAGCTTGAACTCATCCACAATGCCTCCGTCGTTTAACCCCGTCTTTTTGCCTCCTTGGGTTGGATTCCCCCCACCCAAGACGCTTTCACCAAGAGTCGCAAAGCAGCTCTATGACCATATCCGTACAGTCGCCTTCTATTTAGACGCCATGACGGCATTGGTCCCACAGACACGAGACTCTCCTGTGCAGGCAAGTTTCAAGGAATGTGTACAAACAATAAGAGACTAACCAAACTAAATAGATTGGCCTAGAACCGATCATTGCGGCCGTAATACCCCTTGTTGGGCCGCTGATCGGTTTTCTAGCCGGGTTATACATTGTTTTCCTATCCCTGTTCTTCGATGTAAGCTGGTCCGACGTGGTTTACATGGTGAATCCTCGTTTCGGCGTGGCCTAGTTGAAACCCTAACCCGTCACACAAATTCTGCAGCTGTTTAATCTGTGTCTCGATGCTGGATCTGGATATATCCCTATTCTAGGGAATATTGTCGATGTCGCCTTCAAGGCCAACCTAGCCAATCTTGCCATCCTCGAGCGGCATATTCGCAAGTCCAAGTGAGTTGTCGTGCGCCTTACTTTGGACGCCGACGCCACCAAGTCAGTGAGACGAGAGACTAACGGGAGCAATTATAGGTATGCGTATCTGGCAGTTGCACCCCCCAAGAGCTGGTGGTCCGCGTGGATGGGCAGGGGAACAGCCAACTGGTGACCACTCGATTATTATCATGTGGAGGCAGTCTCAATCAATGAAATCCGCGTATTACAACCGCTGTCGTGGTGCCTGCTGCTCGCCGGCCGTCCGAGCGAGGTTCAGGCTCAGAGGGGTTTACACCTGGGCGTGCGACTGGTGTGTTCGAAACGACACTTTTGAAGTTGGTGTCGTAAGCTGGACTCTCGGGGTGCATTTTCGTATCCGCTCTAGCCGTTTTCCTCGTCTGATGCAGTGCTGACTGCGTGTTGCCCTGGGCGCTAGCCAAAGGTAAATGGGATTTGATTCCGGAAATGCTGAAATAAAAATGGCTCTATCGCCCCCGGTTATGCTTCACGATTACTTGCCGTTAGCGGGCCCTGTTGGCAGACCTTTGACCCCTACCATCCCGCTGCCAGCCTCGTCGTAGCGCGTCTGGGAGTGATCATGAGCTCCCGACGACTACCAATATACCCCGAAGACGTCTATCGTTTGGTTTGTACGTGTCCGCCCTGCCGGTTCGCGTCCCCGCTGCTCCTTTCTGATTCAAACTGTTCGCGTTCATTGACACTCTTCTCCCACGCGACTCGTGGTGTATTGTAGGTGAAGATGGGCGCCCAGATGCCCAAATACCTCCGAATCATTCGTTTCTGGGCCCAGTAATGAGCCCTCATTCGATTCAAGGTATTCATCACTTCATTCTGCATGCAATCACCGATCTACACCGGCTCCTTTGTCTCCTGCGCTCGAAATTCGCCAAATCTTCCATCCTCCGCGCCGGCTGTCGTCATTTTCATGTCCCCACTCAGGCTCTGATTATTTGTTTCTTCCTTCCAGGTCACTCTTCTAGACCCGAGACACCGTCTACAGGTCTCACGACGTACGCCGTCGCCACGGGCTTTAGCAAGCAACACTATGAACCCTATCTGGACAACTCGATGGTGATGTCCCCGTATGACTATCATCGTCAACAAGTAACCTCGGCATCTACAATGAATACAACGACAACGAGGCCATTGCTCTCCCTTGCGCCTATTCAGCACCCTTCATCCCCTTCATCTCCGTCCCTCGTCAGCGCAACGACCATGAATCTAGCGGGACCCGCATCCGCTCCTCCCCTTAGCACGGGCGGTCACCCATCAATCGATGCAGACATTAATCGGTCGCAGACGTTTCACCATTCGTCCGCGCTGCCGATAAACGCCTTGTATGCGCCTGAAGAGCAGCAGCTAGTGACGGCACAGCCTCGCTCCACTGTTGCCCGTCCACACCACAATGCTCAAAGGGGTTGGAGGGTGCGTTCCAAGCCATCTGCAACCCCGTACGACCCAATCGTGACCAGTGAACGGAGAAGGGCAATCAAAGAGCAATTCAAGCTTTCACAACAAGCTCAGCAAGTCTCGGCTCCGCAGACACCCGTGTCAGCCGCATCCACCACGACGTCCGAATCTCCCGCAATCCCGCAATCCGTCAGACCAAACTATGGTCGTTCAGCCAATCATACCCAGATGACACATGATTACTCTCAACTGCTCAGTCATCCACAAGGGCTACCCAATGGTCCCCCGGCTCCGACCTCGAATGAACGTTTAGCCTCTGGACAGCCGTCGTCATCCTCCTCATCACCGGAAGTGACAATGCACACTGGGATTAGCTTTATCCGCGATTATAAGACAGATTGGAACAATTTGCACTCACCTGTCCATGAGGGGCGCTCTCGTGCAGCCGAGGCCGCGTCAAATATAAACACGTACGATGCTCGCCAAAGCTATTCGCACTCGACAGCCACAAAATCCAACGGAAACGTGTCATCACCCTCAATGAACCCTCCACCTGCGGGAACCGTCTTCATCTACGACGTAGACTCGTCGACTGCGACGCTTGACCCATCCCAGGATTATGCCGAGTACGCTAGCTACTTTCCACTGAGGACAGAGGAACATCGGCGACTGCGGGTTGCACTACACGGGGTCATGACTTCCCAATGGAAGTTGCAAAACGAGCTCGAGCCTACACCACAACACATGCTCCAGTTTAGCCAGAGGAGCGTGAATAATGATGGAAACGCACTCTACAGGTGCTTGTTCTATCATAAAGGCAAAGCTTGCGAGAAGACGTGGAATCGGCCCGAACGGATCCTTGCGCATTTGCGCAAAGAGATTGAGTTGAGGCCTTTTGTTTGCGACGGAGAGAATGATGTGTGGTATGTGTGGACTTGTTTTGTTGACAAAAAGACTGAGTGCTAATGTTGATTGCCAGTGCGTGTAAGAGCCGCTTTTTCGCAGAGGATACTCTACAGCAGCATCGGAAGAATGTGAACACTATCCCATGTACTCACTGGTGAGTGTTTTTGTGGCATGCCAACTGAAAACTGACGCGTCACTAGCCCTGCAATGGTCACGCCAAGAAACGTTCAGCGGCACCTTAAGCACAACTGCCCGCGGTCTCCTGACAGGATCAGGTAGCCACCTCCCAAAATATTTACTCCTCGTCGCCACTCTCGATTGCCAGCTGTATCATATTCTCGTCTCGCATCTCTTCGATGATCAGCTTTCGTCGTGCCTCCGAGTCTGTCGTGTCCCCGAGTCTGTCGTGTCTATCATGCAGTTTAATTTTTTTTTTTGCTTATAGAGTTTGCATCTGCGCCGCTGTACCCTTTAATCGCGTGTGCGCATCTCTTGTGAGATCCTCGCAAATTATGGCTTGCAGTGTTATGATCTCCTCTCCGCATTGCAAAGTTAAGGGCGTTGTCATATGGCTCGTTGTCGCCTCGTGTGTCCAGCTCGCTTGCGGCGTCATCCGAGCCAGCAAGCCCGGCGTTTTCAACTTCTGGACCCAACGCCGTCAACCGTGCATGGAGCATAGCGGCCGGTGATCGCATAGAGCATCTATTCTTTACCTATTCATCAAGCTTCTTACTGTTCAACTTTCGAGCTTGTCGTCTGTCACGAGCCAGACTCTGTCCACCAGTTCCGAGGAGCCTTTACCGGAGAAAGAGATTGAAAGGAGAATGCCAGAGAAAGCTGAAGCAACACAAAAGGCTGAGCCACCCGCCGCGCAAAAGCACCAGCCGCTCTCCTTGCTCAATAAGGACTCTTTGACGAGCTTTGTCGGCGGTGGGATTGCCGGAGCAGGTACGTCTACACCCTTATTTTCACACTTTTTTTTGTGGATGCGAATCTGCCGAGGATGGGCGGATGCTGATTGTCATTTTTGGCAGCGTCGAGGACGGTCGTCAGTCCACTAGAGCGATTGAAAATTATCCAGTGAGCCTTGTCCTGATAAAAAGGCAAAGAAATGTTGGGTTAACGGATCTAGACAAGTGCAGAGTGCTTCTGGAAATGCTGGGAGGTATCAAGGAGTCTGGAAATCGCTCGTGCGCATGTGGAAAGAGGAAGGATTTAAAGGTTATATGCGAGGAAATGGCGTAAACTGCTTGAGAATTGTTCCGTCAGTGTCGTTGACTCTCGCCTCTCCCAGTACTCATCCTCTTTGAACAGGTATTCGGCCGTTCAATTCACAACGTATGTATCCCATCTTTCTTAGAGCAAGAGACTCTAATCTGGTTGTGCAGATACGAGCAGATGAAGAAGATTGTCACTCATAATGGTTTCGAGCTCAACACTTTGACTCGACTTGGATGTGGAGCTATAGCTGGTATCGTTTCTGTTACTGTCACTTACCCGCTCGATCTCGTACGAGCACGTCTGTCGGTCGCCTCTGCCACTTTTGCCCGACTCAACGACAAATCCTTACAATCTGCCACCACGACATCATCTACATCTACATTACACTCTTCTTCCGCGATAAAGTCGCTCCATACGTCTGCCACAGCGCGGGCAGCAGCCGCCTCGTCCATGGCTGCGTCCGCTGCAGCCCAAGTCGAAGTCCCTGGCGTATGGTCCATGATTCAAAAGGTCATGCGAGAAGAGGGTGGTGTACGGGCACTCTACCGAGGGTTGGTTCCGACGGCACTTGGCATCGTACGTCGTCTTGTCTTTTCACATGAAACAGAAATTGGACTGATGACTGACGATATGGTGTACAGGCTCCGTATAATGGGATCAATTTTGCCTCGTATGAGCTACTAAAGGACGTGATCTGTCCACCCGACAAGCAAACGACGCCACGTCGATTGATCACGGGTGCACTGGCAGGAACCATTTCACAGACGTTGACATACCCGCTCGATGTGCTTCGACGGAAGAGTCAGATGGCTAGTGCAAAGGGGTACGTCATCCAACCTCCCCTGCAGGCGTTCCCCTTACCTCTTCCGCGCAGGTTCAGCCAGTATAACGGGGCGATAGACGCCGCAAGACATACCCTTCGTAGCGAAGGCATTCGCGGCATGTATCGTGGCATGTGGCCCAATCTTAGTACGTCCGGCGGTCTGTTTGACAACTGAGCGTTTCCTCATTGATATTGCAGTTAAAGTCGCACCGGCTATGGCCACATCTTTTTACGTATACGAAACCGTCAAACGACAGCTCAAGCTGTATCTATAGAATGCGTCACGACCATAGCATCTCATCACATATAGAAGGAACTGCTCCTCGAACGCTCCTTATTCCCTTTCCTCGCTCTATGAGGCTAATCACATTCTTTCCCTATCTCCCTATCGCCGTCGTCGTGTCTTATCTAAGTCCTCTGACGCTTGTTCTTGTCTCCCGATCCGAATAGTATCTCATATTTCACGTGTGTCGCCCGAACTTGAACTTTATCCACAGCGAGTTTCACCGCCAAAGGTCGGGTCGATGGACGATTATTCGACTTGCGAAATCTCGGACGCCCTCGTCAAGCTTGGAAGCCCACACGGCGGGTGCTTGGTCGATATCCACTGCATTTCTCCTGGTCCATACTCGGATCTTCGGATTGAAGGACCTGCATATACCGTCAAGATGGTTCCATTTGATGATAAAGTGTCTCCCAAGCCTTCTGTACACTTTGTCGATGGCGCAAAGGAGGGCCATGTCATTGTGATTTCCGCACCCAAACGTAAGTTGACATCGTCTACGGATTTAGGATCAACGGTTTGCTAGACGTGGGATCTGCTGTCTGGGGCGGCCTCATGTCGCTGGGAGCAAAGACTAGAGGGGCAAAGGGTGTCGTTATATCGGGTAAGATTGATTTACATCGTCCCAAGGGCATGTTTGAGCTGTTTAGGTCGTTGTAGGGACGTCGCCGAGCATCGCGAAGCTCAGTTCCCAGTGTTTGCTCGTGGGACAAGCACGCTAGGCCAAAAGCCATTTACGCGACCATCTGAACTCGATGTTCCGATTGTCATACACTCTGATAGTATATACTCAAACGACGGGGAGCAATGGCCAGGAGTGCAAGTACGCCCTGGCGACTGGGTGGTTGCCGACGCCGACGGCGTAGTCGTCATCCCTCTCGAACAAATGGAACGGGTCAAAGAAATTTGTAGCGTTTCGCGGAAAGTTGACGCAAGCTGCAAGAGAGATCTTTTGGCTGGAAAGGGAGTAGCAGAGACATTCAAGCTTCACCGTGGTTCGTAGTATGTTTAATATGAGATTATTTAGGGAAATCCAGAGTCAAAGGGTGCGAATATGGCGCAGTGCGCCTTTCACCGCCATCCAAGCGCGTAAGAAACTTGGCCTCTTCCACGTCGACCTTGTGACTTGAGCTCGAATTCGCTGCAGGACAGCACAATTGCGCACTGTATATCACCTCGAATACCTCTCTGAGCTGTATTTGAACGACGGTTTCGATCGAGCGATAAAGAGACACGATGCCCTCTGGATGGTATAACCTTGGTACGTTTTAGACGGCTTTATAAGAGTTTAGCGATGCTTATGCGTGCATTTGTAACATTACAGAGGCGGCTACGGCTGCTGTACCGACATTTGAGGAAGAGCCAGCATTCTCCTTCCTCAAGCTATCACGCACACAGCGAATATACGGCTTTGGAGCATGGTAAGCACCCTATGTCTCTTGATGAAGACGACTCGTAACGCTAACCCTCTTGGCAGCATGGCAATTGGGTTTGTTCTTTCGATAATAGGCACATCACTCCTCTACCTCGGTTTGACGATCCAATTCGCGTTAATGTTCACGCTGGGTACCATCGTCTCGCTCATCGGCACAGGGTATACCTCTAATGATTCGTCAAAAGTCGCACTTGGGCTCACCATGAAACAGCTTTATTGTCGGTTTCACCAAGCAACTAACAGCCATGTTCAAGCCTATTCGAGTCGTAGCCAGTATCGTCTTCCTCGGCGCAATCGGCATGACCTTTGTGGCCGCGTTCATCCTGCACAACAAACTACTGTGCCTAATTCTTGTGATTGTCCAGTATCTCGCTTTCCTATGGTGAGTGTCTGCAACCGAGTTCTTGGCGAGTGGCTAATGGTTCGTAGGTATACGCTTTCCTACATTCCCTACGCTCGCGATGCAGTCAAGAAGCTTATTGGGATGTCGTAGACGTTATAAAAATTCAGCTTTGCTACATTGCATTCTTCATCTCTCTGAGTTTGCCCATCACAGCAGCCGCATCCTCTGCGCCTGTAGCTTTCCTATACCAGTCAGCAGACAAACAAAAGAGCAATATTGATGCTCACTTGATCGTCTCATCTCCGAGTCGCATAAAGACGTTCCACTTCTTTTCATCCCCGATCGTACTCTTGCCAGCCATAATCTCATTGGACGCACAGAGCTCTTCCAGGCGCCCAATGTCAGGATTCGATGGATCAATCTATACTTCTGTTAGGATACATTCAAGAGCGTTGAAGCCATACCGTCTTGGCAAACTTGACATTGCCTTTAGTGTATTCATGACCGTTGTACACAACGGTGTCCTCGGGAAGTGTGCCTAGATAGGATAATGATGCGTGCATCTCCTCTGGTGTACCTTCAAAGAACCGTCCACAGCCTCCTTGGAAGAGTGTGTCTCTGGGAAAGATGAGGACATAGGTATGAGGATAGCTTGACATACCCAGTGAATACGGCCTTTTGGTCGCCATCTGTTACATAGTAGCAGATAGAGTCTCGTGTATGACAGGGCGTGGCTAGACATCTAGAAAGGTGAGATGGCCTACCAGTGTGAACCTGCAAGAAGGAGGCTTACCTGATATTAATAGAGTCTCCCAATGTGAGCGAGTCTCCGTCCTTTATAATCTCGCTGACAGCGCGTACTTGGGAGCTACCACCGTAAATGATTGCAGAAGGTAACGCCTTGGCCTATAGATATCAGAAAGGCAAAACTTCTTCCCAGGGATAACAGAGCTTACAATGCCTGGATTCCCACCGGCATGGTCTTCGTGGTGATGGGTCGTCAGCACGCCCACAATGTCGAGTGACTTTCCTTCTGGAAGGGCTGAAACTTTGTCCAGCGCATCTGGAGCGGCTGGGTCTATCAGGAATGCCTTGCTTTTCTCTCCCACGGCCTTGCTCTCTTGGAGCACATACATATAGTTGTCGGAACGAATTGGAACAGGAATAATTTTCATCTTGGGAGTCATAGAAGTGTGAAATCGTCGTAGAGACAATGGCTTGAAATGTTGCTGAAGACGGACGAGTCGAAGGTACATGGTGTCGGGTGTGAAGTCATCCTGGTGCTGACCAAAACCTTTGGGAATGGAAAAAATTGCTCCTTGAAACTTTGAGGAAAATAAAATCCTTGAAATGGATAGGATTTTGGCCAAATGACAATCGAGAACAGGCGAGGGGGGTCGATTTGCATATCCCGGGCAATCTGTTCATTCTTCAAGCTCGCTGTCGTCAAATGTCCTCTTTGTTTGTTGCTACTTTCTGCTTTTTGAACTTGGACCCGACTTCAAGTCTCTTCTCTGCCGCTGCGCCGTCAGCAATCAAGAACGATGCAGATAATGTGCATTCTGCTTCTAACGCTCGCTTCTACATTCTCTGGGTGCCACGGTGGACACAGTATCACCCCGAACAAGCCCTCGTTGATCATGCCTGCCGCCCCCGCTGGATTGTACGCCTTTCCATCGTCTCGGCTGCAGCAATCGACTGAACGGTGTTTAGAAATCGTCGAGCAACGTGTGCTGCAGGAAAGTATTACGACAATGGATGCCAGGTAACCTCACTTTTCGAGGCCTCTGAAGTGACAACTTGCTGACTGTGGCAAGACATGTACAGCTGGATACTACTGCCCGGGTAATGACTCGAAGACTCAGTGTCAAGCCGGCTACTACTCGAGCTCTGGTGCCAGTAAGCATTGACTCTGGGCTGGGGACAAGGCTAATGACGTCCAGCATCCTGCTCACCGTGCCCTCGTGGAACATGGACCGATCGTATGTCTTGTCCGCTTGGATTTACATCAGCTCATTGATGCAGAGACTGGGACACAAAACTCGTCTGGATGCAAGGCTGTTCAGGGAGGTTACAAGGCCAATGCCTCTTCTGGCGCAGTGAGTGACTCGTACCTCTTTTTTCTGTCTCACCGCTAATTTTTACTAGACGGCACAGGTAGCTTGTGGTGTTGGATACTACTCTCCTGGGAACACGGATACATGTACCATCTGCCCAGCGGGCCACTATTGCAACGCCCAAACAACGACGACCCCGACTCCCTGTGTCCCTGGAAGATACGCACCCACGACGGGTTATGGCCAGGACTGTGAATGGTGCCCAGGTGAGTAAGCAGTCAGTCTACTACGCCTTAGAGACTCAAAATTGTCAGCCGGTTACTTCAATAATGTTTATGGCGCTACCAGTTGCTGCAAATGCTGTTCGGGATGGTTCAGTATGTCAACCCCGGGATACCTTTCACGCGATAACAACCTTCCATAGACTCGCAGACATCACAGACACATTGTCAAAACTGCCCAGGGCTGGGCTCCTCCAAGCAAGGCTCTCCTCCTGCTTCGACGAGCTCCAATCAATGCACATTCAGTCTGACCGACTATGTATCATCGTGCGACCAGCCGTCGAGTGGAGCATGTCGTAGGTTTTGGGGTTTTGGATGACTTCGTTCGCGGAAACTGACATTTGTCTAGCGCCTACTCAAGCAACAGCGACAGCTTCATCCAAGGCAAGAAGAACGATACGGCAACTTCATCAATGTCCACATCACTCCCAACGTCGCTGTCCAGTGCCGGCTGTCGATGCCAAGAGGGCCAGTCACGAGATGGAAGAGGACATTGCATCGTATGGAATAGATACCAAGCTAGGTTCCTACGAGTGTATCGATATTGAGACTAACTTGGAGAGCTGTGGTGGTTGTGTTCCACATGGAGAGACAGAGGGCCCGGACGGTGGCAAGGACTGCACTGCGATTGAACATATGAGCGCTGTCAAATGTGTATCTGGCAAATGCACTGTCGGTGAGTTTGAACCTTCTTTTTGGTAGTTCCCCAACTCATGAAAAGCACAACAGGGGCTTGTCGCAGTGGATACGCCATCTCGGCAGACAAGAACTCGTGTATCCCGACATCGAGACACAAACACAGAGGTCAAGGTCACTCAACGCATGACATGTTCTGATCATGTGCTCTCCTCTGTACGGTCGATTGACCTTTTCGTTCCTTGCTATTACATCCATTTTCATATCGCGCCACTTTGTGTCCTCGGGTCTCTCAGATCATATTATGTGCTCCTCGGTGACGTGAGATGCGTCTCCTACTTGGACCCTCCCTTGTCGATATTTTACAGTTTCCAAACTCTACAGCCATTCATAATCGCTACCATACAAGTCTAATTATCATCACTCGAGTATGTTGGTCTCGCTACGGATACAAATTGCCATCTCATCCGGTTGCTCGTCGTTGCCCATCTGTGGCTCAGTATTATGCGCTCTGCTTTTTTTCTTTATACCTTCTTTATCATCTCTGCATTTGCTTCCGATATTAGTGATCATGGTGGCGGCATTACAGCTCAGCTTCGTCGTTTGACCGGCCTACTCCCTGCCGCACCAGCTCGTGTCAGAAGAGGTGCGAGGTGCTCGAGTGGACAGTACTACTCTTCGAATACAAGGAGTTGCCAGGTTTGCATTCTTCTCCCATCCCACTAGTCCAAGCTCAGCCCTCGGTGGAATAGACGTGTACAAGTGGACGGTGCTGTCACGGAGATGATACTGAGACGGATTGTGATCCTGGGTAAGTCTACGTAGCGTGTTCCTTGGTCATCTTGAGCTGAGAGGACGTCGTAGGTACTACTCGGGTCAAGGTCACACGACATGTACAGCATGTCCCCTTGGAACTTACTGCGCTTCCTCGGGTTGTACAAGCTGTAAATCTGTCAGTGCCGGCTACAAAGCCAACAAATCGGTGGGCGCAACTGACCAGGTTCGTGTGCATCTCAGCTAGAAGATTGTGCTCATATACATAGACCGTCTGTCCCAGTGGCACATATTCGAGGGGATCAACAGACACATGCACGGATTGTCCCGCTGGTATGAGTGGAATCATGGCCGGGGGATCGAGGCTTAGATTCATTCAGGATACTACTGCTCGGGTACTGGAAACACTGGCCCATCTCGGTGTGGTCCCGGAAAGTACATGGCGACGTCCAGATGTGGTAAAAGCGAGTGCGACCCTTGTCCAGGTGGGTCCGTTCGTCAGGCGAGGAAGCATACTTAGCCCTCAACAGCCGGCACATTTAACAACGTCTATGGAGCAAGTGAGTTGCAACCCAAAAGACCCATTCAGTGTATCCTAACGTCACCGACAGCATCGTGCTGCAAATGTTGCTCAGGATTCTACGGTATGGGAGTGGCTTCGAAATGAAGACTCCTTCATTGACAAAGATCAGCATCCTCAATCGGATCTACTTCATGTACTGCCTGCGCAATGTCGGGTGGCAAGAAACAGGGTTCACCCGCCGGGGCCACGACGGCAAGCCAATGTTCGACTGGCTTGACAAACTATGCTCCTACATGCACTCAGGGCAGTAGTGGTGGTAGTTGTCGTAAGTACTACACTCTCACGGCTTGACGAGTCTCATTTATACTGAAGCTGCCACCACTGGGACGCCGACCGCGTCGTCGAAAGCAAAACGAACAGGAAAGATGTTGAGCATGTGCCCCAACCCATTACACAAGCGCTGTCCAGTCTCCAAGGCTCGCTCTACGATTGGAATTCGCCAGAACGGGGGAGAGGGTGGTGCGGGAGCCATTGGCATCGATCCGATTATTGGCCCATATGAATGCATCGACACGAAGACGAATCTTGAAAGCTGCGGAGGGTGCGTACTAGAAGGCGAGGTTTACGGGCAAGACGGGGGGCAAGACTGTACGGCTATTGAGCATATGAGCTCTGTCAAGTGTGTCAATAGGAAGTGCGTCGTTGGTGAGTACGTGATCCTTGTATTCGACATCTTACTGGATATCTTAGGTGCGTGCCGTAGTGGCTACACTGTTTCGAGTGACAAGGCTGCATGTATCAAGACCCAGAGGCACAAGCAACGTGGTCAACATTCACATAACCACAACCATAGTTTATGATCTACGCTTTCGTCCTCTTGTGCAGCTTTCGCCTTATGGTTCTTGCTGTAGCATGTACATGAGCTGAATACGATGCTGTCCATGTATGATTCCGACCAAAGGTCGTGACCGGAGTCAAACAGATCTTGGCACCCGACCACAACTCGGCAATTCACGTGAGGACTCAGAATGCATGGCAGCATTTGAGCAATATCTCAACGACAAGTATCTCTCAGCTCTTCATTCTCCTCTATTATCGCCCTACATGCAAGCCTCGTCATCTGCCGAACGCGACAAGTTTGAGCTCGCGGCCTTGCGCGACGTGCCAACGTTGCTCGACTTTGTTGCAAGCGTACCGGCACCAGTTACCAAAGTCCTCGTCGAATTTGCGTACCCTATCCGTCTCCTCAACCGCTTTGCATTCGCGGCCAGTTGGAAGAGTTCGGCAGAGCAGAGCTTCCTCGTCCTCTTCGCTTGGGTCAGCATATGCCTGTATGGTGGATTTTTTGTTCGGTATGTTTCACTTTCTCGGGTTTTGGAGCGCTATGGCTTATATGAAGCAAACAGCTTTGCGCTCATCCCTATCATCATACTTGGTCCTGTAATTCTACCGCGCCTACCACAACGCTTTCAACATAAGAAATCCACACTTACTACTGAAGAATCACTCGCAGCATCCCTCTCCGACCTGGACGGAATATACGCGCTCCGGCCAGACTTTACTCTTCGCGATCCATTATCCTCGCATCTTTCATTTCAAGAACGCTTACGCGTCCTTGGTTTTATCTTAATACCCTTTATTACCCTCACCTACTGGGCCTCGCTCCGAGTACTCCTAGCCATTGCTGGGGCGCTCGTCTTAACTTACCGAGCTCCCTGGGCAATAAGTACACGAAGAATAGTCACACGTTCGGCTTATCTGCGTGCACTATGGAGATATATCATCAATTGGGTTTCTGGAAACTATACCATTCCAATCACACGACCCATTCGGAGCATGTCTCGCCGACAGACAGACAAAAAGGCTGAAGAGCCTACCAATGCACCGACCAATACAGTGAACAAGCATGCATTCATGTTCACAGTCCTAGAAAACCAGCGATGGTGGGTTGGAATCGACTGGACGGCCGCTCTATTGCCAAGCGAGCGGCCCTCCTGGTGTGCGCCCATCACTCCGGGGTCACTATCGAGTACACAGGGACCCAACCAACTCGTTTTCCACGCCCTTCCGCCCCCAGCGTCATTTCCACTTCCCCCTTCGACCTCTGTCACGCTCCCATCGCCATCTGGCAAAGGTTTCATAAAGAAAACGGCCAAATGGAAATGGGAAGATGACAGTGAATGGGAGGTAATAGTCCATAAAGAAGGCGAGGACAAGATTAGAAAGCTCCGACCTCCGCTCAAGGCGTCACATCCAGAAGAGGACAACAAGGGTCAACTCCTTGCCAAAGCGGCAGGAAAAATCAGCGCTAATCCATCACCTACAACATCGTCGTTTGCAGAGCACGAGGCTGGAACTAGCGGCAAGCCGTTGCTCCCCAGTGCGCATCCAGAAAATGAATTTACAGACCAGGACGGATGGATCTATGGCGACAACAAGTGGGAGAATTTGGCAGGGAAAGCGGGCATGGGCAAGGTGAAATTTCAGGTCACCCTGCCGTTTTCGTTGGTCACTGACCATTATTACAGTTTACTCGTTTCCGCAGATGGTGCCGTGTAGCCATCTTAGAAGAGACAGAAGAGTCTGTAGACGAGCCCGACGCCAAAGTGACGTTTACCCAGCTCGAGGCGCGCAGGAGTCATTCTCCGGAGAAGGAGCCGGCGGAGTCGCTGGTCGAGAAACCTTCACAGAGCAGAGCGAGGAGTGAGACCAAGGGATCCCCGGAGCGCAGCAGAGGGCGCACGACGGACAGCAGGCTCAGCGTCGGAGGGGAATCATCGCTGCAGCAGCGACTCAAGGCAGCGCTGAAGAGCAACACATAGTGTATAGAATGTGCGTCTGCCTAGTGTATTCAGTATCGGGTTTTCTGGACGCAGCGCCGCGCCGCCGCGGGTTTGCCGTTGGGGCTGGTTGAATGGCTTGAGTGAGACAAGCGCACTGAATGGGAAGCCAGCGACAAAGAGCGGGATTTAAGATGTACGTCGTGCTTTGTTCTGCCAGTGGAAGATTAGAAAACTTGGAGACGTTGGGTGGCAGCTGATGGCGGTAAGGTGAACTTGGACTCTACCGCCGACGATGCCTGCAACGCGCTCCTCCTCTACGCACACCCGGTCTCATTCTACGCGCACATCACTCGGTTCGACGTCAGGAGTGCAGCTCGACACAGACTCCAAGGGCGCGATCGCGGATCTGCACGGGAGCGCCGCGCTCGACGAGCTCGCAAACGGGGACATACTCGACTCTCGGGGCAAGAAGAAGAAGAGAGTGTCTGATTGGGAGCGAAACGAGACGGATTCCACGACCCAGGAATGCCTTTATCAGCTTCAAGGCGTCGTTGCGCGATGGTCCACTCCGAAACGAGTACAATGCGCGTCTGGCGCGAGGCGAGAACATTGGTGTGATTGCACAACAGCTCTGGAAGTCTCTCACGCCAAAGGAACGCGATGCTTGGTACGACGCAGCCCGCAGAGAAAAGGAGGAGCACGCGAAAAAGTACCCGGATTACAAGTACCAGCCGAGACAAAAGCCGCGCAAACGCCGCATGAACAAGGGGACTAGAACCGAAGAAATGACTGGAGAAGACCAGAGCGAGGGCGAGGGTGAGGGTGAACCAGAGGGCGAAGGCGAACCAGAGGGTGAACCAGAAAGCGAGGAAATGGGCACTAGCGAGTCCCCCAGTAGTATCCGCAGCGATTTGGGCGAGACTGGAATGCGTCGGACTGTCGAGATTTACTTGGGGGGCACCGAGGACCTCGACTCGCTGTATCAGAACGGGTGGAAGGTGCGTTTGGGCCTTGCCACATCGAGTACAAACAACTGACTGTCCACATAGTGGGCACTCATTAGGGAATACAATCCGTCTTTGGACGTACTCCCGGTCGTCGAAGAGCACGCCAGCGATTCCCTTGCAAACATTCCCCCCGAGGGGCCGACTGTCGACATGGTCACTATGGGTTCTGCCATGGAGAATACTACCGGAAGTTCGTCTGTACGTCAGCGACAGGTTGCTCCCCCTCGCTTGGTTTCGACAACTGACAGGGAGTTCTAGACCCCTCCAAGCCTCAACGTTTGTTCGACTGCGGATCCTTCCATCTTTCAACAATACCTTGGACCGTGGGACTCGTCTGCCCCCCAGTCTACTTTTGTGCGTGCACGGCCCTTGTTTCCCGGTCGGGGTTTGTGGCGGGCTAACGATCTTCCTTGGATAGTTTGAAGACACGCTAGTTTCGGACTCGGCACCTCCGTTCGACAACAGCATGCTCAAGGTTCCTTCGCCCGGTATGGAGACATCCACGTAGACTGCTATGCCAACCAACCGCCTGATGAGCCGTGGCCGCAATCAAGGCGTCCCGGCAAAAAGGACTGGATTCGGAACCTGGTTACTGCCTTACTGTGCTTTACTAACGACCCGCGCTTCGCATAACTATATATGACCTGTCGTGTTTAGCCTTCGAAATGTTCACAGTTCCTCTTTCACCCTCTCTTTCTTTCCTCCGTCGTGCCCGTTAGAGCTGGTCTCTGTGTCTGTGTTTGCTCCAGAGCTGCATCATGTCCTTGGTCCACCCCTTGTTAAGCCCCGAGAGCGAGGTGTTCTCGACGCCGCCGACAAGTCCCATGCCGCCTACAAATGCAGAATACGCATCGTATGGCGGGGTTGATTATTCTGGATCCACCAAGCGCGGCGATCGACCGGCAAAGCTCCTCCTGGATCCGTCCAAGGCCATCTCTCCAGCACTGGCGGCCAGTATCCAACTCGAACAGACTCCAAAGGGCCTTATTCCGTTTACTCAGTCGATTCCAGACATTAACGAACTCGCTCCCGCCCGCCCACTGTCACAGTCGCTGTCGATGAGCGAGCAGGCCCTCAAGAGCCCGTGCTTTGTGCATTCTCAGCTCGAAAAGGGAGCATCCATGACAGAATGGCTCAAACGCACACATCTTCATGGTCCTGTGCACCCATCAACGTCGACGAGCTCGCCGCACTCGGCCTCGGATTTCAACGTCAGCCCGCCCAGCGTCATGGGTGAAGACGAAGAGGACGAGGCATTTAGCAGGAGTCTTACAAGACAGCTTGCAGAGACTGCCGTTGGTGTGCGAGAAATGAGCAAAGCACTGGGCAAGTAATGTCTCCGGGCCGGACGGACTCTGCTTACGCTTGCATTCTCCAGGACGAGCACGCGTGCATTCCGATCTCCAGAGCATCCTCATCGTCACCAAAGCACGCGACAATCGCCTTATCAAATTGACGCGCGAACTTGCGCTCTATCTCATGCAAAAGAAGTGCTCATCGTCCAAGAGACTCATCGTATACGTCGACGCTCAACTCCAAATGTCAAAGCGATTCGACGCCGAGGGCATCCGACGCGATTTCCCCGAGCTCTTTCTGCCCATTCCCCGCCGCCGAGCGTCCAACTCGTCACTGCGATCGGGACACACGTCGAGTGACACACAAATGGAAACCGAAGAGGGTCAGCTTCGGTACTGGACGGCGGACATGTGCTCTCGCAGCCCCCATCTATTCGACTTTGTGGTCACGGTACGTTATTGGTTTTCTATTATTGTAAATCATCGATTGAAGGCCCTTGGTACAGCTTGGAGGCGATGGCACCGTCCTGTTCACATCATGGCTGTTCCAGCGTATTGTCCCGCCAGTGCTGTCATTTGCCCTCGGATCCCTGGGATTCCTCACCAATTTCGACTTTAATGATCACAAGGCCGTCATGGATGCCGCAATTGATTCTGGCATTCGTGTCAATCTCCGCATGCGGTTTACGTGCACCGTCTACAGGGCCGTCGCTCCTGAGAACTGTACAAAGAAGCGCAAAGCGGTAAAAAAGGCAACAACTGGTGAGATTCTCATGAAGGATCTCGAAAAGGGTGGTTGGGAAGCTGTCGAGAATGGCGATACTTCCACCGGGCCTCAAAGCAGAAAGGATAAAGAAATCATGTGCTTTACGACGAGACCAGTGGAGAGCTTTGAAGTCATCAACGACTTGGTTGTCGATCGTGGCCCGAGTCCATACGTCAGCCTTCTCGAACTCTTTGGTACGCTACAACCCAGAATTTTTCACGACGGATGCTCACGGTTTCTCAGGTGACGAGCATCATATGACGACAGTACAAGCAGATGGGCTTGTCATTGCCACGCCTACTGGCTCTACGGCATACTCGGTACGCTCGCCTTGGGATATTCTCGCGACGATAACGGCGCCTGACAATGCTTCTAGCTCTCAGCTGGTGGCTCGCTCGTTCATCCCGAGATCCCCGCTCTCCTAATCAGCCCCATCTGCCCTCACACGCTATCGTTCCGTCCAATGCTCCTTCCGGATACGATGGAGCTGCGCATCTGCGTCCCGTACAACTCTCGTCGACTGCTTGGGCGTCCTTTGATGGAAGAGGACGTATCGAGCTCAAGCAAGGTGACCACATCAAGGTCACTGCGTCGAAATATCCGTTCCCAACTGTGTGTGCCGACAAGCAAAGCACAGACTGGTTCCATGCCATCTCGCGAACGCTCAAATGGAATGAGCGTGAGAGGCAGAAAAGCTTTGTCATGGTCGAAGAGGGACCCGTTAAACCCAAGTCGACCGCTCCCCCAAATAGTGACACGGCAAGCGATGTATTGGACGAGGAAGATGAAGTCGACGACGAAGAAGAGGAGGAGAAATATGATATCGATGACTCGTCAAACCCGGCGACAGCACCTGTTTCTGGTGCAAACACGCCTGCTCGCTCGCCCTCTCACGCGCATCCCCAGTTTTCCATGACAAAGATTCTGGCATCTGACGGTGCGCCTTCGAGTGACATCGACCGTAACGAAGACGGGGACCGAGACAACATTCATTCTCCAAAGTCACTTCTCCATGGCGCAAAGTCGAAGATTCCCAAGGATCGCGACGTGGATTCGATGCGTACCCCACGCGCACAGGAGCATCCTTCCCGGTTTACGCCACCACAAACGCATCTTTCGTTTACGCAGCGTCTGACAAGACCGTTCCATCGCTCTCACCACCACCCGCCGGGCCACCGTCCATCACGTTCCGTCGACTTTGATCAACGCAGCCGCGCGTTTGCAGTCGTGGGACAGGACGAGAGCGATAGCAACACCGACTCGGAGCACTGAGAGAGATCCATTAGAGGCATTATGTATTGTCATTTTTCACGATCGGATTGTATCATTATCACAGGATGAAATCCTAGTCCTGCTCTCTGTCATCGACACGTCCTTAGGAATCCACGCACTCTTTTATGCCAAAGCGTCTTCTCTTCGACTTGGGGAGAGTGTCCCGACCTTTCGAACACGGTCAATGTCCCATCCTGAACGCTTTGTGCGATGAGTTGGTTCATTTCAACTGTACAAGCCCAATCTGCTCTCCCTACCGTGACGAGTACGGGACACTGGATCAAGTAAAGTTTGTCTCTCACATCGTAGTGTTGGTAGTCCCCACTAAAGGCTGCGTTGTGCGTTTCGAAGCGAAAGATGCACGACTTCATTGCTTCTTCGACAGCATCTGGATCGTCCGTGTAAGTGTAAAGAGGTAGAATGGCGCGCCACAATGCCTTGAAATCGTCGTTGCTCGTTACTCGGCCTGCTAAAAGCCGTCGGAGTTTGCTGGTATCGATATGTACGCGTGGAGATTCTTGTGCATGCTTGATTGCGGTATCAATCATGCCGCTACTCGTGGCTGCTGTGTCGCGGAGAACCAGCCCTCGAAGTCGGTGGGGATATCTGATGGCGTATTCCAGCGCAATAAAGCCGCCGTATGATCCACCAGCGAGAATAAGCGTCTCTGCGCATGCCCACTTTCGGAGCTCCTCGAGGTCTTGAACCCACATTGCATGGCTGAGTGGTGGCGAGGCCGCAGAGTATCCCGAGCCACGAGCATCGTAGACGAGGACATGATACTCGTCTGCATATTCTTTGAATGTCTCTGCTGGCTCTTCCCTGAAAGATGAGCCGTCAGCCACATGCCTACCGACGTCGACGAAGTGTACATGGAACTCAGACCCGGACCACCGTGAAGCGCGATAAGCAATGGAGATTTGCTCGAACCAAACTGCTGACATCGGAGTTTATTGCCGTTGATAATCAGAGAGAACGGTGACATGTCTTGGTTTGGAATCGGGGAAGAGACCAAGTTTGCAAATGCCAAAACGTTGGACCCGACTCATGCTACCGTTTAGAGCATCTCTCAGGTTTCTGCATACAAACATCCACAGAGTCTTTGTTCTGGCTCTGCTATGCATTGCGCTCTTTAATCTGGTCAACCGAGGCGTGCTCCCTCTTTCGCGCGTCAGAGCCCCAAAGCACGTTATCCAAGACGATGAAGCTGAAGACTTGGCAGCAGATGATCTCATTGTTGATCTACCCATTGTCGAACACCACCACCATCATAGTCAGCTCCGACACCATGCGCACGGACACAAACTGGCATCGCACAAGTTTCGTGACGACGGGCTTCTCGAGGTCAATCCAGACGGAAGGCATCCCATCTACGATCTGATGAGCAGAGCGGAGCGTGCTTGGGAGGATAAAGTGGCGACGCAGAGCAAGACGCTCGCCGAGGCTGTCACTCAGTATCGACAACGGTACCATAGAGAGCCCCCGCTTGGATTTGGTGAATGGTGGGTTTGTACTCGGAAACACTGTTCCTTCATGACGCATCCTTAGGTGGAAGTATGTCAAAGTGCACAATGTGCAACTACCAGACGAATATGATCAGATCTATCGCGACCTGGAACCGTTCTGGGGTATGCATCCGTCGATGATACGCTCGTTGCAGTCGGAGTTCATGTCGGAGCCTGGGACGTACACCCTCTCCAATGGTCACGACGGCTATGGACCCGTGTACATCTCCTCAACTTCTATGTCGGCATCGGAAGAAGCAGAGATTCTCCAAGGACGGGCCAGTCTGCAAATGGACGTGATCCAACCAGTTAGCCAGTGGCTCCCGCCATTTCAGGCAACCTTTATCGTGGGTTGATGTCTCCAAATTATCCTCGCTGATTGATAACAGTATCACGACAATCCCTTGATGCTCGTAGCTCAAAGTCTCAGGCAGGCGGCATTGGACGCGGCTGCAATGCAAGAACGTAGGTCGGTGTGTCATGACAGAACCTGCATCTGACATGATTGAACAGATTTGGATCAATTAGAGGCGTGGAATCCACATGATTTTGGGTGGACGACCCTTTGTCCTCCATCTACCCCTCTTCGCCGGATGCACGACGCCCTCGACATTCCCAACCTTGATGAACTACATTCCAAACTTCCGAAGACATTTATTTATAACCATGTTCGGTCCATGAATCCTTGCTTGCATCCGACACACATCAACCTCAACGGCCAACTCTTGAATTTCGAATACGGCCCGACTCCAAGATGGAAGTATTACCCCAGTTTCTCCATGTCTACAACTACCATGCATGCAGATATACTCACCGTAGCTCCAGAGAACTGGGTCGAAGATGTCGGGGTCGATCCACCTTGGGACCGGAAACCGCATTCGAAGTTACTGTGGAGGGGGTCCACCACGGGTATGGACATGAAAGGCCGGCGGAAATGGAGGCTCTCGCAAAGACTCAGACTGGTCGACCTCGCGAATCGTATGAACGGCTCCCACCAAGTGTTGCATCCACACAGCCCACTATCCCCCGTCGGGATGCCCCTAGTATCGTCATCTGCGGAGCTCAATGGAAGACTAATGGACATAGCATTTACTTCCAATGCTTCACAATGTGAACTCCAAATCTGCAAAGAGATTGAAAAGGATTACAGGTTTAGACAAGAGCGCCTGACGTGGGATGAAGCGAACAAGTACAAGTATCTTCTCGATGTAAGTTTGCATGTCATTCTGTGCTGTGATTAATCTCGGCTTAGGTTGACGTGAGCGATTGTGACCATGGTGGCTACGGCTAATGTTCACAGGGAAACGGATGGTCGGCTCGTTTCAAGCGCTTAATGACGACCAACTCCCTTGTACTCAAGGCGACCATTTGTCCTGAATGGTACGCAGATCGCATCCAAAGCTGGGTCCATTATGTCCCCGTAGGTCGTAAAATAGCGACCAGAGCGTCACTTATATGTGATAGGTCAAGACGGATTTGACAGACCTCTATGATTTAATGACGTTCTTTCGAGGAGATGGTTCGGACAACACGGGCAACGACCGTCTGGCTGAAAAGATTGCCACTGCTGGCAAAAAGTGGAGCAAGACATTTTGGCGAAAGGAGGATGAGACTGCATACATGTTTCGGTACATCGTTAATTCCTACCTCTGGATTGTCCTGACGCAGTTCTAGTCTCCTTCTCGAATGGGCCCGGGTTTCTGATCCGAATCGTGATATAATGTACTTTAAATGGACAAATGAAGATGTAGAGCTCTAGGACCTGTATTCGCTTTGTAACTTTTTCTATATTGTACATGGGTCGCGAGTGGCTACAAACTTTGAACTTCGACCATGGCTCGTCGACGAAAACACCGAACGCACAACAAGGGAAACGTTCCTCCCAAGACATCCAACGGTAATCCTGGTGACCCAAAATCATTTGTGATCAAGCACGGATCCGTGGGCTATTCTATTACGCAACTGGTACGCGATATGCGAAAGGTCATGGAGCCAAACACTGCTACACGATTAAGAGTATGTTTCCTTCAGCTTTTATTGACGATTAGGACTGAAATGATAAACAGGAGCGCACGAGAAATAAGCTAAAGGACTATTTGGTTCTCGGTCCAACCCTCGAGGTTACACATATCATGGCATTCTCGCTTACAGAGAAAGCACCAACGTTTAGAATAATAAGGCTTCCGAGTGGACCGGGCTTGAACTTTCGTATCGAGAGATATTCGCTCATGAAGGATGTCCTCAACTCTAAAAAGCGGAAACGAAGCAAGGGACTGGAATATTTGACCGCTCCATTGGTACGAATTCTGTATGAAGATGATTTCATTTCGTCTAAAATACCTACAGCTCGTTTTAGCAGCATTTCCACCGGCTTCCCCGACTACACCACCACACCTTGCCCTACTCCTCAAGGCGTTTCAATCAATGTTTCCTTCCCTCTCACCACAGACCATCTCGCTCTCTTCTGCGCGCCGCGTCGTGCTCGTGCATTACAATGCCGATAGAGACACGGTCGATTTTCGCCACTACCTCATCACCATCCGCGCCCATGGCGTATCGCGGCGCGTCCGCAAGTTACTTGAAGGTACAAAGCTCCGCGGAAACTCGGTACTTGATCTGGGAAACGAAAAGGACGTTGCGGATTATATACTCAAGCAGGCTGGTGCCGACGGGTACGAGAGTGCCTCGAGTTATGCCAGTGATGCGGAAGAAGGTGATGCGAATAAGATAGAGTTGCCGTCAAACTATGTCGGGAGGAACAATCGAAAGGGCGAGCAACGCAGCGTCAGCTTGGAAGAAGTTGGGCCGAGGATGGAGCTGAGTCTGTTGAAGATCACAGAGGGCTTACCCGGTAAAGAAGGAGCCGTCATATGGCACAGATTCAGTGAGTTTTATATTTCCATGAGTGACTGGACGGTAGCTGACAGAGTGAATAGTCAAAAAATCGGCGGCAGAAGTCAAACGTCAAAAGGCTGAGCACGCAGAAAAGGCAAAGTTGAGGGAGCAACGCAGAAAAGAGCAAGAAGAGAATATCGCAAGAAAGGCAGCACAGAATGGGCAGAAACCGCCTCCTGAGGATGCGGAAGAGGAAAAGAGCGAAGAAGAGGCAAGTGAAGATGACAACTGGGACGACGAAGAGGAGATTGAGAGTGAAGGGGAAGGCGAGGAGAGTGTATCAGAGTCAGAAGAAGACGATTGAAGAGTCAAGGAAACTTGTAGAGTAGCTTGAAGTAATAGTATTTGCTACGCTAGTGCATGGTACATGATGTGAGACGGGACACGAAAGACAAGATGAACCAAAACAAGTAGCTTCATAGTTAGATCCCTCGCAGGCGAAATATGATTATCAGCGGTCGCAATGATATCAGTCATCCTCTAGTTCTGGTTCTTCCTCTTCGGGGTCCAAGGGCAGATCGACAGGAAGCTCAGGAGTTCGAAGGGAAGTCTCATCGTCTAGAGAATCAAAGTGCGAGTCGGATGCGGGCTCGGAACCCTCACGGGTATTCTTGCCGTCGTCGACTGTAGGATTTGGTGCGGTTGAGGTGATGGCCTTCATTTTAGATGGATCGTGGGTCTTTTCATGCGTTCTAAGCCCCTTGATGCCAATAAAGGCTAGGCCACACGGCTCGCAGCGGTGTTCTAGAACGCGGATGAACAAACCACAAAAACGAGGATTGGGAGAGACTTACTTCGCACTCGAAGATGCGTCACCTTGACATGACGACCCAGATGATCATTTCGTGCAAATGTTTTGTCGCATCCTCCCCATTTGCAGACAAAGCGTCCCTTTGCGTCGAGACCGACGGCGAGCGTAACAGGCAGCCCCGGGTCTCGAGCGACCTCTGCCTCTTCTTCATCACTAAAGTCATCACTATCGTTCTTTTCAAGGACAGGTGGCATGACTAAGCCGAGCGCGACTGGGTCAATGGGGCCCACGACATCGTCAAGCATCATGTCCAGTGGGGGCGTTTCTCCTCTAGGATATCCATCCTTTGCACTGAACACCCAAATGTTGTTTGAGGGCTTCTTTCCCTTTTTGACACGTTGGAATTTTGCTTTGCGGATGTACGTATTCGCATTGGGTTCGCTCTCGGCGATGGCGCTACGATCCGGCTCAAAGGGAGTATTGCTCTGATCATGAAAGTTTTGCACAAAAAATGGGGGTGTTGGCATACGGTGCTCGGGCTCCTGCAAGTCGGCGACTGCGGTGGGCGAGGGTGGGAGCTTTGAAAGATCGACCGAGAGCATATTCTGATTATCTCTCGAGGGTTTGACGATGACCACCGAGTGCAGTTCGCGCTCTTCCGTTTCGTCGTCATCGTAAGAGGGCGAGGCCGGTGGAGGGGGATTCGAGTTTTTGGTGGGTGTTCCCGGTACGGAATCGTGCTTTTCGTCTTCAGATGATGGTGTAGGCTCCCTCAGTGGCTTTATTTTCAAGCGAGGGAGAGGACGGCGTGCAGGAGGTGCAGGGACTGGGGCAGAGTTTGGGCGTTCGGGGTCCTCCATGGGAGTGTCAGAACCTTGGTTAAGCACGTATTGTGCTTCGTTGTCCAACGCAACTCGGACAGAGGCCGTGGTGGAGACCGGGTTTGTGGTGTGAGTTGTGCGCTTCAACGGGTTTATGCCCGAGTCTGGGACAAATAAACGGCCATTTTCAAGGAGTAGAGATGTGGGAAGTGAAATTGGGCCGTTTGAGAGCTTGCGGGACTCGTCACGGACGGCGTGCGGTGTTGGGCTTGGGGAATAAGACAGCTTTGGATTTGAATCTGGCGCTACACGTCTACGCGTACGTGGAGGCGTAGACTCTGCGTCTTCTGTTGCTGGCCGCTTCATCACAGCGAGCGGAGTGGAGATCAAGGGGGGACACATCAACAGCGCACAGCAGAGCAAGTCCAGCCCGCTTCACAGAGGCCACAAACGACGACAAAAAGTTGGAAAACTCGTATTTATGCCTTTTTGTTCATGATTCCAAAGCCTGGGCCTTTGCCGGCAGCTCGCCTGATGTTGGCACCGTCGAGGGCTGTCTGAAAGCCCATACTTGCTAGTAATACATGTTATTGGATATAATAACCTGGATTACAGGCTCATCGCGCCTGCATCCGCATCTTGGACCATGGCCACACCCACCGTCAAACTCCCTCCCAAGGGATCCATCATCCCAATGATACGTTCAAGTTGCAAGAATGCGAGAATATTGGCTAATATTCAGGTCTGCTTGCATTTGTCACATCCACCACCATCTGACTCCTCCGTAGGTCCACGACTCGTCTATCAAAGCCCTCTTGGAGTCACCCGTCTTCAATTCGACGTATGAGAAACTGTCGACGGCACATGGAGTCGCTATGCCGCTCCAGTTCCAAACCCTTGAATCAGAAGTAAACCTCATTTCCTTGCTCTCCATTCTCAATTTCGGTCACGGCTATCGGTTACCTCTGAAAAGGGCAACAGGAAGGGGTGCCTACGATACGATTCGTGCCCTTATCTTTGGACTCTATCTGGCTTCGACGGATGAGGACAATCTCATGAGCGCAAAGGGTCTCAAGTCACTCTCAAAGGCAAAGGTTGCAGAACTAGCTCAGTTGGCGAATCACATCCATGTCGAAAAGGCGCACCCTACGATACCAGGTCTAACCATTGGAGAATTAGGCGGCCCACTCTACGAGTTGGTCGAGTTGATCACCAATGTACTCAACGAGACGGGTACCATTCTTGTCCAAGACAGATATGACAGCCTCGGGACCTTTGTCATCGAGGCTCTCCACAAGGCGGATCAGAATGGCATTGCGGACGCGGAGGTGGTGTTAGACGAGGTGGGTCACTGAGAAAATCAAATTCATTTAATCATTAAATTGGTCCCTGCAGCTTATCCGGAGGTTTCCAGCATTTCAAGATATCGGGACTTACCAAGACCAACGTAGGCGACTGCACCACTTATTTGACATTTCAGGGCACTAAACTGGATTGATAGCCGTATATGTGTTCAAGAAGGCCCTCTTCTTGCTACACGCGCTTGTCCTCCGCTTTGGTCAGGGGTCCGATCGACGGATCCCGTTACCGGATACAGATCAACTGCCCATTTTTTCGGATAATGTGATCCCATCGATGCTGGTCCATTTCGGAGTATTGGATCTCACTCAAGCCACTGAACCGCGCCTTGCATCGGCGTTTGGATCGCTGACGGTGGAGGAGAACCTGGCGTACGATCCGACGAAGGATACGGAGAAGAGGAGTGGAACGACAAGAGGACCGGAGCTGTCGAATTCCGAGGCGTATGTGCTACGAGCGGCGGCGGTGGATGCCTGCGAGATGATTGTGAATCGCGCGCGGGAGGATGGCTTGACGTTTTCGGTTACCCTTCCCGCGCTCGACGGGTGGCTCTGGTCAGTGGCCAAAGAGGGCCGTTTGCGATCAGACCTGAGTCGCTTCACTCAAGCGCGTTGTCTGCTGTACTAGCCATTGCAACCGGCTGCCGAACTATTGGCTTCCTCCACCCACGCGTGTGGCCATCATCTTTTAGAATCTGCCGAGCGGATATAAAGACGTGAACCCTGCCGGCGCGCACTCCAGCTCTTTAAAACGCTTGACCACCTTCCCCCCCTCCCCTCTCTTCTCTTCCCTCGCCTCTGCGCGTCGCTGTCGACCGCAACGTCGAAGGGCTCATAATTCTCTGGACAAGACTCTGACAGCGTGTCATGCCAAAGGCAGATGTAGACCCTCTTGCGCTTGCACTCTTGCCACCCAAGGACGAGTCGCCCGCCCAAAAGGCTGCCAGACTCGCTGCAGAGCAGGAAGCAACCAGGATCAGCAATCTTATCGATTCAGAACTACGAGCAGAACGCGCTCAGCTCAAGAAAGAGGCCCAGAATCAGCACAAGATTCTCCTCTTGGGTACGAGCGACAAATACAGTGACAAGCGTCGTCGCTCACATTCCAATTCGTTGCAGGACAAGCAGAGGCTGGTAAATCTACCGTCCTCAAGCAGTTTCAGCTCGTCTTCACCCCCAACCAGTTTCGTGCCCAACAGCAACACTGGAAAGCCCTCGTTCAGCTCAATCTCGTTCGCTCCATCCTCGTAATCTGCGAGGCACTCACAGACGATCCGAGCGAGTACGACTTGGATATTGACAACTTTCTCTCCCTCGACCCGACCGTCTCTCCAGACTATTCCATCAAGGCTGCAGAGTCTCTCCTCAACGAGGGCGGTGACGAGGATGACACTAGACGCAATTCGTATCCTTACCCAGGGTAAGTGTTTCGTCCAGTCTCCACCTAGCCTGACAACGTCGACCAATCTCACCCTTTCTTCAGAACGGCAAACGCAGAGATTGGACCGATACCTGAGATTACCGTCGAACTCCGCCAATTGAAAATGCGGCTCTCTCCCCTGTACCACGTCCAAACCGTCCTGATCGAGCACCTCGCGTGTCAATTTGATGGTCCGTAGGCGTGCTTCTCCATCAAAATGAACAATCTTCAATTGACGCAATCATTCCACCATTTAGATCCGTCGCTCCTCGTCGCCGCACATCAGCTCGACAAAGCTGCAGATGGCGCCAAAACGGCCGATTTCGTCGTGCGTTCAAACACATCTCTCAATGGCTTCCTCGGCAAAAAGCTCGGGCGCACAGACGAACACGAGCAGACACAGCTTCGGCTCGATATCCATGAGGTCAACACCATTTTGCGAGCGTGCCGCAACGACATGATCGCGCTCTGGAAGGACCCCACCGTTCGGGAGATTTTGCACCGAAGAGATGTCAGACTCGAGGAAGGACCAGGTTCGCTTTGTCCCTTTCGATGAAACTCTGCTTTGCCTTCTTCCGCAAGAATCTTGACCTGCTGACGTTTTCGCAGGATTGTACGTCCCCCCGTAACAATGACGACGACTATACTTTTTTTCTGACTTTATGTTTTTGGTGATAGCTTCCTCCACGAGATTGAACGTATTACCGAACCGAACTACGTTCCTTCGCAAGGTCGGTTCGCAGCGCTTCCGCCGCCGTCGGCCTCATTCTCACAACTGACGCACCCCATCCTCTCATCCAGACGATGTCTTTCGAGCTCGCATCCGAACCCTGGGTGTGCAAGAGTATTCGTTTCGTCTCGAAACTGGTCCGGATAAGGGCCGAGAGTGGAGGCTCTACGATTGCGGTTTGTCTGCTTCCCTTCTTGGCACGCTCGGACACTGACGGAAGCGCTTATCGTTTTGTTGCCTGCGGTATCATAGGGGGTGCCAGGAATCAACGGCGTATGTCTTGCGTAATGAGATGCGCCCCCGGCGTTTAACTGACGAGGTGGCATCAGACTCGTGGCCCTTTTTTGATGACTGCCATATCATCTTTCTCGCTCCGATCAGTTGCTTCGACCAGGTTCTGGCGGAAGACAGGAGGATCAACAGATTGGTGAGCCTCGAGGCTCCTCGCTCCTGTTTAGCGCCATAGCTGATTATGGGTATAGGAGGATTCAATGCAGCTCTGGAAGGCCGTGTGCTCCTCCAAATTGTTGCAAAACTCGGAGATGGTTCTTTTCCTCAATAAGTGCGACATTCTCGAGGCAAAGTCGGTCATCTAATTGTCATTCGATCGGGACCCCTGACAGACTTCGATGCCTAGGTTGAAATCTGGATCCAAGTTTAGTGATTGGGTCCCTCAGTTTGATGGGGCCAATACAGTAGCGGACGTTACCAAATGTACATCTCGCGCTTACCGCTCAGTGTAGACGGCTGACGACCTCGCAGACCTCAAGGGCAAGTTTAGGTCAATACAAAAGGCGCATTCGCCTGGCCCCAGGGTATTTTATTGTCATTTGACTGCGGTCACGGTATGCCTCCTCTTCCAGGTTTGCCGATCGTTTGGCTGATGATGCGTTTAGGACGCAAAATCGACTGCAAAGATCCTGAATTCGGTTCAGGAGCTTGTTACGCGAGTGCAATTGCAGAGTGTATCCTTATTGTGATTCATGAGCTCGACGTTCACGGTAAACGCCACGACTAATCACTCCCCTCCCGCTCCGGTTCAAGGAATTACTGTACCACTGCAAAACATTATGTTCCATTACCTATCTATGCTCATGTTAATCCATACCCGTTGTAGATGATCTCTCCGTGTGGACCTCGCGTGAAGTGTACCATTGCATGTCGACGCAGACCGGCTGGAATTGCGACGGCTGCTCCGGACGCCTTGGACCTCCTGGATAGCGCTGTCCGTCTCTCTTCCCGAGAGGCCAAACAGGGAGATAGCAGATTTCATTAGGCTCGCACACTTTGCGGCAGCCTCTCCATACCTTCCAGTCCAGCCTTGCCAAGAGCTGCGACAAACGCTTATGCCATTCTCTTGCGAGTTGCTTCCACTCATGATTGGCGCTTGTCAGGGCTGCTTGTGCGTCGGGGGGCTCGGACCGCTCCCGAGGAACTAGATCGTGGAAGGCATGGTAGAATTCAAGCACAAAGCCGCATATTTCGGCGTGCACAGTTTCAATGGTGATGAGCAACTTTTTCTCCGTGTGGCTAAGCATTTGTCCCTTGGCCGAGCGGATCGTCGATGTAAACGCGCGGGTACACCGTTGACGGTTGGTCGGAGTTAGGATCGAATGAGTGGAGTTTGCAGGGAGCTCTACAAATGGCATCAAAAGGCCGATTGCCACCAGCCGTGCCGTCTTGAGTGCATTCATCGTGCCGTTCACGAGATGCCTTCCAATTTCCGGAAGTCGCTGGTTGTATCGTGTCGTAAGACCATCTGCAATTTTTCGCCAATCAATACCGCTGCTCTTCATCATGGAAAGATCCGCAATATTAGCGCGATAGCGTTGCACCGCTGCCTCGGAAATGTTGACTAGGCGGTGAGTTGACATATCCGCCGAGGTGAAAAGATGTGAAAGACCGACTTCTCCATACGCTGTTATCAGTTTGCTTGTATCCAGCAAAACGCGATCTTCACCCATGCCGGCATAGAGCTCGGTGGCTGATCGCAGCCAGTCCCAGCTAGGGAAATATTCTGACGGATCGCGGTGAGTCCATCGCGGCAATCTGCAAGGGGTACCGCTGTGGTTGCCACCAGGACTACAGGGCGGTCCATGGCCCCAGGGGGGGTCCACAATCTCCTCACCAGTCATTAGCGTCCACCAGTCTGTGACGTTGAGGGTTTGCACCAGCTCTAGGCCAGTGGTGTGCTGAAAGTCGCACCAAAGGAGCTCAAATCCGGCATTGGCGCGCACAAACCCCTCGATACCGAGGGGTGCCGCCCACGCGCAGAGTTCACCCGCGCGCTTGTATTCATCCCAGATACTGCCCCACCCTGTATCAATCTTTCCGTGTAAAAGAATACTTTGGCTGTCGAGGGTGCCTGTGTCGGTAAGGGCGGCACTCATTCCGTCGATATACAATATTTTCAGCAGCCGTGTACTTGAATATACACGGAGATAGGTTTCACCCCAATTCGACAGCATAATTCCTGTGGAGCTATTCAGGCCCTTTTCCCCCTAATACGCGATTGTATGCATACCAAGCGACATTTGCGGCTGAAATGCTAGCCATTCTGGGCTTGCTGGTGGGCTAGAGTCCTTCCGTCCATGATACAGTAGCGTATGAGCCGGAATAGTCCCGAATGTGAACGAAAACCCGTTTGGCGCAAGCGTCGTGCCCCTATCAGACACCTGTCAATCACGGAGCTAGCAGGTATGCGGCTCCAGATAGTTACCACTGCCGCAAGAGATGTAGAAGTGAGTTGAATATGAAGAAAGCGTCGTGTTTGATCGCTTCTAGTTCCCTTGCGATAGTCCAATGGCTGGTTCAGCATCGAAAAAGGTCTGCGCAGTCAAACAAGTCGGTAAGAGTCGGTGGAGTGTCCAAATTAATAGCCAAATGTTCATACGAGGCAAGCTCGGCAGGAATGCTTGGGTGGAGGTCGAAGGTACGATGGTCATATACATACGTAATGGCCGGATATTACAATAACAAAAGTAATGATACAGAGTACCCTAAATGTCCGTCTTGGTGATACGTTCAAACAAAAAGGTGATCGTTCCGGCTGGAACGTCCTTCACATCCTCATCTAGACCATCCGACTCGTCCCACAGTGCCGAGTCATCAAACGAGACCTCCGCCGGTGTATGAACCAGACCACGAAGGAGGGCATCTTGTATTGAGTCTGACGCTCTTGTCCGCATACAATTGATGTGTGTCCATTCCGCAAGAGATGAGAGCGCCTCTCGCTTCCTTCTCATTTCCTATAGAATATAAGAACCTCTACAATCAAACTCACTGGTACGTACTTTGCTTGATTGCTTATCCGGGTCCACCTGGTTCGCCGGCTGAAATCCAACCGACAATGGCTCGTCTTCATCATCAGAATCTGGCTGAACGAATTTGCGTTCACTCGACTCCATAGGGCGTTGCGAGCGAGATCCACAAGCACATCCGAGTAGCTCGTGGGTATGGCAAGCCACATCCGGGTAGATATTGAACAGGTCACGCAGCTGCAGGGATGTAAACATCAGTGGGGCAACCTCTATTTGCTCACCTCTCTGTTGGTAAACGAGTCTGTTTTGGATTTGCCACCTCTGACACTCTGCCAATAGAAGTCAGCCAAGGCATTATGAGATGCTGCCCCACAGACGTTTCCCATCATTGCATCACTAAGTCCGATCTTCGTGATTTGACGTTGATAAATCTTCTCTGCATAGCATTGTCAGACCTTCATTATCCCAAACTGCCGAGCTCACCGTCAATAGTGCCGGCGGTCAATAGCCGATAAATAAAGACAGGTCGCTTCTGACCATCTCTATATTTACAAGATCAGAGCAAAAGCAGGAGACGGTACGACCACAAACCTATGTATGCGCGCCATCGCTTGCAGGTCATGGCTAGACATCTGTGAGAATGATAATTGCAAATGCATTCGGGACTTGCCTGGGGTTCCAGTCTCCGTCAACCAGAATAAGCCGAGATGCACCGATAAGGTTAAGCTGGCCGGATTTAGTGTGTCACCTCTCACTAGGACTAAACTCACTCCGACACCGCCAGCCTTGGTGGATAACAGAAATAAAACTGAGAGGGTCAATGGAATGGACTCGAGGTAGAGTAGTCCGCCTACATCGCTCGTTTTGCGAAGACTTGTTGAACTTGTCCACATACTCCTGGCGTTTAACCTGCGGTGTCTGCCTGTGGCGAGAGTTGGTTCATCTCTTCGAATAAACTTGTAAACCACATACCCGTCGAGTCTAAAAAAGGTATATCTTTGCTTCGTGCAAAAGGCTTCCACAATGTTCAGCGTCGATGTGTAGTTCGACACGATGATGCATTTATCGTCGGTCGTCTAGAGATACCGTTAGAGTTTGAATATTCGTTGCAGACTAGGCACTCACAGACTTTAGTTCCTTCAAGATACTGCTGAGAGCTTGAAGCTTGCCTGATGAAGCATTAGCGATGAAGACCAATAGGTAGATTCAAATACCGCTCAGAGAAACGTCACTAGGAGCTGCGCCGGGTGGGAGGAGACGAAGGGCTGCTCTCAATCCCTCATCAGCATCCTCCTTGTGCCTTAAGAGCAGCGGGCTATTGCAAAGCTTGGAGAGAGTTTGGATAAGCGCCAAAGACCTAGCAGTATTTCCAGTCAAGTAATGTAGCCGGTCCGGATGAAGGAGCTCCTGCATCATCGAAAGTTGAAGTTTTGTCGGTGTGATGAATACGACGTATTCGTCTTTATCTTGTCAGCCTAGATGTAATTCGACTTGGTAAGCTCACATTTCGGGGGCAAGTAATTGGACAATATCGAGGCTTCGCGTCTGAGGACGAACGATTTCGCAAGTCTCTTTAGCTGAAGGGCGAGGTCAGTGTAGGAAAGACAAGATATATCAGCCTTACATGCATGGCACAAACTTCGCCTGCTTCTCTGGTCTTCGGACTGCAATCCGGTAACCGAGATGCCAGAATGGGAGCTTCAAAGAGTCTCTTGAAGACGGAATAATCGTCTAATGTCTTGTCAGTTGTGATAATCATGCACAATCATACCGACCGAGGAGAGTTGGATTACAAAACTCCACCTGCAAGAAGCTAAATAATCGTCCCAGAAGGACGTGTCGATCATACCATTGCATGAAACTCGCCGAGATCGTTTTGTATCGGGGTCCCCGATAGAATGATACGTCGAGGAGTGCGTAATGCTTTGAACATTTGGCTCGTTTTGCTTCCTGCTGTCTTCAGTCGATGTCCTATACACACGGGTTAGCCAGGTCTCCCAGCAGTCAGTTACGTACCTTCATCGCAAACAATGAGGCCAATTGGAGGGCTTCATAGATAAATGTCACGATCCGCGCCACAAGGTAGGACTTACTGGCAATAAGCCAGCTCTTCACTAAGTTATATCAGCCCCATCCCGTAAAGTTGTTTCAGATCATACATTACTCCTCGAAGTCGCTCATATCCGATGACCAGGACCTGGTGGTTCCGACTAGCCAGAGTAAGTGTAGGCTACACGTAATTATCACATCACATACCTATTGATGAACTGCTTAAGAGCAACCTTTTCGCAATCACCTGTAAAGATACCGATTCGGTCGCGCCCAATCCTACATGGTGTCAATTCTCGGCCTCAGTGTGTCAAATAGTTCACCATTTGTGAAATTCCTTTCGCCAATTCTTGTGAAATATGAGTAATAATGCGGTGAGAAAACTATAGCACGTACCTCGACGAGGGAGACTGGACAGACAATCATAGCCTTTCCGATCACAGGACCACTTCCTGTATATGGGTTCTGTTCTGATAATATTATGTGCACAGCATCGATGCCGAGTCGTAAGGCTTACTGAGCAACGTCCACACTAGTGTGATAGTCTGCAGTGTCTTTCCGAGACTGATTGATAGCTGGTCAAAGGAGGTACGCCGCAAGTGTCAGACATACCCCATTTCGTCTCCCAGAATGCTAATTGACATAATGAGACAAAATTCAAGCGTATCATTTAGACTGACCATCCTGAACAACTTTCAGTAACTAAACACACCACAAAGGACACTACACACCTTGACCTTCGTGTGCTCGCATTCCCATGACGCACTCGTACATAAACTTTACGCCTATATCGGGTCAGCGTTCGCATGAACTTTCCAATGCATGACACACCTTGAACCTGGTGAGGTCGCAGTTTGGCCGCTATCAGTGGGTCTATGACGACAGGAACTACGGAGCGGTTCCTTCTGAGAGTGAGTTTGAGTCATGTAAAGGTGATATATCACACTTTGGATTGAATTTTTGCTGATGCCACGCTGTCGGAGGCTTCATGACTATAGCACCCTCTGCAGTCGGATCGAACCTTCAAGTATGAGACGACGCATTATGACACCACGAAATCCCTACAAAGGTCCTTCTGCCTTTGGTTTGGGCTTCACATCTTCTTGTCTTTGGACGTGCTTGACGATAGCAGGCGCGATGAATTTGCGGAGCTGGGGTATCGGCTTAGATACTGATGGTACTATATCCTCACTCTCGGATAGATCAATGACGGTCACCGCCTTTCCACCTTCCAATCGAGATAGAGGAGCTTTTGCTCCGAGCAGAACCTGGTGGCGAGTCAGTTTCTTATACAGGCGTCTCAGCTCAGCATACCTCTCTCTCACCAAACCACAAGGTCGATCCTTCCACCAGCACACTATCCCATGCTTTAGTCCCATAACTGTAATCGATGAGCCATAGCTCGCCAATTCAAATAGATGATGTACACTTTCTTTCCATTCTCTGACAGGAAACGGATAGAAGTTCCTTTTTGATGGACTATCCCGTCACCGTCCCAGTGTTTGTTCTTCTTGGTGCTACTCTTGCGCCTGATGCCATGTGAGAATTAGGAAATAGGCAGTACTAAACTGACCAAACGGCTTCCCACACAGCTTCAATGGATTCTTCCACCTTGGTCTCCAGTGAACTGGACGGGGGATGAACACGGGGTGCGGGAATATCTTCATTGTCGAATAGATCCTGCACTGGAATTGTACTCTTTGACGGGGGATATTGTCGCGTAGCAAGTGATTGTGCCTGATTTGGAACTTTGAACAACGCATCAGATGGCTTTGGTTTCGCGTTCAGCGGTCGTAGCGGGACGAAGGACCGTGAGGCACTCGAAGCGTTTGGAATCGAAGGAGTCGGTTTGGAAGTCGACGCCCCCGCAGTCGTTGACTCTGCAAGATAACCTCCCTTGAACGGAGCTGCCGACAATTTGTCCCACTCGGCTCGCGTGCTCGAACAATCGATTAGAACCTAACTCCGATGAGATTATATCAAAATCACGGATTCTTCCATACGTCTTTTCCTGCTACGTGTAGTTCGTCTGTCTCTCTAAGAGGCCGTCCTAGTGAACTTTTGCCACTTCCCATACTATGTTAAATGAGCTCCAGCAATCTTCAAAGATAAAGTTGCTTACGGTTTGCCATCTGCGTCCAAGAGCTGGCACCAGTCGCCTTGGAATCGAAGGAAACCGTCGCCCTCCCATGTTTTATTCTTCTTAGTCTGCGGATTTCGCCTTGAGTGTGTGCATATTAGCAATATATTTAAGAGAAACGCGTCAAACGACGCGTCAAACACGCTAATCACCACTGTACGTTCCAGTACGTCGTCGCAGACCAGCTGCTGGCTTGACCCTCAGCAATCGTCTTTTTCCGGGGACGATCACTTGTGTCATCTAATTCGCTAGACTTTCGTTTCCCATTAATACTTGCCAAGGGGCCGAGCGGCGGCATTGAACGTGGACGAGGTCAAGTTGTACGATTGCTGCCACCGAAACCTTTCACTTTGGAAATGGTGACTACGATTGAATGATATGATAACTAGATGTATTGGCAGTACTAATAACGATGATACGCGGTCGACATTGCCAACGCAAGCAACGCTGAATGCCATAATAAGCATCAGAACGCACTTCTATGAATATAAAAAGCATCTTACCAGCATTCTCACTCATTTGTCTTCTCAGGATTCTCCAATGCAGCCAATGTCTGTTCGCCTAATGCACGAATCTCCTCTATTCGTGCTCCCTGTTGCTCTATACTCTCGTTGTTGGCAAGTCTGAGCGCACTACGCGCTTCTTTGATAAACTCTTGGGAGCGTTGGAGCGACTCTTGATGCGTGCCATCCACATTTTCAGCGTCAAGAATGGATGAAAAGTCGACGTCTGATGCTCTTAAGAGAGCGAGATCTCTCAGGGTGACGGAGAGGGGCAGGCTCTGCGACTTCATCTTTCCAACGACACAGAAGGAGCCAAGTTTACTTGTACACTTTGGACTCGACCAAACCCCGATGGGAGCATCAACCTGGGTTGTGGCACTTTCATTGGTAACGGAATGGTTTATACTACGCGCTATTGCGTCCGGTACAACAGCGTGGACGCACAAGTATGGAAAACGGGCAGACATGGCGTTCTCTGGGATCACAACATTTGCCCACATGCCTAATACTGCGTGTTTGATTGATCCGTTGCCCTTTGATATTGGTATCATTGGGTTTCCATTCGATACTGCGGTTTCATACCGACCCGGTGCACGATTTGGGCCAAAGGCGATAAGAGACGGCTCTCGCCGTCTTCGAACCAGCAATGGATGGTCTATGCACTGGAAAGTCAATCCATACGACGGTACGGTGGCTCTTTCCGACTGTGGGGATGTAAGTATCAGTGTTCCCCTTTGGACATTGCTGAGACCATCAAGGTACCTATCACGCCCTATGACAACTCTTTGGCACTAGAAGAGATGGAGATTGCGTACGATACATTGCTCAGCAGAAAGGTTGCGCACGAAGGATGGTCCGCCCCGCTCAGCTTGGACGGCAGTCGTCATCCATTTATTCTCACATTGGGAGGGGACCATACCATTGCAAGTGTATTAAATGAGATAAACGAAGAAAAAGCTGACCATCCTAGGTGTACCCCATCCTTCGATCCTTGCACAGACGGCACGGTCCAATTACCGTGCTTCATTTCGACTCACATATCGACACTTGGCCACCATCTAGGATCCCATCTTCCTCCTCTTCGATATCCCAGATTACCCATGGCACGTTCTTCTGGAAGGCTGCAACCGAGGGTTTAATTGCGAACAACAGCGTCCATGCGGGGATACGATCCAAGTTTGAAGGGCCTTATGACCTTGAGCATGACAAAATCGTTGGCTTTGACTTGATTGCAACAGATGAGATGGATGAAGTCGGAGCACTAGCTATCATCGAGCGGATTCGGCACCGCATAGGACATGATCCACTCTATGTAAGGTGTGTGAATGCACGAGGGTCCAGACCTTGGTCTAATGCACCACAGCATCGACATAGATGTGCTTGGTGAGCGCGCGCTCTTATCAATATTCCCATCAGCCACATGTTAACAGACGGTAGATCCAGCGTTTGCTCCAGGAAGTATGGCGATATAGTGTAATAAATGGACGATACGCTGACATTTGTGCAAAGCTGGAACTCCAGAGCCGGGAGGGTGGACGAGTCGAGAGATGAAGCGACTTTTACGTGGACTGGAGGGTCTCAATATTGTGTGAGTGATGGGTCCGCGGCAACCGGTATGTGAATGCTGATGATCCACTGCTTTTGCAGCGGTGCGGACATTGTCGAAGTCTCCCCGGCATACGACAGTGGCGACATTACAGGAATAGCGGCAGCAGATCTCGCGCATGAGCTTTTATCCCTCGTCATTGTTGGCAAGGGAGCGCGAAACGTGGCGGGCCAGCGTCGGTGGCATAGTGAGCTGTAACAATCTGTAAAGCGGTCTGGAACGAGGTCTATACAAGGCTGCGGATGCCGTTGCCAAAACGGTAGTCGAGGTTCAAGCCATAAATTGATGCCGAACCGCTAACCGCCTTTCACCGCCCACCCAATTCCTTTTACTTTTGCTGTGAGTCTCTGCGTGTCCTTCTGACTCGTCCTCTACGCTACAGCGAGTGTGGATCGCTCCTCTTTGCTCTTTATTTATCTCTTGATCACGCGTTGACCACGTCCTTGTACCCGCCCTCTTCAGCCCGCCCAAGCCAACGGCGTCGACCGTCGCTTTTTTTCATTCGTTTCTTCAATTTCTTCGGACAACAGGCACCCTAAAGTCGTCCATTTGTTGCTCGTCAGCTCGTAGGAATTGTCGCCATTTTCTTCTATTTCAAACTCGCAGCATCCCGGCTTGAAGCACACTGCGAACCGTCACTCGCTTATTTTTACCAACAATCAACTTGCGACTATTGCTCAAATCATCTCTCTATTTCGTCCGCTAGGTGAGTTCAACGTTGGCCGTCGTCCGAGGCCGTTTGTTGCCGTTGCAGGGGACGGCCGCTCGTTTATGGTAACCACAGCGCTGACGCCTTTTGCTACTCCCCGTTGCCCAATGTTTTAAAATAGAACACTGAATCATGCCATCCAAGACTCTTCTCGCAGTATGGGGTGTCATCGACTTTCTACTCCTCGCCGCTGGTGGTATGACAATTGCCATCTCGGTTCTCTTCAAAGCTCCCGACCCGATCAGGAACATTGCCCTTACGGACTTTGATCTCAACTGTATGTCCAGTTGTTTCGTTGCGAGGGCTTGTGCTGATCCTTGGCAACAGTCGGCCTTGTTCTAGGCATCTTCTATGTCGCAACATTTTGCCTGTCTATTGGTGCCATTCTTCAGCGGAATCATGTCACAATCGGACTTGCAATCCTCAACTGGGCCCTCATCGCAGACGCGATTGTGACTGTGATCTACGGTGCCAACCTCTGGTACATGACCTTGCAGGAGACGCTCAATTTCAGTCGTGTATGGAATACGACCACGCCTGCGAGGAGAATTGCCGTGCAGGAAAAGTTTAAATGTTGTGGCTTCCTCAACAACACGGCCGTCGAGGCGTCTGGATTTTGCGCAACACCCGCCAATGCACTCGACAATGGATGTTCTGCAACGTTCCTTCCATTAGCAGATACGATGCTGATGGATGCCTTTACGTGAGTCCTCGTTTGCTTCCCCTACCTACCCTTATGCTCACTCTTCTCTAGGACGGTGTACGGGTATACCGCGATCCTAGTCTTGTTCTTCTTGGCAACTATGTGTGTGATCAAAAAGGTCCGTCTTCGCATTCGTTACCTGTTGCAATACTGACACCGCTACAGCGTCAAGAGACGGAACGATTTAGGCAAATCGATGCCAAGCGTGGTGGAGGTGGATTCGTCTAGATTCTGCCCTCTATCTGGAGCAACATTGAGAACCGCTCGTGTGTATGTGTGTGTTCTCGCTCCCCACTTCACCTTATATCACTTGGCCCATGCACTGGCTTGGATTCCCCCTTGCCTTCTTTTATTCTTCACTTGGAACTAGTACCCTCATGGGTGTGTAACACGAACCGCTGCTGCTGCTCCTTTTATCATTTGGATGAGTTGCAATACCTGTGTCAGTGCGTTTCATCTCCCGATCCCGTCGCCATCCACTTTGAACTTGAACCCGCGCCCAAGGCTTGAATCTCGCCGAAATATTAGCTGACGTGTTGACCGACACGGCTGGCTTGAGTGTTTCTCCTCCCGCGCCGTCGATGTTTCAGGCGTGTCGAAGACTGGATGAATACACCTTGACCACTGATTTTTCTCAGCGGATCGAGCAGGGCGAGGCAGCGCGCGTCTGAATGGATAAATACCACTGCCTCCATCGTTCGGGCTCATCATCGCCGGTGCAATGTGATGGGTGCGAATTACAGCTTTTTCCGTCCGCATCAACCTGTACAGGTCATTTATAATGACCCCCAGACAGCAACCAGCTCGCCTCTCTTCCTCCATTTCCCCCCATCCCCCTTTTCTTTTCTTCTCCCGGGCAGGGCTCCCCCTTTTTTCTTTACACTCTTTTTCTTTACATTTCCGCTTCTCCTTTTGGCCTTGTTGGCTGAGCAGAGCTCGCCCTTTTTTTTCCTTCAAAAGCACCCAAGCGACCCAGGCGCAGTTCGATTTCAAGCCAAAGCCAGCGAGTTTTCTCCAGAAGAAGGAAATCTGGAGTGCTATAATTTCTAGTTGATGGAGAGGGAGGATAATGGTAGCACGACTCTTCCCTCGTTAGAGTATCAGCCTTCAAATCCCACGGCTCAAGACGTCCCACCAAAGGGACCCTGGTTGAACACACGAGCGTCTGCTTCCATCACGACGGCTCTCATTCTCGTCGTTGGTATAGCGGCATCCACTTTGTGGGCTTTATTTTTGGCGAGGACAGGTGCTGTGCCACTGGAGATACCTTGTGCATATGGCTGATCTGGTACTCTCACTTTGCAGCCAGTAAACTACAGACGGATGAGCTCGCTGTCATTTCAGTCAGCCTTGCGCTTTTCGTTGGAGTAGTAGGATTGACCGTCTTTGGGTACGCGGCCCCCCCACCTCTGCAAGTCAATGCTGACTTTGCACATCTAGTCTATACGCTATGTGGAAGGAAAGCTCGAGTCTCGTAGAGGCCTATTTCTGGATCTTCCTTCTCTATTGGTTCCTCGAGTTGGCGTCCATCATCATTTTGCTCGTCATTGCCTACCCACGCAGAGACGCAGCAGCACTCAAATCGTGCTCTCAACAAAAGGGATATCAACAATGTTACGACCTCGTCACAATATGCATCGCACTCGCTATCGCCACACTCGCCCTTTACAAACTCATCGGCATCTGTGAGTCTCTATCCTCCTTCCTTCCCGCTGAATCTAACCAAACCGTTTGAAAACAGGGGCCTTCTTTACCTTGCATCGATACAGGCAAGAGTTACTTTCGCGGAGAGCACAAAAAAACCCGTTGATCCTCCGGTGGCTTCGACGCTCGTCGACTTCGTCATTTGCATCCATATTCGAGCGTAAGAGGTGGTGGTCATCTTCAGAGATTCCAACAATCAAAGTCGACCCGGCCAGCGACGACTCTAGCGTCAGCGACTACTCCAACGACTCGGCGGGTTATCGTTCCCAGCAGTTTGGCCCACCCGAATATCCAGCACTCGCCCCTTTACCACAAGCGCATCTAGGAGTCCATGGGCTCAACATACCGTCTCCACATCGTCGACACTGAACATCTGTAGCACTCACTCTTCTACCTGTAGACTCCGCTAATGAAATGCAGAATACACGCCTCGCTTGACTCTCTCTCTCAAAGGACGCTTGTTTATCAGACTCGTTTACAATCAAACCTAAGCGTACATGCCGTCTCCAATCTAGAATCACGGCCTAAATCAAGAATTGTGTACGAAACCGCGCGTCACAGGAGAAAAAACAATGCTATCTCATAGGAACGACCGTAAGGTGTGATGAGCGAGTGAGCATGGGGTAAGGAGCGACGAGGGTGAGGGCAAGGCAGATGACATCCTGACATGGGATGTAGAATATTTTAGGGATCAATGATAGATGGAAACATGATCGAGGTGGCTACAGGGTGGAGCCATTCGTATCCTCTTTTTTTTTCTTGGGGCGGACTTGAAGATTTTTATATGGTTGATACAATTCCTCTATGCCAACCTGCAGAGGACCAGGCACGGCCTGCTCACTGGTAGTTGGGACCTTGGTTTGCATTGGGGTACATTTGATACATGTATCCTTGCTGATATTGCTGAGGGTGATTGCCCATGCCATACTGAGGCACTCCGCCCATGCCCATTCCCGCATTCGTATTGGATGCGCCTGGATTGGGCCCATTAAAGTGCATTGACAAATGTTGTGCATTCATCTGCGGCGTCGTCGGGGTTCTGCGCATGGAGCCGTTTCGACCACCATTGGCCATGTCAGAGGAGTGGATAGAGAACGGGTTGAATGGATCCGAGTTTGGCGAAAATGTTCCTGGGGATGTGACGTTACGTCCACCCGGTCCTCGTCCTTGTGGTGCACCATAATTTCCTGGCCCCATCGACTGATATCCTTGCATGGCGGGTCCACCACTGGAGATGTTCATCGATCCCATCATACTATTGAGACCGGCAGCGTCCTTGTCGCTGACGTATCCCGAGTGCAGTCCCATGGGAGCACCATAGGGCGTGCCCGTGTTCGAGTGGGACCGACTGTTGGGCCCGCTGCCTCCCATTTGACCTGACCCATATTGCTGAGACATGTTGGGAATAATAATCCCAACTTCTTCCATGAGCTTGCGATATGCTTGAGTGGGGCTGGCCTTGATCTCGATCAAGACGCGCTTAGTAGCCTCCATATAGGCGGTGCGATCGGTAGGATCGATAAAGGTGCTACCAAGAATCTTGTGAACGACAGTCACTCCGTTGACCTGATCTCCGAGCACATCGGAGAGGACATGATCGCCCGGAGAGTTGAAGAGTGTTCGAACAATGGCGGTGGACGCCTCCGGTTCAACCTTCTGGTTGACAATCCGGAGAACAGTCAGTGAAGCAAGTTTGTGTGTGCATAGATGGGAAAGGTGGGGAGTAAATCTCGGGGCGAGTAACTTGAATCGAGCAGGGAATCCAGATGTCTCAAGTAGCCAGGTGAGCAAGAGGGCTCCATTGGGGTTGGTAGCCAAAGGAATCGAGTTGAGGATGATCGCAGTCGCAACTCGTCTCTGTTGGCTGATCGTAATGTGTGGGCTCTCCAAGCACGCTCGCATGCTCCTCGCTCCGAATCGGCCTTGGGCGACTTCCCACAAACGGTCAATCATCGCGTCAAAGATGAAGTCGTTTGCAGGCGATCCGAATCGCAGGCAGCATTGTACGACGTAATTGCCAAACTGATCTAGGAGGAGCGGGGGCGTATAAGGACGAAGATTTTGGGCGACCAAAGCGACCTCTTCTGCGGTTGAGACGCATTCGATAATTTTTTGGGCAGCCCATGTACCGTTCTTGTGAATACCAATCGAGGCCAGATGGGGCGCAATGTACTCCAGCATGGCTACCCTACAAGGAACTGTGCACTTTTCGAAGAGCTTTTGTACAACCTTGCATGGAATCAGCATTATAGTATAGCCAGCAGCGTTTACTCACTGTGTTGCCGAGCCAGTCCGATGCTAATTCCACGATTTCACCGTTCATCATATCATGAGCAATTTCGTCCATTTCTTGTTGCGCCACTCCTCCCGCGTCCAAGCGCTTTCTGAGCTCTCGTAACTTGGCGGCATCCCAGCGACGGGTGGGATTCGGTTTGTCCGCTGTGGGTGGAATACTTGTATAGTACATGGTTGGGGGCCGGAAGTCTGGTGACAAGTGAGCATTGAAATTTCTCTGCAAAAAAAAGTCCATACCAGAAAGAGCTTGAATATCCGCGTCCGCATCTGGTCCTTCCTGGGCAAGTTCCTTCATAATCATTTGCTGCTCAGTCACACTAGGAGTCGATCCTGGAGGCCTCGATTGACCATCAGACACGTTGTGATTTCCGGATCCGATCATGCTAAGCAAGAGGTTTGACCGATAGTTTTCGACTGCACCACCAAGTACTTGCTGATCTGCTGGAATCGTAGTCGCTCCCTTGACAGACCGAAGCGCATGGATCGTCGCACCAACGGTGAGCGTGCCAATTCCTTGCACTCCGACTGGAGGTGCGTCATCTGCAGTACCGGTTCCATCGCCTGATCCACTCTTGACTGGAACGCGCGCATATCCGATGCGAATGGCGCCAACATCGCTGCCAAGAACATCGCGTCCGTTCAATGCTTTGCGTGCTCGTACGGCGTCATCAAGACGCTCAAAGTTGACTAGAGAGCGAATCAGTATACGAACTCCCAAAAAAATTTAGTGGGTAGTTACGGACCGAAGCCACAGTTCTTGTGAGTGAGAACACGCGCAGACTCGATAGGACCAAACGGAGCAAAAATGCTGAGAATGGTAGCAGGCGTTGTCGTAGAGGGAATAGAACCAATCCAAAGAGCTCGCGTGGGGGTGGACTGCACTTCCATGCCTGCAGGGGCCCCTGCAGTCGAAGCGAGGACGTTCGCATTCATATTCACAGGTCCATTTGCCTTTGAGGGTTGCGCAGGGGCGGAATCAGCTTTGCCAAAACCGATCCTGACGGGTTGGCCGTTTGGCAAGCCAATATTGCCTCCCAAGCGATTGAGAACGTCATCTTTTGCCCTCACAGCATCGTTAATGTCAAGAAAGTTGACGAATCCACACTCTTTCTCCGGGAGGAGACGGAGGCTTTCAATAGCGCCATAGGGTGAGAACACTGTCAATAGGGTCTCCTTTGTAGCCGTCGTGTCTAAGTTGCCGATCCATAGAGAACGCGATGGGGTCTGGATTTGCGGGGTTTCCCCCTTTGGAGAGAGAGACCGAGGTTGCTGGCCTTGAGGTGGCTGGAGAAAGTTGACACCAGCACTCGTCAGACGGCCACCCGAGGGAGATACATCTCCGGGCGAATAGCGTCCTGGTTGAATTTGTTGCAGACGGCCAGCTTGAGCCTGGTTCTTGCTATCGACAAGGCCTCGCAGAATCACATTCGCCGTAGAGGCCCCGCCCTGGCTGAGGAGGCCACCAGGGGAGATGTCGCCGTAGACGGGGCTTTGCCGGAGTCTGCTAGGATCTTCGAGAGCCCCCACAGACGTCGCTCGCGTACGTACAGAGACACCGAGGTGTTGGCCTTGCTTGAATCCTCTGGCGACGTAGGGGTTCTGGTCTGTATTGTAATAGACACTGGATCCCAAGCCACCATTCATCGCATCGACGCGAGAATGGTATGCACTGGGTGAATCGTATTCGTCCATTTCCTCATACTCCTCTGAGCCATGGGGAGCTGTCATTGGCTGGAGAGGCCTGTTTCGATATGGATTGGATACCGTAGTGGCGCGCAATCTCCCAGCAATTGCTGCTTGGGCCTGGGATCGCAGCTCAGTTACGGTGGCGGGCTGGGGGGCCCTCGCGCGATCATCAAGTCCCAAGTAGTCCAATGTGTGTACATCATCGCCAGGAAGCGAATCGTTCGAGTTGAGCGAACGATGTTCGTCGAGAACAGAGTAACCAGGCTGTGGATTGAGCCAAGAAGATGGGTATAGTGAGGATCCAAAAGCATTATTGGATGAAGGAGCGGGGATGGGACCGGATGGTGGAAGAGTCAACGACCCCGACCGAAGGCGCGAATTGACAGCACGTTCCCCTGCGAGCGCAGGCACAGCGGTGGACGCGTGGCGCAAACTCGGGCGGGTTACAGTCGCCGCGGCACCAGCTAGGTTTCCAGACGACAGAGCCCCGCTGCCGATGATGCCACTGAGCGCATTGGAGGACTGGGAGAGGGGCACGTCTTGGGACAGGCCACTGTGAGATCCGCCGCCGAGGGTGGATGCGTAGCGCTGAGCAGCGAGCTGAACATTGGATGGAAGTGTCCCCGCTCGCGCTCTCTTAAAACCAGGTCCATAGTTTGTGGGCGGGAGGGGACCTGCCTCGATGGATTCGGGACCTGTTGGAGGCTGATCCATAGCATCCTTGAGACCGTTCGGGGGCGAGTTTCCACCTCCTGGACGAAGTGCTGGCGGTCTGTAGCGACCTGCTTGCGTTTCTGCGAGTCTATGACACGATCAGCCCGGGCCATCTCTGGATATCGTTGGCTCCAATGGACAAACCTCTTTGCAAATCCAGCAGAAGGGGCTGGAGGAGGAGTTTTCCCGGATGACTTGCGGAAGACGTGGTCGCTGGGGGCCAATGAGCCAGACATAACTAGTGTTTTTTTTTGGAGCTAAGCTGGAGACAGCTACGAGGCGTGTGTGGACAATCCGGAGGTTAATTAGGTATTAGGACACAGTAAGGCCAGCCGCGCTACAGCGTATAACGGAGGGGGACGTCGATACGGTCGGGTTCAAGCTTTGGATTCCGTCGAAAAGCCCTTTCTCACCCTCGGCTTTTAGATTCCAACACGCAGCACAAGTTGAACAACCATTCTTATTGGAAAAAGGTACAAGACAGCAGTCAAAGATCACCGCAGTCTGCGGGGCGTCGACGCACCCCCCAATCATAAATACACTTGGCGTGGCTGATTTGTCCAAAAGAAAGCCAATTATAGTCAGAGCATTGGGTCTCTCGTCCATTATCTCATATGGCCCCAGTCGGGCCCGTCGCGCCAGGACTTCCAGGATACCGCATGGGCCGTGGACTGCTCGGGAGACCAGATGTGCGGTTCATCTTCTTGCCAGATACCGAAATCTGCAGTCCACGATTAGCCGCAATAGCCTTTGCCCCATGCATTTGCGGATCCGTGCCCGGCGCAGACGAAATGTTGATCAGCGGTGCCGGGCTCGGTGGGGAACCAGAACCAGTCTGTTCCACATCGCGATCCGTCTCCTCGTCGCTCTCCTCTGGAATCGAAACCTCGTCTCCATCGCTGGAATCTTCTGCGGAAGCTATGGTACGGGGTGAGACAGATGCATGTGGACACAGTGTAAGAAAGCACACTTACGATCCAGCTTGCGACCCGCTAGTCCAAGCATGCGGTCCGTCGCCGTGTTGGCATACAGCATGCTGTTTCGCTTGTTGATTCTCTCATGACTATTATTACTCGACCGCTGCGTGGCTCTCGAGCTCGAACTACCCTTTTGTGGCGTCCTTTCATTCTGAGACTCGTATGGCTCGTGTTCATTGCTGCTCGTCACGTCTGACGCGGTGTCGGTTGCGTCCACATTGAATACGGGGTCAAACTCTCCAAGCATGAGGCTGAGAATTCCAGCTGGAATGCCGAGCGTGGGGCTGAACACGATACCAATGTTGCGCATGGTCATCTTGTTGACAGTTGCATTTTGGACAATGAGAATGAGGTGCGCAGTCATCGCTCGAAGAAGGCTGTAATTTGCAACCGGCAGTTGAGATACGAGATGTGCGAGCTCGTTCACGCGCTCCTTAGGGTCCATAAGATCTAAAATTGTGCTTAGCCAACGATCAGAATAATGGAAATAATGCAGCTTACCAACTACGCTGAGGAAATGTGGTTGCAGTTCCCGCGTCAATATTGTCGTCGGCATATCTCGAAGGAACTGTTTGAGAAGTCCGGCAATGGCATGGGGATCCCAGTACTCGTCGTGCTTGAGAAGATCCACATCACCCTCTGCAAGAAAGTGTCATATCGAATTGGGGACAAAACCAGAGCGCACAAAAAAGTCAGTGTCGGTTCGACTTTGGCGTCTATCGTCAGCAACGTACCGTAATTGAAACGATCCTTGAGAGACTTGATCACCGCGGAACTTCCGTTGAGCCGATAAATCCCCTCTTCCTCCGCCGCCTTCTTGGCTTCGAGATACTCTATGCACCTGAATACGATAGCCGGAAGGTTGGCAATCTGTGCAACGGCTAGCGCTTGCTCAAGCGGCACGCCGAATACCATTCTTCCCGGTTGTCCGTTGGCAGGGGAGGATCCCGGGACGCTGGGAGGAGGACGATCCGAGCCACTTGCATGGTTGGCACCTATAGACCAGGTCAGCCCTATCCTGAAACGATGTCCTAGACAACGGTAGCTTACTCTTTCCAAAGTTTGGCCAGAAGCGGCCACTCTTGGCTTTGCGTTCCCGGTCAGACGTGTCTGCCGCTTTCGAGCCAAAGACTTGACCAGGCGGGATTGGCTGGGCGTTCAGCGGCCCGGATATCTTCTTCGAGCTCCCGCTCATCACACTACCAGCAGTCGTACTTTCTCCAGCCGAAGAATCGTCTCCTCTGTCGGCTGCAGAAGAGGCAGAAGCGTGTGAGGATTTGAGGGTCGAGATGGAAGGATGATGCGAGGTGCGAGAGCTGGATTTATCTGACCTTGATTTAGAGGTCGTTTCGTGGTGGGATGATGGTTGAAGTGTTGCGCGCTGCTCTCTTGAGGATTCCCCATAATGACCCGCAGACGAATCAGAACGGGGCTGATGATAGGCGGCCGCACCGCTGCTCTCCAAACTTGACGGAAGCGAGTTTGGAAGTGCCACAGTCGACATTATGGGTGTCCCGCCCTGGCCATTGCGATCGATCATCCGTTGCGCCAGCTGAGCGTCCGTCCACGGCTGGCTTTGACCTGCTGGCCGGTCGATGGGCGAGTTGCCGACGCCAGGTCGTTCAGAAGGCGCATTGGAACTGGTAGACGGTCGCGAAGCCGTAGTGGAACTCGTCGTCGTATCGGCTTGAGAGTGTGTGTCGTCTCCATACGAAGGTGCAATGGAACGGACAAGCACATCCACCCACTCGTCTCGTTCTGTATCACTGGCCGCGCAAAGAACATGGCGAGAGGGGACAGCCCCTTTTTTCGTCTGTTCGATGATGAGAAATGCATGTCGGTATGCATTCTCATCGTCGGCATTGGCCTGCTTTTGTTGTCTGCCAATTTGGGCTCCGGTGATATTGATGGTGCCAAGATGTGCACCCCCTCGCTAGGCTCATCTGAGTCGATATTGTGACAGATGCCGAGATGACTCACGTTCTCAAAGTATTCCAGGACCGAGTTTTGCAATACAAAGTAGCGAGTTCTCCATCTATGAACACGAATCAGAGATCAGGTCCCGTTCATCAAGGCGCACTTACCCGCCAAAGTTCTTGCCTCGTTTAGTCAGATATCCTTCCTTGTACCCCTGACTCGCCATAGGCGCTCTATCTCCTCTCGAAAGGTCGCTTGAAAAGAAGAAACAAATATCTGAAGTGTCTTTGGTGGGCACAACCAAAAGGGCCTGTAAATATTGCTCCAGAATGGCCTAAAGATAATAAGAATCACATATGATATAATGTATTGCATACGTACTCGACGTTGGTCCACTTTGGCTGGAGCATTGTCCTTGAAGAGCTTAGCATCGGGAAGAGGTGGGAGTCTCTTCGCCTGGCTGCGACCAAGAGTTCCGCGAACTTTGCCATCCAGAGCAAGGATGTCGCTATACATCTTTTCAATCTTCCATTCTTCCGACGTGGCCGACGAGCCTATCCGCACAGGGTGTACCGAAATGACAAACGAGAGCACTTCCTTGCCACGTTCATTGCTCCGGATTTGTGATCCTGCAATGTGAACACGCGTCGAAGGAAGATCCTGCGGCGACAAATGAGGTTGTGTAGACTTTTGTGGGCTAGCGGCAGTAGCGGGCGACCTGGTGCGCTTGGAATGGCTCGAGGGTGATGCGCCAGTGTCGTAAAACTGTGGGTCATTGTACGCAATTGCTGATGACTGCTGTGGAGCAGCATGCCTTCGCGTGTATCTCGCCTCTCCTTTGACTCGGACTGCTTGCCATGATGTGCACTTGATTGCGCAGGAGTCGCCGGCTCGCTTTCCATTGGGCTCGGGAATGAAACACTCCCACTCGATTGTTGATGAGCAAAGGATGGGCGATCAAATCCTCCAAGAACTGGAGTGCTGCCGTTGGCGTCTTGGGCGTATACTGGGGGCTTTGGTGGTTGCCACTGCTGTGGCGAATGATGTTGATGACCATAGGAAGTTTGGTTAGGCATCGGGGTTGTAGCGTCGTTGTAGTCGACGCTACTGCTCCTACTCGCGCTGTGCTTATGTACCTCTCTGACCGTGGACGTCGAAGAAGCCGTTCCAGGCGGAGGCGGTGGTGGATAGTTGGGTGCCTTTCGCTCGTTGCTCACGACTGGATACGCAACTTCTTTCTCTTCAACTGGGCTATTCTCGATGCTGTATGGCTCCGTTTCGGTGGCAACGTCAGCCTGGTCATTCTTCTTGTCTCCTCGAATTGTTTCGTGTGGATCGCCTCCTTTAACTGTGCTGCCAAATTCCGCCAAATTCGGTTTGGGGCTTCCGCTGGGGCTCTCTCCCATTGCGGCAATGTATCGTGCCGCTTCATCCGGGAGTGTAATGCGACTCTCTCGAGCTCCTCTTCGGTCTCGTGGGGCCGGAGCGGTTAAAAGCATGTCCCCATTTCCACTACCGTTGGAAGGGTATAGCATAGGTGGTATCGTAGAAGGTTGAGAGGATGCACTCGAGGCCGATGCAGGACTTTGGCTCAATGGCGCTGCTACGTTTGGCGTGTTCGAAACGTCTTCGGAAACAATCACAGGAACTGGTGGTGCAGAGGCAAGTTGGGACTTTGTAGATGGAGCTGGTAAGGATGCCTTCTTTTGTACATTTAATGGTACGGTCGCCGCCGGCGCGGGGAGCGATTCGCCGCGGTTGGGCTTCTGTGGAGTGCTAGAGCCTGTCGACGATGTGCTAGCCTCTGGTGGGTTGACTGCCGTGGCAGTAGCCGTCCGGAGTGGGCTGCCGTTGAGAGGTTCGTGTGAACGGGATGGTGAAAGTGAATGGCCAGAAGTTCCAAGATACTTTTGGGCATCTATAAACATGTAATCATTAGAAACTGTGGAGAGGGACAAGAGGGGCCGATATTGACGATGAACCCAGGCAATTAATCAAGGCTCAAGGGCTGGGAGGAAAAGGAGCAAGGGACATCAACTTACATTGATCCTCTGAATTGCTTCTGCTCAGCTTGTCCCGTGGCGGTTTATCGCGCGCTTCCGCTCTATCCGGACGGTCGGGGCGTTTCGAGGCTGAAGGGGATGACGATGTATCGACAGATGTCTTTTCAGACGCGGTATGAGGTTCCTTTTCCTTGCTTGCCACGGGAGAGGAGGTGGACGGTTGGGCGACAAGAGCCCGAAGTCTGTCGAGTTCCTTGGTGGCGGAGTTATACATGGCACGTTGTTTCTCAAATAGCTTCCATAGTTGAGCATTCTGCGATGTCAGGTTGTTGCGCTCTTGGACTACTGCCTCGAGCGCGGCTAGAGGATCGCGTCCGCTAGCCTGGAGAGCAGATTCCACCGTTAGAGTGGAAGCAGTAGCCCCGTTCATGAGATGAAGCGACGTTGACGAGCCGTTTCGAGGCGGGGAGTGCGGGGAGGACGAGTAGGTGGGTTGGAGCGGCCGGACTACTGCTAGAATGCGTGTATAGATGATGAGCAATGAATATAAGAATGCTGAGATGAGAAATCTCACCGCTGAGTGAGCGATGGTAGCACGAATGACCGGAGATGGGCGAGGAACGCGGTTTCGCAAGACGGTCGGCGCTGAGAGACGAAAGAGAGATAAATCCAAGATTGCTAATGAGATAGTGCTACACTCGAGTCAAGGAGTGTAGCGTTGGTCAGGACCAACCTTTACTTTGGCTTGTCTACCGACCTCTGAGCGTGCGAATGCTAGCGATCGAGGGGGTTGCTTCTTGTCGTTGCTTCGAGTATTCTTGAATGAGGAGTAAAACCCTGCTGTTGCTCAGGATTTTATATGCGGGGGCTTCTCCCACGACGATGACCGCAGACGCCGGTAATTGTAACCACGACGAATTCCTCGAATAAGTATAAAGTCTGAAGTCAACCAGCGCCCACCGCCCGTCTCCGGTGCAATGCCGCAGCTGACTCCAAGAATGACAGCAGACTATCTTGGACCCGACCACTCCCATCTATCCCTTCATCCATGTTTTCACGCAACAAGAAGCGGCCAGTATCCCAGCAGCCAGCACAAACCCCCGCAAAGCCACAGCAAAACGGCCAACATCTGCAGTCACGGCCCTCTACGACCAGTAATCCATATTACCAGCATGCACACAACAATCCCCCTCCTCCTCCGCCCACCGCACGCCCATACCGTCATCCCCCACCTGGCGCTGACATGCGCCTCTGGCAAGTGTTTTGCAATGTTGACAAGGATGGAAGTGGTGCGATAGATCTGCGGGAACTCCAGCAGGCACTCATCAATTCAAACTGGACCAGTGAGCATCTAGGACCCAGTCTGGACTACATTCCAGCAATGCTCTCCATGTGCCCAACGCTGATTCAATATCGTAGCCTTTGATCTTGATACCATCAAGATGCTCATGAACATCTTTGACACGGACCGCAGTGGCACAATAGGCTTCAACGAGTTTGCAGGACTCTATAAGGTAAGGGCTTACCTTTGCGAGTCTATATTTACCCAACTCTTTGGCAGTATATAGAAGACTGGCAAGGGTAAGAAAGAAACAAGACAACCTGACTTGAATCTCATCAATGAACAGCGTCTTTCGGCATTACGACCAGGACCGAAGTGGCACGATCGAAGAGAGAGAACTCTTTGACGCCCTCAATGGGTTTGGATACAACTTATCCCCTTACATCGTGCGCATGATTCTCCACAAGTACAGTACGTACTAGAAACTCCTCATCCCCCGAGGTTCTAAGTTTGCGCAGGTAGCACGCCCGTTACTGGCTACGGCATGCCGTCGCCCTCTATCACCTTTGACCGCTTTGTTCGGTGAGTGACGCGCACACGCTCTAAAGTGACGCGATTCTAATAGTTGCATACGCAGCGCCTGTGTCGTCGTCAAAGATCTCACCGACTCCTTCCGAGCAGCGGACCGTGACAATGACGGATGGATCCAAATCAATTACGACCAATACATGAGCATGTTTCTCAAATCGCCATGACCAATGCCAAAGTATGGTTTCAACCCTTTTCACGAGCACGGACCAACGAGCATTTACGACCATGTACTCTAACCCTAATTTCACATCATTCGGCGTGTTTGACGCGATTTCTGATCAACTTATGGTGACAATTGACCTTATATAAGTAACGCGTCCAACAGTCAATTTGATTGACGTAGTTTGCGGACTATACCAGCGATTGTCAACCATGACATCGCTCTGTACTAGTGAAGCGTTACTCCAAAGGAAGTTCGAGAGGCCGCATATGTTGCCGCTTGTGGATCTGACCGATTACAGGTGACTATAGGCACCTTCGATTGTCCAGTAGCCCTGACAGATGATTTTGCCCAAGTACAGCAGTTGCTCTCTATCACAGGACGACAAGAATCAGCCTATCAAAGGGCGCAAGATTCATGGACGCTGGTTGGTATTCTGGACTATTTCCCGAAGATTCCCTCGGCGGATGCAGCCACCGGGAACTGTTCTCCGAGGCAGGTGGGTCAGAGTCAGTGATACAATAACTCTGATATTAACTATTTACGCAGGTTCGCTTCTCAACATGAGTACTCAGCCCTCATCACTCGAGGTGGTGTTTAGTAATTGCGCAATATAGGACTATCAGAATATCCTTTCTTGACCAGGTTCATGCGTCGTGCCCAGCGTTCGAACCTTAGGCCACGCGACAGAACAGGTCCTATTGGAGGATGAGTGGCTGAAAGGTGTCTAGAGCTTGGGAGGGTTCCTAAAAATGACTTGCATATCCCTGTTACTCGTATCTTTTGTCTCATCTACATTTGTTATTTTCACCATAGCTATTCAATCCACATTTGGACTCCCCTTCGTGACCGATTTTTCAAGGCTTGCGTGAACGGCCGGCTATATATGAACACATTACGCCTATTTCCTATCTCTCGACATGGCGTGTTCAACGTATCTGGCTGGCCAACTTTGGGCAAGCAAATGTCAATGGGTCGACGCTACATTCATCCACGCGGCCCAACCAAGTCTTTACTCGTCCCAGATGGAAAATTCGACATTCTTTTCTTTGGAGGGGATGAGTTTTCGTGCCGGACATTAGAAAAAATCTACGAGGCGAGGGGTGAGTTCAATGTGAGATTCCAGGTTCACTGACGCGAAATAGATGTATGGAGAACACTCTACGTCGTCACCCAACATGACATGCAACTACTGCAACGTGGAGCAAGAACGGTCCCATGTAAGGACAAACTCGGTCGCAACGTTAAACCTTTTAACGCTAGCTAGCTCCTGTACGAGTCCTTGCAGAGAAGCTGGGGCTACAGGTATTTCTAATGCCAAAGGACAATAACGACTTTAAAGTCATGACGGTATGCTCAGGCCCCATTAGTCCATGCTCTTCTAAGAAACCCATTTCTATAGTTTCCCGCTCCATTTCATCGTGCCGAGCATCACCCTCCTCAGCTCCTCGTTACTTCGTCGGTTGGACGCTACATCCCAATGAAAATCCTCAAGCGGTTCCATCATTCACGCCGACTCAATGTTCACCCTTCTCTCATCCCTAAATATCGCGGTGCGGCACCAATACAGTGGGCTATAGCAGACGGTCTCGAAGAAACCGGTGTGAGCGTTATCGAGGTCGAGCAGGTTGGACTGGGATACGATGTGGGTGATATCTGGGCGCAAAAGTCGGTCGTAAGTATATTCATAGCAGTTGTCTGTTTCATGAACTGAAAGCTTGTAGGCAATCCCTCCAAACTCGACGCACAGCACGATGTGGCCTATACTCGCTGAGGAAGGCTCGGAGCTTTTAATCTCGGTTCTCAGGAACATGATAGCTGGTACAGTCAGTGTAGATCAACGTCTTGAGGACACATGCTAATCCTCCCATAGCAACCTGATGCCATAGAACAAGATAATGAGGCGGCTACCGATGCGCCAGTAATTGATAGCGTCATTGCAACCACAAACTGGTGGGAATGGGATGCCAAGCGTGTAGAGTGCACGTCTCGAGCTTTCCTCCATCAGGTAAGGTCTCCTCTGCGTTGCCTCCAGCGCTGATGATACGATTCAGAAACCGATCTTCACATACGTCTTTGACAGCGAGACGACTCTTCAACTGTTTGACCTCTCGGTCTTGGATTCCACTATAGAACCCAGTAGAGAGAACAGGATTGAAGAAATTGGAAGGGCGCGACTCAATAAGCAAACGGGGAATCTTGAGGTCACTTGTGCCAATGGTACACGGGTTGGTATTGCTCGTGTCAAGCAGAAGAATCGCAACCTTATCCCCGCCAAGGAGTGGTGGATTGGTGTCCCAGAGTGGAAACGCCCGCAAGGCTATGTGCAATTTCATATGGGCGCGAACCGCAAGCCTGGGATTCCAGCGTTCGATGACCTGCCTCGGTCACAAAAGTTGATGGATGGCTACTCATTTGCCCCAAAGTATCAGAGCTAGAGTCTCCTGAGACCGTTCCGAGTGTGTAATTATATCTTGTTGGCCTAATCTAATTCCTTGGGCATTGGGATACACTCCATATGAGTCTTGCCAGGATTCAGCGGCAACGCACAGTAGAAGCCGAGGTTCTACGCAAAGTTTATTCTTTGTGACATAGGAGGAAGGATTGACTAACCTGCATTGCTTCGAATAAGCGCGTGCTTTTCATGTGAATCTGAAAGTAGTCAGTAGAGTTGGGTTGGATAATGCACTCACCATTCGACACTCCTTGGATACGTTCCCATCCGGCTGTCTACACAATTCCGACTCGGGTGCACCTCGCTCGCTATCGAAGGTATACTTGGCTGTGGGTGCTTTCTACTAGACGTAAGTCATGTTCCGAAATGGGTGGAGCGAACAATACTGCAATAAAGGCTTTGAGGTCTTCTTCGGGGTTTGAAGCCCGTTGTTCTGTCTTGTTCTGCTTCCACCAGACCATAGTCGGCTCCAAGTTTGTTATGACGCATCTTGCCGTTGACCACCGCTTGACCATTTTGCCAACTTTCATCAATTACGCTCGTTTCGGATTGGAAACTTTGAATGGAAGATAAACCATCCTCCTCGTCTTCCAAACCCGGTCAAAATCTGAAGGATGCCATCCCCGGGGACAGAAATGCGACAGACATGGCATGGGAACAGGTTATTCGATGGGAAGCAATGCATGGAGGTGGACTCAAGTGTGGTGGAATCCGCCTTGTGTCGTTTGCAAAGTTCAAGAAAAACAGAAGTCCCAGCGCCATGTGGGCAGTATTCATGGGGTATGTGCATTTGAATCATATCATTCCCATTCTATTTACTGATGAATCGATTCTCATAGCCACAAACCGCCCTACGAAAGGCAGGACTGGATCATTGATAGATGTGGTCACGTTAACCGCTACATTATCGACTTTTACCGACGTCCAAGAGATCCTAAAGACCCTAATTCGCCAGAGGACAAGCTAGTTGTCTACGCTCGTCCGTCAGTCCGGGATTGGGATGGAGCAAAGCTTCGCATGAGACGAGGGTGGAGAAGACTGGTTGCAAAACTAACTTTTGGGCGTTATGGATTCACAGATTACTAGGGTACGCTCTTCCAAATATCTTCCTGCCCAAGCATGACTTACAGCCCAGGACTTTCAGGCATTTGTAGCATATAATCGATTAGTTTTCATCGAACCCGCATTTTTCAGCTTTCTGAGTCAACAAGACGGTTGTATTGAGACGACATCGTATCGAGGGATTCTACACAAGTGCATCCAGGCTTTCAATCGACTCGACAATACCAGAACGAGTAAACTTCTTTCCTTTGACACTCTCCAGCCCTTCTCCATCATAAGTAACCAGAGGTGAAAGTTCGATCTCCACTCCTTCCGCGACCGTAGCACCTGCCGCCTCCAGGAAACGTCTTTGCTGTTGAAGAAGATCTCGACGACTGGTCTCTGGATCATCCACACCAGTACCTGGAGCATTCTTGAGGGGGCTAAAGTCATCCTTTCTATCCACTTCGAGCACAGCAAAGTTGCTGGTGAACGGGAAGACGTCAAAGACAAAAAGCTCCAGCTTGAGGCCATTTGGCTTGGATGGCTTGATCAGCTGACCACTTGTCATATCGATGTGTGGAATCTTCTTCCTGGCGATGTGGAAGGCCATTTCATCCTCAAACTTGACGACGCTACGGAGAAACTCGGTGGTGTAGAAGTGGTTGGCGATATTAGCAGCGCGGAACTTCAGTTCACCGCTGCTATCTCTGCTTTCGGCATCCTCTGCAGAGATCTCAGAGTACTCGACGATAGAGTATTTCTTCCCCTTTAACGCGACAACACCGACCGATTCCTTTGGATCTACCTTGCGTACGACTTTGGCTGCGCAATCGGCCTTTTTCGAGAGGCAAAACCCGATAAAGGTCGGATCCGCGACACGCACAAGGCAGTTGTCGACACCATATGCGTGAACATAGAGAACATTTCGGTTCCCCATGTCACTGAGAACAGTGGTTGCTTCTCCAGGGTTCAAAGGAGAACGAAGCGCGGCATATAAACCGCCATTTCCGTCTGGAGCGACCGCGATATGATCAGGTGCGTCCATAATAACTTTGCCATCCATCGTCAAACAAGGCAGGGTGCCTAGAAAAGATTGTCAGGTGACATGAATAAAACACACATTGTAGCTTACCTTGCTCGAAGAAGATGACATTGCTGGGATTGAGACCAAAGTAGTTGTTGGCCTTGAAGAAGGCGACGGTATCGGGACGCGTTGGGCCACTGGTCATCACATACCAGGGAATGACAACTTGAGATTTACCATTCCTTTTTTTAGCGATGTCTTGGAGACGCCTGATTCTCTCTGCCTGGTACTGGAAGAGGGATTTGTGGGATGGCAAGCCGATATCGTAGCAGCCCTTGGGAGCGCTACTACCCAGTCTTGTTCCTTGCCCACCTGCCATGAGTAGTACACCAACTTGTCCCTTTGCAATGGCATCCAACCCAGCTTCTCTCCACTGACTCGCGTTGGATGGGGAGCCAATCGTGCTGTCGAAAGCCTCGGACGGAAGAGGTTCGATCGCCTCCTCTTTTGCTTCAGCGCTACTGAGATACTTCTCTGCTTCGATCGCACGCTGGTAGATGCGATTGACCCGCTGGATATCGATCCCGGCCAGCTGTTTGATCAACGTTTGGCGCTGTTCCGCATTGAGAGTCTCCAGAAAGCGGAATACTTGGCTCTGATCAGCGGCTGCGTAGCTCTCCTGCAGCTTTTCTAAGGTGGGCATGGTGGATAGCAAACGTGGGCAGGTCAAGAAGTTGAGTGGTGCACTAAACTTGTCCTATTCAACCTCCGTCAATCATGTACAAGAATTGACGCAATATCATCCATCTAGTGCAGAGTCGGACGCCTCTTGGTCAGATTCATTCTCCTCATAATTTGGTATTAGTTCGAAGCGCTGCGTGATCTCATGCTGGAACTGGTCGAATAGCTGCATAGCACGCATTCGAGCATCAACGTCCTTCGGTAACGTGAACATTTCCTACAATCTCGTCAGAAATGCACCAGAGACCATGAATAGCGTTTGCTCACGTCTTGACACTCTTCCAAGTGCATTGTCAATGATAGTCCAAAGCGCTGATATGCCTAGAAATTTGTCAGTGAAAACATGTCGAATTCTCGAGGCCACCTTGCCTTCATTCGCTTGGTCAATGCCTCGATCTACCAATAGATGAGTTTACTGATATTGCTCGGGTCATAAAAGTACCTCTTGTTGCGCAGCAGTAAGAGCCTCTGTCTCTCGCTCCAACTCTACGCGTGCTTCCTGAATCTTCGCCTTGGAGATCATAGCCTCTAGCTCTTTCGTTCTTAAGACGGATTCAAAGTGTGCCTCTCGAATTTCATACTGCCGCAAGAGGTATTTCAGTCTTTCGCGCACACTAGTGATAGTCAGGCACAGTGCTTGTTCAAATAGAGAGAGCACATACACGCCGTCGAAGATTGCCTCGATCGAGTTTCGGGTCCTACAAGAGTCATTAGGAACTGATTGATCCTTAGAAACTACTCACTCGATCGGGTCTAGCGACCAGTTCTTTTGCAGTCGCAGCTTCTCTGGCTTTGGAATCTCTTCCTGAGCAATAGCTTAGTAGCATTAGGAGAATTTGAGTGCACATACGACTTCTGGACTTGTCAAGTCCATCATCTCGACTGCTAAAATTTCGTCTCCATCCTCCATATTCGCGTCTTCAGGAGTCTGGTCTGGTTCGAGTCCTCGCCCCATGTGCGTGAATAGGAACTGCATAGGGGGTGGTGCTGGCCTTTCAATCATGGGTAGCATATCCCCTGTCTTCTTGTTGGCATCGGGTAAGGACGGAACATATGAACGAGCGTCCATTCTCTCTGTCCAGGCACTAAACAGTCTAGCTAGCTTTGTCTTGCGTGATATCTTGAAAAAGAGCTCTGCTCGATACCGACACACAACCTTGATGACGATGTCCGGCATGTCCGAATATCGTTTGTCTCGTTTCTTGTCCCTTTCCATGCGCTTTTGCAAGTCGTCTTTTGCAGAGGACAACTAAAATTATGTCAGTGTGTCGCTTTACACACGGAGACAAAATAGAAGTCATGCTTGTCACAGATAGGATGGAGAGCTCCATTTACCTGTGAGAGGGCCGAGGAAATCTGACCCACCTGCTGCTCCACCTGTTGAAGGGATCCCTTGAGACGTTTTGCTTCATCCTAAATGGACGTTAGTGTCAGAAACAGGGAGGACAGGGAGACTGACACGAAGGTCCTTGTTTTGCTAGAATAACGGGTTAGGTAGCGATATCAGATATGCATATAGACACACCTTTTGCATATCCCTCACCACGGCATCCGTCTTTGATTTCAGCTTCTGGACATTGGTCAATGTTGTTTTAGCTGTGGCGCCGTCTCAGCACTGGAACGCAAATGGATGTCGACTCGACATTACATGCGTCATATTCTTTCTTATTCTTTTGTCTCTCCTTTGCGTGTTCTCTCTCTTGCCTTCGGAACTCTTGATACTGCATGGGAGCCAATGAGCTAGTGTGCGTATACTGCACGGCGTCCAACTTGCCAGCTCGACGTATTTTGCGTGCACTTGTTGAAGATTCATCCCTTTCACTGTTTTACGAGCCTCTTCAGCTGCCGATGAGTCACGAATGTCAGCAAACCAATGTTAGCCAACATAGAAAGGCGATTACCTGACCGCCTGTCCTCTTCTCCACCCTGCACTTTCTCTCCTTCGAGCGCGGCAATGCGACTCTGCAGCAGCTCATGCATGTCAATGGCCGGCGCAGCGGCCTTCTTGCTCTTAGCCGTTGGTGTCGCATTCACATCTCCATTCGTTGGACGTGTAGAAGAGTTGGTGACGTTGCTAGATGTACTAGTAGAACCTTTATTCGCCCCTGTCTGGGCGTTGGATGAACTCCCGGCTTGTGTTGTCCCTGAATGAGTGCCCGCAGAACTGTTCTTTGCTGATCCATTGTTATTTGTGCCGTTCATCATGCAAAAATACTAAGAAATGGGCCGTTACCGCGGTCGCGTAATGGCCTGGATGAGCACACTCAAGTCGACGAAGGGTCAAAATTTGGAATCCCACTCGACGAGGTCGGTACCAGTCGGAGGATGCTAAGGTCCGTCTAAGAGTGTAGATACCCACTGAACTATTTTAGTGAGAGTATACATTATGCAAAGAGAATAGATGCATTCTCAACGGCCTCCTTTGCGGTGGGATGCCGAATAAAGTGGCCCTGAAGTGACGCCATGCTGACATTATGACCTCCTTCTCGCCTTGTTTCCACGATAGAAGCGAGTTCATCTCCAAGTGCGGCTAATTGCGTCGCGTAGTGTGGGTCGAGCTTCTCTCCCGTGTCTGGCTCTGAATAGAACTGACATAGAAGCCTCCTTGCTTGATTCGGCGTCGCGTCCCCAATCAGTTGAATCACGTCGACTCTTCCAGGACGGATGAGCGCCGGGTCGAGCTTCTCGATGTGATTGGTCGTCATGAAGACGATGCGCTCTTCGCTGGAGGCAACACCATCCAACGCATTAATAAAGCCCGAGAAAGTGACAGCTGATTGGTACCTTTATGGTGTTAGCATTGACTATGGTTCATGGGCGCTACGCACCCGTCTTCCGAGACTTGCACGCGTTTGTTGAATGCGGCATCTACGTCTTCTATCAGAATAATGGACCGAGGAGGTGCTTGTGACAGTAGCAGAGTGAGCTTGTCGTCTGCGAGACCACGGAGGGAGAGGTTGATCAGGTAAATGTCATAGCCCAGTGAGCCGGCCAATGCTTGAATATAAGACGTCTTTCCTGAGCCTGGTGGCCCATGAAGAATGTATCCTCTTCGGAATGGAATGCCTGAATACTGGTTATTGCGGAGATTCCAGGGAGGATCCATACTTGCCTCGTTTTGCGTACCACTGCTTCCGGGAGAGGAAGTGACGTACGTCAGATTCTATTCTCTCGGAAACACCGTCATCCAGGACTACACTGGATATAGGACGTTTCATTCGGGGAGGTCCAAACACTCGCCATTCGGAATGCCAGTGGGTATAAATCAGCAAACGGCCTTCCTGCTCTGTAAGGGCCAGGTCACGCGCTTCAAGCAGTAGCTTTGGGAAGAGGTATCGGTATTGTGACAGAGTTGTGATTGTAACCGTCTCCCAAGGACGGCCCGTGGCTGGATTCACTGCACGGTCATTTCGATCCCGTTTGATCTGCCAGGCGTCAAGTTTCATCGCATAGGATATTGAGAGTACACACTTGCATCCACGCGCCGTTATACTTGAACCAATGCGTACCAGGACCGGCGACGAGGGTGAAAAACGCGTTCACGCTCCCATTAGGTCGTGTCTCCATGAACGTCTCAACACTGAGCTGATGCATTCGAGCCCATCTCGACTGCGCAACAGCGGCGCGTGCAGAGGTTTGGTAGGCCATCCAGCTGAGAAACCATTCGTACGAGCGATCTTTGCTCGGAATCTCTAATGAGACAAGCATGCGTCTCTGGGCTGCAATAAAGGCAAATTTTGACCCTTGTCTGAGCGCTCCTAACCCTACGGTCAAGGCCTAGCAATGTCAGTTCAAATTTCGATGTTGGCAAACCAGCACACCATCAATCCTGCTCCGGCAGAGAAGTAGGGACTATAATATAGTGAAAAATCGCATGGAAGAGCGAAGTAGACCCGTACTTATCGCCAAATATGCCCGTCAAAGATGTGCCGTCCATGCATTCGTTGTAGTCTGGGTTCAAGATCACACTCAACGTTCATTCAAGACAAAGTATGAGATGAGAAAGCATGGATTAGATCCCAAGATGCACTACAGCGTAAACTATCAAAGTCGACGTCTTCGAGTCTATAGAAGTCTACATTGAACTGATCTCGTACGCAAGCGAGGCATCGATCCGTTGAAAGCTGGATATTGATTGCTGGAGCTTCACTTTGACCAAGAGTCGTGGCTGAACCACAGTTCCGGAGGTTGAGCGCTGTCGGATTCTGGTGTGACACTCTCCAGCTATATCCAGTTCAGTAACGACGATCATCATGACGGCGATCATCGTAGCGGCGGTCGTCGTAGCGTCTATCATCATAGCGACGATCGTCATAACGCCTATCATCATACCTGCTAGACCTCCTTTCGTCGTATCTGGAAGGCGGGCCACGGTAGTCGCGCTCGTATCGTGAGTCGTAAGGCCGAGGGTCGTATGGGCGTTCATCTGCAAGGGGCGTCAGTATCCCACATTAATAGATGCATGTAACATACATTGACGATCAGGGCGCTTCGGGGGGCCGTAGTAACGACCGGGCGTGGGGGTCCTGGCGCGGCCACGGCGTGCTCTTTCAACGTTGATGATCTTGCCTTGCTGCTCCGTCGAGTTGAGTTGGCTGATAGCTGCGTCCGCGTCTTCAACAGTCTCCATCGTGACGAAGCCAAATCCACGAGATTCCCTGGAGTGAGGGTCGTACATGACGGAAGCCTTTTTGACCTACGAGAGCATATAAGTAGACGAATTGACAGATACGGGTGGGCTCCTACCTTTCCAACCTTTGCAAAGATTGCTTCCAACTCGCGTGAGTCGATTCTGCTGCTCAAACCAGAAACATGAAGATTGTTTCCGGGGTTAGTACCGTCTGGTCTAGATAGGTTGTTAGTAGATAAAAGGGTGTACAGTATCAAGTCATACCCTCCGTCCTTGCCATCCCCATTACGCTTCGGAGACCTTGACCTGCTGCCGCGCCTAGGGGGTGGAGAGCCTCGGCGTGGAGGGGTGCCGCCGCGTTCACGATAATCGTCCACGTTGTTCATCTGCGTGTCGCCAACTGCAATATCGAGGTCGAACGTAAACAAGCGAGTCGAGAACGGGGGCGGGGCGAAAAAGTGCAAGGCTGGAAATGAGAGCGAACGACAAGTTGACTGCGCCAAACTAGATGTCGAGCTCGCCATAGTTGAAAATACATTGCCATTGTCGTCGACGACGTCGCACGAGGAGCGCAAGAGGGCCCGAAAGGCGAATTAGCTGGACCCAAAAGATTCGTCGAAAAACCGAGTCGTTGTGCTCTCTACGGTGCGAGACAAATGTTAAAGTCGCTGTAAAACTCACTGTCGTCGTTGGGCATATCCTGGGCGGGTCAACGCGAAACCAAGAAGATGGACGGGTTCAAGTTGTGACTCCACCGACGCCAGACGCTCGTGGGATATATTAGGCCCACATAAATGCTATAACATTTTGAAATAGCCACCACGGTCGCTCGCATGCTATCAACGCGGAGAGTAAAAGTCAGAGGGGTGCCTTTCTAGGATTGCCGTCTGGATCAAGAATCTAGTACTTAGTCATTCTTTGGTGCTTTGACCAAAAGTCTCGGGGCGGGGGCTCGGTGGTTGAGCAATCGACTGCAGATCGATAGGTCACCGGTTCGAACCCGGTTCGCCCCTGATTTTGCACAATTTTTTGGTGCTGTGAATAAAGCATTCTTGTACAATGAATTTGGGATGATACAGGCCTACGAAATGCTCCGGACAGCGACCAACGAGCTATTGCAGTCAACAGAGGTCCGACCCAGCAGAAGCTCGCCCTGATGGTGCCGACTTTGACAAGGCATCGAGATAAATAAGATGAGTTGAGAAGTCTCTGCCGCACTTGAGGGGTTTGTCATTGAGAGAGGCTATTGAAGCGTCAGCCTCTTGCCTGGTGCCCGAGCGAATACGGACGCATGAATATTGTTTTATCGTCGTCTTCTCACGATGATTAACGACTGGTGCTACCTCATACAGGGGAGGTGTCTTGAAGGCTCGCCAATGATGTCTGGAAGAGGGCGGCATGGCGCTCCCTGTTCTTCTCAACTCTTCATCACTCTCGTACTCCCAGAAATGGCTCATAGCGCGATGGCCATTAGGGTTCCAGCCATTACGGGTAGCAGCGGCGAAGGCCAATCGTTCCCTGCGTCTCTGCCAGAGTTTATAAAACCAAAGTTGGATGACGACGAGGAAGAATATTGCCCCCGTAAAGTATGCAAAGGAGAGAAACCCATTGGTGGACATTGCTTGAATCGTAATCAATGAGTATTCAGCCCGGGTGCAAGTAGCAGATTACCCACAACGATGATGATTACGATGAGAGTTTAATTTGAGAAACTAATATTCCAGGAACAAGAGGTAGAGACGAAGGAATGACGCTTTATAACTCGCGAATGGCCAAGCACAGGTCCACTTGGCACAACTTGGCCATCTGTGTGGTTCACATTCAGGAAGGTCCTGTCAGGTCCTACGTCAGGGAGGTACCAGGGATATCCCGGAAAACCAGAGTCTGCCAATCACTCCTAGCGGAGAGTGAATTGCATCGAACCGATACATAATTCCTCTGCGTGCGTATTCATTATGTAGCCCATTTCTTTCGTTGGTAAACGAATGACCGCGGCAAGCCACAATGGTCGCCCGTCCATTCCGACTTCGTTAGATTCGACACTTCTTGCGCCTTTGCGCTTCTTAGGCGCACTTTCTATGTCCACATCTCTTTCTAATCCAAGTGGCTGCACCAGCCATGAGACTTTGACCACTTCTAGTGATGCGAGCTTACCAGCCATTGCTTATCATGTACACTCGTACATGCTACCTTTCTTATCAAGCAATGATAGTAGCCGGGTTTACTTGGCTCAATCTGATCCTTTGCTCCGCGTTCCAGCCACCGTCTGAAGACGACCATCGATGCCGAGGTGACTCTTGTTTGCCGTTGAAGACAGCAACATATGAAGCACACGGCAGAGCATAACAGGAGAGCGCAGAACACGAGCACTATAACAAGTGCTATTGAGATTTTGAAGTCCCATATGTCGACATAGACCTCCATGCGCGCTTCTTCGTCGTGAAACTCGGTAGCCCAAGCCCTTAGGATGGAAACGATAAAAATCACGACGTAGAATGGAGCGCAGATGGACCGACTTTTGCCGAAGAGCCAACACTAGGCGTACGGGGTGAGCAAGAACAAGGGTAGAGCAGAGTGGAATATTATATATATATCTGTACCAAGGGCAAGGCTTCTCGACGAATATTACCTCGGGATGTAGTCGGCTATAGCGGCTATGAGCCACATCACCAAAAATAAGTTTTCATCAAGCGCCCGAGGTGGGCCGACGGAACGTAGTTATCATGTCTGTGGGAGTTGACCCTGGGCAAACTCGTTCCTTCCACCTGACTGCCTTATGAATATAAGGCGGATGTATGGTATCCATATGTTGACTCTCCTCGAATGTATTGATGCCTTGCTCATGCAAGAAGCTCACATGGTCCATGTTTGCACTCGGGTCTTTTGGTTTGGACCCCGGCATTTGTATAGCTCCTCTTGAAGTATATCAGGGATTATGCGCAACTTCTTACTTACTATACTGTTGTTATAGGGATACCGGATCGGAAGCAGCGTCGAAAGTGCCAGACGCATGCATGTATAATGATTCATTCGGTATTATCCGCATTATGACAAGTCCTGCGAGTGTCTCTCCGCGCCAGGCCAGCATATGTTAAGAGACCTAGAACTGGTAGCCTCGAGGTTCTCCATTAGGCGAAAGGATATAGTGGTGGAGGTCAATATGCGGTCATTCGCGTTTTAGATAAATCGATTGCAAAGTTCAAGATGTCGCACTCATCCGGCTTCTCCTCACAAACAACATGCATATCATCATGTACAGTCCATCGTACCGAGTACCAATTCACCACTATGCATGTTGGGATGATGATCTGATGCGCCCGTCGTTGGCATACGAATGATGGTCGACATGCAGAGCCTGGCACGGACCTCCTGTTTAGGCCTCCCGTCAAGCCTTTTACGTCCTATTTTCCAACGCTTCGTGGCCAGCTCTTCAGCATTGGTTGGTTGAAATTCTTCCAAGGCGATGGGCTACATGATCCGAAGCTTCAGTATCTTCTCTTATTCGCACTTTGTCAGCGTACCGTCCACTCTTTATCAAAACCGACTCCATCTGTCACCTCATCCGCAATTATATCAAAATATTCAGGTTTATCTGGCTCGAGCTCCATCCTCGCGTGGTTTTCGAGCCAGGTACGGAGGTGGGGGAGGGAATGCGCCGCTGAGTAAAGTCTCGACTTTCGCTGTAGAAAGAAACACAAGACCCCAATGGTGAATAATAGGATGAGAAGAAGAACGAGCGAGATGACGATAAACTTTGGAGACGCGACGCCCGAGTCGCCAAAGGTAAAGACGGACATGTTCCGCGGCGTTGGTCCCTTTGGCAGACGAAAAAAGTGGGTAAAGGGGTGGCCGCTGTAAATATGAGGCTCATACCCAAAGGTGATTTGTTATATGAGGTAGCATATGAGGGCGGGGATTACGCATCACATATATATACTGGTCGTTTGTAGCGGGCATAAAGTGCACCCCCGAAATACGTTCAATGGATGTATATGAGATTACAGGGTTCCCGAAGGGTCTGTCCACTGAACCCTGCAAATGATCTAGTGTGACGTAAAGGATAATAACGCAACACAGATGGACAAACGGAAAAGTATTAGGAGCTGAATCTCATCGTCCCCACAAAGAGCCCATCATCATGCGCAGAAGGAACATAGTTTTTTGTTTCGTCCATCGGCATGCGAATCACAGCCGATAGAATGAATCGTTTCTCCTCTATGCCTCGTGTTCCACGCTCGTGCCCACGTCTCCCCCATTTCCACTGCCTCGCACGCTTTGGCTGCGTATTCGATACGTCCCCTTCTACAGGTACTTCATCCTCTTCGAGGGCAAGTGGCTGCCAATATATTGTTCACCATAATCTAATTAGGTGTGACGAAGGACGTACCATCCAAGATTTGGATATACCCATTCCTTTGGGTACGCCATGGCTACAGTCACGCTCCGTCCCAGAAGATGCGTGAAAAGTAAGGGCAACACAGTAGTACACAACTGGTGGTGTATGAAGCCAATCTTGAAGCTCACGTGCAAGCCAGTGTCGGAACATCGGGTAGGCTGTCCGGCCATAGCGCCGCCCAAAGAACCAGAAAACCGAGATAATAACCAGAATGATGCATGAACCAGCAACTATGAAGGCAAGCCCGATCCCACTTGTGACTGGCAGCAGTCTCCCTTCCTCAGACGACATCTAGGCGGGGAGCGTTGGGAAGAGAGAACGACGAGGAAAGTGGGCGATACTAGACGCGTAAGGCATGGATATTATCCTTTACGGCAATCGCATGCCTATCGACGTTGGACGGAGAAATGTTCGGCGCTAACGTATATATCGGCCTCTACAACCAATCATAAGGTGTTGACGGACATACCGATATTGATATCGATAAGATTGGGAGGACTTACAGCACCACGGTGAATTGGACATTAGCGTACAAACGTAGATCAGACAAGAGTTATATCAACAGCTGAACCCCATCGTCCCAACAAACAAACCATCGTCATGAGCAGAAGGGACATAATCCTTCATCTCATTGGATGGCATGCGAATCACGGCTGATATAATGTATCGTTTCTCTTCAGTCGTTCGCGTTCCGTGCTCGTACGTCCGTCTACGCCATCTCCACGGTGCTTTACGGTTTGGCTGCGCGTTTGACATATCCTCCGCCTCGACGGTCGCCTCATCTTCTTCGAGCGCGAGCGGCTACCAATACAGCGTTGATCACAGAGTCGATATATATGAAGAGATACGTACCAGCCAAGTCCTGGGAGTCCCCATTCCTTTCGACATACCATGCCTCTGGCCCCCTTTCGTCCAAGAAGATGTAGGAGTCTTAAGGGCAACGCAGTGGTACAATATCGGTGGCGAATGAAACCAATCTTGGAGCTCAAGGGCAAGCCAGTGTCGAAAAGCTGAATACGGCGTGCTACCATAGCGCCGTGCGAGGAGCAAGCAGACGTAGAGCCCCGAAATGAAACCCGCGAGTGTACCAATGATAATGAATGAAACACTAAGCCCAGTTCCCTCCGGCGGCATCCTGCGCCTCTCTTGACCGGCGCGACGTCTCAGTGTGGAGGACAGTGAGGAGAGAGAGAACGAATGTGTCCAGTTTTGTAATCCAAATAGATATATATTGGGGGCATGACAACGACAACTCGACAGGGGAAATCTTCGGCCCTAACGTACATATGTGATATGAAGCTGCTCGATCGAGCCTATCAGCACCCAATCACAAGACAGAAGCGGACATACCGATATTGATATCAATAAGATTACCAATCCTACATATATAACGGATTTGGGCTAACTATTCGGAATGGCGTTGCCCGTGATCGCCGCTGGAGTCGAACTTGGATTTTGCTTCGTGTTCTTGATTGTAGATGTCGTCCAAGCGATTGGGCCTGTGATGACTACGTGGGCAGTGCCAATAGTGAGACTGGTGTCTTCTCGCCAATCCTCCTCTTTCGCCGACGTTCGCTGTTTACTGTGGTAAAAATGACGTGGATGGGCTTCAGAAGGCATGGAAATGAAGACTGTCATCATATATGGTTCGTCGTCTTGGTCTTCTTCGTCCGTACTCGGATCCTTAGACGATTTCGGTTTTGCTTCCTCGCCACTTTCAGCTTGCATGGCTAGAGGCATGATGTTTCCCATCACGACACTTCTCTGTTTCATGGAAATCAACCTCTCGTCGCTTGGGAATACGGCTATACTACGCACCAACTTTTCGTCACCAGAGGATATCCATGTCTCGAGAAAAGGCGGTTTGACCTTGTTCTTGTCTTCTAGATCCTCGTCGGGGATGCGGAATGGACTACGCCACAGCGGACCACGGGCATTGGTCTGACCGACGAGGGTGCCGCGTCGATGGGCAATGAGGGTCCAGCAAAGGAGCGAACCAACGCCGAGGATAGGAGTGAGGATGAAGATGATGGAAGGGAATACGGTGCGTGCAGAGTCAAAGTTGCCTGACATTATTGCTGGGGTGTGTGTCCTACAGAGATGGAGGACGAGGAGGTGTTGAGATGGTAATAACTGGTTGGACTAGAATGTCCGGTGAAATCGGACTTGGCGTAAGAGATGCACTTGGGGCTGAAGCAGTGAGTTGACTAAACGTGGCGATCGATGCACCCAAATCTGATGAGTGAAGAGACCCGTTGCAAACCCGAAATACGCAGTACCAAGATGCCCGCAGCACCAGACGTCTTTATACGACCTGGAATAGCCCCCGAGACCGAGAGGCAAGAATGTGTTGTAAAGAGGCGGCGCACAGGAAGCGCGCGAGGCCAGGCGTATGCGTGCCGGTTGCCGACAAAATGTGGGGTGAAAATAATGGACCTCCTGGTCGACTAGCAGAGTCTGGATAACTCGTAGATGGTGCACAAGATGAGCCCCGAGAGCGGAGCCTAGACGGGGCAGAGGCCAAGTTGTAGCTCATAGGCTGGTTACGCCACGCGGGGGACATATGTCATCCACTTAGGCCAAGCTATTATAATACACAGTAGTCGTCTATGCATACAGAGCTCGTTCCTAATTCTATTTCATCTTCTGCAAATGTCCTAGAATCCACAGTGGATGGCATTCGCACAAAGAGAGCCACTCGATCGGTCGAAAGCGACATTGGCTGTAATGACTTAGAGTATGCAATCATATAGTTCACATACTTACCTGGATATCTGACCATTCGTACTTTTCCCACCCTCGAATGTATCCACCCGCCGTGAGCAGCGACTCGTGGATGGGTGGGACATCTTTCAACTTGCTTCTTGTTGCTGTTTCATCAATTTCCAATAGTCCAGCAGCGCGAAGAGCCTCGAGGGCAATCTGTCGCCGTCTAATTGCCTGGGCTCTGATCACCCAGGAGAGAAGGATACCGGCTGCGAGGAGAATGCATGCACTTAGGACAAATAAGATGGATGGGACGAGTTTGAGACCCGGAAGTTGTCCGTCTGAGCTCGTCCAGCTCATGTAAGAGCAATGGTGGAATCCAAGCCGACGATGACGCGCACTGCGGAAGTTATCCAAGGCTGTGAGTTGGATAAGCCATTGTCAGTATATGTTAGTAATAATGATAATGATCATTAGAATACTCCGGTACTCGACCGCATTTCTACCTTGGTCCGCGCCATTTCAAACAGCACGTCATGTCCGAGCTCCATCAGATAACTAAACCCTGGATTATGACCATCCCTTCAATCATCAAACCAGCAGACTTTTTTTCTTTTCGAACGCGTCACTTGTTCCAGATGGACAGCTGCCGCCCAGACACAACCGCTCATTAATCTCCATGGATAATGACGTAATAGTAAAAATGCAAATGAATCCGGCCTCGTTTCATTCGTTTTCGCACTCTGCCTTTCGCCGGGCCAATCCACTGGTTTCCGTCGATCCGGCCCAGCAGACACACTCTCCTGAAATGGATTGCCTCATACCAGAATTCATTTACATTCAAGGTTACCGCGCCCTATCTGCGCTGGATACCACTGCAGCGCATCGCCAGCCTCTCAAATTCCGAGTTCTCTTTGTACGCCCAACGCTGAGCGGCCGAACAAGATTCCACCGAATGCGATGCGAAATGGGTCGTGTTACACCTCGTTGACGGCAACGGGGACTGGCCTTAATGTGGCCTACCTAACCTCGCGTGCAACTCGAGGACTTGGTGGCACCAGCGCAAGTCTGAAACATTATCACTGCCCTTGTCCAAGCAGTTAATCTCACCATACCTGGTTTCCTCCTGCCGAGGCGCACAGAGCTGGCGTGCAGACAGACACATCTTCCTCTTTGCCCAGCCCTTCATACCCGTCGTCCCCCTTTCCATCGGTACTCGGTTAGCAAAGAATTTCTCTACCGGAGATGTATGATTCCAAACACACACACAAGTACTCATGAAACCCAGCTATCGACCAACTCAAACTTCAAAACACTTTACAAATGGACCCATTCATTCACCAAATTTCTCAAGGGCATGCTGGGCGCTAGCTCGCTTTCTTTATTTGGTCCCCCACCGACCTTGCGGCGACAAAGCGGCGGCGCTGGTTGACACCTGCCATCAATTCGGATTCTCTCTTTGTTGCGATTCCAGGACAACATTTGATCTGCCCATAATAGCATTACCTGCTTTGTATCCAGAAAGTTGACGTTTATTGCGACCATTAGGTAACATTGCGTTTGAGCAACTCTGTTGGTAGTCAAGTTTTGCTGATCATCTCGCCTAGCTTTGAATTGGACCAGAAGACCAACCGCTTGGATGCGAGGAAACCACAGCTCTGCATCGCCGGCGCAGTAAATTCCTGTACTACCAATTCCCATTCAATCCCGGCGTAGATGTACAAACGTGGAATAGGCTTTTTCAGTCCGGGGAATCAGGCGGAGAGAGATTGAGGAAAGGGGGTAGCCGGTGCAGGGCCAAGAGACGCTTAAAAGGCGCCAGCCTCGCGTCTTTGCTTTTGGTCAGACACACATAGCGAAACACACACTCCCACTTGATATAGCACGAGCGCGCGAACACATCCCTCGCCAATCATTTGCCCCCTCTTCCCCGGAGACATCGTCGCTCGCATTCTACAACGACGCCTATTAGCGTCATTTCCCGCGTCCCAAACTCGAGCATAGTAGCACGCGCGTACGCGTTATTCTCTCTACCGGGATCACGTCCTGCGGTCGCGTGCTTGGGAATAGAGAAGGGCTCAAACCTGCGTACGTACCTACTCTCCTCTGCGTGTTCAACCGTCATTTGGGAATTGGAGAGTCACGAGGGCTGACACGTCTCTCTATGGTGCTGTTTGATAGGAAAGTCCCTTGTTGCGTGGACTAGCCATCCTCATTTCGCAATCGGCAACGTCTCTCTCGAAAGGACCACCTCCATCAGTAGTCGACAGCGCCTCATCGCCAACATCCAGCATACCCCCCTTTCGTAGAGTTCAGCCAGAACGCGAGCAGATGCCGTACGACTCTTCGACGATTCCCCTGCACCTTCCGATCCTCATGGAAGAGCTGAAAAGAAACCATTATACCCTCATCAACTCACCAGGACCCGCACACGGCCCCGGCATCAATACCCCCTCCACCCTCGATGATCCGAGCACCCACCCACATACGTACAACTTACATAATAATACTACTTCAAACGTTACTGTATCGCCGCCTCCCCTTCCTCTACAAGGCTACGCTCCCAACAACAGTGGCTTCGATCGGAATGGTCCGCCCCCTCCTACGAGAGTAGCCCCGATCCCCATTGGTCACTCTATGGGTGATGACCATCTCATTCGCTCGGAGACCTTTGGTCCCTGGAGCAGTATCCGTCCAAGGCTACGGGCGATGCATGCATGCAGCCAATAGGAGGCGAGCATCAAGAGTCAGGAGGGTCGCTTAGTACAATCGACCCCGTTCTTAGGAGGGAACTCCTCGTTGAACGTAGGCAGGCTCTTGCTCAGGCTCACAAAAAGCTGGCTGCCCATCACCACGATAGTCGTTGGCTTGTTCAAGGAGCTGACTCTTACATACATCACCACCAGCTCACGTCCAATCGAGCAGCAGAAGCTGATTGCATTCTCAATTTATATAAAGGAGCCTGCGACCAACCCCCATCGTCATCCTTTTCCCCTGGACCCTCTAGGCCCCCACTGGTTAGTCATCCAAGTGTTCTAGTATGCGTTTCACAGACCGCTAATCGCTCTCCGATCCTCTTTCAGATGGAGTCTACTCTGTGGTACACCCCAATCTCGGCCTTGCCCGCAGACGCGGCTACCATGGGCAATCTCCCTGGTATCGATACTCGGACCCATCATTCTCGCTCTGCTTCAGATCCTCATATCACTTCGATGAACATGGCCCGCTCCCGAGATTACCTCGCTCAGAGAGCTTCGTTTGCGGCACCCGCCGTGAGGGATCCCATTTCGCAACATGAATGCGCACACCATGGTACCTCTTCCCCGTCTCAACCAGCTCAAACGATAGTCCAAACCTCCACCGACGTACACCAATACCAACAACAGCAGGCCCTCCTCCTGACCCAAATGGTCCCCTTGGATCATAGAGGCACAGCAGAGGGTTGGGCGGGATCGTTCGGAATCGGAATGACTGGTACTCGCGATTTGAGAGCATGTCCGGTGTCTCAGCGTTCCAATTATCAAAGCGACGGTCAAGCTGCCCTTCAGTCCAGCGCCATTCGGCGCCTTAACGGTCTCAGGGAAAGTGCGCAGCTAGTCCATGGTCATGAAACACAATATCACGTGCATAATTGGTATTCCAAGTTGGGTATGCAGAGCTCCTCTTCCTTACCCGTCGGGCAAGAGGAGTATGGACAGGAAACCCCGCAGCAGTCAGCGGGTGTGGCATACTCTTCTGACTCACCACCAGCACGTCAAGCGCATCAAGTAATCACAGAATGCACTCATGAGCTGACAAATGGTATTTGGGACCGGGGCGCGCACGCCGACGCGTCGGTTCCGCCATCTTCCAATCCCACGATGCAGAATTACGGATACTCCTTGCAGTCTGGTGTCCCGGACGACACAATGACGCTGCAGAGTCTGACGCCGTACACCAACTCGCCTGCGGACAACTTGGCCAGAGTCGAGGCGTCCTACGCGCTGCCCAAGACGCATTCGCCACATCCACTCTCCACTCACTCGTCGCCCTACTCTGTCCCTCACTCGCCCTTTACCCATTCAGGACAGTCCCCCTTTGCTCAACACGCTTGCACCTCTTCCCCGCCCATTATGACTCCTCCAATGGGTGGAATCTCTCAAGCACGACCCATTGGTACGAAATACCCACATAAATGCGTTACCAACTCGCATCATGGATCGTTGACCACATCACCCATGATTAGACCACCTTCTAGCTCACTTAGTGTTTCGCCCGCCATCCAGTCTGCACCTCTCTTTAGCAACCATCACTATTATAGCGCGCAGTTTCCAACACCTTCTGCCACGTTTCCAACACCCGACATTCCCAATTATTCACCGCCGTCGACCGCTGCGTCTTTCCCCCATGCTCGGTTCAGCGAGCAGTTCCCTCAAGTGCAAGCGACAGGATTCAATGTCGACTTTAATCCAACTAGTGCGCTTTCTCCAGGTGATGAGATGTCCGGTTGGCCGCGCGCCCTCTTTAGCGATATCCCGTCCCTCTCTGATCCATCACACGGTACACCCGGGGGACATTCGTCACCCGAGACTAGTCAGCCTCATGCGACTCCCATACCAACTCCTTCCTCTTTGAGTGGCAATGAGGAAGATTCAGACGGGGCTGAGGATGTGGAAGCTCTGCCTGATGATGTATCCGAGCAGGCAGCAGAGGTCGAGTCGGTACCAGCAAGCGATACACTAGTGTCCCTCCCGTCCATTCCCCGCGCGACGGTAGACCAAGTGACGGCGTTTATCGAGCGTGCATTCCCCATTGGGACCCCAAAATGGGCTAGGCGTCGTCGTGCGCTTCGGATGGTGCTATTCTCGGATTGGAAGGCACGCGACATCAAGGAGCCTAGTCGCAAGTTGCTCTTGGAGTTTGTCGACACTCTCAACTCGCCCACAGGCTCTTCTTCTACTTCGTCCGGTGCTGGGACGTCTTCGCAGGCCAGAAGGCGCCGATCAAGAGTATCCCCCACCTCGGCGTCCGCCGTAGCGAAGAATAAGCAGAGGTGGAGATGCGGTTTCTATTTGAATCGAACGGACGAAGCCGGGAAGCAGATTCGATGTCCTTGTGGATCAGTCCGAACTGTGCAGGCGTTGGAACATGTTCGCCGACATATCAAGCTCGAGCCGTTTGTATGTGAAGGGGAGCCCTGGTACGTTGTTTTTGTTTCTGGTGAATTCGCTTATCTAATCCACTATCCGAACAGTCCCGAATCGTCGACCGGGTGTGGCGCTCGGTACTCGTCGCGCGACCCGCTCAGAAAGCATCGCAGTGGCAAGGTTACGTGCGATACGTGGTGTGTATTGACCAGTGGTCTGGACCAGGAACTCATAAACTCTGTTTTCGATATAGTCTTCGTGGGGTCCTTCCTGGAAACATGAAACGCCATCTGGAGAATAACTGCCGAGAATAACTGTCACGAGGATACCCCTATGATCGCATCACGGCCCGTCCTTGGTACCCCTCTTACTCCAAGCTCCTAATATCTTTTGACCGATCTCCTTTCATTTGCTCGGCGGTGTGAATGGCCAACGCACGTTTACGCATCTCCGGCAATCGAGAAGGCCTTTTTTGCATTGTCGTTGGTCCCACTACGCATACTTTGGATATTACGTCGCCCATAACATCATAACGCACTTCTGTTTCTAACTTATTTCATACCAGGCACATGGTGCCTCCTGTCTATTGGCCAATGTATTGCGCTTGTCCTATCTCACACTTCGGTACCGTAACGGCAGAGACTGAGAGCTTTAGCAGCTGCCAGGGGTTAAAAGGCCCCGTCCCTCGCGTTTTGGGCCACCCCAAAGTTTCAAAGAGACCGTGTGTCGATCGGTTTAACTAGGTTTGCTGAGTAGAGGTACCTGCAAAGGCTGACTGACCACCGGGTGCAGCCGGTCTCTGGGGTTTCAGCTAGCCTCCCTGGTCCTGAATCTGAGCCGCCAGGGGGGGCTCTGTATTTTGGCTGGTTTTTTTGTGATGTGCGTACGGCCCGGTCAGACTTTAGGAGCGGGAGTCTGGCTCGCTGTCGCTGGTAAGACATTCGGCCCCAGAGATGAAATAGGTAGCTCTTTGAAATGACCACCTGTATGAGTGAGGCGATTTGTGAATGATAGCCTGTCGAAACCTGAAACGGGGTTGCAGACGCTTATCCTAAGAGGAAATACGGAGTGAAATGTCAAAGGATTTTTTTTTCACACGGAGAAGAGAATCGGCTGTATGACCTAGACCGCTGTACATCTTATTCAATGCTACTGTCATTGGAGCTAAGACGGGCATTCGAGACCGCCTATAGCATATACATACATGAAATAGCATCTTCCAGATGTCAGAAGAGGGCGACGAACCCGGTGGCAGCATGAATGCACTCTCAAACCAACTCCACAGCCAGAGTACGACAGGCAGCGCGGGCATTTCACTTGTTTTTTAAAGGATGCACGCTGAACTACCAAGGATGAATCATCTCCGTCTTCGTGACGCCCGCGGATAACCAAGGAATCGATCAACAACCGGAGCAATTCTGTGATCCAACGGTCCACTCTCGTGGCAAAAAAGCCAGCCCGCGTTGAATCGCACCTAGAAGTAGTTAGTCTCAGGGCGCTTAATCCAGTCTCGAATGTCGTATATTTATAGGGTTATCCGGGCACTTTGGTTATGCAGCGAATGGCCCGCCGGAGGTGTGCGCTAGTTAACGGTTGTCAATTTGCGTGCAATTCGAACTCGCCTTTCATCATAGACTACGGGTCGAGACTCCCTCCCGCAAAGCCATTTCACATCGCATCTGGTTCTGTGGCCGGCAGTTTGTTTTCAAAATCAAAAAGGACCAATCGTCTGGAACAGGTTACCGTTATACTCGCCCAGAGCCCGTGATGGGGTATAATACCTCGTTGCGCATACGCATGCATCCCATACCCCTCCATCATCCCCATACTGAGCTCTCGTACAAAATTCCGCACGTGCTGTCCGTGGCGCCGGGCCTCTGCTCCTGGTACGGGTTTATAACCGGATCAGGTGCAGGTGCGAGCGGGTACAGACCCCCCGCCGTGCATCCCCTCCCAAGGTATCCACCAACTTCACGTCGTCCTCCCAATTTTACGCGTATTGCGGCTTCTAGGCGTAACACAATCGCTCTTTGCTGGATTCCATTGCCTGGTTGAGACAGGCATCACGATCTGGTGACAATCCTTGACTGTACTGGTTCAGCGGTCTCCGCGAGGGGCTACATAAACGAGACCCTGTTCGACTCGATTCTCACTGTTAATCCTTGGGTCATCATGAACCCCGACGAACATCCGCACGGTAAGTGCGCTCGTTCCATGCCCCGATCACCAACTTATGCGGCCACCAGATCAGACCCCTCCCTCTGAATTCCCTCCATACTTGGAACAGTCCGGTCTCTTCCAAGTGTCTTACACGTCTATGCCAGTGGAAGTAACAGCCTCTAGTTCCTTTCAACCAGCCGAGGTGCTCTTTACTCGCCAGGGTCATCAGATCCATCTACCATCTCCGGTTTCCTCGACACCGCCTACTACTCCAGACTATGAGCAGCTGGATACATTGTTTGCGACGAGTAGCGTACGGCAATTACCATGGAGTATTCGCTCGCTGGCTAACAATGGTTACCGACTCCTTCACCAGCCAGGACCCTACCCACGTCCAAACGCTATTCATCGCGCACACTCATCACCTCCGATTCGCGGACATGTTGCACCATGCGAGGTTCGAATCCGAAACAATACCCCGAACAACCCAACCTCCCACTCCCAACCTCCGATACTCCAGATGCACTCTTTACACTCGATACCCCCATCTTCACACTCAAATGCACCGTCGTGGCCCCCGCCACCAGGATCCGCGCACGTCATGACAAGTATGCATCCTTCACCGCCGATAGGCCCCTCGACAGACTTTGCCGTACAAGTTCCCTCATCGCATCCCTCGCACTCTCAATCACCACTGTCACCGGAACCGCAGAGTGACGTAGAACAGTTCATCCGCGATTCCTTCCCCGAGGGTACATTCGACTACGAGCGCAAACAAGGATGGCTGCGCGAAATTATGTACTCTCCGTGGAAACTGAACAACCACGAGGAACCTTTGCAGGATCTTCTACTCCGTTTCGCTTCGCAAAAACTCCAGGCCGGGAAAAACACACCAGTTTGGGAATGCACGTTTTACGTCGACGGCAGAATATGTGAAAATTCGTCTACAGAGCGTCAGAGACAGGCCATCGAACATGTCCGGCGACATATCAAACTAGAGCCCTTTGCGTGCGCTCCATTGCCATGGTAGGTACCTATTCATCTTGAACCCAGAGTTTTATATACCTTTTTCCAGCCCTGGTCATCCCAACGGTTGCGACAAACGTTACTCGTCGCAAGATGTGCTCAAGAAGCACAGGACTGGTAAAGTAGTCTGCGACAAATGGCAAGTGCACGAAGCGCGAGAGTATCTTGTCTAACATCGTTCAGTGGCGCCTATGTTCTCGTTGGCAATTTACCCCGGCATCTCAGGAATAATTGCCCTCAACGCCTGAGCGCGGCCTCCTCTCTTGGTCAGTAGTTGATTTACCTTCCCGCTCGTTGAGACCGTTGACTGATGCTTTCGTGGTCTTCAAGTGCATATGTCTCATGAATATTCTCCTTGACCTTGTAGATAGCATGATTCTCATGTCTTTTTTCTCATCCAAGAGGGCTGAATTAGCTTACGGATCGCATTATGCTTGTGCAATGACAAGATACCCCCTGGCACGTGCGAATTACGGTATGTCTACCTGACCCAGCAATTTGATCATTGACATGTGGTGCAGCTGGACCGAAAAACCCTATTTGAATCCAGAGAACTCGGCCTAACAACTGTTCCCAGCATTATGAATTGGCCGATGGGTGGATTCTCGCCTCCCTTGTCAGAGCCTGACGCACCGCAAACAGAACTCACACAGGTGGACGCGTACTTATACATCGATTTGGGGCTCTTTACTCTCCCTCTCTCTTTCTCCCTTTGAACTTTGCATCGTCCTCCAGCCCAGCGATTCAGATACACTCAGTCATCCAGCATGTCCGATATGTCCTACTCAGATAGTGACGGCGATAGTTCTTGGTCCGCTGTTGGACTCTCGGACCCAAAGAATGGGCAATACCGAGACCGACGAGCGCTGCTGGATACAGTCAACCAATTGCATAGCTGTGGGTGCGTATAAAGACCGACTAGGGAAACATGCGCTAATGCATCCCAGTCTGAATAAAAGACTCGACTTGCCTCAAATCGCCGTCGTTGGCTCCCAGTCCGTGGGCAAGAGCTCCCTGATTGAGGCAATGTCAGGGGTGAGTGAGACGTGTAATTTCTCTCTCATAGTCAAGCTGAACCTGTATAGATCACACTCCCTCGCTCATCTGGCACCTGTACACGGTGAGCCCTGAACGAATCGTGGAGCCGTACGGGAATATTGCTAACGCTTTATAAGATGTCCCATTGAATGTCGCCTCTCCAAAGTTGACACACCCTGGAAATGCGAAGTATTTGTTCGCTTCGAGGATGCGCGTGGGGAGATACGGTTCGGCGAGCCCATCAGCGACCACACACTTGTGGAAGACCGCATCCGCCGTGCACAAATTGCAGTACTCAATCCTTCGTCTGATCCTCTCAGCTTTCTCGAGTCCACTTCGCTTGAAAATAATGAGCTGTCGTTCTCGGACAACATTGTCTCAGTCCGTATTTCCGGCGCTGAGGTCGATGATCTCTCCTTTGTGGATCTTCCAGGTAGGTACAGTACCATTTTATACGACTAAACTAATAAAATTGGTAGGGATTATTGCAGCGGTTCGTGCTGGTGGTAATGAATCCGATGTCGACCAGGTGAAAAACTTGGTTCGCAAGGTCATTGCGCGCGACTCTTGTCTCATTCTACTCGTTGTATCCTGTGACAGTGCGTGGTAACATTGACTGTGAGACATTATTGACCTCGTACAGCCGACTTGGAGAACCAGGGGGCTCGCAGTCTCGCAAAGCAAGTCGACCCTAATGGCAGGCGTACTATCCGTGTGTATTTTCTCACCAAGGTGCTATAATAAGCCCTGATTGGCATCACAGCGGTGCTCACCAAACCGGATCGTATTGAGCGTGGTACACATGCCGGCTGGATGAAGCTCCTAGAAAATCGTGAAGAGCGCTTCCGGCACCCCTGGCACTGCGTCAAACAGCCCAACCAAATGCAATTAGAAAGCGGCATTAGCCATCGCGAAGCGCGTAAAAGCGAAAACGACTTCTTCGCCAACACTGAACCATGGTCAACTCTCGACGTCGAGATTCGCTCCAGACTTGGGACGTCTGCGCTGACAGAAGCCCTGGGTACAATTCTCTTTGATCTAATCTGCAAGACGTGAGTTCTACCTTGTCTTTGTCCTGATAATCATAACTCTTCTAGGCTACCCGGAATCATCCACGAGGTCGAAAAAAGACTCAGGGAAACGAAGGATGCGCTAAGCAAGCTCCCGCAGAAGATTGAAGGAAACCCAGTTTCCATAGTCATGCAACTTCTCGAAGACTTCAAGAAAGACGTGTCGAGTCTGATAGATGGCAATGCAGATGCAGGTGCTAATGGACTCATCCAGTCGTTCCGGTGCGCAAAGGACAGGTTTCGCCAAGAAATATTTGATCAAGCCCCCAACTTTAAACCATATGGACGCTCCAAAACAGCCACAAGAGTGGTGCACGACCACGTAGATGCCTCAATTGAGAATGCAGAGGATACTGAGCCACTAGAACCGACGAGACGCAAGGATCAAGGTCGTGTATTCTACTTGGAGGACGTCAGGAAGATGGCAAACGAGTGCGTTTAGAGACTTTTACTCTGTGGAGGTGTATTGACACACAGTTCTAAGAGCAATGACACGCGAGCTGCCGCAAAATTTTCCGTATGCGATCAAAATCTTCTACATCAAACAGTCGACCTCAGAGTGGAAAACTCCGATGGAAAAGCTCTTCAAAAGTGCGGAAACCATGTTCGAAGACAAAGTCAGAGGTCTCGTCCACCACCACTTTTCTCGATTCAGCGCAGGGTCGTTTAACACTGAAATGATGTACGTGTTCCCATCCCTTTGTGTTTACTTTCTTTCTCAATAGCCCACAAACAAGGCGTCTTGCACGTGCCCACCTCCGAGCATGCAGCGAGCGGACGCACCAGCGGATCCACGAAATGCTCAAGCTCGAACAAGAGGAGCCCTTCACCGTCAATGAGCACTACTTGAGTGACTACAAGGTCAAGTACAAGGCACGCTACGAACGAATGTGCAACCCGGAGCCGATTAGCAGCTCGATTCCTGCATCCCATCCGACGCCTCCTGCCACTGTGGTCGCAAGTGATTGGGCCAGCAGAAGCAGCGCAACGTCGAGAATGCATCTTACGCAGGCTATAACGTCGTTGACGGCGGCCGGGCTTCCTACGTTGACCGAAGACGAACTGGTAAAGCGGGTCAGAGCTTCCCGGTCTCTACACCAGAAGGGTTGGTGGAAATCATGGCAGAAGTTCGAGCGTACTACCAAGGTCTGTGCTTGACATTGGCTCTCAATCGCTGCATCTAATGCCGATTTTCCGTAGTTGCATTCAAGCGCTTTGTCGATTATATCTCCATGATCATTGATTACGAGCTCCTCAAGCAGTTCTCCCGCACTCTTCATGTCGTTATCACGACTGGTATAAAGATTGGTGAGGATGGGTTCAAGGAGAGATGTATCTCGTTGCTTGTCGATGATCCCACCATTGTGCGGAAACGTGATGGGCTGATGCAAGATTTGGAAGTCTTTAGCACGGCATATATCAATTTGCAAAGCGTTGTGACCACTTCGACAATGGATTATGAGGACGAGGAGATGGAGGGCATGTCCAGCTGACTTGGTCTCAATTATGCTGGCGACCTTTGAATCATTGATGTGATATATATATTTGTCAAACAGTGACGATTTCCATGTTCCAATTTGTGTCTCTTGATCAAATGCGAGACAGTCGTAGACCTGTCCTGGTGAACATGGCTTCATAGTACTTACAATGAGACACCTTAGCGCTGTGATTATAAATTTCGTTCCCTCAAGACTCAACCGAGTCGATCAATTCTACGGCTTGGACCCGTCCACCACCATGCTTCGTGCCTCTCGTCAAATCCTGCGCCATGCGTCAAAACGCGCCATGAACGCACGCTCAATACCAGCATCAGTACGGTATCAATCAACGGAAACGGCGAAGACGTCTGGAACACGTCTTCTCGCGTCGCTGGCCACGGCGAGTCTCATTGGCGGGACGATTGGCTTCTACGCGGCAGACGCAGTCACATCCAACGCGCCAAGATCCGCGCAGAGGAACTACGAAAAGCCCAAGTATGGTGGCCCGAACGAGGTAGCGGCCGCGAAGCAGGAACTTTTGCAACTCTTCCCTTCTAAGGACGGCAAGGAACGCGTAACCGATGACAAGCACAAACTAGAAGCCTATGGATTTTCCCCGAACTCCTATCACGAGGAACACTTGCACTCGCTCGTGGTCAAGGTACTTTCAACAGAGGATGTCGTCAAGGTCGTCAATGTTGCACGCAAGTATCGCATACCTGTCATTGCTTTTACTGGAGGAACCTCACTGGAGGGACATTACAGTGGGGTGCGTGGATTGCTTGGGAACGAACAAGCCGTCTGACTTGCAAAGTACCAAGGAAACCCAGGCGGCATTTGCATCGACTTATCGGGCATGAATAAGATTTTGGAGATTCACGGTCTGTCACTATTGATTTGGGCCCGTCTCCGGAGTAACGTTTTAATAGAGGCCGACTCGGACGTTGTCGTCCAAGCTGGAGTCAAATGGGAGGATTTGAATCATGCGCTAGAAGAAAAAGGCATTCCACTGTTTTTCCCGGTATGCAACGGCGTCGGACACTCTAAGCGACAACGTCTAATGATCCGTCTCTGCATCTAGCTAGACCCCGGCCCAGGCGCGTCGATTAGTGGAATGATGTCTACCGGATGCTCGGGAAGTAAGTGAATACATTGCAAGCGAGAACAAATCTGATTATCATGATAGCAAATGCCGTTAGTACGGTATCGATCCAACCGGGCGGCGCCTCATCTTTTCTCAGGTTCGTTATGGTACTGCAAAAGCTGAATGGTTCCTGAACGCGGTGTGTGCCTCACACTCGCAAAAAGACTCACTCTCATTTCTTAAAGACTGTTGTGCTGCCTAATGGAGAGGTCATCAAGACAAGGCGTCGAGCTAGAAAGTCATCCGCTGGGTTTGACACTACAAAGCTCTTCATTGGAGCTGAAGGAACACTGGGCATTATTACAGAAGGTGACGTTACATTCGTGGAGACAAGTTAATCGCTGATTAAGTATAGCCACTCTGAGACTGACACCGAAATTACCCACATCGGTTGCTGTCGCTCAGTTCAACGATGTGTCTTCTGCGGTTTCCGCAGTTACTGAGGTTCTTCAGTCACCTATGGGTGCACACGTCCGTTAGTACTGCCGATACGACTGGATTCAAGGCACTCATCCTCTGGAGCAGAATGTATCGAACTTTTGGACAATCACATGATGGAGGCTATCAACCACGCGGGCCTTTCGGGCCACACTTATCCAGTCAAGGACAGCCTATTCTTCAAGTTTCAGGGCTCTCCCTTAGCTATCAAGGAGACGAGCAAAATTGTCCAAGATATTGTCAAGAAGCATGGAAGCAAAGATTTTAAAGCAGCCAAGAACTCAGAAGAAGCGGAAGAGCTGTGGAATCATCGCAAGGTTGCCCTTTGGTCCTCTCTGAGTTGGCTCGACGACGCAGATACTCGGATATGGACGACTGATGTGTGTGTCCCACCAAGCAGACTCCCCGAGCTTGTAGGTGAGACAAAGAAGGACTTAGAGGCACATAACATCAAGAGTACAATCGTTGGGCATGTAGGAGACGGTTAGTCGAGACTCGATTTAGAAAGCGGCAAAGCTGATTGTCCTCAGGCAACTTCCACGCGTTCCTTCTCTTCCGAAATGATGAGGAGCTCGAGCGAGTCAAAGGAGCTGTTCATCGTATGGTTCATAGAGCGATTTCGCTGGACGGAACATGTACAGGAGAGCATGGGGTAGGCGTTGGCAAGAAAGAGTATCTCGTCGAAGAGCTGGGAGAAGGTACAGTCGAGTTAATGCGCTCGATAAAACGGGCTGTGGATCCGCTCAATCTGTTCAATCCGGGCAAGGTGAGCATCTTTCTTTCTCAAAAACCAGCAGCTTAGTTGCCCCTCAGCTTTATCCGGACAAGGAGAATAAATAGATGCATCTTCGAGCAAACTCTCGCAAGCCTGTAGACTACAACAAACGAAATACAATCGGACCATTACTTGTTCATGCCCAGACCCTCAAACAAGCGGACCATCTTATTCACACCAGGACAAATGGCGAGTCTTATACGTTCGTCTTCTTGTACGAGCGCACGGCCTCTGCCATCAACGAGCCATGCTTTGACATGGTCCGCGTCGTTGATCATCCCGCGCGCCGGTGGCCCGACTCGGACGCGGCGTGCGAGACGGTCTCGCTTCATGGACCATTTTAGACTGGTAATTGTTGGAAGCAGTCGGCGTGATACCAGTGGGGAGACGGCTTGCTCTAATGGGAAAACGATGCGCTGAGCTGCACGGCTTGTCGGCTCCTTGATGCGCTTTGTGAGGTGCTCTGAAAGGACGCGGATGATCCGAGCATGTTCCAAACGAAGTGACGATTCGAACTGCTTGACAGACTGTGGAGGGTCGTTTGTCAATCACCCATTAGAACGCGAGACAGAGGCGTACCTGCACAGAGTATATGTATTCACCCAATCTCCACCGTCTTTCGAGACCTAGGCCTCGCAATACATTCATGCGCACCAGTTCCGGAACGTTTGGTCTCAGGGGTGTCCCATGTAAGCCTTGCGCGAACAGTGAATGTTCTACACGAGAAGGTGCAACAATTCTCAATCTGTTTCTATGCAAGATTGGGTCTATGCAGAGTCGAGAGAGATGCGTTGAAACCGTAGCCAGGCAGTCGAGGTCTGGAAGGTCGAGGAAACTGACTACAATCAAGGTTAGAGGACTAATTGGACCTCAAAAGGCTGGACTTGCGGATGTGGAGGAGCACCTCTGGCGGGAGAGCCAAAAGAGGACTTGTCTCTGCCATAGAATCCCCAATTCAAGTCTGAACTATATTTTCTTAGCGCAGACTCTCTTGGAAGAGGCTGCGGAAAACTCTCAGTTGGGGCAGGGTCCAAGTTGCGACGCCGCAGCTCAGCTCCCCCTCTCAGGTGACGTGACGCACATCATAGGTGAAGCTATCCTCATAAACACATAACACTGCATAAATATAATGCTCTTAAGAGATCCTGGCTCCAAGACGTCTTTGGGCGTCTAGAGTTTCGTAGTTTCCCCAGCTCCCTCCTTGTACATGTCATCAAGTATCTTCTTGTAGCGCGCGTACACGTCACGTCTGTAGAGGTCTGGGTTAATCTACTATATGACAAAGAGAGACATGATCACTGACCTACGGAGCTTGAACGTCGGTGTCAGCATGTCGTTCTCCACAGTAAACGGTTCAAGAGTGACGTGCACTTTCTTGACGCACTCAAATCTTGAAAGCCCATTCAGAACTCTATGCTATGTGAATGAACGATAACCATACATACCCTTTCAGCTTGTGGTGCTTCGCTTGTGCATTGAGCGCATTTTGGATAGTTGATTGTACCTTTGGATTCGCCAAATACTCTTGGAGCTTTTGGACATCATCCGCAGCGACGTGGACGCGGAGTGTCTTTGAGATGAGGTCTGCAAGCGTCGGTAGCTCTGGCACCAACACTCCCAGCAGATAAGACTGCAAGGAATCACCGTGGACGTAGAGTTGAGCAATGAGTGGATGGGATGAGTATGTCTGCTCAATCTTCTCGAGTGCAACATATTCTCCTTGAGAGAGCTTCATAATATTCTGGAAAATATGATAAGACAGCATCAAAGGGAGAACAAATAAGCGCACCTTGATACGGTCAATGATTTTGAGGCGTCCTTGTGAATCGAGTTCTGCGATATCTCCGCTGTGCAGCCATCCTTCCGAGTCAAGGGCTTCCGCAGTATTCTTTGGGTCTAAGAGCGGGATGAGAGATTTCATTTGCATACATAAGTTGGGCGCGACACACCTTTGTAGTAACCCTTGAATACGCATGGACCTCGAGCACAAAGTTCTCCCCTAGGATTAGGAACATCCTTGGAAGTGTAATTCATGCTGGGCACATCTACGAGCTTGACCTCATTGCACGGATGTGGGAATCCAACCGTTCCACCGGCCGTGGTGTCCTTTGGGTGAATCCTCGTTCCAGCGGCGCAGTTTTCCGTCATCCCCCATCTACTGGGTGTTTAGCATCCCACTAGGACCAGATAATTGGAACATACCCTTCAATGACATCGCATCCCATGGAAATGCGTAGAAGTGTCAACGTCTCCGGATCCACCGGAGCCGAACCGCAGGTCATAATCAAGACTTGACCCCCTAGAATGGCTTGAACCTTGCGGAAAACCAATGCGTCCCAGAACTTGTGCGTGGTCGCGCTCGTAGTTTCATAGTTTCGCTTCTTGACTTCCAAAGCTTTGCGAACCAATGCACCTATCAAACAAGAAGATTAGTTCTCATGGAACATATCAAGGATTCGACGTACCGCGGATACCTGGAGCTGCGGCTGCTTGCTGGATACCCAGAGCTAGGCGATTCACTACTCGTGGTACGCAGGGGAAGAAGCGAGGTTTGAGCACTTGCGCATCCTCAATGAGTCTCAGTGGATCTCCGGTGAAGAAACCGATTCCGGCACCGAGGAGGAATGTAGAAAGCTCGTTGATGCGCTCATCTGACAGATGTGAGCACTTGCATGACATACAGTGGTAATCACAGACAAATGTGACTCAACGGCAGATAACTGAGCATTGCTCCTTCATGCCAGGGCAAACCTAGGGAAAAGGCGTATACTCCTGAGGTCAGGTTATAGTGTGTCAGCAATACGCCTTTGGGAACGCTCGTGGTCCCTGACGTATAGCAAATGGTAGCTAAGTCATGTGGCTTGGGAGGATTAACTGGATATCTCGTCTGAGCACCCATTACCTCCACTGTGCAATGCGTCAGCGAAACCCCTCCACGATAATTGGGTAAGGTGGGTGGCGTTGGGCCAGGCACGCATCAGCGTCTGTGGCCGGGGAAAAATCGAGCCGGGAGTTAAACCTACGGCATCGCGCAGCAGGGAGAGGGCCATGTGAGTGTCCAACGAATCACGTACATTGCTTCATTGTGTAAAGCTCGAGCCTGTACTCCTTCGCCCAGGCCTGTGCGACCCTTGTCGCACCTTCGCTGAGATCATCAATGGAGACGATGACCCGCAATTTTGGGCAGCGGGGCCCAAGTGCGATCAGCCGAGGCAGGTTTTCCTGCGTCACGAAGGCCATCGAGGCTTCGGAATGATTGAGCCTGTGACATGGTGTCAAAAAAGGGTCAGCTTGAGTAGTAATACGTACACGTATTCTGTCATTTGTCAGAAAGGTTATCATTTTTGAGTATGCAACGCACCGACGACAGTAGGACCAAGAGTATCATAGAGGGAAACCGTAACGCGCGAATACACGGCGAGAGCTTGATCAATGATTTGCCATTCTGTATTGAAAAAGGCGTGAGTAGTGTACAGTCACTTCTAGATCATCGCGTACCGGGTCGGTTGATAGACCAAATGCCGACAGTAGGCAATTCGCCTCCGCCAGCTTTTCCTGAACGGAAAAGTCCTTCAATGGCACTACCCAAGTCGAGCTTGCGCTTGTTGACCTGCTCATACGTCTCCCATACGTAGTGGTCTGCATACTTGACTTCGTTCGATGCCGGCGTGTTTGCCTTCGCGTCCGGCGCGAGACGAGGGCGAATGCCGAGGCACATACGTGTTGCAGAACGCTGGAGACCAGCCTCAAAGATTTCGTGCGTCGTGGTCGGCTTGAAATCCGTCCTTCCTGGCGCGGGGAGTTCGGACCACACCGGATTCCTCAAGTGTGCTGTCAAAAGGATTCATTAGGAGTGCAGAGAGAGATATTGAGGAGAAACTGACGAGTTTGACCCTCCTTCGCCGTACCGGCAACGACGTAAGACTGTGCTTTGTACGGAAAGTTTTGGGGGAACTCTGGAGGATCGAATATAAGACTTGTAGAAGCCATTTGGTGTCGAAGAGGATTGTTAGTTGGAGATGGTGGGGAAGAAGTTGGTTGTGGGTGACCCTTTGCCGGGGCAAAGAGAGAAGGAATAGCCGGATCCAACTCTTAGCCTACGCTTTATCATGTCTTCGAATCAGGCAGGCCCAATTTCATACGGATACACTCAATACTCAACCGAAACTTTGTCTTAGGACTCTTGGTCGCAAAAGGAACAGTCCGAAGAAGCGCGCTGGGCAAAAGCCAGAGTCAGTGACCTCATCCATGCGTCGCGGGATTGGCGAATAATCTACTAATATTTTGAGTAGGAACAAGAGCAACTTGCTCAACTCAAGAAACAGATGGAAGAACAGAAGCCAGCTGAGCGTGCGAGGCGTGACGATATCGAAGGCGGTCATGCTCTGGGATGGAGGACCTGGAAGATAGATATGCTACCACGAGTGGAGAACACTAACTTGCGTCCAAACCGCGAGAGATCCAGATCTGTCAGCAAGATGTCGTGGCCTATATGTACTGTTCAGGAAAGAGAAGACTACTTAAGAATCTTAGTGCATCAGAGTGTGCAGTAGAAATCGGTTGAAGGCTTACTCGCCGTAGAAACCCAGTAGGTGGTAGCTGAGTAGTGGATTGTCAATTCTCGGTTGAGACATGATATAATTGGATGAATCCACTGCCTCTTATCTGAGGTATCAAACCCTGATGGTTTATCGTGACAGATGCCGCTGATCAACCCCCCTTCGCGACGACGCTGCGGTGTAGGGGAAAATAAGGCCATTTCGTTAGCTCGTGCAAATATATGCCACGTATCAAGCCATTAGCAAGTATGAATGCTCACACCCGTCGCCCATGTCTCCCGTAGCAGGTCGTGACGAGACGATGAGATTATTGGGCCCTGCAAAGCCCAGTAATTCCTCTGGACTATTGCCGAGCATCTGCCCATGGATACGTCTTAAAATGTGAACAATTAACATGGCTCAAGTCCGTGGTGAGAGGGAGAAACGCTTGGGTTGACGGTTCGATTCCTGCTAAGGATCTGGCTGTGCGTGCGCTATACACCTCTTGGGCAAAACAGAATCTTCAGAATCTTTGCAACTACAAAAATGGCTTGGTTTGTGTGGAAGCTGCTCCTCATTTGTCACTGAAGAGCCCGTGAAGTTCATTCACAGGGGATAAGAATTGGCGTGCGGTGCTTCCTCTCGGTGGGGCAGAGCCGGCCTCGAAAATCAAATGAGAAAGTGAATGCATTTCTGATCGAAGAGTCCACGTGGCTCGGACCCAGCACACGCGGCTGAGACTGTCAGCAAGGGTGTCCCTCGCGTCACTGACGAGCTAATACAGCGACAGGGGTCTCGAGAAGATTCACCTCTTACTCAGCTTTCACTGCCTCACTTCCGACCGAGTCGGAAAGATAGACTCTATCTGCTCAGGCCGCGGCCGAATTTGTGGATTGCATCGCCTTGGGACGCCCGCAGCCCTTAATTTCCCTGAATGAAGACAGGCAGAGTAATAGTTTCGCTGCTCTGATGATACTCGGTTAAGTTCTGGCATGCACCATACCACCGACGCACCATGGGCTACGCCACTTCGCAAATGAATCACACATCGACGCCAGATTTCAGCCCAAAGACCTTATGGAGCTAGCTCAGGGGTGACAGACGCAAGGCTACTGCGTCGGCTCCCCCCACTGCGAAATCTTGACCACGGCATAGAAGGGATCTGAGGCCCACGTGGACCGGAGCTATCGCACGCGAGATGACAGCAACGTCTCAAGAAACGACTCTGCACCGCTTGCGCGGCCGACCCGGCGCTCGAACTAACCTTGGAGGGAATCGGGGGAGAACTCTCAGACACTAGCCTGGGTTGGCGCTGACGGGGGAGAGTGGTATTATGGGACAGATCGGGTCCTGTCTGGTTCATCTATGACGCCCACAGAGTAGCGGGCCTCGACTGCAGCTAGAATTGATGCCGGCTTTCTGCATGATGAAAGGACACCTCGAATGGGCAGTGAAACATGTCTAAACGGGTGTCAAGAGTGTATTCCGTGGTATTCAACAGCTGCCCAAACGGAGCGGAGCGCGCCGAAGGGCGGCTGGATATAGGAGGTCTTGTTGATTGCGGGGGGTCCCAAAAGCGCGAATGAATGGTCGAATGGGAATGGAAACGCACTGTCCGTAAATGGAAAATGAGCTCTACGGCCCTCCGGCCAAGATATAAAACCATCTGTGCGGTGGTTATCGGCCTGCACGTGAGTTCTACTCCCCCTCTGCTACTCTAGTCCTCGACGCTCGGCCTTAATCGTCTCATCATTCCCATCAAAATCATGAAGCACATCTCCCAGATTGCTCAGCGCCTCATCCCCGGCAAGAGCCATGGATCGTTCCCAAAGACGGCCGACCAAAAGGCCCTCGAGCGACAACGCGGCGAAATGGATTCGTTTATGCTCTCTTTTTCCACCCATGAAGCCATCTGCGAATCTATCCGCCGCACCCTCTTTGAGATCTACAAGGCGCGCAACATGTCCGGCATGCTCCTCCGCGAACTCCGTGTAGAGGACTTTGCACAGCTAAAAGATGGCTTCAAGGGAACATTTGAGCAACGAATCAGCGAGTATGTACTCATTATCGCGCCGCTAGACGTCCTAAAGCTCACCATCATGCAACAGACTCGAGGACGAGATGGAGACGATCCTGGACAGTATGGACCGTGACAAGCTCTGTGCACGCGTTGTTGAACTCCTTAACGCTGCTGTAAGTCGCCGTTCACTCATCCTCCCATTGACATTTTGCTCACTTATCGCAGTTGGTGGCCGCGAGTTATGGTGGAACGTTTGATGACGAGGTCTACGAGAGCTGGAAGGCTGGTAAGTGTCTTCATATGTAAATCGAGGCCATAATGACTTAGAACCATCCGTCTAGAGACCCTCTCAAGTGATCTTCCTCGCAGAGGCTCCTCCATCTCCGCCTTGACAACTCCATCGCGTATCCTCGCTCACGTCGACTTTGACGATGCGCGGACGTTGCCATGATGCGGATCTGTCAACACCGAACCGTCCTTAAAGCACCCAATGACAACCCCCTTCGACGACCTCTCACGACCCAAATATGCCGTTTTGCTTTTTGGAGCTATTTGCAGCACATACTAAGCTGCATCACAACTCTTTCCGTTCATCACTCCTCTCCTTTTTGATCCTATGTCTCTTTTGCTCTACCTATTGCGATCCACTCAACACTGTAGACTAAACCCCGACTCGTGATTCCTTGCTCTCTGCGCTCCGATACTGTAGCCCATCCGTTTCTCTGCCGCTGCCTCGCTGTGCGCTGCCGTCCGTATACCTATCGTATTTCGTATCACCCCCTGGAATGCCATTGGATGCATTTTCCCCTCTACTTTGCGCATGAACAAGACCTGCCTCAAATCTATATTATTACCAGTCGTTCAGCATGTCCGACGCCCGTTCACCGCATCTAACCTCTTCGTGACTGTGGGCTCAGCTTGCACACTTGACATCTCTATACGACTTCCATACTAGTCGAAATAGCATTTTCTATTGCGTAGTATAAAGTACTGTACACAGCGGACCGATTTGTACATTCGTTCGACAAAGCCTTCCCGCTCGAGGCGACCTGATTTGGGACATGGCGACCCGACCCGTCGTGGCGTCGGTGGGTTCCATTAGAGCTTTTCACGCGAGCGTATGTTAACGTCACGGACGAGATGGAGGTTGTCCGCCCACCCTACTCGGCCCCAATGTCGGGCTCAAAGTCGACGTGACAGCAGTGGGCGGAGGGTCCATCACTCCCGCTCTCCCACCGAATATGTTTCCCGCATTACCTCGACTCTCGGATGAGTTGGAGGAGTGCTGGTTGATATATTTCGCGACCGTGTTCTGCCATTTGAGCACAGGCTGGAGCGCCACCCCAATCTCCTCGATTATCTGACGTTCCTCGGATGGCCATGCTGTCATCTCTTCTTCGTGTGCTTGCTGAAGCGTCGCTCGCAATTCTGCAGACCGTTCCTTGATCTCGTCCTCTAGTCGGCGACGGTCGTCTTGCAAGAGGGATTCCCACTCTTGTGTGATCGATTTCTCAACTTCTTTGAGTACTGACGAAGCTAGAGTGGACACGTGGTCTTCCTCTGATGCATCGGTCTCCGCGCTTTGCTGAGCGATAGTCGCTTCAAGTTGAGCCAATTGCTCTTTTGCCTGAATAAGACGCGCTTTTGCGACTGACAATCGTTCGGTTTCCTGCTTCGACTGAGCCCTTGGTCATTAGAACCCATGGAAAACGTACCTCTTCGACCGCTCTCCTTCCCTTCTGTGTCGCCTCTCGTAGACCAAAGACGACGGCTTTCATCTCCTCCAGCTCGCTACTCATTGTTCCATCCCATGATTGTGCCTCTTTTGACCTCTCGTCGATCTCTCTCAACTCGCCCTCATTCTCCCCGCTCATCCCACCGTAGCCGACGCTCGCGCTCCTCCTGTTGTATCCCCCGAGTCTCCCTTCTTTGTACAACTTGGTCATTTTTCTTGCAAGTATCGCCTGAAAGTCTGGCGTATCGAACCCAAATTCAAGATCCTCCAAAGATGCACTCAAAGAAGAAGCCCATTCTTCAAGTTCAGCCATCGCCTCGGGTTTCCACTTTGTTTTCAACTGCTTCTTCCCGTCTCGAGTGATCGACTGTCCCTTTTCAGGGCCCGTATGCGGCGGCTTTGGTGTTGCGTCGCCTTCGACTCCATGGGGATCCTTTGAGTCGAGAAGAACGCCAAGCTCTTCGAGACTACGACGGGCGACTCGAAGGGTTTCTTTCTGCTCTACAGTCACCCCTCCATCAAACTTTTGAACCGTAGCTTCGAGTGACATTTCATAGTCCACCAACCGTCCCACAAGATAGTCAACCTGGGAGTCGAGTTTTGCCTTTTCCGCTTCCAATCGACCGACGAGCTTCGAGTTCGCGGGCAAGGACTCGGATGTGCTCACCGTCGCGGAACTAGGGAGAGATCGACGGAGGAGAGATACAGTCGAGATATTCTTGATCAGTTTGTTGATATCGTCACGCTTTGAAAGGAGTTCTTCAATGTCGGTCATGAGCCTGGCCACGATGAAGGTGAGGTCAGGATGTTGTTCAATCATTTAGAAGGAATTGAAAAGCAATGAATGTGTAAAATTTTGGCACTCACGAGATTCTTTGCTCCCAGACATTGTCCATAAACGCCGTTTCCTGTTCTGACATCGCCCCGGTGCCTTCTTCTGGAACTAGCGTGACTTCCATGACATTAGAGTTCTCTCCAGGTTCTCCCGGAGAATATATATTCGCCGTTTTTGCCTCGCTCCGGGCAACCGCTGCAGGGGTGGTAGAAATTAACTCACCGCCTCCCACTGCGTTGCCACTCTGAGTGCCACCTGGTAGGGCTGAAATTCCTCAGCAATAGTTCAAATAATAGAGATGAGTCTACCTTGTTCTTGCCCCTCGGAGATGATGGCCTCAAACGGTTTTGCTTGCAGCGGCCACTCTGTTACTTTATCTGCTGTCGATTCACCCTTTTGTACTAGCATATCTCTTGGTACTGTAAGAGGACTGGGGCGGTTACTTCCGTGTGAATGTGGCTCGCTCGTTGTCCTGCGGTGACTGGGCCTACCCAACGGTTGTTCTCTTTCCATCTCCAGCTCATAGCGTGTCTTGTAACTTCCTCTACTTCTCCTGCGCTCATAGAGACCAAAGCTTTCACGCGGAGTCCGCGGAGATGAATGAGGAGATGAGAGCCTACTTCTGGAAACGGCTTCGCGGCGCCATTCGTCTGTACGAGAAACTCGTCGACGCTGTGGAGATATCGAGCGTCGTGTCGATGGGCTCCAGTGACGCCTCAGAGGTGACCTTGAGCGCGAGCGTCGGTTTCGGGGCGGCGGCGAGTAATATCGATCACGGCTGTAGTCACGCTCATTCGAGCGAGGAGAATGCTGATGATCAGATCTAACCAATCGAAATAGAAGCAAGAAGGCGAGCGCTTAGTAGTCGACTTTGGATCGTTTGTTTTTGGTACGTACCTGTCCCTCGTATCAGGCCATGGCGGATGCATGTACCTACAGCAGACGATGGGTTCACGGAAACGTTTGTTTAGGATTTACAGCCAACGTCTTCCTGAACACTCTCACCAACACTTGTCTCCATACGGACAACCATCACCAATCGGGTGCCCGTCATTGTCAAAGTACCAGCATCGAGTGGAATGTTTTTCTTGTCTGTGCATACGAAGTATACGGTACAAGTCATAAGACAGGTGATATAGATGCAGAAGGTTGGAGTCCGACTTCGAAATCGATGACGAACTCGACTGAGAAAAAAACTACCAAACATCTCATCGGTTCCACCAAGGACGACATCTGTCAAAGTCAGCTACGCCTGCATGGGAGCCTGATTATGTTAGTGATTAGCAAATACTTAGAGGCATGCACTCTCGGCCAGAGAGTCTAGGTTCGGCCAGCGGGCCTTGGCTATAGCTGACGATTGGAGTGCTACCGAATGATTACGCATGTCGGGGTTTTTTGGGACCCGATGCTGTATAGCGGGGTCAGCAAAGGGAAAGGATGGCGGAACGAGATACATACAATGGCGTTCACCGTCGTCTGGTTCCTCTTCAACCTCGCTAAATGATCGTTTCCGAATAGGTGGTGGTTGGTGGAGGTTGGTGGCGTGCTTCTCGTTCTTGCTGGTCTCGGATAGTGGCACCTCTCGATCTGAAGATAGCGGTGCTGGCGAAAGCTGAGCCTGGTTCTCAGCCATCTCGAGGGCTGGTTCCACGAGTTCCTGCTCATCATATTGCGCAGTATCTTCTCCTTGCGTGCCTTCACCACCTGTTCCGTCTGCAAGTTCGTCATATTCTTCATCTCCCCATTCGTCATCATCCGGGAGAGTGGGCTCCTCTGCGGCTTCGGCTTCGGCTTCATCTTCGGCTGCAACATCTATTGGGGATGTGAGAAGAATGAAACCAATCTGAAAGGCGTACGAACCATCGACATCCTCAACATGATGCTGCACATCTTCTGTCAGGCCATCTGTATTGGTTGTGGCTTCCAAAGTACGATCTGATTGAAAGATTAGCAGAGAATTCCTGACGGAGTTCGCCGTACCATCCAAAGACTCGACTCCAAGGTGATCCTGATTATTTTCTAGAGATGCGCCGTTCTCCTCGGCGTCATATTCTATATGATGCTGTTAGCTTCCAGGAGCATGGTCGTCAATAACGTACCATTTGCAAGCTCAGTCTCGTCGAACCCAGCAAATGGCAGCTCGTCCCCAGGTACGTACTCATCCTCGTGCACGTACTCTTCTTGCGCGGTATTATCTTCTTGTGTGTCGTCTTGGTTCTCTGTGGTAGGCTCAACTCCTTCACCCACGTCCTCCCAGTCATTTGTTTCTCCTTCTCCGACGGGCTGGGCAAGTTCGTCTATAGCATCTGCCTGATATTCGTCTTGCTCCTCTGACCACGCATCACCATCTGCATCCTCTGGCAATGGCGGTTCTAACTCTCCGTCGGCATCCTCTGGCAATGGCGGTTCTGGCTCCTCGTCTGCGTCCTCGGGCAATGGTGGTTCTGGCTCTCCATCACCATAGTTTTCATCAGCTTCTGGGGCATTATCAGCAGCATGTACCCCTTCAGGGGCTGATACTGGAAGAAAGTAAGAAACTTTACAAGGTAGAACGGGCCAACTCACCAGCAGGGTCAACAGATCCCGAGTTTGCATGATTCTCTATCGCCTGCTTGATAACATTATAGCGGTCGATGAAGCGAGATTGCAAAGAGATATCAAGATGAAGATAGCCCGAAAGGCCACAGCTCTGGTGCATAGAGACCAGGTCCGAAAGCGTAATCTTGTGTGCATAAATGTTGTCCTATGATAACAGTGAGCAGAGAACTCCTTGTTCGCAGTAGAAATTCTCTCACCTCTGTCAAAACGAGTTGTAAATCCCGAACTACGAGCTGAAATTCTCTGTACTCAAACTCTGATCGTGAAAATATCGCTGGTTCAGCATTTTGCAACTCTTTTCGAAGCTCCATGAGCATGGTTGCAATTGGCTCTGCGAAAAGATGATGATGCTGATCTAGCAGTGTCAAGCGTGTGTCCGAGATCGATTGGGAAGTCGAAGGAACGAGGGAAACGTCGGGTTCTTTGAACAATGCCAGCGTTTGAGCCACAGTTGATGCTTCGGAAAAGGCGGTTAAAAGCACAGTCGTGACCGGAATATGCTCAGACTGCTGTGCATCTTCCAATCGTTCTTGAGCCGGCTCCACTACCTCCTCTGCTTGCTGCTCTAGTGGTGGAGCCTCCAAAGTGCTCTCTTCTGTTGGGGTCTCTGCAACAGGAGCTACATCTTCTCCTCCTTCTGGCTTTGTTCCTGGTGGTCCTGTAGTCTCCGGACTGTATCCCGTGATTAAAGCAGGCTCCTCTACACCAGGCTCCACGTTCTCCGCTCTCGCCAATGAGATTGGCTGCTCATTATCGAGCGAGTAGGGAGGAGGTTCAACAATCACGGCAGTTGTCGGTACCGCGGCTGCTAAGTCTTCAGATGGTGGAGGTTCATGAATGGTTGGTGCTGGAGCCAATATTTCAGACTCGGATGGTGGTGGCTGGCTCGGAGAGACCACTGTAGCTGATAAATCAACCGGGGGAACTGTAAGCATGCCCACGGGCTCCACAACAGGTTCAAGAGAGGAAGTTCCAAAATGGCTTTCAACATGCGGCACAGTCACATCGTGAAGTTCTGCGTCTGGAACCTCAGTATCGATGGTTTCATAGTTGCTCTCTGGCCCTCCACCCTCATAAGTCATCTCATATTCGTACTCTTCTCCGTGTGCGGCCGCGCTCATCTCAACTTCAGCCGCGCTCATCATCCCGTGGTCCTCTGTGTCAAACTCGACGTCGACGAGCTGAGCATCTGTATTCTGATCCGAATTCGTTGTCCAATATGGTTGGGCATCCGCCGTGGTCGTGAACGCCATCTCGTGCGGCGTTTGTTCTTGATGCTTGGGCGATTCCATGTCAATGGCAATCGCGGCGTCTCCTGGATGGTCTTCTTGCATTGCAGAGTCATCCATTGTTCCTCCGATCTGTGGCAGCAGGGCTACTGACATTTGCAGATGAAGTCAGGTTGAAGATTTTTAGCAACCTGCTCTCAGATTCAAGTAAGGGTGATAGCGCAAAGAAATATATACTCTGTAACGAGGTAATATAATTTATGGTATCCAGGGGCTAACAGAAGGGCCACCAACGCGGGCAGTGAGAAATGTTGCATTACCCCCATCATTGACGTAGAAACAATCCTCCAGACGTACCCCAACCTGAACATTTCAGTGGTTAACAATCTAAATGCGCTTTCAGACCTCTCACCTCGCCCTCGATGTAGATCCCTGGTTCGTTGGAAAACGCATTACCCTTCTTCAGAAGCACATCACTCCCTCCAACAAGATATGGAGATTCATGGCCCTGTATTCCTATACCTACATGTCATGAGCGCTTCTTTCCAAAGTACACTCTCGCCTTACCATGCCCCAGCCGATGCGTAAAGTGGCCGCGGTAGCCGTACTTGTCGATTAAACTTCGTGCTTGGGCATCGACGTCTCTAGCCTTGACGCCCTCCTGAGCGTATTTTGCAGCAGCAGATTGAGCCTTCTGGACCGTATACCAAACCTCTAGATGCTTGGAAGGTATTCGCGATTCAGGGAGTGCCACAGTCTGTGAGACGTTGAGAACCCAGAATCACGATCTAATAGTACTTACTCTTGTAACGTCAGAGTAGTAACCATGCAACGTTCCCATCAAGTCGAAGAGGGCGAGGTCTTCCTTGCCCAGCTGTCGGTCATTCCCGCTGCCATGAGGCAATGCGGCGTTTTCTGATACGAGGTGAGTTATAGCAGAAAGGTAAAGTGACCTACTTCCAAAGAGGACGAGGGCACTGAGATCGTTCAATCCGGCTTCATCCATAGCTGCGAGAATCATCCCTTTCGCCTCAGACTCGCGGATACCTAGCTTCAAGCGATACCTGACCTCTCTCAGGGCAAGTAGTGTAACCTACGCCACTAAGCTGGGTGCCTCATTGTAACGGGACATACCTCGTTTGCACAACGCATGATAGCCAGTTCCGCCGGTGACTTGCGTTCACGCAAAGCACGTACCTGTGCCGATGATATCTTGACAAAGGCATGCTGGGCTGCCTGTTGTATCCCATCAGCGATGAAATAGCGCGACGCCTCGTCGACGAAGATGGTAGGTTTGGATGTGCCGGAGGTGATGACCGAGAGAACCACTTGATATGGATTCTCGTCTTCTTCCCAGGTGACGAACTGTATGTCGGACGATGGAATATTCAACATTTTGGCTCGAGTCAACTCGAACCGTGGAGTGACGACTGTAAGAGAGGGAACAATCTCCTCGATATTGTTATGGCGTAGTACCTTTGGTGCAATGACGATGAGAAATGGTCTCTCAGACGCTTTCCATTTCGCAGACGAGACGTTTGCAAAATAGAGTGCGTTTGCGCCCGGTTCAGCGACATATGCAGCAGCTCCAAGGTCATATAAGACCTTCGTAAGTGCGGCTTGTCGTCCAAGGTACTCCTCCCTTGTGATTGGAGGAGTAGATTTGCAGTGATCTGCGAGGAACGAAAAGTCGTCTGGCTTCCAGAGTGGTTCGGGTGCCTTGGTCATCTGGAGAAGAGTCCAAAGGGAACCAATTGCGAGGAGGAAGATTGTAAGGAGAGAGCTAAACCTCCGTTTTGGTTTTGTCGCCATTGTCAAGACATGTTTCTCCATGGGCGAGGACCAAGGTATTAGTGAAGGCCAGTTACGACGCATGTAGATACAAAGTAGTATTAGAGCATCGAAGATTCATTATTACAAGGGCTGTGGTTTGTCTTGTATTGGCAGTTCATCCGTCATATTCCTGACCTTCGCCGCCGCGTGCCGGCTCCGGTCGGTTCGTCAGATTACTTCCTCTGATAAACGTGGTAGCGACATGGTCTAGTCCATCACCTTCTGATCCCGACGATTCCTCGCCGTCACCGCGATCCTCTGGCGCCGACGATTCTACACCCATGGATTGTTGAGCCTCAGGCTCCTCCTGCACCTGTTCACCCTCGGTCGGCTTTTCACTCTTCCGTCCAGAAATAGTCAATTTTTCCTGGTCTGCTGTCGGTTCGCTCGCGTCCTTGGGCGTTGTCCTTACTTCGTCCATATCCTCGTCTGGATCATAAGGAATATTCTCCACCTCCGCAAGCCATTTTTTGACCTTCCTCGAAACGCTCCTGTGTATATAAGGAAGAGACTTCTTCATGGCCCGACGATAGGCTCTGGCATCATCCGACTTGAACGTATAAATCTCGTCAAGATCAGCTTCCTGGTATTTCCGGATGGATTCCAAGTCTTCTTCATTGCGTTCGTAGTAGGGCTCCTGTATTGCGACATAGCGCGGAGGCCGTCGAATAGCACTCGGGGGTCTCTCAACAAAGCCGTACTTGTGTTTGCCCATTCCAAGAAATTCCTCATACTTGATGATATCCATGGGGTGCATCACGTTGTCCCACATAGAGGTCAATTTTGATGCATGTTTCTGGAGTGCCATCCAAGCCAAACCAAGACGTACCCGCTCGACCAAACAATGTCGATCATCGTCATCGCCGGTTGCTGGGCGATAGAGGGGAATCTCGTCAAAGACGTAGGAGACGTAGTTGATCGGCTCTGGCCCATCCGGATCGTCGGGGAGGATGGGGATATGCGCCACAAGGTAGCACTTCTCCCAATCGTACAAAATCCCAGGAATCCAACCCCACTCCGGAAAATCCCACCAGTAGAGCGTCTTAGGCGTAGGCTCCTGGTCAAGTGGATCAGGTAGAAACTCTTTGACGTTTTCTCCCTCCGCTGCGGGTGGGAAAAGCGGCACTTCGGCAGCCTGCTCGCTTCGGCGCGGGATAACTTGCTGCTGTACGCGTAGCCACCAGGTCATGACAAAGGTATCCAGAGAGGGCTGAACGGCACACGCCAAATCCTCGACACAGTGACTGAGTCTCTCTTCTGGCGTCTTTCGCTGCCACTCCTCAGTCTCGAAATGTGGCGCTTGATCCCATTTTCGAACAAAGTCAGGCCATTGGACGGGACCCTTCATGGCAATCAAAACAGCCGGACGTGTATACGAAATGGGCCAAGTGCGGGCGATTTCAACCTCTTCTTTCTTGTAGGGCCGAATAGTGTTGTGCACCAGAGCGAATTCAATCCGCGAAGGTGAGTCCTCAAACGTCATTGGACCCCACCATTGTTGCTTGGGCGTTCTACACCAAGTCAGTCGCAAAGCAGAAAAGTGGGAGAGTATGCATACACGAGGAGCCAGCACAAAGGAATATTTGTAAAGAAGGTAATAAATGCGGATTCGACATTGTTTTCTCCCATTGGCATGTTGACGACTTCCAAGAATCGCTCGAGACAAGGGAAAATCTCAATATGGTCACCTTCAGCAATCCCCTTTGGACGGGTAAGGCGGAAATGAAAGCAAAAATCCGGAAGCAGCGATTGGCTGAGGCGGGTAGAGAGGTGACGACGGATCAGATTCTTAGTAGGGATTCGTTCGAGGTGTTCTCCGATAGGTTCCGTATAGAATGCCATACGAGTCCGAAATATTTCTTCCCTGTCGTACTTGTCTGATTCCCAAGGTCTGTTACTTGCGAGGACAATGACCACCTCCTCTTGCTAGTTGGCCGCTTGTAAGAGTGAAATTCACAGGCGGCATTGAGCACTTACAAACCAATCCTCGGGCATGCCCATCTTTTTTCCAGGTTTCGGCCTCCATGCCTCCTTCATCCGTTCAATGTGGTCGAGATGGTGCCGGATGCGCGAGGATAGGGCTCGTGGAATGGAAGCGTTCTGGTAATGATACCAGTCCCAGCCTGGAAGAAACTCTTTAATTTTCTCGGGCCCAGATTGTCCTGGCTGTTCGTCCTGCTCGGCAGGTTCGGGAGCAGGTTCGGGCGTTTGGGCTTTCTTTTGTCTCTTTTTACTCTTTCCTTTGCCCTTCTTTGGTGCAGGTTTCTGCTTCTTATTCTCTATGGGCTTTCCCGTACTGGGATCAACATCCAAACTGCGGGCTGTGATGAGCCCGACGCGTCTTGCGTGTTGTAACCAAACTCACAAGATAGGTGGGTCCCTGAAGATGCCGGCATAGTCCATCAACAATCTCAACTGATGCTCGGCACGCGTCTTTTGTTCCTCTTCGTCATAGCTGGCCATTGAATCCGAGTCGGGGAACTCGTCTGTTTGTGGCTGGATCCAGTCTGCCGGGAGTAGTTCGCGCTCCTGTTCGACAGCTTTCGCTTTCTTGCGTTGTTTTAGTGTTATATCCGGGTCTACGGCCTCCGCCGTCTCGTCAAAGTGGACCTTTCTTTTGCCCATAGTTGTGGCCGTGTCTAACGTTTGCCCCGACGCGCGACCAGACAAGTCGCCCTGAGTTTGCCACAACTCTTTCAAGTCCATCTCTGAGATAGTATTACACATTCGTAACAACTCGCTACACACTCCGCCATGGATGGCTCACGAGTCGCTGGACGGCAATCAGCGCCTCATACCGCACATCTCCGTTTTCATGACCCATTAGCTCCATGATCCTTGTCTTTCCACCTAGGTCGGCAACGATTCTACAAAAGATCAATCTCTTGTCTAGTTTTTCAGGGAGCTGCACCTACTTCTTACCCCGGTCGTAGAACTTGACATATTGGCCAATATCGTGTGAGCCAACAGCGAGGACGAGCGGGTCCGTAGAGCTCTGTAGGAGGCCAATCAAAACTCTGTGACATGTTAGAGGCGGGCAGCATCATCCAACTTGTCGACAAACCGGAGTTGTTGGTAGTCGCGCTCATTCAGTCGGACTGCATTCTCCTTCCAAAAATCGTCCGAGGTATGTACCGGAGTCCATGACAAATGACCAGAGGCAAGCTCCGAGGTGTACTCATCGTATGTTCTGTCAATCACCTCAGCTCTAGTTTCCTCAAGTTGGATCATACGAACGTCAGACTTTGGAAGTTTGCTGTAAGCTCATCCTTGAGGAACTGGAGGTCCTCGACAATGTCTTCATCGGTCCACTTCCTTGCCAAAAGTGTCTTGATGAAAGGGAGCAATTGTACGACGAGCATGGAGGGGAGGTTGTTCTGAGGAGCCTTGGTGACCAGATTCTAGACAGTGTGAGTTGAGTCATTGTTCGAAGGATCTATACATACTCTAAATGTTGCAATGATGACCCTCGACACCTTCTCCTTGACTGCCGACTGAGCAGCGTCCTTGAGTAACGGAATGATATCATACTGCCTGTATCTACTTGAGAAAACATTTCCCAAAATGCATTGATGCGTACTTGTTGATCTCCTTGGCCACTTCCGTTTCGAATGTCATCAGCCATAAACAAAAGGTGACTTGGTACGTCATTTGAGGACCTGGGTCACTCTTCAAGATGGATACCAGTCTGTAATGATCAGCTTCATAAAGCACTGGACAATATTGCATGCTCACCCGTTCAGAATTGCAGGCATCTGCCAGACGGTTTTGCGAACCTCAGAGCGAGGTAGCAGTGCTTCTAGGGCTTGAACCGCGACATCTCTACCGTTTACCGAGCTCCCTTGTACAAGGGACGAGAGTGTATGTAGCAATGGTGAATATTGCTGGGGCTGAAGGGTACCTGGTTCTGCACTGGATACAATAAGCACTTCTCCTAGGTGAGCAGAGTCTCTTACCTCATCAGAGTTGTCACAATTTGACAAGCCTTCAACTGTACCCATTCATCACTCGATTCAAACGTCCTTAAAGCCCATCAGTCACAAGAACATGGACCAAGAACGGAGTTTACTTGAGGAATGGAGTGTAAGGAAGCTCGGTATCAATCTTCTTTGTAGCGAGGAACAGCGGTATACGCTCGTCATGATCTATCCGCCGATTCAGTCAAGATACAGGACGAGAGGTAGAAAACAGCGAACCGAGAAGAGAGTCACCAATCAAAACAAGAATGTTTTGCATAGTATCGACACGCTCAATCTTCTTGAGCAAGGTAAGATAGAGCAGCGCATACTGCGGTCCGTCTGTGACGAGAATCGACTCGATCTTTGCTCGTGGCTGTCTATCCACACGTTTGATGAGTGTTAGCTCGTCGCTCGTTATCAATTCTGCTCGTTGGTATCCCTAGGATGGACGTTATCGCGCTGAGCGCACGTATGCTCGTCGTCGTACCTCCCACGGCACCGGTTTTGACCGTATTTTCGTTGCTCCATCATCTAGAAAACTATTGGAGACCAAGGCGAGTTGCGACATAATGGCTTGAGAAGAGGCCACTTTCGGTCAAGTTTAACATGCAACAACCAACAGAGTCTATCAGAGATTTCGGGTGGTACATGGCAAAAAACTACTCTTCATCAGACATTTGGATCTCTTCCTCGTTGCCTTCTGCAGCCTTGTCACCGTCTTGCATTGACTTGTCTGCGTTTGACTCTGCAGGTTTCACAACCGTGGTCGTGGCACGGACGAAAGCGGGGCCTTTGGTAGCTTGCTTCTCCGCTGCAGCCATAGGATCAACAGGTGCAGAGGGCTCGATACTTTTTGCATCCTTCTGAGTTCCGAGGGTATGGGCGGCAAGGAAGGATGCTTCCGTGTTGTACTGGCTCTGTACACTGCGCTTGATCCTCAGGTACTCCTTAAACGTGTCTTCCGAGCCCGTCTCCACCTCGAATTGATTCCACTCGGACCAGAATTCGGGGAACAACCGCGGGTCGCAAAATTGCGAAGCGTGGGCATAAATCGCACGTGCTCTGTCAATCTCGCCGAGCTTGCGTTCCATTGCGGCAAATCTCAGGCACATTTGAGCCGTTTGTCGGTCTGGGAGTACCTCGAGTGCCTTCTCGAAGATGGATCGGGTCGCTGGCAAGCCGAAATTCTCCGTGACTTTGGCGATGTAGATAGTAAACATCTAGAGACGGTCAGGGAGGCTCCATATCGATGGGACTGCTCCACATACCTCAAACTTGTCCTCGTCGGACACCACCGAAGCAGCTCTCTCATAAATGGCCATGGCCCGCTTCGCCAATCCATAGTCCTCCTCCAATTTCGCATACATGAGAAAGAGGGGTTTGCAGTACTTTTGAGGGCACTTTTCGAGCGCTTGCTCGAACAAGTCTCGTGTTCGCTCGAGCTTGGAACCACCCTGTTTTCCAATTTGGTCAGCAGAAGTCAACGAAACACAGAGACGACATACGTAGCGCTTGACAAACTTTGACAAGTAAATGTTCCAAATTTCGAATGAGATGGGAAAGTTAAACAATTCGACACCCCGTTCATACACTTTGAAGCTTTCCTCGTAATACTGATTGTCCTCCAGGAAGGTAGCGTAGTTGACAATTATCTGCAAGGCGGAGATTAGAATGATCCTGCCAGTGGTCGTGTCGCGCTTTACGCACTTGAGCATTTGCTATTCGTAACTCGAGAATCTTGTCGTAGACTTTCTTTGTACTTTCAACAGATCCAATAGACTCCTCTAGGTCGACGTAAAAAGACCATAGTTTGAGCGACTTGAAGAGTCGAGCCTGAACGGGGAGACTCTATAGAGGAATCAAATCGTGGTCGGAGGGACTATAACGTCTCTTACCTGATCATGGTAGTTAATCTTTGGGTCTTTTGGCACATACGCAGCGCGTTGCATAAGTCGAATGGCTTCATCGAAGTTTCTATAGTGGCATTGAGAAGGTAGTCCCAGGCCAAGATGCGCACCTACTCATGCCGTATCTCCATCTCTGCCCATTCGCACCAAACCTCGGCAAGTTCCTCGACCGTTCTAAAGTTGACCTTGGTTGCCTTTTCCAGGAGCTTTCTTGCGCTGTCGAGGCTGGGCTCAGACTGGCCCGTCGTCCCACCTTCTTCATAAAACTTGGCGAAATTAATGTAAAGGCGGTGGAAATTGGCGCTGGCCTTTTTCGGCGCAATGGTTTCCAGCGCCCTTGTATACGTCTCAGCGACTTTTTCATCATTGTCTCCCCAAAGCGCTATTCGCTTCTCCCACTCCTGAACGTCGTGTGGATTTCTCCGAATCAGAACGTCGTTCACAAGGAACGGCCTTCGATCGTTTAGTTCCTCAAACGTTTGCATCTGGAGGTCCAGGTCCGCCTCGATCTCCGCCGCCGACTCTTCGTCTTCTGGTGATTCCAATGCGGCCATCAACGCAGTTATGAGCGACTCGAAAAATTCGGCATAGGCATCAAAGATTTGGGTAAAGTCCCGAACAGTGAGCACAGAGGTGATCCCTTCCTCGAAGGTTTGTTTGGCCTAGCCAAAAGTGAGCACGAAAAGTGATTGGCTTTTGTGAAGGTATTACCTTTTCAAACTCTCCCCGCTTCGACCAGTATGTGGCCATGCCGGCCCACAGTCGACCGGCTTGGTCTTTGTAAACGTCGAGACCGTCGCGCCGCACGACCTTCTCTACATTAATCTTGCGAGGACTCGAAGGGTCCACATCTTCATCATACGTCTCCTCTTCTTCCACAGGTTGTGGAGGCGCAGCAAACCTCACCAACGATCCAGTCCCATTCTTTGTAGCTGGCTTATTTTGGGTGCTCGCACCGGGCTCGGCAGCGAGTTGCTGTTGCGCTTCTTCAATATCCATTCCGACCTCTTCTGGATACTGTTGTACCACATCCAGCCATTCTCCGAGGAGCTGGTATGGGCTCTTTCCTTCGGGACTGGTGTATTTGCCTTTGGCAGCCTTTCTCGCAAGACCCAACAGCAACTTTGCAGCCTCGAGTGGCCTCGGTTGTGGGTTATCCGGAGAAAGCAGGATAGCCGTATACCGTTCGGTGATTGAGGGGTCGATGGCGAGATAGCGTCGGTAGACGCGTGCCGTTGTGCTTCCACCCTTTGCTTCAGACCATAAGAGATATACAGTCCAGACTCTTGAGTGAAGAGACGGGGGGAGCGTCCGAAGTGCACGGTCAAAGGTTCGGCGTGCATGAGTATGGGAGATCTGGGCTGGACATTGAGGATGCTGAAAGAGGGTAAAGTACATTAACCAGAGTCGTGGCATCTTCGTATAATAGTCAGCAAGCTTGTTTCAACGCGCTCTAGAGTGAGCTCACCGTCGGAAGCCAAGTCAAGGCCCGTTCAAACGTCGCAATGAGAGACTTCCACTCCTCCCAGCCAACTACACCGTCAAGACCCGCTTCCCACGTCTCAGCATATGCCAATTCATCCTCCAACGCCTCTCTCATCTCAGCCAGCTTTTTGCGGCCTCCTGCTCGCTTTGGTTTGACGCCTTTTCCGAGCACATAGAGGCATCTCATTTGTAAATACGCCTTCCATAGCTTGAACGAGGTTGGAAAATACGCGAGCGCAGACTCGTATAGGTACACCAACTTTTGCAGCCCAAGACGCGCCTCGGGTGTGCTCAGCAGACCCAGCGTCTGTTCTATTTCAGGCGCAGCGGGTTGAGCTTTCTTTTGCTGCGCGATTACCGCGTCCTTTGCCGCTTGGATCGCCGTCCACCAATGTCGAAAGGAGCCGGCGTTGCGCTGTAGATCTTCTTCACGCTGTACATCGGATGGTTGAAGTAGATTAGGATGCGTTATAGGGGTAGGAATGGGCCAGGTCAGAGGAAAGAGGGTGTGTAAAGGGCTCTCCTCCATGGTCAGGTCCAACGTTCCGCCGCTGCTCTGTGTGTTGTAAAATTCAGTGTGGTGCTACGCAGAACGACTTTCTAAACGCGATATAAACATCTTCAAGAGGGAACGTGGGTAGCCGGTATGAGCGCTCCTGCACTCGATGGGTTACATTGATCAAGGTTGGTAGTGAAGTAATTGTACAACTGATATACTATCAATAAGCTAGGTGGCTGCTCCCGGACCCCGCCTACCCACAAATCGATGTGGGAGTCAAAGTCTGCAAACAAGCCACGAGATGAAGACGTAGAGGTGCGTGACATAAGTTACAATGTAGCACCGCACCCGACGCTCTCTATAGGAGGACGTATGGACGTGGATGCTACTCGTGAGGTGGTGAGGACGAGGAAGAGTATTCGGGCGAGCTTCCGTTGGTCACCTGCTGGGTGCAGGCAGTTTCTCGGTGTCGTTTGACATTACCCCGTAGCATGGGTTTACCGCTGAGGCGGGAGTGTAAGCTCGTGTGACCCAAAACGCGAGCGAGGTGAACGTACCAGTGCGAGCACTTGGTCTTGACTGAGCGGTGCTTTTGTCTCGGTTCGGCTGCGCAATAACGCTTGCGACACTGCTTGCCTTTGATGGGACTGCAGATATGTGCCTTAGCCACAGGAGAAGCAGACAAGGGGCGAGACGTACCACGGGCCCGCGTCTAGACAGGCATAGGGGAAATGTTGTAGATGGAAACGGATGTGACCCTTGGCCTGATCCTTTTTTTTGTATGAGCTCCCGCATGGACTACCTCCAGCGTAAAAGATGCACGTCCAGCGGTTTCGTTGACTGTCCAGCCGCATAAAGTCGAGGAGGAGGCTTTCATGAGGCTCCATTCGGTTTTCTTTTTTCCAGTCGGCGGTCATCACGTCCGCAAGCGCCTTTCGCTTCTGAGCATGTGCTTCAGAATCCAAGGGGAAACAATTGTGGAGAAAGTCCGGCGGAACGACGTGAGCCTTGCGGGATGGTTGGCGAGTCTCCGGCGTAGTGAGAGGTACAGTCAGCAATAATGGAGAGGGGCTCGGTTCGCGAATGGTCGGGGGTGGGAGCAGTGGCGAACTCGTCGCCTGCGCCGCCCATTCCCAGGTCTCCGGGTGTTGCTCGGTATTGATTGGGAAGAGTGATAGGGGCACTATGATGTTAGGAGGGGGAGAGGCTGTCACGAATGACTCTGGGGTTACAGGATAGGAGTCGTGGCCCGGAGGTGGCCTTAGATGGCTCCAATGCATCGCCATCACATAATCAAATCCAACATTGGCGGATCCCAATGGAGGTGATGGTGCAGTGCTCTGCTGCAAGCCGTAGTACGGTGCGTACCGAAGCGCACTCATGTTCGCTTCCACAGACTTTGGGTCCTGATGGGAAATCGAGTAGAAGGCTGCAGGTGAATTGCGACAATGATGAGCTCGAAAGAAGTATTCGTAGGCCTGCCGCTCACCTTCTTGGCCACAACTCGAGGACATCCAACTCGACCCGGAGTTCATGGAGCGTTGATTAAAAGGAAAGCAATACTGATAAAGCGAGGACGAAGTTTGGTGAAGAGAGGAGGTAGAAGATGAGAGGAGAGGGGCGTAGAGGTTTGCGATCAAGGGATAGCCGGGCTTATAAGTTCGGTAACTGGAGGCTGGGACAGAGAACAGACGCCCGCCCGGACCAAGGGGTTCTTGAATTTCCAACGGCAAAGCGTGTCGAGAGCACGGCCACCAATCCTCGTAGTCGCAGCAGAACCAGAGCCTTGAAGTCGCCAGTGCAGCCTCCGTGAAATTCCGGCACCATGGTTGGTCTCGATAGTTACCACGCCCCTGGCCCCGTCACAGCTTGATGCCATTATGCCATGCAGATGCCAATTCCTAGATAGGTTGCATTGCCTGTGATACGTTTTGAAGATGCAGCCTCTGAACTTTTCCTTGTGATCTGACACCGACCCAGATGACGAGAAGGCTGAGCCGTCTTCCACGTGCGAATGTATCGGTATGTCAAACTGGAACCATTTGAAACTCCTCCAGATGCCTAATCCGCAGACGACCTGTAGGGTGCTGAATCTCGATGACCTCAAGGGCGCAACCCGGTGAAACCAGTCTGCCGGCGTCGACTTGAACAAACTTTGAGTATTCTAATGATTTGGTGTCAGTATTGTTGGGCTGCGCCCTGCGGCCCGCGGAGGCAGTGAACTGATAATATGCAGTCGATCAACGGCCAAGCAGTCTCTGAAAAACTGGGGCTTTGATTCAAGAGCATCGCAATGCACAAGGCTTGTCCTATTCGGCTCCTGAGCGGGGATCTCATTCCTACTTCGTAGCTGGCAAAAGGCCGTTGTTTCCAGGGGTACTGTTACGGGTCCACTGCAAGGATTCGTACGTTAATGAGAAGAAGAAATCAAATCATAGCATTGATCTGTATCGAGTTGGCCTAACAGGAACTCATGTTGACGAAGGTATCGGAGGAGAGGTGCAACCCTGCGGCTCCGCAACACCCCGCGCGAGGATTCGTTACCGAGGTCTGATAAAATCTGACAGTTCAGAGCGATCAAATATGTCGTTATGGACGCTTATTTTGAACACATTCCTGGTGCCCCCCCAGCAAGCGAAATGAAGAGTATGGCTGGTCGAGGATAACCTGAGCTTGCTTACGTGATTTGAATTGAAGTAATCAATCCATGTGCGCGCACAAAGTAAGATGATGCTCACTTCTGCAAGGGCGGCGTCGTCCTCATTGCTTCCGCGGTCGATGCGGATCAACAAAATTCTGGGACAAATTACTGGCACCATTTGGGACCTCTCCTGGTCAGGATTCAAGCGCCAATCGCATGCCACCGCACCCGAGCACGCTGTCGCGAGTGACCGTGTCCAGTCTTGGAGAGTCTGACATCCTGATCCGTACTAGACGGCTTTACAATCCACGGCTAGCCAAGCAAGAAGCCGTGTGTGCTCCCGTGCAGGTCGACGAGTAAATCTCTACCCACGACGCACTGCTCGACGCGTTCACAGGCGTCAAAGTGACAACCTGCGATATCAAATCAATTCTAAATGCTTACCTCACGCGTTTCAAACAAGAGTCTGTCACCATCGGTCGGTGGGGGTTCATAGTAGATCTTTACAAGATGACCATCCTTTCTCCTTGCAATAGTCGCTAATGAATAATCCAACATCACTGACAATCTCGAGACTCTTGTTCGGTAATCACAACAAGTAAAGCCAATCTTGGACCTCACCTCTGTGGGCGTCGGGCCTTTCTTCTTCACGACAGCTAGTGTGATTCCGACCCGTACTCAAGTTTATAACGACCTCCTCGACGATCTGTTCAACACCCTTTGTCCTTTCAAAATCCACGTCAAGATCCTCAAATCGCTTAATCCACCATTTCTACGACAGCCGGCGCTCAGCACAGATCGATCTGAACACCAATGGCATCTAATCAGAACAGTCGAGCTGTTCCTCTTGTCGCCAGGTTCGTCTTGAATCCATGTCCGGCCGCTCAGCTGATAAACCGGTGGCCTGACTGTTCTCCAGTGGCCATACACGCCCAGTGACGCATCTCTCGTTTTCTCCTCTGCAAGAGGATGGCTCCTATCTCTTGATCTCGAGCTGTAAGGATGGCAAACCCATGTTGCGCGATTGGACCGGTGACTGGATCGGCACCTTTATGGGTCAGTTGTCTCACTTCATTGGCGAATGTACCTCGTTGGTACTGACAAGTAGCCCTCATGGGACCACCAGGACACAAAGGCGCCGTTTGGAGCTCAAAACTCTCATTGGACACGGCAAAGGCCGTCACTGGCAGTGCAGACTTTACCGCGTGAGTATTTGACAGGTTGATGCTCCGAAACTCTTTGAGCCTAACTGTTCGTACAGAAAAGTATGGGACACGTACAGCGGAGAAGTCTTGCACTCGTTTCCGCACGATCATATCGTTCGAACCGTCGACATTTCACCCTCATCGGCGCAAATCGTTACCGGCGATCAGACGAAAAAGATCCGAATCTTTGATCTCTCTCGCCCCGACGCGGATCCTCGCTACCTAGTGGCCAAAAACATGGAAACTGCTCACGAAAAGTTTGTCAAGAGCGTCGTGTGGCTTCCAGACGGCCGTCAGATTGTCAGCGGCGGAGAGGATGGTGTCGTAAAGTGAGGACAGCACTTGTTCAATCGGGTCTCACAGTCTTACTCATGCGCGCTTCAGCTGGTGGGATCTTCGTACGAGTGATGCAGCGTATACAGTCAAGTTTCCAAACCCTGTTACATCTCTCGAGCTGTCCGCGCCCACGGGCACACTCGTTTTGACATACGGCAACAACGTTTCGTTCTACCCTGTTATGCCAGCCTCTTCTCCTTCTCATACACTTACACTCCCTCATGCGCCTTCTTCGGCCTCGCTTCATCCCACCACGGGTGATCGATTCGTCACGGGTGCCGTTGGTGATCCTTGGGTCAGAGTGTATGGGCTCGTTGACGGCAACGAGTTGGAACTTTACAAGGGACACCATGGTCCCGTCCACACGGTCATGTACAGCCCGGATGGAGAGATGTATGCGTCTGGAAGTGGTGAGCGCTTTTTTATTTCGGAGAAACTAATTTCTAAATCCCTTCATAGAGGACGGAACGATCCGTCTGTGGCAAACTACGCCCGGCAAGTCGTACGGTCTTTGGCAAGGACAGACCAACGGCAACTCGCACTCGTAATGATCAAATATGGGGCCTTTTTACTCGTCTCCTTTCATGTAACAACCGGTAACGATCATAATTACGATGCATGTCGCACACACTTTTACATTCTTTTTGTTGCGTCTACATTTGATTCGACCATCACGATGTGGCCATTGTCACATCGTTGTCTCCTAGGGCATCAAAGACGAGAGATCCTTGTTGCTCTTTGAGCCACTGTGTGCTTCGCTTTTCGTCGAGGAAGTAGCCATAACATCTCCGCACATCCTCGGTCTCCACCACGGTACTCTTCCTCTTTCGCGCCACGACTTGAGCTGTGCTGATCAGATTGAGGGCATATCGGAGTGTGGTTTCGGTAGCCAAGTTGGCGAGTGCTTTCAACGCGTCTGGCGCAAGTTGAACGTCCTCTTCTTGACATCGGATCTGGATAATCTGTTCGACATCTGCAATCGAATATGGCTGTGTGGAGATGATCAATACACGGTCGAGTAAGTCGACGGGGAGACCGTGTGGCGAGCGGAATGTCGTGCCTCGAATCGTAGCGGTTCCGCGATTCGAGGCCATGATGACCAGTGGTGCAAGTTCATCCTCGAGTGCACGGTTCAAGAAGGAGAAGCACTCGATGTCGAGCATGTGAACTTCGTCGATGAACAAGACCTGTTTGAGGTCAACACAAATCTGAGAGAGAGAGAAAACGGACTACGTACTCCAGGCACAATTTCCGCCTTTCCTTCTTCCTTCCACTCGCCAATTTTGTTGTTAATCTGCTCGCGCAGCTCTGGCTTGATTTCTCCAGTGTCACCAGCAAAGAGGGCCAGGAAGCCTTGTGTCCGGCTATTGATAACATCGATTTCATGGAGAGACACGGTGTGAACCACTTCTTTGCGCTTTTGTACCTCGCCTTCGGGGGTTTGAACGAATTTGGTCTATAAAGTATAAGTAATGAACAGAAGGATGCGCTTTGACGTACATCTGCTCCAGTAGCGTCATAGTCACGAGCTCTTGAGAATGATCTTCCAAGTTTTGTAATGCGCCCAGAAGCCTTGTCGATGGTGACCACGTCGCCCGCGAGAACCTTTTCTTTGGCCAGTGAATCAATCATCTTGGAGCCAAGATCATAGACAGTTGCCATGTCCGTCGTTTTGATAGTGAGCTTGCCCATTTTTGTTGCCTATCAAGTGTCAGTAAATGAAGCAATGGAAGAGGCAGACGCACCCCTGTGACGCTGCGGTCAATTTGTATCTCTACAATCTCTCCTTCGATAATCTCCGTCTCCTCTTTGATGCGAACACCAATACTTCTTCGAAACGCTTGGGTGAGCGCTTCAGTTTTCGACATGGAAAGCGAAAAGACCTCGCTCGCAGCAATCATTGTAAAGGGAACATCATTTCCTAGACTTTGGGCCATACCTACACGTGCGCGACGCGTGATGTCAGCGACTGGCAGTAAGCGCGATTGGAAATCGACACACCCATGGCGATAGCCGTCTTTCCAGAGCTTGGAGGCCCCGCCATCAAGATCGCTTTACCAGAAATCCTCCCATCTTGGACCATTTTCACAATGAGTCCCGCAGCTTTTCGTGCCTTGCCTTGGCCGACCATGCCTTGGGAGTTTGCCCGTGGCTCGAGGCGATCATCGAGCCCAAGACCTCGTATATGTGAATGTGCACCTTGGATATACATTGTCAGCGCGTGACCAAACGCGTCTATCTGAGTTTTGTGCTCACCGATGCGTTCTATGCGAATATCCCGCACAGACGAAGTGCCTGTTGTAATTTCCATAGCCTTTTGGAAGTTTGTAAGCATTTTATGTTCGTGGTAATAGAGCAACGCCTCCTCACCATGGTCGTCGCAGGCTCCAAGTTTTGGACAGAACCATCAAATGCTTCGACGAGCGGTCACGCAGTCGTGCGTGCCGCTCAGGAGCAGCCATCATTCGCTGTTACTTAGAACATATGCAACAGCTGTAAGAGCGTCCAATGGTTCACAAACCCAAGGCCCACCGCCAACCGGTCCAGCAAAACGCAAACGAAACACGGCAAACCCGCTGGTAAAGATTGTAGACGGCTTCAAGAAGTTTAAACCAATCACACCAGGCTTGAGACACGTTCGAATGCTCATCAACCCGCATCTTTGGAAGGGCAAACCCGTTCGCGACCTCACATTTCCTTTGCGCAAAAAGGGAGGGCGAAACAACACAGGCCAGATCACTGTTCGCTCCAGAGGTGGTGGTCATAAACGCAGAATACGAATCGTCGACTTTTACCGCAGAGAACCGGGCCCTCACGATGTTATTCGCATCGAATACGACCCTAACCGCTCGGCGCATATTGCACTCCTCAAGAGTAGAGACAAAAATGCTCTACAACCTTGGTCATATATTCTCGCTTGCGAGGGTTTACGAGCCGGAGACGTGGTCACCAGCTATCGAGGAGGCATTCCCGATGGTACCGTCGAAGGATATGTAGACGAGCCAAATGTCAAAAAAGACAAACTCAGCGATGCAGAACTAGGCCAGGAAGAGAGCTCAGAAGCCGCGCTCTCGCTGGGTATCCTTCGCAGCATCACCATCAAGCTCGGCAACGTTCTACCACTCCGCCTCATTCCTCCCGGCACCGTCATTCACAATATCACTCTTGACCCTAAAGGCCCTGCTCGCCTCGTTCGCTCTGCCGGAACCTCTGCGACCATGGTGCTCCAAGAGGAAAAGGGTGAATACTGTCAGATTCGACTGCAGTCTGGTGAAGTTCGCAGAGTACGAGCAGACTGCTGTGCTACGATCGGAAAAGTCAGCAACGGAGACTGGAAGGGCAGGATGCTAGGAAAGGCTGGACGAGCTCGATGGCTCGGAAGGCGACCCCATGTCCGAGGTGTGGCGATGAATGCGTACGTCATGTTTGACTTCCAAAAGTTCTACATTCATTGCTATATAGTCGTGATCATCCCCACGGAGGTGGAAGAGGCAAGTCCAAAGGTAACAGACACCCGTCATCGCCCTGGGGCTGGAATACCAAAGGAAAGAGGACGAGAAAGCCAGGTCCTCGAGGACACAAGACTGGCAACAAGTATGTCATTCGCGAGCGGCCCAGAGGGAAGCACAAGATTTCCCTCATTGTCAAGTAGACACACCTTATTGTCACCCCTCAAGTATATCGCATTCTATTGTTTCTTCAGCATCCTCTTCCTCTCCATCTTCTTCGTTGGAGTCCTTTTGAGACGGCGTCCCGTCCTTGTTTTTCTCCTTGTCACCTACGGCGTCTCTCCATGGCGTCAAAAGTTGAGATCCCGTGACCTCCTTTGCTGATTGAATGGCTGCGAGGACATTCTTGTAGTCGACTGTCTTTCCGTCCCCGATGGGAAAAGTGACTGTCCCCTTGGCTGGGATCGGTTCATTCGACTGTTCTAGTACCGGTGGATTGACCCCATCTGGTACTGAGAGCGAATAAGAAATTGTGATTTTACGGTCGGATGCCATCAGGTCCAAAGTGGGTTTCGCCACTTGGTCTCCGACCCATCCAACAAACGTACTCAACCCAGTCAGTTCCAGTGCTTGCAAAGATTTTTCGCCGAGATTGGTGGCGTATGCACTTCTCCAGGCAGACGATGTCCTCGGCCGCGTCTGTACTAGCGCCCCCGGGGCAGATACCAAGCTGGCTGCCCAGTCCATTACAAGAGTCATATATACAGAAAGTGGCAAAGGAAATATCGTACCGCGAAGCCATCAGGGTGGAATGCCACGATCCACGATCTCCAGAATCTGCCGCGTCTCCAACCTGTGCGGCAGCGTATTGCACATCCGTGGCCAAAACTGCGACAAATTTACGATTTAATCGCTACACGGACGTCGTTCCATACGATAGAACACGCGTTGTTCTTTCGGACGGAGCGTACCTCAACGCCAGCTGGGTACGCGAGTTCGCCGGTGGACGCTGGACAGTGGCAACACAGGCGCCCTTGGATAGAACAGTCCACGCATTCCTTTCCATGTTTCTACTCCCAGTCGCCCCTCCTCAAGATCATACACAGCCGACTCCATCCAGCATACCAGCCTCGAATCGTCTCCGGACCATTGTACAGCTTACGCCGAACGTCGAGGGTAATATCAACAAAGCCTTTCAATACTTTCCTAGGACGGTTGGAGAGACCCTAACGTGGTCACCAGCCAAAGGAGTGTCCTCGCCGCCGATCAAGGTCAAGCTCGTCCAGAGTGTATCACCTGAGGAAGAAGGAGAACAGCCCTCATGGATTCATTCGGTCTTGGCCTTGTCTTACGAAGGTCACCATGAGCCACCGCACCTTGTCAGACACCTTCATTTCCTGGTTCGTTTCATATTAGTCCCCGATTTGGCGTACTCACTCAGCTTAGGGATGGCCTGATCACGGTACCCCGCGGGACGTTCGATCTCTCCTTCAGTTTATGAAATTCGTCGATGCTTGCAACGCAGACACGACTCACGCAGACGCAGCGCAAAATCCAGACCCGCCGATAGTCATAGGATGTAGCGCTGGAGTGGGCCGTACGGGAACATATATCGCTCTCAGATCGCTCTTTCACGCGCACGGCTTGAACCAACCAAATCTTTCTCCACCAAGCCAGTCAGAAACCCCAACAGCAAACTGGACTGGGGCAGTTCTTTCACCGTCACCTCTGGGCCCCCTAAGTCCTGCATTGCAACAAGACAAAATTGCACTCGAGGTGGATGCCCTCCGAGAGCAACGGCCAATGATGGTACAGAGCGTAGATCAATTGAGATTCCTCTATACTACGTTTATCGCCGCGTTGGAACTGGAGGGTCGAAACAGAATGAGCGATTCATAGAACTTCCCAAAGATTGCAATGGTCAGTTGGAAGAGTCTCCTATTTTCTTAAACCCTGCGAAATACTTTTCCCTAAAGCCTCTGTGGCCAGAGGGAGCAGTGGCTTGGTCACCCAACTCTGCCATTCTGTATGCTGGATCAAACGACGGTGGTGGATATTCGGGACAGTTGGTGGATTTGCGCATAGTGATGAGCTTTGTTTTTAGAAGATTGGCGTAAACATGCATACCCGGATAGAGTACCTTGCACTCACCCTTCGACCCCATTTACCAAAGTTTTGTTCCGAGTTTGCAACGAGTTCCATTCCCTCGCACACAGGAATGTCCACGTCTTGATATTCTTCGGATGCAGTGGGTAGAAACCAAACGAGTCGACCACCCGGCCTGAGCAAATACCGTGCGAGTAGGACGAGATCTGCCGTGAGATCCCCGAGTTCGTATGGCTTGCGCACGTAAGATCTAGTGAGAATTAGAGCTGAATGAGGGGCTTCATGTCGACCCTACGTCGTGTTCTCGTAGGTTTCGAGAGGTGCCCGTGGAACTGGTCGCTCTTTTGCCCGCCCTAGACGTTTTGCGCCAGCCCTGACTCCGTCTACGAGATTTGAAATATGTCTAAGCGGAACTCAGGCACTCACATGGAGGATCACTGACTATGGCATCCAAAATACCACCAGTCCGGAATGGGTTTCGAGTAATGTCAAACGTACAGCAGTCGAGAATTCTATTCAGGACGCCATACTGATCAGCTGACTGAAATATTCCCGGAGGATTGAGATCTAAAGGGCGGAGTCATGCACTCATAGTCGGAGTTTGTATAGGCTCACTCTTCCCCCGCATTTGCCGACCGTCAATGTCGCTACCGAATACCATCGCCCCAAAGAATGCTGAAGTCTTCGATATGTCAGCTTGCATCAAAGAGGCGCATCGACGCTCACAAAGAGCATGCTCCCGGTTCCACAATATGGGTCGTAAATAAGTTTACCAGGAGCGGCCTATCTATATATCAGTACTATATGCTCTTTTGAAAAATCTCCAACGAACCAGCGCTTGATTAGCCATCAGAAGAGAGATCTCTGCGTCCATAGTCGTGTTGCCGTAGTAGACCCTAGGAAGCGTGAGAACCAAGTCAAATCCATGGATACCAGGTACCTTTGCTTCACGTCAAATTTGTGCTTCAAGCTCCTACAGGCGCCCTCTTCGATCTGCAATTCCTCAGCCACGGGCAGCTAGCGAATCATTGACCTACCAAACGCCCAAAGAACGCACGGTCGAAATCGCCATCTCCCTCGGTCCTTTTCCGTAGTGTGTGCTTTATGGGATCTAGAGCGCTTGCAGCACATTATTAGAATGACTGGAAATTTCCGAGCGGCAAACTCACACTCTTCAAAATAGGTAAGCACGACCGACGCATCCGCAAGCGTAATCGGCCCCTGAAACTCCATGTACTCGAAATCTTCCATGATCTTGACCTTTCGCTCCGATGGGATAGTGTGATTCACGGCGGTCACCTCAAAACGAAATGAATTCTGTTGGTACTTGTCCCAAATGCTCTTATTGGATTTTGTAGATGCGTGAAGTTGCTCATAGGTCACGCCTTCACCGAGCAGCTCGTATATCGCTCTGAAGAAACGTCTGAGTCCGAGCACCTTTCACGAGATCAGAGCACACTACTTGACAAGAATACATCTTTGAGCAAGCAGTCTTGCATGGCGATCTTCATCAAGCTCCACGATCATAAAAGGTCGAGTAGGATCACGATCTTCTTCCGAGTCTGGTAAAGAGACTTGAAACCCAAAGAGCTCTGAAATCGATTGAAGCTCCGGAAACCGGAACTCTGCATGTGCTATAGCGTAATAAATGAGATACTTGCGACCCATTTTAGTATTGGTGCGGTACAAGGTTTGGACGCGACTACGATACAAGACAAGGTCAAGAAGAGCTACTGGATTTGAGTCCTTCTCCATACGGCAGTAACTAGCCCCAGTAAGCCACCACGACGAACAACCTCTTCCAAAGATTCAATCCTCTCGCCGTTGACATGAACGGAAACTCCTCTTGAGCACGCCAAATCCAGAGCAACTTCTGATACGACAGTCTGCTGCTTGAACGGAAAGGTAACTCGCACGCCAGTTCTCCCGTCCGCGATTACCTCGTAGGTGACTCGAAGTTTCGTGGGCGTGTATTTGTCGCTGAGAAGTGACTCTAATAAGCCTACAGCATCTTCCATGCCCTGCTCGGCCTTGTCCAATGACGGCCCGAGATCATCAGCCCTATAGCCTGCTTGGAAGCCCACGCCTACAAGCAGTGACCTCAGCCACAACTGCTCCTTTAGAATGGAGATGACAGAAAGGACCTGATCCAATGTCCGAACTGGAAGATCGTGAAAGGCAAGCCCCGGTTCGGTCAGCGGCATCAGGACGTTGAATAGCCCTGGATCGTCTCCGGGGGGCGGTTGATATCGCGACGTATATGTCCTCGAAGCCTGAGTGAGACTCGGGTCGATGGTCAAATCGAGCCAACTTGGTCCAACGGCGACGGTAGGAGCCGTCAGAGAAAGCAAGTTAAGCGCGTCACTCGAGGTATGTGATTTGCCGATAGCTTCTGCGACTCGCTTCATTCTGGCCTGGCTGAGGATCACAGAGGAGCTTCCGCCAGCAATCCGACAAGACATCGTCCAGCCTCCTTTGGACGAGAGCTCGCTCGAGCCCGTAAAGGAGGGTTTCATAAGGACAAAAGAAGTGAGCTCTGCACGCTTCACCCGAGATTCTTCGTCCAGGGCGAACGGCATCGATGGTGGATTCGCAATCAGCGGCAAACCGAGCATGTCCTCTATTACCGACGAACTTGGTAGCGAGGGGTCGTATGAGATGTCGACCTCTGGGACATCTAGCATTCGGCGTGTTTGTCTGTCGCTGAGAATGGCACGAAGGTGAGAGAGTGGAATGTCGGCCAGATCAGATGCCTCCTCTGTCCTAGGTTCTTTGGAGGCTTGCCACGAGCGTAATAGAGTCAGGTACGCAAGAGGCGATAGATGAGGAAGAATGCTGAGAGATATCGAGTTGAGGTAGGGAAGTGGAATGCCACACGATCGCATGGCGAGGATATCTAGTGGTACGGTTGATGAATATTCTGTCATGTGTGACTTCCACTCGCTGAACTGAGTGAGCACGATGAGAAATCGTTTGTGAAACGGCTTACCTAGACATGCACTTTTGCTCTATCCGGATTACTGAGAGCACCTTTTCAGTCAGAATTGGCACACAATCCCACCAGGACATGGCTACTTCAGCGCCAGCTTCGGTCTCATGTTTGATAATGTCTGCCATTTGATCGAGTCCCCGAAAGGCAGCCTGGAGCTCTAGGGCTACTTTCTCTACGCGGCGATTGTCGACCATTGCCCACGTTCGCTTTCCGCCACATGCGAGCTCGAAGAGAAATGCATTCATCTTCTCCTCCAACATGCCGTGGAGAGTGCCGCCCGCGTGTCCACTAGAGCCAAACGACGTATCGTCCTTGTCCCCAACGGTAATTTTGACAGTGCGCAAGGTGAGCGGCACGACGTGTTGATGAATAGGCAAGTCAATTTGTGGGCTGTCTGCCAGGCCATCCTTTTCAAACTCAAAATCGACGAGTAGATGCTCCTTTGTCAAAGACGCGGTGATCTTTTTGGAGGGTGGCGGCGCGGGTGTTTGCGCGCGACCAGGTGTCGATGGAAAAGGTACGGGACCATCTGTAGCGTGCGATTCGTCCAGAAAGTATTCGAGTTTGGCCGCATTCGCCCATCTCTCGATCGAGTTGAGGACGAATGCGCAGACTTGTGAACGTAGAGTTGGGATGGGCAACCCAAACGCCGAGTATTGTGATTCGGAAGCTTCACGAGCCCCTCTCAGAGCCTTGAGCGTGGCCTTTGCTGTACGGGCTGCCTAACATGCATGAGTGACATTTGAGACATAGAAGGACGGTTGCACCTTATGGATAGATTGCTCGTGCAACGAGTGTTCCTTGTATAGTGTCACAGTCCGCTGATCGAGGATTGGATAGCTCGTAGCCGCCGTCAAGCTGTGGCTAACATCCCGAAAGGTAGACAGCAGCTTGCGCACTGCAGACGCGGGCGATTCGCTGTATCCAGCAGCTCCAAGAGTAGGATTTGCAAGTGGATGGAGATTGCGGCCGTCAGTGACATGCGGGAGTGGGAGTAGCTTGGAGAGCGTCCCGGAGACTGTCACCGACGCGTCAAATGACTTGCTTTGGCCATTTTCTGCCTGCATCCACGGAACTGTCTGTATCTGAAAACGAGCCGAGGCGGGGCGGGCCAACGTCGCCTTTTGTTTGTTTCTGGTCGACCAAACTTGTCTTCAGTCACCCAAACCTTAGCATGCCGCCGAAAATCGTTAGTACTGCCCAAATTTACTGAAATTGCTGCTAATCGAATGCTTATTCTTACATGTTTTACTGGCGCGATGGTCAACTTTGGGACAAATTGTACATGCAATGGCAAATGGCGGATTAGGACCCCAACGAAGTCAAGATCATCTACCTCCGTGCAACAGGTGGTGAAGTCGGTGCTACGGCTGCACTTGCTCCAAAGGTTGGACCTCTTGGTTTGGTGAGTCTGGCATGGGCGGCATCTACCAACGGCGAGGGCTCATCTGTATATCGCATCTAGGCTCCAAAGAAGGTCGGAGAAGATATTGCAAAGGCTACAGGCGACTGGAAGGGTCTCCGAGTGACCGTCCAGCTTACCATCCAAAACCGACAAGCACAAGTGGCTGTCGTCCCCTCTGCATCTTCACTCATCATCCGTGCACTCAAAGGTATGTAATTATGGTCATATCCAGTCATCTTCCTGACCATATACCCCAGAACCCCCACGTGACCGCAAAAAGGAGAAGAACATCAAGCACAACGGAAACATTACCCTCGATGAAATCTTCAACATTGCCCGGATAATGCGATCGCGTTCGCTCGCCAAAAACCTCGCTGGTGTGGTCAAGGAGATGCTCGGCACCGCACAGTCGATTGGCTGCACGATCGACGGACAACCACCACACGATATTATTGATGGCATCAACTCGGGGGATATCGAGGTCCCTGACGAGTAGGCCAATGGCTGAACTCCTCTGTCTTGTAATAACTTACAAAATGGGATACTGCTTACCCAGCCAATCTAAGAGCAAATGTCCTTTAATAGGTTGAACGCTATTCTACAGACTAAGTCTCGTCGAAATAAATACTATAACTAACAAGGCTCTAATGCACGAGAGGATTGCATCCGCAAGCGATTCCACGTATTCCAAAGTTTGCAATCGAACCAAGAACGAGACCCGTGGCGAGACTAGGGCAAGTAAGCGATCGTCCAACTCTTCAACACAAGCATACCTGAAACTGGTCGCGACAGCGGCAACGTCTACCCATTCCTTTCGCATCCGTTTGTTATGCTCAAGACTCGGTGCGGCCATCATAATCAAGCTAACGCCATACAAATCAGTAACCAGTCCGGACAGAAAATAGGATGGTACACACCTAGTGAGCCATCCATTCGACACACCGAACGCGGCGAGAAGTGCAAAAAAGGCGGCATCCGAATTGATCAATGGAACATCACCGCTCGAACCCTCTGGTTTGGTGTGTAAGGATCGTAGCGCCGGATCAGTGCCCGTTTCCGGAGGCGTGGCGCTAAGATTGACGTTACATGCGAGAAAGAGGACCACAAAGACGATGCGAGAGACACTCAGTGCCATCAGCTTCTTTCGACTCCAAATTTGAAAGATGCGGAAGGAACAAATGAACCTTCCGAACCAATCTGAAGAATTGTAGACCAAGAAATGGACGGCAGTGAAAACTTGAGGTTTTGCGTCGGGTCGCACTGATCGCACTGCGGCTGTGACAGCGGGGAAGAGGGCCTGTCGAGGATGAATCCCAACTCTGATTTGGTATACGAATGCTTACCAGCGTCACGATGTATATAATCATGACCGACACGTTGTACATTGCGTTGGTCCACCAAACTTTCCAAAAACTGATGGATGCCGAGGGTTCCGACTCGGCGGCACCTTCCCTTGCCGTGTCCCTCTCCAAATCATGATTGGCATGGGCTTGTGTCTCGGGAGTGCGCTCCTGGTCTCGAAGTGACCCAACAGATGCACTCATAGCAAGGAGGGCTCCATCCTCCTCATCTTCAGAATCAATCCCGGCCGTCAATGGCGCCGTTGGATCATCTTCAGGGAGAGCCGCATACTGCGCAGCTACGGCGCTAATCTTTGCACCCTCAAACTTTGCAACAGTCTTCCTGAACAACGGCATCCGTGTCAGACGCCTGTATGCCATGTAGGAAAAGGAGAGCCCGAATGTGGCAATGAGGAAGAAGTAGGTTGCCGACTTTGATATTGGTGACCTCGCAGGACCCGACTTTGGAGGGCGGTGATCGCCGGAAGGCTTTCTACTTGAAGTAGAGAGTGTGATGATCAACTGAACGATTGAAACAATGACTGCAACGGCGGCTTGTCCAGACATCATGCTCTGCATAGCCATAGCTCCAAAGTATGAGGTGTAGGATACCACCGATGTGAGTAGATAAGAGCCCGCGATAGCTTGCGTCGCGCCCATTGCGAGAGCGAAGCAGAAATACGGGAGGGGTGCTGATGGAATGAGTGTGCTGATGAAAAGAGAGCCGAGGGTGACCGTGAGAACTGCATGAGAAACGGTTATTCGACGAGATTTAGATGCCTGAGTCGCTAGTCAGCTCTAAGGAAGACACTTGTCAATGGCGACTCACCGTAGCTGCTGTGTATGAGGCGTGGGCGAGAGCAACGAAAGACGCCAGCTGGTAAATCGCACTGAAATAACTAGAGAACAGGCTACGAAGTGCTGAACCCGACAGCCGCTCCAAAAAGAACGGGATAGCGGTAATCATGCTATTCCACGGTAACAGGACAGCAAAGCCGAGCATGAAGAATATCCTAAATGCCAATAATTAGGTTATTAGCGACTCGTGGATATTGTAAATACCAGTTTATCCTCATTAGAGCAAGATTCGTGCTCGTCTCCGCAGCGCTGGCCTCCTTCCTGGCATCTCTTACTCGCACCGATCCCCTACTCGTTTCTCTCGTATGTCCTCCGACATCTCCACGAGAATGTGAGGCGCCACTCATCGACGGCCAAAAGTGCGGTTGGGTTCAAGCTTGGAATCCACCTCGACCATCCATAACCAAACGCCTACAAACACGAACGATCACGAACACGGATCCAATATATTATCTACCGGTACCAGAACTTGACTCAACTTGAGAAAGCGACCCGTCTGACATGCTTTAGGTTCCCGGTGACAACTGCGTTCAAACTGAACCTGGATCACACATAACATCATCTATACATGTCTTCTAATAGCGTAGAGGACGCGCAAGCTGCTGCCTTTATCGCCTGGATTTCCACTTTCAACCTTAGTAGACCGGTTTCGTCTCTCTCGGATCTCAATGATGGGTCGGCCCTCTTCGACGTCCTTACTGTCGTGTAAGCTGAAATACGTCGTATAAAGTATATATTGACCATCGTTAGCGACCCAGAATACTTTGCACGACCGGTTACAAGCTCTTCGTCGAGTGCTTTGCAACAGCCCGATAACTGGCCACTCCGATTCACATCTCTGAAGCGCCTATTTCGTCTCATTACTCAGTACTTTGTCGAAGTCCTCCATCAGTCCACCTCTACGGTCAAGTCATTGGATGTCCCGGATCTTCAGAAGATTGCCAGAGAAGGAGATGCAAAGGAAACTCTCGTGCTGTGCCGACTATGCATTGCTATCGCAGTCATGAGTAAGCACAATGCAGAGACGATTGGTGGGATCCAGAGTCTCAAAGAGGTTCATCAACAAAGACTTATGGAAGCTATTGCTCTCGTAAACCAACTCTCCTCCCAATGTTTTATTACTGATACATTACAGGTAATGTCAAAACTAGAACCTGTCCCTAATGATGATGCGGGTGACACGACCCATATGACCGAGTAGGTGTCAGACATTGGGAAGGCAACAAATTCTGAGACAGGACAGAGACGATCACTATTATGAAATGCATCTCGAGAGGTCGAGAGTGCTGTTTGACAAGGATACCGTCGAAAAGGCTTATAATACCCTCGTGGAGGAACATCAAAACCTCCAAAGCAATTATGTGCGCCTTCATTGTATTATCGTATTTGTACTGACTTGAGACTCAGGAAGATGCGATTGCGGAGAAAGCAGAGCTAGTTGCTCAGCTGAACCAAGCCAGGCGTGAGGTTGAATCGATGCAAGGAGAGAACATCTCCAGCAAGGTCTGTATTCCGTCTCTACGTACTAGTATCTGACTTTATGTAGGGTGATGTGATGAAACGTGCTGAAATTGATCGCCTGAGAACAGAGCTGCAGAAGAGCGAGGACAATCTCAATGCTGCCGAAGCAGAGGCTGAAAGACAAGCTGCTATTATAGCAGACCTTAACAAGTAAGATCAATCATTCTCAGACAAGGTAAACTCAACTTGGATCAGAAAAAACGACGAGCTACAGGCCCAAGCAGACGAAGCAGACCACCTCAAGGACAAGCTAGACGAATTTAAACACGCTGCCGAGAAACTATCCAAAATGGAGAATGTCATGGAAAAGTACAAGAAGAAGCTCGAGGAAAGTGCGGACCTACGCCGCAAGGTCAAGGTGTGTCGTGCGTTATCCGGCGAGTATCTATGATAGATCTGTTTCCAGAGTCTGGAAGAACAAAATGCGCGACTTGTGGATACTAATGCTCAACTGGATGCAGAGTTTAGCAAGGTTGCATCTTTCAAGCCTCTGGTAGACTCATACAAGACCCAGCTCGGAGAGCTTGAAAATAAGGCTGCTTCAAGAGCGAAAGAAGTTGAGTCTCTGAAGTGGGAACTCGAGCAAACAAAGGGGAAACTCAAGGTATGCGGACTACCGGAACTGAATGACAAACTCACTTCGTGTAGCAAGCAATGGAGCAGCAAGCGAAAGATGCAGAGGCTATAGAGCTATATCAGGACAGAGTCAAAGAGCTCGAACTCGGCGCGACACCGAATAGGCCCAACTTCAAAGGCGGTGTGCGTGATTCTATCGTACTGGGTACAGGTGGATTGGAAGATGAGCTTCGCGGACTTGGTGCGCAGAGCCTAAGGATCTTTCTTTGCAGCTGATCTGCGTCTAGGAGGAGAGCTCGACGATGCACTCTCGGGAACCACGACCACCGATCTCAAACTACAAGTGCGCAAGCTAGAGAAGGAACTTGAAGAACTCAGAGGCGCCAAAGGCAAAGAGGAAGAGTCCAAGATACTCGTCTTGGAAAGTCTGCTTGAGGACGCCAAACGCTTGAAAGGGAGGTACGAAGCCGATTATCTTAAGGAACATCGAGAGAAACTCGTTCTGCTGAGCGAGATGGAGGAAATCCGTGCAGGCCGAGGCGATGGTGGCGAAGCAGCGATCGCTTTGCGACAAAGACTCAACGAAACTGTCGAGGAGCTCGACGCCCTCAAGAAGGAGCATACTGAATTGGAGGTCAAGTTTGAGCGTGCAAACCGAGACTTGACCATTGCCAAATCAGACTGTAAGCATCCCTCTACTCTTTCAAGCCCTTACCAATATGTCGCAGTGAACTTGGTCAACAAGGACCAAGTCGAGATTCTTCATTCTCTTCGAGAAACCCTTAACCAAGACAAGGAGGCGTTGGAAGCCGAAATCGCATCTCTCCGAAATCAACTATCAGAGGTATCGGATAAGAACAAGATGCATCTAGAACAAGTCAATACCCTCCTTATGGAAAAGGTTTCTATGCAAACGGATGGACTGGGTCAACGCGAACGAATGCTGGAAAGGGAAAGAGAATTAGGAGATCTACGCATGGTCCTTGCGGGCAAGGATATACCGGAGGACGTCAAAGCGAAGATGATGGCACTTCATGAGGACGCGGAGAGTGTCAAGGAACAACTCAAGGTTGCCAACGACAAATTGGCCAAGGCAAGACAAGTAAGCTTTTGCTTAGGCTTCGAATCGTCAAAACTAAACTCTGGCCCCAGTTCATCAAGTCACAGGACAAATTATTCCGCGAAGAACACGCCAAGGCCTTGAACAATCTTGCGGTGTGTTGATATATCGTCGATCGCTAGTCATTCATCGGTTTCTCTAGGGGGGCCAATTTGACGAAGCAGAGGAGAGCTTCCGGTCACAAATAAAGATCCTGGAGGAAGAAATAACAAGATTAAAGGTATGTATATACTAGACCGAACCTATCCATCACTGACAGTCCTAGCGTCTGATGGCGGAAGCAGAGTTACGCTATCGCCGAGAGCAGGAGCTTATGCTTGGTCATATCCATGCACAAGGTATGGCAATTACAAAGCAGCATCTGGCGGCACAGCAAAAGGGAGCTGGTGGCGGTGGTCCGAGCAGCTGGCTCGGCCAGCAGAGGAAGAACGTAAGTGGATATCCTGTTCCTATAAAGCTACTAACATTAATCGAACAGCTTGGGCAATCACTCGTATGTCAAATTCACCAACCTCCGTAGCTTTTTACTTACAACAATCTAGCGGCGGTAGATGATGTATGTTCTCGGAGTTAGTCTGTTTAACTGGGTAGTGAGATGTATTATATCAGATAAAATCGCTTCATGTCTACGAAAGATCGAGTGCGGCCGTCATTGACACACTCGAATGTAGATTTACGGTGGATCTGTCACTGACGCCTCCGCTGCTCGAACGAGCGCTGGAAATATTAAGCGTGGCGTGCACACCTTTGCTAGCGAAGGCAGGATTGATGACTGTGGTTCCATGAACGACCTGGATACATGCTTCAGCACTTGCTTCTGAGAAACGGACACCATACTTTATGGAACTTTCCTAGATTGCTAGGGAGAATGAGAACGTCTGGGGCGACGTCCTCCAGCTTGAGCAACTCGCTATGTGACACATCCAAATTTACGTCTGCATGAAGCTCTGGTTCTGCTGGAAATAAGGGATAAAAGCTGTGGATGGTGAATGATATGATCCCCTGGATATACAGTGAACAATGACACACCTTCGTTGCTCCAGTACGCAAGAGCCTAGGATGCTCATTTGGTCGATGGGTGGAGGTGTTCCTGTTGGTATAACTTTCTTCCTTAGGAGTTGGCGCTGAAGATGAAATAATACGTCGACAGATGTGACGGAGAAACGGACGTGGTCGATCGTGAAGGTACAGGGATTTGGGAGGACAACGATGCGCTATCAATGATGTGAGCCAATACGAAACAAGAGAATTATGACCTACTGAAGATTGAGGAAGCTGAAGAGGAGGCTGTGGATAAACTGCATGATGTGATATCAAGTCGCGAACGCTTGACACGATCAACGCGGTGGTGCCAGGATGTGCATCAAGAAAAGTCCGTAGGGGTGACAATATCCGTTGACGAAACAAGTCATTTGGAGCGAGATCGACATCCCCTTCACGTATCCTCGGGTTGTTAACGTCCACGAATGGTCCAATCTGCTTGCTTTCATCAGAGAATGGCAAATTTGCACAAGAAACGAACCAAGAGAATCCAGTTAGGGGCAGAGCCATTAATAGTTTGCAGGAAAGTATCAAAGTGGGTATACTGCAGATCGTCTCCCGAAAAGGGTCCCGCAGCTATGGCCATGGATATTGGGTGCTCCTGCCTATTCGAGTCAATATCTAATGGCAAAAGAGGCAGCTAATGAAATTTCAGAAGCAAGAAATGGAAGAACAGTGCGCCATACCATTAATATCTGCGACACCTGGAACCATGACCCAGTTTCGTTCCGTCCTTTGAGTGCTACGATAGCTCCGGGATACAGTGGGAGCATCGAAGAGTCACCATTTGAAGAGACGTTTGGATCGAATTTGAGAGCAACTCTCGCCCCTGCTCCCATCAGGCGGGATGTTTCCAGTTCGACGGAAGCCTCATTCAGCTTCGTGTCGCCGTCGCAGCAGATCCTGCCTACGACTATCACGTCTTCCTAGAGATTAAAATGAGATTAAATCGCTCTGGAACACACCCTACGCACATCACTCGTGGACGCAGGGTCCCCTATGTCTTCCAGTTTATAGTGAGTTCGGACCAATTCCGCAAATTCATCGATGCGATCGTCCAGAACTTGAAAACGCGTCAGAGAAAGTAAGTTCATATAGCCATATCGTACCTGTCGACCGTTCTGCAATCCTCTCATGCATATATCGATCTGAGCAGTGATTAGCGTTTTGCGCCTCACGCGTTACTCGGCGCACAATGTCTCTCCTTGAGGTTATCGAGAATCTTCAGTTGACCATGATCTGACTTTACCATTGGCTGAGGACGCCGAGCTGTTGACGGAGCGGCTTGTCGAGCTATTGGTCGGCCCTGAGGTTTCCGCGCACTGATAGCACCCGGTTTTTTTGATTGCATCACTGTTTGAACTCCCTTTGCCAAATCCTTTCGCAGCAAAGTCAGTCCTCTTTCATCAAGCTCCTGGGCCATGCTGCCTGATTGGGCCAAGCCGGCATTCAGACAAATAGACTGCCATTTGAACGCCAGTTCTTCGGGAGTTTTGCCAAAAGAGTTGCATAGATTGACGCCTGGTGGTCGTTTTAGAGCAAGGCATATAGCCAATGATTTGCTTGCATTCTCGAATGATTTCGTCGGATGTCGCCGTAGCCAACAGTTCGTTGAAGCAATTTCTAACATCTTCTTCGTCTACCTGAGCCATCCTCGTCGTTTGGATTCGATCAACAGTAAGGCTGACGGTGGCGAGGTCCAAATCCCAAAGTTAACCCTGGGTGCTACCAGCCAAATCCTATGAGGTAACCAGGCACAGAAAAGGCCTCGAATTGTCACGTCAGAAAGGTTTTTGATGCGCTTCACGCGCCTAGTCACCTTCTCAGCGCCTAACCTAGCTCGCACTCTTAGCTCTCAACCAGTTTCAACGAGCATTATGAAGGAAATAGATGGCTCTACTCTCGAAGGAGGAGGACAAATACTCCGAAACGCCGTTGCATTTGCAGCGCTCTCTCGTACCCCCATCAAAATTTCGAACATTCGAAAGGGGAGACGACCGCCTGGTCTCAAGGCTCAACACGCAGCTGGTATGTCGAGAATACATTGTATGTGGTAGTGCAATACCGACTGCCACATCAGGTGTCAATCTAATTGGACAAATATCCAAGGGCTCGACGTTGGTCGGTGCCGTTAAAGACTCTCAAACGCTCGAGTTCTTTCCAGGAGAGTTACAAGCTGGAGAGTATTCTGCAGACCCAGGAACGGCTGGGGCTACTACTCTCTTGCTCCAAGTCTCACTTCCAACGCTTCTATTCTCAAACTCTCCAGAGCCGGAGATCTCTATTCTTCGTCTAAAAGGTGGAACAAACGCTATTCAGGCCCCTCAAATTGACTATACCGAGCGGATATTCTTGCCTTTTATCAAAAAGCACTTTGACATCGACGTCAAGCTCGACATTTCTTGTAGAGGTTACTATCCCAAAGGGGGTGGTCAGATTCAGGTCACGGTGTCCACGAGGAGCACGCCACTTCCTTCCTTTACCCTACTTGAACGCGGTGCCGTCACAGCTGTTCGGGGAAGAGCATACGTCGCAGGGCTCCCTCCACGACTTGCTAAGGACTGTCGTGACGCGGCACGTGCCCTTCTCGTTAAGAAAGGAGTAGAACCCAGCATTATCGAAATTGAATATCTCAGGGAGTCTCCCTCGGATGCGTTTGGCGCGGGTTCAGGTATCCTCCTCTGGGCAGAAACCGAGCATGGCTGTATACTAGGAGGGAGTGCCATCGGAAAGAAAGGATCAGATGCTGCAGACCTAGGTCGTGAGGCTGCAGAGGAGCTCATTAGTAACCTCGCCCATGGTGGTGTCGTGGACGAATATCTCCAGGACCAATGGATTATATTTGGGGCTCTGGCCAAGGGCAAGTCTAGGCTACGTTGTGGACCATTAACCTTGCATACCAGGTCCGTGTAGACCTTGGCATCTTTCTCTTTGCTGACATGCTACAGGACGGCAATGTGGTTGGCTGAGCAATTGACGGATGCCCGGTTCAAGGAGATTCCCGACGAAGATGGTTCAACGGTCATAATTGAATGCGATGGAATAGGTTACACGGCTCCGCAACGGGTGGACACGATGGAGAGCGACGAGGCTTGACTCTAATAGGCGGAGCGATTCGTCAAACCGAATGTACTCAGTTCAACTAGTCGATTCTTCTCCAAAGTATTTCCATTGACCTGGTAGCGGCTTTTCTGCCAATGGTTCCCAGCTTTCAACAAATGTTAGCATGTAAACTCGGAGAACCTGCAAGCGCGAGCTCACGATTTTAGTTCCTTTTGCTTTTCCACGAGTTTTAGTTCGTCTTGAGCCGCATCCAAAATTTCCTCGATTTGGCCACCACCAATCGTCTGTTCGACCTTTCGGATGTCACCTTGGGCACTCTCTACGATATTGAGACGTGAAAGAGTAATCGCTTCTGCTGCTTGTCGATACGATGACGTTGCAGGGAGGTTCTTCAACTCTGCGAGTGTCGAATTGTACGTTTGCTTGAGCACCGGCAAAGGATCTGGATGGACTGGATGACCCAACAAATGTCAGCAACGCATTTTTGGTAGACTCTGAGCTTTGTAATACCCGCAAGTCCAACAATTCCAGTCGTTCGCTTCGTCACTTGCAATAGGCGAGCTGTAGCGCGGAACATGATGTCGAAACCACAAACTTTGGCGACAAGTACGCGAATAAATGTCCTGTAATTCCGAACGAGCATACAAAGCATATGAAACTACAAATAAAGTCCTATGGCTTGCCCTTCTTGCTCCTCTCTCAAGCCCCTAATCAGGGCTCGCCGGTTGGCCTACTCTGCTTGCTTTGCTTCCTCGCGGGCTTTGCGAATCTCTTCACATTCTGGATTATTCTTCCAGTGTCTCGCCCTCGCGTCACTTCGTGGGAAACGCTCGTCGCATCCCCCGCATTCGTATGGCTGACTTGTAAGCTTCGAATACCATACGATAGGATACACTTACAAGAGAAGTCGCATGTACTGACCTTCTGTGCCTCTCCATATCGCGCTTTCGTTGAAATCTTGCGGGGCAATTGGGACATGGGAATGGGCGTTCAGGTGACTCAATCTAGCAGATAGTTAGCTTTTTTTTACACGATTTGTTTGCTTTCGCACGTCAGGAGGCTTGCTGCTCGCTACCTTCGGTGAAGCTACAGAGAAAGTATGGAAACTTCCGCTACCCTGTTGTTGGGACATGATAAAAGACTCTATCCCTGAATTATGGGGAGCTGTGTCCTGGAAGAACTTGGGCAAATGGGACATTTATAGTCCGCGCGCCCACTTTGCCCATCTAGACTTCGCCGAACCCCTGGACAATAACCAAGGCACTCCAGTGCGACATTTTGAAGCCGCATATATCAATTCATGGCACCTCAATTGTGTATCGGGCGAACATGACACGGGAAGTAGGTGAAAGAGACGACGTCGGTGTCTGTGGGACGCGGAGACAGCCTCCGAGGCGACTGATTGCATTAAGGTACATCTTTAATGCTCATGCAATGCCGGACCTGCATACTTATATGCGAGGGAGGCGAGGACCAGCGATTCCCAAAGGCAAAGGCCAACGGATGCACGAGTCAATGTCCGACATGATCTCTTATTGCGGCTATACCCGGCTGTTCCCAAAGGTCCATAACCCTGGGAAGCGGAAATTCATGTTTCAACGCGTTCCCGAGCTCCTAACAGCAACAGAAGTTATAGAGAAATTTTAAATGCGAATAATAATCTAGTGGTTATCCGCCTCGTGCTGGACTCTAGAGAGCCGCCTTCTAAGTGATATCGGGGGGCATTCTCCAGAGCACGTCCTTCGCGCTGTGAGCCATAAATTCACCAATGAAATGAAGCACTTCTTGCGTATCGAAGGCTTAGAGCCCCCTGACCAAAGGCGGCAAGTTCTCTAGATAGGTAGCGCCCTGTATTCCCCTTCCAGTGAACTGCCGCATCCGGCATAGCCAACCCACGTACTCATGTCTCGGTAAAACAGACAATCGGTTATCCAGTTCTTGGGGGGCCAGCCGGTCTGTTGGACGATAATGAGACACGCCTACTAGGGCAGAGCCACGGTTCACTCACAGGTTTTGTGGGCGTGCCAAGCGATTGATTCGTCAAAAATCGAGTCCTAATTCTGCGACTCTGATGGAGACTGATACCACTCTTCTTGATCATGGCCAGATCCTTGCCACTAGCAACGTCCTCTGAACCGCATATCGAATGGCCTGTTCTTTCAAAGAAGCAGCATTTGGATATCACGGTTCTCGAACCAGATCAAATACTCACGGTCCAGGCGAGTTTCTTGACGTAGCAGGGCGCGACCATAACTAATGGCGATGCTAGAGCTTCTTGACGCGCACCGAATGCAGCAATTTGATTCGCTTGATTGATTCGCTTCCCCTTGAGCTGACACCTCCGCCCAAAAGAGGCGAAGCAACGAGAGTCAACCGTGAGTTTTGGTGTGTACACGGCTTTCGACCTAAAATCGATCGCAGAGAGAGCTTCGATCCAGTCTTCGTCGTTTGCATCCACATTATTTGATCTAATCACACCGCATCTACCCGATATATCCTCGTTTCAAAAACACATAACGCCTGCGCCAGTGCCCGTCCTTTGCAACTCCAACATTAGGCTTTACAAGTACTCTGAAGGACAGTACTTTGGACAGCACTATGACGAGAGCGTTCCTGGGCCAATCTTGCCCAGTAAGGCGACCGTGGTGGAGCCGACCTCACCGGTTCCTCCTAAAGGGAACAAGAAAGCCAAAGCCAAGGCAACCCCCGTCAGAGGAAACCCCACATGGAGTGAATGGACGATTCTCATCTATCTTTCTGGACAGGAAGACGGCGTTGTCGGTGGAGAGACCGTGTTTTACACAGAGGATGGCGTCGGAAAGAACAAACGACAGCGTGAAATTATTGCACCCCTGTCTCGTGGAACGTTATTGCTACATCGGTAGGTTCTTGTACACATATTATGTCTCCTATTGACGGTGTCTGTAGACATGGCAAAGAATGCCTCTTGCACGAGGGACGGTTGGTCCAGAGGGGTACGAAATATGTCCTTCGTTCAGACTTGTTATTTGGACAGCCGTAGGTATGAAGTAGTATTTATTCCTTTGCTTGTGAGGGCCAGAAGGATGTCAGCTATGATACACCACCAGCTGCAGGAACACGAGAACATTAAATACGAGACACGTATGCGAATATGAGAAGAACGATAAACACGACCATCAGACGGGAGTTCCTGGCTCCACTTCCATCCGACGATCCTCGTCCTCGAGGTGTAAACGCCGACGTCGCGAGCCGCGCAAGAGGCCTTCGACGGCACCAGGGTCCGAAGCTTGAAGATCAAGGAGCGCGTTTGCGACTCGTGGCTGCTCCGATCGTGAACTAGACCGACGGCGCCTTCGTCCGACGGTGGGAGATCGGAATGTGGTCAGCGGCGACCGTGTTGCTGTGGGAACATTGACTGGCGAGTTTCTAGAGCCTGAAGGTTGGCTATGTGAAGGAGAAGATGCCATGGTGCGATTCCCCAGAGACCTCAACTCCATAAAGGCGACGTTTTGCTCAAGCGTCGCAGAGGAAGATGGAACGTGGCCTATTCGGGAAGTGTTGCCATTCCCAAGAGGCGTGCCGTTGGAATTGGAGCTTGTTTGAGATGGGATGCGTCGTCGGATGTCCGTAGCCATTGCTGGCGACGAGTCTTCTTCGTCCGACGACGAATCGTCTTCTTCAGCTTGACTAGCCGAGATACCGGCTTGGGGACGTTGGGTGCTCAGCGAGGACGATGACGAGCTGAGTGATGCCCCATGTGCGTTCCATTCAATCTGGTCCGACGGCAGCGTGTCGATAGGAGCAGGCCGGGGAGATGTATCTGGAACAAAATAGCGACCAGAACTATGGGTTCGCACAAGCTTGACATAGTAGTTGTGTAGGACCTCGCGTGTGCACTACAGAAGCGGGAGGGAACGTGGGTCAGATTCACTGGCAGACACGTGCGTTCTACGACGCAAAGGGGACATAACACGCACCGCCAATCTCCAGTCCATGGCTGATAGAAACTCTCGTTCCAAAAGGTTAAGTTCTATGAGGCTAACACCGCCGACTTTGGCGAATAAGGGATTGGGAGAAAAGGCGTCGCAAAACGTCTTTGAGAGGATCGTGATAGACGCAATTATGAATCGATGTACGCTGAGAGACGAAATATTGAAGCTCGGACGACGAGCACAGATCTGGTCGATGGAACGGAGCATGAGGAGCAGCACGGAACGCTGGTTAAGCCACTGTTAGTCGGTTTGAACTATATTCGGATGCAATCTCACCTCTACACGGACATATCTGACGATCCTACGCAAATAGTCCAGCACGGAGATTGCAGGAGTGGAGCGGGAGTGAAATCGAGTGAGTCCTTCACTGTTAAGAGGATCAGCACACATCTTGGGGGGGCACGGGAGCCTACTCACGGAGAAAGGGGAAGGTGGTCGTTGTGAACTATCATGCGTTGCAGTAGATCCGCTAATGAGTTCATAGATGAGTTTCAAGGGCAGAGTATCATCAGCATCGTCCTCCGTGGGCTTAGACGAGAACATGGCTCACCAATGAGGACGACGAGGTCGTCTAGTTGAACGTCTTCAAAGTAGCCAGGAAGCTCAATCCTACTCGACGCATCTCCCGCAGTCTGTACACTCTCTGTCGCGCTCATTTTGGGCGGTTGGGGACTGTTTTGTGGGCGGCGCTAAATTCTGAAATAAATGCAGATTGCGGGATGACTATGCAAAGAATCTGAAACCAATGTAGAAGAGCCCAGAGAACATTTAGAGCGGCCCCAAGCGCAACAAGTCGAGATTCGCCGGTCGTAGCGGGCAGGAAGGAGGTGGCAGCAACCTTGCGAAGTTTTCTCGTCACCAGACCAGAGTCGGCCCGTGAGACTTGGCAGGAGAGACAAAAAGGTAAGCAAAATACTCCAGAATATGCTAGATGATGCATCTTCTTTTATATTTGCTACTTCAGAGAGCTTGCGGCTCGATGAGACTAGTTTTTCCACCAAGATCTCTGATCCCGCACCGTTTTGAGGCTGTTTCGGCGTGGACTGACGCTGTTTTCCCAGTATTCCCCACACGTTTAGCAAGGTTTTTACACGCTGGGATGGACGTTGAAGCTGGCGAAAACGATAGCAAGAACACGCTTGAATGGCCAAGCACTCCAGCACTCTATGCATCACTTGATTGTACATACTTATCACCAGCATTTACATCCCAATCGTTGCCCCGGCCCGGATGCTTTGAAGATGGACACACGCGCATAGGGCGAGGAAAGAGACCAAACATGCGCACAGAAATCTTGGATTGACGTCTAGAAGCTGAGAAACAATTGAATTGCCGAGGCGCCCGTCGGCCCAGAATGGACATCAATAGGCCAACCGGACAGGCGTCCACAATGGCCTTTCGTAGAGTCGGTGGAATGGCAACGCAAAGGAACAGCTATTGTTCTCGCAATATTTAAACGCATGGGCTTGATCCCATTCTGCCCCCTCAGACTACGCACTTACGACCCATCCCCCCGAATCCGCCTCCGTATCTCCCTCCATACATTCCTCTCACCTCTTTCTATCATGATGGCCTGGAACACACAAAAGAAGACACCCTCTGAGATGGAGAAGGGATCTGACATTGATAGCGTTTCGTCGTTTGTGAGTCGTGACTCTTGACTTTTCTGATCCACAAACGCTAACTTGCTGGGTCTAGGGCTCGCCAAAGAAAAATATTGTCGCCCTTCCCCCTCCAGCCAAGCTGCCCTCGAGCCCAACAAAGTACAGCTCGACCCAGAGTGGCACAGACTCGCAATTCACAAGCAGCTTTACTACAAGCCATGTCACTGAGCCATCGAAGCGAAGGGCATGGATGCGAAGACACGCATTCCTCATCCTGCTCGCCGTCGTCCTCATCTTGATTGCAATCACTGTCTCTGTCATTTTGGTGATCAAGGCGCGCTATGCTCATTTCGTGCATGATACGCCTGCACCTGGGACAGCAGGCATCCCTGGATTGTTCTCTAGCGAGTCTCCCTCTTCGACTGCGAGCTAGACGGCCACTGCAGGATTGGCAAGCTGCACCTGTGAGTAGTTGTCGCGCTTGAATCAGAGAATGAAGCTGATTACATTTCGTAGATGCGGCAGCCCAGCTTGAAGAAACTTTGACGACTCTTACGACCCATTATTCCATCGCATACACGCGAACTCTCTCATTCACTATGCACCTGGTGCTACACAATTGTATCCGTTCTCCTTGTCGATGCCCTTGATGGTGGCATACTATGTAGCGATAGGCCGCTCCCCTTAATGGAGGCTAGTTTCCCCTCTGACTATCCTTGCGTTTGTTCTAAAGTTCTCGATTGAGATGGATGCGTTGTTGGTTAAACTGGGTAAATACACCCATAAAGTCTTCTTGAACCTGAACCATCACAAGCCCAGTTGCAATGGCGCAGCCGCAGCCATCAATTCAGCCAGATAAGCAGCCTACTATTGTTCAAGATGCAGCGCTCGTTCAATTGGTTGCCGAAGTCCTGAATACAACTCCCAAGGCGGCGACGCAACTCCTGGCCGTCCTTCCAAACATCAAGCAAATGGTACCCGGGATTGAAGAACCCCAGAACGTCGAATTGTATAAAAAGGTTGGCCATTTGTCCTCCTAACTCCCGACGAGAATTTCTATCAACATTTCTCCCGACGCTATGCTGGAGACGCAACGCTAAACTCACACGTATCCGTAGCTCCTCCTCGTGAAAGAAACAGTCTCCAAATATTATGCAAGCAAGAGGCTAGAAGGCTCGCAATCTCGCCACTCTGAGCAGTGGAACATGGAGCCTGTTCTCCCACCTCAGCAGATTCATCCGAGCGCAAACGTGATGCCAATGCCATTTGTCATCAGCAACAAGATTCATGATCCAGAAGACCTCAGTAAGACTGTCAGCACCAACCCACAAGCTCATGCAGACCCTGGTCCAATTGCCTGGCCTGCCCCGAGAGCGACGCTCACTGGAGGATATCCTGCTGGTCTACAAGATGGTATTCTTTGATCATGCGCACGCTTTTCCGGTCGTTGAGATGTCTTCTACAGGCACGCCATCTGCAATACAACCGCCAGCCGACGATCCGGCTTTGTTCGTTGCAGACATTCGCCCCACCAGCCTACGAAAGAACCAAGGAGTCGAATCTCACGTAAGAAAGAAGATTCAAGATCTTGTGGCCACTGTGGATCCAAATGTCAAAGTTGATGCTGACGCTGAAGATGTAAGCTAACACGACTTTTTTTTCCGATTCCTCTCGTCTCAATGACTCGAAACTAAACACTTTTTCTTTCAGCTCTTGTTGGAAATAGCCGATGAATTCATCGACTCTGTCGCAAACTTTGCAAGCCGACTTGCTAAGCACCGAGGCGTCAACGACGTAGAGTTGCGAGACCTACAACTCCATCTAGAGATGCACCATGGAATTCGGATACCGGGCTTCTCCGTCGATCCACCTTCTCAGGCTGCCGCACAAGCCGCTGGAGGTCCAGCCGCCTCTGGCTCTGGAAGTGGTGGAACGAAGAAAGGGGGTGTCCCTATCAATGCTGGTAGTGGTGCATCAGTCAAGCGAGGTGCGAGACTGGCTGCTGTCACCCAAGTCAAAAAGGAGTCTCGACTGCTCTGACGAGTCGTATGCGACTTGCGACAAGCGTGATTCTGTGGGTTTATACATCTCCCTTCTCACGTCCAGATTTTACATTATCGACGACCTTGTACAGTAGAGCTTAATGTCGAGCGTTACACTATGCACGATGGGCATAAGGCGTACCAAAATCAACAATACGAACATCATTTACGCGGTCGTCCACGTGTTCCCCTTCCACGCCCTCTCTTGACCTTTTCTGCCTCTGCTCGAGCCTTGAGTCGCTTGCTCTCTCTCGGTTTGTCTGCATCGCTGTCTTCATCGTCCTCATCCTCATCCTCATCCTCTTCTTCGTCCTCTTCTTCAGTCAGTTCCTCTGACGACTCTGAGTCTTGCTGGGTTGGGCCCGTATTTCGTCGCCCTCTTGACTGCGCCAGAGGAGGAGTAGGCGCGAGTACTCTATCGACAACACGTTCCGTTTCGCCCGGTTGAGGCACTCGTCTTGGTCGTGGCGTGGCAGGAATGCGTAAACCTAATCGCGCTACACACCTTTAGTCAGAGTAGTTCCTTCTTCGTATCAAGCACTTACCTAGGTACAACTCCATGTCTTCGGCCCTTACAACGATGTCATCATCTGTCGGATTCTCACCAGCACGATGTTCTGCAACGCGAAATGAAAGATTGGTGATTTCATTGAGAAAGTCGTTTGCAATATGTAGAAGCATCTGATTCATATGAGTGCGAGTTCAATGTGGAAAGAATACACGCACTTCTGTTGCTTCGTCCTCGAGCTTGACTCCCGGTGCTTCTTCATCAGCCAGTCTCGCCAGAGCTTTTCTCATGTGTTCCTTCACTTGAGGATCAGATAGAGCGTCGATTTTCTTGTCTTCCCATCGGTGCTTTCGCGCTGCTGGCCGCCGTGTTGACGAAGTGCTTGCCGTGGGTTGTGCAGGAGAAGCTTCCGCTAGCGTACAAGTTAGAGACGAGATTAAAAGTTATTTGTGGACGACGCGACGTACCAGGCGTTGCTTGCTGCTGCTGTACAGTTGGTTGTGATTGAGGAACCCCTAGGTAGTTGATTGGATATTGCGACGAGCCAGCGACGGGTTGATGCATATAAAACGGTGCAGAGCCCATATGCTGAGGCATAGCTGGGTTCATATAGTGCCCAGAAGGAAATCCTGGTCGTTGCATCTTGATAGAACGAGGTCCAAGAAGCTCGCTAAACCGTAAAGAGACAAGGATAATAACCGTGTAACCAATTGATATTACACAGAATAGTCCCGTGATGTTCCTTGGTTCACTTTGTCGTGGCGGAGTCTAAAGTTATCTGAGCCGGACTACCACTTTGAATAGCTGCCAACAGCGTTTACTCGTCACTTTTCATTACCTTGTAGGCACTTATTAAGATCCTCGTTGCCACCACTAAGTTTACCGCAGGGATGTCAACGGTCATCGACAGAAGCTTCATCTAAACATCCCTATAATCCCCCGTTACTTTGGTCAGACCATAATTTTAGGTCTCCTGAATGCTCTCACGGACTGTCCATTGGCACGGCTGGTCTCGACCCTCGACGCTTGTCGCATGTACTACGGCAGCTTACCGTCTGGCATCACGTACGGACAGGCGACATCATTCTGTTTATTTAAAACGTGTGGCTTCCTACAAGCCAAGGGCTCCCGCATATATTTTCCCCAAAACTTACTTGAACTCCCCCACCATGAGCACACAGACCAACGGGACGACAATGACAAATGGACCCCAGCACGCAAATGGGAGTGACAAGGAAAGAGTCGTGATCATTGGCTCTGGAAACTGGCAAGTCTTGTCTACTCTGTGACGCACCACATCTGATCGTTGGGAATACAGGGGTTCTGCTATTGCGAGCGTTGCAGGTAATAAATATCTTGTTTGTACAAATCTTGTCTCACGATCTCAGCCAAGAATGTTCTTCTACACCACGAGCTGTTTGTAAGTTTTCGTTTGTGTGAGCGACCAATCTGACAATCTGACAGCACCCAGAGGTAAAAATGTGGGTGTTTGAAGAGGACTACGAAGGAAAGCCGCTTACCCGGGTCATCAACGAAACGCACATGAATCCGCGTTACTTGCCGGATATCCCTCTTGGTGACAACGTCACCGCGGAACCGGATCTGGGCAAAGCTCTACAAGGTGCAACCGCACTGGTCTTTGTGATGCCTCACCAGTTCTTCCGCAAGGCGCTCGATGGGATCAAGGGAAAGGTTTCCCAAAATGCTCGAGCAGTCTCGCTTATCAAGGTATGTGTTATTTGGACGATATAACTCTTACTGATTCTGTATTCAGGGGGTGGACGTGCATGGAACCAAAATTCAAGCCTATGCTACCATTGTCAACGAAGAATTGGGTATCTCCTGCTCGTCGCTCAGCGGAGCAAACATAGCCACCGAAGGTAGGTATCTATATGATCATCATCATACCCATTGGTGACATCCTTGTAGTTGCTGAAGGAAAGTTCAGCGAGTCAACTCTGGGAGTCCCATCACCTGATGGATTCGAGGGTGACCCGGATACTCTCCCGGACGCCAGATTATGGAAACCTCTCTTTGACACCAAGACTTTCAGCATCAGCGTCGTCGCCGATGTCGAAGGCGTCGGTCTTTGCGGTGCGCTCAAAAGTATGTCGGGATACTAGCCATTCATAAAGCTAACGGCTCCTTTAGATATCGTAGCGGTCGCAGCTGGGTTCATTGACGGTTTGGGTTGGGGATCCAACTCAAAAGGTAAAGACGCTCATTCAGTTTTCACGTTTCTGATGGAAGTAGCTGCTATTATGCGCATTGGCATGAATGAGATCAAGGATTTCAGTTTGGAATACTTTCCGACGACCCGGGCGGAAACGTTCCTGGAGCAGAGCTGCGGGATAGCCGATATCATTACATCTTGTAAGCCATTCGTGCATTTTGTTGTACGATGTACTTATTACAATAGGCTTGGGTGGCCGCAATCGTAAGGTGGCAGAGGCTATGGTCAAGGAAGGCAAGGTATGGCCATAGTGAAACTTGTGAGATGTTGCTAATGTTTGAAATTCGCCGACACTTGGATTCAACTGATACTGTATCCAGCCTTTCCAGGAACTTGAGGAGTCCATGCTCAAGGGACAAAAGCTCCAAGGGCCGGAAACTGCGCTGCATGTTCATGAATTCCTCGCTGTACGTGGAATCTCTACTAATAGTAGCAAGCTACTTATTCAAACCACTTTGCTTAGGCCCGAGGCACAAAGAGGCCCGGAGGGTACCCACTATTTGACGCAGTATGGAGAATATGCTACGAGGTAAGAAGAAAATTGGCATTTGTGTGATGCGAAACTCATTTGTGTAGGGTGCCAAACCAGAGAGCATCATCGACAAGCTGTAATCCCGAGATAGTGCATTCATTATGCGTCATGTAATTCGTGGTATAGATGTCATTTTGACACGGTCTTGTGGGTACGATATATGTGAAGCGCCCGTCGGATACTTCTTGCTCCCGCCCTCAATTTGGATGGATGGCATCGCGTCCTCGGCACCAAGTTCAGCAGCTGCGGTGTCGAATTCGGCTACGATCTCGTCCAAAGAAAAGAATGAGGCCAATGCTGCTCAACCGGCCACCGGAATCGCCGCCAGCCTGGCAAGAGCATTGACGCGAGGTGTTGCAGTATACTTTTCTCGGCCGGTAAGACTATTCCGACCTACAAAAGGTGCGGCCGAATGGCTTTGATGCAAGCGCTTGTTCTCAAACTTTCTTTTCGGCCAGTCAGTGGATGGACATCTTTACGAGGAAGCGCATTGCGAGACAAGACAGAGCTCAGTCCCCAGTACATTCTTCAACTCATACGGTCGCAGGGAGTGCGCATTTGTTCTTAGATGTGTCACTATACTGAGCCATCGTAGTTTCTAATAGTTCCTCGTCACTTTATTCCACCATTGGCAGTCAATACTGTACTAGGGGCCGTCTTGTGGGAGTCTTATGGCCTTTGCTCGTCTTACCTCGAAGGGAAAATACCCAGTCATCCTATAGTCATGGCCGCGAGGTTCGTCGTCGCGGCAACTCTGCTCATACTAACGAGGAACAGCTCAGGTGCATTTGCTGGCGCATGTCAATCGCTCGCTGCAGCTCCTGTCGAGAATGTCAGAATGGTCCTGGAGTCGATGAGCAAGGTTGAGGCGGATCCTGTACGGACATTGCTGCAAAAGCCAGCAAAGGTCCCTACCACCCATAGCGGTTGGATGCATGCATGGAGACAAGTGTTCATCGGGGATCAGCCGGTTGCACACGCGACGACGAGAGAGGAAGTTCGCGAGCTCAGTCGATGGGTTCAAGAGGTCAAGGGCATGGCTGGACGAGGCTTTGATGGCTGGACATGGGGATGCGCCAAAGATATGTGTGGTAAGTGTGTCATTAAGAAAACCAAAGACCGCGGTTTAGCTTTTCCATCTAGGGTTTGCATTATTCTTCTCCATCTTTGAGTTTAGTCGCGCAACAGCAGTCGAAGTGGCGTATTTATCAGTCGCTGAGCTCGAACGCTTCCGCGCAATGCTGCCATATGCAAAGCCTCCATCCGATAAGACGCGCACATCGACTGCACGAATCGCCCAAGGAGTCACGCTCGTTGGGGGTGGCGTCGCCGCGGGACTGGGATACGAAATCGTATGCCGACCATTCGACAACGCACGGCGATTCGTATGGCTGGATGATCGACACCACCGCGGGCAAAATCCGTCTGTTACCCAAACGGAATCTCGCAGCCGTGTTGTCGCACGGGTGCTTTTCCAGCACCTCAAGACGCATGGTATACTCTCATTTTTTGCCAATCCGCATACGGCGACGCATACGGCCGACGCTGCTTCGACTGGAGCATCCCGCGGTATTTATGCCGTTTTGAGAACCCTTGCGCGTGTTGGACCGTGGGGGGCTGGATTCCTTATCTATGAAGCGCTTGCTGGAGAGCTTCCGCAAGTATAACCCGTGTTTATGGAACCTTGATATATCGTGTACATACATTACAACTCCTTAATCGGCGTTCATCTCCTTAGACGACCTGATGAGAGTTAAAGAGGCGGCTGAATGGCATTGATGACGTTGGTTGAAGCCAATTCTTCTCATCATAAGTGGCAAGAGGTGGCGATTCTATCATGTGGAAAGTGTAGGCATATCTTGTCAGACCGGACGTGTTCTTTTCCGACTTGTGAAGGACGGAACCGTGGATAATCACGAGTGCACCAGCTTCGCACGTCTCCAGCTTATATTCCGCTGGTGATGTGGATGGCTCGGTACGGTTGTCGCGCGAAAGGTCCAGTGGCTTCTCTGGTTTCTCTACTGGTTCAAAATCGGTTCCTCCTTGTGGCATCCGCACAAAACGTTTGTTAATATCTGTCGTCAGATGGGAACTGGGCAGGAACGATAATGCACCATTGGACGGGGTGCAACGCTCGAGAGCGAACCAAAAGCCCAACGCTGATGGTGGAGATGTATACTAACGGATGTTATTTGTAGAAAGATGAAACATCGTATTCTTACCAGGAAAGTGGAGTCATTGTGCTCGGGAACTAAATCTTGTCAGCCGCCAGGAATCCCAATAAGCAAGACGCACCTTTTCCACCAATCTCCGGCTGTTTGCAGATAACCATACTTTGAAGAACTGGGGAGCGGGCGGGTATAACGGATACGTTACGGTCCTCGGGAAACGTGCTCACCTAGAGGATCAGAGTGAAACTTCAACTGCCTGGCCAACGCCTGCAGCTTGGGGTTATTAAGTGTAATTTCACGAAAAATTGGATCAAGTTCGTGCAGTGCTAAAGCAATGTGAGTACTCGTTGGAATGGGTTTGGGGCGAAGCGTCTACCGTGTCCAATCTTGTTTACTGCTCTTTCTTTAGGCCGATTGAGCTTTCCATCAGTCACGGCATCCTCTTCCAGGAAATAGCGAATCTTATCGCCAGAGTTCAGGAAGTACTCGTCACCGACGTGCGCAGTATCTTCTCCAGTCGAGAATTTTGTCTCGATAACAGTCAGGGTGCTTAATCCAGTAAGTAGTGCTATCCACTCACCAATGGATGTCCTTCGAGGCTAAACTCTTCCAGTAACTGCTTTGAACGCGCCATGAGGGAATCAACCTCATCCTTGGATAGGAAATTTGGAATGACGAGATAGCTAGATTCAATATGTGAGTCGCTGGCGGCTCTGGCCAAGTATGTGCATACCCGTCGTCGTAGAACTGTGAGAAATGCGGTTAACGAGCAAGCTTATAAAGTGCATCGATGATTACTTGTTTAACTTGTGCATCACTGAGCACCTCTGTAGACGCCATAATCACGGTCAGCTCCAACTCAAGCGCGTCCAAACTCCGACTCGCCCACAGCCAAAGATGGCAGCACTCGCGGTAAAGGAAAACGGAGCGTTATCCCAGTACGTGTATATATACACAAAATCTCGTATTATATAGCTCAAATCGCCATAGACGCGACCACAATGTCGCTTTGGTTGAACCTGCCATGAAGCGCAGAAAAGTCGACGGCGCAGCCAACAACGCCGCACCTACAAAGCTTTCTTTCACCGATATATTGGAGAGGATTGAAGGGGAAGAGGCGTCTGCTTCGGGTACGCATGGCTCGCCCGCGAATACAAAGTCGCTGAACAAGCATGCATTCCTTCAGGCGTAGAGGGAGGGGCAGACCAATGGGATCGACTTCCAATGAAACCTATAAATGAAAAGACCGACACCATCGTGTTTCAACAGATAGACATCGAGCAATATATCGAAGCCAACCGACCCAAGCTCCGAATGTATGGTGTAACCGAGGTAGGCTATGGGAGTACCCAGCAACAATCCAATCTCATCAGTACCTAGGATGGACACAGCGTCATGGCCAACATCTACGGGTTTCTTCCATATTTCTACGTACACTGCCCTCGAGGATTTTTGGAAGAAGACTTGGGCCCTTTCCGTGAATTCATAAACGTATGTAATTCTTTCCATGTCATTGTTCCCCGAATAACTTGTTTCTTTCAGAAAGCAACGGATCCAGACGCTATCCTGGATATCCAGATTGTCAAGAAGAAAAGTATCTGGGGCTACCGCGGTGATACAGATGTACCATTCCTCAAGATTATCCTCTCTATCCCTCGACTTGTGCCAAAAGTTCGAGGCGCTTTCGAGAAAGGCGAGCTCGATTACAAAGAGCTCTTCAACAGAGGTGGCATGGGCACAGAAACCTATGAAAGCAACTTACTCTATGTCTTGCGCTTTATGGTGGATACAAAGGTACGCTCTGCATGCGGGTTTCATTTGTGCCTAACAGGTCGTCCTCAGGTCACCGGGATGAATTGGATCGAGATCCCAGCAGGAAAATATACCGTTCGGAAATCAAACAAGACCTCAGATTGTCAGCTCGAAGTTGATGTTCAATGGGACCAATTTATCTCGCATGCCCCGGAAGGGCAATGGTCACATATGGCTCCTTTCCGTATCCTCAGCTTCGATATTGAGTGTGCAGGACGGAAGGGAACGTTTCCAGACGCCAAAATCGATCCAGTGATTCAAATTGCGAACATGGTCACCCGTCAAGGTCAGTTCCTAACGTGTTCCCGAATATAACACTTACTCTGTCATAGGAGAGTCGAAGCCATTCATTCGCAACGTGTTCACATTGAATACATGCGCGCATATTGTAGGCTCTCAGGTCATCTCACACCAACACGAAGGGAACATGCTTCAGGCTTGGAGCGATTTCGTGAAGCGCGTTGACCCGGATATCATCATCGGGTACAATATCGCAAACTTCGACTTTCCGTATCTTATGGACCGTGCTGAAGCCTTGAAAGTCAAAGAATTCCCCTACTTGGGGAGGCTTACACGTACGTCCCTGTTGGCAGTTCTACCATGTCTTACCATCTACAGACTCGAAAACATATGTTCGCACAACCCATTTCTCCTCAAAGGCGTACGGTACTCGAGACTCCAAGGAGACCGTCCTGGAAGGGAGGCTTCAGCTTGACATAATTCAAGTGATGCAGAGGGACTACAAACTCAGAAGTTACTCTCTCAACTCGGTTTGCGCACACTTCTTGGGGGAACAGAAAGAGGACGTACATCACTCGGTCATTACTGACCTGCAGAACGGCACTCCGGAGTCTCGACGTCGACTTGCAGTTTATTGCTTGAAGGTCAGTCTGAGGGGCAGTCAAACGCTGGAATCTAACCTCGTCTAGGATGCATATCTACCACAAAGACTCATGGACAAGCTCATGTGCTTTATCAACTACACTGAAATGGCTCGTGTGACCGGAATTCCTTTCAACTACCTACTCTCCCGAGGCCAGTCGATCAAAGTCGTCTCACAGCTCTATAGAAGGGCAAATTCAGAGGGCTATCTCATCCCTGCGACTAAATCTGAAGGTGAAGCGACTGGATCTGTTGCTATCTCTTTGACTTATACCCTGCACAGGTGGTGAAGATCAGTATGAAGGAGCTACAGTCATCGAACCTAGTAGGGGGTTCTACAAGAAACCAATTGCAACCCTGGACTTCAGCTCGCTCTACCCTTCTATCATGATGGCTCACAATCTCTGCTATACAACTCTCTTGAATAAGGATACCATTGATCGGCTTGGGCTGATCCGTGATGTCGACTATATCCAGACACCCAACAAAGGTGAGTCCCAAGCTTGAAGTAATTCTAATTCTGATATTTCGTGAAGATTTTTTTGCGACGACAAAAAGAAGAAAGGGCCTTCTTCCCACTGTACTGGAAGACCTAATTGCGGCTCGTAAACGTGCGAAAGCTGATTTGAAGAAAGAAACGGACCCCTTCAAGCGTGCTGTCTTGGATGGTCGTCAGCTGGCCCTTAAGGTCCGTCTTTCGTTCGGCGCAAGATAACCCACTAACGGAATCACAGATTAGTGCTAACTCTGTATACGGTTTCACCGGAGCAACTATCGGCAAGTTGCCTTGCCTCGAGATATCCTCAAGTGTTACTGCATACGGCCGACAAATGATTGAACGAACCAAAACCGTCGTCGAGTCTCAGTTTTCCATCGCAAACGGTCGAAAGTGGGACGCACGTGTTATTTATGGCGATACGGATTCAGTTATGGTGGAATTTGGATGCGAAGACTTGGAGACGGCAATGGAGTGTGGTATGTAATGTGCCACCTCTTATTCTGGGCTCATAATCTTCGTAGGTCGCGAAGCTGCTGCGTTTGTGACAGAGACCGAGTTCGTCAAGCCTATCAATCTCGAGTTCGAAAAGGTCTACTTCCCATACCTACTCATCAGTAAGAAGCGTTACGCTGGTCTTTATTGGACGAAACCAGAGAAGTACGACAAGATGGATGCCAAAGGAATTGAGGCAAGCATCCAGATTTGTCGGTATCTCTTGACTAACTCGCTTCATAGACCGTACGAAGAGATAACTGTCGCCTTGTTTCTACTGTCATTGAGACGTGTCTGCAAAAGTTGCTCATTGATAAGGACGTCGAAGGGGCCGAGAGGTGAATTTCAACTATCCTCGACTATGTGATCTAACGCATAAAAAGCTATGTCAAACGAATGATATCCGACTTGCTCCAGAACAAGATAGACATGTCGCAACTAGTCATCACCAAAGCCCTGAGCAAAGAGAGTTCGTGAAGGCCCCTATCGATTTTCATGTTCTGACCATTTTGTAGCGTATGATGGAAAGCAGGCTCATGACGAATTGGCAAAGAGAATGCGAGCTCGTGATGCGGGTTCAGCTCCTGCGCTGGGAGACCGAGTACCCTACGTTATCATCAAAGGAGCGAAATGTCGGTATGAACATGCTCACCAGAACCATACTGACCCTTGGTTAGCCGCTGCTGCATACGAGAAGGCTGAAGATCCGCTTTACGTCCTCGAAAACAATATACCCATTGATACGAAGTACTATCTTGATAACCAACTAGCAAAACCCCTCGAACGAATCTTCGAACCTATCCTTGGAGACAAAGTCAGCCGACTCTGTACGTCTCAACTCTACAAGTGACTCGGTCTCATGTTTTACAGTGAATGGCGATCACACAAGGACAGTGCAGATCGCGACACCGACGACTGGGGGCCTCATGAAGTTTGCTGTCAAAACGGCCACCTGTCTTGGATGCAAGACACCTCTAAAGTCGACCAACTCTGTTCCGAGTATGTCGAGTTGGAAAATGGACATTTTGCTAACATCTATGACAGATGGTGCTGTTTGTAATAATTGCAGACCAAGGTTGCCCGAGCTCTACCAGAAGCAGGTCTGTCCCTGGATTTCAGCTTACCCAGACCTTCAACTCTTCGTAGGTTACGCAAAGTTCAAAGTTACAAGTATCTTTTGCTCGGTTGTGGACCCAGTGCCAACGTTGCCAGGGCTCCCTCCACCTGGTGAGTTACTTGAGTATATTCAAGGGAGAACGCTCACGTGAGGTAGGATGTTTTGTGTACGAGCAAAGATTGTCCAATCTTTTACATGAGGAAAAAAGCACAGCGAGACGTCGCAGACGCCGTGGCTACAATGAATAGATTCGAAGGCGAGATATGGTAGACGACTTTCGTATTGTAAGTCAGGATAACGCCTCTCAAGGATCCACATTGACCTCTTGAAAGTCTTGTACTTTACCCATTATTCAATCTTTAGTACTCTGACTCATCTTGCCGGACCGTCGGAACGACGCGCCTACGCGCTCCACCACTTAGTCCCCTTCCACCTTGAACAATGTCAGCACCAGACAGTGTTCTTCAAGGGCAAAAACCTGCTGAGGTCTTGATCGTTGGGTTTGGCGCTGTTGGAATAATCTGTAAGCATTGTTTCACTCAAGATGTGCTTTGACACTGCCTAGATGGCTACTTCTTAGAGTTACACAAGTTGGCCCGAGTAACAGCAGTCGCCCGCTCAACTTATGATAGCATCATCAGTATGCCTCTCACATTGACATAAGCTAGGCCTGATCTCGCGATAGAGGATGGAATCACAATCAAGAGCCTTAAATGGGGCGATATACAAGGATGGAGGCCATCAAGAGGTGACCTTGAACATTATTCAACCGCTGTAGATTCATTTCTTTCCAGTCGTACGAGCGATTGATGAATTGCTTGATTCACCCTTCGACTATGTTATCATCTCGACAAAAGCTATTCCGGAAGTCGCTACAACCCCTCATCTACTCGGATCCCTTCTAAGCGACCAATATCGCCACCCTCAGCCGGCTTATGTCCTTCTTCAGAATGGACTCGGAGTCGAAAAAGAGCTTCACGACACCTTGGCAGGGATTCAGCCACCGCCAATCATCATCACTTGCGCCTTGTATATCATGACAAACATCACTGCCAACGGGAGTGTTTCACACGGTTCATTTGTATGCTATCCTGCCAACTTTATTTTCCCAGTGCCTCATAAATTTCCAGGAGCGGGTGACCGCCGGCATATATCATCCCATTCCAAAGCCCAACACAGATATAGAGCAGAAAGTTCTCGAACGCTTCGTTGGGCTAATCACAAGTAGTAATTCGGAGGGCAAAATCTCGGACAATGTACTAGCGGCAAAGTATCTCAAGAACCTTTGGTAGGATTATCTTCTCTCCAGGTCCTCTCCACTTATTTTTATCAGGAATTCGACGTTTGGGATGTACAGTGTGCTCACGAACCTCAGTCCACTCCAGTGGATGCAGAATGACAAAGGGTTTGAGTACAGTAGAAACGTCATTCTATCCTTACTTCGAGAAGTCATCCTTGTCGGGCAACAGAGTGGCTTGCAAGCCGACTGGCCCGACGCAGAAGAATTCACGGATAAGGCCTTTGATCAGTTCAGGACTGGAACCGATTTCATTCCTTCTGCACTGCTGGACGTTAGATTGGGCAAGCCGTTTGAGCTCGAAGTCATTTTGGGGGCTGTCGTCCGCATGGGGAGAGAGCATGCAGTCCCAATACCAGTGAGACTATTTCATCTTGAAGCGCCCAGCGACTGATTCATTTGGAACAGCGACTGGAGTTGATGTATCAAACCCTCTATTTAGTGCAGTCAGATAAACTACGAAACAGTTTAGCGGCATCCAAGTGAATACATGATGACAAGAACGAATAATGCCGGCCTCTATATGGATACATGAGCATAAGGGGTCGAATAAACAGACGCGAGCAACAACAATCATTGGCCACGGACAAGCTGTACTTCTACGCCACTGTCAGACTGGTTCTACGCGTACGTAATTAACATACCTTGCATCATGCTACCCGTGATGGTGACAAGGTGGACAAAGTCGTGCTTGCCACAAGCAAACGAGCGGCGGTATTTGTATCCCCAAGCCTCGGAGAAGGAATTCCACATCTGTCGACGACGTGGCCAGCCATCAAACCAATTGCGGAGTGGCTCGATAAGGCCGTCTTCCGTGTCCGATGCTTCGCTTCCTGTGGCCACATCGATAGAATCTTCCGTAGAGCTAAGGGATAGATCTGGCTGAGCAGGAACAGGCAGGTTTGGGTCAATGATTTGCACCTGCGAGTTGCAAGTGAGACCACAGTCTAGACAACAGTCACAGCCAGGTCTGGACGGAGGTTAGCTAAGGCTCGATACAGTTTGCGATATACTCACTTTGTGGCATCGAAAAGACCATTGCGGAACGTCAATGCAATGTCGGAAATGGCCGGAATTTTGGGTATACGCTTAGCGAGGAGGGCAGTGATAGGAGCCAAAAGTGTGTTGGAAGGGTATCCAGGAAGCTGGATGCTGGTCAAAGGCGTAACAGATGAGCCCGGCATAATGTTACGGCGTAGCAGCATATGACACAACAGGTCCCAGCTGGGATAGCAGTGGAACGATATAGTTTCCAGGCGCGGGCAGCTTGAGGGCGACCGCAAGAGGACTTCACAGAAGTCGTTTGAATCCTTTCTTGCGTACGCTTCAGCAAACACGAGCGTACGAATCGAGGAAAATGTAGTAGTGATGGTGGAACAACGGCGGAATGTTACAGAAGAAAAGGATATGGATCCATCCCAAGACAACTTTTGAACGCGAGGGAAGCGACTTCCATGGAGATACTCTGTGGGCGTTGACTTTGCTTGTACGAGTTCGCGACTGTTGGGGGTACAACTCTGGGATCCGTCCGAAGATATTGTATCCACCCAGAGATCTTCTAGGAGTGGTAGATCGAGGTATTGCAGCAGCGTCTCGTTGGAGAGCCGGATGGACTGGAGGCTCGGGAGCGTGTACTTTGAAATGGAGGCATCCGAGGTCAGCTCGGAATAGCTGAGTTCGACCCTGTCCAGAAGCTTGAGGGTGGATAGATAGCGGAGCAGCGCTTCGACTGGTGGGGTTTCAAAGAAACCCAAGGTCAAGGTTTTGACCTGATTCATCCGGTCTCCGAGTGCGTGAAACAGGGCGACAAAGTGTTGGGTAGGAGATGGCATTGACTCGATGACGATGTCCGGTTGCTGGATAAAGTGAAATTCCTTGACTTGGGGAAGAGGCGGAAAGGTGGGCAGTGGTACCGATGAATCGTCCGTGCGCTCCACAGGATGATAAATTCGGAGATGGGACAGACTAGGAAGGTGCCGGAGGTAGCTGGCGTTGGCCATATCTGTCCAGGAGATGCGGATGTACAGCGTGGTCAACTGCGAGCCTCGCAGCGTAAGGACGGGTTTGATCGCGTTGAGCCCATTACGGATAAAAATGAGCGTCTTGAGGAGAGGGAGCTGAGTGATGTCACCCCATGGCGAGTCGTCGTCGACACGTTCCACAATGAAACGCGTGAGATTGTCGAACGACTCGAGCAGCTCGATATGCTCCAACGAGGAGCATTGGGTGAGCGTCGGGATAATGCCTCGGAGGGGGGACCCGGTCGTAAATCGGCGGAGATTTTGGAGACTGATAATATCCATGCCGAGCACTTCGCTTTCGAGGTTGAAGCCGAGCACGTTTCGAAGGGCCGGCATTACTGGAAAATTCTCTGGGGGGATACGCGGTGGGTATGATTGCTGGCCGTTGACGTATGCGAGCGTCTCGAGGGCCGATAGGCGGTCGAGTCGCTGTAATGCTTTCAAAGCTTGGGGGAATAAGGGCTCGCGCATGCTGTAGTCTCCGTCGTAGATGGCATGGTGTCGAAAATGAATTTCCTTGATCCTATGAGCGTGTGGTTTAAGGAGCTCGAGCCACCATTCGTCTTGCTGTGGCTGAAGAAAGACCTCGAGGATCAGCGGCGCGCTCTGCGAGTACTGGAGTCCCATTTCCACTCGACGGACGTTTCCAGTGCCCTGACCGATGAAGACACGCGTCCAGAAAGTGCTCGCGGACATGAGAAAATATCTCCAACGGCGCGACACTTGGAGGCACGAAAAGAGTCCGTCCGAGCGATCATGGGGCACTTCTGAAAAGCATTGTAAAAGGAGTTCTGGAGGAAGAAAGTCAAATGGATCTGGGAGAGTGCATGTTTGGCGTTGATGACGCTGACGTTGTGCGAGCCAGTTGTACTCGTTGCGCACGCGCGAGAGTTCTGGGCTTTCGTCGACGTGGTGTGGATTGTAGAGCTGATAGAACTGTCTAAGGAGATTTCTTTGTTTTAACACGCCCAGGTCCTGGCGTTGATGGGCCATAATCGCAGACGAGGCAGCTTCCAAGGGGGAAATCAGCCTTGGATCGGCGTGGCTTTGGTTCATCAACGGCGAGCGTACAGAGCCACCATCTCATTCACAGAACAGGCCCTTTACTCGCTCTAAGAGTAATCTCTAATAGCCCATCCGGGCCATTGTGACCCAAATCCCCACATGCCTATCCTGGTCCAGGGGCTCGTATGTGATACACATCCGCGACATGTCCCATTTACGCTGAGACAGCGCGTCTCCACCGGCCTGGATGTGAGCGGCCTCGTCAATCGGCCTTCGCCGCCCAAGTCCATAAAGACCAGACGGCCGCTCTATAGGTACCGGCGCCAGCGATAGCGACAGGTATATCCGAGGTGCACTCCTTCGTTTTGGGATATCCGGTCATCCGGATCGTCGGTGTCTTTCAGCGTGTGAGAATGGCATGCGCAAGCTCGGCATATCAATCGCATTCTGCGTTTAGCAGGAAGCTACGTACGATGCGATAAGACGATTCTGGACAATAGACAGCAAATTGTATACGAGCTCAAGGCACTAGAAGCACGTTAGAAGCAATAAGACCGCGCAGGGAGGCCACATACCGTGACTGAGCATCCTTGTTGCTTGCCTAGTCGCACGACCTCGCCAAGGATCACCTCCAACTCGAATGGCTTGTTATTGGTGATATCGAGGAGTGCAGACGCTTTGAACTCTTGGGGTGTCCGAGTTGTCGATACCCGTTGGAATTCGGCATTAATCTTGTCTTCCACCACCGTCGCTGGCAAATAGGTCTCGTCATACCCAAGTGATCTACCAATAGCCACAATTTCCTCCATCATATTCTTGACGAGTCCGTATGCCAGCTGAGACGACTTTGAATCCTGCACCCACTGGTCAGGAGGCAGCCGAACAAGACAACTGACCATCCCAATTGATGCATTCCTAGGGATGGTGAGACAGTCTTCTAGAATGTTTCTAGGCATACCAGAGATTCTTGTTAAACTTTGCTGCGGCTATATCCTTGACACTCGAAGCTTCGAAGCCACTTGAATTGAGTAGATCAACAAATGCAGAAATTCTAGAATCTACGACCTGTGATTGCGCTGCGTTTGAAGTGTTCGTGTCTGGTCTATATGCACCAGCGATAACCTTGTCCTAAGAAAGCCGAGTTGATGCAATCGGGTGCAAATAGACTAATCTTACCGAGGCAACGTGAATCACCGTTCCGTTTTCCAATACGTTGGCCATGATGTAGAGGGCACAGGATATGATGAGTGGTCGAGCGGATGGCGTCGCGTTGCTCTCTACTTGTGATTCAATCGCTTCCTGCAGTTCCTTTTCTACACCCAATCCGTTTTGAAGCAATACAAAGGTTGGTGAAGAGCGAGGGAGCTGCTGAATGACCAGTCGCAGTATGGCTGGGGTGCTAGAGATTCCCGGAACAACCTTGGTGCACACAAATACATAGTCAAATTCGAATGGATACGCATCCTCGATACGTCTGACAACTTGGTGGAGATGAGCTGTAGGATGATCAAAGAGTAGTCAATCTTACCACGAGAGGGTTTCCAGCTTTCTATCTTGCCCCACCTCGTACTTTGAATGGTAATTCCATCCCCTATAAGCCGTTAAAGCGTCGTCAAGGGGGGTCGTAGAAACATACGGAGAATGGCGTCGTATTTACTTCGCGCCACTGCCGTGATTTGGGCCTTGCCGTGATGTTCAAGGAGATAGCTATCTGTTCTTTGAGTCAACATAGGAACAAAAAATGAATGAATGACCTACAAATGATACCCACGGCGCCAAACCCCACGACCAGAATACGGGGGATTGGATCGACACTTTTTTCAGACATTATGATCTGTTGCAGGGGATCTTCGAGAGAGAGACAAGCAAAGACAAAAGGATGTCACTTTGGCGGTCATTTATAGAGGACCCGGATGTGCAGGTGACATTCCTCAGGGTGTCGTCCAAACGGCTCTTTCAGCCTATCAGAATGCTATTAAGTGGCCGAAAGTACCCTCTCGGTGAGGATTAAGGTGAATTTAATCTGTTTGTGGATTTCGGGGCTGAGCCACCCTGGCTTCGGAGCGTCGGGCCTGCAAAGTCTTTTGGGCGGGCGGATCATAAAGAGTGAAGGATGATGACCGGCAGACCAAAACATGTCACGAGGACTCTTATGCTCCTTCTGTGCTTGGCGTCGAAGTGGCGTGATTAGTTGCTGGACTAGCACAGTGGATGACTCATGAATGGCGTGAATGGCGGTCATATTCTTAGTTTTGAATACAAGTATGAACATAATCAAATCCTAGCGCTCTATGTCGACTGTCAGTTGTAAGTAGCCGTCACACTCACATCTCGCTAATTTGCAAAGAGGGTGCGGTCTCTTGAGACAATAACATACTTCAGCATAGAAATACCTCCTCTGAGCGACTGGCCTGTTCTGGTTATCTTCAGTTCGCGGCTTTAACCTGCCGAGCCCGATCCTCCATCATCAAAATACAAGAAAGAGTCCCTCTCAACGTGTTCTATCATCAACGAATTCTCATAACCAGCTTGTAGGGTCCATGATGTCGCGGTCGGAAGCAAGCCAATGTGCCACCGGAATCAATGATTATTGAAGAACCTGAGAGTTTAATCAATTAGTTTGTGAGAGTTTACAGTGTTATACACGTCGCATGAAGCCCATCGACGCATTCGCACAGCTTCGACCCAAACTTTCTAGACCGTTCCAAGGTTGTTGTCTCTAACTGGCTCAGAGATCCCTTGCAGTGACCTAATCGGTTATTGTCAATACACTCCACCACTCGAAGCAGTCTACACATCATTAATAGGCCAGCGCTTGACACGGAGTCTTCATTCTCAAATGTTTTCTCTTCCAAAGCTACCCACGCAACTACCAAGATTCGGAATACTGGGTGACGATGCAAAACTAGCGTTTCGAACGAGCGCCGGAGGTCTTCGTCGACTCACTGAAGAGGTGCGCAGCTTGTTTGTAGCCACCTAGGGTTGAGCTAAGAATATCAGACTATTCCACTATCAGATGAGAACTACTGGTTACAGTATACGACGCTATTCGACACTGCAGGAGAAGCATTCACACTCATCAATCCGAGCGACAGTAAGTCTCAACGCGCATTTCCAGGTTTCTACTGACACTGCATATTAAGTATATCGCTCGCTCCTTCATCGTCCTGAGAATGTGGCCACGTTGCTCACCTATCTCATCACAAAGTTGTCAAGCCTGCTCGGAGATCATACATTCCCTGCATCGGCGCCATCCATCTCTTCATCTCTCAATCCATTAAACTCGCTTCCTATCAACCTAGGAGGAAACACGGACCGAAATCCCACTAAGCAGGTTCTCAATTGCATTCGTGTAATCTCTAGGATACTCCCGTCATATTTGGATTGGAGGTACCTGGATGGGAAGAAAGTCTCATGTGGAAACAACGAACAGTCGTTATTCCACCGCCATCGGCAGGGGGAGGCTACGGACAGCGACTCGATGAAGCTCCTCAATTCGTGATAGATGATGAAGAGGAAGAGGAGAATCCGGTTCCACTCAGATTGCATCTCAACCTGCTTCGACAGCGGAACCCACGACGCAAATCCAACCCAGCTTGGCAGAGCAGCTCATCAATACCCTGATTGACTTGCTCTTTTGCTGTGGTTTCACTTTACCTGAAAAGACTAGAATGGACCACCACAAATTTCAATACGTGATATGGTTTGTCACGAGACTTCTAAGCGTTCATAAAGACTCACCTTGCCCAGGGAGAAAGGCGTCGGCTCGTCATTAACGCCCTCTGCAACCTCCCGCGAACAATCCTATCTCGACTCCAACCGCACCGAAGTTCTTCGACTCCTCCTCATTCTCCTATCGAAACAGATTTATCTTTCCCCTTCAGCTATTGCGCACACTCCTGCACTCTATACGAAATATTTGGTGCAAAAGGTGCCGAGAAAGACGGTACTCACTCTTCTCTGCTCTCTCCTGAACACTGTTGTCAATTCCTCTACGACACGACCTCAAGGAACCGCCACCAGCGCCTTTAGTGCTGGAATAGCGGGTGTAGGAAAGGGACTCACAAAGGGACTCAACCAACTCCCGTATACGCAAGCATTAATCGGAGAAGATACAAAGGAAGCATTAGTTTCCATCGCAAGCCAGGTTCTCATTGTGACGTTGGACTATCAAAGCAATGGAACTCTGACTAACTCGGTGGGTGCTTCCACAGGAGAGGCACGTAGTCCGCCTGAGGACCCTGCGTCGACTCAGCCATCCGCAAAACGCAACCATTTCCGCTACTTCTTATCCAAAATCCATAAACCGGCTGATTTCAACTATTTATTAGAAGGCATCGTTGCTATTCTTAGTGAGTTTTATCCTTTCATTTTCGTCTGTCTGACATTGGCCAGGTGAGGAGATTGGGCGGGCAGCAAGCATTATTGGGATGGGTTTGGGTGCTTTACAGACCGTTGGGGTCGCCAATTCGCCAGCGCCGTCTGCGAGATTGGCGGAAGAGGTCGTGATCCTATTATGGCAACTCTTGGAGATAAACAATGTGAGTGCAGACTACGGATACGCGCCACTTTCTTACCATTATATACCAGAAATTCCAAAAATATGTGATCAACGGCGACCGGGCTGTTGACGTGATGGCGGCACTCTTGTGTTTGCTAATGGAATTCAAGGATAACTCAAGTACGTTCCCCCCATTCGACTTTCTGTACTGATCAAGAACCCGCAGAGTCCCATGGGATTTGCCGTGCCTTGAGCTACATGGTCCAATCTCTTACCGCCGATCCCAGTTTCGGCCCGCAACTCTCGTCGGTCACGATCAAGATTCCGGTACCGGCTAAATGGAATATTATTGGCACGGCCACTGATTTCTTCGTCTCGGTTAGCCTTGGCGCATTCTATTGACTTATTTCTGACACTAAGTAGTCCATTTATTCCATCATCTCGCCCGCGGGAGTGCCGAAAGGTCAACCGCCTGGTCAATTTTCATCAGCATATCCTGCATTGGTGATATCGATCGCAAACTGCGCACCTTGCTTCAAAAACCTGAGCACCAACGCGAGTAACAAGCTCGTCCAGCTTATTACAGCATTTTCAGATCCACGAATGCTCCTTGCAGAGGAAGGAAACCCTCGCCTGGTTTATTTCATGTACGTCCTTTGAGAGATTGTGAGCCCTCTCACATTTCCATCTAGGCTCGATGCGCTCAACTCAGTCCTCTATCGGAACCCATCACACAATCCTCATTTACTCTACTCAATCGTGCGCGCTCATATGGTTTTCCAAGATCTCGGGACCTTCACACTGAAGCGTGGTCTGCGTGATGCAAAAATGCGTCAAGAGGACGAGGAAAACACTACGCATTCGCGCACATCTTCCGTCTCAAGAGGGAAAAGGATAGAGACAGGGAGTGAATCAACGGGCGCACATGAGGAAAAGGCTCGACTCCTCGCTGCGGAAGGTCGACGTCAGAGTGATGTAGAAGACACTACCAACTCTCTCGAACAGTTGCGAATTTCTTCGCCACCCCCCACGGGACCGAGTACCTGGGCAGAACAACGAAGTCCTGTTACGCCAAATTCACCAGGGCTATCTGAGAAGGCTCGTGGAAAGATGAGGGAGCGGCAAGAGAGCCTCGATATGGACGAGTCGACTGTACATGCAGCAGCAGTCGCAATTGGCAAGAATGGATTTGTGCCGACTCAAGAATGGGTTACCTCATGGGTCAGAGGGTAAGCTTTATTCCTGAACTAAGGGGGTTGTGTTGACTGTTTCCTATAGGTTACCACTGGATCCCATCATGTTAACCGTCTCGGAGCTACTTCCAAAGATACAAGAGATCCAAACATCGATGAACAGACCGTCAACCAGTCCGGCTGTTCTCGACTTTCTACGTGTGGTCAATCTTTCGCCTATTCTCCCCGAGCGTCCTCCAACGTCGTCTAGACCATTCTTGTGGACTGATTCATCCCTTGTTTGGACTACTTCGCTGATATGGGGGGATATCTTTGTGAAGAACATGTCACCTCTAGGAGTCTGGAACGGGACCAATGTCCGCTTGTTCTACATCAAGCAGGCGCAACCAGTAAACCGCCAGCTTACAGACGCGGTTTCCAATGTGATGACTGGGCTGTTAGGCAGGTCAGAGAGCCCGGCGCGGACTACATAGATATACCGTAGATTTGTCTGTACCAACGCTGTTACCGGGACTCTGCAGAGTCGTTGATATGTTTGCAATTTGCTGATAAATAATCTAATTTTATTTGTTGTGGAATGGTCGAGCGTGGCAGCATTGCATCTTGCCGTCTACTTCGACGGTCGTGCATTTCTAGGTCCCCGCCGCAGCGTCGCGTTTGTCCAAAGCTCGAGAAAAATCAACGATTATTCTTCGCTGGAAGCATCGAACAAGACTGATTCTTCCTCTCCTGTTCATGCCACTTTGAGATTCCCAGTCTCCGGCACGATGAACAACGAGTCCAGCACGCCCGCCGCGTCTACACCGACCCAAGCACAGTCACAAGGGACTCCTCGTGATGGGAGCAGCTCACTTCTCACCATCGTCAAGGCCCAGATCGTGTTTTTACTCTCCACGCTGACGGGTGCGTTTCGCGTCCATTAACTTTGACTGTCAACTCGCTGACGACCTCGTGTTTCTCTCAAAATATTGCAGAGGATAACTTTGAGAGAAATCAGACCGACATTCGTCGTGTGAGTCATCTAAACAACGCCGTGTGCAGGTTGGACAGGGGCTGACCATGTTCTCTCCTACGAATTCATCATCGTAGTTGTCTGACCAACATGGATTGGAGACTTATCTTCACTTTCTTCGCCGCCTCATTTCTGCAACCGCCAGCCGGGTCATTGCGCCTAACCCTCCAGCATCCTGGGACACGTCCACAATCCTTACGTTTCGGCTCTTGGTCCAAGAAACCCAGCGTCTAGCTCGGGATCCTTTTCTTGCGGATCGTTTCCGTGAAGCAATTGACAAGGCCGACTCTGAACCTTTTCGCCATTTCGAACTCATCCGCTTCGTGGATCGTATCGGTTTACAGCCCGCAGAACGCTTTGTTTTAGCCAGTTCCTTGCTTAGTGCGACGACAAGGCGGGATCTCGTTCAGCAGGCAAACTCGCTCATCCGCATGAATTTTGAGCAGGCGCGTCTGGCGTTGCTGACGCACCCCACGTTTGAATCCGGAAACCTCAGTCCCCCTCAAGTTTCCAAATTGCTTTCTAACCTTTTGTGCGACCCTCCTCAAGACGCACCTGTCCTAGACGCTGCTCAGCGTCAGGGTCTATTGGCCGCTGTAACGCAAAAGTATGGGGCCGAGTTCCTCATCCCTGTCCTGAAGCAACTACTCCCACGCCTTAGTCTTCCTCCCAACGCGCGAATGGACGAAGTTCTCACTCAGCTCGGACCAGAGCTTACGGCGGACACTGAAGTCGTGCGTGCGCTGTTCCTCCGGTTCAACATTTCCGATTCCAACCCTCCGACGGATATGCAAGTACTCGAAGTCATGAATCGACTTGCGCGTAATGCGGTCGATGGCAGCCCAATGCCAGACATTCGGGCCATCGTGCGCGCGTTCAAAACTTTTGTAAGCCCTCTGCGCATATCGAGATGGGTTGTTTCTGACCAGTATCAGAATGTACCTATTCAATGGGACAAGGCCATACGTGTGCTGGATCGTCCTGAACGGACCGGTATTGACACCCCGACCCTGAAGCTCATCGTCGCAATCCTATCAGAGGCACATCGTGGAGTAGCTGGGTTCTGGCAGATATGGAACAATGCGCTCTATCAACTTCGGCTTATCGACGCTCTCCTTTCCCTCCCATCTGACACCTTCTCATTTTATGGACTCCCAGGGAGGACTGTTGTCACAGTCGATGACGTTGCCAATGCTAGCCCGACCATCAAAGCATTGGCCCAAAATGTCCAAAGTTCGACGTGGAACTCGCTTGATCTCTTCGAGCTTCTTGTCAAGCTCGATGAAAGTGACAGCGATGCAGTCAAGGCACAAGTACGAGAGATGCTGGACCGGGCGGTCAGAGTCAGTGCTGAGTTGGTTCATATGGGCTTGTTACAAGTTCCTGTACGTGCTCTTTGTGTTCGCGGTATTCAGTCTCTTACCCCACCTACAGAAACCTTGGAATGCAGTCCAACGAGAGTATTCTAATCGATTGCTCTCAATGTTCCTTGCTGGTCATCCAAATCACCAGCTCGTGTTCATGCGCATTTGGCAAATCGATCCTCAATACCTTCTCACGGCCTTCCGTGATCATTACAACGATAACCCGATCAATATTACCCGTATTCTGGACGTTGCTCAAGATCTTAAGGTGCGTTTTGACTCTGTTTAGGTGCTGATTTTTGGCTAAAGAAATGATAAAAGCAGATACTTGAAGCGCTTCTCGAGGTTCAACCCTTTGCCTTTGCCCTGGATGTCGCCGCGCTTGCCTCTCGCCGCGAATACCTAAACCTTGACAAGTGGCTGGCGGATCATGCCGCGACTCATGGAATATCCTTCATTCGAGATATGGTCGAATTTCTGAGGGTGAAGGTTCAGCACGAACAAAGCAGAATGTACGACATGACTGCTTCGGAGAGCAGGATGATGTTACTGAATGCTCAAACCGTGTCTATCTTCCTTCGTGCCATGAAGGCATTCGCCACCAGTCCTGCGTAAGCTCATAGTACCCACGAATTACCCGATCTGACTACAAAGCAGCGGGTCTGCCCTCACGCCTGAGGAGCACGAACATATGATCGAGGTCCGCAACATTTGCCTCCAAGCACATCCACGTTTAATGTCGCTCGTCCCAAATTCGGATGTGGAGCCAGGTTCTACTGTCATTGTCTATGCTCCAGACATCGAAGCCGAAGTGGAGGCGATCTATCGCAAGCTCTATGCCGGTTCTCTGGCTGTAGAGGGGCTGTTATCTGTTTTGCAAGCAGCTAAGGCGTCCGAGAACACTCGAGATCACGAGATCTTTGCTGGCGTTTTGCACACCGTCTTTGACGAGTACAAGTTCTACCCAGAGTACCCGCCACGAGAACTGAGGATCACGGCTCATCTCTTTGGGTCGCTCATCCAGCATCATCTGGTTGAAAATGTTCCGTTGGGGATCGCAATTCGCTGCGTCCTCTCGGCGATCAACGATCCAAACCTCTTTACCTTCGGCGTGCAAGCCCTTAGCAGATTCCATTCACGACTCATCGAATTCCCTGGTGTCTGTCACGAGCTCCTCGGCATGCAACACTTTGTCGACTCCCAACCAGAGCTGGCGGAGCAGGTACGCAGAGCGCTACGCTATGCAGAGAGCGGCGTCATGGGCGAAAACGGAGGCCCGCTAGTCTTCTCCTCTATTCTTCCAGATGATCTCAGTGCGAGCACTGTCGAACCATCTGAAGAGGTTTCGGACAAGATCTTGTTCATCGTGAACAACCTTGCTCTATCCAATTTAGAGAGCAAGACGACCGAGATGAAAGAATGGTACAGAGATGACTTGGCTAGGTGGTTTGCCAAATATCTTGTGGAGGAGCGAGTGAGCACCGAGCTCAACAATCACTCCCTCTATCTCCAATTTCTCGATGCGCTTGCCAAACCTCTTTTGCAGAAGTGCATTCTGCATGAGACATTTGTCAAGTCTGCACGGCTCCTAAACGACGAAAACACGCTCTCTTCGTCTACGGATCGCAATATCCTTAAAAACCTCGGAAGCTGGCTCGGAAGGATCACTCTAGAGCGCGATAGACCTATCAAGTTCAAAAACCTTTCCCTCAAGGACCTCCTTCTCGAGGGTTACGACTGTCAACGGCTGCTTATCGTGATTCCCTTCACGTGCAAGATCCTTGAAGGGACAAAGCAATCTACTGTTTTCAAAGCCCCTCATAATCCTTGGCTTATGCCCATCCTCGGCCTTCTTGTGGAGCTCTACTTTAATGCTGACCTCAAGCTGAATCAGAAGTTCGAGATTGAGGTCCTTTTCAAGGACCTTGATCTAGTCATGGACGACATAGTACCAACGTCACTCCTGAATACACGGCCACGGGGAATAGCGGGAACGGAAGGGCCGGAAGGCGACATTGGCGGTAATGACCAAGGAGCCGTCATCGATGGACCTAGCCGATATAGCGCATCCCTCAACGGAGATCAAATGCCGAACCCGATGATCAGTGATCCAGACATTTCCATTCACCTTGACGGACTATTGGCGGAATTACGAACTCGCCTCTACTTTGAACCAGAACTCGAGAGATATGCGGCTAGCCCAAGATTCCACAGGATGATCCAAAACGTGTTTGAGAATGCGACACGAGAGACATGCGTACGTAATCTGCGTGTTACAAAGAGTGCAGGATTTTATATCATCTTCAGATTGTGCAGCCCGTTGTCGAACGATCTGCAAATGTAGCGGCAATGTCGGCCGCTAACATTGTCTCCAGAGATTACTCCACTGAAGGGGACGAGACGAAGCTAAAAAGAGCCGCACACAATATGGTTCGCAGGCTTGCATCTGGTCTTGCCCTCGTCACAGCGAAGGAAGTACTTAGACAGACACTCGTCAGCACGTTCCGCCAAGAGTTGGCGGATCCGCAATGGGAGCAGGTACGAGATTGTGAGATTTGATTATACGCGACAATAACATCAGAGCAGGTCGTCTTCCCCGAGCAGTATCTGCAGATGCTCATCGAAAGTAACCTCGAGCTGGCATGCTTGGTCGTGGAAAACATTGCCATTCGACGAAGTATCCAGGACGTGGACCGTATCCTCGATCCTGAATACGAAGCGCGACGAGCCCACCGTCAGGTATGTACAGGAGCGGGTCTCATAAGCAACCCTGACACCCTTTCAGCGGCGCCCGGCGCATCCGTTCTGGAATCCTAAGAACCAGCTACCGGAGGTTGCAGCATCTATCCCATTGCCGTTGCGAATCCGTCCTACGGGCGTGACTGATGAACAGATACAGATTTACGAGGAGCTCAGTCGATGTCAGTGTCCAATCTCTATCGCAGGGTCTCTACTGACCTCCTGTGCAGCCCAAGAGTCTCGAAGCAGAAACGCTCGCCCAATTCCTCCCAAGATACCCCTGCAGCCCTTTCAGGCTCTCCCCAGAGGCCAATATCCCCCAGCGATCACGCCCCCACCCTCCCAGCGTCTCGACGGTGGACATCAACAGTCGCCGCCTATGCTGACACCAGACCAAACGTTGACTGCCATCGAGCGCTACTTCAGCGAGTTTGACGCGGTCTGGAACATGGCTCGCGACGGCGATACCAATGGGCTTCCGAGCGGCGAAGACCTTATTGAGCAAATCTGGATCACGATTAACAATTCCGAGATCAAAGAAGAAGCTCAGCACTTCGTCTGCCAAAAGCTCGTTCAAGTCCTCCTATCTACCAAGAGCGACGCGGCGCGGCATGTGTATGCTGGATTCCTAGCGCAGTTGCAGCTTGCTGGGGTAAAGAGTGCCCAGGATGCTGTGGAATGGTTCCTCGCGACGGAAGACAAGGTACGACTTTTTGTTCTATCCGCAAGCTTGGCTAATCTATTGCGCAGAGGAAATGGAATTTCGCGACTATCGTCGAACTGGTCGGAGCGGGGGCGATCAACCTTGATGACTATGAGGAAATGCTCGTCTCGGCTCTTTATCCAGAGGGCGACCCTATCGTCGTTCAGTTCGCTATCCGACTTGTTCGTCATTTCCTGCTCAGAGACTTCCCGGTGCGCACCTGGAATACTTCCTTCCAAAGGACCTTGGAAGCTCTCAAGGTCCTCGATAGGCAGGGAAAGGCACCAAAGGACGAGTGAGTCTTCTTTCTCCAATGCTGCATTACGGCCTACTGAATTGTCTAGGGTCCCTCTACTCCTTGACCAACTGCGCGTGGATATGCATACAATTGCGACCGTTAATGCTTCCATGCCCGCTGCTTTTCATCAACTCTACCCACGACTCGAGGAATTCTTCGAACACTGGGTACAAATCTTCCAGGGACCATCCGCTGACCGCGATTTCCTCTTGTTCGCCACTGAACTCGAAGCTGGAAGAGTCCTCAAGAGTGACGAGACTACCGCCATGTTCTTCCGTGTCTGTATGGAGGTCAGCGTCAGCCGCTATGTGCAGGTCACCAAGCGAGGGACTACGATCAACCCATATCTCTACGTAGACGCTTTTTCACGACTCATCATCCTCATGATCAAGCATAATGGCGAGCCAATGGACAAAGAGCATAACCTCAAGCGCGTCCTCACTATTGTGCTCCTGGTTATTTCTCATCAGCACGAGGAGTTTGGCGCGAGATTCCACCAGAAGCCGTTTTTCCGCTTCTTCTCCAGTCTTCTCTCCGATCTTCATTCGTTTGAAGATGGCTTCGAGACGGCTTATTTCCCAATGATGATGAACATCTGGTGTGTATAATCTTTATCTCGTCTGAAGTTACTAACACCAATCTAGCGAGACATTACATTCTCTCCAGCCTATCTACTTCCCAGGCTTTGTTTTCTCTTGGATGGCTCTCATCTCACACCGTCTGTTCTTACCCAAGATGTTGATCACACCCAATGGCCAGGTGTGTATAGGTGTCCTACATTGCACCAGCATCAGGACTAATAAACTTCTAGGGATGGCCAGCGTTCTGCCGACTTTTGGTCGCCCTCTTCACGTTTGCAAATCCTGTCCTCAAGTCAGGCGACCCGCGTAATGTGGTCGGGCTCAGACAAGGGATTCTTCGCATCCTCCTCCTTCTTCTTCACGACTTTCCCGAGTTCCTTAGCGAGAACTACTTTCAGATCTGTGAGGCAATTCCCGTCAATTGTGTTCAAATGCGCAACATTGTCTTGTCCGCATTCCCTGGAACAATTCTTCTTCCAGATCCTCACCCAGCTGGCCAGTTGGAGGCTCTTCGAGAGACAAGCCAAGCACCTGTCATCGCGACCGACTATAGGTCCGCATTGAAGGCGTCTGATCTTCATGCCCTCGATCTTCAGCTCCTTGGACGAGGGAATCTCGCGATCATGAATCAGCTCGTCGCTCGCTTGACTGTTCCATCAGACGATACAGGCGATAGGTATGACCTCGGCGTCATGAACGCCATGGTTCTATACACTGGAGTTTCAGCAGCGGCGCAAGCATTTTCTCGCAGCGAAGTTGGGGCCTTTTCGCGGACTGACCCTGGGGCCGTGTTCATCCATCATATTGCATCATCATTAGATCTTGAGGGTTCGTCTCATTTCTTGTGGTTGATCCGATCCTCACGTTTCGTTAGGTCAACATCACCTCGTTGGTGCTATCGTCCTCAATCTCAGATTTCCGAGCCACCATACATTCTGGTTTAGCGATCTGCTTCTCGACCTTTTCGCCCAAGTCAAAGACGAAACGTTCAAAGAGGTCGTTACCAAAGTTTTGCTGGAACGTGTGCTCTGTCATAGACCACATCCATGGGGAGTGGTCATGACGCTCATCGAGCTCATCCGCGACCCAAAGTGCGACTTCTTCTCGCACAAATTCACTCGTGCCTATCCCGAAATTCATGCAATGCTTCGCAAAATTAGCACCCACGTCGACGCCGCATAGACCAGACTTCTTCACGGCCCTCTCAAAAGGCTGCTGGTAACAGGGGTTTCAACCTTTTCCAGCACTGTCACGACTCTTCACCTGTGGTTCATTATTATCAAGTTGTATTTGCACCTCCTGGTTGCTTCTACTCAGCATCTCTTTCCTGGATCGTCATCTTGTCTTTGTGTACTGTAGCAACTGCTGTTTGCTTTTTATGTCATTTACTTACTGTGTGAACCAATTGGCCTTGAGAGAGTAGAACAGTCACTTGGCCGCTTCCCAGTCTGACCGTTACGACACAAGCCTTGCCGTATGGCCACGCTGCATACACTAGTAGACAGTAGGTTACCTTTTTCCTGCATTCAAACGAAGAATTCACGTCGATTGTAAAGAGCGTGTGCTTTTAGTGATGCAAGATGGACGAGTGATCATGGTGCGGACCTGAGAACGCGCAAGAGAAACGAGACTAAAGGTTTTTGACCGCTTCAGGGTAATCTCGTCGGATGGGACCAGCGATCCAACATCGTCCTCGCCGACTGTGTCGAGCGACGATTTAGCCAAGAAAGCGGAGCCACAGACTCGGCGTTGGGTGTCTACATGGTCAAAGGAGATCAAATGTAAGTTTTCTTTCGTGTTTCAGTTGGGTCTCTAATAGGGCTGTCCGTATAGATGTTTGGTTGGCGAGGTCGACGCGGCTATTGAGGAAGCAACAAGCTGGTCCGAAATCAAAGTTGACCCTCTTCCAGCTGTACGCTACGGTGATGCGTAGTTGACCGTCTGGTCTCTGTGATTACGGAGGACAGGTCGCTTGGAGTTCCAAACCGACAATGTATCCACTCTTGAACTCTTCGTAAATATAACGCTCATACTTAAACAAACACAAAGTTCATGCTGACGGTGCCACATGATTTTCGAGATCACTCGAATGGATCAGGAGGACAGAAATTTCTTGCGTGAGGGAGAGCTTTGGTCGAGCAAAATGTGTTGGGTTAGAAACGTGCTGATCACACTGCTTGGCACTTGAAGGGGACAGGCGCTGGTACTTGGACTCTGCCATATCGAGCGTTATCATCCAGACGCAGACTTAGTTTAAATCGAAATGAATCCCGACACATCTCATGACGTGCAGTAGCTTGAACGCGAAAGGCTCGTTCTCCTTGCTCAAATCGAAGGCGTACCCGACAAATCCGACTAGCAGACCACGACGAGACGAGATTTGCTCTTGAAGTACAACGAGACCACGCATCAATATCAATACGCTGTCGACATTTCTCATAATTACTCGTCGCCGGACAAATTGCCACCAGAGATTCGGCTCAAGATCATCCGAGAAGCGGCTTCTAGCGTTGATAGGTTCCAGGACTATAGAATATTACTGATTTTGACGCTAGTATGCCAGAAGTGGGCCATATTTATTCTGAAATCTGCACCACTGTGACGAGAGATAAATATCCGTCCAGATGCAAGGGATTTCTATGCAGTTTTAGCGCTTCAGCTCGAGCTATCAAAGCCGTCCTCTCTATCTCTCACATACACATATAATTCGAGGTTCATTCATCAAGCATTACCCCCTTTACTCCCTTCGATTGGCCGCATCGAGGAATTGGCAGTGTATAGCTAGAACTGCTCAAATATCGATCCGCTTCTAGGGAAATATAAGCTCACCTCGTTACGACATATCTCAGTGTCGGGTGACGGGATAAACGAGATGCTATCGTTTCTTTCTCGACACCTGCCTCCTAACACTACTACGATCTCTCCGTGGATGTAGCAGGGTCCCACAATCAATTCACAGTCAAAGACGGAGAGATGACGAAAATCGGCAGCCCCTTTTCAGAAGCCACTCTTGAGTGGTTGGAGAATTTTCCTTTCATGGAGCATGTGTCAATGTTACAATATCGTGAAAGTCGCAATATTGGAAGACCGTCAGCGGTACAACTCAGCAGAGCGCCTCGTTGGTTCAAGCATCCCATGCTCATCCGTATCTCTTGGAGTATCGTGAAGCACCTAGCTAGTCACTCTGCCTCCCACCTGGAAGCGCTTGATATAAGCATTGGCGTCAAAAGATTGCCCCTCCCATTTCAGATGCTGGATGAGCTATATGTTCTTGACCGGCTCGCTGTTTACCTATTATTGGGGTATGATGAGAACGCCTGGAAAATAAAAGATGCAGATATGCTACCTCATACAAGGCTCAAGCAACTGGCTGTCACCATTAACATGAGTGGATTCACAATATTCAAACCTGCACCAGACTTGACGCCACTTATGAGCTCGTTTCTCGCAAAGATTCCCAAGACAGAAGTGATAACTATGACAAGACTATACCCAACGCCACTCGACCTGACAATATTCTCCACCGTTCTATATCTTAGGTCCCTCAGGGTTTATAGATATCGTTCAGTCACGGGCGAGCAACCTTGCAAGCGATGCCACATCCAATCGTCTTCACTCACTGAATTATTTATATCTGGGCTCGTTTCTATGATTAATACCTTGAGTAACAGTTCCGTCAAATATCTGTCTTTTGAGGAAGGTCGCCTAGTGGCACTGGAAGAAGCTCAGGATAGAGATATTTCTATTTCCGACGAAATTGGGAGTCTTTGACTGACCTGACAATCGGTGACCAGGTCCAGGATTCGTCATTACGATTTGCCCATCTCCAGATGACAAGGCTTCATAAGCTCTCCATCAGGCAAGCATCGATAGCTGGGAGTGTTTTCTACCGATTAGCTCTGAGGCCGGATGATTTATCGGTTCTCACAGAGTTAGAGTCCTGGACTGTTCCGTAATGGGATATATTTGTCATGATGCTACAAAAGCGTCTGTTTGCCCAAGATAGAGGAGTTCTTCCATTTCAGAAGATTGCACTTTATACAAAACTCCCGCGGCAGATTCATCACCTATTCGTCCGCTACATCCAAGGATATATTGTCGAGTGGCCAAGTTACAAGGAACTCTCCGTTTATGCAAATATTGGGTGTGTGCTTGACCCTTCTCCGTGAGTTGGAACATTCCAATATTCACGAAGCTAATGTATTTTAGCCCTGGGTGTCTTAGTTGTCACCTTAGCCACGTCTACTGCTCTGTATCCGTGACACCAGGCGAGGAGGAACACATGAGGACACTCCAAGCTGCCAGTAGTGCCCAGAACCTTATCCTGCAAGCGCCGATGACATCCTGGCGACATGGGAGGCTCGATTCAGACAGGTTCACAAATTGCTTTGGAGTACAGGGATACGGGTACGGGAGCAGTGTTCGACTCTCTCGATAGGGGACAATTGATGTAGATCGAGTGTCGAGACGCTCTTAAGTCATTTATGTCACACTGTAGAATATTTTGACTATGTAACGAGACGCATTGTCTTCAATATTTATAGATATATGCATTCCGGCAATGTACTAGCAGGGCGTAGTGACGATGACAGGTGAGGCAACTTTGGGGGGCGAACTACCCAGAAACCTCAGGTGGCTTTTGATTTATAATAGAGTTCATCGGCGAGTGTAAGGAACGATTGAGGGAGTTTGCGAGGAAAGGACAGATGTTTGGCGAGAGAAGAACGGCAAGGGAACGGGATTGAGGAAGCTAGATGACTTGAAGCCCCTTCCTTGGCCTTTCCTAATTGATTTCTGACATAAATATTGAAATAGAGGATTGGTGGGCGAGTTGACGTAATGCCTATCGACGCAGCAACGAACGGCCCGAAACAACAGTTGAACCTCTACCGGCTATACGCTACGGTGACGCGTAAAGAGCGGCTTGGTTTCGGGAACGGTGACTCCAAGCTCATTTGTGCATCTGACTGGACTCGTAGGATTACTCCAAGCCAGTGGTATACCTACGCCAAGCCTTTAAAGAAAGAACTTACTTCATTAAGGACAACAACCAGTGTTACCAGTACACATCATGCTTAAGAGGCACTGATCAAATGATCCAATCGCGACCGTGGATCCTACAATTCCTTTGATCGTAACCAACTCAGGGATATGTTTTCTTTTTGAAGAAAATTCACTGAGTTGGGGCGCGCGAAAATGCTACTGCTACGACAGTGTGCACTGAAAATGGAACTTAGGCTCATCGACATTGGACTCATATCGCGCTGCGTCATCCGAAGGCCTCAAGCACCTATAGCGACGTGTAATTGGTGAACAAAACACGATTTTAGGCATGGATCTCCACCCATCTTACAATTTACACCAGCTCGAACGTAAACGGCTTGATCTCTTCGCTCAAATCGAGGGGTTTCTCCACAATTCTGACCATTCCAGTGATCAGAACAAAACAAAACAAGAATTAATCTTGAAGTACAACGATATTACGTGTCTATATCGTGAAGCTATCGAAGCCTCTCGTAGTCACTCGCCAGACAGACTACCCCCGGAGATTTGGCTCCAGATCATCCGAGAAGTGGCCTCCGATATTTACGCCCCTCCGAAATGTCGGATACTTTTGACATTGACGCTAGTAAGCCAGAAGTGGGCGACATTTATCTTGCAAACACCTTCGCTGTGGCGAAATATAGAGATTGAACCCGATGCGGAGGATTTTCATGCCATTCTGGGACTCCAGATCGAACTTTCAAAACCATCCACTATATCTCTCTCGTACTCATACGGCTCCGGTTTTATACATCAAGCATTGCCTCTTTTACTCCCGTCTATCGACCGCATCGAGGATTTGGCAATATACAGCTGGAATCACACGATTATTGATCCCCTCCTGGGCAAATACGGGTTTGCGTCGTTACGACGCATCACTGTTTGGGGTCGCAGAATAAATGAGATGCTTTTATTTCTCTCTGCGTACCTGCTCAATAACAATCTCACGCTCCCCGTCACCAAGGGATGGCTCAGTTATGACTGTTTTAGTTTTGTAGTCCAAGATGGAGAGATAAAGCAACTTCGGTTCGTCCTTTCGGAAGACACCCTGCACTGGTTAGATAATATCCCTTTTGTGGAGGATTTAGCAATGAAACCATATTATGCTCCTGCCGATATCCAAAGATTTTTGGAGGGACTCAGTAGAGCACCTCGCCGACACAAACATCTGAATCTCGTAGATATCCCATGGAGCATAGTGAAGCGCCTGACTGCTCAATGCAGCATCTACTTGGAAACGCTAGAGTTGACCATCGAAATGAAGAGAATATCGATACTATTTCAGGCGCTGGACGAGTTGCCTATTCTGAACTTGCTTGACGCCACGGTTATACAAGATACGGAGTACAACTATTTTAATATAGAAGAAGCAACTATGTTGCCACATCCCAGGGTCAAGCGATTGGGCATCCAGTTCAACTCTCAGGGGTGGCCGTCTGTAGCTACTGCATCAGACTTGACGCCACTCGTGCAATCGTTTTTCACAAAAGTGCCGAAGATTGAAAGAGTATACATATATGGGCACGTATCAGAAGCGCTCGATCCGACAATAGTATCTAGTCTATCATGTCTAAGGTCCCTTTCGCTTCACCGACTGGAATTCGTCGGCAGGCAAGACCACAGGCGTTACCATATCCAATCATCCTCCATTACATACATCAATATGGACGGGGAAATAGGCATGCTTCACTCTCTGAGTAGTAACTCGGCCACATGCTTTTCATTCAGGTTTCGAGATCGGGAAGCGACACATGACGATGAGTTGCATCGATCCATAACTATGATTTCCGACGAGCACTGGAAGTCTTTGACTCATCTCGGGATCACTGGTTCCTATTATGACTCGCCTCTTCAATTTGTCCATCTCCAGCTGTCTAAACTCTGCAGCCTCTCTATTACGCATATATCAATGGCTGCAACTATATATTACAGGCTGGCTCAGAGGCCAAATGAATTACCGGTCCTCCGGGAGCTAAACTCCTGTATTATCCCTGAATGGGATATATTTGTCATTATGCTGCAAAGGCGCATGAGGGCCCAAAATGAAGGTGTTCTTCAACTTCAAAGCATGCGATTCTCTACCGGACTTCCACGACATATCCACAACTTGCTCATCCGCTACATGAAGGGATATCTAGTCAAGTGGCCAAACTACCATGAGCTTTCCATCTACACAAGTATCGAATCTGTACTCGATCTGTCAATGTGAGTCAAAATAGTTAACATCCACATAAAACTAACGCGTTCAGTTCTGGATGTATGGCTTGTCACCTCAATCGTGTGTACTGCTCCAGCCCTGTGATACCGGCAGACAAGGAGAAGGGGCGTGTGAGCCTTCTCCAAGCTAGTATCATGAGCCTCGACCCATATCCTACCAGTGTCGATGAAATCCTGGCGACATGGGAAATTCGTTTCAGCAAAATGCACAGTTTGCTTTGGATATCAAAGCTGCGGAGGAAGGAATGCTTTTGTGCTTCGCTTGAGATAACTCAAGACACTCCCTTGTTGGAGGATGACAGCGATCGATATTTGGACATGTATTGAGAGCCAGAAAGCCAGAATGTAGATGCAACTAGGTTCACTTTACTCCAACTCTGGGTATGGTGGACTCCGCCAGTACCCTGATCCTCGTGGATACCTAAGAACTATGGGACTGATTCAGGGCTCAATGCTGACTTGGTGTTTTGGAAATGGACCTAAATCTCTTGCCTTTTACTCGTCATCTCAAATCTCAAACATTGACGCCAAATATTGTGTGGTCGGCGTCTCCTGTTTAAGTTACTGCCAACCATCGTGACTCCGCGATGAACTTACCTCCAGTACCTGGGAAAGGAGCCTCTATGAAACCAGGAATGGCAGCACGAGATAAGCAACTAGCTCCTCCGGCGAAAAAACAACAAGTTCATCGACCCAACAAGATTGATCGACCAGAGTCAGTATTTTCCTCCCTTGCATTGATCAAAACGGTCTTATAGTCGTGGTTACAGGGTCGACTATGTCAATCGTGCTGCTGAGGGATTTTTGCAAATTTATTACGAATGCATGGACGGACCACAGAGGGATGCCGTGAGTCATTTGTCTAAACCTAGACTCCTCTCACTGAAATTTACTCGCAGAATATTGCAGAACTCTACCGTGACACCTCTGTTCTCATTTGGAACGGCGAAACCGTCAATGGCGCGCAACAAGTCAGTAAACTCGAGATTATTAGCCGACTACCGTTTAATCCTGTGCACATAGATCAAGGAGTTTTATGCGAAGATGCCTCAATCAAAGCACGAGATACAGAGTTGGGATTGTCATCCCGTTCCCGGTACGACGACCTCGGTCAGCCTGAAACGGCCCATTTGACACCCTTTTATAAAGGAACTAACCCTACTGCCATTTTGGTGACTGTCTCTGGGATCGTGCTTCATGGCGAGATGCCGTCCAAGATGCCGCAGACGAAGAAACACGGCGTGCTCCATCGAATCTTTTCTCAGAGCTTTGTGCTCACGCCTGAACCCAAGCCAATGATTCAACCAGGCGCGGAGGCTGGCCAAGAGGCTGACAGGTACTTTATCCGCGCAGATACGATGCGATTCGTAGGCTAGATTGGTACGCTATTTCCTCTCAGATAGTTGAACTCGACTGATCACTCTATGTAGTACTCTATTCTGTAGCAATACCATCACAAAGTAGTGCATTTCACCAATATTGAAACGGTGGCGTTCACACGAGGATATCCTCACTTCCGTACTTCTCCCGATATGCATTCATCGCCTCTCGCTCCTCTGGACTCAACTTCTCCTCTGAGTACTTGACAATGTCCGCAAGAGTGACAATGGCGAGCATAGGGACATTATATTCCTTCTTCAACGCGCCCAATGCGCTCAACCTCCCATTCTCCTCCTTTCCTGTTGTTTCTTGCCTATCGACGGCGACGATCATACCGGCCAAGGTCCCGCCACATTGACGGATAATCTCGACGGCCTCGCGCTTCGCTGCGCCATCCGTGATGACGTCGTCGATCACGAGAACACGCTTTCCTTGCAAAGGGGCGCCAACGAGCATGCCGCCTTCGCCATGGTCCTTGACCTCTTTGCGATTAAAGCACCACTCCTTTTGGCCAAACCTCTGTGCGTCGAGGTCGGCAAGTTTGACGGCAGTGATAGCACAGAGTGGGATGCCCTTGTACGCAGGGCCAAAGATGATATCAAAGTCGAGCGGAGGCTCGCTGGTGGTGCTCGACGTCGGATGGCGGACGGCGTCTGCGATTGTTTGTGCATAGGCTGTACCGAGTGAGGAGAGTAGACTGGATGTGCTAAAGGAGCCTGCATTGAAAAAGTAGGGCGAGATGCGGCCAGATTTTACTTTGAACGAGCCAAATTTGAGAATCTGGTGTTCATGACAGAGAGCGAGAAAGGATTGCTTGTGATTAGACGCCATTCCTACTCTTTGAGTAATCTCTAAGATTTTCAGGCAGAGTGGCGAGAGTAAAGTTTGTTTGGCAATTACGCTTAGAACAGGATATTGTCGCAAGCCGAATTGATATCCCAAGCAATATACATTACAATACACAAGATAATCAAAGGGCAGGACGCGTCTAAACACCGAAACCGTAGAGAGTGCGGCCGGAGCGCTTGAGAGGCGTAGACGACGTCGAGGGCAGTGACAGTCTTCCTCTTTGCATGCTCAGTGTAGGTCACAGAGTCGCGGATGACCTGTGAGGGTTGTTAGACGTTGTATGATGCAAATATTCAAGACGTACATTTTCGAGGAAAGTCTTGAGGACACCACGGGTCTCCTCGTAGATGAGACCGGAGATACGCTTGACACCACCACGACGGGCGAGACGACGAATAGCGGGCTTGGTAATACCCTGGATGTTATCACGAAGGATCTTGCGCTGTTAACTGCGTCAGCAACGGTGGCCAATAACATTGAGGCCCAGACACGTCGGGCCCATAGGGGCCAGCGATGCGAGGGAAAAGGACGAGCGACGTACGTGACGCTTAGCACCAGACTTTCCGAGACCCTTTCCACCTTTTCCACGGCCAGACATGATTTGTGTAGATTTATTGAGTGAAGTGTGCAAAGACGAGGCGAGCGGCCGAGTTGTGGGGGATTCCAAGTTGGCAACCGGCTCTTCTTATCAGACTTGCGCCCAGATGGTGGTGACATGTGGTAGCGGACTTTGAAACATCACGTGATAGCACGTGACTTCAGGCTGGTAGCACGTAAATATGAGGTGCATTGTCCTCATTCTAAGCCATACTTACTCTTATTCGAGTAATTGATGAAGATAATAGCCAAGGTGCCGGGCGATGGAGATTTCGGTGGGCTGAGCGTCAGAGGTCCTGCGATTATTTCATAATCACATTCATGAATCATTTGGTGAAAGCCGTATATTTGCTACTATCAGAACGACAATCACAGGATCACAGTCAAAAAGGGAAGCATAATTGGGCATAACGCCCACAATGGTACAGCGAGAGGGGAAGTAATCAATCAGACTAGTCAATATATCCAAAACTTTTTTCACGCAACAGAGCGCGTCTCAGAGGCGCTATCATAGACCACCACAAATTCGTCGTCCGAGTCTGAGCCGACGGGCGACGGAGCGCGAGCTGGAGACATTGGCGCAGACACGTACGTGGCGCTCGTGACGGATGGAGCGACGACCGCAGGCAGTGCAGTGGGTAAAGTACCTGGGAGGTCGACCACGGAACCATCGTCGCTGCTACTATCGTTGAGCAAGCTCAAGTCTTCAGACACGTTGGAGATGGTTCCAGTTCCCGTAGGATGCGTGGCGACAGTCTCTGCTACAGGAGAGTGCTGGACCGGGGACGCTTGTGCAAAGAATGCACCCGGCATCGTGAGCGAGGAAGAGGAAAGGCTTGGATTTGTAACGGAATCATCAGAACTCGTTGCTGGCTCAGCGACTTCGATGGTGATCCAAAGCCTGTGGCCAAAGAAGACACCAGTCTTCGAGTTCATCAAACGCCAGAAGCTATTGTAGGTTCCAGGTTCCTCGGGCGCCTTGAGATCGCCAGCCCACACATCAACTGTGTCACCAGCCTTGACTTGGCCCACTTCGTACGTGTTCGGCACGCCCTCGAATGCACCAAGACGTTGGCCACCAACAAACGCGAGCACAGTCTCCGTCGGCCAGTCTTGAGTGCCTTCATTCCTCATCTTCCAAGACTTGATAAACTCGGCACCTGGGGGGAAGACATGGCCGTCGGGAATGTTGTTGTCCTCTACAAACGATGCGACCAGCGCAGGTGGGAGAGTAAAAGTGGCGGCTGCAGCACGAACTTGGGATGGGCGGATAGGGAAGCGCGAAATGAAGGATGGCTGGGCCTCTGTCATGACCTCCTCCGCCAATGGGGCAGTACGAGAAGGAGGGGTGCGGACTGCGACAGAGACTTTGGAAGATTCAGGATCAACACTAGGAACGCTGGGCAAGTTGATGATCACAGGCTCGAAACCGACAACTTTAGGCTCGGTGGTCGGCGGGCTCGGGATCTTGACAGACTTTTCAGTGTCAGCGAACATGTCGAGTGTCGGAGCCGTTCGTTCAAAATCGTAGAACTGGAACGAAGGAGGCATTGGGGGTGGCTGAACTGGCAGAGCTCCGGGCATGGGCATAGAGAACGGCGAGATTGGGCGCAGTGGCGTGATGGCAGCAACAGAGGGAATCACTGGAAGAAGAGATTCGGATGATGCAGCGAGGGACGAAGGTTGAGAAACGAAGCCTGTGATGACACTCGGTTGTCCGGGGGCGACGAACAAGGGGTTCTACGAAAGAGGATTAACGATCTAAATGACAAAATTGTGATATAAACGTACCTCAAACGGATTTCCAGAATCTGGGGAGAGTGTGTGAGGGCTTTCAACCTTGAATCCGCATTGGATCTGTTCATCCATGAGGTTCGTGACCTCGGTTTGCGCTGCACGAGACTGGCTTGGAATGTTCTCTGTCTGGACAGACATCGTGCTGGCCTTCGGCGTCATCACGACCTCCTCGCGTGGCTTGGGGATCGTAACAACAGCTGGGCTCGATGCATTGGCGTCGCGAACAACGGTTGGGATCTTGGTGCTACGATTGCGAATCTTGAGCATGGGATGGTCCACGGGATGAACAGGGATCGGGAGCGCCTCGCAGTTCTCACACAAGTCGAAATCTGGGCAGCTCGGGTGCATGCACTTGTATCTAACGCCAACGATGGTCTTTCCGCAACCAATTGCATCGCAAATGGCGCGATGAACGGGGCGGTGACCATTGGCAAACGCAGTGGCGATACTCGTATCAGCGCGCAGGCCGCGACGATAGATGACGTCGCCCAGGTTTGCTACTTTGACGAAGGCGTGGAATGGATGCTGTTCCTTGGCGACGTTATCGAAGCAGGACTGGCACGCATCGAAGTCGGGGCACTTCAAGCACTTGAAGCGGTTCCCAGCGATGCGATTGGAGCAAAAGTCACAGATGGCGGTGTGCAAGACATGCGTCGGGGTCTCTGGGTGAACCTCTGGGACTGGCGTGCTTGCGGCCGCAGGCGTCGGAGTCGCGGGCTCTGGAGCGCGCATAGGCCTGACGTGCACAAGCACTCGACCTGGAGTATGGAGCGCGATAAACTCATGACCTCCCTCTGGATTGCCAACTGAGGCGTTATGCTCATTGACCTTGTCAACCATGCAGGTATCGCAAAAGTCGAAGTCGGGACAGTCGAGACACTTGTGGCGAACTCCAATGATAGGGTTCATGGAACAACCATCACACGTGACTGACGTGTGCTTAACGGGGGATGGCTCGCGAGTGCATCGGCTTGGAACCGGGGTCGTGTTGGCGCGATGAGCGAATCTACGTCCACATCCGCGTCTCGTGGAAGCGCTGACTGGCGGAGGCGGGATTGTAGAAAAGTGGTGATCGAAAGCGGCTGAATGAATGGCAGCTGCGTCGTGCTTGGTCGTGCAACGATGGCAGAGGTCATAGTCCGGGCATTGCTTGCACTTGTAGCGCATACCTCGGACGTGCTCACCACAGCGGTCGCACCATATATTAGGGTGAAGCCCGTCCTCGTTGTTGCTTGTGGAAGAAGCGGGAGGAGACGCAGGGGAGGGAGCTGACCTCGCATTGTCGATGAGGGGGGTATCACCCAGCGTAAGCTCCTCGGTAAAGGTGTCCCCGTAGACGCGCTTGAAATCCCCGAGGAAGCTGTTGAGAAGGGATTTCATTTCACGTTTTCCTTCTTCGACAGAGCAGCATGCCGTATCCTCCGCAATTGACCTGGAGCTGGTGGATGAAGCAGGCTCGGGATCAAGCGCATATGGCGGGAATGCGCCAGGCACATGAGGAATCTCAGAAAGGACGGGTACTGCTTGCATATTGACGACTGTTGTCCCGCCGTATGGCATGAGCTGGTAGTTGGCCTGCACAGACGCCCAGTGTCCGTCGTGAGAGGCAACGTCGCAGATAGGGACGCCTTGCTGAGAGGTAACATTGACGACTTTGTATCCGCCAATCCGGGGTCCTAGCGCCTCCACAAGCTGGTGTAAACGTAAGCGTCCACGTACGCGTTTGGGCGAAACCCGAGGTTTGGGACGAATGTATCGAGTAGGACGAGTTGTCAAGAGAGAGATAGGCAAGTATTGATTATCAGCAGCAGAAACAAGAGGAGCTATAGCCATGACTTACGCGTGCATGAAGCGCCACAAAGTCGGGGAACTCGTGGAAGGAGAGTTTGCGGGTTTGACCGTCTGGAGTGGTTATCCTGAATATAACTGACATTATCAGGACCTATATTCGCAGCCTGGAGTAGCGTTGGAGGGCAAGAGCGAAAAGGATTGAGATGGTCGGAGGCCAAGGAGCAACGGGGATGCGCAGTTCGCAGTTGGCTGCGAGTCAAAAGCCGCGTAAGCCATGGACCAGATATATTAAATAAAATATATTCCACATGTTTACTCATGCCAATTTCGGGACCCGCGCTGGGAGACTGGCTCCCCGCCGTCAGTCTGTCAGAAATTGGAAGCCAACAGAAAAACGTAACGTGCATCCAGTCTCTCGTTAATATCCGAATGTGGACCAGAGAGCGTCTGGTGGTCTCCCACTTCTCCTCGCCTACTAGTCCAATGAGTACCGAGAAACCTCTGAAGGCACATCAAATCTCTGACATGAGGAGAAACGATGGTGACCCCCCGCATTCATCCCTGTAGGCATAAGTATTCTGGCCACTTGATGGTATCGTATCTCCCAGCTATACAGAACTTCATCCCCGGTGTTTGGGTATGGGGCAAGATCATCGACAGCAGATTGTGAGTTGCCTTGATCGTAGGGCACCACAATTGGCCAGTCACAGAAGTGGTGCCACAGATGACAGTCAAGACATCCGGTACTGCATAGTGTGAATGAAATGTGTTCAAATCTAGTGTCCACTCACACAGTCGGGTCCAAGATGCCTCGAGATTGCCTTGCGTGCTAAGTTTGTGATTTGAAGGACGGTTGGTAAGATATCCTGCAAGGCGCATTGCCAATGTACGTTTAAGCAGCGGAGAAAGAGGTCGCCGAAAGTGTATTGTCTCCAGCGGGAGAACACCATTGGCTTGAGCGACAAGTCTCTTCTCTAGCATTACCAAAAGTATATCCCACTCTGGGCAGTCCATTAACCTCAGGAATTGGAGTCCTGGGAGTATTTCTGGCTGCTGAGCAATATAATGGATGGTGCTGGCAATTAGAGAATGGCCAGAGAGCGATAATTGTGTCAGAGTTGACGTTGAAATATACAGGTCAACTCTTTGCGGACTGTTCAACTTCCCATGGAGACTGAGATGCTGTAGCTTAGGCCACCGATCCTTGAGAATATGAATGGCTGGCTGTTCCGGGTTTGTCTGAGAGTTGTCGTTCAATGTGTAGGTCAACTTGATTGTCGCGATGCCCCCAAAATAATTTATCATTCCATTGCTTCCAGTAAGAGCAACGCTTTCCAATGATTCTATTTGGAAAATATGTGGATTTAGCAGTTCGGAATCATGCTCCGTTTTCAGAACGAGCGACTGTAACAATGGCAGAGCCTTAAAAATGTCAGGATTAAGGTTTGATATCCCAAAAACGTCAATTTCTATCCACCTCCAGCTCTCTGAACGCTGAAGAAGGAGCCGAAGGGTGTATTCCAGATCGGAAGAGGATAACCTTAGAGTATTTGCTTGAACATATAGCTCTTGCAAGTTGGAATGAGTGGGTTTCGCCATAAGATTATTCCTTATATTCTGTATCAGATTATTCTTCATGGGCTGTATGATGTTTTGGGTGTATTCGAACGATACGTGCAGGCAATTGAGGACGTAGAGTTTGGAAAGTAGTTTATGTAAGTCAGGTAGCTGTATCCACTCTAGAGACAGCTGTAGGATTTTGAGTGTTTGAGTACACCGATTAGCAAAATACTCAGTCCAGTGCCATGAAATATCAGCATAAAGCGTCGACCAACCCAGAGAACCGTGATTATTACTGCCACCTAGAATAGCATCCTTGTCGACCCGTTTATAAGACCTTTCGAGTAGAACAACTTCTTTTAAGGACTCGATCTTCGGCAGTTGCGAGATGCTTTGACTGTTTATAATTTTTGAGATCCCGGTAAGAATGCCATGTGACCCTTTCATTGAGACATAGTCACACTGTTCGGGAACTAAAGATGCATATTTGGCAAAAGGTGTACAGTGCGATATAAATGTAGCCAGTGCGCCACCTGGCGTTGGTCCGTGAAATGTAAAGTATTTCAGTATAGGGAATACTGGTTCAGCCACGAAGAACTGTGCTGGGCTGCGGTGGGTCGCAGGGCGGATAGTCAAGACGTTGACGCGGGATAGATAGGGTTGAATAATCGTCTGTAAACTTAGAGGAGGCACTGAGGAGTAATCCAACGTGAGTGAACAATCTCCTGACAGATGGAGGAATGTCGCCACCATAGCTTCTAAATCTTCGCAGCTACTTTCGACTATGATGTTCGTCCATAATGTTGCACTTTGGAGCAGTAGAGACGCCCAACGGCTACTGACAAGAGTGAGAAGGAGCAGAGATTGGTGCCTGCGCAATCTACCCTCATCAGAGATGACTTCTTCAATGATCGCCGTCCATAATCCATAGGGTAGTTGATCAGGAGACCATTTTTGACGGCTTTCCTCCTCCGCTCTGCGAGATCTAACTGCCTGGTTATACTTTTCCAGCAGATGAGCGTCCATGTAGGTCACATCTCCAGAATAGTTGTAGGAATTTGCGATTGAGCGCATTGTATCGAAGTAGCGCAAAGTATCAGTAGAAGTGAGCATGGCGTCAGAGTATGCCGACAAGTTTATTGGGTAACCTGCGGAAAAGGAGGAGTCAAACTCAGCGTCCGACCACATCCAATCAGATCTCATTCAACTACAAGGTCCTGTCGACATAAACTAGTACATTATTATAGGGAAACAACAACTCATATTATTGGAATTGCAAAAGATGTCACCTCTCGTCCACGTCTTCGCTTGATAGACACTCCGGATAACCGAGCTCTCTTGAAATGTCTATCAATATCAGAGCTTCGCTGTAATTGAATAGTGGGCGCGCTGCCATTCAGTTTTCTCACGGCCTGTCGACGAAGCTGCAAAGCAACGTCCAGACTTGATCCCTTACACGACCGCGGACTCTGTCTGGTTTATATACAGCAAATTTACTCCCTTGTTGTCGACCATGGCGCTTTGGCTCCTATGGTTCATATATAGCTGGTGCACAGTCTTGTCTACCGCCCTGACGCTCGTCGAGGATACGGACTCAAGGTATGGAGGAGTTAAAAAACTACATAAATGGGACATCGGTGCTTATTTGCTGACAGCATCCAATACTCGAATTCGGGACCAGTATATCTAATCTCTACAGCTTGTTCTCCACTGATTTTTTCAAGAGCTGGAGGTATTGTTTCTGGCATAATGGTGGAGGAAGGGCTGGGGATGGCTGGCATGGTATCAATATGTCGCAAATGTCCATGGTCGGTTGGCACGAAGCTTACGGAGCCGGAGCATCAGTTTCGTTCACATTTACTGGTAGAAATGAGTCCGACGTCAGATTAATATCTGATTAATTTCAAAGGAACTCGGGTCATGCTTACCGGGGGTCTGTGCAAGTACTTCTGGCCCCTCACTCTCAACATTTTTATCGACGATCAACAAATCGATACATTTACCTACAATCCGCCAATAAATACCTCCGCAGTCATCAGTTCGGATTGGAACTATGGCGTGACTATCTATGACGCCCAAAATTTAACCCCAGGGCAGCATACCTTCAAGGCAACGTCGGTCGGGGCCAATACACTGTTTACTGTGGATACTATTCAGTATGAGCCTAGTATTGCAGGAACATCAAGTGCCTCCAGCGTAGGGTCTGCATCAGCAGCGTCCACCAGCGGTTTGACAACTTCAGCATCCTCCAGGAGCCCTATCTCTCTCTCCTCTGTCAATACTCGATGGGTACAGGCAGCATGTCGAACACACAGTCCATCACCTCAGGCACCCAGCTTCCTGTCCCCACGGATGGCTTTACGTCAATCGTGTCTCAGATGGATATTCAGCCATCGGACCCCCGAATTATCTATCATCCTCAAGATGCATGGACAATGGAACAAAGCACAAAGCGTGCTCCTACTTGCTTGTCTGGAGCGATGTATTCGAATACTACGGGCTCATCTCTTACATTCAACTTTACTGGTACGTCGCATGTTTCCCTCCCACACGTCCACGCTAAAAAATACGCAGCATCTGCAATCCAATTATATACTGTCTCGGGATCTAGTGGAGGGAGGTTCAGAGTGACTATAGACGGAGAGGATAAAGGCACCTTTGACACTTATGATGCGGCATCCAACTTTACGGATTGCAGGGCGGCTCCTCTAGTGACTTTGACCGGTCTGGACAGTGCACAACATACTGTCGTTTTGACAGTCGAAGACTCTGGCGCGAATACAAACCGTACGAGTATTGAATTCGCCGGTTTCCGGTGAGCTCGTGTTCTCCAAAGTCTGGAAATCTTCTCACATGTACTCTAGTGTGACCGCTGCGACTGTCAACTCCCCGGTTGGAACCATCACTTCTTCGTCCAAGCCAAAGATCAGTGTCATTCTCGGAGGCGTCATCGGTGCTATTGCACTTGTTGTCATCTTTATATTGGCCGTTCTTTTCCTCAAGAAAGGGCGCGTCAAAGAAAAGGAGATGAATCAGGAGCCAATACAGCCGGAGCAGCCTGAACCGCAATTCACTCAGCCGTTCAATATTCCAAACGCACTGGTCTCTGACAGTTCGGGTGCTAATTTGCTGGTCGACAGGCCACCAGTCCCCTACAAAGGTCAAGGCAGGGTAATGCATGAGCCAACAACCTCGACGTATACGCCTGGAGGGTCTGGGCAAGGATCATCTTATCTAACTTCCGAGGACATAGGAGAAACCCCAGAGTACCGCCAAGAAGGCCCAAGTCACATTACCAGCGGGTATCCAGAATCAGTCTCATCCTCGCAAGTCACTCTACCAGCTCCTGTACGAGCTCCCACTTCCTGGCATGTTCCTGTACCGGCCTCGCAGTCAAACGACAACGACGGTGTGTCTACGCTGGATCGACGAACATATTATACATTGCCATCGTATCACGAGCGTGTCATGGAAGGAGCCGGAGGACGAGGGAGGAACCTATCGGAAGCGGACATCAATGCGATTTCGCAACGTTTGAGGGAGGTCATGCATCAGAGTGGTGGGCTGGACCTCGAACCTCCTCACGAGCTCATTGACCACTTGGTAGAGGAGCAGCTAAGAGAAGAGTAGATTATATTGTTTATTATTTAAAATATAGTAATCATGAATGCTCGAGCTGTGTCGGCGCCGCCTTTGATTTGGCACTGCTCTGTTCACACCTCTTGGACTCTCCCTCAACGGCTACCTCGCGCAGTGCGCTTAGAGTGTTTTTCGCTTCTAATTTCCTTTCTATCTCGCTGGTCGACTCACTTTATTCTCGATACTTGCAGTGAGTCGCAGCTTGTAGCGTAGGCGTTGACGAGCCAGACTGACGACGGCGCAGCGCTCGTTTGAGAAGTCTAGCCACTCGTTCGATTCTACATCTATTCTCAAGATGACGCGTCGTCCAGCACCCACACCTCTGAAGCTTCACCCAGGCCCAACGCCTCCACGCAACTATCCGAAATTTACGATGCCCGCCAAGCCCCAGCAGTCGTTTTACCCTTCAGCGACGCCATGTGTACCCTATCTGAGGCAAGAAGTCAAGTATTTTAGGAGGCGAGGCCATGGCCGCTCGTCGTCGTCAAGCTCAGTCTCGTCGGTCGACTTGGACGACGCCTCGCCGTCGCCGGGGACGGTGACACCGCCTACGATGGCGATGACAGCGAGAACGTCTGGGATAGACGTTGCTAGCGCTGTGTCAGCTCGAATTATGGCCGACATGACCCGTGGTCCTCGCACGTCGAGCGAGACACGCGGGGCGTTGTCGATGCAACAATTCCGGGCTCAACAACCAGCCAGGATGGGTGCTGTGAGGAGTATTGACATGATGGGACCCTGGGAACATTCCAAGTTGCGGCTGAGCGAAGCGGAGATCGCTGCCATGATCTCTGCGCCTCTGCCCGTCGTTGCCAATCCGTGTCCGATTAGCTGGTGATCATGTGCTCTTCTACTCTTTGATTCTTGAGAATAAAGTGGATTTTTTCCCCTCATATTGCCCCTTATTTTTTCCATTTGGCTAACTGGGACAAACATCCTTCCAAGCTTGGATCACGACCTCTTTACGGCCTTTGCACGATGACGAGTTCTCCGCCAGATATTTCTTCGCTCACGCTTGCTCCCCAGCGCACACGTCCTCAACACGATGCTTACGATCCATCCGTCTATCCTGAAAACAGTCGCTACCAGCACTTCCAGACGTCCCCGGCCGTCGTGCCCTCTCCTGGCCAACGAAGAGCACTTCCATCTGTGCGTATCACGTCTGTAGACATTGCTGACGTTGCCCTGCAATTTTTCTGCTTTTTTGTTCTCTGTCGACCGATCGATTTGACCTTTGGCGTAGGCGTGGCTCAACGAGCAGCAAGACAATGGGACAAGTCTCCCTCCAGATGGACGTTCGATGTCTCCTCCTCAGACGAGCGACATCAGCTCTGGCGGTAGCCCGCCCTCGACAAACCAGCAGACGCTCGGTGGTGTGCAGTCAGCGGGTGCAGAAGACGATATTATTCCAACTGCTATAGTCATCAAGAACATTCCGTTCAACGTCAAGCGAGAGACTTTGCTGGACATTATCGTAAGTCGTGGCCGTCTTGCCCCGTCGTTGCCATCTCCCCCTTTCCCGGCCCTCATGTGGCCGTCTTGCGCCCTCCGTTGGGGTGGCAATGTATTCTGTGTTCTTGTCCGCTTAGTATTGGCACAATTACTGATCCGTCGCCCTCTAGTCCTCGCTCTCCATTCCCACCCCATATGCATTCAACTACCACCTCGACCCAGCTGGCCAATTCCGTGGGCTGGCTTTTGCAAATTTCCGAGTCGCGGCTGATGCAGACGCCGTGGTGGCTGCACTCAACGGATTCGATGTCCAGGGTCGCAAGCTTCGCGTCGAATACAAAAAAGTGCTTCAGGCCGGTGAGAAGGAGCGCATCGAACGCGAAAAGGCGCTTCGCCGCATGCATTCTATGAAGCTCGAAAAAGAGCGCCATGAGCAGGCCCAACAGCAGCAGATGATGAACAGTGGAATGGGCGGTCCCATACCAGGATACGACGAGGGATATTCTCCCTTGGGAGGCCCACCTATCCTTACGTCTCAACGTTCCTATGGTGGTGGGATGGCAATTCAGAATCCTAATCCGTTTGCTATGCCTCCTATGCCTGTCGCTCAGCCGTATATCCCTCCTCAGTCGGTCTCACCTGTTCAACCCGCACCAATGGTTACGTCCCACTCGAGCACGGGAATGCACAGTAAAGTCCCCGCGACTTCGGCAGAACTGGACATGAACGACCCCGCTACGCTCGAGATTTACTCGCGCGTGCTGCTCTTCAAGGACGACCACATGCGCGATGAACTTGCCTTTGCTCGTTCGCTTTCTCCAAAGCAGCGTCGCATCGTTCACTTGGTCGCGCAAAAGCTGGGCGTGTACCACTATAGCATTGGCGAGGGAGACGAACGCTATGCAGTTGTCACGCGCAGAGAGCCAGATCGCTCTGGAAGCAGCAATGCTGCAAATTCCGGAAATGTGGGATCGCTAGAGAATGGAAGAAAGACGCCGAATGCGGCAGAGTCTAGCGGCCGTAGCGGACCTGTGCGCCATCACTCTTCTCAGGCGCTCAACCGATCCTTCCTCGTGTCTTCGACGTCTTCCGCAAACGCGGGTGGTTCCCTGTTCAACAATGCGCCAAGCTCGTATAATCAGCCGGCTTCCAGTGGCAATTCGCCCACGGCTACTACACCAGGTGGTGGCCTTCGCTCCAAAAAGTCGATGCCAGATATGAAGACGTCGATTTATACGCCGACGCCGCGTCTCACGACGCGTACTTCGAGTGGCAATATGCGTGAAGGTGGCGCGTCTAGCTTTTCCAATTATGCAGCCCTCCGTCGCCAGACCTCAGGCCACCTCCCTGGTCTCAACCAGCTCTTTGGGGCTCATCTCACTGGAGGCAATATTCGTGCAAGTGTCTCTGGCGCTATTGGAGACCGCCCCATGGCAGGGCTCAACGGACATGCTACGGATGGTATCCCTCCGGTTCCTTCCCTGCCAAGCACTCCCGAAGGCGGAGTCTCCAACTCGACGTCGAGCACGACGCCAGGAGGTGTGATGAGACAGCCACGAGGCCCCGGTACCGCGAGCGGTGGCAACTTTGCAAGGCGGAGGGAGAGTGCTATTGGACCTTTGGAGAGGATCCCTTCGAGCAACGGGCTAGATGCTCGTACTCACGAACCCTTGGAGATCTGATTCAAATGAAGCAAGCGGTGGATATACAAGTTGATTCTTTTTCCCAAAACGCATTCTACTCTTCGTTTTTTTCTTGATGGTGGGCTAGATTCACGACACCCCTTCAGATACTGCTCAACACCCCACATGCTTTTTATTGCCGCCAGCCTTTCCTAAAAGCTTTCCATCACCAACCATCTCTGTATCCGAAGTAACCCATCGCTCGGGCGCGTTACTACCTAGACGACGTCGCCGCAACCTGTAATACCCTCCGATCTCTCTCACCAGCTTTCTTTACTCGTCCATCCTTTTCCGAGGCTACTAATGCATGGCGTTGTGTTCGCGAGCGGGCTCTTCGCCGATGCCAGGCAGCTACAGTATGCATGGACCACCTAGCGAGACGAGCTAGAGCTTGTCGATATGTTGCATGTTTCGCTTACTTCTTTGGTTCAATCTACCTGTGTTCATTTCGCCCCTCTATCATAAGCTCTGAGCCCCTATTCTCAAACACTGGGAAGCCGAAGCCAAGGAGAAGCCTGTCATGCGCCTCTGTTTAACTCGGCCTCCGATCATCCCACAGCAACTCGCTTCGTCCTGACCCCTTCTTCGAGTTTTTGAACTGCCGTTTAGTCCATCCTTGTACGCTCACTCCCCGACCACTAAAAATTCACCAAAAATGATGTTCAAACTGGTGAGCAACGTTCCGTGTACTCTCAGTCCGCATTTGTGCTCGTGGCTGACGGTGACACCTCCGTCCGTTGTGAATGACGTCCTCCATCGCCTCTATTGGGATAAATATGCATAATATCGACTCTTATACATGCTTGGATGATGCATAGAGCACCGCTCTTGCCGTCGCCGTTGCCGCGGCCGGTACCAACGCCCTCTCTGTGCTCGTCCCAAACTCCCAATGGTGGTGGCAACGAAACGACCAAGCTCTTCTCAGCTGGGATTGCACTGACAAGTCGCACCCAACGTTCTCCGTCGTGTACATGCCTCTTGCTTTTTTTCACGAGGCCCAACTAATCATATGACCAGTGCTATCAACTCGAACGTGACGCTCTTGAGTGCCGGTCTCTCGGTTCTTGTTGGCCAACGTGAGTTTTCCATCCCTGTCCGTGCTCGATGTCGCGCGTAGGAACTGACGGCCGGTTTCTTAGAGGACAACACGATGTGCACGACCAACATCCTCCCTGACCTCATCCCCGGAAAGGGCTACAGGATCACCCTGACGAACATTGTCAACTATACTGACATCTACGCCACGAGCGAGGAATTTGAAGTACACGAGAAAGGCAGTGAGTATCTTATATTATAATATATGACGTCCTCTAAGCTCTCTCTTTCAAAGCTCCCTATCCTTCTGTTTCTGCTTCTACTATTCCTGGAGCTTCTGCGCCGGCCACTGGCTCCGCTGCCTCGGCCAGTGCCACTGCGCACTCTGGAGCGTCCTCCGCTCAAGTTGGATTGTCGGTCGGCGGCGTTCTCGCCCTTACCGGTATCATCACCGCTGCTCTCGGTGCATGAGTACGCTCGTTCCGAAATGTGCTCTCGAGCACGCCACCTTGGTTGACAATATGGTCGAACGCTTTCATGGACTCTTGCTCGAACTCTTTTCTCGATCCTCCTTTTCCCCTCTCCGCTTGCCGATCCACGCTGGGTACATGTTGTCACATGGCCCTTCCTGCTCTTTATACATCCTCACACTCGTTTAAGCCCTCTTACTAGAGGGATCTGATAATATAACACCTTTTATTCGTCCTTTGGTTTGTTTGAGTGAGATGGCGAACACCTTTTGACCCAACCTCTGCCGAATTTATTCGTGGGCTCGACGTTTGTGGCAGCCACTCGTTTCAAAGAGCAGATTGAGTTTTTGATCTCGTTCATAATTACATTTTGGGGACAAAGCCGGCTTTCAAAGCGGACATTTCGACAAAGGTGTCGTGTATAGTCATCCTGTCGAAGTAGTGTGAGTCGCAAATCATTGCTCTTCTCCCTTGACGAACTTTCAGTGCCGGTGGTTTGCTCGAACTATGGGTGCGACACAATCAACCAACAAGGTCGAAGAAAAACCAAACCCCTCTCCGCCGACGGCAGACAAATGTCCGGTAGACCACAACTCACGACAAGCCTGGGCAAACCTTGGATCTGGTCCCTTGCAGAGCCCACACAAATTTCATGCCCAACCGTCAGCACCGCTCTCCACTGAACGAGAAACGTCGTCGATCCCACGAGGGGCCGCAGGTGATACGGATGCGTCACAGAAGTGGGAGTACCCCTCCGAGGCACAGTTTTACGCTGCGCTGATGAGGAAGCATCAAGCGACGTCGGCGCAGGATTCTGCGTCCATGGAGAGGGTGCACAGGATGCGAATCTTGGAAAAGGTCTTGGGGATGTGGAGTTGGATTCTGCTGGTCGGGCTGTTACCAATCGGCATGATGTCAAGTTGCCCCAGGCGCGAGATATGCGTGTCGTTGTTCCGATTCACAATGCCGTGAATGAGCAGACGTGGGCAAAGATATTAGAATGGGAAGCGTCTCAAGGGGGCGAAAGGTATGTACTGTTCAACTCTGCTTGCCCACTCTAATAAGTTTGGCGCAGTTGTGGTGGGGTGCGACTGGTCAGCTTCAAGGGAGATTCGCGAAAAATTAGTCCCAAAGCTCGGTGGAACATTCTTCTTGGGTATATCACTGACAAATGCCTGTGCTTCTGGCTGAAGCTTCCCATAGATATCAACGGCCGTTTGACCGTCACGACTGGGTTGTGGACCGATGTGGAACCAAGGTCCGATATGTGATAGATTATTACACAGGACGGACCGCTCCTACAAGTCCCAGAGGTCAAGCTAACCCAGTTTCCTTCTACATTGACGCAAGGCCGGCCTTGGACAACTGGGAGGGAGTTCGCATGAGAGCTTCAAAGTTTTGGACAACATTATTTGACAACGGGAACAAAAAGGATAACAAACCATCGTAGACCCCTCTCCGCCCTCGTTGCGCCGATGAGTGTGGCAAACACTCCCTGGGATTGATTACTAGAGCATTTCTGTAATACTTTTAGTATAATTATGTCGTCACCACCTCTTATTCAAACCCGTTGTTTCCACGCCCTAATGGGTGCGGTGGTCGTCTCTCTTGGACTCCACCACGAAGATCCGCGCTTAGACGATGGCACCAGTCCAGCTCGACACAGCGCACTACAATGCGCGCATGTCACTCATCTACGACGCTTGGTCGGTGCGTACTTTTTTTCATTCCGAAATGGACCTCTGCGGGGCAGACTCCGCGATTTTTGGCGTTCTTTCACCAGTACTGGTTTATTTTCGTAGCCTTATTACGCAATCCTGTCTCTTTTGCGCGAAAACGCGCGACTATGGCTTGGTTTGAGAGTGTCCCTCTCACAAACGCGTTATCGCCAGTGCAACGAATTCTTCCCTAGTACATCCATCTGCAGAGATCAACAGCTAATTCAATTTCTTGTTTCAACCTCTAGTCCGCGAGCGATTTTGAAGAGTACAACTCGATGAGCAATCTCGATGCATTGTTCCTCATGTCAGGAGATCATGCGGAGGACGAGGTTCCGCGTAAAACCTCGGCAGTGCAGGTATGTGTAATATTCCACCCATTTATCCCCTCTTTCGCTGATTTGCGATGCCAATCGCTCACCTTGGTGTTAGACTTGGCTATTCGGTTACGAATTCCCCTCTACGTTCATCCTGATGCAAAAGAACAAGGTTACATTCTTGTGCTCGGGTACAAAAGGTATGCTCGTGCGACTACAATGTTCCTTGGTAACTAATCCTTGTACAGCGAAAATCCTCGAGCCTATCCGCACTTCCCAACCTAATATTCCTGTGGAGATTCTTGTACTACCGAAAGCAAAGGACGCTGCCGCTGCAAACGCCCAGGACGTGATGAAGGCATTCGTGGGCCTGTTATCGAGTGCGGTTAGTGATTGGATTGGGTCCTGGATGTACTTGAGACTGATATCGATGACTCATAGCAACGCGTCGGAACGCTGTCCAAAGAGGAGCACTCTGGAAAGGTCATCAACGATTACAAGGCAGCGCTCAGTGCGTCTGGTCATACCTTTGAGACGGTCGACATTGCGGTTGCATTGGGAGCAGCTATGGTCATCAAAGACGAAGAAGAGCTTGTGAGTCTGCAATATCGCTGATGACCAAGTCTGACCATGGTCAGAAAATCATCCGAACGACTTCAAACCTTTGCAATACTCTTCTCTCTGAATACGTCGTGCCCAAGCTCGAATCGATCATTGACAAGGAGAAGCCAACTCCGCACGCGACGTTGGTTAGCTTGATAGAACATCGTCTTGGGGACAATGAGCGACCTGCCGACATGAAACTGTGGAGCAAGGGGCGAAACTTGACCGACGTGAGTACCTTTGTGCCTTCACGGCGATCGCTTACAGACCTATACAGGTGGATTTCCCATCAGTCGAGTTTGTCTATGTGCCACAGATCCAGTCGGCTGGATCCGGCTTCAATTTGAAGCTCTCGAGTGAACCATCGTCTGCAAACATTGCGTTCAAGGGCGTTCACATTACGTCCATTGGCCTCAAGTACAAGGGATATTGTGCCAACGTCTCCCGAACATATATCGTCGACCCCACTTCACCGCAGGAAGCCCTCTATGGACTGGTTGTCGAGATTCATAAAGAGGTCATTGCGAAACTCAAGGAGGGCGCCGTCGCTCGCGACGTGTACAATCATGCTCTGAGCATCGTGAAGCAGAAGAGGCCAGAGCTGGAAGGAAACTTCCTAAAGAACATTGGGCATGCGGTAACGTGACTCCTTGTGAATTTGAAACCAGTCTCACGAGAACCATTAGATGGGTCTGGAGTTTAAGGAGAGCGCCTATGTACTTTCGGCCAAGAACGGCAGGGTTTTGCGTACTAACATGGTATTCAATCTTACCATTGGATTCCAAGATGTCAAGGATGAAAAGGGGCCGTATGTTGCTTTGATTTCAGGCCAGACACCGGATTAATACCATCATAGGGCCTACACCGTTCATATTGCGGACACGGTCAAGATTGGGCAAGAACGAGGCGTTTGTTTGACGGATGTCGCACGCGATGCAAAGGAATGCATGTTCTTCTTCCAGAACGAAGAAGAGGTCAAGCCAAAGCCCAAGGCACCAAAGCAAGAGTCCCCCAAGAAGAGCAAGATTGTTGGAGGAAAGGCGCTTCGAACTGCGACACGGAGCGGCGGAGGCGCCGAAGTAGCTCAGAACGTCAGGACAAAGATATACCCTCACCAGGTGGAACTACACGCGAAACGGCAGGCTGATGGCCTCGCCCGCTACGAGTCTGGAGGTGGTGCTGGTACTGGTGCCGAAACGAAGTCGTGGAAACGATTTATCAGCTACAAAGGCGAAGCGGCGCTGCCTGCTGAATGCTCGGAGCCAAAGGTTGCTACTGGCTATTTATGCATTTGGAATGCCTTTGACACTTTCCAGATTTACATTGACAAGAAGGCTCTGACTGTCGTTTTGCCAATCCATGGCTACGCGGTGCCCTTCCACATCAACACTATCAAGAATGTTAGCAAGAATGACGAAGCGGAATATGTCTATCTGCGCATCAACTTCCAGACTCCGGGTCAACTGACTGGGAAAAAGGAGGATACAGTCAGTTCGTCCAGCCATTTCAGAATGTTGGCTCACATTTTACTTTCAGCCTTTCGAAGATCCTGAGGCTACCTTCATTCGCTCTTTGACTTACCGATCCTTGAACCGAATGCGTTTCGATACACTCTTTGCGTCGATTCAACAGCTGAAGAAAGATGTCAACAAGCGCGAGCAGCAGAAGAAAGAGATGGCAGACGTTGTCGAGCAGGATAGATTAGAGGAGCTCAAAGGTCTTTATTGTCCAGTGGATGTGTGGTGCTGAAATCTGACATCGAAAGTAGGCAAACCCCAAAGACTGCCGGATGTGTTCCCGCGTCCAGCTTTGGATGGCAAGCGTCTCCCTGGAGACGTCGAAATACACCATAACGGTCTTCGTTATACTTCTATGGGTAATCAGCGCGTCGGTCAGTCTTTCAGAGTAGCTCTCGTGACTCCAGCTTACCATTCAAAGACGTCCTGTTCTCAAACATCAAACACCTATTCTTCCAACCTTGCGACAACGAGCTTATCGTCTTGATTCATTGTCATTTGAAGGCCCCAATCATGATCGGCAAGAAGAAGACAAAGGTTGATTGAATCGCGACCTCGTCTGTGACTCGCTGAACCCTTTCAGGACGTTCAATTCTACCGCGAAGCCACGGATATGCAGTTTGACGAGACAGGAAATCGCAAACGCAAGCATCGATATGGTGACGAAGACGAGATCGAGATGGAGCAGCAAGAACGCAAACGACGTGCACAGCTCAACAGAGAGTTCAAGGCTTTCGCAGAGAAAATCGCTGAAGCCGCCACCGAGTTCGTGAGTCAGGACATCCCTTTTTACGTGTAGCTATTGACCGACCACCCTAGCTTGGGGAGCCTCTGGAGCTGGACATTCCCTATGGCGAGCTATCGTTCGAAGGTGTGCCGTTCAGAACCAACGTCAAGCTTGCGCCTACAATGGATTGCCTGGTCTACCTGACGGACCCTCCGTTCCTCGTTGTTACCTTGTCCGAGATTGAAATGGCGTCCTTGGAACGCGTTCAGTTTGGCCTCAAGCAATTCGATATGGTCTTCGTGTTCCGCGATCTCACCCGCGCACCACTGTCCATCAACTCGATACCAAGCTCACAACTCAATAATGTCATGGAATGGCTGAAGTATGTGCTCTAAGATCTCCTGAAGGATGGGTACTGATATGGTATAGCGACGTCGATGTTCCGATCGCTGAGAGTCAGATCAACTTGAATTGGGGACCCATCATGAAAACCATCAACGAGGATCCCGCCGAGTTCTTTGCAGGTGGCGGTTGGGGCTTCCTAGGCATTCCTGGGCAGCCGGCTGACGAGGTACGTGTAATGTCGAACTCAAAACCGACAAACTAACTCCACCTGAAGGACTCCGAGCAATCCGAGGAGGAATCATCGTATGACCAAAGCTCTGAAGAATCTGAAGAAGAGGACAGTGGTAGCGATTTTGATGACAGCGACGCCAGTGACGACGACGATGAGGACATGTCTGGAGACGACTCGGGAGGAGATTGGGACGAGATGGAGGCAAAGGCTGCCAAATGTAAGCATCACCCAGCTTCAAAAGGCGCACCCCATTGATTCAACCTCTAGCCGATAAACGCAAAGCCGATAAAGGGCGCGGTCGTGGCTCCGATTCAGACGTCCCCAAGAAGAAAAAAGCGAGCGGTGGCAAATCAGGTCGCTAATCGCTCAACAAGGTTGACTAACGGAACGCTTGGATCTTCAATAAAACTGGTGTTCTTCGTATCTATGCTACACCAAATAGGCAATATCTTAATGTGCCATTTCGTCATGGTTTCTTGAGCCCCTTCTTCAGCACCGCGTTTGCAGCTTCTAACTTTTCAAGTTTGGTCTCCGCCTCGTACATCTTCTTGAGCAGGAAGTCAGCTCGTTGCCTCGATGCTCCGGACGCCAGGATGCCACTGTCGAGAGGGCGAATCTTTTCTAGTTTCAAGAGCTCATCTTCGCATGCTCGGATGGTAGACTCTGCCGATGCGATGGCTTTGTCGTTGAGTGCAATGTCTTGGACGGACCGGAATATCTCATCTAGGATGGGTTCAGTTGTAAGCTTACAAGATGTTGATTGACTTGACCATTGACAAGGCGTTCAAACACGTATCTGTAAACCGGTCGTCCTGGTCGGATGGTGGATGGTCGACCTGGACGAGGTCAGCGACGAAAAAGAGTTGGCAACGGGTCTTACCATCCGAGGTCGTGATCGAGATCAATTCAGCGTGTTCCATACTTCGTAACGCAGCTTCATCGCCCTTGAAGGGAAAGTCGAGAAGGACGTCGTAATAAGGCAGCTGCAGCATGGTGAATAACCTCGTCTGATCAGCGGCGACTACGTACTTCTGTAGACTTGGAGAGGGCCTTGAGGATAAAGAAGACTTGCTGCGGAGACCAGCGCATTGATTTCGCTTCCTCTTCCTCCTCGCCAAAGGCATTCTTGCGCAGCTCTGCCACGCCTCGGGTAATGATATCCTCCACTGCCATTTCCACTGGCATTCCATTCTTTACCTTGTGACACAACTAGATTCTTCCTCAGACACTACACGAGTCGATGGATTTCTCACTTACTGCCTCAAGATCGCTCGAACGGCCCCCAAGTCTGTCGATCTGAATCTTTTGTTGTCGAGTAAGGTTCGATTGGACGCCATATTGAGCCAATCTATCCTGGACAAACGAAAGGGCAGTCGAGGAATCGGCATCAGCGATTGCAATGGACGTCAAAGGCTTGGCGGGGAGAGCTATACGAGAGGTTTAGTAAGGCAGTATGGGGAGCCATTCTAGACCATTTGCACCTTTTTCGAGTTTCCTTCCATTGTCACGGTTGTCGCTCATGACCACTACGTGTGCAATCCCACCATCAGCGAGCCCAGCGGCCCAGTCTGCCAGCACGACCACTAGCTCATCAGTGAACTTAGTCTTGGTCGCATAGTTCTTGATTACGACGACAGGAAGAGCCCTGATTTCCTCGTCAATCTCTGTCCTCTCCGAGTAGGTCGGCACTGGTCGAGGTCCTTCTGTCTCCTCCTTGGCTCCTTTCCATTGACCGGGAATCAACTTCTCTGCTTCCTTCTTTCCTTCTTTGACAATTCCTTGAACAGCGCCTTGGACGGTGTGGACGGCGCTGCCTGCCCAGCCTTCCTTCTTTGGAATACTTGTGTCATCGAAGCTTTCTTGTGGCTCAGGATCCTCTTCCAATTTCTCTTTGATCGCCTCCTTTGCATTGATTACCCTTTCCTGGGTCGCGATAACTGCATTCTCGACCGCTGGAGGTGGCTTCCTTGGTTTGTCCTCATCCTTTTCTGTCATCTTCTCATCCCCAATACCGAGTTCACTAGTCACCCCCGTGCCTGCCACGGCGTCGACTCTTCCATCATGATATGTACCGAGTTGAATTTTGGCAAGAGCCTCTTTAAGATGCGCCTCAGTTTGCTCTTGGAAGTCCTTCTTGATTTCCTTGCCACGCTCGAATTCTCGGTATCGGGTAGAAACACCCTTAAGGGCATTTCCAACCACCTCCAGGACTTCTTTGAGCTGAGTCTCGACTGAAGACGATAGGCCAGCTATCAAGTTCGTTAGGGATGAAGTTGACAAGGAAAAGGTAACGCACTCTTTTGTCCGATAAGCCCTACACTGGCGAGGTCGATAAGATTGGTGAAATTGTTGAACCAGGTGAAAACCGGCCAATATCCTGTCGAGGTCAATACCAACCACTAAACTGGTCAACCGGCATACCAGTTTGCGCTGCTAGACCGTTGATGACGTCTGCGTCGCTCTTCCCCTTATTTAGTAACTCGCAGTCGATGACAAGGACGTGACTATGTGAGCGATGAGTAAAGCATAGGAAAGTGTTAACCACGCACCGATCCGCATTCTTTAGAGCTCGAGTTAACATAGATGACTTTCCACTACCTTGGGGTCCATGAACAAAGGCAATTGTGCCTATGAATTGAATTAGAAATGCAGGAGAGTTGTGAGTTTCACTCACTGGGTAGGTCAGACAAGTAGCCGCGGAGTGTGTTTTCTGCATCCTTTCTATCCTTCCAAATACTCTCGTTGCCGGATCCTCCTGATCGCTCCTGTCTGCTTGACTTCTTGCCAAAGAAACTAAAGCGATCAATGGTATTTCTCCTTATCCATTTGACGATGCGGAACTCTGTAGATTGTGAGCTCGTTCTCGTAGGAAGCTACTATACATACCATGGTAATCCAGCCACCCAACTACCTTTGCTTGGACCATGAATGACCGAATGGGATCGAAAATCTTTTCATGTGAGTAGAAACTCAGCACCGAGGAAGGAATCCACACACCAGATAGGATAAAGAGCCGAGAAGGAAGACCATAACAGGCACGACGATGCGTGGATGAGAGGTCAGCCAGTCCCAAATTGCCTGTGTCTTGACTTTTCGCTCATAGACTGTAGCCAGTCTTGTAGGCTTGTTATCACCTTTTAGCCCAGGGACTTTGCTTGTCAGCTAAATTTTGATGCCCAGTGTGCAAACGCACTCGCTGGCTCGTCTACGAGCGTGAAACCATGCACGCAGTTGTGCGCCCGAGTCGCCGCTCGCAAAGTTGAAAACTGGATGGTCGAGTATCGAAGATTGCCAGCCGGAACAGGAACAGGATTGCTGATGTTCGACACTTGGCCGTAATGCTACAGAATGTCAGGCGACTGCCTTGCGAGCGACGGGTGCTTACACGAAGGATGTCGTACAAGGTTTCCTAGAATTTTATCTTAAATTGAAGAAGTATAGACCAGAATCCACAAACCTGGTAGATATCTGGGCCTTCAAAGTAGACTTTCATGTCATTACTTGCATATCGACGCATGTCTTCCTTCCATGGCCTGCCACGAACCAGCCATACATCTCCCTTGTTGTCGCCTAACCAGGACTTGATGCCTCCCAACTCTTTGACTTGTCGTTTTATTTCAGCTTCCAAAGCAGGTGGGTCCAACGGTTGCTCTCCATCAGCCGGTTGAGTGAGCTGCGTATACTTGAACTTGACAAATGCACCACCGTCTTTAACTCTGCGCATATAGATTAGACTCAGAATCTAGACTCAGGAAACGCAACATACCGGGGTTCGACGCTCTCGACTTTGAAGCCACTCGTCTTGACTTTACTCAACGTCTCTTTAAGAGCATTAATAACCTCTGGGCGATTATATGCCGAAAGATAATGTCGAATACTTTCCCCTCATCAGCGCGGTTTCTTCAAGGCTGTCAGACTCACTCCCAAGTCCCGAGTCGTATCGGAAATATCGAATCCACGAAAAGAGTTCCTTCTCGCTCGATACTTTCTGCTACTTTATCGCCCGCAACCTGCCCATTCGAGTTCCATCGCCGCCCGAGTCGCGCAAAGTTGAACCCAGCCTCGTTTCGCAGCAACGATGTGCCGCATCGTGTGAATTGACCAGATATTCGGGTATAAGGACGCATATTTCGTCCTTGGAGGACTTTGCACACAAGTGCGACTGTTTTCTACAAAATGGTCGGGATCCAAGATGACGTCTCGTGACGGCAAAGGGCAAGGCCAAATAACTCTGCAAAGTATCTCGAACATTTATTATTTATAGCAAGGTTTTTCGCGTTTCGAGGTCTCTCAAGACAATCTCATGGACGAAAGGCTCGGTTCCGGGATGATGGCAACCCACGGTTCTGATGTAATTTAAGGAATATACTGAATCCATAAGAAGCACCCACAGTTGGACCCGACCACAACCGCGCCATTTCAAGAACACTCAAAAGATACTCAGACGCAGGCTATCCACTGCAATCGTTTGTGTACTGATGGCATTGGCACAAACAGGGATAATCCTTTCGAGCACTCCGAGAAAGACCTCTCAGAGCGTGGAGCAGCCCACCAACAGCCAGGATGACCTGACCGATGCGGAATACGACGCCGATCCCGATGACTGGGTGTCTACTCTCTTCAAAATATTTTGTCCAACTGGTTCAACCCGGCACATTGCTCGACGATTTTCCAGCCACTAGCGCTGCGGGTACTTTGGAGGGGGCCGTGCGCGATGCATTTTCGAAAGAAATAAGATCAATGCGCTTTCCGAACGTTGAGAATAGTGACGAGACTAACGAAACCGAGGAATCTACTATCAAAAAGGAGCGGGAATTGTATAGCCCTCTTGTCAGTGGTCACGGTATCGCCAAGGCGTGACCTGCTGGCTAATACCTAATCGACAGAGAGACTCATTTAATGATATGCTCAGCAGTGTTCAAACCCGTCTTCGATGTTTCAACATTGACTCGCATCGACCAATGGCCGCTACTGGCCAGAAGATGTCACCCGACCTCGCTTTCGCATTGGATTATCAAATTCGCGCGGCCTTCGATCAGGACAAGGTCTTCCTACACCCTGCTGTTTACGTCGAGGTAAAGCGGAACTATAAAGTCGACATACCCTTTCGAACATCAACTCCACAAAGCCCTGGTACCCAGCAAAATCTCCTGGCTGAACAGACAAAGTTGCTTAAACAAGTCCCGCAATACGTTTACTATGGACAGCTACCATGGCTACCATGATGTTACGTGTATTTTTCACGATGACTGGTCACCTCGCTCGGATCTGGAAGTTTACACCAGACAAATAGAGAGCATCGACTATCTCAACGATCCTGATGCACTTCTCAGGTTTGTTCATGCATTGGCATTGAATGGCCTTCAGGGTTTGGCCGATAAAAGACAGAATACATGAGTACACTCTCTTCCAGCAGTACGAGAATCGACGATACGACAAGGACAAGGCAACGCGACCACCCAGCATTCCGACGTTGCTCGCACGTGGAACAATTTCTATGCCCAACTACGCAGATCTCGATCTCCCAACGCTTGGCATCGACGCGGTTGAATATGTGCTCAAGAGTGGGGGTGAGCAGGATGCGGTTCAAAGTGCGTCAGCGAATTCAGGAGATGAGGCTACCAATGCAACCTCCGATGCCCGTCCCCAAATCCTCAGAATACTAGTGCGTCAATCGACCCATCTGAAACTGGGCTACCACCACGATCCACCCCGGAGCGGCGCTTTGACTGGTTGCTATTCAAAGAAGTCGGAAGGGACTTGGCCAAAACTAGTGACTTGCCGGAATTTACCAACGTGTTGCGTGACGCCGTAGCAGGTTCGTCCTTTCACATCATAGTAAGGCGCAAATGATAACGAAGCGTCTAGCGCATGAGAGCTTGTATACAGCCGGTGATATTATTCATAGGGACATTTCTTCTGGGAATATTCTTGTCTCACTGTCACCCCTTGGCAAAGCTCACGGAATACTCATCGGCTGGGAAAGGACACAAGGAAGGTTTTGCAGGAGAAACGATCGCCGATGACCGTAAGCACCACGCTGTTCTTATCGAAGGGATTTCATCTTTGAGCAGGGCACTCCGCTCTTCATGTCAATCGCACTCGAACATGAACCGCTTCACAGAGTCTGGCATGATCTCGAGTCATTCTGGTTGGTGTGCATATACATGACCATTCGCCATGTCTCGTTGTCGAATTCGACACAGTCATTCTCAATCGGGAAAGACGGAAGGAGACTCTTTGGACGTACTTTACTAGAAAACAATCCAGGCTCTCAGCGCTTCGAAGATGGGGTTGCTGTTCGCACATCTGGAGGTAACAGGCTGCCCCGAACTGAGTGATGGTCTCTCCGAGGTACAAGAGTCGCTCCAGAAGCTCTATAACTTCCTTTCAGGGTTAAAAAAGATGGACTCCGAACTTGCAAGATACAGCGACGAGTTCAAGTCTGGCGGTCTCAACAGAACTGGCCATTACAGTACTGTTACCTGGGAAGATCTCGAGAATATCCTGAAGAAAAGAGGAGATGCGATCCATATCATATCTACAGGCGAGCAAGGATTCCCATCATCCAACGCTCTGCCAGACTCCAAGAGCATAATTAGGCTCCAGAAGCGACTAAGCAGCCTTGGTAATGACCTGCAGCGAATCTCTTTCCTCAGTCACGGCGATTTTCTCTCTTGGTTCGAGATCTCCATCGAGACACAAGAGCAGGCCGGGTGGGATCCTTGCGAGTTGGAAGACGAGCCCTCAGAGACTCGCGTTCTTCCTCGAGGCAAAAAAAGCCAACCGATATCACACAGCAGAGGCCCCCAGTTCTACTCTCCGCGCAAAACTCGCTCTAGTGGTGTTAGTGCCAGCATTAGATCCTCTATGGGCAGCAACGTCAGCAAGGGGTCGCGCAAACCCTTTGAAGAATCACAAGGAGACCCACGGGAAGGCCCACAAGAAGTCGACAGAGGCGCTTCAAGCTCTCGGTAAGAATCCTTAGACCCATGACTGATTTCGTGTACTTTTAGAGAGAGAAAACGCGCAAGGATAGGATGAAGGCTGTCGCTCATCGGTATATCCGAGAATACTCGAGTCCTCTATGCTTATTATGTCCTATGCATTCAGTGTGCGTTGTACCAGTCATCTGTGCCCCCAGATAATAAGCGGACTCATCCGAGCATTGAAATAGATGGAAGCTCACTATACGAGAATCTGCTTCATGGCAGAGCCCTGACGAGCAGTTGCGATTGTCACCATTATGACTAGATTGTACTGCTGAAATAAACTGTCTTTCCTATCTTCTTGTCCGCAGAACCACTCGCGTGCACTCATATTGTCGTAGCAATCAAAAAGAACACACTCTCGGATGTAAAATTGTATCTTTTTCTCACTCCAAATGGCAGCGACTAGATATCCAGACTCTGTCGAATACTTTTTGCGTCGGGTGTATGCATAGTACTATCAGCGGTCTTGGTCATACCAGAAGTTCCTTCCTGAGTTTTCCTTTGTGAACTTCCTCTGCGTGGATTATGCTATACACCGAACGTGATAATAGAGACCTGGACTGTTCGAGACTGTACACACTATGAAATCCAGATATGAAGCTTGTGGGTGAATAAAAACCAATAGTCTTCATGTCAAACATATACAAGCTTAACGGATATACGCGAAATATAAAGGCACACCGATGCATGTGGGTGAACAGCCAACAGCTCGGCCATAGAGCCGCAAGTATAGCTTAATGCCCTTGTCCAGGATATCCTCCTCCAGGCTTAGGTGGTCCTCCAGCGCCCCAACCGTAACCCGGCTGCTGCTGATATCCTCCAGGCGTACCATACGGACCCGGCTGCATAGGCGGCGGCGCACCAACGCGTTGCGGTTCTCCTCTATCTTGATCAAGTCTCCATTGACATACTGGGCAAAGCCAGATACGCTTCTTGCTCAGCGGGAGAAAGTTGAGCGGAATGAAGCAGCTGTTTACAAAGTCCAATGAGTGTTATATGGAGATGCTGAGAGGATATAACGTACAATTCCAGATATGTTTTCTTCGTTCCGCCGACTATCGAGGCTGCCAGGGTTTCAGTCATATGGTCTGCTACAGACAGCTACTGACCATTGTGACACCTCGGACATATCCTCGCTATGCCATCACTCATTTGATCAAAGTCATTGTTACAACCAACTACGGCGCACTCCATCAGGCAAAATTCACAAAGTCTAGGCATTTGTACCTACTTACGAAACAAACTAAACAAAGAGGAATAGTTAGTAGATGATTGAGTTCAAGATGGATGCGCACAGGCCATTTTTGCGGTTTTGGTGGAGGTCAAGAGTTGTGAGACCACCGAGAGCGCAGCCCTTCGGATTTCTTGCGGTGCTTGGCGCAAGCAGAGGAACAATTCAAGCCATATCTTAGAAGTTATCCAATGGATGAACGGAAACATATGCATAAGATTAAAACAATGAGCACTACTAACGAGGCTGGTCACGTCCTACGTCAGAGGAGAGCGGCCCATACATGATGGAGAAGCGATAAAGGATAGGTATGATACGAGTAGTAACGATTAAGCGACGGTGGGTGATCAACAGAGAGCCCGAAATACGCGCGAGTCGAGTCGTCCACAATCGTGTCGGAGCCATTTTAATTCCACATATTAGCAGCACCCGCTAGATGTGTTGGTGGTGATTCCAGTTCCGGGCGTGATGGTGTTGGTCTTTGAAGTGGGACCACCAGTGCCCGAGGCGCCCATCCTGAACACACCGCATCAGCGCTGTTATGTAGGATGAAACAGAGAGCGGGTACTCACTTGTCCTTGATCTGCTTGGCCATGGTCAAGAATGCCTGCTCGACGTTGGTGGCGTTCTTTGCAGACGTCTCCAGGAATGGAATACCAAGCTGGTCGGCGAATTCCTGAGGTATAGATGAGATTGTAAACTCTCATCGTTTGTGTATGGGCCGTACCTTTGCAACGGTGTATTCGACAACCTTCTTGCTGGTCAAATCAGACTTGTTTCCCACCAGCAGCTTGTTCACGCCCTCTGAAGCATATCGATCAATCTCTTGCAGCCACTGCTTGACGTTTGTGAAAGTGTCTGTTGAGACAATGAGCTCAGAATCGGTACAATGCCCAGACAACAATTCAACTCACCCGTGTCCGTAACATCATAAACAACAATAATGCCATGGGCACCTCGGTAGTAGCTCGAGGTAATGGTTCGGAAGCGCTCCTGTCCAGCAGTGTCCCACTATATTTGATGATAAGCAAAGTCAGCATTCCAAGTTGAGCCACGTAGATCAGATAGGCTCGGAGAGTCTACGTATCAGCACTTGCGCTAGCTATAAACAGGCGCGTGTACCGTTTATAGACGCAAAGGGCGCCGACCCGAGCGGCGCTCTCTTGGGAGACGCGAAAGCGCAGAGTGCACCCCCCAAAAAAAAGGATAAAATATGAGGACGTACGATTTGGAGTTTGACCGTCTTTCCCTCGAGCTCAATGGTTCGAATCTTAAAGTCGACACCAATGGTGGAGATGTAGCTCTCCGTGTACGTGTCGTCTGCGAATCGAAGGAGCAAGCACGACTTTCCGACACCAGAGTCTCCGATGAGCAAGAGCTTGAAAAGATAATCGTATTCGCTGGCGTGCATGGTCAAAGTTGCAAGGAGGTGTAGCGGTTCAAACGTCTCCTCCACCTTTGGCCTGGCGTCACCAGCCATGAGCGCCAGTTTGACCATTTCAGCAGCTGGAAAATTCAGTTTCAGCTTCAATTCGCGTATTCATCTCCCCGGCTCATCATTGCCAGCTCCCGGACTCTCTTGCTCTCTCCGCCATGCCTGTATTGTTTGTCCCGTTCTCTCCTGCTGCCTTTGGGTTTCTAAAGTCTCTACAGAGACACTCGATTCAAGGGCATCTGCTTTGATATCGGTGGAGTCGTCATTACGTCCCCATTAATCGCTATTGCACAGTATGAGCGTGAACGCGGCTTTCCAAGAGACTGGCTCAACGTCCTCATGTGAGAGAAAATGCGATTATATTTCACGACTCAGTGGTTATAGAACTGGACACGGGCATGGTGGCTCATGGCAGCGATTCGAGCGCGGTGAAATCGACCTTTACACCTTTTACGACGGATTTGGTCGAGATCTCTCCGATGTTCGACGCGGAAAGTCTTGGTACGCACAATACTGCACGAAGAAAGGCTGGAGTAAGTACGTTGACCTTGGCTGTCGACACTCCCTAAAGCATTTACCAGCATTCCCAACCCTCCCTCCGAGCTCTGAAATGAAAGTAGATGGTAGAGAGGTGTGTATTCTTTCTTGTATATTCACAACAGCTCATGTACATTTATAGCTCTTTGGGCGAATGATGCGAGGCTCCCAGTTTGACGATCTGGTTGTCCGAGCTATCAAGATCATAAGAGGTATGATCACTACTAGCTATTTGACCCGTTACCGACCTTGACAGCCACAAGACAATACCGCGTCGTGGCTATCACCAACAACTTTGCCGGCTCGACGAGCAACGTAGACGAAGAGGAAAAGAAATTCCTTGGATGGGATGGAGGAGCAGCTTCCACGTCTTTACAGCTCCGCGCATTGTTTGATGACTACATCGACTCGTCTGAAGTAGGCTTAAGGTGAGCAGCTATTTGAATGTCAAGGTTTACTCACGACGTAATAGGAAACCGGATCCAGCAATATACAAACTTGCCTGTGAGCGTAACAGTCTCAAGCCGCAAGAGACCATTATGCTCGATGATCTTGGAATGTGCGAGCAACCTATCCCTTGCATTTCGTGCCACTGACAAAATGCAGGAACCTAAAACCTGCGAAAGAGCTGGGAATGACCACGATTCGTACGTTCTATGAAAATGTAACTCAGTGCCTGATTCGCTGCAGAGGTCAATATCGGGCGTTCAGAGGAAGCAGTCCGGAAGCTTGGAGAGTTACTTGCGCTCGACTTGTTGGATGGAGGTGCGCCTATGTCGCGCTTGTGAGATTCCGGCGGCAGTCGAACATCTCATTCACTTCTACCGCTAAACTGTCTTGTGAATTAAAAGGGGTTTGACTATAAGAAATGATGTCCAGCGAAACCGAATGCGTGTTCATCATCTATGAAATTGAAACTAGAACGGCTTGTCCTCTGCCGGCGTGGTATCCACCCAAGTTTGTCCAAGCTATCGACCACCAGCATATTTATAGCACGTGCAAGGAAGAGGAGAGAGGCGTCAGCCAACATCATCACCATTCGTTTGGACGAAAAACGAAAGAAACGCACAAGCGGAATCTTCTTGAGGACGTCGTTCTGGAATATAGGTGTATTTGAAAGTAATAGGGAGACTGTAGCACCGACTCCGACGCCCCAGAGGGCGAGCGAGGGTGTCCACTGCTTGAAGCCCTGTGATAACAATCCAAAAAATGTCGGCAAGGAGTAAAAGAGTATAAATAATCTATGCTTACAGCTTGTGTGAATCCAAGTGGCCGTCTAAGCGGTGCTACAGTGCGGATGAGGAGCGTGCGTGCCATAATGTCGAGAGTTGGTCGAGGCCAGTCAGTATACTGGCTGCCACCGCCAACTCTTAGTTTACTTGTGTTATAGTGAAATTGTACAATTCGAATAGAGACTTGAAGACAGGATGAATACAGTGCGCATCAAATAGCAGCGAATAATGTTCGAATCCAATTCCATAACCCAGCACTTTACGCAGTCTGCTCCGTTGAGATTTGAGTTGCTGCATCGACGAGGGCATCAACAGCAGACGTATCCTCTTCTGCGTCGTTTGTCTCCTCGGCCTTGGTCTCCGCAGGACTCTCCTCGGCGGCGGTGGCTTTCGACACGGCCACCCACTTGTCCTTTCCACTCTTCGACTTGGCCTTGCGTCGCTTCTTCTTCTTGTCATCATCCGCAGACGATGACTCTTCGCCGCTGCTCGACTCGTCAGCGCTTTCTGTTGCAGTGCTGCTAGTGGCAGTCGAGTCTTCCGCAGGCGGGGTCTGGAGACCAGTTTCGGTCGTCGTAGAGGTGGATTCGGTCGTCGTCTTTGCAGTCGTGGCTGCGCGCTTCGCCTTGCGATACGCTTTACGCGCCGCTGCGAGTTCATCTGCCTTCTTGGTCTCCTCTTCTTCAGCCTTTTTGGTCTCTTCCTCCTTTTCCTTCTTCTCTTGCTCCTCCTTCTCCTTGCGCTCTTTCTCTTCCTTTTCCTTCTTCAACTTTTCCTTGCGCTCGCGCTCTTCGACGATCCAGGCAGACACCTCGTCGACACATTCCCGTGGGCGAGACTTGTTCTTCAAGAGATATCCCTGGAGAGCTGCGACGCTGACCTCGTCTTCAGGGATCAATTGACCGAACCGATGCGCAAGTTCGTTGAGCTCGTCCTCGTCAAGAGCGTTGAGAGGAATCTTGCGAGACTTTTGGAGCTTGTCGTCTGCAAGTGCTGTGCGAAGGGCAGGGAGCTGGTGCGCAGGAGAAGTGGGCGAGGAAGAAGGAGAGACAGGGGTCTCCAGCCCGCTCGAGACCTTGGGCTTGATAGGGAAGAAGCGCTTGAAGATACCTTCGGCTTGCCACTTTGTCGCATGCTTAAAGTTAATCCAGACGTCCATGCGTCCTGGACGACGGAGCGCTTCGTCCAGTCGGTCGATATGATTCGTTGTAGCGATAAGGATGCGACCCTCTGGAGCCGTCACGCCGTCAATACTATAATCATAGTGGTCAGTGTGAAGACTAGGTGACAATGAAAAGAAAACGTACGCGTTGAGAAGTCCGCTCAGAGTGAGTGTATTGCCGTCCGGCTCTGTAGCTTTCTCTGAAACAGTCGGTGCACCAGTAGACTTCTTGTCACGGGTGGTCGAGTGCGTGAAAGATGCATCCAGATCCTCCAAAAGGACAATGCAGCGCGTTGGAATACGACCCATTAGTTGCATCAGCGTATTGTCGCTCATTCTGCGAAGGTTCAGTAAAAGTGCAATTTGAATATATAAGACGTTACTCACCCTTTGGCGCTGAGGCTGAGTGCATAAATGTTCAAATCGAGCTCGCCGGCGAGAGCAGCGACCAGAGATGACTTGCCACTTCCTGGGACTCCATAAAGAAGATACCCTCGACGATACGGAATTCCGCGCTCGGCATACCAATCCTCGCTATTCATCTAGATCCACAGATGTTAGTGCACATTAGGAAAACCCAGAACGAGCCACTCACAAAGTCCTTGCAGTCTGAAACGAGCATGTCCTTGACGCTGGACTCGAGGACGACCGAGTCCAGAGGCCTCTTCTGACGGCTGCCATTCCAGCGCCAGCCACCCCACGTCTCGGGAATGTAAACGTGGATGCGGTGCTCTGCGTCCTTTTCGTACATCTTCTTTGCCTCGAGTACGAGCTGCTTGATGACAGTATTGTTGCGCGCTACGACGCTAATCTTGATTTCCCGGACGTTGCCATACTCCGAAGCGCGTTTCGAGCGCGTGATCTACACATGAGTGATTAGGATGATGTGTCCCTTTCTTTGTGGAAGAAATAAGACGTACTCGGAGCCAATGACCACGGTAGTAGATTGTGTGTGTCGTGTCTGCAATGTGTCAGCACCGATCCACCGAAACCCATAGAATCGGAACCAAATCACACGCAAGCGCAGTCTAGACCAGAAGAAACGGAATGACGACATCAAGACGAACCCAAACCATGCAGGAAACAGAGGGAGACCGGGGAGTGGGAGGTACTTACCCTGGGCAGGCATAAATGCAATCATACTACGGGTATTTCCCTTGACAATAGTTGCTTCTTCGTCCTCGTCTTCAAAGTCACCAGCTGAGCCTGCTCCCTTGCGGACAGTCCGGGTTGTAATATCAAATTCGCGAGAGCGACCCCATGCGGGTTCTATAGATGCGTTAGTAAGCGAGACGTGATCACTGGGTTCGGCGAGTGGGAGCAGCATCCATCTCGGAAGTGGAGGCTGACCATGGCGGTGAAAGCGAAAAGTACATACGTTTGCTCTGCAAGAGTCGATCAGTCAGTGAATGATTATCGGTGTAAGACGGGCGAACGTACCAGCCAATGCATTATCCATTCATACGGGCTAATTGGATTGGCTCGTCAGAATCCATGAGTAAAAGTGAGGTGATGAGGGCTTACGTGTCATTCTGTGTAAAATGGGCGGTCAAGAAGAATGCTGTCATCTCGTCAGAACTGTACACGGCGAATGCTGGGTCAGACTCACAGTCGAGGAACGAGTTCCAGCTCGAGCGTGCGACGCGTCGTGCGGTTTCCACTGTTCCACCTATGACTACTAGTTTCTGCTCAACATTATCAGAGACGTGTCCAGAAATGATGATGAGAGAGGGGACGTACAACTGTGTCGGACACAGCGCCGGTGCCCATTCCTAGACCCGTGTTGAAGACGCCTTTGAGGAGTTCCATAGTGCCCTACTGCTCGTCTGGTGAAAGTGGTTGGGGGACAAGGAGACGCGGACTGGAAATGATCAGTCGAGGCCTTGATAACTGAGGAAATAGCGCTGACCTTTGGATGTTCCTGAATTGAATTCCACGTAATTCATAGTTATTGCAACTCAGTCAAAGCTGGAGATGACTCTTTTTCCGGTCGTCCACCCGCGCTCGCGGCCATGAATTAGCAGCAAATCTCAACGTGGACTTTAGGGTCGCGATGACCGCGTCCACGGCAATAGCGCCGTCCTTGCAGGAGATGTGGCGAACACATCGTCGCGAGTTCAACGAGCGCCGTCTCTCCCAGCAGTGCAGGTCATAAAGTACGGGCGTAGAATCCGGCTGGCTCTCTTCATTAGAGTGAATGAATACAAGAGTTATTGGGTGTGGCAAGAATCTACGCTGCTCGATCAACAAATAGACGCCTTGTTGCCGAGAAGCAACCCCCGTTCGTGCTGTTCAAACGCTGACTGGGTTCGCAGTGCCGTCTCAACTGAAATTCTATAGTATTCGAGAACTTTTACTGCTGCAGACTTCGGCCAGAGCCGCGTTTAGGTGCGGCCGCTGTCATGGCCGGGATTGAGATGAGACGCAGGAGCGTAGCCAATGATTCGTCCACAGTGTTATCTAGAACACTAGTATTCAACTCTGATAACCCCTGAGATTGAGCCAACTCGGCCGAAATTTGGCTGGTTCATTCCCAGTACAGGCGCTTGGAGCTGAACCCGTCAGAAGCCGCCAGATGAGGTTGTACTTTTGGCCTTAGGATGGTCATCTGCTCGCTCTTTGCAGTAAAAACGTCCGGTGGCACTAGTGTTGCTAAGTCACTTACTCATCTTGACTTCGACTTTGTCTCCAGTTTATCCGTCGTCGTACAATCCGGGAAGATATTCACATGACACGTGTATTCTAGGCCAAATATACTAGTCAGAACGTTTCTAAATGAAGAAGGGAGCAATCTGTTGGCAGGGCAGCGCGGCAGCAACACCCGTCGCATGCGTTCGAGCGTTGGATCTTGCATCAGTTCATTGACTTTTGAGTCGCAACCAGGTGGAAGAGTATTCTCCTCTCTTGCATTCGGCTCCGGAGCTGTGGATTACATGGTGACTAGAGGGCTATACTACCGTGAAGCAGAGTTTCGTATGGTGAACCTCACGGCGCGAGCCTTCATCTATCTCGGTGTCCAGATGACGGTCAAGCGTAAGCATGGGAATGAGTCTACTTGTTAACTGGGGATACAAATGACTGATAAGACATACACTAGGTGCATAGGGTACGATAAGCATAGACGACTCGAGTATTCTCGGATATACCGATGGGCAACGGCATTCCCTTATTCTATCCTTGCGCGTTTCCTCTCTCTAAAAGTAGACGAAATCAGTCATGACACCCATGGGTCTAAGGATTCTTACCGAGAGCTTGAAGCGCCTCTGTAGACTTCTTGTGAGTCTTCCGGTGAGTCTTCTTGTGAGTTTTCTGTGATTCTTCAAACGTTTTGCGCGACCCCTTGCTGACGTTGCTGCCCATAGAGGATCTAATGCTGGCACTAACACCACTAGAGCGAGTTTTGCGCGGAGAGTAGAACTGGGGGCCTCTGCTGTGTGATATCGGTTGGCTTTTTTTTGCCTCGAGGAAGAACGCGAGTCTTTGAGGGCTCGTCTTCCAACTCGCAAGGATCCCACCCGGCCTGCTCTTGTGTCTCGATGGAGATCTCGAACCAAGAGAGAAAATCGCCGTGACTGAGGAAAGAGATTCGCTGCAGGTCATTACCAAGGCTGCTCAGTCGCTTCTGGAGCCTAATTATGCTCTTGGAGTCTGGCGGAGCGTTGGATGATGGGAATCCTTGTTTGCCTGTAGATATGATATGGGTCGCATCTCCTCTTTTCTTCAGGATATTCTCAAGATCTTCCCAGGTAACAGCACTGTAATGGCCAGTTCTGTTGAGACCGCCAGACTTGAACTCGTCGCTGTATCTTGCAAGTTCGGAGTCCATCTTTTTTAACCCTGAAAGGAAGTTATAGAGCTTCTGGAGCGACTCTTGTACCTCGGAGAGACCATCACTCAGTTCGGAGCAGCCTGTTACCTCCAGAGGTGCGAACAGCAACCCCATCTTCGAAGCGCTGAGAGGCTGGATTGTGTTCTAGTAAAGTACGTCCGAAGAGTCTCCTTCCGTCTTTCCCGATTGAGAATGACTGTGTCGAATTCGACAACGAGACATGGCGAATGGTCATGTATATGCACACCAACCAGAATGACTCGAGATCATGCCAGACTCGGTGAAGCGGTTCATGTTCGAGTGCGATTGACATAAAGAGCGGAGTGCCCTGCTCAAAGATGAAATCCCTTCGATAAGAACAGCGTGGTGCTTACGGTCATCGGCGATCGTTTCTCTTGCAAAACCTCCCTTGTGTCCTTTCCCAGCTCCCAGTATTCCGTGAGCCTTGCCAGGGGGTGATAGCGAGACAAGAATATTCCCAGAAGAAATGTCCCTATGAATAATACCATCGGCCGTGTACAAGCTCTCATGTGCTAGACGCTTCGTTATCATTTGCGCCTTACTATGATGTGAGAGGACGAACCTGCTACGGCGTCACGCAACACGTTGGTAAATTCCGGCAAGTCACTAGTTTAAGTAACCGACAATCCGTTGTTGGTGGCGTCCAACCAGGTTACTCTCCTTTCTTCGAGTTTCCTTGTCGGCCGCTGATACCATACCTTACGGGCAGCGTTTCGGGATCTTGTTGGTTTTGAGGACGAGCTTGTGTGGGTGACCACCAAGTTGGCGCTGTGTGCGGTTATGCTATACTGAATAGTTCTCTACGTACGTCGAAGTGTGCAAGATATGAAATGATCGCACGTATGATGGAAGGCGAAGCCAAGCACGGGCTCAGCGAGAATACATGGCCAACGCTTGTTGAGCGGATGGAATCCCGGGTGCCGCCACCACCCAACTCTGAGCAGCAGAATCTACAGACCAATTCGAGTAAAATGTAATAGATTTGATAACTTATACCCCCTATACGATAACTGTCTACAGCCGTGCACCTGCTTTCGTAGGTTGGGGTCGCTTCCTGGCCAGTCTACGGTAGAGTGCGCGCATAAGGAGAGAATAAGCGGCAAACAGGACACCAGCTGGTGGGAACAACCAGGATAGACGCCAACTCCAACCCGCTTTGGCACGCAGGGAGGCAGCAAGGTCGGAGACTTGTCGTTCAAGTTCTGCAAATCCCGCAGAATTTTCAATAACCTTGTCCGCGTAGGCAACTTTATCGGACATGGGCATCTGGGAAGCAATGCGGTCTTGGGCGGCGGTGAGGGTACAATTGTCGCGTTGCATGAGGCGCTGTAGTTGGAGTTCCTTCGAGCTGAAAAAGTGAATGGAGGATCAAACAGTTGGAGAAGGAGCGTACCAATATACGACAACGATCCATCCGACCCACTTGAAAAGCCCGGCTTCGATGAGGAGCGGGACGTCGAGGATGCACACAGACTCGCCAGTGAGCCAGCATTTCATGACCTGTGTAAGCATAGCCCATCTTACGGCTGGATGAACGATTCCGTTGAGCACACGTCGGCTTTTATCATCCTTGAAGACAATGTCGCCCAATTTCTTCCTGTCGAGCTGCTGCGAGCCGTCTTGGAGCAATACAGAGGTCCCAAAGTGATTTACGATCTGCGTATGTGCGCGTGTTCCCGGCTCGACGACCTGGCGAGCAAGCACATCGGCGTCGATGATTGGCAGGCCATGTTTTGTAGAGAGCAAGCGCGATACGGTCGACTTTCCGGATGCTATGCCTCCTGTGAGTCCGACAACTATAACGAGTTAGTTTGGTGGAGACCAGAGTGGTGAAATGTACCGAGCATGTTGGTTCCAAACTTGGACTGCACTCCATTTCACAACGCCAGTAAGACTTCAGAAGACGAATGAAATAACTCGAATGCCAAGAATCAGAAGCCGTCGAGAAGCCTGAGCTTGTGACCAAAGCACTGACGCACACTCGATGCGCATCGGGCCGGCACATTCTTCTTCCCAAATGACGTTGAACTTGGACTAGGGTCTTATCTTCTGAAACTCCTTACACTCGAAGAGTTGGTTTGTAGGATAGTCACGGGCTTGCTATTACGAACACTTCAGCTCCAATACCCTTTGGCGAGCCGATCTTCAAAGATGCCCGTTTAGCAAATCGGAATCGACGGATGACAAAACAACGGGCGCCGTAGAGTTTTAGTGACGCACGCAAGCGGTCACTCCACGTATCCCATCCCGTCTGCATGTCTGCATCTTGGAATCTCCCACTTCCAGCAGCGCAATGGCACAAGCAGTAGAAGCAATCAAACACACCTTTCTCGACACCAAAAAGGTCCGCGACCTTCAACGAGACACCGTCGATGCCGTAAAGACGTCGACGGGCATGACTACAGACCACGGCACTGCCGTACTCGACACCGACAATTGGTATGTATACTCTACGTGCACAAAAAGAGCCCGAGACTGATACTGTCCCATAGGCTCAAAGCCACCGACGGCAAGTCTGGTCCTGGACCCTCGCTCCTCGAAGATGAACAGGCGCGCCAAAAGATCATGCGCTTTGATCACGAGCGTATTCCCGAGCGTGTTGTTCACGCTCGTGGTGCTGGTGCACATGGTCACTTCAAGCTTCACAAAGCCATTCCTGAATTCAGTTACGCCGGCGTGCTCAATGACACGTCGCGTACTACACCCATCTTCATTCGATTCTCCACTGTTCAAGGTTCTCGTGGCAGCGCGGATACTGTACGCGACGTCAGAGGCTTTGCCGTCAAGTTCTATACGGACGAAGGCAATTGGGACATCGTGGGCAATAATATCCCCGTCTTCTTTATTCAGATGCCATCAAGTTTCCAGATATTATTCACGCTGTCAAGCCTGGTGAGTTTACTCTTCCTTACCCATCTGGATTGGATTTTGACGGATTGCAGAACCCCAGAACGAAATCCCAACTGGCCAATCTGCCCACCCATCATTCTATGACTTCATTTCACTCACGCCAGAGTCAATGCATATGCTCATGTGGGTCATGTCTGACCGCGCTATCCCGCGCTCCTATCGAACTATGCAAGGCGTACGTTCATTCGTATCATGTTTACGTCCTCTGACCTCATGTATATAGTTCGGAGTCAACACCTTTACACTCATCAACAAGGATGGCGAACGCTTCTTTGTCAAGTTCCATTTCGATCCTGAGCTGGGTGTACACAGTCTCGTTTGGGACGAGGGTCAGTGATTCACCCCACCGTCACAAAGCAATATTTTCTGACAATGTCGATAGCATTGAAACTCAGTGGCCAAGATCCCGACTTCCATCGAAGAGACCTCGAGGCGGCGATTCGCAATGGCGCTTTCCCTAGATGGACGTTTGCCATCCAGGTCATTCCCGAGGCGCAGGAGCACGATTTTGAATTCGAGTACGTTTTGACATGTTCAAAGTTGTGACAGCGCTGATCCAGCGCAGCATTCTTGATGCCACCAAGATCTGGCCCGAAGAATTGGTTCCCAAGATTCCAATTGGAGAGATTGTGCTCGACAGAATGCCAGATGGTTCGTCTGCGATTTTGGCTCTCATTGTGACCTGTACTGACAATGAACAGAATACTTCCCCGAGACGGAGCAGGTCGCATTTTGTACTTCGCACATCGTACCTGGTGTCGGCTTCTCAGACGATCCCCTTCTCCAAGGCCGCAACTTTTCGTACTTTGATACCCAGCTCTCGCGCCTGGGCGTAAACTGGTAAGCAAACAAAACGTTGGTCGTATCTGTAAAACTCACGATACTGACGATCCGCTCTAGGCAAGAGCTTCCCATCAATCGCCCAATTTGCCCAGTCATGAACTTCCATCGGGACGGCCAGATGCGACACAGGATCACAAAGGGTCCAAACTATTGGCCCAACCGCTTTGGCACAGTTCCTCCACAGGCAGACGCCTTCAAGACACAAGGTTTCATCCAAGAGTATGTTCCGCTGATTTATCTTGTCTATAGACTTACTGAACGTACATAGTTACCCTCAGAAAATTCACGGTGTCAAGCAACGTCTACGCAGCATCAAGTTCAACGAACACTTTAATCAAGCACAGCTCTTCTACAACTCTTTGTCAAAGTGGGAGAAACAACATCTCATCGATGCACTCTCGTTTGAGATGAACAAGTTTGACGAGGGCGACATTGTTGATAAGATGATTGATCGACTCGCACAAATCGACATGGAACTTGCTACACAAGTTGCTAGCAATGCGGGTGGCACGGCTCCAAAGAGTGGCAAAGAGAACCATGGGAAAATGAGCAAGTTTTTGAGCCAGACCGCATTCCCTCCGGCTAAGCCAACGATCAAGTGAGTTCTTCTCCAGACAACCTAATCCCTGACCTGAATGTTTCCCAGGAGCCGAAAGATTGCCATTCTCGTTGGTGACGGCTTTGATCTAGCAGCCTATGAAGGTCTCAAAGCTGCTTTGCTCTCCGGTATGGCCGTGATCATGACTGTTGGGAACCGCAAGAGTCGCGTGACGTCCTCGTCTGGTAAAGCAATCTCTCCAGATTTGCACTTTGAGGGAGACCGGTCCACTGGGTACGATGCGGTTGTGATCCCGGGCGGCAAGCACGTCGAAGCGCTAAGCAAGAATGGACGTGTAATCCATTGGATCCGCGAGGCGTTCGGACACTGCAAGGCGATTGGTGCATTTGGCGAGGGTGCGTCTGTTTCCTTTCCCCTTGGTCCTTGAGTTTGGAGAATGCGTGCTGATGATACCTGTCATCTAGCTGTCGACCTACTCAAAGTCGCTCTGCCACTCCAGCAGCTTCAGTTTGCCGAGGACAACTCGAGCGATGCAGTCGTGTGTTCGTATGGCGTTGTGACGGCGCGTGCTTATTCGTTCCCGTCCGCCCTGGCCGACTTGACAATTGGCGAGGGCGAAAAGGGATTCGTGGCCAACTTTTCGTACCATGTCGCCCAGCACCGGTGTTATGAGCGTGAACTAGACGGTTTGGTATCGCTCGTGGCATTCTAATCGACTATGAAGATGGCAGTCTGCTTTCGAAGTTTGAACACAAAATGTACATTTGTACTATTGAAAAACAAATCCATTTCAATTCTAACTAGATGAATGAATGTGAGATGCGGAGTATGAGTATTGGTAGGTGAGCGAAGGCTCTAGAAGATGAGGGTGGCGAGCGCCAAACTTTTGGACTCGTCCTCTTCGCCCACCTATAAAGTCAGAGCAAGATTCCGGAGATAAGTCGATACAATCCGTGCTCGGATATAGGAGAAAACAATTTGAGACCAACGATCAAAGATGCCAAAGTGCACGCGACAAGGATGTGGCAAGGAATACAACGAGGACGAGAATGAACAGGGAGCATGCATGTTTCACTCTGGTGCACCCGTACGTACAACTGGAAATGCTGCGTAAATGCCAATTGTCCTGACTGATCCTCTCCATCTTGCATATAAATGCATCACTGATCTCTGGAATTTCACTATCTATGCGGGTCTGTCAAACAAATATCCTCGGTCGCATAATGAACGACGTAACTCCTTTGTCGGGTTCCATCCTGACACGGGAATCGATGATGCGCCGTAATGCACTTGAATTACGAAATGTCACCCATCATGAATGCGAATTTCTGGATGACATGGATCATTTGTTTTGATCATGACCAACTCTATCGCTGCAGAAATTCCACGAGGGCTTGAAATCATGGTCATGCTGCGACGATATCAACAGACCTGTACTCGACTTTGACTCGTTTATGAAGATACCAGTATGTGCACTGTCCTCTTCGTATACCAGTTGACCGTCTTGTTTCTCCTGAGATGGTCGTTGGTCTAGGTTCCAGAGTTCTGATGCTGACCTTGCTACTTATAGGGCTGTACACCGAATGTACACACTTCAGCTACAAACCTGCCCGTACCGAAACCAGTTCAAACATCGGGAGGCCCGGGCTCGAATCTAACGAGCAAAGTGGCCGCCAAAGTGGACGAAAGTGGCAAAGAAACGTTTGGATCCACTTCTAGTGCTGGTACATCTTCGTCGACAATTGTCAATCCGTCGATTCCCAAGCCTGCACCGAGCGCGCCTCAACCACTGGTAGAAGATGAAGATGATACAAGCGTCAAGGTCGAGCCAGGTACAAAGTGTCAACGGAATGGATGCAAGCACTTGTTCGTGAGCGACGAGGAGAGTAGGGGTGATGGCCCGCAGTCTACGTGCATCTATCATCCTAGACAGGTATGTACACCATTTTCATTTACTAATCATCCGACTGGAGGAGCTGATGGAACGTTCTAGCCTCTGTTCCACGAAGGCAGCAAAGGGTACCTATGCTGCAAACGGCGCGTTCTCGAGTTTGACGAGTTTCTGAAAATTGAGGGCTGCAAGACGGGGAAGCACTTATTTGTCAAGAAGAAGCCTATAGACACCGTATGCCTTCCTCTTTATTCCATACCTCCACCCATTCTCTAACGAGTCATAGGACGGGGTACCGCAAGAAGAGCTAGTTCAATGCCGAATAGATCACTACCAGACTCCTGGTCAGGTCCGCGCGAGCGTCTATGCGAAAAAGGTCGACAAGGACAAGAGTACAGTCATCTTTGAGACGGAACAAGTCCACCTTGATCTCATCCTACCTGATTCTAAACGCTTCAAGCGCACATTGCAACTTTACGGACCTGTCAAACCTGAAGAATGTTCGTACAGCGTCCTCGGCACCAAGGTACGACTACGCCGCCTGCTTTGATTACCAAAGCGCCAGATGTTGACTGATGGTGTCTCGTCAGGTTGACCTCGTATTGGCAAAACAGGACACACGGAGCTGGAATCTACTCGAAAAGACAGACGCTGATCTCCAAGGCTTCACACTCACGTTTGGAGTCGGAGGGCGAACAGGGACAGTGGGTGGCAAAGAAGCCGTTTTGGACGACGGGAACAAGATCAGGACGTGACTCCTCCCGTAGATAGGATGTCTATAGAAACGAATGCCATTGCAGCCAAGAAGAGACGTAGAGATACAGCATTGAGCAAGGACTGGAGTACAAACGACATGTGATCCAGCGTAGGAACAGTTGCTTAAGAGCAGACGGCACAGTCTGCGCATCTTTAAGAGAAGTATGTATCAAACCGAACAAAGCAGGATTTTATCGCTGCGTATAGTATACCCCGCTTGGAGCATATTGAAAGTATGTGTTGTTCTGTGTATGAGGAGGGTGTGGCTGGGTTGAAGGGACGTGAGTGGGAAGATATTGGTCATGCCCGATGCTGCCATACGCCAGACTATCCGAGATTGTGGGGTAACCACTGCCGTACTGCGGTTGAACCGAGTGCGTTGTGGGGTGCTGTATGTATGGATAGCCGGCCATAGCCATAGGTTCTGTGGCGAGTGCCACGGGAGGGTAATGCGGAGGGGGAACCACCGAAGGGGTATGGTAGCCTGGAGCGAGATGGGGGATAATTGTGGCTTGGTATGGAGCCCCTGGACTCGGAAGCATAGTGTGCCTTGTGGGTGAGGGATAGACAGTCTCCACATGAGCTGTTTGATACACCCCAGTTCCTGGAGGTATTTGGTGAGAGGGCGGGGATTTCCTGATGGGTGGATACTGTGAAATGGGCTGTGTCGTGCTGAGCTCTGGTGGTGATGAGCCATCTGAAGACGAGCTGTGTGTAGACGCCCGTGGTATGGGTTGAAGCATCACCGGCGAGCCGTGGCCGTGTGAAGGGGACCATTGATCCTTGTTGTTTAACGTGCTTTGCTTGGGAATACTGAGTTGCGGCCGGGAGTTGTCGGGTGCCTGCACTACAGCTTCTGGAACTTTTGGTGAAGGTGTTGATGGTGTCTGCGAGAAGCGCGAGCGCGGCAGAATTCGTGTCGGAGTAATTTGGGAGGCGGCAATATGTGTAGGTAGCGACGAAACGTGGGGAAAGTTACCCGTAGAGGTGCCGGAATGAGATCCAGTGGCTTCATGTCGACGCGCATCTGGTGCAGATGATCCAGGGGTACCATCTGGTTGTGTTCGCTCATTTCGTCTTGAGTCAGAATCCGGGTCTGGCTGTCCTACCGGTGGTTGATATGGATGATAGTCGGCACGAGAACGCCACGCCAGTTTAATGGCCTGTGATCGTTCGTAGCCCTTCGAAAAGGCCCAACGCATTTCGGACAATGCCTGCAAACACGCCTTGACGTCTTCATCTCGACCCGGCATCATGGCCAATGTATGCCCGGCAAAGAAACATCCGTCTCGGACAAGGGATGCGTCGTAGGCAAAGAAGCTGGACCCTAGGTGCCGCCGTATGAGAACAACGACGTGATCGAGTAGATCATAGCACTTGGATTCCGCTATGGCCAAATACTTGTTCAGATCACGCACAAGCGACTCCACGGTACCAGGAGAGTCGGGATTTTCGCCTTCTTCAGTGATCTGTGCTGCTCGAACCGCATCCAGACGGTCTCGAATCTTTTCTTGAATGACGTTATAACACTCAAAGAGAAAGATCTAAACGGGGATTATGAAACCGCGAAGATGTCGGCAGCGAATAGATGCGCACCTGCCAGCCATCTACAAATCGGAGGTTGTCTTCATTCTTGAGATAGTCGTTCCGCTGTATCGGTCGGAGGCTCTCGAATTCTTCCCAGCATACGGCCAATGCTTCCCAAGTATCCTCGAGTTTTTTCCCGTCGAGTCGCTTTGCAGATCTGGCCTTGGGGCCAGTGAGAGCGGCATGAACCTTTCTGCAGGCTGAGGCAAGGCGAATCGGAGCTGTTGCGTATTGGAATGCAAGCGAGTACGTCATATTGGATGGTTGGAGGGCCTGCCGGTTTGCGAATGAGGATGGGGAAGGCAGCTCCTTGTGAAACTGGTTGAGGTCCTCGTCATGCCTGAAGGGCAGCACGTTAGAAATTTAGCCGGGCTCGCTTCATGCTCACACACATAATCAGGCGGCCACCACGTAATCCAGTTGTCAACCCTTCATGGACGTGTGCATACCAGAAAATACGAGCCCGGACTAGGGAATTTGCCGCTCGCGCTTCCGCAGTGAGACCAGTTGCGACCCCTTCGTGTTGACAGAGGGTATACACTTGTTGAACAGCGCCTTCATACATGGAAAGGCGATCCATCGGATTATCCAGCACGTCTGTCGTAAAGGTGAGCCCTGAATCCACATTAGGGTCATCACGCTGCACGCGTACCTTCGGTCAAGGGCAGTGTCATTAACAAGCAGCGGACTCCATCCCAGGAAGGCCTCCGCAGAAGTCCCAATGAATCCACGAGATGGATAATCTCCTCTATCATTCCTTTGACGCGCAGCCTCCGCTTTTGGACATCTTGATACGAGTTTCCGGGCTGCTCTGCACCGGCTTCATCTACGCCGTAAGCAGCAGCCCACACGACCAAAACCTTTGCCAGGAGCTGACCCTCAGCCGAGAGCGGAGTTGTGGCAGAAGATAGCGAGGCGTTTGACTCTGGGCTGGTGTGATGTTGCAGCCAGGCAATGTAACGAGAACGAAACTCTACTGGATCGATGATTGGGCCTGAATAATCCGTGTAAGCAGTTCATGTCCGCGAGAATATGCGGAAAAAATAGTCACGTTGGATATAGAAGCGCCGATAAAACGGTGAGTCGAAGAACTCTGGCTTGAGGTTCGGAATGGTCACCCTCGGACGCAGCGAGAATGCTCCAATGTCCTCAGTGTTGTCCATCAGATTGTCTCTAGAGGGGGCAAGATGTTAACAAAGGAGGCGTCGCCAGCATAACGCGGCTCGACGTACTCGAGCTCCAATTGATTGATGCGCTTTCCTCTGCGCAATTGCTTCTTGCTTTCTGCATAATCATCCTTGCACCGTATGCCGCGTTCCCGACAGTTTGTGCAGCTGATATCGCCAGACGGGTCTGCATCCTCACCCCGGTCCTTTAGATCGCACTTGACCCTGGGAAGAAGTCAGAACGGACCCCTGATATTCGCATGTACCTCGACGAAACGTACCTTCGGTAGCGACAGGCATGACATGCAGAAAACTGTTGCCGAGAGCTCTTAGGTTGTTGCTGAGGGACAGAGCTAGTCTTCTTCTTTGCACGTCCCGTGGTAGTCGGAATATCCTCTGTCGGAGAAATTACGCTCGTTGGAGAAACATGGGGCTTCTCGTCGAAACTCGATGTGCGGCGAGAAGCTCGCGCGTTTGCGTAAGGGTGGGCAGCTGCGCGGGCTGTCGACGCCGACTGGAGGGTGGCACCGTTGGACGACATTGTGCTCGCTGACACAGTTTTGTTCCAATATAAAGACAAGTCGAGCTTTGCTTTCCGCGCAAACGAGGGTAAGAGACTTCCGCGAGGTCGGGTGACGGTTTGCAGCGTTAGCGGGAGGTTTTTAAGCAGCTGGCTGTAGAGTAAGAGCTCTACGAGGAATATGTCCTCGACCTACGCGATACACGCCCAGTACAGCCGACCAGGAGGACTGGATTGCTCGTAGTCTTGTAAAAGATGGAGCAGGGGGCAAGATGCGCGTCAGTTTGCAAGACTGAGGGGCAACCAAGGGCAATGTTCGGGTGCTATTACTCTGTCCAGCCTTTAATAATTGCGGGCTAAGCGGAGACTATCGTGGTAGGGTCCAAGAACGGTTCAATCATCTTGACAAGCACATGGCAAAATAATACAGGCACAGTTTGCCGGTTTCAAAATGAGGACGCTTCCGACGCTAGTCAAAGCTCGGTAATCTTGCTAATCTCTCCCCCTTCCTTCCCCCTTTTCTCCGACTATCCGCGACCGTAAATCCCGCAGGGCCCTACAAACTCTGCGCGGTCTGGACCGCCTAAATGATCTCTGCATTGAGATCAGGTCAGTTTCTGGAGCCCACCGACCTTTGTAATGCTGTCAAACGTCGGACGCCACGTTTAGTCTCCTATTCGTATGTCAAACTTGGTGGCGTACGTACGAGCGTCGGATCTCGCCTGCAGTCCTCTGCCACGGGTTGAGCTTTCGGTCTCTCGCAGCTGCTTCAAAGTCACTGCCATACTTTGCAACAACGTCCTTGAGCCACGTTTTCTCGCCTGCACTCGCAGTTCGAACCACTTTGGTCACATTGCGAGATAGCGCCTGTAGACCTACGAAAAGGTAAGATAGTGGGTGCGCAGAACAGGGCATACACAGACTTTTGACAACGTCCGTTCGCTCGGGGCTGGTCACCACCGGTGGGTCAACCCACTTCCGTGCAAGAGGCTCCTTCTCGTCCCCACTGCCCTCTGAGTTTCCATCCTCTACCATTTCAACATCGACAATGTTTCCTGCTTCATCACGGAGGATTCGCCCGCGGCTCACGACGGGAAGCTCGTGTAAAGGCGCGGACACGGCGGAGGTTTCTTGGTCCCTTTTCTCTTGCTTCATCCTCTCGGTCACATGGACGGATTCAGAACCTCCCTTGGCCCTGGGGTTTACAGTCGATAAGAGACCGAGTCGAGCGTAACTGTCTTTGAATCAGTCATTTTCGCAAGACACCTAGTTCAGTTGTTATCAAAAGGAAGGCGCACTTTTGCTTTACGGTCAATTTGTTATTCCAAGCCCGCTGGAGCACTGCGGGGCCCCTGATAGCTGAAAAGAAAGCGTCATACACTATTCGTGCTATTGGCGATCCAACACTAACGCGGCATCTTCTTCAACTTCTTTTTGGCATGATTCGAGTGGCGCACGGCCTTGTGCTGCGACCTCTGTTTGCGGCGTTGGCGTGGGTTAGCCATAGAGTAGATGAAATGAGGATTTGAAATAGATCTGATATGAATTTCAGTATGTGGAGATGAGCATTTGTCTTCTATGCTCACCTCGAGAGACTTGAGTGTATAAAGACGTAGGCCCTGTGCCAAAGAGCGTATCGTAGGTTCAAAACTTGCCCAGGCGAATGGTTTCAAACGTATCAGTCAAAGGGAGAGTTCACGGACTTGCCACCCCGAAGAGGAGGTTGAGGTTCAAGGTGTCTAGGCGTAATTCGAACCCAACCACACTTACGATTATCACCAAAGATGCCGACAGCATGTAGTCCTTAAGCTCTTTGATTATGTAATGTATTTGTATCGCACCATGTCTCTGACCAAGTCGCTAGGTGAGAACAAATTCTTAGCCATTGCTCTAAATCAACTCGAACCCTTTAGTTGCTGGTGCTACATTTGCAGCAGCACTCACAGCTGCCGTTTTCACGGTTTGCGTGCACTTCGAAGCGTCTGGCGGTGTTCACCTGTGTAGAGACGCATGCACGCCCGCAGTCGTCAAGGAATATGGAATCAAGTATGGACTTGGAGTACAATCTATCGACACATTCCTTTGCCACTTGGACGCCTTCTTCAGAGCAAGCTTAGAATCACCCGTACTCGAATTCACACAGCTCTTTCTTCTCAGCGTGCCTGTATCTGTCTTTGTCCTGCTGATAGAATCCATGCGGGATGACAAACCATTAGTCGGATTCGTCCCGCTGCTCTTCACCATCCTCCTGCAGACGATATCAGGTGCACTCGGGGGCACGCTCTTTTGGATGCCCTTTGTTGTTCAAGCATGCTTTGGAGGATCTAGACAGGCGAAGAAAACTCTAAACCAGGTTGACGTCGAAGCCGCATTAATCGCTACCGTAGGAGGGTACCTCGCTCCAACGGCGTGGATGTTTCTCACCAAAGACAGCCTTGCTATCTTGGTTTGGCAGTTTTTCCCCATCTATCTGTCTATTCTTCAAAATGGATGGAAATTCTACAAGAGGAACGCGCCGCGCCAACCAGGTTTCGACCTGCTCCAACTCTCTCTATTCATCCTCTCTGGCGTTGGAACCATCTCTTGGTTCTATATCCTCAAACCACATATCTCAAACTCCATCCTCATGGACATCTACAACTGGGCTCCATCTTGGAGCATTCCAGACCGCTCGACGGCAACCCTCCCCTCTGCGGCATTGCATATTCTGCAATACGATGCGCTATGGATGTTTGGATCTGCCATCCTTGCAGGAGTGTTCCTCATGGACACCATAAAGGAGGCTCTTTTCGCCATTCAGACTATTCCACTCTTTACCCTTCTCTTTGGTCCTGGTGCCGTCATAGGGGGACTATGGATGTACAGAGAGATGCAGCTCCTTATTAATGAGCAAGAGGCCGCTGCTAAAGCGGCGGCTGCAAAGAAAAAGTAGAGCGAAAAGCTTCTTTTCGAAGAGCAAGGAGACGAATCAAATTATCGGCAGGATTATGTATCTAAGTCTTGTAATCGAGTTGTCTTCCTCTCTCATGCATCACTAAACTTGATCTCCCCCACCATGGAAGGTACCACATGGAACGCGAATCCCATCCTCAAAGAGGTTTCTACAAAGAAGAAATCACGTCAGCTACAGGCAGAGAAACGAAAGGCAGCGGTGGCTGCCTGGTTTTCTTTGCACTCAGATGAAGAGGGGCAAGATGTCGATATCAACGAGCCCATAGATGAAGAAGAAATATTTGGTGAGCCAAGAATCCCGACATATCGTCAGATTCTGACATTGAAGCAACCGAAAGATCTCATCCGATCAATAAACGACCCAGAGCATCCGCACACGCTCGAAAACTTGATGGTTGTATCCCAGAAGCAAATAAGGATCAAAGGGAATCTCGTAGAAGTCGAATTTACGCCCACTGTTCCGCACTGCGGCATGGCCACAATCATCGGTCAGCACCAGTGTTTCAAACTTGGAGGAAACTGATTCAAGCACAGGGCTTTGCATTCGAGTACGACTTCTGAGAAGCCTACCTAATCGATTCAAAGTCGATATTACGATCAAAAAGGGCACTCATCAAAGCGAGAACGCAGGTATGCCCAAGTATCTCAACTCACGACTAAGACTAACCTCCTCAAGTAAACAAGCAACTCAACGACAAGGAGCGTGTCGCGGCGGCACTTGAAAATCCAAATCTACTCGAAGTCATCGAGCAGTGTCTCGCGTCTGCAGATCATCAGCACTGCGGACATGATCATTAGAGTAGTATTCACCCTTGAGAGATATACTTCAGTCGTTAAAATATCCTGTATAATCAGACAATACACAGTGTTGACCAGAAAAACCATCTATTCAGCAGCAGCAGCATCTTCAGCGGCGACAACACCTAATTTTTCCTTTCGTTCCTCTTCGAGATCCATGAGCATCTTCTCAACAGCTTCCTTGTCCTCTGGTCTTGTTGCTCCCGCCTCTGATTCCGCCCCTGCTTCTGTCTCTGCGGTGGCTGTTTCCTCGGTCTTTGCATCCTCAGCGGGAGTATCCACCACTTCAGGAGTATTCTCATCCACTGGGGTAGGAAGCGGCTCCGCAACGATCTCCTCTGTCTTCTGGCCCTCGGCGCTCGCCTCTGCAGCTTCTTCCTCCAAGACCTCGACGTCCGGCCAATCATCCTCTTCCTTGATTGGAACGACAGCATCCTCAACGTCTGGAACATTTTCGTCGTCTCCAAGGACTGCGACGTCCTCCCCAACCTTTTCCTCGCTCGGGCTCGGCTCCACCTCGTTTGAGTCTGTGAACGGATCAACAGACTCGACCATTTCCTCCTGATTGTCTTCTGCCTCGTGTGCTGCGGCACTAGATGCCTGAAGGTCCTCAAGCGTGGGCTCGGCACCATTTGCAAAGGCTTCCCCACTGAGAACTGGGTCAAGGGCGGCAAGCACATCACCAGTCATATACATAGTGTCCGTGCGACGTCTGCTAAGGCTGCCTCCCGATGGTGATGCCATGAGATTTGCGTCTTCTCCAACGTTGGCGGACAGCGATTCAGATCCAGACGCCTCTCGTCTCAGAATGGTTGGAGCTGCTTCAGAGGGATTCCGTTCCTCTATATATTGCGCTTCTGAGCCGCCTTGCGCGTAGGTGTTCTTTGGCTTGCGAGCAGGCCTTCCTTCCCAATTGATGACAAGGAACTCAGCCGGGACAAGTTGAAACTCGTTGACAAGGCCGAGGAAGCGTTCATAGAGCGCATTTTCACTTTCTGCCTGTTCGAAGAGCTCGCGATGGTGAAAGTACGCATGAGCAAAGACACGAGAGAGTCGACGAGCAAGTGACGAGAAATGTCGTGTGGAATTAATTGGGATAGCAATGCTATGGAGAGCATTGAGCGTTTGTCACGTTGATAATCGTACGTAAACACTACTTACCGTGATGGAAAGTTGCGAGACGAGTTCAGAAGCGCAGTTGCAGAGTCTAGTGTATGAAGAATGTAGTCGATGGCACAACATTGCTGGGGGAGCGCGCGTCAGCATACCACGAGCCTTGTGTGCAGCCTGGGACGTACCTCCATGTTTCCCCCATTACCATGAGCTACACACAAGTATAACCATTCGCCAGCCTTCATCTCGGGACAAGTCTGACGAGTGCATTCCGCTTGCAACAAGGTGATCAGCGGATAAGTCAGGTCCTGAGCAAGTCGTCGGAGATGCTCATAGACCCAGCAGCTTTGATCTACGTCTGGGGCGTCCTGAGAAGACGTCGCAGACTCATTCGATTGGTCAGACGCTGTCGTTGTCGAGGCCGGTAGCTTTACAATCGCCTCAATGTCCTCTGGATCACGCTTTATAAGCTGAGAAATGTACTCTTGGAGCTGGAATGCTGATTCCAGACTCGAGAGAGACGGTGGAGGCCCAGGTTGAGGATGGGCTGAATATCGTGAGCCACGTTGAAGTCGACGAGGAGAAGTCATTGGAAATGCTACAGGTGCTGCGACTTCTGTTGCCATTTTTACGTCGACGTTCTGACAAATGTCGAATGTGGTCGTCGTCAGAAATGTTTATTCCCAGCTTTGTCCTCCCCCACGTCTTCTTCGACAATCCTCAGAGCGCTCAGGTTTGTTTATTTCAAAGCTCTGTTTGTATGCTTCAACGAACAGTTTATATAAGAAAATACGCTACAAGTGAAGAAAATGTCGGGCTACAGTCAACAACAAGGAAATACATAGGCTTCACAAATAAAAGTAATAAAGTTATGCCAATGGCATTCCTAGGGCAGATTCTGCCTCTTCTCGACTAATCTTGCCTTTCGCCACGGCCGAAGCCAAGATACTCGCTCCTGGCAAAACTACGTCTGTTCTGTCCTCTAGCGGTCGAATCTCCATATCCATGGCTCCATCCGATGTCGTCCCTTTGGCATTCGGTATCAGGCCACGTCGGACTTGTGGAGTGACTCTCGACTTGATTTTTGCAGGGGGAGGCGCGAGGGGAGTAGAATAGTATGATGATTCTTCCGGTACGTCCTTTATTGGTGCAAATCTGGTCACCGTATGCGCGGGGACTCTGCAGAAGAGACACGCTGGTACGAGCGAAGCGAGCCTCTTCGCAAGTTGGAGAGCAACTGGGAACCGCGTCGACCTGTGGGCGGAGACTTGACGGTGCCGGTCGGTGATGACTTGGCTGTCTGTGGATCGTCTGGCGAAGTTACTTGATGACTCGCGTCAAAGACCGTCATGCGATCAACAGACGTGACAGACAATCTGGCTCCCCAGACGCGGCTGAATCGTCCAAAGCGAAGAGAAGCTCTCGATGGCTGCCTTCCATCTTCTTCTGGTGAGTACTCGAGTGAGTCGACGCCATCGAGAATTAAACTCGTGCGTGTTGTGCCATTACTGACTCTCCGAGTCGATAAATAATGTGGATTGAAATAAACATCCGGGTCGGGAATGGGTGGCTGTAATGTATACGCCCTTTCTAGGTATATCTCCGGTTTTTCATCTTTGGGCTCTACGAGTGTGGAAGCTGACGAATGCGTAGAAACGGTCCGTGTGAGGAGCTGCAGTGTCTTCAGGCGGGATGGAACCAGGTGGAGATCCTTCAACTTTCCCAGGTATGCCGGCGCGGGATTTTCGATGTCGTATCGCTTCTCATATTGTGGCGATGGCGTGGGGTCCTGGGTGTCAACCGGTGGAAGACTCTCGTACTCCTGGCTGGTCGCTGGTCGAACAGAAGGAGGGTTATTCCTCTTTCTTCGCCTCCTTCGGATGCACAATAGACATCCAAGACAGAAGACGACAGTCACCACTGCGATTCCTCCAAAAACGGCAGCTACGACTGCACCGTTGGGCACACTGTGAAAGATAACTCAGCATTCATCAAATCTAGTTTATATGCGACATACCCCGTGACTGGCGAAGTCTCTGCAATTAGTGACGAGACGGCGGGAGTGCTCTGTGTTGAAGAGCTAGGCGTAATAACCATTACAGGAGAAGTAAATGTCGTTGAAGCATTGAACGTATTACTAATTGATGAAGAGGTCGTCATAAGACAAGAACGACCGCGTAACAAAAGGAAGCAAGGAGCCTGCTAGCAGAACTCGCCACTGGCTAGGCGTAAGGAGTAGCTCGTCAACGAGCTGGATCGACTATAAAGTCGAAATTCCAGAATTTTTAACACGGGCTGAGGGTGGGTTCAAGTCGTGGAGGGGCAGCGCTCTCGTTTGCACCGCTCACCGATGCAAGCGCGATTGGCAGTGCAGCCGCCAACGCCGGCGGCAGTTGGCTAATCATAACGGCTGATAGAAGTGTAAAGCCGTCGGCATTGTCATTGCAGGGGTCGTGCAGAAGAAATATACAGAGACATCCAGAGCACTAATGAAAACGTATTCGTACCAGTCCAACGTAGCGTCGGTCGTGAGCTCATACAAACGAACTGTTCGTACATTGTCGTCGTTACATCGAAATCGCTCGTCCTCGGACTGTACTACCCGAATTGCGCACAGTTCCTCGTCCTCGGGACTGTTCGGGTTCGCCAATGGCCTCATTCTCCCACATCTTGTCGATTCGTGCATATGTGATCGGTCGTGGGCTCTTGTGTGTGAAACCTGCAAATGCCAACGCTTTGCGCACTTCTAGAATCTGTTCGCCATGAACTTTGTCCTTGAGCATCGGGTCCTTTGTAGCGTCGGCAGGGGCGCCATTTGCAGGTGCGAGAGGCTAATGCATGATGAGTTACGGCCATAGAGAGCATACAGATGCTTACCTCGTCAGGAATGTCCTGATCAAAATGTTTCGTGTCTGTTGGGCTCTTAAGATCAGGTTTGAAGGGTGCCTCCATTCGGTGTATATTGTCCCAGTCAACCCCTCGGAACCATGAATGTGCCTTTGGGAAATGAAAACCAGCTTGAACATATTAAACCAAGGCTTACTTTGATGAGTTCTGCACCATCCACGCTGGATCCCTGCCCATAGTAGCCGCTCCGTCGATTCGCAAGAATGAGCGAGTTTGGCCGGCTGATCGATACTGTCCTCTGTGAACCCAAGCGGTCTTCTGGCTCGCACAAGAGTTGTTGGATCAGGTCTACGCCCTCACGTGAGACCCTTGGCTTGGACGGGAACTTGAGAGATTGCTTCCAGTTGAGGATCTTTTGCCTGGTGACATGACGCTACACAGATTTAACGCGCGACAGCGAATATTGACAGCTGCATACCGAGTTGCTCAAGAAGGGTGGATAACCGTATAAACACTCGAATAAGATCACGCCCAAGCTCCACCAGTCGCAGGAAAACGAGTAACCTTGCCCTCTGATCACTTCCGGAGACACTAGAACACGTTAATGAGGCCCAATTTCACGAGGGGGGGGGGCTCACTATAAGAATTGGTACCGCAAACAGAATAAGCAAGCTAGTGACAGGTAAGTCACTACGGTCATTCTAAATGTGACACTTGCCTTCTTCCTGTTCTTCTCTCTCCATGTAAAGACTCCTCCAGGGCCTTCACCCATGATCTTCTCAACTTCTCGTCGATCCATTCGCTTTGTCTTGGTAGCGTCGCCGTTACCATCTTCCAGGTCGATACCATGCTTTCGCAGCAAGTCGCGGCGCTGTTGCTCATAGTCTTCAGACTTGTCAGCTTGGTCGAGATTCCACGGCGATGAGCTTACACGACGTATCATGGGCCCAGTGGAGATCGGTGCTATAGGGGTCGTAAGCTAGATAACAAAGCAAGCACTCGAACTTACGCGAGTCCAAAGTCACTTAGCTTGATATGACCATTAGGATCAAACAGGAAGTTCTGGAGATAGTCAAACCTCTGCACTCTCCTAGAAAGTGACATACGTACATCTGGTTTGATATCGCGGTGAATGAAGCCTTGCTTGTGACATTGTTCGATTGCCAATATCATCTGGAAGTAATTAGCACCGCTGCGGTCAATTAATATCTGCATACCTCGGCGATATAGAATCGAGCAAATGGTTCCTCGAAGACGTCCTTTTCGATCAGAAGATTAAGAAGATCGCCTCCACCCATAAACTCGAGGACCAAGTAGAGATGGTCTCTGTCTTGGAAGCTGTAAAAGAGGCGAACGATCCATTCGGCGCCGTTGGGATTGGAGACTAGAGCAGCGCCCTTGAGGACGTCGCGTTCTGCCCTAACGTGGCCCTCTTGTCCCTTTCGAAGCATATCCGTCTTTCTGAGCTATTTATGCAGCGTCAAGATTGAACGGCCGAGAGTATGGTACGGTTTACTTGCCTGTTTCATGGCGAACAGTTGACCAGATCCCTTTTCTCTGACAAGAGATACAACACCAAAGGCACCTATTGCAAGAATATAAGATTGCGAGAAAAGTAAAGAAATGACACAAACCGTGGCCAATAGTCTTGAGCTTCACAAACGCATTGACGTCGACCTTTGCTCTCTGTTCGCGAAGATAATCGGTCTCATTCTTTCTCCACCGTTGCCGGAGTAGCTCCTTCTGACCTTCTGACATACCAAGCTGTGCCATTTCCTTCTCCATCGCGAGTCTTCGCTGCTCTCGCGAAGGTTGCATCCGAAGCAACGGGAAGTACAAGTTTTCAAAGTAGATTCTGGCTGAAACAGCCTTCTCCAATGTGGTCAATGAGGGTGTAATTTTGCGAGGCGCCTTCCCGGTGAGGTGTGTGGACGTCGCTTCTGCTCTTCTCCTGGCCCATGGGTCGAGTGACATATTGGATTCATCGATTTCGCCGTCGTCATTTTCCTCGGCGTGAGCGCTTAGCGGCTGGTTTGGTGGAACTGACGATACAGGCCATGCCGATGGCGCGGTGGACAAGCCTGCGGGTGGTGGGGATGTCGTTGCAGTAGCATAGGGATGAGGTATGGTAGGCGACGATTGCTGGACGGGTGAACTAGCTTCTGTATTCGGAGTTGGGAGCGGCGGTGATGAATGCAACGTACCAGCACCGACGGTCGTTATTGTGCTAATGACAGATGGCATCCCATTGACCACACGTAACGGTGCTGGGGTGATCGTGGGCTCATAACTGGCCTCGGAACCTGGGGATGGTTTCATCGCGCCCACGACTTGTGCGATAGCTCGGGCTTGAACAGTCGAGCGGACCATGGATTTGATAGGGTCAGCCCATCGCGGGTCTAGACGTAAGAATCAGTCCCTATTCCTCGAGGAGAGGAATGCACCAACCTCCTAATTTGCCCATCCTGTCTGGGCCCCATCGTGTCAGAAGAGCCTCCCCTTGATCATAATCCGACGCATGTACCAAATGTCTATCCGATGTGTGAGTCTACTCCCGGCCAGCGAAAAGGTAAGAACGACGAGTACGTACACAAAGCCAGTCGGGCTCGAAACCATGTCCTTGCTGATCCGCTTGTTCTTCCTGAGTGGGGTGCTTGTCCCAGGCACTGTGACTGGAGGCGGTTTCGTGCTCTTGGCAGCGGCGTTTGCTGCCACTCCCGAGGGGACGATCTTGGGTGGACTACCGGGAGGGAGCTGTTCATATCTCGGTCCAGCAGCTAGCTTTGATCCATCATTGTTGGCATTTGTGAATAACCGTGAAGGAGTCGCCAATGCGAGGAGATCATAGAATCCTTTGTGAAGCAATGTCCCACCAGCGAGAATGGAGCGCGTTGGGCTGTAATAGTTTTCTTCTCTCGAGTGAATATTGGGCACTGGATTCGTTGGACGAGATGTAAACGGAAAGTAGGGGAATCCACCGTGATAGTACGGCGAGTCGGGCGAATGCATGTCCGCTGACGAGACGGGTGTTCTAGCTGGAGGATTAGAGTATTCCTGTAGCCCCTGCGTTATCACGGGGAGATCTGGGAGTGGCCGTCGAGATGCATACGCCATGGCGCCGAGTTGCTCTTGCCGTCTGTGAATCCAAGGATATCAGATTCTGGAACCAATGACGAGGAATATCAGCTCCTTATTCCCTACTTGCTACAGCGGTCGCGACGTGTCGATGGAGGATCCCGTAGACGACCTGCGGCGAAGTGCTGAGCGTCCACGCTGCGCCTTGTAGCACCGGCAGCTCGAGCTCTGTAGCAGTCACAAGAATATTTCCTTCTAGCTTGTTATAACGCGTCGCTGAGCGCACTGGACAATGTCGGCGTCCCTTTGCAGGTCTAGGTCGCTGAACAACTTGACGAGCACCCATGAGCCACCAGCGACGATGTTTTAGCGATGCAGACGCGCCGTTAAACGCGCCTTTTTGGAGGATTTAGAGACATTGGAGGGCATGTGTTAACATGAATGCTAATCGTCCCAGTTTGAACGAGACTGTTGACGCGTTTCTCGAGATTCACATCTGCGGAGAAACCGAGCGCATCAATCTGCGGGGTAATTCGCACTTTCTCGGAATCAAACTGTTTCAAAGAGACATAATTGGGGAACACGGTCCGCGGCTCCTTTTACAACGGGAGAAGCAAAGTGAGTCCAGGTTCGGTTGTCGATCAATCCCGGCAACTGTACATGTAATATTTGGAGCTCTTGCAGGTTTACTCATGGTTACTGGCAAGGAGAATCACAGCCTTTGTCTTCTTCTTCCCCATCGGGTGCTGTTGCTCCAGTATCTCTACATGACTCGGCTGGTTCACATCATCGGCATGCAGCCACAAGACGGATTATCATTTCAAGTAAACCTCCATGCCGACGTGGATGTCCGCAGGTGGCGGCAAGCACACAGTTCTAGCGAGGTTTGTCGTCTGCGTGTGTTTTAATTACTCCGAAATACCTTCTCTCTAGTGCGACGAGGTATTTTCTAATGCACCATTGAAGATCAGACGAAATCGGGTAACACACGGCGGCCACAGTTACACCTCCAGATTCAGAACCATTGTGTGGTCGCGGGGACATTATCACCATAACGAGCTCCAGAGTCGGACGCCGTGTGGATAAAAAGGAAACCAAATTCCCTCGTCGATTTGAAAGGGCAAGAAGCCTGATGCGAGATTTCCGGACAGCTTTCGGCAGAGCGATACATCTCCTAATTGGATTGTAGGAGAAGCAAGGGTGATCAACGAATCGTTTGTTACACGCCTTATGTGCGCGCCAGCGTCCAGCCGCCTCGGGCTCATTTTGTGAGGGGATCCCCCGCAGTAACTACGTCCAGGGTGAGTGTCTTCAGTGTCACCGGCAGATATTTCTACCGTCCCGAGCGTGCCGCCAGGCTAACGAACAAGCCAGGGGTGAATACGACGAGACGGCTTCTCTCATTCGCGTGTAACATCGGTGGAACACGGAAAGAGAATAGACGAAATGAAGAATCACACGTCCCCCCCGTCATCGAACCGCCTGGAGATAATTGACAATGATCACAAGGCCATCACCCGGAGGCCCAAGTGGATTTCCCAGGGGAGGTTTACCAACCCGAGGAAGTCGATGTGAGATGTTGTGGAAACGTCGGTTTTTAGAGGTGAGATAGTCCAGCGGGATATGATTATTGAGCGCTTCCAGGTTAAGCCACACGCGTCCAGGCGTGCGAGACTTCGTTGCAGCATGGGCAAGCCGTGTAATCGCATGTTCGAAGACTAGACGAAATGCGCAGTTCTGGTTGCACCTGGGCCCCCCGGTTCGTGTTCATGAGGGGGGGAGGGGGTTCGGTTCCCAAGGCAGATGCCGGCCCTTGTCTCAGTCTCGCAAAAACCGGGTCGCTTCTTGGGACGAGAGAGATGACCATTGAGGAACCAGATGGAGGGGTGGCGGGCCTCGAAAGCAGCCCCTATCGCATATTCACGCGAGCAGCCCTAATAGTACGTACTCAGGGGGATTTGCAGCCGGGGAGAACGGGACGAGAGGTCGGAGGGAGGGCCAGACAGCTTAATTTCGACGCACATATTAAATGCGTGGGAACTTGCTAAAACCGGGTATTGAATCCTCCATTATGGAGGCCATTCTGGTTCAATTAGCCTTACGGAATGAAGGGGCCGCCGCTCGGGATCTGTCGAATGTGTATGCCTTCTCCTCGTCAACTATCACGCAGCCGTATTAAAACCGCGTGCACTCGCGCCGCCGTCCATAGGCTTTTTTCGTCTCCCACACTGGCAGAGCATCGAGGGACTGACGGGCGACCTGCACACGCCCCTTCTCTCGCATATTCGACGGCATATCTCATTCAAGATCACTACTGAGCTGTCATTCGGGACGTCGCCCAGTTGGATTACCGTGGGTCCTCGCGGATATCAATATTCATCACCCAAACGGCCCAGCCGAGCATCTACGACGTCCACAAGGTCAATCAGGCTGCCGCTGATTGTAGCCCACGCTGGCGCAACGCTCTTTCCCTCCCACTTCGAGTCCGACCCCTACCTTTCCGCACGCCCTCGACGCCCTCGATCGACACGGGTTGGCTCGTCGGCGCACAAACGACGAAGAAATTTCTATTCATCCCCACGATCGTGATGAATCATACGACGCTCACGATCCAGCGCCAACAAGATCAATGATGCTCTCCGCCTCGCACCCATATCCTGCAAACACTACGCGAACACATAGCTCAGCGATATTCAGCAGATCACACACTCTGTCTACAGAACGTACCTCTTCTAGCTCGGCCAGCCAGCACACTCCTCTCCCTCCGACGTCCAACGTCCTGTTCCCCCAGCGACCCAGGGGCTCTACACTCCCATCATATTCTTCTGGATCCAGCTCAGTGGTATATACCTCCATTGCACCAGAGCGACCCACAGACGACTACGAGGAACCACCACCGTCGCGTAAAGAACGCGCATTCACCCTCGGGAGTCGGAGCTCACAGTTTCAGCACCAAAATTATACTGGAGGTGACCACGATGACCGTGCCAAGGTAGCACTCCCTCCTATTCGCGTTAGCGACCATGAGGGGGATGCCCATGACCACGACGAGAGGAGCAAGATTCAGGATGACCCGTCCGTCAATAATAGGACCTACAACTTTGGAAATAATGTACCCAGGCTACCGCCAATCAGGACCATGCTGGAAACACGAATGCTTCCCACTCCAGACCATATGCGCTCGGGTGATTCGAGAACGCCGCCTCCACGGTCGCCAACTTCGCCTCAGCAGCGTGCAAGAGATTACCACTCGCGTGGGTCCGTCATTTCGTCCTCTTGGAACGGCTACAATATCGGAGCAGGTAATGTTGGAAACTTTCACCGTGAGTATTTCCTTTGCATGACAAGTAATGGCGAGCCAATTACCGGAACGACGATCGCCGGTTCCGTTGGATCGCGACCTTGTCAAAGGGCACGGGATACGAGCTGACACCGCCACAGACCCTTCGCCCTCTCCAGATGACAGCTCTCATGCTTATCGCCAGGCAAGTCACAACGGGGGTGGGGAAATGCAGACGCCCATGTCGTCCTCTTCTTCAGTCTCTTCTTCACTATCCAGCCAGCCAGTCTCCCTTCCCCCTTCTTCCCCGCAACGCAATTCTAAATACCGGGGGTCACTCGCATCTGCCGGTGCTTCCATCCTCTCGCTGACGGCACCATTTCGCCATAAAAAGCATCAAGTTCCCGGGGCTGCATCTCCTCCAGTGCACCAATATGAGCCTTCGCCTCGAGGCTCCTTTGACGACTCGGAATATTCGAGCACCACACGCTCAACCCCTCGACACGTTTCCGAAGAATTGTCAAGTTCAATTGGAAGAGGCTCCTTTGGTGCTCAACCGATCCCTTCGGGCGTTCATCAGTCTTTGGCAAGCTCCCAAGGTAACATGTCAAACTCTGTCGGAAGCTTTCCAGTCACGAGTGAGAGTGACGGGGGAGGCTCTATGTCTCTCAGCATCCGTTCCAGGGTTGGAGAGACCGCGGGAGGGAAGAAACGCCGATCGCGGGCAACGCAGGAACAGCTAGAAATCTTGAATGGCGTGTATCAAAGGACGCCTTTTCCCACGACGGTCGAGCGATCCGACCTTGCCCTACGCCTCGGCATGACACCGCGGAGCGTGCAAATCTGGTGAATCCGAATCCACAAATGGTACAAGAAAAGATGTCTCATAAGTTTTTTTTCCCTCCAGGTTCCAGAACAAGCGCCAAGGAGCAAAGCACAACGAGACTCGGAAGAGAGAGCACCCAACGCCTCTTTCGGCCATCCCGCAAGGATCTCCGCCCATTCCGAATCTTGTTCCTCTCTCTATGACTGGGCCCTCACTCCCATTGGCCGCAGGTGAACCATACCGATCATCCCCGAGTCCTCTGCCACCCATGATGGATTTAGAGCCGCCGCGAGTGCAGCTACCGACACATCGAAGTATCTCGCATGGATCATCGTTGACCCCGAATAGCGTGGACACCCTTGAGGGTCGTTCGAGAAGACGCGGCATGTCTGTCAACGACTTGCTCAGTCAAGAACGACATCCGCATCTCAGCCCCAGTCAGGCTCGAAACGGCGCTGGATACGAAGCAAATCACGACGATAAGATGGAGATTTAGCGGATGATGTTCAGCTTTAGCCCAGCATTGGACAATCTGACCACTCTCGGCCCGGAGCGCCATCAACAAGACCCTCGCCCGACCTTTGGAGAACTCGCCTGGCTCTCTTTCCCGGCTCTGTCCTGCTATTGCATGAAGAGACCATGGATCTCGTGTTCGAGAGCCCGATTGTCTCTGCGTGTTCATAGTCGATTTCTCGGCGCCGTTGCTGCTAACAGAAGCGGTTTCTGCCGCGGCACGACGTAAAATCCCCCTCTCTTTAGCCCCATGCATGCATATCTCCTTGCCTCGCTGTATCTATGCTGCATCGTCTTGGTTCGCGTGTGCGAGCTGGCGATCCCGCACGATCTTGACCCCGTCCACATCCATAGTTTCCGTCTCGGCCCAATGTCTTGTGTATTCTCTCGCAAACTGTGTGCTCTCGTCTTGGTCCATTGCTTGAATCGAATCTGTTACTGGCCCCTACCGGTCGTCGTTCGGTAGAACCTCGACTTCCCCACATTACGGGAAACAGGAACCGGGGGGCGACACCCGCTATGGCCCACCAGCTACGAAGAGAGCAACCAAATGGAGGCACTTAACACGCCAATAAAGATTTCTGTATGACGACTCTGCGAATCTCAAGCTCTAGAAGCGCGCTTCGCATCTGGCGACCCCGGCGGTCAAGCTTCGGGCTCTGCGCTCGATTATAAAACCCAAGTAATCCGTATATCATCCTGCAGTACGACAACGTGGTCTATCCCACTCTTCTCTCCCTCCTGTCGATCCCTCCTCATCCTCTTGCCGGTCAAGCTCTCCTTGATCACCAATCCACTCCTTATATCTGTTCTCATATTTCGTCCCTTCGAGGCGACTTTTTCGGGTTGCCCGATTTGTAGCACCAAGTTTTGCAGGACAAGGCCGTGTATTTCTTATCATGCCAGCGTGGAACACAACTGTACAAGACTATTCACCCCTTATCACATATTCCCCTGTCGAAGCGTGGAGAGGTGGTTCAACTGTAGCGACATCAAACCCAGGATTCTACGAATACTTCAACGATGAGTATAAGACAACAAATATAACCAACGCGACTGCTTCATTCATGTTCAACGGAACCGGTGTCTGGTTTGTCTCCGTCTTGGCCTTGGATTTGCCTAATCTTTTGCAGGGTATATGGCTCCAAAGGGAGAGATCACGTAAGAGAATATTGTTAGCGGTGAAGATGAGACTAAAACCGCTCCAGGGAGAATATACAGTGCTGCTGGACGGACACCCAACCGTGCTCAACGGTAGTGCCCCTATACCCCTCTTTCAGACATTACTGTTTGGAGTCGACCACCTGAGCCAAGGCCAGCATATACTACAGATTATCAATACGGAAAGAAACTCTGCTCACTCGAATATTGACGTCGATTTTGTAGGTGGGGTGGTGTATCAACTGGTCCTCAGCTGACGCGCCAATAGATCACTTGGGAACAATCGCGGCCAGACGACACGCTCCTCCAACATTTTATTAAAGTCACAGCGGAGACAGGCTGGGACTATGGACCGTCTTGGAGTCTGGAACAGACCCCTCAGGCACCGGATAAGCAACTTCTCAGCACTTCGCCCAACTCCACCGTAACTTTGACCTTTTCTGGCTCACATATCGACATTTACGGCTTGACCAATGCAGAGTGTGGATCATTTGTGGCCTCCATTGATGGTGACGAAGGCAGCGGACTGCTGTCCTGTTATACCCCTGAGAGTCACTCTCATGTGTTGCTATATTCGGTTGACACCAGTGGACTGGGTGTTCATAATCTGACCATTACTAGCAAGGAAGACCAGGGCCGCAAGGGACTAGTTCTCAGCCATGCCATCGCGACGACGAGCATCAACTTTCAGGCTAGATCAGAGTGTGTATATTTAGTTGATCCTTGTTCTGACAAACATGTTGACCGTCCATTAGTCCTCCACTATCCGGCCCCGTTGGCAGTCGAAGTGGGCCTCCGAATGCAAGAATGGCGCTCATTATTACCTTTTCAGTCCTCTCTCCCCTCCTTGCGTTGTTCCTCCTTTACCTTGTGTTTGTGAGGAAACAGAGAGTGCACCGGATCACACATGACAAGGAACGGAAAATTCAATTGGATGAAGAACTAGGTCATGCGAACGGGATGTTGATATTGCCGTATGGCCGACGTGGTGTACGGGTCGATCTACCTCGCATAAGTTCCTGGGCAGACGGCAAGCTGGCGGATAGACTGGACTCCATAGACTCTTTGGAAGGGTCTTTCGGACAGGAGCCAGGTCGGGTATACGAGCAGGAGCGGCCGCCACCACTAGAGGTCTCGGAGCGGCGGCGCTCCAATGGCCTAAAGAGATCGCAAAGCAGCCCTCCTCAGATGTCATCACAAGCCGTACCGGGCAAGAAACGACACGTCGGCATCACTAGCGATCACACCAGGGCCACGCGAGCCGCCGCGGTCCCGAGGCTGATCATCCCATTGGATACAAATCAGGCAGCCGGCCACCGACATATGCGAGATGGTGGTCTGGGGGGATATGGATTTGGTCGCGCGAGGTCGTCACCTATGACCCCGCCGTCTGCACCACAGACGATGAGCCCGCCGCCGTTTCCCGAGTTTCCAACACCATTGCTTGGATTATCTTGGAATACCGGGAGGAGCTGGAGAGAGAAAAATAGGAGGTTATCTCACCCTCCTCCACCCGCGTACGAGCAAGCAATGGCCAACGTATGAACAGCTCGAGTTGATTACCGCAGCGGAGACTGCGCGTCTTCCGGCCTGCCAAATGTGTACAGTTGCCTGCCGGAGTGTTTAGTCGTTCTTGTGTCGAGCTTCTTGACTTGCACTAGCTGTACAAGTGACAAAAGAACCTCTGGCCGTGTATGTCATCATCGCAATTTGTCCATAGTCAATCTTTACTGTCCGTTTGTCTTAGAGGAGTGTCATGAGGCGTCTGTCATATGGGCTAGATCGATACGGAGCCAGGTCGAACGGCTCGCTCCCGAGTAGGACGAGAAGCCTTAATTTCCGACGGACCGGCTGCCTCGCAGGGGCTCGGTTCATCTATGTCAATAACAGAAAGCTCGTAGCGGCTCGATCAAGTCTAGACTATGAGGCCAGACCTCAGGGCCAGGGCATGACCGAGGTGGTTGAGCAATCGTCTGCCTGGAACCGTGAACCTTTTCAACACGGGGGCTAGACATAGGGTAATGCCGTGAGTGTACATGTTTATGGGTCTGGTTCCCATCTTTTCACTCTTTCGATGGCTCCAAAGCTGCGACAGCTGAGACCGGGCGGCTGTGCCATGTGCGTGAAACAACGGGCGAATATTCATGGCGTTGGACAGAAGCGGTATACGACAAGTCGGGGCTGTACAGTCACCACGAGCGGCTGGACGAGTTACGCGACTTCGGTCCTTTTCGAACATGGGAATATAGCCTTTCGGGGACAGGCTACAGAATTCCCATTCGATAACACACTCAATAATTAGTGACAAGAGCGCGATTTTGACAATAAAACCAGTCTGCGATCACTCTTCAGGCTTTGGCCGAGCCTCCGCCCAAGGAACGGGTTTGCCCTCCAATTTGCTTTGCTGTCCTCCGCGACCGCAGAAGCACGTCAAAGATCGTCCAAGAAGACATCTAAACGATGTTATCGTCTATCCCCTACGTCTAGCCTTTTCGGTCACCAAACCCATTCGAACGTCATGTCTCTCCTTCGACCTGCTCAAATCCACGCTGCCAGGAGGCCGTTCCATACACTGCGGCAGAAACTAGGACGAAAATGCTTACATCTGTTCCGCTCGCCTATAAAAACACCGTCCGCTTGCTGCCCATTCTCTCAAAGATCTTCCTCTTGTCTGGGAGCGTCTGTGATACTAGAGGCATAGTTACGTGCCTGCCTGCTTCGCATCCGTGCTTTCGACCTCGCCGGGCACATCCTCGACGCGTCAAAGCTTGTCAGCCAAACAGCGGGAATCGTCCAAGTTCTAAACGCTACTCTTTCGTTCCTTTTATTCCACTCTCCCCTGTCCTGGTCCTGTCGTTTGGTGAGTTGTCCCCACTCACATTTCAACTCCAGGCTCCTCGGATTTTGATCGTGCTTGGGTACCTCGGGTAGCGCGGCATCTCTTTCGTCAAGCCTACAACAAAACTTTAATCGACACAGTCAGCAATGTCTTCGCAGCAAACACAACAACAAACCCAGGAGGATGCTTACTATGATCAGGTGAACCACGGGCATCATCCAGGTTGGTTTCGGCGTTATCGTCGTTGCAGTGGCACTAAAAGTATAAAAATAGGATATTTACAAGGTCAAATCGCGCAAAATCAGCCCTATGGTCAACCTGGCATATACGACCAGCGCCAATATGCCTCGGCGGCTTCGTACCCGGACGGGCGGCCTCACTTTTCAGCTACGACGCCCGATGGTTTAGGGTATTCGTACCCATCTGGAGACGGCAGAGAATATCACCCAGGCGTGCCAACTACGTCTATGCCGCCCCAGGGTGCAGATGTCTATAATCCACCACTTCATTCTCCCGGCGCCTATGCGCACCACGGTCACTATTTACAGCCCGGAGGATATCGTGCAGATTCGAGCTCGTATTTTGTGGATGCAAGAAGCGGTGGACCAGCTGGGTCACCCGGAATGCCTGCGCAGCAAGGATTAGCAGCGACTCGGCCAGTTCCAGCGCGCCTCAATACGGCACCGGTCTACTTAAACGACTCACAGCACAGTCCTTCTGGCATCTCGTCTCATTCACCGTCAGCCCTACGCGCGTCAGTCGATCCCTTCAATTCCTCGTCATCCTTGTCGTCCCAGCAGTCTGGAGTAGGACCAAACTCGTCTCTCCCACCATCTTCGACGACAAGTGCCCCCCAGGCTCGTCCTCACGTGTGCGAACATTGCGGACTGGCATTTGTACGCGGCCATGACCTGAAGCGGCATTTGTCCACGCATTCGAACACGAAGCCGCATGTCTGCGAATGCGGAAAATCATTCTCCCGCAAGGATGCTCTCAAACGACATGCGTTTCTCAAGAGCTGCGGGACGGAAAAGACCAGCGGCTACGTGACATCGGAGGATTAGCTGTTCATCATAGTCTGATGAAGGAGCAGAGTTTAAGATCGACTCTGTTGCTGTGTTCGACGGCGAATTTTCCTCCCCCTGTGGCTTGCTTTGGTCACGCCAAAGCCCTTTCTGGAAGCGAGACGCGCTTCGATCTTTATGGTTTTTCTTGTAACTCTGCCTTTCGTACGCGTACCCTCATAGTAATCCGACCGCCACACTCGTCACTCGCTCCAGTTCGAGCAAAACGTATCCATACAAACTGTATCATTTCTTTTTTTGACGAAATAACGACACTTGATCCTCTTCTTAGACCGCGATCGCTGGTTTTACGTCTCGAGGCATGACGCACAGAATAATCTTGACCTCTGCGACGTCCGGCTTGGAATTTACAAGCCCCTCTGTGGGTCATTTTCAGCGTTTCGGCCCTTTCCGAAGTCATAGGATAACTGGTCGGATATTCGTGCCAGAAGCTAGCTGGCTTTCGACTCGCCGCAAACTCCTTTGAGCCGCCACCACCCGTGCCACCACCGCCGGCCTCTTCTCGTACCGATAAATGCCTCCAAAGAAACGAAAGTTTGATGAGGCCGGTAGCAGTCAGCGCTCCCCTCGTAAACGAGTAAACGCGGCCGACAGCTCGCAGCAGAGCCTTGATTCATTCTTCTTGTCTGGACGGAGTGCGCAAAACAAGGCGATAGTCAAAGAAGAGAGTACGTGATTTGGCCCACGCGGCGCCGATAACTCTTACAAATGTGCCACAGGGTCAGGTGCTCCGCGCGAGATAATTATAATAGATGACAACGAAGAAGAGGCTACTTATTCACACAAAGGACTCGCGACTGAAAATGTCGATATTGCCATCGATAGCACGGTCCGTCGCGACCTTACTCTAATCCGATGCCGTTCCGTCTGGAAACTTATATTTCGCTTCTCAGATAACATTCAATCGGTTGGGCAGTCACTCTCATCCTAATTCACCTGTCCATCCTCCATTTGACGGCTTCATATCGAACACGAGAGAAATGTCAGCAGGCAGCGAAACGTCTTCAGTGCTACATAACAAGGGCATCCCTATTAAACCCGAAACGGCTGGAAAGTCAAACGATACTCAAGTATTCGGCGACGAGACAAGTCTGGTCGATGAGAAGCATGTCGGTGTGACATCTGACGGAAACGCCACCATGCCACTACATTCAACATCATCGCATAGTCTTATGTCGACACCAATAGCCTCGGTATCCACTAATCCCGTGGACCCTCGAGCCCAGCAGACAATAGCGATCCAAATTCAGATTCCACCTTTAGAACCTTTCCCCAATCTCACCCTAAACCCCTTTCTATTTGAAATACGTCCTCGCTCACCCGAGGGACACGGAACTTCCGCTTGCAGCTATTGGACGCGGGGGACACCAGCCCCTTATTCCTTGCTCGTTCACGCCCTGGTATCGCTCGCGGCGACCAAGTCTAGGATTGCTATACTGTCTATCTTAACAAATCTTCTCCGTATACTTATCGTCTATGACTCAGAGTCCGTTCTGCCTGCTCTCTATCTGCTCTCCAACTCGCTTGGCGCCGCATGGGAAGGGATCGAGCTTGGTGTCGGTGGAAGTATTATTTCCAAGGTAATTGGATCGTGTTAGGATGCGGGCGTTGATAGCTAAAACCCTTGTACCAAAGATCTTGCAGACGACAACTTCTATCACATCGACCACAATACGTAATCTCTACAAAAAGTACGGCGACCCAGGAGATGTAGCCTATTATGCAGTTGTTGGGGAATCGTCTGGTCCTCGACCCAGTGTCCTTCGTCCTCATCCCCCCCTTCTCATAGGCGCACTATACAAGGATCTCCGGAAAATCGCGAGCTCCAGAGGCGAGAAGAGCCAAAAGATACGTCGAGCTATCACAGAGCGGCTTCTGCTCTCCGCTGTTGGATCTTCGTGGAAGTCTGGCAAGCCGAGCGGACAGGATAGTATCATTGACTTGAACCCACATCTGCTAGGAGAGGAAGCAAGATATCTCGTTCGGACTCTTATTCAAAATTTACGAGTCGGCGCCGTGAGGACAACGATCCTCAGCGCTCTTGCACGAGCCATCGTGTTCACGACCTCACAGCAGCGACGAGCCGATCCTACCGCACTTTTACGATACTCCATCTTGGCATCCGATTGTGATACTGTACGTAAAGTGCTACTGCAAGTCCGCAAGCAAGACGAAACCGGTACGTCGGGCACATCGAAGAAGTCGAAGCAGATCAGTAAAGCTGCTCAAACTCCCGAGTACCTTGCTGCACAGGAAAGAGTCCAGAATGTTCTCAAACGAGCCGAAGCTTGCTTGCGCAAGACGTATGCCCAACATCCACGGTACGACGACATTGTCCCGGTGCTGCTGCGCGAGGGAATCGATGGGATCGCGGGGGAAAACTCTTCGGTGGGGCTGAGTCTTGGTGTTCCAGTGATGCATACCCTTGGATCTCCCATGCGCTCATTGGATGACGTCTATGAACGACTTGGGCCGAACGCTTCATGGACAGCTGAGATGAAGTATGATGGACAGCGAGCTCAGGTACACGCCTGGCGCAAAAATGGCCAAATTAAGGTCAAGATCTTTAGTCGTCATCTTGAGGACATGACGGACAAGGCGAGTCTGTCACAACTATAGGCATACTAGTTGCTGATATGTCTGTCATCCCAGTATCCCGACATCGTATATCTCATCAGTCGTCGGTTTGATACCGACCCCTTTCTCGACTCGTTCATTGTCGACTCGGAGGCGGTTGCTGTCGACCGGTTTACTGGAGAGCTCCGGTCGTTTCAAGAGCTAGCCGGGAGAGCACGACGGGATGTCAAGATTAGCGAAGTCAAAGTTGCAGTCTGTCTCTACTTATTTGACATGATGTACCTGAATGGCACGGTATGGTATTCCCCTCGGGCTGCTGTCTTACTCATTACTTTGTAGCCTCTGATTCAGAAGCCATTTCGAGAACGCCGGAGGCTATTACGTACACATTTACCACCATCCGAGCCGGTCGTCGCGGGACACAATGACGCTCCTACCTCTAGTCATATTCTTGCTCGTCTCGATCATGTCGAGAGTGTCGAAGCGGACGAGGGACGAGAAGTGGTGGAAGAGTTTTGGGAAAAGGCCATTGAGAGCAAATGTGAGGGTTTGATGATTAAGGTGACCCGTTGATTACCACTGCATCTCGTTCTGACCGTATCTTCAAGCTCTTGGATGACACTCAGGTCACCCTCGGTGACGGCGAGGAGGATATAGAGGATGATGAGGACTTGGAGACCCCAAAACGCGCAAAGAAGAATGGGTCGAGTACTAGACGTAAAGCCCTTCCCGCAACATATGAACCCGGTGCGTGCCACCCCGCTATTTTACGTGGTGTCTAAGTCTCCTGCAGACAAGCGTACATCCGCGTGGCTGAAGCTTAAAAAAGATTATGTCGAAGGCATTGGAGATAGTCTAGATTTGGTTCCAGTCGGCGCTTGGCATGGAAATGGACGCAAAGCTGCATGGTGGAGTCCTATCTTATTGGCCGTGTATGATCCTGCGGGTGACCAGCTTGTCGCATTGTGCAAATGCATGTCGGGTGAGAATTTATCCCCCTTCTCTTTACAAATTTACTCACATATTCAGGGTTCACCGACGCGTTCTACAAGGAGCTCAATGAAAAGTATCCAGAAGGTACAGAGACATGCTCCAAGACATCTCTCTGGAATGTGGAAACTGGCGGTATGTGCTAGAACCCTCGAAGGTGCATTCTCATTGGAAATAGGATATAAACCAAACGTCTACTTCAAACCTTCGGAAGTCTGGGAGATACGGGGAGCAGAGTATGTACAGTATCTAAATTGTGGCTCTTATCTAATATTGGACAGCTTAACGATCAGCCCGACGTCGGCTACTGCACTAGGCATGATTCCGCAAGCCCGCGACCGAGGACTGAGCCTTCGCTTTCCACGGTTCATGCGTATCAGACTCGACAAGAAGATTGAGATGGCAAGCACTCCGGCGTTTGTCCACCAGCTATGGCGGAACCAGGAATCCAAGGGGCAAGCACTTGGGATCGGGGAAGACGAATTGGTTGATGTCATCGAGGAAGAAAGTGTGGAGGAAGAGTACGAGAGTAGCAGTGATGAGCACGAGTAGCCATCGGAATTGACAAGTCTGTTTGTCCATGACGTCGCCGTGATCTTCGCCATGAACCTCATTCCGAGTTTACTGCCCTTTGAGAAGATTCCGGTCACCCTGGTCGTTCTGGGGTGCTACTTGGCTGCAATAATCTCTACTTTGGTTGTGCAGGAGCACTTACCTTCAGCCCCACATGATCACCACAAGATTGGCCTCGACTTGGACGAGGCATGGCGAGACCTTCAAGCTGTAGGTACACTTACCAAGAGTCAGGGATGATTCTAATTGGTGCTGTAGATCGCACAGGTCGCACATCCGTTCAACTCTCGAGAGAATGACGACGTGGGACGGTATTTGGTGAAACGTCTCAAGCAGTTCACCAAAGGAAATAGTCACATCACACTTGACTTTGACACAAAGACAAACGCCTCGTGGTACTCTGAAGACCAGTCCGTGACTTATATGGAGAGCCGGAATATCGTCATCAAGTTTGACGGATCAAAGTGGAATGACTCCGCGGTGTTGCTAACTGCACACTACGATACATCATCTTTGGCACCTGGTAAGTCGAGGCATCCTCGGTATTCTACCCGCTAAGTGTCCCACAGGCGCGACGGATGATAGTCTCGCAGTCGTGTCGCTTCTTCAGGTAGCAGAACAACTCACAAAGCATAGACCAGAACGCTCGATGATTCTCTTATTCAACAATGGTGAAGAGGATGGGCTCCACGGGGCGCAAGTCTTCCTTCGCCATCCTTGGATGTCACTCGTCCAGTCATTCATCAACGTCGAGGGTGCTGGTGCAGGTGGAAGGCCTAATCTGTTCAGATCCTCGTCCGCGCAAATTACCTACGCCTTCAGAAAGGCTGCTCATCCGCATGGTTCCAGCCTCTTCTCCGATGCATTCAAGCTCGGTCTCATTCGCTCCACTACCGATTACTCCATCTACACACGCGCTGGGATCCCGGGATCTGACTATGCCTTCTACACTGGCCGGCAAAAGTATCACACAATGTCAGATACCGTGGCTAGCCTCCATAATCGCCACCCACTTTGGATTATGATGGAGAACTTGCACAACGTGGTAAAGGAACTTGCCTATCAGCCGGACATCGGTATTTCAGATAACGCTCGCTTCGTTTACTTTGATGGTGAGAAACTAACCCCATCACCAAGAATTTCCCTAACCACTTAGATTGTAGTATTCGGAGAGGGTTGGTTCTACATGCGATCCGACCTCTTTATGGTATTCAACATCCTCCTCATCGTCTTGGGCCCTATTTTCGTCATTCTCCTTGGATGGTCCTTACATCGAAGCCACAAACTTTATGTTGGATTACGTGGCTGGGGCCGCTTTCCAGTAGCTCTCATCCTAGGCGTTCTAGTGGCGGGTGTCTGCATTGGCTGGTACGGAGAATACAATCCCATGGTGAGTAAAATATCGTTCCTGCGCAGCACTAATTCACTGGATTCTAGGTCATTGACCGAGCGCCCTATTCGATTCTCGTGACAATTGCATGCTTCACTGCCCTTGCCACTCTGGTACCAATGTATATCACCGACTGGTGGAAGCCAACACCGTCTCAGCGAGCCCAAGTTCTTTTGGAAATGTTCGGACTATGGTGGATTGTTTCCATTATCACGGTTATCGTTAGTGCGCGGAGAGAGTTGACTGGAACATACCTCGTCACGTTCTTCTACGCCGCTACGCTAGCTGCGACGTTGATCTCCCTGTTGGATATGCATCGACTAGATCGCAAGGTCCCAATCGCTGTTCCCGAGTCTGCGATTCCCCATGATCAAGAGGCTGATGCATCCCGGAACGGCGCCGATCACCATATTCGTCGCCATCACCAAGCCGGCGATGTTGAATCAACATCTGACGAGCGTACACCGCTCATTCCCAGAGCGGAAGAGCTGCTGGTGGTGGCGAATCAGCGGACAGGGCAGCAGTCGCTTGGGTGGATCTGGGTTCTGGAGTTTATCCTCCTCGCAGTTTTCCCTGCCATTTTGATGCTCCAACTCACTTTCTCTCTGTTGGCTGCACTCGGGCCAACCGTTGTCGACGGCACACCTCCCGCTTTCGGTAAGTTTCCACGTCATAACCCCACATATGCTAACTCTCAAGCAACAGTCTACGCACTCATCTCACTCAGTGTAATGCTCGCCATCTTGCCAATTGCGCCTTTCGCCCACAAACTACCAGTGACCTTCTATCTTGTGCTTCTTGTCATTGGGATTGCAACCGCAGCATACACATCCTTCGTCTTCCCATTCACATCCGAGTCGCCCCTCAAGGTCTTCTTCGGTCAGACGGTTGATCTTGACCAGGGGAACAGTACCGTCACGCTTGCAGGGGTTCGACCGTACCTCGATCGAGTATTCAGGGAGCTTCCTACCATCGACTCCAGCAACATTACGTGGAGTAAGGGGCCAGTATCTGGGATTCAGATTGCGGGATTCCCAGGACTCGCGCCGCGTTCCGTACCGAACACACCTATGGCGGATTGGGTGCACGTTACCCTAAACAAGACGAGCTTATCGAGCGCTTCAATAACTGTGATGGGAAACAATACAAGAGCGTGTCGAGTGTCCTTTGAAGGTGGCTACAATGTTGCACAGGCGGTCGTTCGTGGTAGCAACACCAAAGATCTCCAGCTTCCGTCACCTCATCCACTCAAACAGGTCAATCTATGGAGCAGAACATGGAACGCGACCTGGGTCGTTGATGTTGATTTCATGGCACCCAGCACTGAAGAGCAGAGTATGCAATCGGCAACGGCAGCAAAGGTGTTGAGTGGCAAGGTATCGTGTATTTGGTCCGAAAGAACCAATGGCAGAATCCCTGCTCTCGACGAACTCTATGTCTTCTTCCCGATGTGGGCCACAATCTCTGCTGGTAGGGCTGGTTTGGTTGAAGGTTGGAAGTCATTCTCGGTCTAAGTGCATCATACGATACAGAGCTATAGTTATGCGAGCTTTAAAACATGTCTTACTTCATCTCAAATAGTAAAATGCGAGCAATTCGCCAAGATCAAGTAGGCTACAGACTGTAGACCAGGTGAATGAGAATGATATGTTCGAAATGCCCGTTCTACGGACGGATCATCTTCGTTTCTTGCCGCCTTTGCCTTGAGCCTTTGCGGGCTGTTTCTCGTCTGACTTTTCTGTCTTTTCGGCTTCAGCTGGCCTCGGAGGGGCAGTCCACTCCATGACCCATGCGGCTCTCGGCTCAATTTTTTTGTAATAGTTTTCTACGACGCCAACCTCCTTGAATCCATTACGTTCATAGAAGCGCTTAGCAGCTTCATTATTGATTTGGACGTGGAGATAGATCGCTTTGATGTACGGCTTGGCTGTTGATGTCGATGCAGCGTTCAAGACGTGCTTGAGCGCGTGCGTTCCAAGACCAAGTGAGCGATAAGGCTATTGAATGAGAATGAGGAGATATCCGATGCTAGGCGAGGAGTAGGAATACCGCCAAGACCCCCATGGTCATAATATACAGTTTTGCTTCCTTGTGGCTCTCGTCTGTCTCAATTCTGGAGCAGACGGTACCAACTGGGATGTCATTATAGTACACTAAAAGATGTGAGAATCCGAAATTAAGCAGATGATGGCTTGGACACCCACCAAGTTGGCAGTATTCTTCCGTCTCTGGGAGAAGTACTTCCGTGAAGAAGCGATCCGTGTATATCACAGGCAGAATCACTGATCTAGAGGCAGTTTTTCACGTCAGTCGATAGCTTGTGAGGGCTGAGATTGAAACGCGCAGGAGTTTTCGCAAAGTCCCAACGTTATTCTTGTTGACTGGAGCGAGTGAAATGCTTGAAGTCTTTTTGGTCCTCGCAATTGGTTGTGCATCTTGTGTCGCCATGTTTTGGTAGAGGACAAGGCTGAGGACGCCACTCAAACTGTTCACAGAACTCTCATTGAAACAAGATTCAGGCATTTATAGTAGGTACATTAGTATGCATCCTATCCAGAGAGATCGACTTCCTCTTTGTCGTCGGTCTATGGTGACAATCTGCAATCTTTGGGAATCGTTGATGCTCGGAAGAATACTAGAAAGTGCAGCGCAAAACTTAGTCCTCGTCCCCAGACGAAAATCCCAAGTCGGGCTTGGCCTCCTGCTTCACATCGCCAATGAAGATTTTTTCGCCGAACACATCAACATCCATTGAGCCTGCCTGTTGTTCCGCTGCAAGTTTCTTTGCACGCTTCTCGTTTGCAGCCGCCTCTGCTGCTGCTTGTTTCCGCTTGTATCTGTTCAGTATCAAGCACGTAAGAACTAACAAGTGTCAGGGCCAAAGAAGACATACGCATTTGTCCCCGGGATCTTCTCTGGGTTCTTGCAAAGTCGAAGCCTTCGATCTACATCCCTCACAAGCTCGATATTGATCCGTCCGCCTGGCTCATTCTCGCGCTCGATCATGCGCGCTACCTCCTTTATCGGCTCAAGCTCACTCGCTGTTAGACCTTTGGCTTTCGCCCACTGTTCGGTCAATGTTTCGCTCGCGAGCCAAAATGCACCGGCGGCGATTTGGGAGGGTGGGTACAGGAACTCCGCGTCCGTGAGACGAGCTGTCCTTACGTGCTCACGTGCGGCATTGAGGATATCTTTGATCGCTTCTGGACGAGTATCGGGTAGACTCTGCCATGGTAACGTCGGCCAATGATGGGAAATGAAAGAAGGGGCATACCTGGAGGTCTAGCCAGATACCCCAGACGGCACGAAAGGCGGGCCAAACGGCGAATTCGAATGAGAGACTCTGCGCTACGAGGAATTCGAGGTCAAGGACATCGCTTGGTGACGTCTTTGGAATGGCGGATGTATATGCGTCCAACGAGATTGGCTGATTGGTCGTCTTTGCTGCTAGAAAGAGTGCTGTTAACCTACACATATGTCAGCCTCACATTGAGAGAGCGGTAATGAAGGACGAACATGACATTCTTTGGATGCCAATCCATGACGGTATTCTTGAGATAGAAACGCTTGAGATACGTCATTGCCGTCGCCTCGACTTCTTCTGTCCACCGAAAGTGATCGCAGAGAGCGGAGATTTTGTCCACATAAAGCTTGACAAGTGCATATTCTTCCTGCGCGTTGATAAACTCGATTCCGTTCGACGAGCCGGTCTATCCTCCATCAATTAATTGCTAGACAATACAATGAGTGGTAAGAGACAGGCGACGGGAGGGGATGAGAAAGGGGATTAGGATTGTGACATACCTCTTCTGCCTCGTAGGCACGCTTGATGGCGGTGACAGCAGTCTCATTTGTATGGGTGCGCTGCTTCAGAAGCATCTCTTGCGAAAACATCCAATGGCGGTACTGCGACGAGCCCTGCCAGAGACTCTTCCTGCCATCGCTCTCACGCACGAGTGGTTTGACAACGTCCACATCCTCCTTCTTCACCTCTTTCTTTCCATTCGTCGTCAGAGTAGCCGCGCTCAACGAAAGCGCGTCTTTTGGTTCCTCTTGGACCAATGCGGGTTTGATATCCTCTTGTTTGATGTGATTCATCCCTTGAAGTGTGTATGATCCGAAGAATCGAAGCAAGCCAGGATCCTTGCGTAACAAGGGTGCGATTCCAAAAGAGGCACCGCAAATGGATCGAAGTGGGCGGGTCTAAGAGAAATTGGAAGGCAGCATAGCGAGGTTCCTCCACAAAAACGGTTATTCGACTCGTAGGGTCAAGTAATCACGATATGGACGACAACAAGAGCTCTGGCTATCTAGACTATCACCTGATTGCTGATCTGGTAGCCTGCGACGACATACGCAGGACCGCTGTGCCCAGGAAGCACTCAGTCTGGGAAAAGCACAGGAAATTTATGGCTTTCGAGGCTCGTATGGGTACGTATGGCCTTTTCGAGCATCAAACCTTTGGTTCAGGCAGGGCTCAGCACACGGGTCTCCTACATTCAACCAAAAGCGAGATACTGAACACACCAGCCACCTGAAGGAAACACACTTTGCCTTCAAAAATCTGCATACCCTCAACTGACTATGTTGGGCCAACCCCTGATGGTCCCGTTTTGTTGGTTGTCGCTCGTACCAATGACTTATGACATGCAGTTTGGCGACTCGAGACAGTTGGGGAGGGAAGAAGATGCAAACAGGTAAGACGCGGCACTAGGGACGCGACAAATTCGTCATTTGCCCTCTGCACGGTCACCTCTCGGCCAGGCTCAGTAGTCCCATTCACAGTTGACAATGCAATTATCTGTGCTCCTGTGACGACTTGTAGCACATGATGATGATCCGTCAGCACCCGCCTGAACCGTCATACCGGATGAACGATCCTCTCGTATCTCATTATCACAACTGACTGGCGACGGTGCGCGCCAAATTGAACGATTTTCCCGTCACGCTCGGTTCCTTTTACAATCGGCTCCCTACGACCCCGCGGCAACCGCACTACGAGCGCGAGACGTCTTCCCACTTCATTTAGGGTCTCTCAACTGAACCGCGGAAGACCTTCTCAGCAAACCGAGGAACCCATCTAAATGAACACGCATGGGGCCATGTGCAGGTGATGCATTGGGCTGAACGCCGATGCAATCGTCGCTCACACCGGTATGAGCGGCGTAAGGTGTGCCAATTCACGGAGGATATGTCGCATCAACGCAGACCTCACATGATGCACCACCGTTGCACCATCTAACGATTCTACGTATAACTGAATACGGTCGGAAGATTATCGTTATCCAGCACAATAGCCAAGTTGCTTGATGAGGAGCCAAGCAGCCAAGGTATCTCACAATGGATATCTCACGCGGGACTAGGATTGTGCGGGGGTGTGGTCGGACGACCTCTATTGACGATTTCAGGATGTAACGTAACACGACATGCAAGATTTACTGTTCACACGAGAGAACGAAATGCAGACGAGAATAGGGCTCGGAAGGAATCGTGGATCATGGCGTCGGGGGCGAAGTGGGTATGTCGACGTGCAATTTTGCGAGTTCTTCCAGATTGATCGGCTCATGGGACACCATGCCCCACCACTCACTTGCACCCGTACCCCCATTCGCCGTGATTGAATTCCAATCAGCGACATGGGAGATATCCCTTGTCCATATCCAATCATGCTTCCACACAGAAAGAGAGATGATGACCTGGGTGAGTGATTCGCAACTTTGTCCAAGGCGACTGACGAGCTCGAGCTGAACGCGTTCGTCGTATTTGACATAGTCGTCTGTGCCGGTACCAAAGACAATTGTTTGAAGGTTTGGTAAGCCCATGATGTAGTACGGGAACGAAGGGTGCTAACAATAGATCAACACTTTACGATCACTAGAGACAGCCCGAGGGACTCACTCTTGCGCAATCCAGACTGCACACGCCCAGAAAGCGGAGACCTCGCAAGGAGATGAACACACTCTCGAGTATACTCCAGGACATTGGGTTCCTCAACACCCCCATTCGGATGTCCAGTGCCTCGACGTCTCCCAGACCGAGCGAGAGTTTTTCGACCGCTCTCACTGTCGCATCATTGGCAAGGTCGCTTGTCAAAGTGAGCCTTCGAATGGGCCTGCTGGGTACAATTGCTGCAGCTGTCGTCAAGCAGCCCGTGAACGACCATAGTTTTCGCGCGGCTAGAGGAGACAGCGACTCAAAGTCAAACGATTGGGCTTCCAAGTCGACTTGTTCCAACTCTGTTTGTCTCTCGAGGAACCTTACGACCCCGGCCTCTCCACGTGCATGGCAAGTAAACTCTCTGATCCTTGTCGAGCAGACGGCGTCGAGTACTTTGGTGTAGTCGCTCCAAGGTGCCCCACGCAGAGTCAAAGAGCGAAGATTACTACATGCGGCGAGTGCGTTGGAAATGTATTCGAGTGGCGTATACTGATCAATGATGATGGACAGTCGGCGAACATAGCGTGCGAGACGGGGCTGGCCGGCGAGTCGTTGGCATTGTGCGATTGTCTTTATGTGGTGCCGTAGATGGAGGGTGTGGTAGAGGACGCGCTCGGCCTCTGCTTGAAAGGAGCGCGAGACACGGGCAAGCGTGCAAAGGTCATGTGCGGACGGGACGTATGCGACGATCAGACGGTACAACTCAACTGGAAGCGTTGGGGATTGACTTCGTTGGCCAATGAAGTTTGTGTATGCTGTTGGTGAAGGATGGGATGGCGGGAGATGGAGATTGGGCACCTGAAATGAGCTCCAGGACGAGGAGCGCGAGTGCATCCCCCGACCGTATGTGAAATTGTGTTCATTCGATGATGGGACAAGCTGATAGGCCGCAAGCGAAAAGGGAGATGGACGAGGGGCACCATGGCGGAGTGGGTAGCGGGTTGGACCTGTTGTCGATGGAGGATCGCATTCCATCGACGAAGGCGGGGCAGCTCTCCATCGGGACATTCTGGCCAACTCGCGTCAATATTTTCTGCTGGTGGGGGTTGAGACTCGTCTGTCGGTCAACACCAGAGGCAAGGCACGAGGTCACGCAAGTGCAAGTGGGGAGAAGAATTCCTGCATCAAGAGTGGAGAGACCGTGGCTTATAAGTCACGGGCGGTCGGTGCGTAGCCGGCGAAGAGTCTCCGATTCAACCCCGCCACGGCGAATACGCGAGCCTTGCCTCGCTACCTCGTCCGTCTGAATCCTCCGTGTCCAGTTTGTGCGTCTCTCAGCGTGCCCCAGCGGCCAGGCGATCAGTGTCCGGGGAATTGCAATACCTCCAAGACACGGACACACTGGATGCTAGCTGCGATCGCCGAGGTTTGTCCCTGCGTCTTGGACTCGCTCGGCCAATACCAGCGTCTGCCGCGTCGCGTCCTATCCGACGCACATTGCCGAGTTGCTAGGCTTCCCAGGACAGGATCACATCACCTTTTTTTTTACGTTTTCTACGTTGATTCCCAAGCTGATTCTAGAGTATTTGTAAGTCGGCACATCGTTATCGCGAACGGGGCCAACTCATCCGGAGAAACTAGCGGGGAAACTTGAGGGCTAATATATTCCAGAAACAGACATTTACACGATACAGGGTCACACAAACCGACTCCTTCCGTACCCTAAAGGTCGACTAGTCGTTACCACTATGGGTCGGGCACCGTACATGATCGGGTAGAGTACCCTTTGCCCCTCCAACCTAAGAGCCACCGGCTCCTCGTCATGCTCAAGAGACACCAGAGAAGGACTGGTGTAATCTGTGTGCGATTTGGTAATCTCCGAGACATCCTCGAGATTACTCGTCAGGACACCCATCGCCAGCGTAGGTATAACGCCACCGCCGCCGGCTGGAAGCAGGGTTTGGGTTTGGAGAATGTGCTCCCCTTGAGACGGTGGAGGTTGTGAGCGGCCTTCTCCGTCGAATTCTTCCCGTAAGCGATTATCATTGACCTCGCCTTCGCAAACAACTTTTGGTTTGGCTTCTTGCACACCCTCTTTCGTTTCCGACGTGCGCTGAATCCCAGAGGAAATCCCGGACGTAACGGCTAGACCAGAAGAAGACGTAGACACCCTCTTCTTCTGGACTTTGGGATTGTCCGCAGAGGGCATCAGGATGAACACACACATGCGCACCGTGGCCGCGGTTGCAGTCGGATTCACCGACGTGGATGCTGCCCCGTTCTTTGCTTGGGAGGATGTATTCTCCGACTTGGTATCCGATAACACGTCGAGATTTCGATGTTGAACATAAAGTGGGACAGAGGGAGTAATGGCGAGTTGCTGAGAGTGCTGGTGAAATGCAATGCGCAGGTTTGCGTGCATCTTCGCGGCCTCTCTGCGCTGTTCACGCGTCGTCAGAATTGCATTGCGCACTGATACCGGCGTCTCAGGCTCGCGTGTCTTGAAGGAGACCGAAATGGGCTATCAGTTTGGGCCGCAGTCAGTGAATATACCAACTCGATTTGCAATTGGAAGGTACCTTGTAGGCGTAGTCATCTCCGATACACTCTCCTGGTGCCGTAAGTGCCACCGGTCTAGATTGGATGTCTATCCACGTCTCGTAAAGCGACGCCACGGACACCTTGGCATTCCGCGTCGTCTTCTCGCGTGAGGTTTGTGTTTCTCCATCGTCGGTTCGTACGAGAATAGGGTCAATATGGCCCGCTCGCACGAGACTCTCGAAGCGGCGCGTGAACCTGCGTGTTGTCATGTATCCCATCACGACTGGGATGATTAGAAAGCTGAGGACTCCGACGACCAAAAACACGACGATGAATGTCCCAACCGACGACATGACCTTTGCCAGGGACGAGTCCAACCCATGGAATGTGCAAATATAGCGTACTGAGCTCACCTTCTCACAGGCAGGCAATTAGTAGGTTACGTAACATCAAGTAGTAAAAAACGGAACATCAGGTAGTATGATAAGCAATAAAAGTAATACAACACGTACACCGACTCATGGAGACTCGCGGTACCAGCTCGCTGACAAGCGTTCGCGCTGTGCAACACTCGCACGAGCCATCTCCCATACATCCTCTCCAAACAATCCTGCACTCTCAAAGTAGACCAGTCGCTCATCCTGTGCGCTCAAATCTGCCAACTGCCGCCAGACTTGGCCCGTCCGGTCACTCTGCTTTATCCGTGGTCGCGGTCGGAGCAGCACACGCACGACGACCATTTCCAGCATGCGTCCCCTTGGATTCGCAGTCGTATTCTCCTCTTCTTCGAGGCTAGATCGTCGGCTCTGATTGTCGTCTCTTTCGTCCCGTCGACGCTCGTCTTCTGTGTCGTCCCCAAACGGTCGCGGGGTGTTTGACCGGTTGTCGTCCATTTCATGCTCTGGTCGTTTCCCAACATCCAACGCACTCCTCACGAGCATTAGAAGCGTCTCCACCCTGACGCCCGTGACTCCTAGCGGGTAGTCAAAGGCGACGTGCGTCAGCTCGCCATTGACACCACTACTTCCAACTCCTGATAATAACCCCTCGCCGACTCCAAATACGTTGAGCGCTCGAGGCAGTTCAACAGAATAGTGCAAGTGCGTTACTTTGGACAGAATCGCCAGCCGGAAATTGACGTTGAGTGTTGGGGGGACGAGTGTCAGGTATCGTGGTCGAAGTAGTGCATCTTCAAGCCGCGATGGCAAGGAAAGTGTTTGACCACCGAGGGTCGTGTTCGTCACAGTCGGCTGGTCCGTGAGCGTCCAAGGCTGGATTTGATTCGCAGCCACATATACAGCCGTTTGCCCTTGAGCATTTGAAGGGGTGCTGGAACCCGATAGATTCGCAGTGGGAGTGCCGGTCGCGGCATTAACGGCTGCATCTCCTCCAATCAACGAGGAGCTCGTGATCATAGGCGCTAACACAGACGAACCGCCGACCTGGTCATGTCCAGCTTCCATCCCGAGTAATGAAACCGGAGGTACCAAATTCGGAATAGGCGTGCTTGTCCCGGGCGTGGGCGTAGGTGTCGTTGTGGGCGTTGTTGTATGCACGCTCTCTCCATCGCCTCCTCCGCCGGGATCCGGGATGGTCAATAGATGATGATGTCCGTGAATCTCTGTAGATTCCCGGCGACATTTGTCCGCCGCAGGAAATCGCCTGTCGTCTCTAGTTCGACTACGTTGACGCATGCAGACATGATCAAGATTGCATCCCGTAAGACGTCACGGAAGAAGAGCAATACACGATCTTCCTGAGGCAAGAGCGCGAGACTGCGTACGTGCTTGAAGAAAGAGGGCCGCTTCTTGATTCGGGGGGACTGCTGATCAGAGAGGAAGCGTTGTCGGTTCGGACTGGGTGGCACATACGCATGATGCGCATGGGTGTGGATGCTGGCTCGAAGGCTGTCAATGGAAATGGAACGTCGGGGTTGTGCGTAGGGAATTAGCGGTGGCAACGGTAAATGTGGCATGCTGGATGACAAGTCGATGGGAGTTCGCGGTCTGCTTGTTGTTCCGCTCGTCTGGGAATCAAACGACTCCCTGACTGTCCTCGCAAAAAGCCGAATCTGACTCGGTCCCTCCAGCCGCACAGCCGAATATAAGATGGGGTCTACCCATTCTTTGACATGCGAAGCCACGAGCACGAGTGAGCATGCCGTGTCTATATCGTCATACGCCGCGTTTTCAAAGATGCACCGTAGGATGTCGTCTGGAAGGTGCAGAGGAAACGGTACCAACGGCGGGCGTGGTGCCGCTCGTAACGAGTTCAAAAAGGCAGAATTGTTCCCCTGCAAATGTGAATTGCGTGATGATGATCGGTGCCGAGGGTCAATGGTCGAGCCAGTCGTCATTCGCGTCGGGATATTAGAGTGCGTGCTTTGCTGGAGATCTCCAGAGTGAGATCCTTGACCTGTAGATACTGTAGAGATTGGTCGACGGTGACTACGGAGTCGGTTGCGTTTCCGGCGTGGAGAGGCAGCATTAGGGGCTTCGTATGAATGGCTTGGATCAGAGAGAGTGTTCAGCTGAATATCTTCTCTTCGGCGAGTCTTTGTAAGTCTCCTCGTTGGACGTGGTCGCCGTTCGGGTCCGTTTCCGGTCGTCACTGAACCACGGCGTGTGAACGACGCCGGGATACATGAGAGTAGTAAATCCCACACTCGAGATGTCGATAATAATGAATGACAAAGGAAATCGTGACACGTTGCGTGCTCTCCTCTTACGTGGTGAGAGTCGAATCTGCTCGTGTGGTCGTTATGAACGGCTTGTGTGCCGGCTTGGTGCAAAGTAGCATGATTAGGGTTGTGATGTCCATTTACATCAGTTTGTACTAGATTGTTTGACTCTTCGACCGCGAGCTGGGATGGTTGTTCATTGGCCATTATGGGGATTTTCCCAGTTAGATCCCGATGGACGATAAACTGGGCAAGTCCAAGGGGAAAAAAGCACCAACCCAAAGCCGACACCCGGGGTTATATACAGGCGCTGGAGCGATTAGAGGACAGAATTGCCCTGAAAGGAATGAGCGTGATCCGCAAAAAGCTAGGTCGTCAAGTGACAAGTTTGCCAGCCCAGGTCGCGTCGGCGGAGAGAGACGGCGATAGGGGTAGGTGGTGGAGTTGAGATTATCTATTCGGAGATAAAAAGAATAAACAGAGGCGACATCAGCCAGCGTCATCATCAAACAATTTGGAGGAAAATGCTCACGACAGCCGTGACTATTGAGCGGCGGAGTCGAGCTCCAGCGAGAATGGCGGGCGGAGGAAACAAGCGGCGGCGAGTAAAGTCTGGGACTCGAGATGGATTAGTATCAACGTCGAAAAGCTCAAAGCTGGTCTTCGAAAACGCGTTCCATGGCGCACTCAATCGGTTGTCTTTGGGATGAAACACGATCAAAGAGCAAAGAAAACTTGGGCAGCGACGACGGAAGACACGCTTGCCGACCCTTGTAGCGCCAGCCCCTGATCGTAACGCACGAGGTGGTGGCTGCAGAGGACGTGTGAGATGGGATTTCTAGATGTTGGGCAGACAAACCCTCGTAAGGAAACACTGTTCCAGCCGTCGTCGGTCCGCGCGATTATCGGGGGCCCCCGAGATCCAAACCACAGATGGGCACGCACGCCCGAGGGTTTCTGATGCCTTTGATGTAACCGAAATGAAGTTGGGCTCGAAGGCAGAAGCCAACTTCAAGAACGTTGCCAACATCCCTCTTCCAAAGTTAATCGTCTGCAACCCAAAGCTCATCAGGATCAAGCTCATCAAACCCTGCATGGTTACCTGTACTCGATTCGAATCTGCCAGTCAGCACAAGAATCTATACGACTCTATGTCGGCAGTCAAGGCCGGTGCAATATCATAATTGTTTGAATGAATGCGTGTCCAGCCCACATCTCCGAGGGATGCTTTACTTCGAGCCCAGTTCTTCCCTCGTCGAGTCTGCAATGCAGCAATCTCCTCGTGCTTGACCAACAGAAACAATAATTGTAGCAATCAAAGTTGTCCACAATGCGAGGAGGATGGCAGAGTACGTGCTCTTGATGGCAACGACCATGGATGTTAATACTCCCCGAGGGCGAAATGGGTGCAACTATGACCTCTGGCTCAGCTGCCTTTTTATGTTCGAGCAATATCATACGAGGGACACCCAATTGTCGTCAAATTAATCACTAGCTGCCCATTCTCCCTCGCTTCCCATGATCTGGACCAAGAACATACCCTTTGTCGATGACCATACATCTCCAACCGATACGAATTTACTTTTTGCCTCAGAGCGGTCTATCGTCGTCGCTCGATGCACGCAGAGCCACTCATCGACAGGATTAGCCTATTCTCCCGTACGGATCGGCAACAAGAGGCTGGACGTCTCGTATCAACATCAGATCTTGTAGGTCAGATAATGGACGTGATTTTCTCGCTTAAACCATATGGGCTGTGCGTACTTCCGTGAATCAAACTCATCTCTCTCAGGACTACGATAGCATCTCGAGAAGTATATAGACTTTCGATAGTCACAAGGCTTATATGAGAGTTTGGAAGCTTCAGTACAACGACAACCTCACAAATGGATATCCTCCACCTCGAATGGCTTCGCGCAGGGCAAGTTGTGGACAACAAGTGAGCACCGCCAGAAGTCCTAGACATCGAAGCTCGAAGAGGAAGTGTATGCTGATGTCCTCCTCTTATTCCAAAATGTTGATTCTCCTAAGCCATCGGTCCCGCTTAAACGCTCCTAACACGAGGCAAATTTATCAAGTCAACCGCATTTCAGCGCCTCAAACTGTGATTATAGACGGGATTTTTGAGCCCATTGGGGCCAACGCCCATCTTCAGGCCCAGAGGCGAACACCGACCCAGCCACGAGTTGGGCTTCCCTTTGTTCCAACCTGGAAACGACCTGGATACCAAAATCATTCCAGAGGCGAGGAGTATTCGTCCGCCAACCCCCCCACGTGTACTGCTCGCCCTCCAAACCGCGGCCACTTGCCCGTTTCGCCAGAGGTTCATTGACCCTGTTCATCCGCCATTCCTCCATTCAATTGAGGTGGATCACTCGGCACCCATACTGCTTAGCCGGGGCTCCCTAAAAGGCAGCTTTGTGAGAGGGAGCTGAGACTCTTCGTGCTGCCCCCTTCACACCTCTTCACGACTCCTTACGACCTCCATTCGCAACTATGATATTTACTTTTCTTTCCTTAATCTTTATGGTCCTACTTAGCTGCCACGCAACCGGCGTCGGAATGGGCACGCAAACGTCCACGCAGTCAGTCTCCATTATAGTTGGCTCTCGCTGCTCGCAGGCTCCAGACTGACGCCTCATATGAAGCCCTCAAGGACTTGCAAGCACAGTCGAGCAATCAGATCCTACCACGTCCCCGTCAACCTTTATTCCCCAGGTCGGCTCAACGTTCATTTCTTCGCCACGCCCGTTGACGCTATTTCACAGGATCTCACTAACCGTCCCCTTGGTATTGCTCGTCGCGAACTAATTGGCCAAGAAATGGCGACAAACGACATGCAGCGCGCTCGCCTCCTCTCGGCAATTTTTGGGAGCGTCGCCGTCTTTGCACTCTTGCTGCTCGTACTGTTGGTCATCAATCGCGACAGAATACGCAGGCTGCAAATGCCCGTCACCAACGAGGCGCTTCAGGTCTCAATGGAGCGTTCAGTCTCCGTAACGCGGGATTCTGTGCTACCAGGGAGGAAACCAAACATGTTTCAAATCCGTAAGTGTCGTTTCTCAATCTGTTGACTCTCTGTATATGGGCTCATTCATGATCACCCAGCGGTACGCATCACGGGAAGTGCCAGGAGAGAAATGAGAAACGAAAATGCACGATCAATTGTTCTCCCTATTCACGACGTTCCCCCAGCGCTCCTCCGAGCCCCTGAGGGTACCAGAAGCCTAACAACCCCACGCACGCCGCCGGGTATCTACGTCCCTATCACACCTCGCATAACACGTTCATTATCGACTCGTTTGGTCCTCTCGACCGACAGAGCTGTGCCCAACGACCCTAGAGGTAAGAACGTTACGGAGACGGGCGTCATTGTCATCCATCCTCCTCGTCCACCACGTCGCCCACGCGCTCCGTCTCCACCCCCGACATACGCACAGTCCACAAACTCTTCGCCGACGGTGGAGATGTCGACAGTTCCCTACGGCCTCCCCCGCTATCACTAAGTGACACTAGACCTGATGACCTTTACGACTCTTCATGACCTTTACGACCTGATATGATAGACCTATAGAAGCACGTGCTCCTCCTGTCCTAGAATCTGTAGATCACTGACTTTCGTTCTGCTACCCTCTCGAGATGTTGAAAATGAGATAGTTGGTTCTTCGTTCAGACATTGATAGGTTGCGAAGCTACCATTAGTCTCTCTAAGGGAATCTCATGCATACTTGTATCCTACAAGAGATGAGCTAGTCACCCCAAACAAGCTTAACAAGTGAAAACAGCTACGGAGAGCGTCAGCGCATGTCGAGTTCGTAAAGATTGACACTAACATGGACCTGGGATGGTGTACGTCGTCTGCCCGTTGTAGAGATTGTACGTGATGCCTGGATCGGTGGATTTATAGGCACCTGGGAATGAGACAGTGTTCGTAGGCGTCTTAGAACCGCCTCCAGTCACGTTGAGGTTTCCGCACTTCGAGAGTCAGGCCTACGTAAAAGGCTGAACAATTACACACCTCCATGTAGAGCTGAGCACCTGGATAGCTGCTCGCGGCGTGTAATGCGATAATTTCCCCACGAATGAGATACTGTCCTGCTGGAATGCACTGAGGGGCGTAAGCTGGGCTCACTGTGTGCGACCTAAGTAGCTCACAGAGGGGATAGTGACAGTAAGCTTGCCACCATTGGCAATAAGAGTGTCAACTGTACGGTATTAGACTATTTCGAGGTCGCTAAACAACGACTCACCTGCCCACTTTCCATTGGACAGACCAGCGTGGTAGACTGGCATACTCAGTTAGAGGTGGGTCCGTAAGTTATATTAACTCACTCTTGAACCAGCCAGATGCTGCAAAGCGGCGTCAGCAAATTGCAAGGTCGTAGGAGTTTTACATACTTGGCGGCGTTCCTGTTGCCGCATTGCTTACTTTTGCCATATAGACCTGTTGTATTGATTAAACAGATAGAATGTCGTTTAGTAGGCTACCCACCATGATGGGTCCCTTGTGGGAGGCATCGATCACGTCGTTGGAACCAGAGGTGAGAGTGTGACCCCAACGGAGAGTTATCTTCGAACCCGCAGCGATACTACAGACATTGGTCGACACGGTATCCAAGGTGTTTGGCGATCCATTACACGTCATGGAGGAAGAAGTTACATCTGAACGACCTGAGTTTGGCAAGGTGACGGCGTCGAAGCGACAAACCAGTGATGGGCCCATCGTAGCTGGGTAACTAATGCCTGTCAGCTACTAAAATCGTGTGCCATACATGTTTCACGTACCCTCAGACAGTTGTGAAGACCGAAAGAGGTGCCTGCGCTGTTGTAAAGTTCATTGAGAATGGTATGGCCGGAGACGGCAGCAGCGGCGGCAACGAGGGAACCAATAGTAGCGTATTTCATAGTGAGACGTAGATAATGGTGGCCAGTCTTCCGAGTCCTCTGGTCACACTACTTATACCTCCTCAATCTGCGGCCAGTTCGATTTATACCGATAACTGCACGTATATGAGCCGCACGGTGAAGTTTCTGTACCAAATCGGTCCGTTAGTTGGAGCTAATAACTGATCCCGAAGTAGGGATTGGACAAACTTCTGTTCGGGCGGCCAACATCCGCTGGGAGAATCTCGGGCGGGTGAGAGGTCGCTCCATTAGCGCTGGATACCGGAAATATCTGAGCTATGAAGTCTTCGAGAAGAGAGCCTACCACGCTTCGCATACCACCCCCCCCCGAATCGGCTGCGATGCCTGTGGACACGCATCCATAGTGGCGGAGTAACTATAATGGACTTTGAGACCTGAAGGAATAGCGAAAGCGGGGAGAAAGGGGAAGAGTCGGAATGTGAGCACGGACTTCTCACCTACTGGACCGTCTTAAATATACTCATACATTATGTGACCCTAAGAATCTTGATGGAAGCATTAGTAGGTCCGTATCGCCCCGTGGAAAGGCTTTAGTAAGTGGCTCTCTTTGGAGGCGACAAAGTGCATTCAAAGATGAATAATAGCGATCTTAAATCTTCTTTTGATTGCTTGAGAATATACGTTATCCACATGAGAATTTCCAGAGAGTCGAAATTGAATCCAAGATTGTAAGATCGAAGCCTTGCCATCACTGAATCTCTTGAAGAAGGCAAAAATGCATGATTTGGCTTGAGGAAACTCTGGTGCACCTTCTCTCGAAGGGTAATGGACACACATGTTACCCCGCTTGGCCGTTACTGGCGAGAAGCGAGGCCAACTTGAGTCCATAGATTGTTGAAAATTTCCTGGAAGCAATCTATACGAGCTGAAATTCCGGATATTGATGAGCAGGTTTGGTAAGGGTCAAAAAGGCTCGACCCCAACTTTGACTTCCTCCTCGGCCCACATTAATGTGCAGACGCGGTCTAAGGGGCAATATTTGATCTTCAAGTCGCACCAGGGCGTAGCATTAGACTTGCCAACGCCTCCGTTTTGTCCTGCAGCGTTGCTCTAATGCATGCGGCACGGACCAAGATAGCATCTAGCCATCCAGAATATAGTTGTATGGCCGATGGCCTCTAGATGAAGAGTATCAGAAGACATAAAGCCCGGTGGTTGGCTCTCTGCTGTGTTTGTAGATGGATTGTCCAGCCCAATGGCTCGTCCTGATGTTTGGCGTTCGACGGCTATGCCGAGCCGGAACCATAGAGCGCAAAAAAATTCCTCACAAACCCCACAGATGCGGGATGTTTCTAGAGGTAACATTCGATTATGAACGAATGGCTCGACCACCCAACCAGCTCTCGACAACCCAGATGTACTTCTCCCCACGTGCATGCTACATTCTGGATGACGGCTAACTTCGACCTATTCTATGGTTTGAATGATTAGCCGGAACGTAGTGCCTATGGGGAGCCGGTTCTAGATCGACGCCAGGGGGTTTTTCGACTTGTGCAATTTCTGCACCAACAAATGTGCCCTTGAAGGAGTGTCACATTTTCTCATAGCCAGGATAGTGTCTTTGTGGCCACTTCCATCCGTTATCTGCGAAGCGGTCGTCTCGACAAGCAAGACTGATCTTCTCTCGAAATGAATATTCCAAAATTCTATCAGGGCTGCGCTCCTCCTCCAGAGGGTAAGCACCGTCTGAAGACAATCAAGGTCATAGTCGCGGTCAAGGTGTGTCTAGCGAGGCACCAGCGGCACGGTTTATCAAGGTCGGTGCAGGACTAGTGGCCGGACAGATCTGATCGATCCATGATTGCAAATGGTCGCGCGCTCCCCCAATTACTGGACCCTTCCAGCGCCAGAAGTCACGAGGCGGGCCTATCCAGAACGCGAAAGTGCGCTATGTCTGAACGGGCAAGCTATCGTCGGCCCCCTTGATCCTGGGTCGAGCCAGGGAAGTGAAGCGACTTGCCTCTTCTGCCGTCTTCCGTCCCTTTTACTGGGCTCTCGATACCTAGTGGATCACGGGTCATGTTAGCTCAACGTGAGAGCGTTTCAAACTTCCAATGGTTGTAGAGAGTGAGTTGATACTCGAGCTTCTACCGGGAACCCAACACTTTTGGCAAAGTCTTATGTGCGACAGGTCACATCCCTGAGAGACATTCCTTCACTTTTCGTTGCTGGAAGGCGATCTTGCCTAATCTGTGTAGGGGCCTGACCCTCCTTGTTTCGGCCCCTGACCCTATATAGGTAACGGGTCCTCGACTTAAAGCATACCAAATAGTACGACAAACAGGATCACCCGAGGAGGTGCTCGCTCGCTGCATGACAGCTGCTGGGATCGACACGAAAAGGCCCAATATGGTGTGGAGGTCAAGATACTTAAGTGACAACCAAATACTGGACAAGTGGGAGAATTGGACAACACTGCCTTATGTAGGCATTCCTGAAAACTCACATGTCAGGACACAGCATGGCGAGGATTGTGCGTCGCCTCCCTCTTTCGATGGATACCGGAAGATCGATACTTAGCTCCGGGATTTACGCCAATTGCCTTACGAACACCAATTCAGATGTAGGTAGATACATGCCCATCATGTGTGTGGTCCCCACCAAGATCTTCCTCCCTTGCCTGTTCGCCCGATAGCAGCCGGCTCTCGCAAGTTAGCTCGAAACTTATTCATCACCGCCGCCGCCAAAAAGAAGCAGCCACCACGGCATCCCGCTGTGACTAGAAATGATTGAGCAAGGGGACGAAAACACGGATAGACGGGGCTTACTTTTCGCTATGACGAGAAAAGTAATCTACGTCGACGTCGAGACTCAGAGCGAGGACTAACTGTCATTCGGGTGTCAGTTGCAGGGGTGGCCTATGGGTTTAGCCGACTCACCGCTCGTTCATCCATCGTCAACTGCCTCGATCCTGGTGGTGCACGGGCACCCGGTATTTCAGGGTTGAGGGGTGTTGGAGTGAAACGGACAGTATATTGACCTAAAAAAGAGTTGGCCATCAGCCCCGCTTGTATTCTTAAACATTACCTGTATCCGTAAATAGCTTCATGTGGGCCCAATGTCACCAATTTCCGCTCTGGAAACCAATAAAAGGGCTTACCTCGCGTCCCCATCCTCGGAAACCACGTTCAACGCTCGCAATCTCATCACCACGCCGGTCGCGGAGTGTAAAATGCCAGGAGAAGAGACCTTCGTCGATACGCGCAAATTGGGTAAAGTGGTGGTCGGATGTCTCTGTCTCACGCGCCGAGTGCTCGTTGCCTTCTTTACGCATGAAGAGGTCGTACTTGCGTCGCCAAGGATGCCATATCTGCTGTACCTCTCCAAAAGTTTCCAGAGCCTCGTCCGAAGTGTCGAATGGACGTCGTTGTGCATACATGCGTGAGTTGATGAATTGGAACGGCCGTCGGACCTGGTTGGGATGTTGTTTGCACATGAACCCAGAATTTAGATGAAAACTTACCCATAGGAGTGGAAATCCTTGCGTATCCATAACTAATGCTCGGACAGGGCGGTGGGTTCGCATCAACTGTCGGCCAATATTCCACAGCAGGCTTCGTTGTTGCTCCGCTATACTGTTTATATTACTTAATATCTCCGAGGAAGTGTGTGTGATTTGCTTACAATCCGACATGCTCCCCGTTCTGGTTCACTGGCAAATTATCAAAGTCAGGAAATTTCGCCTCGGTCTCGAGTACGCACTGATAGCATATCTATTCGCCTGCTCGTAGCCAAGGAAGATGTTGAGCATCTCAATTTGACTGTGCATTGGGCTTGGTGAGTAACATTGGCTGACCATGTTACAACGTCAAGGCGCACCGCGTTACTATAAGCGTATCGTGAGATAAGAGTTTGCGTAGTCCTTCTTGCACATATTCGGACGTTGCTTCCATATTGGCATCTGCGTCAGGAAAGATGCCATTCCAGGTATTTTCGTTGGCAAGCGCAGGAGGTGTGATAGGAGGTTCTTCTACTGGCTTCCTGGGCTTCTTTGATGCGGGAGGAGGCTTGAGTGAGCGGAATAGCCGCCCTCGGGATTCTACGAAAGATGTTAGGACCATTGTCGGGCGACAGGCTGTGAACTGACGGGTGTTATAGAGACATGTTTGAACAAGAAACGCCTGTGGTCTAAATGGACCTCTAACTACGCCATGGCGAATGGCTTGCATATGGGATTGCGCGTATCCACGGCGTGGTCGAGGTTCAAGTTCTCAGCAAATAAATTACGAGCATTTGGAAGTGACATAGATTTAACAGTAATCGTGACATGGAACCATAATAAATGTTAGACATATGAGCGAGCTCCTAAAGGAAGTCGTGCCAGTGGCATGGGAGAGGTTTACTTCTTGCCAGACCTAGAAAATAATGATCAGAATAGAAAGGAACCCTATATAACGGGTCCTACTTCTTAATGCCTCCTCCACCCATGGGTCCCGCTGATGGTGAAGGCGATCAATATCGACCTGAAGAAAGAGAGAGATGGTCACTTACACTGCTGGGCTCTGTAGAAACTTGGTCAGTGATCGGTAGAAGCAAACAATAAAGATGCGGACCGTTGCTGAGCGGCTTTGAGCTCTGCTGCCTCCTTCTTGAGCTTTGCCTTGTGCGCGGCATCATCTTCATCATCCTTTACGCGCCTTTAGGTATCGCTTTCAAGTGTATATGAGCATGCGAACCTCTCTCTTTTCCTTCTTTGGCGCCTTCAACATGGTCAATCGCCGCACCCATCTGACAGAGAGAGAATGGACGGACCTTGAGAGGCTTGAGCTTTCCTCCTTGGCGTCCAGACATCTTATCGAATATCCTTGACGATACGGCGCGGTCCAAGCTGCACTAACCACCTGCCAACACCATCATTCCACCGAAAACCGCAGCTTGAATAGATTCATCGAAAACCGACAATAAACTCGGTCTGATTCTGAATGGCGGCCCATCTTCCCGATGCCCACGCTGACCTCGTCTACGGTGCACTGCCTTGGCGAGCCGCTGGCCCGGCTTGCTCTCTGCTTCATCCGTCGAAGAAAAGCAGAGATCAGCCATGGATCTATTTTATGGAATATTTCTAATTCTCGGCTTAGCAGCCACCGTCAGCGCGCAGACGGTCCGTCTAATCTTATCCTGTTGCACCAACTCGACCTGACTGCGCCTTGCTAGTCAAATGCTACATGTCTCGCTACATGGTCATGGGTATGGCCTACTTCTTGATCTTCTCTCCACGCTTTACTTATTCGTTTGCCGTCGTAGACGATCAACTCTCGACAGCAGACGCCTTGCCTCGGTATGGCATATTACCCTACACAATGGTCTAGGATTCACCCCCTCCAGTTGCTGCATACTTGATTGCTCCCTGCGCAAATAACCGTGAGTAAGCTTTATGGCCAGTTCTGAGTTGACCACTGACTTTTGCCGCTTACTTCAGAATGGAACGTCCCTGCATTAGGAGAGGGGCAGTGCGTACAATGTAGTCCGCCCTTTCTTATTCTCTGACATGCAGATATTAGATATTACCAACCACCTCCAGCTGCATCAGCGAACGCTTGTCAATGTTCTTCGGTTGTATACCAACTGATGAGTGCATGTGGCTCGTGTCAGGGGCAAGATATTGTGGCCTGGTCGACGTGGATACGCAATTGCTCAGCTTCAGTCACTACGATGGCCGCATACCCAAGAGAAGTGCCTTCAGGGACCGCAATTCCTGCTTGGGCATTCTTGAACATTACGGTATTGGACCGCTTCACTGCTGGGGCTGCTCAAGCCTTAGTCGGACAGCCGGATTTGACCATTGGAACGCCACAGAGTACTATATCCAGCTCCCAAACGACCTCGAGCGGATCGCCCACAACGCAACCTTCGTCATCATCGTCTACTGAATCAAGTACTCCTACCTCTTCACAACCACAGCCGTCTAGTAAGGACGACACACCGGCCATTGTGGGTGGTGTCGTTGGGGGCGTTGTCGGCCTTGGGCTCATCGTCTGCCTCTTCATCTTCCTCATGAAGCATAATCAAACTATCAAAGCGAAGAAACGTGCACCGTCTGCCGAGTTTACCAAAATGATGCCTCCAGGCAGCCCAGTGCCTGCAAACTTTGACACTGCGGCGGTTGGATTCAGAAGTGGAACGACTTCTCCGCTCATGGGTCATGGACTAAACGACAGCAGCGGGAGTGGATACCCGATGGGCAATGTCTATCATTCCAATACCACTGTCGGGGCGTCGCTCGGAGGTTCGCCATGGTCGCCCCCTCCCGTAGGCCACACACCAGCGCCGAATGCTGCGCCCTATCCAAACGTGTTTACGCCGGCACCTCAGAGTGTCTCGCCACGGCTAAATCATCTCAATTATACACCACCGCCTGGTAGCATGATGAGCGGGTATGTTTCACTCATTCTTCGGAGAATCTGTCTGACTGTCGCCGCAGGGTATCCTCTCCTTACCCAAATAGTCTCGCTGGGAGTGCCTCACACGGTCAGCCATTCCAAATACCGTATGGGGGGAATGGCCCGCACGGAGCGGGTGTTGCACCTGAGATGTGAAGTAGCCACCCTTTTCTCGTATTGTTTTATTCCTGCTCTCGAATGTAATTTGGAAGGAAACTCTGGCCCCTTGTTGAGCAATCTCGACCACACATCTTGACTTTCTCACCCTGTCATTGTCGGCGGCTCTCGATCTTTCCATCGGCCGGCATCTTCTTATTTTTCACTGAATAGGAGTCTGCATGATTTGTTGAATCTGTTCCACTTGGCAGATTGCTGGCAAGGGGCACTCAACAGACGGGAGACAATACCGCCTACGGTCGAGAAGCACTTCTCACCGAACATATTCATTCGCAGAAGTGGCATATAACCGCGCGAATGTCGCGCTGAAAGCTCTCCAAGCCTCCCCCAACGGAACGCTCCCCACATTCGTTTTTCTTGTCTCTCGTCGAATCATGCGTCATCTCGCCAGTTCACTCGCTCTGCTATCTACCCTCTATCTCTCCGTCAAGGCAATAGCTGTTCCCGGAGTCGAACCGACGCCTACGACACCAGTCTATATTACTTCGACACCCCGAGGGCTCGACGCGCGTGCAGAGCCCACGGAAGGATATGGTTACTCCCTCATTGGATGCTATGATGAGCTCAACTACCCCGTCCGCGTTCTCAACCACCAAGTACCCTGGGATAAAGTCTCCGTCTCATCCTGCGTCAATGCCTGCTTCAACGCGGGACCATACACGGGACTCTTTGGTCCACATTACCTCTTTGCGGGCGTCATCAACGGGGACCAGGTAAGTTTGGCCTATCTCCATTCCTTGCGATTGTCAGCGGGCGTGAGAACTGAGGATGGAACAGTGCTGGTGCGACAACGTCATGAACGTTAAAGCCGTCAAAGTCGATCAAGGTCGCTGCAATCACCTGTGCGAAAACGGGCCAAATGAATATTGTGGCGGATCGCGTGAATACCAACTTTACTACAGGAGTATGGACTTTCCTCGAGCTTTATTCGAGATTTCTGATATGTTTAGGTGATACTGGTCTCAATCCGGTCACCCTCAATCCCGCCAATCCTCCCTCTGTGGGCGCTGGAAGCGGCTACTATGCCTTCAAAGGATGCTGGCCCGACAACCCGCATTCTCGTGTCCTCAATGGCCTGTCTTATTCCTCGGAGCACATGACCCCACTCTACTGCGCGCATATCTGTTGGGCCCAGAGATTTATCTATTCTGGGGTAGAGTACGGCCGCGAATGCTGGGTAAGGACAACGAACTTGCTGTAAACATTCTAATTGGTTCATATAGTGTGGTAACACTCTGAATGTCGGGTCGGCCGCTCCCGTTCAAGAATGTACGTCCATCATACCCTTTATTCATAAGCGTCTAACACTATGTAGGTAACCAAGCATGCGAAGGCGATAGCACGTTTGCTTGCGGTGCGCCAAACTACATCGGCATCTACCAAGGCACTCCCAGGTCATAATGGCCTTCACCAAACACATTTAGCCCCCTTCTTGGTCTAATCTACATACATTTACTCGAATCCTTCCCTTCTGGGGTAAATTATTTGCGAGGACGGACACATTGATTGTGGAACAGGGCCTCAAATTCTGCGATGCCTCCCTGAGCTATTTCCCTCCATCACGCGCGGCCGTTGTATCAGCTCATCAGAGCACGATTCGAGCGTTTAATCCCCTGTGTATGTCGTGCAATTGGGTATGTTGTAAGTACATTGAGGAACGACACAAGGGAAGCTTCCATACCGCCACATCGCGTCACTCGAGCCAAATAGTCAAAGCCGCGCATGTTTTCTGCTCCGTCTTTGTACTCTTCTTCGATTATATCCCTAGATTATCCTCTCCCTCTCACATTTGAAATGCCGTTATGGCAGAAACGGAGGAATGTGCCGCACGGAGCGGCCATCAATCACAGCGGAGGTGCGAAATAGCCGCTCATTTTTTCACATCATGTCATCTGTTCTCGAACATAATCTGGAATGAATCCTCACCCCCTTGTTGAGCAATTTTGACCCACATCTTGACCTCAGTTTCTCACCCCTGTCGATGTCGGCGGTCTGGGCGTCTCATAGGCCCCTACATTCTTCTATACAACTGAATAAAGAAGCGTGCCGAGCTGTTTCCCTTGGCACATTTCCAGGAGGGGGCCTATAACAAACAGGCAACAACAATGTCTACGGCCGAGAAACACTTCTCACCGAACATATTTATCTAGGGCATTCCATATAACCGCACGATGCTGTGAGGAAATACCTGCAAGCCTCCTCACATTCGTTTGCTTGCTTTCGTCCAAGAATGCGCCTTCTCGTCAGCTCGTTCGCTTTAATATCTACGCTCTCTCTTTCCGTCATGGCAATAGCCGTTTCAGGTATCGAGCCGACGCCCACCATGCCAGTTCATGTCACCGTGACACACCGAGGGCTCAATGCGCGCGCAGAGCCAGAGGGAGAACAAACGGAAGGAATCGGATATTCTCTCATTGGTTGTTACGAGGAGCTCGCTCACCCTGTCCGTGTTCTCAACCATCAAGTTCCCTGGGACAAGGGTTCAGTCACCTCTTGCATCAACGCGTGCTACAATTCTGGGCCATATACAGGTCTATTTGGACCACACTATCTCTTTGCAGCTGTCATCAATGGTGACCAGGTGAGTTCCGAGCCACTCTTTATTACACGGCGTGAGAGCTAAGTGTGAAACAGTGCTGGTGTGACAACGTCATGAACGTCAAGGCTCTCCAAGTCGATCAGAATCGCTGCAACCACCTGTGCGAGAACGGTCCATTTGAGTATTGCGGTGGCTCGCGTGAATACCAGCTGTACTACTGGGGTATGTGTCTTTAATGATTGCCATTGTTCGCGCCTAAATATGTCTAGGCGAGACTGGGCTTATTCCTTCTACCGTCAACCCTGCCAATCCGGCATCTGTGGGCGCTGGCAGCGGTTACTACGTGTTCAAAGGATGCTTCCCTGATAGTCCACACTCCCGTGTTCTCAATGGGCTGTCATATTCCTCAGAGCACATGACCCCACTCTACTGCGCGCATATTTGTTGGGCGCAGAGGTTTATCTATTCCGGAGTAGAGTACGGCAATGAGTGCTGGGTAAGAATACCTCTCTTGATCGGAAGTTTCTAAAAATTGGCCTACAGTGTGATAACACTTTGAATGTCGGGTCAGCCGTCTCTGTTCGAGAATGTACGCTTGTCATGTCCTTGGTTTGTGATCTCCTGACATTTCCTAGGTAACCAATCTTGTGAAGGCGATAGCACTTTTGCTTGTGGTGCGCCAAACTATATCAGCATCTACCAGGGTGCTCCAAGATTATCCTGAATCGCACTCTCGAAACACGTATAGCCCCGATTCTAGTCTATTATATATCATATTTAGTAATCATTATGATTTTGAACGTGGTGTATGCGACAACGTATACAAGGGCTCAAAGTCCGCAACGCCTTTGTAAGCCATTTTTTTCCTGGGCCTCCTTAAAAATTAGTACGTACTCACATCGCACCTTGAGTCCCTGTGTCTGCTGCTTGTTGCGTTAGGCGGGCATACTCACCTCGTTGCTTTAGCGCGCACTTCCAGCCAGCGCCTGCTTGGAGCTTTCCACGTCCTGCCCCGCCACATCCTCCCTTCTCAAACCCAATCTCCCCAAAGATCCAGACTTGATCGCATTTGATGCTTGGGGTTTCCGTTGCCATCTATGCGCCGCCCCGCCGTCAGGCGCAGTATGCCATTCTCATCAACGTCCAACCACATCGCGGATTGGCACTCTCCTACCAGCTCGAGCATGTCTACAACAAAACAGCACGGAAATCCGGCTACATGTGGAAAGAGCCCGAATTGATCGCGGCGCGCAAACGACCTGCCTACAAAGGCGAACTGTCAGTCGGGTTCTTGCCTGACTTTGACCAGGCAATCGAGTTTGCTGAAGATAGATTATTGGGTCTCGAGTTTGATGCACGAGATGATTGGTCTGGGTTAACGTGGGTCGCAGAGGGGCTTGAGACACTCGAAAAAGCGGGCTACGCCGTCGTTTCGCATCCGGCTGAAAAGCTCGAACGACTCTTAGGGAATGTTAGAGAGCGAAACGAGAAATAGGTAAGTAGATCTGGATATACTGTCGATGGGCCTTGACATCACCTCCAGTAACGTCAACAACTGATACCTCAGTGTACTGCATTTGGACTCTTCTACGTGATCATTCAATTTGTATAAAGTATACAACTAGCACTGATTAGCACCAATACAAAGGCACGATGAACAAAGTGCACACCTAAGGTCATAATAAGAGGTTCTCTTCCACGTCGCTGCTCTCCAGTACAATGTCGTCGTCTATTTCTGGATCTGAAGGTATAGACGACTGATTATCTGGCTCCGAGGTGTCCCACTGCTCTTCCAGGTCGCCCAACGCTTCGCCGTACGAGGCCCACTCTGCTTCGTCAAACACATCAAACTCTTCTTCTCCCTTATCATTTTCTTGAGGTTCGGCGAAACTTCTCGAGGTGGCGCTTGCATCTGCGTCAGTCGAGCAGAGATGAAACCTTGTGACCCAGGGGTCAGAGGCAAGGGTGCGTCCTTTGGAGATGAATCTTTCTGGACCGCCATTTCTCGTGCTACCGACGTGACGGTAGCCTTGATTGCGTTGTTGACCTCCGTCACCTGAACTCCTTCAGATTGGACGATAAAGTCCATCACGCACGGTGCGGACGTAGCGCTGAACACAACCGCAAGTTTACGTATTGTGACAGAGGTATCTAATTCATCTTCCTCCTCTTCATCGAGATACCACAATGCTGCAAGACGAGTAAACCGTTCCGATTTGTCTGCGTCCGTCGTCTTGCGTCGCTTGTTGCTTGTAGCTTCTCCGTTTTTTGTAGAGAGCCGCATTCTTCTCTTTGTTCTTGAGAGCATCATTCGGGTGTTTAATTGGTTGGCCCAAACCAGACCAAGCATCGCTTCACGCGTGGTCACCAAGGGCATCCGATTAAAGTGGAGGGATTGATCTTTGTACAGGAGCACTGGTGGAGCCTCTGTATCTTGTTCATGACTCGGTGAAACGTCGTCCGAGTACTGAAGACATCGCTTGCTTGGTTTACTATGATGATGGCCATATTCCTTCGAGAGGCTAAATCATGTAGCATGTAAGCAATGTCTCCTAACACTTTTGATCGTTCCACAAGAGTGACGGTTGTCGTCTTGTCCATGGAATGGAATAGAGTGCCGAGCGAGTCGAGAATGAGCACTCGAATAGGCCGCAGCTTCTCAGAGTCCTCCGCTTGCCCGATGAGAGCTGAAAGAGCGTGCTTGAGAACGCTAATTAGCGCAGGGACGGTAGATGTCAGGCAAGTGTGAACGTTGTCTGTCAGGCTTTTGGCGTCCTTCTGGCGGAGCAGTGGATGCGACTTTGCTAGCTCGGTGAGTCGGCGCACTGGGAGTGCGGACGTGGTTGTAAAGTAGGCGACACCAGAGTCAACGCCACGTTCAGCGCCTGGTAGTTGGGCCATTAGCGCGAGTTGCAGCGCGAGCTGAGTCTTTCCAGAAGCCCTGAGTTGAATAAATAAAAGAAGCGGCTAATTAAATGCACATACGACTCCCCAGCGATTTCTGTCAGTGCTCCCATTCGGATCCCACCTCTTAGGGCCTTGTCGAGCTTATCGTCTCCTGTTGTAAAGAACGATGGCTCCTCTTTGATATCTCCTAGGAGCTTTGGCATCATTACAGTGGCAGCACACAACGCGTCTATGGCCGCTTGAACGTCGTCTATGGGGAGTTTGACCTTTTTTGCGATATCCGAGGGTGCAGTAAGCCAGACGTCTGGTTGGAATAGGATGCCTGCTTTTGCAAATAGGTGCTTGTGCTGCGATGCAAGGCCCGGGAGCGAGGCTATTGGGACGTCCATTGCAGACCACGTCGACTATCGACGTATTATCAGGAAATTGTAAGATTTGGTGAGTTCCTGGCTGGCTCTGAGCATGACCAGCGCAGTGGCGAGGTCGAAGTTATGGGTTGTCCCCTACCTCGTTTTGGCTGCATCGATGGAGGCACCTCCAAAAAAGAAGGTGAGCGTGTAAAATACATTATTATATTGTGTTTATGCTCACACGACGCGTCAAGATTGTAGCAAAGGTCACGGCAAACATTTATGAGCCAAGCTCGCCAGGTTTCGTGGCTGCCAGCGCCGTCCGTGCCAAAGTGAGCTCGTCTAGCGTGTCCAGAGGCAGCAGTGTCGTCAATGGTGGCCATTCCAGAAACAATTCTGCCTCCAAGGCTGCTGTTCGTGGAGGGGGTTACTCGTCGGAAGCCGTGTCCTCGCCATTGACACGAGCTTTTCCCTCTGCGCCTCCATCGAGCATTGGAAGATCAGCTGGTCATGGACTCTCGCCAAACTCGCTCCTCTTTGCGCCCGAATCGAGTTCTTCGCCGGCGAGTCCAAGCACACGCCAACAGCCTCGCATTACCGTCAGACAGCCCAAACGAATGGACTCTGCAACGAGTGCATTGTCTGCAAAGTTTAAGGCGAATCAATCCTACGAATCACCCCCAATATCCCCCCCAACTTCGCCCAGATCGGTTGCCTTTTCGGCTCTTTCCGTCGCGTCCCCAGCAACGCAGAGTCCCGCTACATCTCCACCTACAGTTCGACCGCGCGTTACGTCTTCCATCCGCATACAACCGCAGAAGATGCAGGGCTTGAACGTGAATACGGGAAGAGCCACACCAACGGCCATGGGCCATCGGTCACGGAATCCATCAATATCTTCGATTTCTGCGCTTGGAAATGGGCCGAAAACTGGGTCGACAGCGAGGGCCATTCCACAGCAGAAGCAGTCCCCTCCACGTCTCGAAATCCCTCATTCGCCACCGACGTCGACATTATCATCTCGATCATCTGCATCGCTGCATTCGAGCTCTCTCGCATCCACTTCTGTTTCTGCACCTTCACATCTGAGTCTATCAACCGCGACAGAAGGCGAATCCGACTCTGACCAGGAAGAGGAACATGTAGAGAGAGACCAAGCGTCGACCCCGCAGAATGAGGTGGACGAGGATGATGTCTTTGCTGAGGAAGCGAGATCGAATAGAAAGGTCCTTGTCCACGCTGTTTATCTGCAGTTTACTGACGCCACCTAGATTCTCGATTTAGAAATCTCCAATCAGTCTTTGTAAGGGTAGATCTATCTCCTTGGCAGTGCTAACGTTCCATAGATTGACGGTCAATACTATGCTCGAGGCTACGAAACTGCGGCAGGCACGCGAAATCAAGGACCTCCGACGAAAACTACGAGAAGTCAAACATCTCCCTAGCAAAACACTCTATGCCAATGCTGAAACCATGTCACCGACCGCCTCTGATATTTCATTGCCCAACCGCAAAAACTCTGCATCGTCCCATTCGTCAGATGAAGAAGAAGAAGCAGAAGCAGAACCGGACCCAATCTACGACCGTATACAAAAGCTCGTCGAGGGCCTCCTCTCACAAGCGCATCGCGCGCTGGAGAGGACAATTGATGATTGTATGCCGGCTCCGACGAATACCGTCAAGGTTCTCAGTGCGGTCGAGGTGCAGCAGTACGAACGTCGTACGTTGGGTCTTCCCGAAGAGGAAGAGTCCAAGGACGACCACGACCATGAACACGATGATCCGGATATATCCATTGACGAAACGAACGAGGTAAAGGAGGTTGTGCAAGACGTCAAGGAGGCGCTCAAGTCGCCTCTGGAAGACGACCTTGGATATGTCGCATCTGGGGAAGAGACGCGCAAGAAGCGAGGCCTCTTCCTGTTCAATTGACGAGATTTTCTGTGAGTCCCTCTTCACGAGTCATTCTTTGGCTGATCATTTTGCCAGACTATCATTATTTCTATGCGATTTACGACCTCAATTTACTCATAGGACCCCTAGTTTTCGCAGCCGGAGGCTTGCTTCTCTCGCGTGCACTCTTGTATTTCTGGTTCACGACAATCCTAGACATCGAGGACAAGGGCACATGTTCTTGTTCGAATTCTATTAACTACATTTCTCGACCACGCCGCAGATAACGATGAGGATTTACTACGAGGTGCGTCAGTTCCAATCGAGTGTTAGCATTAATCAGTGGGAACGTACCGTGATGACGGTGGGCTCCTTCCTGCCCGTAAACTCCTCCAACTTGCTCAAAACGAGGGCAACCTCGATGAGGCCCTTGATTCCCTTGGCGGTCTCGAGCGTGTACTGTGTTTCGTCCTTGGTATACCTCTCGACGTATAGACGAATGGTCGCGCCGTGGCTTCCAGTACCGCTCAAACGGAACACGACACGCGAACCATCCTCGAAGCGGACGACTTGGCCCTGGTTCTTGCTGACCGAGCCGTCGATGGGGTCGGTGTAGCTAAAGTTGAACGCCTCGCTGACCACAAAGTCGCCAGTAGAGGACGCAAACTTTTTGCCGATGAGCGAATTGGAGTTGATGCCCTCGTTGATGTGGTCGACCACCTTTTTGGCACCATCTGAGTCGACTTCCTCATAGTCATATCTCGAGAAGAAGCTGCGCCCATACTTCTGATAGTGGTCCTGGAGAATGTCGTTGATGCCGGTGCCGGGCTTGTCCTTGTTTGCCGCAGCGAGAATGTTCAGCCATGCAACGATTGCCCACACGCCATCCTTTTCACGAATGTGATCCGAGCCAGTACCAAAGGACTCTTCACCGCAGATGGAGAGACGACCAGCGTCCATGAGGTTACCAAAGAACTTCCATCCGGTGGGTACCTCGAAGACTTCAACGCCCTTTGCCTTTGCGACGAGGTCAATGGCGCCCGAAGTCGGCATCGAACGCGCGAGACCCTTGACACCATTCTTAAAGTAGGGAATGCAGTGCGCCCAATCTGCGATGACGGCCACAGAGTCAGAGGGAGTGACAAAGGCGTTGGCACCGTAGATCATGTTTCGATCGCCATCTCCATCCGAAGCGGCGCCAAAGTCGATATTCTTCTCGTCAACCACCTTGACGAGGTCGTGGGCATAGGTGAGGTTTGGATCAGGATGTCCTCCGCCAAAGTCTGGGAGAGGAGTGGCGTTTTGGATTGAGGACTCTGGGAGTTTGAGGGTTTCGACGAAGATGGCACGACCGTATGGGCCAGTGACACCGTGCATGCCGTCAAAGAGAACCTTGAACGATGTGTTGGTGGTGAGGAAGTCGGAGATGAGGTCAAAGTCGAAAATGGACTTGAGCAATTCGACATAGTCTTTGACAGAATCGATAATCTGGACTTTCAACGGGCCAAAGGTAAACTCGCCAATCTCCTCGAGTGAGAGCTGATACAAAGTTAGGCCGGAAGGGTAACAAGGTGTCAATGTTCGCGCACCGGTTGAGCCTCGAGAATCTTGTACTCCTTGATCGTCTTGGTCCTCTCGTAAATCTTCTCGGTGACGGCCTCAGGAGCCGGACCACCGTTCGACATGTTGTACTTGATACCGAAATCATTATCTGGTCCTCCGGGATTGTGGCTGGCAGTGAGCAGGATGCCACCGTCCGCCTTGTACTTGCGGATCACGTTAGAGGCAGCAGGCGTGGAAAGGATACCGTTGCGACCGATGATGAGTTTGGCGACATTGTTAGCAGCTGCAATCTTGAGAATGGTCTGGATCGCCTCCGTGTTGAAGAAACGACCGTCACCGCCGACGACGATGGTCTTGCCGTCGGGCGAGACCGCGTCAAAGATGGATTGCACAAAGTTTTCTGTATAGTGCTATTTCCGAGTGAATGTAGCGATAGATGGCGTCAGTACAATGATCGATGAAGAGTCCGGTCGAATAGGGTAATGGTGCAGATCGATGGCACCGACAAGGAGATTCAACGAACCTGCTGCTGGAACACCTTGACACTGTCCGATTCGTCGTCAGAAATGCCATCAAATGCGCAAAAACGGGGCTCGACGTCGCGGCCTCGCACGTGTCTTTCACGTACCGTTTTCTGAGGCCAGAAGTGCCGGGTTTCTGGCCATCGTGGACCTGTGTGGTGATTACTTGGACGTTGAAGCGAGTCATGGTGGAGATCAAGTTGCAAAGACGAGAGGGGGCCAAACTTTGGAGGTGACCAGCTGCTTTGGGCGTAAATAGTCGGGACCAATGACGCCGACGGCCCATGGCTGCTATTGATTGGCTAGAATATTTCTCACATTTTATTCCAGCCGTCGGGATGTCGACCTTTAGCCACTTTCAACTCATCCACCCCCATCATTCGTTCTTATATCGCCCAACCAACAGCCATAACAGAATGGAATACAAACTTCCAAATCATTCAGACTCGTTTATCTCAGATCCGCTCTCTGTTCTCGACTCTGACGGACTCGAGGTTTCCTATTGGGCGTTTCTCACCACTTTGCTGGATCCCATCGCTTCAAGTAGAGTCAAACTAAGCCATCAGACCCATAGGGATCTCGTCTTTGAAGATAAGACTCGAGAACCACTCACGGCGAGCGAGATATACAAGCATTTCACGAATGCAATCGAGACTATTGCATACTCCCTCACTGGTAGCGGGAATTCGGACAATTCCCTCCTACTCGCGTATTGGCCAGACCCTCTCTCGCCGCAGTTGGTGCAGCGTATCGTTCACGCAGCACTTCAACTCCCTACACTTATACCAGAAGGATATCTACCTGTACTGGGACGGTCATTGGGCGCGCAATACTCCGGCTCACCTACGATTCAGCAGGTCGTTACTCTAACCACCGAACAAGTGGCGTGTATCGTCTGCCACATGGTTCTGGGAACGCTGCCTAAGCCACCGTGGGCTACAATATCCGTCGAAGAAGGAGGTGGATTCTCCTGGGACGGACCCAACCTCTCGCCTGCCTGGTTTGCTGACGACGGAAGAGGCAGCAAGGAGATCAAGTCAGCGTACATTCGGGTTTTACTCGCTTACTTGGATGCTACGCTTCCCGTCCCTCACTCTTCGGATACTCCTGGCCGCAGAGGAGTGGATTGTATCACATACCAGATTGTGGAAGGTAACTTCAAGGAGACTCGTGATAGAGGAGAGGAAATTGAAATGGAATCTGGAAATGAATTAGTTGATATATTGACCAGCGTGCTTTCTGAAAAGCCAGAAGGGGTCTTTAGCACACATACTCTTGTCCCGCTGCGGATCATACTGCTCGAACAAGAAGAGGATGATGATCACGAGGAGTGCTTTACCGTCGACATTGCCAGTACGATAGTCTGCCAACTCGTTTCAGCCAACTCGGAGATTGGATTTGGTCCGGCTGGTGTGTCCTATTCCATATATGCAAAGGAATTAACGTGACATGGCTCGGTAGCCACACAGGAAGAACGTCTCTTCGGTGCCGTACCAACACTCCTCCCAGCTGTACTCTTTACTCCTCGCCTAAGGCCGACCCAGGGTCTCCTCGTCTCAGGAGATGGAATAAACGTATTTGGTCACTTCAAGGGTCATCTTCGCAGTGCCCGACTTGAGCGCATCTACCCTAGACAAGCCGAGGGAGCTGAGGGAGGGTTGTTCCATTCGCGCAAAGGGAGGCAGTTCCTATTCCTGGACGCGCTCGAGATGGATGGCGAACTACATGGCCGAGATGCCGAACTCCCGCTCATGGAACGTGAGCTGCGAAAGCTAGTCGTTGGGTTCAACGCCCTTGTTAGGCAACCCCATAGCGGTATCAAAGAATCCTGTGATCAATCAAGAAGTGGAGTGATGCATCAGCGGGAAAAAATCATGTCGTCGTTGTTTTGCCTCCGTGGGGCTGCGGAACTTTTGGTGATGACTTCAAGATTAAGTTGCTCCTCATTTGGTTAGCGGCGAGCATGGTGACTGGAACCGATCTGGCATCTGCGGTTAGCGCATCACTCGAGCTCCGTTTGGCGGTGAAGAAGGCTTGGTGGGAGGCCCTCGATGCAGAGTGGCGAATGTTCCTTGAGATGATTCTCAAAGGCCAAAACATCCGGACCAAGGCACCAGGAAGCAATATCGCTCCATCACCGCCCCTGCCCTGGACAGTTGGCATGCTGTGGACCAGGCTCAGGGCCATGGAAAGGAGATAGCAAGCTCGGTAGCCGTACGGTCACGAGACGTGACAGAGAGTTCTTTTCCGCCGTGATAACCCAGGATTCTCTTTGGGCCTGCGTAGTCGAATTCTGCATCGCGGTTGATATTTGGCGCAGGAAGAAGAGGCGGGCGCGCTTACCATGTGCTCTCTAGACTCTTGAACTTGGTTACCTGTCAAATACGTATTGTTCAAGACCTTGACTCTTCTCAGAAGCCATCCGCATTCCCCAGTGGGCGCGCACGTATTTACACGCCGAAGCTGCGGACATGCCGTTTAGATAGAAAAGTGAGATACAGAGGCTGGTTCGGAATCTTCATTGCGTCACATCAGATCGGAAGAGATCCACACTATGACCATGCGATGGGCTGAACCCCGTAAAGGCCGTGGGCTGTGAGGTGCCTTTACAATCGTTAAAGCCTGTGATAGGCATGGAATCGGTGGACGCTGCTTTGTGATAGATAACAGGCCATTTGGTGATTGTAGGCGCAGGAGAACAAGGCGTCGTCCAAGTTTATTCACTCTATATTGTTCGTTCCATTATCGTTGCCATCCTCTTCGTCTCTTTTCTCTATCGGCAATGGCCATTGAACTTATCGTGGTACGTACAGACAAGCGGACTACATAATTGAAGAATCGATCATGTATGAATGGCGAATCTGCCACGTACTACCATCCCTCAAATTCACCGCAAAGCCCGTTTGATGGTCTCATCTGCCAAATAGAAGCTGCACGCCAAATGTTCGCCATCAAATGAAGAGGTTTGCATAGCGTTTTTGAACTTCCATCCTCCCCGCCGGCCCCCCGCCCCTCGGGTGTAAATCGTTCACCAGAATCCAGGTTCGGCCGTTTCCATGTTGTCGTTTAGAATTGATGCGATTTACAGCGTCTGGGGCAAACATGACAACTTTGAGAATGGGGTGTCCCCTCAAGATTCGGCGGTTTCCTTAATATTAGGAAACTCCCGAGTGGTGTTGTTCGAATGGCCGCTTAGTTCGGAAATGCACAGACACTTGTGCGAGCTCGTTTCTGGATGGGATGAGAATCTCTCTCGGTAGTCGAAGATGATGCAAAGGCGGACATGGTTGCGTCCTTCGCGTATGCGGACAAGAAGCGTTCATTGAGGCCATTGTCGATCCATTTCATACCGGCATTTTGATAATTGCGACATTATCCAGTGTCTTGGTTCGGCCGGGAGTTATCCAGATGTTTGTCTTTTTAATCCGATGTCAGTGTGACTATTTGTGGCGTTCTGTGAGATTGATGGCATTGAATGGTCGGGCTCGCCGTCAAACTGCTTTACACCCACTGAAAAGATCGAGGAAATCGCCGACATCGAATTCAGTGGAGGAGAGAACACCCGCGCAACACAGAGCTGAGACCAGCAGATGGTTGCTGGGATTGGAACGGTCCATTCCACAAAAGAGGCTAGGTCGACATGTCACCATTGGGGTAAGGAGGTCGTCAATGAGAATTGCCCGACATCCGCGGGTGATTGCAATGGGGCTTGGTCGGGATTGCTAGTCATACGTAAGCCGGAAGCTGTTGGTCGCCGACGCAGCATTACGAGAGAACTGAATCTGTTGTGTATTATTCAGCTCCAGCGACGGCCTCCCAGCCTCTTCTTCTAGCATGTCGTCCGCCAAGCTGTCAGACAGGGTGGATGCTGAGTGACAAGCGAGCCACGTTGTGAAAATTAATCAGTTCACTTCGTCAGTGATCAGTACGGGCAAGCTTTGATGCATACCAGAACGCATTTCACATTTTTGGTGCAGATGGACGGTTCTATAGATCATTCTACTAGGCATCCTCTCTTGATTCGCCTTAGACCGTTCCTGGGATCTCCTGGCATTCTCCTGGGAGTCCCGGGCATTCTGGCCAGCTACAAGCATGTGCCACCACTCGTGTTCACCGTGTCTCGTCATCTTTTATCCTCTAGTGATTAATTTGGAGGACGGTGGACACAATGACGAAGCCACACGGGGGGGCAGCTAGGGGTCAACCTTGTAACCGACGCTCTTGAGTAATTTCGGCGTGTAAAACAAGCGGCTGGTCATAGACAGTCTCTGCGGATTGAGATTATGCAAAGTAGGAAGACGGGTGCGATGGAATCCCGCAGAGGTCCGGCTGCGGCGTCTGTTCGAAGCCCAGAATAATTATTTCCAGCAAACTGGTCACCAACGCTGTGTAACGTGGTTCCAAAGGCGCTACTGGATTGCAGTTGGGCTCTGGGAATTTTTATTTTTATTTTATTTTTATTTTATCTCACTCGGTCGGGGCGCTGACCATTGAAGGGGCTCGACCCGACTTTCGATCGCTCTCAAATCAGCCAGCCAGGCCACACTCTTCAATGAAGCTTGGCCGCATATAATCTGACTCGGGGTCTGTCACCGCGCCATCTACTCCTCCTCCCCCTCTCCCCACCACAGCTCAAAACGCACTGATACTGGGCACCCTGCAGTCTTGGACGCCCTAGTATCATCCGTTGCCCTACCAAAACACCCCTCTGCGACCCCGATTCAATGAACGCATATACACCCCACAATCATCTCCCGCAGTCTGGAATCCACACTCACGTCTTCGAGGACCCCCGCCATCTACTGAAGAGCCTTGAAGCCGAACTGGGATCACGTCCACAGCAGTCGAACATTGTCTATGCGCACGCCTACAAACTCGCCCAGAAACTCAATGGCAGAGAGCCCATAGCCCCCGGCCAATATTGGGTCGCAGTCCTCTCGTATTCGCAGCAGCAACAACAGCAACAACAACAACAACAACAACAACAGGTACCGACACTAGCCCTCGACTTTGTATTGGCCATTACCACTGGATCACTTGGGGCCTATCCGGTCTTCATCTACTCCCACCATCCAACCTCGCGCTTGACACCTGCGTTTCTCGAACCACGTATGGCTCAGTTGGCCATGCGGCTAGCCGGTCGTGTCCCACCGTCGCGCGTCTTTTCCGTCTTTGCCCCAGAACCAGTGACACGCGCATTTGCTGCTGCTTGGGGAGCGACCACTGGTGCTCGCGTTGTTCATGGCGAACCATGGTATGTCGCTACCTCGTCGTTTTGCACGCGTGAGACGTTTAGGGGAGCCACATTCGGCGGGCCAAACTCGGAAGTGGTGGGAGAATGCTTCCAAGGTCATGAGTTGCGCAAAGCCACACTCCACGATCTCGACGCTTGCGCGAAATTATGCCAAGAGTTTGCGGCGACGTCTCCCCCGTTCACTCTCGACGCACAGCGTGCCCGACTCGAGGCCGAGGAACTCATACGACAAGGTGTCCTCTGGGTGTACGCCCTCCCACCCACAGAAGCCGACACCACCAACGTCTTCTACAAGCGAAAGGCAATTGCATCTATTGTTGCCGTCACACGCTCGACGCCGACTGTATCTGCCATCACCAAGGTTTACACTACCCCACTCTACCGGCAACGAGGATGTGCTGACCGGCTTGTTGCGCATGTGACTTCAGAATTGCTGTTCGACCAGCAAAAGGCCGCTGTCGTTCTCTTTGTTGGCCACACTCTGGATGCTGTGCGCGTCTATGAGCGCATAGGCTTTACTGGTCTCCGTGGTCTCTCGAGAGGTGCAAAGGGACCAAGAGAGATTGTCGACGGCGTCGAGGACTGGCTCGAACTTGGGTTTGAAGGCGCGGAGCTCGGTCATTGGTAAGCCGGGATGAGACGATCATCCCACAAAGATTGTACCATTTCCTCGGTGCGAATGAATACCTCGGAAAGGAGCAGGCTCCGCGGTACTACCCATTACCCCAGCATTCTTCTTGCACATTACAATCCAGTCATGTCGTTCATGATCATTACGGACACTTCGTATGTTCCTTTAATTCGCTTCTTACCATCTACCTACTTCACTGCATTTGGACTACTCGTGCTAGCTATGTATTCGTTAATGTATGACAGCAAAATCATATAGTACAGTGATTGTTTCACTAGCTTGCTTAGCGACGTGGTGCCTGGTTGAGACGTTGCTTCCTAAGGGGACATGGTCCCTCCTCTCGCAACTCGAGGGCTACACGGATTCTAGTCTATACAAAGTCACATACTACACAACGCCCACCGACGCGTTATGCGTGACCTCATATTGTCCAACTTTGCCGCCAAGCCACGCTCCACTGCAACCGGAACATCGGAGATAAATGCACAAGCTTTTGAGTTGATAGATGAATGATTCGTGTACATTCTATTAGGATGACGCTATTCGGAGAAACAAACGCCAGAGCCAGAGCGTTGACGTCACTGTGGGCGGAAGTGAACGGTGCGCAGAGTCAGAGGGGTTTGGAGCCGTGGAGTGCGTCTGTGAACGTGACCATGGAAGGGAAATGACGGCGATGATCTCAGAGGGCCATGGGCGGGACATAAAAACAGCGGACGCATACCCAAGATTTTGTCCCTCAGAAAAACCTATCAGATCCAAATCAACCAAACCAGCCAAATCTAACATGGGAAGCGTCTTTTCCTCCATTGGTCGTGGCATTTCTGCCGTTATCAGCGCCATTGCCAACGTCTTTATCACTATTGTCAACGCAATCACTAGCGTACGTACCACGAAATGGAGACGAAAGTCGAGGTCTGACCCATCCAATAGGTGATTGTGACCATCTGCCGCTTCATTGGCGACATTATCTGCTGCCGCTTTGGGTCCCGACGACGTCGCGGAGGGACCACAACTACACACCGGAAAGGGCGGTACTAGGACAGTACGACGTGTAATATTATCAAGGACCTAATGTATCATCATCATTAATCATTACCTAATACTACGAATGCGGCTATCAATCTGTGCCTAAGTTGCCAGACCATGAACATGATTGAATGGGCGGCGCCAGACGTTTCGTCATGTTAGATGCGCCTTAAATCACCCGAGTTACGGTTAACGCCAAAAGCTACCCGACTTGTGCCCTCCGCCAATATACAATTGATCCTAGGCTCCTAAAACATTCGGCGCCGAGTCGAGACCTACCTTGTGTGCACACATAAGTACCGAATGCAGCCACCCGCGTCTCATTGCTGCCGTACGGGTAATAGCACTTGGACCCCACTTTATTCCCACTGCCTGAGAACGCAAAAGACGAGTAGTCGGAGTTCGTCTTGCTCACGTCGGTGAGTTCGCCTCTGTCTCGTCTTCATCGTCATATCTCGGAGTGCCCGTTGTATGTTCCGCACGCAAACAGGGCGCTGAAGTTTCCCTTGTGCTTTCGAATCGACACGACCGGCTCCGCGACCCCTCTCCTTCCTCACTACTCTCCCTTAGTCGTCCCACTTCACCGTCGGCGGTAGAATGACGGTCAACTGGGCTCTTGGAGGCTACGGGGACACGAGGATCCCTACCAACAGCACGCCTCTTGCCCCGAGGGACAGCACCCTGGCACCAGATCTCGAGATGATCTCGCTGCTCTCGACCCACCTCCTTTCGAAACAGGTCTGCCGTGAGTACCTTCTTCGCGTGAGCTTTGGAAAACCTGCTAATACGACAGAGGTCAGTGGGCCTGTCCGTCTGGGTCATCTACGACTACTGTGCGTTACGTTGCCAAAAGTCTCTGTCATTTTATACTAAGACCGTTGCACCAGTTCTGATTACGGACGACAGTGTGAATGATCATATCCCCAGACTTTTTCTGGCTGGCTGACCCCTCGAGCAGGTCAACTTGTTTTGGTCGTATAGATGGAATATCTCAAAAGTGCTTTTCTACCTTGTTCGTAATTCCTTAACCTTCTGTTCGCCCCACACTTAAAGTAGCCATAGAGTCGATATATGACAATCCTCATTGTCTCATTGACTACTATAGGCAAGTCTCACCATAGGAACGGTTCACATTCGATAACTTTGTCTCTAGAGATCTTTACCCCAAATCCTTCTGACACGGTACGAACATTACATTATAGAGATAGGGCAGCTCACATAGTGTCCGTTGTCTTCTTTCTAGTTGTAAGTAAAGCCCTCGTCACTTTCTGCCCAACTCACAATCAGCAGCTGTCGCATCTATCCCTGGCTATGGCTGGTTGGATCCATCATTCTGATGGGTATCATGAATCGTCTGTTATTTCTTGACCATGACCGCCTTGTGACTGAACTGTCTGCAGTCGTGCTCATTTCCCGAATCTATGCTCTCTGGAACAGGTCGCGACTCATTCTCATCGTCACAATGTTTGGTCTCATCTTCCAGCTATCATGGTTTATTGCTATGGTCAGCTATACCAACAACCTTGCCACCCTGGCACATAGCTCTCCTCCTTTCACTGGGTGTTTGCGCATCCCGTGCACCTCTTTAGGATGGACCGTGCTCGTCCCTCCAGTCTTCAACGAGGCCACCCTCATCCTTCTCACCGCCATCAAGACTTGTCCCATGGTCATCCAACACGGTTTCCATGTGCCACTTTACAATCTACTCCTTCGTGATGGATTCCTCTATTTCCTCCTGATCATAATCATTTATTCCATCAATCTCATCTCAGCCTTTCGGCCTTCGCCCCTGAAAACGATTCTTGAGGTTTCCTTTCCTGCGCTCTCTTTCATGGGCATCTCCTGCACTCGCCTGCTCCTTCGGTTGCAGCGAGCATTGATATCGGGTGCTGATGATGATCCCCAGACCGAGTTTGACCGATCAGAGATAACCAGGAACTGGCCCATTGTCACGTTTGGAGGGAGTGGGGGAAACCATATGGGTTCAAAGGGGATGAACATCTCTCCAACCCGCTCTCATTTACCTATTGTAACACTCCCATACGCTGAGGAGGGTACTCAAAGGGAGTGCAGACGGTATGAGCCTCAAGCAGACTAGAAGCTGTCTTGGGACCGCTGGAGCTCGACCTGAAACCTCGTAGATGATGCATACGACGATGTATTTGTCAAATCAAGATGGCAGAAAGAGAGATGGGAACCGTGATGTCAGCAGTTGAGGCCGTATTGAGCGTGGCATTTAGGGACTTGTCGGATGTACTTCTGGAAATGGACGTGTAATCCACTCACGAGCTAGGAACGGCCGGATGGTGCCGGGACGAGTATTAAGTTTATTGTATTCTCTTTGTAGCATCAGACGTGCCTAAACTCATTTAATTGAGCTGTAACTGCCACCAACAGGTTGATGGCTTGACTGAACTCTGAGCGTCGAGCAGCGCGAGAGACGAACTTTGTCCCAGCTTGATCGGCGGAAACTTGTACTGAACCAATTAGAATCAAGGTGAAGAGTCGGAGATCAAACGCTGATTGACGAGGAGAGAAGCACGGCCCGGTCTAAATCAGGACATGCGAGGCCCTGTGGCAATCGCGGTGCAAACAAATGCCCTGAATTGATAGTACAGATCACCGTAGAGTACTCGCATCTGTGGACTAGCGGGACCACTGTATAGCGTTCAGAGGCCTTGCTCACGTCGACGAGCACCTCTTTCTCGCTGTCACACCTCGGAGCCGCAGACACTGCCCATCGGAAGAATAGAGACTGTTCGACGCGTAGATAGGGCCTAATATCTTCGTTATTCTTCCAAGGTACACGAACACCTTGGCTCCGAGCATCCTCATTCTCCTCGTCGTATGATTTTGCGATGGCCACCAACGTTACAACGGCACTCAACTCGACTTTGGCAGAGTATGGGAACACGAAGAGTACTACCGGAGATAGCACGTTCACTGTAGGGACAGACAGTCCTTCGCCATCAGCCCTGGCGATGGTCGCTTTGTTCCTGTCCACGTCCAGTCGAACAAACCTTCTGTACGTCCGATTCGACCATTTGGGCACATGTACTGATGTGAACATGACAGTGGGCCTGGCCGCCTGGGTTATCTACGACTACTGTGTGTCACCAAGAGCTTTGACCGCCTCAAACCAACCTCTGTTACACAATTTTTGACTATAGAAGACTTTGCAAGGCATTATCCTTCCCATATGAAGGGAAATGACGGCAATGATTTCAGAGAGCCACGGCGGGACGTAAAACCAGCAGATACATTCCCAAGATTTTGTCCCCCAGAAAGAGTTATCCAATCCAAACCAACCAAATCTGCAAAATCTACCATGGGAAGCGTTTTTTCATCCATTGGTCGTGGCATTTTCGCTGTTATCAGCGCCATTGCCAACGTCTTCATCACTATTGTCAACGCAATCACTAGCGTACGTACCACGAAATGGAGATGAAAGCCGAGGTTCAACCCATCCAAATAGGTGATTGTGACCATCTGCTGCTTCATTGGCGACATTATCTGCTGCCGCTTTGGGTCCCGACGACGTCGCGGAGGGACCACAACTACACACCGGAAAAGGCGGTACTAGGACAGTACGACGTAACATTATCAAGGACCGAATACCACGGATGCGGCTATTAATCTGTGCCTAGTTGCCTGACCATGAACATGATTGAATTGGCGGGCCCGAACTTTTCGTCACGTTGGTGCGCCCTAAATCACCGAGTTACGGTTAACGTCAAAAGCCATCCCACTTGTGCCGTCCGCCAATATGCAATTGATCCTAGTCTCCTAAATCTTCGGGGCCAGGTTGAGACCTACCTTGTGCATATATAAGTACCGAATGCAGCCACCGGCGTCTCATTGTAACAATTGCTACCGTACGGGTCATAGCACTTGGACCCGCCCACTTTGTTTCCACTGCCTGAGAACGCAAAAGACGAGTAGTCGCAGTTCGTCTTGTTCACGTCGGCGAGTCTACCTCTGTCTCGTTTTCACCGTCATACCTCGGAGTACCCGTTGTATGTTCCACACGCAAACAGAGCGCTGAAGTCTCCCTTGTTCTTTCGAATCGACACGGCCGGCTCCGCGAACCCCCCTCCTCTCTTCGTCACTGCACTCGCTTGGTCGTCCCACTTCGCCGTTGGCGGTATAATGACAGACAACTGGGCTCTTGGAGTCTACGGGGACGCGAGCATCGCTATAAACAGCACGCCTCTTGCCCCGAGGGACAGCACCCTGGCACCAGATCTCGAGATGATCTCGCTGCTCTCGACCCACCTCCTTTCGAAACAGGTCTGCCGTAAGTACCTTCTTCGCGTGAGCTTTAGGAAACCTGCTAATACGATAGAGGTCAGTGGGCCTGTCCGTCTGGGTCATCTACGACTACTGTGCGTTACGTTGCCAAAAGTTTCTGTCATTTTATACTAATACCGTTGCACCAGTTCTGATTACGGACGACAGTGTGAATGATCACATCCCCCGACTTTTCCGGCTGGCTGACCCCTAAGCAGGTTAATCTGTTTTGGTCGTATCGATGGAGTATCTCAAAAGTGCTTTTCTATCTTGTTCGTGATCCCTTGCATATATATATATCCGTTCCACTTACCATTAGCCATAGAGTCGATATATGACAATCCTCACTGTCACATTGACTACTATAGGCAAGTCCCTCCGTAGGAACGGTTCACATTCGATAACTTTGTCTCTAGAGATCTTTACCCCAAATCCTTCTGACACGGTACGAACATTACATTATAGAGATAGGGCAGCTCACATAGTGTCCGTTGTCTTCTTTCTAGTTGTAAGTAAAGCCCTCGTCACTTTCTGCCCAACTCACAATCAGCAGCTGTCGCATCTATCCCTGGCTATGGCTGGTTGGATCCATCATTCTGATGGGTATCATGAATCGTCTGTTATTTCTTGACCATGTCCGCCTTGTGACTGAACTGTCTGCAGTCGTGCTCATTTCCCGAATCTATGCTCTCTGGAACAGGTCGCGACTCATTCTCATCGTCACAATGTTTGGTCTCATCTTCCAGCTGTCATGGTTCACTGCCATTGTCATCTATACCAATAGCCTTGCCACCCTGGCACATAGCTCTCCTCCTTTCACTGGGTGTTTGAGCGTCCCGTCCACCTCTTTAGGATGGACCGTGCTCGTCCCTCCAATCTGCAACGAGGCCATCCTCATCCTTCTCACCGTCATCAAGACTTATCCCATCGTCGTCCAACACGGTTTCCATGCGCCACTTTACAATCTACTCCTTCGTGATGGATTCCTCTATTTCCTCCTGATCATAATCATTCAAGTCACCAGTCTCATCTCGGTCTTTCGACCCTCGCCACTCACAATGATCCTGGTGATTTCCTTTCCGGCACTCTCTGTCATGGGCATCTCCTGCACTCGCCTGCTCCTTCGGTTGCAGCGAGCACTGGTATCGGGCGATCATGATGACTCCCAGACCGAGTTTGACCGATCAGAGGTAACCAGGAACTGGCCCATTGTCACGTTTGGCGGGAGTGGGGGAAGCCGTATGGATCCAAAGGCGATGAACCTTGGCCAGATGTCTCCCATTCGCTCTCAAATACCCATCGTAACACTCTCATACGCAGACGACGGTGTGCAAAGGGAGTACAGACAGTATAAGCCTAAAGCAGGACCAGAAACTGTCTTGGGAGCGCTGGAGCTCGACCTGAAACCTCCTGGATGACGCATACGACGATTTATTTGTCGAATAACGATGGGGGAAAGAGAGGTGGGAACCGCGACGTCAATAGTCGATGTCGTATTGAGCGTGGCGTTGGAAGTAGACGTGTAAACCGCTAACGATCTACGAGTGACCAGATGATCCTGGAGACGAGCCTTAGTGTATGCTTGTTGTAGTTTTATACGTGCCTGAAATCATTTAATTGAGCTGTAACTGCCACCGACAGGTCGATGGCTTGACTGGACTATGAGCAGCGCGAGAGACGAGCTTTGTGCCAGCTTGATCGACGGAATCTTGTGCTGAACCAATCAGAATCAAGGTGAAGAGTCGGAGATCAAACGCTGATTGACGAGGAGAGAAGCACGGCCCGGTCTAAATCAAGACACGCTCCGCCCTGTGATAATCAAGGCATATACATTCTCAAACAGAGCAGCCCTTAGCCAGCCTAGTTTACCCACAAACGGGGCGACGGGATGATCTGGTTGATATATTATGTGCCTGTCCAATGACCCCACTATGAAACTCATTGATATCTGGGTCGTTGGGACGGCTTTGTCTCCTCTGAGATCTATTCCAGTTTCTAAACGTCTGAACTTGTTATACATCGGCTGCTGTTCCCCATGTCCACCGACCCTCCGAGTTCACGCCGTGGGGCCATTCAACTTGATCTCCTCTTTATCCATCGGGCGCCGTGACGAGGCTTTCTGCCCTGCGAAAAAATGCCCTGAATTGATAGTCTAGATCACCGTAGGGCACCCACGATGTCCAGATGGTTCATCGGTGATTCATTGCAGTCACAACCCCCCCGCCGTTGCGTTTTGATGCACCTTGGACCTGTCCACCTCGTTCCTGCTGCCTGATACTCGCATCTGTGGACTAGCGAGACCAATATATAGCGTTCAGAGGCCTTGCTCACGTCGGCGAGCACCTCTTTCTCGCTGTCACACCTCGGAGCCACAAACACCGCCCATCGGAAGAATAGGGTCTGTTCGACGCGTAAATCCGGCGTAAATTCTTCATTGTTCTTCCAACGTACACGAACACCTTGGCTTCGAGCATCCTCATTCTCCTCGTCGTATAATTTTACGATGGCCACCAACGGTACAATGGCATTCAACTCGACTTTGGCAGAGTATGGGAACACGACAAGTACTACCGGAAATGGCACGTCCACTGTAGGGACAGACAGTCCCTCGCCAGCAGCCCTGGCGATGGTCGCTTTTTTCTCTGTCCACGTCCAGTCGAAACAAGCCTCCCGTACGTCCGATTAGACCATTTAGACACATTTGCTGATGTGAACACGACAGTGGGCCTGGCTGCCTGGGTTATCTACGACTACTGTGTGTCACCAAGAGCTTTGGTCGCCTCAAACTAACCCCCGTTACGCCAGTTTTAACTATAGAAGACAGTGTAAAGCATATTTCTCCCCACATTTTCAACTCGTTGACCCATCAAAGGTTACCTTGTTCTGGTCATATCGATGGAGTATCTCAAAAGTGCTCTTCTTCTTGGTGCGTGACTAGTGCCGCATACTATATCCCCACCTTTCTCAACCGACCCCAGAGTCGATATGCAACCCTTTTCACGGTCACATTCAATGCCATAGGCAAGTCCTTCCTAAAAGCAAATTCCATTAAATAACAACACCTCCAGTCACCTTCACGCCAAATCCATCCGATACGGTGCGTACGACTACAATCAGCGTTCTTTAGCTCACATAACCGCTTGTTTTCCTCTAGCTGTAAGCCCAAACCTGCGTTTCTTCGAGCTCAACTCACTATCAACAGCTGTCACATCTATCCATGGCTGTGGTTAACCGGAGCTACGAGCCTTATCTGCATAATGAATCGTCTGTACTCCTGTCTAACCTCGTCTTGTTCTGACACGTTTGCAGTTGTCCTCGTCTCCCGGATCTACGCACTTTGGAATCGGTCGCAGCTCATTCTCATCATCATGATGTTTGGCCTTGTGGTGAATGTGGGATACTATTTTGGTATCGTTGCATACACCCATGCCACTTCCGAATTGCAACATACCTCCCTTCCGTTTACTGGGTGCTCGTCCGTTTCGCACTTTACCAAAGGATGGACGTTGCTTGTCGTCTCCCTCGTCTTTGAAGTCGTCCTGATCGTCCTCACCGCCATCAAGACTTATCCAATAGTCATCCAACGCGGGTTCAATGCGCCACTCTACACACTTCTCCTCCGTGATGGCTTTCTCTATTTCATCATCATTATGGTTATGCAGATTATCAGCCTTTACGCCATCTTTTACCCTGCGCCACTCACGACTGTCCTCTTGATCAGCTTCCCTACGCTTTCGATCATGGGCATTTTTTGCAGTCGTCTTCTCCTTCGACTACAAAGAGCGCTGACATGGGCTGGAGACGAGCCCTATAGCGAGTATGCCCGAACGGATTTGACCAAAGACTGGCCCATCGTCACCTTTGGAGGCAGTGGAGGGGGAAAACACTCGAGAGAGAGGATGACGGATCATAACCGCACATCCACAAATCCCTCTGTTCCAACACTCTTTCGCACCAACCATGGGTTCAGCGGCTCGCGCGAACGGCGGAAATATGACGATTCGACGACGGAGCATGGAGAAGAACTGATGGAGAGGGGGAGTGATTTAGTGGTGCTGGAGCCTGAACTCAAATATTCAGGATGAAGCTCGTCGTTCGCGAGGGACGAGTCATGGGAGCAAAAGGCAGTCCAGGGGACTCTAGAAGAAGACGGGTAGTCGCCACAAATGGTCTGGCGGAGGGCAGGCACCTCCTAGGCCTACCCACGAAGATGAACAGACTCTCTCCCTACAGGGACATAGGAAACAGACCAGAGATTCAACTCTGGTCAACCCAGCTCGGATCGTGAAACCCTTGGCGGAATGTTGTTCTTGCTTTTCGTATGCAAGCAAGAACTTGTCGTTGGAGGCGTAACCTGATACAGACGCCCGTTCCAAGGAGGGGTCTTTAGAGGACAATCAAGGGTATCTATGACTAGTTATTTTCATGATTCAACGTATTTTGTATTTTTGTGTAGTCTATTTGTTCTTTAGAGTTTGCGTTATGAGTGGCTAGTGACTTTGGCCTCGGCGGCGTGAGTCTCGAAATAGAATGTATCTACAGCAGGGAATGTATAGAGGGGTCGGTTGTTAGTTCTCTTCTTGATGGGGACTACACCGAGGGATCCGAGTTGGCGCCGCCCTGCCTATAGCCTGAGTGTCCTCAGAGCCCCTCGGCCGCCATGGTGAGACTTTGAGCCGTCAATCAAATGGCTTTATTGCTGTCTATAAGGCCGGGACTTCATCATGGACATTGCTGTCGTGTCAACACTCCTTGGACCTGTCCATCTCTTTTTACACCACGCGACCAACACTGCTGTTGACGATAAAGACGAAGAGGGACTACATCGACGTCGTTCTTCAAGTCGACACACGCGTTTCTGTCCTTTTCTGTCCTGTGGTCGGAGCCATCACGCCGCCCGTCACAAAATTAGCGAACTATTCGACGCGTGAACACGGGCCTGGATCCTCAGTCTTCCTTTGAAGCTCGACGGTTTACTCCCAAACGTGATCTCTCGAGCACACGCTAGATGTCTTCATAATGACGATAGGAGATACAATGGTGTTCAACTCGACTTTCGGAGGTCATGGAAACGCGACGAGTATTTCGGCAAATGACACCTTCCCTGCAGGACCCAGTGCGACTAACGGCACCCTCTTCCCTGGCATAGACATGGTCGCTTACTTTTCAAGTCACGTCCAGTCAAAACAGGTCTCACGTGGGTGTAATTACTGCAGATTGAGTGCATGCGCTAACACGGAATCCCAGTGAGCCTCCTCGTCTGGGTGGTCTACGACCATAGTGCGTCACCATAAAGCTTTCGTTATCGCATCACACTGATACCTCTTTACTATCTCAGTTTTAACTCTGTCTGATAGCGTATGCGATGCTACTCCTGCCAGTTTCAGCTCGCTGAACCCTCGCAGGTCAATTTGTTTTGGCTATGTCGATGGAGTATATCAAAGGGGCTTTTTCTCACTGTAAGCAACCCCGTCATACGTCTGCAATGTGCTCAAGACGACGGCAGAGTCGATATGTGACTATTGTGACAGCCACATTGGTTACCGTAGGCACGTCGTATCCCAAGTCCAGAACCACTTTACTAACACTCCTCTTAGAGAACTTTGTTTCCAATCCTTCAGACACGGTACGCCAGGTTGGCCTTTAGGTTGTCATTGAGCTCATATAGTATTGTTCTTGCCATCTAGTTGTAAGTCTGCGTCGTCAGGGATATTGACTTGGCTCACTGTCTGCAGCTGTCGTGTTTCTCCCTGGCTACGGCTCACCGGAGCCACCATTCTTATCAGCATCATAAATCGTTCGTACCTTTGACCTGTACTGTTTCGAAACTGAAACCTTGGCAGTAATACTCGTCTCCCGGATCTATGCGCTCTGGAACCGGTCGCGACTTATTCTCATTCTGACAATGCTTGGCCTTGTCCTGAACGCTGCCGTTTTTTTCGGCATCGTTGCCTACACCTATATCGATGCCGAAATAATGGCTAATCACCCGCCTTTTACTGGATGCATGGCTCTCCCGCACTTTCATTTCGGCTGGACGATGCTCGTCGCCACCCTCACTTACGAGGCCATTCTCGTGACCCTTACCGCTATCAAGGCCTACCCAGTGGCAATCCAACGGGGTGTCAAAACTCCACTTTACACACTCCTCCTTCATGATGGGCTCCTCTACTTTCTCGTGATCATGATCCTACAAATCATCAACCTCATATCCATCTTTCAGCCTGGTCCGCTCACTGGCGTCATGGTCAATGCCTTTCCCGCACTTGCCGTGATAGGTGTCTCGTGCAGTCGCTTACTCCTTCGACTGCAGCGAGCTCTTGTGGGAACCAAGGATGAGCCCTACAGCGATTTTATCAAGACAGAGCTCGAAAGAGACTGGCCCATTGTCACATTTGGAGGTAGTGGGGTAAAGGCGGAACCAGATGCGGGGGGGTCGTCTACACAACACTCCCATTTTCACCTTCCAGCATTACCATACGCCACCCGTATTTCCCGACGCTCACGTAGGCAGCATCCACGCGAGTCTACCGTAGCGAAACCAGAGGAAGACGTTGCTGCAAGGCGGAGCGCGTTGGCGGAGCTCGAACTAGACCTTGCGCCGTTGGATGAAGCGCACGATGATATGTTTAGTCCAAACGAGGGGCGTATAGTTGGAGGGAAGGGTGATGAGAGCACTGAAGGCGCACATCAGAGCTCTAGTTTGACAGGGCATGGCGCCAGGAGACAATCGAAAAGGCTTCAGAAGCGTAGAAGCAGCACACTGACAAACCATGAACGGGCTGCATCGACACTTGCGCATGGTATGGACATCTCCTTGACGGATTTATCGTCATCAGCAATGTCCAAGAAGCGAAAGGAGAGTATTGCACGCAGTCCTGCCGGGCAGGATGTACATGGCCACCATTCTTCATCTATGGCTATGGAGGACTCTGGTGATCGGGCTGGACGGACGGGTTGGCGGGGTGCGGAAGACGACTTTGATCCGACAGAGAGTCGAAGTCGGATCAGCGGTAGCTTGGATCGCGAGATTGATATCGGGGGAGCGTTTCGTGCGCTTACTGGTGCAGCTTCGCCAGTTGGGTCCAGAACCGGAGCTCCTATCGGAAAGGAGGCTGATTTAGAGGGCGACGCCGTCATGTCGACTACAACAAGGGAGGCGAGAAGAGACGAAAGCAGAAGCAGAAGTGCGCATGAGCAGGAAGATGTGGAGGAAACTGTGGCCTGGTCCCGAGGACGTCCGACATCACCCATCATCCCCGTGGTCGCGCGTATTGAACAAGAGCAAATCATCACGTACCATCCTCGTCCGCGTTCCAGTGGAAAGCAGGACGATGAGCCCGATAGACAGGACATTCCAATGACTGGCACGAGCATTTCGGGCTCGTTCCCATTTTCATATGCCAACGGGAGAAGCGTGCTCGACTCGTCGCCGCCTGCTTCGCTAGAGACAGACGCTCGTTCTGGTCAAGGGAGCGCATCTGGTCACTCTGGAGACGCGGCGCGTCCCAAGCAAGGATCGTTGAGGATTAGTAGGGTTGGCATTTACGACTGATACTCGAGTGACTCTATGTATTTGGTATTATCGCGGATTTTGTTTGCTATTGATTCATCGTTGGTTTGATGCGCGTATTGTGATGGTGAGCCACCGGGTCGGATGATCGTTAGCCATGTGCCGGCTTCGTCCATCCTTGGAGCCTTCCTCAACTTCCCCTCGTTCACGACAACGTCCAGAAAAAAAATCCGACGATAATGACGACTACAGTCTTTCACGGTCCTCCGTTAGAGCATACGCCTCCAACGAACCTCACGTTACCACAGTTTATGCTCGACGTCGCCCATCCTCTGCGACCTGTACGCACCACCGCCAACCCGTGGTTCATTGACGACCAGACTGGTCTCAATGTCAACTTTGAGGAAACCCGCAATCGTGTATACGGACTTGCGAATGCTCTTGCAGCACGTTGGCGTGTGAGCGAGGGAGATGTCGTTTGTACGTTTACGCCTAACGATGTCGATTATCCCATTACCATGTGGGCGATTCATCGCCTCGGTGCAGCTGTAACGTTCGTGCAACACTCTAGTTTGTTCCGAATTGACGTTTGTCCCAGGCCAGCGAATCCAGCGTACACTGCAGATGAACTGGGTGAGTTGTCAATTTCAAGCATGTTGAATTTCTCACAAGTAAACTGCAGTTTATCAAATCCAGACGTCCCGTGCGTCGCTATTGATTACCTGTGCTGGTTCGCTTGGCATTGCGGAAGAAGCTGCAAAGAAAGCCGGGCTATCGCGCGACAAGATTATCGTGTTTGATGTACGAGGTCCTGCGGCTGCCAACTTCAAGACATCGTACCCGTGTATCGGGCAACTGATCGAAGAGGGTCTCCGAAGTCCACCGGCGTTCACAGAGAAGGTTCTCGCGGAGGGAGAAGGAACTAGAATGATCGCATATCTGTGCTTCTCGAGTGGTACTACCGGGAAACCCAAAGTACGTCCACTAATGGATTGTATGTCCTCGGATTCTAACCGTTTACAGGCGGTAGCCATCCCGCACTATTCGGTCATCTCGAATGTGATACAATTTGCGAGCTTTAACCGTATTGTGGATCCCAAGATTCCAAACGAGAAACGGCGTTTCAGACCAGGCGATGTGACCCTAGGCGTTCTGCCTATGTACCATATTTACTCCATCGTCGTTGTCCTCCATTGCACCTTGTTTTGCGGGGTAAGGAAATTGCAGACGCTTTACATCTACTCACAGTTTCTAGCACACCATTGTCGTTTTCCCAAAGTTTACACTGCAAGAAGCCATAAAGAGCATCATCAAATATCGCATCAGTCATCTGTACGTGTGCCATTATATGTATATCATGGCGTACTCACATTTGCTAGTTGGATCGTTCCACCGGTAGTTGTGCTTTTGAGCAAGCATCAGGGACTCAAAAAGAGCGATCTTGCAAGTGTTCGATACGTAATGGTTGGCGCTGCGCCCTTGTCTCCAGAGGTAGCCAGACAATTCGTAAAGGTTCTTCCTGCGGATGCTGCGGTCGGCCAGGGTTGGTAGAGCGAATCCTTCAGGATGGTTACTCAACGCTTGTGACAGGGTATGGTATGACGGAGACTTCGACGGTCGTTTGCATGCAACCATTGTTGGTCCATCATCACATTGACGGGAGTGCTGGTCGGCTCATATCGGGGACCACTGTCCGAGTCGTTGGCGAAGATGGCAAGCCAAAGACGTATGACGAGCCGGGAGAATTGCATGTCAAAGGGCCACAGACGTACGTGTTTACTTTCTAGCTGATTCGTTCTAAAGATGATTAGGATATACAACTCGTACCTGAATAACCCAAAGGCAAACGCCGAGACATTTGTGGATGGATGGGTGCGGACAGGAGACGAAGTCATAATTAAGAAGAATGGGGATATCTTCATTGTCGATCGCCTCAAGGAGATCCTGAAAGTGCGCGGCTTCCAAGTTGCACCCGCCGAACTCGAGGGTCTCTTGCTGGATCATCCTGCAGTTGCAGATGCGGGTGTTGTTGGTATTCCCGACGAGTACTCGGGTGAGGTACCTGCGGCCTTTGTTCAGGTATGGATCATCCAACTGGGGGATTTTATCGAGGTCTGACGTGAGTAGCTACAACCAGACTTTGCGAAGAGGGTCAAAGGGAATAAGAAGGAAGAACAGAAGGTCAAGGAGGCTATCGCAAAGGTAGGGATGCCCCCCTGTGACAATAGACCGGATGCTCACACAAGCGCAGCACGTAGCGGAGAATAAGACGCGCTATAAGCACTTGGATGGAGGCGTCCACTTTGTCGATGCGGTTCCAAAGAATCCCAGCGGCAAGATTCTGGTAAGATGATTGGAAGCTGGCGTCACTCTGACTGACAGTATGGGGTTCACAGCGACGGTTACTGAGGGACATGGCCAAGGAGCGTAATTTGACTGGACCTGGACGGAAAGCAAAGCTCTAGATTATTGATGGTGTACATTCCTGTGTTTTATGAGAATAAGCAGATGGCGCGTCGAAAGTCAGGCGCAAACCCAAACTTTGCCTTGAACCCCGACTGACCGTCTACCTGCCAGAAAACCCAAAAGTCGTCTGCGCCAGTCGCCAACGAATCAAGACTTGTACATCTAAATGTCTGAAGCTCCAGCACTCCGCATCGTCCCAGGCGCTCCTCCGCCGGCGCCGCTCTCCAAAACGCAAAAGAAGAAGCGCAGAGCGCAAGGAAAGGGCGAGGGAGCGCATGATCAAATGGACTCTCCGCTGCTCACAAACGGCGTCAATTCTGCCATCGAGTCTGCGCTCGTCGACAGCGTGCCCGCGACCAAGAATCTCAACACGGCACTCGTCACCAAACCAGAAGAAGTTGCAAACGCAGCTATTGCAAGTGGTGCTGCAAGTGATATCGTCCAGGCTACAGGAATTCTCCCTTCGCCCGTCAAAAAGACGAGCGCAGTTGTCGAACTCGTCAACAAGCGTCACAGGGCGCTCCATAAGAAAATTGTATGTCATTATCCTTGACTCTCTCCGTGTTTCCATGTTGCGCTCATTCATGACCCTCGGACGCGCTTGTAGACGCGCTCCAAAATCTTCATTCATGATCAGCTGACCCGTGTTTACAGCAAAGGATCAAGGAATACTCTCATAAACCCGTCGAGAGTCTGAATGAAGACCAAAAGAAGTCTCTTGCTACCCTCCCAGCGCTTGAAGCTAGCTCCAAAGAGGTAGAGGGTGTCCGCGAGGCGATCGAGGTAAGGACCCTCTTTGTGTCAGTCTCCTTGCTCACAACATCCCCAAGCTTCACGAGGCAGAAGAACATGCAAACGAGGCACGCCGCGCCGCAGAAATCGAGGCTATTGTCAAACAACGAATTGCGGACGCTGTGGCAGAAGCTCGTGCGACGGCGGTTTCTCGTGCGGTCGAACTGGTCACTCTACTTCGGGAACTCCCTCGGCTATCAACATCCTCCGAGTGTCAAGAACTCGGCTCGGCATTGCAAGAGACGGATCAAAGCAAGCTCGAGACGACTGTCGGACTGTTCCTCGCTGGTCAGGGTGACTGTAAGCTACCAAACGCACTGTACGCCTCCACTTTCTAACCACTTTTCCAGACTCGAAAGTATCAGCTGCCCTCAATGCTCACCTCCACCCACCCTCGCCCACCGGTACCCCCGCTCCAGAAGAACAACCCGAACCAGAGACAACAGACCCCGCTCCTGTACCGTCTGGCGTCATCGGTGGTATCCCGGCTTCGGCACCAGTTGGCGGTTCATATCACTTTATGCAAGAAAGTGAGCTCGAACCATCGACGCCATTCGACGAGGGAGCCGAGTGGGTGGAACATCCAGAGGAACAAGCTGCCGAGGAGCCATCTCAAGCAGCCCCCGTAGAAACCCAGACCGCTACTGCTCTGGACTGGGCGGCTGAAGATCATGGTGACCTCCCGCCAATCTCTGGCCTGCAAGAACACTTTGGCGCTTCTGGGCAAGCTACCCCTGTCGTTGACGCACCACCGACCGACCTCCAGGCGAGCTCTGCCGAATGGGCTGCCGTTCCTGACGAGTATGGTGCGAAAGAGACCAAGGAGGATGAATCAGACGGGTTCACCACAATACCATCGAAACGCGGCCACGGCGACTCGCGGGGTGGAGATCGTTCGCGAGGGCGTGGGTACCGTGGTCGTGGTGGCGCTGGTGGCGATTGGAGGTCTGGGTCTGGATATGGATCTGGTGGAGAGGGTCATACTGGTCGTGGTGGCTATCGTGGTGGTGGAGAGAATCGTGGCCGAGGCGAGTATCGCGGCCGTCCTCGAGGAGAGTGGCGTGGTGGCCGGGGAGAATACAGGGGCCGAGGAGAAGGAAGAGGGGAGGGACGAGGCGGTACGCGGTTTTAATTGCCCATTAGACCCTTCTCATTGATACTTTTCAGGCTACCGTGGTCGTCCAGCTCCAGCTCCAGCATCCGATGCTCAATGATTGGCGTAGAGCGCTTCATTGGGATTACTTTGACTTCATCTACCTCTTGATTTTTTGTACCACAGCTGTCGCGGACATTTGTCGATGCTCGATACCGTGTCTTGCTTTCGTGTCATGTACGTGCAACCTTGAACACATTTCTTGATACATGTAGCTGGAGCTTGACATGATCCTAAAACTGTATATGCTCGACGATCCTGGATCCAGGCCTTGGTCCATCTCCGCGTCTTGGAGATCTGAGTTTGCCCTCGCTCGCAGGTACTACATAGAACCAAGACCTGAACTATGGAGACATGGGCCGATTGTTAGAGTCCTACTCGACGTCGCCAAGGTGATACCACCCTCAGGCCTTTGGACCCGACCGCTCCAGATGAAATTGGAGACTTTGAGCATACAATGGAAATTAATATGAATCGACGTCTAGAAGCGCTAGAGGAGAGGAAACTCGCTGTACTCGAACGTCTCGCAGACTCTGTGGATTATTCCAAGGACTTTGGAGCAATTGACACTGATCTGCGCGAGGCATACACATTATGCGTAGATGAGTACAATCAAGTTCTCAAGATCAAACAAAATTGTCTGAAGATGTCGCATGCGAACTATGGATAATGATCATCAAGGAGGTGGCATGCACTACGGCATGTCATAATTTCTACGGCAAGTTACTTCATGGACATTAGTGAGTCAGGATGGGCCGATATTATACCCCAGATTTCATCCCTCTGGACCACTATCTCACCCTACTGTACGAGAATTCAGAGAATGCGGAGGCTCTTGTAGCCACGGCACTAGAGCTTTCCAAACCTCTTCCCATTATGATTCAATATATGTCAGAAGTCGCAATCACTCCCTTCAAACATATACTCCACCATGCCCACCGCATCAAAAAAGTATAATCTTACTGGTATGATCCAAAGTTTGATCCCTTTCTCGGGTGCAAATACTTGACTTCGCTCGAGTCGATGCGCCTTTCTGGGCCTAATCTTGTCGACCTCTTGACGGCCATTTCTCACTATCTTAAAATTGTCATTCCCGACGTAATATCACAGCTATTTCAGAGCTATTTTACAGTAGCTGTAGAGAATTATCGTCTTGTAGAGCTCCGGCTCGGAATTTCCGTCGAATTACTAAAGTATCTCGAACTCTCCCGTTCGTGCGTACAGTCGACATTGTGGATTCAAATGCAACACCACCCGTTCTCCAACAACTGGATGAATACGTGACTCGATAGCGGGAAGCCTTGCCTCTGCTTCCATGTACCAAGTTGAGCTTCCACCAGCCATCATGGAGTAGCTTGCAATATTTCGCGAGTCGCTGTTGACCAACTTTGACGACACTCAAGACCGATGTAGATGCAGCCAAGATTTTATCCCTCTTAGACTTGCTGGACGACCTTCCATCCCTCGAGTCGCTCCATCTGAGCATTTATTGGGGCCGCGAACTTCAACTTGAGGCGCTCGAAGGTCGCGTCAAGGTTCCTCACCTCGCTCTTCGAGTCCTTTCCTTGGAATTCCACTTACTCGGAAGCGAACAACTTGTGGACATTACCCCGCTCGTAGCCTTGGTGTTTACGAAAACATCCAATCTTCGATCACCGCAGATGCACGGTCTTGGGAACAAGCTATTGATTCTGGACTCCTCAATCGTCTCGCTAGAATATGCAAAGTTGACCGGCTCATATATATGGACATTCAATCTTGTCTTCTACAACCGCCTATGCTCAGTTATCTCTCTATTGACACCAACATGGGATCCTTTCTCGCTCTCCGTTGTCCCTCGGTGAAAGTGCTTACACTATCTATTGCGGTCAGTCCGGGCGCCAAGTTCAGCTCGCCTCGTTCACTCCATCTGAAGAATGAAGAGTGGGGATCGGTACAGACGCTGCATGTTTATCCACACCATAAACAGTTCTGTTTTCTATCCATGAGAATTCAACTAAGCCACTTCTATCATCTTCGGCTCAAAGATCACCGTTCCACGGCAAGTATCTGCCACAGCTTGGTATTGAGGCCTGAAGATCTTCTTGTCTTGCAGGAATTATCCTTTGGGGTCTCAGAGTGGGATATATTTTTTATAATGCTTGAGCAACGGTTGCTGGCTCGACCAAAGGGGGTATCAAGCATCGAGAAAATCGTGATTGAAGGTCATGTCCCAAGCTATCTTATGAAGCTTCTGGTTGCGATCTTGAAAGGATATATCTGCGAACGTCCGCCCAACCATGGATTATCGGTACAAGCAAATATGATTACCCTTCCGGACGCCGCTATGTGAGTAAATTATATTGAAAAGTAGCTTTTCTTCACACACGTCTTAGACCTGGATGCTTCAAGTGCCATCCACAGTTAGTTGAGTGCCAGCTTCCGATTAAACTAGCCACGCCGGAAAAATGGGAAGCATTTAGACCAACGGAGCACTCGCAAGTTGAGTATCCGAAGAGTACAGACGAAATTCTGAGTACTTGGAAAGTCTGTCGCAAGGTTTTCGAAGGGCTACTCGAAGCGGACGAATGGGGACTCGGTCTACGCCGTCGCTCGTGCGAGAATCGGCAAGTTCAAGAGATTACCCGCCATATGCTGGTAAGGGTGCAAACTCGAGCTGGTACTCTCAGCGGTGGCAGACATGCGTGTGGTCAGTAGGCAGTCCCTTAAACCATGGGATACAAACATCTGTGATAGAGGGAATTTCTTGAAGCCTGAAATCTATATCACAAGTGGGAAATATGGAATATCAAAGAAGAATGTTCGCGAGGTTGCCAGCAAGAACGGTCTCATTAACAGCCCTCATGACATTGCGGATTAGATTGGTGTCCTAATTCAGTTAGAGAGCATAGAAGAGATACGAAGATATAAACCTCACTGTTGCCGTCGTGAAGCTGCATAAATGAATAAGTAATCCCACTTAGAGACATAAAGAAAGACGCACTGTGTGTATAATCTTCGCGGACCAGTGGCATCTGATCTCGCTGGAAGCTTCGGTCTGTTTGGTGCGCCGGCTGTATCCTGGAGAACCTGAACACCACGCTTATGTAGGTGCGCAAACCTCTCCTTGAAATATTTCTCTCCGTCAGCATAGGTCCCTTCATCGCCAGCGAAGTCCTTAGCGAGTGATTCTGTCGTCAGTATGCTCCTTGGATCGAGCTGACAAAACCCACTGGAAAGAAGCGCCGGATGTTCGAATGGGAAAACTTTTGTATGAATATATCTTCTTTATTCAAGAGCAGGATCTGTCCTTGGATTAGGAATAAGGAGCCCATGGAAGAGGAACTTCTTACGAGTGACGTCCGCTCAAACCATGAGGAAGAGCAGATAGATTGCCAGACCGTCATTGCGTCTTGCATTTGATTCTGAGAGCGGTCAGCACCCTTGGGTAGGCCTTTGCCGGTCACACAGACCACCTGACGATCCTCCACCAGCGTTTGGTCGTATCCAGAGAGAGACACAAGGAAAATGATTGCTGTCACATCTTGGAAGCAGTGTATCCACTTTCTCCGCTCAGACCGCTGGCCACCTGAAAAGCAGGTCAGTACTGAGCAGCCACTCGCCCTGATGATCAATGACTCACCGACATCGATTACGGATATCGTTCTGTTGGAAAGAACGAACTGAGTTTCGGTGACTGTACAACTCTTATTAGCCAACGTCAGTTTCGCGATTTTGAGCACAACCTCCCAAAGTAGTTACTCTGGAGTGTAGGATGTCCTGTCAGAAATTTAAGGGATCCCGTCGAAGCTTTGAATGAAACCATCCGCTAACTTGTTCAGTAGGAGTGTAGCTGGTGTTGAACAGTCGAGGAAGACTGCCAAAGAAACTGGTCGCTGAGATGTGAGTAGAGTATTATCAGTTGTGTAAGGAGGCCTACTATGTCATACTGGGGTATAGTTAGGTATTGAAGAATATTAATTGAAGGCTTACTTGTCCGGCAGCGCAAACTGCTGTCCAATTCGAAACGCCTTCTGTACATCGACATCATTCCAAAGTCTCTGAAGAACATAGTAGCACCGAGAGGGATATGGATCTCCTGTAGAAATATCTCCAGCTGACTGAACCTCGTCGAAAAGTTGCTGCGGCGAGAATAACAGGGATGCCACATAAGGATGAATCATCAAGAGTTGCAACGGATAAGGTAATTCTGGTAAATGGATCGTCTTGAACTCCAGCGTAACTCACCGTGATCTCGTCTGGACAATCGACGTCAAACGCCTCATCTTCCATGATTTCTCGAATGAGCGTCATAGAACTGATCAAATTTGAGAAAATAATCCGTCGAAAACCTTCGATCTCTTCCGGAGTGAAGGGGATAGCGTTGATGACCCGGATTTGCTCCCAATGTCGGCACATATTCTTTAATTGCAGTGAGAGCTTACCTTGAGCATGGTACTTTTGCCGGAGTCGCCTGTTCCGAGCAAGAGCAGCTATGTTTGCAGGAAACCATCAGAATGACAACGGGGTACCCCATCGGAATCTACCTTTGAGTGGACCAGTTGCTCTCGTTTTGCCTGAATATTGTGTTACAGGTGCCCATTAAGACTGTTATTGCCTCATTTACCTCTCGCATGGCCCGTTCGGCTGCAGCATTCTGTTCATCTACATTGCTCCTTGCAGTCAACGACAGACACGCCCCCATAGGTTAGGAATGTCAAGGACTGCGAATGCGATGATAGAGGAGACAGGTCGAGGACAAGTTCAAAAGACCGAACATTCCGGGCGGCGTCCGCTTGCTCGTGTGGCGGACATGAAACCGCTGGCCGGTCCCCAAATTTAACCTTTTGGGCCTCACCAGCTACATAACCCGAAGGAGGCGTCGTGAGCATCTTACAAATCTATAAGTGAGATCAATCTGGGTGTCACCAAAATTACAGTAAAGAGCAATAGCAGCAAAACGCAGTTGGGAAATGCACAGCTGGTGATGACTCTGGTATCATTTCGTACTCCCCTACCAGCTTTATAATCATGCCAAACTCGACTGGGACTAGTACCGCCCGGATCGAGTGACAGCAGTCCGTAACGTGAGAAAGGTCTAGCCGTTCTGAAGAGCTACTGCCAAATATTTGGAACGATGTCAGGTCCATTCCGAGGATGAGAGAGACCACGGAAGCCATTTGTAGCGACCTAGACGATGAACAAAGTCTCAGTCGGGGCGAAAGGTAAGGTGAATCAGTATATTACATAACATGGACGATGAACGACGTCCGTATAGGTATAAGGTATCTGAATGAGGTAAATCCTGCACCTTCTTTCCTCCACTCCGTTTCGAGTGCTGACCTAACACGATCTTCACATCATAGAAAGATTGAAAACGTTGGATAGTGAACAGTTAAATAGTGCAAGTCTTTGTCTAATGTTCGTAATGGGCGGAATCTCTCGACGCCTGAAGATTCATACAACAAAATCGGGCGCGGGCGACCATTCAAATAAGGAGAATACTGGAGATGTTACCTCTGAGGATAATGTCGGCTAAAACAACCATGAATGTGTGGATCAGGTCGTCATTCTAAGATTTCTTAGAGAAGATTAGGGTATACGAGGTGTAAGACTGACCATCGCTGTCGTGAACCTGCATGAACGAATGAGTGAGACTAGTTAGAGAGAGGCAGAAAGACGCACTGTGTGTATAGACCCCCTGTATCCCGTGGCACGTTCGGTCTGTTTGGTGCGCCAATAGTATTTTTCTGAATGCGACGAGTATGAAGATGGGTGAAACGTCTCTTGAAATATATCATCCCCTCGGCGTAACTCCATTCATCTCCATCAAAGTCCTAAGTGAGGGGCTCTTTGGTAGGTAATTTGGGACCAAAACGGCGGAGCGTACCGGAAAAGCGCGCCGAATGCTAGAATGGGCACACTTTTGCACAAAGATATCTACTTTGTTCAATAGCAGGACCTCTCCTGGGTTGAGCGATGAGACATCACGAAGAACCATTCCTCACAAATGATGTCCCCGTAAACCACGGAGACAAGCATATAGACGACCAAACTTGCATCGCTTCACGCATTTCATTCTAAAATGATTAGCGCCTTCTGGAATAACCGAGGTGTGCACTCATACCACCTGACGATCCTCCGCTAGCACTTGGTCATATCCTGAGAGAGATACGACAAAAAGGACCGCCGTGACATCTTGGAAACAATGTATCCATCTTCTCCGCTCAGATTGCTGGCCGCCTCGGGAGCACATCAGTTCAAGGATCACAAGCTCTGTTAATGATGATGGCTCACCAACGTCAATGATGGACATCTTTGCAGTGCGAAAGGAAAGCTGGGTTTCGGTGACTATGCAAGTCTAATGAGCTAATGTTGGTTTCGGGAGTGAGAACACAACCTCCCGAAGTTGTTAATCTCGAGTGCAGGATGTCCTACCAGGAATATAAGGGGATCAACTGAGACTAGGAATAACTACTGACCTGTTTGGTGGGAGTGTAGCTGGCGTTGAACAACCGAGGAAGATTGCTAAAGAAGCTGGTCATTGGGGTGAGAGGGTGTCCATCTCACTTTATATAGGCCTACTATCTCATGCTGGAGTATGTGAGATATTGACCAACGATCGTTGGGGACTAACTTGTCCAGCAATGCAAATTGGTATCCAATTCGAAGCGCCTTTTGCACCTCCGAATCATTCCAAAGCCTCTGAAGAACAGAGAAGTACCGAGAAGGATAGGGATCTCCTTCAGAGACATTTCCGGCCAACTGAACCTCGTCGAAAAGTTGCTGTGTCAAAGATGACGATTTGAATCCGCAATCCATGCAGAGTTCGTGAAAATATAAATGAGACATCTCGGGGCAAAGACGCCCACTCACTGTAATATCCTCTGGGCAGTCGAGGTCGAACGCCTCGTCTTCCATAATTTCCCGAATCAGCATCATACAGTCGATCATGTTCGAGAAAATGATCTGCCGAAAGGCTTCAACCTCTTTCGGAGTGAAGGGCGCAGTGTTGCTATTAACACGCATTTGCTGTCATATATCGGCGTGTATTTCTTCATTATACTTGGAGCTCACCCTGAGAATGGTGCTTTTGCCGGAGCCCCTAGTTCCAAGTAAGAGAAACTATATTGCGGAGCACAATCAGAGTAATAAAGGAGATACCCAGTTGGAGCCCACCTTCGAGTGTGTCATTTGCTCTTGTTTCGCCTGAGTGGTGTGTCATATAGACTCTTCAATACTGCTGTTGACTCACTTCTTGCATGATCTGCTCGGCTAGCGCGTTTTGCTCGTCTACATAACTCCTTGTTTCCAAAGACTGACAAGCCCCCATATTTAAGGAATGACAAGGCCGTGATAATCAGAAGGGGCAAATCGAGGTTGGAGTTCAAGGCTGGAGGGATGCCGAACATCTCGGGTGACTTCCATCGTAGCGGCTATGAAGCGTCGCAAAGGTTGGCATGTTGGGCCTATCTCGCGAGTCGTTTGTTACATAACCGGAAAGTGTCCTCATTAGCGTCATTCAAAGTTGGAGACTGTATCAATCGACGTGTATTGCCCTCCATCACGCCGCTTTGGTGGCAGTATTAATGGAGCACACCAATGCTAGTACATAGATTGGGATGTCTTTTGAAGCTGTATCGCATTCCTCTACCGAGACTGCCAAGCTTACTGGAGTCTGCTTGACTAGTGCAGGTACAGGTCGGGCGGTTTCGGACTCTGTGGCATCCATGATCCTGGTTTGACATAAGAAAGGCATGGTCGTTACTGGAATATGTCTTTCAACGTTCGGAACAACGTCAGGTCTATCCTCAGGACAAAGTGATCGCAGTCGAGAATGAGAGGTTGGTCGTAGCTGCCACTATTCACCTCATCTCGAGGATAGGTCATGGTCACCTAATGTAGACTAAACTATACATGTACACTAAGATGGATCTCCGTGGTCTCAATGAGTAGCGGAGAGTCTGCGCACCTACACGATCGCGCTGAGTGCGAGATTGTTTCGTAGAATGATGTCGTTGACAGACCCTAGGACATTTCTGACAACGTTTGTGTCCTAATATGGGGTCAGCGATGCCCACACTAGTAAGCCGCACGAACCGTCGCTGTCGTAATGCTGTTCGCGGTGGTGAGCGAACAGTAGAGAGTGTAGAGAACCACTTACTATGAATACATCTGACGCGCATCCGTGCTTGCGACTTTCGATGGAATCTTCGGTCGCGTGGATGAGTCAGCTGTGCTTGCCAACGTCTGTAAACCTTTATTATGTAGGTGAAGAAACCTTCGTTTAAAATAGCGTTCTCCATCCTTGTAGTCGTCTTTGCCATCATAATCAGGGAAGAACCGTCGAATGCTGGAATGAGCAATCCTTTTCTTGAAGATATCTTCCTTGTTCAGAAACAAAATCTACAGGGTTGAGAGGTTGTCGATATGACTGATAGAGGACCTACAAAAGACGTCCGTTCAAACCATGGCGAAGAGCATATCGACTCCCACACTGTCATCGCGTCTTGCATTTGATTCTGGGTATCGAGTGAGCATAATGGCTGGTAACAAGATCGAAAGGCTGACTGTTTGTCTGTCTTCTACGAGTGATTGGTCGTATCCAGACAATGAAACGATGAAAAGAACCGCAGTCACGTCTTGGAAGCAATGTATCCACTTTCTTCTTTCCGAGCGTTGACCTCCTGCAAGAGTGATGAGGCCTCGACTCAGGATACAGACTTGGGTCGTAGGCTTACCGACGTCAACAACAGATATCTGTCGTTTCCCAGCGGTGAACTCCGTCTCTTTGACTACAAATATTGTGAGTTGGCCGTGGTATAGTGGGTCTGAATCACGTACTTCCCGAAGTTCGCACCCGCGAATACAGGATGTCCTGAAAATCATGGAATGTTACGATCGAGATCGAGGAGGACGAACACATACCTGTTCCGTGGGTACGTAGTCGTGGGCAAAGAGCCTCGGTAAGTCGGCAAAATAGCTTAGGTAGAAAAAAAGCTCGCTTGAGTGACAATGAAAGCTGCTATGAAGGCTCACTATGTTAGGCTACATTCCATCAAGGGTCAGAGATCGTAATTAAGACGAAGCCATTGTACGCACTTGTCTGGTAGTGCCAGCTTGAACCCAATGGTAACAGCCTTTTGGACGCCCACGTCGTCCCATATGGCCTGTAAGACACTCTGGTACTCTTTAGGGTACGGTTGGCCATCCACAATATCCGGAGTTCCTCGAACAGTTTCAAATAGTTGCTGTGAATGTGATGTCAGTTCGGGTCAATTCGTTGAACGTATTGATAACAAACACTCGAGAATGAGGGGACTTACTCTGAGGTTGTCTGAACAGCCGATGTTGAAAGCCTCGTCGTCCATGATTTCAAGAATGAGACCCATAGATTGAACTAGGTTCGAGAAAATGATTTGTCGAAAGGTTTCCACCTCCTGAGGGGTGAACGGCACAGAATTGATTACCCGGATTTGCTTCAGGGGCGGTTAGAAATAATATTATAGCTGTATACTCGTACCTTGAGAATAGTGCTCTTGCCCGAATCCCCAGTACCCAATAGTAGTACCTATTTTTGGCGTTTGAACTCGTCACGTGGTCATCAAGGGCATGATGGATCGGTACCTTGGTTTGACGTTGTGTAGTCCTTTTTGCCTAATTCGATATGTGAGCCACACTGCGCAAACTTCCAATAAAATCAGACCCACCTCACGCATTACTTGCTCTGCCTGCCTGGTTTGCTCGTCCTCTACGGAAGTTGAAGCGCATATCCCCATGGCAGCTAGGAGTATCACGGATGACTGATACAGTTAGGACCTGGACGACCTCAGACGAGGGAAGGTTTAAGTGTGCGAACAAACAGAAGGGCAGAAACGCCTTCTTCCAAAGAGAATGCTGGACCAATCCCACAGGAACGTCGGGCACCACTTGCACGCGTCCCTGGGCGTGATCGAGCTAGCACCCATGGTGTGGGATAACAGAGTGGATCAATCAGGATACAGGTTTCGAATGTCATTGGACGTTCTAAATGTTCCCGGCTGTGAAAAATGGCCTTGCGCGAATCCCGGGGAGAGCGGAAAAGGTGGATGTATTCACAAAGCTCGGCGGAAGAAGGTTACTCTACCGGTAGGGAGAACAACGCTTGACTCTGGTTAGCTACGAGCTTTAAGAGTAGCAAAATGTGACTTCAAGGCAGGGAAAACCGAGTCGGTAGTCCTGCAGGACATAATTCAACGCATGTTACTTCGGCAAGGCGCGACTCACGAGATGCCATATCCATCATTGTATCCACTACCGCTGGCTGTCGTCGCAGCTTGCCAATATTGGTCGCCCGCCAGACCAGAAGTTTCAACGGCTTTCCACCAGGCGGCATACACCGACGCTACAGAGTTGTTAGCGTTGAACGCTTCCTTCTGCTTAGACACTCACGGCGATCAGAACTCGTAACCCCATATTCCTCAATGATGACTGGCTTATTCACCGATTTTTGAACGGCGGCGTGGTCATTAATCCATTGGACACCCCATGCTTGGTAGCCAGAAGTGATTCCCCATCCAGTTGGATACCTATAGTCTGTCAGAATTTGTTACACTCAACGCGAAGGCAATCACATGTGGAAGGTTCCGTAGTCAAGGGTCAAAATGGCCATATTAGCGGTAAAATCAACACCCTCTCCACCCCTAGAATCATGTCAAATCATGTACAGTTTCCATATGCTCACGTACTGGTAAGGATATGAAGAGCTGCCCGGTTGATTAAAAAATCCCTCGTCTCCAAGGGCGACCATATGGTTCGGATCTATAGACTTGATGTACTTTGGTCGAATTGAGTACCTCCCAAAATTAAATGGGTTCCCGAACTCACCGCGGACATTTCCTTGGCCCATGCGGTGATAACCGAGGCTGCGAACAATGAGACGCTGCAGCGGTAAGAAGAAGATACAAACTGACTACTACATCCGTTGCATCTGGACTCGTTCGCAAGCTCCCAGCTAAACTGTAACATTGTAAGGATCTAAACCCGAGGCAGAGGTACTACCAACAATAGTGGGCTCGTTTTTGTAGCGAGTAACAAACGCATTGACATAGTTCTTGTACGCGTTCTTGATGGCAGTGTTGGTATAGAAGAGACTGTGCTGCCCGCCGCCGGCTATCTGTGAAATGTAACTGAGAACGGGTGAGTCCATGCCGAGTCTGACGGTATACAGAAACAAACCGGTCCATCCCACCATAGTCTACCGCAGATTTAGTCCGGCTACACGCCTGAGATAAAGTGTATGCATACCTTGCCAATTGTTGGTCAGAGGGACGACGAGCCGGATACCAGCTGCCTTGGCAGACGCAACGACGGTATCAAACTTCTGGAGACCATCTGCTCCATAGTTGATAGTAGGAGTAGCACCATTCCAAAGCTGATAGTACGTGCCAGATGGACTTGTGACATCGTTCCATCCCCAGACTCGAAGGACATTTGAACCCGCTTGAGCAATTTCGGCAAGAGCCTGCTGAATGAGTGACGTAGAGCCAAGTTGAGCGAGCCAGTAGGCGTTGGTCCTAAGTAGACGGTCACGTCAACAGCGACGAAGCTGGAGGATCCCGAAAGCGTACCCAACTGGATTGAACCTTTGACCATTTAGAACGAACCTCTGTCCATCAGTCTTAACAAATCCGGTAGGAACTGATGTGCTTGAACTTTGACTACTCGAGCTTTGGCTGGGGAGACCACAGGAGCCGATGGATGAAGTGCTCGAAGGTGGAGGAGCCGTCGCAGTAGCCTGCTGATATCAATAGGAGGTCTTGGTGCTTTACAGAAGACCACATACTTTAACGCATTGCGAATACCCTGTTTAGAAAGGGTTCAGATTATGACTAACAGTACGGCTTCCGGTACTTACACTCGTTTATGTAAACGCAAGTGAGGCCAGAATCGCATGCTGGGGCAGGAAAGGTGAGTACCAGTAGCCCTTCAGAAAGGAAACGTACATGTGCTTCCAGAGTAATTACGACCTCCGCACTGATATGGTAACAGCTCAATTGGCAATCATGCAGACTCCACTTGATAGGAAACACACCTGACCCCATTCGCTGACCCCGACCACGAATGGCACGAGGGAAAGGAGTGAAACGACGCAGAGAGCAATGGACTTCATGTGTAGACACCAGAGGAGTGTACTGTAGACAAGATACAGACGACCTCCAAGCACATTTTATACCCATCGTCGTCTACACTCGGCGATTTGTATGGACGCCATGCTTTGCGGTTGGACAAAGAGAAGGTGTATACAGCCGCAACGTCGGGAGCGACGGTAGAGCACGGGAGGCAACTTTATTGGTCCGGATGATGAGTGTTCGGCACATAGACTTCCAGGCACGCATGATGAACCAGTCGGGACCGCCAGACAATTGTTGAGGCCGCCAACATCCTTTGTTTGCATCAGATCTACGGGGAAAATCGGCTCCAAAAATGATAATATCACCTCAAGAACTCATGTTCCACCTATAGTAGCGCTTCAGGGGCATCAAGTCCGCCCAACGTTTCGGCGTCGGGTCCAAGCGGCCAATCGCATCTTTACCCGCTTTACAGAAGCTACGGTCACGTAGAGTGTATGTGATCCCGAGAATAAACAAATGAGTTCACATTTCGCGGCGAAGTTGAAAATCGGTAGTCGAGTATATTGACAACAAGTGATCTTTTAGGTACGGGCCTTGAGAGTGGCAAAATGGGCCTGCAATGCGGGGAAAATCGAATCGGTTGTCCTGGATCATGCGTCAATATTGGAAATGGACGGCAGCCAGCGAACTTACGAGATGCCATATCCGTCATTGTACCCACTACCGCTAGCCGTGGTTGCGGCTTGCCAGTACTGGTCACCAGCAAGACCAGAGGTTTCAACGGCGCTCCACCAGGCAGCATAGGCAGAGGCTGGAAAGTGTCAGGCCAGGTCGCCAAACATGCAAGGTACTTACAGCGATCAGACGCTATGACACCATACTCCTCAATAATGACGGGCTTGTTCAACGACTTTTGGACTGCAGCGTGATCGTTGATCCATTGCGCACCCCATGTCGAATAACCAGAGCTAACACCCCATGGAATAGGATACCTGTAGATGGTCAGACGCTTCTGTCAAACTAGCCAAGGTTCCCACAAATGGAATGTTCCGTAATCTAGAGTCGAGATGGCCATATTTGCGGTAAAGTCAACACCCTCCCCACCCCTATTCCTAATTAGAAGACCGTGTGACTTAGTATACCGACATACTGATAGGGATAAGAAGAGCTGCTGGGTTGATTGAAGAAGCCTTCGTCTCCAAGAGCGACCATGTGGTTGGAGTCGATGGACTTGATATACTGTGGCCGCCATTAGTCTCAGAAGGTCGATGAGGTATGTTCACGCACCGCCGACATCTCTTTCGCCCACTCCGTCACGACAGAAACTAACGCAAGTCAGGACTACTTTATCAACTAACACCTACTCACCATTGCAGCCGTTGCATCTGGGCTCATTTGCAAGCTCCCAGCTGAACTAGAGTATTGTCAACACAGGAAGACAACGAAATGCAAGACTGACAATAGTGGGCTCATTCTTGTAGCGGGTGACGAAGACATTCACATAATTCTTGAACGCAGTCTTGATGGCAGTATTGGTATAGAAGAGGCTGTGAGGTTGCCCGCTTCCGACAATCTGAGTAATGTATCTGGATACGAATGAGCCTTTGTAATGGGGATTGCTAGCAAACCAACCGGTCCATGCCACCGTAGTCTGCCTAACAGTCAGCCCCTATCACCTAATCAGATAGAAACGACAGACCTTGCCAATTGTTAGTCAGAGGGACAACGAGTCGGATGCCCGCCGCCTTGGCAGCAGCCACCACGGTGTCAAACTTTTGGAGACCGTCGGCACCATAGTTGATAGTGGGAGTGGCGCCGTTCCAGAGCTGATAGTAGGTACCGGACGGGCTGGTAACATCGTTCCATCCCCAAACTCGAAGGACAGTCGTACCGGCTTGGGCAATCTCGGCCAGAGCCTGTTGAATGAGAGCAGTCGTGCTCAGCTGGGCGAGCCAGTATGCGTTGGATCTGATTAAAGGGTCAATATTCATTCGTCATGAGACGAGGCATGCTAACCCAACAGGATTGAATCGTTGGCCATTCAAGACAAACTTTTGTCCATCCGTCTTGACAAATCCTGTGGCGACTGGCGTACTAGAGGTCGTGCTAGAGGACGCTCGAGATGTTGTGGATGTCGTAGACGTTGAAGAAGCTCGGCTAGTGGTTGAGGAGCTCCGGCTCGTTGTCGAGGTTGAAGACGAGCGAGTGGACGAAGAGGTCCTGGTGGACGAAGAAGCCGTCGTGGTCACCTACAGATGTTGATGAGCAAGGGATCAATCCGCAGGAAGTCACACACTCTCAGGCATTGCGAGTACCCTGATAATAGCGTCAGAAGGATACTACCACCGGGTTGCGTACTTACAGTCATTAAAGTAGACACAGCTCAAGCCAGAGTCACACGCTAGCCATAGAGATTAGGGAAGAATAGTCTCGTAGAAAAGACATACTTGTGCTCCCAGAGTAGTTGAGCCCTCCACACTGATGAAAGAGTAAGCGCTCAGTCACACCTTTGTTCGTGGAGAACATACCTGACCCCATTCGCTGACTGCAGCCACGTAGGGCACGAGGGAAACGACGCGGCGACAGAAAGAACGACAGATTTCATGTTTGAGACGGCCGAGTGCAGGGAAGGAGGAGTGCACGCGGGATGGAGACGACCTCGAAGCTCACTTTATATCCACAATCATTTTGTTTTCGGTGATTTTTTCCACGGACGCCATGTTTCGCAATTCGCGTTCGCGGTCGTGAAGTGGCTGAACGTCGGGGAAGCCGGCAGAACACGGGAGGCCGCTTCATTGGCTCAGAGAGTGTAGTATCATATGACAAGATTTATGAAATAGCATTTTGTGCCCAGCGAGGACTGCTAGTGTGGTCGTAGAGCCGCCCAACATTTGTTTCCGGACGAGAAATAGGATATGATCCAACGTTGAAGACTTTAAACTCATTCAGCGGACTCGAGATCTATTTTGAAACCACGTTTTGGTAGGAACAGGGGCATCCTGTCCGCCAGCTTTTCGGCGTCGGGTCCAAAAGTGTGGCCAATCGCAGGTCTACCCGTGTCAGGATCTGAACAAAGAAAGGAACAGGCGCATGGCCCAGAGACTGCAGTAGCTAACTTTTTGCAAAAGGGGCGACTCTACGCAGTGGCGGCCCGGGAGAAGACTGCGGTGCTCACTCGGTTTGTGAAAGTACAGTCACAATGAGACAAATTGGCCCTTGGGATGTGAAGCGTACCGCCGTTTCGCGTAGGCGAATGGTCACCATTGATGTCCTGGCCAAATCGAGACTCCACGAGTAAAGGAAAGACTCACAAAAGTTGAACAGTGTGTATACAAAGATGGAGTACTGGTCTCACAAGGTCATATATCCCAGCTATTCCTCGGGGAGGTGATCATAGATCCGTCGAATAGTGCATATTCGATAGAGAGTGGGTATGGTCCTAATATACAATGACACCTATAGGACGCAAAGGAAATATAACTTAGTAACCAGTGAGATGAACATCCCAACCTCTACCCGAAATGAGGGTTTGGCGGAAACTCGGTTCCGAGAAAGTCGATTCCTTCAAACTGTAGGTCCGTGAGCCAAGATGGGAAAAGCGGGTCGGGAATCTGCGGAACATCATGGAGGGCGTCGTAGACTCCTTCAGCCGCAAAACCAGTCAACATCGTCTGAGGTTGATGAACCGGAATTTCCGCAATTGGATAGCCTGTGACGTTGTCGAATAGTTGACTATTTGCCCTCTTTCGTTGACGCAGACTATCAAGCATGTTGTAAAGCGCTTCCGAGAAGCGTTTGGCCGGCACTAGAAAAGAGGTCAGAGGTGAGCTGGAGCATGAGAACGCCCGCTACCTTCGCTCAGTACGCGAGCCACTGATTCGACCATTGTGCACGTCTGGTTGATATCAAAGTCGTGCGGGAACAGCCGGGCCATGCGGAGAAGGAACCCGCCGGCAAAAGCGGCGCAGGTATGCGTATACGAGATAGCTATAGAAAAGTAAGAAACGGATAATGCGTGGATGAGCAACTCACCAAACCTCAGCCCTTCTCGATATTCTTTGTTATTTAGGACAATGTCCAGGGCCTCCTTGGCTGCCTCCACAGCTTCGAATGCAATACTCTTGATTTCTGGGGAGATTGCCTTGGCTTGCGCCTTGGTACGGATGTGTTGCATTGCCAGACTATTATGAAAGAGATGCGCATATGCTCGTTGAATAGCGGCCGAGGACCGAAAGAAATCATTCGGATCATGATTGACGCCTTGAGGAGATCAGAGGTTTCCAGAGAGACATAATGAACTGCATACTCATGACGGCGTCCCACTCGGTTTGCCAGGCATCTATTTGTGTCCGTGCCTCGCGGAGAACTTCGATAGTGTACTGGTCACTGAATCGGTCATCTCGCCCAAACCCTAGTCTCTGGTGGATGCGATCTATTCATGGAGTTAGTGTTCCCAGCCCTGCACCGAGGCTCATTTAAGGGACGAACATTGTATGCAAAGCAATTGGCAGGTCGAAACGAGTCGGACGTCGGTCGAAATGGAAAGAGGATGCTTGAGTAGTGTGTCCCGAGCGAGGTCGATATGCTCCTTGGCGTCGTCGCCCATCATTGCGGGGCTATCTCGGGGATGTGAGCAACTGGCGCAGGACAACCACACGAGGCCGACTAACCGTCTCATCCCAAACGCTAATTGATATTCTGTTATGGGACTTGTCAAAAAAATCTGTCACTAGAAAGGGCGTCCTCGACCTACCGAACACAAAGAGTGCGCACCAAGTGCGACAAGCTCGGACCAAGTTCTGATCAACCTCCCCTTCTCCCGACTGACCTTGCTTCATTCGCATGGACAGTCTCTGCAGTGCCTTATCGAGCCCAAGGTCGACAGCACAACGAAGAGCATGTCCTGATTCAATAGTCGTTAGCATCAATCTTCACACCCGCTACTACAGGCAAACGGCACACCTGCGGCAATCCAGCCTGTTCCTCCGGTTGAATAGCTCCAGGCGGCGATCAGAAGCTGTGAATGTCCATCGTTACTTCTCCCGAGCGACTGGTCATCTGCCTACTCACCATTCCCTGGACGACTTCTATACGTTTCACTGGCCGGAACAGGGTATCCTTTGCCGTATCCGAGGCTTCCTTCTCCAGTGTCAGCTGGATGGGTGATGGCTGCCGTCCGCCGTCCCGCACTTTGGCCCCGACCATAAGCAAGCAACAAAAGCAGAATGGAGAACGTCGCCGCAGTGACTCGTAGGTGTCGAGTTTGGGATCAAACATGGCCAGGATCCGATAGCATCCGGTGAAATAGCTGCTTAAAGTGAGCAACTGTCTCCCAGCTCTTTAGAAAGGCTTACAGTGAATAAAGCTCACGAGCTTCCGAATCAGAAATAAGTCCTTTGTCGATCACATCCATCCCATACGTCGAGCTGAACCCTGCCATCCCTACACCCTTCGATGTATCTGGCTCATAGTCGTCGACTCCAAAAGATTCGGTGCGTTTCCTCTTCCTCATAGGTCGTCCTTGGTCTACAGGCGATGCAGCGAGATCTGTGTCGTGCTCAGTATGCTAAATGCGGGCCGAATACAGGCGTATCTCACCATTGATCACCTCTATTGGCGCAAGAAGTGCATGTGCTGGAATATCGACATCTGAGTTTGCTGGAGAGCTCACTCCAGAGTCACGATGGGGAGTCATAGAACCGCTTGGCTTTGACGAATGATGAATTGGGCGAGGAGAGACGGCGAATGTGACGTGCTGCGCTGATTCTGAGCCTCTCTTGGTGAGCTGTGGCGCACTAGAGGAGTAGCCAGCTTGGGCTCTAGATCAGCTCGCTTCGCGAGCGAAGTCTCGAGGAGACGTACCTCTGTTGATTATGGAGGTTAGACTCGGAAGATTGTTAGTATCAACGCGATGAGACCCTACAGATTGTCAGTCAAAGGCCTGGCCATGGCATATGTTCTATACCTGGTGCAGAAGTAGACGACGTAGATGAACTACGGTCCGACTGTCCGTTTGCCATAGGAGGTCCATTGCTGATGGATGGTCTGGTGTCTAGTGGAGAGTCCATATAACGATTGTTTGACCTCCTGAGCTCATTGAGGATCTCGTTCAGGGTACTTTGAATAGTTGCCTGATTGGTTTTGACAGTCGCAATCTCGTTCTCGACCTCGGTAAGCCGCCTCTTGGGCTGTTAGAGTCAGAATTCGGCACGGCTACTTTTACGCACTCGAGAGAGCTATTGTCCATTTCTGGCTTAGAAACCTTTTCAAACACGCAGGATGTCCCCGAAAGACGACACCGAGCGCATGGTGGGTTATCCGGCCCATCACAGCGCATCTGAGAATGTGCATTTGTCGGCGAAACCACCATGACGAGGAGGAAACAAGGCAACACGTACCTTTTGTCGACGGCAGCTTGTACACGCTCTAGGAAACAGAATATGAGAACTAGAAGAGGCGCTATTTTGCCGTGATTAACGCACCTGGGGACGCGAAGGACCTGTCTCGTTGTCGTGGTTGGAGGGGCTGGTCGCTGAGGTGGCGGCGTACCCGCTGGCAGCAGTCGTTTGTGCATATTCATCATCTTCGAGCACCACCAGTCGCGCACTGAGCGCGTACAACGTAAAAAGGGGAGCGAGAGGGGAGAAAGAGGGCGGGTCCAAAAGGGAAGAGGCGAGAGGAAGGCGCGTTGTTGACCTCGTAGCCAAATAGCCCCCGACTTGATGGCGCTATCTAGATTCCCAGAGTCGGCAGGGATTTTATCCATCCAAACCGAGGCCCACAGCGACGTCGGTGCGTCTCGCGGAGATTCTCCAGCTTCGGGCTTCTTGAGGCCTCCAGCTGTCACCGTCTGGACGCCCCGAGCGCGACAAAGTGGCAGAAGGCGTACTAGAAATGCACAGGAATATGGAATTCATTGGTCGGACGCTCGATACAGTTCACGTGCACAAAGCCCGCAGTCATCTCGGACGCTCAATTGTCCGGCATCGAGGAAACCAGGAAATCGGAAGCAAGCAAGAAGCAACCCGCACCAAGGTCTCTTCTCGTATGTAGAAGACTCATGCACCGTCAAGACCGGCATTGCACGCTTCGAAGGACGAGAGTGCTTGTCAGATAATGATGTCCGGGCTGTGTGCCAGTTCTTCTCTCCTCTCTCGTCCATAAAACAAGCCGAGATCACAGGAGATGGTGAGGACCAGTGATTAAGCTTTGCCTGGCGAGGTGAGACGGTTGATACGGTCGTCGACCCGACCCGACAGCCTCTGTCGGCCCGTTGTTTGTCTGGCAGAAAGGAGTATTTGAGAGTTATATATTCGTGGGGTCACGTTCCAGGAACTGCTCCTAACCTCCCCTACCCTCCATCAGTGCTGGATTCTCAATTCGCCGTCCGTGATGGGCCCCTCTCCGGCTCGTTGATAGAGTTCGAGGGGGATGTAGCCAATGTAGTGCTCACTACCATAATATTGGTTGTCAGTGTAAACACATGCACAGGATGATGTGGATAAGAATTGAAAATGATCGCCTTCACACACACCTTCCGAATCCACCGACGTAGTAGATCGTCTATTAGGGTGGCATGTCAGTCTTGTGGTCTCCAGAGTACAGGTCGGTGGACGCACCAGGGGGTCAAATCTTGCCCAATACGCCTGGGGAAGATGAGTGTGTTCAGAGAGCGCAGAAAGGACATTAAAAGAACTTGAGACGTACTTTATGCACAGGTTTCCTACCGGGAAGCCACCACTTTGCATCCGGATGGCGCCGGAGGAAGCAAGTTTCGATCTCTTGCACTTCCTGAGTATTATTCCGATAAGCACTGCTTGATTCTATATATGCATTCGTCATTATCGTAACGTCGCCCATCAGGGCAACTCTGTTCGTGGCCGCCCGGGCGGGGTGAGAAGCGACTGTAAACGTCGCAAGGTGCGTATTCGACTGGAGAATGTTCTGATTGTTCCTTGAGATCGGCATGAAAATGAATGTGAGCGATCCGTTCTGATGACAGCTGTGCAAGAGTGAGTGCCCACGGATAACGGTCAGGGAGAAAGAATTTCGGACCTTGCGTAGTATTCCATTAATGCAAAAGGCATTCCTGAACACGACGTCGATCAGAATCTGCGCTTAAACCCCGTTCGTGCGCGACGAGCACTTGAGGAGAGGAGAGCCCACTTACCAGCTAAAGTTGGATGATCCGCAGGGAAAACAGTTGCAAGCGTCGCCGCTGCATTGTCAGAGTCCACGAGAGCGCGTGCAAAGCGGGCTGAGCGGACCGCGTTAGTCCTTCTTTCGCTAGAGAGGTAAACCAGGACTTGCCAGCGTCATACACTGTCTCCATCGCCACTGTAAACGCGCCCAATCCAAGGAACATGAGCAACAATGCCAGGTGACCCAGTTTGCAGAACATGGTAGGAGATAAGGTCAGGGCACGTGCTCCAGAAAGGCCGCCAAGGGCGAGCTGAACAGTCTTCGCGCATTACGCATTGAACTTTGGGAATCTATTCAGCACGAACGACTGATTGGCCCGGTCTCACCTTGGAATGTTGTCAGTCTCTCGCCAATAATGAACCTTGGACCCCTCCATAGCCACGACTTCCGAGATTCACAGCATGTCAAAAGAGCACGACCCGGTCGACACCGTCGATGGAATATTGCAACAAATTGTCAAAACCCGTGAAGAACTATCTCGACTGACAGATCTTCAGCAAGACCCTGGAATTACCCTGAGGGCGATCTCTGTCGAGTGCTACTTAATCAATAAATCTATAACGACTCTTCGGGAGCAGCTCCTCCTCTCCCTGTCGTGGTCGGAGTGTCGAACTGCCGAGAATCAGTGGTTCATAGACGCCCTGTTGTTTGCGATCAGTGCTACGCTCTGCAGTACACTAAGCCAGCTGGATTTCTATCGAAACCAACGTCCAGCTAGATCCTCTTTCCGATTTTTGTCGCGGGAGACGCCGAAAGTAAAGGTCGGAGACCTCGAGACCTCGTTGGGCCGTTTGCGTGAACAAAGTAGCATGGTTCAATGCATTCTGAGTATGTTTGACACGTGAGTATTGGTTGATAACGAGTCCAAATACTGAATCAACCCGTCTAGGACAACTGACGAAACCGGGCAAATGATTTCACACTGTCGCTTCATGCTAGAAAAGATGGAAAATGATTGGATTTCGTCAACCAGATCAAATGCAAATGTTCATCGACCATCCTACGTCGCTCATCTGCTCACGCCTCGGAGCCACAGCAAAGGTCGCTAGTTGTCCAGATGAGAATTTGGCTGACTTGTCCGCAGAGCTATTTTCGCCCTATCGCCTCACACGAGAGCTGCAGATTGAAGGGATGTCCATGGAACACATCCTTGACCTTTATGGAAAGTCGAACGTCAAACCGTTCATGATTAGGGACATACTTCGCCGATGGCACGCCTATACCGATGAAAGGGACTACAAAATCATGCTGACAACACTGGCGCACAACAGTTTTGACATAATGCACGTTGACATGCACCTCACTCGGCTATATGAGTTAAGCCCTATAGCATTTTCCAATGCACTTGGTATCCTCTCTCTCAATGACTACAATATAGCTCGAACCTACACAGGTCTTTTGAAGCTATGGAACCTCCTTTTCCATGAGCCAGAATGGACACCATACGGAGGGGCCCCGTGCCGAGAAGAGCTTCTGCATCATAAAGCATATTCCAAGGTACTAAAGTATTTCCATGGACGTCCCAACGGACTAGCCAAAGCATGTTCCAATCTGACAAATCTACGGAACCTCCTTTGCTTTGAGCCAGAGTGGGCACGAAAATACAACGTGGTGCGCTACCTATCGTTGAATCTGGATCTTCCATCGATCCCAATTGGTAATCTGGATTTCATCTTAGAGGCTATCGACATTTTCGACGGAGATGTATTCCAGGTTCACTCTAATTTCCACTCGCTTCTCGAATCTGCCGGTCTCACCCAACTCTCGATGGACGAACGGTCACGCAAATACCCTGACACCGAACCTACACTTACGATGTCGCCCAAAGAAATTCTAGATGCATCTAATATGGCTTTGGAACTTTGGCGGAGCAACGGATTCGACACTTCAATCAGCCGATTAGCCTTCGAGGATGGGCCAGTCTTCGACCTTGTAATCTCTAACGTTCTCGTCTACTTACATGCTCTTCGACGCAGTTCTTATCGTCAAGACGTGGTGCGCACACTTAAAAGCATCTCAGTTCTTTTTCCTATCAACTCCCCGGCCGAACGTAGTATGAGTCACGTTCTATGGGTCGCTGCATACTGTCCAAACAGCCACAACTCACTAGTCAGTCAGCTCTACAACATGATCAGGTTGCTGGCATCGTATTTTCGGGAGATAACTAAGTCAGAATACCTATCCTTACCTCATTGGGAACTGATGAGGCAATATGGCTATAACCTTGCTCGAATTGGGGACGTTAGACAGACGTTAGAAGCAAGCTTTCCGGCCGCTTTGGTGAAAGAAGGCTATCACTGGATATGGTTCATATTCAACAATTTTGACATTGAAGTTACGAAGACCGACGCCACTTTGATGCCAACAACATTCCTTGGGTGGGGACGCGAAGAGAGGATTCTGGAGATTAAAAGAATGCATCGGGCTCGTGGCCTGAACATAACGTACGAGTGGTGAGCATAAGGACTATAGCCGTGTTCATTGTACTCATTCTATGTAGGGAGACATTCGCCAGGACAGTCCGGCGATGAACCTGGTAGATATAGCCGCAAAATAGCACGTTCATCCGTATTGTGAAGTGGCCAATATGTAAAGAGTTGACTAGAGATACATGGGGGTCGTAATGCAATGCATATTTCCTACTCGGCACAGCGTCGTACAGTATGTAGGCTCGTATTGGATCGTAACAAAAGAGTGAAAAAGCGACATTGACCAGGCAGATGTCAAGATAAAACATAAGTCACGCGAGCTTTGGGATGAGGAGAGAGAACAGAGAGGGTTTAAAGGATGCGTAGTGTAAGCGGTGGACTCAAATCCATTGATGATTCTTGTACGATGCACTCGACGGTCTGCGCATGGCCGTGAATCCAGATATGGACGCATTCGACGGCCGACGAGCAGTCGAGACGGCTGGCGTGCGGTCAAGGTGATGTTGAGAGTCTTCTGCTCGATGGTAGTTCCGTCGAGTCATCACCAGACGCCGTTGATCCCATTCGACTGTATCGTCCAAACGACGATGGTGCGTTGGCTGCACTAGGTCGTCAAGTCTGTCCAAGGGGGACGGTCGTTGTAGTCGTAGGTGCGGTCAGTGACGATGGCTGAGACCAGATATCGGTGCGCCATTGTACGTTGGACGATGGAGTGGTTGTATGCGACGGTTGTCGTGAGGGCGAGCCAGCGCGAGGAACAGCTAGTGAGGTGAGAAGCAAAGTGGACGAGTCAGCGATAGGTGCGCGCGAAGGTCGTTTGGAGACGCCAATGATCCTCGTCGGGGATGCCCTTCCAGGATCACCTTCATGGGATTGGCTGTAGACTGATGGCGAGGGCACCGAAGGGGAAATAGGATTCGGACCATGTACGGAGCGCGGCGGTCCGATATTCGGTGCTCTAAATTCACTCATGTTCAGCGAGATGACACTGGCATTCAGTATCTGGGTCTGGGTCGGGACTGGGGGATTGAGCAGAGAGGTCGAGACGGGGATGGATAACGGGCGCTAGGTCATCTCAAAGCTTTCGACAGTCACCTGCGTCGATCTTCTAGATGCAGCGAGGTTCATCACAGCATGGTAATTATCGTTTACACTGGCCGGGTCGAGTCGTTCCATCGACGGCGAGTCACGGACGCCAACATCGTTTCCATGGCCAACAGACGGGGATTTGATGGTACCCGAGCAATGGATCATCGTACTCTTCCTGGACAACGCCGACAGAAAAGACTTGCGATAGGATACTCGTGACTTGCTCGACCGAGGGACATTACTGCGTTTCGGGTTACCATTCCCAGGGACCCACTCTTTGGGACCCTCACGTCCTTGAAGAAACGAAAGTGGCTTGAGGCGAAGTGCAGGGTTGGCATTGCCAATGGTCGCGGCGCGTGGTGAGTTTGGCCGTTGCTCAAAGCAATTAACTGCTCATCATGCAGAGCGATCTTTGCCTTTCAGAGCATCCGCCTTCCCACGGCCACTCTGCAAGGTGTCTGGATGGCACGTCCAAGGAGCTGCTCGTGCAAGGCACCAAGGGTATTTCCAACCTTGTTCTCGGGGATTGTATGACTGCAAATTCTGTCTGACTATATACAGACTTCCGGAAGTCTTTCCATTACAAACTGTTCGGTTTTGCTCTGAAGGACACAATATTACCGACTTTAGGTGACGAGCTGAGCAGCCGGCAAATCAGAGGGACGTAAAACCTCCGGAATTTCGGAATATGCACACGCTGTAGGTGTGCTGATTGGTCTGGTCTCGTTCTGGAAGCTTGTCAGTCTCACGAACCTTGAACCTCTCCACAACCGCGACTTTCCAAATCGGCAGAATGTCAAGTGAATACGCTCCAGCTGATAGTATTAATGGAATACTGCAGCAGATTGCCCAAACTCGCCAAGAGCTATCCCGACTGACGGATATTCAGCAAGACTCTGGAATTACCCTGAAGGCGATTTCGATCGAGTGTTACTTGATCAATAAATCTATAACGACTCTTCGGGAGCAGCTCCTCCTCTCCTTGTCGTGGTCGGAGTGTCGTACTGCCGAGAATCAGTGGTTCATAGACGCCCTGTTGTTTGCGATCAGTGCTACGCTCTGCAGTACACTAAGCCAGCTGGATTTCTATCGAAACCAACGTCCAGCTAGATCCTCTTTCCGATTTTTGTCGCGGGAGACGCCGAAAGTAAAGGTCCGAGACCTCGAGACCTCGTTGGGCCGCTTGCGTGAACAAAGCAGCATGGTTCAGTGCATTCTGAGTATGTTTGACACGTGAGTATTGGTTGATAACGACTTCAAATACTGAATCAACCCGTCTAGGACAACTGACGAAACCGGGCAAATGATTTCACACTGTCGCTTCATGCTAGAAAGGATGGAAAATGATCGGATTTCGTCAACCAGATCAAATGCAAATGTTCATCGACCATCCTATGTCGCTCATTTGCTCACGCCTCGGAGCCACCGCAAAGGTCGCTAGTTGTCCAGATGAGAATTTGGCTGACTTGTCCGCAGAACTACTTTCCTCCTATCGCCTCACACGAGAGCTGCAGATCGAGGGGATGTCCATGGAAGGCATCTTGAACGTCTATCAAAGGTCGGACCTCAAACCGTTCATGATCAGGGATATTCTTCGCAGATGGAAGACCTATACCAATGAAGAGGGCTACAATATTATGTTAATGACACTGGAACGCAGCAGTTTCGACATAGTGCACATTGACATGCACCTCACTCGGTTATATGACCTAAAGGTCATAGAATTTGCTAATGCACTGGATATCCTTCGTCTCAATGACTACGATATAGTTGGAACCTCCACCAGCCTCAGAAACCTTCGGATTCTCGTTTCCCATGAGCCAAAGTGGACACTATATGGAAGGGGACCGTGTAAACAGGAGCTTCTGCATCATAAAGCATATTCCAAGGTACTAAGGTATTTCCATGGACGTCCCAACGGACTAGCCAAAGCATGTTCCAATCTGACAACTCTACGGAACCTCCTTTGCTTTGCGCCAGAGTGGTCACGAAAGTACGACGTGGTGCGCTACCCATCGTTGAATCTGGATCTTCCATCGATCCCAATTGGTAATCTGGATTTCATCTTAGAGGCTATCGACATTTTCGACGGAGATGTATTCCAGGTTCACTCTAATTTCCACTCGCTTCTCGAATCTGCCGGTCTCACCCAACTCTCGATGGACAAACGATTATTCAAGCCTCGACTAGACCCATCACCGAGAGACATTCTAAATGCATCTAATATGGTTTTGGAACTTTGGCGGAGCAACGGATTCAACACTTCAATCAGCCGATTAGCCTTCGAGGATCAGCCAGTCTCCGACCTTGGAGTCTCTAACATTCTCGTCTACTTACATGCTCTTCGACGCAGTTCTTATCGTCAAGACGTGGTACGCACACTTAAAAGCATCTCAGTTCTTTTTCCTATCAACTACCCGGCCGAACGTAGTATGAGTCACGTTCTATGGGTCGCTGCGTACTGTCCAAGCAGCCACGACTCACTAGTCCATTACCTCTACGAAATCTCGCCAATACAAAAGTTATATTGGGGCATAACTATGCCAGAATACCTATCTTCACCTCATTGGGAACTGATGAGACAATATGGCTATAACCTTGCTCGAATCGGGGACGTTAGACAGACGCTAGAAGCGAGCTTTCCGGCCGCTTTGGTGAAAGAAGGCTATCACTGGATATGGTTCATATTCAACAATTTTGACATTGAAGTCACGAAGACCGACGCCACTTTGATGCCAAAAACATTCCCTGGGTGGGGACACGAAGAGAGGATTCTGCAGATTAAAAGAATGCATCGGGCTCGTGGCCTGAACATAACGTACAAGTGGTGAGCATAAGGACTATAGCCGTGTTCATTGTACTCATTCTATGTAGGGAGATGTTCGCCAGGACAGTCCGGCGATGAACCTGGTAGATATAGCCGCAAAATAGCACGTTCATCCGTATTGTGAAGTGGCCAATATGTAAAGAGTTGACTAGAGATACATGGGGGTCGTAATGCAATGCATATTTCCTACTCGGCACAGCGTCGTACAGTATGTAGACTCGTATTGGATCGTAACAAAGGAGTGAAAAAACGACATTGACCAGGCAAATGTCAAGACAAAACATAAGTCACGCGAGCTTTGGGATGAGGAGAGAGAACAGAGAGGGTTTAAAGGATGCGTAGTGTAAGCGGTGGACTCAAATCCATTGATGATTCTTGTACGATGCACTCGACGGTCTGCGCATGGCCGTGAATCCAGATATGGACGCATTCGACGGCCGACGAGCAGTCGAGACGGCGGGCGTGCGGTCAAGGTGATGTTGAGCATCTTCTGCTCGATACGGTAGCTCCGTCGAGCCATCACCAGACGCCGTCGATCCCATTCGACTGTATCGTCCAAACGACGATGGTGCGTTGGCTGCACTAGGTCGTCGAGTCTGTCCAAGGGGGACGGTCGTTGTAGTCGTAGGTGCGGTCAGCGACGATGGCTGAGACCAGATATCGGTGCGCCATTGTACGTTGGACGATGGAGTGGTTGTATGCGACGGTTGTCGTGAGGGCGAGCCAGCGCGAGGAACAGCTAGTGAGGTGGAAAGCAAAGTGGACGAGTCAGCGATAGGTGCGAGCGAAGGTCGTTTGGAGACGCCAATAATCCTCGTCGGGGATGCCCTTCCAGGATCACCTTCATGGGATTGGCTGTAGACTGATGGCGAGGGCACCGAAGGGGAAATAGGATTCGGACCATGTACGGGACGCGGTGGTTCGATATCCGGTGCTCTAAAACCATTCGCGTTCAGCGAGATGACACTGGCATTCCGTGTCTGGGTCTGAGTCGGGACTGGGAGATTGAGCAGAGAGGTCGAGACGGGAATGGATAACGGACGCTGGGTCATCTCAAAGCTTTCGACAGTCGCCTGTGTCGGTCTTCTAGATGCAGCAAGGTTCATCGCAGCATGGTGATGATCGTTTACACTGGCCGGGTCGAGTCGTTCCATCGACGGCGAGTCACGGACGCCAACGTCATTTCCATGGCCAACAGACGAGGACTTGATCGTCCCCGAGCGATGAATCATCGTACTCTTCCTGGATAACGCCGACAGAAGAGACTTGCGAAGGGATACTCGCGACTTGCTCGACCGAGGGACATTACCGCGCTTCGACTTGCCATTTCCAGGGACCCACTCCTTGGGACCCTCACGTCCTTGAAGAAACGAAAGTGGCTTGAGGCGAGGTGCAGGTTTGGCATTGCCAGTCGTCGCCGAACGTGGTTCGCCAATGACACCCTTTTGCGCACCAGCGTTGAAATTATCCCACACGGGCTGTCGTCGTTGTTTGCGAACATATGCAGAGATGACAATCGCAACACCTAGTGCGACAACGAGCGCACCGACGCATCCGATGCCAATGGCAATGATCCGCGACAGAGGTGATGGCTCCTGAGACGAGTTGAAGGCTGTCGCAGGTGCTAGACTTGCATTTGTAGCGCGGGGTTCTACTACTGTAGAGGAAGATGGGATTCGGTATGGGAGAGAGGCGGAGAGCTCGAGTGTGGTCGTAACGGGGGGCATGGGATCGTAGAGTGTCGTGGAAGAGGAGAAAGATGATCTTCAAAGCCCCCGTGTCATGTTGTTGTTTTTTTTTTGAGAACAATGCCCCCCGTGGGCGTGCGCTCGTCCCAAAGCGTCCAATCCAAATGGATGCCATTTTCGTCAATGATGCGCGGGCTCAATCACAGAACCTGTCGGCAAAGGAGAAGACTGACATAAAACATGTTCCGGTGACAGGTTCTTTGACATTGTTAGCGCTAACATTGCGACAGGGCTCGGGCGGATTCCGCTCCCTGCTCAAAATGGCAGCGTTCAAGGTTGTCACTCCCGTTCACAGGACACCGACACACGTCAAAACAGTAAAATAAACCTCAGGATCACACGATATTTGATAGTTCAACTTCTTCACATTCGAATAGAAAGACAACCGAATTTCAGCACACTGCTCTACCACTACCACGCTCTATAGTCGAAAGGATAAGTGACAAGGTGCGGGATACGAGTTAGAGAGTTAGGATGGCGTGGTAGAGCGAGCAAGGCGAGCGAATATCGGTCAACAAGCCGGGTTGAGGAGACTGAGAGGAAGACAGAACAAGGCACAGTTATATGACAGACGCCCTTTTTCGTTGTCAATGCGACACTGGCGGGTGTAAGAGGAGAGGATGAGAGGAAAGAGGACACAATCGTGGGGTGTACAAAAAAAATGGGAGGGGAGGGGAGGCCAAGACCGAATAGACAACGTGTCGCGCGAGTCGGCATGACAAGAAGTCATAGATGTCGATACGCAGTAATGGATCGAATAAACAACGCATTCGCGCTGGCGATGAGCGCCCCCAAGAAAGAGAGAGACGGATTGGCCGTGATGGAACACGCCGTCCAAATAGCGCCGATGCCGAACCCATAGGCCAGAAGCAACGAATGGCGAATGCGAATAAGGAGGAGCAGGAAAAGGCCCAAAGAGGATTAGGAGGTGACGCCGGATAGGATGGAAACTGTAAGCGGGAAAAAAGTCGAGACTGAGTTGCGTCACATTGAACAATAAAGACCGTTCACGCGCGGTGGACACGGAGCCGTGCCGGATCGCGTGCAACACGTGCACTCATCCAACACTGGGGGGTATGCTGATCCACCGAGAGCGAGAAACGGTCGTGTCGAATGGATAGCCAGTTCGTATGGGTGATTGCGTCGAAGAAAGAAAAGGTCGTGGGCGGGGTCGTGAGGAGGTCGGAGAGAGAAAGAGTAGAGGTCGAGGTTACGCGGGTGCGGGGCTGATACCGCCAGAAGTTGCTGGTTGACGAACCGAAAAGGGGTGGGGACAGGGAGTTTGATTCTGCTGTGCGAAAACCGGACACTTTTTTTTGTCGAGACCGAGAAAGATGGATTGGAATGCATGGTACAATAATGGACGAGACGACGGAGGAGCGCCTCGAGTTCGTTCATAGAGGATGTGGTCCAGGATGAACGCCCACTCCTCACTTGTACGACGGCAAGGTCGACGAGCGAATCAAGGTGGGTGGAAAACTCGCTATGCGCGTGCGGGGCCAGAGTATCGGCGAGGGGAAGTGGGTCTGGGGATGGAGCAGCATATGGGGATGGCAAGCGAAGCCAACGAGACCTTTCAAACCGGATACCAAGAGAGCGCAAACTCCAGTGAGTTCGGCCGCGGGTTCAAGTCCATAACGGAACAGGGACGAATGAAATGTGCGCGACGAAGAGTGAACACGACAAGAGGACCAAGAGGGAGATCCATGAGTCGAGCTGGATAGGACGAAATCTCTACCCGGCATCGAAATAATGCAGAAGTTGATCTGGAAGAGTCGAAACTCGACGCCGCCTTGGCAACACGAATAGTGTGAAGAGGCAAGAGACTCCAAGTTCGAGAGTCTCGCCAATAGGATCCGTTAGGGGGGGGTGCGATAGTGTGGGAATGGATTATAAGGAGGATCGTGTTGCTTCGGTGGGCATCGTATTTTCGTCGGTCGAGGGAGGTGGACACAATCTGAGACGGGGAAACGAGCGGAAAGGGTCACTTGATGAAGATGGTGGTCTATTGAGACGCCGTGGGCGAACTGGGTGCGTTTTTTGCCGACTTGCTTGGCGACGCATCAAGGGAACTTCCATAGCCAGAGTCGGAGAACTTGAAGCTGTTCTCGTGCTCGGCCTCTTCCGGAATGGTCTCGCCAACGGTAACCTCGGCGCTACTGGCAGCAGCAGCAGCGGCCTGCTCGTTGGCCTTGGCCATCTCCTCGAGGTCTGGTAGGCCCTCGAGGTAGAACAAGCAGTTGTCGTGAGGCGTCGAGAGGTAGAACTCGCTGACTAGGGTCGAAGCTCGCTCAAATTGGACCGACTTGTACTTGTTGAACAGCGCCTCTGAAATCTTGCCCAACCCATTGTTGCAGAGAAGCTCGTGCATGTAGCGGGCGACGTGGAGTGCGCCAGCCGACTCGCTCGAACGCTGGGGGGGGAACATGTTAGCAGCCGTGGCCAATGTCAGACACGGGGTAAACGTACATCTCTGGTCTTCCAGTTGACGATCCTAGCAAGGATCAAGGCAGCTTCTGCAAGCATGTTCGTAGGAACGTCGATCAAAGCCTCTTGGTAGGCCATGTACTCCATCAGGAAGCGCGCGATGGACTGGGTGACAATGTCGGCCATGATGACAGGCGTGCCGCGTGTCTCGAGCTCGGGGAGACCGACCCATCCTTGACGGATAGCCATCTCCTTTGCGTTTTGGCTGCCCGACTTGTCGAGCGTGTTGACCATGCAACGCAGCCAGGCTTCGGCGGTCGGGTGACCGAGCTCCCAGTCAATGGTGTTAAGAACGTGTCCTTCCATTTGGACAAAACAGCTCTCCTCGTAGACGTCGCGGCAGTACGACTTGAGGTCGGCGGTGGTGGGGATGTGCTCCTTGTTGTCCTCGTACTTGGCCGCGATCCAGAGCGCGGTGCAGCCGACGAGTTGATAATGCTTCTTGTGGACGACACGACGGGAGCAGTAGCGGTCCATGATGTTGATGGCGAGGTAGAGCGTCTCCTGGCGGAGATGGAAAACCTGGTGGAGCTCGATGAGGAAATCGAGGAGTGCACCACGCATATACATCTTGATCTCCGTCTGCTGCTCCATAGCCGTCTTGCACGGCATCGTAGCTTCCTGCAAAGGAAACAGAGTCAGAACTAAACGGTCGCGAGCGGGTGATGCGAGATGACGAACCTGCATGCGATGCATGTACTCGAGAATGTCATCCCTGTATTCGTCCTCGTACAGCGAAATGTATCGCAAGAGGCGGCCTCGTGCACGCTGTTCTTCGGTGATGGGCGCGGGAGGCAGCGGCGGGAGACGCTTCTTCTTTCCAGCAGCAGTGCGGGAGCGAGCAGCCTCGACCTGGAGCTTTCCCTCTTGCCTGGACATTTGCTGAAGTTGGCCAATGGTGAGGCCATTTTGGACAAACGACTCGGAGCGATTTGGGAGGAGCTGGTTGTTGAGGGCGACCCGCTGTTCGGGCGAGAGCGTAGGGAGCTGTTCACCAACAACGAGACCATCACCAACTCTTGCACGCTTCTTGGTGGGCGAGAGGATTTGGCCCGGGCGTACGGGTGATGAAGAACGTCGCGTGAGGAACGCTGGACGGACGATGGGCGAGTGCAGCTCATGATAAGAATGAACTTTTAGAACAGATGAAGCAGATTAGAAAGACAATAATCGTCGATCTGCTTGTCGTGTTGGGATAGGTGCACCAGCCGATGACGGGGGACGATAACGATGCAGAAAAGGAGCCAAAAAGGGTATGTCAGCCAAATAGAAGTCGAAAGTAGGTACTGATGTGGGGAAGAGGAGCGATGGCACCGCCAACGTGCAGAGGCGCGCAACGAGGCCAAGGTCAAAGAGCCAAAGTTTGGGTCACCAGCCGGCGAGACGGACCAGCCGCTGGTTTGCAAGGGCAGCGAGGGTGGATATAGGGGTTTATATGGCATCAAAGAGGAATATGGTCATGCACTCGGAGGTAATGGAGGCGGGGGATCGGGGACGAGACGGGGCGGGGGGAAAAAATCAGAGAAAAAGAATACAGACCTGGAGAAGAAACAGAGAAGAAAGAACAAGCTCTCAGAGCGTCAGAGAGGGCAGAAGAAGCGCGATCTCGGGGCGTGGACGCTGGCGGCGGGGAGGGGGATCGAGTAGGAATGGGACGAGCGAGACCAGTGAGCTCGAGACGACTGGAAAGAGCCGTAGACGACGTCGAGTAGAAGACTGGGACGAGGAGATTTGTCGTCGAGAGCGTCGACGAGGTAGAGGTCCAAGATGCAAATTGAGACCCTCGCTATACGCACACGAATGTGAACTGCCAAAAGGGCGACTTATCGGGTGGGCCAAATAGCGCCAAATAAAGCAGTTAACTGTCCCAGATAACCTCAGGACTGAGCTCGCACCGAACAGGAGTGTGATGTTAGCCAGGAGTGAGCTCGGGAGAGTTTGCAATATGTCGATTTCTAGTCACGGGCTCCTTTTATTACACTAAAGGTCGCACTAGATGGGCGTCGTGATCTTACAAGTGTGTGTGTTTCGTCGACCAAACTGTCCACGGGGCTCAGCACGTCGGTTTGCCTCTAGAAACCTTGGCGGATCGGGAGACAGGGGTCGACGGCTGGGCTCCGACAATGGATCTCATCTGGCTCATGCACCCCTACTAAGATCACACATCACGTCTTTGACGCCGCTTTCCGGCAAAACTCACAATCGGAGCTCGTCTTGGTCCCGGACGCATCAAAGCCTACCTCGGCGCTCCCATCTCTACGCGTCACTCGCCTTCCCTCCCAGTAATCACACCTTGGGCGTTCCCATCGCTCCAGCAATTCTTGTGCTCTCCTTGACATTTCAGACGGCCGCAGACGACATCTGCCCAACATTTGCCCTGGGACAAGATTGAATCTGGGTCTACAAGACTCCCTCCTCCTCGCACAAATCCCGCACGGCCCCTCTAAGGACCCGTGCCGGTAGTCGCCGGATTTTGCTCGATTTGGAGCCGTCGAATTGACACAGCCACAAGGTGACGAAGAGCGCAACTCTGCTCCTCTCAAGATCCACTCACTCTTCAGATCCCAGCTACAGCGGAGATGATCTGGAGCATGTATCCCACCTTTTACTTTCGAGCCGAATATTCACTAAAATCATCCAAGACGCTCGACGCGACATGACGCATTGCAAGCTATGACAGAATCTTGCTCCACAGCTCGTCCGCGGCATCACGAATCCAGGGCCATTATTCGAAATTGTTAATTATTTGCATTTTCTTTGACGTTTCTTGCAAATTTCTGTGGTTCCCACCAACGTTACAAGCGATGTGTCCTCAAGGTAAGATCCACCCATGCTTGAATTTCAACGTGACGCAGCTCATGACGAATACATTACACAGTATCCTCTGTTAGTAGCCACTAATTCGCTTCATTCCATACCGCTCGTCAACTGGCTATCTCGACTGCTTGGCGAGGGTTCAGGAGAGGTAGGATCTGAGGCGTGTGAGTAGGATCATCGACCTGAAACAGCTAGACGTCCTCCCACTTGGACTTTTCCCCGAGCCGGATCAGTTTCCAAGATTTGAACGAACGGAGCCACTCGCCGCAATGACGAACCAGTCGCTTCGGCGAATCCCATTCGGTCCCAAGAGTATCGTTAAAACAACCGAAGCATAATGGGGCACTCACCCTCGGCATCATCACATTGACATCAAAGGTAGGCTGGAGCGTGTGTTCACGCGCTTCATAGTGGCTCCCCCTACTGGCCGGCCGGATCGTGCTGAGCGTCTTGGACAGTCAGGTATCACATCATAGTGGCCTTGAACTCCGGCAATTCGCTCGTTGTCTAGCACCCACGACAAGTCTTTAGCGCTCCAGAGGAGGGGCCGAGGCGCGTCCTATAACCCAAGCGAGCGCTACGGAGGCCCGAGGAAGCGTATAGGCACGATTAGAGAAATAGTGGGAATTCGATTGGAGGAAAAAAAAAACGTGATCAGACCCGTCTGGTAGGCGGTGTCGCTCTTGCATCTTGGGAGTGGCCGGCCACTGGTGGAGTTGCGAGCGGATCTCTCGTTTGCAAACCATTCCACCAAGGGCTTCCCTGTGATTTCCCGCAGTGGGGAACCTAAAGCAAGCAATAGCGCTTCCCAGCATCCCTCGAAAGCCCCTCACTGCATTTTGCGTATTTCGATTATGAAGAAGGCCCTCTTGGACCGACTCTCTTCACTTCTCGTGGGATAATATTTTTATTTATTTACAAAAACGACGATCACATCCGTTTTGATCGATAGACGCACGGCACCCTAGTGGGTGGCTGGTAGCCTCGTGTTGGGCAATGGGCATCGGCTGCGCCCTGTGCGGACCGAAAAGGAGTACGGATCCCGTTTGGTGGAACGGGGTTTTTATATTCGCGCATAGGAGAAACCATGGAAACCCTGACTTTGTCCTTTGCCTCAGCGCAGAGGCGTGCCGCGCTCTCGTTGGTTCTTGTAATCGTACGGTGCAGCCTCAATCTCACTTTGGCAATCCGCCCCATCTTTTTCACCTCGCTTTAGGCTTTCGAAGTGGACACAGGGCGGGATGGCGGATTAAACAATAAAAAAAAAATTCCATTATTTTCTTCTTCTCCTAGCCATCGAACGATGCCAGACCCACCGGAGAACGGCAGTGCTAGCCATTTTGTTCCTATTCCCCGCAGGCGTGTATGCCCTGTTCACATCCAAATGGGTCACATTACATGCGCACGCCGAGGTCGTTTTATGTAAAAACCCGAGTGATTCTCACATCATGACAAAGAGTCTGAGCCTGCACGGAGGTCGAAAGTCGAATGGGCGCGTACCTTGTTTGGAAAATTACTTGACCGTCGGTTGTCTTGTCCATCAATAGTGTCTGTTTTGGTCATTATACGCGGCCAGTTCTTTTTTGATGAAAGACTAAAATGTAGAAGTGCGGAGCAGCAGCCCCTTCCTCGTCGTCGGTCGCGATGAGCCCAGAGTTCCCTTTGGTGCCTATCCCACGCAGTCACAACACTAGCCCGAAAACGCCTCGAATATTCTCGACGACCACGTCGGGATCCCGCCTCCGCGTCGCCTCCCCAATCTCACCCTGCTCAACGAGCTAGCGAGATTTTGCACGTTCACCCGAAGGGCGGACGTCGGTCCGAGCTCACAGGACGAATTCACAACAACCTCCGCCCCAAAGAATATCCATTTCTTTAACTGAATTTTCTTTCCTTTTTTTTTTTTCCCCCGTTGGTCGAGAATTTTAAAAAAGATTTGGGACGTGGGTTTTTTGTTCGACAGGGGTGGCGTCGGCCTTCGACGCTCTCCGATTCGTCCTTGTAAAGAGGTTGCCAATCGCACGAGCATGCGGTCGACGCGCCGAGTCGTGCGTTCAGTTTGACCTCGCTGACCACGACCCCTCTTCCGTTTCTCCTTGCTGTTTCACAACATTCCGAATCTGGTTCATTTGATGAGTAATCCAGCGTAGTATATAAGCAGAACAACTTTTGCGTGAATGCTAGCAACCCCCATCTGGATCTGTAGGCGCCGCGTTATTTCTGGCACATGGGAAGAGAGCCGGCTCTCCCCTTTGTGCGTTTCATAATCTAGCCTTGCACAGTCAAAAGTTTTGTCTCGCTGGAATATCGGAATGGGTGACGCCCAAAGGTACCCAGACCCAGCCGAGTGACCGCGGGACGTTTGATTGTATGTGGCCCTCAGAGACACAAGAAGCTGACCGTTACTCTTGCACCGCATGCGGTCTGATACGAATAAGCGTCGCTATCCAGTGGCCAAGGTCGAAGAGCGTGCGAGTGGATGCCATTGGTTCGACCACTCGACCCGTTTTAATTATGAGACGTCGGTCGGGTCATCGGTGTCCCTCTCTCGCCGTAATTGCGACATCATAAAGCAACCGAATTTGGTCTCTGCGATTGGACGCTGCTGCAGATTTTGAGCTGGAGAATCCCGTAGGCGAGCGCGCGTGCACACGCTTACACCGCTTTGGATAGATTGTGGCTTGACATATCGTCTGATGAACCGGTCGAGTGTTTCCACCGAATAAGCGTCACAACCGTCTCGACAGAGCTCTGCAGAGCGGGCCCGCGACGGGCGTAGGTATATAGACGGACTCTGTCGAAAGGACACGGCTTGGTCAAGGAATCCCAGCGGGATACGCCATATTTCTACCCTGTGGCATTCGTCAGTTCAACTGTCAACCGCCATCAATAGCAATCAGCGAGGCGAGCTCCTGGATACGATTGGGCCCCCAGGCGCTCCAAAGTCCCTTGAGGTATTCACATTACCGACAATGCTGAGTGGGAGGACGGGGGGGGGACTGTGACGAAAACGAGGGCGAGGCCCTGTCTCGATTCTGGCTGTCTCCGAACAAGGCTCCTTTCGTTATGACTAAAAAATTTTCTAGTCAACACCTCGTCACTCGCCATCGTCATCTTTATCGCGCGACCCCTCCCATGCCATTGGTCGACTCTGCGGCGACATTTGATCGTCGCGATATCAGGTTTACATCGTTCAGTATACTAAACATCAAAATTTCTAATATCTGATGCATTTTTCGTGGTTTTACAAAGACTGCGTCGCGTCAGATTCGGCGTTGATGAGTGACGCGTTGTGTGGCCTTGTTTGGTCAAGGTCGCGTCCGGGCTGTGCTTTACTACCACTCCCGCTATGGTTCAAAAATAACAGTAAAAGCTCACCTAGGATAGCTTCAACACTGATACACTTTAGACCACCGGATATCGAGCTAGCGCGTTCGGTACATGGTCCCAATCCCATTTCCCTTCGGTGCCCCCGCCATCGGTTTATAGCCAGTCGCATGAAGGTGATCCTGGAAGGGTATTCCTGAAGATAATCATCGGCATCTCCAAATGACTTTCGCTCGCACCTATCGCTGACTCGTCCACTTTGCTTCCCGCCTCACTAGCTGTTCCTCACGCTGACTCGCCCCTCACGACAACCGTCGCATACAACCACTCCATCGTCCAACGTACAATGGCGCACCGATATCAGGCCTCAGCCGTCGTCACAGACCGTACCTAAGACTATGACGACTGTTCCTCTTGGGTAGACTCGACGACCCAGTGCGGCAAACGTACCGTCGTCATTTGAACGATACATTCGAATGGGATCAACCACGTCCGGTGATGGTTTGACGGAGCTGCCGTATCGAGCAGAAGACGCTCAACATCACCTTGACCGGGCGCCCGCCGTCTCGACTGCTCGTCGGCCGTCGAATGCATCCATATCTGGATTCACGGCCATGCGCAGACCGCCGAGTGCATCGTACAAGAATCATCAATGGATTTGAGTCCACCGCTTACACTACGCATCCTTTAAACCCTCTCTGTTCTCTCTCCTCATCCCAAAGCTCTCGTGACTTATGCTTTATCTTGACATTTGCCTGGTCAATGTCGCTTTCTCACTCGTTTGTTACGATCCAATACGAGCCTACATACTGTACGACGCTGTGCCGAGTAGGAAATATGCATTGCATTACGACCCCCATGTATCTCTAGTCAACTTTTTACATATTGGCCACTTCACAACACGGATGAACGTGCTATTTTGCGGCTATATCTACCAGGTTCATCGCTAGACTGTCCTGGCGAACGTCTCCCTACATAGAATGAGTACAATGAACACGGCTATAGTCCTTATGCTCACCACTTGTACGTTATGTTCAGGCCACGAGCCCGATGCATTCTTTTAATCTCCAGAATCCTCTCGTCGCGTCCCCACCAGGGGAATGTTGTTGGCATCAAAGTGGCGTCGCTCTTCGTGACTTCAATGTCAAAATTGTTGAATATGAACCATATCCAGTGATAGCCTTCGTCCACCAAAGCGGTCGGAAAGCTTGCTTCTAGCGTCTGTCTAACATCCCCAATTCGAGCAAGGTTATAGCCATATCGTCTCATCAGCTCCCAATGAGGTAAAGATAAGTATTCTGGCTTAGTTGTCCCCCAATATAACTTTTCCACCGGCCAGATTTCGTAGAGCTGATCGACTAGTGAGTCGTGGCTGCTTGGACAGTACGCAGCGACCCATAGAACGGAACTCATGACAACTTTGGCCTGGTAGTTGATAGGAATGAGTACAATGAAGGCGTCTAGAGTCTTTATACTCACCACTTGTACGTCATTTGTAGGCCACGAGCCCAATGCATTCTTTTTATCTCAGAAATCCTCTCTCCGGGTCCCAACTCGGGGAATGTTGTTGGCATCAAAGTAGCGTCGGTCATCGTAACTTCAATGTTGAAATTGTTGAACATAAACCATATCCAGTGATAGCCTTTGTCCACCAAAGCGGCCGGAAAGCTTGCTTCTAGCGTCTGTCTGACGTCCCCAATTCGAGCAAGATTATAGCCATATTTTCTCATCAATTCCCAATGTGGCAAAGCTAGGGACCTTAACTTATCAAATGTGTTGTCGAGCAGGCTAGCCAGTGAGTAGTGATTGTTTGGACAAAACGCAAAAGCCAAGAGCACTTGACTCATCGTTTTGGGCTGGAAATTAGTAGGAAAAGTAGCAGAGATGCTAATAAGTGTGTCCAGTAGGTCTTGACGATAAGAACTATGTCGAAGAGCATGTAAATAGATGAGAACGTTGGAAGCTGAATCATAGAAAATTGGTTGATCTGAGAACACTGCCAATGATCTGCTGACCGGGGTGTTAAATCCGTTGCTCCGCCAAAGTTCAAAAACCATATTGGAGGCGTTTAGAATGTCTTTTGGTGATAGGTCGAGTCCACGGCGGACTGATGGAAAGCGCTCGGTGAGACCGGCGGCTTTGAGAACTGAGAGGAACTCGTCATGAACCTGGGGTACATCTCCTTCGAAAGCGTCGATGGCCTCTAAGATGAAATCCAGATTACCAATCGGGATCGATGGAAGATCCGGATTCGACGATAGGTAGCGCACCACGTTGTACTTTCGTGCCCACTCTGGCTCAAAGCAAAGGAGGTTCCGTAGATTTGTCAGATTGGAACATGCTTTGGCTAGTCCGTTGGGACGTCCATGGAAATACTCTAGTACCTTGGAATATGCTTTATGATGCAGAAGCTGCTGTTTACACGGTCCCCTTCCATATAGTGTCCACTTTGGCTCATGGGAAAGCAGAGTCCAAAGTCCTATGAGATTGGTAGAAGTTCCGACTATATCGTAGTCACTGAGCAGGAGGATATCCAGTGCATTAGAAAATTCTATGACCTTTAGGTCATATAACCGAGTGAGGTGCATGTCAATGTGCACTATGTCGAAACTGCTGCGTTCCAGTGTCATTAACATAATATTGTAGCCCTCTTCATTGGTATAGGTCTTCCATCTGCGAAGAATATCCCTGATCATGAACGGTTTGAGGTCCGACCTTTGATAGACGTTCAAGATGCCTTCCATGGACATCCCCTCGATCTGCAGCTCTCGTGTAAGACGATAGGAGGAAAGTAGCTCTGCGGACAAGTCAGCCAAATTCTCATCTGGACAACTAGCGACCTTTGCGGTGGCTCCGAGGCGTGAGCAAATGAGCGACATAGGATGGTCGATGAACATTTGCATTTGATCTGGTTGACGAAATCCGATCATTTTCCATCCTTTCTAGCATGAAGCGACAGTGTGAAATCATTTGCCCGGTTTCGTCAGTTGTCCTAGACGGGTTGATTCAGTATTTGAAGTCGTTATCAACCAATACTCACGTGTCAAACATACTCAGAATGCACTGAACCATGCTGTTTTGTTCACGCAAGCGGCCCAACGAGGTCTCGAGGTCTCCGACCTTTACTTTCGGCGTCTCCCGCGACAAAAATCGGAAAGGGAATCTAGCTGGACGTTGGTTTCGATAGAAATCCAGCTGGCTTAGTGTACTGCAGAGCGTAGCACTGATCGCAAACAACAGGGCGTCTATGAACCACTGATTCTCGGCAGTACGACACTCCGACCACGACAAGGAGAGGAGGAGCTGCTCCCGAAGAGTCGTTATAGATTTATTGATCAAGTAACACTCGATCGAAATCGCCTTCAGGGTAATTCCAGAGTCTTGCTGAATATCCGTCAGTCGGGATAGCTCTTGGCGAGTTTGGGCAATCTGCTGCAGTATTCCATTAATACTATCAGCTGGAGCGTATTCACTTGACATTCTGCCGATTTGGAAAGTCGCGGTTGTGGAGAGGTTCAAGGTTAGTGAGACTGACAAGCTTCCAGAACGAGACCAGACCAATCAGCACACCTACAGCGTGTGCATATTCCGAAATTCCGGAGGTTTTACATCCCTCTGATTTGCCGGCTGCTCAGCTCGTCACCTAAAGTCAGTAATATTGTGTCCTTCAGAGCAAAACCGAACAGTTTGTAATGGAAAGACTTCCGGAAGTCTTTATATAGTCAGACAGAATTCGCAGTCATACAATCCCCGAGAACCAGGTTGGAAATACCCTTGATGCCCTGCACGAGTAGCTCCTTGGACGTGCCATCCAGACACCTTGCAGAGTGGCCGTGGGAAGGCGAATGCTCTGAAAGGCAAAGATCGCTCTGCACGATGAGCAGTTAATTGCTTTGAGCAACGGCCAAACTCACCACGCGCCGCGACCATTGGCAATGCCAACCCTGCACTTCGCCTCAAGCCACTTTCGTTTCTTCAAGGACGTGAGGGTCCCAAAGAGTGGGTCCCTGGGAATGGTAACCCGAAACGCAGTAATGTCCCTCGGTCGAGCAAGTCACGAGTATCCTATCGCAAGTCTTTTCTGTCGGCGTTGTCCAGGAAGAGTACGATGATCCATTGCTCGGGTACCATCAAATCCCCGTCTGTTGGCCATGGAAACGATGTTGGCGTCCGTGACTCGCCGTCGATGGAACGACTCGACCCGGCCAGTGTAAACGATAATTACCATGCTGTGATGAACCTCGCTGCATCTAGAAGACCGACGCAGGTGACTGTCGAAAGCTTTGAGATGACCCAGCGCCCGTTATCCATCCCCGTCTCGACCTCTCTGCTCAATCCCCCAGTCCCGACCCAGACCCAGATACTGAATGCCAGTGTCATCTCGCTGAACATGAATGAATTTAGAGCACCGAATATCGGACCGCCGCGCTCTGTACATGGTCCGAATCCCATTTCCCCTTCGGTGCCCTCGCCATCAGTCTACAGCCAATCCCATGAAGGTGATCCTGGAATGGCATCCCCGACGAGGATCATTGGCGTCTCCAAACGACCTTCGCTCGCACCTATCGCTGACTCGTCCACTTTGCTTCTCACCTCACTAGCTGTTCCTCGCGCTGGCTCGCCCTCACGACAACCGTCGTCCAACGTACAATGGCTCACATATATCTGGTCTCAGCCGTTGTCACAGACCGCACCTACGACTACGACGACTGTGCCCCTTGGGTAGACTCGACGACCCAGTGCGGCCAACGCACCGTCATCATTTGAACGATACAGTTGAATGGGATCGACGGCGTCTGGTAATGACTCGACGGAACTACCATATAGAGCAGAAGACTCTCAACGTCACCTTGACCGGACGCCAGCCGTCTCGACTGCTCGTCGGCCGTCGAATGCGTCCATATCTGGATTCACGGCCATGCGCAGACCGTCGAGTGCATCGTACAAGAATCGCCAATGGATTTGATTCGACCTCTTACACTACTCATCTTCTAGAGCCTCTCTGTTCTCTCTCATCCCAAAGCTCGCGTGACTTATGTTTTATTTTGACATTTGCCTGGCCAATGTCGCTTTCTCACTCCTTTGTTACGACCAAGACGTGCCTACATATTGTATGGTGTTATAACATTAATAGGAATCATGTAGTAGGAATCATGCATTGCATTACAACGCCCTCTTCAAGTGTCTCTTTATTTTTCCATCTGACAACTCGTGGCTGCTGCTGTGTGACAAGACAAAAGTGTCACTTTGACATTACCATGCACCAAATTCATGATGTGACTGAGTTGAAGTGGGCATTGAACGTTATTCGCTCCTGTCATGTCGCATAGGTAAGGCAAACCGCTCCCTACATGGGATTAACGTATCGAAGGCGTTTGATTCTTCCTGCTTACCATGTGTACTTCATATTTGTCAGACCACGACGTCGGTGGATAGCTTTGATCTTGGCAATTCTCTCCCTAGGCGTTAACTCTGGGAAGGTCGCTGATACGTAAGCAGCGTCCGCTTTCGTGAATTCGATGTCGAAATCGTCGAGCATGAGCCATATCCAGTGGTATCCTTCCTCGACTAGGGCGGGCGGAAAAATTGCTTGGAGTATCTGGTTGACATCCTCAATTTGAGCAAGGCTATAATTATATTGTTCCATCAACGCCCAATGTGGAAACATGGGGTTTTGTCTCGGAGTAATAAGCTTGCGATACGTTGATATATCTGGCAGGCTGTACCACATAGTGAATTGTTGTATCAACACGGCGGCATGATAGAACAGTGTGGCTCCGGGTATTGGGTCAGGACAGCATGCGGCTACCCATAGCGCGTCACCCGTCAGTACCTCGAATGGGTATTGATCAGGACAGAAAGCTGAAATCGACTGAAGTGTGTTTATCACGTCATGACTATAGAAATGGCGTCGAAGAACATGTAGATAGATAAGGATGTTCGAGGTCGGAGAGTCAATAATTAGACGGTTATTGAATAGCAATATACTGTTCCGAGTGTTAAATCCTTTGCTCCACCAAAGCTCCAGAATCATATTGGAGGCATGCAAAATATCTTTTGATGATAAGTCGAGAATAGACATCATAGAGGATGGAAAATGATTGCGTGATCGTTCTTCAATCGAAGACTCGGTGAGACCAGCAGCCCTGAGAAGCGAGAGAAACTCGTTGTAAGTCTTGCGTACATCTCCTCCAAAAGCTTTGACTGCGTCTACGATAAGGTTCATGTTATTAATTGGGATTGATGGAAGCCTTCGTGGGCGGGGCCACTTTATATTGCCGTGTCCACTCTGGTTCATTGTAAAGTAGTGCCCATAGCTTTATGAGACCCATGAAGGTTCCGGCTAAGTCAAAGTCATTGAGATAGATGATGCCTAGTATACCGGAGAATGCTGCATGGCCTAATTCATATAGTTGGTGAAGCCGCATTTCAACGTACACTATGTCGCAACCATTGTGTACTAGTATCTCTAACATGGTTTTATAGCCCTCCTTATCGGTATAGGTGCGCCATCTACGAAATATGTCCCTGATCATGAAGGGTTTGAGGTCTGATTTTCCATAGACGTCGAGAATGTGTTTCATGGACATTCCCTCACTTTGAAGCTCTCGTGTAAGGCGATAGGAAGAAACCAAGTCTGCAGTAAAGTCAGCCAAATTCTCATCTGGATAACTGGCGACCTTTGCTCAGGCCCCGCGGCGTGATAAGGTGGACGAAGTAGGAAGGTCGATAGAGATTTTTACGTGCCCCAAGTGATGAAATCCACTCCTCCGTCTTTCTTAACATGGAGCGGCAGTGTGCAAGAATTTCCCACGTTTTATTTGTTTTCCTAGATGGTACAGGTCAACATACGAACATATTATCAAATAGAACTCACGTGTCAAAGTGGATTATTATGCACTGCATCACGCTATTGAGCTCGCGGAGACGACCTAACGATGTCTGGAGCTCTGCAGTCTTTACTTTCGGCGTTTCCCGCGACAAAAATCGGAAAGAGGACGCCATTGGACGTCTATTTCTATAGACATGCAGCTGATTTTGTATATTGCAGAGCGTGGCACTTATCGCAAACAATAAAACGTCGACAGACCGCTGATTCCCGGCAGTTCGACACTCCGACCAAGATAGGGAGAGGATTATCTGCTCCCGAAGAGCGATTATAGATTTGTTCACCAAATAGAGCTCGATCGAGATCGCCTTCAGAGTAACTTCGGGATCTTGCTGGAGACCTGTTAGGCGGGATAGTTCTTCACGAGTGCTGTCAATCTGTTGCAGTATTCCATCAACCGTATCGGCCAATTCGTGCTCTTTTGACATTCTGTAGATCTAGAAAGTCGTGGTTGTGGAGGGGTTCAAGTCGGCGAGAGACTGACAACCTTCCAGGACGAGACGCCACCAACCAGCACGCCTTGACGCCTGACCAAATTCCGAAATTCTATAAATCCTGTCGTTCCCCGTGCGATAGCTGATCAGATCACCCCTTCAACCCGCTATATTGCGCCTTTGGGGCAAACGCGGACAGCTCGTAATCGCAAAAGCATCTAGGAATGCCTTCTATATAGTCAAGCAGGATGCACAGATGCACATTCCTCAGACAGCCAAACGATGCTGCTGCTGGGAGTCTCACTTCTTGCCCTCGAGACTTCTCTTACATGACCCATCGTCTACACAGCGTCTATTATTGCTCCATCTGGTGTCCATATGCTTCCCTCGGGCATCCTCCTCCACTAGATCCGCTCCTCGTCATCCCCTGCATTCCTCTCGGCAGGCCTGTCCAACCAGAGATCGCGTAGCCACGTCGTACATATCTATTGCTGTCTACAGATCGCTAATTTGGCGCAGGTGTCGTGGTTAATGGGCACGCCATCTGGGTAGAGCGGACCATGAGGTGCATTCCTCACGGCCGCCCAGCCGACTGAAGTCACACGGCGCATGGACGCTGCACGCGGGATATGAGAGCAGCTGTGTTCCAGGTGCATATCTGCCCTCTTCTCCCCCCTCCACTCTCGCCGTCACCTCCACGACCGTATACGTACCCAGTCCACCGTACGGGTCACCGGTTGCTATGAGGTGGGCTTATTTTGTGATTTGGTTATGATACAGAACTGACATGATAACCAATTCCCATCAATTATCACGCCTGGCCACTTGCCCGTGCAAACTAATTCTAAAAAATTAACAGTGGCTCATATTCCCGTCGACTGTTATTTAATATATGCGCCTTATTGGCATATGCTGGCTCTGCGCGTGCGAGTGTTGACTCAAAGGCAGTACGTCCACTTTATGGGTGATCTTAATACTCGGAGAAATCTAACGTCCTTCCTTTCATCTTTCGGTCGCCTTGATATACTCAGAGAATCACACTTGCGTGCCTCCTCGGTGGCGTCCCAGCGGCATCCATCCTCTTGATCCTCGTCTTCTGCATCTGGATAAGAAGACGCAAAGACGCGATCCGCAGGAAAGCGATAGCAAATGGAATTGAGCTCGATGACGAAGGTTGGCCAGTTCACCCACAACAGCGTCGCATCAACCCCGCCAATACGGCCGCTGCGAGTACCGACGCCTTCCCTGTACGTGGAAGCGACGCTGCCTCAGCCGCGACTGCTGTAAACAGTGGACGAAGATACAGCACAGGAGGAACGCAAAATGGCAAAGACGGATTCGTCGTGCGCTCGTATGGCAATCCGAATGCCGAGCAGACATTGGTCCCGTCAGTCGGCGCAGATCAAAATGCGTCAGCATTGCGGCCTTCTACAGCCCCTGGAGCATACCAGTGAACCTATCTTCACCGCCATCCACACTCGGTAATGCGTACTACGCACCCGTACAAGAAAACTAGACGTAATACGTATTCATCGACCAACTTTATTAACTGATGTTAACCTCTACTCTTTGCTGTTCTATGAGTGTCTTATATGGTAGCTCCTTGATCCGGGAAGCACTCCCATGGAAGCGTGCTCTAAATGCTCTCACGAAGTAGGAATGAGACGTAGTCCTGAGAGGGATCTCATGGACACGGGATAGTCGAACTTACCATTCGATCCAAGTAGCATACCGCAGTCCCTGGTAGCTCCAAGGCTGCTTGGCTCGCGCACACTGAGACCTTTAGAGAAACGTCATTTAGTATTCAAATCACTATGCATTACCAGCATCGAGCGTTGGTGTTAGATCTTCATTGCTTCCATCCAATCGAGACGGCAAACTTGAGCAAATCAGTGATTGTCTCCATGCCAGGCCTATTGGGAATCCCAAGAATTCTCGCATTCTTCTCCATGGCGTAACTAAACGGCGCCTTTACGCCAATCCTTTCATATGTCGTCGGGATATTGATGCCTTCAACTGGATTCTCTTGAAGCTTATTCACTATGTCGTTGCGTCAGTCTACGATCAGGTTGCCTAATGTGAACGAGATCACTCACAGATCTCCTCCAAGGTCCATACATTGCTAACGCTGAGAATCCGTTGTCCACCCGCCTCCGGCACCGTGAGCGCTTTAATGTGCTCCAACGCCGCTTCACGAACGTCGATAAAGTCTATGACCTGCCCCAGACTCTCAGGGGTGAGATTGCTCAGCGCAGCTTGCTTGAGGTTGCCAAGGAGGACGTAATTGGAGCCTCCAATCTCGCTTGTGGTTTCGCTCAAGACTGGCTAGATAGAATTATCGACACTGGATGTGAGTAGAGAGATGAATTTACCCCAAATAAGAATGCGGGGAGCATGAACACGACATCGTAGTCGACTTTGTTCTCCTTTAGCCAATCCCATGCTGCTGATTCGGCTAGCATTTTGCTTGCACCATATTTGGCACTAAATAACCGCTATGAGCTCGTACTTTAGGTGAGGGAAAAGAGGCAACGACTTACAATGGCGACGCATCGACTCCGTGTTGTTTGACGTGCTGGACTACACCGTGATTCCAATCTTCCTACACCAAATCATCAGAGCCGGTTATAGGTTGGTAAGAAGGAGACATCCTACCTCTGTATAGACGTGGCCAGCTTCTCGTGGGTCCTTGACGGAAGTCACAGACGAGGTGATAACTACACGCTTGACCGATGGAGACTTCTGAGCGCTCTTTAGGATGGAGATGGTGCCTTGAACTGCCGGTTTGATGTTGACATCTGGATCTGCCTTGGGATCTGCGACCACAATAGGAGAGGCGCAGTGGATGACGGCGTCGATATCTCCTGCACTAAGAGATTCGTCGAATGCATTCTCCGTGACAATATCTGGGATATAGGAGAATTCGAGTCGGGATGCCGAATCGGTGAGGCGTTGCCTGACGAACTCGGCCTTTGCGGGGCTACGCACAGTTGTGCGGACACTGAATCCCTGTTCGAGCAGATATTTGATGATCCAGGTGCTGAGAAAGCCAGAGCCACCTAGTGGATCGACTGAATTAGCACAAGAGCAGGGATACAATCAACCTGTGGCCTCGGACCTGTGACGAGGACCTTTGCAGAGTTGTTGATGGCAGGCATATTTTGAGCAGGCTGATTGTGAGTAGATGGCGATTTTGCGTCGAAAGGCGACGGCCTTTATATGTAGCAACTCAGCTTATCGCCGTCTTTTAGGGACGCTTTGCCAGGAGGAGGTCGCCCCTTTGAAATGCACCCAAGCGAATTAAATGAATCAGCGAACTAACTCTGAGGGCCATAATTTGCTTATCTCCGTACCTAATAGAGTTCCAGATGGCTCGGAGCAGCCACCAGCTTTCATTCGTTGACCGAGGAATGAAATCCGTCCAGCATCACAGCGAGCTCAATAGTCCTTTACGAGATGGCTGACCGGCATCGTCAAAAGTGGCAAATATCTTGCATCTGCCACATGACCAAAAGTCATGGACAGCTCCAAGGTTGCTAAACTAGAGCACTGAGCTCTCGACGTGAATTCAGTTTACATTCAGAATCTTATCTGGTACAAACATCGATACGTAACATTGGATCTTCATTGCTTCCACCCAATCGAGACAGCAAACTTGAGCAAGTCGGTGATAGTCTCTGCGGCAGGTCTATGGGAGATTCCGAGAATCCTCGCATTCTTCTCCTGGGAGTACGTGAACGGCGGCTTTGCGCCCGTCTTTTCGTACGTTGTTGGGAGGGTGATGCCTTCGACAGGATTCTTCTGAAGTATGTCCACTAGATCATCCTGTCAGTCTATGCCGTTTCACGAGAAAAGCAAGCTGCTCACAAATTTCCTCCAAAGTCAATACATAACTGGTGCTAAGAATGCGTTGTCCACCAGCCTCGGGCGTTGTGAGAGCTTTAATGTGCTCCAGTGCCGTCTCACGGACGTCGATGAACTCGATGGGCTTTGAAAGGCTCTCAGGAGAGAGATTGTCCAGCGCAGCTTGCTTGAGGTTATCAAGGAAAATGCCATTCGAACCGCCAATGTCGCTGGTGGTTTCACTCAATACTGGCTAGTTAGCGCAATCAGTAACAGGCTATGGAGAATGAGACGGAATTACCCCAAACAAGAGTGCTGGTAGCATGAACACGACGTCGTATTCGACCTTGTTCTCCTTCAGCCAATCCCACGCCGCCGTTTCGGCTAGCATCTTGCTTGCACCGTACTTTACACTATTCAAGTGTTTAAGCTCATTGCTCGATTATCGGAAGAGAGAGCGACGTACAGAGACGGTGCTTCGGCACCGTACTGCTTGACAAGCTTGACGATACCGTGGTTCCAGTCCTCCTACATTCACACTATATTAGCATTGTTCCAATATATTCAGGAAAGAGTAGATCATACCTCTGTGTAAACATGCCCGGCTTCTCGCGGATCCCTGACTGACGCTACAGAAGACGTGATGATTACACGGTTGACCGATGGAGACTTCTGAGCACTTTTCAAGATGCCAAGAGTGCCTTGGATTGCCGGCTTGATGTTTACATCGGGATCCGCCTTGGGGTCCGAAACGACAAGCGGAGAGGCGCAGTGGATCACAGCATCAATGTCTCCCGAACTGAGAGATTCATCGAATGCATTATCAGCAACCACATCCTGAACATAGGAGAACTCGAGTTGGGAGGATGAGTCGGCAAAGAGCCGTTTGAGAAAGTCGGCTTTGGCAGGGCTACGCACAGTTGTGCGGACGCTGAAACCCTGCTCGAGAAGATATTTGATGATCCAAGTTCCGAGGAAGCCAGAGCCACCTAGCAGAACAGAATGTGTTAGCTCGCGAATAGGTAGAGGCAGGGACCACTGACCTGTGACAAGGATTTTTGTCGAGGAAGAGACGGCGGGCATGATATAAACGAGTTGAGGGGGAGTGTATGTTAACCTTGTATCGAAAGATGATGGCTTTTATACGCATCGACCTGCTTTTGGTACCCATTGCTGATACGCGCGGGGACCCTCGCCGTGTGGAGCGGGTATCGGTTTGATGAATAAATGAATGTAAGCTGCTCCGAGGTTCATAATTTGCTAGTCTGATTCCCCGATCTGTATAAGTAGAGCTCCGAGGAATACGGAGCACCCAGTATCGTTCCATCCGACTGGGAGATGAAATCTCGCCAAGAGTACCGTGATGTACGGAGTACGATTGTAACCCCATTCTTCTTTCATACTTGAGCCACTTAAGGATCGAAGACACTCGCTAGGATTGCTAAGGTTGTACATTGGCAATTGACTTCTCCGATCCCACTGCCTCCAGCCATAATTATAGCGAGAGTAATAATAAATGCTTGAATCGCCTCGTCCCGGGGCCAGTAGTTGACTTGTCGAGTGCAGTCGTTCCTTGCGTGAGATAGGTGACCAGTAACGACCATCCATGAAGAATATCAGGGTTCGTTGTTGGAAAGTTCACATCTGGAATGTGTCAGCGGTTCATTTGACAAAGGTGGCTCAGATCAAGGCACCGCCAGCTTTCCTGTCACTTACAAAGATGCTGCCCGAAAATCGCTCAGCATATACTGTGGTTCGCTTATGACCAGCAGTAGACTGATTGGGTCTCGAACACGCCGTTCTGCAAGGGCGCGGACATTAACGCAGTGGAATTCGGAAAATTCTGCATAGACACGGGATTGGTACCAGTATTCTTGTTGGGATGCTAAAGAAGAATCATGTTGGAACTTTGGATACGTTATGAAAGGGTGGCCACGAGAATGGTCAGATACACGCCTTTGAAAGGAGGAATTACTAACCCCAAACACAAAACTTGGGACCAGAGTCACAAGGTCGAAAATGAGTCGTTCCTCTCTTATTAACTTCCAGACTGCTTGTTCTGCAAGCGCCTTGGACACAGCATACTTTGCCATCGACGGAAAGTCGACCCCTATCTTCGTGAATCACTGAAATTCCAAGAACCTTTGGTGTAATGCATGGGTATAGAATTGGCTGGGTCGATCATAGCAGCAGCTGAAGACATGATGACGACTCGTCTGACGTATTCTGCAACTTCGGACAAGATTGGGAGTCTCAGAAAGTGCTGGTCTGATAAACTCTTGCGAGTGGACGCCTGCGTCGTCTAGTGATAACACTCGGCTAGAGGTACGAACGACTCTAACAAGTGTCTGTGGGAAATATATGAGGACCCAATACCTTTGAAAATCCGGAGAGTAAGCTTTTCATGGTGGAGAGCGAGTCTGCGACGCAAAACTTCGGCCTCGTCCAGCTGCGCGAACGCTGTATCCCCTTTCGAGAAGCAGCCTGAGAATCTATGGTGAAATTAAGCCAGAAGCGCCCATCACGGCAAATTGAACTGTCCCTGGACGACTTGGCAGGGTCCAAGGTGCGGGGCAAGTAACCTTCATTGGGCTGAGATCTCGAAGCAAATTAAAGTCACGTCTAGGATAATATCTAGTACAAATATTGATACGCAAAATTGTGCTCCTCACTGCCTCCAACCAATATAAACGGCAAACTTGAGCAAGTCGGTGATAGTCTCCGCAGGAGGCCTATTGGAGATTCCAAGAATCCTTGCATTTTTCTCCTTGGAATAACTATAATCTGGCTTTGCGCCAGACTTTTTATATGTCGTCGGAACGGTGATTCCTTCTACGGGATTCTTTTGAACCTCGTCCACTACGTCATTTGTCAGCCTGCATTGCTTCCTCCAATTTGAAGAAGAATACTCACAAATCTCCTCCAATGTCAGGACATAGCCAACGCTGAGGATACGCTGTCCACCGGCCCCGGGCGTTGTGAGCGCTTTAATGTGTTCCAATGCCGTCTCACGGACGTCAACGAAGTCGATGGACCGTGAGAGCCACTCTGGAGAAAGATTATTAAGTACGTGTTGCTTGAGATTGCCTAAGAGGACGAAATTCGAACCACCAATCTCACTCGTGGTTTCGCTCAAAACGGGCTAGACAGACTATTCAGTAAGGAACTTTGAAGAGCGAAACGAACTCACCCCAAACAAGAACGCAGGGAGCATGAACACAACGTCGTATTTGACCTTGTTTTCCTTGAGCCAATTCCATGCCGCCGTTTCGGCTAGCATCTTGCTCGCGCCATACTTTGCGCTACCCACGTATTAGACTGACTGGTCGACTTTCAAAAGAGAAGATGACGTACAGTGATGGTGCTTCGGCGCCGTATTGCTTGACAAGCTTGACAACGCTGTGGTTCCAGTCCTCCTACATCAGAACATCAGATCAGTTCATATTACGTTGAGATAACGAGATTATACCTCTGTATAAATATGCCCCGTATCCCGGGGGTCCTTGACTGAGGCTATGGAGGAGGTGATAACTATGCGTTTGATTGAGGGAACCTTCTGGGCACTCTTCAAGATCCCGAGGGTGCCTTGAATCGCGGGTTTGATGTTTACGTCTGGATCTGCCTTGGGGTCCGACACTGGAAGAGGCGAAGCGCAATGAATCACTGCATCGATGTCTCCTGCACTGAGAGACTCGTCGAATGCGTTCTCGGCGACAATATCCTGGACATAGGAGAACTCGAGTCGGGAGGACGAGTCCGCGAAGACCTGCTTGAGGAAGTCGGCTTTGGTAGGACTGCGCACAGTCGTGCGGACGCTGAATCCTTGCTCAAGAAGATATTTGATTATCCAAGTCCCAAGGAAGCCAGAGCCACCTAGCAGAACCAATAAGCTCAAGGTACGAGCAAGTGTAAGCCACAGACCTGTAACGAGGATCTTTGCTGGAGAATTTAAAGCCGGCATTTTATGGGCGAGTTGCCTATGAGTAGATGCTGACCTTGCGTCGAAAGGTGAGGGAGGCCTTTTATACAAACAGCTTCGCTTTGGGGACCTCGCATTGCTGACGCGCGCAGGGACAAAAACCCTACATAGAATATCTAAGCTTACTGGGCTGATGACTGTAAGTTGCTCAGAGGTTCATCATCTGTGTATCTGATTGTGCGGACTGCGTACGTAGAGCTCCGAGAAGTACGGAGGAACCGCCGTCCTTTGTTCGTCAACTGGGAATGAAGTACTCCAAGAATCAAGTTAATTTAATAATTTTTCGCAAATTTGATGTCCGAAAGTGCAGGCATTTCGCGTATACTCTGCAATCAAAGTTGTAGACGACTCCAAGAGATTAACCACCTCGAACGACCCGAGATTGAGCACCTACGTGCATTTCTATTCAGGATAATACTTGGTGCATTTTCTAGCTTTGGATATTCATTGCGTCCATCCAATCGAGACGGCAAACTTGAGCAAGTCAGTAAGTGTCTCGATACCAGGCCTATTAGGAATGCCAAGGAGTCTCGCATTCTTCTCCTTGGAGTAACTAAACGGTGCCTTCACGCCACTCCTTTCATACGCTGGAATGGTGATGCCCTCGACGGGATTCTTTTGAAGCTCGTCCACTAAACCACCATGTTAGTCTATTCCATCACCTTAGGACTACTTACAAAGTTCCTCTAGTGTCCATATGTAGCTGGTGCTAAGAATGCGCTGCCCACTCGCTTTGGGGGTCATGAGTGCTTTGATATGCTCCAGCGCCGTCTCACGGACGTCGATAAAGTCGATGGGAAATGCTAACATCTCCGGAGAGAGACTATTCAGTGTAGATTGCTTGATAATACCGAGAAGGACACCATTTGAGCCTGCTATATCGCTCGTTGTTTCGCTCAGAACAGGCTGGGCAAATGAATGAGTAGAGACGTCTGGAATGTGAGACGGACCCACCCCAAACAAGAAGACAGGAAGCATGACAACGACGTCGTATTCGACCTTGTTTTCTTTAAGCCAATCCCAGGCTGCTGTCTCCGCGAGCACCTTGCTCGCAGAATACTTTGCACTGTCTTGTAGGTTATATTCACTGTTTGACTACCAGAAGAGGAGACCACGTACAGTGGTGGTGCTTCGCCACCGTACTGCTTGACAACCTTGACAATATCGTAGTTCCAGTCCTCCTGCATTTTGGCTATCAGCCTCGTTCGAATAATGCGAAGACTGATCGAATCGAACCTCTGTATACACGTGTCCAACGTCTCGGGGACTCTTGACCGCTGAAACTGAAGAAGTGATGACAACGCGCTTGACGGACGGAGATTTCTGACAACTCTTCAAGACTCCAAGGGTACCTTGAACTGCCGGCTTGATTGTCAAATCCGGGTCACCTTTGGGATCCGAAACCAATAGAGGAGAAGCGCAATGTATCACTGCATCAATGTCTCCGGCGCTGAGGGATTCGTCGAATGCATTCTCAACGGCGATCTCTGGAACGTAGGAGAATTCTAGTCTGGAGGCTGAGTCGGCGAAGACCTGTCTGAGGAAGTCTGCTTTGGCAGGGGTGCGCACAGTCGTGCGGACGGTGAATCCTTGTTCGAGAAGATATTTGATGATCCAAGCTCCAAGGAAACCAGAGCCACCTAGAAGAACGAACGTGTTTGCTCGAGAATGAGCGGAGCTGACGGTAAATTACAGACCTGTAACCAGAATTTTAGCTGAAGGATTGATAGCAGGCATCTGATGGGCGATTTCACTCTGAGCAGATGCCGGCTTGCGTAGGTAGGTGATGGCCTTCACATCTGTTTTTATAAACCTGCGCGGTCTAAACACGCCGAATAAATGAATGTAAGGTGCTCTGAAGTGATGATTTCCTGTTCTAATCCCGAATTCTGTAAATGGAATACACCCGTGGCGTACGGAGCAGCCGACCTTCCATCCGACTGGATGCAAACTTGGCCAAGAGAACCGCGATGTACGGAGTACAATTATCACCACATCCTTGTTTTACGCCTTGGCTAATTGAACGGCAAGACACTCACTCAAATTGCCCATATAGTACATCAGCAATTGGATTTTTTGACCCTACTGCTTCCAGCCGTAGTCCATAGCGGCGATGATAGAACCTCGAACCGTTTCGCTGAGGGGCCGGTATTTGACTTGCAGTATACGGTCGTTCCTTTCGTGAGATAGGGTGACTGTTGACGACCATCCATGAAGAATGTCGGGATTTCCTGTCGGTACTTCCACACCTGGAACGGGATGTTCGTGTAAAACGTTCACTTGAAGAGGATGGTTCAGATCAAAGGATTACACGTTTGGCCGTTACTTACGAATGTGCTGTCTGCAAATTGTATGAGCAGAGGCGATAATACGCTCATTACCAGCAGTAGGCGAGGTCAGAGCCCGAACGTGCTGTTCAGCAAGGTCACGGACATCAACACAGTGGAGTTCGGATATGTTCTGCAGAGAAACTGGGTCGATATCAGCGTCTTTGCCGAGATACTGAAGTAGAACCATGTTAGAATTTTGGATCGTATTATTGAAGGGAGGCTACGAGAATGGTCAAGCATATGCCTTTGAGAAGGGAGGATACTGACTCCAAACACAAAACTTGGGACCAAGGTTACAAGATCGAAAACTGGTCGTTCCTCTCTCATAAATTTCCAGGCTGCTTGTTCTGCAAGGGTCTTGGACGCCGCGTACTTTGCCGTTGACGGAGAGTCGATCCCGATATTCGCGAGGCAGCTAACATTCCAGGAATCTTCGGTGTAATGTATGGGTGTAATATCCGCTGGGTCGATTAGAGCGGCAGCCGAAGACGTGATGACGACTCGTCTGACAGACCCTGCATTTATGCAGCTTCGGAGAAGATTGAGAGTTCCATGAAGAGCTGGTCTGATAAATTCTTGTGGATGGACGCCTTCGTCACCCGGAGATGGCACTCGACTGGCGGTATGGACGACTCCAGAGACGTCCTTGAGTGCTTCTGGGAAAATATCTGGGGACGCAATGTCTTCGACAACCCAGAAGTCAAGTTTTTCCTGATGAAGGGCGAGTCTGCGACGCAAAAAGTCGGCCTCGTCCAGATTCCGTACAGCTGCGCGAACGCTGTATCCTCTTTCGAGGAGAAGTTTCAGAATCCACGACCCAATGAAGCCGGAAGCGCCTATCAGGGTGAATTGAACTGTCCTCGAACGACTTGGCAAAATCCAAGGTACCTGTGAGCAAAATCAAGGAATTCGAGGGTGTTACAGGCATTTCACTGAAGCAACGAGTTGATTCAGAGTTGGTATGCCCTTTATGCAGACGTCGAACATCCAAGCCCCGCTTTCTTCGTCAGCATGGTAAGGCACATCTACGGTAAATAGAGGACACCCATTCACGTGCCTATTCATCTGGCATTAGCCACCGACACGCCGAGGTAAGCTTAACTTCAGTAGAAAGCCTATTAGTACATTGATATTCACGGTTGCAGTCCTAGCGGTCGCCATACGATGCCAAGTGTGTTCTATACAACCTCTGCTGATAGCTGATGGTCACTGAAAACGCGGAAATGCCAAAACGGAAGCCAGACGCCTTCCTCTCAACTTGGACCTCCCCGTTCCCATCTATACGCTCGCTGGGCGGGTCGTTCTTTTAAACCACACTCAAAGCGTCTGTCGATATGGGGGGCTGCTTCTCCTCTTCTGCGATCCCAGATGAACGCACACGACAAGCTGAACAGGTTATGCGAGAAGTAATGCGAGCCAACGGAATAAGTGACTTGTGTTAACATAGTAATAGGCAAAGAAGTCGCTTCAGAATTATACCAAAGTATGCAGCTCTTTGTACTCGACTCCAATGTTTTGAACAACCTCTAGGTTCTGCTCCTAGGGACTGGAGACTCGGGGAAATCGACAATTCTCAAGGTGACAGCGACACATGAGCCCACGATTCGGGTACTGATCTTTTGGCAGCAAATCCGACTCATCAATCAGGTCCCGTTTAGCCCTGAAGAAGTCGAAGGATTCCGGCATGTCATCTTCTCCAATCTCATCACCTCTATGATCATGCTCTATGACATTATTGAGGATGAGTCTCTGGATCTCGACTGTTCAGACGACATTAGGGTACGTCGACTGCATTGAGCTTTAACACGCCGCCTATTCACAAAGCTAATGTCATACGCCACCTCGCTTCAACCGTGATGGCAATCGATAATCTGTCCCTGTTACACCCCCCGACAACGACGGCCTTGAACCTTGCGTTCTCACAGCATTTGTTTGCCAGCATTCAAGCCGCGCCTGACATCTCGGCGGGGAAGCCATATCCCGCTGAATATCTAGGGATTCTGCAAAACCTGTGGAATGATGCCAGTGTGCAGAAAGCCGTCCTCTTTGGTGCCAACCTTGCGCTGCCTGACAAGTTGAGTACGACATTGGGGTTCTGCCCGAGGCCCACCGCTTCTGACATTCCGACCTTGATCCAGTGTAACATAGTAAGCGTTAGCTTCGATGCCCTTCTTGTGCCCTGACGGGAGCCAATCCGGTAATTTAGCTTCTTCGACAATTTGCCTAGACTTTTCGCACCAGACTACATCCCTACCCAGCAGGTACGTGGCTACTTCTGCACCTGTTTCCATCACGCTTACGAACCATCCCAGGACATTCTGCATTCTCGGGTCCGTACAACCGGAGGTGAGTGTCCCCACTGTTGATGATTTGCCAATTTTACCCATTGTCCGCCCCGACTAGTGAGTGAGACGCAATTCGTCTTTGAAAAGCGAACGGTCTCCGTCATTGACGTCGGTTCGTCTGCCTCGCGTATCCACGTCACCCCACTTGCTAACTAATTCCGACAGGTGGTCAACGTTCAGAACGCCGGAAATGGATCCATTGCTTTCAAGACGTGACCGCGATCCTCTTTCTTGTTTCACTCTCGGGGTATGATCAGACACTGACCGAGGATAGACAGACGGTACGTCACGCATCGCATCTCCGTAGCGACGGCACCGAGCTCGTACTCATCGCACCCATCGACAGAACCAAATGCTCGACGCCATGACAGTCTGGGAATCCATCTGCGCGTCCCCGTGGTTCGAACGGACCAATTTTGTACGTTGGTCCCTCTTCGTTTATTGATACACAGAAGCAAACTCACACTTCGCCTCACCCTCTAGATTTTGTTCCTGAACAAGGAAGATTTGTTCAAGCAAAAAATCATACACTCGACCATTCGGCGTTTCTTCCCCGTGGGTGGTTTCGCGGCATCACCTCTCCGGTGGCAAGGAACTGATTGCTTGCTATACTCAGGATTTTGATGGTGTGGATGGTGACTACCAGGCGGGAGAGAAGTATTTCAAAAGACGTTTTACATTCCTACACAACAAGGGCATCCAGACACTCAAGAGCACGGTTGATTCACCCAACCGACCAAAGATTCCGATTCCATCAGAGACCCTGGATATTCGCAAACTGTACACATAGTAAGTCTCTCCTACTTTTCTGGCGCAGGCGTGCTAAATAGACGGTTAGCTTCACCACAGCGACGGTACGTCTATAAAGTGGCCAAAGGGGGTAACAAGCTCACGCAGCTGTATAGGACACCGACATGGTTCGCAAGGTCATGGCTAGTGTCAACGACATTATTCTCATGGATAACCTTGCGAATAGCTTCATGGTCTGAGCCGATCGAGTTTCTTACTGTCACGCCTTTTATTTTCGCTGCCCATCAGCTGTATCATTAGATTTACGTTACAATCTAGATCTCCGTGGTTGGACCAAACTCCGTGCATGATATTAGATGAGAAGATACGTGAAGATAAAGCAGAGATGGACAACACTTGCCCACCCTATATGCAAACATGAAGAACCGTAAAGTCATCTACGCGTCCGAAAACTTTGCGCGCATCGCCGTCCCAAACTCGGTACCATAAAGTGTTCGGGCAGCTGGTGGCGTCTCATCAATGGGGAGCAATAAACTCCTCGTTACGATCGGTGTCGACGACTGCGACCCCCTTGCATCGTCGGGTGGTGCACCCAAGTCAAGAACAGGGATCCCATCTCCCAGGGGTGTGGGCGGTATGTATTCCAAGTCGGGTGTCGCTCCAAACATGTCTCGTATATCCAAAGGCCGTTGGGGCGTAGGCGTCTTTGTCCCCGACGCACCAAGGGTTGCAGGCACATCCTTGTCCGCGCCACCCACACTCTTATACGAGTCGGGTGGCCGAGCGTACGGATGACTACGACGAGCACTCTTGTTTCCGCGCGGAGCAGAACGTTTCGCACGAGAATGCGACCCCGAAGCTACCACATCAGGATACTCCGTCTCAGAGTATGATTGCGGCTCCGGGGACGACTCCACGGCAATCGGAAGCGGGTCTACAGGACGCGATTCCAAATGTGGCACCAAATTGAAGCCCAGAGGTTGGTCAAGATGCTCCGATTTGACATTTAGGGGCGTCGAATCCGCACTTATCGTCCTGTTGTCGTCATGTCCAGACGTCTCCTCTTCTGAAGAGATACTTCGACCACGCTTTGATGGTTCACTATCGCGCAGCCGTTTAGACGAGCTGTTCGAATAGGCACCATGAGTGGGGTTCAACGAGCGGTAGAGAGAACTTTGACTCCCCGACGCCGAATCGTCTGGATCATATCGGACAAGCGTGCCGTGCCCTCTTGATGGACGCGTTGGACTTGGAGTTTCGTGTGGGTTCAAAGGGTAACGACCGAATTGCGGCGGTGGTGTCCTCAACTGCTGCGCACGATCTCTGTGTGTGCTATCAAAGATTCTCTGAGACACTGGAACGTCGGTTTTGGTTTCCCGTCGGGCATGGAGGTTTGGTGGAGTTTCAAATTTTGGAAAGGTGATCCGAGGACGAACCATTGCTGCATCTGCATCCGAGGAAGATATTGATGCCGCTGCAGGAGCGCCAGACTGAAACCTTCCCTCTAAGAGTGCCAACCGATGGAAAATGGCGGTCATATCCTCAACGGTGGGAGCCTGGTAAGGGATCAGTTGGAGATGCGAAATGAATGTATCTCAAATCATACGCTGTCCAATCGCCGCCTGAGTTGGTTATTTTCCCGAATGAGCCCCGAGATATTGTCTTGTGCCTGAGATAACAAGTTTCGCAGAGTCGCTATTTCGCTCTCTTGTCTTGATTTTTGCAAATCATGTGAAGCTTCGAGGTTCTTTATCCTACTCTCCAACGTCCAACTCGACGTCGACTCGGGATGCGCAGACGTTTGCCGTCCAGGCGACCGCTGTGGCGACGATGACGAGACCGAAACGCGATCTCCTTGCGCAGTAGCGACTAGCCGGAGTTATTAGTCTTATAGCACCCGAGCCCGTACCGAACAACTTACACGTCGCGTCTTCCATCTCGTGGTCCTGCTTGATTTCTTCCGCTCGTCGGTACTTGGCTTTACTAGGCTGTCCCTGTGGAACAGAGTCGTGTTTGGAATTGCCAACAACCCGTCCCTTGGGTTTCACACCCGTTGGGTTCGCCGCGACAACACCGGGAGGGATAACCGTCTTCGGCGCGAAACGGGCAGTGGGTTTGGCACCGATCGGAATTTTAGAAGTCTTTGAAGGCGCTGTCATATGATTTTGTTGGCGCATTCGCGCGGTAATCGTAATTTCCGCTGGTGGAGACGATAATTCAGAACTCGATGTCGAGCTGGGCGTCGGCTTGCGCTCCTCTTCGTCGTCTCGTCGAGTAAACTGAATAGCATTCGTGTTCGATGGCGTCGTAGTACGTGCAAGTTGTCGTGTTCTATGGAGAGGCCTTATTTACGACACATACACAAAGGGGGAAAATAACAAGACAACAAACCTGACTTTTATAAGCTCTCCAATGAGTGCATCCGTCCTAAGGTTCGCTTTGATATTGTAATCCTGGCCGAAGAGCAAGTCAGCGCCATCGCCACAAAGGAGACTGGAAAGCAGGAGCGACCGATATCACGATTACGCGATGACAAGTAGAAATACAAAGAGCATACTTTGGCTAGTTTCTGTAGATCCGCCCGTCTCATGCACTGCAGTTGTTCCAGGGTTGGAATGCGACGCGAAGCCATGTTGTAGATCGACGAGGATCACCAAAGTCCTAAATGTCGATTATTATAACGGAATTATCTTCAATGACGCGTCTAAACCGCGCGTTTCTCGTCGCGCCACTTGGGATTTGGATTGTTGTGGTTTGGAAAACTCGGGACCGGCGACGGAATATAACTCCCCTTGACGAAGAATATCGTAATGTATCCAAGGACCACGGAGACGCGCCGCAAAAGCCCAGCGCCGGCGGTGGTCGTGGCCAAGTTGTGCTTGTCCGTCAGGATCTCCATGATGATCGACCAAACCGGCGTCTTTTTGGTAATCAAAGGAAACGTCTGGGGTTATATTTTTGTGAGTTTGCTAGACATACAAGATCGAATAAGTCAGCAGGAAACACGTCTGGCAATGGATTATGCAAAGAGCTAGTTAAAAAGCGCGCTCCAGTGTGGGATGTGCGCGGCTGGGGGTTGTCCGTTTTTATGGGCGGGCTAGGTGAGGGAGGAATAATACAAGAACAGGAATATAGTCAAGACGGAGAGAGAGGGGGGAGGGCAAAAATAAGAGGTCGGAGTAAATCCCAAGAGAAGGACGCGCAGGGACGAAAAAAAGGACGGGAACAAGGTCGGCTCCCCAACTGTTCAGTTTCGTGCGGTTGATGGCGACGGAGAGAGGGGCCATGCGGGGTATCGGTATCATGCATAAATATCATGAGAATAGCGGATAAAGTCGTTTTGAGATGAAGGGACAGCGTTTCGTGAACGAAAAAGCACCCTGGCGGCCTCGCGAGTGAGCGGAGAGGGCAGCGCGGCAGCGCCTTCCGTGCTTCACCGGCAAGCAACCGTATATCAAAAAATGATGGCCCATAGCACGGTGTGCAACTTCCAAACTGTCGCTTGTCCCCGATGTCACAGCCAACACGTCTCCAACGAGATCAGGCACCTCGATGTCGAAGAGGCGAGGCTTGGTGTGACGGGCAAGCGGAGCGCGGTGGCTGGCTAGTAATCGGATAGGTACGTAGAAAGATTTCCATACGTTTCATGACCAAAAAAAAAGCTTCACGTGGTCGTAGATGTGGACCTGAGAAGTCGGGTAGAGTAGTTGGGACTGGGTATGCTGGAGGCGCCGAGCGGCGTGGAGCAGGAGAGCCTGCTCGATTGAGCAAAAGCGCACCAAGACGGTGGTTGACAGTAAGCGTACTGGAGAATGCTAGATGTATAGTGTCGTGATAGCGGTCGTAGATATCTGGTGCGGTAAAATAAGCGGGTCAAATGAGTGGAGAGGGTGGTGCTGCTGATTGCACGAGCCTCATGGAGCAGTGGGCGAATGTGGGAAGCGACCGTATTGGATCGACGCCTTCATAGACTGGGATCGCTGGAGGGATTTACGGGGAGGGTATCCATCCGATTCAGATGAACCTCCCCCGGCGTCAGTCTCCATCTCGTCGTCTTCGTCGTCGTCGAGCTCATCAACCTCCATCCCTGCATTCTCAGGTCCGTTGGAACCGATCCAACGTGCTGGGTGATGGTTTGAGCGACCTTGTGGGTGGGACTGACGGCGTGACGACGTGCTCCCAAGCGAGGAAGGCCCACCACTGCCCCTTCCGCTGTCTCCGTGTAAATCATGATCACCGGATCTCCTCGAAGGCGGCATAGAACGGGGGCCGGTGCTTTGGCCTGACTGGTATTGCGAGGTCTGATCCTCGTCTGGTTGGACGACCATCATGTTGCCATGCGTGCGAGCATGCCGTCTCATGTTGGACATGACACTAAAGCGACGTCCACAGTTGAGAAAGGGACATTGAAACGCTGTGAAATTTGAGCGGAGAGGGGAAAGCGAATAACGTTAGCGTGAGGGCGCAAGCCGGCACGAGGCGGGTGATGCTCACGTTTGGCTCCGGTGTGTGTATTGATGTGAATCTAAGGGCAAACGTTAATCATCGCACACGCCAAAACCGAGGATTATTGCATCCGATCACGCACCCTGAGCGAGCTGGGCCGATTGAATCTCTTTGAACAGTATTCGCACTCGTATTTGCCATAGCCAGGTTTGGATTCATCGCCCTCGGACGAGTTTGCGCTGCGGGGTCGGCTGACCGTAGTAGGGTAGACCCCATGAGGGAAGGAAGAGGGTGGCGCACGATCATGACCGCGGGAAGGCGAAGCATGCGTCGAACTTTCAGAGCTATAGGGTCCAGGGACAGCAGGTGCAGTAGCAACGTGCGGCAGAGCAGGGTATTGACCAGTCTGGCGGGACGAAGCATAAGGGTGGGCCGTGTATTCATGAGAGGATGACGAAGGCGGGTACTCCATGCTACTTCGGGACGTGCCGCTCATGGATCGACGACCGCCCCAGGCGTGGGACTGAGCAGTGTCCACGTCGGACAGCGCGCTGCTCGGCGGGATGCTGTGAGCATGACTACGTGCAGAAGGTGAGGGATGCTGCACATCGTCGGCTACTGTATGCACCGGACTTCTGCCGACGTGTCGTCGCTGCTGCTGTTCGTCGACCGAGTCTGAACGTAGACGAGGGTATAGACTAGGATGAAGTGGCGCCGAGTCGAGGAACGAGTGATAGGACGAGTGCACAGACGATCTCCCGGATGGTCCCACACGGGAATGCGCCTCTGTATCCGACACGGCTCTGCCGCGATTTGCAGGCGTGAATTCTGGGATCGCCGCGGAAAGTGGAGGCAGCGCGTGGGCAAAAGAGGCTTCGGTTGGCGACTGGGTAAGCAGTGTTGAAGAGCGAGAGTTTACTGGAATCATGGCAGCTGGATACGGTGTCGACGCTCTCGTGCCGCGAGGAGAAGGCGAAGGACGTCGTGTGCGGCCCACTTCGCCATACTGGGATTGGGGGGAAGCGCACACGTGAATAATCAGTGGTCTAGAAATGGTGAAAAAAAAGCGATACATACTTGACCAGAACTAAAGCTGTTGGATCGCGATGGACTTCTGGCTTGATCCAACGAGCTGGGCGACGACGCGCGCACGGCCTGGCGAGAATACGCAGATGGAGGAGGTCCTATAGCACGTGGTGGCCGATGGGCACCTGCAGCGAGCGAATCGAGCTTGTCTGGACAAATCGTCAGGTCTGTGCCGCAGGAGGGCGATGGACAAGGAAACGGAGACGGACCGGTTGCCTTGATGCCAAATAGCTCTGTAATACTCGGGAGTGCGCTCTGGAGGGATCCATGGGCGTCGTCGCTGTCGTCCATGACGAGGACGCTGGACGAGGGCGTCGGGGGGAGGATTGGATAGCCCGTGGTCGAAATAATGGTGGAAAACTCAAGCTGAAAACGAGGCCAAAGTAGCGTTGGAGGGGATATACAGGCGTGACGGAGGACGCGGTCGGAGACAAGGTATCGTTGCTTGTTTGGCTAGGCAGCACTTGATGGTAACTAACTCGGGCGGACGATCGCGTGTCGGAAACGCTTACAGTGGGCTTTTTGAAGACGATCAGGACCCGCCTAATGTGTTCATCTCGCATGCTATAGGAGCTGTCTCGGTAGCTACCGTTTTCAGGGATTCTCACGCACACTAATTTTATTACATTTTTTGGTTACATTTGTTAGATTTTTCAAGATATTTCGAGACGCCGTGGCAGTTACCTGTGCTCCACCTGCCGCCTTGCTCTTTCTCTCTCCTCCACTTTCCATAATTCCCCCCTTTTTGTGATTCTGTCGTATTCGGAACGGTGCAAGTTGCAGAGAATATCCTCTCAGCAGCCACGCCCGCTCGTCTTGTCGCCCCCTAAGCGTCTCCCGCTCCGCCGGGCCCTCGTGCCACGTCTCGTCCGCGCGCCTCGAAAGTTGTTCTGCTGGTTGTTCTGGCTCAAATTACCCTGCAAAATGCAGACGTCCATTGACCTGTTATTTGACCCCAGTGAGGACGCTGCCATCCACTGGGCAGCCCGCACTGGTTTGGAACATGCCTTGGACCTTCGGACGGCTGAGCAGCTCTACGCTCGTGCCCTCCCATATCTAAAGACTTGGGCGTGGGCTCTTACTACAAAGCATGGTTGGACACAGGACGCCGTCGACAACGTCGGCGACATGCCACTCGCGGTCTGGTGAGTCGACCTTTGCGCCCAGTTTCCCAACAACTCCAATCCACAGACCCCCCCGCTGACGCACCGCCCGCAGTATTGGCCGTGACGAGCTCATCCAAGGCGATAATGGCGACATTTCCTACGTTGCCAGGTCAGTCACAAAGGGTTCCTTGTCTCATCTTGCCACCGCCTTCTCAACACAGTTCTTTTGTAGGCTCGTCTTGCCCGCAAACTTTACAGACTTGCTCAATCCCGAATTTACACACGACTGGGCTGCCATGTTTAGCCATCTCACGAATGCCCTCGCCCCCGCCTCCACCACCACCGATATTTTTGACCTCGGCCGTGCTGGATTTCCACGCCCACTTCAGAACATACTCTATCTCTTGCAAGTATTGTCCCCCGGCCTCGTTCTCGTCCGCTCTGTGACGACAGACGATGATCAAGGCACAGAATGGGGTCCCCAAGGCGCGTTCGGCCTTTTGTCGCCCCCCAGCCACGCGGTGTACTGACTTGGCCCTTCCCACACAGGCATCGACCTCGTTGCCTTGCCGCCATCAATCTGGGTTGGCTTGCATATTGAAGATCTCGAAGACATCTTTGGTGCCCAAACCGCCGTCAAGCTTTACCAGACTGCAGAAGACCCGTATTGCTCGTCTGAAGATGCCTCTGCTGCTAGTAGCTATGGCTCGCAAGACGCATTCGACTCGTACACTACGCTCAACTCGGACCACTTTGAGGATAGCTGGAACGAGTTTGAATTCCCCACCGACTTTGCACGCGACGAAGACGCACTCAGCTTCCAGAGCTTCCAGGAGCCCGCGTCCTACTTGCCCGCTGACGAGCAGAGTGCTACCCACGACACTTCGTTCTTGGCTCAGTCGGGACAACACCTCGCCGAACATCACCTGATTTCCGACTTTGACGGAAAGGATTCGAACCTGATGGAATATAGGCACTGTGACGCAGACTGCAACTATTGTGGAATGTGCTCCAGTCGCTTTGCCGAACGCCTTACGGAGCGCCTGTTGATGCATGGCTCTCTCTTGACAATCTAAGGCGGTCGACGACCCCCATCCACCATTCCCCCAATCCCCCCCCATCCCCCCTTGGAAGGAGGCTTAAAGCAAATTTCTCCTCTTCATTCTTACCCAACCTTTTTCTTCCATTCTTCTTGCAACAAACCACTTTTTTTGGCCTGCAAAAACTTACGAAATCTCAAGAAACCCCCAAAGCAAACCAAAGCTAGACTCTCCTTGAAGCCTCAACTATACAACTCGCGAAAACGGGAGGCCAAATTCCCGCGCGGTTATACGTCTAAGGACTGATTTATTCAAAATACATATTGTACTCGAAATTTGCGAATCGGCGAAGGGCGAGCGGTTTGCCCGAGTCACTTCCATCCCCCTCCACCCACCATCCATTATCACCATCCACCATCCACCATCCATCCATCCGTCCGTCCAAATTCCCCCACCACTCTACGCAAGCTCCCCAAAGTTCATCCTCGTCCATCCCTCTAGTGTGTTGACAAACAAAGCATCAAATCGAGCTGGAATAGTCCGTTGCTAGCCGCCTGTGGATGTTCGTACCCTATATGATGAACTGCGTTGTATCGTTATTGACCGTGCTTTGTGCCTCCCCTTTGAGCTGTTGAGTGATCGTGGATCGTGTGCCATGTCGGGCTGTTTCGGCTCGGTGTTAGCAACGCGGTTGTTGTGGGACAGCAAAGGGTCGATTGATCTTCGTGAAAGAGGAAGCGTGACCATTAGTGGAAGCGAACTCTGTGTCCTAGAGACGGTGGCGCTGTGTCGTCTCATTAATTTTGAGCACTTGATGGTTCAGGTACACAGTCATGCGGTAAGATCAGATCAGCCGCCCCCCGATTTGCGCCTCTGTGTCTGAGACGGAATGGTGCCTCTGATTTCCGGTGGTGAGTGTGGCGACCAGAAGCTAACCTCGCCACGACCGGGAGTTTGGTTGGCTCGACGACGAGACGACCAGAAGATCAAAGAAATAAGGTTATACAAAAACGAGAGAATAGCGAGCAGACATGGCTTCGTCGCGAATCACACAAGACGAGTTTGAGAGTGCGATTCGTGGCTTCGATGCCTTGTTTTCGAATGATCTCGACGGTGCTACGCATGTTTTTCGTACGTTTGCTTTTTCTTCTCACGGCCTCTAACGAACAGAGTCTCTGATTTCGCATGCGCTGTATTCATGGGTCGTGAGATAGGTTCCAATGCATCGCCACTTCATTTACTCGGACTTGGCGCAACTGTCTTTCTCCAGGCGGCGCTCGGACTCGAAGCAAATTTCATCAAACAGGCCGCAGACCTCCTTTCACAGGCGGAGAGTGCGATCAGCCAGCGACGAAAGGCCGCCAAATCCCTTGCATCTTCGTCTGTCGGTAAATCCAAGGAGAATGTGATTCGGTTTCCGGTTGGGACGGAGTGGGATATCTTGCATGCGGATGTCGTCGTCCTTCAGGGTATGGTTCATACTCTCTCGGAATCATACTATGGTTCGTCGTCGTGGTGTTGCGTGTGATTTTGTATTGACTGCGTGTAGGATACTTGCAAGCCCTGTATGTGTCTCACGTGTTTCCACCTCTTCACGAGCTCATGAAGCCCTGAGGTTAGGTATGCGCTGAATTCTGCGCATTCAAAGTTTGTCAAGTAAACATAGATCTTTCGTCATAAATGCTTTTCTGACAAGGCATCGTGTAGGCTTCAAAAGAACATCTTCCCGCGTGGGTTTGATGGGCATAAACCATTCATTGCAACAACAATGAAGCAATCACCTGATTCTTCATCCCCGTCTACATCTGCAATCACATCCGCACCAACACCGTCTCGGCCGTCTCTGCCCAAAGCAAAATCGGCTCCGGCTGCCAGTGGATTGTTCACGAGATTGGTCGGTACGCAAGAAAAGACAATAACCTCGACCTCGTCAAGCTCTCAAGGGGTTGTGGAAGAGCAGCCCCCAAATGGATACATAGAAGAGCTAGTTGTTTGTGGCGCTGCCTTTGGTGCTTCTTGTTCTTACTTCCTTTCCCTGCTCGGCTAACTCCTGTCAAGGATTTGGACTGTTCAACCTCATTTTCAGCTTTCTTCCGGCAAAGGCACGGTACGTCTCCTAACGAAATGGGTGTAGGAAGAGTTGGTTCAAATTTGTTCCTAGTGGACTTGCTGGGATACTAGGATACAAGGCAGATCGTGCCCTTGCCCTACGCTCCTTGGCCGTCTCAGCCGCTGCTTCTTCAACAGACCCTCATGCAGTCTTTTCTGGGTACGTCAAATATGGAAAGTGTTCAGATCCAACTAAAATTCTTTAGGGTAAGGATTCACATCTAGAATGAGAAAGTGTTCTCATCATGCCTAGCTCGTCCTCATTACCTACCATAGCTTACTGCTTCGTCTCTTAAGCTGGCAAGCTGACGAGGGTCGGATAGTAACGGAATATCTGGAAATTGTGAATAGGTGTGTCGCTTCTCGATAACCTTGCCGTGAATGCCGATCTTGGAAAGGCTTGAAGCTCGACATCCCAAAGGCGCATTATGGATCCTGAACAGGGTAGGTTGACACGCAAAAGCCGCAAAACACATCAAGCAACTGCTCCATAACAGGCCAAGATTTGCCATTTTACTGGCCGCTCAGACGAGGCAATCTCTGCTCTCCAGATTGCACTCGCACCCGTTGAGACACAGTCAGAAACAAGCAGTACCGAGAAACCCTCGACGTCTCCAGATGCCTCCGACGCAAAATTAGGAACCAGCGGGTTTATGCAGTCGACTCACTTCTCGTTTTCGAACTCGCGTGGATATTACTCGCACAGGCACGATACAAAGAAGCTGCCGAAGCCTTTCTCAGAATGCTACACGTTAGCTCATGGTCTCCTGCAACGTACACGATGCTGGCTGCAGGTACCCTGGGCCTTTGCTCAACAATGTGCCGAAAATACTGACTATGGTCCAGGATGTTTCCTACTGGCTGGAGGAAAGGATGATGCACAACTTCTTCTCGATCAAATGCCCCTGAACAAGTCAGACAAGAAGGGCCCTGGTGGGCCGTTGCCCACTGAGGCCTATATAAGTTATAAGAGTGACTCTTTCTCGCTTTTTCCATTGCTTCTACTAATAAACGTCTGCCAGTGACAACGTGGAAGGAAAAGGCAACCAGACAGAAAGGTGAAACTCGACTTGTGGACGTTATCGGCGTTAGTCCTGTAGACGGTGAGGCTCAACGATTTGGTGAAAGTAAAAGTGTACTGATTATTCGTAGAAATGGCCATAAGTCCGCACACTCTATGGCGCTGAGAGTGGCGCTAACGCCCCTTTAGTGTGGAATAATCATCATCGAGCTGATAAGTCGGTGATAACTGAGAAAATCGGATACCTTTCGAGCTTGCAACCACCACCAAGCATACAGACGTTGTCGACAGGCGAATCATCACAGGTCCAGCTAGACGGAGAGGAGCTGGCCTCGCGTAGCTTGCTTCTCGGTGTTTTCCATGGGAGTCTCGGGGCATTCTCTACTGCTCGCCACTTCCTGGAAGAAGCGACAGCAACGCACGTAGACGGACCCAACAGCTGGGTCGCTCCCACTGCGATATACGAACAAGCGATCCTAGATCTACAGGAAACAGAAACACAGGTATCACAACTAGAGAGTAACGATCCCGCTCGTCGGGAGCGATGGAAGACGACATTCGACCGCGTGATCCCGAGGCTAGAACGCGCGACAGCTCTCGCATCCAACTCGACGAATCTAGCCGCGAGAATTGAGAGCAGAGTAGGGATGCTAAAGGACGAAATTGCGAGCAAGCGAATAGCGCTGGGCATCTAGGACTTCTTGCGGGTTGACGATTGTAACCACGATACTTCTGACTCGGACTCTAATTATGCTTCGTGTGCTGGTTGCAAGTGGAGAAGCGCCTGTCTTCAGTCCCATCCTCGTTGGGGTGTTTCCACAGTTCTCTTTCTAGCGATTGTTCCAGCGTTGTTACATCATCGAAATTTCCCTCAAATTCGAACAAGGGCGAAAATATGAACGAGATTTCTGAGGACGAGTATAACCATGCATCGCAAGGCGTAGAAGCGCTTCTTGCGGGCGACCTCCAGCGAGCTATCCAGGCATTTCGTAGGTCGCCAGTGAGAGTAGTTTATAATAGTCACTCATGTCACAGAGTCGTCCGAATCTCCTCTCGACCAACTTGGCCTAGGCGCTTCCGTGCTGTTACAGATATGTCTTTGCTTCAAGGGCGTCAACACACAGCAAGGGAGTGACGCGCTCAAGAAAGCAGAGGAAGAACTCAGTCGACGACGCAAGTCCGCTGCCGCAACTCCCAAAACGGCGAATAGCGCGTCGAGGTTCCCGCCTGGTCTCGAGTGGGAGATTCTCCATGCCTATGTCGTCGTCCTCCAGGCACTGTTTCATACATTTTCTCAGTCGTACTATGGTCAGCTTACTGGCGACGATGTCTTGGTGGCTATCGGCTGACTCAACGAATCCTTCATAGGTTTTTTGCAAGCGATGTGCGTTTATACTGGCAAAGACATCTAATTCTAATCGTGATCCTATAGCTATGAGGTTAACTCTGCACACTCCAAGTTTGTCAAGTACGTCGACTCGTGGTGAATTTGACAACCGCTCAAGACATGCAGGCTCCAGAAGGTCGTCTTTCCTACTGGAATAGAGCACAAGATGCCGAAAGGACATGCCACCCTAGATGTCTCCTCCAAGGCCGAGATCTCGTCCCCACCAACCACGCCTTCGACTCCGACCTCGGGATTCTTCTCGCGCATCATTGGGTTCCGAAGCAGGGAAACCACCGCCCCTTCCCAATCAGAAGGAGACGAGAAGAATGAGCAACAGGATCTTGATGGCTTCCGTGAAGAGATGATTATCTGTGGAACCGCATTTGGCAAGTACATCTAATGGTCGCACCCAATTATCTAAACAGGCTATAGGATTCGGTCTCTTTAGTCTAATCGTTAGCTTTCTTCCCCCAAAAGCAAGGTTTGTCATTCCGGGCAGTCCTGCTATGGTCATTGAAGCGCCAAGACAGGAGTATCGCTGGCGTATTCGGATACAAGTCTGATCGGAAAATGGCCTTGAGAGCCTTGTCATTTGCCGCGTCAGCATCCAAGACCATGAACGATCCTTTCGCTATTCTATCTGGGTAAGCTATGCTATTGTTCTCTATACACCACTAGTTAAACCATCTCTAGGGTAAGCTATCTACTTTACGCTGAGATCCATGCTAGAACCAGTCACAGCTTGTCGTAGTCTTCTATCACGGATACCTACCCCGGTCTCTAGCTTGGCAAGCCGATCTTGCAGTACTTAATTCTGACGACCTGGAGATTATACAAAGGTATGCCATACTATTCATCGAGCGCATGATACTCATGTACCGCAGGCTAGGGGCTCGTTACCCAGCAAGTCTGCTCTGGGTCGTTAGCGAGGTTTGTCGGGTCTCTGACTGAATAACGTCGCTAAATAGTGCACAGGCTCAGATATACCACGCGAATGACCAACCCAAGAAAGCGATTTCGCTCGTCGAAGGAGCTCTATCGACTTCGACCAATTCAATCAAACTTGGTTCCACATTTTCTAAAGGAAATGGTCAGCCAGCCAGACTCATTCAACTTGACCAGATGATGCTCTCGGAATACGTCTGGTTTCTCATGTCCCAGGGTCGCTATCTGGATGCGGGTATTGGGTTCTGCGAGATGCTGCGATTAAACGGATCGTCTCGCAACCTTTGAGACTAATGATAGCTGGTGTGTACGCCCGCGAGCTTGAATTACATGTGACTGACGAGTAGATTATTAGGTTGCTACATTCGAGCTGGGTACACGGAATTAGCACAAGAGACATTAAAACAGATCGTGGCTTCAATGGAGAAGAAGAAGAACGATGGTCACAAAACCGATAGCAACTCGATTCCCAACGTGTTCTTGAACCACTGGAGTGAGTAGCCTTCACTCAAAGGCAAGAGAGGAGTGCTCAAAGATTATACCAGTGGAGCTATGGGAGGAGAAAAGAGCAAGACGAGGAGACGATGCCGAGCTGGTCGATGTCATCTCAGTTAATCCCGTGGATGGTGAGTTCTTTCTCCGAGACAAACCGCGGTGACTTATTGTTAGAGTTGGTTATCGGTAATACGAATAGGAATTCAGAGATCTAGCACTGACACATGTCCATCAGTATGGGACAACTTCTACAGAAACACAAGCGACAATACACAAGCGATAGTTTGCGAATTGTGCGTCTGGAAGCCACGCATTCATATTCACGATTCGTCTATCGCGCAGTATGAGGGGGTTTCCATAAAGGAGGAGAAAGAAGACTCTTTCGAAGACCTTGCGGAATCCAATATGGATTTGAACACTCCAGATGAGAGAGCATCACGATGGCTCATCCTTGGAACACTCTACGGTACTCGCGGTGAATCCGAGACCGCCAGAAGCTACCTACGGGACGCCATGGAGGGCGAAACAGTGTGGATAAAGACCTGGATCTCCCCGCTGGCAGCGTATGAGCTGGCGGTCGTTGATTTGCGTGAGGCGGAAGCTGGAGACACCGGTGCAAAGGAGGGAGAGCAAGAGACTGCGCAAGCGCGAAAGGAACGCTGGAGACAGGCATTCCTCCGCGCGACAAGTTCTTTAGACCGCTGTGCGACGCTAGTCGCAGGGACAGCACTTGCGGGACGATTGGAGAGCAAGGTGGACTTGACGAAAGACGAAATTGCTCAACGGCGCGCTATGTTGGGGTTGTAGGAGGACAGACAGTACAATAGATCTCGGAATCAGACGCTATTTATGGTCATCGAGCCACCTCCGGACGTCCTTTTTCGTGAGCAGCTGGGAGGGTCGCAATTGGTCCGCTTGTGAGCGTGGTCGGTAGAGGCGCATGATGAGGCCACAGACGAGCCACACGTCATCGTAGGAAGCATCGAATAGCTCCCACCAACGGAGTTCGCTTTCACGCTCAGAGGGGAGTGGTAGTTGAAGATGCCTAATGACGAGGAAAATGGAAGCGCAGACGATGACTGGAATAGGGTATATGGCGTACACAGGGGTTTGAAGTCTATTGATAATAAGCGATTGTGACTCGGTGTTATGTACACTCACGCATCGTTCAGGTAGCCCCATGCCATTTGGCAAGCCTTTCCATCGTCGAGGAGGTTCAACACGCGCAGGTAGTTGACGAGCGTACCATATGGTAATGAGACGTCTACGTAAAAACCCAATCTTTTGAGAAGTTGCATTTCCGCGACGATGAGCGCGTCTTTCATGTCATAAAACGTTTGAGAGAAGTATGACATTGGCTCGTAGTGAAATGTTGAAATGTCGTGTGACTTGAGATGTTTCGCTTGCTGTATCAGAAGATCATAGACGTTGATAACGTCTCTCATCCGCAGAGGGCATTCCTCGAGTTTGGATGCAAGGTAGAGTGCTCCCATGCCAATTTCCTGAACCAGTATCAGATATTAAACCTTGGCTAGGCTATGCTCACAGCAATTCCATACTTTTCCATCGAGCTCGTGTACCAAAACCGTTGGAAGAGGACTTGGGCAGTAGCCATTGCAACTTGCTTCCTGCAATAGTCAATACTGTGCAGAATTTCTTGGACGATTCTCACTGCTTGAGCAAGATGCCCGCTTGCTGTATCATTTTTGCTCCATACGCTCTGAGATCGTCTTCGAGGTCGGCTGGGATCCCATCTCGTCTTGAGGGGGTTTCCTTGATCTGACTCAGAGTTGCAAGAGGTGTTAAATTGATCTCCATGGACGTGCTAGAGAGTTGCCGGACTGGCCACAGCAATGGCAGGCGTCAACATTTCTTGGTTTGCACCACCTCGACAGGTTTCCTATGGACAGCAGCGAAACGCCTGCGCAAGGTCATGAAGTGAAACAAGAGCAGTCTCAAATAGACAACAGGCAAGAGGGAGATCCCTCAAAGCCGACAGACACACCGTCCAGCGCGACGTCAAAGCCTGAAGCACGCCCCGGCAAACAATTCACGTCTGCCAACGCGTCGAATGTCGATGAAAAGAGGAAAAAGTCTCCTCAACGACGCAGAGGTGGTCGTGGACGGCCAGGTCAACGCGGACCCGTGATAGATCCCCAGGGCCACCTCCTTTACCCCCTGCAATTCCACCTCCTGCAGGATATCGGAGACCAAGTGATAGAAAGGACTCTCCTCCTCCATTTCGGAGAGGTCGTTCGCCTGGTAAGATTTCTAAACACTGGAACTTCTACAGCTCACATTATGCCAGAACCCCCCAGAAGAAGAAGTCCTCTGCCACCCCCTCCACTTCCACCAAATATACCACGGCCGTCTGCCTATGGGCGATCGCGCTATGGTAGCCCGCCACCGCGTCGTTCACCTCCTCCAATGAGGCGAAGAGATTCCAGATCAAGATCTCCTCCACCACGTTACAACCGCTCTCCACCACCTGGGAGGCGAAGGTCGCCGTTGCCTCCTCCACGAAGGCGCTCTCCACCTGGAGGCTATCGTCGATCTCGAAGTCCTCTTTACAGAGGCAGACCATCCCCTTATTCCCGTGGTCCTTCTCCTTTACGAAGACGATCACCCCACCGCCCACGAACGCGTTCACCGTCTCCTTCCATACGCCATCGACTCCCTTCCCCGAAACGCAGACCCCTTTCCCCGCCGAGATCAGGACATGGGAGCAGGAGAGTGTCCCCAACTCGTCGTCCTAGTCCAAGTCCTCCGCACTCTCCTCGGAAACGTACACGTAGTCTTGAAAAGGCAGACGCGCGGGACGACGATGACAGATTTGCAAAGAAGAGGCGAACACTGGATGAACAAATGTATGAAGCTTCTGATACTCGTATGCAAGGCGTCAAGCAAGAGGAACCCATAGAATCTGCCGCTTCCTCAGCCGCCCGCAGACCGACGATGGATCCGCCTACTGCTCCTAGACGAGATAGAGAAACACAAGACCGTCTCAAGGCTACAGTAGATCACGAAAAGCTTCGCGTCAAGACTGAACAGCAGGACGTGGAGATGGCGGATGCTGGATCCACCGTAGCCACACCATTAACACCAGCAAAGCGCGGACAGCCAACCAAGCATGTTTCCACGCCCAGTACCTCTCAGCCAGCACCCACTCAGCCGCCTCCTCCACCCCCCATCCCGATTGTTAGCGTTCCAAAGATGCCCACATGGAAGAAGGAGAGTGTCACGGCCGATTTGGATGCCGAGGTACGTGAAAATCACCAAGCGCAACTTCCCTTTCTGATTTGCGCAATAGGTTGAACGCGTCCGTCAACTTCGATACGCGTCCATGGCGGAACACAATGCCATTGATGTTGAGCTGCGTCGTGCTTTGTTTGAACTGGACCTGGCACAGCTTGACCTGCGAGGAGTCGAGGCCAAGGCTGCAGTAGCGGAAAAGCAAACAGAACTAGCAGCCAAGGGGATGCTTGAAGGTAAGCATGTTCACACCCTATTAGACGGCTAGCTGATGATTCCAGTTTGAGATATCCACCGCTCAAGAGAACCTCGGTCGTTATTCGCATCCGTTCACTAGTGTAAGAATAAAAGAGTCTATAGACGCGAGCATACAAAGTCCCGAGCATGCGGCCTGAATCATAAGAGCTAGTAGTGGTGAATCTAGACGGGTGAATCAGCAAAAGTCAGAGTTGCAAAGAGTTGCTGGACAAACCTCTTCCCTCTCTCGTCCACGCATGAACGGAGGCTCGGTACCAGCATAGTAAATGTCGGTCCACAAGTCCCTCAGTTCGGGCTCTGCGCTCTTCTTCGCCTCCTCGACGGCAGCGTCCACCTCGGCCTTTGCCTTTTTGTCGATTTCCTTGAGTTCCTCTTCAGAGGCAAGTCCCCATTCCTCGATGTGCTTTTGAAGACCCTTGATGGGATCTTGCGTGCTGCGCATGCGCTGGACCTCCTCACGGGTACGGTATGTGGTTCCGGGGTCGGACATCGAGTGGCCACCGTAGCGGTAGGTGACAAACTCTAGAAGGAGAGGACCCTTGTCGGCCAATGCCCATTCACGAGCATGCTTGACGGCTTGGTGGACGGCGATGATGTCCATGCCGTTTGCCTAGCAGAGGTTTAGAGATGCGCACAACCTAACAAAAAGAGGAAACTTACCTGAATACCAGGAATCAGATCACCACGAGTGAAGTACTCCGTGTTGGAAGAACTGCGCTCGGCAGAAGTACCCATTCCGTACTTGTTGTTCTCGCAGACAAAGATGCAAGGAAGATTCCACAGCTTAGCCTATCAAACTGATCAGCAACGTTTACTCAATGTATTCAGACATACCATGTTGAACGATTCGAAGACTTGGCCTTGGTTAGAAGCACCGTCACCATAGAGGGCAAATGTGACAGTGTTCTTTTTCATATATTTGTCGGCAAATGCGATACCAGCGCCCAACGGGACTTGAGCACCAACAATACCGTTGCCGCCAAAGAATGTTGGGGTGAAGATGTGCATAGAGCCACCTTTGCCGTTCGACATACCAGCCTGACGACCTGGAATATGCATATGAGTTATCAATAGTACGTACAGTGCCTAGCGTGTACTCACCGAGCAGTTCAGCGAGCACACCAGTGACTGTTCCGCCTCGGAGGACCGCAAACGGATGGCATCGGTAGGAAGTGATGAGTTTATCGTCCTTGTCCATCGCAGAGTGGAAGCCAACGGACACTGCTTCCTAGGAGAGGATCAGTAGGCTGCCCCAACATTCTGGACAGCGATGTCGTTGGACTGACCTGGCCAATGGCCAAATGGCAAAAGCCTCGGATGAGCTTTGCTTGGTAAAGAGCACCAGCAGCTTGCTCCATTTTACGCATGAGCGACATTTGCTCAAACCACTCGAGCAGATTTTCTTTCGTCACGCTCACATCGAGCCCGGGCGTCTCTGTGCGGTACGAGCGGAACGAATTCTCGTCAAGAGTGACCGTGAATGGTTGGTTGGAGTCTTTTGGCTCCGAAGTGAGCTTTGTAGTGTCGGCCGCGACCTGAACGGTCTGCATAAACCGAGCTCCTAACGGCTAAGGGGTCTCCTTGTGAGCAAAATACATTCAAATTTACTCTAGAAAGGTTACTGACTATCCGTCGGGACAGTAGCCTTCTTGATAGTGGTGCTAGCCTGGACGACATCGGGAGAGTAGGGTCGAAGTTTGGACTTGACCATTCTGACTCTCCATTTTCCTGACGAAGATGTATTCAAAAGCTGCAATACCTTTGAAGACAGTAGTGAAGACGATATCAAACAGTTTCTAGAGACTTAACCAACAAAAGCTTGCCAATCTTCCGCCTCGTAGGCACTTCGTCTTCGAAATGAACTCTATACTGCGTCTCTATTCAAGACGGACAACCTGACTAGGCTAGGATATCTACAAGTAGAGGGCTAGAATAATTCGCCAAAGTAGACAGTACTATTCAACGTCAGGTATTGTATATGAATACTCTTGTATTATCTTCATACAGGTCGCGCAAAGCTCACAAATACAATGGATGGTTTAGCCGAAACACTCACCTCGGGAACCCTATTGGTACGTGCTAACAGCCCCCTATTATCTCTCTCGGATATACAATTCGTTTATCTAATCCGTCATGTTTCTTTCACCTTGAACGTCGCTTTCTGGTCGAAAATGAAAATCTGATTCCAACGACCCAAGGGAAGTCAAAGAAGCGTAATCTTCTGATACTAAATGGTCCGGCTTTATATCCTTATACTAATACACGTTGCTTCATTAACCCAGCCTCACTCCACGTAAGCTATCAAGCCCGATTGAACACAATGGATGCCATTGTCCTCCAACTTCGTTTGAATGTTCGTTCGACATTCAGATAGAAGTTAACAAAATTCAAGGGACATGCTATTGATGGTGCTAGTTGGCGCAAACATGAGTCATTCTCCAATAGCCACGGCTTGATCCCGCCCACAACAAGTCATTCTGGATTGTCTCAAGCACAATCTTGGTAAAACGACAACAGCATACATTGAATACCATGGAACCATTATAGTGAAGCCTTCAAGACCCCGTCCGAATAACTGTCAACCTCGACCGGATCACACTAAAAAATCTCGGCTAGTACGATCTACATCCACCTTTGACTTCTGGCGTACATATTCTTCTTTCGCTGAAAGCTGATTGTGCGCATATCTACTGGAGCTCTGCTGGCGGCGGAACTCCGTCCCTCTCTGCGATGCGTAGACAGTGCTTATAACAAAGCAAGCCATTGCTGCGGTCTCCATTGCTATGATACTCCAGATAAGCATCATAATACAGTGACCCGTCGAAGTGATACACCCCTTCGTCATGCAAGGCCTGTAGTGCTGCTCCTATCTGGTTGTTGTTAGTATAATGTTGGATGCGAAATTGTAGCGTACTTCTGATATCGCTGGGTGTTCTGTTTCGAGAACTCCCATGGCCCGCCCGCGCTTTGGATCCGAGCGAGTTGGAAAGCTACAAGATTCGCATTCGCAACTGACTCCTTTCCTTGCAAGCAGTCGATTTTGACGACTTTGTGCTGGGTGCAATATTCCATCGACATCGTAGGACATCCGCAGCAGGGTGCCTTGGGTTATTCGACAGAGGGTTCGGAACTCGAACCACGAGTTATTTTGACCAATTTTCACCAGTTCTGAGCGTATGTTCGGGCGACATGATTGTTGGAAGCGACAGCCGACTATAGGCACAGCGTACAGTTGGCCCTGTAGATATGCAAGGCAGTTGGAGTACCACCTATCTATTTCCTGGTTTGAGACTCCGGAGGTGAAGTTATTGTTCAGCTGGAGTCTCCTGAAGGCGGCCTGCTTGTCTGGGCTCAGGAGATTCCAGGCGGCGGCGAACTCCTGGGCGTCTATAACCAGCGAAGAGTTGCTAGAAACCGTGGCTCTGAGCTTCAGTACCGGCACCTCTATCAGGACCATCTCCCCCGCTTCGATATCAGTTGCCGCACGGATGTGGTCATGATGGAATACTGCCAGAGTGTCAACGACGGGCACTTTTCGGAGACAACATCACACACGTAGATTCGGATGCCGGTATACGACGTTAAAGAAGTCGGATTGTGGAAGATTCATGGTAAAGATGTCGACAGAGCAGGCCTCACTGACTCTCCGCATTTATGCATTTCTTATCCATTGTTTGCGGCCCACCATGACAAGTTGAATGACCCTATTATCATGAGATCGCCGAAAGCTTCTGCATATCGCCCCGATATCCTCTACGCATCAAAGGGCATCGTACAAACGCCGTCTACATGAGGTCAACCTCGCAGGACTCTGCCGCTACGTCTGCATCTCCCCTTTACCCCGGGGGTTATGCCGCACATTGCCGTCGCGTCAACCACGCCGTGGAGGGTCATCTCTCTGGGTTAGTGTACCTGTCAGCAGCGTCCCCCTGCTCGAAAAGCGGGATAATCGATATGGCTGCACGCCATTTTGGGGGTACTGGTCAACGAAACACAAGATGGCACCAAGAAAGGCATAATCTCGCCACACTCTAGACCTCATATCTGGCCGGTTAACACAACCGCCGTAACGGGCCTCTCGCCGATTGGAACAGCTTTTGGCTTTCAATCGAATCCTCTTCGTTTCTCTCAACCTTTGCCGTGCATATGACAAGCCCAGCAATTTGCGGGACTTGCAACCTATCCGGTCAATCGCCACTGCCTGTATCATAGGGCTCTGCAGCGCCTGACCCATTTTATCCAATCAATAAAGTGGTCCGTGCGCAGCATTGTGATTGAACAATGCCTTTCCGGCCTTTTACCAAGCATACTCATCATCCTGACATCACAACCCTCCTTGTTCGGCTAGCTCAAAACGTAGAGGCAATGGCGTCTGAACAATGCATTTGCAACACATAAATTATACGATATCAGTCGTTCCCTTTGGTGCTATGTAAATCGAGACATTGCTCTTGAATCCGTTTCTACGCCTTGAGCGACCGCAATTTCGTCATGACTTCGCTCATATCCTCCGCGTCAACGTCAGCGGCGAGATTTGTGCTCGTTCGGAGCACCGTAGACCTTCCAGCGTCTGTCTCAACAAGAACCGTGCCACCACGGCAAGTCGCACCGGCTTGTCCCCCGTGCGATGACGACCCAGGGACTAAGAGATTTGACCGATTGGATGGCATTCGAGTTTCCGCCGAGGCTGGGAGTTGCGGCACCGGTGGAGAAGCATCGGTTGACGATTGTGTGTCTAAAGATGCCGTGCCATAAACCATCGTGTTAAACAGGTCTTGGTATCCAACACCGAAGAATTTGGACAATTTGTTGGCTCGTCTGCGTCTGGCGGAGAATTGCTGGTCGGCTGAACCGGGTGTCTTGAGCGCAGCAGGCGATCGAATGCGTTCGGGGACTTGAACCATGCCATCTTCATTTGAAAAAGTCGTAACCGAGGTGGAGACTATCGTCAATGGAGGCGGGCGCGAACCAGATGGCTTCTGGCTCGTCGTGGGGTCCTTTGCGGGAAGCGATGAGCTGCGTGTGGGAGTCGTGGACTGGAACAATGGAGATGGGGGCGCCATGTCTGGATAGCGGCCAGCAACAGTGAGTTTAGTCGATCCAATTTCGCCATCGCCATCCTCTACCGTGGTCGTTTGCGGTGGAGGTTGCTGTCCTTTACGTTCATAGGGCCATTGAAGCGGCTCATCATCCGATTCAGATCCAGAGTCGGCTGCATGAGATAAAAGGTCGTAAAGTGAATCTCTGTCCTTTTGAAGGTCAGTTTTGCAGATCGTGGGGCACGTAGAATGGTACCTACATGATCAAGCATGTACGCCAAACTTGCAAGGCTCTGCCTCGAAGCTTGAGAATCGATTGAACTCGTCGGTTTGAGCAAAAGGGACTGTCGATCTTGATAAGCGGCTTGAGGAGGAGGTACACCGAACACCTGTCAAATGTCAGCACGCATAGCGGGCCGGCCGTGGAGGGCTCACCGCCGCCATCTTGAGGGCACGCTTGACGTTCAAAGCCCTCTGTTTGTCCGAAGTGGGCACCTGCAATTGCTTGTACAACAATTCTTCGATGGGCGGCATGTCCCTCGACTTGGATTTGGAGTGACCTTTATCTGATTGCCCATTGGTCGCCAGTGATTCGGGTGCAGAGTCGAATCCAGACCCCTCTCTGAGGTCACGCTTCCACATGGAGCGAGAACGTTTATGCTTGAGAGCCTGTACCTTTGCTGGCATCGGCTCCGACGGAGACTCCATGGACAATCGTCGTCGCCGAGTTACAGAAGAAGCCGGTTGTGTCTTGATAACAAGTTCAGATGGGACCGCTTCCCCCATAATCTGCTGAAGTTTTGCCATGCGAGCTCGCGTTTGTTGACGTTGGAGGGAGCTCGAGCTACCGCTGGGGGATGTAGGTGAGGGTGGGATGTAGATTGCTGACTTGGGGTGCTTGGTGTCCTTGGAAGCACGTCGTGCATAGTCCCCCTCTTCTTGAGCCGATGAGCCGTCAGGCTTGACGATCCGATTGCTCGAACCAGACCGTCGAGGAAGGCTCAAAAGAGAAGAGGCTACAGAAGAGTCGGATAGTCTCCTCGCTCTTTTGGCCAAGGTCGTTCCTTCCGGAGTTGTAACGACGTTGAGCTTTAGGACTGGTGCATTGGAGACGCCTGGCGCAGAACCCGTAGCAACCAAGGAGCTGGCCATTTTACCCCAGCTCGAGTCTGGAGGGGGCTCGAGTTTTGGCGACTCCATGGCCGCCTTTGCAGCACTTCGGTCAAGCTTAATATCGGAACCTGCCAGTGTCGGACGTCTCTGCAGGCGTTTCGAGGATGTTCGGGTGGGAAGGGCTTGAACATCTGCAATCTGTGGCACTTCGCCCAGAATCTTGTGTATTTTCCTTGTCTGTGCCCTTTTAGCTGACGTACAGAACTATATCGATTAGGCATACCTGTCTGATGAGCGCTGCTCGATCCGTTGGGTTTAATTTGTTTTCAGTGGCAAGTGGGCGGAGGACGTCCGGAGGGAGGTTATAAGAGTTATAATTTCCTTGCGTTTGAATCAATGGGTCGTGTGACTGGTTTGAATGTCCACCATCCGAGTCGACGAAGGAATCGCCAAGCGACGGACGGAAGGGAGTCGCATCTACAGTAGGATTGGGGGATACGACGACATAATCCTCCTCGTAGGCGTCTACAGATTGTCGTGGCGCGCCGCCGTGTCCGTGGTCGCTAACGGACTTGTTGCCGTACTCGAACCCGCGGCCTGGTCGTTGTGGGAGTGCGTACTGGGTAACTTGAGGTTGTGAAGACATGTTTTAGATCGTAAGTTCGTTTCCAAGGCGTGACAGGGAATGTAAAGATGGAGCCAATTGGTCCAAAGCTGTGGCACAGAGCGGAGTCGGACTGGAATGAAAAAAGCTCGAGGAGCGAAAGCAATCAGCCTGTGAGGAATATCAAAAGAGCTTTAAAGCTGTCGTTGCGGGGTATCTACTGTTCTCTGGGGATGGTAGAGAGCAAGTTGGACTGCTTCGTTTGTCCCAATTTGTCTATTGGTTTGTTGGACGTTTCACAGCCTCGCGACATTTGCTTTTATTCGACGATTGAACAAAGTCTGTTCGACGTTTCAGTAACTTATGGTGTTGGGCGTTGCGGCGAGGCGAGCAGCGCGAACAGTGGGGCTCGACAATCGAGATGCAGTGGCTCAACGACAAATCAGAGCACTCATTGAGTGGATTCAAGCTCTTATATGCAGAGAACTGAAGCAACGGTGCCCGACGCCATCCAGAATGAAGGAACCAGGCAACTTGTCTATTGTTGATTTCTTTATGCATTCTGTAGATCAATATGAGGACTATTCTCGCCGCAACCTAGCGCAGCACGCTCAATCTATGTGCAGACGAGCAATACAGCAGCACACGAGCCATCAAACGGAGACTTATAATCACTCAACCGCGTGGTCTTTGACCTTGGACATCCTGGAACGCATGCCAGGTAGGTTGCCGCCGTGAGACCGTACGGTTATTGCGGGCGACTGACCCTTTGTAGAAGCACATTCTCGCACCAATCGGTGCTTACTGACGAGCCCGGATCTTTCGTATCCAGGTTCTTCACCTGGGAAAGTATTGCCTTGCAGTCTTGAGGATGGGACAGTCACGCACACAATTTGGACATATGTCTCCAGCAATGCGGTAGCGGCCCATATCTCAAACCCAATTGCAACCGAATGGCGGCGTGCCGCTTACCCTACCCGACCTAATGAACGGTATGCCCAAACCTCCGCGGCACGCACGCAAACCGAGACCGTTCCTGCCGCTCCCAGTGAAACTTGATCCCCATCCCCGCGCTTGCGTTCTGGAACGACTACGACATCGCCGGGGACGACGAAGAGGAGAATGGCGCAGGCTGCAACCCTCCGCCTAGCCTTCTTTTCGCTCAACCTCGCCGGAGGTGTTTCAGCCATTCTGGTTCTTCTCCTCTCATTCTTCAATCGAAATCGGCATAATGATGGACTACTGGCACCTGTAATTTCTCTCAGCATCACTCGGCTCCTATCTGTAATCTTCTCGTGTCTCCTGTGAGTTGCGCCCTCTCATCCATTCTCGACGTTTTTGCTCAGCCACAGCAGCTTGTTTGCAGGTACCATGGCTGGCTCCTCCGTATCAGACATGCTCTGTCGGATCCAAAGTGGCTTTCAAGTTGCGCAGGCTCCCTTGCTGACTTCCGGCATCCTCTCCTTTGCTATCAATGTAGGTGGCCCAAAGCCTCAGGCTCGCGCTCACGAATTACAGCTTTCTCTGGTAGCAATGAACACCCCGTCTTCTTCACGAAACCTCGTGCAATCGACAAAGATTCTCGTTCTCGGTCTACCATTTGGCATCTTTGCATCCCTCTCTTTGGCAGGACTCCTTGTGCGTGCGTTAGGAATTGCTATTCCTGTGCTAATATCTTCAGGTTGCATTCTCGGCGCCATATCGAGACACAGCACCCTTCCTTTACTGTATCCTCAATAACGAAGTTATGTCAGTGCGCTTGTCATTGCGTGGTCTCTTTCTGACCCACATCTAGGTGGAAGACCTCGACTATATTCTCCATTGTCATCTCCATTGCGACGTTCATCCCAATAATGTGGCTAATGGCGCACGGATGTTCGTCTTACCTCGCCATTTTCTGTAGTGTATACTCCATGGTGTTTGCTGGGTACGCTGCCAAAGTTATGGAGCGATTCGCTGACACCAGATAGGATGCTCATCGCCAAACTGCAAACTCATCGAATCTTTGTCGACTTGTTCCTCTCGGCAGACCCCCTTATTGTATCGCTGGCTGTTTTTCTACAACGGTTAGCCACCTTCTACGGACCTCAACGGCCTGCACACGATCCAGACAGTCAAGAGAGTCCCGCCAGACCCGGCACCCGACAGACAGCCAATCCTCCGACCATCGAGATCATCGTCACTTCCACACAAAGGGATTCGGTGGCGGAACCAAAGCTCTATGCTCTTACTCGCGCCATGGGGCTGAGCACGCAGGAACTGCCTATACAAGAGGCTGAGCCAAATCAAGAAGGGGACAACGGTTCGCTCAAATCCCAGGAGCTCCACGTCACTCCGTATGCTATCGATCTCGGTCAAGATAGTCCTAGCATTAGGAGTGTGCAGTACGGCGTCGCCCTGGGCCACCCATCTCGTGATGCATCACGAACACATACACCAGTGAATATCGTCAGTGAAGTACGGCGCTCATTTATGGCTGCTTCTCGGAACTCGCATCGACCAGGCGATAGCAGGGAGTCTGTCGGGCATGAAATTTCGAGTGGGAGTGATCACAACTATAGTTTCGATCGTCTCAGGATGCTTAGAGTCCACTCAAGTACACCATCAGTGGACGCGTCGGCATTGGAATCCTCAGTCGGCGATCGCGGTTCACCCCGACGTACGGCTTTCGGCTCGTCACGGCACTCTCCTCTTCAAAGTACACTCAACAAGGCCGCATACACGAATCCCGTAGCTGCGAGGTCCAATTCTCAGCACCATCAAGAGAATGGCAGCGATTCTCGGCTCTCCCGTCACTTGCGGCAGGACGGCACCATGACCTCCGTCGAAAGCGACATGACAGCAGAGTCGTCAGCCCATATGCTAGGGGCCACAACCACTGGCTCAGTCTCTTGGCCCGACGTGTCTACCACTAGCACGCAAGATCCGACGCGTACTGGACATCGAGAACATGCCGTAGCGCACACTCATTCGCGATTTGGTGCACAAGATTCCCCAATAAGCGATCCTTCGTTCTACGACCCACTGGGCTTTGCGCCACCCATGAGTCGATTCTCGACGAGTAGAGACGCAACACCGTCTCCACTTCTCCTTGACGAAGATGGTCCGCATTCGACCTTTCTCTCCTTGTCAGAGTCGTCTGACCAGGCGCGCCGAAGTCCTCTCTTTCGACCACCAGGGTTAGACACCCTTTCATATCCTAGATAATAACTTGTACATCTTTGTTGATCACGTGCTGTTCCTCTTTCAGCTAGTGCATTGCGCGCTACTTTCGGCCGTTGCACATTCTCTCGTTGCCTAGTGTCTGCTTATTAGTGTAAGTAGTCCAATACAGTAATCTTCCAACGAGATTTAGGCTAGATACAGTTCCTGTGGCGAGAAATCTAATGACCGCGCATCTTCATCCCGACCACTTGACCCTTGCGCCAGCCAATCTGGCGTAGATCTCGCCAAAGTACAGAGATTCATACATCTTGACAATCAAAAGTACGTTGTAGCAACACCTTTGCGGGTGTACGCGTCCGCAGCCCGCTCAACCGTTCGTTTCCAGTTTCTATGACAGGCCTGGACGACATTCAAGAAGCTCCTTCGTCTCCAGAAGACAATGCAGCTCCATATCTGGGCACACAGTCGACTGAAGATCTGTCCACACTCGAACCCGCCGCGCCTCCACACTTGGGCGCAGGATCGTCGCATACAAAAATCTCTTTCGAGGCGACCAATGAAGGATCAGACGCATGGCCGTATCCTCGTCATCGTTCTCCTCCTCCTCGGTATGGCGAACCTGGTGGCTGGGGGATGACGGATATTATCGGCGAGAACTACGACTCTTGGGATGCTTCAGCGATGAACAGATTTGAAGAGGAGACGAACGAGCGGATGTGGTGGCATCCTTACCATCGAGGGCTCCTAAAACCTCTGGGACCGGGCATGCTTCCCGTCCTGACAGCGTCAAAGATTCACAACGACACGCACGAACTCCTCAAAGTGTCCGCAACTCTACCAGAGGGTGCTTCTACTGCATCTGCCGAGGGCGCACCCACTCCTCCAGACGCCGACGAGGTTCGACAGGCAATCCCGCACCCAAATGCATATTACTGCGCAAAGTGTAATGGATGGGTCATTGTGCAAAAGACTAGGGCATCGAGACCTCCCATCTTCGACTCTTATGCGGAGGCCTGTCACGATCTCAACTTTCCAAATTCACGAAACCATAACAGGGAAGCCGAGTGCAACTATCAGCATCTTTCTCAAACTTCCTACGACCACGATCCAGAAAAGGTGCATCACTACCACCTGTACGAGGATGCCATTCCGAGCAATAGTATACAACCGCCGTACCTGCGACACTCTTGGGAGCCACCGGCCGATCTTCCCCGCAAGCTCGTCACTCACCATGTCGGTGATAACGAAACCTTTTGGAGCATTCCAACGTTCATCATGTCTGAACGCGACGGGAACGACATTCACGCCGACATCGTTCCAGGAGTCGACTATCTCGATCTATACGCGTGCTGCCAATGCACTACCAACCTCTATGTGACAAGGAATCCCGTTCCAGGCGTCGTATCGCCACGGCTTCTCGCGGACCTTCAGCGAGAACGCGCAAGTGGGGCCAGGGTCCTGTACGAGTGGCCGTAGCCTTAGAATTCATAATACGGTATCTTATATATAACTCAGAGAAATCAGCTTGCTCAAAGTTTGCTCAGACTCGTGGAAGCCTTGATGTGGAAAGGCCAAAATCGACCTCTCAAATATGATGGTCCAGCATTTCAACGGAGTTTTGGAGAGGATGCACAAGCGTGGGTGACACGTCCACAAGGCCTTTTGGGTGTCCTGACATTGTGAAAGGTTGCAAATCTGGGGCCAACTTGGGTATATCATCGACCGCACCGAAAGGGTGCTCGTACCTCCAGACCTGACTGATGCAGATATTCGGGCTCGTTTATTGAGGGGATGGATAGAGCTTAGCGCATACACTGCAGACTATCATCGGTCCCATTGTATGTCCACCTCTCAATTTGTTCACTCATACCAACACTCCGATAGCTAGCAGCGTTGCTTCACGCACCAAAGACGGCGTCATGGTACATAGGCTATCGACTAAGGTCAATTCAGCAACGGAAGAACTTGCGGATACCATTGGTGCCCATTGGAATCAAAGTGCGTCCGAAGGCTTGCTTCTGAACCGCTCTTACTCCTCTTAGTTCCTCGCGGTCGTATCGAGGCGCCTCAATCAGAATTTGACCCAATCTTTAATGATCTTGGGATCACTCAATCTAGCTACACACCAAGTATGTGGCCCCATAGTTCAAGGAAAGGGTCTAATGACGGAATAGAGCTACTACATTACGCATATGTACAACAGGCAAGATGCGACATCACTCACCTTCCGGTTCATTTTGGCAATCTAAGCAACCTCGTGGAGAATATCCTCCCCAGATTAAATCAAAATTTGGGCATGGATTCCCTCCGTGAGTTGGTGATCATGGAGAGGTCCAAGGATATTTGGACACCAGAGGACTTCCGACGTGCGCTGGATCTTCTCAACCTGAATATCGACGGTCCACTCATGATGAGCATTTATGAGATCGATCCCCCTTTTCTGGAGCTGGCATATCGGACAAAGCTCAATGAAACCTGGCAGCCAACCTTCTCCACCGTGAGTTGGGGCCAAGACGTGAAGATGAAGATGGAACCAGAGGAGGCGCGACAAAATCTCAAAGAAGCACTCCGAATCGCTGCAGAGGGCACGGGGAGGCCTGATTTCTACGATATATACAAGAAAATGAAGGAGCCATGGGCTTCCATGGATCCAGAAAAGGCATATACTGCTTTAGGCGTACCAAACGACACGACTGATGAGATGCTGATGATGGTGTACGCCTTGCGAGTATGTACTTTCTTCGAATTCGTGCACACTCTCAGATTTCTCAGATAGAGGACGCACCCGCTAGCAAGGAAAGGATGGATGAGGCCATGCAAGTGCTCGCCTCTGCGCGAGACAGTGCTCGTCTAAAGGAGTTTGTCAAGTCAGGAAATGATCGTGAGTTAACGTTTTTTTGCGCCCGATACTCGTTATTGAGTCGCCATAGCGGGTGAGGCTGGAGTAATCATTGCTCCCGACTGGCCAAGAGGCTTGAATCAGCTCGGGAATACATGTTACTTGAATTCTCTATTACAGGTGAGTGGGTTTCTGTCCCAATTTTTGTGGGCTGACCCCTCTAGTATTTCTACACTATCAAAGATCTGCGTCAAGTCATTCTTTCCATGAAAGACCAGGCACATAATATCGACAAGGGCAAGCTCAGCGATGCGCAACTTCAGAAACACCGTGTAGGCGGTCGTTTGGTAACGCGCAAGGAGATTGAACGCTCTAGGCTTTGTAAGGTCTCAATCTTTGACATCAATTTCTGACACATTTCGTAGTCTTGCGTCATCTGAGCGACTTGTTTACACAAATGGCCTGGGCAGAGCCCAACGCTGTCACACCTTCTCTAGAACTAGCCAAACTGGCGCTTGTGACTTCAAAGGATGAAGAGGAGGACGAATCCAAAGCGAAACCTGCTACTGCAGAGGGTGAGAGCTCTTCTGCGAGCACAGATGCCACACTTGTGGAGGAGTCTGGTAGCCCGCAGGCCCCTGGGGCCCCATCAGCACCTTCGACCTCGACAGAAGCCGCTGCATCGCCGACTCCTACATCTAATGCTTCCACAGTCCTAGGAAAGCGGCCGCGGGAGGCTCTTGAAGCTCAACCTGTACCAAGCGTCTCAGGACCAGAGGCGGCTACTCAAGCTACCACAGATGAAGACGCCCCACCTCAAGCAAAGCGACCGAATCATTCACCTACAGTAACCCACGAATCCTATGGCTTACATCATAAGCATTTAGACGACAAGGAAATGGAAATAGAGGGGGATGTGTCTTCCATTGTTGGATCAGCTGGTGCATCTCCACCGAGCACACCATTTCTCTCGCGGGATGTGACTATGGAAGATGTCTCTCAGCCCGAGCCGTTACCCGTGTCGCGCCAGCCACCGCCTCTTCCCCCGAGAAAGCAACCAGTGTCGGACTCTGCAATGATGTTCGGTATGGATTGCTCATATAGGTCTAGAGCAACGCTCACAAATTCACAGGGAAGCAGCACGATGTCGCAGAGTGCATGGACAATTGCATGTTTCAAATCGAAACTGCTCTCTTGGATTTTGAAGGGCAAACAACAGTCGATTCTTATACTCCTGGAGTCATCAAAAGGTGAGACCAACGAATGAAGCAAACTTTAGTACTGATAGGATCCAGTCTCTTCTATGGCAAAATGCGACAGCGGATAACTATGCCACCGGATCAATCCCAGCCGGAAGCAAAGAGCTCTGTCAACGAAAAAGATGATCTGTTTTCTCACCTCCCTGTCAACGTTTCGGATGAGGGGTTCGACCTGCACGACGGCCTAGGTGGTTATTTTCGCGACAATGTCGATTTCGAAGGAAAGAAGGCCGTTATGGAAGTCTCTCTCCTCGAGCTTCCGCCAATACTCCAAATTCAGCTGCAGGTATGAGAAAGATCGTCTCCCGAAAATGCAATCACTAACGTCTCCAGCGAGTACAATTCAACCGTGCGACCTCTCAACCATACAAGTCCCAGGCATACGTGCGCTTCGAAGAGACGTTGTTCATGGACCGTTACTTGGAGACCTCAGATCCTGTCAAGAAGGAGCGGTCCAGAGAGATTCAGGGCCGGCTGATGCACTGCCGAGATCGCATCAATACACTTACGCAAGAGCATGTTCGTACTACTTTTTTCGTAATTCTGGTATGACTCACAAGGTCGTAGGGTGCATCTATGGCCACGGCTGTCAAGAAAACTGCCGAGCTACTTCAGGGTGTCTTCGCTCCCTTGGTAGAGACGGAAGGATACACAGATAGCCATGTGGATGCTATCAAAGCTGAATCAGTTCGACTGGAGGAGGAGCTAAGTTCGCTGCGCGGAACGGTAGTTCGCCTCAAACAGGAGCTAGATGAGCTCTGGAGAGATCAGCAAACAACTGAATACGAGTTAACCTCGGTGTTTATTCACAGAGGTTCGACGCCATCCTGGGGTCATTACTTCTTCTATGCACGGAACCTACCCGACAAACCGGAAGAGTGGTTCAAGTACAATGATTCAGCTGTTTCAAAGGCGTCTAAAGAAGAGGTTCTTGCAGACACGACAGGTTCGACAGCAAACCCGTATCTGGTACGTCCAAAGCCACCATACGGACGACTCGCTTGACATCTTTCGGCAGCTTGTCTATGCCCGCAAAGGGTCCGGGGTAGTGCATACTGTAAATCGACAAGTTTAGACCTGTATTATTGCTCTTTACCAATGTATTTCTTGCTCCCTCGGGATGTCCGTGACCGGCGGCACTTGGCACCCTGGACCTAACCTTGAACTGCCCCATTACGCCCCGCGAGATCCCATGGCGCACACTCCGATTAACGAAGACGATATCATAGACCAAGTCAAACATGGACATGGCCATTCGTCGCTCAAGGTTACCCCTATCCATTCTCCATCGACTTCTCGCCGTGGATCTGGCGTTATCACAACTCCAACTGGCGAGAAAGTTACGTTTCACACCAGAACTGCAGAGGAACGAGATGGTACACTTCCTCATGCGTACGCGGTTTATTGGTCTTGCATTCATGTCCCTGATGTCACACAGGACGGCAAAGTCGATGGCCGACCACCTCGAAAAGTACACGAATCTGTTCACGCTCAGTCCCCAAAGAATGAGAATGATCGTAGACGCGTTTGAAGAGACGCTCGATAAAGGTCTACAGGAATGGGAACAAGTCATTGTACGTCGATTGGGAGCTTGAGAGCTGATCGCGCGTCTCAACTTTGTAAACTATAGCCAATGTTCCCTACGTGGGTATTCGGCACGCCAAAAGGAACGGAATCTGGTGATTACCTCGCACTCGACCTCGGAGGTACGAACCTGCGTGTCTGCCTCGTTTCGCTGCTGGGTGGCTGCAAGTTTGAAATCACACAAACAAAGTACAGACTCACAGAGGAGCAAAAGCAAGAAGACGGGTGCAAGCTCTTCGACTTTTGTGCTGAATGTATCAAGGAGTTTATCGACACTCACTTGCCAAATGTCACACACGACAATCCGATCGTAATTGGGTTCACGTTCTCGTACCCATGCCTACAAGAGCGAATTGATCATGGCATTCTTATTCGCTGGACCAAGGGATTTGGTGCCCCAAACGTAGAGGGTCATGACGTGGGGGAAATGTTCAAGGAATCTCTGAAGAAGTTCAACGTGCCTGCGGTCATGACAGCGTACGTTTATTTCTCTAGTATTGAGCGATCCCTCACTTGACACAGTCTACTAAACGACACGACTGGAGCCCTCATCGCTTCCCAATATGTACGACCGAAGACCAAAATCGCTGTGATTCTCGGAACGGGCTGTAACGCTGCCTATTCTGAAGATATCAAATCCATTGGGAAACTCAAGGACAAGAATCTCGACCCTGATGATGTCGTCGCTATCAACTGTGAATGGGTAGGACAGATGTAAATTATGATATCCAGACTCACATTTGAGTAGGGAGCATTCGATTCGGACTTCCATCAACACCTCCCGAGAACAAAATACGACATTCACATCGACGAGCACTCGAACAAACCAGGCGAACAGGCCTTTGAGAAGATGATATCTGGACGCTATCTAGGCGAAATCTTCAGACTTGTCATCATGGAACTTGTTGACGAAGGGGCCATGTTCCTGGGACAGAACACTTACAAACTGGAAGCACCTTACTCGCTCGATACGGCCTTCCTGTCGCTCATGGAATCGTATGTTGTTTTGTTCGAGTTTATCAATCCACTTATGGAATTCAGTGATCCGACGGACGAGCTATTGACCATTATTGGAATCTTCAACCATTTCTATGGACTCGAGACTACTCTGGCGGAGCGGCAATTCTTTAGAGCTCTAGCAAGGCTGATAGGTAGACGGGCCGCTAGATTAGCCGCGTGTGGTATTGCCGCCATTGTCAGGAAGAAGGGATATCTGGAAGAGGGATGCGAAGTCGGTGCTGATGGATCTCTTTACAATGTCAGTCATTCAATTATCTTCTTCTTGTCAAATTCACATTGGTATAGAAATACCCCGGATTCGCGCAGCGTATTCATCAAGGGCTAGTGGACGTTCTTGGGGCAAAGGGAAAGTGAGTACTGCACCAGTCCGCTTGGCCACACCTCAACCATATAATAGAAACATTACAACTTATCATGCAGAAGACGGCAGCGGTGCTGGTGCTGCTATCATTGCTGGTACGAGAGATTCATGCGGTCATATCGAAAACTCACTTTCCATTAGCGATGACAAAGGCACGAAAGGACGCTGGAAAATATCCAAATCTCTGATATCTCGAGCATTATGTCTCCACAAATCGCGTCATCCACGTGTATTGTTACGTTGAATCTAGTATTACATAAGTACGAAGTGTTTAAGTATCAGGTTTACTGTCGACTTCCATGGAAGCGCCTTCCTGCTGGGTGGGCTTTGTCACTTCATCGATACTCATGGTGTTAGCCTCCACATCCTGTTTAATCTCTGTGGGTTGTGATGCTGGAGCCTCTTCCTGAGTCGTATTAGAAGGCTGCATCTCGACGTCTCCTTGAGTGTTCTCCTCCGTGGATGTCTCCTTTTTGACGGGTTCGCCGGGATCGTCCGCCTCGCCTTCAGGTTTGGAGAGTAGCGATTGCTCGTGCTCTTTGATGAGCGTGACAAGCTTTCCAATGTCTTCGTCTGCAATTTTATTGAAGAGATGTAAATGCTCCTTTGATGCAGACCGTAGTGCTAGCCAAGTATAGGTTTGTCTTTGCTATATAGTCATTGAGTATTAACGAGCAACAGAATGAAAATATCGCGTACCCGTTCCAAGTCCTTTATCTTCTCGTCCTTCTGATAAATGGCATTCAGATCTGGTGGTGGGGTCTCCTTTTGCCGGGGATCGACTATTTGCGCAGCTTTCGGTGCTTCAGCAGTCGATCCAGGTTTCATAGGAAGTGGATGTGACGACGTCAGAGTTGCAGGAGTCGACGACACTGCCTCTACTTTCGCGGCTGTCTTTTGGGCCATTCGAGCCGTCACCATGCGCTCGATAGTCTGTTTACGCATTGCAATCGCTTTGTCGACTCTTTGAATTTGGCCAACAAAACTGCCCGGATCCGGTCGTCTACGGGTTTGTCAGATGAGATATGCACTTGAGATAAGTTACTGACCGAGGGAAGAGCGTCAAGTCATCTAATGAGCGGTACCCCATGGTCCAAATCTCACTCAAGGATTCCGTTCCATGAGAATGGGGCCAAGCTTCTAGTGGTTTCATCAATTCTTGTCGTCGCCGACGGAGCTCGAGTTCAAAATCGATAGGTAGAGCATCCTTCTCGAACGGTTTGCATTGTGAATTCTTCCAATTGACCTTTTCCGAACGTCAACATTCGAGATGGAAGAGTCAACGAGATCGTACCCAATTGCTTTCTCGTTCGAGAATGATGCGTATTATCTCCTCAAAGGCGCGTCCGTCTGGTGTAGTCGTGCGTAGCTCTAGCATGACTCTGCTATTGACCTCTTTGACCCAATTTTCCTCGGATTCAGGAAGAGTAAAATCGACGTTAAACGGCCTCATCTTGACCTCCGGATGCTTTGCCTTTTCCTGCTCCGTAAATGATCGCAGGTACTGAAGCAGAATAAGAAGCTGAAACAGGAATTGCCGACGAAAGTTGGTGTCCGCAATCTCCAACTCCAAAAGCTCTGGAGACGACAGATATTTGGCAAAAGCATAATCCGCGTGCTCATCTTGCACCGTGTACGACACCTTTTGCACATCCATCTCGACATCTCTTTTGCGTTTGCTTCCGGCGAGAGTTTTACTGCCTGCGAGCATCCGCTCCTTCTTCGTAGCCTCGGAGAGAATTGGGAGTATTTTGTTCACAGCATGTTGGAATGCTTTGAACATATCGGCTTCTGCAAACGCAGGAGGGCGGGAGAACGGATATTGAAGGAACCAAAAGGTCTTGTAGAGCACTAAGCAGAATATCAGCATATACGCATCCGTCAAAATAATCTCACCTACAGGACTTTCTGTCCTCTTCAGATGGATCGACCGTATCATCCATCTCGGTAGCACCTGCATCGTCGTGTCGTGCACCCTGACGTGTTTCCTCCTTCTTAGCTTCCTCGAGTATTAACTCTTTGCCTTCTTGATACGGTGGTGGGCCTTCCCAAGGTGGCCCATATTCTCCTCGCAGATTGACGCCACTTCGCTCACTGAGCGGAAAGACCGCACTCATAAATAGCAGGATCCGAGCGCAGAATTCGGTTTCCGTCGACTTGGATAAGCTTCGGAGTAGTTCGTTCAGCGTCCTCAGGACCAGTAGTCCTTGACGATTGGCTCCATTGGCATCCTAGATAACATGAGCACTATGCGTGCTTTCAGTGGCTTGCTCACAAGGCAAAGTCTTTTCCCTCTTCTTTCCACCCAAGAAAAGACCTGAGAACAGGATGCAATGGAGAGACACTCGAAAAACTCGCGCACCAGGTTGAATGGGAGTTGTGGATCGACACACTCTGCGACCGTGATCAACAAATAAAGATGAGCACCAAGACACTAATCGTACCATTTTCAGACATGAGCATTGATAGATCCAAGAGGTTAAACACACGCGAGTAGTAGCGCCTCTCGTCCGTTTGAATCTGCTCTTGTTCTTGCTCCTAAGTCAAATAAGAGTGCTGAATAGTCGTGTATTCGAGAATCTTGCCGTTAAAGACAGAACTTCTGTGCGCAGAGCAAGCTCCCATCTCGACCGGAGGGTGTCCTTGCTTGAAAGCGGTTTGGTGCGCGTAATTAGATCAGTAGCAGCCCTCTCGAGTGCAGTTTCATCTGTATTATCGAGGGGAATTGCGTCTAGATAATCCTGGAGGTGTTGCTGAAGCATGGTCGGGGTGCAAGACTGTTGTAATTTGGTTCGCACTCTAACGTGCCGTGACGCGAATTTGTATCTTCGCCGCGTTTTCTGAACAAAATGGTGCTGGAAATTAAGTTTCTGGTGCCGTTGTACCCTGCTGGGCAGGAGCCTTCGCCGCCGGGACTGTCCAGTGATGAGCTGCAGGCATGGGAGCAGACGAAAAAGATGGAAAAGTTTATCGGAAAGGCACAAGAGTCGTGTATAGTCAAGTCTGCAATCTCTGGAGGAATGGGTGAGCTCCCTACGAGAGAAAATGTTTTCTACAAACGCTCACGGGTTCGACCCAGGCTTCGGAATGGGAGCCTTCTTCTCAATGATGTCGACTAGCTTTGCGTACGATGATCCACTGTCACGAACAGACATGTCGACAAAGACGAAAACCATCGAAATGTTCAAAGACATGGGTCGGGGAATGTGGAGAACAGGTCGTTCATTTGGAAAAGTTGGCGCGTTATACAGTGGCATAGAGTGTATCATTGAATCGGTCCGTGTCTCTGTGCAGTGTTACTTTCCGTGGCGTGGCTGACTTGACGCAGTATCGCGCGAAGAATGACATGACCAATGCGGTAGCAGGAGGGTTCGTAACTGGAGCTATATTAGCGCGTAATTCTGGTCCAAGAGGCGCCCTTGCAGGTGCTGTGGGCTTCATGGCTTTCTCTGCTGCGATTGAGACATTTTTACGACGAGAGACCTCAGAGTGAGTCCTGAAGTACCTCTGACACATAATCTGATCCTCTTCAGCGACGATTAACTTATTCTATCACTACACTCGTGTTATATTATCGTTAGACGTCTGGCCAATCGCATTTCCCTTCTCGAAGACTGTCAACAATTGTAGTGTCCCGACAATCCAGGTCAGCAGACAGGACAAACACATCTCGAGAGGATCACCCTTGCAACAGAAAGACATCAGTTGACGGATATAATACTGGCGGCCCGATCATTACAGAGGGCGGGGAAACCAACAGAACGGGCCCATTGGCACCATTATTTCTAGGCACCCCCTTCTGCCGAGAAGACGACGCAGCATTCTACGGCACGTCGTATGAGCGGGTGAAGCCCGTGAACGGACCCGAGCCTTCGCCGGTGTACAAAAGCACGCTGTTTCGCATTCTCTTGGCAAATGTCCCTTTGCTATCTCCTTGATCCTGGGTAGATGTCAGCTCCAGGTCACCAGCAGGATGGCTCTGGGATGGCAAAGGCCGCTCTGCCCCTGCGGTCACGACGACGCATCAAACTGGCTCTACTCTTGATTGCAGCTGTTTCACTCTACACTGTCTTTTATCTCGGTCATTTCCCGACATCCAAGGATTATGGACAGTTTTTCTCATCTGGCATCTCTAAGGAAGGAATATCTGGGAAGCAGAGAAATGCGACGTTGCAAGGTACGCGGGGGTGAATTCTTACCGATCACCTCTTACAGTCCTTAGCTCGTGCGGAGGAAGTCAAGATGGCCTTCCGAAGAGGGTATGGCCAATACTTGCGACATAGTTATCCCCGAGATGAGCTCCGACCACTCTCAAATGAATCTATCGACAAGTACGACTCTCGCGTTTATACTGACCTAGACCTAACCATGCTGCAGCTTCAACGGTTGGGGAGTTACCGTCGTTGACTCAATAGATACCATGTTCTTGATGGGACTGACGGAAGAGTACGAACACGCACGCAGCCATGTCGCCACAACAGACTTCCAAACCTGCAAAGGTGGGGTTGTACCTTTCTTCGAGACCATCATTCGCTACCTCGGAGGCTTGCTCAGCGCGTACCATCTTACGGAGGATCAGACATTTCTCTCTGCCGCCGATCATATTGGAAGGGAACTCTTGCCTGCCTTCAATACCACATGGAAGCTTCCCTCATTTTCGGTAGATCTGGTAACGCGCACACCGCAGTGGGGCTGGTCTGGGAGGACTATTCTACTGTCCGAGGCAGCGTAAGCCTAATATTTGCGTCTTAATACCGATTACAATCGGATGAATGTAGGAGCAATCAAATGGAGTACAAGTACCTTGCTCATCTCACCGGCCATGCAGAGTACTTCCAAAAGGTAGTGTCATCCTCACTGGTGTTCCACGTATGACTGACGATGATAGTCCGACCAAGTCACACGCTTCTTGCAAAAGAAACTAGGAGGTTATGGGCTCTGGAACACAATGTGGGATGCTATGTCTGGCCTTCCAAGCAATGCGGCGTGGTCCATTGGCGCTTTAGGCGACAGTGCAGTCAGTACACGATATTCTATAGTGCAGCCGGACTCAACACTCGCAGTATGAGTATCTCCTCAAAGCCTATATTATGTCTGGAAGAACAGAGAAGTACCTTCTTGAGATATGTAGGTATACCAAGAAGTGGCGATTTCTCATACTTATGACACACCGTAGACATCAAGTCGATGAGGGGAGCTGTCAACCGCCTCGTGTACCTCTCGCGCACGAGGCAGTTGCTGTACATTACAGAAGTAGTAGAGAAGCGTCCTCAGGGCACTATGCAACATCTGAGTTGCTTCTTCCCTGGTTTGCTTGCTCTCGGGGATTACTTGCTTCAAGATTCAGACTTCCTGCCAGGAGAGAGGGAAAAGTTTAGATTTGCAGCAGAAGGACTCGCTTACACCTGCTGGATCCTGTATGCAGACCAAATCACCGGCCTTGGACCCGAAGAAGTCCGGTTCCATCCATACAATGGCGACGACGATTACCAGTCCGGGCGTTGGGTTCACCATCTCGATAGATGGAAAGCAAAGGGACGAAAGGGTCTACCTCCTGGTCTACGGAAACCACCTCCGCTTAGAGGGAAGACTGGCAAACATAAAGACTATGACTATGCAAATGCGGGTTATTTGCTGCGACCCGAGGTACGGCTTCTGTGGGTATGAAAGTTCCAGGACTAATTATTTAGGCAATCGAGACAATGTATATCATGTGGAGAACCACAGGTGATGTCGTCTGGCGTGAACGAGCATGGAAGATGTTTGAAGCAATCAACACAAATACGACTGTCGATGGGGGTGCATTTGCCAGCCGTTCGCATGTGGATATCGAGGAAAAGTTGATGAGAGATGAGTCTCCAAGGTAGGCTGGAATGCTGGGAGGCTGGAATGCTGGCTGACAGGGCGCTAGCTACTTTTTCGCAGAGACACTGAAGTACGCCTACTTGGCCTGTTTAGAAGACGATCCACTACCCCTGGATCAATACGTCTTCAACACCGAAGCGCACCCATTGCCTATATTCTCCTGGACTCAGGAGCAGAGAGAACGATTTGGTGTCTGATAAATTTCTGTACATTATTCATTCTGAAATCAGTCGGAATTTCACCTGGGATTGGCGCCATTCAGCAACTTGGACTCTACCGCCACCGAGCCCTGAGCCGCCAGGCCTGACAGATGAACAGCGCCAGCGAAACAGAACGCATCCTACCACTTCTCAACGAGGATATTGTTAGGCATATCGTAGAGATTATCTATCATGCGGAGATCCAACCTCCATGGAGTCGAATGGCGGAGCTGGCAAGAGTTAGCAAGCTCTGGTCCCGTCAAGTTCAACCGGTACTCTACGCTCATGTCTCGATCAATCTCTTCGACAAATGGATCTATTCCTCACTTCAACAAATCCCGAAACTAAGCGTGGTCGGGAATTGGGTTCGGCAGTGCGAATATTGAGCACAACGATCTATTCTACAGGCTATCGCACCCGAATTATGTCCACAAATCTTCCGGACCTACTGTCTCGCTGCTCAGCACTCTACGAATTGCGCCTTGTGTTAGAGGATGTCTTGGGGTTTGGAGAGCGGGTCATTGAGGATTTAAAGAGGACGAGTCCGCCAATATTGGCTCTCCGTATCCGAGACGGAATATCAGGCGGCAGTGCTGTGCGAGAGTTGCTGCAAGTATGGCCCACCCTCAAACATCTATCTCTTCGGAGCACAAGTTTCGCGCAATCGGCTCCCGAAGGTGAGTGAGAGTTGGCGTCATAGAACCGGTACTGAGGATTTACGTAGACGACGAGCCTTCCCCTCCTTTCCATCTCTACGAGTTTCGATGGGAGGGAATACGACCCCTGTCCGTTCAATCTCTACTTTGGTTGCTAAACTATGACCAAGGGAGATTGAATGGGGCTCATCTCCGCGTCCTTCATCTCGCATCCATGCCGGAGAACGATCACGATGGAGAATTAGCAAGCTATTACGGCCGATTCCTACATTCGTTACGGATTCCGCACCCCAATAGGAGACTTTTGGAATCTGCTCAACAAATCAGAGAGCTGGTGCTCTTTGACCATAAAGACATTACTCGCGAGTTACTGCGATCGTTACCTCCAGAAGTCCAACACATTGCATTCTCAATTCAAGATTTCCCTTCGGACTCGGTGGAGAACATTCTAATGATGCGCGATAGACAGTTTCTAAAGAACCTGCGCGTTATCAGTGTCTACCGCCAATCAATCAAGCCCTGGCCGGTCTACTGGGACCGGCTAGTTGCTCGCGCAGAAGCACTGGGGATCCTGATGGTGAGACAGGAGCATCGAGGGCTTCTCGTAGGTGGAGTGAGTGAAGCGATACTTCGTTTCTGTATTGACTGACACTCTACAAAGACCGAAGACCTCGTGGCGACAACCAGCTTTCCACGGCGTGTCACTATACGCCAATTTGATCGCATGGCGGCTGCTGTGAACACACTTCCGGCTATTTATACTGAGGTGGACAGTAGAGATCAAGGGTTTCAGCTACTGGCGCCGCCTGAACGATCTCGCGAATCCCTCTCGAACCGATCCGGTAACTCGGGATCACGGAACTCGCCATCGACACATGGACATAGGACTATTCACCTCGACGAGCCTTCCCATGCACCACGTCAGTGGGATTACGTTTACGACAAACCGCTAGAACCTATCAAGTTGGACGATCCGGTGGACCTACAAGCGAGTCACCAGAGTCGTTGGGGAACAATCCGACGCTCTATCGATGCATTCAAGACTCGTGTGAAGGAGACCCGCGCGAAATAGTCTTTTGATACCGGACGTTGATATCTGTTTTTGGACACTTTCGGACGATGCCTATGTAGTGTACAGGACCATTGCACGAATCAATATGTTGTAGTATCACGCGTATGGGTCTAAATATGTACGATAAGTCTAGCTCGGTATGGTCGTAAGGAGCAGGCTGATAAATAGAAGAGTGGTGTGTGAGTGTCTCTCCCTCTAATGTTTGCGCTTGATGACAATTTCGGTCATTGCGCTCAACGCCTGCTTTGCGTCCGAGTCGGGTAAATGGTCCAAGACTTCACGGGCCTTCACGGCATAACTCTCTGCAAGCTCGCGTGTGCGAGCAACACCCTTTGACGAGGCAACAATCTGACGAGCCTATCCATCAAGATGAGTTAGCAAGCATCCTTGGCAGTCAACCCGGACAACAGACCAGTTCGACATCGCCTTCACCCTCAAATCTTCGTTGGATCAACGGACCCATTTCCTCAAATTCTTCCCATGCATACAGAGTTGGGGCGGTTGCCAGTCCCAATCGGAGATCTGCGCCACCAGACGGTTTGCCAAACGAAGCGTCGGAGACGGCAAAGTCGAGCATGTCATCAATGAGCTAGTGCAGCATCAATATCGCCGATATTCGGCAAGCTTAGTAGAGACATACCTGGAACGCAATGCCGATATTTCGCCCATAGGCGTACGCCACCTCTTTCCATACTTCGCCCTCTTTCGCACCACCAAGCACGACAGATCCGCGGACGGTTTTGGCAATTAAGCTTGCAGTCTTGAGGTACGTCTTCTTGAGATAAATATTCCATCGTTCCTGGCTCACACGACCACTCGTGCCTACTATGCCCTCGGCCATTGCGGACGCGGCAACGGCTGTAGCAGCAGCTGCATCGTGATGCGTGGCAAGAGTTTCTGGTGCATGAACCTCGCGGACTTGCATGACCTCGCCCTCGACGAGATTAGCAATGATGCTCGCGACCAGCTCGACAACTTCGTTCTCGCCCAACCTCGAGAGAGCGGCGCTTGCGCGTCCGAGCAAGAAGTCGCCGCCGAGCACGGTCAACTTGTTGCCAAAGCTTGCGGGTCCAGAAGGGACACCGCGTCGGAGAGGCGAGGTGTCGATTACATCGTCGTGTAATAGCGATGCGACGTGGATCATCTCTGCTATCTGGGCGAGACGAATCTGTGTTGGGAGAATGTCGCCTACGACACGACTCTCTCCTAATGTACCCTTTGGTATGGGCGGTGGATGAAAGTCCAGTGGAGTCGATAAAGAGGGTGCAGGGAGCATGTTGAACACTGTCGAAAAGCTCGCTGTATGTTCTGGGATATTTGGGTTCCAATCATTCAAGACGTCTGATCGTGTCAAGGGTGCGTCCAAGCCACCCTTTAAACCCTTTGCACTTTCGACATCGGCCAACCACCGCTTGTTTTCCCAGCCTTGTCCGAGTCCATTTGTCGCACGTGCGAAGAGAAGGACAAGGAGGGGACGAAGTTGCTTGGACGGCTGGAGAAAGTAATACTCAGCAATCTGGGTCAGACCTGGATGTGCTGAACCCATGAGAGTGAGCATCGACTTGCGTAAATGCTCTAGTTCTGAGGAAACGAGCGCAAACGGGTCTGCGCTGTTCGTGGCAGAGGCTACACTTATTTTGGGGGAGGTGCTCAGATTCTGAGTACCGGCTTCCCGAGGAGAGGTGAGTGAGATATCTTGATGCGATGAATTGCCATATTTAAGGGCTTGGCGTTCTGTGGGCCGTTGGGTTGTTGACGACGGCTCTAGTGATGGCTGAGCATGTCTCTGGGCGACGTTTTGTGCTGCAAATGCAGTTGAATATCTTCTTGCTGTATGTACGGAGGCGTCTAGTCGTCGGAGAGCCTTGAACGACCTCATGCTGCAAAATTTTGGAGATGAATACGCGTTTAGAGCTCGGTCGGGCACGTCTACTTGTCGTGTAGTCGAATACAGTCCACAAATGAAGTATATTTTGAGATGAAAAGGGAGAGTTGGAATGTCAGCGCTGTTTTCGCAGATGGACTGTAGTGCTGCCGGGCTTACCGGTCAAGAATACAACAGGAGCGACTTGTTCTAGCGTTCCAAGACGTGAATCTCGTCGCCGTCGTCGTCTGCTACAGCTTTGGGGAATGCCGATGGCCAACGGTGTGGTCGAAAGCGCGTTGAATTGGCCAGAGCCGTCGTCACTGAGCTCGTCATGGACGAGAGGCGTGCGAATATTTTGTAAAAATACATTTCTGGATTTTATTGGGAATATTGTTGAGAATCTGTGAGCCGCCACCACGCGTCGAGTCTAGTGCGCGCTTGGCTCCTGACCACGTTCCATTCTACCGCCCAAGTGCTCGTTTATCATCAAAGACAAGAGCCTAAACGATCAAAAGGAGACAAGGGAGTATGAGACAATGTCCGTCAACATGCCGCACCTGCATTCGCTCTTTGCGAGCCTGCTTGATGGTGGCCAAGACGGTCCAGGCCCGCACACGATCCTCCTGCTCTCGATAACAGGCGCTGTAGTCATTTCTGCGTCGACGATGCCAGCTCAGACGCGCCAGAGGACCGTGATCACAATTGCAGCCGTCGCAGTCGAGACCTGGAACAGCATGCTCGAGCTTCAGGAACTAGACAAGGATCCAAAGAAGGATAGTATAGAGAATGGGGAAGACAAGGCCATAGGAGGTTGGGCGACGGTTGAGGCAAGTGATTACCACGTTTGCGTTATCTTCATTCTGACACTGGTACAGTTTGGGAACGTGTTCGTGTGTTCAATTCCACGACCTGACAAGACGGAACAGCCGCTGTTTCTGATTGCAGTCAGTGGTGCCGAAGAGATCGACTTGGACTTGTTAGAAGAGAGGGTGAGCAGCTGTTCCTATGCACTTGTCGTCACATGCCAATCATCTCCAGGCCAAGATGCTCGCAGAACACCTGTCGCCCATCTTTGCGGGGTACACCGACCCTGCGTCGCCCACGTCCGCGAAACATCGCCGGTGATTGTTAATAGCGAGCAGGTGTCTTGCTTCTGGTTCTCGCCGTCAGCGTGTAGCTTCTTCTCTCCCAGAGTTCGCACTTGAATCGGAATCGTGTTTCCCCTATGAGCGACGTGAGAAGGAGCTCAGAGTCATGTGTTACACTGTCTGAAACCAGTCTCAGATGTATATCAGATCCAGTAACTCGTAGATATTTCGACTAGCAGCCAGTGGCACAAGGTCCACCTGCTTTGTTGTCGTCTTTCATTTTCCACTACGTCCACGGCCAACCGGCCATGGCCTCTCCTCCTCCTTCGAGCTCGTCAAAGTTTCGAGCAGAACCGTTTGTGAATATGACCTCGAGCACACTGGACAGTGCTCGGTCCAGCGTTTCGTCCAATAGCACAGGCGGCGCGCACGCTCGTCCCCTCGGCGCCGCCGTCTCGCTCGTTCCGGACGCACACCGCAGACCAAACCGACGAGCCTCGACTACTGTTCTCGACGAGAGCACTCGGGTTCCAGATGAACCCCCGAGCCCATTCACGACCGGCCGTCTCTCAACTTCTTCTGCCTCGGGCACCAGCCACGCCTTTTCAGTATTTCAGGCTCACACACCAAGTTTTACTGGTCGTGGCTCGGTGGGAACAATCTCAGACGTTCAGCGCTCGTCCATCACCTCGACCGTCTCGTCCTCGAGTCGGCGATCCTCTTACGAGGGCGGTGGCGGACTGGAAAAGATACACACCGGTCAAGGAAAGAGCAAACGAAAGCCAATATCAGTACAGCAATGGGGAATGATGAACACGTTCAAGATTCGACCCCCGACCGCGCTCGAGGCCAGCGGAAGCGGGCCTTTGTTTCCTCCAACGCCGCCAAGTGTTGCCCCGCATCAACAGTATATACCCTATGTACCAGAGAAGCTCTATTGGTCCCCTCGATCCGATTCCGCCGACCGACGAGCGCGACCGACCAATCCACTTTGTCTCGGAACCCTCTATCGTTCATCAGCAGCCTTTGTCCTCACCGACAATCCCGCGTCGAACGTCAGTCGTGTCCCCCAACCTGCCGCCATCCTCCACTCAGGTCCCAAAACACACTCGGAAACGAGCAAGGTAGTCCAGACGCTGCGTGACCACGACAACCCTGACGCATTTACAGAAAGGAGGCACCGCTGGATCCTATAGCGCCATCTTTCCATCACGAAGAACTGCCTAGAGGTGATCCAACGGAAATGGAAGGAGTTCAGGTCATACAATCGCCTCAAACGGCTCCAGTACTACCCACGCTACCATCTCCAACGACCCAGGCACCCCTGGCGCCGGAACAGCCAATTGAAGCAAGTACTAAGAGCCCTGTGATCGCCACTCTACCCCCGCCTCCTTCGACTACGCCGTCCGCTGGGCCGTCGATGGGTTTGACGACACAGGCTCCCCCAGCAGTCTCGTATAGTACCATAACTTCGTCGTTTTCGTATCAACCAACAAAGTATGACCTCAACGAGCGAATCTTTACGCTCCCCGACACAGATCCACTCGATCGGGGAGGGCAGCCGCCCAAAAAATGGAACATTATTCACCACAAGTCGCGTACGCTCGCCGGCGGCGAGATTGCGCTCAAGCGCTGGGTCAGTCAGGGCGAGCTCGCAACGCCCGCGACTCGCCCTGTAGGTTTCAAGCCGGTGCCCTTGGTCCATTTGTTGCCGATGGCTCAAGGCGGCTCAATGGCCGTTGTTCCAAGCGGTGGGACGACTACCTCGACGCCGCTTGCGAATCCTTTTGTTACAAGTGGCAGTAGTCTTACTGCGCAGCCTTTTCTTCCTCCAGCACCACCGGTAATACCAGCCTCTACTGGTGTTAAGAGGGTCAAAAAAGTCAAATCCGAAGCCGACCTCGGTGGTTCAGAGGCGAGCGGCGTGACGACGCCAAAGCGAAAGGCTCCTGGCACGGGTGTGAAAAGGACCAAAAAGGTCACACCGGCAAAGTCAAAGTCGCTTTTCCCCAAAAAACCTGGACAACCTAATCTCATCTCGCTCAGCCGCGAACCGTCAGAGGAAGGAGACGCAGAAATGCTAGACCCATAGTTCAACTAAACTGCATTCGAAAGGATATCATCTTAAACTCTTCCATGCATTTCAACGTCCCCTCGCGCAATATACCAAACGATCTATCACAACCGTGATGGATCATGTCGCGTTCGGTATCTTCGGCTAATTCAACTTTCGAGCATTATTCACCCCTAAAACTACTTCACATCACTTCTATTTCTGGTTTCTTCGGTTGAGTCGGTCCTTGGTGGCATTTTGTCCGTGTATCTAGCGCGTGAGTTACTGCTGTGTATTTTCTTAAACAAGATTTCTATCATCCAAGGATAAAGTTTGAGTAGATCAGGAGTTTTCCTTGGTGAAAGTGGTGCACGCACCATGAGCTCGTCCCTGTTGTTCAGTACGTTTGAAGTCTCGAAGCAAGTCTTCTTCCGCACGGCAACGACTGCTGCAATCGTAAATCTCAAGCCACTCGTTCCCGGTCGTTCGTCTTGTTTCTCGCCTCTTGTACCCGTAGCAGCAGGTTGACATCGGACTCGGCCTATTGCGTCGTCGCTTCCTCTTCGACACTATTTCGACATCCAATCGTGCCTTTTATCATGCTTGAATTCTGTAAAATTGGGATGAAACTGGCCATTTCGACGCGTCAGATGTTCTGGTAATACCGACACGAGTCGTGCCGCGGTTCACAGACTTGACGCCAAAAGAAGTCTCTTCGCTCTTCAAATCTGTCCAAGTCGTCGGTCGGACAGTTCAACAGGCGTACAAGGCAGATGGATTGACAATTGCATGCCAAGTACGTCCTCCCACTCATTGTCTAACCTTATCTGACCACGTACCCGTCATCTACATGAATCATCTTCGTTGGATAGGATGGCGAGGCGGCTGGTCAATCCGTCCCACACGTTCACATCCATATCATCCCGCGTAAAGCCGTTGGAGATCGCTTCTCGCAAAATGACGAGATCTATCCAGAACTAGAAAAGCATGAAGTACATATGCTCGGCGATATCAACGGATCTAATGGTGCGGAAGGTCCCACGGTAGACGTTCACCCGAACAGTGCATTAGAAACTAAAGCCCACGGTGTGGAAGGCAAAGGTCGAGGGTCGGATCGTGGGTCGTTTGCTGTTGATGACGCGTTACGAAAACCACGCTCCGCAGAAGATATGGAACGCGAGGCGGCGTGGCTCACCGGACTGGTCCCCCCGCCTCCGGAGGACATTGATGAATGAGCGTTTTTAGCACATATTTCAAACAAGGTGGATACAGGCTCTATTTGCAGAACAAACGCCTTAGCGTAATACAGAAAACTCCTACTTCATATCGCACAACGGCCAGCCTAGGAGTCAGCAGCATTTGTAAAATGAATGGCTATGACCTGTCCGTTTCTCATACCAAATGCCACTTTATTTTGGTGTTTGGTGAAGGCGAGCCATCTAAATTCTTCAGGAAATCTGTATCTGCGCTGCGGATGAGAAAGACACCACAGCTCATTGCTGTGTGCGTCGATAGAAATCTCGGATTCGGGGGGCTCCGGGAAGGTAATCGTGTGGGTAAGGGAAATAAGTAGCTGAAGGCGACCTTGGGAAATGTCGAACACCATTCTATTATTGACCTGTATTGTCCGTCCGTCCTCGGCAAAGCGTAAACTATTGGCGTATGCATTCAGTGGATAGGGAGATCCCAGGCCGGATGCAGTCGCAACAGCCCACAGTCGGAGTGTTTTATCGTCGGACCCAGATACAAGATAAAGACCATCTGGCGAGAATATGGCGCATGCGATTTTGCCGGTATGTCCTTTTAGCTCTGCGATATGTGCGCCAGTTACCGCGTCCCACATCTGGAGAGTTTTATCGTAGGACCCAGACACGACTCGCCGCCCATCCGGTGAGAATTCTAGGCATGTGACCACATCGGTATGCCCTCTCGTATCTCCGGTTCCAGAGCTAGTCACATCCCATAATCGCAGTGTCTTGTCCCATGACCCACTGGCAATATGAAGCGTGTCCCGCGAAAACGCCAGACATGTAACGCCACTGGTATGACCCTTCAGCTCGGTGACACTTGCCTTGCCTTCCACATCCCATAACCGTAGAGTTTTATCATCAGACCCAGATACGATGCGGAGTCCATCTGGTAAGAACAGCAGGCATGTAACTGCCTTCGTATGTCCTCTCATCTCCCCAATACTACCACCAGTTCCCACATCCCATAGTCGCAGAGTCGCATCTCGAGAGCCGGATACCAGAAGAAGTCCATTGGGTGAGAATGACAGGCACGTTACTGCCTCGACGTGTCCTTTAAGCTCTCCAACATTGACTCCATCTGTTATGTTCCACAACCTCAATGTCGTATCTCGGGACCCAGATGCGAGGAGGCCGTTGGGAGAAAACATCAGAGATGTAATAGCGTCATTATGTCCCTTGAGCTCTCCGATATTCAACCCGGTGGTTGCATCCCATAGCCGCACAGTTGCGTCTCTGGACCCGGACGCAATATGGTGCCCGGCCGATGAGAATGCCAGGCACGTAACTTCCTTAGTATGGCCGTTCAGTTCTGCAATACTCTCTCCGGTCATTGCATCCCATAGTCGCAGGGTTGTATCTTGCGATCCGGACGCGATAAGGCGTCCGTCGGGCGAGAATCCCAGGCATAGTACCGCCTTATTATGCCCCTTCAACTCTCCGATGCATGTACTCGTCGTCGCATCCCACAGTCGTAGAGTTTTGTCCCAGGACCCAGACGCAATACGAAGCCCGTGGGGCAGGAACGCCACACAGGTAACCGCCTTGGTGTGTCCTTTCAGCTCTCCAGTACTCACACCAGTGTTTGCATCCCATAGCCTCAGGGTTTTATCGTCGGATCCTGATACCATGAGTGTACCGTCTGGGGAAATTGCGACGCAAGTGGTACCGTTTTCATGTCCGGCTAGAACTCTATGGGAGGGCCAATGCTCCGAGAGTGGCCCAACAATCTTTGGGATCCGATGAGAGAACTTGCTTGCGTATGTAGTCCATAGTCTTGTCTTCCGAGGGAGAAACAACATTGCTGAGGAGTAGATGTGCAGTGCACTCTCCTCAAGCATCTTCTGGTGCCGTTGTACAGTTCGAATTACATCGTGACACAGCTGACACGATATTCGTCAATCTACGCATCGTGCGCTTTAGCGGCTCACCTCGAATCCAGTGGCATCCAGGCGCTGGGATTCAAAACCCTTGCGAACTTCTTGAAAGCTCCGAAAGAGATGTATCTGGCCCATCAAGCTCAATAGCTCTATCAGGTGTAATATGTGCGTAGTTAGAAGCATTCGTAGCTCCTTAGTGACGCTTCGGTTCGTGACAAAGGGTGCGACATGAGAGCCCCAGTACCTGACAGAGTATGATAGTGCCGGAAACTTGTCCCATAATTGCTGGAGGCGCTCGTCCAAATCGAGGATGTCTCGATTGTTTGGATGCGCCTCGTCCGGTTGACGAATCGCACAAATGTCCTCCTTGAGCTCCCCCTGGAGAACTCGAAGAACAGATACAGCCAGGTTTGATTGTACCGTTGTCACTTCCAATGGCATAATCGTATTCGAGGTGCTGACGAGGTACTCGCGGAACGTCGGATGAAGAAACTCAATGACACTACCCACCCGGAACACACTCTCCATTGACAGCAAAATCTTCTCGAGCTGCGGGTGTGTGATGTCCGTAAGCCTTGCCAGAGCCTCAGTCGATACCGGCTCGAACAAGGTCAGGATAGTACCGATGACCTTACGTATGACCTCCAGAGACCTCTCTCGGATAACTCGGCGTAGGATGTTGGCGTAAACCTGGTTCAGATCCTCACCCTCGCCTCTATTCAATAGGGTTTTGAGAGTCGTGTCGATTGCGTGTGGATCTTGAGCTTGTTCAAGTTCCAAGTGCGCCGTGGTGATCCAGATGAAGAGACCATTGGAACGCTCTACGAGCTGCTGACGGTCGGCCGGGTTGAGCAGTTTGGTCAGATGGGCGTCGACATATGCCTTGATGTCATTTACGTTGGACCGGTCCTCTTTACCGTGCATCTTGAAATGCATTCCACTGACAATCGCTCGACTTTGAAGCAGAGCGGCGATGTCAGGCTCGGGACGGCTTGTGATGAATAACTTGAGTTTTGGTAGTGTGGGGATCTTCTCGACTAGGAGGCGGAGCAGCTCTCCTCTCATCTCTTTGTCGCACTCGTCTATCGCGTCGACAACGACAATGACGTCGGCGTCTGCAAAATGCAGTGGCTCCTCGACTAGCTTGATGAACTGGTAGCGTAGTCCTCTTTCTAGAAGCTGGGTGTCCTTTTGCTTTGCGTTCCGGACACACTCCATCACCACTTCATTCTTCGATCCGATATCTTCTGCGACGACAGAGCAGAACGCATCCGTCTCCGACGTCTGACGCGCATTCTTCGAGAAGAAGAACCGACCGAATACGGCTTGTGCGTTGTCCCATTCCTCGCACATGGTCGCCGCGACGGTAGACTTTCCGGACCCGGGCTCGTCGCATAGCCAGAACACGCGTTCGTCCGGGTTGGGATCTAGGTGCCACCGTCGAATTTCTTGTAGAATAGGCTCTCGGGTCCCCGGTAGGCACGGCTTGTGTTGGGTTCCCATCGGGCGAGGCTTCTCTGGACCAAGGCGCGTCATCTTCCACCCTGAAGAAGAATCAGAACAGGGGAAAGATTTCGCTAATACCCACCATCTATCCCTAGTTGCATCTGACATTGTTTTGTTTTGTCCTATACCCCGTCGAGCAAATAGAAGGTAATACGGTCGAGGTTCGTACCTCGAATGTACGGGTGCATTGCTCGATTTGTTGCTTATAATCTGCAATAGTGCCAGGCTCAATCCTAGCATCCGCGAATTTTTGGAGCCCTCTAAGGCCCTTCTCCCGATTGCGTGAAAGCTCGTCTATCTTGACAAGTATTTCTTTTAAGCCACTGATTGTATGTCAGAGAAGAGCGTTGTGGTTGGATATTATAGCGTACTCGACATAATCCTTCAGTGCGTGCTGAAAATCCTTGAGAGCATTGGGCATCGGGACCCTTTTGCGCGTCCTCAGTGACCTTGGTATACTCTGTATCCAAGATCGCAACATGCTCTAGAAGGCCATCTCTGAGCTGTTTGAGCCCTTTTGTGTTCTCGTTGATGCTCTAGACGTGCAGTCAGCCGGAAGCCCGACGTCAACAACCAAGCGGCTCATACCCTCAATGTCTCGAGAAACAGAAGCGACATCTCACAAACTGCTTTGAGTGGACCGAGAAGCGAGGTAGTCTCGCTTGCGGCCTTGACAACCTTTAGACCCCCAATGAAGCCATCGCGTGTTCGTTCATAAGAGATGTCACCGCCTTGAGGGGATACATTCGAATTGGAAGCATTTGAATAAGTTAATCTGCGCATTCGCTTGAAGGCTTGCATCACGGACGACGATCTTGAGGATGGCGGAGAGCAAGTTATCAGCCAACCGATGGCCTGAGCCTGACGCGGTCACATGGACTAAACTAAATTATGTGCATAGGTATATACCCCGAGCACAGGATTCGAGGTTAGCCTCGATGTACTGAAGTTCAGACTCCCTTTCTAAAGACGATGCGCGATGAACGTGTTTTGTGCACTGTCGCAGTACTTTGGAGCGACTTCCCAGCACGGCCTTGCTGGTCGCGAACCAACCTTGCTCGCGGCCGTCAACAAATGAGAGATATCTGGCGGGATTACAGAGGTTAGTTCAAAGCAGCTCTGTTTGTCTGCGAAACAATATAATACAGTATTCTAGTTTCCGTTGTCTTCTCGAGGAGGGGTCCCTGTACGTGCGACGTAAGATGCCGGTTGCATTCGATGGCTAGCCTAGGTCGATGTAGACTTTGACGCTTCTCCTTGCTTGACATCTGTCGAACGAGGGCCCCTTTGGCAACGGAGGTGGGGTGCAATCCTTACCGCGATTTCGCAGTGCAGCTTCAGCCAACGATTCCTCTCGCGTTTTGTAAACGTAGTGGTGAGGGTATTGAAGTGTCGACTCTGCTTCTGCCTCTGCCGGTGTAGGTTTCGGTACGGATGGAAGTGGTGGCGCTGGCTCGTTTTCCGCTGCACGACGGCGACCCCAAGCATATCTCCTATAAGTTACCTGTTAGCGAGCAATAGAAGGAGGATCTGTTCGTACATTCTAATCCACGTCTTTGGCTTCATGCTCATCATCTCTGGGGCAAGAAAGTTACTAAATGTTGTCAACGAATGAGAGACATACGTTTGTCGGCCAGCTCGGACCACTTATTCAGCTTTGCAGGATCCCATCCCAAACGTTTCATCACCGCATGACCTGCACGGTGTGCACTCTGGAGGGGTATGTCAACAGACGTCCTATCAGTCCTAAAGCCCGCATACCATGAGGTCTTGGCGCATCAATGCTCCTATGTAGCCAAGTTGCTGCGTCTGCACCTCCGAGTTTCCTTGCACCCATGGACCTGGAGAGAATCAGAGACGGACCGTGACACACATGAAGCACGTACCAATTGGTAGGTATAAACTGGACGTTCGACAAGTTTCGGGATCCATAATGTCGTCTAGCCAAAGTCCCTCGTCCATTGCTTTGGACATTCCGTAGATGTCGCTCTTCCCTGTGCTCATGGCCCCTCGTCTCATCTCTACACAGTGACTTTAGCAAGATAGGAGAGAACTGATGAAACTACTTGCCATAGACGATGCGCTGGAACCATGATCGGTCAGTCTGATCTGGATTGTCCTCATCTTCTTCGAGGGCAAATGGCAGGTATACATGCTGATCCTCCGCATACATGTCATAGTCGACATCCATCCAGAGCGCGATACCTCCAGGCTTCAAGCATTGGTGACCATCATCCATGGTTTTTCGAAAGTTTTTGAGGCCGCTGCCTACGAGCCTCATATGCACGACGTCGAAAGAGTCTCTGAAATGGTCCAACCCAAGATTGATATCGTCAATCTCGAACCGGCAGTTGGGAGGCATCGTATCGAGGTCGGCTGGGACAGGAGCGAGGTCCACGCCAATAACTTCGGCCTCTGGGAACTCACGTGCCATGTCCATTGCCCTGGAATCAATGAGCGCCATGCTTTGACCAGGTTAGGACATAACGCACCAAACCCCTGTTCCGCAGCCTTCATACGAGAGTAACGTCAATAGAGGCGCTTATAATCGACTCTGACTTACCTAAATCCAATATTCTCTTTGTTTGGCCGGGAACGGGTGCCAGAAGTGCGCGAACTTCTTCCACTGCAGGGTAAAGATCTCCAAGGGAGAGTACGAGAGCAACATGTTGCTTATTTCTGTTCGTGATAAGGCGCTGCGGTTGAACGTAACAGGTTTACTGACAGTCTGCTCCACTCGTCATCGTCTGAGCCCATCAGTTCAGAGCCTGTTCTCCATCACGGTGGAAAGAATCTTACCTGATGGAAGAAAATATGTTTCACTCAGAGTGTTGTACGCCTAAATTTCAGCTGTCAGCCGTCAATCGTCGAAGATTGAATGAGAAGTGACTTCTCGAGCGGGAGAAGATCCACTAGAGCAGAGCCAATTCCGATATGCATACTCACTCGTCCTCCGATTCGCTTTATGAAGCGTCCAGCGTCAATCTCGCTGCGATAGGTGTATTTCGATGACCTACTCCTGCTATCGTCCGCGGTGTTGTCGTGCGTATTCGATGTATCCGTGGGGTAATTGTGATGCTCTTGCTCGTCTGTAGCTACAGAAGTGTCTGCCATCGAGGGAACGTATGCTGTTGTCGCTGCTTGCGATGGGGTCAAGTTGAATGCGGCTTGATCAAGTCTTGGCCGCAATCCTGGGTTCGCCCTGAGCAGACGTCAATGGATCCGGTGTGGATTCCGGGGGCTTGGTAAACTGACATGTTTTGTGACGGCTCGTATGCCATATTAGATGATCGGGTGTATTTTAGGAGGATTAGGCCTGCAGAAATGCTCAGAGTGGCGTCGAAGCGGCGATGGGAGGGTCCAGGTTTGTCGTGTTGCTATTCGACTAAGCCGTGAGGCTGAAGTAGAGCCACCCCTACCCGTCGAATCAAGGGTTGTTTCGCAGCCTAGAAGCCTACTTGAACATGTCTATGAGTGAAACAACAGGCGCTTAATGGTTTTTCCACTGGACCGAAGCGCAGGAGTATCACCGCCGATGCCAACTCCCCATGCGTTGGAATGCAGCCGAGGCCTGAATATACCCGCATTCTGTCTCGACCTCTGCGCCATTCCAGTGGTGTCACTTTGCAGGTGCGATCATTCCGAGGAGAATGTGCAGCTGCTGGTGCCTTCCAAATCTTGGACCCGTGGCCATTCCTCTTAATAAACAATTTGGCCAAAGCCATTGTTACATTACTCTCATAAGCAAAGAATTTTATAATATCACATCACTCATCGACGGACGAGGCCTGGTAGACTCTTCGCACAGTCGACAACTACATATCCCAAAGAGTGTATTTCCGCAGCCTGTGAGCGTGTATACAAGGATGTTGGAAATCATCTCCCGCCCTATCGTCCAGATGCGACCCTGTGAGGCTTAGGATGTGTGCCATCAACTGAATTCATCCGCTCATTTGGAGTGTCAAAGAGTAGAGATTAGATATAAGCATATCTCCGAGTGTACCAAAATCATACGGCGATCTGGTTTTCATAGTATTGGCATCCCGAGGAATAGACCCTACGACCCGAGGATCAGTTGCGATTGCATTTGGTGATTGATCCTGTTGGAACTAGCCCACACTTCTCCCATGTCAAACCAATCTGAAAAATTGCTTATGGAGTGGTAGGTGGGACGCCGTTTAGCGGTGGAGGTGGAGTGCAATCTTTGCCGCGATTTCTAAGTGCAGCTGCGGCCAACGACTCTTCACGCGTTTTATAAATGTAGAAGTGTGGATACCGGAATATCCGTCTCGCATCTGTCGTGGCCGGTGTAGGTGTCGGTACAGACAGGAGTGGCGGCGCTGGCTCGTTTTCTGCAGCACGACGGCGGCCCCAAGCATATCTCCTACAGCTTATTGTCAGCAAATCATCAAACGGACGCGATGGAATCGAAGAAGAGGATTCGTGCGCACATTCTATACCACATCTTTGGGTTCATGTTCATCAGCTCTGCAGAAAAAATGTCAGTATACACTGTTGGTAGATGAGGAACATACCTTTATCACATAGTTTAAGATACCTGTCCAAATCTTCGGGATCCCAGCCAAAATCTGTCATCACTGTACGACATGCGTGAAATGCACCCTAGAGGAATGTTTGAACCGAAGTGGTATGATACTTATAACTTGTATACCATTAAATTCTGGCGCATTAATGTCCCTATGTAACCCAGTTGCTGTGTCTGTATCTCCGAGTCTCCTTGTGCCCATGGGCCTAGAAAGAATCAGAGAAGGATAGATTGAGTTGCACAGGTTATGTACCGACTGGTAAGTAGAGACTGGCTGTTCGACACGTTTCGGGATCCATGAGGCCGTCAGCCAAAGTCCCTCGTCCATTGCCTTGGCCATTCCGTCAATATCACTCTGGCGTGCTTTCATAATTCGCGTCATTTCTCAACACGTTTGTCAGCAGGAGAAAGATACCTTTGACTATTCTTACCATAGCTAATACGCTGGGACCAGGACCGGTCGGTTTGGTCTGGATTGTCCTCGTCCTCATCTAGGGCGAATGGCTGGTAAATGTGCCAGTCCTCCGCGCACATGTCAAAATCAGCATCTGCCCAGATTGCGATGCCTCCCGGTTTGAGGCATTGATGGACATCGTCCATAGTCTTTCTAAAGTTCTTCAATCCAGTCCCTACGAAGCGCGTATGCACAACATCGAAGGAGTCTTTGAAATGGTTCAATCCAAGATTGATATCGTCGATCTCGAACCGGCAGTTAGGAGGTATCGCTTCGAGGTCGGCTGGAACAGGAGTAAGATCTACCCCTACAACCTCTGTATGCGGAAACTCATGCGCCATGTCTATTGCCCCGGGGATCCAGTGAGCGCCTGTATCAGAGAATAACACAGCGTACCATATGCCTGTTCCGCAGCCTGAAAGGGAATTGAGGTCAATGACGGCATTCGGGATCGACTTCGACTTACCCAAGTCCAATATTCTCTTTGTTTGGCCTGAAACAGGTGCCAAAACCGCGCGAACTTCTTCTGCTGCGGGGTAAAGATCCCCGAGACCTAACTGCGAAAGTAATGTGTTCCCTATTCCTGTTCTCGAGTGTGTATCCTTCCAAAACGTGGCAGTGGTACTCACAATCTGCCCCACTCATCGTTGTCTGGGTCCGTGAGTTGAGAGAGCATTCGCCGTCATAATGTAGAGAATCTCACATGGAAGAAAGTATAGCTCATTCAGCGTGTTGTACCCCTGTACGCATTGACAGTCAGCCGCCAGCTGTTAACCCATCTCGCAGCAGATTGAATGAGGAAGGACTTTCCGGGGAGAATGAAATTTCCGATATGCATACTCACTCTTCCTCCGACGTGCTTTATGAAACGTGCAGCGTCAACATCGCTGCGGTAAGTGCATCTCGATACCCTGCTCGATACCCGACTCGTGCCATCTGTGGGGTTCTCGTTGCCCCGTGATTCGCCTGTAACTACAGAAATGTCTGCAATTGACCGAGTATATGTCGTCGTCGCAGCTTCAGATGGGCTCAAGTTGAAGGGTGCTTGATCAAGCGTTGGCCGTAAGACTGGGATCGTAGCTCGAATGCCGGGTCTTCGCTGAACTGATGTGTGTCGAGGTTCCATGTAACGTTGTGAAATGTACCTTAGGATTCGACCTGGATTACCTGGCCGCCAGTAGCATGCAGCCCGGGTATTGTGAGGAGGGGGAGTGTCCAAGTAGAAATCGTTTGTTGATAAAGCCAAGATCGTCGAGTACCGCCGATCAATACTAACTCGTTATGTGTAAATAATGCGGCTGACCGCGTCCATTAAATATAAGTGGCCGAGCCCTAAAAGCCCGAAATTCCGTCTCAGTTGATTAATTTGGGCCATGTCCTTTCTATGTGTGGTCCCACTGCAGGGAACTGCCGTCTTCCAAATCTATGGCACACATCTTAAACCGGTCTCCATCCCTGTCAGCAAATAGTTGGCTATATATCATGGCGACATTACTCTCAAGAGCCGAAAAATCATACATCATCACATCGCTCACCTCCAAACCGCCCTTACGGCATGACGGACGGGGACCTGTAGACTACCGTCTGATTGGACTCGCACGCGCGGAGACAGTGTCGCACCTCTAGCAAACGGTAGTGCAAAGATCCGCGTTGGTGGCACAGAAGTCGTCGCAGCCGTGCGACTCGAAGTCGAGGACATCGATTTGGAACTAGACGAAGGCCGTATGCGATGCAACGTTACCTGGTACGTCTAGTCATGGATTGGATGCAAGATATTGATGAGTGGTATCAGCTCTCCCGCTGCATATCCACATCTTTCAGCGAACCAGCAAGACGACATTCAAAAAGACTTGACATCCCTGCTACAATCTACATTCTCTCCTACGAAATCTCATGATTCAAACGGAGACTCGTTTACGAGTGTCATGAGCAAGAGTTTGACGATTTTGCCTGGTCGAAAGGCATGGACAATGTATCTCGACGCGGTCGTACTATCAGATGCAGGAAACGTGCACGATGTGCTCTTTCTCGCGTGCCGTGCAGCGATATGCGACACGCGTGTTCCACGAACGCGAGCGGTCGAGTATGCCCAACCCTCAAAAGGATCATCAACGCGTAGAGCAGGAGAGACTGGTGGAGAAATGGACGTAGAAGAAGAGGCAGATATATGGAAAACGGCCGTACAGAGCAAACGTGCCGCTCGTGCCGCAGATTTCGAACTCGAGGACACGGCGGATGAAGGTGGTTGGCTCGAAGGAAGGGAGCGATGCCCGGTCGCTGTGACGCTCAATGTCGTGGGTACTTATCCTTCCCCGGCTTTGGGTACTGTTGACATCTGCTTGCTTAGCTGCCGACGATGCACATCCTAGATGCTACACACGCAGAAGAGCAGGCTGTCCCGCTCAAGCTCGTGCTCATCTACTCCTTTGCCACTATATCCACACAGAAGGAGGGCGAGTTTATGGGCATGCGATTGCTGGGACCCGGACAAGTTCCAATGGCGTATCTTTCTGGATTGATACAGGTCAGTCGGCAATGAAAGTAAAGAGTTTTCCTCTTATTCTTACAGGAAGGAGAGACGTATGCGAAGCAACTTGTAAGCGCGCTGAACGTGCAAATGGAGATCAAGTAAACGCCATTTCATGGGAAATCCCTCAGTGTCAGAGACGGTGTGCGTTTGCAAAGTTTGGATTTCAAAGTCCATGTGAAAGATGGATATACAGATAACTAGGATAAGTGAGCACTGGGCAGCCACCTAGGCGAGCAAGAGACATGGCTAGGATACACGAGGGTTCGAGTCTAATTGGACAACCAAAGAGAAGTGCGTCGAGTCGTCATGAGAGTAGGATCAGGGGTCAGTCAAGGTGTCGGAGGTTGGTCGAGGAGGAAGAATGAGATGTCGAGGTAGGAGGATCTAGGTGAGCAAGTCTTCATTTGCCAGTCGACAGCTTGCGCAGGTTCTTGAAGGCGCGCGAAAACTTTTGGCTCATAGTCGGGCCACCACATAGGATTGCAGCGTCTTCTGTCGACTCTTCTTCGCTCTCCTCCGACTCGCCTTCTGTCGAGGGTGTTGTCGACGAGGATGATGTGGTATGAGACGATTGGGATGTCGGCGGCGAGGCGGATCGCTGCATGGCAGCAAAATGGGCAGCCGCGCTGAAGCGTGGTTCGGCGTGCGACCGGGTGATTCCCGTTGTCGCAGCTTGTTGGTGCAGAGGATGGTGCTGCTGTGGGTTGAAGATGGAGTGGATATCCTGCGCCATTTGACGCGGATCCTGGCCAAAGCCAAAGACGCCCATGGTGGGTGCGTACGTGCCCTTTGGGAACATTTTCAAAGATAAGATTGGTTGCGAACGAAGAGGTGCAAAGGTGAGCTTTGGCTAGTGTCGCTGGCTGCTGAGTGCCCGACGTATGGTTGGTGCGTGTAGCAAGAAGAAGACTGCGAACGAAGAGGCGTTGTTTGCCTGGTAATGAGCTCGCAGAGAGTTCAACCAGAGATGATGTGGACGAGTTGTGGACCTTTGGCAGAGACTCAGAGGTCGACAGGGTTATATCGCTCGACCACCCCATTGTTCGCCACGACCGGAGACAAAGCAAGCAAGGCTTCGGTAATTCAGTCGGGGAACGTCCTATTGCTTGCTCGAAAGATCATTGATCCCATTGTTCTCCCAGGCACATCATTTCCTGCAATACAAGCTTCTACCGTCGCCGCCAGCCCCAGTTCGCCGTCCATGCCAGCAGCGAACCAAGCAATCCAACATCCCGTCGCTGTGGAATTTCTCCTACACATAGAGTATGTATCGATTCTAGCTGATGGACCTCTTCGCTCTCGACCAGGGGATCTACACAACTCCGATTCCGACTCCGACTCATTGTCGTCTCCGGTGGAAGCGCAAGGTCCTTGACGCCCCCATTGGGCGTCACAATCGGACTCGGATTCGTCGGCCTTTCTTCCTCCGCGTCTTCTCCTCTTGGAGGTTCTCGGGCCGCATTGTCGCGATTGTAGGGCGCCGACCACAGGCCAACGCCTGACAAACCCGGTGGATGGAGTGGAATTCGGCGTGAAAAGTCGGGTGTTAGGCTTGGTCGTCGTCGGTGCTCGACCCGGCGCGACGAAGAGGGATCGGTCGAATGGGAATGGGAAGGCATATGTGATGGAGTAATCTCTTTGGTCGGGGGATTTTGTCTGTGAGTATGTTGTTTGGAGACCGCTGATGCCTACAGTTCATCAGCACGGTTCCCATCAATTACTTTCAGAGCAAACACTCACCTCGAGGCGTTTTGACCGCCGCAGAGACGCTGTTCGCCTTGTTTCTGTCCGTGAATTGAGTGGATTCTCATGCCCAACGACGGCATGCAGCTGCTTTGCTAAATCGTACACTCCTTCTTCATCTTCCCCTGTCGTCGCCGTATCCCCTCGTCTGTGATGATGGTGAAAGGAAATATGCAGCCCATTTCCTAATCGAACGACTGTTCTCTCTTCCCGTGATCTGGGCCTCTGTCGTCGACGTTTCTCCTCCTGCTGCGGACCGCCAACAGTGCTCGCTTTGGCTGATGCAGGATTCGTTGGGTATCCACGTCGACCTCCACCATATACTGTCATCTCTTCCTCATCTCCGCACGACGACAGATCGTCTTCTGTCTCTGTATCGCTCTCGCCGACCCAGATATCGGCCTTTTCAAACTCGTCTGGCAAGATCATCTTCCGCTTCCCAGTTTTTCTCGTTTCCTTCTTTGACGCTCGAGACAATAGCGTAAGAGTCGAGCCCGATGTGGCCGGTAGTGTAAGGCTGCGATGGTACAAAGGGCTCCAAGTTAAAGCACAGAGCTAAGTCTTTGGAGCTGACCAAGTTATAAGTGTCAACGAGGTGCCCGCGCGCAAAGTCGTGATCTAGCTGCGTCTGACGCGCACAGACTGAATGGGTGTCGCGCCCGCAGTTGTCCACAGCCAGTCCCCGGCTACGGTCCACAAACATACACCAGCTTCTCTATCTAGTCTTTTCAGAATTCACGGCATCGTACATGTGACATTTACATCCTCATTCGCCCTCGGGTCCCATCAAACCTGACCGCACCGCATGAACCAAGATACAATCATATGTTGTTAGCAATAAATATGCGGATCTTGGATAAAGTGACGCGTACTATCTTCGGCGTAAGTCCGACCTATACCCTTGAAAGCACACCTGCATCGAGACGCAGTGGGTATACCTTGGCTCAGTTTGAGGTTTGCCTACTGTATATCTATCTTCTTCAATCAGGATCGTTTGACACTCGCCTACAGTGAGCGAGAGCAAGAATGGCCACTACTCTTCGCATAACTCATTCAGAGCTCGTGCATATCTAGATTGCGGGGTCTACCAAAGTTCACTTCATACTAATAGTACGGTATCTGCCTCGAGAAGTGCCCAGAGTACCATGTCATAGTCCGGTCTCAACGTACATTGTCAATCCCGTCGACTTGTGCTTATAACACATTGACATTCTCAAACTTGGGTTTCTTTTCACAGTATATGGCCAATAAAGAGTCATCAACCCGCTGGAACGATCGAGTCTGGTGCTAAGCTGACTACTATAAGGCTAGTTCGACCACCAATTCCTTTATAGGTATATCTACAGCATTGAGAAAGACATATAACATACAAGCACAACAATTCCAGCACCTAATGCCGTCGGAGAACCTCAATACGGCAATGGCGGCAGACAAACCGGTGTACCTACTCTCAAGGGCACGCACCCGAGGTTTGGGTTCTCCTTGAACAGCTCGTTGAGCGTCCATCCACGGTAGTTTGCCAGCACCCAGCAGTGATCACCCTCAATCGTATGATACACTTCCAGGCGATCCGACGAGCAGTGCACGGACGAGGAGAGTAGGGGGATTGATATGAACGAAAACTGGTGAAGAATTAACAGGAAAAGCAGGATAGAGGTGAAGATGAGAATGGGAAAGAGATATCGTCGTCCTATCCGTTTGAGGGATGGCAAGGGTACCTCTGGTAGCTCGCGGGAAAGTGATGGTCGGGAGAGCACTAGAGCCACAACAGTGAGAACACCCATTGGATTCCACGATGAAGTGGTGAAACGCACCGTCTCCAATTCTTCTCAATGCGCCCTCGAATTCGACACTCGGTTGACTCGCGTAGATTTGTTCGCCTTTTCGAAAGTAATGTCGTCCAGTCTACGCACTTGTGAGTATCGGATTACAAAGAGAGAAGGGTTAAGCCATACCTCTTCATCGTACCCGACCCGCTCCATCTCGTCGCTGTTTCCCTGATACGGTGCTCGCGCCTACAAGGCCACGGATAGTTTGTTTTGTACTTGTAATGATAGAAGATGACGCACCTCGTACTGTGCTCGAACGTCCGTCTGCGTCTCCATCCTTGACGGATGTATTTATATTGTATCCCGTGATTCCCACAACGACGGCTCCAAAATCAGTACGTCCAAGCAACCTCGTAGGTACAGTTCCACGTCAAGAGAAGTATGGACGATACTCTCAGGATTGCAGACTCGCGGCAAACGTGGCGGGGGGCAGAGGATTCCAGGTGTTGTACTCGGGCTATGCTCGGCGTAGCGGGCGCGCTTCGTGGATTCCGATAGACCGCACTCGGGACAACAAGAAGCAAGAGGGGTTAGTCCGTGTCATGCGACTGCCATCAATGATATTTGCCGCATAGATAGAGTTTCCGGTTATCTATCTTCCCCTCTTTCACACTTTGATGCACAATTGAATGAATGCACCCTGATCCTAACTGTAGGGATCAATCAAGGCTGACGGACTGGAGTCCAAGTAGGTCCGACACAAGTTTGAGACAGACGGGATGGGAATAGCAGTTATATCGATTGGTTTTTTTATGCATAGGCAAATAAAGTACTATGGAATCGCCGCAACGCTCCGGTCCCAGCTACCGCGCAAACGCAGCATCTCGACGACCGCGCGACAAAACCTATAGCAAATAACCACGAGATAACGACGTCGACATTCACCACAACAGACGAGACGCAAAAAGGAGACAAGGGTTGGAGAAAGAAAAGAGTCCGGAAAAACAACGACCATAGACGCACGCGTTGGGCACCGTCTATCTTCTCTTCTTCGTTGACGAGGTCGAGGCTGAAGTCGATGCTGGAGTCGACTTGAGCTGCTCGTCTACGGGCGCGACAGCGGGTGCAGACGCAGCTGTCTTTTCGGTACCGTTGGTGGCAGCCGCAGAGGACGAGGCCTCTTCCTTCTTCTCGCTCTTCTTTGGCGACTTGGTGACAGGTGCTTGCGAGGCGCCAAGCAGTCCGAGGAACGTGCCCAGCATGCCGAACAGCGTCACGATACCGACTGCGAGCGCAGTAGCAGTCTCGGGCTTTGTCTTGACGGCCATTACTGGATCAATCTTGGCGAGCTCAATGAACGAGAGTACGGCCTTGCGAATGAATGCGACGGGTGCCTCCTTGAAGGTGCGGTCCGCGGTTTCCTCGTCATCGTCGTCGTCTGCGCCAGCTGGCTTCCTGTTGGCCTCCTTGCGCAGCTCAGCATCCTCTTTGATGTAGAATGTCTCTTCAGCGAGCGCCGCGGCGTCCTCCATCGAGTGACCAATGTAAATGTTGTCGAACAAGATGTCCTCGGTCATCGTCCAGAGTTCGATACCGACACCACCAATCTTGTTGAGGCTTTGGACCGGGTACAAGTCTTCAAAGTAGTCGGGGTTGGCAATCTTGCGTGGTGCCCACTCGCCCTTGTAAGCCGGGTTGTCGATCATAGGCGCGTACCATTTGCCCTTGTAGGCAGGGTTGGCCTTGTTAGGACGCTTCCATGGGCCACAGCCAGATGCCTGCTCGCACTTGGGGTTTTTGACGAGCGGAGCGACCCAATCACCGTCCTCCTCGTCGTCCCACTCCTCGGGCTTGATCGCATCCGGGTCGGGAATCATGTCTGGCTCATCGTCGAGCCAGTCCTCCGGCTTGACGGCATCTTCATCAGGAATCTGGTACGGTGCGTCCTCGTCCCAGTCTTCGGGTTTCTTCGCCTCTGGATCCTGGATTTTGGCCTCGTCGACCCAGTCCTCGGGCTTCTTGTCGTTGGGGTCGTCAATCTCCTTTGGTGGGTTGACGGGAGGCTCAAAGTCGTTGAGGAGCGAGCCAGATGAAACCTCCTTGCCGTCGACCTTTTCAACGAAGGTCTGGTCGGGGTTGATGATCAAGGTATAAAGCTTGGTCGTCTTTCCAATTGCCGGCACGGTGGCGGGCTTTTGGTGCTTCTCCTCGTACTCGCCGGTAATTGGGTTCTTGTGACGGAAAATGAAGTGAAGCTGGGAAACGTGAGTCGTGTGAATCATTAATACAGGCGAGGATGCTCGTACCTTGGCTCCTGGGCAGGTAAGGTCAGGGCCGAACATGATCACCCATGGTGTCTTGTCGCTGAATTCCTTTCCGCTCGTCTGGAAGCCATCTTCGAGGAGCTTGATGTAGCCACCACCACAGTTGCCACCCTTTTGGTACTTGACCTCGTATTGGACGACGAGAGACTTGTCCGAAAAGTCGATTGGCTTTGCAAACGGAGCCGAGATGGCATGGTGGGCCGCCTTTGATTTGGCGACGAGACCCTTGTCACCAGCAATGACGGGGTAGACAGAAGCCTCTTCGACTGACCACTTCCCAACATAGGAAAAGGTTTCACCACCGACCGGTGTCTTCTTGGTAGCCTCTGAGGGCGTCCACCGCTCAGCCCAGTCGTCGGTGAACTGTTCGAGGAATGGGGCTTTGATTTTTGTAGGCTGTAAGCAGGTAAGAAGGCGTTAACAGAAGGGAATGGGCGGGGCTGGGATGATGAGCTGGCGACGTACCGTAAACGAGTGAGTGAGGGATTCCGAGGGCTTTGGAGCCTCTTCGACGACCTGGGCGTGATCGTGATCATGCCCTTCGTGTGCAGAAGCACCTGCAGCGACGAGGACAGCGAGAGGGATGATATACGTGCGCATCAGGACCGAGGGGATGTAGTGGTCGGGGGTCAAGTCTGTAACGTGGCACTCACCAAACTTTTGGTGCCAGCTCAGCAAATCTCCAGCTCACATTTCCGATAAATTCCCAATACTCATACTCGATTTCATATATAATCTATATGCTCTACCCCGCTTCCGAACTGAGCCACTCGTCGTCATTGCCGAACTTGCAAATGCCATTCAACAGACGCCACTACATAGGGGATCATAGTATACTGAATACCAAAACACTATGGAAGACATAAGTTTAGTACGGTAGAGGGGGGAGACAAATCTGCGTCCCAACGGCCAGCGGATTACAGTCCAAGCCCGGGTTATACTTGAAGAGATCGTCCGTTGTCCATCCTCTTCCGTTGGCAATCACCCAGCAATTGTCACCCTTGGCTGCCCGGTACACCTCCTGGTTATCCTCACAAGTAATGGGAGTGGGCATAAAGACGGAAAACGACGAAAAGTAGCGAATGACGAGAAGGAGTACGACAAAGACGAGTAAGAGAAACGGCGCGAGCTGCCGCCAGCCGAGTCTATTATCGTCGCTGGCATCCCGTGTGACTGTCCTGCGCGGTGGTGCTACCAAGCGATGGATTTAGGACCAATACAGGTGCTATGTTGACATACCAGGTCCAATATGTCTCAGCTCTCCGCCAAATTCAGCTCCGGGCTCGCCTTCGTACAATTCTGTGCCCTCTTGGAAGTAGTATCGACCGGTCTATACTTCTATTAGATTGATTGATCTGAGCGATGGAAATGAGATATACTTCTTCATCATAGCCTACTCGTTCCATTCCGCCTGTTCGATACGGAGCCTGTATCGTGTGAGTCAAGCATACATAAGCATTAGAATACCGAGTACTTCATCATACTGTGACCAACGATCTGGACGAGACGGCATTGGAGTTTAACAAGGACACGGTCAGGGCCAAGATGCTACAAGGGATCCAAAGTTTCTTAGCGTATTCAATTCCACGTCTAATTCTGTATTCCACGCATCTTGAGCGTTGTTTGGTGCCACCTTGGGTTTGGCGCCGAATTCTGGAGACCGGCTCCTGCTAGGAATCTGTCAATACGCCTTGTGAGATCGGCCACTGCCTGAATATGCATAGAATATGGATAAGCCGGGGCTCCAAATCGGCGTACGACTCTTGCTCCCGACTTTGTCCCTTGAAGGCCCCATTTGGTTCTCTCTAGCGCAGTGACCAGCAAGTCAGAGGTTACTTGACATACATTTCTTGTTAATATTCTGCTGAGGATGTCAAATGCGGCTTCAGCCCACGCTGGAGCATCGAACACGGTCGACGTACAGCAGTCGCTCGTCGCGGATGGTCTAGAGGTCGAAGAGGACGAGATAACCATGACAGTATCGAACAATCCTTCTAAGAAAAAGAAAAAGAAGAAACCGAAGAAGACAAAGACACCAGAGCTTGGCCCGATACCGCCAACAGTCGCACAGGAGCCTAAACAGCCGGTTCTTTGCATCAGTCGTAATAAACATTGGAGATATATCTCCTCCTACCATGTATGTCGCTTCACTACTCCTCAGGCGCGCCCACTGAATTTTTCCTTTTAGGGCCCGTGGCTCCAGCTTCCTCTCGAGCTCCTCGAGTCTCTACTTACACTCAATCTCGATCCTAACAACTTCCTACCCAAAGATGACCGCATACCAGCGCCGTTAAGGTCCAGACGGGCCCCCACGAGCGAGTCCGTCTCTTCATCTGCACTCACACTGCGATCCCAGCCATCCAACGGCAGTGTTAGCATAAAGCCAATACCGCCTCCGATCGATCCAAGTGTATTCAAATCTGTCGCGAGCATACGCAGGCTCATCGACGAGGCATCCGACCTCGCCGTCCGGGCGGCGTCGGGCTTATCCGCATCGAGCCTCGGCGCACTGCGCTCGCCTACCTCGTCCAATAACCCCTGGGCGACGGCGCAGGCCCTTGGGATTAACCCACTCGGAGACCATGCGACGGGCAGGACACCTGCCATGTCGTCCACGCGGACACATCGTTTGAGGGTTCTCGCGGTGCAGAAGCTTGCCGCGGCGTATCAGGCAGATGAAATTGCGGCAAGTGTCATGGTCATGCAGGGCGCGAGCGCGTTGGACGATTTGGCAGAAAGAGTCTTGAAAGTTGGTAAGCGTCATCGTAGACACAAGTCTATTGTCAGGATACTCAACAGACCTTAGATCCGAACGATTTAGATGCTCGATACGTTCATTTCTTCCACGAGAAGATTCCGTCGAGGTACGTGTAGGTCTTGTCCACGAACAGGATCTCATTCTCTTCAGACAACTCGCAGATTACACGACGACTGCGGTTCTGGACGATCTAATAGAGTCTCAACCCAATCGACTCCAATACTACCGCACGCGAGGGATCGTCCGTTGCTTTCGCGATGAATACGCTATGGCCGTAAAGGACTTTACTCACATCCTTCGGGAGAGTCGTTCCCTTCGCAAAGCAAGGGCAGCACATCACTCTGACGACGCACGTCGAACCAAGACAAAGGGCAAAAAACACAAGGAGAACAAGGTCAACGGCCAAGCACCTCCAAACGGCACGTCTGCGCCAGATCCCAATGCTCCAGATGAATCTGCTGCGCTAAAGGTTCCCTTGCATCCGTCAGTGGGCCCAGATGCGCCTGAAGCATTGGAGATACAAGCGCTCTTCTTGCGTGGTGCCGCCTATCTGCAGCATGCAGTACTCATGATCGAAAATGCCGTACTGGAAGTGGAAGAATTGGACAAGATTCCCGCTCAGGATGCCCTTGAACTCAAGCTTTTTCTACTGGAAAAGGGACGTTACGGTGGGATGACGGGAGAAGAACCAGATGGGCCGCTTGGACCAAAGACGGGTGACAAGATGAAAGCATATCGCCGTGTACTCGCTACGCCAGAGTTACAACAGGTCGTCAGTACACTACTCCGCAAGTCGATTCGAGACCACGAAAAGTTTATGACGTACTTTGATACTGTGGACGGAGTATTGCCTTATTTCCAAGGTAATCTCGCTCAACGTGTCGAGTGCGCATTTCTCCTCTCCGAGTCGCTGAGACCAGGAAGCCATGCACCACCTCCACCACTCCCAGAGAATCCGGGCATCTTTACGACGTATCACCCGCTCTTAGTCGAGGCACAGTATAGCGTTCTGCTCAGCCATATGATCTTAGGTGACTTTGTATCCGTCGTCTCGGGATATCAACATGCCGCTGCACTCGTCGACGGACTCGAAGGCTACCCAATCTTCCTCCCTGCGCGCTCAATGGCACAGGCAGAGTTTGTAGAGATCATGGAACGGCTCGCGTCTAGCTGGGGCCCCGGCACACAACCGCATTCATTCTCACAGCAGACGAACACCCTCATGATTGAGGGTCCACCGATGCCTCTTGCTATAGAAGGTCCAACTGCCTCGATAGAGGTGCAAGATTCCGCAGGCAGTACACGTACACCAAGTCCGACGACGGAGGAAGATGGTACACGATCCTCTACAGAGCCGGAGAATGTTTCGACCTCCCCCTCATTGAGCTTGGTTGTCGCTAATGCCAACAGGACAAATGGGCATTCAAATGGACTCCGGCAGCAGCCCTCAGCCACTGAATCACTCGAGGATAGCCCTATTATCGGTGGAATCACTATGCAGAACAAGGCGCTTAATCTAGACTGCTTGAAGATCCTGCTTGCGCCTGTAGCAAACCGACAAAAGATTAAAAGCGAAAAAGAGGCAGAGGCGGTGGCAAAGGACAAGGCTGCTGGGAGGAAAAATGGTCTTTCGATTAATATTCCGCTCCATGGGCCACGCGTGGATATTGCGCTCGCCTATATTGCGGCCGTTCATCTCCCAGAGCTCGATCCCTAGCTTGGCCCCACATAGTACGCTGTATTTTGGACGTCAATATATCACATATGGAGGTTCTGTGTGTGATTGGTATCCGAATATGTGTCTATTGACCCCTCCGGATTAGACGGAGCACTCAGAGGGCGCTCGGTAAGATGTGTGCCGGTACAGCTTGGACTCGACCACTACAGATGGGAAAGCCCGTGTTTATCGTAGCTGGCGTCGGGAATGCGTCTGGTACAGGGGCCGCGTCTGCGTATGTCGACTCCTTTCGTACTCTTATCATAGCTCACCCATTGTTTAGAAAGGAGTTTGCGCGTCAATTGGGATACCGAGTGGCACTGGTGGCGAGACGACTAAAGGACTTGCAAGTCATAGCTGATGAAATTATCGCGAATGGGGGCGAAGTATTCTGTTTGGACTCAGCCATGGGTGTCAATCTTATGAGTGAATAGGCGCATCCTTTTCCCGTCAAGGAATACTCGAGGGATGAGATTGTGGCGGTATTCCGCGCTGTTAGGGAGAAATGGCCAGACTCAAGGATAAAAGTCGCGCTTTGGAATGCTTCGCAGTGGTCGAGGATTCCATTCCTGGACGTAACGGAGCAGGCATGTAACTCGTCACATCAAGCAGCATGCTCATATTCTTCAGGACATTCAACGAAGCGTACAAATCAACGTGTAGGAAGACGCCCTCTACTGGAATGAAACTTATTCTCTATACAGTGTCGCAGCTTTCGCCTGGTCACAAGAAGCAATCAAGGCAATGCTTGAACCCGCAGAAGCGTACGTTCGAATATGGGCAAATCAGCACCTTTAACATACAATAGCCCTCTACAAGAAGGCGGCACTGGAGGAACTGTGCTTTTTACAGGAGCAACGTCCTCTATTCGTGGCGCAGCATCCTTTGCGGCATTCGCTGCAGGTAAACACGGCCTACGCGCACTCTCGCAGAGCCTCGCTCGTGAGTTTGGCAAGCACGATATCCACGTTGCGCATGTTATTATCGACGGCACGATCCTTACCAATACGACAAAGCGGTTATTCGGCGGAAGGAAACATGTCGTGCAGACGCCGGGTAATGAGTCGGCAGCTGAAGAGGGCGACGACTGGATGGACGACGAGAGCAGGAGACTGGATCCCGAGTCTGTTGCTAAAGTACTTGTTCATCACGATGGAGTGCTTGGTACTAACTTTACGATAGGCCTTCGTTTGGCTACATCAGCAGAAGAGGGACGCCTGGACCTTGGAGCTAGACATGCGTCCTGCAAAGGTAAGTGCTATTTACGGACCCGGAGTTAGTGTAATATTTTGGTAGGAGCACTTCTAGGCAATGCAATGCGGCATGTTGTGTAGTGGACCGATAAGACGATGTACTATTGATTTTACTCATTGCCGAGACAAAAAGGTTGATCTGTTAGCCATAAGAACCAGAGGATTCAGGATCGAGACAAAAATGCTCCCGGGGAGGATCGAACTCCCGACCTTCGGATTGCCGCTTTTGCAAGCGTCATATTATGAGACCGACGCCATAACCAACTAGACCACAGAAGCTATGCTAGGTGTGCTGGTCATAATATATTATATAATGTTTTACAGTACACCCTGATTATTTGCGATACATTCTTGATGTAATTCGTCTCTAATGACCTTCGAATGTGAACTTTTGATACTGCCGCGCTCACGGCTGTAGAAGATGGTATCTATTGGCATTCTCCGCGCTTCGACCTGACCAACTCCGGCCATTTCACCTTATCTGGATCCCCCAGCTTGTATACGGTCATCGAACACTCTGTATCTCAATAAAATCCGTGACCATCTACCTCGACGCACATGCTTGTCTCCTCGCGGTCACATCGAGACACGCTTCACTAGCACGTGCTATCAAACCTCTAGTGTATATTTCTTGACCATTTGCGTTATTACTAACTTGCATGTGATAACAGGCCACCCTCTTCTTGCCAAATTCTCATTGGTGGCCTTTGCCCAGCCGGCGGCTTGTCCTCGACACCAGGTTGCAACTCTGAACTGACAATCTTCGCTCGGGACCCGGTATATTTCACCATCAGCGGCCCCTGAATGCAATGTCAAGTGGAACACACTGCCGCCTAGCGGTATAGGACCGTGCGGAGTAGTCGAAACCCAGGCACTCAGCAATTCTATTGTCAAATACTACCCCACACAGGGTTATTTCACGTGCAGAGTCAGGCCTTGCACAACAATCGAATCCTCGATCGATGCGTATTCAGTTTACGACAAGAACCGACCTATTCGCAATAAACTCCTCAAACATGTGAAAGCTCTCTCCCTGCGAGTTTTGACGCGAAGGAGTCTAGACTACTCCTCCATGACGATATCTCAGCTAAGCCGCCCTCTCCCAACACCTCTCTTTTACATTTTTCCAAATAGCTTTCACATGGTCTCGACGGAGTGGTCACCCGCTTGCTTCTTCACGCGACCTCCCGATGGCCTCGGGGTGTGGGAGTTCTGAGGGGTTTATATACCCCGCATTTGTGGGGTCAAACCTCTTCAGAGCACCCTCCAGGTTGGCGCACTACTGAACAGAATGACCATTCCGGCAACACAAGCAGCTGTTGTACGTCGTACAGACCTCAGACTTATCGTCTCGCTTATGGTGCACTAGATCTTCGAAAAGTCGAATGGTCCCCTTATCTACAAAACGGACTGGCCAGTTACCCAGGCCAAGGAATTGAAACCAGGCGAGGCACTGGTCAAGATCACCCACTCTGGTGTTTGCCACACCGGTACGTCACATTGTCTCCCGAATCATTCGCCTTTAACCTTTCTTCAGATTTGCACGCTCTCAAGGGTGACTGGCCCCTTGATACTCGCCTCCCTCTTGTCGGTGGCCACGAAGGTGTGGGGACGATTGTGGCTATTGGCGAAGGCACTACGACGAACCGCAAGATTGGTGATCGCGTCGGCATCAAATGGCTCGCTGATTCGTGCTTGGATTGCGAGGTTTGCCGTCGTGGACAAGAGGCAACGTGCTCCAATGCTGTTTGCTCTGGGTATGGCCATACGAATTCTTGACCTCGTCTGTATCTGAATGATTCGAACAGGTTCGCCGTGCATGGTACTTTCCAGCAATACGCAGTCAGCTATGTGCGACATCTCACTCCCATTCCTGCTGGCCTCGATCCCGTTCAAGCTGGCCGTAAGCATCATTGTTGCATCTGTCAACCGAGCTCATACATCTCTTCAGCTATCCTTTGTGCTGGCGTGACGGTTTGGAAGGCTATCAAACAATCCAACACCAATCCGGGCGACTACATCCTCATCTCCGGTGCTGGTACGTGGAATAAATTCACTTTCTGTGCTACTTACTCACGAGTGATGATAGGTGGTGGACTTGGCCATCTCGCACTCCAGTACGCAGCTGCCATCGGTCTCCGACCAATTGCCGTAGACACTGGTGAGGAGAAGCGCAAGCTGTGTATGGAACTTGGTGCCGAAAAGTTTATCGACTTCCGCACGAGCCAAGACATTAAAGCCGATATCCGTGCCGCGACAGATGGACTTGGGCCACATGTACATCCCTTCTCTTTGATGAGTGGCAAGTGAAGGACTGACGGTTATCTAGGCTGCGGTCATTGCCTCTTCGTCTGCTGCTGCGTACAATGATGCTCTCGAGTATCTCCGCAATCATGGAACTCTTGTCGCTGTCGGTCTCCCAGCGGACTCGTATATCAAGGCCAACGTCTTCTGGACCGTCTTCCGTGCTCTTCGTGTACGTTCACTTGCCGCCTTTCGACTCTTTATGTGACTAATATGCTATGCAGATTGTCGGTTCGTATGTCGGAAACCGCCAAGACGCCATCGAGGCACTCGACTTTGCTGCGCGTGGAAAGGTCAAGGCCATTGTCAAAGTGCAGCCACTCAAGAGCCTCGCAGAAGTCTACGAGGGAATGGAAAAGGGCACTGTCAGCGGTCGCATCGTTTTGGAAACAGGTGCCTAAGTCGTGGAAAATTCTCTCTGAGTACATGTACGATCATTGTGTGGTGTGCAATAGATTGTCTTGTTTCAATGTACACTACAGTATGGGAATCTTTTTAGGTGCGAACATCGCGCGCTAATACCAAGAAATGGTCGACATTAGGATTCCAGTCTTGTCCGAGCAAAAGAGCGAATACGAAAGCCCAGAAGAGTCCATAAAGTACCTGTCGTTACGCCTAGAAAGGCGCGTCGTATTGTGGCGGGGCTTGGGGATTTGAACCACTCGGACCATCCACACGATGGACAGGCGCAGCGTTTGGATTCACGGCGCCCTTGGCAAACGGCGTCGCCTTTGTGTCAATTGGGGGTTTATACCCACCACTCGACTGCGTCACATCGGACATTTGCGTGTAAGAGACTTCGGAGGCTGCTGGCATGTAGCTCGAGGTGGGGGCTGGCGAGACTGGTGGTGGAGGTTGATAATTGTAGCCCCCCTGTGTGCCTCCTTGCTGGAATGGTGGTGGAGAGTTTGGTGCACCGTAGCCCGATGAGCTGCCTGCGTTGGACGGTGATGGGCCGTAGTAGTTTGGATATCCTGTTTCCGCGGGTATATTGTTAGAAGGTGGGGGAGGGAAATACCCGGCTTGTCCTGGTTGATTGTATGGAGAGTTGGGATGCGAGGGACCCTCTCCAGGCATCGGAGCCGCCCATGCAGGCGTTGGGTTATTGTGTGGCGAGTTTTCACGTGGAGGGACGAAGAACGGCGTAGGTTGTGGGATGCTTGGATCAAAGCCGTTGTTGTACTGTGTAGTGACCGGTGGTTGGTTGCTAAATGAAGATGGGGGTGGGACTCCAATTGGCTGACCCTTTTGAGCTCGGTTTCGCCTGGATCGCCAGAAGTAGATGCCAATGATGACACCAACAAGAGCAGCGACTCCAATGGCTACAGCTGCGGCGATGATGGCTGTGTTGGACTTTCTGGATGGTGTATTATTCGAAGTTTGTGTAACGTCGTCTCCCACATCTGGGACAGTCACACTACCAGATGTGATTAGTATCTATGTGAATGGATGGATGAAACGCACATAAAGCCCTGAAAGCTAAGATCCTTTACGTCTCCTGGCCGTTCCCCTGTGAGACGGAAGATGATGGTGTGGTTCCCGGCGCGGAGACCCGTCTTTGAAAAGAGCTCGCAGTTTGTCGAAGTATAATCTCCGAGACGAACCGGCGACTCGTCGTCGACCTGGATGGTGTAGATGGGGTTTGTATCGTCGTCAAAGAGGCCATAGGCAAAGACTGCGACGCTGTAGACAAACAGTCAGTTGTTATCTTCCATCTCGTGTATTACAAACCCAGAGAACTTGAGTGTAATGGTGCCGGGCACCTTTGACCATTGTCCGATGGGAAAGTTTAGACAGCCGTTGGGAGGCCAATTCTGCCTAGAGAAGCAAGAAGAGTGAGCAAATGGTATGCGACTGGCACAACCTCCGAGACTGACCAAGTGTTGGTTGGCGTGTAAACGAGTGCAGGATCGTTGGAGACATAGGTGATATTGTGAAAGGCGCTGGCGAGGAGCGGGAGAGATAACCACCAGAGACGCATCAAGAAAAGGCAAAGGACTGGCAGGAACCAAGAGACGTGCTGTTTGGCTGGGCTATCGGGCCTCCCGCTGTCAGGCGCTTAGAACGGGATCCCATGGCCGACAGCGACGCTGGATGACTACGGAAAATCCTGTCAATCAAACAAATCGGGAGCCCAGCGGCAAGGAAATCAACAGGAAATACATTGATGAGCCTGGTGGTTACACTCCTTCGACCTTTCGACAATTTTTGAATTAGCTACGGCCGCGCTGTGACGCGACTAGCTGCTATATTCATGCTCCTTGAGCTATTTCATCTCTCTCAGCGGTGTCTTGCGCGTCCAAATGGTGCAAATTCTCGCATGCTATAAAGTCACTGCTAGCTAACCATCACCCCAGTCTATTCACAGCGAACTGCCCTCAGATTTAGAACACTAGCAACAGAAGCAAGTAATAAAACAACCCGAATAGTCGCCGCGACCATTCTCAACCGCGCACCTTTTCTCACTCCAACCCCTGACCCGTTTGAACAAGCCTACTACGACTACCAAGCGCGTCTAGCCCGCGCAATATCCTCTCCACTCCCTACCGATGTATATTTCAAGCCAGGCTCACTGCTCGAGCGACGGTTTGCGTTGGAAGAACGGCAGCGTGAAAAGGCGGCGTTTGGCGAGGATTTTACACCAATCATCAGTCTCCCTGTGGATGAGGATGGAAAAGGTGGTGGGAAAAGTCTAGCAGATCAACTAGCAGAAGAAGCTGGTTTGGAGGAGCCTCCCCAGCCCCGAATACACCGTGCAGATAAGGAAAAGGACGTAAAGAGTCTCGATCGCGCTGGAGAGCGGAATCTTTATCTATTGGTCAAGAAGGATCGCAAGGCAAATAGTTGGCAGTTCCCACAGGGTGGGCTCGAAAACGACGAAGCGTTGCACAAGGTTTGTTGCAATCTGAGCCCTCATTCACTTTTCGAACTGACAAGGGCCTCTTTATCAGGCTGCGTTGCGCGAACTCAAGGAAGAATGCGGGCCGAATATGGATGTGTGGATGGTGGGACGACAGCCTATCGGTCATTATGCCTATGAATATCCGACGGAGAGCCAACGCGATGGACATTTGGGTGCCAAGGTGGGACTGGTGTCGTCAATCGGCGATTCTGTGGCTGACGGATTGCCAAAGGTATATTTCTTCAAGGGCCATATCCTAGCCGGTCAATGTCGCCCAGACGGAAAGGAGGTTGTCGACTTTGCATGGCTCACCAAAGAGGAAGTGCAGCAATACGTAGAGCCACACTATTGGACAGCGATCAAGGACATGCTCTCGGATTCGTGAGCTCGAGGGAGACTAGACACGGCTTCTCGGCCCATCCTCTGACCGATCAGACGGTCCAGAACGGGACAATCCATCTGCGGTGGCTGAGATTTTGGCTCTCTTGGGGCGGTTTATGTCGAGCCCTCGTACCACATTGTAGCCACAATGTTTAATTGACGTCTATATGCTTGCCCCACATCTAGAAATGCGCTGGGTCGACATTTACCATGGACGGTAAAGACCCGTGGCTGAGAATGGGCAAGAGACGTGATTCCTCGTGTTGACCCGTTTTCCCGGTAATTCATGAGAAAATTGATGTTCCTGAGCCCATGAGCCGCTCGCTTACTGTTTAGCGCCGCAACTTTCGACCTTGGACCTTTCCTTCTACCAGGATTGTCTATACCGACGCTTGTCAATGCAAGCAGTCTCACAAAAGATGGAGACGCCTGAAAAGGGCTCATTCTGGCTCCCGAATGCCTTCTTCTTTGCCTTGATCCATCTCGGTGCTCTCCTCGGAGGAATCTATCTATCGCCTCCGAGTACTCTTTGCAAGCAGACTATTATCCTTACCATTCTCTGCTGGCAGCTCCCGTGCTTTGGGCAAGTCTACTTTTTTAGGGGAGTGGGAAACATTGAGACTAACGCGCTCCCGTCGTCAACGGGTCGCCTCTATAGCATCACCATTGGCTACCATAGGCTCTGGTCTCACAAGGCCTTTCGTGCCGTCAAGCCCGTTAGGTTTGTGCTGGCCATTTTTGGTACCATGGCATTCCAGGGTTCCATCAAAGTGAGTACCTCTGTCTTGCATCTTGCACCTCGTTCTCATCTCCCTAGTGGTGGGTTCTGAGACACCGTCTACATCACCGGTTCACAGATGACCCCGTTCACGACCCGTACGTCGTCTGGTTTGCCTTTGTCGTCAACCTTGACGTTTGTCTGACCTTGTCCAACGCCAGCTATGCCGCGACGCGTGGCCTGTTCTTCTCCCACATGGGCTGGATCTTTCGCAAACCGACGTATACCAAGCTGCCCCTGATCGAAAAGGACGATCTCGACCGGGACCCTAGTCAGTGATATGTCTCGTCATCGGGTTTCATCGACTTACGAACCCTCTAGTCGTCCGATTTCAGCACAAGTATTATGGTAATATCGAACATTACCTATTTCCGCAGTTTGGATCTCACCCTGCATCCAGTGCCGCTCGCGCTCTTTACCGGTCTTGTTCTGCCTACGATGATCGCGGCTACGTGGGGTGACGCAATGGGTGGATATATTTGGGGAGGATTGGTTGGCCGAGTTTTGGGTAAGGCGGCATTCGGTCTACGGCGGCAGCTTTGGAGCTAACCTTTTCTAGTCTGGCATTGCACTTTCCTGGTTAACTCGTAAGTTCCACGATGCTGTCCCCAATGATATGCCTCATTTCGCTTACCAGGTTGGCCCACTGGGAAGGCTTGCAGCCCTATACGGATGAAATTACCGCGAGAGGGAACCTCGTGCGTGGCATGCAGGTCCATGTGGATATCGCTCATTTTCTATAGATAATGGCCATGCTCACATGCGGAGAGGGAAATCATAATTTTGTACGTCAGTCTTCTTGATTTCTTATTATTTACTCACGTCTTTTGCAGCATGTAAGGCAATCTCATTGGGCTTTCCTTTCTGACTCTTGGTTTAGCACGCATTTCCTCATGATTTCCGAGCGGGCCCGAACATTCTCGACTGGGATCCATCCAAATGGATTATCACTATGCTTTACAGGCTCGGCCTTGCTACAGGACTTCGCAAGGCGCATCCAGAGGATATCAAGGCGGCTCAGGCATGGATCTTGTCTCATCACCACGAGCCATTCCCCGCATCTGCCAACGACGAGGCCGAGACCGACTCGGCAGAGAGCACAGACGAGGTCGTACTTGCTAAATGGAGCTTGAATGAACTCAACAAGCAAGCTAAGCAACGCGGTTGTCTTCTCGTCATCGATGGGTTTGTTGTAGACGCTTCGAGTTATGTTGGAGATCACGTGAGTACTCTTCTTGGGTTCTTGATACTGTTTGATTCTCGATCACTAGCCCGGAGGTTCGGTTTTCCTGCGACGATATGCGGTACCGAAAGAAGGTGCACGCACCAGTGAGGAATGGCGCAAAGCGACATGGGCGTTCCAAGGAGGGATGAACGTCCACTCACGAATTGCAAAAAGGCGCATGATGTCGATGAGGGTAGCAGAGTTAATGGAATAGATGGAATAGATGGATGACCCGGATTGGAGGATCAGGAAGGTTTCAAGTCTAGACGTTTTCTACGTTGTGTTTCTATCGATGATAGTCATGGATGATAAATTATCCTGTTGTTTCTGTTCCTGAAGTGTCACATTTGATTTGTGCCCACGGCCGTACGGCGGGCGGGTGATTCTTTAGACAAATATTGACTCTGCCATCCGCCGAGGTCGTTAACTTCTTGCGTACTGTCAGAATATCCAATGTAGAGTCTTATCTATACGCTGCTTTTGGATAATGGTATCTATGGAGCTTAACGCCAATGACCCCACTGAGTTGTGCCGGCTTCTGTTTAACTACAATGACTTCTCTTCTTGTAACTCTTCCTAGCCAGTCCCTGATCTTTTCTCTAGTGTATATTCCGTCCTATTTTCCAAACAATGCAATAGACGGTCCCATGGACATTGTGTAAGCTCGGACGGCATTGCGTTTCTTGCCAAGGATACCCATTGGACTTTTCTAATTCTAATTGATTTACTCATCGCATAGCGGCTGTACGCCGTCGCGTACTATTAGCACCTCGAGTTGCTTTTGCCAAGCTGCCTTGTCGCTTCTATGGGTTCAAATCATTCACAGTCACCTTATATAGGGCGAGTTATCCTATGTATCTTACATTTACCGCTAAAAGTTGTTCTAGACTTTTCCTTGCGCTGTTATGCAGCTCACGCTCACTATTTCTCCTGTTCAGCTTCATAAACATCGTACAAAGGATACCGTCGATAGACTAGTGGCACAGATACGTCATTAGACTTAGGAAGCCAAACTATGGAACCGCCTTAAGCGCGACTTGGGGGATTTGAACTATGAAGAGACAGATATGAGCGGCCACGGTGGACAAAATTGATTCGACTTATGGATTTGCGCACCCAGAACAAAGCAAGAGGCAGGATGGAGCGGGCTGGGACAGGACAAGGCGGGCTTGGGTATGACCAGGACAAAGTAAGCTGTCCCAGCCCGTCCCATCCTAGCCTGTTCTGTTACTATCTAGATGTACTCAACAATTTACATGGAATGTCATTGCACCTCAATCCCAAGCTCTTCATGAATTAATGGAGTCCAGCGCCCAAGCTCGTGAAGGCCCAGACGTTTTGAAAGAACACGTCTTGCAATCTTCGTGGGTGGACAAGAAGCGACGGCTGCCTGAACGTTGCTGATATTGTAGGCGGAATAGCTGCTTTTAGGATGTAAAAGAGGTCTAGTAGGACTGCGAAACAGTCAAACCAGGTGACCGACGCCATGGAAGTGGTCCGCTCCACGCTGGCTTCGGGTGTGTCGATGGTCCGGCTTCCAGTTCTTTACCGTAACTTCCAATTCTTTGTCTCTGGGTTGGCCCGAAATTGTCTGCGAGGTTCCATGGGTTCTGCAATATGGACAATGGTATCTATTGGTTTCGAATTGTTCTGTACCTTCAATGATTAAACTCTGTATTTGGCCTTATCCTTTGAGCGCCGACAATACGGAGAGTGGCATTGGCGCTGACCATATCTTGGAGCCATCCACCTTCACGATGTCGACCCAAAAATCAACAAAGCACAAGAAACGACATCTGCCCACAGATTCATCGGGATCCTCGTCAGCACAGCGCCCAACAGGCAAAAAACGTCAAGTATACGACACGCTCAATGTCGGCCTGGATGTAGTGGCCAACATATCCGAGGGATCAGATGTACTCGCTCCTCTCAAGGCAGCTTGTCGAACCACCAAGTCAATTCTCGAAGTCGTACAGGCAAGTTGGCGAACCTGCCACGACTGCGTCTAACGGATTCAATAGGCAGCAGAGATCAATCAAGAGGAATGGATTGATCTAGCTGGACGTTTGAAGGAATACATGTCTGCGCTCGAGAAACAAATCACCCTATTGGAGGCATATCCTGAGGAAGACATGGCCGTTGACGAGGCGTTTAGGCAACCGCTAATCCACTATGTCGAGTACGTAGCACTTCAAATTTGCTTCAGTAGGCTGAGTGATGTAGATTTCTCGAAAATATGCACGATACAATTGTCGACCTGAAGGAGAAACGCAACCGCAGCAAGCTCAGCATCTTTAAAGCGTTCAGCAAAATGAAAATTGACGCAGAAGAGATTCGCAAACTCAATCGAGACATCGAGGACCGGCATAGGCAATTCATGGTGCGAGCCTCATCGACCTTGTTCACAGTACTCACTATCGACAAAGGAGGCCTTGAGTCTTTTTACAGCCTTGCGTATTCAAAATGTCGAGAGGAATACCAAAGCCACCAAGGCGAACGTGGAGACCATTCTTACAGACAGTAAGCTGAAATTTGGGATGAGACGCTTACTAAACATTCGAAGTCGACGCCCATGCTATACTACAGCTACCGGTGGTAGCTTTCGTCGCATCCTCAGTCCACAAGCCCTGTCTGAAAGGAACACGCGAGGCTGTTCTTCAGACCATCTACCGCTGGGCCGACGATGATACGTCGGACAAGCCGATATTTTGGCTGTGTGATATCGCCGGCTCTGGCAAGTCCACAGTCGCAATGTCTGCAGCAGAGACTTGGAGGAAGGAAGGAGTGCTAGGAGGCCGGTTCTTCTTCTCCATTGCAAACAGTGAAGGATCTACTACAGACAAGTTCTGCTCTACAATAGCAAGAGACCTGGTCGACTACATACCCAGGCTTGCGCCGCACGTCGCTGGAGCCGTGAAGCGGCACCCGTCGTTCATGCGAAGCTCTCTAGAAGAACAGTTCCAGAAGTTCGTCATTGATCCCATCCATCATAGTCAAGAACGTGTCATTCTCGTCATCGACGCTCTTGATGAATGTAAATCTGGATTGCAGCGAAGAGAGCTCGTCGAAACGCTTTCTACAGCTGTTCAAGGAACAAAAAACCTCAAGATCTTCATGACGAGTCGGCCAGATCCCGTAATCCAAGCCGTCTTGGGGTCACTCTCTCAATCAAATCCAAGTTGGAGGACCGACTGCACGATGTCAAGCATCATGATAACATTGGTGATATCGCAGTGTACATACACAAAGCACTAGACAACGTGCTGCCGGAGGGCAAAAGGCAGAGACTGATCGAAAAGGCCAACGGATTGTTCATCTGGGCGAGCACTGCATGTCGAATGCTCACCAGCCAGACAAGCTTAAGCCCTCCGGAGATCACGTATGATCACCTCATGTCCATGGACAAGGCTGGGGCCATAGACGATCTATATAACCTCATCTTTGTGCGCATGGATCCCGAGTTCCACACGATCATGTACAAGATGCTCGCTGTACTGCTTGCAGCGTTTGAGCCGCTGACTGCGACGACGTGGACGACATTCTCAAGCATTCCGGGGTATACGGAAGTGCAAAGGCACTGGTACGGAATCTCGGCAGCGTACTTGTTGAGGATGATACCACGAGTCTAATCCAATTTCGGCACCCCACTTTCGTCGAGTACCTTCGGCGTTGCTCTGTAGCCCCACCCATCGATACGCGTAACAACGTGTATATCAGGATTCCTGACGCACACGGCCAAGCCGCAGTTTGGTGTCTCAAACATCTCACATCGCGAAGAGATGGTCTCAAGTTCAATATATGTCAACTGGAGTCATCTTTCTATCTTAATAGAGAGATTCCAAACCTCGATACGAGAGTATCGAGATTCATTTCAAGACGCCTGCGATATGCCAGCTCTCATTGGCTGTTCCATGTGGCTGAAGCTGACGACAGCTGGCGGTCCATCGTCAAGAAGGAAATCCAACAGATTATTCAAGTTCCATACGTGTTATACTGGATGGAGGTTCTGAGCTTGACCAGAGGAGTGCCACGAGCAATAACCGGTCTTCGAGCTATTAAACGCCACGCAGGAGTAAGTTGCTGATCCGAGCCAATTCAACTCTGACGCCACAGATAGCTTGAAACATGGGATGAAGTCAGCATGGACCAAATTCGACGGTTTATAATGGTATTTTCAGTACCGATTCAAGAGAGCGCCCCACACATATACATTTCCGCACTCCCGTTCACCCCTACAAATTCAATATTGCATATCGAGGGTGCGAAGATGTATAGTAATACCCTCTGTGTAACCGAAGGCCTCGAGGAAATGTATCCTGGGCTCCCAAGTAGGCTTCGAGGTCATGAAGGCAGAGTCAACGCCGTCGGATTCTCGCCAGACGGCTCACAGATTGTGTCTGGCTCGTGGGACAACACAATTCGATTGTGGGACGCGGCAACTGGTCAGGCTGTGGGAGAGCCACTCCGAGGTCATGAAGGCAGAGTCAACGCCGTCGGATTCTCGCCAGACGGCTCACAGATTGTGTCTGGCTCGTCCGACAACACAATTCGATTGTGGGACGCGGCAACTGGTCAGGCTGTGGGAGAGCCACTCCGAGGTCATGAAGATTGGGTCAACGCCGTCGGATTCTCGCCAGACGGCTCACAGATTGTGTCTGGCTCGTGGGACAACACAATTCGATTGTGGGACGCGGCAACTGGTCAGGCTGTGGGAGAGCCACTCCGAGGTCATGAAGGCATAGTCAAGGCCGTCGGATTCTCGCCAGACGGCTCACAGATTGTGTCTGGCTCGGACGACAAGACAATTCGATTGTGGGACGCGGCAACTGGTCAGGCTGTGGGAGAGCCACTCCGAGGTCATGAAGGCACAGTCAACGCCGTCGGATTCTCGCCAGACGGCTCACAGATTGTGTCTGGCTCGTCCGACAACACAATTCGATTGTGGGACGCGGCAACTGGTCAGGCTGTGGGAGAGCCACTTCGAGGTCATGAAGGCATAATCAAGGCCGTCGGATTCTCGCCAGACGGCTCACAGATTGTGTCTGGCTCGGGCGACAACACAATTCGATTGTGGGACGCGGCAACTGGTCAGGCTGTGGGAGAGCCACTCCGAGGTCATGAAGGCACAGTCAACGCCGTCGGATTCTCGCCAGACGGCTCACAGATTGTGTCTGGCTCGTCCGACAACACAATTCGATTGTGGGACACGGCAACTGGTCAGGCTGTGGGAGAGCCACTCCGAGGTCATGAATATGAGGTCAAGGCCGTCGGATTCTCGCCAGACGGCTCACAGATTGTGTCTGGCTCGTCCGACAAGACAATTCGATTGTGGGACGCGGCAACTGGTCAGGCTGTGGGAAAGCCACTCCGAGGTCATGAATACACAGTCAACGCCGTCGGATTCTCGCCAGACGGCTCACAGATTGTGTCTGGCTCGTCCGACAAGACAATTCGATTGTGGGACGCGGCAACTGGTCAGGCTGTGGGAGAGCCACTCCGAGGTCATGAAGGCACAGTCAACGCCGTCGGATTCTCGCCAGACGGCTCACAGATTGTGTCTGGCTCGTCCGACAACACAATTCGATTGTGGGACGCGGCAACTGGTCAGGCTGTGGGAGAGCCACTCCGAGGTCATGAAAATTGGGTCAACGCCGTCGGATTCTCGCCAGACGGCTCACAGATTGTGTCTGGCTCGTGGGACGACACAATTCGATTGTGGGACGCGGCAACTGGTCAGGCTGTGGGAGAGCCACTCCGAGGTCATGAAGGCACAGTCAACGCCGTCGGATTCTCGCCAGACGGCTCACAGATTGTGTCTGGCTCGGACGACAACACAATTCGATTGTGGGACGCGGCAACTGGTCAGGCTGTGGGAGAGCCACTCCGAGGTCATGAAGGCGGAGTCAGCGCCGTCGGATTCTCGCCAGGCGGATCACAGATAGTCTCCGGCTCGTGGGACAAGACGATCCGATCATGGGATGCAGAAACAGGTGAGTTCAACTCAGCTCGCCTTCGAGATTGTGATGCGACTCGACAAATAGCCTTGAGTGCAAACGCAAATTCTTCTGGTAAAGAGTCTGTATATTCAAGCCTCAGTGAGGGTCTACCGGCCACTCCTCTAAGAATCCATGTACCTGGATTCCAAATTTGCTTACTCTCGCAGGACGGCTGGGTACATTCTTCCGGCAAACGTCTCTTCTGGGTACCACCAGACAATCGACGCGGACTAAAATATCCATATCTCCTGACAATTCCAAACGAGGCTCCATTCCGCAAGACCAAGTTTGATTTCACCAATTTTCAATGTGGTCTCTCTTGGACAAATGTTCGAACAAATGTCCCATAATGACACTGAAGGGCCCTCCGGGCGGACCCCTGACCTTTATCTCCTTTTGGGCTCGACGATTTATTGCGAAATATATGTTATACACACAACTCGCGTGGGACCCCTTAGACGCTCGCAATGAACAGGGAGAAGGGGTGTGAACGAAATAGGAGATTTCATCAGAGACCTAAATGATAAACAAAAGCAATCGTGCCATCTGGATCCAGGAGGAGACAGAGCACGCAGGCGGAGATTGTGAGGGGCACTAAGACTATGGGTCCGAGCCTTCAGTCCTCTTTCCCTTGATCTGCTGAAGCTCGCACTCAGGTGCATAGGAGTAAGCTGTTCGACAAAAGAACGTAAAGTTTCAGCTGATGATGCACTCACAATACTCAAGGGAGCAACGTCTTTCCTGGGAACAACAGATGCGTGCAAATTCAACAGATAACAAGTGACATCAACGTCTCTGACGGGTGAAACGGAGTGCAGAGGCTCGTGTGAAACGACATTGGAATCCTCGCGTGGTATACAGGCAGCGCTGGCAACACCTACAGGCGGTCAGAGTAAGTCCAGGGGTATCAAGAGGTCCGACGCACCTTGAGGTGGCAAATTAGATAGCTTTACAGGAAAAAAGGTAGGCGGTGAGTAGACTTCGAAGCCAAACTGAACGTGTTCGAGCGGGAGGGTGTTGTCTGGGAAGTATCAGTACAATCCATAGTGATAGGGAGAACGTACTGGTTTACGTGCAGATATTTCAATTACTGTGCCTGGTGAGGGCGTATAAGACCCTTCCCTCCACTTCGTTACGGTCAGGGGACTTAATCATTGACGGCTAAATTTTACAATCACAATCATTCAGAATTAACTGACGCAGGCTGACGAACTTGTGGCTTGACGGGCTGGCACAGGCGGGGGCCAGGATGAGTGTTTGTGAGCCCGCCTCAGCCTCTTGCTTTGTTCTCACGAATCTTGAATGATTTTTGTCCACCGTGGCTGCTCAAAGGGTCACTTATATATTATATACCATTTGGTTCAACGGGCTTATACCTCGGTTTCGCGGGATCAATGGTAGTTTTCTTTTTGTTTGTTCGGCGGCCAAGCCTTATGCCTTGCAACTTCGACCCGTTCTCCTACCATCCGTCCGGATCATGTCTCTCTTGCTTGTCTTATAAAGCAACTCCTTGTTTTGTATTCCAGAGGTCTGTGAATTTTTGTCCTCTTTGTCCTTGGGCTCATGGAAAGCCCCAACAGACTGTGACGATGGACTTGCTTGCCTCCATTCACGGCGTCTTGGATGCTGAGAGGTACAAATTATGCCCTATAAGGGCCCAGATACTCGCTCGCAGTGGTACTAGATGCCTCGATCAAACAGTATGTACTTTTTTTGGTTGCAAAAACAACGAGACTTATGCTTTGACTGTCACAGGAACGGTTGCATTGACTATTTGATGAATCTCTTCATGGCATCTTGGTCATCAAACCGCGCAAACCCAGTCGTCTCCCCTCGACCTGATGTTTTCCTACTAGTCGGTCGTCTCCCCTCGGCCTGGCTTTTCTTCAGTCGGTCGTCTCCCCTCAACCTGACTTTTCTACTAGTCGGTCGTCTCCCCTCGGCCTGGCTTTTCCTTCAGTCGGTCGTCTCCCCTCGGCCTGGCTTTTCTACAGTCGGTCGTCTCCCCTCGACCTGGCTTTTCTTCAGTCGGTCGTCTCCCCTCGACCTGGCATTTTCTACCAGTCGGTCGTCTCCCCTCGACCTGACTTTTCCTCAGTCGGTCGTCTCCCCTCGACCTGGCATTTTCTACCAGTCGGTCGTCTCCCCTCGACCTGGCATTTTCTACCAGTCGGTCGTCTCCCCTCGGCCTGGCTTTTCTTCAGTCGGTCGTCTCCCCTCGACCTGGCATTTTCTACCAGTCGGTCGTCTCCCCTCGACCTGACTTTTCCTCAGTCGGTCGTCTCCCCTCGACCTGGCATTTTCTACCAGTCGGTCGTCTCCCCTCGGCCTGGCATTTTCTTCAGTCGGTCGTCTCCCCTCGGCCTGGCTTTTCTTCAGTCGGTCGTCTCCCCTCGACCTGGCATTTTCTACCAGTCGGTCGTCTCCCCTCGACCTGACTTTTCCTCAGTCGGTCGTCTCCCCTCGGCCTGGCTTTTTCTTCAGTCGGTCGTCTCCCCTCGACCTGAATTTTCCTACTAGTCGGTCGTCTCCCCTCGACCTGGCATTTTCTACAGTCGGTCGTCTCCCCTCGACCTGGCATTTTCTACAGTCGGTCGTCTCCCCTCGGCCTGGCTTTTCTTCAGTCGGTCGTCTCCCCTCGGCCTGGCTTTTCCTACTAGTCGGTCGTCTCCCCTCGGCCTGGCTTTTCCTTCCAGTCGGTCGTCTCCCTCGGCCTGGCTTTTCCTACTAGTCGGTCGTCTTCCCTCGGCCTGGCTTTTTCTACTAGTCGGTCGTCTCCCCTCGGCCTGGCTTTTCCTTCAGTCGGTCGTCTCCCCTCGGCCTGGCTTTTTCTACTAGTCGGTCGTCTCCCCTCGACCTGGCTTTTTCTACTAGTCGGTCGTCTTCCCTCGGCCTGGCTTTTCCTTCAGTCGGTCGTCTCCCCTCGGCCTGGCTTTTCCTACTAGTCGGTCGTCTTCCCTCGGCCTGGCTTTTCCTACTAGTCGGTCGTCTCCCCTCGGCCTGGCTTTTCCTTCAGTCGGTCGTCTCCCCTCGGCCTGGCTTTTCCTACTAGTCGGTCGTCTTCCCTCGGCCTGGCTTTTCCTACTAGTCGGTCGTCTCCCCTCGGCCTGGCTTTTCTTCAGCCGGTCGTCTCCCCTCGACCTGACTTTTCCTCCAGTCAGTCGTCCAGGTGTTATCTACCATACACCCAGTTGTCTCCCCCATTAAGCATCAGTCGGGCACTGGAGTCAGTTAGGGTTCTGACTTGGTCAACCGCAAGGTCGACAAGCGTGTCCTGATTCCGGCAGGTTTACCAACTGACATTCCAACCTCACCCCAGTCTCAGGACGGGCGACATATGATGCAGTCTGGGCTCATCATTACACATGAAATGGTTCCCTGGACACTACTACAAATCATCAATGTAACAATTTCTGAAGGCATGTATCATTACATAGAATAGCCACTGCGTAGGTCCTAATAGACCTATGGAAATCCGGAATAAAAACATAAGTCAAGAAACCCGATGTTGATGAGAACAAGTTGGAGGGCGACTTGCTTCCCATATACGACCGCTACAATTGAGTCGATTACATGGAGTATCAACGATCCCACGGAATACGTTTACCAGCAAGCGCGGTACTATTTGTGAGTATTGACAATAGAGCCTTGGGTCATTGCTGACCGACTTGCAGACTTATATAGATCCTGATGATGGACCTCCCGCCCAATCGGCCCATGTCGTCTGTCAGACCTGTGACAGCCCCGTGTATACGGACCGATGTAATCTACTCTCAGTGTGAACAGTGGGAAGCTCATGCGCTCTGAATAGATGCAATCTATATGTCTACAATTGTAGGCAATACTTGTGGGTTTTACGACAATTGAACAAGGGAGAAAGCAAGTAAGAGTTGGCCAACGGCATAAGGTAATACCTAGAGAAAGAAAACCCCAGCGTATAGATAAGACTCTACATCTGACAGTATGCAAGAAGTCAACGAGCTCGGCGGATGGCAGAGTTAATATTTGTCTAAAGAATCACCCGCCCGCCGTGGCGCGGGTTGCAAACTTTGGACTCGCGCTCGACTTGTCTAATGGATCCCCGCAAGCGCGCGCCGACGGGAAACATTGACCTAACGAATATTGTCAGCGGTCCACGCGCAAAACGCACAAGAGTGACCTATACAGAAGACGAACAAGATGCGGACCAAGACGTTGAGATGGCAGAGACGACTCAGACGGCCCCTTCTGCTGTTATGCGGCAAGGAATGCGTTTATGGAACGCCGTAAGAAACTATACAGATGCAGAGTGCGTTTTATTTCTGTGTAATCGAGGCCGTCGAACGTATAGCTGAGCGTATTGGATCAGGGGCAACGAACTGGCGGTCGATTTTTTGAAATTGATTTCAAAGAAGTTGTATCCAGATTACTACAAAGTCATTGCTCGGCCCATGGCACTGGATATGGTCAAGAGCAGACTTGAGCTCGACGGTTATCCGTCTTTGGAGTCTGTAATGGCCGACATGGAGCTCATCTTCGAAAATGCCAAGCAGTATAATGTCGAGGGCAGCGCCATTTACCGCAACGCAGAGGACCTTCACGTTTGTCGCGCTCTTCAGGTCTGGATTTAGGTGCTCACATGTCAAATAGGCTGCTCTTTTGCAGGAATATCGCTCCATTACAGGCGTCGAAGTAAAGCATAACGAGAAACAGGAAGAGTTGGACAAGCTCCTTACGCAAACGACGAATGAGCTATGTCAGGCAACGGACGAAACGTGAGACAACGATGATAAAAGAACATTTCTGATTCTCTTTCTAGTGGTTTAACCTGGGCCTATCATTTCATGGAACTTCCAGATGGAAATCTTTATCCACAATACTATGTGGTCATCCAAAAGCCAATGTGCTTCAATCACATTCTCGCAAGTGAAAGTATTCGCCTCCTCTCCTCCGCTAATATCTCGATAGAGAAAAATCTCGAGACACGAGTATACGACCGCCACAAGATGGGGCCAAGACGTCGAACTCATCTTCCAGAACGCATATACCTTTAATGAGGATGGTAGTCCCATTGTAACACAAGCAAAAGCCCTCCAGGTATGTCCGTGGATTAAAAACCGGACGGTGACACTGACCGCTCTTAGCTTCTTTACAACACCCTCGTCGACAAGTTTCCTCCCGAATTTGCGGTCGAAAAGTCTATTCCAAAGCCCAATGTGATCAAGCTCAAGGTTGGGCGACCAAGAAAGTCGGACAGCCATGCAGCGACGCCACCAGCCAAACCTCGTCAATCTAGCTCAGTAGATACACCACGACATGCCGCTACTCCCGAAGTTGCTATCAAAGTGGAGGAATCTATCAAGATGGACACTCCTCCCAACCCGCCAACCGCTCTGCCCCAAACGCCTGTTCCCGCTACACCCATCTCTGTAAAGCAGCCTCAAACTCCAGTACCTCAGATGCCTCCTCCATCAGTTCCACAAACTCCGGCGCGACCACCTGCACCTCCGGCTCCAATTGTCAATATCCGAGCACCATTTCCGACACAAACAAGACCCTATGGATATCCTCCTCAGCTTTCACAATCTCCGATTCCTCCTGGGCCCCCATTCCAAAGTTCGTTTGTTCTCGGACCACCGACACCGCTTCCGGAGGGTATGATGAAGAATCCCATTACGCACGTTGGACTACGGACGCTGCCGATAGGGAGAACAATCTGGCTAGATGCCAAAGATGGAGTCACGTCATGGAGTATTCGATTAGCCGGCGGAAAGCGTGAGCACGGGCTGAGTATCGACCGGGTGGATATTGAAGACGACGAGGACATTCCGGCGGACGAGATGAAGGAGGAACCTGAAGAACCCAGGCCACGGAAACGGGGACGTCCACCGACTCGAAGTCTTGCCGCGCAACAGGCAATGATGAATGGAAACGGATACGTGAAACGGGTCGCGGCTATCGAATACCTTCGTGGGCTCGTGGTAAAGCTAAATGGGAAGCAACTCTTACCCGTGAGCGATGCAGTCGATGACCCGACGCTCCGACAATGGAACGTGGATCTCGCGCCGGGTGCGTCCGTCTTGGACATTGGGGCATGGAGAGTCTACATAGACAGAGACTAGTGAATTGTTTCTTGTATCTTACACCCATTCTGATTCGTTTCCCTTGCCTCTTGTTGTGCGTCCTTGGCTCACCACCTTTTGCCAAAACTCGCTCCCGACCATGTCAGTCGCTCCGCCACTTGGAAAGGAATTGGCCGCGACTGGTAAAGAATACTTGATAGGATATTCTCATAGGCTTACAGAGCGTTTTCAGATAAAAAGACGCGTGATAACGCGATCAAAAGTTTGCGCACTTTCCTGTCTACGACGTCCGACAAGCCAATGGCGGACCTCGAAATGGCAAAGTTGTGGAAAGCAATCTTTTTCTGTGTGTATTTGATTCACCTCTTTTGTCGTCTTGGCTCTTTTGGTCGCTCATCCCGAGCCTTTTCGTATAGGCTTTTGGCACTCGGACAAGCCACTCGTTCAGCAAGAGCTGGCAGCTGCGCTTGCCGACATGCTCCTCGTCCCCTCAGCTCCAAAAGCCTCTTTTCATTTCCTCAAGGGCTTTTGGGAGGCCATGGTCAGAGAATGGTCTGGTTTGGATTACCTCAGGTGTGTGGCTAGCACCCTTTACATGGATTTGAAGCTGATCAAGACTTGTGACAGAATCGACAAGTACTATATGCTCGTTCGCAAGTTTGTAAACGGCTCGTTTCGGCTTCTCGCGAGAGAAATGTGGACCGTAGACGCCATGGACGAATACACGAGAATCATCTCTGGAAACAAGGGACCACTATAGTCAGTCTCTCTACGCCCGTTTTCCATTTTCCTAACGGATGCAGCCCGGAAGACCGCAAGATACCAACCGGCTTGGGATACCATCTTGCCGACATTTACAACGAGGAGCTGAACAAAGTTGTCGGATCCGACGATTCTGTATGCCTTGGTCAATGTCAACCTGCCCTATTCTGACAACCTGTAGTCACCGCCGGTGCCCCTTGTGCCTCTCTTTACCCCGTTCTTCAAGTTGAATGCATTGACACCCTCTCCTACCACCTACAACCGCTTCCAGAGTGCCCTCTACTCGCCCATGTTTGCTGCTCTCCTTGCACACTCGACTCCAGAGGGTGCAGTCGTAAACTATCGATCCACGACAAATACGGTGACTCTGGCACCAAGAGATTCGGATGGCGGGAGGAGAAAGCGGGCTCGCATCGAGCCCCCAGAGCTTCCCCTGAAAGCTCTGTGTCACAACGCCTGTCTGGAAGCTCACAAGGGGGACGCCGAAGAGGCAGAGAAACCGCTGTCACCAAAAGAGCTGAGGAAGGGATTATTAAAAGCAATGTTTGATGTCGCAAGTGCCGAAGACACCAAGGAAGTTAGCAGGAAGAGGATGTATAGGCTATGGCGAGAGGCGACGGAGCAAGCCGAGACTCCTGGTGAAGACTGAGATGCGTAGATTATAGACTCGTTAATCCCATGTTGTACTCTTTGGAATGTCGAGCAAAGGTGGTTGTCGCACTCGTACTCTTCTTGGATGCCGCGACCTCCGCAGACTTTTGCTGGCAAAGTATGGGTGACCGGCGTCACTCTCTTGATTGCTTTCATCGCGTATACGTCGCAAATATTTATAATATGGCCTTGGTACGGACGTGAGGTGACGGTAGAACTCCTCGTCTTGATCGGGCCCTTCAAGTGCGCGCAGGGAATGATTGTAAGGCGTTTACTAACACCTATCCAGTTTAATGGTTGCATTCCTGTACTGGAACTACTTTCTTTGCGTCTATACGGACCCGGGAACACCGCCAGCAGATTGGGTAAGTAATGGGGCGTGTCCGAGACGAGTTATTGATCGATGCTGCAGGTCCCAGAAGCACAATCCTCTGGAGGCTTTGAAGTCAAAAGCTTGACGGGGCAGCCACGCTGGTGCCGCCACTGCGAGAAGTATAAACCACCCAGAAGTGAGCAGGTCCACGTTTCACATGACTTCCACTAAATATAGACAGCCCATCATTGCAAGACGTGCAAGCGGTGCGTTCTCAGGATGGACCATCATTGTGCGTACTATGGTTGATCTTCTCGTTCGACAATCTCATCTCCACAGGCCCGTGGACAGACAACTGTATCGGACACTACAACTATGCTCATTTTATTCGGTTTCTTTGGGCGGTTGACATTGCATGCTCGTATCATTTAGCCATGCTAACGCGCCGAGTTTATTATGCGTTGCTCTTCAAGTACTGGGTACGTTCTCAAAACGTGTTATGGCCATCTCACATCGATTCTAGGAACCAGGAGGAGTAGAGTTGGCTTTCCTCGTGGCCAATTATGCTGCATGTATACCCGTTATTGTCGCCGTCGGATTATTCAGGTATGTGCCATGCATGCTCCCTCCCGCGAATAACTGAACACTATTAGTATCTATCATTTCTATTGCATGCTCACTAATACGACAACGGTGGAGGGCTGGGAGAAAGACAAGGTCACCACTTTGGTTCGACGGGGGAAGATAAGCCAGGCAAGTTCTATGGTGTCGGTACAAAACGCCACTAACCTTCTTCGTAGGTTCAATTTCCCTATGTAAGTCTAATCTTGTAAGGTACACCCAGGCTTGACTTTCTATCGTCTTAGAATCTTGGCCCACGGCGCAACTTCCTCGCCGCGTTTGGGTCTAATCCACTCTTTTGGTGCTGGCCACTCAAGTCTGTCGAGTCAGACGGGCTCAGTTTTCCTGTAGCGGACGGCTCTGGTGAGCGAGTGTCTTGCCAGCCTTATGCCCTCTGACTGATGTGCTAGAGCCGTCTGAACAATACTCGTGGCCACCAAAGGATCCCTTCCGGGACATAGACGCCCCGCGGAAAGAGATGCCATCCTCCCCTTGGACATACGGAAACGAAGGCTTCAATCCCTCACTTCAACCTTCTAACAGACGGCAAGCAGCTGCTCCTCCGTATCATCCATCATATGACAAAGAAGAAGAGGACGATCGATACTCTACATCTTCGTCTCCTGAGCGAGAATCGCATTCCTCCAATGAATACATTCCGTATCCTCAGCAGGATGGAACTCGTCGGAGAGACGGTTGGATGGATGCTAGCGATGAAGATGTGCCTATCAAGTCTGGGATGCGTGTCCGTCGTGGTTCCGAGGGGTGGGAGACGACTATGCCGAATCGCTGGGCTCAAGTCGAGGAACAGATTCTCAACGATGAAGAGTCTGTTTCAGATACCCCATTAGACGAAGAATCTGCACGTGGTAGACCTGCACATAGACGCTAGTTTCTTGTTCACTGTCCTTTCCACCTCTCATGTTTCAATTACACATTTCAATGGAAGGATCAACCGATCTCTGACACATCTATCTGTGATATCTTTATGTTTGCACTTCCTGGTCCTGGTTTGAGGTACTTTGACAAGACGGACGGGCTCCAGGTGGATACAACTCCTGACTTCTACTGCGTCTAGCCATTGTGCACAGTCTCTGTACTCATACTTTTAAGTCGTTTTCAATGGTCTTGAAAAGTGATCCTCGCGTAATCCAGGTCAGCTTTACAGCGGTCGCGTTTGCCACTCTCAGATCTTTTACTTTGTGGCCTAATGCGTTCAAAGGAACTATCGTCTTCTGAAGATGAAGATGAAGTCCCCATTGCATCGAGCAGCAAAAGGCGGACCAACGTCGCAGCGAAGCGTATCATTGATTCCGACGACGATGAGGACGATTCGCCAGTTCCTGCAAGAACAAACGTGTCAAACATGTCCAGTGCGTCTTCCAAGACTGTCGGACCGGCTACAAATTCCACAACCTCACGTCACCCTGCGCCACCCATAACAATGCCGTGCGTTGCGTGCTTCATGTCTGCGAGGTTGAGACTAAAATAGGCCAGAAATCCTCGCCCGGTACAAACTTCTGGAAACTCTAATTTTGTTGGTGGATTCGCCCCAAGACTCCAGGGTAATACGTCGCCCGTCACTGGACAACCTACTCAATCTCTGGGATCCAACTATTACCCACCACCAAAGACCTATAGTCCTCCAAGTCATCCACCACCGAATGCTGGATATCGTCCAACGGCAAATGCAGGGCCCCCGTCGGCGACTACGGCCGGCAATCCGATCCGTATTCCTCAAGAAGGGGAGAGGCACTCGCTTTTACACACCGTCAACAAGGCTACACATGCCGTTAACGTAGCTGCTCATGCAGTTGTCGATCGCTTTCACCCACACCCTCCTACGTATGCTCAGCCACATCCCCCTGCCTATACTCAGCCATATAAACATCCCCAAGCACAACCACCTCCCTTGCGCAACGGAGAGTTTGACCTTGATGCTGTCCAATCTATGCCCGGTGATCCAACCGACTGGCATGATCTTCTTAACAATATCAAGGCGACAGCGGACGAAGTGGCGGAGGAGTTCAAGGAAGAGGATTCGATTGTTCCCGGGTTTGCAGAGGGGATTATACTGAGACCGTGGCAGGTTCAAGGTCGACATTGGATGCTCAAGAGAGAGCAAGGCTCCGCTAGGGGAGGAATTCTCGCAGACGATATGGGTCTAGGTACGATGTCGGCGCACATGGCACCTTTAATCTGACTGTGGCAGGCAAAACGATCCAGATGATCACGCTCATCACGCTGAACCCAAGAACTTCGGCTGATCGAGAGAAAGGCTATGCAAAGGGCACTCTGTGAGTACCAGACTTTCACTTTGTCGTTTCCTGACCGTCTTAGAATCATTGTCGGTCTCAACATCTTGGGCCAGTGGGAGAAAGAAGTCAGGAAATTTAACCCCTCCCTGCGCGTCTTGGCTCACCACGGACCGTCTCGTACAAAAAGTACACAACTCTCTTGAACGCGATCACTTTATGCTGACTGCATTTCTAGGCGAATATGATCTCGAACGCTACGATGTTGTCCTCACTACATATGATGTGCTTTCGAACGAGCATAGCGCATATCAAGGTGGCGTCGAGGTGTCCTCCAAGGGGACTAAACAAAACTCGAGTGAGGATTCCGACGACGGGTTCGGAGGGGCAATCAGAGCTCGTAAAGAGGCAGCACCAAAGCCCAAGAAGGTGAAAGAAAAGGGATCCGCACTCTTTAAAGTGGACTGGTATCGAGTGGTTGTTGGTCAGTCTACTGTTACCACGCTGTTTTGACAGCTGACCAGGCCATAGATGAGGCCCAGAACATCAAGAATAGATCCTCTAAGCGTTCTTTGGCAGTATCTGCACTTAATTCAAAGTACCGTTGGATCCTAAGTAGGTTCCCCCTTGCAAGCTTTTCTTCGCTGACTGGCCGTAGCCGGCACTCCCATCCAGGTTGGTTGTCTATTTCTAGCTGAATCTTATGTTGAACCATCTGCAGAACCAAGTGGACGACCTGTTCCCACTATTTCGATTCCTTCGGATCAAACCTTTGCACGAATGGGACGAATTCAATGCAAAGATTCGTGAACCTCTCAGTCGAGGTCGGTCTGGGACGGCCATGAAGCGGCTTCACGTTCGTATAGTCAGCACATTGGGCACGGGCTAACTTTTCTCCAGCATATCCTTTCGACGATTATGTTACGACGCCTCAAAGCTGATGTCAAAGAGTTGAATCTGCCGGCTCGTAACGTCGAAGTGACAGAGTGCGAGTTTGAGGAGGCAGAGCAATTTGTATATGACCAAATCAGAGGAATTGCAGAGGAGAGAATTGGACGTGGATTCGAGGTAATAGTGATGAATTCACACTGGCCAGGCGCTCATCAACAATAGTCTAACGACATGATGTCCGCGCTCGTACTCCTCCTGCGTCTCAGACAAGGTATGATACCTTCCCTTTGTGATTCTTACAGTCTCATTCGTGTCCTAGCATGTGATCACCCGACATTGACCAAGTCTTCTGCCGCCAGTGAGATCAAGGAAATGAATGCACCGTCAAGACGAGCATCTGTGGGACCAGATGAAGACGACGAACTCGTCGGGCTGATGAAGTCGATGACTGTTGACGGTCACTGCGAGATCTGCCACAGAGAGTTTGTACCTTTTCAACCTTCACGTTTAAACCTCATCTTTGACAGCCTCGACTCTTCCGAAGAGACGTACTGCCGCAGCTGTGCCATGGTCCAGAAACAGCGAGCATTGACAGCAAACGATACGACATATCGCTCGACAAAGATTCGGTGTATCTTAAAGCTCCTCAAAGACATCGACTCGAAGCCAGACAATGGCAAGACTATCATCTTTTCCGAATTCACGTCAATGTTGGACATTGTCGCTGCAGTGCTTGACGAGGAGAGAATTCGATACGTTCGCTGTACGTCGAGTTTGCACGTCACTCTCACATTCTGACGCACCCAAACTTCAGATCAAGGCTCTATGAACGCAGCGCAGCGACAGCAATCGATTGACATGTTAAACTCTGATCGCAGGGTCAAGGTTATATTAATCTCGACAAAGGCCGGCAACTCTGGTAAGAGGAATTGTTCATTTTTGGAATCCCTATACGCTAAACTTTTTAGGACTAAACCTGACTGTTTGCAACAACGTAATTATGATGGACCCATGGTGGAACCCCGCAATCGGTAAGGCTCTGTTGGGATGGAAAGATCCGCCGGCTGATGCCTCCTTCCCCAGAGGATCAAGCGTTTGACAGAGCTCATCGCCTGGGGCAAACACGCGACGTGAATATTTACAAGCTGATGGTTCCCGATACGGTCGAGGAACGGATCCTCGAGGTATGTGGATCTGCTGACTTTAGTCGGCGACACACTAACCGGTTATTCAAGCTTCAAGAGAAGAAGAGGGCATTGGCCAAAGCGGCTCTTGAGGGAGGCAAGCTTGCTAAAGGAAACAAACTCAGCTTCCAGGAACTGCTCAATCTCTTCAAGCACGGACACGACGACTAACGTCTTTACGAATGTATATCGTTTGCTACCCCCACCATATACCCTTGTTTCAATCGAAGAGTGTAAAACCGATGTACAAATGTGCATGCCAGTAACGAATCTAATAGAGAATACAAACAAACACGCTTGAGTTGGAATTGATTGACCAAAAGGGAAGAGACTGTCCGACAAAGAAGAGCACAGAGAGGTTCAAACAAGAGAGAAAGCATTCTATAGCTAGAAGCCAGCGTCATTGAGGTTTCTCCAGATATCCGCATGCGTGACTTCTGTCCCTTGCAGCTCCTGACTTCGCTGCCAGAAGAATCCAGCGTCCTTGGAGACAGCGAGCTCAATCTGCTGCTCAATTGCACTTGTCATGGTCGGGTTTTCGACAAGATTTCTGTACGGTTTGTTGACAAACTTGAGCATTTGGCCAATAATTTCGCCCAGTCGTCGTAGCTTCATCACGTTGATCAATGGTCGAGGGGTGACGAGATCTGGTTCTGGAGGAGCGGGCGTGGCCATAAAGTCTGGATGATGCTCGTGTGCATGTACGAGCTCTGTGAGGAAGATGCTGATAAACGGCACACAGGGACCATCGAGCGAGGCATGTAGCGCCTTGTAGGCGGCAAAGCGGCCCGTCGGATCCGTCAAGTGCACCAATTGCTCGAGCGTAGCGGCACGAAGGACGTGTGCCCATGTTAGGTGGAGCTTTCCAATGTCTCCTCCCGATAACGCCGCGACAATGGCGCACATGGAGAAAATGTTGTTCTGCTTCTTGCAATTCTACGCGAAAAGAGTGTGAGTATGCAAATATGATAGTTTCTGGACTCAGGGGATGTAGGCGAGACTCGAAACGCTTCTCACCTCGGCAATCTTTATCCAGTGGTCAATGGTATCCGCCCGTTTCCCCAGACTTTCACATGTGAGCACGGAGAGTTTGACCCATGCTGCGATTCGGTCGCTTGTGCCAATAAACGCCGCCAGGTTGGCCACCGCGGGACCCTTTGTCGACCGTGACCAACTGAGGCACTCGTGCGGCCGTATTCGCGAATAGAGTCGGGTCTCCATAATAGTGAGATGATTGGCAATGTCGGCTGAATCCCATTTTAGAAACTCGCCCTTGGGAGCCTTGGCCTTGCGTCGGAGAGAAAAGCTCGACGAGGGTGAAGAGCTGGGAATCGACCTTAAAGCAACGTCTTCCGTTTGCTTGATTGACCTTCAGTATCTTTGTTTACTGAATGGCCAAGGGGCGAACTCACCACTCGATCCAACGTTTGCAATAGCTGCTTTGCGCTAATTGCAAGTCCCGTCGGTGACTGTATCGCACCAAGAAATGTGCGTAATTTTGGTATGAGCTGCGGATCATCGATATGCATGGCATGTTTATCCACCCATTGGGAGATAACAGATAGGATCCTGATCAAGATCCGTCAGCAGACATACAGGGGTACAGAGTGGGACGGTGCCTGACCTTGTCTGGGTGGGCCTGAACTTTTTCTCTTTCCACTCGAGAAACTCTGGAGGGTCTAGATTCGGTGGCGGCTCCATCTCGTAGTAGGAAATCAGGGTATCATAGACGTTATTGGCTGTCGTAAATGATTTAAACGTGGTTAGAAAGATTGTGCGATAGGACTGTTCCTCTGTGGCCTCTAAAAGGGGGATTGAGTTTCAAGTGCGGCCGAGGAAAGAGGGTGCTGTCACTCACTCAGTGGGTCCAATAATAATCGCTCAATGAGGGCCGGGACTGTCCCGGCGATGACGAGTCCATTGGCGTCTACCTTGAGTTCCTCCCAGGTATACTTTGGCCGCAAATACCAGGGCAGATTCGCTTGGGATAAGCGGGCCATTTGCAGGGCAGCACTGTCGGCGGTAGTAGAGCTGGAAGGCGACGACAACGGGCCACGAGAGCTGCCAACCGAATTTCTATGCGCATACTCTTCTACCCTCGGCATACTGGGCATACTCCACTGACTGTTAACATCGGAACCTTCCTCGAGTACCAATGAGAGCTGGTGGGGTATTGGCGGGTCATACGGTGGTGACATAGAGTAGGATGAAGACGAAGAGCGCGGATATACATAGTTTACGGGTGTCGTTGCAGATGGAGGCGAGTACATTGCATAAGAGGGCGGGACCGGAGCGCCAGAGGAACGGGCGCTGGACTTTGAGCCACGAAGGTTGGCGCTCGCAAACTTGTTTGAGAGATCACCGACGAGTGGATCTGTTGGGGAAAACTGTGGTATGGGCGTTGTAGGCCCGTCGGTGTATTCCGAGGAGACGCGATGGGAAGGATCGTATGGGTCGACGTCGGGCGACTGATAACCCTCGTCCTCTTCTGTGTAGACTGGCAAATCCGCTTCATTTCCTGTTGAGCTCAATGGAGACGCAAGGCTGGAGGGAGACGAGCTGGGAGGCACGGTGGGGGGCGCCAATCCCTTACGCGCGGGTACTGATATCAAGAAGCAGTATTGAGCAGTTGAAAGGAATACAACAGAGGTATGCAGACGTACTCGGAGTCAAGTAAGAGGCTGGTACCCATTTCAGACGACCGCCATGAAGTGCGGCCCACCAGCCAGATTGTTCCTTGTGGATAATCGTAAGTACGTCGTTCTGTCGAAACGAAAGCTGATCGGGCGCCGTCGTGTCGAAATCAAAGGCACACAAGTAGACTTCTCCCTGCGGCGGCGCATGCAAATGGGATTGTGCAGCTTGCACATGTCCAGAGCTGTTAGAAGAAGTGCTCTGGGGACGTTGGGAAAGCATCCCAACAAGTGTGCATGAAGTGGGAGAGAGCAAGAATGGACCAAATTGACCCTGGCGCCCACCGTCCATCAAGGTTCAGCTCTCAATATTGTCAAAACATTCGCGTAGAAACGACATTCAAAACATATTCGCGTAGAATTAGCTGGCAGCTACCCCGCCGGCTCATGCGCACGCGACGTTAGCGTGGGTGGGAAGCGTAGAGAGGAAAGAATTATGTCCGTTGTAAAACGAGAATCATCGCCGTAGATACAAGCATCTGGCTCTTGGTCATGAATCCGGGCACACGTCTATGTGCTCCAGAGATCAGCAGTTGCATCCGTCTTGCTCGGCCGCAGGCTTTGAGCTCAAATCAACGCCTCGAGGCTGCCCGCCGGCTCGTGCTTGCCCTTTCTGACTTTGTGGAGCGGATAATGGTAGCTTTTTGGCTGCAGGGCCAGGGAAAACGACGATAGGGTCAGCCTTGATCCGAGATACAACACAGTTGCGCACCGATTGCCATGAAGATATCTTGGACACCCTCACCAGTCTTTGCGCTTGCCTCGCACCACATCAATCCCTCTTCTTCTGCATACTTCTTTGCCTCTTCTTGTGTAACCTGTCGGCGGGCCTCCAAATCCGTCTTGTTGCCGCAGAGCGCAATGATAATGGACGGGTCCGCTTGACGTTGCAATTCTCGGATCCACGATCGTGCCTTCTCCAAAGAAGCCTATCCAACGCCGCAGAACAATTCCAGTGTCAGCCTTTGCCGCAGCCGGTACCTGGCAGACACAACTCCGCCGTGAATAATACACGTACGCTTTGGGTAATATCATACACCACAACCGCACAATTCGCGTTTCGGTAGTACATGGGGGCCTGTTCGGTTCTTGTGTCAATAGCCGTTCGCTCTAGCGGTGTCAGGCGCAACAAACCAGGGATTCTGCAAAGAGCCGTCAGTCGGAAACTATGGGATAGCCGCAGAGAAATACATACTATATCGCTCCTGACCAGCCGTATCCCTATGAGATAGACGTCAGCGGGTTGATCCGGCGGAAGAGGACGCCCAGTCGTGCGTACCATATCTCAAAGCGGATAGTTGTTTGATCATCCAATTGCACCGTTTGTGTCAAGAATGCAGCTGGTTAACCCACACAAGCGCCAAAGGTCAGTTCGCCAAGTTGAGCCTGTCAGCGTGTGTACACACCTCCAATAGTCGATTCTCTGTAATCATCAAACTGGTCTTTGACGAAACGTAGAACCAAGCTGGAGTACCGTCCCCACGTCAGCGTCCGAGTCGTAGTGGGTCGATGATAGACGGGATTACCTAGACTTTCCAACAGCGCTCTCTCCTAAATTGTGAATAGAAGTATTTAGCAGAAGAGAATGTCGGATATAGGAGGCCACTGACCGAGTAAAACGAGCTTGAACTGGTATTGGCGCGACATGGTGGAGTTGAAGGTTGGACAGCGCCGTTTAGACCCCGACCAAGATGGCTTCGTTTGCAGATTACGACGAGTTTGGAAATTATATCGGTCCAGATCTCGATTCAGACGAAGATGAGCAAATGGAGGCGGTCAGGCAAGAACCAGAGCAGCAGCCGCTCGAGGGACTCGAAGAGGACGAGGAAGAAGAGGAAGTAAACAACGAAGGAGCTTTGATGCAAATAGGTGAGTGCATTTACATTGCAAAACACGTGACTCAGGTTGCGTAGACACCATTCCACGGAATCAAGTAATACTACACGAAGATAAAAAGTATTACCCTACGGCTCAAGAAGTATACGGAGAAGATGTAGAGACAATGGTTCAAGAAGAAGACGCGCAACCCCTCTCTGAACCCATCGTCGCGCCCGTCAAAGTCAGGACTTGGGCCGTCGAAGAAAAGGGGCTACCAGAAACGCGTTATGATAAAGGGTATGTGCTACTCTTTACATATAACCACTATTTACGCGTATCAAAGATTCCTGCTGGACATGATGAACTATCCAGAGATGATTCGCAACGTCGCGCTCGTTGGGCATCTACATCATGGCAAAACGTCTCTAATCGACATGCTCGTATTTGAGACTCACAATCTCATCTGGGACGCAGACCGACCCGTGCGGTATACAGACACTCACGTCCTCTCGCGTCAACGAGAAATCTCGATCAAGTCTTCGCCCATGTCCTTGGTACTACCCACAACCAATGGTAAATCCCACCTCGTACACCTGATCGACACCCCCGGACACGTTAACTTTGTGGACGAGGTCGCAGCTGCTATGAGACTTGTAGACGGCGTGATCATCGTTGTCGACGTCGTAGAGGGTGTAATGGTCAACACCGAAACTGTAATCAGGCACGCGATGCAAGAAGGTCTGGCAATGACTCTTGTGCTCAATAAAATGGATCGCCTCATCCTCGAGCTGAGGATTCCACCGTCCGAGGCCTACTACAAAGTTCGCCATACAATCGAAGAGGTCAACAACTTTATTAGGTCAGTTCATCAATGAACCCAGTTATTCAACGCTAATCGTTGTACAGCGGGATCAACCCAGACCCGGCACTTCGATTGAGTCCCGAACGAGGAAACGTCGCCTTTGCTAGCGCGGATATGGGATGGTGCTTTACCCTAAGGTCATTTTCGCAACTATATGCGGAAGAATATGGTACGTTTATACCTATGGTGGAAGCATATACTAATTTAATATATAGGCTGGTCGACGACCCGACAGAAAAACTCGGATGTCATGGAAGAAGCACTCAGTGGCCAGAGGGAAAGCACGACTGGACCGATGACCGCCAATAAGTTCGCCGAGCGACTATGGGGAGATATTTGGTTCGACAAAGAGACGAGAAAGTTTAAGCGAAAAGCCAACGATCCATCTGCCCCTCGAACATTTATCCAATTCGTACTCGAGCCTCTGTACAAACTTTACGCTGCGGTAAGACTGCACCTATGATCGTTGTCTTCAGGTTTGCTCAACTCTCTCCAGGTCCTCAGCAAGGATACAGAATCTCTCAAAGTTATTCTAGACAAACTGTCCATCAAACTCAAACCAGTCATGTTCAAAATGGACGTTCGACCGCTTCTCAAAGCCGTGCTTGACCAGTTCTTCGGACGATCTACTGGGTTCATCGACATGATTGTTGAACACATTCCCTCACCCCTTGAAGCAACAGCGCAAAAGGTCGAACGTACCTACACCGGTCCCATGTCCTCTGATCTGGCACACGCACTCAAGAAATGCGATCCTAATGGACCTACTGTTGTGCATATTAGCAAATTGTACAATAGCACTGATGCACAGAGCTTCAGGGCATTTGGTAGGGTGATCAGCGGAACGATTCGTCCAGGAACAGACGTCAAAGTCCTTGGAGAAAACTATTCGGCAGAGGACGAAGAGGATGTGATGAAGGCCACGGTAGAAGACGTTTGGATCGGGGAGTCACGGTTAGTTTCCTTCTCATCTTTTACCAATCTCGCTAATATAGTCTTTTCCACAGATACGTTCTTTCCACTCAAGAAGTACCAGCAGGGAATCTTGTCCTCCTGGGTGGCATCGACACGTCCATCACGAAGACGGCAACGGTTGTGGATGCGTCAATCGAAGACGACTTGTACATTTTCCGCCCACTGCGACATTGTACACAATCGGTCCTCAAGATTGCTGTCGAACCCATTGCGCCTTCTGAGCTTCCAAAGATGCTCTCCGGTCTTCGAAGTATCAACAAGTCGTATCCACTGGTTGCGACAAAGGTCGAAGAAAGCGGCGAGCATGTTGTGATCGGCACTGGTGAACTCTATCTGGACTGTGTCATGCACGACCTCCGCAAGCTCTACGCAGAGATTGAGATCAAAGTCTCAGATCCTGTAACGAGATTCTGTGAGACCGTACTGGAAACAAGTGTCCTTAAATGCTATGCGGACACCCCGAACAAAAAGTACGTCTCTCGCTTCAGAAACAGAGTATTCGCTAAGTATGGTCGCGCAGAAACCGACTGACGATGATTGCGGAGCCATTGGACAAGGGCATGGCAGAAGATATCGAGACGGGAAGAGTCAATATGCGAATGTCGGCTAAAGAGCGTGGCAACTTTTTCCAACAAAAATACAACTGGGATATTCTCGCAGCACGGTCAATATGGGCATTTGGACCAGATGAGCGTGGTCCTAACATACTCGTTGACGACACACTCGCGGGAGAGGTATGTTCTACGCTGGAAATTTTCGGTGACGTTCAACGCCGTCACAGGTCGATAAAAAGATGCTTGGGCTTGTCAAGGAGCATGTCCGACAAGGCTTCCAATGGGGTACAAGGGAAGGCCCGTTATGTGATGAGCGTAAGTGGGTTTTACTTCCAAGTCTTCAGAGGTTCATCTCCGCTAGCAATGAGAGGAGTCAAATTCCGAATCCTAGGCGCATCGCTCGCGGAAGAACCAATATATCGAGGTGGTGGCCAAATTGTGCCAACAGCTCGACGTGTTTGCTACTCGTCTTTTCTTTTGGTACGTCTGTGTTCGCGATGCATGGAGATATGGCTCACTTTCTTAGGCGACGCCCCGTCTCATGGAGCCCGTCTATTACGTCGAAGTTCAAGCACCAGCAGATTGCATATCTGCGGTTTATACAGTACTTGCAAGGCGGAGAGGACACGTTACTCAGGATATTCCAAAGGCAGGCTCGCCGCTCTACACTGTCAAGGCTCTCATCCCAGTCATCGACGCAAATGGCTTTGAGACGGATCTAAGAACAGCAACGCAAGGACAAGCGTTTTGTCAACAAGTCTTTGACCACTGGGCTATAGTCCCTGGTGAGTCAATCCGTTCCTCTGCCATGGTGATTTGCTCATTAGCCCCAGGCGATCCAACCGACTCAACCGTACGCTTGAGACCTCTGGAGCCAGCCTCGGGACAAGCTCTTGCACGAGATCTAGCGTTAAAGACGCGCAGGAGAAAAGGTCTTGGTGACCAAATTGCCGTCTCAAAGTATCTTGATGATGAGTTCATCGTACGTTTTCCGCTCCGCTCAATCATACTAGCGCTCAATCTTATTAGATGGCTTTGACTTCTACCGGGCATGCGGATCTCCTGGGCTAACCAGCAAACATCCACTTGTAATCAAGCCCTCATAAAGCTGCGCACGTTCCAGCAAGGCAATCTTTTATGATATAAGGATAGAGATACAGTGCTATTGACGACGCGTCTATACGCTTTCAATTGATGGATCTGTCTTTGCTGGTGGATATCTGCACCACTTATCGGCGATAAAGGTCACCGTCCATGTCCCTGTCGTCCATCAACAATCAGATTCTACCATGAGAGATCCGCTTACCTTCTGCTGATGAGAAGATTGAGTATTCCGAGCTCATAATGCCCGCAACGGTGTGCGTCTCCAAAACTTTTGGTTTGCGACCGCGAGCGTATTGTGCTAGCTCGGCGCGTTGATATGTAAACGTGAAGGGCGGTTCACCGATAAGAGTAAAGACGATCTCCGCTTGTTCGCCTGGGGAGATGGCTCGTCAGCAAAGCCCAAAAAATCTCAAGACGCCTACCTTCTCTGATGTTTTCTTCAAACCTAGTGCCATGGCTGACTTGTGCAGAAGGAATCTCGTGTACCTTGAGTTTGACCTCCGAAATCGTAGTTTGGCATTGCGCTTGCTGATGCGCGATTGACACCACGGAGAAATCGCCGGGAACATTGGCCACTGTGGTGTATTTTGGTTGCCTCTGAATCGTTTGTCGAATCTTGTCGTTGAAACGATAGCTGCAAAAGTATGAGCAAGAACGCCGAGTATGAGTGTCAAAGCCTTACTTGATCGTCCACGGAGGAATACCTTCCAGCTGGAACTGTAATAGATCGCCAACACAGACGTCTGTCCTCCGTTCGAACGGTACAATCATCGCCGTCTCAGCGACATCTACCCAGAGTTTTCTTCGCTCCATATCGTCCTTGACCTCCTCGCAGCTCGATGCATCGTGTACAGAATCAATTGTGATGAGATAAGAGCCCACCGTAGTGAAGAAATAATCGGGAAACTGGGGCTGCCACTCATGCGTGGAAAGTTCCAGCATCTCCTTTTTCACCTCACTCGAGGCCATGTTCTGTATCGTGAAATGCACGATGAACGGTGGCTTCCCAGAGAGGACCATGAGACCGTCCTGGCTCACTTGATGCTCGGGCCTTGGCATGAACGCGTCATTCAAGCAATAAGACAAGCGAGCAGAGTTCTTGAAATAGGCGTTGGGCCTCGCAAGTACTTGTTGCTCCCACTTGAGACTTGTTGCTTCGCGGTTTTCCGTTTGCGGTGAGTATCGCGCATCGCCCAGTGCGAGGATCTCGTAGAATACACGACCGGCACGATTGGTGAGCAGTGGGAGTCGATAATCTGGTTGCAATGAGCTGAACTGATGCTGCTCCGGCCTTTCCTTATCCAACGTGGTCTGATATGTGACCTGGAAAGGAGGAGCTCCTTGGAGAGAGATATCCACATAATCAGGTGCAGAGACGCAGACAGGTGGCCGGATGTGAGACCCATTCCTCGCTTGTGAGACGCGTGTGTCTTTCGCAAGTCGAATGCTTGGGAGAGGAATGTGCTCGACAATGTATGTGTGTTCTGGAACAATTACGGTTCCAGGACATTGATCTCCCGTGACCTGCAGCTGATCAGAGACACCAAGAGCAAACAGAAAGTAGTTACCTCGACAATCTCATACACTCCTGGTAATTTCACCACAAGGACATCGTTTGCCGAGTCGAAACGTTCTCTCCTGATACGTTCAGGGAAGGCCATGTGACGCCACGCAACAGACCAAGGCTAGTCGTGGTGAGAAGTCGAATCAATACATTGCAGAGATACTTACCCCGTCACCCGTGAGTCGCAAAGGCAGCCTCGCCTTTTCGCCAACCAGTACTTGGGTTGTCCTGACTCCGTCCTTTGCATAAAACTTGGCAGTTGGCTATCAACGAGGTCAGCCACCGCACGGATTAGGAAAAGTGGCCAACAGACCTTGACTCTTCGGACATTAACAGATACACCTGGCACTACCAGGATCTGCTTGCAGCCATTTGCGTCCTCGACGGAAACTTGACGTGGTCAGCACAGATTAGGTACTTACCAAGAGAACTCACCGAGGTCCACAAGTATTGTACCGCCATCCTTATCCACATCCTTCGGGATCTTGACGCTGACCGTGTGCTTGTCCTTCTTGATACCATTGACTTGGAACTTTTCCGTTCCGCTAGGTCCTACAACCTGCAACTCCAAGTTCCAGGGCGCAGTTCCCTTTAAGATCACTGGAATGTCGACTACATCGCCAGAGCAGCTTTGGACTGTCGTCTCTCGCGTTCGACCTCGACCGGCAGTACCAGCAAACATAGCACCCGCCAATGGATGAACTGTTTGCTTGATGACGGGACCATTGAGAGGAATGTTCCTGTAGTTCTTGTCGGAAAGAGCTGTGAACTTGTAGACGTAGCTGCCACTCCGCTCAGGCTGGAGTGTGATCTCGCCTCGAGACCCATCAATGACGGTCGAGTTTGTAGTCTCATGGCCACCGTTGTGTTGCGTCGTATAGTGAACACGGAATGGCGGAGTACCGTGCAGAACAAGATTCGCGGTAACTCCAACATCGCCGGAACTGCAATTCATAGTCAGCTCGTGCTCAAATAGTGGTTCACCCACGCACCATTCATGGAGCTTGTGCCATTCAATATCTGCTTTGGGTCGAGGCACCTCGATGACGCGACAACTCTCAGGACTGAGGATATCACTTCTACAGACCTGTCCTTTTGCGCTGAGCAGGCGATATGTACCAGGTGCATCAACTTTGAACTTGAGGTTCCTGTCTGTAGCCACCAGTTCCTTTGTCCATCCCTTTGCCACCGTACTCGGATTCGCACCGCTAGCCTCGAGCGTGGTAGGCGTGTATTGAACTGCAATTCTCCAAGGCCCATCTCGCTGATCACCAGAGCGTGCAGAGATGGAGAGAGTGGCATCTTCTCCTTGCAAAAGATTGACCGATTCGCCAGCGCGGCACTTGTCAAAGGCGAATTCAGCTGGCTTGAGAACAGAGATGGTGCGAGTGTAATCGGCTTTGTGGCGGTGCGTATGAGTGAAAAAGTCCACTCGGTTGCCTAGACCGTCGGTAATCGAGTTTAGGGAATAGACATGCTCGCCTAGCGAGTCTAGATCCAGAGCCAGTGGAACTGTGAGCTCCCTTGCCACAAAGGAGGACTCCTTCGGTCTCTATGGCTTTGGTCAGGATGATCAATAGGAAGAGGAGTTTACAAACGTCTTTGGTGGGATCAAGACCCTCGACAGTGGTTACTTCCCGCTTCCCAGCAAGCTCTCGCTGCCATTCAAGCGTAAGAGGGGGTACGCCAAACATCTGCATGTTAATCTGTTCCTTTTCCCCGTGACACCGGACCTTATTATCTTCAGCACCGACAAACTTTGCTGATGGGCAATTGACAACAGTGGTTGTCACGGCTCTCAAGCGAACCTCGGTTCGTCCATCCTGAACGTTCTCCAATCTCAGGATACCCGGCTTGTTAACCTTGATCCATCTCAGACGCTGCGTTTTCTGCAGGGGTGGATGTTTGTCTGTCGAGGTCTTTTGTTGCTGCGAAAGCTGAGCAGATTTGACGCGTGGGTCGTCATACTCTCCAAATTCAATGTCGAACGCCTCGTCCTCACTAAGGACAGCCGCCGCTGATTCTTCTGCGGCGACGGTTTCGACCATTTGGTGGGCATCCACTCGCGAGAGAATGTCTTTCTTCTTGATGTGGTGGGTGCTCCGACTAGTTGGGTCGTGTAAACTTGCGAGAGTGTACGTAATGTACGTTGGCTCTGTGTTGTTGAACAAGACCGGGACGAAGGCATGGCCAACGTGGTCGGGAATGCAGAACGATTCAAGGTAAGGGTTGAGTTTTGCCGTGCTGTGGATATCAGCTAGGAACGAGACAGCAAAGTGAAAGGGCTTACCTGATAGGAGAAAGCTTGACGGTGTGCTGGCCGAGCAAATGCTTGTCGCCACGGAAAAGCTCGCTTATGGACACTTTGTAGCCATCAATTCCAACATAGTCCCCACGAAGCTTTTGCCAGATGTCTACAACCAAGTTAGAATTGAAGTGCATGCTGGGTAAAGCTCACTGTAAACGAGTGCTGGAACGAAACTCGCTCCGCTAAAGCTGAGCTGTACGACATCACATGAGTGACGTAAGCCTTTAAAGAAGCTACATACTGTATAATTCCCAAATAATAGCCAGTTGATCAAGCCCAACAAGGCTATTTGCAACACGCTCGACTGCCAACGAAAAGTCAAGCGTGGTATGCGCAAGAAGCGGAGGAAGAGGAGAAATAACGCGTCGTAGAGCACCCATTTGAAGAAGAACCTGACAGAGTGACCTTCGATCAATGCGCCGAAAAAGGAGAATGCTTTCAAGGCCTGTAACACCAAGTTGAAAAGCAAGGCGCGTCAGCAAAACGCGTCGACGACGAGGAACAGAATGATAGAGGACAAATATGCCTACTTGAAGCGCGAGGCCGAGACTGAGGATGTACAACCGCTGCGAGGGCGCGTCGATGAGCCGTTCTGGGAGACGTGGGCCTTTGGCGGCCATTTTGTCATGAATTTAATCTCCTCTCAAGATTTCCTTTGTTGATTATAGATAAGTGGAAAGGCAAAGAGCTTGCCGTGCGGACGGCGTTGTGGTTCAAGGTCAGAGTTCAACTTGGACCTGACCTCGAGGACCTGACCGGCCAGCACAGACAACTAGCATGACCATTACACACGTTAGCTCTCTTTCAGAACTCAACAAGCTTCTTGGAAGCCCCAACAAACTCACGGTACATCTCCCGTTGACCTTCGTGTCATCGCTTACTGAACAGCAAATTCTAGGTCATTGACTTTCACGCAACGTACGTCTCTAAGAAAACTGTGGACTCTCTTCACTCAAAAGATGTACATTGGGGTTTCTCGGGATATAGATGGTGGTACGTATGCTTTATCAAGCTCCATTCTAGTTACCGAGTTTGACCGGTAGTGGACCATGCAAGATGATTGCACCTACGTTCGAAAAGCTGGCACAACAATACGCAGGCAAAGTCAACTTTGTCAAAGTAGACGTCGATGAGGCGCAAGAGGTTGCACAAAAATACAGCGTCACAGCGATGCCCACCTTTATCTTCCTCAAGGGTATTACTCCCAATGATTACTGGTCCGGTTTTCTGACTTGGTGACAGGATCCGACGTCGTACATACCATTCGTGGTGCAAGAAATGCGTGCGTAGTCTTTTCCCAGCCTTATCACGATATTCACGAGGCCACCCAATCTAGCGAGCTCACAAATGCTGTTGAACGCTACTCTGGAGGTGGAGGTGCAGCAGCATTCCAGGGCACAGGGCACAAGCTTGGTGATGGCACACCCAACGCAAAGTTTACGGACCCACGAGGAAAGTTTGAATTCAACTCGGAGATCAAGGTGAGCGAGTTTCTTGTGATCGCCTCGAAACTCAGGCATTCCCAGGTTGTTGCGGGGCTCGTCGCCGCCTATCTCTTCCTCATGTACATGTCTTCATGATTGCTTCCTGAGCGGAACGTACTAGGAAGAGCCCCTTATATTATATCTAATTCCGACTCAACCGTTATCGTGTTTCGACCAAGTCTTGTCATGCTGAAGCGCAGGAGAGTGTCGCCTGTATACGACAGGAGCGAGGCGGAGACATCGCCCCAAGCGCAACCGAAACGCGACCATTTGAGCATATTTTTCATGATCATGTCCTGGCATGAGAATGGATTTGGGATAGCTTTCTGAGTTATCCCAATGGCTCTCTGCTCGGAGTTTACCCATAAATATAGAGTGGCTGAGAGAATATTCATTTACGACAATGTGACTAGCTCTAAGAGAGAACGAGGTCAAATTCAGCTTTAGATTCCTTACATGACATATGAAACGTATTATAATTAATAGTGGACAGCTCGCAAAACCTTACTGATTGGCGTTGGTTCGAACCTCGGTCCAAGATAGGCCACATCGAAAATGGGTGAAATCGAGTTTGGTTGCACGTGAGGGACTCGTCGTTGGCATAGTAAGAAGAAGCCGAGGACGAAGTAGTCCGTGTCGATTGTTCGGTGGTACCCAGAAGAGTAGCTTGCCGGACGATTGCACCCAGCCATCGTGCGAAAGTAAGCACTGATCGAAACCAGGTGCAGATATTCTCACGGAAGTATTTGTTAAACCGTCCATGAGACCAGAAGGCTCTGCATAATCCAATGGGAATTGATTTGCTTCTGCACATTTTTAGATGACAGGCGATACAGTGCGGCTACACTCACCAGCCTCCGGAGTCCACAATCTAATTGTCTTATCCTTTGAACCAGACACAATTCGCGAACCGTCTGGCGAGAATCCGACAGTCAAGACTGAACCTTCGTGACCTCGAAGTGGCCCTCCCAACGGTTGTCCGGTTTTTGCGTCCCATAGTCGAATCGTTCCATCTAAGGAACCGGAGACGATTCGGGAGCTATCTGGTGAGAATGAGACGGCCAAGACCGAAGATTCATGACCTCGAAGTGGCTCTCCTAATGGGAGACCAATTTCCACATCCCATAATCGAATTGTCGTGTTCTGTGAGCCAGATACGATTCGTGAACCATCTGGTGAGATCCCCACCGCCAAGATAGGGCCTTCGTGACCCTGAAGTGGCTCTCCCAACGGGTGACCAGTTTCCACGTCCCATAGTCGAATTGTACCGTCTTCTGAGCCAGAGACAATTCTCGAACCGTCTGGCGAGAATGCGACTGCCTCAATGGAATTTTCATGGCCTTGAAGTGGCTCTCCCAAGGGTTGCCCGGTCTCTGCGTTCCATAGTCGAATCGTCCCGTCATACGAGCTGGAGACGATGCGGGTGCCTTCTGGCGAGAATGAAACAGCTCCGACGGCGCCATGGTGACCTCGAAGTGGCTCTCCTAAGGATTCACCAGTGTCGGCGTTCCATAGTCGAATTGTCATGTCCTGTGAGCCAGAGGCAATTCGTGAGCCATCTGGCGAGAATGCGACGGTCGAGACCGACTTTTCATGGCCTCGAAGTGGCTCTCCCCACGGCTCACCGGTGCCTGCGTTCCAAAGTCGAATCGTCTTATCGTCTGAACCAGAGACAATTCGCAAGCCGTCTGGTGAAAAGGCGACGACCCAGACCCACCCTTCGTGGCCTCGAGGTGGCTCACCCAACGGCTCACCAGTACCTGCATCCCATAGTCGAATTATCTCGTCTTTTGAGCCAGAAGCGATCCGAGAGCCATCTGGAGAAAACAGGACGGCCAAGACCGCGTCTTCGTGGCCTAGAAGTGGCTCTCCCAAAGGTTCATTGGTGCCTGCGTTCCATAATCGAATGGTCGCGTCCCTTGAACCAGAGACTATTCGCTCGCCATCTGGTGAGAATGCAAGGGTACAAATTGAATCTTTGTGTCCTTTCAGTGGGTCTCCCAACGGCTCGCATGTACTTGTATCCCATAATCGAATCGTTCTGTCGTCCGAGCCAGACACAATCTGTGAGCCATCTGGAGAGAATGCGATGGCACAGATTCGGGCTTTGTGCCCTAGAAGTGGCTCCCCGAACGGTGCGCCGGTGTTTGTATCCAACAGGCGAATTGTATTGTCTTTTGAGCCAAATGCAATTCGTGAGCCATCCAGTGAGAATGCAATGGCATTGACCGACTCTTCCCGAGTTAGAAATGACTTCCCTAACGGACGACCAGTGGTTGCATCCCAGAATCGAATCGTCAAATCTTTTGAAAAAGAGACAATTCGTGAGCCGTCTGGTGAGAATCCGACGGCGATGACCGAGGATGCATGACCACAAAGGGATGTTCCCATTGATCGACCAGTATCTGCGTTCCATAGTCGAACAGTCTGGTCATGTGAGCCTGAGATAATGCGTGAGCCGTCTGGTGAGAATGCGACGGCCTGGACGGAGTCGTCGTGACCTCGAATCGGCTCTCCCAACGATTGACCAGTGCCTACATCCCATAGGCGAACTTTCTTATCATCTGAGCCAGAGGCAATTTGTAAGCCATCAGGTGAGAATGCGACAACGTTGACGGCCTTTCCGTGACCTCGAAGGGTTCTCGGCAGATTGGGGTATATCTCTTCGAGCCCTCGAACCACTTTGAAGGTATTTATATACCTCTGTAAACCCTCTTGATATAATTTTGACTTTGTAGGAGTGAAGGGAAGCGCAGAAATGTAGATGTGTGGAGCGCTGTCCTGGATCGGCACTAAAAACGCCATCATAAATCGCAGCATCTCCATGATAGACTTTCTAGTTGCCTCTTCCAACTATCTTTGTGTAAATTGTGGAATTTATTAAGAATTCCAACTCACCCCTGTTTGGGCCATAAGAGCTCGAAGACCGGCTATTGCCCGTGAAACTCTTCCGGTGAAGCTCAGGATCTCCATCCAGTATAATGGGTATGGAATTCGAAGAATATATTGAAGATCGTTCTTGAGTGTGCGTCTCCAGTCTTCGTCAGTGTCTGCAGCATGTGAAAACCAGTGCGAACTAGCATATTGGAGCCTTCTTGGGATGAACTTTGAGACTTTGGCGTCGAGGTCCGGAACCTGTCTATTTAGGTAGAAGGATGACTCGATCCGACAAATGTTGAACTTGAGACCTTCAGTCCGCGACTTCAAGTTCTTCAGGCACCAGGATGCAGCATGACCATGTGCGCTGGTGATGTCGATATGTATTTTGTGACTGCCCTCGACAGATGGAGCGTCAGAGCAGCGTCGAAGGTACTCTACAAAGGTTGGATGGCGAAATTGAATCAGTTTGGTTGTCTGATTCTCGGTAAGTACAGTGCCAAGGTTCCGTACAAGCGCTTTAGCACTTCCATCGACTTTAGCGTGCATGGCGAGGTTGTCCAGATCATTCGTGGTGAGCGGTTCATATGCGGCAAGCAACAGAGCAAGCATCATACAATTGACCGCGCGGTCATCGGGGTTTGTGTGTTCGAGGATGAAAGTGTACAGATCGTCGATCACCCCGCCTTGCATCGAGACCAAACGGTTGTATATACTCTCAGGAGACCTCGAACTGGTTTTGAACATTCGACATGCAGTGCTTGCCCAGATGAATAATCCGCTGGCCTTTTTAACCAATCGGTCTATCTTGTCTGAGGATAGTACCGTATGTAGCGAATGGGTTATGTATTTCGCAATGTCGTCAATGTTATCTTGATGATTGACGTCGTGGAGGCGATCCTTCAACTCTGCTTTGATTGAAAGGGGCCCTAAAACTGCATCTATGGCCAAGTCCGGTCGACTAGTTATGAATATTTTGAGGTTCTTTGTTTCTCGCGCAGCCTGAGCAAGAGCGTCGAGAAGGTTGCTACGTTGCACTTCTGATTTACATTCGTCGACGGCGTCGATGACAAAAACCACTTTCGCTTGTCGATGGCGTAGCGGGCCGGTGAGTAGGTTTCGGAGCTGGTCATGCAACGAATTTCGCATGATGGCAGGGTTTTGCTTCAAGGCTTGCGCAATGTACGGGGTGAGTTCGCGCATGTGCTGTGCCAGTTCCTTGGCTAAGGTCGAGCAAAACTTGTCCGTCGTAGAGGCTTCGTTGCTATCCAGGGAGAAGAAGAACTGACCCCCCAGGATCCCCTCCTTCCTCCACTGTTCCACTATAGACATTGCAACTGTGGATTTGCCGGAACCCGCTATGTCACAGAGCCAAAATATCGGCTTCCGCGAGATATCATCCTCTACCCAGTGCCGGATTGTCTGAAGGACAGCCTCTCGTGTTCCTTGCAGACAAGTATTGTGGACCGACTCCGCAACAAATGTTACCATTGGTAACTGGAGTATAGCAGAACAGTCGGCTGGAAATGCTAAGCAAGCACCCCATAGAATAGTCGAGCTCACCATCTATCAGAGTTGTTTTTACGATGGATTTGGTAGCCTCCGCACTCATCCTGGTAGCCTGCATATTTGCCCTGGTATTCTCCGCAATGGATTTGGTAGCCTCCAAGTTAGCCATGATAACCTCAGTATTTTGTTCAATGACTTGAGCACGGTATCCGGTAAAAAGAGCCAATGCATCCTATCGTATATATTGAGATCGTGCACATGCTCAGCGAAGTCCATACCATGAATCGCCTGTGGAGGTCCTCGATATCGCGAGCGAATTTACGGATCATCCCTGCATCAAATTTGGTGTTTTGTGCCGCAGTAGTGAAACTTCGTCGTTGATAATGGCCCACTGTCTGATAGAGATCCTCGAGGGATCTAAACCCATCAACGTCTTGGATAGAATTTCTATTCTCACTCACTCCACATAATGAATGAGTGGTCGGCTGAAGGCATCGTCGACGGCCCTTTGTTTGGGTGGGTATGTTTCAAACAAGCCGATCTGATTCTCAATAGACAACATGTGCGCCTCCAAACGTAACCCTAGTTCTATCCAATCTTCTTGGTTGTCATCCACGGCCTGGCGTTATTCATTTAGACAACGGCAATAACAGGAGACACGTCTTGTGCCCACCAACTCACTTGGAGGAGATCCAGAATTAATTTCGTTACTCGACATGCTCCCTTGAGAGGTGCGAGGACATCTGCTACCTCGGATCCATTTGCTACAAAGTCGAGTACGAGGCTGGCCCGGTTGTACACTTGGCACCCCCTGCGTGATGAGGTTCTGGCGCAAGAGGATGAAGTTGGTGGACCCATGATTGAGTCGGAATCAACTTTCTGGACAATAGCGCTGAGATGGATGGGTACAACTTGTCGGGCGTCTGCCAGTCTCGACATACCAGATACACGGGACAAGATTACAACTTGGTTTGGTGACTTAACGTTTCTATCATTGATACAATTTGCTAGTGCATTCATTAGCTCGCATCTGAATGCCCTTATTCTCAGAACCATCCATGGCCAGGGCCAATGAAAATATAGCGAGCATGTAAACTTCTAATTCTGAATTTATTGTACATACAGCACTAGCACAACCTGGGACATGAACGCAGCAACTGAGACCAGGTGAACAAAAGGACCAGAGGTATGCAAGGGGGAATATGGCACCTATCGAATACCAAGTGTCCAAACGAGAATAGGTGATCTACAATGCAGTATAAAGATGGAATGAGGGATGAAGAACTAGTCGAGTCGTACCAAATAGTAGCCTGAGTGTCGAGGCCCGAAGGATAGATCCATACACGGGTAGGAAAGTTAATGAAATAAGATAAAGGTTGGCGAACTTCACAGAGGTTGTGTCTGCGCTCTGGTTGGCGTCGTAGGTCGAGGAATAGAGACCGTGCCTCCCGGAGGAGCACTAACACGTCGTAGAGGACTTTTTCTCCCTAGATCCTCCCCGAATGCTCTCACATCTGACGCCTTTGTCGATTGCACCGAGTCGCGTCTCGACCCAGAGGTCGGCGTCCCAACAGAATTGCGCTTTGACGGAACAGGTCGCTCAATTCCAGGAAGCTCGTATGGTCGAGTACGAGGGATACCCGTCTTCGGCACTGGCGTCGCTCGATACCCATCACGCGTACTGGGACCAGTCCCAAGGCCATGTCGGTTGTACAGGTGAGCTTCCAAATCTCGTAGCGGATTGAAGCGAGTCCTCGTTGGTGTCGTTGTTTGAGTTGTTGAGTTGAGAGTAGAGGAGCGGAGTAGTGCGCTAGCACGAGAGGGTGTAGTAGGAGTATTTATGGGGGAAGAGGATATGCGTACATGTGGGGGGGATTGGTTGCCATTATCCATGGCCAAAGGCCCAATTGTCAACTCTTCAGGCTCTTGTGTACGCGTCGACGAGTTTGACCTCGCCTTTTTCGTCAGCCGTTTTGGTCTTGAAAGTAACCAACGCGTCGATGTCGTAGCGTCTGCGTCCGACATGCTCACCGCCATTGGCTTACTGTTGACAGCCTTGGCGGGGTACGGCGACTTTCGGCGCAGACGAGTGGGACATGGCATCGAGGCTTCCGCATCTGAAAGTCGTGCAGACTGGCTGGTCATAGAGCTGCTTCGCTTGCGACCGAACAGCCTAAATCCACTTCGTGGGCGCCGTTCTTTTTTATCACTGATCGACTCTGCGCCGGATCCAGCACCAGACGGATCTGCAACAGGAGGGATGGAAGGCTCTGTAGTTTGCACTGCCGACATTGCCGGCGCAGCCGCTGGTGCAGAGACAAACTCGCCAAACTCGGTCATGGAATGCGCCGGAGAGGGCTCCTGCATCTCCATCACAGGAGAAGGAAGGTCCTCGAGTCTCAACTGAGGCGAGTCGCTAATGACCAAGCGCTCTACAGGCGAGTCCTGGGTGACAAGAGACGCAGGCGGCGCAGTTTGCCTTCTCGCTACCTTGTGATCCACAAACAAGATTCGTCTCTTCGAATGATCCACATGATTCCTCATTCTTGCCCTTCTTCCTTCCACCTCCGCAGCAGCTGACGCAGCCACCACCGTATCTCCTCCGAGCGCCTGATCGACATCACCCAGCAAAGTCGGTCTCTGCCGCGGTGTCGATGGGACCGAATGTGTACGCGTGTTTGCCACATCAGAAGAAGAAGAAGTTGACGTCGACGCAATTGACGTATTTTTGGACTTTCGGTTATGGGAGATCCACGAATAGTGCGTACGTCGTTGTGGGCCCTCTACGTCTGAGTACGCACTCCTGTTGCCGCTGGAGTCGAGTTGATTGCGTGTTGTACGTCCACGGGTGCGCGGGCCACGCTCGACGACCCGTAGATTGACGGGTTTAGGCTGGTAGATGCCGAACAGCTGACGCGCCGTTTGCAAAGGAATAATCCTGAGAGAGACGATATAGGAAACTAGGTTCTGTAATCATCACGGGCCAACTCGTCAGTCTCTATCATACTCCCGACGGACACGGCGGTATTTCGTCAAAATTTGCTCACCCTTGCATATCCAAACAGCCAGAGGATTGTGAATGCGATAGTGTAGAGCATGTCACCCAACATTGCTGCATTACGCACAGGCGACGTTGTCGCGAGTTGTTGAGTGGCCAAAGATGAGACGGTCGAAGGTGCGGGAGATGGAGGTCCACCGACGACAAGCAGCTCTTGTATGCTCATCGCTCGCTACCGTTTAAATGCCCAGGTTATTAATAAGAGTGAAATGCGATGAACAGGCAACACCCGGGTAGCCTGGCTTGTGCACGGCTTCAAAGGATTCTCGGTGGCGTGTCTGGTGGCCACTGTGCCTAATAGCTCAAATCTGAAAATCGTCGTCGAGTCCAAGAAACAAGTCCCCGTCTGGCTTTGTCGTCTCAGCGCGAGAACGTTCAAGGCCGGGGTCAAGCCATAATGTCGTTCCACTTGTTCGTCCAAAATGTCAATGGCGTCGTCTAGCGCCGTCTAGACATCAATCGCGCCTGATTTCTCCGGGATTAAATTTGAAAAAAGAAATCAGACGATGGTTACGTATCCTGTTTCACGAGCCCTTGTCAGGGTTAGCGGGTCCCACCGTCTATCGAACGACACCCTCGGTTTGCAACAATAAGCACGTAGGATTGCACAGGGCATACATCTTGCAAAAATAATCAGCAGCTCCGAGACAGCGACTGCCAAACAGGTCCGTCGGAGGAGGGAGGGAGGAGAGAGCAGGTACCAGTCCAAACAGTGTGTTTTTTGTAATCCGTTGGAGATGAATGTGAGACTAACTTCGCCATGAGTGAGTCATGATGGCCCCAAAGGCATTACTCTCAAATATGCATCATTGTTGTGCTGAGAACTTTCGTAGGTACACGTTTCTGTTTTCTGGCTAGTAGTCTTCGCCTCTTGATACAACCTCCTTCCGCGTAGGTCTCAGTAGGATTGTGTGTTCATACTACATAACGATCAGGGAATGTCAAGTAAACAAGAGGACGCACTTGAGCTGTCATGGATCCAGGAATATCCACGAGAGGAGGATAGTCTTGGACTATGCCTTGCGAGACAAGATGATTTAACTGAACGATAAATCCAATGTGATGTCATGTAAGCAAAGGTGTCAGATGTGGACAAAAAGAAACTAGAAAAAGAAGAAACGCACGCCCAAGAGATACTTCGACTCGCCGAGCCGATCCAGATACCGTCGACAGAACGGTAGTGTCCCAAAGCTTGCCGTGATTGTCTTGAGGAGTGATTTGGCCGTCACTAGGCGGAGCGGGACGTGTGGTGCATCTGCGATTTTCGCATAATGCGAGCATTCTCCCTGTATCCATTATTAGCGAACCAAGAAAATGAACCCGAGGAAGCTCGACAAACCTGGTCTATGACATAACCGCGCCCAGTTGAGCCAAAGGTCTCAATGGCGAAATACTCTCCCTCCTCCATCTTCGTCTGGTCGCCATTGTCCACAATCGGCACACTCTTGTCGCCATGGATGCTGTATGGATGAATGGAATGACCATTCAAGTTTCGAATGCATTTGACTATTCAACACAATGAACATTCCCTCCTAACAGTCCATTGAACAAATCAAAGAAGAAATGGGCTCACCCCGTTTAGTCTCCGTTCCAATGACTACTTCATAGGACTCCATCACTTCTTGAATCGCACCGCCTATCTCCCCCAGTCGTGCATCGATTCCTGCGGCGCGTACGCCTGCATTTGTTGCCGCTTGGACCGCCTCGAGTAGCTCGTTGTACGTTGGCCCAAAGTTTAACGTAAATGCAGAGTCGCAAATCTTCCCCTTGACGTGTACACCAATATCAACCTTCAGTATATCTCCTTGCTGCAATACTAGTGAAACGCTGAGTAGAGGCAGATGATGACGATTTGACGTACTGCGTTTGTCACCAGCATTTGGTGTATAATGCGCTGCACAGTCATTGATGCTAAGGCCGGTCGGAAAGCCAATGCCCGAATCGAAGCCGTTCTCCTCGACAAGTGCGCGTGTACCGTCCTCGATGAGGTTGGCAATATCTATCATACTCATCCCAGGTTTAATGGTTTTCCGAGCGTATTGTCGGACCTGGCGATGGACCTCTGCCGCTCGTCGAATGTTATTGTACGTATTGAATTCGTCTTCCATTGCCATCCGCTCCAAGTAGCGCTTTTCTTCGTTTGTCGTACGCCATACGTTATCCCTATCAATGTGAAACCGTCAATGTGAATGCCACCACCTCTGGTATTGCAAACGCCACCAGGATCCAATCGTGGTGGCAATTGGCCAGAAATGAAGGCGACAAACGTACTCTGCGTAGTCTTGCAGTTCCCCCTCTGGATATACGCCCGTAGTGAAGATCTTGCTGAGTCCTACTCTCGGTGGCTCCGTCTGTGTAGCCGGGACCTTGGTCTTTTTCTTTGATTTCTTCTTTTTCTTTTTCTTCTTTTGTGCTGAACCTTCTCCTCCTAGTTTGAGTTAATATGTCGTGACAATTGTTCGCGCTACCACTCGCCTGCGCCTTCTACGACCTCTTCCTCGGCGTCGTCGCTATCCTCCTGCTCAACCATGTGGTTCTCTCCATTCTCCAGCTTTTTCGGTTCAATTTCGCTCATTACGGGCGTCGCTGGTACAAATCAAAGGGACGGCAGGAACCAACAAACTCCGTCGCCACTCGGAGGCAAACTGACATACGCCCACTTAGAATCCAGCACTATATCTTCCCTATTGATATATAACCTGCTATTATGGTAACTATTGTCGATGTGGCTCAGTCTGCGACTCTCCAGTCGCTGCATCGAGGCTACAGGCTCATTAGGCGGTGCCGGGTCTCAGAAATATAATCTCGATGCAAGAGAGAGTTCACTACATTGCTACTACCAAGGCCCGGAGCCCTTTTCATACTCTTTGTGTTTCAACCCTTCCTTTCGGTGGGCCTAGATCGAGTAGTGAAGTCCATAGCCTCTAATCATGCTCTAGTGTATCATGGAATCCTCTGATCTGGTTGAGACTACCACTCCTTCGCTCCCGGACCCATCCATTTGGCAACTCGTAGACAACTACTTGGCAAAGAAACTCGGTCTCGAGTATCTTGTCATACCCCCATACGGACCTCTTCTAACTCGGATACACAACGGAGAACGTCAATACTGTTCACTCCGCGGGGACAAGTATGTGATGATTGAAGTCCCTAAGCCAAAGAAAAGGAGTGCATAGCAGATTTAGAGGTATAAAGATCCAATTGGGTTCATATTTAGTCGCTACATTATCATAGTACTTAACCAAACGTTTGACTAGACCGAGCGCTGCGTTTGACCTTTGATAAACGCCACTCGTCCGGCTTTTCGTATTTATTATACAACGGCTCAATCTTCTCCTGTTTCTTCCGCTTGCTAATCTTTGTGGCGTCTGCAATCTTGAAGAACTGGGGTGCAACCTCCGTCAGCCACTTGGGCTCAATCGCCGTCACGTTGACGGCATACTCTCGCGTCGTGTTAAGCAACTCGTGGTAAATGAGCCACTCGGGACCGCGGTTAAAGAGCGCCGACGACGGGTGAATGTATACAGGCGTTCCCTCGACGAGTGTCTTGTAACCCTCTTGTGGATCCTTCTTGGCCGCATTGCGGAAGTAACCAGCGCAGATGGCACGTCGTACCCGGTTGTAGTCCCTTCCAGCGGAGATGATATCGTGCTTATGTCTACGAATCGAGTCAACAAGAGTCCTAAAGATAGTCATTTGCCGTACCTATCCATGATTCCAACCAACTGTTTTCGCACATCCTGTACACGTCTCATACTTCGGGCTTGGATGAAGTTTTCGTAGCACCATGGGTTCGAAAACTTGCTGGCCTTCCATCCATTGTAAACCGCCAAGAGCGTGAGGTGATCCCCTTCTGGTTGATGGAACTTTGCCTTTTTCGAGTCTGCCTGCTGCTGTTTTTCCTTTGGTCGGTAGAATACATTTTGGGCGCCAGTCAACATTGCGACGATGGTCAAAATCTCCTCGGAGCACTGGTAATCGACGGAGACAATCAACATCTTCGCAAGCTGAGGCTCCATTGGGAAATCCGCCATTTTCCTCCCGAGTCGCGTGAGCAACCCTTCGTCGTCCAGCGCCGAAAGGGCAAACAGCTGTTGCAGCGCCGTCAACATGGTCTGTGCTGGAGGTGGATCCATAAATTCGAAATTGAGCAAATCATTGATACCCATGGCTTTGAGGTTGAGAATCGTCGTGGCCAAGTTCGTGCGTTGAATTTCGGGGATAGAATTTGGAAGCATCTCGTTTCGGAATGCCACTTCAGTGTACAATCGATAGCATTTCCCAGGACCCGTCCTCCCTGCACGACCCTTTCGCTGCTGCGCTTGTGCTTGGGAGATGGGCGTCACGACCAACGAGTCCATCCCAACGCGTGGGTCGTAGGCATTTTGCTTGAAGAAGCCCGGATCAACGACATAGTAGATGCCATCAATGGTAAGACTGGTCTCGGCAATGTTGGTAGCCAGGACGACTTTACGGGCTCCAGGGGGAGCTGGATCGAAGATTTTCGACTGTTGCTCGGATGGGAGAGCGGAGTAGACAGGCAGAATGATGAGTTGTGGGACCTGCGGTCCGAGAGCTTTCATGCGCTCGAAGAGAATCTCACAGGCTGTGTCTATCTCTTCCTGACCGGTGAGGAAGACGAGAATATCGCCTGGTGGTTCCGAGAGATGAATTTGCATGACGGTAATCAACGACGCGTCGAGGTAGTCCGTCTCGGGCTCTCTCGAGTAGAGTACTTCGACCGGGAAGATTTTGCCAGGAATCGTGAAGATTGGGCATTTGTAGAAGTACTTGGAGAACTTTTCGGCGTCCAGCGTTGCAGAAGTGACAATGACTTTGAGATCTGGCCGTCGCTTGACCGCCTCTGCAGACCAGTCAGATTACGAGAGCATAAAAGGGTGGAACACGTACTCTTTAGGAGGGCAAAGAGGACATCGGTCGCAATCGTTCTCTCGTGAGCCTCATCCAAGATAATGACAGAGTAGGATGACATATCCGGATCAATGAGACATTCACGCTGCAACATACCGTCCGTCATGTACTTGATACGTGTCTCTGGGCTGGTGCAATCCTCGAAACGGATCAAATATCCAACCTCTTGGCCAAGTCGGCATCCAACTTCTTCTGCCACACGTTTCGCGACGGACATTGCGGCTACACGACGCGGCTGCGTGCAGCCAATTCTCCCATGCTCTGCGAATCCTTCCTCTGCAAGGTACTGCGTCATCTGCGTTGTCTTGCCTGATCCAGTCTCTCCGACAACAATCAGGACTTGGTTCTAGCAGAGTGTGTAAACGGTAATCAAGAAGGTGATTGGGGCACATACATCGCGGATAGCCTGTACGAGTGGTTCTCGCAGTTTGTAAATGGGCAAACTTTTGCGTTGCTCTTCGATGGAAAGGTTGGTGATTTTGCCGAATGTCGTCGTCTTGTTGAATGTTGCGGCTTTCCACTCTTGTGTCTCGTTGGCCTTTTGTCCAAGGATATGACCCTTCAAATCTTGTGCGAATATTTTGTCGGAACTTTGAGCCATGGGATCCAGCCACGGAGTTGCGAAATCCCTCGCCTCGGCGTCTGCCTGCTCGTTCAACTCCTGCTGCCGCAATTCCTTGCGCTCTTTTTGCAGAGCGGCTCCAGCAAGCGCGGCTCGGTTCAAAGAACCGTCGGGAGCCTTGATAATCTTGACCGGGCTCATCTCCAGGGACCGCTTGGTTTGACCGGCGAGGAATGCGGGCTCTTCTTCTCGAACCTCAACGTCTAGAGTTTCTTCGACTTCGGCACGAGCGACGGGGTTATAGAAATCGTCGTCAAGTTCTTGAAGCTCGGAAGGATCCATGTTCCCAGACGCTATCAGTTGCTTGATCTCCCACCGTTCTGGGGAAGTCAATCGCCTAGCGGACCTTCTTGGTCCCTCGTCGGCAACTCCGCCTAGAGGTATGTTGTTGGAGCCGGTCATCGAGCGATTGGCCATCTCTGCTCGCTCACGCTCCATTTCGGCCTCTGTCTTGATTCGCAGGTGCGGCGTCAAGTCCCGTCCGGTTTGTTGATCTACGTCAGCCATAGACAAGCTTGTCTTTGTACCAGTCACTTGCAGAACCTTGACTTTGACTGCTTGTCCACGGGTAAGCAAATCAGCAGGATTGCCAACCCGGCTGCCTTGCTGAATCTTGGAAATGTGGACGAGACCTAGACATCGGTAAGATCTATGGATAATAACAGAGAAACATGCCACATACCCTCGACGCGTCCTCTCACCCCGTCCAATTGAACAAAGGCCCCAAATTCACGAATACTGGACACTCGACCGTTGTATATCTTGTATACAATGGGTCTGTCGTCCAATGTATCGCGCCCGTTATCTCGATAGGCTGAACGGCCTCGATAGTCATGTCGAGGCACATCGACGTCTATATCTCGTCCGCGGGACGAGGATCCCTGTTCATGCGACCGATATCCATCCCTGGAACTATCCTGGTCACGAACACGAGGAGGAGACATGTCCATACGGGGCCGCTTTGGAGAAGGGGGATCCGAATCCATAAAGTCTGCTGCTCGAGAGCGCTTCTTGGAGAAGCTCTCTAGCTGCGACATGAGGCCGTCTACCTCTTTGGAAACAGCGTCCTTTTCTTCTGCTTGAGGTTGTGGTTTCCACTCTTGGTCTGGCATTGACAAACCAGGGAACATCCTCCGCTGCTTCTCCTTCTCCATCAATGCATCATCCCTGGAGTCCCCATTCGATTTCTTTGTCTTTTTCTTATACTTGGGGTGCATGCTGAGGATGAGACGGTCTATATTCTCGATGACAGAGTCATTGAACTCGGCGCCAGCTTCTTTGAGAGCTGCCTTGAAAGTTGGAAGTGTTTTGGACTTGAGATGAATAGATATAACGAATTCTGCAAGGCTACTGTCGTTCACACCTGAGCCATATGAGCCAAACATGATTCGGGAAACGAGGCGCAGCCTTACCAGTGTGATTGAGGATTTCCTGCGAAATCCTAGAAACCAGAGAGAGTACTTCGAGCTTTCTGATGTCGCTCGAGTCCGCCATTGCACCGAGGCTGGTGATGGAGCGAGTCCAAGTGGCTTTTGGACCGGATCTCAGCGGCAAGCACCGAGCCGCCAACAACTGCTGCTTACTATAGACGATTTGGAGGACATTGAGCTCTGCTATGAGGCGTTGGGATTCGACTGGAGGTGCTTCCTGGCAGGATCAAGGCGCGTCTCGTTACCAATGTTGAATTGTTGCTGAAAACGCTGAATAGACGATGGCTATGGGCGAGGCAGAAGCTCTCGAAATGGGACACATAACTACTCCGATGGTGAAGGAGAGAGCCGGTCCACGTCGCAGTCATTCTCTCATCTCTCTGAGTCGATTCGCTCCCTCGCGTTGGTCGAGTCGGAGGGCTCTATCCCAGAAATCATCCAATTACAAAAGCCATGGCTCTACAAACGACATTTGACAAATGGAAATCCCTCCCCATCGCAGGCGAGGCACAATCGCTTCCACCAGTGGCGGCTGCAAGACAAGCTCAAAACCGGCAACGGAGCCATCGTTGTCTGCCTAAATCTAGATGTAGACCCTCCGGACGTTGTCAAAACCCAGCCATGCGCCGTCCTCGAAGGTTGGGTTGACCCTCGAAAGCTAGGTTCGGCCAAAGCGCTCGAAGCGATCGGCAAAAACCTATGCCAACAGTTCCAGAGCTTGAACCCTCGTATCAAGTACAAACCCTTCCTCGACCCATCCATCGACGAGGCCCGTCGTTTCTGCGTCAATCTGCGCAAGACGGCAAAGGACGAACGCCTATGTTTCTACTACAACGGGCATGGCGTGCCGAAACCGACGAGTTCAGGAGAGCTCTGGGTCTTTAACAAGACATACTCTCAGTATATACCCGTATCCCTCTATGATCTTCAAACGTGGCTCGGTAGTCCTGTCGTTTACGTGTGGGACTGCTCAGCGGCAGGCAACTTGGTCACCAACTTTATCAAATACGCCAAGAAACGAGACGAAGAGTCGGTAGCGAGACATGGTGGACATTTGGATGGAAGTCCGCCCCACTCGTCTGCGATTCAGCTCGCGGCTTGCCTTGCAACCGAAACTCTCCCAATGGCACCTGACATGCCAGCCGATATGTTCACATCTTGTCTCACCTCACCAATAGAGATGGCCTTGCGCTTCTACTATTTGCACCAATCCCCACCGCCGGGCGTCACCCTCGACATGTTACATGAAGTACCAGGAGACTTGAAAGATCGTCGCACTCCACTTGGGGAATTGAATTGGATATTCACTGCAGTCACCGATACGATTGCATGGACGTCCTTCCCTCGACCCATTTTCAAGCGGCTCTTCCGCCAGGATCTTCTCGTTGCCGCTCTCTTCCGTAACTTCCTACTTGCAGAACGTGTTATGCGCAATTACCATTGTACTCCCCACACCATTCCCGCACTTCCCTCCACCGCGACACACCCACTCTGGGCGGCTTGGGATAGGTCACTCGAAGACATCATCAAGCAGCTGCCGGACTTGATCAAGTCCGCGAACCCTCCCAAGCAGCCGACTCTCGAGATTATGGAAGGCAAGCCCTATATTCCTACCCCTTTCAAGTACGAGTACAAGCCCAGCTCGTTCTTCACGGACCACCTCACCGCTTTTGAGCATTGGATGTCTCAAGGAGGTGGGGCTTTGATCAGAGTTGGCCCTTGGTCAATGTCACCTCTCGAGGATTCGGATGAAGAGACACCCCAACCTACAGAGGAGAACCCACGCTCCGAGCTTGTGCCTCGCAAGCCACCTGCACAGCTCCCCATTCTTCTGCAAGTCTTGCTCTCTCAAGCCCATCGAATGAGAGCACTCACTTTGCTCTGTCAATTTGTGGACCTTGGCCCATGGGCGGTATATCTGGTGTTGGAGATTGGCATTTATCCCTACGTCCAAAAGCTGCTACTTTCCCCTCAAAGCGACTTGAAACCTCTCCTTATTTTCATCTGGTCGAGGCTCATCGCCTTTGACAAGACCTGTCAGGTCGACTTGCTCCGAGACCTTCACTTCACCTACTTTGGCACGATCCTCGACTATTCAAACCCTGTCGGTCTCGCCAACACATTTGAACATCGGGCAATGTGCGCGTTCATCTTGGCCTCGCTATGTCGTGACCACCCACAAGGACAAGCGGCATGTTTGGCATGGAACGACGGAGCCCTGATCGACTTTTATCGCTACCATATGACCAACTCTAGCGACTTTCTCCTCAAGCAGTGGTGCTGTTTAGCCATGGCGCAAATGTGGGATGGGAATGACGACGTAAAGGAGCGAGCTACCATGCAAAACGTACCCAACTTCCTCTTGGGACTACTCCAAGAGGATGTCTCGTGCGAGGTCCGTGCTTCGGCACTCTATGCGCTTGCTATCTATTGCGGTGCAACTGGGTCCGCCAATGATGAGATTAGTGGAGAAGATGGAACAGGTCGAATGACCCAGCTTACCGAGGACCAGCACCTAGAGCTCGAATTCGGCACCGCATATGATGCCATCCGTATCATCAAGGTACGTCTGTTCAGTAGAGACTACCGTCTAGTATTGACTTTCGTCAGAGCGATGCCAGCCCCATTGTTCGTAAAGAGGCGGTGGTTCTCATCAGTGCGCTAGCCAATGAGTGGCGAGGTTACTTTATCGTTGCGGCATGGGTTCATTGGGAAGAGGAGAAGGCCGCCAAATCTGCTGATGGCACGGCATCCAATAGCATTGCCGACAATGCTCTAGAAGATTGGATGCGTGGTCTACGCTGCCGAAGTGCAGAGGCCAAGAGGCAGCATCGGAAGTTGCTCAACAAAGTCTTCTTCCTCTTGACTCATCTCTATGATCTTGCGGTGGACCCACATGTAGAGGTCGCAACACTAGCGATGACCGTAGTGGATTTCATCACGGCCATGTTACTCGAATCTCCATTTGCCCGGATACAAGGAACGACAGTCCGAGCATTGCCTAACCTTCCCTCAAACAGCAAGTCCCGTACAAGCGTCTCGTCGGCCGCTACCAGTGCAATTATATCTAGACAAGGCTCCACGGCAAATATGGCGCCTCAATCACCCAATCCAGGACTCACCAGAACAGATAGCACCACCCGATCCACATTCCCAGGTCTCATGAGGACGAGTTCGATTGCCTCTGCACTTGGTTCGCTTGCCGGACTTGCTCTTGGGACCCCTACCGCCGAATACAGCGCCCCTCCGAGCCCCTCACTCAGTCATAAGAGTGACCCCGACAGTCCGCCTGGACCCGCCGTCAATATTGCTCGGTATATTTCTCCGTATCCTCAGCAGTCTGGCCCTACGTCCCCACTTTCACGAGTCGGCTCATCCTCCTCAGTCTCGAGTCAGTTGAATCAAGCATACGGGAATGGGCAAAGTGGAAGTCAGCATGAGTCATTCATCGCCAGTCGCTATATGCCCTCGGACATTGTCACTGCTCTTATAGCTCGCGATCTCATACGATTCTCTGGAAGACGACGGAGCTCGGATAATAATCCGCCTGGCCATAACTTATGGCAGGACTTTAATGTGGATAAGGGAAGGTTGGATGAACTAGGAGACATAGGACTTGACGCTGGCGCAACTTTGGTCCAAACGTTGCCGCTGAAGAGCAAGCTATACGACTGGTGCCTCGAATATTACAAGGAGCCGCAAATGAGGGTCAGTGCTTGCAAAGTGTGCTAATATCATGCTCACCGGATTTCTAGCACCTTGACGAGGACGAACCTGGTAGCGTTCCATACACCCGGCAACTGTGGAGAAGGGACCGTGACGAAGGAATCCTTAGATCGTCACGGATTCAAGGTCAACAAGCGCGTGAGTATACCAGAAGATGTATAACCCCAGACTGATCAGACGCAGCAAAACATGCATGGGGCCATACACTATCCTCGTGGAAGATTCCGTTCTCCCCGTCACGAATGACATTTCACCACTTTGATTCTCACGTCGCAATTTCAAACGAAGGGACACATATTAGGTGAAACAAGTAGTCGTTCATGACCGCCCTCTGACTCTTTGTTAGCCTTTACGACTGGCGGAGCGGATCGAAGCTTAATGGATTTAACAATGGCAATCCCAAAGGAACCACCGTCACGTCGCTGCATTTCGTTGACGAAGAGATTGGTGGTGCACTCGTGGTCGGCTCTTCCGACGGTGTAGTCAAAATCTACAACAACTATGACCCGGCATATAGTGATGGCCAACCTATTCAACTCGTTTCTGGTTTTAGAGCCCTCCCTTCACTGATCCCCGCTACTCGAGGCGTTGGGATTGTCAGCGAATGGAACCAGCCCTTGACAAGGTTGCTTTGTGGAGGAGATTCAGATCGTGTCTATGACTGGGATGCCATTTCGGAGCGCTGTGTTACGGTGAGTGGGGGCCCTCGGGATGAGAGGGAGAGACAACTGATATTTTGAAAGATGATGCCGACAGAGGAGAATTGTCCCGTCACTTCGATCACTTCCAACCCTCACAGTCGTCGATCCTTTGTCGTTGGATTCGGGAACGGTGCTCTCAAAGTGTTTGACACACGAGCGCGCTCAGTACAAATGACATGCATACAAACACGTCGAGAGCATCGTGCTTATATTGTTAACCTACGATACCAGACGGGAGCGAGCAAACAGCTTCTGTCAGCAAGGTAGGTTGGACACATCTTGGTTTTCCGTATCTTATGGCTCGCAGCGTCGATGGAAGCGTTCACCTTTGGGATCTTCGATTCGCAGATGCTGTCGTTCAGTCGTGGGACATTCACACACAAGGACTTGCTGCATTCGACGTTCATCCAAACAGCAATGTATTTGTAGCGTGGGTGAAATTCTCTTCTGCTAGCAATTTGTGCTTACGCTCTGGTTGTAGGACTTCATCTCTTGGTCGTTCTTGGAGAAATCAAGCCGTCTCGTTGTACGGTTTCACCTCTGCTCAAGAGCAACGAGCAATGCAGGTTGAAGGCGTTTATCAGGATAGCTCCACATCTATCCTCAACACTACGTATCCAACTGGAATTACTGCACCTTCGCGAGCCCATGTCGGTTCTGCAAACCCACATGTCACTCAGAGCGTCGTTACCTTCCACCCGGCGGAGATGTTCTTCGCACTAGGAACTGCCGATGGCACAATTCGTCTACAGGGCCCACACTTTGCCAACGAGGGAAGCTTTGTCGACACCGAGTCAAATGGGCCCGTCACACCGCTCTCCAACGGTTATCAGAATGGGAGGACCTCGGCGTATTTTGACCATGGAGACGGTCGTATTGACTTCCCTACCATACGATGACCGCACTTTTGACCTATTTGACTTCAACCCCGCAGTGCATCCTGTCCCGGCATGGATTTGGAACAGCCTTTACGGACCCTTTCTGTCATATAATGTACTAATAGCTCTCCTTGCTCATTTATCCAGTCTCTTGTTACTGAATGTTGTGAACCTTGAATCTTGTCCGCGACCAATTCAATCTCGCTACATGGCGCACGAGTCTTTGCGTGTTCTCACTTTCAACGTTTGGTAAACATACTTCATTCTTGAGTTCGTCCGTTGGACTGACTGTGTTGGGTCAAGGGCCTTGAAATGGATATCTAAGAACCGGGTTGAACGACTCCAGGCGATTGCAGAGCTGCTGAAGGATTCAGACTATGATATCATATGCTTTCAGGAACTATGGACGGGCTACGACTTGATTAAAAGGACGCTATGCCGCCAATTTCCACACTCCAAATATTGGCGGACAGCAGTAGTGGGAAGTGGACTTGCTATCTTCTCCAAATTTACAATCTTGTCCTCTCACGTCTATCCGTACTCGCTCAATGGTTCGCCAGCGGAATTGGGCGGGGATTGGTTCGCCGGCAAGGCGTGCGTGAGCACTCTGCTTTGGCATCCAATTCTAGGAGAGCTAGAAGTGTTTAATACACATGTAAGCACAAGATCTGACCTGCCGGGCGCACACTGATATCAATAAAGTTTCATGCAAAGGGCGGGGAGGAGGGACCTGAGCATTGGAGAGCAGTACGCATCTCCAATGCCTGGGAAATGTCGAAACTTATTCGTGCGTCCGTTTTGGCAGGACGTCATGTGATAGCAGTGCGTTCTCTGCTTGCGTTCTTAACGATACTGATGAGGATAGACTGGCGACTTTAACTCCAATCCAAACTCTGTTCCTATGAAAATCATGCGACTCCACACGGGTCTCGTCGACGTATGGGAAACTCTTAATCCCTCAACACCCACGAGCCCAATTGGGCCAAACTCGCGAGCCAATGCGACTGCAGCGATAGAACGACTTGGACTCACCGTAGACTCACCAATGAACACGTGGTCTCAAGGAAAGCCTCTGGATGCATATGCACGACGGTGGTTGGGCAAGCGACTCGATTATATCCTCTTCTGGTCGCCACCATCATCCACCCGCCTAAAGGCCGAGGATGTCAAAGTGGTGATGACTGACCTGACACCTGGCCATACATTTTCGTTGTCTGACCACTTTGGACTGGAAGCGACATTTGGAATTGCCACCGAAGATCCGGGTCAAACCTCTGTGACTGGTCAGCTGGACGCCAATCGTCGCCTATCGACGCACAGTAGATTGTCAGAAGACGACCTTTTGACGGTGCTAGGCGCTCTTTCGTACGAGCATCGCGAGGCGAATAGGCGGTCCAGGCGATTGATTGTCTATTTCGGTGCATCCGTGGGCATCTTGCTCTTTGTACTGATTGGATCTGGCTTTATTCGCTCCGAGAATCGCTGGCTGGCCCCTGTGGCCGCTGTTTTGGGTGCGGTGGCGGCCTGGGCTGGGACAACGTCGCTTTATGTGGGGTTTGTATGGGGAAAATGGGAGACTGGAATCCTGGAGAATCTCATGAACGATGTGGAAGAGACGCTGTCCACTCATCGATTGCGGCACGCGACTTAGCGGCGAGTTGCACTGACGATGAGGAGAATAATCGTATATTATTCGTGAATTTAATCACATCTTTTATTTGTATCCTGTAAGCCGCCCCGCTTTGCACGGTCGGCACGTCGATCCGTAGGCTCCATCCCACTTGCCTTTCCCCACATCAAACGACGTCTTTACGACCAGACCACGACGCCCGAAACCGACTCAAAACTCTAATTATTGCCAGTAAAGCATGTTATTTGTGCCGCAGTGGCTCTTCCAGCCGTCGCCTCCAGCAAACACCGATGACGAGGTCCAGCAGGAATCACTAGCACAGCGACTACGGCATTATACAGCGAATGGAGAACGTCCTCCTTCGTCAAGGGTGGACCCATCGCTCGAGCAGCGCGAGTACCAACCACGCACTTTGACCGACCTCTGGAAATACGGCGCGTTTCTCGCGACAAAGGGTAGAATCTGCTTGTTTACGACATCTACGAGCATGCTGACACGCTCTCCTCCCAGCAACGGATGTAGCCTCTGACCTCGTACGACACAAACTCGTCGGCGCACGAAAGAAGAGCTGGGGAGTCGAAATGACCATTCTATCTGCTCTCATGCGTAATATTGGACAAAATTCCAGTCTGGCAGACCTGCCCATGCTCCGTTTCTTCATCTCCATCTCTGGCCTCGCTCCGTTGCCCTCAGATGCCATCGTTACCCCTGTCACGTTCAGGGTTCACAAGCGCAATTTGCGCGGATTCTTAGCCGAAAGCGACGCAAAGGAAGACGGGAGCCGAATTTTATCGGGCGAATGGATTGTGGGACGCAGTCTGTGGCTTCGACTACAGCATGAATGGCGCAGCGCGAAAAGAGACGAAAATGGCAAGCGACCACGACAGAAACCGGGTCGGGTGATTCTGTTCTTGCACGGTGGAGCGTATTACATGTTTAGCCCTGCCACCCACCGTACAATCACTATACCGCTCAGCAAGTATTGCGATGCCCGTGTATTTGCAGTGGATTATCGTTTGGCGCCGGAAACGCGCTTCCCCGGCCAGTTACACGATGCGGTCCTCGCCTACCTCCGGCTCATCGACGACCTTCACATCCCGCCCGAGAATATCATCGTCTGTGGAGATAGCGCTGGGGGCGGGTTGACCCTAGCACTTCTGCTTTACCTCAGGGATAACAATTATCCTTTGCCTGCTGGTTCCATGCTGTTTTCGCCTTGGGTCGGTGCGTAAACCTATCCGACGCCAAATACAAACCCCCTACTCAGCCAATTATATCTAGATCTAACGATGAGCTGCGACTCTTGGGACAGCAATGCCCAATTCGACCTCGTTCCGATGCCTCAATCTGGAGATCACCTCAACCCAATACTATGCCTCTTAGGACCGGAAGGGATCTCCAAATACCTTACCCATCCCTATGCGAGCCCACTCTTTGGCGCGCTCGAAGGTCTCCCGCCGATGCTCATCCAGTCAGGTGATGCAGAAGTGTTGAGGGACGAGGCACTGTTGCTCGCGCACAAGGCCACGTTAGCAGGGGTCAATGTGCGGCATGAGATTTACGAAGATCAGGTTTGTCCCTCTTCTCTCGTTGCCCAAAGGCAGTTTCCTTACCCGCAAACGGCCACCAGGTCCATGTTTTCCAAATGTTCTTCTTTTTGGAAGCGACAAAAAAGGCCATGCTAAGCTGTCGCGAGTTTGTCGCTGGTGTGCTCAACCCGCGAGAAGGCACTCGGGGTGCACGCGAGATTGGCAAAGAAGCGGAGCGTGGCCTGGAGCAGGAGATTGCGGGGACGTCTGCTCGAATCGTGCGTGGGGATGGAACAGTGGTGGAAGACAAACGACCTGCGGACCTATCGTCGTCGTCGAGAGGATCGTCGCCAGTGGGAGAAGAGGGTCGGGCGTCTTTAGACGTTGAACCCAGCTGGTTTTCGACACGTGATGGACGAGATGGTACAGAAGTCGATATGGAATTGGAAGAGCAAGACCTGCCGATCAGCTTCAAGCCCCGCAAACGCGCTTCTCCGTCCAACCTCGAATCGTCAAAGACCAAGGATGCTCAAAGCTATTTTACATCGAAATCGACGATACTGGAACAGCACACGCCGCCTACTGTACTCGCCGAACGCAATGGCAAGACGCTGCAGCGACAACGGACACATATGCATATCAGTGTCACATCTACAAATGCTCTCAATTCACCTCCACCGCTATTAACACCCTCTGTTCGACGCCGAGAACGGGCCATCAGTCACCCTGATGTGCGACTGTTGTGCGAGTCGTTTTCGCAAGGGCCGGCAATGGATGTAGTTCGAATTGAAGCCGAGGGATAAACTATCTAGTGTTTTAGGGTAATCGCTTTTCGTATCTAAGGTGTACAACTAGGGTGTAATGGGATGACGACGTGGGTGAAACACGGTAAACTGGTTGCTGGTCGGTGATTGGGGAAGCATCTGATCCGGTGATACTCCCACCAGTGCTGAGATAACGACTTGGCGAGGCTGGGTTTTCCGGGGGTGTTAGTGGCTCCCCTGCTGTTCTCCTACGCAGCGCAGCCTTTGCAATCGACAATGGCAACGGCTATAAATGAGCAAAATGGACATGAAATGGCACAAACGGTGCCCTCGTCGCCGTCTCCGAGCGGCGTCCCACTCGGTGCAGTGCCAGGACAAGGCCTGATGAGTGCAACTTTGGATCCAACGCCCGCAACCGCAGCTGGCCACCCTGCGCCCGGCACACACGACCAACGCCGTTCTGAGCATTCACAGCAGCCTCCAGTACCCATAATGTCTCCCCGACGTGGCCAGGGATTAAACGGGCTCGACTTCACGCCCATCGTCACCCATTATCTCTTCCTCGTCACCTCTATCCTCGCTTTTGTGCGCTGTTTCGGCTTTAAATGATACAGGGATATCTACTTATTCACTCTAGATCGGCTGGCTCACAGCGTTTATTGGCCAGGCGGCATTTGAAGCAAAGTTCAAAGAGCCCAAGGGTCTGCGCTTTTCCTCGCAGCGTGTCAGGAATCTTATATTTCGAATAGGACTTCCTCCCAGCGCCGGTACACTCTGGTTCGCCATCTTGTGAGTGCCCGCGGCGCCAATTGTTTTCCCAAATGTTGAACGACGCTCGCAGCTTGCATCTCGCCGTCATCCTCGGCGTCCTCTACACCCTCGCAACCGATAACATTGCTCTCAACAGACTCCAGGTCAATCTCGTCGTTTTTGGCTCCATCCTGCTAACATTCCTCGGTGATGCAGATTTCCGTCTTTTCGGCCATTTCAATCGTATATGCCGTCCAAGGTGCCAATGATGGTCTTTACTCTCCGTTAGCAGCCGCACAGGCTATGGGAGCGGGCTACTTGTTGCTCGCCTTCGTCTTTGTACGTCCTGTCGCCTCTGGAAACGGTGCGTTCTAATAATGGTTCAAGATTCTGTGGACGCTCTACTTCTCTGCCGAAGAGGGCTCTATTACCCTCGACCTCTTTAACAGCATGGGCACGGGCGGATTGACGGGACCCGGGCGTCGACGAACAATTATCGGTGGCCAAGGCGTCTCTCGATCCGTAACCAACATGAACAACGGCCAAAGCGCCGTGCCATACGAAACTTATGGATCGCCGAACGCGCCGAGCCAGAAGCTAGGCGGCTACGGCGGAGGAGGGATTGGCAGCGGCATTGGTGGCGGACCTGGTGGAGCTCTTGGTCCTGCACAGAGTGTCAAAGACGATACGAGGAGTCCACGCAGCATGAACACGCAGCCTATTGATGCGCAGAGCATGGCTAGCATGGGTGCCCGCAGCAATGCTGGTGGTGTGATTGGGGGAGGTCCGCCAACGGGTATGACAGAGGCCTCTGCACCGCTCATGACTGGATCGAGTGGTGAGCCGACAAGCGAGCAGCCATATTCATATCATGCAAAGGCGCTATACAATTGTGAGTAGACTGTCCTCGGTCGGTCGGGTCAGCTGGTTGACGCCCGAGAATTAGATAATGCATCCCCTGATGACCCGAACGAGCTCTCTTTCTCAAAGGGAGAGATATTGGACATTGTCGACAACTCGGGCAAGTGGTGGCAAGCGAAAAAGGCCGACGGTACGACTGGAAGTGAGTGCTGTGAGACGGGATTGTGTACTTTTGACTGACTTTGGTGCTAGTCGCGCCATCAAACTATCTCCAAATCGTGTAAAGCCCATCCGTCGTTGCGGTGCTCATTTCCGTTCCTCTACCCTCTCCTGCGGCGAGGCTTCGTGGAGAATACTATGGAAACGAGCAAAAGGAAAACTCCCCCAAAACGCGCTGCGGCTCCCGTTCGCTGCGTTTTGACTGTGACGACTCATACCCATGACGAATTAGTTTCATATTTCCACTCTTCTCATCTCCTCCAACAGATTACAAAAACACACTGTTTGGACTGGTACCTGCTCTCTCCTCCCTCCCTCCTCCGACGGACCTGTTTGGCAGTCGCTGTCTCGGAGCTGCTGATTATTTTTGCAAGATGTATGCCCTGTGCAATCCTACGTGCTTATTGTTGCAAACCGAGGGTGTCGTTCGATAGACGGTGGGACCCGCTAACCCTGACAAGGGCTCGTGAAACAGGATACGTAACCATCGTCTGATTTCTTTTTTCAAATTTAATCCCGGAGAAATCAGGCGCGATTGATGTCTAGACGGCGCTAGACGACGCCATTGACATTTTGGACGAACAAGTGGAACGACATTATGGCTTGACCCCGGCCTTGAACGTTCTCGCGCGCTGAGACGACAAAGCCAGACGGGGACTTGTTTCTTGGACTCGACGACGATTTTCAGATTTGAGCTATTAGGCACAGTGGCCACCAGACACGCCACCGAGAATCCCTTTGAAGCCGTGCACAAGCCAGGCTACCCGGGTGTTGCCTGTTCATCGCATTTCACTCTTATTAATAACCTGGGCATTTAAACGGTAGCGAGCGATGAGCATACAAGAGCTGCTTGTCGTCGGTGGACCTCCATCTCCCGCACCTTCGACCGTCTCATCTTTGGCCACTCAACAACTCGCGACAACGTCGCCTGTGCGTAATGCAGCAATGTTGGGTGACATGCTCTACACTATCGCATTCACAATCCTCTGGCTGTTTGGATATGCAAGGGTGAGCAAATTTTGACGAAATACCGCCGTGTCCGTCGGGAGTATGATAGAGACTGACGAGTTGGCCCGTGATGATTACAGAACCTAGTTTCCTATATCGTCTCTCTCGGGATTATTCCTTTGCAAACGGCGCGTCAGCTGTTCGGCATCTACCAGCCTAAACCCGTCAATCTACGGGTCGTCGAGCGTGGCCCGCGCACCCGTGGACGTACAACACGCAATCAACTCGACTCCAACGGCAACAGGAGTGCGTACTCAGACGTAGAGGGCCCACAACGACGTACGCACTATTCGTGGATCTCCCATAACCGAAAGTCCAAAAATACGTCAATTGCGTCGACGTCAACTACTTCTTCTTCTGATGTGGCAAACACGCGTACACATTCGGTCCCATCGACACCGCGGCAGAGACCGACTTTGCTGGGTGATGTCGATCAGGCGCTCGGAGGAGATACGGTGGTGGCTGCGTCAGCTGCTGCGGAGGTGGAAGGAAGAAGGGCAAGAATGAGGAATCATGTGGATCATTCGAAGAGACGAATCTTGTTTGTGGATCACAAGGTAGCGAGAAGGCAAACTGCGCCGCCTGCGTCTCTTGTCACCCAGGACTCGCCTGTAGAGCGCTTGGTCATTAGCGACTCGCCTCAGTTGAGACTCGAGGACCTTCCTTCTCCTGTGATGGAGATGCAGGAGCCCTCTCCGGCGCATTCCATGACCGAGTTTGGCGAGTTTGTCTCTGCACCAGCGGCTGCGCCGGCAATGTCGGCAGTGCAAACTACAGAGCCTTCCATCCCTCCTGTTGCAGATCCGTCTGGTGCTGGATCCGGCGCAGAGTCGATCAGTGATAAAAAAGAACGGCGCCCACGAAGTGGATTTAGGCTGTTCGGTCGCAAGCGAAGCAGCTCTATGACCAGCCAGTCTGCACGACTTTCAGATGCGGAAGCCTCGATGCCATGTCCCACTCGTCTGCGCCGAAAGTCGCCGTACCCCGCCAAGGCTGTCACCAGTAAGCCAATGGCGGTGAGCATGTCGGACGCAGACGCTACGACATCGACGCGTTGGTTACTTTCAAGACCAAAACGGCTGACGAAAAAGGCGAGGTCAAACTCGTCGACGCGTACACAAGAGCCTGAAGAGTTGACAATTGGGCCTTTGGCCATGGATAATGGCAACCAATCCCCCCCACATGCACGCATATCCTCTTCCCCCATAAACACTCCTACTACACCCTCTCGTGCTAGCGCACTACTCCGCTCCTCTACTCTCAACTCAACAACTCAAACAACGACACCAACGAGGACTCGCTTCAATCCGCTACGAGATTTGGAAGCTCACCTGTACAACCGACATGGCCTTGGGACTGGTCCCAGTACGCGTGATGGGTATCGAGCGACGCCAGTGCCGAAGACGGGTATCCCTCGTACTCGACCATACGAGCTTCCTGGAATTGAGCGACCTGTTCCGTCAAAGCGCAATTCTGTTGGGACGCCGACCTCTGGGTCGAGACGCGACTCGGTGCAATCGACAAAGGCGTCAGATGTGAGAGCATTCGGGGAAGATCTAGGGAGAAAAAGTCCTCTACGACGTGTTAGTGCTCCTCCGGGAGGCACGGTCTCTATTCCTCGACCTACAACGCCAACCAGAGCGCAGACGCAGCCTCTGTGAATTTCGTCAAGCATTTATCTTATTCGGTTAACTTTCTACCCATGTATGACTATATCCAATGGGCCCTCGACGCTCAGATCACTACTTGCTACGACACACCACTAGTTCCTCACCTTTTACTCCATATTTTCTTCCTACATCTCGCTATTACAGGACATCTACTCTCGCTTGGACATTTGGTTATCGGTGCCCTAGAGGCGTCGCCGCTTGCATACCTCTAGTCTTTTTGTTCATTTTTGTCTCGATGTTGGTTTTATGTCCCATGTTGTGCTAGTGCTGTATGTACGATGAATACTGAATCAGAGGCCTCGACCTTTAGATGCCTATTGTATTTTCATTATTTGTCTAGGATGAGTCAATCCAGATGGGCCTAACCCACTTACAATGTATTAAATGATAAGGGGTTTATACTGGCCAAATGAAGTTGTAATATAGCCTCGTGTATCTGGCACCTGGCCTGGTGTCGAGACTGGCAGACGCCAGCTACAGCTTGAACCCATCTACCTTCTCTCATGTCTGCCCAATCATCTTCCCAGTCCAAGAAACCACATAAGACGATGGGTTCATCTGGTTCCTCGTCAAGCAAGAAGGCTCAAAGATACAACACAGTCAATTTCGGCCTCGATGTCGTGGCGAATGTGGCTGAAGGATCAGATATACTCGCCCCTCTAAAAGCAGCTTGTCGAACGACAAAGTCAATCGTCGAAGTTATGCAGGTGCGTTCGTGGAGTTTGTCATGATGTCCGTCCAACAATTCGATAGGGCATAGAGAACAACCGAGAAGATTGGATCGACCTCATCCGACGCGTGAAGGACTATATGTCTGTGCTCGAGGAACAAATTGCCTTGTTCGAGACATATCCGCCGAAGGATAGAACTGTCAACGAGGCTTTCAGTCGGCCGTTCATCGGCTATGTCGAGTACATAAACAGTCCAATTGATTTCAATATGCTAAAAAGAATCCAGAGCACTCGAAGACATACACGATACGGTCGTCAATCTGACGGAAAAGCGCAACCACCGCAAATTTAGCTTCTTCAAAGCGTTCAGCAAAGTGAAGATTGATTCGGGGGAAATTCGTCGACTTAACGTAGCGGTCGAGGACAGACATAGGCAGTTCATGGTACGAGCATTATTAGTCCTGGGCATAGCTTACCATCAATATAGGCCGCGTTGGATGTTTTTACCGCATTCCGTATTCAAATCGTTGAGCGAAATACCAAGGATATCGAGGCGCACCTGGAGGCTACCAAAGCCAATGTAGAAGATACCAAAGCCGAAGCTACCAGGGCTAACGTAGAGGTTATCAAAGCCAACATAGAAACCACTCGGACAGATCGTAAGCTAGTGTTTCGTATGGAATATCTACTTAGCCTTTCTAGACGAGGCCTCTGCTATACTCCAGCTGCCAATGGTACAATTTGTCGCGTCCTCGATCCACAGTACTTGCCTGCAAGGAACACGAGAGGCTGTTCTTCAGATAATACGGGGGTGGGCAGAGGATGCCGCGTCGCAGAAGCCGATATTTTGGTTGTGCGACATAGCTGGCTCCGGCAAATCCACAGTAGCAATGTCGGTGGCACAAGGTTGGAGGACGGAGGGAGTGCTAGGGGGTCAGTTCTTCTTCTCGTTGGCGAGTACCGAAGCGTCGACGACGGACAAGTTTTGCTCGACCGTGGCGAGGGAGCTTGCCCAGCAGATGCCCGACCTCACGTCGCACATCGCTGAGTCTGTGAAGCGAAATCCTGCAATCATGCGAAGCTCGTTCCATGATCAGCTCCGAACCCTGATTCTTGCCCCACTCCATCATCGACAAGAGCGCGTGATTTTTGTCGTCGACGCCATCGACGAATGTAAATCAAAAGCGCGCCGAAAGGAACTTCTCGACGCCCTAGCTATGGCCGTGCGAGAAACGAACAACCTCAAGATATTCATTACCAGTCGACCTGATTCAGTCATCGAGGCGGTTTTAGGTCCCCTTTCAATCAAAACCGAATTGAAGGATCGCCTTCACGACGTTAGTCATCATGATAACGTCGACGATATTGCGACGTACGTGCATCAATCGCTGTGTGATGTGCTGTCGCCAGCCGAGCGGCAGAGGCTGGTCGAAAAGGCCAATGGGTTGTTCATCTGGGCAAGTACTGCATGCCGAATACTCAATACCAACTCGAGGTCTCCCGAGGACGCATACAATTATCTGATGTCCATGAACCAGGGTGGGGTGATCGACGATTTGTACACCCTTATCCTCCAGCGCACAGACCCGGATGACTATGTGGTGGTGTACGAGATGCTCGCATTACTGCTCGTTGCATCTGAACCTCTCAGCGCTGAGGATCTGGACGATCTTCTCAGACATGCTGGTGTTGACGGAAGCGCCAAAGGGTTAATACGGAATCTTAGCAGCGTACTTATCGAGGACGAGGCTACACATCTAATCCAATTTCGTCATCCCACATTTGTGGAGTACCTTCGGCGTTGCTCTGTCCGCCTAGCCACTGAGAGCAGCCATGAAGTATATATTGACGTTGCCAAAGCGCAGGGACAAGCCGCAGCGTGGTGTTTGAAATGTCTCAAGTCACCGACTGAAGGTCTTCAGTTCAACATATGCCGAATAGAGACATCTTTCTACTTAAACAAGCAAATTCCGGATCTCGATACTAGGATATCCAAGTTCATTCGAAAACGGCTTCAATATGCAAGTCTACATTGGTTATTCCATGCTGTGGACACTGATGACAGCTGGCGACGCACGTTCAAGAATGAAATTGAGCAAATTCTTCGAACTCCATACGTGCTATACTGGATAGAGGTCCTAAGCTTGACTGGAGGAGTGCCACGGGCGATAGCCGGGCTTCGAGCTGTCACACGCCATATCGGAGTGAGTAATTTATCCCGATGCATTCCAATCTTGACACAAAATACAGCTTGATGAGAAGACTAGAACCCGCATGACCGAAATTCGGCGGTTTATGATGGCATTTTCAGTACCTATCCAAGACAGTGCTCCACACATCTATATTTCTGCGCTACTATTCAGTCCGACAAACACGATACTGTATCAAGAAGGCGTAAGGGAGTATAGAAATGGCTTGAATGTCGCTCGAGGAGTTGACAAGGTGTATCCCGGTTTACCCCAGATTCTTCGAGATCGCCAAGGTGTGGTCACGGCCGTCGGGTTCTCTCCAGACGGCTCACGAATCGTCTCTGGCTCAGGCGACAAGACGATTCGCCTGTGGGATGCAGACACTGGCCAACCGTTGGGGGAGCCGCTTCGAGGTCACGAGCACTCGGTCACAGCCGTTGCATTCTCTCCAGACGGCTCACGAATTGTCTCTAGCTCATACGAAACCACGATTCGGCTGTGGAATGCAGACACCGGTCAGCAGTTGGGAGAGCCGCTTCGAGGTCACGAATACTCGGTCACAGCCGTCGGATTCTCTCCAGACGGCTCACGAATCGTCTCTGGGTCACACGACAGAACGATTCGGCTCTGGGATGCAGATACTGGTCAACCAGTGGGAGAGCCACTTCGAGGTCACCAAACCACGGTCACAGGCGTTGGGTTCTCTCCAGACGGTTCACGAATTGTCTCCGGCTCAGCCGACACGACAATTCGACTATGGGATGCAAATACCGGTCGGCCGTTGGGAGAACCACTTCGAGGCCACGATTATATGGTCAGAGCCGTCGCATTCTCTCCAGACGGCTTACGAGTAGTCTCTGGCTCAGAAGACAATACAATTCGACTATGGGATGCAAATACTGGTAAGCCGTGGGGAGAGCCACTTCGAGGTCACCAGGGTTGGATTCAGGCTGTCGGATTTTCTCCGGACGGTTCACGCATCGTCTCGAGCTCAAACGACAAGACGATTCGAGTATGGAATGCGGATACTGGCGAGCTACTGGGCGAGCCACTTCGAGGTCACGAGGGGTGGGTCGTAGCCGTCGCATTCTCCCCAGATGGCTTACAAATCGTCTCTGGCTCATTCGACGAGACGATTCGACTATGGGATGCCTCTACTGGTCAACCGTTGGGAGAACCACTCCCGGAGGAACAGGACTCGGTCTTAGCCGTCGCATTTTCGCCAGATGGCTCACGAATTGTCTCCGGTTCTTCTGACAAGCTAATTAGACTATGGGACGCAAACACCGGTGAACCGTTGGGAGACCCACTTCGGGGTCACCAAGGCGTGGTCCGGGCCGTCGAATTCTCACCAGACGGCTCACAAATCGTCTCTTGCTCGAAAGACAGGACGATTCGCCTATGGAATGCGAATACAGGGAAACCATTGAGTGATCCACTTCGAGGTCACGAGGACCAAGTCATGGCCGTCAGGTTCTCTCCAGACGGCTCAAGAATCGTCTCTGGTTCAAAAGACGACACGATTCGTCTGTGGGATGCGGAGACGGGTCAACCGTTGGGAGAGCCACTTCGAGGTCACAATTCCACGGTTATTGCTGTTGGATTCTCTTCAGATGGTTCACGAATTGTCTCTGGTTCTTGGGATAAGACGGTTCGGCTATGGGATGCAAATACCGGTCAATCGTTAGGTGAGCCACTTCGAGGTCATCAACACTTGGTGTGGGCCGTCGGATTCTCTCCAGATGGTTCACGAATCGCCTCTGGCTCACAGGATAACACCATTCGACTATGGGATGCAGGTACCGGTCGCCAGTTGGGAGAGCCACTTCGTCATCAAGAACAGGTTATGGCCGTCGAGTTCTCTCCAGACGGCTCACGAATCGTCTCTGGCTCTTGGGACAAGACGATTCGACTATGGGATGTAGAAACCGGTCAGCCGTTGGGTGAGCCACTTCGAGGTCATCAAGGCCATGTCACGGCTGCCAGGTTCTCTCCAGACGGCTCCCAAATTGTTTCTGGCTCAGAAGACAAGACTATTCGACTTTGGGATGCGGCGATAGGTCAGTTTAGTTTCATTTTGTTGCTGACTGTCTGACGTGACTATTGTATTAGATGTAACTGCGAATAAATCCAGCTTGGATGACGGAGGACCCGCATCTTCAGATCGAAACGAAGATTTACAAGGTACTCCACTAGATATCCTCGTACCCGGATTCGGACAGTGTTCACTTTTGCACAATGGCTGGGTGCAAAGTTCTGGCAAACTACTCTTCTGGGTACCGCCGGACAATCGACATGGGCTACAATATCCACATCTTCTCACTATACCCACAGCAACTTATCTTCGCGCGACCAAACTTGATTTTGCCCATTTCCGTTGCGGCCTCTCTTGGACAGAGGTTCGAACCAATGCCAACCAGTAGTGCTTCGTAATATCAGTGTGTGTACCTTTTACATACAATGTGAGAATCTTCAGGCCGAATATAGCCTCGTCCTTTCTCAGAGCTCGTCGTGTGTAGTTGTGTTGTCAGGGCCAGAGACGCTGAAAGTGGTTTCAGCTGCTAAGTTATTATCAGCCCATGAACCCCGAACAGAGACTATCGGGATGGTCTACCATAGTTCCGTCTCTGTCACTCCTTATGTCGGGGGCATCGCAAGGATCAAATGACGATTGTGTCGCTTGCGCCGTCCTTGCCGCGCTTGGCAAGATTTTGTAGCAACATATTCCACGTTGAGACGCTGGGATTAGATATAGCAGCAGGACCTTTCATTCTGTTCTCGTCGAGAAACAATCACAAAGACTGTACATGAGGAAGGGACCGATGGCGATTGGGCCTGCAATAGTTTAGGACTGCTTGAGTTTGCGAGATGGTCGAATTCAAAGCCTTCCTCATTGATCTCCGGAGTAGCCTTCAATGACATCTCGTGAGCTCGCCAAATGATACAGTTGGTAAATTTTGTGAGAAATTTTGGAGGGAGTAGGATGACGCATACATTCCTCGCCCCACGAATGGCACGCACGGTCTCGGATCCTGCATACAAGTCAGAAGGGTGCATCGGTAGTGATGAATGAGAGTAATGCCACTGATAAAGACAAAGCGGGGATTGCTGTGTTGCTGTATTTCTGTGCAGCCTCTGGTACCTCATTGACGTTTACTTTGAGGGAGGACTGGTGTGTAATGGTCTGCGCTGCTGTACAGTCCTCGAGGTTGGACTGAACCACTCGAACCGCAACACCGTCTTAGGTTTCCATGGCCAACTTTTCACCTGCGGATAGATCCATCTTTGGCCGTCGACGCACGGGCCCCGTGTTTCGTACAAGTCAACCAGTTCCTCACCCCTCCCTCCGCCAGACACAGTTTAGTGGGCGTGCTAACAAGTTGCATCGGTCATGAAGACACCATACTCACGAAGTCAACTCTGCATGACCCTTGCCTCGTGTACCTGGCGCTATTAACTTGGATTCATCCACTTCCATTATGCCTGCCCAAAAGCCATCCAAGTCCAAGAAACCAGACCAGACGATGAGTTTATCGGCCTCCTCGTCAAGCAAGAAGGATCAAATATACAACACGGTCAATGTCGGCCTCGATGTAGTGGCAAATATAGCCGAAGCATCAGATACACTCGCCCCTCTAAAAGCAGCTTGCCGAACGACAAAGTCAATTCTCGAACTCATACAGGCGAGTTTGGCGAACTTGTGAGACGGCTTCATCTAAGGATCCGAACAGGCAGTAGACAGTAACCAAGAAGATTGGATCGACCTAATAGGACGTGTCAAGGGGTACATGTCCATACTTGAGCAACAAATCACTCTGTTTCAGGCATGTCCGCCAGAGGATCTTAGAACTGTCAGCGAGGCTTTCAGCCGGCCGCTCATCGGCTATGTTGAGTATGTAAACAGTATAACTGACCTCAATATGCTAAAAAGAGTCCAGAGCACTCGAAGACATGCACGATACAGTCGCCAATCTGACGGAAAAACGCAACCACCGCAAATTTCGCCTCTTCAAAGCGTTCAGCAAAGTGAAGATTGATTCGGGGGAGATACTTAGACTTAACGTAGCGGTTGAGGACAAACATAGGCAGTTCATGGTGCGAACATTATTAATTCTGGGCACAACTTGACCGTTGATACAGGCCGCGTTGGGTGTTTTTACCGCATTCCGCATTCAAGCCGTTGAGCGAAATACCAAGGGTATCAAGGCCCGCCTGGAGGCTGCCAAGGCCAATGTAGAAGACGCCAACGCCGAAGCTACCAAAGCCGTCATAGAAACCACTCGGACAGATCGTAAGCTAGCGCTTCGTATAGGACACCTACTTAGCCTTTCTAGACGATACCTCTGCTATACTCCAGCTGCCAATGGTAGCATTCGTCGCGTCCTCGATCCACAGTACTTGCCTGCAAGGAACGCGGGAGGCTGTTCTTCAGATAATACGGGGGTGGGCAGAGGATGCCGCGTCGCAGAAGCCGATATTTTGGTTGTGCGACATAGCTGGCTCCGGCAAATCCACAGTAGCAATGTCGGTGGCACAAGGTTGGAGGACGGAGGGAGTGCTAGGGGGTCAGTTCTTCTTCTCGTTGGCGAGTACCGAAGCGTCGACGACGGACAAGTTTTGCTCGACCATAGCCAGGGAGCTCGCCCAGCACATACCTGAACTCGCGCCGCAAATCGCAGAGGCTGTGAAACAGAACCCTGCCATTATGCGGAGCTCCTTAAAAGACCAACTCCAAACACTGATCCTCGCACCACTCCTCCATCGAGAAAAGCGGGTAATTCTTGTTATCGACGCCATTGACGAATGTGAATCCGCTGCGCAGCGAGAGGAACTTCTCCAAACACTTGCTATCACTGCGCGAGAAGCAAGTCATCTCAAGATATTCATCACAGTCGACCAGACTCTGTCGTTGAGGCGGTTTTAGGGGCCCCTTTCAATCAAGACCGAATTGAAGGACCGCCTTCACGACATTAGCCATCATGATAACGTTGAGGATATTGCGACGTACGTACATCAATCGCTGTGTGATGTGCTATCGCCAGCCGAGCGGCAGAGGCTAGCCGAAAAGGCCAACGGGTTGTTTATCTGGGCAAGTACTGCCTGTCGAATACTCAACAACAGCTCGAGGTCTCCTGAAGGTACATATAATCGTCTGATGTCCATGAATCAGGGTGGCACGCCGTCAATATTGTCGCGTTCTCAACAGATTGCTCGAGGTTTATCTGGCTCCTCCGATAACGCTGCTCGACTATGGGATGCGGATACCGGAAGGGCATTTGAAGAACCGGAGTGAGATCGCGAGGGCTCGGTCCCCCACATTCTCGCTAGATTGCTCAAGAATCGTCTCTTGCTCCAATGGTGGCTGCGGGATGCAGAAATATGTCAATTTAGCTTCAGCTTACAGTTGATTATGTGATAGAGTTGACAAACATTATTAGATGCGAATGAGAATAATTTCGACCTGTCAATGTGCACTGGGTTTCATGAATCTCGAACGCCGAAAGTAGATAGAGCATAAGAATCCCTTCCATTACGTTCTCGTCTAGAAGAAGACAGTACATAAGGAAGAAACAGACAGCGACGGGCCCTGTGACGATGCTCGAGTTTGGAGAGATTATTGAGGTCTGGGAGAGTATTTACGTGCACAGCGGACATGATGTTGGCTGACGGTCAGTTCCAAGTTGGGCTCAACCTGGAACCCCAACACAAACGTACGTACGGCAGGCTTCTCCTCTTCCACTTGTCTATTATCAACAAAAGGAGCGAGATTCATGACAGAATGGTTGCCAAAGCCCACGCCTTTCGGAACGGCTCAGCGGCCGGCTCCCAAACTAGTCAGTCTCGGCCTCATGCCTCGACACCTAGTTCCTCTATCATCTTGATCCGAGTCTGGAGGTAGTCTACTCATGTACCATGTTGTTCACCATAACATAACACTCAACAGCAGTTACGACTTCGCCAAATTGGACAGTTTGGTATTGTGAGAAGACGTAGAGATTATAAGCATCCTCGTATCCTGCATGCAAGACTCGAACATGCGGTAAAACTCACGACCAGCAGACTATGTGTAAAACGCTTGAATTACGAATGTCAAATACGATCCAGGTGAGATACAAACACGATCCTATGCATGGATACAAAAAGATAAGAGTTACCGTGCAACACTCATGGCTCGTAGCGGGGTAAATTTGGGCCTGAAGATCTAGACTGCTGGCCATCGCCGCTCCCACTACTAGCGCTCGATGACGGCGATGTGGATCTCGCTCGGTCCGAGCTAGTGGAGCCATCCTGTTCCTCCCGTAACATGGCCACCTCTCCGAGCGAATCGTCCCAAACCGGCGCAGACGGTCCCACTCCACCATCCCCCTCTTCTTCAGCAAGAGCAGGGGGTGCACTCGGCATCAAAGATGGAATACGCTCGTCATTCGTGTCGGTTGGGGGTGCACTGGGTCCAGCACGGCTGGATGAGGGGGGATCACCCATGTATGACCAGAAGTGGCCAATTTCATACCCGTTAGAGGGAACAACAGTCGTTGACGGAGGTGGAGGAAGTGGTAGATCGGATAATGGCGGTGAAGCGTTCGTTGGTTCAGTAGCCGGTAGGCTCTCCAATTGTTGCTCGGCGTGCCACTCGTCCATCTCGCGCCAGGCAGGAACCATTGGTCTGTTAGGTGCTGGGGATGAAGAAACAGGTGCGTCGGCCATTGTTCGTAGTCGTTCCAATGCCACCTTGTCATCTGTTGCTACGTGTGCTTGTCGGATGGCCCCAGCAGCGATTCGAGATGAGCCGATCAAACTCGACTCAAAGGACGGTGCAGCTTCTGTGGACGTGCTGACTTCTGGCGCTTCCGCTGGCATGGCCAACGTGACGCCGTCAAACGAGCGGACATAACCCGTGAGATCCCGCTCGTCATAGTCACCCTCCCGTCCTCTTATCGGGGCCTTTTCCTGTCGTCGGGCGGATGTGGGGGTGCTGGATGAGGGATAGGCAGGTGGTTGGTTGTCGGAGGTGGTAAACGCGCGATCCTCGCGCACAGCAGGTGGCTCTGCTGGCTCGTTGGAGGGCGAGTGAGGTAATGGTGTGTTTTCAAGGGCATGCGACACGGTCGGTGTGGCAGGTGAGGTGGGTCGGGGGCCGTCATCTAAAGATATACGCGACTGGGCTGATAGATCAGCCCGTCGCGGGCTCGGTGATCTCACAGAGGTCTGTGAAGAATCGGGAGCAGGCGCATCGTTTGAGGTATTTTCGGCGGCTTGTGATCGATGGTGCTTGCGCCTCAAGCGGGCGACAAACCGGTCGTTGACACGCCGTATTGCGGTCGATTTCCCAAAGGCTTTGTAGCGTTTCCGTAGTGGCGTTTTACGTCCTGATTTTTCCTTGGATTGTTCCTCGCTGTCCGAGCCTTCCTCGTCTGTGCTGACCTCGAGCCCCTTTTGTTGACGCTCAAGCTGCTCTACGTCTCGCAGCTTGCGTAAGTGGGCCTTGCGCCAGCGACACAGTCCAATGGTGGTCATAATAGAAAAGACCAAAACAACAGCAAGAACGGTGACGAAGATGGGCGAGTAGCTTTCATGGCGAGGGGCACGATACCAGCCGACTGGTAATTGACTCAAGTCCATATCGGTGAGCGTACCAGTACCGATGGCATCCAAATTTTGGATATTATCTAGGCCGCTGCTCGGGTCTAGCGCAGGACTTGGCTGCTCGGGGGTGGGTCAGCACACGGATCGCGACGACATGGGACGGAACAAGGTGTAAAAATACAGAGGGAGACTGCGTCGGCGAGGACGCCATCAGCGTGCCAGAAATAGCACAGCGGCTGCACCCGGCGTTGTCGAAAAATTCTCCAAAATTGAGAAAATGAAGCAAACGACTTACATCGGACCCTCCTGTTCGTCCATGTAGGTTCCAGCTAAGCGCCTCGATCCATCCAATCTCTGCGGGCTCGTATTTGATAGCGATGTGTACTCCGGGAGGTTGAGCTCGCTTTGAGAGCTTGTGTTGCTTGGATACTGTCGATGTAGCCCCAAGGCGTGCCTCCGCTGCGCTCGTCGCAGCCGTGGTCGAGGTCGACGAACGTAGCGTCGGTTCTGAGAGCTTTTCTTCGATAGATTTGCGCTCAAAAGAAGGGTACAAAAAGTCCAGAAATGGGATCGGTAATGGTGAGGCACTCGCGCTCGTTGTCGAGCGCAGGGCCTCGAGAGCGGCGACAGCAGCGAAGACGGTTGCCACTGGACGAGTCGAACGGGGATGACGGTGCGTAGATCTTCTGCAACGTCCTGAACTTAAATGGTCGTCCATCGCTCTGCCAAGTGCTGCTTGGCTTCAGGCGTGAGCTCAGGTCAAAGATGGGTTCAACAAACTACGCCACCCCCGAGGCAAACATCGGACTCGTCAACAAACGACATAAATTTTACAAAAAGTATTCAGGAAGCTGTTTTGGCGTCAGAAGCCTGTCGGTTTCGTGTCCGGCGCACTCACTTTTCCGCCCGCGTTGAGCGACGCTTGCTGACCAGGCCCGTCACGTTCGTTTTCGGGCGCAGCCTCGAACACGTTGAAGTACATGTCTCCCTCTTGTATCTCCTGCCCCTGCCCACCTGGTCGTACCTCGAGTATCGACGCCGAATTGCCGCATCTGGTGACCCCAATAAACACTCGGCAAGCACCGAGAACCGAGCAAAAACGCACCGATAGCAATAGTTGGGCGCACTCCATACGGTGCTCAGATGGTTGTCGAAAAGAACGCTGTACCCTTCCATACATAGTTGATGCGCCCGCAGAATATGGGCCATTTGATTGATGGCCAAGAATTTGCGCACGACCTGGGATCCGAACGTATAGCCGGCACCTCTGTAACCCGCATGAGTACTCTGTTGACATCTGTGCGACTTTGTTTACCTCGGACTAATAGCAAAGTCTTCCTTTTCGGCGTCGGGGTCGGACCACACCAAGTCTGCCATAGGTCCTTCGTGTGGAATCTCCCGGAAGCGGTCAACGACCTTGATCTGGTCAATACTATGTATACTGGGCGACAGTCCACCATGAACGCAAAAGATGCGGTCGTCTATCACGACGGACAGCGTCAGGTAGTCAAACATGTCCGTAAAGTACGACCATATAGAGGACGAGCCATACTTGCGCACACATTCTGTGTAGAATCCGTACGTCTGTGTGACTGCTCTGCTCTCGTGGTTTCCGCGGATAAGGTGGATACGGTTGGGATGCCGTAGCTTGAGGCAAGTTAGGAGCGAGATTGTCTCGACGCTGAACAATCCACGATCGACATAGTCCCCTGTGGGTAACGTCAGCTCGGCTAAGAACTATGGAAGCAAACGGACCGAGGAAGAGATAATTTGTAGACGGCGCGTATCCTCCTATTCGGAATATCTCAACAAGGTCGTAGAACTGGCTGTCTCAATCAGCTTACAGAACATTCTATGCTCCTTCTGAACACGACATACCCATGAATATCGCCAACTACTGTGACCGGTGCGCTTATGTGCACGACGTTGCCCTCCCGCATCAGCACCTCCTTGGTCTTTTCACATATTTCCTTGAGCACTGTTTCATGAAGTAGCTGTTTTTTTAACAGCTGGGCGATACACGCGTCCAGATTGAACGGAGCCATGACAGGAATTACGAGATGAGCGCGTCAGTCTCCTTGATCTTGCGAATAAGCAACACGACAGAGAATTGATAAAGATTTAGTTGGGCTTTGATGTTGCTTGAGGTGCAGAGCCGGTCGTGGTAAGAGCAAAAGCCCGTGCTTCACACTTGGATTCTGACTACGATGGGCTGGACAGACGAACCGCCCGCGACGCGTACACAATGCCTTCTCAGTGCATCAAAAGCAGCTCTCAAGTTTAACGAAGCATGTCGACGCGCTTTTGCAGCCCTGCGCGATGGCCAGACGCGCTCGGACGGTGCCCAGCTCAAGGAACGCGATCTACAAAAGTGGAGAGACGCGACAGATGGCAAGTTTCTTTCACACTTACAATATCTAACGATATTTTTGTCTGATGAAGCGCGCGCTCACATCCTGCCACTGTAGTCTTCTTCAATGCGGTCGACCAGCCGGAGGGCATGTTTCTAGTCGCATCTAGCCTCCATATACCCGGGATTGAATGCTCACAGCAAGTTAATGCGATCAACCTCGCCCTCCTCTTCGAGTTGTTTATGCCAGAAGCGATCCGCCTTCAGCACCCTTTCCTTACAAACGAAGTCCCACTAGTCGACCCAGAAAAGGTCAACAGTCTCTATATCGCCGATTCAGTAGAAGAAAAGCTGCAAAAGCTCTGGTACCCTGTGTCAACCTCGATCGAGGTGCTCCTACATCTTTGCGCGCAGCAAGACTTTGAAAACACCCTCAAAGCACTTCAAGGTGTCATTTTAGATGCTTGCACCACGGTCAGTTGCAAAATTATGAAGGCCTCACACAGTCACGTGCTTTCAAACTCCGACGCGCCCTTTCCTTTCTGCGCCTTATAACCCTATTCTGATAAACAGATAATCTTCTTTTGACATGATGCTGACATCCTTAATTAGATCATGGTCATTGGCAAGCACACACTAAAGGAAGCCATTGACAAGGAGCAAGACTGTAAAACATACTTTGATTCTAGTTTTATCGAGAATCCGTCTTTGGCTTCCATCTTAACCAAGACGCAACAAGCGAAAGCAGTGGAAGTCTGGGACACCGCGCGACGCAAGCGCATCAATAAGGCAGGTTCCTTGGACGCCCCCACATTCAATTGGATTTACCTTCTTCAGATTTTGAAATTATCTCCCTCTGAGACAATACGCAAGTACGACTGGGAGACCTTGTGCTTGCGCATCGTGCACGAACTTGCAAGGAACCTCGTGCAAGCTACACAAAAACGAGCCGAAGAGGAGATGGCTGAGAACACTTCTATTCTGGAGCAGAGAGAAAAACGAGCGCACCAATCCTCTGAACGAGCATCCAGTAGTGACAGCATCGCGTCTTCAAGCAAGGCCGTAGATGCTACCATCGTACAGCACAAGGCGGCGTCTACAAGAGCGACCCCGCCAAGAGTTGTTCGACGGGACGAAGCGACAGAGAGGGTTATGTCTGAGAGCGTATCACAGGACGTGTTCCCACTAGATTCCATTCCAGGACTTGGAGATGATGACGAGGCACTCGCCGGTTATGGCCAAGATGAAGGGGCTGCTCACGAACCAACTCCTGAACGCGAGACGACTCCATTACCGAAACAAACTGTGTAAGGCTCTAATCGCTGTCCGGTGTCGCATCAACTAACACACGTCAGGATACCGAAAGGCTTTCGATTCAACGCACCGCAGCCAAATGCCGTCAAGATCAATATGACGCCGTCCCCCCCTTCGAGTAAGCCTATGCATACTTGGAGAAAGGTGAAGAAGGCAGCCCCGGTGGATCGCACGAGGACAATCTCGAGTAGCACGACCAAGTCGAAAGAAACCTTGCCAGTCAGGGCTGGGAGCACCGAGCGGGAAAACAAGCGCAAGTATGTCAAAGAGTCTGAAGACGAGGAAGGCGAATCGCCAAGGAAGAAGCAACGAGCTGGCGGGGACAAACCGCCGGAACTGGCTTTTGCTCGCAACGTTACGAGCACAATTATCCCTCGTGTGTCCATTGCGAGTGGCACGACCCTGGTCGCGCCAACGATCGGCAGTGGAAAGGAGAGAATGCGTCTGGACGCTGCGAACAGAGACGTTCCTTCTGCCATCAAGCTGCCGCCAAAAAGAAAGCCCGTCATGGCAGCGACGAGCAGTGATGAGAGTGAAGGCGAAAGACGTAAGCCCCACACGAGGAAGGCAAAACCACAAAAGGCAAATGATACGACAACGCCCAAGGTGGCTGATATTGCCGCGTTGCCTACGGTGAACGCTACCACTGCGTCGACATCCAAAGCGGCAGTACCAGCGGCACGACCAACAGCCAATACCGTCGCGTCGCGAGATTTAGGGACCAACGACGTGACTACAGCAGCGAAAGCGCGTCTAGCCGCTCTTAGGGCACAACGGGAGGAAAAGGAGAGAAGACTTCGAGAATTTGCGGACGGCGAGGCGGACAGCGACATCGAGATGCTTCCTGAGCCAAAAGCTTCCAAGTCTAAATCCAAACCCAAGCCCAAGCCGCGGGTCAAGTCCAAGAAAAGCGACGACGACGATTATTCAAATACGGACACCGAGGCTGAGACCGAGCGGGTAGAGGGATCGGACTCCGAAGATGCACTTCACCGTTCGAAGGACCGGCTATCCGAGTTGCAATCGCGAGCGAAGAAGAATGTTCCACCCATGGAACGACGCGCGCGACACCTCCCAATTGGTTCAGACGAAGAGGAAGGTGAACCACAGGTGGAACAAGGGCAGGAACCGAAGAAGAAACGTGGACGGCCGCGTAAGGATCCGGCGGACAAGACGCCGAAACCGTCTATCAACCGATACCGAACGGGCCACAATGAGACGGGGCGTGTTCGGTGGACGAAGGATGAGGACGCGACATTGTTGTTTGCGATCGAGGCATTGTACTATCGCAAACAGCTCACGAGGCCATGGAACATGATCATGAGCCAACATGGGATCCATGGTACAGAAGATCAAGTGTTGGCGAACCGGAATGTGCAGCAGATGAAGGATAGGGCCCGGAACATCGTAATTGCCAAGGCAAAGAGACGGGAAGAGGTACCAGAGTACTTGAATTGGATTACGATTCCGGCGGAATATAAGTGATCGATCTCCGTCGTAACGACTTGTTCTTATATGCTTTCTTACTTTTTGTTGGGTGTACAATACTCTGCTAAATGATGTGACTGATTTTCAGACTGTCTACGAGGCCAAAGAGGTGTACATCTATACTTGGGCGGAAGAGATGAAGAACCACTTGGAGACTGTGAGGGAACGTGAGAAAGGTGATGAGACGGTAAAAAAAAAAGTGAACGTACTAGATGGGTCAATAGGCTTTGGCGGATCACGCGTGGCGTTGGGAAGGGCGGCGTAGACAGGATATTCTGGCCTGGTGTAGCCCGCCGTCTCGGGGATGGTCACGTTCAGAGTGGAGATCTCGTAGTTCTGGGTCTTTGCGGGCGACTCGCCCGTGACGACGAGTTTGCGCCAGGCTTCGTGACACTCATGGATAATCTCCGTTGCATACTTCTTGTTCTTTGCCTCTCCGGAGAATGCGAATGTATTCTCTGGCTTTCCATCGGCTAGACAATTTCCGTGGGGTTAGTCACGCAAGACGCTTGAGACGAGCAGAGGAACGCACGAATCTTGTAGATTCTGAACCACTCGTTGGTAGCACGAATGAGACCGGGCAAGTGACGTTCGACGTCTTCAATGTCATTGAGCTTTGGCGCGAGCGGGTCGTTTACGTCGACGACGATAACCTTCCAGTCGGTCTCGCCCTCGTCGAGGAGAGCCATGATGCCGAGGACCTTTACTTGCTTGACTTGACCCGTGTAGCCGAGCTGTTCGCCAATCTCGCATACGTCGAGCGGATCGTTGTCACCATGCGCCTTGGTCTCTGCATGCACCTGTTGTGGGTCTTCCCAGGTCTATGTTGTCAGATAGTCAGTACATAGCCCTTTTTGCATCGCTGGATGAACGTGCAACAAGTTGTTGAAAAAAAAGTAAAAAGACGAACCTGGGGAAAGGCGCCATAGTTCCAGATATAGCCATGGTGCGGAAAACAGTTTCTGACATATCTCAGTTTTCCCCGCTTGATGTCTTGCTTGATTGGATTGAACGGTTCCTCTTTGGAGATTTCCATCTTGGCGTTCGTCCAGCGGGGAACCTCGACAACCATGTTGAGGATGCCATTGTTCCTGTCTGCGAAGAGTGGAATGTCGTGGAAGGGCGACACGACCTGGCCATTCTGCTCGACAAACACTCTGTACTCTACAAACGATTAGTTTTCGCGTATGAGGCATAGATGAAAGAAATACATGTAGACGTGGACATCTACAAACTGATGGATGGGATCAAAGTCGGAGTAACTCACCCAAAGTGTTTGCAGGCCCAACGGGGCGAGTCGAATAGACTAATCGAGTAAAATCGACGACGGAGAATGAGTACATTATGCAACTAGAACAGATGTAGAACATGAATAGACCAACTCTGAGACATTTTGGCAGAGGACGCGAATGCGCGCTGGATCTGGTAGAGTCTACGGGTCGCCATTGATTCGTCGGCGTAATGGCTCGCCATCATGGCGTATTTTCAACTCGACGCCGGTAAGCGACAAGCGAGTAGGAAACACTCGGTGACAAGGTGTTTAAAAAGAATAGATGTTAACAGAACCAGCTATGGCTATGGAATTCCCGGTAGATAATAGTATGCGCCGCTTGCATCGTTCGCTTATGCGTGTCGTCTCTAAGAGTCCGTACGAAGACGTGCTTATTGGGATGAATGTGTTGCAGATGAGGTCGCATTCGACTGGAATCCTAGGATGGGCGTTGATACGGCACTCTGTTAAACAATCTTAGACTGGATTTCAGACTATCTACGAGGCCAAGGAGGGTCTAGATCTATGCCTGAGCGGTAGAGGTATAAAACCATTTGGAGACTACGAGAAATAGTGAGAGAATGATTGAACGGTGAAGCATACGTACTGGACGGGTCGATGGGGAGGGGCGGGCTCGGCTGGGCTGGGGGGACCCTAGAGAGTTCGGGATCACCCTCCCCGACATAGCCTTTCGAATCACGAATAGTTGTATTCCGAATGGAGATTTCGTAGCTCTCCGTCTTTGCGGGTGACTCGCCCGTAATAACGAGTTTCTGCCAGGCTGCGTGGCACTCGTGGATAATCCCCATAGCGTATTCCTTGTTCTTGGCCTCTCCGGAGAATGCAAATGTGTTCTCTGGCTTTCCATCAGCTAGACAATTTCGATACTTTTAGCTATGCAACACACAATAAACGACAAAAGGACGCACGAATCTTGTAGATCCTAAACCACTCGTTGGTAGCACGGATGAGACCGGGCACGTGAGTTTCGAGGTCGTTGATGTCGTTGAGCTTAGATGCAAGTGGATCGTTTACGTCGATGACGATAACCTTCCAGTCGGTCTCACCCTCATCAATGAGAGCCATGATACCGAGAACCTTGACCTGTTTGACTTCACCCGTATAGCCGATTCGCTCGCCAATCTCGCATACATCCAGCGGGTCGTTATCGCCCCGTGCATTGGTCTCTGCATGTAGCTCGTGTGGATCCTCCCAAGTCTGTATTGTCGGATATTCAGTATATAGTTCTCCTATCGTCTGACGAACGTGCAATAATGGTTATTCAAAGACTGACCTGAGGAAAGGCGCCATAGTTCCAGATGTAGCCAACGTAAGGGAAACAGTTTCTAACGAATCTCAGCTTTCCTTTCTTGATGTCTTGTTTGATTGGATTGAACGGTTCCTCTTTGGAGATTTCCATCTTGGCGTTCGTCCAGCGGGGAACCTCGACGACCATGTTGAGGATACCATTTTTTTGGTCTGCGAAGAGTGGAATGTCATGGAAGGGTGATACGACGCGGCCGTTTTGTTCGACGAATACTCTGTGCTCTGCAATCGATTAGTGATCGTGTATGGGACATCGAGGCAGAAAACGGATTTATAACTAGGCAGGAGCGATGTGATAGATGGGACGAGCCCAAGTAACGTACCCAGACTATTTGCAGGGCCAACGTTGCGAGGATTATAGGCTAATCGATTGCAATCGACGACAAAGAATCAGCATATCATGCATTTAGAACAAATATAGAACATGAATAGACGAACGCTGCGACATGGTTGCAGAGGACGTGAACGCGCGCTGGATCTGGTCGAGTCTACGAGTGGCCATTGACTTATCGGCGTAATGACCGGCCATAGCCCGTTTTCGACTCAACGCCGGACAAACAGCAAAGACGTAGAAGCAGTCAAAGAGGAGGAGTTACACGGCATGGATATCAACAGAACCGGCTATTGGCTATGAATTTCCCGGTAGATCATACGCTGCGACAATATCGCCTCCGAGCGTTGTCACTGTATGAAGCGACAGTCTCGTCTGAAGCAATCAGCCTATAACTATCTTCTGTGTAAAGGGTGTGGCTTACCATTTGCGCACTAATGTCATAGTGTGTGCCGTTTCCTGGGGCAACGCAGTTGGCTATCGTGACGATGATCCGGTCTATACGTAGTTTATCTCTTGCCGAGGATAAGCAGGATGAGAGAACGCTCGCGCCGCCTTCGACCATTAATGAATGCAAGCCTAGTTGTCGCAACGTTTCGACGACGGTCGACATGGGTATCCTGCCTATCCAACTCAGAACTACGACCCGAAGATCTCAACAATCTCACCATCAGAACCCAGCTCGACGGGGATCACTTTGACCCCGAGGTCTTGCAATGTTCGCTTGCGAATGTCGTCTTGAAGAGCTTGCGTACAGAATACGAGAGGGTACTTGCCGATTCCACTGGAAGCGTTGCGAATGAGCTTGCAGTCGAGTGGCATCCGGAGATGGGTGTCAAGAACGATGGGCAGTGGCAGTTGATATCCGCCCTCGCGAGGCGGCAGATGACGAGCTTTTGACACTCAGTTGATGTATATCACTCCATTTTGTAACATACTATTGAGTTGTGGGTCATCGTTCAGGACGGTATTGATACCAACGAGGATTGCGTCGTGCATAGATCGCATCCTGCAGACATCAGTACCCCATAATGAGCCTAATCAACCACGGGAGGGTACCAGTGTGTCATAATCATGCTCTGTTTCCCGCTGAGAATGAGCTGTGTGCCATTGGGACCAGCAATGCATCCATTAAGCGATTGTGCAAATGTCACTGTGGTCCAGAATCCTTCTTTTACGGATAATCTTGATTGATCGTGGTCAAGCGGTAAGACGGAGCGAAGAAAGTCGAGTTCATCCATGGCCGCATTCACCACGCAAACAGTATCCAGTATCTAATCAATACTCCTGCCCCTACATTGAATATCAGGACGCAAGACCTGAAAATGAGATTGATTAACCCCAAAGAGTGGCGCAAGGCGACGATTCAAGAGTTTCAGGGATCGATAAATGCCAACTATATACCGGTCAGTGTCCTGTTGCCACATCAGTTGTAGAATCTCTTGGCTTATCGTGTTTGTAACCTTGTAAAGGACGAAATTGGGTCTCCACCGGAATTCACAGACAAACCCACAGCTAATATCTGGGCACCTCGCGTTTTGGAACCTTGGACCTCTCCGCACCTCTCTTCCATCTTGCGCTCGCGGTACACAGAATGAACTGCAAGATAGTACAAGATCTACAGACCTTGGAACTTGAAAGACTCACGTTGCTTGCTCGGATTGAGCAATGTCAGGATGGCTCCAACGAGACGTCTGATCTTCGCCAGTGCCTAATTATGGAGTACAAAGAGATCACATATTCATATAATGAAGTTCTCGAAGCCTCTCGGGATCGCTCGCCGGACCAGTTGCCAAAATGAGCTCTGGATCAAGATCATCAAAGAGGTTATATTTGATGCTTGGGAATGGCCATATAGAGTACTCCTGCTTTTGACCTTGTCAATAAAAAATGGGCTACTGTTATTCTGGAGACTCCTTCACTCTGGACGTCCATAGGGTGTTCGCCAAATGCGGAGGACTTCGACGCAGTGATCTCTGTTCAACTTGCGCTTTCGAAACCACTTCCTCTTTCGCTTGGATTTGGGTGCACTGATACCTTTCTTGAGCAAGCCGCACCATTATTATTTCCTCATGCTCATCAAATTGAGCATTTAAGAGTACATTCAATGGAATTTGAATCATTCACTCCTCAGCCCAGAACCGTTACTTCTTTGCCTTCTGCGAACATTGTGGGAAGTGACCTGTCAGCAATATCTCAGCTGTTTGCGTGACTTCTAGGAATATATTTGCCACTTACTATAACCGACCATAGAACAGTGATGTCATATTCAAAAGCTTGGGGAGTGGACGATAGGAAGCTGTCTAGTTTGTGGCTCCCCCTTTTCGGAACACCTGCTTCATAATCTGGAGTTCTTGGCTTCAGTCGGAGATTTTCTATTCAGGGCGATGGAAATATTGATGATGCATTTCGAGCTTCCGGTTGCGGCATTGCCAGCGGGTCGGTTTGGCTTCCAGCATCTCACTCTCAGTCATGTACCTTGGAGATGCCTAGAAGGTGTAATAGGTAGATGTGACATGCGGCTCACAGCCCTATCAGTGAGAATAGGCTTGACCAAGCTACACTCTTTGCTCAAAATGCTGAATGGACTATCTGACCTGGAAGCTCTAACGATCGCAACAATAAGAGATCAACCAGACGACACAGAGTTTAAAGAAGCTTCTGCGTGCCTGAGTCTAGTGTCTTTCAACTGGTGCTTGGAGTCCAATGGTCAGCAGATCTTGGATATTACATCATATTTGTCCTGGTTGACCAAAGGGGCCCCGTACATACAAGCGATACGCGTATATGGGTCCCGGCGGGAGATATTCATGATTCTGCTGGAGCGGCGGTTGATCGCTCGATCGAGAGGTGTATCCGCCTTGCAGAAGATTACGCTCGGCATAGGCATCCCGAGTCACCTGCGAGTTATTATCATCATGAACCTCCGTGGACTTGTTGCTGATTGGCCATCCAGGGATGAACACTCCCTGCAAGAAACCTGCAAGGCAATGCTCGATCCATCCATGTAATTGAACGCCTCTCTGAGAAGAGCAAAATTGACATTTCATAGCTCCGGATGCATGCGGTGCCACCTCCATCATGTCTAATGCTCCCAGCCACCGGAGGCTGGCCCAGAGACATGGGGGACCCTACCTGCGACCTACAGTTCATCTTCGGAGCATCCAGACAGCAAATACGAGATTCTTTCATCGTGGGAGCGCCGGTTCAGGCAGTCATGGCCGATCATCGCACCGAATGGAAGGTATCCTTATTTGCGCAACATGACATGCAATAACCATCACCCCATCGAGCTTACTCGCGACTCTATTATATAATAGCCTAGGAGCGACGCCCCATTGTATCTACGCCAATGGGTTGTTACATGCTCGTCGAGTCCTGATTGTACCCGACCCAGAAGACCCGACTTGACGCATAAACCAGTCAGTATGAATAGAATCTCATACTTTAGTTCCTTCAATCGAGGGACAATACTAAGTTGAGAGTTCCGAGTTGATCTTGCCATACGGGAAGAGTCACGTGATGTGTCGCTGCCAACGTCTCTCGCTCGAAGCCTTCGTGTATTATCTTGTTTTATACATTATTCAAATCTCATAATAAAATTTGATAGCAGAGATTTATTTAAAAAAGTTGCGCAGAGGGATGGCAGTCACGTGCCGGGACAAACACGGTACCACCTTGGCCAAACAAGACTAGGCGACGACATAAATACCCTCGATTGCAAGTCATGTTCCGGAAAACAGCCTCGCCCTCGCCCCATCGCGCGCCTCGCACAACTCGCCACAACACTCGCCTTCGCCGCTCAACTAAAAATCGTATAAAATGTCTGGCCGTGGAAAAGGTGGAAAAGGTCTCGGAAAGTCGGGTGCCAAGCGTCACGTGAGTCTTTCTCGCGACCCATTCAAACGCCGCGGATGCTGACAAGCTGGGCAGCGCAAGATTCTTCGTGACAACATCCAGGGTATCACCAAGCCCGCTATCCGCCGTCTCGCTCGTCGTGGTGGTGTCAAGCGTATCTCTGGTCTCATCTACGAGGAGACTCGTGGTGTCCTCAAGACTTTCCTCGAGAACGTACGTGCCCCTCCTATCGCGCAGCCATGCCGAATCTAACAGCACTTCCAGGTTATCCGTGACTCTGTGACCTATACTGAGCACGCAAAGAGAAAGACGGTCACCGCCCTCGACGTCGTCTACGCCCTCAAGCGCTCCGGCCGCACTCTCTACGGCTTTGGTGTCTAAGTGTTCACCCTTTAGTCACCATCGGGTGTTTGCACGACTATGTAGACGGTCTTGTACTTGTATCCGCTTCTTTCCTAGTCTACGCCCTTTAATGCCTAGGCCTATTTTGCGCGCACCTCTTTATAAGCTAAGCTAGTCAAGTGCAATGGCCTCTGCAGGTGCAGGTAATGTTCGCTTCGCCTTTGCGCCTGGTCCTCCACCTGAGCTCCCTCCCAAAAAGGATGCCATCATATCCTGCAGAGGATTACCACCTCCAGCCATTCTCGGTGGGGGGAGATCAAAGAAGAGTGTCCCAATCTCTCCAAGTGCCTACAACATTTTCAATCAGTAGGATAGCCGCATAACAAACAAGAGCCTTACCTCTCTGTAGACTGGCTGAGCAACCAAACCACGTCTACTCTGGTAGCTCCCACACAACCTCACCCACATCTCTTGCGCCTGCTTTGCCTGTTGTAGGTTGGACGAGCTCTTGGCGCGCTGACACGTTCGGATAGCCAGCTGTAAGAAATTCAACGTCGGTTCCGTCGTTAAATACACTTCGTCTCTTTCACTCTGTCCCTTGACGTCGAACCGTATCGGATTTGCTGTGCTGCCTGCGATAGCGTTCGAGGGAGTGGCAAGAATATTGGGCCGGGCCGTGATTAGCAGAGAGAGGAAGGTGGACATAAAGGTTCGCGCCGCGAGAACGTTGCCTGTGAGGAGAAACGGAATGACACCCTTTGACGCATATGTCCCGGGCTCTGCGCCATCGCGTGACCAGGCAAAAAGCATCTGCGCCAAGGTCTTTGCGCTTTCACGGGTCCCAGACGCAAGGAGGTGAGGTTCGGCGGCTACGAAATCGTGTTCCTTTGCAAGTAGTGCACCAATAAAGCCATGGAGTGATGGATCACCAGATGGATATGATCCGTGTCGAGCTGACCATCTGCACATCCATGAGTCGAGTCGTTAGAGGAATTCGGACAGAAGAGTATGAAACGAAACAAGAAGGGACACATACGCAACCGCACGATCGACAATCATCTTTCTCCATTGACCTTCGCCACCGACGAGCGAGATCAACTGCGTCAACCTTGCTCGCGACGCCTCGTCCACCTCTTGCTCCTTGTTCTCATACATCTCCAGCATGAGTACACTCAGATCCGTTCCGCTCCCAAGCTGTCCAGCTTTAAATAGCGCCGTCGCGCTCTCATACAAGACACTGATCGCCACGTCGTGCGCCCCCGCCTTGGAATACCGAGACGCAAACGTGCGGGCTTTCTGGTGCGCCTCGTATGCTTGCCCAGCGCTGATTTGTGGAAGGATGGCCGCGAGCGCCTTGTCTGCCGAAAGTGGTGGTGGCATTTGTGTTTGACTTGCCACTCTGAGACCATTCTTGCTATTCTCAATATAAACAACCTGTTTCATCTCGATTCATTCCTTGACAATTGCGTACATTCTCAACAAACTTTTATGCTCCCCCGGCGATAGAGGTAGCTACCGGCGTGGTAGGCACCGTAGTCGGCTGCAACACGGTGCTCCATGTCGCTTTAGTTGGATAAGCCGTCGTCACTGGCGTTGGTGAAGTGCTCCCATACACCGACGACGGGCCCGGAATCGTATAAATCTTGGATGACATCCACAACGTGTACAGGATTCCTGGATCACTTGCACCATACTGTTCAATGAATTTAGTATGCAAATGTAGCAAAGAAGACGGGAATACATACCGCGCCTGGAAGCTTGACTGTTGAAGGCGAACCCGTCCCAGACCCACCCACGGACAGCTGGAAGCAGGTCATGTAGAACCTATGATCATTAAAAACCAGCTAGCTGCATCAAGTAACCCACTCACTGTGCGCCTCCCACGCTAGATGCTACGTGTAATGCTGGCCATAGTTGTCAGAAGCCGCGAGCAAGAACAAGGAAGATAGTAACACACCGATCACTTCGGCTCTGAGTAAATAGTTTCCTGGCGCAACGTTGGGCACCGTGAAAGTATAATGCCCGCAGTTATCCTATGTGTTTGTTATTTCCATGGATACTGGACAGGAGAAACGTACGTTGAGAACTTGGGAGCCATAATAGTTTGGATTGTTCGACGCCAGTCCCATCTCTGACACCTTGAACCAGCCTGCAGACGATCCGACGGCCGTCTTGGCGTCGGACACTTTCGCCATGTAGATCTATAGCCATTTTAATCTTTAGCTCAAGTACTTATGTCGACGAAACGAAGGCGGAAAGGAGGCACCCACAATTACTGGTCTATGATCACGGATTCAAAGTATGAGACCGATGAATGCAAGTCAGCCCTAGTCAAATAAATGAAGCAAGGAAACAGACCCATAGTGTGCGCCTCCGATGGCCTCGTTGGCACAGGTTCGTTGGCCGGGCTGCTGGTGCATCTATAACATAGGTTATGCACGTGTGTAAGTAATCAAAAGAGTTTACCTCGACTGTGACTTTATCACCGGCTACGTAGATGTGTGAGCCTGTGGCTACTCGGAGAGTGGGGACTCACGCTTCACCGAACACAGTCCCGAACTCGAAGCGGCACCTGCGTTGCATGCAATGTCCTAAACCCACATTTTTCACTCTTATCCGAGGGCAAGCATTGAAAGGTAACTGACATTTGATGTCACGCTCGTCACTAGAACACCCCTCAGTAGTGAGCCCCGGTGGGACGACAGGCGCACCTGGATTGTTATTCTGTGGTAGGCGGACGCAGTAGGATCCCTGGTCAACTCCATTCACCCACAATTGCTTTGCAGACCAAGCAAGTCAGCGGTGTAGATCAGGGAGACTAGGTACTATGCTCGTACCTGGAACGTCGCGTGTCCAAAGACACCCGTTACGTATGTTGCACCAAGGACAAGGGCAATCGCAAGACGCATAGCGAGCTAGTCAAAGAGAGTAGCCTCTATCCTCACGGGATGACTATTGCCGACTAACTTATAACCCATCCACCCTATCTCCCGTTCCTCCTCCACTATGTTTACATTGAATTGTCGCTGACCGCATGATGTGCGGGAACGACGGAATCCGCATTTCTTCCATGGCTAGTGCGTCCGGTCGACCCAGGCAAAGAGGCCGACTAGCCTGAGCTCCATGTGCAAGAGCAGAAGAAACCATTAATCAGACACGATGCATGCAAAGGAATTCCGCAGTGAATGCGAGAAGGAGCGAAAAGGTTGATAGCTGGAGCGCGAACTTCCGAGTTACTGACGAGCGGGCCAGTCTTGACCGCGTTATGAATAGAGGCCCTCTTCGTTCTCCGACGGATAGTGCCTATATGCGGACTGAACCAGGTATGATCACAGAGGCCGGTCGTTAGGATCCGTCAAAACTCCTGAAATGTCTCGGCGAGAGCAAGACACCTCGTTGTTGAGCTCATCCAAAAGAGGTCGGCGCTATACTATACACATACCCATGCCAAGTAAATCCAGCGAGTCAGCTGATACTAATCTCTCATACGAGTGCTGGGTTACAGCTGCTTGTGAGACGTTGGTTTGATTTACAGCAGTGAAATGAATAAGATTGCTAAAAGATTCGCATTCTGGCATCGTCTAGCGCGGACGTTCTGGCGCTGATCACATTCTCGCTACTGTCGGGAATAAACCCTTATGCCCCTCCGGCGATAGAGGTCGATGCCGGGGTAGAGGGAACAGTTGACGGTTGGAGTGCCTTGTTCCAAGTTGCCGTCTTGGGATAAGGAGTCTTTGCCGGTGTCGCAGGGGACGTCCCATATGGAGTAGGTCCAGGGATCTGATACGTCGTCTGAGACAGCCATAGAGTATAGTGGATTCCAGGATCATTAGCTTTGTACTGTACGACTTGAGTGAGCAGACATAACAGAAAGAGTGGATGAAAACGTACTGCACCGGGGAACTTGACGGTGGGTGGGTTCCCTGTTCCAGAGCCACCAACATTGAGCTGATAGCAAGTCATATAGAATCTAGGGATGGGTTTGTGGGTCACTAGATGCTGGTATGTTGTATGCTTACTGTGCACCGCCGACGCTGTTCGCGACATGCAACGCTAGCGTAAGATAAGTTGGCAGCATCCAAACCCACAAGTACGCACCAATCACTTCGGCTCTCAGCAGATATTGCCCAGGGGAAATGTTGGGTACTGTGAATGTGTAGTGTCCGCAGTTATCCTATCATTGCTTCTATTCACTTCAGCTGTAGGAACAAGCGGACGACGGCGTACATTGAGAACCTGAACCGCCCAGTAGATTGGGTTACTCGACGCAAGACCCATTTCTGCTACCTTGAACCAGGCAGCGGAGGATCCAGCGGCGCTCTTGGCGTCAGAGACTTTGGCCATGTAGATCTTGTCGTCTATGAGGACATGGTTTTGTCGCAGAGAGAGTACCTACAATAACCGGCCTAGGAACAATCAGATGGGGAATGGGTGGAAGGGAGTGTGCTCACCCATAGTGAGCACCACCAATGGATTCGTTGGAGCAACTGCGTTGGCCTGGTTGTTGATGCATCTAACTTGGATCAGCGCGGGCAGCGTATAGACATCTCACTTACCTCAACAGTTACTTTATCTCCGGCTGCGAGCATGTCAGAATCATCAACCTGGGAGAAGAACACTGACGATTAACGGAGCAAAGTCCAGCAGCAGAGGACGCCCCGGCATTGCACGCAATATCCTATCAAGAACTCAGTAAATTCTTCGTGTAGAATCCCTTGATGACCTACGTTGGATGTAACGCTGCTCACTGGGTTGTTGTTCGCAGGGGTGCGAGCACAATAATTGCCTTGATCTACTCCATTGACCCACATCTGCTGAAATGTAGCATGTGCTACGACGCCAGCAACATTGGCCGCAGCGGTCAGGAGAACCAGAGGTAGCTTCATTCTGGGAACAAGGAAGGTGCCAAACTCTTCCTCTTGAAACGTCCCTATATAAGACTGTTGTCCGTTGACCACATGCATGTGCGTTGGCCCGGCAAATAAAGTAGGAAGTGGAGAGGTTTCCGCATTTCTTCCAGGGAGGATCAACAAGCTTTGTGGCAGAGTATCCGAGTAGCCTCTCGGGTCTACAGGAATCTTGTTTCGCCAGCGTGACGGATGCTAAGACGAACAGAAGGTGGGTTCGAAGAAGATGTGCCCCGAGTTATTGACGGGCGAGCCAGTCAAACAGATAGGCTTGCTGATCAGAAGTCACTGCCACATGTCGCGGGATATCTTCAAGAAGGCTTTCGTATGATAGACTTTGTTCAATTGATCGTGTTGGTCATTATCCAGCGAGATTATGATGCAGATTTGGCGACAGATGACCTTGTGTATCATATTTTGCCATGTCGACTAGCTGGCTCGACGAGGTCGGGGCCAACCTTGGTCTCCTCCAAGTCGACCGATATGCAGGCGGCGCGCAAAACTGCACCTAGCGTACCTCTGAAGAAAACAGTTGCCAGGAATTCATCAGCTCTGGGATCTTCGTCACCTCGCGTAGGAACTCCGACGCGCAGCAGTCCATTGGCAGCGAAACCATCTTTACCGGCGCCTAATGCGAGCCCTCCTTCCAAAAATCTCACTGGGCTAGCGAGAGAAAGCTCTCTGACTAAGCAAGTTCGTATTGATCAAACGGCGGTTCGCAGCATCCAAATTGACATTACAAAGGCAGATAGCGTCCTACAGCAATTGGAGGCGAGCTTACAAGACCAAACGGATGAAATAATGACAAAACGTACGTCTCTTGAGCATACCTATCTACACTTTGTCTAACATCTGTGTCACAGTGGAAGAAATGTCTGTACGGGTGACCTCACTGGACGACATAATTCAAGGCCTGATTCGAGACGACTTTGACGAGGATCCTTCCTCTACTCCGAGACCGACAACTGAGCGCATGCCGTCTCTGCCGACTCTCGACAATCAGAATCGTCCAAAGCCGCCCCGTCGGACATCGACCATGCGGATGACGCTCCCACTGGAGGCGGATTCGTCTCTTCTTTCCGAGCAGAGTCCCTTCGACACGGAAAACCCCCAATGACATGATTTTTCGATCGTGTTAACGAGCGCTCGTCCGGCCTCTGGCTTTCGAGCGCTCCTTGGGCACAAAACGCCCGCAGTTCTAGTTCTCCATGTGCGCCCAAACAATTCGCTATCTACAGCCTTCGATTCATGTTCCGGCCAGTAATAATCAGGAGGTAATTAAAACCAGTATCACGACGACGAATACCAGAATCACAAAGCTCGATCGGCGCGGATGTTCCATCGAACGTCGTCAGCATCCATGACTGACGCCAGCCTACCTCCGATATCGCGCATTTCGAAAATAGACAACAAGCCTTTTGAGCCATGCTTTCCTACCATAAATGCCTCGAATAATCGACGGATAGGCCAAGTTAATCCGTATCGATCGCCACGTTTTTACTGCGAATTATTTGCCTACTGCTGCAGTCTCCTGTGCGAGCTGCAGCCAGGACCGCGAGCATCGGCTGCGGGCGCAAGTACGGCATCGCATCGAATCAAGCCAAGTCGATTCAATGGCCAAACCGCCGACAACTCGTCAGCACACCCAAGACCAATTGAATGGACACCTGCGCTTTATAACGCGTCCATCAGAGGCCAGAGCTCCCACTAGACCTACCCTCCCCCACACTCCCATACATACTCAGATATGTTCCACCAAGAGCCTCTCAAGTGGGATGTCGTCGACTCGTACTGTGTCGAGCCAGTCCGCGTCGTAGTCGAGGACGAGGGTGTGTCGAACTGCTTGCCCGTCGTCAAATAGATCTAATCCAGTACAATAGGTGCAACCATCGTCCGTATGGCTTCAAGTGAGATTGTTGGCAACTACGTGTTCGACATGGCTCCTGCCCCAGCACATTCTCAACCTGCTGGTCCAGCCCGCAGGTCGTCTGGCTCGTCCTCAAAGCATCAACCATCTCCACCATCATCGCGACGTGGCAGCATACCCCAATCCTCGCGCACCCAAGACGGCTCACGAGCTCCTTTACGACACCAGAATGCGGACAGCCGAGCAGTGCCTCAAGATGGTGCTCCACAATTGCAGCGTACCACCTCACCCGAGGCTACTTTGCCTCCTTCCGATGCCGAACACTACACCCGCCACTCTGAAGGGCACACCCACGCGACGGGCGACCACGCGAGCACGAGTCATGTTAAATCCAACTCGCCAAAGCTCACGCGACTGTCATCCGCTCTCTCCTTCTTCCGTACAAACCGTCGTTCGTCGACACCCTCAACAGACTCGGACCACGAATCGCATTCGGGCACATCTGATGGCGAGTCAGACTCGAGTATGCGTTCCTGGACGAACCAGCTCCGCATTCGCTCGCGTGCTCCCCAGGCTGTCGCTCCACCACCTCGCCCGGCTTACAAGAAGTCGGACCTGAAGAAGGCACTCATCTTTGCGCGAGGTGAGATCGTCAAGCAGGTGGAAGCTTCCGGAAAGAATGCTCTGATAGTCGAAGGGTGGGTCTATTAACATTTCCGACAATCAAAGGCTTAGCGCTGACCGACTCTTTTTAGATGGGCCGTTACGGTGCTTCGACAAGGTTCTCGCTATCGACTTCAGATCGAATACACTGCCCGCCCAGCGGTCGTCAGCTATCCAGATCAGCCACGCCTCAGAAGGCCACCTTATCTCGAGGTCATTGACTCGTAATCACCCAGCACGCTCTATCTTATTTCCTCTGGCACTCATCAAGTTGTTTCACCATCACGTTATTTGTGTGTATGTAATCTTAATCAAATCTATGGGCTGTTTCCCTGGGTACATGCGCGTGAAACTTGCAAGATGGTACCTCGCATAACAGTGATCGTACAATATCCCTTCACACGCCACCAAGTTATTTTTGATGCGTTAGACTAATGTACCGTAAGCACCATCGGCTACAGGAGCTCCTGGGTCCCCAGGGGCCATGCCCTGACTTGTATCCACGTTCTGAAGGTGTAGACGGCCACCACTTCCACCCTGAAGGAGTCCAACAGCTTCGGCAACCAATGGTTTGTTTATGGCACCACCGGCGTTAGCGTTAACGCCCTCCAGCCATCGCCTAATCTGCGCACGTTCGCTCAGCAAACTCAGGCGCAGGGCCTCTACCCCTCGTCGCTCGTCCTCTAATGCTTCCTCCATTTCTTCAAACTGCGCCATTTTGAGCTCAAGCTTGCGAATCTGCGCACCAACGAGCTTGGTGAGCGATTCTCGGATTTGGTTGTCCGCCTCAGTTGCAAGGCTCGCGGCTGCAGATGCCGTATGTTGCATGGCGAGATGAGCTGTCCTGGATGTGGGTGCCATAGACAATGTCGACTTGAGCGTCCCCGAACCCTTGGCCTTTGATGCCCCATCACCCTCTTCGACTTCCATAGCTTCGTTTTTCACCTCGGAGCCCTCTGTCGCGCCAGAAACCTTGGCTTTTGCTGATTCTGCTCCCTTGACGCCAGCCAGAAATGCGGCGACACTCAATACCGGGTTGTCCACCTTGTCAAACGGTATCTTGCTGTATCTGAGCAAACCAAGGTCGCCCTCACTCTTGACACCGTTGACTCCGACTGCTTTTGAGGCGCCATTGGGACCAGAAGGTCCGTCGTCGTAGCCTTCCTCGATGGGCAGTTGGAGGAACTTGAGCACGCATGCCTCGCGAGACTTTGTGCCGACGTGCTCGGCGATGGACACCCAGTCGTCGTCATAAAGCTCGATTCCTTCCAACAGGAGCAGCGTTTCAGCATCGGACCAAGTTTCGGCTCCTGCTTTTTCCTCGACATCGGCCCCGGCAACACCATTGGTCGTCGTCGTCAGCTTGACAAAGTCACCAGAGAACATTGTCGATGGGAAGCGACCATCCAAATAGCATGGAGGACACAACTCGTAGTCGCGAATTTTGAGCGAATGGTATCTCTCGTTGGTGCAATCTACCCCGCAGGTATCGCAAGAGTAGTTGATTGCAGAAACGCCAGTGCTTTGCGCTGCAGACTTTTCCAGTGCCAAAGCTTCCGCCTCAGACACAGGTTTCGCCGACTTGTTTGTCGTTTGGTAAATTGACTTTTGGAAAGCGATAGATGGTGGCGCAGTGGGCTTTTGCGGCATGGTCGTTCCGGGTTTGGCAAGTTTCGTGCCAGGGTTGAGGGACTGTAGTCCTCGAGGGGTGTCTAGGATGACACGGAAGTGGCCTGTGAAGGGAGGGCCCAGTGCAGAAGGACGTCCCTCGGGGTCAACCTGGCCATGCTTAGCGCGTTTTTAACACATGTATAGATGTATTGACACGCACCTGGTAGTTGATCAGGCCCCACTGTTCCAAAAACGCGTGAACTCGCATCACAGCGCAGACGTCTCCAGCCAAATTGCGGCGGCAGGCAGTAATAGTGAGATATTCACTTGGTCTAAGTCGATACGTGTTGATCATAAAGTCACGATACTCCTTGTAGATGGCGGGCGTTTTGCTTCGATTTTTCGAGTTGAAGAATTCGGGCAGCGCTCGTTGCTCCAAAGGATGAATACTCGACATGGAGAACCATGCAGAGTATGAAGGGATAATGACCTCGTGCGTTTGTGCGGCGACGTACTTTCGAGCCTGTTGTTCAAGCCGGAGTCTGTTAGCTTCCTGCGTCGCTGGGTCTTCTTCTTCATCGTCATCGTCATCATCGTTGTTCTCCTGCTCCTCTTGATGTTCCTCATTCTCCGACGAGCGATCGTCTTCCTCCATTGCGACGTCGCCCTCCGCCGCGCCAGCGTTACGCTTGGTAATGTCCGTTGCAGTTGATGCCATTAGAGTTTCGTGTTGATTTAACAAAAGAGGCGCGCTTTTCGCGTTGTTTGGCTCGGAGGCAAATCTCTGGACGCGTCCAACTCGTCCTAACCGCTAACCACACGCTACCAATCCCAACAACAGAACCGAATTTGATTGGACAAGGTATCTCTTTCTACAAATCATCATACTTTCCGATTCGTTTCTCACTCGGACGACTTTTCATGATGCTCGCTTGCACCCTTCTCTGGCGTCTGGTCACCGAGCAGACCAATCCTTCTGTAGATAGCGTCTTGTCTCTCTTGGTCTTCCTTGGCGACACTCTCCGAACCGAAGATGGTGTCCATCTCCTCTATAGGCCCATTAGTATCGCGCCGTGCATTCAAAACCGGCTTACCGAGAGTGAGACGCGACGTCTCGGGGATCGTAAAGATGAACAATCCTCCGAGGAAGGAGAAGATTCCGAAGAAGATGAATGTGCCATAACGAACTGCGAGAGTCAGAAACGGCCCCAACTCGCCAGCGCTAACTTACTATGCTCCATCATGGGAGGAGTAACTACGAGAGGTTAGCATCTATGTAAATTTATTCTGTTTGATCTCACCTTGACCAACTGCCAATTCGTTAGAATGTCAGCAAACATTCACGTCGAGAATACGCACTGATAAAGTTGTTCATCTATTCGCCAAGGAGGTCAGAACGAACGCGAAGCGTTGTGAACAACATACCCAGTTCGAAGAAGCACCGATCGACACTCCCTTTGCCCGGACGGAGAGGGGCCAGATCTCGGAAACCTACCAAACGTCAGACTCGGGCATTCCAAGCCACCATTATACTCACAATGATCCAAGCGCAAGGTCCCCAGGAGTAACCAAACGCTACGCGGATTTAGCATTCAACCTTGGATATTACGAGATGCTTACCAATCGAAAAGATCCAAACAAAGACACAGGCAACCCAACCAGCAGCTAGATTCCGTCAGTATAGAGAGCATTACTTGGCGGTTTCCAGACCTTTGTGGCTGCGAGAGAGAGTGAGATAAGTCACAACCGGTCAAGTATTGCCTACCTTGGCCAAGAGTCTTGGAATTTAGAAGAAAGGATGCCGACGAGAATGTGGCAGAACGCCATAATGAAGGCACCACTAATCAAAACGGGACGACGGCCGAGCTGATCGACGTAGAGGACAGCCGGAATAGTTGCCAGGAACATCCTTAGAAATGTTAATCCCTGGAAACGATCACAAATAAACGCATAACTTACACAATACCGACGACTCCAGTGGCGAGCAGTGAGATAGTGTTGCCCTGTTCGCCCCTTAGTCATGCATACACTTTATAGAACAGTCTGCTCACAGTGAGACCGAGGTTTTGGAAGATCTGAGCGAGTGTCAGCCACTAAAATCGGCGCATGGGATTGTGCTTACAGTTGGTGCATAGTACAAAATGGCGTTGATACTGGATAAGTTTGTCAGAGTTTGCATGGTATCCGAAATGCGTATACTTGCCCAGTGAACTGTTGGAAGAACATTGTGACAGTAGCGACCATAACACGGCGACGAAGCGCTGGAGACCATCAGCGAGCGGATTGAGTATCCGAAGCGTATATACTCACTCGGAGTCTTTAATAGACTGAGATACTCGTGGAGTCCGAGTTTCATGTCCGAAGAGAATGAGCCATCTTGCCATTGGGGATACTTGGTCTCGGAGGTCTCCTTTTCGAACAAATATTGACCCTTGATCTCACTGTATGATGTGAGTCATGAGTAGTATAATGTATGGAAACTCACAGGAATTCAAGTCGGATGAGCTCCGACTCTGGCGCGAGATTACGGGTGTTGGACAAGACAGCAAGTGCCTCATCATCTCGACCTTGATTGACGAGCCATCTGGGCGAGAATGGAAGGAAGAGAGTACCGACACCGAGGACGAGTGCTGGAACAATTTGGAGGGCCAGGGGAAGCCGCCATGCAGCCTCGCTTTGGGTCGGGCCAGTTCCGCCAATATAGTTGGTTCCGTAATCGATCCAGAAAGAAATCAGGATACCGAAGACGATGGAAAGCTGTTGCAATGCGACCAAGCTTCCACGAATTTCAGGGGGAGCAAGTTCGGCGCTGGTGCCATGGTCAGAACTCCACTTCATACCAGGGAAGGATACTCACTTGTACAGAGGCACAATCATACTGAGGGAACCAACGCCCAGACCGACAACGAACCGACCTAACGGGTGCTATTCTCAGAATGTCATCACACTTGGCAAAACTTTCTCACCCCCGTAAATAGCTGGTGGTCCCTGTGCTGTGACCTGAACGATGGCGCCAATGATGAAGACGACGACAGCTGTATGTACCATTCAGTCACGGCACGGTGGGCCGGCTCCTGCCTTACCTAGGATGATTGTATATCGGCGGGACAGCTTATCCGCGAGATACCCCGTCACGAGAGTCCCGAGCCATGCACCTGAAGGGAGACCCCGTCAGAGGGACACCGAGGCGTCGAGAATTTCAGCTGGTACTGACCCACTGCAACCGACTGATGAGTATGATGCTCATGAACGCATGATCGAAATACTCACATTCGAGAATGGCGACGAGCCACCCTTTTTTGCCGGCATCACTTACTGCCGAACTCATTCTCTGATCAAACGAGTACATTCTGAGGGCGGCGAACAAGCGGGACGGCGAGCCGGTGAGCAGTGAGACAGATGGTGGTTAGTCAGAGTGTGCCTGGAGCATATGACCTACGCAAGGACGGAGGAGAACACTCCTTGATTGTAGCCTATCGTACTGGTCAGTTTAACTCGAGCGTCCTTAGCGAAACGTGCCGTAGAGCCTAGCAGCGAGGTAAGCATCTAGAATGAACAGAGATCGCGCACACGTACAGTCCTCCCATTGAAGCAAAGACAGTAAGCCCAAAGACTTTCTTGTTCTGCATCAAGCCGGCCTACCAGTCGACGGTAAGCCACACGAACAACTGACGAGCCACAATGGACATACAATGCCAGACTTGCCGCCAAGCTGTTTGCGCTTCTCAGCAGCATAAGATCCAGCGCCAGCTACAGGTGCCATGGTCGGATCCTGGGTCCCAGAGGAAGGAGGAGGAAGGGGGGTGTTTCGACTCTCGATACCTTTTTATGCTGGACCCCGGGAACGACCATCAAGAATTCCAGAACCACGTCTAGAGTTGAGTTGCGAACTTTACGGCGTAGATGTATGAGGCTCATTCAGACGCACTCAACGGGCAGGTCATGGTGTTTACTCATGGGTTCTGAAATAGCACCTTCGAATTAAGAAGCCCGAAGTGTTCGACCACATGTGAATCCATTAATGCGGGGCATTATTTACACGCGGAGAAATAGCGGCTTACGTGCATCGCACCCTGGAGGCCTACAGCTCTCCTCGCCTTTTCTTCTTCTTTTTCGCCGCCGAGAGTTCTTTTGATAAGGCTCTCATCTCGCGTTTCAGTTCGCCGATACGCGCTTCGAGCAATTTCACATCAAGGTCGTCGAGCCATTCCTCCAGAATGGCGTTAAACTCTTTCGGCTTCTCCAAATGGGGCCAATGTGCCGTCTGCAGTACTCGCTTTGTAAGATAGGGCAGGTATGTATGTGATCCGGCCACGAGCGCCACGAGGGGCCAATCAGCCACGGGGTCGTTTATTGGATAGACGGCGAGAACCGGGAGGGGGATCGTGAAGTTGCCTTGATTATGCGCAAACTCCCAGTTTTTGTATTTGTTCTCGTGAGTATAGAATTGAAGTGCTGTTTAAATATAGAGTCAGCGGACCAAGACTGACCAAGCCAACACCAACTCACTGTGATCGAATCCTTGCTTCTGGTATTGCTCGACGTAATAGTCTTCCTGATCCGGTGTGAAAAAGGGAACAGGTGGGATTTCTTCTAGGTGATTGTACGCCTTTAAGAAGCTCGTCTTACTTCGAAGAAAGCGGTAGGGCGATGGAGATGCGAGGCTTCGTAGTGCTGCACGAATAGTTCTTCGAACGTCTTTATTCAGTTCAGCAATGGCTTTCTCCGTCTCGGACATGAAGTAGAGGTTGTAGGTGAGCTTCGGAAGGGCTGCTATCAGGGCTTCTATGGACAGCATCTTCGGAGCTGCAGCCGGAAGGTACTGTAAAGACGTCAGACCAAGTATGTGGATCACAATGCACATTACCGGTAGAGATGCCCCGACTACACCTTCGAAAAGGTCAGGACGCATTCTTGCAGCCTCGTGACAAATGGGCGATCCCCAATCATGCCCGATACAAACTGCCTTGCTAACACCTGCATCTTGTAGTATACAAATGAGATCTCCAACAATATCGCTGAAGGTTCCCGAGCTGGCATCGTGTCAACCGAATCCCCGAACGCTTGGCGTTTAAACATACGCTTGTACATCTCCTGGATGTATCGAGTCTCCAAAACCACGCAGGTCTGGTACGAGAAGATGGTACTTATCCGAGAAATGCATTATCTGGTTCGACCACACCGACCAGAGTCCAGGCCAACCGTGGACCATTAATAGTGTCCTATTTGCCGTGGGGTTGATATCTACATAGCCTTTTAAATGTAAATATCCTGTTAGTACGGAAATCGGGATCAAGCGTACTCATGTTGATTGTAGTTTCTTCTGGTTCCCCCAAACCTCCTTTCCGATGGACAGTGGGGCATTCAACATGCTTTTTCTCGTATGCTCTCGGATTAAACCCTTCGGCTGCGAGTACTGTAGTCCCAAGCCATAATGCGACTAGCAGTCTCAGCGCCATGTTTGGTGGAAGTATCCAAGAGGGCTCGATGCCGGTAAACCACGTAAGCGCGCCGACTCGACTCACAAAGAATGAGATTTGAAAGAAATTTCGTGATTACGATTCGTATAACGCTCAAATATACAAGAAGTTATTCATAATACAAGAGGAGGTTCAGACTTCGACAGCTCCATCGATCAGATACATGATGCCATTAGATGCCTATCAATTGTTAATTCCAATGAATAGGAATTTGTGAACTAGGGACGTACCTTGCGCTCAGCGAGAATAGCATGATCGTCTACCTTCCAATTGGTCCATTCTGGAGATTTGGATGTCTTGAGATGGGTAAATGTGAGAGATTTCCCGTCCAAGAGAGTCTGGTGAACTCCTTGGGCACCGTCCTTGAGCTCCACAGCAGCCTATCGGCGCGTCAAGCCGTATTAACAGTGGAGAAGACATGCGTACCGGAATAATGTGCGCAGATATCCATCGTTGCACTTTCTCTGCGGATCTTCGGTCTGCCTCTTCGTCTGTAATCTCTACGTCGTCATTTGAGTTCAACTGGTGTCTTTACAAGAGATCAAGATGAGCTTATCATTCCATGTAGTCATGTTTATACGTACGGTTTTCGCGACAAAGCCATGATCGCCTTGTTTGTAGGCACCAACACCGTATACTGATTTCCGCCGTATTCTCCAAGACCTGAGAGTGCACCACTTGCTACAGCAGACTCTCGGGCATATGAGAAGAAGATCGAGGCCTGTGACTCTAACGCGAGCATATCGGAAGCACTGGGCCCCGAATAAAGTCGTCTGCCGGGCTGGGCTCCATCAGGACCTGGTCGTTGTGGTCGAGAACAACTTGAGGAACAACGAGTTGTGCTGCTACAGTGGCAAAAAGGGCGCCAAAGCTCACTAATCGGTTGAACAGCATGTCACGGCAAGCTCCAAGAGTCAGACGGCACCTTGGACCACGAACACGACAAGACCAAAGTAGATAGGGGCCATTTAGGGCTATGATATAGACATTTGAGCCATTTCATCTTGTGACATTGGCGACAAGACGAGTCCCGTGCACGTAGGAACGCTTGCTCGGTCCGCGATAATGGGTTCGATATTGAAAGCGGAAGAACAGGAAGCACGGTCCGGGTTAAACGTTTGCAAAATGCTATGGTAGATACCCCAGACCCCTTGATGTTCGCTCTTCCATCGTCAGAAGCAGAGCAGCGTTAGGCGAGGAGGTGACGAGACTCTCATGCTATAATTGCGCAACTGAATGCATATAGAGCGCGTGTTTCTGTCTTGTCTATTTGTCTGACAGGTCCTCATCAAGCTTGAAACCGCGCTGGGGACTCGAAATTCTCCGCGTCGACCCCGGAGTCCTACCGTAGTACGCCGGATGATATATAAGACGGGACCTTCGAGAATGCATCTTTTCATCTCAACACGGTGATCCTCAACGTTTGAAAGGTTGAAAAGCGCAATCATTATGGTCCAGCTCTCCTTTTTGTCGCTCGTTCTCGCGGCCACCTCGGCCGTCGCTCTCGAGCTCTTCGTCCCCGAACCATGCACGTTCACGGCTACACCAACGCCGACGACTTCGATCCCCGTCGGCAAGCGCGATCCAAAGGGGCTCGATGCCCTCGCCCAGCGCAAGAGGCGTTACTTTGGTGTAGCGTTTGACGTGAACCGCATGAGCGACGCTGCATATACCCAGCTCATTCTCGCTCAGGTGTGTCCTACCGTCTTTGATTATGGTATTGCTGACATTGCATAGTTTGGTCAAATGTTCGTGTTCGGCTCATGCGAGGAATTTCGATGTTAACAAACTGTAGAACCGCCGAGAATTCGCTCAAATGGGAGACTACTGTGCGTTGGGATCACATTCCTATAAGGTTTTCTGACATCGGATCCAGGAGCCTTCGAGGGGCGTCTTCAACTTTACCAACGGTGATATTGTTGTCAAGACGGCCCAGAGGAACAAAATGTAAGTTCAATGCAGTGATTGAGTCAGCTTCCTGACTGTGATCAGGTCTTGTCAGTCGATTGCCCCTCGTTTGTGTCAGTATCTGACACATTCAACTTACAGTCCGAGCCCACACACTCGTCTGGCACTCGTAAGGAACACCTTTGCCCTTCAGACTTTGTCTAACGGCTATTGGTAGGCAGCTGCCGTCATGGGTCGGAAACGGCAACTTTACCAAAAAAGAGCTCATCTCCGTGATGAAGAACCACATTAACAACGTTGCCGGTCATTACCGTGGAGTCCCATATGCCTGGGATGTCGTCAACGAGGCCTTCAATGTATGTTCCCTTGCTATGGAATCGTCAAAGGCTAGTGCTAAGATTGCGTCCAGGAAGATGGTTCGTTCAGGCAAACAGTCTTCTACTCCACCATTGGTGAAGAGTACATTGATATTGCCTTCAAGCAAGCGCGTCTCGTCGACCCAAAGGCCTTGCTGGCTATCAACGGTGTGTTGGTTGACTCTGCTATGGATATCGTCTGACCCAGATCCTTAGATTACAATATGTAGGTCTTGAATCTATATGAGCGCTCTACGACTGATGTTTCTTTAGCGACGGCCAGGGACCAAAATCAACGGCAGTGATCAACCTCGTTAAGAATGCTCGCGTACGTTAATGTCGTACTATCCAGGCTGTTTCTCACAAACGACTAGAAACGAGGCGTTCCAATTGACCAGATTGGCGCTCAAGCTCACTTGGTCGTTGGCACTCTCCCAACCACCATTCGCGAGAACTGGCAAGCTATGGCCAACCTTGGCGTCTGGGTTGCGTACGTACCCTCCCATATACATTTACACATCATAATCTAAACTCTATAAACAGCGTTACCGAGCTCGACATCCGCATGCCCACGCCCGCCAACGCTACCTCGCTCGCACAGCAGGCTGCTGATTACAAGACGGTCGTCAATGCATGCCTTGCTGTCAGCCGCTGCGTCGGTGTCACCGTTTGGGGTGCTAGTGACAAATACTCTTGGGTCCCAGAGGTCTTTTCGGGTGAAGGTGCACCCCTTCCTTACGACGACAACTTGGCTCCAAAGCCTGCGTACAACGCCATTGTTCAAGCGCTCAAGGCATAAAAGGATTGGACAGTTTGTTCTGTGTAACGACTCGCCCTATACATGTTCAATGACTGCATCTTGTTCATCAGAGGAAATAAGGGTCTAGAAGCAAGGATCGTAAATAGATGTTATGTCAGGTTGATATGGAAGTGAAATGCTGTCCTCGCCACTCTTCTGGGTCATTATGCTCTGATGCTGTCTAGCTTTCTCTTCCTTCGAGCTATGGCGACGTACTGTGGCTCAAAAGCTTGGCTCAAATTGAATACAAAGTAGTTTGCCTCGTTTCGCCGACTCAGGACGAGTCGCCGTCCGAGCCGGACGTACGCGGACAAGAGCTCAAGCCGGAACGCCGACAAGAACCAAAGCCGCGGACCCTCTGTTTCAGTACGGCCTGGGGCAGATTCTGAATTGAATGGCACCTCCATCAGAAATAACAATGCAAACCATCCAGACTTTTGTAGTTGAGAGTCGTTGCCGAGACCAACAGACACCAATGGCCGGGTGTCCACATGCTCTGGGAGCGTCACTAACTCCGAAGAGGACGGAGGAAATAAAAGGAACCAGTGCGAGTGATCAGACGATTTCTTCTACCTCCCCTCTCCCTCCCTGGCTCTAGCTTGTCACCGCCCGACTTACAGACCGCTCATTTGCCAACTATGCCTGCCGTTCCTTATAACCCAACACGCGCTCGCGACGCACGCCCAGTATCTTCAGGGAGTTCTCTCTTCGCAGCTGCCCTCAAGGCTACTGCTACCATGGGTCTCCTGTCCATGCTCCCCCTCGCACTCGCAGCGACGACTGGTACCAATCCGACGCTCAAGTCCTGCCTAAACAACGTCTTTGCCAGTAACAAGGGAGCAGTATCCTATCCTACGGACCTCTTCTATCAATTGTGAGTCGTTTCATACCCTCTCGGGAAGCCCCACTGAGGAATTCAAAGAACCGCTGTTAAGCCGTATAACACCGACATCAAAGTTACCCCGGCGGCTGTCACGCGTCCAACCACTACTGACGAGGTCTCTCGCGTCGTTCAGTGTGCAGCAGCCGCCGGCCTCAAGGTCCAGCCTCGTAGCGGTGGTCACAGCTATGGGAATTATTGCATTGGTAAGTACCACAGTTCTCACTTCTTCCTCTCATGGCTGAATTTGCTTCCTATTCTTAGGAGGAGAGGATGGAGCCGTCGTTGTCGACCTCGTAAACTTTCAAAAGTTTTCCATGGACACCAATACCTGGTTTGCCACGTTTGGATCCGGCACTCTCTTGGGTGATTTGACAGACCGGCTGTTCAAGAATGGCGGTCGCGCTATTGCACATGGGACTTGTCCTCAGGTCAGCCATCTTTCCCACCCTTCGGTCGTCAACCAACATGATGCTAACATTGATGCTTACAGGTCGGTTCTGGTGGTATGTATTCATTTGGATCTCACGGGCATCACTTGACGTTGGGCTCAAGGACATTTGACCATTGGTGGCCTTGGTCCCCTTTCAAGGCAATATGGCGCCGCTCTTGACCACGTCGAAGAGGTCGAAGTCGTATTGGCCAATGGCACAATTACACGCGCGAGCAACACTCAAAACACGGATCTCTTCTTCGTGAGTTCATTCACATGGTAGTCCTCAGTCTTGACGAAAACTATAGGCAATGAAAGGAGCTGCCGCCTCCTTTGGAATCATCACCGAATTTGTCGTCCACACCGAGCCTGCACCTGCAGATACCACCGTCTTTGCCTACCACATTCAAACCGGAAAGAAGAGCTCGTTTGCCAACACCTTTGCCGCCTGGCAAGACATCATTTCGGATCCCAATCTGGACCGCAAGTTTTCTACCGAGGTCGTCATTACTGAGCTGGGCATGATCATCTCCGGAACGTACTTTGGAACAAAGGAGGAGTACAAGGCGCTCAACTTTGAGCAGCGACTGGCACAGAATGCTACTGTGTCCGTGACTACGCTTGATAACTGGCTCGGAACTGTCACAAACTGGGCTGAAAACGAGGCGCTGAAGCTCATTGGTGGTATCGTGAGTTTTGTTTTTGTTGACTAGCTGCCCCACATGGCTGACAGACGACTACAGTCGGGTCCATTCTACTCCAAGAGTCTCAACTTTAAGAAAGATACCCTCATTCCTTTCAATGGTATCCAAAATTTGTTCAACTATCTCGAGACTGCGAACAAGGGGACCCCTGCGTGGTTTGTCATCTTCGACCTGGAGGGTGGAAAGATCAACGATGTTCCTACGGATCAGACCGCCTACGCTCACCGTGACACTCTTGTAAGTCTTCCTGTCAGTCTTCGGCGCTCTGAGCTAACCCCCTCCGCCAGTTCTACGTTCAAACCTATGCCGTAGGAATACTCAAACTCTCCGACACAACCAAAAATTTCATCAACGGAATCAACAAAGTCATCCAAGACGCGATGCCCAATGTAAACTTTGGCGCGTATGCCGGCTACGTCGAGTAAGTTTCAATATCTTTGCTCCTAATCTCATCAGTACTCATTGCATCTCAGTCCACAGTTGCCCAACGCCCAACAAGCATATTGGCAATCCAACTTGCCCCGCCTTGAACAGGTCAAGCGAAAGTACGATCCGACGGACGTCTTCCACAACCCCCAAAGCGTCCGTCCGGCGTCCTCGTAAGAACCGAGATGTCCTCCATCGTACATATATCCATACAAGTGGGCGGCGTGAATCGCGCCTTGCTTTGCATCATACGCTACTCTTGCAATACTCACGACACTTACGTTGTTCAGTCCATTTCTATTGCTGGTTTATTATGGTTATATCCATCATTCGCACAATAAAGGTGTGACTTCTTCGCTTCATATCAATCTAAACATACCATGCTCTACAATGGCACTACAATGCGCACGCTTGGTGCCCTTTCTGATGCAGCATCGCTGCCAGAATCAGAATAAAGTGGAGCTACATTTCCCTGAGAGTGCACTGGCTCAGCTCGGCCAAGAACAGCAGGCGAGCCTCACTGTCGGTTCCAAGTCCACTCAAAGTGACCCCGGGAAGGTTCTGCAAGTCGATCAAAGCAGCTTAGAACCGTTCCAAGTCTTGACTAAGAGATCCACGGCGCTGCATAATCTCGGGATCCTCCTGAAGGAACGCAGTGCAGCGTTCCCGAACACCATCTCCTCCGAGCGAGAGCCCCGTGAATAATGCATCGTTGAGAGTGCGTTCAAAGCCTTTGAAGAGACGATAGTCGATGATAAGAGGGGTGTAATCGACAAAGCGTCGATAGTCGACTACAAAACCTAAGTTATGATCCAATCTGGTAGAGAATAAACATACCTTCATAGTATGCGCGCATCTCTGCCATTATTTCGATGGCATCCTCAGCTTCGTCTGTCGGGAGCGAGCGAAGCAGCGAGTGCTGCGTCACATTCGAAATTCCCATAGCTTGCAGATTGCGCACCGCATCTCCCATGATTGTTGTGTTCTGGAATTCGCCATTGACGAGCTTCTGAAGCCTGTTGTCGTGCTTACGATGGCGTTGACGCTCAGCCTTGTAGGTGGCGAGCAGCTCTTCCTTGAGCTCGGAGAGGCGATCTTCGTTGTTTGTGGATGGCTCTTCCTCTCGAGTGCGAAACATTCGTCCATTTTCTGGATTGTACTTGTGGCACAGACACTGAGTTGAGCGAGCACCAAGCGCCTGATCGCGGTCAGGCAATGAATCAGAAGAAACATGCACTCACAGCACCTCTTTGTCGAATTGACCAGCACCAAACTGCGAGAAGTGGCTTTCGACGAGAATCTTGAGCTCTCTCATGAATTGCTGCTGCATCCTGTTGAACAGTGCGCGGGCTGGAATGAGCCAATCCTCCGTGAAACGATAAACATAATTCTTCTTGACGGCTAAACGTGCATTAGGCTCACTTAAAAGCAAAATAAAGGCGTGGGCCGTCGTACCATATGGGTAGTTGCCAGGAAGTTCTCGGGTGATGGCACTGACAAGTGGTGAGTCGTGGATTTAGGCAAGAGCTCTGTCACTTACTCGCGCGCCATCTTGATAACTTCATCCAGATCAACCGTCGTCTTTGAATGCCCGCCGGGAGTCTCGACCATACTCCCAGAGTATGGGAGAAATTTAGGAGCCTGGTGCTCAATCGCCTCTTTGAAAGCTTTTCTTCCCTTCCGGAAGCTCTGAAGGAGGCCAGACGAACCATCCTCAGGTCGACCGACGAGGAGTAACGTAACCTCCTTTTGGAATGCAGCCAGGAGCTTCCAGACAATACCGACCGGATCGCCTTCAGGTTTTGCGGGAAGCTCTGCGAACGCTTTCTGAGTGGCGCAAAGTTCTTTCTCTTCTTCAAGTAGGAGCCCTGGTAACCTGTGCGCTCAGTCAGCGTAGAAACCTCTACTATCATATCCTACCTTTGACAGATTAGTTCAAAGAGGATCGATCCCAGGTTTTGAGTCAGAACCTTGAGAGCCAACTACGGCAATTTGTGGGATGTCCATTTGATGCGACTGCAAGCTATACGAAGAGTCAGCATCAGGAGAAGAAGTTCCTTGTGCATACCCATAGCTATGTAAGCGGTTCACAATATCAAAGACGTGTCATCTATGGCGATACTGGGAACTTTGGGGATCAGAGAGACCTCCAGTAAAAGCATCGTCGCTGGTGAAAGACAAGATGAACATATCTTTAGGATGTCTGGGGCACAAGCAGTCAACTTCGGCTTGCTTATATGGCATCTTGGGGACATTGCTTGCAGAAGTAAGTCTTTTGGTGGGTGATTCACGACTGAGGACACTTCGCCTTAAGACCATGTGACTAAATGGAGCCTGATCAGAGTCGTTCCATCTTCCGAAGTTCTGTGGGGTTCAGTGGTCCACGAAGTCTGCCAAATCCAACCGGCGTCAATTAGTCCATTGCCACGCTCCTCAGTCAATCCCTGGAAAGATTCGCAAGTGTATCTATTTGAGGAGAACAAAGGGGTTTGACAAGGACTTGCACTCTACAAGACAAGGAATTAGATTCACAAAAACAGAAACAAGAGAAGGATAGCTCGCCTGAGAGCATAGTAACAAAGCGCTCTCACAATTATTCTTCGTAATCACTACTAGCGGCACTTGGATTGACATACGGGATCTCTTGACGCCTGGAGGAAGTGGGTGCCCGTACCACCGAGACAGATCCGGAAGGTGGGCGATCAGGATCATCTACAATGCTGGAGCTATTGCCATCATCTTCTTCATCATCATTGATATAGCTGTGACCCCCACCAGTCAGGGAGACTCCGGGTATGTTCTGCAAGTCACTGAAGGCATTTTCGAACCGCTCGAGATCCTGGTCCAACGAAGCCCGTCGGCGAGTGACTTCAGGATCCTCTTGAATAAACGCTTGGCAGCGCTGGCGTGCTCCATCGCCACTGAGCGACAAGCCGCTGAAGAGTACATCATCAAGAGACTCGGCGAAGGCCTTGAATAGATGCGAGTCGATGGTGAGCGAAATATTGTCGATGAAGCGTCGGTAGGCGACTGTCCGAGATTGAGTTAGGCTCAACCGAATAGGAGTGCTCGCACCTTCGTAGTAAGCCGACACCTCGGCCATGATTAACAGCGCATCCTCAGCTTCGTCTTCGGGAAGGAGACGGAGAAGCTCGACATGAGATACCTTTTGGAACCCCATGGCCTGTAGATTCTGCACAGCAGATTGCATGTAGGGGCTATTCTGGAATTCGCCTTTGAGAAACTTTTGAATTTCGCCGTCGTCGTATTTATGATTGCGGCGAATGGCCTTGTAATTCGAGAGGTAATGAGATCTTCGCTGGATGAACCTGTCTTCATTGGCGGTCAATGGTTCTGCTCTTTCGAGAGAAAAGCACTCTTCCATCTTCTGGATAGTGTTCTTTTCACATCTACTAAGCTGAGTAATGACATGGCGTCTAAAACAGTTATACACCGACCAAGGTTAGCAAGGAAGAGACTCACAAAACCTCGTTACTGAATTCACCAGCTGAGAACTGCGAGAATTGTTTTTCAACAGATGCCTTGATGTCTGCCGTGAGCTGCCGGAAGATCGTTCTAAAGAACGAACGAGCTGGATGGATCCAGTCGGCAGTGAAGCGCAGGATAAGATCTTTTTTGACATCTGAGGGCGGATTTAGGTGATGCAACTTGGCATAACGTACACCTCACCATATGGATAGTTACCAGGTAACTCGCGAGTAACAGCGCTGCAATAATAAAAATTAAGATCAAAGCAATAGGAAGGTGTGATCTCATCACTTGCCTTTGCGAGAGTTCGATTATATCGTCAAGGTCGATAACCGCCTTGGTGCGTGAAAGCGACGCACTGATCGCATTCTTATGATAAGGCCAGAATTGTGGAGCCTGACTCTTGATGGCGATTCTGAATATTTTTTTCCCTTTGCGGAAGCTTTGGAGCAACCCATCTGCGCCATCCACAGCGCGGCCAGCGATCAGTTGGGAGACATTGTTTTGGAACGTTGTGATAAGCTTCCAAACAATTCCGACAGGATCGCCTTTGGGCGTTTTGGGAAGGTCGGTTATGGTTCCTCGAGTTATTGTAACCTTCTTTTCCAACTCCTGGACGAGGCCGGGAAGTCTGTTCTTTGGAGTTAGCGAGAGAAAGAGAGATGATCACGGTGTACCTCTGCCCAATGAGTTCGAAGAGTATACTACCAAGGTTCTGTGTCAAGAATTTGGTCCCAAGGCGTGACCTGATAGACTCTTCCAATGTCGACCACGGTTGTTTGTTAAAGTAATCGATTTCGTTCTGACGCGCCTCTGCCCAACTGATGCCTTGATTCAGTTGTTCCTGGTCTGACTGCTTGACGCAGTGCCACCCATGACGATAACGCTCAGTTTGGTTTTCCAACAAGCGCAGCCATGTGTCGTGCTCGCCATTACCAATACGGTCGGGCTTCGTGAGGACAGCTGTATTGATATTAGGTCTAGATTGATACCCTTCGAGCGAGACTTACGGATTGTACGTCTCCCATTCGCATCCAATTTCTTGGCAAGCGAACGAGCACCTTGGTTTTCCAAGTCGGCTACGGAGTGCTTGTCAATCAATGTGCCAAGCCAGCAAACGACACGTACTTTCGCAGGATATCACGAGTAGAATGAGACAACTCGGACGTTTGATAAAGCTGGTGACGAGATCCCTGACCTCCTGGATATCTGCCTCCCGTCCTCCTTCTCTGACAGATGCGATAACCCCTGCAGGATGTCAGGTAGTTCCACTCAATCTCCCGAAAGACACACCTGGAAGGTCAACAAACGACAGATCATCCACGTCCCGACCACGAATGTGGACCGAAATTAAATCCGTCGAAAACGAGAGCTCGTTGCGGTCAGCTTGAGCGACAGTCGGCTGGAGAAAACTGATTGTTGGTTGCGTTGGATTAAGAATTGCGAGCTGAGCACGGCGGATTCTTTCTTGAACGTCCGCCTTGTTGGTAATCGGATTCCCGAACTGAATGTCCCGAGCGTTGCGAGCAAAGCGGAGATAAACTTCACAGGACCAAGGGGCATCTGTGCGAGAAAGGCGACACTCGATAGGGCATCTGGTCTTGTCATCAGCTTGGTACGAAACCTAACACAGAATGATAAGACCTTGTGCAGGTACCGCTTGCCCTTGGAAGGGTAATCTACGATGGTTCAGCGGCCAATCTAAGGCAATAGAGTGGACTTACACCAGAGATGGATTCGATTAGCGAGCTCTTCCCGACAGACTGCGAGCCGACGACTGCAATTTGAGGTATGTCCATTTGGTGGTGTAACCTACGACCGTTGAAGAACGTCAATGCCCCACGGAGAAACATACCCGTAAGAATGCAAGCGATTGACGATATCGAAGACATGTCGTCTATGCTTGAACTGCGGACTATGTGGATCAGAGAGCCCGCCGGCAAAGTGATCAACAACGTTGGGGGGAAAGGTCGACATTGCGCTTGATACGTTGGTTGAAGCTCGGTCATCGATTATTTAGTGCTTATATGCCTTTTCCCGTAGTCAGCCGCTGAGACTTGCAAAGGCAGAGACTGGTAGCCGAAGATGCTTCCTAGCGAATTGCAGCAGGACTTTCAGATTGTTTCTAATATCTTGCGGCTTCTTATGGCTGTTCTTGATGCTTCCTTCGACGATTTATTGGTCGCAAGCTCCTGAGGCTGCAAAAGCTATGGGTCAGTCTCGCATACGATTCGATAGGTCACGGAACATGAAATATAGAAGTTCAGATTGCGATATGAGGAAGAAATGCAGATTCGATTAGCACGTCAACACGTCCTTCCATATATTGCTCTACACGATAATGAGAAGACCGGTTGTCGGCCAAGCAAGTGAACGTGCCTATTACAATACTACGAAGCAGTTTACGCCCACAGTTCCTCTTTTGTCGAGATGCCTGGCAAAGATCGAATCAGCCGCGGTCTCGACCGGAAAAGTTGAAAACGTACCGAGCTCGTCTCTGACGGGCTTGAGCTCTTTGAGGTATTCTTCGTACTGCCCATTGTTCTCCACCTTTTGCCGAATACCCTCAAAAATTCTGACGGCAGTGGAAAAGTCGTTGACCCGTCGAGCAGCGCGCAATGCGGCTTCGATAACTTTGGGGGCTGGCACCAAATCGTAGGCAAAAGCGTTGTTGAGGCCACGCTGAAGCTCGAAAATGTCCTGGACACCACCGAAAAAGGCAACGTAGCGGTCTGTAAACTGCTCAAACGTCTCTTCTGCGTGCGCCGATGACAGACGGGTTTGTAGCACGGCAGTTGGGAACGGCTTGAGGATACGCTGGGCTCTAGGAGCACGCAAAAGAGGTCTGGCGGATGCTTGGAATCGTGCTCGCAGCATTTCTAGTGGCCAAGTGGTGATGGTCGAGTCCAAGTCTGGTTGGCCCGGTCTCGACTCTTTTCTGCCACCGTGATTTCGGTCGAGGCGCTGGAGATTTACATAAATACTGCTCTTTTATTCCCACTTTGCTAATAGGAGGCCATTTGGAGAATTTCACTTGCAGCGTAAATGACAAGGAGAGCTCTGATTAGGTTTATAGATAGTAGAAAATGACATTTGAAAAGTTTAGCGACCTCTTGGAAGATGGGCACCTTGCGTCTCCATTCCCTTGAGCAGCAAGCCCGTCGGAGTTCCATCATACTGTGTCTCTTTCATCCAAGCTTCGAGTGTTCTCAGTCCAGGGTGAATCTTGCGTAGCTTTTCCATGTCCCTCGTGGCGATATTGTCCTTCCAACCATTAAAGGCCCCTGTAAAGTTTTGACGAAACGTCAACTTGGGACGCATCAGTAAAAGCCCTGACCATTACAACGTAATTACTTACCCCTTCTGGAGCTTCCTTTGCTACTGGCTGATTGCCACCTCCCATGCGGCCAAAGTATGAATCAAAGTCGACATCTTCGTATCGGCCACGCTTGCCGGTGACCCTTTCAAATGTCTCCACGAGTTCTTTCCACGTCGTCATGTGCGAAGCCACCTCGAGATCGACTCCAGAGTTCTCTTCCGGATGGTCGAAGATCCAGCGAGCAAAGTAGCCAAAGTCGGAAAGTGCGATAAGGGGCACTGCGCCTTCTCCAAGAGGGTGGCTCCACAGGAACGCCCCATCTTCTTGAAGACGAGGAATAAAGAGCTGCGAATCCAGTCAGGTCCAATGTCAGAGCCAAGAGAGACCACGAACTGCTCCAGATAGCATCTCCGTATATGGGCCAGAGGTGATGACGCTCCACACCATACCATCACTCGGCGACTTTGCTGAGGGCTGAGCCTTGAGAAAGTCGGCGATTCGACCCTTTGCATCGTAATGTCCACAACGGTACTTGGGATCAAAGTTTCCTTTCTGATGGGAGAGAGTTGGTCAATTCTCCTCATGAGTGGACGGACAAACCTTTGAGAAATAATCAAGGCTGCTCCAGACGTAATGTTTGACTCCCTGCTGTTTGGCTAGTTCATAGATTCTGAGCCCGGCATATATCTCCTCTTTTTCCCCTATCGTGAAACCGTCGATGTTGACAAACGCTCCATAGACACCTTGCAGGGCGACGGCAACGGAGCCAAGGTCTTTGACAGAGCCTGAAGCATATCAATACCAGAATTATGCGCGTGGGGGGAAAGAATACCTTGAACCAGCTCACAACCCAGGTCCCGGAGCATTTGAGCGCGATAGTTGTCGGGGTCTCTCGTCAGGACGCGTATGGCATAGGGACTAGATCCATCCACCGCTGGCTTGAGTAGTTCTTTGATAGTTGGAATACCCTGTGCTCCTACGTCTCAATGAGTGGCTGTTCAATGGACCTTGTCTCCTCGCCTACCAGTTCCGCCAATGATAAGAATAACCTTCTGTGCCATGATCGTTGATGGGTTGCTTTGATAATGCTCGTACGAGTGGCGCAAGACCAGCATTTATATCTCCAAGAGGTCATCCATAGCACGCCTTTGCTCCGAGATGTACGGCGGGGCCCTTTGCGGGCTTGGTAAGACCCAGAAGATGTCTCTGTTGAAAGCTGGGGCGTATTACTCACTCCTCCAAGGGCTAGGTCTCCTCTTCCGAGTTCTCTTCGATCCAAGGAGGTCCGAGGCTCGGAGTTTCATAGAGGACTGGAAGATAGTATAGAGTTGCATAATGGGCGTAGTTCGATACTATCTTCGTGTGGGATCTTCTTCCTATCATCCATGAGATGGCGTGTGCATGCATCTAGTAAGACTTGCGACGCGTTATCCACACATTGACAAAGAGAAATTTATTATCATTTCCTCTACTCAGAACTTGGCGATGAGACTTGTGCGACGGGGTTGTCCGGGTTCAATGGATGTTCTTGTTTGCGTGTCACCAGTTTGTCCCGCACATCTTCACCTATTATGCCGCCAATACCTTCACAAGCACCCACATTCTCAGATCCAGATGTCACACTCGCTATCTCGTCTCTCGAGCAACGAAGAACATTCCTCGCCTCCACCGTCATTCCAAGTCTTGCCACGCTACCAGCAAGCACACCTCTTTTAGAACAACAAAGGCGTGCGGAAGGGCTTAGAGAGGACCTGGAAGATCTGGGGAAGCGAATAGAGACGCTGGAACAACTAGTGGAGGACTTGGATACTGAGAAAGAGAGACGTGTCGGCCGCGATGTGGTTCTCCAATGGGCAGCAGACTATGCTGCTCTCAAGAAAGATGCGCGTGCAGCGCTGCTTTCGTCAAAGAAAGCAATTGACCAGCACGCAAAATCGCGACGGGATGAATTGCTCGGGTCGGCGGTGTACAAACAGCCGTACGACCGAGAGGAGAACGAAAAGACCGACGACGCTCTTATGCGAACTACGGCATCTCTCACGGATGCACTACGTCGGACGGAAGCCCGCCTCAAAGCTGAGCTCGACCGCTCCATGTTATCGACTCAACTTCTCACGTCTCAAACCGCTACACTTCGACAAACATCCAATGCACATGGGCAACTTACTTCCCTCCTCGATACGTCGAAAGGCCTTATCACCGCTTTGGAACGTACGGACTGGCTCGACCGGATGCTCATCCTCGGGGCCCTAGCAGTCTTTCTGCTCACCTGCGCATGGATCATCAAAGTGCGCATCTTCGATCGCGCTTTCAGCATTGCGTTTTGGTGGGTGAAGTGGATGCCCAGCTGGGGCGATGACAAATTACTGGATGAACTAGAGAAAGGGGCGCGTGTCCTTTCAAATACTGTCCAAGACGCTTCGACCGTGATCAAAGAAACCGCTTCGAGCGCACTAGCGGCCATCACAGAGAATGCTACCTCCTCACTCCAAGCGGATGGCATGCCCTCTCCGTCCTCTACGCTATCTGCGATATTCAGTGATGTCTCAGAGGCCGCTAATACAACCACCCTGTCGCCGGATCAGACCCTGAGCCCCATCATCTCGGCTGCGAGCTCGACCGTGACCAAAGTTGCGAGTATTCTCAGAGATGAGCTATAGCAAAAGTAATACATTAGGGGTTTTCCTTATCTATTTATTCATATTTGACCATTCAGAATGTTTAGGTTTGTTTGTTTCCCCAAGTCTCGCTATTAAGCCAATGAACTAGATACGTACGGCCTCGAAGAGAGTTTAGGTGTTCTCAATTAGATATACTCAATCAATCTCACAGGTGAACACACGTTATTCTCGCCTTACTTGCTGTTTGACGATCTTTGTTCGCCTTGAACTCCACCCACCGGGCTAACGTGTCCCAGCCCTCAATCGCAGTCCCACCAAACAAAGAGATTCTCAGATGAGTAAATGAATTGTTGAAAGCTCTGAATTTGCCATTTATTGATAAATGGCCAAAGATCGCAAAGTTCTACGAGAAATGCCTGGGCGGTCAGAGAGTCCGACTACATATTGATCCATGCTCTATCCTAGGAGCAACCTCTATATGACTACCTAGCTTGGTTTAACAGGACGCCGCTCATAACCTAGTTAAAATTAGAGTCACGAGTGAGCTCGATTTGGTAAGATCTAGGGCACGATCCCGCGCGCGTCAATTGGTGGCCCGTATTCTGCTGGATAATGGGCCACAGTTGCCTGAATCGACTCTCCCATGTGGCGAGGAGTTCCGCTTCATCTTCTGGGTATTTTGTGAATAAATGAGAGGCACCAGAAAATAGAGAAGATCCGGTCGTTACTATTGGCTGGGGGCAGTAGACCTGTTGGAGATGGCATGACATGCATCCTGGACTATCAAAAGTCAGTTTCACTCCATATACACCAAGAGGCATTCACTCACATGGACGGATCAAGTATAGTATCGCAGTTCGCGTAGAGGGACAAATCATAGTTAGACGGACGGCCCACAAGAAGACCTCGGAGATTCATGATGATAATCTTCCGTATGGGTCTCGAGACAGCCCTTTGGAATACAATCTTCTGCAAGGTAGAAACGCCTCTCGACTGGGCCATTAGTCGCCTTTCTAGCATAATGATGAATATGTCCCACTCTACTACGACTGGTACAATTATCTTCTCGAGTAAGGGCAGATCTTCAGGTCGTAAAGCCATGTTGCGGTATAAGGCTGCTGCGAAAGACTGGTGCCCGATACTGAGAGTCCGTAGCTTTGAGAGTCGAATACTCCCAAAGACTAGCCGAGTTGACCACTGGACCGGTATCGCGAGAGCTGTTACAGAACTCCAATGTTCGTCATCTAGCAATAAGGGAATTTCACTCGCCTCGCCGGCATCGTCGAGCGTCCCATCAAATTCGATACACAAGTAAGTTACTGACCCACTTCGTAGCTTGCAAAATAGGGCCGCATCTCCCGACATGTTCATATACCGAAGGTCCGGAGACGGTATAGCAATCTCCTCGAGAGTGGTTTGTACGTAGTTTATTTCATGGGTAGAAAGGGAGAAAATATGCTTGAGATTATTAAAGATGGTTGGATCAACACTCTGCTTTCCAGATCCCAATATTACTACTCGCCGCATGTTTGGTGCCGCTTGGAACAACCATAATAGGCAAGGGGTAATGTCTAGAAGCCCCTGCCCACTAAAGCCACACACCCAAGTAAAGTTTACGAGATTAAGAGGTGCAGGTGATTGTTTAAAGCCCCCCTCATCTATCCGATCTTCTATTGTTCTGAGCGATAAATCTTCCAGCCCAGATAAGCCGTTCAGCGTTTCCAGAAAGCCGTACAGATTGGACAATTTTATTTCCACCGATAAACACGTGAGTCGTGTATCACACCGACCCACTATGTGTTGTAGGAGCCTCTCGGGTACGCCTCCGAGGCTAAGACTTTGGAAGCCCAATCGACTGCTCGGCAGCTCTTCCTCCCAAATAGTATAGTCAATACTGTGGCCAGTGTCTTCAATTTCAACGTTTTTGACCGAGGCCACAAAGTTCAATCTTTGAGGGGTAGTTTCGGAGAGTGGTAGCCACAGATGCGTCAGTTTCCCGTTGTTTGCTTCCCAGTGCGCGTCACACACAAGTAACTCGCTATCCTCTTTCATGACAAATGGTAACTCTATTCCCAGATGTCGTCTAAAAAACTGAGATATTGTGAAGAGGTCACCGCCCTCAAGACTAACAGAACGCAAAGAAGTAAGACTTTCGGTGCTCAAGAGCGGGTGCTCAAGAGGGAGGTTTAAAGACACCATATCCAAGTCTTCTATTCGATGGGCGTGGGACGATAGCAGAGGAGCAGCTTGCTGGACAAACGTCTTGGCGTCCCTAGACCGAATGGAAAGAGGAAGCGGATTCGAAAGCGTGAGCTGAACGGAAATCACTGCGTCGAAATCCTCCGCATCCGTAGGGCACCCTATAGACACCCATAACGACGGGGTCTCCAGAATGACAGCAGCCCATTTTTTACTGACGAGAGTCAAAATAAGGAGGATTTTATATGACCAATCCCAGTGGCTGACTGCAACCTCTTTGATAATCTTGATCCAGAGTTCCGTGGGCAGCTGATCCGGCGAGCGAGTACGAGACGCATCGAGCACTTGATTATATGCAGTTGTGATCTCGTTGTATTCAGTGATCAAGATGTTCAAAACATCCGTCGTTTCGTCGGAGCTGTTTTGCAATCGCTCGATCTGAGAGAGCAGAGTGAGTCTTTCACGACCCAGGCTCTGAGGATCTTGGACTATCCCGCAGTTCATTCTGTGTGTAGTGTGCGTGTGCTACAATTATACCCTAGACCTGGGCGAGCGTGAGATGCGGAGCGGTTCAAAGATCTCAGTCGACGAAGCGCCGAGGTAGCTACACCATTTGCTGGTGTATTTCAGTCATAGATTCACTGCTTACAAGTACACGAATACTCAAGTCATGATCGAAGCAAGAGAGGGACTATTTTGTAAATCAGAGTACAACGAAAGGGCCTATACCCGGCTTCGAGTTCATGAGAAGCTCTCATGTGAACATGCCGGGCTCTGGTTATTGAGCTATGACCATTGTCCGAAGGTAACCACGAACTGATGAAACACTTGCCCACACGTTACTCGTTCTCGAAACCAGTATGGGTGGAGCGAAAGCTCGACGGTTCGGAAGAGTCAATGATATCCTACCAAAGGCGGAAAGCACGGAGGATACGTGGCAGGAAGGGATCGAGAATTGACGCACGATTCGACTGTGGGTAGGGATGCCGAGGCCATCTGGACTCTGCAGCGACCACGTCAGATCAGCGTCAATTTCGAGACCGGAAATATGTTGCTCTACCGAGAGACAATCAAAAAACCGGTGTTCCATGCCCGTAACGGGTTTAAGGGCACGCAGTACCCAAATAAGTTCCTAATCTGCCCCGAAGCGGGCTGTGGCTAAGTGGCAGCGAGTGAGCCATGCTCGTGTAGATCCCACGATCTGATCCGATCTGGAGACAGGATGGGTACCGTGCTACCACCGTCGCCGAGTACAGAAGATATCTTCTGGACGACTGCCTGAAAAAGCATTTGAAATAGCACTAATGCCCCAATAGAGAAGATCTGGGTGATAAGGTACTTTCTCTGCAGGTTCTGCGATGGTCGCTTCGAATACAGGCCCAGCTGCAACGCTGCGCTCACGTCAAAGGACTCTATGATAAATACACTCCCACTAGGAGTATAAGAGCAAGATCTATTCAAGTTAGGGCCCGATGGATTAGCGGTCAAATAAGTGCAGAACGGGCAAAGGGATCCAGGCGCCTTCTGTTGGGGCAGATGGAACCTGAGATGTTCAAAATGTGTACCTACGAATCTTGGGATAAATGGAGTGATCCGTGTTGTCCACGCTGGATACTTTGGCCAACAAGGTTGGGGTTCAAGTGATGTGCCTCACCAAATAGACAACTACACGGTAGCCATACGTTCGAGTGGAATTCCAGCATAGACAATATACTATATCCACGTCACAGCGCTACAAGATTACATCCTCTGCTAATGCACTGCCCAATTCGGGTTTATCTGCTATAATAATACGATACTCGCTTGAGGTTAGAGACGGCGTCCTTTTGCTATCCAGTAGAATAAAGGATCAAGAGAGAAATTACCCGCGTAATCTCGAAGCAGTGTTAATGGGAAACAACTAAAGCAGAGTTCAAATACACAACGCAGAATACCTACGCAATCAAAGAGTTTTATTCCAGATTAATGACAATATAGGGCCGTTTGAGCAATTTTTAGTCTAGAAACCCCATTAAGTTTGACGTAATCGGAACTGGGTCGCAGGTTCCTCGACAGCAGCCCGAGTGAGCTCGTTCTCGTAGTATCTATCGCAGGAGATTCTACGTCTAAACGGGAGGGGCGTAGCCTGTTCAGTCATAGGCCACAGTTTCCTGAATCGGCTCGACTCCCACGTCGCAAGAAACTCCGCTTCGTCCTCTGGGTACTCAGGAGATAGGCTGCGTGCCTTAGGTAGGTGAGACCATAATGAGTCGTTCGCTCTCAGTGGCTCGCGACAAGAAACTTGATGAAGGTGGCACGACATGCCTCCAGGACTATCAAAGTCAACCGCGTTATATAGACTTTGGGGGACGTTTACTTACACGCAAAGTCGAGTATGGTCTTGCTGTCGGCTTGCAGGGACAGTTCATAATTGGATGGCGGTCGATGAGAAGCCTCGCAGGTTCATGATAATAATCATTCGCATGTAATCTGGAATTTGTCTCTTAATCTTAATCTTCCACAAGGCGGTCACACCTCTTGATCTGGCGATCAGCCGCCTTTCCAGCATTATGAGGAGTATGTCCCACTCCATTACGACAGATATGGACACCTCTTCGAGCACTAGTAGGTAATCCGGTCGTACAACCATGCTGCGATACAGATTGGCCACAAAAGGCTGGATTCCGACACTGATAGTCCGTAAATTTGAGAGTCGAACATTTCCTAGAAACAATTGACTCGTCCAATGCATGTAGGGTATGACAAGGTCTGTGACAGTGGTCCAGTGTTTATCTTCTATTAGTACCAAGGGAGCGTCTTCGATGCTTTCGATCATCTGGTATGATAGCATGTGCAACTTCGTCACCGATCCACTGCGTAGTTTGCTGGTCGCGGCAGCTTCCCATGGCGTGCTTATATAACGAAGGTTTGGGGATATCATAGTGAGCTCGTCCCAAACTGTTTCTACGTAGCTAACTGCTCGAGCCCGAAACGAGCTAAGACGTTTGAGGCCATTGAAGACTGTGGGGTCGAACATCTCCTGTTCAGTTCTAGATATCCTTTGTGGCGACTTGAATATCGCCTTGACCATGCGGCCCTCGTCTTTACAGACCGTTCGCGAAGACCAGGGTCTCAACGGTTTCATTGTCCGACGAACATAGAAATACACGCAAAAGCTTGGTCACTATTACTTCTTGTCTGACGCCACGACGAGGTCGCCAGGTGGGTTTGTCCACTCCACTTCGCGGTTCTCTGCAGTGCTCCCGGTTCTGGTCTATAAAGGTTCTTTGTCCGATACTCGACTGAGAAGCTAACTGCCACCCACAGCACTCCGGCAAACCAAGCGCACAAGAAACCGTAGCCAGACAGGCTCGGAGACCTCTATTGCAGCACCGAGGGACAATAAATACAGTCTCATAAGAACTTGTCGCCTCCGCTACCTAGCCCGCTTTCCGATCGCCACGCACCGTTGACCCCGGCAGCACTAGGGCCTACACCCATTCAACAAGAGTTCCGAACATTGAAATGTGTCTATGAGAACAAGAATCACGTCGTCAAACCCGAGACATGGTGCCTGCGAGTCGAAGTCGCCGAAGATGTCGAGTTGAACGTGCGTGCATGAAAAAGAAGTACGTACATCTCGTTATGCACACCGAATTTAACCTTTTGACTATAGAAAGACGCTTACAGCCCTGCCTAGCCAGACTGGGAGACGCGAGTATATAACCCCGCGGGGTGTTGTCGCCATTTCGCCCCAGCAGGATGACCCAGATCCTGTATGTTTTCGGTGAAACACCAGAATCCAAGCATCTCAGGGTGCTTACGACAGCGTCGGCAGAGCGGGTCAGGTGCTTTCGGTTGACGAGGAGCCAGACGGCGTAGCATGCGGTATTTCAAGATGTTGGACGATACCAAAAGTTTACGTTGCAAGAGGCGAGATGTCGGTTGAAGGCCGGCCAAGGGGTGGGAGCCCACTATCTTTCAAGCGAGCGACGGGACGAAGGCAGTTGGGCGTTCGGTCGCTGATCGGCCACGGACAATACGGGCAACTATCGCCACATACCATAAATGATTTCACTGCTTGTGGACACATGGTCTAGCCGGAACACGCTCCGCAGTCGTATGAGACGTGCATGGCAGGAAAAGCAAATTCGGAACAGAAGGTCAATGGAGGTCCAGCCAGGGGGTCCAACTGTCTCATCGTCATGCGCATAATGATACCAATGATCTTGTCGTCGTGGGTCGGTTAAGGCTTTATCGCGGCAGACAGACGCTTGACACCTCGGACATGCGTAATGGCCTGGCCAGTAAAGACAAGGTTCTGGCCATATCGTCCCACACCCTTGCAAGGTATAGAGGAGTGTATGTAAAATTCATTGTCACCTCTGCGTGGCTTCAAGGTGTCACCCTGAGGTGTATCCCACTGATACCATGGCCCTCGAGATAAAGCACAACAGATCTGCCTTTACAACTCTCAGTCTGATCGGATAGTCCAAGCCAAGCCCATTGATGCTTTGCCGACCCACGCGAGATATTAGAAATGCATAAACTCCAGTTCAGATGTTAGTCCATGTCCGAATCGGCGGCCGGCCCAGGCGACCAATCCCTAGCCGCTGATAAGGATTTCCAAGCGTCGGCCAGATTAACCCAAAACGAAATAAACGACTTTATCGTCGTGTCGTAAACTCTTTAAAAACCCGAGCAGCCCTCCAGGTCATGTCATACCCCCGTCGGTGACCCGCTCACCTTGGACAAACACCAGATCCTTCTTGGACTTTCCCTCTTCTTCCACCTGTCGTTGGTCTCCCCTCTGTGATCTACGACATGCTCGCAAAGCTCCAGAAGCGTGCGGTCGACCAGTGAGTAGACTTTCACTCTTCCCCACTTTTTGTAAACATCTAACGACTCTTTTACAGATCGTCGTTTGACCGAGGAGATGTCTCCTTCATCCTCATCAGTTCTGCCCTGTAAGAGACGACGTTTACGTACTAGGGTCGCAAAGTCCTCATCCGAGTTTCCAGCGTCCTGTTCATGGTTCCGGGACTCATGTTCCTGTAAGCGTTTACCTCGCTTGCTTTTTGGCATCTCCCTGACCAAATTTTCAGTTACTCGGGTCTCTCCCGACGTAAAAACGCCCTCTCCGTGATTTGGGTGTGCTTCTTCGGGTCGCTCGTGACGACAATCACATGGTATATTTGGGGTTACTCCCTCGCCTTCTCCCCGACAGCCACAAACGGCTTCATTGGCAATCTAGAATTTGGCGGTCACCACAATGCCCTGGGTGATCCATCTCCCGGTTCCCCGCTCATCCCAACTCTCCTCTATTCGCTCTTCCAGATGGAGTTCTGCTGCGTGACAGTCGCCATCTTGATGGGTGCAATTGCAGAGCGCGGTCGCGTGATGCCCGCGATGCTCTTCGTCTTCGTCTGGGTCACCCTCGTCTACGCACCTGTTGCGTGCTGGGTATGGAACATCAACGGCTGGGCATTCAAGTGGGGCGTTGCCGACTATGCTGGCGGTGGACCTGTCGAAATCGGTTCCGGTGTCGGTGGTTTGGCCTATTCCTGGGTCATTGGAAGACGTCACGAGCGTGAGCTGGTCAATTTCCGCCCACACAATGTCACTCTCGTCACTCTCGGCACGTTCATGCTCTGGTTCGGTTGGATCGGTTTCAATGCTGGATCTGCCTTTGGTGCCAACCTCAGGGCTGTCTATGCTGCGCTCAACACTTGCCTTTGCGCGTCGGTCGGTGGCATCACCTGGTGCTTGGTACGGCATGCCATTCAGCTGGTCTATCCTAGAAACTGACCAATTTGTAGCTCGATTACAGGATCCAGAAGAAGTATACCATGATTGGTCTCTGCTCTGGTACCATTGCCGGTCTCGTCGCCGCCACTCCCAGCTCTGGATTCATCCCCCTCTGGGCTAGCGTCGCTCTTGGCTTCGTCGCGTCGGCAATTTGCAACTACGGCACAAAGAGTGAGTCCCCCATTCCTTTGGTAAACACCAGACTGATCCGTTTTTAGTCAAGCACCTGATCCGTATCGACGACGCGCTCGATCTGTTCGCAGAGCACGCGTTGGCGGGTATCGTCGGTCTTCTCTTCAACGGCCTCTTTGCCAAGAACGAAATCATCGCCCTCGACGATGTCAACACTGCAATCAATGGTGGCTGGCTCGACCGCAATTTCAAGCAGCTTTATATCCAGTTTGCCTACGTTATCGCCTGCTGTGCCTACGTCTTTGCTATCACGGCATTGATTGCCAAGGTCTTCTGTCTTATTCCTTTCCTCAACCTCCGCGCTTCGGACCACGCCGAGTTGATCGGTATCGACGACGACCAAATTGGCGAGTTCGTTCAGGACTTCGTGGAGGTCCGCAGAGCATACGACGAGTGGGCTCCAGCTGCAGCGACAAGCAGCCAGCCAGAGAAGCCAGAGAAATTCAACGGCACCCATACGCCCGTTGCTGCTGGTGATCGTCACGGATTCCCGGATACAAATGTCAACGTTCACACCCCGAGCAACATTAACCCCAACCATCACGACGGACTTACTTTGCCGATGAGCGAAAAGTAGACGCCTAATTCGGCTGAAAACCGTTCTCTGATGATGTGGATGCACCTCACTATACTACCCCAGTTCTGCTCGTATCCGTGCTCGTCTCGTGTCGATCCTCCCGTCTATTCCAGGATGGAGAGATGGCCATGTTCGTCTGTATAGTTAATGTGCATATAACTTGCGTAATAAATGGCGTCGACAAACATACAGTAACCATAAAGTTAAGACTTCGACCCGGCATCGACAACACGAAGAGGCCAGGACGCTCGTATGCTGTCCCTAAACTCGCAAAGAAGGACGATCGTCGACAGTTGTGTACTCGACATGTTCCCGGACGACTCCCAGGGTTTCGCCTGAGACCAGGCACCTGCGGACGAACGGCCATCCATTGCAGCGCAGCGCACAGTTCATCCGAAACACTTTTCTCCGTCTCTCACAGGATCTTTTTTAGCAATCCTTTAGGATACTAGGTGGTTGGACGGCCCGGGGTTTTGCTTGTCTCGACGGAGACCTCTCGGAAATTCCGCAGCGTCATTTCTGTATGATTGGAACACAAGATGGATGCGAAAAACTGCATGTTTCTGTCTGCCGTTCTGCTTGGCTGACCCACCCGGGACGCAGGCCATTCAACATCCGCCACGCCGGGGGAAATGAATGGGTCGCGTTCCAGGACATAAACTTTTGCGCCTTGTTGCACCGATCAAGGCCCTGTTCTCTTCCTCATTTCCCTTTCTTCCTTCTCCCCGCGTTTGTCGTTCTTCGAGTCTCAAAGATCCAAGTACGAAGGAGAACTGGGTCCTAAGAAAGACGTAGTACTCTGGGAATTGTCGTCGTCGCTATGCCCACTCGTTCATTCCACCTTCTCGCGCTCCTATTCGCTGCTGCCTCCGCACCTTGGGCATCCTTCCGCGATGCGCATGGGGCTATAGGAGGGGTCTATGCCGCAGCACTTCCTTCTCCAGCTTCATTTCCAGACTCGGGTTCAGCTTACCCAGCTCTCCAAAGATTCACCAAACGGCGTACCGCTCCACGAGTAGAAATACGAGACGTAGATGGTCCAGTGAGAGCGGACGGATATATTATCACGTTTACGGATGGTGCAAATGCTACCGAAGCACACGACGCCATCGTTGCGTCCTTTGGCAAAGAAGCCGTCTCGTACCGGTACGACACAGAGACGAGCACGGTCAGGGGCCTATCTGGAACGTTCAACGCTACGGAGATACGAGAACTTCAAGGGGCAGACTTTGTTCAGAGCATCGAGCCAGACGTCATTGGCAAGCTCGACGCGTTGGCGACACAGTATGATGCTCCGTGGGGCCTCCAGCGAGTATCTCAGGTGAACGGATTACCGGATGACAGTGATGAAGGTGGATTGGGATACACGTATACATATGACCAAAGTGCGGGGCAAGGAGTCGACATTTACGTCTTAGACTCCGGAATCAATACAGCACATACGGTGCGCTATTCTAGTTTCTTTTCTACTCTCTACTAACCGGTCTTTCATAGGATTTTGGTGGCCGAGCTCGGTGGGGCAAGGTAGATTTAGTTCCCGCGTTGCTTACGGCCAAACGCTAACGCGTATTTCTTTAGACATTCGGTGGATTCCCTGACGAAGACGTGAGTGTTTCATCTCCTCTGCGGCGTATACTTACCGGATATAGACTATTGGTCACGGTATGGCTATACGCCACAAGGGAAGCTGAAACTGATGCGAGAGTGGCGTGATTCAGGAACTCATGTTGCGGGTACAGCGGGAGGAAACAGATACGGTGTCGCAAAACGTGCCAACCTTATTGCCGTCCGCTTCGTCGATGCAAGTGGGAACGGCCGTACGTTCCGTTCCACTCTCGGTCCCATGAAACAAGACTAACGACAAGAATAGTTGCGTCGGACTTTGTCGCTGCCGTGCAATGGATCATCGCGCAAGCGGCGTCCTCGGGTCGTCCATCTGTTGTGAACATTTCTGTCCATTTCCCCGGGACTGACTCGATTGATCAAGTTGTAACGGATGTAAGTTACACTATTTGGCGCGAATATACGGGCTAAGCTATGGTAGGCCATCAATGCGGGACTTCATGTTGTCGTTTCCGCAGGGAATAGAGGCACGGACGCGTCGAGCCAGGTAGGTTTTATCCTAAACCGCATTCGTATACTGATCCTTCCCAGTCTCCTGCTCGCGTACCAGTCGTGACCACAGTCGCCGCAACGACCATAGTGAGTGAAGCTCTTTATGGCCATCTGGATCTGATGGTCAAACAGAGAGATGAAGCGGCTTATTATAGCAACTATGGACCCCGTACGTGAACCCGCATGCCACTTTGTGATAAGCTAACGCACGCAGTGGTGGACATTTGGGCACCTGGAAGCTCCATTATCTCAGCATGGATAGGATGTGTGTCACCATTTACCTGCTATGGGTGATCGTACTGATCTCTATCGTAGCCAACACTGCGACCGCAACACTCACTGGAACATCCATGGCAGCGCCCCATGTGGTCAGTAGTTAGCAACGGCGAAACAAATCACTAAACATACCCAGGCGGGTATTACCGCACTTCTGATCAGTCGTGTCGGCAACAGGGTGCCGGCTGCGTTGTTGGCCTTACTCCAATCTCTTTCGCCCTTCCGCTCGTTGAGCGATGTTCGTAAGTAAACTCTACTGAAGAACATAGGGTGACCCTCTGATTTTTTTCCAGCCGATGGAACGATTAATCAACTAGCAAACAACGGCGCATTTACTCTCACAGGCGTTGACTCTAAGGAGGATTCGACAACCCTTGAAACCAACACGGAGTCTTCAACGAGCTCATCCACTCAAACTGCTATATCGAGTTCTACCAATTCGGAGGAGACTAGCACTCTCAGTCCACCTGCCGCAACCAATACCTTCACGTCGGTAACTACATCCTTGCTTTGGGATACGGTCTCGTCAACCGAAGACTCTCCTACGAGCTCATCGACCACTACGTCGCGGCTAGCGGCAACAACCACGACCACCACGATTGGAAGGAAGCCAGCCGGGAGGAAACCCATTTTCCCCCATCCGCCTTGGCGCTGGTGGTGGTAGCTCATGCAAGGATTCCTACGGCCGATATATACTACGTATAACCTCGTGTATTACTCACTTTTATACGGACAATGTGACTTAGGCGTTGTTTTGTCCGCAGCTTGCTCAAGGGAGCACTGTCTACCTGGACGTGGCGAGTGCCGTGAACCTGGCACAATGTATTATGCGCCAAGATAGGTGCACGATAGTGAGGAGGGCTACGCCTCGTTCACTCCAAGTCGGGACCCATATGAGTCGGAGTTAAATGAGGCAGAAGTGCGAGCCCTGATTTGCAAAGCTTATTCGAGACGTGAACGTGAACATAGGCTGCGCCTGGGTATTTCGCCTTGTGCTCTGTTTGGCGACGCCCGAGTCAAAGCATCACTTGAACTCTAACCCACTCGACCGGGCCATCCTTGATCTCTACACATAATCCCAAATATCGCTCGACTCACCCAAGGTGGTCACATATTGGCATACATCCGCCACATCAGAAACGAGGCAGTCGACTCTTGCACCGGGGGACGTGCATGAAAGGTCAATCCGCAGGGGTTGTATCAAACTGGAAATGAACATCCATGGCGAATCAAAATCGCCAAGTATCTCCAGGTGAAGGGGAATGAGCCACATGGTGGCCGCCTGTCCGGTCTTTGCAAGCTCAGCTTCAGTTTTATCCTCTCACGTTTATTTAACTCGAAGTCTATTCTTTCATTAAACTAATGAATGCATTGGAAAGTCTATTGGACACGCATGACAGATACAAATGCAGAGACAGCCCGGGCTCCCGAGATACCTTTTACTTTCTCTTAATCCCCATGTGCTTTGTGCGGATATGTCTATCCACGTTATCCTTGGACGCAAACCTGTCACCGCAGCTGATGAGGCCGTAGCTGAAGCGACCCCTCGCATAATCGAGCGAGAACGTGCACCTGCACACCCAGACTGCCTTCTTTGATCCCTTCTTGGTGCCTTTGCGCTCCACTTCCAATTCCTCGACCTCTGCGGTATCGGTGGCCATGGCGGGTCGCTCCTCTTCCGGTAGGTGCTTCCTAGCGTCGGCCCACTTGTCCGCAGCCAGGTCGTCGAGGATCTTCTCCTCCGTGGCCTTGTCGAATCGGAAGACGCCGGAGGTCTGAGCTGGCGTCTCCTCACTTGCCTCCTCGAGATGCTCTGCTGCGATTTGAGCAGCCACTCGCCTCGATTGCGAGCGAACAGCTGCAGCAGCTGGCTGTGCAGTCGCCTTGGGTGTGGCCCTTGTCGTCTTCGCCGCAACAGAAGCCTTTGCCTTCTTCTTGCCCTTCTGTACCGGCGGTTGCGCCGCTGTCTGCTCGAATGGACCCGAGATCGCATCATGTTCCTCGACCACTCTGGATTCGTCATCATTCAGAGTGTTATGCTCCCTATTGTCGACTACCAGAGTAACGACCAGCGGGTTGGAGACTTCCGGCGCTGGAATTGCTGTCGCCTCATTGCTAGGTCCAGCAGAGACCGCTTTACCGGAGGAAAGAGCATCTGCTATGTCGTTCTGGTCAGAAACAAGTAGGAGATACCACAGTCGACTCACCAAGCGGGTGCTCCGGCTTTGGAGAAACCATTGCTGGGCGTTGAACCCTTTTGGAGGAAGTCTAGGTCCAACGTCTTCCACCTGTTGGAGGTTGACTCCGAAGATGCTTGCCCTGAGAGCGAGGAGAGCGTCCTCCCTGCAAAAATTTGGGTCACTTGGGCCAAAGACACGAGCCCATTCTTCGTCACAGATTGCTGTCGGGATCATCAGCCACTGCTCAGGAATAAGATTACAACGCACGGAGAACTGCCGAAGCATCGACAGCCACGACGTCGGCTTTGCCCTTCGCACCAGCGCTATCATCTAGGTTGTGCGAAGAGCTGTGAAGTTTTTTCGTAGTGCTGCCGGTCTGCTTGGCAGCGTCGTTTGTTGGCGAAGTAACTTTGCTGAGATCTGGGTTGACGACCCAGTCGAGCAGAGTTTTCTTCATCTGTTACAGAGGCGTTAGCCGCTGTTTCTCCACAACTCAATAGACGTACCAGCCGGGGGTCGACCTCCTCATCTTCTTCTCTCTTGCGCTTGAGGCGGGTCTGAGGAGTGTGGGACTCCGCTTGAACTTCCGTATTTTCGAAAAGACAGCGCAGAAGGCCTAAGGCCTCCTCCTCGATTTCATCGCCCGAGCTCGTGGTCGTCGCTTTGGGACTGGAGCCACCTGTAGGGCGGCCATCTTGTCCACCATTTTTTGTGATGGAAGAAGTTTTCTTTGACTTGTCATTGTGCTTGTTTGCGGGCCTGGGCGTGACTATGGCCAACGCGGCCGAGTAGCTCGGGACGGGCGACGTCGCGCTGGTAGGGGATGTGAAAGATGGATCAAGGTTTGGAGTCTCGAGTGCGACACGGCGCACTCGAACTTGTCGGATTGCGGGCTTGGCATTGCCACCTTCCTGGAAGCTCGCCACCAAGGACGACGACGATGGAGCGTTCCTATCTCCATTGAGTGATCTATCAGTCTCTTCAAAGTGTCACTCACTCTTCTGAAACTTTCCTGTTTTTGTGGGGTTTAGATGGCGAGCTGGCGCCATGTTAGCCCTTTGTGCGTGCGCGATAGAGCCAGGTCATTCTTACCTCGAAGAGGCCATGGGATCCTTTGCCGTTACGAGATTCGAGCTGAGGAGGTCCAGTGCATTGCTCATGTGGAAGCTCTGGGTACCTAGGCGTCGGGTTCTGTGAGCGGCGGCTGGTCGTGCGGTTGAAAGCATGTTCACTCACTCGTGCTGGGCTTAGACATAATAAAATGATTCAACTGACTATTTGAAACGTGAAGTGCGCGTCAAAAGAGGCGGAAGAGGCAGCAAGTCTTTGAGGGTAAGTCGCGGTTAGGGACAAACGGGTGGGAGACAAACAAATGACAACGGCCGACTTGCTTATGGAAATATTTCGAAACAAAATCTCCTACTTGCTCTTGTAAGGGATTCTGCCAATGTCACCAGGTAGTTACGCCAATAACGTGGAGCCAACACCACGACAGCCGACATAAGCCTTGGTATCAGCCATGATGATTACACGTCGTTCCCGACCCTTTGTCGTGTTCGCTGGGCTCAAGCACATAGTAAATTCCCCAGTGTTCGACAGCGTGTATGAGGCGAGGACAATATTTGCGCCCCTCGAGGTACATGTCGAATTTTTGCATCTTTAGCGGCATGACCATCTAAGTTTCGGTGTTGGCTATCGCTCTTTGGTGGGGCAAGGTCGCCCAGCGACCAAAAGTCCGGTTTATAAGTTGCATTTGATTGATCTTTGACTAGTGGTCAAAATATAGGATCAAAGCCTAGTCGCCTAGAATGGCAATGGCCAATGCTGTGGCGGGTAAGTAAAGTCGGCAAATGGCTCAAGAGGTTGGGTTTGCTAGGACACTTCGATGGCGCGAGGTGGTCCAGTGGTTAGGGCGCAACCACTGGGTCCCTCGTCAGCCGGTTGGCGGGGTTCGAATCTAATGCGCCGGGTTCGAATCCCAGGGATCCCCTGGCCAAAAAATGGTGGGCTCTGTTAAACCCCCCCAAAGGCCACCGCGGAGGTCAATAGAAGTGCACTCTATTGGCTGTACCCGGTCTGCCTGCGGCAGGGTTGCAGTAGTGACCTTTGGCCAAGCCTCGATAGTGGCAAAGAGGTCAAGGTTCCTTTTTGTCCCGGCACTGGGTACATGGATCCTTCCAGACATGTATCCACTTCGAATTGTTCAAAGTGACCACTCAAAGATTTGCTTCAAGCTTGGACCGCACTACTTTGTCGCCTGTCAGCCACGACATCTTTGGTCACTGCGAAGGAATGTATAACAACTCAACTCGCTCATAAGGGAGTTTTTATTAATCCCAAACCTCTCTTCGCTCACATTACCGTGATCCCGCGGCCTCATATCGCTCCAGCTGGATCACGCGTCAAGTATTGACGGTTGAAGGATGCAATTACATGATTAGGGGGTACGGATACATCGCATCGTCATGCGCAGAAGGAAGGCGGATCGCAGCCCAGGCAGAATCGCAAGGCGTGTTCGTAGAGACCCTCCATGCCTCTCTTCGAGCTATACAGCACTTGTCATTAGTGCTCATTAGTGCTTTCTTGTGGATCCCCCCTGATCAGCACCGGTGTCCCACGTCTTCAGTCGCTGTATCGTCGGAATGCGCGATCATTCAATTCAGCGCCGGCTTGAATGGGGGGGCCAAGCAGACGAGCGGCTGGGTGGACGCCGAGTGTCTTGGATGTAATCGAGTATAAAAAGAGTGGTATCAGGAGTGCGGATCTCCCGTCTGTTTCCCACCTAGAATCATCCGCAGCTCGGATACAAGGAACATTTGTGCGAAAGCGAGAATTGCTAGATCAACCGGCTATCCGAATCAGGACCGTTATGGACAAGCACAGAGACCATGCTGCTCGACGCGACGGGTAAAAGTTCGAAGTCCAATTGTACATGTGCAGTTCTGGCCTATTTGGTATCCATCGTGCATTGAAAAAAACTTCCGGAACAATCGTTTAGGCTCGATTGACAAAGAACTGGCATGGAGACGCGAGAACGACAAAAGGCGGGCTTGGCTCTTGGCATCACCATCCTTACTTCGACTACGCTGTGTTTCGACGTTAACTATGGTCGCTGTTGCCACTCGAAAGTCCAGACCTCGATCTGGAGCATATAATCCGTCCAGACTAGCCTCGTCGACTTTTCCATTCCCTTTTCTCCTCCCTCTCCCCTCGCTTTCCCACCGCCTGTGGCTGGTAGACGGCTCTTGCTCTTTCTTTCCCTTATTCATCTATTCAGCCTATTTCTTTTTCATTTCTAATTGGCCAGGAAGCCCTTCTACGCCCCCTCACCTCGCTGAGCAAGTCTCCTTCCTTCATTACAGGCGGTCTCCTCTCCTTTCCTCTCTCAATTCATCAAATTTGATATCAAAATGGTCAAATCTGCACTTGTATCAACCCTTCTTCTCGCCGTTTCGGCCTTTGCCCACCCTCACGCCCATGGTGGCCCCAGTTCAGATCAGCTCTATTCGTTCCTAAAGGCTCGCACTTCTGTTAGTGCTGCAGCCTCTGAAGGTGCCGCTGCCAATCCCTCGAGCGGCAGCTCCAATGGATCCGCAGAGGGAGGACGTGGTTCCTCGACTGCATTCTCCGCAGCTCGCTTCCCAGACGTGCAAGCTGTTCTCGAGGGAAACAAGCGCTTTGTCCAGAACCGCGACGCCAAGGCAATTCAAGAGCTCGTGGACAATGGCCAAAAGCCACCGTTCATGATGGTCGCTTGCAGTGATTCCCGGGCACCCGAGGCCACCATTTTCGATTCCAAGCCCGGAACCTTCTTCATGGAGCGAAACATTGCCAACCAGTACAAACCTGGTGATGAAAACGCGCAAAGGTACGTTAGTCAATTGTAGTGGCTGAATAGCATTAACGCTAGCGCAGCGTGATGGCATACGGCATTCATGTCCTCGGTGTCCAGCACATTGTGATCCTTGGTCACTATGGCTGCGGAGGCATCGCTGCGTCTATCGCTACTCCCCCCAAGAACAATATCAACGTCGCATCACATATCGTCAACACTTGGATCGGTGACATTCGTCAACTCTACTTGACATCTAACCGCTCCGAGATTGTGGAGATGCGCACGGCCAACCTCGCCATCGAGGCGGCTGGTGGCACCGTTGAAGAGCCAAAGATTCGCGAGCCAGGTTTCCGCGCCCTCGTCGAGGAAAATGTCAAGCTCCAGGTCCAACGACTTGTTGACAGCAGTGTCATGAAGAATGTAGGTCTTCTTTCTTTGGGTTTGCCCGTACCTGTACTGATCAGGATTGTATAGCGCGTCGACGAGATCACTACCAAGCTCAACACGGATGGCACTCTCAAGGCCTCCAACTCGACCCCTGTCGAGCGCCGCGCAGAAGAGGGCGGTGCAATCCGCCCTGTCTTTGTCCACGGATGGGTGCATGACCTCGAGAGTGGAGAGATCATCGACCTCAACATTTCCTCTGGTCCAGCTGGCTTTGAGAACTTTGTTCCTCCTGCGGCTGGCGAGGGCAATGCGGAGAGCCCCTCCTCATCTACGACGACTGCTGGAGGCGAGAGCGCAACGTCGACGTCTGCTGCGGAAGGAGGAGCCAGCTCTACTTCTTCGGCAGCTGAGGGTGCGGCCACTACCACTTCTAGCGCTGCAGAGGGTGGCGAGACTTCTTCCACCGTTGCAGGAGAGGGTGCAGAGAGCTCGAGCTCGACGAGTGCCGAGGCGACTGCCGCTTCGTCTTCGTCTGGAGATGTTCGTGTTCACGGTCCATCCTCGCTTGGTACCAGAAGAGCGAGACGTTCGAATGCACGCGCGCTCAATGCCTCTTCTCTCAATCTTCACAAGCGCTTGGCGTCATTTGGACGATCAGGTCGTCGTTAAATCACTCGGGTGACTTGCAGCAATGTAGATTCGTTGATGGACTTTTGCTAGATTTAATCCGATATCTCAGGGGTCCCTCCCCCCGTATAATCATTCGTGTGCACAACTGCAAGATGTACAGAGAATTCTACGATTTTATTGTAGACTAAGAACTGCTCGATATGGCGCGACCAGGTGGCAAATTGTTTTGTACTCGCCCTCGTCCAACAGGTGAAAAGTGGCAAACTTCGAGTCCACATGGCCCGCTCACGGCATAGAGATAGAATCAAGAAATCTTCCCTCAAGGAAGAAGTCTGCAGTATATCGGTTCCATGAAGGACGCCGCCTTCATTGGCCATATGGATCAAACATACCGCGCGGTTCACAACCGCTTTCAACACTACTCGCAAGTCATCAGCGGCGAATAACTAGTTTTACGTGAGATTCGAAGCGCATCGTCCTCTAGCGTCGCCTGAACCTCTCGTCGTCTTTCTGGGACATTGACTGGAATTCATACGTCGATTGTTCCTGTGAAGAGGACCGAACGATGTCACATGCGTGGGATCGTGCGTTGGACCCCCTGAGTAGCTGTATAGTTTTGGGCCGTATGGATGGTTGAGTAGCATGTGTCGAAGCTCGGATCCCGATCCTCGACGTACATAAGACGCCGCATCAAGTAGATGGGAAAGCAGTCTAACCAGACCACCCACTCGTTGGAGAACAACAGACCGTCGAAGGACTACCCCTCGTTGGACCAGCCTCGAAATCCCCGGGTCTTCGACAGCCCTCTCAATCGTTACTTAGATATGCTCCTTCGAGCGCTCACTTTCCTTCTCTCTACCGCTCCTTTGATCGCGTTTGCCTTGGCAAATGAGGCGACTATCGAGGTTGTGGATGACGAGGTTGTCATTCCAACGCTAGGGCGTCGCAACGGGAATATGGCCCCCCATCCTGCACTTCCATATGTTGCCATGCCCGATAATGCGCGTCCTATTCGCAATGGGACAGAGCTCCCACCGTATTCCACCCTGTACTACTTTGATCAGGTGAGTTCTCGAGGTCACCATCCGCCCGATTTAGTTTTGACGCCAATGTAGTTGATCGACCACAATAAACCAGAGCTTGGGACGTTTAAGCAGCGTTATATGTTTACCTGGGAGTATTATGAGAAAGGAGGCCCGATCATTCTTTCCACACCTGGTTCGTTTCCATCCCTGCTCTTGGTTCTCTGTCTGATTCGGCGTAGGAGAGGCTAATGCTGCACTCGTACGACCATCTTCTTTGGCCGAGCATAGCTGACAAGAAGTAGTATTCTAGCTACCTGACGAATCGCACCGTGGTAGGCCAAATCGCCCAACCAAATCACGGCGCTGCAGTTGTCCTCGAGCACCGATTCTTCGGCCTCTCCAACCCTTATCCCGACCTCAGTAGCGGCTCACTTTCAGTTCTCACGCTGGAACAATCGACGGCAGATTTGGTTTACTTTGCGAAGAATGTGCATTTGCCTTTCCCGACAGACGTAGAAGATGGGTCAAAAGTTGGTCCGGATAGGAATCCTTGGGTAAGGCTCTCTGCTCTCTTTCCATATGGTTTCACATACTCAATTGTGCAGATTTTGGTAGGCGGAAGTTATAGCGGTGCTCTGGTCAGCTGGACAATGAATAGGTGAGCTTCGTCTACCAGATGCATTTTAGCTGACGAGGATTTACAGTCATCCTGGTGTATTCCATGCTGGGTACTCGTCCTCTGGTGTTGTCCAAGCTATCTCGTATTACTGGGCATATTTTGAGCCTATCCGACAATACATGCCGAAGAACTGCTCTGCTGATGTCGAGCGGGTCATCAATTACATGGACCTGACCTTTACCTTTGGTTCCAAGGTATACTCTGCGATCGAAACCTGCTGCCCGTTCTGACGGTTGCCCACAGAAAGAGAAAAAGGCACTGAGAGCCAAGTTTGGCATGCCAAACGTGACTCATTACGATGATGTTGCAGGGACTCGTACGTCTTTTGTCGACCTACTTGGATCTGTGCTCATATTGGACTCTAGTGCGAAACCAGTTATGGGCATGGCAGTCGCTTACTCCCGCCTCGGGAGGTGGCGAGTTCTTTACTTTCTGCGACGCGCTCGAGGTGAAGAATGGCACAGCTGCCGGACCCAAAGGCTGGGGACTCGAACATGCACTCGACGCATGGGGAAAGTACGAGACGCAGTATGTCGCCAATTGTACGCCATCCACCTCTGTGACAGGAGCTAGGCTGATATCACCCGGATAGATTGCCAGGATACACCACAAGAGTGATTTCATTCCGCGTGTTTCAGATTCTGAGTCACTAATGCCAACAATAGTGAATGTTTGGGCTCTTACGATTCCACTCTGGGCTACTTCCACGATACCAAGGTCGATAATGCCTATCGTTCATGGATGTGGTTTTGGTCAGTATTTTGGCCTCACTTAACCATTTTACTGACCCGTATTCAGCTGCAATGAAGTCGGATACTGGCAGGATGGGGCCCCTCTCGGCTGGCCGTCGATTGTGACGCGTTTGGTCACTCCGCAATACGACGAGGTATGTCGCGTTGGCCGGGAGTCTAATATTTTATAATACTCTTCAGCGTCAATGTACATACTGGTTCCCAGAGGCCTTCCCAACCGCCGCCAGAGCCAAGACGCTGGACACGAACCGCAAATACAAGGGCTGGGACGTCAACCAAGATCGTCTATTCTTCGTCAACGCCAATAGTATGTCTTTGTGATATCCCTTTGGGGCACTGATTAACTGGACACAGAGGACCCATGGAGAGAGGCGACCGTCTCTTCTGATTTCCACCGTCGCCTTTCGACCTCACGTCAGCCCATTCATGTATTAGAGAATGGCTATCATTGTAGCGACCTTATTACACGCTTCAACATTGCATCAGACATCAAGAAGGTACAAGATACGGCGGTGCAGACATTCACCAAGTGGATTTCCGAGTTTGTGCCCAAGAACAAACGGGAGGTATCAGAATCGGTGGAGAAGAAGAGTGTTCTGGACAATGAAGTCATGCCCCCCATCTTCGAGAGGGACAGCACGGCGTTGCCGCCAGTCAATGCGACACCGCCGACCGTGGACCTTGGAAGCGTCAACGCCGGAGCGAGCGTGGATCCTGCACAGTCGGGTGCGTCTCCATCCCATGTCGCGCCTAAGAACGCTTGGAGGCTTGGAGCCGTAGTCGTGTAGACAGGTGGATGAACCGTCCAGAGCCCAGTACGTCTGGAAGCTTGGTTGCCTTACTTGCGCCTAGTCAAGTTCCAGACAAATGGGCCTAATAGGTGCACAAGGGATCCTCAACGTCGTCTTAGTGCACCACTCGCATACTTTGTCAACGCTTGCCGAGGCAGATATCTACACGTTATATATTCTCCGTAACGTGATTTTGAATACAAAGAAGTCTGAGCTTGCCAAGCGGGAATCGTCAGCCACTCACAAATGGCCATCAGCTTGACGCCGACCACATTCTTTAGCCTGTCTACTTTAAGATTTTGCGCCAACTAAACCACTTCCTATACTTCTGATGTGTACTCTCGTCACTGTCTCAGTGCGCTCTGTCTCTCCCAGACGTCACAAGCTGAACATGCTCACCAGTAGCCAATGCCCTTTCCGTTTGGCCAATTCCTGTGCGTTCATTCTAACAAGGCTTAATCTGATCCAAGATTGATTTGCTTCTCAGTGAAGAGTTTACTACTGCAGTTCATCAAGAAATTTATGACCCCGAACCAGCAATTGTTGCCAACCGAAATGATCCACACCATTTGCTTCCCCAAAGGTACCCGCCCGACCAGTATCGTTTGCGTGCTCGTCCAGCTCCAGATCCTGGACCACTGAGGCGCTCTCCCGGTGTCTGGAAAGGCCAGACAACGGTACATGAACATTACATAGACAACCATGCGCTGATAATACTTGACAGTTTAGGTTCAAGTCGATTTGCGCAACCTTGCCCGTCTCACGGCCTCAATATATCGTAAGCAATCATTTCGCGGTCGATCTGAGCTCACATGATCATAGTACATCCAGATTGCGCTTCGTCTCAGTGTCCATCTCGTCCAGGCTGGCTTTGTCCGCAGAACCGAGCGACGCGATGTCCAGCACTTCCTCGTCTACTTGGCTCGCCACTGCATCGAGAAAGACGGTCGCCTTAGTTTCAAGAAAGGTTTCGGTGGCCCCAACTGTTTCCGCGCACTCGTGTACTTGGCTGAGGAACGTGCTCGTCGTTACCCATTCGTCCTCTAGCAACCAGTGGAGCATGCCCGTCTCCGAGAAGAGCCCCCCTATGTTCTACGAAATCTCTATTGAGTGCCTTCTTCACCTCGCTGGACTCAAACCGAGGCGCGCTCGAGAGCTTGGACTGATGCCCACTGAGGGTGAACTATGGCGTCGACTTATACTCCGTCTCAAGGAGTCCGAGCATGGCCAGTTTCTGCTATTTGGACAACTTGCTCATAGATACTTTGGCGGCAATGAAGCATTACTCGCTCGTCCCGTCACGAGAGAGCCGAACGTGAGTACTTTCATCAATTGTCGTCTGAGATCCAAATTTTATAGTGGAAAGATGGCATGCCGCTCCACTGTGTCTGTCTTGTCGGACGCGTGCTCAATAACCTCTCGGTTGGTCTACTGGTGCCCGCTTTCACATTCTAACAAGTCTCCCCAGCTGTCAGGAGACCTGACGCCGCAACTTAACAAGGACGTGCAGGCCAGAGTGCCGAGTGGAATGCTACAGCTTCGGAAGCGTGTGATAGCGAACTGGGCATGAAGGAGCAGCCACGAGGTGCTCAGGGCCATGGTTGCTTCGACACTCAATCACATTTGCCACAGCAACTATTCTCGATTAGTAAAACAGTTTGAAAACCGTCAATTGATAGTACAGTTAAGCAGTTGGACAGCATAGCTCTTAGCATCCGTCTAGACGAGGCACCAATTAGAAACGAAACCCATAAATCACGATCCGCTATAAACTCGCTCCAAGACTATAAATCGGCCTTTTGAGGTCGGCGGACTAGCCGAAGGGCTAGCTAGATGCTGGTGGTGGATGTGATGAACCATCAGATGAAGGCGTGTAATTTTCGAATCCAGGAGGACCGCGCGAGACGTTCAGGTCGATTACCTCACCGGTCTCGAGGTCATGTACCCATCCATGTACAAAGAGTGGACGAATTGAGCCCGTTTCCCCGCGTCTCTGATGATGTGAATCTTGTTCAGAGGGCTTTGGAGTTCCGTCCGGATTTAGTCTTTGGACGATTTCCGCAAAGCGCTACACATCGCGTCAGAAGATTTCGACTCTGAGATGGCCTATCACTCACGTTCTTGATAACCGGGCTATCAACAACTTTCTGAACTTGCAACTTGACATTTTCTTCCACAAGAGCTCGGAAGCCAGGATCCCTGATCCCTGGCGGCGGAACTGTACCGCCCGAAGCCTCCTTGATCTCGTTTGCGATGCGCATTTGGGCGACTTCTGTACGATTCGAGGAGAGGTAGAGGCTGCGAATGTCGGATATCCATGTGTGTACGATTTGAGTCGGAACGTCGATTGGCGCCTTTGGAGGGGTAGCGATGGATGCGGCAACGCCTCCGCAACTATAATGACCAAGAATAACAATATGCTGAGCGCCTAACGCATAGACGCCATAGGACATGACGCTGTAGTCATATGTCGTTAGCGCCCTCAAGCTGGATGTCTCAAGATCGAGGACGAACCTTTGGGTATTGAAGTCGTCCAACCTAAACTGATTGGCGATATTTCTCTCCATGAAGAAATTCCCGAAAGCCAAGTCGAAGATGGATTCGGACGCGCGAGAGTCGGAACAGGCCACCATCATAAACGGTGGTTTCTGGCCATTCTGAACAAGCGATTGGAATAGTGCGCTGTCACGGTTCGCCATGAAGCGCTTATTGCCGTCAAACGCAGCTGCAATATCAGGGAACCGCTCGCTATACGAGGAAGTGCTGAAATGAGTGTTGGGAGCGGGGTTACGACCTCGTATTGAATAATCGTATTTGAACGTGTCATTCGCCTGAGGATGAGCAAAGCCTGCAACTGCAAACAGCAGGGTGTGGATAAGAGCCCAGTAAACCATGGGAGAGGAGGACCGGGAAAGCAGGTGTGATGGGACTTTTCGCAGGGAACCTGTTTTATAGATCTCTTTGGGGAGACTGGAGAAACAAGCGATATCCGCTTAAGAACGGGGACATAGAAAGGATGCTGGTCGGTATGGAGGAACCATCCTGTATAGTAAGAACCATTTCGAGCCTAGCGAAATGAAGGCAGAAGAAGCACAACGGACGGTCTAGCGATGGGCCGTCCGACTTCCATGCCAAGCCGTCGGACGGGGAAATCCAATCCCCACGCGGTTGCAAAACGCATTCCAACATTGTCGCAGAAAGACCGGAGAGGCGTCTAAAGAAGACTTTGAGCCTGTGATTAGGAATGACACGTATTGCGGGTTGTCAGAAGACTTACCGACTCAGTTATACCTCGGGCGTGATTCCTAATGACCTTTCAATGACGCAAATCTCCGTTGAATTACGGTACCGAGGTATAAGGTAATAAGGTGCTGGGCGTTACCTCTTGGCTTTGCTTTGGCGCGAAAGGCCACGGTCTAGATCGGATCTAGATCTCGGTGAGGGGTATTATGAGCTTCCGATGGCATATTCTCATCCTCTCAATGCATTTGATACCGCGGTTCCGACGTGGTGGCTGCTCAAAGCCGGACGGGAACGGTTTGGGACAGTCAGCACCCGCAAGATGCTTCCAGGTTCATATATTTGTAACAATTGGGGTTGTAAAGGTTGTTCGAACCAGCGCGGTTATACAGCTCGAGATGGCAAGGTCCAAGCATAAGTACTCACATTTCTCGAGCCAACTTGACTCGAGTATTGTTGGAAATACCTCGTGTGCATTTGCTGATGGATGGCGACTGTTTGCCACTCTCGTCTTTGCAAGTTGACTCCTACCAATTTCACGCCTGTCTCTACGGTTTACTCTTTACGCCTATATCCCGAATATTGTCGTTCTAGGATTCAAATTCACTACATTTCACAGTTATACCGCAAAGGTGCGTCTCTCTGAGGAAAATTCTGTCTCACGGTTGTCAGCTAATATCCTACGAGGTTAGACGTGCAATCATGTCCAGCATCCTTGTTCATGTGCCCATGGTATCGTCCAAGTTACTCGCTAAGCTTGCCCTGTCCATCCCTGCCTGCTTGTTGGTGATCATCCTCGTCAAGCCTCGGCTGTTGCTTGCCCTTCTAGTCACTACAAAGTCTCCCATTCAAACCACAACGCTCAATGCTACCGTACTGGGCAACCTTTGGAACGCTGCTCTAGCGTCAATTGCACAATTGTCGATGGATTTAATCCAGATTCCAGTGTTTGTAGAGGGCCTTTTTTCTTCTTCGAAATCAAAGCGACTCAAAGCCCAAAAGAATCGGGGAAGAAAAGGTTCCATCCATAGTTCCACAAGTCTCTCGAAGAAGCAACATTCTGGCAGCTTCAAGATGGTCCATGATCTTCCATACGACGTATTACTTCCTGTCTTTGGGCTCGACACCAAAATCATTAATGTACATCCCGCTCCTCGCGAGTGTTGGAACTCGTTTCTTACTCGCTTGGAAAATTCGGGCAACAATGAATACAAAGAGACAGCAGCGTATCTCCGCATCTACTTCAAGTTACTGGCGTATCCTACAAGCCGCCCGGCCATGCGGGAGAATAATGTAAGTTTACCTCTCCATCAACTGAATCTTGCTGACCTGGCGCTAGTACTCCGGCACTGAGTTGGATATGAAACTCGCGGTGATCATGTTCTTTGAGAACTTTGGTGTTCGTCATAGTAACTGTTCGGATGGTGGAACTCATCCTCATGTAGATTCATCCAACTGGCCCCGGGGTCGAACCTCTCCGGCAGAGTGTTGATGACTATATGCGCAAGCTTAGCGGCACGATCCCGCCTAGAGACAGGACTCTTCACCAGAGAGTCAAGGGCTCAAACCATCACAGAGTTCACAATCGCCAATGACTCACTCCCGGATGTGAGTCATTTCCTTCGCAACGTTACCTCGTATTTAATGGTCTTGTGTAGCCACAGAATAAGTCAATTGCCAGGTTGCTCGCCATGCCTCTCAGTCCCTGTGGACTCGAGTCGCAGCGGCTGGGAGCACCATGTATTAGTTATGTTCGTTACCGTGAAGAATCATACGCCACTTTATGACAATGGAGGTCATTTGCCGACCCGAGTGCTATCAACGGGCCACTTTGAAGTTACCAAGCCCATAAATTCTTCTATTAAAGCGAACTCTATGCATAGATGATCTCTATCATTGCCAAATTTTGATTGTTAATGGCAAGCGAATGTCCGTCGTGTCCCTGGAGCGAAGTAAATGTCTAGTTTCGACGCGCCTAGACGTCGCGTGATGCAGATGAAAGCCATATGACATTCGGAAAGTCAATACCTCTCCTGGCACCCATTGGCCCAATGGCTTCTTCGAATGGCGTGCCTTGTGGTGCGGCCTCGTCGTACGTCAGGCGCCGATAGTTGAGGACTCCTTTGAAGATGGCGAGTTGACTGGCCGATAAATGTCGAAAGAGATCCGAAGCATGAAGAGGCATTGCCCAGAATGTGTATCCGGTCGTCCAGAATGCATGGTGTTCAAAGATGAAGCGACGGCTTTCAGCCCATGATTTCCATCGACCTGCCAGTGTACGAAGCAGGTTCCTCTCACTTTGAGTGCATGTTGAAAACGTCTGAAAGTAGTCAGCAGCTGTTATCCCAATGTGCAAAACTGCGTACTGTAGGTTCAACGAGTGCGGCTAACATCCATTCCCAGTCTGACTTTGTAGCATCCATCGTGAACCAAGGCATGCGCTTGCCATGGAATCGCACTTCAAGTGCCAGTCCGCTTTGAATAAGAAAGTCGGCTACACGATATCCGTTAGTATAGGCCAACTCATTTTGAAGGGGACTCACCAAAGAGAAGATCGGAGAACAACTCAAATCCGGCGTTCTCCAGGACAATGTCGACACGCCCGTTCCCTTGTTCATACGTCTTTGCCACGGTAGTCCAGAGGCGGTCAAGAATGTTCTCAAAGTCCATGTTATGATGTACTCTGAATAAGGCTAGTAATTGTGAGCAAGAGCTCTTGCTCTCTAAAGAGTTCTCGCTCTCTAAAGAGTTCTCACCTCGAACAAGTTTGGTAAACTGCTCTTTGATTACCTCCTTGACCTCGTCGGGAAATAAGCAGTCAGGGATCTCGACGGGAGTCGCATATTCCGACGCCAGGGAGATGACATCCTTGAACGAATTTGCAAGTGATTGATGCTGTTGAGATAGTCAGCTCGCGTTCAAGCATCAATCTTGGGCCTACTTTGTCTCGTTTAAAGGGATCGAAATCTCCCCACCACGTACTGACAGCGAAGCACTCGGCAATTCGGCGATGAACATAGGCCTCTACAAAGAGCGTTGGTGCCGTCGCATATGTCGGTACCGAGCCGAGCTCCTTTGCCATTGCCACGAGTTGGTCATTCCACCAGTGTGCATCGGCACTCACTCCAAAGCGTTTTAATCGTTTGTTCGCGGATAGCTCGGCTTCCAGTGTCTTGAGCCGTTGCAGACATTTGGCCAAGTCGGCAATCTTGTCATCCAGCAGGAGCATCCTATCGTCCACGTCGAGATCGTAGACTGAAGTAGTATGCTGTGTGTAGAGGAAGAGTAAACTCTGTTCGGAGACGGTGCAGTCGAGTGCATATTCCGTTTCCTTTATGGCGCGTCGAACAGCAAGAGGTAGGCGGACAGACAACGTTTCGTGCGCAATCTTCCTCCTCCTCTCCGTCTCCTCTGCCGATACGGTAAACCAAGAGACTGGGGGCGACGCCGTGAGCCATTTCTGACAAGCGTTGACTCCTGCCGTCGGAAGTGGCTTTGAAAGTTCTGCCTTTCGCGATGAATAGACGGGTTCTGGGGCGACACCATCTCGAATAGAGTCCCATCGACCGTAGTTGGCTGGTTTGGGGACGTTGATGATTGGCTGAACGCGGCGCAGGCTATCGGATCTGCCGCGTTGACGGGACGAAGATGACGCGCGCGATCGTCGTCCTTTGACAAGTCGCACCGAGCGCTGTGGAACGGGTGATGGTGAAGGTGATGGGGTTTGCAGGATATGAACCGTCGAAGAGGGGACTGGACTGGATTGCCTCGTTGGCACAACGGTTGCCATCCCAGAGCGAACTCCATCTGGACTGGGACTTTGTGAGCCTCGCGACCAGGAGCGTGTTGGGATAGATGGTCTTCGAGACCGCTTCTCGTAGGCGTTGACAAACGAGCTGAACCCGAGCGGAGACCGGGATCTAGAGAGCGATTGGTGGCTGCTTGCTGAACTGGGTGTGAGCGAGCTCTTCCACGTTGGAGAAAGCAACGATGGGTCGGGTCGTTGGATGAAGATGGGGGATGTCATGCTGCAGGGTCTGTGGATGCAGAGGTTTGACGATCTACAAGGAGACAACCTTTATACGCTTTTGATTTCATGTGCAGGGTAGGTCCGCCCGGTTCATAAAGCCAGCTTTGGGGAGGCTGTTAATACGACAAGAGTGGCGCATTGGGGAGAGAAAATTGAATAGCCTACGATAAGTAGAGTCAGACATTTGTTTTGAAACGCAGCATTCTGAGTGCAAACGTGCACGCCACTCTCAGGATGGGCAAGGGCTCGGCCAGGATCGGAATGGCGATTGTTGTGCTTCGCTCGAGAAGAAGAAAAAAAAAGGACCAAAATAAGCGCCCCAACTGCCAAAGTGCGCAACGGTGCTTTGGTGCTTTGGGGAGGGAGACGGCGGCGCACCGGCGGCTTTGGCATATGAATTCCCGACGCCCTGCGAGATCTCTCAGCAAGATTCAGCACCGAGGTTTCTCCAAATGGAATGTCGGCGCTGCGGTAGGGGTCCTCTGTCTACTCACACCAATGCCTCTTGAAAGCTTATGCAGACGAAAATATAACCTAGGGTAATGATAACCACTTTTTTAAGTGGTTTATAGACGTTGGTATGCGACTGGAAAATTTCTTGCGCTTGTAAAGACCAGTCAGCAACGGATCAAAGCAGTTTCAAGGGGATAATTTGATACCTCTAAATCAATTACAATGCGCAAACCCTCGAGGTGAACACGCCAGAAAAGATGGGTTAAAGGTTTACGCTAATGGGTCGCTGACGGCTACCACGCACTCCCGTAGTTTGTAAAGGATTGTCTTGATTCAAATGGTACTGAAAATAGAGTGATTGAGCATGTAGACATTCACCGGCCCAGCAAATGTCGACGAAAACGCGAGCAGTCGCCGTAAAGGCACTAAGACAATGTCTAGAAACAGAATTCCATTCCTTTATGCACCACTTCGGCTCAGTCGTCTGGCAAAGACGAGTCGACTGGAATTTGACTGGGTGCAAGTTAGGAGAGACTGTTTGCCACTGTTATTCGAGTTTCTCTCGGGTTACTTACTCACTTGTTAGTGTCTTGTGAATCATATCATCCTTTGTCACTCGTCGAATCAACTTTTTGCTCCTCTCCACATTCGCCCTTTGCTTTCAGATCAACACTCGCTCGGCTCTCCGCTCCTTCAATTGTAATCTAAAGCTCTATTCTTCTTGTACTTGCTCTCATCCGACGATGCAAACACCAACCGAAGCAGACCAACACAGTGCCACTCAGCCGCCAACCCCATCTCTGGAGCACTGTGGAATAGTAGAGTGGAAGGCACCTTCTTCTTCTCGGACAATCGACGATGGTGGCCAGCCATTGACCACAGAAGAGGAACTGGTTTGTCCTGGCGCTCCACGCATACCATTCCCAGAGTCACCTGTCCTTGCATCTCCTTCTCCATCCTCTTTTGGCTTCCTCAACTCGTTCACCAATGGAGATACGTATAAACACCTTGCCTATGGAGGTGAGCTTGATAGAAGCGAGATGGTTCAGCAACAGCGTCCCTTGTTTGGTCTCTTTGCCGAGGAGATATCGGAGGACTCGCATGACACCGACGCTTCATCTCAGCGGTCCTCAGCCGAACCTGTGCCGGACGATTCGACGTCGGAGTGTGCAAGAGATACGAAAGGAGCATGTCTTGCCGAAAGGCAATCATCGTGATTATGTTTCTAGTGGCTAGGAGTCTTAAGACAAAATGCTCCGACACGATGCGTAGGTGTGGTGTATCCCGCGTTCTTTCGTCCAATCGGTATAAGTGTAGCTTAGCATTCGACTGTAATGGTACCAGAGTATCATTCATCCTTCTTATAAGGCAACCTTGATCGTCGAAAGAGAATCTCGTCAGTTACTATCCACAAGGGGAACGAACTCATGCCTTGGGTGATTCGGAAGAAATTGATCGCAGCGTGTAGCCCAAGACCTATATGGTTCGCCAAAGACTAGGATCTCAACGAGCACATCATCTCAAGACTGAACCTCACGTACAAAACACACACACACACACACGGTTCTACTTCTAACGACGTCTATTCCAACAAGCACGCCGCACACGCGGCGCAACAAAAGCCCATATAGATCTACAACGAAGAAAAGGCACAACCTCCGCCACCGCCGCGTACACGCAAGAAGAAGCGACGACGCGAGAGAAACACGGAGCGGTGACGAGACGTGCCGAATAAACAGGCGAAAACGATCACGAACCCCCCGATGGGAGGGTTCGAGTGCGAATCGAAAAATGAAAACGGAGGGAAACTGTGGTTGAGGGGGGGGAGTGGTATGAACACAGGCAAACGACGGCGTGTGAATGGGCCGCGTTGATACATTGACGTCTTTCTTTCCTTCTTTGCTTTTTCCTTCTACTTTCCTTTGGTTTGACTTGGTTACTTGCAAGTTTGTTTCGTTGATAAATTCTTCTGCCGCTGGAATGATATTCGATGACTTCTTCTTGAGAGCGTGTTCCGACTTGTACTTGCGAGCAAGCCGACCTCGTATGACGAGTGTTTGTCGAATGGAGATGGCCCACTGAGCCCCATGTAGTTGCACCGTCTCTGCTCGCCCGTGGGGTGGATGAGCAAAGCAGAGAGATGGTGAAAAAAAAAGCATGGGTGTAAAAGCGGAGACTTGCTGAATAGATTACAGAATAATTATCGAACATTGCTGGTCGATAGCTGAGTTGAGAGTTGGAGAGAGGTTGGCGGATGCGAATGGATGGGGGTGACGACGAGTCAACGTCGAGAAGGGATGCTGGGGTGAGTGTGTCGTGTGTGAGCGCTGACGAAAATGCTGAATAGAGTGTGTACAGCCGAGTTGAGTTGAATAGATCCCAGATGACGGCCGGTCGAGTAGGGTCAGAGGATGGCCAAGGTCCACAGGAGGAAAAGGTAAAGGGTTCGTGAAGGGGAAGAGCGACGATGGGTCGTCAGGGGGGGGATGTCGTAGTGTGTGTCATAAAGTCGTGAATGAACGAGCACTGTGGTAATGATGCCAGGGAAACGAAAACGCCGTGAGTTGGATTTGGCGTTTTAACGGCGGGTTGCAGAGTGCACACGAGGAGGATGACGATCGGTCGAAGTGGAACGAGGTGGTTGGATGGGTTCCAAATGCGGACGCGAGCCGAAGCGAGAAAGAGAGCCTGGAGGGAAGAGGGCTTGGTCAGTGTCGTTTCGAGAAAACCAGATCGGAAGAGAAATGATTGGGGCAAGCGAGAGGAAAGCGTAAGCAAGGGTTAGGGCAAAAACGTCGACGAGGGCGGCATGAGAGGGTGACAAAAAGATAGGCGTGCATAACAGCTGGTCGTGATGCGTCCCTGAAAGAACGTGAAAGAAATCGTGGATGTTGGATGGCCTCATGAACCAGGATGAGGGGGAGACGCAGCACGATGTAGCGGGACGGACGGAAATGGCGCCCAAAATGTTTAGTTTGAATGGAAGAAAGAAATAAGCTCTGTCTCTCGTGGGCGCAGCCACCAGAGGTAAACACGCGCAAGTCATGCGTCGAGAGTCGGTAGTCGAGAGTGTCACGTGTGGACCCACGCCAATGGCAGGGAATTTCTGATAATGGCAAGGATGACAATGATTGGAATCGATCGGGTGAGGAGAGGAGTGGGTATGGTCGGATAATAAAAACAGAAAAACGATAACGGACAAAACCAGCCAACCAAATAAAGACGCAAAAAATAAACGCGGTGAAAGGGCCGTGTCAGGGATGGCAAGGGACGTTGTGCAGGGCTGCAAAGAGCGAATAGGGGATATACGTACCAAGCTCGTCGTCGCCGGCCAGGATATTGGCCGGTGGGCGTTGAGAGTCGAGGTGTACGCCATGGAGTGCATCGGATAGAGGTCGTGGAACGGTGGGTAGACGGCCAGGGTTTCGTCGTCGTCCATGGGCAGTCCATCATCATCATCCAGTGCATGCTCCTCGTGGTCAAAGAGAGAGTATCCGAGTCGTGGATCATACACGAGGTGTGGGAGTGTGATCCCATTCGATGCCCACTCGTCTTCTTCAGCGTCGATATCCGACGATGGGTCTAGGAAATAGTCGACCTCCGCGTCTGTCGCATCTGAAAATGTGCTCGACGGGAGAAGGAGGCGGGATCCATTGGTCGTAGCTCGCAGGCGGAATCCACTGTTCAAATGTGTCTGTGCGCGGTTGATCCTCGTCGAGATTCTCTGTTATTTACTGTCAGTAGATGATAATAAAAACAACAACATAATAAATGATACATACTGGGTGGCTGCCATTGCGTAAACTCGACCTGGTCTGTCGTCGTCGTCGTCGTCGTCGTCTCTGACCACCGACGCATCATCCGACGCGCTCGCTGGGCCTCTTGCTGCTCCCGTCGCTCAAAGGATGCAATACGAGCGAGAAAGTCTGCCTCGGAGATGGCCTGTACGCCTCCTTGATCGTCATTGTTGGCAGATTCCAGACGATGTTTAGCAAGTTGCTCGTCGAAACCCAAGTCGACGGCGGTTGCTGCAGCCGTCGTCGAGAACAAGGACGGGTCGGCGTTTGTCATCTGGGAAGAGTTCAAGGAGCAGGAGCAGAGGAGAGTGAGGAGGAGGGGGGAGACGAGAGGACGAAAAGGACGCGAAAAGATGATACAACGCAGACTTTGACCATTTTATAAATGCAATTTTGAGCCGAATGAATATGCGCCCACGAGGCTCGCCAGCACGCGCCCGAGACGCAAGTTGATTGGCTCAAGGGCCAGACATGCGCAACTGCGTCCATCCACAAAAAGGTCGTGTAAGAGTCAGCCCTGAACATGTAACACCACGCTGTATGATCACCCGCCCCCACTAGCTCGGTCCGACCCCCCCGACGCGCGACACACGGACGGCCATTGCCGACGTATGATATTCACAAGACGAGAGCTATATAATGACAGTTCACTCGGAAATCACTAAAAAGGGCATCAGCATACATATCACAACTTTGTACACCCAACCACTCACGCTACACCCTCCTCCTCCACATCCCCCACAACCAGATCCTCCACATGAAGATCCACACGCACCAGACGTGCAACCCGTACACCCTCCGTCCCCTCCTCCACTCCCACACGCCCCTGCAATACCACACCCATAACCACCATAGAACCTAGAGATTCATCCAGTGACGTATACGAGCCCAAGAAAAGATGCGTACCCAAGTGGAATCGCAGCAGACACCCCCCAGTAAGGGTAATACGCCGCATACGAGTGTGAATCTGTAAACGCTTCCTTGTGTCCCTCTCTCTTGCTCCTCTCCGCTTGAAGTCCCCTCCACGGATCACGCGCCGCGCCATTGCGGGCACTCGCAACACACTTGTCCACTCTATGCTGTCTGTCCGCTCGAACTTTGGCCATGGTGGCATCACTCGGGTTGACAAACTTAATCGTGTGTTCAGATGGATGAGACGAGTCCGCCTCGTCTTCTTCCGTGCTCACAAGGTCCGGTCGTGTGTTGTTCGCCGGTGATCCATGGCTGTCGTCTCGTTTCTTGAATCCACTCGAAATCTTGAACGCGAATTTGCTTATGCGTGACTCTGGTTCACCGTCCGGTACGCACCCACAGATACTGTACGGAACCCCGAATCTCCTCTTCCAAGCCTTGGCAGTGAGGTCATATGCAGTCGAGAGAATGTTTGGTCCGATATTGTCGTCGTGGTTAGGGAATCTTCCAACAAGTTGGGTCGTGGATGCTCGATAGTGGACACTTTTCAGTTGATGGGTGTGCCATGCCAGGTCCTAAATGAGGGTAAGGTGGAATCACTACGTGATCTAGAAATCCTCACAATGTCCTATGTGAAAATGAGCGTCAGTGAATACGAATACGGCACTTCATACCAAAGTAGGCACGCAAAAGGTAGAGTTGTGGGCTATCATAAGGTCCAGAAACGCATGGTAGCGTGCAATGGAGCGCACCAACGGCGCGGATTCAGATACCAAATCAAACCGGCCAGGCCGAGTCCATCCAAGTTCGTCCATCTTCGAAATAAAGGATCCCTGTCGTAAGACTGCGCCCACAAGATCAAGAGACGCCAACCCAGGGTTACTATATGCAACCGCGAGCCGCTGGAGACTGTAAAGGCGTCAGACGTGACATGCATAGAAACCATTCGCACCGAGGATTTCGCTTACTTCGATCAGGTAGTGAATTTGGCCTGAGACCCTCATGCAACCGGTCGCAGAGTATCTCAAAATCCCAATTCAACACCCGACCGAGTTTGGCTGCCTCCTCTTCTGCATTTGGGCCCTGTAGAACGCTCAGGGCTTTGTACTGGCCATCCAGTGCCTATATCGTCTTAGAACTATAGAACAATGATTGCCGTCTGGACAGACCTTGAACGCCTTTGCGATGAATTTTCGGGCCGCTGCTTCATCGACCTTTCCGGTAGGAGGGTCCAGCAGTGTCTCACTAATCTAAAGTTAGAACAACTCCAGAGGGAACCAAAACACGCACGAAAAGAAGACTACCGAGCCGGATCTTCGAAGTGACACTTCGTCTACAAAGCGACGCATGCCGAGTGCGACTTTGTTAAAGTCTTTGTAACACGACTGACACAGATGCGTAAACTTTGTTTGCGCATAACCAGTGTCGTGGTCCGTCACCCATCTCACATTCGGATTGGCATTCTTGCAGAATGGGCAATAGACGCAAAGAGTTTCTGTGGATTCTGTAGAAAGTGGCATATACCACGAGAGTTTGGTCATTCGCTCGAAGAACTGCTGTCTCTCCGTCGAAGGAGGCAGAGGGTCCAGAGTTTGACCATCGATGAGGGATGCAATTAATGTCAGCGGCATTTCACTGTGAGAACCCAAGTCAGAGCATGTGGCCATCCAAGGTCGTTAACGTACGCAAGCTTGCGCAGGTTATTCGCATAGACTGATTCCATACGCTGGCTGTCCTCGAAATACGTCCTCGGATTCTAAGACGAGATCAGGATCGGTAAATAACCAAGGTGAATTCTCGTACGAGTAGATATGTATGCCAGACCATCAGTACATCGAGCGGCGGTACTCGCGTCTCGTCCAACCCGGGCTCAGACGGTATCCATAGTGCGTTTACCCATTCAAAGAATCGAAATACGGCACGGTTGACAAAGACGACCCAGGCAGTGTCCTTGCTTCTTGCAGAGACGCCCCGAGTCTGAACGTCAGACTTGAGTTTGGAGATTGCACCAAGAAGACGGAGATGAGCTTGAAGTTCTGTCACGTTGACCAATGGAGCCGTGCGGTGAACTCCGATTGGAAAGGTGGGGGGCAATTCTGTTGGATATTGCGTATAGACTGGTGCGGGCTCCTGGGATTGCATATTGGCGAGTTGAAGGAACCTACCCTAGACTCCAAGGCCCGTCTTATAGTCCGCAGTGAAGGCCTAGCCCAGCGCTGTCTCCCGGGCTCGGAGACAGGTTTCAATTTCAAACTCGGGTGACGAAAAGCCCACGTTCGCCAATCATCTCCACGGAATTGACATATGGGACACCCTTGAAATGTCTATACCGTCCTGCCAAGGGAGGCATTGGATCCGACCCCACGTCCATCAGGGGCAATTGAGTCTCTCAATAACGTACGCGATGCAAAAATAGCACGCTCTACCCGATATGTATTCAGCGGATGGTTAGAGGCGGGGTTCAAGATGCGGGGACCCAGCTTTGGCGCCTAAAGTCCTCCGTTCCCGAATACTTGCAATCAGCAAAAGCGCTTATACCAAGTATCTTAGCTGAGTTACATTCGAATTCAATGCCGCGAGACTTGTTGATTGAGAGGTGGTCAAATTGCTTACGGTGATCTATCCAGGTCTCATGCCGCCTCAATGCCAGTATAATGGACGATGACCTTGACAAATTGGGCAAATACATCTAACCCGGGCTTCAAGAACGCTTGAGCCCCCATTGCACGAGAGAAAGAGAGGATCCACCCACCTAACAGTAATCCCGACGCGCGACTTACGGAGGGTCATTGCTAACTCAGCTAATAAGTAGAAATTCGGTCATATATTCACTCCTTGTACACCGCACCTCACTGGGCCCCATCTTTTCGCACACTCGTCCAAGAGAGACCACATCGAAAATGCGTAAAATCAAGTTTGGTCGCACGGAACTGACTCGCCGTTGGTATAATTGGAAGAAGCCGAGGATTAAGTATCCCATATCTATTTTCTGGTGGAACCCAGAAGAGAAGGTTACCAGACGACTGCACCCAGCCATCGTGCGAAAGCGAGCACCGTTTGAATCCAGGAACAGAAATTTTCAGGAGAGTACCGGGTAAGCTTTCATCTGAAGAAGACTGCGTGTCATCCTGATCAAAGTTAGTTGCTAGTGATACTTGTCAGATTATGATGCACAAGCTGCGCTAATTGAAAACGATGCTTACTAGTATATATTATAATTGCCTCATAAGAGGTGAGGACGATTCGTGAGCCGTCTTGCGAAAACGAGGCGGTCAGCCTGGGCGACAGTAGCCTGGGCGACAGTGAGGGATGTCTGAGTCGCTCTTCCACCAGTTTACATCCCATGTTAGAATAGTCCCGTGTTCCGAGATAGATATGATTCGTGAGCCGTCTGGAGAGAATCCAACAGCGTGGACCGAGCCTTCGTGACCTCGAAGTGGCTCCCCCAGAGGCTGACCAGAGTTGGCATACCATAGTCGTATCGTCTTGCCATACGAGCTGGAGACAATTTTTAAGCCATCTGGAGAGAATCCGACGGCATAGACCGAGCCTTCGTGACCTCGAAGTGGCTCCCCCAGAGGCTGACCAGAGTTGGCATACCATAGTCGCATCGTCTTGCCATACGAGCCAGAGACGATTTGTGAGCCATCTGGAGAGAATCCGACAGCGCTGACCGAGCCTTCGTAACCTCGAAGTGGCTCCCCTAATTGTTGCCCAGTCTCGGCATCCCACAGCCGAATCGTCTTGCCATCCGAGCCAGAGACAATTTGTGAGCCGTCTGGAGAGAATCCGACAGCAAGGACCAAGCTTTCGTGACCTCGAAGTGCCCCCCCCAAAGGCTGACCAGAACCGGCATCCCATAGTCAAATTGTTGCACCAAACGAGCCAGAGGCAATAATCTACCCGTCTGGAGAGAATCGAGCCGCGAGGGGAAAGCCATCGAGGTCTCGAAGTGGCTCCTCAAACGGCCCCCCAAACGGCTGACCATTTTCTGCATCCCATAGTCGAATTGTCCCATCGTACGAGGTAGAGACAATTCGTTCATCGACAGTATCGCGATGATTGACGCCGTGGAGGCGGTCCTCTATCTTGGCTTTGATAGAGAGCGATCCTAGGACTTCTTCGATGACAGGGCCTGGCCGACTTGTCATGAGTATCTTTAGGTTTTTGCTTTCCTGAACAGCCGCAGAGAGGATTTCGACAAGCTCCTTTTGCTGTGAGACAGACTTGCATTCGTCGAGGGCATCGACGACAAGGATTACATGCCCTTGCCGATGATAGAGAGGTCCAGCGACGAGCGTCTTGAATTGCTCGTCAAGGGAGCTTCGCACGATGGAAGGGTTCTGCTTGACGGCTCCGGCGACGTGTGGCGCGAGCTGGGGTATGTAATGGACAAGGTCTCTTGCTATGGTCGAACAAAATTTGTCGGTGATCGATCCTTCGCTGCTTGCCATGGAGAAGAAGAATTGTCCGCCTAGCACCCCCTTTGTCTTCCACTTTTCCGCTGCGGACATTGCGATTGTGGATTTGCCGGAACCGGCAATGTCGCAGATCCAAAATATCGGCTTGTCCGATGTATCGTCGTCGGCCCAGTGCCAGATCATGTCAAGAACGGCCTCGCGCGTTCCTTTAAGACAGGCGTTGTGGACCGAAGAAGCGATGAACGCTACGATTGGAAGCTGGAGGATGGCAGCGGTGTCGACTGTAAATGATAAGCAGCAAGTCTGATAAAATCTCTAGCTTACCGTCGGATAGGTTTGTTTCTACGTTGACCTTTGTAACCTTCAGGTTGGCCTTGGTCATTTCCACGTCGGCCTTCATAACCTCCACATTATCTTTGGTGCCCTTTGTATTCAGATCGACGATTTGAATCCGCAAGGTGGTAAAAAACACCCAACGCGACCTGTCATCACCTCGGTGAAGTTGTGCCCAGCCTGGCTCATGCTCGTACCATGAACTGTCTATAGCGATCTTCGACATCTCTATTGAGTTTACGAATCTCTCCCATGTCAATCTTTACTTTGGTGAATGCTTTGAACAAGTTTCGGCTGCGTTTCTCCGTGATATTGACGACCGTGTCGTGTATATCTTCGAGAGATCTGCATCATTTAGCCTCTCTAAGTCGATCTGTACTGCTCACGCACTCGATATAGTTGATAAGTGGCCGGCTGAAAGCCTCGTCGACGGCTCTATCCTCTGGCGGATATGCCTCGAACAAGGCGATTTGTTCCTCGAGCACGGACATGTATTCATTGACGCGTCGGATTAGGTCGAGCCATTCTTCCTGGTTGTTGTCTATTGCCTGGCTTGTTGGTCAGATGGGCGATAACATGACAGATTCGCCGACTTGCCCGCATGATTTCGAGTATAGACTTTGTTGTTCGACAAGTTGCTTTGAGAGGAGCGAGTATATCTGATCCTTTGGCTATGTTTGCGACTATATCGAGACCGACGGTGGCCGTGTCGTACAATTGGCCCTTTTTGCTCGATGATCCTGATGTATTAGCATTACTTTGCCGCTTCTTGTCATTATCTCATGGTTTCTTGGACTTGAATGGCCTTTGAGCTGGTCAAGTGGTCGGCGTCTGTACAACACTAGAAATGAATTTGGTATACATTGCTTCCTCGGAATCTGGCAACGGAGAAGCCGGATGAAGGGACATCTATTGGACGCTTGTCGGAAGCTGAACGGTTAGCGGCGAAACTGTCTAGCGGAGGTAAGCATATGGACGAGGCTTGCCGATGCAAGGGGCTGTGATTACACTGTAAGGATCCATCGGACGCGGATAATCGTGTTCAGCGTCATTCTTAGTCATATTATACATTCTTCTAATGATATTTCTTTGCTTCTTACGGCTGAGAGTGACGGCCGAGCTGGGTCCATGTGCTACAGACGTGACCGTATGGTCTCTCCAACTCAATGGCCGCCGTCTTACTTACTCCCGACCCCCTCCAGCTGTTTCTGCGAGGCTGATTGACGAGCTGCACCTACGACTGTTCGAGTGCACTCTGCAGCATCTTCAGCTCCAGATTATCGCAGTTGTTTTCCAACAGAGGCTCGTAGCCGCTCAGCGCTCGCCTCTTGGATCTTTCCCCCCTCTCCCGTCCACTCCCCCCGTCGTTTTATGCGTCATTACTAGCTGATTCCTCTCTATTCTATCCACTTGCAATTTTTCCTGAATTTTCCTTCTTGATGCACTCTTCCACCGCCGCCAACAAGACGCCTCTCCGCAGAGTGTCTACGCATGCATCCAACACAACCACTTCTTCTCGTCTTGCTCCTTCTCCTCAGCCCCGTCTATCGACAGATTCACGCCTGCTAGAGGAGATTCTTCACGACGGCGACGAGATTGGTCCTGGCCTCTGCATCCTCGGCCAGCCAATTTCCATCGTCCACGCCCGCACGGCCCATGTCAATCCCCTCCGTGTCCTTAGAAAGCTCGGGACAGGCACCTATGCCGTCGTTTATCTCGTCCAGGAGATGGTAGGAGACCACTCAACCTTTCTCGACATTATGGACGACTCTCCGCCAGCCTCACCGGCTCCGGTTGGTCGTCTATTTGCGCTCAAATGCCTCATCAAGCACGCTCAAGACCAAGAGGCTCAGTTGCAAGAAGCCACGATCCACCATTCGTTGCCGATTCATGACAATGTGGTCACCTTATGGACGACGCTCGAAACGGCTTCTTACCTCTTGCTCGTCCTCGACTATGTCCCCGGCAAAGATTTGTTCTACTTCCTCGAGCAGCAGCGGGACTATGAGGAAACACCGCCTGCACCGGATCGAGTGCTCCAGCCCCTTTCTTACCCGCGGCTCCGTCTTCTCGCGTCCATGTTCACCCAAATGTGCGATGCAGTTGCCCATTGCCACAGAAACCGCGTCTTTCATCGCGACATCAAGCCCGAAAACTTCATGGTCACCGACGAGCGTATCTACAACCCGGCCACTCGCCAAGACGAGCGCAGAGTCACCGTCAAGCTCACCGACTTTGGCCTCGCCACGCGTGACGTGTATTCGGGCGATATGGACTGTGGCAGCGCGCCATACATGAGCTTCGGTAGGTACCGCGTGCTCGTCCCCGATAACGGCCAAATGACCCATTTACAGAATGCAATAACAATATTACCCCGACATATGCGACTGGTCCGGCCGACGTATGGTCGCTGGGCATCGTGCTCATCAACATGCTCTACCACGGCAACCCGTGGCGAACAACGGCGATTGGCCAATGCACCTCTTTCGACTATTTCCTGCGAGAGCCTATTGCGTTCTTTATGGAGCAGTTTGATGGGCTCACACCTGCCGTCGCAGAGTTTTTCGCGCGCCGCATCTTTTGTCTCTTGGAACCGCCCATGCCTCCGAGTGCAGACAATGGAATCGTCAACCCTGCCGTCTACTCAGCCAATATTGGCTGTCGAATCACCGCAGAGCAGTTTGGTATCTGGGCTCGCGACCTTGCGCTTCACCTCGGGCCTTCGGCTAGGCGTACGCCCGCACTCGCCTTTCAACCGATGCCGGAGCCTGCACTGGATCCACAAGTCAATTCATATGCAACTCGTCCTCGTTCACCCCCAGAGGCCAACAGGCTTGCGCCGTCGGTCTCACAGCCAGGTACCCGCACCCCTTCTCCTTCGTACCGCAACCGTCCTCCTGCCCCCATTCATGCTTCCGTGCTCGCGGCCAATCAAGCCAATGGTGTAACCCCAGAGTCGGATGATGACGATTCGGATTTCGAGCGCTCGCGGACAGCGTCCAGCAAGCGGAGGAAACGCGCTCCACGTGGAAAGTCGCAGGTGTCCCACCACCACCAGCAACAGCCGCAGCCGTCGATGGAAACTTCTTCGTCTGCTGCAGCAGAGTATGCTGCCAGTGTTCGAGCTGCTTCCGATCGGCGTCTGTTGGATCTCGCCGAAAAGTCGCAGCTCGTTGCGCGAGAGGCTAGTCTGATCAAGGCGCAGAAGACGCCGCCGCCAGCAGCGTTTACGCCACTTGGTCCAGCTCATACTCCCATCCCCAATGTCTCTGTCAACGTGGTCCCTGCGACGCCTGCACCGACTGCGCCTGTTGCTGTCCCTCGCTCGACGCCCGAGTTGCGGAAGAAGAAGTCGGCTGGGTGGACTGCTATTTTCCAACGGGATTCTACTTCAGACCAAGAGATGCCTTCGGCTGCAGAGCTGGCTGCGATTGATCCCGAGGTCGAGGAGAGAAACTCGCTCTCGTTTCCCTCGCCCATCTCGACAGCAGATACAAAGCAAACGGCGACTGTTCGCAATGTGTCGAATCTCATCATGGGTCTCGATTCGTCTGCACCTCCTGCTCATCCGTCGTCTACTTCCGGTCGTAGTCCCCTGGAGGCGTATGATGACAATGTGCCGTGGAGTGGACGCAGCTCCAGCTTGTCTTCGCGTGGACGACGCAAGGACCGGGGTGGTGGTGCAGGTCGTGGAGACGGTCGTCGTGAAGTCTCGCCTGGCTCGCTCATGTCCGTGTCGACTGGGAGCACATCCAACAGCTGGATACGTGGTCGATCCGCTCCATCGACCAACGATCGCAAGTCACGTTCCAAGAGCCCTACCGCGTCGGCTATTGCTCAGTTTAACATCCTCGCGCCTTCGCCAAACGAGACACCACGCAATGCTGTCCCGCCTTCGCAAAAGTTGATCTACGTTCGCGAAGAACCGCCGCCGCCTGTCCCTGCGGTGCCAGAACCGTACCGCGCTCATGTTCCTGTACCACACCAAGTCGACCCGCAAAGCGCTGTAGGTCCATCTGGTCACCGTCGCTCGTATGCACCGTCTATCAACAGTATCTCGACCACCACCACGTCTTCGTCGGCGTTTACGGCGTTTAGTGGCAAGAAGGGCTGGCGAAACTCGGGCGCGACGAGCAGCTCGCGGGCCAGTGTGCATAGTGTTTCTACGACTGCCACGAGCCTGTCTTCTGGCTCTGGTTCGTGGAGAGCTGCTGCCAATGGGAAGAAGGGCGACCCACCACCGCTTCCTGCGACCAATATCAAGAGTGCGTAACGCGTTGATTGGGTTTGAGATTTAGGACTAACAAATCTACAGAGATTGATGGTATTCCATGGATGCTAGACGAATTGCCGCGTCAAATGACCCACAAGCCAAAGGAACACGTCTTCCCTCCCATGCCCAACAAGAAGGCCAATCGACGTCGACCACCAAGTGCGCCTACGTCGCCTACTGGTCCCACATTCTCACTCGACCCAATCTCGGAGCGGCCGAGAAAGAGCTCGATGAAGCCGCCACGCTCTGCTGCTTCCATTGCACCATCGATGGTCTCATCCACCGTAGACGAGCCCGTCATGTACGAGAGCGGTGGTCTCGACGCCGAAGCCAAGTCGTTTGGAGCCGGACGTGGAGGGGTTAGCGGGCTGTCGATTGATACAGAGTCGGCGAATCATCTCGCTGGGTATGCTGCGCCTACGATGGACGTTAATCCTGTTGCGTCCAAGCCGCCAAAGACACCGACAAAGTCGTGGCTGCGCTGGCGAAAGTGAACAATCCTTCCCTCCCCGCCTCGCGTCGTCTCCTCATCCGTCCTGAGATGGCGCGCGGTATTCCGACGGCAAATTCTCTCTCTGGCTCCATGAATCGCGTCCCTAATCGGCTCCCATCTTCGCCACGCAGTCGCTGCATAGAAGCTGCAAAGTCGCCCTTTAAACTTTAACCCGCTACCGCATACCTAATCACCATCACAACAACTACACTCTTTGACCTCGATTTTATCCACTATTTTTTCGCCAACCCTCCAACCTCTTTGTCCGAAAACGAGCTGTCTCTCCTTTTTTTTGTGTGTTTGTGTCCGCCTAGTGTTGTTTCACTCGTGCAAACATTCCCAAACCCCCATGCCTCGATCTCGTCGCGTATGTCGCGCCGTTGGTGGCTCATACAAGGCTACTACAGCGGCTGACGTGCGTGCGTGCCGTGTGCGCACGTCGGTTTTTATATCAATCCAACCCCTTCTTCTCACCGTACGAGCTATCTTGCTCACGAGCTTCGGTGGTCGAAAGGGACCGGTCTGTCAACTGTTGTCGCCAGTGATTGGAATCCAAAGCGTTTTTTTTGCCGTCTTTTGGGCTGTGGCGTTGTGAGTTTTGGAGACGCTCGTGAGTCGTCAATGCGTATTCTGAGAATGGGTTCGGTCGTACAATTCTTTTCTGAGTGGGTCGAGGCGTCGTGGGTAGTGGCTTGTGGAGAGCTTGAGCCGTTACGACTGCGTGCTTGAGAGTAATGCTTATTCAACTCACAGGCTTTTATGGTCTATACACCTCTTGGTGTCCCTCTCCCGTGCTCGGCTTATGAACCCATCGAAATAGTATGTGGGCAGGACTAGATTCGACTTTTCGACAGTATATAAACTGTGGAGTTGGATATCCAGGCCATTTGGGTCGCAATGGCCAACGCTGTGGCCGAGTAAATCAAGTTGGCAATGGCTCAAGAGGATGGGTTTGTTAGGGTGATTAACAAGCGCGAGGTGGCCCAGTGGTTAAGGCGCAGCCACTGGGGTGTCTCGCGCCGTTGTCGGGGTTCGAATTCGATGTGCCCCGGTTCGAATCCCGGGGATCCCATGGCCGAAGGGTGGGCTCTGTTAAACTCCCCCAAGGGTGACCGCCAAGGTCAATAGCTCGCGCACCTATTGACTGACAACGGTACATTCGCGGCTGGGTTGCAGGTGACCCTTCAAAAGGCCAGGCCTCGATAGTGGCAAAGAGGTAAAGGTTCCTTTTTGACCTGGCCACTGGCTCACTTTAGAACTCGACACCAAAGGGAGCTCTCTCTAGACAAGACCTTGCTTGATGCTGGTCAACTCTGCTGGAGATTGCGAGTACAGCGGGTTGGAATATAGACGGCTCAATTCCAAAGCCTTCTCAATTGTATCTCATTGAATTGGCCTATTTCAAGCCAGTTTGGTCATCTATTTGGCAAGGCCGTCACTTGAACTCTAACGCCATCAGTGACCCTGCCGTTGATCGTGGCATCAAGGGCTGTATGTCGTTCAAAATCTATACGAGTTGCTTCAGGCGACTCAAGTGATCTGTCATCTCATCTTTTATGATCCATCGGCTCCATCAGATGGCCCTCTCGGTCGCTCATTCCCTTCCTTTATGAATCGGTGCATTGGCACGTCTATCGGACACAGAACTATCATAGAGCGTAGAGACTTGCACACATCGTCGTGCGTACAATCGCCCGATGGCTCCATCCTTTCGCTCCCATTTGCTTCGTGTCCAGTCGGCATCAGAACTTTACCACACGCCACAGATGTAGCTTCTTCGGTAGTCTAATCCACACCAGGCCCTAAGGTCATGCAGTTGAACTCGGCGTCCTCTTGCAGGGTTGCCTCTCTCGCTGCATGCTTTTCTGCCTGGGATACGATTGAACTAGCAAGGATTCACGTGTAATGCGAGGCATTGTTGTACTCTAGTGCCAAAGACTCACTCCAGAAGTTGGCCACGGAACACGGATCGGATTAAGTAGATTTACATCGTAGAAATAGATCGCTTTCAATGTAATCTGACTGTCGGCGTGAGAGTAAAGTCAGATGGTGTATCAGTATTGGAGATGACTTTTGCTGAGGTAAGCGTACCACTTTGAAGTCCAACTCGTCGGCCCACTCCAGCCTTCTGTTCAGACAATCAGTGCCCGAGTAATCATAGATCTCACCATTCAACTGTCTCTGGGTATTTGAAGCGTCCTGTCGTTTTAATTGGAGCCCATTTCCAACGACGACGCGTTAGCCCAGGTGCGTGGAAGGTTTCCTCGCTCTTTTGCTGAGGAGACATGATTGAGTAGTCTGTATATATGGCTAAAACGTGCTTGACGCTTCGAAAGTATGTGGATTGTGGAAGAATGTAAAAGGCAAATCGTGATGTTTCGACAGCATCCGTCTACCGTCCGCACTATGTTTACCCTTCTGGATACTATTAACGAACCAGGTTCCCATTTTAGCTACTCCCCTTATGTCTGAGTGCTTGGAACTAACACGAATTGGCTGCTATGGGATCTCCGCTACAAATCGTTATATAGGTCCTTCAATGCGTAATAAGCTACCTTGGTCGATCCACTTGAATAACCTCGTCGAAAACTCCATTCCAAGTCACGCAGCGTTCAAAAGTAAAACATTTGATTGGCACAGTCAAACTACCTAAGAGTACAAGCTTGTCTACACAAGGTTGTAGAGCGTCGAATCAAAAAGTTCGTAGTCGGAGTTGCAAAGCGTCGCATTAGAGTTGCAGTCAAGGTGAGGGAGGATCCCGTCCACATAATGAACACATAGATGGAGAGTCGATGAGTCTTTGGATACTTCTAGAGTCTAACAAAAATAGCACTGAGCCATTCAGGCCTCGATGATCCCAGAGGCGCTAGGCCAGACGCCATTGCCAGACCTCGACAGACTGAGGGAAAGCTTGCCCTGTTCCTTCTTCTGTCGGATGCCTTTGACCTCTTGTCGGATCAGGTCACGCAGGCGCTCGAGGTCGACAAGACGGTCAGCTTTCGAGCCCATAATGAGATTGCGCCAAATGGCCGCAGCGGCAACAGAATTGTCGACTTGAAGCTGCAACGGTCGGTGGAGGCGGATCATGCGTTGAACGACTTGATCCGGAGCCGGGTACGCGTCGTTGGCAAACGCCATACGAATACCAAACCACCATCCAAGTGGCTATTAAACAAGTTAGAATGCGCGAAGAAATCACGAGAGCGACGTACTCGGCCATCAGGAAGTGACTTTTCAAGATAGGTGTCATACGTGATGATCGAGGCGTCTGGCAACGAGAACCTGGGACAATTGTCAGAGAGGTTGATAGCGGCGGCGACAAACAATGCTCACCGGTGAACTACCCAGTGATTGTCCTCTCGTCTGTGCCGTGTCAAAGCGAGGATGAGCTTGGGATGTCCACGGAAGCCGAATGGTGTCCATAGCTCGCGGAGCATGACGGAGACCTCTTCGTGGCGGCCATTGTACGCAGCATTGTTAATTGCGTCTGCGATATTCGGTGGGACAAACATCTTGTCGACAGTGGCGGGAGGATATTGCGTCATCTGCGCGCGTACATATCGCTTGTAGATCTGAGAGGTCCAGATGGTGAGTGCAACTTCGTCGACTTGTTCGCCACGGTCACACGACTTGAGAGCATTCTCCAGTTCGGTATAGGGCCAGATGACTGCCCAGTTGAGAAGGCGCTGGTTGACCTTGAGCCACGGTGGTGGTTGGTCCGCCTCTGTAGAATACTTGGCGACCCAGTCACCACCTTCTTGATCCCCTGGGCTAGTGACATTGCCGCCGGTCTGAGAGTTGGAGTCCTGGCGACGATGGCCACCGCGTGTGCCTTTAGTAGGGCTGCGGCCGTAATAATCAGAGTCATGAATAGCGTTGTCTTCTCCATTGAGAACAGATCCTCCCCAGCAGGTCCTTCCTCTTCTTCAATTTCCCATGTTGCATGCGAACGGGGTGAGGCGTGAGCATTCCGCTTGCGCAGCTTGTACACTTCTTCATCGTACAGTCGTTCTCCGGGTGAAATGAGACCAGCCGCAGGAGGTTCGACTATGTCATGTCAGGAGGATAACAAAAGCAATGAGACGACGTACTGTTCAAGTGATCTGGCTGATAACTAAGCCCGTGCTCGTCGGCTGCATGCTCAGGATGCAAGGAATCGTCATCTTCCTCTTCTTCTCTACCCTTGATTTGACGAGGCTGAGACTTGCCCATATTCGCTGCTTGGAACTGGCGTGTAAGTTCCTGGACATGGTCGGAAAGAAGTCTCGCCCATTCGGGGGCCTGAAAGATGTCAGTTGCGCATAGTGTAGTACCAGGTAAGCTTACCTCATCTGGAAGGCGGGCGGTCACAATATCTCGCGGGTCTCCGAATGCTTGTTTGTGAAGCTTGGCAGCCATCGAAGGCGTGCGCTTGACAGTCTAAAAACAGTCAATAATTATAGGGATATTTCACTCGGTACTCACATCGTAGTCCTCGTTGAGTCCAAGCTTCCTAAGCCGTCCAGCAATGGCCTTTCTGACGGCTTTACGAACGACCGGATGCTGAAGCTCGTCCTCGGCGGCTTGCAGCAACACGCAAAGATCTTCGTCGTGATGCAAGTCGAGGGCTCGCTGAACCTCTTCGCTGTAGTCAATGGCCTCACTGCGCATAGCAGGTGTCCGGAGCATCTCTACGAGTTGACGCTCGTTCATTCCTTCTACATCGACAATCTCAGTCTCTGGATAGTCTCGAAGTACGAGTGCATCTGGCCGGGCTTTTGGAGTGGTAGAACGAATGGTCTCTTTATCGACGACATCGTAGTGTTCTTGAATGTGATGGCCAATATCTGCATCATCGTCAATGTGACCAATAGACTCTGCCGGCTCAGGCTCGGGAGCGGCGTGGACCTCTTCACGAACCACGACGACATCAGGTTCGTCGTCTACGAGCTCGTGAACGTGACTGAGAACATGCTCGTCTGCTGGTGCGGTCTCAATGACACCTCCACGCCCATGACCCGTGTTGAGGGTGACGGTGTTGACAACGGGAGTCTTGGCGGCGGAACTGGGAGTGCGTACATGCTGTTCAGGAGTGCTCACGCGAGGCGGATTGACATCTTTAGAATCAAGAGGGGGAGAAATGAGTTTTAGTTTGAGCGTACTGACGACGGTAGGGGGATCGTGCTTCCCATACTGCGTACGATGAAACCATGGAGTTTCATACGCAGCCGCAGTGAGAGGCGCGTCCGGGGCGCGGGAGTGCTTGTGGGCAGAGGAATCCTCACCTCTGACGACCATACGAGAACCAGGTCGGGAAACGCCCGCTGCACTCGCGGCGCGGTTTGCTGGATGAGCAGGAAGAGCAACACTGGCAGCAAGCCCTTGGGGTGTCTTGAAGGGCGAGCGAAGAGGTGGAACGTGACCTTCGACCCTCCTTGCATACGGGTTTGGTGCTGGGGGAGGTGATTTGACCCTGGGTGTTGTATATCCGCCCGCGGCATAGATATCCTCGTCTGTAGCGGCAAGACTACGAATTCCATGGCCATCAGCAGACCTTGCATCGACAGATGGTGGCCTAATGTCAATCTCCAACGCGGATGGGCCATTGTTTGGTGGAGTCGGACGGGTGGACGGTGGACGGCGCTGCTCCATACGAGAGGGGACACGGGAGCCTTGACGGGAGTGAGCACCTGCAGGACGAGCAGCGGGCATAGCGTATTGATTCTCTGGAGGAGACATTGGGACATGTTGATTGAGTGGTGTCCATCCACGGGATCCAAAGTTTTCGAGGCCAGCCTATGACCATACACATAAGCACTCAAATGATCTCTATCGGGGACGCTACTGGATAACGTACGGGCTTGCGCGGACCTGAGCCGCGATTGTGCTCGTCCAGCGGATAACTCATCTCCGAGTGAGCGAGTTCATCGAGAATCTGTTCATTCTCTTCGGAGACACTGCTCTGTTTAAAGCCCTTTCTACGGTGTTCGGGCGCAAACATGTGTAGGCGCGGGTCAGCGGGTTCTTCGTCGTCGGTCCAGACAACGACATTGTCAACTGGATCCGAAGGTGCTATCCGATCCAGGAACATCAACACTGCCAGGCCATTGCGTCAGCGAAGGTCTGCCACGCGCTCGCGGCGCGTCCAACTTGTTCAGAGTGGCGTACCCTTTTCATTGGCACCTGGGGACACCCGTAAGTAGGATTCTAGTGACTATAAAACGTAGGAGACGTACGAGGTGTCTGTGTTTGATTGATAATCGAATCATAGACGCCGCCTCCCTGCATCATTGCGGATGTGAGCTTTGGAGTTGCATCCATTGGGTATCGCGTGAGTTTTAGACGTTGTTAGAAGTAAATAATTGCTGGTTTAGACGTTGCAGAGCGTCTCCAAGGTATCGCTGGTGTCGGCGTTGGGAGCAACCGAGTTCAACATGTTTGGCCAGGTTTGGTCAAAGTGCCGCTCGCGAGCCCCTAAATCGAAAAACAAATATACAATCCCTGATGCTGTCTGAGTTTGTATTCTGGTTCATGTCGGACACCAAACACGCTCAAAGAAGAAGGCAGCCAATAAGTCTGTTATTTCTTCGACCTCGACCATGTTCAGGGCATCTGTCTCTCGCCGTAAGCAGCGCAAATAAGGATTCATCAATTCGTATAGACTCTATTTCCCAGGTGTTTTAAGCCCAGCGTGCTCTGGTCGGATCACTTCCGACGTCGCAATCGCCAGTACATCACGCGCAGCAACTCTGGCACCACTCTCAGCGTCTCCAAACGCTCTACGGTCTCTTCATTCATCCAGCACCGTCCACGAATCCCAGCGAAAGCGTGACTCGCGGCTAAAAAAGCAGTACCGTCAAAACCTTCGGTCAGAGCTCCAGCGCCAGGCCGAGGCCAACAAGCCACATCCTGCATTGGGTTATTCTCCTGGGAATGAGCACATTTGGAAGAACAGCTTGCTCTATTCAGTCCTCGTCAAGGAGAGCGACTTGGATAACCTCCCCATACCGACCGCCACGATAGAAATGGAGGACGAAGTCGTCGTTCCGACACATACAGACTTTCTCTCTGGTATCCAATCGGATACCCCCGAGCCACAAAAGACGGGAAGGGTCCTTCCAAAGCTAGACTCACAGAAACGACCCATTGTGGGCGATTTCGAACTCCCACAGCTCATGAACTTTGGGATTGGAGAGACGGAGCGGAAATTCCTCTTCGATGAGCTCCCAAAGGTGCGTGTCGAAGGCAAACTCTTTGCCCAATCGTCAAGCCCCGGAAGCTTCTTGCCAAGTCGAAATTCGATGAATGCAGAGCAAATTATGCAAGAAGAGAAGAGCATGCAGTACTGGCTCGGTCGTATACTCGACCTCAAGAACGCCAACGCCCAGGGCCGTGCGTACGAAAACCGACAGCGAATCGTCGCTGCCTTTTCGTACTCTGGCGCCATGACCGACACGGGTTGTGCAGAGGTACAAGGTACGTTGAAAACTAGGAATCTTGTTCGCCGCTGAAACCAGAATGCTCAGCTGCCATCCTCACCGAACGTATTCACAATCTCTGGAACCACATCGCCGTGAGCAGGCGGGATATCCACAACCGGAAAAACCTCATGGAGCTCATCCAAGCACGCGCAAAGATTCTTCGCTATCTTCGACGTACACAGCGTGCTCGCTACGAAGATCTCTTGCCCAAGATTGGCGTCGAACGAGGTGCCGTCGAGGGCGAGATTATTCTCACCTTGCAAATGTTCCGTGACGCCTTTATTCCGCTCACGCAGTAGACGTCATCTTGTATCTAATCTTTTAATCGCAGAGGATCCAACAGGCTCTTTCGAAGCACTACCTACGTAGCTACAACAGGGAATCGGATACGTATGAAACAGGGGGAGTCGAAAACCGACCTGTGGGACGAGTAGAAGCGCAAGGGTCGACGCACACAGGCGAGCACTTGTATGGCTATATAGTGGATGAATCGGGAGAGGTAGAACGCCATTGGATGCAAAGTAGGAGAGTAGAGCATAGCGAAACACGTGATTGATTTGATCTGGATGGGGAGAAGAAGTGTGCAACTGTTGTGAGCTTCAAATCCGTCGAGGGTGAGACTTGAAGCGGTGGAAATCGAAGCAAATCGGGACGGTTGTGTACAGGTTACATACACGTTGGAGCACAAGAGGCCGGTTACCGCACGGGAATGGGGTCAAGTCGGAAGCGAATGTGGGTGTCGAAACATGGAAGGGGAGACCAGATCGAGTCGGCATAGACGAGACGCAGTTGAACTTGGTGCATTTCCAGGCTTAGTATCCGGTGCCACCATAGCCGCCCTGGCCTATGAAAGTATGAAAAAAGGGTTAAGAAAATAGTATGAAATACGCACCACCTGAGGTAGCTCCGCCGTAGCCTTGGCCGCTCTGGCTGTAGCCTCCATATCCAGCTGCTCCTCCGCCGTAACCTTGTTGACCGCCTTGAGCCGGATATTCTGATGTGGGGGTTAGAAGAGGCATTTTGGATCCAGATTTGGCTCACCACTTCCTCCCGAGGCCCCATAACCTCCCTGACCGGCTCCATAGCCAGCTTGGCCACCGGCGTAGCCTTGAGAAAAGTGAGAAAAAGGCAAGCCAGAAAGCAAGATGCGCACCTTGTTGACCATATCCACCACCAGCTGCGCCTAATGAAAATTGATTACGCCTGACTATGGCAAATTAAGGGCAGCTTACCACCACCTTGTTGGCCATAGGCCGAACCACCTGATAAAGAATGAGCGACGAGACGCGGTCAGAGGTCGAGAGAGCGTACCGTATCCTCCACCGCCATATGCGCCTCCTTGTCCTTGATAACCTCCGCCACCTGCAATTTCGCCGAACGTTGAGGATCATCGATACACCACAAAGAAAGAGTCAGCAAGCCCAAAAAAAACATACCATAGCCCGAGGCACCGTAACCAGAACCGCCGCCTAGCAAAGACCGATACAGGAAATGCAGCCGTGAAGGGATGTTGATCATGCGCAGAGCAGAAAAAAAAAGGAAACCGACGCTCAAAACCCGAATCTCGAATCACGACGCAACAAAAAACTGTACGCACCGTATCCTCCGTATCCACCGCCGCCTTGGCCACCTCCGTAGCCGCCACCTCCTTGGTATCCGCCACCTCCACCTCCATATCCACCCTGGCCGCCACCATAGCCACCAGTTCCACCAGTTCCACCGCCTCCATAGCCGCCACCGCCTTGGCTCGGGCGAGCGTTGGCGAGGTTGACCTTGATTTGGCGTCCATCGAGCGATGTTTCATTGAGGCCGCTAATGGCATTGCTGGCTTCCTCTTCAGAGCTATAAGTCACAAAACCGAAACCACGTGAGCGGCCCGTCTCGCGGTCGCGCATCACAATGGACTGGAGAGCCCAGAAATGAGACCAACAGATTATTGGCGAACAGAAAACGAAAACTCACGTCGACGACGTTTCCATACTGCCGAAACGCTTCACGAAGAGTGTCATCAGTCGTATTCCTAGACGATGCGATTCATTGCCAAGACGAGGAAAGCGCACGTGTCCAAGGCAAGGATCTAGATTTCAGGACGGCGAATAAGTACAAAACGAACTGGACAGACCATGATAGATTTCTGTTGCGGGACGAAGCCAATTGGACAGCGGTTTTCAATGCAGGCAACGACCGAAAGCCAATGAGCGCGAGACCAGAGACGACGAATGCGATAACGGTAAGTATCCGATAAATCGGCGAGAAACAAGTTTGAAGAGGCGTGACGATAAGCGCGATGACGAAAGGCGGGCAGCAGCCAAGGCCAGAGATCCGTTAGACGAGCGAGAGGACCACAGAGAGTAGAGACAAGATGACCAGCTCGTCGACAACGAGCGCGATCAGCCGTGGCCACCAAGCGTGGTGGCGAGAGGAGCAAAAGAGGGGAACAGAAGCGCACCCAACGTAGATTTTGGCAGACATTTCGTAAAGAGATGAACGCAGGTTCTGGAATCTTTTTCTTTCTTTTTTTATCGGTCACACGAAACCGGCAGACACAGAGCACGCAAGTCGTGGTTGAGAGAGAAAGACGACTGGGCGCAACGGCTGCATTGGGACAGGTCAGCTGGTCTTTTGGGCGAGGCTGCTTCCGGCGTCGACGAGCGCTTATGGATTCACAACGGGGTGCTACACCCTCTCGAGAAAAGACTGGATATTGGTCAGGTGTTGGATACAAAAACGAAAAGGATTGGCTACAGATGAACCTCCCGCAAGTGTTCTACGTTATACCTCGGGTGAGAGCGACCGCTGCATCTCACCGCGCTTGAGACCATCGTCCCCCTTTACAGATACTGATCCTCCACTCGTTGGACGCTGCAAGCCAGGAGAGACCATGGCGCGGTTCGGCTTTTTGATCACCCTACGTCCATTACGGTCCTCGCCTACATGTCGATTAGACGAAATGGACGAGGCAGACAGCCTAGACGAGATGGACAGAATCGAGTTTGACTTGCTCAGTCCACCACTTCTCCCCAAGACTGGGTCTTTGGAGTCGAGATGCTGAAGATGTGCCTCCATTGGCTGCGCAATTTCCACCGGACGAGCATCAAACGCACTATTGGATGACTCGGTGCTCAATTGGCTGGCCTTGGACCCTGTTCGGTGCAAACTGCTTCCAGCCACTGAAGGCGGACCGCGGAGGCGTGAAGGATTGGGAGAGGTACCGGTGTGCGCCACATTGGAGAAAGTGGGCATCGATGGCGACTTTTCGCTGCTGAACCGATGAAAGCGACCCGCCTTGCTAGGTTCGCTCTCTTCATCATCCACGGGATGGCCATGAGAACGATTCTGACAGTGAATGAACCGACACATAAACCTAGGCAGCGGGAAGATGTTGCGCGTTAAACCATAGAGCACAACATTGGCCAGTCCTATAAATAGTGTCAACTCAGCAGGTCGACACCCGATCACAAGGATAAAGACCCACCAGACAACATGAAGAGCACCGCACTTGCAAATTTAAAGTCCATGTTTGAATGCTCAAGTGTTTTGATCTCGTAAATTCGGCATCCTGCAATGGGGAAGACCAGCACGGTGTAGACGACCTATCACACCCCTTGTGAGTAACAACCCACTCCGACCCTGACGACACTTACAGGATACCAGAGCATTTGACGCGCGACCCGCGTTGTATCCGGTCCCAGAGGACGTGCTTTGAACGAGAATCGAAACTCTGAGCTGATATGGCCGCGCAGTTTGAGGAACAAGAGTGTATACAGGATAAATGAGGCTCCGGCGGCCAGGAACATCTAGTGTAGTTAGTAACCAGACGTCATTCAAAATAGAATACATACCCAGAAGTACTCGGTCGTGAAGCGAGGGACGACATAAGCATCAGATGTCCAGCACCATTGCGCGCTGATCCCGTACCACGGCCCTTTTTCGTCCCGTCGATATAGGATCGGCCCCGCAGCTACAATGACACCACTGAGCGCCCATACAGTCACGAAAATGATGTAAAAGACCCAGTTCTTGACCTGAATCTGGAGAAATACGACAAGAAATGTATGGACGGCAATGGCAAGCACCCAGAGCGCAGTGGCAACGTTTCCGAATTGCTTGAGCGCAGCCTGGAACGTGCAAAATGTGCCAAATGTAATCTCCCGTTTAACGGCCCAGACGATCGAGAGCATAAAGCCGACCGTAAAAGTGAGAGTGGTGAGCATCATTGAAATAAAGTAGATGCCCGCGTGTGATTTAATAAAAGCATGGCGGGTGTCTTTGCATTTTTTGTCCGTCGGCGCCCTATGCCAGCTTCGAAGCAGCGAGACCTAACGACCGAAATGAGTGCTCGGTGAAAAATGATGAAAGAGGATGCCTACAGAGATTCCGATAAGGAGCGAGACGATGGCAAGAACAGAAATCATCGAGGCAATAGAAACAGCCTGTGGAGTACCATCAATGGGCAGTAGCGGGCGATGCTGAAGTGCAACGCACCAGGACGCCTTTGGCTTCACTAGCAGAGTAATGGTGTTTAAAGAGAATATAGACCCCTCCCGGGAGCATTTTCCACATGTCATTGTGTTCGTCGATTTGAAAGATGCTCGTCATGGTGGGCCTCGTAGATGATGTAAACGACGTCCGTATCAACCTTTGACCTCCGTTTGGGAATTTATGACGATTTCTAAGGCTTCAATGGTCGAAGAAAAGGCAGCGTCTCCAAGGGTCGCGGTTGGCCCAAGAGCGAAACGCGAATACGCGAAAGAAAAAGGGTGTAAAGACCGATACCAGCAGGGTAGAATGAGAATGTTTGAAGAATAATGAGAGTGTACGAAGCCGAAAGGAATGTGGTTGGGGGGAGAGAAAGAGAAAGGCGGCAGCAGCAGCACTCGGGAGACCAAGTAGACGGGTATCCACGCTAACGAACGTGAGCCAAGGTTGACGGGTGCTAGGCGATCATTGCGGCCAGGGCTGCCGCGTACCTCTCGTCGTCAGGCGGTCCTAGGCACGTTCTAGTCATCATTATGACCATTAAAGCGTTCAGATTCATGAACGGCTACCCTGTAAAAGCCACCAAGTGGTCTCTAATGGGATTCATGCTCGCAGAACTACTCGCCGGGATGACACTCGTCGTTGCTGTCGTATGGCACATCGTTCACGCACTACTTGGCGACGCGCACATGGGCTGTTGCACAGGTTGAATCTGGCCTTCTATCAAGTTCTGGTCTAGATGCGACAAATAATCCGTCCCCCTAGGCCCTAAAATTTGTATACCTGGACGGAGCGGTCAACAGATCTCCCGCGACGTGGCCTCCATTACGCACCTGTTCTTCTGTAAACCCTGCATCTTTGAGCGCACCGCTCAACTCGCCCTGCTTCATTCCCGCCTTGGCCCCCGAAATGGCTTTCATTTGAGGGGGTGGTCCGCAGACAAAGACCTTGATTTTGTTGCCTTTCTCGGCGGCAGATGGCAGATATTTCATCACGGCATCCTTGGTGATGAATCCGATCTGGACTGTGGAGTCCTTGGTCTTCTTCTTGTCGACAAAGTAGACTACATTGAACGTGTCCGGGTGCTGCTGCTTCAGAGAATCAAATTCTTTACGCAGAAGAATATCGTCCTCTGTCAGATTTCCATAGAGGAGGGTAAACTTCGTCGTGTTGTTTGGATCTTTGAGCGCGTGGCGAAGGATCTGGTAGAGCGGCGTGATACCCGATCCGCCACCAATTAGGCCAACGTGTTCGAATTCATTCTCTAGCGGACAGACACGGTTAGGCCGATAGCGCCATCAGATACAATACTTACGCTTGTAGGCAAACTTCTTGATCGGACCTTTGAAGGCAAGTTTGTCGCCAACGCTGAGGGAATGGATATATGGAGTGAGCTTCCCGGTATCGTACTTTTTGATCATGACCGTAAATTCGCCCGGTTGTGAGGCGTCCGAAACAGGAGTATACCAGCGGACAACGGGATTGCCTTTGTCGTCCTTTGGACCTCCCTCTTCATCTGCAGGCCGAGCAAACAGCGCACTCGCGACAGGAAGATTCGTAGCTTGTCCTTTGGGTGTGCTAAACGTGATCCTGTTTCACCGCGTCGTATTTCGTCAGCATGAGCAGTTTCGACCAACAGGCAATATGGCACTCACAACTTTGTGTTATGATTATATGACTCTATCTTCTTGATTTCAAATGGTAAAAAGTTGTCTTTATCAAATACTGGCTCGGTGCTCGCGCTCGCTGCTTGCTTCTCAGCGAGTGCCGCCATCTCTGCCCGATGTGTCAAGTAAGGATCAATCCATTTGATGTATGCAGCGCTGAAAGCTCCCAGCACAAACGTCATTGTCCAAAAGACGCGGTACGACTGCTTTGGCGGCTGGCCTGGGGCGGATTCTGGGTGAAACCAACGGTGTTGGAAGATGGACTTGTGACGCATTTGCATACGACGAGCAGGTAAAATGAAAGGAGATGAGAACGGAGGCTTTGCGCGTCCGTCGTGTGCGCTGGTCGAGGATAACTTGAGCTGCGACCATGTACTCAGCGGCGCAGAGTGTTGAACGCGTGCACAACGAATCCCAAAAGTCCCATAGAAGAGCCCAGAGCGTAGATGCCCCGCTGTGCCAACGCCGATGCGAGCAGCCATCAAATCCGAATAGAGGCGAGGTCGAAACTTTCTTGCAACGTCCAAAGGCAAGTAGCAGGAGCTCGTATATAGGCTCTGGATACAAAAACAAATTCTATCAGACCCAAGGGGCTTTGCTCCCAATCTCCCTTCCTTCTCGGATCACCCTCTCGAGATTCTTGTTGAATTTCTCTGGCTCCTGTCCAATGATACCGTGGCCTACTCCCTTCCACACCTGATACTCTGCTTGAGGCATGTGCTGGTGGAGAAACTCGCTATTGACAGGCTTGACAAGGTGGTCCACGTCTCCAGTGACAATCCAGATCTTGGGTATGCTTTGCCCGAGCTTATGAAGCCGGTCGGGGGTCACATGGTGGGATCTTGCCGCCGCAGTTTGAGCAATGGATCCGGCCAACGTCTGCTTGCGAGTGTTCTTGATTCGGTATGCAAGTCCCTATGCGAACAATCAACAAATCTCTGACTTGTATATCATACTGACCTCTCGTACGACTTCCCTGTTCGTTCGACCTTTCGCATTCGGAAGCGTCGACTTTGCGTCTAGCCATTCCTCGGGATATAGCATTGGAAGGACAATGTCCATCTTCTTGCTATCGTCCGTCGTAAATGTGAGCCTACACCAACTCAGCCTGACTTCATGTTCCTGTATACCGTGAAACTCACCACACCAAGCTACTTATTCCCTTCCACTGCGCATCGTTAGTCGGTTGTGAGAAGATAGCCTATCTGCAAAGGCTCACAGGTGTAAGGTTCGACACCAGGCCAGCACTTCCCGCCTTGGTCACAACCAACGTCAGCGAGAGGATACGCTCCGGAATCCTCAGAGCAAGTTCTGCATAATATCAGAATGCTGTCGGGTAAATGTGAGATCTTAAATGCCTTGCGCAATCATGCCACCAAGAGAGATGCCGACAATATGCAACTCGCGCCCGTTATTCCAGCCGACATACTCGAGCAGAGTAAGAATATCCTCGGAGAGAGCTGATGTCCTGAGAAGATCAATGAGCACGTTGTCAGGTTACCGATCGTCGGTTGACATACGTATAGGGTCCCTTTGGGGTATCACTGTTGCCGACACCTCTGTTGTCCATGACGAGAACTGAATGTGTTTGGGCAAAATGTTTGACTTGGTATATCCACCCGAATGAGGACGTATTCAGTCTGATAACATGAGGCTCTGCAACAGCACCCGAACGGGAATTCAAAGTACGCACCCCATGATAAATACCACCTTCTCGGGACCAGTACCATGTTGCTCTACCGACAGAGGTCTCTGTGTGAGTTGACCGCGCCGAAGTAAGTGAGCAAAACATACCAAAGTAGATGGAATGGCTTTGCATTGCCGTCTTTTCCTGCCCTTGGAGAGCCATGACGGGGCACATTCCCTTGCGTACACATGTCGAGGCATCGAAGATTGTGGGCAGCTCTGCAGGGGCGATAGCTTCCGCCATGATTACAGCCCGTAGCCAATAAGTAAGACGGTGAAGGAAGAATTTATATAGCCTTTATAAAGCTTGGAAGTTGTGCTTCAACTTCAGTCGGCAATGGTGGCTGGCTCCAAGTGACACGAAATTTCCAAGTCTGTAACCCTCCGGCTTGTCAATACCCGGCTCACGATTGAGGCGCGAATTACAACCAAGGTTACAACCAAGTTTCGTATGATTAGACTCGTCTAGAAAACAACACAATAGAGATCAACGGTATATGCACATGCGCAGTGGGCGAGGAGAGAGTAAACGGTGATATAAATGTGCCGATGAAATAGTTGCGAGTGATAGATAAGAATGTCGGTAAGAACAAGTGAAGACTGGTGCGATACGATGAGTCGAGCACTACTCGACCCAAACCACGAGCTTGCCATCTGGTTTGCCCTTTGCCGAGTCTCGCGCCGTTTCAATGGCCAAGTCATAATCGCTGTCGTCACGGAGCGACACCTTCATTCCATCTTCATCAATAAACTTCATTGTCATTTCGCCAAACGTCTTGTTGAATTTGGCGTGCACGCGGTCGACAAACTCTTCATATGGAACGTCGGGTGTGAGTGCCATACCTCGCACTTCACCGTTGTAGTGAATCTAGGCAATGTCAGCGGAGATTCGTATACACAAGTAAAAAGGTCTCACCTTGACCTTGATGCGCACGAGCTCAAAGCCCTCGTCATAATCACCGCTGCCATAGCCATCTTCTTCTTCGCCAAAGTTGCTTGCACCACCTCGTCCCCGCGAAGTTTGCCTTCTGGTGGGTCGTCGACCCATTGCTGAGCCACTATATTGCGAACGTGCTAAAAGGGGCTGAGTCTCATGTCGATGTAGCATCTGTAGACTCACAACCAAATGCGCTAGGGGGAACTCGTTGGCTGACGGCTCTGCTTGGAGCCGCTGGCGGGCCAGGCAGCGTCTTGGATGCCCAAGCCTGAACGCGCTTCGCCTCGTCGGGTAGTGGAGGTTCCTCTCCGGCCCCGTATCCTTCCATGTAGTCGTCGTAGATGTCGGTCACCCTCTGATTGGCATTGCCACCGGGGCCGGCACGACCAGCAGGGCCAGGAGGGGACACAGGGCCCTCGGGTTTTCTTACACTAAGACCTCTCGTAGCAACTCGCGGACCACCAGCTGGTGGAGGAGATCCGGCGTCCCTATCCCTGTTCGCAGCAGGACCACCGGGACCAGGAGCAGGCCGTGAACCGAGGGTGTTGCTCTTCTGGAGATTGGCACCTTCTTCTCGCGCACTGGTGGCCGTCTGAAGTGTCGTATTCTGTCTCTCCAACCTTGCCTGTGCCGATGGAGCACGCTCGATAGGCTTGACAGTATCCGGGTTGCGGGCACGGGAGAATGAGGCGGATGCGCTGAGATTCGCACCGCCGGCGTTTCCTCCAACTGTCAACCCTCCTCGGTCTTCCAAAGGTGCCCCGCTGGGCGTATAACCTTGTTGCATGCGGGTGACGCCGGTGAACGTTGTATATGCTTCGTTGACGTTTTCTGCAGCGACGAGTTTAGCTTTGCCCAAATAATCCTTTGGTTTCGAGTTTTTCATCTTATTCTCAGGAGGTCGGTAGAGTATGCCCACGGGCTGGTCAGATGTTGCGCGAGGGAAAAAGGCAGCAGGGATGTAGGTTTCGGTGCGGACGGGCCATGGTTCGATATTGTCGACCGGGTCAGAGATGAAGGAGGTTTCCGTCGATATCATAGGCGACGACGCAATTTGAGGAGAGGTTGTTTCGATGGGCGGTGTCCGTCGTGGGTCGGGGGCAAAAGTAATTCGCATAGTTGCGGGGAAGAAATCATATCGTCAGTAGGATTGTCGTAAGAGACCAGGAATATGAGGCAAGAAAAGAATAGCCAAGTCGCTTTGCCCAGATGGCAGGCCGGGTGGCTCTAGACCCGTTTCGACGCAGATCCCGCCGCAGCGGCGAGTGATATGGTAGCAGTTGCTACCGCCACGCGTGCGACTATTTCGCAGTAGCGGATCGTGTCGTGGTCGTTGCCACTTCGACGGGCGAGACTTTTCGAGGACAGTCGAGACGAGACTCACAATGCTGAACACAGTATAACCTTCTCCCATGTCCCGAATAGCCTCGTCGATGACATTATGTTCCTCTGTAACTTTTTCCTTTTTGGCTTCTTGCATGTCTTGCATGCCCTCCGCGCTGTTCCCTGTCGAATGTGTCAGGTGGATGGCGGCGGCAGCCCTGAAAGCATCCTACCGAGATAGATGTGACAGAGGCCCTTGTTAAAGAGGACTTCGGCGCTATAAAGGCGGAACTGCAAGCCGAGTTGCTCATAGTTGATGGCCTGATTTCCTCGAAGGTAGAGGAGTGCCTCTTCAAAGTCCTTGTATGCATAGTCGTATCGCCCGAGAAGGAAATTGGACACGCCGCACTGAAAGTATCTGGGAAAGGAATGACAAGTAAGATGACATGTCAAAGGATCGCCCGCAGCTCGACAGCTGTGCCCATTGCCGGTCCGTGACGATCGGCTACTCGGCGTTCACAACCATCACCCGTCGAGGCGGAACGTTCTGGCAAAGAGAATAGGCATGAAAGGAAAGACTCACGCTACCGCAAGGTACTGATCCAGTCCGGTGGCCGCGTTGAATTGTTCGACCTAACAATAATCAGTTGCACGTTCGCGCGTCCAGTTGTTGAAGTCAATGATAGTTGTTTGGGGACGGAACAGTTGCCATTGCGGGTAGCAACGCCACCATGACAATGGGTCAACTAGGAAGAAAGAGAGACGTACCGCGAGTTCGTGTTCGCCTAAGGTAGCGTAGATAAGACCCATGTTTGTCAGTATTTTCGAGCTATCGGCGATCCTCTAGCGTTTGGCGGACTAGTTAGCGCGGATGGTACAGTGGAAAGCGGCAAAACGCTCACGCCAAAGAGATCGAGCGCTTTTTCGAAATCCTCTGCATCATAAGCTTTGAGTGCAGCATCCCAGGTCTCGAGTTCAGCCTGTCAGGAGGATGCGAAACCGCCCAAATCAGCATTCGGGCTAGGGCGATATCAGCCGCTCGGGCAGACGTACGCGCAGAGACATGGTATAGGTAGACGAAAGATAGATGGGAGTGTAGATAGGAGATAGAGAAAAAAGAGATCCAAAGTAACGTCGCGGACGAAAGGCTTGGTTGCGGACGGGGCTGAGTTACGGTTTTGCGTGCCGGACGCGGGGGACGCTTGAACGAGGAGTAAAAGAGTGGTCTGTAAAATGCCCAAAATAAAAAAAAGACGGGGAAAAGGAGAGAAGGGATGAAAACCGAGGGTCGTTGACGGGTCCAAGCTAGTTATCCGCGGCTCAGTTGTTGCCTGGACACTGAGGCATCGCCACTCAAGGCCGTGACGGCAAATACGCATTTCCATTATTATTCCTATCAGTTATGTACGTATCGTCTATGCTGAAGATGAGCTTCATCACAGACGGCCCGGAAGGTCTCATCTCTGGACAAGCGTAACCCAAGAGTCGTAGGAGGACACCATAGGAGATGTTGACAATAACGATATTTGATGCGCATTGCTTAGACGCCACGCATGTCGAACGAGGCAGAGTGAGAAGCCCGGGCTTGCCATCGATTCACAGCATGTGCAAAGTTGCTGTTTATCTGCGGATCATAAGTTCGATACTTCGGCATCCAATGAATACTCACGAGTGTCGTCCTCAAAGACCAGTCCATTGATAGCATGAGGATGCGCGTGTCATTATAGATGATATAATTTCTACGAGGCTGTTAGTCACAGGCGGCGAATTCAAGGCATCCACCCACCGAAACGAGTGGTTGAGTTGGTCTCTAGAAGCTGTTGAGTCGCTGTGCCGACGATCATGACGCCGACATGTATCTCCGTTTCAATGCAAAGAGAAGGACACCCGAGAGCAGACCTCCTGCAAACCAGCGGACTCCATCCTCTTTCCACTGTCTTTGCAGCGTCTTCCACCAAACCCCGGTTCCAAGGACAGTTTGATAGTCCGGGACTCTGCGATTTTCCCACCCAGCGTCCAGTAATCGATCCATGGCGGGTTCGTCGAGGTCGGCGAGGTCTTCCAACGACCACACTTCACACACGCCCGTCATCCATTGCATTCTCTCCTGTCCGAGTTTCCCACCGACTCCTGGTGCGCGAGCTCTGAGCTTTGCACGGAGCTTGCCCACCTTGTCAATTGCCTGCTCCGTCTCGGGAGGGAGTGCTTTCTCGAGTTTTTCCCGGAGCATGGCAGCAAGCTTGGGGCCCTTTCCACCTGTAGAGACCATGACCTGCAGCGGTCCTCTGCGAATCATGGAGCCAAAGTAAAAGTCGCAATTGGGCGGGACGTCGGCGACGTTGACTGGGATTTTGAGCGCTTTTGCGTCCTCCCAGATGCGGATTGAAGCTTCGTTGTCATCGATTGCAGTCAGAACCATGTCTGCACCCTCCAAGTCTTGTGGGCCGGCGTAGAGGGCGTCCTTCCAGGTAATCCGAGCAGCATATTCGTTTATACGATGTGTAACTTCTTTTGACAAGTTATTTGCAGGTGCAATAAGCGTGACAAGGGCGTCTGCGCAGAGCAAATGGACCAATCTCGAGGCTGCAACGACGCCGCCACCAACGAGGACGACACGCTTGTCTGTGAGCTGCCAGGCGATCAAAGAGAGCCTCCAGCTGTGATTTTGGGAAATTCTGACATCCGGATCTTGACAAAGGCTGGTGCTCCACCTTGCAACCCGCTGCTTGGACCCGACGTCGACTGGCCCAATGGACGACGGTACACGCGCTGGACCTCTGCTCGATGCACTCTCCGTTGTGCGACTGAGCACAGGAGTCTTGTTCTTGTTTACGCTGATCCTTCTTTTCACGAGGCCCTCCAAGGCTCAACCTCCTCCTTCCCCCAGCCCAATTACGGCCGTTGTCGTCGCTTTTACGCATCCCAGACGGGCTCTTATCAACACTCTTCTCCTCTTTATTGCATTTACCTACTTTCTTGACGCCCTCATCGTCTTTCTCTACTTTATTCTGCGTGGATTCCGACAGTCGTACTTTACCCAGTGGCGCGGCGTCGAACTCGCAGATGTCTTTGGATTCGTCGCATTCCTCCTGCTTGCAGCCATTGGTACATACAAGGACAAGCATGCCGTCGACTTTTGGACCCGAAAGCGGATCAAGCTCTTCGTCATTACTGCCCTTGGGCTCGACATCGCCTACCTCGTTTTACTCGTGTTGTCGGTCCGCATCTTTCAACGTAAGTCTTCGTAATCTACCGATCCATCTCCACATCAATTTGCATTGTCCTGCCACTCTCTCTGTTATCTGGACCTTGCTGATTGGTTGCCCTCGTGGATGCAGGCCGCCCCGATTCTCCAGGCGTCCCCGAGCGACCCAATGTCCCAGGCATCTATGTGCCCAATTTCTTGCATTTCCTCGCCCTCGACGCGCGGATCTTGGCGCTCGTTGCGTTGATCATCGTCTTATTCAAGCCCTCCACCCACTATTCAACTGCGATTCGAACCGCAGACGAGGCGCATGGCCGCCCAACCGATGCCACGCCGTCTACGAACCTGCTAGCTGCGTCGGGCGGTGTCACGCTAGCGCATCATCAGCAGGCGTACGGCACTTTTGAACACGCGTCGCCGCGCGATAAACACGATGATGTGTCGCACGGCGATAACGCTCCATTGGGACACAAAGCAGTCGATGGGTACGACGCCACCAGCGCCGCTACGGCTGAAGGCAGCTCGACAACCGCAACTGCTGCACCCGGTGGAGACACAAAGAAGGACGACGACAGGAGCAGCAAGAAGAGTGACCATGTCCATGTTCCCAAGGATCCCGAGATTGAAGACGTTCCAAACCCGGTCCTGAGTGACGAACCCGAGGCGTTGAACACTTCTTACGCCGCTGTCGCCGCTGTCCATGCCGAAAAGGAGCGCGCCGCCGAAGAACAAGAGCAAGAGGCCAATCAACATGCCACGACAAGCAAGACGGGTGAAGTAGAGTCTCCGACGTTGCTCACGTTCCCTCCTACCAGGGATGACTCGTCCTCTATCCGTAACGGTGTGACATTCAGTACTGAAGCCGCTGGCTCAAAGGATGGCGAAGAGGGCATCGCTGGTCCAGAAGAGGGCAAGAAGCGCCGACGCATTTCCTCTCAAAACTTTAAGCGTATTGCTCGCAAGATTACCGACATTCCTAAACGTCAGGGATCCATCAGTAGCCTTGGATCTGCCGCACGCAACAGCACGGATAATGGAACGCCAAAGAAGGGAAAAGTGACGCGCGAGGATAGCACCGCGAGTGGTGGAGAGCCCAGTACTAGCTACACCCCTGCCGGCGAGAGCCCTGCTCCCAGCATTGGCGAAGAGGCTGCAAAGAAGAGGAGGAAGCGCATGAGCCTGAGCCTTAGGGGCAGAAGCAGCACTGACCAGGGAAATTGAGCTGGTCAATAACAAGTAACCCTTGCGGTTGTTTCGAAAGAGGAGAGCAACGTTGTTCTCCCCTCAGTGTCCGAATAGTCTGTTCTGCGTTGCATTTCTGGTCCATGCTACCCCCTTCTCCAACCCACCGTCTGTGACTGATACATATGCATGTGTGATCCTGTACTTGTTTATATGGATTTTCTTTTCCCTTCAGTCTTAGGTCGTTAAGCGTGCTTTTGCCCACCCGTCGAAGTTGGACCTGTTGACCGTCACGTCAATTACCGAGAGGGCGTCCCAAGTCATGCCAATCTCACTTGTTGGGCGCGTTGTCAAGTCTGGATTCATGAACAAGACTGTCACAGTCTCTGTCGATCGCTGGGCGACGCATCCACGAACGCACAAGGTCTGTTCCCCGATAAAACTTTGTTTTCGACCTCACTTATGATTTTTATTGCTCTTTTGCGACCACATTACCTTCAAACGAATGCATTGATGCATCATTGTCCCTCAACGAATAACGCAAACTTTTATTGCGGTCCGGAACGACGAACAATCGTATATTTATTTCGACAACTTAAACATCCTGAATTTATCGGTCTGTATGCACTCAAACGCACCTCGCAGACGATCAAACGAACAACCAAGGTCCTTACACATGACCCAAGGAATGGTAGGCTCTTTTCTCTGTCTCTTTACTCCACTTCCTCAATAGGACAACAGTCCTGCGTACGGAAGACGTTGTGCGGATTCGGTCCTGCACGCGGAAATCAAAGCGGAAACAGCACGAGCTCGAGGTCATCCTTCAACGTGGATGGGACGGACAACAGTTTGACAAGGCGAACCCTGGTCGTGCTCCACCCATCGCTGTGACCCAACGCGCGCTCCAGTTGATGCGAGCGGAAAATGCCAAGCTGAAAGAGCAACTGGGGAAGGAGGAAGTATCGGAACCCATGCAAGAGAGTGAAATACAAGGGCTAGCAACGCCGGTGAATATTTCTGGTCACACAGAAGTTTTGTCGAACCATGCCGCGCCCGCGTCCTCTCCGTCCCAGGCATGACAACAAAGTAGAGGGATCCTATTGTCCATGGAGCTGGTGATGTTCATCTATACGTCTATAATTAAATACTTGTTGCAGATTATACCTCTAGTGCTCCAGACGATTAGACCTGGAAAAGGCATTTCAAGAAACGTGCTATTTCCGGGCCACCGGCTACTTTGATGAAAAAATTTCCTCCTCAGCACTGCTTCTTCCGTCGCCTACAGTCACTCAACACGCCTCGTCCGTCCCAGGCACACGCGTATGAAACGCTACACTAGAAGGCGCTACTCGGTGCGCGCGCCTATGAAAGCATTTAAATCTGTCACTCATTTCCAAGCCTTGCCCGTTAACTTCACACACCAGCTTTTCCATGAGCGGAGCAACGCCAGCACCAGATGCGTGGATTCCCGTCCTTCAAGAGAATATGAACCAAGGTGACGGTTTTGCTAAAAATTTAGTGAATGTTAACCAAGAGAATGTACCCTTTCCAAGGCGACATTCTTCGAGAGATTCTTCACGAGCTCCGAGAACTGAATTCGCGAAGCCGACTCGCAGCTGAGAAGGAAATCGATCCAAGTGGTGATCCCATTCAAAATCAAACATTCACCACGTTTAGTGCAGCGTTACTGGCGTATACGAACCGTCCGGGACGATCAAACGAAATCGCGGCCATGTCCACTATAGTATGTTGGCACTTTTATAACTGTCTATAATTATGAGCTCACGAGATATTGCCAGGCTATCTTTGTTGCGGGTCTTGGAGCAGCATTGCTCGCATATGGCTCCCAAGTCTTCAGCACACGAGGTGGCTACAAGGTGACGGACACACTTGTGACTGCCGGATTTGCGTTTGGCACATTTGTGTGCCTGAAGGTTGCCGTGCTCAATATGAGTCCTGTGGGACAAGGCACCGTTGGGTCCAACCCAGAGGCAATGGATGAACAACGATTACTATATTTCAAGACTCGGGGCGAAAAGTTTCATGGACAACAGATTCCAAAGGTCAACATTGAAGAAGGACGACGAAAAAAAGGGATATCCACAAGCAATCGACCGCTAGGCCTCTCGGCGTCGTTCCGGTTATCGAGGACATTTACGGACGAAGATGAGCAGGAACACAACGAACGCCTAATGGCTGCGTGTCCACCATTGGACGCTGCAGAAATGCGGTTCGTGCGCAAGATGGATCGCGGGTTCGGCACAAGGATGGGGCAAGCCTCGGTTCTGTTGCAGTTGGGCGGCGCTGCGGTGCTGGTATCGCTCCTTATACTGGCGTGGGCAGAGATGGGCAAGGCGACTGCAATCCTGCTTACATGCACGCACTTTCTATTCTCCGCGAGTTACACACAGGCATACTTCCGGCAGCGAGGAAGCCGGAAAAAGATCATGAAGCGGTACCAAACTGAGGAAAAGCAATCTAACGAATAGACGCCCGATGACATAAGAAGACGTCTAGTCGGAATATAAAGGTGTTATTGTCCGCGCCTTTTGAGCTCTGCTCCTAACTGAGAACAAAATGTACGATATCGAGACCATCGCTAAGACACCTATCAACGATATTATTGATCCGGAAATCGTCAAAGATATCATTACCAACCCACCTTTTGTCGTAGTGGACGGCGTGGTCAATACCCGCGACCTGGGGGGACTGTCCATCACGTCGCCTCCCACAGATCGACTTCTCGAGCTGTCAAAGAGCGGCTCAAGGCTTGTCGTGCGCAGTGGGAAACTGTTCCGATCTGCAGGACTCAACGCCATCCGTCCAAAGGGCATCAAGACACTCAACGAGCTCAACATTGGCACCGTCTTTGATTTGCGTAGTATTGCCGAAGTGCGAGAGTATGCTGGCCTCCCTGAGGTTGATTCTCCCGATCCACGCGAAGGACTGCCCCTATTCCTTGAGGAGCCAGAAAATGGAGGCATCCAGGTAACTCATGTCCCTCTCGTAGATATTGTTCGCCTGGGCCGCGAGGAAAAGATGGCCATATTGCTTAAATACGGCGAAGGAGAGGGAGCATATGCTAGAGCATACGAGGAGATCCTCACCGACGGCAAGAAGAGCTTTGGGTCCATCCTGAGATACATTGCAGACCAGGCAAAGGGACAAGAAGGAAAGGCATGTCTCTGGAATTGCCATGGTAAGGAGTCGCCTTCTCAACGTTGACCATGCCTTGGCTGATCGTTCAGTTGGGAAGGACAGGACAGGAGTTTTTTCTGCGCTTATGCTGAGTGTGCGTCTAGCAATCTGCCAGTTTCCAAATCTAATTGTTGCAGCTGTTGGGCGTGTCTGACGAGGATATTGCACGCGACTACTCCCTTACACGCATTGGATTGGAGCCCATCCGAGGTATTCTCGTTGAACAATTCAAGGGCTTCATGACGGCGCATCCAAAGGCTGCAGCTTCACTCGCCTCCTCCGAGTATGTCCCTTGCACACTTCCGCCGAAAGTTGATAGTCATACATGCTTCAGTACATCATCTATGCACGAGTTTCTTCACCTCTTGCGAACAAAATATGGTGGTTCTCGTGCATATTTTGTCAAACAGGTTGGATTCACAGATGGAGAGTTGGACATGATTTGCGAGCAGCTCATCGTGGCCACATCACCCTAATGAAATTGCAATACCCGCAGAATTTACACTCGAATCGATGGACAGCTGTCAGACCACTGTTCGGCGCACTTTGCCAATCTGAGCGCTCAGCCAGCGGACACGAGGTGTAAGCCATTTTGAACAATTTTATGCGTTGCATCGCAACCTTCAGGATCCTGTCATGACTCTTTAAACGTCCACCCCCCGAATAAGTTGCCGCTGTCGCGTCTATAGCGACTCTGAGTTCTCAATAGTTTTGTGATTGACTCTGGCCCGAGTCGTGCGGCCACGGCTGAAACACTCATGTCCTGCTCCTCGGTCAACCGTGTTTGCATGCTCTAGAGGGCACAAAGTCCACATGAATATATATATTATTCATTCCTCGAGGTACATGTACCCCTCGACACACCGGCTGCGACGCACTTCAGAGATTTCCTCCCATAGCCTGAAACGCACGGTGGCGACGAGTACCGACTTGCGTCAGAGCTTTAGTCTTATAATCTCCTGTAGACTGATCCAACTAGAGCCCAGATATTGGCCAAGAAGAGTTTATGGATCTCGAGCAAAGCTACCTCGTCGCACTCGACACCGTCGTCACCGACAATATGCTTTCCACACATCCATTCGTCAAGATGGATGGTGTTGCCAATTTTCGTGACCTCGGGCTCCTGCCATCGACTTGTTCACTGCCAGAACGGCCCTCTTCGTCCCGGATAGGTGCTCTGCTCTCCTACATCTCTCGTCAGCTCATCCCGTCCTCAGCCCCATCACGAGATCAGATCAAATACCAGACACGTCCCAATCGAGTCTATCGCTCTGCACAACTCTCGCATATACGACCACCCGGGCTTTCTACCCTTCTCTCATCCTCATTGAGGATTCGTGCAGTCTTTGACCTCCGCTCGACACACGAGATGAAGGAATACCACGCCCCACTCCTTTCACACACACATCCGACTCTCTTGTCTCAAGGTGTCCAAGTGTATCACGTCCCTGTCGTTGAAGACGATCACTTTGGAGAAAAGGTGTCGAAGAAGAGAGAAGAACTCTTCGAAAGAGGCGGCGACGATGGATTGCTGGACGAGTACCAAGTCTTTCTGGAACGAGGAGGTGAAGCATTTGGCAGAGTATTCAAGTGGTTGAGGGACCACCCCGACGACGCATGTGTCATCCATTGTGCTCGTAAGTCCTAGGCCCTTCTTCTATATCCAAAGTAGAATGTGGAATGCTGATGTCCCCGTGCCCTAGTTGGCAAGGACAGAACAGGACTTCTTTCGGCGTTGGTTTTGATGGTGCGCACCTTCAAAACATGAAACCGGCTCACACTGACGCATGGCAGGTTGCTGGTGTTACCGAGGATGCTATTTGCAGAGACTATGCGCTATCGCGAGTAGGTCTCGAACCAGCTCGCCCATTTATTCTCCCCCATATCAAGGAGACGCCCGAAGCGTGCGTTGCCATGATGTCGTGTCGGTTCGTTTCACTCTTTCAACCGTCTGTGTGTTCCTCAGTACTCCAAAGGCACTCTACCATGCAGAAAACGTTGGCCTTTATTCGTACGCGGTACGGCGGCGCAGAAGAGTATCTTGTGACGAAAGGTGGCTTGACGCGCGCAGATTGTGCTATAATAAGGGCTTCACTAGTTGTCCCCGTCTGATTCTGACTCTGACTTGTTTTCTTTTGGGTTTCTTTGTGTAGATTATTTATAGCCCAGAGTTGAATCGTCGTATACAATACATATGTCTCGTCACTTCACTGCTCTGCTTGTTCTGCAGCAACGAGACGCGCAATTTGCCTGACAGAATGTGAGACACTGACTGAGCCCGTGAATGACATGAGCGCACTTATCTCGCATCGCCTCTTGCCATCTCTGCAGCTTGGCAATCTCATTAATCTGGAAGCCAAACACCTTTGGCCGATACCGCTCGGCGGAAAGGGCTGCGGTCGCCGTGGATCCTTGCTCCTCACTGAGCTGGGCTGTAGTCATCTGTGCCGCTGGATTCTATTCCGCGATGTAAGGCATCAAGTTTATATATGGAGAATGGCAGATATACCTGTACGTCTTCAGGCTTATCTCGCCGCCTTGTTCGCGGGTCCGTCCCAGCGGGTGCGGGAAGCAAATGGTCAGAGGGACCAGCCTTTGAAGGTCAGTTAATTGCTTGTAAAGGGAAGAAGTAACTCACCTTGGAGGGAAGGAGTGCGGGGTAGACGAGGTACATCATATGTGGGAAGCTCGTCCCAAAAAATGCGCCATCAACGCTACCATGGCGCGTCGACTTTGGAGAGTAGATATCCTCGCAGCGTCCGCAGTAGAGCTTGACAGATTTTTCGTACGGAACATCCGTCAGACCGACTGGAAGAAGGGGTTGACCATGGCAGAGGACACGCGGGCAGCGTCCAAAATCGGCCTTCTTGAATTTCTCGAGCTTTTGTATGTAATGCAATCATATCAGAGATTCGGATCGGGAGTTTGGGTTGCAAACATTACCATCTTGACCAGTCCGCGGCTGGTAATGATCCAACGGGCATGAATGAGTCCGTAAAGAAAACGTGCGCTCAGTTCTATTCCTCCTCGGTGTTCTTCTTCAAATTCGTCGTCCGCTATACGACAAAGTCAGCCTTCGCGAGGTAATTCAGCCATCAATCTTGAACTGACCAAGGTTATCGGTGATAAGGTCAAGCGCGTGGGTGTAATGTTGCACCTCCACATTCAGGCCAGTCAGATTGAAGCGGTCGAGGATGTAATCTTCTTCGACCTGACAAAAATACTCGTTTCCTTTGTTCGAAAGAAACCAGGATATCCACTTTTCCAGAGATGAGCATCAAAAGCGCGTTCGTCGAGCCGTTGTGGTTGAAACGAACATACAGAACTAGGATGGAAGAGATTGTGAGCTAAATTCTGTCGATATCACTCTATTAGACTTGTATACGCACTTGGAATAGTCAGAGTCTGATCCCGAGCTGAAATCGTCGCGCCTAATCATCGTGGCGGAGAACAAGAGAGGTCGGAGTGGTGACTTTCCTAGCTATGGTTTCTATTGCAGTATGTGAAAATCAGAACAAGATTAGAGATACTATCATGGGTCGAATCACGACACTTGGACCCGACACATTCTTGCATTTTCTGAAACTAGCCACGAAAATGACATCCCCTTGCATTTCAGACGTTCTTCCTGCAGAGATTCTGCGAACTATTCTACGCTATGCTACTAGTTCCCCCCGTGTCTTTGACACCTCGCCCGAGAACGTTTCAGCGGCAGCGCAGGAAACGGCAAACCTCCTTTCATTCTATGGGCAAGATATTTTGGACAGTCTACCCACCAAGCGATCGCTTTCTCGCGTCAGCAAGCTATTCCATCAGCTTGTCGAGGAGTTTTTGCTGGAAGCAATTGTGGTCACAGAGTATGATCGTCTGGCACAGTTGCGCATCGTCCTGTCGTCGGAGCGGAGTATGCCGAGATCAGGAAATGGAGCCTTATTAAAGGGGTCATATTGCAGGCGGATGGATTTCCTGCTCGGTCGGCGAGGACATTACTGGGCAGGAGAGGGCCAATACAAAGGATTCAAATCTCTATGGGGCCTTCTTCCCAACTTGACAAACCTCGAGCTCCTCATTATCGACCCGTACCAGAGTGGCACCCTTTGGGAAACGCAAATCACGCTCTCCAAGGGATTCTGGAGCCTGTTGAGGACCAGATGCGCCCATTCACTGCGACTACTACATATCAACAATGTCGAGGCGGATGCGGGACATATCCACCTCGCCCTCGCGCCGTTTACCAACCTCGAGAGTCTGGAGCTTCGAGGTGGTTGGCACGGCAGGACGCTTCCGCCAGAGACTCCAACCACGACGCTTCCTCGACTACACAATCTCCGAGCTTTCTACCCGGAGATTATGAGTAGCATTTCGATGCCGGCATTACAGCACGCCGCCATTATCACGTCTACCATTATTAGCGATGGATCTACGCTAAAGATTCGACCAGATGTGCTAACAGAGCTCGATTACTGCGGTCCACCTATGGACATTTTCGAGCTCTGCGATGCGTTTCCGAATCTGAGACGGTTTGGGATTTACAAACCTCGTATATCTAACCCAGGAAGTATACCGTGGACGCATAATGGAGGCTGCGCAGAAAAGCTAGAAGAGATTGATGTCTTTAATCTTCATTCTTTGTCGCTTGCACCATCCCTCATACACACCCTGGTGACGCATTGTAGGGTGGGATCGTTTCCGGCGCTGAGACGGGTCAAATATGTCGAGCAAGAGTGCTACTTCCATGAAGCGGAAGTCCAATCCGTGGAACCGGATTCCAAGTCGCTGACACAACTAGGGATAGACTTTATCATCGAGAAGAAATGGTTCCCCTTGTACTAGATACTGTTGATATCTATATATTTGTTTGGCCAATTGGTGGCGAATATACCCAAACTCTTCTCTTTCTAGACGCCGAGGTGCCTTAAAGACCATTGGCCTATATAAATGATCACAGAGGTTTGGATCGCCCACTGAAAGCGAGCACGAAAGTCTCACAGTCTCAAAGGCACACCTGGAAGACCTCTTGCCGTGTCCGTGGCTTTCCAAAGTTCACGACGGCGTCTGCTTTCTTGCAGTGAGTACATGAATCGATTTGATATAACAAATGACGTGTTTCTTTAGAAATTCTGGGCTTACGCCAACACGCAGTCATGTGTTTTCTTAATTACGGACACTAAAGACGTTTGGATGGAAGGTTACTGCTCTGTCTTCTGTCTTTGTTTTGCTAATAATCCGAACAGTTGTCAAAGCGAATCGGCTGCAAGAGCGATTTCTATCATTGAACAAAGGCAGGAGTGACATTGAAGCTGCCCTCTCACTCATTGGCGCTATTCACAACATTCGTGCATTTGCGGATACGGATATTGTGGTGCGAGAAGGAAAGCAATGCGTAAGTGGCTCTGGTCGGGAGAAAAGTTTCTCATATGATGATAGGACCTTCTCGTTTCTGTCACACATTCTTCATGCGAATGGATTTGGGAGCTAGACCATGTCGGCCACAAGCTGGGCTCGTCCATCCTCTCGCAACATCTCATTATACCTCTGGTGCTCACGAGTGGCTTTGCTTTCAACCACGCGATTTCTACACCTCCAGCAGAGCAAAACTCGCAAACCCTGGAGCACGACTTGGACAGGTTTCTCAAGGTATCGAAACGAAACCCCTATTTGAGTGCCTCGCAAGCGTTTAGGCGTCCACGGATGTCGACGTCCATCAGCAGGGTCACCGCAGTGATCAACTCGGTGGAGGAACCTCTACTGCGTACGTTCTTGATCTGGCAGGTTCCCGTCCCCCCACGTCGGACTGACTGACTGTAGCCGCAATCATTGTGGACCTGGATGCAGTAGAAACCTCGTTGGAAGATCAATCCACAATGAAGGGCGTCACTTTTGATGGCAACAATTTCTCACAAACGATGCAGTCTCACGACGCAACTGGTCCTATTCCTAAAATGGACGAAGAAACCCTTTACACCGGACCGATCCGCGAAACCAGACAGGCGTCGAGGTTGTTGACAGATGATTTCGAGACCCAAAAGGAAAAGGGAAGGGGAGGGGAGAGTGAGAAGGCGCCTCGGAGACGACATGGTGGGTCGCATTCTGTGGCAGATGACAGTGAAGAGGAAGAAGAGCGATCTGCCAAGCGACCAAAGATGGAATCACCTCCAAACGAGCCGCCCACAAAGGAACTGTCTGGAAGCACGACGGAGGATTCAGACGAGGAGATGAGGAGACGACCTGGGCCTGTTTCCCGACGAGGAGGAGGAGGATTGCCGACGGGACGGGTGAAACAACCTATCAAGCGTGGCGGGAGACGGCTATAATAGTATGGAGTTGGTTTCTGTCGAAATGTTCCCCACGTTTTTACCCCAGGAGAATTGACATCCCCACGAGCCTGGACTAGCTATTCAGGGTATGCTTCGGTATGGATGCCGTCACCCCGGTCTAGGTGTGGCACACCCGCGTCGTCAAAAAGCGCGGGGGGACACATATGGTGCAAGATGCGCACGACGACGAGACGACTCGGCCGAGCGTGGCGAGCTGATCATCAAGCGAGCGGACAAATGTAGCGCATCTAACATCTAATAGTCGGCTGTAAGGAGGCACGGGATCCAATACGAACGCTTATCTTTTCAATGCCTCGTTGTTTCCGCGAGTTTTGGCGCTCTAGTGGCTATAAAAGAGTGGACCAGGACCGGTCAAGAAGTGGACGAGGCCCAGTTTGTAGCCCCACTTCGAGTCGAGAACTCTGACCCGTCCACATCTCCTTCCCCTCCCCCCTATAAAATCTCTGTGTAAAAGACATGCCGCGCATCGCAGGACTCACGCCGTTTACAAAGGCCGACGTTGATGAGAGTGCCGTCGACGTTGGTGTCTACTCCGAGGGCGAGGAAGAGTTTGCATCCAGGCCGCCCACAGATCAGATCAAGCGTCGTCTCTCTGGTGTTGATCATCCTCAGATCAAAAAGGCTCCCCAATGGATCACACTCACCGTACGTTTGGCCCCCTCGGATCGTCTGGATGTCCTCCCTGTGGCTGATGATGGAGCCCCCCCCCTAGCCCATGTACATTGGTATTGCAGGAAATCTCGCAACAGACAAGTCAACACTCGAAATCGGTCTCAGCATTCACGACGCGACCTACTCGATCGACTTTTCCATCAAGCACCTCCATTTCCCCAACAACGAGCCAGAGCCAAAGGCGATTGCCGATTTTATCATCAACACTATCATTGAATTCTCAAAGGGTACGTCTTGTCTGCTCCGATCTTTCTGCCGCAACCCTGTCCGTTATCATTTGCTTTGTTTCCTTTTCGAGAGTGGCCAATTGACCCCCTCAATTCCAGAGCATCTCATGAAGTTTGTTGGTGCCGGTGTTACCTCGCGTCTCGTCGAGCTCTCTCCCAACCTTTGCGGTCGTCTCTGGCGCGAGTTGGACATTGTCCCCCTCGTCTTCCACGTTCGCTCCACGCAGCGACTCCAGCCCGGCCGCCCTGTTGCCAAACTCGACGCTCAGGGTTTCCCAATTCACTCTACGGGCGTTCTCACTCCTCTGCCGGGCACCCAGCAACAACAGGCGGCCGTTCAGCCTCCCCAGAGTAATCTGCTCTCCGTCGCTGCAGGCACCGCCCAAACCCAGGCTGCAGATGCTTCCGCACCAGTTCGTCCTGCAGATGAACAGGCCGATTCTGCAGTCCGCAAGGCTGTTCTCTACTTTGGTCCCTCTGGCCATAATCCACGTTTGTCGATCGGCTTCAGGTGGGTTATCGGGCTTCCATCTCCTCGAATGGGCCCACTGATTCTATGCATAGAAACGAAGTCGAGCCAGATGCGGCTGGACGCATCCGCATCGTCGACAGCATCGAGGATTATCGTTCAACCGTGCGCGAGCCGACATGGAATGCGGTACTGCATTACGCAAAGATTCTTCGCGAGAAAAAGACCAAGATTGCCTTCTTCAGCTCCACACCCCAGGGAGGAGGTGTCGCCCTCATGCGTCATGCGCTTATCAGGTTGTTCCATCTGCTCGGCGTCGACGCCAAATGGTACATTCCCAGTCCCTCCCCTGCCGTGTTCCGTATCACGAAGAACAACCATAGTATGTGATCAATAACGATTGCGTGCAGATTGCGCTAACTATCGCACAAGATATCCTCCAGGGTGTCGCCGATCCGTCTCTGCGCCTGACGCAAGCTCAGCAGGATCAATTCACTCAATGGATCACATACAATGCCAACCGCTACTGGCTCTCCGAAGGTGGCCCTCTTGTGCGTATACACTTTAATCACGACGTTTTGACTCACTGTCCCAAAGGCTCCTGGAGGTGCAGATGTCATCTTCATTGATGACCCTCAGATGCCCGGTCTCATCCCTCTCATTCGTAAAGTCCGTCCAGAAGTGCCAATTCTCTATCGTTCCCACATCGAGGTGCGCAGCGACCTCATCCACCAAGAGGGATCGCCACAATCAGAGGTCTGGGATTATCTCTGGAGTCGCATTCAGCAGGCAGATATGTTCATCTCGCACCCTGTCGACAAGTTTGTGCCCGACTCTGTCAAGTTTGAGAATGTGGGCCTTCTCCCTGCCACGACCGACTGGTACGCACCTCGCTCACTTTTCTTCCGTGTTACTGACATGAAAATTTCAGGCTCGATGGTCTGTCCAAGGTAATGCCTAGTTTTCAAGGGCGAGCGTTTGTGCTGACCGGCTCGATAGCACATGGGCGAATGGGACATTCAATACTACATGGGTATCTTCCGCACGCTCTGCTCTGAGATTCGCATGAGTAAATTGCACTGGCCTGCGCGCGAGTACATTGTCCAGGTTGCCAGATTCGATCCTGCCAAGGGGTGCGTACCATAAGCTTGTGACAGAACAGGATACTGACACAAACCAACAGTATTCCCGTCGTCATTGGTTAGTCGATCAGACGCAGAGAAAAGAAAAGCTTGGGCTTATCACGTGTAGATTCCTTTGTCAAGCTCCGCCGCAAGCTCGACCTCAAGCTCCCAGCAAGCCAATGCCCACAATTGCTCATCTGCGGTCACGGTGCTATCGATGATCCCGACGCGAGCATCATCTATTCCGAGACGCTTGCCCTTTTGGAGACGGAGGAGTATGCTCCTTATGCATCAGAGTAGGTCGAAGAATGGGGTTGCATGAGTCTTTGCTAACTCTGCCTAGTATCGTTGTCATGCGTATCCCACCAAGCGACCAGAGTATGTCTCTTGATGCTGGGACTGCCTTGTGGCTGACAATTGTCCAGTTCTCAACGCCTTGATGTCGAGCGCCAAGATTGTGCTCCAACTCTCGTCGCGCGAGGGCTTTGAAGTCAAAGTGTCCGAGGCGATTCACAAGGGCAAGCCGATTATTGCTACACGTGCTGGTGGTATTCCCCTACAAGTGCAGCACGGCAAGAACGGATTCCTTGTCGACGTCGGAGATTCGTCTGCGGTGGCCAAGCACCTGTACCAATTGTGGACAGATCCTGGTCTCTACAAGCAAATGTGCGAGTATGCGAAGAGGAGCGTGTCGGACGAGGTGGGCACTTGGGGCAATGCGGCTGCTTGGATGTATCTGGCAACCAAGTTTGCGGCCGGGGAGAAGCTCAAGCCCAATGGCAAGTGGATCAACGACATGATGCGCGAAGACTGTGGCCAGCCTTACACGGACGACGAGCCGCGACTCCCTCGCAAGGTGATCAAGCCCGGTGTTTGAGCGGCCGTTTTTTTTCTGTCTCTCTCACAGAAGATGAGGAGTGTGACACATATAGACATCGAATAAATTTCGAATTGGTGCAGACAGAGCTTGTCGGAATGAGCGCACTGGCAGAGGCTGGACTCGACGTTCTCATGTGCACCGCCATCGTATCGCCTGTGATGTGAAAGAGGCACGGCCATAACACAAGTTTTGTTATTTGATTCCAAGATGCGCTATAAGTCAACTGTCCACTTGTCTCGCCCGTGTGAGCGACACTCAGCAACCCACCCAGACGTGCATCTGGACGAGCAGCGTCACCTGTTGATCAGGTTTTGAGATTATTCGTCATGCTCGCCACTTTTGGCGTCTCTAATGACGACGATGTGAAATCGAAAATGGCCGCTTCATCGTCGTCGGCGTCGTTTGCTGCTGATCTCTTGTCCTCGACCATGTCGGTCGCTCAGTCTTCAAAGCTACTGTTAAGGACTCCAAAGAAGCAGACTAATCCAGTCACAAGTCCTATTCCCACTCTCGTCTCCTCTGGCCCGACACCGACATCCGGTCCAGCGATGGCCAGTGCCCCCGCATCTCTTGCTCCGTCTACCACGGTTCCTGTGGTCCCAGATGCCGCTAGTTTATTGAACAAGGTCGCCACGACATCTACGGGCATCTACCAGCAATCCGTCTTCCTTCGGTCGCGCCTCCAACGCGTCCCGGCCTTTGCCCAGTTTCTGCGCTTTAGTCAATCTGGCTCCCGTGCGTCCAAAGACGTCGTACAGCAGATGTGGGAGACGTTTGCGCTCGGGAAACCACTTTGTGTCCTCTTCAATCTCCAGGACATTCCCGCCGACCTCAAGATTCAAGAATACTCAGACGACGAAGTCGACCCCGATCCACTGAGAAAGGAACGCCAACGCGCTATTGCTCTCTTCATTATGGGTGTCAACCGTCTCAAGGGCGCGGGAATATGGGAAAAGGACGCTCCCCTCTTCTCCATCAGCGAACTCGTCATGGACGCAATGGACACGAATGGATTCGTCAAGGTTGTCGCGACGGTCCTTCATCTCCTCACAAAGCTTCCACCTACTGCTTGGTCCGAGGACGCGGAGCCCGGACCAAACGCGGCTTCCCATGCACCGACAACCTCAAACACCTCGCGCAAGGATGTGGAACGAGCAAATCTTATCCGCGAGCTCATGGAGACGGAGAGAAAGTATTGTCAGGATCTGGAGATTATGCAGGTTCGTACGCTTGGTTCTTCAGCGAATCCCCCTTTTTTTTGACGCGCTTTACAGTCGTATGCCGACTCTCTTCAACGACTAGACATTGTCGATCCGGATACCATCCAACGCCTCTTCCCTGCCCTCGGCAAACTTACCGATTTCCAACGAAAGTTGTTGATCCACATGGAGCAGACGGCAGAGCACCCGGTTGACGAGCAAGATTGGGGGCGATGCTTTTCTCAGCACGAGTCCGAGTTTGCCATTTATGACGCCTATATCGCAAATTATAGCCAGGCGCTTGACCTCGCCGTCGCGGAGCAACGGACGCTCATGGTAAGTGAATGTGTTTCATTTGCTTTGTCCGCCCAGTCCCCGTCCCTGGCTAATTTGTGACACCTGACAGGCCGCGTCGAGTATCATCAACCCAATGCAACTTCCTGCCTTTCTCATCAAACCAGTCCAACGTCTTTGTCGCTATCCACTGCTTCTTGGCTCGGTACTCAAGCTCACACCTCTGGAACATCCCTTGCACGCATCGCTCGTCGAAGGTGTCGACGCCGTCAAGCGCATCGCAGATGCCGCAAATCGTGCACTCCGTGAAAAGGAGAATGAAGAAACGTGGAGCGCGGCCCTCGCGCGCATCCGAGATTGGAAGGGACTGCAGCTCGACAAGACGGGACCACTCCTACTCGACGAGGTCTTTGGGATCAGTGGAGACAAGAGACCGTACTCGGAATACCATACCTTTCTCTTTGATCGCATGTTATTAATATGTCGCCCAAAAGATATTCAACCAGCAGAGGTCGTCGAATCTGGTGACAAGGAGAAAAAATCGGACCGCTTGACGCCCGGCTTTATGCGTGGGAGGAGCAACAGCGTCAACGGGAACCCGCCTGCTCCATCTACACCAAAGGGTGTGGGTCTCGTTGCTGGCGGCGCTGTGGCTTCGAGGAGGTCCAAACTCCCTCTTTCGATCCGAGGTGTCTTGTATATCCGCAATATGCTTGATGTCACCGCGGATACATCATCAGGTGCGCTGGGGTTCCATTGTTCAAGTCTTCTGTGTACTCATCAGTTAAGCAGGCGCCTATTTGGTCAACGTCAAATACTCTGACCGACGTGAAACGCTGAACTGGTCGATACACTGCAGAAATGAGGAACAAGTCACCCTTTGGCAGTCTGAACTCAAACGCCTCGTTTCTCTATGGATCAAAGAAGAAGCTCATATTAAACAGCAAGCCAAAGAGGATCTCAAAGCTCTTCGGAGCGCTTCGCACGGCGCACCTTATGCGAGTCAAGAATCTCTCGATACCATGCGCTCTGCACGACGTCCAGCTCACCCTTATCACTACACGTTTGAAACCGCCCCATCTCGCTCGCGGAATCGCAATGGAAGTCTGGACCTGGGAAACTCTCGTCCGAATGTGACTAGAGGGCGTGCGAGCTCTGTTTCCAGCGTCATTTCCGACTTGTACGATGCCTATGCCAAGGATGATGCTAGTAGTATTGAAAGCATCAGCACCAATGCAAGTATGACAGACCTTCCGTCCTCCGTCAATGCATCGACAGCATATCCTGTGGAGAAGAGTCCAGAGAAGAGTCACAGTCGCAGTGCGTCGGTCGCTTCCAGAGTATCCATCGGTTCGGAAACTCGATCACGACCGCCGTCGAATTCGACCCTCAGCAGTCGATTCCGAACCCTTCCACTTCCCCCGCAGCTTCCCCCTCCCACCAGTCCACAACCACCACGTCCCAACGAGGATCCGCCAAGCTATTCCGCGTCCACGAGCCACAGCTCCAGCAGAACTCAAGAAAAGGCTTCTCACTCTAGGCGACCAAGTGCAGAGAGTGCAGATGGGACCAGACCCCTCCCTATGCCCCCTGCTTCTCAGTTGCGTATTCGCGTCGGTGATAGAGCCCCGGCTCCCTTGGGCCTCCCTACCTCGAGCGTTGCCATACCGTCGCCATCGATGACACCTCAATCCACTCTCCCCGAGCTTCCCTCCAAGGACCCACGGCGTCCCCTTTCTTCTCGCAAATCAGGAAGCATGCTTCGTGGACCAAGGGAAAGGCATTACTCGGGAACAGGAAGGATGACCCCCACAACGCCTCCTCAATATGCCACCACTCACGCTATACCGACGCAAGGGCTTATCAAACCTCCTGTGGATGAATCCCACCTTCATCCAGAGTTGAGGGCAGACCTCCGCAGACGACAGGATAGCGGCTCTTCGTCAAACACGGATATGGTTTCCATCTTCACCTCGTCGGAGCCAGAGATTGACGTTTCTCCGACGACTCCTCTGTCATTCGGCGAAGAGACGCAGAAGCGCTCGCCTTCAAAGCTTGCACCAGGAAATGCAGCAAAGGACACTGTCTCCCGGAATTTGGTCGTGAGCGCAGGAGCGGACGTCGGTCGACCGAGAACTGCAGATCGTCGACCAGCTGTGACTCCTCAAACGGCCTTTCACGAAATTCGAGATCGGGAGCTGATTACATCCGGCGGTTTGCGGCATACTCACGAATCTTCTGCGTCGGGTCGTCCTGGATCTTCGTCCTCGAGATCCACTCACCCGGATCAGCAATCGCACTGCCGCACGAATAGCAGCAGTGGATTCGGTCGAACGGCTCTACCGACTTCAATCAGTTCAGCAGGGACAGTCATCGTGCGGCTTCATCACAACGAGAGCACGTTTCTCATCAAAATTCCACACACATCCCCGCGAGCCGAATTTGTTGAGAAGATTCGGAGAAAGATACGACTTTGTGGTGCAGCTCCTGCCGTTCCGGTCGAGCACCTCCCTGCTACGCGATTTTCTATCGAAGAACAAGTTTCATATCTCGACGAAAACTACCAATTCAAGAAACTCAGCACAAACGAGGACTTCGCTGTGGCGTGGAAGTGCGCTACGCGTCCACGAAAGGATCCAGAAGACAATGGCGTGTTTATCATCGCTGTTGGCCCGACGAGCTGCCTAGGGTATGGCAACAAATAACAAACTCTCACCTCTCTTCTTCTTCCTAGCTCTGACACGATTGCGACGAGATCCAGCGTCATGAAATGCTCTAATCATTATTACACTATGTATCGGTCTTCTTTATAGACAGGGGCCAGCCAGCCCGCCCCTCATATTTGCTGTCTCGTGTTCGTGGTCAGGAATCCACTCAGTTGTACATTCACTTGCTGTACAGTAACTATTGCGTCAATCCAAATCCAAGATTTACGCACATTATGCTGATATTTGAACTTGGTTTCCGACTCGATCATCCTTTGAAACCTAGTGGCGACTCGAGAGAGCGGCATGTCTCATGTTCGCGGTAAAAATACTCGGCCTGGTGGTGGAAGAGGCAAGAAACTACGCGGCGGTCGATCTGGGCGCAGAAACGAGAGGTTTTACGACGAGGAGAGACCATTGTCGGCGATTGACCAGCCTGAGTCAGTAGAAAATGCATCCGAGGACGAAACGAATGGTTTGTCCTTCACTTCAATCTCAAGCGACTATTAATGTCTCGGGAGAAGAAGTGAAGCCAACTATTGATGTTCCTGTGGCAATGTGGGTCCGTACATTAATTTGATTAGCGCCAACAGAATTCAACCTACGTTCAGGACTTTGGGCATTGCGATCCTAAACGGTGTAGTGGCAAAAAGTTGGAGCGACTTGGTGTGATCAAAAGTCTTCGGGTGGGCCAGAGATTCCGTGGTATTGTCCTGACGTGGGTGATATATCTCGTATGTTGTACTGTGTCCCTCACCTTGTCTCAGCCCCCATGCCACCCAAGTGCTATCGCCACAGGACAAGGATATTATTGTAGGAGGAGGAGTGGCCGTCGTCGAGTGCTCGTGGAGTCGACTGGATGAGATACCGTTTGGAAAGATTAAATCTCCTAATGAACGACTGTGTGAGTCCACTGAGTACCCATTACGGTTCATTGACGGCACTCTCAGTACCGTTCATGGTCGCAAGCAACCCGGTGAACTACGGTCAGAACCACTTCCCGTAGGCCGGATCCCATATTGAACATCCTAGGACGACCATGGAAGCTCAACTGTGCAGAGGCGATCGCGGCTGCATTTTACATCGCGGGCCTTGACCCTTACGCGGAAGCCGTCATGGAAAAGTTTTCGTGGGGGGGCTCGTTCTACTCCCTCAATGGGTATGTCTTCTTGCGTAAAACGATCTTCGCTGACCAAAGAATGTATCTCGTAAAGAACGCTTATTGATCGATACAGGACATGTAATACAGCAAAAGAAGTACAAGATGTGCAAGAAGAGATCATTAGACAGTCTAATGATCAACAAGAAAACGACGGTCGGCATCTATGCACTACCCCCTCACTTTCAGTGTCTAACCGCAATCCAGGTGATGACGATTACGCCTCGAAAGACTGGCTCGTTGAGAATCCAAACCGTAGACTCTCGGAGGATCACTCGCCAGGTAGAGAGGATACAGAGGGCGCTACGTCGGCTACGCCAGATCTGGGTCCGGCAACGAGAGCCTCCGATGTATGAGCCTAGTAATACTAGTGGCATTTATAGGAATTTCCGGGCCATGGAAACCTTTAGGTGTCTTTACTGTGGTGGGCGTTATTCGTGTCGTCGATGCTCAGTCAATGACTCACTGGGAGGTAGATTAGGTGCTGAAAAGAATCTGTATAGTACTTTAAGGATCAAATAGAGCTTCAGAAGGTCAGGCTTACCGGTCGAGCCAGAAACCATAATGCTTCAAGCCAAGACTTCGAGCAGTATATTCGTAATCAAACGCGAATCCACCTGGGAAGAATATCTCGATAACTGTCGTTCGTGGCGAAGGTCGAAGCCAGAGTTGATTGGAAAGCCCATTCCCATGCACTCCCACTAAGACTGTTGTTTGGCTCAGTAGCAAGATTTGTTCCGATTTCGGGAGGTCTTCCATGATGGGTATTTGAATCTATATCTTTTTGGCTCTTTGAGACGGAAGATCAAGCCCCAACTTACCTCGTAATCATACCGTTGACCCAGTTGACGCAGGCTCGCTACTAGCTGATTGTGATCATCTTCTCGTAACCTTCTTCCCGTGCGCTGTCGGCTGATATAGGTGACAATCGGTTTCTTCAGAATAGACTTAGGAGGTAGCCCGGATGTAGCAAAAGCTATGACGGACTCCCGGATGGGCGACCACCAGTCATGTTTGATGGAAATAGGAAGTGGCGTGCTCGGATCTTTCCAAGAGTGTTCACGGTGCGATGCCGCTCTGTCTCCTAGTACAACTAGCTCGAAGACGAACGGCTTTCCAATGTTCATTCGGAAGTCCCATGTATCTTGGAATTCGATGCTCATCCCGCCAAAGGCTGCCTGCAAGACCCACTCGTTCATCCCTGCTCGGTCCCTCCAGCCTTCTCGAGAGCAATGAGCAAACACTAGTCGCCTAGGCCCCGGTCGATCCGAACCCCCAAACGTAGAGTCCAACTCTGTGCTGGAAAGCGTACGCCAATGACCGAGCGCAAATATCTCTGCACGACGATGAGAAGTCGACTGAGGACTCTAGAGCTTACCAACCGACTACCATATGGTACATATGGTGCAGAAACTGGGGTGCATCTGTTTGCAAGAACTACAATGGTCTGATGTGAATACTTTCCGCTGACAGGCTGACTCACGGAGACACCGTCCAATAGTCCTGCGGAGCCTCCAAATAGGATATCTGCTTCGTGAGGGGAGACGACCGCAACCGTCCGCTGGTCGGGTTCGTTATCTTCTTGCATTTCGAGAGGAAGGCCGTTCGAGAAGATGAAACGAAGAGGAGGTAATATCTCTGGTTGAGATGTTACTATATAGATGGTATTTCCATAGATGTACAGATTCTTGAATACTGTCCAACCCGCCATCTTGTGTAATACCATCGTTGTTTCGGGTATTGTTCCATTCATCCAGCTGAGTCGACTGAAAGGATTGGTCTTTTCCGCGGAGGAGACTTGATTAGAAGATTGACCGTAACATTCGATATGGCAACCAGAGAAAATCAAGTAGTTTCCGGTAGTAAAAATGACCAGTATCAACAACCAATAGCGGAAATTTCGTGCTGAGGGCCCCGACATTGAGGAAGGAGGGTGCAAGGAGCAGATTACCCGAGACCCAACCATCTTTTTCCTAAACATAAACACCGTCCCCTAGTAGTGATAATACGACTCGAAACGAGTTGCAGGGTATGTACTGGACAAGGGAAAGCATAAGCTACAAGCACAGAAACCCGTGTTTGAGCCGAATGGCTCATAAACAACCTGAGTTAATAAATTATCTAGAGTCCAGCGGTATTTAAAACGCTATTTGCCCATTCTCCTGAATGCCTTCCGTCTATTGGCGACGCCGGCGTCGTCGACTGGATAGCCCGCTGGAGCTCCTTGGCCCAGTAGCTATCACCTGAGAGCATCTCCTTGCTATTGACGGTTAATCTGGGAGCATGAGACTGAAGGGGCCTCATATTCTTCGTCTCGACGGCTTGAGAGACTTCCCTGGCGGTTGCAACAGGCAACTTCGAGGCAGTCGCTTCGGGAATGTTCTCCTCGCCGCCATTCAATACACCATTACGATTAAGAGGTAGATTCGAGGACTGATGCCGGACCGTAAGCCCCTGGTCAGCGGCAAGGCCGGAGCCTGGACCATGGGAGGCTTCGGGGGCCGTTTTCGACGACTGGGCCAATTTCTCCTGTTCCCCACCAACGACGATTGGCCCTGCCTTCGTATTCGCCTGTACATGGTGATCTGTTGGCTTAGATGTGTTGTCAAAAGGAGATACGATGGCCGCTGAACTGACAGCACTATGGTCAGGTGAACCATTTGTCGTCGTCGCATGTGTGACCGCGGGATCTGTCTTTGGCACCTCAGGCCATGAACCTAGTTGGTCAAGAAGATTGAGCTCCGTGTTGGCAGAAGAAGCTGCACTATCAACGTTAACAGGGTGTAGTTCACCCGTGTCAAGTCGTGGCGCGTTCTTGTCGACGTTGGAAGCAGACGTCTCCACTGAAAGTGACGCGGGCCCTGTCGGAAGTCGCGTCTCCATACTAGAGGCAACGTCATTCTCTACAGTTGGCGCCAGCGAGGGATTGGGTAGCAGAGCAGCCGTGGTTGGTTCCTCTTGCGTTGTCGCTGTCTGTCGGGGTGCGATTGGCGCCGAAGCATCAGGCACGCTCACTTGAGGCGCCCCCGATTGAGCTGGCAGTTCAAGGTTTGGCCTGTTGGATAGGACCTGTTGCTGAGGATAGTGATTCTGAATAGGTGGTGCCGTAGCTGGAGGTTGAGGAAGAGATTCGAGAACTTGGTTCGATGAAATTGGCGAGTCCCTCGACATTGACGAGGAGTGACGTCTGACTTTGATTGGTCCAGGAGTGACCTTTGGAAGGCGGGGACCGACAGGCTGTGGAGGACGGACCATCTCTCCGTGCAGGGTGCTCGCTTGGCTGGATGATGCGCGGTGGGAAAGATCCGCTTCCGAGGGAGGCGCGTCCGAGGTTTGGGCTTGGAATGTATCTTTTACAGCAGATGGGCTCGATGAGGGGGTAGTGTGGGTGTGAGATGGGTTGAGGCCATGCTTCCTGAGTGACTGTTTTCGAACAGGCAACTTATTGAGAGGTATCGGAGCCGTAATAGCCTCTGAAGGAAGAGATAGTGCCAGTTCCCTTGGTTCATCACCTCTCGGGGCCTCTTGACTACGTTCAGGGTCGTGCAAGTCATTTGGCTGACGAAGTTGGTCGGTTTTTGGGTCTGTTGGGCCCGTGCTACTAGTCGAATTGGGCTGCTGGTCACCGAACATGGAGAAAATGGTACGGTGATGCTCCACGAGTACTTTGAGAACGCCTGGGTTCATATTCATTGACGGACAGAGCACCAAAAGCAAGTTGCTTAAGGGCATCTTGGTCAAATTGGAATGCGATGACACCTTGTCTAGAAGCTCCGTCATGGTGAGCAAAAGGTCCTGGTTTTCCTTTGCAAGCGATCTCGTCAGGTAACGGAACTCTGTCAAGAGTGTTTGCAGCGCCTCTTCTGGGGTCACTCTTGGTGTTGATGCATCATCGTGAGGCATTTTATCTTGTTCGGCATCTCTGTCATTTGGTTGCAATTGCGGAGGCTCCGTCTGTACGGGCCGTGGATTCGATGGGAGGCCCCGTCGGAAGCCAGGATGGCCCATCATCTGGGAATTCATCACCCGCGGCGATGTCATACCAACGAGCATGAATCCCGATTCTTTGGCCTTTTCAAATGCTGCATCAAACAAAGGTGACGTTTCGCGAGTTAGAATGGGCTCTGGTACTAGTTACGGTAAGCGGAAGTTGACGGCACTCAAGATGATACGTACATTCCCTTATAAAAGCCTTGAGAACCGATGAGACGGCGTGTGGATCGAGGTCTCCTGGACCACATAATTGCAGATCGTAATCAGCACCTGGGCAATGTCAAGACCGGTTTTTCTCGTATAAAACTATGACGCACCATTGGCAAACTCGGACCGGATTTTGTTGACGTGGGAAGTCCGACCGGCTATTCTGCAACGTGCGTTAGTTGCAAGCCCCGCAGGGACGGTAAGCCGTACCGAAAGATGCCCTCCTCTGCAATACCCCATCGTTCGATGTGCTGCACACAACGCAACACAAGAGCGGGTATAAATCTGGCTTCGAGCCCACTAGTCGCCTCTGAGCCTAACACGGCCAACGCTTTGGTATCCCTAACGCAATCAACAAGCGGCCGGCCAAATAGAAGACCACCTGTGCTGTGCGGAGTGCCGCGAAAGGGAGGGCGAAGTAATGGACCCAGGTTGGGAGCTGGAGGTTGCTCAACAGCCGACAGGTTCATTCGTCTCCTGCTACCCTCTGCATCCGAGTGACTACCTCCATAAGTTGGTGAATGCGCATGTAGCCTTCTTCCTCTGAGTGAGGAGTCAGACGCCTCGGAAGCCTGTGCAGAATGCAGATTTGATTCCTGCGGAGGGTGCAAGGACGTCGGGGTCCAGATACTGTTCACTTTCTCGTAAGCTTTTTTGGAAAAGCTAACGGCAAGCCCCGTAGCAGCGTTCGCTGCTGGACCTAGCGAGGCCACCATTGACATTGTCTTGGAGTGACCTGGACTTGAGCCGCGTGTCGTCGTCCTTTGGGAATTTGACGGGGCTGCCCACGCCGTAAGCCTATCTTTGAGGTTGCTCGAAGAGGATTTATCCCTTGGCATGTCTGAACTCTCATGGTTAGAGGTGATAGGTGTCGCGGCAGAGAGAGAAGAGGTGGACCCAGTATCTGGAAAGGTTGGTATTGCAGAATGAGAGCGGTGATGCGGTTGGTAAATGGACGGTGACAGCTTGGAGGAGAGAGAGAATGATGAAGGCGGGGTGCTCATTGCTTGAACATGCTGTATCTCGTTGGGTTGAGCAAATACTGGGATCATGCTCAGAGACATAGAACGCCGTTTGGTAGATTTCGAGGGTGATGCGTTTTCAGCCTCGAAGCTTCCACTCCTTGCAACTCGCGTTGGTCGGGGCGTGACCTGTTCGGCTTGGGCAATTGCCTTTGGTGGAGAGGATGGGCTGTTGGTACTCGAAGTCGAGTCGATCATGTAGTCGATGGCTGCCGATATTTCAGACGTAGGTACGAGATGAGAACCTCGCTTAGGTGTGGATGGGACCTTGAGAGGAGAAGATGGAGACGGCTTGATATCAATGGTGGGCGTTGAATGCTTCAGAGGTGTCGATTCCTTTGGCTCCTCGATATACGAGACGACCCGAGGGGACGAGGATTTGTTCAGTCGTTGACCGATGGACTGAAAGGTACTCGCAAACTGTAGAGCTGGCTTTGGATCCTTTCTCGGTAAGAGCGACGAAAATCTGGGTCCAGGCAGCAACTTTCGTGGTGAGGGTGCTTCAGACTGCGTGCCCTCGTCGTCGCCTAGCCGTGTAGACCGTTTCTTTCCAAAAACACGTTTGAGGCGACTTGCAGCATTCTCCATGTTTCCGAGAAATTGTTGCGACGTGGACGGGCCTGGTCCGCTCGAAGAGGTGCCGCTAGAGGGCGAATGCTGATACGGATACATGCCAGGACAATGTTCCAGCGACGTAAATTAAGAAATAGTTATAATTTGTCCAATATCAGATGTTGCTTCCATTCAACTGGCAGCTGGACACCAGGCAGCGTGAGCGAGCTGGTCGTGTCTGGATCCCACAACTGACTTACAAACGACCGAGAGAGAGAGCAAAGGTTGTTGAGAATATAATTCCAATAATCAGTGGCCGCTGGTGATTATTGCTGGAATTTGCGGGTGATATGGTTGGGAGCCAGGATGCGCCAATAAACGGGACCTTTTGGCAGCGACCACCTCTGACACTAGACACGCTGGAACGAGTGCGTAGATGGTCTTGAGCAGCTCAATAAAGGGCTTATTTATCGCGTATCCAACGCCTGCAATTGCACCTCTGCCGAAATGAGCCTCAGGTCTCGATTCACCATAGCTATCTCCTTCATCGTCTTTCTTGTCTATTTTCTTGGACCCAGACCCTCGAAAGTTCGCTCAGTTGTCAGAAATCTCTTCGTTACCACCGATAAACCACTGCGTCGCGAATGGCGAGCTGGACCTGTCCCAGAGACGCAAATGGCTCCGCACCATCTTCCAGGTTGGCACTGCAGCCCTCGGTTTGGTCCTTGCACTCACATTTTTCAAGGCTTCTCTATCTTCCGAAACCTCTACATCTTCAACGGGACCATTTTCATCGTCACTACGAGACCAGAGTCAGTTCCAGAACCACGTCTGATACTCTCCCAAGGCCTGGAGCTCCGACTCGAGGCAGATAACGTGCCAGATCAACGCACTCTTTCAGTCGTCACCCCGAAAGAAGCCAAGGCTCTCTTCGGAGACTTTGCAAGTCTCATTGATGGAGTATCATTTATACAAACAGACGGTAGACAATTTCTTCAACACTATTATCATTTCGTTGTCGAGATTTTTGCCTTTTGGCACTGGAGATGCTACACCTCTCCAGACTACGACGAGTTCCTTGGCGGTTCTCTACGTGATTACCCTCGTCGTTGGATTTTTCCTCGTGTCAGTTTCGATGATTGGATCGACCGCCCCAGACTGAATCTGTGGACACTTCAAGCTGCCTTTGGTGGGTTTACCAGTCTCGAGTTCCAGTCAGACTGGGACCAACGTATGGGCCTCCATAGGCCTTTTGTCTTTGATACTGTCATCTTGGGGGATCGCGCGGCGTGGCACAGAAATCCAAAATGGCGAGAGCTCAAAGAGCCGAAGGCTCTTTGGCCACTTCGACTTAGGGATAACTGGTGGAGCCCTATCCGCGAGTTGGTAAAGACCTTTGCTGCTCCATCGCTCCCCCCAAGTAGAAGCTCGGTAAAGCCAGTTATAACGTACATCAGTCGACAGAAGACGAGCCGTAGACTCAGGCAGTTTGATCACCTCCAACTTGTTTCCGCTCTGGAAGACCTGTGCCGTAAGAATGATTTCGAGGTGTGTAATTTCATTTGATTACGAGCACCAAAGAATGATCGCCATAGCTGTCGGTTCCAACAATGGAAGATATGCCGCCACACAAGCAGATTCACCTGTTGAGCAGAACGACAGTGCTGATTGGTGTTCACGGAAACGGGCTCTCTGGACAGGTAACGAAGATTCAAAAGCATTGAGAAGTACGGTCTTGACGATATCTTGCCCAGCTTTGGCTAAAGCCATCTCCACGCACCACAGTCATTGAGATTTTCTATCCGGGGGGATTCATATTTGACTACGAGTACGTTGCACGTGTTCTTGGTCATACCCATTACGGTGTATGGAATGATACGTGAGCAGTCAATTTGCTTTCTTACAAGTGGTCTGATTTTTGTATTTCTAGGTACTTTACAGCACCAAACCTGCCAAAAGGTAATCATCTCTCTGGGTTTCACAAGCGTGCTGACGGGAGGCAGTTCATGGCCCCCCGGGCTTTCATGGTTCTGACATTCCTGTTAGCCCAAACATTACGGAGTTAATCTATCGTAGACTGACACTTCCGAACCCGATGGATGCTTGATGTTTGCCTAATTGTATTTCTACTCCGATTTTGATGAGACTAGCGCAGTCGGCTGTGGTGACGCACCTTCGACCGCGCCAAATTTCTTGTACCCCTCACAAACTTGAATGGCAGCCAATGAACCTGACCCAGTAGCAAACCTTCCTCCTGTCGTTCCTGCTCACATCGAGACGGGTGAGCAACGACAGCCGGTACAGCAAAGGGACAGCGGCCATCATCCGTTGATTGCGTTTGTCGGCCTTCTGGGTTATGGAAGAAGAGGAACTCTGCGTAGGAAACATCTTACTACGCTCTGCTTCAAGATCCTTCTTGGGCTTTTGCAGGTGAGCGTCTACGCCGGGTAACGTTGGTCATCCATGGGCTCGCGTTGCTTGCAACTACGCAGAGATGCAACTCCGCGTCTAAGACGAGTGGATAAACTACTCTTTTTGTGCTCACACGCTCCGTAGATCGTTTCTATCGCTGTTCTTTCAGCCATTGCTATTCGCACCCAGAGCCCAATCGACCCAACGCTCAACGAATGGGACGCCTGTTCTCGTCCTCTAGGACCGTGGCTTATGGTTTGGCTGGTATGTCTGATTGCAGGTTGGGAGCGTCGCCGGCTGATCCTGGACGATTACAGGTGCGAGTCACTATTGGTCTCTGCATGACAATCTATGGCTTTACGCTCATACGCCCTGGGTGAGAAACATCCCGCATGTGTGCTCGCTAACTGACGGGTGAGAATACCTGCAGGCTCGATGAGTACAACTACGACCCAGAGCACGGGGAGAACACGGATGCTGTGCAAGAAAATCAGACACCCCCTCCTGTTGGTCCTCTCAATGGCCCCGGTCAGCCTCAGTTCATTCACGCGGGACGCATACGCCCACACCCTCGAGCCCTTCAGTCGTTGACCAGCATTCTAAGCTTCCTCTCTGTTGTTTGGTTCATTGCTTCCCACATATTGGTTTATACCTCCTTGGATACCTGCCGAAACGCGTCTCCACATCTTTGGTGGCTGGCTTTTGGTATTCTTTGCATCGGCTACGTAATTATCGCGGAGATAATACTGGTCGTCCTCTTCATATTTTGTTTTGTGCCTGTCCTATTGGTATGTTCCCCTTTCCTTATTAACAAGCCGGATAACTGATGCAACTTCTGCAGGTGACTGTCAACCTGCTCCTGCTCTGCTTGGGACGCCGACCGCTCTACCGTCCAGGTGGTATCAATCACGAGATTGGCAAGCTACCACAGCAAATCATCGATCGTATCCCACTCGTATTATACATTCCACCGCCTCCACCGATTAAAGACGGAAAGGAAGCAGATGATATACACACATATCCGCCACAACCACCCCCAGAAAGTTACGTTGACCCAGTATCCGGCACAGGACAGAAACCAGCAAAGGAAACGAGACATCGGCGTCGGCATCGATTCATGTTCTTTCGCAAAAAGGAGGACGAAGTACCAGCTCCAAAGGCGAAGAAAAAGGGTCCAGTAGACGAATGGGAAGCGAATTGGGAGCAAGGAGATTATCCTTTTGTGCGCCTCCCCGACAATCGCGCGACCTGTGCAATCTGCCTCCTCGATTTCGAAGAACCACCTCGGAAGGATCAGGGGCAGTCATCTACTGCCGAAATCGCGTCAAACGTGGCCAAATCTCAGCCATCATCAAGTGGAAAGGCTGTCGAACACAAGGTTCCAGTTGAACCTTTGGCGCTTCAAGATGTTGGCGAGGGCGCGACACCTCTGCGACTACTTGCGTGTGGACACTGCTTCCATAAACAATGCATTGATCCCTGGCTATCAGATGTCAGCGGTCGCTGTCCTGTCTGCCAAAAACCGGTGGACATTGAGGAATTGGAAAGGCTGTCGAAGAATGGGTCGACGACGGCTTGGATCAACAACGTCATTGCCTCTCCGTCAGGTACCCCGCCTGCTGCTCCTATTCGAGGGCCAGAGCAAGGAGGCACAGTAGACTTGCAGCAGCCACCATAAGCGCTATTTATCCGTTCGCCTTGTAGATTAGCTGCCGCTGGTAATTCGACTTTAATTTGGGCCGACGAACGACCGGGGGACCGCCTGGCAAAGAGATTTACGGAGTTACATTTGGAAAAAGTCCGTACAAGGAACAGCAAGCAAACAGCCTATTGGTAGGCTCGGTTACCAATAGCTAGCAGAGATGAGATACATCGTGTACAATTCCCGGTGAAATTATGATTTTCTTTTTCAATTTATCCAACGAGGACCGCCTAGATCCGGAGAACACCGTGCGATGGGCTTTTGCGCATCCAACCAGCAGAATTAGGGGGTTTATAAGACGTTGGTGCTCCATGGCCGTCTTCGGAATGGGTCGCCCTTGTCGTCCGAGCAGGACTGCGCGTGGGAAGTGGTGGACGAGGAGGACGAGCGGGAGCCGTCTTTGGGGTGGAAGGGGAGATGGGAGAAGCGATGAAGTCCACTTGAGAGGTCGAGCTCTGCCGAAGGAGCAGCGGGTACGCGGCCGGTGTGGGTCGAGAGAAAGATCCTGGCGATCGAGGCAATGGAGGACGAGCCTGCATATGCGTGTTTGGTGGCATAAGGACCCTGAGCTCTGGTCTTGACTGTACCATCCTAAGGGATTTTTTATTGCCGAGGTCGTCAACGGGAAGACTACGAGGGACATCCTGTGGGGTGGAAATCTGATCCGATGGCGACGATGGAAGCGAATAATCGCTACCTGGTTCGCTCTCCGATTCAAAATCCTTGTCCTCGAGTGCTATAGGGTTTTCCACAAGCGCGTTGGGAAGAAGGTTGGAGCCGGAAGGCAATTGGTGGTGATAGCGGGCAATCTCGAGGTCGACTCCGATTCTTTCCGCGGTTTCGAGCGAGCGAGGGTGCGGGATTGGGTTGGAAATAACCGGTCGGGGAGGCACTGGTGGCCTCTTGGTGATGCTGAGGACGCGGGTCAAACCGCCTCGCCAAATGGTGCTCGATGCACTTTTGGTTGACTGATGATCGGACTGTGGGACAGAGCGACTGCTTCTTGGGATAAATGTCCAGTCGCCCTCACGCTTGGTGGTGGCACTGAGCGAATGCGCATCAACTGGATTAGGGCGACCTATGCCCCGGACTGCTTCGTTGATGCTGCGCAATGTGGTTGCCCCGTTCTCGTGCTCACTACATGGCCGTACGTCAGCACGGTCGGTAGGTGTGGAGATGAGAAAAAAACGTACTGGGCGTAGAGTTTATGTTGTCGGTAGTCCCACTCGGACCGGAAGGTGCCAATACAACCGTATTCACAGACAGCACCTTTTCTCTTGACCATTACAGGCTTGTATCCCCTAGACGAAGGAGAGCGGGGGGTCAAATGGGGGTGCAAGAAAGACGAGAAGAGAGGCCTACTTTCGGAGTTTGCTGAAGCTCTCGCCTTGGACTACTTCAGCCATTATAAGAGTGAAAGATAGAGGAATGTGGGGAGGAGAAGGACAAGGGTGCAGAACCCCGCGAGCGAGGTTGGGGGGGGGGATGATATTGAGGAGCGCATGTATCTCGGACTCCGGGGGTGCAAGCTCGGAGTGAACTCATGATCCCCTTCGTCGGGACCTGTGTCTGATAACGAGTTCGCTGAATATCCCGGCTATTTTTTCCCATCGACCGAGACGACGCCGGCGGGGTCTTCACCCGAGGAAACGCGACGCCCCTGCGGTTCTAGCTATCAACTTGCGCTGTTTTCCGTGCTTTTGAGCCATGTTTTTGCCGTGCGTCTGATCACCGCCGTCGAGCAAGCATTCAAGTCAATAAAGCAGCCACCAAATGACGCCGTCCAAAGCCCTTCGCCCTCGTTGCTCCTGGATAGTCCCTTGCTTGTTTTTTTCTTGAATTTCTTCTTGATAATCTGCGAGTCCCCCAAAAGGATGGCATTGGTCTAAATCAGTTTCCTATTTTGGAGTCGACCTCGACTTTGCCTTGGACTCGATCTAGACGACCCAGGCAGCCAGAGGTGAGATAAATCCATTAGATATTCTACTAGACGCGCTCAAGACGCGTATCGTCTTGCCTATTGGACGCTGACGAGCATCCACCCACAGAAAAATGTCGGCCAAGAAGCTGCAAAACAAGATTTTTGGCACTTCTTCTACTTCTTCCAATCCTCTGAAACCCACGAGCACGGATCCTGGGCTCACGATCAACATTCCGAAGCAACCAGGCGTGTCCCCAACCGTCAGCCACCCTCATGTCCCCGTCCCCAATGGCCAGACAGCAAACGACACGCACCCAACGTCGACGTTGAAAACATACAAGGACCGGCTGGTGACGCAGCTGCAGTCAAAGTACGACGGCGTGGAGCGGTATCGTTTGTTGCAGGACGAACGCAAGGAACGTCATTGGAAACGATGGGGCCCATATCTCTCCGAGCGTCAATGGGTGCGTTATCTTGTATCTTTATTCCTCAAAGTCTCTGTCTGATCCCTTGTCCTGCAGGCTACCGTCCGAGAGGATTACTCGGGAAATGGTGATGCTTGGTCACATTTCCCCCACGCTCAAGCACGTTCGCGCGCGTATAGATGGGGTGAAGACGGGATTGCTGGTATCAGCGACAACCACCAACGTCTCTGTTTCGCCCTCGCTCTGTGGAATGGAGTCGATCCAATTCTAAAGGAGCGTCTCTTTGGGGTTACGGGCCACGAAGGAAACCACGGAGAGGACGTCAAAGAGTTATACTATTATCTCGACTCCACCCCAACTCACTCGTACATGAAGTACCTATACAAGTACCCGCAACGGCCCTACCCTTATGAACAGTTGGTGCGCGAAAGCGGCAATCGTAGCCGCGACGTCAACGAGTTTGAAATTCTCGACACCGACGCGTTCGAGGACAACAAGTACTGGGACGTCTTTGTCGAGTACGCAAAGGACGAGGACGCGCCCGATGCCATCTCCATACGTATCACAGCCTACAACCGTGGACCCGAGCCAGCAACCCTGCACATTATCCCACAGCTTTGGTTCCCAAACACATGGTCCTGGTCCAAGGATGCACCCCCGAAACCAGTCATGTACCTCGCTGCTCCCGGTGCCATCGCCGTAAAGCACCCGCAAATGAAAGCGAATCTCTACTGCCTTCCTTCACCACCCCCAGTAGGTCCAGCAACCTCCGAAGAGGATGACGGCGACATTGTATATCCGGAGATGCTCTTCACCGAAAACGAAACCAATTATAAGCGTCTCTACGGGGGTCAAAACGTGAACCCCTACTGCAAGGACGCATTCCACGATCATATTATTCCTTCCCACAGGCCCTCAGACTGGTCCAAAGCAGGGGAGACATCTGGACCCCGGTCCGAGTTTGTGAATCCACACAATCGTGGCACAAAGGGGCGAGCCACTATGTGTTTCGAGATGTTCCAGCAAACGGCGGCTGCGCGGTCGTTCGGTGCAAACTCACGCCCGAGAAACCAGATGCAGATCCTGGAATAACCGACGAAGAGCTCTTTGACAGCACTGTGGATGAGCGAAGGGAAGAGGCTGATGAATTCTACGCTCATCTGGCTGTCGGGCCTCTGACGGACGATCTGAGGTCGGTGATGAGACAGGCGTTGGCCGGAATGTTATGGTATCTTTGTCTCGTTTTAGCAGTAGCGGTAACTCAACACTTCGCCAGGTCGAAGCAGTACTACAAATTTATCCATAGTCAATGGATGAGTGGCGATTCTGCGCAGCCGCCCCCGCCTCCGGAGCGCAAGCACATCCGAAATCGAGTGAGTGCAGCTCGAGTTGGTGAATGAGCCGCTCAAACAAACCTGATAGGATTGGAAACATCTTCATATTGAAGACATTCTCTCCATGCCTGACAAGTGGGAATATCCTTTTTTCGCCGCATGGGACTCTGCATTTCACTGCATTCCGCTAGCAATGATCGATCCTGCATTTGCAAAGAAGCAACTCGACCTACTCACAAGGGAGTGGTATATGAAGCCCGACGGTCAGATCCCCGCATACGAGTGGAACTTCAGCGACGTCAATCCACCTGTACATGCTTGGGCCACATTCCGTGTGTTCAAGATAGAACGCAAGCTCTTCGGTAAGGAAGACATCCAGTTCTTGGAGCGAGTCTTCCAGAAACTCTTGCTGAACTTTACGTGAGTACTGATGCACCTTCCGTCTTTTTCACTGTTGACAAAGATCAAGCTGGTGGGTCAACCGCAAGGATCAAGATGGGCAAAACGTGTTCGAGGGCGGGTTTCTCGGTCTGGACAATATCGGCGCGTTCAATCGATCTGAGCCATTGCCTACGGGTGGAGTGCTCCGACAAGCAGATGGCACGGCATGGATGGCTTTTTTCTGCCTGAATATGTGCGCATTGAATCGCCCCTGCTTGTCAATGTGATCCTGATCCCCTCTAGGCTCAATATGGCGCTCGAACTTGCAAAACACAACTCGGTATATGAAGATATCGCTTCAAAGTTCTTCGAGGTATTCTTCGCATTTACATCCTCATCAAGCATCCAGGTCTCACTCTTGTCAGCATTTTATTTTCATCGCAGACGCCATGACGTATAAGCCGGACCCTGACAATGAACTCAGTCTTTGGAACGAGGATGAGGGGTTTTATTTCGACGCCATCCAGTGGGGAAACCACGCTCAACAGATGCCAGTCAGAAGTCTAGTCGGCCTCATTCCCCTTTATGCTACACTGGTGCTTGAGCCATCTACCATTAATCGTTTCCCTGGCTTCAAGAAACGTATGGAGTGGTTCATCGAAAACAGACCCGAAATGTCCAAGAGGAATATGGCAAATATGAAAGGAAGAGGAAAGGGTGATCGGAGGCTGCTTGCATTATGCGACAAGGACCGCCTTGTCAAGATTTTGGAGAGGATGCTTGACGAGGAAGAGTTCCTGAGTGACTATGGAGTTCGCTCGTATGTATTTTCCTTGAGTTCAATCTCCTGCTCTAACGCCGGAAACAGTCTCTCCCTCTACCATAAGGATCATCCATACTCGATGACCGTCCACGGTCAGCGATATGAAGTTGCTTACTGGCCAGGAGACTCAAAATCTGGGATGTTTGGAGGAAATTCCAACTGGTATGCAGGTTCCTCCCCTCCAAACATGTGTACTGACTGGCTCAACTAGGCGTGGACCCATATGGCTTGCCACCAATTTCTTGCTCATTGAGTCTTTGCAACGATTCAGTCAGTATTATGGGAATGACCTCGAAGTCGAATGTCCATCTGGCAGTGGCGACTACATGCCTCTGAATAAAGTGGCAGAGGAGATTCAGCATCGCATTATCCACATTTTTGCGCGCGATGTGGACGGACGCCGCGCTACAAACGGTGGTTCAAGCCTTCTCGACCGTGATCCCTATTTCCGTGACTACGTATGGTTCTATGAGTTTTTCCATGGCAATTCGGGATGTGGACTTGGCGCTTCACACCAGACCGGATGGTGCGTCCTCTCGTATCGTTGCCAGAGTCACAACTGACCCAGGACCAGGACCGGACTTGTGGCCTATCACATCATGCAGAGTGGTATATCCTGCCGACTACCAAAGACACCACGTAGTACGTTTGTGCTCCTATATTTTCCCTGCAGACTTGCTCAATTCACTTTGAAGCTCCCCGAAGCCATGCAAGGCACTACTTTGACGAGCAATTGGAGACAATGTCTGAAGGAGGTGACCCCCTCGCGACACCATACACGCCCTACAGCGCTTACAGTGCCGTTTCTCCCGCACCTTCCGAGCTCCATACCCTTGAAGATATTTCTCCAGAGGCACTCTGATCGCTAGTGATCACCATGCACGCCATTCTTGCATTCCCTTCTCGTCTAGAAGTTCACGTATTGTGTCGAGTTCAATACAGTACCTCCATCACATTTTTGAACACCAACCACCTCCGACTTGAAACGGAATGCAGACTTCAGATCCGACTCATTTCTTCCGGACAGAAACGGACATGGCTCGAGTAGATGTAAATATCAGTTTGAGCAGATTCGAGTTAGGACTAAGTACAGGCGCCAGGCGCGGTCTCGTAAAGCAGAGTACATCAAGTCACTGAAGGATACAATCACTCTTCCCGGAAAACCCATATCACTACAGGTTGTCGATGGTCATGTATGGACCGCCGAAAGTGGCGCGGTGGCGAGGAAAACATCCCTGGAAGCAAGTGTAAACCTTGGGAAAGAATTGAAGCCATCTGACCTGCCACAGACTGGAAAGACTCTTCAACTGTTCAAAGGACATACGGGACCAGTAACCTGCTTACAGATCGTCAAGACTCCGAAAACCCAGTTACTCCTCACTGGTTCTTGGGATAAGGTGCGCTCTTTTGTTCTGGGTGCTGGGACCTTTGGTTGAGTGTATCTAGACTATGCGGGTCTGGGATATTGCTGTCAGTCTAACTGCGTCTACGTTTGGGCTATTTATCTGATGCGTCTATCAAGAGTACAAAAGCCCTTTCCGTCACATCCATGCATAGCGATTTCTTGAAGTGTCTTCTCGTGATTCCATCTCTTGGCCTCCTTATTAGTGGCTCTTCAGACAAGACGGCAAAAATATGGTACTCTCCAGAAAACCCTGCGATTACTAGACTGATGAATTTCAAAGGGACTTTGAGCAGACGCTTGAGAATGCCGAAGTGTCTCCAAACTTACTTGGCATAATTTCAGAGCATACACGTCCCGTAGAATGTCTCGCCTACGATAGCGTAGCAGGCGAGTTATACACCGCCGATAGCATGGGTCGCATTCTCGTTTGGCGCCTCGAGATTGCGGCCGATCGATCGACATGTCGCGCATACAACCTCAAAGATGTTTCTGGGCATCGCACTGGGATAAACGATATTTTGGTCTCGCAGGAAGGACTTTGGACCGGTTGGTCACCTTCTCATAACAGTTCCTGTTACTCATCGGAATTTCAGCATCGACAGACGAGACGGTCATATTTCATCCACGTGATGCAGAAAGGAAGACTGTGGTGATCAAGCACAAGCACCCAGTCAAGAGTATATTATTAATTCATGTCTCGGGGACGGACTCGAGATTTCTCGTAACTGGAAGTGGCGAAATCATCTCTACTTTTGAAGTGACCAACTTGCTTTCCGGCAATGGAGATATCGATAGCCTCGGAGTCACAGATGCCCATGCCCACAACATCACCAATGTGGCCCATATAGAAAGCCAGGTTGAGTATGAAACCTCTGATTCGATCTCTGTCCTCAGTGCCGGCTTGGACGGTCTAGTACGCAAGTGGAAATTGGCAGGTATGATGGTGCGGTAGACTCCTCGAAGAGGTTTGATAAGCCAAATCTAGACTTGATAACCGGGGTCCCCGATGCCTCGAGGGACCAGACTGCCCAAGTGGACAACGTGACCTTCACAGAGGAAGAAGAGAGGGAACTCGCAGAGTTACTCGACGCTGACTGAGGCAAAAACTCGGGTGCGTATCCCCGGTATTTGCGCCTGCTGGCTGAATGATCGGTAGTTTCGCCGATTGGCTGGCCAATTTGTAGATGTCCCTGTGATTGTGCTGTCGATATACCTTGACCTCGACGATGTTTACCAGAAAACGTCCCCTGTCAGACAAGTGGTTCTGGAAACAGTATGACCCACATTCCGATGATTTCAGCAAGCCGTCAGTAGAAGGTGACCGCGATTCTCTGACCGGGAGCTGGAAACCTTGTAAATCCTTCCCATCCGAGATCTACGTCGAACTTTTGGCTATTGGACGGATACCCGACCCATTTATAGGGTTTAACGAACACGCGGTTCAATGTATATTCTGTGATCTGGCCAGAAACAGACTCACGACCTTACAGGGGTAGCTGATACAGAATGGCTCTACGCATGTCTCTTTGACTTGGAGGACTTTACAGCCATTGCTCAAAATGATCTTGCTTCCGAGATAACGTTTGAAGGCTTGGACACTATTTGCGACGTGTACTTGGTAAGTATATAACATCTAGCTGATAATGAGACCAACAAATATTCAGAATGGCAAGGCAGTGCTACATACAGATAATATGTTCAGACAATACTCGGTAAGCCTACGAGTTGAGACGACGATATACTTACCTGACCTGCAGCTACGACTCGTGCCCGCCATAAACGGTGCCAAAGCGCACGCTAATCTTCTCGTTCTTCATTTCCGCTCGGCTAAGCGAGTAGCGAAGCAATTAGAGGCTCAGTATGGGGCCGTCAGGGCCGGGTCATGCAATCTAGGGGATCCCTCAAGGGTCTACATAAGGTCGACATCCGCTGGGTCGCGACGGCTTTACTCAAATTTGTTTAGAAAAGCCGCATATCACTTTCGGTGGGATTGGGTAACATAGCTCAACCTCTCAGGAATCCAATGCTCAAAGCATACAGGGCCCAGAGCTAATTGGGGCTGGTCCGTGGAAACCGGTTACATTGACGACATTTGCAGCACGAATCACCGAGGCGCAAAGTTCTGCTTGCGTCGAGCTTGCTACTCAAGAATCTCTCCTGGCGATTACAACGAGGGTCGAGGTAGTCAAAGCGGAAGGACTCCTTGTTAGGGCGTGCCTCCTAGATGATAATGGGCACACCGTGCGTATAGAAGAGTGCGCTCTGTCACCGCACGAATGTCGACTTGTCGACATGGAATGGAAATTCCCCTCTGGAAGGATTCGGCTATGGAACCCCTGTGGATATGGCGAAGCCTACCTATACCGCTTACAAATCCAACTTCTACAAGGGGTGAGTTCTGACTCTTGTAGTTATTTGATTGTCTGACCGGACTCACAGGAGCGCTGCATCGATCAAATCACTCGGCGGATTGGGTTCCGAGACATTCAGCTGCTCCAGAATCCGCTTCTCAGCGCTCCTGGAACAACGTTTTGTTTTCGCATCAATGGAACCAAAATATTCTTAAGAGGCAGGTACTTTGTAACATAGGACAAACGCGCTGAGTACTCTTCAAGGTTCTAATTGGATCCCAGGAGATTGTTTCCTGACTAAAATGACGCATGGTCGTTATTTCTCCTGGCTAAATCTACTCAAGAGTGGCAACCAGAACTGCATAAGAGTATGGGGAGGTGGCATATACGAATCAGACGCCTTCTATGATATTTGCGATGGTGTGTCGTGGGTTTAAGATCTTCCATGGCTAACGCAAGATTATAGAGTTGGGCATTCTGGTTTGGCAAGACTTTGCCTTTGCCTGCGGTGTTTATCCCGCACACAAAGAATTTATGGACACAGTCAGCGAGGAAGCTCGAGATAATCTGAAACGATTGAGGCATCATGCTTCCCTTGCGGTGCTTTGTGGAAATAATGAAGACTACCTGCAGATCAAGATGTGGGGTACGTAAGTGTCACGTCATTGCGATATCTGACTTTCCATGGATTCCTAGGTGTCAAGGGAGGTCTTCCAGCAGTCGTGATCTACGAGGGGCTACTCCCGAAGCTAGTACGCTTTCTCAACTCGACTTTATTTATGTGCATAAATCGTCTCGTAGGTCAAAGAGCTGACTTCGCCTTGTATTCCTTATGTGTACGGATCACCCTATGGAGGAGAGGGTGATGACACCTCAGATCCTACTATCGGGGATGTGGTGCGTACATCCAAGTATTCAGACCTGTACTCAAAGGCAACACAGCATCAGTGGGATGTCTGGGCAGGTAAAGGGGAACCTTTCCAAGATTTCGATATCCTTGGTGGTCGATTTATTTCGTGAGAAATATCTTCACTTCTTGGAGCCTGTAATCTGACGCCCGAAAGTGAATTTGGCGTACCCTCGCTGCCATGCTTTCGCACTGTTGAAGCATTCTTTTCGTCAAATGACACCTCGGAGCGCTTTCCACAGTCCACTGTAATCCAGCAGCACACTCGCGCAGGCTCATACGAAAAACGCTTTGCCGTGCTCATGAACGAGAATTTCAGAATGACAGGCGATCTCGAAAGGTAAACACTACCTGCAATTCCTATTGATGCTCATCATTCGCTCAGCTACATTTATCTTACCCAGCTCATGCAGAGTGAAGCGTTGGGTTTCGCCTACAGGGTATGGCGCAGGAATTGGAAAGGGGAAGGGCATGAAGAGGTTCATTGAATTCTTTCATTCGGATTGTCACTGACTGCTCACCAGACTGCTGGTGTTCTTGTGTGGCAGCTGAACGATTGTTGGCCGGTCACATCGTGGGCTATATGCGACTACTTTGTCAGTATAACAATCATTGATGCTTATGATCTGATATTTCCTAGTTACGACCGAAACCAGCTTACTTTAGCATCTCTCGTGAACTCAAGCCCCTAACTGTGGGAATCCAACGCACAGTAGGTTAAAGGCTTTTTCTCGGTGGAGATATAGTGACATTCATCCAAAGGTTGCTAAGAATCGTACAAACGATCGCCCTCGTGCATTTTACGAGTTTGGTGCCTTCCAATCGGTTGCGGCTACTCTGGATATCTGGGCTTCAAATTTTACTCTGACTAGACAGAACGTCCGATTGGAACTACATGGCTATGATCTGCAGTCAGACTGGACATATCGGCACATCCAAGACCTTCTCTTGGAGCCAAATTGTAGTCGAGATGTGATATGTGGAATGGCGTGCCCTCACGGAGGGATAGAGGGCACTATACCTACGCCTTCACGGTCGGTCGTCATGGCTGCTACTCTACGAGACCAGGATGGTCGGGTCGTCTCTCAATGTGTTGATTGGCCTCAGCCATTCAAGTTCATCCAACCTCAAGACCCACGATTAACGGCTGTCTTGCGACAGAATGTCTTGGAAGTGCAGGCCGAACGGCCTGTCAAGGGACTGTTCCTGAGTGTCGACGGAGGTGAGGACGACGTCATTTGGAGTGAAAACGGCCTAGATATAGTGCCGGTAAGCCAAGGTCTGGTACCGCTATCGGTAATTGACCCTTTCACATTAAAGGGATATACAGCGAGTATCACGATCACAGGTCTCAAAGGCCGCACAATCAACGCCGCATATCTTGGCTGCGAGAAGAGAACTCCTTTACGTATGTCGGGCCAATAATGACCTGTGAAGAACGAAGACAAACGAACGAAACTTTGACATTGTTCAGACTATTCCTCGAAAATTAGAACTTTGTCTCCACCCCAGCTCTCCATGAGCCGTTGGCCGTCCCCGGTCGGCTGTGAGAACGCGATCTGGTCAGTTTTGAGATTTAGAGCGCAACCATGGATAAAGGTACGAGTAGCCGCATCCAATAAGGCCCTCGCAACGCCATTTCGACGAAATTCGTGCGAGACGAAGATTCGGGATACTCCCATGATGCAAGGAAGGGGTGTAGGGCTTCGTGGCTTTAGTTAGGCAGGAAAATCCGATGTCAAGTTGAGACATACTCGCAATATACACCTCGATCAACATATAGCGAGTTATTTGCATTAGATTCTCCTGGCGTCACTCTTCGAAAGGCAGATTTGATCTTTTGGACGACTATGCATCCAGCCACCCGTTCCTTCGTCGAGGACTTGAACACAGGCACAAGGAACAGATAGACCTTGGTAAGCTTCAGTAAAACCCAAAAGCGGCGAGCAAGCTATACCTTGGAGACCTCCAACGCCGGTTTACTTAGTGATGGAGAAGACAGAGCAGTGTCAACTGTCGACATGATGTTCGAAAGCTAGACTAGGCTCAGTTTGTATTGGTTGTTACGCTGTGAACAAACCTTTGTCCCAATTTTGCCTCCTGTCGTTGCCCGAACACAAACTATGCGACCCGACAGGCCGGAAGACATTATAGCCCGTGATTCAATCACGATCATCCCAGCATTCGCCGCTTCCTTCTCGTCTTCTCTTGTCCACTCGCCGCCTCTGCGAACACGATCACAGTGCGTTTTGTGCAGGAGCTCATCCTCTGGAGATCCACGTGTGTAAGATAGCTTACACAGGGAACATGACGTAAATGCAGGTTTGGTAGAGAAACCAAGGACCAGTTGGCGGAGGGGTCTGCGAGTTTGGCCAGAGATCGTGAGGGACGCCTTTCCGACTCGTTTCGTGTCTTCTGGGAGAGACTTGGGGCGCTTCGACGCGTGATGTCGGGATGCAGACTCCCCTTCGTCCTCTGTCCAATCCCGCGGCCGCTTTCCAATCGCGGGGAGGGGTTCAACCACGATTTCAGGCGCGTCTATAAAAGATCTTGCGCGTTTTAAATATGATCTAGCAGGTTTTGACGACATTGCACAAACAGGTGCTGTGGTGATCGGCAGCAAGCGAGTTGGAGCGGAGTTGGAATACGAAGAGCTGGTGTTCCAGGCTTTAAACACGTATCGATAGAAAGAGTTTCGGCCTTTTACCTGAATAAACGCGCCAGTTTCGTGTTCTTTTGGGTATAAAGCGAGTCTCCTTGCACTAATATCTGAGGCTGGGACGCACTTTGCCTTTCAAACCAACTTGACAAAATGGCATTTGGTACATCAAAAGCGCATGGCGGTCTGCAAACATTACTAAAACGTTCGAATAGGTCAATCTGGTGGTCGAGGTGGCTTTAGTGGACGCGGAGGTCGAGGCGGGCTGGGTGCAAGAGGTCGAGGTGGTCCGCCTGCCCGAGGAGGTGCTCGAGGTATGAGTTTCTGAACTCTACTTATAATTTTATTGCTCATAATGACTTTTATTTGAACAGGAGCCAGCCGGGGAGGTGCAAGAGGCGGAGGACGAGGCGCACGAGGCGGGGGCCGAGGTAGAGGCGGAAAACCTGCAGGAAGAGGTGCAAAAGGCGGCTCAAACGTTGTAAGTGGGCTTTCACTCTGTAAAATTCAAGTCCTAAGCTAGGACCCACAGATTTTGGAGCCACACAGACACGCCGGTATATTTGTCGCAAAAGGCAAAGAACAATTACTCGTCACCAAGAATCTCGTACCTGGGGAGTCGGTATATGGCGAAAAACGTATAGCAATCGAGGGTCCCAAAGATGCAGATGGGACTGCGGCAAAGACTGAATATCGTGTCTGGAATCCTTTCCGATCCAAACTGGCTGCAGGGGTGCTCGGTGGTCTCGATAACATCTATATCGCTCCAGGCAAAAAGGTACTATACTTAGGGGCGGCGAGTGGCACTAGTGTCAGCCATGTCGCCGACATTGTGGGTCCCGAAGGCGTTGTTTACGCCGTCGAGTTCTCTCACAGGAGTGGGCGAGATCTCATCAACATGGCGAAGAAGCGAACCAATGTCATTCGTATGTCATTCTGTTCTGTGTTGTAACGTAATTGTCTTACCGCTTCTAGCCATTGTCGAGGATGCGCGACATCCAGCCAAGTATCGCATGCTACTGTCCCTCGTCGACGTCATCTTCTCCGATGTCGCTCAGCCAGATCAAGCGCGGATAGTTGCACTCAACGCCGACTATTTCTTAAAAAATCAGGGCCACGCTGTGATTTCCATCAAAGCCAACTGTATCGACTCAACAATGCCAGCAGAACAAGTTTTTGCCAACGAAGTGCAACTACTCAAAACAATGAAATTCAAGCCGATGGAACAGCTGACATTGGAGCCGTACGAGAGAGTGAGTACCAGTCGCGAGAGGTGCTCACACATGAACTGATTGAAAACGTAGGACCATGCTATGCTCTGTGCACGATACGAGCGTAATGCTTAAATTTCCACGACCTAGTCTCTCACGATGTACTCTTACTACGTATTTGTCGTCCCGCCCAATACGCTTGGTCCCTGCCATCTCTGTCTCGTTCCAATGGACGACGTCAGTGAACGCGAAGATATTTCTAGGACATATGTTCGCAACATTAAAGATCCCATTTACGATTATAGTACGTCAGTGGGACCCGTGTGCCTTCGTTTCTGGTAACAGTCGACAAAAAGTCGAAGTCGAGACCTTCTTCTTCCAGTTTATCGACACGTAAGATGATACTCGGCCCTAGATGTTCCTTAACTGATAGGTATCTCAGGCGGCAATTCCAACGTCTGCGGAACATCAAACAGCTTGGGACATCCTATTTCGTATGGCCTGGAGGGTCACACAACCGGTTTGAACATTGCCTCGGCGTCATGCATCTCGCAAAGATCATGGTAGACCATCTCTCGCAGCAAGCGGGCCTGGGGATTACATTGCGAGATCGCAGATGCGTCCAACTTGCTGGTGAGTCACTCTTAAGCGGATTATCTCCTCTGAGGCCTACTGTAGGTCTTTTGCACGATCTAGGTCAGCACACTCACTGGGCAAGCGGACTTCTATTTTAATATATCAATTAGGCCATGGCCCATTTAGTCATGTCTTTGACGGGCAATTCATACCTCGGTTTGTATTCTGACATACTCGACTAGTTCGTTGACCTCTAAGCAGGGCTCGGTGAATCCCTCTGTGACTAGAAGTTGTCGCTCTCTAACCCCATTTCTGCTAGTCCAGGCTACGATTGGAAACATGAAGATGCATCCGAACTCATGTTTGAGGCAATGCTCAAGGAAAATGAAATTGAGATGCCCCAGCAGGATATCGCGTTTGTTCGCGATCTCATTGCAGGGATAGACCGCCATCCAGAGAATCAGGAGAAGGCTTACCTCTTTGAAATCGTCGCGAACAAGCGGAACGGAATAGACGTGGACAAGTTCGTTGTCACCCAGTCCTGATATGTCTGTTCATGGTGTAGGTTCGATTACATAGCTCGGGATACACACCAGATCGGAGGAAACAAGTGCAGCTTAGCGGCTATGAGGTATTGGAATATACCATATATCGCTCTGACCTGACCGTCCTTAGATTGATAAAATCAAGTCGCGTCATCGGAGACCACATTGCTTACTCTAACAAAGACATTACAAATGTCTTCCTTGTGTTCCAAGAGAGATGGAGCCTTCACAAACGAGGTATCATCAACTTAGACTTCAGAGTTGCCGAACTTGACATCAAAGCAGTTTATACTCATCCAGCTGCAAAGGCAATTGAGTATATGGTTGTGGATGCCCTTCTTGCTGCTGATCCTATAATGCGCATATCCGAACAAGTCGATGATCCGGCTCGGTACGTCTTCCTTACGGACGCCATACTCGAAGATATTGAGAGGTCGACGGACGAGGTATGCATTCGGTTTACTGAATAACAGCATGGCTAGAGGCTGACGAGAAATTAGGCTCTAGCACCTGCAAGGGACATCGTTTATCGCCTTCGGACTCGGCTGCTTTACAAATGCGTCGACGTACTACACCTTCACCCACACGAAGAAATGCAGCTGAAGGATATCGTGACCGCTCAAGCGATTGCTCTTGAAGCCAATAGAGTTCGGGCAAGCTCATCCTCTACACAAAATTTACCAGAAGTCGTTCCTGTGGATATCATCGTTGACTGGACTTTTGTGCACTTTGGAATGAAGGATAAGAACCCGGTCGATCTTGTACTGTGAGTACGATCTCATCTGTACTTCTACTTCCAATTAGATTAGGTTCTACGGGAAACACAATCCTGACGGTAAGCTCGCCTCGTCTTACCAGTCATAGTCCTCACTTGATTCAAGAAGCCTTTCACGCGCGCGCAGAGGAGTATAGTAGAACGTTCCCACATAACTTTGCGGAGGTAGCGTTACGCGTCTTCACAAGGAACCGAAGGTATATTCCTTTATTACCCTGTAGACATTCCCTGAACTCCGTGGATCAGCCTGTATGGACTAGTTCAGGCCGGCTTTCGTGCTGTCCTGAAAAAAGGATCCTTGGAAACATCTGGCCACGTGGTTGGAGGCAACGAAGCAAGAACACCAGCGAGGACCAGCATTCCTCTTGGTGAAGAACAGATACCTGGAGGCTCAGCTGGAAGTCGACTGGAAGAGAAATTCTACGATGGGAACCCTTTCACTTTAGTCCCTCCAACCTATGCTTCGACGGGGTCCCCGAGCATGAAAGGCAAGCGATCGTTGCAGCATCTTCGCTCCACACCCTCCTCGCGAACGTCTCCTGCACTAAGTTACAAAGACCTACCAACGACCGCACATTCTCTTCTTGGGTCCGCTCCCTCGGTCACCGCATCGAAACGGTTACATGACGGGGAGGGCACACACTCACCACAGAAGAAGACTCGCTTAGACTAAACGCTCTGTTTGTTTCTAGTAGAATTGTCTTAGGCGCTTTATAACTCTGTTCTCAATTGCTGACCATCGAAGTCACCCACCTTGGACATCAGCCACCATGTCAGAAAATACAGGAAACAGTAGAAAGCGATCCCAAAATCGAACAAAATCGCGTCGAAATCAACCTGGTCCTCGTGGACAGACAAATCCGGAAAGTGCTGACAAGGGCAAAGCGCCGGTATCTGTTGTGCCTCAGGAGTCCAAAGAAGAGGAGGAAGACAGCCATATGTGTCATATATGCGCTGAATCCATGGAGAGGAAATCGTATGCGGTCTCAGAATGTAACCATCGCACCTGCAACATCTGCGCTATCCGCCTAAGGGCATTGTATAAGAAAACAGAGTGTACTTACTGCAAGGTTGGATAATTTCTGACTTGGGTTTACTGCAATTTTGCTGAAGAAATCCCCAGGCCTCGCAGCCACTGGTGATAATCACCAGTTCAGCTGATCGTCTATTTGAGTCATACACTTCTTCAGAAACGCCATTTCAAGACTCTAAATTGGGCATACACTTTGAGTCCCAGGAGCTAATGGAGGATTGCCGTATCCTTCTACGCTTCAATTGCCCCGATCTAGCGTGCGAATATGTGGCAAGAAATTGGCCAGAGTTGAAGTATCATACTCGTACCGAGCATGGTCTACTTCTATGGTATGTGATCGCGTTGAGCCTGTCTGTCGATTCCATTTAACAGGATCCAGTGACCTCTGCATAAGGCACAAGCGGATATTCGCGCATGAGCATGCCCTGTACACACCACAACAACTATCGGCGCATCTTCCAACGTGGAGGGGGGCTTATCGACAACAGACACCTACAACAGCTTTGGATGCCAACGCACACCCAGTCTGTGAATTCTGCCGAGAGGCACTGTATAGTGAAGACGAGCATTTTGCTCATATGCGGGAGCACCACGAGGAGTGTTTCGTTTGCAAAGCTGGGGGTGTCCGGCACCAGTAGTGAGTGACGATGAACGTGGATTGCGCTCAAAGCTGAGTCACTGGCAGCTATCAGGACTATAACAGCCTTGTATGGTACTTCATCTGGTGGAAGTTGAACTGACAGCGCTATAGGAAGCTCATTTCCGACAAGTTCATCATCCTTGCCCGCATAGCGACTGTCTAGCTCAGAAGTTCGTTGTGTTTCCCACTGCGTTGGATCTACAGGCACACATCATAGAGAAACACGGAGAAACGATGTCCGCACGCGACATCAAAGACACCCGCAGGATACAACCAGAGTTTGCACCTGCAGAAAGCAGTCGGCGAACTCGCCTTCCGCCTTCAGGACAGCGGCAAACAGATACCCACGGGGTCGATACCGAACCAAGCTCTTCCAGAAGGCGCGCAGCATTTGCTCCTACTCTTACCAATACCGAGCAAGCTGCCCTGAGCTCTATGACAACTACTCCCAACCCTACACCATCTCAAGTGGACAGTCAGACTATCCAGTTCGTTTTCGTATTGTGGGTTTATTTACACTGACCGCAAAGTAGGCGTCACGAATTGTTCCTTTCTCGGCTAGCCGCTGCCACACATGGTTCTTCGACATCTATACCAGCAGCGAAGGCAGCGATTCGCTCCTATCGCTCTTCTGAGTCATCCGCAGGCGATCTCATCACTACCTTCTACAATATTCTCGATCAAGATCTTGACACCGTCGGTGTCTTTATATCGTCCCTCGTAGACCTGTTGGATGATGAGAGTAAGAAGAGGACCCTTTTGACCGCATGGAACGGGTTCAAAATACAGAAGCAAGAAGAGTTTCCATCATTAGGCCCAACATTCTCAGCGGCGGGTGGTACTTCTTGGGCGTCAGGCGGTCGAACCCTTCGTGTCAAAAAGCAGCAAGCTCAGAGCAAGCACAGCCAAGTTTGGGCCCGAGTCGAGCGCGCCGCCGCATCTGTATCAACATCTGGACCGAACACAAGAATAACAGCCGGTCAAACACCATGGTCTCGCTCGGCCAAGTTGACAACACCTCATCAAGCCTTATCATCGTCCATGTCTACATTGTCTATCAAGTCTCCGAGTACATCCGCAGATAATACCGCGTTTCCATCACTTCCATCAAATGCGCCAATACGCGTTCCCCGAGAATTTGTCTCTGGCCGAAATCAGGGTGGAGGATCTCGGACCAATGCCTGGTCAGGAGAAAACGCTACAGAGGAAGGACTAGTAGCCGATGCGTTAGCTGCGTCTTCAAAGCGGAAAAAGTCATCAAAGCAGACTTTATTCACACTTGGGTCAACTAGATAGGTTATAGCAAAGTCAATCATGTGGCGGAATGGCAGAGCAATACATTGAAATACCCTAGAGTGATTCACATGAGAGTAACGATAAAGAAATTATTTATGCTTGGGATAAATAAGCCATATTGTTGGAACAGAGCCTAGCGCTTTCCCTGTCATTAATAGGACCATGACATGGGAATGTTGGAATTCTTGCTTCAGTGCAGCATCACTGCAACAGCTGAAGCCATGCGCCCTAAAGGCTAGCATTAGTAACACCGTCAGTGTACTTTATGGAGAGCAATTTTATTTATTTGATAAATCACGATAATGTTGGATTAGCCACACTCGAGTTGCCTAAATAGAGTCCTCGACGATGCTTTGCGAGTCGAATCATGCTGAAATAGTAACATTAAACAGAAGTATAAAACGTTTGTCTTTCAATGTTGTGCCTTGGAACTGCTACTTCAGTGCTCTAGCTAAGTCGATATATTTGCATGTATTTGTTCCTTCGAGGCATGATATCCCCCCACTACTTCAAACCTCTGTCAGCATTACTGTGTACACAGTAACAATACGTGATGCAAATACCGAGTATGGCAAAGAAGAGAAATATAAAAGCATTATTGACAGTAGTCATGGATGTGCACCTCGGTCGTCGATGTTCTGTAGCGTGTACAGAAAAAAGGGGCTGCAAGGGTCGACATCGAGGCTTGACTTCGCGACATGCTGAGGCAACTCCAAGGGCGTCTGTGTCTTCAATTAATGACCAATAATAATACCCTCCAGCCTCCTCGGCCCATAAATGAAGTGCAGCCTTCCACTCTTTTCATCCAAAAGTTTGGAAGTGTTTCGTTATGATGGACATAGCGTACGATAGGCTGGTGAGAAACAAGCTCCATGTAAGCAGAGATAATATAAACGTATCGACATATCTAGAGAGCACTGGAAAATATTTCCAGTACCTTTTAGTTACTGACTACGACGTCTAAGCCGTCAATATTGACATCTCTGTATCATATCGTAATATGCTATCTCTCTGCTACGCAATAAAATTGTTAGAAAGGCTACCTGTCTGAGAAGTGATTATCATGCCCAGATATTGAGTAGCTATCATGTTGGAATTAGTCCTCTAGGTAGGTGGAGGAACAGTGGAAGAGGTCAGCGTCGAGCTCGAGGCAAATAAATAAAGACATTTGAAACTACCGCCTCGCCTAATAAAATACTGAGGAATTGAAAATGGAATGCAAACTCGAACATTTGTCAGCATCACTGCAACAGGTTGAATAGCGAGCCACTGCAGTATTGGAATGACAATTCATGGTGTCGAGCAAGTATCCTTACGCTATCCTCACTCTTTTTGTCACTTCTGGACGCTGTGGCATTAACAATTAATTGTAGTTGTTACTACGCGGAGTAATTTATGCATTTACGCATAATAAATACCGTGTATGAACCGAAATACTGTGAATCTGCACCCGAACTACAACCATATGACTGACTATGAGGGCGCACAGTCACCCATTATAATAGTTCCAATGTTTAGCAATCACCCCTTACGCACTGTACTGCCTGTGGAACACTTAGTCGGGCTATATAGATCATAAGTATCATCTATAGATCACAAGCATTATCTATACTCTTTTATCTCTGTACACATGCTTTCTCATCGAATTCGTCTTTTTCTTCATTGGGACTTATTGATCCTCAGCCTCTTTTGCCGTATACTGAACCTGAAGGTGTACGGCATTTAGGCTGCTCAGGTGCGGATTCAAGTCGTCTACTTTCGGTAACGTTTCCTTTACTGGTCTTCTGGCATTACTAGACTTATAGCATTGAATGAGGACATGAAAAATAGTCCTACGTGGTACTATGTGTGAAGAGTGATCGCTAAGTCACGAGCAGCCGAAGGGCTACCGTGTGCCTTCGCAGTCAGTCGTGCACTCTAGGATACTCGCTTGGCACCATAATTTGATCGGCGCCTCAATTGACAGCCAGGGAAGTCAGCCACTTAGTCGTGATTATAGTATTTTCCTGAATCCTCCATCAGATTCGAGTCCAACGCTTGCAGCCACCTACCCTTGTTCAACGGTCAGTTCTGTACTGCGCTTAGATTGCTTTGTGGGTCACGAAAACGCTGAGACTACTGCTACAGAAAAACAAAGGATATCTGCTGCTACAGGATTGGATGTTTATTGGATCACTGATATTATCTCCTAATTGAATTATAGATATATTTCTGCCCTATTGTTTGCGTTCCCCATTCATCTATAAAGAAAAGCTTGACTAGACACTTACCTCCGTACCTGCTGTTCAGTGCTGTAGGTCGCCAACATTTCCATACAGATAAAAAGTTGCTCCTCACGCAAGTCTCAGATAATACTAGTCATAGGAGTGTTGCAGTGTGCTAACAGACGTTTCTAGTATTGGGGAAGATCATGACAAATATGTACATATGTATCGACCTAACTAGAGCACTGAAGCAATAACTTCAAGTTGATGCTTGGAGTAGACAGGGAAGGCGGCCCAGGTGCGAATTTAAGTCGTCTACTTTTGGTAATGTTTCCTTTACTCGTCCTTTAGCTTTACTGTACAAGGTATCTTTATACTGTAGCATTTACTCTACAATAATATCCTCCTGGCCACTACCATCTACGAGTTTGTGTCAGTGTCAATGTTCTTGAATCGTACAGTATTGAGTGAGAACGTGGGAGAATAGTGTTGCGTGGTAAGTAATTGAATCGTTGATACTTTACTGCGTGTGAGGAGTGATCGCTAAGTCATAAGCTACCGAAGGGGGTACTGTGTGCCTTCGTAGTCAGTCGTGCACTCTAGGATACTTGCTTGGTACCGTGAAGTGATCAACATCTCAATTGGTGGCCAGGAAATCGCCCGCTCACCCGTAGTTATAGTATTACGCTGAATCCCTCATCAGCCCCGACTTCGACGCTTGTGGCCACCCTTTACTGTTCATTGCAAGCGTCAAACTCGGGTCTAAAATGCTCCGGGCGAATGCCATAACAAAGGGTGAGCAGGGCGCTCCTCGCCACCAGTAGATACTGATGGAACTATGGGCCAAGTGAGTATCCTAGAGTGCACGACAGACTACGAAGGTGCACAATAGCCCTTCAGTAGCTCGTGACTTAGCAGTCACACTTCACACACAGTAAGTTCCCATTGATTCTATTGCGTATCACGGAACTATATTTTTCCGTGAGCCGTCTAAATTGTATAATAGCTGTTTTTAACGACAGAGGTAAGATCATTACATTTTTGAGAATCAAAGTGTGCTTTTTCTATTTCTGTAAATAGGTGGCAGGTGGCGACGCTATTTCTACTCATCAATCCAGCATGTCCAGCGAATGTGATCAAATCTGTCATTATTCAAATTGCCCCATAATCTTCTGATGCTATTCCCTCTTTTTTATCGTAGCTTGTTTAGGTTGGTGCCAGGTGGTACATGCTCACAGCCACCTGTCTTCAAATAAATGGAGAGCAAATACAGTACTATTTCAGGCGCCTTCAGGACGGTAAATCACGAACAACACGATCAAGGGGAAGAGAGAGAACGGATGGCAGAAGTCCGTTGGGGTTGCCCAAAAGGTTTGATGACTGCGTCACAAACTTGCGCCAATGGCCATGTAATAGAATTGTTTGTAGGAATGGATAGCCATGTAGTCTCGAAGGATCAACCATGGCGAATGCCGGATCATAATGGCTGGTCAGGAAATAGTGTTGAATATATGCGCGGGCAAAACTAGAGGTTGTTAGACCGTGTGCCTGGAATCGGATTATCTTACAAGTATATGATGTAAAATAAAACGAGGTCGAACAAGAGCATCCAGATGATGAATGTTCGGCTCGGCCTCCATGTGACGTGACGGCTCACAGATGCTGGGACGCTCTGAGCGCGATTGTTAATTAAGTATTTGCGTCTTCAATACTTTGTACTTACAGTCTCGACGGCGGGCTTCAGGTTGTTGACGAGTGTTGCCAACTCCTCGGTGCGGGCACGAACAAGGTGGCTTTGTCGCAGTAACTTTTCTCGTTCAATTCGAGCCTCTCGCGAACCCATTGCCAATTCTAGAATGCGATCGTGGGGAATAGCCCGCTGTTTTACGACTCGCCGATGGTGTGAGATGGTCTGTCTATGAAGAAATGTTGGTTACGGTGACAGCCCAGAAGGATACCACGTACCGGGACTCTACTTGTTGCAAACCCTGACGAATGTCGCTAATCTTGCTCTGAACCCCTTCGATAGTCACCGGTTCGTTCTGGTCAAAAGCTTCGGACATCTCTGCAGCCAAGGATCGCTCGATCTCGTTGCCGAGACTGTCCACAATCTTGATGGCCCCATCCTCTCCGTCATTCTCCTCTTGCAGCTCACGACCGAAACTGTCGACCAGCGTGATCCTTTGCTCGGAAGATTGATTGCCTTCATGCGCGGTGGCATCTGAAGGTCGGGGCTTGGAAAAGCTCTCTTCACTGAACCGAACCTTGTAGCCGCTCTTCCTCGTTTCTGAGGGTACGGGAGTAGCCTGCCATGCTCCAGGAGGTGCAGGAGTTCGACCAACAAGGGAAGGACTTGCAAGCTGACTATTTTCGGCGTGTCGAACCGGGGTGAACCAACCTCCAGGTGGGCGAGGGGTTTTGTTGGCTACATGTAGGAATGAGTCGTCATCGTCAGACTTTGGAGGAGCAGGTAGATCTGGTATGCCTGAGGGTGGGCTCGGTGTGTGGAACTCGATGTGAGCCCTTGAGCGATTAGCGGGCGTGTTCACCTGGTCTTCTGTGATATTTTGCTCCTCATCTTCATCCTTTGGTGGGTCGGCTCGAGCTGTATCGACTGACTCATTGTCTTGAGCAGCGGATTCATCTTGGGCGGTTTGCAACAGATGATGCAACGACTTTTCTACGTTCGTCGTCAACGACAGTCGAAAAGCAGAGAAGCAGATAAAGCTTACGGGATCTACCAGGTTTGGCCATTGAGCTTGACACGTCCATCCGTGATGACATTTCGGGGATTTCGAGGCGATGGCGTAGTAATTGGAGAGAGGTTCCTTGTGATGATACCTGAAAGTCGCTGTCTGAGACTGGCACAGGGACACGTTAGCCACTCGTAGAATCGAAACATGGCCGTTGTGCACGCACCCTGGCTCTCGTCGTCAACGACCTGAGCGTCTGGCGGTAAGGATGATAATTTAGAGTCTGGAGAGTCGTCGTTATCCCGCATTGCACGCGAAAACACGTCCTTGAGGCTTTTGCGGGCGGAAAAGACGGGGTTCAAGTCCGAGTCGGATTCAGAGGCGGTCGTAATCCGTCGGTCAGGAGGAGTTGAAGGACCAAGTCTGCTCATGGCAGCTCGGAGTCTGCTTGCTGGTGATGCGTACTGGCTTATTTCCTGGTCCGATTCTCCATCGGAGCCATTGACCTGCCGAAGCGGGGCGCGTACAGAACGAGGCATATGTTGAAAACTGTGCTGAAGAAATGAAAGGGAGACTGAAGAAAACTGTAAACGGCGAAGAGGCCGCGAGATGGGCAGACGTTGAGGGAGCCAAAAGCTGTTCCAACTGTTTGGCCAACGGCCCTTGAAGCCAACGACATGTTGAGGTGTGATCAATCGTTTTAAAATTGAAGGTGAACACTGACTGTACTGTTACTCTGCTTTAGATATGCCCCTCGCATCATTCGGAGACCACCTTTCTCCTTCAGCTCGCGCGCCATGGCAAAGATCCCGCAGGGAGACACCCGTCGTGTTATAAATGGGGATATTCCATACAAAATGGTCACAGTCGTTCAATCAGACGGAAAGCTGTCCTCCCAGCCAATCAAGTTGGCCGACCTCTTGCGCGAAATCGACCAATCTAGCCACTTTGTCGAGCTCGTCAGCAGCCGTGACAAGCCCATTGTCAAAATCCAGAGCAAAAAGGAAACTCTTGACAAGCAAAAAGCACTCAAGGAGAAGCGAGCAGCAACCAAGGTCGTCATCAAAGAAGTGCACATCTCCTGGGTCATTTCTCCAGGAGATTTGGACCATAAGCTTGCCCAGGCTAGACAATATTTTGACAAGGGTTACCGTGTTTGGCTCGTGTTCTCCCCTAAGCGGGGTCAACTGCCTCCTCCGCAGGCTGAATGCGATGCGTTTGTGGCCAAGGTTCATCAGATGATAGAGGAAAATGCTGTATTACAACGAATCGATCATCAGGGAAAAGGCGTTACCGCGCATACGACCGCACAATACACGGCAAAGGCACGACCTAGCCAGCCAGCGTCGTCCAATGCTCCAAGATCTCACTCAGAGGACGCATCATCCTCCTGAGGATCTTCATCGCCTTTCTTCCCCTCATTGTCTCTTCCAGTAGTGCTCATTCTTCGGCGACCCTTGAGAATAACCATTTCCCTCAGCCATCCATTCTCTCTCCGTAATTCTCCAGCTTCTTTCTCTAAGACCTCTGCCCTTTGCTGCAGTTGGTTCATTGTCTGCTCCATGCTTTCTAATCGCTCTTTCTTCTTCAAGCGAAACCTGGCTAGACGGTTTCATGAGCAAAACAAAGAGGGGGACAGCTCCTAGGCGGGAGGACGAACCTGAAGCCTCAGTGTTTCGTCTCCTCTTGTCCTCTGCGACAGCTTGAGCAGTGTCCAAAAGAGAATTATCTGTGGTCGGGCTATTTGGGGCAGGCTGAAGCTGCCGTTGGTCCATGGTTGGATGGGGCGTATGCTCTTGACGCGTTTCGTAGGGCGTGATGTTCGACGACATCCAGCCAGAGTTCACGGGAGAACTGTGAGAAGACTGGGAGCTTGGGGTGAAGAACAGTGCGTGGTTCTGCAGAGCTCGCGCTTGCTGGTCTCGTTGGTGGGGAGGAGTTATCAACTCAGCGTAAGCGAGCCTCGCTTGAAGCTCTCTTTCAGCCAAGTGGCGCTCTCTATCGCTAGAAGCACCAGTTACGCGTTATTTTGGATCGTGTGCTAGCAAAGGAGACGATTTTACGCACCTGGTGCTGGCACTATGACTGGGGGGAAACTGTGAGCGACTCATGGTAAGAATGTGCGTAGAATGAGACAATAATGGACGTAGACACGAACGCTGAACGAGTTTTAAAGCGCGAGTTTGGGTCCAAGGATCTCAGGATGAGCGAAGATTGCGTGACCATGTAAACAGTAGCACCTCGTATGCCATCATGGGCCTCCCTGCGAGCCTCTGGACCAAAGCCTGCTGTTCTTCGCCTGCTGACTGCTCGACGACATGAGGTTTACGTTGTCAGCCAGGGTCTCTGGAATTCAGATGAACCAGACAGGGCAGGTTTAGAGTAAAAGTGACGGCTAGAGCGCAAGCAGGCGGTCTGGAGAAGGAAAGGGTAGAACGTAAGGGCTACAAACAAACAAGCTGACGTGCTTTCGTACTCAATCTAGCTCCATGCCCATTGACCGACCATCACCGGTGACCAGTGCCGACGCCCGTTGTACCTTGCGCTTTTTGGATACCGAAACCTTCTCTTTGATACGTTCTCTCTGAGGAGCTGTACTTTCGATGGGCTTTACCATGTCCAGCGCGTCCTCTTGCTCGAGGTCTTCAGATACGCGTTCGGCTTTCTCGTCCTTGTAGGTGGCAGCAATAGCAGCGTCCCTTGCTGCTTCTCGCTCGTAAAGCTTGGCTTTTGCCCGCTGCCTGGCATCCTTGTGTTTTTCTCGTGCCACGGCCATTCGATGCTTCCAGAACGCCCGTTCTCTCTTTTGCTTGATCTCCGCAATGCGCTTCATGGCCTTTATCGTCGTTTGCACCAGTTCTCTGTCGTAGCGAACCGGTACGTTGCGCCTCTTCTCGAATTCAATGGTAGAATCCTGGGGTAGATGTTGGTCAAAGCCTTTATAGGACAAAATTAAACCTACAACGGTCATCTCCTTGCCAGCTGCCTTTCGGAACGCCTTTGTCCACCGCACCTTGCGTGGATTACGCTTCATCCTCCAAGTGAATGAGCCACAACCAGACCGGGACGGGGAGCGCTCACTTGAAATTTTTATGGCATCTACGGCTCGCCGTTAGTCTCGTATTTTGTAATTAGTGATACAAAGCTCACTTTGACGTGCAAAATCGAAATACTTTGGCATCGTTTCTCACAAACGCAGAGCCTAGGTCAATTTCAATATCCGAAAACGCCACTAAGAGATGCAAAGGACTTACCGTGGCCAGGATAGACGTTACACGAGCAAAAATAGCATTTTTCTATCCGCATAATGCTATTTTATGGCGCCTGTGCGGTGAAGACCGGGATGGCAAGAGGTCAAGAAGCAAGCGACCTGTGATCATAGAGACAAGGAATATCATTCACCATGAATTGTCACAAATCCAAGTTACACTGATGGTGCAGAACTAGATGGCTGCGCGGTGGCACCAGGATACTACGCTAATAACAGGGTCCAAAGACGGTGACACGTAGCATTCGAAATCTTGTTAGACTAGATCACTGTGTCTTCATGAAATTTGAAAGTCGAATCTTTGCTCGCCGCTCCTTACGCATCTGAGCCTTAAACCCTTGTCCTCCAGGCTTCATTTCCTCTTCCGTATACTTCCTGGGTTCCAGTATCGTCCAGAGCCAAGGAGGATACTCTTCGTCTGCGAGAGCAACGACAGGGGCTTGACCTTTGAGCCAAGCAAGGCCCGGCATCACAGTATCCTTCGGGCACGAGCTGATAACTACGAAAAGGGGTTAATAGAACTTATTATGAATGTTATGTACCGTGTCTAATCCAAACCCGCACCTTTTGGAGTCGAATTCGACGTTGCCAACGTTGACGGGGCCTCTGAAGTTGCATAGAATGCTCTCTGAGCAATATTCGAGTGTTTTAACGTGTAAATTCTTGCCGACCTGGCCAACATTCTCGAGAACGACCTGAACCGTGGATGGCGTCGAAAGTCAACTTTTAGACTCGACCAGCCAACAGCCTTTCCAGAGGGCTAGTGCAAGCAGAGCGACTACACGTCAAAGTACACGAGATTCGGCTTTGCAACTCTGCCTGTTCTGGCGACCGCTGGAGGGAAGTATATGTCGTCGAGTGAAAGCGATTCTGACGAGGCCGCCTATGGTGATGAACATATTGACATCGAAATTGATGAAGGAGATGATTCAGAGTCGACAAGGGGAGTCAATATTGCGATCAAGACTCGGAAACCCAAGAACCGCTCGCGCAAGTCGGTGCAAGCCCACAACCCTCCACAGTCTCTGATGAAGACACAAAACTTGCCGAATGTCACCCGAGCTGCTCGTCCAGCTCATGTACTCATCAATTCCCTCCCTTCGAGAGACCATCGACACCGTCCTGGTGGCATTTGGTATCCCCCGTGCAATGTCGTTCGTCTTTCCAGGAGACCAGTGCCATTTACGCCGGTAGACGTGGTTCCTACCACGAGTATCACAGAACCTCGCATCGAGCGGCGTACCAAGAAGGCTTGGATGTACTGCGTCTCCCCAGGTCCATGTTGGGAACTCTTGGAAGATCGTACATTCTTCAAAGAGGAATATGCAGATGACAGCGGAAAGTTTCGCATATCTCGACCACACGTCTATCCATGTCTCTCGCTGAGCAAAGAGTCCATCGTAATGCTCGATGCAGTGTGAGTACCGTTTTGGTACACGTTAAAGATGACTATTCACACGATTCATAGACAAGGTCAACAATATATGCCCGAAGGTGATATGATAGACTGCCTCTTGGGTCTGCGCGGTGCACAAACTCTCCACAAATTTGCAGCCCTTTCCTCGATTGCAATGGGTTAGCTTCAGACTACTACAAGGGCTTAAATCTCATTTTCTTCGAGATTCGATTACCGAAGGAGACAGCGCTCACATCTTATATGCTGGTGATCCTGTCACCAGCGTTGATTGGTGCCCATTTACATCAGACGCGCTTCGAGGTGAGAAGAGAAACTGGGTCGGGATAAATCTGATTTATACCAACAGCTCGCAAGAGTCAGCAGATATTGGCCGTCTGTACCCGAAAGGCCCATTCAAGGCCCATTCTGGGTACTCACTACAATTCCCCTGCGAATATTCAGGTGTGGTCCTTCGAACAGTCTCTATCGTCAGCAGGGTCACACGTCAAATGTCTCACCGTCATTTGCATTGACGAAGGTCCAGCTTTGCAAGCAAGATGGTGCCCACTTCCGACGCATACCCAGGGAAGAGGTGCACACTTACCATGGTCGAGTTACTAAATAACAATCAGGGCACAGCAACCACCAAGATTCTGGGTATTCTCTCAGCGGTGACCATGGACGGCAACGTGCACATATATGCAATCCCTGACGTTGGTGGTGGTGTTGATATCCCGCGAGGTTCGCAGAAATCCCAAGTCAATTAGCGGCTTCTGATATTATATCAAGTGAAAATACAGCCTATGATTAACCTTTCGCTTCCCAGGACGACCTGTCAAGCTCTGGACTGGGCGAACAGTCAAACAATTGCTATTGGTGGCGAAAATGGTGAGCGAGAAATGGGTCAGCCTCAGTATCAGAAGACATTAATTTCATAGGCTATATTGGAGTATTCAATATCTCGAATGCATTATTGAAAAGTTACAAAGGTCGAGAGCAGTTATAGTAATGACCACGTCTGAAAGCTAACATGCTAGAATCCAGCTACAATGACGCACTATTTCCCAGTGCATCAGACTTCTATCTTGTCTATTGCGTGGGTTCGAGCACCAGTAGGAAAGCCAAATGGCCAATACAAGTTGACGGAGGATCCCACGATTATCTGTTCGACAGGTGCTGAGGGTAAGACGAACATGACAGATACACGGGACTGCATACCGCGATTGGTGGCAAGGAATCGGGAAGTGCCTCACGCGTGTATATACTCGACTTTCTGTGGGGCAATTATCGCGACCGATGTCGATTTTTGGATCAAGCTATATCAGATGGTGCCGTCTATGCTTGGAAAGGGACATTCGACGACAGAGATTGGGGGCGTGGCATTGGTTCGGGTCGTCGCCCAAGGTCGGTGACTGAGCTGATAATCTGCAGACACTTTCGTGTTCGGATATGCATCCTTTGCTGGCTGTGGGTTGCGCGGATGGGGCTTGCATCACAACGAACCTGCTGAGAGGCACCCGTCGAGAAGGAGCCGTGGTAGGTCAATTCATCATAGACTAATGTAAATGCTCAACAATTGCAGCCGTTGCTGAACCACAAACTGTTTCAGCTCGACTACAACCCTACATCGAAGCAGTACCGAATCTTGGACCATTTTCTTCCTCGAGAAAGTGGAGTCGCGGAGGGAACAGTGTTCAAGGAATCGAGTCAACCCAAGGCGGGGTCAGGCGAAGCTGCCAAAAAGGATGTGATCAAGGAGGGGTTTGAGAGTGGGCGGATTGAGCCTTCTGGACTCTGGGCACCGAACATTGCAGTATCTACAGTGGCGTGGAATTCGGTCAACGGCCTGGGGAACGCCTCCTTGCTGGCGAGCGGGACGACGAGCGGTTTGGTGCGGATCGACGAACCCGAAGGCGCGTGGATGCGGGGAACTCGACCGTATGGTTCAATGGCCGAAATTCGATTCGAAGGAGCCGAATTTGCCAACGAAAGTGGATCCGAGTCGGACTAGGCGGCGGTAGCGAGATCCTAAGTGGGGTGAATTGACGATCGCCAGGTAGAGGGAACAGAATACATACACGCATCATGATACTCAAACGCTGGGCGGGATTCAATGGTGGCTCGGGCTTTAAGATCGAGTGTTTGTATTTGTATCGGACCAGATCGCTAAACAATGAGTGAGTGACCGGGTGGTGGTGCCTACAAGCGAAGACAGGCTTGCCGTTGAATGTAATAGCTCCCTGGTTCTAGCACGACCTCGTAGCGATGTCCGTCGCAATTTTCGAGGCGAAGGACGCGTGCAGAGCCGAGCGAAATTCCGAGGATGCAAGACCCGCTGGCCTTGACATTGTCAATGTGTGGAAGAATCTCACCATCACTAGCGAGATGTAGAACATGGCATTGATGGTGAACGGCAAGTTCAGGGGGTAACTGGGCCCGAAGTTTTGCAAGAACGGGGTCGAGACTGGCGTCGGTGGCGACTAGCGAGTGCCAGTGAGCATCTGTGATGCGAGCTTCTCTGTATTTTCTAATTACGCCGTCAAAGTGGCCCTACCGAGCGGAGCAAGGTGTTCCGTTAGGCCCGACGGCAAAACACTTGGCCCAAAAAAACTCACCGGCTCAAAGTCGTAGAGCTGTTCGGGGAGAAATCCTTGACCGTCTGCTGTCACAGAACCTGTCTGGAGCAGTTTTCTCCGTTTTCTGCGACTTGCAGCGGTCGAGGCCGCGGCGTCGAGGTGTTGGAGGGCAGCGTTGAGGAGCGTCCGCTGTTCATGGTCGCTGAAAACTCGTGGAAAATAAGTGAAGCCAGCTGGGGCGGCTGTTGGCGGTCTGACCGAGGCGAGCGAGGACAGGAGCCGTCGCATTAGGAGATAAGATTCGAGATAAGATTTCGTAAGGCTTTTGCCCTGATTCGTCTCTTCGGGCGTCGCGTCCGACGGGCGTTTGAATGTCAGTGGCGGGCCAATCAATCTTGTTGCTTTACTTTCTCCCCCTCCTCCCCGCCCGCCCGCTTATTTGGCGATTTTGCATCTTGGACCCGACCTCGTCCATCTCCTCTGCCATGGATCCCGTCCTACGCGACTCTGATTCATGGGCAAATGCACTGCCAGCCTCTCAGGGTCTCTACAATCCAGAAAACGAGCGTGACGCGTGCGGCGTCGGCTTTATTTGTCAGATAAAGGGCAAGCCATCCCACAAGATTATCTCAGATGCGCGCCATCTCCTCTGTGCAATGACACATCGAGGCGCAACAGGTGCAGACTCGCGCGACGGCGACGGTGCGGGCGTAATGTGTGGCATCCCTCACGAATTTTTCAAGGCAGAGGCAGAGCGCCTCCTCAGCGCCCCCCTTCCATCTGCAGGTCACTATGCTGTTGGGAACCTTTTCTTGAACCCCACAGACGTCACCGAACAGGACAAGCACAAGGCCATATTTGCAAACATCGCATCTGACCTCGGCCTTCGCGTCCTTGGATGGCGAAAAGTGCCCACAGATGGCTCTATCCTCGGCCCTGCCTCTAGCTCAAGGGAGCCTGCAATCTTCCAACCCTTTGTCGTTCTTCGCAAGCATTATGGCGACGGCAACTCGTGCGCGCACGGCGAGTTTGACGAGAAGCATTTTGAACGGCAGCTTTACGTGCTCAGAAAGCACGCCACACATACAATGTGAGTCTTGATCCCTTCAATTCTACCTGAACGCACTCCTCCCGCTAGACCTCGTCGACCGAGTTGGCTTTTTGCCGTCAGAGCGTGCTTCTTTTTTTGTCTATCATGTACTATCGACCCTGTAAATTGGATACTAATTATTATTCGTTCCTCAGTACGCTCGCCAAGTGGTTCTATATCTGCTCACTCTCGAGCAAAAACATCGTGTACAAGGGTCAACTCTCGCCTCCCCAAGTTTACAATTACTATCACGACCTGAACCACGTCCTGTTTGCGTCCCATTTCGCTCTCGTCCATTCCCGTTTCTCGACGAATACGTTCCCTAGTTGGGACCGTGCACAGCCCATGAGATGGGCCGCTCACAACGGTACAGGATTATTGTTCACTTCATGACAAGATATTAACTTCGTGTCCACAGGCGAGATCAACACCGTCCGTGGAAATAAGAATTGGATGCACGCTCGTGAAGGCGTCTTGCATTCGAGCCTGTTTGGCGAGGACCTTGACCTTCTCTATCCCATCATCGAGAAAGGCGGCTCAGACTCTGCAGCATTCGACAATGTTCTCGAACTTCTCGTCGTGAATGGCGTCCTCACATTGCCAGAGGCCGTGATGATGCTCATTCCCGAGGCTTGGCAAGACAATGCGCTCATGGAGCCAGAGAAAAAGGCGTTTTACAAATGGGCTGCATGTCTTCAAGAGCCATGGGATGGTCCAGCTCTATTCACCTTCTCAGACGGTCGCTATTGTGGTGCCAACTTGGACCGCAATGGCCTTCGTCCATGTCGCTATGTTGTCACTTCTCAGGACATCATGGTCTGCGCTTCAGAGGTTGGCGCGATCTACATCGAGCCTGAGACTGTTGTCCAAAAAGGCCGTCTCAAGCCCGGCCGGATGCTCCTCGTAGACACCAAGGAGGGAAGGATTGTCGATGATAAGGAGCTTAAGCTGAATACAGCCCGCAAGCAGAACTTTGCGACCTGGATCGAGACGCATATGCTTCTGATGCCCAATATCGTCAAACGGGTTCAACGATCCATGTCGGTCGAGCCCAAAATTGACGACGCACCACTGAGCACCGATCCACTTTTACTTGCGTTCGGCTACACCATCGAACAGCTTCACTTGCTGATGCTTCCGATGGTCACGGATGGCAAAGAGGCCCTTGGTTCCATGGGCAACGACGTCGCGTTGGCATGTATGGCCACGCAACCTCGTCTGGTTTACGAGTATTTCCGCCAGCTATTCGCGCAGGTCACCAATCCCCCAATCGACCCGCTTCGAGAGAAAATTGTCATGTCTCTGGAGGCCTATGTCGGACCCGAGGGTAATCTACTCGAAATGAAACCAGAGCAATGTCATCGTATCTTGCTCCCTTCCCCTGTCATCTCTTTGGAGGAAATGGAAGCCATGAAGCATCTCAAAGTCGCCTACGCACGATGGCCATCGCGTACTATCGACATCACATTCCCCAAAACCCATGGTATCCCAGGATATCGTGGTGCTATCGAGCGTGTCTGCGAGGAAGCATCCCAATCCATCGACGATGGTATCAAGGTCATCATTCTCTCTGACAGAGCGGTTGGACCAGATCGTGTTCCCCTATCAGCCCTCGTCGCATGTGGTGCCGTTCACCACCATCTCATCGCATCAAAGAAACGTGCAAAGGTAGCCCTTATGGTTGATACCGGCGAAGCTCGTGAAGTTCATCATCTCTGCGTCTTGGTCGGATATGGGGCAGACGCCATCTGTCCTTATCTCGCCTTTGAGGTCATTCATAAAGTTGCAAGGGAGAAGCTGTAAGTGATTTGTGTATACATGAGGCGACCAAAGCTGACAATATGTAGTGTCAAGGGCGATTTCACGGTCGAACAATTGATCAAGAATTATCGTAAAGCAGCCGACCTTGGCTTCCTCAAGGTTATGTCCAAGATGGGCATTTCCACACTCCAGTCATACAAGGGCGCCCAGATCTTTGAAGCGCTCGGTCTTCACAACGAGGTCATCGAAAAGTGCTTCACTGGTACCGCCAGTCGTGTACAAGGCGCGACGTTTGACTTGCTCGCACTAGATGCGTTTGAGTTGCATGAACGTGGCTGGCCCTCTCGAGACACGATTCTACCACCGGGCATGCCCGAGTCCGGAGAATATCATTGGCGTGATGGTGGCGAACCCCATGTCAACGACCCAGAATGCATTGCCAACCTTCAGGATGCTGTCCGCGAGAAAAACCAGAAAGCGTACGATAGCTATGCGCAAGGTGCTTACGAGCAGATCAAACGCTCTACCCTCCGTGGACTTCTCGAATTCAGATATGACGAAGCCACGCCTATTCCAATCGAGCAGGTTGAGCCGTGGAACGAAATTGTGCGCCGATTCGTCACCGGTGCGATGTCTTACGGTTCCATTTCTATGGAGGCACATTCTACTCTTGCCATCGCGATGAACCGTCTCGGCGGCAAGTCCAACACTGGTGAGGGAGGCGAAGATGCAGAACGCTCCAACATCCTACCGAATGGCGATACGATGCGTTCAGCCATCAAACAAATCGCCTCGGGTCGTTTCGGTGTCACCTCCAATTACCTTGCCGACGCCGACGAGCTCCAGATCAAGATGGCTCAAGGCGCGAAGCCTGGAGAAGGAGGTGAACTACCAGGTCACAAGGTGTCCGCTTCCATTGCACGCACTCGCCACTCTACCGCCGGCGTCGGTCTCATCAGTCCTCCTCCCCACCACGATATCTATAGCATCGAGGATCTCAAGCAACTGATTTACGACCTCAAGTGCTCCAACCCTCGTGCGCGAGTCTCTGTCAAGCTCGTATCCGAAGTCGGTGTTGGCATTGTTGCTAGTGGTGTCGCCAAAGCCAAAGCAGACCATATCCTGATTTCTGGTCACGATGGTGGCACTGGAGCCTCAAGTTGGACTGGTATCAAATACGCTGGTCTCCCATGGGAGCTGGGGTTGGCAGAGACTCATCAAACGCTGGTCTTGAACGACTTGAGGGGCAGAGTCACAGTCCAGACTGATGGCCAGATTCGTACTGGTCGTGACATTGCCATTGCGTGCTTGCTCGGTGCTGAAGAGTGGGGTTTTGCTACGACGCCACTAATTGCGATGGGCTGTATCATGATGAAGAAGTGTCATTTGGTGAGTGGATTCTTCTTTCGACCAAAGCTTGAATTGAGTGCGTTTGATAGAATACCTGCCCGGTCGGGATTGCCACCCAGGATCCAGAGCTGCGTGCCAAGTTTGCTGGACAGCCCGAGCAAGTCATCAATTTCTTCTACTACGTCGCGGAGGAACTCCGAGGTATCATGGCCAAACTCGGTATCCGCACCATCAACGAGATGGTCGGACGCGCGGACCTTCTCCGTGTGAACGAATCGCTGAGGACACCGAAAACGCGTCATCTCGATCTCTCGGCGATCCTTAAGCCTGCTTTCCAAATGCGTCCGGGTGCGTCCACATACCGCATTCGTGCTCAAGACCACAAGCTGTACATCCGCCTTGACAACAAATTTGTGGACGAGTCCGAATTGGCTCTCACCAAGGGTCTCCCAGTCCATATCGAATGCGACGTTGTCAACACTGACCGCGCATTGGGGACGACGCTCTCCTACAAAGTCTCCAAGCTCTACGGAGAAGAGGGCTTGCCAAAGGACACAATTCACATCAACATGTATGGCTCAGCAGGCCAGTCTTGTGGCGCCTTCCTTGCGCCCGGAATCACCATTGAACTTGAAGGGGACGCCAACGACTACGTTGGCAAGGGTCTTTCCGGTGGTCGTCTCATCGTCTACCCGCCCAAGGCATCTCGTTTCAAGGCCGAAGAAAACATCATCATTGGAAACGTTTGCCTCTATGGCGCGACCTCTGGTGAGGCCTTCATCCGAGGCGTCGCTGCTGAGAGGTTTGCCGTTCGAAACTCTGGTGCAAAGGCCGTCGTTGAGGGTACCGGTGATCATGGTTGCGAGTATATGACCGGTGGGCGTGTCGTGGTGCTTGGAACGACTGGACGCAACTTTGCTGCTGGTATGAGCGGTGGTATCGCGTATGTCTTGGATACTGCCCACACATTCGCATCAAAGGTCAATATGGGCATGGTTGAACTTGGCACAGTCGAAGATCCCAAGGAGATTGCCGAGCTCCGCAGCCTTATTGAAGATCATCGTCATTACACCGGCTCCGAGGTTGCTACTCGTGTGCTGCACGACTTCCACCGTCTTTTGCCCTCATTTGTCCGCGTCATGCCACTCGATTATAAGCGAGTACTGGAGGAAAACGCATCCAAGGCTCGCGAGCTGCGACAAAGGCAAAGTGTCATCGACCTCATCCCCTCGAGGACAGCGAGTCAGGTAAACCTTGCAGATGAAGGTATTCAAGACGTTCTTCAGCCTCGTGAATCACTCGCCAATGCTATCACAAGTGTCCGCGATGGTCCAATGCCTTACCAGCGTTCAGCTTCCTCAGGCTCCATAACTCCTGCACAAGAGCCTACCGTTGGTGACGTTGAAGATGCGATGGTCGACGATGCTGCGGCTCGGGAGCGACCGAAGAAACTCGACAAGCTTCGTGGTTTCATGAAGTATAAGCGCCTAGGTGAACATTATAGACCCGCCCGACGACGAGTTAAGGACTGGAACGAGCTCTCCAGCCGTCTGGATGATTACGAGCTCAAGCACCAAACCGCTCGCTGCATGGACTGTGGTATTCCATTCTGCCAGTCCAACAACGGCTGCCCAATCTCGAACGTTATCCCGCAGTGGAATACTCTCGTTTTTAAGGACCAATGGAGGGATGCCCTCAATCGTCTGTTGCTTACAAACAACTTCCCCGAATTCACTGGTCGTGTTTGTCCTGCACCTTGTGAAGGTGCTTGCGTTCTTGGAATCAATGAGGCGGCAGTGGGAATCAAGAGTATCGAGTGTGCCATCATTGACAAGGTATATTTCCACCATTAATGAGGGGTCTACTTCTGACTGGCTCTTTAGGGTTTCGAGATGGGCTGGATGGTCCCAAATCCACCTCACGTCCGCACCGGCAAGAAGGTCGCTATCGTCGGCTCTGGCCCAGCAGGCCTCGCTGCAGCAGACCAGTTGAATAAAGCTGGTCACCTTGTTACCGTCTATGATCGCAACGACCGCATGGGTGGATTGCTCATGTATGGCATCCCGAAGTGAGTTACGAAGTTACGGTATCAGAGCATTCATTCATCGAATTCTCTTGCAGCATGAAGCTCGACAAGGCAATTGTTCAACGACGTCTGGATTTGATGGAGGCAGAGGGCGTTGTAAGCCAATTATTTATTCATCGTAGCACGGTCTCACAGCATCCCAGCGATTTGTCCCGAATGCAAACGTTGGCGTTGATGTCGACGTCTCAACGATCAAGTCTGAAAACGACGCACTCATCTTGGCCACTGGAGCGACATGGCCTCGCGATTTGAAGATCCCAGGCAGGAGCGCTGGCGGTATTCATTTTGCTATGGAGTACCTGCAGCTGAACACCCAGTCGCTCCTCAACTCCAAGCTTCAAGATGGCAATTTCATCGACGCGAGGGGTAAGGACGTCATTGTCATCGGAGGAGGAGACACCGGTAATGACTGTATCGGAACCGCCATGCGACATGGTGCAAGGAGCGTTGTCAACTTTGAGTTGCTCCCCAAACCGCCCGCAAAGCGCGGCAGAGACAACCCATGGCCGCAATGGCCTCGGTAAGTGGGTGACCATACCTCAAAGCTCCAGACTTATTCTCTCTAGGATCTTCCGTACCGATTATGGTCACGCAGAGGTCGCAGCACACTTCGGAAACGGCAGGTAGTTCAATACACAGGTAGCCAACAGCTAATTCTTCTCTAGACCCTCGCGAGTTCTGCATCTCTACCAAGGAGTTCTTGACCGACGAGGACGGCAACGTAAAGGGTCTCAACACTGGTGAGCTCTGGGCCGATTTGCGTGTTATCTGCGTCTAAACATGGGTAGTTCGTGTCGAGTGGACCAAGGACAGTGGTGGCCGATGGAAGATGGAAGAAGTTCCTGGTTCTGAAAAGTTCTTCCCAGCCCAACTTGTCTTCCTGGCTCTCGGGTTCTTGGGTCCGGAGAGCGAGGTCATCAAAGCCTTGCAAGTCAAACAAGATGGACGCTCCAACGTTGAAACGGCCCCAAAGGTCTGTTCCCGGCCCAAAGTCTGTTGTTTTCTCAACGTCTTTGTAGAAATACTCCACAAACGTTCCCGGAGTCTTCGCAGCTGGTGATTGTCGACGTGGCCAGTCTTTGATTGTGTGGGGTATCAAGTGGGTTCATCTCTACGAAGCAATGTCTGGTACTCACCATCTCGTAGTGAGGGCCGAGCCGCGGCTGCCGAAGTCGATCTCTACCTTACTCACAGCACACGACTGCCGATTGCTGGCGGTATTAGAGGACGCGTAAGCCACCTCATTGATCTCTACTGACCACTTATTAAATACATGTATAGATTCATACTGCTCCTCAGGAATCCGCAGCGGAGATCAAGGTATCTGCATAAATTTCGACATTAGTTCTGTCTGCATTTCTGTATATTATCCCTTCTTAAAAGAACATACGTGTTTCCATAACGTGGCGCGCGACTAAGTGGTGACTCCAACTTGGACATGGCCAACTTTTCGAGTTACGCCTCGAAGTTTTTAAACCAGTCATTGCTGCCCAACGCGTCTACGGTAGCGAATGAACCTCTTTTCTACTCGATAGCAGAAGCGTCTCATGAGGGCCTGGACGACGAAGACGTCCATCTCAGACGCAGTGGGCACGATAACGGACGCGACTATGACCCGTTCAACCTCGAGGACATTCCTGACGACGAGAGAGAACAAGTGGCGGATTTAGAGCCCTCGTTGGGCGACGTCCAAGACTCCCTGCCGCTGCTTCTGCAGTCCAATTGGCGCCAGGCCCACAGTTCGCCACAACGGCGACCGCAGTCGCCTTCTTCAGAGTCATCCGCGACATCATCAGATGGGTCAATGCCATTGGGGCTAGGAATGTTTGACGATGACCGACCTCAAGCCGCACCGCTGACGCAGTCTCTGCTCCCTCGCAACACCAATGCGCAATTTACGTTCAGCTTGCCGAAACCGGGCAGGATACCCCGGAGAAAGTACAATGATTGGGGTTGGGCACTCTTTTGGTACACCTGCCTTGCTATCTGTGGGGTGGGGTCCATTCTCACCTTGTTCTTGACTTCTGTATGTTGAGATGTCTGCTTTTAAATGGGATGAATCGCTGATACGACCATATTAGGTGCCTACCGGCACCTCTAGACCCATTCTTTACACCACATTGACACACACCATTCCATTGATAACTCTTTTCACTATAATCGCAGCGGGTATCTCATATCTGATCATCGCCTTGCTTCGTGTCGCAGTCAAACCGGTTCTGATGGGTACCTCTATTGCGGTACCCTCGGTCATGATCCTTGCAGCTGCGTGGGCCTTTGCCGGAAGCTTTTATTGGACAGGGCGGACGGGTGGATGGGCAGAAACTGTAGGGTGGGTGAAATATACAACGGAGGTTGCCATGTCTGACGCTCCGATAGCCTCCGACTGTTTGCACTCGTCCCCCTTGTCCTCGCTGGTCTATCAGCTCGGAGCCTGTATAGAAGGCGCCTTCGTCTTCACGAAACAATCTCCGTAGTCACACTCTCCACAAAATTACTGCTCGAACCTGGGCAATTGCCTCTTCTTGCATTGTCTCCAGCAATCCTCCTAGGAACGGTCATCGCCTCGTTACCCTTCCTATCGCTCGCCTTTCATCTACTCTTAATAGGGTATTTTGGTACGGGATCAGACTCTGGAAACTGGCATTTAAAGCCGTATGCCGGCTGGCTCTTTGTCGGCACAATCTTTGTCTGGATTTGGAGTTGGTTTATCGCACGGGATATCCTTAGGATGTCGGTTTCGGCTGTCATTGGGTGCTGGTATTTCCTAGAGCGACGGTCGGAACCCACGGACGAATTGCATGCTGCCGTCTACAGAGCAACCTCTCCATCACTCGGAACGAACTGCCTGTCTGCACTCGTGATGGCAGGAGTTCATTCACTTACGTTTCTTATTCATAACTTGTCACGGGTACGAGCGCCATTATTTTCTGATCACGTTGCTGACTACTCTTTAGCTTACCGTTCCACCTACTCTACTTCCGTTCGTCTTGCCGTTAGCAGGTCCTACCACATTTGTGTCCACCATCATGGCATCGCTCAGCAATTACGCGCTTGTCTACGTTGGCATTACAGGGGATGCGTTCTTCCCCGCCGCAAGGAGAGCAAAAGCGCTCACTTCGTCGCGGGGGTTACGATCGAAAGCAGGATGTAAGTGCTCCTAAAAAGTGATAATCAGTTTCTCACTGAGGCGCAGATACCCTATTGACGATCCTCTTGCTTTTAACCGCATTCTCTATGGGACTACTCGCTGCAATGGCTACTTATTTGTTCACAACATTCACCCTCAAGAATCCGTCTGCCGCACCGTTGGCCAGCTTTATCGGCGGAATGGTCACATTCCTTGTGGGTTGGTTCTGTATGAGTCTTATCGACGATGTGTACGTACATACTTTTCTGGAGAATTACGTCATTTACAAACCACAGCGCCGACTCACTATATATGTGCTACTGTATCGACGTGGACATTGGGGCCACACACAAGCCTCAAGTCTTTGATGCCGTACGTATAGATTTGTTACGATCAAATCGACATTTCTGACAGACTCAGTTTGAAGGCAGGCAACATCCACCATCAAATCGTTCGCGAGCATAGAGTTCTTTCTGTTGGATTCGACCATTTGCACAATTGGCCATGTAGCATAAGAGATACATGCATAGTTATATATAACGGTTTCTATTCGATTTTCTCCGCTTGGCCTCGGTGCCGAGTGGGGTTTGTTTCTGAACCGAACCGCATCATGAAATATGTTGTGACAGGTAAAGCGAGCCTTCCAAATGAGCTCAGACCTGATACATAGACCAGTTGACGATGTGAGCCCCATGATTAGCTATTCAGGAGTGTGGATGGACGCGCTATCCACGGGCGAGAGCACAAATTACAAGGTAACCTGTCCCGAAGGCAATGTTCTGTCGTATAACAATGGCTTGTAGGACAAGTCGTATCATGCATCTCGCAGCAACGTGAGAAATTCACTTCGTCCTCTCAAGTAATATGCTCATAGTTTCTAGACTTCAACCGCCACACTCTCGTTCATAGGAACTGCAATTTCTATCTATGGATCGAAAGCCTCGGATCATGGTACATTTTCAGTGACTCTGGATGGCACTACGCAGACGCTCGACGGTCACAATCCGACCAACGTATATCAGACCCTGTTATTTTCGCAGACAGGACTACCCTATGGATCGCATACTCTTCAGGTCCAGAATTTAGCGCTGGATAGTGCACAACCGTGGCTCTATCTTGACTATTTTGAATTCGAAACAGGTCTCGACGACAACATGTAGGCAGTTCCTGAGTCCTGTTGGACATGGACTTACAACGCTGCAGAAGGAATGCAGATTATAATATGGATGATAATAATTCGACGATAAGCTATCTACCGCCAGACGCATGGGGACCACAGACGACAACATATCTCAATACTACGGAAAGACGTTACAGTGGGTGTGTTTGTTGCGCGGGATAGCTTGCTTAATCTTTTGTAGCACGTCATCAACACCCAGCTCTCAAGTCTCGACAGCCTTTGACGGGAATGCCATTTCTGTGTTCGGCTCGGTTGGCCCCAGTTACGGCCTTGTGGACGTCACGATAGATAGTCTGACCACCGTTCTCAACTGCTCTGCCTCGACATTTCGGCCACAAACCCTACTGGTACGAGGATAAAGCTGACATGCACCAAGACTTATGGTGTGACAGTTTTACGCCGTCGGACTCCCTTCGGAACGACACTCTCTCAAGATGCAGATCCCTTCAAATTCATCTCAGCGGTTCGATCTTGACTTTCTCACCATCACACGGTGGTCGGACAATAATGGGTATGTATCAGAGGCAACACTGGGCCCTTTGCTCATGTATCATTCAGGCTCGGAAGGTACATCGCGTCATTATTCTCAAGGGTATTGGATTTGAACCTCGTCCCCAGGAGCAAGGCAAAAACGCCCATCATCGCCGGATCGGTAAAGAAAGCTCTTACTTAATTGAAGACACTAACGCCGACTAGATCTGTGGTGCTCTGATTCTACTTGCGTGGGCCACCTATCTGGGTCACTGGACCTGGACTCAGCATCAGAAGAGAAAGAGGACGCCTCCGGCGGAGAGAAAAGTCTCCGATGCGATTGCCCTCCGGGAAGATAAGAAAAAAGGTTCGCAAGGGACCAATGGCGGAGCGAGTCCCAAAGATCGTCAGGCGTCTCGAGGCGAGGAGGGACAGGGCTAGAATGCAAAAGGAATGCGTTGTCCATATAAATTACATTATCTATGGTGTATATATGCTGTTCCATGTTTTGTTTGGGCGTTGCGAAGTTTGACCTAGAGTCTGCCACCTTACGCGACGGCCGAGGCTTGGAGTCAACGAAGGCTAGCATTTGATGCTCGAATACGCATCGGACGCACCAGCACCTCTTCCGGGTGCATATCCCAGATTGGCATCGCACTTTTTGCTCCAGGATGGGACACCAGATTACCTCCGGCTGATTCTAAACGCAAAAGTATACGACTTGATTCGAGAGACGCCACTAGTACGAGCCACAAACCTAAGCACGAGGCTGGGAAATGAAATCTGGCTCAAGCGAGAGGATCTCCAAGAAGTTTTCAGTTTCAAAATCCGGGGGGCCTACAACTTTATGGCCCATCTCCGAGATGAGGAGCGATGGAAAGGTGTTGTCACTTGTAGTGCGGGTTAGTACGCTGCCATGTTGTAGCATTTGGACAGTATTCATGGAATCGACAGGGAATCATGCCCAAGGTGTGGCACTCTCTGGGGCCCGACTCAACATTCCGTGTACCATCGTGATGCCTAAAGCGACACCTTCTATCAAAGTGAGAAATGTGGAGCGATTAGGTGCCAAGGTTGTTCTTCATGGCGAGGATTTCGACGAGGCAAAGGAAGAGTGTGCGCGGCTGGCGTCGACACATGGGCTCATCTTTGTGCCACCCTATGATGACCCACTCGTAATTGCTGGTCAAGGAACAGTAGGACTCGAGATTCTCAAGCAGATCAATAGCGCAGACACGCTCGACGGGATTTTTGGTGCAGTCGGTGGAGGCGGGCTGGTAGCAGGGATTGCCGAGTATGTCAAGCGTATCGGAGATCCGAGGGTCAAGGTCATTGGCGTGGAGACGCTGGATGGCGATGCTATGGCGCGGAGCATGCAAGCAGGTCAACGGGTCACTCTCAAGGACGTTGGGCCATTCAGCGACGGAACTGCAGTCAAAATTGTTGGTGAAGAGCCGTTTAGACTTTGCAAAAAGTGGGTGGATGGCGTTGTCACGGTGGATAACGACGCCATTTGTGCGGCGATCAAGGATATCTTTGAAGGTGTGTCATGTCCATGTATAACCTAATTATATGCTCAGCTGGCTATAGATACCAGATCAATCACTGAACCTGCCGGCGCATTGGCTCTGGCGGGGCTGAAGCAGTATATTACTGAAAATGGTCTCATTGGTGCTGGGAAACGGTTCGTTGCAGTCGTCAGCGGAGCGAATATGAATTTTGGTCGACTACGATTCGTGGCTGAACGAGCAGAACTGGGCGAGGGTCGCGAAGTCTTGTTCACGGTCGATATTCCCGAGACACCGGGTGAGATGTTCAGACAGTTGGATTCATTTCACTGACGACATGTCTAGGAAGTTTTGTTCGACTTCATAATATCATACATCCTCGCGCCGTGACGGAATTTATCTATCGGTATAATCGACCCGATATGGCGCACGTCTTTATCTCGTTCATCCTCAGTTCTGCCGACCGGGAAAAGGAAGTGCGCGACATTTTGGGAGAGCTGGCGCGGGGTGGAATGACGGGGACGGATATCAGTGACGACGAGCTCGCAAAGGCCCACGGGCGTTATATGGTCGGGGGCTGCCAGGATGTGCAAGACGAGCGAGTGTTCCGTTTCGGTGAGCGGGGGAGAAAGCGAGGGCGTTGTTCATTGTCGGCTTATCGATTCCATACAGAGTTTCCGGAGCGGCCTGGTGCACTTCGGCGATTTCTACACGGGCTTCGCTCAGATTGGAACATTTCACTTTTCCATTATCGCAACCATGGCGCAGGTATGGAGTGGTATAGACGTGCGTGGTGACGTATAGACTGAGGGAAATTACAGATGTCGGAAAAGTGCTGGCAGGTGTGCAGGTGCCCGAAGGCGATCGAGAGGCGTTTGGGCAATTTTTGAGTAATCTTGGGTACCAGTATATTGAGGAGACGGAGAACAAGGTATACAGGCAATATCTTCGAGCCAGCGCCCGGTAGTCTCCGGCCACTATGACGAGCCGCGGTGTCTTGGACTCCAACCACTGTAGATAAAAACAGGATTATAAAAAATTGTGGAGACGGCAATGTCGCATCCTACGACACCGACTGTCCATCATCATCCAGGACTTGTCGACGACGCAGACCTGCATGAATCTGCGCGCATCCAGGTCCGTGGTGGTCGTGGGCGAGGCGGCGTCTGTTGCTAATCCTCTTAATCCTGTTCTAGGTCGACTATCTTAGCCACAAGTCGGTATCGCTTACTCCAATGTCCAGCGTATGCCTAATCGCCCTGCAGATGGCAAGAGGCCGACGTCTGGCACACGTGGAGGAACATGACCCGTCAGAAGAACGACATCGCTAACGGTGTTCGTCTTGAAAACGCAAGCTGGCGGACCTGGTGGCAGAAGCGTCTCAAGCTCAAGACGGTCAATCCGCAAAAGCTCAACTGGTCAGTCTTAAAAAGGAGTCGAGTATTATTCTGACTTTGCTATCCAGGCTAAAGGATAGCGATGTCACCTGGCTTTATGGTCCTTTACACCAAGCCCCGACCCCGATCCCGCCGCCCAAGAATGCGACATTCGAGGAAAAGCTCAGCAGCATTCCTCCTCTGCCCAAAGGCCGGAAACCGATCCTCAAGAAGAGGACGCTCGCAGAAGTCCTCGTCCTTGGGCTCGCAAAGACGAACAATCTCACAAACGAGCCACCGCCTGCAGACGAACTCAAAGAGCTCGATATCGACAGCAGAGGTACCAAGGGTCCTGAAGAGCGAGATAGGATAATGCTGTTGCACACCAAATCCGACACCAATTTGCTTAGGCCAGCCCTCCAGCAACCAAGTCTTCCTTCGGACAGCGAGACTGCGTCGCGACGTCGTCCAGGAAGAATGGCGCTTGACCGTTCGTCCTTTTCCATGTCGAACAAGGCCTCTCCCTCTCCCCCGCCCCACGAACACGAAGGCGCGACCAAAAAACGCGTCGGGTTCAACACTTTTGTCGCTCAGTGTATCGCAATCGCGCCTGGTGAACGAAACTCGTCCGACGATGACTCCGGGGATGATGCGCTCAGCATGAAGTCGGGAGGCTCAACCTCACACGGCTCCCACCATGGCTCCCATAGGCCGTCAATGTCCCGCTCCAATTCTCACTCATCAGCTAGGTCCGAACCGTTGATCATCGCTCCTATGGCGCCCACGCTTCTCAAAGAGACGATCGGAGACGAGTCTTGCATGAGCCCGCTCATCTACCAGCCTACAAAGACCCCATTTGACGACTCGGAGAGCAGCGATGATTCCGACTTTGATACTCCGCCAGTGCCTCCACCGAAGATTGTCACCCTCCCCGCTTCTACGCCAGATGTTGCAACCACAGCCACTGCTCAGGGAGACCTCGGGGGTGACGAGTACAACGTCTCTAGCAAGAAGCGTAAGCTCTCTGCTGGTGAGACCCCACCTGCTCGTCGCCAGTTCAAAGAGTCACAAGAGGCCCCAGCAACTGTCTCAACAAACATGCCCACAGAATCGACAAAAGACAGTCTACTTGCTGTCGCGTCCACCGAGGAGGACACACGAGGTCGCACGCTCCATCGCACCTCGTCATCGTCCTCGCTCAATGAGCGATCACGCAGTCGTAATGGGAACAGCCCACTAGGTGGACACTCGCCAGAAAGTTCGCGTGCGTCGAGTAACAGCACCCGGGTTTCCTCTGCAGAAGTCAGTCTCACCGTGCACTCTGGACGCGCTGTAACTATGACGGATCCGAGACCAGCAGCGATTCCAGAAGAGACAACCACTACTATACAGGACGTGGACACACCCATGACGGATGGACAAAAGCCGGCGCCAAAGGCGGAGCTGCAGGCCAAGTCGTCACCCAAGTTGGAACCGTCTGGGTTTGTGGACAAAGCGGTAGCCAATGCCAAAGGACTGATAGGGTCTCTACTACCTTCAGGATCGGGTGCAAGCAAGCGAGGGACGCTTTGAAAGAGAGCCAAGTGGAGCAGGGTTTTTGATCTCTTGTGGAAGTATATGCGTGTATTGTACATGATAGAGAAAACACGTCTGGAATTGTCTGCACAAGCGCCCTGTTGCTATTTTCGACAAACGTGCCCCAGCTAAATGGCAGTTGCCTATTTGGTCGGTGGCAGCGTCTGCCCTTAGTCCTGACCGCTACGGGCTTTGCGAGATGGCTGGTCAAGTGCAAGATATCGCCGACGCACCCAGGGTTTGGCGAGGTGCTGTAGAAGATTTGTGGAGCATGTACTCGTGAGTTTGGTCTCTCGTGCGCTCAGGCTGGCACTCAACTTTCCACAGCGGCAACCCAGAGGACTATATCATCGGTCCTCCTATCGGGTTTGGCGCCTCTTCTATTGTATACAGTGCGCAATTCAAAGTTCCTGGAACGCAGAAACTCTGGCCGGTCGCCGTCAAGGTCATCGACCTGGAGAGGCTGGCACCTTCTGCGCTGCGCTTACTCACCCGGGAGACGCAACTAATGTCGCTCTCGAAGCATCCAAACGTGCTCAGAGTGCGTGGAAGCTGGGTCGTCAACCGCAAGCTGCATATTGCCTTGCGTCTCATGCGCACTGGCTCTGTCAGCGATGTCATGCGCTATAAATTTGCTGCCGGGGTCGAGGAAGAAGTAGCTCGCTGCATTCTCAAGCAAGCGCTCGAGGGCCTCAAGTCGGTGCACCTCTCACACGCTGTCGTGACCGTCACTGACACCCGCTAGTTATCTACACATCAATGGTCTTATTCACCGCGATATCAAGGCGGCCAATCTCCTACTCGACGACGACGGAACCGTCCTCGTTGGAGATTTGGGAGTTGCAGCCTCTCTCGATGACGAGGACGCTCACAAGCATGCTGCAAACAAACCGGTTGTCAGAACGACGGAACACGACATGGATAATCTCCCCTCTCTACGAACAGGAGGTAAATCTCTCGGAAAACGCAAGAGCTTTGTCGGAACCCCATGCTGGATGGCACCAGAAGTTATTGCACAAAAGCAATATGACGCTTCGGCAGACATATGGTCCCTTGGCATCACCGCGCTGGAGCTTTGCAATGGGAGAGCGCCGTACTCGCGAGACCCCTCGTCACGAGTGCTTCAGAAGATTCTCTACAATGACCCTCCGACACTAGACCGCAAAGCCGGGAAGCACAAATACTCTCAAGAATTCAAGGAGATTATCGAGAGCTGTCTCGTCAAGGACCCAACCAAGCGACCCACAGCGGCACAATTGCTGGAGACACCCTTTTTCCGAGGTGCAAAAAAGAAGGATTACCTCGTGTCGACGCTAATCGGTAGGCTATTCCATCTTCTTCGAGGCTTCGCTTACCGTCGACAGCTGGGCTGCCTCCACTTGTAGATCGCCAAGAGAGACGCAAGCAGCCATCCCTTGCCTCGATGCCATCAGCAGACTCTTGGGATTTCTCTTCCACTGTCCATCTCACGCCTTCTGCTTCGCCAACAAGCTCTATGTATTCGAAATCCACCTCGCCGACGCGTGCACAGATCCGTGGACCAACACTGCCACCGCTGGGCGTATTCGACATGGATGACGAGCCTGGAGAAGAGGGAATCGACAAGAGGCTAGAAAGACTTCATATACCCTCTGAGCACCCGCGGTCTAGCTCGTACGCCCCAACTTCGTCCGTGGACATGTCCTCCCGGACGACTTCAATCAGCGCAGAAATTCAGCCACAAAAGGATGAAGGTCATATTGAACAAGCGCCTGTCAGCCAGTCACTCTCTTCGTCATCATCAGAATCCAATCCAGTGGATCCATTGACACCTCCAACCGCTCACGCGGCACCAGGCATGACTATACGCAGCTCCAGCTCGTCCAAACCGAGTATGAGGATATGGAGAAAGTTTACAGGGAGAACAAAGGGGGCCGAAGAGGAAAAGCCAACCAAAGAGGAGAAGCGTCGAGGGAGCATTGTCGGACTCTTCCTTGAGCGCACATCTAGCCGTACTAGTCGCAAGTGATTCGCACATATAGTCCGTACCTTACAACTTGTATATACAACCATATCATGTAGACAATTCGTGTGGCGACTTGACGGGTTTCATGCCTTGAGCTTGACCTCTTCCATGATTTTTACTGGCCGGCGCCTCCAGGTCCTCGTTGGCTCTGTAATTGTTTCACTAGGATCGGGTACAAACTATGTGAGTTCATTTGAGAGTTTGTCGCAGCAGCGCTAACGGAACACTGTCACTATGCAGGCATATTCCGGTACTGTAGCATGGGTTTGGGCGCATCAATAAATGTTCATCGGATTGAACTAGCCTATGCTCCCCAACTGGGGGATGCTCTTCACATCAGTCACACCCTTGTCAACGTAGTCGGGCTCGCGGGGAACAGTAAGTCGACGAGAGCACGATTTCGCAATCTAAACAAGGAGGCAGTGGGTGTTTATTTTACATCTCCTCTCGTTGGACGACTAGTCGACTTGCGTGGACCGAGAATGTCAGTTACCGTTTTACGCTCAGCGACGGCAGCATGCTCATCGTTTCAGCCTGCTAATATCAGCCTTTTTTCTCCTTCTAACTGGATACTATGGGATCAAGTACTACTTTGACCAGGCGGTGACGCCTTCGACCATCGAATTCTTATTGCTTTGCCTCGCGTCTTTTGCGACGGGTGTAGGAGGAAATGCGGGTTTTACAGCGGCAATGAATACCACCGCAAAGTCGTTTCCGGACCGGATGGTAATCGCGCTTCACGGCCTGCGAAAGTGCAGCTGACTTGGGACTGTAGCGAGCGACGACGACAAGCATCGTGGCGAGTGGATTCGGACTGTCCGCTTTCTTCTTCTCCACACTAGCACACACCATGTTCCCCGGTAAAACCTCTGGTTTCCTCCTCGTTCTCTCGATCGGGACATCGATACCAATGCTCATCGGACTCGCTACGGTGCGAGTCGTACAACACCCTGAAGGAATCACCATACAGTCACATACACAGCCGCGACACAGTATTGAAGTCGTGCCGGAGCGCGATGAGCGGCGACACTCGCAAACATGGGAAGTATACACGCCCGTAGTCGGATTGGGCGGCTATGAAAGACTCGAACAGAGTGAAATCGACGACGAGTTACTCGAGGCGTCTGTATCGCAACCGTTTCTCTCTCGTGGGGCGTCGTCGACTGAACAGCTGGTGCGAGGGGGATCCGCAGAACCCGACGTCGAGCTCTCTCCTGGTCGTAGAGTGCACGCCCATACACCAGATATCCAGGAGCGTGTACGACACTCGCGAAGTCGCTCGCACAGCGGCGCTCGTCCGCATGAGCATCCAGACGTTCATGGTTGGGCACTGCTCCGCAACTCGAATTTCTGGGTACTGTTCTGTATTATGTGCTGCTGTAAGGACTACACTCATTGGGTTGGATAACTGCTAATTTGCTATCTGGGTAGTGAGCGGGACAGGGTTGATGTGTATGTTGTGCTTTCCGTAGACATCAGATTCTGACGGCTTTGCAGATATTAATAATGTAGGGTTGATGGCTCAGGCGCTGTTCGCGCGAGGAGATCCCAAGTTTGATACCGTGGAATCAGCACAGTGGCAAGCGGCTCAGGTATCGATTACGAGTATTGCAAACTGTCTTGGACGTGTGATATTCGGTTAGCCTACGCTTGCTATGATTTCACTACAAAAGCTCATTGCCCATAGGGTCCAGCGCCGATGTGGGCAAGAATCGTTATGGACTGCGGCGGTCATACTTTATTAGTGGAATCAGCTTTACGTTTATTGTGTCCCAAATTGCGCTGTACAATGTCGAGAGCGTACAGACGCTCTGGATTGCGTCTGCGCTGCTCGGATTGGGCTATGGGGGAATGTTTGGGCTGTTTCCGACGATAATGATCGAGTTTTTCGGACTAGGTGAGTAATGTTTGAAAGGTCACATGGCAGAGATGATTGACACAGTCGGTAGGGCACTTTTCTCAGAATTGGGGGTTTCTGTGCCTATCGCCGATTATCGCGAGCAACCTGTTCAACCTTGCGTTTGGGCGAAACTTGGATGCGCACTCGAAACCAATTGAAGATGTGCACGTGCGACGAGGGGGGATGCCAGATGCGACACACTTGTGCCTCGAGGGGCGACTTTGTTATGTCGACAGCGTCAAGATGACGCTTGTTGCATGCGTGGTTGCACTTGGACTGAGCATCTATGGTGCGCTACAAGATAGGAAGCGAGGAGAAGTAGAGGTTGCGAGTCGAGAAGTTGTGTGGGCTGGGGAAGGTGAAGAGGATGGTTAACTTATCTAGAATTTATGGGTGACGAATAGTACCCGAGCGAATGGACCCGCGGGTGACAAGGGTGATGACAGGCTATCGGGCTTGGGGGGTGGTGGCGGGGGGCGTAAGTGGCAGAGGCAAACATTGGAGATGGCAGGCTCTGAAGGGGATAGGGGCTCGGGCGTCGGACAGGGGAAAGAGCTAGCCTGCAACGGGAAATGATCACGATAAACCATTTCGGTAGAGACGGGCAAGTCTGCCGACAAGTAAAAACCCTCGACCCAGCGCAATAATCTCCATGGGGCGAGCGGCCGCACGACCCGGAATCACGGAAAGGATGGCAGGGTGAACAGACGAGTAATATACGCTCGGAGTTGAGCGTGAAATTTGATGGAATGCTGGCGGCTCAAGGCATCCCGGGCCCGTCTGCAGGTCACGTAGACGCGGCGGTCGAGTCCAAAGAGAACACGTGAGGGGTAAGAAATTTCAAGTCGTTGGATGCGGAGAGAGAGAGAAGGGGGGAGGGGTGGCCGTGATCCGTTGTGGCTGGCGTTGGTTATGACCAGTTGTTTAATCCCGCCGAACTGGGTATTCGATGGTTTGTTTCACGCGACTCACCTGGTGGCCGGTCGACTCCGCCTGAAACTAGCACGACTGCGAATAGAATCGCGTGACGAGCAAAAGTTAAGAAGGAAAAGTCTGCATTTGGAAGACTGGCTGTCCATATCCGGCCAGCCCATTCAACTCGGGCCCTCCTCTGCGCCCTTGCTGCTCCTCGTCGTCGCTGTCGTGCGCATCGTCGTCGCCGCCTCCAAGTGGGCTCACAATATTCTCAGATATTCCCTGGCCAAAAAAAAAAAAAAAACACACACATACACACACACGGCCAGGAAGAACAAGCCGAGCTAGTAGTTTACAAAGGTGGTAAGCTTGAGTTGCACCCTACCTGCTTCTGCCCCCTCTTGGGTCCCCGACGGCCTCGAGCGCGGTTCAGCGACGGAGAGCACGACGTCGGGCCCACGGAAACATTGAGATTGACGACGCTTCCGCTCTCGAGACAGCAACGAGAAGACCGATTGAGGCCGCCCAGAGTCCTGTACGTCCTTGTATCCCCCTCCGCTCATCCTTTTCATCCTTTGCAACTTTGTCTCTCGTTTTCTGATAATTATCTGCTATTTTACGCGCCATGCAACATGCAGCCAGGAGCCGCAAGCGCACCCACAGCGACAGGATGCCATTGGCATATCTTGGTTCGACCATGATCCACGACCCATCCACGGTCGCTGCTGCCTCCCAGACGGGCCCAGAGGACTTTGAAGACGCTTTGATTGCACCTCCCGCGCTCGACAACCATGTCCTGGATGTGCCCCATCCCTCGACGGCGCCCAAGACTCCCCCCGCACTCCTCTCGCCCGCCGACTTGCCCGCAGATCCAAAGCAAGCTGTCTGGGCAATTGCTGCAAACGCAAAACAACAGTCCTCGAAGCGTGCCCAGTCGTCCAAGCAAAAGCCCGGCCAGGCGACCCAGCAGCCCACCATTTCCACTTTTTCCACCTTTAATCACATTCACATTGTCCAGCCATATGTTCACAATGGTGGCAATAGCAACACCAACACCCACCCCAACGCGGCGGCGGCGGCGGCGGCGGCATCGTCGAACAAGGAAGAGACTGCCAACGGCTGTAGCACGTCGACGTTTAGCATCAATGCCTCGACCCCTTATACGTTTGCAAATCCATTCTGCACCAATGCCCTGCACACAATGCTCCCAGGCCCAGGCGGCAAGCCAAAGGATTCCGCCACCAACATTGCCGGTCAGCCACCCCGACCTGCAAACGCCTGGATCTTGTATCGCTCGGACAAGATGAAGAATCTCGCCCCCGAACCAGGCAAACCACGCCGTCCGCAGGCCGACATTTCAAAGCTCATCGCCGAAATGTGGAAAAACGAAAAACCAGAAATTCGTCAGCAGTACGAGGCTCTCAGCGACCTCAAAAAGGCAGAGCATCTCGCCATGTACCCTGGCTATCGTTTCCAACCGATGAAAAAGGCCGACAAGGAAAAGGTCCGCGCCGAGCGCAAGGCGGAAAAGGAAAAAGAGAAAATGGCCGCGAGTCTGTCGATGAAGAGCTATCGCCGACCTCCAAAGTCGAAACGTGGCGCGACCGAAGAAGGAGACGACCACGACACCGCCGCCGACGATTCGACACCTACCCCTTCGCTCGGTCCGACGTCCCCGACCAGCACTGCGCCAGGAACGGCCATGTTTGTCTGGACGCAGCCACAGACGGTCCCAGAGACCAGCGTCGAACCTTCGACGGGCCCCATGTCCCCGACCGCGCGCCAACACACGGCCTCGTATCAACCATATGCCAGAGCGCCAGCAGGTGCTTCGACATCGGCGGTTGCTGCTACTGCGAAGCGCAAACGCGCTCGGACAAAGGTCGAGGTTTCCGCTCCTGCCATTCCCTCGGGAGAACCGAACCAGGTGCGTGTCTCTCTGTCCTCGTCGTTCATTATGACTGTACCCGGTCCCTGTCTGGTTGCCTGCATTCGGTTTGCACATTCCCTCCGCCATCTTCCACCCCGTCATTTCTCACGCTATTCATTATCGACTAACGAGCCTTTTTGTATAGGCTCATGGGTTTGACTATACTGGCCCTGTACCCAACACGTCGTTTTCGTTTTACGAAGCTGCTCAACAGCCACAAGAGTCTCCCGGTCTCATCGACTTTGCGGCCTATAGCGCTCAGTTTATGCCCGGATACCATCCAGCGATTCCTCAGCCGTCGAGTGGTGCGAATCCTGATCATAATTCTCATCCGACGCCGCCATACAATGCCACCATTGAGCACGAGATGCAGTCCACCGCTGGCTTTGCCCTTGAGCCGATCAGAGGTCACAATGAAATCTTCGAGTTTACCAATCTCGATCTCTCCCTCCTCGACAACCAAGAAATTGCCGTCACGCTTCCAGACGATTTGCAGTTTGACCTTGGGCTTGGACTTGGACTCGGAACCGATGCCTTTGGCCTCGACGGTGGAGGATTTGCCGAATTTGGAAGTTTGGCGATGGATTCTGGAGGTAGCTTGGGCTTTGGCACCAACAAGGTGTCGGCAGACATGGTTCAGTTTGACGCACCCCCGTATAACGCTCATCCAAACCTCTCCATATCCACCCAGATTCTTCAACAGCAACCAGGGCACCACTCGGATCCGTACAATGTCACTTCGCCAATGGAAACACCCCAAGCTGCCACCAACTTCTACGGCTTTCCGATGCATCAGCCGCAGGAGCAGCAACCAGCACTGTATCATACGGCTCAGCACAGCTTTGGCCAGCACGACTTTGCTTCGTCGTCGTTTGGGGCCTATACGTCTCCCAACCAACCCTTCCTCTCGCCGACCTATGCGAGCCCACCGCCCTTGTCAGTCATTGACGAATCGTCGACCATTGGTTCACCCACGAGCGAGACCTTTGGCTCCTCTCAGCAAACTGCCAGGACCGGCCGAAAGGCTACCATGAACAGCTGGCGATAGTAACATGGAGGTGGCCAACTCTTTGTGCCTCTGTTGCCCCCCGCTGCGTCAACGCACGAAGCTCGTACATACCCACACCGCGATAGCCAACCCGCGTGTCACTATTCGTTACTTTTGCCAAGTTTCGGCCAACTCTAATCATTCCTGGGTCGCCATCCGACGTTGCACATGTTTTTGAACACTGCGCGTCGCTCAAATCACATATTTTTTCTTCCCTTTTGTATTTTGGACCAACGGACACTAAAGCGTGGGGTGCCACCGACGCTCTCAAGGATTCGATACCCCTGAGCGCGCGTCGATGTGCGCCCTCTCGCTCTCTCAGCTCGCACTTCAGACAGGGCACAAAGGGACGCTTCTCCACGCCAATGCCAGGTGCACACCTCTCCCTCCGCCAACTTTTCATTCGTTCCAGCTCAGCCTTGTGCATCTTCATCTCTCGATACCGGAAGGCCACTCCTATCTTTCTTGGTCGTTCACACATCTCTTGCTCTCGCGTACTCGCATTCACCTGCGCTGCGCTGCTGCTGCCGCCACATCCCGGATCAACCACTCCACTCCTACGCCCTCTCGACGCCCACCTTACGACTTCTCATCTTCTTGAAGGAGATTACGACCACTGCATGTGAAACCTTGTACACCAGCAATCCTCACTCGCCACGAAACCGACCCGATGACCTCATTTTCGCGCGTCTTCTAGCTCGCGCTTTCCTCAATCTTTCCTCACACCTTCTCTTCATCCCCATGTTGTTGTTGTTGTCGTCACCCATCACTGTCTGTTGTTCTTACTGTTTTTCTTCTTCCCCCCCCCATCCAAACCGCGCAAGCCGACAACGAGCTCGGTCGCAACTCCCTGAAGCGTCTTCTACTGCCCATCTTCGACCGTGCCGTACTCTCTTCTTTAAGTGGATCTCGTTATCGCCCCGTCCGACTCTGTGGCGGGGCGCCTGTCATTCGTCTATATCTCGTCGAGCCGTGCATGCATCTTTCTTCGATATCAAAATGCAACTCATTTACTCGTTGACTTTTTCCGTGCCATTGTGAGTAGGGACCATGCATTGGCTATATCTTCCTAAGCAATGGTGTCCATATGTCAAACCGTTCCTTATATTAAAAGTTTATTGTACGGGATTGGAAGCTAGATCATGGGGCTGCACTGCGCTGAGCGTCGACGCGCCGCCACTTCTTCTCTACGGCCGCATTTGCACTCTCGACCTCTTCTCGAAGATAGTATAGCACCGTTTGGTAATTTACGGCATCTTTCGATGGATATTTGACCATCTTCACGTGATCTGCAGCGAGGGAGACTTCCAATGCATTAGGATCTCCTGAGACGACTGCCGAATGATGTGGCACAATCTGAATCAAAAAGTTAATCCACCCATAGAAAACAAAGCTAGTTGGAAATACTCACTACTCGACGTTGGCCTCCAATGAGTGGTGTGGCGTACTCTTCATAAAAGTATACAATGTGAAGCCCAGCGCTTGCCTGGGTAAACGTTGCCTGTATGTTCTCGAGTGCCTCAGAGTTCTCTCTGAGATGTTGAAGGACTCGATTATTGGTCTGCATGTAGACCGATAGGAGTTGATTGAGGACCTGAAGGAACGGGACACCCTCAGAGCCCGAATGCGGCGTCCCAAAGAAGAGGACTGCATGTGTCGACGTGAGTATTCCGCGTAGTGGACGGCCTTCGGGTTGGATTTGGCAAAGGACGAGGGCCTATCAACATCGTCAGGTTAGTGCTGGCGAATTCTCGTTGACGGACCTGTTTGAGGATGATACCGAGACTGTGTGCGAGAAAGATGATGGGTCGCTGAAACGATGTGAATCGAGGCAGTAGGGAAAACCCCTCTGGAACGCACGCGCTCGACGCCCTTTCGAGCTCGTTCAACAGCTTGCATAAATCCCATAGCATGGCGTTGAATGGTATTTGTCGACGTGAATTCCGAGCTGCGAGTGTCGGCATCGTACCCATATGTCAAGATTCGTGCACGAGGAATGTCCTCGGGCAGAAATTCCCGGAGCCACATAGCCTTGCTTTCAGTCTCTGTCCATGCATCTAATCGGTGGCCGTCAAGACCATGAATAGCGATGATGCTGCCACGGATAGTCAGAGTTCCGAGATCCAAACATGAGTTTTACCCACTCAACGATAGGATTGTCTCCTTCTGCGAGATTCAGCAAGCCATAATCGACTACTTTTGATTTCGGCTTCTGCTTAGCCTGCTCGGTTCGCGGGGTTTGCTCAGTCTGCGACAACATCAGGCGAGGGCAGGGGTCGCATCTGCTGGGCTCACCTGAGGTTTATCTGACTTGAAGAGATGATACAAGCGCTTGTAGAAAGGAACATCTGACATTGCTTTACTCCGTGAGGGTGAGAATGGAGGCCAAAAAGGTGGGCGTCTGTTTGTTCTAGGCCTAACTCGCTTTTCAGTACAAATGAAGCAATTCTCCCCAATGCTAGCATACATCTCTTACTAATCATTCGTTTACCTCAACTCGGTCCTAGCATCCGACACGTGCTTCATTCAAAAGATCGTGGTCGTTTACATATCTCTCAGCTTTGGAGCCCTTCTACTGCTCACCTTCGAGCGGGCTGTTCTCGCCCTGTCCGACTCTGTGGCATGGCGCCTGTCATTCGTCTGTAACTCATCAAGCGGTGCATGCATCTTTCTTCGATATCATAATACAAGTTATTTACTAATAGACTTTTCTGTATTTCTGTGAGCATTTGAAGCTAGGGGACTACAACTGTCCGTTGCATTGGCTTATCCCTAAGCATGGCCTCCATACGTCGGGCTAGATGCATAAGAGTATCCCTATATTAGAGTTTACTTGTACAAGATTGGAATCTCGGTCATGGAGATGCTCTGATTTGAGCGTCGACGCGTTGCCACTTCTTCTCCACAGCCCCAGTTGCACTCTCGACCTCTTCTCGAAGATAGTATAGCACTGTTTGGTAATTTCCGGTTTCTCTCGTTAGGAATTTGACCATATTCACATGGTCTGCAAAAAGGGAGACTCCCAATGCATTAGGATCTCCTGAGACGACTGCCGAATGATGTGGCACAATCTGAATCAAAAAGTTAATCCACCCATAGAAAAACAAAGCTAGTTGGAAATACTCACTACTCGATGTCGGCCTCCAACGAGTGGTGTGGCGTACTCTTCATAAAAGTATACAATGTGAAGCCCAGCGCTTGCCTGGGTAAACGTTGCCTGTATGTCCTCGAGTGCCTCAGAGTTCTCTCTGAGATGTTGAAGGACTCGATTATTGGTCTGCATGTAGACCGATAGGAGTTGATTGAGGACCTGGAGGAACGGGACACCCTCAGAGCCCGAATGTGGCGTCCCAAAGAAGAGGACTGCATGTGTCGACGTGAGTATTCCGTGTAATGGGCGGCCTTGTGGCTGGTTTTGGCAAAGGACGAGGGCCTATCAACACCGTCAGGTTAGTGCTGGTAGATTCTCGTTGACGAACCTGTTTGAGGATGATACCACCGAGACAGTGTGCGAGAAAGATGATGGGTCGCTGAAACGATATGAGTCGAGGCAGTAGGGAAAACCCCTCTGGAACGCACGCGCTCGACGCCCTTTCGAGCTCGTTCAACAGCTTGCATAAATCCCATAGCATGGCGTTGAATGGTATTTGTCGACGTGAATTCCGAGCTGCGAGTGTCGGCATCGTACCCATATGTCAAGATTCGTGCATGAGGAATGTCACTGGGCAAAAATTCCTGGAGCCACATAACCCTCTCACTCTGTGCCGTCTCAGCTATCCATGTATATAATCGGTGGCCGTCAAGACCATGAATCGCGATGATGCTGCCACGGACAGTCAGAGTTCCGAGATCCGAACATGAGTTTTACCCACTCAACGATAGGGTCCTGTCCTGATGCGAGTTCCAGCAAGCCATGATCGTCTAATCTTAATATCGGCTTCTTCTGCTGAATCTGCTCGGTTTGCGGGTTTGCGTTGCCAAAACATTATTTAATAGCCAGGGTAGGGTCGTATCTCTTTACGCGCTCACCTGATGTCTACTTGGCTTGAAAAAGTGATGCAAACGGTCGTAGAATGTACTATCTGACATTTATCTACCGTGGTGAGGGAGAGTATGGAGGTCAAAAGGCGAACGCGTGTTTGTTCTAGACCTGTCTGGACAGAACCCCCAGATATCCACAGCGTTTATCATTCCCTTTTGTGTAACTTGTCTAGATGCTGAAAGGTCCCAACTGAGCTGACGACCAAAGGACGGTCTCGCCGATGAAGTCCGCAGTATGTATTGTTTAACAAGTCCAGTCCTCCTACACGATATATACCCGTCTGTATTAACCGGGAATTCTAATGTACTTTGTGCAAAACGACTGGTTGCGACCGGCTCCAAGCTGTAGATTCTTTGGACTCTGCCACTGCCCGCCATGGTTAGTGATGTCTGCCAACGCGAGATCAACGCGCCGATATATGATAAACGTAGGCTCCTACCAAGAAAGCTGGCAAGAAGACTGCCACGCCGCAAGAAAAGAAGCGAGGAGGTGCGACCAAAGTGGCAAAGGTAAGCGTTGCAGCGCTGAGCGCATTCAAGATGGACAACGCTGACGCATACTAGGCAGATTGGAAGGAGGATTCAAGAAGAAACAAGTTGGCGTGTCTGATATGACGTTGCTCACGACCATCAGCAACGAGGCCATCAACGACAATCTCCAGAAACGCTGGACCAATGGCGAGATCTACACGTATATTGGCGCGGTGTTGATCTCCGTGAATCCATTCCGAGGTTTGTACACCCAGATAGCTGTTCACAGACGCGATGGCTGACAGAACCCAGACCTCGGCATTTACACAGATGAGATTGTCAACCGGTACAAGGGCAAGAATCGCCTGGAGATGCCTCCACACGTCTTTGCGATTGCAGAAGGCGCCTACTACAACATGCAGGCCTATAAGGAGAATCAGTGCGTGATCATTTCCGGCGAGTCTGGCGCTGGAAAGACAGAAGCCGCGAAACGGATCATGCAATATATTGCTGCAGTATCCGGAGGCCAGGATAGTTCTATCCAGGAAATCAAGGACATGGTGCTGGCGACCAATCCTCTCCTCGAAAGCTTTGGATGCGCAAAGACATTGAGGAACAACAACTCTAGTCGACACGGAAAATATCTAGAGCTCATGTTCAACGATCGAGGAGAACCCGTCGGCGCCCAAATCACCAACTATCTCCTCGAGAAGGGCGCGTCGTCGGTCAGGTGGACAATGAACGCGACTTTCACATCTTCTACCAGTTCACAAAGGCTGCCAGTGATGAGCAACGTGACATGTTTGGCTTGCAAGGACCCGAATCCTACGCCTATACCAGCCGCAGCAATTGCCTTTCTGTACCCGGTATCGACGATACCGTTGATTTCAAAGAAACTCTCAAAGCAATGCAAGTCATTGGACTCTCAAACGCCGAACAGCAGGAAATATTCAGGATGCTGGCGATCATCCTATGGCTCGGGAATGTCCAGTACGACGAGATGGACGATGGAAACGCCAAGATTTCGGATACAGGTGTGACAGATTTTATTGCATATCTAATGGAGACGGACGCCGCAGCCGTGGAGAAGTGTATGACTACAAGAGTGATGGAGACTACTCGAGGGGGACGTCGAGGTCAGTATCCTTGGACAGCTACTTGAATCGCTTCTGAGTTTCCCTAGGATCCGTGTACGATGTACCTCTTAACCCTGCACAAGCTTCGTCAGGTCGTGACGCCCTTGCAAAGGCCATCTACAACAATCTTTTGAGTGGATAGTGTCTCGTGTCAATGTTTCAATGAAGCCTAGGACTGCCCACACTCAGGTTATTGGCGTCTTGGACATCTACGGCTTCGAGATCTTCCAGGTATATTCATCAACCTCGCTTTCGGTGGCTAACCCCGCATAGGACAATAGTTTCGAGCAACTTTGCATCAACTACGTCAACGAGAAGCTTCAACAAATCTTTATAGAGCTCACCCTCAAGGCGGAACAGGAGGAATATGTTCGAGAGCAAATCAAATGGACCCCAATCAAATATTTCAACAACAAGATTGTATGCGACCTGATCGAGGAACGAAAGCCTCCAGGAATCTTCGCCGCTCTCAACGACGCTACAGCCATCGCCCACGCCGATCCTACAGCAGCAGACGATTCGTTCATCCAGCGTTCAGCCGCTCTATCCTCGAATCCACACTTCGAGTCACGAGGTGCTCAATTCCTCGTGAAACATTATGCAGGTGACGTAATGTACAACGTCTCTGGAATGACGGACAAGAACAAGGACGCCTTGATCAAGGACCTCTTGGATCTCGTCGCTGGTAGTAGCAATAAGTTCCTCAACGAGCTCTTCCCTGATAGACCGGATCCAAACAGTAAGAAGAGACCACCAACCGCAGGTGACAAGATCAAGGTACGAAAAGCATTTCCTCCGGGCACGAATGGACTTGACCTCGTTTACTAGACATCAGCTGGCGCACTAGTTGATAATCTCATGCGTGCACAACCCTCGTACATTCGTACAATCAAGTCCAACGAAAATCGAAGCCCAACCGAATACGATTCCAAGGCCATTCTACACCAAATCAAGTATCTTGGGTTGCAAGAGAACATTCGCGTCAGACGAGCCGGATTTGCGTACCGTAATACATTTGAGAAGATGATAGAGCGCTTCTACCTCCTCTCTCCTGCTACATCCTACGCTGGTGACTATATTTGGCAAGGGGATGCTAGGTCAGGATGTGAGCGTATCCTGAAGGACACTGGCATCGCGAAGGAAGAATGGCAAATGGGCGTCACCAAGGCATTCATAAAAACCCAGAAACAGTGCGTATAGAGCTCTCATACATTACCCAGCTCACTCGTTAAAGCTATTCGCGCTCGAGACTATGCGAGACCGATATTGGCACAACATGGCATCTCGCATCCAGCGCGCTTGGAGAAATTATTGGCGGTATAAAAACGAGTGCGCGACGCGCATCCAACGGTTCTGGAAGAATAATAAGGAGGGTCTGGCGTACGCTGAAGTTCGTGATTACGGACACACCATCCTCGGCGGACGCAAAGAGCGCAGGCGCTATAGCTTGCTAAGTTATCGTCGCTTCATGGGTGACTATCTTGACGTCGGAAAGGCGAAGAGCCCGCTTGGGGAGACAATTCGCAACGCATGTGGTCTCTCCAATGAGACTGTACTTTTCAGCGCGCGATCACAGCTGCTAGTATCCAAACTTGGAAGATCTAGCAAGCCAAGTCCTCGCTATCTTGTCCTGGTATGTGGCCGCACTCTCTGGACTGTTCAATATTCAGCATTCTTTAGACGGATAAGGCTGTCTATATTGCCGTCACGAACAACAAAGATGGACGAATACTCACAACATTAGACCGGAAGATCAATTTAGTCGCCATTCGAGCGATAGCCATGACGAATTTGCGTGATGATTGGATGGTAAATTAGCTCTCTTTCATCATCTAATCAACCACTGATCACCTGGATAGGCCATCCGGGGTCCGATTTGTGAAGAGGGCGATCCAGTGATATCATGCGTATTCAAGACAGAGTTCTGCACCCACTTAATGCAAGCGACACGTGGTCAAACTACGATCGATATTGGCCCTACGTACGCCTCCATTTATTTGAGGGACAGCCGCTGATTTTGCATATCAGGATCGAGTACAATAAGAAGAAGGACAAGGTTGCTATCATCAAGGCTGTCAAGGATGAGACCGTGCAAAAAGATGACGTATACAAAAGTCATGCCATTCACGTAGGAAGCGGTGAACCACCCAACAGCGTTTCTCGTCCTCCAGCAAAGAGAAAGGCTGGCGTCGTCCGTCCAATCACCAAAGGCAAACTCTTGCGGAAAGGAGGACCATCGACAGATGTACGTCACTTCTATTCTCCCGAATGCCAAAGCTTATCATAGGTGACAGAACAAACCAAAGCCAGTCGCCAAGCCCAAACCCGCAGCACAAGCCCTACCCGGGCAAGCAAATACAGCGCCGACACAAAAGTATACACCAGTTGCAACGTCAACATCCTCTTCAGCCGCTCCTCCACCGCCACCTCCGCCTGCACGAGCCCCCGTGGCCCCACCGTCCGCAAAGCCTATGTACAAGGCAAAGTATCCATTCCAAGGTCAAGATGGAGAGCTTTCCTTAGAGAAGGACGAGATTGTTGAGCTCGTCAAGAAAGACGACAATGGTGCGTTGCTCTTCGACCATCGATGACCACTGCTCAGTTTTCTACAGGCTGGTGGCTGATGAAGCGGGGCAACGAAGAAGGTTGGGCGCCGTACAACTATCTCGAACTGGTGCCTCCTGCAGCTGCCCCAGCACCTCCGCCTCCGCCTGCTCGTCGACCTGTCCCTACACCGACTGCACCGAAACCTGCACCAACAGCATCTTCAAATGGAACACCGAAGAAGGCAGTCGCACCTGTTGCATCCTCGAGTTCCAACGTGAACAAACCACAGCCCAAACCACCGGTAACTGCGCCGAAACCGAGCGCTTCTACATCTTCAAAGATAGGAGGCAAGCCACCTATTCCGTCTGCACCCCGACCGCCTGTCGGAGCATCGAAGCCGGCAACTGGAAGCGTCAGGCCTCAGGCAGCCCCACCCGGTCAGATGGGTCTTGCTGAAATGGTGGGTACCCTCATATTCTGTGAGCGTGCAATGTTAATGCTTTGTAGTTGGCGAAACGCGCACAGCAGATGAACTAGAGCGCTACGATTTCGGCGTTCGAGAAAGAAATTTGGCTCTCTTTAGATGTCATGTCTCCTCTTTTGAGCCCGGTACCATAATATATTGACTCGTTTCATGTGGAAAAGGTGACTCTGCTATTGTGCCCGACATGACTTGGACCCGGATAATAAAAACTGCATCTCAAGCAGCGCGCCTATTTTCACTGCATCCGACTCTCCGCCAGTCCATGGCATCCTCTAGCTTTGCCAGTACCAGTAATGCCCGACGAAGCCATCGAAGGAGAGACAATCCGCCCGAGAATGTCGTCTGGCCCACGGAGTCGTCACTACTCATCGTAGATCTCGAGGCTACTTGTTGGGAGACCAATCCACCACCAAATCAGTTCCATGAGATCATTGAAATCGGTTGGGCGCTTGTCGACCTAGAGAGCGTCCCACCGCGCCATGTTCGTAGCGGGACGGTGCTCGTCAAGCCCGTTCGCTCCGAGGTGTCACCATTCTGTACGAAATTGACGACAATAACGGCCGAACTGTTGGATTCAGAGGGTGTTTCGCTTAAGGAGGCATTCGAGACGCTCGTGAGCGACGTCGGTTCAAAAGAGTACTCGTGGTCAAGGTGAGCATATAATTATAATCATATATACCGAGTTTCAGTTAATATATGGACCAGCTGGGGTGCTTATGACCGAAATATGATCAAACGCCAATGCAAAGTATTTGGATTGGAATCGCCATTCTCTCCTATTCATTACAATATCAAGGATCTTTTCAAGGAGCTGTATCCAAACTTGAACGGAGGGTATGGCATGACAAACGCATTTGCGGCTGTCTGCGATGGTCCCATCGAGGGGACTCATCACAGAGGTGGTGATGATGCTAAAAACATTGGGCAAGTATCTTTCTCTTTGTCGGGATGAGTTCCTGATAAATCCGTAGGACAATACTCGGTAAACTTATTGTCAAAAAGAGAGCACTCGAGGCGTCGAATCCGTAGCTTAATAGCTTTGCAAATCTGATCACTACTCAATACATTACAGTTAGGGAAACTATGCATTGAGCAGAAACTCAACGACCCTTAGCTCGGACGGCGTCGAGCCGCTGGACGATTTCTGATACATGACGCTGAGAACGTCTTGACCAGCCTGCATCCTTATTCTGTCCACGACAACCTCTCCGAATCCACTCAGCCCTGTTGTCGTCCCATCATAAACCAAGTTCCAATCTTTCCAACCCCCCTGCCTTGGTTGCGACAGCTACTCTTACGAAGGGTAGCACAGCCCATGCATTATCCCTACTGTCCATGACCAGTTGTGTGCACCCGACAGAATTGAGGGCATACGGAAGCTCAGACTTTGTCCAGAGCCCTGTCGAGTTTTTATAAACGTGGAATACACGACCATTTTCTGACGATCAGTGACATAGTTGGATACGCATTGCCCAAAACGACCAGGGACATAGCTGATCATGACATGAGGCAAGCCAGTAGTGTCGACGTCCTGGCTTTCTTGATTCATGAGCCCGTGGTTCGGGTCGAGCGGATACACAATGATCCCTGTAGAGGCAATGCCAACAAGAGAGGAGGTTCCAGTCGTGCCAACAGTTGTACTGACTGAATTCTTCCACGTTCACCCACTATCGTCGGAATAGACGTAGATCGTATCGTGATTGGTCAAACCACCACTGCTACACAAGAATCCCGTGTTTTGTTCACGCCACGTTCCAGAAGAGTGGAGGCGACCGCTCTTATAGGTAAAACCGTGAATGTAAAGGTTGCGTGCCGTGCTGGCCACATCGTTTGTCGACGTGTATGTTCCAGTTGGGGAAGACCACTGCCCGAGGATTGACCAAGTAGATTCGTTGTATTCGGCGATGCTAGCCTGGCCATTGCCAGAAATGCCGACTCGATACGACAGCTGCAGCCTTCCATTTGCAGCCAGGACAAATTGAGGATATGTAATCGAGCTAAAATTTTAGTGCATTGCATTGATAGAATAAGAGCGTACCTTCCCAGATTTACTCCGTTGAGCGTTGTCTGTAGGGACCCAAACTGACTCGCCGTCCAGCTCATGCTGCCCGGATTCGTTGCCAAGTTTGCAACAGACATAATATAGCACATCTTCGTGGAGTGACAATCCATTGCGATGTGAACCCTGCAATTTTTAACGGCTTCCTTTTCCGCCTGAGAGCACACGCACCGACCATCTTGGGGAGAACACCAACAACCACAACATCGTGCGAGTCATTTGTGGACAATTGATGTGGTAATTGTATTGTGGACCAGCTATTTGCACCCAACTGGCGACGTCCAATCATAGCATAACGGCTCGAGGTGTACCATGTGGCGTATTGATATCCATTGTGTGTGATTATACCGGATATCTCAAATGAGTTCAGATTGACAAGGCCTGCGTAGCGTCAAGTGTGAATCGTTATGCGGCAATAACACATACCATCATAGGAAACGAAGTATATCCAGCTCGAATCAAGAAGAGTATTGGACTGTACCGTCACACTGGCTGCGTAAGCGACAAGAGAACACGAGAGCACTTCCATTATCCATCTCGGGCTGAGTCGCATAGTGGTCGCTGAGGGGAAGGGGTTGAATTTCCGTTGCATGAAAGAGCATGCTCTTTTATCATCTCCTTGATGGCATCTGGAGAAGCCGAATTCTCGTTGTTCTCGACCAGTAGGAAAAGTCTGCGGCGCATGGATCCGGGGATGCTCCTCGGGTCGATTCTGCCCACCACCAGAGATACTTTTGAGTGGTGTTGTCGGCAGCAAAGGAGGAAATCCCTGTCGGCGATCCTCCGTGTTTCTTCGGAGGACTCTTGGGAGAGGCCTATGATGCGTAGTTTTTATTCTGAATTATTTCTCTATTGCATTTAGCTGCGCCTTGTGCTGTGTTGAAGAGCTGCGGTGAGTTGGTAGAGAACAACTTGGAGACCACCAAGTCGCCGGTCCAGTCACTGACAGCTTTGTCAACGCAGCACGAGCAACTTGTACGGAAATATGGCCTCTTTCAGCTCGTATACAATATTCGGAGTCCTTCCTTGGCTCTGCCTTGCGCCCTTTCAATACGGCTTTGCCATTTCGCAATTAAACCAGGTTCAGACAGCTTTAACATGCAAATCTGATGCCGTCGGGAGTTATGGCTTCCCTCTCTGCGTCCCAATGGACGACACTCAGTTTGGTGTGGTAAGTTGCTTCTTGGTCTTCGCACGCAGTTTGTCCTGCTAGGCCTACTGCTTAATTGTCAACTTGAGACTGAAGCCCTTTTTCAGATTACGAGCATATTTACCGTCGGGGGATTCATAGCGAGCTTATTCGCGAACCGAGTTACCGACCCGTACGGTCGTCGACCCGCGGTTCAGCTAAATGCTATCCTTGTGATGTTAGGATCACTCATAGCGGCCACTGCCTCCTCTGTCCTTATGCTGTCGATTGGCCGGTCAGTCCTGTCGCCCTCTGGAAACAAACTGCATACTCATAATCCAATAGTTTTTTCATAGGTCTCGCGGCAGGACTTGGCTTATGTGTCATCCCGGCGTTCCTCTCTGAAATCTCCCCTCCCAAGATCCGGGACGCCGTGGGCGTATTCAACCAACTCTCCGTTGTCTTTGGCATTCTCACCACCCAAATTCTCGGATTTTATTTTGCACACCCGGGCTCTTGGCGGACTGTTTTCGTCGTGTCCTTTGGGCTTGCAGTACTGCAGTTTCTCCTCGGCTTACGCTCCATTGAATCCCCTGCATGGCTCTCTGCAAACAGTCGAAAACCCGAGGCCCGTGCGGTGACTGCGAGATTGTGGAAGGCGGACGGGCTTCTTGCCGAAGGTAGGCCGTACGACGAGGACGACGTCGAAGAGGCATTGCTTCGCCAGACCGAGCCAGTTCCGACACAAGAACATCCAGCTGCAACCATCCTGCAGTGCTTCAAGATTCCAGAACTTCGAGTGCCACTGCTCATTGTTTCATTGGGCATGCTTGCACAGCAGTTGTCTGGTAAGCGATATCAAACATAGGGTGACGTACCTGACAGTCTCGAGGTATAAACGCTGTCATGTACTACAGTACTGGCATTCTGTCTCGCGCGCTACCTGACGCTGCTTCGTACGTCTCGCTTGGCGTAGCGGTTATTAACGTCATCATGACCTTCCCTCCTATTTTCTTGATCGAGGTGCGTCTATTACCGATGATAAACATATCATCCTTCATAAAGTGGACAGCGATACGGCCAAAGACGATTGCTGCTCTGGTCTGTGATCGGTAGCATCTTCTCCGTCTTCATACTGGGTATTTCTCTCAATTATAATCTCAATACGGCGTCCGCGGTCGGCACTCTCGTGTTTGTGAGGTGTGTCCGTTTCTTCGTTGACCAGATAACTTGCTGAAATGTTTCCAGCTGCTTCGCGTTTGGCATGGGCCCAATTCCATTCATCATTATTCCAGACGTCTCACCACTCTATGTAAGCCAGCAACGATTATTTAGGTCGTCCTGACGCCTTGCAGGCGGTATCCGCACTTTCATCCATCTCACTATCGATAAACTGGAGCACAAACTTTGTCATCAGCCTTGCCTTCCTCCCATTACGAAATTGGCTCGCGGGCCCAGATGGTGAATGGGCAGGAAACGTCTTTTTCGTATTCGCATTTCTCCTCACGGCGTCATCCATCGCATTCTTCAGATACTTTTAACTAGCTGGAAACAAGGCTACTTCATTGAAAACCGGCTTCCTTTCACTAGACAATTTTCCGAATTGTAGGAATCGGACTGACGGTAGTCATGTCAAAATGATGTCGAATTCAACGAAACTATTACAGAGCACAGCATAGCGATAAAGAATGTCGAGCAGCAAAAGGCCACAGCGGGCCGAAGCCAGAGAGGAAAACAGAGGGTTAAAGGAGCGTATGAGAGAAGATATCCTTCCGATATAGCGTAGCGAGGTCCATAATAAGAGAGATGCGATTCTTGTTTTCAAGGCGTCGAGAGGAGCTTGTTTAAGGCTCGTTGGAAGCTGTATCCAGTCGCTTCGAGGGCTTCGATAGCTTGTTCCCGGTTGAAGCCATACTCCATCAATTGTTTCAATGCAGGAACGTCGCCGTCTTCAGCAACAGTTCCCAGCTCCCCCGTCTCCAGACGCTCCATCGAGTAGCCCGTGGGGATACTTGGGACAGGCGGTGGCATGACCCCGCCATGTTCTTCACGCCCCTGATGTTCCTTGGCATGTTTATCCTTCTTCTCCTTATCCTTCTTCTCCTTGGAGCTCTTGGATCTTCCAAAGGGGAAATGAATGCTCAGTCGTGAGCTACGAGACGGGCCAGCAGAGTCGGGTGTAAGCGTGCTACCGGGGCGGGCCGAAGCCGATTCCTTTGCAGGACGAGGTCGAGCGGCGGGGATCTTTGGAGAGGATGTTCGTGGAGGAGGAGACGTCGCACGTGCAGACGATGACGACCCTCGCACGGCGGTAGGTGATTCGCTTCGAATCGATGATCCATTCTGGCCGACACCATTGCTCGTCTGAGCAGTGTTGTGGGTATGTGTTGTCGTGGTCGGCGATTCAGGGGCCACAGCCGGGGCTGAGGCTGCAATCGGCATTGTGGGTGCTGGCTGGGGAAACGATGGAGCCGCAGTGGGCTCAGTTGTTTCGACGTCAAAGGCGTCATCAAAGGAGAGCGGTGTGGCGGCTACGGCTGGGGCTGGGGCGGTATTTCCTCCCACGGGAGCAGCAGCAGGGGAGAGACCAAAGGCCTCGTCAAAGGCCGCAGAGGGTGGTACGGAGGTATTGGGCATTGGCATGGTAATCTCGTTCGATTTGTTTCGAGCATGCGTAAACGACGAGTCACCAAAGTCAAATGTGTCGTCAAAATTGTCAAACTTGAAAGATTGTTCAGCAGTCGCCGCTGCTGTTGGCTGTTGAGGCTGAGTAGGAAGAACGCCCATCGCTTCATCAAAAGCGCTCGCCGCCGAAATCCCTGGAAGGAATGTGAGTTTTACGGATAGCATGCAACAAGGGTACATACCAGTGGCGTGTCCATTGACTGTCGGTTGAATAGGTTCAGTGGAGACCGACGGCGAGCTCAGGACCTTGTCGGAGCCAATAGTGCTAAAGTGAGAGCTCGGTCCTGTGGTTGGTGCCGAGGCGTCTACGGCCGGAAAGCCAAAGGCATCCGCAAAGGACGTATCGGTTCTTGGTGCTGCTGCTAGTTGAGATGTAGATGCAGCGGCCGCAGCCTTGATATCCTCTTTGACCTGTCCAAGCGGCTTCTCGTCTTCATCGGACGAGCTATCATCGGCGTCCTTTTCCATTTCCATAGGCGGCAGTTCGTCCGCTGTGCCCTTTCTGGCGGCTGGCACATCAGACAATGCCGGGAACCTGCTGGTGGAGGAATCTTCCTTCTCCACAAAGAGTGATTCCATGGGCTGGTAGCGAGTTGTTTCCGCGGCAGACGTCCCTGGAGGAGTGAAGAATGTTTCCGAGGGAGATGCCGCTGTTTCTGGAACCGTCGACGTCGGGGAAGCGACATTATCTTCAAACAGGGCGTCAAAGCCTAGAGACGTCTGCTTAGCCGTCTCGGTAACCGGAGGTTTTGTCGGAGTCGCGTCCGCAGCATGACTATCCATCTCGTTGAATCCAAACGGATCGTCCTCGTCGACCGACTTTGCCTCGGCTACTAGAGCCTGCGGTGCGAACGGAGACGCTGTCCTCTGAGGAATCGATGTGTCAGAGGCAACGCTGCCCTTCCTGAGACGATCGAATGGGTTGTTACTCTTTGACGAAAGCGCTGGGCTAGCGACACCGGATACATCTGCGAATGGAAGCGCGGGACTTGCAGCAGGAATGGGTGGCGAGATCGCCCTACTGCTAGGCTCTACAGGTGCCGGGCTGGTTGAGACGCCCGCTGGAGCGCCATTTGCCAATGTCGCAGGTTTAGTTTCGGGTGACTTTAGATATGCAAGCTCCGACTCCGCTTGAGCAACTTCTTCCTCTGCTTTGGTGGCCTCCTCCCTAGCTTCGGCCAACTCGTTTGAGGCTGCCTCCTTCTCAGCTTCGGCAGTCTGGAGCTGTTTCTTGGCAATCGCAAGTAGTCCCTTCTGCATCCTCGCGTCCTTTTTCGCCTGTTCAATCTCCTTTTTGATCGCTGCCGTCTCCTCGATGACCTCCGCCAGACGACGCTTGAGTTCGCGAACGTCGTCCTTCTCACGGAGAAGATTCCCACCAATTTCGGCCTTTTCAAGCTTGACTGCGCTGAGGTCGCTCTCCGCAGTGATGAGTTGCTCGCGGGTAGTTTGAATCTCTTTCGCCTGCGTTTGATATCGTTCTCGTAGACCGGCCAGCAATTTGGTCTCGGTATCAAAGCCGACTTTTGCGGAGGCGAGCTGAGTTTGCAATTGGGAGAGCGTCGCAGCCGACGTTGCAAGGTCGGATTCCAGCTTGGCCCTTTCATCCTCTGCACTTGCTTGTGCGGCAGCAGTCGACGCGAGTTGGTTTCGTACATTGGCAATCTCCACGCTGTTCTGTGCGAGCTGCTTTTGTTGACGCTCTTCTGCTTCTTCGTCATCAAGGAGATCCCGTCTGACTGAAGGTCGGATAGTGGAGGAAGGAGCGGGAACTAGTTTGGTAAGTCGAGTGAATAGGGTGCCAACGGAGAAACATACCAGGAGGAGTCTGAACATTGGGATTGAGCGCACTCGCCGAGATCTGCGAAATGACCGGGACAGGAGGTGGAGATGCTACCTTTTGCGGCGGAGTTTGCACAGGAGCTTGTACTGCGACATCGTCGTCTAGTGAGAGCAAGTCACGATGGGTCTCTGACAGGACAGGCATCGATGAAGCGGCTTGGAATTGAGACGCGCTAAGTCTCATGGACGGAGGAATCAATGTCGGTGGTAAAAATTCTGGGAGCTCTTTGCCTTCGAGCACCTTGTTAATGAGATGCATTGCGACAGCAAAGGTGTCTTTCGTGAGTCGACCGTCATTTTTCATGTCAGCAAGATCCCTGTTTCTCGTAATTAGAACAAGAGTCGAAGTTTGAAAGGTAGTCGTTACCAAACGCGGGCGAGAACATCTTCGGGTAGGTTTGATAAGAGCATAAATGGCACCGCAGCAGCCCCTTCAACGTAGCCAAGGTGCTCCGTGTCCAGGTTATCGAAGAACCCGTCTGATCGCAGCTTGTCCTCTGCAGTAACATCCCAAGGGAGCGTAGCGCTAGGTGGCGGCCGAGCAAGAGGGAAAGGCGATGCCAATTGCCCGGTCATTTGAGGAGCGATCGAGAGATTCGAGGGACGAGACGGAATTGACGGCGGCATACGACTGCCCGTCATCTGCGGAGCAAGCGGGATGGTGCTTCCAGTCATTTGCGCCTGTATACCAGTGTACTGGGGCATGAAGGCCTTTGGAGCCATGGTAGAATGAAGTGATGGAGATGGGAGACTACCACCTGTTGAATGCGACTGGACGCTTGGAGGTCGGCCGCCAGCTTGGTCCCACAAAAATGGAGGAATGGATGGTGGGAGGACGGGAATCGTTTGCGGGGTCGACATGCTGCCCTGTATAAAATACATGGCGAGTATGAACTGCGTGGCATCGAGTGCGCCGCGGTTTGTCGTGTCGACGAGTGACCTTGGAGATCGACGTCAGCCTACGTTGGAACAATTCCGGTGGCATACCATATCGCATTTAGTCGCTCTACGGAAAGTTTGGACCGTACGAATATATTTTTGGCCTGTTCGCCTGTCGGAAGAGGTCAAGTTTCAGGACGGCGTTTACGCTTGTGAACTCTCCAGAGGGATTACTGACCATTGAGGAGACCGCCGCCTGGGTTTGCCTTGTTGAAGAGGGTCAGAAATTTTGTTCTGTCCGTTGGAAGAAGGGGTGGGAGGGCGCTTGGGAGCGTGGATATAGGAGCTGGTGCTCTGGCGGGGAGGGACGAGACGGCGGGCACTTGGAGGCCGTCGATAGTTGGTAAAGGACCGGCTACAATCACACCAGTAAGCGTTTATGATCTCTACAAGGTCTGGAGAGCGTTATACCTTTGTCAATGAGCTCTGCCGTGGGCAACTCGCCCGCCTGAGCCCAGCCGATGAGACGAACGGCGACGGCAACGCCCTTTCTTGTGAGTGCGCCGTTGTTTTCTGGATCTGCAAGCGACCAAATGTCGCCAAGCGTGGCTGGCGGGAGATGTGCACCAGCAAAGACCCTGACGCCTTGCTCGCCCGTGACGAGACCGAGTTTCTGTGGGTCTGCTTGTGTAAATATCGCGTTTACAACGGCGACTTCTGCTGGGCTGGGAACGAACGGCATCCCTTGGTGGACGAAGTCGGGTTCAAGCTTTGGACTCTACAATCATGGACAGCTCTTCCCACTTGCTCGCCCTCAAGGTCATGCGCGTATCAGTTCGTACACTATTATTGGTTATAAAACATTACTTACATCCACCAGCGACCCAGTCTACTCGGCCAATGGCAGCCATTTGCAGAAGCCTCTACGCATTTCGACGCACACAATGCATCTTCTATCACATCAATACAGCCGCACATTCCAAACAAGCAACACGTTCCTACCACCATTCGCGACCTCTCTGCGCTCTCCCAGAATCTATCGCTCCCATCGAGCTTTGGGTCCATTTCGCTAGGAGAAACATTCTCCAGCTGTTTCTGTGTCGCAAACATGACAAATTATGACATTGAAGGTGTCCATATCCGTGTCGAAATGCAATCCGCGTCTGCAAAGTCCCTCCTCCTTGAGCTCGGTGGGCCAGAACATCGATTAGGACCACTGGGAACACTGGAGGGCGTCGTCCAGTCGGAGATCAAGGAACTCGGTCAACATACACTCAGCTGCATCGTACACTATCGAGTGCCGCCTGGACTGCGGCCACCAGCTCCTTCCGACGATCCGTCAGACCCGCGAGCACAACTATTCAGGAAGCATTATCGATTTCCTGTGTCAAATCCATTCTCCGTAAAGACCAAGGTTCACACACCAAAATCGCCTTCTGCCCTCATGTCCAGAGTTGAACGCGAGAAACTCTTCTTACAGATCGACGTTCAGAACCTCACACAGGAATCGATGTGGTTTGAGAGATTAGAATTCAAGCCGGTGGATGGCTGGACCTTTACGGATGCTAACGAGTCGAGCATCGAAGCTCGTCAGGCCTTTACGGGTCCCAAGACCCTCGTCCAGCCACAGGATACATTCCAGTATATATACACCTTGATACCTGCGGTTATTCCCCGGTTTCTCATCAAACCAGCTCCCGGTGCGGTCATTCCTCTGGGTCGACTAGACATTGCCTGGCGAACAACGTTTGGAGAGCCAGGAAGACTCCTTACATCGGTGGGTGTTCTGTATAGTCTTTTGCGTCTCTGAAAATTATCAGATGCTATCCAGGCGTGTTCCCCAAGCACCCCCTCCTCCCATCCAGTCGGCGCTTCCTCCACATGTCCAAAGGGTCATTGGCCAAATTCAGCGGCCGCAGTCCCCTGCCAATGTGCCACAGTCGCCTTCGTCCTTGAGCCGGCCTTCATCTCCTGTCCCCTACAAGTCGCGTCAACCCAACCGACCGCAAACCCCTGTCCAACAAGTCCCAACACCACAACCAATTGCACCTCTGACCGACATCGAGGTGGACCTAGTCGTCGAAACCATTCCAAATGTGCATACTATTACCCTCGACCAGCCGTTTGCCATCCATTTTGAGCTCACGACAGCCGCATTTGTGCCGTCAAACAAGCAGAGGATTATTCGTCTTGCAGCTCAACATACGATCCGATCACGTCGGAAGCCTGGACAAAATGCGAAACCGACTGCCAAATCAAACGTCCACGAGTCGAAGGTCATGGCGGCTCATTCTCCAACACCGTCCACGACCTCAACTCCCCGGGTATTGTCCCTAGATTTTCACCCAAAGGTGGTAGAGTCGCCACGGAAGCACTCCAAATTTGACCATTCACTCGACCGCACGTGCATTTCATTTCCTTCTCCCTATGTCAACGACTTGAGCACTCCAATAGATGCCGATGCGACTCCTGGAACGGGTCTGATTGAATTTGTCGGGTCTTCTCTCGTCAAGTTGCAGCCCGTCACCTTGACGGCGGATTGTGACACCATTGGCGCGCAAGTTGCGGGGGAAGACAAAAGAATCTCGTCACAGAAGTTCCGACTTGACTTTCTACCGCACCGTGTGGGCCATGCCAATGTCGGCGGGGTGCGGATTCTTTTGCTGGGGGATGAGGAGCGGGAGATTGATGGCGAGCACCAGCACGAGGTCGCTGACAGAGATCGGAAAGAAGGTCAGCGCTTACTCGACCGAGGTGGAGACCGACAAACGGCAAAGATATTGCAGGAATGGTCGGTCGTGGCAGAGCTGCTCGTCGGGATTACCTAGAGTCGCACACATGTTGCCTTCACTTGATTTTCAAGCGCATCTAGAACTCTGTTCGCGCGTACACCCTTCTTGGAGAGTAGCCTCGCCAAACCCATTATCGCGCCTCGACGTTATATAACGAGTGAATTGTACGATAATCCGTTGTTTATCGAGATTTCTCTCCCACTGAGCAACCAATTGTTTTCGACGAGCGCAATCGAGGCTGCCTGAACTCTTGCGTGCCTCCTACCCCGCGCACCAGTGGATCAGCCGCAACTTCGCCAAAGTGCAGACCTAACAATTCCCGGAAAGTCTAGTTTTGCATTGCCTTGGGAAGTCGCCGGCAAGGAGGACGTATACAATTAATGGCCAGTCCAGATAAGACATATTATCAGGTTTGCATCCGAAGGATATAAGGCCTTGGGATACTCCATCGTCGGGCTGAAGCAGTCTCTCAAAGTTTGTAGGCTTGGTTTTTTTTATCTTCGCAGTTGTAAGCACTGTCTATAACGTGGACTGAAATCTCTCAATCGCTCCAAGAGTGCCAACGACTCTCGATACGCGGAGTCTTTGCTTTCTCGTGGGACCAGGACCTTGATTGATTGAACGAGTCACAACAACTTGATATTCACCAAAGGGCCAGACCAGTTGCCGAGAATCGAACTTCATTGAGCGACAGAATAGGTAGCTGAAGGTCGTTACACAATATCGAGACAGGATTTTTGAAGACGAACGAAGTGGAATGAATGCGAGGAGCTGCAGGATGGAGAAAAACCGATCTTGGAGAGCAATCTGTGAGCACGCAGGGTGCACATGACGTGACGGAGTGTTTGAGAGCCCAAGCTACGTAAATGTATGTCATTAGTAGTTTTTTAAGAAAGAGGTGACAACTGACCAAACTATCATCGTTTTAAGCCACTCTTTGACTTTACAGGTGTCTCTGCCACGACGTCAGTCGATCGTCTGCTTCCAAGATAAACCAGCTCGGGTGAGTCTGGTACAATATCATCATCGGATTCGGCACCAGTCCATTCTCGTCTCGTCAATGAGCGTGGAGGAGTCTCCGCAACGAGAGTGGTCGATACTCGTCGCGCTTTGACCGCCTTCGACTTGACCTCTGACCTCCCTACCGAACGGTCAGATGAAATTCATTTCCCTGGTTTGAAAAACCTACTGGGCTCTGCATCGAGGCCAGGGTGACTTGGTCCACTCACAACTCGCTTAGTACCCACAGGCGCTTGCCGCCGCATTTCCACTTCGCTAGCGAACAGCCTTGAATTTCCTACGATTCCTCCTCTTTTCCCTCCAACCACTTTGATTTCCTCGGCTGCGAGGGAAACACTCCGGCTGCGACTTCGTCTGTCCACCGGTTCGACTGACATTGACCGGGCACGCGAGCTCGATCTTGACGTAGATTTTTGCTGATTCGTGTTCCTTGGAAGGTCGTCGAGATCCGCCGCTGTAAGCATGGGCTTTTGACGTAGTGCTTTTGATCTGGGCTTCATCCCCACCTTGGGAACGAGCTCATCGCTGTCTTCACTGCTTTCCTCGGCTTTGGGTGGGATAATCTTGGCTTCAAATTGCTTGATGAGATCTGGGAGTTGCTCGCGAAATCTAGTCAAATGTCAGCTGCCTCTCGACTCAGAGAGGATTACACATACAAAGGCTACATCGTCCTCAAAAAACGCTCTCATCCAGTCTCTGCCATTATCACCTGGCCGTTTGAGATACTTTTCCGAGTCCTCCTCGATCGCTTGCCACAGAGCAAGACGGTCAGTCAACGTGTCCAGGTTATCTTGAGCAGAAAGAGGTGGCGGTGATGGCGATCGGTCGTCCTTTCCAGGCTTTCGTCGCTTGGCCGGCGAGTTATGGAGCGACTTGCGGTTACGCTTCCGCGAGCGATCAGGAGAGATACCAGACTCGGCCGGGGAAGGACAGAGTGATAGATATATAAAATGTAAGAGGATTTGCACAAGAACTCTCCTCCGTGATAAGTAAGGATAAGACAAAGTAAGGACTGGGCTTACTCGCGCCTCTCCATATCAATCATCCACTGCTTCTTCCACTTTTCCTCATCGACGTTGTCCGGATCTGGAAAATGACGAACTGGGGGTCGTCCGTGATGCCATGCATACCACATCGCACTCTCTTCTGCCTCAATAGTCTCCCGTTCCATCGCAGCTTGAGGGTCCCGAAGAAGTGTGGGGAGTATTTCTTGATATTTTTTCTCGACAGATTGTAATGAGAGAAGCAAAGGTTTGAGTAACTCTCGTAGAGGCTCTGCGGGGGCTTGTTGTCTTGTTGAGTCTCTGATGCGTCGTATAGACTGAACGAGGTGACTTAATGGCATGACCGACTGTGTATTAAATGAGATGGTGAGTGTTCAGGTGACTAAATGCGTACCTCTGGTAGCCACAACGCTTCTATATATACTCGGTGGACGAAGGCGCTTGATATTTCTGTCTCTTGTGGAATCAAAGGGTAGTCCAGCATCAAGGGAGTTGCACTGGGCCACGATATCGGACAACGGTTGCTCAGAACATATGCCGGTGGTTGCAATGTGGACATGGATAAGGCCTAAGTTTGCTCATCCACAGTCATTCGATGAAACGCTTTCAAGATAACAGGTGTCTATTCTGAATAAGGGTGATATAACTTATTTTATAATAGTCCAGTGCGCATCTATCAAGCTCTATGCTGAAGGCTTGTCACGGAAACGGCGATAGAGTGCAATAATTAGCTCCTACAATGGAGTCAAAAGCAGTCTCAAGACAACGATATCAGCTTACATTTGCAGTGAGTGTGATGATCGTATGCGGCGCTATCCTCAGGAAGTGAGCAGTGGATCCTAGCAGGCATGTCTCAGCGTATCGATGCAGACAGAAACGAGGTTATTACCCTTATAGAGGCCATAGACCCCTTCCATCGAGACAGTCTTCCAGAGGCAATCGATAGGGTTCCGGTATAATAACCCAACAGTTCTAAATCCGCCACGTCCGTCAGGCCTTCGTTCGGTCGGCTGGTTGTATACGCGAGTAAGCGCTGTATCAAATGGCTGCATAACAAGGCACTGAAGGAGATGAACTCGTACTACCATCCCGAAAGGTGAGGAAGGCACTGACCACGCAAGCCCCGGAGACAGTACTGCTGGCCAGGAATGTCCATGTTGAGTCAGCCGGCAGTATACCGCGAGTAACAAGCTGATTTTTCGTCCAATTATATGAAGGAAGTTGTACCGAGGACCCGGCAGCTGTCCTGAGAATGGCAGCGTCCATACCTCGAATGAGCCCGTGGGCCCCATCCTTCTTGTAGATCGATGATAGAGCATCAAAAGAGGACTTGTAATAATGCTGGGCGCCGATGGGTAGAGCGGGAGAATAGGCCTAGGACTGACAAATGAGTCATGCCAATTACAAAGAATGGACCTGCTTGCCTGCATACGTGCTTTGATCAAAAAAAGCGGGTTTCCAAGAGATGCTACAGGCTGATTAGGACATTAAGGGTCGGAGGTCGAATGCTCCCTACCTCCAACGACACCGCTCGCAGCTCCGGCAAGGACGGACGTGCCCACAATTTGCTCCTTCGGCTTGAAACCCAAAATAGAGTTGACTGTAGTTCGTATTGGCTCGTAGAATCCTAGGCGCGAGCCGTTTAGCAGGATCTACGACAAAGTTAGTAACACATCGGTCAACGCTCGGAGAGTCAAACTCACCTGATAGACATATCCAGGTGGAAGCCCTCGTTGTATTCCTCTTATTCCTTCATTGCGCCATGTTTTCCGAAGGACGTCGATAGCACTATGGTAGACTCGTTGACCGCCGTCCTTGGCCAGTTCGCCTTGGAGTTGCAAGCGTGTTTTGGCAACCTCGGCGCTGTTTTAATCGAGTTGAGATAAAAATTTGAGAGAAAAATACGTTACTGACGGGTTTGAGATTGTCACCTATAAAATGTGGGGTAAATGCTTGTTGAGGACATAAAATCAGATCATATGAGACCCACAGCGACACATGCAGCTAAACCGCCGCAGAAGAATGACTCTGTTGTCGAAAGCGGCGACGGCGAAGACATGGCGAGGACCAGAGAGCCGAACAAACAAGCCATAAACTTGGCCATGGCCAGCTCGAGCTACCGCCAATGGTTTACAACGCAGCATGTTCTTGTCGGACTGGTAGCTGCTGCAGTCATTTTCCCTGCGATTTCACATTCGATACGCGTCTTGTCCTCGCCTGTGACGCTCTTCTTCCTTTCGCCTTTCATTGTTCTCAGCGTCCTACTTGCGTTTGTGGCGTCAAACGTCGGGTTGGGACTTGTCCTGGATGCGTACCGAGACTCGAGTGCAGTTAGAGCACCCACACGTCTGCGGGCGGCAGCGCGTCCGTTGGCGTTTACAACTCCAGCGGCATGGCAGGCAGTACTAATTCGGTCGCAATGGTCTGCGAAAGGACCATTGGACCTCCCACCTCTGATTCCACAACACCAAACCCTGTCCAGCTCGATCAACCAAGTCATTAATCTCATTGTGCGCGACTTCGTGCTCGTTTGGTACCAGCAAATCTCATCTTCTCCGACATTCCCAGGAGCAGTTTCGAAGACGATACATGCTGCTCTCGACAATATCCTCCATCGCCTCACCCGGATTGACCTTCCAACGCTTATCGTCAATCGCATATTGCCAAGGGTCACGGCCCACATCGAACAATTCAGACAATCAGAAATGGCCGTAAGAGGAGCCGGTTTGGAGCGGCATCTGACTCAGTCCGACGAGCTCGACATGCTCCTTGCAAGTCGCTATGCCGCGCACGAGCCAACCAACCGTCTGCACCCCGCAGTATCAAACCTCTCAACCATGTCGACTAAACAGACTGAAGAAGCTCATTTGCGCTCAATTGTCGATGGAATCCTACCATTGATTTTGCCCGAGAAAGAGGCCAACAGCAAGGCTGTTCATATTGTCGCGCGCGAGGTTGTCTCCTGCATCGTCCTATGGGAAGTCATGGAACTATTGTCGGATCCAGACGTCTGGAACCGTGCAATTGACGAGGCAGCTGGTGCTGCCATTCGCCAGCAGTAAGCTTATTCGTGTCACAGTCCACATCCACTCATTGCCTCAGGAAGCTTATTTCGAAGGTTCGATCCATATTAGATACGGAGCCGACTGGTCCTCAGCCCTCAAGCCCACCCGCATCGCAAACTGAACACATTAACTCTCGCACTGGCATTCGCCATTTCGAGTCTTTTCTTAAGAGTATTAGTAGAACAGACTCTTTGCTCGATGCCAGGAGACTCAAGAACGACATCACCAACGAGATCCGGAAGACGCGCCTCCTCCTTGCAAATCATGAGAATGAGGAGCTAATCAATGGAGAAAAGACAGAGGATATTGTGGCATACCTCGACCGCCTCTATACAGCCAAGAAGAAAGTGGAAAAGCGTATTGAATTGCTCGGTGGCGCAGCCGATGATTCTGTGAGTGATTTTGAGACCGCTAAGCCACTCTAAACCCGTAACAGAGGCAATCGGTTATGATGGACTCTCCGAGTGTTTCGCAAGCTCGACATTCCCTTCGCGAGATTCTGGCCAACCCCAACGCGTTGTCATACTTCATGGAGTTTATGGACCGCCGGAATCGTTCTTCGATGGTTCAATTCTGGCTTCACGTAGAGAGTTTCAAGAATCCACTCGAGTCAGTCGAGTCTGGGGATGAAAGCGGGGATGAAGGTGCGCTGAAAGCCCCGGGTATCTCGTCAGTTTCCGGCACGGTCAAGGACGACATAAAAGGAATCTATGAGATGTACTTCGCCAATCCAATCCCTGGATCACCTCTCGTGAAGATCATCAACCCGAGGCGTGTTGCTCGTATTCGAGAGTTCGCCGAATCGAATGGGACGCCCACCTTACCTCAGGAGAGACGCGTGAGGCGGAGTGTGCTATTGGCACAACGCCAGGTGGAAAAGGAGATGGACGAGGACTTCTCAGATTTTGAGCGAAGTGATCTGTGGTTCCGTGCTGTGCACGACATGGAACCCAAGCGTAGCTCTGCTCCTCTTCCACCAGCTCAAGGTCAGAAGTCTCCGGAAATACCGACCTCTTCTCCGATTCAAGAGCTTGTTACCAGTCCAGTGTCAATTCTTCGTTCGAAACCAAAGTCGGCACATCGCCCTACCTTCCTTGTACCGGCACCTGGCATTCGACGAGCGGAGACAGCACCCGTATTATCGGGAGGTACCGAAGAACCAGACGAGTTGCCACATCTTCGCGCTTCCAAGACGCCGACTAATCTGGACCTTCTATTTGGTGCGACCGAGGCAGGCAGTCAAGATGACCGATCGCCTCTCTTTGCCGAGAAACCGATCACGGAGGAAGAAGAACAGTCCCAGCGCATGGAGGCTATCCAAGCAGCTCTGACGGATATCATTGCCGATGAACGCCGGCAATCAGAACGACCTTTGAGCATGGCGTCTTCAGACGGCACACTGAACCAGCTCGGTGCTCTGGAACGAACCTCGGTGGAGGATGAACAGCCGGGGAGGCGTAAGCGCATGTTCGATGACGTTGACGATCACGATGAAGAGGAGGAGGCGGACGAGGAAGAGGAGAGTTCGCGTGCCAACGCGTCGTTCGAACCGGCTCTACCAGGAGACCTTCAGCTTTCGTATGATATTGCAAAATTGACGGAGAAAATCCTCAAACTTCAGTCACAGGAGACAATCTTGGAAACGCTGATACGCAAGGCCGAGTTGACAGGAGATGGACAAGAGCTACGCCTGTTGAACAAGTCTAAATCGGCAATGGGCCGGGAATTGCGAGCACTTACGTTCCAACGAGCACAATACGAAGAACAAGAGGCGGAGAATAGGCTAGTTCCCGACCGCACAAGAGTTGCTATCAGAAACACATCTTCGACAGAGGAAGATGGGAAGTCTGTCACACGATACCTCATAGAGGTTCAACAACTTGCGGTCGATGGAACCTTTGCTTCCGGCTGGATTGTTGCCAGACGATACAATGAATTTTTTGCCATGCATCAACGCCTCAAGGAGAAGTATGTGGCTGTTAGGGCCCTGGAGTTTCCTGGAAAGCGTCTGGTTACCTCCATGTCAAATTCCTTCGTCGACTCTCGAAGAGTAGGGCTTGAGAAGTATATGCAGGTTAGCGACCTCCAAGTTATTCAAATTCGATATGTTCTGACAGCTGTTTAGCATCTCATCAGTATTCGCCTGGTTTGCGAAAGCGAAGAACTCCGTGCATTCCTCTCACGCAAGTCGCCAATGGTTGCCTCTCAACCTGTCACAAATGTGAAGACTTCCGTCTTCTCTGATGGTGGGATCGTGCGAACAATGTATCGGTCCGTGACCGAGAGCATCGACGACATTTTCTTTGGGCCATCCATGTTGGACGTCATGATCCAGCGTCTCAGCCGTCAGGTGGCCGACTTTGCGGGTATCGCGGGGCCTGGCGTAAACGACGAAGATCTGATCGCACAAGCTATTGCCTCGAGCAAGGATGCACCGGAGATCACTCTTTCTAAACTTCCCGGAGATCTCAAGCCCCTCGAAGGCGAAAGTGCAGTATCATCCTTTACTGCTCCTATCTGCGACTTGATCCTTGCCGTATTTGAGCTCGACAAGAAGAACAACTGGCTCCGACGTCAAGCTATTGTGATAATCCTGCAGCAGGTCCTTGGCGGTACAATCGAGAGGTCTGTCTACTTCCTTTGGTTGCCTGTCGCTCATCAATTGTCTAGGAAACTTAGAGAGGTGGTTAAAGGCAATACGGATGAGGCCCATCTCTTACAGTATATTGGCCACTTCAACCAAGCATTATGGCCTGGAGGGAAGCTCAAGCCTCCTGGGATACCGCGGACCAAGGATGAGAAGACAAAAACGCGAGACGAGGCAAATCGCAAACTCACAACGCTTATGCCAGGTATGTGTCCACACCGACACTAAGGAGCATTTCTAACGTGATTAAGATTTGGCCGCTAACATGATTGGGCGCTCCAATGCTCGACGAGGCGCAAGGCGAATGTTTGCTGTCCTGCAGAATAAACGTCTCAATCAACATTTAGTGTATACCGTGTTTGACGAGGTATGAATTGTTGCATGATGCGCTTTGGCTGTAACTCATGTCTCTCAAGGTTATCGCCGCTCTCTTTCCTGAGGCAGTCTTTTCGCCGTCATAACATACTGGATCTCAATTCGTCTATGTTTATGCCCTCTATCCTATCTTGGTGTACATGAGTTCGAATTCTGGAGGCTTACTTTTGGCAAGGCCGTTGCTTGGCCGCTTAGCTAGTCTGTGCGTTGGTCAATTCATCCGGAGTAGATATTCTGGTGGGTAACAGACAGTTCCCAATCCCGTCTGACGATGAGGTCGGTCCGAGAGGCCAGCGGTTCGAATCTCAGGCTGCTCAGTTCTCGCTGCACATGACTAGATCTTACGATATCTAGTGGTCTATCACAGAGAGGAGAGTGGACTTTTTCATTTTCAAATAATTTTTCTCTGTATGGGTAGATCACTCATCTCTGAGAGACCTCGACGCAACATGGATGTCTTGGAGTCCCTAAGGACGCGGTAGCTATGGGGAACAGACCTCCACAGTATAATAAGAAATTCAAGCTCTCCTCAAAAGAAGTCACAAGCTCCGGGGCCGGGTGTGACGTGACCCTCGTTGGATCCGTGCTGCGACTGTTTATTAGCGATCCAATTGCTCTGCCGTCTCTCTCCAGTCCCTAGTTTCGATCTTAGGCTCTATCCTTGATCAACTTTCAGTGACTGGAAACGCGACAACTGCGCTCAGTGCTCACAGGATTTTGGGCGTGTTATACACATCTTTTCTCCGATTTAAATATTGGATAATAGATATTCAAGGCAAATAATCTCAAATTTTGACTTATTTGATTGTCATTGTGTCATATAGCGGCCTCAGAGACCGCAGAAGCTACTCTCCAGCCAGGCTGCCATATCCACCGAGCAGCCCGGCGTCCTTTTGCGCATTTCGAATATCGTGTCCTTTCTTCGATATAATGTGTGTATTTCAAATGTCGCGTCTTTCCTTCGACGATACACTGGACGCCCGCCTTTTTGCCTCCGTTTCGCGGCCTATTGAAGACTTGTGACCCTCAGGTCGATTATGAATGACAGAGACTCTCCCAAAAATCTTTGGCCTTTCGCTAGAGTTCTCAAAAGGTACCCATGACTCCACGCCCTGCTCGAAGGCGAAGAAAATTCGATTGATGCTGGTGGCAAAAGGCCAGACAAGCTGCTTAAGCAGGCCCAAAACTCGTGAAATTTAGTTTCTAGGATCTCAATCTATCCTGTCATGATGTGTATGGGTTTGAATTTTCGAAGCTTCTCGCGGCGGTTGGTGGCAGCTCAATTTTATTGTTTGCATCGGCCACCTCATTATGAATCAGATGCCTGGTGTCGCACAGGTAGTTTCCAATCCCCTCCATACGAAGTCGACTCGAGAGTCCAACGGTTCGAATATCAGGCTGCTCGTTTCTCGCCGCGGGCAACTCGATTTTACGGGATCTAGTGGTCCGCTACAGGGATAAGAGTAGATTCTTGTCCTCAAATAATTCACTCTGAGGGTGAATTCTTCATCTCTGAGGGACGTCGACGTCCTACCGCCCGTAAGGACGCGGGTAGCTATGGGCAGGAGAGTTTCAGGGTCAAATAAGAAATTAGAGCAATTCCCAGAAGTCACTGATATTGAAATGATGAATCTCGTTCGATTAGCTGTCACTATCGGTCCAGGTTTACTAACAATCACTGACTGAAATGGGAGATCAGCTAGGCGGGTTCATCCTAATAACTGTTGACAGATTAGAGTTACTGGGTTTGGAGCTGAGTGACCAATGGTCAACCGCCAAACCGAACTGGGATGAACCTAAATCTGCTGAAACCTGTATATGAGATCCCAGATTCACTCATATCCCCGCTCAGAGGTGCGTCTAAGATGCGTCAGCCGGGCGTAGAATCAGTGAGCTTCTAGCCACCCGTGTCATACATTGTGTCGTGATTGGCTAAGTCTACTTGGTGAGCTTTGGAGATAAAAAGGATATTTTCGATAATTTTCGCTATTTAGAGGTGTTAAACTCATCAGAAGAGACTTCCTCGAATGTCGTCCGCCAGCCCGGATAAGCTGGGTCGTCGAGATCATTCGATACATCTCTTGTGCTCTTTTCAAGCCTCGCTTGATGCTAATGTGTCGTTAAAATGGCCGCGCTAGAGGTTAGCCAGCCGCCCCAGCCGAGAGCCTATCGACTGGCCGCAGTCTCTGTCCAAGGGCAGTCTCATAATGTGTTGCATCTCAATAAGCTTGTGTTCCTGTTCACTATCTTATCATTCGATGTTCTGACGTATCTGAATTTCGAATTGTAGAACTTGATTTTTGGCAAGGTCTTTGTTGGGCCAGTTGATGTAATTTTTTGCATAGATCGCCCGATTATGGAGGATCTATTCTGGTGGCGAACAGCCAGATCTCCGCATAGAGAATTAGTCGTTCGGTATGGTTGACCGTTTGATTCTCCAGTTGCTCAGTTTCTCGGGATTACTCGAACAAGGAAGCAGCAGCGCTCCATAGTCGAAGTAGAAATCCTAGTATCTTCGCTACGATACAAAACTTGGAAAACACTGATGGGAGTCAGGTCGAACCTGGTTTGATCTTTGCCGCGACTGTCTAGTGAAGCAACTGCTCTCCTGTCTCTCTCCAAACCCTTGGTTTCGACCTCAAGGCACTATTACTGATCAAACTATCTTTGACTGGAAACGTGACGACCGCCGCTCTCAGGATTTGCGACGTGTCGTACACATCTTTTTCTCCCATTCAAATATTGGATAGCCGAGACAAATATTCTCAAGTTTAACTTATCCATCAGTCATTGTAACCCCAGAGGCCGCACTCTCCACTCAGGCCGCTATATCCACCGAGTAACCCGATCCCTTTTTGCGCATTTCGAATGTCGCGTCCTTCCTTCGATACACTGGCAACTGCCGCACTCGCCGCATGCACTGCTGTACGCCCTCTTCAGCGTAGAGCCGTAATGTCGATCTAAAGCCATGTTCGACAGACCACATTCTCAAATCCAGCAGAGGTCGCCAAAACCCGGTTGCAACTGCAAGGCGAGCTGGTCAAAAAGGGAACATACCAGCCCGTGTATTTGGGACCGACGGACGTACTCCGAAAGGCATGGCGTTCAGAAGGGATTCAGGGGATTCAACGTGGGCTTACGGGGGCCCTTGCGTATTCGGTATGCTAATCATGTATCGGGGTACTGTCTACACGATGGCTTATGCAGCAAAAACAGGCCCTTCTCCAAACCTGCATCCTTGGTTGGTCCACTAATTGTACAGAGCTCAAGTCTGAAACCGAGCTAGCTCTTTACGAACCATTCCGTGGCGCTCTCAACGTTCTCGCTGGAAAGACGCCATCTGATAGGTATCTCGCCAGCACGATCGGTGGCGGCACATGTACCGGGATTGTCGGAGGTGAGGCACAGTATTAACGATATGCATTCTTATCCTATCGTCAGCATTTCTAGGGAACCCACTGTTTCTCATCAAAGCTCGCATGCAAGCGTATTCTCCAGCGTTTCCCGTCGGGGCTCAACGATACTACAAATCTGCTTGGGACGCTCTGAGGAGTATCTATATCTCGGATGGTTTTACTGGTCTCTTTCGTGGTTCGAGTGCGGCTATGTTTCGAACATCACTTGGCACGTCTGTTCAAATGCCTACATACTTCTTTGCCAAATCTCGGCTGGTTGAGTATGGCATTTTGCGGGCGGAAGCCCCTTTGACCGTGATAACGAGCAGTGCGGCCGCTGGTGGCATGGTGGTGGGTTAAGTCAAGTCGCGAATATCTATGACTAAATAGCATACCCAGTGTCTACTGATGTCACCGGCTGACACTACTCTCACTAGACTGTAGGCCAATAAATACCTGGTGGATTGTCCTCACACTTTCTCCACAGTTACAACCAACCTACGCTGAAATTATCAGATGGAAGCGTTAGAGGCATGCTCTACCGAGGTCCATTTGATTGCCTGTTTCAAACAGTCAGGCAGGAAGGAATCACGGCATTATACAGAGGTATTGTCTCTGTTCGTGCATTCCGGTGATCATTGACTCGTTCAAGGAGCATTCGCGCACTTTCTTAGAATCACGCCTCATATCACGATACTGCTTACGGCTAACGAGTACTTTGCTCGATGGTACAGACGTGGGATATGAATGATCAGAGAGCTTCCTCTGGCTTCCATTGCAAGATCCTTTTAAAGAATTACCGACGATCACATCATTCCTCCGCTGCGAGACCGCGTCACCAAGTTCTCACAGAGACCACAGTTGAAATTCGACGCCACCATGTAGGTCGACTGCTAAGACGGCCGTGTATCAACTGTAGACTGCAGAAGCTCGAACAGAGGTGCTATGTCTCTCGATATTCTAGATTTATGCTTATACAGATCTAAATACCGGGCCTAACTCGTCCCGTTCGTGCGTTTTGGAGGACTTTTGTGGCCAAACGGACATATGCATCTCCGGCTGCGAGCTCTTTTTCCTTTTCCTGCTTCTTCGCCAGTCCAGCAGGACCGGCATCCTCTGCATCTTCAATGTCGGAGAGGATTGTGGTTCGCCAATGTTTAAGTCCCTGCTCGAGGACACTCCAAATCTCCTCGCTGGTGTGTTCTTCGATAAATCTCACATATTGCGTCTCCTGCCAGCCGTGCAGCTTGTGAGGTAACGGTAAGGGAGATCGAACAAGAATGTGATGGAGAACGATCAGGGGTGGGGAGTCTCCCGTTCGTTCGGGCTTCGCGAGGTCATTGTCATCGAGGAAGATCAACTGACTGAACGAGGTCAACACAACTCAGAAGAGCGAGCCCACCGTACTTACCGTAAAGAGCGAAGTGCATAATAATCGTGGCCCAACACATCCAATCGCCACTTAGGCTTTGTCGTACCCTGAGCCACACCTTCGAATAGAAGCGTATTGAGAGCAAATTCGAGCCCCGTCATATCCGGGATGAGCTGGAGTTTTCCGGCCTCTCCCAGAGGCTTGATGATGGATAAATGCAGAATGAAAGTTTTGAGGATGTGTCTTGCGATTTCTAGGGTCCTAGGGAATTCCGTCAGCAAGTTCAACGTATCGTAATATGTACTACCATTCTTGTCCCAGTTCGCCGACATTGTACTTGGACAGAACTTCTAGTCGTATAAACATTAATTTCTCGGCGAGCTCTTTGAGGTATGGACTTGAACCCTCGCCACCTCGGGATATCGGGTCCACACCGTCGTCTGCAAAGCTCAATCGATGTACGCGAGCGAGGATGGCGCTTGTGTCCAGCCGTATAGCGTTCATGAGAGGGTCGGTAATCTTGAGATATGTAGCCTGGAGGGCAGACACCGCAGGCTCGAGAATCTTGAGCACCGCGTCTGAATAGCTGTCTGGAATCTTGGAGAGTTGCAACCAACAATGATAGACCGAGTTGACAAGGGCAGCGTTCAGCATTTGTTGTATCGTGGAGTTTGGACCTATCAGCGTCACAGCATTGCGATCCTTTGCAGCCTGTCATTTCGTCAGTCAACCGATACAATGGAAGAGGAAACGGTACCAAGTTTTCTACTCTGGTACACATCATGTCCAAACTGGTCACGACACCGCGTGCACACGCTTTGACCAAGAGCGGATCAAACTTTGCAGTATCCAGCTCGTTCGCAACGACTCGGGCAATGGCAACACCCTCCTTCTCATTCGGTGGCGGACGACTGCTAGACTGCGACGAGGCCATATAGCCTCCACCCGTAACGTATGTTCCTACCAGCTTGTCAGATTGTACCGGGAGCGCCGACATCAGTACCTCCACCGTAGTAGGCAGATGCGGAAGTCGCAAAGGTCGAGCTGATGAGCTCATTGAGGCGGTTTGTGGAACGCTGGAGATATGCGGCTTCAAAGGTTGATACGGCTCGTAGTGTCAACACCGTTTCGGGAGACTGGTAGGACTGCGTATACGTGGTATCGGTGTGGACCGATATTCGCGAGAAGAAATCCTGGAACAAACGGAGAAGCTTAGGGTACTGGCTCGTTAAAGTCTGCGTCAGGAAAGAGGAGCCTAAACCCGGGTCAACTCTTAGAACGAGGGAAAAGGGTCTGCGACCGACCTTTGGCACCGTCTCGACAACTCCTCTCGAGCATCCTGGCAACAGTACTCCAGTATATTGAGCTCGGCTTGTTCTCCAAAACAGTCATAGCAGCATCGAGAAAAGTTCTCTCCGATGCAGCTTCTCGTTGTAGACTGAGAACCTTTTCGAGTGTATACACTTTGATGCATGCCTCGCTTAGGTGTGATATCATGTTCTCAAGTCGAGTCCAGAAAGCATTCGTCCACTGTGGAGCTGTCAAATTTGTGGGCTCCGTCCGCACTCGTGATTTGTAGAGAAGGTTAGATGCTGCAGAGGTAACGGCCGAGGTTTCTTTGCAACTTGGTGAGATTCCGGGATCAGGTGAACAGGAGGTGCATACCTTTGAGACCCTTTTCACGTCCAAGTGCAGCCATATCAAAGGCTTCTTTGATTCTGTTTTCTGCGACCTCTACAAGGTCTGTTACAATGCTTTGCACTGTCTCAGGTAGTACTCGAAGGTTAGACGCAGTCAGAAGAGCAGAAGACAAAAGCGGTCGGTTCTACAAGCTTTGAGCATCACAAATATCGAGATGACAGGAACTCACGAGCTCCTGGACGCCTGTGACTAACATGGCCTCCATCTCATTCATGATCCTTTCGCGTGCTGTTTGAACATTCGACAGGTGGGACGAGACAGCAGTGATAGATCGCAACGATATGGACGGTAAGTCATCGTTGGTTGCCTCCGGATTGTCAGACTGTTTACTTTGTTGAGACTCTGCGTCTATCAACGCATCTACCACGGAGTAAGGACCGTTTCCAATAGGGTTTAATGAACCTACAAATCTCGGCAATACTGAGAGCCGCCTTTATAATGGTACGCTCTCTCTCCTTGTCCACCGCTTCATTGCCTTCTATCACGCCTGAGATGGAAGCAGTAGTTGGGGTGCTAGACCCATTAGTCGGTGACGCTGGGGTGGTGGGTTTCGATACATTCATGTTTGAAGTTGAAGCCTGCTCCAATGCCGCCATTTGTGCTTCGAGACGGCGGCTAATCATGAAAAACCGGGACACCCGTCGTAATACATCTGAGGCAACCTGGAGCTTTTGCAACCGAGCGACATGAGCTTGCAGGGCGCCATATGGTATTGATAGTTTACTCCTTAGCCTAAAATGATCTAGATCAAGTCTTAAATGGACCCGTGAGGCTCATACCTGTTGACACTACCCGAAATATCCTTCAGACCAGCATTCACTTGAAGTAGATTGCCTTCAAGTTGGTTGACAGAGGCTGCCCGCGACAATAACCCTTCGTGATGTGCGTTGATGACATTCTTCAACTGTCGGTTCACATCATCGATTCCAAAGCTGAGTTTGGCAAGCGCCACAGATATTTCTTCCTTGTTACCGCCCTCTATAAGTCCTGTGGTCTTGAAACCTGACTCTAGTTGATTTGATGTGTTCGGGATCCTATACGGCTGGGCTGCGAGGATAGCGTTTGCATACTCGTTTGCATCAAAGGCTGGATGTGCAAACGTAGCATAATCTGTTAGAGCAATGAGAATGAGAAGCACATGAATCCGGTTATATCCGCGCACCGAGCGAGCCCATGAACGACGCGGGGGCGAGTCAAGTCATTTCGACGTTGGACACCACCGCTACCATCTCGCTCGCCGTTTGCGGCAAAGTTCTCCAAAATGTCCTCAATATTTCTCTCCCGTGTTTTGCGCGGAAGAGCTGCAAGACTAAAATCCATCAACGCTGCTCGTCCGACGCTTCCGAAGACTTTGCCGGCCAGGAGCTACACCAGCTCGTCGCCTACAAATGCCTCTGAAGGCTCATCGAGACCTCCACGACCTATTGAAGACTCTACGTCCGCCTTGGACTACAAATCCGCGCACAGAAGGGCCAGACCGCCGCCTCTACCAAAGACAGGTGCGATGACTCCTTCGCATCGAGTGTGCGCCGCTGAACCTGCTCTTTTCTTTGTCCATAGACCAACCACGCTTAAGAAGTGCCGAAGAGGCGGTTACAAACATTTTGTACAATACTCCTCCCCCAAGCACCGAGCCATTCAAAAAGTTAGTTACTGCCCAACAATGCACTTTTGGGGATACTTTTCTAACACCATTCAATAGACACATTCTAAACTGTCTCGTCCAAAACGAGCCTGGTGTCCTTTCGCGTGTATCTGGCATTTTGGCCGCACGCGGGTTCAATATCGACTCTTTGGTGGTATGCAAGACGGAAATCTCGGATTTGTCGCGTATGTGCATTGTTCTGAGTGGTCAAGATGGCGTTGTCGAGCAGGCCCGACGGCAGTTGGAGGATCTTGTCCCTGTCTGGGCGGTATTAGACTATACCGAGACGCGCACAATCAATCGCGAGCTTCTCTTGGTCAAGGTGTCTACCCTTGGACCGGAATATCTTGAGGACCAGCTTGTTGGCGGGCCGTCTCATGATCCTCGCGCTCACGGCTCTGCTCTCTATCCTCCCGAGTCTGCAATCTGGGAAGGGTCCGAGGGAGAAATACCACATCATCACAACGCAAAAATGGAACGAGAGATCTCTATGGCCACTTCGTTTGAGCAAAGCGGGAAATCTACTCATTATCCATCACCCCCAGCACCACCCCCGCTCTCGCATGATGGCCAGCAAGAAGTGAATATTCCACCCGCTTTGACACCCCATCAGCTTCTCACCCTCAAGTCGACGAATTTGCAAGCATTGACGACCCTTGCTTCCCACTTTGGTGCAAAGGTCGTCGACATTTCGGAGAATAGCGTGATTATCGAGCTCTCCGCGAAAAGCGATCGCATTGACGCATTCCTCGGCTTGGTCAAAGGCTGGGGGATCTTAGAGAGTGCGAGAACAGGCGTCATGGTCATGGCGAGGACGCCTATAGCGAGTTTGGAAAGCGAAGAAGAGGCTGTCGCGGTCGGTGGGCCAATCGATGCTAGCTTGCTCCCTCCTGGCTAGGAGCACGCCATGCGGGTAAAGCACAAAAGGTCTAGTTCTCGTGGACGGAGCTAACCACTGGTATATACACATGTTTTAAAAACAAAATTAGCCCAGAGACGCTTGAGATCAGTCCATACATATGTCGAAAGACATTGCTATCAGGGAGAAGGCACAAGATTTAGGTTTTGCATCGCTCGGCTTAGGTCCCATTCTCTTGATGACCACTTCTCCTGAGCCTCCTTTGGCGTATTGCCTTGCCGTACCAACTCCTCCATTCCACTGACCGCCGCGTCAAAATCGCATCCCAATGCACGAAGTGCCAGAATTGTGTAGTGGAAGAAGTCTGGCTCGTGTCCGTGTGTGCTACGAAGCATCTCTAAGCCGCTAATCACAGCGGTGAAGTCATATTCTTTGCTCTCTAATGCCTGCAGCGCTGCGCGGAACGTCTTGTTGACCCTGCTCCTGTCTCCCAACTCGCGATCCACGCTCGCGATGATATCTTTGATCCTCTGCGCACCATCGAGCACAGCCTCGACGTCAAAGTCCAACTTTTCCACCAATGACCAGGCGTACTCGTAGAAAGCAGGTGCCTGCCACGGTGCGCGTCCAAAGAGCTCAGAATATCTCTTACACGCTCTCTCTGTGCGTTCTGAGTTGAAGCCATATTTGGCAAGGACCTGGAGGACGATCCCGAACGCTTTGGGACCTACCACGCTCGCTTTGAGCGCGGCTATTCGCTGCGTAGTCGTGCGCAGGTCGTACGAACGGTTCTTCAGGAAAAGATCTGCAATGACCCAGTCCGCAGGACTGACGTCCGTGCCCATGGCGTTGCCCATAGCTTCAAGCAGCTCTCGTATTCCCTCCTCTTGTTGGTCACGCACTTGAGACTTGAGCAGTGCAAAGGCTCCCGCACGCTCTCGAACCGTTGAGCCCAGCAACTGCCACATCCTATCTCTGCTCGACCCTTTGGCGACGAAAATCTCGACAAGGAACTCAAAATCGGTGTCAAGAGGGTGAATGCTCTTTAGCCACTTGAGTTGGTCGGCCGCGGTGACGAAGCTGAAGTCACAGCCAACAACGAGACCTGGTATCAGGTAGTAATAGTCTTCCTTGACCATCGTCGTCATCTCCGCCAGGGCGATGAAGATGTCATCTATGCTGAATTGGTTCGAGATGAGCGTCACTAGGACAGCGCGAATGTCTTGGAAGATAGTCCGTAGGAGTTGAATACCCCTTATTGTCTTCTGAAAGTCGCACATGGATCGGCGGAGTGTCTTCAGGAGAATACCTTGGTTGACGGTCGACTCTGCTACGTCGCAGAGGAATTGAATCTCCGTGACTGTTTGTTGATAGTTGTATTCATTCACTTCAAGCAGTTGAAGTGAGACCGAAAACTGGAGGGATACGGCCTCTGGGTCCGGCTGTGCGATTTGGAGACCCGGAATGTTGATGCTGAGAGTGTTTGCTTTGTAGCCTTTGAGCTGGCTGAGTTGTGACTTTGCCATTTGGATGCTGTAATCGTGACGCTCCAACACAGATAGAAGCCTCGTGTAGTCGCGCTCACCGACACCCAGGTCTTTGTACGCCTTGAGGTCAATAAGGGCAGATTCGCTGTATCCCTGCTTCTCGAAGTATTTCATCGAGCGCGAGAAGTCTTGTGGCACGCTACAGATCTCCTTGATATCTTTGACCAGTTGCTCCGTCTTGGCCATGTCGTATCGATTGGCTTTGAGAAGAGCGAGGATATGGTCGTAGTTCTCCTCTGATGCAACGTCATGAAGAGCAGTGAGCTTTTCTATTGTTTGTGTGATGTTGTAGCCGAGTTCTGCTAGGACTACAAGAGCCGTTTTGTATTGCTCTTCCGAGCCCAATGCTCGGAGTTTGCGGAGCTGATCAGCGACAACGGAGATATCATTCCCGTTGCGGACGATGGCTGAGTATGCAACAGGATAGTTCTCCGGTCCGCCAAGCTCCTCCAGCATTTTGAGCAGCGCCATGACTTCGCCACGGGTTATTCCGCTCGTAGCAGCCATGCGCAGAATTTCATGCTCTGGGATGATGAGGTTGGAGATGAGAGCTGATGGAGGTTGTGGCGTCGCGGATGTTCCAGTAGGGATAGGTTGAAGTGGTTGCATCGGTTGCAGGGGCTGTAACGTGGAATGCAGGGATTGCATTGACTGCATAGCTTGCAACTGGAGCCCTTGGGTCCCAAATGGCGCCAATTGAACAGGAACTTGATACACGCCGTCGGCGATTTGTACGAGCTGTGGTTGTATAGGTGCAGCTCTGGAGGGCGTCCGGGCACGAGGCCGTCTGCTGGAATGAGCCGCCGCATCTTCTTCGAGGTAGCGTCGATATACGTCCGATTGAAGAATCTCGTCCTCAAAGTTGTGGTTCGAAACAAATGAGCGATCGTCGTCTCCAAAGATGCTCCTCGTATAGCAATTGGTAGGTTCTATCCGGCGAGTTGAGGCCCGGGTGTTGGAACGTGCCAGGTTGGCACGAACAGTCATGGCGTCTGAGTTGATCTTCATCATTCGTTTTCGGTTCTGCTTTAGGAGAGTGTGGATCTCCTCCATGGAATCACTTTTGACTACGTTAGTCGTGAGGAGCACCGGGACGATACGACTCACAGAGTAAATGCGTGCAAGAGTAATTGAAGTGCTTGGTGTTGACCCCTGAGCTGCCCAAGATAGTTGTTCATCTCTCCTTCGTTCCAGAGAAACCGAACTCTTTCGGCCTTGGACATATTGGCGGTCACTGCACCGTTTATCGGACCGGAGATGTTGGAATCCAGCTTCTCTATCTCTGCTGTAACGGCTTCGAGGGTCACAGCGCAGCCTTGAAGCGCGCACTCGAGACCCTTCTGAAGCGCCGACCCTTGTACTATTCTGGATCGCCTGTCATCCGTACCTAAGGACTTGACGTGGTTTAAAGCCACGGATAGGACATTGCACTCGTTGATCATAGACGAAAGTGTTTGGTTGGCGCCGATATAGTTTAGTCGGAGCTCATTGAGCTTTACACCAGCCTTTGCGGCACCCGCGACGAGCGATACGATCGTGAATGGATCCGCAACCATTATTGACGCCGGGAGATGGTACGTCTAGAGAGGCGATGGATTTCTGAGTGGCGCAGCAGCAGATTCCGCAACAATGGCTTGCTCGTCGAGTGGCAAACGAGTAGAGCGAGTTTCTACAAGGTTGCATTAGTAACTTCACAATTATTCTTTGGTTAATCTCGACTGACCTAGACTGCTCGAGGATGCAGGAGACGACGAAGATGCGTCCCGTCCGCTTTGGCGCTGGCCGATGCCAGCAGTCATACAGCATTGACTATTCAGGCCATTTGCATCAAGATCAGCTTTAGAATGCTTCTGCTTATATTTATCAAGAATATCAAGCGACTTCATGTGGATACTGGCCTTGAACAACTTGGCCTCCACTCTCATGACGCCTTTGGTCCCCCTAAGTGTGTATTTCGAGTTGATTCAAGGTTTAAACACCTGGTTCTATAATGAGTCTATTTCGTTGTGGTCGCGATGGATGCAAGGACTGCCGAGAGATAAAGTGTTCCACCTCGGGCCACGCTAATCTCGCGCTAGGACCTCTCTAAGGTCCAAGGTTTCCCATTGTTCTCAGTATGTCATGTTTGAGAATGCTAGTCATCCTTGTGGCCTCATTCGCAGGGGCTGTCCGTACACGTCAAGACCTTCCTGGACTGTATACTCTCGAATCGTACGTACTCTTGTCCGTTGTCTACACCTTGGCGTCCGGTATGGAAACTGATGTGAACAGCCCCTCTGCGGCGCACCTGCGCCCTCAGCACGAGAGCGACCATTTGTTGTTCTTTTGCATATAAAGTCCTGGATGATCATTTAGATTCGTGATTTCGACTCTGCGGTGGCTATTTCAGCGGGAGAAAGTGGGTATATTTCGTCATTACGAGTCGTACTCCTTCAGATGGCTTCAAGTTTATATATACGGGTAAGGAATCTATGGAAATACTCGTCGAATCCTGATATATATTCGTAGAATATCGAGCCAACATCGAGTAGGACACTTTCGACCCGCAGTGCGGACTCAAGAGAGACAAATGTCGGTCTGTTGATATCTGCCGCGGTAATACTTCTACTATTGGGCCTGTTATTGTATTTCACGCGGCAGACCGAGGGGAGGAGGGCGTCAGTGGCACATCTACAGCGATTTCTCTACTTTATCATCTCTCGGCTGGGCCGAGCCCGATCCAATATCTCTACCAGGATAAGACGATCGTCCGTATTTCGTTCTTATTCTGTTCAAGGACTTCCTTCCGTCGTTACGCCTTGGATGCCGAGGGGGATCGAGGTCTCCCAAACAAGAGCTGCGATTTGCCCCAATGGAACCGCTGATAGAGTCACTTTGACCGCAGCACGTACATCAGCAAAACTCTATCAACGTGCTGCATACCCAGCACCTTCGACACCCAACCCCGACGTTATGGGATCGCGGAACTCTATGGTATTACCAAGACGTGGCTCTGGCCCAATGCCATCACTCCTTCAGGGCGCAACTGGGACCATGAATCCCCAGCAGCGTCGGACTTCGTATGTCAACTCGAACCAGGAGGCATCTACTGCTAGTTCCAGTAGACAATTGGAAGAAGTGTCTACCCCCCAAGCCGGTCCTATCCCCAACGTGTCGGGTAGCAGATCGCAAGCACCATCATTTCATCATTTGATCACTCTCACTGATACCGTTCATTCATTGAATAATGATGCTCCTATGGCTGTGCGACCGCCGTCTGGAGAACCTCAAGCCTCCATGTCGAATACGAGATCGTCAGACATCCAGGGAAAGCAGAGGAGAATACGAGCTGGTCTCAGTATATTCATTCCTCCTCGTCTCGCCTCCCCGCCGCCTCCATATACGCCCGAAGATACAAGTCCCTTTCGGTTCTCACCTTATGAGTATTCTCCGTCGGAATATAGAGTCGATACAAGGGTAATGGGTGACTCTTTCATCACTGCTCCAAGTCCAATCGCGCTTCCGGCTCGGCGTGGTTCACGACCTCTTCCGGCCGTTCATCGTCCATCAATTCTGGGCGAGCGAAATCATTCTAGATGGTTCTCGACATCGAGGCTACTCGACGACCACGTTATATGTCACCAATCAACCTCAGGATTCATCTCTCGACCGCGGGGTCACAGTCTTAGCGCTGGACAATACTGAAAGGTGTTGGCCAACCCTCCGTATCTTTGTTAGAGACAATATATTTCGGGTGTAGAACACAGTCATTTTCATCTATACAGTCCAGCCCAGACGCACGGCTTGAGCAACGAGAGCATGGATCGTTTCCTCCCTTGAATGAGGCGTAATTCCAAATATTCTCTTTGCCTTGGCATCCGAAACGATATGAGTCGCAGAAGCGCCGTCACCAGACCCGGGGGTGCCCACAGGAAGGCTTAATCCATCAATAGGCTTTGCGTTAAGAATGTCAACTGTAAAAAGATGAGCAAATCGATCTTCGTACGAGGGGAAAAGGGTGCATACGGGCTTCCTGCCAGCTAACGACGCCACTCATTATAAAGATACGCTCCCCAGCTGCCTCTGGTGTGACGAGAGCTCTCGTATGGGCAGCAGCGACATCTCGACAGTCGGCATAGGTGGTCGCTTCGAGGTATTCTTCTTTCTTCATTTCCCCAGATTTCGCCCTGGAGAGCGCAGATAAAATGACAAAGTTGGATGACTCAGGACGGATATGGTCTCGGCTATTGTAGCGAGATTCCTGGTGTAATGTTAACTATGCTCAAAGAAGAAGCAAAAGATGACATACACCCCATACCCAAGGTGGCAGGACCGTCACCAAATCGAACGCTGGTTGGTTCTCTTTCATGTATGCCCATGCCGCCTTTTCCGCAAGGACCTTGGATGCCATATATTTGACGAATGACGGGGTTTTGGAACCATACTGGGCTATGATTGCTGGTGCCTTGTCGAACCAGTCATTCTGGAAGCAAGTCAGAGATAGACAAACAGTATTCAGAGACGCACTTCGGTATAGACATAGCCCTTGTCATGCGGTTCAAGAAGTGTTACGATGGAGCTCGTCACAACAACGCGCTTGATATCCGTCCCATACTTTTGCGCAGCCTCGAGGACACTTGTCGTGCCTTTGACGGCGGGGACTACAAGCTCCTGGGGATCGGCCTCTGGATTCGAGGACATCATTGGAGATGCAGAGTGAACAATGGCGTCCACCCCTTTGACGGCGTCCTCGAATGCCTTTGAATCAGTGATATCTGCGACGGTAGTGAAAGTGAGTTTGCCGGTGTCAACGTATGACTTGAATGCAGAGATTAAGAGGGACGACTTTGAAGCAGAACGAACGGCTGCTCGAACGTTGAAGCCGGCTTGGAGTAAGTTGTCGAGAATTGCTCCCCCGACGAAACCAGTGCCACCTGATACGTTATTAGTACACGGCATATTACAGCTGTAAACACACCTGTGAGCAGGACGGTAGAGCTAGGTGTGACGGCTGGCATAATCGATAGACGAGGAAGTGCGTGACTGGCGTGACTGGTGATGAGGACTGCTGGAGACCTTCTTATATCGACCCAGATATCCGATTCGGATAAGTGGCAGAGATAGGGCTTACTTAATGTTCTTCTTTGTGAATAAATTGTTGCTCCGAATCCTTCGGAGCAGTACACAGGTGGCGACACGCGTACCATTCCAGTTAGAGGCTGTGGCAGATTCTTCCAATGTGATTAGCTAGATGGGCTGTCAGAACGCTCCGTATCTCGCGGAGTCTCACAGAGAGCGCCCAGTTCTGCCTAAGCTTCCGGAGTGAACGCAAATTTGCTTGATTCTCGGTGAATAAACACTGTGATTGGAGGGAAATCTATGGAGACCATCCGAAGTCGCGCGCTTGTGTGATGAAATCGAGAATCGTCACTTCCTTTGGCCGATAAACCATCTTCAGAATCCTTTCAGCTTTCTCTGCAGAGACATGTTGATCCGGAGTAATGCCTTTGCCGCTTCCAGGATTGCCTACGGGCGCAGCGAGACCGTCAAGCTTTGCCTGGTTGATGATGTCGACTAACCCAGCCGCTGTCAGTATGAACAATAAAAGAAGAAGAACTGAGCACTGACAGACTTCTTGCCACGTGACTGTGGCACCTTTGAGAACGATGCGTTCCCCTCCTGCCTCGGGGGTAGTGAGAGCGCGCACATGTCCCTCTGCAATATCGCGAACGTCGGTGATCTCGACAGCTGTCAAATAGTCTGATTCATTGAGCTGTCCGGATAGACCGCTAGAAATCTTGTTCAGTATCTCAAAGTGTGCTGTCCCTTCACGTATAGAGTCTGGGTTGCCTAGGATGTCCTTTCCCCATACGCGTGACGGGAGGATGGCGGTATAGTCGAAAGCGGGTTTATTTTCCTCGACCCATTTCCATGCAGCACGCTCGGACACGACCTTGGCCGCAATATAGATGAGCCCGCCTGTGGCCTTGACACCTTGCTCTTGTACAAGTTTTGGAGCAGTGTCAAACCAGTCTTTCTGTATGATTTTTCGGCATAATTAGGTGATATAACGGAGCGTACATACCTCGGTCTGCATGTACTTTCCCTCTCGTGGCTCCCAGAGCGTCACATAGGAACTAGTGGTGATCACGCGCTTAACGGTGCTACTCTTGGACGCAGCTTCGAGAATCTCGATCGTTGACCCAACGGTGGGAGTGATAATAACATCTGGATGTACTCCTGTGTTGTTCGTAGGCGATGGAGCTGCGCAATGGATGATACCCTCGACGCCTTCAATGGCCTCAGCAAATGCAGCAGGGTGCGCGAGATCTGGGATAACAACAAAGGTCAAGCGCTTTTCCTTGACGGCAGAGGCGAATGTCGCGGAAAGGCGAAGGCTTTTTTCCTCTGATCTGGCCACTGCGCGAACAGAGAACCCTTTGGCAAGGAGGTTTTCGATAATGGCAGCTCCGATAAATCCGGTACTACCTATGCTGATTTTCAGTCGATTGAGAGAACTCTGCGTTCATGTGCATACCGGTGACAAGGATGAGAGCTGGTGGAGTGACGACCGTCATAGTCCGCAAGTCGAGTTGTGATTTCAGTTGAATTTGACAATCACATAGATCTGTGGTCTCCTTTTATGTTTCCAGGAGATGCGCTGAGGCGCGTCTGCTGCTTGATCATGCTGAGCAAGTTTGAGAAAATTTCAGGGCATATAGTTGTCAAGATATTCCACGAACAACTTTGTGCCCGCGCAGTATTTGTGGTATTTTGCGCACTAACAGTCAGCATCGGCCCTGGACTGCATTGAGGAACAGGTTCGCTCGCCGGTGAGGGATTTATCAGCGAAGACCTGCACTTGATGCAAGATCCAATATTTTGGCTCGAGAGCGTTGGGGAACAAGCCAGGGAACCACCGTCACGCGAGGAGTCGAGCGACGAGCAAGAATCTAGATTCTAGAAGGAAATAATTATTGACCAGGTAACTCCTTTACTAGCCATCGATGTCATGCACTGGATCCTGGAGCTGACCTCGCTCGCCGTTACACCCTCTTTGCATTCAACAAACACGCCAATAAATGTCAACCTCTTGACAGAAACTAGAAAGTGCTGAGAAGGCTATTACCTTCCATTCATCTTGCGGCTGGGCCCAATCTGCAGTCTACCGACTCCACGATTGCGCTCCCACAGAGATCCCTCGCCGAATGAGGATTGCTAGTGGATTGTGTCTTTACGAAGCCTCTTTCCGTTGTCCTATATCTCCTCACTGATATTCCGACGGCTGGCAACGGAAGATCTGTACGCTCTTACTTCAGAACGTCACTGGACGAGTTAGGATTCATGGCGGTTTTGCGGATGATTCGATCGTCTCAATTTGCTTTACGGGTTATGGCGCTCCTCTATTCTGCCTTTCAAATATACTGCCGGCGATTATATGGAATCGCAAGGCGTTCTCCGAAGGTAGAGGAGGACCACTACCCAAACTACTATTTCTAAACGGTGCTCCAGCTTTGTGTCGCCAAGCCTCGAGCACAGACGCTTTTCACAGTCTGCAATGTGCCGAACAAGTATAAGGCCGTACCTTGCGGGGGCTGTTAATTCGTGTAAGTGGTGTGGTTGCGCCAGACTCATCCTGCGCGCTTGTTGGTGGCGGTCATAGAGCTCAATCCAGGCGTCGGATTTCCTTTTTTTGGGTGGTATATCCCGCGCTCTCCGATGGCCTCCTAGACCGTGCTCATATAATTATTTATACCATTCTCTCTGATGGGCGGCGCCTTGGGCACGGGGAACCCAGTTAATCACTATCTTGCGACTTTGCGCTACTATTAGTGCACTCTTCGTCGCACTGCCCCTCACTCGACAACACTGCATTCTTCAGATCAAGTAGATTTGTATTAGTACATAGCTTGATCAATAACCATGATAAGAACATTGTATGTACCAGGAAACAGCCAATCACATCCCAAAGAGGGTGTATGGAACACATAGCATAACTTGGCTTGTTTGACAGGGCAGAGGCGGCGGTCGTGAGCTCAAAGTGGATGGCAAACGGCTGGTCGAGAGTAATGGTATGCACATTTAGAATCGTTTCGACGACTAGGTCCACCTCGATGTCTGTCAGAGGTGCAATTGGTTGTGGTGTTGGTACTTGTGGACAGGGGTTTGCGGTCGGTTGGGTTGACGCGACTGGTAGGGAACAGGAGATGAAGGCCGGCTCGAGGACGAAGGCGACTGTGACACATTAGCGGGGGACTGGGGTCACTGAATCTGGCCAGTAACCCTTTTTGGACATGTGGAGGAAGCGCCGACTGGATGGGAGGAGGGGGTGCTTGGGGAACACGCCTGGATAGCATCTGATAATTTTCAGAGGCACAAGAGACTATACAGAACACTCAACGATGTAAGGAGTCTCCCTGGCTCTCCAAACGTTGTTCGACAGGCAAGGTCTAGTCGACCCAGAGGAATGACCACACCGGGAGCCGTTTTAATGAGAAACCGGGGAACAACCGCAGGTATCAAGGTGTATATGTACTGGAATGTATCCTGTGGCTGGACGAGGGTCTTAGGACCCGTAAAGGCCTGACGAGCTTCGATGCTCGACTCGTTAGCATCCGTAAAGGTCCAGCCATCCACCGGCTTGAATTCTAATCTCTCAAACCACATCGATTCCTGTGTGAGGTTCTGAACGTCGATCTGTAAGAAGAGTTTCTCGCGTTCAACTCTGGACATGAGGGCAGAAGGCGATTTTGGTGTGTGAACCTTGGTCTTTACGGAGAATGGATTTGACACAGGAAATCGATAATGCTTCCTGAATAGTTGTGCTCGCGGGTCTGACGGATCGTCGGAAGGAGCTGGTGGCCGCAGTCCAGGCGGCACTCGATAGTTGACCGAGTTCCTTGATCTCAGACTGGATGACGCCTTTGAGTGTTCTGGATCAACACTCACGTTGAGAGCGGCAACCGAGCGCTCGTCAGAGATGAATGACTCCAAACTGCAAAAGTGATAATAATTCTAAAACAAAAGGTAGCTCTCATCTCTGTAATCGGGCCAGATGAGCCCGTAAGATCGGATTGGCCCGGGTCGAGAAACTGAGCCACCTGAGAGATTCGAACGGCCGACCTCTCGGAGTAGGAAGGGATTGAGACCATCTGTGCGCCACCAGACTGTCTGCTCCATATTAGGGGCAGTGCAAAAAGTGAAATAACCAAAGAATTCAGCATCTCAGCAACGGTCCTGCCAAAGTAAGTTTCTAGATTGGAAACTATGTGCGTTGAAGACAAAATCAACATAAATGCCTAGAGATCCAGTACATTATGCGGGCAAGAGGACCGCCTGCGGAGAGATTTAAAATTCACTGGATTATGACTAGGAGTTGAAATTTCTCCATCGTCTCCTGAAGGACAATAGAGCATATCTTTGGGAGCAGGAGTAATCATTAGATTAAAGTGCGTTTATTTCTCTTATTTTATCCGTACAACTCAACCGAGCACTAGGGACCATGATTCAATCGAAATTATATGAATTAAACGTAGATTGTCGCGCATTAGAGTCGTCAAAGGGAGGTCACCCGAGGACAAGTGTGGCGCTCCATCTTGACCACAAACCATTCAGAGCCGTGCGGCAAACAGTGAGCAAACTGTCTGAATAATAGACCATAATATCTATACGCTATGTCAACCCTAACCTGGTATGTTTACTTCGCCGGTGCTTTTCAGGTGCCTTTAACGGGGAGCAAGAGCTGACGTTCACCGTTAATTCGATTTGCTATCGTATCTAATATGGGATTATACCTGGATTACGTCACTACGCTCTCACTGCGATACTTCACAACGCGCTTGGTCACCACCCTCAACTCGAACGATGGATTCATATGTGTTGTCTCACCCATCGTTTCGTATATCGGCTCTCCAAATACTTTGGAATACAGGGATTATGTCCTCAAGTTTGTATTGATCGGCGACGCGGCAGTCGGCAAGAGCAGTCTGCTCGTACGTCTCACCGACCAGCGGTTCTTGACGAACCCAGACGCTACTGTCAGTAAATCTTGTATATATAGCAAAGATTCGCTCATTCACGCGCTTTCGTGCTCTTATACGTTTGACGTATCATCCCGGACGCAACGTGCGACATGCGCATGTAGTTGGGCGTCGAATTCGGCAGCAAGCTTATCCATATTCCAGACGAAGATAAGACTATCAAACTCCAATGTATGTTTCGAGATGTTTAGACGGGACCAAGGCTGATATTCCTGGGTACTAGGTTGGGATACCGCCGGCACCGAATATTTTCGTTCTATCACGCGCTCGTATTATCGGGGAGCGGCTGGTGCATTGCTCGTGTACGACGTGACGAACCGCGCGTCGTTTGAGCACGCAGAGGACTGGCTCAAGGACGTGAGGGAGCATGCTGATCCAAATATGACGTGCATTCTCGTCGCGAACAAGGTGGATCTCGTCGGTGACGAAGACGAGGTCGCGACGGCGAGCGCAAGAGCTAGTTTAGATGTTCCTGCGGATGGGAATTCTAGGAAGAGTATGGATGGAACAAGCACGATTGGACGACGGAGCAAGAAGAGGAGAGAAGTTTCAAAGGACGAAGCACAGGCGTGGGCACAGGAGCATGGTAAGAATACGAAATTTATGTTATAGTCTCTGACCCTCTTCAGGCGTCCTGTTTATCGAGGCCTCTGCAAAGACAGGAGTCAACGTGGAAGAGGCGCGTATGGTCAGAAGAGACCGTCCGGGTGCTAACATATTGTAGGCGTTTGATCAAGCGGCACGAGATATTCTGCGAAAGATCAAGCAAGGAGTATACGACGATGGAAGTGTACGTATTTCGTTTGAGTTTGTCGAGTCGTGGCTGAGCCGGTTTATGTAGTCTGGTGTCAAGTCTGGCAAGTCTGGTGCGAACCGAAAGTCGAATGTGAACCCCAACAATACCCTGTCTCTGGAAACGGCACCTCAGCGCAGCGGGTGCTGCTAGCGATACTATCCGAGCGCTCGTTTCCTTGGACATTCCGCCTTGATAGCCTATTGTGTACCTAATGGAAATATTCACATGAAGTCTGAATTTGAGCCGTCTTTAGTTTTTGCCGTGATTGGTCTCGACTTGCCTCGACCAAAGCGAGAATTTGGATTTCGACCGCAACCATTCGCTTGATCCAACGTTGGCCCCTACGCACACGCACAGAAGGCCTCTGAACACCTTCTTTGCGCACGAAATCAACACTCGAGAAGACCTTTTTTTGCTACCTTTCGACGTCTAGACGATGCAGGCCCTGCGACGGGTAGGCGCGACGACGTTGAGGACGAGCAGCACGACGCTCTCGACGTCCCAGACGCTTATCGCCTCCTTTTCGACCTCTAGCAGCGCTCGTTCTCCCGCCCCGTCATCATCTTCATCGGCGTCGCATGCCGCCGCCGTCAGCAACAGCTCGTCTGGTGCCGGCCAGAGTATCATCCCGCTCTCCAACATCCAAGCCCAGTGGGACTCTATGACCGAGCAGGAACAGTCGCTCGTTCACCGACAGCTCGAGACGTTGCAGGCAAAGGACTGGAGATCACTCAGCTTGGACGAAAAAAGAGCTGGTCAGTCTCCGTTTATTTCCACTTTTTTTATTTGCCTTGTCGGCCATGGGCCATGCATTTCGACATGCCGTCGGGTTTTTCAGAGCGTGTCGCGTGTTTCCCAAACGATCAATCTCCACTTGTGGCTCTCTGGAATGCTCACGACACTTTTCATGCAGCTTACTATGTTTCCTTTGGTCCTCATGGTGCTCGTGTGCCGGTCACAAAGGCTGGAGAACCTAGCAAGGTGGCCCTCGCAGTCGTTGCACTGCTCGCGGTCAGTAGCGCTCTTTGGGCAGTCGCTCGCTCCAGTGGTGCGTAGTATTCTTATCATCCTTTTACTTGGTTCCACTGACACACCTTGTGTAGCCAACCCACCACCGAAAACATTGACCAAGGAATGGGAGCAGGCTGCTACGGAGAAGGCTCGTGAGGCCAAGATCAACCCTATCACTGGTATGTCGTCTGTCATTACGACATTGCTCTCCTCACGCATCGACAGGTCTCTCCTCGGAGGGCTACAAGGGCAAAGGCTTTGTACAGAGCAAATAATCCTACTCTTTCTCGAATTCTTATTGTATCGCTTTCTCTCAAAACTCTGGCTGTGTCAATTCGTCCACCATTGAACGAGTTGAAAACGGCGACCGTATGTCCAGACGAGAGTGGCTCGGAGGAGTCGGAGTGCATCAAATTTGGAGAGTTTTCGTTTGCAGCTCAAATGCTGCTGTTTTATAGATGGAGCGATAGCATTTGTAGACAGAAAACCACGTTAGGCTCAATCCTTTTTCGTCCAACGTTTGACATTGAACTTGACATGGTGATCCGTTGGGCATTTGAGATTCAAGCAAATGCATACGATCTAGAAGAGTTGCCTCGTTTGAATCATAGATACATGTCCGCTCGCCTCGTTGAAAGCGAGCTGCAAGTAGTCAAAGGTTCTATTTCTCCGAAGTAGGATTGAGATACGTCTGATTGGGAGTGTAAGCAAACCGCGTCGAAAAAGCCACGAGGACAAAACAAAATCGAGCCGGGCGAGGAGACGAAGAAGCGATCCCAATAGATCGGAAGACGTTTTCCGAGCTTTGAGAGCTTCTAAGAAGAAGAAAAGACGACGAACCTGCTGGCCACCTTGTCCGTTTTCCCACTTTTGGTACCGCAACGTCGTGACGCCGCGCTTTTCAGCCGCGAGACGGGGTTGTTCCTTGAGTGCGTTGCGAAGTGCGCGTGCGCATACTTGAGCAAAGTGGTTGTAGCTGTATGCCGTCGGCGAGGAGAGAAGTGATTGTCAGCGACAATGTTTTTGAAGCCGAGGAGAAAATGATAGAAATTCAGAAAGGATATGTAGAGTATGTAGGTATAGCAAGAAGTTGTACCGACCCAAAGTGAGCACTCCAAGTTGCTGGCGGGATCATGGTCGAATCTGGTCGAGTTCAAGGTTGCCTTCCACCATCACCGTCGAGCCGCATGATTTTCAACCATTATGATACACACGTTTTGCTTAAACTAATATACCTGGTACAAAAAATAGCAAGAAAACGCTCTATCTTGTATCATATCCAGTCCTTAGATGCTTCAAGCGTTACATATAGAACAGAAGATAGATTGACATTGAACAGAAATGGCAGCAATTCATTGAGTAGCGTCTGTTCGAACTTCTGTCCAGGAAGAGCCACATCGGAAGCGAGTGAAATCAAGGTGGGTCGCGCGGAAGCTGCCCTCGGTCGGAATATTGAGAAGTAGACGTGGGTGTCGTAGTCCACGTCGATTTTCTGGTGGCACCCAGAAGAGAAGTTTGCCGGAAGATTGTACCCAGCCATCGGGTAAAAGTGAGCACCGTCTGAATCCAGGTATTCGGATTTTCAGGGGTTCGCCTAAATCTTGCGTCAAGCCAGAGTCTGCAGCATCGTCCTCGTCGCATTCATTCACAACAGTTTCTAATATGCTCATTAGCTTGCGTCACATCGTTGGCAATAACCTAGTGCACACTCACCAATGGCTGCATCCCATAGCCGAATCGTCTTGTCACGCGAACCAGAGACGATTCGTGAGCCGTCTGAAGAGAATGCGACGGCCTCACCCAATCTTCGTGGCCTCGCAATGGCTCTCCGAGTGACTGACCAGTATTTGCATCCCATAGCCGAATCGTCTGGTCATCCGCGCCAGAGACAATTCGTGAGCCGTCTGGCGAGAATGCGACGGCCGCCACCCAATCTTCGTGGCCTCGCAATGGCTCTCCGAGTGACTGACCAGTATTTGCATCCCATAGCCGAATCGTTTTGTCACCCGCGCCAGAGACAATTCGTGAGCCGTCTGGCGAGAATGCGACGGCCCTCACCCAATCTTCGTGGCCTCGCAATGGCTCTCCGAGTGACTGACCAGTAGTTGCATCCCATAGCCGAATCGTTTTGTCACGCGAACCAGAGACGATTCGTGAGCCGTCTGAAGAGAATGCGACGGCCGCCACCCAATCTTCGTGGCCTCGCAATGGCTCTCCGAGTGACTGACCAGTATTTGCATCCCATAGCCGAATCGTCTTGTCACCCGCGCCAGAGACAATTCGTGAGCCGTCTGGCGAGAATGCGACGGCCCTCACCGAATCTTCGTGGCCTCGCAATGGCTCTCCGAGTGACTGACCAGTATTTGCATCCCATAGCCGAATCGTCTTGTCACCCGCGCCAGAGACAATTCGTGAGCCGTCTGGCGAGAATGCGACGGCCGTCAACGAAGATTCGTGGCCTCGCAATGGCTCTCCGAGTGACTGACCAGTATTTGCATCCCATAGCCGGACCGTCTTGTCCAACGAGCCAGAGACAATTCGTGAGCCGTCTGGCGAGAATCCGACGGCCGTCACCGAATGCTCGTGGCCTCTGAGTGGCCTTTCCAACGAATGATCAGTGGGTAAATCCCACAGCCGGACCGTCTTGTCCCACGAGCCAGAGACAATTTGTGAGCCGTCTGGCGAGAATGCGACGGCCGTCAACAAAGCTTCGTGGCCTCGCAATGGCTCTCCGAGTGACTGACCAGTATTTGCATCCCATAGCCGGACCGTCTTGTCCCACGAGCCAGAGACAATTCGTGAGCCGTCTGGCGAGAATGCGACAGCCTCAATTGGTTGCTTATGATCTCGGAGTGGCTCTCCCAACTGCTGACCAGTGCGTGTACTCCACAACCGAATGGTGTTGTCCCACGAGCCGGAGACAATTTGCGAGCCATCTGGTGAAAATGAGACGGCACGGACGGAGGATTCATGACCTTGGAGTGGCTCTCCCAACATTTGCCCACTGAAAGCGTCCCACAGTCGAACGGTCTTGTCGTGGGATCCAGAGACGAATTTTGACCCGTCTGGCGAGAACGCGACAGCTATGACTGCGGATTCATGGCCTCGGATTGGATTGCCTAACGGCTGACGAATACCTGCATCCCACAGTCTAATTGTCCTATCTGTTGAGCCAGAGACAATTCGCGAGCCATCTGGTGAGAATCCGACAGATTTCACCCAATTTTCGTGACCACAGAGTGGTTCTCCCAGTAGCTGGAATGTTTCTACATCCCATAACCGAATTGTCTTGTCATCTGAGCCAGAGAGAATTTTGGTGCTATCGGGAGAGAATGCGATGGTGTTGACTTCTTGTAGATGCCCCCGGAGTGGCTCTCCCAGTGGCTGACATGTGTCTGTATCCCACAGTTGAATTGTCCGGTCTCGCGACGCAGAAGCAATTAATGAACCATCTGGTGAGAAGCAGACCGCCTCCACTATATCTTTGTGACCTTGAAGACTACTGGGCCTGGAATACGTTTCCTCGAGTCCAAAAGTAACATTTATGACGTTATTATACCATTTTGACCCTCTCTTACGCAAGAGGGACTTCTTAGGGGTGAATGGAAGCGCTGAAATATAAATGTGTGCAGCGCTTTCCTGAATTGGCGCTGAGAATGCCATCGTAAAGTGTCGAATCTCGGTAATTCCGCTTTTATATTTTGATTCAACTATATCATGTGTCAATGCTATAATTCATCATCCAGATAGACCACTTACTCCTGTATGGCGTGAAACAGATCGAAGACCACGGATCAATCGCGGTATTCCTCCCGTGATACTCAGAATCTCTATCCAGTTAAGCACGTATGGGATTTGTATAACGTGTCTAATGTCATTTTCGAGTATCCGTCGCCAGTTGTCGTCCGTTTCCGCCACATGGAACAACCAATGGTAGCTCACATATCGAAGTGCTGTTGGAATGAATTTTGATATCCTGGCATCCAGATCCGGGATCTGACTGTTTAAGTAGAAGGAAGACTCTATCCGACAAATGTTGAACTTGAGTCCATCCTTCCGCGACTTGAGGCGTTGGAAGCACCACGATGCGATTTGACCGTGTGCATTGCCGACATTGATATGAAAGTTGCTGTGACTATCAACGACTGGTGATGTGGAACGGCGTTTAAGGTATTCGACGAACGTGGGATGACGAAAATGGATCAGGTTCGTCTCATCTCGGGTGACTACGCTTCCAAGGTTCCGTATGAGGGCCTCGGCACTTCCACCAATTTTGGTATGCTTCAGGAGATCATCTAAATCACCGACAGTGAGCGGTTCAAATGCAGCGAGCAGCAACGCGAGTATTTCACGTGTCGTTAAACGGCCCTCGGGGTCTGTACGCTCCAAGAGGAGATCGTATACGTCATCGATGACTCCAGGCTGTTCCACGGAGATTAGGCGATTATATATGTCCTCTGGAGAACTCCATCTGGTTTCGCTAGTGAGCATTCGGCATGCAGTGCTTGCCCAGATAAATAGACCGTCGGCTTTTTTGACCAGTCGTTGCCTATTGTCCTCCGATAGGACTCCGTGCAGCAACTGATCCACATAAACCGCAATGTCATCAGTGTTGTCAAAGTGGTCGACATCGTGGAGGCGATCTTCCATCTTTTCCAACTTTCGTTTGATCGAAAGTGGCTGCAAAACCGTTTCAATTGCGGGGTCGGGTCGACTTGTTATGAAAATCTTGAGGTTCGTACTCTCTCGAGTGGCTGTAGCGAGTGCTTCGAGCAGTTCCTTTCGCTCTCGTCCCGCCTTGCATTCGTCAACGGCGTCGATGACGAGTATCACCCGCTTTTTTCGATTGCGTATTGGACCGGTGATGAACGTGCGAAACTGTTGACAAAGTGAAGTTCTCATGATAGCCGGATGCTGCGTCACGGCTTCAGTGATATGCGGCGCGAGTTCAGGCATGTGATCGGCGAGTTCTCTGGCCATGGTCGGGCAAAACTTTTCAGTGGTCGACGCTTCACTGTCGGCCATTGAGAAGAAGAACTGGCCCCCTAGCGTTCCCTCTGCTTTCCATATTGCCGCTGCGGACATTGCGACAGTGGATTTTCCGGAGCCTGCTATGTCGCATAGCCAGAATATTGGTGTGTGCGACGTATCATCCCCGGCCCAGTGCGAGATAGTCTTCAGAACGGCCTGGCGCGTTCCTTGGAGACACGTAGTATGAACTGAGGAGGCAACAAATGCTACCATCGGGAGCTGGAGTATCGCAGAGTTGTCAACTTGAAATAGTTAGTAATCTTCCGAACACGAATTCTTGTTTACCATTTGCGAGGATGGCCTTATTATCCCTTTCGACAGCTTGAATACGGTATGCGGTGAACAAGCTCAGTGCATCCTGTTCTTTGTGTAAGATTACAAAAGCGGTCAGGACAAAGTTCGTACGATGAATTTCCTATGCTGGTCTTCGATATCCCGATTGAATTTACGGATGGTATCCGCATCGAGCATCACTTTGCTGACTTCGGTCAACTCGTTAAGACCGCTGCGCTTTCGCTTATGCCTCTGATTTGTGATATTTCTATGAGACTCCTCGAGAAAGCTATATTTGTTAGTACTCTTTACCGGAACTGACGTTTGGACGTACTCCACGTAGTCAGTGAGTGGTCGGCTGAAGGCCTCGTTGACTTCCCTATCCTCGGGAGGATATTTCGCGAACGATTCGATCTGGTTTTCGATAGCTAACATGTACCCTTCCATGCGTTGCGTCAGGTCAGCCCACCCTTCTTGGTTATTGTCGACAGCCTGTTACATTCATCAGATGACACTATGCCAGTCGCACAAACTAACCTGCATATTATCGAGGATCAATTTCGTCGTTCTACAGGCAGCTTTGAGAGGGGCGAGTATATCTGAGGATTCGGCTACGTTCGCAGCCGCCTCAAGGGTGATGGCAGCCACGCTATAGGCTTGACGCCTTTTACGTGATGGTCCACCTTTGAAAGGAGATGATCCATCGGGATTCATGATCGTGTTATTGGACGTGGCCGGCGTTTTGGAGGATATATCAAGGCGGATGGCTCCAAGTTGGTTCGGCGTCTGCCACCCTCCATCTGCCAAACAAATGTGACAAAGACCACACCGATCCTGAATATCACACCTGTCTATCTCTGATAGAGCATTTCAGTATGCTCGCGAATGGAAACAATCAGCGGGTTTGCCTTATTGTCACTCCGTTGAATCACATTCAGATATGTGAGATGAGAAAATCAAGATAGAACCATATCTCTACTGAATATTCATCTAGGGGATGACAGAGTTCACTTGGGTACGCTAATGGGCTCGCAGCATTCGTATCGCATGGGATCAGGTCTATAAAGAGAAAAATATTATAGAGTGTACTTTCCGAGATTCTAGACAGTCTTGATGCTTGGAGTGGTGGGGAGCAGCGTCCACTTAGCCCAAACTTTCTTGAACCTGACCTCGACACCCGCTTTTCGCATTTTCCAACCGCTATCATGAACTTTGACGCATTCACTGGGTGTGTACATCTCATGATCCTCATCGCGTTGTCCATTGCCCAGACGCTGACAACTGGCCGCGTCGTTGATGTTGGCGACGGCGATGGGAACCAACAGCAAGACATGCCGCATCATTTCGAAGCAGAACATTCGCTACTCTGGTATAATGCTCAGCATTGATGCTGTAGCTCAGAAGATTCGCGTAACCGATGGTCAGTCCTCCGTTGAGCCTGTGTGATGGATTGGTAGGCTGACGCTCATCTCTATCATCACAGTAAGATGTTATGGAACGGAAGATAGACCGACAGACATGTTTGTGCCTCCAATGGCCCATTCGTTTGGACTCATCGAGTTCAACGTGAGCGATCTATCGGACCTCAAATTCGAGGATCCTATCCCGGCACCTGAACCTGTAAGTTTGATCTTCCTGTTTCCTAGTCCTGATGAAGCATTTGCGGATGTAAATGAGACCTCAAAGAGGCTCGCTGTCCGAGAGCGCATAAACCCCATGTGGATCTTTCCGTTGCCTTCCTTCTGATTCCCATTTTTTTACTCTGTGTCTTTCGAGAGAGGCATAGATACTCATCTTTGCCAGCAGACCGCACCTCCACCATCCGCAGCGGTGGCAAATCCGCCGGTCGCACCACCACAGCAGACCCAGTATCAACAACGTCCGATGCAAGACAACAAGCCTGTACAACAGCAACAACCAGCAGCTCCCCCCACCGCTCCCGCTGCCAACTTTAGCGCAGAGAAAGCAATGCCACCAGGTTTCTCTGGCCACCAACTTCCTAACCAACAACAAGCGAGCGTGAACGCTTCTCAGCCTCCTCGTCAGCAACAGAATAATACTGATTCTCGTGAGTATTTGTTTCTCCGTCGATTTATCCCAGTCGCCAATGTTCCTTTACAGTTACTCGCTCCATGGGTGCTATGAAGATTAACAACGGTCAACACGGCGGTCCTTCGCCCACAGGTGGGCAAGCGACGGGCTCGGCGCCACAACAGGGTGGTCGCGGACAGAGCAATCGCCGAGGTCGCGGTGGAAGGCCAAATGGAACTCACCATGGCCAACATCAACGTGCTGATCTCAAAATTCCCTCCACCGACTTTGATTTCGAAGCAGCGAATAACCGGTTTGACAAATCCGCTGCAACCAAGCATCATCAGCTCCTTCAAGGGACGACACCTCCAACCGTTAATGAAGAGACGCCAGAGGAGCCCAAGAGCGCAGATACTAAAGAGGACAAGGGCTACAATCCCACCAAGTCCTTCTTCGATAATCTTTCTTCCGACTTGACCGCGAAAAAGCCTTCGAATCGCGGCGGCACTGCTGGACGTGGTGCGGGCGAGGAAGGAGCTGGTGGACGCGGCCGTGGTCGCGGTCGCGCTCGGAGAGAAGAAGAACGCGAGAAGAATGTCGAGACGTTTGGAGAACCTGGCGGCGTTGGCTTGATGGGACCAGGTGCTTACATTGGTGGCTATGGAGGACAACGCGGCAAGAGGAGACGTGGAGCTCCTCGTGGTGGTGGACGTGGCGGAGGCGCACCCAGAGTGACAGCAGTAAGTTTTTCTCGATCGCGGTCTAAACGCAACTGACCAACTGGCAGCAGAATAGCTGAATTGCGATACACGACGCGTTCACATCATAATCACATGATAAACGCCTTGCCGCCATATTCGGCAAACCTATTCTCCATCTCCTTTTCCGCTCCGACATTCATTCTGACTCGTCCAGCGTGACATCCTGGCCGCGGCCTCTCTCTCATCTTCCTCGTTTGTACCTCTCAACCTCTTTTCATGTCTTGGCGCGTTCGTCTGTGATTGTACGATCTCCGTAGCCATTGGCTCGACATCTGTAACTGTTGCGCTCGCTAAAGACAAATCCTACTTTTTACACATACTCAGAAGTGCTGGGGTTAATCCTGTTGATCATGTATTCCAGTCGTCTACTGACATTACTTGAGCTTCTCGGTGAGCTCTGGAACGATATCATACAAGTCTCCAACGAGACCGACATCTGCCACCTGGAATATCGGTGCATCAGGGTCCTAAGTGCGTATGAGAATGCAGTCAGACAGAAGTGAAAGCGGCGAACCTTGTTAATAGCAACAATCATCTTGCTGTCCTTCATTCCGGCCAAATGCTGGATTGCACCGCTAATTCCGATGGCCATATACAGCTCTGGGGCAACAATCTTGCCAGTTTGACCAACTTGGAGACTGTTATCGGCATAGCCGGCATCCACAGCTGCACGACTCGCGCCAACGGCTGCACCAAGCACCTCTGCAAGTGGCTCCAGTGTCTTCTGGAATGTCTCTTTATTCTTCAACGCACGTCCACCCGACACAACCTTTTTGGCTGTGCCCAAGTCTGGTCGATCTGATGTCGACACCGACGTCTCGAGATGCTTTGTCAACTCTGCATTTTCCTCGACGGCCTGAAACTCTTTGACCTCGACTCCCTCGGCAGACGCACCGTCGGAGAGGGGTGCAAAGGACGTTGCGCGAACGGTGACGATTTTGAGCGGAATGTCTTTGCCTGCTCGGACGGTCGCAATGGCATTGCCAGCGTAGATTGGGCGTGTAAACGTTGTCGCGTCGTCTGCGCTAGAGTGCTCGACAGACGTCACGTCTGAGACGGCTGGGAGGTCCATGACTGCTGCTACGCGTGGTAGAATCGACTTGGCGGCAGAAGAATGCGCGGAGAAGAAGTGGGTGAATTTCGAGTCGGTCAACACGCTCTTGAACAGCGGTGTCAGTGTCTCTGGAAGCGGTGGGCTATAGAGAGCCGAGGACGAATGCAACACGGAAGATAGTCCTGGAAGTCTAGAGCATAACAATTTCAGTGACAGTAGTCGAGGTAAAGTGGACAAGACCAACTTTTTGACGGTTGGGAGGACCTTTTCGACCTCGTCTTTGCTCCCAATCACGATTCCAGTAATCTTTGCATCGTCTCCTGATCCAAGCTTTGATGCTGCAGCTAGCGCAGAAAGCGAAGCTGGCTCTACGACTCCGTTTGAGTGTTCGAGAAAGACGAGTGCATGTGTCGACGCCAATCTTCCGCCTCCCAGTGCACGTACAACGTGCTGAGAGTGTATTCTCGACAAATTCGACGTCGCTCGAAGCGTTGGCCGTAGTCTGTTAAAAGTTGACATGATGGCCGGAACCAAGTGTGATATGATTCAAGCTCCGGGTATGGAGTCGGCTAAGAGTGGGGGGTTCTTCTTCACATATCGAGTAGAATTTCGGTTTATTCCAGTCAATAAAGAAATCTATAACACTCATTTATCGACTGATCATACTGTCGCGAGCAGGTCCCACTCCTATCCATCCAATCTTGACTCCGAGGAAGTTTTCCACATATTCAACATATTCTTGACACTTCTTTGGAAGGTCTTCAAACTTGGTGGCTTTGGAGATATCCGACTTCCATCCTGGTAGGGTGACATATTCGACCGTGACTCGTCCGAGGAGGTCAAGGTCCGCTAGACGAATAGTTAATAAGAAGAACTAGCCTACTCCAAGGTTGAACGTACCAGGAAATCCGTCAAGATCCTTGCCATCAAGCTGGTACTTGACGGCTACCTTGATCTCGTCAAGTCCATCCAAGACATCCAACTTGGTGAGGTTGAGAACATCATAGCCGTTGATCATCGTAGAGTACTTGAGGACGACGAGGTCGAGCCAGCCACAACGACGCTTGCGACCAGTTGTAACGCCATACTCGTGGCCGACTTGTTGGAGTGTTTCGCCAATATCCTAGGTAAATGTGAGAAGGACAATGGATCGCATGGTGCGGCGCGTACATTGAGCTGTTCGGTGGGGAAAGGCCCTCCGCCGACTCGAGTCGTGTAGGCCTTGACAACACCAATGATACGACCAATCTGCTTGGGCGGAATGGCAAGTCCGGTACAGACACCTCCTATCGCAGTGTTCGACGACGTGACGAAGGGATAGGTTCCATAGTCGATATCGAGCATCAACGCGTTGGCGCCCTCTACCAAAATCTTCTTGTTCGCTTGAAGTGCTGTATGAAGATAGGTTACTGAATCGACAACAAAGGGCCTGAGCTTGGCAGCAAGGTCCTACAGGAACCATCAGACGAAACCTAGTGACGCGAGGAGGCATACCTTGTAGCGTTCAATCTCGCCTTCGGTGTCATACTCGAAATGACCATAGCGTTTGAATCGACCTTCGACAATCTTGCGGAACTTTTCGGCAAAGCTCCCGTCGAACAGATGGTGAACGCGAAGGCCAGAACGAGACGCCTTTGCGGAATACGCCGGACCGATACCCTTCTTGGTCGTTCCAATACTGCGGATCATTAGCTTCATACAAAGTTGGCAGGGAGAAGCCACGCACGATTTGCCACCCAGCTCGACCTCCTTCAAGCCATCGACGATTTGGTGAAAGTCGAAAACGAGGTGAGCACGATCCGAAATGAGAAGCCTCCCTTGGCAGTTGAGACCTGATAGACGTGTTATATGCAAACCAGATGTGATAGGGAGTCGAACCTTTGGATTCGAGCTTCTCCAACTCGCTAAAGAATGAAGGAACATGTACAACGACCCCAGATCCAATCAATCCAACGCAATTCGGGTTGATTAATCCTATCACCAATCAGCCCAAGTACCATTGCCAAGTCGACACTGACCGCATGGGAGGAGATGAAAATCCAGCATAGTCTTCTCATTGTTCGGACCCATTGGTACTACAATCGTATGGCCGGCATTGTTCCCGCCGGCGCAACGGGCGCAGATGTCAATATCCTGGGAGAGAATGTCGACGAGCTTGCCCTTTCCCTCGTCCCCCCATTGAGTGCCCAGCACGACCGTGACGGCTACAGTGCATGTGATTGTCCCAAGAAGTCGTCCAGACGGGCATTACGACGGCGCAGGAACGCATATGGACAAGCGATCCAGAGTAACGGCATAGATTAATACGATTGTGTGATTGAATCCATAAATGACGAGATGACAGTGAAATATCCGAGTCAGAAGACAGATTATGAGCTGTAAATGTCTCTACGCACGCATCGTAGCAATCTCAGATGTCGACTCGCTGATCCGAGAAAGTCCAAGAGAAAAGCCTTAACAAAAAAGGGAGATGGCGGAGTCCAAGGATCGATGGAGCAGCTCGCCACTTTTGCCGACCGTAATCTCGCTCAAAGTCCGACGCGGCAAATCTTGGGACATTGGGCTGCCGGACCAAGTTTACGAAACTAAGACTTGGTTTATTTTTACTCAATTCTCGAGTTAGAAGTCGAGTTTGCAAATCTTTAGCTTGGAATTCAGTTCGACGAGCAAGAAGTCGCGCGAAATCCTGGAAACAGGAGCGTGGAAGAGGAATGCATGAATGAACCATGAATGTCTCAATCTTGGATCCAACTGGCTGGTCCAATTGAGGGTCTAGAACGGTGTCAATGCCACAACTTTGACCTCTCCTCGACCGCAATTTCTGCAAAACAATCCAAAAAATATCTGGGAAGACCCCTCAGACTCGTACTTAATGTCCTTTTCATCAAAACGCCTGTCGTCCAACGGCGGCGTAAATGGATTTCTGCGAAAACATCCTGCCGCGTTCGGAGGTGCCTTTGTATTCCTTATTATTGGAGCAAGTCTTGCCATGACCTCCTTTGCGGACGTTGTCGTCGAGAAAAAGGATTCAAAGATCAGCGTGGTCAGTAAACCAGCCTTTCACGCGAAAAACATGAATTCACAAACGTCTGTTAGATCACCCACGATGAGGAGATCCGACAGAAACTGGGAACCGCTCGAAAGTTTGATATCCGGGAAGAATATTATGTAGGTTGTGGGCCAGAGACCTCGACGTGTATTGACTGTTGGCACAGCGACACTTTTCGAAGCATCCTAACGACGAATGGGACAACGTCCGCATACAAAGACCTGACAATGTCGCCGAATGGGGCGAAGCACAGCAAGACACGCGCAAAAAAGTCAAGGAACTTGTCAGAAAGTAGGGTGCCAAAAATCGTACTACGTGCTCTATCACATCAAGTCATATACAGAGCACAAGATTGACCTTGACCTGGCTAATGGGACCTTCGCCGCGACCTGTCAGTGGATGCGTTTGCGTCTTCCTTCGTCACAAGGACCGGTGATTCCGATCTGGAACGTGGTACCTTTGTGATCCTCTGCCACTTGGCAGATCTGTCATCCTTTTTCGCCGCAAACGCGACGTCTAGCGTTAAAATGCCATTCTTCTCCCTACGGTTCCTGCACAATGATGGGCAACACGTTTACACACAATACGTGGCGTACCTTATCAACACAAATTGCGCGTTGTTGTTTGGAATAGAGACTTCCGAAGCCAGAACCACCCCGAGGTAGCATGAAATCAGATCTCTCTCGCATGGTGTTCCGTCGCATATCCGATTCCCCGGCTGAATCAGTGACAATGACGCGGAAGAACTCGTAGAACTAGAAGAGGTCCGGCCCCATCGCTTCTTACTTGGGGGCGAAGTCTTGGAAGGTAGTCTACTAGGTGTTGGTCTGATTCTAACACTTGAGAGATGTACATACGGGGCATCAATGACGGCGAGGGATGTGAGACTTGGCCTTAGATAAAAGAAAAAGCGCCTGAAAATCATGATGGATGGGAATAAAACGGGTGATACGATGCCAAATCGATGAGAACAAAGTTTGCAGAGTAAAGCTGCCTATATATCGATTCGTTCCTGTGTAAGAGGTCCCAACCGATGTGTTGGCCCGGAGTGCAGAGGCCGACACGGGCAATGAGCAGTGTAGTGTGGGTCAAAGGGTTTCTGAAACTAGTTGAAAGCGCGGATATCATTAGGATAGAGATGGAGCATGAGCCGCTGGGCCGACGAAGTCTCGCTACACGTCTCGCTACTCGAGGTGGAATGTATTTTAAGCCTTTCCAATGTTCAAAACATTGAATGGTAAGACTAACCAAACTTTCAAAGTCAAACAGTAAGACGACCATATCCCGAGAATAGCCACAGCGACCTGCACTGCCCATGACTTGACGAATCGTTTCAATGTTGATATAGCAAATTTATAATGCCATGCAACTCGTTGAGAGCCCCGGTGGCCAGAGTCAAAGTTGAAGTGGTGCGCCTGGCATTACGCCCGCTTTTTCCAGGTTGCCCTCGCCCCCGCCTCTGCAGACTCCCTTGCCGCGTCGAATTTGAGCATCCCCTTTGATTTATTCTAATATACATTTTCGATTTCTAATACACATCCAATCATCATGTTCTCTTGCCGTTTCTCGTCGCTGTTCGTGCTCGTCGTTGTTGGCGTCGTCGTTGGCGGCGGTGTCCAGGCCTCGTCTCTCGCTCCAGGCCTCGTTGAGCGCACAAGCCACATCAAATCGGCGTCTTCTGGTAATGCCAACAGCTGCAATGGTGCGTTCACCTTTAGTCACCCTTTTCCTCATCGTGCTCGTTTTTGTGATGACCAGCGCTGATTTCTCGCTACTTTGCTGCAGTTGGCGAGGCTCAATGCTGCCAAACGATCTATCAAAGCCACGACCAGCGCGTGCAGTCTCTTGGAGCCCTCCTCGGCGTCGTCATCCCCATGGACGGGCTCATGGCGGGCGTTCAGTGCTCTCCTATTACCAACATTCTCCCCATTCTCGGTGGGACCAGCACATGTCGCGCACAGCCCGTTTGTTGCACCGGTAACGAGTAGTACGTCCCTCTTTACCCCCCCAAGATTTCCAGAGAATCTGACGGCATCCCATAGTTATGGTCTGATCAACATTGGGTGCTCTCCCATCTCACTGTAGTTTCTTCGTTTGATGACGTTTCGACCCTCTTCTGCAACATGGTGGAGATTGACGATTGATTGTACATACCCGCACACGAACGATCAATCACGCATTCCTCACTTCTTTCGTCTTTCTGAGCCGTCCCAAAGAGACTTTGACAGGCATCATCTGGTAAATGTTGGAGCATCTCGACCCCCTTGCAGCATCCGTCAACGTAATTTGAACTTCGATCAAGTAAATTCCTCTCTTCGGAATGCATATGCTAGTGGCGTCCTCCGCATCTTCGAGACACACTCTACGGCCCCGTTCGGCGATGGGGTTCTCGGGTTTCGGCTGGGCGACTCCTCGCTTCTAAGAAGGAGCCTCCGGTAATTATAAGAAGTATCATTCACTCTGACAGTACCGTGCCATCGGTGATTCTAAACGATGCAACGGAAGCATGGATACGGTGGAATCCACCGTACGAATCGACATTAAACGTTTCTCATTTGGGGATGTGAAGCTGGTTTGCACTGGGAACGCTTCCTCTGCGACTTCGGCGACTTGACAAGTCCCCTTTGGCCGTCAAGGAGATTCTACTTCACTCTTCTCGTCGAATTCAACCGTACGTACAAGATACCCCGTTGCGAGCCCGACCATGGCACGGGAGGACGACAGCGCACTCCTCTTGTGTCACTTTGATACCCCATCGCACAGTCCCCAACGTATCTGAAACACATGCATGACCGAGTCCTGCAAGATATAAAGCCCCCACGTTCGACGACACTGGTAAAGCATACAGGTCGAAACCCACCGCCTTGTAGTTTCCTCAACAGCAGCTCAAAGCTATCAAAACATGTTCTTCACTCGTTACCTCGCCTCCTTCCTCGTTGTTGCCGTCGCAGGAATTGCCAGCGTCAATGCTTCACCCATCGCGGAGCCCAACAATCTCGTCGAGCGCACGAATCCGCCTCCACCTCCACCACCCAGTGGAGGATGCAATGGTACGTTACTTGTTTGTCGTGGTGTCTGTTAGGTACTGAAAAGTGGTCTTGTAGTCGGGACTGCCCAATGCTGCCAGACGACGTACTCCAGCGGTGATCAGATTGCCAGCACCCTTGGCGGATTGCTCGGAATTGCCATCCCTGTCGATAATCTCTTTGTCGGTGTGCAGTGCTCTCCCATCGTGAATATCCTCGGTGGAAGCGACACGTGCAACACCCAGGCCGTCTGCTGCAACAACAACAACTTGTACGTTCATTCACGATATCAGAGTCACGATGGGAATACTAACGTGCTGTATAGCAACGGCCTCATCAATATTGGATGCTCGCCCATTTCCCTTTGAGTCGTGATTTAGTCATTCTTTTTAGATCATGTTGATGTGTGAATGATCTTGTTTACCTTTTTTGCCCTCGAGATGGTCAGAGATAAAAAAACACGTAGCCGGATAAACCTGAACCCCTCCCACATTTCTACCTATCTGGTCATTCTACATCTCGTCTAATTATATTCATGCAAACGAGTTCAAGTGCACCACTCGCACTGTCAAACCCGCTCGTGCTTGAGATCAGCAGCCTCAAGGCGGCAGTCGAGCGATATCAGGTCATTTCGCTTGTCTCTAGATGGTCGTCATTCTGATATATGAGCATCTAGCATGCAGCAGACAGCGCAAACATTCATCTACAACATCAGGCTTTGGATATTTCCACATTCTCTGCACGCTGTACGGCGTTGGAACAAGAGAACGCCATCTTACGTGCCGAAGTCGCACTCTTACGTTCAACACCCGAATCTTCATCAACATCTTCTTTAAGCAACAACAATCTTGCCGTCTCTGAGCTTACACTCGCGCTCCGTCGAGTATCCGAGCAGCTCGACCAGGCTGAAGAAGCTTTACGTGAGCATACAGAACAACTCGGCAAATCGAATCTCGTGAGAGCGCGGCTCAAAGTCGAGTTGGAGCGAGCAGAACAGGATGTGACGATGATTCGGGAGCGAGAGGAAGAGACGAAGAAGGAGTGTAGACGATGGAAAGCAGAGTTGGAGAAAAAGGAGGAAGAACTCAAAATGGTCGACCTCGTCGTGCGAGAGTATGCAGACCTCGTGCGTACTCTCGAAGGCCGGACGTCTGTGTCGTCTCAGTATCCGCGTGGTGCGAGGACGAGCTCGGATCGGAATAGGCTTGCTGTTGGGCATTCAAAGCAGTCGAGTCTCGGCTCGAGCGGCGCCTCGTCTTCCACTTCGTCCATCCCACATCAACATGGTACTGTAGCTGCATTGCAAGAAGGACGGATGGATAGTCTACATGAAGGAAGAATCGGTCTGCAAAGGCTGATGACCGAGTTTCACCACAAGACGGAGCAAATGGAGGAGGAGATATCACGCTTGCACGTTCAGATCGAGAAACTCGAAACCAAGTTAGTCGTAGCCGATGGATTGATGGAACGTGGCGTCAAGGAGCTGGCGAGCGTCAAGAGCGAGCTGGCCAGTGCATTGAGAGCGGACAAGAGTGCAGTCAAAATGGTCGAACGCTACATGTTAGTCGACATGGCCTCTACAAATCATCAATGTGACTAATCTGCATCTAGGAGCTTCTCGCAACAGTCATCCAACCTGTTACAGACCGCGATGCAAACTCAAAAAAAGCGACACGCTGCCACCGTTCTGACACTCGAGCAACAGCTCGAGACTTTGACGCGGCAGGTCGAACGTGAGAGGGCACTAGCGGACGAGCTCCGAAGTACTCTTGATGATTTGACGCTTGAAATTGCACGAGAGGCATTCGGGCGTCGACGAGAGATCACGCTGAGACTTGGACTGCTGGAGCGAGAGCGACAAGTGGCCAAAATGCTGGAGCGTTGGATCGATACACTCCAACGACGACATGAACAGGAGGAAGGGAATAAAGAGAGCCACCTAAGCGGGGCAAGAGAGATCCTTGCGGCTCTTAGGGGCGTAGATGCTCCAAAGGCGATGGATGAGGACAACTTTGTACGCGAGAAGCTGGTCCAGGAGATTGAGGGACTGAGAGCAGAGGTTCAAGAGGAAATGAATCGTCGCTTGGAGCTTCAGCGCATCATTTCAGGGTACATTGTTGCCGAGTCCAGAGGGGAGGCCCTCCCTTTGCAGGAGGATTCTGATCAGCAGCAAAGCTACGAGGAGCGAATGATGGTCAAGTCCCACGACCAGCCAGTAACAGGGCGAGAGGATTCTTCGGGACAGCCCGCGGCTATGGAGAACGCCACACGAGCACGCACGCCTTCAGCTCACTCGGCTAGTGACACTGCAAGCTTGGACTTGGAAGAGTATTCTCCAACTCCTCCGTCTGATGACAATGGAGTACCCGATCAAACAACATCACTTCCATCTGACAATCCTTCGGGCACGACAGAGCCTGCGACGACGACGGCGACCATCTCTCCTTCACATGCCAAGATGCCGCTGGAATCTGATGTAGATGAACACGCTTCGCAGACAGTTGCTACCATTCAGGGGCTCAAGAAGTGCGAACTGCGTTATGAAGATATACAAACAGCGCTCAACGACTGCCACGATGCTCTATCAGCACTCCAAGCCTCGGTTATTGAACGAACAAATGAAGGCAAGGAGAAAGGGGGGGCAATCATCATATTCCTGCCTGCGGCAGTGGAGCGACTTTACGACTATTGCGAGGATGCCAGAGTCGAATTGGAGATTCTCATTGCGGACGAGGCCAGAATTTCGCAGGGTTACGAAACACTGCTTAACCTACGAAGCGACAAAGAAGCAGGGTCAACGGGGCAGGAAGCATTGCTGGAGAAGATTGATGTCTTTGTCAAAGGGACGGATCCAGCCATCGTCAAAGCACGGAGCGTATTCGAAGGCAAACTCGAGAACCTGATGCACGACATTGCGACGATTAAGCGCGCCCTGCACGAAGACATGTCAACCCCAGACGGAGCTGAGGCGCAGACTGGAATTGCCTTTCCAACTGCTCAAACCGGAGATGAAGAACGGCCTGACCAACCCATGCCTATCACGATGGGATCATCATTATGGCAGACGATCGCGAACAACATCCCAACTCCTCGCAGTTCAAGCCCTGCACCTCGCGTCGCGCAAACGTTTGGCACAGTGATGAGCACTGGACGACCACGTCTTCCTTCAAACCAAGGTAAACAACCAGGTACTAACCCATTGAATCATCTCGGTCTACGAATCGCAATGCCACAACGGTTGTCGCCGTACGCCTCTGCGCAATCACTGCACACATCGACATTGAATATTCACTCCCCATTTCCGTTCAGCGCTCCGCTTAGTACGGGCATCAAGTCTCCCGGCTTCGGAACGGGCGAACCTACCTCGGCACCTATCTCGCGCGCATCGTCCTGGTTCGGCGGTGCGATGGGCGTCGGTGGCGGAATCTCTCGTGCAAAGACGATGTCGAATATTCTGGGTGGGGGCTTTGGTGGCATGTCGATGAGTCCGGCTAGCCCCCCTGCACCTTCCTCTTCGGCTATGCACGTGGGCGGTCCCCGCAGAAGCGGAACTGGACACCAAAAGGCTGAGACTCGCGCAGAAAAGGGTTTAGAGACCGCTACTGGTCAGCGGATCAGTTCTGTCGTTGCATTGAACGACGGGGTAGAGGATGAGGAGGTGGAGTAGTTTGCCCAAGTATTGCACTGTTTGAGATGATTGTGATATTCGAGGGTGGAAATCTCATCTTGCTCTCCCCCGCAACAGCCGATGCCTCCCGAGCATGGCGGTCGTAAAGAGGAACCTAATTCTAAATTATTATTGAGAAAAAAAGGAGGTATAAATCTCGAAATTCGCTGGAAATCTGGCCATGACCGTCCTGTCCTGTCGGCTGACTCGGGAGTATCTTGTTGATGCATTTCTTGACATTTTGTATTGTTATGACCAAGCTAAGTAGTTCTAACATATAGTCCTTGATATTCTCGTTTGGCCTAGACGAAGATCCAGCCGTCAAGCACTCGACGACGCGACTCAGAGGCACAACGAGCTTCGATCCCGAGCGTCAGATCCACTCAAATTCTTGCATTTAGAGCGGGAATCATAAACTGACCGAACACTATTCACGCGGTTTGGGGCCTGACGGCCTTTCAGATGTGCGATGCCAGGCCGCCAGCCTCATGGAGTGTATATCTTCTACCCTACCACGACCCAGTTTCAAGAGATCCATACGTTTGGATTATTTCTCGCCCCCAATCGAGCCCTCATGCCTGGCGGAGTGATTGTCGTTTGTGCCCTAGCAGTCTTTGGGATCGTCGGCCTCGTCGTCGCTGCTACGGTGAGTGCTTGCGAATTTTTGTATCAATCGAACGTGCATGGTTATTTGCTTATTCGACTTCATCAATCTAGAAGCTAGAGCCGTCCCTTCCAAAGTCATCTAGTAAGAAGAAGCGATCTTCAACGACACCAGAAACGCCGGCTCCTAGTATTTTTGCGACTACAATATCCAAAGTGGCTCAGAGGTTTGGCGCCGAGGACCCTTTACGCCGCCACCAAGAGCCTGCGCGAAGCCACGAGCATCCCACGCCCCCTTCTCAGCGGACCACAGCGGACGAAGCTGCGCTTGCGGTGGAGTCGACACATGCAACTGGTCCACAATCCACGCCAACACCATCTAATTTACAATCAGTCCCATTGATCCAATTCGAGAGTGATAGTGACCACTCATCTACACCTCTCGCTACTCCCACCGTATTAGAGCAGTTTGATCCATACTATGGTGCACCGCTTTCGCCGCTAGGCTCACCTATTGCCTCGAAGCCGCTTGGTCGAGATGCCGGGAATCCTCACCCTACAGCTCCGAGATCACAGTACCCCCTCCTAGAGGTTCCTCAAGGTCGAGCGGCGGATCCTCACCACATTCGCCTTCAAATGATTCTGCTTACAGGACTGCCATCGAATCACCATTATCTGCAGATTCCTTTCACAGCGCCCGCAGCAGCGTCGTATTCTCCCCGCCATCTCAGCGCAACAGTCTCAGTCTCGATGAAGCCGCGTCGAGGGTGGCTGCGGGTCGTCTAGACATCCATTCCTGGTCGACAATGGTACAACCACAGGAAACTGGACCACATAGAGAGTAAAACTAGAAAGAGGCAGAAATGTCAAGAAGGCAGGAACTCTTGGCTATGGGCGCGCACGACCTACTGTATATTCCTCGTATTTATTCAGAAATTTGCCCGACCAATGATCCCGTTAAGCTTTAGGAGTACCTGAGATGAAGTCAAAGTCTTATTCTGTTTGAGCGCCCGTTATGCAAGTTGGACCTGGCCTTCACTCTGCTTGGGTGGTTTGACTATTATGAACATCATAAACTCGCCTTCTATCTCGTTCTTGCAAAGACTCGTGAAGCAGGATCCAGTTTGCGGTGCTACCGTCAGCATTGGGCTCAACGAATTGCACAAGCTGCTCGCGAATCCAGCTCCAGTCATGACCGAAACCCCGTAAATAGCCCAGTAGACGCATCAAGTGATTACTGTGAAACTCGCCATGAATATAAATGGTGCTCGCTTCTGTCAGGATGTTCGCGAGTTACAGTCACCTGCGAAACTTCTCTTCTAGCAACAAAGAGACGATTGAAATGAACTGCGGTCTCTACATCCTTTGGATATGACGAGAGGCCAACTTCCCTCTAGCATCGCGAGTCCGAAAAAAATCTGCGGTCTTTCTCATTAGGCAACTTGAAGGACGAAAAGCATAAAATGAACCTCACAGAGAATGGTCTTCAAGAAAATAAATGCACTCCAAATTTTTTTTAAAGGTTTTGAAATTATTCTGCATTTCGGCGACTCGAACCCACGTCCTCAAGACAGATGCTGCTCAAGTTTGCGTCATATCATCTGAGTAACTCCGCCAGAGTTCCTAACCTTACAACAAGCTTTATTTGAGCCCACGTCGGCCAGCTGATTTCGAGTTTTACGAGCGAAGGGTGCATCCTTAATTTATTCACAAGTACAAACTTCAATCGAAACGCCTGTACCGTGCAAGGAGGAGTGTTCTGGAGTGCCGCTCTTCAGACGAGAGCGGTGAGGCAACCGGCCTCGCGGATTACACATCTCTTTCTCTCCCACAACTGGATCACAGGACCTTGGAGAAGCATCAACCGTATCATGAGTATAGCACTACGCGTTTGTGTGATTATACTCGTATTGATAACCTCTGTCGTTCTGGTGAGTGGCTACAGACCAATCTCCGAGTTCTGGTCGCGTATAATCCCCCTCTTATTACGCTTACCTTATCTGGAAGTTTGAACCACCGCCTCCAGAGCCATCTAAGAAGAAAAAGCGCATACCATCAATATCACCAACAGTAGAAACTGCTGTTTCTGCAACTAAACAATCCAAGGATACTCATAAATATAGCAAGGATAGCTCTTCATGCCTCCTTCAGGAGCCTACGCGAACCCACGAGTATTCCACGCCACCTTCTCAGAGGGCTGCCACGGCCACAACCGCGCCTTTACTGGACTGTGAGCATGCAGTTGACCCACAGGCTCTGCAAAAACCTTCCAATTCGCCATCGAGCTCACCCAGACAAGCCAACGGCGATTATTCCCCAACGCTCGTTGGCGCTCCAAACGGCTTTGAGCTGTTCGGTCCTTCCCATCATAAGAAGCATTCTGCACTGGGGTCGTCTACTGCGCCCGAACCGTTCGACTACAGTATTTGGAATGGCCAACCCGAGGTTGATAACAATTCTCGTCCAGCTGAGGCACCGCGATTTCCAGATGTAGAGGCCCTCCAGACATCGAATATTCCATCATCACCAAGCTCACCTTCCAGCGATTCCTCTTACAAGACCGCTTTGGAGTCGCCGCGCTCTGATGATTCGTTTCACAGTGCTCGTAGTAGCCTTTTAATGTCGCCGACATTCAGGCATGCTAGTATTAGCCTGGATGAGGCCGTGTCGAGATTCGCTGCCGACCGATTGGACATCGAATTATGGGCTGCGAGGGTCCAATCCGATGAAGCTAGTTGAACTGTACTCCAGAAGGAATATAGATGCTGAGAAAGGCGGAATTTTGGAGCCTGTGAACGAAGTGGCAGAGCTAAAATATATATTTGCTTTTGTCAAGCCGTTCACCGATGGTGTATTAAGTTAAATGAGTCACTTAGCAGCTGATATCACTGATGAAACTTTATTCACTAAAACAACGGATAGTCTCAGCGTAGCATGGAGGCAGGCGGACGCGCGCTCTTGATATCGTCCGTCAAGATGTCACTCCGAAGGACAAGCAAGCCAAGGGTGTATACATGAATAATTTCGCCTTGGATTTTGTTCTAACACAGACTCACGAAGCGGAGGAATCCAGCTTGCAATACAGTCAGCATTAGGCTCAACCTACTGTCCCAGATGCGCGCGTATACAATTGCATCATGAACACAAACATGTACCTAGTCTAGGAACTGTACTGGGTAGTCACAAGAGCCTTGCCCTTGGTACAAATGGTCTTCACCTCTCTGCACGTTGGCAAGGATCGTCTGCGAACCCTCTCTTCTGGGCATCAAGACACAACTGAAATGAACCAAGGTCTCTTTATCCTTGGGATGTTCTGAGAGTCGATCTTTCCGGACGCGGCGCAAGGTTGAAAGGAACTAGCGGTCTTCTCTGTAGACCACTTGGAAGGATTAAAAGTGTAAAATTAAATGAGAAGAGAATGATCTTCAAGAGAACAAATGCGCTCCAAAAAAATTTTTTTAGGGTTTTGAAATTATTCTGCATTTCGGCGACTCGAACCCACGTCCTCAAGACAGATGCTGCTCAAGTTTGCGTCATATCATTTGAGTAACTCCGCCAGAGTTCCTAGTCTTGCAACAAGCTTTATTTGAGCCCATGTCGACCGGCCAATTTCGAGTATTACAAGCGAAGAACGCATCCTTAATTTATTCCCAAGTGCAAACTTCAATCGAAACGCCTGTACTGTGCAAGGAGAAGAAGCGTTCCGGAGTGCCGCCCACCAGCTGCGGTCCTCTATATCTGACAGAACCACGGCGCCGACCTAGGGTGAAGTAACGCCCGTCGTGATGAAGTCCGAACGAGCGGCTTTGATGTCAATGGCAGGAGTTCAACCCCTTTTCAAGTGCCCCTCCGGTTGGTGGTCCAATACCGCGTCAGTGTCTTCGCGCTCGCAGCGTCGCAATAGACGCGCCCAACTCCACTGACGGTGGAACGAAGTGATTCTGTAGTTTTATTGAAAGACGACGCGTAGGTCACGTTTAACAGAGTCGCAGCCGCAGAGACATTGTATCTATTGCTTGAGTTCGTCCCTTGGAGTTGCCAAATGAAAGTCGTATCGTAGCAGAATAAGATTAATTTGAATATTCAATGCACCAAGTACTGTTTACGAGGCTGTCTACGCAATTTCAGCCGAGAATTCAGAACCCGGTGAACATAACCGCTTCGATGAGGCCTTTATCCCGAAGCGATCATATGAACACAAGCCTGTGGGAGGCGTTGAGGTGCGCGTCTTCTCTCGTGAGTCATTGGTCATAGTGGAACTTCGGTAAACTCCAATCATGGTATGGAGTATACATCCTATATTCGTAATGACGTCGAGAGACACGTTCAATTGAAGCATACTGGAAGATAGACGCAATATATTCATATCTCGCTATGAACATCAACGTAAAGTGATGCTGGGCCCGAATCTGAAAGGCATCTCCTTCGAAAGTTGAGCGTATTCTGATGGTTGCTACTCTGCGTCGACGGATTCTAGAGAGTGGCGCTTTCTCTTTCTGGTGTCGGGTTCAACGAGTAGGCGAGCCATTGAAAAGTTTGGCCAGCGCGTCGACCACGGCTTTCATGCTTCTCAGCGCGAAACCAATGCAGGCGTTATCTAAACTAGCGAAAAGCGCCCCTAGGACTCGTGTAGCGACGCGTTCCTCTTTTTCTTCCATCGCGGTGCTCAACAGGAGATGTCAACTCGCGAGGTAACCAAGATTCGTTCAGATACTCATGCTTCAAACGATACTGAGCCTCATTCATAGCGCGTTTAATGACACCATTGATGCGCTTGTTCTTCCCAGGGGGGAAACGCAAACCCGGTCATATAGTCACGGTCATCAACCGAGGAAGGTGCCGCTTTACCGTCAAACTTTACCTTCTGGGTGTTTCATCTGCGGAAGCAGTGAGTATTCTTCTTGATTTCCACATTTTGTGAGACATGACTATCATGTCTGCGCACGCACAACGGGCTCGTTATGAATCTGACTTGCTCCAGAGGAACATGTAAAAAAGGACTGCCCGCAAGCGCCTCCAAGGACTTGGTGAGAGTCCCTCGCCTCCTGCTTAGAAGCTTGCCGTATTGACGGTTGATATAGCTTCAGATGTACGGGACAATTTGTCTCAGTAGCGACTTTGCTGACAACAACAGGTGGATTACCAGGCCATGAATCTAAGGATTGCAACATCGAAGCTCCCCGAAATCGGGTTTGGTAAGTTCACTATATCAGTAAGATCAAAAGCTGAGCTGTTGCTAGCTATAACTGCGGAGAAATGGTGTGTAACTCTGTGTGCGACAAGCATTTACTCAAGGTTTCCTCGTTTTCCTTGACAAACTGCAGGGTCACATATCCGCGGTAGGCACTCGCACTAGTATCGCGACCTTGTGCGCTGAATCTCTCCTAGGCGTGCCCAAATCCGCGCAAATCGACCGTTCCTGGACGCCCGCCTGGTCCCTACCGGCCTGACTCGACAGGAAATGGCGATAGACATTCCGTCAACAGGCGACCGGCCATGAGAGAGTTTGGCGAGTCCAACAGACGTACTCCGGTAGATGACAACGGTCCAACCGGTAACGTCAGAACTCGCTGGGCCGGCAGACCCACCAACTCGCGAGAGTTTGGCCAAAATGTGAAGCGAGCCAAATGGGAAGACGAGCTCTCAGAAGTGCAAGGTGGTGACGACAAGAAGATGCGTATCGAGTATCGTGGCGTCCAGAACATTACTTGCCTTTATTGCGGCGAGCCAGGTCAGTCATACAGTCCAACTCGAACGGCTTTGGGTTTGATTGGTAATAGGGCATCTTATCCGCGATTGTCTCGCAAAACCTACTGAAACCTGTCGAAACTGTGGTAGTGAAGGTGCGTTCCAGTCTCTCAGCTCACTTGTTTGCTCATCCTTTCAAGGCCATCAATCAAGGGAGTGTCCGGAGCCTTGGAATCCGTCACGGCGCAAGTGATGTAGTGACCGGAATCAACTCTTTTGGTTCTCATCGACGTACTCACATCCCGGTCGAGTGAAACTCGCCGGTCTAATTGGTCTCGTGGATAGTATTGGTCACGTCAAGTATGCTTTTGCTACTGCATATGGATATTATTTAGTTAGACGTATATGATCAAACTAGTTGTCGTACGAATAGGGTATCAGAGTCCAAGAAAGTACCAAGAAAATGGTGTGCGACCGATTCGTCTTCAATAAGCCGCTCTAACCAAGCATGTGAGGGTGGATATGCGCCCTATGTCCTTACAAACAATACGATGTTCGCGCCAGTCACTATATCGTCCTTGAGCATTGGTTTCACTATACCGGTGGAGGATGGCTCACCACTTTTGACATTCCGGGGAGCAATATCTTGACGCACACGCCTGGCAGAAATAGCGACCCCTCTTCAGGCATCCACGGCGAGAGCATCGCTTCAGAGGTGCGACAAGAGTTTGGAGTTGAGTAAAATTGACCCAGCAACGCAAACGATACTTGTCATTTCCAGAATCTGGGAGAGTATAGTCGTACTTTGATTTGGATGTAAGGAATCTCTCTGCAAGTGTATACATTAGTCTCATCCGAGGTAAGTTGAGGGCGAGAGCTTTGCGAAGCTTGATGGTGGGTGCGTCCTCAAACATATCCCGAACATGAGACATGATCTCGGTTACCAGCTCTATCAGACAAGGCGAATTAGCAGTAGACAAGGCGATGGTCAACGCAGTGCATATACCTGCTCCATGTTCAGTTGCGACCAAAGACGGGGCCACTTTTTCCATATACTCGAAGAAAGAAGATTCAACCCAAATAAGGAGCAGGTCTCCGGACAAGTTCAGCGATAGACGAGGTATAACGTGCATCAGCGAATGTAAAGGTGCCATATTCTCCTCGATATCGTGAAGGTCGGGTATCTCCGTCGCATCATGAATCATCTGGGCCAGGAAGAGTTTCCAGAGGTCCTTGGATTTGACGACCGCTTCCAGAATATTGCGCTGAAGTCCACTCATGGGCAACTTTGTGTCGAATGCCAGCGTCTGGATAAACGAGCCGCCGCAAATGACGGATGGATCGTCCCCGTGTTCGTAGTGATATGCTCCAAGATGAGGGAGATAACACGAGGACCTGGATCTGGACCAAATTCTTCAGCCAGACAAGCGAAGAAACGACGAATAAGGAGCGCCTCTTCCGCTGCCTCGAGCCCAGCGCGGTCTCTCATCCGGGATGTTGTACGGAGAGTGGTTCGTAACGCAGCTTCAACCGCGCGCTTTGATTCAGAGCAGTGAGCGAAGCGCCAATACTGAACAAGAAGTGGAATGGTGAAGTCATCTCGATCTTTGATGAGCCTGTGTACATGTCAGCCATTCATCCCACTGTAGATGAGGGACGAACCGACGAAAAGGTGCAGAAAGCAGTGACAGAACTTTGCACAGGTTTCCAAACGATTTACGATGCTTCTCAGTACTTGGAATGGCGTCTAGTGCTCTCTGTCGCCACAGCTGGTTTTGGGTCAGTCTCAGCAAGGACAGAACTGTGGGACTGACATGTCGACTGATGCTCTTCCATCTACCTAGAAGAGCATTTATGAGTGGTTCCGCAATGTTAAAATGCTCCGGATGCGCAAAAATGATGCTGGAAAGAGCGTCGAAAATTTCGAAATAGCAAACCTTTCCCTGAGAATCGTTAAGATTTGAATATCAAATATATTGACTTATACCTCTCGAGGATCGGGTTTAGTGTTCAGAACAATGTCAACAAGGAGGTCCACGAAAGAATGGTGGAGAAAGCCATTTGCCAGACGCTCACTGATCTGTCGATTACTGCAGCAGTAGGTGTTGATGGTCTCTTTATTGCAACCACGATACCGGTTGTTGCAGCTAGATCAGAGAGCGAGTGTCCTCGAAGACTAGCTACCTGCGACCGAAGCATCGTTGCGACTTCGCGTACGTCACGCAACAAAAGATCATGAACATTTTGATGTGTATTCTGGGTCAGATTTGAAGAGTGAGAGTGCTGTCGAGATTTTGGCATGTCGACGGGGAAAGAAAGCAGATTATTTGGCTCACACGAGCCAGCACTGTCAGCACTGAATCGAGACTGTTTATTGCGTGATGTACAAGGTTAGATGTAAAGAGGAGAAATAGCAAGTACAAATAGAAGAGTCCGAGCAAAGCTCTGGGCACCATCTCTCAAGGAGATACATCCGCATGTTGCATTTGGAGCGGCAATTCGTCTCCTGGATTCATTTCCATCCATTTTGAGAATTCGTACATAGTTCTGACCCTTGGTATCATCTTGCAAATTAGTTTATGGACGGGCCAATCGCTATATGATGTGAGGAGTGAGGCCAGCTTCGAACTTGAACGTACCATTTCTGACATTCCTTGGAGCAATATCGCGCCTTGCAATCCTTGCATTCAAACTTGCCCTTGGTCATGCACCCTCGATTTTGGCACCGTCTGAGAGGTACAACTTTTGTCTGAATGAGCATCAGAGGTACCCAGTAGTTGTACCTGGCTTCTCTCCCGAGCTGTGACGACGCAACCTCGGGTGAGAGCGAGAGAAACTCTTTGGCTAGAAGATACCAGAGTCGGATTCTCGGCATACGCTTGCCTATCGAGCGACACGTCTTGGGACTTGATATTTGTAGGTTTTGATAAAAGCCGTCTAAACAGTCATGAATGACCCCTAGGCGACGTTGAGACTGATTCATGGTGTCAAGGGATATAAAAACGTACCAGCATCTGCGCTGGAGGCGTCTTTGATAGACAAAGACGCCTCCATGTAGTCAAAAAATGACGATTTTATGAGGCCCATAACCAGAATATCTCGCTTCTTTTGGTCCGTATTATCTATCATTGAACCCAGGATTTTGCCAAGTGGGGTGAGAGTAATTCGGATCGAGTGGGTGTTTTCCATGATCGATCTGTCTTTTCGCAGGCTGCGAAAGTACGCTCGCCACAATGGAGGCGACGTCGCCAAAGCTTCGACATATTGTTTATGCCCCTTTACGACACTTTGCGCCTGGGTGTTTACCAAGGCATGCATGAAACATGCGCATGCCGCGACCGAATGGCCTTCTTTGTGTCGATGGGTTGCATCACACTGGCCTTGCCCCCGACTGAGCATAGCCTTCAATACTTTTGCAATCTCAGGCCCTGGATTTGGCCCAAACTCGGCCTGTATAGACACCGAAAGTTTGCGGAGCCGGTTTAGATCGAATGGTTCTTCGAATGAAGGCTCTGAGTCGACTTGAATAAGAGTGAGCAGTTTGGTGAGGATTGATTGCTTGACTCCACTACAAACGGCTCTTCTCCAGTACTTGAGTAGAAGTGAAAACGTGTAATCGGATTCGCTTGCGATGACCCTACAAGGCTCGTGTCAGAGTTGTAAGACGAAGGGGATGAAGTGGCGAACTCGCGAAATCTAGAGATGAAAGTGCTCTTAAATTCGCATAAAATGCTAAAATGGGAATCATGCCGTTCAGGATCAGGGAATATTGTCAGATGACGCTTGTCCCAGAGCTGCAAAACTTGTCAGAAATCGGGTCGTGGAAGCCATTCAATTTACCTGTTTTGTCATTACCGCCCATCCACTAATAAGACTAGACCAAAGGCGATCCTCGACGATAGTATCTCCTCGAAGCGCCGCGAATATCTTGCAAAGTAGGTAGATTGCATTGCAGTAGTGGATTGACTAGTGTAATTTAGACGTGGAAGATGAGGATATTGATAGGAATACCTCATTCAGTACAATCGGGGCATCGGCAATGAATTGTTGGACCGCGGTGATGACGGAGTGCCTATCGCAGATATCAGCGAGCCTTAAAGCAGCTTGTCGAGTGCACTGCATCATAAAACTGGCTATTTTGGCAAGTTTATCAGCGATTAACTCTGCTCGCAAAAGGTTGAGATCCATTGGCATTGGCCGCTTAAACTCAGCCAGAAAGCGAGGAAGCTCTTTGATATCTTGCACGACTGTATCTTCGGGGATTGCCCTTTGGAATGCGTCTTTTCCTGCATCGTGTGCCCTATATGTCTTAGTCGCCATCTTCCTTGTCGGGTCCAGGTTTCTCAGCGCCAATTTCCAAGACTTTCGACAAGGACTTGGACAAGACCAGAAGGATATAATGGAGATTCAAGGCTATGTGAAAGACCGGGACAATGGATCTACCATCTCTCTTATATTTACGCCGTACATTTCTGGTTCGCGTATACTGATAGCTTTGGCTTCTGCCACAACGGAGGCAAAGTCAAGACCGGGCAAAGAGAGGTCTAACGGGTCCCACAGCGAAGATAAATGCTGATTATCGACAGACTCTTACCCGAAAGTTTCGCTACACCATGGCTACAAACGCAGAGGACGAGAAACATTTAGGATATCTCAGACAAGCCCTTGAAGAAGCCCGAAAATGCACACCTGTCCCAACAGCATTTTGTGTTGGGTGTGTCATCGTTGCACATCCATCTGCATCGCTCAAAGGCATCGATGAAGACGAATTGATCATCGGAAGAGGATATTCAAGAGAACTACCGGGAAACACACACGCAGAAGCAAACGCACTCGCCAAAGCCCGACAACTCGCGACTTCCCCCTCGACGAGCGAAACGTATACCACTGCCATCGTCGAGGAGCTCCTCTCTACTGCTTCAGTCTACACGACGCTGGAACCGTGTAGCGTCCGTACGTCGGGACTCGCTCCCTGCGCAAAGGCGTTGCTCGATGCAAAGGTTAAAAGATGCTACATTGGTGCCGCTGAGCCACCAGACTTTGTAAACTGCGAGGGTGCGAATATGTTGAAAGAGGGCGGGGTCGAAGTACATTGGATAAAGGGACTCGAAGACGAGTGTCTGAAGACTGCGCGAGGCGAGTGGTAGTGTCTACGTGACGATTACTTTGGCTTGTTACTAGCTCTGTACAAAGAGATTAGAATCACGTCTCTTTTCTGGGCAAGAAACATACTTGTATGTGAATGGTTTTCGCGTCGGTGCAAACTCGCCTAACTTGTGGCCCACCATTTCCTGAGTGATCGTCACAGGATTATACATCTTTCCGTTGTGGATCATAAACTTTGCTCTGTGAGTATTTATGAGCGCTGGCGAGTCAAGTGGTCTAGAAAACCGCACCCAACAAAGTTTGGAAGGACAGTACATGCTCTTGCTTTCGTGTAAATGGGAATATTACGTGCAATGGACTCGCGGAGATTTGGAAACGCGACAAAATAGGGACCTGACCATAGAGGACCAGCATTTCGAAGGACGAAAGAAAGCATATTAGCACCATATAGCAATGGAGCAGGTTTACACACCCTTCCAGGCTGAACGAGAAAAGAGTCGAAGAGACGGCTTCATGGTCGAACGGCCGACACCTTGAAACTTTTCCAAAATAAAACTATCCTTCTCTGAAAGATATTCAGAGGAGATTGAAGTGTGTTTTTGGCCTCCACACGCGTTTTAGCAATTGCGTAGGTCAAAGTCAGGTCCAGAATTTGTGAACAACGCTTGCTCCCTACCGCGGACTCGTTGAGACTACACGCGGGCCAAACGACATTGAATAAAACATAGAAACGGCATAAAAATCCTCAAAGGACACTGCCATACCTCGCTACACGTTTCAGCGAGCGAGCCACACGACAAGTGCGAGGCCTGAGGACTTTACAGCACAAGATCTTGCAACTCTTCGGTCCTCGAAACTCGTTGAACAATCAGTCGTATTCTATCTTGACGCCACCACTTGCTCAGAGTCGGTGAGACAATGTCGCAGGTTCAAAATTGGCAGATTTATCGATGGTCAACGTACGTTTTACTCGTTAGCTTCTCATTTATACAATTTACATTCGCCCTACTTTCCCAATCCATGCTCCCCATCCGCGTTCTAATTTCTCCTCACTCTCACGGAGCACGCTCGTGATCGCGATTGCTCACTGTTTCCGTACAGTGTTGGGCTTGCTCTCCTCGATACGGTCGATGAGCTCGTCCGAGACAACATGATCTCCGTCGAAATGGCAAACATTATCATGGCTCGGGTACGTCCGTGACTGTTCCTCAGTACTTCGTTCTAATGTTCCGAAAAGTATGACGAATCCGTCTGTTCCACGTTGAGGAAGAAAGTCGACTCGAAATGCTCATTCACTGTACGTTTCCCCTCTATTCGTCCTCCCCCAATCTGACGAGCAATAAACAGGCTAAATGCCAAACGTTCAACCTCGTCGACGAAGTGTACCGATTCTCACTCAAGAATGTGCGCTTCAAGATGGAAGCCGGCCAAGTCGTGACTGTCCCGACCATGAAGATTACCGCGCTCAAGAGTGGGACGCTTGACGAACTTGACGCTTCAGGATCATCCAACGTTGCGCCTGCAGCAGGCCCAAGCAAGAAGTCCTAAAAAGGCTGCAGATGATGGACCACGGCCACTGGCTGAAGAAAAGGAGCGCAAGGACGCGAAGAAAAAGTCGAAAAAGGGTATATCGTAGAGCACCAGACCGTAATTTCTAGCTTTGCAAGTCTCTCTTGTATCTCTACCTAGCTCCGTAATTAACTCGTGGCTCTTCAATAGGACGTGCTTCACGTGATACAATGAAGAAAGAACTGTATATGAAGAGGTAGAGTAAGATTTTTTATTGGATGAACATGTAGTCCAAAAGGGAGAGCTTGTCGCAAACCATTGCTAAAGCAGGGGGATATCGAACAGGGGTAAAATAGAGAAAGGTTACGGAAGATACATAGCTTGGTATAAACAGCGGCCAGGCGTGTTAAATCCAACAAGAGTACCTATCCTCACAGGCCATGGGTGTAGACGTTGACCCTCCATAATCCACCACAGACGCCTCCTCCAAGGGGACAAATGACATCGCAATCACGTCGATCCGCCACGTTGAGGGGTGCTGGGGGATCGTTGGAGCACAAGCACTCGGTCGGGGCAACGGCAGCATTGGCAAAGCCCGCATTTGCACACGCACTCGTGCACTTGTCGACGGATAGGTCACCATCGATAGCTTGTGCAGTCCACATTGCGAATGCTCCGAGGGCTGGGTCGGTGTCAAAGCATCCTTGCTCCTTAAAGTCTCCCGACACAGCTTGGGCGAAGGGTCCAGTACGTGCCTCCATATCTTCTGGCGAGAGCTGATAGATGGCAATCGCAGAATCTGCGCAAGTGTCGCTGGGAACGTCCGAGAAGAGGAACGAGCCGCACGAGCACTTGTGTTCGGCTTGCAAACCTATGATTCCGTACCCATTTCCGAGACAAAAGTCTGCGCATTGAAGAGGAGTAACGGATTCGGAGACGAGCGAGGGTCCACGGAGCACATTGGTATTGTAGACGACATTAAGTGGGTCGAAACTGTCCACCACACAGTGGTAGTGATAGTAAGTGATGCCAGTGCTGCCGGTGATGCTCTGGGAAATGGTTGGAAGGCTGCTGGGAACTGGAGAAGCCGTCGAGCTAGGCGTGTCGGTTGCACTTGATGATGGCTCGGCACTACTCGACGGCGTTTCAGTTTCTATAATGGTACCTCCAGTCTCCTCGGTACTACTAGTAGACGCTGTTGATGCTACCGTCGTCGTTTCTTGCGCAGGCAGATAGTAAATTTGAAAGCTCGTTGGGCCGCCGCACCATTTCTCTGCGCCGTTGCTTCCGGCACACGCACTGTTACAGTGGCCTTGGCCAACAGTGACGGCTCCATCTCCAAGAGTATTGTCGCATATGCATTGTTCGCCCGCCAAGACACCCGCATACGCATACGGCGACGCTTCAGAGGTCGCACAGGCCGCAACGCACGTCTGGATGGAGGTCTGATTCCACGGAACTTGAACTGTCAGCACTTCATTCCCAGTCGTACTCGAAACGGAGGCGTAGCATCCAAGCAGGGTATACGCTGCCGAGCCATCGTCTCGTCGGGCCACAGAAGAGGGAGTTTCTGCTCGTTTTTTGGTTGGGAGGATTGGTTGAGGTTGCTTCAGACCATTTCGAGCTTCGAGACGCTCGACAAACGCGGCGTTATGTCGTTTGTGAATTTCGCGGGCATCAATCTGGCCGCTGACATGACCAGAAAGAGCCAATGCTGGGTAGATGACAGAAAAAAGAGTGGCAGAAAAAATGATTGTAGTTTTTGCCATAATAATACGGCGAGGTGGTGGTTCAAAAGGCGGACGAGGTCGGGTCAGAGAAGCTGTCAGAAGCTGCGGCATGCATATGGCAACACTATCAAAAATCGATAAATGTATCACAACCGATATTCGGAGACATGTTAATCTCATCCAATAATGTACAACCTAAACTATGCAGCCCCTTTGTACTTGTCCTCATTCTCCTGAAGAATGTTGGGATCCAGCGTATTTCTCAGTCCGAGAAGCGTCTCTCGAACCGCCTCGCTTGCTCCAATCATAGGCTTGATGACAGCGATGGGGACAGCTCGGACCACGGCTCGTACAGGTCCCTACACATGTATTTAGTATATCGTGATAAATATAGGATTCACGTACGCCTGAACCAGACTGCTCGTATACTTCCATCGGGACCGCCAATATTGTCTGAGCCGCCGCGTTGATATTCCTCGATAGGCTCTTATAAGCCGTCTTGACTCCCTGCTTGACATCCTCGGGCTGCGCAGCATAGCGAGAGATGACCGCTTGACGCTCAATCTCCTCCGAGTCCTCCAGAGCATCTGCGATGGCTGATATCCCTCCATCACTCCCACCGATAGCACTCGCTGGTCTGATGATAGGGGAAGGCATCGCTTCTCCCATGATCGTCCGACCATGAGAGCCAGGGGTGCCGTCGAAAAGAGCACCTTCTGCGCCGAGAGCTCGCTCGGCATGCTCGAGAATAACCTGTGTTCCTGTCGCGAGTTTTGCACCAAGCTTGATTGTCTCCATGGCCGTAGTCTTCATAAACGCTGCGGTTCCTTTCTGGATTCCCCTGGCGAGACGCTTGTCTTTCTTGTACTGGGCTATTGGCAGGAGCAACAGATCTGCAACACCTGTTCCGACATTGACGAGAGATCTGATAGGCGCAACTCCAGAAATAACGTCTGCGAGTTGATTGGCTTTGACATCCGGAGTCCAGAGATCGTTGAGAGTGTCACCCAGGCGAGCCCATCCAACCATCTATAAACAATGTGAGCGACATCGGGAGCACCAGAGGGACTCACTCCTGTGAGTGTGATATGCCGCAGTGTCATCTCTGCGTCCTCAAAGTGGAAAAAGTTCATCAACTCGATTGTCTTTCCCTCTTTGAGTGCTTTATAGTCGACACGCTTAGGCTTGTAGTCCAGTTTGAGTTCGACTGGGAAAACCTCGACGCGTTCTGTTTAGTAATTAGCTTTCTGCCTGATATCTTATTGACAAAACTGACGGAAATATGTTTCTGGTTGCGGAGTAGGAGGCACTGGAGGTCGGAACCCATTGGAATCTTGAAAGCTGAAAAACTTCTTGAGAAAGTCGAGCGCGTCTTGATCCACATAGAGTCGGATAGGTAGGATCTTTGCCTGCCACAGCGTCAGAAACAGACAAGAACAAGTTCAAGAAACTTACCCTCAATCGAGCTTCTTCATCCGGTACATTCGGCGACGGTTTTACCATCTTTAGCTCGACGCGCACCATGTCAGAGTCCGTTTCGCGTTTGTTCCCCCGCGAATCTGTCCTCATCGATGTAAGGAAGTTGACCCATGTCGACGTCTTCATATGGTCCAGAATCTTGAGGTCTCTGACAGTCGCAAGGATATTACTCGCTACCGTGTCCTCCGGCTTGAACTTGTCAATTGCTGCATTCAGTCCTTGTACTTCAATCTCCACTTCAGACTTCTTTGAGCGTCCCCATACACGGCGTCTGCGTTTCTTGGTGTCACCCGTATGTTCGGGCGGGTGCGGTGCATTGGCAGGTAATGTTTGCCACGACTCTTGACTCGCTGTCTCAAAGTCTTCGGCAAGGTTGGCATCGATGGCCGCGACAAGATCCTGTCCGTCCATATCTTCAATGTCTCCTTCCAGGCCGAGGTAAACCGAGTTGAATAGTAGCGCATTTGTCTTTTCAATGCTGTCGTCTGGCGCTTGTCCATTAGCCAAAAGCTGCTTGATCTTCTCAAGTCGTCTACGGATAGCTTTCACTTCTTCCTCGATGGTCTTTCTGGTGCGATGCCAGTCGTATCCACTGTGAAGGTGGACATTAATCTTGGTCTCAGAGACCCGAACGGAAAGTGGAGAGCTGCCACGACTGAGGCAGGGTAAGCAGGTGCACCAGCAATACTGGGGACATACTCAGAATTGGTGACAGTCTCTGGAGGGAGACGATCAAAGTAGCCTTCAATGACCTTTATGGGCTCGTCCGTGAGCATCCGGATTGTATGGCCAATATCAGAGTTGATCTCGACAAACCCAGGCATCCCCCCAGTGGGCGACATCCGTCCCTCGGGATGGTCATGCGTTTCAAGATCCCCAAACTCTTCTTCAAAGTCGTATGGACGAGCTCCGCCAAACTTTGCATCAATAAACCCTGGGTTTCGAGGAATATCGTCTTCGATCAAGTCTGCTTCTGGACCAAGTTCTGGTACGCGCTTGAAAGCATTCTCCTCTAGGAAAATGGACGCTGAGAAAATCGTTAGAGTCTGGATCATTAGGTTAGCCTGTACTCACCAGCCATACTCCTCTTCCCTTGCTTCCCAGATATTGGGATCGAAGTCCCACCTTGTGTTGGCGGCCTAGGTAGATGAGCATTCAGCACTAACAGACGCATTATACGTACGGTGCTTCCGACTTCGGAGCCAGTGTTGCAAGGTCTCCGGCTAGTGACACGAGTGCCGAGATGGTGTCCGCACAAAGGTGGAGGGCGACAATGGCATTGGATACGTCGACCTGAGTACGTGGCTCCTCTCCACTGATAATGGCCAACTGAAATTGCAGGTTATTCACGGATAGGATGAGGGCGAATCCAGATATCTAACGAGCATAAGCACCAAGGATATCAGCGAGGGATAAACACTTACTAGCCAGTAGTCGAGCCCCTTGTTGATAGGTTTCGTTTGTAGTCCCTCCGGCAAGGGTGCGGCGGTATCGTCAATGAGGAGAGTGTACAATGACCGAGCAGTAACAGCGACCGAAGTATCCGCAGACCCATTGACAAGCTCGGTGCCCACAAACACGTCTTCAACGCCCAAAATCAAACAACCAGGATGGTTAGGAGGGATGACGCGGATGGAGCCATCACGGAAGTCCAGATTGAGGATCGTTCGTTCACTGGGAATCACTTGCTCAAACACCTGGCACATGTTCGTCAAACACGATCCCACGCGAAAGAAGAAACTTACTCCTGGGGGAGCCTTGGCGAACCGGGCGAGATCCTGAGCCAACGAGAAATCGGGGTAGACGGTATAGGTAAACTTGGATGCCGTCAGGTGAACTCTCGATTGCTTCGACTTTGCATCGACAAGGGATATCGAGTCTAGCCGAAGCTCGATCATTGGGATAGATGGCCCAAACTAGGACAGCGTCAACGGCCGGTTTGCAAGATGCAATGAAACTAACCAGACGCCGTGGAGATGTAAGGGAGAGATATACGCGTGGTCCATCCGGTTCCATCTCTTGCAGAGTCGTGTCCATCACAGTCGCGATGATGACTGTTTCATCCTGGAAGAGATGAGATTACAACTCGAGCAGTATTGCATCGCATACCTTTCCATCAGGCCTCACCTGCACAGTCGTCTCAATCCCCGCAGCCATTAATTCGACTGGTCGAATCGGAGCCTCTTCGCGTGGCACCATGAGCTTGACAAAGACTACATCACAATCAGCAAATAATTTTCGTTTGAGAGTAAATTCGCACCTTCGCCAAGGCTGAGCTTTGCAGTGAGATCGCTTCGTGGCTGGACGACCTGCTCCTCTTCTACAGCCGACGCAGTCCTATCCACAAAGTACCGGCTACCAACAAGCAAGGTTGGTGCACGACTTGTGGCCTGACTTGTAGTAGTGCTAGCCGTCTTTGGAGACAACGCACGATCCGCCCATTGCGCCATGTCGTCTGCAAACAGCTGTAAGCCATCTAGAGGAGGTTTCTCCAATAAGCACGATATTCGCGGTATCACCACTTCTACAGAGGTCATCGCCTGCGCGTCGGCACCCGTCGAACCGAGGTTAGATGGTGTCCCAGAACGAAGCTTTACGAGCGACTCGGAGTATAGACCTGACGATGATGTGGCATCCTGCAGCGACTGCGTCGTCGCACATCCCACACATAAAAAGGCCACCGCTTTTGGCGCTGTCATAGGGTAAGACTTCGCTTCTGACGGTTAAGATTTACCTACCACTAGGCGCAGCATAAAACGCCAGCAACTCTCTCCACCCAACGGACAACTTGACAGGTAAAACCTCCTTCTCCTCCTTGTCAGAATCAAACCGCGCACGTCCTTTCTGGCCTCTTGTCGGCTTCTCCACAGATGCCTTGTAAAGGGTGAGATGCGGCTCGTGAATGTCGACTACGACAACTCCAGATCGCTGACGAAGCAACTTTCGTTTCGTATACCGATCCGGCTCGGTGGACGCAGTTCGCAACTCGACTCGAATTAAAGTACACCGAACGTGGGTATTGTCATCCTACGAGCCTTTAGTTCGGGCACTCGATAATAAAAGAAACTCACTTTAACCTCCTCCGCAGCACTGGAAAATTCTGCAATAACCATATCCTGAACTCGGTGCCTACTTGGGACATCCGGCGACGGCAACTCTACCAATCGAGCTTTAGGTGTTGTAGCAGGCGATGGAGCATCTCTGGAAGCTCGCTGAGTCGTCGCCTGCTTCCATCCTTGTCCAGCAGTCGATTTAGTCGTCCGCACCTCGACGCTCGCGGGACCGTTTGAACTCTCCGGCAAGTCCAAATATTTGATATAGCCAAGTAACCAGCTAAGCAGAACCGTATCCAAAAACAGATGGAGCGGTGCAACCTCTACACTCGTAGATCCAGAATCAAGATCGACCTGGACGATTGCCGCCTCGAGCGCTTCAGCTTCTGGCAAATTCGCAGGTGCACGAGGCTGTCTTGTAGCGGGGAGACGCGCTCGCCATAGCGAAATCTTGGGGCGACCCGCTGCAGAGATATGCGACGCAGGGTTTGTCCAATCCTGAACGGGAACCATATACGAGTGTCCGGGCTCTTTAATCTCCACCGCAGAAGCGTCGTACTGCGCCGTCGTATGGTGGTCTACAATGAGCATTGGCGAAGCCATCCAAAACTCGGATGGTTCAGCGTCGCTAGAAGACTTTGGGACGCAATGGATAAAAAAGGCCGAAAGGTCTTTAAGACCACCGACGACGGATGGGCTTGTGGGTCCTGGTGTTAGATTAGCAGAGATGCCATCCAACTGAAGCCGCAAATGGGGTGCTTCGATATTCGACAAAGTGGACCCAAACACTCGCTCAAATATGACATCGGCATTGTCGTGTATCAGTTCAAACAAGTAGACGTGAATACCCCTCACGGAAAGGGATGCATGAAGGTTGGAGAGGAAGGGAGGTGAAGTGGTTTGACTCTTTGGTGGTCGAGGAGGCGCACGCTTGGCGCCTGCAGGTTTGAACTCGTCTGCTATCGACAGCAGCGAGTTGATATGCGTCGTTTGTAGTCCAATCGTAGCAACGCCGACCTTGACCTGGAGCTGCAACGTTTCCTTTGGAGTCTGAGCAGAAGATGCCTCTTCATTCGATGAAGTGGCTCGTGGTGGAGGCGTGATTAGCGAGAGGACGATCGGGTCGTCGCCAAACGATAGAATACGCGTTAGAGGTGGCAAAGTGGATGATACAGATGCTGATACAGGATGTTGTTGAACAGGGGTCGAGAATGTGGCAGGTTTAACAGGAGTCGTAGGAGACGATTCTGGAGGCGTGAGTGGTGTGTCCCTTTCTTGAAGCGGTGGGGGTGTATGTGCGCGCACAGAATTGGCGGCACTGAAAAACATGGTACTCGAGGGGTCATCGTCGTCGTCTGAATCGAGCGTCGTCGAGGCTGCACCAGGAGGCGGCGGTAAGGAGACCATACTCTGGGTCATGGACGCATCCATCTCGTCGCTCCCTTCGTCCTCCTCTTCTTGTGGTTCTAGGTCTACGGGCTTTGGTGGGGATGGAGGGGCGATGATTTGGGTAGAGCCAGACTGGACAAACTTGGAAGTATCCGGACTGCCGGTGAGAGATTGAGCCGCATCTTGCACAAGAGGTCGAGTAAGAGCCTCTAAACCTTGTATAGTGACCGTCCTCTTCTCTCCAGCGTACACACCGTCCGTACTCGCACCCTTCTCCTCTGTACCATACACAATCTTGCCAACCTTCAACACGAGCTCCGTCTTGTGCTCATGTATCACTCTGACCACAATATTCGACGCCGTAAACGACAACCGTGCAAGGACACGTTCGACCATTTGCGCTAGCATCGACACACCCTCGACGTCTTCAATCCCACTGCCCTCTCTCCGAATCGCCGTACGCACGTGCATGTCCAACGGGTCCTCGCCAAACGGATCCAACGAACCAGGGACATGCGTCGCCATATCATCCTCGTCGTCCAGCTCCTGCTGCTGTAGCTCCTGAGGCGGCGGCGGTGGGAGTCGTACTCCAGTCTCGAGTGTGACTGAATCCCTCAACGACGCACCATCCAACTCTTCGTTGATAAACTCTTGCGCAACACTGACGACAGACTGCGCCAATCCATCCACCGCATCTTCACCGACCTCTCCAGCCTTTGTCTCTTCTGTATTCAAGTGTTGAGACTTGTGCAAGACGAGTGTGAGGTCTAGACGATCCACGGACAGACTCAGAGGCGCCGTGAGCAGATTCTGAAAGGGAAAGTTGACCGCCACCGAGCCTAGTACGCCATTCCGCACGCGCACAGGTAGTCCATCGAGCGATTCATTAAGTGCCTAGATAAATTACATCACAAAGAGACGCGCGTCAGCGTCCATCACGTTCAAAAGCAAAGCAAGACCAGACTGACGCGTTCATCGAGCTCGACGTCGTTAATCTCGACGTGTCCACTGCCTAGTTGCGCAGTAATCTTATTACTATCAAGTTGCCCAGGTTTGACGAGGTGCCCGAGCGATTTCTGGAGCACAAACGCGATGAAGCGCGTCTGGATAGAGGCCGGGAGCGCCAGAGACGGCAGAGAAAACGTTGGGATCGTAAATGGGAGAGAAATAAAGTTCAACATTGGTCGTGGATGGCGATGGATAAACGCCGCAGGGGCGAAGAGGCCGTGACCACCATCAGTCACCAATTCCAATGCAAATTCCTTTAATCTTATTGTCATCCCAGAGCAGAGTTACATGTCCTAGAAAGCGCATCCGCCGCGGGCATATGATCCCGGATCATACACCCTAGATACTGTACACAAGAGAGTCATTCCAAATCATCCTTTTAAGCGAGTTTTCTAGTACCCAGCAGGTCCATACCCAGTGCTGTAGCTTCGTTGTCGTCTATAGCTCGGAGCACCCATCATGGGTTCTGCTACATAGCTTCCAGCAGGGTAAACGGCCCCTCCACCATAGCTGCCAGGCGGACCGACGGGTACGGCGGGCCCATACCCAGTACCATAGCTACTGGGTGCGCCCATAGGCTGCGCATAGTCGTCGACAGGGTAGACATCCGGTTGAGGAACGATGAGCGGCGCACGACCATATCCTCGTGGACTCGGCGGCATTTCCCCCGGGTACATCACTGGCCCCGGAGCAATGTTATACCCGTTGACATTCGTATACCCTCCACCTATCCCACCAGTACCGATCGGGATGGACGAAACGGGTGGGCCAGCATATCCAGCATCAGCCATACCGTAAGACAAGCTACCTCGTCGCGAGCGACTTCTCCTCCCAAAGGAGGAACTAGGTGTAAATCCAACCGACCGACCACGCTCGTAGAATGGCTCGGCATATCCACCGCCGACGAGAGGCGTATTGACGAGCCCACGGTTCGCATACTGTTGTTCTGGAGAGAGATAGGGCGCAATTCCACCTGCTGGGTCATACTGAAATGTAAAAATTCGCTCGGCCGTGGCCAGAGCCACCTCGGCGGTCTGATGGCGTCCTCGTCTCGACCTGTATGGGTTTGCGCGCGACCACAGACGATTAGCTATAAAAATATATCAATAAAAACATTCTCTCGTCAAGAAAGAAACTAACCTTCGCCAATGGCCAACCCCGCAAGCGCCTCGCGCTCGCGCTCGAGGTCTGGATTCAGCGGGAGGTTCATGCTATTATGCTGAAACTCCCAAATACGAATAGCCTCATACCCAGCCGCCGCACCAAGCTCATCAGGCGTGCATTCGAGTGGATCCCGAAGGCCACCATAGACCTGGCGGTAAATTTGTTTTGCATGCTGGCGCGAATAACCCTGGACGGTGACGCCCACGGCAGATTTGAAGCGATTCCAGAGCGAGTCGAAAAAGCCGCTGGACATGAGGAAGATGGGAGGTAAGCTGTCTGTGAGAACGAGGCTGGGAAGGCGACAAACCGTTCTGTATCGCCCGAGTGAGCCAGGTAATAGTCGTATCCACCCCCTATATGCATCAATAAGCAACGATATTAGCCACAGCCATAATGGTGGAGAATGACGCAGACCGCCCATTAACAGGAGCATCCAGCGCAGTGTGGAATGGATAAAAGAAGAATAGACTAACATGTAGGGAGTGGATTATACGCTGGCATGGGCGGTGGAGGGAGGTCATAGTTGCTGGTGGCCCATCCTGGCGCATTCTGTTGGTAATAGCCATAATACGCCATTCCCTGTTTCTGAAACTGGACTTGCTTTTGTGCTGGATGCCGCTGGAGAGCGTGTGGAGGAGCGGCAATGGCCTGCTGAACTGGTGGAGTCTTCCAAGGAGCAGTCTGGCTGCGGCGGGGCGTCTTTGAATTGATGAGCGACTTCCAGCCGCTGCCACTGTTGGATCCTTTTGTACTAAATGTCACAGATCGACCTCCATTCGACGAGGATTGAGAGTTGGACGGCGACGACTGTGTATTCCGGGATGGAGTGCGAGATGGGTAAGGTGTATAACTCGGATAAGGTAATGCACCTCCACTGGGAGGAGACGCAAAGGCATTGGCAGAAGAAGAGGACGTCCACTCGGAGAGCATTTTACAAGTTTAGATCTCATCGGATTTCGACGCCGTGTTTATAGCTACAAGGTGCACCATGCCTTGCCTTTGCCTCATGCTACCCATGCCACCATACAGTAAACATGACCCGTATAATGGTACAGTATTCACAGGATTAGTCTCCTCTACGCACCCCTTCCAAGCCCAACGACAATGCTCACCCATCCATCCGCACCACTCATGCACGCCCCCAGCCACGCAAGCTCAGTCTCGAGCGGAACGACGACCCCATGCACTAGCACATGAGCAAGCGAGCCACCACCGCCAGCCTTGTCCTCGGGTGGGAACAACAACGGCAAATGTGTCTCCATCAACGTCTTCACCGTCGCCGGCTGGCCACCAGCAGAGCTCGAATACCCACCACTACTCCCCCCAGGATACAACCCAGCCGTCCCCGTCGTACCAAGCGGACTGCTCACCAACTGAGGAGAGCCAGGCGACTGCAACACACTCGTACTCGAATCGGCATTGGCCAGCGGAGGCACCAGTGGTTGGATCACTGTCCCTGTCCCTGCACTCCCGGGTAACGTGCTCGCATACGTCGCAAGAGCGTGGTTCCCTCCCCATGTCAAATGAGGATGAAGGGGCGACATTGCGCTCCCTGAAGACGCCCCTCCAAACAGACTCGTGCCCCCACCAGCACCAGCACCAGGTAAACCTACGTTCCCCGCTCGAGGAGACGTCGATGATCCAGTAGTGTTCGGTTGATCCGGCAGGTATATCCGTATTGGCACGGACCGGACGTTGTAGGCAGTGTCTCGGTCTTGCGGAGGAAGAGACGAAGCGGCCGTCGTCCCCGTATTAGGGTCAGTAGAGGGAGGCCGTGAACTCAGTGAGGAGCCGTGGAACGCTGATGGGGACGTAGGAGCCGTTGGTGGGACAGGCGAAGGTGTGATCCGAGAGGCCACTCGCCAAAAGTCTTCAAAGTTGTCTGTGCCAGATTTCAGTCGATGAGCACCAATAAAGAACTAAAGCTCACGATCTCGCAAGGCATCCCATATGCCATCCTGGTCCGCCTTTCGCAGCCCCGTAACGCGCTTGGTACTCCCCCACCGTAGAAAATCTGCTTCTTTAAGTTGAGCCATAAACGATTGCTTCAATGCTTCTTGATTTGCAGCACCTCCCCCACTAATCCCGCTCTGGTGCTGTCGTTCGCTTCCACCGGCCATTGGCGCTAAATGCAGAGTGAGTCGTAAAGGTACCGTTGGTTGAGGGAACACGACTGGAGCGTTTGAAGCTCCTCCAGAGGAGGGTGGATAGCTCGACGCTAGAGAGACGGTTTTCGACGCGACGTAGATGTCGTATAAGAGACCAATTGGCCAATTCCTTTTCAACATTAGCAAGAGAGACCAACTTTGTATGCACGCACCATTTAACTACGCCCCCAAACTCGTCTTCGAACCACCAAGAGTCCTCCTTTAGATTCGCGCCTTCCCGCTCACTGAGAACAAGCTCAACGAGATACTGTTTCAGTTCTGGGACAATCAACGGTAGATAACTGATCCTAGGGACCTGACGCAACACCAAAACATCAGCGCCCGCTCCTTCCCAAACCAAGCACGCATTGAACAACCAGAAATACGAGTCAAATAGACATACCTGCAAGTAATAACTCTCTCCCAACCCTCTATCGCTCTCCGCTGGGAGCTCCTTTTGGTCGATTCGAATCTCGAGTGGGACGCTGCCTTCCCATACAAGCCGTCGAAACAGTGTCGTCGTCGCAGATGCACTTGCCGCGCTCCCTGCTCCAGATCCCAGGCCAACGCCGCCCCCCAGCCCCGACGGAGACGCGATCCGTGACGGATATCCGGACATGGACGGTCTACTAGATTATATCCACAACCTTATGTCTATAAGAGTTTCCCGAGATGTTGACGAGATCGTGCCAGACGCGTGTTACAGTCAAAACAAACGCGGTCAGAACTGGTGTAGGGATCCAAAGCGCGGACACCACCGGAGTTGTGAGAATACAAGCGTAAATACAATTAGAGTATATTTCATCTATCTCAATACTTGCAAAAGGGTTGATAAATGACTCGTCGCCTTTGTATTATCCTTTGCCACTTCCACGACGACGCTATACCTGTCCAGTGTAACGTACCCTCCACGCGACCGGTCCAAGCATATATCTGCGCGGAAGGGCATAGACGCAGCTCCCTTGCGTCGCGAGCACGTTGGGACCAAGTGGCGAGAATATCCCGGGTGAACAGGATACGGCACCAGCGAGGGCAATTGCCACCTTCGTAAATCTTTACTCCGCACAAGGTATTTGCACGGCAAGTCGAGTATAGAGCAAAAGTGACATCCCGGGCTGAGCATCGTAAGCAGCGGGCCACGGTAGATGAAAGACGGCTCACGCGTGAGTAATAGACTTTTGGGCGCGGGCGTCCAGTGAGAACTCGAAGAGCGTCGGTCTAGACGTGAGGAATCCATGTACTCGGTCTACCAAGGGCAATCGTATATGAGCCGGGATGGCGTCCGTCAAAGTCAACCGTAGGACCGGGGTCAACTTTCTCGAGAGGAGTCTCCTTTCCAACAAGATGAAGAGAATATCCAATTCTGGGTACCAATGAGGGAATGATAGTTGTTCCAGGGACGGCAGTTTGTACGCGTCGCAAGCCAACGACTTGGTCACCGCAGTGACAGGTTGTAACTTTCCATGAACTGTAATGCTCCGTAGTATCGGCAAGTCGAATGTAATAGACTTGTCCGTCGAGTCAAATGCCAATCGCAGGTCCAAGTCTGTCAAACTTGGCCACATGAAGTCCCAAAATGCGATGGGATACGTTTCGGTAAAGGTGATTGTCAGCTTTCGTACCGTTTCCGAGGAAAGCATGTGAAACGTCAACGTCGCACAGTGGATATTCAGCTCTCGAAGATGACAGCAGCGCTCAAACTCGTGTAGCCTATAACGAATGGGAGTTGGACAGCAGAACTCGCGAAGATTCTGGAGTTTCACCAGAGGAACCATGGTGCCCTGGTATACGAATGGTAGGGAGAGCGTTTCCGTGTTCGGTATGCACGAGAAGAGCCAGTCCCAAAAGGTTTGAGCATCTCCTCTGAACTTTCTCTCCATGGCTGATCGTACGGGCGGAAGTAGCACGACCTTGACCTCTCGCACGCTGGAGTCACCGACTGGAGGGTCATCGATTAGAGGGTAGAGCAGTAGTGATGATATTTCTGTGACCACAAGCTCAATCTTCAATATCTCCAGGGACTTTAGAGATATTATGGTCTCCAAAAAGCTTCGAAGATGCTGTGCGTCCACGCTAAAGTGCAGTTGGCGCAAAGTGGAGCGCATCTGGCTGATCAAACGGATTCCTTCACTGAAGTTTCTTTGTAAGTAAGACACTTCCGTCCACCGCAGTGATACACTATCAAAGGATTGCGGGCCTCCATGATGCTCCATAGGGCAGAAAGAGACGGAACGAAGATTTGGGAGTGTCTGAAGTATCGGAATCATCTGCGTCGCTTCACATCCAAGAGAAACACTAATTAATTGAGGATGTGAATCAGGTTGGAGCATTCCAAGAGAGGCACCTTGGATGTCGGCCAGCTGAGGATTCTGCTGAATAAATTCCCCTACACTACGTGAGTATGTCGTCGAGTCTCCAGTGGTGATATGTTCGAGATGCATCACCAATGATTTGAGAGCGGGAGTTGCGGGGAAGAGTTCGAGAAGACGCGTAGGCCGACCCGTACTACAGGTCCAATAGCAACATACGAGTTTCCTGATGCGCTTCGAGTGCGGGACGATGATTGGACCCATGTTGATGCGCCACGCCGAATCCTCGAAATAACCCTTGACAGAGATTTCCGTCTCGCGTGACCGTTCAATACACAGCATGATCAGCCTTTGAAGACTCGCATTAGAAGTGTCAATCTGCGTCCAGAAGCTGGGCTCGCAGGTAAGAAGGCGCCGCCATCTAGTAGAGACGGCCGTAAGCTGCTGTAGTGCCTTTATTCTCCTCCATAAAGTGTCTTGGCATAATATCTCATTGATGATCTGCAACCAAATCTCTACGGGAAAAGTGAAAAGTGGATCCACCCGGCGGTCATTGAGTGCCAGGAGTTTTCTGGTGATGTCGTTGTACTCGAGTGTCAGTTGATTTCGATCCAAGTTCAAATTGCCGATATGCCAAACACGCGAGAGTCGCTCTGCGAGCACTTGTCGGCGTAGCAGTTGTTCCTCGGTCCATTTTGCGGGTTGCGCCTCCATCCTAGATTAAAGTGGTATAAGAATGCCAACAGATCACACAATGAAGAGCCCTCGCTCCTTAGTCGCCCAGAAGCCGAGGGCGGAGATGGTCGGGCTCAAAGGGTGAGGTGTACTAGTATTACGCAGAACACATGATAATAAATACGGGTTTGTAGACCATTGTATAAGACACAACTGTATTAGAACATCCGGATGCATTATCAGATGGCGAGATTAGAATTATTGTCCATTTCACAAGCGAGGCAAGTAAACAGGATGATTGCGTATCTCCGCTAGTACTAACTCTTCAGAATCAGCAAGCAACTGTGGGCTCATGATGGTATGTTACCCAAAAGTTTGCAAACAAGTCGTATATACGTATTGGAAACGAGACGTACTATTTCAACATCACTCATAATGCAACTTGATTGTCGGCGTCATTACACTCGACGATAAGATCTATTTGAGTAATTGGAGTAGTGTCGAGAAGCGGCTAGTCATCGTCTTTTCCTTTGCGATGGTGTTCGATGGGTAAACTATTGCACTATATCTATCCAGTGAAGCATGGCCGGCACTTGCTCGCTCGATGCACATTTGTGAGCGATGATCGGAGGTACGTAAGAACGGAGCAGTGCGACAGCGCTCTGACCAGCTATATAGAACCTCCAGAGGACGAGAAGGATAAGGTGATACTTGTAAAAGCTTTCGCTTTTGTTCGCGCCCAGAGATATGATTTCTCGTAAGGCAGCTGCATGGCAAATCAAAGATGCAACAGTAATAGCACCCCTTGCTTCAAAGTTTGAGTAAGGTATATAATCAGGACAGTGCAAATTACCTATTATCGAGTATATTTCTGGCGCGGGCATCAACTGAGAGCTCGAAGAGTGTTGGTCGGGCCGTAAATAGTCCCCGTATCCTGTCCACCAAAAGTGATAATACATGAGAAGAGATGGCCTTGGATATCGTGAGCCGTCCCAAAGGTTTCAGATCGGGTGAGAGGAGTCTCCGTTCCAAAAGGATGAAGAGAATGTCCAACTCTGGATTCGAGCCAGTGAATGATAAGCTCTCCAAGCAGGGCACCTTATTCTGGTCGCAAGCCAAGGAATGGATCACTGCAGTAGCTACCTGCAGCGTCCCGTCCACGTTGATCTCACTAAGGCTCGGTAAATCCAACGTAATCGGCTCGCTAGTAAAATCGAAAAAGAGTCGGAGACTCAGCACGCTCAAGTTTGGCCATCTGGATGCCCGAAATTCTATGGGATGTGCTTCTCTGAGCGTGATACCCAACGTGCGCGTAGTTTCCGAGGAGAGCATGAGAAGTGCTTCGGCTCCACATTCTAGATTCAAGTCCTGAAGCATAGAACAGCACTCAAACTCGCTTATTTTGTACAGAATGACAGATTCGCAGCAGAACTGACGCAGTTTTGGGAGATTTGTTAAGGTGACCATGGTCGACCGGAGCACAAAAGGTAAGGAGAGCTTTTCCGTGTTTGGTGTGCGCAAAAGCAGCCAGTCCCAAAACCTTTTGGCATCATCACCGAATAGAAAGTCCTCCGTCTCAAGATCAGATGACGAGTACACGCGTAGCTCGCGGAGATTCGAACGCTCCTTGATAGTCTCTTCTAACAAGGATCGAAGAAGCAGTGGTGACAGATCTCCCAGGTCGAGGGATAGCGATGCTGCGTCGAGAACAATGAGATACCCCAATGCCTCCATAAGGTGACGCAGGTGTAGAGCATCGACGTTCAGGTAAAGGTTACGGAGTGTGGTGCGAAGTAGACCCAGAAGGGATATGCCCACCGCGTAGTTGTGTTGTATGTATGTCAGTTCGGTCCACGGGAGTGTTTTTTTCTCGATATGTGCCACTCTCGTCTGAAGCTCCATATGGCAGAAAGAGACAGAGCGGAGCTTTGGGAGCTTTCGAAGCGTCGAAATCGCCTGGCTTGCCTCACATCTGAGTGTAATGTGAGTCAAATTGGGGAGCAACTCGGGCTGGAGCATTTCGTGGCAGACAATCCCTATATCCATCAATTGTGGGTTCCTTTGTATGAAATTTATAATACTAGACATGTAGAGAGAATCCATACTCATCTCACCGAGGAGAAATAGGATGGTCTTTAGAGCGGGAGTTGTGGGGAAAAGTGATGGGAGCCGGGAGGCTCGAGTTGAGTCTACATTATACATGTATGAGGCCGAAATATGCTTGATGCGATGTGAATGGGGGGTTACAATCGCCGCAAGGTTTGCCTCCCACGCAGGATCCTCAAAGGTTCCAGATATATGCAGTTCTGCAGCTTGAGATCGTTCGAGGCAAGTCTTCGCAAGAGATAATATAATGTTTTTATAATCATCAACGAAGTAACACGCCTCGATTTGCGTCCAAAAGCTTGGTTCATTTATGATGAGAGACCGCCACAGAGTAGATACCGCCATTAGTTGCTGGATAGTCTTCATCTTGTTCACGAAATCAGCGGGCAGAATCCATTGGATAATTTCAGACCAAATCTCCACTGGAAACACGGAAAGTGGGTCGTTTCCGCCATCCTCTAGCGCGAATAGATCCTTGGTGATCTCGTTGTACTCTTTCGTTACCTGATTTACGCTCGGGTCATTTGTATCAATCTCCCAGCGACTTGAGATGTAGTCGACAAGAGCTCGTTGAGACCGTCGCAGTTGCTCCTTGGTCTGTGAGATGACCGTTACGTCCATATGAGAGACCCAATGGAATTCCACGGCTACACGGAAGAATAGTCACGTTATGGATGGTCCGCATGGAAAGAGGGGTCAAGATATAGAAATGCGAAGCGCGCGCTAAGCGAGATTGGAGAAGACACCAAAGGCGCCTACGAATGGCAATGTATAGTAAGCAATAAGGTACATGCCATGGTTCTTCAAGTGAGCCGTCTCCCACATCCAGAGGTAGCCGAATTCTACATCCGAATATCATGGGTTACACGATAAATATAAATCATGCGAACCGACGACCTTTTCCACTTTACCAACATTTCGAGGGCTTGCACATCTTACAACGGAAACACCATGTCGCTCGTGCTCTGCACTCACTTCTCTGACAAACAAATATATCCACAGATTATATACTGTGGCTAGAATCTTAGCTTATTGGCAGGGGTGGGGAAGCCATCGTGCGGCTCTATTACAAGAAGCAAGGAGAATGCTATTTGAGTACTCGAAGTAATGTAGATAGGCGATTAGTCTTCTTTTGCTTTCTGTCCGCTGGGTGAACGATGACACTATACCTGTCTAGTGCGACACGACCTTCGTTTGCTCGCTCGAAGCACATATCTGTGCGATGATAATTACGCAAGAACATAGCAGCGTGAACGCGTTCCGGCCAACTGCCCAGAACCTCCATGGGACTAGAGGGATATGGCGGTATCTGCAATAGCTGTCTCTTTCTTTTCTGTCCGGAGATACGGTCCCTTGGCAGTTGGTTACAGGGTAGATTGAGTATGCGACAGAAATAACATCCTGTACTAGATAGAGGTAAGTCAAGCATCCCGCCCGTCCGAATAGCTTACATGTCAGTATCTAGTACAGCTTTAGCGTGCACGTCAACCGATAGATCAAAGAGTGTTGGTCGAGCTGTGAATAGTCCTTGAATTCTTTCCACCAAAAGTGATAATATACCACTAGGGATAGACTTGGATATAGTGAGCCGCATCAACGGTTTGAGATCGCTTGAGAGGAGCCTCCTCTCTAAGAGGATGAAGAGAAGGTCCAACTCCGGATACCAGCGCGGGAACAATATATGTTCCAAACACGGCACCTTGTGCGCATCGCAAGCTAGCGAGCGGGTCACTGCAGTGACTGGTTGTAGCCTCCCGTCCACTTCGATCTCTCTGAGTTGCGGAAGATGGAACGTAATCGGCTCGCTTGTAGACTCGAAAGCCAATCGGAGATTCAGTGTGGTTAGGCTTGGCCATTTGAATGCCAAGAATTCGATGGGGTGTACTTCAGTGAATGTGATAGCCAGCTTACGTACCGTTTCCGACGAGAGCATGAGAAATGTCACGGCCCCACATTGTAGATTGAGCTCCTGAAGACTTGAGCAGGAATCGACTTCGCGCAGGTGGTAAAGAATGACAGATCCACAGTAGAATCGACGAAGCTTTTTAAGATTCGTTAACGACACCATAGTCGATTGGAACGCGAAAGGCAAGAAGAGCGCTTCTGTATTAGGTATGCGCAACAGGAGCCAGTTCCAAAGGGTTTCAGGATCTGTGCCAAATCGAGAGTCCATCGCTATCCGATGATAGTATGTTGAGAATACGTCGACCTTCCGGACATTTGAATATTCGTTGACAGGCTCGTCTAGAACTGATCGAAGAAGTAATGGTGATAGATTGCCCAGGTCAAGGAATAAGGTCAACATCTCGAGGACGGCAAGATATCCCAAGGCCTCCATAAAGTCTCGCAGGTGTAAGGCGTCAACCTTGAGGTGAAGATCACGAAGGGAGGCACGAAGGAGACCGATCAAAAAGATGCCAACTCCATGGTTGAGTTGTGTATACTTCAGTTTGGTCCAGGGGAGGGGTTCATTGGTGTCGCAAGGTTGCGGCCGAGGCGGAGGCCACAGATCATGAAATGTGACAGAGCGGAGCCTTGGGAATTTTCGAAGGACAGGAATCGCCTGTGTCGCTTCACATTTGAGTGAAATGCGAGACAGACTAGAAAGTGAATCGGGTTGAAGCAGTGCATGGCAGGCACCCCGGATATCCGTTAGCTGCGGGTTCTGGTGTATAAAATGCCTGATACTACATACGTAGGCAGAATCTTGGCTGATTTCATCGTGGGGGAGTTGCACCGTCAATGCTTTCAGCACAGGAGTGATGGGGAAAAGCGATAAAAGTCGTGTGGCTCGCGCGGAATCTCTATTATATATGCGTACCAATATAATTTCTTTGATACGATGTGCATGAGGAGTTATCACCGTGCCAAGGTTTGCCTCCCACGCAGGGTCTTCGAAGGTCCCGCAGATAGAGAGCTCTGCAGCCTGAGACCGTTCGATACAGAGTTTGATAAGAGGAGTATGAAATTTTTTTGAGTTCAAATAGAAATGATATGTGTCTATCTGTGTCCAAAAGGACGGCTCGTGTATGATGAGGCGCCTCCAATGAGTGGATACCGCCATAAATTGTTGAAGCGTCTTCATCTTGGCCAGGAAAGAAGTAATTGATGGTGGTAGGACATCCTTGATGATTTCTGACCAAATTTCCACGGGCAACACGGAGAGTGGGTCCACTCTGCGACGTTTCTCTAGTGCTGATAGACTCATGACAGTTTCATTGTACTCGTTCATGACATGTTGTAGGTTCTGGCTATCCGTAGCGGTTTCCCAGTGACTTGCGAGTTGCTCTACAAGGGCTTGTTGATCCAGTCGCAGTTGCTCCTCCTCTGAAACCACTACTGTATCCATATGATTCTCTCTGCCACAAATACGGCAATTAAGGCAATAGTCACGCAGATACGCGCGAAATTCGTCACTGGTCGGTCCCACGCAGAGATGGAGAGGTCCAAGTTGTGAGGCAAGCGAGTCAGGGATGGCACCGGACGCGCGCCAGTACGAGAAATAACTGGAAGTAACTTTCGCCGGGCATGTGGTACCACCGCGGTTTGGACTCCACGTCGATGATTACAAAACAGTTGCCTTCTCTTCACGAGGAGAATGCGCAAAAGGAGACCACTTGCAGTCATTTTTAGCCATGTCTGAGCTCACAGTAGCCTGCGCTACGTCGACAAGGCTGTAAAAACAAGGCAGAATTAGGCGTTGGGCGGACTGAGCGCACTTGGAAAGATTCAGCCAGATAGATCGGTCAAAAATAGGTACATTGGCACAATCTATTCTCTGCCACATTGGATCTCCTTGGGCCACACGGGCGCGCTGGTCCGACAACTTTACCATTTACAGTCTTAGTCCCTCTCAGCAATGCATCGTATTCTTCCCAATATTTAGTTTGATGTCGAATCAGAGTCTCCGCACTCACTGCCTTTTGCCCATCGGAACTCGCATCCACAGCCCCGTCGGGAACAGGACAGCCTCGATGGAACAGTAAGAGCGTGGCTCGTTGTCACCGGAGTCACTGATGAAATAGATCCACGTTCACATTCGAGTACTCACAGCTCCCCCACCACGCCTCCTCCATATCTGCGCATTGCTCAATTCGTTCACACGACCTCGGGCCATATTTAACACGTACGTCCTTTCATCTCGGATCTCTGGATACCCCTTCGTTCATCTCTTCTGTCGCTTTTCTATCAAACTCACTTTAGCTGGCCCTATTCTTATTCGCATTACTCTAGACCACACCTCGACTCTAATCAGAGGAAGCAATGTACCTCCAAGCCTATCCCACCTCGCCTAGAGCGCACCTTCGGCGCTCATCTTCCGCACCATCTGTCACATCTCCGCCATTCAGAGTAGAGCCAGCAACCGAACGGCCAAAGCCCACCATACTTCTTCCCTCTTTCGTACCTCTGCCTCGCCCGCTCCCCCCTTCACCAATTCGCTCATGTCGACGGGGCCAGAAGAATGTTTTCAGAAAGCTTGTCAACCGCGACTTGTCCCTTCCAAGAGACGGATCTCTCTCGCTCGATCAACGTATCCTCGCCATTGAAGACAAGAGGTCGCTGACCGTGCCCACGTTGATCCATAGTAGAGCGCCCACACCCGATTCTTACGGCGTACCAGACAAATTGTCCACTGAGCAAAGCACTGAGATGGATCGTGGGTGGGAAGCAGAATGGTCGAAACCACCTTCGAAAAGGTAAGTAACATTTTGCTGCTGGAATGTTTGCTAATGTCAGATACTAGTCCAGCTTCTGGAACCTCGAGTACACCTAAGTTAACCGAAGACGGAAACGCATTACTGTCGTTGCGGACACCATCTCCAAATTTCACAATTAGAATCTTTGCAGAAGATCCCATGCGAAGCAGTCCTGTCAAATTGCATCCAGACTCCACGTCTCACACTGTCAATAAGCCGACGGGAACCCAAAGTCGAAGCCAGTTGCCCACCAGTGCACTTGGATTGTCCCTCGGCGAAACTCAGGGTCAACCACAGAGACACGCATCTCCAAGTCCTCGCTCTGGGCGAACAACTGGTCGACGCTCATCTCATCGGCGTACGTCCAAGCAAGTAGCTCTCGGGCACAGCCATGGCTATACCGTTGTCTCTCCAGAACTGTATGCCTCTCCCACAACCCCAAGGACGGCATCTAGTGGGTACACTCGTCGTATCACCGAGCGGGAGAGCGCAAGCGAAGCCGGGATGCTATTCCTGCGATCACGCAAGGGGCAGTATCGTCGTAGTTTTCGAACCATGCAGTGCCTGCTTCAATCGGAAACGGGCGATGCACCTCCGACGCCCGACCCCTTCGCCGGTCGTCAGCCCGAGTTGCACCGACTCGATGAAGATGGGGGAGGGACGGGGTTGATCCAAGAAAGGAGTATAAAGGTAGTGAAAAAACCTATATCATCTCTCTACTCGCCTGTTTCGACGCTCAATACCAATCCGTCCCCTATCGAACGTATCCCACCCATCCTGCAAATGCTGGCCCTGGATTCATATCCATCCGAACCTGCGACTACGTCCTTCCAGTCACGTAGTCGTGCTCAAGAAACTGAAACCTTGGTGGGAGCGGTGAATGCGTTGACGGTGCAAAGGCCACCGAAACTCGAAATTCCCGTCTTCTCGCCAATTGTCGACTCTTTGGCGCACCTTTCGCTGACAAACATGATCAACGTCGTTCAAGCCGACCCCTCACCACCACCCCCGTATGCAAAGAACACAAACACCGACACATCGCCAGCAAGTTTGACGAGTACTTCGTCGCTCACAACACCGCAGAGCGGTTACTTGCGAGAAAACATGCGATCGGAGATGGCTCATCTCGCCAATCACGACCGCCTCCGGAATGTGCTTCCAGCCACCACGATGCCGGTGCGGATGAAACATGAGGATCCATCTCTTTATTCTCAACCGCCAATGGCTGTCAGAGAAATGATCGAGTCGCGCAATGGCCAATACAACGGTCGCTTGCTGGCAGCAACACCGAGCCAACATGATTCTGAACGCGAAGCAACGACGTCTGCGTCGCGGAATGCATCGTATGGAGTCGAGATTTTGGTCGAGACAAGCGTCCAAGTACACGTCGATACTATGCCTCGGCATGCGAATAAGCCAAAGCTACGAGACTCGCCTCCGAACAAGTCACATCTCAAGCTAAACATGGATGCTGTTGGGATGTATCCAGCGATCAAAACCCGTAAACGACCGATCGTCCTGGTACAAGTGAGTGACTTCTCCCGATCATTCGTTGCGATTTCTGATACCTCTTTTAGGATACACCATTTTCTGACGCTGTATTGATGGAGCATGCGTCTACTGGGACCATTCAGCGAACAGTTGTGCAGACTAGCTCCACGCCGGAGAGCAAAACGCGCCGTCCACTTCCCCCACTCCCTAATGCGAAGAAGAGGACCGCAGAGCAACCATAGGCTATTGAGAATGGGTCTACCATTCCCTTTTTCTTACTTTACAGTAAACCTAGTAATGAATGTAACAATCTCACACCAATCGACCTATCTGAACCTAAAACTTACGGCATGTGTACTAGTCATCATGAGCAAATTCTGATCTGATTACTGCGTAACTCTATCAGGCGAGCCTCTTGAACCTGACCCAGTCCCCCGGGCCGTAGTGTTGCCAATCAACAAAAGAATCAGCGCAGTAATTTGAAGAAGGGGTTGGGATCAGTACTCAGGCTCGAGCAGGGCTAACTCCGGGCACAGCAGAGGACCATGTGCTACACTCCAATGCCTCGATTATAATATGACGAGTCACTGGAGCCATCGTTCCACTCTCGTATTTTGCTCTCTCTCACGGAAATGGGATTCTGCAACAACGACAATCGATTTCAAGTGGGCAGCAACTGTCGCCAACTCGACTTCACGCTCACATTTGAACAATCGTACGACAAGTCTCTTGAAAAGACCTTTACAGCAGATTACTCATCATTTCTCCTAGAATTCTCTCCCTCCTCCCTGACATACTTTTCATTGTCGTCGCGCTCCACCGTCTACGAGAGCTCCATTTATGGAGCACCAAAATTTCGAGGATATGGACGGGACTTTACTGCTCAAAAGCGCTCGCTGGACTGATGCTAGTCGCTTCTAGTCTCGCTGCCCTCATTGTCCACGCGGTCACCGGTTCAGTACGGCATACGACCCGAACGACGCTCCCAACCCTCATTTTCCAACTCCTCGCAGTGGTATGGCTTCCATCTCTGATTGACGCTGGTGACTGACCACCTTTTGTTAGTCACTCCTCATCCCCCTCACTTTAGTCGAGCACACAAAATCGCTAGCACCGAGTTCACGTATAATCAACTACACGCTTATCAAGGGTCTCTTTGTGTCCGCAATACTACGGACCTACCTCCTCTCTGGTACACTCGACGCGTACCCACGCGTCTTTCACGCCACCGCTCTGGTGGCCGGATCATACTACATTGTCCTTTTCACCGAACTCGTTCACAAACGCTCAGGGTATCTCAAAGATGAATACAAATATCATCCTCAAGAAGCGAAAAGCAGCTTTCTTGTTCGCTCCATGTTTTTATGGTTGTTGCCTCTGCTATGGAGAGGGCGCAATACTCGATTTCAACTCAAGGACCTCAATGAGATCCCACAGGATTTCAAAGCAGAAGAATCGCGCCAGCACCTTCTCATAGCTTTGGAGACTGGAAAGTGCGTCAAATTGTCCCATCAACTCGTTCGAGCGTATTAATTCGTCATTTAGCAAATCTTCATACTTCTACCTCCTCCATTCAACCATTAACAGCTTTGGCATATCTTTCTTCGCACCAATCTTACCTCGTTTCATCCTCCTCCTCGCGACATTCGGACAACCGTTGCTCTTGAAGGATATACTAGGGTTCATGTCGACTCCTACAGCTTCCAACTCTGTAGGATGGGCCATCTTCGGTGGATACGTGTGCATATACGGGCTGATGGTCATCAGTACGGCACTTTTCTGGGAAAAAGTGATTTCCCCTCATTGCTGCGTTTGCTGTTCTGACCTTGTTGCTATAGCTCTACGCCGTCACAGTCAAGTATCGTGGTGCATTGGTCGGCGCCATATACTTAAAAACGCTGAAGGTCGCCTCTCATACAAGTCGACCTTTGGGCACAGGCGTCGGCAGCAATTACATGTCTGTCGACGTTGAGCGCATTACGTTGGGTATCGAGAGTTTTCACGAGCTACTTGGCGCATTCTTTTCTCTGCCATTAGCATTCGCTATTCTCTACAGTCAGGTACGTTCGTTTTATTTCACCCCGCCTTTAGCTCATATTGTCGGAATCCATTGCGCGTTGGGGCGGTTGGTAGGCTCACTGGGTGGCGTTTCTACCCCTGGGTATAATAGCTATCGCATTGTGTGCTACATCGTATGCGGCAAAGTTGGCAGGGACACGGCAGACTGTATGGTCTGCTAAAACGGACGAGCGCATCAAGTTCTTAGTATGTCGCTCACTCAATATCTCCTATAAGGGGCAAAGCAGCTAACTATGGTGTAGAGCTCTGTGATAGCCCAGCTTCTACCTATCAAATTCTTCGCCTACGAATCGTACATTGCGCGCAAGGCAGACCAACTTCGTAAGATTGAAATTCGTGCTCTCAAGCGTCTTTTGTGCGGTTATTCTTTCCATGTCTAGGCGTTTACTGATGAAACTTTGCAGCGTCGCGTTCCTCTGGGCCGCTACAATCTCCAACTCACTGATGGGTTTCACGCTCTTGGTCGTCATCGGTGTATATGCCGCCGTGTTTGGACGCTCGGGTGCTGGGAACACTTTGGACGTGGAACGAATATTCACCATCTACGCAACTGTACAGCTGCTTTCGTGGCCTTTAAATGTCCTTGGTACGTCTACCCGACTCTGTATTGTATGATTGAAGATGTTTGTAGGCCAGTTTCTGCCCGACGTCATGGCAGCATATGCCTCTATGAAGCGGATAGAGAAGTATCTTCTCTTTGATGAGAAGCCTCAGTCGCAGAGTATTGCATCAGATCCGAACTCGGAGAAGCATGTCGATAGTGATATCACACTCCGTGGCTCGTTTGCCTGGAATAAGGAAGAGGAACCAATTTTACCGAACGTCGATATCACGATTCCGACAGGCAAGCTCACCATCTGCACTGGACCTGTCGCAGCTGTACGTTGTCCGCTCACCTATGGGAGCAAGTTCTGAGTAGACCTAGGGCAAAACAAGCTTGCTGATTGCTCTCCTCGGTGAACTTGACGCAACATCTCCTCCGGAGAAAACGCACATGCCTACCCTCGAAAAGATAGGTTACACGTCGCAAGAGTCATTTATCATGCCGGGGTCACTTAGAGAAAACATTCTCTTCGGGAGCGAGTACGACGAAGCCTGGTATTCCAAGACGATCAAGGCGTGTGCGCTCGAAGTCGACTTTGATAGAATGCTGGCGGGTGATGGAACGAAAGTCACAGACGCTAGGAGTCTGAGTGGTGGGCAAAAGCAACGGATCGTACGTACACAGCTCGTAAAGCTGGGAGAGAGAAACTGACTAGACTGTAGGCACTTGCTCGTGCAGTCTACTCCCGTGCATCGTTGGTTCTGTTGGATGATCCTTTCAGCGCACTTGACGGCGAGACGGCATCCCATGGTAGGTCCCTCACAATTCAAAAGTAGGATGCTGACTTTGAGTAGTATTCGAGCATCTCTTTGGGCCTACTGGTTTACTAAGAGGCAGGACCGTTGTGCTCGTCACGCATTATGGCGCGTCCGTCTTCTCTTCGCTTGGCTCATCTCGACTGACCTCTCTCAGTGCACCACCTTCCGTCAGCAGACTGGGTGATAATACTAGAAAATGGATCTGTTACTCACAGCGGCACATGGGACGAAGTACAGCAATCCGGTTACAAGCTTAGCGATCTCTCTAAGACGATCGAGAAGTCGGAGAAATCGATTCAGAAGAAAGGAGAAGCTATATTAGAGGCGAAGAAGGCGGATGACGGCAAGAAGATTATGGATGAGACCGATGCAGTAGACGAGGTTGACGAGGAGAGCAAAAATCCGTACCTCCGTGGCCTCAAGCCGTACAAATTCTGGTTCGGAAACGCTGGATATTTATACACCGTGTTTGCCTTGGTATGTCTTTCTCTGCTTTCCGTGCTCAGCGTTCCTAAAGCGACGTGTAGACAGTGTTCATCGTTTGGCCAATGACACGTTTGGCAATGCAAGTGAGCGTTTCACATAACAGGGTGAAGGTAGCCTTGGCTAACTGCATCAAGGGATATCTCAAAGAATGGTCGGATTCCGCGGACGCGAAGAACTATCCAGCCTGGATAGGGGGCCTCGCAGGGTTCTCATTTGGCCAAGTCGTCATATTGTATGCGCTCTTCTCCTACCTACCTCATTGGCTAAGGTTGATGGTCTAGGTCCTGCGGGTTCTTGTTCTACTCCAATCACATGACTCCACGAGTCGGGAAGAACATTCATTATCAAGAAATTCGGGGATTGCTACGTGCACCTGTCGATTGGATACAACGCACCCCTGCCGGACGAATCGTCAATCGGTTTTCTCAAGTAAGGGCCTGTTCGGCATCTACTTCACTTACGCTAAGTAATAATAGGATATTTTCGAGATCGACTTCAACTTTCCTATCGCCTTCCTTAATGGGTCGAGTGCAGGGTTTGGTTTGAGTACGTTCGATAACTCCAGGCGAGACTTGCTGTACTAACGGGCTATAGTCGGTACTATGGTCATCATCTACATCTCTGTAAGTTTTATCCTCCGATTTTGCCCATCTTACATTCTTTCAGAGTCCATGGCTCGCACTCAGTGCACCGCCTATGCTATTTGCGTACTGGATTCTACTAAGATTCTATCTCAAGTCATCCAAACAACTACAGGTACTCTCAGAGCGAATTGAATATTCAGGCAGTTGACAAACTTATTTAAGCAATTGGAAGCTGCATCCAAGAGTCCGCTTTATACCGTCTTTGGAACGACATTGGCGGGGCTAGAGAATATTCGGTTCGACTAATACTTATACTGGAGCCCAACTCATCGCTTTCAGGGCCTACCGAGCACAAGAGTTTTTCCTTCACCAGAATGACAAGCATCTCAATGCGAGTCAAGGGCCGTACCATTATCGCTTTGCGTCACTCCGATTCTTGTGAGCTTTTTATGCTCCGCGTAACCTAAAGGCTCTAACATATCTAGGAAAACCGCGCTGTCATTTATGACATTTATCATCGCGGTCGCACTGGCGGGGACGGTCGTTGGCTTACGAAGAAGCACCTCGATTGCTTTGTGAGTGTATAGACTACATTGTGTACGAAACTGATCTCTATATATAGCTTGGGAATGGCATTATCAAATATCACCAACATGGCTATGCAGCTCTCGCAACTGCTGACGGTGCGCAATTCCTTGAATACTCACATCCCGCTAACGCCTTGAAGAACTGGGCTGCCATCGAAAACGGCACAATCAGCGTCGCCAGGTTGCAAGAGATGGTCGAACTACCGGGAGAACGCGATGAAGAGGGTCAGATAATTATTTCGAAGAAGAGCGATATCTGGCCCACGCGCGGGAGCATTGTTTTCGAAAATGTTGAGCTCAAATACGGGTACGCAAACACTCGATGATTCCCATGCCGATGTTGATAGTCAACAGGGAGGACCTTCCAACGGTACTCAACAAGGTCTCGTTTACAATCAAGCCTGGCATGAAAGTCGGCATTTGCGGACGTACCGGGAGCGGGAAGAGTTCCACAGTTCAAGCACTATTTCGCGCCGTGGACTCTTCTCTTGTCAAAGGGAAAATCAGTATTGATGGCGTGGACATCCAGTCCCTCCCCCGACATACCCTGAGAAGTTCACTCTCGATTGTCACCCAAGAGCCGTTCTTGTGGCACGACACTATAAGGAACAATTTGGACGTCGAGGGCACGCAATCAGATGAGCGCATCTGGAGGGCACTCGATCAAGTTGGACTGAAGAAGACGATTCAAGGATTGAGCATGAAGCTCGAATCAATGATCGAGGAGGCAGGCTCGTTTTCTCGTGGCGAGGTAAGACGATTGCAACCTATACAACATGTCTTACTCTCTTGTAGCGTCAGCTACTCTGCCTTGCGAGGATACTTCTTCGGGCGCGCAAGATTGTTGTGCTGGATGAAGCGACAAGCAGGTATATAGCCAGCAGATCTTTAGCGCCTCTCTAAGCCTCATTTAGCATGGATCTCGAGACCGATGACCTTGTGCGTAAGGTCGTCGAATCGGAACTCAAGGACAGCACTGTATTGGCAGTCGCGCACAGAATCTGTGAGCACTTTCTCAATGATGAATAAGGTTTTTGACAAAATTTAGCGACAATTATCAACTTTGATCTCATCCTCGTCCTCGAGAATGGCGTTGTTGTCGAAGCCGATGCACCGGCCGCACTCCTCGCATCGGGGGGACGGTTTGCGCAACTTGCCGCAAGTCAAGGCATTGCTTCAAATCAATACGTTTAACTGTAGCTATTGTAGAATGGGCCTTCATGAAATAGGATCAATTTTCAGTCAGTCAAGGTCGATCGACCCCTCAATCAGACTTCACAAAGACAAATATTTCAAATAAGCACCCTGTAGATAGACGATGAGCCGCCGCGTGAGTATTACTATATGAAGGCACCATTAGTTGGTGAGGAGGCTGCAGCTTCTATACAGTGCAGTTATTGCCACTAGCATTGCCCTCTGGATAGGAATCAAGTAGGTACTCCGAACTACCTGATTTGTAGCCGCTTATGTCACCTCACTCATGGCCTTTTTTACACCAGAGAGGAGCAATTCATCGAAATCTCGTTCTTGGATGCATTGAGGAGCATAGTGGCGGTGTATGGATCTTTTGAGGTAATCTCCTTCACATCTGTTGCAGGTTGCCCGTAACGGACTTGCAAAGGATTTGATCCGAAACACAGATTCTCAGCATGTCCACAAAATGAATGCGAAACAGACATGACCTACGTCAAATGGCTATCACCTGGTCGGGACTTTGGCGCGAATCTCCGGAAATGGACCCAGTGCCCCCTCAAACGGAAATCTCGAAAGTGGCCCCCACTTGTGAAAGACCGAGACGTGGGTACAAATATCATGAGAACGACTCTGTTAGACGATATATCTGATGAAACAACAGGAGATTACTATCAAAGGGAGTCGGACTCTTGTAAGTTTGACGGTATGATAGCGCTCGTAAGCCTGCTATATTATCAGGTATCATCCCTACACTCATGTAGTGGTTCTTGGATGCGGATATATACTGAGAGTGTGTTATCATCCGGTCCCCTTGCTCGCTCTGATGTCAGTCCAGAGTGAAGAACTGTTTGCAGTCGTCTTCATGAGTTCTCACTGCACCCCACTTTGGTATCTGGATTGACTAGTACACCTACGCAGGGGCTCCTTATGTCTACAATGCCAGCTATTTGCAGTAACTTCAAGCCAAGGTAATAGGATTATTCAGACATATCCGAATCGTTGCCTTGTCGAGAAGTTGCAATTCATTGCGCATGGTTGGATATAATTGCAGGCAGAACCGCTGAGCAAATATACCCAGTCAATTGAAGCGAGCCACCACTTCAGAGACAATCTCGTGAGGAATGAACCGACACAGAAGCAGCCATTCACCACGCATTATCTTGCTGTGATCATTGCACAGCTGGGCTACAGTGAGATCGAGCACAATCCTGACTAAGTGTGCGAGCGTCTCGGGGCATCTTTTGGCAGAGCACGACAAGGCAATGTCGGATACCTGATGAACATGGTTCCTCAGGCATCCGAGATGGATGATCGTGGGCCAGAAAACGCGCTCTGGAGAGCTAACGGCCTAGATAGCCGACGCGCCTCGACGTGACGAGTTATCAGGTATTGGACTTTAAAGTCTCGAATCAATGTATTTCGTCACAGAACAAGGGAGCCCGGTCATGGTCGGGGTCAAGATGCGAGAGGGGTGCGTACCACCCGCCGCCCGCTTTATACCGCGAGGATGGTGATGCCGACAGAGAATATACCGTCCCATATTGCGCATAAATGTCTTGTAAACCACGGACGGAGGTTTGCCGGGCTGTCAAATGAGGGCGGGTGGATGCTCCGCTGGCGAGTGGTCATTCAAGGTTGGACTCGAACTATCATCAGAGTATATTCTTCTGTGATAAATCCGAGCGTTTGCAGGCATCTGTGGTGGTGGCAAAGACCAAATCCCACTTGGACTCTGCCTTAATTTTGCCAGCAGCACTCACGCTTGCCCGTCGCGAGTTCTATGCCTGGGCCAGTCGCAGTAGATATCGGAACACCTTCTCCTCGCTCGTCGTTTGAAGAAATCCAGCACCCAACTTACACCGCCGCTCGTTCAAATCCGCGCTACGACGCTGCCAGCCCGTCGTGGTCCTCGTCCTCTCACCAGCCACTCGTAGAAGAACTCCCTATGCACTACGTTACAGATGAAAAGGCAAGGAGGCGCATTATTCGAGCGCCGGGCTCTGTAGACCCTGGTTCCTCGCCGCTCACCAGCACCCGTGAGCATATGCCCTACGAAATGCATCCCCCGACAGACCACGTCGACGACATCGACGACGATGATGGAAAAGAGGTCTACAGACGGATGCGCGTCGCGACCGCCCTCCGCCAGATTCCACGTCCACCCCCGACGACCTTTAAAGAGGACTTAATCGAAAACCTACCAGCTGCCATTTACACTCTTTTATCATGCTGGACACGATTCTATCAGATTGGTAAAAATAACCACGTCGTCTGGGACGAGGCACACTTTGGAAAGTTTGGCAGTTACTATCTACGGGTAAGGACTGTTGGAACTGCGCGCTAAATCTATTTTTACACTCTTTCAGAGAGAATTCTATTTCGATGTACACCCGCCACTGGGTAAAATGATTGTCGGTCTCGTTGGCCTTCTCTCGGGCTACAACGGTAGCTTTGAGTTCAAGTCCGGCGACGCCTATCCTGAAGATGTACCCTATGTCGCCATGCGAGTCATGCTCGCCACCTTTGGCGTGCTCATGGTCCCCCTCGCCTGGTACACGTCTCGCGAACTCGGCTTTAGTCGACGCGCAGCACATTTGACCACCATCATGGTTCTTTGCGGTACGTTGTATTCAAAACTATGGAGAAACGCCGGCTCAATTGGCCCTGTCCCTAGACGTCGCCTGGCTTTGCATCTCCCGCTTTATCCTCCTCGACTCTATGCTCCTCTTCTTCACCTGTACTACCGTCTTTTGTCTCACAAAGTTTCATTCGGAACGACACGAGTAAGCTGACTCTCGGTCCTTGCCACGTCCTCATCATTTTCCATAGTCCGTTTGAGCCCGATTGGTGGATATGGCTCACCCTCACCGGAATTTCCATCGGATGCGTCACGTCTATCAAATGGGTCGGATTCTTCGTCACGGCGCTCGTTGGCGTATACACACTGGAGGATCTGTGGGAAAAGTTTGGCGACTTGAAAATGCGCAAGGTGAGGGCTTCTTTCATCTTTTTGAACACTTTGTATTAACCATCCAATAGCGAGATTACATCAAACATTGGATCGCCCGAGGCGCGCTCTTGATTGTGCTGCCGTTCATCGTCTACATGATTTCGTTCAAGATTCATTTCCTCATTCTCAACCATTCCGGAACTGGAGATTCACAAATGTCCTCGCTCTTCCAGGCAAACTTGGAAGGCAACGACTTTAGCAAGAATCCACTCGAAGTCGCCTTTGGCTCCAAAGTCACGTTCAAGAATATGGGATACGGTGGCGGTCTGTTGCACAGTCATACGCAGACCTATCCTGTAGGAAGTCAACAGCAGCAAGTGACCTGCTACCACTACAAGGACGACAACAACCACTGGCGCGTCGAAAAGCCATGGACCTCTGCCCCTGTCGACGACGAGGGTGACATCGAGTTCCTCAAGCACAATGACGTTGTCCGTCTCGTGCATACGCCGACCGGTCGAAACCTCCACTCTCACACTGTCGCTGCACCCGTCACCAAGCTCAACAATGAAGTGTCCTGCTATGGTAATACGACGACCGGCGATGCGGGTGACCACTGGATTGTTGAGATTGTCGACGACATGGTTCTCGGCAAGAGGCAGAATGTCCCGCATGTGCGAAGCTTGACGACAAAGTTGCGCTTCAAGCATCAGCAACTCGGGTGCTACCTCGTCGCGCCAAACACCGTCTTACCACCGTGGGGATTTAAGCAAATTGAAGTCAGCTGTGACAAGGAGAATAACCCAAATGATCCACACACACACTGGAACGTGGAGAGCCACTGGAACGGACGACGTGAGTGCCCATTCAACATCTAGGTATATGACTGATAATGAATAGTGCCCGTTGGAGAGACGAAGTTTTACAAGTCGCCATTTTTCCGCGACTTTTGGCATCTCAACGTTGCGATGATGACCTCGAACAATGCGCTCGTCCCCGACGCAGACAAGGAAGACATTCTCGCATCGTCGCCGACGGATTGGCCATGGCTGCACCTCGGTCTACGCATGTGCGGATGGGGCGACAATCAGACCAAGTACTACCTGATTGGTAACCCGGCTGTTTGGTGGAGCGGCACTGCGTCGTTGGGCATTTGTGTGCTCGTTATTTGCGTCTACCTCATTCGTAATCAACGGGGGTATCGTGATTGGGGTGTCGGCGAGTGGGATCATTTCCTGTATGTGTGCAAGATTGCTGGGCTCGGATGGGTGTTCCAATACGGTGCGCATTTTGTCAATTTGTTATTGAATCAGAGACTAATGAAGATCCAGTGCCGTTCCTCATCATGGGTCGAGTAACCTATATCCACCATTATTTGCCCACGCTCTACTTTGCCGTACTCATGGTCGGTCACTTGTTTGACCACCTCGTCTTCAAGTCGCGTCGCTTCTCCGAGAGGACGAAGTGGATCATCTTTGCTATTGCGTCTGGAATCGTCATTGGTGTCTTTTGGTGGTTCAGAGGCGTCGCGTTCGGTATCGACGGTCCCATTAAGGAGCACTGGGGGCTCTTGTGGCGCAAGGTACGTGGCTTGCTGATACTTAAACTAGTAACTAATGCGCTTCTACAGACTTGGAACATCTACGAGAGTCATTAGAGTGGACCATGACTGTGTTTTGACTGGCGGTTATTTACTCCCTCGTTTTATTCCGTTGTTAGACTTTACCCAAAAAGACTGGTTCTCACCGCGAGTCCACGTGCTCATGCTGAACCTCTTTGATTAAAAAGCTCTAAGGACACGCTGCTATAGGGGCAGTCCGCACACTTCGCAATCACGCGCGCTCGCATCGTTCTCAAACGTGCAGTGAGGACACATCTTCGTGCCGCTGCTTGTCGACGCGCCAGGTCCGGTGTCAAGACGGCTACGAGGACGGCTGCCACTGTCCACGTCCATGCCCATCTCTTCGAGCAATTCCGGTGGTATCTCTTCAAAGCCGTCATTATCCATAGGTCGAGACAAGCTTCCGGTATTCCTCGATTTGGACGCTACAGCTGTGTTAGTAGTATCAAACATAAGAAGCAGGCTACGCACGAGCTGATTCGACCGCGACCGCTGTGAGTGTTTGCCACCCGTCACGCTCGAGTAATGGATCCAAGACCGTTGCTTCCTCAAAGTTGGGACTAGTCGCCACTTTGGCAATCGCCTTTATATCTTCCCGACCGATAATTTCAACCTGGTTCCAATACGCGAGGAGATGCCAGTCACTCAGCCATTTCGCTACCTTTTCGCGTGCTCGTCTGGCCTCGAATGACGAATCAATTGGACTTGCGACGACAGATGCCGCGTCTATTTGATTAATTTCGGCGAGGAGCTTGTCCGTTGTCTGCTCTTCAATTCCGTGACGGTTCTCAATTGGGAAACCCTTTGGTGAACGGAACAGTGGCGAAGGTTGAAGGGGAAAGCCGTGAGTGATCTAAAAGGCGGTTAGTTTCCAATGACGGGTGGAAGCTGGAAACGCACGTTGACAAGAAGAAAGTCGACTGGGAATGTCGGTTTTGCACTCTCCTTTACTTCAATGCCATACTGATTTTTGCTTCGGTAAAAGACCTCAGGTATATATCGACCCTCGGTCTCCTTTTGCACGATTATGACTTGCGGATTTCGCGAGGCTGTAATCATGTCGGCTTGGACCATTGCCACTGCCTGCTCCGAGACCTAACACCGTCAGTCACCATACTATGCTAAGTTGAACATACACACCTGGAATGATTGAATGTCCACGCCACCTTCTTCGGTTCCAGTCACGATGGCTGTTACAAAGCGACTGCCATACTCTCCCGTCCGACTGCCCCTTGTGACCGTAGGATGCGCCGCTTGCATTTTTGCAGCAAATATGACCTCCAAGCTTGACATGTAAAAGCTTTGAGGGTGCCGCTTGTACACTAGCTTACTTCGGTCGTCAGGTTGAGCGGTGAGGTCTGTAAAGATTTGCCCCAAGACCTCGATTGGCCCCTTTCCATTCTTCTTCATCTCCTCGTCCAGATAGCACCAGCTACCGAGCTCCTTGATCCGCTTCTCGTCTTCCCAAGGAAGAGCCACAGTTAGACCGTCCGGGTCGCCATGTTGGGGAGGCTCATGAATGGCTTCGACCACAGCTTTGATACCCATTGGGACCTCAGCATACGGCTCGTATCGTCCAATGAGGAACCCAAATCGTTGAACACCAGTCTTTCTCCAGCCATCAATGAAGCGATCGACAACCTCCTTGGACGCAAACTCGACATGATCGACCATACGGAATGTCTGCGGCTGAAGCGTGATAGCTGCAGGCTGACAGGTTGTACAGATTCCTTGAGGAAACGAAGGATGCGATGCGGTTGGACAAGGAACCTTTACCGAGTAGGACTCTGGCTGAAGCGGAGGGAGATTCGCGGTCGACGACGAAGAGGCAAGGGTACTTCCTTGCGCTGGTTGCAACTTTCGGAGGTGCGCATGGAAAGAAAGATGCTTGATGGCCTTGTCTTTATGGTATCCGGCATCATAGGGCTGAACAAGACTTAGTGAAATAAGTCATAATAAGTATCCGACATACCTCGAGAGGCATGCAATAATCGCACATTCCTTTGTCTCCGTGCTTGCAAAACTTGGCATCACGCTTTCTCGGAATCTTTCCATCTCTAGAGCGCCAATAAACATCAACAGGCTCCTCGTTTACTAGCTCCCAAGGGCGCTTCGGTTCCGCCTTGTCGTCGGAGGCATTTGATGTTGATGCCGCAGTAGTAGTCGCACTCTGCCCTCTCGGACCTTGCTCATCATAGGTCTTATACTTGAGATATAACAAGTCGCCATGTCTTCACAAGAAGCATCAGTATTCTGTGGCTTAGACCACTCCAGCATGCTCACTTGATATTTAGCGCTTGTAGAGTGTATCCAACAAGACCAGAAAGCTGTTGCTCTGCACCATTGGGTTTGTCGCTCAGCGTAATCGAGGATGGATCCGCATTCTTGGTAATCTCGAGGATCTACAGGTTATATATCAATGAATAACATCCAAAATTAGCAACCAAGCATTGAGGAGAGCGTGAATACGCGTGATGGTGAGCGTACCTTTGCCGCGAGCTCCCTGCATCCGCTGTGGGCTGCAAATCGAACCGAAACATTCCATCCTTTGACCTTATTCGGACAATCTAGAGTCATGATGGGAGATTTAGCACCTCGTGCATGTAAAACCGGCAGCGCTGACCATAATGTACGTAGACGCGCAGGTCAAGTTGTGAGTGGCGACGCGTCATGAACCATTTCAGTTCATTCTCTTCCCCTCACGTCGACGCGCAATTTTGGACATTGGCTTATATTCTCTAAACCTGTTACAAGTCCATACTAGCAGAATGTACGAAACCAGGATGACCGAAACGACAATAGACTCTCAAAGCCAGATAGCCAAGAGGGGGACGAAAACAAACGAGTTCAAAGCACCTTTTTGGTGAGACTTGCTGCTAGAAGAGGGTATGCATAGAAGCACATACGTGGTGCGTGGGTTTTTATTCTGCGAGGGCAGCCTTTGCCTTGCGCATACTGAATCGACTCGGACTACCGAGACTTGGTCGGTCAAAGCTTGCGATGCTAGATGCACGAGGGCCGAGTCCAGTCGACTGTTCGAATTCAAGTCGGACCGTCAAGTTGCCGACACCTTGACGCAGGTCGCTGGTCACAACCGTCGTCGAGACTGCATCGGGACCATTTGGATTTAGCTTTTCCCAGATTGAAATATCAGCCTGGCCGATGCTCTTGTCCTTGCCAATGGTGTGGTGGTCCATCACTTCGAGATGTAGCGTCTTGGTATCCGCAGATACTGGGAATGTGAACGACTCGTCCCTGAGGAAAGTTAGCATTGGGATGGTGCGTAGAGAAAGTCGTCTTACCATTCTGGCGCATTCGTCTTGCTTCCATGCTTCGTCTTGTACTCCTTGCCATTCAGCGAGAGCACCACGTACGGACGTACTTGGTCTCCATCCGAGTCTGCAAGATCTTGTCCCTTTTGCACGACAACCCTCAACGTTCCATCCAAAGACACGCCACCGTTGCCACTCCTGGGGAACGTCTGCGAGTCATTGCCAACATTGTATCCCATGGGGAATCTCAGACGGGTGACCTGGCGTAGGAGGATCGGTTCGGCTACGGTGGGTATTGGAGGAACATCAAACGTCGTCGTGGCAGCGGGAGGAGATGAAGACGATAGCTCTTCACCAGCACTAGACTTCTTGCCACCAAACAGACCCTTGACACCTGCACGACCACTGACATTGAACGTGCTCGAGCTCTTCAGACTCTTGTTCACTGCCTGTGGGTGAAGAGGAGGCGGACGCGGATGGTACCCTTGTCACCAAGTTTGGAAGAGGTGAGTGGCAGCGAGATTTCGGATGCGGTAGATGGCTGAAGCGATGCAAGATCGACACGAGCTTGTCCGATTGGCTCATCCTGACCAAGGGCATTCCAGTCGAGAACTTGAACAATCATCTCGGCAGCGGCACGAGACACGACTGAACAGTCAAACGACTCGTTCCAGGTTGGTGTCAGAGTCTTCTTCTTCGTATCCGTCTTGTACACCTTGTCGCCGTTGAGCGTGACCACGACGTAGGGGTCAGACGTTCCGCCACGGTCAGCGGCGTGAAGATCTTGGCCGTCGATGATATCCATGCGAAGATTTCCTTGATCTACAAATAGTTAGACCTTCAAAGACGAAGCGAGTGATAACCAATCATGTACCGCCTGAAAGCTCTTCTCCACCTTCCACACCGGCAGACGACGGAGGAGCGTTGAACGACGTTGCTGTCGGAGGGGGAGAAGATACGTCGTCTCCACCCTTCTTGCCACTAAAGATGCCCTTGACACCTTTACCAACATTTCCAACACCGCCGACAACGCCCTTTCCGACGATACCGACGCCACCAACGACACCTTTACCGACCGCAATGGGTGCGCCACCAACTTGAGTGACCGCTCGACCAGCAGTACTAAAGGTGCTAGTACTCTTGCGACTCTTGGCCACAATCTGGGGAGTGAAGAGCATACGGACGCGGATATAACCCTTGTCACCATGCTTGGTCGAGGAAAGTGGGAGGGACACTTCGTGGGGAGTAAAGGCTTCGAGAGAGGCCAAGTCGACTTGCACCTTGCCAATTGGCTCATCTTGTCCGAGCTGATTCCAATCAATGACTTGGAGGACCATATCCGCACCGACGCGCGACATGACCGTGCACTCAAACGCCTCGTTCCATACCGGTGTCAACGTCTTCTTCTTCCTTTCCGTCTTGTATACTTTGTCGCCGTTGAGTGTGACGACGACATAAGGATCAGACGTTCCAGAACGGTCAGCACCGTGGATATCACGACCGTCAATGATCTCCATACGCAGGTTTCCTTGATCTATAGCACTATGAGTGTACCTCGAAGAAAGCTACGGCAAATCACGTACTGGACATGCTCTCCCTCGCGGACAACGTGATAGGCACAGGAACAAACTTGGCAGCGACCAGAATCTTGCACCTGCTCTCACCATCTTGATTCGAGAGGACAAATTCGGTAGGTCCATCAAGAGCCCTATCCAGAAACTCCTTTGCGTCGACTTTGTATTCCGCTATAATATCCTCCTTTTCGCCGTCACCATTGCCATTGAGACGGAACCAGACACGACCAAAGTCGAGCTCTTTGATGAACCCTTCGCCAACCATGTCCCATTGAGCCGAGGTGGCATTCGACTTTTGCGTCGAGAACACGGGCCAATAACCGTCGTCCATGAGAATCTCGAGACGTCCCTTCTTGGAGAGCTGACCAGAAATGATATCAAACACGATAACACCAGAAGCTAAACAAACCCGTAAGCCATTGAGCGACGATAGGAGAAGAAAGACATACGTGAAGCGAGGATCTGCTCTTTCGTCATCGCAAGACCTTCATCATGATGAGTCTTGTGCGCATGCCCATTCTCCCCGGCTCTTTGACCTCCGTAGAGCCATTCGCCGGGGCATCCTTCGCAGCCGCACCATTCGCCTCTCCATTCTTAGCAGTGCTTGCATGATTATACGTCAAATCCAGTGGCACGTCCTGATCTCCCTCGTCGTCTTCATCATGTACAACCACCTGTTCAATAGCGTTCTTCGTTCCAAAGCTCACGCCAGCAAGATGGAATGCCGGGATAAACTCTGCCGTATAATGAATCTGGCCCTTTGTCGAATTGTCCACACGAATGGGCTCTGTAATCTCTTGAAGTCCGAGACTGCTGAAAGGGTACTTGTCGGCGTCGGGTGCGTCTTCTGGGACAGCCTGAGCGAGCTTATTCACATCGAGTTCAACGTGGCCGAGCGGACGGTCCTTGGTGAGATGTTGATAATCCATGACTTCAAAGTAAATCGTCTCCTTGAGCGAGTGAACGGGGATGTACATGAACTGATCCCAGACAGGGCTGAGATTATTGTTCACGACTTCTGTCCTCGCCAGAACCGTATTGTGGACGCTGGCACGAACATAGGGATCCGACTTGCCTCCCAAACCGCCTTCGACATTCTTGACGTCGACGGCACGATGCATAAGGACGCGGACGATACCGATAGGTGGGACATATTTGGCAGCACCGTGCAATGAGCCGGCCATATCCAGCGGCTTCCACTCGGTGCTGACGCGGATACGACCGCTGGAGCAACCAGAGAGCGGGAACCAATCGCGACCTTCCCTTTTGGCGGTGAGCATATCCTCGAGCTTGATGTTGACATATCCGATGACGGGGTCCTTCAAAAAATCGCGATCGTCAATCACCTTGATGGTGATGATGCACTCTTCGCGATCCGAGCAGAGGAACTCTTTGGGTGACTCCCAAACGGGCCTGAGGGTGTGCTTTCCAACGTCGGTGGCATGGATATATTGGCCATTGACAAAGAGCTTGGCAAAGGCGTTGATATCCTTCGAGATGGTATTCTTGGACGGGTCGAGTTCCTTTGCTTGGTGAAGAACGATGCGCACGATGCCGACATTCGTCTCTGGAAGCGGCTCGGGCTTTCCATCGACAATAGCGGGCTTGAGGACAGGGAAGAAAGAGACGTCAAACTTGACCTCTCCACGCTCCTTGGCATCGAGGAAAAGCTTGCTAACGATACCCTCCTGCGAAGCATCCTCGAGAAGGTTCTTGAGCTCGTAGCTGGCCATACCAAGCTCAGAGTCCTTGCGGTGCTCGTTAAAGTCCCACATAGTGAGCACGAGCTGACCAGAGAGCGAGCTGACGAGTACAAACTTGGTCTCGTTCCACACTGGTGTTCGCGTACCCATCTTGGGCGTCGTACGTTCGAGGGACTGGGTGTTGTTGATGGAGATGGAGACATATGGATCGGGGGTGCCTCCTCCAATCTTGTTTGCCTTGATCCCAGACCCAGAGATGATGGTAACTTGCAAAACACCAATGGCAGTGTCGAGCGGTACTCCCGACATCAGCTGCTCCAAATTGAGCGTAAAGACATGGGGCTCGTACATCATCGGTTCGAGGATCATATGAACAGTATTTCGGATAAAGTCGGCTAGACCTGGGATGTTGGTAATATCGAAACCAAATGTCTCTCCACCAATTGGCTTGAGCACAAAGTCAAACCACGGCTTTTCGGTGAAGCAGAGGTCGACGGTTTGGATGTGAGGGAATGATCCAATGAGCTTCATCTTGATCTTCATGACACCCTTGAAGGTGATATCTTCCAAGAGGATCGGCATAGAGGCGGTGAACCCTTTGCCGACTCGCACTCCGAGAATGATCTTTGGATTGGTTTTGCTCAAAGCTTGGCGGTAGGTCATGTCCATCACATCGTTGGGCGTAAAGCTAATTCCCCACTCCATAACGACAGTCTCGTCGTCCGTCTGAGGATAGGTGCGGACGTGATCGATATGCGGAGCCTTTGTGCCGAGGTTGAACGTTGGAAGTTCGAGTGCGTCAAGGAAGGCGGGTGTCGACGTAGACAGAACCTGGCTGACGGATGACATGATCGTAGCCGATAGAATTGGCTCGTAGATCAGCCAGAAGCGCTGCATGAAATGATTCATCCAGTCTGCCGATTCCGTTTCATCAATGAGCCGCGTCTTGGTGAGTTCGCGCTGCATATCGTCTTTGGCCCTCCGACGGAAGCGCTCCATTGACGTCGAGTAGTATGTGCAGCAAAAGGCGAGAAGGACGAGAATCCAACCCCATCCCATGCGGAGCAAAGTCATGAGGTGTGTCACGACGACAGCCTATAATTTGATTAGAAAGGTCATTCTATGGTTTGAAACCGACATACCACAATGATGATGGCGGCGTTATGGTACCATTCGCCATAGTACTGTTCGTCGATGAACTGGAACAGAATACCGCGGTCCCGTTCTTCGCCCTCGGCCATGGGTTCGTCGATGCCTGAAACCTGTCGCCATCCAATCTTGTACCAATCTGGAATGACGGGAGCCTTTTTCGCTGGCAAGTCCCCTGGAGTAGTCGACGTTTCAGAAACCGCAGAGTGCGGAGACTTTTCCGCCGCCTTTGCTTCTGCAGTTTCCGTCGCATCGACGTCTTCGACTGTCAATGTCGGAACGATGGGCGGGGCCTTTGTAGCTGGAACAGCAAGGCCTAGAACTCGTTAGTACAATTGTGTTGATGTGCGAAACATAGGACCCGGAAAACGAGAATAGCAGTGACGTTCTAAATGCAGCTCGCCGCTAAGTTGAATCGTCACAGCCACCGCTATGGGGGGATTCAAACTTGGATGAAGCGCGTTTCGCAGAATCCAAGCGTGAGCGCAGAGAGTCGTTGGGTGCTGTAGAGAGCGTCCGGGATGTTGCTGGAACATGCCAGCTCAGCGAAATGCCAAGCACCCTCGAGGTAAACACGACCAGAACAGTGAGCAGAGTAATAAGACAGGGGATGCGTAGAGCAGTCTACAGGTCCAAATAAGAGGCTACTGCATACCTTGAGCTCCCTTGTCTGGGGGTACAACTTGGGGCAGACCCAACGAGGCCTTTGCCTTTGCCTTGAGTGCGTCAAAGTCCTCCTTGGTCGCGTCTGGTGGGATTATATATGTATTTGTGCCCTTTGCGTTGCTATCTGCGATCACGTCTGAGACGGTCGCATTCTGCAAGTCGTTGGCGGTCCCGGCGCCGTTGGCAATTTCTGGAACTGGCGGTGGGGGGACAGGACGAGATGGTGGGGGCGTACTCGACGCCATGAACAGTCTTTGAGCGGCGTGGAGAAAGTGGTAAAGTCGACGAGGACAAAGTCAAGGATGGAGCTCAGGTCGAAGTGACGTTTGTGCCTTGGAATCGACCACGCTCTACCTCGGGAGCGAGCGTGATCAGCAAAAATCATTATAAATTTCATAGCCTCGTCACCGAACACGAGGATCACTCGACTTTTGTTCACCCGCGTGTTTTGGCGTTTGACACCCCCACTCGTTATCGCACCTCGATGTCGACGTTGCTGGCGGCATCTACGTTGAATACTGGAATACAACACGGATACATGTAGACAAGTTTAGCAGGAGCACAACCACTCGAGCGCGAGCGAGACAGAAGAGAAGGCTCCAGATGGCATTTGAGATGGCATCTTAGTCGGTTATGTACAAATTCCATGATAAATATAAGGCATCTAGCAGGTAACCATCAGTAGCTTGGCAAGAATCGCATCATATTACGCCGTAGGTCTGGACATGAAAGATGGCGTATGTGTGTAGTAAACCTAGTCATAAATTCTATCAACGAGCACCTTTCTGAACGTTTGTCCAAGACGGGCCACACTGAAAATTGGGTGAAATCAACCTTAGTCTTGCGGCACCAACCACCCGAAGGTATAGCTAGAAGAAGTTCGGGGTAATGCCTTAATCCATGCCGATTGTCCAGTGGTACCCAGAAGAGATATCTGTCATCAGATCGCGTCCAGCCGTCATGTAGAAGCCAACACTGTTCATATCCCGGGATGAGAGCCCCTAGTGGGTCCCCTCTAATGTTCCATGAGAAACGAATATGAATTAACAACAAGTGAAGGCCAAACTCACCATTCTCTGCATTCCATATTCGAATAGTCGCATCCTCCCGAGCCAGAGACGATTCGTGAACCTTCTGGAGAGAATGCGACGGCAATGACCTCACCTGTATGACCCAATAATGGCTGTCCTACCGGTCGACCAATGGTCGTGACCTTTGAACCCGAGACAGTTCGGGAACCGTCTGACGAGATTGCGACAGCACAAAGCGAGGATTGATGGCCTAGAAGCGGCCCTCCCAGTGGCTGGATAGTGGCTGCATCTCGTATTCGAATTGTACTATCAGTAGAGCCAGAAGCCATTCGTAAGTTATCTGGCGAGAATGCGACATCCGATACCCAGTAGTCGTGACCACACAATAGCTCTCCCAACGGCTCAATAGTGTATGCATCCCAGATGTGAATCGTCTTACTCAGTGAGACAGAGAAAACGCGTGAACCGTCTGGAGAAAATGCGACCATCATTACTGAGGTTTTGTAGCATTCGAGGGACCCCCGTAATAGTTTGCCAATGTATGCATCCCATATTCCAACCTTCCCACCCCACGAACCAGAGACAACACGTGCGCCATCTGGCGAGAATACGACAGCCGTTACCCAACCTCCATGACCTACAAGTGGTCCTTCCAAAAGCCGTCCATTGTCTGGATCCCAAAGTCGAAGTGTCCTGTTCGTCGAACCAGGGACAAGTCGTGAATTATCTGGTGAAAATGCAATTGCTTGCCCAATCCAAGTGTCCTCGAAGCGGCTGCTGCAACCGCTGACTAGTATCCGCATTCCGCAGTCTAATTTTCTCTCCCGCGAGCCAGAGGCGATTCGTGAGCCATCTGATGGGATTGCGACGGCAGTCACAGCATATTCACGACCTTGCACCACCGACGATTCATCGGCGCCTACATTGCGTACGATAGCCCAGAGGCCCGTGATCGCCCGCGGTACTCCTCCTGTAGAGCGTAGAATCTCTATCCAGTACAAAGAATGTGGGATTTGAATATCATACTGAAGTTCGTTCTCGAGTTTGCGCTGCTGATTGTCGGTCCCTACTGCATGGAACAACCAATGTGAATTAGCATATCGAAGCCTTCGCGAGATGAAACGTGATACTCTTGCGGCAAGGTCGAGGATCTGCCTATTGAGGATCATTGGTCGATTGATGCGCGTGTACGCGTTTCGTCTGGTACATCTCGTCGAGGATGGCCATAATGGGCATGGCGAGTTCTGCACTCAGCCTGTCCACCGCTTCCCGCACCCCTTCGCTATTCTCCACAGTACTCGATCCATCAACGGGGATTTCAGCGGCATAAAGGACATTCTTGTCCAGTCGCTTGATGTGCGCCGCGAATGGGAGTTGAGGAACAGCAAATCGGCGGGCTAAATATAGTCAACGCTCCTTCTTAGATCTACCATTGAAATCAATTGCACGGACGCACCCTCATTTTCCACTGTGGCCGCCTTGACAAGCCGCTCAATCGGTGCTTGTCCAGGGAAGAATTGGATATGCTGAAGCGGCTGACTGGTACCGCTCAACACCCCACAATTGAAAAAAGGCGAAAAAGGGTCGGTTGCGAGTATGTGCAGCCAGGAGGAGCAAGTACTTTTGTACGAGTTGAGACGGTGTGAGTGGATGAGCCTGCGATTCATAAGGCAGTCGTCAAACAAAAACGACCATCTTGGCCGTCACCACCTGCCGGAAAAGTTGCGACCGGTTCTCCTCGACCAGGAGGAACGTTGGGGACAAACTGCTCCATGATTTATAGATGTATTTCGAAGGAATATAATCATCCAAGCATTTGCGCCAAAGCCTCAGTGGTGGTGAGTTATAGCGAAAGGTCCCTGCACCAGCGCAACTACTTTTATGAATTTTTCAGACATTTTTCGTGAACATCTGGTTTTTTCGGACCTCCAAAATGGCAGCCTAAAAGGGAAATGTGGTGGTGCAAGTGGCTGTGCTTGGACAATCCGAACTTGTGTGCAACTATCTCATAGGAGAGAAGGGTGGGAGAAAGTAGGATTAGGGAGCATGAATGTAGATCTCCATGATTGCGTTGCAGTTGAGCTGCTTTCCTTTTTCTTTTCAAAATTGCGACCGCCATTTTGGCCGTGGCTGTGCATCCCAAAAGGAAAGTGGCTGTGTTTTATGGGTCGTCGATTTTTGTTTGACAGCTACCTTATTCTATCCCCACCCATTCATCGATCCTCACAGCCGCTATACGTAAACAGCAACAGACGCACGTCTGATGACAAGCAAAAAGTGACCTTTGAGGAGCGCGAACTTGTTCAGCAGAACATTGTATCCTTCAACGCTATCATCTTCGAGTATGTCTCGCATTTCTCCAACGTGCAACGAGTTAAAGGGCGGCAAGAACGGGTCACTCCGCGTGATCGTTTGAACAACGGCTGTAATATTTGACGCATCTGATGCGACATTGGGAGTTGGTGCGCGTTCTTTGTGCTTTTGCGCGAGTGCGGGGCATAGACGGATTTGATACTACTAGTAGCCGTTTAAGTCGTCGCGGTTCAGAGCATAAGAACCACCAGCGAACGAGTAGAGAGAAAGAGGTCAATACAAGCTTAGGAGAAGTAGTAAGACTCACTTTTATATCCTCATCAACGACATCTCCAACAAAACTCTCATACGACTCGAGATCTCCACTGATCTTTGCATTTTCCACAGCCTTTTCCAGTGAATCAATCACCTGGGACGGGCTCAAGATGGCTACTCCTGACGTCGGCAGGTCATTGACGCCTGTGTCGCCTACTTGAGTCTGGCTCGTTGCAGGCATTCTGTTATCTGACAGTGTAGATGAATAGTGTGAGATCTGCGGAGATTCCTAGGGATTATAATACAGATGGCTGACTCCAGGTCGATCGGTCCACTATGCAGATATCATGGCGAGGATTAGAACATCCATAAGGGCCATACATCTCTACATCTACACAAAGCTCAGTCCTCCGCTACTCGTTACCACTTCAGATGACTATATTATCGCCCAGATCAAATAGAATATACAGAGGTGATCACAATAATTCACCGGGTGGTAGTTTTTCGAACTTTGGTCCAAGAGCGACCACATTGAAAATGGCTGAAATCGAGTTTGGTGACACGAAGAGGACTCGTCGTCGGCATGGTCAGAAGGGATTGTGGATATTGTAGTCCATGTCGATTGTTTGGTGGCACCCAGAAGAGGAATCTACCAGAAGATTGCACCCAGCCATCGTCCACAAGTGAGCACAGTTTGAAGCCGGGAATAAGAGCGCTTAAAGGAATACCGTCCATTTCTTGGGTGATATCCGTACGTTGGGAGGTTCCCTCTGTCTCTTGAGAGGGGCTGTCCTCCCGATCTGCTGATACACATGAGTTCACATTGAAATCGGTAGCATGCACAGACGATACAGACCAAATGCGTCTCGAAAGAGTGGACCCGCATCACTCGTTGAGGCAGATATGATTGCTAAATTCTCCGGCAAAGACGCCGCAGCGTTGTCCTGGTCGACACGGTGTTGGAACAAATGCTTTGACGGTAGAACAATATCCGCATCCCAAAGGTGAACAGTGTTGCCTTCAGAACCAGAGACTAATTGTGTGCCGTCTTGAGAGAATGCGACGGCGTTGACCCAGCTGCTGTGACCTCGGACTGGCTCTCCTATCGGCTCACCAGTCTTTGCGTCCCAAAGTCGAATTGTCTGGTCCAAAGAGCCAGAGACGATTCGTGAGCCGTCTGGCGAGAATGCGACGGCGTTGACCCAGTCGCTGTGACCTCGGACTGGCTCTCCTATCGGCTCACCAGTCTTTGCGTCCCAAAGTCGAATTGTCTGGTCCCTCGAGCCAGAGACGATTCGTGAGCCGTCTGGCGAGAATGCGACGGCGTTGACCGAGTCGCTGTGACCTCGGACTGGCTCTCCTATCGGCTCACCAGTCTTTGCGTCCCAAAGTCGAATTGTCTGGTCGTCCGAGCCAGAGACGATTCGTGAGCCGTCTGGCGAGAATGCGACGGCCCAAACCGAGTCGCGGTGACCTCGGACTGGCTCTCCTATTGGCTCACCAGTCTTTGCGTCCCAAAGTCGAATTGTCTGGTCGTCCGAGCCAGAGACGATTCGTGAGCCGTCTGGCGAGAATGCGACGGCCCAAACCGAGTCGCGGTGACCTCGGACTGGCTCTCCTATTGGCTCACCAGTCTTTGCGTCCCAAAGTCGAATTGTCTGGTCGTCCGAGCCAGAGACGATTCGTGAGCCGTCTGGCGAGAATGCGACGGCGTTGACCGAGTGGCTGTGACCTCGGACTGGCTCTCCTATCGGCTCACCAGTCTTTGCGTCCCAAAGTCGAATTGTCTGGTCGCTCGAGCCAGAGACGATTCGTGAGCCGTCTGGCGAGAATGCGACGGCGTTGACCGAGCTGCTGTGACCTCGGACTGGCTCTCCTATCGGCTCACCAGTCTTTGCGTCCCAAAGTCGAATTGTCTGGTCCCAAGAGCCAGAGACGATTCGTGAGCCGTCTGGCGAGAATGCGACGGCGTTGACCGAGTGGCTGTGACCTCGGACTGGCTCTCCTATCGGCTCACCAGTCTTTGCGTCCCAAAGTCGAATTGTCTTGTCAAAAGAGCCAGAGACGATTCGTGAGCCGTCTGGCGAGAATGCGACGGCGTTGACCCAGTCGCTGTGACCTCGGACTGGCTCTCCTATCGGCTCACCAGTCTTTGCGTCCCAAAGTCGAATTGTCTGGTCGCTCGAGCCAGAGACGATTCGTGAGCCGTCTGGCGAGAATGCGACGGCGTTGACCCAGTGGCTGTGACCTCGGACTGGCTCTCCTATCGGCTCACCAGTCTTTGCGTCCCAAAGTCGAATTGTCTGGTCGCTCGAGCCAGAGACGATTCGTGAGCCGTCTGGCGAGAATGCGACGGCGTTGACCGAGTCGCTGTGACCTCGGACTGGCTCTCCTATCGGCTCACCAGTCTTTGCGTCCCAAAGTCGAATTGTCTGGTCCCAAGAGCCAGAGACGATTCGTGAGCCGTCTGGCGAGAATGCGACGGCGTTGACCGAGTGGCTGTGACCTCGGACTGGCTCTCCTATCGGCTCACCAGTCTTTGCGTCCCAAAGTCGAATTGTCTGGTCCTCGAGCCAGAGACGATTCGTGAGCCGTCTGGCGAGAATGCGACGGCGTTGACCGAGTGGCTGTGACCTCGGACTGGCTCTCCTATCGGCTCACCAGTCTTTGCGTCCCAAAGTCGAATTGTCTGGTCCCTCGAGCCAGAGACGATTCGTGAGCCGTCTGGCGAGAATGCGACGGCGTTGACCCAGCTGCTGTGGCCTCGCAAACTGTCAGGGAACCCAGGATACACCTCCTCGAGGCCTTGAATCACCCTCAACGTCTCACTATACTCCCTTAGACCTTCAATCCGTAGAATAGACTTTTTGGGCATAAACGGAAGCGCTGACACGTAAATATGTGGAGCGCTGTCCTGAATCGGCACCAAAAACGCTATCAAACACCTCAGGGTATCATTGATCCGCCATCTTATCTTTTCTCCGAGCTAAATGTCATCTCAGCGGCTGGTACCCGTAGTCTAGAATACTCACTGCCATGTTATGTGAGAGCGCACGCAGACCGTCGATTGCTCGTGGCACGTTTCTCGTGAAGCTGAGAACCTCCATCCAATATAGCACTTGTGGACTCTGAAGAATGTACTCAAAATCCTTCTCGAGTGGGCGCGGCTTCTTGTTGTCCATTCCAGACACATGGAACAACCAATGGGAGCTGGCATATCGAAGTCTTCTTGGAATAAATTTGGATATTTTCTCGTCGAGATCTGGAATCTGCTTGTTCAGGTAGAATGATGACTCGAGTCGACATATGTTGAACTTGAGACCGTCAGTCGGCGACATGAGGTGTTGAAGACACCACGATGCAGCTTGACTGTGTGCATTGGCAATATTGATAGAAATTTTGTTGCGGCTGTCAGAGGCTGAGTGGATGGAGCAACGTTGAAGATATTCTACGAGCGTAGGGTGGCGAAACTGAATAAGATTTGTCGTTTTATCTGTGCTGAGCACGCTCCCGAGATTTCGTACCAACGCTTTGGCACTTCCGTGTAATTTTGCCTGCTTCAATATATCGTCCAGGTCGTCAACAGTGAGCGGTTCAAACGCAGCGAGGAGCAGTGCCAGCATTTCACACATGGCGCCTTGGTAATCGAGTTCTATACGCTCGAAGATGAGACTGTATACGTTGTCAATGGCACCAGCGCTCTCCAGGGAGATGAGACGGTCATATATCACCTCTGGAGAATGCAGGTTTGTTTCGCTCGTGAGCATTCGGCATGCGGTGCTCGCCCAGATGAACAACCCGTTAGCTTTTTTGATCAGACCTTGTCTCTTCTCCTTCGGTAGAATCTCGTACAGAGAATTATGTACGTAGACGGCAATGTCACCAATATTGTCAGAATGTTCGATATTATGCAGGCGATCCTCTAGCTTTTCCTTGATTGACAGTGGTCGCAAAACTGCTTCGATGGCCGAGTCCGGTCGACTCGTGATGAAAATTTTGAGATTTGTGCTCTCGAGTAGCTGTGGCGAGAGTTTCGAGGAGCTCCTTTCGCTGCGTTCCAGATTTGCACTCATCAATAGCGTCGATGACAAGAACAACTCGCCTCCTTCGATGGCGGAGTGGACGGGTGATGAGCGTGCGGAATTGTTCGCTCAATGAACTTCGCATGATAGCCGGGTTCTGCGTCACGGCTTCGGTGATATGTGGTGCAAGTTCTGGGATGTGGTGAACGAGTTCCCTGGCCATCGTCGAGCAGAATTTCTCGGTGGTGGATGCTTCACTGTTGCTCATAGAGAAGAAGAACTGGCCTCCTAGCGTTCCATCTGCTCTCCACATCTCCATGACGGACATTGCGACGGTGGATTTGCCAGAGCCTGCTATATCGCATACCCAGAATATGGGTTTCCCCGACTCATCATCCTCGGCCCAGCGTGAGATGGTCTCAAGAACTGCTTGACGCGTTCCCTGTAAACATGGATTGTGAACTGACGACGCGACGAATGTGACCAATGGAAGCTGTAGTATAGCAGCAGATTTATCCACTTGAAACAGTCAGCAACATCTTTGTGCACAAAATTTGGCTCACCATTGGCCAGGATAGCCTGGTTGGCTTGGACACGGGATGCAGTAAAGACGATCATTGCCTCCTGTCCTTTCGTGAGATGAAGAATATAGCAGATAATCATCGTACCATGAATTGCCTATGCGCATCCTCGATATCACGATTGAATTTACGAATGGCTCCTGCATCGACTTTCACTTTCCCGATTCCAGTAAGCGCGTTGATGCTCATGCGGCGTCGTTTGTGAGCTTGGTTCACCACCGTACTAAAACCCTCCAGAACCTGAATCGATTAGCACATACAATAGCGCTGGATCCCAAACGCACTTCTGGTACCGAAGGAGACGGCTCAACACCTCATCTGGAACACTCTCAAAGGAGTTCTTCGGGAATGAGTCGATTTGTTCCTTGATTGCTGACTTGTATTGCTCCATACGTTGCATCAGCTCGATCCAGTCCTCTTGGTTATCATCGATAGCCTGATATATCGATAAGATAATGGAATTATACCGGTCAGCAAGCTAACCTGCATGGCATCAATGATCGATTTCGTCGTTCGAGAGGCAGCTTTGAGAGGAGCAAGTATATCTGATGCCTCTGCTGCATTTGCAACCACCTCGAGGCCGAAGCTAGCTGCACTATTTACTCGAGCTCTCTTGCGCGACGATCCTCCAGCTGAACTGGATGTTCCTTGAGAATATGAAGTTGCATTATTGGACGTGTTTGGCCTTTGGGAAGACATTCCCGGAGGTGGATGGTTCCAAGTTGGCTCGGCGCCTGCCACTCTCCATTGATAAATGCGGTGAAGGATACAACTCGGTTCGATACTTGACCACCACTTGTTTCCGTCAATTCCTCTGGTCTTCTTGAAGACAAGTGAACTATGAGACCGGCTGGTTGGAATTAATACTTAGCGGACACTACCCGAAGCTGGCTTGGCCATGACGGATTGAGTAAGGAGCCAAGTTTACCAGCCACTAGAAGTCGAAAGCTTGCCCAAGCTCCGAGCCTCCTCAGCTGCAGTGACGAACCGCCGAAGCCGACCTCGAGTCTGCCTGATTATCCGGAGAGAGGGAGTGGAGCAGTCACAGCTGACCTTCATCAGTGATTTCCGATTTAATTTACCGTAACGAAGAGACTGGCCCCTATACTTCGAGTACTGCCGCCCTATCGACTGGGCCCTTACAGCGTTACATAGTCCAGACGCACCTTTAATTGCTGACCACACAATGGCTCATTTTAAAATAAAAAGCTCGCTATCATCTCTATGGCAGACCCTAGAACCTAAGAGTTCGAGGAGTCCCGAGAACTGAGCAGCCTGAGATTCGAACCGGTGGCCTCTCGGACTAAACCCCCGTGGACGAGGTCTGGCGGTTTCCCACCAGATATTTCTATCGACTTTTTATTGACGAACGCAAAGAACACATGAAGTGGCCCGGCAAGCCCTTACCAAAAATAGTAAAGAGAGGGAGCAGTCCCATAACGCCGTTGAAAGTTATATAAGCGAAACAAAGTTTACTAAGCAGAACGCTAGCTCATGCTTCAATCCTTGTACTCACGGTGGCCAAACAACGAGGCCGGCGTAGAATCCACCTCGACCACCGCGACGAGCAAATGTCGTCGGATCCTAAGCCAGCGTCTTTACGAGACTTGTACACAAAACCAAGCACTTCATGGACATTTACTCCCCAATCCGCATCTCCAAACTCGTCGTCATCCGGCTCTTTCAACACCTCGTCTACGTTTAACGCCCCCCTCAGTGCGACAATGAGTAGTGTAAAGAAGATAGAATGGGGGAGTAGAAGCTCTGGACCGCCTACAGTACCGGGCTCATCGTTTGTTGGCCCGTCTTCATCCTCGTACGGCGGTGGATATGACTCGCCGGCACCAAGCGTCGCTCTCAAGGCACTATTGGCATCCGCTTTTCTGCAGTATACAACGACTGCGATAGCGATGCCGTGGGAAGTCGGAAAAGTCCTCTTGCAAGTCCAATGGGTTCCGAAGAAACTGGAAGAGGACGCCTACGACGTGCAACTCGAGTTGGAACTAGAAGAAGAGGAAGAAAATGACGAATTGGTGAGTTGTTATGAATGTAAACCCGACAAAGCTAAGCCACGCCGCCTTGATTTGCAGAGCGAGTCGTCTACAGACGATTCCTATTTCCAAGATCCAACATCTCCCACACGCCAGTCGCGTCAAGCACGCGCAAAACCTCTGAATGCGCGTAAGATGAGCACGGGAGTGCGTGTGACGTTTCCTTCGCTTCCCATACCCTAACACGGCTTAGCTATCGACGTCCAAGGTTGGCCTATCCCCATTAGTCATTCCATATGGTCCAGCAGATGGTGTCTGGGGCATGATGAAGCGAGTGGGTGGATGGAGAACAGAAGGCTGGCCAAGTCTTTGGAAAGGTACGCTTGTCCAGACCTTCCACAGCTTATCTAATATCTCTCAGGCCTTCTCACATCAGTCACGCTGTCGCTTGCCATGTCCACGATCCAGCCCTCGGTCTCGTCATTCCTCCGTCCATTTTTTTCGGCAAATGCGCCACCTCTTCTAGTCCCTCTTGCATCCCATATTCTCACCGGTATCATCGTTTCGCCACTAGACACCCTACGCACAGTGCAAATCATTCATCCTCGGCCGTCTCCATCCCCTTTTACCCACTTTTCACTCGTCTCCGCCCATACGTCCTCAAACTCTATTGGAGAGACCATCCGCCTACTTTACACTCATCCGACCCTCCTCTACCCGGCTATACTCGATAATACGATTCGACCATTGATTACCTTGTTCATGCCACGAGTCATCGAACATTTTACTGGTGTGCGGGTGGGAGTGAACATCTGGATGTATCCCCTGCTGGAATTTGTTGGAGGCGTCTTGTCACTGGGAATTACTCTCCCGATCGAGACGATTCGGCGACGACTCCAAGCACAGGTTGTACTCCACGGACTTCCGGATCCTACGTCTCCGCAAGAGGAAGACAGATCAAGTCCACGGTCTCCCAAGACAAAAGATGGACGCATCCCCAGCTGTGTACACCTCTCGCCACGGCCTTACAAGGGAATCTTGGATTGCTTCTGGCGAATTTTGACCGAAGAGCGATCAGGTCCGCCTCCAAAGCCACATCATCGACATGACAGAATCAAAGCCATGCGCTCGCCTCTAACGACACCTAAACCTCGGGGCGGCGCTGTTCGACCAAGCAAACAGCACAAACCGCGATTATCTGGTGGGAAGCGAGATGTACGAAATGTGTTTGATGCGGATAGTCCCGTGGGCCATCGACCGCGGATGTTGAGCGAAGAGATGCGTGCGAGCGAGTATCGTGCGCATACGAATGCACCTTCTGCGCATCCACAGGCTGGAGACGGAGGGTTGACTGAAAAGCTCGAGGATCAGTATGAGCGTGCCAAGGCGGATATCGAGGCGCAGGGGATTGATGGGTGGTTGGCTGGGACGGGGGTGGGGCAGTTGTATCGTGGGTTTGGAATGGGCGTTGGTGCGCTTGCACTTGTCCTTGTTCTTGGGTTGATCACGGGCGATGAACCCGAGGGATGGGCGGAGCTTTAGTTTGGATATACAAGTAGGATTTATTCGTGTGTAAATCACCTCTTTTCTCAATAATGTTCGTGCAGTACTGTGGCCGGGAGTCATATTTGAATAGACCAATCTTCCTTGGGATACGTAGGACAGTGATCTGGTGACGAAGTTCAAACTGGTGGCTACGCATCTTGTCCTCGACCACGACTGGCAGTTCTCTTCAACAGCGAGCTCGACGTGCATCTCGCTTTCATACCATTATTACTTTACAACACTACTCTAACTCGCCTAAACGCCATCACGCATCACCCTCGTTTCGACTGTCTACACTATACAGACGCTAATCACCGCAACACACTATCATAATAGCCCCTCTATCTACATAATCGCAACTAATCGTGTCACTTGATCATCACATCACGCTTTGCCACCAGATGTTGTGCTCGTCAGTCGCCTCCTTTCTTGCTTTCGCCCTCGTTGGAGGTGCCAGCCACGCCTTTGCTGCTACGGCAGAGCAGTGGAAAGAGCGTACAATCTACCAGTGAGTCACCCTCTCGCCTTGCATGCTCACCCTAACAAAGCCTCACAGGATCATTACCGATCGCTTCGCCCTCCCAACGTCCATAGATCAATCCACATCCTGCAACGTCACTGACCAAACCTTTTGCGGTGGAACATGGAGCGGCATCACCGCCATGCTGGATTACATTACATCCATGGGATTCACTGCGATCTGGATCAGCCCCGTCCACAAGAATTATGATGGTCCACGCACGGCGTATGGTGATGCGTATCATGGCTATTGGGTTACCGACATTGGAGCGCTCAATGATCGCTTCGGTACCGCGGACGATCTCAAGACGTTGGTTGCTGAAGTCCATCGTCGTGGGATGCTAATCATGGTTGATATCGTTGTCAATCACGTCGCATCAGTCACGACGACTCCAACGGACTATTCTCAATACTACTTCAAGGATGCGGTTGGTGCATTATCCGCCATTGTAATTGCCTGCTCACTTTGCTATAGTCCAAATATCACCCATACTGCCCTATTCAATACGGTGACGGTCATTCTGAGCAACAATGCTGGATGGGCGATACCAAGGTTGCACTCATGGACGTCAACACTGAGAACCCAGACGTCGTCAGCAGCTACAACTCGTGGATCAAGGACTTTGTGCATGAATACTCTATCGATGGACTACGACTCGACGCGGCAAAGCACATTCGAGGCGACTTTTGGCCAGGCTTTTGCCAAAGCGGAGGAGTGTTCTGCATGGGGGAGGTCTATGAGTTTGAAGCTGCTTCAGCGGCACGGTGGCAGTATAACCCTGTGCAACCTTCTGCTGTGTCGTCGGCTACCTGGAGGAAGTGGCTCAGACCCAGTCGGCATGGATAGTATCCTCAACTTTCCGCTCTACAATGCCCTTGTTCAGGCTTTCGGTATCACGGGACAATCTACCGACGGGACGTTGGATCTCACGGTACTGGAGCGCAAAGTCAACGATATGAACGGTGCTTTTGCGGACGTAGGTGTGCTTGGGATCTTCCTCGAGAACCACGACGTCCCCCGATGGTCGAACATCAGCGTGGATCCTCAAAGCCTTTAGTGCGTTACGAAAGCCGTTAAAGGCCATTAGCTGACCAGCTTTAGCAATGCACTCACGTTTCTGTGGATGACAGACGGCATTCCAATTGCGTACTATGGTATCGAGCAGGGCTTCCACGGCGGACCTGATCCATCGAACCGCGAAGCTCTTTGGCCTTCATCGTACGCCAACACTACGACTGTGCAGATCCTCACTAAGCTCAACCAACTCCGCAACTGGATGATCATCACCGCAAAGCAACGTCTTTCGAAGCGGGTCGAAGAAGGCATCGCGTGGCAGGATAACGAGAAGGTGTACAAGACCCACCATCAGGAAACCACTTTTTCAAAGGACGCTGATGTTCGGAGCTCGTATATCAGCACGCCGCCTGTCATTGTCGGGGCGACAAAAGAGGCAATGGCTATTACGAGGGGTGGAGTGATCGGGGTTGTGACCAACATTGGCTCTCCGGTGAGCTCGGTGGCTGAATCTGCCACTGTAGCTAACAACTTTCAACTCTCTCAGCCACAGAATATTAGCTTCCCGGTCTTGACACCATACGAGCGAAGCGTAGCGACGACAGAGTGCGTCCTTACTTACTTTTTTTTGGGGTATATCTGACTCTAATGTAGCATCTTCTCCTGCGTACAATATGCTGTCGGTAGTGATGGCATCGTCTCAGTCGAGTACTCTAAAGGTGGTCGCCCAATTGTGAGTTTCTGACTATTTAGCAAGAGAGATATTGAACAATGATTTAGATTCTCGTCCCAAGCGTCTGGCTACCTGGCTCCGGATTCTGCGGATTCAAGGCGGATTCAAACGCACTCATTGGCGTCGAGACTGACGGCGCTTATAAATGCGGTGTCTCAGTAGTCAACTTAGGATTGCTGGTACTATTGATGTTGGTGATGTGAAGAAGGGCTGCAGGTAATGGGTCGATGTACGTGCTGTATCTCAGTGCGCGATGGACACTTTGAGAATGGACATAATTCGTTCAATTATTCTTCAAATTGCTCCATTATATGACTAAAAGATAGCTAGCACGTCGCTAATGGTCGAGATTTGGCCAGCGACAGAGAAAGGATAGATACTGGCCACCGCCTTGAGAGATCGCTCGTCCTAGTTCTGTAGGGTCCCTGTTAGCATAGGCTCACGAAATACGCAGTCATCTTACGTTGAGGCTTCGCGCCATTCTGTCTTTGAACGAGTCGAAGAGCGAGAACAATGCGCTCTCTGGGATTCTATACCCTCTTTCTCTCAGCTCCTCTTCGATTAGGAGACCCTTTCTTGATTGGAGGAATAACATCCTAATGCCCACGCCAACGCCTACGAGGCTGAGCCCTCCAGTTGGACCGACAACGCTGAGCGCCCCACTCGTTCCCATCCAGTTGGAGATAACCCACATGACCTTGCGACGATGGCTATGGTGCAACGCGTCGTCTGGGATCGTTTGCAGGTATCGTGCGTATTCTCCATCATCAAAGGCAAACGTCTCTGATATTCCAGTGGTTCTGGAGATTTTGTTGACGGCACTTTGGAACGCTTGGATGAGTGGGTGCCCTTCGAGTGGATCGATTCGGGGAACTGTGATGACCTCGTGAATTTCGATGATTTCGTCTTCCATGGTGGTGGTTGAGAGTCGAGGACGAGCGCCTTCAATATGCGTGAACTGATACAGGATGAGGTTGATAGCCTGTCAAGGGAGAATGGAGAGCTGGATGGTTGACTGTCGGCGAGCCGGCGAACGTGAGCGGCAGAGACTGTCGGACTGGCAAGTTGCTATCACTATAATTGTTAGTTCAGAGAACATAAAGAGCTTACAGAACCGCCTTCTCTGACGGACAGAAGCCCCACCGACCAACCAGGATGCAAGCCCTACGGACGCAGATCACCGACCTCTCCAAGCAAACTGGTGTGATAGAAGTATGGGAGTTTGATGACGGAGAATATGCGCGGCAGTTACAAAAGCTGAGTGACTATGAGCTCTACGAGCGCCATCGTCACAAGGTTATGTGGACAATCTCCAGCTGGGCTGGTGTCAGCTTTGGTCTGAGTTTTGCTGTTGCCACAGATGGGTTGGGAATTGTCGTCCCGGCGTATAGTGCTCGTCAACTCTTCGTCCAGACACGAAAAGGCTTGCTCATCCAGGAAGAGATGCGCGAGAGGAATCTCAAATTTCACGAATGTGCTACTTTCACCGGGTTTAGTTCTATTGTTGGACAGGCCTTTGGAAAGTTGAGACAAGGAGATGTTGGTGGTTAGTAATATTCGAAAGTATATGAAAGTAATGTAGACTGACTGTCATAGGCAAGCGATAAAAGCCATCCAACGGAGTGGTAGACGGAGTCAAGTTGGAGAGGGGCAAGTTGCACACTCTTTTAGACTCCGCGGCGATGGCCAGGAGTTCATCTCTCCCCGCGACGATACCAGGAGTTCATGTCCTCCACGACTACAATCAAAGAGTTGTATAAATCATATTCGAAGACTTGTGTACTCTACTCCTCGTCTGGTTTCGACCCCATTGTTCTGGCAAGAAACATCCTAAGATCGAAATCGCGCCGGGGTTGACCGGAAATGCGTCCAAGAATGGAATTAACCGGTGTGTAAGCAGTGCTAGCGGGCAATTTGGATGGTCGAAACTGAACATTGGTCCCCAAAGGTGACATGCTTTGGACCAGGACGCCAATGCAAACGTCTCTTTAAAGAACTAGATCATGGGCATAGCTATCCAGGAGCCGCAGAGGGCGATGCATCACCCACACGCCCAAGCCATCGAAACACGAGGCCCGTCCATGCCCTCTGTGCGCGCATCCAGGCCTCTCTCAACAACATTCCACGGCCACTCGCTGCTTGCTCGTCACACTGCCCAACCTCCGTGGAGTTTCGCTACGGCCCACGGGTTTACCCCCCCTCTCCCGCGCAGGATATAAAAGGTCGCGCCGCAAAGTCGTCCTCGACCCGCCATTCGACTCGTTTACAAACGGTCAAAACATCATTTCTTCTGAAGCAATCATGTTTCTCCTTCGTCGTCGTGTCGCTCCCACCACGCCCCAGGCGGGCAACGGTGTCAGTAACGACGCTGCTCCGGCAGCCGTTTCTTCTTCCAGTAAATCGGCATCCCGACAAAAAGTCGTCAGACGCCTCTCAGAAAGCGAAAAGGCCCGCGTATCTATTTATCTTCGCGTTCTCAATGCCGTCTCTGCGGCTTTGTACACGACAACGTGTATCGCAAAGGACCAGGCTTCTCGTGCGGTCGAAACCGTTCGGGATAAGAACACGAGCGAAATGCTCTATTTGGTACGATCGTTGACGATCGGCTCCGAGCGGGCTGACGAACAACGCCTAGATCTTCAGCCTTGCTGTAACAGCTGTATTCCTTACTATTTCATTGGCCCTGTACGGTATTGTACTTGCGCACCAGTCTCTCGTATGGGTAAGCCTTGTCCTGCTTTGGACCGTGTTCATTCGCTGATGGTGCCCAGCTCTGCGAGCCCGTTCTCCTCTGTAACGTTTCCTTCTTCTCTCTCCAACCGTATCCACCTCAGACGCCAATTGACGACGTCAAGCCAAGTCGTGGTCGAGGCGCCTCACAAACAGATTCATCGTTTGCGTCTGCCGCTCGGGATGGACAATCCCTCATCGACCTCTCGTCTCGCTCCTCTGAGGCTGGTGATACTCCCCCATCACTCGCTCCGCAAGTCTTGTCCCCGACACAGCTTGCCGTTCGCTCGCTTTCTCCCGCCTTTGGCGCGTCCATCAACGCGGATCGCAGCGTTGAGATGGAGGAAATTCTCTCCCTCCCTACCAAGGCGCCTTCTCCTCCACCGTTGAGCCTCGGCTCCATCCTCGCCAAGCGCAATGGCCTCGTAGGTTCTGGCTCGGAACGACCAATCAAACTCAGGGAGATGTCGACAGTCAGCTACCCTGATATCAACACGAGTGCTACCTTTGGAAGCTCGGACGATGGTGACGACTCGGACTCTAACCAGATGATGGACAAGCGCACCTACCAGAGCGACGACATCGACGAGGTTCCAGCTTTGTACGAAGAGGATGAAGAGGAAGATGTCACATTCCCTCTTCCAAGCGTCGAAATTGGTGATGTCCCTTATACGTCATCCCCAGGGCAGGAGAATGTACCCCTTGGTCCGGAGACGATTGACGTTTTGGACCCGGCATCTCGCCAGGCATCGATGGACGTTGCAGCGACCGCCAGGCGTGTGCAAGAGCCTCAGCTGGTCATGCCCGATCCCGTCAGGATGCCTGAGCCACAGCCGCATGTCCGCACGTCCTCCGAGTCGTCTACGACGTTTGCATGGGTTCCACCAGCATCTCGTGTCGCCACTATCATCTCATCGGAGCAAGCACCAGATTCTGAAGACTCGCCTCGCGACATCTTCTCGCCAACCCCCGCAACGTTCCCTCAGCCTCACGGTGGAATGACATTCCCCTTCCTCCGCGACCAGCTCCAGAGTCTTGCCAGTGCTCTTCATTCGGAATCTATGGTACAGGCTACTGAAGAACAGAAGAAGGATCATCGTGACGAACCGTTCGTCGAGCCTACTCCGTACCCGTCACCACCATTCACACCGCCTTCCAGCCGCCCACCGACCATGTACAGCAGTATGGCACTTCAAATGCCCGTGCCCTCTACGAATAACCTCAACCTCGCCACCCCAGATCCGTTTGTCATCGAGAAGAGCCAGCTCAGCGCACTCTACGAAGAGGCAAAGACAGACCTAGAGGCGTCGAAGCGGGATGAGACGGCCGCCGAGAAGGTGCAGGAGGTTGTGGCGCCTGTTGAATCTAGCGTTCCAGAGCCTGTCGTTCCCGTTCCCGTCCCCGTCTCCGAACCGGAACCGACCGTCGAAGAGGCTATCGCACCCGCGGCTGTGAAGGAGATTGAGGAGATTATCACACCTGGTGTCCTAGAAAGCGGGTCTGCTCCTGTCGAACCCGCCCGAAGCGTGAGCCCGGTTCTCAGTGTTGGACGTGGTGGAATGCTCGACGGCTCGAGGATTCATGTTGAAGACCTCGCCTCGAAGGAGAAGACGCTCGTTTCATCGCTAGCTGAAGACACCTCGCTCAACGAGGTCGGAACCTTGGCTGACGTTTCGCGTGATGAGGATGTGTCGTTTGACAAGTCCAACGCCGAAACGATTGAGCGCATGCGCTCTGGCTGGGCGAGTGGTGCCGACGACGAGAGCACCGGGCCCCAAGGAAACCTCGACGTGAAGAAGAAAAAGAAGAAGAACAGGTCCAAGCGCCCGGGTGCGAAGAAGGGTGTCTCGTTTGACGAAGTACCGTTTGTGATTGGATCCGACAAGGAGCAGACCAACGACGAGGACGATGTGGACAGCAGCGGACCAGGACCATCCTTTACGCAACGAGGTCGCATCGCAGAGCTGATGCTCAACGAGCTTGGATATGCTCCTCAAAATACGCCCTCTCCTTCCGTCTCCCGTGCCATCCCAGTCCCGAAGACGTTTGAGATTGAGGACGAAGAGGAAGAATCGCCGCCAGCACTCATTCCAAGCAACAATACCTCGACCGCCGTGGTTACAGGCAGCCCTGTCCCAATGAGGAGGGCTAGTCTGATCTCGGAGATGACCATGTCGCCGCGTTTGACGGCTGACGAGATGTCGGATTCGTCTTCGGTTGTGCTTGCTCCAGGCGAGTTCTCGGCCAAGCAGGTTGATCATTACGCTCGATGGTTTGCGCGTGCGCATCGTGGCAAGTCGGTGAGTTTCTTTTTTTTTACCTACCTATTCTATGATCCCACGACTAATGCCGCTTCGTAGTTGCCCACGATACAGATGCTTCGCGATCAGATGAAGGAGTGCTCCGAGGCTGACCTAGCAGCGCGTCTCAAGCTTGGTTCGCGCTCGGAGGCTACCAAGCTCACGCGTACGCTCACTGGAGACGATAGCGCCAAGGGCTATAGCAGCTCTGGTGGAAGTGTTCCACCAGTCCGCCGTGCATCTTACCGTCGCCGTCGTTGAACCAGCGCCGACTAGTCGGTGTTGTTCTGAAAATGATGCTCGTGTGAGCTTGTACATATGTACTTTATGATATGTGATATCATTCTCCGAATTGTTGTGTGATCAAAAGGACCGTTAGCTTCAAAGCTCATCCGTGGTCGTGGATTTAGCTCAAAGCAGAGGTTTCTCGGTAATATATCACTGTTTTATGCTTTCTGGTTCCGCCATCGATACATGGAAGACTGACGCCCTCGAGTGGCGCAAAAATCTACTTCCGATCACAAGGATGCCAAGACAGACGCAGAAAGCGGAGAGTAGTAAAGACCCAGTCATACCTCTAGAGGGCCTGGATTTCCCTGGCTTCGTGAAGGAGTCGGTTCTTCACGATATAAGCACGCTCGCTCAATTGATTCCAGTCCGAGAGGAGACTCTCGCCCACAAATGGTCAACAGATACAAATCAAAAGCTTACCCTGTTGATGTGGTCCATTGGTCGCTGGATGAGCGAGTTTCCAAAGGATACATCCTAGGCATCCTGCCGGACATCGTTGAATGTCGGGTTATCGAAAAAATATTCAATCTCCTACACGTTCCCACAGTCACAGAGAATCACGTTTGCCAATATTCATAATTAAGATACCAATCGCTCACGTCGTCTTTGCAGGCCGCCTATTTCGACACAATTTATGCTCCAGCATTCATGACTCACTTGAAGGGGATACAGAAGCTGAGACACACGCATGGAATATTTTCGCAAATAATTGGGGTTGTGCATCACTTATTGTTAGCTTTTGCTTCCGCTCGCACAATCCTATACTCACCAGCCAAGTAGCTGTTTGCGACCTACGACAAGAATATATGGCCAATTGAGAGGCACTATAGCTCCTTCAACAAATTTGCAGAACCTTGTCGAGAAACGCGGTAGGGTATTCTCGGTACGGTTCATCTTAATTTCTTCTATTGGCCGAAAAGCACTTGAGGGTCGTGCACCTTCAATCACTAACCTCATTCTTATTTCGAATGACAACCGTCGACAAGATATGGTCGGAGAAGACTTTGGTGACTTGGGTTGAATCTGGATTCTTCAAGTACTTCGATTACATCTTAGCAACATTCGGTGCGGACGAGAGTAACATAAGTACGTCGCTTTTCTCAACATTTCTCTGTTACTTATCTTACCGGAGGGCATATCACTTCTCTTTTGAAGGGGATCACCCGTTCGACGGGCTTGTCCGCATGACGTGTTAGGCGCTCTTTAGGTGGCCACTTCCCTCGCCTGCGTACATTTTCCTCGCCCTTGCCCACCTGGATCTTGGATGCTGGCGACTTCCAGGAGGGTGGGGGTGCGAATGTCCCGGACCTTTTGACCATGAGTTCTCGACAGGCCCCTGAGATGAAATTCTGGATGAACTTCCTCGATCTTCAATTTCTTGTCATGCAAAACAATCGGTGCTCTCGGCGCGGCTGCAGGAAACGGGGCAGCATGGCCTGCGGTGCCTGCAAAACGAGATATTGCTCCGTTGGCTGCCAGTCGAGGTGATTGCGTGGCCTTTACTTCTAGTCAGACTCACTTATTGCTTCCCAGTGATTGGCACAAGCATCGCTCCATTTGCCAGGTTGCACCCATCTTGCAAGCTGTGCGCAAATGGCATAGAGAAGTACGCTGTGAACATGATGCTCTTTAAAATATACGAAAAATGACTCGAAGTACCGACCGACCGATTTCTTGCTACATAATTAGAGCCTCTCCACAGGCAGCTTTATATGTATTCATGAATAAAACCTCCTTTACATTTAGTAGGACAGCTTGAGCCGAACAAAACAACTCGACGTCGAGCTGAGGTTTTAACCTTCACTTAGACCGGTACCATGTCGAAGAATCAAGATCAAGCAGCGATTGGCAAGCTAGAAAGAATACAAGATGAAAATAGGGCTTTACCCTTAAAGATGTCAAAGCAATAACACAGCGGGTTCGCAATCTGCACGAGCAACGACCGATTCACGGAGGCTCCATACAATTCGAGGTTGCTTTAGGAATAATGTTTGGAATCGCAGCGGCTATTTCAACCTGCACGGAATCTACAGCACTCCGGCTAGCAGAGGAATTCCGCAAACATTCACTGCTTGACGCCCTCTTCAATATCATTGACTATTCACATCACGACCCCTCCAAAGTTTGTTCTGATGGCCAATACTCCTTTTATTGACATTTAATAGGGCTTTATATTCTATTACGAAGCTCTCTTCGCTATATCCCAGATGTTCAAGGCTTTGAGTCGCCTTTCAAAAGTCAAAGAAGATCTTGCAACCAAGCTGATAGAAAGATGGCCTAGAACGACTGCGATGATACGTTCACCAATATCTCGAGAGAGCAATATTCCTTGACAATTACAGATGTGGTACACTCGGTATTACACGCCTTGGCCAAGTCCACTCTTTCACTGCCGCGCATTGGGAAGTATATGTTTTGATATACTCAACAGTGGTTCGACCGGGTTTTTGGAGTATGGTGGCTTCCTGTAATAGACCAAAGAAGGCTAACTATCTGTAGAATGATCACACAAGAGGGCAACTTTACAATACCATTGCTCATATACTATTGTAAACTTGTGCCAGACCTTGTATCCCGACGACAGTTGGAATTTGCCATCGCGCGTGTTGCCCTGCCAAGACACGATCTCACAAAGCCAGAACCATATATGCGTCATAAAGCTCTTCGACGTCTCTTTCAATTCATAGAGCTTGAGTTTGGGAAGAAACCTGGACCTGTCGTTGTCAAACTACTCCTCAGGGGTCTAGGAGAGGACTCAGATGAGCCAAGCGAAAAGGCAGAACTTCTTATTTGCACGGGTATGGTCCTCTCTGTACTGGGTCTCAAATTGGTCTCTCCACCAGAAGTAGCACAAGCGAGCTTGATTCGCGCGCTCGCCCGGTCCGCTATATTTTGGAAGCGGTACTTTGCGAGCGTAATGGAACAACGGAAAGATCCGCAGAAGTCTTCCACTGTGCTGTTGAGCAAGGATGTCGAACCGTTATATCAGCTTTTGTACACGGCCAGTCAGTTGGATCCTGAGTGTGGCGGCCAGTTAGCCTCGAAGATGATTCGGGGACAACTATTACAGTACCTCGAGTACATAATGGTCGAATGTCAACCAGATGATTCGAAAACGGTACGTAGTCTCTACGAACGAGCCTTCTTCTGAGGTTGACGCGATAGACGTGATCGATGCCATTCTAAACGAGCTAGGATATGTCCTGGCGAGTACAAGGTCAGGCATACGATATGCTATGGGAGTGGAGGTACCCAGAACGCGCCTTATGCACGCACTGCTCCAGCCATATCTTTCGGTTCCAGTCATAAAGCAAATCATTCATTCGCCATTCATTCTATCAAAAAGGTCTTTTAAAGACTTTCCTTTCGACGTGCTCAACCTCCAGCGCACAGAGGACGTCCAAATCTGGGCGTCACTGCTAGCTATTCAGGACGCAACAGTGCACTATCGACGCTGTACGCGACGTGGATGCAAGGAATTGGCAAAGCAGGCATGTGCGAGATGCGCGACGAGGTATTGTTCTCGTGTATGTCAAGGTTTGCTTGTTCTCTCACTTGTACTCATTATATGCAGGGACTGGAGCGAACACAAGCTCTTGTGCGAGATTCTACCGGCGATACATCACATTAGCAAGCTATATCGAGGAGAAGAACCCTTCAAGGTGCTGAGCTACAAGCCGGTGCATTTGAAGTAGAGCTTACGGCTCATTTTCTTGGCTTCTTGGTGATTAATACCGTTGGCTTGTTTCTTGATCAAATGATACCCTGTAGACGAATGTACGAATATTTATTGCCGATAATACACACCCTAAAGAGCCATGGGCGTCGTCACCGTCGACATCATGAGAACCCCATAAACGAGCTAAGCAAGGGTACGGCGGGTCCTAGCGACGGGTGACCAGCGACAAATGAACATGATACTTGATAGATGCGCACAGGGTCGAAAGAGCGCGACGCTGTCCTTGAAAAGGCAAAATTGGGGAGGCCTAGTGCTGACGTGTTGGGCGCTGACGCGGACTATAGTTTGTGCTGATGCGCAAAGCCGACGGTAGTAGTGATTGCGCCCGAGAGGACTGGAGGGGGCCTGTTCCCTCTACACTTTATGCGATCACAAAAAAGAATAGTTCCTCGAGCTGTCAGTACCCTTAGAATTTACAATTCACTACGCTTTTGATCCACTGCTGGATCTGTTTAATGACTTTCGTGAGATCTGCTGCCCATCCGCGGCCCTATTCCCTCAAGCGTGGCTCCCTCTCCGGTACGGTTCCCGATACTTCGTCTCACGCCTGCCCGAGCGTAAATCTCTAAATGTAGGCCAGGATGTGACACCTTCAGGGTACAGGTTCCTTGTAACAATATGAATATATGGGCCATTTTCGATTGCAGAGCTCTCTGAGCCAAAGTTGAGGTCAGCTAGGGCGACGAACCTTCGACCTTTCCACCGCCGCCTTTGCTCGGAACCGGGCACAGACATCTTCGACAACCCCGTTAGCAAACTTTTAGGACCCTCAAAGCTCTCATTTGACCCTGTTGCTTGCTCTCTGCCATAGACCAACCCCGCGTGTTGGTCGAGCAGCTCCAGGTAGACCCGCCATTTGGATTTATTTGAGCAAAATCTACATCACCAATCACTAGAACGCGCCATGTTCACCATCAGCGCGGACTCGTCGCCGCAAACGGCGCCGACAACGCCCTCTTCCGTGGAAGACTCGAACAATTCCGACGAATATCTACAGCCGGCCTCGACAGACCTCTGGAATAACCCCTATGGTACCCACGGCCAGGTCCTCTCGTCCACTAGCCTGGACAATACCGCAGACTTTGTCAGTGGTCCGAGCGATTTTGAGATGGCGCTTGGAAACGGACAAGCGGATATGTGCTCTCTGCCACTGCAAGATTTAATACATGACAGTGTCATCTCGTAAGTCTCGATTTTCTCGCTATTTTCTGCACCCAAGACTGCGGCTTGGCTTCTCTGCTCTGCGCTATTCCGGTCTCGGGTATACATTCAGCACTGCAACGATGTCATTCCTCTCAGACGGAGAATTTGTGCTAACAAGATTTGTTTAATCCCCTATAGGAACTCTCCAGTAGCCACTGTAAATACGCCAAATATGGTCTCTCTCTCGACTGCATGGTTCAACAGACTATCGCCCTCATCGCCCTCTCAAAATCTACTCATGTCTTCTCTGGCTTCACTACCCTCACCACCACCGTCCGCAACGATGGACACGAGTGCGCTCTTCATGCCACCGCCGACCCAGCAACAGCAGCAGCAGCAACAGCAGCGTCAGCTCCATCAACCATTCTCCCAACAATCTGTATCAGCACAGCTGGCGTCGGGTCCGATGACGATGGCGCCCGACGCCTTTATGATCAAGCCGCAAAACTCCGCAGGCACCAGACCGCCAATCCAGACGACGACCAATGAACACCCAAGCAGTCGAAATTCTTTGAAAATCGAAGGAAATAATATGGGTCTATCGAGGTTAGTGCTTTACTTTCAATCCCCCGAGGCTATCCGGTCCTCCTCGATCACATGCACGGGCTTCACGCCACCGAATCTCCATCCTCGCCTTGTTGCACTACACAAATGACGCCTCGTTTCTCGGAACGGGTCCGACATTGCTGGTTGCTGGAAGACACTCTTTGGCATTTTGGACCCAGAGGAACTATCGGTTCTATTGCTATCCGCCAAACACCTCGCACGTTTCGCCTTGGGGGCGGGTTATGTCCGTTCATTTGATTCCAGCCTGGTCACTCTCTACTCTGGGGGAGAGAATCCTGTGATAAGAGCGAACAGGCGCACCCACCATTACAGACTTATTCCCCACATTCGAGTGTCAGGGGTATATATAATCCCTCTTTTCATTTCCTTGGGACGCTAGTGCCCCTTCTCTTGTCCTCTTGTCTTTTCGCGTTCTGTCCAATTGGTTTCAACTCTTTGCTGACCATGGCTCATCGTTATCCTTTATACCAATATCCTCTTCATCATTTTCCACGCCACAATCCGAATTGCCACTGTAACATCTTGCATCCGTACGACCAAACGACAAACCGCGGCGACTTCCACCATTTACGTTCACGGACTTCCTCGTCTTCTTCCAACTCTTCGACTACTTCTTCTCAAACGGATTCGTCTTGGGTGTACATTGATGGCACTGACCCAAACCATCTTAACCCGCCTCTCGCGCGTGACCACACCATGCGTATCACATTCGCCGATCCCCAACCTGCCATTCCACCCTCTGATGACCAACTGGTCGAATCGATGGCTTCCTCTACTGTCACGATTCGGCCTGATAATGCGGTCACTTTCCCTTCGATAACGGGCGGTTTCCCAACCGTCCATATCCAAAATTATGCACACCCCGTGTCCGCGATGTCAATCTGCTCGTTGGACGAACTGTACTTCCCTATCGAATGGGAACAACGACCGCCGCCACCACCACCTCAACCCACGCTCGTCGTTCAACCCGGCTCTTCATCCGCATCTAGATGGCTGTTGCAAGTCCATGATGTGCCGCGCAAGTCGAGGACAGAGACGCAAGTCAAACTCCGAGTGCAGCTTGTCGACGTCTCAGCATCAGCTTCTCCATACCCTGACGGTACGTTACTGCTTCTCTTGATCGGCCTGTCTCTTCTTTGTATGCTGAACTGGCCCTACCAGGCTCCACTGGTGAACCCGTCACTCAGTATAGTCACATTTTGGTACCGAATACCCCCAGTGTCAAGACAAAGACTCGAGGCGTCGGAGGTGCGTTTTGTTTTGCCATTGGTTCCTTCCCCTTTCAGAATTCGCACCCGTCATGCGGCGGATGTCGATCCTTCTCAACTGGGATGGGATCTCTACTCCCTTTAATGAAGCTACGCGGCCTCCATTGGAAGCTGAACGCTCGTTTCTTATAACCTTACTCGAGTTTCTGGCATGGTCAACGTGTGAACGCTACCCATGATCGTATTGATACTGACTGCCTCTTCTTTCGAAGATCCGGACCCCTCTGCTTTGCTGACGCTACATGCGTACATCGTCTGCGCCACGGTCCCAGAATACCAGAACAAGCCAGTACCATGCTGCGAAAGTTGCCAAAAGAGGGAGCGAAATCGCAATTCAAAGAAGAAGACTGGCGCTGGGACCGCGAGCTTGAAGGGACGCTCCGCCGCCAGTTCAAAGAATGTCACCCCAGCGACCTCGACGAACGCCACCCCGGCCACGTCTGATGCGGAGATGTACTCTGCCCCATCTGGATCCCACGCTCATGCATATCCCTTTCAGAGGGAGGGCTTCGAAGAAGCTGGAGAGGGTTATGTCTCCCCGATTGACTTTACGTGCAATCGTCTAGTCGACTTTTCCTCTGGGACTGCGTCGCTCAGCTTTAGGATTGTGTGCTATTGCCGGCACTATAAAGAGAAGAATGGGTTTTGGTGAGTAGTCGTCTGTGAGGGAGAGAACTTGGTTACTCAAGCTTTTGTCTAGCGTGCAGCTCCAACTCAGGGATAGTGCCAATCGCGTCGTGGGCAAGGTCAAGACGACGCCGATTATGATCATGGACGATCACAAGTCGGTCTCCAAGCTCACGCCGGCGCATACCGCCGATGAAGAAGAGGTCGACACGGGCGCTGCTAAAAGGAGGACCAAGCGAATTGTTGCGCGCTACTCGGAGAGTGAAGCTCGTATCAAGGAGGAGGATGGGGATGATTTTGAGGAAGGAGGAGTCGGGGCGATTAGGAATAAGCACCGGCTTAGTCGCCACTCTGTGCTTTCCCAATCGGCTGGCAGCCTTACGAAGCTCACTTCTTCGAAACCGGCCTCTGCGAGTGTCAATGGGCCTACCATTTCCAATGCACCGTCGACTAGTCGATCTGGACAGGGTCATGCACACCGCCACAGCCAGTCGTACACGCATTCCGAGAGTCCTCTTCCCACTACGGCACCATCCTCGCCATCCGTTGGATTCTCTCCACAACCATCCCATGCGACCGGCGACACAGGTGCAAAGTCAGAGGCCGAGCTTAATGCATTCGCGCCCCTTCAGCCTTTTGGCTCATCGATACCCCTTTCGGCCAACGACAATCTCCTGCTCAACAATCCTCTCATGCAAGCCATGCCCAGCGTGAACATGGCCCTGTCTGGAATGACGCTCTCTTCGCCCGCTACGGCCATGGCGCCTCAGCCCAACCCATTCCCACATATCACGCGAGTTATGCCAGCCTCTGGTCCCGTCCAAGGCGGGATTGAAATCACGTTGTTGGGCGCCAACTTTTCGCCTGAGGCGCTAACGACGGCGTGCATTGCGTTTGGCGAAAATATCGTTCCGTTTGGTCCGACTGTGCAAATCTTTAGCAATAGTGCGCTCATTTGCTCGCTTCCTCCACGCTCCGTTGCTGGGCCCGTCGAGGTGAAGCTGGTGGGTGTTCGAGAGATGGCGCCTGGAGTAGCAAGTCCTGCGCCCATCTTCACTTATACGGATGAAGGTGACAAGGACTTGTGAGTATTGTTACTATCGACCGACAATTGCTGACTTTTCTTTCAATAGGATGATCCATGCTCTTCAGATTCTTGGCTGGCAAAACTCTGGTCAATGGCAGGATCCGCGAAGCGTTGCCATGGGTATCCTTGGGGGTGGAGGATCTGGTGGTGGTATGAGCGGTCTTATGCAAAGCGATGCCGATATGGGATTCGGTGGCGGTGGTTTCACATTTGCTGCTGCTAATCGTAATGGTGTCAACGTTCGTGGACCCCACCAAGCGACTCAGCCTGGTGGTCGACGGAACGTGGAAGCACTCGTCCTCAATGTTCTACGATCCGCTCGCAATCCCGAAACAGACACGATCAACCACCTCTCTGCGCCACATCCTGCAACGGGTCAAACAATCCTACATCGTGCTTGTGCGCTGGGGTACCAGACTCTTGTCTCGGCACTCATTGGTTGGGGTGCCGACGTGGACTTGACAGATAAGAATGGCTTTACGCCTGTCCATTTTGCGTGCTTCTATGGTCATCTCAAGTGCATCGACATTCTCGTTCGCCAAGGCCGTGCCCATCTTGAAGGTCGCGATCACCAGGGACGTACACCGCTGGACGTTTGCGGTACGGAAGGAGCAATCGAGGTTATACGTGACCTCGAGGAAGAAGTCGAGACGAGAAGGCGTCGTTCGACTGCTCCTAGCGAAATCGAAAGCGGTGGCGAGGGTGACGATGAAGGACTATCATGGTCCGAGGCAGACGATGACGAAGAAGAGGAAGAGCCTCCTAAACCTGCGTCGAGGCGTATATCTAGGGTCAACTCGGTGGCGTCTATCGTCTCGAACCGTAGACTTGCCAAGCCTACCACCCCATTCGCCCCGGAGCCATTCACTGCGATTCATCCTTCGGTTTCTGCGCATTCTTCTGCTCCAGTTGCAGCTCCAACTCGTCAACCCTGGTGGTCGATGCCTCTTCCTGGTCGAGGAGGGGCTACGGCGACACCGGTACCGGAAAAATTCCTCAAGAGTAGTGCGGAAGCATCCCAGACTGAACAGGAGCAAATGTTCCGATGGTTCCGCGAGATGAGGGAGAGTTGGACCATTTGGCGTCAACAACAGCAACAACAGCTGGACCTTGAACCCCCACCAAGTTATACTCCATCCGACCCGGTGTCAAAGCTTCATCTGATCGCCCACGAAAAGGTTGCTACTGGGGCCGCTGGAACCCCCGCCGTGCCCACCGAGTTGGAGGAACCGCCGTCTCCTTTATCGTTGGACTCGCAATTTGAACATGTTCCAACAAGGACTATCTCGCGTTCGACATCGAATATTCGTTTACGTCAACAGCAAATTGTTTACCGTCGACGGGCTGACCGCGAAGTGCTCGGCGAGCAACCACAAATGCATGCCGCAGATGTTGGGCCACGACGGGCAGCGAAGAAGCGGGACACTATGCTCATTTACTTCTGGATACCGGTTCTTCTTGGTATGTTTACCCTACGAGCTACGAACTATGCTGACACTCCTTTAGCTGTGTTTGTGTGGATGACCTATAAATCCGTCGGACTTGTCTATCGCTCCTTTACATCTCATCCGCTCATGCAGAACTCGGCAGCGTTCATTCAAGAAACCGTTTGATGACGCGCACATCGCGTGTGTCGATTGGTCATTTTTGTAGTCTCTGCTTTCTTAAACTGAACTTTGTAGTCGTTTCCGTGACTGCGCCCTTGGCCTGGCGAGCTCGAAGGGTGCTGTTGTTCAAGCTTTGTCATAGACAAAATGTATGCTATCCTAATGGACCAAAAACGTTCTCGATCACTCAATCAGCTGTACTTGAACCATGAACATCTGTCGCTGACCTCTTCTCTTTGTGCAAATACGGACCGGCAACTCTGAGCCGGCCATGTCTTTCTCTACGCTGATTTCCGGTGCAGAGTGCGCAACGTCCTCGAATCCACTCTCCCAAGTCTTGAAGCACACGGATGTTGATAACAGTCTCCAACGAGTACATTAAGCCATCCATAATCGTTTGGACGAGCTCTCATCCCTTTGCAGGACCGCATAGGAGTGCCGGGAGGATCGTCTGTATGTTTTCAATACTGGATACTGGTGTAATGTGTCTCATTCAGTTGCAAAGCTGCAACATCTGCCTCGAACGGCGATTCCAGCGGTGAACCAAGCCGACATGGTGGCTGCGCGGCAGTTTTTCCAACACAATGGCCCAATTCCTCAAGGTGGTCCAATGATTCACATGCCCCCAACCCTCTCGACACCTCCACTCCTGTCTCCGGGTACGCCCACAGCCGATTTTGAGAACTGGCGCGAGCAGCAACACCGAGCAAGCGGGAGCGCGACACCCGAAGTTCTTGCTGGTCTACCTGCTCCGTCTAGATGGGCAGCTGATCTCGAAAAGTTTAAGAGCGGGTCTATACAGGCGCCCATGACTAATCAGATGATACGTGCGTCCTTGTCGTTTACTTCTTGGGACATTCTGATATGATGGAACAGAGCCTGTACATGCTGAGATGCCAGCGTATATGCATCACATGCCTATGGCTGGTTACCAGCCTCTAATGCCGCCCATGGCGCTGATGCCCCAAGTCAAAGGCAAGGGTAAAGCAGTCGACCAGGAGCTGGACGCTGCGTTTCAAGAACTGGCACTGCAATCAAAGTCCGGTACAACTGGAGAAGCGAACGATCTGGACCAGGTGATGGACCGGCTTCTAAAGGAGCAAGAAGCAAAGGCTCAAGAACAGCAAACTTTGAGTGACTTTCAACGGTAATACATTCTCCAGCTTAATTCTATTCTCTAATACCTTTCAGGGTATGGCGCGATATAAATGCACAACCGTCAAACGAGACACTGGAGGAAATGGCAAAGTGGGAAAAGGAGTTTAACGAAGCTATGGCCGCCGAACGAGAGGAGTTTGATCAGACCTTTGAACCGCAGATGAACGCCTCTCTTGCTGGAATTGACAGGGATTTTGGACTGGCCACTGAAAGCTTCAAGGTGGACGGAGACGGAATGCCCGTCCTGGGCCTATACCCTTTTGGTATGCCGTTTCTCTCCGTTTCATTGCCGCTGATCGTCGCATTAGATGAGAAGAATGAGCATGCCCGAGACTCTAAATCCTCGCTGCAAGCAGCAAAGGATTTACTAAATGCTGGGGGGTCTCTCAGTGAAGTGGCACTGATGCTTGAAGCCGCTATACAGAATAAAGACTTGGGAGAAGGGGGATACGAAGCTTGGATCTTACTTGGAGAGGTTCGGAGTATGGACGAGAGGGAAGAATTGGGAATGTTAGCCCTACGCGAGGGAGTACGAATTGCCTCTGAAAATGGAGGTGCTGGTGGGGTGGGAATGCTGGTACGTATATCCATCGAACAAGGACGACGTTCAAACGATTGGATAGTCACTAGCCATATCGTACACCAACGAAGGTTATGATCGACCTTCTCAACTACTTCTTCTCAACTGGCTCAAGACACGGTACCCAGAGCATGCAGCGGGAGTAAACCTACCCAGCACATTTACCGAGCCATGGGCTGTCCACGACGTCGTGCAAGAGGCCTTTCTCTCGGTCGCACGTGCTCAACAGCATGCACCAGAGCCAGATCCCGAACTTCAAGTGGGCCTTGGTGTGCTCCTTTACATCAACGGCGAGTTCTCTAAAGCAGCCGACTGCTTCGGTGCAGCCCTTTCGATGAGACCAGAGGACTATGTGCTCTGGAATCGATATGGCAGCTGTCTGAGCAACGGCAATAAGCCGGAAGAGAGCTTGGCGGCGTATCGAGAAGCTCTAAGGCTAAGACCACAGTACACACGGGCAATGTACAACGTTGGTGTTGCGTGTCTCAATCTTGGAGCATTGAAAGAAGCAGCGGAACACTTCTTGAGCGGCCTCGCATTGCAGGGAGACGAAGGGAGCAGCGGCCCGACCAAGCGCAGTGAGCAGCTTTGGGCGACGCTACGTCGTACATTGATCGCAATGGTACGTTAGTCCCACTTGGTATTCACATCGGTCTGAGACATTGTTTAGGATCGCGCAGATCTCGCGGACAAAGCGAGAGATGGGAACTTGCAATTGTTCAAGGCAGAAGGTTTCGAGTTCTGATATGTATAGTTTGAATACATTTCGCTGTATTTGGGTCAGACGTTGCGATTCCAGCCCCATGGACTTTGAACGGCCCCCTGAGATTCGGCAATCCTCTCTAGATTGACCGCTTGTTGGACTCCTTGAACGGTTGCGTGACCAGTTCCTCCAATTACCGCACCACACTCGTGGCACTGACTGGTCATGGTTGCGCCGCCACAATCGGCAATGGTGAAAATATGGCCATTCGGACATGTGTACCAATGGCCACGATGTCCTACAGGGAGTCAGTATCAGGTAATGGGTAATAGATTCACGCACTATATTCCGTAAATGATCCAATGACAGCATACAGCTCGTCATCTGACACTGGTTGGTAGAACACCGAAGGTCTGCTCAGGTGATCGCCCAACTCTTGCCACTGCTTGAAGACCTTCTCCATTGGTGCATCAAACTCCTGTGAGATCATCGCAAAATTGACGCCTGATTTTGTGCTACAGGCATTGCGAACAGTGCGAGCCGCTAATCTCGCCTCTTCCAACCGCTGCAAGACATCTTTGCCTCTAGCCACACGCCCCTCATTTGTCTCTTGACCAGGAAGAGAGCCTTTTTCGACCCGCACGAGTCTCCAGGTAGTCTTGATTTGCCTCATGCTCGAAAGGAGCTCTTGCCGATATGCATCACTAGATTGAGCAATCTTTATTGCCGCATTTGAGTCCAACTGGCATGAGTGATAGATGAAAATGATGAACTGTTGCAATGCTTCCAGCTGTTGCTGACTATGCGAAGCTTGGCTTGAGAGACGAGAATGGATTTTTTCCGCCAAGCTCCCTAGGACGTGTCGAATATCTATGGTCATCCAAATGGCTTCCACCTTGAAGCGTGTGTCTGCGCGAGGGGGTGGCATTCCAATCTTGGTCTTTGCTGATTGAAGTGCCACGCGCTCTGGATATTTCGGAGCAAATGGCCCCTTTTGCACACGCGCAAGCTCGTGTTCATAGAGCATGGAGTAGGATGCCTCATACGCAACCATGTGCGCTGCACGCCCAGCGAGGATATCAGAGGCCCGCTTATAGATGTCAAGATAGGGTTTGACTGCTTCCGACCATCGCCTCGCATTTGGTGCTTGCAGGCTGCATACCTTCCGCATCTGGAGACCCAACAGCCGCTCATTAACGATAGGTAGCGCTCGGCCAGGAGTTAGAATCTTTGTCCTATAGTCCTTTTGAGACAAAAATCTTTCTTCGAGGACATTGAACGGCAGGAGAACATCGATGTCTGTCCCCGCAGTGCTGATTGTAGACAACTCCTGTTGCATGGATTGAAGTTCCCGCGCCATAGTGGTCGCAACGTTCCGTTCGAGGATATCGAGGTTTCCACGCTTGAGGGCTCGGCCATAACGCTGTGCTTCGATGGGCCTGCGGCACGTAGGACAGCATGGCGTTTTCACAAACGCTTCCAAGCGTTGGATAGGAGACAGCCATCGACCTGTCACCTCATGCTTGCGATAGTACTGTCCAAGTTCGCACACACCATCCAACGTCTCCACAGTAAACGTGTGGCCACATCTCAGTGTGATCGTGACATTGTCCAACTCCTGGGAGGTGGGGTCCAAGTCCGCAATAGTAAGCCCAAGGATCAGATCAACGACTACTTGGGATTGGTCTTGAGTTGCGCATAAGTGGCACATTTGACGGTCACAGGGCTCCCCACATAATGACGGACAAGAATGTCCGCATCGAAGTTTTAATGGGCACCGCAGATCGCACGGCAGACGAACACATGGCTAGATCAAATATCAGGGCGTGGCATGAAATCAGCTGTTGAACGTACCGAGCCACAGGGAACATCACACTTGCTATGTTCGCAGGTCCAATTACACGCCATCATGCATGGAGTGCAGGGTACGGAGCATCCTTCCTTACATTCGTGATGATCGCAACTCTGTCGACACGGTTGCTGGCAATCTTCAGAGCCACATATTGCCCGATGCTCCTCAGTACAAAGAGACGCACATTGATGTTGGCAATGCAGCGTACGGCCGCAACGGTGCTTGAAGTGAGCACTTGCTCCATCGTCTATGACGGAGGGTTGCTTACAGGCCCCGCATCGACCCTGACAGGACTTTTGGCAGCAGGCCATAAGAGTACCACAGACATCCTGGCAGGAGTGCCGAAGAGGGTCAAGGTGACACTCTATAGATGCAAAATGACCGCACTGTGGAAGCAGCTTTTCCACAGTTTCTGTACAATTGTATTCAGACAGGTCATCTTCAATGTAACTATCACGATCGTCAATGGTTTTTCATTTGCGTTCTGAAACTCACCATGGGGCATCTCGCAAGATATGACCGCAATCAAGCGTAATCTCCCTGAGGGGGAATATGCATTGTCCACAAGATTCCCAGCATGGGCGACTACAAGGATGTCCTTTGGAGCATACCTTACGACATCGTTCATAACATTTGACGAAACGATGCTCAGTATCGTCGGCATGGCACTAGCAAAGGGTCAGAGATCTGTTCTGTCCCTCAAGTATCCTTATCCACCTTTGATGGGCAAGTGTGGCCACACTTCAAGCGAGCATTACAGGGGCGCAGACATCCACCTGAGAGTTGTAAGTAGCCTCAAAGTGACATAATGCGATTCGCACCGTCGGGAGAGATTTGACGAAGCTGCATCGCGTTCTCAACCAGCCGGACGTCGTGTGGGTGATTATGACACGCGATTGGGAGCCCAGTCCCGTAGCAATCCTGGTCTCGGAAGTACTGGACGACCTGATTCCATAGTCCGGGGTTTGAGGCGAGGAGATCTCCATTTCCCATAACATACAAGCCATGCCGAGCTCTCGTCAATGCAACATTTGCGCGATTTGGAGACTGATCCGCGTCAGTATGAACATAGAACGCCGCAGGCTCCTGACCTTGAGGAATCCGATAGATCCCAGCTTATCTGGGCCAAAGTTCCGTACAGTGTTGAGTATGACAACGTCGGCTTCCTCCCCTTCTAGAGATGAGCTACTATTACGATGTGATGATTGACGTACCTTGGAAGTTGTCAACCGTGCGGATGAGAACCTAACTAGTGTCAGACAGTTCCTAATCAAGGACTTGTGTCTAACCTGGTCGGTAATTCTCACTTCCTGTAGCTCGACTCCGTGATCCGCCGCGTCCGAGTCTACATCGATACCATTGTCTCTCAACGCATCCAAATCTCGTTCGTCGAAGACGACGTTGATTCGACTATTCCGAAGTTCATCCCTTACTTTGACGAGCTGTCCAAGGTACATGCACAGGATGACAATAGATCCTGATCTTGTATACAATCCTTGGCTATACTAGAGGTGAGCGGTAACGGGTACCAACTGTTGGAACTTACCGTAATAGGTGCTGAACCAATGCCTTTGTCATCGCAGCCTAGGGGAGTTAGAAGACGTATATCAAATGTCTACGAGGCCCACCTCGTATTGATTGAACTTTGAGGTGGACTCGTCGTTCGTTCCACCGCCCTCTGCATTGGTGTGATGTAGGAAGAAGATATTTTTTGCCATCCCTTTCACATTTGGATAACGCGAGACCGACTCATCATCTATCAGCTGAGGATAAAGCGTCGTTCTTTGCTGGATCAGCCTATAGACTTGGTGCAATGCATGCGACACACCGTGCCAACGTCGCTATTTGGCCTCGCATCCTCCTCTGTACGTGGAGTTTCGACATGGTCATTCCCGACTCGCTCAGTCGTTCCATTGTGGATTGGTCGAGCTTGTAGATTTTGCCTCCAAGTGGATGATCGCACGAAAGAGCTATGTGAAGGTAAGTAGAAGCGGTCAAAATGCGTAAAGTTGTACCATAATTGGTGATTGTGGGTCGTAACTGGAGAGGGTCTCCAATCTCAATGACATGTTCAATCGACTCGACCAATGCACCAAGGATATGCGCCTCGAGGACTTGTCCAGCTTCCTCTACCAAAAGAATACGAGGCTTGAAGCTCTAAACCAGATTAGAGCATGTAATTGAGAGTCAACTTGAACTTACGAAGAGCAAAGATGCCAGTTTAGCCGCTCCAGTAGTCGTACATCCGACGATGTCTGCCTTCCTTAGAAGCCGACTGCGCATCTGGGTTGTGTAGGTTAGCCACAGAAGTAGGTAAATGGTCGACTCACTTGATCTCGTACTTCATCATATCTCTGCTTCGCACTCTCAAACTGGTCCTTGCAGTGGGAGAAGATATCGCGGTGCCGTTGAATGAAATGCTTCTTTGCTTCTGTCTTCCAGAAGCGAGAGATGCGCGAACGTTCCGAAATTGACATTTGCCATACTTTTGGCTCTTGGATGAGTTGATCAAGAGGTCGATTTGAGGTCGGTAGAGGAGGTAGCGAGCGGAGACCAGCATTTTCGAGAAGCACACGTAGATTATACTGCTCTTCAGTTTCAAAGATGAGATCGTCGTCATCCTTGGATTCGTCCGACTCGTCTTCTGATCCGTCCCTCTCGGGCTTAAGGAGAGCGAAGCGATTCGCGGCAACAGGGACTTGCTTTCTTTGAATTTCTTGGCAGTTCGAGATCCATTGAAGATCCTTAGAATGCGCCCAATACTGATAGAGCGTGTCTTGAGTACCTCGAGCCCTGGTTACTTCTGTCCAACCTTCCTCGTGGGGACGAATAAGACGAATAAATTGACTAGGGTGTCTAATCTCGTCAACGTGCTCTGGGTAGAAGAGCTCCAGATACTCGATGAGATCCTCTTCCGACGCTTCGTCCGCGTGAAGCTGCTCGAGATGCTCTTTGAGCTCCGACTCGACGCTTCGCATCTCCCCGTACGCTCGATATAAGCTCCGATTATCAGAGTCAGACGCTGGATCCATCTTTTCCAGATTCTCGAGCGCGTATTCTCCAACTTCTTCATCGCTCGAGCGTGAGCCCAGACGAACAATCTTTGACGTAATATTTGCTTTGAGCACTGAGAGAAGGAGGTGGTCGAGAGCATGGTTTGTGAACGCAATGAGTAGAATTGGACCTCGGTGGTTCGCAAGGAGGACACGCATCAGCTCGACGCCAGTAAAGCTCTATTACGTGTGGTCAATAGGACATCGCAAATGGATTACCACACGACACACCTTTCCCGTTCCTGGCGGTCCTTGTATCAGGACAAATGATTTTGTTAGGCAATCCACCATCGCGTCCACTTGGCTGCGATCAAGGCGACTGTGCGAACAAAGTATCTGTCTCGCATTCTCTGTGGAGCCAGGATCACGGGGGTTGAGACGAAGCGCTGGACGGTCTGGGTGTTCTAAGCGCACCAGGCTCTTGAGGTCCCAGGAGAACTGAGGGTCCGCTTCGATATACCGAGGAAGTCCGGCGACGCGTGGATGGCCCCCATGAACGAGGATTTGAGCGAATGGGACGGAAGTTGGTTCTCGCTTGAGTCCTTCTAGGAATGGCCGAATGGATTCATACATCACAGGCGACTCGACCAGGAAAATTCTAGTCTGCAGTCTATCCCGCGAACTGGTCTGGATCCAATCCATCACCTTGAGATTGACGATGGGATCAAAGAACCGGACGCGTATCACAAGCGACTCGCTGGATGCTCGTGCGTTTGTTTGTATCTCGTCCGGAGTCGATGAGAGAAGTCCGAAATAAATCTTGACAGACTGACCCGTCTGCCAGATCAACGCGACCAGTCCTCCTGGCATCAAGCGCTTCCTACAAGCATAGCGCCAATACTCGGCTCGTCGCTCTATCGAGGTGGCTCGAGCTGGTCCTGGAGGTGTAGCGACGCTCATCGCCACCGATATCCCTCTTTTATCGCAGACGACTTTGATCGGGTCGACAGAGGTGTAAAGATTGACCATGACAGAGTCATTCCCACCGGAATGCGCAATATATTTGCCACCCTCAGAGGCCAGAAGGGTCTCCAACGCATTATTGGGAGCCGGATTATGGATGTTGTGAGTGATAGATTGAAGAACGACTCGTAACGCCGCCCTAATGTGCATCAGCACAGCTCGAATGGAAGCAAAATACTCACAGAAGCTCCTCGCGCAAGAGGCGAAACTGAATGTCCAGCAACCTTTCCATCGAGTTGTCGTCCAAATAGTGGGGTCCACTTGGAATGTTCGCTGGGAGAAAAGGTGCGATTCTGCACAACATTTCTTGTTCCGTTGGAGGAATCGAGATGTCTCGAATGTTCTCCAGGTCGTTGTCATGTCGCCTTACTCCTCGGAGTTGACCAGGAGGATCGTAATACATGTCGAGGACCCTACGAAGAGTATCATCTTGATTCTTTTGTTTCCGTCCAGAGTCACCTCCTGATGAAGATGGAGTCGTTTTGCGTCGAATCGCCGAATTCTCTCGCTCGATGATATTCGCCAATCGCTCAATACTCTTGCCCAAGTTGGACAATGCGATTTGCTTCTGTTGTTCGCCCTCAACAACCCAACCGTCGATATAGCCTCCTTCGGACCACATAGTGTGCCAACTGAACAGAGTGTGGCAGAAAGAGTAGAGGACAGGATGGTCGCGTAGCGCGTTTTGATAGCGAATCACATATCTGAGGAGATGAATGAGAGGAATACACTGGGAGGATACGAGCACTTACTGGATAAGAATCTCGACCAGCGTGCTAAAGACGGTGAAGCCAGAGCTTAGGCCGGGTCGGGTTTCGAAAGACTTGCGAGACACTATATCGTCCATGCACTCGTTTATGATCACATGGATGCGATCAAAGTTGTTGTGAATCAGCGTACAGCGAACTGTGTAATCTTTAGAGTTGCACGAGCTGTTATAGTGACTACCTACTTGACGCGCTGCTTGAGGGTACTATGCAAAACGGCCTCTGAAACAAAGTACTGTGGAACCGTGAGAAATCACGTGTGGCATGAAGAGGAGTACAAACCGATAGACAATTGATATACGTCGAAGAGAACGCAATGGCGTCACGAGGGTTGTTTAGCACGGTGACTACGTTGTCGAATGTCAAGATCGCCTCGATGCGAGCCAACCCATGACTCTATCAACGGAATTAGCTTCCAGAAAGCGAACTCGGAGTACATACCTGCGTGAGTGTTTCCAAAAACTGCCTCGAATCGGAATTATCCTAAGACTAGTTAGCATGGCAGAGTTGAAACTATGTCGGTACAGACCCACGAGCGGTGCTTTGATGCAGCATTGACGAGTAAATTGACAAACGAGACGATTTGAAACGGCTTGGAGAAGGTGAATGTCGGACTGCAAAAGACACTCAAATGCTGGAGCGCTTCACTCGCCGTAACATTTGTCGATATCGTCGGTTGGGGAGCACTTTGTCGGGCAGCCGCTGCGAGGACAGGGCCAAAGCCAGTAGTGAATCGGTCGGTGTCTGGAGTCATATTACCAGCCTCGACGTGTTTAAAGCTACAAACTGTGTTTCTGCAACTTCCGTAGTTCCAGTAGTACCTGCAGATACCGAGAGGGGAAGTTAGCTGGTCGGGTCAAGCAGCAAGCAGCAGCGACTCTGCCTTGGATACTCTGCGGCGCCATGCCAGTCTCCTATGTGGGCACTGCTGGATACACGCGGATATCAGCTCATTGAATTGATGGAAAATGTAGTGGACATACCTATAGGTGGGTAGTATCTGATTAGGATACATGTGGCGAATCCAAGTAAATCTCCACCCAGCTTATGACGGCCACTCCAGTGCTGGGATCGCTCATTGGATTGTAGCTACTACAATATGGCAAGGGAAATGACTGAGAGCAGAACAGTAGCACAATGACATTTGGCAGGAGGAGAATATGGAAACGTTCTTACTGGCGGAGTAAATGGGTGACGAAAGAGAAAGGAAAAGGGGATAGGAGCCGAGAGATAGGAGAAAGCGCTGCTTCAAGTTGAGTACAGGTTGAGCCAACAGGCGGACAGTCTGACAGATGCAGACTGCTACAACAATAACGGTGATTTGTCTACGGCGATCGAGGCCAAGTTGGAGACAAAGTGGACCGACATTTCAACTGTTAGCGAGTGATTCAGGGCGCGCAAGAGTAAAGCCAATGAGAACAATTTGAAAATTGAATGCTATATTGTTGGCACTGCGTACATTCGATATATGACCTCGTCCACGACGAGGCGTCGGGCCAAGCAGTATGGGACACCGGATGCATTACATTTCAGCAAAGGAGACGATCTTGAAGACGACAAGACGCTGATATGGAATACGACGTGAATGGCTCCGTCGAACGTTCTGCGGAACAAGTATCAACGGATTGCCATGGTCTGCCGCTATTGGCTGGTCCAAACCGTCCTGGTACGTCTATTCTTTCAGACCAAATGGATGGATAGATCGCCGTGTTCTGAACCATCCCCAGAGCCGGCCAATATTTCGCGCGGATACGAGATGATCACCTCACCGGCGTCCAAGATGATTATCCCATTCGACCACAATGCTGTCAGTACTTCCACTACAGGCCACGAGGACGACGAGGGTTGGGAGAACGTCCAGTTTGACATGGACATGGACGACGTGTATGAAAACGTGCTCTCCGAGTCGACGACCATGAGCGTGCACGTTCATGCCGACAAGACAAAGCATGCGTATGCGGATATTGTCAAACGCGTTTGAACATTTGGGGTCTATGACGGAGGGAGAAGAGGGAACGAGTCTGCAGTCGGAGGGATTCAAAGTAGTCGATGTCGGACTTGCCATGTGTTCGTCTCTATGCGGATATGCTCTGAATGAACAACTTGCAGCACTCTTGAAAATTGTCCTCCATTCCATGTCCAATTGCAAACCTACACGCCAATGTCCTGTTCTACCCAAGGTCCGCAAACACGTCGTCGCATCCCTTATTATCCTCTTCCTTGGAGGCTCCATACCGACTCTACGAAGGATACTCGTAATCCCAATCCCCTTTACCAAAGCCCTTTCTTCTTCGCTCTTGACGAGTAGCATACCCACAAATCCAAGCGAGTCGATCGAGAGGGTGAGATTTGCAGACGATGAAGTAGGCGTATACTTTTCAGCTGTACGTAGGAAGAGGTATATGTGCTCGAGCGTCATCACGACATTGTAGCTCGGCGTCGATGGTCCGCCACCTTCAAATGCCGACGCAACTTCGAGGTTTGCGCCATTTCCTACGGTACTGTTCCCATCGGCGGTCGAATGATGCGCGTGTACGCAGTTCATCTGGTACATTCGTCGAGGATGGCCATAAACGACATGGCGAGCTCCGCACTCAGCCTGTCCACCGCTTCCCGTGCCTCTTCGCTATTCTCCTCAGTACTCGATCCGTCGACAAAGACGTCAGCAGCAGCAGAACGAACATTCTTGTCCAGTCGCTTGATATGCGCCGCGAATGGGAGTTGAGGAAAAGCAAATGGGCGAGCTAAATATCGTCAGCGCTCCATCTTAGATCTACCATTCAAATCAAGTGCACAGACGTACCCTCATTCTCGAATTTGGCCACCTTGGCAAGCCGCTCAATTGGTGTATGTCCAGGGAAGAACTGGATATGTTTATGCGGCTGACTCGCACCGCTCAATATCCCACAATTGAAAAAGGCGAGAAAGGGCCGGTTGCGAGTATGTGCAGCCAGGAGGAGCAAGTACGGTTGTACGAGTTGAGACGGTGTGAGTGGACATGCCTGCGATTCGTATTGTATCCCCATCCCATTCATCAGTCATAACAACCGCTATACGTAAACCGCAACAGACATACCTTTGGTCACGAGCAAAGAGTGACCTTTGGCGAGCACAAACTTGTTCAGCAGAACATTGTATCCCTCGACGCTATCTCCTTCGAGTACATCTCGCATTTCTCCAATATGTAGCGAGTTGAAGGGCGGCAAGAACGGGTCAGTCTGTGTGATTGTTTGAACGACGGCTGTAACTTTTGACGCATCTGGCGCGATATTGGGAGTCGGTGCGCGTTCTTGATGCTTTTGGGCGAGCGCAGGGCATAGACGGATTTGATACTATGAGTAGCCATTGAAGTGGTGCGGTTCAGAACATAAGAACCACCAGCCGAACGAGTAAGACAAAGAGGTCAATACGAGGTTAGGGAAAGTAATAAGACTCACTTTTATATCCGCATCGACTACGTCTTCAACAAAACTCTCATACGACTTGAGATCTCCACTGATCTTTGCATTTTCCACCGCATTTTCCAGTGAATCAACCACCTGGGACGGGCTCAAGACGGATACGCCTGACCTCGATAGGTCATTCATGCTCGTACTCGCTGCTGGCATTCTGTTATCTGACAGTGTAGATGAACATTATAAGATCTGAGGAGATTCCTAGAGAATATAATACAGGTGGCTGACTCCAAGTGATCGCGCCACTATGCAGATGTCATGGCGAGGATTCAGAACGCGCATAAGGGTCATATATCGCTACATCTACACAAGTCTCAGACCTCCGCTACTCGTTACCACTCTCACTTGGTTCACACTCAGTCTTTTAGATGACTGTATTCTCGCCTAGGACAAATAGTATATACAGAGGTGATTACAATAATTCGCCAGTGGCAGTTGTTCGAACTTTGGCCCAAGAGGGACCACATTGAAAATGACTGAAATCGAGTTTGGTTACACGAAGAGAACTCGCCTTCGGCATGGTTAGAAGGGATTGCGGATATTGTAGTCCATGTCGATTGTTTGGTGGCACCCAGAAGAGAAATCTACCAGAAGATTGAACCCAGCCATCGTGCACAAGTGAGCACTGATTGAAGCCAGGAATAAGAGTGTTTAAAGGAATCCCGTCCATTTCCTGGGGGATATCAGAGGGTTGGGGGGTTCCCTCTGTCTCTTGAGAGCGGCTGTCTTCACCACCTAGTGATACGCGTGAGTTGACATTGAAATTGGCAGCATGCACAGACTATACCGACCAAATGCGTCTCGAGAGACTGGACCCATGTCACTCGTGGAGCCAGATATGATTGCTAAATTCTCCGGCAAAGACGCCGTAGCATTGTCCTGGTCGACACGATGTTGGAATAAATGATTCGACGGCAGAACAATATCCGTATCCCAAAGGCGAATGGTGTTGTCTTGAGAACCAGAGACTAATTGTGAGTCGCTTTGAGAGATAGCGACGGCGGTGACCGATCGCTGTGGCCTCGGAGTGGGTCTCCTACCGGCTCACCAGTCTTTGCGTCCCAAAGTCGAATTGTCTGGTCCCAGAGCCAGAGACGATTCGTGAGCCGTCTGGCGAGAATGCGACGGCGGTGACCGAGCTGCTGTGGCCTCGGAGTGGGTCTCCTACCGGCTCACCAGTCTTTGCGTCCCAAAGTCGAATTGTCTCGTCCTCGAGCCAGAGACGATTCGTGAGCCGTCTGGCGAGAATGCGACGGCGTTGACCGAGTGGCTGTGGCCTCGGAGTGGGTCTCCTACCGGCTCACCAGTCTTTGCGTCCCAAAGTCGAATTGTCTGGTCCAAAGAGCCAGAGACGATTCGTGAGCCGTCTGGCGAGAATGCGACGGCGTTGACCCGAGTCGCTGTGGCCTCGGAGTGGGTCTCCTACCGGCTCACCAGTCTTTGCGTCCCAAAGTCGAATTGTCTGGTCGTCAGAGCCAGAGACGATTCGTGAGCCGTCTGGCGAGAATGCGACGGCCAAGACCGAGCTGCTGTGGCCTCGGAGTGGGTCTCCTACCGGCTCACCAGTCTTTGCGTCCCAAAGTCGAATTGTCTGGTCGCTCGAGCCAGAGACGATTCGTGAGCCGTCTGGCGAGAATGCGACGGCGTTGACCCAGCTGCTGTGGCCTCGGAGTGGGTCTCCTACCGGCTCACCAGTCTTTGCGTCCCAAAGTCGAATTGTCTGGTCCCAAGAGCCAGAGACGATTCGTGAGCCGTCTGGCGAGAATGCGACGGCGTTGACCGAGTTGCTGTGGCCTCGGAGTGGGTCTCCTACCGGCTCACCAGTCTTTGCGTCCCAAAGTCGAATTGTCTGGTCCTCGAGCCAGAGACGATTCGTGAGCCGTCTGGCGAGAATGCGACGGCGTGACCGAGTGGCTGTGGCCTCGGAGTGGGTCTCCTACCGGCTCACCAGTCTTTGCGTCCCAAAGTCGAATTGTCTGGTCCAAAGAGCCAGAGACGATTCGTGAGCCGTCTGGCGAGAATGCGACGGCGGTGACCGAGCTGCTGTGGCCTCGGAGTGGGTCTCCTACCGGCTCACCAGTCTTTGCGTCCCAAAGTCGAATTGTCTGGTCCCAGAGCCAGAGACGATTCGTGAGCCGTCTGGCGAGAATGCGACGGCGTTGACCGAGTGCTGTGGCCTCGGAGTGGGTCTCCTACCGGCTCACCAGTCTTTGCGTCCCAAAGTCGAATTGTCTGGTCCCAAGAGCCAGAGACGATTCGTGAGCCGTCTGGCGAGAATGCGACGGCGTTGACCGAGTCGCTGTGGCCTCGGAGTGGGTCTCCTACCGGCTCACCAGTCTTTGCGTCCCAAAGTCGAATTGTCTGGTCGTCGAGCCAGAGACGATTCGTGAGCCGTCTGGCGAGAATGCGACGGCGTTGACCAGCCGCTGTGGCCTCGGAGTGGGTCTCCTACCGGCTCACCAGTCTTTGCGTCCCAAAGTCGAATTGTCTGGTCCAAAGAGCCAGAGACGATTCGTGAGCCGTCTGGCGAGAATGCGACGGCGGTGACCGAGTGCTGTGGCCTCGGAGTGGGTCTCCTACCGGCTCACCAGTCTTTGCGTCCCAAAGTCGAATTGTCTGGTCCCTCGAGCCAGAGACGATTCGTGAGCCGTCTGGCGAGAATGCGACGGCGTTGACCCAGTGGCTGTGGCCTCGGAGTGGGTCTCCTACCGGCTCACCAGTCTTTGCGTCCCAAAGTCGAATTGTCTGGTCGTCGAGCCAGAGACGATTCGTGAGCCGTCTGGCGAGAATGCGACGGCCAAGACCGAGTCACTGTGGCCTCGCAAACTGTCAGGCAGCCCAGGATACACCTCCTCGAGGCCTTGAGTCACCCTCAACGTCTCACTATACTTTTTTAGACCTTCAATCCGTAGAATAGACTTTTTGGGCATAAACGGAAGCGCTGAGATGTAAATATGTGGAGCGCTCTCCTGAATTGGCACCAAAAACGCTATCAAACACCTTAGGGTGTCATTGATCCGCCATCTTATCTCTTCTCCGAGCTACATTTCATCTCAGCGTCCGGTCCCCGTTGGATAGAATACTCACTGCCATGTTATCTGAGAGCGCGCGCAGACCGTCGATTGCTCGTGGCACGCTTCTCGTGAAGCTAAGAACCTCCATCCAATATAGCACTAGTGGACTTCGAAGAATGTACCCAACATCGTTCTCCAGCGGGCACGGCCTCTTGTTGTCCATTCCTGACACATGGAACAACCAATGCGAGCTGGCATATCGAAGTCTTCTCGGAATATATTTTGATATTCTGATATCAAGATCTGGGATCTGCTTATTGAGGTAGAAAGATGACTCCAGTCGACATATGTTGAACTTGAGACCATCAGTCCGCGACATGAGGTGTGCAAGACACCACGATGAAGCTTGACTGTGCGCATTGGCGACATTGATAGAATTTTATTGCGGTTATCCGCGCCTGAGTGGATGGAGCAACGTTGAAGATATTCTACGAGCGTAGGGTGGCGAAACTGAATAAGGTTTGTCGTTTTATCCGTGCTGAGCACACTCCCCAGGTTTCGTACCAACGCTTTGGCACTTCCGTGTAGTTTTGCCTGCTTCAGGATATCGTCCAGGTCGTCAACAGTGAGCGGTTCAAACGCAGCAAGGAGCAGTGCCAGCATTTCACACATGGCACCTTGGTACTCGGGTTCTATACGCTCGAAGACGAGGCTGTATACGTTGTCAATGGCACCAGCACTCTCCAGGGAGATGAGACGGTCGTATACCACCTCGGGAGAATGCAGGTTTGTTTCGCTCGTGAGCATTCGGCATGCGGTGCTCGCCCAGATGAACAACCCGTTAGCTTTTTGATCAGACCTTGTCTCTTCTCCTCTGGTAGAATCTCGTACAGCGAATTATGTACGTAGACGCCAATGTCACCAATATTGTCAGAATGTTCGATATTATGCAGGCGATCCTCCAGCTTTTCCTTGATTGACAGTGGTCGCAAAACTGCTTCGATGGCCGAGTCCGGTCGACTCGTGATGAAAATTTTGAGATTTCTGCTCTCTCGAGTAGCCGTGGCGAGCGTTTCGAGGAGTTCCTTTCGTTGTGTTCCAGACTTGCACTCATCAATGGCGTCAATGACAAGAACCACGCGCCTCCGTCGATGGCGGAGTGGACGGGTGATGAGCGTGCGGAATTGTTCGCTCAATGGACTTCGCATGATAGCCGGGTTTTGCGTCACGGCTTCGGTGATATGAGGTGCAAGTTCTGGGATGTGGTGAACGAGTTCCCTGGCCATCGTCGAGCAGAATTTCTCGGTGGTGGATGCTTCACTGTTGCTCATAGAGAAGAAGAACTGGCCTCCTAGCGTTCCATCTGCTCTCCACATCTCCATGGCGGACATTGCGACGGTGGATTTGCCAGAGCCTGCTATATCGCATACCCAGAATATGGGTTTCCCCGACATGTCATCCTCGGCCCAGCGCGAGATGGTCTCAAGAACAGCTCGACGTGTTCCTTGTAAGCATGGGTTGTGAACTGACGACGCGACAAATGGGACCAATGGAAGCTGTAGTATGGCAGATTTATCCACTTGGGACGGTGAGCAACCTGCCGAAGAACAAACTTATGCTCACCATTGGCCAAGATAGCTTTGTTGACTTGAACGCGGGATGCGATAAACACAATCATTGCTTCCTATCCTTTTGTGAGAAGAAGAATATAGCAGATCGTTATCGTACCATGAACTGCCTATGCGCATCCTCGATATCACGATTGAATTTAGAGATGGCTCCTGCGTCGACTTTCACTTTCCCGATTCCAGTGAGCGCGCTGATACTCATGCGGCGTCGTTTGTAAGCTTGGTTTACTACCGTACCGAAATCCTCTAGAACACTGTATCGATCAGCATAGACAATGGTGTCGAATGTCAAACGCACTTCTGATATCGAAGGAGACAGCTCAACACCTCGTCTGGAAGACTCTCCTCTGGGGGGTACTTCGGGAACGAGTCGATTTGATCCTTGATTGCTGACTTGTATTGTTCCATACGTTGAGTTAGATCGATCCAGTCTTCTTGATTATCATCGATAGCCTGATATATCGATGAGATAATGGAATTATACCGGTCAGCAAACTAACCTGCATGGCATCAATGATCGATTTCGTCGTTCGAGAGGCAGCTTTGAGAGGAGCAAGTATATCTGATGCCTCTGCTACATTTGCAACCACCTCGAGGCCGAAGCTAGCTGCACTGTTTAGTCGAGCTCTCTTGCGCGACGACCCTGCAGCTGAACTGGATGTTCCTTGAGAATATGGGACTGCATTATTGGACGTGTTTGGCCTTTGGGAAGACATTCCCGGAGGTGGATGACTCCAAGTTGGTTCAGCGCCTGCCACTCTCCATCGATCAAATAAATGCGGTGCAAGGCATAGCTCGGTTTGATACTAAACCGTCAGATATTCCGTCAATTACTCTCGTCCACGTGGAGAAAGGGAACAATAAGCCAGGTTTGAGGACTATAAAGGCGACACCGCCGGAAGTCTGGCCATGATGGGTTTGACGTAGTAGGAAATCAAGTCTAGTAGACGCTATAAATCTAAAACCTCAAACCTAATAGCATTCGGAAAGAAGCAAGCGAGCAGTTGCTTCATTCAACGGTCGCAGAATCCCCCACACCGACCCATCGGTAATGTCCAAACTTTCTGTTGCAAACAAAGAGACTATACTTCAAATACTCCGCCTTATCACTTGGGTCGCTATTTAGGGGAGACCCCCCTTTGATCGCTGAGCGCACAAGCAGATCATTTTATGCAAGCAAAAAGCTAGATACTATCTTGATGACGGATCCCTAGAACCTATGAGTTCGAGCAGTCCACAGAAGTAAGCAGGCTGCACGGCGGTGGAGATTATTCATTGTCGAGTCATATTTCGTTAGGCGTGCGTGAGGACCAACCACGGATTGCATCCAGCTCTTACCTGCCAGCCACTCGAGTCCGTCGGGGTCGCTGTTCTGGACCTGCCAAGCTATTCATATCCAAAAAGAGTATAGGATCTCACTATTTCCCTCACGAGACCTAAACGTCTGACAGCTGGATGGTCCGAATCAGGGGAGAGTGTATGGACGGCACTTTGGTTCCCAAGAAAAAGTACAGAGATATTTACAATACTATTCAATGAGTTTCGTGACAGCTCGCTTTGCGCCATAGTACGTGAGCCCCTTTGCGACGTCCCTCTTTCTCGTCCGGGGAATTTCGTAGCCACGTTCCTCGATCATATCCTCTAGTACCTTTTGTTGCTGTTCGGCGACAGAGACTTGCCGTGCATGGTACCCGGCGTGAGCAAGGCCAACGGGTCCCGTGATGGGAGCATGTGAGAGTCCTGCGACGGCTCCTGCTGCGTTTCCTGTGATAGAGGATGTACGTGACTGGTGCTGTTTGATGAGCTCATCCACAGGGAGGTGTTCGCGGTCGCGGCGGTATTTCTCTTTGTCAAAGTAGAAAGTGTCGAAGAAGCCCATTTTGTGAGGAAGAGGCGCACTCTGTGAGCTGTAGAGTCTGTAATGGTCAGCCTTGGATCAAGCAGGAATGAGAGGCGTTGCTCACAGCCAAGCGATTGAGAGATGAGCCTGTTCGCTCAGACAAGGCGAAGGAGCGGTCATTTATGCTATTGGAGTCATCCAGCGTTGAATGAGAATTTATATCCATTTGTACACTGATTATGCCAGGATAGGGGTACTCTGACATGTCCGCTGGCACCCGCGAGCGCCGAATATACTCGACCGGTACACTAGCCTGGATCAATCCTTTTACATTCTACACGTATGGCACTCCTGCGGTTGGGCTCGCCAGCTCTCGGGGTCAAACGTTGAACGGCGTATAATGAGGATGTAGGCAGACAAACTCTAAAAAGGACAAGTATTTCTTTGGTGTGTTAGCGAGTTGTCATTGGTCGCCATGGACCAGCGGAGGGGAGACTGCGCCTCGTAGGGCGGCGGTAGACTCGGGCGTGACCACAACTTGTTGATAATTGAAGGATCTGCATAATTTAGACATTTCCGAGTGCCTGAATCCGGTCACAGCCATGGATGTTGACGAGCGAGGTCGAGGCCATGGGCCATGGCCAGAGGGGGGCGGTCGACAGAGGATCTGGGCACTCGCAGAGGGACTAGCCATTACGAACAAAGAACAGCGCCCTTAGCGACATCGGTATCAAGGCAACGCCAATTAAAGACGGCGACGGTGCTACCCATCCATATCGAGGCACAAAGCAAAGCCGCGGCAAACAACAAGGCGGCGAGGGCCCATCACTCACCGCGTTTCTCTCAACTTGGACCCGTCCATCGCCGCTCTCGAACCGTAGAACGGTCAATTCCCCACTCCTTTTCCCTTTTCTTCTCTTCCCTCTTTCTTCCTCTTTTCTCTTCCTTCTCTCGTTTCTCAGACTCGCCGGTCGAGAACCAAACCCAAGTCACATACATCATCTCGTAGGAGGCCACGGAGCTTCAACCACTTTAAACATCAATCTCTATCAGTTTCTTCCAGCATAATACGCCTCGCGGCAGCTATCTTCTCTCCTCTCCGTCGTCGCTAGTCATCGAAACCGCCGCCTGATCGACAATGGGTGTTTTTATCTGGCACCAGTGGGCTCAAATCGTCGGAATCTTTGCCTCTGTCTGTGCGTATACCCCCTATACTTGCTTTCAGATGGGGCTCTGGCTAACGAAAGAGGGGGGTCCCGATTATAGGCACCATTTGGGGTGGACTCTGGGGCATCTTCTTCCGCAAATTCTTCTGGGACTTTGTCAACGGAACTCTTATGCCGGGACCAAATCACGCTATCAACGGACGAAAATGCTTTGACGACAACCCGTGCGGCATAGTGTCAGTGCTTTTTCTTACAAACCTCTCTCCTCTTCATGTCTTTTACTGTTTACTGACGATTTCTCCTCCTCTACGTTGACGCTGACCCATGCGATACACCCGGTATCGGTCACACTGCTTCGCCCCCACGCCTCGTCGCGGACGCCCCATCAATATATCGGTATACGCGCGCCAACAAATGAAATTCAATCTTCAAATTATTTTCACTGGTTGACTCTTACGCGCCCTCATCACTCGCCCATGGTTGTAACCTCCGCTCGGCTATGTCGGTCCACTTTGTCTCCCCTTGCGGCACCGACCTATTCAACCCCTAACGACCATCATCCGTTACTGTCCGACATCAATAGACCCGCCAAGCAAGATGCCATCTTCATCTCCCTCATTGTAAAGGCCCCCGTGATTCAGCTCTTTGTGATCCTGTTCGGCATCACGCACCTGGCTATCGAGCTCCTTCCGGTCATTCGAAGAATGTCCATCTATAGGAGTTTTGCCTTGAGAATCGTGACGTACAGTCTCCAGACATTCCTCTCTGTCCTGCTCTACCAGGCAAGTTTCACTCTTTATTACTCGCCATGTCGTGCGTTGCTGACCAAATGTCGTAGGGCACAAGCGGGGCCATGTACTCGTTTGTTGCCGTCATTGGATTCACGGTCGCACAGATGAAGGGCGAGATTGTAGAGGAAGCAAAGGAGCAACGTGGACGTGGCGACAAGGCGTGATGACAGCGCACAACCCCGTTGCGTCGTCGTCATTGTTGTTGTGAATCCCGTTTTGTCGTAGAGTCTGCATCTGTCAGACCGTCCGCTCCTTTGGCTCGACCTGTACATCAACTAGAAGCAGCGCTTTCTCGTATCTTCTCGTCTGGTATCCAAAATGACCCGGTTTCCCCCCCTCTCTCTCTCTCCCTTTTCCTTTCTCGTCACCCCTTTTACTCCGCGCGTGTTATTCTTTCTTCTTCACAAACTGATATGATGTGTGGTGCGCATCATTCTTCGTTTCAAACTTCTTCTCCTACGAAAATGTCTTTGTGCTACTTTTTTTTTTCTACTCTTTTTTCTTTTTTCTTTCCATATTGTGTTTTTACTGCACTGCAATGAGAGCGATCAACAACACTGGAATAGAGAATCGTAAGCTGGGTGGAGCGATCGACTTGGAGTCTATTCCTAGCAATGAGTAGCGTGCTATTTTTTCATTGCACACAATATAGGAGACACCACTCTCAAACAGGTTTGTAACGCCAAACTCTCAGGACGACATCGCACGCTTGTAGGCATCTGTTACCTGCCACTGAAAATCAAAGCCTGGAATCGGGAGGTCATCTCCAGGACACTCTACTATCCACATCTGCACTGTTGGTGTTTGGGACTTCGCACTTAGCGTCGAAAGCGGCACCCTCGAGTCCCGAGTTGTCGCTGCACATGAAGTTGAGCACGACGGATGTTATTCTCAAATATTTTCGATTTAATTCAACAGAGCTCAAGAATTAGCATCTAGATGGACTGGTAAACCGCCAGACTTCCTCCATAGAGGGTCGATTCGAAAGGCCTACGGTTCGGTTCTCAGGCTGCTTAGTTCTGTGGACTGCTTGAATCCATAGGTTTCTGGAGGTCCGTCATCGAGATAGTATCTAGCTTTTTGCTTACATAAAATGATATACCTGTGTGATCAGCGATCGAAGGGGCGTTTCCCCTGATTAACGACCCAGGCGATAAGGCGGGAGTACTGGAAGTATACAGCTCAGTCTCTTTGTTGCAATGAAAAAGGTTGGAGATTATGTGGGGATTCTGACTTTATGCGACCGTTGAGTGAAGCAACTGCTCTCTTGCCTCTCTCCGAATACTATTAGGTTTGAGCTTTCTGTTGGAAATATTAGCCTCGGGTAATCGAGGACTAGTAGGTTAATGGTTTAGGCTAAAGATTCCGACGGTGTTAGTCACTATATTAGTAATCAAATACGTAGTAATAGCTATATAATCTCGTGTACATAGTACTAGATTCCCACGAGCTTGCCAACGTCTAGAGGGCCTAACAGCCAGACTGAGTACTTAGTAATCGTATTTTCCAGCACTTTCGACTTATTGCGTCTACTAGACTTGGTTTCCTACTATAGCAAACCCATCATAGCCAGACTTCGGGCGCGTGTCGCCTTTATAGTCCTCAAACCTGGCTTATTGTTCCCTTTCTCCACGTGGACGAGAGTAATTGACGGAATATCTGACGGTTTAGTATTAAACCGAGCTATGCCTTGCACCGCATTTATTTGATCGATGGAGAGTGGCAGGCGCCGAACCAACTTGGAGTCATCCACCTCCGGGAATGTCTTCCCAAAGGCCAAACACGTCCAATAATGCAGTCCCATATTCTCAAGGAACATCCAGTTCAGCTGCAGGGTCGTCGCGCAAGAGCTCGACTAAACAGTTGCTAGCTTCGGCCTCGAGGTGGTTGCAAATGTCGCAGAGGCATCAGATATACTTGCTCCTCTCAGCTGCCTCTCGAACGACAAAATCGATCATTGATGCCATGCGGTTAGTTTGCTGACCGGTATAATTCCATTATCTCATCGATATATCAGGCTATCGATGATAATCAAGAAGACTGGATCGATCTAACTCAACGTATGGAACAATACAAGTCAGCAATCAAGGATCAAATTGACTCGTTCCCGAAGTACCCCCCAGAGGAGAGTCTTCCAGACGAGGTGTTGAGCTGTCTCCTTCGATATCAGAAGTGCGTTTGACATTCGACACCGTTGTCTATGCTGATCGATACAGTGTTCTAGAGGATTTCAGTACGGTAGTAAACCAAGCTTACAAACGACGCCGCATGAGTATCAGTGCGCTCACTGGAATCGGGAAAGTGAAAGTCGACGCAGGAGCCATCTCTAAATTCAATCGTGATATCGAGGATGCGCATAGGCAGTTCATGGTACGATAACGATCTGCTATATTCTTCTTCTCACAAAAGGATAGGAAGCAATGATTATGTTCATCGCATCCCGCGTTCAAGTCAACAAAGCTATCTTGGCCAATGGTGAGCATAAGTTTGTTCTTCGGCATGTTGCTCACTGTCCCAAGTGGATAAATCTGCCATACTACAGCTTCCATTGGTCCCATTTGTCGCGTCGTCAGTTCACAACCCATGCTTACAAGGAACGCGTCGAGCTGTTCTTGAGACCATCTCGCGCTGGGCCGAGGATGACATGTCGGGGAAACCCATATTCTGGGTATGCGATATAGCAGGCTCTGGCAAATCCACCGTCGCAATGTCCGCCATGGAGATGTGGAGAGCAGATGGAACGCTAGGAGGCCAGTTCTTCTTCTCTATGAGCAACAGTGAAGCATCCACCACCGAGAAATTCTGCTCGACGATGGCCAGGGAACTCGTTCACCACATCCCAGAACTTGCGCCTCATATCACCGAAGCCGTGACGCAAAACCCGGCTATCATGCGAAGCCCATTGAGCGAACAATTCCGCACGCTCATCACGCGTCCACTCCGCCATCGACGGAGGCGCGTGGTTCTTGTCATTGACGCCATTGATGAGTGCAAGTCTGGAACACAACGAAAGGATCTCCTCGAAACGCTCGCCACGGCTACTCGAGAGAGCAGAAATCTCAAAATTTTTATCACGAGTCGACCGGACTCGGCCATCGAAGCAGTTTTGCGACCACTGTCAATCAAGGAAAAGCTGGAAGATCATGCATAATATCGAACATTCTGACAATATTGGTGACATTGGCGTCTACGTATAATTCGCTGTGCGAGATTTACCAGAGAAAGAGACAAGGCCTGATCAAAAGCTAACGGGTTGTTCATCTGGGCGGCACCGCATGCCCGAATGCTCACGAGCAAACAAACCTGCATTCTCGAGGTGGTATACAACCGTCATCTCCCTGGAGAGCGCTGGTGCCATTGACAACGTATGCAGCCTCGTCTTCGGACGTATAGAGGCCAGTACCAAAGGTGCCATATGTGAAATGCTGGCACTGCTCCTTACTGCGTTTGAACCTCACTGTTGACGACATGGAGGACCTGATAAAGCATCTGCGAGTCCCTGGAACCGTCAAGGGCTTGCTCAACAACTTGGGAAGCGTACTCAGTACAGAGCCAAGTACAAATTTGATCCAATTTCGTCATCTTACCCTCGTCGAGTATCTTCAACGGTGCTCTGGTTCCCCAGCCGGCGGAAGCCATAGGAGAATCTATCTTGACGTCATCAATGCGCATGGTCAAGTTGCTTCGTGGTGTCTTCAACACCTCAAGTCGCGGACCGATGGTCTCAAGTTCAACATATGTCAACTCGAGTCATCTTTCTACCTCAACAAGCAGATCCCGGATCTTGATGAGAAACTATCCAAATTTATTCCAAGAAGACTTCGATATGCCAGCTCGCATTGGTTGTTCCATGTGTCTGGAATGGACGACAAGAAGCCGTGCCCACTCGAGAACGATGTTGGGTACATTCTTCGAAGTCCACAAGTGCTATATTGGATGGAGGTTCTCAGCTTCATGAGAAGCGTGCCACGAGCCATCGACGGTCTGCGCGTGCTCTCAGATAACATGGCAGTGAGTATTCTAGCCTACGGGTACCAGCCGCTGAGATGACATTTAGCTCGGAGAAGAGATAAGATGGCGGATCAATGATACCCTGAGGTGTTTGATAGCGTTTTTGGTGCCAATTCAGGAGAGCGCTCCACATATTTACATCTCAGCGCTTCCGTTTACGCCCAAAAAGTCTATTCTACGGATTGAAGGCCTAAGGGAGTATAGTGAGACGTTGAGGGTGACTGAAGGCCTCGAGGAGGTGTATCCTGGGTTCCCTGACAGTTTGCGAGGCCATAGCGACACTGTCAGGACCGTCGGATTCTCACCAGACGGCTCACGAATCGTCTCTGGCTCTCACGACAACACAATTCGACTTTGGGACGCAAAGACTGGTGGGCCAGTAGGAGAGCCGCTCCGCGGCCACAGCGACTCGGTCCGGGCCGTCGCATTCTCGCCAGACGGCTCACGAATTGTCTCTGGCTCGAGGGACCAGACAATTCGACTTTGGGACGCAAAGACTGGTGAGCCGATAGGAGAGCCACTCCAAGGCCACACCAACTCGGTCTTGGCAGTCGCATTCTCGCCAGACGGCTCACGAATCCTCTCTGGCTCGACCGACCAGACAATTCGACTTTGGGACGCAAAGACTGGTGAACCGGTAGGAGAGCCATTCCGAGGCCACAGTAACTGGGTCAACGCCGTCGCATTCTCGCCAGACGGCTCACAAATCGTCTCTGGCTCGAGGGATCAGACAATTCGATTTTGGGACACGAAGACTGGTGAGCCAGTAGGAGGGCCACTCCAAGGCCACACCAACTCGGTTACCGCCGTCGCATTCTCGCCAGACAGCTCACGAATTGTCTCTAGCTCTGAAGGCCAGGCAATTCGACTTTGGGACGCCAAGACTGGAGAGCCGTTAGGAGAGCCACTCCGAGGCCACAGCCGCTCGGTATACGCCATCGGATTCTCGCCAGACGGCTCACAAATCATCTCTGGCTCTCACGACCAGACAATCCGACTTTGGGACGCAACGACTGGTGAGCCAGTAGAAGAGCCACTCCGAGGCCACAGCGACTCGGTTTTGGCCGTCGCATTCTCGCCCGACGGCTCACGAATCGTCTCCGGCTCTTCGGACCGGACAATCCGACTTTGGGACGCAAAGACTGGTGAGCCGGTAGGACAGCCACTTCGAGGCCATAGCGACACGGTCAGGGCCGTCGCATTCTCTCCAGACGGCTCACGAATCGTTTCTGGCTCTTACGACCAGACAATTCGACTTTGGGACGCAAAGAGTGGTGAACCGGTAGGAGAGCCACTCCGAGGCCACAGCCGCCCGGTCTTGGCTGTCACATTCTCGCCAGACGGCTCACAAATTGTCTCTGGCTCGAGGGATCAGACAATTCGATTTTGGGACGCGAAGACTGGTGAGCCAATAGGAGGGCCACTCCAAGGCCACAGCGACTCGGTCTTGGCCGTCGCATTCTTGCCAGACGGCTCACACATCGTCTCTGGCTCGAGGGACGAGTCGATTCGACTTTGGGACGCAAGGACTGGTGAGCCGGTGGGAGAGCCACTCCGGGGCCACACCAACTCGGTCACCGCCGTCGGACTCTCGCCATGCGGCTCACGAATCGCCTCTGGCTCGAGCGACAAGACAATCCGACTTTGGGACGCAAAGACTGGTGAGCCAGTAGGAGAACCACTCCGAGGCCACACTAACTCGGTCACCGCCGTCGCATTCTCGCTAGACGGCTCACGAATTGTCTCTGGCTCGAGGGACCGGACAGTTCGACTTTGGGACGCAAGAATTGGTGAACCGGTAGGGGAGCCACTCCGAGGCCACAGCCTCTCGGTCTCGGCCGTCGCATTCTCGCCAGACGGCTCACAAATCGTCTCTGGCTCTTGGGACGACACGATTCGACTTTGGGACGCAAAGACTGGCGAGTCGATAGGAGAGCCACTCCGGGGCCACGGCCGCTCGGTAACCGCCGTCACAATCTCTCAAGACGGCTCACAATTACTCTCTGGTTCTGAAGACAACACCATTCGTCTTTGGGGTACAGATAATATTCTACCGTCAAAACGTTCTTTGCTGGAGAATTTAGCAATCATATCTGGCTCCACGAGTGACATGGGTCCAGTCTCTCGAGACGCATTTGGTCGGTATAGTCTGTGCATGCTGACAATTTCAATGTCAACTCACGCGTATCACTAGGTGGTGAAGACAGCCGCTCTCAAGAGACAGAGGGAGCCCCCCAACCCTCTGATATCCCCCAGGAAATGGACGGGATCCCTTTAGACACTCATATTTCCCGCTTCAAACAGTGCTCACTTATGCACGATGGCTGGGTGCAATCGTCTGGTAGATTTCTCTTCTGGGTGCCACCAAACAATCGACATGGACTACAATATCCACAATCCCTTCTGGCCATGCCGAAGGCGAGTTCTCTTCGTGTCACCAAACTCGATTTCAGTCATTTTCAATGTGGTCGCTCTTGGACCAAAGTTCGAACAAGTACCACCTGGTGAATTTTTTTTGGGTAGGTATTATTGTGCAGTGGCGCTGCCAATATAGCACATCGGTCTATCGTTGTCCGCTTACTGGGTTATCCTTGAATAGCCTCAGTGGGCCGACCTCTCGCAGGCAGAAAAATCTCGACCTCGCTAAGTTCCCCTCTGGGCGTGACCTTTGTCTATCGCAAATCGTCTCTCGCGTTTTGCTCCATTAGTTTCTATTGTTTCGTCGCGCGTTGTGTCGTCTTCCGATGTTTGCCATCTATTCTCCTTCGACTGCCCTTCCTGTCCTCCATCTCCTCGTTTTGCGTATAAGCTGGCGTTTCTTCGATCCCATCCTCTGTTCCTGGGACCTCTTTGAGGTCTTCGGTTCTTCCTCGTAGGCTTCTCTCCCATTCCGCTCTGGCTTCTCGTATTTGGGGCAGATGTATAGCACGTGCATTAGGTTCTCGTAGTTCCTTTCTCCGCAGTGTAGTTCATGGTGAGTCTGCCTATTGATACGATTTAGATGCCCGTTCAGACCGGTGTGTCCTGTACGTAGCTGGATCAATAACGCTGCATCTCCTCTCGACAGTTTGTCCGTGAGCCTAAGGTATCGACTCGATGGCATCGTCTCGTCGATTTTGGACATCGGTCAAACGTTTGGAGTTGTTCCATCGTTCCTTGCCCCTTCTTTTCGCCAGTCTTTTGCACTCCTGCTTCACTGCCGAGAGATTTGATGGAGGGTTCTCGCAGCCACCTTGGTGTTCGCTGGTCTCTTGCGCCTTCCGTGATCGCCTTCTTCGCCTCTTCGTCCGCCGCTTCGTTTTCCTTGTATACCTTCGTGTCCTGGTACCCGTGAATTCCATTCGTAGCCTTCTAATCCTTAGCTCGTCTTCTATCTCCGATAAATATTTTCCACGACATGTTGGCCTGCGTTGGGTCTGGCGCGAGTGATGCTCTGGATTGCCGCTTGATTATCTGGGCTGATGTTGACTTTGCGCGGTTTCCTTGCATTGTCCTTGTAGATGGATACCTGGCTGTGCCCACCAGTTCTCCTTCGTGTACTGTTATGTTTCAGCTCCCAGTAGGTAACGTACCGCTCTGGCCCTTCGACCGTTCCGGTATAAGACCGCTGCCGCTCCGATCTTTCCCTCCATTCCAGATCCGTTCGTGTATATTGCTACGCTTTGGGTACTTATCTCTTTGTCCCTCTCTATAGCCTGTTCCCTTGAGTTGTCAATGGTCGATTTGAACATATGGGCGGCGTTTGGATTCCTGAGTGCTGGCGTGATCTTCTCCATGCTTGTTAAGTCTATACCTGCCGTGTGGAATAGGTGGTGCATTGGCGTGTTGTGTTTTTTCACCTTCCCCCACATTGCTCGCTTGATGTACTTCGCTAGCGGGTGAGTTTTTGGCAGGCTTGCTAACCTCGCTGCTGCTTTCCGGCATGCCAGTCCGAGAGTTACATCGATTGGCAGCAGGTTAGTGTGTGCGTCGAGTACATCACCTGCAGTCGTTCTCATTGCTCCGGTGATCCCGATTGCTGCTCTCCGTTGGACGGCTTGCAGCTTGTTGGTTATCGCAACTGCTCCTTGCCTCCTTGTCTCGCTGGCGTTGATGTGTGGTGGTACATACCAAAGGTCGGCTGCGTACTGGATGCGCGGGATGGCGACTGCTTTGTAGAGCTGGCGTCCCATCCGAATGGGTAGACCATGTAGGACCCTGTGGATGCGTGAGAACAACGCTGTCCATTTCACCACTCTTGCGTGCACCAGTTCTTGGTGCTTGTTCCAATAAAGCTGATGGTCGAGGATGACTCCCAGCAGCTTGTAGCTTTCGCTACTGGTGATATTGACTGACTGCGGGTTCCCTTGGCTATTTGTGGTACTCAGGATGAGCGGCGTCGACTCTTTTCGCTTGTCGAGGGATCTTGTGAAGTCGATTAATGCGACTTTGCTGATTTCGAGTGGTGAGTTGTGTCGATATGACCAGTCGAGCACTCCTCCTGGTTTCTCCATCATGCTTTTGAGGATGTCGTGCGTTTCTGTAAAGGATTTGCCTATCGCAAGGAGTGTGGTGTCGTCAACAAAGCCGATGGTGAGCTGGTTTGTCTTGTTAGAGATCTCGAGAAGGGGGGCAATGTAGAATAGGTAGAGAATCATTGAGAGAGGGCATCCTTGGCTGTTACCGTTTGTGATAGGTCGTGGCTCCGAGTGGTTCCCGTCAAACTTGAGGCGGGTTGTCCTGCCTGTCAGCATATCCTCTATAGTTTGGACGTACGCTTCAGGTATGCCTTTTCTTCGCATGTTTTCCACCAGTGTTGGTTTGACGACGTTAGGAAATGCTGCTTGGATGTCAAGAAATAAGGCGCTTGCTACCTTTGATTGTCTCCATGCTTTCTTGATCTCGCATGTGAGTAGGTGCAGTGCGTCTGTGGTAGTTCGGCCAGGTCTACCTCCGAACTGGGAGTTGGGTAGAAGGTTGTACTGTTCGCAGAGGTGTGAGATGTCCTCTGCCATGAGGGCTGACAGGAGCTTTCCTAGCGTGTTCAGTAGAGCTATTGGTCTGTACGCCTTGGCCACGTTGTAGGCTGGTTTACCTGGTTTCCTTAGTACCACTGTTGTCGATACCTTCCATTGCTTTGGGATACGTCGTAGGCGCATGGCTGCATTGTAGATGTTTACTAGTACGGGTTCAATCATCGGAAGGGCTTCTTGGATTGCTGCGTTAGGTATCCCATCCGGTCCTGGGGCTTTGTCATGTTTGAGGTTGCCCGCCGCCCGTCTGATCCTCTCCACTGTGTAGGGGCTCCATTCGGGTAGCTGTCCTGTGATTAGGATGGGCTCGGCCGGTGCTAGGGATGGCGGTGGGGGAAAGAACGCTTCAGCCAATATGGCTGCTTTCTCCTCCTCCGACTGTGCAAGTGTGCCGTTGCTTGATTTGAGGGGTGGGACTTGTTCTCTGCTACCGTCACTGTTGCTTTGCTTCTGGAATCTGTTGATGTTCCATAAGTCACTGTCGTTAGCATTGTCAATCCAGTTCCACCAGTGTTCTTCCTTGCTCGCTCTCACTGTCCTTTTCATCTTGTCCTGAGCAACTCTGTATGCCTGGTGCGATGGGTGGTCTGGGGTTGCCCGCCATCTCCTGGATTCGGCGTATGCTGTGCACTTGCGCCGGTGAGCCTCTTTGCACTTGTCGGACCACCATGGCTTTTGAAATTCGCTGGTTTTGCTGGTTGGAGTCGTTGCTTTCAGGTGGGTCTGCAGGTGGCTTGTGAGTGCGTCAACGGTAGCTTCCATTTCCTCTACGCTTCTTGGTTCTGAACTTAGCGTCTCATCCGCTCTGATGGCTCCTTCTATCCCTTTGCGAAACTTCTCCCAGTTTGTCCGTTTGTAGTTTGGCCGTGCTTCCTCTTGGCTTCTTGGTATGTCGGTGTCTATGATAGTGACAATGGGTACGTGATCTGTTGTGTTAGGTCTCCATTCCGGCCACGTGTTGCACTCCACCATCCTTTGTACGATACCTTCAGATGCCCATACATTGTCTGGGCGGGTCTCGCTTCCGTTCTCTATTCGAGTTGGGATTCCTGCCGGGAGGAGTTGTTGCATGCCATGTTCGATGACCAACTCTAGGAGCAGGGTGATTTTGTCGGGTGGGCTGCGTAGATGGCCGTTGGCCTCGCCTTCCCACATGTGATGGTGTCTGTTGAAGTCGCCTAGCCATATGGATGGGGCTTGTCTCTCGCTTAGCCGTTGGCCTTCGAGGTGGGCTGCAAGGTGCTCGAGCGTGTCGTTGTTAGTGCCGTCGTCTGGTGAATTATTATGATCACCTCTGTATATTCTATTTGATCTGGGCGATAATATAGTCATCTGAAGTGGTAACGAGTAGCGGAGGACTGAGCTTTGTGTAGATGTAGAGATGTATGGCCCTTATGGGTATTCTAAATCCTCGCCATGATATCTGCATAGTGGACCAATCGACCTGGAGTCAGCTACCTGTATTATAATCCCTAGGAATCTCCTCAGAGCTCACACTATTCATCTACATTGTCAGATAACAGAATGCCTGCAACGAGCCAGACCCAAGTCGGCGACACAGGCGTCAATGACCTGCCGACGTCAGGAGTATCCGTCTTGAACCCGTCCCAGGTGATTGATTCGCAGGAGAATGCGGTGGAAAACGCAAGGATCAGAGGAGATCTCAAGTCGTATAAGAGTTTTGTTGAAGACGTCGTCGATGCGGGTATAAAGGTAAGACTTATTACTTCTCCTAGAAGCTTGTATTGACCTCTTTGTCTCTACTCGTTCGGCTGTTGGGTCTTTTGTTCTGAACTGCGATGACGTAAACGGCTACTACCCGTAGTATTAAGTCCGTCTATGCCTCGCTCTTGCCCAAAAGCACAAAGAACTCGCACCAGCTCCCAATATCGCATCAGATGCGTCAAATATTACAGCCGTTGTTCAAACGATCACGCGGAGTGACCCGTTCTTGCCGTCCTTTAACTCGCTACATATTGGAGAAATGCGAGATGTACTCAAAGAGGAGAGCGGCGAGGGATACAATGTTCTGCTGAGCAAGTTTCCGCTCGTCAAAAGTCACTTTTTGCTCGTCACCAGAGGTGCGTCTATTGCGGTTTACGTATATCGGCTATTATGACTGATGAATGGGATGGGGATTCAAAGCTATTTCTAACTTTAATTTGAATATGTTCGATGCATTCACGTTCCAATTATTCTCTTCCATGCAAGGTTTGGTAGGCATGTTGGGCTCGTTGGGTTAGGCTCCTGTTACCGCCACGAAGGGGCTGTCGCCTTTTATGCTCCATTATGTACATCTTCGTTAGTTGCCTGGAATTATGTTCATTTACTCTATCAAGCTACAGAAACGACAATGTCATCGAAAAGCAGCGGCGCCAATATGGACAAGATATCGCGCTCCAGGTGCCAGCCACAGCCTTGAATTATTTCGTGAACGCGTCAAGCTTGGATCCTAGTGTTGGATAATATGCGTGTACAGATTATGTAGAGCGAATATATACGCAGAGACTCTTCAGGTGTTGAGTCCTGGTAAGCGAATGAGAGTGGGGAAATATCTCCCATGATTAATCGAGACGCGGCTCATAGCTTCTTATATACATGCTCGAGTTGATGATGACTAACTATGATTAACTATCAGGCTATAGTGATTAGCCTGCGGAGAGTCTGGCTCCACTGACTCTGTGTCAGCCGTGCTTGCGCTTACAACATTTAGGACTGCGAGTCCCAATGGAGGGACGCATTCGGAAATCGCCACAATTACTATGTTTGTAAAAGCAATCCCGCCGGCCCTGGCCCATAATTTACCTCCGGTAGTCATACTCTCGGCTGATAACCAGTCAGTATTGATCCTAGGACTGCCACGGCCTCGGTGAGTGAGCCACATCTACCACGGTATGCGTCGATTACTAATAACCTACTGGCGAAAAGACAATGAGAGGGTTCAGCCAGCACCAGATATGTATCATTCGGGAGTGTTATGGCCGTGTGTATCGTACCAACAAGAGAGAGCCGCCGACGGATGAACAGTATGACGGGTTTAGTAGAACCGAGTGACTGTGCGTTTTTTCTTGCAAAGGTGCTATTTTCTTATCCACGTAATCTTTCTAGTTCTAAATACAAGATCATCACGATGTGTCGGCGATCTGGGAACGGGTCACTCTGTCAATCAGAGTACGACCCGGACCGCATAATGGACTCGAAGCAGCGCTCTCAAACCATGGAGATGCTATCGAGTAGTCCCGAGAGGATGAAGGCTAGGACAGGATCCTCTGCCAGATCGTCGACGGTGGTCGAAGGTAAGCAGAGGAATAAACAAACCACCTCTCGATCAGCACCTTATTCTACAGACCCCTCAGTACACAACCGAGAAAATAATAAAATATCTCGGAGAAACTCTGCAAATCTTGGAGCTGATGCTGTACGATGCAGGGATCATGGAGGAATGCACTCGTCACGCTGGAGAAGAGGGTGGCGGTGTTTGTTCGTATTTGCCTCACTCGGTTGACCTTCGCACCGACTGAGGTAAAGTGGAGGATCTTTGTCTATTCTGTTATCTTACACCTAGACAGCCTTGTGTTCCCTTGTCTAGGCATGATATGCTGGTACCTGCCGTGCGCCGGAGAGAGCTACTCGCGTGGTTCCTCACCACATAGGTATTGAAAACATACCTATCCCTACCTTCTTCTCTCTTATATGTCACATGCCGCAGCCGTAGCTAACTCGTCCGTCGCCTTCCTGGCTCCTGGTCGACCGCAAGGTCCGATAGATTCTCTTCCCTTGATCCCTCAAATCTCTCTGGACGAGAATTCCGACTTCAATTCCAGTAAGATGGAACTTGTAGCCATTCAAAGCTGCTTCGTGTCTCCTCTCGAGCGCCCTCCCAACCATTGTCAATAACTGGCGGCTCTATCCCGGCAGGGTGGATACCAAACGCGAACAGTGATGAAAATCAACCACCCTTCCACTATGTGGGTAGTTCGGCGCGTCGCATGACCGCCTCCCACAATGCGATGGAAATCGGCGCGGCCCATGTCTTGCTTTCCCTGAACTGAAAGAGATACCAAAATCATTCCCACACTCACGTTTATCCGCGTGTCGATGAAAAAGCCTGAGCTTCATCAGATGCAAGACTCTTACCTCGTCGTCCATCACTCGCGTTTTGACGCCGCGATGGACTTGACTAATAAGAGATCTCCTTGCTGTCGGGACGCTCGGCTTGTCCCATGCATACTATTGATGGGTGGACCAGGAGCTGTCACGGAGGAGGGTGCAGAGATAAAGAACGAGGCATATACCGTCTCTGCATAAGGTGTGGAGCTTCAACCTGGTCCTCGACTTGTCAAGTTCTGGCGGTTGTCCTCGAGGGCCCTGACAATACACAACTAGTCAAGAACAAGCACTAGACACTCGTATAATCATGGTTTGGATTTAGTCTTACTTTCTTTATTTGCGACTCTATACGACAACGTCGCTCTTTCTATGCTTGCTCGACATGCTTGTACACCAGGTTTCGATTCCGTCTACATGATTGTAATGCTCGAAGTCCCTATCTTATAGTCGTTAATAGATCTCTGCTCGCATTATATATTACATCGACCGCCAGTACCCCAAGAGGTCGAGTTTGGCCTTGACCAAGTAAAATATATAATGAGCCATTCGAAGACCGGCTACAAATTGTACGGCCGAAGTTCTCTAAAGGGGATCAATGAAACAATGAAACGACGCTCCTTTCCCGAACTCTGTGCTGGTTGACAGGACTTGCACAAGTCGGGATGTCGCAGGCGCCAGGCCTTCGTCACGTCTGGACCCGACCATTTCTGGCCACAGCTTTGTATCTATCATGCCGTTCAAACTCTCTCGCGCTCTTCTGCGGTCCACAGACAAATGGAGAACCAGATTACTGCCGGATATCGTTTCAAAGGTCAGCAACAGCCCTACCAGAGACAGAGCAAGGATTTTATCAGCTTTGTAGGACAAATCTTCCGAGAAATATTCCAACGCGTCAGCCATGGCGGCAAATCTACCGCCAGAAATCCTCCTGCTGGTCTTCGGCGTGCTCCCAACTGAGCCTATATACGACAGTTGGCCCAGATGGCCGGTTTCTCCGAAGGATCTGACTTCAGCTGCACTTGTATGCCGCTCTTGGCGTCTCCCGGCGACTGCAGTACTCTATCGGGTGATTGAAGTCAAGACTATACGCGAGTTGAAGCTGCTTACAGCGGCAGTTCTTAAATATCCGCACCTCAAGCCACTCATCAAGTCACTCTTTCTCCCGCTCCGCTTTCAGGCGGTTTGTCCGCCGATAGTGGTTGTCCAATATCAGCTTTTATTGACACTACTCACAGATTTGGACGAGGTCTCATATCAAATAAACGAAAATTGCGTTACGGAGCGACCAGTCATCGGGGAATCTTCCCAGGGCAATCGAAACTCGGAACTTCGCTTCCTCGGCCTCGCAGGATGCACAACCCAGCCGCTCAATCTCCCTCCAGTCTATGCGTTCTTCCCCAACCTACGCTGCCTTCATCTCACCGGTTTTAAACTCTGCGAGCGATTGGACCCAGATACGACGCCGCCTTTACTTCGGCTCGAGGAGATTACGGTCCAAGTCGACAACTGCTTTGGCCTCCTGGACGACTGGCTCTGTACTCTTCCAAACCTCCGTACCATCTGCGTTGCAGCTATGCCCTCGCAGCCCATTGCGCCCACCAAGGTTCTCCAGATGAACCGCATCACCCACCTCGAACTCGTCGTTTGTCGTACCGAGACTACGTACGCAGGAACGTGGCTAGGCGTATCGAATAGTCTCCGTATACTAAGTATAACTGCGGATGTGTTCAACTCGAGCTTTCCAGAGTTCCCAATGGAACTCGATCACCTCAAAATTTGGACAGTGCGCTATATCGAGCTCAAGATGGACCATTTTATCGAATATATCAAGTCAGGCCCAATGATCCGAACTCTAACGATCATCAAGGACACGCATGCGGATTACTTCGTGACAGTAGAGTCAGTAGTACAGAAATATTGCAAGCAGGGCGGAATCAATCTTGTCATTCTCTCAGAGAATTGCGGGTGCAAAGACTGTTGGTATTCTCATGGAACCTCATCGACTTGGCTAACGCTCCATAGGTTTGCAAGCAAAGGAGGGGGCTATTGTCGAGAAGAAGAAGGCTAGCACCTCTGGGTTTCTGCACACTGCTGCTTCCGTTGCAGGAAGAAGTATGGGACGCAGAAAACCACGTCGGATCATGAGTCCAGAAGAGAGCGAGATCGCTCGATGGGAGGCGGCAGAGACATGGGCTGTGGAATACTAATGTACTATTCAATTCTACTTGTATTGTTCGACCCCTGGGGCAGCCCCAGGAACGGTGGCTTTTGTAACTTGGTCACCCCCGCGACTATAACACCAGTCACGTGCTGCAAGAGCGAAGCTCGCATGACTGCAAGACTTATATGAACTGAATCCCGAGCAATCCATTGTCAAGTTGAAGATTGGTTCCGAAACCGAGGGGTTGCGCTTTGTACGTCATCCTTAGAAACAGATTACGTGGTATTTGAGTTGCCAGGAATCCTTGTACAACCAATAAAACGCGCCTGGCGCACAGTTGAACAGCGGAGGCTTTGCTTTTGCGAGCGAATTCCGAAGCTGTTTGACAGCACGGACGAACAGGCGCCGAGAGCCCACTATCCACAATATAACCTGCTCGGTCAACCCTTCTGGACACCGACCATCCTCCCGAACAAGACCATGCCATGGCGCAGCAGCAGTTGGTTGAGCTGGCAAAAGCCCAACCCCAAGGTAGAGGCTTCTCCTTTCGTGATTACAACGCACTTACGTTTACCTATAGCAAAAACATCGTCTTAACCCAAACTCGTCCATCATCGCTGCGACGCTGCCGACAGAGATTTTGCTCCTCATCTTTGCCGAACTTCCACGCGAAATCATGTACGATAATTGGCCCCGCTGGCCTCTCGTGTATAAAGAGGCCAGGTCAATACCGCTCGTTTGCTCCACGTGGCGGGGACCAGCGACGGCGATGCTCTTTGAAGCTGTCCACCTTCGGACAGTACTACAAACAAGGACCCTTCACGACACGCTCTGTAATCACCCGCATCTCATGCCACTCGTCAAAACCGTGTTCCTCCCACTTCACGTCAGCCGCCCAACACCGCGCATCGTAATCGAGCATATCGAAGCTCTCATTCACTTACTTCCTTCCCTCGACGAGATATCATATCAAATGTCTCCCACTGTTTCATCTTTACCTCGAATTGGTGTTGATAAGACAAAGATCGGCAACCCAGATGTCCGGTATCTCGGTCTGTCAGGCTGCCTTCGAGACAAGCATGCTCTTCCACCCATTTCGACCGCGTTTCGCAACCTCCGGTGTCTCAATCTACTTGGATTTGCTATCACCGAACGTATCGACCCCAGCGTCGTCCCGCCTCTACTTCGTCTAGAAGAATTCAGCGTTCACAGTGACAACTGCTACGCCTTTCTCGACGACTGGCTCTGCTGTTGTCCACGATTACACACCATCTGTGCCGTCGCATTTTCTTGCCAGCCTACCCCGCCTAGGAAATTGCTAGCGACTGGTCGTATCAAAGTGCTCGAACTCGTCTCCTGTCGGAGCACAGAGTCATATGCTGGGACATGGATCAACGATTCCGACAAGTTGCGTATACTCAGTATCACACCGGATGTCCTACACCATACATCTCCCAACCTTCCGATGGAATTACACGAGCTAAGAGTATGGGAAGAGGGAATCATGCCACTCAAACTTGACGAAGTGATTCACTACCTTGACTCTGGGCCCAAGATTGTTAATCTTGTCGTCTCATTCGTCAAGCACTCTCCGGCCGACGAAGAAGCGAAAGGACGCCTCCATGACGTATGCAATCGCCATAGAATTGCGCTCACAATTCAGTTTACAAACTGTGGATGTGATAGATGTGAGTCCATGCCCTCCTGTTTACTTCAACTCATGGAATATAATCAGGCGACCCTGAGGAGAACTCTACTCCAGTAGTTGAGACAGAGGTTGAAGCCTCGAGCAGATGGCGACGCACACTAGCAGTGACCAGATCCCTAGTCAAGAGGAAGCGTACAGCACATGTTCCAACCCCAGAGGAGCAGGAGGTGGCTACATGGGAAGGAGGGAAGTTGAATAGTTGACCAAGAACATTCATGATGGACACTGCTCAACATAGTTCTCGTTGATATCATCATATTATGACATGTATTCTGGTACTAAAGAGTAGAAAACATCCCCTCGAGCCTCTTTACGGCGTCGGCATCGAGGTTGGTACAATTGACTAGGGAAACGGAGAGGGATCTCTGTCGTAAGGCGTGGTATCCAGATAGAAAAGTTGACAGGGTTGACTCCTGAACATCGCTGTTTGATATAGTAAGGCTGTGAAGGTTTGGTAGCGAAGCTTTGTCCGTGGAGAGCGTAGCAAGGACGCTTAGGAGAACTCTTCCATCAAACTGCAAGCATGACACGGCTTGGAAGTGTCTCAAGATAGACGTGTAATGCGGCTCTTCCTCTCCGTCCTCTCCTTCTTCGCTCGTTAACGGATCCCTCACAAACCAGTTGGCATCAATATCCTCCTCTGCATCTAGCGGTATAGAGAGGGTAAGATATGAGATCGATTCATTTGTCGAATCTGTATATTGGGCCAGGATATCGTCATCGAAGCGGAATAGATCAGGGTCAGGTTCATCCTGGAGTAGTAGCGTTAGCCTCGCTAGATGTGGCGCAATAATCCATTTAGAGATTGCTGTATATTGACTGATACTGCAGGTCAAACACTCAAGAGAGGTTGTAGCCTCTTCTGTGGTCGATTCCAGGTTCATACCGATTGCTACACCTGGAAGTTTCATACATGTAAGCCCTGGCATCATTGAAATCCAATCGACGAGTTCCTCTGAGTATAAGACAATATTGGAGACGATCAGGGTTTGGAGGTTTGGTAGCTCCTCTGGTCCATCGAATGAAGACATCAATTCGACAATCGTGCTCCTAAGCTCCAGTCGATCTATATATGCCAAGGAAGAGAGAAATATCATATACTCCTCGTCATCTGGGTGTGGACCCATTTTGGTCTGGTATCTTGGTGTAATACAAAGTGTTCCCGCTCGTGGCGCAAAGTCAAGCTCCTCGTCCAACGAAAAGAAGTCACCGAAAGTATAAATGGCTTCATAACATGAGATCCTTTGAGAAAGGTACGAAAATAGCGTGACGGACCCCTCTAGAGAGCCCGGCTCAGTGCTATATGTGTACATAATTGGCATATATGGTCGGCAGAGAGTGATACAGTGCGCCAAACGAGCACATTGTAGCGGAGAGAGTTGATGCCGGTGCGGAATAGCGAGGTAGCGCCAGAGGTTTGATCGAGAAGTGACAATGTTCCGCCAACTCTTGCACACAGTCGAGAGTTTGAGCGCTTTAAATGGTGGTAATTTGTGCCTTGAACCCTCTATGAACGTCATCTCCTCATCCGCCACTGAAATTTCGAAGATTTTAGCCCATATCTCCTCGGGAATGATGAGTCGGACGCTAATAATGCGTCTTTTGAGAGAGATGGCATGCGCTCGCTGTTCAATAGATGAGTGAACCATCGTTTTAGATGCTTCCAAGGTCGCCAGGATTGATATCTCCCCGTCTATATCATCATTGATTATACGGATGCGTTCATCCATTGCCTTCAAATTGCGCGCACCTTTTTCTAGTGCTGGAGCTACACGTTCATGAGAAGACTTTGCCTCTTCGAGCAAATTGCAATATCTGGTACGCGAGGAATCATCTCCGCCAACGTGAATAGAAGTATCCGGAGGAACATTGGCAGTCATCGTCTGAATCTCCTCCATGGTCTGTTGGGATTTCTGAATTGCCAGGCGGAGCACCCCGGCAACCCTCAGCGCCTCGCGGCAGTTGTGAAGCACGCTACGGTGGTACGTTGTCTTCTCCTCCAGCATAGCAAGCTCACGACAAAGACGCGACTGTTCTTCCTTGTCATATTGGATAAGCGATTGGATTGCTTTGCGCTCTTGAGGTGTTGGCACCCGATTGGCCACTTGAGTTGGGTGTTCAACACTGGAGGAGTTCGTTTCCGTTTAGAATGTCGAGTTCATCGGGCGAGAAAATCTCTCACAATGTGTTTTGTGATGCAGTCACTGACATCTTCCCAGATTGGTCGAGGTGGAAGAATCCAAGGTGGGCAACCACTGACGACCATGGCTTAGGCGGTACTTACGTGTCGTGCTCGACAATAGATTCGACTCGGGTGATATTGTTTCCCTCTCCAGCTCGCTCGTCTAATTGAAATTACTCTATCGAACGTGAACGTGAAATTTCTGCAAATCTTAATACAGCTAAGAATCGTTGATACAGTCAGACTTCTAGTTATCCGACCGGGATGCCTTCTCGTAGAGTCTCTGAACTGCCTCTTCGTCGAGATTCGTGCAGTGCTCGAATGACAGGGAGATGGTCTTCTGTCTGATGGCATAATATGTGGACAAGAAGCAGGTGAGTACTCCCTCCTCAACGTCCCTGTTCGAGATTACAAGATGTTCAAGCTTGATCAGAGAGGTGTGGTCTGTTGAAAGTATCTGAAGGAAGCGAGGAAGAGTTCTGCCCTCTAGCTCAAGCCGAGAAACAGCACGAAAATGTTGAAAACCTTCGATAAACTTGTGTTCCTCTTGCGCCTCTGAATCCGGGGATATGCCAATATCGTCTGGAGTACCTAGAGGTACGACAATGATGAGGGTGGAGATGAGTTCGTTAATCGGCAGGTCTTCGAAATCTCCAGGTGAGAAAGTTGAGATATCTTCGCTTCTTTCTTCTTGAAGAATCAACTTGAGTGCCGCAAGTTGAGGGGCTTGAATGAGAGGACACAGTCGTGGATATTGGCCGAGACTGCAGGTGAGAGACGTTATGGAAGTCAAGACTTGCAATGAAGGGGATCGTCTCTCTCAATCTTGACGCTTGGCAGCTGCAAGGACTCGAGCCTGGTCATTCTCTCGAGCGAATACGTAATCTCAATCTCCGGCATGAAGTTGTTGGAAACAGTGAAATCATGTATGTTGGGAACGCCATTTTCCTCTTCCTCGGTGAACTCGATGTTGAGATCTCGCACTTCGAGCCTTCGGATTTATGACAATGCCAAAAGAGAAATAAGATATCTGGGCTCCAGTCGTGATGGCTCGGAGTCGACCGTGTGACGCAAAAACTGTTTACCACAGGAAAAAACAGCAGTACGGCGCGAATATTGAAATAATCAGCAAAGGTATGGAAACTCCCGAATCGCTTGAATGTCTGAGGGACAAACGTGGCAAGAGCAGTTTTGCTAAGAACACTGCTTACTCGGCTCCCAGACGTATGCATATGCATTCGGAAGATGTGCCTTGCAGCGCTTGGCATAGTAGGCGATGCGTTTGCAATGCGAGACTAGTATTTTGGAGGATTGTGGAATCGCGATATTGCACCAGAAGGATGGTTGGGATGCGATAATAGTTCGCCAATTCCTACACACTCCAGAAAGAACGAGTGCGGTGAATGGAGGTTTTGCCTCGCGTAATCCAGCACAGTAGCACGCTTCGTCCTCCAAGATCCTGATCCGCAGTATTTCGCTCTATATCTCCAGGGGGACGAGACGTATCGCGCTGATGATGCTTCGCTTGGTGGCTAATTCCAGTATCTTGGAACGCAATGCGTGTCTTGCGTTCTTCTTGGACAGATCGAGCATTGCCAAAACGGAGACGTGGCCGTCGATATCTTCTTGGATGCCTCGGATGCGGTCATTGAGATGCCGAAGCGTCTTCACTCCTTCTTGGAGCTTCGAAGACGCATGATCACGCATTAATTCCAGCTCGTGGCGAAAGTCACGATAAACTGTCTGTGAGCGATCACCTCCCCGACCTTGATGGACTTCTCCGGAATCGATATTCAAACCACCTCGTACATCGTTCATCGCCAGAATCATACGCTGTGTAGCCTCAGGGGGGGTGGCAATGTCGATGGTCTGTCGGTAATTATGAACAACGTTCTGATGATGTAGTATCTGTTGTTCTATATTTTCAAGATCTCGACGTAGTTGAGATGTTACTTCTTCGTCTCTTTTTATCAGAGTCTGGATTGTCTGTCGTTTTTGGGCAGTCGGGGCGCGATTGGTGAGCGGAAGGCCAATGCCAGAGCTAACAGCAGCAAAATAAGAGCACTCTAATACTCCAAGGAATTACAGCTCACGAGTTACTGGGCGCGTTCGCCGACATGCTGCGTTTAACAGCTCCGATACGGTCATGTTCATGTTTGTGCAGCGTTGAACGACGCCGCGTGCGCACAAAGGAGAGATGCCGTTGGAATTAATGCAACTACAACTGTTCAGAAGCTCTCTCACGTCGAAGAACGATTTACATTTCATCAGGGGTGACTAGTAACACGATATAGTGATCAAGAAAATGAACAAGCGACAAGTGCAAGAATTACATAATTTCTGAATTCAGAGCTAGTTCCTGCAATCTCTGTATTGCATCCAGCTCGAGATTGGAGCAGCCCTCGGTGACTAGAGTGAGCCCTTTGTCGTTGATATCCACGAATCCTTCAAGGAAAGATGACAACGTAGACTCCTTGATGTCACTATTGGTGATCACCAAGTCCTGGAGGTTTGCGAGCGGAACCTCGGTGGTTGGAAGGTGTTCGAGGAATGCGCCGACTTTCTTGCCGTCGAGCTTCAAACACGTGATATGTTCGAAATGCTTGAAGATGAATTGGCATCTTTCTTTGTTCGTCGCTGACAACTCTTCCGCGTCTGAATGTGCTCGAATAGTCAACGACCGAATCGATTCTGGAGTTTGAATCTCATCGTACTCCTCGTCCTCGTCCTCGTCTTCATCGTCATCGCGTACCCAATAGCTATACCCCGAGAACGATTCATATTCCAGAACCAAGTGGTTCACATTGGGGGTGGAGATTGCACGGGAAAGCCGCGGATACTGATCGAGGTCGCACTCCAGCGACTCCACCAGTGCGAGAGTCGCTTTATCAGACGAGCTACAATCGACCAGTGAAGAACTGAGGAACTTAAGATACTTGAGGCCGGGCATCACTTTGAGCCACTGCCTGAGACAGGAGTGGCTCATCTCAGCATTTCTAATGTAGAATGAGGTGATGCTTGAGGATACACTGGAATCGTCCAGAGATTTTACTTCTGCTTTATCAATTTCGAGTTGTTTGATCTTTTGCAGGATCGACGCTGAGAGATATGTAGCGATCCCATGATCTGAGTATGCAATAATTCGCAGTACGTCTATATTGGGAGATAAATTCTCCAATAGGCGCCGAAGTGCCGTGCCTCGCCACATCCCAACGTTAGGTGATAGAAGCTCGAGGGTTCCATAGTCTGTGAATGTTCCACGGATAAACTCGATGAAATCCACAGGGAAAGATCCTTCCGCAAAGTCGTGGCGGTACGTATAGGCAAGTGGAGAGAGTTTGGACAACCGTTGGGCATAGTAGTTGATTCGATCCTTTTGAGAAGAGCTAATCTTCATATAGTGTGGAATAGCTACGTATCTCCATAACTTTGGACGGTGCATGATGATCGTTCGCCAATACCTGCAAACGGCCGCAAGTTTCAGCGTCGGAAGCGGTGGTTTCCCGTTGCGAGCCACTTCTTTGAATCCGAATTCTTCTTCGACTATGACGAGGTGAAATATTTCTTCCCAGATCTCCGCTGGTATGGCGCGCCTGAAGCTGACGGCGGATTTCTTGACGGAAAGCTGAGTTTTTCTACGCTCAATCGACTCGCGTATACCTCCCTTGGATACCTCGAGCATCGAGAGGATGGTCTCCTCCCCTTCTATAGCGAGTTGAATGTCTCGAATGCGAACATCCAGCACTCCAATCTTGTCAGCGATATCTTTCATCTCTGTTGTGTTCTTTTCCTCTTCGAGTATAGCTTGTTCAACCAAGTGGCGACGTTGAACGCGCGAGACATTCTCGTCGTCAACAGAAAGGACCGCGTCGAGGTCGAGTTTGCTGAGGGCGGACGAACTTTCCACGGCGGACTGATGCTTCCTTTTGAATGAGGCGTGAAGTGCTTCGGCGACGGCGAGGACGTTGCGATAGTCTCGAACCCTGCGTTGCGGCTCATCTACCCTCTTCTCAAGATCCTTCAGCTGACTATGAAGACGAGAGAGTTCGACTTCGTCTTGCTGAATGAGGCGCAAGATCTCTTTCTGCTCTCGTGCCGTGACAACGCGGTTCGGGGCGCCGCCTAGGCTGTTGACCAGAGTCAATTAGCGAGTAATAGGAGAATATATGAGCCATAATTACAGCAAAGGTGGTCTCTGAGCCGTTGACATTCTCCCTGGCTACGCACGCGCGGCAGGTGCTGGTCGAGTTTAAGAGTGCCCAACTCAGTTTGGACACGACCCTTCTGGCCGTTTGCCGACCGAAAGCAATACCAACTCGTCACAGAATATCGAGGACCTTTACTGTTTACAAGGCACTTCTCGCTCAGCTTCTTGATTCGAACTCACACCAAAATGGCGGCAAAGCAAACGACTCCCAAAGGTATAGTACTGACTTCTTCAATGGGCGCTTCTTCATCCAACTTGATCGATCTAGTTTCTACATCCTTCATGCAACCTTGCAAGGATCACGCCGACAAGCTACCTCCAGCGTTGCTCCTCCATGTATTTGCAAGTCTTCCGCGGAGATCATGTTCGCTGAATGACCTCGTCAACCCGTTCTTCGAAACTTTTACTCGGTTCTCCCACTGGTGCGTAAGAATTGGCATGGACTGGTGATGGAAAACTTCTACGAGGCGGTTTATCTTCGGTCCGTGAAGCAGATGGTGCTGTTTGGGCAGGCCATAAAGGGAAGCCCACACCTCGCTCGGCTCGTCAAGATAGTACTCTTCCCAACCAGCGAGGCAATATGGCCTGGGCCGCCGGGAGTTTTGCGCCTCGTTGAAGATATCACCAAGCTACCACCCAATTTAGAGGAAATCTCGTACCAGTGTAGCGCTTGTCGACACTATTTCGAAACGGAATCCAGTGATCATAGAGAATTTCCAACCCTGGGCCCCAACCTCAGCTATTTATTCATTACTTCCAGCATACGAGTGCGCCGCCTCTTGCCATGGATTCACCAAAGATTCGAGAAGATTATATGCCTGAATCTTAACCTGGCGGAACTCCCAAGTGAGGGGCCTTCTGTCCAACTGGCAACACTCCCGCCATTATCCATCTGAAACAAATCACCATCGAATGCGGCAATGTATTCCCGATGCTGGACGAGTGGCTCTGTGCATGTCCCGAGCTATATTCGGTCGCGGCAATGCGCTTGCGTCCCGATATAGGGGTTCCATTGAAATTGCTCAAGTCAAACCAAATTCGCGAGCTAGCTGTCGTGAGCTGTAACGTCTGCGAAAGGGATGCCAAACTCTGCCTCATCTCAGCGTCGATGATCCGCCGTCTATACGTTTCCGTAAAGTTCTTCCACCAAACGCACTCACTACTACCAATGGATATCGAAGAACTGAAGGTCTATTACGAGCACCGGACCGACGCATATAATTCGTCCTTTGCCGATTATTTTGCCAGAGGCCCAAGAATCGGGCGCCTCGTTCTTCAGCCCAAGTGGTGTATTTGGTATAGTCGCAGAGCTCAGGCATACTGGCTTGAACTTCAGAAGATGTGCGAGGGTCACGGTGTACCAGTAGTTGCTCACGAGGTCTGGACATACTACAGAGGTACGTATCCTGCTTTGTACACACCCCATGCTTATATAGAAAAGATATCACTGAACTGCCGGAATGGAGAGGTCAATTCCCGTCAAGCACGAAGTTGTAAGGCATCAAGGAGTACGAAATGCCATCAAGAGCACAATAAACCTCGCCAACGACTTCTCAGTCTCGGTCTATTATCGAAATATGACAATGAACTATCCGAAGATTGGTTACAGTGGAGGGAACGATACGCGATAGGCTTCGCCAACAACTCTCGAGGTATTGCTGCCGGCAGCAAAGCCGTCAGAACCCGTAGCGTCACGAAAGCCGACCTTACAACTGATGGGAACACATGAAGGCATCTTCGCGTGCAACGCGTAACCATCTGGTTACTCAGGGGTGGCCATCACCACAACCTATAAAGAGACACGAGTCTAACGACGTCCTCTTCAACATTCCTTTCAGTACTTACACTCGCCTTCTTTAGGAACTGCGTTCTACACGTTACTCGTTCTTTTCCACGTCACTCGTTTTACAACGTCTAATCACCCTTTGCATCTGTTCTCATCATGCTTGCTTCTCTCTACCCTCTCTATCTCATCCTTGTAACGCTCTTTGCTACCGGAGTGGCCTCAGGTAAGCCATTCTCCCAAACTGGACGAGGTTGCAAGGCACGTCGTCGTTGGCGACCGGTTCCCTCCTCACGAAGCGAAGACGCCTACTAACGACAACCGTCATACAGTACCTCTTGCAGAAAAGAGAGCCGCATCTGCTTGTTTCCTAACCGGCTCGACGGCGCTACCCGCCGAAGTAGAGTCTGGAATTGCTGCCCTGTCCAAGGTGGTCACCTGTAACACCTCGGTAAGAGCACCCGGGCCGCACTCCACACGAGATTCACAGCTCTATAGAAACAATCCGTTTCCGGTGTTCCTCTCGTCAGCTCTGGTGGCATCAGTTTCGACACCATCAACTTTCAGAAGAGCACTAAGTCGCCCCTCGGATTCGCACTGTGCGTACCTCGACATTATTCTTCAATCATTAACGCATTGTAGTCAAACTTTCACGACTCCGAGCGATCCAGCAACTGCCGACCTCAATAAGCTCCAGAGTCAACTGAACGACTACCTCGCGGTCGAGGCCGGTGTGCGGGTGAGGGAATAGTCCCTTCCGGGGATCATTCTGTACTAACAATTCACAGAGCAACGGTGGCGGCGGAAGTCTCCTCACGCAGGTCAAGTCGGTCAAATTCTTCCTGCAATTCCAGATTGCTCGCGTAAAAACGGCCAAAGGACAGACACTTTCTGTCGCAGATACTGTTTCGCACCAGCAAGGAAAGGTCGTCAAGGTGCGAATACAGTTGCCCCCCTCAGTATACTATGCTGATACCTATTTAGAACGCGATAGGCGCAACAGCAGCCGAGATTGCTCAAGTGAACGCATTGGCCACTCAGGTTTAAGCGTATATGGCGTTTTGTGGATGGAATATGATTTATTCGAAGTAAAGCACGACCAATGAGTCAACAAGATCTCTGGAAGCTATGCGTCGAAACGAGAATGCTAGTATACTCTATCATACACCTCCAGATCTTCTACGTCGGCTCGAGCACCGTCTTCTTCGCTCCCACTGGCACCAATGACTGAATCTCTGAACCTTGCGTCCCCGCTTCGTTGGCGTCGCAGACTCCGAGGCGACTTTGAGCCTGTGCTTCCCTGTCTTCCCTTACGAATCGGCGTCCGAGAGCGCGTGAGCTTGGCACCAACAGGCGTTCGAACTTCCTCGTCGCCGACGTGAATGACGTCTGGTTGATCTGGTGGTTCCATAGGAGAGTAAGGTCGTGGCGGAGAGGAGGCAACTTCTCCCTTGTCCATCTTGTCTCCACTACGAGGCGTGATGACCTGCAGTTCCGGAACCGAGGCAGGTAAAATGCCAGTAGAGATTGGTGCGGGCTTATGGCCCTCCCTTTTTATACGTGATGACAGGCTTGCACTCGAAAACCGTCGTGGTACGTCCTCATTTCCAGAGTAAGACGCGCTCGAATCAAAGTCCCCCATGGAGGTCACCCTTACAGGCGACTCGGCCACTTCTCCGCGAACAATAACAAAACCAGACTTGTGGTCAATGGAACCGTGTTTCTCTATCCTCTGCAAGTCGTCCTCCGAGTTGAGATCGATCGAGTATCTATGGCCTTGGTGCGATGGGCTGTGTATGCTAGATGTTGATGCTCGGGACGAGCGACTTCCATCACGCGTGGTTGCGGTTGCGCCGGTCGATGAGCGGTATCCGGCTGTCCGTGGATTGGTAATGGGCCCGCGCCGAAGTTGAACGACGTGCGATGCACCAGGCGTCACACTATCATCACCACTCTCCATCGACATGGAGAATTGGTCACCAGGTCGTGGTGTGGGTATGGGAGACGGCGAGGCCCTCCTACTCGTCGATCTCGAGCTCATTCCTGAGCGAGAACCAGAAGGTGTAATGAGCGAGCTAGAATTGAGTAGAAGAGGCTTTGGGCCTTGCTTTGGTGTGGCCTCTGTTTTTGGTGAGCCAGTCAATGCAGCCAACGCAGCCTGCAATGGACTCTTTGACGCGCTATCGCCCGTGGATGGAGTTTCGGGACTGATAAGACCGGCGCTGTTGAGGACTGAACCGATCATACTCTCCCTGAATCGCGCAGGCCTCGCTGGAGGGGAGAAAGATTCACGCTTGTTGGGCGAGTCGACAGTGGGTCCAGGCCCGCTTTCGGACCCGCTACGTGCAGGTTCCCCAGTGCCAGACATGAGCGATCCCACCAGGGGAAGAGAACCGCGTTTTGAAAACATTTCGCTCCAAGAACCAATCGAACTATTCGAAGCCGAGTAGCCTTCTCGAGTGGATTCTCCTCGACCATTTGCCGCCGGCGTCCCGTCCAAGCTAGCAGAGGGCGAATGTGATCGTGCCATCGACACGGTGTCCTCCTTATCATCCGTCGCCGTCGACTTGCGGCTCCATGCATCCAAAGCCTTGACGCGCAGATTTTCACTCGTTCTGGAAAGCGCACCTCGCGCCCACGAAGCAGCTCCTTCACCTGTCCACGAGTTCGAAGCACCGCTGTCGCTCATCCAATCCAGCGAGCGTTGGTGCTTATGCTGAGGCGACTCGTGCACAATCTCAATCTCTGGATGCTGCTGCTGCATTGTCGGCACGGTGGGTGAAGGTACGGGTGAAGCGTCAGGCGAGGGTTCAGGCGAATCAAGTTGATTCGTCATGCCCTTCCACACACTTTCTGTGAGTTTCGAGTTCATGAGCGACGAGAGGAAACCAGCTCCTTGTCCTTCGGTCGACGTTGGGGACGTTACTTTGACCGACGGCGGAGGGAAGGATGGCTTCTTGACAGGCGACGTCCCAGGTGAAGGCGAATTAGAGCCATCGTCGTCGTCCATGTCGTTGGTGAGTCCCTTCCACGCCATATCTCGTATTCGTCCCAGGCTCGCCACCATTCCACCACTGGGACTTGCCCTAGCAGAAGTGGAGACTGGCTCCCGTAGCGTCGTCGGACCCAACCGAGGAGGAGCACCGGCCACCTCCAGACCTTGAGGAGCGCCCTCTCGATTCCATCTTCGCCACAAACTCCATGCAGTGTCCAACAATCTTTCCGTTCCGCCAAACGAAGCGACGTCATACTCGACAAGCAGTCTCACCACTACGAGGAAGACATTTCCCATCCCGCCAGGTGTAAGCGGCTGCGTCCCGTCCGATCGTAGATTCCACTCTGCAACGTGCGGAGAGACAACAGATGCAGTCACTGCACGCTGACTATGACCATGTGTAGAGGTGGCAGAAGCCGCCATAGTGGGTGACGCTGGTGTCTTTGGAGATGCAATAGGCGAGTACGTAGAAGGAGAATGGGGAATCTGGATTTCCTGGGCGGCACGCGTCTGTCGTTTCCAGAACGCGGATAAAGCATGAGTCGTAGTGGCACCTCTGGATGCGAGCGCCGCAGAGTCACTCTGAAAGATGGCGGCACGCGCTCGAATGAGCATCGCTGTCCCAAGGATGTAAACAAAGGTCGAGGGTGCCGAGGTAACGCTTTGAGCTGGTGAACGATGCCGCGATGAGCCATGGAGAGATATCATGGCGTCCCACGTTGTCAAGAGAGCATCGAGCGACAAAGCGTGCGTGAAGAGGGTGGGCACCCATCGGTAGGAATAATACGGCATCTGAGGATCGAGCCCTTTGCGATTCTATAAAATGAGTCAGATATTGCATACATACTCGAGAGGCCCCACTCACCAAATCCGTCCACAACTCTGCGTCGGCCCATCTCACCATTCCTGAGAAGCGAATAGGCCACGCCTCGCCTTCATCAACCGTCTCTTCAACAAGCTCACGAACAGATGCCACAAGAGCCTCGGTAAGCCAAAACGTCTCCGCCTCGACCTCTTCAAACACCTCGCTGGGGCTCTCACCAGACAAAATGGCAGTCTTTTGTCGTGCACGCCACGCGACAAGGAGCGTGACGGCAAAGATGGAAGCGAGGGCGGGCGGTGGTCCCATAGGGAGTGCATGCAATGCATGCAGCGACGAATGCACGTAGAGCATTCGGAGGAGGAACCCTTCGTACAGTTTGCCATTCCCCAGTTCGCCATTGTGCGAAGAGAGGAGAACCTTTGCGTCTCGTTGTTCTCCGGAATGAGGTGGATCGTCTAGTGTGATGGAAGGAATAGGCAACTCGTCGACATCTGTGGGGGGTGATGACGATGAAAGGTCACCTTTGCTCGCCTTGAGCAATACCAACCGCTTGACAACGGCATTCTTCTCCTCAAACTCGACGTCGTACTTTCCATCGCTTTCCACACTAAGCTCCCGTAGAGCCGTTTTGAGTTCTGGTGGCATGGCGTCGATGTCTCGTGCAAACTGAAGAAGCACTCGATCCTGTGGAGCAAGTCGTTTCTCCCATGCACCCTCTCCACTCTGGAGATTGCTTCCTACAGGAGGTGGCGAGGCAAGGAGAGCTGCCTGGATTTGCCCAACGAGCGCACCGTAGTCGTTGCGTGATTTGGCTCTCGCCGCATGCCACTCTGTCTTGTCCGCCGGCAAGACACTGAGCAGAATACTCCATACGCTTAGTCGAACCCACTCGGGGGTATTGGCTGGTATGCCATGAGAGCAAAGGAACCGTAGTCGTGGAATATCGATGACGGGAACGGAAGGGTCTATGACTCCGAGAAACGCATAAGTTCTATTGGATATAAGTATTGGCGAAAGTGAACAACTTAGAGACCGACCGGTCATGAGGCAAAAGATTCGGGGGTGTCCACTCTGGGAGGTCATGCTTGCCGGAAATCTCGACGAGTGCCGTGTCTACTCGTGTCTGTGTTGGTCGTGCAGGATTCAAATGCGGCACTAGCTTATTTCGTGGATTGAATGCGCTGCCATCGCTTGCAGAAGAGTACGGACCATTGGTGATATATGCTTGCGAAGTGTCGTTTCCATCGTCAGGTCTGGATATTTCTCCGCCAACGCTTGATTGAGGGTTAATAGTTCTACGCCATGATTAGCCGACATCCAGACTTTGCGACGGATGAGCATACCGGGGGAATCTATTCGAGACGACGTCGCGAGGATACCACATATAGCCTCTAATTGCTCCTCATCTAATCGATCTGTACTGAATAGAGTTGGCTGTCAGACTTTCGTATAAATAGACTGCAAGACGCACCTGTCCGGCAGAGAGCGTCCCTCGATGAGCACATCACAACAGCGTTCAAGCAAACTCATGAGATCGCTCGACTCGTCATCAACAAGCAACTTTTCTGCCTTGAGCCTCGCAACACTAAGCGCCTTTTCCGCATCCACTTGCAACTTTGCGAGCACCGGATCCGCATCGTGTGTATATCCATCATACACACCCCCAACCACCGAAGCGCCATATGATGTACGCTGAGATTCATTGCTTCTGGAGTGTGGGTGGGATTGCGGTGGGGGAGGCCCGTACTGGATGAGCTTTGAGCGGATCGAGAGCTCCAGGCGGAGCGAGGCCGCGACGTCTTTGCGTCCCTTTTCCGAGAGACCATCGAATTTGGCTTGTGCGCGTTGGAGACGCGAGGCGGCTGACCTGTGTATCACAAGGGATGGAAATAAACCACGTTCCGATGGATGGAAGACGCGTAATAAGCGAATGTTTCGTTGTAATTTGGGGAAGAATCCGTAAAGCCGCGTTCCCACATGAATAGCACCCCAAATCCCGATGGATGGATCCCATAAATCATGACGCATAAATGCACAGAAGAATCAAAACCATCAGCAAAATGCTCGCTATTATGAAATAAAACCATAGAGGAGAGCGTGGTGTAACGGATGGAACGGCGACGCACAGGAGTAAAGTCTAGGGAGGGTCACGAGTCAGCCATCTGAATGTTTCACCTCTTAGATGAACGGTACAAACCTTTATATCAGCCATACTACTCGCTTGTGTCGTCTGTAAACCAAATCCTACTTGCGCCTGGCGGTAAGTGCACTTGGAAAAGTAGAGAAGAAGCCGAGATCTGAATATTAAATGGCGTAAAGTCGTAGCGCACCACGGCGCGTTCAAAGGGATCCAAGTCTAGACGTGGTCGAGGTCGAAGAGTCAAGAAGCAAATGGCACTGCCAAAATCCAATGCGAACCTTGGAGATGCGGCTAACGCGGACCACGCTAGCCATGAAACACGAAAGTGTAATGGATGGTAGTACAACATGTATTCTCATCATTCGTAATAGCAAATAGCCAAGGCCAGACAACACAAATAGTAAAGGCAGAGAGGAAGGAATAAAACAAGGAGAGAAACCCCAGTCCATCAAATAGAATAGTCTAGACGCAGTCCATCCTACACAGGTGGAGACAGAACTAGATCTGCGGTCGGAACGACATGATCTCCTCGTACAACAGCTCCTTGAGCTGTTCCTTCGAAATAGCATCCTTGTGCAAATCAAACTCGAAAAACTCGGGATCGAGCGGCGGCGCCACGGGTTCGTCGTCGGGGTCGTGGTACGCCTCGAGATAAGGGTGTGCAAGCGCATCCTCCACGCTAATCCGCTTCTTCGGATCAAACGTAAGTGTCTTCGTCAAGAAATCGACCGCCATCGGGCTCGCATTGGGAAACAAGGTGGCAAATGGTCGCTTTTTCCGGAACGGCAAAGCGCGGATATAATCTCGACTTCGTCGGGTGGTAATGGCATAAAACTCGTCGAGCGTCGGCGTACCGAGCACATCCAAAATGAGCGTGAGCTGGTGGTGATAGTCTCGTCCAGGGAAGAGTGGCTTGCCGGACAACATTTCGGCGAGGATGCACCCGACCGACCAGACATCGATGGCTTTGGTGTATTGCTTAAACGTAAGCATAATCTCCGGTGCACGGTACCATCGCGTAGCGACGTATTCGGTCATGAAGCCCGTCTCAGTACCGCTGGGTTCCGCCGTCTTGACACTACGTGCGAGACCGAAGTCGGCTACTTTCAAGTCGCAGTTGGCGTTGAGGAGCAAGTTGGACGGCTTCAAATCACGGTGAATGACATCGGCGCTGTGCAGCGCCTTGAGGGCGCGCAGTGTCTGATATATGAAATACTGTGCGTGGTCGTCGGAAAGATCTTGGGTGCGAATCACACGGTGCATATCCGTCTCCATCAATTCTTGGACGAGGTAAACCTCTTTAAAGGTCTCGATCGACGCAGGCTTGATAATATCCAAAACGGAAATGATCTGGAAACAGTCAGCGTTACTCTTTCGATATTATAGAAGAACAACTCACGTTTTCGCTCACACCGGCCTCTGAGAGGAATTTGAGGAGCTTGAGCTCACGGAGCGTCCGGAGGCAGAACATTGAATGTTCAAATGGTGCAATCTTCTTGATCGCGACCTTGCGACCGGTCGGACGATGAATAGCAGAGCATACGATACCATATGCACCCTCGCCGACAACATCGAGTACCTGGTACTGCGTGCCTAATAGCCACCCATCCAGCACATCCACAGCAAACAAACGGGTCCAAATCATCATATAGAAGAAGAAGCAGAGCGAACAAGAGACAATCAGCATCCAGGTTGAAATCCAAGAGGAGAAGAGCTACACACCGACGTTGAAGCGGACTTTGCGTGGCGCCGATTGGGCCTGGGAAGTAGAATGTCCGTGTTTGCTCTGCTTTGCGGCCGCGGCGTCCTTTGCAGGGGCAGCAGCGGCGGCGGGTTGTTGTTGTTCAGAAGACATTGAAGGGGATCGATCGTTTCGTCTCGTCAAGAGGAGGATGTGAAAAAGTAGATGAAGAAAGAGGAATAGCTAGATATCAAGCCAACGGCGCCGTTGGAGGAAAGCCTGGTAGTGGTCGGGTCCAAAGGATGGGCCTCTAGAAAGGGCGAGTAGAAAAGATGGCTATCTAAGGAAGATGCGTACTGGATACGCTCTGCTTATATGTAGGGCGCGGTGAGAATGCTTATATATCAGGTCACCGCCCCGCCAATACAGCGATCAATGGCTGTTTGAAACACAATCTATTGTAGAGGAAGGAAGCATATTCATGGCTAATGCTCTGTTAAATTATGAATAATCTTAGAATCTATGTTGATACCAGGTTTTACTGCTCCGAACCTGCTCGCTGCCTCAGGAGGTAGTCACCAAAATTGAGGCTATACGGCCAGTTGAGAGGAGGTATCTGTAACGACCTAAACGAATAGTACGCATGATGTCTAGGTATAAGAAAATGAATAATCAAGGGAATCCAACTTTACCTCAGACGGGGCAGTAAGCAACCGAATGAGGTAAACATCTTCCAACTCCGCCCGACCTCCGACACCGTCCAACTTCTCCGTGACGAAGGCACAAGACACACTTGATCAACGTATCACGATATCTCCTCAGATGGCTTCATTGGCAGATTTGTCGCTGCTGCCTTCTCCTCAAGCTCCAATTCATGAAAAGCTCAATAATGACTCGAATAGGAGACGGACGTGTAATGTAAGAGGTTTCAAGCTCGTCAAAAACCTTGCTTGGTGCAGGCATAGCATCTATGATCACACTATGGTCAACAGCACGGAATCCTATCCTCCTGAAGGATATCTTGATATTTGATTCGGTAAATTACATCTTTACGCTGTATAATACTTTCAGAAAGTCCAGTTTCTCCTCCTCCTGATGGGTGAGCACATAGTGCTCTTAGCACACTCTGCGCAGACACTTTTGAAGGGACTGAATAATACGAAAACCAAACCTCGAATTATGTATGTCGAATAAGAGGGATAACCGATGGTTATGATGTTGTTTTGACTGCATACACGAGCAGACCACTCGTGAGGCGAGAGCCGGGTCCGTCGACGTGCAGGAGGCGTGGACCATCTTTTGCAACATCCTTCGTCGATTCATCAACAATTTTGATGAATTCAAGCCCCAGAGCAGTGTTCATGTACTCTTTCTCTCAAGAAGGCGAAACCGGATTCGAGCCGACTTACGATTGCGGCGCTACTGAAAGGAGCTCGGATGATGAGACTGCCAGAGTTCGATGCTTGGGTGAACCATATGTGCATCTTCCCGCCGTCAATAGATTTCCGTGTTGGTAAGTCTTTACGACGGCGGTTTTAGACAACAATCCGACGAGTATTCGGTTCAATTTAACGCGATACAAAGATAATTTCACCTTCAAAGTTCTTGTCATTAACGCGATATGCAGGTTGTTTCGACGAGAAGCAGAGTTGCTTCGGCATCTCGTCCTTATCACGTACGTCAATCGCTGTGGGATATTTTCTTGCCCGTTTGTGCCCTCATTCTAGGCTTACTCTTGTTGATAGGTGAGGTAGGCGATGGGCGGGAGTGGCCTTGGGTGGGATGGTCGGCCCACAACTCCTGCCCTCACCTACCGAGCATTTCATGGGGCGCGATGGGCAGGTAGAAGAATTTTTCAGCCTCTTCTTTGACGCGCCGGCTCTACTAGCGCGCAAGGTTCATGGGTCATCGCTGTCGCGGAGCATTTCGTTTGGCTTGCCACCTGCTCTTTACTCGTCTCCTATACGTAGCCCCGTTGGCTCAATAGGCGGTTATATTGTCTATCATACGTAACGCTATCTCTCCTTAGCCTGCCTCTCGCACCACGGAGAGACCTTCGGCCTCCAACCATGATCCGCTTGCGACGGACAACGACTGACAGGAGACGTGAATCCTGTGAACGAACTAATTCTAAGGGACGGTATACTAGTGCATCTATCCCTCAATGTGAACGCTGCCTTGAGAACGCCGAGAAAATCGGAGATCACGGACAGCGGGCATGATGAAGGCGGAAGAGGGCTTCAAGGCGTCTGCAATCCCATCCTTCTATGCCTTAGTTGGACTGGTGTAGAGGTGCGTACGAAATTGCCACTCACCGCCTGTTTCCATAAGTCAGGGAAGCGTAAAGCTCTGTGTGCATATGTTAATGTCGTTTAGAAGGAGATGATGAAAAGTAGTGAATGAGCGTCTAAATGGACTGCGGATGAAATAGCAGCCTTGGTAATGCCTCGATGCACTGAAATGTTGACGAGGGTGTCCAATGCACCCTGGAACAATGACTGAAGCTCATTGGACTGCGCGCAGCCTACAATAATGGCGCTCAAAGCTCTATTCCGTCAGTGCAAGCCCATAGTGGTGGAGAACATAACAGGAGATATGTAAGGTTTCGACAATTTCTCCTCTCTACGTACGTCGAAACCGCAGCCGTGAGACTCTTTGTCCATTCTATATCACTCTTACCATCCTTCTCCTTACGGCCTCCGTTGTATCTACCCTCGTAGCGACAGCATTACCACATGCCTAGATTTCCCATCACTCTTTCCGCGTTGCAACGTTTAACGATGCTATGTAAGACGATATGCGCATGAATTAACTAGCAGAGCCTCCTCTACCCCTCCCACGTCGATAACCTCCGTCAATAAACGAGTTTAGACTAGTGAATGTTAGTTTACACTAGTGTACATTACATCCGTCACGCCCACGTACAAGTGATTTTCCGCCGTGAATCTACCAGATAACTTGAGACACACTACTGAAGAGGTTCAACGAGTTTGTTGCTGTGGTTAACAAAATCTGGATTCCGCGATCCCTAACTTGGATTTTCATCTATTATCGGGGGATTATTTCCATACTCTTCATTGATTCGTTTCATCCAGATTCTAGGCGAGTGCCCAGAAATGAGTCAACTCTAGACGTAAAGTCAAACGAGCTGAGCGAAACCGAATTTCTGCCCATTTAGTGCATTTAGTCATTTACTGCATCAAAATACAAGACGCTACATGGGAAAGTTGCTCGATCTTGCTAAGGAGTTGTACCTGAGGCCGATGCATGCAGTCACAGCATGGCACATCGCAGAGGATTACAATTGGATTATACTGCCTTGGATCTCGCATGGTTCCTTGTCCCACGTTTGAAGGGGGTACATCACCATTGCCTATAAAATGCCTGTATACTTTCCTCTCAACATTGTTACCTCATCTCGAGCCCCGCATCCAATCGCAAGCTATCCAACGTTACAAAGTCTCCATTATCAATCGTATCTTTTGCAACTATGAACTTCTTCACCACTCTTGATCTTTTCTCTGTGCCCGCCACCGAGGAAACCAAAGACCTTGAGGACGCTGAGGCCGGTGGAGGATGGAATAGTAGCTGTGTCGTCGCATAGGGAAGCACATCAGCCATTTAGTCTCAATGATCTTCCATGCAGGCAAGCTTTATACAGTCACTCTTGACCATGTGCTGACAGGTAATTTGCTTTAGTCTCACATGGCCCAGCAAGCCTTTTATCTTCAGAATTTCTACAACTAATGTGGGATCTGGTCGACTCTGTGGATATGGCTGGTGGACAGTTAAATAAGGTCATATACGAGACCTGCCTCACACTAGACTCCATTCTCTATTTATAATCCTTGTCCAAGTTGGAAATGTTCTACATCCATAATTTTATGCCTTCTTGACGGCAATCTATTGGACTCTGTCTGCTTTATTCTCAGTATTGCAATCGACAAAGCGATATTCGCCATGTGAACTTCAGTTTCTCAAATACGAATGAGACTCAAAGAAGAGGGATCGGTCTTGGCATGCCAGCAGTTCTGAGAGAACACTAGGGACTTCTCATATGAACACTGGCAAAGTGAGTGAGCAAGTTTTGCGCACGTTCGAGGTGATAAGAACGCTGCAGACTGGAGTAGTGGCCTATAATGTACCTATTCTGTGCCGCTATTTTGATACTGTATTTTAACGAAGTATCGAGCCACCACGCAATCTAGTGCTCTAAATATCTCTCAGTGCTGAGGCAGCTTACATATTTGATTTTGAAAAACTTCCTAGACCAAGACCGCCATCTTGTTCGACTTTAGGCGTGGTGGTAGGTAAAGATGCAGCTCCTAATGAATTGCAAATAAGAGTTTTTATGACGTATTTAGAGTTTCTAGTGCTCTCATTCGTCTTGAACCCTAACACGTGCAAGTCATTGGGTGCAAAAGTTTGCTCTGCCACACCACTGACCAGAAAACTGATTGCGCATTCTACCATGAGCACCAAGGCAGGATCACCAGATGAACTCGACATATCCTAGGAATCCTCGACGATACCATACAAAGGTGGGCAGCAGCGCAGAGAAAACTGCTTGGGAGATATGCAACGAACGCGCCGACGTTATGCACAGAGAACCCATCAGAGACTGGAATGAGACCTTGAATACAGCCATAGTCTTCGCATGTCTTCATTCATATCTTGCTCAAGCGAGACTCGACAGCGAACAGGCGGCGATTATCCTTGAAGTTAGCATATGGTAGGACACTCAATGATTTGGGTATACTCATGTAAAGTGTAATGGATAGTAGTACAGCATGTATTTTCGTCATTCGTAATAGCAAACAGCCAAAATCAAAAAGCACAAAATAGTAAAGGCAGGGGGCGAAAGAAAAATAAAGAAAGAAAAACCCAGCCTATCAAATAGAACAATCTAAATGCACTCCATCCTGCACAAGTGTAGAAAGAACTAGATCTGCGGTCGGAACGACATGATCTCCTCGTACAACAGCTCCTTGAGCTGCTCCCTAGAAATATCGTCCTTGTGCAAATCAAACTCGAAAAACTCGGGATCGAGCGGCGGTGCCACGGGTTCGTCGTCGGGATCATGGTACGCCTCGAGATATGGGTGCGCAAGCGCATCCTCCACGCTGATCCGCTTCTTCGGATCAAACGTAAGTGTCTTCGTCAAGAAATCGACCGCCATCGGGCTCGCGTTAGGGAACAAGGTGGCAAATGGTCGCTTTTTCCGGAACGGCAAAGCGCGGATATAATCTCGACTTCGTCGGGTGGTAATGGCATAAAATTCGTCGAGTGTCGGCGTACCGAGCACGTCCAAAATGAGCGTGAGCTGGTGGTGATAGTCTCGTCCAGGGAAGAGTGGCTTGCCGGACAACATTTCGGCGAGGATGCACCCTACCGACCAGACGTCGATAGCCTTGGTGTATTGCTTGAAAGTAAGCATAATCTCCGGCGCACGGTACCATCGAGTGGCGACGTATTCGGTCATGAAGCCCGTCTCGGTACCGCTGGGTTCCGCCGTCTTGACGCTGCGCGCGAGACCGAAATCGCACACTTTCAAGTCACAATTGGCGTTGAGGAGCAAGTTGGACGGCTTCAAATCACGGTGAATGACATCGGCGCTGTGCAACGCTTTGAGGGCGCGCAGAGTCTGGTAGATGAAATACTGTGCGTGGTCGTCGGAGAGATCTTGAGTGCGAATGACACGGTGCATGTCCGTCTCCATCAGTTCTTGGATGAGGTAAACCTCTTTAAAGGCCTCGATCGACGCGGGCTTGATAATGTCCAAGATGGAAATGATCTAGAAACAATCAGCATGGCGGGTTTGACAGTATAATGAGCCACTCACATTTTCGCTCACACCGGCCTCTGAGAGGAATTTGAGGAGCTTGAGCTCACGGAGCGTCCGGAGGCAGAACATTGAATGTTCAAACGGCGCAATCTTCTTGATCGCGACCTTGCGACCGGTCGGACGATGAACAGCAGAGCATACGATACCATATGCGCCTTCGCCGACAACATCGAGTACCTGGTACTGCGTGCCTAATAGCCACCCATCCAGCACATCCGCAGCAAACAAGCGGGTCCAAATCATCATATAGAAGGAGAAGCAGAGTGAACAAGAGACGATCAGCCTCCGGATCGAAATCTGAGAGGGGAAGAGCTACACACCGACGTTGAAGCGGACCTTGCGTGGTGCCGATTGGGCCTGGGAAGTAGAATGTCCGTGTTTGCTCTGCTTTGCGGCCGCGGCGTCCTTTGCAGGGGCAGCAGCGGCGGCGGGTTGTTGTTCAGAAGACATTGAAGGGGATCGATCGTTTCGTCTCGTCAAGAGGAGGATGTGAAAAAGTAGATGAAGAAAGAGGAATAGCTAGATATCAAGCCAACGGCGTCGTTGGAGGAAAGCCTGGTAGTGGTCGGGTCCAAAGGATGGGCCTTTAGAAAGGGCGAGTAAAAAGATGGCTATCTAAGGAAGATGCGTACTGGATACACTCTGCTTATATGCTAGGGCGCGGTGAGAATGCTTGTCTACCCGCTCACCGCCCCGCTATATCCCACCTACGCCGCCCCGTCCCACGCCTAGCCGCATGGCTCTGCTGGAAATATTGGGCATGCACATGAAACACACAACTATCAGGTTTCATGTCGAGCATAGCGACCATCCACGAGCACACCAATCACAAGAGATAATGCACGAACAATGGTGTATAATCAACTCTGACAACCGTGTAACTAACGTGTACAAAATGGGTAATACTGTTGGTAACCACCTAGCGACCAGGGGGATCGCCCGTTACCCGCGCAACAGCCATGGGCAATGATGAGCAACACCGCACACATCTCACACCTCAACGGCAAAGGGTTTCACTTCCGCATCTATTACCAAGTACGTCCAACAGGTGCACAGTGCACGACTATTACAAATCCATATGAGACACCAAGCAGTGTCGGCAAACGAGCCATAAAACAGATACAACAAAAACTGTATGCATGAGTAGAAGTCGAAGAAAAAAACGATGCGGCTATCCATAGATAGCAAACATATGCACAAGCCTTAGCTCGGAACGGCCTCGCCACTCGCCGACGGTGGGGTCGCCGAGGAAGACGCTCGAGTGCTTTCCGTCGTCGAAGAACCAACAACAAGGCCACTCGACGTCTTGCGTACTCTCTTCTGACTCGTCAGTACAGCAGACGTATTGCCTAGGCCAGGCGGTGAAGGCCGAAGCTCTGGCAAGTGGGAGTGTGTAGAGCTTGCATTGGGCGCAAGAGGTCTTGTTCCAGGGAGCTGCGAGGAGCCTCCACTCGCCGCGCCACCAGCCAGCGCCGCAGCGGCCGCTGCCGCCGCCGCGGATGTACTGGTCAGAGACGTCCGACGTGGATTTGACAATGTACTGGCGCGTGAAAGTGTAGAAGTGGTCGACTTTCGAGACGGATTCGTCAGCGTCGCGCCATTTCGGTTTCTACAATCCATGTCAACTAAGCGATCCCAGGTCACCCAAAGTAGCGCACCTCTTTTTGATCACGTCCGTTTTCAGCGACAGCGGTCTCGTCACACCATGGAGTTTCTACACAGCATCAGCCACAATAACTCCCAACAAAAGGAACAAAACTCACAAAGAACAACCCACAGGCATTGCAAAGCGGTTGCCCTTCTGGATTTCGTCTCCAGAGTGGCGTCGTCGTCGTACTGCAATTCGTGCACATCGTCTGCCCATCATCACCCTCGGGATTCGCTCCCGTCGAGCCACTCTTTTCCGTAAAGGAAACCTCGGCCTTTTTGTCGCTGGATACAGGCGCAAGGGTCCCACTCGAGCTCTTCTTGCGTGAATGCGAGTTGCCCGCCGCGGCCACCGTACCCGTCGACGTCCGTCGAGCCGTGTTCCCGCTCACACTCGATCGTCGCGCACCCGAATTTCTATTCCCAGGTGGACCCTCGAGCGTCGAGTTGTTGAGCGAACCAGGTTCAGAAGACACATTCGACGTCGACGCGCTCTTGCCCGTATTGGCCCGGTTCATCGACGCAGCCGCCGCAGCAGCAGCCATACTCCACTCGGCTGGATCACGCATACCAGAAGAACCCAAGAGTGTAGGGTCGACCGTAAACGCAGACGCCGGGGCGCTTCCAGGACCGAGAGGCTGTTGTCCACCGAGATGCGCCATCGAGTGCGAGATCGAGTCGCCAGTATAGCTCCCCGTTGGGAAAAAGATGCCACCCGACATGCGCATCCCCATCCCAACCGGGTCAAACGCCTCGTCAAACGATCCAGGAGGCACATAGGCACCTCCAGACGCTGCCGTCGCAAATCGTTCTACACTCTCATCAATCGCGGCCGCTGCTGCTGCAGTTGCAATCTCCACCGTCGGGTCGACGTCTTCTCCACCAAGCCCATACGACTGGAAATCAAACTCGTCGCCCGTCCGTGGTGGAGCTTCGGTGCGAGGATAGGGGAAATCGACAGGTCCAGTGACAGATGACGTCCTTCCCAGAGAGTGGCCAAATGGAAAGTCGACGCCAGGAATCCCAACGCGAGAAAAGGGTATCGTAGAGGCAATGTCCGTGTTCATAAACAGGCGATCCGCGTCAGGGAGCGAAAAGGCATAATTGGTATTTGGATATGGACTTGCTGAATCCGTAGTCGACGTCGGCTCGCCACCAAGACCAGGAGGATGCGAGAAGAATGCTTGATGGCTATGTAAACCTTCTTCATTGAGTTCACGTCGTTTCTATAAACGGTTAGAAGAGCTCTCTTTTCATATAGGAATAGAAGTACCGGTGGCTCTGATGGAGGAGGCATTGGCCGTCCATCAATCTGATGTCGCCCCGTGAGATTCTGCGACTCCTCTCCAGCATTCTTCGCAACCGTATGATCAAAGCTCGTCTTTCTCACACGCCGGGGGAAACCCTCGGGGAGCGCGCCACGCATCTCGCCCTGCCACTGTCCATCACCCGCCGTCGGACTCGCAAGTTGTTGGAACTGATAGAGCGGATGATGATATGCCGGTAAAGACGAAGAGATGAAATCATCAAGCGCAGCCGATACAGCTGGATCAACCGATTGCGGTGGTTGATGGTCTTGCTGTCCGTTTTCCTCTGCAAACGCAAGTGGCTGGTGAATCGCTGGCTGCGACGCTCTTCGTGCCATAACAGACGGCGGCACTGGAGCTCCTCCATCGACATCGATCCCTCTCTCCCGCAACGACTCGGTGAGCGTGACGTGCGGAACGACAACACCAGGGGGCGGCGCAAAATGGCCACGGAAAAAGTCGACACCCGAGCTCGGTGGACTCTCGGAGAACATTTGCAGACTCTTGGTCAAGAGCGACACGCTTGATGGTCCAGGCGGTACAGACCCAACAGCCTTGCCGACCCCACCTTGTTCCTCTTCTCCGTCCTCTTGTGGCTGAGCAGGTGAAGACGAACTTTTCGGAATCGCAATAGCAGCAGACGGAGCGGCCTGTTCCTTGTCTGCACCCGTCGTCGACGTCGTCGGTTGTTCAAACGTTTGTGGCTCCCACGTCGCGGGTTCACGAATCCCTCGTCCCATCGACGCAGACTGCACGCCCATCGTGAATCCACCCATAAGAGGTTGTTGAGGTGTAAAGCCGGCATTGATCTGGTACGACATATTTCCCATGTTCAACGCCAACGGAGGTCGTGATCGCGATCGACTATGCGAGGTAGCACGCCATTCCATTGGCGCACGCGACCGCGACCGCGACGCAGCACGCCAATCCATGCCATCTCTATTTTCCCCCATTAACACACTTTCCCCACATATGAGAATAGAAAAACACATACGCAATGTCATCCGCCTCTTCTTGCCCAGGACTTCCGTCCGCGGTATGAAACCCTTCAACGCGCATCTTTGCCTTTCGTCCTTTATCCACCGCCCTTCCACGCTCATCCTCTGACCCAGGCGAAAGCATCGTCTTCTTCTCCACACGCATCTTTGTCTGCTTGTCTACCGTAAGTGGCTTGAGTGTATCTGCTTCTTCGACTTGGAGCGCCTGCGCAGCCGCCATCTGAGCCGCACTCTGAGGGTCCAGAGCCTGTTGTCCAGCGCCACTCGTCCGCTGTTGTGAGTTGACATCGGCCTTCATCAACGGAGCCATCCCCGACGCAGACGCCGACGCCTCTCGATGTTTACGAAGCGCCATGGCCATCATACGCCACGTCAAATTTTCCATCCGTTGCGCGTGGGGTAAACTAGCCCTGGTACGCGCATACATCTTCCACACCTGTGTCGCCAACGGATCCTCGCGCGAAAGCCTCGACGACTCGTCATCTTCCCCTCCCACACCCATACCAGGACTGAAGGATGCATCATTCGAAGCGTGTCCAAATGCGCTCATAGGCACATGCGTATCGAGCGCCAACCCACGCTGATTCGGACTCATCATCGTGCGCATATCCAGTTTTGGCGTCATTTGATTATCCATCCCAGGAGACTTGACGCTCATCGCAGGCGTATTCATCACAGACGACGTCGTCGGTGCCAAACTCCCCCGTCGTCGGCTGAGCGCCGCCGCATAAAAGTCGTCCGCCAAAATATCGGCCAATCCCACTTGCTGCTTTGTCTGCTTCAAGTTGGCTCCACCACCACTACTAGCACCACCACGCCGCTGAGGTGTCTCGGCTTGGGAGAGTGGTGACCTAGCCGCGGTAAATCGTTCCATAGACGCATCGGATCCGGCTACTGCGCCGGCAGAGGGAGTAGGCGCATTCCTCGGAGTGTTCGCTTGCGTTCGGTTCGAGTCCGAACCGGGAGTATCGGCATTGGAGCTCGATGTTGGACCGGGTGTGCTCGCCATGTCGTCTTGTCCCTGCGCCAATCCTGTCGGGTAGTGGGCTAGCCCTTGTTGTTCCGCCATTTGTCTCCTCTGCTGTTCATATTGCTGCTGCGCATACAGTCGATATTGTTGCTCTTGAGTACTTGCACTGCCTGGATAACCAAGTTGTTCCGGTGTATAGGGTACATGCTGTTGAATTGAACCCGTGGTAGCTCCAAAATACGAACCCGAGCCTGGATGAGCGCTAACGCTGGTCATACTCGTGGCCGTAAGCGCGGGACTGGCACCAGTAAACCAGCTCTGCGTGGTATTCGTCGTGGCAGAGGTCATGCCAGGCGACGTGGATGTCGAGGGTAGACCCATGTTGGGAGAGGTGGATGTAAGCGGAAGCATGTTATTCGGTGATGTCGAGGATGAGAATACGGCGCTAGGGGTCATCCCACCAGCACTAGGAGATGTAACAAACGCGGACCCAGGCGTCATTGCCGGCGAGGCAACGCTTGCACTGGTATACGATGGAGACATGGGAGGTGGCTGCATTGTCGTGAAAGAATGTCCAGAGTACATGTTCTATAGCGCATTCAATCAATTTTTCGCCCTTCCATCAATAGAAGCAAAAAAAAAAAGAAAGAAAAAGCACCGCACCTGTGGGAACGCATATTCCTGAGTTGCATATTGAGTATCACTCCCCGTACTACCGTCGTCGTGACGAAGCTTTGTGGGCGAAAAATGACCACCTGTAATCGCAGGCTCGGCTACACTAGGCGGATTCGGATTCGAAGGCGACATCCACAACGTCGGCGGGACATTCTTCATAGCACCCAAGCGCTGTACAGGTGGAGGCGCGGCCATGGGAGATGCAGTCCCAGCTCCTCGAGCACTACGAGCCGGATTGGGATGTTGGTACGGCGAATATCCATGCGCATGTTCGCGACCGTGATAATGAGGAGCTGGATATGGCCTCGTGGCGGTAGGACTCGGGTGAACCCACGAGAATGCGGCGCAGAGGGGATAGAAAGCTTTGGTGCTGGCCGTTCGCCACTACCTGGAGTATTGGGAGGTAATCGAGGACTCTTCATGCTCCCACTCCCCACGCTACGCTCAGAGACGGTAGGACTCCTCGCGCCGTCTCGTTGGTCTCTGAGGTAGTCGGCAATCCCGGTGGACGAAACAGAGAGCTGCCGTCTTGGTTTCCCATCCGACCGCTTCCCATCTTGTTGTGTCTTCCTCCCTTCCGACTCATTGAGTGGTTTTGTACTCAATGGTCTTGGAATCTCGAGTCTAGATCCTCCACCATTCAGACTAGCGTTGCTGCTCGCAGCACGCACAGGTAGCGGCGGCCGAACAGGGTTCGTGGACAATGTGGCTGCTCTTGGTTTCATCCCTTCTGGTGGAGGAGGAGCAACGAGTGGAGAGGCCTGAGCGACTTGGGCGAGTGAAGGCGGCGGTGGAGGAGGTAGAATCGAAATTCCAGAGGGGGTTGGTGTTGCAGCCGGCGGTAAGGCAATATACGCTCCCCAATCAATAGGATCTGCACCGACAGCCGCAAAGCCCGCGGTGCTGATTGCATTGAGAGGCAAATCCGAATAGGCGTCGATTGGGTGTCGTGCGGGAGATCCTGTGATACTGTTCGGACCGGTTGAAGGGACGGCAGGTGTCCAGGCGTAGAGATGGCTTGTATTAGAAGTAGATGGAGCAGCTGCTACTAAAAGAAAACAGAGTTGGCGTCAGTACATGCTGTGGCCTGGCACACCGTCGACTGGCTCAGCTCGGCGTCGGGCCGTAATGGCCAACGAGGACAAGCAGAGCCTAAAGGCAAAGAGACGCACCTGTTGGGTGTGTACTCTCCATGTTTCTGTAGAGCTATTTCGAGGGGAAAATCACGTCGTCTTGTTCAATGTCGGTGGGGGCCGAGCAGCGAGGCGGGAGGAGCGTCTGTGATGGACGCTGATGCTGGTAAAGCTGACTAAAAGCGTAATTAGCGTACAGAAACGAATAAAGACCCTGCAGGGCTCGTCGACGGTGACGCAAAAGCGCGAGTTGTCCGAGGAGCTCGAGCGAAAACACACGGCTCAGTCTCGGTGCGTCCTAGGCGTTGAGAGGACAGACGGGCAGAAACAAGAGAGTCGACGAGGAGCAGGAAAAGAACAAGAACAAGATGGTCTACCTGGCTGGATCGATGGCGAGTTCTGGTTGAGACGTGATCGATGGGATGGGCACGCTGCTCGTCGCCGTCGTCGTCGCCGTCGTTGGAGATAATGTCCGTGTCGAGTGCCGTCTTGGAGGTCGCGGTCGAGGTGGATGGCAAAGCTCTGCCGTGGCCGCGCGCGTAATGGACCAAGTCTTGGATCGTGTATGCTGGAGAAAAAAAAGGAGCTCTGTTCGATGTATCCAGCAGCACAGTAATCACCGACGACGCCGTCTGTCGTGGTTCTTACTGGCACGGAAGGGGGGGGATCCAAGTTTGTGTGCACTTTGGTCCACTTCGACGACGAGCCCAGACCCTCGAATTGTGTCCCAGACGGAGAATCAAAGGCGGAAATTGGGACGTATATTGTAGAAACAACAAGGGCCGACGTCAGGGAGGACGACGGGACCTGGGATTCTGCACGGGTGTAATAATGCAGGTGGTGTACATTTTAGCAACAGCTACAGAAGAGAACTACAAATTACCAAGTAATCCTCACTTATTCTCACCAAACGGAGCTCTTGCAGCGGCCGCGGAGCACGTGGCTTGCGCCATTCGAGGCCGCCGATTGGCTGAGCCTTTTTACGCGCAAAAGATTGCATCCGTCTTTGTAAATTGCAGGCGATTCGAATCTAGGCCAAAGCACCGCACACCGTCCAGACGACGAGACCTGGAAACTGTGCAAAACCTAGTAAATACTTGAGACATCGACGGATCAACACGTACATTACTCGCGTGCATTCCACATCCGCCCTTGGGTGTTCCCTCGCTTCGTTGCTCGCGTGGCCCGATTTCACTGATCTCTCTCTCTTTTGCTCTAAATACATGTCCGGTGGCCGCTATACAATTGGCGTACATTCATTCAGGCTGGCAGCCCTCACGTGCAGCCCCATAGCCGAACGAGCTCTCTACTATTTTCCCCCGTTTCGAAAATACAAAAAAAGAAGACTACTCCAGGGAAACGGATCCACAAGCGCGACAGGTGGAGGTTTGCCTTCGACCACGGACCCATCTCACTTAGTGCCTTGTGCGACCTGTCCAATTTATATTGCCCCGCGTTCCGCATTACAACGCCACGCACGCATTCATTTCATCCACCATACTGGTCATTCGTCCCATCTTCTGACCTTTGCCGAACTCGAGACGGTTCGCGCTCCGACGGAGGCGCAGTTCGGGGTCCCGCTCGCTTACCAGTTCCCGTCCATTGTCAGGCTCCGCAGTAGACCGAAACACCACTACATTTCCAACGATTTCGTTCAAAGCTAGCGCATTCGACAAATGAGTAGCCCAAAGTGCGTACATACTCTAGATCGCTCATCATCTGACACATCGAACCAGGATCAAACTCACAAACCGTGTTCCCGCTCCGAGAGAACGCGCCGAAATTCAAAGGGTCATCAAACGAGATGAAGAGGAGCTTGCTCGTCTTATAAAGGATCTCGAACTCGTAGAAAAACAGATTACTACCCAAGGAGAGATTATACACAACTACAAGGAGGCACTCACAATGGCCGACTCCATGCGTCGTGTTACTGAGAGAGCACGCAAAACCATGGCTGGGAACGGGAACATACTCGCCGTCCACAGTGCCAATACGTCGGTTAGAGTTTCCTGCGACGAGACCTCATACCAGAAATATGAAGATATCTATAAAGAAATCAATGCGATAAGGAAAATCGCTATCGAAGAGGCACAGAAGGCCACCAACAAGATTGCTCAGCTAGATGCCTCCATAAGAGGCACAAAGCGAGACTTGGAGAGTGAAGAATCCCTTCTGGAAGTATACGAGTTTTCCAAACAGGACATCTCTGTCATGATAGCTCGACTACAAGAAGGTATCGCCATCAAGAAGAACTTGGCCAGCGCAAGGCGCATCGTTCCAGTAGAAGTTTGGGAATATATCTTTCTCCTCTGCGTCTCAGAGGAAGAGGCCTTGTTTGGTGATAATCAACGTAATGGACGTCCGCCGTTTACAGCTCTTAAACTCTCAGGAGTCTGTCGACAGTGGCGAGACATAGTGACCGGGCAACCCAAGCTCTGGCAATGTATAGCAATTCCACACCATGATAAGATTAGCACCGGTCAAAGGGGACGAATCTCATACTACAGAGCGCAGTGCTCTCCTCTCCTTCCCAAAGTCTATACATATACACATAATGTGCTCGTTGGAAGCTTCACTGTTGACCTTGTTGACTTTATGCTGGACACCTTCAGCAAATATAGCGAACTGGATCTACTTGCTCGGCCATTTAGTGTTATGCGAGGACCGAATCACATGCAAGTTTTGGAAAGATTAGTACCGAGAACAGATGTCCTAAAGCTTACAGGATATTGCGAATGGAGGCGTCCGTGCCCAGCAGCAAACCTTGATTTTCTCCAAAATACCAAGCATCTCATAGTCATAGGCCAAAATATGGACCTAAGGGGCATTTCTAACAGTGCCGAAAACCTCACCCTCACTTCCCTCAATCTCACGGAGGTCGCTATGCAAACAGAAATATTCCCTGGCTGGCTACAACCACTGAAGAAGCTCAGATATGTGGAAATGTTCAAAGTCACTTTTACCCCAGCTGCCGTTGTCGATACTATCGAAATGCCAGCTATGGAGCATCTTCTCTGTGATTTTAGTATATATTCTTTTATTTCCCGTTCCATGAACGCACCGAGGTTGAAGCAGCTCGATTTGATCACTGCCAATATCGAAGAGTTACATGCACACGACTGGGACACAAAATTGGGCACAAATTTTCACAAAAATGTTCGGACCCTCACCATAGCCCACATGTCAACACAAATACTCGAGTTTGATGAACTTGAGCGCATACTTGACTGCTTTCCCAATGTTATGCACCTGGGGCTCGGTGGCACCTCGATCACCTCTGGCCTCCTCTCCCTCACAAACCTTAGTCGAATCGCAAATATGAAGAGATTGACGCTCATGAATAGCGAGATCAAAGAGGAGGAGCTTTCATCGTTTATGCGGAGGGTCGCCACCTCGCATCAGAGAACGCCAGAGCTAGTCATCTTGGGTTGCGCCAACGTTGACCCGTACGCAATCGAGAGGCTCCAGAATAAGGACTCTATGACAGATTGATGGAGAATAAACTGGTTCCCGAGCTGTATAGTTTAGATGTTTCGTTGAATTAGCACGTTTCCTAGTAGCCAACTTTATTCGACAAACCTATCAGTTTATGGCCAGATGGCGTCTCACCGTGAGGTGCATTGCGTTGTCCCGCATCCTTGCTCGTTAGACGCCGTGCGTATTCAGTCCTCCGTCGGCCATGGTACTGGCGCGCGTCATCAGAAAATCTTGTGACCTTGTCGAATAGCGACACGTCACAAGGTCTGCCAACGACCAGTCTCCTTCGTCCTGGGGCATCCTGGCTTGCCGGCATTTGCAGTCTCTATCTTGAACTCAACTTCGCACTTTACTTCTCATGGGAATGAGTTCCTCGACGTGAGTAGGCTTCTGTGCTGAACACCATGACCCAACTTCTCCTAGTATCCAACCAACGAATCGCGTTCCTACTCTCAGAGAGCGCGCAGAGATTCGACATCTTATCAATCAAGATCAAGAAGACGTCGTGCGCCTTACAAACACCTTGGAGACGCTAGAAAAAAAGTCTATTGCGCAAAAAGGATTCATACACAACTATGAAGAGGCGCTCGCGATTGCCGAAGCCATGCGCCGGGTTGCGGAGAAAACGCGCGATGTCATGGCCGAAAGCGAGAATATGCTCCAGCCACACGATGCGGACACTTCTGTCAAAAGTGAGGGACAATCTTATCACAAACACCAACGCCTGTTCCGTGACGCTCAGGCCACGAGGCGAAGCGCCGTCGAAGAGGCGCAAAAGGCCACTAGAAAGATTGCTGAGATGGATGCATCGATCAGAGATATCCAGCAAGAGATCAAGGGCGAGCAATCGGTTCTGGCCGTGCTCGAGATGTCAATGCAAAGCACCATTACTTCGATTGAGCGGGTAAAAGCTGATATCGCCCTTAAAGAGGCGGTGATCAGTGCACGGCATTTTGTCCCGGTCGAGATTTGGAGAGATATATTCTCCTTCAGAGTGTCCGAGGATGAAGCCTTGTTTTATGATAACAAACGCAAAGGTATTCCTCCATTTACGGCTTTGAAACTCTCAGCTGTGTGCCGGTATTGGCGAGATATCGTCACGAGCTCTGCAGAGCTATGGAAATACATAGCGGTTCCTCATCATGATCGCATCACCGTCGGTCAACGGGATCGCATTACGTACTATCATAATCAATGCACGCCCCTACTCCCAGAGGTTTATACCTACTATCACGCATGCGACGGCATCCCGTAAAGGTCAATCTCGTCACCTTTATGCGGGAAACATTTGCGGAGTACCAAACTCTCGACATGTTTATTCACGCATTCAGTCTTATGCGTGGCCCAAGCCTTCGCAGCTTTCTGGAATTATTGTCACCGAAAGCAAACATCTTACAGTTGTCCGGCATCCACAATCCCGGATACACTTTCGACATTGCTGTAGACAGTATTCGCTACGTTAAGCATCTGAAGATAACCAACAAACCAGTTTCTATAGCCGAGCCATCTCATGGTGCGCCCACTATACCCCTTATATCTTTTACTCTCGACAGCATTACGCTGAATGAGAGTCTGTTCACTGGCTCTTTATCATCAATGAGTCATCTTGAACGCCTATACTTGGTCAATGTCACGCTCAATATTGAAGGTCCAATCATCAGTGTCACAATGCCCGCACTGAAGCATCTAACATGCGATTTACATATCTATCCGACTATATCTAGGTTCATAACATCTCCAAGACTGGATGATCTTACTCTGGTCATCAAGCCTATGGAAGATTCGACCATGCGCGACTTTGATGAATGGCTAGGTCGCGGGGGCGAGAGGCATCCGCATATCCACAATCTCACTCTCCAGGCATTACATTCGGAAGAGTTTGAGATCAGAAATCTTGACGATACGGTCCTCGATCACTTCCCTGACGTAAAACATTTACGCCTCTCCGGTACCACTCCAAGCTCTAACCTCCTTTCATCACCCACGAGCGTCAATTCACTCGCACATATAATGGTACTGACCGTCATCGGTAGTGCGATCAGTGAAGAGGAACTCGCTTCCTTTATGCGGGGATTCGCTGCGTTGCATGGAAGAACGCCCAAATTGGCCGTTCTAAACTGTAGCAATCTCAATATTCAGGCCATTGCGAGGCTCCAGAATCAGCATTACTAAGCCGAAGTCGAGCCAAGCGTTGCGTAGCCCAGAAGGATCTTTCCGGAAAAGCTAGTGTATTCATTGGTATGCATGTCAACTCTATAAACCCACGTCTCTTTATGCAGAACAGAACGCATCTCCGCACAAGTCTTTCCCGAAATGATGTCGGAGATTGTTCAAGTGAGTAGGACAAGTGGAAGCTGAAAGTACGAGTTCTCTTTGTTGAGGAGAAGGCTGAGTGCACAATACCACGCAGAAAAGGCGGCCAGCAGACCACAAACACCCCCAGCTTTGATCCATGGCGTGCTAATGAGATACTCTCCGACTGCGAGGGTGAGGAACGTGAGATCCAAGACAGTGAAAACGAAGATGAAAGCGACGGAGTGACGAAGGACGACGATGAGCATGAGCGTAGTGAGGATAAACCACCCGAAGAGGAAAAATGAAATCGCAGTGTGAAGCTCCGCTACGTTGTCGCCATAGGCTGTGGCGATCCCAAAATTGGGGATGAGGATGGCAGAATACGAGAGCCAGAATGTACCGTATGACGCTGAGAACGGTCAGGTAACCCCTACCACGAGTTTTTACACACCGAATACCGTCCCAGCAAACGTATTGCCGACGGCGAATCCCCAGAGGCCAGAGGAGAACTGCGCAACCCCGCCATAGAAGAGAGTGAGGCCAACGACAACGTTTGGCTAGAGGGTGGTCAGGGCGGTGTCGGTAACGATGCCTCGAGACGTACCACGGTGACACCGTGTACTTGGAGGTTAATCTGGATCGAGCTCAGTGATGATCGATGGTGAGGGGCACTCCTCTACTCACAAGGGAGAGCACGAACGTTGTTAGCGCGAATGAACATAGCCCAAGAGGTACTGGGTCACCGAGAGCTCGGGGCTGCTGGACCGGTGTCACGCATTCGACAACGGCTCGCTCGCCGTGCACGCCCTTCTCGATGTCGACACTGAGGACAGACATTGCTCAACTTGATGCAAAGGGCTGGATGAGGAGGGTAAGGGTCTACATATGTGCACCCTGCAACTGCGGGGGTATAAATCTAAGCACCTCTAATCCAGGTGACTGAATCCCATGCAGTAATGCGGGGTAGCTTGTGATATTGGGCTGAATGCGCGCTAAAAGCGGCATTTGAATATGTCGAGAGTAGGTTTCAATACGTGGGGGGAGGCTGACTTGCTTGCCGCGGCAACGTGATTTATGTTCAATGTAACAGAAGTTCCCTATAATTGGATGCGATCGCATGTGATAACCACAAATCCAGACTGAACAGTGTATTGCTTGAACCAAGAGGCTCTGAATCTCGAGACACGTCCTTTTGTAGTTTGGTGGAGGCCCGAGACCTTGGACGAGAAAATCACTCTTGGACGGCAGAATCCCATCTTCGAATGCTATCATCTTCCTCCAATGTGGGCCTACGAAACACTTCCATAACCCTTCTCGATATTTTTGGAGAGCGAGACACCGACTCTGCCACATGACTTCCTAGAGTAGACGTCAGGCAAAAGTCACGCCTTCATGACATCTACTCACCTCTTTCGTGCAACTCTATGGAGGCCTGTATATCATTCTGCTTGCATATCGAAACGAGCTCCTTTATTCGCTCCGGCTTTGTGTTGTTCGATCCACTGAGCCTTAGAAAAATTTCTCGGATTTTAGGTTGCCTCTGTACAAACTGCTCCAACGCCGAGGGCTGTAACTCCTCCCAATGCCCTGTTCTGATCCAGAGCTCGTCGAGAGCACTCGGGATCGTGTTTCTGTGTTTATTGAATATACTGGCCGCCAGCTCCAGACTCTTCAGGCCCGAGTAGCTGGAAAGAATTCATAAAATCCACTCCCTGAGGCCCAAAAGGCACCCAGGTGTTTAATCTTGCCACACGAGAGAATTCTGGGTATTGGATAGGGAGCACTGATGAGGAATAGCTCGATCTCTTGCAGGCGCGGGCAAGCAATGAGCCACTCATCCATCTTTGCAAGGTTCTCATCGTCATATGACAAGGTGATGGCTTCAAGTAGTGGAAGTGGTGGGTGAATACGAGGGTCCAAGGGAGTAGTGAGTGGGAACCCTCCCAACTCTAAAGATCGCACGTTCTGAAACCGGAGGATTTGTGAATGAAACCCGTTTCTGTAATTCATATCTCCTATGACACTGAGAGATGTCAGAGAGAGGTGATTTCCTGGAGCTATCGGGAGAATTTGATGGGTTCCATTCCAGTCGGCCCAAGTGTCGTAGTTCAGAAAGGCGATCGGGCAATAAAGTGTATCCAAAGCCTCAAGGGTGTTGATTATTTGGATAAAGACTTTGATAACTGGGGGAGGACATCGAACCGTGCCATGACTCGGCAGGCCAAGGGCCTTGACCAGCCTGCGTAGTTGTGGTTGTACCTTTAGAGTCCTCAGGAGCAACTGCGCACTCCCAATTTTTTGATTGATAACGAACGGTATAGGAACTCGGTAGCCGGACCGCACCATGCACGACAGACGATAGCGATACTCCACGTGATGGGATAAGGAGAGTATACTCCGCACCAGAATGGGGGAGGACGCAGTGGAAGGTGGGAAAAAACCTGTGATAATAGTTCTGGAGGCAGATGGGCAAAATTATGCATGCGAAGCTCTTCAGAAATCGGCTTTAAATGTGTAAGAGCACGTAAAATCATCCAATAAAAGCGAGGTGGCCCTGAATCGCACTTACTGGAGGCTTTGGTATTTGGCGCCGCCGTTTTCCGTTGTGCGCGAACGTCCTTCTGCTCTCCTGACAGCTCATTATAGTCTCCGAGAATGTGACTGACGGTGAATACAAACGCAGGCCCAAAGACTGGGCAATCGTGACAAGATGGGTCGGGTCTAAATTAGTACGATATGGGCTTCACACTAAATAGTTGGTTGTCGATTGGCTAATAGAGCAAAATTAACGAGTTTTGTCGTTTCCTTGACCACATATGGGGTACAGTGTCATATTCCACGGCGTTCAACTTGGTTGTCCTCACGCCTAGATGTGCTTAGAGATATTTTATAAAGCACGAGGCTCTGGATACAACATTGTAAGCGGTTTACACTCGTAGAAGAAAGCACAGTCTCGAATGAGATATATATCCCGTTCTCCTTGCAAACAGCCTCTATTCTGTGTACGTTGTCCACGGCAAACCTATTGTCATTGCCGAATTTGAGTACGAGATGGAGCATCGACGGCATTCGCTGTATATACTGCAAGATGTGGGACGGTTCTAGCGTCATCGCAACAGCGCACCAGATCTGCAAAACGATGGGGGATGTAGGAAGATGCTCGTTATGACAGATAAATGTATCAGAGCTGACTTCGAGCGTCTGAAGCGATATAGAGGAAAGCCACCCAATCGGTTGGGCGAAAGAGCAATAAATGAGACCAAGTTCCTGGATCTTCCCGCTGGCCAGCAACTTGGTAGGCAGAGCTGATATGTAGATGCCTCTCATCTCCAGCGCTCTTAATCGTTTGCATGCGACTAGCCAGTCGTCCAAAAAAGTCAAGTTACTCTGGTGCGAAATGGAGATCTTCTCGAGAAATGGTAGTGTCGGGGTAGCCCTCGGTTTGATTTTAGTCCTCAGAAGAATTCCATCAATGTCTAAAACTCGGAGATTTTGGAAAGAGAGGAGTTGCGCATGAGATTCTCCTTTGTAAGCCTCCCCATGGAGCGCCAGGTGTGACAGACGGAGATGTCTCCCGGGCTCAATGAGCAGAAATGGGTGAGGGCCGGTCCAGTAAGTCCACTTTTCACAGAATACGTGACCAAAGGGGCAATGAAGAGTTTCCAGAGACTCGATTAGATTGATAATTCGGGCATAAAGATGAGTGATGGGCGCCGACTGCCGCATCGACTGCCATTGGAGTCTAAGGACCCTGACGAGCGACCTAACGAGGGGTTGGTTGAGTAATGCGTTGCAAAAAATCTCCGCCTCTTTCCTGTTGTCAATGTAAACACTGCGACAAAGGTATTCCATCGCTGGACCATGCCATGCGCGACAAATTCGCGCCAAACCCCAGTCTCTACTGGGTGGAGTCTCCATCTTGGGCCAGATGGAGTGATTATACCGAGGAAGATGGCCGAAGATCTCCAGCAAAATTTCTGCGGGGAGTTGAGGAGCCGTGAGTGCTGGGTGCATTTGAGTCGACTTCTTCCGAAAGTTATCAGATTTTTTATGAGAATTTGTGGGAAAGTAAGAACCTTGATGGCGACGGAGAACGACCTATGCGCTGGGCTGAGCTGCGTTTCAAGCGCTTTGGGAATCGCCGCGTCCTTATGTTTGCTGAAGATCATCGAGCCTTGTATTATCCAGTTGAATTATTTAATGAAATTCAGACCAGACGAGGCGAAGTTCAAGGTGCGTGCGTCGTTTCTGTTTCGAACACACTCGAGTAAAGTATGGATAGTTGAGTGGCAATGGAATGGCATAGGCAATAGAAACGGGCGGTTCCGAGGCGCGCGTCTCTTGAACCCCTACCACTTTCCCGACTATGTTTAAGAAGGCGACCAAGGTCTTGCTATATTTTATTTGCCACGAAACGGAACCAGAATCCACTTTGGTACGCTTATTCTAATCTTCAATTCCTCACCTGACGCTTGGCATCGCCGAATAGCAACCCAAATTAACAGTAAATGAGAATAACGCGTAGCTGCCACTCTGCCAAACGAGCTATTGTATCTCATATTCTCGCATCTTCCATATGATCCGCTCTATGACGACTGGCCGCGCTGGCCATTATCCTCTCCCGCTCATGCCTTGCCGTTAGTATGTCGGCATTGGAGATACCAGCGACATCATCACTATATGCCGCCGTCGAACTGCGGACCATTGCCCAGGTCCGCTCATTCTATCGAACGATTCTTCAATTCCGCATCTTGCGCCACTCGTCAAGACTCTGTTCTTACCTATCCACCCGCGGAAGCCCTGTCCAGCCTCGGTGGTAGACGAATGTGATAGACTGATGCGCCTTTTGCCATGCTTGGACGAAACGTCGTATCAGCTGGACTCTCACCGTATCAACTTTCCAAACACGGCTGGTGCAGATAATCAAAACAAAAACGCACTTGTTCGCTATCTAGGTCTCGCCGCATGCACAGCGCAAGTCGGGCCCGGATTTCCCGACATATCGCGTGAGTTTGGAGGCCTACGGTGCTTACTTCTCAGCGGATTCCGAATTCGCCAGCGTGTCGACCCTGCGGTAACGCCACCTCTTCTACAACTCGAAGAGATTACCATTGTGGGCGACGATAGCTTCCCTTACCTCGACGACTGGCTCTGCGGCTCGCCCCGTCTGCGTACACTTTGCGTGGCATCCATCTGGGATCAACAGCCATCTCCTCCGGTGAGAGTCTTGAGGACAAAGCGCATTCATTACATCGCCATCGCTGGGTGCTACACGGATCATAGCTACCACCTATCGTGGCTCGGCATTTCCGACGCTCTCCGGATTTTAAACGTCTCTGCGGACGTCTTCCATAGTACCTATCCGCAGTTCCCAACCGAATTGGCGGAGATGAAGATTTGGGTTGTTAAAGGGATACCCCTCAACACAGACATGTTTATCCAATACCTTGAGGGTGGTCCAAGGATTGGAAGACTGATTCTCGAGGTGGATGTCCACCTGGAGAGCTTTTCAAACGCAAAGGAAAAGATCATCGAGGTCTGTAAGCGGAAAGAGATTCCGCTATGCATTGACGTTGGACAATGTGACTGCGAAGCGGGTGTGTTATATTCATATATATCGGTTTTCCGAATGTTCTGACGGTTTTCAGAGATAAAGCCAGAAGAACCTCCAGAAATCCCGAAAGGAAAGGTTTCTCAGTTATGGTTGCAGACACTGGCGGCTGCGAAACATATCGTCGGAAAGCAAAAGGATCCAGTCGTTAGTGACGAAGAGAGGGCAATCCTTGAGTGGGAGACTGATCAGCAGCTGCCAGCCAGTCTCTGATCCATCCATTGGCCGGGTTTGTGGACCTCAAACGGTGTTTTCTACGTATGCATCTCATACTTGAGTAGCGACTTAGTATCGTTGTTTATCCCAACAGAGAGACGTTTGCCCCAGACATTTCTTAAGCCCTTCCCTGAATACTACCCTTCTGGGTGCCCGCAGTACGAACACTGAGCGGCGCTAATCAGATATTATGAAGCAGACGGCAATTGTATAACACCGCCGTTCTCTACAAGTCACAACCTTGATTAGAAGCACATATATTTTCCCTGAATCAGACCCTTCTCTTTCTCAGGCTTTGAAACTTGGACCCGCCCATGGCAGAACCGACCAAAGTGGTGATTGTTGGCGCGGGTAAGGCTATCATAAACGCTGAGTACTTCTAACATCCGAATAGGATGGAATGGGTTGATGGTGGCGAAGACGTACCTGAAAATTAACCCAGCTATTTCGCTTACAATTCTCGAGGCGGAAAGAACGCTCGGTGGAACATGGTCCGGTGACCGTGTCTACCCAGAATTCCACACACAAGTCCCCTATGGTCGCTACGAGTCATGTGACTTTCCAATGACACGCCCGCCAGCTGCGCCGCGTGCAGGTGGAGACTTCATTCCGTCCCTTCGTGTCCACGAATACCTCGTAGAGTTTGCGCAGCGATTCAATATTGCAGACAAGATAACCTACAATACTTCAGTCGAGCATATACAACGTCATGAAGATGGGAAGGGATGGAAACTCGACATCCGGAGAGAGAACGGTGAGCGAGAGGTTATCATCTGCGATAAACTCGTCGTCGCGACTGGTGTCCACTCGCTACCAAATGTCCCAGATATTCCGACTTCAACGGAAGAGCCTTTTGTTCCCTTGTCGTTTCACTCTCGCTACGTCGGCCGGCACTACGATGATATCCGTTCGCCGTCTGTGAACGTTGTCACTATCTATGGCGGAGGAAAGTCTGCATATGACGCTGCTCAGGTAGCATTGAACGCAGGGAAACATGTTCACTGGGTAATACGCACAAGTGGATCAGGAGCAGGCGCACTTGCCTTGCCTGAAATTAATGGCAAGCCAGCCACCGACATGCTCTTCACACCCGCGATGGAGTTCAACAATCCGCATCCGATGAGAAACACTTGGTGGGATTGGTTTTTCCATAGTGGCGGTAGTAGGATTGGATATTGGCTTCATTGGGCTGTAGCTGGCTTGGCGAGTCGAATGATGCTCAGCAAGTGGAGATACGACGAAGGAGTTATGAAGAATCTTAAGCCACCGTTTGTGGATCGCATGTGAGTCATTGCTTCAAAGTGAGGTGACCAATTATGATAAACGACGCGCAGATACTTCTGGCACAATTCTTCCGTTCTCGCATTACCAGGACCCGAACTAATAGATAAAGTCCGGAACGAGGATGGAATCACGATTCACCGCGCAGATATTACTCGACTGTCCGGGCGCACCATACACCTGGCAAATGGCACAACACTCGAGACGGATATTTTGATCTACGCCACTGGGTACAACATTCATCATACCACATTCTCGGAACGTGACTCTTGGGAGTTGGGACTTCCAGTCAGAATTGACCGCATACCCGTGATTGCGCCTGGAACATCATGGCCTACAGAATCCATGGAACGGGCCGACCAAGAGGTTCTACAACGCTTCCCTCGGCTGAAATCCACCTGTGAAGTCAAGAAACCGACATGGACGCAGTATAGAATGTACAGATACATTCTTCCCTTTGAGCTACTTAGGAGGCGTGACAGATCCCTCGCTTTCGTTGGCTACATGGGAGGAGGAACGATTATCGGCGCGGATGTCAGTGCGTTATGGGCTGTTGCGTGGATGGAAGGAAAGTTGGAGATCACGAGGGACTTTGAGGAGATGATCAAGGAGTCCGAAGTTCTCAATGCCTTCTTGAAGCGTCGATACATCAATGCGAGTCAAGAGGCTCCATACTTGCCTTTCGACGGCACGGTGGTACGTTCGGTTCTCGTTTGAGTATTCAGAACCTAACCATATCTAGATTATTCGCGAAATGATGAAGGAACTTGACGTTCCCCACCCAAATTTGGGCGCTTGGACGCCGCATTTCCCTTCTGCATATAGGGGTATAGTAGAGACTTGGCTAGCTAAGCATACCTAAGGCGCTCCATGTGTACGTTATCCAGTGGTCAACGAGACTTGAACTTGACCGCATTGCCAAGCTGATGAAATATGATTGGGCACTTTATCATCTGTTAAAGGATATCTTTTTCAGTGATTTAGTAGAAAAACCACCATCCTTTGTCCACTGGAGGATCGACTCTTCAACATTGCTCAGACAATTCTACAACGCCACCGGTTTGGGGATAATTAGTGATGCGTCTTCATAGAGAATCGTACAGATATAAGACTGGATGAGAATGTTTGTGTAATTCAGTCCATCTTGTTCACATCCATGACGGAGGAGACTCGTCCTCGTGTTGTCATTGTTGGACCTGGTCAGTATTCTCTTCAGTATGTTATAATCATCATCTGACTCTTTCTCTTTGCAAACAGGTTGGAGCGGCATCACACTCGCGAAAACGTCAGTATTCATATATGCACGGATAACGCATTCTAACACGGCCAAGGTACCTGCAGCTAGATTCCGAAGCCCCAATCACGCTTCTGGAAGCGGAGAGAACGCTTGGAGGAGTATGGTCCGCTGATAGAGCTTACCCAGAGCTCCAGACCCAGGTACCTTATGGACGCTACGAGTCTTGGGATCTACCCATGTCTCGTACAGACGGCGTCAAACCTGAGCGAGCAGACTTTATCCCGTCATGCCGAATGCACGACTAACCTTGTGGAGCTGGCACAAAAATTCAACGTCATGGACAAAATTCGGTTCAATATCTCTGTCACTCATATTGAGAGACATGAGAATGGCGTTCAATGGAAACTTCGCGTCACAGATACCTCCAAGGGAGCTGAAGAGGAGATTATCTGCGACAAACTGGTCATCGCCACGGGCGTACATTCGTTGCATAAGATTCCAGATATACCATCTGAGAATTTCACACCTCTCACGATTCACTCGCGGTTCGTTGGACAACATTATCACGACCTGCATTCCCCGGACATCCAGGTGGTGACGGTATATGGCGGCGGCAAGTCTGCATACGACGTAGTTCAAGCTGCATCGAATGCAGGAAAGGATGTACATTGGGTGATACGAACCAGTGGAGCCGGTGTTGGTGCCATTGTCGGGCCAGAGTTTCTGGGACAATCGACCGTCGACAGCCTGTTCACTCCTGCGATGGATTATCTGAATCCGCACCCGTTGCGTGCTTCTTGGTGGGACCGGTTCCTCCACAGTGGGAGGAACCGGTTTGGATATTGGCTCCATTGGGGTATAACAGGTCTTTTCAGCAATATCTTTACCAATTTGTGGAGGTATGACGAGAATGAGAGGCTCAGAAGTCTCAAACCGCCATTTCTGGATCGCATGTACGTTGCACATTCCCCGCTGGAGTAGTTGTTGATGGTAATGCCTAGTATATATTGGCAGAATGCACCATTGCTCGCCGTATCAGGCCCAGAATTGATCAAAAAGATACGTGCAGGAGACGGTATCAGTATTCATCGGGCGGAAATCGTCAAAATCTCCAGACAGACCATCCATCTCGACGATGGTTCGTCATTGCAAACGGATGCCCTGGTCTACGCCACAGGCTACAGCATTCATCATCCCATATTCTTAGAAAAGGATTCATTCGAACTCGGTTTACCTGTTCGCATTTCTCAAATACCCACCATCGCGCCCGATGCCTCGTGGCCGACGCAGGATATGCTTGATGCGGACAAGGAGGTCCTCGAGCGGTTCCCTCGTCTACGCGATCCACCTATCCAACCCAAGAGTCCAGAATGGACACAGTACCGGCTCTATCGCTTCATTGTCCCATTTCCACTACTTCAGAGGAATGATCGGTCATTAGCCTTTGTTGGGTATTTGGGCGGGGGAACTCTCAGCCTCGTAGCGGATGTGAGTGCCCTTTGGGCCGTTGCTTGGCTGAGTGGACGACTGGAGATCAAGAGGCCGTATGAGGAGATGGTTCAGGAATGCGACTTGCTCAATGCGTTTCTCAAGAGGCGTTATATCAACGCAAGCCAAGAGGTTCCATACATGCCGTTTGAAGGGCTCACGGTATGTATATCGGTACGTAATTCGTAGCTGGCTAACGTTGGAAGCAGCTTATGAAACAGATGCTGGACGAGCTCGGTCTTGAGCCGCCAAACTTGGGGGTGTGGAGACCGCACTTTCCAAAGGCGTACAAGGGGATTACGGAGACGTGGTTGGCAAAGAATGCCGAGTATACCCAGAGACAATAGCTCACCCGTCGCTTGGTTGTAGTCACCATAACTCTTGTAAAATAGTGAAATGCTGAATAAACATGGCTAGACCCCCAGTTTTGCGTTTGTGGCCGGTCGCCCCCGTGTCGCTTGCTTGGCCTCGCCGGTGTCAGGCCATTTGCCCAACTCTTGACCTTCTCCTCGACCGCCCTTTTCTTCCCCACTCTTTTCTCTTCTCGTATGTTTTCTTTTTCAGCAACAACTTGTGCATTTCCTGACTCTTCCTTTTCTCCCGGCTCGCTTTTTTGGTGTCTCGCTGCCGCGGTGCTGCCTCGGGCTCAGTGGACGTTGGGTATACTGCCGTCGAACAGTGCGACGAGCACATTCGAGACGATTTCAGTAAGCATAAACACCCTTTCCGTCCCCATGAAACGCAATCCCTGACGAATCCCGATTCAGTCTCGGTCCACAACACGAAAATCGACGATTAATCTCCTCCGACGACCGGCATCTGCAATCCCAAGCAATATCGTCATACGTTCCAAGTTACTCTCCCCTCAAATCTGGTTTCATTATGTTCGGAAGGCGGTTACGTTCCGTATGTCCGCACCTCTCGCAGTTATGATTCCTAACAGCCGGTCAAAACAGGTTTTGTTTGCATTCCTATGTGTGTCGCCAGTGCTCGCTTTACCCGAATGGACGCCTCCGCTCAGCACGCGTGGCCGTTATGTCGTCGACGCGACGGGCGCACGCTTCAAACTCCACTCCGGCAACTGGCACGGTGCATCTGGGACTTGGACCGGAGTTGGTGACCAAAACAACGATGACAATTCACACTATAACGAAAACTCGCACAATCTGCCGCTTGGCCTACAGTACATGCCCATCGACACCATTCTCGACGCTTTCGAATCACTCGGTATCAATTCCATTCGCCTGCCGTTTAGCAACCAGATGATCCATGACCCGACGCCCATCCTGGATTGCTGGGTTGCAGCCAACAGCTCAGGGCATGACGCCTCTCCAAGTCTACGTAGAGTGCGTCAAAGCGCTTACTTCCAGGGGTTTTGCGGTTATCCTGAATAACCATACGAATAAGAATCGATGGTGCTGCGGTGTAGGTGATGGAAACGAACGGTGGAATGAGAGTCAGACGACGCAACAGTGGGCAGACGATTGGGTGATGATGGTCAAGCTCTTCAAGGACAATCCGCGCGTTGTCGGTGCCGACTTGTACAACGAAGTCCGACGAGACGTCCTCATTGATCCAAACTGGGGTTGGGGTGGTCCAGTGGACTGGCAAGCCGCATCACAATGGGCAGGCGATCGAATTCTCACAGAAGCGAATCCGGATATTCTCATCATTATCGAAGGCATCAACTGGGTCGGCCTTCCTGTTGATGGTCTTCCACATGGACGACCGACGCTTAGCGGCGCAGCCACCATCAGCCATACGCTCGTTCAGTCGGACAAGTTGGTGTATGCGGCACATTTCTATTCGTATACAGGACCCAACCACAGCGGCGCGTTCGGGATAGGAGAGACCCATGATCCACGCTATCGAGATCTCAATCTGCAGCAGTTGAGGGATGTCGTAGAGTCGTCAGCGACATTTGTCGTCAACCAGCCGGACAAGCACTTTACACGGCCTCTTTGGGTGCGTTCTCCATGCTCCTTTACTCGTTTCCTTACGCCTCTGTAGATCAGTGAGTTTGGTATTCCAGGACGCGGAATCATATCCGATGCGGACAGAAACTGGTTCGACAACTTCCTCTCCATTCTCAAGACCAACGACCTCGACTACGCCTTCTGGCCACTGATCGGTTATCTACGCAACGGACAAGGCAACGGTTGGGCGTTGATCAACTACGACCTCTCGAACAACCGCCAGGATTCGCTTAATGACGGCAATGACTGGCGGCGTGATCGATGGTACGACCTTGTCAACGCCACGACACTCAAGGGAAGTGTCAACAACTCGACCAATTGGCGGATGATCAACGTTGACCGCGGTGACTACATCAAGAGTAGCACTATTGTCAACAAAAAATGGGACTGGGATAGCGGCGCACGAAAGGGAGCGTGTACGGACAACTTGCGGCTGATTGGCCTCAGCCGAAGTCTGCATCGTGGGCTCTGTACAGATGCAGTCTATGGTTCCCAGCTGTGGAACTCTGCGAGAGACACCGTCGTCGTGACCAACGAGCAATACGTTAGCACGGACTGGGCCTCACGATATACAAAACTTCAATGCCCACCTGATCACTTTGTGATTGGATACAGTTTCCGCGGCTCCAGGCCAAGTTCTGTTGTCTGTGCAAAGTCGGACAGGCAAGGTGGGCTAGGAGGCAGGGGACGAACAATGTGGTTCGATCGTGGTGACTCGCGAGGAAGTGGTGGTGGCGGCGACTTTGCGGTCCAGGATTACAAGGGGCAGTGTGCCGACGACGAGTACATTGCTGGTATCGCGTATACAAACCGCGTGGACGGGGGCGCACCCGCAGCGTTGTATTGTCGGTCGTAAGTCCTTGAATTTCTTTTTGTTTGATCCATCACCCTCCCTGCTACTCCTACCTTGTCCCATAAACATTCCATCTCCATTTGGGCCAAATGCCCACCACGCTCTTTCATATCATTCACGGTCTCTCCTGCATTCACGATACGCAATTTCTACGACTCGACGATCTTTTCTCTGGGCTCATAATCACGCCTGTCCTTCACTCTGTTGTTTATACCGCTCGAGCCATGCTCGAATGACGTCTACAAGTAGTGTTTGATGCAATTGCTTGGTTCCCATCGCTTGCGATCCGAAACCCTTCCTGTTCCCTTCCCGTTGATTAGAATCCGCTGATTCATCCACGTCTTCCCTTCCCCTCTATTCAAATGTCAAACTGCAAGGAACAAGCTAACGCATGGTAACCCCACGCAGGTCCTTCCACTCGGCGTCGTCGGCCCTTCGCAGCTCCGGATCACCGGCGCCGGTTCAGCTCTTTGGCGTAGTGCTCGGCGTGATTTGGCTGCGGTGGTTCTTGGTCATCTAGGTGGTTGCGGGGATGCATTGTGGTAGGAAACTGCTGGGTTCTTCCTCGCCTTCCATCCGGATGCGCGCATCCATGTGGGCGCGTGTATTTCATCGACAAAATCAACATCACGTCCTTTTTGCTTCTTCAATGTCACCACCTTCAGTATCACTATGGACACCCATACCTTTCAAATCAATCACTCTCACGATAACTTATCTTCCTTTTCACTCAGATCCTACGAGTTGGTTAATCATCCTGGCTTTCTCCTGCAATTCTTTCTCTTCACACCTCATTCATCTTTTCCTTCGCGCAAGTGCTGTCGCGTTGGATTCCCTCCCCTTTATTTCAATATTGCGCTCAATCTCCGGCTCTCACTCACATCTATCCAACTCGAACCGCATCTATCCAACTCCACTCGCATCTCTCTTCAATCCAACGCATCTCCGTTTGGCGTCAACTCTTTCTCACCTTCACTCTATGGCGATTCCTCTCCTCATGACGGATCCTGCTCACGACGATCTTACGGCTTGTACATTTCGGTTGCTCTCTAAATAGATCTGTTTCCCACCAACTGGGTCCTCATGAGTGTACAGCGAGCCATTTCTCCACGATTCCGCGGTAAAAGATGGGGTATCTAGGTGTCAAGGCACCCGCTTCGGGTAGCGATACCTCGAGCTCTTCCAGCATATAATTAAGAATCTACTCTTGCATTAGCTCCGAGTTTTAGTGAAAACGGAAAGTGACTCACCGTCATCCACTCGAATGGGAGGTATGGGATCTCTCGACCGGCATTGAGATACCTTCGTTTGATGAACGCATTGAGGAGGTCACATTCCTTTTCCATCTCATCCATATCTCTCTCGATGTCTAGTTTGCCCGTCATCCATGCCACAGCCCACAATGCGCTGACATCGCCAATGATGCAAATTGCTGCTCCTTGCAGGTAACCGACAAAGGTGAGAGATCTATCCCTCTTCTTCATCAAAGGAAAGGGGAGAATAGAACGGTAAAGACGGTATTGCGTATAGGTTGGTTTCTTTGGCTCGACCGGTGGGTTTGAGAGGCGAGGAATTTGGCCAAGACCTCTTTATCTGCCTCTTCCATGGCTTGTGTCGGCCACTGTGCGTCGTGGTTCCCTGTAAGTGAAGGGATATGGGAAATCTGGACAGGGAGCCCAAGTTCGTAGGCGTCTTGTTCTGAAAAGATGGGTTGATGGATGCTATATCCAGTGGCATAGATAAGCATGTCCGTGGTCAATGTCGTTTGATCTGCAAGGTGAACATGTCTCCCCGATAATTTTGTAATGTCCGCCCGGTAAATCGTGATACCGTCGCCGCGTCTGACTTTATCCAGGATATCCATCGTTGGAACCGCGAGTAAAGGACCATTGTGCCAGTACATGCTGCAAAACCGTCAGTGGAGGATTGCGAGGAAGAAGCATAACACCCACACGCGGTCCACGACGTCCGGTTTGAGCTTTCTCATTGCATCGTTCTCGTCGTAACCCATCTTTCCAGTGACGACTCTGCTCATGAGCCCAGAAATCGTCCAATGCAGCCAATATCCAAACCAGTTCTTGCCGCTGTGGAAGAACCTGTCCCACCACGTGTCCCGAAGCGGATGAGGATAGTTGTAGTCCATCGCAGGCGTAAAGATGATGTCGCTGATCGAACTGCCGCCAAACTCTGGAGTGGCCATTGCACCCATACCGGCACCGCTCGTCCGGATTACCCATTGTACTTGTTTCCCCGCTTTAGTAGCCGCGTGCACAGCATCATATGCAGACTTTCCTCCGCCATACACGGTGACTACCTTGATCTCTGGTGAGCGCATTTCCTCATAGCGCGCTCCAAGGAATCGTGAGTGAAATGTTGGAGGCTCAAAGCTCTCTGAAGGAATATCTGGAATGGTAGGAAGGGAAGTGAGACCCGTCGAGATGACCAACTTGTCGCAAACGATCGTCTCTTGTTCCCCTCTCTCGTTGAGCACGGTAAGGGTCCAGCGTACTCCATCTTCATGACGCTGCACGTGTTTCACAGAGACGTTGTACCGAATCTTGTCGGCGATATTAAACTTGGTGGCAAACTCCTGCAAGTATTCGTGGACACGGTTCGACGGAATGAAATCGGCTGGCTCGCGTTTTGCGTTTGGTGGCCGCGTCATTGATAAGTCGCAAGACTCGTACGCTCCATAAGGTGCTTGAGTATGCAGTTCCGGGTACACACGGTCGGCCGACCACGTCCCGCCCAAAGACCTCTCGGCCTCGAGGACGGTGAGCGAGATGGTGGGATCAACCTGCAAATATCTGCCCAATGTAAATACCTTTACGCTAATCTGTGGTTGTAAGAGACAAAAGACTGACGTTTTCGCCACGGTCAACCCGTTCCATCCTAAATCCGAGAGACGTGTTCATTCAGAGAGTATGACGTGGAATAACTTATTTGCTGACCTGCACCAACGATGACAACTTTGTTACTGGACATGGTAGGGACCAAATTTGTGCTCGAGCTCTGAAATGAGACCGCGCTTATTCGCAGCAAGGGTCGCCAAGGCCCGCAGTCAGAAGTCCAATTCAAATTGGCATGGCGCTCCTTAGCGATGCAAATAGATAGGGTCAAGGCCAGCAAAGCTTACGTACATCCATCTGGGGAGATTTTGAGTACTGTCAATCTCATTCCTCTGCCACCCATAGGTCGCTTTTCATCTCCTCGTCCTCTTCACGTTGAACGATGGTTTTTCCCAAAAGATCTGGGGCAGACCACCTCCGGCGAATCTTAAAGGAAAGAAACGACTCGCTCGCCGGTTTATGATCTGCATCACTTTAGCGCCATCTTGAATTGAACGAGTAGGACCACTCACGACTACAGTTACAGTACGCATCCTTGAGCTCGAGCGGCACCCCTCGCTTGGCGCACGCTTCCACCAAGGGTTGGCGGTACGTCTCAAAGTATTGTGGGGAATGATACACTTCCACGATGAGCTTACCCAGCTTTGGACCGCGTTCGATATAGCTAATGAACTCGGGCATGAGCAGCTTTCGCGACTCGTACGTCCACACGCGCAGCTCGTCCAGTTTCATTGGGAAATCCAAAGGCGAGTTATTGAAAACTTCGGGGGTGATGTGAACCTTGGTAAGTGTTCTGCAAGGCAAGAGCCATTGTGGACCAAGTGAGTCGAAAAGTGGACAGTATATGAGTGCGAGGAATGTGATGTTTCCTCGTCGTAACAATTCCGTTGGGGGATCTTGTCTCTCTGTGATGCTAAAAGTCCCCAACGTCTTTAGATTTGGGCATGCGAGAAGATAACAGTCGAGGAGGCCAAACATGTTGCTCATCCCAATTGTTATCTCCTCGAGATAGGGCAAGGGGGGAGTATATGGACTAAGAGGGTCAAATGGTTGAGGAAGGGTGAATCCGACGAGGTAGAGACATCGGAGATGGCGAAGTGCGGTGATTTGGCTGGGCAACTCCTTTGGGTAGTTGATATTCCCAAAGAGGGAGAGAAAAGTGAGTCCGTGAAAGCGCGAAATGTCGACGGGTAATGTATACCCTGGGCCTATTCGATCCAAAGGCAGCCTGAGTTTGGCAAAGTTGGTATTCCAGACAAAGTCGCAGTAGAGTTCGTCGAGATTTCGCAGCAGTGCGATCACACGGAGGAAGAGGGCACTCACAAACGGCGCACAGTCCGCCGTGAAGCGGGTTGGGAGAATGAGCGTCTTGACGAGGCTCTTTAAATCTCTCTTAGAGGCCCTCTGTGAGTCACTTTGGGTGAGTGCATGATATAGCTTTTGGGTTTGATAGAATGTATATGTGCGAACGGTCGTATAGAGTGCGGCAGTAGCCGGTCCACGCCATTGCGTACAGACCAGTGGAATGGTGGAGAAGTAGGTGTTCTCAATAGACATTCGAGGCCAGTCGTTGTTCATGTACTCCCTCGGAAGATTGTAGAAGACGATAAGAAGGATTTCAGGTGGGAGGAGCGCCGCCTTCGACGTGTTTTCGCGCTGATAAACAGTAAGTTTAACATCTATGGTTCAATGTAAAGGGTTGAAGATGGTAAGAGGCACGCACCCGACGGGATAGACTCATTCTGCGCGGCCTTGATAGGTAAGCCGAGGTTGTATTTTGATACCACGGCGGTGTACCGACGGACTGAGAAGAGAGAAGTTTAACGCGGCTCATTATGAAGAGTCGTTGATAGGTCAGGGCACTTTGGCCAAGGAAGACGGAGGCGAACTTAAGATGGCATCAAGCGCCCAAGCTGTTTACAGGTCCTGTTGCTGTACTGATATCGGTCAACAGTATAGTTCAGTTCTAGATACATGTATGATCAAAGACGGCCAAGAAGAAGTCATTTACTGGATGATGATCTCTACATCCCTTTGATGCTTAGCCTTCATTGCAGACCGAAACTTCTTTAGCACAGTATCGCTGACTCTACAGTCCACTATCGTCAGCCTCGTCAAACGACTCAACGGGATATCGTCCGTCGGGAGTAAACTCAGACAACCTCTGAGCCGGTAGCCAGAAATTGTCAGCGATTCAATCTCCTTAAATGCTTGTAGGGCAAGTATCGCGATGTTGATGTCCTCCGCGATTAATGCTGTCCCCTGTAGAGTACTAGCCGTGATGGTCAACTCGCGTATGCCAGGCGCATGTTCCTTTGTGATACTCCACGCTCCGATATCAAATGGATGCTGGATGAAGAGTTTGAGGGATCTTAATTTGGGCATGCGAACGACGTCTTGAAGGGTGACATATTCGCGAATCGGACATTCGAGGGTTTTGAGAGAAGGGACGGTCGTATGCGTTGTTCCGTGCGACTTTAGAATCGAAGTGTTGATTATATACAAACTCTCCACTTTATCTGCTGCGGAGAGACAAGTTTGCATATCCTCACTTCGCCAATTGGAATTGGTCACCATGAGTGTCCGTAGGTTTGACACCGTTCGCTGTAGAAGAGATCTTGGAAGGAAGTTGTGGGAGATTGCGAGGCTTACTCCAACGCCTTGGAGAATCTCCGTTTCTTCGAGTACCTCGTAGGGGACCTGAGACCGGATTCCGCTCCGTATAGAGTATGGATGAGGATGAACCGTCAATCGCCGAGTAACTGGAGCAAGCTCACGCAGGAAATGTGTCATGCTCGGTCCACGAAGTAGGCTGAACCACTTGTCAATCACTTCAAACGCTTCGTATCGCTTGAACGTGAGTTGCAGAAAGTCCAACAGATGAAACCGAAAGCAAGCTTTGCCTTTGTCAGGGGTATAAAAGGCATTATCGTACGTGTAAGCACGTGGAAGCAGGTTTCCTAATCGTGCAGCGCAGTGGCGTATGCGGTCCTTTTGTGCGAGGCTGATATAGTCATGGTGTGGGATCGCGATAGGCTGCCATATGGCTGGATAACTCTCTACGATATCCCGCCAGAATTGACAGACCGAGCCGAGTTTGAACGCAGTAAAGGGTGGCTTCCCTCGCCTGTACCCTCGTTCAAGCGATGCTTCTTCTTGCTCCATATTCACCAGGAAAATCTGTCGCCATATCTCGACAGGAATTCGTCGTCGTGCTCGTAGGATATCCTGCTTTTTCTCCATATCCTTGGTATATTGGGACAAGAGAGAAGAAAGTCGTTCGGTGCAGGCAGCGAGCGTGGATAGGTACGTACGCTCAGCGATGAGAACGTGTTCGCACTCTGGTATTTTCTTCTCCAGCACCAGCAACTCGGCTTCCAACTCGTGAAGCTGGGTGGAGAGTTGCTGCTTGACGGCACTACCGCACTCGATCACCTCGTTGAAGATTTCCGATGCTTCATCGTAAGGAGCATCAGTCGTACTTGTGCTCGCTGTGATGGCGTCGAGGGGAGCAAGCTTTCGCCTCGCGACGACGAGCGCATTTATCCTGAGAATGCACACGCTTCTCAGACTAGTCGCTACTTGCACCGCATCTGAGTATCTTTTCATCACCTTTTGTCTCCTCTCTGTCAATAACTTGAGGCGCTCGAGTTCATTTTTCAGGGAGCGCGTCGTGCGTTCGTCTTGGGAGATAAGATTCTGGATATAGTCGCGCTCCTTTGGTGTAGGAATGCGTATCTGGCTCCATCCCAGGATGGATAGACGTTCAAGGTCGCCGGATGGTGCAGGCATGCTGGCGTGGTTGACGTTGGCCACGTCGACGAGTGGTCCAGAGCGAAGGAGCCCTTAGGAAGACGGTCAAGGGAACAGTGGCGCTGACCCCGAACACCCGAGGTTGCTGGCTCTTCTGAGGCGGGGAGGCGGCATACATACCTTCTGACAACGAAATCACGTCAAAGGGGGGCGAGTAAATGTTCAGAAATGCACTAGATATACAATCATCTCATAAGATAATCGAAATCTGCTATGGCCCGTTCCTCCTCCCTTGACCGTTGGTCTAACCAGCCCCGGCAGCTCTCACGAAATGCCGTCCGGGGAGACTTCTTTGGTCGACTTGTCGGCCGTCCTGCGAGGACATTAGCTCAGACTTTGGTCCTGGTCCGGAAAACTCACTGCTCTCCGCACACGGCACCATTTCGAAACTGACTTTTACGTCACTGTCATTAAATATTTGTAGAATCTGCTTCCTGTAATCCTTCCTGGGTGTCCAGTTCAAGAACCGGAACAAGATATCCTTGATCGACGGCTTGCGAGCCGCGTACCGTTGAAGGGGTCCGAGATGAGTGATGTTAAACCTATCGCAACAAATCCGCAAGACGTTGAGAGAGAGGGGGAACACAGCAACGTAATCACTCAGAATATCTGGTGTCACCTCGAGGGTGTGGAACTTTGAACAGTTGGCGAACCATTGCAGTTCACAATCAATCAAAGTGTAGGACCACCATATACTAAGATGCCTGAGCTTTCCACAGCTGAGAATTTTGGGTATTGGTGTGGGAATAGGGGCAGAGAATAGCTCTAGCGTTTGTAGGCGAGGTAAAGTAAGCATCCAATCGACCAGGTTCACCGGGAAAAAATCTTCTGTGATGATTATCTTTTCGAGTAGAGGGAGCAGAGGGCCTGATCGCGGATCCACATGTTCCATAAACCGGAATCGACTAATACCCAATGTGCGCAAGTTGCGAAAAGTCATGAGTTGATTGGTGAGACCGGAGACTGTATAGCTATTCCCGACAAGTGACAGATGTTCTAGCCTCGAATGCCTCCCTAAAGCTATCAGCAAGACTGGGAGACGTGTCTTGTCAATACGCCAAAAGTCTCCCTGCAGGTACCCGACGGGGGAGTAGAGCCTATCAAGGGAGTCGATCATGTTGATAATCCTGATAAAGAGTTTCGCGACTATCGACGAAGGAATCAGGAGATTCCCATGATCGGGTAGGCTCAGTGCCTTGACGAGAGAGCGGATAAACCTTTGCTTGACGAGGGTTTGATAAAAGAGCTGTGCTGATTTTGCAGTTGTGATACAGACTGAGCGGTAGAGGTATGCCATTGCGACGTTATGCCACGTACGACAGACAGTTGCGAGACTCCAAGCACTGAATGCTGGATAATCTATGCCATCCCAGGGTACCGAGAGCTGCCGAGGAAAATGATGGAATATTTCCAGCAGGACTTCTGGTGCAAGTTGCGACGCCGAGCAGAGTTTATCCTGTTTATAATAAGAAACCAAGTCTGGCTGCTGAAGCCGAGACTGCCCTGCCTCTGGTTTACTCGTTTGAGTGCTCATAGCATTGATAGAATACGCGGTTCACTCGCCGCCTTTGATGAACGGGTCCAAGAGGGCGTCGGGGATCCAACCACCCGAGCGCCAATTGATTCGTATGGATTACCTATTGCAAGGCTGGATGGCTCGGCAGGTCGGCGCCAGTCTCTTCTTAGACCCGACCACTGACCATTATGACCCTACATAGCACCATTCTGTCAGACGAGGAGATTGATCTCCATGCCTATCAATCCCCTGTCCACACTCCAATCTCAAAGGCCATGATCCACGACCTTTTTGCCCAAAACTGGTCTCCAAATAGGATCCCCACCGACGAGGAGCGCGTCATACTTTGGCGTCTGATCGAAGACGACACGCAGTCGATAGCACGCATGAACAAAGAGCTCGAGCGTCTAGCTCGCTGCGTGGAACGGCGCGCAGCAGCCGTTGAGAATTATTCGCGCGCAGAGGCTATTGCTCGCGAACTTCGAAAGACGATTCTTTCGAAATATAGCAGTCTCACTCTTGTCCAAGATCGCCTCATAGCAATCGACCGTACTGCGCCCAGTGGGAGTAGCAAAGACGAGTCATATGACGCGTGTCTAAAGATAATGAAGACGCTAGAGATCTCAAAGAAAGAGTGCGACTCTCAGCTACTGGCATGCACTTCCGAGGTTGACGCCCTGAACGCTCAGATAGAGGGCTATTGTGTCGAGAGGGAAACGCAGAGGCGGCATTTGGACACCCTGGAGGAATCGGCAAGGGCTTTATCAGGATGGATAACGCTTCGCGAGGAAGATATTGCGTTCAAGAAGGACATCCTGAGTGTGCGGAGGTTAGTGCCGGTCGAGATATGGGGAGAAATCTTCAGACTACGGCTAGTGGAAGACCAAGTACGCTTTCGACTCAGCCAACGAACCGGCATACCTCCCTTCACCCCACTCACGCTCTCCGCCGTGTGCAGATATTGGCGCGCCATCGTCGCTCAATATCCTGTACTATGGCAAAATATCGCCGTTCCTCACCACGACAAAATTATGGAATCGCAGAGGGATCGCATTCTGTACTACAGAGACCATCTGGGCTATCTACTCCCAAAGGTATATACCTATCACCATGACATTGTTTCAGGAGTGTTCCCCATCCCTCTCCTTCCTTTTCTGAAAAACGCTTTCGGACCCAAATACGCCTCCCTTGAGATCACCAATTACACCTTCAGCCTTCTCCGTGGGCCCGAATTTCCAAATTTCCTCGACAAACTCCAAATACAGACTACCCACCTCACTATCCACTCTAAAAAAACGGCAGGACTATGGCGATTTGGGCGCACGAGCTTTGGAAAGAGGTTTGAGATCCCTCTTCATATGCTCTCAGAATTGCGAGAGGTAAAAGGGATGGGGCTGGGCATCGCACTTCCATCGCCTCTACCCCCCATTTACGCCCAACCAACGATCAATCTGTCGACCATCGCGGTGAAAGATACCGTATGGAAGGCAACGGACATTCAAGCTTGCTTTGCTGTAGCGAAAGGAATAGAGCGATTGGAGATGACAGCCGTCACCATTGATCCGCGAAACGCTTCACAAAGGATCAATGTACCTTCCATCCTCTTTCTCAAATGCGACATGAAAGAGTATCCCACTCTCCAGACACTTATCGATACGCCCAACGTCGCGACTCTGGAGCTCGTCCTGGGAAATACATTTGAGCCCCTTAATTGGCTCGACGAGAACAAAATGCGACTCGTCTCGAAGAATGTCAAGTCTTTGACGTTGGAAGGGTGGGACTTGTTCAAGGCGAGTTTGGATGAGGACGCCAAGATCTTGGAAGCTATATTACCAAAGTTTCCAGAGGTTTCGACCCTCACGCTCGTTCAACCCCGAATAGGCGCCTGCTTAGATGTTCTCGCGACATACTCGACTCCACTTTCAGAGTTGAAAACGCTCCACCTGATCAATTGCAACATGAATGATCTGCTATTACTATCGTTCCGTTCAAGGTATAATTTTCTACATAAACGTCATGTCGAGGTCATTGTCACTTCCCGTCCGCCCTATCTCCTTTCCGATTCGTCGCTTTGTTGAGTTTATGGTTGTCCTTGTACACTACCTTACTGCTTATATAATTCTAATTCAGACTGACATCGACGTTTTGCTTATTCCCTGGAGGTAAATATACCAATGGGTAACAGGATAGAACATTCATGTATTGATGAAATAACTGCTTGTTCCGTAATATACCGAAATCTCTGGATATTACCACCCTTACGCTCGATGGGATCATGGATAGTGCCTAGAGATCCGTCTCGAGCCCCATTGTGCAGCTGTAAAGGGTGCCCATAGTATATGGAAGCATCGAAGATCAGCGCCTAGAACCCTTCCTTGCAATGTATAATGATCTTCACAGTCGTCATGTCGAAGTAGGTATCACTGATCGTCCCGCTCTGCCCCTTCCTCGCGCGCTGAGTCGAGCAACCTTAAATTCTCTTGGCCATAAGAACCACATAGTGGCCTCATATCTTCATCGCAAATTCTCTCATGTATCCCCGCTGGTGCAGCGGAAAGACAAGCTGCTTGGTGTAAATTTGTGCTCTGAACCTACACAGCGATTAACCTCTGGATATATGTAGATGAATAGTTAGTATCTCGCAATTTTGCCTATAATCTATAACAGGAAAGCTGTCTGGGTTTGCTGTGCTACCAATGGTCGGCCTTGCCTCTAACTTGGACCCAACCAGCACTGCCAATGTCACGTTCTCTGTTAGATAAAATGCTCTCCGGGGACCATGAAATCTCCTATAACCCCTTGTTATCTATCCATGGGCCACCTTTGCGGTCTGTGATAGACAACTTGACTGTCGCAAATTGGTCACCAAACAGAGTACCAACCAATGAAGAACGCAATATGATCCGTCAACTGCTCGACCAAGACGCACAGTTGCTCCCACATATGGAGGCGCATCTCAAGGAACTATCTAACTCTGCGGAGTTCAAGCAGCATGCAGCAGCGCTCAGGATACAGGAGGATACTTTAGCTAACCAAATATCTCATGAGAGTGATTCTCGCACTCCTCTCGTGCACAATCTGCCTCTGACCATAGATCACATTTCGTCCAAGCTTCCAGAGAATGGCCCTGGACCTGAGGATGCACGATCAGCGCTTATCCCCAAGGAGGGGCAAGTATCACTTGATTTATACTTGGAAGAGAAAAAGAAAATGAAGGAATTGACCATGCTATACGAGCTTAAGAGAGATGTACTCAGTACACGGAGATTGGTTCCAGTCGAAATATGGGGAGAGATATTCAAACTCAGGATGCTTGAAGACCACGCACTATATATATCTCGCAAACGTATGGGCGCACCTCAGTTTACAGCGCTCAAGCTCTCCGCCGTGTGCAGACACTGGCGCGCTATAGTCGCTCAATTCCCCGTTCTGTGGCAGTATATCGCCATTCCTCATCATGACAAAATAATGGAGTTGCAGCGAGACCGCATCCTGCATTACAAATCTCACCTCGGTGTGCTACTCCCAAAGGTGTACACATATCACCATGAAATCGTAGTTGGAGTTGGCGTATTTCCCGTTTACCTCTTGCCATTCCTACGGGATACATTCGGAGTTGACTATGCGTCTCTTGAGATTGCCAATTACACGTTCAGCCTACTCCGTGGCCCAGACTTGACCAGTTTTTTTGATCAGCTTCGGCCACAGACTACTCATCTTACAGTCTACGCACGAGAAACAGGGGCTGCTTGGTTCTTCCGACCTGCAACCGCTAGAACTCTAGTCGAAATTCCCACCTATATGCTCGCCAAGCTGCACGAGGTGACAGGAGAGGGTTTGGGCATCAGAATCACGGCCTCTCAGCCAGAAATTAACCTGTCTACGCTCGTCGTAAAGGACGCAATATGGCAAGCGGCGGATATCCAGGCCTGTTTCCATGTTGCAAGGCACATAGAGCGATTGGAACTTATGCGCACAGGTATAGGTCTACAGAATGCATTTAGGAGAGTAGATGCTTCATCCCTCCGCTTCATTATATGCGGCGCGAACGAATACCCAATTCTCCAGAATCTCCTGGACTCACCCAATGTCTCAAATGTCGAGCTCACACTGAGAGGGAGGATTGAGCCTTACTATTGGCTACAGAACAGCGGCTTTCCCTTAGTTTCACACACTGTCAAGTCATTAAGACTGGAAGGGCGGGAGTTTCTCGAAAGGAGCTTCACCATAGAGATCAAGATTATGGAAGCTATACTACCTAACTTCCCAGACATTACCACTCTTACACTCGATCACAACATGGATGCGTGCTTGGAAGTCATCGGGACCGTTTTGAATCCTGTCACACAGCTACAAAATCTACGCATAGTCCCTGGTAGTATCCGAGAGTCACGCTTGTCATCCTTCCTTGCAAGGTATCATCTACTCCACAGGCGTCATGTCGAAGTGGACTTCACTGAGCGGGACGCTCAGTCCCCTTCTTATGACTCGCGTGATGAGTCTAGCGAACTCAAATTCTCTTGGGCATGAGAATTACATAGAGCGACAATTGCTTCTCATCATTGATCCCTATGTACTTTCGGCCTTTACTCTTTCCGGTTAAACACGCAATCATGCAAACGGGGGCTGAAAGGAGAAGCCATTCGGCACATCTCTGATAATATATTCCATGGTATAAAGATCTGAATTCCATGCACCAATCGTATGAACGTATGAATCGGTGTCGCCCACAACTCGGGGGCCATCTTTCCGTTTCCGCTCAGAGACACTGCGAATACCCTGTGAAGTGTGAAAAGCGAGTAGGTCGGGAGGATAAAGGCTCGTACATTGGTTCGAGAAAGTGCAGGTCGAGTCAACGCAGTTTTTGCAACCAGTATAGTCTACGATCGTGAGGATTTATCAAAACCAAGATTATTCACTAACCTTGACCTCCACACTGTCCATACTTGGCAACAGTACTGTTTAAATCCCATAAGATATGGCCTAGAGATATCAAATGCGTACTCACCAACTACCGCCTCCATTTGTCGAAGTCGACGATGGCCGGGGGGACGAGCTCGAGGATCCTGGGCCACTCGAACTAGTGCTCTGTGGGCCGCCACCGGGGATGGAGCCTCCAGATCCAGCGTCCAATTGGAACCACGGAACAGTGACGCGTCCGCCGAGCGACGAGGTAGCATAGTTGAAGATGGCGAAGCGGTATCCAATGAAGTACTGCCAATCTGTATTCAGGGTAAATGCCCCACCAAGAGCAGTCCATGAGCTTCCATTGGTGCTATAGTAGAATCGAGCTTGTTTGGAGCCGCTGGGTTGGATATCGGCCGTGACGCGAAGGTAGATCGTGCCACCGCTAATAGATGCGCTTGCCGTCGTCGAACCAGTGGATGTAGTAGCCCAAGTTGTGTCCATATTGATCCCTGTTGTAAAGGCCACAGTGTAGGCGCCGTTATCACGCTTGACGCCAATCCAAGCAGACCTGTCTCGGAACATGGCGAGTCCAGCACGGTCGCCATTGCTCATGCTACCATAATCGAGCCTGATAGTCGCCGTAGAGATGGGCCCCAGAATACGCTGAGATAGCGTATTGCGAGCGCTGTACAAGTCGTTGGTGACGGTTGCAGTGTTGAGAACGAGACCATTGCCGACGGAGAACTTGCTCGTGTCCGGGTTATGGTTCCATTCCCATTTGGGTCCAAGCGAGGAGCCGGTGAAATAGTCGACCCCAGTGATCGATGCAACAGGGCGTGCGCTGAGTGGATCTGAGTAGGAGGTTGCCCATTGACCATTGACGAGCTAAAAAGTGTTGGATCAGATTATGTGCATCCTGGACTTGGACTCGTACCGTAACAGCTGGGAAGCCGTCTGATCCCCAAGTGATGGGTGCAAGGACGGGAATGCGGCCACCAGGGTAAGCATCCAGGAAAGCCATGTAGTACCATTGGCCGTTTGGAGTATCGACGAGACTGCCTTGATGAGGCGCACCGGAGCCAGGGACTGGATGCGGTGTGTTCAAGACCAGATTCTTCATCGAATAGCTGCCGAAAGGACTGCTCGCCTTGATCATGTACGTGCCGTTGGGAGGCTTTGTCAAGAGGACGTAGTATACTCCGTTGCGCTTATACGGCCGGGTACCCTCGAGGTAGCCTGATGAAAGTTGAGACACTTAGAGAGTACAATAGGGGTGTCAACATACCAACGCTGGATGGCGGAGTGTAAATGAGTTGTGACCTGACTTCACTCTTTAGGTCTGACGCCATCTGCGCCATGTAGATGGCATTGTTGGCTGCGTATGAGATGTACATTGTGCCATTATCATCGATCAGTAGTCCAGAGTCATAGTAGCACTAGTTTTCTGGTAAGCCCCAACTTTGACCATGGAAACTTAGGACTTGCCTTGTTGAGCATAGTGACTCGCGTCCATGGACCAGTAGGGGAGGGAGCACTGTAGATGTACGTCCTCGAGTATTCAACGCATCCTCCCCAGTACCATTTATTCTGAGTCGGGTGAAAACCGATCCACGAAGCGAAGACTCCTTTGACGTATGCGCGCCCGCCGTTGAGATCATACTTGCTTCCAAAGTCGAGGGTCGGGACGGAGTGTCCAATGTATTCCCAATTGAAGAGGTCGTAAGAGCGCAGGATTGGGGCTCCAGGCGAATAGTGCATAGTCGACGCCGAGTAGTAGAAAGTGTTTCCTACTCGCTTGATGTCCAGATCCGCAAGGTCATTCCAAAGGACTGGGTTTGAGAAAGCGTCGACCAAACGAGGCAAAAGAGCGAGGGTGCCAACGAGAGTGGCGAGTTTCGAGCTTAAATGAGCTACAAAGGAGCAATATTAACTTGTGAGGCTGGTGAGACCAAATATTCGCGGGACCCACCGAGCATATCGAACGTTGACAATGTCGTCTCGAAAGCTTGCTAACGTCCTCATCAATGATCTTTATAGGCTCATGACCGGACTCTTGTCGCAAAAAATGTGGGGATGGCTATCACCTTGGATTGATCCGCCTGATTCACGAGGACTGACGAGTAGCCCGGTCCGTTGGACGTGTTGTCGCTACAACAATGTACCACTGGATCTGGAAGCCGAGTTGCTAGGGCAAGGAAGCACATTCGGCGGCCCGTAACATTCAGCCGCCAATTCGTCGGAGCTGCACCTGGGTTGTCAACTAAGTCAACTAAGTGCCGTAGAATTGCGGGAAGGAGTCCGCATGTTGCCGTCGTCGATGCGCAACTATTGATTCAGGATCTCATTCAAGACCCAATCTTCGGATGGCGGGTGCGCGGAACTGGGGACAATCTACGGATCATCTGTTAGTTTGGTTGAGCCGAGGGGGGATAATTCGACTTACTGAACCTGTCAACACAGATCTGATATAAAGATGCTACTGGTGCCCGATGAAGCAGGATGAAAACATGCAAACACGGCCATTTCCCGCGCATCCGGGAGCAGAAGGAGGTATAAACTTCAACAATAGACCTATTCAATCGAATATCCTACGTCGAACCTCGCCACTCAACGGCTGAAGCGGCCCCGTCCCGCGGGCAAAAAGACTGGTGGCGAAGCCATCAGGAGCAATCCGCAGCAATTGAGGACATAAGTATAAGCCCGTGTTATTACTGGTTGACCTGCTTTATATGGGTGACGCTGCGTCTGAATGTGCCATGGTGGTTCAGGCCAAGGTTGAAACTCCATACCTGAACCGCTGTGAGGAACAAAAGACATGGTTTATTTCATACATGCTATCAAAGAACATTGATAGTGGGTCACCAAGAAAAGGTTGCCCAAGAAAGGTGCAAGGTTTATTGTCGCACTTACGATCGGGACAAGTATTGGAGAGTCTCTTGTTCATGACTACGAGAGTTTGAGAGCCCCTCCTCTTTAATCTAGCCCGTTGTCGTTGGTAAACCCAGCTTGAGCTTTCGCCTGATCAAAGTGGTCCTCGTGCCACCCATAGTGCCGCTTCAAGCGTTTGGAGATCCGCTTGAGCATGACTGGATTAATTGTGGGATCAGGGTGAGCTATGGAGGATCAGTGGAGCGTCTCTCAAAGTCAGAACGCATACGTTTATGGAGCACGATAGGCTAAATTTTATCAGCATGTGACTTACTGCAACAATGAGACACATACCGTGTCCTTGCTGTCAGGGGGGTAGAAAGTGACCCGAGATCCTTGTGCGCCTTTGTCCACCTTGAAGCCCATAAGAGTCATGACCTACTGCGGGTAAGTATCGAACGAACTGAAAATGATACGAATACCTTGATAAAGTCATCCCAGCGCATGCTCGACTGTCCCTTGGTCTCATCGTCTTTGGATCCAAGAAGACGACCGATGAGCTTGTTGGCTCTTTTAGGCAAGTGGAAGACACCAATCTTCCCAAATAGATTGCTTCCTTCGGTCTTTTGCCCCGATACTGGCTCCTTCTGCTCAGCCTTGACTTTAGCGCCACCAAACTTGGAGAAGAAACCTTTCTTCGCTTTGGGAACCTCTCCTCCCTGAGGAGCAGGCTCCCCACGGGTCTTCAATTTGGCCTTTGCAGGCTTCTTTTCGTTTACCATGTACGAGTGTGCAGACCGAGCCGTAGTGGGGGCTATTGGCAAGGGGATAGTCGAGGCGCCTATATCTGACGATGTTCGAGACTCCTTGGGAGACGTGAAGGCTGGTGAGAATGTCGAACTATTCGGTGTCGTCACAGTAGGGATGGGAGGGGTCATTGGTGTAACGGTGTCTGCCTCCTCGAGGATTTGCTTGATCTCTTGGCTTTCCTCTGCCGTAGATTTCTTCTTCTTCTTCTTCTTAGATTTCTTCTTCTTCTTCTTTTCCTCATCTGCTACGACTGTTGAGCTGTCGATGGCAGGCGTCGAGGGAACTTACCCTTGAGATCGTCCTCGTCCTCGGCATCCTCCACCGTCATTCCTACCAAGGCACTAGATATTGCTTCAGGTGAGTCCCTCAGTGGTTTTATTGACGTTGAGAGCCCTTCCTGCAATCTGGGCGGAGGTCTCGGAGGGCCAAAAACAGGCCTCTCGCCCAACTTCTGCGGCTTGAATGTAGGATCCGTCTCGAACACACGCCCTATTACACATCGATAAATAGGCAAATTGTGGGGTCTGAGAGCTCCATACCAATGTACGAACGCAGCATCTTGAGAATTGGATTCGACTTCAATGATCCTTCGGCGGACGAATCTGTACCTTGGCTGTCCTCAGTTTCTTGTGTCCATGCAGGCAGCTTGTTGCCTCGGATGTGAAACTCCTCCACAGCTTCTGCTACTAATGCCTCCATGGTCCGAATCTCGTTGCCCTCGTATTCGCTCTCTTCTTCGTCAACAAGCTCTTCTTCTTCGGAAGACTCATCCCCTTCGCTCTCTTCCGAGGTCCCTTCGTCCGTGTAGAGTGGCATCTCATCGTCGTCAGAGGACACAACGAGCATCAAGTCTGGCATGTCATTGAAATTCTCCTCTTCAGCATCACCCAACATGATTGCCGCCCTGGACCTAGACATGCCTCCTGGACGTTTCTTTGAACGAGCTAGAGCATTCTTTCCCTGTTTTCTTTTCGGATCTCCGGGGAATATCAATTTCTCGTCTTCACTCGACACCTCTCCACCATAGGCGGCACAGTCGGGAATATACCACGTTGAGTATGAAGGTTTGCAATCAAGTTCGTCCTCTAGGCGCCATAGGCTGTCAACAGTGTGGGTCTCATCGGTGACGTCGTAGTAAACCTGTAGAGCATAAGACAAGACTCTAATAGGATAAATAACTTACCGTATTGATGTGCTTCCATAGCTCATCCAACTTGTCCTTGCTCCTTGTCTTATCGAGCGGGAATGCCCAGCTTTGCCATCGAGAGCTTAGCGAGGACGCCTTGAGACTGAGATTGATGGCATCGAAAAACTCGTTGATCTCCCCAGCAGCTTCCTTCCTCGGCATTTTGAGAACCTTTGCACCCTCTTCGCCATGGAGAGGACCAAGAAGTATGTCCTTGAATTCGATCAAGGCGGCGAAGTTTCCGAGGGCATCGAACACACCCTGAGAAAACTTATTTGTCCCCTCCTTGGGCGTCGTCTCTAGCGCATCTCTCAAGACTGCGACCAGGATATGAGGTTCGTATCGAGAGTTGGGTAGGACTAGCTCGACGATGATTGTGTCGATGAGGGAACGGTGTAGAGCCCGAATGGCGGTTGCATCCGCTGTGGAAAATGACTTTGCAGTTCGGCTCCCACTGAACAAATGCCCAAACTCGTCTGGAGCGAGGTCAGCAAGGAGTGACGAGAATCCGCTGAAAACTCACTGGACCCAACAATGGATATACTAAGCTTCTGCTGAGCCAGCGAGCACAACATATCGACAGTATCCACGACGAGGAGGTACGCATCGCGGATTCCGGAGTTGCCAAGAACAGTTTTGCGCACATTCGCGTCTTTGAGTCCACGCTGGCGGACCTCGACGAGAACATTCACGATGACCTTCCAAGACGCGGCTACCAGATAGGCGTTGTGTACCCTGCACATTATTAGCGGTCACACCATCAACTAGCGGAATATTCACTCGGATGCAATGGTTTTAGCTACAAACGGTGCGGCTAAGCGGTCTGGATTGAGGTTTGGACGAGAAGCAATGGTGTTGCTGATATGGTCGTAGAAGAGGGCGGGGTCGTGTAACTCGGTGATTAGATCCAACGCCTCGCTGAGCTCTGCTGCAGCAACCTTCTCTAGGGCCTCGACTCTAAAGGGAGGACTGATGGCGGACCGACGAATATCCTCTGTCACGAAGTCTCAGCAACGGTCGCATACTAGCGAGAGACATAAATATAAAGAAAACACATACCAGCTCTAAGAGCCAGTTTCTCCTGTCCGCTACGTTTCTTGAACGAGGCAAGCTGACCCTCTCCCCAGATTCCATGTGGCTCGTAGCGTAGAGCGATCGCATTTGAGCTAGTGTTCACAAACTCACGCCTCTGATTCGATAAAATCACTGCTATTGATACATCCTCACCAGCAGCGTTACGTTTCGCGCGGGGAATTACTGGTCCGTTGGTGGTGGGTGGCATTGAAAGGATCTAGGTTGCTTGCGCAAATCTGTCAGCATCAGGTGGCCAATCATACACTGTGATTTCATAAGATAGCAAAATAAAGAGAATTTTATGTAAACGTCACATGTATACCCATGGCTTCCAGGCGGTCGATGACCCAAGAGGGTATCATGGTGCCAGAGATGTTTAGGGTAGGTATTGGCCGATGGAGCTTTGATTGAATGTCGACAAAAAGTTCAACTAGTTGCAAACAAGGGAGTCTCGCCTTTTGTAGAGTGAGTTGCTCGAGGTTTGTGTTGAGAGCCAAATGCATGTCGCGAAGGAAGGGCTCGATTGCTTCTCCGACAAGTGTAAGGTGAGTAAGACTGGATATATCCCGAAGGATGCTGGAATAGGAATCGGAGGAATCGTGGTAATCCAACCCAAATGGCAATGCGGCTATTGTGAGGGATTTAAGAGATTCTTGGCGCTTGTGATAGGAAAGGAATGTCGTCCAGTTGACAAGTGCGGTGGAGCTTCCAAGGGTACTGCTGGTGATAACGACTGTGTTCAATTTGGGTAAGGATACTTCGTTGGGGAAGAGCAAATGGGCAAATTCCAGGGAGAACTCGACTCTAGTAAGGCAGGACAGAGTTATTGATGACCGAAACCCATCTGCGTCGATGAAAAAGGGTGAAGAAAGAGTAATCGAGACGGTTTGAATCGATGAAAGAGCTTCGAGGAAGAGAATGGTGGGACGAGCATCGAGATTGGACTGTATAAAATCCACTTTGATGATTGACATCTCTTCTTCGCCCGGCGTCGAGTTACGAATCGATGGCTGGACGTGCAGGCAACTCAGAGATTGCACCCGTTGTAGCGCGATACGCTTCAATGGACAGGACGTTCCCGCACTTCCACGCTTGTGGGTTCCAATCAATTTGAGCTGGACGATTGGAACCTCCAGTACCGCGAGGATGTCCTCCGCCTCCGAATTCCTTCTTGATACGCGTAGTTCCAGAACTTGGAAGGAGGTGAATCTCTTCAGTAATTCGACTACATGTATCCCTGAACCAGTTACTCTCTTGCTATCTGGCACGACGTAGACGACTGGACGAACGGCCTTTACATTCGTTTGGTACAACGAAAGACATGCCCACTGACCAAAAGAGAGTTCGAGTGTTCGAGGAATTGGGATGAACCTCCAAAGTTTGGGCTGGTTGAAAGCAATGCGTCGCCACAGCTGACAAACACAAGCCAGGCGGAGTGTCGGAAAAGGCGGGAGCCCTCGCGGCTGGTTGACTCGTAGGCAGCTTCTTCTTCCTCGACCATGATCCCAAAGATCTCTGCCCAAACGTCCGATGGAACGCGACGACGCGGGCCGATCAAATCCTTCTTGAGGCGAATCTCGTGATGAAGCTGAGATTGGCGCAAGATTAACGAGGCGAGGGATCGTTGAAGAACGGAGAGGAGTGACTGGGTAGCTTCAAGTTCTTCATGTGCGGCGAATGCCTGACGTACTACACGGTCAAGATTGTTCTGGAACATTTCAAGGCTGAGATGGTGGGTTTCGACTATACGTTTTCTCTCTGCTAGTAAAGTATCAAACACTGCGTTCGACGGAGTAGTAGTGGGGCGCTTCCACAGGGCACTGTCGACATCGAGGGAGTGAATACCGGGGGAGATTTCGTCCATTTTCTCCAGTGTAATATGCGAGAGAACTTCCAGTCTCTTAGCCATCGTGACTGTGCGCTGATGCTCATCGGCAGCAGCCCTCTTCATTGCAATCTGCCGTTCTAGCATGTTCCGTCGCAACTCCAAATACTCGAGTTCTTCCTTTTGGTCGTAGATGAGAAGGAGAAGAAACTGGCGCTCAGTGCTGGTCGGAATTCTGTTCTTGAATGCATTGGGATCTTCATATTCACTGGAAAGGCTGGATGTAAATGTCGTCAGCAGTCATGCTATGAGAATAAACGTGTCTAACATATTGATTACAGACATGCAGCCTCAAGTATAGTAGTCGGGGTAGTCGTGGGCCAGGTCAAAGACGCTGACCAACCAGCTCGAATAAGATGTTCAACATCTCAATATTTGCACCTCCATTATTTACAGTGTGAAAAAATGAACCGTGATATGTGAAACTTTCTAGTTTTCCCATCTAATTGTTCGGCCCAATCTCTTCTACAACTTTGACTGGGCGACGATGAAAGGTAAAAAAGCGAGCTTTGAACTCTTCCATGACTTCACTCCCAACATCTCGGTTGAGTATCTTCACCGTCTCCAAGCGTGCGAGCGGGATCTCCTGATTCGGTGTCTTCCCCAATCCCCTAATCCCATGATCACCGCATAAAGTCAAACAAGTGATCTCTTTGAAATGCAAAAGCGCAGCTCGATGCATGTCGTGAAAGTCGTCCGTCGATACTGCCGCTGAGGGTTCGGCGATTGTCAAGGAGAGGATGCCCGATTCCGCTGTGCTATTACTAAACGTGTTCACCCAAAAGAGCGTAAGCCTTTCATCTTGAGCAGAGAGCTCGAGTCTTTGCCAGTTTTTGCTGGCGAAAGTACGGCGCAGGACAGAATATTGGACGAGCGTGCATCGAACAAACATTAGGGGCGAACGGACGCGAGTATCGCCATGATTCTCTACGACGTGGGCCCCATCCAAGCGCAGCTCTTCCAGCCTCTCTAGGTGTACGAGGGCGGTTTGTAAGTCCTTGGTGGTGAAAGTGCCGGCGATGGTGAGCGACTTGATTTCCAGCATATTGACCTGTTCCACCACGCTTCTTGCTGGTAGCGCTATGGATACATCGATGGCATAAAGAGAGGAGACGTGCTTGACCGCGGAGGCAGGAACCTCGCAAGAGAATGGTCGACCAGGTGTAGAAAGGCGCGTGTTGATTAGACGAAGAGTATCGGCGTGGGGGGATGCATCAGCTAGGGCTGGTATGATAAAGTCTTGTTCGGGAGGATGACTCCCCTCGATGTGGAGGTCCAAAGTCTGGCATGGAGGGAGCGATGCGAGAACCGAGGAGAAATCATAGGGAGCGTCATTGGGGGTTTTCTCCGGAATGTATGTGTATACAATGGGTGGGAGGTTCTCCACATATTGTAGGTAGTGAAGAAGGCGGTCCACCTGAGCCTGGGTGAGATGGTTCGACCTCGGAATAGCGACATATTGCCAAAGCGACGGCCTTCTTAGGATAGCGGACCGCCATTTCTTGTTAACCAGGAAGAATGTGAGCGCGGTAAAGGGCGGCGAGCCAAACCGGCGAGACGCCTCGAAAGCCGCCTCATCCTCACGGATACGAATGAGGAAGATCTCCTGAAGTACTTCGTCGCTTATGAGATGAATGGGGTTCCGGAGGTTTCGGTTGTTCCTCAACAACTGCTCTCGGTTCTGCAACGTTCGCTCTTTCATCTCGAGAACACAGCGACATGCTTCAAGAGATGTCTTTTGCTCCTCCATCTCCCCCTTAATATCACCGTGTTGTGCGTCCAAGGTCAGTATGGCCCGGTTGATGCCACGAATTTTTATATCGAGTTTCCTCTTGGCGACTTTGGTGTCGTTTGATAGCTTTTGGTGGCGTTTATAAGAGGAATCTCCCCTGCCTTGATTCGTTGCGGTACTCTCCGAGAGGGATTCGAGAACGTCGAGTGCATCTCGAAGGGCAACCCTCTGAATTTCGTTCGCCTGCTTGAGGGCAACGTTCATTTCGAGACTGTGGAGTAGATTTCGTCCCCGAGATTCGTGAGCTCTTAGCTCCTGCTTCTTTGCTTCGATTTGGGCTTTGATACGCTGGATATCCTCCATATCCCCAGCGATAACTTCATCCATCGCCTGAAAGGTGTGCTGAGAGTGACTCCAAGAGCTAATTGAGCAATCAGCATCGTACTTTCTTCGCCGAAATGAATACTCACTGGCTTTGCATAGCGGATAATGAGGGAGGACAGAAGGTCGTTGTACGTTAAATATGAGCATGTTCTAGCTCTTATATAACAATGAGGGGGGTTGAAGAAAGGTGGTGCGGTGTCGGAGCCTGACCATGTTGAACACCGACTCGACAGCGTAAGCGAGGCCCGCTCTCATCAAAATGGGTTGGTTCTGCTGGTTAAGAGTAGGTCGTAATTTTAAAATGTGTAAATGTCCAGTTAGTGGCGCAGGGTAGGGATGTGGTTTTGAATTGGCCGTGTCTCTGTGGGAGCTTGGGGCGTGCTGGGTTGCAAATAAAATCTTGTGATGATCACTGTGAAACCGAGAAACTCGCGCATGCTCCTCCGGTGTTATCTACGTTGCGGCAACCGCGGCAGATGATGTCCAACAACCTGTTATGCCGTGATCGAAAGCGCGACAAAAACGCGTCAATGTCATCGCCTTGAATTTTGCTTTCCCGAATCGACACCCGTTGCAGTTCTGCGAGCGGGATATGCGGATTTGGCAAGGCCTGTAACGACAATATCGCAAATGTCCCGCTGAGTTCCAGGCTCTGTATGTTCCTGAAATGCTGAATGACATCCAGGTACATTTGTTCTCCTTTGGGCGAATAATCGAGGTCCTTGGACGACGAAATGCGCAGATCACGAATAGCGACCTGCCCAATCGCAAGGTGGGAGAAGCGCTCCCAATGGCTCTTGTAATGAGCCTCGAGGAGGCGTAGTTCGAGAGTTTGAATCTTTGGAGCGGATCCGAGGAAATGGAGGTCGTAAAACTGGACGAGATTGCAGGATAGGAATGTCAAGGAAGGAATAGTGACTCGTTTAGGGGCGTGGTTGGATCGAAATGTCGTTCCATCCAGCTCCAGATGTTCCACAGACCCCAAGTTTTCCAAGCACTCCTGGAGATCTGCGGAGAGACAGACGGTATCACGAATCGCAAGCGACCTGAGCTTTCCAAAGGTCTCTAGGCCCTGTCGTGGAGTTCGTTGAATTCGCACGCTAAGTCCGAGACAGGAGAGTCTGCTAACGTTGCACACCGCCGTGCCGGACAAGTTCCAGCAGTCGCGATCGATCATCCGGGTGTGTGCCTGCGACAAGAGCCGTAGAGTCTCCGCCTGTGGAGAGAGTTTCTCCAGAAATAAAGAGAGGATACGACTATCAAGGTGCTTCCCTTTACGTATCTCAAACGTTTGATATGCAGCAAATGCCTCGCGCAGTACTGCGACCAATCCGTACTGTTGTGCACGTGACCTCGTTCGCTCGTAGGTATATGCGATTGGGAGGTGAGAGGCAAGACGCGCACTGTAGTACAGAATGCGCTCCCGCTGCCGCCTGCTAATTTTCTCTGTTTGGGGGATAGCGACGTACAGCCAGAGAAGGGGTTGATTTGTCACGATAGAACGCCAGTAGCGGCATACCGCGGACAAGAGTAAGGGTGTGAAAGGAGGGTGACGCGTTGGTGTTTCCTCGTACTCGCGCTCGTCTGCATAGTTGCAGAGCTTGAAGACGTCGTACCAGATTTCGACTGGTAACCGCGCGCAAAGTTTTTGTTGATAAGTTGTTCGGTGTCCTCGTCCATATGAATACGATTTGATCGGTTGATGGACCGCGCCGAATTCTCTCTCATCCACCGCTTAACTCGGCGAACGCGATTAATTGGCGTCGTCGTATTCCTGTCGAGAGTGGCGAGGTCGAACACCACGCTCGTCCTCGTCGTACTTCGACTTTTCCTTCGTGAGCGCTTTTCAGCGCGTCGGACAATCGAGTTGCTTCTTTTGCGACCTCGTGGATCTGGGCTGGGTTCCGTTGATCGAAAGAGTACTCTAGGTCCTCTTCCAAATAGCGCAATCGGCTTTTCTTCCATCTCGCTATCCGAGGCGCGAAGTGTTTGGTCGTCGTCGTGCTCGTGTATGGACGTTTCCCCCGCCTCGTATTTGTACCCAGTCCATTCACTCTCATCGTCTCCTTTCAAGGTACTGACGGTAGACCTTGCTGGGCTTCCACGACTACTTGTTCGAAACTACGTTAGGTGTCCGAAGTGAGACGAGATGGACAGCGTACGGAAGATGTGAACCCTTGAATGGCGTACCCAGACGCCTTATGGGAGTTTTTTTGCGTATCCTCGACTTTTTAGGGGTTTGAGGGGCGGTCGACATGTTTTGACTGGTGTGCCCCACCTTGAACCTCGCAACATTGTTCCGTGAGACGCGGCGGAATAGCAACTAGCAGGTTTGCCAATCAAATCAACGACGAGAACACGGGCCATTTCAATGGCAGTCTCATCTCGAGACGAGTTTACGTAAACCAGCTAATACGGGCAGCACGCTACGCTCATTCAAAGCAGAAGTCACGTAGAGGATCTGTTCTTCCATCTTCGTTGCATTCAACGACTCCAGTGGGTCACAAGCCAGAACGTTATTGCCGTGCCACGCTCCTTGACTTCTGTAACAAGGATGTACACAATTAACGTCGGAGCATAAGCGCTTGGGTGAGTCGGACTCGGCTTTCATGCGCTTGCGAACCTTGGACCGCACCTTCTCACGTTAGTCACGGATCTAGGTTCAGCGAGACAACCTTTTTGATCCCCTCTTTCATTTCTCTAGGACTATGCCACCTTATGAAAACACCAAACCACATTTGGGCATTCATGGCCGTTGGCGTCAAACCAGAACATGGCTCTACGCAACTTGGTCTCTAAATTCGGTACGTTCAAGTCTTTCTCGATATATATTCAACCCTTTGGACGTCTTATTCTACTATATACGCAGAAGAGATCTTGCTTGGCAACCCGACTCCCGCCAGAGATTCTCCTAGACATATTCGAGTATCTTCCTCGGCACGGCCCCAAATACTGGTCTGGAATAGATGACCCAGCTACCGTCACCTGGAACATTGCCCTTGTCTGTCGGGGTTGGCACGGAGCAGCTACAGAGTTCCTCTACCACTCCATCTGTCTCACGACAGCCAAGTCGGTGCAGGGACTTTGCCGGACACTTCAGATACAACCCAGCCTCCGCTCTCTGATCAAGGTCATCACCTTGCCCACTCGAGGTCCTGGGCGAATTCCATCACCGATAGTAACCATCTTCGCTCGGGTCATCAACATGATTGACTCATTGGAGAGGGTCGATAGCCCTGTAGACTATCTACCATCTGGCACCTATGAGGGTTGGACCGGGTCGGAAGAGGTGTTCCCTCTTGCACCAGGAAAGCATCGCAACATATCTCACCTGGCTATTTTCGGAGACAATTATCATAAAGGAAGATTTGATCGGCAAGTTACGTCCTTTCATAACCTTCGGGTCTTAGAGTTGAGCGCCATCCGATTGAGCTCCCCCGTGGACCCGCAGACGACACCAATTCTCAATTCTTTGGAACGGATCATAATCTCCTACTTCAACAATCTACCATACCTGGACGAATGGCTGTTGGCATGCCCTCGCTTACGAGTGGTGGATCTCATCCGTCTGCCCGCGCCTAACCCGGTGCCCAAGATTCTTGCATGCGGAAGAATTACCCACATGGGTATCTCAGAGTGTTGGCAGTGGTCTGAAGAGTCGACGCGCTGGTTCAGAACCTACACACGATTCAAGAGCCTCGACATATCAAAGGATACTCTCCTCTGTCATCTAGACAAATTCCCGCGTCCCCTGGACACCATGCGTATACGATTCAGGACGTCGGAACATCTGCCACCAGCGCAACTTCAGCAGCACTTTGAAGCGAACCCTGGCCTCAAGAACCTCATACTCCGGTTTGATGAGGCAAACGAGCGTATGGTATACCTCAAGTCCGATTTTATCTTGGTTTGTAATCAGCATGAGGTAGCCATCTCGTTTGAGATTTCCTCATTTGTTGAGCGATCCAGTGAGTATGGCGCGAACGACTTGACCAAGGCTAACTTTGTGAAGATGTTTCGGTATATTACCCCCAAACACGTTGGAGAGAGCTGCGGAAGACGCTGAAGAAGCCGCTTGACCGACGATCTGAAATAGAACGTATCGTTGATACGTGGGATCACCCGTTCAAGTGAAAGCCGGCAGTCCAATCCCAGGTCGGCGCGAATTTCGGTTGGTCACAAGTAGGCATTAGCCGAGTCGCTGATCAAGACACACGACGCCTCCTCGACGACGTCACCACAACACTTAAGCGCCTATTTAGATCATGGAGATAAGAATGCGCCTATATAACACACCTTTGCATCCGTTTCAGACGGTGAACGTTTCACCATGACCGGATTCGTAGGAAAGACTGCACTCGTCACAGGCGCAAGGGGCATCGCTGAAGCCGTACGTCCCATCCGACCAATCCAGGGCCTCGAACTGATAATTAGTCCAGATTGCCAAACATCTCTTCGCACTCGGTATCAATCTCATCATTATCTCGCAATCCGACTCGTGTGAAAAGCTCGCAGGTTCCTTGCGAAGCGCAGCGCCTGCTGCTGCTGCAGGTGCAGCTGCAAAGCCAAATGCAGTAGAGAGTACGACGCAGCAGATCAAGGACCTCTTGCACATCAAGTCACGCACGACGTCAAACTATGCAAACAGGGCTGTTGCGATCCGTGCAGATCTGTCGAGCGTCACCGCGGCAAATGAAGTCACGGCCAAAGCGCTCGAGGCGGCTAAAACGTTTGAAGATGCTGATGGCAAGATTGACTACTTGATCCTTTGCGGTGGTATCATGCCAATGGCGACACTTGAAAAGGTGGATGAAAAGACGTGGAACCAGGTCTTCAACGTCAATGTCGTTGGACCAGTGTTCCTTACCAAGGCGCGTCGAATGCCCTGCTTGACTATAGAGGGCTTACTATAGTTCTCAGGCGCTCGCTCCACATCTCGGAAACGATGGACGAATCATCTTCTTCTCTAGCTCGCTCACCATCGCCAGCTTCTTGAATGCAGGCTATCTCACTTATGTAGCATCCAAGGGTAAGTCTTCGTCTCATCTCATGCGCCACCGTCCTGACCTTACTAGGTGCCATTGAGCAAACTGCACGCGCCCTCGCAAAGGATGAAGCGCTTACCTCTCGCGGAATCTCCACGACAATTATCAGCCCAGGACCTACCGAAACTGAACTCTTCACCACTGGCAAGTCAAGCGATGTCATGAATACGATGAAGCAGGCGAATCCGTACAAGAAGCTCGGCGACCCCAAGGACATTGCACTCGCAGTTGAAGGCATCCTCGTGAGCGGAAAATGGCTCAACGGGTCCAATATCAGAGCGAACGGAGGCTCTGCGGTCTAGGCAATTTGCAGACGTATGTAGAACAAAAAGTAGCAATTGAATCAAACGAGAATCAGTCGTACTTTGGCAAGCGGTATATTGAAACAAAGAAAAGAACAAGAAAAGAAAAGAAAGTTTGAGCATTCCCGTCATCGATTGTTCCACCAATCCGGAGGCGCAGCACTTCGACCACCCGGATTCGTCCCACCAATCCCTCGTCCACGTACACTTGGATTCCGACCGAATCTAGTCTGTTCATCTACACTAAACCCACCACCGCGACCGCCGCGGGTGTTCTCCTCGCGAAGCAGCGATGTCGAAGCATTGGCATTGGAGTATGAATTTGCAACGAGAGATCCACCTCCTGCACCAGCTTTCCCTCTGCCACTACCGTTAGGTCCATAGCTCCGACGAGACGTTATTGGCTCTTCGTCCCGGTCAATCTCGTAGCGAGGACGAGGTGTGAATGAAATGTCGCTCAACGTCGGGCTGTATCGTCCTCCACCACCGTCTTGACTGTACGTATAGTTGGAGACGCTAAAACGACCCGTGATACGCTGCTGTTTCTTGTACGCCATGGATGGCCGTGCGACATCCTATACTCGATAAATACTCACAAAAGACGGATGAGAAAAGGAAAGACTGACCTCTGATCTGTTGCGCAAATGCGCATTCGGGCCATACCAAACTGATGCATCGGCGGTCCTCTTCGCGGAGCAGGAGGAGATGGGAGGCGCTCTCGCGCATCCCACTCTTGATCCAAACTCAGCCTCGAAAACGCCCGACCACGCTGTTCAATATGGCGCTCTCCATCGACCCAAACCCTCGCCTGTTCCGGCTGTCGAATCTGAGAAGACGGACCAGGACCATCGAAACCACTTCCGCGCCCACTTCCCCCGCGCCCTTGCTCTGCACCAAAGCCCCGTGGTTGTCCCGTATTAAGCCCGACTGTGACCAATCCGCCAACGGGTGAATCCTGAGGCTGCTGCATCGGGAGAGCAGGAGTTGGAGGTTCAGGATCCGGGTTGCGAACGACAAAACGTTTGATACCGACCTGACCACCGAAACCTAACCGTGAAGGCTTCTTCTCCTCGTCCTTTGACACGTGCACAATCGCGACGCTCTCTGGGTCGACTGCCGTTCGACCACTATCGCGCGAGTCTACGCGATTGAGGTCGCCAGCTACGGAGCGCCGTTTTGTGCTCTTGAAGCGGGAGAGAAGAGAGGCGGGACTGATAAACGAAAACTTGTCGTCGGAGCTGTCCGCCTCTTGTTTGAGCATCCGTCGGTAATAGACGATTCCACCGATGAGTAATGCGACGAGAACGACAATGGTGATGACAATTCCAGCGATAAGTCCAGTGTTTGGTTGCCCTGGCGGTGGGGCGACTGCTGTTGGAACTGATTCCGGAGTGCCTCGAATGGTCCCAACAGTGCCAGAGCCAAACACTCGAAACGCATCAATGGTGAGTGCGCCTCCTCCTGCACCGAGCTTTGTAATGACGAGTTTGTGAGGACCAGTGGTGAGCTCCGATTCGTAAAACTACACCCCGTTAGATCCGTCAAAAGTGGACGTGGCGAGAACTTACCAAGGTAGAGGACGGAACAAAGTTTGGGGTTCGCGCCTTCATGTTGACGGCAGGCTTGTTGTCCATTTGCACAGAGTACTCAGTCGTGTTCGCGCCCACACCACCGACAACCTGTATGCCTTCGCCAACGAAATTGAGAGTAACGCTCGCGCCTTGTGAGAACGTTTCATGCTGTAAAAATCGATTAGGGAGGGTCATGAACGTGAGAAGATACGTACGACTGTATCGCGAATAAAGTCCGTGTCCACAGCACCATCGCTGGTAGTTGCCCAGTTTCCAGAATATGTCACTTCGTTCGTCCCGTTCCCTATTCGTGCATCGTCCACCAGCGTCGTAGGCACTTTGCCGTCCTTTCGTCCGGCCAAGCTCTCCACAATGAGCGCGTCAATGTCAAGAAGGGTTTGAGCCTTGTTGACAATCTTGACAGTGTGTTTCCCAAATGTTAGATTGCGTGCTGTTGCGATCCGAGATTGGAAGACGGTGGTCTGGGAAGACGCCGTGGCGCTGATGGTCTTGTTGTCGACCTCAACTTCGAATGCGCCGTGCGTAGATGTCTTTGAGCCGACGACTGTGATACCGGTTCCTGTGCGACGGTCAACGTACAGAGAGAGGACGGCGCGAACACGTACCGACGAAACTAAACGAAGCAGTCGCTCCGACACGGTTGGTAATATGATAGGATGACTGGATATATCGCTTGTTTCCAGTTTGAGCTACGACATACGACCTCGGTGGAATGGGCTTACCTCGATATTTGGGTCTGTCTCGACGTCGCTGTTCCAGGCATTTGCGGGGTCATACGTAATTAGAGGAGATGAATCGTCGACTGTGATATAAAGCGAGTTTAGCAAACATCCCATTTTGCGTCATGAGATACATACTGGTAAAGTTGTAGCGTCCGAGTTGGTTTGATGACATGTTGATGCGCGTTGAAGATGCCCAAAAGATAAAAAGTTATAAAGAGAGTCTTGATGAAGTATGAAAGATGAAGCCGGCGAGCAGAACCAGCCGCGAGCGACCGGACAATCGAATGAAAAGTAAATAAAAGTGCCCTCAAAAAGAGCCGGCCTTCGAGGCCGCAGAAAGAGAAAGAAAGAAGAAAGGGAAAGAAGAAAGGAGCGCTTGCAGGAGGGTCTTGTTTATGTCCTGATGTCGCAGTGTCCAAGTAGCATTGATGGGAATGGGCAGTGGGCGGTGCCGGGACGAGCACAGCGAGGCGCTCGTTGCTATAATGGGTGCCACAAGTGAAGACGTTATGAGGATCATTTGATCGGACTTTCAGGCTTTGTTATTCCCGATGCCCGCGAGTCCAGACTGTCGGTCATAGATTTCATGGCCTTGGGCTCCTCGTCAGATTAAGGAACACTATCATTTATGATATTTGAGAGCCATTTGAGCGTGGTTCAAGAACAATGTAGGCGGGCTACAACATGGTCGGGTCTGAGTGGGTAAACAAAGTACCAAGGACGTACTTGCGTTGCTCAATGGATCGCGGGCGGGATACGACTCAAGCCTGAACCCGGAACGAGGAGAATAGGAACCACTTTGCCGTCCTGTACTGACATTATAATTCCATAGATGTCGGTCAACCCTCAAATGCTGCAACTTTCTCCGTGCTAAGACTGTCAACTTGTCAACACCCTACGTGATTGGTGCACAAAGCATCGTACTTGAGGTGCCCTGGCCGTCCTCACCTGCCTTACCTGGACTACTATTGCTTCATCAATATTGGTGGTGAGTTCCATTTATAGGTCCGAGACTAACAGCACAGCCGCTGCGGATAATCTATACAAGGAGGACAGACGCTGAACGCATCTTGGAACCATCCGCTTTCAAGATGCCAACCCAAAAAGTAAACAAGACTAGTAGACAACATACGGAGATGAATTCATCTGAATCTTCGTCATCCAAGAAGGATCAACTCCACACGACAGTCAACTTTGGCCTTGACTTCGTGGCGAATATAGCCGAGGGTGCAGATGTACTTGCTCCTCTCAAAGCCGCCAGTCGAGCAACCAAATCGATCCTTGAACTCATGCAGGCGAGTTGACGAATTGCCACCACGCCTCTTCAGCTAATGACAACGATAGGCGATAGACAACAGCCAAGAAGACTGGGTCGACCTAGTACGACGTCTAGAAGGATACACCTCCACACTCAAGGAACAGATCACACTGTTTGAAACATATTCTCTAGAGGATAGAACCATCAACGAGGCGCTTCGTAGGTCGCTCATCCATTACTCCGAGTACGTGAACAGTACGGATCTTTTCAATACTAATTGTTGTAGATTTTTGAAAAATATGCATACTACCGTCGTTGGTCTGAAGGAGAAACGCGACCGTAGCAAACTAAGCTTCTTTAAAGCGATCGGAAAGGTGAAAATCGATGCAGAAGAGATTCGGAAATTCAACCGGGATATCGAGGATAGGCACAGGCAATTCATGGTGCGCACGACGTCTGCCTTATTTGCACGCTCACTCTAGATACAGAACGCGTTGGGTGTTCTGATCGCACTACGAGTCCAAGCCGTAGAGCAAAAAAGTAAGTTAGAATTCCGCCAGGAACTCTCGTTTACTATTTCCAGTCGACGCCGCTACTATTCTCCAGCTGCCGACCGTAGCTTTCGACGCGTCGTCAGTCCATAATACGTGTCTGAACGGAACTCGCGAGACAGTTCTTCAGATGATCTCGCGTTGGAGCGATGATGATACGTCGGACAAGCCTATCTTTTGGCTCTGCGACATAGCCGGCTCTGGGAAATCCACCGTTGCCATGTCCGCATTGGAAAAATGGCGAGAGAAGGGAATGCTGGGTGGCCGATTCTTCTTCTCCATAGCAAGTAACGAAAGGTCTTCCACCGACAGGTTCTGCTCGACAATAGCAAGGAACCTTGTGCACTACATCCCCGAGCTCACATCCTCTATTGCGGAGGCTGTGAAGAGGAACCCTTCTTTCATGCAAAGCTCGCTTGAGGAACAGTTCAAGATGTTCGTTACTGGTCCTCTCCATAGTCGGCAAGAGGCCGTCATCATTGTTGTTGACGCTGTTGACGAATGCAAGTCCGGATCACAGCGAAGAAAACTTCTCGAAACCCTTTCTACGGCCGTTCGAGAATGCAAGAAGATAAAGATATTCATGACCAGCCGGCCGGATCCTGTCATAGAGGCGGTATTAGGGTCACTGGCAATCAAAGCTAAGCTGGAAGACCGCCTCCATGATGTCAAATATCGTGATAATGTGGACGACATCGCGATATATGTGAACCAATCACTAGATGGACTACTCTCCGTCGACAAGAAGCAGCGATTGGTCGAGAAAGCCGATGGGTTATTCATCTGGGCGAGCACCGCATGCCAGATGCTCACTAGTGACACCAGTTTAAGCTCACCTGAGGACATATATGAACGTCTAATTTCCATGGACGATAGTGGTGTGATAGACGACGTATACGACCTCGTCTTCGAGCGTACAGACCCTCGACACTACACTATCTTGTGTGCAACGCTCGCTGCTTCTTGCTGCGTTTGAGCCTTTGACCATCAACGATTTGGATGATCTCTTGAAGCACATCAGAGTACGCGGAAGTGCCAGTGCGATAGTCCAGAGTTTGGGAAGCGTACTCACGAAGGATTCGACTACAAATCTTATCCAATTCCGGCACCCTACCCTCGTAGAGTATCTTGGACGCTGTTGCTCCATTGCTCCTATTCCCAATAAGTGCAAAAGAATCTATATTGATATCGCCAATGCACATGGTCAAGCTGCATCGTGGTGCGTCAAATGCTTCAAGTCCCAAGCGGAAGGTCTCAAGTTCAATATATGTCAAATCGAGTCATCTTTCGACCTCAATAAAGAGATCCCCGATCTTGACACCAAGGTATCAACGTTCATTTCAAGACGTCTTCGATATGCCAGTTCTCATTGGCTATTCCACATCGCAGAGACGAATAACAACTGGAGATATACCCTCAAAGAAGAAGTTCAATGCATTATTCGATCTCCATACGTGCTATACTGGATGGAAGTTCTGAGCTTCACGGGAGGAATAGCACGAGCCATCACAGGTCTTCGAGCTGCTACTGGCCACATAGGAGTGAGTAAGCTACTCCGATGAATTCTCAACTTACTCAAAATGCAGCTAAAAGAGGATACTAAAACCAGTATGACCGAGGTACAAAGGTTTATTATGACCTTTTCGGTGCCTATTCAGGACAGTGCTCCGCATATCTATATCTCGGCTTTGCCATTTAGTCCTAAGAGTTCAATACTGCATAAAGATGCCCTGCATCAGTACCCAAATACTCTTACCGTGGTCCAAGGGCTTGACGACGAGTATCCTAGATTTCCCAGAAGTCTTCGAGGCCACCAAGGCCCGGTCCGGGCTGTGGCATTCTCGCCAGACGGATTAACCATTGCCTCTGGCTCGTACGACAGGACAATTCGATTATGGGATGCAACCACTGGTCAGCCACTGGGAGAGCCGCTCCAAGGCCATAGTGATTCAATCTGTGCTCTCGCATTTTCACCAGACGGTTCAAAAATTGCCTCTGGTTCGTGCGACAAGACGATTAGACTGTGGGACCCAGTCGCTGGTCAGGCTCTGCGAGAGCCACTCCGTAGTTATCGTGGGCGACCTGTGGCTATCGCATTCTCTCCAGATAGCTCACGTATTGTCTCTAGCTGGTCCGGAGAGGTAATTCAACTGTGGGATGCGGCCACGGGCCGATCTGTAGGAAAGCCACTGGAAGGTCACAAAGGTTGGATCTGGGCGATTGCATTCTCTCCGGACGGATCACAAATTGCCTCTGGCTCTTCCAACCAGACGATCAGATTGTGGGATGCGGCCACTGGGCACCCGCTCGGACAACCACTCCGGGGTCACAAAGATATAGTTATTGCTGTCGCCTTCTCACTTGACGGCTCGCAAGTCCTCTCTGTCTCTACTGATAATACTATCGGACTGTGGGATGCAGTGACCGGTCAATCACTGCGAAAATCAACTCTAGGTCGCGAGTGCTCATTCTGGGCAGTCGCATTCTCCCCCGACCGCTCGCGAATCGTGACTGGTTCACCCGACCAAACAGTTCGATTGTGGGATGCAACCACTGGTCAGCCATTGGGAGAACCGCTGCGAGGTCACGATGATGGAGTGATTACCGTCGCGTTCTCCCCGGAAGGTTCGCGAATAGTCTCTGGGTCGACAGACAAGATGATTAGATTGTGGGATGTGGTCACTGGCCAACCTTTGGGAGAGCCACCCCTAGGGCATGAAGATTGGGTCTGGGCCATCGCACTCTCACCAGACGGATTGAAGATCGCCTCTGGTTCGACGGACAAGACGATCCGGTTATGGAACGCGGTCACTGGAGAGCTGTTTGGAGAGCCGATCAGAGGCCACAATGATTCAATCTGTACCATCGCATTCTCTCCAGACGGGTCGCGGATCGTTACTGGGTCAGATGACAAGACGATTCAGTTGTGGGATTCGCGCACCGGTCATTCGTTGGGAGAGCCACTTCGAGGCCACGAATCTTCTGTTTGGGCTGTCGCATTTTCTCCAGACGGCTTGAGAATCGTTTCTGGTTCTCCTGATGAGACGATTCGAATGTGGGACGCGGTCACGGGACAATCCTTGGGAGAGCCAGCCCGTGGCCATAAAGGTGGGGCCCAGGCCGTCAGATTTTCTCCCAATGGTGCACAGATCGTCTCTGGATCATGGGACGGGACACTTCAACTTTGGGACCCTGCCTCTCTACGACCTTTGGGAGAGGCCCTAATAGGTCACGAAGACTCAGTATGGGCTCTTGAGTTCTCACCAGACGACTCGAGAATCGTTTCTGGCTCGTCTGACGCGACGATTAGATTGTGGGATGCGACCACCGGTCAGCCACTGGGAAGGGCCCTCCGCGGTCACAAAGGCACAGTTAATGCCGTTTCATTCTCGCCAGACGGCTCGCGCATTATATCTGGCTCTCATGATAGCACAATCAGATTGTGGGATGCAGTCACTGGTCAGTTGCTGGGAGAGCCACTCCGGGGTCATGAAGCCTCGGTCCGGGTCGTCGCCTTCTTGCCAGACGGTGTAAGAATTATCTCTGGCTCGGATGACAATACGGTTCGGGTATGGAATACGGGGTCTTGTAAGGAGCTTTCCTTAATCGTGTAATCTGTTCTAACAAAGTTAGCAGCTGCACATGGGAATCACTCTAGCCACGATGGCATAGAGCCTATGCATCCTAGTTCAAGGGATATTTTAGGCGGGATTGCTCTTGATGTCCTTGTCCCTGGATTCGACCAGTGTACACTTTTGCAAGATGGCTGGGTTCAATCTTTGGGTAAGCGTCTCTTCTGGGTACCACCAGACAATCGACACGGACTGGAGTACCCGCGCCTTCTTCTGACCATGCCGACGTCGAGTTCGTTCCGTGCGACCAGCCTTGATTTCACTCGGTTTCAATGTGGAGCCTCTTGGACAAAAGTTCGAGCAAATTTTAGCTAGCATTCTGTTCCAATCGATATTACCACCTTTTGCCAGTCAACCTGTCCGCGTATTGAATCAGCATATTGTATACTGTAGCTTATCAGGATGATCTTGTTCCATTCCATTTATAGGTCTGAGACTGACAGCACAGCCGCTACGGATAATCTATCCAAGGGGGACAGACGCTGAACGCATCTTGGAACCATCCGCTTTCAAGATGTCAACCCAAAAAGTAAACAAGACTAGTAGACAACATACGGAGATGAATTCATCTGAGTCTTCGTCATCCAAGAAGGATCAACTCTACACAGCAGTCAACTTTGGCCTTGACTTCGTGGCGAATGTAGCCGAGGGGGCAGATGTACTCGCTCCTCTAAAGGCAGCCTGTCGATCAACCAAATCAATCCTTGACCTCATGCAGGCGAGTTGGCAAATTGCCGCTGTACACTCTCATCTAAGAACAATGATAGGCGATAGATAGCAACCAAGAGGACTGGGTTGACCTAGGACGACGTTTAAAAGGCTACATCTCCACACTCAAGGAGCAGGCCACATTGTTTGAAACATACTCTCCAGAGGATAGAATCATCAATGGGGCGCTTCAGGCGTCGCTCATTCATTACTCCGAGTATGTGAGCAATACGACCCGTTCCGGCTCTCTAATGGATCCAGTCTTCTTAAAAATATGCACACCACCGTCGAGGGTCTGAAGGCTAAACGCGGCGGTAGCAAACTAGGATCCTTTAAAGCGATTGGAAAGGTGAAAATCAGTGCCGAAGAAATTCGAAAGTTCAACCGAGACATAGAAGACAGGCATAGGCAATTCATGGTGCGCGCATGTCGTCTGTTGTATTCGTGCACTCACCATAGAAACAGAACGCGTTGGGTGTTTTGATCGCATTACGTGTCCAAGCCGTCGAGCGGAAAAGTAAGTTGGTTTTTCAGGAACCCTCGCTTACTGTCTTCAGTTGATGCCGCTACTATATTCCAGCTGCCAACTGTAGCGTTCGACGCTTCCTCAATCCATAATACGTGTCTGAATGGAACTCGCAAGGCTGTTCTCCAGATGATATCGAGCTGGGCCGACGATGATACATCGGAGAAGCCCATATTTTGGCTCTGCGACATAGCCGGCTCCGGGAAATCCACCGTTGCCATGTCCGCAGTGGAAAAATGGAGAGAAGAGGGAGTCTTGGGTGGTCAATTCTTCTTTTCCATAGCAAGCAACGAAAGATCCACTACCGACAAATTCTGCTCGACCATAGCAAGGGACCTTGTCCATTACATCCCTGATCTCATATCACCCGTTGCTGAGGCCGTGAAGCAGAACCCTTCCTTTATGCGAAGCTCTCTTGACGAGCAATTCAAGATACTCGTCACCAGTCCTCTCCGTAGTCGGAAACAGCGCGTAGTCGTCGTAGTTGACGCTGTTGACGAATGCAAGTCTGTATCGGAGCGACGAAAACTTCTCCAGGTTCTTTCTATGGCTGTTCAAGAGATCAGAACCTTCAAGATATTTATCACCAGTCGGCCAGACCCAATAATCGAGGCTGCTTTGCAACCGCTCTCGATCAAAGCAGAGCTAAAGGACCGTCTCCATGATGTCAACCATCACGACAACATCGATGACATCGCGGCCTACGTACATCAGTCCCTAAATGGGCTCATATCGCAGGACAAGAGGGAGCGAATCATCGAAAAGGCAAATGGCTTGTTCATTTGGGCAAGCACCGCATGCCGAATGCTTCGGGACGAAACAACGTTGGACCTCCCTGAGATTATATATGATCGCCTGATCTCAGTGGACAAGAGTGGAGAGATAGACGACGTATATAGGCTCATCTTTGAGCGCATAGACGCAAGATCCCGCACTACGATGTGTAGCATGCTCGCTTTGCTCCTTGTAGCATTTGAGCCGCTCACCGTCGACGACTTGGAGGACCTTCTTAAGCACGCTGGAATAGGAGGAAGTGTCAAGGCGTTGGTACAGAATCTCGGAAGCGTGCTTAGCGAAGATCAAACTACTAAGCTGATACACTTTCGTCACCCCACTCTTGTTGAGTACCTTCGACGCTGCTCCGTCGCAAAAGACGTCAAGATTCCAAACCAGATATACATTAACGTCGGCGATACGCACGGTCAAGCGGCCTCGTGGTGCTTGAAATGCTTCAAGTCACCAACCGAAGGTCTCAGATTCAACATGTGCCAAATCGAGACCTCCTTCTACCTCAATAAGGATATTTCAGACCTTGATCTCAGGATTCCGGCTTCCATTTCGAGAAAACTTCGCTATGCCAGTAGTCATTGGTTATTCCACTTGGCGGAAACCGATGATGGCTGGCGTTCCACACTCAACAACGAAATTCAGCGTGCTATCCAATCCCCATACGTGCTTTATTGGATGGAGATCCTGAGCCTCACCGGTGGGGTACCACGAGCGATATCCGGTCTTCAAGCCGTTACTAGCCATTTACGCGTGAGTAATGCATCAGGATAAAGCCCCGGTCTTACAAGATCCACAGATGGACGAGAGGATTAGGAGCCACATGACAGAGATTCGACGGTTCTTGATAGCATTTTCGGTGCCCATTCAAGACAGCGTTCCACACATCTATCTTTCTGCACTTCCTTTCACTCCTAGGAGCTCAATACTGCACAAAGAGGTTCTAATAGGGTATAAAAATACCCTATCTGTGTCTCAAGGGGTTGAGCCAACGTATCCAGAGTTTCCCAGAAGTATTCGAGGGCACAAAAGCACCGTCGATGCCATCGCCTTCTCACCAGATGGCTCCAAATTTATCTCAGGTTCGGGAGATAGGACGATCCAATTCTGGGATGCGTACACTGGCCAGCCATTAGGGGAGCCACTCCGAGGTCACGACAGTGCTATCACTGTCATCGTAGTGTCACCGGATGGCTCTCGAATCATCTCTGGTTCATACGATGGGACGATAAGCGTGTGGGACGCATTCACCGGGCACCCTCTTGGGACATTTCGAGGACATAAGGGCTCAGTCCGGGCTGTCGCATTCTCGTCTGGTGGCTCGCGAATTGTTTCCTGCTCCAGGAGGAATACAGTTAAAATATGGGATGCGTTCACCTTTCAGCTCTTGGGAGAGCCATTTCAAGGCTCCAAACGCCGGGTCTGGGCCGTCGCGTTTTCACCAGACGGCTCTCAAATCTTCTCTGGGCTGGATGATAAGACGATTGGGTCGTGGGATGCGCTCACAGGCCGGTCGTTAGGCGACCCACTCCGAGGTCACGATGACTTGGTCTACGTTATCGCATTCTCGCCAGATGGATCGCGAATCATCTCTGGATCGAATGACAAGGCAATTCGGATATGGGATGCAGTCACCCACCAACCGCTGGGAGAACCGCTCCGAGGTCACAATGGCTGGGTTAACGCCCTCGCATTCTCGCCAGACGGTTCACGAATTGTCTCTGGCTCATCTGATAGGACAATTCGATTGTGGGACTTCCATAATGCAAAGCCTTTGGGAAAGCCGCTCCATGGTCACGAATACTCGGTTCAGGCCGTCGTGTTCTCACCAGACGGCTCGCAAATAGTATCTGGCTCATCTGACGGGACGATCCGGTTATGGGATGTACTCACTGGACAGCCTCTGGGAGAGCCGCTCCAAGGTCATGAATGGTCGATCCGCTCCGTCGCTATTTCGCCCGACGGCTTGCGAATCGTCTCTGGTTCGAAAGGCGGCCCTATTCGATTGTGGGATACAGCAACAGGTCGGTTGTTAGGAGACTCACTCCACGGTCATACAGAAAGGGTTAATGCGGTCGCATTCTCACCAGATGGCTCAATCATCGCCTCTGGCTCGCATGACAAAATGATCATACTGTGGGATGCGGTCACGGGATGCCCTTTGGGAGAGCCACTTCGTGGTCATGACGGTGCTGTTCGGGCCATCTATTTCTCGCGAAACGGCTCGCGTATTGTCTCGGGCTCAGACGACAAAACAATTCGATTATGGGACTCCGCCACCGGAAACCCCTTGGGAGAGACACTCCGGGGTCATGAACACTCAATTCGCGCCATTGCCTTCTCGCCAGACGACTCACTCATAGTCTCTGGTTCAGAAGGCCACACATTGCAATTATGGGATGTTCACACCGGTCAGCTTTTAGGACAACCACTTCGAGGCCACCAAGGCTGGATCATGGCTGTTGGATTTTCGCCAGATGGCTTACAGATAGTCTCTGGCTCTGTCGACAATACAGTTCGGCTATGGGATAGAGCCACTGGGCAGCCATTAGGAGAGCCACTTCGAGGCCATGAAGGCGCAGTCATGGGTGTTGCGTTCTCTCCAGACGGGTCGTGCATAGCATCTGGCTCATGCGATAAGACGATTAGAATATGGGATTCAGTCACTAGACAGCTTCTACGACAGCCACTTAGGGGCCATGATGGATGGATCCGAGCGATATCATTCTCTCCAGACGGCTCACGAATCGTCTCTGGATCAGGTGACAATACTGTCCGACTATGGAGTACGAAGCCCGGTGAATACATCTCGACTACTCTGTGATATGATCTAACACATGTCAGCAGATTCGAATGGGAATGACACCAACCATGATAACAAAGATCTTGCACATTCAAAGTCTGGAAATACTCTAGATATCTTCTCGATTCGCATCCTCGTTCCCGGATTCAGTGGCTGCATACTTTCGCAGGATGGCTGGGTGCGATCTTTCGGCATGATTCTCTTCTGGGTACCTCCAGAAAACCGACATGGGCTCCAAAATCCGCATGCTTTGCTGACCATACCAACGTCGAGTCCGTTGCGAGTAACCAGGCTTGATTTCACCCGTTTCCAATGCGGGCCCTCTTGGACAAACGTTCGAGCAAATTTCAACTAGTATTCTGTTATGATTGGTATCGTTACTCGTATAATATGATCTATGTGGCAAAGGGGGTGATCTATGTTACATTCAAGAGTAGTGTTATCGTAAACAAGATGTTCAAAATCTCGGTCACGATGTCATATAACCTATCGTTGACCACTTTATGCAAACTTTGTGCGGTGGCAGGAGTGTAGACTATCTGCGACGACAATTTCTGTCAAAATCCACAAGTGACGCCGCGGAGGATTAGCAGCGCTCTAAACAACACAGCAGCTCCTTATTCGACGATACAAGTGTCGTCGTTGCTGCTAGAGCGTCATGGCGTCGTTTCTGCGGCCACCGCACAAGGGAGCAAGCTCGAGCAAGCCGTCTACGCCCACGAGTCGCAATGCACCACCTACAGCATTCCGACCCGATACTGCACCTGCGACGAGTACGCGTCGACCACGAGATGGAAATCTCTCCGTCGCTGCTGAACAAGAGAAGCTAGCTAACCGTAATTCGAGAGTGGGTGTCGACTTTGAAGGTGCACTAGCAAGCCAGAATACGTATAAACTCCAAGAAGGACGTGACTTTGCGACAATGGGCGAAGAGGAAGAGAGTCCCATCACCCCGCGAGATGCCTACGACGCTGTTCCGCCAATCGTCTACGGCCGTACAGGAGATTCTTCACGGCCAGGAACTGCAAATACAACTCGTAAACTCAAAAAGCCACGAAATTCGTCAAGTCCGAGTCAAAGTCCACATACGGGCCCGTCTGGGAGTCGTCCGAATGGCTCTCCGGCAAACTCTGCTAGGCCATCCATGTCGGATTACTCGTCTACGACAGGATCTCCAGCTCCCAGCAATCGAGACTTGCCAGACGACATGGAAGGGGACGGCGTGCTCGTCCCTGCCGTTCGTGGTCACACTCGCACGGCAGGCGAACACCGGCAAGAAGATTCAAAGAAGCGCAACTTGTTCCGTTCTGCTGCCACCGCCAGCAGTCCCGACCTCGGCACAATCGTACGCAAGAAGAGAAGCGCCCCTCCTCAGGTGCCTTCTCTCCCCACTCACCAGCACGACGACGACGACCAGGCTTATCCAAGTACAGACGTTGCTCCGAGTTCAATGGCAAACTGGGCGGCGACGCTCAGTGGTCGGAATAGGAGTATGAGCAAAGTCGAAGGAAAATCATCAAAGACCTTGCGAGCCAAGACGGGCAACTTTCTCCAAAAGGTCTGGTCGAATGCCGGCACAATACGGGAAAAACCGCGTCCTGGTGATGGGAGCACGCCCACAACACCTCATCGTACTCACTTTGGATCGCCGTTTGCAGATTCCCCTCCTGTCCCTTCCATTCCTCAAGAGTATCGATCAGGTCCAGCAAATGCGTCCGACATTTTTGCTCCCTCTGCCTATCACTCGCCGTCCACTGCAAAAACAACGCGCCGCGCATCGAAGCCTCTACCACCGATAGTCCGCTCAAACGCCAGCGACTCGAGTCATAATCACCAAGAGATGACCATCTCCCCAATCGACAATAGCACCGGTTCAGTTTCTTCTCACACGGAGGGACTCTTTGCCAGCCACTCACCTTCATCTGGCCCGTCTTTGGGTGCGTCTACTCCCTTTCTTCTATATCCAGCTCACAAGTTCTTAGGTCATAGCGTATCTCCCTCGAGGCGACCTTCGGATGTCGTTGCCCGGATCAAGGCTAATTCTAACGCCGAAGGAGGTCGACGGCGTAGGAGCATGAGTGTAGGAGATGCAGAGCAGTGGCACAAAACTCTCGACGTAAGCTCGTCCCCGACAAAAGTCAGATCATCGTCACCGCAGCCGCCACTGGTTTCCAACAATCTGCTTGGGCCAAATGAGCGCCCGGAGACCAAACGAACCATCTCTGATACCAGCACTCGTTCCTCGGCTACTGCAACGGCTAAGAAGGAGAGCTTGTCCATCTCAAAAGAATGGGAAAGCGCACTGAAAGGATGGGATAGCCAGATGGCGTCGTTGGAAATCAAGGATCCGTCCATGTCGCTTTCACCCGACTCGTTGGATCCTAGTCCCAAAGGCCGACCACGCTCTCGCACACAAGATCCAATTCCTATTCCACCAAGGTTGGATCTCCATCGATCCGTAAGCGTGTCAAACGGGACGACACGCGCGACTTCTGTGGGCTCACCGCCTGTCGGATTCAGGCTTAGCTCCAGTAGCAGTCTCAGTAAAGATAAGGACCCTGGTACCCCTTCCGTCTACTCTACCCCTCCGACAGGAACCAGCCCAAAGACTCCGCCTGCCGACACCCCGCCCTCACCGACCACGCCTCGACGTCCAACTTCTGCAACGCGCAATGTGATTCCATTCACCGGACCGATTATCATTGGTACTACACCAGCCGTCATTGGTCAAACAATCACCACAGTCAAAATACAGCGCGACCCTCCTTTGGCGTCGCCTGGCACGCCTTCTACATTTGCATCCGCCATATCGACTTCTTCCAGTCCTACATCTCCCGCAACGCCCCTTTCTGCCCAACGAACGTCTTCTTCCTCGAATCGCCCCAGTTCTCCTCAACTTGTCCCTCCCGTCTCACCTCGGTCCGCGACGTCGCTTCGCGTGTCGTCCCTTCGAAACACGGCTCGGCCCTCGCTTGCCGTCCTCGGTACACCATCGTCCAATAGTGGTGCGAACAGCGGCAGCCTTCAACCACCTTCTCGAACCGAATCGATGCCCCTCTCGTCCAACTCGTCGCCAAAGATTCGACTCAATTTTACGAGCCCGAGTCAGGAGAATTTGAGGGTTGGTGGTGGGATGGGTGGACGGAGTGGAGAGTTACGACGGATGAGCTACAATTCGAAAAATCCTGCGAGCGCGTCCGAACCTGCGCTCGTCCCTCCGAGCGGTGGAAATTCATTGAGTCCGGCTGATGACGGCCTCAAGACGATTCGCTTGATCACGTCTGGGTCCAAACTCGGTGGCCGGGCGGGTGAGATTGTAGGCGAGGCTGGTGAACTCATGTCCGCGACAAGACTTTCGAGTCCGACGAGTAGCGTGCGTCATGCATTCTCGACTGCGAGTGGGACGAGTATGGAGCGGAAGTAGTGGGAGTCGGGATGGGAGTGCGGCTGCGCTCAGTTCATCCAATCTTAGTGCACTGTCGCCTGAAGAGTTGGATCAGCGTGGCGAGGCGATTGCAAGTCGGATTTGGGCAGAGGATGAGACGTTTAAGAGCAAGGAAAAGTTTTCCGAGTGGCTTGGTGGACCGTGAGTTTTGATTTTTCTTGTGTCGTGGACTATGGGCTTATCGTATGCTAGGGATACCATCAACGCTATTTCCCGACGACATTATATGGATCATTTCGACTTTACGAATCTGCGTATCGATGTTGCTTTCCGGTGAGTATGATTGATCCTTGGACAGTCCAATACTGATGAGACTTTTAGACGACTTTGTGCAAAGCTGTACCTGCGAGGCGAATCTCAGGTCATTGATCGTATCCTCATCGAGTTTAGTCGTCGCTATTGGGAGCACAATCCAACCTCGATTCTGGGAAGCGCGAGTAGGTTTTACCATCACCGCGTCTGTCGTAGTTTGCTGACGAGAGATTGCAGGCAATGTCCATCAAGTCGTCTATTCGTTGCTCTTGCTGAACACTGATCTTCACGTCGCCGAGTTGGCTCATCATATGACCAAGCAACAATTTATCACCAATACCCTGAGCACTCTAAGTGCGCCCTCGCGGACATCATCCAATGCGGCTACTCCTGCACGATCAATGTCACCCATTCCGTTCGATCAAGATATGCAGCGCAAAGGGTCCGTTGACCCTTCGATTGGATCCGTCCTCCAGATCGACAAAGCAGATCGAACGCCGCCCATCTCGATGCAGAATAGTACGATGCGCATCAAGAGGAGTGGGAGCGTTACAAGTTGGAAAGGAAGTCTTTCGAGGGAACAGTCGGGAGTGTCGAGCACGTCTTCTGGACAAGTCGCCTTGTCCAATTCGACTGGACCTGGTTCTGGGTCTGGTGGTGTGACGGAGCCTTCGTCGTTGAATGGCTCGACGGTGTCGTTTCAGGACCCTGGTATGCGAAAACATTCGTCTGCGCAAGGCAGTGTCAGCTCGTTGCAATACGTTGCCAAGGCTTGGGAGGCCGAAGTGGAGAATTATCTCAAGGTATGGTCTTACTCGTACAAAAGCCGGCGCTGATCGGTATCTAGGACGTATACTTGGCTATCCGTTCGAACCAGATCCTTCAGCCAACGCTCTCGACTGGCGCCACGCTCGGTCGTGGTAATAGTCTGAGAGGGACGCCGGGAGGCTTGAAGAAGCTAAAGCAGCGTGAAAGTATCCTCGGGTTCAGCAGTATCAATGGGAGCAGTCTTAGCTTTGGTGGTCGGATCAGTCCTTCGCCAAGCTCGACGACGTCTATCAACGACAGTCTGGCTGCGAACGCAATCGCAGCTGCGCCCGTCATTGGCTTCGCCTCCAACCTTATCCAAACAATCATTGGCGAAGCGCAAGAAGACGACGTTCACAGTATTCATTCCGCGGCGTCTGGCTCTAGTGACGTGAGCATTACGGATGAAGAGCTTGCGTTACTTGGTGCTCCATGGGCGAAGGAAGGCATGCTCAGTCGAAAGGTGTACAACGAGAGCGTCGGAAAACGGGCCAAGAACAAAAATTGGCTAGACGTCTTTGTCGTCATCCAAAAGGGCCAGCTGAACATGTTTGTCTTTGGCGCCCACAACTCGTCGAGCAGTTCTGGTCCAAGAGGAGCGATGGGTGGTGGCAATTGGTTGAGCAATGCAACTAATGTCGGTGAACATATGCTGGCGCACTCGCTCGCGCATGTTCTCCCTCCGCCTGGTCTGACGAAGCGGCCGCATTGCTTCGTCTTGACTCTTGCCAACGGAATGTGCTTCTTTTTCCAGGCGGGCACCGAGGAACTTTGCAACGAGTGGGTGTCGACGTGCAACTATTGGGCTGCACGGCAGAGCAAGGAACCGCTCTCTGGAGGCGTGTCGAATATGGAGTATGGATGGAGTCGCGTTGAACCAGAGGCGCTTGCGGCGGAGCAAGAAGACACTGCCGCCACGCGTAGCTTCTCCACACTGAACCGGACAGATACAGACAACTTTAGTTTGGTCAGCTCGCGGAGCAAGATTGGCGGATTCCCGACGATGCGAGGACATCCACTCGCGGATCGGATCTTTATCAACGACTGGCGAGCTCCTGGACACTCGATGGTTGCGTCAGTGCATGATGAGGAGACCCAGTTAGAGGCGTTGCAGCGGCAGGCCGACAAGCTCGAGGCGGAGTTGCAAATTCACAATGATTTGCGTGGACCGATGATTGCTCTGGTATGCCTCTCTCTACTTGTTTGTGATGAGACTCATTCGCTCCGATAGTACCCACCAAAATCGAGTAACCTCACCAAAGCCATGACCAACTGGGAGGCCAAGTCGCAATACTTGCTTGCAGAGATTGTCAAGTACAAAAAGTACATCGAATCTCTTAAAGCCGCCATGAAGGAGCGTCTGCGAAGACGTGGTGAAAAGGCGTTGGAGCGAGCGTTGCAGTCGTCGAGCAACCTCGGTGCTGGAGCGGCCGATCGTAGCTTTGGCTTGCCTGACGAAGATTCGATTGCGGAAGATCAGGAGACCGAGACCGAGGTTGTGACACCCGGTGCGCATCGGCTTCAGTTCAAGACTTCGTCGGCCTAGGCGCATTTTCTCTCCTTCCTCGAACGTCGTTTAATCCGGGTACGCGTTTACGGATTCGTTCTTCCCATCCTCTTCTTGTCCTTGTAGCATCCATTTCCTCTCGGTGTCATTTGTGCGCTCGAGCGGTCAAATACCGCTCACGCTGTTCCTGTATATGACTACCCTAATGTTATATCACTCTATTTCGCAACTGATACCGGTCGGTGAGGCTGTTCAAAGGCGAACTCTCAGCTTCAACCGCATATCCTTGAAGCAAGTACAAGAGTGAATTTACAGATGGCAAATAAGTACATCCTCAGCCCAGGGGGGACCATCAAAATGCCCTTTGGCCGCAGCCTCATGAAGAGACTCTCAAGTGACATTCGGTCCGGGAGAAATTTTGGGAATAACCCAAACATAGAGGGTATTCTCATATGGTGAAAGCGTGTCGTCGTTAAAAGGTCCATCGACCAGGTGGGTATTGTTGGCCTGTTCGCCAAGCGGCTGCATGGACAGGATCTCCCATGGCTGAGAGGCCCACAGTCCTCTGAGGTGCGTCTGCACGTTCCTACATGACTGCTGACAGCAGGAGATGTTTCCCGATACAGGTATGTCTGATGGATATTTGAGTCCTTGTGGCGCTCCGGAGTTCTGAAGGCTTACCGACAGGGAATGGATCCTCGTGTTCGTCTTGGGATACGGTCACAACCGTATATAGTCTCACACCTGATTGGCCAGTTCGTGGTGCGACATTGAGGAAGTAGAGGCGGCAAAGGCCGTCGGGTATCCGCCCGTTTTGCTCGCCTAGCTTCCAGAACCGCTTACTGACACCACAGGGGCTCCCTTGTAGCTCGTACCAGAGCCTGAATGCCAGTGGACCGTCATGTTTCTTTTCGTAGACCATGGTCAGTCTTCGTCGAATCGAGGCGGCATTCGCAAAGCATCGTCCATCTGCCGTCCTAGGATGAGAGAGCATATAACAATGCCACTGTTTACTGACCAAGGGTCATAGGAGGATCTTGGTGGTCATCCATATTCAGCAAGGTAAAGGTATTCGTCCGTTGTCCTTGCGGAGTTGTGGCCACCTCGTCAGCGCGTTTCAGCTTTCGTGTAGACTTGTCAAAATCACTGGCTCTTGCTGACGACTCCTCTCCTCTGAGAGTTGTCGCCGTGTCACCCTGTCGGATCATGATCAGTCAAGGATATTTCGCCACTAGCCGTCTACTTGCGTCACCGATCATCGAACGAAGTCTCTCATGAGCGGTTCCGAGTATGTTGAATTCCTGATCTCTTCTATCTGCGGCTTGCTGGCTGTTCTCCGACGTTTGTGCAAGCGAGGACAGTGCCTCTGCCGTTTCAGCGATGATTTCAATCACTGGTTGTGCATCTGTTACTGAGTCCTCCGCGGTGCAGACCTGGTTCGGGCCCTTCGACCCGTCTTCCTGTCCAAAAAGGATCGATCTTGCCCTGTCGACCAACAATTTGGCCTGTGCGTGACCTTTTTGAGTATTCTTTCTCAATTTTCTGGAAGCTGTCTTGAAAGACCGTCGCATGAGGCCTTGCATCGACGGCATCTTCCTGTAATGATGGAGACGTTGCTCACTTTGTTTGGCCACCCTCGTTTGGCGCCAGCACCGGGACTCGTAGACCCAACGATCTGACGTTTGTAGATTGTCTAGAATGGCATCTGCGAGTACAACAAATGCAGGTTGGTTATAGACTGCTACCTCCATATCGATCTTAGGTTGACTTCGTTCCAACTGGCCTAGATGAATCAGAGATAGTAAGATCCCTTAGATCCGTTCTCGCTTCGCTAAATCGCCTTTAAATCTACAGTTTTGGACAACAAACCCTCCTCCCATCCCACCAGCGTTGCGTCTGTTAGCAACGCACGCTCAATGGGCGATCGATGCATCTCAGAAATCACGTCTATTTCCTCTCCAGCTTCTTCATTTGGCTCTAGCTTCTCAGCATTGTGTCTATCATTTGGCGAGCGAGCTGGACGGCGAGGGCTCGGACTCGGGCTCGGATACCGATATTGCCCTTGATCAAGTAGAAACGCTCAGTGGGCCAGTTCATTCTCTTTGATTCTGATGTGTGGTCATATTTACATTTCAACAGCATTTTGGACGATCTCGACGATATCATCGAAACCACCAACGTGAGGGGATCTGCTGAAGAACCCCAAGAGGTACAAGTGAGAATCGACACGCTATTTGAAAATCTTGCGTCCTTGAGGAGTTCAGCGGCAACTGCCGTCAGCAGCTCGCGAGCGCTATTCCAAGAGTTCAAGTATGCGGATTGGATTGATATCCGAGAGGACAATATCACAGCGGGTCCATCTAAGCGCCATGATAAAGTTATCGTTCAAGATGACACAATGGCAACATCGGTCGAAAGGTACCTCGTTTGTGACTTTCAGTCCCAGGCTCATTACTATATAGTCATAAAGAAGTAGTCGAAGCGCAAGTACCGAAGATCGAGCGATCGGTAAGTTATTGCGGTCGAAAATCCTCATATAATCGTCTTCGCTTACTTTACTCCCGCTCTCGCCCTGGTCCATGACGTCACTTCGCTCTTTTCGAACCGCTGCTTTTCCAATGATCATTGTCTTTGGTCCCCTAGCTTCTACTCAAGGATCGAGCACAAAACGCGATCGCACTGGATGTAGTCGCAAACACGGCCGAGGCGTCGGATATCCTCGCGCCTGTCAAGGCAGCCTGTAAAACAATAAAGTCGATCATTGACGTTAAGCAGGTAAGTACACGAACCTGCATAACGTCGCCTGATGGATGTCGTAGACCATCGACGATACCCAAGGAGAATGGAGTGACCTTGTACGCCGCCTGGAGGAATATATGCGGGCTATTGAGGGCCAAATCGACTCTCTTGAAAAGTATCCTCCAGAGGATAGGGTTGTCGACGGGGCTTTTAGCCAGTCACTAGTTCGTTATGTCGAGTGAGTCGGCACATCAACTCTGGTGCACTCGACTGATTGAGACAGACTTCTTGAGGATATTCACCGCGCCATCGTCAATGATGCGCATAAGCGACGCCACACCATCCGCAGTGTTTTTACGGCTATCAGAAAAGTGAAGAAGATCGACAACGAAATGATTCTAAAATTCAATCGAGAGATTAAAGGCCGACATAGGCAATTCACGGTGAGGGCGTCCGGTTATATAGTCAAGATCTCACCTGTGAAATAGGAGGTTTTGGATCTCTTCATAAGACATCGTGTTCATGTCATCGAACGGAACACCAAAATCACCAAGTCGCACGGTGAGCAAGGAGTTGTTCATAAGAGGCTCGCTAAAATATCCAAGTCGATGCATCTTTTCTATTCCAACTTCCGATGGTGACATTCGTCCCATCCTCGGTGCACAGCACCTGTCTACCAGGAACGCGCCAGGCTGTTCTTGAGACGATCTCACATTGGGCCGAGAACAGTACCTCGAATAACCCAATATTCTGGCTGTGCGACATTGCAGGTGCCGGAAAATCTACTGTCGCAATGACTGCAATGGAGTTATGGGAGAAGAAGGGAATTCTAGGTGGCCGATTCTTCTTCTCCATGTCGAGCAAGGACGCATCTACCACTGAGAAATTGTGCTCGACCATAGCAAGGGACCTTGTTCACTACATCCCCGAGCTCGCACCGCACGTTTCGCAGGCTGTGACACGAAATCCCTCTATCATGCGAGGATCCCTTGACGAGCAGTTTCAAACACTTGTCACTGGTCCCCTCCGGCACCGGCACCGGCACCGACAAGGGCGCATCATTCTAGTCATTGACGCAGTAGACGAATGCAAGTCTTCATCACAGCGCAAAAAACTTCTCGAGGCTCTGTCTACGGCCGTCCGAGGATGCAAAAATCTCAGGATATTCGTGACTAGTCGTCCAGACCCAGTCATCGAAACCGTTTTGGGATCGCTCTCGATCAAATCAAAGTTGGAGGACCGTCTTCATAGCCTCCGTCATCGCGATAATATCGATGACATTGCGATCTATGTGGGCCAAACACTGGATGGAGTGCTATCAAAGGACAAGATACAACGACTGGTTGAAAAAGCCAACGGGCTATTCATTTGGGCGAGCACTGCCTGCCGAATGCTCACAGATGAAGCCACTCTTAACTCCCCCGACAGTCTATATGACCGCTTGATCTCTCTGGATCAACGTGGAGCTATAGACAAGGTATATGACCTGATCTTCGAGCGAATAGATGAGGAATCCCATCCAGTGTTGTGTCAAATGTTCGCTTTACTTCTCGTAGCATTCGAGCCACTCACGATCGACGACATGGAGGACCTGATAAAGCATCTACGAGTCCCTGGAGCCGTCAGGGGCTTGATCAACAATTTCGGAAGCGTACTCAGTACAGAGCCAAGTACAAATTTCATCCAATTTCGTCATCCCACCCTCGTCGAGTATCTTCAACGGTGCTCCAACTCCCCAGCCGGCGGAAGCCATAAGAGAATCTATCTTGACGTCATCAATGCGCATGCTCAAGCTGCTTCGTGGTGTCTTCAACACCTCAAGTCGCGGACGGATGGTCTCAAGTTCAACATATGTCAAGTCGAGTCATCTTTCTACCTCAACAATCAGATCCCAGATCTTGATGAGAAAATATCCAAATTTATTCCGAGAAGACTTCGATATGCCAGCTCGCATTGGTTGTTCCATGTATCGGAAATGTACGACAAGAAGCCGTGCCCGCTCGAGAACGATGTTCGGTATATTGTTCAGAGTCCACAAGTGCTATATTGGATGGAGGTTCTCAGCTTCACGAGAAGCGTGCCACGAGCAATCGACGGTCTGCGCGTGCTCTCAGATAACATGGCAGTGAGTATTCTATCCCACGGGTACAAGCCGCTGAGATGGCATTTAGCTCACAGAAGACATAAAATGGCGGATCAATGATACCCTAAGGTGTTTGATAGCGTTTTTGGTGCCAGTTCAGGACAGTGCTCCACATATTTACATCTCAGCGCTTCCGTTTATGCCCAAAAGGTCTATTCTACGGATTGAAAGCCTAAGGGAGTATAGTGAGACGTTGAGGGTGACTGAAGGCCTTGAGGAGGTGTATCCTGGGTTCCCTGACAGTTTGCGAGGCCATACCAACTGGGTCACCACCGTCGCATTCTCGCCAGACGGCTCACGAATCGTCTCTGGCTCTGGAGACCAGACAATTCGACTTTGGGACGCAAAGACTGGTGAGCCGATGGGAAAGCCACTTAGAGGCCACACCAACTGGGTCACCGCCGTCGCATTCTCGCCAGACGGCTCACGAATCGTCTCTGGCTCGAGAGACCAGACAATTCGACTTTGGGACGCAAAGACTGGTGAGCCGGTAGGAGACCCACTCCGAGGCCACAGCCACTCGGTCAACGCCGTCGCATTCTCGCCAGACGGCTCACGAATCGTCTCTGGCTCTTACGACGAGACAATTCGACTTTGGGACGCAAAGACTGGTGAGCCGGTAGGAGACCCACTCCGAGGCCACAGCAATTCGGTCACCGCCGTCGCATTCTCGCCAGACGGCTCACGAATCGTCTCTGGCTCTTGGGACGAGACAATTCGACTTTGGGACGCAAAGACTGGTGAGCCGGTAGGAGACCCACTCCGAGGCCACAGCAATTCGGTCACCGCCGTCGCATTCTCGCCAGACGGCTCACGAATCGTCTCTGGCTCTTACGACGAGACAATTCGACTTTGGGACGCAAAGACTGGTGAGCCGGTAGGAGACCCACTCCGAGGCCACAGCAACTCGGTCGCCGCCGTCGCATTCTCGCCAGACGGCTCACGAATCGTCTCTGGCTCTTGGGACGAGACAATTCGACTTTGGGACGCAAAGACTGGTGAGCCGGTAGGAGACCCACTCCGAGGCCACAGCAACTCGGTCGCCGCCGTCGCATTCTCGCCAGACGGCTCACGAATCGTCTCTGGCTCTTGGGACGAGACAATTCGACTTTGGGACGCAAAGACTGGTGAGCCGGTAGGAGACCCACTCCGAGGCCACAGCAATTCGGTCACCGCCGTCGCATTCTCGCCAGACGGCTCACGAATCGTCTCTGGCTCGAGGGACCAGACAATTCGACTTTGGGACGCAAAGACTGGTGAGCCGGTAGGAGACCCACTCCGAGGCCACAGCAATTCGGTCACCGCCGTCGCATTCTCGCCAGACGGCTCACGAATCGTCTCTGGCTCTTGGGACCAGAAAATTCGACTTTGGGACGCAAAGACTGGTGAGCCGGTAGGAGACCCACTCCGAGGCCACAGCCACTCGGTCAACGCCGTCGCATTCTCGCCAGACGGCTCACGAATCGTCTCTGGCTCTTACGACGAGACAATTCGACTTTGGGACGCAAAGACTGGTGAGCCGGTAGGAGACCCACTCCGAGGCCACAGGTACTCGGTCAACGCCGTCGCATTCTCGCCAGACGGCTCACGAATCGTCTCTGGCTCTTACGACGAGACAATTCGACTTTGGGACGCAAAGACTGGTGAGCCGGTAGGAGACCCACTCCGAGGCCACGGGCACTCGGTCACCGCCGTCGCATTCTCGCCAGACGGCTCACGAATCGTCTCTGGCTCGAGGGACCAGACAATTCGACTTTGGGACGCAAAGACTGGTGAGCCGGTAGGAGACCCACTCCGAGGCCACGGGCACTCGGTCACCGCCGTCGCATTCTCGCCAGACGGCTCACGAATCGTCTCTGGCTCGAGGACCAGACAATTCGACTTTGGGACGCAAAGACTGGTGAGCCGGTAGGAGACCCACTCCGAGGCCACGGGCACTCGGTCACCGCCGTCGCATTCTCGCCAGACGGCTCACGAATCGTCTCTGGCTCGAGGGACCAGACAATTCGACTTTGGGACGCAAAGACTGGTGAGCCGGTAGGAGAGCCATACCAAGGCCACAGCGGCTCGGTCAACGCCGTCGCAATCTCTCAAGACGGCTCACAACTAGTCTCTGGTTCTGAAGACAACACCGTTCACCTTTGGGATGCGGATATTGTTCTACCGTCAAAACATTTATTCCAACACCGTGTCGACCAGGACAACGCTATGGCGTCGTTGCCGGGGAATTTAGCAAGCATATTGGGCTCAACGAGTGATATGGGTCCACTCTTTCCAGAAGCATTTGGTCCGTATAGTCTGTGTATGATGCCGATTTCAATGTTAACTCACGCGTATTACTAGATGGGGAGGACAGCCGCTTCCAAGAGACAGAGGGAACCCCCCAACGTACGGATGTCACCCAGGAAATGGATGGGATTCCTTTAAACACTCTTATTCCCGGCTTCAAACAGTGCTCACTTATGCACGATGGCTGGGTGAAATTGTCTGGTAGATTTCTCTTTTGGGTGCCACCAAACAATCGACATGGACTACAATATCCACAATCCCTTCTGATCATGCCGAAGACGAGTTCTCTTCGTGTCACCAAAATCGATTTCAGTCATTTTCAATGTGGCCACTCTTGGATCAAAGTTCGAAAAACTACCACCCGGTGAATCATTGTGATCGCCTCTGTATATACTATTCGACCTGGGCGATAATATAGTCATCTGTAGGAATGAGTAGCGGAGGACTGAGTTTTGTGTAGACGTAGAGATGTATATGTGGCCTTTAAGAGTGTTCTGAATCCTCTCCACGATATCTGCATGGTGGCACGGCGGGCGGGTGATTCTCTTAGACAAATATTGACTCTGCCATCCGCCAATGTCGTTGACTTCCTGCATATTGTCAGAATACCTAATATAGAGGCTTATCCGTACGCTGTTTTTAGGTAATGGTATCTATGGAGCTTAACGCTAACGACTCCACTGAGTTGAACCGGCTTCTGACTGACTACGATGACGTTGACTTCTCTTCTTGCAACTCTTCCTAGCCAGTCCCTGATCTCTTCTCCAATGTATATTCCGTCCTATTTCCCGAACAAGGCAATAGTCGCTCCACGGATGCTTTGTAGGCTCGGACGGCATTGCGTTTCTTGCCGAGGATACCAATTGGACTTCTCTGATTCTAATTACCTTGTCGCATGGCGGCTATACGCCGCGTCCTATAGAACTCTCGAGTTGCCCTTTGTCAGGATACTTTGTCGCTTCTGTGGGTTCAAGTCTTTCTCAGCCGCCTTGTACAAGGCGAGTTATCCTATGTATCTTACATTTACCACTCAGAGTCTTTCTAGACTTTTCCTTATGCCGTTATGCAGCTCACGCTCACTATCTCCCCTGTTCAGCTCGTAAACGTCGTACAAAGGATGACCATCGATAGACTAGTGGCACACCGACGTCATTAGACTTAGAAGCCAAACTGTGGAGCGGCCTTGAGAGCGCGACTCGGGTTATTTGAACTAAATCACAAATATGAAGAGACAAGTCACCCATGTATTTATATACTATTTGGTTCAACAGGGCTTATACCTCTGCCCCGGTATAACGGATAGCAATATTATCGAGGCCTGCTGCCGAGTCAGTGGTGTCGCACTACAGCTCGTCAATAGTCATGCGGTCTTTGAGGCAGAGGTGGAAGCTCCTGTCGGAAAACTAGAAAGTGCTTTGCAAGGCAATTGCCTTGTAAGGCACCTAATGAGACCCGTTCCAAGAGAGACCTTGTGAGCGGCAAATTGTCGTAGCTCTAAGAAAATGAGGAATTGTGAATATAGTGCTCTATATATGTGTCTTTCTGGTGTCTGTAGCGTTTCCACAACTAGCAAAGTGCGCCCAAAGCGTCGCACAAACGGATGCTGTGATTCGATAACTTGGCTCCCGCCACTATGAGCGCCGTGCAGCTGCTTGGCAGTAGCTCTGCCTTTACTGCAAAATATGGTACACGAATGCGGGAAGAAGCTTTAAAAAATGCCTCAAGACATGTGCTCTGAACCTCGAGCACAAACGCACTGCTTACGCGATTGGACGTGGTAGAACCGATGGCCTTTGAGTACGAAGGGATCAATACGAGGTAAATGAGCTCACGAATACCGTTTGAGGAGAACAGGAGCCACGAATAGCCCGGTAGTGCACCAATAACAGCGAACTAATGTTGCTGGTCCGATTCTGCAAGTATTCGGCCTGATTAAGAGGTTTATGGTTAATAGATACTATGCTTAGGCCTTTCACGGCCACATAGTCGACCTCCCGGTGACTATACACTGGATGGGCGAGGGTTTGTCTGCCCGCCCGCGCAGATAGTCATGTAGGTGCTCATCCCTCAATCGTTTCAAGCCTAAATGTCCTCTCAATAGTCACTGTATTAGCCTTGTAGTCCATTCCCAACCTTCTTCTGAAGCAAACACGCCCATCATGGAACGCTAGACTGGTCAACGGCGCCTATAATTGAAGAGAGGAGATATAGGGCATCAAATAATTGAGATTAGACGCCGCGCACGTTCATGGTGTGTGAATCATGCTCAGCGAGACTCAAATTGATTGTTTTCTCAGAACTTGACGTCAATTGGGAGGCATATACCTCGTAAGTCCTACCCTGTTGTCGAATAGAGGCCAATGCTCCCCAATTACGACGACGCCTGTACAGATTCGCTCGGTTCTTGCAGTGAACACTCTCGACCTCAAACCCATCTACCCCTTGGAACTCATCTCAATTCCTCGAATCGTGGAGTTTATCACAAACTCAACGTTCTATCCTATTCATACATTGCTTCAAAGACCAACCTTTGGCTCGACCTCAAGTCTTCCCCGCTTTCATTGTAATGTCAACTTCAGCCGTGTTCCAATCTCCCAAGGGCCTAAACTGACATGAGCGGGCTGTATACCACTACTTTGGCTCTGCCGTCGGGTTCCTTTTCCTACCAACACTTGTCGCTCTGCACTCATTCCTCTGGCACCCGATCAGCGCAACAATACCCCTCCTCTTTGATAAACGTATCTTGGATTCTAGGAACATCGGCTACCTGGACCACGAAACCAGACGCAACCACTTCAGAAACGTGCAAGAACGTCAGGAACAAGATTGCTACAGACCTTGTAGCTAACTTCGATAAGGGTAGGTCCACCCATTCTATCATCATCTCAATGCCATGCATTCCAATCGGTTGAGTTTGCAGTTGCCAAACAAAAGACAGGGTTACTCCTAGAGGTACGATCTCTGTCTATGCGCACAAATGTTGATCCCACTGTTTATTAGAACTATTGTTCATCTCCCTGTCGCTCCTGACATCTGGACAGTGTGTAACGGTTTGGTATCACTTCTTACGATCGAATTAATTTCATTATGCATCATATTTGCACGGTGAATAATTTCCATCGAAGTGTCATAGTGAAAAGAAAGGCATGTTACTCGAGACGCTGTCTACAGACAAGAGCTCTCGCTCTCAACTTCCGTGCTCTTCATAGCACGTTCCACATACGCAACCAACTTCCTCTTCAGCCACTTGTGCGACTTACCGCTTGCGGCTAATAGGTGCGCGACGACTTCAAAGGCAATGGGCTCTCGACCCGGGTTACCAACCACGGGAGACCACTGATGATCTTGCAAACGCTCGAGACTGATCAAAGGTTCTTCCATGTCATGGCTCGGAAGCTGCGTTATCTTGAGAAGCACCAACGCATCGCGCCAGATGTGGGGAATGGCTGACACCCGGTGTGACTTGCGAAATAGAAGATGGACAATGTGCCACGAGTCGGCGTCGTCCTCGTTCAGCTTCCCATTCTTGACCCGGATGCCGCAAGGCCTTGAAGTTGCATCCGTAATCCACTGCCGCTCGTTGCGGTCCCAAAGCTCCTGGACCATTTTTTTGGCCTTCACCTTGACCGGGTCGTCGGAGATGTTGTTTTGCAAAAGGAAGATTCGAATTTTTTGGAAGGTGTCCTCATGGAGTGGCAAACGAGGACGATATGCGCGGTATAGGCGTTCAAGATTCCCAAACATGGGACCTTGCATCGCAACGAGCTCGCTCCATGGGCTTGCAAGTTCGTCCATCGGATCAATTCTCCGTGGACCCCTTCGGGTGCGAAGGACTTGTAGATTAGGCGGGGGCGATGGAAGGGGTCTACCAGTTGGCGTTACTGACGTTTCTTGGATTGAAGTTGAGTATGGGGGAGGGGAAACATCTCGGGAAGGGGTGTTAGCCTTTGTCGTTGTATATTGTGACGCTGCCTTCAATCGACTGGCCTCTTGATATTTAGGCATTGTGCTCGAGGGAGAAGATTTACAACGTGCAAGTTTGGTTTCAGGTCCATCGCCTTATTAGATTTCTGCCGGATCGGATCCCGGTGTCTTCAAGGGCATGAGGGAGCCTCGAGTCAACACACCGAAAGACGGAGCGGAGAGCTGAGGGAAGCTTAGTAGCAAATTCCTAATGCAATGGCACAACTAATTTCATGCGATTAACAGGCCGGACCTGGGGGAGCGACTACAAGGGAGCATGAACTACAGGCGAAAAGGGAGGACTGGATGAGACCCAGAAACGGAGAAAGCCCACAGAATCCGACGGAGTGTCGCAACTCGGCTTCTTGGCCTCCTCGGATATCGATGGTAGTTATTCTTTTGTTTATCCGGTGGCCAAACCCTATGCCTCGCAACTTCGACCCGCTCCCTACCATCCGTCCAGACAATGTGCGTCCCCCCCCTGTCTTATAAGGCGACTCCTTGTTTTCTATCGCAGAGGTCTGTGGCTTTTTGTCCTCTTCGTCCTGGAGCTCATTGAAAGTCCCTATTGGCTGTGACGATACGCCCCCTTGCCTCCATTCACAGCGTCCTGGATCCTGAGAGGTACAAATCTTGCTCTATGAGGGCGTAGATAGTTGCCTGCAGCGGTACTAGATGACTCGATCAAACAGTACGTACATTTTTGCCGCGAAAATAACGAGACTCATACTTTGGCTATCACTGAAACGGGGCCCGGAACGACCTTAAAACAGTCTTTCTGACTAATATTTGATCTTTGGCTCCTTGATTGTGCAGCCGCCAAGGTTGCACTCGCTGTTTGAGGGATCTCTTCGTGGTGTCTGGTCATCCAACCGCACAAACCCAGTCGTCTCCCCTCCGCTGGCTCTCTCTACTTGTCGGGCGTCTCCCCTCGACCCGGCTTCTCTACTCGTCGGTCGTCTCCCCTCGACCTGACTCTTTCTTCCAGTCGGTCGTCTCCCCTCGACCTGGCTCTCTCTACCAATCGGTCGTCTCCCCTCGACCTGACTCTTTCTTCCAGTCGGTCGTCTCCCCTCGACCTGGCTTCTCTACCAGTGATCGTCTCCTCGATGAGTCGACTCGTTTCTCGACCTGATTTTCTTCCGGTCGTCTCCCTCGACCTGATCTTCCAGTCGAGTTCCTCGCCTTTTTCTTCTAGTCGGTCGTCTTCGACCTGGTCTTCTTTGATTTGGTCGTCTCCGAGTTGATCTTTTTCTTTGATCGGTTCTCCTCGACCTGAAGCTTCTTTCTTCGGTCGTCTGACCTCGACCTGACTCTTTTTGGTCGATTTTCTCCCTCGACCGGTCTCTTGATCGGTCGTCTCCTCGACCTGACTCTTCTTGGTCGGTCGTTCGCTCCGGACCTGGCTTTTACCAGTCGATTCTCTCGACCTTTCTGCTCGAGTCGATCGAGTCTTTGATTTGATTTTCTTCTTGACCGTTCTTTGATTTGATGCGCCGAGCTGAGTTGTTCTTTGACGAGCGGTCTCTCCTGGGTTGTCTCTTCGACCTGGCGATCTACTCTCGACTGTTCTTTCGACCTGACTTTTCCAGTCGGTCGTCTCCTCGGCCTGGCTTCTCTGCAGTCGTCTCCTCGACCTGGCTTCTCTACCAGTCGGTCGTCTCCCTCGACCTGAATTCTCTGGTTCGTCTCCCTCGACTGGCTTTCTGCTCGTCAGTCGTCTCCTCGACTGGCTCTTTCTTCCAGTCGGTCGTCTCCCTCGGCCTGGCTTCTCTACAGTCGGTCGTCTCCTCGACCTGGCTTTTCTTCCAGCCAATCGTCCAAGTGTTATCTACCACCAGCTGTCTTCCTCATCAAGCATCAGTCGGGCACTGGAGTTAGTTAGGGTTCTGACTTGTTCAACCGCAAGGTTGACAAGCGTAATCCTGATTCCGGCAGGTTTACCAACTGACATTCCAACCTCACCCCAGTCCCAGGACGGGCGACATATGATGCAGTCTGGGCTCATCGTTACGCATGTAATGGTTCCCTGGACACTACTACCAATCATCAATGTAAAATTTTCTGAACGCATGTATCATTACATAGAATAGCCACTGCGTAGGTCCTGACGGACCTATAAAAATCCGGAATAAAAACAAATTCAAGAAACTCGATGTTAATGAGAACAAGCCAGAGCGACCTGCCTCCTTATATATATGACCTCCAAAGCAGTGACGGCCACAGTTGACTTGATTCTATGGAGTAACAATAGTCCATGGCATGCGTTTACCAGCAAGCGTAGTACTATTCACAAGAGTCTAGTTTGTTATGTGCACTCGTCGGCTATATAAAATGACACCGGTTGGCTCCTGAAGAGCAACGATGCTGCTACTATGGGGGACATCAATATTACCGACCAGACTCTAGGACCTCACATACGCGCATTCATCACTTTTCTAGATTGGCCCACTTCGACGTTGTCTCGTCGTATTGCATCCCAGGCTGCAGATGAATTGGAGGACGGCTTGAGTGGATTTCAGGACACCTTGGTGCTGAATTCTGCTAGTGGACACGTCCTTCTCTGGTGATTATGCCCTCTGGAACTGTATACAGAGTCAGAGTCGAGGTGACCAACACGCTGGAACATACGTCTTCTGTTGTTCACACTCATGACAATTAAATGATGTAGGATGTGCTTTTGCCAAAAACCGACGTATCGCTGCCAAGCGTCCTGTCTGGTTTATCCCGAAATGACTGATCTTAGAAATGCTGCCGTAGGTTGTCTTGTAGGCTCGAAAGGATCGGGTGGCTTGTTGGTAGTAACTCTGTCATTGCCAGATAGGATTGGCCCGAGCCTCGTACGGACAAGACCCACTCGCAGCAAAGCTGAGTTTGTCTCTAAGATTATGTACACGATATATACTCACGTTTTGACAGAGATTTGTAATTTGCCGAGCCCTCGTACAAGAGCTCGGCACGGCGACTATACATATCCCACCATCGTTCAGTAAGACAAGCATGATGCGCATATGGGGATCCTAAATTCAGGTTATATTTGTAAGATTCGATTTGGTTATCAAATGCAGCACTTCTGCCTGACCATGATCAGCTTGTTCGAGGTGGTGTGCCTTTTTATCATTCGAACAATCATATTTCAAAATTCGTATGAAAGTTATCTCCTTCACTGGTCACGGCGATTCGCCTGCTTAATCCTGCAAATCTCGTACATTGCGCGCCAAGTGCTCTTCCAAGGCTGATAGCCTATTCGTGGCCGCTTCGATGACACCATTCAACCTGGCCATTGTATCCTCTACGACGCGAATTCTTCTTTCTTCATCGTCAATATTCGACGCTTCTAACAATACATCATGAGTTATTACGGGCTCGCAAAGGCGCTCTTACCTGAGGTCGGAGAGACAAGGGCCGAAACAGGTGTCAAAGGAGGAGCGGTGCCGGGATCGCTTGAGAGCACTGAAATCACTTCAAAATTGTCGATTTCATGAAAACCATCTTCTGAAGTACCAATCTGCTGTTCCTCGTCGTCAGCGCTCGATGCTATTATGGATGCTCTATGAGCCGTTGTGTGAACACAAAGAGACCGCGTACCTGAAGAATTCAAAGGGGCTAGAGCCGAATTAAGCATCAAGGTGGGTCCGGTATCAGAATTGCCTGAGGCCTCCACAACTGTGTCGACGTTCTCGATATCTTGACCAACTGGATGTGGTAACGTAACTTCGCCTGAAATGACAACAGGCATTGTATTGTCATCAATCTCCATCATAGACATAGCATCGACGCCGACATCCAGGGTATATGACATTGCGTCTTCGTCGACCTCGAGAGAGGTGACGCGAGGCCATGGAAAGTCGTATGAAATCTCCATTGCATCTGCATTATCTTGGGTAGTGTGAGAACCGACGGACATCATGTCGTTGCCGTATTGTGCGCCTGCGTTAGTGTGTCCAGAAGGTCTGAAAGATGGGGCTGGAATGGTTGGTGGTGCAGGCAGTCTCTCCTCTACGACATCATGATTGCATTCTTCAAGGCTAGACATGATTTCAATGCTTGAGAGTGGTTACAGATCTAAGAGAATCTCTGAATAGGTCAGACCATGTGGCATGGCAGCCAGATCCTATTGAGTGGCCTATTTCAAGTACGAATGCAACCATAGATACTTAGGAATCTCGGTTACCCCCTGCCTTCTGGGCGTCATCTGCGCGCACATTGGCTAGTAGTCTCTCAGCTTGGCGTCAATTATTTTCTCGTGTATAGTATTGGAATTATCATTCCTTGCCTCTAAGATTCATTAAATTCACTCTGGTTATCTCCTTTACCCCTCAATTTCTTGTTCAGCTCTCATAGACAACGTCTGTGACATGGTGGGAGAACCTATTAACTGTCAGCTATTGAATGGTGGTTGTGTGAGCAGGCCAATCTGTTGGACATGCTTACCCTCGCATTTATCGACGAGTCATACTGGCATGATAAGCTGAACATCTTTGCTCCATGGATAAAACACTACAGGCTTGAGTTCGACATGCATAATGTTGCAAACAATCGATGGTTGCTTCTCGTAAGAATATAGGTAAGCATCCACATCCTCACCCCAACTGGGTTGGTTCTCGGCGGGCTTATATGGCGTCACACAAATATATAAAGTTGGCTCCCATGAAGCATGCATGTCTCTCTTGAGGCGGAAAATATTGGTTATATATCCAGCTGATTTAAGTATCTCCCTACTGTGAATATCGGTTGCTGAGTAGTGGATGAGGTGCCGTGTGGCCTTTGATTCTTGCTGCAAACACTCGAATTTCAGACCTTCCCTCTCAAACCATGTGAATGTTTGGCACAGGGAGTATTGTATCTTTGCCGCATTAAGGGCAATCAGAGCAACTGCGTCCAGGGGAATGTTGCTTGGGGTCTCAGGAAGGCCAATCGCTGCTGATTTGATAGTATGTGTGGTATCGCCAGGCTTAATCTTGTGTTCAGCAAACCACTTGAGAGCGGGTAGGGAGGAGCTTTGCAGCAGCTGGCCCATGTTTGATAAACGACTCATTCGCCGATCAAACGACAGCTCAACCTCACCTTCAAATGTGAATGGTGTGCGGATCTAGTTTTTATCTGGTCTCACCTCGTTTGTTATTTGTATTTGTCCGTTGTATGAATCCATTATGGCGCTCAAATGCAAACGCCCACCAGTCTGGAACTGGTCCAAACCGAGAAAGAAAATCTGATAAATGAAGGAGATAGTGATGACTTGGCTTCATAAAGTCTTGAGGAAACGTGGTTTGCACTCCGTGGACATACTTGGTGCAGTGGTGGTGAAAATTGGCAATCATAGACTGAGTTAGCTGACGGGAGTAAGCAATTCGAATAATGATGACAAGGTGGATGAAATGTCGGAAATATTCTTGGTGTTCTTGGGGTGCATTGGCATTTCCCCAGTGTCGGCCTAGAGTCACAAGCAAGCCAAAGCAATAGATTATTCTCCACTGTGCAGCTTTCAACGTTCCATGGCTCTTGCTCCCGAGATTTGATGGCGGTTTATCATGTGCAAGATGTGCTGGGAAGACCATAAGAGCAAGATCTGCTCGAAGTTCCTGCTTGAGAATTGGGTTCAACTGTATTGATTCAAAACTTATCCAGGGTGTATACTTTGAACCTACTTTGGGTGATATTGTGTCTAGTTCTTTTAGCCTTTCCCCTTTAATCCCAGGTGGATGCCAGGCTCTAAGTTGAACAAGAGCATTGTTCTTTGAGAGAAATCCCTGGAGAAGGTTAGAAAGCGTTGGAAAAACATGTGACTGATAATACCTGATCTGGGTCTGTGAATAGCTTTCCCTGATCCAGCATCTAAGAACGTCAGATAAGACGCAAACAGTCCGTCAATTTCCTTACCCATTTTGCTAAATTGAACACTATTTCCTGTTTGGTGACACGATTTCCTTGGAAATTGAGATGCCACCATGGGAGCCCACATTGCCGGTAAAGCTGTATAAGGTGATTCTGCCGTTGTCTGAAAAGGCGATTTAAGTCCGAAATGGCGAACTCGGGCTGGTGAAGGATGCTTTCGCCAGGCAGTGCTTTCTCCCCGTCATCCTGATTGTCAGCTTCAGAGCTAGATTCGCTACTATTGTGATCACTCCCCAACTGTTCCTCTGGTGCGCTGTCCAGGCTGTCATCAAAGAGATATGCAGTACTGGGAAGGCCGCGGATTTCTCCAATGAGATGCCGGCAGTGCGGTTGAGCAATATTAGTGAGTATTGCATGGAATGGCTCAATAACAATCTGCTTTCGAACATCGAAATAAGGTAATCGGCTGAGTTCTGTGTATCGAAAGCCATAACGGTCAAAGATGGCTCGTTGAGCCTTCTCATTAGGTGCATCTCGCCATGCTAGAGTAATCTGCTGATACGCTTCCTGAGTGACCCCTCTTGCCCATCGAATCCTTTCTAGTTCATTGGTGAGCTGACTTCTTGGAAGACGACAGTGAGGGCAAAACCAACGATGACCAACACCCGCATAACCTCCAATTTTTCTTGCAGCAAGCTGATCAGCAGTAACTAGTGCAAGCATCGCTCGACACTTTGTATATCCGTTATTGTCAATGTCAATCCCAAAGGTATAGAGTATGTTCAAATCTTCAACAATTGGATAGAGGAGGTTGTTAAGCTGCTCCGTTGTTGGCTCCCGTGGTCCTGGAATAAATAGTTCATACATATATTGCTGCTGGAATCGTAGGTGTCGAGGTAGATTGAGAATTACAATGTAAACTCCGCCTGTACTATGCACACTTCCTCTGAGGTTATTTTGGCGGGCATTGTACCAGTCCACAAAGAGCCCAAGGCAAAGACGAAGCTCCCCTGGCACCTGTGCTACGAATGGCACACCGCTGGGCATACGGAGTGTTTGGACGCCGGGCGAATTCATGATGTCGTCCATAGACCCAGATACCAAATCAATCTGTTGCGACGTACTCTCAACAAGATGAGTCAGTATTTGTGGAGTCGATGTGACTCTCTTGAGAAACAATCCCAGGCTACGGTACGTATAAAGAATACTTGTTTGTTCCAAAGCTGTATCCGTTACTCCAACAGAGGGTAGAGCGATGCCTGACGAAGATGCATGGTTGATAAGCCTCGCCCCACAAGGCTTCGAATCTGGTGTAAGTTGGAATGTGCAGCGCTGGTTGTGTGGAAACTTTGGTCTGCGTTGAAACTGTAACCAATCCCTTGTATCAATATCAGGTAACGCCGGGTATTCGAAACCAGCGGGTGGGTCAGGCAGCGGCTGTCGGGGGGAATAATCGATTGGCGCAACCATGGGATGAAGAGTGCGTGAATAGAGTGAGAAGCATACTGAGCATAGTATATATGTCTGATCTGGAGAGTCTAATTCAAACAACCTATATAAGGATCGGGTGTCCTTCGGTACGCTGGTAAATTGGGCTGCGATGGTGTTTATGTCTTCTCGAGAGGCAAATAAAAGGCATTTAATAAGTTGCATTATTGCTTCATAGATGAATTGAACGTGAGCGCGAGAATGCCCAAATGCCGTTTGGACGTAGATGGGTAAGAAGGTTGCAAAGATGAGGATATCATGGAGTGCCGATATCTTGGGTGCTGTATCAATGGATTGATCCTGGCCTATGCTTTCCCTTTAGATCCACGAACGATTAAGGATTACAAGGTACCCGCCTTCAGAACCAACTCGCTGGGCGTTCCACTGTGCGCATTTTATACTGTCTAGGTGATCCATCTTTCGTACAAGATAGCGTTGATGATGTTTGCTCGAAGAGTTACGTTGAGCGGCTAATTTTTGGATCCAGCGCCAAGTTTGGAGCTGCACGTGAAGGAAAGCCGTGTTTTCAGGGTTCTGAGTATCCAGTGCCATATGGCCACCATTTGGATCAGCATCAAGGCCCGGAGAAACGTACGGTGGCGAGGATTGGTTAGGCGTGTTCTCGAAATGGAGGGTACCAAACTCATCGTAAGTGTTTACGAGTTCGATGTACTGATTCCATTCAAGCGGGGCGAGGTTCATGTTCATTTTGTAGTGCCAAAGATGGAGCGGAGGCTACGTTTGACCAGGCCACCTCCACCAAATTGATGATCTAACCGGGGACGCTTGCGAACTTATAATATAACCCTCATAAGATCTCTCTTGACGAGCATCCCCCATCTTCCAGTACGATGATGCCTTATAGCGACGGAGCGTTTTGTTACGCCATGGTTGGTAAAACGGAAGCGTGGCTCGATAACACCTTGGGCACCATCACCAGCCTTCATTGAATACCTCACTCGACGGCACACCTTCTCCCTTGCCACCCACTCGTACTGGTTGTGTCCCGATCGTTGTATGGCATTTGCTGCATCGATTCTTTGTATTACCACATCTATTGGTACTGAGGAGCAGGAGCGAGCCATAAGGAATAAGCGGGAAATGATCATGACGTGCGACGGTTCAAGCCATTTCTTGTCCTGCGTCCCGAGGCGAGCACTCGATGGGAATAGGGAGGATGAGGGAACACGAAGGGAAGTGATGAATAGAAAAGAGTTTGATTAGTGTAATTACTTGGTTCGACAGGCAGGGGAAACTCTCCCTCAGCAGGGGCTTGCTTAGTTGAAGATCAACCCACGTCAATCTTGGACCTCCACTCATTTCGCAACCGGCCCTGACTTGCATCATGTCCGGATCGTTCACGTTTTCCACAGTCAGTCTCTCTGTTGTTGAATCTTCTCTCACTGAGAACGAATAGGGCCACTATCCGGCTGTCTATCGCGAGCTCAAGGCGGAGATAGAGGTGCAGTTCCAGGGCTATAATATCATTTCTAATCAAACTAGCGTCGGAGAGTGCTACTAGACCAAGGTTTGCCAGTCAACGCTCCGAAAAGACAGCAGATAACCAACGCTAATGTATGTCACCGTCACTTCCATGGCTTATTCTGATTGTTTTAGCGCTCCTCTGACCCTATTATACCTCGTTCACCTCCGAGAAGACTACGCCCAGCAAACCAACGACGGGATTCTCGACCAGCAAGCTCTTCAAATTCCCAGTTGCAACATAAACGACCTCGGAAGATAAGGCTGGTGGTGACGCGCAAGGACCAAAGCCCCATCACGTTGACACCAACGTCTCCTACAAGCAATGCGAGCGGAACAGTATCGCCTCCTAGCTCATCGACCACCCCTAGCTCCGGCATTTCAGTACAGTCTTGCTCTAGCTCACTAGGAAGTCAATCAAGCAGTTCAACAATACGACCGCAAATTCGCAAATCTGGATCCCAGTTGACACCAGCACTCAATACTACCCCCGAGAAAGATGCGCCAGGGTTTGAATTCCGTCTCTTTGGACTAAGTTTCCCGGTCGGTTCATCTATTTGGGTTAGTGGTTAGTTCGATGCTGGGTGTCTACTCATAACCCATAGGTTTCTGCCAATCAACTCGATGGTAGTATGGACATGTTGGTATGTTAACTAAGTATGCGTAATTACTGACTGACTTTGCGGAGGAACCTTCCACCTTGATCAAGGTTTGTCGCACCAAAGGACAGGCTGTTGCTGAGTATGGCAGATACTCAAATATCACTATCATCAATATGGTCTATCTGAACACCACGTATGTAATATTCGTGGAAGATGCTACATACTTCACAATGCCACTGTAGATCCGGGCTCGTTCTCGTTACCTGGGAGGATTCCATGGAATTTCACCCTATGATGTGCATCTATAGCATGCTGTTGCAGATAAACAACTGAAGCCGCTTAGATCACTACAGGTCCTGGAGGATTAGCAACTCTCAATGTTGATAAGATACGCCGTTCATCCAAGTATGAAGGCCTGCATGTTAGTTCACATATCACTATGGCTCAATCTAACTATTTGACAGATTCGTGTCCATATACATTTACTTGGGATGCGTGGTATTACATATCTTTCTTCGGGAGTTTGGGAGATCTCAAACAAGGATAAACAAACTTGCACCCGTGATCGATTTATACTCCAACTGCCCAAATCATCATCTGACATCGATCATAATGTGCTGGCATCCGACATCTTTGCTGCAAACTTTGTGTCGGCACTAAAGGCAGGCTATTATGGTGAAGATTACCACCTTCCAATAAGCAATAGACCAGTAAAAGATACAATAGTTCAAGCATTCTACACAGTACTAGATGGTCACATTCGTGCACAAAGCTCAGGCTCGAATAATGACAATGACCGCCAAAATCGTAGGCACGCAAGGAGAATTGCGGTAGGATATTAGGTCTAAATATTTCTTTTTGGCTAATTCCTAATAGAAATGGCTTCGTCTTCTCGACGTTGCGGGGTCGTTCCCAGCCTCTCCTCTCAGTTTTGGTCTCAAAGCAGCTGGGGCAGACGCATGCAGTAGTGATGAAAGTGACGATGAAGGGAACTGCCAAGTTTACAGACCAAAGTTATGGAGAAGTCGCAAGCTGAACGGCTTTATTAGTGCTGTCAGGTCATCTGGTTACTACCTCGAGCTACGAGCTGGCTGGAGCCACAAGATAGAACCAAGCGTACGAGCACTGCCAAGCAGAGTTCCCAAGAGGTTCATTGATGACGAGTGGCTCGAAAACTCGTTAAACGCGGCAACAGCTCTGCTAGAACTTCCATAGGACCATCGCTGCAAACATTAACTAAATTCGACGTATTATTTATTTGTATCAAACACATGACCCCTCTTTCCAAGCCCCATGTTGATGTGGTCAAAAAGCCTAAAATCACAAAAGAAGTCTGGTGACGAAATGCCCGTTATGTGGCTCAATTCAACCCGTTATGCACCTCTGGTCTTCTGTCGATATTTGGTTCGTAAACAGCACTCGACTCCTGACGACTATATCCAGTGAGCCTCGAAGCAGCATTTCCAGAATATGGACGATCCCAAGGTGTGCAGGACTGTTGAATGCAATTTCCGGTCATTTGAGCAGCTAATAGGAAACAATGAACCGCCTGGGCCCTGTCGAGATGACTGAGCTTGAAGAGAAATGGAATAATCTCGTGCTGGATTCTCGAAACAGAGGCGTGAACGAAGCACAGCTACCAACCTTTGAAGAATACGTGATCAGTGCCATTACTAATGCTCAACGGTATTCAACCGCTATGTCGGAGCTTGTATCCCAAGGCATGGCTCCGGCTCGTTCACAAGGGAACTCCTCAATTGAGGATGTAGAGATGCAAGGTAATGAAAATTTTTTATCGTTAATCATTATATTGATGTTTCTTCCAGACAGACCGACAAATCATGGCCCCAATCCCTTGTCCTCTACCCAAAGCTCGGATTCTGATGCGCTTGACGAACAATGTGAGTTAATTGCAGGTTTATTTACCTGATTCACATTTGTATTGCTCAGTGGCACCCTGGCAAACCAAGAGGATTCTTACTTGCGGTCCACCAAGCACGCACCCACAGGCCCAACGGCAGAATGTTTCCCCTCTAATGGTTGAAGTTATGAAGCGCAAGCATAACCTTAGTTCTCTCATGGAGTACCGTCTTCGATATGGAGGGATCATCGAAGACATCCATCCCGGCTTCGTTGCAACGAAAGAAGAATATGGCCATCTCCTTGCGGTGAAGTCATCTCCTGGAGAACTCAACGCACTCAAGGCAAGTCCTCTATAGAATGTATGAATCACACTAACAATCAAATAGGCAGCAGTTCGAGGAGAGATGCACCGTGTCAAAGGGATGCCGCTCAAAGACCTGGACGTTCCTAGAGATGGCACCACAGGAGATCTCATCAGGAAGCTTGGCGGTCCTGACGTCCAATTTGGCATCAAGACGAGCGAGCCCTTGGCAAGCGAGCACAACCAATACATGCGTCAACTCTTTGCTCAACACTTCGCAAACCAAGCAAATTCTGGCAGATGGAAGGACAAAAAACTTCCAAAGGACATGTCTGACCCGAATCTTCTCAAACATCGGACCTCTGTGGTCTGTAAAGGACTGATCAATAAGGACAAGCTTGACCCTGACAAGCCGGCGGATCGAGAGACCATAGAGAAGAAGAACACCACCGAAAGGAGATACTCTCGTCGCCGTTCGGTAAGAATATTGCAGTTGGAAGCACTTTATTAAATCGATATCACAGAAACATCTCCAACGTCTAGATGTTGTCAACAAAGATCAGGGGCTAAAGAAATTTGCTGCTCTTGTTGATATGAGCACACCTGGAATGCAGAGTGACGAGGAGTCTGACGCCGAGGGTAAACGACTGACAATCAAGAAATTGGGGTGGCGCAGTGTGAACTTCACACATTTACTCCATTTTCTAGATGTACTACGAGAGTGTCCAGTAACCTGTGACTACTTGCTCAAACCGCGGAGAAAGGCAGCAAAACTGGAGAGAATCCGAACAGACCTGCCAAGCGAGCGCAATAAGGCACCAACAGGACTCCCAGTTGAATGCTATACCGAGCGCATTCTGGACCAGGTCAAGGCCGATGGGTTGGAGCATGTACTCCGTGCAGTCCCAAGAAACAACGCATTGGGGGATCTTCCATCTATGAAATATTATGACCAACGAGTCAGAGTTTCCAGGAATAGTGCGCTGGAGGTGGCATGGAAGAAGCACAAGGCGGAATGTAGCGACTGTCGAACTGATGATAGTGGAACAAGTTCGTAAACAAAGCGTGGATATCAAAAAAATGTCGTTATCTATGAAGAAACCCTTTGTTTGAAAACTAAAGCAAGGTATAACTTACAAGAGAGCGTAAATGCATAAGACAGAGACGCGACGAAATGCGAAAGAAGGATGGATGAGTAATTCTCATAAACTATGAGACCTGTCAGGTGTTTGAGCTTGAGGTCGAGAGTGTTCACTGCAAGAACCGAGCGAATCTGTACAGGCGTCGTCGTAATTGGGGAGCATTGGCCTCTATTCGACAACAGGGTAGGACTTACGAGGTATATGCCTCCCAATTGACGTCAAGTTCTGAGAAAACAATCAATTTGAGTCTCGCTGAGCATGATTCACACACCATGAACGTGCGCGGCGTCTAATCTCAATTATTTGATGCCCTATATCTCCTCTCTTCAATTATAGGCGCCGTTGACCAGTCTAGCGTTCCATGATGGGCGTGTTTGCTTCAGAAGAAGGTTGGGAATGGACTACAAGGCTAATACAGTGACTATTGAGAGGACATTTAGGCTTGAAACGATTGAGGGATGAGCACCTACATGACTATCTGCGCGGGCGGGCAGACAAACCCTCGCCCATCCAGTGTATAGTCACCGGGAGGTCGACTATGTGGCCGTGAAAGGCCTAAGCATAGTATCTATTAACCATAAACCTCTTAATCAGGCCGAATACTTGCAGAATCGGACCAGCAACATTAGTTCGCTGTTATTGGTGCACTACCGGGCTATTCGTGGCTCCTGTTCTCCTCAAACGGTATTCGTGAGCTCATTTACCTCGTATTGATCCCTTCGTACTCAAAGGCCATCGGTTCTACCACGTCCAATCGCGTAAGCAGTGCGTTTGTGCTCGAGGTTCAGAGCACATGTCTTGAGGCATTTTTAAAGCTTCTTCCGCATTCGTGTACCATATTTTGCAGTAAAGGCAGAGCTACTGCCAAGCAGCTGCACGGCGCTCATAGTGGCGGGAGCCAAGTTATCGAATCACAGCATCCGTTTGTGCGACGCTTTGGGCGCACTTTGCTAGTTGTGGAAACGCTACAGACACCAGAAAGACACATATATAGAGCACTATATTCACAATTCCTCATTTTCTTAGAGCTACGACAATTTGCCGCTCACAAGGTCTCTCTTGGAACGGGTCTCATTAGGTGCCTTACAAGGCAATTGCCTTGCAAAGCACTTTCTAGTTTTCCGACAGGAGCTTCCACCTCTGCCTCAAAGACCGCATGACTATTGACGAGCTGTAGTGCGACACCACTGACTCGGCAGCAGGCCTCGATAATATTGCTATCCGGTTAGCCCGCGGGGCAGAGGTATAAGCCCTGTTGAACCAAATAGTATATAAATACATGGGTGACTTGTCTCTTCATATTTGTGATTTAGTTCAAATAACCCGAGTCGCGCTCTCAAGGCCGCTCCACAGTTTGGCTTCTTAAGTCTAATGACGTCGGTGTGCCACTAGTCTATCGATGGTCATCCTTTGTACGACGTTTACGAGCTGAACAGGGGAGATAGTGAGCGTGAGCTGCATAACGGCATAAGGAAAAGTCTAGAAAGACTCTGAGTGGTAAATGTAAGATACATAGGATAACTCGCCTTGTACAAGGCGGCTGAGAAAGACTTGAACCCACAGAAGCGACAAAGTATCCTGACAAAGGGCAACTCGAGAGTTCTATAGGACGCGGCGTATAGCCTCCATGCGATAAGTAAGGTAATTAGAATCAGAGAAGTCCAATTGGTATCCTCGGCAAGAAACGCAATGCCGTCCGAGCCTACAAAGCATCCGTGGGCGACTATTGCCTTGTTCGGGAAATAGGACGGAATATACATTGGAGAAGAGATCAGGGACTGGCTAGGAAGAGTTGCAAGAAGAGAAGTCAACGTCATCGTAGTCAGTCAGAAGCCGGTTCAACTCAGTGGAGTCGTTAGCGTTAAGCTCCATAGATACCATTACCTAAAAACAGCGTACGGATAAGCCTCTATATTAGGTATTCTGACAATATGCAGGAAGTCAACGACATTGGCGGATGGCAGAGTCAATATTTGTCTAAGAGAATCACCCGCCCGCCGTGTGGAGCGATCGTCTTGGAGTCGGCCACTTGTATCATTATCCCTAGGAATCTCCTCAGATCTCACACTATTCATCTACACTGTTAGATAACAGAATGCCAGCAGCGAGCACGAGCGTGAATAACCTGTCGACGTCAGGCGTAGCCGACTTGAGCCCATCCCAGGTGATTGATTCACTGAAAAAGGCGGTAGAAAATGCAAAGATGAGTGAATATCTCAAGTCGTCTGAGAGTTTTGTTGAAGATGCCGTTGATGCGGGTATAAAAGTGTGTCTTATTACTTCTCCTGACCTCATATTCACCTCTTTGTCTTCTGCTCGTGCTGCTGGTCGATCTTATGTACTGAGCTGCAACAAATTCAATGGCTACTCATAGTATAAAATCCGTCTATGCCCCGCACTCAAACTATCACGTGGGTTGACCCATTTTTGCCGCCCTTTAACTCACTGCACGTTGGACAAATGCGAGGTATACTCGAACAGGATAGAGTTGAGGGATACAATGTTCTGCTGAACAATTTTGCCCTTGTCGGAGGTCATTTTTTACTCGTCACTAAAGGTGCGTCTGTTGCGGTTTACGTATATATAGCGGCTGTTGTGATTGATGAATGGAATGGGATAGAATATGAATTGCAGGCGCATCTACTCACACTGGCTCAAATCGTATAAACGTACGGTACTTGCTCCTCCTGGCTGCACATACTCGCAACCGACCTTTTTTGCCTTTTGCGATTGTGGAATATTGAGCGGTGCGAGTCAGCCGCATAGGCATATCCAGTTCTTCCTTGGACATGTACCAATTGAGCGGCTTGTCAAGACGGCCAAAATAGAGAATGAGGGTACGTCCGTGCAGTTTAAATCAATGGTAGATCTAAGAAGGAGCACTGACTATATTTCTGTGATCAAGTTCGCCCATTTGTTCTTCCTCAACTCCCATTCGCGGCTCATATCAAGCGACTGGACAAGAATGTCCTTTCTATTGCTGACACCCTCGTCGACGGATCGAGTACTGTGGAGAATAGCAAAGAGGCATGGGAAGCAGTGATAGGCCGAGTGAATTTTCAACTAATATAGGGTCGATGAGGCTGGTTGGAGGAGGTATGAAGGGTGGTGAGGAGGCTGGAAAGGCATCTTGACCTCCGCTACCAGCAAATACCCAACAATATATGGTTTCTCACTCGCAATAAATGGGACAGACCTATAGTGGACATAATTCCCTTCCAACCGTCGACTCGGAAGACGACGTGAGCGACCCCCTGGTGCTGGTTCACTTTGGGAAACGAGCGCTACTTACTGTAATGCCTGCTGAACACGACGTGAGTCTAATGTCGCTTTTGCCGGCAAATACAAACCAAATTAATCCGTTTCTACAGAGATTTGTCGCGAATTTAAAGGAAAGGTTTGGTATATCGGCGGAAAGAGCAGATGTACGGGTAGAGTTTGAGCTCAATAGCATGGTGGAGCAGCGAATGGAGATGGATCCAATCTTATGGCCTGCATACCGACATTATGTGACGGGAGCCTGGGTTGTAGTGGAGTAGTCCTTTGGGTATATGTATACTTCCAGAGCACTCAGAACGCTCGACCGTACATCTGCGCCAGTTACTCAGCCTCGGACTTGACATTCTCTGTGCTGTCGAGTAGACGCGGTGAGCTTGTAAGAGTCAAAGACATGGGGAATGTGATATACAAGTACAAGAGCGCAAGGGGCTATAGTCCTGAATTTACTCGTCCGTGACCTTGATAACGTTCCGCATCGTTCCATCCAATAGCACATCCCTCATTGTTTCGCAGCTCAGAGTCCGAATATCCTCCCAACTCTCTGGTGAATAGAACCCGGCATGCGGGGTGACGACCATTCGACCTTTTAACCATTCTTCTCCATCACGGTACGCCTTGACGAGCGGATGGGTAATGTCGTCAAACATTGGCTCGTCAGGGAGTGTGTCTAGCCCAACACCAGCGAGCTTGCCATTCTTGAGGTTCTCGTAGAGGGCATCAAGGTCGACGATGCGTCCACGTGCGGTGTTGACAAGTACGCTCCCATCCTTCATCCGAGATACTAGGTTCTTGTTGACCATGTATTTCGTCTCGCGTGTGAGTGGACAATGTACGCTCAACGTATCGCTCCTTTCGAACAACTCTTCCGCCGTTCGAACACGTTGGATGCCTAGTGCGCGTTCGACTCCTGCTGGAACGTATGGGTCGTAGAAAATGATTGAGCTCCAGCAAAAGGCTTTGGCACGGAGGGCGGTGGCCGTTCCTATACGTCCGAGACCAAGGATGCCGAATGTGCGGTTCGCAGAGGGTCGTTGGACGAGTGGATGGTGAATATGAGCCCAGAATGAGGAAGAAAATGATGGGTTCGTGAATGGGCGTTGAAGATCGTGGTGCAAGAGTATACCGCGTCGAAGGGAAAGTGCGAGTGCAATCGCATGGTCGGCGACTTCTGTCGTCCCATAGTCTAAAGATTATTAGATTTTAATCGTACATCAAACCAAGTATGTACCTGGACAATTACAAACAATCACCCTGCGCTCGTCCAATGCGACGCGGTCGAGACGATCGTATCCGACGCCCATCCGTAGGACTACTTTGAGATTCGGAAACAAAGACACATCTTCTCTGCTCATCCAGTGTCTGAATACGAATAATCCGCTGACGCGCTGGCGGAGATCGAGTGGGAGGTCACTATACGGCTTGTCCTCGCCGAGATTCGCCTGATAGATCTCGAATGGCGCATTGGAGAGAGATTGGGAGAGAATCGTCTGCTCAATGTCTGTCGAAGTGTACAATCCTTCAGGCTCGAGAATGACCATTGGCGTGGAGGACATGCTAGGTGTCGAATGTGGATGGGAAAGGAATCCTGAAAGGGTTCATAAGGTGCTCAGCAGGAGCCACTTGCTCGGTCCGGATAGCCGTTGCGGATCAAGGATGAATAATACGCGCATAGAGGGAGCCTTGGGCCTTGTGTAGACGGAGGATCCAGAGTCCAGTGCGAATGGGGGAGGAAATGCATTGAAGTATCTCGGCGGAAGGTGGTTGGGTCTCAAGTCGCAAGTGCTTGGACTCTGCACCGACATCACCAGCTATATATTGCTATATAATACTACCAGTCTCCAAGTCTCAAAACCCCTTTCCTGGGTCGTACGCGCAGGCAAAGGTGTCCAGGGATGGAGACAGCAAATGCGGTCCACTGGGTCAAGGTATATGAAAAGGATATCGAAAATGAAGACACGCTCTACTTCTCATCCAATCCCCTCGACTTTATGTCCAACACACTCCGTACCAGCTGCGACGCGTCCCTCGATGGAAAGCCACACGAAATGCCCATCATTACAAAGGCTTTCGTCAAACCAGGCTACAAATATCCGGTTCATGTACTCGACCTAATATGTGGTGAGTAAAAGGAACGGCGGTGGATCACCTATGCCGTCCACTCGGTGCTCGAGACAGCAAACCCACCACTCGAAGGCGCATTCGGCCTCACCTACATTCCAAGAATAACTACGACTGGCATCTCTTGCTTGTGGGAAAGCCCTCCTCAAAAGTCCTTGACGGGCTCAGGCCTTATTCGACCCTCGTCGCGTACCCTCCTGCTTCGCCCTTGCCCTTGGGACATCGAACCTAGGCAAACGCAGGTGGGGCTCTTCTCCGGAGTTGCCAACGAATCTGGTTCCATCAGTGAGGAAAAGACAGTTTCCGTTCTATGCTTCCGCGATCAACTCGTGGCTGCCCACCAAGAGTCAGGGGGTCCAAATCAAATCTGTAGCCCTCGCGGAGAACTACACAAGCATCGTCAAGGTCGTCTATCACTTTGACGATCCGGCGGAAGCCTATACGATTGTACCCAAATACGCATCGAGAAACTTTAGAGCATGGAATGGCCCTAGGAACATCCGAACGATATGGCAACGGGTATGTCTCTTCTGCAAATCAGAGACACACGGAGGGGACAGATTGGAATGCCCGTGGTTCCAGTACGAGTTTCATGCCCCGACTTTCCCGCCTCAGAGGTATGATCGGTTCAGTCCGGCAGACCTCGGACCAGGACAGTCGCTCAGATCGAGGAAGAGGAAAGTTATCGAGGGGAGCAGACCACCAGACTCAAAATTATTCGACATTCGGCCACGCAAACGCACCATGGAGGAAATGAACGACCAAGAGGACACTTAAGCGAGAGACTAGTAACTTAATAGTATAACCAGGCTAATATATGATAAGATAATACACCCATAATCAGATTGAAGGCACTCGTAGCCAAAATGAATGGCAGATACATTGGCTTTCGGCACCCTCATGTAGTGGCTGACTATTTCTACTTTTATTTCTCAACAGTTTCAAACCATTATATGTCTATAACGGTACGAATCGTCGCTAGGCAAAGCGATCCAAGGCGGAAATTCTAGGAATATCCGTACATTCAACATCATCTGGAGTTAAACTTGCTTCAGAATAAAGGTGAGTCGCATAATATAGTCACAGATGTGTCGTAGGAGTGATGGTTCCTTTCCGCATCCTCAAAGGGGAGGAAAGCCCCATGATTTGCCGCTCACCTTGGGGGCTAAAGGAACAAATAGAGACTATTTGCGTGAATTATTACACAGTGTAGTCGTTATTGTCGCCGCCTACCATCTGAGGCACTGAGCACCTATAGAGAGCGAACGAGCAAGAGCAGCCATATACCCTCGTCATATTTTATAGATCTTAAAGAGATCCACTAAGCTTTTGCCCTCATTTTATGAGTAGAAGAGGAGCTTGTTTTGGTCGCAGGTCGACTTTACAACTTGGACCCAACCACTACCTTCCATTCCTTGTCTGCCTGCCCTTTGATATGGAGCTTTCTCGTACTTGATGCGAACACGTCAGCACCATGCTGCCATGTGCTCCCTGTTCATGTGCTCTGGCCAGAGCGTGCTTGTGCCCCGTCGTTAGACCTGCACACCATGTATAAACTATCTTGCCCTTTCTTTTATGCGAGTCGTTACTCGCCTGATTTTGCGGCGGAATGGCTTGCTCGGGAGTGCCTTTGACGCTCAATGTGGGGACTCGAGATCCATGAGCCTTCGAATGCGCGGTTGCAAGGTGTGAAGAGGAGTGGCGAGTGTGCTCGTGTTCTAGGGAATAGACTGGTAGGGAGCAAGTTGGTCGGGCTACGCTGGTCGGCTACGCTGGTCGACAAGCGCCCTTGCCTTCCCGTTACCCCCTTCTTATAGCCCTCTGAGGATCTACTACCCCCTATCCACTTTCACTACTCGCGCCTTTTCATCTTCGTTGGCCATTCTATGGCAAGGTCTGCGACCGCTACCTAGTCTAACTAGCGCTTGTGCATCGGAATAGACCGCCCTCGAGGTACCAATTCATGTCCTGAATCCCTAGTTGTGCGTGAGTGATAGAAACGTCTTTGAGCTTTGGAGCCAGCCATGACGCGAGCAAGTTTGGTAACAACATGACCCCTGTGATTCCCATGGGGCCATCTTCATCTTCCGTGTGACGCTCCTTGTTCAGCCTCCTGGCCCACTGCGCTCGAGTGAAACACCCAGGAACGTGAAGGTTCAGTTTCCCTCATCTGGCTTTGATAGCAATACAACAAACTCATTAAGCATCTTGGTGGCGCCAGCGCAGATGGTCGCTCCGTTGACACATCTTAATTGTAGACTCTCATAGAGACATTTCACACTGATTCTCGTATGCGCGAATTGACCGTCTTTCATGACGATCCTGGCCTGCCTGAAAACATTGCACAACCTTCCACAGTCTTGCAACCCAAATCGTCCCAGCTGGATCTACAGGTGTAATATCAACACGGTGTATGAGTCCAAAGGCAAGTGGCTGGTACCTACAGTCGCCAATATCTCTGCGGTGTCTAGGTGGTAACAGAGCCGGAGATTGTCAACCTAGCAGGGCGAGCGCGACAATTTCATCTCTTTCATCGTGGCGGAGACGTATTATCATTGACAGATTATTGCCAGGTAGATGTCGGGGAGAAGAGACTCCGCACAGAGCAAGGTTCACGGGAAATGTGCGACATATACACCACACAAGTATATCTGCTTTGCACAAGTCGTTTTTGCCTTGTAGCTAAAAGCGCAGATAGGGATTGTCGTTATAGGGCTTCCCGCGAGCACAGATGCACTATCAGGTAGTAATGTCAGGGTGATGATGGGGAATCGAGACATGTTTGATCCATCGTGGAAATCTACTAATCCTTGCAATTCACCAGCCTTGCAAAGTTGAATGTTGTTGAGACTTGTAATATTGGGCAGAAGGCTTGTGTTTCTGTGACTTGCTTGGGAATCTTCGCAGAGGACTCGCCGTTCAAAGACGTGGATTGGGGAATAGCATTGTGCATGATTTGAGACTCGTGCCACAGGCGCTTATCACTCTTATCAGCGTCGAGTCTCTTGTTAGAGTCCCGAGTAATGGCAAAAGTGCGTCTTCCTGGGAATTCTCTCATGTGGCCCGCCGTGTCGAGATAAATCCTGCAAAAGATAGATCTGCAGGAGCTGCTACTCGAAGAGCGCGAGGAACGTTGACAAAGGCCGTCATTGAGTACGCAATTCAGCTTTACAACTGCGGCAGCCCTTCCGCCGATGTAATTGGCGAAACACTGCGACCCAAACATCCCTCGCGAGATGCTCTCGCGTGAATACCAGATTCAGATAGCTTGTCTGATAAGTTTTGGTACGCCCATGTAAGTGACCAGCGAGCAAAGTATAACGAGCCTTGGCTGGCACGTCTGCCATCTCTCTCCGCATGCACCCAACGGTCGCAGGCACTAAGCCAACTCTTGTGTGAGATTGGACGGTACTCGAGTTAAACGGCCTGGTCGCTGAACTTATCGTTTTTGAACTCGACTGTTTGTTCTTTCGCACGATTCTGATACTCCAGCAGTACTTTCTTGGCTATTCCACCGCCTCCCGCTTTAAACGGGGTACTCCCTTGATCTAGCGTCAATTGGTTGGGCGCGCCGTGCGAAGTTTACTAGTTGTCGTCCGACCATGTCGACGGGATTTTTGTCGTCCCTTCAGAGTGACTATGTAATCACATATTTACGGAATGAAGTCAAAGTATGGCAGATTGGTCTCGCATTGCTGCTTGCCTGGCGTGCTTGGTCCTATTGGGAAAATAGGGTGAGATACGCTCGTGCCCATTTCATCGACGAGACTATTTGACCTTGATCCTCTGGACGTCTTGGTACTCAGCTAGACATTCCTTTCTACGGCGGCATATGGTCCTTCTCCCGCGTGTTGTCAATCATAAAGATGAACAGAGAAGGAGCTCAGGCATTTCTCGACACATACAAGCAAGTATGTTGTTTCCAGACTTCATTCGTAACCACGTCGTCTGACTTTTGACCAGCATCCAATGGTCGCAGTCCCGCGCGTCGATGCTTGGTTCATCATGATGCACCCAGACTTCGTCGAGGAAATCAACAAGGCACCAGAAGACGTAATCTCAAACGATGATAACATTCTCGTTGTACGCCTTTGTCAGCGCTCGCGGTCGACCCTCTGACAGTCGTCAAGGCGCTTCAGGTTCCATACACGCTCCGCAATAAAATCATCGAGAATCCCTACCATAAATACGTTATCCAAAATCAGGTCGGTTCATTCAGGGCCGCCTAGAAACCTGATTCTGATACTCGTCAAGTTGACAAAAAATCTCGTAAAGATTTTCGAAGACATACATGACGAGATTCCGCGTGCGTGGGAGAACTTGACAGACGGACATGGTACGCAAAACCCTTCATTCTTGCTTGCTAGGCTGCAACACCCTGGTTAGAATGGAAGAGGATCACAATGCTACCGGCTGCACTCCAACTTATCGCCCAGACCAGTAACAGAGTCTTCGTCGGTGCACCACTCTGTGAGTCTGGTCGCAGATAGTGCGGGTTGCTCAGGTTGACTCTGCTGGTGTAGGTCGTGATCAGAGATGGAAGTCAGCAATGACGGATGGCACGACGTCCATCGTCAAACTTGCGGCGCTCATCAGTCTTTTCCCTCCTTGGGCGAGACCGTGAGTATTTCCATCAATTACTTTTGAATATCTGTGACAGCCGCGTAGGATTGTTGGCCGGATCCTATCCCATCCAGACGCAAAGAGTAAAGAGTATGCGCCGCTAGTTGCACCGTTGGTCGAAGAGAGACTCAAAATGGACCCAGAAGATCGCCCAGTAGGTCTCCCTTCCACTGTCTCGGTACCTTTGACCAGTGTCTCAGGACGACTTTATCTCTTGGCTACTCGAACTCGCGCCTCCTGAAGACCAAAATGCTCTAGAAGTGACAAGGAGGTTGATCGGGATGAACTTTGCTGCGGTGCACACAACATCTATGGTACGGTGAATATGCCCACCGTGTACTGGACTCAATGTTGTAGAATTTGACGCATGCTATATTCTGGCTCTTGGCAAGGTGCTTTCTTTCCATAGTGTTTCAACAAGGAGTCTTACAGATTTGTAGGCCAGAGTATATCGAGCCTCTTCGTGCTGAGATAGCCGCCGTTACCGAAGAAATGGGCTGGACGAAAGACGCACTCACGCACATGGTCAAATTGGACAGTTTTATGAAGGAATCTGTTCGTATTACCCCCATTTCGTCGCGTACGTGTCAACTGGACTGCGTTTTGGCCTCTAACTCTTGCCCTCAGAGGCTCTCTCACGTATCGTCATGAAACCTTTTACATTCTCAAACGGCGTTCGAATCCCTGCTGGATATGCGCTTGGCGCGCACATGTACGGCACACATCACGACCCCAACATCTACGAGAACCCAGAAGAATTTAAAGGCGATCGTTTCTTACCCAAGACGGATGCTGTTGCTCCCGGGTTGAATTATGCAGACGACGAAGAGAGGGAGGCTTCACTCAAACGGTCAATGTACGCCGCTTCAAAGACATACCTCGGATTTAGCTACGGAAAACACGTTTGGTGCGTTCCCCTATTGTGTCGTTGTTGGATGTTGACGATTGGCCCCTAGTCCTGGACGGTTCTTTGCCTCTATGGAGCTCAAGACGATGGTCGCCCATCTACTCATGGAGTATGAGATCAAATGGCCTGAAGAGGTTTCCAAGGGAGCGAAACATTACCGACCAGAGAATATGTGGTTTGGTGGCGCGCTCGTCCCAAATCCAACTGCCGAGATCCTGATCCGCAAGCGGAGGTAGTTCATAGAGAACCTTCTGAGCAGACCTGATCGCTCCCCCCACTATAGACAGATAAGGGCAATGTAAGTTGTTTCAGCGAATTTATTCCTGGAAATCGCTTGTCAAGGGATTAGACGTAGCATATAGTCCTTTTGAGATAACGCAACCTGAGTGCATTCATCCCATGATGGCTTGTCACCAGACATGAACGTGTCAGTCAGGGTCCCAGGGCCAGTGAAAGATTGTTGGGATTGACCGTGTCATTGTAGACTTTGCGATCAGCCTCGAGCAGGCGGTTATAGTTCTCCGTGGCGATTCGATCTTGGACCAGATCTCCTCGGAGGAACAAGTCACCCTCGACCGCTTTTGTCCCATGATAATCGTCGTACTCTGGTACAGGGTTCTCAGTAGTGGTGGTGTCGTAGAGAAACTTTCGAAAAGTCGTTGCTTCGCGTGCACCGTATCAAGCTCTTCTGGTGAAGACAGCGCCATTGAAAGTATTAGTGCCTAATTTAATGACTTGCGAGTCTGCCTATGAGCAGGGGTTCGGGAAGCATGGCATGTGGACCGTCGGCCATGAACGCCCTCCCAATTAATTGTGGGCAAGTATGATCGCATCGTTGTGAGTAGGTGAATCACCGGTATGAGAACAGTCCGGAGAGGATATATTTCCTTCATAACTGTTTCCAAGAGAGATCCCTGATATGTGACAATATCCACAAAGACCCATCCGCAAGCTTCGAGGGAACACCGCTCTTGTCCGTTAGCTGAGATACTCTATTACGAAAGAAAAGACGTATCATGCATGTCAAGTCGAGACTTTGTATTCGAGGAACGATAAATAAAGACGACTTAAACGAAATAGAACTTGTATAACGCGTGGATATTGAGTACGGTTACAAGGAGAATAAGTTTAATCCAAGGATCGGAGAACAGACTAGTACATCGGCTTATGATATAGACATCGAGGAGATAAAACCGAAGGAAAGGGTGAGATTAAGAGGTGAATCGGAACGAGCAAAAGGCGGCCGACTGCGGTAAAGGGATATACAAGTGACGATAGTCAAAGGACCTTGAGGCAATAAAGGTGACCAATGGAAATGATTTCTAGGACGAGTATTAAAGCGATGAAAGATGATCCCTGATTCACATAAGCCCCTATTTAGCGATACAGGATCTTGACTCTTCCTAAATCACACTCTCCGGCACCATCATCATCAAATGACGGCGAAGGTGGAGGTGGCGCACCACCAATCACGGCCAATATCCCTAGCAACACGTTCCAACTCAACCCAAAATGCACACATAGTTCGTCACCATGATGTGTACCGTCGAGAAGTTCGTTGAGATCCGGTGGCACTTCGACGGCCAATCCACCAGCATTTATCCTCCCTGCTGACCCAATGGCTTGATTCCGTGAGAGTTGAAGTTGAGTTACAGCGTGTTGCTGCTGGTGTGCGTGTGCAGCCAGTTCTTGAGCTATAGGAAGTGAGACAGCATGAGTGTCGTCTGTAGTCGAAACCTCCTCTTTGCCTCCACCGCCCATCCCTCGGCTCTGTTGAGTCTCCTGGAGATTACCCATCCCAGGAGGGTACGCATATTCACCCATACGCGCCTTGAGGACGGAAGGCGAGGCGTACGACGCAGGGTTAGAGGCAGAGATTCCACCAATAACCTTTGTAGCCAGCTTCCCATCCGAAAACCGCTTCTCAATCGCGGCTGCAAATGCGTCATTCCCCTTTTTGGTTTCGTCAGCGGCGAGCCCTTTCTCACTGAAGTTAGCCACAGCAGCATTGTGTCCAGCGACATTGGGATTCTGATCCGCAGGAAGGGCAATGGACTGCGGTGGAGGCATTGGTTCCGCAGAGGAACCAAGCTTTGGCGGTGGCTCGGAGATGCCAGAGTGGGTGCTCACGTTTGACGGATGAGGTTCCCCGTCCAACATCTCCCCATAACCGAGAGCTTGTTGAGGGAATAATGTGCTCTTCGGTCTTCTTCGTGCCAATACACCCGGAGTGAATCCGGTTAGTTGAGGTGGTGGGATGCTGGGGGCCACCTGCGTAAACATCATGCGGTCGTCTTTGAGTAGTATTGGCCAACGGTGAACCCGCCGAAGGAAGCCCTTGATGACACCAAATGTGATGAACCGACGAACGTCAATCTTGTCTACGTCTATTTTGTGCCGTCTGATCCATTTCCCAACTGTAAGTGGTGGCTTGAGGCGCGCATAATACCATGCCAGCTGAGGCCAGTCCGGTGGAGAGGAATCCGGTGGGCCTTTATAGACATAAGGCCCACACTCTTCATAAACAGCCGGGTCGGTGAAAAGCCACATGACAGGCCGGCAGAGGGTGTACTATCAAGCGGTTAGAGAGCCGTCGCAACTCAGTTAGGACATACGAGATTGGAGAATTGAAAAATGTCAATCATCATCACACATTGATACATCCTAGAATCGTATTAGCCGCTTTTCGAATGGTAAAGTATCAACGCGTACATCACCTGCGCCATACACTCTTTGACAAGGTCGATATCCGCCTCCGCTTTCTGCGCAATCTTTTTTACATGATCTACTCCGTTGATAAATGGAACGACTTTGCGCATTGTCAAGTCCCAGTTTGGCTCGATACGATTTGCAATGTCGATCAACGGTACTGGTACATCCCACGAGTTGACCTTGGGCGGGTTTGGATAATGTGGAAAGATACGAAGCTCTATAGAATTGTATTTGTCGATCCGGATCGATGTCTCGGAAAACGAATTGAGGTCGGCGAAGAGCTGTTCGAGGATTGGATATATTTTATCTTTCGTTTCAGGAGCAGAAAGGAATGAATGGTCGTTCTGTTAAAGTCAATGCTTGCCTGAGGCTGAATCGTTGAGCACTCACCTCGCACGCCGTCAGCACTCTAGCGAGCTTGCGTACAATGGGTTCGTAGCAGCTGACGTCGACTTCTTTTGCAAATACGAAACAAACATTGAACTGAAACGTCCCGCGCCCGTACTTTTCCTCATCCCAAATCATTACCGGGAAACCAACAATCCGGTGTTTCTTTGTCGTGCAAATCGTCAGCCGCCCACATATATCTGCGCGAGGCACAACGAATTGCGAAACGAGTTCCCACTCGAATAGCGTGGTCGTTTGATTGCCAAGTCCAGCGTTAATTGGGTTGGTAGTTGGGGAGCGGATAGGCGAGAGTGAGTTCATCTTGCCCTGTATATTGGCGCTAGATGTAGAAATGGAGGAAGAGAGGTGAGACGATGTCGACTTGCTGAGACTGTCGCTAGTTTTATTTGCGACCGACATGGACGACGAAGAGCGGATACTCGAAGCGATAAAACTCTCATTTCGAGAGCTTGGATTGGTCGATACTCGGCTATTACCTTCCAGTGGAGAGGATGGAGCCGGAATGCGAGGCGGTGGTGTCGTGATCAAGTCTTCTGGAACTTGAAAGACAATCTGAGGCCCAGCTAATGGATCGAATTTGGCGTAGAAGATGGAAGAGATGTGCATATTGGACAATGACCTTGCCAAACAATAGCAGACGAAGCGTTTGATGTAGACTTAGGCTACCCTGCAGGACGAGTTATAGAGATAATCAAATAGTCCCTGAGCTCATTCGTATCGACAAACGCGTCGCCCCCGACGAAAGGCGTGGAAAAGGGAGTTGAGGTCGAGGCCAAAGTGAGCTTCAAATAGCAAGTACCACCTAAGATGTCCTGTTCATGCATGACAAGATGAATATATGAGAAAATGAAGCAAATACTACAGTATCTAGTGAAAGAGGCTCTCTATTGAGTCTCCGCAAGTGACGAGCCCGCCTGCCTCTTGCGAACTAGAATCTTTGCTTTGGGGTCGGGAAGAATTCCAGCTCCGAACCAAATATCCTTTGGCCGGTACTTTTCGCCTGGTTTGAGGTCCTTTGTCATCTCTGAAGGCCAGCTAAAATCGTAGTTCAACACAAGGTAGGCGAACATAATTTTGAGCTCCATCGACGCAAAGAACCGTCCAGGACAAGCATGTCGTCCATGGCTAAATGCCATGTAATTTGGCGACGTTGAATAAATCGTTTCCTTTGCTCTCGCCACCGCGTCGTCCTCGGGCTTGACGAAGCGGAATCCATCAAACGTGTTTGGATCATGATAGATTGATCCATTCATGTGGGTTGCGTAGACGTGCGTGCTCACGATGGATCCGACAGGTGGCGAGACGCCGTTGGAAAAGGTGAACGGCTTCATGACTCGTTTGTTCATCGCACCTTTGCTGAGCGTAAGCGAGCGAGCAAGAATGAAGCCAGGAACATACTTGGAGAGATAGGCACAACACGCATGCACTCCTTCATAAAACTTTCGACTTTGGGCATATGACCAATAGCATGCTTTGTCCAGCCCATCTCGCCTATAACGGCTTCAATCTCCTCGCGCATGGGCTCGACGTACTCTGGTCTATATCCATAAGCTATGAGAGTACTGCCAGCATCCAAACGTACCGAGAAGTGATCCAGTAGAGGGCATGGGTTAGATTCTACAGTGTATAAGTTTGTAATATAATCTATCACGAGGACATACCAGCGAGCTTGTGTGGATTGCCGCAAAGTTGACGGCTATAATGCGCCTTGTGATACTCTCGACATTCATCTCCTCTGGAGGAGCAGCAGATAGTAGCCAGTCGAGAAAATCCGCCTGGGAAGAATTGAGCCGACTTGTCAAGAAAAAGTGTCGATGTACCTTCTCCGTCTTGTCCTCCTTTTTCATATGCTCCTCGATTACACCCTTTGTGAGCAGCGAAGCTCGCCGAAGCTGAGGTACTTTGGTGGATACAAGCCATCCTACAATGCTAAGTGTGTTTATTGTCAATAAGTTTCTCGAGTTCCTGCAGAGGTCTTACTTTCGGAGTTGGACAGGAAACAGGTTGATAAAGACGGCCGTCTTGAAAACCGATACCGCACCATCGAGGGATATTGATAGCCAATCCGGGTTTCGACATAGCGGGACGCCTACAAGAACACGATTGCTCGCTTTGGCAACGACTTGGAGGATCCAATCGAACGCAGGGAGCTCTTTCCACTCTTTCATTTTGTCAGACGCTTGTATCATATGGTGTAGTGGTGAGATACCGTCGCTATTGAGAATAGGGTCGTTCTCAAACGTGTATTTGATCTCATCATGCACGTCTGGGAAAATGGTGTGAAGATGGCGTGTCATCTACACGTTAATTAGCTCTTGGATTCGGTAAAAAAAGGTGAGAGTTACATAGTTTCGGATGACCGACAGTTGGTAGTCGTTCTCTATAATCTCAGTACCGAGCGTGTGGGTGAGTTGAATTGCTTCTTCCATTGCAGAATCGGTCGATAATACGCTATCCGGGGCGCGGTTGATTTCTTCGGCAAATTCTTCACGGACAACAAGGTGCCATCGATCGCCGTGTGGTATCCAAGCCATGGGGTACTACAATAATCAGATAAATGTTGGCATTGTTAAGTCTCAGCCCATACCAACCTTTTCGTAATACTCCAACCAATCAGCCGGCCCGCGAATACTCATGCGCATCGTCGATAGAATACTGGAGAAGGAGAGAATGCCTCCATACACAGGAACCTATTCGGTACCAGCTTAGTGTCTCTATAAGCGGAGAATCATTTACTCCACTCCATACCTTGTTCTTCCACCAACGATAGAGCTGACCCAGGACCACGAGGCCAAGCCCAACTTGGACCGCATGAGCCGTTGTAATCCCACCTAAACGTTCTTGGACATTTTCTGGGAGTTTATCCACGATCTGAGACGCCCAACGGTTGAGAATCGTCGCGTTCATTTCCAGATATGTGCTTGTGAGGATTCCTAGCCTAGAGGATGGAGACGACGGAGTTAGACAAACGCAGCCTTCAATCACACCGAAGACAAGGATGTGGATGGGTCCAAGCCTCTGTTTCCGAATCCTCAGGGTGGATGCTCATGACCGTCAAATGAATCGCATTTCCGAAGCTCCTCCATCCAGCCAATACGAACAGGCACAGATGTCATTTTTGACGTCTCCTGATATTTAAATATCGATAAAACCGATAGAAGCAACAAGACTGGAAAGAGAAATAGGACCGATGGGGCTGAGGTGCACTCACTGCATGGGCCTCCTAAACGCTTCTATATCCAATATCATGAGCCGTGCGCGGCTAATTTACCCGACTCGTATCGGGCTCTATCCTCTACCGGCCTGCAAGGAAAACAATCCTTGCCTCAGCTACCGGCATCACACTGCCTAAAAGATGGTCTCTTCGTATTATTTGCATGAATTGAATCAAATTGGCAGGCTAGCTAGACCGCTCGGTCGCAAAAGGAAAGTCAAGGTCGAGGTCAAGGTAGAGGTTGGACAATGTGGACCAATAAAAGAAGATAGGATCATAACATAACAATCCTTCCACACAATTTTTTAAACGAGTAGGATAACCGAACCAATCTAAGCAAGTGACGACTTTTGCCTCTTGCGAACCAGAATCTTTGCCTTTGGGTCCGGAAGAATCGCCCCTCCAAACCAAATATCCTTGGGTCTGTACCTCTCATCTGGTTTGAGATTCTTCGTCACCTCGGCTGGCCAACTAAAGTCATAGTTCAGCACGAGATAGGCGAACATAATCTTGAGCTCCATCGACGCGAAGAAGCGCCCAGGACATGCGTGTCGTCCGTGGCTAAAGGCCATATAATTTGGCGAGGTCGAGTAAATCGTTTCCTTTGCTCTCGCCTCTGCATCTTCTTCGGGCTTGACGAAGCGGAATCCATCAAACTTATCTGGGTTCCCATAGATCGATTCGTTCATGTGTGTCGCATAGACGTGCGCGCTGACGACGGTGCCGATGGGTGGTGAGACGCCGTTGGAAAAGGTGAACGGCTGGATGACCCGTTTGTTCATCGTACCTAGCAGGGTGTGAACAAGCGAGCGAGAATGTGAGAAGGAGTATACTTGGAGCGAGTGGGACGAGGCGCATGCACTCTTTCATGAAACTCTCGACTTTGGGCATCTGGCCAATAGCATTCTTCGACCAGCCCATCTCGCTTGTCACGGCTTCAATCTCCTCGCGCATGGGTTCAAGATAGTCGGGTCTATGGGCCATTAGCTGGTGGCTTCATATTAGTCTCCAAACACACCGAGCAGTGATCCAGTAGAGGGCGTGGGTCAGATTCTACAACATTTCAGTCCCCCTTGCCATGTGTTGATGGTAAGATATACCAGTGAGCTCGTATGAATCGCCGCAAAGTTGATAGCGACGATGCGTCTTGTGATATCCTTGACATTGTGTTCTTCAGGAGGGGCGACAGAGATTAGCCAGTCGAGGAAATCCGTCTGCAGAGAACTTCAGTCCAGTCCTAGTAAAAAGTGACTAGGCGTGCCTTTTCCGTCTTATCTTCCTTGTTCAGGTGCGCTTCGATGACATCCTTTGCCAGTACCGAGGCCCGTTGGAGACGAGAAGTCTTACGAGACACGAGTCGTCCAACAAGACTAGAAGGATACTGTCAACAAGTGTCTCGGCTCCTGGCAGTGCACCCTTACTTTCGCAACAGGATGGGAAACAAGTTGATAAAGGTAGCCGTTTTGACGACAGAGACTGCACCATCAATCACGACCGAGAGCCATCCGGGGTCTCGACAGAGTGGAACACCAACGAAGACGCGGTTGCTCGCTTTGGCCACTACCTGGAGGACCCAAGGGAACACTTCGAGTTCCTTCCACTCTATCTGGATGTCAGACCTTGGCACTAAACATTTGGGAAGAGGACGTACCATTGTTGTTGAGTGTGGGGTCGGTATCGAATGTGTGTTTAATTTCATCATAAACTTCTGGGAACACAGTATGGAGGTGACGCGTCAACTAGTACGTGGATGAGTTCCTATCACGAATAAACGCGAAGCACGCACATAGTTTCGAATGATCTGTACATGGTACTCATTTTCTGTAATGACTGAACCAAGAGTGTGTGGGACTTGAAGGGCCTCTTCTGTTGCAGAATGGGAAGACAATACGCTGTCGGGTGCGCGGTTAAGCTCGTCGACAAATTCGCCTCGCACAACGAGATGCCATCGCTCTCCCGCCGGCATCATGGCCATGGGATACTACAACAAGGGGTCATCACGGCGACTACGAAAGATGAAAACTATGCAAACCTTTGAATAATATTCCAACCAATCAGCCGGCCCCCGCATGCTCATTCGTATCGTCGAAAGGAGACTGGAAAACGAGACAATACCACCATATCTCGGCACGGGAATCTATTTAGAGACCATTTCAACGTCCAGCTTTAGCAAATTTGGCCAGCACGGGGCGCCCTCCGACGTACCCGATTCGTCCACGAGCGATAGAGATGGCCTACGACGACGAGTCCGAGCCCTATTTGAACTGCACGTGTCGTCGTGACATGACTGAGATGTTCTTGGACATTTTCGGGGAGCTTGTCCACGATTTGAGAGGCGAAATCGTTGAGAATGGTCGTGTTCATATTCAAAACGGCGTGTTGAGGGACTTGACGCGTTTATTTAGGTGAATAAAGCTTATTTAAACTCGTTCTTTACTGAGGGCGAGGATGAGAACAGGTCCAAGGTACTACTATTGACACCGAGCTTACGCGCCGAGCCTATGGAGCGCCATGGGAATGGCAACTCCCCCTGACCAATGCAAATGTCACGAGAAGCACCCGTACATAGGAAGTTGGTAGAAGACGTATATCGTGAAGAATAAGATACAAGGCGTAGAACAAATCGAGTAGACTAGACCATTGACTGTCGGGTACCTGCCATACGATCTGCTGCCTAGAACGAAATAAGTCGATAGAAACTGAGGGCAACTTGGACGTACCGCTTTGATATACGGCATATTCAGGAAGTTCCCTATCACCGGTAGTTGTCGGAGGAACGAAAGAATGACTGGGAAGAAGTCACTGTCCACTACATTAGTCCGACGCCGTGGCGACTATGCGCAACGTACCCAAAGAGGTTGAGGAAGCCAAACGTCTCGACAATCATGCCGATAAACGGTCGCTTGAAGAAGACGAGTAGGATGCCGCCAAAGAAACAGATTGTGCCTCGCAGCTTGTTCTTCCGCGCGAAAAATAAAAAGTCTTTTGAGGCCCGATGATGAGGGTGAGACCAGAGACGAATAGAATCTAGATGATGTTCAACCAGTGTACTCTAGGTGGAGGGGATATGCGTACGTTTCCGAGTGCCAATAATCCGCCGTCAAAGAATAGCATCACGCCGAGGAACATGAAAAAGGCACCAAAGGAGGTGAGTCCGACTCCAATTTCTGATATTACAAGGTGGAAAGACAAGGAGGTGTTAGCAAATCGTCGTCTGTCAAGGCAAGAGGCGTACTTTGCGCGTCTGTTAGCCACATTTTGTGTCCAGATACACTACGAGTTTATTTGTTTGAGCTTGCGCGTTTGATTGAAAGACGTGAGGAAGGGATTGACGTGACGTGGTACACGGCTAGTGATCCTACGGTCCTCTATGATATGTCCAGCAACACGAGTTGATTATACGACGCGACGGTGTCGTTCTAGAGAATGGTCCGTCGTGGCGAGACGTGGCAGCGTCGAGATTGGAGAAAACAACAGACAAATACGCCGGCAGTTCTTAGCATCGACCATGATCATCAATATATCCCACAATTATCAAAAAACAATGGAATAATCCTTGAGTGCCATCTCTGAAGGAGACATTCGCGACTCTGCGTTGTTACGGCAGAGAGGGTATATCCCATAGACTAGTTGCGCCTTCTCTTTTCATTTTTCAACATACAACGGGCCTCGTGGTGTCGACTTGTTCACTATTCCCGTGTCGGAAATTCGCAATCTCCGCAACGCTAGCCAGCCATCTCGACAGGGATTCAGGTCCCAAGAATGCAGTTTCTTATCGATCGACATGTGCCAAGGTGCCCTTTTCAATTGTTTCCGTGCATCTTTTCGACATGTTGCTCGCCACCCGTGCCGCAGTGTGTGGGTACGTTGGCTTCGATTCATTAGAATCTAATTCATTCTTTAGTCGGATCTAGTCTTTCCCCACATTATCTTCCCGGCTAGCATTGAGAGAAGACCCACCGGGGCCTTGAAGGAAGTTTGACAGCAACTGTGGACCAATGAAAAGCATCATATCAACATAACGCGCGCTTTATCGACTCGAGGCGGGTATACGAGTTTCCGTGGCATCTCCATTGGCCTCTGGGGCACTCCAGGACCATTTAACATCCAACTTTCGACGAGGTGGTGATTGATAGCGAATCCCCACTTTCAGGACTTGCTTAGCATTCACCATGGTTCTCACTACTGGAATCACCGATGGCCCACTCGTAGCCCGTCAAGAGATTCGTGTCTTTGCCAAAGACCAAGATTTGATGAACCTCTTCCTTCTTGGTATGCGCAAAATTCAAGAAGTTGACGAGTCCAAGACCACCTCTTGGTTCCAGATTGCCGGCATTCATGGACGGTATGTATTCCCGTCTGAGGCCTTGCATAGTCCTAACATGGCGGAACTATAGCCCTTATGTCACTTATGATGGAGCCGCTCCTTCGCCATTCCGTGGTGGTCAGGATGGTTACTGCGTCCACTCTTTGCTCCAGTTCCCAACTTGGTCAGTTGCACGGATGGTGCGTGATGCAGCCACTTACCCCACCGTCCAGGCATCGTCCATACCTTGCGTTGCTAGAGCAAGAGATTTACAACTGCATGATTCAAGAGGCTAACAGGTTCACGGATCCGGCCAAGAAAACCAAATACCTCGAAGCCGCCAAGCGATTCCGTTTGCCGTACGTAGTCATCCATTCATTTTACAAACATGACTGATGCGAGGATAGGTATTGGGACTGGGCGGCCAATGGAGATATTCCCGATTTCATCTCACAACAACCAACCGTTCAACTCGAAACACCTGACAAGGGCATCGTAGACAACATTCCAAACCCTCTTTACCAATACAATTTCCAGAAAAAGGGAACCACCTTTGGTCTTCGAGGTAACTCGGTGGTAAGTACCACAACAAGCAAACTTGTAGTGAGCAATCTAATGATCAAAAATAGTTCAACGAGTACAAACATACGGTCCGTGCACCCGTGCGAAACCGAAACGGCCAAGCCGAATCATCTCCCTCATCCATCGAACGTGAAATGGCCAGCAACCGCGCCAGTCTCCGCGCTCGAGTTTACAACCTGCTCGTCAACGCAAAGAACTACTGGTCCTTTTCCCACGACGAATGGCGTGGCGACGTTCGCGTCAACACCATGGACAGTCTCGAGTCTCTTCATGGCAACCTTCACAATTTTATCGGAAGTGAAAATGGTCATATGAGTTCTACTGATTTCGCTGCGTTTGATCCCATCTTTTGGTTCCATCATTGCAACGTGAGCTTTCTCCGCACGTCGTGATCTATCGCTAAAGTGTCAACAGGTGGACCGCCTTTTCGCGATCTGGCAAGGTATGCCCAACGTAAAACCTTGAACTCTGACTTAGCACCCTGCAAGCCCTATACCCGAAGGAATGGTTCCAAGGCGCAGACAGAGAGTAGGTCATCTTTTGTTGACTCTGCCTTTGCTGATGAACATGTAGTCAACTAACACCATTCTGGCGAAAGCAAGGAGTCTACTGGACATCTAATGATGCTGTGCGTCGTTTTGGTTCACTACTCGCCTCTCCTAAACTGGCTTTCCAGCGCGACACCCGTACTCTTAACTATACCTACCCAGAACTCGCCAAATGGAGTGACCTCTCCCCACAAGAAAAATCTGCTCGTCTGCATACCGACATCAACCTCATGTACGGCTCCAGGGCAGCGCCGTTTGCAGCCATCGTTCCAGACTTGTTCAAGCGAACCGCAGAGGTAGAAGCGCATACCACCGTCGACCCAAAGAAACTTTCGATCATCAAGGCACACAAGAATCGTTCGGCGGAGACACCGGCTCAGGAACTGCCTGCCAAGATGATGAGGATGCAGATGCACGGCATTCAAAAGGCTCAAGAGATCCCGTTACCCGCCCCAGTGCAGAGTGAGTTTATATTCGAGTCGATTTCAGCCGCTCATAGAGTGAGCAGTGATCCCAGTCGCAAAGGAAGAGGCCAGTACGACTGCTGGTGAGTAGTTTTGGTTTTTATATAGGACTTTCTAACTATTTGCAGAGGTGGAAGTTCAAGTTCCCGCGTTGGAGACACAAACCTTTAGCATCGAAAAGCAGCCCGAAATCGCATTGCCCCCACCGCCAACTGGTGAGGATACACCCTTTGACTGCATTCTATCACTCACAGAGGCCCTTAGTTGAGCGAGTACTCAAGGAGTACAACGAATGGACGGTGAACATCAGCGTAGAGGTTTGTCTTATGAACCCGACCCGGAGGCCAATCTTACCTGTACATCTAGAAATACGCCGTTCGGAAGCCTTTCCTCGTCTACATCTTTATTGGTGATTTCGAGCCCGACTCGAGCACCTGGGCTACGGACCCCGACCTCGTTGGAACTTGGTCTATGTTCGGCAATGAGCTCGGTTCGTACCTTTTTCACCCGCGTTTGTTTATTGTTAACGGAATTGTAGACAATACGCAATGCGCTAATTGCCACGAGGCGGCGGAACAGCACAAGATGATCTCTGGTTCGATCCCTCTCACCAATGGCCTGGTGAGAAAGGGTTTCGAGTTGGGTGGGCTTGATCGTGAGACGATTGTCCCATACTTGACGAGAGAGCTCCACTGGCGCGTCACAGGCGTACGTCTCTGCTCCTTTTTGTTCCACTGGCGGCACTAACTGTGTACTGTTCTGCAGTTGGCTCGCGAGGATATCAAGCGCGAGGACATTCCAAGTTTGAAAGTTTCTGTCACTCGCTCTGTCGTGTCTGTTCCCGAGAGCCTCACCGAGTTCCCGGTCTGGGGCGAACCAATCCAAGAGCCGGAGATTACTGTTGGCCGTCCAGGCGGTGCCGCCGAGGGCGATATGTAAAGTATCCGTTGACAAACAGCAAGTGTATATCCTGTACGGGAATGTATCGCAAGTCTTACGAAGTGCGTGCAAAATCTCTGAAGAAGTCGTGTGCCACATTGGAAGCTGTCAGTGGACCAGGGTTCCAAGCTGCGCTACGGCGTTACGGCAGACAAACCCAAATCAGATGCATTGGAACACATAACGGGCCTCGTGTTCTTATTTCACTCACTGTTGGCTTTCCTCGACCCTCCGGAGACGTGCAAGCTCCGCGAATTAGCTAGCAATCTCAATCGCGGCTAAGGTCAATTCCTGAAGGTCTCTATCAGTCCTCGCTTGCCAGTAAAATTCTGCGGAGCTATCCGCTAGTAGGACTCTCGGCCCTATGCCAGCAATTTGAGAAGACGGCATTTCATTACAACCTGGGCACGCTATTCATCGAGAGGTCGGAACTGAGTTTCACACATTGGATACTGTCAGGGGACTCGTCCAGCTCCGAACCTATCAAGAACGAGCCTTGCCCCTTCCAAGCAGGACACGCCTCCGGAGATTATCTGCCAGCGATAGCACGTCAATTGGAGCACCATTAACGAAAGTAGCAGCGTCCCCTGACTTCAGGCGGGAATGTGATGATCCGTCGTATAAAACATAGAGGTTTGGCGTACTGATACCAACTGGTCGTTTCCCGTCCGCACAACTTGCACAGTATCAATCAGCACCTATGGTCCTTACTAGTGGAATTACTGGAGGGCGGCCTGTAGCTCGTCAAGAGATTCGTGTCTTTTACCAAGACCAGGATCTGATGAACCTCTTCCTACTCGGCGTCATTAGGCTTCAAGAAGTCGATGAATCAAAAACGATATCCTGGTTTCAAATCGCCGGTATTCATGGGCGGTAGGTAATTAACTTCCCAGAAAATTCATTCTCATCTCAGACTTCTAGTCCCTACGTAGCCTATGATGGTGCAGAGCCTGCCGTCGATGGTGGAGGCTACTGCGCACACTCTACGCTCCAGTTTCCAACATGGTTAGGCCCTCCTAGCTACACGTCGTGCTAGCTGACACTAGCGACAGGCATCGTCCATACCTTGCGTTGATGGAGCAGGAAATATACAAGTGTATGATTCAAGTCGCCAACGAATACACAAACTCTGAGAAGAAGGCCAAGTATCTCGAGGTTGCAAAAAAATTCCGTCTCCCGTACGTATATCAATACATATAATGTATGTACTGACAAATCATAGATATTGGGACTGGGCAGCCAACGGAGATATCCCCGACTTTATTTCACAGCAGCTGACTGTCGAATTGGACACTCCGAATGGGCTCAAGACTGTCCCAAACCCTCTCTACCAATACAAGTTCCAAAAGAAAGGCACCACGTTTGGGACGCTGCCCGAACGTGCCAAAGTGGTGAGTTGCTAGAGTGCCGCGCCTTCAGTTCCTTCTCATTGATAAATCCTATAGTGGGATGGATATAATTACACACTGCGCTCACCACGATCTAATGGACAAACTGTGGTATCCACACCCGAGGATATTGAGCGGCAAATGGCAAGCAATCGCGCAGATTTGCGGACTCGGGTATACAACCTGCTCGTCAACTCAAAAGGCTATTGGTCGTTCTCTCACGATGGCTGGAGTGGAAACCCCCCGGTCACTACGCGCGATAGCATCGAGAGTATCCATGGAAATTTACACAACTTTATTGGGCGACAAGGTGGGCATATGAGCAGCCCTGATTTTGCGGCATTCGATCCAATCTTCTGGTTCCATCATTGTAACGTAAGTTTGATAATTTCTTTCGACATTGTCTCATCAATCGTTATCAGGTGGATCGTCTGTTTGCGATATGGCAAGGTATGGTCTATTACTTGTCAAGGAGTGAGCTTAATATCGTTTCAGCCCTCAATCCCAAGGAATATATGCAGGCTGCAGAGAGCGAGTACGAGAGAATATATTTACCTTGGCATCTACTGATCAGACTCTAGTACCCTGAGACCCTTCTGGATAAAGCCAGGAAAGCATTGGACATCTGCGGACGCCGTAAGAATCGTCAGCCTTTGCTCACCGTCCACTGACGCACAACATCCAGCGAGACACTCGCGCGATGGGCTACACATATCCTGAACTTGCCAAGTGGAGCGAACTCAAACCACAGGACAAATCCGTGCGTCTCCGTATAGACGTCAACTTGATGTACGGAAGTCAGGCTGCGCCTTTCGCCGCCATTATCCCCGACTTGTTCAAGCGTACTCCAGAGGTCAATGCGAATACCACGGTTGATCCTACAAAACTTTCTATCATCAAAGAGCACAAGACCTCAGCGACACCAGCCAAGGAAGTTTCTGCTAAGGTGATGAGCGCCCAAGCGCAGCGGGTTGTTTCACCCCCACCCTCTGTTGGTTAGTGACTTTGACTCAGCGGTTATTCGCCGCTCATTGGATATTTTAGCAGCCCCAATCGTCAAGGAGTATAACGAATGGACCGCAAATATCACCGTTGAGGTAATGTGACAAAGCTATGAATGGTTACAAATGCTGACGTCTGACCTAGAAATATGCAATCAGGAAGCCGTTCCTTGTGCACATTTTCCTTGGTAAATTCGATACAACCACAAGTAACTGGGCAACGGACCCTAACCTGGTTGGTACCTGGTCCATCTTCGCCAATGATCTCGGTGAGCAAACTCTCGTAATGTCAGAGGTCACTCATCAGTCTCTCAGATACCACTCAATGCGCCAATTGCCGCAATGCGGCCGAGCAGCACAAGTTGATTGCTGGTTCGATCCCGCTTACGCGCGCAATTATGAAAAAGGGATATGAATTAGGGGCACTCAACCGCGAGAAGATTGTTCCGTTCTTGACAAATGAGCTCCACTGGCGTGTCACAAGCGTACGTCTCTCTACTCACTGTGTACTCTCGTTGAATCTGACTGCCGTGTGTTCCAGTTGGCTCAAGAGGATATTAAGCGGGAGGATATTCCAAGTTTGAAAGTATCTGTATCGCGCTCTGTCGTTGTCATTCCAGAGACCCTCAGCGAGTTCCCTGTCTGGAAACCACCGGTCCAAGAACCAACGATTACGATTGGCCGCCCAGGAGGTGCTGCAGAGGGCGAGTAGGTTAAATAAACTGTATACTTGTACTTAGCGATGGTTATGAAATCCCCAGGGAGTTGGGTCTCGACGAAAATGTGGCAGCGAAAATGGCGCAAAGACTAAAGAGTCGTAGAGGAGCTAGAAATAAAGATTTATGAGTAAAGAATCATTAATATGACTTTTGACATACGGCCCATATTCAATGAGGCCTGATGCCGAAATGACATAGTTAGATGACCCTGCCTAGGATCAAGAGGGGAGACTGTACACAATTGAATATACACGATATCTCGACAGGGGCATGGTTTTAATGTAGATCATCCACTATGCCCGGATGGGAAGTTGGGTGATAAGATGTCTTGGGAGTGAGAGTGCTGTGGCTTACCCGTTAATTTCCACGGTACCGCTTGGCGCTTCGTATGCGGCCAGTGTGCGTGACTGGGGAAATCGATAATGGGATATTGCAGCCGTCCTCTTGAATCGAGAGTCCACACCCGGTGCTAGCCAATCCGCGTGGGCAGAACCCTCACGGGGCTCGAGATCCCTGTTCGATGCACATTCCGCTGATCGAAAGGACAGTCAAGGGATGTGGCTTGCCTCGTGTTTACCGTAAAGGGACGAGATCTCGACGCGGAAGCCAAACCTGTGGATTGGCGAAGACAGTAAATGCCCCGATCTCAAACAAAGAACGCCTGAGCGTCAGTTTTGAGCGTCAACCGAGCCAATCAGGTGCGTTGAGCGTGACCTCGACGGAGAGTCGCGACTGTTATGGACTTGACACCGCTGTCAGCGCGTCTATTGACAGCGTAATCGATAAGAGAAGTGTATTTGCTAAGCGCGGTGGATGTCTCATTACGCCCAGTTGACAATGAAAATGTGGTTGGTCGAAAGATCAGTGACCAAACAACCCCCCGCGACTTGGTCCCCTCCACGTCTCATCCTTTTGTTTCTCCTCATCAATCCACCATGGTTCTCACTACCGGTGTCACTGGCGGCCCTCTCGTCGCCCGCCAGGAGATTCGCGTTTTCGCTCAAAATCAGGATCTTATGAACCTCTATCTCCAAGGTCTCGATCGTTTCCAGCGCACAGATCAAAAGGAACTCTTGTCCTACTTCCAGATCGCTGGTATTCACGGACGGTGTGTCCCCTCGCTCGCTTCCTTGGCGGACAATCCAGGACTGAAGATTGCCCCAGACCATACATTCCGTACGATGGCTCTGGAAGCGCAGGAAACTTTGGTGGATATTGCACTCACAGCTCCATCTTGTTCCCGCCTTGGTAATTCGTCTTCGCCACCCAGTTTGGGTTGTTCCTGATCGGTTACTCCAGGCACCGCCCTTATCTCGCACTGTTCGAGCAAGTCTTGTACAAACATGTCAACGACATCGCTGCCTCGTACACCGACGCTGCCAAGAAGACAAAGTACCAGGCCGCTGCTCGGAGTTTCCGTATCCCGTACGTCTATTCGTGTCTTTATCTGCTTATAGAAGCTAATCAATCACAGATACTGGGATTGGGCATTGAACGCGGATCTTCCCGACTTTGTCTCCCAGCAAACAACCGTCACCGTCGACACCCCCACCGGTCAGCAGACGATCCCTAATCCCCTCTACCAGTACACCTTCCATCCCGTGTACTCTGACTTTGGAGATGGTCTTCCGGATGAGAAGACGGTTCGTCTTTGCTTTCTCGTTTGGTCATTTCTCATTCCACCATAGTGGGAGTCATGGCAGTCGACGCTCCGTTGGCCCTCGGCAAGGACTGCTGCCGGAAGATCTCAACCTCTGGCGATGGAAAACAACCTGCAGAACAACCGTTTGACCCTGCGTGACCGTACCTACAACTTGCTCACTCAAGCCCGAAACTACGAAGCGTTCTCCAACGATGGCTTTATGGGATCTGGAACCGACCCAACTTTCTACGACAGTCTTGAGAGTATCCACGGCCAGATTCACGTCTTGACTGGCAGGAACGGCCACATGGGTGTCGTCGATTATGCCGCATTTGATCCCGTCTTCTGGCTTCATCACACCAACGTGAGTTAGACAGAGCCATAGTAGGCGATTTCTGATTTACTTTTAGTGTGATCGTCTCTTTGCAATGTGGCAAGGTGTGCTCGCGCGTCTCAAATATTGCATCTGCTAACGATATATAGCACTCAACCCAACCGCTTACGTCGGACGAAGAGTGAACCAGTAGGTGCTCTATCCCAAATCCGGACACAGCTAATCTTTATAGGGCTGGCACGTTCGCCACCAAGCGGGGCACAATGGAAGGTGAGTAAAGCCCTTTTCTGAGGATCTCTCCGTTGATTGCCTCTCAGATGTCAACTCTCCTCTCGCTCCCTTCTGGAAGAGCCAAGGCGTATACTGGACCTCTGCTGATGCTGTAAGTCGGCTTACACCCCTCGCGAGAATGTATTAACGAGGGTCTAGCGCGACACACGTGCTTTGAACTATACCTATCCCGAGCTCGAGAAGTGGGCCTCTCTCACCCCCCAAGACAAGGCCGTCCGCCTCCGCTCAGACATCAACATTATGTACGGCAAATCTGCTCCATTTGCTGCCATTGTTCCAGATCTTTTCACCCTCAAGCCACAACTCACTACCACCAACCAGGCAAACCTGGCCGTGATCGGTGCCAAGAAGCCTGCTGGACGTATCGCCACGGCGGCTGCGGCTCCAGCTGCAAAGGTTGCTGCTCAACCTGCTGGTGGTGCGCAACCAGCTCAACAGCCACTCGCAAAGCAAGCCGCCACGACGGTCTCTCAGGCTGCTAGCACTGTTGCTGGTGCGGCTAGTGGCGCTGCTCAAAAGGTTGCGGCGACTCTTGGTGCTCCTGCTGCCCAGCCGGCTGGCAAGTCTGGTCATTCACGTACGTACTTTCACTCAATATGGGCTATGAGTACTGATAGCTTTCTAGGCGGCGACAGCTCCGAGTTTACCATCACGCAAGGCAGCACTGTGGCCGATGGAAAGAAGCATTACAACGAGTGGATTGCCAATATCACGGTCGAGGTATGACCATCCCTCTTTGCTCCTTTAATCAGAGCTGACAATGTGAATAGAAATACGCGGCCAAGAAGACGTTCATGGTTCACATCTTCCTCGGAGACTTCAACCCGGATCCAGCTCAGTGGGGTACAGATCCCAACCTTGTTGGCACGCACGCCGTCTTTGCGAACAACATGAGTGAGTGGAGCCTGAATACTCTACGACTGAACTGACGGCGTCTAGACTTTACCGGCTGCGAGAACTGCCGCGACGCCGCTGAGAGGCACAAACTCGTCACAGGTACAATCCCTCTCACCGGTGCCTTGGGAGACCGTCTCGGAAAGAACAAGGTATCACACCTCGAGCCTGCAGAGATCATTCCCTACCTCAAGAAGGAGCTCCACTGGCGCATCCAAGACGTACGTTTTCTACTTCTTCCTGCATGATGCTATGAGATCCCTTACTCTTCTATAGCAAGATGATGTTGTCATTGAGCGCGATCACATCCCCAGCTTGAAGGTCTCTGTCGCCCACGTCGAAGTCGCCATCCCCGAGAGTATCGCCGAGTTCCCAGTCTGGTCTGGTGGTATCAAGGATCCCGAAATCACGACCGGTCGTCTTGGAGGTGCTACGGAGAACGACTAGATGCCTTCACGCGGCCCGGCCGTCGAGAGCATAGTTGAACAAAAGGTTTTCTTGTAGTTGTGTAACCAAAAGTGTGATGAATCAAGACAAATGTAGCAGTCTCATATGCACTTGTAACCATGAAAGACGTATGGAGGCAGCTTTGATCTTGCTTTCAGCCACATTGAGCGACCGCGGTACGGCGCTTATTGCTGGTTGCATTCCCTAATTGAATTTATCCGAGTCTGTATATGCGACTTTAATCGGCTGTTCGTGCACCACTCGTCCTCTCCGACTACTTAAATTGTCTTGTATCCGACAAAAGGCGGAAAAAGGAGTGATTAGGAAGGAGAAGCTTACCAGAGCTGTCTTTCTACACAACCTCTGCGATGGATCTATTCGGAAATGTCCACCAATCTCATGGACCATCTACTTGGCGTCCAGAGGAGATGTTCGTTGATACGCGGCAGTTTGGATACTCTAATGGGACGAGCGATAACTCGAGTCGGTTCGTCAAGCTTTCACGAGCGACGCCCGACGGCGGGGCGATTGCACGGAGCAAGGAACATGACAAATTGGTCGTTGTGGGACGCCAAAGTATGTTAAATTCCAGCCTCATATTCACTAAATGTGTATTTATGTGCATTATATAGCCATTCGACTGATCACGGTGACGGACACCAAGCATCATCTTCAAGCCGCCCAGTCGTATGAGACGCCGCCCAAAGGGAATGCATCTCAAAGCCGTGCTACAGGACCAGGAGGCGCAATTGCGGAGATTGGGCCAAATTATTGGTCGACAAAGTTTCCCCCAACAATGCTCTTGACAGACGTGACCTGGGGGCCGCAAGAGTTTTCGAACAAGATCTTTACGAGCTGCACAAATGGCGAGGTTCGCGTGTGGGATTTCGGAAAGGGCGGGTTAAAGTTTGGTGAGCGTCGGAACTGACCCTTCTTCGAGTGGCAGGGACTGAGATAAGGCTAGAGTCTACGCTACCTGGAGGAGGAAGATCTGTCAATGTCGTCAAAGCGGCTAATTTCTCCTCATATTCACTCGCCACGGGGTCGACGGATGGATCTGTCAAACTATGGGACCTCCGCATGCCAACAGCACCAGCTTTCAACCTTGGAGGGCATGGTTCGGCGGTGCGGTCCATGACGTTTGGTCAAGTCCCCACGCATCCGGTGCACGTCGTCTTTGGGCTCGAGGCGGGTGCGATATTTCGCTATGATCTGCGAGTAAGTTCTCCTGGGCGGTGTCACTTCGAGAGTGTTGACTCTTTTCTTTCGGAGTTGGGTATCGCGTATCTTGATCGTGTTCCCGCACATAGCAGATGCGTCCATGATTTGGCGTGGCTCCCACCAACAAAAGACGAGGCAAACGTTGGTTACCTTGCATCTGGCTCATTTGACCATACGGTAAAGGTAGGAACCTACGACTTTCTCGAGTATGTGGTGCTGACCTGTTCAAAGGTCTGGAATATCGACTCGACGCGTATTGGAATGCAACCACTGCACACCATTCATACTCCGTATCCTGTCGGCAAACTTGGCTGGAGACCATTTTACGACACAGAGGTTCTTGTTATACCATACCATGGCGGATGGACGCCTGCTAAGCCCCAAGAGAATAGTGAAACCCGCTTTGACTCAAACGAAGAAGTATGCGCCCCAGATTTGGGACGTCAGGAAGGGATGGTTGGCCAAGTGGCAGCTTCCTACGATTGATGGACCAGTCACAGGTACGATCACTATTTGCAACCACGACGCGTGAAGTTGATCACTGGTAAAGATGTTGCTTTCAATGAAGGAAATGCTGCCCAAGTCGTATACAAGTCCGGCGCTTTCGCTCAGCTAGACCTCCGCGAGGCCACTAGACCGGTGGATACCATTGGTCGACACGCACTCAGTTGGAATGCCAATTCATCCCTCTTCTTCGTGGCTGATCCCGTTCCCCTCTCCGAGCCTCCATATGACGACTTGTGAGTGACTCACTTTCTGACTGCGCTAGTACTGATACGTAGGCAGACACCCAGGAATCTCTGCTATGCTAGGAGACTATGGATTGGCAGATAAACGGCCCGGGGATCGCCTTGGAGTGGCGACGACTCAAGTTCTTGGAGCGCAATTCGTCTTCCCCGATTTGGACCGCGAGAGCTACATGAAACTTGCTCGGGGATATAATCACCACGACGAAGATAAAGTGAGGATGTGCAAGCGCAACGAAGATGTGGCTACACGTGCCGGACAGCACGAAGTTGCACAAACCTGGGCACTTCTTGGCTCTCTGCTTAGCGAGTTTAAACGAGCCAAGAACGAAGAAGTTCACAGACACTCAATCAATCTCCCTCCAGAAACTCCTCTTTCCGCCAATCCGTCTGCGCCTACAAAGGAGCCTCAATCAGGTCAAAAGTCATTCTCAAGAAGTCCCCCGATAATCGCTCATCATGGTACCACAAATCCTATCGATTTCACCTTGGATGGGGTAGAGATACCGGCCGCGGCCACGAAGCGCAAAGGAAGTGGGGGCTCTTCCTTGTTGCTTGGAGTGATGCCTGGCTCGCAGAGGAGGAGAGAGAGTTCGCCATCGATGCTCACAAATTTGCGACCCCCTATGCGTTCGCCGTCATCGTCACCAATATCAAAACTTGCAAAGCTACCATCATCGAATACTGGCGTTAATGCTGTTGGCTCAGTCATCAGTCGACACTTCTTGGCGAGAAGGATGTCACGTTCGTCTAGTAGCAATAGTCCTGGCCCCGGAGCCGCAGGAATAGCCGAACAAAAGCAAGCTTGGAAGACCTATGTCAACGCGGGAGAGGGTGCACTAGAAGACAGCAGCAGTGAAGAAGAGGAAGGAGCAGCTGATGATTCTGATGAACGCGTCGTCCACAGCGAAGCGTCTATGGGTGCGTCGTGGACTCAGGAGAGAAGCACGTTGACAACGCTGAATCGCCAACATCCGACGCTGCATTCGTCGTCCTCGTCGAACCGGTCCTCACCTGCGATTGGAAGCAAGAGGCTGCTTCCGTCACCGCACTTGACGAGCACCCTCACGGGCCTCCTCTCAGGTTCTAGTCCCAAAGGAACCAGTCCACAAACCCAACTATTGGATATTCAAGATGTGACAGAGGACTCTGGTGAAGAGTCTGATGAGACGGATGAAGACGACGATGGCTCGCGTTCCGCAGAGTCGCGTCAGCGGCGAAGTGGTAGCTCTGAGGATGACGGAAGAGCGGGATCGCAGAACGGGATCGATGTTCCAGGTGATTCGCGCGTCAAGTTTGATCCCCCAAGTCCGACCTTGGCCAAGTATACGGCGAAGAGCAACGAGTCTTCGCGTACTGCAACTATATCACGAGGCGGTGGACTCAGGGCGCTGACAAAGCAAGAGTCGACGAGCAGTATGGCTACAGCATATCAAATGGGCTCGGTCGATCTCGCTACATCACCGTCCTATGGGGCGTCCTCTATTACACCCACAATGGGGACTGTGCGGATTTCGGCTCTTGTGCGCAAAGACACAGATCAAACTATTAGCCTCAATGACGTGATAGAGTCGAGCGAGAGTAGTGCAAGGCGAGTGAAAGGGCCGGGTGACTCACCGTCCGCCAAACCTCTCTCGTTACGGAATCTCTTTGACCCTTTGGCTGCGCCTACTAGTACGACTAGTCCGTCAGCACCCGTACCGACTCGACCACCGCTTCCTCGCACAATGTCCCATGGCGCAACGTTGAATAGGGCTACGCATGGCACGCTGATGAGTAACATTGCCTCAATGGGAAGCAATGGTCTGGATCAAAGTAGCTTCAACTTTGGGCCAGCTACTGATAAAGAGGAGGAGACATCGTTGAGCCAGGCTATCGTGCACGATCTCGAAGAAAAGGAAAAGACCGCAATGTTTGATGTCGTCAAGGATATGCTGGAGATGTATGCAGAGGAGGGGAAACGTGCAAATGTGCGCAGCGCTTGCTATGGCTGCGCATGAGCAGCTGGAGATTGATCCAGAGCGGTTGGAGAGCTTTGTGCTCACCTACATGGGTAAGCTTAGTACCTCGTACGATGATATATTCTTACACTTGCTCATAGATCAACTTGTTCGAATGCGACTTCATCTCAATGCGGCATACGTCCGCCAATCGGCCCCGATACCCTCGATTGTGGAAAGTACCGCATTGGACGTCTTTATCAAAGTGAACTGCGGTCGATGCGGAAAGGGTATCGACGCGACAAGGCCTGCCGGTGTTCCAGGACGATTTGCGTATTGCGAACATTGCAAGAAAGAAGCTATCAGGTGTGCGATATGGTACGTCTTCTGATTCAACTATGACGCTTTTTAATCTTTACCAGTCATCTACCCGTTCGACGAATGCTCTTCTTCTGCCATACGTGCGGCCACGGTGGACATCATCGTTGCTATCAACAGTTTTACTCGCAACACTCGCTCATCGACCTCCAGAATCCTCGATCCAAATTTCCTTATACACCTTATGAGGAGCCACGTCCGGCAGTACGCCCTCAGTTCGGGCCTCGAGTGAATTCCACTAGAGCGTCCTCTGTGGACAACTTTTCGATGGAAGACGACCAACGGACAGACGCAGCGTCTCCTGCGCCTCGAGGTCGCAAGCGAGACGTGCGGCGTGGCATATCCGAAGTGGATAGCCCCGAGACCATACCGGAGCGCGATGTTGCCCAGTTTTCGTCTACCGCGTCTACGAGTTCGACGCATGGGGGGCTATCACACAAGGAAGGGAGCAGACGCTCGCAGTCTGCGGCTGAATCGACGATTGTGGACGATGACCGGCTGATGCCTGAAGAGGAGCACATTCTAGTGCGAGAACGGGAAGCCGAGCAGAGGCTGGCTGCGCGAAGGAATATGCACCTGTTTGCGCATCCATGTGCGGCAGGGTGTGGGCACTTTTGCTGGATGGCAAAGGACTAATCTGCGGCTAAAACCCCACCTCGTATTGATTATCATATCTTCCACTCGGAAATGGTGATGTGACTTGTGACTAATGTTATTAGCGATTGACTGACCACGCTGGCGCTCTGAGACTGTCCGCGGTGAAACCGGGCTAAGCGACGTTGCGGAGACCAAACAAGGGCTTGCAACTTGGACTCGATCCACGCCCTTTGTTGGCCCGCTGCTCACCAAAAACTCAGCTCTCTGCCTTATGACAGACTTAGAACCCTCGTGAGTAGCTTATCGGCGCCGTTTGCGACGTCCGGTCCCTCGGAAAATTTGCTCGTGCTGACCATTTTGGGCAGTTGTAGAGGCCACAGAACCGTCAACATTCTCCTCCTTGCTCGAGAACTCTCTGTAGCGAGGGACCGACCTCCATAAGGCGTCCGTCGCTGCCCACACCCACGCATACCGCTCTAGCGCGCCAATCTAACCGGGTTTATCCATCGCACATCGATCAACAACCAACCACTAGTACTTTTCACAACCTAATCAATCTACAAAAATGCAAGCCATTCGAGTATTGCGTGCACAATCGCGCCCTGCCTCGCCGGCACCCCTTGTCGAAATGTCAGCCAATGGGTCGGCGACGATGGCAAGTCCAAAGCTCGGTCCATATGGACAAGGAGAAGATCAATCCCAAGGCCGTTCTGGCACTACCATCTCGCGCATCCAAAGCTTGACGCCATTTCACAAACGTGCAGTCCCCACGCCACCTCCGTCCCCTGCTCCGATGACGATCGTCCAGGATGGAGCTTACCTCAACACACTCGGTCTTAAACTCAACGAGGCTGCGACCAGGGCATTGTCAGTGCCCAATGGTACCGGTGCGGATGTCTGGAAAGGGAAGAAGCCCGTCCCGAGTGGCCGCGGGCGGCAGTTTGCAGCTCTCATCGAGTCGTGAGTGGTTGGACAGCCTGTACGGTTAACATTGGTGGCTGACATGTCCGTTTTCCAGTGAACTCGATGCGTCTGTGGGCAATGCTAATCTGAGGTCTGCCATCCTCAGGCTCTTGCCGCGCTCCTTATCGGTCATCGTTTCCTCCCTTTCGGCTCAAGCCTCTCAGCTTATCGTCGTCCCTGGATTCGTCCCAAGCTCTGTCACACAGACTCTGCACCCTGCGACGGCACATGGGCTCGCGTTGGCTGCCTTTGCTTCCGAGCTTCTAGAAACGTTTGCGACCTACAAGCTCGGAGCTTCCAACTCGGATCTTGCCGTCATTCGGAGCAACCTAGAGACGATCATTACGCGCGTCATCACTCCGCTCTTTGCCCAAATCCAGGCCGAGATGGCAAATCTCCTCGAACCCCTGGGCTCTCCTTCCAACAATGGATCGTCTAGCCCTGGGTCTTTCCCTGGAGCAAGGACGAGCAAGCCGCATCAAATCATTGCCACGCTCTCGACCCAAATGCCCCTGTTCAATCGAGCTCTGAAGCGCTATGTGCTACCCTACTCACCCAGTGCCCAAACCGCATTGGCCACGTTCCTCATCAACACTGTGTGGACGTCATTGGTTCAGATTGCGCACCGCAGCCCTGTTGGTCTGACAGCTCCAGCGGCCAGTGTCGTTCACAAGCACTCGTCTTCGTCGCTCCTCAGCGGGCTCACACCTCCGGCCTCTCCCCCCATGAAGAGGCTCACACCCCCGAGCTCACCTCCAACCAAGAAGCGTATTCTGCCTCTCACAGACTCGCCTCCAAAGCTTCAACTCCGCTTGAGACGCGTCCCCAGCGGAGGTTCATTGAACTCGCGGTCCAGCAGCCCCGATTTGCGCAACGCGGCGCAGCTCGCCATCTCTACATGGGTCAATTCACTGATGGTGGACACTCGTGCCGTGTACGACATTCTCTCGTCTGCAGAGGTACCTCGTCCTGCCGACGGGAGTCTAGCGCGCGAGGCTGTTGATGAAGCCTTTGATCGTCTTGCGACGTTTCGCGATTGGTTTGTCGCGACGAGCGCCGCTGGAGGTCGCCTTATTCACAATGTCCCCTCCGATCTCCCACTCTTAATCGTCTTGCCTGTTCTCCTCAGTGATGCCTGGCTTGAACGCTCGCTCGTGTCTTCTCATGTCGGCACGATGACGGCGTTTTCAACTGGGGACGTCGAGTATCCAGGAATGGCAAAGTTGATTGGATACGACAATGAGGAGACGTACCGCAAGCGTGTGCTTTGTGGATTTGGGCGCGCGGAAGAGTGCGAAGCCATTGTTGCCGATCGTGTCTTGGATCGATTGGCTAACTCCGATGGAGGCATCGAGTGGGCTGCCAATGTGCGCCGCTGGCTCGAGGAAAGACAGAACGTTGTCGCCTAAATCAGTGCCAAGCAAACTCGACTACAGTTCTAATTCTCGTTTTTTTTTTAATTGGATGTCAGGAGCTAGTGCTACTTATCGTCTCTCTGGCTTCAATCTACGTCTATCTCTGTCATTTTTGTCGTCTTTTCTGAATTACATGCGGTTTCCCTCTCTCGAGTCAAGAAGTGTCGTTTACGAATCCGCGAATGGCGTACATTTTCTCTAGTTTTCCCATCTGGAGGTGCGTCAGTTGGAGAAAGAGAGGTGGATGGACGTACGAGGTCGATGAAGCCTGGTTCGCTGATCACTTGCATCACGGCTTGTTCTAGCTCTTTCTCGGATAATGCATTTAGATTGGCCTCCTCCGTAACTGGTGTTCGGATAGGAGCACCCCTTGGGCGGAATAAAGGGTCGAGCTGAGTGAATATATTACCATATTGAGGCTCCCCAGAAGCTTTCTGAGTCGAATGAGTTCCTTCGGGATGTACCGGAGGGGCGAGAAGATTGCTTAGGTGAGATAACGGAGTCCGCTGCGTCGGATCGCTCGAAGAGTGCGTGGAGGGTAGTACTTGAGACGATCCGAGTGCTTGTATTTGAGAGGATACTGGCATGGGCGAAGAATGGTATTGTGCGATGGGAGATGTCGTAGGGAGAGACAGGGCGGGAATATGTAGTGAAGGGTTCCCGCTGTAAGCTTCCATATTCGGTTGGTACACTTTAGAGCCAGAATGGGTATTTCCATCCATCCCCGTCTGCTGCGTCGAAACTAGCGCATCCTTCCATTCGAGCTGTGGTCCAGGCAGAGGTCGACCACTTGAAGGAACATTTGTGCAATGTTCAGTAGCCAATTGACTAGAGAAACCTGGCGCGCTAAATTCCGGATACGTCTTGACACTGCCATTAACCTCGTCCAGTTTGCGCTTCTTCTGTGTGGGGACAGTGTTTGCAGTCAAATTTACACCTAACGTGGGCTCCTTGCGAGCTACATCGCTGGTGGATACTGGACAAACGATTTGGATTGCGGATACGACGGCTTGGCAATCCGCGTCGGTTTGAAACGTGAGCTGGAACCGCTTAAAGTACTTGATCGAAATAGTTAGCGAATGAGATGTTGGTGAGAACCATAGATACCTGGGTTGAAGGACTGCCACTCAGTGGCTGGATGTACCGAAAGCCGAGTTGCTTGCCACCGTGAACGGCCTTTATCGGCGAAGAATGGGGAATTCCCGGCCTACTAAACTCTACTAGATTTAATTTCTCCTGCGAAGCAGTGAGTTGGACCCCAACGTCGCGTCGCGACGGCCATACCAAAAGAATGATGCCTCCGGGTCGGCTTTCCTCGCCATCGACTACGTTTAGATTCAGACTGATCAATCTTTGTTGGTTATCGTGCACCTGTGTGATGACGATGCGGAGCTGCGAGTTTGCATTGGTCGCGTACATTCGCCATTCCTCTTTAGGGACGTGTGGCCGTATATGACCTGGTGAGTCGCGTTGATATCGATAGCACATAAGTGAGTATGTCTTCGTTGTAGCCATCGTCGTAGCCATGTCGGACGAGTCAAGACTAAGTAGTATTCACCACACGCAAAATCCAAAGACTGACAAACAGAATAAATTCCATAGAGAATACCAAGAGGATACAGTAAATATTGGGCATATGCGAGATAGGGAAGAACGTATCATTTGTCAAGGGGTTGGCAAATAACCAGAGGAGCTCGAAGCTGTCTGCGCGTTATGGAGCACTGTCGCAGGCTGCTGAGAGCTCATCGAACTCGGGGTAAGAGGTTGCCCGGCACCCGCAGGTTGATTAGATTGCTGGCTGCTTTGTCCTGAAACAGCAAACGGCGAGGGTGGCGCAACACTACGGACAGCTTTGATGAGTTTCATCAAAGGCCTGAACCACATCGTCTCGAGTTCCTCGGTCGCGTCCCGTGTGAGCTTCAGTGCTGCTTCCCAAACTTTTTTCTCGTCGTGCCATGGAACGTACGCCATATCTCCACTCGGAGGAGGCCCTGGGGACGGCAATATGGTCTCGAGAGTCTCCAGTGCGTCTTGACACCGTTTGCCAAGATCCGCAGTGGCTTTCTGGTTCCTGTCACCAGTTTGATCCCAGGCAAGGAGACAGTCGGAGAATCCTATGATAAAATTGGTTATGTCCCTCACCATGTCCTCGCGACTCGGCGGTTTGCCTTTGATAATCCCGAGTCTGTCCATGCAACGCTTGCAATTGAGGCCTTCGGACTTCTCATCCTTTTCATCAAGCAGGTGCTCGACCCGCTCAAGTGCAGAATATCCCAGAGCACGATATCCCTCATCATCATGATTCGTCAGGTTGGTCGGTAACCTTTTGAGATCGAAATTGTCATGCGTTAATCTTTTTTTAAGAGTATCGCGGAGTGCCCCTCGTTCGAGAGAGAGGTACCATCGTAGAAACACACACAAAAGCTTTGATCTGATGGGTTTGACCAATTTCACGACAGGTTTGTCGGTGGATAGGCAGCTTTCAGCAAGGAATATATAATTCTCTGGAATAATGTCGTTTTCGAGGATCAGACTAGGTTGGTTACGGCCTAGTAGGGTAAGAATTGGCAGAGCTTCGAAGCATTTTTCAAGGATAGCACGTTCGGTCGACTTGTCCGCATGTCTCAATAGATGAACGATCATGTCGAAGTCAAGGCGGAGCCGCCAGCGCGTGATATGGGCCTCCATTGTCTCTTTCCTGAGGACTTGCTTAGTGTCGTTTACAAGGCCGCTTCCATTATTCTCTTCGTCCTTCTTGACGTGCGCAGATGGATAAATCCCCCTCACGAGGGAGGTAAGAAATCTGGACAGAGGCGTCTGGAATGGAGAGTCTAGTTTGAGGACGGAGATTAGAATGGTGGCAAGGAAAATGATCATCCCGATCACGAAGATGGTGATCGGCCAGGGTGCGATTGCTGGAGCAGTGGCAACCAAAAGGCGGAGAACTCCAATAGCGGAAATGAGCAGAGAAATATGCATAAATATAGTAAGAAATGTCACGAAACTGGATAGCTTCCATTTTTTGGCTCCAGCATATCGATAATGGCGGATACGACCGCGATGCTGGATGGAAGAGACACCGTCAAGATTATATCGGTAGCTGTATGTCCATTGCTTGACAAGGATTCCCAGAAATGCGACAAAGATGCTGATGAAGAGGCTAGTAAAGAGGAGCCCATTGACGGCGGTCGCATACGAAGGTACGGCCCCAGAGTCTGGCTGAAGTCTTGGATACGTCACCTGAATGATCCCAGTGAGAACTGCAGAGAAGAGGCCGGCCTGATATGGTAAGCCAAGGTCACACGAAGCTGAAAGCTCTCACAAATATGAGCAGAACGTCGACAGTATTATTTATGTCCTTTATAAGGTCTTGATCGTAGGAATTAGCGCCACGCATGTAAAGCTGCCAAATTGTTGGTGCATCTTTCTGATCCGAACCACTAGGTGCCAGCTGAGTTATGTTGTCAACTGTGGGTGTTCCTAGTCCTTAGGAGAATTTTTTAATAGGAAAATCATATACAGCAATGCGCATACCGTCAGGGTTGTTGTACTTATAGACTACGTTTGACATGACTCCTAGTGGTCACAGAAAATAAAGTGCGAGAACAAGGAAGTATAAGACAGAAGTCGTTATAAATGGTTGGAGGATTGTGAGTGGGTCCAGGTCTCGCTGTCCATGCAGCAACTTTGTTGGCTTTATGCGGCTCGCCCATCCCAGGAACGGACAAAGAGTACCGGATCCAGCAGATGCTATGCTGAATTCGGCTCCGACAAAGGAAATCTTGTCGCGTGAGTTTGGAAAAGGAGAATGGCCTATCTTTTCCCATTGTCTATGTATAGTCAAATATGGACCAGGAGCGCTCCTTTATTGTCAGCCATGAGGATAAGGACGAGACGAAAGTGGGAGTAAGATTCGATTGCGCACAGATGTGTTTCCTCTTGAGGTATGTTTGGCCCTACATTCCCGAAAGAATTGGCGCTGACATTCTCCGTGTACTCTTTGGAGCCCCCGTTTTGGACATCATAGACCGGCCGGAACCGTTAATTATGATACGAAGCACTCATTATCATGCAAAGGATGAAAGAGAGGATTGGTATAGTACGGAACTCTTCAGGATGCGGTCTCGGGACACAAAGGAGAGTCAGGAAGCCTCTTATATAAGATATATACATCTCGTAACGTTTATTTACATGCTCGACCTGTGATTAGTCACCAGAATAACTACGAGGCTATAGTGATGCGTTCCTGGAGAGCTTGGCTCCGCTGACTGATTGTGTCAGCCGATTTGAAACGACAAGAAATGAGATCCGATAAATATACCAAATATATGAGACTGAGCAAAGCATGATTACAGTTGATTACGTCGAAGAGGCTGAACGTATCCAGAAGTTGTAGCTACGTTCCCACCCGGAACTACTGTAGATACCCTTGGATTGCGACTCCCACCAGAGGTAGCCTTAGCGGTGGTGTGTTTAGGACCAGGCTGTGCATCAAAGGGTGTGGCTGGCGGATTGCTCTGGACGGTGTCGATGAATGCAATGACGGGGTCGAACCATGTCCTCTTTAGGTCATCTGTCGCGCCCCTCGCTTCCTCTAATACTAATTTCCACGATGCTTTTTCCTTGTCCAATGGAACGTATGCAATAGCTTCTTCTTCGGGGGGATCTGAAGGCTCTAAGACGGATTTGAGCTTTTCCAGTGCGAGTCTACAACGTTCGTCGCGATCCACCGTGTCCATCTGGTTCTTGTGACCATTTAGATCCCACGCAAGGAGGCAGTTGGAGAATCCGATGATAAACGTGGTTATGTTCTGCATCATTACCTCGCGATCCAGAGGTTGGCCTTGGGTTTGGATGCGCCCAAGTCGGTCCTTGCAAAGCTCGCAATCAGGGTCGTCTGATTCCTGATCAAGTAGGTGCTCGATGCACCCGAGCGCAGAGTATCCTATCGCGCGATTTGTAGCATCTTCATCATTTGCCAGCGCAGTTGGTAGTTCTCTGGGATTGAATCCGTGATGCAAGAATCGAGTTTTGAGAGCGATGCGAAGTTCTGAAGTTCTTTTGAGAGAAAGGAACCATCGCAGGAACTCACAAAGTATCCTTGATCTGTTGAGACGGTCTGGGTTGACCGCTTTTGCCCCAGCTTTACCCTCGAGTAGGCAGCCCTGTGCGAGGAATACGTAGACCTCTCCTATGATCTCCTGTTCGAGGATCGACTGAGGCTCTTCACGTGCCAGAAGAGTGAGATTTGGTAGGCGTTCGAAGCACTTGTCAAGAATCGACCGCTCCGTCGACTTGTCCGCTCGTTTCATCAGATGGGTGATAATATCCAGGTCTAACTGGAGCTGGGAGCGTACAATACGGATTTCCTTTGTTGCCTCTCCGCTGGATTGCTTGAAATCATCCTCGAGACCTCCCCCTTTACTCTCCTCATCCTTCTTGATTTGGGCAGGTTGGTGAATCTTGTCTACGATCCAGGTGAGTACTCTGGATAGAGGTGACCGATACGGGGCTTCGGGACGAAATACTGGGATCAGGCTCGTGACAATGAAGATTGTGGTGCCTATTGCGAGGGCTGTCGCTGCTCCTGCTCCAGTCTCTGGAGCAGTTGCATACAGAAAGTGGAGAATTCCGATGGCGGAGATGAATAAGGCGATATGCATGGAGATGGAAAGAAGGGCAACAAACCCCGACAGCCCCCAATACTTGGCCCCGACATATCGATAGTGTCGAACGCGTGCCCGAAGTTGTGTCGAGGACACGCTTTCGAGGTTACGCTGATAACTTCTTGCCCATTGTTTGACGAGGATCCCCAGGAGTGCCACAAATATGCTGATGAACAGACCAGTGAAAAGGAGAAAATTGACGCGGGTCGCATAAAGAGGTACCTCAAACTTCTGGTGGGTTGTACTCCCAGGTTGGCGAGTCTCCTGAAGGATGGCGAGCAAGATATCCCCCTGGTCCGGTTGCAACTTGGGATACGTTATCTGTATCAGTGCAGAGAGCACTGCGGAAAAAAGCCCGGCCTAGGCGGCGGTCAACAAAGAGCGAAAGAGACTGTCAACACTTACGAATACAAGGAGCACATCAACCGTATTATTCGCATCCTTTATGAGATCACTATCATAATGTCTCATGCTACGCATATAAAGCTGCCAAATCGTCGGCTCAATTGGGGGCCCTTCGGCGGAAGAAAAATCTTCGTTGCTCAGACCCCAACTGGGCGGTAGCTGAGTCACATTGTTGACTGTTAATATCTCTAGGCCTGAGAGATGCTCTATTAGTGACGAGAACGTATATATAAATGTGCATACCTGTCTCCGGGTTGATCTTGTAGTGATAAGTGACCCCCGACGCCATCTCTCCAGAGAACAACTACGAAATAGAAAGAAGAAAAGCAAGAGAGACAAGACAGAACAAGAAGGGCACGACTCAAGAGTTGTCGACGGGTCCAACCTTGGACAGCCTCTTCGTGGGTTTCGTGCGGAGGCCATTCGACTAGACTGCTTGCTCGGTAAAGAACAAAGCAGCAGTTGGTTTGCAAAATTGATGAGATTCAGCCCGTTGGAGCCGAGGAAACGTTAAAACCTCGTGGTCGACTTTACAGTCTTCAACCAGGACATTGCCATTATCCACATTCAAATTTAGACGCAGGTTACTCGCATCAGAGACACAACAAGACGAAGTGCCACTTTACATTGGCGGCATCGAGCCGCATCTCTCAGTGGGAGTATAAATATCAGCCTGGCGAGCCGTCTCGATAAGAAAGAAGACCTCTCTTCCTATCTTAGCAGATGTTCTAGCTCGAATTGACGGGAGTGACATATATTCACTAGAAAATTAATAAGCAATTTCTGCAGACGAGAATAAGTACATATTAGCAACTGATTCCACTGCTTTGCAGCACCCCGTCTCTGTGCAAGCGCCGCCCTACACGAGGATATTTCCGTGTGTCCGATAGTGTGCACTCATTTTTGGTGCCAGAAGATAGATCTGACGCCTCGAATACGGATGCGAGAATGCCCAGTGCTAAAGTAGATCGCTATTTGTACTTTTCCAGGGCCTCCTATGATATTGGACGCTCTCGACCGCAGATAAGGAGGCAATTAGAGAAGCTAATGAAGAAATTCTGCATCATGGCACCACGGCTCTGGGTTCGCGTTTGAATGCGCCTGAGTCCCTCGTCGCAAGGCTTGCAATCTGACCTATCAGAGTTGCCCTCGAGAAGATGATCGACAAGACCAAGTGCAGATTATGCCTCCATTATCTGCCCACCATTCAGGACTTCGATTGGTGCGCATGCGAGGTCTTGATCAAGTCAAGTTTCACCTACAAACACTAACTCCAGGCGTGTTGGTGCAAACATACCAAAAACAACAGGGTCGCATTCTCACTATGAATTTACATTCAAATTTCCGCAGATGAGGACAAAAATGACGCGAAGGAGACTGTCATGTACACGAGATTGAGAGTTGCGCCTTACAGACCCTGGCCCTGTTTCGGAAGTTGAAGATGTTTGGATATACTCGAGTCGGTACGCAAATCGGGAGTACCTCCAGCTGGCTGTCCGCGACTTGGACTTGGACTTGGCTTGCGACTTCCCAACGCACTGGCAATACTTTGGGAACTAGCCTGTCGCGTGGGATCCCTAGGCGTCGGATTGCTCTTGACCGTGTTGATGAAGTTGATTGCGGGGTTGAACCATATCCTTGGCAGTTCTCCAGTCCCATTCTTTTTCTGCTCGAGGGCAGATTTCCACACGGCTTTCTCCTTATCCCATGGGACAAAGTCGTTGACTTCATTCTTGGGTAAATCAGGAGGCTCCAGGACAGACTTCAGTGCACCTAGCGCCGTTTCACACTGCGCTTCACGGTTGCGTCTTATTACGGTCACAAACAAGGAGGCAGTCGGAGAATCCGATAATAAACTTGCTAATGTTTTCCATCATCGCGTTGCGATCCTGGTTCTTGTCTTGGATACTCGCTAGGCTCTTCTCGCAATGAGCGCACCCCTGGTCGTCACGTTGCTGCTCGGACAAGTGATCGATACGACCAAGTGCGGAGTACGCTATAACGACGTTTTTGGTATCGCTCTCCTTTACTTGGCCAGTTGGGTTGGGATCACTATACTTTGCTAGAGCAGTCGGCAGTTCTCTCGGGTCAAAGTTGTCCTTGGTGAGCCGTCCTTTGAGAGCATAACGCTGATCTGAGCACCCTTCAATGGAAAGGAACCATCGCAGGAACTCGCAAAGTAATACTGCCCTTTTGCGGCGGGTCTCGTCGACTGTTTTCTCACCAGATGCCGGCTGGAGAATGCAACCCTTTGCAAGGAAAATATATACCTCTGTAATAATTTCCTTTTCGAGGATGATATGGGGGTGTTTGCGCTCCAGTGTAACGAGATTCGGAAGATGCTCGAAACACAAGTCGAGGATCACCCTCTCGGTCGACTTATCCGCTCGCTTTATCAAAGACGCGATGATATCGAGGTCAAGATCGACCCGCTTGCGCACGAGATCGATCTCCTTTGTCGCTTCCTTGGGAGAATGTCCAAGGTCATTCTCTAGGCCTGCGTCCGAATTGCTCTCTTTGCCTTCCTCCTTATCTTCCTCGACATTACTCGCCTTGCCATGCTGGGGATGAGAGTGGACATGTATCTTGTATCCAATCCAGGCGACCCAGCGTCCAACCCAGGAGACAATCCACGAAACCCCCTTCGACAGCGGCGATTGGAAGGGAGCCTCTGGTTGGAAAAGGGGGATGAGGCTGGTGACGAAGAAAATGAGAGTCCCAATCCCAGAGACTACGAGTGCGACAATTCCAGCCGCTGGAGCAGTCGCGAATAAAAGTTGAAGGATTCCGATGGCAGAGATGAATAGGGCGAGATGCATGCAGATCGAGAGGAAGGCGACAAATCCCGATAACTTCCACTTCTTGGCCCCTTTGTATCTGTAGTGGCGGATACGTGCACGAAGTTGTGTAGAGGACACAGCTTTGAGGTTGCGTTGATAGCTTCGTGTCCATTGTCTGACGAGGATGCCCAGAAGTGCCACGAAGATGCTAATAAAGAGACCGGCGAACAGGAAGCAGTTGACACTGGTTATGTATGCCGGTATCTTGAACTGATCCTGACTTGTACTTCCAGGTTGGCGAGTCTCCTGCAGGATGGCGAGCAAGATATCCCCCTGGTCTGGCTGCAGCTTGGAATACGTGATTTGAATGAACGCAGAGAGCACTGCTGAGAAGAGACCGGCCTAGGCGGTGGTCAATAAAAGGCGCGGGGGACTAATTGCCAGCACTCACAAATACAAGGAGCACATCTACCGTATTATTCGCGTCCTCTACCAGGTCGTCGTCATAATTATGCCCTTTCTGCATGTAGACACTCCAAACTGTCGGTTGAGCTGGGGAGCCTTCAGCATCGATGTTGCTCAAACCCCAACCGGGTGGCAATGCCGTAAAGCCATTGAGCGTCACACTTCCTAATGCTATAGCTCTTTATCAATAACGCTGCCAGCAGTATGGTCCGAGGTGCATACCATTCTCCTGGTCATAGCGAACGCCGTAGTTTCCTGACATTCGTGAGGGATTGAGACCAGAAGCACGAGATAAGGCGAGAAGAACGCGATACTAAGGTTGTGGGCGGAGTCAAGTTGTTAACCAGCCGTTAACTCAGCATCCTCGCGAGTTTGGTGCGGCCTTGCCCGCTTTCCCGGGATATTGGTTCTATCAGTCCTTTCTCGGATTTGGTTGTCTATTCCACGTGTCTTGTATGAATTCAAGTCGCTAAAGTGGCGCCAACATATTGACCTACGCGTTTGATCTCGAAATATCCAGTTTCCCGGGATTAGACTGTGTCAAAATCAATTTGACGCGTGATTGAGCTCCTGCACGTAACCCGTCTCTACTCGTTGTCAATACAGCTAAAATATATTCAACTTTGCAATGGCCTCCTATACGACGTACTTCTCCTTAAACACAACCCTATGGAACACCCTACTGGGACTAGAGCCATCACCATTGACGATGATACTCTCCTTGGTGGGCGGCATTCTCGTACTGGTACCGAGCGTTCATTGCAGCATCTTGATCGAGAGAGGGCCGCAAATTCGCACCCAATGGATTCTAATTCGAACTCTTCTCGCAATACTGGCCTCGATATTCTTCATTGACCTCCTCTTCGCGCCATACGGAGAGCAAAGCCGCTACTTCAGAGCATCTGGAGTTACCAATGGAATTTACGGGTTGCTCAAGACGTGGGAAATTTGCTTCTCCTCGCTCATCGATGGCGTACCTCTACCATTATGGGTCAGACTATCCCATCCAGCGTCAAATAGTGCGCACCCTAAAAGCAGCAAGGAAGAAGAGGCCGGGGAAACTAGGCCTGAGGTAACAGAGGAAAGAAATACAGCTCGAATTGTCTAGTAAGTTATGGGTAGGTCCAATTCTCGGTTGGAGACCGAAGGTTTCCCCGTGCTGCGAGAGGCAGACAGAGGACAGATAGCGTTACGTATGAGACAATATAAACTCTTGTTGAATCAACGGGCCTGCGTACAGGAGATAACTAAGTAGCAGGTAGCAGGCCAAACGAAAGGCATTGCCACAGTGTCGGTGGGCGAATGTCGCGTACCAGCAGAGTTAGCGGGTCGTTTCTACAGAAGAGCATGGCTAGACCCGTTCCGGCCACCCAGCTCTCTATAAAGAAAAAAGGAGCTACAGATTCGTCCATTGTAGAATAATAGGAAGAGCATAGTTGTCTGCGATTGTTCGGGGGCACGGGGTCTATGGATACATGCGTAATAGACCTGTATGCATCATATGTGGAGGGAGGGGAGCGACAAATGGGAGAAAACGGGATCTGGTGGTAGAACGAGCCTAGACTTCAGGTCGAGAATCTGAGCTTCGAGTAGATATGCCTCACCTGAATGTCAATGCATAACGAGTCAGATCGTGATTGTCAGTCGAATAATCCCACCTCACATACTGCTCTCTCGCTATAATTGTAAGTGTGAATGCTACAACCTTTATCCAATATTCATATTTCGACAGACGTGAACAAGGAAGACCTGGTAGAGACAGCTACGTACATGAAGTCGAGAGTTAAGACTTATGGCCTTTGGTCTGGTCTCGGAATTACAAGATGTGTCGCGGTACTTGTATCGGCACGCAAATCGGGAGTGCCTCCAGTCGGTCGTCCGCGGCCTGGACTTCGACTTGGCTTGCGAATTCCCAACGCACTGGCAATACTTTGGGAACTAGCCTGTCGCGTGGGATCCCTAGGCGTCGGATTGCTCTTGACCGTGTTGATGAAGTCGATTGCGGGGTTGAACCATATCCTTGGCAGTTCTCCAGTCCCATTCTTTTTCTGCTCGAGGGCAGATTTCCACACGGCTTTCTCCTTATCCCATGGGACAAAGTCGTTGACTGCATTCTTGGGTAAATCAGGAGGCTCCAGGACAGATTTCAGTGCACCTAGTGCCGTTTCACACTGCGCTTCACGTGGTTGCGTCTTATTACGGTCACAAACAAGGAGGCAGTCGGAGAATCCGATAATAAACTTGCTAATGTTTTCCATCCTCGCGTTGCGATCCTGGTTCTTGTCTTGGATACTCGCTAGGCTCTTCTCGCAATGAGCGCACCCCTGGTCGTCACGTTGCTGCTCGGACAAGTGATCGATACGACCAAGTGCGGAGTACGCTATAACGACGTTTTTGGTATCGCTCTCCTTTACTTGGCCAGTTGGGTTGGGATCACTATACTTTGCTAGAGCAGTCGGAAGCTCTTTTGGGTCGAAGCTGTCCTTGTTGAGCCGGTCTTTGATAGCATAACGCTGATCTGAGCACCCTTCAATGGAAAGGAACCATCGCAGGAACTCGCAAAGTAATACTGCCCTTTTGCGGCGGGTCTCGTCGACTGCTTTCACACCAAATACTGGCTGAGAATGCAACCCTTTGCAAGAAAGATATAAACCTCGGTAATGATTTCCTTTTCGAGGATGATATGGGGGTGTTTGCGCTCCAGTGTAACGAGATTCGGAAGATGTTCAAAACACAAGTCGAGGATCGCCCTCTCGGTTGACTTGTCCGCTCGCTTTATCAGAGAAGCGATGATATCGAGGTCAAGCTCGAGCCGCTTGCGCACGCGACTGATCTCCTTTGTCGCTTCCTTGGGAGAATGTCCAAGATCATCCTCCAGACCTGCGTCCGAACTGCTCTCTTTGTCTCCCTTCACATTGCCCTCCTTATCTCCCTCGACACCACTCTCCTTGCCACCCCGCAGATGGGAGGGGACATATATCTTCTGCCCAATCCAGGTAACCTTGCGCCCTACCCAGGTAGAAACCCAGATCAGACCCTTCGACAGAGGCGATTGGAAGGGAGCCTCTGGTTGGAAAAGGGGGATGAAACTGGTGACAAAGAAAATGATAGTGCCGATCCCAAAGACTACGAGTGCGACAATTCCAGCCGCTGGAGCAGTCGCGAATAGCAGTTGGAGTATTCCGACCGCGGACACGAATAGGGCGAGATGCATACAGATCGAGAGGAAGGCGACAAACCCCGACAACTTCCACTTCTTGATCCCCTTATATCTGTAATGGCGGATGCGTGCACGAAGTTGTGTAGAGGACACAGCTTTGAGGTTGCGTTGATAGCTTCGGGTCCATTGTTTGACCAGGATGCCCAGTAGTGCAACAAATATGCTGATGAAGAGACCGGCGAACAGAAAGCAGTTGACACTGACCACATATGCCGGTATCCTGAACTTCTCCTGACTTGTACTCCCAGGTCGACGAGTCTCCTGCAGGATGGCGAGCAAGATCTCCCCCTGATCGGGCTGCAGCTTCGGATACGTTATTTGAATGAATGCAGAGAGCACTGCTGAGAAGAGACCGGCCTAGACGGTGGTCAAAAGAGAGCGCCGGAGACTAACTGCCAGCACTCACGAAAATGAGAAGTACATCCACCGTATTATTCGCATCCTTTACTAGGTCATCGTCGTAATTATGTCCTTTCCGCATATAGACACTCCAAACTGTCGGCTGAATCGGGGCGCCTTCAGCATCATCGTTGCTCTGAAGCCAACTAGATGGAAATGCCGTCGAGTTGTTGAGCCTTTCGGTTCCTAATGCTATGGCTCTTTCTCAACGACGGTGCCTCTAATATAGGTGCGAGGGGCATACCAGTCTGCGGGTCGTAGTGAGTAGTATATTTACCTGACATTGAGACTAGAATTGTGAGATAAGGCGAGAAGAACGCGATACAGAGGTTGTGGGCGGAGTCAAGTTGTTAACCAGCCGTCAACCCAGCGTCCTCGCGAGTTTGGTGCGGGGCTTGCCCGCTTTCCCGGGATATTGGTTCTATCAGCCTTTTCTCGGATTACGTTGTCTATTCCACGTGTCTCGTGTGAGTTCACATCGTTAAAGTGGCGCCAACATATCGACCTACGCGTTTGATCTCGAAACATCCAGTTTCTCGGGTTTAGATCGTGTCAAAAATCCATTTGACGCGTGATCGAGCTCCTGTACGTAACCCGTCTCTACTCGTTGTCAATACAACTGAAATGTTTTCAGTTTTGTAATGGCCTCCTATACGACATCTTTCTCCTTGAACACGACACTATGGAACACCCTACTGGGACTAGAGCCATCACCATTGACGATGATACTCTCCTTGGTGGGCGGCATTCTCGTACTGGTGCTGAGCGTTCATTGCAGCGTCTTGATCGAGAGAGGGCCGCAAAATCGCACCCAATGGATTCTAATTCGAACTCTCCTCGCGATTCTGGCGTCAATACTGTTCATTGACCTCCTCTTCGCGCCATATGGACAGAAGAACCGCTACTTCAGAACGTCTGGAGTTACCAATGGGATCTATGGGTTACTTAAGACGTGGGAGATTTGCTTCTCCTCGCTCATCGATGGTGTACCCCTCCCGTCATGGGTCAGACTATCCCATCCAGCGTCAAATGGTGCGCACCCTAAAAGCGGGAAGGAAGAAGAGACCAGGGAAACTCTTCATTCTATCGATACCCGTGGCTGGTGGTACAGCTTCGACGTCATTTCCACTCTACGTGGCGTCTCTTGGCTTCCCGACAGGAGATTCGATATCGCAACCCCCAGCTTGGTCCAGAAGATTGCCTCTCGAACTACGCGCGGTCGCTTCGTTCTCGAGCGCATACTATGGCTCCTCACGTCGCTCTTCGTGATGGATATCATCGATACAGTCTCAAAAGAATGGTCATACATGGATGGACAAGGCCTTGGACGTATCGCCCAGTCCTATTCATCGACAAAGATTACCACTCTGTACCCAGCGTACGCACATCAAGCCACGAGTAAGCCGTTTTACGGTCAACTCGCATTGGTCGCATGTACGGCCCTTTCGACACAATTCTCTGTCGAAATATTCTACACTGCTTTCGGACTCCTCTGCGTCGGAGTCTTCAACGTCAGCCCATCCGCCTTTCCGCACTTTTTCAACAACCCATTCTACATCCACAACTACACCTCTGTTCGTCACTTCTGGGGTTATCAATGGCACCACATCTTCCGCCAGGTAATGACGCGTGTGACGGACCCTTTCCTGCACGTATTTCGTATACCGAAACGCAGCGCACTAGGGACGATTATGCGCGTCGTGATCGCATTTACGCTCTCTGGGCTCATTCACTGCGTCATTCAAGCACGCGCACAAGCGCTTTATCTTGCGCCCAACGTCGAGCTTGTCGTATTAGATCCGGACACGCTCCGATTCTTCATGTCTCAGCCACTTGCCATTGCGTTTGAACACCTTTGCATGTTCCCGCTGGTGAGATTCTTGCCACCTCTGGTGAAGAGGACATTGATGGTGGTGTGGACGCTTGGTTGGCTGACTTGGAGCGCGCGATGGTGGGTGGATGTCTGGATCAAGATGGGAATGTACCAGCCGGAGGAGCGTGTCGTTCTCTTCAGTGTCATACGCGGACTTTGGAGAGGGGAATGGTATATTGCTGGACTGCCGGCCCCTTCCTAGCTGTTGGGTATCATTGTTATATACAGTAAGCTTATACAGGACATATTTAATACCTATGCAACACTTAAGAGAGCGTACGGTTTCCATGCCTATGATCTGAGTGGGAAGAAAGTCTTTGGTGAATGGGAAGCGGTCGTTGAACGTCGGGGTTCCACTTTGTTCGTACGTCCTCTACAAATCTCTCCGAGTTCTATTTATTAGCGTGTCAGAGTTGCACGATCCTTTTATGGGTAGACACTTACTCTCATTTGGGTAATGGCGACTGCAGCAAGACGGATATTTTCGCCGTCGGTATACGGCCAGATCTTAAGGAAAAGTTTGTATTCTTCGGTTTCAGGGTTGAGGTACGAGGCGATAACGTTTCGCGGGACCCCTCCTAGCGCAGGTGAAATCACTCCACACACAAAGTCAAAACGACCCACTCCGTAAGTTCCTTTCGTCATTGCACTGTATAAGAGGAGTCGGAAGATTGACAAGCATGAACTACAGTCATGTTAGAATCGAATTCCTACCATTTGGATGAAAAGCTCACGCCAAGCAGCCATCCCTTGTCGACAAAATATCCGTTGACCCCCGTACGTGTGACGGATGCAAGAGCTACATCATGACGTTGGATTTTAGCCAGACAGTTTCCAGGGAAAAGGCGGCTTTAATACACGTAGCCACTGGCTCAGCTGGATTGACTGAGGAGAAGACCGACTAGGAGAAATTTGGTCAGTAATGATTCCTTTCTGTGAGTTTAAGAACCTACTGCGAGTGGTGTCGCATTCTCGTAGTCTGGTAAAAGAATGTCCTTAGCCAATGTCCGGGAACCATTGGGCGCGTCGAGAGGCGAGCCAAAGATGGGAAGGGTCTCCACTTCCCCGTTCAAGAAATTGATATATCTCGTCGGAGAGAATGGTCCACGTATCATTTCCTCTGATGAGATGTCGGACACCGGACTTAGCGTCCAAAGCTCTCCCGGCCCGCCACAGTCGATGACGGAGAGAACATCTTGAAATGCCTTTGCCTGAAAATATGTCAATGGAGAAATTGAGTCGAGTAAAGAGACCTAACATGTCAGGATAAAACTCGCCCAAGAGGCCTTTAACGGAAGCAAAACGACGCAAATGATGAACACGCAGTTCCTGGAAGACTTTTGAGACATAATATAATACGAGTGGGTGATAGCACTCACGTTCTGCTCTCCCACGTAAAAGCTAAACGCTTTGTCTTTGAGATCGTTGAGTTTGCTGACGGCTCGGCGGTATTCTAGGTCTGAATGAGAATAATGAGTACATGTAAATTAAGGTTCTGAGTAGCTCGCCTTCCTCAGGAAGTTGGACGTCAAGCCAACACTTTGCTTCGGAAACCCTGGCCCAAAACTCATGGGCATTCAGCTGATCTCTGGCTTGCTCTTTGGCTCGCTTATGTACTTCTTCTTGTGTGTCGATACTTTTGAGCATTTCTTGAAAGCGGTCCCATTTCTGCGACGTGGTGAGTAGCTTTGGATATGTGAGCAACGGAAAAGTGATGCCTCTGAACTAGGGATCGCGGAAAGCTTCCTGGATATTTTCTCCAGGAAAAGATTCAGTCGGCTGACATCTATACACTCTGTATAATTCAATAGTCCGGGCGATTGCGGTGAGGCTCACCTTGTCTGATCGCTTTCTCCGTGATATCGAATAGCCCGTTACTTGCATAGGCCATGTCGTCGGTACTTTCGAGTCGGAAATGTTGGAGCATGGCAAGTCTATGAGAATGCTCAATTATCCATAGACGGCACACCTGCAAGGGAGTTGACCTCACCTCTTCTGCTCGATGAAGTATCTACCAAACTTATCAATATCAAAGCAAGGCTAAGGGTCTTATAGTACCTGGCTCTTATGGCAGCCTCGATTGAACTTAGCTGGCGAGCCTCCCGGCGAAGAGAGGCTATGGGATGTGCTGCTTCAGACATGAGTCAGCTCTTGGATCTTGGCGAACTCCAACTGTGCAGTTTATTTGTCTCTGGTATCGCGTTAGGGTATCCTCTCACGTCCCGTCTTCCCAACGCGGTCCGTGAAAATCGGCACAAAATGTGCTCAGGAGAGGAGAAAGGTGCCAGAATGCGTCTCTCATGAAACATTCTGGCTGGTTGCTGGCATGTATCCCTCTTCTGCCATCCAATCGGCGTCGTTTCTCCAGACACTTTGGCCCTTTATCGGTTAGATGCTCCACGGGTTCTTATCTTCTGTGTTATATGATTATTTCAATCACCCTGGTCAACAGACTTGTCTTGCCGTCCGCCGGGAGCACATTGCCCCTCGCGTCTTGTTCTGCTGACCAACGAACGTGCGGATTCACCAAACCTTGATTCAAACTGCCATGTCCATGAAAGCCGCTGGAGTTCACGAACGAGGGGACTGGGCATACTCTGAATCGAATCCATGCTCATACCAAAACCAACACCTGGCCAGGTGCTCATTGGTGTCAAAGCTTTTAGCATCAATCGCTCTGAAATGTTCACCCATCGAGGCCACTCGCCAGACGTGCATTTCCCACGAGTGTTAGGAATAGAATGTGTTGGCATCGTCCAGGAGGCACTCGCTAGCGAGTTTTAGCCAGGCGATGTCGTCACAACTGCCATGGGCGGTCTGGGCTTGACAGTATGACGGTGGATATACACAGTACACCTGCACATATGCAAAGGTCGTCCAAAAGATGAAGAAGATCGAGAATATGTCGTAGACCACGCCGGGAGCTATCGATGCTTCCCCGTATAGCATTCAATCAAACTGTTACGTGTAGAGACTTTCGAGGCGACTAGCACAGGCTAACAATTCAAGATGTTAAGTAGTAATACAAACTCGAAGGATCAAGAAGGAGCCAACCCAATTAGCTCATCTCCGCAACTACTACAGTCGCAAAAGAGCATAGGTACGAGAGAATTTCAAAAGCCCCTATAGAGAGAGACAGTGTCCACCAGAATCTTCTTCCCATCGTTGCGGGATAGTGCACGTAAGAAAGGCAGAGGACCGACAGAGCTCGTGACCCAATAAGCACATTCAACTGTGTTGTGATAAGAGTACGCTCCCGTAGATGGCCAATGAACTCACGATATGTGTCATCACCACCTGGGAAACTCCCATCCTCAAAGTCAAATGTGTCAATAACGCCATAGAAAAAGCCGCTGATGTCACGGATATCTTCTTCCTGTTCCCTTGTCCACTCTACCGTCTTCCACCTGTCAATCTCAGCATCCGACGTAAAATTAACGGGCATTTGGCCGTTAATGATGCAAGAGGTCCACCAAAGAATGAATCCACGCTGAAAGTCTGAGATATCCTGACGGGAGAATTTGAGGGACCTTCTGACACGTCAAATATGGAATACGCAAGACCGAATCGAAACGTACGGTAGCTCCGCCACGGCCTTTCCGTGGGCAAGCCACTTGTCCCTCGTCAGATAGAGCATCGCTGTGACTTCCATAATCTTCTCAACCCATTTTGTAGTGCTGAGCATTCGGGGGTTGTACTTGGGCTGATATTCTTTGAGCCACTGATTTCCGTCGTGGATCTTTGGAGAGTATGACCTCTCGTGGATGATGAGGGAGGAGAGTCGAAGAATTGCAAACGCCTGGCTGCCGAAGCAGTTATGAAGAATTTGATCAAATACTTGCTCGCGATGGGCAACAAAGTAGTCGTAGAAGACATGGCCGGTAAGGATCAAGTTACGGAGTGTAGAGAAGCTAGACAAGAAGAAGAGCAGGGAAACAAGAGTTTCGCTTGCAAACGCCCTTGGCTGACCCATCGACGGAGTGTCGTTGACGCTTGTCCTATTTGCAGCGACATCAGGAACAGACATCTCTGCTTTTTTCTTGCTCTCTGGGTTCACGTAGGATGCAATGTCGATACCACAGGCCTAGGTAGGACGTGCAAGAGATGAACAGTCAATCTCGAACAGTACGGACACTAACCTTGATGCGAAGAAAGACAGATACAGGCTTGTTACTCGGTTTACGAGGCTTTTTAGTACCTTCAGCGGCTTTAGAGGACGTGGCCTTCTTTGGCGGCATGTTCCGTTTCTCGAGATGATTGCGGCGAGAGCCAACCTTTACTGACATTGACCTCGGGAACCTTCAACTTCTGCAAGCTAGTCTCATAGATAGAGGTAGATACAAGAAAACTCTAATCACGATCACGAAAGCGCATCGACTTCTTTCTGAAGCACCGCGACAAACTCGGCCGCTTCCGACTCTTCCTTTAGCTTGATCAGAATCTTGACGAGCTTTCCGTTATCCGTCGCCGTCATGCGCATAAACTTGGCTTTGGTGTCGTCAATCTTTGGTTCCATCTTGGCAAAAGGAGCAAAGTTCTATAAAGTGTTGGTGAGTGAAATGCAGAACAGAGAGAAACGTACAAGTATGATGCGACCAGACTTGCTATTCCGTGCAAATATACGCTTCGCACCAGTCTCCTTGTGCTTGTATAATCGTATTTGACCTATCCGCAATCAACTCACGCCCGAAAAAGCAAAGGCAAGACGCACCAATACCAAGATCTGCCCACGAGCTTCCAGAGAATCGCATGACCTTGCCGCGAACTGTAAACAAACTCTCCTCATTCTCCTCTCCAGGCCCAGGCTGATCAAACTTGTCCTCCCCAAGGGCCAACCCAGTTCCAACTTCTGGCGCGACATCGCTCTCCTGCGATGTACCAACAGTCGCGCTGACCGTCGCGTCCGTCGCGAGACTAGCATCCGAGCCTCCACTCGGCGTCAACCCTCCGCCCGGTACAGACACCGTCTCATTTGAACCCGCAGTACCTTTTGTGTCTGTGGAGATTGTCGACCCAAATGATGGCGTCTTTGCAAAAGTGGAACTACCAAACGTAGGGGGGGCACCGAAACTGAACCCTCCAGTAGTCGAGGTCGCTCCTGAACTTGTTGGCGCGCCAAAGCTAAACCCTGTCCCGCCGGCTGTCGGCTTTGAGGGGGCCGCGAAACTAAATCCAGATGATGTCGACCCGGAGGTACCAGTACCGCCAAAGAGCGAGGAACCACTGGTGGAAGTAGTTGAATTCGCGGGGGTTGCTCCAGAACCAAGCGTACTGCTAAAGGAGAACGGCGCGCTAACTTTCGGCGGCGATGTGAACGGGTTGGGCGCAGCCGCCCCTCCAGATTTCGACGGCGAGCCAAATGAGAAACCACTCGAGGCAGACTTGGGTGGCTCAGCAAAAGAAAATGACGCTGACGCAGCTTTGGTGGTGGCGGGTGGATCAGCAAAGGAGAATGGTGCCTTTGTAGCCTCGGAAGAGGACGATGCTGGTGGTTTTGCGCCCATGCCAAACTTGAATGGACTATCCGCAGCTGGAGCAGGTGCGGTACCGTTCTTTACGGCCCATGGATTTGCGATTCCAAAGGGCGAGTTGGAAATGGGCGCAACGGGTGGTTGAAGTGGCTTTGCAGACGCCTTTGGCGTCGTCTCGCCCTCCTTTTTGTCATTGTCATCTGCAGACGGGCTGGGCTCTGTTGCTGGCCACTTGACCGGAGAGACGGCTTTTGGAGGGGGGAAAGCAAACGAAGTAAATGGCGTCCCAGTGGTTCCGGGGACACCAGGAGCGTTCGAGGAATCGGCTGATTTAGGTGCTGCTGCATAGTGTGAGCAAAACAAGAACGTATTTCAAGGTTTAAACTCACTGGTGGTAGCCGCAGAGGAGCCAAAGTTAAATCCAGAGCTAGATCTTGCTAAAGTTGCCTTGAATGGATCAGAAGCAGGTGCCCCAAACGATGCAAACGACGTCGTGGCTGGTGGATTAGACGAAGCGGCAGGTGCATCCGACTTTGGTTTGCCAAACGAGAAGCCCGAGCTAGTCGACGTTGTAGCCGGTGCGGCAAACGAGGAGAATGGATTGCTGGGTGCTGCCGGCGTCGGCGCAGCTGGCGCTGTACTCGGTGCAGACGTTTTTTCGGCATCTTTCGAGGTCGTAGAAGAGAAAGAAGGAGTGAAACCACCAGACAAACCGCTCGGCGTAAAGCCACCAGTAGACGGCTTGAAACCTCCTGCAGTAGAGGCAGGCTTATCTGCTGGCGGTACAAACGGCGTCGGGGTAAACCCAGTCGGCTTGAACCCACCACCACCAGAGGAAGTTGTGCTACCGAAGGACATGACTTTACCCCCAAAGCTGAATCCACCTGCCGGAGCCGTTGGCATCGCTGATGGAGGCTGAGATGATTTGGTCGTCGCCGGAGGTGTCTTCTCTTCCTCTACCATAGTCTCTTCTTTGGATGCAGCATCAGGTGCATTCGCATCCTGCATTTTAGCGTCCTGCGCTTCTCCTTCATACTCATTATACTCTTCGTTATCCTCCTCCGCACCACCAACGTCGAATCCATCAACGTCTTCGTCAGCTTCTATACCATTCTCGCGCTGCCAGGTGACCATGTCGGCGATAATCTTCTTTCGATGATCGCGATACGCCTTGAAGAGCACAGCAAAATCGTCGAATGGGTCCTTTTTCTGCATCTGCATGACGTCCCGGAGGAAGCTCGCGTTCAGACCGCGGAGATGTACCCAAAAGTGCGTTTCGCGCGAGTCCCAAGATTGATGGTCCGAGTCGGTATATTGTTTCCGCCTTGCGTCGGAGCTAAACTCGTCCTTGTTGAGTCCGATGTCGTCGCTGAGCTGGTCTTCGTTTGCAACGAATGTACCGTTAGTCGAGGTCGAGGTGGCGGATGAAGGTGTTGTTGGTTTTGAAGAAGAGGGTTTGGGAGGTGACTCTGGTGTGAGCGGAGAATCGCCTCCCAAGCCAAATGTTCCCTTTCGGTTCGGCTTAAAGCCTTCATTGCTTGGCGCACTACCAAAGGTGAAAGACGGAGGTTTGGAGCCATTTGTCGTCGTGGGTGTTGTTGCCTTCTTCGTAGGCTCTGGTTGAGGTGCACTGTTCATGGACGCAAAGATGGAAGACATTGTCTTTGCGGTCTTGGTCATTCTCTCCCCTGAGGATGCAGCTCCTTTATCTTTTTCGGCTGTTGGATTTGAAGCCGATGTCGAGTTGAACGAGAAGGATGGTGGGCTCCCGGTCGAGCCAAACGAGAAGCCGGCTGATGGAGCATTCGGCTTTGCTCCAGCAGACGCGCTGCTCGAAGAGGTAGAGCTATCGGGAAGTTTGAATGAAAAACCAGTCAGAGGAGGCAGAGATGGAATCGAGGGTGTCGGAGCGGCGGGCTGTCAGGATAGATGAGCATAGAATCCAGCTTAGTGCTCAGAGAGTGTCTCTCACTTTTGAAGATGAACCGGTGAATGTATCTTTACTCGAATCCGATGGAGAAAAGGATGGTGCCGGACTTCCAGAGCCTCCACGACGTTTGGGAAGCGGGCGAATAGTTCGCTTTGCTAGTTCGTTTTCACTCGCCCGCTGAAAGATTCCTGGGCCATCCTATATCACCAACGACATGTTGAAATCCGGAATAGTTGGTCATCAAGTATTTTGCGGATCCCGTGTCACAGGAAGGATGTGATTCATGGAGTCAAAGCATGTTAGAAACCCAGCAAAGGGACGCATTTGAGTAGTATAAGATTGAGAATGTGAAAGTAGCATTGGTCAGCATACAACGAAAAGAATTTAGATGAATACACAAACGCACCGAGCCGCCTTCGTCTTCGTCGGCGTTTTCACGCGTTAATTGAGACTCTGCAGAGCGCTTCATGCCGAATTAATGAGATTATATATCCTTGACCACGCGTATTACAGCGACGCGTCCTGGAGCGCAAGTCGACGCAGAGTCCAAGCGTGTTGAGTGTCTTTTTGACCCGACCACACCCATCCTCAACTAAAGGCTACTTATATACAGTATATTCAACAGATAAAAAGTATTGAACGTGTGTTTATTTCAATCTGCTCTCTCACAATGCGCCGCTCAACATGGATTTTGTGGTTCAGACGACGAAGAGAAGAGAATGCCGCGCAAATCAACTCGCCACGAACATTCTCCATCTGAAGATCTCGTTTCCAACTATGACGAACAGCCGGGCGTCGTAGAACGCGTCGAGGCAACTGCAGCCGTCGCACGCGACAAAGGCAAGTTGTCGCCTTTGACACGTCGTATATATAGGCTAATTTCTTATTTAATCACCCTGTTAAATCTTCTGCCCACCCCGGATATGATGATTTCATATCCAGTCGACGGCGTCATCGCGCAAACGGGGAACATTGCGAGAAAGTATCTCCCGAGCGCGCTATTCGACCGCAAGCCACATGAATACTATCTAATGGCATACAACTCACTCAATTTCATCCTCTGGTCATACCTCCTCGTCCTTGTCTCCGCTCACCTCCTCGAACCAACTCCGCCCGCTACAGTTCTCAACCCGACGCCTGGTCCTACAAATACGGCCGGTACAGCTAGCCAGACGCTGGGAGCCTACCTGAAGAACCTATTCACGCCGTTCTCACACATCAAGACGACACCCACGGGCTTTTCGACTGTTACCTCGACCAAGGCAAATGCCCTGCAAAAGGGGACAAATTACCTCACCTCGCTCCTCCATGCATTTGTAGAGCGTAGCAGGACGACCTACAGCGCACGCGGAATCGGCGTATATACCTTTATTATACAGTCCCTCGCTCTCCTCGAGGTGGTGCACTCCGCTTTGGGACTCGTAAAAAGTCCTGTCCAGACAACCGCCATGCAAGTCGCGAGCCGTCTCGCCGTCGTCTGGTGGTTCGTCGAAGGCCAGCCCACTGCGCGGATCACCCCATTCTACACGACGATGCTCATCGCGTGGTCGCTCTCGGAGATGATTCGTACAACGTATTACACTGCGTCGCTCTTCAATGTTGTCCCTCCCCGTCCGACGACAAACCCCTACGTAGCAAAGGCAGTCGATATCCTCACCAATATCCGGTACTCTGCATTCTACGTTCTCTATCCTTTGGGATCTGGTAGCGAGTACATGTGCATGCTCAAGGGCTTCCCGTCGTTCCCGAGCAAGGCTGCTGCGTTGACGAGCAAAGAGGGCTGGAAGGCCATCATCTCTCGCAACCCACCTGCGTGGCGCGTCCTCTTTGAGCGCGTCAAGCTTTGGATCTACAACTGGGATGCCGCCGCTTGGACGCGTGTGCCATTCGTCTTCATCTGGCCAGCTGGTGAGTACAATGAGTCCCCTTATAGAAAGCATGCTCATACTATCAAAAGGTTTGTACATTCTCATGAGCTATATGCATGTTCAGCGCCGAAAGGCACTTGGACGTGGACCAGGACGTAGCATCAACGGCGGTCGTCTTCGCGATGTTGGTGGAAAGAAACGGGTCTGAGACTCACTCTAGTGAGGGAAAATAAGACGAGTTACGTGGAGATGTCTCGTCGTGTATTGGACTTTAGTGCTGATGTAAAAGGATACCTCTTTGAATACTATGCTTGCTTTTTACTTGATTATTGTCATGGTCGGTGGACCCCCGGGCTTGAATCCATCCTCATCGGCACTTTGGCCACAGTCTAGCACGACTTTGAAAAAACCTGCACCTACCTCGCAGGGAATCCAACACTTCCTGCACACGCCATCGTGTGCGTTTCTCCACGCCTATATCGTCTAGAATCCTCGCGGAAAAGTATTTTGCGGGGTCATAAGATAGCTCTTTCATCGTTAAATCGATCAATAAACTCGAAAAGTCTCCAATAAAAGACGAATCACGACCGAAAAGAGCAAAGCCACTCAACAGAGCTGTTGAAAAGTGCTCAATTGCAGAGGGAATCGACTCTAACTAGACCAAACGAGGTGAAAACAGCTTTTAGTACGTGTATGCAGCAATACATCTTGTCAATCCTGACGCGCCTTCTGCTCTTTTCAGAGCTCGCATTCGAAAATGATGTCGGAAGATTATCCTTCTGCCCTCGCAAAAATACGACCGCACACGACATCAAAGCAAGCTCATCAACGAAAACCTGCCCAGCTCCTCGTCGCACTCGAGTCGACGCTCGACCAAACAGACGCAGAAACAAGCACTCGTCACAATCCGACGGCCTACTTTGCCGCTCTCATCACTACATTAGAAGGATGTCTTTCAAAGGGAGATACTGCACTGGAAGACGGGGACACACTGCCAGCCGTGCTGTACCTGCTCGCTCTTACCGTCCCGTTCGTTTCATCGACGGTATTGCGCACAAACTCCGCAAGATTACTCCAACTTCTCCCTTCGATTCTTCCCTTGACGACTCATGATCACGCACCACCTCTTCGCTCAATGATCACCATCTTTGGCGCGATACTCGCCTCGCTGGATCAGGGCATGATTCAAGCTACCATCATGACATCAGGTAGCGCCGCAACGAGCACCTCCATTTCTATCCGTCAAATTTTCTCTACCCTCCTCGAGCTGACGCTCGACCCACGACCAAAAGTACGCAAACGCGCGGGAGAAGTGGTTAAATCTATCCTCGACACTCCACCTTTCCCACTCGCCGTACATCCCTGGAGTATTCTTGTCGCGGAGTGGAGCTGTACCGTGGTGGCGCAGAGTGCGGATGCCGTTGGGCAATCTGCGGGAAAGAAAGGTGTTGTCAATGGTGGTACGGAGAGATTAATTCGCCTACTGGCGTTCCTCCGTACCACGCCCAGCGTATTCGCTGCACCAAACGAGGAGAGAGGGAAAAGTAGCGAAGGCTCGACATTGGAAACAATGACGCGCTACCTCCTCGCAATGCCCAAACTATCCAACCCATACCTCACCCAAGCAAGTTACCAACTGTTGACGTCCTTTTTCTCTGTAGAGGACGAAGAAGAGGAAGAGGATGTCGCAGAGAGACGGCGGGCGAAGTCCAAAAACGTCCTCTCGACGTTGGTTCAAGCAGCACCTCTGAAAAATGATGTGCAGATTGCACCATATTGGCTCGCGGTCGTTGCTGCGGCGTGCGCATCTGCCTTCTCCGACACCTACAAATCATCTACGACACCAAAAGAGGTCCTCGATGTCTGGAATCTTATGTGGACGTATCTGGATAGTTCTTGTGCTGCAGCGACGCATGAAGCTGCCGCCGACGCCTTGATGCTCCTCGCCTCTAGTGGATGTTTCTCCACTTCCGAACTCCAGACAGGCGGAAATGGTGTCAAAGCTATCGTTGAGCTCGTTGAGAAAAGCTTATCTCAACTGGCCTATGCAAGTTCTATTAAGGAAATTCTCGATGTCCTCGCGGCATTGTTGACTACGTCGTCTCCGTTCGACGCTAAAGCCCGCAAAGTAAACAAGGCGGACCCAACGAAATTGCACAAGAAGATGGAACAGTCCAGCCCGTTTATCCCACTCCTCGCGGCTATGGTCCGTCTTCGCAATACGAAGGGATTCGAACACAAGGAGGCAATAGATCAAGTTTTGACGGCCTTTGTGAAGACTATTGGAGTTGATGGTGTCATTTCCAGGGTACCACTCGGACTTTTGCCCAAGGAACGGTGCGTTATTCTATCCAGCATCAAAAATCAGCTGATGGGCGACCAGAGCTGCTTCATCTACACAGCCTAATGCGTACCTTCTTCCACTCATTCCATCACAGCATCCCACGCCGCTCTCACATTTCGTTTCGTACTTTATTCCCCTCTCCGAGTCGCTTTGGGAACTTGCGCAGAATAGTGAGAAAGAAGCGGAGCAAAAGGTGTATCGAGTGTTGATGGATCAGGTTTGGGCCATGTTTCCCAGCTATTGTGCAGGATGTTGGGATACCTGCCAGGTGCGCTATTATTCTGTGTGCTGGTTAAGGATAATAACTTGTCTGCAGACATTCAATAACCAATTAGCCGAACGACTGACACAGGTGCTCTATAATGAGCCTACTCTTCGACCTCCCATTCTTCGTGGGCTCAAAGCAATCGTCGAAAGCAACCTCATCGTCACCAAGCAGGCTAATGGGAGTGACTGTGATGACGACCAAGTTACACAAGGTCACATGCTGCCGTTATTCGATGCCCATGTCGCGAGAAAGAACCTGGCGCACTTGAACTCGCAAGCAAAAAGTTGGCTCGCAGTACTGTTCAACGTCTTTACGAGTGTCGAGAAGGATGGAAGGTCAATGGTTGGAGATGTGATTGGCGTTTGGGCGTCCATCGCCAACGAGCCGGTGTGTTCTGCTCCTCAACTCGTACGTTGACTCTCCTGACTCTGAGTGATAGGAGCTAGCTGGTGCGTATCGAAACGTCCTCTCCCACCTCAATCAGAATCTATCCGTCGCGACAAGTCAAAGCAAGGAACAAGAAAAGGCTGTAAAGACACTCACGCAGATGCTTGACATCTTGCTTCTGTTATTGCTCTACCTTCCTGCACCTCAGCTCCGCGAAGTGGCCAAATTATGCCTGGAGAAGGGTGTATTGACACACCCGGATGGATCTGTGCAGAAACTCGGGTACCGTGTCCTTACGCGCACCATCGTGCGGTTACTGGAGATACCTACAGTGGACGAGGTGGAGAAGCAGACGATGGTCGTCAAAATCTTGACCGACTTGGAGACGTCGAATGAAGTTGCCGCGGGTGCTGTAAAGGTATGTACGGGTATCAACAACGCGAAGGCAATCGTACTCATGAATTGAACGCTAGGAACGGCTTGGGTGCCTCTCAGCTCTTATCAGTCACCTCCCCACAAACTCGCTTCATCTCGTTGTCTCTCATCTTATGGAAGCTATCATGGGTGTGAAAGAACATTCAGAAAAGTCGCGAAAGGCCGCATTCGAGCTTCTCGTCGTTATGGGGCAGAAGATGCGCGAAGGTGGAACGCTACGTATGGACATTGTGGAATCCTCTGCCTCTGGCGGAACGGGAGAGGAACGGCAGGCGAACGTGGAAGAGTATATCAAGATGGTTGGTGCCTCGCTCGCCGCTGAGCGTGATCATACAATCAGTGCCGGCGTTATGAGTCTCTCGAGGGTGCTGTTCGAGTTTAGAAGTACGTCCATTCCATGCATATTCAGCCGAGGCAGAACTAACGGCCGTAGATGACATATCAGAGGAAACGCAAGGCCAAATCCTCTTGACTGTCTACCCGCTTCTCGCCGTCAAGAATCGTGAAATTGTCAAGTCGGTCTTGGGTTTCGTCAAGCTCACAATTCATTCCCTCCCTTCCGACATTGTCCACGCACACTTAGAACTCCTGGTATCCAACCTCATTACATGTCTATCGATACATAAGCATCATTTCAAGGTCAAGATTAGGCATATCCTCGAGCGGTTGATACGCAAGTTTGGATGGGAAGAGGTTGAGGGACACGCCAGTGCGAGTGCGAGCGGTGAGGGAATGGAGGGTGCTATGAAGATGCTCGGTAATATGCGGAAGCGTAAGGAGCGAGCTGCGCGGAAACGACGCGAGGCAGCTGCGGGAGAGGGAGACGAGAGCGACGAGGTGAGTGCTGTGGCTTTAGCCGGTCTCAACATCTTCTCACGAAATGTTGCTGATAAACAACCTAGCACACGAATGCACGCGCCAAGACCGGCGATGCATTTGAAGACGTACTCTACGGAAGCGACAGCGAGTCGGAAGATAGTGAGGCTGAAGAAAATCAGAAAGAGAAGTCGGCTGCGAGGAGTCGAGACACAACCTCCAAGATACGCAAGAAGAACTTGATGGATCATGCAACGCGGTTGCGTGCTGACGACGACGAGCCAATGGATCTGCTGGAGGGTGCGGCTGGAAAGCTAGCTAGTACGTCTGGCCCCTAACATACTATATCTTCCCTTGAGGGAAGAAAGGATAGAAGGAACCAACTCTGATATCTGAGTAGATACCGCTCAAGCACGGCGTCGACAGCCTGGGAAAGAAGCCTCCAAGTTCCGCGTAGATGAGGATACTGGCAAAATGATCATTCACGAGTCCGACTCGGAGGACGATGAAGCGCGCCTGAAATTAAAGCACACCTCGAAGAAGTCAGCAGTCGACGGTCAAAAAGTGTCCATCGAGGATGCTTTGGCTGGCGGAGCATACAAAGATACGCTCATCTCTGTCGATGGCTTTACGAGAAATCCAAATGGGACGATCAAGTTCCACAAGGACACAAAGAAGCGACGACGGGAGGAGATGGAAATGGGAGACGAGGATGTGGAAATGGCGGATGCCGAGCACACTGGCAACAAAGGCTCGATTGGAGATGGAAAGGCGGATAAACGACCCAAGAAGCCATTAAAACTTGGACACGAGTTTAAGGCCAAGGTGCGGAGATAAGAGTTTCTGGGATAACACTGACTTTCTACTTAGAAAGCTGGTGGGGATGTCAAGAAGAATGGTATCGATCCTTATGGATACGTTTCGCTTAGCCAGGCGTCTGGTGGAAAGAAGGGACGAGGCAAAAACAAGGTTGCTATCTTGGGGAAGTAAAACGGATGCTACGCCGCATCGGTAAGCATATTTCCTAGCGATTGTCGGGATGCGACTCATAGTTCATTAGCTGGACCTTCTAGGTATTATCACTGCTAGCTCGTGTTGGTGAGAGTAGAAGGAAGAAATTCCAGAGACCTGTGGATTACAGATGCATATAATAATCGAAACCACGAGCGTGCGTCCCTGTTTTGACTACAACACTATCGACCCACCTTTAACCCCGACTGCGACCGTCATATCCGAAATGATATACTGTCACTGAGGAAAATGTTCAAGGACGCACTCTAGTACGTCTTTAATCTCCGCCTCTCTCCGTTTATATCCGCCTATTCCCGTTTACCTCCACTGAAGATGATGCACTGGCTACTAGACTTCACCGCTTCTAGCTTCCCTGGAACGAGGATGATTCAAATTGGAAGAAGGTTTCGATGCGTTATTACCGCTTTTTGTTGGCGGAGTGAACCACTCAAGGCCACGCCGCCGATCCTGCGATCCTACGTACCTCAAGTACCTCTTCATCAGCCTTCTTCTCTGCAGCCTTCACCCTCTTCTGTATAGCTGCAAGTCTTTTCTCCTCTCTGAGATTGTTCCGCTCTCGTACCTCGGCCATGAACTCAGGGTTGGTGAGTTCACGCCCTTTCCCACCAGGGAAATATGTATGACGCTTTGGTCAGATTCTTGAGGTTGTTTAGAGAATAATCAATGCGCTAGAATAAGTCCAGATGCGCTAGAATAATCTTTATGTAGCAATTTGTCACTAAGATAGAGCAATAGAGCTAACCAGACGTCGAACAAAGCTTTGGGCCCACCTGTAGGCTCATTGCATATTCCAAAAATTTAATTTTAATTTGGGGGAATTTTTCTGTCCCTGCAGCTGGCAGGACGGAGCCTGGCCAGGTGAGGTGACCGGTGGTGGACTGTAGAATCATTCTATTCAATAATTGACCCCGTAAGTGTGCGTTTCTCTCTATTTAGCGGAGATAATCAGCTTGAACCCGACCACGACCGCGATGGAACAGCGGATTGACAATCAAAGCAGGCAAGAGTCTTGGAATAAAGTTTGACGAACAGACTCTTTTCTTGGTCTCTCGTTGTGATCTCTGCTGGATGTACGCTGCCCGCCAGACTCCACCGCCTAGACGAACCACTGAAAGCGGATCAACCACCTTGATACAGGATTTCGACACCTCATCGCCATTTTCTAAGCCCGTAGTGGAGTCGCCCACGGACCACGCTGAGACTTCCCATCATAATATCGGAGATACGACTCACGTCGACGAAACATTAGCGACACGACGCCTCGACGGAGATAGTCTAGCATCGCCTTGATTCCTCGAAATATTGTTTCGACAACTCTTTTGGTATATAAACACTTCGCACGGGAGGGATGTTCCATCAGGCTGGCCTTTCTTCTTCTTTTTCGCCTTTGGCTCTGGTTTTCTTCCTTCTATCTTGTTTATCTCCGGATTCTGACCGAGGTACGCTTCGTCATGATGAGTAAACATGCCTTGACGATCTGACTTCTGACTACAGGCATTGTCTATCTTATCAACTATCTATCACCATGCATCTCTCGTCATTCTCAGCTGTGGTCGTCGTACTAGTATCGACAAACCTTGCCCTCTCCGCACCACTTCCAGACCCGCATCCAAGCCCTGCTCCAGTGCCCTCGCCGATTTGGCACTTGATCAAAGTTTACTTTCAAAATCCAAATCCAGCTCTCCTCCATCACACAATCATGCTCCGTACCATCATCAAGACCATGGAGCGCCGCCGCACCAAAGCTATGGACCACTGCACCACATGGACCACGAACGACAGCATCACCACTCAGATTTTGGTCATACAGGCCATCACGATCCTTATGCTCCCTCCAACCCTCACGGCTCGTATAGTCATGAACAATCTCACTGGCAACATGACGAAGAACACCGGTTCAGCGGCACCCATTCAAGTGGGTACTCGCCGCATGACCACGCTTCATCTCGCCGCATGACCACGCTTCATACCATGGTGGCGGAGGTGGAGGTTATTACAAGCTGAGGCGTACGCTCATCGACGAGCTGGATTAGACCTCGCATGTAGCTTCGTTATGCAAGTCGTTCATTCTTAGTTATTAGAGAGACTGATGGAACACAACTTTGATTATTTGAGACGAGCTAGCGGGCTAGGTTGTCTACCAGCACTTCGCGCAGGTAGGGCAGCATGGCTCTGCGTCGCTGAACACTTGGTTAGCGTACATACCACCTGGTTCAATAGTTCTAGAGGACGCACGCTTCAGGATTGGGGTTGGCTTCACGAGCGTTGAGGTCGATGATGGGTGCCGCAACGACGGCGCTAGCGAAGAGGAGCGCAATAAGGGCAGTAAACTTCATCTATAGTGCAGTATTAACCAACAGAAATTCCAATTCAGTGTTGCTTACCGTGAATGTAGTCTGCAAATGAGCAAAGACACAGGAGCAAGGGTGCTGGGGACAGAGACAGAGGTAGCTAGAAGGGTTTATAATTCGTTGAAAGTGGCATAAAACGGCCTTTGGCGTCCGTTTTACGGGCAGTGGTGACCGTACATCTGACAAGACCCACTAAGTGACATACAGGAAGCCATTGAGCCTAGCGAGTGGCTCCCTGAGAGTCCCAGTTCGGCTCGCATCTCGGCCGGTAATCCCCCTTCATTTGAATTAGGGTAATAGACCTACTTGGCGTGCATCTGCCTATTGCCATCCTCATCACCCTCGGATATTTTCCAATTCGTGGTGACGTCTGCGGAACCATTCTCAGCCAGCGCGTTTTACTGTGGGTATTCAAAACAATGACACGTTGCCGCTTAGTCAGAATTCAAACGAAATAATGACACTATCACGGGTTTGTCGAGCCCCCGGCACCCTAATAGTGAGTATACAAAAGATAGCCCGAAGAGAACGGCAAGCCGACGGAGTATTGTATACTGATCATAGATAGAGATAGAAATATGAGTAAGTAGAAGATTGGCGGTTAATAGTTATGATTCAACCATCGCATATATAGGTATGCATGTGGCAAAATAATCATACACCTGCATTTTGCACCTGTATTTGCCAGATAGAATACGATTCAATCGTTAAGGAAATTCATCCGCTGTCGTGAATTAATCGGATTTCCTCCTAAGGCCACTGTTGGCATTATCCGTCAGTTGCCTCCGATGAGGGTAAATGCTTAGAGGCTGTCACAGTTGCCAGTGCATTACCACTACTCAAGACACACAAGCGCCTTCTGGAATGTGTGAAAGGAAAGGGAGTAGTCAGCCATCACACGCTTAGTCGAAGTCTTGAATTCTCACAAGGCGAGCTATCAAATGGGTGAAGAGTTGACAGCCCAAATAGTATATGAATGAAACCTATTGTAGGTTGTTTAGGCTAGGAGTAAAAGCGACTGTATTCCTATTGGCGACATTCCACTAACGTACAAGATACACGGCAATTCAATGCCAGATTTCAATGTTGCGTAACTGTTAGCATTGTATATAATGAGATCGTGGAATATCTCGCATCGAAAGCACTTCGAATCGGAATTTATCACCGCTGTTATATAGACCCCGAGCTGTGGCTTTCCATTGGTTCGCTGCTCAAAGTTTTACTTAAATTGAACGTACGGGCTTATCCCCGGCCCGCCTGTCTATCTAGTCACGCTAATTCTGTAAATCCTCAGGAGCTCGACGGTCAAAGATAAGCTCTAGTTGATTATATTCTTTTTCTGCGCGCTAGGCAGCCTCGGCGTCTAACCTGGCAGTTTGGTGACATAATAAATTGAACCGGTTCTCCACCCCTGTTCTGTCGCATAGTACAGCCGTTGTCAAAAACCTTGACCCCACACGCACTCATTTCGACCAACCGACCCATAAATCGGGGCAGGCCGCTATAAATATAGAAACCCATCTCTAAATTCTCACCTGAGATATTATAGTTCACTCAAATTATGAGGGGATCTCCTGCTCGGCGGTTCACCCAGAGTGAGAGGACGTGCTTCGGAAACGGTCGGGAGAATCTAGATTGAGACGTTAAATGTGATCGAACGTATAAAGGAAGTCTAGGAGACTCGCATCTCAATTTTTCTTGATGCCGCCAATCCTCTATTCACCTTTCATCCCGTGGCCGTGAGCTTGGATTGTCCAACGTAGTCTTACTATTGAGCTCAAAATGTATGTACACAAAGACTATTTTATTACCATGAATAGCCAATAGCATTTTGGCCCTACTGGATCCCACATTGCCACCGAAGACAAATCATGTCGACCAAGGGATTTGGTCCAGGAAAACGTCAGATGGCTACCCAAGAGGGGAAATCAGCTCAAGTCACTTCATTGAACCATCTTTGAACGTTGTAATCAAACTGACACACTGTATCGACGCTTCACCAGAGCTACTTGAAGAAAGCGAGGGAAGTACAGCCCCGGAATTTTTTTGGGAGATTTCTTAGGTTCAAAGAAAGATTAATACATCGAAAGGTTGAATTTTGGAGGGGCGTGAGACATTTTTCTTGGGGCTGGTCGAAATGAGAGCACGTGGGTTTGTGACAACGGCTGTATTGAACTTGGTTAGCTCCACCACGAGCAGCTGTTCTGCAGAAAGTGTTTCGAAATGAACGCAACCACCCTCAGTAATCTTATTTCTCAAATCGTGGAGAACCTCCCTGAAAATGTCCGACATTCTCTCAGCAAGGTCACAACGGTGCGTGCAGTCCAAGTTGGACTGGGGCTTGTCATCGTAGGCCAGTTCTATCGCTCGTGGAAGAACAGGGTACGTTGGAGAACGAGGGAATCGGGTGATAAATGGCACTGAAGTAGCACTAAACAGGTTCCTGTCCCTAGATACGGTGGAATTGTCTCATTTTCTGTTCTTTTATCGACGATACGAATGATCAGGAGAGGGCCGACTGTTTGGTCAGAGTATTACTCCAAGGTGCTTGTCTTAGTGCTCACCAATGTGGCACTCATCCTACTTTTAGTATCCTATGGCCATGATGCCAAATGGTAGTCGATGGCTCCTTGTCGTGCGAGACGAATTCGTAGACGAAGTCAACCGGGCGCCCGACAGCGTGCTATCCTTTGCTTCTGCGACCGAAGAGACCATCCAAATCCCATATACTCTTGGGGCTCAAGTCGCGGACAATGAATACCATCATATTGTTATCCGGAACTATGTATGTGATTCCTTTCTTCATCAAACCTGACACTAATTCTTTCATAGATGACTCGTCATCTCCACTCCATTTTTCCAGAGGTGTACGACGAGGTTAGACATACGCTTGAGAACGACATTACGCTCAATACGAATGGTACTTCGTCGATTCATTGGTTCAGATGCTCGAATCTGACAAGCACGCAGAATGGAAAGAACTTCACGTCTTTCCTTGGGTACTTGACGTCATAGCCAAAGCGAGCAACCGCGTTTTTGTCGGCACTCCGCTTTGCCGGAATCCTGAATGGCTTTCAATCGTGATCGATGGCGCGACATCTGTTGTCAAAACAGCCGCTATCATCAACATGTTCCCTGTCCATCTGCGAGGGTATGGCCTTTCCCATATACTGATATGGTAATTGAATGTCCCCAGCATTGTCGGATGGCTTGTATCCACTAAGGATGCTCGCAATCGACAAGCGTCAGTGCTCGCTAAAGATGTGATTGAGGCGCATCTAAACCAAGTTGGCAAAGCCGAAAATGTGCGCTCAATAGTTACTCTACGATTCCATTGACACCTCTACAGGCAGACTTTCTCGATTCCTTGTTATCCGTTGCTCCCCAGGAGGAACTCAACGTCGAAGATATCACAAGGCGTATCATCACGGTTAATTTTGCGGCGATTCATACGAGCTCCCTTGTACGTCTCCCGGAACAAAGACAAAGTCCAAACCAAAATGCTAAATTTCTACAGAACCTTACTCATGCACTCTATTGGATCACCGCTCGGTATGCTCACAAGCTGCGATTATTACTGGCAACTGATGTCTATAACAGCCCTGAGTATGTGGAACCCATGCGCGAGGAGATTGAGGCTGTGATCACAGAGATGGGCTGGTCGAAGAACGCGATCAGTCATATGCCCAAAGTCGAGAGCTTTATGAAGGAGTGTATGCGTGTTGTGCCACTTGGTTCAAGTAAGTTATTTCTTTCGATGAGCGCGCAGCTGCCATCTCACACATAACAAGTTTCGATGGCCAGACGAGTTATCAAACCGTTTACATTTTCCAATGGCATTTCTCCGCCAATTGGGACTATCATAGCCGCGCATGTCTATGCAACCCACATGGACGAGGCACACTATGCCAACCCGGGAACATTCGACGGATTCCGCTTCGTCAAGTCAGGCGCTGATGTAGAAGGGAAACCGAAAGAGACAATGTACTCGACATCAGCAAGCTATATGGCATTTAGCCACGGACGACATGCTTGCCCAGGACGCTTTTTCGCGTCGATGGAGCTCAAGATCATATTCGCCTATCTTGTTCTGAATTACGACTTCACCTGGCCCTCCGAGGTTACAAGAAACCTCAAACCAGGGGAAAAGTATCGACCAAAGGATATGTGGTTCGGAAGCACCTTTGTTCCGGACCCGGAGGCCAAGATTTTGGTTCGAAAACGGCAGGCAGAGTCGTCATTTGCATAGGGACGTTGAAGGGCCTCAACTACCTTAGAGATAGATCGTCAACGACTGGTTGTTTCAACATCCGATCCTTGTGTCGAGTAGGATTATATTGGGATTAAAAGCATCTTGCGTAGCTCCACATTGTCCAACCTCTACCTCAACTTCGCCCTTGACTTGCCTTTTGGGACGACCGTGTGAACGTATAATGAATTCATCTGCAGCCGCTACCCTCGTCATATGAATTGGTTCATGCCAACCGCGTATACAGACTCGTCTTGGAAACCAAGCAGCAAGGCGTCATGTGGGTAACACGACGCTGGAGGACTCCCTGTTGAGAGGGGACCTGTTCGTACGCTTGATCCTCCCACCTTTCCCGCTCCCATCGGGCGCGAGAGACTTCGAAATATACGAAGGTGCTGATGGCCTGTTATACGCACTTTCGCATTGGCTGGAGGAGCTTCGGCTTTGCTGTCCACGAGGCGGCCACGGCTTCTTATAGAAGAGCTCGGTGGAGATACCAAGCTGGACTCGTTCTCATCCTCGTCAGAGGCGCAGAAAATTCCTCTCATTATCTTTGCCATCTAGGCGGTACTCATCCACTTCAAGTTTGGGAATGAACGGAACGATTCTCGACAATCTTGCGTCTCAAATTGTCGACAAACTCCCCGACAATGTTCAAGGACAGCTAAGCAAGGTCACGACAATGCGTGCGGTCCAGGTCGGACTAGGTTTTGTTGTCCTAGGCCAGATATATCGTTGGTGGGAGAACAGGGTATGTCATATAGCAAAGAAACCGTCGCCAGTAGCAGTGATGATCCGCCGCTAAACAGATGCCTGTTCCGAGATACGGTGGTATCGTCTCATTTTCGAGCCTCTTATCCACGATACGAATGAGCAAGCGAGGACCAAGCGTTTTGTCAGAGTATTATTCGCGGGTAATATTTCGTCTTATTGTTCAGAATTATGACACTCACTCTTGCTGTAGTATCCCATGGCCATGATTCCGGCGGGTAGTCAATGGCAACTCGTCGTGCGCAGCGAATTTATAGATGAAGTCAATCGGGCGCCCGATGACGTTCTGTCGTTCATCTCTGCCACAGAGGAATCGATTCAAGCTGGACATACTCTTGGCTCACAAATCGTCGAAAATCATTACCATCACAACGTCATCCGAAACTATGTACGGGGTTCCAGTTTCCATCAGACCTAAAGCTTACTCCGAATAGATGACACGCCAACTTCACTCCATCTTTCCAGAGGTGTACGACGAGGTCAAATATACGTTTGAGAATGATGCCACCCTCAACAGTGATGGTATATTGTCACTTTATTAATTATGATACTCAAATCTAACGATCAGTCAGAGTGGAGGGAGCTCCATGTGTTTCCTTGGATCTTAAAGGTTGTAGCCAAAGCGAGCAACCGTGTTTTTGTGGACACCCCGCTCTGCCGAGATCCTCAATGGCTATCAGTAGTAATCGAGGATGCAACCTCTGTCGTCAAGACGGCCACCTTCATCAACTTGTTTCCTACGCCATTGCGAGGGTACGACCTTTGCTATTCCCTGTGCTATTTGCTGATAATTTCCTGAGTCTCGTCGGATGGCTCATTTCTGGTAAGAAAGCGCGTCTTCGACGAGCATCAGCTCTCGCGAAAGATGTCATTGAGGTGCATCTCAGCCGAGCGGGAAAGGATTTAGAAATGGTTGGGCTGATACTCTACCTTGCGCCTCGATTGAACTTCTATTTAGCCAGACTTTCTGGACTGGCTCATATCCATTGCTCCTCAGGAGGAACTCAACGTTGAGGATATCACGAGGCGTATCGTCGCCGTCAACTTTGCTGCAATTCATACAAGCTCGCTGGTATGCCTTGACGACCAAAGGAAAGAAAAAGTGCTAAATTTCCTTAGAGCCTTACGCACGCGCTCTATTGGATCACTGCCAGGTATGCTCGCAAATACACATATACCCGGCAGCTGATGTTTGTAGGCCCGAGTACGTCGAGCCTATGAGGGAGGAGATTGAAACCGTGACGAAAGAGATGGGCTGGTCCAAGAATGCGATCGGCCATATGCCAAGAGTCGAGAGTTTTATGAAGGAGTGCATGCGCGTCGTACCACTCGGTGCCAGTAGGCTCTTCCTCTTAGTCAAAAATTCTATCTCACGCGGTTTAGATACAATGGCTAGGCGGGTCATGAAACCGTTCAGGTTTTCCAACGGGGTCTCTCCACCTATCGGTACCGTCATCTCTACGCACGTCTATGCAATGCACATGAACGAATCGATCTATCCCAACGCGCATACCTTTGACGGATTTCGATTTGTCAAGCCAGACTCTGACACCGAAGGGAAAGCAAAGGAGACAATGTACTCGACGTCGGTGAACTACATGCCCTTTAGCCATGGGCGACATGCCTGCCCCGGACGCTTTTTCGCATCGATGGAGCTCAAGCTCATGTTCGCCTATCTCGTTTTGCACTACGACTTCACCTGGCCAACCGAAGTTACACAGAAGCTCAAGCCCGGAGAGAAATACCGGCCAAAGGATATCTGGTTCGGAAACACTTTTATCCCGGATCCCAAAGCCAAGATTCTGGTTCGCAAGAGGCAGACGCGCTCGTCGCTTGAGTAATGGACTTCCATTGCTGCGTAGATGAGGATTGTACCTCGTTTAAACGTCTCAATTTGTGCCAAATAAGAGCAATATTAGAATGGTACGCAGTTGAATTTGTTAAATTTATTGATCATGCGTGCCTTACAAGGGCGAGGGTCCCATTAGACCTTTGTCGTATTTGCCGTGGAAATGAATTCGCAGTTGCATCACAGCCCTGCACTATTTAATCATCTATTCTCCTTATTTTGAATGTATTAACTAACTTTCAATTTCATCAGGGCAAGTGTCAATGAGGTCTCTCTTCTTATGGACAGAACCCTATATCTATGCTTTGTTATTGCTCTTGTCAGCGGATACCAGCGATGCCACGGGCAAATACTCCTGTAGCTAATAACCCGCCGATCGGTAATTGCACCTTTCCCTTAAGAGGACGATATTATAGACAGCCTATACTCAGTTGTACGAGACAATGGATGTGAATATTGGAGCATGAGTAATCAATTGACAAGGCTGGATGAGAAGCAAGTGACTCGATGCCACGCTCTGTAAATCAAAGACGGCTCGAGTACTCATGAACTTTTGCAAAAGCTCCGTGAGCTTGGCTCGAAAGGAGAGCTGAGGAAGGAGGGTTATTGTTGGTAAGTATCGAACCGCGCCATAGTTCTATAGTGCTATAGTCTCTGGGATTCTGTCCACCCTCGACGGTCAATCAGCCGGACCCGAGGTTGTTTGTTGGCGTGCGAGCGAGACTAATATGTGTAGCGACGATATGTTTAGAGTTAATGGCGACTAGGAATCTCTTTCGAATGCATGCTCTCGTGTATCCAGGTGCCGGGAATCTGGAGTGATTGGCCCGCAAATGGGTTACCGGCTGAGTCGACACATGGTCTCGTATACAGGTATTCACTCTAAATGATTAGATCACGTTCAATCCGGTGACACCAAACATTTCTCGTGACTGTAGAATGTAAAGCCGCAAGCTTCCGTGGCAGCCATCGTTCAAATGTAGAACAGAAGCATGACTTTCACTATTCCACTCCTACTCGTTGCTGGGTCTGGAGCGGACAGCCAACGTCCATCCGCCCGACGAGCGGGAATAATATTGACATAGCGCTCAAAGCGCATAGAGGGCACTACTCGCTAATTGCAGAGCGCGATGACCGGAAGGATGCATCTCATATATGGGGAGTATAAGCAGGCTGCCGAAACTCATCCAAACTTCGAGCCCAACTCTCACTCTTAGCGATTAACAGTCGCGAAACGGGACGTGGCATTAGTACACTCCGCTCTGCTAGTCCCAGTACATCAAACGTCCTACAACGCCGCTCGCCCATCTCCTAGGAGGAGAAAAGCACGAACGGGTAAGATGTGGGTAGTGGTCGTGGGGAATGGAAAACGAGTAACGACAGTGAGCAACAAGGTACGTATACGGAATACGTCGCGTGTTTAGAGAATCGGGTGGACGTTTGTTTGGCGGGAAAGGGGGGTACGACAAGAGTGTACACGTACGTTGGGACAGGACGGTTGGTGGGGAGCGGAAAACCATTACAGGTAGTAAATAAACAAGAGGGTCACAGGTCAGGTCGCCGAGGCGGATTATATGTTGCAAGGGGTGGGTGAGCGGTGGCGGAGGAAAATAGATGTACGCTTGTGAGCGTAGAGCGGTGATACGGCTCGTGCGAGTAGCCACAATCGTGGAGCGGAGGAGATTGAAACAGGGCAAAACTACTCGCGTAGAAAGCCACGAGCATCGCTCGTACATCTGGGGGGTCAAGCGACTGCGTCGAAAGCAAAATAGTGGACGGCAGTCGAGGTATCAAACTAGTGGTTGTCATGTCGTAAGAGGGGTGGAGATGTCATGTGAAAGAGTCGAGTCTGGTCGTAGCGTCGCACTTGATGCACGGACGGAGCGCAACCATCTTAACTAGCATATCCGTAGCCACCATAGGCCTGCGAATGTCCCTGTCCATAGGGCGTCTGCGCGCCTTGGCTATAGCCCGTGTACGGATCATAGTTTTGTGGCCACTGATTGCCCAACCCATTCACTTGCGCATTCGACCCGCTCCCACTCGCACCTGCTGCGCCATATCCGGCACCACGACCCGCTTGCCCAGGCCCATAGGTGCTCTCGCGCGTCGCGTCGACAAAGCCAGTGCCCGCAAACGGATCATTGCCGAATCCAGACCCAAAGCTCGTGTGATCGCCGGCACGCTTGGGCGGTGCGAGACCGCCGTTCGAGCCAGAACCAGACGCGGCCGTATATGCGTTTGATCCAGAAGACGAGGCGTATGCATTCGAGTACGCGTTGTAATCGTATCCTTGTGCATCATAGCCTTGTTGTGCACCATAGCCTTGTTGAGCGCCATAGCCTTGGTGAGAAGCATAAGCTGCCGTGGGTGGAGCCGCCGGGACAATATCATATGCCGAGTCGCGGGGCCGTTCATAGTTTGTGACAGGCGGCATGGCGAGAAGCTCATCCGGCTCCATCTCGCGCTCGGCACTCTTGCCGGGCGACGAATGGTTCGACCGCTGACGGGCGAGTTGGCTCGGGAGGGCTTGCGTCTGGGTCCGCGAGCGGGTGAGACCGCCGTGCGTCTGCTCGTCGGCGAGAGACATGGCAACTGGCGGTGGCGACATGGGCATGCCTGCAACGGGAGGACGAGAAAAGTCTTTCATCGAGGCCTCGTCCCACATGTCCTCCTCGCCCATCTTTCCACGGTTATTCTTCCTCTTGATCCAGAATGCGATAAAGATCAGGGCACCAACGACCACAATGACGGCAACGGTCACCGTGGCCGCGACGGCTCCCTTGTTCGAGGTAAAGCTAGGCTTGTCAGGAGTCTCGGTTTGGTCCGCATTCGACGCAGTACTGCGGGATGTCGTGATTGTGGTCGTCTGACGAACGCTCGCAAATGTCTGCGATTGGGTATTCCGGATTACAGTGCGGGTATCGGAACTGGAGGATGAAGCAGTGCTTCGTGATGAAGAGGAACTGCTGGAAGAAGAGCTGGAAGACGTAGAAGAGGTCGAGGTTCTGAACAAGGAACAGGTGAGGAGTGTGTGAATGGCAGTGCGTAAATACTCACGACGTGGTCGAATCTTCCGGAGGGGGTTGGGGTGCTTGCGTAGAGGTCGTCGTTGTCGAAGTTGAAGTAGGCGTCGGAGTCTGCTCTGGGGTTCTAGACGACGTGGATTCCGACGAGGTAGATGTCGAGGACTCGGATTCCCTGTTGTTGCGTCCGCGCCCGCGCCGACAATTTCCCAGTATCATGTTATGAAAGCACAGAAAGTGGAATAATCAGCGCCATTACATTTTGCATATTAGATCGAATACGTACGAGTCACCAATGATGATAGGAATGGGCGGTCCCTGGGGCTCACGCTTTGCAAGAGCAGAGTCGAGAGCCCGCTCAAACGCAGGAGCGTGTCGTTTGCGAATGTCATTTGTGTGTGCTTGGGCCGTGAGCGCGGCAGAGGCGACAAGAAGAGAAACGGAGAGGGTGGTGAGCGTCTTCATTGTCGGAGTCAATGTAGAAATGCTATTCGAGTGGAATAGACGTTTTAAACAAGTTTAGAGAGCGAGAAAAGAGTGTGGATGCGTGTAGCGTTGGTGCCGGGTGGGGCGAGTTAATGGATAAGAGGTGAACGGGTTGTAGGCCGTCTACGCTATCGAAAACAGTCTACAGATGCTGCTCGGCGTCGACGAGGGCAGCGTAGAGGACGGGAGCTGGCGGTTGTCAAGCGGCCGTCGGCTTGGGAAAGGTCCAAGATTGCTTTACGCCGACGGGCCGTGGGAGCCACAACATCACGTCCTGGAAATTCCTCGAGGTCATTCCTCTAAATAACATTGCAATCTAAAAGTCAGTCTTTCGAACTCGAGCGCCCATCTGTGGAGGCGACGGACCTATACTCCCATAATATCCGTAGAACAGTGCAATCGACCCGGATGTTGCACTCGTCATTGCCTGCTTTGAGCCCAGTTCCAGGCCCTTTTCGAGCATTATCAGATCTCTTCCCATTCTCGCAACCTCTGCATGAGAGGCGCTCTTGACATTGGCTGCTCCCAGGGCGCTTCAATTATCTCTACCACAGCCGAAAATCATCGAAGTCGCTCTACTATGCGGCACTGCCAGGCCCCTTGGCTCGGGTTGGCCCCTCATATTGAAGGGGCGATGCCTCCCCTTCCAACTCGCGCAGCAACAGAAGTTGGTAGCTGAGAGCAGAAGCGCGCCAATAATCAATGATAGCGATACATTGCTCGCTATAAAACCCCCTTAGATGGCCCTCTTCGTTCACCCAGGCCGGTCCCTCCTTTTTGACGACAACTTTACTTCGTTCTTCGCTTGTACGTCCCCTTTCACCTCGTCCTCGCGTCTAACTAACAATTCCTCCTAGTTTTTTCTTCTTTCTTTTATTTGCTTTTCTTTCCAACGAAGAACCCAAGATGCAGATCGTCAATCTCTCTCTCCTCGTCCTCGCGATTCGTCTCGCGTCCGCTGCTCCCATTCCAGCACCAAACCCAAGTGGACACCTCGTTAAATCTCTTGCACATGGTGCAGCTGCCGTAGCGGATTCCGGTTCCGTCACGGACGGTATTGCCGCAGCAGTCTCTCATCATCACCACCACTCAAACCCGCATTATGAACACTCACATACACAATCTGAAACCCGCCGTAGCATCGAGCGTCGGGGACCCAAGGGCAAAGGCAAGGGCGGTGGAGGCGTCAACCTCAATGTAAATGTCGACGCGAGTGTAATCCACCATCATGACAAGCGCTCGCCAGAGCCAGAGCCGCATCATGTTCACTTCCATGCTGGAGGTCAAGAACAGCAGAAACGATCATTGAGCACACGATCCCCGACTCACCCTCACTCTCAACACCAGCATCATCCTCACTCACACCACATGCATGCTTCTCACTCCGTTGACGAGAGTCAGTCCGGGGGTGGAGATGCAAGCCAAGGAGACGTCCGCAAGCGCTCACCAGAGCCAGAGCCGCATCATGTTCACTTCCATGCTGGAGGTCAAGAACAGCAGAAACGTTCATTGAGCGCACGATCCCCGACTCACCCTCACTCTCAACACCAGCATCATCCTCACCCACACCACATGCACGCTTCTCACTCCGTTGACGAGAGTCAGTCTGGAGGTGGAGATTCAAGCCAAGGAGACGTCCGCAAGCGCTCACCAGAGCCAGAGCCGCATCACATTCACTTCCACGCTGGAGGTCAAGAACAGCAGAAACGATCATTGAGCGCACGATCCCCGACTCACCCTCACTCTCAACACCAGCATCATCCTCACCCACACCACATGCACGCTTCTCACTCCGTCGACGAGAGTCAGTCCGGGGGTGGAGATGCAAGCCAAGGAGACGTCCGCAAGCGCTCACCAGAGCCAGAGCCGCATCATATTCACTTCCACGCTGGAGGTCAAGAACAGCAGTAGAGGAAACGCTCTCTAGTTCCTGAGCCACCATCCGCGTCTCGTTCACGCAGTGCAGTGCAACAGTCATAGATATCTACATGATGAATGTGAAAGTTTGCATGCCCTATTGACGTATGACTCTTATGAGATCCTACTGAAATCGGCGAGGTATACCCATATTTCATCTGACATGAACTCGATTGTCCGACTTATTATACATTTAGAGGTTTGACCTTGGGTCGAAGCAACGAGAACAATGAATATGCATACCGGAGAATATGGGTGCCCCTTGAAATACATCACGCGTATCCATAGTTCAGGTTACCGCCAGAATGATTGAGGATATTCACCCAAAATTTCTATGGTTATGGTGTAATTATAGCGGTCTTTATCCAGTCATGTTTGGGATACGCACTGCATGAGCCATACAGAACATACTAGCTACCACCTTCGGCTCTCACTTGCTCAAATGATTCCTCATTACTCAACACAGTGTAAGGATTGGTTCACCTTATAGGTCCGAACCCGGCCGGCCAGGTTGGATTACCTGAGTAACGGGGGTACATAGGAAGTGTAACGCATTAGAGGGAAAAGAGGGACGCTATAGTCTAGTTGTCTAAGGCTAAGTCGGTGCGAATCCGGCTTGTTCCATTTTCCCACCGCTAAACGTTACACACAGCCCATCAGCATGCCAGAGGCGAGATGGCTCCGACGGGAGGGTGAGGAACGCGAGGGTGCGACTCCAAATGTCATGGTTAGGATTGGAAGCGTGGCAATGCTACACCAGATGTCATGAGTGGGCATGATTGAAAGCGTAATATTCCCACACCGGAGAGCCTCTAGGGTATCACCAAAGAGTCTTAGGCCGGCTAAATACACCCACCTAGTCACGAGATAGGATCCTATACTAGGACGTTGTGATCAGATAGCAATGAATCACATATACGGTGACCGCTTGCTGATGATATGACAAACCCTTATTTCAGGTTCATGATGCCATAGTACGAATCATCTTCGCCGGTCGCGGACAGGCTATGTGGCTTGGCGCGCCGCGCTCGGGGTCTGGCGGTGCAACTTGTATTGCCAGCGGCCTAAGGCTGACGGTGAAGGATTCTTACTCACACAGACCCGATTTTCCATGCTAGTTGAGAAGACACTATATAATCCTTGTTGCTGACGCACTACAAACCTCATTCTTCTCAAAACTCATTTCTTTCGATTTCGTGAGGTTATTCATTTCGCCTCCTGGATTCAAACTGATACTTGATGCGCAGAATGATGCAGGTCATCAGTTTCATTATAATTTTCGCAACATTTGCGGGCAGCTCCCTCGCAGCACCTATGCCTCGCGGTGGTGGAGGACATGGCTCTTACATCCACTCGCGAGATCTATCCAATCCATCTCTCGAACGTCGCGAGCCCGGTCCAAGAGGCGGAGGTGGTGCACACGGCTCGTATATCCACTCGCGAGATCTGGCAGAGGGGTCCCTCGAGCGTCGCGAACCCAATCCAAGAGGAGGCGGCGGTGGACATGGCTCGTATATCCACACGCGAGATCTGGTAGAGGGATTGAAGCTTGAGCGTCGGGAACCCGAACCGAGAGGAGGTGGTGGTGGTGCACACGGCTCGTACATCCGCGCGCGAGATTTGACAGAGAGGCCACTCGAACGCCGCGAACCCAGTCCAAGAGGTGGTGGTGGCGGTGGACATGGCTCGTATATCCACTCGCGAGATTTGGCAGAAGGGTCCCTCGAGCGCCGCGAACCCAATCCAAGAGGAGGAGGCGGTGGACATGGCTCGTATATCCGTTCGCGAGATTTGGCTGAAGGGTTGATGCTTGAGCGTCGGGAACCCAATCCAAGAGGAGGAGGTGGAGGTGGACATGGCTCGTACTTTCACACACGGGATCTCCCAATAGAGAGTATTTAGCGTCGTGCATTCGACCCTGAGTTCAAACCACTTGAGGGAGTGGCGTGTCTCACAAGGGTAGAAGATACACTGGGTCATACATTGTCTAGTAGTATTGACGACATGTCGTGATGCTGGTATCTCTTGTATATAGGGATGTAGTCTACAACTCGATAACGGTGAAGACGAGAAGAGGTCATCCTGTAACCTCATCAGAAGAAACAAAAGATTCCACTATCGGGAGGCAGGATGGTGGAAATCTCATAGTTCCTCGCGTCATTACTCGAAGACGTCAAATAGTATCGCAAGCAACTAGACCTGTGTGCAGATAGCTTTGTCCAAGTTAATAAGTGCGACTTGAGATAGAAAGGCTCCTCTCCGACTGCCGAGACCAACACGCAGCAGGTTGGCCTCTGCCGCATCAGCTGGGGTTCGACGAATCAAGCAGGAGCGGCAAACTAGATTTATCCAACGTTCAATAAAGTCAGAGAAGAGCTCTGAACTCGAGACAATTGTAATGGGTAAATCCATCCAGGCGCGCGTCGAGGTTAGTCCACCAGCCCGTCCAACACATCCTTCCAATTGAAATTCTAGGCATGTGGAATCGAAATTGACCTCCTACTGCGGGAAAGACCTGACAAGAATCCGAAGACGCACTCTAAGCCACCAAACTCCATGGTCAACAACGACAAGCCATTTCCGCCACTTCCATACGACATCCTCTGCTATTTTCTCTTCTTCTTGCCAGACTTTTACACTCTTCGAGACGTTATCCTCAGTGGTCGCCCGTTCTACGACGCCTATGTCTCTCGTCGCGAGCGTGTGCTCGGACACATTATGCGTAATCAATTCGGACTCGGTGCACCCGGAGCGCTACGTCTCGCTGCACTATTACTCGACTTTAAAGCAGAAAAGGCCTCTGTCCGAAATGGAGACCAATGGCTCGAGGATTATCGACCAGAGTACTCGACACGAGTACTCAAGCAGACAAAGTGGATTCACAAAGTCACGCATGCGTGTCTACAGTTGTACTTGACACGTTGGTGCTGGCTTCCTCCTCGCAAGACAATTTCTCAACCACCGTACGTCCCATATACAATCTCGAGTGAACAAGTCACTCACGTAAGACAGCGTTATCGACTTGTTCAGTGAAGCCGCTGTCAACTTTGAGCGCGCATTCATCACTTGGTGGACTCTCTGTGTATTTAGAGCACGAAACACCGACTTTGGAAACCTAACGGTACACTGTTTACCTGATGTCGAATGCACTGAGACGGAGATAAACGACTACCTCTCACTCTGCACCTTTTTCTCTCAAATCCTCTGCGCGTTGACCAAAAAGGAAGATACAAAGGGACTCTGCGAAGTGCATTATGGTACGCTCGTCGACTTGAGATAAGGAAGGTGACTGATGCTTTGTAGAATACTGGTCAGAATGGGCTCCAGGTGCTATCGGTCCGGTTCCTTTCTTGCGCGCTCTCAGCGAGACCACCAAGTCCAAAAGCAGGCGTATACTCTACCGAACGATGCCTGCTTGCGGTCTGTCTACATACTGATTCCTCATGCTCTCTCTCTCGCTTTCTTGTCATGTATCATAGATAGCTACTTATGAAGTCCACTATTGAAAGTACCAAATCAAAGACTCGGACGCCAGACCAACAATGAACTTGATTAGCAGGATCTAGATGCCGACATGAGCACTACCAAGTCAGACGAGAAGAGGAGGAAAAAAAGAAAAATCGTAAACAGTGCGTAAAGATTGAATTCCAAGAGACGGACATTTCCTTTGAGATTTGTTTCCGAGACAAAGACGATTACTGGATATGCGCCGAGAATTCCGTCTCGGGCCAGATACCCTCGGAACGGGCCCAGTTGATAAACTGGCGGATAGTATCCTCGCAAAAGGAAGGATATGTCATCTTGTATCCAACAATCTACACCCAAACCATTAATAAACCCCATCCCGGCACATCCCAAAAATAGAAAGGCGTACCCGTTTCAACTTTTCGTTGTCCATCGCAATCCCGTGCTCGTCGAGAATGTGCAAGTCGACATAGGGTGAGAGTGGCGTTCGCGGAACAGGCGGGTTCGCCATCTGGATAATCTTTCCCCATTCTTGCATATGGGACTCGTTGACGTCCTCGGCAACATCCCGCATACGCATCCCACTAATCACATTCGTAATCGTTCCATGGAATCCGACCTTGATTCCAAACAACCTGCCGACGGCATTGTTCATCGTCTCTTGTGTCGTATCACCGTCGTCGGTAATGTTAAAGCACGGGACGAGGATGCCGCCTGCAGATTTTGGTACGGCATCGGGTACGTTCGGTACGTCCTTGTCGCCAGAGGGTGGGAGAATGTCGCCGGCGAGCGCGTTTGCCGTCGCACGGTCCTTGTCGGCAATCCATTGGGCACACGCCCAGATGGCACCGGCAAGGTCGTAGATGTGAATCGTATTCTTGCGCATGCGTGGGTTCCACAAAAACTTCATCTCCTTGTCGATGCTCTTGTAGATGAGCCCACAAAGAATCGTAATGCAGGCTTGCGAAATGGCGTCAGTCCCTCTTGCTTGATAGATAGCAAGTATTGCTGACATTACCTTCTAGTCGAATAATCTCTGGTCCGTATACCGTGGCGCATCGAATGACGACCAAGGGCAGGTTCGGAATCGAAGCCACCGCTCTCGCGGCCTCGAGCCACCACGTTCCTCTAGCTCCCCAAGGTCTCCAGCCCTTTTCTTCGCTCTCTTTCCACTTTTTCTTAAAGTCTGTGTGTTCAGAAAACGGACCAACCATACGGATGTAGGACTGAATGTGCGGACGCTTGGCAGCGGCCTTTGCCAGGGCGACGGCAACACGGAAGGTATGCTGGATGTGAACCTCTGGCGGGAGATTGTAGGCGAGATTACCAGCAATGTCAATCACATAGGTGTACGGTCGTCCGTCGGGTGCAGGGTCGTCGTAGACCTTGTCGATGACGCCTGCTGGGGTCGATTAGCCAACGTATTCCCAACAAGACTGTGAGAAGCTGGGTGGGTGAGATGGAAGAGGAACACACCGGGATTCTGAAGGTTTCCCTGACGATATTCGATATAGTCTTTGCGCTCGCGGAGACGGTCCTGGAAGATTTTGCTGAGATAGGTGGTTGGTGGATTGACAGAATACTTGTCGACAAGACGGATATGGGACACGAGCGGTTCGGCGGGTGCAGCGGGAACGAGATACTGCACAATTCCAGGCGCGATCGAGTCGACGCCGCCTTTCAGAGGCAAACAGAATAGATCGACATTCATTGTATGCGTTGATAATTCGTGAAGAATAGACAGAATAAACCATGTCAGCGACTGAATTTCGGGACCAATTAAACAGAGTCGACATCTAAAAAACTCACCAAAGATGATCACGTTGGGTTTGAGGGACATGTCGATATAGAATTCTCTTTGCAGTCTGGGCCAATCCTTCAAATGGGCAGTCGACGCTGGGACCAAGTTGCTCTCGTGTGTTTTGTTGCGGGTGGGTCACTCTCGACTCGGGTCCGCTGGCGCCGGACGTTATCAAAGGGACAGAAAAGCGGGCTTGGCTTTTGATGTTTGGTTAGCGTCTGTCTGACGGACAAATCAAAGTCAAAACAACCGTAGCCGCAGACAGAAATGCCTAGCCTCCACCCGACAATTATCGGTGACTTTTATTCGACGGAGGGGACGTGGGTCGAGACCAAACCTGCTCTTTACTGGTATGGAGAGATTGATGGGCCATCAGTAGAAGCAACCAGAAGACAAGGCAGAATCCGTGGGAATGACAGGTCGAATCCTAAAGGTCGAGCTCGGGTCTCAGCTGCCCACCCACCCCCTCGATAATACGTACCGGAAATGAACAATGCTATCATTCCTCTCATCACCAAAGTGCACAGATATCATCAATCTCGGATCTTTCCTGACAGACCGTGGTCTGATGCCCAGCCAGCAAGTACCTGGGAACAGCGGACCCTCGACCTCGGGACACAGCTCACGTCACTTGGCACTGGGACAAGGATCAAGAATGAAATCATCGGATGCTGTATATCCAAGTTGAGGTGGTTCCGTTCCCATCTTCGGTCGCTGTAGCGGCGGAAGAAAGATGCGGTCGTAACAAGTAGTCACAGAGTTAGATTCCAGCGGATTATTCAACTTTTTTACGGATGTTTCGTGGGGTGGGGAACGTATTCGCCCATGCCACTCCGCATCCTCTAACTGCACATGTCCCGCGGTAGTCTCAGTTTAAAACAAGACTCTACCAGAGTCTCACCCAGTCTATATCGCCACAGACTGCGTACATTCAACCCGAAGAATGGCCCCGCGACCGGCGCGCTCCGACTCTCGGCGGGGGTCCAACGGCAATCATATATCAGTTCGACGACTACGACTACAACGATTCGCATTATTAAACCTCGTTCGCTTTTGAAAAGCAACGTACGTGTCCTAATTGTTGTCGTCTACCATACTTTGACGCTATGCAGGCTTTCTCTTCTTCTTTCTTTCTTCTTCTCTTTTCTTCTCTTTGCTCTTTCAGTCTCGTCCAAGGTGAGTAAATACGTCGTTCGTCCAGTGTTTTCCCTGATAATCACTCACAATCTCCTAGAGTCATCATGCAAATCACCAAGATTCTACTCACAGCAAGCGCATTCGCCATCGCATCCTCTTTGGCTATACCCGTCGCCCAGCCAAACGCTCTCAACAAAGGGGCAGCAGGCCACGAAGATGGAAAGCATCCTTCGACCGTGACCTGGGTGGCCGCTACGAATCCAAACGCACCGACATCTCACGAGCACAACTCGGTAGAAGGAATGTCCATCGTCAAGAGAAATCCAAGTTTCTTTGGCAATCGCTTCCGAGCGGCTTTTCGTCGCCTGTTGTGTGGAAGTGGTGACTTTATGTGGTGTTAGAGCTCCTTGTTAAATTTATTCAATATGGCATAGATTCGGGTTGAATGACAAGGTCCCTTTGAGAGTTTCAGAGACTTTGTCGGGGCTCCGCTTTAGAAGTGCGATTACAATGTTCATTATTATCAACAACACGAGTATACAATATGAAAAGGCAAGAGCAGGAGATTCCAGCACTATTGAAACTTTGAGAAAAGTGTTCGCAAACAGATGTATCCCAAACGACGAGATTAGGTGGGAGAAAGGATTCCCAAAGTTGGACCGATGGACAAGAGGCAAGTTTGGAGATAAGAGAAATGGCCTAAGGCCATACTCCCTCTGCGCGACACCACTCGACGTACAAGCGCACCGCCTGTTCGTCAAACTTGCCGCGTGTAGGCTTGAATCCAAGGACCTATCGCATATCAGCACAGTTCACCACCCGTACAAAGAGACTTACATCTCTAATCTTGCTACCATCCAACGAGCACCCATGTTCCTCGACTTGATGCGCTTCAGTGTAAGGACTAATCGGCGTCTCCTTTATTCGGGGCGTCGCCTCGCGAACCATGGCATCCCACGCACCCACATGCACGTCATTCACGTCCTCGGTAAACTTTTGCAACTTTGCACCGCTCAACTCTGTCAGCCGTTCGTCTAACCAGACGGCCTGGATGCCAAAATAGGCAGAGATGGCGTCCGAAATGGCGCCCTGTGTCGTATCGGATCCGTCGACGACGTTGAATACGGGGACGGTGATCGACTCTGTGGGAGGGGGCAGCGGTGTGCTGAGAGTGCTCGTGTTAGCAGGAGTGACGAGAGGAGACTGGGATGGTGGGATGGGGACGCCAATCAGAGCATCGGCATTGTTGCGCCCCGTGGATGCTATCCATCTAAAGTGCGGTTTAGAGCGTGCGCCACGTAAAAAGAGATAGGACTCACTCCGCAGCCATCCAATGAGCTCGCGCTAGATCCTCGATGTGGATTGTATTCTTTCTGAGATTCCGCGACCAGTACAGCTTCATCTCGGTCTTTAGCTCCTTGTAGACCGCGCCAAGCGCAATTGCCGACGTGCCTGTCTGACGTTAGTCGAGATATCACGCCATCAATGACGAATCACGTACACTCCGAATAGACCAGTCCTTCGCCATAATAGTAACCGGCCCGGAGGACGACGAGCGGCAAATCCTTGATGTTCCCGATAGCGCGTACACTCTCGTGCCACCAAATGCCACGATTACCAAGCGGCTTCCACGCTCGGTCGTCGCCCTCCTTGTACTTTTCGGGTGGATCCTTGTGATTGTAAAAGGGAGGGAGGCCGCGCACGTACGCCTTGACGGTACCTATCCCAGCCCAAGTTAGCGAGACTGAATGGGATCAAGTTACGACTGACTTGGATTAGCGGCGTTTGTTGCCGCGACGGCCTGCGCAATATTGAGCGAGGGCTTGAGGGATTGCTCGACATGAACCTCGGACGGAAGGTTGTAGTAAAAGTTGCCACTGTTGTCGAACACATAGGTGTACGGTCGCCCATCCGGCGCAGGATCTTCAACGCATTTCTGTACGACGGCTGGGACGGTTAGGTTGGCCTGTCGGTATTCGATGACACCTTTTTTCGATTCGAGCAGATTACGAAAGGACTTGATAAGGTATGTCGTGGGCGGGTGAATGGAATACTTGTCTACGATCCGAACGTGTGCTACGAGCGGCTCTTTGCCCTCTGGGAAAAGCGAGCAGACGAGCACGGGCGTAAAGGAGTGGAGCGCGCCTATTTGATACTCTATTGTTAGTACACGCTAGGCCTAGGGCCCAGATAGATAGCCGAGGCGTACCGAAAATGATGGCATTTGGTTTGGCGGACATGAGAGCGCGTGTGCGGTATTACACGGGATCCTGAGACTATTCTTTTGGAAGATTACAGAGAATGGGTGCTGAGAGTACGAAAAGTGGCCGATCAGACTTGATCCCACTCAATCAGACGAATAGACACGCCGTCACGTCGTCTTTATACAAATATTCAATCTCTTTGAGGAGATTATACGTGTCTGGTAGCGATTAGAGGTGCCTTCGGAGCGGACAGAGGTGCGGTCGGTGGGCGTCGAGACCAAGGATGGCGATGTGTGGGGCAACGGAGTCGGAACGGGGTTACGTAACAAAGGTAGATAGATGTACAGGAAATAAATACAAATAACAAGTGTGATTGAATGCCGACATGGACACTATGCGACTATGCTCGATCAAGATGGTCTCCGAATAGACAACTACGTAAAATCCGACGGCGACACTGTAAAGGATAGATTGACCTTTTAGACGACCGGAGGTAATGCAATCCGCGGTACCATCCCGGGGACAAGCTTTCGCATCTCATCACTGGGCATATGTGCAACAGCTGCCTCCATCTCTCGCTTTGCTTGCATGGTTCGTCGAATAAACCGATGCAGCGCTGCTCCCAATGAGAGTGTATCCCGCCGCGAAAGCGCCACGGCATCTAATTGAGCAAGCGCCGCGTCTCGTCGGCTAATGAACGAGTCGGGGACACTTCGAGCTTGGAGGTCCGGGGACTCTACAAGAGCTCGACGAGCGAGTGCGGGGGATGGCGACTCGGAGGACAGTTCGTGGGCGACAATATGCGCTTGTTTTTCTCCGGGTGTTCGGTGACCCACAATTGTGCGTGCGACGAGCTCATTCCCGCCAGGTCGACCATAGACCGGTGCTCCAATCACGCCTACAGTAAAGTAGGCAAGGACAAGGACAAACAGATGTTGAAAGTGCATCGTGGACCAGGTAATCAAAAAATGGAAAAAAAAGTTTAACAAACTTAAGGATTCGTCAGTGACCAGTCGACCGGATTCACGAGTACGTACAAGGCACCTGGCCAATCGAACAACTGCAGAAAGAGAAAGAAAGTGGAGCAAAAGGCGCTACGGGTGCGCAATGCGGCGAACACCGTCTTTTATCAGCCATGGGAGCAGAGGCAGTGGACCGTGGCATCGCGCACCGCTTCCATTGGCGCGCCGTGTATGATAGTTCACTGGGTGAAAATACTTATATGTCGTGTAGAACTCGTCCACACCGCATCCGCCGTGAGCGGTGACGCCTCCCTCCAGTCGCCCATCTTACATGATGAGACGCAGCCATCTTACCAGGCACCCAGCAAGCTCAGGACGTGAAAAAATATGCCATAGGTATCACATACGCATATACAACTCGAGGTTGATACTCCAAACAGACGTCGAGGCCGGCCCTAGCTACATATTAGATATCATCATCGGAAGGCTGGAGATAATGAATGTAAGTGCTGTTAAGGGGATCGTTGGAAGACCGAAGGGGAACGTCAGGAGACGAATTTAAAGCCCTATAAACGCTGGAAAGTTGCGTCGTCATCGAGGCGTCGAGGGCAGTCGAGTAGTCTTTGGGAACTTTTCCTGGTTCCTCTTCTGAAGACGACGTAGAAAAGGGAGCAAGCGGTATCGAGTGCATTGTGGGCGCAATGACAACATCCCGCGTGGCTTTGTGACTCCAAGTAACAGAGTCTTTTTCTGCTACCATTGCCGCAGTTGGTTGCTGGAAAGGATTGGCCGAGGCGTCTTGTATCACCCTGGCCCGATGTCCAGCAATAGCCCCCGTATTATAGGACGCGGCAGTTGTATAAGATGGCGGGCGGGGTTGTTGGGAAGACTTGGCCTCGATGGCCTCTGCCCTTGGAGAGGAGATGGTTGGTAGGGGTTCCGCATGGGCAGACACCTGATTGACAGACCGATAGCGGTCGCTAAGTTGGTTGTTTGTTGCTTGGGGTTGGGTAGTGGGTGGCGGTAGTTTGTGTTTAGTTGAGGTAGATAGCCGGCCAGAGTTATTTTCGTTCGGGCGAGTCACCGGAATAATAGCCTCCCGAGCGGTAGGAGCGGGAGTTTCGGGGGTCTCTGAGGAGTTAATTGAGCGAACAAAACCCAAGAGGGGTCTAAACCATATCTCTTTTGCCCCTTCACTGGCTCGAGTGCTCCGTGTCTCCAGAATTCTCAATAGTATATGTATCTCGTCTTGAGAAGGTCTGTAAAATGTACTATACAGCCACTGTTTGATGAGCAGCACTATTTCTTCAGATTCAATTTCGAATGCGCATCCGGTTAGTTCACGCATGCAATCACCGCGCATTGAGAGAAGCGCCACAATTGCCTGAAATAATGCAAGAGTATGTGGCTGTTTGGGTTCGCTTGTACAAGGGACTTCAGGAACCTTAGTTACTGCCCCTCTGAGATCTTCCAGTCTCCGCGAACAGGGCCCACAGTGAGTCGTGAAGCTTGTAGTGTCATCATTGTCGATTGGAATGTGCTCGAGGAGACCAATGGCGCTATACGCAGTGCATACTGCTGTAATGAGACTTTCTTTGGTTGCGACATGCTCGGGAGTTGGTTTAAGGCTTGATAGAGCACTCAAGGCGTGCCGGCCATGTTCGCGAACCAGATTCATCCATGGCGTTATTAAAGCTGGATCCTGAGCCTTTGAACGGAACGCTCCGGAATCCAGCCAGAGGAACCATACAATAAACTGGGCCAGCGTCTGCGCACGCTCGAAACGTGTGGGCACCAGTGCATTGTCGCCTTTGTTCGGTGCAGCTTGCACACAGGTCTTGGTGAGGAAGACACTTGTGCCAAGAATAACAGGGTGCGAGAGAATCCCACTAGTCTTGACGTTCTCCGACACCCATGTAAGGGAGGGGATTTTCTTGAAGCAACGGTCGAGAAGCCAGCGCTCGGTTGTCTTATCGGCTTGAAGCATGTTATGAATAATGATCTCGAGGTCGAGTTCAGCACGTGACTTGACATATTCTTTGATAGCGTTGCCGCGCTCTCCCGAGTTGTCCGTATTTGGGGTGAGTAGCAGTGGTAAGAGGTTGTATTTCCTCTTTTGCCGCTTTACCGGCATATTGCGCAAGATTCCAAGTAGAGCTCCCAAAACTCGAGAGAGGGGAGACCGAAAAGGGGCGTCGGGGTGTTGAATAGCTTGCAAGGTACGCCATAGAACTATACCTATGCCTAAGGTGAACGATATAACGGGAATATATCCAACATGAGGACAAGTAGAGAAGATGAGGTCGAAAATGCCAATCATAGCAAGAAAGACGGCAAGAAGCATGATGACAGAGAGCCAGTCGAGGAAGGCAATGAAATCGTATCGCTTCATACCCCGATGGAGAACAAAACGGGCACGAGCTTCATGATGAGGTGATGAGTATTGAGTGGCGATCTCACGTTGATAGTTGCGTGCCCACTGATTTATAAAGATGCAGAGTACCGCGACAACCAGAGCGACGCTCAGAGCCCCGAATAGAAAAGCGTTGACACGAATACCGTACACTGGCGGCTTTTGGATTGTAATGCTTGGCTGTCCACCTTGACTCAAAACTTGAAGGATAGCCACGAGGGTGTCGTTTGGGTCTGCCGACAATTTTGGGAAAGCAATAGCAATAAATGCCGCGACAGCGGCCGAGAATAGACCCGCCTGAATAAAGGTAGGTTACCTATATCCGGCGATGTGAGAACTTACAAATGTCAGGAGAATCCCCGCAGTCTCGTTTGCTTCCGTAAGGATGTCCGCGTCAGTTTTGGCTGCATGTTCATTGTAATAATCCCAGACACTAATCGAATCTTGGTTATTACCATAATGGTCGTTTTGATCCTTGATACTCTCCAGCGGTTCCTCGCTAAAGCTCATCTCGTAGCGAGGAGCGCGGACGTATATGAGGGACCTTTCTTTTCGAGGAGGAGGAGGCCCCGAGCAGGCTGGGTAGGTGTCGTCGTACCAGGTTGGACCCAGGGGTTGGACCCAACGCTCTACGCCTAGTCCTTTGAGAGGCCAACTCGTAGCTCACAAGAAAAAAGGGCATACCTCCAGGCGTATCAGTATCCACTACATAGGCCATGTCGGACTACAAGGCAAAAGGCGTTTCGAAACACCGTCACGAGCTCCTTTTGATAAGACTCGAGTGCTGGCACACTGGGTATACCTCCGTTCTGTACAGCGAGCCAGCTATAAGGCTGTGTGCCGAGAGGATGTTTCGCCGGCTCCACACAAAAACCGGTTTTGACTCAATCGAGAGATTGGCTTCGATCAGTAGGTAAATACTCCCATTCGGTGAGAGGATGGGCACGGTCAGATATCCACGAACCGCGAAATTGACTGATAAAGCCCACAATCAAGCGCTGCAATTCGAAGAAGTGGCGGTCACTGGGAAAGAAAATGCAAAGAATGTTGCAAAAGGAGTACACACCTTGTTTAACTTGGCGGGCATATCCCTGATAGCAGCCTCGAATTTGATCTAGACTAGATAACGACCAGTCAAGGGAAGGATCGATGCCACCGCGGTGAAGGTACAAGTTGATGTTAGCAAGGGTATGATATTCAATGACAATTTTGACACGTTTGACGTCGATACCGCATCCAAAGATGTCAGTCTCTACGAGGATGCACTTCTCAAAGGTTTTAAACTCTTTGCAACACTAGATACAACAAAAAAGCCAAGTTGATTAAAAAGGAGATTAGGATTTTATCATTCGGAGATGATGAAGATGTGATTTGAGGCTACTCATGACCCTATGGGAGAGGTGGTCATGATAGTCAACGATTGCACAACGTTAACCAGCAGTGCAAACCACAATCTATGTTCCGTCTCACCAACCTTCATCTTGCGTTCTTTCAGAATCTTCAGCAAGATCCTCTTCTCTTCCTCAGAGACTGTGTAAAAGGCCTCTGAGGTGGTGATTGCCTCCGATGCAAACCTTTTCGTCACAAGAGACGCGATTTCACCGGGCTCGTTGTCCAGCCACGATCCATACGGCCCTACTATGCAGTCGCAGCGCATAGTAAGGAACCCCAGGAGCGCTGCAAATAAGATCTGTTTATTTTTGGCCTCTTCTAAATCATTTAAATCCTCTTTTTTCGAACTGTCAATGTCCCGTTGCACGGCCTGCCTTAGATTGGTCAATCCAGATTCGCAGACTGAGCAAGGGTTTAGCGAATGTGCATTAAATTGAAACCGATGCGCAAGGAGACCAAGGGCAGTATAGGCCGTACATACTGCCTTGATGAGCCGCTCCACATCGACGGAGTTGTCAGAAGGGCGCCCTTTCATCCCTAGCGTGCTGAGTGCGTACCAGCTGTATGCGTGCAACATATCCATCCATGGCGTGACCAAATCCTCATCGCATAATTTCGTTCGCAGCTCAGCAGAGGCCAGCGGGAGAAGCCAAACGAGAAACTCGCTCAAGGTTTCCGCACGTTGAAAGCGACCAGGCACCAACGTCTTGGACTCTGATCCCGGCGATTCCGATGTCTTTTTTATGCAGGTCTTTGCGAGGAAGATGCTCCTCTTGAGGATGGATGGGTACAAGAGCATCTCGTTTTGTTGAAAATTGCATGTGAGCCACTCGAGTGAAGGAAGCTTTTTGAAGCAAAGGTCGAGGAGCCAACGCTCAGTTGCAGTGTCAGCTTGATGCATGATTTGACTGATGATGTCCAGGTCGAGCTGATCGTACGACTTGACATACTGCTTTATACTTGTGTGATCCTCATCAATTGCTTCATCGTATACTCCAGATGTCTGTAAGGCTCGTGAGTGTGTACTCGCTCTGTTTATTAGCGTAGAGTGACGTTTTTTGAGTACATGTCCTTTATTTCGTCGGTTTACTGGTATTGGGCTGATCGTCTTGAGTATCCGTGTTAGCACGTGAGATAAGGGAGACCGAAAGGGAGCATCAGGATGGAGATAGGCTTGAATAGTTTTCCACAAGACAAAGGCCATGCATAGGGCAAATGATATGACCGGAATGTACCCGATGCGAGGGCATGTGGAGAAGATGAGGTCAGAGATGCCAACCATGGCAAGGAGGACAGCCAGAAGCATCAAGAGAGAAAGCCAGTCTACGATGCCTATGAAGTCATACCACTCAATCCCACTATGCAGGAAATAGTGCGCGCGAGCTCGATGATGTGGGGAAGAGAAGGCAGATACGATCTCGCGTTGATAGTTGGATGCCCATTGGTTAACCAAGATGCAGAGTACGGCCACACCCAGGGCGATACTAATGGCGCCAAAGAGAAAAATGTTTACGCGGATACCAAATGCGGGTGGTGGTTGAATCCTTGAGCTTGGACTTTCACCATTATTCAAGGATTCGAAGATTCCGAGTAGAATTTCGTTCGGATCTGGCGATAGCTTGGAGAAGGTGATGGGGATGAAGGCTGCGACGGCAGCTGAGAACAGACCAGCCTAATCGAATAAGCATAATATCACATTGTGGTTGAATGGCTTACAAAAGTGAGCAGAACCTGTGCAGTATCATTCGCATCCTTGATCGTGTCTGCGTCCATCCTTGCCGCGTTCGCGTTATAGTAGTCCCAGATGGTAATGATTTCTTCATCGTCTCCAATCAAATCTTGATGCGTTTCTGGTGTGAAAAAATGTGGAAGTGGCGCCGCACGAGATGGAATTGACGGCAAAGCACGCACAACCAGAGGTGCACTCACTGGGGCCGGCGTTGGGCCCGGCCCTCGTTCCATGCGCACCCAACGCTCCACTGTTATTCTATTATCAGCCGAACGAAGCTGATAGGAGATGCATACCGCCGTGTCCCTCCGCTATAAAGGGCATCTGATCTCGACGAAATGTGGGGGCGTCCTATCTATCAATCAACAGTATTCGGAAGTCACTGTTCATTATCTAGGTAAAGAAGAGAGGTCTAGACGGAGATCTAGACGAGTCGTGGCAGCTCAGGATTTTGCATCTAATTGATAAGACATCTCAACCCGCCTCGACCAGACAACACATGACCTCTCTTCAAAAGGTGGTTAAGACGACGAGATCGTGTCAAGAGAACGTTGCATTCTGAGATAAATCCAGGATCGAGCGCTACAAACTTAAGAAGAGCCAGAGAGAAGGGTTCAACATCTCGGTAACCGTCACAATGAGCTACACGTACTGTACGTAGTCTTGTCCAACTCTGCAGGCATCCCCGTGATAGCAATCTCGAACCTGCTCTGAATTTGCTCCAACACGTCCAGATCGGCCTGTGACGAGACAAATGTGAGGGCTAGACCTTTGGTACCGAAGCGACCAGCTCGCCTATACGATGGTCAGTCAAAAAAGTTGCGATGATCGAGCTACGCACCCGACACGGTGAAGGTACGAGTCGGCGTCTGCGGGAGTATCGTAGTTGATGACAATGTTGACACGTTCGACATCGATACCGCATCCAAAGATGTCAGTCGCGACGAGGATACGCTTTCAAAGTTCTTAAACTCTTTATAGCGTGAGATACTATGGCAATGGTCAAAGGTATTCGTAAAGGGTCGTGATGACTTACCGCTCCTCTTGAGAGAGACCAGAGTGCACGGTAGTACCCGGGAAGCCACATTCTCGGAGCAACTTGTCCAATTCGACCGCACGTCCGACGCTCTTGACAAAGATGACAACTTGGTTAAAGTCAAGGGTGTCGAGGAGGTCGTTGAGCTTGCGGTTCTTTTGCGTCTCCTCGAGGCGAAGGAAGTATTGCTGGAGATCGTGCAATGTGAGCTTTGACTCGCCATCGATGAAAATTTCCAGTGGCTATCGCAGCATTAGCAGGAGTCCATATACGACGAGGATACGGACGTTATTCATAAACTTTTTGCACGTAACGCGAATCTCTTTCGAGAGCGTTGCGCTAAACATCATGACTTGCTTGCTGTGAGGGGTGATTCGGAAGATTTCCTGGACGTCGCGCCGCATATCTGGTTGAGCATGCCGGAAGGACCGCATGGTGGTGAAGAAAAGAGTAGGTAAGAACGTTGTCGAATGACGGAGAGCGCAAGCAAGAGAGAGTCCACCCAGTCTATTCCCCAGAAAACACCTCTGACAACTCCTCAACACGGGACTAGACATGGAGGTGTCCAGCGAAAGGGTGAGCCGGTCAAATGTCGCACGACTGGTGGTTCTGATGGTGGCGAAAAAAGAGGAGTCGAAGTGAGACTAACCGAGCTGCTCGAGCATTTTATCACACTCGTCGAGGACGAAATGCTAGACTCCCGTCTTTTATCAGCCATGGAAGCAGAGGCAGTGGACCGTGGCATCGCGCACCGCTTCCATTAGAGCTCCGTGTATGATAGTTCAGTGGGTGAAAATACTTATATGTCGTGTAGAACTCGTCCACATCGCATCCGCCGTGAGCGGTGACGCCTCCCTTGCAGTCGCCCATCTTACATGATGAAACGCAGCCATATTACCAGGCACCCTACGAGCTTAGGGCGTGAGCGAGACTAGTATGGTGTGACTATCATTTATACTTGCACAACTCGAGGTTTACATTGGAGAAACAGTCACTCGGGGCCGGCTTCAGGCCATCTCATGACATATCGAATTTGTCACCGACATAGAGTTGCGAACACAGAGGCTTTCACCAGCACACTACACGCGAATCTGTTGTTGAATTGTAGCATCCTGTGGTTGCGCTCATCAATAGGGCGAATCGTCAGAGCAAACTTGAATTGCGCACCATTGTCCATGTCTTGGCTTAGATAAATTTCATCGTGATCTTGTCGAGATCGAGCACACGAGGTCTAAGATGGGTGTGAACCAGAGCTGTCTAGCCAAGTCGCTGGCGTCCGCGCTATGCGCTTTTAGGATTCGCAAGAGTATCTGAGCCTCGTCTGGAATGTATACATAGGAGCGTGATGGACTGCGGGAGGGCGAAAGAAACCATTGTCGTATGACGGACATAATGTCATCGCATTCCGACATGATTGAACCCGGTGGTGTCTGTATACAGTTGCTGCGCGTGCATAGAAATGCTAAGATCGCCTTAAAGATTGCTGGTACATGATCTTCATTTTCAGGTTGCGTATTGGACACGTGAGAAGCCGCATTTGCGATCATCATGAGATTTTGAAGTCGCAAAGAACATGTCGTGCACTCGATAGGGAGAGGTCCCTGTAGGTGCTCGACTAGGCCGAGGGCATTATATGCGCTACATGATGCCTGAATAAGCCGTTCTCTACTGATTGGGTATTCGCTAGGCGGTGTATCCTCTGATAGGCACCAAGCGCGTACGAGCCAAGTGAATGTAGCATTTTTCTCCAGTGTGTTATCGAGGTTGGGTTTTGTGGTTTCCAGCGGTATGCTTGAGAGTCCAACGAGAGAAACCATACGAGAAACTCGCTCAAAATCAGTGCGCGTTCGAAGCGAGTAGATACCAGTGATATCTCTCCGACACTTGACGCATCTTGTACGCAAGTCGTAGCAAGGAAAACGCTGGCATCGAGAGCAACTGGTTGCGAGAGAATCTCGCTAGCGGCTACATTTTCCGCCACCAACGTGAGTGAAGGGATTTTCTTGAAACAGCTGTCCATAAGTCCGCGTTCCGTTGTCCTGTCAGCTTGGCGCAGGATTTGGATGATGATCTCCAGATCGAGCTCAAAACACGATTTGACGTATTCCTTTACATTCCTGTGGATCTCATTCGAGTGATCCAAAGTCTCCAAGTTACTGCGCCTGATCCGCCATATGCTGCCTGACATGCTGTCAATTATCCTGAGACTACCCCCTAAAACTTGGGATAAAGGAGACCGGAATGGAGCATCTAGATGCTGAATGGACTGAAAGGTTTGCCACAGAATAAAGACCATGCTCAGGATGAAGGTCAGGACAGGAATCGTTCCAACCCCGGGTGAGATGGAGAATATGAGGTCGAACATACCAACCATGGCGAGGAAAACCGCTAGGAGCATCAGGACGGAGAGCCAGTCCACAATGACTACGAAGTTGTATCGCTCTACGCCACGATGGAGGAAGTAGCGGACCCGAGCTTGATGATGTGGAGAGGAGAAGTGCGTTGCAATCTCTCTTGATAGCTACGAGCCCATTGATTAACGAAAATGCAGAGTACGGCAACAACCATGGCGACGCTGATGGCACCAAAGAGAAATGCATTGACTCGGGCACCGTATGATGGCGATTTTTGGATATTTGGCATTGAAATGCTGTCGTTTTTCAAGGTTGTGAGGACGGCCAGGAGGGTTTCGTTAGGATCCGGGGATAGTTTTGCAAAAGCGATGGCGATGAAAGCCGCGAGAGCAGCTGAGAGGAGACCAGCCTACTCGAGTAAATACATGGACTTGATCGTTGTGACGAGAGACTTACAAAGGTAAGGAGAAGCTGTGCTGTATCATTTGCGTCCTTGATGAGATCTGCATCTACCTTCGTCGCCCTTACGTTGTAATGATCCCAAATGGTATAGGGCCTGTCATACGTCGTACTTGGATCGCATTGGTTCACTGCGATTGGTGGAGCACCTTGGTCGCCCTTAACGTAGTTCGGTATGCGAGGGCTACGCAAGGCAAAATGGGTCCCCATGGGACTGATCAGATAACTGGTGCTTAAAGCTGTCGTCTCCTTAAGAGGTGGCACGCTTCTCGTGTCACTTGGGAGTGTGGTGCTTGCTTCATTGATGGAGGGGTCGATATTCTGCTGGTTTTCTATGCGATCCGACACTCCATGAGCCTGGTTGAGGTCCACCTCATTGGTAGATGGTTGAGTATATGCATTGTTGCCTGCTTGTTGGGTGCCCGACTGATCACTCGGGCAAGGAAGCGGGGCATCTGTGTTACTGACGAAAGACTGGACAATCGGATGTCCCTGTGCTGTGTCATCTGAGGCAATATGATCATCCCTGGCGGGCGCTTCGTCGGGAGGCGGTTGATTGATTGCTTTGTCGCTTGGGAGAGGGGAGTTGGGCCCGTTGCCGGATATTAATTCACGCGCGGATGGAAGGGTGGTTGCATCACCGGAAAGTAATGTATGGACCTCCCGGGGGGTCGCAGAACTACCAGAGGATCGGTTGATCAGGTCGTTACCAGACGGGTGCTTACTTGTATTCGGGCCATACATTGGAGGGGGTGGGGGTACTTATCCAGGGGGTAGTTCGTTGTGGTCCCGTAACTGTAACTGTCCGGCCCCGAGGGAGAGCCCCTTGGCGTTCTGCCCGAGAGACCTACCCAACGCTCCATAGCTAGTCTTATTAGAATTTGATTATTAGGGAACTAAGATGAGCACACCTCCAGGCGTAGCCTTATCCACTGTAAAACGTCCGGCCATGTTGGATGAAACACAAGTGAGAATGGCGGGTGCAACGAGAGCCCCCTCCTTTTATCCAGTCACACATGACGGTTTAAATCGTGCTGGCAATTTACTGGTAGACGCCGCTGACATCTCCGACTTGCAACAGAATGGCGTCGAACCAACCAGCTTCGCGTGCTGAAGGAAATTACCTTACTCGGAAATAGGCTCGACGTTGATAAAACCATACAAGGTGTTGACAGATCTCGTTATATTGGAAGATAAAGTCCACAATCAAGTGCTACAACTTTAAGAAGAGCCGGTCACTGGAAAAGAACCGGGTCAATGTCACGGTAACGTCACAATGAGCTACACGTACTGTACGTCGTCTTGTCCAACTCGGCGGGCATCTCCGTGATAGCAACCTCGAATCTGCTCTGAATCTTCTCCAACACGTCCAGATCGGCCTGGGACGAGACAAACGTAAGGGCTAGACCTTTGGTACCGAAGCGACCAGCTCGCCTATACGATGGTCAGTCAAAAAGTTGCGATCATCGAGCTACGCACCCGACACGGTGAAGGTACGAGTCGGCGTCTGCGGGAGTGTCGTAGTTGATGACAATGTTGACACGTTCGACATCGATACCGCGTCCAAAGATGTCAGTCGCCACGAGGATACGCTTTTCAAAGTTCTTAAACTCTTTATAGCGTGAGATACTATGGCAATGGTCAAAGGTATTCGTAAAGGGTCGTGATGACTTACCGCTCCTCTTGAGAGAGACCAGAGTGCACGGTAATGCACGGGAAGCCACATTCTCGGAGCAACTTGTCCAATTCGACCGCACGTCCGACGCTCTTGACAAAGATGACAACCTGGTTAAAGTCGAGGGTGTCGAGGAGGTCGTTGAGCTTGCGGTTCTTTTGGGTCTCCTCGAGGCGAAGGAAGTGTTGTTGGAGACCGTGTAATGTGAGCTTTGACTCGTCGTCGATGAAAATTTCGAGCGGCTGTCGCAACGTTAGTAGAAGTCTATATAAGACGAGGATACGCACGTTGTTCATAAACTTTTTGCACGTAACGCGAATCTCTTTCGAGAGCGTTGCGCTGAACATCATGACTTGCTTGCTGTGAGGGGTGATTCGGAAGATTTCTTGAACGTCGCGCCGCATATCTGGTTGAGCATGCCGGAAGGACCGCATGGTGGTGAAGAAAAGAGTAGGTAAGAACGTTGTCGAATGACGGAGAGCGCAAGCAAGAGAGAGTCCACCCAGTCTATTCCCCAGAAAACACCTCTGACAACTCCTCAACACGGGACTGGACATGGAGGTGTCCAGCGAAAGGGTGAGCCGGTCAAATGTCGCACGACTGGTGGTTCTGATGGTGGCGAAAAAAGAGGAGTCGAAGTGAGACTAACCGAGCTGCTCGAGCATTTTATCACACTCGTCGAGGACGAAATGTTTGACTCCACTTGCGTTGAGACTCTTGTCGCGTGCGAGCGCGTTGAGTCGACCAGGGGTAGCGACGATGATATGCGGGACCTCTGCACTCTTGAGGAGCTCCTGATCCTTTTGGACAGGCGTTCCACCGTAAAAGACGGCGGTGCGGACGTCGGGCATGTATCGCGCAAAACGGCTGTATTCGTTTTTGATCTGGAATGCCAGTTCGCGCGTGTGGCAGAGGACAATGACGGAGACTTTGTTTTCCGACGTGTCGAGCTGCTGCAGCGTCGCGAGGACGAAGACGGCCGTCTTGCCATGTCCAGACTTTGCCTGACAGAGCACGTCCATGCCAAGAATTGCTTGTGGAATGCATTCTTGTTGAACTAGACGAGCAAAACGCGTCAGCACCGGTCAAGGAGACGGAGAAAAAGTTTGCAAAGGACAAGAAGAGACGCGCGGCGTACCTTCTGACGGATGCTCGAATCCAAGGTCAGAAATGGCTCTCAGGAGCTCTTGTTTGAGCAAAAAGTCTCTGTTGACCAAGACCAAATGGGATATGCGTCAGCAGCAGTCTCCAGCGAGGCGACTATGCCCGTAAAGAAGCGAGCTGAGAGAGTACTGACCTGAATCCAGAGGAGTGGATACCTGCATAGTTCTTCTTGTCTCCTTCTTCAGTCCCTGCGACGGCACCAGCGCCCGCTCCAGCAACGGTCGGGTATTCTGGCTCATCTTCGTAATCGGCGAGCTCGTGATCAGCCATTTTACAGAGTTGATACTAGAACTGTCGAGGTTTCTGAAGCAAAGAGAAGAAAACACGGTCGTGGCACGGTCCAAAACAAAGATCCACGCTGCCACCAGGAGTCGCAAAAGTATACGCCAAAAAAATTAGACAAACCACTAAAAGAACTCCGAATCGGGGAATCGAACCCCGACCGCCCCGGTGAAAGCGGGGTATCCTAACCATTGGACCAATTCGGATGGATATAGCTTAGTTGACTATTAACTTATACAACATACTTAACAGCTAACGGCGCGGTCCAACAAAATTCGCATTCTATCTTCGAGACTAGGTATACAGAAAAGGATACAAAAGTGTCCAATTTGAACGAAATTACTGCAGAGACGAGGATATTGTCCGTCGGCGAGGCAAGAGGTGGCCAGGAGTAAGCTTGATGGAGTGCATATTCCCCATAAACCGAGCTCGTGGCAACAGTATAGTCATTCCATCCTCCTCATCTTCTTCAATCGGGCTCATTCTCGCCTTGGCTAACACCTGCGAGATGGCAGACCGCGGGGGGTCCAGGATATCTTTTGTGGGAACGGTGTCGGGTAACGGTGATGGATCTCCTTCGTTATCGCTGCGTAGATAACTTGAAAGGAGAGGGGTGTGGGAATCGAAACTGGGGGAAGTGGTAAAGAGAAGTGGGGAGAGCTCGTCGATAGTGCCCGTCCCGTAGAGTGAGTAGAGCGACAGAGTCCCAATAGACTCTATCGTACTAGGTGTATCCGGTTCAACAGTCGGATAGGTATAAGCTGAAGGAGCTTCCTCGACGATGACGAGTTTCCAACTCGTCCAGTCGTCTTTTAGGTCTAGACTGTGCTTCTCCTTTTCCTCATATGCGGGTTTAGGGAGCTCAGACTTTGAAAACACGCGACTGATGGCCGCGAGCCGTCGCCTCCCCTTTCGTCGTAGCCACGCTATTCGGCGCCCTACAAGTATCCGTCAGATTCATAAATCGCATCAAACATGCGCTACGCACATAATGAAATGACGTTGATCCGTCGACACATTGGGAACAGCGTCGCGGCAATGGAACAAAAAGCTGAGGACGGACAACGGGGGGCGTATGGTAGCTTGTCCGTGTTGCTCATGGTATTTTAATAAAGCACCGTGTGCCCCAGGTTGCCCGCGGAGAATGAGAGTAACCAAGGCACTCGTGGTAACCGAGCGAGGTCGCACCGACGAATCATCATGGGAACTCGTCCTCGGTAAACTTTCATCCTAAGGATCCATTGATTCCAGTAGCAAATGAGAGGGCTAGACTACAACCACTTCGAAACGAGAGGGGGAGCTACGAAAGGACCGGCCTTGAAACGACTGCGTACATACTTAATCGTCGGTAGGAAGAGGGGGCAGCGGCTTGTTCAACCGCTGCAGCATCGTACCAGATACGGTTACACTTCGAGTACGCGTTCGGACGGCGGGAGGAGACGGAGTGGGTTGATAAGATGGTTACGCTTATGGCGCGACGAGGTGGCATTACTTGGTTTCCTTTCAGAAGGTGAGAGCATGGGAGCGGGCTTTCTATGGCTAGTAGTATGCGTCGTTGACGGCTCCTTTGTCGAGGGGCCAGGAGTGGGAGGGACAGCCTCGTGGGACTCTGTGGGCTCGGAGATGGGGACATAGGACACCCTTTCCTCGGGTGGCGAGTGAATAGCATCCGGGATCGGCGCTGGCTTGAGATAGCGGCTCAGGCTCGAGGCGGAGATGACTTCGGAAATGATGACCGACTGGTGATGACGACGACGGCCGTTTGCCTTTTCTTGGCCATTGCTCCACTCTGAGGGCATCCCTACCAGGCGTCCGGTTAGGGGATCGCTCTTGACGCTGACAGGGTGTCCAACATTGAACGGTGTGCTGATTGGATGGGGCTCGCTCGACGGAAAGACCACGTCTTCCGGGGTCGACACCTCGACTATACCAATGTGAGTAGATGCCATGGGAAAAGTAGCGACGTACCTGTGAAAGATGCCGGCACTCTTGCCCCAGCGCTACCAATAAGCTCGGCCAGCTTTTGTCCAATCCTTCGAAGAATTGCACTTTTCTCAGAGGCCTGCTTTTGCGACTCTTCTCCAGCAAACGGATGTTCCGAGATTTGATGATTCTGGAATGGATCCGATGAACTAGTCGGGAAGAAATTTCGCCAGTTCTCGAGCCCGGTCACTCGGCGGGTCGCAGGGTCATAGGAGAAGCGTAGAATATTTGAATCTATTGGCGTGTTTTCCTGTATCGGCGCCGTCATAGGGACGGTTTCGGGCTGCTTCTCGCGGTCACCCCTGACAAAGTTGGTCACTAGCGACAGTTCAGCAATATGAAAAGCCAAAAGTGCAGCACTCTACCTCGACGGAATGAGGGACTCTTTGGGGAGAGCATTGCCGGGATTCCCTTGAGCCCCTTGACGAATCGCTTCATCCCGTTTGACGTCTCGGCTGTCGGAGAGGGGAGATCCATGATATTTGGGGAGATCATCGGAGGCTCTGCGCGCTCATCCTCGCTACCGTAGATTGTGGCGGCGTATTCCGACTCGCCAGAGGGCCTGGGCGTAACTCCAGCTGTCCTCCCTTCAATTTCAGTGGCCGTGTTGGGCGATCGTACATCCTGCTTGCTCTTGAAAGGCCGATAGATAAACTGTGTCGGCCCATTCGCAGACGGCGTCGCTAGCGGGATGCGCAACTTTGAAAACGAGGCCAATCGTTGGCGAAACGGGATTGACGTCGTCGGCGCCGGCGTCGGATTACCTCCGCTGGCTGGATAGATGGAAAGCTTTGCTTGTTTGGCACTCGTAGATGTCGAAGTCGATGGTCGGTGGTTTGGTGTTGCCAAAAGGTCGTCCTTTGTTGGTGGAGGTAGTGGCTTTGGGTGTTGTTGAGACGGAGACCAGCCGGAAAAGGATCGTGAGCGTCGTCTAGACACGTTTCCTGGTCGCAGACGCAGAGGAAACTTGGACGAAGTCGCAGATAAAGGCAGCGGCCCAGCGCGGTCATTTGTCGTAAAAGACATTTGGTGGATGGGACCAAATGCTCGTCGTAGTCGTCAAATTTGGGTTTCGTCAAGGAAATATAAATGAGAAAATGTTACAGAGAAACGAAAGATGGGAGATGGATCCAAGTTTGTGGCAGACGCTCGCCACCTATGCCCGCCTTGGTTCGCCTCGTGGCCAGGAAAAGCTGCCACATACCATTTGTATAGCGCTAGATAACGTAATATATTATCAAGCAATACAATAAACCTATCCAACCATCCGTATATTGGAAAAGAACCCACGAGGAGGACACATCAAGGAGTAGAACTGTCAGGGAAGGGGCATATGCGGTAATGGTCGAGGAGTTCTCGCAGGTGGTGTGCTGGTAATCTCCGAGTTCCCACTGGTTCTTGGAAGACTAGGACCAGACAAGACCTCACCATCTCCAGATGTCTCCTCTGTATCATCAAGTGGCAGGGATTCGACGGTAGACGTGAAAGACTCGGGACGCTCTGCAGGCCGTTGATATCTCGATTCTTCCGTCAGCAACGAGTCAGCCACAGAAGTCATTGTCATTCGATAAGGATTCTGCAATTCTCTGACGTCGTCAAAGCTGGCAGTCCTGTATAGAGTTGGGCTATGAGGGGAAGGGTTGGCGAGCAAGGTCCCCCAACGGTCCTCACTCGTCTCCCGGAGAATGTCTTCCCACTCCTTTGGAAGATTCAGAAACCGACCAGTATCTCCGTCATATGTGACGTGGTGAATATGCCGCGCATTGAAAGCGCGACTAATTGACACCTTTTGCTTCCGAGAACCACTAAATACTGTATAGAGTGAGTGAAATGGCGGAAATAGACGCAAATCACCCACATCGAATCAAGGTACTTTGTTTAATCTTTCCTGGCAAAGTTTCGACAAGAGTTTTGCCCGAATCCTGGCGGTGCGGCTCCAAACCAGGGCGAATGGGTAGCTCTTGGTCCCATTCGGAGGAAGAGTGACTTCTCTTCCGGTAGTAGTTTCTCAAATCCGAGTCGAACGAATACCGCTGAGGGGAAACGTCACCTTTAGACTTGTCGGGAACCAGCTCGGGGAATGGTTCTGCAAGCTATCCGAATCGATTTTAATGACTCCGGACAGCATAGTACTTGTAGGCACGTACCGTTAGCAGAGTTGTCTCTCTCGACGCAGAAAGGTGCCGTTGATGTGACGGGTCTAGCTGCGTGGGCTTGGATTGCAGCGACATCTACTGTCGGATTAGAAAATATGTCACTGTTTCTGCATATTAAACGTACTACTTGGGGCGTCAAGCCAGCCATGGCGACATGCGACACCGCATCTGGGGCGCTTGACTTTCGAGGGCGCGAAGGGAAACCGTCGCGCGCGTTCTCATTCCCTCCTGGCTCTTCCACTCGTTTAAGTCCAACATAGGGCCCAACTACAACCAGCCCCGCGCGCTGTTCAGGATGCGACCGGGGATGCTGAGCGAAATCCATTTTCGGTTCACGTGGCAGTCCGATTTAGAGGTACCGGATGACTATCGACTAGAAATAGTACAATGGTTGTGCCCACAGGTGTCCAGGATGGACGCGAGAAAGAGAGCCGTGACAGGGACTAGGTTCAAGATTGTTTGGCAACAGCGTACCGAAGCAACCTTGAATCCTCGAGTACAAAAACATCATAAGCATAGAATACAACAGGTCTGGATAGCATTCGATTGGCCGGAACATATCAAGGAAGGGGGATCGGTGGCAATGGTCGAGGAGTTCGAATCTGTGGTGTGCTCGTAACCTCCGAGTCTCCGTTTACCTTTGATAGACTAGAGTCTAATGAGATTCGCTCGTCGCCAAAGGGTCGCCTCGAGTCGGGGAGAGGTAAGACTTCGACAGAGGACGCGAACGAGGTGGGGCGTTCCGCCGGTCTTTCATATCTTGAATCCTCAGTTGTTAATGAGTCGGTTATAGAGTTAAATCGCTGGGGATATTGCAGCTCTCTGATATCGTTGAGGCTTGCGGTGCGATCCAAAGTCGGACTTCGAGGGCAAGTGCCAGGAGACGACTACCTCTTATTTCTGGGAGGTGGCCTTCCCACTCTTTTGGCACGTCGAGAAAACGGTGTTCATGGTGGTCATACGTGACATGATGAATATGTTGTGCATTAAAGGCTCGGGTGATTCTCAGTCTTTGCTTCCGAGAACTGCTGAGCACTGAGAAGAATAAGTGATGCAATAGGCGCGAAATGTGGAACTCACATCGAGTCAGGGTGCTTTGCTTTTCGCTCGTAGGCAGGATATCGACGAGAGTCTCGCTTGAATCGTGGCGGCGCAGGTCAGGACGGGGGAGTACCTCCCATTCCTCGTCTGACGATGGATGTTTCTTGTGACGATAATAGTTTCTCAAATCCGAGTCAAAGGACTCGTGCCGATCGAAAGGCTTATCTTGGGTAGAGAGTGGATTCGGGGATTCTTCAGCGAGCTGTTCAAGGTTCGGTGAGGTTGATGGATACAGTTATATCCATGAATACATACCGTGATCTGGGTCGCACGTCTAGATGGGGAATGGTGCCGTTGACTAGACGGGACTGGTTGTGCCTCCTTAGACGACTGGAGCGGGATCTACGCGTGAGGTCAGAATGCGTCCCTCGGTACGCTATCAGACCCACCACTTGTAGCATCATACCGGCTATGACAAAATACGCACCCGTCTTCCGGGTGTCAGATCTCAGAGAACGTATTGGCGAAGCATCGCGCGCAGCGGCGTTCGCTCTCGTTCTCCCTTCTCTCTGGGCATCTACGAAAGACCTAGCTCCGGCTTGATTTGCATGTCGCTCAAAGTACGACCGGGGAGGGAGAGGGAATTCGAGATTCGATTTACGGGGGAGCCCCATTTGAGGTATTACGGAGTTACCAAAGTAGACCTGTAGTGACTATGTGTATCTGAAGGTGCAAAAGACTGATTCAGCGGCGAGGCTTGAAGGGAGCGGGTCTTAAAGGGCGCAAGGGGCTGTGGGCGGGAATGTTGGTGCGCTGAGGCAGGTCATTAACCGGGTAGAACCAAAGGATTGATCACCTGATTACAGCGCTCAGATGCTTGAGGCGCTCAGAGGCGGCCTATAGTGATCAATCAGCCAGGAAAAGGCTATGCAAAGTTAAACGGCCAGATGCTGGGTGATGACTACCTCGCGGGGTAGGATTCTATTCATATACTACTGAAATGACGTCTTCAAGGAGATCATACCTCAAGTGCGCTGCTGATTGACTCAATACAAGCTAATCAAGAGAGGAGGTTACGAGTCCCCCGGGATAGGTATGGCCACTACGTCCTCACCCTTGTCTAATGCCTTGTTTATTGTGCTAAGCAATGGCAACCGTACGCCTTTGGCCAGGCCCGTACATACCGCGATAAAGTCTACCAGCAAAGTGCATACTCGTGACAGTGGTCAAGTCAGAATACTTTGCGTTTTACTCTAGGTCATATTATAGAAATGAAAACCTCCACTCTAGCGCTTTTCTCAGATGACTATACCGACGAGGCGCTCATCCCAGCCCTGGATGACTTGCCCATTACCGAGAGTAAAATCTATTGGGCCCCATCGATAGAAGAGTGGAACTTTTTGCCATTACTAAACAACCAGCCAGTCTATGTAACCAGCGAGTGGCGTTGCGAGTGACATCCATTTGATTTGATTGGATCAGAATGCGAACTGTATCCTTGGAGAGCCCAGCCATCGTCGTCAAATTCGGTGATAAGCACCCGGCGAGTATCATCGTATGCAGGGTAGTCAATTGTGGGTGGGCGGAGTTTTACAAATGCTGAAAAAATTAGCTTAATGAGTAGAACGGAGCCTGTTGGTGACGACGTACGTACTGAACTTTGACCTTTGCCGACAGCAGAGGTGACGGGTCAGGATGCGCTCTCTCGCAGCTTCGAGATTTGACAGATGGAACGGATCCTGCAAAGAGAAATAAAACTCTTAGCTATGAGCGGTTGTAACCTGTTGGTGTAATGACCAGGCAGATACACTCTCTAATTGATCAAGTTGACAGAAAGGAAGTAAAGATTGACGGTAGTAAGACTTGGGTACTACTAGTTAAAGAGCTAAGATGGAGTGTGAAACAGTTCGAGGTTTGCAGATCAAGCTTCGCTCATGATCTCCCCTAGCATGTCTTCAAAACCTTGCAAATTCCCTGGCTGACGTTCCACTCAGGGGTATCACGCTTTTGAATTGGAGCAGAGTTTCCGGAGAGGGGATCGGCACTGGGTACTGGATTGGCGACGACAGAGCCTGCGACGACAATGAGTGCGCCGACGAGGAACTTGACGAGTTGCATTGTTTCTAGATACTACTTGAGCGAACCATTTTTTTGAGAAATGTGAAAGCGTACGTTACTTGTAGAGGTGCAAAGAGTGGGGATAAGAGTGCGAGTTGGAGGTACGAGTCCTTGATTGTCCGGCTTCCCGTCCTCTGAGGTTTTATAGAGCGCGGTGGCCTGGTTGTCCGCTGGTCCCGGCCATAGATGACCATGTTCTCCATTCGACTGTGAGACGGAGTACTGCCTGGTTCAACCCAATGGTTCAATCCGAGCATTCTTCTTTCAGGCTCAATGGACTAAGCGACTGCGAGAACGGGCCAAAGGCACGCGCCAGTTCATTTAGACGGGCAAACGATGCCGATCAACTGATTTTCTGAAGCCCAGGGTCACCTCCTCTATGAATTACCTAGGGAGATAGCTGTGAATAGCATAGCCCGACGCTCAAAGGAACATGGGAATAAGCAGGACACCTAGGAAAAAATGTTCCGAAACGTCGGGCCCTCTACCTGTGCAAAATTTGCTCTTTCCAGGAAATGGGTCGAGATTCTCATACCAGGCTGCGGGCTTGGGCTCATCCCGACAACGAACCAAGACGTTTGGGAATTGGCTGTTCTCAGCTTACTTCAAGCCCTCAGAACTACAAAGGGAGGGGATAAGACTCGCATTCATCTCTCTCAGGAATAGACGATCAAAAGAGTCTTTTATACCTTGGGGATGCTACTTTGGACAGCAAATCTACCAAAAGTACAAACCTGCGGAAACAAGTGAGACTAGTTTGAATTCTATGATCACACGTACCGTGGAAAAGAGCACATCTAGGCCTTTTGAATGTCGACCATCTCGACGTCAAAGACGAGGCACGAGTTTGGGGGGATGAGGTTGGTGAAGCCACGATCTCCTATTGAACATCAGTAACAGTTCAAAGAGAAGATATAGGACGCACCGTAGGCTTTATGGGCAGGAATAGTCAGCTTGCGCTTTTCTCCAATGACCATCCCAACGAGACCCTCATCCCAACCCTTGATGACTTGTCCGACACCGAGCGTAATTGCCAATGGCTTTCCTCGATCAACAGACGAGTCGAATTTGCTTCCGTTACTGAACAATTTGCCGGTCTGTATATATATATGATTATATAATCAGGAGTCGAGTGGCGTCCCGAGTGGCATCCAGCACATCGATTATGATTCGATTGGATTAGAGTACGAGTCGGATCCGCGGAGATCCCAATTATCGTCGTCGGATTCCGCGATAGACACCCGGCGAGTGGGCAGGGTCGTCGATTGTGGCGCGAGTGGGGGTTATACGAATCATGATAACAAGGCCATACGATGGATAGGTTAGCATATGCGTCGAGGAGTACACCAATGGGGCTTGTTTGGATGGCGACGACGTACATAGTGAACCTGGATCTTGTCGCCAGCAGCCGAGGTGACGCCCGACGACGCTGGTTTGGAGACGACTTCGATAACAAGATCGGCTGGAGGTGAGCTCATGATTAAAGTGTGTGGTGGTCGGGTCCAGATGCAATCTGGTTTTATAGCCACAAGCGCATATCCAAATAAAAATCTTGTTATGTATTTCGTTAATCGATACGGCGATTATCCTATCGAGGAGATTCCATCCTCTGTCCATCAGCATCCAGTCGCGATCCCATCTCAGAGATCAGGATGCGCGGGCTGAATCTCCATCATTTCGACCGTAAAGACCAACGTGGCGCCCGCAGGGATGACGGGTGGGAACCCGCGATCACCTATCGTTGGATGATGAGCGCGTGCTGTTTAATATAGATTTAGATCAACGTACCGTATCCGAGATGGGGAGGGATGATGAGCTTGCGCTTTTCTCCGACGACCATGCCCTTGACACCCAAATCCCAACCCTTGATGACCTGGTGGCGGCTGAGAGAAAAGCCGAATGGTTGTGCGCGCTCGACGGACGAATCGAATTGGGTTCCGTCCCAGAGAGTTCCGACCTGTTTTGAGACGGGGAAAAGAGTTGTCAGTGGCTGACCAAGTAGGATAGCTGACACGTACATAGTGGACATAGACCCTGTCATAATCTTCCGCGGCTCTTCCGGCGTTGTCAGGTTTGAACAGCGTTTCGACGACGAGCTCAGAGGGAGGATAGACCTTTTTGGTAGGCGAAGGAGTTGCAGCGGTCGTTGGTGGGAGTTCTACGGGCGTCTGTGCTGCTTGTTCACCAGCTGTTGGACGGTCAGGTTTACCTAGTCTGAATGCTACGTGGCAAGCGTTACTCACCAACACTAACGGCTGTCTGATGCTCTGCTTCATTGTCATGATGTGCAACCGCTGATGGTGCAAAGGACAGAGTAAAGACGAGGAATGCTGCGAGGACGAGCAGCGTCTTGTAGAAACTTGGGCTGCGTGACATTGTCAAAGTAGACAATAGACAAATTAGAGACTAGAAGATGGAATTTGAGGTGGAATCGACGACGAGAGACGAGTGGCCAACGTGTCGCGTGGCAGTCGAAATTGTCAAAGGGACCAAGCTGTGAGCGGGCTTTGCTTTGTCTCCATCCACGACCAAACCTTAACGGCCGTCGCTGCAAAACCTCGTCAAAAAATGGTCAGTATTATTCTATTATTCGTATAATAGAATAATAGTACTCATATTCATCTCTTTTGCGCTCTCCGCCACGCCCTCATCCAGCCGTCTCAAAAGTCTTTTCGCACCAAACGCATCCTGGCAAAGGCTGGAAAGCAGAATCGGTGTGTTTATCTACATTACCAATTAGAAGGTGGCCTGATCACGTTGCAGTCCCGTACCCCAGTGGTTCCGACTAAAGACGGGCACAAAGATCCAGTACAACGCAAAGAGGAGGCATTGGAGACGCACCAAGCTCAACATCTAGACACGACGCGTGTTGGAATTGCTCTTCTTGCGATATATTCTCTGTAGCCACTACAACGGGCCATCGTATGCGCATGCGTAGCTCAGATATGAATATGTTACTCGCCATCTAAGAACTTGTATTGAGCTCGTTTACAAAACAAAACAAAACTTCCGAGAGTGATGGGACTCGAACCCACAACCCCCCGCTCCGGAAACGGATGCCCTGCCATTGGGCCACACTCTCGTCAACTCGTTCAATAACCGGATTACTTATACATCATATGTACACTAGACTTTGACATTAATAGCACAACGCCAGTGGTAACAGCTTGGCCCCGACCGTGTCAACGAGTGGTACAGAAACTCACTAGAAATCTACTTCTACATCGTCTATACTTGAAAAGGACCATTCCTGCTGGCCGATCAACGCAAAGCAGACTCTTGCCCTCTCGCAAATCAACCCGTAGATCAACATAACGCGACGTATACGTCTTCTTTGGGTGTTCAGTGTCAATCTGGCGTCATACAAACTCTAATAATCTCGCTACACGCGGTGTGATCAGGCAAGTCTAGGTAGTTTCGACAGTACTCGGGCTCATCTCCTCCTTTTCTCAAACTAGATGGACAAATGGACTACACTTGAACCCGTAAAACTTCACTCACGCACTGGGTCCGTCGCGAGCAAAACCACCACATCCAAACCCGTCCTCTCCGGCGCATCTCATGCCTATCAGAATCGTGCTCAGTACATTGGACGTCTACCGTCTGAACTTCACCTAGCTGTCCTTCACTTTGTCGCCATTCCCGACTTTCCCTCGTATGCGCGATGTAGCCGTTCGCTCGCGGCCCTTGCGTGCGACGAACGCGTTTGGAGACGTCGTTGGGCAATATTAGCAGGGACAGGTCCAGATAACGAGTCGAAAAGCAAAGCAGAGGCGAAAATCGATACGGTTCTCGACGAACTTCGTAAACGCGGTACTCCTAGCGCGTCTAGAGGACCGAGGGATCGAACGTCGACAGGGAGCATGGATCTCGGAGCACTCAACTCGCCAAATTCAGCTGGCCGCGGCCCCAATGGCGTCCCAGTTTACCATACACCCAACGCCCCCGCGATACAAGAAGACGACTTTGGAGACTTTGCGACTGCAAATATTGGAGACGACGAATTTGACGACTTTGTCGGTGCCGCACCACCCCCGATGAAACCCAAAGGCCCCGGCCAGTTGTTCTCCCCAACGTTTCCGTCTTACTCTTTTACACAGGCGACAACACGGACCTTTGTATTCGGTCCCAACTCTGCTTCGCGTTCCCAGTTTGCCAAGGCGTACTCGCTCCTCCGTCCACTGTTACGCCACGTCCATCCTTCTACGCCTCCACACACCCTTCTCTCTTTCCTCCTCCCGACACCACCCCTGCCGCCACAAGCGACTCCAGGCACGGAAAAGATCAAAGAGCCGACTCTCCAACTCCAGGCCCAGCTACTCTCCATCCTGACGCGCCTTTTGTCCCCAACCTTTCGTCCAACAAGCGACTGGCAAGTTCGAGCGCATGCATTGCGGAGCTGTATCGATGTCTTTGAAGCCAGTCTTCTCAAGCTTTTCGAAGATGCGGATACAAAAAGGGACCAGCGCGCGATGCGCGAAGCCGCTTGGGCTGCTTGGGAGATTCACACTGCGTGGGGAGTCCCGCCTCGAAAGGAGATTGTAGGGCATGCTCTCGATGTCGGTAGTGGATTATCCGGGAAAAGTCGATTGGGCGTTGGTCAGCGGTCGTCCAAAGAGTGGGAAGTGGGCAAAGTCTGGATAGAGCGTCGGGAGGAATTCTACGCGCAGGAGAGCTGGGACCCGGCGGAAAACTTTACGTACGTCTGTCTCGGATCGCGCTGGCTGTCTGACCGGTAATCAGGCACTCGCTGTCGCTGTCCTTTGATGCGATGGATACGTTTATCAACTACATCCTCGGTTCAATCAAGAACGCGGCTTCGACGTCGAATGCAGTCTTTCCTCCTCCGACATGCGTCCTACTCCTTTTCTCTGAGCGATTGGGTAGCGAAATCATCGCAGAGTATATCAACGGATTGCTCTCAAGGGCGCAAGAGGTCGATGCCGAAAAACTCAACAAGAAGCAGATCCGTCGCGAGTCTGAAGATTCCTCGACCAAGCCAGAGGAACCCGAGGAAAAGGAAGTCGAGCGCTTTTTACAAGCCACCGCGGCAAGCTTTGTTGTTTGTTGGAAGATTGTAGATGTTCTCGTCGAAGAAAGCATGGAGACTGTGCTGCGCACAGAAGCGGAATCGATCATGTAAGTTTTTCATACTTTCCCCTTCAATGAATTTCCAACGCTTTTTTTTTTTTTAGTTTCCGCATCTTTGATCCACACATGGACGAGTACCTAGACGAAGAAGTAGAATCAGTCAAGCGCTCTTTCGATTCGATTTGTCGAGAATGGGATCGCAAGGTAAACAACTGCATGACCAGTGTAATGACCGATGGCTGACTCGCACTAGATGAGTGACATTAGTGGTCACTTTGTGGGATCTCCCACCAGAACCCGGTTCTTGACGTCTCAGAACCCTCAACTCGTCAAGAGAAATGTCGTCGCCGGATTCACAGACGTCCTTATGCTACCCGTGACGATCATTCCTCGCGCAGTGGGCGCCGTCGGAACGGTGGCGATTGGTGCTGGAAGCTTGGCCGTTGGTGCAGCAAAGACGACTGGTCGACTCGCGCTTGGAGCCGCTGCTACGACGGGCACGTTGGCTGCAGGGGCTGCGAGGACTGGTCTCTCTGGCATTTCAATGCTAAACCCATCAAAGTGGGGCGCCGAATCCAACAACGCCGCCGTTGTCGAGGGGTATGTAACCCCACTCAACGGCGATAGTGAAAGTAGCTATATGAACGCAAAGGGAGGTTATCAGACAACCGCCTGGATAGAGGAGCAAGATAATGACTGGGCGGACGAAGGCAAGCGTAGCGCGGCGCCAGCCGAGACCGATTTTCGGTTATCTATCGACTCAAAGGCATCTTCAGCGTCCAAGGACAACCAGCCGACTTCTACAGCAGCAGCGCTACCACCGCTCGACCTGTTCCTCTCCCTTGACGTTGCTCTCGAGTTGATTCATGCAGCGCGCGACTCGATGAAGCGACTAGAGAGCTTCTTCCCTCCACCAGCAAATCCGCGTGGACATGCCCCTCCACCTACCACTGACGAAACGAACCACGTCTCTCGGAGCGTGACAGGATTCCCCGGCCCATCTGGCAGAAAACTGCGTGAAACATTAGAGGAAATCTTTATACTACTTCTCATCACTCTGCGAGAGCGCCATCTCGACCCTGGGTTTGAACGAGCAATTGTTCAGATGCAGCACTACAAACCTTCGGCACCTGGCTCTACCGACCCCGAGACGGGGCTACGCACGACCTCGGCTGTTGCACCCTTACTGGGGTTCTTCGAACTCGTCCATATCGGGGACACTATCGGTAGCATGATACAAGTCTATTTCGATCGCGAAATGGCCAGCTACATTGACACTACCGACTTTCTCAGCGGCATCATGAGAGAAAAGAAGCGGTTCGAAAACGCGCTCGACGAAGAGGTTGCAAAGGGTCTCAACACTGGAACAGAAGTACTCATGAACCAGGTCGAGCACATTCTCATTACGCGCACTACCGGCCGAGAGTATTGCCCTCCAGACGGTACCGTCCTGGCCGAACTTGGGCCGACATGGGCGTGCAAGGAAGTCATAGAATGTCTAGAGATGCATTGCCGTGTTATGCGTGGAAGCACAAGTCGCGAAGTGCTCGAGGTGTTTTACACTGAAGTCGGGATGCGGCTCAACGCGTGAGTGTAATCTCATACTGTATACAGTTCTCACCGCCTTTCATAGTTTGGTACAAAAGCACATCAAACGTCAAATTATCTCCCTCGACGGTGGAGTTCAGGTCATCGCAGACTTGAACGCGTATTATAGTTTTGTCGCGTCTCTCAAGATTCCAGACATCCTTACAGAGTTCGCGAGCCTCAAAATGTTGGGGCACGTGTATGTCGTCGCAGACGCGAAGGATCTTGCAACGATTGTCCGCGACGTTGCGCGCTATGGAGGCGCGTTTCGTCCAGAGGTGAGCACTTTCCACCGTCGAACCCTCGGAGATCTGACAATGGTAGGATGTCTACGAGTTCGTTCAACGTCGCCGTGACTGGAAGAGTATCGAAAAGGAGGTCGACCGGACCATGTATAACCTCAGTTTCAAGGAGGACTGTATAATCGCTTGATTATTAACTAACTATTCATCATCTCGTGACTGCTCTGAGGACAAAGTACCACAAGTCCGCCAAATTGCGTCTATCCCAAAGTACTTTCTACCAATGACTAGGCTTTGGTGAGTCCCGAGAACGACCAGAGGATCCGGCAGTCGATTGCAAAACCGAGAGCTTTCTGGTAAACGTAGCCGCTTGAAGGTCACTGCGACTCATCAGGGTCCTCGCGCTCCTCTCAGTGCGGCCAGATTCGGATCCACCCGAGGATCCTTGTACCCGAAATCTTGAAGCTACTCCATCACCACTGCCTTGACTCCCTACAAGCTGTTCTACTGCGGTATGACGAGTCCCTGAGCGTTGATGGTCGCGAATCGGCCTTGGAGTCTCGAGCAAAGAGCTGGCCGACGAGCCACTTTCCGAAGAGTAGTCCTCTTCGTTTTGCAGGGGCGAACCATACCGAGCCATGGCGTGTTCAAGTGAGAGGTTATCAAATTTCTTCGATAATCTTCGGAGATCCTTTATCTTCCCTGTCATAAAGCGTGACATCCGGTTGGCCGCCTTGACGATGCTCTCGTCCTCAAAGCTGGTCGAGTTGCTGGAGGCAACCGCACGCGCAGTGTGAGTGTCGGCGAGGCGAAGAGGTCGACTCGGCACCGGTGGAGTACCACCAGCTGAGATGCCTTGTGCATAGGATTGGTTTGGATGAGGTTCGGGACGAGATTTGGATTCATTACGGCGAGCATTTCGTGTTCCAGGCGTCGCCTTCGACATGCTCGAGACTGCTTGAGATAGGATATGGTCAAAGCTGACGGTCTGCCGCTTGCTTCTCTTGCTTTCGTAGGCAGTTGCATGTGCCGTGGGGTTGTCAAGATTAAAGGGCGACATTTCGCGGGACAGGATAAAGAAGGACCCATCCTTGATGCGGCGCTGAATGAACTTCCAACGAGCCCGCGCCGGGTTGACTTCCGAGGCCGGCTGATACAGCGAGAGTGCCGCCATCTCCGTGTAGAAGCTCTCGACTCGCTCGGCAATCCTTGCGAGAAAGCCGATCAATGTAACAGAAAGCTTGTAAAGAGCCTATTTGGGACCTAGTTAGTACGCTTCAAACCAGGATACGAACTACTCTACCTGCTTCTCTTTGCTTGGGTAGGCCTGGACGACCTCGGCGACCCGTAAGAAAACATCATAGCCTTGACATAACTCTTCACGAATCTGCTCTATAAAGCGGACGTCCAACTCGCAGATATTGCGGGTGTACGCAATGATCCCATGCTGAAATGCGGGCGCACTGGTAGCAGAGTTGCTCACAAACTCTCCCAGTTCTGCAACCTCTTTGCGAGCCGCTACAGCCGCTGGACTGGAGCCGGCCTGGGTAATCGTCCCAACGATATCAGGCAGAAGTGACTCTTGGTCGTGATCGGCGACATAAAAGGAGAGTGTTAGAGTGAGCTCCTGCAATTTGGTGCCAAATAGTACGGGAAAGCCAGTGAGTGTAAGAAACCTAAAGGGAGCAAGCGATTAGTTGACGGAGACGAAATGCCATGAATAGCTTTACCTCGACTGAAGCTGATAGAGTTTTCGGATCGCATGAGTTGAAAGAAGGCCGTCGGAAAACCAAAGCTTCGAGTCTTTTTTGAGCGTATCAACTTCGAAAGAGAGCGTCGTCAAGCTCTCCACTGTCGTACGCAAATAATCCACCCAGCCATCGTAGAGGTCGTTGAGTTCTCTGGTCCGGAAGGCAGGCTTTGGTGTTAAGTAGCCGATGAAATATTTGCCAAGCAAGCTCATGACTTCTGGGTTGGTTGTGTGCGCAACCTCATCGAAAGTTACGCTTGCGTCGATGCCAGCCGAGCCAGCAACGATTAGAGTTCCACCTGGATGAATAGGAAGAAACTCTGTTACATCATAAACAGAGCCGTGGACTCCAATCCACATCCTAGACCCCTGTCTATGGCCCGTGTGTCTCGAAAGCTCGGATAACGGGATAAATGGCTCCTTCTCGCTCATGACTCTTGGCGTCATGAAAACGTCTAGCATGCAACGACGCTCGGCAAATGCTTGAGCGAGAAGTTCATCCGCGCCTTCTGTAGTAACCGCTCGGAACTGATAGAGGGCTTTGCGGAATCCACGCATCACCGTCTCGTAGAGAGACACGCTCCCGCAAATATATAGATAACCGCCTAGGCCCCCGAGTTTGGTTGAGATGATCAGGTCGCACACCGTCGGTCCTTGATCAATGATCGTGGCATCGATATATCGGGGTTCCATTGTCTTCTCCACAAGATCACGAGAGACGGGATCATATACGAGACCAGCGGTGTCCCGAGAGAAGGCAACGTGGAGCTCGAGCTTCCCCGATTGAACGTGGTCGCGAAGCTCGTGCTTATACAGAAACTTTTTTCTCGACTGCACGCCCAGGAATAAGATATTCCGACCAATGACCCCGCTGTTGAGCCGTGCTTGCCAGAATCCACGGAAAGGCGCAATTCCCGAACCAGCAGCAAACATGGCTACAGGAGCGGCGGGAGAAACCGGAAGTTGGAAGTTGAGCGGTCGAGAGATTCCAATGAGGACCTATGTTCGATCAGCCGAAAGGTCGAGATGGCCCGAGATGACCAAAAGCGTTAACTCACCGTCTCGGTTGACTCCTTACCAGCAGTCAGAGGATGCCGTGGAGACCCGTCGACAGTAGGGTCTGGGTTGAGGAACCCCGAGCAGACGCCTGGACGCGAATTTGGTTGACCGTCGAAAAGTAGGAAGGGAGAGACTGGGTGTTCCGCTCGTGTAACGGTAAGATCAACTGACTTTGGGAGGAGGTCGAATGGAAAGCATGATATCGAATATGTACGTGGCACTTCGGGTGGAATAAGTGCTGGAAGCCATGATAGATTGTCGAGAGGGAATGCTTGATCCCAAACATTTGCAGGTACATCGCCCAAGGCAGCCATAAGGAGATCACCCAGCGAACCGACGACCGGCCAAGTCTCTGAGCCGAGGACTTGCAAAGTTGCGGATGAAACTTGCACCATAGAGTGTATCTATCATGAATGAGCCCAACGCGACCGTATCCCAGAGAGCTCACTGACCATGACTACAGTCTCCTTTGTCAACGGGGCGAGCTTGCCTTTACGAAGAATATCCCGAACAGTGAGAGAGCGCTCAAATCTCGAGTCGAGCTTTTTGACATCGGCTTCATGTCGTGCGTATCGCTTCCACTTGGACGCAGTGGGGGCATCCAGTGGGACGGTTACGTCCAGGAAATCGATCAGACCAAGTGCACCGACCACTTTCTGATGAACATGTCGGATATCAAACTCAAATCAAAGAGACTGACTCACCTCGACATCTGACCAAGAGTTTAAGGGCATCACTGCAAGTCGGTCGCCAGGGATAAACGTCAAGCCAACATTTTCGAGATCAAAAGTGACTTGGCCTGTCGAGCGATGCGGGTCGTCGTCGATGGACGTGCGTTTGACAATCTTGGCAAGGAAGCGACATTCGTCATAGGTACCTCTCATTTCTTGCGGCTGAACGTCAAGGGATTCCGCACCACGGTATGGTTCGAGCCGCTCCTTCATCGAATCGGCGAGCGTCTTATGAACGGTTTGCCAAGGACGGCCGACAGTATCAGACGATCCTGCACCTCCACTGTCACATGTGAGTAAATGCGCAGTCAACGAGAAATGTACAAACTTTGTCTCGACTCTGCCTGTTTTCGCGACGATCTCCAAAAAGCCATAGACTTTGTCTGGTCTGTCGTTAGCTTTTGCCTCTTGTCGGTCTTATACAATTCACGAACATCGATGGGTACCCCTAATGAAATCAATCAGCGGCCGAAAGGAGACGGGTAATAATACGCACATGAATCCCTTCTCTCCCGCGTAACTCTCTACTATAGCATCCAGGACGCCAATTAATCGTGGATCCCCACTTTTCTGAATATAAGGTACGACTGGATAGTGATTCTCAATCGCAGCAAGAAAAGCGCGAATGTTGAGTGGCATCCATGCTCTTAGGTGAATCGACTCGATTCCGAGGAACGACTTGAAATTCGTCCGCTGCCGACTATATGAGCGGAGGACAAGTAACTGAAATCGTCTTACCATAAGGAATGCATCCATGCATTGGAAAACGGGCAAGAATAGCCCAGAAAGCGCAGGAACGCGCTTAGATAAAGGTGCTGAGAATTTTGCGTATCCTAATCACAGCTAAGCTTTTCTGTGAGATTCACGCATCATACTTACCTTGACCCCATGAAGCCGGTGGTGCAAAGTTTTCTGCTCTTGTTAGCGAGATGAGACGTCGGGTTCGTAAACGTACCACCAGAGTGAGGATTGACGGAAATCTTGTGAAATACGTATGAGAGCTGGTCGATGATCTCCTTTAGTTTGATCAACTCGACCAAGAGGCCGTCATTGTCCTTCTCCATCACCCGTTCTTGACACCGAGCAATTAGGTCCGGTCCAGGAATGAATAGGCCGTGAACTTCAGCCTAAATCGGTTATAAAAATGTAACGGCAGCAGCATGTGTGACGAACCATGCAAAGCAAGAACATGGCTTCACCGCGATCCTTGAATATGGGCCAGCGCAAGTCCATGTTCTCTGCACGAGGAAGATATGGATATATCGAAGTTGGGTCTCGAATCTATGAGGTGTAAGATACTCGGATCGCGCTTGAATGAGCCCTCTGACCTTGTAGTTGTGAAGCGAGACGTCGGATTGGGAGAGGTACGGGAGAGGACGACCCAGTCTCGTGCATACTTGCCGAAATGGGATGACAATGTTACGAGGTATACCAATTGTTTCTGGTTCCTCGTCTGGTTCTCCATGGGAGTTTGTCAACTGCTCCTTGCGGACACCTTTGACGATTCCTTCGTGGCCATCGTTGCGCTCCTCATAGCGCCAGATAGAGGCGAGGATTCCCAAGCAGACGACTGCGGCCCATAGTGCTGCGTCTGGAATAGTGGCTTCGGACCCGTCGATGAGAGGTAGCTCGAGAATAGCCTCACGAATGCGGCCTCGTGCTGCTCAGGAAAGAAAATTAGCAACCTGGTTCAACGAATGATGACGAATTCCCACCGATTAGACCTGGCATTCGAGAACAAATGTCACTCCATACCCTTCCAGGTGAGAGTGCGAGCGCAGCGGGTGCCGCATTTGGATCTGGGGGACAAAATCCATGCTTTGTCGATAGCCATCCGTCGCGCCACCCAGTCACAGGTCCCAATGCATCAGCTCTCTCTAGAACGCGCCGAGCGGGTGCTCCAAGAGCGACTGCGAGGATATCGGCTTCAGAGGGATTCAGTGAGTCCGCGTTCGCCATATTCTTTGTGATCTCTTTAGGAGGAGCAGTAGGTAAGAGAACCTGGCAGATAGTCTTTCGCTCCTTTTCCAGCGCCACTTCAGCACCACGAGTACCTGGGGACGATCCATATAGGGTTTGCGATCCAGATGCTTCCAAGGAGCCCAAGAAGGCACATCCTCGTGGGCCATACCCAGCAAAGGTTTGGCCAGTTGCAGGACAGCTCATGTCGAAGAGCTCTCAACGGTGTAATAAAGGGATAGTTGTGTAGTGGTTCCGCTCTGCGGATAAGATTGTGGGGAAAGAAGGGGTTTAGGCAAAGGCGATGAAGACGGAGCAAAGTTTTAAGAGTGGTTGTTGAATAAGCGGATTGAGACGGCCCAAACTGTAGCCTTGCCAAGAACCTCTGAATGTATTGCTGCTGCGGATGAACGCCGACTGCCGGGAAGCAGGAAGGGGCAACCGTGACAGAAGATTCAGTGATGGTTGCCGAACCTTGTGCTTCTGTGATATAGACCAGCGGATTTGGACCTTGCGAATGCTGTTCTCAGTGAAAACTTGGAAAGCGGAAAAGAGATGATACGTACCAACGACGGGTCAACGACTGATATCTGTAGTTAGTATCGTGTCGAATAAACTATACTAATGATTTGCTGGTCAGTAGGAGGGCACGGATGATCAAACGGGCTACACGTCGCCTAGACGATCAGCTACAGCGGCTTCAGCCACACTTAAGCGAGTGTCTTGGCAAGTCAGGAACCGAGATTCATTCAAACAGCACGTCGTCGTTACACCTTTGCCTTGTTCCATCGAATTTGGGATGCGGGTCACGGTTTGTTCGACCAAATGAAAACGAACGGCATGTTTCCATGGAATCATCATGGTATTACCTGTCCTAGAGCACATTTGACGACCTCGATGGCGACATCCAAGGCCCAGAGCCTGCTGAGGCACGGTCCAGGTTGGAGAGTTGGCCTCGAACAGACCTGAGGGCCTTTCTCGCTCTATGAATTAGGTTTATAAACACATATTGCATCGTTGTGCTCAGCTGAGACCCAAAGACAAAGGTTTCGGAATTCTGCTGAATTGACCTGCTACTTACTGTTCGGGCGTCAAAGATGGCTATGACTCGACAAACTCAAGAGCGCTAGTTCTGAGACAAATTCATCTCCTCACTCTCTACTTGACATGAAAGCATGATTAGGGGAGACACTGTGAGTACCATTCTGTTGAGTTCGTTAGTAAATGGGAAACGGATAGTGACTCAAGCCGAACCATTGCTATATGTGCATGTCCCACTTGCACAAGTCATTGGGCCAGTCCTGTATCATGTCAACGTCCGAACACGGACACAGCGAATGTACGTACCAGTTGGCCCCACCGCACTGCCCGTAAACTAGATAAAGATCAGTTAGCGAGATCGTTGGGTAACTTGCTGTCACTTACGAGGGGCGCCTCCACTTGCAGTTGTCGAAGTCGGTCTCGTGGAGGAAGAGGAACTCGCTCTGGTTGTACTCGTACTAGAGGTACCAGACGAGGATCCACTTGTGATAAGTTGGACAGAGTCGTAGACCTCGACGCGCGTGAGCATGGATCGTACGGCGGAATGCAACGACTTACAAAACTGGGTGAGAGGAATCCAGTAGACGTGCTTCCAGAGATGACGTTGATGAGAATTGTGTTCTCACCGGCCTTGAGCGTTCCGGCGGGTATATTGACTGTATACATGATATTGAAGCCGCGATACGTTCCACGAGTGAACCCTCGAGAGTTCAACTGTTCAAGATTAGAGGATCTGGATGGAAATAAGAGGCATTACTTTACATCTGTAGGTGCACCAGGAACTGGGCCAACCCAGCCGTTGACTATCAAGTCATCAATGAGCTGTTGGCGTGAAGAAACGTGGGCGGACCTGTAGCTTGGGGACGACCACCGGCGTATGAGAGCGATGTCGCGATCCGGAGAGTTGCTGCTCCAGTCTGCGCTGATGTGAGGGTAAACTTGATTGTCGTAGGATTGTTATAGTCCTTGATTTGCGCCATAGGGAACCCGGAGAGGGCAGTGCTTCCCACAATGTATGTTTTTGCGTTCCAGGTTGACATTCGAACGTCAGAGGGGTGCATGTGCTGCTGCAAATCGGCATTTTGGAATCCTACACCAAATAAGTTTACAAAAGCCACCATACAGAGATGACGACCCACCATCGGGCTGTCCATCCAGCTCTCCAATAGACCAAAGAGGACTGATCGCAGCCTCTTGTGACGCAATGTTCGATGTAACACTTGCACCGGCACCGACCGACACGGTCTGACTTGCTACCTCGAACTCGTCCCGGTAAAGTTTCTAGCGAGGATTAGACTAGTAATCCATAGACATTAATATTTACCATCGTATAGGTGCCAGCCTTCATAGGAGGAGAGGTAAACGAACCGCTCGACGAAGCGTACGCCCAATATTGGGCGTTATTGTTGTACCTAGATGCCAACGATTCAGTTTGCCATATGGTGTATAACAGAGAGTGTACCAGTGTACCACGCGCTGGTAGCTGCTGGAAACGCCAGACACCGAGCCACTAACGGTTCCGCGCCCGCTAGCGCCCACCCAACCTTGGATACCGAGGCTCCCAAAGAAGGATACGTCCAAGGACTTTGATGGCAGGCCAGAACGGCTAAAGACCATAGCGTACGGTCCGTGAAGTCCCATTCGATAGCTTTCGGTTTGCGCATGTCCAGAGTTCTGTCAATGTCAATGAACAGCCTCCGACTGTTGATCAACGCACCATGTAGAAATACAGGGCATGATAGGCGGCTGCTGAGCCGTTAAAGACGGTTTCTACAATCTCGAATACGCACCTCCGCGGTCAGACTGCAACAAAGTGAGGATAGTAATGTGGAAATGTATTATGGACGTACGTTAATGTCCCGATGGAATGGTCCTCCAGACGATGATTCATAGCTCGTAGGGTTCGGAATTACCATTGAAATGACAACGTCGTTGCCGCTCACCGCTACCAGTGTTTTGAGCAACCAGGGTCAAAAAATCGTCTGGTTTTATCAAACTTACAGTGAACTTGGTCGTCGATATGGCGAACACTCGAATAAAACTTGGAATATGTTTTGCCATCAGATGCCCTGAACACATCCGAACCCTCGACCGTGGAGCTTGTGAGGTCGGTGTAGGATCCTTGAATACCATTCGGTAGTAGAGACCTATTGAGACGCGCAATGTAACGGAGTTCCCCTATAGAAGGCTCTGCGCTGCAGACAATGAGTGAGAGTGCCGGGGAGCTGTGGAAGTTCTTACGTGATGTAAGTTGCCATATAGATCGTCGAGTCACCGCTCTAGCAATAGTATTAGCGTTAGAAAGAACATTATTGTTTTTGATCGTACCTTGACAACATAATAGTGGGTCAGCGTCGACGTAACGCAAGTAACCTTGATATAAGAGCCACTCTGCGTGGCCGATACAGAGGCTGAGCCGAGTCCAGAGCCAATATGTGAGTAGGTGGACTGGTACTGGTATTCTGCTCCACGATAGACGAGCGAAGTGATGTCGCAGGTGTTGCTATTGACCTTGAAGACGAGGGAGTTGGAGCTGCCTGCGTCGACGGTGATTGTACTCCCACTAGAAGAATATCCAAATGCCGCATATGCGGTGCGAACGGTGCAAACGGATAGCAGCAAGGCGAGCCTCATTTCCAAGGTAGGGATATAGGGCGGCGTAAGGGAGAGCACCTGGTACGCCGAAAGGGTGCATATAAAGGGTCTAATTGCAGTTTCAATCTACTGATGTCGGTGTCTTGTCGGCCTCGTTGAGTGCAATTACTGCCGCGCGGTGAGGCCGTCCCGATGCCAAGAGGACGTCCAAGAAGGATTCATAGCTATCACAACGATTTCATTAGACGGCGCGGGGTGCTTCAGGAAGAAATCTTGATCCAGAGTGCCGACGAGATTCAGCCACGGCCCGTTGCTCATGTCGTCTCCCGTTGATCCGGGTGCTAATGAATCCTTAGATCAGTACATAGACACGTTTGAGGATCCAAAGGCAGGTAGACGATTGATTCTAATGACCAAATGAACGTCGGCTTCCTCGGTATGCGAGGAAATTGATTCCGACGAGTCGACTGCCGAGATTTATCAAACGGACCGAGTCGTGGCAGGCGACAAGGTTACACAGTCGCAAACTTGGACCCTTCCACACCTTTTCGTACGTCAAGCAGAGCACAAAACAGTGACAATCACGCCGACTCGGGCTCATTAACTCTCCTGGATGTAGAGTTGGGCGTTGTTTACTACAAAACTGCAGCAACGTCGTAACTGTCGGGGAGGAATGGGAGCTAACGATCCATTCGGATGATCTAAACGCTTTTATTATAGCTCTAGAATATGAATATACGATATTTATACTACAACGGGCCGCTCAACGGTGCCATGACGAGTCTGCCCTTGCTCTCTGCGACCGACAACGGCGCCTAGTTTGCGTTCTCTCTTTCCACTCGCAATACACTTCACCCACGTATTGAAACAGAGACGAAGATCGGTGCCTATGAGCACAACGCACGGACGCCTCAATGTCGCACCTGGGAAAACCGGTGCGAAGACGAGTATGTACCCGTATTCACTTATACTGAAAGGAGAATAAACGAACCAAGAGCGAGTTCCACTTGGCGAGCCTGTTCACTGACCCCAACTCCTCCAGAATGTCGCAATTTGAGATCTTTCTAACCATTTCCTTAATCTAGCTACACAGGATCCCAATTTTGTTCTTCTTGTGTGGCATCTCACCGCGTCAGGAGAGCCAAGAACCGAGAACGATCCCTCGAAAGCGACGTTCATCAATCAATCGCATGATTTTCACACGGATTTGCGAATACCGTTACACAAAAATAGGTTGCGCCATGACATTCCGGCTACATCGCGGGGCGTCCTCAGCCTGTTCGGTCCACCGACGTACACAGTTCTCACAAGGTGAAACACAAAGTACGATATGATTCGGTATTTTTGCAAATTCGCCTGTTACCCCTCACCTTACCGTGTTCACTTTCGGATGATTATTTTGTCCTCTAGGTCAATTCCGAATCATTTACTACGTTAAATATTGCTTCTTCTATATAGTCGAAACTCAGAAGCGACCATTCGACGAACTTGGCCCTATTGAGAGTACCGGTACCACTCCGGATTATCCGACGCTACAAACCCAAGAGATGTTCGCGACATAAAAGGACAACGTGTTTACAAATCTCTTCTCTAGTCGACCCACGATGTTTGCTCCATTTGTTCTCGTTGCGTTGGGTGGGTCTTCTTCTCACTCACTCATGGACCCGACTCACGAACCTCTAGCGGCGACCATTGTCTCCGGATTCAAGAATCCGATCATTTCTGGTGTCAATCCAGATCCTAGTATTGCCAGAAAAGGCAAGGATTACTTCCTGGCGACATCATCATTCGAATACTTGTGGGTAATCTCTTCGACATCGTATGAAATCTAACTCGAGTCTAGCCCCGGCGTCCCGATATATCACTCCACGGACCTGTACGTAGAGATACGGCTTCATAGCCCGCGTGCTCACGTTATCTAGGATCAAATGGGAGGTAATCGGGCATGCGCTCAACCGTCCATCGCAGCTCGACCTGCGCGGGACTGCACCAAGTGGAGGTGTATTCGCACCCACATTACGGTACAATCAAAAGACGGACACGTTTTACATGGTCACGACGCCTTTTCATGTCATCAGCCCTCCTGATAACACAACTCTCTTGCCTCGCTCGTTCTACGTGTCGACAAAGAATATTTTCGACGAAACCGCTTGGTCCGATCCTATCTGGGTGGATCAATGGGGAATCGATCCTGATCTCTTCTTCGATGATGACGGCAAGGTATACTTTACATCGACATTTGGTTCAACCGATCTCGGCTATCCCGACTCGGGATACTTTGCAATCTGGACGACAGAAATCGATATCAAAACGGGCAATTCGCTCACAGAGGCACGCTTCCAAGTCCAAAGCCAGTACACGAACCCTCGATTGACAGAAGCTCCTCACCTCTTCAAGCTGAACGGCAAATATCATCTCATCACAGCCGACAGTGAGTTTATTCTCGCCCGACGGGGTGGTATATTGACCACCTTAGGCGGCACCGATATTGATCACAAGACGGTGCATTATATGGGCGACACGCCCTATGGCCCTTGGAAAGCCGATCCGAATAATCCACTGCTGTTCAATGGTGCGCTATGTTACTCTATGGCAACTCTACTTCGCTCACATTCCCAAAGGCCGCGATCGCTCTCAGCCTATTCTCGCGACTGGACATGCGGACCTTGTTCAAACTCCCGGCGGTGATTGGTATGCAGTATTCCTGGCCACTCGACCGCAGAACCCGACCAACAGCACGGGTCATCCTCAGCTCGGTCGCGAGACATTTATGGCACCAGCAAAGTGGACATCAGACGGATGGCTCAAAATTAACGACGGGAAGGATATTACATTCGACATGCCCGGTCTCTACAACCTTCAACCACCAAAAATCTGGAGAGACGACTTTCGTGGAAAGTTTGTTGACAAGGCGTGGTATACTCAGAGGACGCCGTAAGTATACACAATCTTTATGGCCATCTACTGAGTCTACTAGGTATAAAAAGTTCCACTCGTTTGTTCCAGGGGGTCTTCGGCTCCATCCCAATGTCTATACGCTCAGCGACCGAGAAACGCCTGCCGCGTTCTTCCGCAAACAAAAGGACCTCAACGTCGTCTTCAGTGCTGAACTCGACTTTAAACCCACTTCGACTCGTCACGAGGCAGGAATTACCGTATTCCTCTCCATCTGGTATCATAACGAGGTCGGCATCACTCTTCATCCAGATACAAAGGAGCGGACGCTGTTCGTCAAGACCCGCACAGGTCCAAATGCAGATCTGACGACCAAATACGTACCACTCACCCGTCCGGGACCCGTCAAGCTCTTCATCAAGGCCGAGCCAAATCAGTACTCCCTCGGATATGCTGTCGGACCTGGCCCAGCCAAGTATCTCGCTCAAGTCGACAACCAGTGGCTACAATCATACGTTCAAGGGTCCGTATTTCCTCAGTGTCACAACTTTGGCTGACATAACGAAAGGTGGCAAAACTTTGTAGGGGCTCACTTTGGTGTCTACGCATCCGCGAACAAACTGCCCGCGCTTGTATCAGCGGTATGCCTCTGTATTCTCAAACGCTTCAACTCATGCCTTTTAGGATTTCAAGTACGTTCAAACCGAGTTGCAATAGACTGGCTGGACTTCTTCATCGCGACTCTGCCAATCCTCTGAGTCGTTAAATGTATTTCCAATATACCTTCTTTTGGTCGCCGAGTTTCCCCGTAGGCATTGACGTGTGCGAGGGCAGAGCTAATCTAAGTCGTCCCGGACTTGTCTAGATGCATATCGTGCTCTAGGTGACGATTTATAGTCTCCGAGTAGCCGGATACATCGTAAGAGCGCATCAAATCTTCGAGGAAGATGCCCAGACGTGCATCCCTCTATAAAAGTCGTAGCAAGAGCGGCGTCCGACCTTCTACATAGTCCAGCTATCAGGATCAATCTCAAGTGAGAAATTGGAGAACAAGCAATCTAGAGAGTATTTTCTTGGCTATGCAGCTGTACCATGGCCAATATCCGTGGTCTCGACGTGTTCGATATACCTCCCTCCCAGAATGAAAACTTACATCCGAGAATCCAGAAATTAAATGACAGAAGTAAGGGGAAATATCCGAGTCCTCAGACCCCTATCCGTCGTGGGGAACACTGTCGAGGGCTTTTCCCTTTGACTCTTGGCGCTTACAAATAGACTTATCCAATAATATCATTTCCCTCTGTAACTAAATGTATTTAGGGACGCGTGACGCAATGACTGGACCTTACTGGTCTTGTTGTTGGACTGAGATGAGGAGAGCCATTATGAGGAATTTCGATCATAGCTGCCGTCTAATTCGGATTTTATTACATCAGGCACGAGTTCCGTGGAGAACACCCGAGACCGTCGGGGTGCCAAGCCATAACAGGGCACGCAAGGAGGATGGTCCAGATGACGGACGTATTGTGTATTCTGATCGGAAGGTGTGTTGGGTCTGGACTTGTTCCAGTTAAGGAATTCACAGTGCTCGATCATCTGTCCTTCGTGGTACGACTGAGCATTGGGGACATATCCAAGAGATAGCAGTCTTCGCCATACAAGTTTCAGCCTGACACGGTCGTGGCCGGAATCAGACAAGAGCATCTCTGTTTGGATGAGGCAGGACAACTCACAGTTCAAAATGCGTCATCTTCTATTATGAATATTTGATATACGTCTACTCTAGTAATACAGGGATACGAACGAAGATCTAGGGATGCGTAGAGTTGACGTTGGTTTCCTCCGAAGGGTTTCCAGCAGTCATCTGGGTCGAAAGAGAAAAGGGGCTGCGACGTGGTCTCTCTGATAGAGCAATGGTGTCTGTGTTGGTTGTAGGGAATGATTCAGCATTGGTCTGCGAGATGGACTCCCGAAGCCCCAAGAAGAATCTGCAAGCGAAGATGCTTGTGAGGGCGTAAACGCCATAGTCGGGAGAGAGCTTGAGATTGGCAGGCGCTTCAAGCCACTTGGTGAGTGAGTAGTTGGTAAAGGGCTCCAGTATCCTGAACGTACAACAATTGCGCCGCATAATCTCAGGGCAAGTGCAAGCTGGTGAGGCGTTTAGACCTTTGATCAGAATAAAGACGCGAGTCACTCACTCCAAAGTACAAGATTCCATCCCGATAGAGCCGTGTAAGGATCGGTAGACTGGCGGACGCTCCTTCCAATAACTTAAGCTTCTTCGCCCAAATAGAATGGGCAATCGTTGCGGCCAGGATAACCGTCTCGCATGGTACCTAGCGCGTGTGAGCCCGAGAGAATTAAGCTATGGCCCGTACCATTGACAAATATGCACCGGCAATCATCCTGGCGGCACTCGGAGGCGGTGTTCCAGTCAGTCCACAGTAACCGTCGATGGATCCTGTAAAGCCTAACGATACTGTGAATGGAACAGTAGTGGTTTCCTCGATACGTACGCAGGAGCAGTGTCATCGCCGTAGTGCCCACGATTATCTGTGCTACGGCACTGAGAAAGAAGAAAACGGTGATGAATACGATAATCCAACGCGTCTTTTGGTACAGTGTACACATTCTTAGGTAGAATATAGCTGGCCGGCAATAGAGAATCGTAAATGGTAAATGTGTGTTAAGCTTACGAACCTGTCGACGAGAGAGGAAGACTGTGAATTCTAGAACAATTCCTGTGGCCGTTAGGGTCCTACATCTTGGGATTGGTGAGAAACTGCAGCTGGAGTGTTCCTCGTACTTGCCCCTGTCAAAAAGTCAGGCCGTTAGTCCTATCCTTGTTAAATTTCGCACAGTGCTGGTGTGTATGGAGGCAAATAAGCTGGCTATTAGAAGAGATAAACCTATCATGGGCGAATATCGTGTCTGTTCGCATCAGATGAGAGCGCGCGCTTCCTCGTACGATTGTACGCACGTAGAAGAAGACAAACTTCCCGAGCCATCCACCCCACGACGTCCACATAAGGCTAATCTAATCATGACAAGTCAGGCGCAAGCAGCAGTATCGTTAGTAGATTGACCAACCTCGAGCGAAAGTGTCAGGATGTAGTCGTATATGAACACCGTAATTGCAGAGACGGCGGCGTAGTGCACGATCTGTTTGAACCACCACACAAATTGCACCACTGACGCCATGAGCACCGCTGAGTTACTGAGGTGGAGAGGGCCAACTACCGAGTCGTATGTAAGTTGGCCTTCGCCCACACACAACCTCGGTCAGAGCCGAGCACCGCTTAAAATCCAAACTGCCTTGCACAAGGCGACTGTCAACCGTCCGTCTGAACCGCAATAGAACCCATCCACGTAATATGACTCTATTTGAAAGCCGGCATCGGCCGTGCCCGCCTCAAGTCTCGATCCGGTCTAGTGAAATGTCAGCGCGTCTTTGTTTGTTGATTGCTTTGTCATTTGGCTCGAAATGAATCATATTTCAAGCACCCGCGCGTATCAGGCTTCAGTCTGTCGATTCTGTTGACCACGTTGGAGTGGTCAGGGTTCAAGTTTGTACTCAACAATAATGAGAAACCCTCCCACTACGGTCTCCGTCGGATTTCCAATCTAAACATCTAAACAATATATCCTAGATGATAATCCACTTAGTTAGCGATATTCCTAGTCGCTTCAGTCCCCTACTAGGAGATATCCATCTAGATACCCGTATCTCAGACTATGAAAGTTAGTAGCACGCATGTTTGCGGATGTAGTTATAAACGAGGACAAGATAGATACAGACACAGGAACATTCTCGAGATGCGTTGAACTCACATTTCTACGACCGATTCGTCCCTATGGCCTCCATTTGCATTCCGTATCGAGGCAGTACGTATATCAAGGGATAGTCCCTCCGCGAGCACAGAGTCGTCAATTATCGCCACTGTAAAGGGAACAGAGAACGATTCTGCTCCTCGAAATGGACTTGCGAAGCTCCAGGAAGAATCTATACGAGACAATGCTTGTGAAGGCATAGGCGGGATAGTCAGAGGTGAACTTGAGATGATCGGGTGCGACAAGCCACTGGGATCATGGTCACCAGTGAATCAGGGAGTGCTCTGGGAGTCAGAACTGACCATGAGTGCGCTACATAGGCACAGAGCGCAGGCAAGCTAGCGACAATTAACGCAGCAACATACAGCGAGGATGAAACGCTTACTAGAAAGTATGCTATTCCATCAAGACAGACTTGTGTAAAGATAGGTAACGACGTGGACCCTCCATTTAGCAAATAGAGGGATTTGGTCCGAGCCGAATGGGCTACGGTTGCCACCAGAATAGCTACCTTGCATGGTAAGTAATGTAGTTGAGCTCGATAAACGGGATAGGATAAGCTCACCATTGCTAAGTATGTGCCCGCGGTGATTCTATGCAAATCTTTTGGTATTGCCTCCGCAAGGTAGGTGCAGTATTCACCAGCCGCCCCAGTGAGAGCTACGATAGTATCATTCGCTACAATTAGAATACTGTAGTACGTACAGGTAATAATTATCAGCGCTCTTTGTTGATACTAGGACGCGTGAGGTGAGAGGCAAGACCAGTAAGGTCTGGCTGTGTCATCCCGCATCCTTAAATACATTGAGTTACGACGTGAGCTATTACTATTGGCTAAGTCTATTTAGTGAGCGCTAAGAGTCAAAGGGTGAACCTTCAACACGACCCCCTGACCCTGTGACTTAGCGCATGGACTGAGTACGAGCATGTGGATGAGGAATCAGACCAAGCATTTTGACAAACTGTTCGAACTTGATGCGGCCTAGTGGTTTGGTGAAGATGTCGGCAACATTGACAGCTCCAGGGACATGAGCAACGCGGATTTCATTATTGGCAACCCTCTCGCGAATCCAGTTGAAGCTACGGTGAACATGCTTCATGGTGGACTGACGTTCTGGGTTCTTGGCAACTTGGATGGCAGAGGCATTGTCAACAAATAGGGTGGATGGATAGGACGCAATGTCGTAGCCAATTTCATCGAGGAATGACCACATCCAGATCCTTTCGCACCCAGTGGCAGAGGCTGTTGTATACTCTTACTCCGTTGATGATAGTGATGTGTGGCGCTGGAGTCGGCTACTCCACATTACAGCGCCACCACCAATTGACATGACAAAACCGGCTGTTGAGCGGGTATTATTGGCGTTTCCACCCAGATCGGCATCGCTTTGCGTCGTGAACAGTTCGTCAGAGTCAGGTTTGAGGCCGTAGGTGAGCTTGTAGTTTGTTGTTTTGCGGAGATACCGCAGTATCCGTTTGAGAGCTAGCCAGTGTGCTTGTCAGGATTCTCGCTGAACCGACAGAGCACCCACAGCATATGAGATGTCTGGTCGAGTGGCAGTGGCGAGGTAAATGAGCTTTCCAAGGGCCTCTCGATAGGGTAAATTCTGCATTTCCAACTTCTGCTCAGTTTGTGGTGAATCCTTGGTTGAGGAAGGTGGCTTTCAGCCATAGGCGTGTCAGCGCCATTACAGTCCTGCATTTTGTAGGTTTCAAGAATCTGTTCAATGTACGCAGGTTGAGAGAGGAGATGGTATGGGATTGGCGATCGCTCAAGCTTGACACCAAGTAGGAATGAGGTAGGGCCTTGGTCATGGATCTTGAAGCGTGCTTTGAGCTCATCCTTCCATTTGAATGGCTTCGGATGACTTTGATGCAAGCAGTAAGTCATCGACATGGACTGGTACAATGATCTTCACACTGTCGCGTTCATAGATGAAGACACTGTGATCGCTTTCGAGACGTTTGAATCCAATTTCTGATAGGACAGTTGTAGCTTCACAGACCAGATGCGAGCCTTGTTTGATTCCATAGAGGCCCTTGAAGTTGAAGCACCCAGCTCGTGCCTTCATAGCCCTCAAACTCGACACCTTCTAGCTTTTGCATGTAGACCTTTGCATCAATCTCACCATTGAGGAAGGCGGTTGATATGTCTACTGACTCTAGTTCCCAGTCTTCGAGCGCTGCGAGTGCTGTGATGGTGCGAAGGGCACCAAAGCGAGCTGTTTGTGCAAAGGTCTCTGTGTAGTCGATTCCCTCTCGTTGCGCATATCCCTTTGCCACAATTCGTCCCTTGTATTTGCTAATAGACCCGTCGGCATCACGCTTGATTTTGAATACCCAACGTGAGCCGATAGCCTTTTTGCCTTGTGGGAGTCGCACAAGCTTCCACGTGCCGTTTTCCAGATGAGCTCTGACCTCTTCTATAGCCGCTTGGACATAATTGTCGCCGTCAGGGCGTTTCAGGGACTCTCCCAGTGTTGTTGGCTCGCGGCTTGTAGATGTGTTTAAGCAGCTTCGACACCATCAACAATGGGAATCAGGATATGATCGGGCGCTGAAGTTCGGCTTGGGTCTCAGCGTCGAGCTTTAGTTGGCACATAAGATGGAATTCGAGGGTAGGGATGCTGTAGGCTAATGCATCTTCTCTGAGAGCTCTATTTCGAGCCGGAATCAAGGATTAGTCTTCATCGCTTTAGTCCTTGTCTAGTTGCCTTCTCCATTCGCTAGATTGTTCCCGTTCTGTCCTCGTATGGTCACTCGGCCGTCGTCACTCTTTAGCCTGTACCTGGAGTCAGTGCCTTGTGGCCGTCGAGGCCCCATGCTCAGTTCCTGCATTTCTTGGGGTCTATTTGGAGACTCTATAGACTGAAGTATTGAGGTTCTCTGGTATCAGAAGAGTGAATTGTATTCCTTGTAACTGGCCTGGATGATACACGCGTTCACAGGTTCTTTTCGTCTAAAGTCGACTTTATTCATCGTTCCTCGAATACAAAGTCTCGACTCGACGTTCACAACGTCTTCACTCTCACCAAAAACCTTACAGATGCGTCTTCAGCAGCTAATTGGGCATTATCTTCGTCGGAGCTCTCATTTAGTTCGAGATCCGAGTCGGATTCAGTCAAAGTGCCTGGCTGACGCGCAATTGTGTGTCGTCGTGCCGGGAGGTTCCTAGGAACCTTCTCAAAATTGGTCTGGTCAGTGAGTGCTCGAAGTTCACGACTCAGACGCTGGGGAGCTGTGGGTTTAGGCTGCGCAGGCGCTGGTGCTGGTGGAGGGACAGGCTCGTGGGGAATAGGTGCTGGTACAGGTCGCCCTGCAACGTGGACAGGAGGATGAGTGCCTGGAGGTGGAATGTATGATGAAGAGGTGTTGATTTCCTCGAGATCTGGCAGCTGGATGTAGTCAGAGAGGTTCGGGGTCGGTTCCTTTGCAAACGAAGTGCCCGGAAAGATTCTCTCATCGAATACAGCGCTGCCGCTGTGTATATTCTTGCGTGTCTGCAGGTTCCAGAACACCAAGCCAGGGCGGTCGGATGGGTACCCGACAAAGATGCACTTCTCAGTGTGCGAATCGAGAGCATTCCGCTGTGATTTAGGGACAAAGACATAGGCAAGGCATCCAAATACTCGAAGGTGATTAACACTGGGAGCTTTACCATGCCAGTGTTCTGTAAGGTTTTTGGTGAGAGTGAAGACGTTGTGAACGTCGAGTCGAGACTTTGTATTCGAGGAACGATGAATAAAGTCGACTTTAGACGAAAAGAACCTGTGTAACGCGTGTATATTGAGGACGGTTACAAGGGAGTACAAGTCTACTCTTCTGATACGAGAACGGTCAAGTACTACAGGCTATATAGAGAGTGTGGAAATAGATCGGAATGAATGGAGGAACTGAGGATGTAAATCGGGACGAGCAGAAGGCATCTGACTCAGGTATAGGGGTAAAAGAGTGACAATGGTCAGAGGACCATAAGGAACAGAACGGGAACAATGTAGCGAATGGAGATGGTAACTAGGACAAGGACTAATGCGATGAAGAATAATCCTTGATTCGCACGAGGTAGCAGCGTCGTGCAGAGCAGACGCGCGAGCCTACATGTTCATATGGTGTCTTTCCATTGTGAACTTGGGCACGATTGAACTCATGGACAGTGGCAAGTGCAGCAAAACCCCAAAACGATGGCGGAAGATTCGCTTCTGTAAGTTTAGCGATTGTCCCTTCAGCTATCCATCGGTTCGCTTGCTCGACCCATCCATTCTGCTCTGGTGTGGCAACTATGGTGCATTCCCTTGTAATCCCAGCAGAGATGCAGTATTGGTCAAACTCTTTTCCACTGAACTCGCCGCCTTTATCGTCTCGCAAGTGTACCAAGCGCTGGCCTGTCTGGTCCTCAGCAAGCTTATGGAACTCGCGAAAAGCCTTGGGCGCTCCATCTTTCGAGTGGAGAAGTGAGAGTGTGACAAGATTAGACGCATCGTCCACCATAGCCATCTAGTACTTGGCGCAGTGTGGAATGGACTCAACATTGATTGGGCCTTTAAGATCGATAAAGACGCGATCTAGTGGAGTTGTAGCATGGGTTGCTGGCGTAGTATGAGGTGCTCGAGTCTGTTTCCCTGCAATACATGGTGCGCATATAGGGTCGGGCTTTGCATTTGAGGTCTTTGCCAAGTACGAGTTCATAGAGGTCGTGCAGAAAAAAGTATGCTTTCATCTTTCGAGACGATGCTGGGTAATTGTCCTTTGAGAGGACAGGAATGCTGGTCGGTTCCTTTGAGTTGGACATTCTTTGTGAATTATGCGCAGAGGGCGATTGACTGATCTGTATAGTTTCTTATAGCAACAAGTGGCTCATAACCTGTTGATACTAGGATGCGTGAGGTGAGAGGCAAGACCAGTATATATGGTGTAACAAACCTAGGACGTGTGAGGTGAGAGGCAAGACCAGTAAGGTCTGGCTGTGTCATCCCGCGTCCTTAAATACATTGAGTTACGAAGTGAGCTATTACTATTGGCTAAGTCTATTTAGTGAGCGCTAAGAGTCAAAGGGTGAACCTTCAACAGGAAACAACATTGTCAAGGGCACCGCTGAGCACTGCTGTATTTCAGACTGATTATGAGATGTATGTCTCCTATGTAATTGGCTAACTGGTTGTGATGGAATGAGGGAATGACGCCGTCTACCCATTCTAATGGTGCCCAGATAGTCATGTCGGCTACAAGGTGTGCCAAGTCAGGGCAAAGAGCCTTTCCAAAGTGACTTTTGTCCCCAACAAGCTCTTTGAGCAAAGTCAAGGTCTCTTCAACGTATCATCCCCTCGTTAGAGTGCCAAACCAAGCCGCATTGTATCTGAGATACAGTGGGCTCCAAGACTGTTCCAATATTAGTCACAAGTGGCTTGTTGGCCTGATTACTCAACAAGGGCCTATACTAAACTCATGAAACCTTTATGATAGATAGATTAGCTTCTTATCCCATCTCTCCCATGATCTCTGCATCATATTCTCAGGCACTCTGCAGGAATATCAAGGCAGATCAAAATTTATTGTCCCCACTTGGCAATAGCACCATTTATATCCTAGGCTGATACATTCACTCATAACTATGAGCTTGTTCAAACTTTGGTCCACAATGTCCCACACTGGAAATTAGTGAAATCAAGCTTGGTTGCTCTAAGGTGACTTGAAGTGGGTATAGTCAGAACAAGACGTGGGTGCTTCAGTCCATGACGGTTATTAGGTGGTACCCAGAAGAGGTATTGACCAGAAGACTGCACCCATCCATCAGGCAGCAAAGAACAATCACCAAATCTAGGCATAAAGAGAACTGGACCAGTGGAAAGAAATTTGATATGGCTAGAGAAACGTGTTCTATTTGATAGATTACCTGCATTTAGCATATGGTCAGTTGCCATAACAAACTGACACTACAAACCAAAGAGATATTCAGAATCGACTCACCATTGTCCGAACTCGAGATTTGAATTGTCCTACAATGGAGCCAGAGACAACTGTGTGCCATCTGGTGAGATGCGACAGCGTTCACCGAGTATTCATGACCTTGGAGTGGCTCTCCCAATGGCTGGCCAGTCTCTGCATCCCACTGTCGAATTGTGCTGTCTCTTGAGCCAGAGACGATTCGTGTGCCATCTGGTGAGAATGCGACAGCGTTCACTGAGTATTTATGACCTTGGAGTGGCTCTCCCAATGGCTGGCCAGTCTCTGCATCCCACTGTCGAATTGTCCTGTCGCTTGAGCCAGAGACGATTCGTGTGCCATCTGGTGAGAATGCGACAGCCATGACCTCGTCTTCATGACCTTGGAGTGGCTCTCCCAATGGCTGGCCAGTCTCTGCATCCCACTGTCGAATTGTGCTGTCGCTTGAGCCAGAGACGATTCGTGTGCCATCTGGTGAGAATGCGACAGCCATGACCTCGTCTTCATGACCTTGGAGTGGCTCTCCCAATGGCTGGCCAGTCTCTGCATCCCACTGTCGAATTGTGCTGTCCCTTGAGCCAGAGACGATTCGTGTGCCATCTGGTGAGAATGCGACAGCCATGACCTCGTCTTCATGACCTTGGAGTGGCTCTCCCAATGGCTGGCCAGTCTCTGCATCCCACTGTCGAATTGTGCTGTCCCTTGAGCCAGAGACGATTCGTGTGCCATCTGGTGAGAATGCGACAGCGTTCACCGAGTATTCATGACCTTGGAGTGGCTCTCCCAATGGCTGGCCAGTCTCTGCATCCCACTGTCGAATTGTCCTGTCCCAAGAGCCAGAGACGATTCGTGTGCCATCTGGTGAGAATGCGACAGCGTTCACCGAGGATTCATGACCTTGGAGTGGCTCTCCCAATGGCTGGCCAGTCTCTGCATCCCACTGTCGAATTGTGCTGTCCCTTGAGCCAGAGACGATTCGTGTGCCATCGGGTGAGAATGCGACAGCCATGACCGAGCCTTCATGACCTTGGAGTGGCTCTCCCAATGCCTGGCCAGTCTCTGCATCCCACTGTCGAATTGTGCTGTCGCCTGAGCCAGAGACGATTCGTGTGCCATCTGGTGAGAATGCGACAGTGTTGACGAAGGATTCATGACCTTGGAGTGGCTCTCCCAATGGCTGGCCAGTCTCTGCATCCCACTGTCGAATTGTCCTGTCCCTTGAGCCAGAGACGATTCGTGTGCCATCTGGTGAGAATGCGACAGCGTACACCAAGGATTCATGACCTTGGAGTGGCTCTCCCAATGGCTGGCCAGTCTCTGCATCCCACTGTCGAATTGTGCTGTCCCTTGAGCCAGAGACGATTCGTGTGCCATCTGGTGAGAATGCGACAGCGTTCACCCAGGATTCATGACCTTGGAGTGGCTCTCCCAATGGCTGGCCAGTCTCTGCATCCCACTGTCGAATTGTGCTGTCCTTGAGCCAGAGACGATTCGTGTGCCATCTGGTGAGAATGCGACAGCCATGACCGAGTCTTCATGACCTTGGAGTGGCTCTCCCAATGGCTGGCCAGTCTCTGCATCCCACTGTCGAATTGTCCTGTCCCAAGAGCCAGAGACGATTCGTGTGCCATCTGGTGAGAATGCGACAGCCATGACCTCGTCTTCATGACCTTGGAGTGGCTCTCCCAATGGCTGGCCAGTCTCTGCATCCCACTGTCGAATTGTGCTGTCGCTTGAGCCAGAGACGATTCGTGTGCCATCTGGTGAGAATGCGACAGCGTTCACCCAGTATTCATGACCTTGGAGTGGCTCTCCCAATGGCTGGCCAGTCTCTGCATCCCACTGTCGAATTGTCCTGTCCCTTGAGCCAGAGACGATTCGTGTGCCATCTGGTGAGAATGAAACCGCTGTGACACTACCCTGGTGACCTAGCAGCGTTCTGGGAAGCTCACGAAATGTTTCTTCAAGCCCTCTGGTCACAATTAACGAATTCATATACTCCTTTAAACCCTCCGTATGAAGTACCGACTTCCGTGGACTGAATGGGAGAGATGAGATGTAGATGTGTGGTGCGCTGTCTTGGATTGGTACAGAGAATGCCATCAAAAACCTTCTGATGTCATTCATCCGACCTCGGATCTCTTGCTCAAGCTATCTGTTGCTTTAGTAATCGGAAGGTCTCAAATAATCCACGCACACTCTTATGTTGCGTCGCAGCTCGCATTCCAGATACTGCCCGCATGACTCCTCCAGTCACGCTGAGGATCTCCATCCAATAGAGTGCGAATGGACTTTTGACTATACGTGCCAGCTCATTCCTTAGCCTGCGGCCCCAGTCACTGTCCATTGCGGCAACATGGAACGACCAGTGCAAACTAGCATAGCGAAGCCTCCGCGAAATGAATTTCGCAACCCGGGCGTCAAGGTCTGTAATCTGCCTATTCAGATAGAAGGATGACTCGATTTGGCAAATATTAAACTTGAGCCCCTCCTTGCGCGATTTGAGAGTGTGAAGACACCATGACGCGGCTTGGCCATGTGCACGCGCGATGTTGATAAGATTCCTGTCGCAATCGCCGATAATTTCGGTGCTACAGCGTCGTCGAAGATATTCGAAAAAGGTGGGGTGACGAAACTGTATCGAGTGCGTGATCGGATCCTCCTTAAGTACACTTCCCAGAATCCGTACCAGCGCTTCGGCACTCCCTTGTCCTTTGGTATGCTGAACAAGGTCTTCCAAGTCATTGGTGGTGAGTGGCTCGAACGCAGCAAGCAGCATACCGAGCATCTCGATGATAGCTGGTTTGGATGCTCGGTCAATGCGCTCGAAGACGAGGTCGTATACCTCGTCGATGGCTCCAGGCTGATCAATAGACGTCAGGCGATCATATATGGCCGCTGTATTGACCGCAGATGATTCATCATCGAGCATCCGACACGCAGTGCTCGCCCAAATGAACAGCCCCTTGGCCTTATCAACCAGTCGCTGGATCTTATCTGGCGTCAGGCGCCGGCCGAGCAATCGATGGACGTATATCGCAATGTCATCGATGTTATCGCGGTGGCTAGCATCGTGGAGCCGATCTGTCAACTTGGCCTTGATCGAAAGAGGTTCTAAAACCCTTTCGACCACAGGGTCTGGTCGACTTGTGATGAATATCCGAAGATTCTTGCTCTCCTGAGCAGAAGCGAGAGTCTCAACCAGTTCTTTTCTCTGTGCTCAGACTTGCATTCGTCGAGTGCATCTAAGACGAGGACTACTTGCGTCTGTCGATGCTGGAGTGGGTCGGTGATGAGCATTCGAAACTGTTGATCAAAAGAGGCTCGCAGGAGAGCAGGATTCCGCTTTACTATCTCCGCAATCGGTGTCCCAAGCTCGGGAATATGTTGAGCGAGTTCCTCGCCATGGTCGAGCAAAACTTTTCGATGTCTGAGCTTTCGCTGCTTGCCATGGAAAGAAGAATCCGCCGCCTAAGATTCCTTGCTTCTTCCACTTCTCCATTGCAGTCATCGCGACGGTCGATTTTCCAGAGCCAGCTATATCACATAGCCAGAAGATCGGTTTTTCTGATGAATCGCCATCGGCCCATTGCGAGATTGTCTCGAGGACAGCCTGGCGAGTTCCTTTGAACAGGTGGTATGGACAGAGGATGGGGCGAATGCGACTACCGGCAGTTGAGATACGAAAAGCGCGTCGTCTTGAGAATATTAGTAAACCTTCGTGTACACGAGATAGTTCATACCTGGTTGAGGGATGGTTCCTCCCTTCACGACGGCTACTCGTGGGTCAGGAAAGAATCAGCGATGTATACGAACTGCGCAAGTTATTCTCCATAAACCATTTTTGTGCACGGCATCGGGGCGTTCTCAGCGCACTCCGTGAGATAGTAAGCAACTGCTTGGTAATCTTCACTCTCTTCCGTCTGGAATCTGACAAGGTTCTGGTGATCGCTATGGAGTGACCGCAATAGCGTTTTGATCGCCAGCGATCACCGCCGAGTGATACGGAACATTCTATAAGCCAGTTAGCACCCACCCATAAGACGATTTAGCGCACCTACCAAACGTATCTGCTGTTCTTCGGCTCCGGTGCTGTATTCCTCGCAGAAGAAGACGCTGTTTATCTTTTTACTCGCGGTGAGATACAAGCTCTGGATGTTTTCGAGTTCATCCGAGTGAGCGTGAAGGTTCTTGACAATGACTTCTGTCGATTCCATACATGGCGCTGCCAGGCGAACGATCTTCTTAAGGAGCGTGTCTTCTACGCCGGAATGCGGGGTTCCAAAGAAGAGGATGGAATGGGTGGATACCAGGATATTTCGCATGCTGCCTTTTGATTCCAGGTCCTCATTGTTGCATATGACGAGCGCCTATGAGACCGTCAGGGTCAAAATGTAGTGGACATCCTCGGACGAACCCATTTGAGAATGATGCCTCCCAAATCGTGAGCAACAAAGATGATGGGGCGCTAGGGTGATTAGGGAAGAAGGCACCGGTTTACGGATGCCACTCACTCGAGGAGCATCTTTACGCTTCCGTAAAATAGCTTGAGCCAGACCGACGGCGTGGCGGCGCATAGTCTGGGTCGATACGCACTCCGTACTGTGAGTGTCGGCGTCGTAGCCATAGGTCAGGATACGGGCACGAGGCAATGAGGACGGCAAGAATTGGCGTAGCCAAAGAACGCCATCGTCTGTCATCCAAGTCTTTTCTCTGTGACCATTTAAGCCGTGGATTGCTATGATACTGGAGCGGGGAGGTCAGCACGAAGCGACTACAGTGCCCCAGAATGTGCTTACTCGACGGTGGGATCCTCTGGGCATACTAATTCCACCAACCCAAGATCCTCTTTCTTCGATGTTGGCTCGGGAAGTTCGAATATGTTGGGGTATGCAGTTGCAGCAACCAGGTCGTTGGCTTGTTCCCAAATCTGGGTACAGTAACTCAGAACTCGTTGAAATGACCATGCGTTGTCTTCCTCTTGCAGCATTGCGGACTCGTGAGTTATTCAAACTGTCGATATTGTCGTCTGAAGGGGGTTCAAGACACACTGTAGGGGTGTTACAGTCCCAGCGTTGGCGCTGTACGTGGGTGCCGGGAGCAAGCCTCGTGGTTTGTGGGCTAACCAGCCAGATTACCGGTCCAAAGCGCTGATGTACATTGTCCAATCGCATGTCTTGTTTCGATAGACGCCAGACTCTGATTGGCGTTTAAAATTGTATTCCGCTGGTTAATGCCACTGATTGCATTAGGATAAGATGGTATCTCAGAACAGCCTCAGCGTGCCATTGTAGCGTTACTAAACATGTCAGTTAGCATTTGAGTAGTCGTCGAAGCCAGCGAGGTATGGTCCGAAACGAGTTATCTTTTGTTTGACCAAGTGTTCGTGCCGACCGCGACGCTGTAGTCTGCGGCTCTCGGTCCATTGCACTGCGAGTTGTACCAATGTGTACAAGAAACTCTAGTATAATACAGGTTGATTCCTTTTCTACCGCAACTGTGCCCTCGGAAGCGTCCTTCGTGACTCTTCTACGGCTAGCTGCTCACGATGCGACTCTTTCGCCTTGAAAGTATCAACATTCGAGTCCTCAGCTCACCTAAAATTGACTCCCACTTCTTTGGCGTCGATCCGCTCCAGTGTTGGAGATTTGAGCTCGTCATCTAGCAGCCGCAGTCTGGCCCTATTCGACTCGGAGTGGCCTTGGTATCGCTCGTTCAATCATCATGAGTGCGTAATCTCATTCTACTCGACGCTCGATGTCTCCACGCGATTTCTGGACTTGCTTAGCTAACATGTTCGAGGTCGAATACATCTTTCGAGCCAGACATGAACTGCATTTAGTACCAAACGTGTTTTCTAGTCGAGGAGTACCTTGCGGGGGTCAGTCGTTATGCTTGCGAGCGTCCTGGACAAGAGACATGGTCACGATGGGTGGGAAAAGGACGTCATTTGAACGCTCCAGTAGACATGCGCCTGCAGAGATATGTTTCGCGATAGCCATTGGACCCAGTGCGAACGTCGACGCGCTACTGCGCGCAGCGTCAAGATTCGCAGTGCGGCAGATGCACATTTCCTCTTGTATGCAGTGGCACGTTTCTATTCCACTCGTCCAACACAAATGCATACGCCATCCCATCCATAATCTCCTATGCGGTGTCAACGAGGATACATCCCAGGTAGATTGGCGGGAGATCTACAGAGCACTCGTTGTGCATTGGCCAGAGTCTCTTTTCCCTCGTCTCTATTCAACCGCCCATCATCACCTTGCTGGCACACAGTCTCGGCCCTCGCCCTGCGCTATCGTCTCCTCCATGGTTATACCCATTACACCCAGTCACCACCAGCACGCATACTCCATGTCAGTCGGCTGCAGCATCGATACGCTTCCTCACTATGCAGCCGCATCCACCAGCCCACCCTCCTAGGTCGAACTCGATGGGCAGGGCGGGTCAATACCAGGCGCCATGCCATACATGCGACTATTCTCCTCGATCACCGCTGTCTCATTGTCAAACTACTATCCACCGCCCGGAGAACCGCACCCATCTCTTTAACTGCCGCTCGCTCTCAATCGTACAATGGCTCCCCCCAAACGCCTATCAATGCCATCCTCCACCTGTGCATCCTCCTATTACCGTGAACCGGCATGTTAGTTCGACAGTCCTGAAATGCACGCTGCAGTGCGCGGTCATCATGCCCACTCGCTCGCACCGCAGACACGACCATCCATTTGCATACCAGCTACCGACTCTCCTCCAGCGCCCGCCAGTGCAGCGCCAACTCAACAGTCAAAGGCGGTGTATAGTAGTCGTATGGGGTAATTTTCATATCTTTCCATGTCTGATATTTTGCATTTCTACCACATGTACATAGTGCTGTGTGACTAATTGGTCGCCAGCCATGGAATCTAACCTTTTCCCCGTAGAAGCAACGTCAGTGGCTGACCCCTTGCCTCAGTTTTGTAAAATGTAGCGCTCGCCTTCGCAGCTGTCCAGCTTGACTCTTTGGCATCAGTATTGAAGTCAAGAAACTGGGGAATAAGCCAAGAAGTTGCGGTCAGCCTGTTACAGGCTGACCAGCTCCTGGATATGCATTGGGAGCGCAAGGTCAGAGGAGAGGCTAGTGAGGCTTGAACTAAGGAAACAAAGGCTTAGAACAAAGGCTCAAGTGGGACTTTTCTAGGAGCAAAATACTCGTTGAAAATTGTGCAGACATTTCAATTACTGTGCCTGGTGAAGAGGAAGCATAAGACCCTTCCCTCTACTTCGTTACTGTCAGGGGATCTAAATTTGGGCAAATCGCCACGCGCAAGCTGGAAAACAACGTTGGATTCATTCAGGTTACTGTGTGTACACGCATTTTGACTGTAGTTAGAGTTATTCTGAAAATAAATTAATTAAAAAAATAAAAATAAAAAATAAAAATCGAGCGGTTCCCCCGTCTATTGACCAGATTTCAAAGTTTACTTTTCCCCCCAGGGACTCGTGGCAAGACTAGAAAGGTGTCTATGGGATCACTATCGGCTGTAATCATTGTTGCAAATTGGGGTATGTCGAGTAAACAGCCGCGTAGCCACTTGTATGCCGACGTAGTTGGTCCGTGTTGATCCTGGCGGTGCGGGAGCCGCCGGTAGTCGAGGATTGTCGAGATCGGTCGTAGAGCGCAGATGAGCGGTCGTCGTGCGTCACCATCGTAGGTATGAGCGAGCCGCGGGGGGATACAAGCGTCGTCTACAGGTCGAATCAATAACGCCGACCGTCGAAAAAGGGGTGCTTACGGTTTCGACGGTCCGGGATCGTGTTGCGTCGGCCAGCATGTACTACCTCCAGAGGCGATCGAGAAGAGCCGTTCGAGGTTGCTTTGACGCAGCTGCGGGGCCTAAATAAGCGTCTGTTGGACGTCACCACTGTACGCTACAAAGACGGTCAGCAGCCCGTCTAAAATCAACAATGAGACGTACTATTCATTGTATGTGATCTTCCATGCGCTCTAGGTGCTAGCAGCTCTCGCGTCGTCCGTCCAAAACGACAACATTCGGTAGGGATGCGTAGATGCGGCGGGTGCCGTCGTGTATGATTGAATTGAGTAAAGAGAGTCCGTTTCCTTGAATTCGTGTTGCCGGAAAGGCGTGGTTTGGCGAGCACCTTGACGATCCTCTGAAGGCCGGCGGGTGAGGGAGCAGTCAACCACAATGACCCTGGATATGATTCCTAACAGGCCAGTTAGTACGATGAAACATCTGTGTGGTCTTTTGGGCATACCATGTACTAAACGCGTTGGTGCTGGGTAACGGGATGTGGGATAAACGAGGGTGATGATAGAGCTGGGAGGAATCGACAAGACGGGTGTTGTTGATAAGAGACTGGCGTCCCTTGAGCGTGTCCTTGCATGATGGCATCATGCTCCTCGCGTCAGGCGGGACCAGACCACCTCCGAGGAAAACGTCTCCCGCTTTTGCTCAAAGATCTGCCCTGGTTTTGTATCGTCGTCGTTTCTGCCACTAGATGAGTTAAAAAAAACCACATATTAGCTCTATTTGTCCGCATGAACGCTCTCCAAAGTACGTACCTCACTGTGGCTTCCTCATGCGCTCTGGATGACTTTGGATCGATGACTAGACGGGCCAAAATTTGAACGCTATCCGACTTCTGGTTGATCCCTTGGCTCTCGAGGCTGCAGACTGTCATCGATGGTTCATATCACACCGAAGGCGCCTATCCGCAGCCCCTGCTTCCGTGGGGGCCACAGGATTGGTCGGAAAATAGTACGAGTGTCGTTGCTGTTCCAGTGGCTTGCGTGTGTGCTCGCGCTTTATACATTGGGCGTCGATAATTGCGTCAATGCGTGCAATCTACTGCGATTCGAATGAGCCTAGATTAAGAAGAAAAGAATTGTTAGCGAGCTGAAGCCGTCCAAACGCTCACAACACGCACTCGGCTTGTGCGCCCTCTCCTCAAAACCAAAGGCTGTGCGTCACGTCAAGGAAGAGTAGTCGAAGCGCGTCTGGGATGCATTCTTTGTGGTTGTGGTGATGCTCGGTGGCAAAAAATATGCAGCGTGGTCGTGGGCGGGGCCAGGTGTTGCAGTTCTACTGGCGTTTGGTTTATCGTCCGTTATGACGGTAAGATCTTTGGTGTGGGTTACAAGTAGTGCTTGCGGAAATGCCTTGAACTTTGCCTCAAGGAGTGTTAAAAGGACCTTTCGGACATGGTCGAATAGCGCGTCGATAGCCTCGGTCACCTGGAAAGTCGCCTTGGATATTCGAGCTCTGTCTTGATGCTATTGAATCGTGGATGGCGTGATAAGATTGCCAAATCCAATCCAAGGTCAGCGCGCTGGACATGGTCGAGCCCAAAGTTTGCGAGGTGCCGCTTGGACTCGACGCCCACGTTGACGAGCGCGTAATGCCAGCCATGGGCTCGCCAAAGAAGACTATAGACCACCTACGTCTTTCTCCTGTGGAACCCCTGTCGACAGATTCGCTTCCAGATGTATCCATCAAAATCTATTCTT